ATCGGGGCGGATATAAAGGCTGTCTTTAGGGTCTTAAAGGCTTCTTCGCAGGCGGGAGTCCATTCAAAGGCAACATCCTTCTTTGTGAGTTCGTTCATATGGGCAGTCAGTTTCGAGAAGTCTCTTATAAAGCGTCGGTAGAAGCCAGCAAATCCTAGGAATGCTCGGACATCAGTCGCGTTCGTCGGCGATTTCCAGTCCATGATCGTCCGGACCTTCTCAGGGTCCATACGGATTCCTTCGCCTCCTATAATCAGGCCTAGGAATTTGGTCTCAGAAACACAGAACTCGCATTTAGCTAGTTTCACGAATAGCCCTGCTTCGCGGAGGCGGGCGAGGACCTTACGGACGTGTCCGATATATTCCTCCCTTGTACGACTATATATCAGTATATCGTCAAGGTATGCGGTACAGAACAGGTCTAAGTAATCTCGCAGGGAATCGTTGATAAATCTCTGGAATATAGTAGGGGCGCCTGTTAGGCCAAACGGCATTACCAGGCTCTCGTAGAGACCTAATCTCGTACGGAACGCTGTCAGGTACTCCTGCCCCTCCTTCACCCGAAGGTTATTAAAGGCAGAGATGATATCTAGGCGAGTAAAGTATTTCATCCCCTTTAACTGGTTCAGGGTTTCTTTAGTCAGGGGCAGGGGATAGCGGTCCTTGACCGAGATCGCGTTAAGGGCTCGGTAGTCTACACAAAATCGGAGACCCCCTCCAGGTTTCTTCACAAATAGGACAGGCGAGGCAGTAGGCGAGGAGCTTGGGCGGATAAACCCTTTCCTTAGGTTCTCGGAGATCCATTCCTTCAGAGCTTCTAGCTCAGGGCGGGACATAGCATAGAGGGGCCCAAATGGCAGGGCCTTCCCCTCTATTAGTCGAATATCATGGTCGTAAGGTCGGTGCGGGGGCAGTCGTTCGGCTTCCTTAGGGGAGAACACATCTCCAAAGTCTTTAAATTCGTCAGGCAGGGCAGGGTCAGGTTTCGGTTATAGTATCTCGTCCAGTGTCTCTATAGACGCGGAGAACAAATGATAGCCCTTCTCGCTTCGGGCGTACGCGGCGCAGGCCCTTAGGCTTATAGACTGTATATCTAGGCCTTCTAGGACAGAGGGGCGATCAGGCAGGTTTATAGGGCGGGTTTTCTTCGGGACATCATGTAGGGCTCGGATCTTCGGGGCCCTACCAGGGGTGTTACAGAACTTCTGGCAGTACAGGCTATTTAGCTCGAGGGTATGGTTCGCGAAATGAATACTAGGATCGTGGATCTTAAGCTAAGGCAGGCCTAGTACAACAGGGTAGTGAGCGATTTTCGTGACAAGGAATAGGGCCTTCTTCTCGTAGTGGTTCTCTACCCTCATGTTCATTCGTACGAAATAGGTGATATGGCCCTTCTCGGGCTCTCGGCCGTCGAAGGCCTCCAGGCGGATAGGTTCTTTCAGGGTTTCGAATATAAGGCTCTGGTCTCGGGCCCAATCTTCATCGACGAACCTCTTCCCTTCTGCACCACTATCTATCATAGCGTACGTAGGGATCTGGGTCTCTTTCTGGGTCAGGGTTATAGGCAGGATAAAAGCGTCGGCGCGGAGGTTCTCTTCTTCGATAGAGTCTCCCAGCATAGCTGCGGATAGGCGGAGCACGCGGTTGGGTTTCACCTGGTCGCGATTTAGGCCAGGCTCACTCCATTTGTTGGCTGGAGTACAGAGTAGTCAGACTCAGCAGATTCAGCGTAGGCAGCGGAGTCAGCCTGGGCGGGGTTCTCTATTCGGCTAGAATATAGGCGGGCAGGGGAACGGGGGCGGGTGTCAGGTAGCAGGCAGTCCCGGACTAGATGATCCTTGGATCCGCATCTGAAGCACTCCCCCCAGTCACGCCGGGTGAGCTTGGCCTTAGATAGATCCATAGGTTCGCTAGGGCCTTAGGCGGGAGTCAGGGTCCTAGGTAATATATTCGTTGTCGCGGCGGCTGCGTACGAGGTCCTTGCGATTTTCTCCCGGGGTGTACTACCTAAGGGCGTGGGTTGGCGGGCACGGTGTGTCTGTTGCTGGTGTTGGCGGAAGCGGTTATCGAGCGACTGAAGATGGGCTGTATAGCTATGAAACTAGCGGGACGGAGCTGGGTTATGCAAGAGCATATCCTGGAGCTCGTTCGAGATAGCTTGTGTCAGGAGGGGAGTTAGAGCTTCTTCGTGTAGTTCGCCCTCTAGGGCTAAACGCTGGAATTCGGATAGGAAGGTGTTAAAGTCGTTATTCTTCTGGCGGAGCTGGTATAAGCGGTTCTGGGCATTCTGGACTCTATCAGGGTCGCCGAAGGCCTTCTCGAGATATTCAAGCATTTGCGGGTAGTCTATAAACTAGGGAACTCCGTACGAGATCTTTGGCAGTACTAGTTCGTACGCTTTACCAGTGAGTCTCCCCGCGACATAAGTAAGTCTGACAGTGGCTGTCGGGAAACGGTCCTGGTTCGCGTTCATCTTGCCATAGATCTACTACGTAAAGCGGCGGAGGTCGCTGCGAGTTCCATCAAACTCTTTCGGGTCAGGGATTCTTTCACTAAGGGAGGCAGACCGGGGACCCAGGGTAGGAGTCGGTGCAAGTTCTCGCGTAGGGATATCTGCTAGGTTCTTAATACCTTGGGCAGGAGTGTTTTCGGTCGGGGGGGGTTCGTACGGCAGGCAGGGCGGAGTTCAGGATCTGATTTTTTTCGACTTCGAGCCCAACAATCTTGTCGTATAAGCTGTTGATGCGCTCTTCCTGATATCTAATAACACCCTCCCTGCGGTGCCGAGTCTCCTCGCTTTCAGTCGCGGCTTGGCGGAGGGTTTGGTTATCTTTCTCAATTTCTTGAGAGTAGCCCTCCATAGTCCGGAGGTACAGCACCCAGACATCGGGGTGTTCTTGGACGTGAGCCAGGAATTCTTCAATAGAATCGGCGTTCAAAGGCGGTTCAGGACGGGGCATGCTGGCGGGTGGCAGCTCTAGTATAGGGTAGAAGCTACGTAGTGTCACGGGGCGGGCAGGTGAATAGAATTATACTAGAACTGGACAGATAGTATTGCATTGACTGACAGGCTAAGACGAAGACGTAGCTTGAAGAGCTACATTCAGACAAGGTTCTGAGTTTACATGAGGTTGCGGGTCACGTGGCCCGCACTATCTAATCAATCAGTAGTCGTCTGAGCTGGCACCGTGACAGAATGTATCAATGTCTGCAGGACTAGCTATCGACTTGGTAATTACCTAGATAGTTTCATTGGGTATCTGTTGGTATTTCCTTCTAAAAACACATGCTTCAAGAGGACAAATGATTTGCTTCAAAAAATGAGCAACTATATTGGGGTTGGAGGAAAGCTACCTAGGTGCCTGTATGTAGCAGATTTCCTTTCCACGGTGGGGCCTTCCTAAAACAGCTACCGCCGCTTTAATGAGGACGCTCAGAGTCAAGCTCAGTGAGTAAATTTCAGTCCGGGCTCAGTCTCAGTAAGCTGCTCAGGTCTCATCACGTGACAGATCACTGAGGCCCAATGAACGCTCAGTGACTACTCAGTGAGCATGATTGGCTGCTCCCTGCTTACTCAGAGATCGATCAGTGCCATTTATTGAGCACTCAGTCTTTTCTCACGCTACACCTAAAGAGGACTAGTGGAAACAAGGTTACAGAGGTGTTTAAATCTTTCCCTCCACATAAACACAAGATGACGCAAAAAGGTGAATGGGTCCATATCGTTGATCATGAAGGGGGTAGGGGAAATTTTGCTCATTCGGAGAGACCCAGGCATAACTAGGCGTATATAAGTTGAAATAAAACCCCTCTCTGAAGCATCATCATAACTACTTTTCTTTCTCTCATTCATACATTTATCTTGATTTCTCGTGACTGCACTTTTTTAGCCAGTCACCCATGGGCTAAAGACAATATCATGGTCAACGAGACCATATCGCAAAAGAGAAACGCTATAAATGATTGCAGGAAAGTGGCTACGTTTTCGGAATGTATGTAAATTATGATGCGATTCGTGATAAAGATAAGAGACTGGCCAAGACTAAGAGGACATACCAGCAACATGCAAAGCTATGGAAAGAGTATGCTGCCACTAATTTTGATGCGAATGATACGTGTATAAAAACTGACCTGCTTTTAGATTCCTCGAGCAAAATAGGAAAGGAAGCGATGAAATAGACCACAAAACCAATGTCCCTGATCACATACTCATCAAAGAATTTATTCGTTGGTACATTCATTCCACGCGCGGACATATTAGTGAAAATAGACGACTAGTCATGAAATCAGTTCTGTTATTTGCGGAGCGGTTCTTTGGTGGCCTCGAAGAAGAAATGCAGATTAGCATTTGTAAGGGTTACTGGATTTTACAGAGAAGACAAGGATGGGAACAAGAACTCGATAACATTTCAAGACTGATTCTTGAAAGAATCATAGGGGATCCGGGTACGGATCGGTTAAGTAGTTGTGGGTATTACATAACGGTCACATGATTTCCAGATTATCAACTCCGTGACAAGTAGGCCTTGCTTCGAATCTCTCCAAATCGTGTTTCGTCCGCAAATCGTGCAATTCCTTAAGAATCTCCGTACATCGTTCGTCATTCCTGGCCAAAATAATCTACAGGCCAGTATCGTATAGGTTGCGTCCCGTCCTAGATGTCCAGTCGTGTAGGAATCGTGGACCTTCTAGATCAAGGTTGTGCGTAGTGGTTCGTTGTCTAGAATCCATGTCCTTTTCCTAAAGCGTAGAAGATTTCGTTCATCTAAGTCGCACTCGGATAGGCTTATTTTCAGGTTCGATTCGGTAGGGATTCGTCGGTCTCCCTTTTCAAGTGCGAGTGCGAACTACTAGTATATGCGAAGGGCTAATACTAATCTTGAATGCAGAACTAGTGATGCCGACAAACTGTCTTTATTAAGCTTGAAGAGAAGAGAGAGAGACTAGCTATGGACATGTGGCAATATAAGGGATGCGGGTGCGGGTGGCACGTGACGAGCATGAGTGGCACAGGCATGAATGCTAAAGCAGGCACCAGCCTGTTACAGATTCCTGCGCGCGGTAAACAATTTAAGCAGATGTTTTGGGGTGCGTTTTCTGGCTCTTTACGACGCACACCTCTAGTTGCTCTAGATGGTGACCCTGAATCTGCTAAAGGTGGTATTTCTGCGCGTGTTATTGATGCTGTTTATCGTCGATATTTACCGACCTTGATGAATGGTATTGAAGGTGCTATTTTTCAGCAGGATAATGCTCCTGTACACACCGCGCGGCTTATTCAGGCGACACTAGAGTCACTTGGCTTGACTATAATGATATGGCCACCTTACTCGCCTGATCTAAATCCTATTGAGAATATATGGGCGCTTTTAAAGGCAGAGATATTAAGATTACGTCCTGAGCTAATATATTTACCTAATGATGACGATACGCTAGAGCTATTAGTAGATACTGCTCAGCTAGCATGGTCTAATATTGGGTTTAATGTTATGGAAAAGCTAGCTCTTACTATGCAGCGAAGAGTAGCTCAGGTCATAAAAAACCATGGTTGGCATACTAAATACTGAATATGATTGAAGATTTGAAGATTCTGCCAGGCAGTAAATAAGTGGGGCTTGTACCTTGTGCGAATTTTTATCAGACGGCACTGTATCATTTAATTACCGAAGGTTTTTATTCTACTATTTACCGAAAAGAATTCAATCAAGTCTCGGCTCTTGATTCCAAATTTATCAATTTAAATCTTCAGTGAAATATGACTAACATAGAATATATCACTACAGATAGATCAATTACAGTACTCTATTCTTATTTCGCTGGTTTGTAGAAGCTGTGTCTAAATCTGTCATGCATAAACAGCCTCGCCATGAGAGGGCTATTTAGTGGAATTGATCTATAATCTACCTTTTCACAGATAAGACAGACCAATATGAATTTCAGCGAAAGTGGAATCCTGGGAGCTGAGTTTCTGCTCCCAGGATTTGAGTTTCTGCTCCCAGGAGCATTTGTGTCAGCTAAAATTAAATAATATTACACCAGCGAATCACGACAAACACACATAGATGATTTCTATTGTAAACACTTAAGATCCTAGGAGCACATAATTCCAAAACATGATGGACCAATAAAATACTCAAGGAAGCCCACTGCGAGTCGCCACTAAGCCAATATGAGACTCCCAGGAGAAATGGCTATTGTTCTTTTTGGCAACCTCTTTTGTTGGTGGGGCAACGGTGAAATCTAATGGTGAAATCTAATGGAGCTAGCGTGTCGCAGTTTATTGAGGTGGCTTATTCAGCTCCTCAGTGCCTGCTCAGTGAGCGAATCAGATCGCTCAGATATTGCACAGTGATTACTCAGGTGATGATCAGGTGATGATCAGGTACGATCAGGTGACGCTCAGTGACGGCGGTTGCATGATTATATAACAACGGTCACTGACTTGCTCTTGGCGTTCGTGGCGTGCTCAGCTCTACTCAGTGAGCAAAAAGCGGCAAGCACTGAGCACTAACACGGAAGTGGAAAGCCAAGAACTGGGAAAGAAAATCTACTACCTAGGTATAGATGTAGTTACATTTCACAGCCAATGTCGAGTAAACTTTCAAGGCTGCACCAATAAAGTTTATGCGTTTTCCCAAGTTTGTCGCTTAATGAGCAACCTTGGATTCTAGGAGTCAAATTCGTTCTTCACCGTCATCTCAAGTTTGGAAGAAGATATTATCAATTACTTGCTATCAAATGAAAAGCCTCTACTATCAGAACAGATGCCTGTTATCCATCACAGAAAGGCAAGTTGACGAACTGTCATGTCATTTTCACTCGCTGCTTATCTCAACTTCTATCAAAGAATCTTTGTGACAGAAACTCCATCCTTGAAAGAATGAGCCTAAATCAACTCGTTAGTATCAACCCAGATAAATAATCATATCCAACAGAGAAAACGTACCTCTCCCATGTTCAACTGAAACTCATGAACAATAGTCTCAAAGGTAAGATCTGGGTTCGGGACAAGAGATCCGACATCCGCTTTCTTCAGCAACTCTTTCCTCTTCTCCGAATTTGCTTGAACCCACTCCAGATAAGCCGGTGCGCCAGGGAAGATAACGTTATCCGCAACGACGACCGATTTGCCTGGAACAAGGACGCTCAACTCCTCCAGCAGCCACATATCAGGCAAGTAGGCGTCCTGCCAGTGATCCACAAACACAAAGTCAACCTCAGAGAACTCCTTCTTCTCGCGAACAAGGTCAACCAAAACATTAGCGCTCGATCCAACGATGACACGTACAGTATCACGTAGACCTGCAAGTTCCAGAAGCTGGTTCGACACAGCAGCCAACTCGGGGTTCATCTCAATGCTGATCAATTTCCCGCCGTGGGACTTCAGCGCGTTGCCGAATAGAATGCCTGAGTAACCCACGTAAGCGCCAAGCTCGATCATCAACGACGGCTTGCGCGACGTAACCAGGTCAGTGATGACTGCGCCTTTGGCTGCGCCAACATTGATCAGCAAGTTTTGGCTGGTGTTGTACTCGTCGATCGCTTTGAGGATAGCTGTCGGGTTTCCGTGGAGTTGTTTAATGTCTGATCGCTGGTAGATCCAGTGGAGGAGATCGGTTTCACGACCGTCCTGGTTTCTTGTTAGTGACTCTCGACATGCGATTTTGAAGTTGTAGCTTACTAGACCAATTTGGTGAGCAGGGGGAGCGTTAGGTCGATTGGCCATTATTGAAGAAGTGTGGAGGATGTGAAAGAGAAGGGGAAGAAGGATGGAGAAGATGATTTAGACTTGTGTGAGGTGAGGTGAGAATTGGTAATTTAGATTTGTGTGAGGTGAGGTAAGAGTTGGTAAATTAGATCAGGTGCCTGGTTTTATGGTTGGATCGATGAGAATAATAACTTCTCTTCCAGCTGCCTGGAATTGTGGTTTATATACCTTCCTCTCCATCTCGGAGTAAACAAAGTATAGTTGCCCAATTAGGAAATACCCGAGATGCGGATGCTTTCATAAGCGAAGACTCGGACTTTAGGAAGTCAAGGGTGGCAGGCAATTCGGGGGTCGGAGACAAGCCTCGGGGCAGGCTTCCACATTCAGGACCCAATCTGATTATTCGATATTTCAATTCTGATTTCTTCGATCAGGTTCCAAGATTTCATGGCCTGATTGATGTCATTCTAGCGGCTCTAATTCATCCACTTATCCAGCTCAGCTATCTTACTACCAGCTACAATAAAATGATAAAAACTGACTATAAATGCTTATATTCATCATGCAAAGGGCACGTTCATTAGGTCCCAATGATATCTAGTCATCTAAACAAAGAAAAAAAGAAATCAGATCCGTAGTCGGGCGTTTCACCGTTTTCCATGTCGAGGCGAGTCACTCTGCATATAATAAACTCTTACCCCGCCAAACCCGGCCATGCCCTAAAATTTATAAAGGGTCGCTGCGCAGTATACAACATAAAACACTGCTGAGAGAAACAAGAAACCAAGGTGATTCAACCATCCAAACTCCACCGTCCTCCAATCAGGGGACGGACTTGTATGCCACCAGCGGATGGCGCTGCAAATTTTATCACGCAGAAACAAATTACAAGCTGACCTCGACACGACCCTCGGCACCGCCCTTCTGCAGAGTGGGGAGGAGGTAGGTAATGTCGTCCCAGGGGTGACGGTACAGACCAGTGCGCAGGCGCTTCTGGTCGAGGTAGTGGGCAATCAGACCGATGGAACGTCCCAGAACGAAGAGACCGTTGAGAACACCCATGCGCATGTAGTCCTCAACCTCCTCGGCGGAGAAGGCACCACAGTGGCGGAGCAGGTCGACGAAGCAGACAGCAACGCAACCGTCAACGTTGAGGATCAGGTTGTCCTTCTTGGAAGTGGTGACGGACTCAACGGCGAGAGCGTAGTCGAGCAACTTGGTGCTGGGGAAGTGCTTCTTGACAAACTCCTTGACAAGCTCGACACGCAGGTCGGGGTTGTTGCGGGACTTGACACGGTGACCAATACCGGGGATGAGCTTGTTCTCCTTGCGCATCAGGTCAACGAAGTCACGGGGGCTGAGACCCTTGTCGAAGGCCTTGGTGAACTCCTCAGCGGCACCATCCAGGGCACCACCGAAACGAGAACCAATGGTCAGCAGACCAGAGACGAGAGCACTGATCAGGTCCTTGCCGGCACGAGTAGTAATGATGGTGTTCATGGCACCAGACACGGCGGGACCGTGGTCAGCAGTGAGCATGAGAACCATCTCGAGGAACTTGCTGGCGTAGGTGGGCAGACGGCGACGGAACCACAGAAGGGACATGACACCACCGATACCAATATCCTCACGGAAGACATCAGAAATAGGCATACCGGCGTAGAGCAGCTCCTGGCCACGGTCGTCGGAAATTGTGGAGATAAAGGCAGCGGGCTTACGGACAAGACCCAACTCCTGGGCCCAGGAGTAGTCAATGGGGATCTTGGGAACAGCGGGCTCGGGGGCAGGGGTGATGGTACCCTTGGCGACCTCGGCATCGTAAACCTTCTTCAAGAGGGCAGGCATGTCCTCGAAGGTCTCGGGGACGTGGATACCGGCCTCACGCATAGCAGCGTTCTTGTAAACGGCGGTCTCGAGCTGGGAGTTGGCAGAAGCACCGGCGTGGCCGAACTGCACCTCAGTCTTGAACATGCTGGCGCAGGTTCCAATGGCCCAAGCAACGATGGGCTTGTTGATGACACCGCTCTTGACGGCCTCAATCACACGGTATTCCTCAACACCACCGACCTCACCGAGCAAGAGTAGGATCTTGCAGTCGGGCTCGGACTGGTAGCGGAGCAAGTGGTCAATGAATGTGGTACCCGGGTAACGGTCACCACCAATGGCGACACCCTCGTAGACACCGTCGGTGTTCTGGGAGACGATGTTGTTGAGCTCGTTGGACATACCACCGGACTTGGAGACGTATCCGACGGAACCCTTGCGGTACAGCTTGGAGGCGACAATGTTGTCCATCATACCACCAGTGTTACCAATCTTGAACGCACCGGGCTTGATACCACCGACGGTAGCAGGTCCAATGATGGTGATACCCTTCTCCTGTGCAGTGACAAGGATCTCACGAGCACGACGCTCGGGAACACCCTCGGCAATAATGGCGATGGAGCGGATCTGGGGGCAGTTCATCAACTCCATGGTGGAGCTGTAGACTGAGCGGGAAGAGGCGAAGTTGACAACAGTGTCGACGTCAGGGTGCTTGGCCATGGCCTTCTCGACATCCTGGTAGACGGGGAGGAGGGTCTCGCTGGTGCCCCAGTACATCTTGCTGACGAACTGACCACCGAAGGTGTAGATAATACCGGCCACGGAGGGAGTGGTACGCTTGCAAATGAAGTCAAAGTCGAGCATGCCCTGCACAGCTCGGGGTTGCATGCCACTGTTTCCCGTTAGCTTCCTGTCCATCTGATTGAACAGACCTCGTAACTTACTATACGAAGCATCGTGTTTTGTCGTGGAAAAGGGCGTGAGAAGAGGGAGAGAGGACCCGGCTTGGGGGGTTGAATCGGGTAATGTTGTCGTTAGCAGACATGATGAAATCTGAGATCAATTGGGGTGAACGTTAGCTTCAATTGATAGATGAGAGATGAGAAGAAGGCTTGGTGAACAGGTGAGATAGTGGAGGGAGAGGTAGAAGACTGACCTATGTGTTATTACACCCGCTGCGTAAGTGAAAAAAGAGCAAGATGTGTTTTTTTAGAGGAAGATGGAAAAAGATTAAAGGGAGGGGGTCAAGAGTAAAAAGTTCTCGTGGGGTCAGAGTACTCGCAGGTACGGTGTATACCTCCTCACGTAATTCAACAAAAAAACACAGTCCCCAAAATACTGGGTAACATCAATACTGTACACCCCACCATCCTGCAGGGCTGTATTCCTTTTACAATACAGAACTATACCCGTGGATTCATCAATTTCTAGCCCTACATTCATTCTGTATGCAATTGAACCTATCTAACCGCCGTAACCACTATTTATAAATAGTATCATTTCGGTTATCGAAGCATGACATGTCAGTCATGTTTCGGGTGAGGTTGAATGACAACTCATTGTACATATTTGCATCGTCCAATCTGCTTATCCCCCGCGCCCCCAGGTTCTGATGTGTTGGTATCAAGACTAATGGTTACGAGGTATTCCGGGGACTTTTCGGAGCTGACGGGCCATTTGGGACTGGGTCTTTTAGCAAGGCCGAATTACTCCACAAAAGCAGAAATAAATATAGAAATATAGAAAAAATATGAATATTGGGAAAGTGGGATGGGATGGTATGAGAATGTAAAATACCGGTATCAGAAACGTAAGGGCCTGTTCCGCACTTCCCAACGAAGGAATCTACATAAGCTCACCCTCAACATACGGTGGAGTCTTGCCTCAATTCTACGGTGTAATTTTGAGTATAACTTTTTTTTTTCCCTCCCCGTACTTCCTAGACCAGCTGGCTTGGATTTCTCAAAACCTCCCCCCTCCTTGAATTCTTCTTCAATTTTAATCCTCCTCTCTAAACAACACACGCAAACACACACATCATGTCCGCCAAGTCTATTCTCGAGGCCGACGGCAAGGCCATCCTCAACTACCACCTCACTCGCGCCCCCGTCATTAAGCCTACTCCTCTGGAACCTTCTAAAACTCACAACCCTCCTGCTCGTCTCGCCTCTCTTCACTTCCCCGAGGACAAGACAGTGAAGGATGTCCTTGACCAGGCTGAGGTCACCTACCCGTGGTTGTTGGTCGATGGCTCCAAGTTCGTGGCGAAGCCCGATCAATTGATCAAGCGTCGAGGCAAGAGTGGCCTCTTGTGCCTGAACAAGACCTGGGCCGAGGCTCGTGAATGGATTGAGGCTCGCGCCACTAAGGAGGTTCTCGTCGAGACCGTCCCCGGTGTCCTGCGTCAATTCCTTGTTGAGCCTTTCGTGCCCCACCCCCAAGAGACTGAGTACTACATCAACATTAACTCCGTCCGTGAGGGTGACTGGATCCTTTTCACCCACGAGGGTGGTGTTGATGTCGGTGATGTTGATGCCAAGGCCGAGAAGCTGCTCATCCCCGTCAACCTGAAGAACTACCCCTCCAACGATGAGATCGCCACTGCCCTGCTGAGCAAGGTTCCCAAGGGTGTGCACAACGTCCTCGTGGACTTCATCTCGCGCCTCTACGCTGTCTACGTTGACTGCCAGTTCACCTACCTCGAGATCAACCCTCTCGTTGTCATCCCCAACGCCGATGCTACCTCCGCTGATGTGCACTTCCTTGACTTGGCTGCCAAGCTTGACCAGACCGCCGAGTTCGAGTGTGGCAACAAGTGGGCTGTTGCTCGCAGCCCCGCTGCCCTGGGTATCTCAGTCGCTGTCCCCTCCGACGGCAAGGTCAACATCGACGCTGGTCCGCCGATGGAGTTCCCCGCCCCCTTCGGTCGTGAAATGACCAAGGAGGAGAAGTTCATCTCCGACATGGACGCCAAGACTGGTGCCTCCCTCAAGTTGACTGTCCTCAACGCCAGTGGCCGTGTCTGGACCCTTGTTGCCGGTGGCGGTGCCTCCGTCGTCTACGCTGACGCTATTGCCTCCGCTGGCTTCGTCAGCGAGCTGGCCAATTACGGCGAGTACTCCGGTGCCCCTACCGAGACTCAGACCTACAACTACGCCAAGACCGTCTTCGACCTGATGCTGCGTGCCCCCACCCACCCCGAGGGCAAGGTCCTCTTCATTGGTGGTGGTATTGCCAACTTCACCAACGTCGCCAGCACCTTCAAGGGTGTTATCCGTGCCCTGCGTGATGTTGCCCCCACTCTCAACGAGCACAAGACCCAGATCTGGGTCCGTCGTGCGGGTCCCAACTACCAGGAGGGTCTTAAGAACATCAAGGCCGCCGGTGTCGAGCTCGGCCTGGACATGCACGTCTTCGGCCCCGAGATGCACGTCAGCGGCATTGTGCCACTTGCCCTTCAGGGCAAGAAGACTGACATTAAGGAGTTCGGCGCATAAATTTATTATACCTGACACCCTTTTCACGTTTGTCGTCTTGTTTTGTTTGTTTCTTGCAGCGTCCATCCGTTGCCTTGGTTTGTGGTATAATGCATGGCATGATATGAAATTTGCGGAGGGTCCTCGGATCCTCTTTTTGGAAAGGACCTTTTTGTTCTTTTTAAAAACCGAGGGAAATGTATGTGGGAACCCAAGTGTGTAGTGTGGTCGAGATGGTCGATCGCCTGATTCCCCCCTGCTGGTGTTATAAAGTGCCTGTTTTGCTAGTTGAGGGTATTATGGCGTTTCCTCCCCCCGGATGAAAAGACCGGATGCTTTGGTGCTCGACGTACATGAATTTAGATTTCCTTTTATGTTCAGCTACCGGGGGATATTTAGATCGTGATGTCCCATCGGATAATACATCAATTGATGATAACACTCTCAAATATTGTCAGCTCGTAGCTTAATTAATAGTAATAATGCCTAGTCAGGATTGACAGTCCACTATGTTCGATATTCGAAATTGACTTCGTATATATCCAAAAATACGCACGTGATTTGAAAAATACACGACTCCACTAGAGCTATAGCTTCAAGCTAGTCTCTGTACCCCAGATTCCAGTGACAGCTGGACCCCACCGATCTGGGTCAGGAACGATCGAGAAAAGGGCTGGATCGTGGTGGGGATGGAATGTGTTGGCCCCCTAACTCCGTTGTCTAAGTTCCGCTGCTCCGAGATTAGATCTCCGGGCGAGCGGAGGATCCAACATGAAAGTATTTAAGTACTCTATCCTGGTCTGAATGTAAATTTGATTGAGATTGCCTTTCGTTTGCTAAGTGTGGATTCAGTTTGGATTTGACGTGGTAGTTCAGGTTTGTATGATCTGAGATTGATGATTTCTTCTAATCTCTGAATATGGTTGTTCTGTTAAAAGTTATAATGTAATTGTGACATACAAGTCTTACTTGACTTCGAAGGACGTGTATGACTGGTAGACAGATCCCTTGATGGAGACTTGGTGGCCTCTTCAGCTGGCTCGATGGAGGTTTGGTGGTCGTGTTTGAGAGAAAGAGTGAAGATCATAAGCCGATATCCCCTGCATTTTGAGCCCTTTGTCATCGCTGAACTCGATGAGATCATCAATTACTATGAGAGATTCGGACTCAAGAGCTTTCCAAAGTGCTATTCACGACAATTAAGTATGGATAGAGAAGCTTATCGGTGGGTGTCTTTCAAATCTCCATGTGTTGCCGAAATTGAGACGAGGAATCCGAGAATGGAGGTCTTCATCGTTTTTGAACTTGCAATTTGCTTTTGTGGATGGACCACTATCGTAGATGAATCTGCTCAGACTTGGAATTGGAATTGGCCTATGGAAGCAAGGACGTTTCAACATATGGGAAAGATATGATATCGACTCTGAAAGTTTCAATATTCCACATATGTGTGAGGTGATTGCTCAAACGTCTCAACACCGATGCAGTTAAAACAATCTAAAAAAGTGAAGATAAAACAATGAAACTTTTCAGGTGAACACACCTCGACAACTGTAGAAAGATTTAGTTTTATTTAGTCAAAGGAGGCATTTCCAGAACCCTGAGGAGTTGAAATGCTTACAAGTGACGTTCGAGACTTCGCACAGTTGAATGCAATAATGTCAAAGTTCATAATGAGCAGCAAGGTATTATTTAATATACTTACAGGTGAGTGAGCTTGGTAGTCAAGTAGACTCAAGTACCGCCTCAGACACAGTGCTAGTGTTAACCTTGTACGAGAGTGTCACCATAAAAACAGCATTATTGGTCATAAAGAAAGTGACGAGCACCAAGTAAAATTCTGGCATTATTCAGGAAGAAAAGAAGTTATCTCGGTATATGGCTTCAGTGCCACGCGACGAATGGTCACGTACTAAGAAATGAGAGGGGCGTAGTTACATAACACATGAATAGATGTGTGGAGATTGGAGATGAAAGATGAGGCTTTAATTACGGAAGAGCCTTGACATAAGTAGAACGAAATGTGGATGTGGGATAGAGTGACGGTCCCAAGGAATGAATTAACAAAAATGTATGATGATAGGTCTCATTACCCGCAGATGAATAGGAGACTCTTCACTGACACAAAAACATAAAAAGCTGGCATGCTCATGAGTTAAGAAAGAGCCACATAGCTTCACCAAAGACGATGAACAAAGAAAGAAAGAAAGAAAGAAAGAAAGAAAGAAAGAAAGAAAGAAAGAAAGAAAGAAAGGAAGGAAGGAAGGAAGGAAGGAAGGCAGAAAGGAAGGAAGAGGAAGGAAAGTGGAAGCTTTGCTCTGGTTATAAGCCCCTAGGGCACATCGTAAGACCATTGTAGCGATAACATCGCTATTATTCAAATTCAACTTGGAAGCATTGTGATTTGTGACAAAATTATATGTAGAATAGTCTTGACATTATGTGGTGATGGTAGATAACCCTAACTCGATGAAAAATCACGTGAGGGCTACTCCGTAACATCTAGGTTGACCACCTCCATTTACTCCTCTAGTACTTTCTCAACTTCAAACCTTGTAATGATTCCAACTAGGGCTGCGATATTGAATAACTACTCCATCTATTATTTCAGTTTATTGGTCTTCAAGCTGGACATATGCCCAAGCGCAGCACTCCAAATATTGAAATATGAACATCAACGTTTAAAGTTAAAGAAATAAGGGTAAGCACATAATAATGGAATAAAAATGCATTACAACAATAACTATCTTCCAAGTTGAGCAAGGATCGCATCGTCCGGTGGGAGCGAAGATAGAGCCGTCGGCAACCGAGACACGTGGGGAAGTTGGGTACGGTGCTGTGTATTACCAGTTGGGATCTGAGCTTGGTACCGTGTATGATGCTGGTAATTTGAAGAACTTGTGGAGGCCTTACCATTGTAGCCACCCGGGTTCAACCAGTTCTTCGGAGGTGGCATTGTGATTGCATCGCTGGTCTTCAATCCCCTCGAGCTTCCAGTACCGCTGCGTTGATGACGATGTAGTCTTTCAATACCCTCTGGGCTGATAGGAAACGAAGGAGCCCTTGGAGTTCGTGGCTTCATGAGTGCAGGCATTTGTGAAGGGTTAGCGGATGCAATTAGCGTGGCGGTTCCATCTCGTGATGATATGCCTTGCAAAGTTTCTAAGGCTGTATTTGAGGCAGTTGTCTGCATCTGCGATCGCATGGCGCGGGCTTTCAAGAGATTGTAGAGATTTGTCACTTGGGATAGCTTTTTTGATTTCTGGCGATAGAGATCTATAAGCTCTTGGTTCTTCTTCTGAAGTTGTTCCTGGGTTGCTTGCAGATCTGTTCACACACGATTAGCGAGATTCTTCAACAGAGGCTCGCTTAACTGACCTGAAACTTTGCTGTGAAGAGTTGAGATCTCGGAGTTGGCATTATGAATGAACTTATTTATCTGCAAGTTCATGCTGGTATACTTTTCGGTAAGACTCGTTCCCAGATATTCCTGGTAGAATCTACATACCATCATTAGCTTGTACCTTAGTATAGAGCGGATGAAGGTACATTTCCTGCGTGCTCTGGTATGCCCAGAATCCTAGTGCCCGACCAGCACACTCCATAACTGTGTTTGGATCGAGGCCGCTGAGCACACTCGTTTTGTAGTCCTCTGTGGGACTCAGGATGGTTGAAACAGCATCATCGGGGTTGGAAAGGACCGTTTGGCAGGCAGGACATCGTCGATTGTGTGCAGTTGGATGTGAAAGGCAAAGGCTATCTGCACACCCAAGACAGAATATGTGCCTACATTAATCAGTGCTACCCCGTCCGTAGGTAATGTTCGCCCGACTCACGAGCAGGTGGTTACAACCGCTTTTTCCGTCAACTGGACCCTGCATTTAAGGGCGTTACATCGCAGATGAAAATCCATGATGTGATGTTGAGTTGGGCTAGCTAAGGTATATTATATGGAGGATAAGGAAAGGAAGTGGGTGGTCACATGAGGCCAATATTTCGGCTCACCTCAGCAACTTCATCATATTCATTAAGCTGGTTTATCATACAACACGAAATATCAACTTTTAAAAGAAGAATGTATTTCCTTGAGCATCACGCCGTGTGCAAGTCATCTTCTCTTCAAACTCTTTTCCAGCCTCATATTCATTCCAAAGACTTGCTGGGTATATGTGCTTGTTCTTTTCATACCAGCGACGGTCTACCACCTTTGTATCTGCGGCGTCGTTGTCCGAACCTTCTAATTTCTCGTCATTGGGACGTCTTAAGGGGTTGTCATTTGACTTGGCTGGAGACAATTTTTCAGAGTAATCAAAGAGCAAGCCACCTTTTCGAGTAAAATTTTGTACACGGTTGGCGATGAAGTAGTAGAACTCATAATGCTGCATCCAAGTTAGTCTTGATAAGATAGGTATAGATCGCCGAGAGAACTTACATGTGGTACAATTATATCGCCCTTGACTAGCATCAGGTCATCGACACTGATGCGTGCCCATTCTCGACGAGAATCTTTCCGTGCCTTTGAGGCTCCATTGGCTCCAGGCACTCCCAGCTCCGCGCCGACCTTACGACAACGGTCTAAAAATAGCCAGACGGTGTCTCCCTTCCGTACTTTGACAGATCCAGCTGGTATACTTGTTCCGTCAAAGAACACAAAAGGAATCAAAATTTCTGTGTTCTTTATAGCCTCTTGTATAACCAAAAATTCCTTACGGAGTGCGTCTCGGGATTGTGCCTCGGCTTCCAGGGCAGCCTTAGTCAATGCTTTCGGCGGGGGTGGCGCATTCGGGTTTGCTTTCATACGGTAAGGAGTCGACGCCCCGCTCTCCTCGCCGGGAGGTTTTGAGCCTGATCGTGACACGCTTGAATCGCGCGGGGTGGCTGTGGCCGAATCATCCCCAGTTTCATCATCATCGTCACCAAATGAGAGCTTGCTCTTTGCGAGGGGCTTCTTCTTCTTTTTCTTGGGGGGTCCGTCACTTTTCGGTGTTAAAGACCTGATGTGTCATGATCAGCTTAAGCGTTCATGAATTATAATGTGGCCCTTGGAACTTACCCGTCAGTCACTTCTCCGGTAGAGGGTGTTGCGCTTCTTGAATTACCAGACGCGAGTCGCCCAAGCGACTTGTCGTGTGCCTCACGCTCCTTTTGTTCCAAAACTTCTGCGCGACGCTTGCGAAAGTCGGACAGATGCACAAGACCGACGGTTTGCGACTTTAGCATCTCCTCGGCTGAGGCACTTTGACCGGTGAAAGACCGGGGCGCAGAGGCACCATTCCCTTGATCAGCCATTTCTAGTGTTGATATCGCTCTCACGGCTGGGATGCTGAGTTTAGATTCAAGTGAACTGCTGGAAGTTCGACTGACGTCTTTGGCACGTGACTTGATAGAAGATCTGGGGCCGATAAGTAAACAAGTGATAAAGATTGGAATTGAGTGGTCAGTTACGGAGTACTCTAGGCAGGTTCAACAGGTTGAAGGTCAGTATACGTGACAATTTCAAAGCAGCAGTTGTGTGGGATAGTAATCTGTCGAAATACACTGTCAATTCTTTTGAAAAAGAGCTCTAAAGTGTCAATTATAAAAAAAACTCCCCCTACAAGCCCCACTTCTTTTGCTAGCCAAACAGAACGATCGGAAGCCCATGTATTGGATATAGTGGCAGATATCTAGAGAATTGTCAGAAGATTGCAATATGGGACTAAAGTGACTATCGATTCCAGAAAGCGATACAACGTCTGTGAATAGACGAATAGCTTGGGTTTGTCCAGAGGCGACAAAGGCGGTGAAAGCCCAGGTCCTCCTAAGTAAGCATGCAAACAGACCAAACTCGGCCTTGTAATGCGACCTACGGAGCTTCACTTTTCTGTTGTGTCATTCTTCCTTTAAAAGATCCGTGGCATTGAAAACTACTCACCATGGATGACGAGGAAGACGACTTCTATGACCCCGCCGATTCGGTGCCAGTAACTCAGCCATCATATAACGAAACTCCAGTTCAACAAGAGGAACCTGATGTCGATGAAGAAGACGAGGAGGAAGGCGAGGATGACGAGGTTTGACCTCAACACCTCTCTGACTGGTGTTTGTGCTAATAGTTTTCCAGGATGACTTCAATATCATCACAGAGGCATCCGCTGATGCACCTCCTCCAGAGCTGTAAGCAACTATTCTACACCTCGCGCGGCATTGAACTGTTTACCTGACCTTCAAAAGCTCCCATCCTCGCCATGCTAGCTTAAGACAAGAAGCGCAACGAACACCTTCTGCAGATTTATCGATCCTTTCAAAATCTGCCACTCCTGCCACTCCACGTCCTGATGCGCCAACTGCAGCTCCTGCGACTACTGCGGCCGCAAAGTCTACCACGTCTCAAAAGCCAGGCTCCGAATATCCAGCAATTCACACATCTACAATTGACGTTGATGATAACCCCGTGCACCCCTCAACTGGGAAGCCGATCATGGCCACGGACATGGATGCGGATTTCCCAGCTGACGACAAGCCTTGGCGTCGGCCCGGCACTGATACTTCGGATTACTTCAACTATGGTTTCGATGAGTTTACATGGGTTAGCTACTGCTTAAAGCAGCAGGAAGTGCGCAAAGATGTCGGGAATCAAAAGAGACAGATGGACGATATGCAGTCCTTCCTTGGCATGGGAATGCCCCCAATGCCCAGTGCACCAGCTGTTCCTGCGCCAGGTCCTCCTGCACCTATGGCTGGTATGTCTGGTGTACCAGACATGTCGCCCGATATGATGCAGGGCATGCTTGCCTCCATGATGTCTCAAGGACTAGACCCATCTAACATGGACCCAATGTCGTTCATGCAGCATGCGCAAGCAATGATGGGACAGCCTGGGGGCGGTCAGCAAGGTCAACCTGGATTTGGAGGTCAAGGACAAGGCCAGGTCCAAGGATTTGGCCAGGGAGGTCAAGGCCAGATGGGATACGGAGGTGGCGGCTACGACCAGCGTGGAAATTATGGAGGCCGAGGACGTGGGCGAAGATGGTAGTTCTGGTTTCTGCTTTTTAATACCTATGACTTTGGGTTCATCTTAGGACGGCTTGGATATCATGGCGTTTCTAATTTGCGAACGAAATAAAAATCGACCTATTAAGACTGTCGTATCTGGAAGCTCGGGAGAACGAACAAGTCGTGTAATCTGGGGTAACATTGGAAACATGGACATATTTCAAGGGGATAGTAGTGAAAGGAGGAGTTATTATATTAGTAAAATATAAATCGGCAATTAAAGCTCTGGAATCTCATCTGAAATACATTGTATTGTGTATGAGTTCGATGGCGTCGGGTTGTCGGGTGAAGCTGCGGTCTTGGCATTCTGGAAATTTCTCCAGGCCAAAGTCCAGATCTTCTTCCCCCGGACGCCTTCTTCTTCCTTTCTCCATCCCCAGCACATCACTCCTAGCTTGAAGATCTTACCTTCTATCATAATGGTAAGTTTATAGCTTCGATCCTTCAATTTTATGCCCTCAAATGTCATATTTCAAGCTGGGATTCCTTCGAGCACTTACCCACGCTTTTTTTCCCTTCTTGTCCCCGACCAACAACGCCTTCTCTTCCTTAGCCAGCATACTAACAATAGTCTCAATAGTCTGCCCTCCGTAACATCAAGAGCCTTGCTCCCCTCCTGGACCGCGTCCTGATCCAGCGCATCAAGCCCGAGGCTAAGACCGCCTCCGGTATCTTCCTCCCCGAGAGCAGCGTCAAGGAGCAGAACGAGGCTAAGGTCCTAGCCGTCGGCCCCGGTGCTTTCGACAAGGACGGCAAGCGCATTCCAATGGGTGTCGCTGCCGGTGACAAAGTTCTGATTCCTCAGGTATGTTTCGCTTAACTGCTCTTTCCGAGCTCTTCCGCGTGTTGCATCGGACGCCATGGACTTTGGCACACACGTTTTCCCTCTTGAATACATTTGTACTGATTCAATTCATCGTTTTAGTTCGGTGGTAGCCCCATCAAGGTCGGTGAGGAGGAGTACACTCTGTTCCGTGATGTTGAGTACGTTCACAATCAAGCCTCCATCCATACCCGAGTCCCAATGCTAACTATAATTTCAGGATTCTTGCCAAGATCAACGAGTAAATTGATGTAGCACACATCGTTTTATCTTGTCTTTCGCCTCCTACCCCTTGTCGTCCCTGCCTACCACCTTCCGATCAGCTGTAAAATCGCGAAGCGGATGGTTGAGGGCACACGACGTGTACTATATCCCAATGCGAAGTCACGAGCTCAACCGCCTCCAAAAGATCTGAAGAACAACCTAAAAAATAAACAATATATCCTGGAGGAGGAATGCGCGCCTGTTAGGCATGCATCCTTCTCTCTCTTTCTCCCTCTCTCCCTTTGCATACTGAATTTTTGAAGCGCTGGTTTGGCTTTGGTTCTTGCATGTCTTTGTCTACTTGTATTATTAAAACCAATTGCAACTTGCCGGTTCCTTGTGCTGCAAGCTAAGGTGGCAGTTGAGTAATTTCTATATAACCGTCTCCCCTCACAGATTCCATCTTCGGTGGGAATTTCCGCTCCTGATCTTAATCTCCCAAGATATCTAGGTACCTGGGTGTAAGTGGCTGGTTGTGTATAATACTAGTAGCATACTACTTCTGCTTTGGTTATTCCCAGCAATATTCTCGAGGTCTTGAGTTATATCAACGGAACCTTGGAAGTTATAGCAAAGTACTTCAATATAACAATATACTGTAATCCTAATCTCTGCTCCTGGCCTTTCCGCTCTTCCTGAGCACATGGCATAGTCTAATCAACACACGCTCCCCGATCCAATCCTTAAACATATCCATTCGTTCCGCATGTGTCATGTCAATGAACGCAGCCAATGCGTATGACATGGCTTCATTCTCGTCAACATGTGATCTTGCTGATCCCTGGTACTTTTCAATATTGAAGTAGGCCTCAGATCGCTGCTGAAGCTCCATCAAGTCTAGCACCACTCGCGCGGCAAATGGGTTGAGCCCTGATTGACGGAGAGATATCTCAAAGCTTGTCTCGTCTTCTTTTATCAGTTGCTGCAGCTTAAGCTGGGTGTTGCTCTCAGAAGGAATGGTTGTGAATTGATGAATTGATTTGATGTTGGGAGCATGTTTGCATGCCAGAGAGAGGATGCATTCTGCCATTGTTGACTGATCGGAACAGATCGTGAGCGGGATAATCGTGGTTTGAGTAGAGAGAGAGGCGCATAGCATATTCAGGGACCGCACGGACTCCTCCAGTGGTCTGTCTACCTTGACTGTTGTATTTTGGCTTGTCACCGTACTTGCTGGTCCCGCAGAATGAGCGAAGAGAATATAGATTTGCTCATAACGGGGAGCTAGACGGAAGATCTTCTCCAGGATGGGGGAGTTGATATTCTTGTTCGAACGGACGAGGGGGTCAGTTGATGAATGACCTGGAAGATAAAGTTGTGTCAGTGCCTGGATTGTTGTGAGGACAACTCCCGTTGTTGCTGATATAACTATGTTTGCTTCCTCGGGTGTGGTATTTAGTTCATGATTACGGGCTGATAGCGAGGTTGTGCTGGGGTCATTTTTGAATGGTATTCCAGGGCAACTGTGGTCTCGATAGATTATCCTGGGAGGGGTTTGGTACTTTTCAAAATGTTGGATAATCTGAACATGGCTTTTGAGGAGCTTTGTAGACAGAAAAAGGATTATATCTTCTGTAGACTTCTTGGGGAATGGAATGGCTTTGTATTGGTTCAGTCCGGGAATGGATCCCAGAGCCACATGGCGGGAAGTTGAAGATATTGCAAGTATTGATTGCTGGGTATCATCATCTTTTGATTTTGAAGGTGTAAAGCATGGGCTTGACGATAAACTGTTTGTCAACTTCACTCCCCTTGATGCCATGAATGCGGGCAAAGAGCCAAGTGTACTAGGAAATAAATCATAGAAGCTTATATCTTGCGGACTTGTGGGGAATTCTTTAGCTTGCAGTGATGGGGATGAGTATGGAATAATTGGCCCAGGTACTGGTGAGTCTGACGGAGAGGTAAGAACCGATATTGGGTGAGAAGCAGTCCCATTCTCTTTCTTGTCGGTGGCTAAGTCTCTCTCCTTGGCTTCAACAGGCTCCTCCAGTGTGAGGGTTTTATGGCGTGGGACTTCGGGAAGAAAATTGGACCAATTGACCTCAAGTGGTGTGGTTTCCTCTCTCATGGCCTGGTACGCAAGACGCCCAGATTTCAAACTGATGTCAAGCTTCTGAGTCCTAATATTGTGATTAAACTCGTTGTACATTGCTTTGAATCGATGGTCAATTTTGTCGTCCCACTCTTCTGGATGAAGTCTCAAGTCTGGTGAGAACCAGGCTGGGCCAGTTCTAGAACTATCGGCAGCGATGGCATGGGAGCGAGCGTATAGAAGAAGATCTTGATCAACTTCGTCCATTATAACATTGTCGGATTCTCCCGATAGACTTGACAAAATAAATTGAACAATCTTCAAGAGTTTCTTGAGGTGGACCGGTTGAAGTGACAAATCGACACATGTGACATGTGACCCCATTACCCTAACTACGTTCATAATTATTTCAATTTCTGAGCAAGATATCATTTACCTAGATCTTTTTTAAGAACACATTTTCTATGAGCTACTTCAAGGTTATCCTTATGCTAATAAATATGACGCCTTTGAAAGTTGATTCGTGTTGAATTTAAGACGCAAGTTATGGAAGTTGTAAGGGCAGCTGAGATTCGGGGAACTTATATTTGTTAAATGGCCACCGTGAGATATACTCGCTTTTTACTTCTAGCGGAGTTTAAGCTGTTATACTCTGTAGTCATTATCCAAACAACACTCCAGGAAATGAATTAAAGAAAAAGTACGAGTGAAAAAAGGTTAACACCTAGAATTCCGCTAATGATAAAGACGCTGCCTATGTTGAAACAAATGGACCGGTAAAGCATGATGGACACTCTGTCATCCCTAATCATTGTAGTTCGACTGTCGTGAGCCATCCTTATTGACAACCGGCAGACCATACAATGCATTCAAATCTTCTTCCTGTGATTTTCCTGTTTCCTCCAACACAGGCCGCTCAGCATGGCTTGAAACTCGCACTGCATGTCGACGATGAGGATTGAAACCATAAGAGGCAGAGTGGTTCGTTGACCGGTTATCCCAGAACGCAACATCATCCTTGTTCCACTGGAATCGAGCATGGAACTCTGGAGTTGTGGCAACTACATCGGTCAAGTACTTGAGAATAGCGTCGCTTTCAGCCTTGGGAACACCGATGATTTTGGTAACAAAGCCTGGGTTGTAGAATAGTCCGTTCCAGCCTGTGACAGGGTTTGTACGGATAAGAGGGTGCTCAGTGGTGACGGGATCCCGGCGGACTGGTCGACCGAGAGCTCGCGAGTCACCAGCTTGCATATCTGCTGAATGCAGAGCTGTCAAGCTCTTCAGATAGGTTTGCATGAATGGCGATAGGACATCATATGCGGCATATTGTGATGACCAGAGAGTGTCGCCACCACCTCCCCGAGGAGGACCGGTGAGCAATTTGAGAGATGTATAAGATGGAGGTTGTAATTCATAAGTAACATCTGAATGCCACAAGAAGCTAGGACTAAACAAAGCACGGTTATCACCTGCATTGTCTGCGGCGTACACAACGTGCACATCTTCATAGCCGGCCTTTTGAGGAACGGCGGTGGTTGCATGTTTGTGGAGCTTTCCAAAGTAGCGTCCCAAGTTTCTCTGGGCTTCAATGTCGAAATTCTTTTGGTCTCGGAAAAAGACCACACCGCGGTATGCAATCAAACGGGCAAGATCATCTTTTTGAGCATCTGTGAGATTTGAAAGATCCACACCATGAATCTCTGTGCCAATCTTAGAATTATAGTCGAAAACTGTTGTAGCGCCTTGCAGCAAGTTTCGGAATTGTGGGTCTCCCTTGAGGCCCCGGTCTTCATAGGGAATCTCTTCTAGAGCAGGCCAGTGAAGGTCTGGGAATGAAGGTAGAAAATCGGCATGTTTATAGTTGGTGTGGTCTTCCACGGCTGTCCGTCCAGGAGTATATCCGAATTTGTTTCCATCAGCGACATCCTTTGTAGGAACAACAATTCCAGAAGCTGAGTGAGCAATCGGTTCTTCCAAGGATGGAGCCATATTGTAGTTGTAAAAGGACAGACTTCGGGATATATGAGGATGGATAATACTTGGCGTGGGGGTATGGAAGTATGAGATGCGTGAGAGAAGACGTCTAGGGGATAAGGCGCAAATGTCTTTTAAAGATGTGGAGTCAAGGTTTCACGGCGGAGACAGCTTATAAAAAATCCAACGATTGCGTGCCAACGTGAGTCAATGCCAGATCCTGGCTGGATTAATGACCCTGAAGAGTATATATTACGCCGCCGGGACTGGACGGCGATTGCGCCATTTGCAAACGTGATCACCTACAAGCATTCTTGGTTCGCACTATGATTATAAAACTGCATTACTAAGTCAATTAGTCTCACAGGAATTTGAGGCAAAGCGAGGGGCCTTGATCACGCAATTTTGCTGACGTGAATTGCCAGAATTTGCCATCTCTGCCGAATAATCTTAGCGTTCCTGAAGATGTGCTATCAGATCTGTATCTTCACCGCTGCCTTGGCTATGAGCTAATGCCGGATCTACGCAACATTGACAGGGATAAAGCACCTAAGAACCCTGTCTATGCTGATCTTCCAGGGGGATTGGAGCTAGAAATAAGAGCTATCGGCGATCACGCAAGAGTGGCGGCTTTTTGCGCCGCGTTGCACCTTTCCTTATCTGTCAAAGGCCCGATTCCTGTTTTAGTTTAGTGCACTATCGTCAGCTTGGAATGGCCAACTTGGGCCGTTCCACACACACACACACACATACATAATTTGACTACAATTTGCTCCATTCCTATTTGCCTATTCGTATCCACCTTAATTGGTTTGTCAGACCTCCATCCGACATTATCACTAAATCACGTGACTAAAAATTACCCGATCATAGTGCCATATTGGCTGGGTTTACTTTGGGCTATTGAAGCGCTAGAGGATAATATTACTAGAGTAAAAGGGCCACAGAGGCACATGGCAAATTTTCCAATCACAATCCCAGTCGATCTCCTCTCGACAGGGGCCCTAGGCTCAATTCCTGTACTTGTTCAGATACACCGCCCAGTCGGCTAGCCACTCCAATGATACCAGCCTCAACATCTGCCAGCACCGCAGTGAGATCGTTGAGGACAGAGCTAGGCGCCGCAGAACTCATACCATCGCGCGATTTGGAGCTGATAAACTCGCTAATTTGTCTTTCTAGTGTGAGTTCAACCCCGTGGAGGTGATCTTCAATTTCCTTCAAGTTGCCCTTATACCGTGTCAGAACAGTGCCCATCTCGTCCGACCGTTGTGAAAAGTAGTCAACCAAATTGACTGGCACCCCATTGACAGCAGTTGCGGTTGAAGGGTCACCGTCAACGTCATCAGGCAGAGCCAATGTGTTCTTTCGAGTAGAGCGCAGTGATCGGCGATCAGAAACCTTTGGATCCTGCACTGACCACCAACCACCACCTGCAGACTGATATTGCAGAGGGAGCTTCAATGTGTCGATGGCACGGAACGCGACTTGCGCCTCGGCCGCATCTCGAGCCACGAGGCCACGCAGATGATCAATGTCGCTGGCGTCATTTTCCAAGGCATGTTGGAGGGTCTCCAGCTTTCCTTGCACGAAATCCACATCGTTGGGAATCGTAGAACTTTCCTGCTCAATGGTGGGAAGCATATCCGAGACTTCGTGGCACACCTTCATTTGGTTGAGAATGTGATTATCGATTATTTCAATCTGATTGCGGATTTCGTCCGCGCAGCTCTCAAATTTAGTTGTAGGGAGCAGGTTACTAAGATCAATCTTCACTCCTGGAACCACAGTTCCTGTAGCTGCAGGCTGTTGCAGAGGCTGGAGTGTGGATAGTCCGGTGTTTTGATTGCCGAAGAGGTTAAGGCTGGGTTTCTGTGGCTGTTGCTGTTGCTGATTTTGTGTAGAACCACTTTTTCAAATAGTTAGTATCGAGAAAGTTACATAATTGGATAACCTGGCTTCACTTACAATCCTGAGAGGGCACCCAGGGCTGGTTTTGTCTGAGCTTGTGTTGTTGTGTTACCAAACAGACCGCCACCAGCCGTGGTAGTCTGGCCACCTAAACCGCCAAGCATGCTTGATCCGGTGGTTGGCGCTTGTGACGTTGTAGGAGCTGTTCCAAACAGACTACCTGTAGGTTTGGGTTGTGTTGTCGAGGGAGTGGGAGCGGACCCAAAGAGGCCTCCAGTAGCTGGGGCAGCAGGAGTTGATCCAAAGAGGCCTCCAGTAGCTGGGGCAGCAGAAGTTGATCCAAAGAGGCCTCCAGTAGCTGGGGCAGCAGAAGTTGATCCAAAGAGACCCCCAGTAGCTGGGGCAGCAGAAGTTGATCCAAAGAGACCTCCAGTTGTTGGGGCAGAAGGAGTTGATCCAAAGAGGCCTCCAGTAGCTGGGGCAGCGGGAGTTGGGTTTGACGGGGCTGCTGTATTGGCATTCCCACTGTGAATGGATTCTGCTGTTAGCTCGCACAAATTCGCCATCTCTTTCCCTCCAGAGCTTGTATTCGGCGGGTGTTCTTGTATCTTTGGTCATCAATTTCGATAGCGATCTGACTTCTTTCAATTGCGCAACAAGCGCTGGTCTTGCGGAATTGAATAGAGTGTAAAGAAAGGCAGGCCGAGGGAGAAGACAAAGGAAGGAGAGGTCTGTAAACTCACAATAGAGAATTTGCCTGACCGGTGTTAATGGAGAGTCCGCCAGTGGACGGAGCAGCAGTTTTAGGGGCGAACAGCGACATGGCGGTCTGTTTGCAAGAATGTTCTTTTTCTAGAAATAAGCATTGAAAGTCGAAGTCGAAGTCGACCGATAAGATTCGGCTCGGGATATTAGTTTCGCCGACCCGACGTCATCTCTAGTACAGAGTACAGCCATATCATACATTTCAAAGATTTCACGTCTAACATTCCCAAAATTCTGAAATTAATTCATACCTCAAAGCTCAGATATCAGGTCCCAAAATCGATCACTGAATCGTATCCTTCAGTCTGCCAAACACAGTGTGGCTAGGATTATCTATCGTCGGATATCTTTCCACTAGTTTCAAACTTTCAGGCTTTGTTTTGAACCACTTGAGATATTGATAGATGCTTAAACATCAACAAATTTGTGTCGCTTAAGTTGAGAGCGCACGTCAGTCTGATTTGGTCACATGGTAATCGATCAGGCAATCATTTTTCATTTTGGTTTTTCTATACTTTGACATGGCTTGTGACGAGATCAACGAATACCCTCCCATTTGTGTGGCCTCGACTACCTCAACACCATCAAATTCGAATGCCCCGGCTGATGCTGCAGCGACAAATTTGGATTATCCTGAATCTGAAGCTTATCACTTCAAAAACATTGAATGGTAAGCTGTCTATGCTTTCTCAACAGGTATCGATGCTCATTCGTTCAATAGGACCCCAGATGGTACCACGATTATTGCAAATTCGTCCGATCACCATATCAGGTCATACATCTTGTACGTCAATTTATGGTTTCATTGAAAGCTTTATCGCCATCCATCTTCTAGCACCCTCTCATATTACACTTGGATCAGTGTCTCATACCTTACTAGGCCACCTGACCTATTAGAGACCGACACACCTCATCATCTCTCTCCATTTTCGACACTTCCCTCGGCTGAGCCAACATACGCTACAGCGATCTATCCTTTTTACAATCTCCAGGATTCATCAACTGCTCTTTTCCTTTCATCTGTTCGAGATCATCCCATCAGGCTGTCGTCGGCTTTTTCCCCGGTAAATGTTGCAAGTTACTCGCTGGTCAACCCCACAACTGAAGCATTTATTACTCCTCATTCTATGGTCTATCCCCCGTCATTGGGTGGAACTCACTTTATCACTGGATCAGATAGCCTTATCTGTCTCTTCGACGTGTCTCGTACGGGGTCGGATGGTCCAGTTTCTTGGATTCCAACCATTCCAAGTAAGCGAAAGCAGATTGTGGGAGGAGGAGTCGGTATGAAGGGTATCGTATCTGCAATGGCAGTCAATCCTTCCGGAGACGGTATTCTAGCCGCCGGTACCTTCACTAGGCACATTGGGCTCTACAGCTCACACGGATCCGGGGAGTCATTGGGAACTTTCAATCTTGCGAGAACAAAGGCAGATAGACGCATTGGAGGCACAGGAGTCACTCAACTTGTCTGGAGTCCCTGTGGGCGGTACTTGTATATCGCGGAACGGAAAAGTGACGGAGTGCTCGTTTATGATATTCGAGTGACTGGGCAAATGCTCGGATATCTTCAGGGGCGCAATGCCCTTAGTAACCAGCGGATGAAGATCGATATTGTTTCTTCCGGCCCTGATGGTTCTCATGAGGTCTGGGCTGGTGGAAAGGATGGTATCACGAGAGTATGGAAAAACCCAATATATTCCGCAGGAGGACAAGATCCAGATATGGAATTCAAGATGCATGATGGTATATTAATAAATCTTTTTTGTTCAGAAAAAAACTCACTAACAAATGGCAGATGCGGTAACAAGCACTTTATTCCATCCTATGGGATCTGTTTTGGCAACCTGTTCTGGTCAACGACATCACCCATCCGATGACTTGTTAAGTGAAACAGCTCCTCTACCGAGACGGGTGGATAACAGTTTAAAAGTCTGGTCCATGCCATATCTAGCCCCTGACTGAGCCTACAAGTCCTCGTTGAACCAGATTCAACGTCTCATAATGTGATATTAGATCTATTGATCTCACACCTAGTGTTTGTACTATTCATCAAGTTCAATCGAAGGAATGAATGACATTTGATCCCATTAAAATGGTGGCATATTTGAACTATGAAAGCTTCATCAAGAACTAAGAGGGCAGGTAGATAGATGTGGTAACAAGTTCAATGTGTATCCTATTCGTAGCCAATGACATCAGGTATCTGACGAATAATTAGGTGAGACATAACTGATGCTAACACATGTTGATATCAATTTGAAAGTATGTAATATACTACTTCTACCTAACCTCGCCATAAAACCTTTTAAGGCCGAATCAAACACATTTAAGATCCTATCAATAAATATCGGTATACTAGATCCAATGATCTAACTGTACCCGTTGTTAAAATTCAAGTTCAATCCCCAAGTTCATACCTGGAGCGAATATACAACTCATTAAGGAAGCACCATTAATTTTGAAAAGCGTCATCATTCACTTCTTTCATTCCAGTCTCGTTTCTAGCAACTCGCGCTAATATCTCTTCCAAGATACAAGAAGGTATTTTCAGCTCTATTCTCTCCCTCTTCCATCCCACTTCATCCCTAAAAGAGATCTCATCTACAAACCACTTCCCACATTTCCAAGGTTATTGTGATATCCATCACTTCCTAGTTGAAGTTTTATCACTTCAGTTCTGGACTTTTAAAGAAGTGAGTTTTGGCTGAATTCACTTCATCTTAATTCCACTTCGCCTTCATCATAACTTCATCTTCATCCTTTTTCACCTTCATCCTACTTCACCTTCATCCTATTTCACCTTTAATCTCGCGTCTTTATCATCACACACGTTTGTCATCTCTCAATATCCTCCGCCTGACTAGGCATTCAAGTAAAGGTCCACCATATTCCCGTCCTGACGTGTTCATGGATAGGTTCTAGTCCAGAGCTTCCAAGTCTTCTCGTCGAATCTACGAGTTGGCTTCTTCCTTCTCTCTTCCTCCTCCCGTCCGCCTCAACGTTCGATATGGAAAACTACGAGCAAGAATTTCTATGGACTTTCACTAACAATGATTTCATGCCTCAGCCTACAATGGAGTATCACAGCATTGGTGCCCAAACTATCGACCCGGATGACCTTTGGCTTTTTGAACGTCCATTTGAGGATGAATGTGTCAAAAAAAACCCAGTCCAAAGTGAATCAGGCAGTCCAGTCAAGTCAGCATTAATGAATGAGATCTGGGTCCCTGGTAAAACCACGGAGGACTTTTCTGTCACTCTCTCCGATTCTCCTCATTTACCCGAGGACTTGACAAGCCTTAAGACTCACAATAACAAAATGTCTATGGCACTCATTCACCGCTTAACTCTGGAAGGGTTCGGAAAGAACACTGAGTCGTGCTCCCTTCAAGAAGCGCGAAGATCGACTCTACAGTTCAACAATGGGGAAGCAGTTGATGCCACCATTCCTAGGACTCTGGAAGTTAAGCGCACGATGGTAGCATTGATAATTCGTGCCATTCAGACCGACAAGCAAGGTAGCAACCCAGAGGATGCCCTTGTGCCATTTATTCCTGGACGAGCAACTCCTCAGAGCGTTGAATATACAGCTTGGACTATTCTAGTAAGGCTTTATTTCCCCTTCTTTCACCTTTAATCAAGAAGTACATTTACTGATATCTTCTAATTCTTAGGAGGCAATGATTCTTCGCCATACTATTGGGTGCCCGCTAACACAAAACCACAATAAAACCCAAACTGGAGATTTTTTGGTTCGCTTCATCAGTGTCTGCGAGTCGCTAGAAGTAAGTGAATGACAAAATTTCTTATAAGGTATGCTAGCTCATCCGTTTACCTAGAAGTCCCAGAACATCTGCAAGCACATCCTGGACCCGATCTACGTCGAAACCTTCATTGATGACCCCGAGGGCGCGCTCAAGCGGGTCAAATCCAACAAAAAAGTGAATAAGAGAAAGTCAAGTCAAATTGCCCTTGGCCGAAGTATGCAACAGCGTACCATAGGGGAGAAGAAATAGGTACTCATTTCATTCGACCAAAATATAAAGCTCTCAAACACCAAAAAATGATGATGAACCGTGCTGGGATCAGACATTGGAAGAAAAGCAGAAACGAAAAGAGGAGATGTCACACATAATTTGGAGAAATTGACAATCTATTTAACTAGCAATGCTATGGAATGAATCATCATAGGGGGTCAAGATCTTGTAATCTAGCGAAGGAATAATTGCTCTCAAAAGATCATCACATCATAATCTATCATAATTCATATAATTGACCCATCTTGTAGTTCGATATCCAGGAAACAAGAAGATCGTTGATCTATAATTAGCTGTAACTGAAATTTTCCAGACATCATCATCATTTTGATATCACTTTAAAGGCCTTGTCTGTACTATTTCTATTCACCTAAGTCACCTCAATATCTAAAACTACCTAGGTATATGTCCAAAACAAAACAAATTCAAAGTCTTATTAAATGATAATCTCTAATACAACTAATACCAGCGAGACTATATTCAATTAATCTCACTCTTAATACCCAAGCTGCTCAATTTCAAGTCCAGTTCATTATATGTTGGCTAATATTTCGCTTTACTATTTCTTCCACGATATGACATGAGATCATTCTCAGCTCTGTTCCAACTCCTTCCTTTTATATCCCAATTTATCGCCGAAGGTCTCTCATCTACACTAATTCGACGTTTATTATCTCCTAATTTCGTTCACTTGATTAACAATCCAAGTGAGTTATTAATCTTTTTTCTTTAATTATTCATCTTCTCGTCCTGGTGTCTAGAGCTTGTCATCTTATCAAATCTCCTTATTGAATTCTTCCCTCTCCCATCAACCACGCTATCTGGCCATGAAAATGGAGAACTACGAGCGGGAATTTCACAAATACTGAAGTTGTGCCTCAGGCTATGGATTTCTCCAAAATCGACGAAAATGACCTTAGCGACATCAACCCAGAGGGCCATCACCTAGTCGACCGCATGAATTGGGATAAATAGGACAACCTTCATGAATCTCAGAAATTTTCCACCGTCGCTGGATCAAATGCTTCTGTAGGAAAATTCTATTTTCCTGAAAATTCAAGCAGCCCCGTGAACATCGATGTTTGGATCTCTGGAATGACCAATATTGATCTCTCTTCTTCGCCTATCTTCGTCATTATTATAATAATAGCCTGCTTTAACCTTGACGTCCTTCTCACTTCTGGATATAACCAGGCTGTTGATACGATCTTGCATGCCTTCTTTGCCGCTGTGTGCTCAGAGAGGTGCGTGTATTGTCGATTCCGTACACCCGGGACGTTGCCCGACCTTTCAATGCGACGGAGCAACCCACTTGGGACTGCGTTGACCGCACATTCGAACAGACCTTTAGCAAGCCTCATACCATTCTGGAAGAACTTGTGACTTGAATGGAGGTGGACGAGGGGGAAGGTTAGCCTGAGGGCAAACAAGTGGTAGAAGAGAGTTCCAAAAGAGAAAGGGGTCGCTACAAAAGTCACTGATCTGGAAGAGAAAGAATTTAGTATGAATGATATTCTTTGCTCATTTTTAAGCCTTGTTTTTAGCTCCTTGTATTATTATGATAATAAATAGCCAAATAGCCAAATATCCAAACAGCTTTCATCTTGTGATGGTAAAATTTCAAGAATCTTGAATTTATCCTGATCAAGTCAAATAATTAGCCCTCTGATTCAAAGGGTCTTTTCAGCCTTTATCAAGGCTCCCAACGTCCGCTCCAACCGTGTATACGGTTGAAAGAACCCTTCTACTAGTATCTGATGAGTCTCTTGATGCAAATCTAGAGCATCGCTTTGGGGAAATTCTTCATCGCTTGACGCACGCCCAAGTCTGCCAAAATCTCCTCGGTCCCGCCCAGAATAGCATCAAATTTGTACGTGCGATGGAACATCTCCACGACTTTGCCCATACCACTTTGTGTTAGGCCACGGCCGCCAAAGATATTTGTGGCATGGTCGGCAATCTCCTGTGCAGCCCGTGTCGCATGAGACTTGAGGAGACCGATTGGCCCACCCAAGTGTGCTGATTGCTCAGCATAGCTCATATTGCACATCTGGTATGCAATGGATTCGAGCCAGGCCTGGTTGGATTCAGAGAGAGATATCATCCGAGCAAGTCTGGTGTTTCCAATGTGTTAATATTGGTTCTCAAATAAAAGCAACGGGCAAAAATACTCACTTCTGACGAATGACTGGCTGTTCAACCAGCCTTTTATTGAAAACAATGCGCTGGTTGCACCATTTCAAGCACTCCTCTACAATGGTCATCGACATTCGCACTACTGCGGCGACCATCATGAATCGCTCGTGGTTGAAGTTGCTCATGATCACGATGAAGCCTTTGTTTTCTTCGCCAAGTAAGTTGCCAACGGGAACCTTCACATTCTCAAATTGGACAAAGGCAGTTGCGGCAGCTGTGGAGTAGGATGTCTTAATCTGCTTGGTCTCAACGCCCTCACCACGAGGAATCAAAAGAACCGTAAAGCCTTTCTCGGTTTTACACCCTGTCACAAAGTAGTCGGCAAACATCCCGTTCGTAATCCATTTTCTGGTAGTTGAGTATCAGTCTACGCGTTAAGAAGAGCAAAAGCTAGCATGAAAACTCACTTGGTTCCATTGACAATGTAGTATTTCCCATCCGGTGTTTTCTGGGCCGTAGTCTTAAGTCCTGCGACATCACTGCCCGCAAAGGCCTCAGTGATGGCTAAGCACGATTTCTTCTGTCCAGATAAGACCTCGGCAGTCACTCGCTCCTTGAGAACAGGATCTCGCAGCCACTGCTGTACCGCCGTAAGACTGATAGCCATACCTGCCATGTTGCCATCTTGGAACCCTTTTATATAGTCAATATACCTCGCCTCGATTCTAGATTGGAAGATTAGACAGACCTCGAGCATTAGCCCGAACCAATTCCTGAGTAACAATCATATCATGTAGATAATCAAAATCCTTGCCATCAACCACGCCACCTAAAAGTGAAAGATTGTGTAGATGCTTACCAGGTCCAAGACGCATGGCTAACACATTTGTCTCAGCCATGTGGTTGATCAGCTCCTGGCTAATGTAGGTGCCATCCTTCTCCTTCTCCTGAGCCTCAGGCGTGACATATTTATCCGTAAATTCACGAATAGCTTTTTGTAAAATCCGATGACTTTCCTTATAATACGGGCTCTTGAACTGAGGGCGTAACCATAGAGGTTCAGCGTATGGAACTGGACTTAGCGCTCCGGGCGTTGGATCAATGACCTCAGGGTTCTCGCCCTCGATTATCCCAATACAAAGCTGCTCACGGTACTTCTCAAGTATTTCCTGGCGATGCAAGTTGTAGAAATCGGCTGTAGCATCTTGACCAGCAACCTGAGCAAGAACAACAGACCCGCCCGGATGAGCATCAACAAAGTCTGTCAGATCGTAGACGCGATGATCGATTATGCACCAGAGTGAATCTTCAGTGTCGTGTTTAGCAACCTCAGCGCGAGTCAGCATATGTGATGACATGGTTGAAGTAATCACGCGGATCGAAAAGTAGTGAATAGTGAAAGCAGTGACAGCCCTAGGGATAAAGTTGTGGTACCCCAGATTCTAGCCAATGATGATCCACGTCATATTCAGCCGAGGTCCGAGGACTCGCCGTCGACATGTGAATTTATATGTTCATAATACGTACATAGCTTCAATATTATCTTAGTTGATTAGAATAATATGCCAAACCTTAGAATTGGACGAAGTAAATCTGTGTGTGGTTTATATTGATGAGATATAGAATACTGCATGTTCTTACTAGGACGACTGAAGGGGTTATCTATATCAGGGAGATGAGCTGTAATGGGGGAGTTCGTGAACTTTAGGTAAGAAAAAGTCTGTACTGACCGTAAGCTGGACTATCTACAGCATATATGTGCTTTCAGCCCTGAAGAGTAATATATAGAGCTGGTGGATACATCACGGGACTGATAGCCGATAAGCCCCACGCTCTTATCGCCAAACCTATTTGTCCCGCAACACACCATAATTAGACAACCATTCAGCATGGCTTCAAGCACTGGGTTAGTCTAGTGAACTGCCTTGATTGTATCCCAATGTATCATCATTAACTCTATTGCAGTCTTCCCCGTATCCGGGCCTGTCTTTTCGACATGGACGGCCTCCTAATTGACTCCGAGGACAAATACACACAGATCACAAACGAGGTTCTGCAGATGTACGGCAAGCCAATGCTTCCTTGGTCAATCAAAGCACAGCTTCAAGGGCGCCCACAACCTGAGGTAAGTGACCTAGTTCGATCAATAGCCGAGGTGACCCAATGTTTACACGCTATTCAGGCCAGCAAGATCTTCCACGAGTGGGCTCAACTCCCCATTTCACCCGAGGAGACTGCTGTCAAGCAAGACGCCTTGCGAGAAAAGTACTTCCCGCAATCCCAGACTCTTCCAGGAGTCCCTGAGCTGTTAGCTAACCTTGTCGCGACTCGGTCTACTGATCACCCTGTGCACATCGCGCTGGCATCTTCCTCGAACGGCAAGAACTTCAAATTGAAAACAGACCATCTGAAAGAATTGTTCACTGCTTTCCCTCAAGTCAACCGTGTTCTTGGAGATGACCCGCGCATCGAGAAGGGAAGGGGCAAGCCTCTTCCTGATATCTATCTTCTGGCGCTGAAAACCATCAATGATGAGTTGCGTAGCAAGGGCGAAACAGAGATCAAGCCAGAGGAGTGTCTTGTCTTTGAAGATGCTGTTCCAGGAGTGGAGGCTGGTCGCCGTGCAGGAATGCAGGTCGTTTGGGTTCCACACCCTGGTCTTTGGGATACCTACAAGGACCAGGAAGAAGAGGTTCTCGCTGGTCGGACTGGTGCCCACAAAGAGGACGGAAAGACGGAATCAGGGGCAGTGGGGAGTCTTGGTGATGGATGGGGCCAGCGTTTGACCTCGTTGGAGGATTTCCCGTACTCGCGCTATGGGATTCAGATCTGAGTGATACCTTTCTGACAATCTCTCTCTGTAAATATTGTATATTTTAGAGCTGTGCGCTAGTTAGAATTAGAGTAATCCAGATATCCGGTCTACTAGCTATGAAGGATACGTTTATTAAACTTCCAGACTTGAGAACCTTGGAAACATTCCATGACTTAACTAGGTAGAATTGGACTATCAATTTAATGATTTGCCTGGGTAATCTATTTCTTAGCCATTTTGTAGTCAGTTGGACTAGACATGGGCAGGTTTTGAGCGATAACTTGTCAGATAAAACGTTACTCTGATGTAAATAGACAGTTCTTATTGGTTGATTTGGTAATTTGAGACTAATAACTATTTACACTCTATTTTTGTGCCCTAATTCATCGAATATTTATGAATCTGACCTCTCTTTATGAGGACCTATGGGACATAGTCTGAGCGTTTCTGCCCAAAAGTCGTCACTGATAAGAGTAGATAAGCTTAAACTCACGGGATCAAAGTTGATCCGTGTTGACTTACGTAGGTGAAATACTACCTAGTTTGAGGCTGAGCAAGACACATTTAAACACCTTGCCATTCTTTTAAAACCCTTGAGTTCAGTTCCTTACATCTCAAAATGCCAGGTGAAGATGCGCTGAGCTTGGACCACGTCCTTAGTGTCGCGGCCAATGCACTCCACAATGAGCAGCCGAGTCTCAAAACATCCTATGAAGCCGTGGCTTTGATCGGTCATGCCTGTATGACAGCTGTCGACTTTAGGCTAGTGGGACTCGGAGAAGACCACACCTTAGGTATGGATCTTCCTGGTACTCTCTCTTGACTCTACTGATTGCTAACTTGTAATAGAATCAGCTACAGAGATTCCCACCCTCCCCGCAGAATGGAATGCTAACGATACCTTTGCCTTTCGATATGCCCACACACAGTCTTCGATGGAATATCTGCTCAAAGTGAGTCGACTTGGAAATAATGCTGTGGTATTTGCACTGGCTCTGGGAGATGACCGCACAAGCTCATTCGATCTCCCCGTGAAAGACTATATCTCCCCGTCCGCGCTCCCAGTGTCAGCTCCAGAGAGCATTGCCAGCGCACTGCAGGATGTTTTTATCTCACGAGCCCGACTATCTGATTTGATCGGATTACTCAAAATCAACGTGATCCAGAAGCTTGCACCCGGTCTATACAAGGAAGGTTATGAAGACCCAAGCCAAAATTATCGAGAGCAACCTGAGTATAGACGCACACAGGACCCTCTTCATGATGACGGCCTTCCGCAGCCTGCCCGGCCTCACCCATACGATGACCCGTTGGAAGTTGCGCCACGCAGGCCAACAGTGGACTTCCCCGCGCCTGGGTTTGAAAACGAGTTTGAGATCAATCGTCCCCCGCGTGCATACCCTCCAGGTTTTCAAGGGGGCTTTAATATCGGGGAAAGAGATCTTTACCCCGCAGGAATGGGTCCTCGTGATCCGCTCAGAGGCACAATGGGACCTGGATCCAGTGGTGGTATGCATCCAACCTTTGACGATCCTCTCTTTGCTGGACACGGTGGCAGTGGTGGCTATGACCCACGTGCACCACCCGGTGCCAGATATGACCCTGTTATGCCTGGCGAACCTCCTGTTGGTCGCAACCGAGGACATTTCGGCCCTGGAGCGGGGAGAGGCCTTGATGGGCTTGGTGACCGGTTTGGGGGTGGCCCGGGTGGGTTTAACGGAGGCGGCGGCTTTGGAGGTGGGTTCGGCGGTGACATTATCTAGCTAGCTAGAAAGTGACGATCATCAGTAGCTTGAAATGGGAATGACAATTATGATTATGAAATTCACAATGACACTTAGCAATGGAGTTGGAGTTTGCATCTGTATACATCGAACGAATCTGGTGGGATTACCTTCCCAAGCTACCCAAGTACTCTACATAAATGGTAATGGGATCAGAAGAAATAGATTTGAATTGAAAATCTATCAAACATTTCAAAATTAGATTGTCTGGAGCACAAAAACAAGCACATTGTTCAAAGAAACAAAACGTCTCGACGTAAGAGAAAGCGGTGTGGCTAGTGATTGTGGCGTAAAGATTCACCTCCAAACTTGACCTTCCCGCATCGCCCTCTTCTCCCTTTCCTTGTCCTCTCCTACTCAAGTCATTCCCATCCCCAATCCTCATCCTTTCTCGTTTTGAGGGAATTTTACACTGAATTGTCTTTTTCGTTTTAATCTTCCCATTTGCATCGCCCCCCGATCCCCACTCTCTGCCCGGTACCTCTTTTTCTCACAAGACCACCCCTCCCCCCAGCTGGCCCCTCCTATTTCCAGCCAGCTGTGCCCACCATGGATAACAACATGGAAATTGACACTGCGCGTTCGCCTGAGCCACACCACCTGTCGCCAACAAGCGATCCTGGTTCCATACCAACTTTGGATGGCTGGATCGAAAGTTTGATGACGTGCAAGCAATTAGCGGAGGAGGACGTGCGGCGGCTGTGCGATCGGGTGCGTTGCTTTTACGACACCAAGCATGATCCGAACGGAACTGATGGTTTTTCTAGGCCCGAGAAGTATTGCAGGAGGAGTCAAATGTTCAGCCAGTGGTAGGTCTTTGCGGAGTGCTCCGGTCGGGTTAGGTCCCACTCATATCACTAACGATCTAACCCCAGAAATGCCCGGTCACGGTTTGCGGTGACATACACGGCCAGTTTCACGACCTAATGGAGCTTTTCCGCATCGGCGGTCCCAATCCCGACACAAACTACCTTTTCATGGGTAAGTGATCTCATACCTCGCTGTTAATTGCAGTTGTGGGGCGGAGTAAACATAGATACATCGCGCCCTGATGTTTAAGCCCCTCAAATGTTAATATCAATCTTTGCTTCACAGGTGACTATGTCGACCGAGGTTATTACTCCGTCGAGACCGTGACCCTCCTGGTCTGCCTGAAGATCCGTTACCCACAGCGTCTCACTATCCTCCGTGGAAACCACGAATCTCGTCAGATCACCCAGGTGTACGGCTTCTACGACGAGTGTCTTCGTAAATATGGTAACGCCAACGTGTGGAAATATTTCACAGACCTTTTCGACTACCTCCCTCTCACTGCACTCATTGAAAACCAGATCTTCTGTCTTCACGGTGGTCTGAGCCCGTCCATTGACACCCTGGACAACATCCGATCCCTGGACCGCATTCAAGAAGTTCCCCATGAGGGGCCCATGTGTGATTTGCTTTGGAGTGATCCAGATGATCGCTGCGGATGGGGAATTTCTCCTCGTGGTGCGGGATACACATTCGGACAAGACATTTCTGAAGCATTCAACCACAACAACGGCTTGACTCTGGTGGCTCGTGCGCATCAATTGGTCATGGAGGGTTATAACTGGTCACAGGATAGGAACGTGGTGACCATTTTCTCGGGTATGAATGCGTACAGCTTTGACACAATTCTAGGTTGGAAAACTGACTATCATTACAGCACCGAATTACTGTTACCGCTGTGGCAACCAGGCCGCCATTATGGAGATTGATGAGCATTTGAAGTACACATTGTACGTATTCCTCCGGTCTCATTCGGTTGAACACCATGCTAACGTGGGTCTAGTCTACAATTCGACCCCTGCCCCCGGGCAGGAGAACCGATGGTTTCGCGACGCACACCCGACTATTTCCTGTGATAGATCTTATGCTTGTGCTTTTGGGGGTTACTGGGTTAGCGGAGGAAGGGGGGTTGTGTACGAACGCGGCCCTCACTGCCTACTTAATTCTTCATGGTTCGACGCCTGGCTGTCTGTTGATACCACTCATGAAAATAAAAGACCCCTGTGCGAGAATCTTAATTTATTCCTTCGAGAGATGATTTACAGGGTTGATCAGTGAACTGAGCATTCAGGGCTGCTCAATACCCAAACTTACGGTAGAAGATTACCCTTCGAGCTAAAGCAGGATATTTTGATCATTCAGTTCAATAAGATATGCCATTAGGTAAAAATCAAATACTGTCAGTAAATAACAGGAAAACATTCATCTAAAGCAATCTGCTTATAGATATAGGGTATATGCAGAAGCCACATAATGCATAGAGTGTCCAAAAAGTCAACCACCATAATCTAAACGAAATCCTTCTCCTCCATCTTCTCTTCTACCATATCATAAGTTCGTCGTTGTGAGCTCCCATCCGGTACATGGAATCGCTTATCAGCCCGACCAAACAGGTAAAGTCCAACAGCCGAGCCATCCATGCCAAAGTTGAAAACATAGAAGCAAGCCTTGTGGAAGTACCAGGGCGGATTCGTAGCGAGCGTCGTTGGCATCATGGCAGTACCAGTGCGCCAGCCAGCACCAAGAGTCAAAAGAACAGACACAGCGAGGATGATGCCAGTCTTAACCTTCCAGGACCCAGTACCGAACTGCTCAGCCTTGGCACCACGCCCAGAAAACAAGACCGTCAACACAATTGGCAGAGGAAGGAACGCAATAACAAGGAAGTAGGTCATGCCATAGATCTCAATATCGCGATCGATACGATGCGTATTCGCATTGAGGGAATAAGCGCTCTGAATAATGCAGGTGATGAGCATAATTATAGAGATTATGACAAGGCCGTACATCGCTTTGAACGCGGTAGAAACTGCTCGCGTCCATCCTATCCGCGGGAACGCAGCACGGAGAACACGCTGTGCGAAGATTAGGTTGATAATCATGATGATCAGCACACCGGCGTTGACGAAGATCTGTGCTGCGATGGCTATGCGGGCGTTCGTCGGGTAGCATGCCCATGTTTCTCGGAGGATGTTCGCTATTACCCGCGAGAAACAGAATCCAAATGAGGCGCCTGATGCGATGAACTTGTGTCCGCGCGCTAAGTTTATTTGGAATATACTCATGTGGCCTGCGCCTATGGCAGCGAAGATGGCTATGAAGATGGCGCAGGCGATGATGTCCGCTGGCATGGAGGGACGCCCGCCTAACGAGGCGGCTGGAGATTCATAGGGACCTCCCATTTGAGATGTTATCTTGATATTGATGTAGATAAATCTTGGACTGAGATCAGGTAAGGGCGAGAGGGGTGTCAAATTACAAAGATAGTTCAATGTTATTTGTACTCCGTATATAAAGTTAGGAGGCTATAACTGTGAGGGCTGAATAGTCCTCGAGAGTGTTCGCATAGATGAGCTCGAAATGAACTCCGGCCAAGTGGCTTTTCCATGCAGTATTAATAGCATTTTAGCGGTTTTCGAAAATGCCGAAAAAGATAGATGCCTTTGTTGCGGAAGACCGAAAGCGCGAGTTCGAGGTAAGGTTGTCGGCATTCGGCTTATATTGTACACCGATAGGCCGACGCCAAGATACGACCTTCAGTACATTTACAGTTGTGATCTCTGATTATATACTTATGAACTAGGTTTAAATGGACCCCAGATTTCAGGAAGCTTGGGAGTTACTACCTCGTGATCTCAGGGAAAAAAAATAGGGGCTAAGTACATAAATTGCAGATATTGAGAGGAAGATTTTTGACTTCTATTTTCTGCGTATGGAAGCTTATATCACAAGAAGGACCTTGACGGGGAAACTCAGATATCAATCGTGGAGGATTTAGGATTTCTGTATTGGCCCTGTGTCTGCTCGGCAATTTTGGCATGGCGAACGAAGTAAAATGGGAATAGATCGTGAACCCTGTATGTTCCGCCCGTTCTCAATATACTGCGAGTCCGAGATCGACCTCAGGACCCCAAGATAATTGTCGTTGAGATCAATAGCCCATACCATCAATCCTGATAGGCCCATTTTGTTGGCGTAGTCGATCTTTTGCTTGAATGTTCCCGAGTCATCGAACGAGATCCAGTTGTCATTGATGTAGATCATATATTTGACCGCGGCTTTTTCATATAGATAGGCAGTGCCGCCAGCGTCATCAATGATTTCTTGGATATCTAGATAAGAAAGAATACCCGCAGTATCTGTGCATTTTTCTTTCGCACCAGAACCGCTGAACGCACAACCTGGCTTCTAGCATGATGTATCGGAGAGCTCGAAAGAACGCCCGTAGAAGCCCAATCCAAGTACAATTGCAGAAGGATCAACCTCTACACGCCAGAAGAGGTCCAAGACAAGATCAATCTCGGTAAGGGTTGTATGAGCAAGGATTTGGTTACCGATGGGATTGTCACTATCTCATAGTCCGTGTAGATCATAGGCCATCAAGTTAATCCAATCAACGTAGTCGGTCATTGCCTTGAGATCAAAGTGACGGAGGTACCAGTATGATGTAGGAACAGTGAAAGTCACGATGTATTTTTTGCCGCCAGCATTAATGGCAGCACGCAGCTCTTTCAGAAATGCGGTATAGTTCACGCCATCTGAATCAGATCCGCCACGGTTATCAGCGCCTGGGTACTCCCAGTCGAAGTCGACGCCATTATCATACTCGGATAGAAACCCAAGAAGATTTTGAATGAACGTAGCACGGTTGGTCTCACTGGACACCATATCGAGAAAACACTCTACCATGTGCTAGGATCGTTGAAGCTCCAGCCACCAATGGCAATCATGATCTTCAGAGAAGGATTGTGTGCAGACAATCCATGTTTGTTAGTTGATAGTTGTAGTTAGTGCCAAAATGCTCGGGTTTTCTTCCAAGGGTTTCTATACTCCACTCAGCCAGATCATCTCCACAGAAATCATCTTCGAATTCATTATATTCAAATCAGGCAGGAGGTGCGGATGGCTCTGAAGTGCGAGGTAGGCATAGCTTGCCTTACTCTTCCAAGGTTCCAATTCAAGCTTAAAACATACATCTAATCTTCCCGCACTTGGCATTTTCTTAGCGAAGGGAAATCAACTTTCGGATTCAGTCTTCAACACGTCGATGAGCATAAATTGACGAGAAAAATATCCAATTTGAGCACGAACTCCGATACTGTAGCCGAAGTGGGTAAGTGGTTCCAAGATTGATCTACAAAGTACAAAAGAAAAGCAACGCTAAGAGATGGAGCTTAAGCCGCGCTAAACTCGATCCGTTTATTTTGTCTCACACTAAAACTTTCCGGACCCTTAACACCTGTACATCCATAATGATTGTTTATCTAGCTTCTGAGCAGAGATCGACGATCTTTTACCTAAAGAAATATAAAAAGACCCCGTACATGCAATCTCCGGCTGGCTTAGTAGCCATTCGGCTTCAACTACGGATTTCGCTTCCGAATCCAGGTATAATTAAAATATAAACTTCATGGGACAGGGTTTTGGGAGCCCTGTGTATGCAAAGTATGTGATACTAGATGATACAATAGTCTCATTCACTAAACGGAGGAATTACAAGCTGTAACAATAGAACGAGCTAGTAGAATAGAGGCTGGCACAAGCTCTTAGATGGCCAGCGATTCAAGATATTACTAGTAGCTCAAGTCTTCCACCCAAGATCTCAATCTTTCCTTTCCTTTGACCCTGGCTTTTGCTTTGTCCACAGGTTGTCTTGCCATTCCTTTCTTCTCAAGTACGCTCTTTTCTTCAATCAGAGAATCAGACAATCATAAAGAGCCTTATCTTTACATTCTTTTGCTCCGCCATTGCGTAGGCGTCCCTTGATGTACTTCCTCGAGCAAGTTCAAACTGCACGACTTATATTGTTCAAAGTGGAGATACTTGCACTGGAATTGGGCAGTCACAAGATGTCACTTGGGCTCAGCTTATTTCCTGGAACTCTGGAATCAATTCCGTCTGCTCGTATGTGAAAACTCCCAAAATAGGACTATTCTTTGCTTAATTCTAGAAATATAGCAACCTTGCAAGTCTAATCAATACTACCATCTGTGTGACCAATCCAATAGGAAGCTTTGCTCTCAGTGGCATGACTACTATTGTGACTACTACGGCGTAAATCTTACCATGGAATATTTCTTCATTCAAATGTTGTTTGTACTAATAAATCCAGTTCTATTCTGTCACCCACTGGAGAGGGCACCAAATCCCGCTGTGCCGAGTATTATAAGGCTGGCAAGGATGAGACCTGCACAACCATGGCTGATAAATTTAGCATTTCTCGAAGCGATCTGTGAGGTTTTAATTTGGCTGCCGGAGGAGAGACATAGAGCTAATATTTACAGACTTTTCTTAAATCCTGAGCTCTTTTTGAACTGCACAAATTTATTGGCTGACACATATTATTGCGTGGAGCCTGTAGGGTATGGAGTGTCATCTACTCCAACCGCGACCTTTGACGAAACTCCTTCAACTTCCTTACCTAGGAACAAACCTGCTCGTGTGTGGCCAACCGGGTCAAGTCCAATTATCCCACTTGCAAATGGAACCCGCACAGACTGCGTGGGGTAAGATACTGAGTTTATCTTACTAGTACCACAAAGGCTGACCATCATTCAAGATACACGTGGTTTCCAAACATTACCGACAACACAGCTACCAACTGTTGGAATCAGGCTTGGCTGTGGAGTGTTTCAAATGAGGTTTGTTTCCTTAACTCTCTTCTCTAAGTTGGGCCCACGTGCTAATAGTTACATCTAAATAAATAGGAGATAATCCTATGGAACCCCTCTCTGGCCCAGACCTCCAATTCCTCCATGTCCTCCACCTCAGCGACTACTACTAGCTCGGACTTTGTGATATACCCATGCACCTTGCAGCCCAGTAGTTCTTACTGCGTCCAACTTTCAACTCCTACCTCTACTAGTAAGTCTTCTCAATAGACTTTATAAAGGTCTAAACTAACGCCAGAATTCCTCTTTAAAGGCAGTAGTAGTGTGGTCAGCACACCCATTCCTCGCGCCAATGGTGAAATTGCCAATTGCACCAAATGGTACGCACCAAGAAATAAGTACGACACATGCTTTAGCGTACTCCATTCGCAGGAGGTTTAGATTGCTGAGTTCTATGCCATGAACCGTCGGTAAAGAGTGACTTTAGCGGGATGAGCATTGGCACATACTATTGTGTTTCGACATATGAGGGTGGCTACCCAGTGGGCTTCCCAGGCTTCGTATCAGTCTCGAGTAGTCCTATCAGCAGTACCCCAGTAGCTAATTCAACATCCGTGAGAACTGGTTTTTCAACACCATCTCCCATTCAAACAGGCATGGTTTCTACCTGCGACAAGTTCCACAAGGTCATTGCGGACGACTCGTGCTACGATATTGCCAACGACAACGGAATATCCTTATCATCCTTTTATGCCTGGAATCCAGCGGTGAAAACGGACTGCTCTGGCCTACAGGCAAATAAGTACGTCTGCATCGGTGTCAAGTCCAGCTCAACTACTGCCGGGTCTTCAACTATCACTGGGTCCACAACCACCACTATGTCCGGAATCAAAACGCCATCTTCCATTCAGACAGGCATGGCTTCTAACTGTGATGCGTTCTACGAGGTTGTTACCGATGACTCGTGATACGATATTGCCAATGATCACGGAGTCTCATTGTCCAACTTTTACGCTTGGAATCCAGCGGTGAACACGGACTGTTCTGGGTTGCAGGCAAATGAGTACGTCTGCGTTGGCGTGAAATCCACCACCACTGGCGTCACAACGGCAGACCCCATTCAAACAGGCATGGTTTCTACATGTGACAAGTTTTACAAAGTTGTTGCAGATGATTCATGCGTTGATATCGCAAATGAATACGGCATCTCAACGTCCTCTTTCTACGCCTGGAACCCAGCGGTCAAGACCGACTGCTCCGGTCTGCAAGCGGACGAGTATATTTGCGTTGCTGTGGCTTAACTGCGTAGGCGTCGTCTCAGCTGCTCAAAGATGACACTGCAAAATATTACTTTCTGTACTTGACAGCTGTTTCATATTCTCATAGTGAGTTCAAAAATAGGTCACTGTTAGAAGGAAGAAATTGAAGTTATTAGAAAGTAACCGTGTTTCTTTTGATCCAAATATCTATTATTACCAAGGTTTAGAAATTCCCAATTTCTGAAGCTCCGGCATACCGACGTGTGGTTGAGTATATTCAGGTTCGAAAATATCATACAAAGTACCTATTCCTAACTTGGGGAAGTTAAGTAAAGATACTTGTGTTGGAATTTCACCAGAGTCATAGAGAAAGTTCGTTACCTCATCCGTGAGAAGAGAAAACCTCCCAGGCTGCATCTGATCAATCTCCATGGTGATTCTCACGACCGGTCTTAGTGATCGACCGCGCTTAATCTAATCAAGCTCATCTTGCATCCGCTCTAACAGCTCAGACCAGTCTCCTTCATCGTTAGGAAACCCAAGGGATCCTAGCTCGATAGAGCGTAGTGAAGATGAAGCCGAACTAAGCAGATCAATTAAGTCTGACGTTTTGACGCCAAAATTAGAAAGACCAAAATGATAGAGATTTGGCCATTGCTGGACAGGGAGAATGTCTTTCAAAGGAAGAACTGGGTCCCCATTTGAATCGTCTAATGCTACTGTCAAATGGATGTGAGTCAGTTCCTTCGCCAAGCTAATAGCCTCGTAGAAGCATCCGCTGGTGAAACCTTCATAGTCATAGACCCCGTTGTATCCAACCAGGAAGGATAGGTGAAGGTGACGAAAGCCTGGGCGTTTCATGATGGCTGCGAAACAGTTGTACTCTTCACACGGCTGGGCAAAAATCATGTAGTTTATCCTAGTGGCGAGTTGTTTTGAATCGAAGCATAGTTCAGAAACCTTATGGTCCTCGATCGCTGATAGAACGCAAAGGACAATTCTGGCCCCTCTCCACAACTCCTTATACTCTTCTTTTGCCTCTGACCACACTAAAGGGTTGACAACTAATACTTCACTCGGAGAAGTTTGCCATCCCCGTGGAATGGGATAGTTGAAGCCATAAGGAAATGCTCGGATCGTAGGTGTTTGATATAGTGGAGAGAAAGTGCGGCCATGCGCTGCAGGCGTAACAGTCACTCGTCTCAGCTGTGGGAATCGCTCTAAGCCATAAACGAAGGCTTTTCATCATCCCGAGATTCAATCACCGCTTGCTGGTCATTGAGAACTTGCGAATAGTACTTCCAGCAGTCCTTTAGAGGCATCTGTGCATCCGCCTGCTGCTGGCGAGCCATATGGTCGGCCTGTCCACGTCGCGGGATTTCCGCTGTTTCATATTGGGGATGTTGTTTTTGCATTTCTACAAGAACCACTTAGGACATCCTTCTTCGTCGTTGATTTGCAAGTCCCTGCGATCGATGTACGGTTTATAATCCTCCCAGGACACTGGAGCCGAAACAAAACGCGCGTCGTCCCAAATAGTTTCGGTGACCTGCTTTCTGAAGACTGGATGATTCGCTACAGAGCGCAAAACCTTGATATCCAGCGAATTGGCTGAAAGAAACACGCGCGAGAATGACAGTGGCATCGTCTCGCCTAGTAGTTTGCTTGCCAAGCGCAAGGATTTGAGATCTCGATTTGGCAAAAATGATGCGACCAACAACAAAATCTCAGCAGGTAATTGAAGAAGCCCGGGACTTATTGTCAATGGGGGCTGACGTTCAGGGCTTTGTGCAGCCATTGTAAGATTGTATTTTTGGCGGAGTGAAAATGATAAAGTGCGGGCGCTCTCTTGAACATTTTGAACCTTACGTATGTACCGTGACACTCCATACGAAAACTTGGAAGTATCCACTTCAATAATACATGCGTATTGAATCAGGGATTCAGGGTCTCTTAGATTACCAACTCACATTTCTACATCTTTCAAGGTTTATCAGCTAACTGCCACTTTCCTAACTAGATCCATTACAGGAAGTAATTAGTGCACCTGTACATTAATTCTACAACTGAAGATGTCTGATTAGGCCCGGAAAAGTCTCTTAACGCCGTCTGGACTTAATCGGTGTTAAGAGAGTTGAAAACCCCCCTCATAGTCCTTGCTATAAAAGCCATTAGATAAAACAGCAAAAAGCAATCAGATTGACCAAGAACATTTATTCTACTCCAAAATGGAATCCTATTCCCTACCTGCAACTCTATCACCGCCCCTTGACGATCGAAGCGCCATAACTGACGCACTGTATCGCTGCATCCTCGGCCTCGATACGAACGACAGTAAACTCTTCGATTCAGCTTTTGCTCTAGACGCCAGCTTTAGCATAAATGGCCGTGTCTCGCAGGGTCTACCTGCCATCCATACCGATTGCTTCGACCTGATCTCCAAGCTGGACACAACCCATTTTGTCACGAACATCCGCATCAATATTGAGGGAGACAAGGCTACTTTGACAGCGTCTGCACTTGCGCAACACTTTCCCGGTAGTAAGGGGATGGCACCTGATCAGAGTCGTCTTTTGACTGGTAGTCTTTACTGGGCAGAATTGGTGAAAGATGGTGCTGATGGCTTATGGAAGATTGAAGCTGTTAATATGAAGTCTAAATGGGTGGAGGGTGATTGGGCAGTTCTGGCTGGCAACTAGGATGAGATTGGATTGGAAAATGGAGACAAGGTTTCATATTAATCAATCTGTTTCGCTAGAGAACAAGTACAAAAGGGATCCGAAATTGATCCCCCTATATATAATAGCAGCCGCTGATAATTCACTCAACCCACAGTTGGGTATCTTCAAGCTCATATTTAAGCGATAGTAAGACCCCTCGCCTTTGCAGCTAGGAGTCTTTCAACTTCCTCTGCATGCTCGGAGAAGTGATTTACCAAGCTGTCCCACATCTTAGGCTCATGCTCGTGCTTCTTCTTGCTGTTCCATGCGTAATCAGTAATGGTGAATGGTCGACTAGACTCGAACATGATGGCGATTGAGGCCTCGGAGATTTGCATCACTGGCTGTGCGGTTTCAGACGCCGCCTTGAATTCCTCGTAAGCGACACCGTGAGGAACCACTGTTTATTTGTGAGCTTGGGAACAAAAGAGGGGGAAGAGATTGGAGTTTGGGAGCTTACTTCCGCATTCGAATGACACACTGCCGGGTTTAAAGGCATCTGACCGACCGCCATAATCGCCGTAGACCAGACCCATCAGCTCTGAGGCAACATTTCGGTGGTAGTATGGAGGACGGTAGGTGTCTTATACGCGTGTTAGGTTGAGAGTTTTTTTGTGTTGAGTTTTGAGCACTTACGTGAGGAAACATCCCATCGCGGAGAGAAGATGAGAAAATCCGCCAATGGAGCTGTCACGTCACGAGACTTCGCTGTAAGAACGCAAAAGATTGAGGGATCGATGTGATCGACAGAGATAGAGCCGATGTTGACGAACTTGGTCATATCATATTTATATGGAACCTGGAAAGCAAGTTAGCGACAAAAGATTCCACGGGCTAAGATAAAAGGCGTACATAGTTTCCGTGCCAGGCAACCACATCAAATGGATTGTGGCCCTGGGTGCTCTTGAAGAACTTGCCACCGAGCTTATAGACGATCTCCCAATCTTCCTTGGCGATTTCATAATGAGCGTTGGGAGTCAAAAAGTCTCGGGCATTAGCCAAACCATTAGCACCGATAGGACCCAATTCAGGAAGCTCGAAGTAGCTACCCCAGACTTCAAGGATGTATCCACGGGAGGGGCCATCGGGTAATTCAACACGGAATCGAATACCACGGGGAATGACGATAATCTCTCCGGGCTGCACATAAAGGGGGCCAAACTCAGTCTGAATATCGAGGGCACCCTGCTGCGGGACAATCAAAAACTCTCCGTCGGAGTTGACAAAGGCCTTCTTTTGCATGCTAGTGTTGGCCACATAGAGATGAGTGGCTAGACCCTCGCGCAGCGTGGGATCACCAGAGCCAGCGAAGGTCTTCAAACCATCCACAAAGTCCACATCTTCATTCTCGGGGATGTCAATAGGGTGCCATGCCAGCTGGGTAGGAGAGACATGAATGCGGGGATTCAGAGGCAAGAAGTTAGACTCGGTGTCTTCATTATCGGGCAACTCTGTCTGTAAAGACTATTAGTCCAGATCGCCCGACGAACAAGAACAACACATACGAAACCGTAGTGAGCAACGGCGGGACGGGCACGGTACAGCCACGCCTTCTTGTTAGCACCTCGGGGAGCCACAAAAGCAGTGGCAGTGATTTGCTCGGCATATAGTCCTAGGCGAACATTTTGGGGACTGTTCTGGCCCTGTGGAAGGGTACCAGGAACAGCTTCTGATTCGAATCTGGTCGGATTAAAAATCTCACATCAGCCAGTTGAATCGCTAGATGCAGGGGATAAGCACATACGAGTTGCCGAAGCCGGCTTGGTACTGCAAAGGAACGGGGTTAGCAGGGAATATGCTGGATGATAAGATATCACCACATACCTTGTAAGGGTCATTTCTTCGTGTTTTGAATGAAGGAACAGTGGCATCCTTCTGTGTCTCGGCCCAGTGGAAAATCTTCTGGTACTCTGTGGGATCCGAGACCTTGGTTGTTGTGGTTGTTGTGGTTGCTGAAGGCATGATGTTAAATATGACTGAAACAAACCAGAATAGAGTGACTAGGATATGAGATGGTAGATCATTCCTGGGGAACACATCCTATATATAATACTTCCAAGATTCTGGGACGTTCAATTTTGGAAGCAAGAAACTGTGGGGTCAAGAAATGCGGAGCCCCATGTTACGGGGTTGGACCCCATTTTGGTATAGGGGGTTGGATCTGACATCATGTGGCATACAAAGAGACGGGAATCGGCATGTCGTCAGCCACTTTACCGATCTCCCCGGTGGGGGAGAAATATTCAAGCGTGGTTGAAGTTGAGTTGACCCCACATGAGAATAACGTGGGGACTTTGTTATACTTCGATCCACATTGCAGCTTCAACAAGAATGCTGCCACTGGAGGTCTGAGATCGGTCGTATGGTCATTCATGAATTTGCTGAGCAGGAATAGAATAACTGAGAATTTGCCGAAGTTCTTCAGCTCGTTGTACTATACGGAACTCGGCCTTGTATGACCGGATGAAATTATACGCGGAGTTACGCGGAGTTTGGAAAGTAAATTGCCAGTGAGGAGAATAGATGAGGTCTGAACGTTGAAATGTATTTAGGCTGTTCTATCTAGTTCAAAAGGTTAATTCTACCAGCAGTTAAAGAGCCCAATATGGGCATGTAGACGTTCATTCCAGCTTCCTGCAGCACCTTGCAGTGCTCGATTCTCCGTCGCACCGCGAACTGATCATTCTTAATCTCCTTGCAATCCCCAACAGGGCCGTAAGCAAAAACATTCTCTGCAGACCAAGGTGCCTCCCCCGATGCAAAGCTAATCCAGCGCTGTCGCATTTCCCGGCCAACAGCATCTGCGGCTGGATTGAATGAGAGATCAAGGCTTCCAAAGATGAATAACAGGTCAACCGCATGGTGAGCGCGACTAGATGGTTGCCAGGGGTTAGGCTGGTCAATTACATACTTGTATACAGAATTTCCAGCTGCCTGGACCTTATTCGAGACCACTTCTACAGGAAGTGTGTAGCGGGCATCATTCACGATGTCCAAGGCACCCAGTTTGGCCGCTGTTGGCCGATCTGCTACCACATGATACATCTTGCGTAGTTTGGTTCCCCATTTTTCATCTTGTTCAAATGCAGAGACTATAGTCTCTCCGTCGAGAAGCTCGACTCCATTGCGCCAGATCACCGACTGTATAACATGTTAGCACCTGATTATAGGGAAGGGAATGATATCAATCCTTACCTCATACTCGGTGTCGCCGATCATCAGCTCGTCAACTTGCTCCGACCTTGTCTCCCAGTTTTCCAATTGAGGTTCCTCCTGAATCCACATCGTGTTAACGTTGCATTCTTTCAGTGCCTGTACCAGCACAGGCACTGACGATGCTCGCAGAGAAGGCTGACCCAATTCCTGTACTTTGGCCTCCAGAGTCTTGATGAGTCCATTGCCTCGCTCCACTGGTAATGGAGATGACAGGTACAAAGAACCCGATGCCAATACCGCCCGCTTGACGGGGGGTCCAGTGATGGTATGCGCATGAACATAGATGGCGCCGGCACTCTCACCAGCAAGTGTAATGTTTTTCTACTAGCAGATCAGCCAAATCATTTCATGAACCGAAGTAAAATATATATTACCGGGTCACCACCGAAAGAAGCAATATTCTTGCGCACCCAATCAATACCAAGTTGCTGGTCTTTCAGTGCAAGGTTCTTTTCCTTGCCATCTCCAAAGCTAAAGATGTTCAAGCGGTAATTGACAGAAACAAAGATCACAGGTTTGCCAGCCCTGATCGAATCAGCAACAAGTACTGTAGGATCTGCTCGATTTATTATTAGTTGATCTATACTCAGTATTTAACAAAGTTTTTATAACGAACCGCAAATCTTAGATGCAGCAGAGCAGAAGGTGACGATCTGAGAACCACCGTGAATCCAGACAACAACAGGAAGAGCAGTGTTTGGAGAAACCGGAGGACAGGTAATCTCCAAGTTCAAACATTCAAATTCATCCTCCAGCTCTGGTTCAATGACAAAGTCTTCAGGGATCCGAAGTAGATGGCGCACATCCACATCCATCTGCGGACATCTTGGACTATAGAAGGGTAAGCTTTATTCCTCTCATCGGGGGTGGAATGACATACCCATATTTGGAAGCATTTACAATAGTCCCCCCAAAACTATTCACTGGCTTGGCTTTCTCAAACCGAGCTGGTATACTGGCATACTTGATACCAAGATATTGATGAACAGCTACACCTTCATCCCGCACAACACCGTTAAAGGTAGCGTCCAAGGCTTTGTGATGAACTTCAGCCATTATTTGAGAATGCAAAGCAGCAAGAACCTAGTGCTAGAAGACGAGAAAATAGAGAAACAGTGAAAATGCCGGCTAATAATCCTACCGCCAGAACTCCGTACTTCAGAATGTGGGGCCGCGGGACAGGTTATGTCATGTGGGGCCTTTTTATACTCAATAGTACCTACTGATACGGGGAACATGGACGTCCTAGCCAGTCTGCGAACCTAGCTAAATCATGGAGTATGGTAGATGCAGTCAGAGTCCGTCCTCTAGGGGCTATGTGGGAGAAAGGAAGGAGAACCAAGGGGTAGCTCAAGAAGGTAAAGGTAGTCTGATGGTCTAATCTCTCAACTGAATGTTTAAATACACAATCTCCACTAGTGTCGGGTGACCTCCCCTGTCAAATGGCCAGTCCTATTTTAGTCTAGTGTTCTTTATTAGTCAGCTTCCGTACGCTCTTTACTGTAGTAAGATTTACTACTGCGAATACACACACATATTTGAGATTGTGAAGTCTTCTGATTGGTTCCTATAATCCCACTTCCTCGCCCAAGTTGACACCCCCACTACACCCTTGCATTTTAACTACTCATTATTCAGTTTTATTCTACAAATATAGAGAAGATCCTTAGAGCCTTGTACTCTCTTTTATGTCTATTCAATGGTATAAGAGAAAGAAAAAATCGTTCTTTTCCCAGACCTTTTGCCAACAACTTTCTGCTTTGAAATTCTTTACCTTTAATTGATTTATTCAATTGATTACTAGACCTTTAACATGACGGGAACTCAATGATCTAAGACTTGGAAGTCTGTGTTTTAAAATTGAATGGGTACCTTTGTCTTCGACCTACGGAGCAAGATCTTAATTAGTAAACATATAGAGAGAGGAATATTTTCATAGATCCTAGATTTATCTATTCTGGTATTAGTATGAACATTGCCTCTGTTATTTGTTTATTGTCACCGTGGGATATAGTCCTTCTGGTGTCGCGAACTATTTATCGCGCGATGATGAAATTTGCGGCTTCTCTTGTTCCAATTCTCGGTCTGTCATCAGATTTGGGGCTGGGTAGTAGGTTCCCTAAGTAGTCAGCTTTCCTTTAGTTGGTGATATTCGGGCAGTATACTAGCTGTGAGGTAATAAAAGCCCAGAACCCCGAAGTATCTGCAGATAAGATATACACCTGGCTTGTCTCTCTGACTCGAATACTAACGCATACATCTGCATCACAGAGTCTACTGTACTCGCACGCTTTTCTCATCAGACTTATTTTGCGGCGATATTGTTTTTGACGGATCAACCTTCTATTAGAGTGACCGGACCGGAAACTTTTAGAAGCCATAATAAATATCTGCCTTGTTGTGTGAATATACTGAAAATTGTACTATATTAGAGGCAAAAACATACAGCACGGACTCATATAATGAACAAGTCAAGTGCTGCTTAGTAAAGGCCTAAAGGGGCGCTTTTCCTCACGTATAGACAGTCTCAAGCAGGTAGTCACAAATTTTTTGTTGGTTTAAGAAAATATGAAAAAAAAAGAAGAGAAAAGCTCCCCTAAGATTCCAAAAAATGAGGGAAAAAAGTGTCAATGTTTTCTAATTACTTGTTTCGAACGGTCTTATGACCTAATTATATAATTTGCATGGTGCGAGCCGTTTTAGTCTGAGACTATCTTCTGGATAATACTTGCGTGAGTCCTTCGCAACCTAGCTCATCCTAAATCAGCAATAGCAGCGTCAGAGTCTCCTTTAGGGTGATTTGGGTGATTTGGGTGAGCATGGGTGAGCTCGGGGCAAGGACAAGTGAGCAACACTTACTGCTATAAATAGGGGCTTTTCTTTCACTCTAGCATCTTTTTATACCAACGTGTACTGGATTTGAACTTCAAGGATGAATTTTGAAAATCTCCAGAAATTGCTTTTGAGGGGGGGGAGGAATTGACTCTTTTATTTGCGTAAAATGCCAAGGGCCTCATCAGATTAGGCCTAGCGTCTTCGCAAAGATGTCAACATTCGCGCGTCCGCGTATCCGTATTCAAATCATCTCTTCTCTACCAACCATGGATTCAATAGACTCAACTACCAGTTGTTACTGCTCAAATTGCTATAGGCAGCTCTCTGCTGGAAATATCTTGGAACGTTTTGGTTAGGTACATAGGGAAAATGACTATACGCGACTGTAGAAACCTTAAAGAGCCTTCAAGTGCTGCTCTCAGTATAGATTGGACCACCCCGGTTACAAGACCAATCCTGCTCTTTTATTATTAGTTTGCCAGACTTACGATATTCCCTAACAGTCCACGGGTCACCTAACCGAATTGAAAATTAATTTTACACCTGATATACGCAAAGGTGACAAGGCTCGCGGAATGGATCCATTAGTGTCATTATGCCAATGTTTTACCTTGGAACTGACTCGTGGGTGACAAAAGCACAGATGTATCTAGGTACTACATCCATCTCTCCTGAACTATGTAGGTATAAACATGGATAACAACCGTCACTCACGTACCTACGTACCGTTTTTTCCATACCAGCTCTTGGCATTCCCCTTCGCTGCTTTTGCTCCCTGAGTAGAACTGAGCACGTGTCTATGCATTATATAAGCTCACTGATCTGCTCACTGAGTAGTCATCAGGAGATACTTAGGGAGCACATAGTGAGTAGTCTGGTTCACTCAGTGAGCACTCAGTGAGCGGCCTGATTCGCTCACAGAGCGAGCTGAGTAAGTACCTCAACATGCTAGTCCCGTCCCTTTTTATGTAGGCTGTTCATATTATCCCATTAATAAATGTCGGGTTTCACTAGAATGGTCGTTTATCCTAGGAGCACACTTCTGTTCAGGGGATAATCTTACTACGCATTTTATTTGATTGGTCTATCAATTCTTATCTCGGGATGTAAGCTCCTAGGAAGCACTTCATGTAGCCTAGGCATTAGACGAATTTACACGATCAATCTCCAATCTTATAGCTAGTTCCCATCCGATGGGCCATTCTTTATAATATAAGGGAGTGCGAATGACAAGTTGGCTTGCTAATAAGAGCACAAAGATCTTAACACTACTATCAGCAATTTAATGTACGCTGACTCTTGGAAAATGCTATAAGGCGGAAACAATTGGCTTCCAGACCTGGCTCCTAGGAGCTAGCCCTGACCTACTCCGATAGTTTCCCGGAGAGCTCAATTTCTTTTTGTTAGCCAACTATCTAGGAGTCCTAGGATCCTAGGTCGTTGCACGAATCCTTGAGATTATTATTGTTGCGACAGCCGAGAAACAAGGCCATCAACAGACGGAAAGTATTTCGGCCGAAAAAGCTTCTGCCAAGACAGTGACTCTGGAACTAGATTAGTATATCACGGCATCCTTGAACGATATGCATTCATCGCAAACGACACCCTTGAGCGATGCGTATTCGCGACAGTAATGTCCCGTCTTCACCGTCTCTTCTGTCTCGGACGAATGTTGACATTCGTCCAGGGCAGAGGGGCACCCATATACTATAAGTAGCTAGTTCTTTCATCAATGAAAAAGCAGACTTCACAACAATCGCAGTATTCAGTATCGTAGCATCCACTACACCCAGTGGATTTTCTACGGTGTTGAGTAGCGGTTTGTTGGGGCTCACAACGTTTACTATTCTCAGTTAGATATTCGAATATTGCCCTTTCGAGCGACAGATATAGCTGCAGCTTTACGCATTGATGGTATATGTAACAGGTTGAATCCTGGTGAACTACCAAGTGGTTGTACCACGCGACCCACCAACCGCATACCTCACGATTCCACCCCGAATTGTTTACGTTTCTTTAAGGATTTTGTACACAGCATGTGCCTAGCTAGTTCTGAATCTAAGATGAGCTTTAGCTCTTCACAGGAACATTGACTCAAGGGTCTGAACAATCTTCAAAATAATTTTGCAACAAAACAGACCAACTTCCTAGGCTCAAAAGAACCGCTCCAAATGCTTCAATTAATACATATATGCAGCTGATGTGCCTGAAATATCTTTTATCTCATCGAATCCTGCGGATATGTGGAAATACTAGATATCTATACTCATATTCCATTCTCAAAACCTTGGAAATTGCCATTCAACGGAATTATACGCGCTTTCCCAGTGATATTTGACTGCACAGTAAATACTGATCAGATGAGAGTGCTCAGGTGTGCTTAGTTCCAGCAAAATCATTGGGTCCAAGCACTTACATAGAAATCCAGTGCCTGTTGATAAGAGTAGCTTGGATCTACTGTTGTGCGCCCACTTCATTATAAGCACTGGAGCTATTCAAGAAGGTCGCCATAGCCGCATTGAATACTGATTGGTCCGCTAAAAATCAGCCATTATCAAGGTTTAATGCTTGCAGTATTATACGAGGCATTAAGATACAACCTTGGAATCAAGTTTCTCTTAAGTACTTAGTAGTTCAGTCAGTTTTCTACTATATTCTGGTGGAATCTGACCCTCCAATATTGAAGTTGCTTCTAGACTGTTAAGAGCAGAATACTATACAAAAATGGAGGCTTACTGCAAAGTAAACAGACGATGATTCGATGTCCAAACTACTATACTTATTGCAGAAACTAGGATAATGACGAGAACAATGGGGAAACCGGTCTGAGCAAAGTCTTGGAAGCGTCAAAGTACGGCAATCTATTGGATATAAACCTGAGGTAACACTGTTATATTATTGATGGGTATTGGTCTTCCAAGGTTGGCGTAGCTTTCATCTTAGTAGTCTTGGTATTTGCAGGGGCTGATCGAGTGAATGCCATCGTTGAATATGCATATCCGAGAGGCAGCAGTCCATTTCCATGGCTCTTGGTGTTATTGACGCAATTCAAGTATATCATCAACAGGTATATAATTAAATTAATTCGTTCAGGATTTACTCATACAGTAGCTGAAGGCTTTCTCAGAATCCAACCCCCCATAAATAAGAAAATAGGAAGGGCAGACACGCCAGCAATCAACCCCATAGCCCAACCCATTGTACCCCAACCAGCACTCTGCTTGATAAAGCCAGCAAAAAACGGCCCAACAAGACTGCCAGCCGCAAATCCCATATTTGAAAGTCCAAATGCCAAAGCCATAGCCCCGCTCTCGCCAAATATCCCTGGACACTGATCCTCTCTTTCCTGTACCGCGTAAGACACTTCTGCAATAAGTGGTGTCATGGCGACGGCAATGCAGAGACCCAGTAAAGCTAATAGGGCGCACAAAATGATCTTATCGTGCATTGTTTTTTCTTTCACGAGGCGTAGGAGTGTTGCGAGCGGAACTGCGCAGAGGAATGCGATCGAAACAAGGTAGCGGGGAGACTTTGGAAAGCGGTCGATTATCATTCCTGTGATGGGGTCTGAAAGATGTGGGATCATCAAAGCAATGAATATTAGTCCTTGGCCCGTCTGCTGCCATCCAAATACCTCTTGAACAAATATTGTGAGAACGCTGTCGAAGGAGGAGAGCATTAGAGAGACGACTAGATACCCCCACAGCGACACGATCAAACGGCAGGAGCTTAAAAGAGACGTTAGTTGGCGTATAGAGCTTCTTGGTAAAGGATTCTCTTCTGTTGTCACAGAAGAACTGACAAGAACCGAGGAAACGACCTCGTTACTCGTATGTGCCTTTTCGGCATCATATTGGTCGGAAACCGGCAACGGAATTTCGTCTGGTTTTATCCATGGCAAGGCGTGTTTCTTCTCAATCAAGACCAATCGAAGAAATATATCGATGCCGATAAATCCAAAGGCGAGTCCAAATACAGAATAATACCCTCCATATTCGTAGAGGACTCCACCCAAAAGAGGACCTATCACTGTGCCCAAACTCAGTGACATAGCCACATACCCAATTGCCTGGCCGAGGCCATCTTTGCCTACAGTGTCAACCATAAGAGCGACACCAACAGTCCATACGACTGCAGAGGCAGCTCCTTGGAACAAGCGGCCTGCAATCCAGAGACCGATGTGGGTACCGATGCATAGTAAGGCGGTTGCAGCTCCCAGTGCAACCAGTCCGAGTAGAAGCGGCCATCGTCGAGATTGAGCTCGATCAGCTAGGTAGCCGACGACAGCTAACGATTTATGAGCGATAGAAATAAGGAGTGGTCAGCTGGGACATACGAGAGAAGGCTAGAAGTGAAGCAGAATATAATGCTAGGAGAATTGAGTTCCATGATTGGACTTAAGATTTCGTGCTTTGTTAGCTACTTGATATGCAATGAACTCTGGGGGAATATGCTTACCCTTGTCTTCTGCAATGCCAACTTTGCGTTCCAATGCTGTTGGAGTGACGGGTACAGTCTGAAGAGGTATGAGTAACACTTTATATCTTTGTGATTGGTGGCATATCATGAATCAACCATACCAAGCAGTACATGAGAATATCCTGGAGCAATTATTCTTGATAAGCGAACCTCAGAAGGAAAATGATGCAAATCTTACTGTGAATGTGGCGAATGAAACGGTGAACATGATGAACATTTTGGAGGATCTCAACTCCACTAATTTCGGCCTTGTAGGTTCATTTTTGCGACGTAGGAACCCAAGCCAGTTTCGGCTTTGATAAAACGAGTTCATGAAGTATAATCTTTACTTTACACTGTATGGGAAGGACAGCGACTGTGTATTCAAACCTTGGAAGAATTAGAGATCGAATATTGAAATTTGAGCAGGAAATACCGTTAAATGAAAGGTCCATAGACTAGAAAATCTACGTAGTCATAATCCCCTATATATCGGATGCTCTAGGTTCCAGCGATGAGCGGAGCCCGCGGGTCCCGCGGGTCCCGAACTTACGATATATGTCTTTTAACCAATAACACTTCAATGTTCGTGTATTTGTTTCTAAGTAAATTACAATTGAGCTCTCGGCTTATTGCTTTTCAGCATAAGCTTAAGCTGCCTCCTCAAAATCTTCCCGCTAGGACTCTTAGGAATCTGATCCACAACATGAATGCCCCCGCGAAGTCTTTTATGCTGAGCGATCTTAGGGTTAAGCCATGAATGAATGCCAGCAAGAACAGCTGCAACATCCTGTGTCATGGCCTGACGGCTAAGAACCACAAAAGCAACAGGTAGTTCAGTAGCTCTTTCATCAACCCACATCCCGACAACACCGGCATCTTCGATATCCGGATGATCGACCAACTTCCCTTCCAGCTCACTAGGAACAACCTGAAGACCCTTGTACTTGATCATCTCCTTGATGCGATCTTGAATAGTTACGTAACCCTCGTGGTCAATGGTGCCGATGTCACCTGTTCGGAACCAGCTGGTACCATCGGAGTCGGTGTGGTAGCCCTCCTCGGTCGCTTTCTCGTTGTTGAAGTAGCCCAGAGACACGTTGGGACCTCGACACCAGATCTCGCCGGGTTGGGTTGATCCATCTGAGTTTGTGACAACATCAGACATGGTATCAGGGTCGACAAATCGAAACTCCATGTTGTGACTGATACAGCCGACTCCAGATGTTCGCTTATCTATGCGGTCATTAGGGAAAGCAGTTGCCATAGGAGATGTTTCCGTGAGACCCCACGACTGCTGACAGAACACTTCCGTTTGATAAATCGACTTGAACCTAGATTCCAACGCAGATGAAAGCTCGATTGTAAGCGGCGCAGCCGCTGAGAGGATCCGCTTGACACTTCTCAGATCGTACTTGGCGATTCGGTCATCTTTCACCATCATCAACGCGATGGGAGGCACGATGGAGAGTTCGCCAGGCTTGTATTTCTCAATGCAGCCAAGGTACACGTCAAAGTCAAATTTAGACATAACTATCACGGGTGTGCCCCAGATCAAGCATTGACATATAAACAGATTAAGTCCGTAAATGTGACTGAAAGGGAGAAAGGCGATGGCTGAGTTTCGCTCGACCCGCTGTGACGGGCTCCCTGAATCGAGCATCAATGCTCGCCATTGCTGTAAGTTTGCCGTCATATTCTGATGTGTTGTGACAACGCCCTTGGCAGGACCAGATGTGCCAGAGGAAAAGCAGATGAAGGCAGCTTTGCGACTCGCTTCCTCGGGTGAAACTGCAGTGAGCTTGCCTGGGGGAAACACACTGGCTAGATGTTCACAGGTCGACTGTCCATCAACCAGGGACGGACCATCTAGAAGGATGACTTTCTCAACAGAAGTACCCTTTGCAGCCTTTCGCGCCGTCTCCAACAAAGAAGAATGCACAATCATGAATTTGGCTCCACTTGTCTTGAGCTGAGCATTGAGTTCTAGACTCGACAAAGCTGCACTTGTCGGAGAAACAATAGCCCCAGATCCAATAACTGCATGACAGGCAATCGGATACTCAATTGAGTTCGGACTGAACAGTGTGACCACGTCATCACGTCGCAGGCCAAAGTTTTTCTGAAGACCACCTGCTAGAGATCGGATGCGCTGGAGGACTTGTTCGTGCGTATATTGTTTACCCGAGAGAGCGTCAATAAACAATGGCTTTTCTGCTGGCGAATTAAGAGGGTTGGAGAAAAGGTATGAGACTAGGTCGACTGTTTCAAGCTGCAGATCAGGATACAAAGAGCGATAGATCTTCGACATGTTGTAAAAGGGGTTTATACGGGATGTTGAAGATGGAAGATTTCATATGCAGAAGACTTGTCATTTAAAGGTATAATAAATCGCCTTCGGCGGAAAATGGAAGCGATGATATGCCGAGCCCCATCGACCTGCACAGTGAACCTATGCATTCTTGGGAAATACCGATCTGCATACGACACAATACGGTAATATTGTTTTTTATTGACGATAAACCTAGCCAATCTGCACCAATAACCTCGGCAAGGTGTTAAATACTTGTATTAAAGCTTTGATTACACAACTATCGCCGATCGGCTGTTGACCAGGGCGGCCAAAGATCTATAATCCATATGATACTTCTTAATTTCATCTCTATTCAGATCATAGCCAACCATAGTTATATGATAGTTCAACTAGATGTGATCTCCCCGAAAACTTTGGCCAATTCGTCCAGCGACACCTTTTTAGCACATTCAAACAAAACACCCCGACGTAGACCTTCACCACCAAAAGCTTCTGAAATCAGGCCAATAGTTTGTCCACGCTGACTAGGCCCATAAACACGAGCCGAGAACCCAGTATCAATATCCCCAGATACTGCAGGCCAAGGTTCCACACCATGGCAGAACTTGAAAACATCCTCTGCAAATGCAACTGCCACAGCCTGCTGCTCAGGACTCAGGAACTCGTTCAGATTCTGAAACAGGTAGATCACGTCAAGTATATGGTTTGCATGGCCGTTCCAAGGTCCTTCCCATGGATTCCCTTCATTGAAGTGGTATACATACGCATTTCCGTTCCAGCCTTGAGCGAAGCAGAGTGCAGGTGCGTGGAAACAGATACCAGCTAAGAAGTTGAGGACTAGGACTCTTGCTTCCTCGTCTGGGAGGTCTTCTATAATTCCATATGCGTTTATAATACGCTCTGCCTCTTCTGGATATGAGGAGAGCACTTTGTGGATGGCGGTTATGAATTTGTTTGCGCAGTTGGTTTTTATCTGCGGTGCGAGGAATTCGAAAATACTGGACTGGAATAGATTAGTGTTAGTACATCTTTCTTTTTGTAACCAAAAATAGACTTACGTCGATTGCTGCATCGCCAATGAATAGATCTTTGCACCAACGCTTGCCAGGAAGAATACTCGAATCTGATTTCAACAACTCGGTATAGGTCACACCTGGCTGGATAAAATCACCGTCTAGAGCAGGCATGCTCAGTATTGAAGGTGGGAGCTTATTGACAAGATCTGAGCCTGGCATCTCTACTAGTGCTTTAACTCTCTCCTCAGCAGTCGCATTTTGAAGGCCCAAGGCAGTGATAGCTTTCTGGTAATTATCCTCGTGAACAGGATACGGCAGCGCGGGAAGAAGCAATGATGTTCCACTAATTGCAATCGCACGCTTGAAGAGAGGTGTTTGCGAGTGCAGTTGATAAGTCACCGATGCTGTAACTAGTCAGTCTTCAAGTCTTAGACAATGCCATGGTATGAATCTTACCTCCTCCTGCACTGCTTCCTCCTGCGGTTACATTATCTGGGTCTCCTCCAAAATCACTAATATGTTTCTGTACCCATTGCAGAGCTACACGCTGATCACGAAGAGCGTTATTCGATTGATACCCTGCACTGCGTAGCTCTTCAGAAGTGAGAAATCCTGGAGCTCCGAGACGATAGCTATGAAATTGTCAGTGGTAGTACGAGAAATTGCAGGCCATCCTGGATCGCTTACTTGATCGCAACAATGATTACCGGGAGCTCCTTCTCAATTGACAGCTTCACTAGCCGTGCGAGCTCTGCTTGAGGCCATGAATTCGCCCCAATAGCGAAGCCACCGCCATGAATGAAGAAGAGAACCGGGAGCTTTGACTCCGGTGTGGCATCGGAAGGCACTGCAATGTTGAGATTGAGACAATCAAGATCGGACTGAGATAGATCCTTTTTGGGCAGTTGGTGCTGAACATGGCTCAATTCGATATCACATCCAATTGGAGGCGACAAGGCAGTTGGCCTGGACTCAGTGTCAGTTACAACAGTATCATTGAAATTATTGATGGGACGAGCTCACCCGTCGGTTGTGGCATCAAAGATGCCGTTTTGGGATGTGATGAGTTCGGCCGAGGCAAACCTATCTTTGAGGTTTGCATATTTGATTCCCAGATATTGAGTTACTCTATCGGCTGTTTTGCCTTGGATCTGTCCCAGTGAGCTTGTTTTCAAAAGGGTCGCCATAATAAAGTATAGTACAGAATTTTAAGGAAGTGTTGAAGTAGGAATGACAGGGTTAAATGTGCCTATGAGCCGCCGGGGGATTCCCGTGATCTGCGGAGTAAAAGTACGGTTCAAGTTTCCCCGCAATTTGCCCGCTTAATTATAGATTACTTAATGGATTGCATCTATAGATCCAGATCTCAGTAAGGGCCTGCTCTATGGATACATATCCTCTTACATATACAACCAGAAGAGCCGGTAAAGAAATTAAACCCCACTAAGTAGGAAAACAGCTTAACGCCCACCATTCACACCATTTTCCTTGATCTCCTTCATTGCTTCATCGATCAGCCATATACAAACAGACTTGGCTTCACTCCCGACGCGCCAACTGCCCAAAATAACTCCATGTCGTTCTAGGGCATCACTTGCCCGTTCCCATCGGCGTCGCCATAGCTCTTCTCGTTTATTAGGCAGTGGAGCGGGTGGCATGCCCGAGTCATTGTAGCTGTTGGATGAACGTGCTAAAGACTGGTTTGAGGCAGATGGTCGGATTGACGGTATTGGCGCGGCGGAAAGATTCAGACGCTCCGTTGCGTACTGTAGCGCGGCTTGAGCTGCGGATGCCGGATATGATTGTTTTGGTGGTGAGGTTGGAGGTCGAGATGCAGCTGTGTTGCTTGCGGAGCTGGTAGCTGACAATGTGGTATTCGTGCGTCGGGGTGGAGGTGGACGTGGGGGTCTGGATCGAGATGTTGTTGTCGTATCTTGGTCTCTTTCATGAACAACTGGTTCAGTATGGACGCGAGAGAGCGGCTTGGGGGTATCGAGATCAATAAGCGAGTCTGTATGCGCTGTGGAAGACTGTCGGGGTGGCAATGGGGGAGCTGCCTTGCGTCGAATGACCTCCGGCGGTGGCCTGGCATCTTTATTCGCTGCCTCTGTCGCTGTGCGTAGTGAAGATGGCTTCGTGGGTTTGGTTGGAGGCACTCGTGGATTAGCTGGTGGGGGTTTCTTACTCTCCAAGGCATCATCATCGACCCGGAGATCAATCAAATCACCGATTTCGATGTTCTTGGAATAGCTGTCAGTAGGAGGCCGACGAGGGGGCAGCGGAGGTGCATTTGCTTTTCTATCTGGTGGATTTGCAAGCTGTGGTGAGCTGCGACTGTGGCCACTATTCACTCCTAGCTGAGCCAACGGCTGCTGAGCCGGAGTGGTGACATCACGAATGAATATTCCCAGGATTCGGCCTGGATTAAGTAGAACGAGATCGGTGTAAACCTCGAGGTCAGCCTCACCACTGTCACCCACAAGAATAAACTTGCGCTCTGGAAAGTCTCGCATGATCTGCTCCAGTGACCCGCGTTTTCTTTCGGCCGTGGGTTCGAATATGCCTTGTAGCATACCCGTGTAGTGTTTGAGATGGAACGAGCCTGGTGGGAGTCCAACACACTTGAAATATCGTTCTAGAAGAGGGTATAGCTGCCAAGGAGCATTGGAAACGTAGTGCATTTCCACACCCCGTTTGGCTACTTCCGTATACCAATCACTGACTCCATCAACTGACAACTCTGCCAGTTCACGAACGAATGTATTCCGGAACATCTCCTTGGCGCCACTGGCGATGGCCGAGTGTTTCACCGTGTCGTCGATATCGCTGATCAGGCTGATACCCACCGGTTTAATGATTTCAATCTGCCTCGCAGCAGAAAGGTCTTCAGACGCAAGCACACGAATGTGAGTCGGGACGAAGGGCATTGGAGCTCGTAACGTAAAGTGACCGGATTCATCTGTCATGATATTTCTGGACTCACTCTCACTTTCATTGAAAAAGAAGATGGTTACAGGTGTGACAGCAACAGGGTTCGTCAAAAACGGTCGCAGTCTCTCCATCAAATGCGCATTGGCTAAAGATATCTGGTCATTGCTCCATTGCATGGGCTGACCTATATCTGCTCGGCCTCGATCTTCATTGGAGTTTTTCCAAGCCTGATCTGCATCATGCTCCGCAGCATCAACCAAGTCCTTCATCTCTTTTTTCACATCCTCATCCTCTCGTCTGGCTGATATTCTGTCAGGACTATCGTCATTTGGTGTATCTGTAGGCACTGGAATACCGCTCAGCGTCCTAGCCAGCTTGACCATCAATCGATGCTTCCGACTCATTGGCCCACTGCTGGGAGAATAAATCCAGCCACGTACATCGACTTCGACCACAGCATTATCGATCTCTTTCTCGGTCCAGTCCCGATCACCATCTTCTGCAGAGACCCCACGGTAATCATCCAACGTTTCAGTCCAGGAATCCCGACGTTCGCGAGCCTTGTTGTCCCTTTTCTTTGGCGTTATTTGTCTAGCGTAGCTTGGAAAAAGGACCATCTGCTCGTCGCCCGATCGAGCGATCTCAACATCAGGAAATGCACCGGGTGTATTATAGTAGTCATCTCCATTCCTTTGAGCAGTCCATCGTGAAGTGTATGCCTGTCCCAATTCATTTGCTGCTTTCAGCCACTCGTAGGCCTTTTTTCGCTTGCTGCCAGGGGCTGAAGCGCTGTCACCCCATGCTGATGACTGTGACATCGGTGCTTTCACAACATTCGCCCTATCCCGGGACCCGCGAATAGCTCTCGCACGACCAGTCAAGAAGTTATCTCCTTGTCTCCCCCGCAGCCGTCGGGACAGAAGGGCAAGGAAGACCCGGCCGAGTCCGCGCTTATACACAGCACGTCGCTGCTGTCGCTGGACGATCGCCTGGTAGATACGCGATTGAGCTCTGTGTCGTAGTGCGGGGAGAGTCTCGTGGCGGAGGTTCCAAAGACGATTCTGGGTTCGGCGGGTGGTCTGAGGGCCGACGAGGATACGGAGGACGGTCGCAACTGTGCTCGGTTTCGACTGGCGACGGATGAAGGCACGCAATGAGGGGAATAGCCTAGGGGCTGTAGTATTGGAAAGAAATGGCCTGGGGCGGAGGATTGACCACCGGAAACGCGATTTGGGCGCCAGGGTCTCGGATATATCAAGGGAACTAGTGACTAGTTGTTAAGTACTTAGTAGCTGTCGAGTGTAGTTACACCTGCGACAAAGAAAAAGATAGTAGAATAGATGAAAGGAGGAAGGTATCGAAAGATAGATGACAAGTGAGAAAAGAATCGAATTTCAAGATTGCGGGCTAGAACAATGACGCCAATTTGTCTCAGCCTGCGCTCCATTGTGCACTTTCCAGATAGATAGTGCTATTCCAAATTATGTGTTTAACTGAGATCACCATGGAATTGATCGGTTCTTGATTTTATTACGTTCAATCTCAAGGGAAAACTTGTACATTTAATGAAGTGCGCCTTCCTATGCAATATAATACAGCTCTATATATATATAAACACCTATGTGCTAACTGTCCTCGGTGTAGTTGATCTTTTTAGCCCGAGTACTTCGCCTTGACACAGTAGTCAAATTAGGAGTCTCCAGCGTATTGGAGAGATCACTCAGCTCAGATGATTCCGGAGTCAATTCAATCTGCTCGGCCTTGCGTTTAGTGCGAGAAGACGTACGCGGGGCAGTCTTGGTCGCTATCTTCGGAGTCTCAAGTCCACTGTCTTCCTTCGGCTTCGCCTTCTTATATGAAGCTCTTTTTCCCTTGCCTGGACTGGTCGGACGTACGGCTTTCTTAGCAGGTCGTAACCACTCCTCCATTCCTGGAGGCCAGTAGACTCTCCTTTCGGGTCCACCCATGCCCATTTCTTCTTTGGAAACGATCTGGGGTGGAGGCACAGAGCCTTCAAGATCGACAAAGTCGCCGTTCTTCTTGGTTCTGCGCGGTGGCTTGAATGTCTTGTTTTCGTCTGTTCGTAGGTGTGGGAGCAGATCGTTGACCAGTTCATGACCTGGAAGCTTGAATGTCTTCATCAGCTCGAACACAGCTTGCTCCTTGTCCTTCGCCTCAATCATGAGATCCATCGTAGGGGCGCATGGAGGGAGAGTTGACACACGAGCACTGTGTTTGCGACGCTGGCGGGGTGTGATGGCCGATGCTTCAGGCTCGGAATAATGCATTTTTTGTGTAATATTCTTGCGAGACCATGTTGCGGCAATACGATCGTAGAGGTGAATGATATCTTGCGTACCTTCGCGGACCTCATTCGCATCAAATATAATATTGTGATGGTGGTAATCGAGGACAAGCGGAATATTGAGCTCCTCACAAATAGGCAATAGATCATGAACAGACCAGCTGACATCATCGTTCTCAAGTACAAGTCGGTTCTTGATATCCTGGGACAAACCCGCGTAGTTCTCACGGAATCGATCCAGGGTCGCTTCCTTGTCTCCGAACACGCCGCCCATGTGCAGGATCATAACAGCGTCGCGGTTCTGCTGAGGGGGCAGCTTCAGCAGCTGCAGCAACTCGGAGTGATACTCAAGATCCCGATACGAGCTTTCCACGACTTCGGTTCTCGGAGTGCCTAGCTGGGTGAACTGGCCAGGGTGAACAGACACTCGATGACCGAGCTCTGCGACTACACGGCCTACTTCAGCCAACACCTCGGAAGCAAACGGCGCCAATTTGTAACCATATTCCTTGTGGCTTGCAAAGGGAAACATCTCACTGCTAAGCCGCATGAACTTGATGCCATATTTGTCATTCCAACGTAGTATTTTACTCATGTCGCTAGCATTGGCCAGTGCCAATGCCTCCACAAAAGCTTGTCCGCGCGCTATATCGGCCGGTTGGTTGCGATCTGGTCGGTTCTTCGTCGGATGTGGAGGCTGATCTGGATCCTGGAGTGGGTGTCGATTTTCGAGAATCGAAGCAATGCGACAAGTCCGGGAACAGAACACAGGAGGATTGGCATAGCGAAGGTACGTGTTTAGACAGGCCTGCAGACATTAGACACCATTGCGTAGCTAGTTTCTTAGTGGCGCAACTTACATATCCCAGGCGCCCTTTCCATGGTAGAGGAAGGTAGCTGCTATGAACTGGAGGTGGTCGCCCCAGTGCCTCTTTAAGCTCTTCGGGATCGATAGGAACGGCTTCATCGAATTCAGGATCTAAGGAGGCTGCAGCCTGACCAGCAGGCGATCCAACACTCTCATCCAAAATCTCTTGTTTTATGTCAGCTGTCCCGAGTATGTCCGCCATGGTATCTGACGAGGTATAACTTTTCATCGTGCAGGTAGGAATTTGAGAGTACTGTCGATGAGACGCGGCTAGGCCAACGAATGTATGGCCGCGAAAATCAAGGAACGCATGACGAACATGACCAACGCCGACGGATCTGAAGTTCGCCACAGCCCTCGATCGATCGGAGATCTTCAGTGACGAGGGGTGGCGACGCACCAGTTTAGAATACGGGGAGACATGTGGAGCACGCAGAAGCTGTGCAACAGACCGACACATCCAGTGGACTTAATGAGTCTTGCTGTGTTGGTTGTCATTAAGTGATGTGAAGGGAAAATTGTGATGGGGATGACGCGCTCTGCCGACGCGACGGGTAGATCTTGGAGATGTCATCACGAACTAAATATAACACATCTTGAGGCTCAAAGGAGATCAGAGTACTTGGAGTAAAAGTCTGAAGATATTGCCTAGCTAAGTGCTACATAGTTTAGTAATAGGTGTTAGCTATAATAAGCTATTAAGTCTTTCTGGACAACAAAATCTTTTCATTTTCCTAGAAACTGGGGAGTGGATCGTTCAGTACCAGGAAGTATACAAAGCATATGAGTAAGGCCAAGTTGGTTACAACCAATCTGCTGAAGTTCGACTTAATCCCAGGTGGGGTTCTTAGAAGTTAGAACTGTAGGAACAGTTTAAAGCTTATACATATGTACAACTACAGTATTGTCAATGATTGGTGACCTAATTGGCATGTAGGGAGCAAGAAGGGATTCTACTTGTTGGGGTGAGATCTACCAAACTTGAAGCTTCAAGCCTTCAAACCGGTTCTGAGAGGGACAGTGCACATGCCTGAAAGTAGACTCTAAGGTATGGTCCTGTGGTTTCTACAAGGAATAGACAGGGATCGAGCATGGACACCTTTTGGACAAGATAGTGATCCGACATTCTGGATCCTTCAAAAAGCCTGACTTGCGGAGAATAAATACAAAAGGAATGTAGGCTCAATGTTTACTGCCTATTGAATTTGACATCTGGAATCTGAGGGTTTATGTAAATCCTAGTATCTGGGAGAATAATATGAAGAAGTTCATGTGCAAAAGAGACACATCTATGATGCAGAGTCCATGGGGTATAGGGCTCTTCGTGTACAGACAACGTAGATGGAAATTGGACTGTATAGTATTGCCAGGTGGTAATGACAAGCAGCATTCCTGGCGTTGCGCTGTTGATGAATCAAGTGAACATCAACACTGACTAACATGGAGTAAAGATAACATTTTCCATTCCTCATGGCAGCTCTTGAGAATGTGCTATACTTCAAGACTATTTAACTAACAACATTGATATCCAAGACTTTCCTTTCCGTTCAGTGTGAGTGTGTGTGTGCGTTTCATTTGAAGAAAAGTCCAATTGAACCCTGGTGGTTGATTGTTTGTGCAACTGTTCATCTGATATCCCATCACTTCACGGTATTCCACCAAGATGAAGGCATCGTTCGTTTTTGGTCTGCTAGCCAGCACGGCATCAGCACACATGCAAATGTCGAAGCCCTATCCCATTCGCAGTCCTTTGAATACAGCGTCGTCAGAGCAGAAGGATTATTCTTACAACAATCCACTCTCAACGTCAGGCTCAGATTATCCTTGCAAAGGATATGCCCACGACACCTTTGTCTCACAGGCTACCTACCAGCCTGGTTCACAATATACCATGGAGCTGTCAGGAAGTGCCACCCACTCTGGTGGATCTTGTCAACTTGCATTGACATACGATCTTGGAAAGACGTTCCATGTCATTGAGTCCATGCTCGGCGAGTGCCCCATTTCTCAGAAGTACGACTTCAAGATTCCATCCGATGCTCCTTCTGGTAATGCCCTTCTTGCTTGGACTTGGTTCAACAAGGTTGGTAACCGTGAGATGTATATGAATTGTGCTATGGTTTCCATCGGCGGCAGCTCGAATCGCAATAAGATTGGAGCAGGCAATTCTGTCAAGAAGATTGGCGGCTACCACGCTCTTAATGAGCCAATGGCCATGGACATGACTGCGGATGAGATGTCAGATATGGGCCAAAGCGATTACAACAAGCGCGAAGTGCAAAAGGCTCTTACCAGCTTTGGTAGCCTGCCTGAGCTTTTCGTTGCTAATGCCGGTCAGGCTTCTGGATGCGTTACCATTGAGGGCGAGCCAGTGAATTTCCCCCAACCAGGTGACAATGTCGTTGGTACCGCAAGTGGTACTGGATACAAGTGCTCCGGTACTGCTCCCTTCCTTGCAGGCAGTGGCAGTTCTGGCTCCTCTGGATCGTCTTCATCCAGCTCCTCTACTTCTTCCACCACTACCAGCAGCAGCAGCTCTTCCGTCGCTGCTGCCCCCAGCACCCTTATCACTTCCGCTTCTTCTTCTAGTTCTGCTGCTCCTATCGCTCCTGCGCCTACCAGCTCCTCGTCTTCCCAAGTTGCTGCTGCCCCCGCCGCTGCTGCGCCTACCAGCTCATCGTCTTCGGAAGCTGCCGCTGCCCCCGCCGCTGCTGCGCCTACCAGCTCTTCGTCTTCCGAAGCTGCCGCTACCCCCGCCGCTCCTGCGCCTACCAGCTCCTCATCTTCCGAAGCTGCTGCTGCCCCTGCTGCTGCTGCGCCTACCAGCTCATCGTCTTCCGAAGCTGCTGCTGCCCCTGCTAGTTCCACTTCAAGCAGTACCGCTCCTGCCACCACTAGTGATAGCACCGATACTGATGACGATGGTACCGATAACAGCGATGATTTCCTGGCTGACCTCACATCTGCCCTTGGTGATTACGTTGGTGGCTCTCGTGTTGGCGGAACTAATGATGTTGAGGGCACTAAGGCTAAGCAAGCTACCCAGGCTGAGGAAGATACCAAGGCCGTTGACTCAACTAAAGCCATGGACAGCATTGATACTGTCGATGAAACAAAGGCTTTCGGTGGAGCAAAGGCTGTCGATGGAACAAAGGCTATGGGTGGAGCTCAAGCCATGGCTGGTACCCAAGCTTCTACCAACAACGCATTTTCCAGCTACGTCGGCACCTACACATGTAAAGATGGGGAAATCATCTGCTCGCCAGATGGCTATAGCTGGGCTCTGTGTGACCACAGTCATCCCGTTTTCATGGGCCCTGTAGCTCGTGGCACTGAGTGCCGCTCTGGTGGCATTGTCAGAGCCGCTTGGTAAGTGTACAATCAATCGCACTCCGACTGGGTCGGTGTGACCTGAAACCCTCTTTCTCGACCATTTCATGGGCTCTCCATGTTTGGCGCTGGCGTTGTTTTCTCTGTTGATATCTCATGTTGTTCCGCCTTAATGACTTGTGTCGTAGTGTGGCCTCGGTATCCACTGTTCTGGATGTGAACCCGATAATGTACTTTAGTAGTAGTAGTAGCGAATTTCAAACAATATAACCTAGCATATTACCTTTTTACACCCGGCTCGCTTGAAGTTTGTGAATGTCAGTGGATATTATATTATCATTATTGTTCCCGCAAAAGCTATATAAACTATCGCTACTATCATTCGCAAGATGATTATACATTCCAAAATCAGTTGCATATAATCTCAATCTCAAAAGTAAAGCCATCGAAAAGCATGATCATGGAATCATTTTCTCCAATCATGAAATGACGAAATCCATGGAGTAAACATCAAAACCTCTTGGATATTTATATACCCAGCACCAAGTTCGTAAGATTTGACTATTAGTAGTTGCCAGTATAGGCCGAGTTACCGTAGCCATACGTGCCCTCAGCAGGAGTGGCATAAGTGTCATCGGCGAGAACGTTCTTTTTATGGTTCTTGCCGAACCAATTCTTTTCACTCTTGGTATCGTGGCCCATCTCCACTTCATTTGGAGTTGGGTAAACAGGCAGTGTATCTGCGGGAGCTGTCTCTGGGCTTTGCTTGTTGCGACTGAACCATTTGCTGCGACTTCCGGAGGTGTAACCATTAGTGGGAGAAGGACCGAAGCGCTTCTCACGCTTGTGGTGGCGTGCCAGCAGCACAGTGAAGAGAATAGAGATCAAGAAGAAGAAGCTAGCAAGGGTCAGAAAAAGCCAAGTAAAATGTATATACTGTCATAACTTACATTCCAATAATTGAGACTGCGAACGTGACCTTCTCCAATTCGCAGGACAAGTGGTAACTGAGATCATTGTTCAACTTGGCAATATCGTCACTGGCGGGACCAGATCCGAGCGGCGTGTTGACAGTGCCCGTACACTTCTGCGTACCCTTGCGAGTCATAACGGCAATTGCGACCATGGCTCCGACAAAGCATACATCTAGCACGACGGCAATAAAGGCAAAGAACGTCACGCCGCCGAGGCAGCAGACAAATAAAGTGCCTAGCAGGCCATAGAGAGTGGCAGCACCAGATAGACCTTCAACGGCCCTTATCCATTGTGCTATAGGCTGATCATGGTGGTGAAGAATGGCAAGGAAATAAGAGAAGATGCCGAGGATGACTGCGGAGTCAAGGAACTGCAGCGCACGGATAGCAAGACCGAAGAAGCGTAATATAACACCACCAGCTCCCATATTGTGTAGTAGAATGTAGCAGGAGTATAGGTGAGAAAAGGTCAAGATTTTAGAGAATATAGAAAAATGGTTAAGGTAACAGGATTCAGGGCTGAATAAAATGCAGAGGCCTTAAATTGTGAGGGAAGATCAGTGGATGTACAATGGATGGAGCTCATGGGAACCCCGGTTTAATGGAGAAGGTTGATTTGCTTAGCCACACTTGCTTCAGGATCCCATGATGTCAATGGCGGTCAGAATCCTGCCCTTTTGGGCATTTGAGTGCTTGTCATACGTTGATCTTCCACTGCCGCCACTTTAATGACGATATGCAAAAAATCAAGACTCTCCACTTCCTACTCTCATTTACGTTATAACCTTTATGGAGATGGATACTGCCTCCACACGTTCGTTCCTGATCGTTCCATGTGGTCTTTCTAAGGCTCCCTTTCCAGGGAAATTATGACAGCCGCAGTTGATTTCCACTGTGTAACTTAGCACATTTTGACAGCTATTATTCGAGGTTCAGGCCACTCAGAAAGTACTCCTCTAGGGCTCTGCGACAAACACTCAACAGGAAGAGTCTGGTTCCTGTTTCAGCAATGAGCGACTGATCTTGTTTGACCGGGAGACGTCCCTATGGAACCGGGGATTTACCGATAAGAACCCCTGCAGATCCAATACGGGTTTGCTGCTTGCAGGTCTGAAGCTAGTGATATCACGCCGGCCGGAAATTGGTCGATCAGGGATTACTAGTCAGACTCACTAAAATGATAAATACAAGCTTAATGAAGAAATAGTGTAGGCTGTAGTTTCGCCTTATTGGAATGTCTTTTTTGTACCCACTTCGTGGCATACCTAAGCAGACTAATCGCACTCGCTGATTAAAGCATTCATAAGCTTTTTAATAACCGTCAGGAGCGGATGCGGGTATTAACTCGTGACATAATGCTTCCAATGTTTTAAACATATCATAATAGGCAGTCTTTTCAGTCTCACATTTCCTAATATTTTTTAAGAGATAGTTCAAAACCGCTTTCGTCCTAGTACACACATATCGATTGCTCACCTCACTGTTTCGCTCTATATAATCTTTATTTTGAAGACTAAAAGTACATACGACCAGGGCCTCCCGTCCGCCAATCCATAAGCCCTTAGCACCCAGCTCACCCTAGAGCAGCGTGAGAAATTCTCTTAGGGTGAGTATCAGGTGAGCTTAGGACCCCGGGCCTCTGGCTTAGAAGTTAGAATCTTGACTCCGTAGTCTCAAAGATAAATAAACCCTAGTTAGGCCCTCCTGTCGCTCTGGCATACTTTCTGTTCCAAGATGTCCGGTTTCGAAGATCTCCAGAGGATTGCCGTTAAACGTGCCGCACTTGCCGCATCACGTGGATTTACACTTGAGTACCAGCACACAAGAGAACAAGAAGAGAACACTATATGTCATAAAAAACTCGCACCTGCTATCATCGATAAATACGAGAATACTGTGAGAAATTAGAAGCTGTGAGTTAAAGAATATCACTAAAACCTCACCCAAGGAAATTATTCTAATAATTGGAATAGGTGGAAGATTTCCCGTAATCTACTCAAGTCCGATCCAACTACTCAGCAAATTAAGCTTTTTGATCCCTATAAGCCTGATCCAACTCTGCAGCAACTACAGCTTTTCGCTAAGGACTATTGCATCAGCAAAAAGACTCCTATCTCAGAGGTCAGCTTGTGGTAATCTCATCGGGTTTACCTCAAATTGGGAACAAGAAACTTCTAAATCTGTTCCTTGTGATGTGAAGGACGATATTCTGAATATAATTAAGTCCATGAAATCCTTACTTGGTGCAAATCTAACTAATATATCTAGTTCATAAGAACTACGCTTATAGCGAAGTACAATCTCTTAACAAAGATTCGGGAGCGATTTATGGTCACAGAAAAAGACATTGAACTTCTTCTTCATCGCCTCTTTATCAATGACAGCCATAACTATAAACATGAGAGGGAACGTGTCCAGACTAGAAGCACTCTTTTGCTCTTTGCTGGTTCGGGTGCCCGAGCAGGCGGGAACACCATGACACACAGCGAGTTCGGAATCTCCTCATAACACTAGCAGGTGAATAACAGCGACATTATCGAGCGCAAAGTTGCGAAAAAGTCCCTCAGATGTGTCCTCCTTCGATCCTCAAAAGCGTATCGGGGATAAATTCTTCGTCAATAATAGATGTGAACTCAAATCGCGCCTATCCCTTGGCGACGACGAGTGGACCGATGTCGATAATACAGGTTTCTTTTCCCCTTTCCCTCTCCTCGACTCTGTTGAACACATCACTGGATTGAAGATCCTTCCTGGTTCAATTCCCACTTTGAGCATTACTCCTTTTGGCCCAGAATCCCAGAATCAATCACCACCCGACTCGCTTGCAGTCGCTCTCTTTTGGACGACCGAAGGACGGCCACTCCAATCTTATCAGTGACCAGTTGGACTGATCTCATCCCACAATAAGGACGATGCTATAATCGCTGCCGCTATCGCGGCAAAACAGGCTAGACGGTCCCTGCGCTCTCCACCTCCACGGCAGTGGCTCCCGGACGGTGATCAAATGTGGTGATATGGAAATACAGTAGAAAGCTTATAGTGTGTAATTGGGTAGTCATGCCACTGAAGGTATTAAATTTCTTATATTATTTAAGTGTGTTTGAAGCGAAACATTCCAAGTATCATCCTTATAATACAAATGATTTAATTTGTTATAATTATATAAAAAAAATTTAATATACGATCAAATTCTACATTTATTCCTATTTTAAGTAAGATTTGAACTAAATTTATGGTGAATAGATGTAAACTCAGGGCTTCAAGTATTAATCATGGTCTAATTTATCATTCCGCGGGTTCCACAACACCCCACTAGGTTAAACTATTATTCCAGCAACCCCTAGGTTAGAGTAAACACTTGAGCTGGAGACGGTATTCAGTACCTGGCGAATTGATTATTGATGTAATGATTGTGCAGTCCCGTAGTCATTTTTATAGTACTGTATCTATATGTAAAAGTACTGTAATGGAACCATCTAGAATGGCTCCGGTAGATCTGGCAATATCTTTTATGTTGCACTAGCTATTTAAAATACCAGGGCTTCTGCTACACCTGCTGGGCCCCGTTCGCCTGCTGGACCCGCTATGCCTTCTAGGCCCGCACAGCCGGGAATACTCGTGGGACCTTGTGGACTTACAGGCCCACCAATGGATGGTGTGGTACTAGTCCGCCCTGTTTCTCTCTTGAAGCTGAATGCGTAAATGATACGGGCCATCATTAAAGCACCAATAGCAAGAGGAATTGTCTGCCCGGCTGAGTTTAAGGAATTGACTTTGTTAATGTGATTCCAATGAATTGTCATTTCTGCGGCAACGATGACTATAATACTAACTATGAGTTGTGATAGCCAATGAAGTGTTCTAAGTCGGATCATTCTTGAAAGATTTAGTTTTGCGGCTGTGTATTGGTTGCGGATTCTTCTTAATAGAGAACATACCGTTTGTCTTTACCACGACTATCGCTTTCCGTACCACTTTGAATACTCTCCGTGTCCATGCTGTGGCTTTCGATATCTTCATTTCTTTCAGATATTTCATCGATTTTTGCGAAGGCGACATATGAAACCACTGCAATAGCAAGAAGACACGAGTTCAATAGTACATTGCACACCCGAAGAAGCGTACTGTCCATTGTAACTTTCGCAAAAATGAAAGCATATGGCTTGCAGTCGGAGGACTCTTTAAGGCTTCCTGTGGTCCAAAACCACACTTGAAATGAAGATACCGCAGCAAGCACTATATATGTGAGCTGATCACTAAACCTGCTCGCTTTTAATGCAGGCCACCTTATTGGATCCCATAGTGGTTTGAATCGAGTAAGGACACGCCAGATGAAGAGTGGTACGAGAAACATATAGGCACCAAAGCACAGCAACAGCGCGATGTAAATATCAAGAGGCTCAATGGTTGATTACGAAAGCTAAATGAGAATCGCGAGAAATTCGGCAGCAACGAAAGAATAATTAGTAAACCTAATTCCAGTGATTTCCTTGTATAAGCCAAGTAAATCAGCGAGAACCAGGCTAAACCATTGTAAATAAAATCCCACTCTTATTCCGAGTCCGTACATATCTGGATTTCCTTCAATACTACATGTCGACATGGTAATGCTCTAAACTTCTGAGTTGGTGGGAAATTTGGTAACGAGTCCATAATACTGATAATCTTTCTGAGTTCTAGTCGAGACTTAAGCTGAGGGATGGATGTCCATTACGCTTGGTGTTTGAGCAGCATAATATCGGTAAGACAGGGTGTGTGTACCGATGGCCAATAAATGCACATTATTCGACACATGATACTGGTTGCCCGAAATTTCGTTAGGTAGATAGGCAGCCAGCTGAGACCAAGAGCCGTCCTGATTCCCTACACCTCGCATTCGTATTCATCTTATGCTAATATGATTTCGGTTTAGTTATCAAATAAAATTCATATCATTATAGTGTCTAAATGTGGGCTGGTTAGTTACACCTCCCTGCAAATGAAAAACAGCACATCATAGTTCTGTCTGCATGACCAAGAGATAGGGCAGCCCTGCTTATTCGCCCATATCAGAATAGACATGTTTTGGGCTAGCATCACTGGTGACGTTGCGGTTCGTTTAAGGAAGCGTAAATAGTTCCACGATGTAAATTATTCCGAATATTGATGATCGTAAGCCTGGTACATTCGGCCTCTTTAGGAAGCTTAGTTTGGTGCCCTCCCGATATGGCCTCTTAAAACAATGATCATTCTTAGCATTAAGGCCAAGTGTGTCGACATTGAAAAGTGGTAGCTGGCTCCCGTGAACTCCACTCAACCACTGACAGAAGCAACTGTGGAGGAGAGTCTTTGTGCCAAACCCCCAAACACGCCGCCATTGACAACCCAGTGAGGAGTGGTTTTCGTGTTGTCGTGGTTCCGTGAGAGCGGGGGTTTCCGAGTCCAGCGACAATTGAGAGCCTAATTCAGGGAAATAACATCGTAGCTTTTACGACTAGGTGCTGTCTACGGTCTAAGGACAAGCACGTTCACAGAGACAGAGCTGCCGGGGCTGATCCAGCAGAAAGGGGAAAAGAAGGAGGAGGAGCAATTTAGCAAGATAGTGCTAGCTTTTTGTACCAGTCGCCCGAGGGCAGTCGGAGAATCTTGTTAGAATTTGGGGGATTTGTTAAAAAAGGCACCTCGTCAATAATGATGCAAATTTTGTAGCTAATGATATGCATTTGTTGATTTTACTTCAAGTTCATGTCTAATACAACTAAGCCAACTTCAATGGCAGACTTATAACCCAGCCAGCCAATCAGAATACTAGAGGTGAGAGCACCAACGAAAGATCCACCCGGCATGGTTAAAGAGACACCGCCATGAGTGGATGGGGTAGGGATACCACAGCAACCATCTTCCGTGCTGAGCTAGTTGAAGACTATATCACGACACCAAGGGGAAAAGATCTACCACAATTTCGTTTTTGTGATCTCGAATCTCCACAGCCGAGAAATCGACATAGAAAAATCCGCGCCAGAGCTTTGAATAAGGGTAAATATCCCGTGGCAGAGAGGTACGGCAATCAGCAATTATCCAGTCATCAAGATGGCCGTTTTGTATCCAATGATAGTAAGTCCCCCCAGGCAAAAATCTCTCGCAGTGCTCTTTTACATGATCTCCCTCTCTGAGGATTTCTATCCCCCATTTCTTTGCCCCAATTCGAAAGTCAATTTTGCCAAATCCATCTACCGACCATTCGCTACTAACATCCATTGAATATCCGAGGACCACATGAATTTATCGATAGAATTCATCTTGATACGTAGCCTCTACCGGCCGATTTACCGCGCCGATCCCAAACCGCTTCACGGACCTGAGGTTTCGACGAGAGAATTGACGCAGGACAGCCTCTGTGAGGGCATGAATTGTTGGGAAATCGGCATCGGGGAAATTGGCGTGTTTATCTTTGAATTTATACTCAATAAACCTATTCTATGTTATGGAAAGGTGAATTTAGATCAGAAGAGACTAGTACTCACTTAGCATGTAGCTTAGTGGGAATTATGCATGTCGGTTCTTTGTCAAGTTGTAAAAGCTCAGCATGGAGCCAGCCCTGCTCATAACATTGCCGAATTCCTTCATTGTTGTCCCGCTCGATGCTTCCTTCAACTAAGACTTTTCGAAGAATATCCGCTGATTGCGGTGTCATCTTTCCCTCGGACGGAAATGACCGCCCTATCGCAAATTGATTTAAGTAGTCGAAGAAGGATTGTGGCTTATCCATCTCCACGCGGATGTCTGCGGCAGAAATCTCCTTCTTCTCGTGCTTCAAAGCCGAGCGAAAGACCTAGACCAAATAACAGCCATTAAATATTTTATAGACATCTGAAAAATAAATGAAGCATACCTTCAAATAACATAACAGGCCGTCCACAGCGCCAGGATGCCCGTTGGTAAAGTCAAAAAAAATAGTCATATGCTGTGTGATCAAGCAACAAAGAAGAGCACTGATTACAAGCCCGAGAGACAATATCGTCAAATTCGTCACGGGTATAGAAAAGCCCAATATTTGGGGAAAAGCTCATGATCGACGGAGTCAGCGAGACTCGTTGAAATGCGCCGATAATGACGTTTGGACTGCCAGGTAAAGCTGACGAGGGGCCTCCTGTAGGGCTGCCGTAGGAGGAAAACAAAGCAATCCGGGTGCCACTACTCATCCCTCCTACCGACTTGATCAGTCCGAGCCATAACCCATGATCGTCGTATGACATCTGGGCCTCGTCAATAATGATAACAAGGTCTGACCACCAGAGACTGGAGTATGTGACGAATTCGTGCCCTTTCTGCCGAGCAGCTTCAATGATCATAGTGGCAAAGTGATTGGGATCCAACGATAGTTTCTTGTTCACCCAGGACGGAAAGAATACCACGGGGACATTTTGACGCTCGTAAAAGGCACACAAAAGATGTGCTAAGGTTGTTTTTCCTGAAGCTGGTGTTCCGCGGCAGCTGAGCAATCGATACTCCTGCAGGATTCCGCTCAACTCAGCAACTGTTTTTTTCCCGTGGGCAAAACGAGGGCTCTAGAGAGATCTAGTTAGGCTCGAGAAACGAATCGGCAAAAGAACATACCCATGGCCCAGACCCAGCTAGTGTCTTGAATTTGTGTTCGCTTTGGCTGCTGCCGAGGAAATAAACTCAACAGGAAATTCATGGTGCGAGAGTTCTAGCGGCTAATAGTCAGAATTTGGTAAGCAGAGAGCTGAAGGCAGGTGCGTAAGATAGAGGAAGCCGCGACAGTAGAAGGTTATGTACGTAGTGGGGCTAAATTTATCATGGCGGGCCGGGCCGGGGAGACTAACCCAAATGCGGAAACAAAAGCTAGTGAGGAAGGGAATATTTTTTAGCAGTCAAGGGGATAGTTTCAGGTTTCGCCAAGGCGCAAATTTGGACGATTTTGCCAGTCAAGGGGATAAATAGATTGAACACACATATGGATGAGAACTGACACACACCCACTTTCTCAATCTCATCTTGATGAATACTGTCCACCTAATCTGTCTGACCAGGGGCTCAGGAAAACCTTCTTTCTTCTCAATACAACTAGTGGTAATGGAATCTTGGAAATCGTAACATACGACGCATTCTGAACTCGAGAACGTAAAAAGATTTTTGACCCTCCAACCCCACAAAAGGCGTTGAAAACTAACACAATCCATTACCAAAACCTCTATTACCGAGTCCAATCCCCATATCGTGTTGAACTCCAACACAACATCAAATCTCCCTAATGTGTTAAACTAATACAATCGCAACCCATCACTATAGTTGAAGCAGTGTCACCTCCCCCAGACCAGTGTCTCCCACTTCTCCCGCCACTTAGCTACTATCCAGCTGAAGGCGTGATCGATAACGACGAGGACGATGGCGGATAACCCATCAACCAAGGTACATCCATCCCAGAGACCAATATAATAGTCACGATCCCAAAGATCGCGAGCTTATCAAACACAGCGAATAATATCAGAATATGGACCTCTGCAGTCAAATATGGAATCACGCAAGTCTCGCTTGACAGACTGATTGACAAGGCCCTTGAACGCCCTATTAAGGGTACAGAGAACCACACAAAGTGGCGATATTAATCCCAGATTCAATTGGAGAGATTCATTGCTCAGATATGCAAGAGATTTGCCGACTGTTGGCTCTTGATGCAGGGGAAATTTGGCTTTTGCCTATTAAATGGCTAGAATCAAGTGCCTAGACTAGATGGAATCTGGATGTACTGCCTTCGTGACGGCTGTTGGGTTAGTTCTGGACAATTGGGAGCGCTCAAGGTCTATTATTTTACTATATTAGCCTAGGATGATTTTATCCCTAGTTACCAAACTCTTTCCCGAGTTTGGTAAGCATGCGGCAACAGTTTTTCATGGGCACAGGGCCAAATAACCCTGAGTTAAGTGTGGCCACCACTAAGGGTGACATGTTGTCAGGTCTCAGATGATTTGTCGTTGGAGGAAATGTGATGCTTTGGGGGGCCACGACTGTATTATTATTGAATTTGTGTCCACATTTCATCTTTCGCGGCGTCTACATTTTTAGAACGATGCGGGATATCAGATGCATTTAGAGGGAGAATCGATAGCGATTTGGCCGTGTCTGATCCCTCGTTACCGTTGACCTGTGCCGTATTATCGACTCATTGTCTAGTATTTAATACTGCCCCTATTTCCTGCTTCCTATCTATTATGACTTAGACGCCTGTGGCGAGGACTATTATGACCCCTGAATTGAGGCCTTCTATTTATTCTTCTTCTCTCATCTCCTCATGTCCATCACATCCTGTGCTCAGTATAACGCACCGCACTTTGCACGTTGAAAGCCTCTATAGCCACACATCGATCGACGACTTACTGCAGCCATTCGCGAAGCCACCAATCCAGGCATTCACTCAACAAGCAGATGCATACACACTGAATATGAGGGAAAACAAAAAGATACTCCACCCCATCAAATTTGAAAATCAACTACATTTTTAAACACATATCTAAAGACCGAATTAACGTAAATTCAATTAAATAACACGATCACAACACTGAGAATATATATATGCCCTTTCTTTCCACACCCAGAATAAGTAACTTAGCGTTGGATAGGTGGTAAAATAGGCAATTCAGGCTTATTAGACTCGATTTGAGTAGCTTCAACACCACTCTCCAGTCATACATAAAATCAACCGTTGGTAGTACTGTTCTGATCTGTAATTACCAGTACAGAGGCGCCCGATCGAGGGAAACCATCTCGATCCACTGGTCAAGCTCGTTCATCCGGCTCGAAAAAGATTCGTGAGCAGATTCCACCCTATTGCTGATAAGTCTGGACGATGAACTCATTACTGCCAACCTCTTCGTGATTTCGTTCGCCTCAAAAAGGCTAACGAGTTTTCTCTTTGCAGGTCGCTTCTGAGCCCGCTCCCGGCAAATTCGGACTAAAATGTCTTCGTCTGATTCTGTACCCTTGTCTTGAAGGAGATATTTCAGCTCACGATCAGCTATATCAGGACAGAGTGGCGGATGGGAAGTGATTTTGTTAACCCATTTATCCACTGCCATCTCAAGAGGTGTGGTTCCCACTGCGGATTCACGGTACAATAAATCAGGACGGCGATCAAGGATTTGTTCTAACACATAAGGAAGTCCTTGCTTGACGACTTGGTGAGTTATAGTGTTTCCTAATCCATCGAAGACATCTAAGAGCTTTTGGTCTGTGGAGCTGGCTAGATCGAGGACTGTGGCCACTATACTTGCTATCTCACTAGACTTCTCGGTGAATGAAGACGATAGTGACTGTAGCCAGCGACCAAGGGGTGTTCTTGAGCTCTTACCGGCACGCTCAATTAGCATTGTCGAGACGTGTTGCTTGTCTAGGAGATTGACAAGCTTTTTCACGCCTTCACTTTCTAAGTGAGGTTCACCTTGAAGCTTAACGAGACAGTGATGAAGAAGATTTTTTGCCTTATTGTCACGAACGGCCTGATTTGCTCCTGCGGAGATCAAGATCTGGGCAAATGCGATCCGGTGAAGCGCGAAGGCAAGGGCAAGCGGAGTATACCCTTCCTTAGATCGAACTTCCAAACATTCTGGGTGATGATCAACCAGATACCGTACTAGATGCTCCGAATTCTCATTGATATCACACAAAATGGCGCAATGAAGCACAAGATTATCTGTTAAAAAAATTAGAAAAAAGTACTTCGAGAAATTTCCCATGGCCTCTAGAGATCCGCTGAACATAGAGTTGGCACCACCCTTCGATTCTTGATGAAGTGACTGAGCTTTGCCTCCCGTTATATCCAGTCGGATTGATCAGCTTATAAGAGTGGTGATACATACCTCCTGCTTGTAGCCAATTATGCACGGACCCTTCCACGCCATGCTTAGAACGGGTAAGTCTTTTCACACCCGCATTGTCAAGATGCGAGTTAAGATAACCAATGTAGTAACGAGCTGGAGCGGTGCTAAGGAAGAATTCGGTGCTCGCAAGGTTTCCTTTCAGAGCTGAATGCAAGAGAGGTGAGGTCACATCCTGTAGCTCGGGTAAGGTATCTCGATTCATCTTGGCCCAGTCGGAGCGCTTTTGGCCGCGGACTGATAAACCTTGGTAGGAAAGACCATCTTGCTCAGGTTCAACATCTGAGTTCATGCTTAGTATAGCAAGTGGAAATCCAATTCCAGTACTTTGAATAAGCTTGGCAAGACACTCAGTACGGCCTAGCGAAATAGCAAGTCGAAATTCATCCTCCGGAAGCCAGGCAATCACCTCATCAAACTCAGATTCAATGAGAATGCGCATCCTCATCTCCAAGATAAAGTCCAAAAGAGAGATATCGTTCTTATAGATAGCAAACATCATGATGCTACCCTCAGTTTCGGCTGACTTAAATCCGGAAATATCCATTGAAAGCTGTTCACTCATATACCCAAAAATGTCAAAGCATCTGTTCAGTGCAGCAATAGGAAACACATCGCTTTCGGCGTGAGTTACCGCTTCTCCAATATTATCATGAGTGAAGGTATCATCATGAACAATGCTGGTGATTGGAAGTTCTTCATCTTGGTAGTCATCATTCTCTATATCGATTTCGAATCGCCGAGTTGTGAATGTCGGTTTATATTGAGTACCGATGATCTCGAGAATGGATTTTGCGACATCAAGATGACCACGCAAGATAGAGATAGATAGGCATGTTAGCCCACGGTCGTCATTAACAGCGAGCTCAAGTGGTGGGTTTGAGGACCCCCAAAGCCCTAGAGTTAGCTTCCGTATCGTATCAATATCTCCGTTCCAAGAGGCTTCAAATCTTCAATTTCGGTTAGTCATATAGATCCCACATTTAAAGCATGGGCACTTACAATTCCAAATATCCTTCACGGCCATATGTAGTGCTAGATGTGCCGTGAAACTTGAATCTGATTCTAAGAGGATCTTTGACAGAACCATCCTCTTTATTATCATCACTGTTTCTAGAGCAAGCATCATGGCCCCGACTCTCCTTCTCTGGGTGAAGCTCAGAGAAAGTTTTCGCCCCTCTTTTCAAAAGTTCATTTTCGAGAGCCGCGTACTCTGAAATCAAGCGGGCGATCACTTCGTATTTTTCAACAGTTCCTTCTTCATCAGCTTGACGAGCTATCGCAGTGTGGCTCTTCTCGGCGGATAAACTGGTTTGTCGTGCTCTTTGGAGAATTCCCTTCGCAATAAACATCTTGTAGCTCCCTGGCTGGAACTTGGCAATATATGATTCGTCACCACCTGTAAAATTCATAGGGCTAGATATCCGGCATCTCCTGTCAATCCTACCAGAATAAAACTTTTTGAGTCTTTCTAGAGTCTTTCGCGTGGTCTCCAAAATTGTCTCGTGGTCATTGAAGTATCTTACTTCCGTATTTATATTGACACCACGGGCAATAAGGTCAATAGCAAATGACGGAAGATATTTTGTGATAGCAAACCAGATTGGCTGCCAATGATTGAAATTTGAATGTTCGTCGAGTGGATTTCGCGGAAGGTATCTCTTGATAGCATTCAGAATCTCGCTGAACTCAACCTCTGGCTCTGCACCTATATCCAATAGCCTTGTTGCAAACACAGGGTTATTTGCACGAAGTGCCATTACCAGTACTGAATAGAAACCTGGATTGTAAAGGCCAATTATCGAAAAGTGATTCAGAGCCCTTTGTACAGCTGGCCTATCATTTTCAAGGTAGGTATCAAGAAGCTCCGATTTATCTGAAGCAGCAAGGTAGTGAAGTGGTGTTTTATATTCAGCGTCTGCTTGGGCAACTGATGCTCCGAGCTGAAGAAGGGTCTGTGACATCTCACGAGCTTTGTGAAGTGGCAGTGTAAGAGCGAGAACGAGATTCAGAATTGACTGGTTTTCGGAGTCGTACACCGTTTTAATCGGTATTGAAACATCAGCTTTGAAGGATGTGACAAGCTCCTTCACAACATCGGTGTGACCATGAAGTATAGCAAGGTGCAATGGAGAAACATGGTTATCCCATGTAGTAGCGTTGATGTCGTAGATATCTGGCTCAAGTAGATTTTCCTCTGTAGCATCATCAATTCTCTCAACTTTGATATAGGAGTCATCGTCTTCATTTTCACTTTCTTCGTCTTCTTCACTGTCCTCATTCTCACTTTCTTCATCTTCCTCATTATCCTTATCTTCATCCTCTTTGTCTCCGTCGCTGTTTGTGGCAAGCAGTTCATGATCTTCTGGCTTTTTGGGCTCTGTCTTTTGTGCCTCTTCGTTTTCGCTACTCTTCTCAAGCAAAATTCGAATGATCTCGATGTCTCCTCGAGCAGCGGCAAGATGAAGAGCAGTTCTTCCGTCGAACTTATCTCATCAGCAAATGTCTTGATACACAAGGTAGAAAAAAACTTACTAGGCGTGAAATGAGCCGAGCACCGCTATTAACAAGAGACTGAACAATTCCAGGTGTTGATGAAATACAGGCCAAATGCAAGGGTGTCCGACCTGTTATGTCACGTCGATTTGGGTCACCACCATCTGCTTCTAGACACGCTTTCACACCCTTCATATCATTCAACACAATTGCATGGCATAGTCTCTCAGTATCGCTGATATATGCCATTTCTGGAAACAAGGTTAGCTATTTGATCCAGCATGGATGGGCTTATAGGGGCTAGATACCGATCCAATCAGTATCATTGATGGGGTTAAAGCTTCCAATCTCTTGACGACCAGGATCATTTTGAATAAAGGAAATCTCTCCCGAAACATAGATTTTGCTTTCTTCCTCAAGAACTTTGGTTTCTTCCTCCGTGACTGGCTTAGGACAAAAACCGCAGCAATCATGGAAGATATATTCTGCGTCACCAAAAAATGCTGGATGACGGTGAAGATAAACTCCCCGGTTTTTTGGTTTGTTCCACTGAGCATTCAAAAGTAAGTCTTTGGCGTAAAGCAACCTTTCAATATTTTTTGCGTGGAAACGTTTGCCATATGGAATTGTCTGTCTGAAAGTCAGTATATAGTAACCTATCTAAAGATTCAATGTTTTTGGAAGAATCTTTTTGAAAGGGTAGCTCGCACAAAAGTATGGTAGCTCGAGACTTGATCTTGTTCTTGCCAGTCAGGAACTTCGTCATCCCATTGGTCTTTGATGTTCCCCTTCAAAGCTCCCCGTGAACGTCGCATTGTGCCGATATTACCTGCTGGCCGGCCACGCTCGATGCGCCTTCTCAGCTGATAGTTGTCTCGATCTTCAGGCTTAGGGAGTTTTTCTAGCACTAGGAGTCTTGCAAGACCCTGAGTTCTAGTAAAGCTTCGCTCGAAAATGGTCTATGTAATATATTAGTCAAACCTTCATACAGAGTAGTCGCAGCAGCGGTCTATTTAGGTTAGGAATAATAGATCCATCTTACCGGGTCTATTTTTGAACGGTCTAAGCCAGTCCAAAAAACTTCAAATCCTCGATGCGAATATTTTGATAGTCGATTTTCGTATGATGGAGAGCGCCGGGTCAGGTCTATCTGGTTGACCTGCGTGATAAAAGCTGCAATAGCACGCGGCGAAGCATAGACCTGTTGACCATCATAGGCCACACATGAAACATCCACATCGAACCCTGTAAGTATCTCAGACAAGGATTGATAGATTCGAAGAACAATCTGTATATGCCGATTTGGATACTGCGAGGCAATTGTGATTGTGTTCTTTGTCCTGATCGTTGTTGTTTCGTAAAGAATGGTGTTTCGGATCTTATCTTCGATTTCCATAATCTTTGTAAGAGCTTGTTCATCGGTCATACCATATAAGAAGAGATCCACATCAGAAGCCGGAGTAAACACATCATGGTAGTATTTGCGAAGACTACGCTTGGAACCGTGATATTTCTCTGGCACAGGTAATAAGGGAGTGACAACAGAACTGCCAGCAGCAACTATATTCGTCCAGTCTATATCATTCAATGCACCTTCTGTGAAGATATTGAAGTTGTTTTTGAATTCGGCCAATGTTGTTACCACTGCTTGTGAGCCATTTGGCTTCCGTAAATCATTAGGTAAAGGAAGAATGTATTTTTCTTTCTGCTCGGGTGTTTCGGACGAAAGTTCTCGTGCTCGAATACGAATATCTGTAGAGCCAGACTTATCATATAGGGGGACGACGTTGAGATGAGGGGTTTTCAAAATCGAGTTTGACGGGTCTTGCGCATATATCCTACGCAGAACTGCATCGTAATTGTTGAACTGGATAACCAGGTCCGCCATTGGGGGATCGGGGTTTGAATGAACATAGTTCAAGAATTCGCGGTGTTTCACTGGAAGATGGGGTAATTTGAACTCCATGTTTCCAAGAAAATATTGGTTGAATGAGTTATTCTACGGGGGGAAAAATCCAAGTTAAATGAAAAAGAGCTGAGTATTTATGACCAGTTGATAAAAGACTTTAATATTCTCCACTTTCAGACACCAATCATCATTTAGTATCATAGGCAGCAGAGGCTGCCTATTTTTTATTGAGTTAGCCCGCTTACTTATTTAGGTAATTCACTATATTTAAAAGGTGTTGTTGTGTTTTTTTTGCGGAGTTAACTACCAGATGCGGGATATGGGTGAGCTGAGGTAGACGCGTACAGAATCTATAATTCCCCAATATTCTTCGTTTTCGGGGTACAGACAGGGTAAATTAACGGCGATCCGGGCTCGTAACTGTCAACTTGTGCGAGGAAGTAGGATTACAAGAACCAATCAGAAGACTTCACAATCTCAAATATGTGTGTGTTTGCAGCAGTAAATCTAACGGCTGTGAAGAGCGCACGGAAGCTGACTAATAAAGCGAAATAGACTGAAATAGGACTGTCCATTTGACTATGTCAACTTGGGCGAGGAAGTGGGATTACAAGAACTGATTAGCGTCAAAATTCATTACAGCATTCATGGGCGCCCCGGAGAAGTATGCGAGGGCAAGAGGATTGCCCTACCTGGGGTTAATTTATCTTTTGATCTACAGAGTAAATATTCTAGGGCAGGGGGGCTAAGCTCACCCAAATCACCCTAACGAAGTTTCCCTCGCTATTTTAAGGTGAGCTGGGTGCTGAGGGCGCATGGACTATTGGTCGCGTTTCATAGATGGCTTAATTACAGCTGAGCGGACGGGAAGCCCTGTTCTCCACACCCTGTAGTCGTATATGATAGAGAAGTTGGGAATGTGACACATAGACCACGGCTGTTAGTCAGTTACGTGTCAGCTGAGAAATGAATGAGTGCTGCTTTAGCGTCGCGCGGCTAAGGAACTGAGTGAGTGCAGCGGAAAATCTGACGGTTCAAATTCACTTCTTATTCAAGTCATCTATCGAGTCTAAATGCCCAGCTTGCGAGATAGACCTGCAACGAAAAGCTATGGTAATGGCAGAAGACATTCCAGAGGTCAGTCTTGATATTTGATGTCTCTTATCCTGGGAATGCACTGGTAATCAGCGTCCGAAGCGCCCTTCCCACACGCTCTGTCACTAGCTCCCTATTCGATTCGGAGCTGGAAATGGCAGTTCTGATAACCCAGAAGAATTTGACACAGATCCAAATGCAATAATGAATGACTCTTGGAAAATACAAGTCTTTCATAGAAAGCCACAGATAAGGTTATCCCACAAATTCTCACAGGATTCGCTAGAATCAGACACCATGTATCAAAACAGAGCGCTTAAACGATGATGAAAGTGCACTCGGTCGAAACTGAGGAAAGAACGAGAACACAATAACACCAAGATGATCATGTAAACACAATTCAAAACGGTGCAGATCGAACTCGGCTGTTACGAATAATGTATCTCCATAGTGATCTAGTAAGATCACAAAGCCATCGAAGGGTATCATTGCATTTAAGAGGCTTCTTTCTCTTGATTGTTTTCTCGAGATTCAATATATGCGCGGAGGATAGCATTGACTCCTTCGTTGCGACGACCCAGCATCATCACATCAGAGATATTCACTTTAGACCGCCCAGCATGTCTGATGAGAATTAATCAGTATCATTTGGCGTAACAGGATCTAGGAATAAATAAAGCCAGGTCTTTTGGACGGTCCTAGAAGAAACTCACTTGGCAAATGATTCAATATCGATACTCGCTGTCTCTGTGGATGATTGTCAGTCCCATGGAAAGCCGGGACTATTAAGCTGCAGTCTTGCATAGCGTGTGAAGTGTACATACCAAGCTGTATCCAAACAAGCTCTGTCAGGGCCGAGATAAACTGAGGAGTTGTACTTATGCCAAATTTAACGGTCTCTTCATCTGTAATGTCGGTGACAACGCGCCACAGTTCGGCTTTCAACCGCTGTAAAAACCATCAGATAACAGCTGGGAGAATCACATACGTAGAATGAACTCACCTCTTCCTCAAGGCTTTTCTCGTCCGGCAGAGGCATGATTGACAGACGGAGCGTAAATGTGAAGCTCTACAGCGCGTCCCACTTGGAGCCGCTGATTGGCCTCAGACGCGTGATGATGAATAATCGGGTTAATAATATTCCGAGCCGGAAGCGGGGATTTCATCCGCATTTGAATTAGCTTAGATTAATGATCCTCGGTTCCTCGTGGAAGAAGGAAAGAACATCTGGCATCTCTTGAGCAATTTGAGCTCTCTGCCATTTCTTCACGAAGTCTGCCCCATTTTCAATTCCTCTCTTGTATGTGTCGCCAATAAGACAACTCTTCATCTACAGCTACCCGAACCTCCCCGCGGTTGACCGTCTCCGAAAAAAAAAAAAAAACAATAATACCCACAATGGCCAACACAATGGCGAACGACCAGCCAGACCTCAGCGACGTTGCTGTGGAGGCCGCGAAGGATTTCTTCAACCAGGTCTTTGGTGTTCTCATCGCAGCTGTCCAGCGTTTCTGCCGCAATCTTTACCACTCCTTCGCCGATGTTGGCAGACGCCGCTGGACCAAGGTCATCGGCAGTGTGATCGTCTACCTCATCCTGCGCCCCTATATAGAGAAACTGTTCAAGTGGCTGCAAGAGCGCGATCGCCGTTTGCAAAAGGAGAAGGAGGAGAAGCGGAAGGCTGCGCTCGGTGGAAAGAAAGCCAAGGTGTCTGCCAATTCCCTGCGCGGTGGTGAAAGTGGCAAGGTCCTTGGCGAGGTCGAGAACACCGAAGACGAACTCGAGGAGGATGATGAATTTACTGCCGAGGCTAGTGGTGTTCCTGAGTGGAGCAAGATGGCCCGTAAGCGCCAGAAGCGCTATATGAAGAACTTGGAGAAGAAGGAGGGAGGCCGCGCTGAGAAGCTCTCTGAGGATCAGATTAAAGAGTTGCTGGACTGGAGTGATGATGAGGATGACAAGAAGAATGCTTAGACGTTCTTGGCTTTCGTCACCCAAGAAGAGTTCTCAATCGCTTCTGGCTCTTGTTGGCTCGGTATAACCTGGGGAATTCGCTGGCCGGAATGAGACTATAGACTTTGTGTACGCGTTCGAATCTGTATTTATTATTACTCTGTAATCTAATCCGATATTAATTTCATGCATTGCATCTATAGTTTCTACTGCAAGAACTATGTAATGAACGAAGTCTCATTGCTTCTCGACACTATTTCACATTCGAAAAGAAACGGTCTCCTTCAACTACCCCTCATAAACATCATTGATCATAATCATGACAACCTCTCAATGCAGTCTCCGCAGTGCCTCGATGATCGTTTTGACCTCTTCGACATCGCTCGAGCCGACATCTTCCATGATCTCTAATTGCATGCTTGGACGACAGCGGAGGAACTCCTCGATGAGTTCACCGTCCACGAATCGATAGGGTGTCTGTTCCGAGCGAGATGGTGTATGAAATGCACGGAACTTGTCAAAAGGCAAGTTACCGAGCGATTTGACATGACTGGCGATTGAGTTTTGGAGGGTCATGAGGAAATCCTGGTAGTCAGGGTTGATTACGGCAAATAGATAGATGGACCCTTCGATCTTTGGTAAAGTTAGCATGAGACTGGCCGTGAATAATAATCAATGATCATGTCCTTACTGTTGCCAAGAAAGCTCGCGGAGTCACGGTGACACTTGATAGCTGGGGAATATTGATGGTACGAATTCGGTTGACCATCTCTCCAAGCGAAATCTCGCTTGTCGGAATAAGCCGAAGCCTATCTGCCTCGGTAACACCTTCGCTGTTGCGAGATAGGACTATCAGGTTGCCGCGGGCTTCGCTGACGAGAACAGTGTCTTCGCCTATGGATGCGACTGCTGTACTCCAGATAGCCTGGTAGTGGCGAGCGATTTCTACTAAGGAATCCTTGATACCGTTCTTACCCGGCACATATTTGACAAGGCAAACACTCTTCATGAGATCGGCTACAATGATCATATCATCGACGATAGTCAAGTCGACGGGTGCAGTCGAGGTACGATAACTAGCGAGTTTTACAAGCTCCATTGAGCCAAACTCGTTGCTGACAACTTTGAAGACGACAACCTAGAAAGAAGACTTAGTGATCAAAGTTGAACACGAGACCAAAGATATCTACTTACTGTCTTGACAAGCGCCGCAACAACCTTGTCACCCATCATAGCGAGCACACGACATGCGCCCTTGACTGGTAGTTCAGCAACCTGGATTAACTTGCGCCCATGATCAACTTCAAGAACTAAGATCCGCCCGCGGATAGTCTCTTGTGAGCTCTCGTCCATAAGCGCCGTACCGACAAGGAACCGGTCTTTTACGAGGTCTCGGCCATTTTGATCCTTACCGGCTGGGAGCTCAGCACGAATCACGCTCTCAATCAGTTCATTAGGATTGAGGTCCCATACGTCCAAGCGTCGGAACATTATCTCATCTGCCAGCACAAATTGACTCTTGACGATCTCGATTCCATGCTCCAGCTTGCGATCAAGAGTGCCCATTCCAAAGGCTTTCTCAGAAGGCGAGTAGGCTACTCTGCGCACGGTAGCTCCCATGGGAAGTGTTTGGATCTGGGTTGTGCGTTCCTTATCCACAAGCACGATTTTGAGCTCAGTGGCTGTGGCCATGGCGATAGATCCTGGGAATGCCTCTGTGTTCAAATGGCATATCCGAGAAGCCTCCTCGGAGTTAACAGCAGAGTAGATGATACGGCCTTCAGAGCCATAAATCAGACTAGAGTTCTCGCATGTGGCGAAGACGTTGTACAAGCCATCCCCTCTGGGTAGCTTTTTAAAGGTCGGTTGCTCAGATCCCAGTATTAATTTTTTCATGCCTGTGAGTGAATAATCTTCGTTATTCAATGAGAATGTCATTACACTTCCATCAGCCATGGACACAAAAAGTGTTGGCTCGCTGTCCTCGAGCACTTCAGCCACGAGGACAGACCGAGGAAATGCCTCTCCAGCCTCACCTAGCGACTTGCTCAGGAGTTCGGATAGGTCACTAATGTTAAGGATAGATACTTTGGCTTGTTGAGGGAATCCGGCGATACAGATGCCTGCCGGATTGAAAGGCACCGTAACGCCGGAGATCTGCTGGTCGGCGCCAAGATCCTTCTGCGTGATAAGTCGTACATCACTTCTGACATCAAGCGAAACTAAGACCTGGCCAGCGACGACGAGGACCAGATGTTCATCGTTGGCAGATGCAGCGGTGATGGCTTTCTGTGTCGGAGGAGTCCAATTAAATGCGACCATTCCACTTTCAACATCCGTAACGACCACTCTCTTTTCTGTAACCTGCAAGATTCGGCGTCCCTGGAGATTGGCGGCCAGCAGGGTGCTCTCACCCAGCGACAGCCCCAAAAAGTTCTCTAACTCCTCAACTTCTCCATCAGAGCTGAAACGGAACACACGCGTTTCGTCCACGAATGTAACTAGAAGAGTATCGAGAAAATCATCGACACTTGACACCTGCAGTCCCCATAAGTCTGTTATGTGCTCCATTTCACCCAAGACACCCATCTCCTCCATTCCGACTCCGCTTCGCACGGTTCGTAAAGTCCCGTCATCGAATGCTCCAGAACCTGTCACGATTCTAGCTTGGCCAGATGAGAATTCATGTGTCTGGCTCTCACTGTTAGGGTTACCCAAGTCCATCACCGTAAAATCCAGGATTGGAGCGATGTTTGAGATGGTCTGAATGACTTCAAAAGAGCCATCTCCGATTCGTAGTACTTGTGAATCGCCCTGGTGTGATCCGACGAAGACAATTCCACCACCTAGATAGACAAGGACAGTGGCACGAGATGTACTCCCAAGAAGATCAAGCTTCCAGTCATCGACATTGCCCTCATTGTTCAAGAGAATCATCAGAAAATACAAGCGGCCGTAGTCATCGGCCAACAGCCAACGTTGACTATCAACTTTTTCCCATGCCACAAAGATAGTGGCTTCCTCTAGATCGCGCGAGATTAGATCGTTTGCGTTGTCGTCAATATACTTAATCGTTGTTTCTCCCAGGACAATAAGTCCACCTGAATCGAATCTTAGCAAAGACCACGCGAAGAGAAATCTTGAAACTGACCTAATGGGGCTGGGATAGGAATCAAGTGAGAGGATCCCAGATCGAGTTCATGTCCAAAGACTCCTCCTTCCAGCTTCTTATCCTGAACCTCTTTGAAAGTCGCATCCGCAGCACCACTCGTGGTGGCTCGGGTATACTCCAACTCCCGGATTCTGAGTCTGATCTTCTTCTGGTGATCCTCATACAACAGCACTAGCCAAGGCAGATTGGACGCGGAATGCAGGAAAGCTGATGACCGGACGAACAATTCATCAATCCGTGAAACAGTGAATTCGCCCAATTCTCCAACCTGGGGTGGACCTGCCTCCAAGGTGGCCTGCGAGACTCGACCTTTTTTCTTCGATGGCTCTATGATAGGAATGACTACAACCACGCCCTCGTAGACCTCAAGTGTAATGAACCGTCCGCTCGGGTCAACAAGACATCGTGGATTTGTTTGAGATTCTCGAGAAGACGGCTCAGAGATATCGACATAGCTGCGTGCTGTTTTAGCTTCATTTTTTGTGCTGTCCCAGACCAGCGTGAAGTAATTCAATTGGTCTGTACCGACAAAAAGATGATCAGTCGTTGAATTTGCCGGCGTTGGGAGGCGGGCAAGCATCGTCACTTGCGCATAGATTGAGCGGGCGCTAGTGAGGGTAAGGCCATCGGGAGTGAGACTGTAGAATTCTAGACGGTTCGCTTTGCTATAGAATTGTCCAAGAATTAGTTGATCTCCGATCTTCAACAAGCTGTGGTTTGTTTTACACTCACGCGACCACCAAGCACTCTTCCTCCGAGTTTATGAAGTTTAGTTTCACAGCATGGCGAATGCCACTTGCGCGATGGATAGGCACAACGTAGGCCATATTGATGGTCGCTTTACGGCGTGTGGTTTGTCGTTAACCGTGTTGAGACCGAGCTTGCGCCTGGTTGGACCGATGCGGGGCTGAACCGCAAGGTCAGAGGAGTGTGGCGGGCTCGATGAAATAGAGGATAACTTAAAGGAAAGGGTTTTTAGATTGTGTGTATATATCTAAAAAAGTTGAGATGAAGATGATGTGGTAGGCGGGAGTGTAAAGACCTGTGTTTGTGATGTTTGACGTTCAACCTTGAGTTCCCCGATTCCAAGGGAGCCGAGACACCTCCACTCCATACCTCGGCATTCTAGCACTTTTACCTGAAGTATACCTACTGAATCGGCACCATATCATTTAGAATTTCTATTCGGTATTATAAACTCTTCTCTACAATAAATACCAACTTGACACAATCAACGAGGTTGGATCTGTTTCTAGGGGTCATAATATGAGCATTCGGTCCAAATATTTAGGGCCTTGAACTGCTGAATTGATTAAGCCAGGTGCTGGAGCCTGATTATGGATATTACCTGCTTCTTCTTCTTCTTTCACTCAAGTGGTAACCCATCATGCTACTGCCCAGGTGATTAAAATCCTTTGATACACTGTTTCGGCATACCTAAGGCTCATGTCTAGCACTTGTTGTCAGTTGAGCTCGACCAAGTTGGTTTGAGTCAACAACGAACGTCTCGATACAACCTTGAAAAAGGTGTCTGTGGCATTGAGAACGACAGTCTCGAATTGTACGATGAAGTGGAATCACTTGATACGCAAGACAACAATCTGGCCTCAGATCAAGAAAGAAATTGTGGAATCCCTGGATGGGATTGATCTATTAACAAAACCGAGACGTCGAATTTGAACGTTCTATATCATTTTTTATTCTATTTCATCATTCACCCCGCACCATAAGCAGTCGCTCCTAGCAAGAAAGAAGGTTAAGGGACCAGCAAAAAGTGTCCAGATCAATAGTGAAAGAAAGAAGAAGTAGAATAAGAAATACAAATTCTAAGGTATCAAATAACCGACAAGGCTATTTTGGAAAAAAAAAAAAAAAAAAAGCCGAACATATATGCTGGATCATCTAAACGTGACGCGGATATGATGAGAACAGCTAAAGGGGAGAAAACGGAAACAGAAGCTGCATGCAATTAGGTAGATTATGACCAGACATCCTCCTGGTAGCTTCCGCTACTCCGGAGGTGCTTGACCATTTCCTCACCTTTCTCAGCGGGCAAGCCCCGCTGCTGGGCGATTATGTGGCCGAGCTCTATATTGACCTCACGGGCCATGTTTGCGGCGTCACCACAGACGTAGAAGTTGGCCTTTTGCTTTAGCAGCTCGCTGACTAGTTCGGCATTTTGCTTCAGGCGGTGTTGGACGTAGACCTTCTCGTTGCCTTCACGAGAGAAAGCGGTGATGATCTTGAGAGAGTCGCCCATCTGTTCCTGGTATTTCTGTTGAAACAGTTAGAATTTGTTCCATGTGCAGAAAAGTGGGTAAAAAGAGATCTTACCTTGAACTCGTCTTGATAGATGAAGTCTTCGTCAGACTTGCGGCATCCGAAGAACAAAACAGTGGTGCCAACCTTCTCACCCTTGGCGGCGAGAGCAGCGCGCTCCTGAATGAAACCACGGAAAGGAGCAACACCGGTACCGGGACCAACCATGATAATGGGCTTGGAAGGGTCGGAGGGGAGCTTGAAGTTGGAGTGACGGACGTGGATGGGGACGCGGATACCGTTGTACTTGTCACGAGGACCAGAGATGGCATAGCTAGAAGCATAAGAGTCGATGGAAGCGTCGCCGTTCTGCTTCTGCTTGAGTGCCAGGAGGTAATTGGTAGTAACACCCTTGACTACGTGGGCAGCACCGGGAAGACGGACGGATTCGACCACAGCGGTGATGCTGATCTTGTCCTTCTGAACCTGAGACGAAGAGGAGATGGAGTAGTAACGGGGCTGGAGCTTGTTGAGACCTTCAATGAGCAGCGAGAATGGGACGGCGGAGAAAGGCTTGTCGGTGATGCTCTGGAGAGCCTGGGCGATGTTATAGCACTGTGCGGTGATCTTCTCGTGGAAGTAGTCCTTGTCACCTCCCAGACGAACGATTTCGGCCTTACTATTCTCATCGGGGGCAAAGGCGGCAAGAGTTGAGACGAATTGACGGGAAACGGGAGCGAGAGATTCCATATAGTAACGAACAGCGGCATCATAGGTGGTTGGGGCGGGGATGGGGACCTTGGAGGTCACGTCGATGCCCTTGATGTTGATAACAGTATCACGCTTGTCCTCGAGACCAAAAACCTTGAGGAAGCGATCGACTTCCTCACCGGCATTGGTGGGCCAGATAGCAATATGGTCACCGGTCTGGTAGCTCAAGTTGCTACCGGCGATACTGATTTCCATGTGCAAGCAGTTACGGTCCTTGACGTTGAACAATTCGTAGGATTCGACAATAGGAGCAATATACGGGTTGTGGGGGGAGAAGGGACCCTTCTCGCGACCCTCGCGGTGGGCAGCAGTGGGCTCTCCAAGGTAAACAGTCTCTTCCTCGGGCGAGGTAGACTCATCTTCAGTGACAGAGAAGACAGCTTCGTAGACGGCGTCACGTTCCTCGAGACCCATAGATTCGGTCAAAGCAGTCCACATAGGTTCCTTCCAGGCGAGGAAGTCCTCCTCCATAGTACCGGCACCGTCATCACCCTCACCAGCGGAACCAATACGAGTAGCACCGAGCTTAGTGAAGGCGGCGTCGACGTTGCGGACCATGGAGTTGTAGTGTTCATAAGTGTTGTTTCCAAGACCGAAGGCGACATACTTCAAGGAAGACAGAGGCTTGTCGTCGGCGGTGGCTCCGCTTTCGAAGGCTACATCATCACCGGTGAGAAATTGGTAGAACTCGACGGCATTGTCAGTGGGCTCGCCCTCGCCGTAGGTAGCCATAACGAAGAAAGCAACCTTGTCCTCGGGGAAGGTGTCTAGAGTCTCGTAATCATAATCCTCAATGTCGGCAACCATGGTCTTCAACCCGAAACGCTGAGAACCCTCTTTAGCCAGACGCGAGGCGTAGTCCTCAGCGGTACCAGTTTGCGAGCCATAGAAAATCACACAGTTCTTGCGAGTTTCCTCCATCTTCTCAACGATATTGCGGGTCTTACCGCCATTTGCGGCGCCATTCTGGATGGGGGAGGAGGCGTAGGGGTCTTTAGGGATGGCCCAGTAGGAGCCCTTGGTGAAGTAGGCGATGCTACCGATCAAAAGAGCCACTAAGACGATCAAATCGAGGGTGTCGAGTTGCGCCATGGTGGGAGATGGTAATTACCCAGAAGTGAATCAAGACAAGTTCTGAGATTGGAAGATGGCGTTCCCAAGAGGGGAGAGGGGGGGGGGGACGGGGAAAAACTCGGGGAATCTCAGAGAAAGTCCGCCAGATGAGGATATAGGTCAAGCCCTAAAGTATGTGCCCCCTAATGTGACAGAGTAGAAAGACCCTTGTTAAAGGAACATATGTGGTCTGATCACTCGGAGTTCGGGAAACACAAGTGGATCGTGCCGAGATGTTCGATAACAAGTCCGGCTGGCAGATATGATGAGTAAGGAAGGATAAGAGATGAACGAGTTAGAGTGAAAGAGAACTTAATTCTTCCAAGGTTATACAAATTCGTGGGGCAAAGCCCAGAATTTAATGAATTACGGTTTACCTGGGATGATCTGAATCATCTGATCTACCTAGGTATGGTTATGTCAATGTCCCCAGACATCCCTCGGGTAGGCTGCTCGGCAGGCCTTTCCGGGAGATTCTATTGTTGTCTTTACTCTACCGTGCCGTATTTCCTAGTTAATACATGATCTTAATAGTATCCGTAGATGAGGTATACCCGTTGTGTCGTTTATACTTATGACTTCGTTTGATTCCTTGATAATTGATTATTCGAGATATTGTTCGAGATAGTTACCTAGTTAATCATTAATAATCAGTTGCAAATACACCTACAGTGACCTAGGTAGCTCCCATTTCCCTCCTTATTCTCTATCTAGGTAACAGACCATGTCCAAGTGATCCATATTTCCAGCCGAGAATTATATTATATAGTCTTAAGTGGTTGTTCTGTGGGGAAACGCCATCATGAAACTCTCCTATATTTCCCCACGATCCCACGTGCGTATTGAAGTTAAAGGGTTGTTGATGTCTGGTAGAAATCGAATCAAAGCTTAGAATTGCTTCCATCTGATGAAACTAGCATACCCTCAAAGGTTTAAAAATGGAGGTGATTTTCATACTAGATCATGTTAGTTTGTTCATTGTTTCTGCCTGAGGCATGAATAGTGCCTCAGGCTGACAAATAGGCGGTCAACAACACTGGTGGACCTGATGACCTTTATTATAGATTGGCATTCGTCCTTTATCACTTGTAACATGGAATACACCCCTCCTAGAATGTATTTAATGTATAATGTACATCCAACAACACTTCATAAATACCAATCTCAAAGTATAGTGACCATTTCTGAATCGAGTATTAAATCCTCAGTGTCTATTCCAAGATTCCAATGCTTGACCAATATTTGGAGGACAAATGCTCTAGCTTGGGTCTTGATCTTAAAGAGGTCGGATTGCCTCACTACTCTACAGAGTTCTCGACAGTCCTTTAGTTTTTATAAGCTGCCACATGGCTAAGGCGTCGGGATCTCGATAAGTGTCACGTGTGATTGGCTATCTATTTTCTAATTAATACTTCTATATTTATCAGATGGGACATTTTATCTCAATCACTATCATTTGACTGATATTAATAAATACTCCTTATATTTAACATCTGTTATTTTCCATCTGATACCTAGGTACTACTAAGATAGTTTTTAGAGAGTACAGTCTTTGGATCTGACCCAGCTTAAGTCCGCACACTAAAGGCGCCTGATTAGGTTCCATACCTAAATGCCCCGATGCTACAAGAAAATCAACTATTTTTGTAAGGATGTATACTTTAAAATTAGCAACATGTTGTGATCTATGAACAAATAAGAAAATATAAAATTAGAGGAAAAATGGTACAAAATTACACTTGTAGGGCAAAGTATGACCTGGAGACTGACGGTGAGGAAAAAAAGGTTGGCAGCCGTAGTCCCCGAATCAACATCTACAAAGCTGATCGTCACGTCTCTATGGAGACATAGAAAAACCCACCTCCTTTCTGATGGATTGAACTATGTTCAGTTACTGCCTCTTGCTTACTGCTGACAATTCCAATACGGCAGCCCGCATAAAACTCAAGCAATGAGTCGTTGACTGATACCAGTAAGCTATTCTAGCATGAACCAGCGTCCCCTCCCTTGCGAGCCTGTTCATACGAAAAAGCCCCCGGAGCCCTGACCTGTCATTCTCAATATAGTGGCTTCTCATTCAGCCAAATCCACTGGCTCTGCCCAGCTTTCTATGCTGCCCCTCCTCCCTGACGATCTCAAACCCACGTCACACCACAACCTCGTGTCCCTGCCGGGGCGAGGTACATTAACTTCTCAGTCCACCCCAATGCACAGTCGTGAACCCTCTGCTGTTCGTGGGAGAGCTGTAGACCCTTCCAACCTCTCTCCTGCCATTCAACCTCGCCGTGGCCATTCCGGGTCAAAAAGTCCAGACGTTTCGACCGGTCGCCCTGCAGGATATGACGTGGGATTGGAAAGACGACCGTCAAACTCGTACGGCCATCACCGACAGACTTCCATTGTTCATGGCATGCAACATTCGCGAAACACGAGCATGGCTGGCTCAACTACCTCCACCAGCCCTTTAAGTCCAGAGCTGATCGCATCTCTCGGTCGCGGAGGATTTGACGAGGGCATATCGGCAAAGCTAGATCAGCTTGATACCCATATTAATCACTCAAGTCCAGGAGGCTCGGTAAGTTATGGATTGCAAGGGACATTAAGCACTATACGGGACAACGATGTGGACGAAGTAATGGACGTGAGCCCGGCAAGCCTGCTTCACAAGCGGATGAACTCGGGAGGAACAGGACGGAGGGATCAATCTCACAGTCGCTCGCAATCAAAAAATTATGCGGAAATCAAGACTGTCGGAGAATATGCGCTACATCATTTGTTCAACTCGGTGAGATCACGCGCCTGCAGATGCTATCAAACAACATTGCTGACAAGGTTCCGACAGTTCGTGGGTCAAGCCGACAACAAGATAAACCAAACTATTTTGAAGCTGGGGGAGTCAGATTCTCCTGTCGAAGAAACCTGTGGACCTGGGGCAGACCCAAGTTTCGATCAGCTAATCTCTGCTTTGGGACATATTGCCAGGCAGAAACCGAAGCCATTGATTGATACCATTATGCTATGGCGAAAATCAAAGGGAGATGCAGCAATTGTCGCAAGGCAAGGCACCCACGATCTGGTAAGAGTTCATTTTCGTCTTCGTGGAAGAACCTGACCCCGCTAATTTGGGCCTCCTAAATATAGCCAAAACCGATAATAACGGAGAATGGCCATCCTATGCAGCGTCGTAACACGGAGCCGACCCAATCACCAGCAGATCAACCCAGTTTTTCAGATCGAGCACAGCCAACACCCTTACTTGCACGTCAGGACGATGTGGTTCTGGTGGAGCGACGGGCAACTGTTTCTGTCTATCTAGTTTGCAGGGTCTTGATTGAAATCTACAAACAGAGCAGCCTGGCCTCGATTACACCAGAAATGGCGGACCGTCTTGAAGATATCGTCTTTTGCCAGATCAAAACCGTTGACCCTGATCACCTTTCCGTATCCCCCCTGCGGATGGCAAACTGGAGAATATATGGTCAAGTGCTGGGTATCATGAGCGAAGCGAATTTTGTCAACGTGGCCAACCGTTTTTTAAACGAGCTTGATCGGTACCAGAAAGATGAATTGGCTCGGGGCCCAAACCGTGATAGCGACTCAAAAGCCGAGCTACTTATTCTGGGCATGAGATACCTGTGTCTCCCCACAAGCCCAGAGGGTTGGGTCAAATCTTGTGACTTTCTGCGGTCCCTCGCACGCTTGTTCGTCAATGCTCATGGACAAAATATCAAGCAAGCCTACTGTTATGTGATTGAGAAGCTACTTCTTCCGGTGGCTGCTAATCCGGTCTGTGATCTCACTTTGCCGCGATGGAAGGAATTCCTGGATGTGCTCCATCCCCGCTTGGCGCAGTTGCTCACCAAACCCCGTCATTGGTCTTCTGCGTTCTCTTTGAATGTTCTGTTGCTTTGCGTCTCCAGCAAGGAGAATTTCTCAACTCAGTGGCTCTCGATGATCTCGAGTTTGCCTGCCCGGCTCAAGGATCGCCCGAGTCGTGCCCCAGCACTGCAGGCCATCTGCCGGCTAGTCTGGACTTACCTCTTTCGTTATTCAGACTCACCTACAACAACTCTTCGCAAGGTGGAAGAAGTGGCAAAAATTGCCCTTCCAACGGGAAAACGGACCTACTTGAGTGCAGAGCCGGCCTTTGCAGACCCTCTGATCCAACTCATTCGAATGATCGGGTTCAAGCATCCCGATGTTTGTTTCAGACACATAATATTCCCCTTGATCAACTCAGACCTTTTCCTATCGGGAAGAGAGTTGAAGATCGAACAGATGGAGCCAGAGAAAATGGTTATCGGTATTCGTGCCTTTCTTGCGACCATGTCTGACCTGGAGACAAGTGATCAACTCTGTCCTCCATTCCCCACAGGCTCACTTCCGAATCCATTTTTGGATGCCTCGATTCTTGTCTACTTCCATCGTCCACAACTGCTGGTGGAGCCGAAGGTGGCGACCGTTTCGCAGACCCTCGACCCTACAGCGTCTTGCCCGGTCAACATGTCGAGACTGAGTGATAATGTAAAGGAGTACTATCTTCGCTTCTGCGAAGTCCTTGGCAAAATTACGATCTTATGTGACAACACTTTTGGAGGACAAGCTGCTTTGGATGAGAAATTCGGCGGAGCGACCCCTAAAACCCCAATCACCGAGGCATTTAGTTTCGGCCGTCGTGGTGATGACCATGTCACAACTCTAGACCAAAAACAAGGATTCTACGATCTTCTGCATGTAGCAGTGCAGGCTTTGCCTCGATGCCTCTCCGATCATATTCCATTCAACTCGTTGATCAACCTTTTATGTACTGGAACAGCCCATGTCCAGACAAACATCGCCGTATCTTCAGCCTACTCGCTCAAGGCGATTGCACGACAGTCTCATGCCCAGCAAGTAACAATTGGCTTTGCCAGATTCATCTTCAGCTTTGATGCGCGGTATTCTACCCTGTCTGATGAGGGGATGCTGGGACCTGGACATATCGAGTCCACGTTGCGGCTCTATGTTGAGCTTTTGCGAATCTGGATAGATGAGATCAAGCAGAAAACGAAAGAAGCAGCATCTGATCAGTTAGAAAAGTCTACTTCGGGTAGTCGAGCTCTGCACCTTGATTTAAACAGTGTTCTAGCCCAGGTGGAGGAGATCGAGTCTCACGGACTTTTCTTCTTGTGTTCACAATCACGAAGAGTCCGGGCATTTGCCATCAATGTGTTGGGCTTGATCACTGAGTTTGACGGTGCGCTTGGCAAAGAGAACACAAGAATCATCAGAATTCTCGAGACTGGCTCTCAAAAGATCCTAGACGTGAACGATAAAGGTCTTACAGTTGCAGAAAGGAGTCGCATCCTTAAGGGCAAGAGGAACAGCGCCTCGCAAAGCACCCTCATCGAGTTATGTAGCAGCGAAGTTTCCTACGACTCAACGTTATGGGCTAAAGTTTTCCCTAACATCATTCGTGTCAGCTTCGAGACTTGTCCCTTTGCAATGACACTGGGAAGGGAACTTGTCTGTGCACGTCTCGTCCAGATGCATAAGATTATTTCGACGCTTGCTGAAAGCACAAGAGTTCCTCAATACCCCGCCGGCGATGCTTACCAAAGTCGTCCGCTAGCCCGGAGTAACATGACCGCTGAGATTCTGGTTGAACAGTGGAAGCTGTATCTGGTCATGGCTTGTACCACGGTCACCAATGTTGGTGCGCAGTCACAAAGCCAATTGGCGAATGCTCAACATGCACGCAAAGCTTCCAAGGGGTCACAATCTCAGAACAAGATCAGCTCTGCCCGAAGTCTCTTTGCATTTGTGATTCCCCTACTTTCCGCCGAGCGGGATTCCATCAGAAACGCTATTGTTGTTGCCTTAGGGTCAATACACAACAACCTGTACCGCACGCTCTTAGAATCTCTCCAATATGCGGTCACCACTTGTAACGAAGAGGCCAAGATGCGCATTGGCACTCATCTTCGCACACCTAGCAGTCCCCGCCGAAACAGAAAGACTGATCGACTACGTACTGAAGTCACGCATGTCTATAAGCTCACGTCTCATTTCCTCAGAGAGTTGGCGGTTTACAATGACGACTGGGTCGTCAACAATTTGGTCACTTACGCAAGAGATATCCGACTCTTCCTGAGTGATGTTGACGTTCAGAGTGACTGGGAGTTCCAGCGTCTACGTTTCCATTATTGCGGGCTGATGGAAGAGCTGTTTGAAGGCGTCAACCGCACCAAAGATCCTTCTCGATGGATGCCATTTGAATCCAGAAAATCTGCGTTCTCACTCATGGAGGACTGGTGCGGTTACTCCCCGAACCAGGAACAGATAGCCGCGAGGGAAGAGAGTATGAGAAAGTATGCTCCGGCTCAACCACGTGAAGGCGGCGAGATGAGAAATGCTGCTGCGGCTACGGAAATTGAGAAGAAAAATCTCCGGGCTGCATCCTTGAGTGCGATGGCATCTCTCTGCGTATGTTTTCCGTTCTTTATGCACTTATTGTAGATTCTTACTTATACTTTACTAGGCTGGCCCGATTAGCATTACTACCGACAGCGGCTCTGTGCTTCAGTTCGACGTGGGTCGAATGTTGTCATGGATTGATATCATATTTAACACTATCAGTGACAAATGGCACTCTATCGGTCGCCGCGCTCTGAAAAACCTGATCATCCATAACAAGGAACATTCCTACCTAATGGAGCGATCGATTGAGATGTGCTATATCACCGAGCGACCCAAGGCACTTGGGAGTTACTTCGAGGTCGTCACCGAAGTCCTTATTGAGCATCCAGACTACCCATTGAGATTCTGGAGGATCCTGGGTGCAGTACTCGTGACACTTGGCAGTGAGAAGCGTGAAATCCGAATGAAGTCGGCTAAGCTTCTCAGAAGACTTGAAGAGCGGCACCAGAAGAATTCTCGCCTTCAAGATTTCGATATCAGCATTTCGGACAAGACAACAGCCGTATACAAGCTTGCTCAGTTCGAGACATCTAAGCGGCTAGCGAATCAGCACGCTGACTTGGCTTTTACTCTGTTCTCCGAGTTCGCGCTGCACTTTCGCAATCTTCGCACTGACAGTCAGCGCAACATGGTTGCTGCTATCTTGCCTTGGGTTCAGGTGATGGAACTTCAAGTTGACCCCAATGGTGGCCCTACAGCCCGGTCATATATGCTTCTGGCCAACCTCTTTGAGATCACCATTCGCTGCAGCGCAGTTCTTCCTAACCAGGTTCAAGCATTATGGCAAGCGCTGGCGACAGGACCTCACGGAGGAAACGTTCAGCTGGTCCTCGACTTCATCATAAGTCTTTGTCTGGAACGCAAGGAACAGAACTTTGTGGAATATGCCAAGCAGATTGTCGTTTTCCTCGCAGGAACCCCAGCAGGCTCAAAGGTCATTGAGTTCTTTCTCTTGCAGATAGTGCCAAAAAACATGGTCCAGGAGCGACACGACCTTACGCCGCCCCCTCCGGATATCAAAACTGTACCTTACGTCGCAGATTTGGCGACCGTGCTCCCTGTAGGAAACAAACAGGCTGGCTTAGCACTCGGACAAGTAGCTTTAATCTTCCTAGTTGACCTTATGGTGGCACCCGTCACACTCGCTATGGACGATGTAATCAAACTTCTCCACGTGGTACTCATCCTTTGGGATCATTACACAGTCACTGTGCAGGAGCAAGCTCGAGAGATGCTGGTACATCTTATCCATGAGCTGGTTTCTACCAAGCTGGAGGACACAGACCCATCAGGTCCTCGTCAATCCATGGAGGACCTTGTCGAGTCAATTCGTCAGAGCGACCCTGCGGTCGTCTGGGAATACGAAGAGAATCAAGGCAAAGAAGAGGAAGCCGAAGATCGTCGAGTACCCCCATCCATGGCCACTGTCACACGCGATGTAGTCAAGTTCTTCAGCATTGCCCACGAAGGGGTGGGCGAGCTCTGGGCCAAGGAAGCGTTGAACTGGGCAAATTGTTGTCCCGTGCGGCATCTAGCATGTCGTTCATTCCAGATCTTTAGATGCATTTCGACTTCATTGGATTCACGGATGCTAGCTGACATGCTCGCTCGACTTTCTAACACAATTGCGGATGAGGAGACAGATTATCAGACCTTTTCTCTGGAAATTCTCACCACGCTGAAGATCATCATTAGCTCACTGGCTCCGGCAGACCTTTTGAAGCACCCACAACTTTTCTGGACTACCTGCGCCTGTCTCAATACCATCCATGAAAGGGAATTTATCGAAACGCTAGGCATGCTGGAGAAATTTCTTGACTTAGTTGATCTAAGCGATCCGCTCGTTGTGGCAAAGTTAGTTGAAGGACGGCCGCCTAAATGGGAAGGTGGATTTGATGGTCTTCATGACCTGATATTCAAGGGACTGAAATCCTCGGAGTCAGTCAACAGCACATTGCACGCGCTTCATCGACTAAGCGGTCTTCCGAACAACGAGCTCATTGGCGATGGGACTCGACATCTCTCCACTGTGCTTGCCAATCTGCCCTACTTCCTCGAGTCTTTCGATCAAGGTTTCACCGATCCAGAGCCCATTGCGCATGCTAGTTTACTTGCACGAGTTGCAGAGAATGAGCGATGCCCTAGACTTGCGGCATCACTATTTGGGTTTGCGAACCAACAGTACAAGACGGAAGCTATCTTCTTGGAGCACATCATTACGGAAATCAAGTCCTACTATTTTCCACAGCTGGATTTCCAATGCCTCATTTTCCTCATGGGCCTCCTTACCAACACGACCGATTGGTTCCGAATTAAAACTATGAAGATTCTCTGTGTCTTGATACCAGAGGTTGACATGCGCCGCAGCGAGGTCACTTGCCACGGTCCCGACCTAATCTCTCCATTGCTAAGACTCCTGCAAACCAAACTGTGCCCCCAGGCTCTTGAAGTTTTGGATCATATTATGACGGTCTCTGGAAATCCGATGGAATATCATCACTTACGGATGAGCATGGCGTCAGCCACGTCATCACGTGCCATTCGTAAAGAATACGAGCGGATACAGAGTCTGTACGGTATTCCTGAACCCACAGGGTGGTCAGTTCCAATGCCAGCAACACAGTCGAGAATGACGCGTCACAATGTCCACGCCGTATTCTACACGTGTGCCGAAGCCGATAATATGACCGTTCAGGACACAATCACTCCCGACGTGGAATTCCGCGCCGATGAGTACAACGATTCTTTCTTCCCCGTGAGGGCCGATACAATGAAATCGATTGACACTCAGACCGATGGAAACATGGGTGATATTGTTCAGAAACTAGATAGCATGGATGACTTCTTCGAGGAAACAGAGTCTTATCATTCTCCTATTAACACGATGGCACCGCCAATGCTACGAGGATTTACTGGGAGCTACGTCGATACGAACGCCCATCTCTACGACCAGCAGACCGCACCCATTCTTCGAAAGTCTCTTGCGCGTACCGGCTCCACATCTTCATTCCACAATGGCCTTGCCGAATCCCGACCGGCAAATTTCCGCTTCGATGGGCCTTCAATTTCCACGTCGGTGGCAGTATCCCCTTCAAGCTCTACACAAACCCTCCGACCAGCCTCCCACATTCGCTCTGTTACCTCCCCTGCTAACAATCTCCTCATCCACACCCAAACATCGGCATCTCCACATAACCTAATTGCCCCGGCCGGATTTCACGAATCTGCGTTCCTTTCTGACGATGAAGTCGAAGAGGCACACTCAGACATGGATGAACGCGCATCAGGCAAAAAACTGCACCCGCCCATGCCGCCAATGGTTCGCAGCGCAACAGACGGATCTCAAGTCCCACACTCCCTCGAGTCGATGATCCGAAGCGGCATGCGCCGTCTCACGGGTGGAACATCCAACAACCGTGAGAAAGAGCGACAACGTGACCTTCTCCGCGCACAAAATCGCGCTTTGGCCCAAGCAGCTAACTCTCCTCGAGTTCCAAAAGTGCCAGAGGAGTACCTGACTGGACCAACTAGCCACCCCGCCTCGCCGAGGTAGTCAGCTCAAAGTAGAGCTTTTGATTTAAATTCTTCCGCCTTGCATTTCTGCTGAATTCTCAGCCTGGGCATTTCTCAGGCGTTTGGATCCGACCTTATACATACCCTTTTGAGAGTCTTTCTTACTTGCGCGCATATTCCGGATGGGCTATCTGTATAACACTACTCCATGACTGATGGTGCTTTTATGACGAGTATTACACTTCAGTATCAATATTTGACTTGTATCATTCGCTCTTTTCCGTACTTCTAAATCGTATTTAGTAACAATCACTTCTCTATGTACTAGCGTATATCTAAGATCAGTTCAAGTTCCTCCTAAGGATTGTTGGTATGCTGATAAGTCCTAGTCAAGGATTATAACATGGAGTTCCATGAAGACTCAACAAATTCAACATCATGTCTTCATTATACTTTGCCAACCAAGAGCCTCAGACCATCACTGCATAGTTCAACCATATTTTTCACCATTGCTTTCCCATATGAATTGATTGAAGCTTTTTATATCGTTAGCAAGCCTGAGATCCAAGGCATCATATGATGCTCCACTTCCCCGCAAAAGTAGCGGCGGAAAGCGTCGGCCTGTGGAGTTGAGCGTTCCTCCACTTTCCCCTCTTTCTCTGGCATATATCAAATATAGTACCTTCTTTCTCAAAAGTATTTCACCATTCCCGTGAACTAGAGTACCATTGATTCTCTCTCCACGAATTGCCTCTTTGGTGACTATGAGTATCATATCCGTATCTTCATACGCCATAGCCGCTCGGCCCCACATGATCGTCCGACGCTATGCCAACTCCCATCTAAGCTCTGTACGAGCCTTTTCCTCGACGTTTCAACGCAACGCAACATGGGGCTTCGTTGGACTGGGACAGATGGGTGGGTAGAGTCGAGAAAGGACCTATGCCAGTCAGAATCACGGTTAACATCATGTCAGGCTATCAAATGGCCAAGAACCTTCGTGCCAAGATCCCTGCTGAAGACACCTTGATTGTGCGCGATGTCAATGAGGAGGCCGTTCGGAGCTTCGTGACAGAGGCTCGAGAGGCTACACATAGTACAAGTGCTGGTATCACACGCGTTGAGGTCGCGAAGAACGCGCGTGAGGTTGCAGAGAAATCGGTGAGTATGATCATTGGTCTGATTGAATTGTCCATGTAGGGATCGATGTAATGTTGGTCACATCTGTTCAGCCACTGACTTTAAACTTCCCTATTGGAATCTGATAGACTGTTATGATTACTAGTCTTCCTGAACCCCAGCATGTCATTGACGTGTATCAGTCTATCTTGAAGGGTGGCGAGCTCCCAGCCCTTGACCAGGAGCGTTTGTTTATTGATACCTCAACGATTGACCCCGATACATCAAAGGGTATAGCAAACGAGATCCACACGATCCAGGCTGGTCAATTTGTCGATGCTCCTGTGTCCGGGGGCGTCGTCGGTGCTCGAGCAGGAACATTGTCCTTCATGTTTGGTGCTTTCTCAGAATCAGACCAGCTGATCGAACGTATCCGCGGTATATTATCATTCATGGGTAAGAAGGCATGGTACCTCGGTGAACCGGGCTCTGGCGTTTCAGGCAAGCTGGCGAACAACTACATGTTAGCAATCAACAACATTGCAACGGCCGAGGCCATGAACTTGGGTATGAGACTGGGATTGAAACCTACAGCATTAGCTGAGTTGATCAATTCATCTACTGGGCGTTGCTGGCCTTCAGAGGTCAATAATCCCGTACCGGGTGTTGTCGAGACTGCGCCCGCATCACGTGGATACGAGGGTGGATTTGGTGTTGGTCTGATGAAGAAAGACCTCCGTCTTGCCCTCGCTGCTGCAGAACAATCTGGTACTTCACTAGCCCTAGGAATCAAAGCGGGTGAAGTCTATAATGCAGTGGAGGCTGAATACCGTGGGAAGGACTTCTCTATCGTTTACAAGTGGTTACATGACAAGTCTCAATAAGTATTACAATTCTCTCTACCAGCTTCAATCAATGCTCAATTAATGCTCAATTGCCTCAATTGCCTCAGTGGCTTCAATGGCTCCTATCATTCTTGACTATTGTACTTGTCAATAACGATTGCAGAGGAAGGATAATACTTGTGCTTCGACAAGTAGTGGAGTCACTCACTACTCCTGCTGACCTTTAATCATTGAGTCAGCATAAGAAGAACGAGGCGGAGGACTGTTCTGCCCACACTAGTGGTGCTGAGGGTTTATAGCGCGACTCCTCCCACATTTCTATTCTTCTTTTCCTCTTCTTCCTTCACCTCTTCTACTTTTCCCATCCCCTTTCCCCCTTATTTCTTTCCCAAAGGTTTACTCATACTCCCGAATTGTTTACGCAAGAATTTCTACCCTTCTCCATAAGTTCGAAACATTTTGTTTCTTAGTTTTCTTCCCCCTCTTTACTTCAAAAGCATCACGTCTTTTGACAGATCTTATTTCCACAAGGTTTTTTAGTTTGTTTCTGTAAGTTACCAATTATGATGTTTTTATTAGGTTTACCCCCTTTATCACCATCATGAGCTAACTCTCTTAGCAGACCACAGGTCCATATCTGACCGCCAACCAGTTTTATCAACTGTTTTGTCTCTTGGGGTTTTCAGTCCGAGAGACGTGGAGGTATGGCCTTGTTTCATCTGACCGCTCATGTCTGCCCCTCCCGTAATATAGAACATATGGCTGACATCAACTTTAGGTTTCGCAATGGGCGATTTTAACGGAGACTCGAGTCTCGGGTTTGACCAGGCTCGACGCCGAGCCGACGAGATAGCTCGACTCCGAGCTGACGAGGCTCGCCAAGCTGACCAAGCCCAGGGTAATTTTAGTGGGGACCCGCTCCCCTTTGACCAGGCTCGACACCGAGCCGACGAGGTGGCTCGACTCCGGGCTGACGAGGCTCACCGTCGAGCTGACCAGGCTCAAGGCGAGGTGAGTAGCCCTACTGACCCTCGTCAGGTCTCTATGCGCTCTCAGCAGAGCCCCCAGCAGAACGTCTATACTCAGGTTCCTTGGACTCCTTGGACCCCTCAGCAACATGTGTGGTATGGTCAGTTCGAACATCAGACTGCCTATGGTTATCCCCAGGACGCCCGTGTCCCATATCAGTACAGCCAATATTATGATTTCTACGCACCCGGAACCCATGCTGGCTACCACCAGCATCAGCGCTACGAATCAGCTGTAGGTGGTCACAATAACATCCCCAATGGATCTTACGGTGGATATCCCCAGAACCAGCAGCCTCATTATCAACGTCCAAGCCGCTGGCAGCACGTACTCACTCCTGACGGCTATGTCGTGAGGGATATGCAGGAAATTGTTGATCGCGAGCCGGCCATCCCTAATGCCGTCCGAGCCATTTGGTCGCGTCGTCCGGATTTGTCGAGCTCACTCGAAAATCGGGAGGGTGGTACTAACGTGTACATCCGTGGTTTCCGGCCTGAGACCACAGATCACCTTCTGCTTGCCTATGCTTCACGCTTCGGTACAATCGTCAATTGCAAGGCTATCATTGACTACACAAATAATCAGTGCAAAGGGTTCGTTTCATCCTTCCCTATTCGACACTTTTTCCATGCTAACAGGGAATATCAGATTTGGTTTTGTGATGTTCGAAAACTTTTTTGCTTGCGATAACGCAATTCGCGCATTCACTTGGGCAGGATATCAGGCTAGCTTTGCCCAAAAGTCTCGCAATGACCGGTTGGCCGCCCTGGCAGATCTGACTTCAACAAACATCTATTGCACTAACATTCCGCATTGGTGGATGGAATCCGTAAGTTATTTGATTCTTTTATTATTGAAGATACTAACTCTCGCAAAGAACCTTGCAGAATATTTCTATCCCTTCCCGGTAGTGTCTGTCAAGATTAGCCGCAATGAAAACGGTGTGAGCAAGGAGGTCGGTTTCGCTAAGTAAGTTCACCTGACGTATTTAGAGAGGCACATACAGTTTGCTGACCTACTTATGCAGGTTCGCAAATCGGGAATTGGCAGAGGAGGCAATTAACAGCTTCCACCATGAAGGTGCTAAGGGCTTGGACGAGCGAGGCGTTGCTCGACTTTCTCTTCGCTTCGCCGATACCCGCGAGCAGAAGCTTTTGAAGGCGGAAAATGCCCAGCGCCGCGATTTCCGGGCATATGAATACAGCCAGTCGGTGACCTTGTCACCTGACCGCAGCTCACAAAATACTTCGCAACAGGCCCATCGGTCATTTTCCCCTGCTCCTCAATACTCTCGGGATATTTTCACCCCTGCGCCGAATTACGTGCACGCTGAGCTTTCGGGGCAAACCCCCGATACCACGTCGCCGGCTGTGGGCACCAGTGTGCGCTCTGATTGGACTCCCGAGTCCTCTATGTCGCCGTCGGTGCAAGCTCACAAGCACAGCCACCCAAAGCGCCCATCCAACCTGCGTGAGTCTATTTCTGCTTCGGGCGAAACCGATGAGTCCTCCGGCGAGGGCGTCAAGGAGCAGGTCGTGGAGGCTGTTAGCAAGGTTGTCAAGGGTACTATCGGCAAGAACGAAAACTCCGTGAGGGCCTTCAGCCATATCGTCCAAAACACCAATTATGACCAGCAATACCCAACTCCTGGTTGCATCTTTCCTCGCCGCACCCAGTCAACCCGCCGGGCCTCGGAGGTTTATGATGCTAGCCAAAGTCGTCCTCTCCGACCCCTCGAAGACAGCGTTGCTCTCGGGGATCGCTTCTGTGGCGGACAGCGTGTTCGTTCTCTCGGACTGCGTGTTCGTTCTCTTGGATCCCCAGATATCTAAGAACGTGCCTGGTATGCTTTGTCTTTTTTTCCTTTTGCGAACGCCGTTTTTCTTTGAGTGAACAACTTTTATGAAACGCACAAAAACAAGATGAAAATCACATACCCCCGAAAACATTGGCTCGCAAGTTAACAATACACCAAAAAAACTTGATAACCCATCAGACTCCCGAACACAGAGACTCCAGAATACAGAGTATTCAGAACACAGAGGATTCAGAACACAGAGGATTCAGAACAAAGAGGATTCAGAACACAGAGACTAGAATACAAAGACCAGAACACAGAGCAATGCGCCAAATGTCCTTATCAATGTCGAGTATCTCGATATTTCCGCTTACATCTGCCAAAAATATCCGTCTAGGCGGTTCTATTATCCAGCTTTTGTTATCCAGCTTTTCGGATGCTGTTCCCAGCTTGGCTTATCGAATGTCATTGACTGCATGCTTTCTTACCCAAGTTCCTCTTACCCAGATTCTTTATTTCCATTTTTTTATGTTTTTGAGCTCGCAGAAGTTAAGTTGTCCCCAAGATTTCAATAGCTTAGTTCAATATCAACATTTCAAAAATGAAAATCACTTGTCTTTTCACTCCAATTATTCATGATGGATAGGCTAACACCGGAATTACCACTCTATAGAACTCTGCAACCTTGGATGACGTCCCCGTAAGGAAGTCTTCTTACTCCAGAAGAGACGTAAGTCCGATTGGAACTCCATATCTCGCCCTATTCCATTAAATTAGGTAATTTCACCCTTATATTCTTCCCCTAGCATCCCATAATCGACCTATTTTCGTTATGCCATTCAAGATGTGGCATCAGTCAGAACTATCTCTATATGGTACATGTTCCCGCAGCAGGGTAATGCGATACATTGATGATACTGATGCGCCGTAAGTTGAGACCTTGACTGAGAGTAGGGACTCCTCAATTGTACTTCTGGGCAACTGAAAGACCCTTGAGGAGCTGTGTTGGAGCTGCGGAGTGACTTCGAGCCCTTTGTGCAGGACGCGTTGTCACCACCAATGTAGTGTTCAGCAAATCTTATATAGGTTTAATGCTTGCTCTTCTCACTCTATTTGCTAATTTCATTTACCGAAAACAACCAATATTCGAAAATAAATTCCAGTAATTGATCTATGGAAAAAAGCTAGAATGAGAATGATCTATACAAGTCCACCATCAGTTACGCCCAAGTCTCTCTTCCAAAGCATGCGTCAACTCATAAGCCGGCAAATAACCCTCCCCTTTCTGTAGCCGCGGGTTCGGAAGAGTATCTGACGTCCCACCAAGACTGGTGTACCCATCATCATAGAGCGAGCAGTACGTCAACCCTAGATGTCGAATGAAAGACCAGATCTCCGTATATTGCCAGTCAATGACGGGGTGTATGCGCATGAAATCCGGCCACCCGTGATCGGTACGGTCGAAATGCGTCAATTGCGCACCGTGCGGGTCGGTTCGGCGCGTACCCACGAATATCGCTTTGATCCCCGGGTGTAGCGCCAGGTAATCTTCGAAGCTGGAGCGGAGCGTGGAAGTTGGTGGTGCGGTGGTATATTTAGTGATGGAGAGGTGATAGGCTTCTGCGGAGGTGAGAACGAAGTCTTCGACGGCGGGGAAAGGATCTGGCGGGAGAGCGTAGATGGATGGTATAACGGGTGATTCTGATTCTAATTCTGATTCTGATTCTGACGTCCCTTTTTCTGTCTGTTCATGATTCGTATACGGATGCAATCCCGCCAAGAACAGAATCAACAAAACAAGACAGTCCTTTCCACCATTATATGACAGCGAAAGCTCTGAAATCTTATACCGCTGCAACGCAGTTGCAACAACTTCCAGCGAAGTGCGAGTTTGCTGCTGTACGGCGGCGAGCAGTGAGCCGGGCGGGTGCGACTCGGCCAGGAAAGCCTGCACGCGAGCGTGGATGCGCGCGATCACAATGGGTAATGCAGGGATGGGCTCGTCTGGTTGTTCGCCATTTTGCTGTTGCTGATCTGTCGCGTGTGTGGTATATACAGCGGGGGCGTCGTCGACCCCGCGTTGGCCTGATACCGGTGCAAAGGGGCGCAAATGGTCCTGCGCATGCGTGGACCGCGTTTCCCGGTGGGCTAGCAATGCAGGATGTCCATCCGGTATGACTTGCTCGACCATTGTGTGTGTTGGGAGAAGTGTTGGATCAATTGAGATTGGAGCGGGGCGGGTGGGTTTGACCGGGGAGAACGATCTAATCCTATTTCTAGGTGGGGAATGCTGATAATAAGTGATGTTTTTTTTTGTCAATTGATCTAATATGTAATGATATTATGGGAGTTAGATAGAGGTTATAGAATGGAATTGAATGTTATTCTGTCAGATTGGGAGCTTACAGCATACTTCGGAGTTTGTTGTGGCTTATTTGGGTGGAATTTCATAGATACTCATGGATGAAAGAAACTCCGATATAGGGACGATATATATAGCAGTTGTTAACTGATCATACATAATCTTAGATTTGATCTAGAAATACTAGTACTCATCTTGAGTACTCGCTCTATAATTCAATTCAAAGGCTAATAAGTCATAAAGATGAGCAAATCTAACCCTTATTCGATTCGTCGGATGATGTTTTGACACTTCCTTCTTCTGTACAAAGTACAAAACCCCGCTATAAATGCATTTCAATGTACTCAGGTCTGTCGTTTTTTATTCATTCTCTTCATCATGACATCCCTAGCATGCACAGCATACTCGATCCAAAATCCCTTCCGGACTCGGACTCTGAGCGGAGAAATCACTCCTCTCATGTGCATCAGATACGTGGCCAACAATGAAATAGCCATGATGGCCAAGATGGCTGGCTTCCACGGCCTATTCATAGACATGGAGCATTCCTCGCTAGACATGCCCGCCGTGTCGCAGCTCATTCTAGCGTGCAACTATGTCGGCATCTCACCCGTAGTGCGCTCCCCTTCCAAATCTCACTGGCACATCAGTCGCATTCTCGACGCGGGTGCTTCGGCCGTGGTGATTCCTCACATCGAAACTGTGCAGGAGGTGCGGGATTTGGTGAAATACGCCAAGTATACGCCGTTGGGCATTCGTGGCTGCACGAATCAGCTGGCTATCAACAATTTCCAGCATGTGCCAACGTTGATACAGAATGAAGTGTTGAACAAAGAGTCGATGTTGATTCCTATGATTGAGACTACTAGTGCTGTGGAGCTGGTAGAAGAGATTTTAGCAATTGAAGGCGTTGACGGCGTCTTGGTTGGCTCTTATGATCTATGCAGCGATTTGGGAATCCCAGAACAGTATGATGAGCCGGTCTACCTAGATTCGGTGGTCAAGGTCATCGAGGCGGCTAATAAGGTGGGCAAACCGGTTGGAATCGGTGGTCTCAATTCTCGTATGGATCTCTTAGAGAGATGGTTCTCTATGGGTGCAGTCTGGTCTCTCGGAGCTGCCGATGGGGCAATTCTGCAAAATGGAATGAAGCAGGTAGCAAAGAAGTACGTGGATATCAATGAAAGAGTGCAGAAGGTGAGGGCAAGTGCTAAGGAGTAGACGGTCATCCTTCCAGTATTTATTTGTTGAATCGAAGACTTAAAAATGTCAACCTAGTGTCCCATAGGGTAAATAAAGAGCTACTACACCATTCTAAGAGTGGTAAACTAGTAAGCACACGATAGGAACATTGAATATGATGGGTATCATTGCTAACTCCACCAGGTAAAAAGCACCCATTTATTCGATCTGCGTAGTCGACCCAAACTTGGCAAGCTGGATTTGTGCTTGCGTAGATCCCATGAACGAAGTGGAGAGCTTTTGGCAGCACAATCAAGCAGACAACGGCTAAAAAGAACCGAAAGAAGAAACGAAAGAAATTATCCCAACATCTTCGGTTTCTTCTTCTTCTTTTTCTTTTCATCGTCAACAGGCTTGCGTCCCTTTTGAAACTCTCGCCAGCTGCCGATGCGCTCATCACGAGTGTCTTCCCAATTCTTCTCGTGCTCGCGCTTACGCTTGCGCGCATCCATTTCTTCTTCTTCCTTTTGCTTCTCGCGACCTTCTTCCTGCATGCGCACTTTAGCTTGTCGTCGACGACGAGCTTCCTCTTCAAGTAAGACCTTGATAGTCTTCTCGCGCCACTCAACCTTGAAGTCTTCGGTGTAAACCTCGGGTGAATCGATCGTGTACTTGTGCTCGCGAATGAGCAATCGTCGGGCATCTGAGATGCACTCATCCAGGTATGTGCGCTGCTTCTCGTCTAGCAAGGCTGTCTGTGCTTTCTTCAATCGATCGAATGCATCAGGTGCGGCGGGGTTCTTAGTTTTATCAGGATGAATGAGAAGGGACTTCTTGCGGTATTGAACTTTGATGTCCTTTTCAGAAACACCAGGCTGTAAATCTAGCACTGCGTAGCTATACGGATGCCATTGTCAGTAAACCCTAGGATTGTGGGGCAGGCTGCCTACGCATCGAGAGAGAACGCTTTGCGAATGCGATCGATTTCCGCATCCTGGAGAAACGAATTAGCAAGAGGTCTGGGCGTTGTTAGAGACATTGAAGTATGTACCTTTGTGAATTCTGAAGCCTCACGCTCGAGTGAGTCGAAAATATCTTGGTCCTCGTCAGCCATTCTGAAGCTGCGCAGAAGAAGAGAGCTGCGCGAACAAGAGATAAGAGCTGGTAAATGTGGATAGACATTCTTATCGGGTGCTGAGTCATCAAAAAAAAAAAGTTGGAGAAACGCGGGTTTTTGATTTCGATTTCGACGACCAGGCAACTTTTACTACAGCAATCATGGCCCCTGCTCATGGATTTCATAAGAAAGGACCGAAGAAAATTAATGATTCTGGCAGAACGCTGAAACGCAAGCGAGGTGTTGAGGAACTTTCTACCCTCGTTCAGCGTGTTGAAGACCTCGACCTCAAAGATTCTGTCAAGAACTTCTCCGATCTACCGCTCTCCGATCCCACTGCGCGTGGGTTGGCAGCCTCTCATTTCAAAACCCTGACCGACATTCAATCGCGTGCCATCACCCATGCCCTCAAGGGTCGCGATATCCTCGGTGCTGCAAAGACCGGCAGCGGCAAGACTCTCGCCTTCATTGTCCCCACTCTCGAAAACCTGTACCGCAAGCAGTGGACCGAACACGATGGCTTGGGTGCGCTCATTCTATCTCCAACTCGAGAACTAGCGATTCAGATCTTCGAAGTTTTACGCAAAGTTGGTCGGTACCATGGCTTTTCTGCTGGTTTGGTCATCGGCGGAAAGAGTCTGCGCGAGGAACAAGATCGACTGGGACGCATGAACATCTTAGTTTGCACACCCGGCCGTATGCTTCAGCATCTGGATCAAACAGCTATGTTTGAGACACACAACTTGCAGCTGTTGGTGATGGACGAAGCGGATAGAATTTTGGATATGGGCTTCCAGAAGACAATAGATGCCATCATTGACCACCTTCCCAAGGAGCGCCAGACCATGCTGTTCAGTGCCACGCAAACGAAGAAGATCTCCGATTTGGCTCGTTTGAGTCTACAGGACCCAGAGTATGTCTCTGTTCACGAAGCCGCTGCCGCCGCAACACCAGCGACCCTCAAGCAACATTATGTTATTACACCTCTCGCTGAAAAACTCGATACCCTGTGGAGTTTCATTCGCAGTAATCTCAAATCCAAGACCGTGGTATTCATGTCATCTGGAAAACAGGTTCGGTTCGTGTACGAATCGTTGCGCCACCTCCAACCAGGTATTCCGCTGATGCATTTGCACGGCCGCCAAAAGCAGGGCGGTCGACTTGACATTACCACCAAATTCTCCAAGTCTGAGCACTCAGTGCTCTTCGCTACTGACGTTGCCGCGCGTGGTCTCGACTTCCCCGCTGTAGACTGGGTCATCCAGATGGATTGCCCTGAAGATGCCGAGACATACATTCACCGCGTCGGACGAACAGCCCGATATGAGCGAGTTGGTCGTGCGGTACTATTCTTGGATCCCAGCGAGGAGAAGGGCATGTTGAATCGACTCGAGCAGAAGAAAGTCCCCATCGAACGAATCAATATTAAGACAGCAAAGCAACAGACTATTAAGCATCAGCTACAAAATATGTGCTTTAAGGACCCAGAGTTGAAATACCTTGGTCAAAAAGCTTTCATCTCCTACGCCAAGTCAGTCTACGTGCAAAAAGATAAGGAGATTTTTAACATCAAAGAGCTCGCGTTGGAGGATTTCGCAGCCAGCTTGGGTCTCCCCGGTGCCCCTCGCATCAAGTTCATCAAGGGAGACGACACCAAGGAGCGCAAGAATGCCTCGTGGAAGATGGCGCATCTATCTAGTGGTGAGGAGGATTCGGACGCCGATGCGCCCAAGAAGGAGAAGAAGGATGAGAACCAAGTACGCACCCGCTACGACCGCATGTTCGAGAGACGAAACCAAGACGTGCTGGCTGAGCACTACTCTAAACTCATCAACGACGATGGCACAATGGTTGCTACTGGTACCGGTGCTGGTGCTGGAGAGGACGCTGACGAGGATGCCGACTTCCTGTCCGTCAAGCGTCGATTCGAGGCCGGAGACGCCGAGCTAGGCGAAGTCTCTTCCGATTCTGACGACTCAAGCGAGGAACAACCAGCAGTCAAGGTTGTCCATATCGACGGCCAAGCGCCGCTGATCATCGACTCGAAGCGCCGCGAGAAGCTACTAAAGTCTAAGAAGAAGCTACTCAAGTTCAAGGGCAAGGGTACAAAGCTTATCTACGACGACGAGGGCAACGCCCACGAGGTGTACGAGATGGAAGACGAGGAGACGTTCAAGGCTCGCGGCGACGCCAGCACACAACGCGAACGCTTCTTGGTCGAAGAGACGGAGCGCGTACGTGCCGCCGATCTCGACGATAAGGAGCTTGTCCGCGAGAAGCGCCGCGAGAAGAAGGAGAAGCGCAAGGCTCGCGAGCGTGCTCTTATCGACGAGGAGGCAGAGGAGGAGCACGGTGCGCAGCTACCATACATACCTATGGTGGACCTTGGCTTTCACTCGGACTCGGATGATGGATCCGAGCCCGAAGCACCGCGCCCCACCAAAAAGGCGCGTGTCTCATTCGCCAAACAGGACGACAGCGACAGCGATGAACATCCAAAAAGAAACAAGAAGGCTGCGCCTCAGATCGAGACTCTGGGCGACCTGGAGGCGCTGGCAAGTGGCTTGCTGGGCTAATGTGCATGTGCCGGGCATCTTATATATTTTCTGATCATACACTAGCGAGGACTCTTAAAAGCAATCAAATTTCCATGCCTATCATGTGTTTTCCGGCCGTTCTGCTATCACATAGAGTATATTATTTTATGTTTTTATATATTTCAACGAACAATTATATGCGTCATTTAGATTTGGTACTATTTCACGTTATTAGATTAGCTATTTAGTTATTTGGTAGTTAGTTTCAAGATCATCTGACTAATCCTCTTACATACACGATCGAACTCTGGGGCAACAACAAACTTTGAAAAGTGGGCCTCGAAGGATTATCTTTCGTAATGGCAAGTTCTCAATACTACCTTCCCTACTATTTTATGTTGCGTTATTGGGTATGCAAGCACGCCATCGCATCATGTGGAAAATTTGGTACATTTCACATCGCAGATTTTGATATTAAAGCATGAGCATAGCAGATTCCGGACGTGAGTTCATGGTGGGTTTCTATTAGTCTGGGGTAGAATCACGTGCTACCAGATCACTTCGAGTAGGTAAGTCTATGCAAGGCAGAAGTAAGCCCTAACTGGGCCGAAAGCTCATACCTAGGTATCTAACTAAATAACAGCTCAATTCCTCTGCTATTCTTGCTACATACATTCTTTAGGGGAGGATTCAGGTCGCCATGTCCGACCCTGAGAAGTACCCACAAAATGACTTCGCTCACGATGTCCACTCCATTCATCCACTGGTGAATGGAGACAGGCTAGCCAGAAAGCTGAGTGGCCGGCAAGTGCAAATGATCGCCATTGGCGGTACAATTGGCACTGGTTTATTCCTGGGTTCAGGAAAGTCCCTCGCTACAGGCGGACCTGCGTCAATGCTGATAGCCTATGCCATCTGTGGTGGTATCGTCTTTGTGACAATGCTATGTTTGGGTGAGATGTCTTCTTTCATTCCCATTGCTGGATCCTTTTGTACATTTGCTGGGTACGTCCGTCGCCTTGGAGCATGATATTGCCCTATATTGGAAATTATGAATGCTGACCTGATCCTATTTTTATAGTCGCTTTGTCGACGATGCTTTGGGCTTTGCTTTGACCTGGAATTATTGGTTCAATGATGCTGTCTCTACAGCTTCGGATATCATTGCTTTGCAGCTTCTGCTGCAATATTGGACCGATAATTTTCCAGGGTGGGCTATTAGCTTGATCTTTTTGATTGTTGTTATTGCGCTGAATATGCTTTCCGTCCGTGTTTACGGCGAGGTATGTTTTTATTCTTCTATGCAAGAATAGGGGTTTAATTGGCTCACTGAATCATAGGTTGAATACTGGCTGAGTTTACTCAAAGTCATTACAATCATCGTATGTCTCGCAATTCATCTCAAATCACACCGTGCTCATTTACTGACCTCTCCAGATCTTTATCATTATCGGTATTGTTGTCAACTGCGGTGCTAACACTAGCCATGAATACATTGGTGGCAAGTATTTCAACCTCGGAGAAGCGCCTTTTGTGGGTGGCATCGGTGGATTTGCATCGGTATTCGTCACAGCTTCATTTGCCTTGTAGGTTTCGCTTCATTGACTCTCCTGAACACTTATATAAAATCTTGAACTGACTTTCCAACCAGCGGTGGAACAGAGTCAATCGCCATTACAGCAGGAGAGACTAAAAACCCAGCAAAGACAATGCCCAGAGTCGTCCGCAACGTCTTCTGGCGAATCGTGCTTTTCTACATGCTCTCCATTCTCATGGTTGGCCTAAATGTCCCCTACACCTACCCAGGTCTTTCGGAGAAAACCACTGCCACAAGTCCATTCACCATCGTCTTTCAAGAAGTCGGTAGCAATGTGGCCGGCAGCTTCATCAACGCCGTAATCATGACTTCTGTCATCTCAGCATCAAACCATGCTCTTTTTGCTGGCTCACGCCTTCTTTACTCCCTCGCAGTAGACGGCTACGCACCCCGCTTTTTTGGCAATCTGAATCGTTTCCATATCCCTTGGATCGCAGTCCTCGCCACCTCGGTGATTAGTGGCTTGTGCTTCGGCGCAAGCTACATCGGCGCTGGCCAATTGTGGTCATGGCTACAGAAGTATGTTACACCTTGACCCTTTACATACCCAGGTGTGGTTTTATATGAAAATCATTATCTAACAACTTACACAGCATTGTCGGTGTCTCTAACCAGCTCTCCTGGATCTGCATCTGCATCGCCTCCCTCCGCTTCCGCAGCGCAATCCGCGCACAGGGTCTAGAGCACCTCCTCCCCTTCAAAAACTGGACATACCCCTATGGCCCCATAATTGCCGCAGGTCTAAACTTAGTCCTAATCCTCGTCCAAGGATGGAGCTGCTTTAGCCCTTACTTCCAGGGCGTGGACTTCGTGTCGTATTACATCGAGCTCCCTATCATGTTCATCATGTTCGTCGCTTGGAAACTTATCAAAAGGACCAGATTTGTTCGCACGGCTGAGATGGATCTAAGGACTGATCGGTATGATGGCGGTGATGATGATAATCATAGACCTGAGGACGTCGAGGAACCTGATCGGAAGGGCGTTTTTGAGAAAGTCCAGCGCTTTGGGCAATGGCTCTTCCTCTAATCTTTTTTATATTGGGTAGCGGTGCGATACTCCGTTCGAACATCAACTGCACTCGTATAATTTTAGCTTTATTAATCCCGAGCTCATGTCTGATGTGTATTATGAACTTTCAGTATTAGTTATCATTCAATGGAAATGTTCAATATAGTCAATTGCCAGGTCCGAAGCTTAGTATAACTACCTGGAGCGTCCAAAGTGCTTTTGATCATGATTACAATATCAGCTTCATGAAAACATCTTGACCTGCCTAAGGATATTTGTCAAGCCCAAACCCAAATCCAAATCCAAAGCGACAAAACACAAACAAAAAAATCAAAGTAAAAGCGACCTTTCCCCTATTTTCCATTCCGCGAAAAACGCCGTGCCAAGTCTTCCCAGTCAAAAGCTGCATAACTATAGGGGGTACTCGCGAGAAAAGGAAAGAACCGGTACCAAGAACAAACAGAATAAAATGTCCTCCACGACAGCAAAAAAAAAGCGATAATGCAAGCAGATCTGACGAATGCAACGAGAGACGAAAACTAACAAACATGAACAGATAAGGTCACTGCAGTCTGGATGGAGATGAGACGCACGGTGTTGGAAGTGCTCAAGTAAATGAAAAGACAAAGGAATGAACTGTATCGAACGCAAGACTAAATTCTGATGAGACCGAAAGAGCAAACGAAGCGCCGTATTGAAAGGGGTATCAGTCCCTGTAGACCCTGCTACGAGAGTTTGTGAATTATACAGTACAAGGAGGCCGCCAGGGCAGTTGAGATGGGAATAATCCTCAGGAAGGGACGGAAATCAAGATCGACGGTAAGTTTCATCCATTGACCATGTCATCCAAGGCCATTTTTCGCCTCTTGACAGGTCTTGATTCATCCCTTTCAGGATCGTTTGGTGGAGCGGGACGGGTTGTCACTGTGGGTGAGTGGCCCTGAGTAATAGAAGGGGACAGATCAACTGGGCCAAGATGTCGTGGGACCGGATCTAATAGTGATGGATCCGTTGTTGATACTGAGCGTTGGTGCCCGGTAGAATGGGAGAAAATCGAGGTGGATGGCCGCTGCAGGATGCTTTCTGACCGATGGTGCCGAGGACCCTGTTCTCGCCCAAAAGATGTCCAATTGGCAGGGTATGGGTCGCTCAGCCTGTGAGCATGGTGATGAGATGGAGGTTGGTGTGAAGATGGAACTTGTCCAGGTAGTGGGGGTCCTGGAGGTCCGGGACTGGCAGTTGCCTGGTGTATCGGTGGAAGTCTCACTGGTGATTCTACATACGGATCACGGGGTCCAGAAATTCGAGGGTCGTGCATAGGGTGATGAATAGGATTGGAAGGAGTCTCGTATGGTAGATAGGGCACGCCCGTAGGCACGTGTGGTGGCGAGGTTGGTAGGGGTAAGGCAGAGGTAGCATATGGTGCATATCGTCTTTCCATTCCAGGAGGCACAGCTGTTGTCGGAAGTGGTGGATTATACCCATTTGTAATTGTAACAAATGCATGAGGTGGGGGTGCTAGAGGTGGATAAGAAGGAGGTCCGGATGAAGTGTATGGTCGGCGGCCTGCTGGCGCCTGAATATGCTGAGAATATTCCATGGGACGAGTGAGAGGAAAGACAGATGCAGACCATCGGTGCCGTAGTTGTCCTTGGGGAACTCGCATACCTGATGCGCCACCAGGGTCCCCTGCTGCGTGGAGATCGGTCATGGGCCGAAGTTCCCGGGAAGATGTCGTTCGATGTAAAGAAGTCCTCTGTGCTGCGGTAGATGAGTGGGATTCAGCGGGCACAGCTGGATTGTCTACGTGCGTTGTGTAAGAGCGCAGAGAGGAATCCTCCGCTTTCAAAGGTGGTCGGCCTCTCTTCTTGTGCGTGACATCCACGCAGGAGGACTTTGTAATAGTTAGCTTCATAATAGGCTATAGCTCGATCGAGCCTGAGATTGATAAACTTACGGCCTTGCCAGAGAGCACACATCGTCGACATGGACGTGCTGGATCACATCCCAAGTGCTTCTTTTTGCAGTTAACGCAGGCAGAAGCCACATGAGCCTTGGTGCGCCGTGTCGATTTCTGAGTTAAAGATCGGCTCACTGGGCTCGGTAAAGATGGGTCTAATGCAGGAAGTGGATATTGGGGTGCTGCGGGTGGAAGTCTAGGGGAGCCCACAAATACTGGAGGGGCTTGTTCGCCATATCTCAGTGGAAGAGTTGCCGATGGAGGGTCATTCAACCCTACAAGCAGCTGAGAGCGACCAGAAACGCTGTATGGATGGGAAATTGAAATAGAAGTAGGAGTGGTATTTTCACCAGCTGGTGTTACAACTGGAGACGAAGCTGGTGGGTAACCTACAGGATTGGATTCCCTGGGTGTCACCGAGGGCTCTTCTGTCGGAGAATCAGACATAGATTGACGGGTGAAAGAAGCCCTAGGGCTACGCCCTCGAGCATTGGACGACCAGGATCGGTTCAACAGCCGGCGCTCTGGGCCCGAGCTGAACCGGGGCTGTCCGAACTGGGTGGTGGTGAGGCTCAGTGGGTGAAGCACGAGGGGTTGCATCGGGTTTCAGGCAACGACCAGGGAGCCCACGAGAGGCAAATTGTGATAGTTAGAATTTAGAATCGAATTCTTCAGTTTCACATCAACTCTTTCAAAAAAGAGGACCACAAGCTCTCGTCTCTGCACTTGAAGGCAGCATTATCTCTGGCGAATAGATACCAAGTAAAATAAAGGCTTGAAAGAGCCGTCAGCAGAGCAGGGGGAGAGTGAGGAAAGAGAAGGGAAGGGGCAAAAAGAAGGAAAAGTAGGTGAGTGAATGCGGCGTATGTAGGTGTATGTGTGTTTATGTGTCCGTATGTGAGTGTGTAATGTATGGTGACTATTTGAATGGATAAGGGAAAAAAGGGTCAAGATCCAGTCGTCATCCAAGGCAGGGCTCAGGCCACAAGAGGAGGTTTCCAAGCTTATAACCCCAGGGCAGAGAGATCTGCTATTGGAGGAGTCAGAAAATAGGCTGCATCGATCAGCGGGAGATTTCCAGATCATGACAGCAGGGTTTCTCATAGCCGCGCATGTCTTTCTCCTCCCAGGGCCATTTATTGCATGGCGGTCGATCATCGAGCTAGGATCAAGGTGCAGGTTGCAGGTGCATTCAATGTCAAAGCCCTGCCCACGCCTTACCTCTTGTGTCTTGATCCAGACCCACGTTCCGGCATTGGCTGCAGCTGTAGAGACCAAAAAGGGAAGGAAAGAAAAAAGGAAAGAAAATGAAATGAAGAAGAAATGAAGGCGAAGAAACGGTGAACTATACCGGATAGTAGGATTTTGATCTCCTTGTTTTCCTTTCCAAGGTTGTATATCCCTCTTCCAAATATCTAGTCGAATGGTAAGATTCAAGGAAGTCATCATTGTTTTGTTTTTCTCCAGGTCATGTGCTCCTTCCAAGGTTGGCTTGATACCTACATTTCCCTTTATAGGGCTTGTACCTATAAGATAAGGCCTAGAATGAACATGAAATGAGGTATTGAAATAGAGCACCTGGGCAAAAGCCACAAAGATAATTGAACTAGATGAGGAATCTCCGATAACTAGATAGAATAAGAAGTGCAGATTGACTAGTAAAACCTTGGGAATGATATATACTCCGTAGATCACGTTAAAGGGACCTCGGGAGGGGATGTTTCCCCTTCTTTCCGAAAGTACGGGAGTAGCAAAGAGGGAAAAATAAAATAAAAGCAAAAAAGGACCTAAAAGGCAAAGGCAGAAAAAGGAAGTACTAGAGTTCCTCTTGGGACTATTTTTTTTAGGCTGAAAGTGGCTTGCATAAGATGAAGAGGGGGAACGAGGCTGCTGTCAGTGACACCTTTCGTATTATAATTTAATATGGGAAAATACGGGAAATATGGGAAATATAGCGAAGTAAATGTAAATTGATGGAAAAATACAAAATAAAATAGATAGAATAAAAAGAGGATAAAATGAGGGGGCTACAATATACCAATCAGCGAAGTAGGTCAAGAAGCAAAAGGTAGGGAGATTGACTGATCGACGTCGGTGCCCGCAGCTATTTTCCAATAGTCTCGGACTCGGCAATGAATTATGCATTCCGTATGTTCTTTGCAGCAGGGGGTTCGTAGGAATCAAATCAAGGTAACCCATCGGGGAGGACGAAATAAATTATACTAATAGAATAGGTAGTAGAGTCTAGATTTTACGTTTGAGTTGGGTATCTATCAACCGGAGTAGATACGGTTGAACCCCTTCTAGATACGTCCCTGCATGTGTTATGGTGCTGATCTGAGGTACCAGGTTAGACTGACAAAAACTTGAAGAAGGGAATGACGGAACAGTTCGTGGGGAAACCTTGGTTGAATTCTAATATGTTATTCTCCGTGTATATGGAAAAGATCCCTGGCTCCACCAGGGGAAAACTGGACTCTGTATGACTGAGTAGATCTTCCGGTTTATGCTCCGTGACACAAGGGGTTACTGTTGCAGTCGGGTCCGACGTCTGGCAGATCAAGGTCGTTAGAGAAAAAGGAAAGTAAAAAAAGTAAGAAAAAAGAGGGAAAAAAAGAAAGGAAAAAGGTCTCATAATGTGTGTGGCCTGCCATGAACGATAACCGGACAGCTGCAGGGAAGCAGGAGAAGAAGAGAGGGTCCTCTTTTCTCTTCTTTTTTTTTTTTTTGACCTTAGTCACTCTCTTCTGATGGATCGACACTAGGATTAGCTTCCAATGATGACGTTGAATTTCAATATTGAACACTGAGAACGGGTTCTTTGAACATTGTTGCACTGGATGTAGATTGGGTGGCATCATCAGGGTCTTGTAAGACCTGGACTTTATTTTCCGGGGAGTCCGACGGCAGCAACAAGATGTGGCTGCAGTTCTCGGCGTCCGTCGATCAGCGCGTGCACCACTGCACTTTCTTCATCCCTTTGGAACTTGCATGGTCCATCCTTAACGTTCCGATAGCTGAATACCGGAAGCTGCCGGGGAAAAGAAGAAGTTCCCATCCAAAAAGGCTTGGAGGGAGTGGATTCGGTGGAACATGAGGCACGCGGACCAGCAAGGGGTCTGAGTCTCGGTTCATGCACGATTCAAGTTGGGATTCAATAGTGCGAACCATTTTGAACATTCTGGCCCGGACTGGCCTTTTTTCCAGCTTAGTCATCCCCCTTTTCATAGATCAAGTAGAAACTAGTTAAAGTAGAAGCAATTAATTACCTAAAGATCAATGTAGATCCCATAATTCGCCGAGAGCTAGTTTAACAAGGCTGTACTAGCATACAACCTGAATAAAAACGGAGATTAATGGGGAACCTCGTGGGTAATAAAAGAATAAAACCCCGTACTCACGCATACCGTAGAGAAGATTCGGTAGCTTAATGCAAAGCTGATGACTGTAAGAGTGTAGGCAAGTTGAAAATTCACTCGATCCTTGGACTTCTCTATACTTAGGTACTGTACTAGAGTAGCCTTAGTGAAGCTGTAACTGTAACTGTAACGAAAAAGATCATTTGGTATCTCCAATGCAAATATACTAGGAATGTACTAAAAACGCCTTTCTGCCTTTTATCCATTTATCGTCTGCCCTTCTTTGCAGGCCGCGCGTTCTTTTCATGACGCTGTTGCTGCAGCTTGCGCGCCTTGCGAATGTCCTCGTTAGACCGAATCTCACTCTTGCCACCAGCAGCGGGACCTTGACGTTCACGAGCTGCTTGATTCTTCTTGACCATCTTCTCATAGTCATGTCGTAATGGGTCAGCCCGTTTGGGAGCTTGCTGCTTGGTGTGGCGGAACCTGCCGTTATTTCCCGCATTGGAGTTGAAGCTTTGGAAGCTGACACCAGGTGTTTCGGCCTCACCCACACGAGGCATCGCACCCATGCGCTTGCCCTTCTTCCAGCTCTGGAAACGACCACTGCGGAAACTGGCCGCAATCTTGGCACCACTCTCACCACGGACCAGGTGCTCGCCCTTGGATCCATCCTCGTCGTTCTGTCGCGCCACGTACTTCTTGTGTCGCTTATCCCAACGCATAGTCGACCGCTGCTCGCCAAAGTGTCGCTGGCCATCGTCACCGTTGAGATCCATGGTAGCACTACGTGAGGCCTGAGCAAAGTTCGAGTTCGTGCCCGAATGGACGCCGTATGCCCGGTCTTCTGCGAGGTCGTTGTTGTTGGGTGTGTAACCCATGAAATAGTCCGAGTTCTGGAATGCTGTCGCAGACACCTCGTTGGACTTACTCTTGGGTTGAGAGTAGGAAGAGAACGTAACTTCCAGGTCATTCTCCGAGGCAATGGACATGTTATCCCCGGCTTCATCAGCCATGTCCTTATCCTCATCTTGCTCGTATTCGTCCTCCCCAGTCTGACCAAGGTCAAGCTCTGACTTCATAGCATCTTCCTTGGCTTGAATGCGTTGCTTTTTCTTTTCGACGTTGGTGCGAAGACGTTTGATTGTGTCGAGAGTTTCATCGGCTTCATTCTTGCCACCACGTCGGCTATGAATCTCAAAGATTGTTTCCTGTGGTCGGAACCCACCGATACGGGCCAGCATTTTCTCTCGCTCAGCCTCTAAATCATTTCGCTCGTCGTTGAAGAGCACATGGGTGCTGTTCCAGTTCTCTGTAGCGGTGAGCTGTTTGGCGCGCTTCGCACTTTCGGTAGAAGCAGCGTTACGAGTGCGCATGTAGAGTTTTTCACCCCTCACGGATACCTGGCGTTGAGATGAGATGTCGGTGTTTTCACCTAAGACCTTGTTGGCCCACTCGCAGCAGCGAGAAAGCGGGTCTCTAGGGAGGGACCCCACAACCACATCCTCAGCATAGTTAACTTCTGTACCAAATTGACGACCAAGAACCAATCTGCGACCCAGGAAGAGCTGGAGGTCCAGCAAGTACGGGGCATCTCCATCCCGAACAAGGTTGTAACTCCAACCCGTCCGACCAGCACGGGCAGTACGACCAACACGATGGATGAAAATCTTGGGCTGAGATGGAAAATCGTAGTTGATGACGTTGGCAAGAATCGGGATATCGATACCTCTGGCAGCCACATCAGTGACGACCAGGATATTGGTAATTCCTTGTCGGAAGCTTTGCACCTGAATTCGACGAGCAGTCTGATCCAGCGAACCGTAGACAAAAGAGGTGGCATAGCCTGCCTCTACTAGGAGAGAGTAAATATAGTCCACATGATGTTTCGTCGCAGCGAAAACGATAGTCGAGTATTTGGTCGGTGATTCTTTGAAGTTGACGCCCTTCTCCAAATCTCTCTTCCGCTTTCTGTCATTGAATCCTCCCTTATTTTCCTGAAACTTCTTAGCAATTTCCGTAGGGCCGGTGGGCATTTTGATGACGTCTTGGAGGATGTAAAGAAGAGCACCCTCTTTGTCGGATGACTTAATCGAAAAGAAAGCGTTCTGAAGATCGGGCGAAATCTTGTTTTCCGTGTCTAGACGGATCAAAGTTGGTTCTTCCAAGCCTGCACGCGCAAACTCAACGAGCGACTTGGGAAGTGTAGCGGAGAAAAGCAGAGTCTGTCGGTTGGAGGGCAGACCATGCAAAATCTCCGTCAATTGCGCAGCGAAACCCATTTCGAACAGCCGATCAGCCTCGTCAAAAACCACGTAGCGGATGCTGGACAGATCCAGATCCATTTCTACCTTCAAATGCAAGAATCGACCGGGCGTCGCAATAATAATATCAGGATTGCCCGTCATCATTCCAAACTGATCCTCGAGACTATCACCACCGACAAGGAGAACAGCTCGCAGATCTGTTCCACGTCCCATCTCTTTCACGACTTTAAGGGTTTGGATAGCTAGTTCACGAGATGGCGACATGATTAGAGCACGGGCTCCAAATTTGGTACTGTGACTTTTCAATTTCTCGATCATGGGAATGACGAAAGCCGCAGTCTTTCCACTACCAGTTCGAGCCATGCCAACAACATCTTGGTCATCCATGATTACCGGAATGGTCTTTCGCTGAATGGGGGTTGGGACTGAATATCCTTTACGGGTAATAGCCTTCAGCAGGTTGGAATTGAGTCCCATGACTTGGAAACCACCGCCCTTCTTCACAGTGCGACCCTTTAGATTTGCGCCCTTTCGGTTTGCAGATGCCTGCTGTGAAGCGATAAAGGCTCCATCTCCGTCATCTTCGTCGTCCTCTCCTAAAAAATCGAGGGCCTGACCGGGAGCGGGCTTGTGTTGAGCAATGGCGTTTACGCCTGTACCGTGGTCGTTGTCATTATCATTGTTTTGAAATAGCGCACTTGTGATATCGAACTCGTTCTCCGACAGGGCCGGAGAAGCTGCGCGTGCCCGGTGAGGCATGATGTTATCTCGAAACGATATGCTGCCGAATAAGGCGGAAAATGGGGTTGATGGATGAAGCTCAAATCATCAAAGAATCAGAATTTTCAATCAGAGGACACCACTAATTGAGAAGAGGATCAATTTATTTCAAAAACCTCTCCCGCGCTCAAAATTTCTTTCCAGCAGGTGGGTATCTTTTCTTGAGAGATAAGTTGATCTGCCGCAAAAAAAAAAAAAAGTTGAACGACTTCGAAAGCGGTGAATATGCCAATGCAAACAATGCAAACAGATATCCCCGCGACGCGTTGCTTCGCGCGTAAAATGATTTATCATTCCGAGTACAAAATTTATCACCACAAAACACACAAAATGGGTACGTTACTGGGCTATTACGAACTTTGAGATATGCAGCTGATCACCTGTTGATACTAGACGGTGGCTACAACAACAACCCATACGGCAGCCAATCTGGCGGCGGCGGCGGCTTTATGCCTGGAGAGACGAACAGCCCTTCTGGAGGAAAGGTATGATCAAGCGAACCACTTATCTGCAAATAATTGCTAAAAAACCATCAGTCTGCCGATCGTGATAACAAGACCCTGCGCCCGGTGACGATCAAGCAAATTCTAGATGCCACGCAGCCATACCCAGACGCCCCATACCAGATCGACCACGCAGACGTGGCCAACGTGCTCTTCGTCAGTCAGATTCGCAACATCAGCCACCAGAGCACAAATCACACATATAAGATGGATGATGGCACTGGAGAGATTGAAGTCAGGAAGTGGGTCGAGGCCAACCAGGATAGTATGGATATGGATGAGGGCAAGACCGAATCCAAAGATGAGTTGACAACTAGCGGCTATGCTCGTGTCTTCGGCGCCATCAAGTCTTTCGGAAACAAGCGATACATCGGTGCACACAGTGTGCGGCCAGTGAAGGACCTCAATGAAATTCTCTGTCATCCCCTCGAGGCTACGGCCGTGCACTTATTCTTCACCCGTGGGCCCCCTGGAGGTGTTTCTGCTGGTGGTGATGCTGGTGCATATGGAGCAGCAGGTGATGATGCCAACGCCGGCTCGAATGCTGTCCTGAACAAATTGACCCCGGTTGCACAGAGAGTGTACCAGATGCTCAAGACTGAGCCGCAGGACGACACAGGTCTACACCTGCATCAACTTGCCTCAAAGCTTCACTTGCCTGTCACCGATGTGGCTCGGGCTGGGCAGGAACTTCTGGACGCGGGTCTAATCTTCTCGACAATGGACGAACAAACATGGGCTATTCTCGAGTACTAGATCCTGGGCTATTTCACAACTTAACTTGATAGCATAAAAGCTCATTGTGCCAAATATCAAATGATTTCATGATTATCTTTTAAATCGATGATGTTGTTATCATATATATACACTTTGACATGATTAGTTATAGAAGGAACTCCGTTCTTCTTCCTTGATCACATTTATAGCGAGCTTAAACCGGAAGTTTGAACGAATTCTTTAGAAGCATATTGATCTTACCTGCAAGTACTAAAGAATTCCATTTTCTATATTAGCTGAAAAATCCGAGTCTTTGCTAAGAAATGGGCGAGTCCAGGGTTTTAAGCACATCATTGTCGTGGCTCATTACGCCTTCCGCGAAACACACTGAATGAGACGAATGCCCCTCATAACATGTCAAAGTGGGCTGTTGTCTACCCCTCATTTATTCTGATAAGAATTGAATGTCAACAATTTGGCGTGTAAGTACCTATAACTATTGATGTGCCTAAATAAGCGTTTCACAGCCTTGGAAATCACAGCCCGCAAAGTCACGTTTTCGGTATACCAAACCCTGATTCACAATCAATTCCCAGTGCATCTAGATAGATGTCAGAACTGGCAAAACCTCGGGTCAGAATAAACGGGAAAAAATACTAAGTCTATGGTCTACGCAACATGGAGAAGATTATGGGGCCTTAGCTCCGATTGCGAATTCTTGGCTCAGATAGGTCAACAGTGGCGACAGCGTTCTATACTTCATTTAACCGTCTTGAATTCCACTTTGTCGCTCCAAATCCTGTGAAATCAAACGCATTTTCAAAGGTCACCTGAGCATCTAATCATGACTGACAGAAATATCAAGCGTGTTGCCGTGATTGGCGCTGGAATCAGTGGCGTTGTAAGTGCCGGTCACCTACTAGCAGCCGGTCTAGAGGTCACAGTCTTTGAAAGAAGTAAGGCAGCTGGAGGAAACTGGTATGAGCTCTTGATCTTGCAAAGCTTTAGGACAATTCTAATCGATTTGTTAGGCTTTATGACAAGCGAGTGCCAATCGAAGCTGTGTACCCATCAATTCACCCATCGGATGCAATTAAGTTTGGGAGAGATGGGCGAGAAGGCAATGAAAGAAAGGAACTAATCCATGCTCCGCCTGGGTGAGTGATATGGGGTTTAAAAATCCTCGCAATTCGATGCTAACAGTTGGATAGACCGTGTTATGAGGGCCTTACGAACAATGTCTCCACCCCATTGCTCAAAACCACACTGAATTCTTGGCCAAAAGATACCCCACCATATGTGACGCATGACGTGCTTCTGAACTACATCCAGGATACTTCGAAGACGGCCGGTGTGGATGCTGCGACCATTTATGGTGCGCTAGTGACCAAAGTTTACAAGGAAGGGTCAGAGTGGCATGTTACTTGGACCACACTGCATGAGGATCCTGAGACTGGCAACTTGACTGAGAAGTCAGAATCTGCAGTAAGACTCAGCTGTTTTCAGGGACAAAAGATTGGACATCACTAACACGTACCTAGATTTTCGATGCTGTCGTAGTTGCGTCAGGCCATTATCATGTCCCTCTGGTCCCTGATATCAAGGGTCTAGCTGAAGCCAAAGCAAAATGGCCCACAGTCATTACTCATTCCAAGTCATTCCGAAACTCGGAAGGGTTTTCGGACAAGGTTCGTTCGGCCCGCTTAAAGTTGTCTTCACATACTCAAATAATTATAGAACGTACTTCTGATCGGAGGCGGAGTTTCTTCGCTGGATATCGCTAAAGAAATCAGCTCAAAAGCTCGGACAGTTCACCAGAGCACCCGAAACGGTTATTTTGATATCTCGGCCGCCGCACTCCCTGAAAAGACAAAGAGAATTGAAGAAGTCATCGAATTTGAGATCACAGAAAATGCTTCAGGAGAACACCTACCGCTGATTGCACACCTGAAGTCAGGCGGTACCCTGGAAAACATTGACAGAGTTGTCCTCGCCACAGGATATCAGCTGGTCCTACCATTCCTGCCTCAGTACAACGACGAAACTCTCACCAGGATTTCAACAGATGAATCTGTGATTATATCAGATGGAACCCAAGTCCATAACCTGCATCGCGACATTTTTTACATCCCTGATCCCACTTTGGCCTTTGTTGGTATTCCATTCTATACTGCGACGTTCTCGCTCTTTGAATTCCAGGCGATTGCAGTTACTGCCTTCCTTTCTGGAGCCATCAATCTACCTTCCGTCGACGAACAAAGAGCTGAATATCAAGAAAAAATCAAGACCAAAGGGTATGGGCGAAGCTTCCATTCGCTAAAGGGTGAAGAGGAAGGCTATGTGATAGATCTCCTTGATTGGGTAAACAAGGAGAGGGCACTACAGAACTTACCTCCGATTGAAGGCCATACTGCTGTCTGGCTTGAAGCTAAAAAAGCCCAGATTGAGCATCTAAAGGTACTCTTTCCTGATATTTACGGAGCAGTCGAGGTAGCAGCTTCGGCATGAACTATGTATTAGGTATTAGGGCTTTAAGAGCGAAATATTGTATAAGTTATTGATATAACACTGCCTAAGTGAGGTCAGAAGGATAGTCACTAGTTAAGTACTTTTGTAACTCGTTTCCTCTGCTAGCATAGCATATACAAACTGTCATCACCCAGTACTAGTCAAGTATCATAACCATATATTCATTCTAAGTTTCATGATATTTTCGATCTTTTTCATCTCTTGAATGTTAACTGGCTAACTAAAATTCACTATCTTTCCTTAAATCCGATAAATGAACGCTTTTGTATATAGGACTCAGATCTCATACCCAGGTACATAAATGGTAGTGGCTGTATGGCGAGTTCGGGTTCGGATTCATGGATGGTGTTCACCTGACGCGAAATGGCAACATGAGAGAGCATCTCTACTCTGCAAAAACCAGAACGCGTGTTCTCACCTTATCTATCAGCTGTCTCCGGCTTAATATTATGATGGCCACCTCGCATGAATTGCGCGAACAAGAACGACCGTAATTCGATGATTTGCATCTCAAATCCCCTTGCCGAAGATACGGTAGGATGCACCAATGTAAGCACGGAACAAGAAGTACAGGCTGAATCTCACGATGCTGCCTTCCTGTCCAATCGTCATGGCCCCGGGAGCAGTACACTTACCATGCGACTACCATTTCTCGTCGTGGCACTGGCGACGTCATTATGTACCTTGGAGATGCATCGTGTTCGCAGCATTTTGCCTACATAAAAGGTCTCCGGGCCCACAGTGCGAGTTTATGTATTGTGAATTTATGTATTTTACCTCAGCTCGAAGGTAATAAGGCTACAAGTTAAACTGCTCTCTTTCTTTCAGATTCTCCCTTGGTTTTTTCAGGGAACCTCGGACTCGTCATGTCCAGTTCCCGTATAGAAGTACGGGCGACCGATCAGTCGACCCAACCTTCAACAGAGAAGAAAAGCAAAAAATGGGTCAGCTATATATGGGATACCTTCGACAAACCTCCTGAAGAACGCCACCTTCTCTTTAAGTTGGACACTGCAATTTTAACATTTGCTTCACTCGGTAAACATTGTTCTAACTTGATCGCTCTGTAGTATAGGCTGATTCGCTTTGTCCAGGATACTTCGTGAAGAATCTTGATCAGATAAACATCAATAATGCCTTTGTATCCGGAATGTAAGTTCTTGATCGCATTTTATGCAGCGGAAGATCTGCATCTAACAGTCCTGACAGGAAAGAGGATTTGGGGTTGTATGGCAATGAACTCAACTACATGCAAACATGTTGGACCGTGGGTTATGTGATTGGCGAGATTCCAAGTAACCTGCTGTTAACTCGTGTCAAACCAAGATACTGGATTCCAGCTGCTGAGGTACGGCCCAAGTTGCACTTTCTCTCATAATTATCTTATACTAAAAATGCCTAGCTTCTTTGGACCATTCTAACCTTTGTTCTCTCGAGATGTAACACTCCGACTCAGTTTTATGTCATCCGGTTCTTTGTCGGTAAGTAGGACAAGCTATACACTGTCATATACCTATAAATTACTGACTAGTGGTCAGGTCTTGCGGAAAGTACCTTCTATCCTGGTATGCAGTATATCATTGGCTCGTGGTACCGCAAAGAAGAGCTGGCCAAAAGATCTTGCATCTTCCACGCAAGTAGTGGCATAGCCAGTATGTTTTCTGGTTATCTCATGGATGGAGTGTTCAAGCTAGGTGGAAGAGGAGGCTTTAAGGGGTGGCAATGGTAAGTCTCATCTATTGAAATCGAAAATATGTAAGGTTCCTTAATCTAAAAAATGCAGGCTCTTCTTGATCGATGGGTGCATCTCCCTTCCGGTGGCTCTCATGGGATTTTTTATCTTGCCCGACGTACCTGAAATTTCTAGTCCATGGTATCTTAGCAAGGAGGTAAGAGCAGACAAACACCGCGTGCTTCTCGACGGGGGCTGATACCAATACTCAAAACTAGGAAGTTGCACTGGCACAAACTCGGATGGATACTGAGGGAAGGCAGAAAAGAGGACCATTCACCAAGCAGAAACTGATAAGGATATTCTCTTCCTGGCATATTTATCTCCTAACCTTGCTTTATATGTAAGTCAATTTCACGGCTCCCGAGATCAGTCATTAGCTTTTCTTCAATTACCTGACAGTCACTAGTTTGTTCAACAATGGTGGTGCAGGTGGTCAGCCAGTCTTTCAACAGTAAGTCTACCCTGGACTCTATCCCATATCCTGCCTTGACTTATGATCGTTACAAGATTCCTCAAGAACTCCAAGAATCCCAAATACAGTGTAGGTCAAATCAATGCATATCCTACGGCCACATATGCAGTCCAGGTCCTGACCACTCTCTGTTATGCCTGTAAGTGACCTTACCATTACACAAAGACTGCAAGCTGACCATAACAGGGTCATCGGATTCGTTCCTCAATGGAAAACGTTGGCCACCTATAATATTCGGCGCTGTGAGTTGAATTTTCCTGTTCATTTCCAGAACTCTTACTTAAAAAAATCCTAGTGTGTCAATATCATAAGCTACGTGTCTTTGTCAGTGTGGAATATCCCAATCGGATGGAAATGGACTTGCTACATCATATCTGGGGCTGGATTCGGACTCAGCGGCCTGTGCATGGCGTAAGTCAGCTCAATACTTTACCTGCAAAGCGATATCTAATGAAGCGTTCTTATAGATGGGCTCATGAAATCTGCTCAGAAGACAACGAGGAGCGTTCTCTTGTCATTGGAAGCATGAACGAAATGGCCTATGTCTTCCAAGCCTGGATACCTCTCTTAGTATGGAAGCAGGTTGATGCTCCAGAATATCACAAGGGCTTTATTACCGTGAGCTGCTTGTCTTTCTTCTTAATACTTGTGACTTTCATAATTCGAAGTCTTGATGATAAGGAGAGAAAGTTGAAAGCGTAAGTACTCGATCTCATCATGAAATGTAAGCTTGACCTATTGTCTAACGAAGCAGCAGAGCTCAAGCAGCAAACGTCGAGAATGATGATCTTCTCTCAGACTCCACTTCTAGTTTTACGCCAGTGGGCACAAAGCCTCCAAAATCCCAAGGACCTGATGCTGTAGATATTTAATTGATCGGACTAGAGTTTCCTTCCCACTGAAGCAGAATTCCTCTATCGCGAGCAAGATAAAGAGAGCTACTCGCAATTATACGAGCAGCTCAGCACATATAGTGGCCAAGATGGTATAGTGGATTTCAAAGTTCTACGGACGGGCTTTAAGGTTACCTTCTAGTATATTTAGCTTTTGACCAAAGCTTGTTCTATCAACAGTCGAGCTTTGTAAATACACAATTCACCTCAATTAATTTGAGAAAATCAGTCGATCGACTTTAGGTTGAATAGTTGGATAAGTAAATAGATGTCATACCAAGTGATGCAGGAACGAGGATACTAATTCACGGAATATAATATTAGTCCGGGTATCCGGGCATAAGCCACTTACATACCATACGTAGTTAACCATTTATGTCCATTTTTGCTTGATCAATTATCCACCCCTAACTATTTAAATCTTTTCATCCAAAGTTATCCTTGGGATCTACCTTTTTTTCCCCCTTAAATGCTCTAATAGAACCAGGATTGATAAGTTATCCACATCAGTTAGTCTGAACTGAGTCAGTGAATCGACTATGATGCGACAAGAGGGGATAAGCGAGGTCTCGGCCGGTCCCTCGAATTGAGACAACGCGACAGGGGTGGAAGGGTGAAGGGGGCTGAAGCGAGATGTTTAATTTTCTTAATGTTTAGTAAATCGCTTATTGGTCAGATCAGCTAAATTCTTGCTATTTTCTCCATATTATCGAAATATTTCTCATCCTAAAAAGGATCGGCTAATTCAATCTCCTGTTCTTTTTTACGCGGAGTAGCGCAACGGCTTCATTTCCCATAGGCGGTCATAGCTCCCTGCCGATCCTGACAAATTATCGTCCCACATCTGGCATCCACCTCGGCAAAGTCCCGTTCGGATATGCGCAAGTGGAGCGTAAAAGTGATGATAAAGTACAAATAATGGAGTCGGTTTCAAGCTTCTCCGATTGCTCGTACTTTTTCCGTATTTCTCCTTATCTATTTTACCTTCTAGGGGGATAGACAAAAGGAATAATAGGGAGGAGCTCAAAGATAGACTGACTAGCAGGCTAAGTAGAGAAAAGAAAAGAAAAGGAAAAAAAGAAAAGAAAAAAAAATTAGAGTAGCAATACGTCTCATTACTTTATTTGATTGGCTATGTGGATCCTCCAAAGGGCGATAATCGGACCCTACAAGGGTATGTATCATCTTTCATACGACTTTGGTTTGACCTCATATCTGAGACTTATCAACCCCCAGGAACAGCCCTGGAGACTGTCAGCTACTCTGGAAATATGATAAGAGCAGAGATAATACATCTAAATGCAAGGAGGTACAAAATGCAGAATACAGGGAAGATATCTGCACAAGAGTCTGCAGAAACGTTAAAAAATCAATCAACTCCTCATTTTCCGCGCCAATTGAGCCAGCCCTAAGACTATCCAAGCCACAGAGGAGCCTAGGACAAGCGCTGGCCCTCGGGATAACATCCCCGAAAGTGGTCAGTGCCCCATTTGAAGTCTGTTCCCATAATGTCGCCGATCATGGGCCATGGGCCGAAGGAAGATCCCCTCCCGCCCGTATCTTAGCGTGTGATCAGGCTTAAAGTGGACCGCAGCAAGCGAGTTGGAAGATGACCAGGGGAGATGGTGCGTTCTACTGTTTTTTGTGGAGCTCTACTGAGTTCTTGGTGGGGTAGACTCCTTTTTTATTGCATGGCACCTTCAAAAAATGGTCGACATCTATAATCACACCGGCGCCTCGCTTGTAATCCAGTTCAATTCTGGACGCATGATATACCCTAATAGTTTTTATATCATCTGGTCCAATCATTTTTAAAAAATTAATACTTGGTTGATACGTGGATCATGGGTTATAAGAAAGAAAATAGTGAAAATTATGGTGCAATCTGTTCTGTTCTCCACCAGATAATCGACGACTCCGTTTTACCGCGCGCCAGCCTATGAAGGTGGAGTAATATCACACATGTTGATCAAGTAAATACTGATGTAGAGAGAAATAATCACTAATTAATGTTATTCTTTAGTTGTAGAATGTAAGTTTTAGTAATGCCGAAAAAAGAGCCACCGCGATCCATCCATAATGCACAGTATACTCCGTAAAGAAAAACTCGTTGGCCGAAAGTGGCTGAAAAAAAAAAGGAACACAACGCCGAAAAGTGAGGGCCCAGCCAAATATCTGGGTACTATGCTTGATCCGACAATTTACCCGAAAAATGGGCGTAGTGCCATGCTATAATGATCCAATGAGAAGCATTTCCATGCCTTGAGCCAGAATCCATCACCGCCATGCTGTAAGCCTTGATGGTTGAGCAGAAGCATCCTTGAAGCTCTTTATTCCTTCTAGAGGGACTCGTTGCGCTGTGTCTGGCGATGAGAGCCTATAATCACACTCTAATGAGTGCCTAGAGCCATACAGATTAGCATATCAATTGGAATATGAGAAGTGTTAGTCTTACTTGTTCAACGCATCTAATCTTGTAAATCTACGCTCACAAGACCTGCAATGATACTTGCGGATGCCACGGTGGATCTGCAGGTGATCAATAATCAGTAATGTGACATAGATTTCCTGAACGCTCCACTCACAGTATCTGTATGCCGTTTCAGATCGGCATTCCTTCCAAAAGTCTTATGGCACTCTCCACAGGGAAATGATTTTTTGCGTTTGGGATCGTGATTCCGTTCATGCTCGGTACAATTTGACCGTCTGGTGAAAGTGTTGCCACATATGCTGCAAAAATAAACCTTTGACGTTCTTTCTGAGGATAAGGTGCTGGGTTTACGGGTTTGTGGGCTGGTGGGGCTTTCGGTGGTTTCCCCACTGATATGGACATTCGGATAATCAGACGGTAATGGTGCGGGATTAGAGACAATTACATATGGCCTCTTACATACTGTCTCCTCTGGGGGTGTAGTCATAAAGCAGCCTGTGTCGATATTTAATCCGTTCTCAATTGGCAAATCGAGAGTGTTCATGGCGGCGGGGGCGTAGGCTTGATTCCAGTAGCGCCCAGTGAGACAATCTGTCGATGGAGGAGCAATTTCTGGAGTTGTTGGGGCTGTGGGTAGTACAGGACCCCAATTCCCAGGAATCTGCCCTACAAACGTTCCGAATGTGGAGTCATAGCTGGGAGATGCACTCATTCCCTGAGCACTATAGTAGCTGCTTGGAGAATAGGAGGGATCTTGAAAGAGTCCGTAGCAAGATGCATCGGGGAAATCATTGGACTTTGAAGGTTCATTGTACGAGCTCCCTGAAATTGGGAATTGATTCAACATTAAAGGCGCTGCTGAGAAATCGAATGCATTGGAAAAAGCCCTCAAGTTGTTGAAGGTGGGCTCCAAGCCAGATATGCCCAAGCCGATGGGAGCTTGGCCGTGAGAGGTTGTTGCAGACACCGGGGAAGAGTAAGCGGAAGGTGTATCGAGCGAAGGAGTATCGTCCAGTAGAGACGGTACCGTGGAGGAGGAGTGGTAGATTGAATCGGGTGTTTGATCCATATTGAATGAAGGCAATCCCAGTACTATGCGTCAAATATAAGGGATAAATCGATGTAGAACCAACTGAGTTCTATGAGTAAAATAACATATATCCAGAGGTCGCGACGGTGCCAATTATAAGTAACAGGTCAACGGTTGTAGGTGAGGTGGGTAGGTATACTTGAACGGTGGCTGAGAAAGTGTGCACAAGACCATTGGGAAAAAAGGATCATACCGCATTGAGTTCTCGGCGGTTCAATATTCACTAGTCCATAAGACAAGGCAGAATTTAAGTCGAAAGTGCTCATCAAACGCGGTGGAAAAACAAGTGGATAAGTGAGTGGGGAGGGAGGAAACTAAGGGCTGAGGGGCTATTCGGACTAGATTTGATAATAGCAGCCTAAGTCTGCAAGTCCTACGCCAGAATTTAGCGCCGGAGAACAGCGAGAAAATGCCCGATGTGCCCCTCTACAAATGACATGTCATCGCTCATTATCTTTTCCCTTTCGGGATAAAGCAGAAGGTACATCGCTTCCTTCGGGGGTTGGAAGAGAAGACGTGGGGCATAAAAATCAATAAAATCAGGGAATACAACCAGCATAAAGTGGCATTTTCTTCGGTTTGACAAGTGATATGGAGAAAAAACACTTCAATGTCCTGCGAATAAACGCAACGGCGGCTGCCACTTGTGGCCCTGGGAAAGGCTAACCATCCCTTCGATCACCGCCGGACTGGTCTAGCCAACAGCGTCGCGTCCCATATCTGCAGGGTGCTGAGCGATAGCCAAAGAGAAGCACTGAAAGAGCCCGGTATATTGGCTCCAAGTCTTGGCTGCATAACACTGGGACATTGGTATCGGTGATTGCTGGCCAGTAACCTACACAGCCGCCTAGAAAAGATGTGAAGATACGACGTAGGGGTAATCACTCTGCAAAGGTCCACCACCGCGATTGCCGTTGTATGCCGGTCTCTCTGAGCTGCTCGATCAATCTTTACTTTGCTTTCATAAATTATCCCCATTTACTAGCTTGAACAAAAGCTTTCCCTGGATAGTGAAAACATGAGAAACAGTCATCCAAGCACAAATTAACATCTAAGGTCTAGAAAGCAAAATGAGGCATTATGTTGAAAAAATTGACTATTCAAGATGAAGAAGAGGTGGATGCCGCTCACCAAATTAGGGCAAGTCGCGTCATGCATGGTCGTGCGTGGCTTTACCATAGAGGTAGTGGTCAAAACTCATAGAAAAAAGCCCCTTTCTCCAGCCGAACGCGTCGATCATATCCACGAGTCTATTCAATGCGCTAGTTGTCGCTCATATCGTTCCACATGGTCTAGATTTGTTCTTTCCTAGGGCCTAGACAATGTATTTCAATCAATGTATTGAATCCTGCCCTGGAAATAGTTGGATCCAGAGGAATTAATTAGTGGTAGGCTAGCAGCCTTACAAGCATGTACTTGAGTTATTTTCTTATGCATCGAATCCTGATCGACATACAAGAATAAGCATGAGTTATGCTCTGGGGCTGCTATGCAAAGTAGGTCAGTGCGCACGCGAGGCATTATCTGCGGAAATTATCATAAACAATGAAGTCAGCTGTCAAGTCAGCTGTCATATGGAAGCACCAAATTGTTCCAGAACACGGGAGAAGGTGATCTCTAGACCAGGGTTGGCAGGAACTACGTCAAGTGTTGAGCTCGGAGAAGATTGTAATCTACATAATCCAGAGCGGCCATGTGGCATGGATATATCGAAACCCCTTAACGTAAACTACAATTGCAATAAGCCTAAAACAAGAGGTACTGTTTTGTTTTCAATCAGATTATACTGATCCGTATGTAACGAAGAAATACAATCAAGAGCAACTATGATTGATTGATGTTCTCGGTGATGTGAAGCATCAGCCTTGAAAGGGGTTAGAAAAGTGACATCGGGATATGCTTGATACTTTGCTAGATACACAAACATGATCTCCATGCAGCCATCACAAGATTGAGAGATAGCTACGGAGCGTGGAAATTAATTGCGGGGTCACAAGCAGCCGCTCCACGAATGTGACTTACTTCTGATTCCGGACCTTGCCATCCAATCAATTCAGCCACCCTTATGTATAATATGCATATCGTCACAAATATGAAGCCACTTAATCAAAGTAGATGATCTGCCTTATCCATTTTCCATAAAAAAGGCCGTCATCGACAGGGGTTCCTCACCGAAATATCCAAAGTTCCCCAGTTGACATCAGTATGAACGATATTCGTCCAACCCAGGATTAAATTAAAGAGATTCTTCCAATGAAATGAGGTCTTCAGCCCCGGTGATTGATATTTTGCGTTCGTGCCAGAGGTGACTACGCATCCGAGCTACCTAGGTACTCATACAAGACACAACTACCACCGATCCCCGAAGAAAGCGTCGATGTTAACCATTCTGTCTGGCTTGGGCACTATCTGAATAATTGAACTTTCTTTCATTGCGTATTTTTAACATCAACTGAGAAAGAAAGTACCCCAATCCTCGGCAGGTTTGGCCGAGGATCATGCTGCCTAACAGGTGTCACACTAATCGCAGATATAACCTTCCAAGTTTGGCACTTGGATCTGCCAGCCCCGATTAGAGTGGAATATCTCCAGAAGAAATCGAGGTGAAAAAGAGCCTTGTAACAATTGTGAAATAAACACAAGGTTGAAGCACTTGAGGGGGATCATGGAATCTTAAGAAAACCTCACGTGCTTAGAATCCATAGATACAAGAACAACCTTTCAAAGAACCTCGGACCCTTCAGGGGTTGGAAGATGGGCAGGTGAATATATATAGAGTGACTCCGCCATTGATCCATTCATGTCCCGCGGTCTATTCCAGTATGACTCCTCATTTTAGGTATTCTCTGACTTGGATATGTTTGAGAGAATTGAAGAAATCAAAATTCAAATAAAATCAAGTTTGAATAAAATCTACGTTCAGGGTCTTGAGAAAAGCAATCAAGATTGAGATCTTGAAGTAACATCACTGACCGCCTTTTAGTCACGTGCATACGCGTCAAATGACCGCTTATCATCGTTCTATTCCGTACATTTCACTCTTTTTGTAAGGGAGATGAGCTTCATGCGAAATAATGGGTCAAGGTTACTCCCTCACCACCCTTTCAGCAGGGTCTGCGGGGATCGATGTCCCGGAGCTATCAGATTTACTGTATGAGAAGTCCATGGGTGGGGGCAGGTTCATGAAAAGCATCCGTGCCAGACAACAGAATGGCCTGGTCTTCGTCAAGGTGATCATGAAACCATACCCGACCATGCCGCTGGAGCCATATGTGAAGGCAATTATTCGTAAGTGCTGTCTTGGGCCAAAATTGGGTTGACTCGAGCTGACTATCCCCCGCAGGTGAACGTAAACTCTTATCTGATGTGCCAAATGCATTGAGTTATGAAAGGATCCTGGAGACAGGTCCCAGTGGATATCTTGTCCGTCAATACATACATAGTTCTCTCTATGATCGAATGAGGTACGGTTATCTAATCCATGGATCTTGAAGCGTGAGCTCTAATTGGTCTATAGTACTCGCCCATTCCTTGAACATATTGAGAAGAAATGGATCGCATTTCAGCTCCTGTGCTCTTTGCGTGACTGTCACGCATTGGATGTATTCCATGGTGACATTAAAACAGAAAATGTCCTGGTCACCTCATGGAACTGGCTCTATCTTTCTGACTTTTCCTCCTCATTCAAGCCTACCTTCCTTCCAGAGGATAATCCAGCGGATTTTTCTTTCTATTTCGACACATCTGGACGACGAACATGCTACCTTGCTCCTGAAAGGTTTCTTGTAGCTGGGGAAGAGCCTGGAGACCGTCATGTTAACTGGGCAATGGACATCTTCAGTGCCGGCTGTGTAATTGCAGAACTCTTTCTCGAGTCACCGATCTTTACGCTCAGTCAAATGTATAAGTATCGGAAAGGTGAATACAGCCCAGAGCATAGCCAGTTGAACAAAATTGAAGACCCCGAGATTCGGGAGCTGATCCAGCATATGATCCAGCTGAACGCAGAGTCCAGATATTCTGCTGAACAATATCTCAATTTCTGGAAGAATAAGGCATTCCCGGAATACTTTTACAGCTTTCTTCACCAATATATGTCCCTCATGACTGATCCATCTTCGGGGAGGACAAAGGTGGATGCAGAATCAAGCAATAGAGGCGAGACAGATGACAGAATAGAGCGAGTGTGCCTGGACTTTGACAAAATCTCATACTTCCTCGGTAGCTCCGTTCCAGGAACTCAAATTAAATCGAGTTCTGAAGCCTCCCGACTCACTGGGGAGATTTTCCCTGTGAAGCTCGATCTGCCAAGCGGTGATCACCAATCAACACAACCCCAGTTACAGACAGACGAGGGTTTTTTGATATTTCTCACCCTTGTGGTCTCCAATCTGCGAACGACAGCCAAGGCTTCAGCTCGAATCAAAGCCTGTGATATCCTTTTGGCATTGGCAGAAAGATTGTCGGACGAGGCAAAACTCGACCGCATCCTCCCATATATCATGTTTCTCCTGGCTGACAGGACTGACTCTGTCAAGGTTGCAGCAATCCGAACCTTGACTCAGCTACTGGAAATGGTCCGAGTTGTTTCCCCAGTAAATGCATATCTGTTCTCAGAGTATATTTTCCCGCGGCTTCAACACTTTATTATTTCTTCTAAGAGCAACCCCAGTGCCATGGTCCGTGCGGCATACGCCTCTTGCATCGCTTCTCTGGCACAATCTTCGCTGAGATTTTTGGACATGATCCAGGCGTTGCGTTCTGATACCCGCCTAGCATCGCTGGTTCCAGTTGGCTTTGAGCCTCGATGGGCAGAAGAAGCTACCTACCACAATCTCTATGATGTGGCTCGGATTGATCTTTTAGAATATTTTGAGGTACACACCAAGGCACTTCTCACGGACACAGATGCATCAGTTCGCCGGGCGTTCTTGGGATCTGTGTCCAGCCTCTGTGTGTTTTTCGGTAATCTGAAGTCAAACGAAGTTGTTCTTAGTCATCTGAATACCTACTTGAACGATCGAGATTGGATCTTGAAATGCGCCTTCTTCGAAAGTGTGGTCGGCGTTGCTGCCTACGTTGGAAGCACTAGCTTGGAGCAATATCTTCTACCTCTGATGATCCAATCCATGACGGAACCCGAAGAGTTTGTCGTAGAAAAGGTGATTCGCTCCCTCGCGGCGATGGCTGATCTGGGTCTGTTCCAACGCTCTACAATATGGGATTTGTTCCACATTACTATTGGGTTTCTGGTTCACCCCAACATCTGGATCCGTGAGGCTACTGTGAATCTGGTGGTCAAGTCAACCAAATTCTTGTCTGTCGCGGATATCTACTCTATTCTCACACCTCTCATTCGGCCATTTCTCAAAGTGGAAATTGTCGGATTTACTGAGGTGGAAATTTATGATGCTCTCAAACGGCCCATTTCAAGAAACATTTTTGACATGGCTTTTACCTGGGCTTCCAAAACTGACAAGGGCATCTTCTGGAAATCAGCGAGCCGAGATGGAGCATTTAGTCTGTCAGAGCCCGGGTCCCAAGCTTTCCGGGCAGCACGTCCATTATCCTTGAATGCACAGCCAAAAAACGAAGAAGATGACCAGTGGCTATCCCGATTGCGAAACCTCGGGATGAGCTCAGAGGATGAACCAAAGCTTATAGCCCTGAAGGACTACATTTGGAGAGTCTCCCTAAGGCAAATGAGAGCTAGCGATATCGAACGACCTGTTTCTTTGAATGATATCATCAATTTGACCCAGCATGATGTCGTTCCTCAGACTGTCTTCTTCGACAAAAATCTCAACGAGAGGTCGCGCAATGTCTCTCGAGACGGAAATGAAAGTCCCAAGCCCGAAGAACAGAAACCCAGAACTATTGCAGATGCATTGCTTGATGCTTCGACGACAATTGAACGCACGCCACCTTCTCATTCCAGACACATGCGATCAAGAAGTCAACTCCACAAGGAGATAGAATTTCCACACCCTAGTCGCTTGGATGCCGGAGCTACTTCTTCGGCTTCTTCTCCGCCACTAACATCGGCCCCCGCTGCTGGCTCTGGATATAAAACATTATCTCCACCTGGATCCGCCATTCATCCCCCTAGTCGCCGATTGAGTATAGGCCAAGAAAGCTCATCTATAACTCCCACAAATACTGATACGCTTTCCTTGCGGGACGCATCCGATAAAGTCCAACGGAAACCTAGCGCTATTAGTCTTCTAAATCGCAGCGATACCGGGAAATCACTCGCGGAGACGAGCACGAGTCCTGCAAATGCATTTGGCAAGGTTGATGCACCTATTCAGAGAGCAGGCATACCCCAACACTCCGCTCTCTCACAGGCTTATGAACATAAACCGGTTCAGGATGTTGCACGCCGCTATCGTGCCAATCATTCATACGCCGGTGATGACCCTGTGGTCCTCCGGCTTTTGGACAATGTGTTTGCAGAAAACTATCCGACCGATCTGTTTGATCTGGGGCCTTATGTCAAGGAGTTGGATCCTCGGCAGCCAATCCGTAAAGCTAATATGCAAGATCCTAACAAAGTATGGAGGCCCGAAGGGGATCTGGTGACAACCTTTGGCGAGCACAGTGGGCCGGTAAATCGCATTGCAGTGCCTCCAGACCACTCCTTCTTTGTCACTGCATCTGATGATAGCACAGTCAAGATATGGGATACGACTCGCCTCGAGCGAAATCTGACACCCCGATCCCGTCAAACACATCGACACGCAGCTGGAGCGCATGTGAAGGCGTTGACTTTTGTTGAAAATACCTATACATTCGTCAGTGGTGCCACTGATGGCAGCATCCACGCCGTTAGAGTTGACTACCAGAAAGTCAACGAGACTGCCAGGTACGGTAAACTTCAACTTGTCCGGGAGTACCAACTACCGACCGCGGAGGACGGGTCACCTGAGTACGCGGTTTGGATTGAGCATTTCCGCGACGAGGGCCAGTCAACTCTCCTCGTTGCTACAAACACCTGTCGTATTTTGGCACTCGACATGAAAACCATGTTACCGGTCTTCACACTGGAGAACCCTGTACACCACGGCACCCCAACTACTTTCTGCTGCGACCGCAGGCACACTTGGCTGCTTGTTGGAACCACTCATGGAATTTTGGATCTCTGGGATCTCCGGTTCCGCGTGCGACTGAAGGCCTGGGGAATCCCAGGCTGGGGATCGATTCACCGAATTCAACTACACCCCGTGAAGCCCCGCGGACGCTGGGTTTGTGTATCCAGCGGAGGAAGCCATGGCAACGAAATCACCGTGTGGGACATAGAGAAGTTCCGCTGCCGGGAGGTGTATCAGGCAACTCCCCTGGGTACAAATGACGGCGCTCCTAATGGTAATAACCGCAGCTCGCGTGCTGCCAGCAACCGCCCGCACCGAACAACTCCAAAGGACTTCGAGGCATGGCCTGTTGACGAGGACCGCCCAGAAGGCATGCTCAGCCGTTTTGTCAAAGCCAATTCAGCTGGAGAGGGTATGCCGCCTCCCATTGGAGAGCCCGGCTCGGCACCGCCTACAAATACGCCGATTGGTGACAGACTGGGAACATGGGCATTTGCTGTTGGTCTTAACATACCTGACGACGAAAAGTCTAGTAGTAGTAGATGTGGATACATCTTGTCAGCAAGCTGCGACCGAAAGATTAGATTCTGGGATCTCGCGCGACCAGAGTTTTCAGGGATTGTCAGCGGAATGGATGCCGTCTCGGATGGAAATACAGCCGTGAAGCCACGCTATGAGATAACTCAGCCTGGAGCCAATCTACTGATCCTGACGGAACACCTCCCAAATACGCCTGGTACTAGCAATGGAGGGAACCAGAGCTCTCGTAAGGGTGCAAGTCCCCGTCCACCACGCAGCACAGTCATTAGTCTCCAGCAGCAGCAGCTTCTCAAGAGTCATTTGGATATCATTCAGGATGTTGCAGTCTTGCGACAGCCGTACGGCATGATCGTGAGTGTTGATCGGGCGGGGATGGTCTACATATTTCGATGAGTGCTCTTTATTTTATTTTGGTTTTATCTTATTTTTTTTTTCGCATAGATGATCTAGCAGAATAGAGATACCCATACATAATAAGATGATGTGTCAGAATTCAAGATTCGCTAGTATTGTCTCTAGAGCTCTGTCTTTGGTACCGTAAAAATTATATACCTGATAATAGTATCCTCCTTCACGGTCATCCAATCTCTGGCGGCATTCGATACTCCGTGTAACAAGCGCTCTGTCGCCGAAAGAGGGCATATCAAGTGCTCATAAGGTCATAATAAGTGATCCGCATCCAACAAAGATCCTGTTCATCGCGATCTTCCGTACGCTCCGGTCTCATGCTACTCAACCTATTTAGACAAATTAACTTGACGAATCCACTACTTAGAATATCATCCGGAGGAACAGTCCCTCTAGTGGCAGACTGCATAGCTTCTTAATCAACATATAGACAGTAGTTAGTTATAACGCTACAACTCCTTGGCATTAGTGCCTTGTTCCCACTGCGGTGCTGTAACAGTCCATTCCTCGAGATGCTCGCAGACGATAAAAGGATGAGCTCTGTCAAAAGTAGCCTGATTTCACAAACTTGGTACTCAATGCTCTCGAGCATATCGAGACCGTTGTGTTATCTCAGCGAGTCTTCGATATAAAAGCGGAGGCGGCTCATAGATTCTCCCCAGTCCTTCTTACCTTCGTATGTGCAGCGGTAGATTATCCAGCCCCATATCCTATGGCTATTTTCTTCGAGCTTCCTCTCGGATCTGTCGGCATTGTTGGAGTCTGTTTCCGTGTTTAGCGTTCGTTGCGAAGGGCTCTTGAGATGTTGAGCGCGTATCCGAACCCATTCTGCCAGATTAACAATAATTCACCAAGACTAGGGTAAATTTTTACTTGAACTAGAATAAAAGTGATTCATTTGCATAGATTTCGGCGAGTGGTAGAAGTGGCTCGAGGAGATTGACTCGTAGTTGAGTAGATGACCATAAATGAAAGCTTCTTATTGGCCAATATGGGTAAACATATCCTACTGCTTTGTCAGCATGAGGCAGAATAATTGAGCTCAAAATCAAGCCTAAGGCATTGCATTCTCCTAGATTTCCATGGACGCAAGGGAGTAGTATGCTACAAACTACGTATGTTATTCTATGTAATAACTTTACAACGTGACAGGTACAATGCAGGTGAAGTGTTGAAAACACTGCAAACCCATAGTTGACATCCAAATCCAAGATTCCCCTCTTTTTTCTACAATTTAGATTTGTGATTGGACCACATATCATCGATATTCTGCACCTAGAACGGCGGAATTATGAAGTCGAGACGATGAGCCCCGCCGCATCGAGCATGAATCCATGGATCAGGTTCGCGTGAACCGTGGATTCTATTTTTACTGAAAATTAGACTTCTAAGTTCTTGGTCCAAGTGGAGGTACTTGGTATAATGTCCAAGGTACATTGGTAATGGCCCAAGCCACCATACAATAAACTGTCTAGGATACATAGTTCACAGGTACTGGAAACTGGGACTGATTATAAAGACGAAACACCGAACGAGTTTAGGTTCCAACACAAGAAAGTGACAAGAGAGTATTTCTTGGCATCCCACACAATGCACCTATCAAGCTCATGTGCGAAAGTAGAAGGATCTATGGAAATTCTCTCCCCTGATCTCCTGAGAGGTGAGAAATTGACAAAAGTACGAAGAATGGGGCATATCGTACTAAGCGATGGAACCAGTGGGTTTTTCGAAGGGTCGATTAGTCAGATCGATCCATATCGCGAGTATTCTCCTCTTTTCCTCTTTTCCTCTTTTCCACTGTTTTCAAGGGCGGATCGGTTGGCTGGGCCGGTTTCGTTTCACGTGGATCTGGCTCGTATTCCGCGAATGACATGCGCCATGCCCAGTGCCCAGTGCCATCCTGCATTGGATTAAGTTAATTGACAGTGGAGTAAGATGATACAAAGTTGACAGGGAACGTTGCAATGAAAACGTCTCACCTTTCAACCCCAGCCCTTGTTATTTTCTGTCACAATGGATGTCTGAAGATGTGAACCGCCAGCCCCTCAGGGCTAGAACTGGTAGGAAGTCCCGGTGGAAATCCAGGGGGACTTGAAGACTGCACGATCCAGTTTTAATTGAACGTGGGTCTGTCAGGGGAAATGCACCATTCAGCGATCCGGAAGCGATGGACGGGACGCAGCATACATAGCATTTTGCCCCAGCCTTCAAGCCATACACAGAAGGCAATCAGGTACGCAGTCCTGTATTTCTGTCCAGAACCTTGTAATTTTGACAATCACTTAGTCCCGACCTGGACTAATATTTGATTGACAAGACAAGCCTATTTCTCTGTCGATACGAGAAGCGTCATTATTTCCCCTCGCCGCTTGCAGGCGAGACATGACAGCCTAGGATGATGTCTTGCATTGCGTTCGTGTAGTAGCGTATTAAAAACGGTCTTCTCAAGGGTTTCATTGTTTTTAAACAATGTGATTAGCCAATTCTTGACAAAGATTTGATTAGTCGAATCTGGGATGTATGAGAAGAGGGGAATGAGAAGAGGTCAAAAGAGGCGGTCAACTTGAAACTCGAGCCTGCAGTATGCAGAACTGGATGTATCAATTGAAGGTGATTAAATGCATACATTTGTATGATTACGATTTCATTTTAATCTTGTCTTTCAATGCACTATTACTATGTATTACTATGTACTATTTTCCCGGATTTCCTCGGGTAAGTAGTGCCTTTTACCCCTGACGCTTCTACCCTAAAAATCTCCGCTTTTCATTTATCATCTATTTGACGGTAATTCTAATTTAAATTAAGTAAACGGCTAAAGTGGGGAGGAACAACACAATGATGGTTCGTTCGACTTTAGGAGCGAATCCATTTTCGGCTTTAGTGTCTTTTTCTCCTATTCTTCCATTTTGCCCCCTCTGAACTCTCTTCTCTCTCAACTCCAGGGCTTATTCTTGGTTCTCCCATGGCCTCTAGCCCTATTCAATCCCGTTCTTTAACTCTACTTGATATCTAGGTAATCTCGGTGTTCTTTCCTCCTTTCTTTTCTGCGTCCAGAGGATCTATATCTCCCGATATTTGACCCGATCCCCGGTACACGCAACAATGGGTCATTCTCTAAGAGAAACTGCGTCCTTTGTCCGCCCAGTGACAAGGGACCGTCCAGTGACACGCGGCGAAGGGGAAAATTCGCTGGTCGTACCCAGTCGCACATCGTCATTACACTCCCGAATCACCCAACCGATTGCCTCGACTCTGAACGTCAAGACCACCCAGCGTACACCAAAAACTCTTACTCATGCATACATGGTCTGCGGTGTTGGCCGAGAGCCATCCCAATGGGTTAAGGCGCCTGCTCCAGAGCAGGGCAAGATTGGCCACATGAAGGGTGCTGTTGGTCAATTTTGGCTTCCAGAGATTCTGGGCAGTAGCCCGCGGTTGGAACAGGATAACGAAGTCGCCCGTTCTCTACACTCGGCCATGAGGGTAAGCTTTGGTCCCAATGCAAAAGGCAAGATTATGGCAGCATTGACTCTTATTTTATAGGCTTGTTTCCCTCATGATGTGGAAATATGTACTGGCAAGAGTCAGCCCCATTGCGCCCACCATGCTTTCGTTTTGCAACAGGACTCTTCTCACACTCTGTACGGTATTGCGCTGCGCGTATGGTCCCGTGCGGATGACAAGCGTGCTGAGACCATTCGTGAGGTTCGCAAGAAGACCGAGGTCGATTTCTACGACAACCCTGATGAAGTTTACTGGATTCCCTACTGTTTGAGCTTCTTGTCCCGCTACCCGCTGTATGACTTGCTGGGCGATTATCTGCGGGGGATGTGGATTCACTGGAACAAAGCTACCAACCTGTTCCACGCCGAAGAAGTCTCGCGCATTCTCAGCTTCCCTGCACCCCGTTTAAACGACCTTGTCCGTATTGATATGAAAGACTACGCCCTTTGCTACCAGTTCCCTTCATCCCCCACTGGCTTCCAAAACTTTTCCATGTGGCCCCTTTTCAACTGTCTTTCGATCCCCAACATTGTCGGTGTGATTGAAGCCGCCGTCTCTCCGACTCGCCGTATTGTCTTTGTCAGTCACTACCCAGCCATGCTCACTGTAGCCGCCGAGACCGTCCGCTACTGCGTTCGTGTGTATGAGTGGAGCGGTCTTTACGTTCCCGTGGTCCACGCGCGCCACGTCAAGGAGCTCGCTCAGGAGCCTGGTCCTTACATTTTGGGTATCACTGCTGAGTGCCGTACCTTGTTCAATGCCCCATCTGATGCCCTGGTGATTGACCTGGACCGCAACTTTGTCCTCACCTCCAGCCCACCCAATGTTCTCAGCCAGGGTCAGCGTACCAAGTTCATCAGTCGCCTCACCCAGGCTTTGAATGGTGACATCTCGCCCTCGGGGGTCCCGTCTCACCTGCGCTCTGCCTATGCCGGTGGCAAGCTCATTCCCGCTGGTCAGATAATCGTCATGCGTGGCGAGGTTGAGAGTGTTGAGAACCCCAACTGGTGGAACCAGGACGCCGTTATGGGAGTCATGGATCACGTCTGTGAAAAGCTTGGCCGTAACTCTGGCATGAAGGCCATTTTCGGAGGCTCCGTCAAGAAGCCCCTGATGGCCAAGGTCTCGATGCGCCATCTCAACGAGATTGTCCGTGAGCGCAACCAGTACTCTCGAGACGCTATGGAAGCTTGGCAGGACTTTATCAACCTTAAGGGCCGCATGGACACTGAGCTCAGCAAGGTTACCAAGCGCAACAACTTCTTGGTCGAGGAGCTCGAGACCTGGAAACAGCAATTCCTCAAGTTCCAGGCCTTTGCTGAGCAGCTCACCAAGGAGACCACTGAACTCAAGAACAAGATTGAGAATCACAAGCGTGAGAACCGCCGCCTCACTGGTCTCATTGACCAGCAGAAGGACGACGTTGCTCGTCTCACACTTCGTCTGTCTGGAACCGAGAAGCAGCGTGACGACGCTCTGGAGGCCCTGGTTCTCCAGCAGGAGATTGCAGAGGAACTAGAGCGTGAGCGCAAGCGTAACCAGAAGGCTATCTCTGCTTTGTCGCACACTAATTCTACCCTCTCCCGCGAGCGAGACGATGCCCAGCGTGTGGTTCTGCACCTGCGCAGTCTGATCAACGGTAAGAGCCACCACATGGAGCACATCGTGCGCTCCATTGGCAGCATCTCCGAGATTACCGACATAGTCGAGAACGGTTACGAAGATGCCGTAGATGATGTTGATAAGAAGGTGGAGGTTGTATCATCAAGAGAGTCCATGAGACGGGAGAGCAGTGGCCCCAGTCAAAAGTCCCCGGTAAATCACATGAGCCCCGATCTAGAACAGCATCTGCTGAACCTTGGCAATGGCCACAAGAACCTCGCTCGCCTGAGCATTACAGACGTTGCCGACCGATACCTCCGCGACAAGACCGACGCCATTGCCGATATTATTCGCAGCATCAGCGACCAGTGCGCTGCTGCCGTCGAGGGCCTCCATCTGGCTCAAGATGCCGAGGACGACGAAGACGCTAAGACCCAGAGTGAGCAACGCCTGGGCTCCGAATATGGCAGCCAGGGTGGTCGCACAACTCGCACCAACAGCGAAGTCAGCGACGCTGAAAACTCCTTGCATCCGGGCCACCGTCGCTCCAGCATTCCCCCTACCCCTGATCTGGTGCACAACCGATCAAGCACATCCATGTCTATGATCAGCAGCTCAACATTCCCCGAGCGATCTAGCCAGCAATACAACGTCAGTGACATCCCGACCCGGATCGTGGAAAATGACGATGAGCATGCCCTTGAGGCTGATCTGGATGACCAGCAAACTGAGACGGGCACTCTATCCAAGCAGGCTAGTGAAGATCTGATGCAGCCCCGTGCTGCTCGTGTGATCTCTTAAACATTTTCCATCAGCCTTGGACAATGCACCGCTTCGTTGAGACGATCTTATTTTTTTCCCCCCCTTTTGCGATCTGGCGTTGTAAATTCTCTTTTGACACATATCTCCATCCCAACTGATGCCTTGACCCTGACAGACACACTCACTGCTTGTCTGGCACAGTCTTTTTCACCCTCTTCACTGTGTCGAGTGCTTTGATACTCCATTATTCCCCCTTGGCCTTTCAACTATTCCTCCGTTTTCACTCATAACCTGAGGCCATATGTTTATCGTTCGATTCCTTTCTCATCCAGGGGCATTTCTTCACTTCTATTACGCCCTCTGAGATGTCCTGATTTGCACCTTGGCATTATACTTATTCATCTTACAATTTCAATTGTTGATAGACCCGATATGCTAGAGGGGGCACTTCCTTTGGCACAGAACTATTTTACACATCTAGTTTCCTTACCTCAGTCACTACCGTGTCACACACGTGCTTTCTTTTGTTTGTTCTCGATGAACTGGACTCATCTACTGCCACAGGGGGCGTTTCCACCCCTGCTGTATTTAAAAAAATGGACTCGCCGTAATTGATTACCACTTCATTTGTCCTCTTACTCCCATTATTACAGTAGTCAATATTATCCAGGCCAGTGAAAGATGTCTGTATTTTTAATTATCGAGATTTGCATGTTCTAGATTTGAACGGTGGTATTTCATGGCATAGATGAATCAGGGCATTTTTATGCCAGCTTCCCCGGCACAACAGGATGTCCAGCAGACAAACCACCACAAACAGCCCAAGCCTGACCATTAACATAGCTGCTTTCATCACTACCAAGGAATAGCGCAACACGCGCAACCTCGTCCGCAACAGCTCCACGCTGCATGGGATTCAACTGTCCAACCTTACGCTCGGTACCGCGTTTTCGAGCATTGTCGAACAACGGTTGTGTCATGCCCGTCTCAATCAAACCGGGGCATATAGCATTGATACGAATGCCTGTACCGGCTAATTGGTAAGAGCATGTTTGAGCAATGGAAACAACTGCCGCTTTGGAGGCAGAGTAATCTGTAGATCCGGCATTGGATCTAAGACCTGCTACTGACGCAGTGCAGATGATGGATCCGCTTGGGTAGGGTTTAGATTCTGAGGTTATTTTCATTGCTGGGGCTGCATGCTTAGCTGCTAAAAAGACTCTGATTATTCATTGTTAATTGAACAGACTCTCACACGGGTGTGAAATTGTCAAGACACTTCACTTACCCAAGAGCATTCGTCTTCATAGTCTTCATAAATTCATCCCCATCAATCTCGGTAAATGGCCTCGGCTGACCTACAATGCCGGCATTGGCGAAGAATATATCCAATCGCCCATACTTTGTCACTGCCTCGTCAATGACTGAGATCACAGCTTTTTCGTCTGCTGCATCAAATTTTCGTGTGTGGACATCGACATCGGAGTAGAGAGACTCTATCTCTCGTTTGTGAGTTGGTAAATTTAAGTCGTTGTAGTCGCAGATGTAGACTGCTTTGGCGCCATTGTTGGCGAATTGATGGGCACTGGATCGTCCAATTCCACTCGGTGAGTTTGCTCCTGGCAAAGGGTTAGAAATTCTTGGTTATTGAGCTCAAAGCCTTTAACTCTTACCGGTTACTATGACCACTTTGCCCTTTGTTCGACTAGAGTAAATAATAAGCATGTTGATATAGCTATAAGGCTCTTGATATGCTGTGTATTGAAATGTTCTTTCATCTCATACTTTCATGATGACATAGCATATTCATTCCCAAGTGCCACTTACGGTCCTGCCGAGTTTGGTGCAACATGTCGTATCTTGGGGATGTCTTCAAAGGTGCCTTCGTCTGGAATCCCTTCAACCAGCTGCTGGCTGAGTGCCTGGAGACGCTGTTTTGCTTTTTCAGACATATTTAGGAGTGCCCGGAGGATAGCAGTTGCAAGTATTGAGATAATTGAGAATGTGAGCTGAAAAGAAGACTAGATATCACATTTGTTTTCACGTAGTACTAGGAGCTTACTTCCCCACTCGGTAACTTATGTGGAGAGCCTAGGCTCATATCACATGACTGATGACTAACACATGAAATTAAAGGACTGTCACGTGATTCATAACGTCATCAGGTCATGTGCAGCTTGTTTTAGTTGAAATGATGTTCTCTCTGGCCTCGTTGGGCACATATTGGAGATCCACTTTGAGTATTCATTGTTTTGGTATTTTTTCCCTCCAATATTGAAATAAATCTAACGTATTGCGCCGTTGACGATAGTGGTCGATCTCCCTGCATTCCACAGATTTGCTGAAGATCGGCTAGGATCGCCCAGACCCGCGCGACCTAGGAAAGCCACACACGAACACAAAGACTTTTACAAAGTCTCTTTGCAGTTCCAGCAATTATTGTTTAGCTCCTCTTTTGATCTCTTTGAGCATTCATGAAGTCCGTAACCACCAATTCCGACCGCTACGTCATCAATCAGTCGCTGAGATATGGCGGAGTCTGATCCTCAAATCCAACGGCGTTCCCCGTCCCAAGCTTCTTCGGCATCAAACAGAAGTTTCAGGAGCCAAAGAACAAGAACACTTCGTGCGAGGTCTAAGAAGCGACATTCGGTTTCTTCCAATGCCACGACTGATCTCACGTCATTTCCATCCCTTTCCCCGCTTGACGGCTCCCCCACCTTGAAACGGGGATTGGAAACCACGCTGCGGGCAGAGCACGAGGGAAAAGATGCGACAAATGGCACTGGACGTGGGCGTAAAGCCACTTTGGCAACCCTAACATCTGGTGTCTCTCATACTTCTGGTCGGGCTGCTCTCTTCGATGATTCCGTTCCCATGCGCGATATTCCAGGGGCCTTACACCTGGCGGATGACACGCATATCGAGCGTCTGATTGCCAGCACTGGGTCTCTGAAGATTGTGAGACAATTCGCGCGCGACCTGGCTCAACGCGATGCGGAGATCTCAGTCCTGCGGCAGCGCGCTGATGCCAGGGAGCGAGAATTGAAGAGGATGCTTCGAGAGGTGTCAATCTCCAATCAGGATATCGAACGCCGTCTTTATCAGCTAGAAAACCCGCCGGATGACGCTACCTCGGATGCAGATAGGGAAAGCTGTCACAGTGGGGATCGAGCTTCTCAAAAGTCTTCAGGGGGTCTCAATGGTCTCATGTCTCAGGCGATGTCAGATGAAGTAGGGTCGCATGCTGAAGGAGAGCTAGAGTCGGATCAACAAGCTACTATTCGCGCGAATCGGATCGAACAAGAAGCCAGGTTAAACGGAACCCTCAGCCATAAGCGAACGGGCTCTCTACGCGGTTGGGGGGATTTCTTCTTTGGTTCAACCAACGCTAGTCGAAAGACCAGTCGTGCTAGCAGTGTGATAAGCGACATGCGAGAAATCGACGAGGAAGATACTGAGCGCATTCGTGTGCCTAGTAACCCTGCAAGTAAACGCAAGGCTATTGATGACCATCTTTTTCACCCTCCGGGTGGCCAATTAGCAGCCGACGTATTAGGGAAACGCCTTGCTAGTGTTTCGACAAACGGCGATAATGCAAGCATTCATTCGCGCAAATCCTCCCGGTCTCTGGGCTCTTGGACTGCTAAGCTATTTGCCGGCACACAAAAGGACAACAGCGATTCCGAAACCACTCGCAGCAAAACGCCACAAAATCAGGACAGAAGGGCAGCATCCGGTGCCTCGATGAATTCAATGTCAGCGGTGGCCGCTTTGAAAAGAATCAGTAGTAATGCGAGTATGCCTTCGGTCCGATCTGCCAGTGGGACAAGTGGGACAGTGAAAATCAACCGTCCAGCTGCTCGAAGAACTACCGCGGTAAATTTATCACAGGCTTCAACCCCCGATAATGCAGAGCGAAGCTCGACCAATCTTGGCCCCGTCGAGATGGATGCCATTTTGCCCATGGAGTCTCGACCACCTACCCTTTCACCTATATACAACAACACCCAGTACAGCGAATTCCTTACCGATCGCTTTGGTTTCATCTACGATCAACGTCGCAAGAAGCGCCAGAGGGAGGCTATTGTAGTGAAGGGCCATAAATCCCGGATGAGCATTGCTGAGACACTTGGAAACCTTCGCAGTGACTCGGATCCTGAAGAAAATATTCCGGACCATGCCACCCCGGAATTGACCAGCGTCTCTCAATCTCCTATTGCCTCACCTGATGAGGCCGAAGGTGGAGTTCGCCGCTGGCAGGATTATCTGAGGCTCCCATCTCGCCCGACGGAACTTCTTTCTCATACTCCTTCGGCTGCCCCAATCGTTTCTCTGACCAATGCCTCGGAAAGTCGCCCACACAGCTCCTCTGTCTCGGTGGATAAAGATGGGACGTTATCTGTCAGCCCTAGTGTACAGCCATCGCCTTCCACATCAACAGTCACGGCGGATCATCCTGAGTTTGCTTCTACAGCTTCAGAGGATTCTGCTACAAAATCGACAATCAAACTTAATGCTGCTGAAACCGAGCCAGTGAGATTGCTTTTAGACCAACTTACCGAGCTTCATGATACGCTGCAACGGGATCGTACCGTCAGATGGAACGATTTCTTCCGCAAAGTTCGTGCGGAGCGTAGAAAGGAAGGTGAAGCGGCTGCGGCAATCTCAGACCGATCCTCCACTGCAGTTGATACACCGGAAGCAACTCTCGCTGACGGGGAGCTTGTTGGTATTTCTGGACTGGGAAACAAGGGCAAGGTCGGGCGCGCGAAATGGCGCGAATTCCGAACTCTTGTTCTCGGTGGTATTCCAGTACCTCTCCGTGCTAAAGTTTGGTCGGAATGTAGCGGTGCATCTGCAATGCGCATCCCCGGGTATTATGATGAACTTGTGCGAGGAGTCGGTGGAACAGATCCCGACCCTTCCATTGTCGCTCAGATCGATATGGATATTCATCGCACCCTGACTGATAATGTGTTTTTCCGCAGAGGGCCCGGTGTTAGTAAGCTCAAAGAGGTTCTTTTGGCATATTCACGCCGCAATTCCGAGGTCGGATACTGCCAGGGCATGAATCTTATCGCCGCATCTCTCCTCCTCATTATGCCTACGGCCGAAGATGCATTTTGGATTTTGACTTCTATGATCGAGATTATCTTGCCTCAGCATTACTATGATCATGGTCTTTTGGCTTCTCGAGCCGATCAAGTGGTGTTGCGACAATACATCTCAGACCTCTTACCCAAGTTATCGGCCCATCTAGAAGAGCTGGGGATTGAACTGGAAGCGCTTACGTTCCAGTGGTTTCTGTCCGTCTTTACAGACTGCCTTTCTGCAGAGGCTTTGTATCGAGTGTGGGATGTAGTGTTGTGTCTCAATGTCACCAGCGTCATCAATGACAGTTCCAAAGAAGGCAGCGACAAGCCCCCATTAACACCCGAAGACCTCTCCGTCTCCGGCAGTGGAGGCGGGAGCACATTCCTGTTCCAAGTCGCGTTGGCACTTCTCAAGCTTAACGAACCTCAGCTACTTACCACGTGCTCGACTCCCGCGGCTCTATACACGTACATCAACCACCAGATGACAAATCATGCTATCAGTATCGACGGGTTGATCCAAGCCAGCGAGGCACTACGGAACGTGGTACGCCGTGAAGACGTCGTTTCGCGCCGGGCAGTAGCTCTTCGAGAAATGCGTGAGTTTAACGGAGGCTACTAAGCCTTGTAGATGTTGCTACCGGGCTTAGTGCCTCATGATCAATCAGTTCTTTTCTTTCCGCTCTTTTCTCTTATTGTCTTTTATTATCTTTTCTTTCTATTCTTTCCCTTCTATAGACTGTCTGATTAGAGCATTGAGCCAGGAGTTCTCTTTTTTCCCCTTTTCTATCTTGCTACCAATTTTGCTCCTTCAATATATCCCACTCGCTTCATTCTTTTGGCGCTGCTTCTCTTATATCTCCTTTGTCTTTTCATTTGCTAACAGTTTTACCTTGAACGCATCTCGAGATACCCCTTGCTATCTATACTTGGGACGAATATTAGACAAAATGACATATTTTTATCTTTTATTCTTCACGCCTGGAATGGACCTCGAGACTACTCTGCTTTTCATTTCTAGCTGGGTCCATGGGTATAACTATGCTATATCCATGTATCTAGCATTTTAGGTAATCTCAGATATCTACATAGCTACAAAGGAATTCTATAGGCCTGATGACTAAATATGAACGGAGACACCCGTGGAGTTCAGCTGGGCAGATCGCTTCCACCTTTACTTCACTTTAACCTTAACTTTCACTTTCAATCAACTAACGTTGCCTAGCACATTAAATGCGAATATTGGAAGATTAACTACTATTCTAGCTCCACTGACTGCCTACCTGGGTATATTTACCTGGACTTCCCTCTTCTTGGGTATTTTACTTTCTTGCACATTCGTCTCTGCACATGTGCACATGTCTAAGTGTGCTTGCTGCCTCACATCCATCCATTCAAACCACCTGGGATATACCCTTCAAGGCCCCATCCAACTTTGTAATCATATCCAAGATTCCTGAAATAGCTTCCATTTGATGCTTCAGCAAACACCTTCTCGTGGAGTATCCACCTTGTCCTTGAAAAGAGGGCGAAAGCCTGGTAGCAGTATATAGTAATCTTTACTCCTCCGACAGAACTCCACGGTATGAGGGCTTATGATTCATTCTCATCCACTGCTAATACATGGTTCATATAGTGGAAATACGAGCCCTTTCGCTGGTTAGTGGATTGTATAAAATTATGTCTCATCACACATTCTCGCGCGTGCATCTGGTTGACACGATGCAAGTGGAATTCCCCTTGGACTTTCTCGCCTGCCTAACGTTCAGTGTTTCTCTTGGTTGATGACAGGAGTTTTTGACTTGTCAGCCTGGCACTGCAGGTCAGTACTAATCTACTAGAAGCCAATTTCAAGTCTTTTTGAAATGTTTGAAACCTGACTTCAACAGCACCTGGGCTGATTCGAGCAAAAATCCCCTTCCTTTCTTCTTGATTCATAATAGTTGATTCCTATTTATCAAAATATTTTAAAAGAATTTCTTTTTCCATAATACCTAGGTAGCTTTATGTACCGTTTTTTCCATGACAGGTGGGGCTTTCCTATTTCAGGTGCCGCCGCTTTTATGAGGGCGCTCAGGATCAGGCTCAGAGTAGGCTCAGTGATTGTGATTGGCTGCTCCTTGATCAGAGGCATCTATTGAGTACTCAGTCCACGCTCAGCCCATACCCAAAGGAGCACTCGGCCCCATAATGCGGTTTAATAATTTTATGAACTACTTTTTGATGGCCCTAGTCATGCCTCCGTTTCTGAAGTTGCTTCATTCTAATTCGTCTTCCCCTCAAAAATGTGCCGCCTAGAACGAGATCACTCAAAAATGAAAGGCACAGGTCTTCTCTGTCAAGCAGTGGCGCCGGCGAAATGTCCTTCTAATTTCTTATTCAGAGATGCCTATGCGTAGAAGCTCAGGTATAAATCGACACTATATCCCCTTTTCATGACAACTCACTTAGCTTTACTTTATCCCTCCATCCATTACTTGGTTTTTCAATTCTATCTTAGCGTTTTCCTTCGTATTCGCTTAGCCATGGGTAGGAAAGACTTCTTTACTCAACAGGATGAAATCGCTAAACGGGATGAGATCACTAAAGAGAAATGCCGCAAACAATTAGAAAAAAACGGTTATGTTTTCGGAGCATACACACATGATGATACGATTCGAGATAAAGAAAAGAGGATCACTACTACCAAAAGGATGTACCACGCGAAACTATGGAAGGAGTAAGGTCTCACTCAATTGCGATGCAATTAGCCCTAAGTGGAAGGGAAAACTAACCTCCTTCTAGGTTTATTGAACAAAACGGGGTACGAGGCTACGAAATGGGTCTGGGTTCCAATCCTCCGAGTCATGAGCTCATCAAGAACTTTATTCGTTGGTACATTGCTTCCGCGCGAGGCCGGCTCAGTAAAAATGGACGACCAGTGGTGAAATCAGTTGTGTCGTTCGCAGAGCGGTTTTTTGGTGGGCTTGAAGAGGACATGCAAGTTAGCATTATGCTAGACGATCGGAAAGAAGTATTTAACGTGAGTTTGGCTTCCCTTCTTCTAATCTATGGCATGAGTCAAAACAAATAGCAAGGCAGTGGATTAAGAGGTCATTGACAGTAGAAGGAACTATTAAAAATATAGTCTCCAAATCATAGCTTTGCCAAGAAATATTTCTATAGAACAATTTAATTATTATGGCAAATAGATCATCCTCGTTTTATACCGGGTTTGCTTAAAGTCATTATTTTGCTGGCTCTTCAATTATTTCTCTTCACTAGAGCAAGAATTGGAGCTTTCATACCAGCCTATGTGGATAGGAAAGAAAGAGGTCTTCGATATAAGGTGAGGTCACTTCTGTTACGGGATGAATGCAGGAATTTGTACGCTGCAGAGATCCGATTGATAAATAAGAAGAATTAACTAAGAAAGGGAAAGGGATCCTGGGGACTAGATGCTCTTATGGCTCGTCCGGCTCCGCACAAATGCCAGGAGCGCAGTCTATCCAGAGACTGGGCATTTCATCGGGTATCGACCCGTTACACTCCGAGAAGCATACGAACACAAGCAAATGGAAGTACTTTGGATCGAAGGTAAAACCAACCCAGCTGACGCAATGACAAAGAGCGCTCCTTGTGATGCACTCACGAAGCTCATTGACTCCAACCGGATTGATCTTAAGACCATCGAATGGTTTGAGAGGAAAGAGTAGGACCAGTGCTCTTTCTCCTCTACCATTGGACAAGCTTCATGCCTGACGCCATGAACAACCCTACCACTATCGAAATACTAATGGATCATGAACACCCGGTTTACCTTTGCTATCCTTTCACTCATTCTACCCACCGGATTGAAAACCCCTGTTGTAGTTAGCTATCCCAACTTCTGATATTTAAAAGTTGCTCTAGTGTCGGAACAAATGTGCCATAAGCCACACTAGGACCAACACTGGAAGTTGCGGGGTAGCGTGATTTGCCTTGGCAATCATTCATCTACCTGGCATAGGAAGTAGAGATCCTACAGAACATATGGAAAGGAGAACTAAAGGACCGATTGAAATGGTTCCTTCGAACCTTAACCATTAGTATCCGTGTCGGAACATGGATATTGCAATCCTGCAATACCAAAACCCGGAACGGAACAAACAGACCCCCGAGTCATGGGGGAACAACTAAATTAGGAACTCGAGTAGCTAGATGAATCGAACACATTTCACACCACCTTGCACACCGTATATACTAAGAATCTAGGACGAACCATACCCTTTTCCAGTGTATATAGTGCAAAGTGTGAACCCTGTCCTTTCAACGTAGTTGATCGACAATCCGAGAACGGCAAATGACCTTTAGAGAATACACCAAAAAGATTGTCGGAACATATGTACGTAATCACATCGGTCTGACGCTGGAACTTGGAGCTCTTACACCAGCTTCAGTAAGCAGGTCACGAGGGTTCCACTCTGGAAGGATATATCTACCCTCTGATAGCTAGACTTGAGTGAACACACTTCTATGCACCTATTCCACTACCTATTCATACTGACTTGGTCGAGTAATCTCCCATCAGGCTGAAATTGTGGAATGCGTAGAATTGTCCTTCAGACGTAGTCTGTCGACAGTAAGACAGCTCTCCGACCATGATATTCAGCAGATGTAATGACTTTCTCAGTCGTATTTACCCCCATCGCGAAACCTGACTCGTCGAAGTTGAAAATATCGGCAGAATCGATACCATATTTGCTAATGGTTTCTTCAACCAACTCAAACCAAGCTAAAATGATCCTGGGATCTTCAGCTAAAGCTCTCTTATGATAGTATGGACATGATCGACGGGAGATCAGAATTGGGTGTCGTTTAATAAACTCAGTAACCCAGTCTTGACCAACAGAAGAAGGTTTCTCGGTGGTAGTTGAAATCCGCGATTGGAGGATAAGATTGGCCATATTTTGACACATGGCACAGGTAAGAGCTGCTCCTCTAGAATCCATAGAGAGTAGCCACTTTTCCATCGATTAATCTTCAAGTTTAGAAAATATATGTTGAGCTGACCATTTAACAGCTAGTTGTTCAACACCATTAAGCCGATCGACAAAAGTTGAACGTGGGACACCAAATGACCGTACAACAGCTGCGATAGTAGGATATTTGCCATCTTTAAAAGCTTTTAGAGCTAATTCGATACGGCCCTCCTGCTCTATCAATTTCTGTTTCTTTTCAGGGCGAATTGGTGGCATGGTGTGTGTTTGAAAACATAGGGTTACTATAGAGACTATTTAAAGTAATTCCATAGGATTTACTTTATTTAGATGGGGTAGCGGGCTAACCGGGAAACACGTTAGTTACCGAGCTGGCCGGCCACTAGACCCACTTTTTGCAACGGGCGCCTGCCATATGGATCCCATTATCCACTTTTACTGTAGTAAGATCACGTGACTCGAGGACCCTTCATCCTTGACGCCGACCCTTAAGGATTTTGTACACAGTTTGTGACCTAGCTAGTTCTGAATCTAAGATTAGCTTTAGCCCTTTACATTTTTATTATTTACATGCGGTTTTTTGACGGAAACCCCGAAAGTTCTATTAAGACTAGGGAAAAAAAAACTATTAAGGTCTATCTGGACAGGTGTAATTAATTTCGGGTTTTTTCAAAAATGTCATAATTTACTTTCGAACGGGTTACAGGTGGGGTGCTGATCTTAGAAATTCAAAAAGTCCAGAAATATTCTGTTAAACAGACAGACTGGTCTGTGCATTTCCCTAATACCCTCGACGTCCCCAGCCCTACATCGAAATCATTTTCACCTCCTCACTGACAGAACTCATAATCAAGACATAGTCAATCTACTGGTGAAGCGAATTTGAGTTGTTTGGGGCCTTATTATCCAGGTCTTGGAAATGGTTAGATTTCCCGGTTGCTATTTACTTCAAATATTTAGAGACGGACCAAGACGACATAGCTACTGGAAGGCGAGGAGCCTCTACTACCCAAATCTCTGAGTGGGCTGCTATGCTCCACGATGAACTTATTGCATCTAGTAAAGCATGCTTCGATAGGCGACAGAAGTCTAAACACAATTCTGGGTAGTATAGCTATTGGGGCAGTTTCATGGTGTATATGTACACAATTTGATCCTATCAAGGCCTCTGACAAAATGAAACTACCTAGTATAGAGCGGCTTGGTTTATATCCAGTCATGCCAGCACCTTATATCAAAGTAACAGAAAAAAATTCTCCAGTGTTTGCGAAGGTAAGACCTGGAGCCCAAGAAGGTTTCAATCAAGGTCTGTTGACTGAAACTTGGTCTTTAGCAGCTGTCGGTGTGGCCGTCTCCTCCGTTCTTGCACTGGTATCCACACTTCTCGATAACCTTGATCTCACCGTTGGAGCCTCCAAGGCAGGCGAACAAGGCGTTGTCTCTGGTTACGCCAAGGTATGCGTCTTGGGCCTCTGCAACCGCATTCCGGATCTGGATGTCGTAGTCGCCTTGATATAAATTTAGTAAATTTCTTTATCGTAACTCAACTTATATAATTTTCTTTACTAACCTCGGGTGAGAAGAGCTGAGGAACAGTAATCGAACTGGGTTTGGCAGTTCTTAGCCGCACCAAGAGAGGCAAAGGCAGCTACGGAGACAATAGAGAGGATGTTGAGCTTAACCATTTTGTCGGTAGAAGAGGGTTTTATGTTTGGAGTTGCTAAGTGATTGAGATGATCGGAAAATGACTGAGAGTGGTTATCAAATAAGGAGTTCATGAGGGGACGGGGAAGAGGTATGTATTTATACAGCTAGATTCGAAATTGGTTTCTAAGAGCTTTCTATCTTTTACAAAGAGAAACTACGGAGTACATATCTCGAAACTCGATAACAGAACAGTCTATACTATTTTAAGCTATAATTTGGAAGCTGGATGTGACGAAGGCTGATTCCACCTGCAGGTTCCCCACTGCCATTTACTACTAGTTCTGGCTTACATAGAAATCCCCACAATTGCATAAATTATGCTAGTTCTGTCTGTATTTTTGAGTATTTGATTTTGTTAGAATGAAAGTGTTGGTTACCAACACAATTCCGCTATGGTTATACAGTACCAAGATGAAATGGATCCAGAGATCCGAGGTATACAACAGGTGAATGGGACCAATCAGGAGAGATGGCCAGGGACACTTGAGGGAACAAATAGTAAGATACTTGGATTATAAAAATCACTTGATTGTTGTTGTTGTTTACTAATTGAGAGAAACGACTGTCCTTTTAGACGACTCATGATGCGCACTAGTGTCTTGGCAATGGGGCCGCTAAATATAAAAGCAATGCTTGAGGCGGAAGCTGATGTCACTAATGACGATACGGTTGGGTGACCGTAAGCAAGAGGAGAACGATAGTTGGAATGACTGTTACTGAAAGGAGAATACGAGTTGGTTTGGTAGATCGTGGTCGGGTCAATTGATACTGAGAACAACTATTAAAGACCCCTTCAAGGTTGCTACGGCCTTAGATCTAAATACATAAGAGGAGTGACGAGTCCTATCCCCTTACCCTTCCCTCCTGGGACGTCAGGGTCTTGTTTCAAGGGACGAGGATCATCGTCATCTTACTATCAATCCCATAGGTACAACATGATAGATCGCCTTTGATCGGACCGTCTCCGATGGTACTTCCACATCTCTGTCATTCTGGTCCTGTATGGATTCCCAATCCTTCAGGCTTCTCAGTGTACGTGAGAAGGGACGGGACTAGCGTGTTACATTTTATTGAGGTACTTACTCAGCTCGCTCACTGAGTAATCACCGAATGCTCCCTGAGTGAATCAAACTACTCACTGAGTGCTCACTGAGTGTCCCTATCAATTCCCGAGCAGATTAGTGAGCTTATATAATGCCCAGACACGTACTCAGCTCTACTCAGGGAGCAAAAGCAGCGAAGTGGTGAGCACTAATACGGAAAGGGAAAGCCAAGAACTGGCATGGAAAAAACGGTACATAGGTATTATCGCTCAGGTGTTCACTTTCATGGATAGGTAGTCTCCCAAAGCTGTATTTTGGACACGGAATCCTACCTAGTTAGTATAGCAGTTTACAATACCTAAGGTTCAAAAGGTCTATTTAAGAGAGCATTTATCCGCGCCCGCACTTTATCATTTTCACTCCGCCCAAAATACGATCTTACAATGGCTGCACAAAGCCCTGAACGTCAGCCCCCATTGACAATAAGTCCCGGGCTTCTTCAATTACCTGCTGAGGTTTTGTTGTTGGTCTCATCATTTTTGCCAAATCGAGATCTCAAATCCTTGCGCTTGGCAAGCAAACTACTAGGCGAGGCGACGCTACTGTCATTCCCGTGCGTGTTTCTTTCAGCCAATTCGCTGGATATCAAGGTTTTGCGCTCTGTATCGAATCATCCAGTCTTCGGGAAGCAGGTCACCGAAATTATTTGGGACGACGCACGTTTTGTTTCGGCTCCAGTGTCCTGGGAGGATTATAAACCGTACATCGATCGCAGGGACTTGCAAATCAACGACGAAGAAGGATGTCCTAAGTGGTTCTTGCAGAAATGTAAAAACAACATCCCCAATATGAAACAGCGGAAATCCCGCGACGTGGATAGGCCCGACCATATGGCTCGCCAGCAGCAGGCGGATGCACAGATGCCTCTAAAGGACTGCTGAAAGTAATATTCGCAAGTTCTCAATGACCAGCAAGTGGTGATCGAATCTCGGGATGATGAAAAAGCCTTTATTTATGGCTTAGAGCGATTCCCATAGCTGAGACGAGTGACCGTTACGCCTGCAGCGCATGGCCGCACTTTCTCTCCACTATATCAAACACCTACGATCCGAGCATTTCCTTATGGCTTCAACTATCCTATTCCACGGGATGGCAAATTTCTCCGACTCAAATAATGGTTGTCAACCCTTTGGTGTGATCAGAGGCAAAAGAAGAGTATAAGGAGTTGTGGAGAGGCCAGAATTGTCCTTCGCGTTCTATCAACGATCGAGGACCATAAAGTTTCTGAACTATGCTTCGATTCAAAACAACTCCCCACTGGGATAAGCTACATGATTTTTGCCCAGCCGTGTGAAGAGTACAACTATTTCGCAGCTATCATGAAACGCCCAGGCTTTCGTCACCTTCACCTATCCTTCCTGGTTGGATACAACGGGGTCTATGACTATGAAGGTTTCACCAGCGAATGCTTCTCCAAGGCTATCAGCTTGGCGAAGGAACTGACTCACATCCATTTGACAGTGGCATTGGACGATTCAAATGGGGATCCAGTTATTCCTTTGAAAGACATCCTCCCTGTCCAACAATGGCCAAATCTCTATCATTTTGGTCTTTCTAATTTTAGCGTCAACACGTCAGACTTAATTGATCTGCTTAATTCGGCGTCATCTTCACTACGCTCTGTTGAGCTAGGATCCTTTGGGTTTCCTAACGATAAAGGATTATGGTCTGGGCTGTTGGAGCGGATGCGGGATGAGCTTGATTGGACTAAGCGCGATAGATCACTAAGACCGGCCGTGAGAATCACTATGGAGATTGATCAGATGCAACCTGGGAGATTCGCCCTTCTCGCAGATGAGGTAACGAACTTTCTATATGACTTTGGTGAAATTCCAACACGATATTCACTTAACTTCCCTAAGCTGGGAATGGGTACTTTGCATGATATTTTCGAGCCAGAATATACCCGACCACACGTCATTATGCAGGAGCTTCAGAAATTAGGAATTTCTAAACCTTGGTAATAATAGATATTTGGATCAAAAAAAAAACACGGTTACTTTCTAATAACTTTCATTTCTTTCTACTAACAGTGACCTATTTGTAAACTCTGTATGAGAATGTGAAACAGCTGTCCAGTACTCTAATGGTGATCGAGCCTTGAAAATGACCTTGCAAGTTCCAAAATTAAGTGAAAATACCAGGGATTGATTTTAAGCTATGAACCCCAAGAGTAACAGTGGAGGTAGAAATCAAATGGCCAATAAACGACCCATATTTCTTTCTACGCAAATGGAAAGAAAGTGGGGAAAGTCCCAAAATAGCTCAAATACGTATACTTCGTAGCAACACTCCGATTTTTGAAGGTTCGAATTATAGAAGGCAAGTGAATTAAGAAGATGAATAAATAATGGAATGACCAATCCATCCAAACCAAAACCAAAAACCAAAACCTGTCCAAAAAATACACAAAACGCAATTCACGCCAAAACATAACACGTAACACATAACACACATAACACACATAACACACATAACACATAACACATAACATAATCCATGTAAACACATATGATACAGAAATACACAGAATGAGATCATCGAGTTCATGGAACGGAGATTCGTCTAATCTAAACAGCTCGCGTTTTATCGAGACGGCTGCTACGGAAATGATATCCACACAAATCAGGCAGAGTATTTCGAAAAAGAAAATAACAGAAATAAGGGAGGAAAAGGACGGCGCGCTTTTTAGGATTCCCGGTCTAAGAGCATTATAAAATAAGTGCAGGGAAATTAAGGAGTCAAGACCAGGGCCAGCAGCGCCATGCGGCAGTACAAGCCATATCTCATCTATAGATAAAGTTAGCATGCTTCTCAAGTAGAGCAAGGGGAATAAGGGGGTGTAGCATACCTGGCGGAAGTAAGCTGCGCGCTGGTCAAAGTCGACCTCTTCAGCGATCTCAGCATTGCGTGGCAGCGGGTGCATGACGACCATGTGGCTCTTTGCATGCTTGAGCAGAGCGTTGTTAATAACGAAGCTGTTCTTCAGACGCTCGTATTGAGCGAGGTCAGAGAAGCGCTCCTTCTGCACACGAGTAGAGTACAGGACATCGGAGGATGCAACAATCTCAGGAGTCAGCTCCTCAGCCTCAAGGACCAACTGGCCAGAGGCCTTGATCTGCTGGCGAATTTCCTCGGGGAGGGCAAGCTCCTTTGTCGACACAAGCTGTACCTTCACATCGTAGAAGCGGAGCAGCTTGATGAGGGAGTGGATGGTACGGCCGTACTTAAGGTCACCAGTGAAGGTGATAGTCAAGCCGGTGACGGTACCGAGCTCCTCACGAATGGTGAAGAGATCTAGGAAGGCCTGAGTGGGGTGCTCGATAGAGCCGTTGCCACCGTTGATGACAGGGACCTGGGAGAATTTGGCTGCGATCTCAGTGCTCTTGGGCTCGGGGTGGCGCAGAACCACGGCATCGGCGTAGCAGCCAAGAGTGCGGAGAGTATCCTGAAGAGTCTCACCCTTCTGGGCAGAAGAGTGCTCTGTGGAGATAGTGACGGTACGTCCACCCAGGCGCTGCATGGCGGCATCGAACGAGACCGAAGTGCGGGTCGAAGGCTCGTAGAAGAGAGTGGCGAGCACGCGGCCCTTGAGAACATCAAGAACTCCCTGGCGCTGAACACCAAGGCGCATCTCTTGGGCAACAGTGAACAACAAGTGGAGATCCGCACGAGTGAACCTGTTCACGGATAGCACATGCTTCTGCTTGAACGGAGAGTTGGCGAGCAATTCCTGCAGCGAAGGTGTGTTTTTGGACAAGGGGGTGCTGTAAAGTGGAGGGCCGAGTTCGCCAACAGAAGGCACGACGGAATCGAAAGCCCGGTGGCGAGGGCCAGGGGTGCCAGAGATAGAGACATGTCTCTCCAGGGAGCTCTCAGGTCGAACCATGGGAGTGGTTGGCTTCTGGATAGGGGAAGCAGGAACAATCCGGTGAGTGGACATGTCTGCACCCTTGGTAGCATTGGGAGACAGCTCGCCGTCGAGGCACGAAGTCTTGCCTTGGAAGACAACACGCTGGACGGAGCCGCGCATCAGCTTGCCGTTGAACGGAGACCAGGCCTCGTGGTTCTGGAACACGTAAGGACGGTCAACCTCGACCTCGATGGAGGTCTCAGACTGGTCATGCAACTCAAAGATCTTCTTGGGGTTCTCATAGAGACGGGAGCTGATGTCCTCGACAGTCAAGCGACCCTCAGAAACGGCAGTGAAGAGAAGAGGCAAGGACTCAGCGATACCGGCAGCAGGGCTAGCATCCTTGCCAGCGAGCTGGAAGGGAATGCTACCGATAGAGAAAATATCGATTGTGCTCAGGTGGTCCCAGAGAGCCTTCTGATCCTCAGCAGTGGGGAGAGTAGTGCAATCGGGGTATTCCTCACGAGAGAGGAAGAGGCAGAAGATAGAAACATCACAAGTGACCTTCAGGCCCTTCTCCTTGCTGAGCGCAATAAGGTTGATATCCTCCTTGGAGGTAACGCTCATCACGTGGATGTTGCGACTGTGCAAACTAGCCAACAACAGAATGGAAGCAAGGTCAGTGCTCTTGGCATCGGTGATCAGAGGCTTGCTTGAGGGCCAGGCACCGAAGTGCTGAGTGACGGTGGCCACCTTGTTGATGTTGCCTGACAAGTGGTTGAAAGGAATGAACAGGGAGCCAACATCGCCAGTCATTTGAGTGATCTGCTCCGAGTTGGTGGCAGTGGCCACGACCGAGAAGTTGAAGTCGCAGAATGACTTGTCCTGGGCGTTCTGCTGGACAATCTTGAGATCGCTAGCTTCGGTGACCGAGCTGTTGACTCCAACGGGCATAACACGAACCATGCTGAAACCAGCAGAAATTGAGGCCTTGCTGACAACCTCGAAGTCCTTGGAACCAGGGGTGGCGAGACCGGGAACAAAGGCAGCGATGTTGATCAGACCAGGGAGAACAATGGTGCGGTGGCTGGTCTGGAAGTCCGAGGTTTGGATTTCCAGAGGGTAGTGACGAGCGATGGCCTCAATCAGAATCTTAGCATTCTTGACGTTTGTCACCAGAGGGGTCTGGTAGTCAACGGCCATACGACGAGTGCGATAACCCTTAGACATGTAGTTGGCAGGGCGGCGGAAGCGATTGCTAGACGGCAAGTTGATGTAGAGATCGATAAGGTTGTTTGACAAGTGCTGAGTCAGGGAGTATTCGGACTTAATGTCCTCCTCCTCGCCAAGAACCTCAAGGTACTTGACAGGAATACCGTTCTCCTTCAAGAAGTCAGCAGTACCAGATGTGGCAAACAGGTTGTAATCGAGGAGGTGCAGCTTCTTGATGGAAGGCAACATCTCAAGCTTCTCCTTGTAAGAACCAATAGAGAACAGGATGTTACGCTTGGGGAGGCGGAAGCCAGTGGACAACAGGGCCTTAAGGTAGGCCTCGTACTTGTCGCGACCGAATGAGGCAACCTCACCAGTAGAAGCCATCTCAACACCAAGCACAGGGTCGGCTCCCGAAAGACGAGAGAAAGAGAACTGAGGAACCTTGACACCGACGTAGTTCTTAGGAACGGTCACAGCCGGGTACTCAACGAAGGGGGCACCAATCATAGCCTTGGTAGCCATCTCGATCAGGTCCACACCCATAACCTTGGACACAAAGGGGAACGAACGTGAGGCGCGGACGTTGCACTCAATAACTTTGATGTCATTGTCCTTGGCAATGAACTGAATGTTGTAGGGACCAGTGACGTTCAATGCGTTACCGATCTTACGGGTAGCCTCCTCGATGCGGCGAACTGTCTCGGCGCTCAAATCCTGGGGAGGCAGAATGAGAGTGGCATCACCAGAGTGAACACCAGCATTCTCAACGTGCTCCGAAATAAAGTGGCCAACCATGACACCATTCTTGGCAACAGCATCCATCTCAATCTCCTTGGCGTTCTCAATGTACTTAGTGATAACGACGGGGTGGTCACGAGAGACATCAGCAGCCTGGTTCAGATAGCTCTCCAAATCGTGCTCTGAGTACACAGTGTTCATGGCAGCACCAGACAGCACGTAGGAGGGACGCACAAGCACAGGGTAGCCAACCTTGTCGCAGAACCCACGAGCCTCATCCAGACTGGTAAGCTCCTTCCAGGCCGGTTGGTCAACACCGATGCGATCCAACATACGCGAGAACTTGTAACGATTCTCGGCACCGTCGATCATCTCAGGTGAAGTACCAAGGATGTTCACGTTAAGGCGGTGAAGCGGCAAGGCAATATTGTTCGGAGTTTGACCTCCCATTGAGATCACAACACCTTTCGAGGTCTCCAGCTGGTAAATATCGAGCACACTCTCCAGGTTGATGTTTTCAAAGTAAAGACGGTCGGCCTCGTCGTAATCAGTCGACACGGTCTCAGGATTATCTTTAAACGAAGAATAGAAGTTAGTATCAGTGGTTCAAGATGAAACAAAGATGAAGAAAAAGAATACAAGAAGCAATGCAAGAAAATATGAAGGGAAAAACTTACAATTGACCATGATAGTCTTCTGACCCTGCTCGCGGAGTGTGCGAATAGTGCGCACGGAACACCAGTCGAATTCGACAGACGAACCAATACGGTAAACACCAGAACCAAGAACCATGATGCCATGGTCATCAAACGACAAATCGTGGTGAGAGGCGTTGTAGGTGAGGTAGAGATAGTTGGTGTGACTTGGGAACTCTCCAGCGACAGTATCGATTTGTTTGACAATGGGCGTGATGCCAGCCTCGACACGCATACGGCGCATAGCCAGTTCGTTAGAACTCAGGAAGTTGGCGAGCTGGCGATCACAGAAACCAAGCTGCTTGGCCTGACGGACCATGGACAAGGGCACGTTGGTGGCGTTGTAAGCAGTCATGGACTTGCCGAAGTCACTCAGACCCTTCAGACGGGACAAGAACCACTTATCAATGTTAGTCAGCTTCCAGATATCATCGACGGTGTAACCCTGGGCCATGGCGTTGGCAATGGCAAACAGACGCTGGTCGGAAGGAGTCTGGAGCTCCTCATCGATGGACATGAGGGCATCAGTCTCGTTGAAACCGAGGTTGTGGAAATCGACGGAGCGAATGGCTTTCTGGATGGCTTCTTCGAAGGTGCGACCAATGCTCATAACCTCACCAACACTCTTCATCGAGGAGCCCAGCAGGGTAGAGACACGGGTAAACTTCTTCAAATCCCAGCGGGGAATCTTGACCACACAGTAGTCGAGCGAGGGTTCGAAGCAGGCACAGGTGGACTTGGTCACAGAGTTCTTGATCTCGTTCAGAGGAATACCCAGACCCAGCTTAGCAGCGATGAAAGCGAGGGGGTATCCGGTAGCCTTAGAGGCAAGAGCCGAAGAACGGGACAAACGAGCATTGACCTCAATAATGCAGTACTCCCGGGAGAAGGGATTAAGGGCGTACTGGATGTTACATTCACCGACAACACCGAGGTGACGAATGACATTCACAGCAGTTGTACGCAGCATGTTGTAGTCTTCATCAGAAAGAGTCTGGGAGGGGGCCACGACAATAGAGTCACCAGTGTGGATACCAAGAGGATCGAAGTTCTCCATGTTGCAGACGGTGATACAGTTATCCTGGGCGTCACGGACGACCTCGTACTCAATCTCCTTCCAACCCTTCATACTACGCTCAATAAGCACCTGGGGGCTGACGGCCAGAGCTTTAGTGCAGAGCTCCTTTAGCTCCTCCATGTTATTGGCAAAACCACTACCAAGGCCACCCAATGCATAGGCAGCGCGGACAATGACGGGGAAGCCAATATCCTCCACAACACGAAGAGACTCCTCCAGTGTCGAGGCAGAAGCGGACTTGGCACACTTCTCGTTGATGGAGTCCATGCTGCGAGCGAACAGCTCGCGATCTTCAGTGGTGATAATGGTATCGATGGGAGTACCGAGAACCTTGACACCGAGATCCTCAAACTCATCCTTGAGCTGGATACCGACCGAGAGAGCGGTCTGACCGCCGAAGGTACAGTAGATGGCATCAGGGCGCTCGTGCTTGATGACCTTGCGAACAAAGTCAGCATTGACGGGAAGGAAGTAGACCTTGTCAGCCAAACCCTTGGAGGTCTGAATGGTGGCGATGTTAGGGTTAATGAGAATGGTATAGATTCCCTCTTCCTTCAGCGCCTTGATGGCTTGGGAGCCAGAATAATCGAACTCTCCGGCCTGACCAATGCTCAGACCACCACTGCCTAGAACCAGGACCTTCTTGACAGAGACACGGGGAGCAGCCTTGCGGTTGTCCTCAATGAGACCGCCGGGGAAGTCCACGGGCTTGGTAAGAGCATCAGCGGAAGCGATGGTGTTTTGGATGGTGCTGATGAAGACATCAAAGAGGTACTCAGTATCACGAGGTCCAGGAGTGCTCTCCGGGTGGAACTGAACACTGAAGAAAGGACGACTGGTGTGGCGGATACCCTCGTTACTTCCGTCATTGGCGTTCACAAACAGCTCTTCCCAGCCATTTTGAAGGCTGGAGGCATCCACGGCATAACCGTGATTCTGGGAGGTGATGTGGCACTTGCCAGAGATCATGCTGGTGCAGGGAATGTTGTGGCCACGGTTACCAAACTTCATCTTGGAAGTTGTGGCACCCACAGACCGGGCAATAAGCTGGTGACCCAAGCAGATACCAAAGACGGGCGTCCGGGCATCCTTTAGTGTCTTTGATAGGTTCTCAACGGTTTTTGTGAGGGTTGCAGGGTCACCGGGACCGTTGGACACGAACAAACCGTCGTAGTCCTTTCCAGCCAGGGTGGGGAAGTCATAGTCCCATGGGACGACCATAACCTCGACGCCACGGGCAAGCAAGCAGCGCAGCTGATTGTACTTCATACCCACATCCAAGCACAGAACCCGAACGGTGCGGCCCGAGGGGTGCTTCAGAGCAATGTTGGCAGGAGGGGAATAAAGGCGGGGTTCACGAATGGATACTGCGGAAAGTACTCGTCAGCTATCAATTGTCTTTCACATCGCTGTCTTGACAGAATACTCACCCTCAGCAACAAGGTTCTTCTTGTTGGGGTCCACCCATTCGATCTCCTCGAAGCTCGACTTCCAGTTGGCGTCATCCGCAGCAGTAGCTGTGTTGCCAGCCTTCTGGAGCAGCATGCGGCCGAGCATACTACCCGACTCACGAATGTGCTTGGTTAGGGCACGAGTGTCGACACCGTGCATGGCAGGGACACCCTGCTCCTTGAGCCACTCGCCTAGAGAGGACTTCGCCAAGAAGTGCGAATAATCCTCGCCGGCATAGGTGGCCACCACCAATGCCGCAACGTGGATCTGGTTCGACTCGAAATATCTTGGCAGAGTTTGGAGCAAATCATCCATCTCGTCCCGAGAGGGCACACCGTAGTTACCGACAAGGGGGAAAGTGATAACCAGGATTTGGCCTCGGTATGAGGGATCAGTCACCGATTCAGGGTAGCCAACCATACCAGTTTGGAAGACCAATTCACCGGAGATGCTCTTCTCCGCACCAAAGTTGTAACCCTGGTAGACGGTGCCATCTTGCAGCTCAAGAGCGACGAGTCGGTCACTACCACCCCGGATGGGGATCATGGCCGGGGGAATAACAACAGCCATTGTGAATAGAAGTTCTTTTTTAGAATAAGAGTCCAATTAACCGCCCAATTGGGGGCTTGTATAGGCCAATTCCTCGTGGAAGGCGAAAGAAAGAGGGGATAAGTCCTCTCGAGGACGAATCTGATCGAGTACAAGTCAATTTAGCACAGCATTCAACGACAGGACTTTTGCTTCTGTGTCCGTAGAAGATTGATGTTTTTTTTTCCAAGGTTGGAGAAGATATAATGCGATAGCAGCCGCAATAAGCTGAGATATGGGAGAAGAAGAGTTTGGGGGTTGTGGCAGAATCGAGTAAAATTTTCGTGCCAAAGGTGGGTCCCCGGTAAATGCCCTGACCGCCTATGAAAAAATTTGTACTGCCTGTATGAAGTATAAGGAAAAATTGCGGAAATATTGTGGATCTATGATATGCACTCATATTTACCTATACTGGAAATTTAATCCAAGCAGATATGGTCATTTAAAAGCTTACATAGTGGTCAAGACTACTTCATATACTAGCAATCTCTAACGTGTTTTTTATAGAACTAGCATCGGAGCCCTGCAGACTTGCAGGCGGTGAGAGATCTGATAAGGTAAGATAAGTTGTGAAACGAGAAGAGCAAACAGTCGAGTTTATGACAGTAAAATGAGAAGAAAGGGATAGTAAATTTAAAATCATGGCATAGTTTGTGATACATATTGAACTTACACAAAATCCAGATTTTATGGTGCAAACTGGAATAGGTCAGGTGTTCATATGTCTCTTTCTCGCCTATGACGTTAACCTCTCTACTCCCCTCATGCGCGCGATCAGCCCCCCGGGAAAAAAAATTAAAAAAGCGCAGGCCAAGTGGCTCAGCGTAATCGCTTGTTTTCACTTCAGAGCAACTTTATCCATGTTTCGCTCCTTATCACCTTCCTAATGAAATTTATTAATTTCTCTTGGTTTGCGATGCTCTAGAAACATAGAATCGCCACCCAGCCATGCCACTCGCCCCTACCTGAGTCTATCGCCATGTTTGCCTCTCTGTTCCATCAGAAAAGTCGGCATAATCAAAATGACCAGCTGTCATATAACAACACCCCAGTTGCGACCGAAAACTCTCCTTGGACTCGAACGACTGGGCGACGCGTTCTGAGGCGAGCTCCTGATGTCGATGACACTAGTGAAGATGAGGCGCAGGAGCTGGAAGGTGTAGATGAGCATGAGGACGAGGATTGGATGCACGAGGAGGGCGAGGATGGCGATGTGCCACTGGAGTCTGCTCCCCTCCTGCCCATATTCTCCTCCTCTCATTTAGGTACCATATCAGCGACCGTGAGCTTGTGCTATTTGTGACTGACCACATTTCATATCCAGATACGTTGCCTGTATACGACATTACCCATGCCATCCGTCCCCTTATCGTCTCTCGTTGCGAAACTACCTTGACCTGGGATCAGCTGCGATCTCCTCAGGTCTCTCAATTCATGGTCAGGCCTATTCAACAAAAGGTCATGGCTTCTCGTTCGCCAGCGACCCTCTACGCTCTCATGGCCAACTGTCTGCAATTCGAAAAAGAGGTCCATCTATATCCTGGAAACAGCGGTGCCAGTCAGACACGAGCAATGGTGAGCGAGCTGCTTGCTATCAAGCTATTGAGAGAATACACAACTAGGGAGTTGATCGACGCGTTGTCCTATGAGTTCTACCCGCTTCAAGGCCAGGATCCCTCGTCGTGGACTGCGGGTGCACAGGGGAAGCGGCCTATTGGTACCGCTCGTATTTCCTGTCTCGAGGTGGCCATTCGCGCACAAGCGAAACGATTTCTGGCACATCCAGTGGTGGTGCAGCAGTTGGAGGCCATTTGGGCTGGCACTATTGTGTTCCATTCAGCTGCTGATCATCTCCACCGACCCATGAATCCATCAACAAATAATCTTAATTATGGCACGTCGGGGAATCATCCTGGCAATCAACCCCATAGCCCTGGAGACCCTCGTTTCAGGCGCTCGGTGACACTGTACAACCCCCGAGAAGCCTCATTATTCAAGCTTTCCAGGTTACGAGTGCCGCGATATCGTCAATTCCTTTCTACCCTGTCATTTGCTATCCTCCTCGGATTATTCTTAGCCGTCTTGAATGAGCGTAGCCGAAAAATAACATCCTTGGAGGTGGTGTTCTGGTTTTGGAGTGCAGGTTTTATGCTTGACGAAATCGTGGGCTTCAACGAGCAAGGTTTCAGTCTTTATTTGATGAGCTTCTGGAATCTATTCGACGTGGGGATCTTGATTCTCCTCTTTTGCTACTACTGTCTTCGTATTTACGGTACCTTTTTGACCTATCCACGGAATCAGCAGATGGCTGATCAAGCGTACGATATGCTGGCTGCGAATGCGGTGCTTCTATTTCCGCGTTTGTTTTCTGTTCTCGACCACTATCGCTACTTCTCGCAACTGCTGATCGCGTTTCGTATCATGGCGGCGGATTTGATCGCCGTTATTGTGCTGATCGTAATTGCATGCAGCGGCTTTTTCATCGCATTCCTCTCCTTTGGCAATGATGATTCCCCCAAAGCTGTGGCATACGGCTTATTTCAAATGGTGATGGGCTTCACCCCCACAGCCTGGGGCATGTGGGACGAATACAACTGGCTTGGTAGGACTATTTTGACAGTATTCCTTTTCATCTGTCACTTTGTCGTTGTGACTATCCTGATCACTGTCCTCACAAATTCGTTCATGAGGATTGTTCAGAATGCCAACGAGGAGCACCAATTCCTGTTTGCCGTCAATACCATTTCAATGGTCAAATCAGATGCCCTGTTCTCATATGTGGCCCCTGCCAATGTCATCGCTTGGCTAGTCACACCTCTCCGATATACGATGCCTTTTCGCCAATTTATCAAGCTCAACCGAACTATCATCAAGATCACACATCTGCCAATCTTGTTCACCATATGCCTCTATGAGAAGACGATTTTGAGTGCCCGCGTGATAGAAACTATGGATCTTCTCGAGCCACTACCTCGTACCGACTCTTCAGGCTCCAAATGGCGTGGCCGGTTCCGAGCGTTCAGTTCAAGGCCACCGCGTTTAGTGCGAGAGCCATCAGTTGCCACGTATCAGAAGGACCAAGCTCTGGACGAAGTGTTCCGGAGACCATTTGATGATGGCCACGAGCAGCTTCAGGAGCGACCTGGTACAATACGCAAGAAAACAAACAGTGTCATCAAGGATTGGATGCAGGATATTGGACCAAATCCTGCTCCAGATGAACCAGACTCGGTTGTTGGTCGTTTCGAAACGTTTACGCCTCGACCTCGTTTCCCCTTCCGAAAAGCATTGACCGGATACGGTCGTGATTTTACCGAGACCACTCGGTCCGTAACATCAAACCCTGAAGATCGGGTCAATTTTTTCGGGAGCTCGGTCCAACTTCGTCAAAAAGAGCTCGCTGCTGCTAAACGTTCACGCCAACCCTCTCCGCACACAGACATTGAGGGAGACGATGAGCTCACTACTGATGATGAAGGCTCTATTGACAAGTCGGACAAGGGGTCTATTAGTAATCCTGACAGCTCTGATCATGTCAGAAGCACTGAGAAAACGACACCGAAGTTCTACAGCTCTCGACCATCCACGGCAAAGATTTTGTCACGTCGTAACAGTCCCTCCCGACGCCCTAATCACGATCGGAGCGCTTCTGGGGTCACCATTCTCTACAATCCAGTTGGATCAGTAGATGATGATTCTGGAAGCCCTACCACCTCTCCACGACTACGTCGTGAGTCCTCTTCTGACGAGGAAAGTAACCTTCGCATCGCTTCATCAGCAGATCAAGGAACGATGAAAAGACGATCTCTCAAAATGTCTTTTGCGCGCAATGCATCACTAGGAATACACCAAATGTCTGCACCACAAAGCATCTACCTGTCTGATTCACATAGTCGGCCCCGGCGACCACGTTCCATGCTCTTTGATCTAGGATCTGATCTTGGTGACAACAAAGCAGTCGCTGGTGGCTTTGCTGGACATGTACCATCCATATTCCACAACCGGCTAGGATTTCCCGCCAGCGATATCCATCGTGATTCTCCAAGTCAGACTCAAGACATGCTCAGCAAACTAGTCCTCGCTCGCATGAACAACATCGAAGAAGGCTTCCGAGAAGTGATCAAGGAGGTCAAAGATCTCCGATTGGGTGGATCCAGTCGAGGCCAGAGTGGAGCTGATGAACTCCGCGCAGCTACGCGTGAGAAGAAGAAAAAGAGAGATCTCAAGAAACGGAGACCAGCTGCGGAGGTTGATGATGATACTGATGCAAAAATTTTGGCAAATCCTACAATACCTAATACTCCATGACCAGGATAATTTGCCATTCCTTTGTCTTTTTTTTTTTTTTTTTATCTCCAGTTCGACCCCTTGTGTAATCTAAAGGTGGCTTTTGTCTACATACCTACGGGTATTTTGTTTATTTGATGCATGGCGTTTTTATCTACGCATACCTTTCTGTCCAACATACCCGTCCCGAATAACACTGAAATTGAACAAGACTTGGGTATTTGTTTTAATTCGCCAATAGAATGAAAAGAATGAAAAGTTCCAAATTCCCGGATTCGTGTACAAATTTTGATACACGTTTTGATGAGTGGTAGAATTTTCTCCTCTATCTCTCCCGATTGCTTTTTTCGAGTTTGGCATTGAATGCGATGTATTGATTGGTGCGGAGATATATGCAAGCAATGGGCCCTCTGTATGGAGATGGAGAGCATGTTTGCTTTTCCAACGTTAGATGTAGAGCTACATACCCCCCTAGGTACACAGTACATCATGCCGTGGAGTATCTAGGTAGGAGGAACCAATGGAGTACCTAGGTGCTGATACAGTTCAGTTTAAATTTTGTCCAATGATGGTATCATGACTAAGCATTCCTCTTCCCTAAACCTGATGTCACAGCCTCTAAATCGACGTTCTTCGTCGCATCTAAATTTCACTCTCATTCGTCAGAGTCTCTTGAACTACACAAGTGTTTCATCATGGCTTCTTCCTCGAAATCTCCGAGCATTCTGCTATAGTGAGTCCCCAATAGTACTCCGTACCTAGGTATAGCAAATCTAGCAGCCCAACTGACCGTCGATCCCAGCTCCTGTATCGCTCATCGGACAACCATCCTAGCCGAGCATTCGGCTCCTGGCTCCTCTACAACAACTGCGTCTTCTCTAGCATCGATCATCCTGCCAAAAATCAGCCATGACAAGCCCCAGAAGCTGACCTACACCCATGAACGTCTCTTTGTTCACTACATCGCCGACTCCCCATCAGGTGGAGCGGCCGATGATCAAAACACCCGCTCTGAGCCCGACTCCTTTGCACCCCTAAGCTTCGTGGTTGTAGCGTCCGCAGAACAAGGCCGTCGTATTCCATTTGCCTATTTGCTTGAGATCAAGCGGAAATTCCTATCCACATACGCACCTTCCAGCACCGACTTCTCGTCACTGCCAGCTTACGGTTGCGCTGCTTTCAACGGAGAGATCCGTTCTCTGTTGCAGACATATAACACGGCCCCTCCAGCTGATTCTCTCGCCTCGGCCCGACGTGAGATTGACAGCGTTCGCGATATCATGACGGAGAACATTGAGCGTGTGCTTGAGCGTGGCGAGCGGATCGATCTGCTAGTCGACAAGACCGATCGTCTCGGTGGGAGTGCACACGATTTCCGTATCCGCAGTCGTGGTTTACGGCGGCGTATGTGGTGGAAGAACGTCAAGTTGATGACGCTTCTTGGTGTCGTGGTGGTCTTCCTACTTTATCTGTTCATTGGATTTGGCTGTGGACTGCCTGCATGGTCGAAGTGTATCAGCCACAACTAGCGCATGAACTGCCTTCCATATTCATCTGGACTGCGGGTGTGGATTTGTACCGCCCATTCGATCTTCCCAGCGAGCGTGGCCCTGGCCAATTTGTCTTTTTGATGTGTTTCCTGATGAAGTACGATATGATGCCATTTTTGTTTCTATTATTCCTTCTGTGGTGCCTATATTCTTTGATGTTTCATATTTATTGTATACTAAGTTCAGGTTTCTCTCGGTCTACATATGTACTACCTTTCAACGACAGAATACGATTCTTGGTGATCGACTGAAATGTGTCAATCTAGGTACCTTAGGCCTATTCTTTCTCTTCTAGCCTTTGTATCTGTTGACCTAGGCATCTACTTAGGTATCTACATGGACATGTAGGTACATAGGCAGTTCCCCAGGGCTTGCCCAGTGTTCAGACCTAACCTTGGAACCTTGGATCAATATATTCCAATGTTATCTTCTATAATGACGACTCGTGGACGAAACCTTGAAATCTATATGACCTCCAGATTGAAATTACTCACCTTGGCAGCGGTACTTCAAGTATGGAATGCCTCGCCGGCATGGAAAATTTAGTATGCGAAGGTACCTAGGAGAGGTTTGATTAAGACCAAGATTTGGACGAGTATCTCCCATTAGGATACCTAGAGGCTCCGTATATCTTAATAAATATTTGACTAAGAAATGTATCTCACTTTCAAACCGGCAACTTCCTCGCCCAAAGGCATCCAGGACGGTCTGCAAGTGTGATCTGGTGATTGTTCTACGCCATTCGTTTACCTCTTCAACCATTGAGTCCGTCGAGACGGGATTGACGAGGAGATAATTCGGCGATGCTTCAAATTATCGAAGGTACCTTGATACCAGAGAGCAGAAGGAGTCAGGACATAATTACTAGGCTAATGATGAGCAGGAGGGAAGGGGGTTGAGATTTGGTTGTAGTAGAAAAATGGTGCGAGAATATGAGTTCCCATATAAATATTACATTGTGGGCTGAACAAGATAACATATTTCAACATGGTCGGGTTAGCAGTAAAAGTTGGGTGAAGGGTCGGAAGGTTGTTGGAAAATGAAGCTCATTTTATGGGCGAAATTGATTTGATGTGGAAACTCCCACGTGATATGCATGGTCACATGATAACAGTAGTCGACTTTTAGCTGACCAATTAGATTATGATTTCCCAAATTAGGGATTAAATGACATAAGGAAAACCTTGCCTCAGGCTGATACGTCATCAGAAAGCGGCAGAAAACACGCGGCTTGAATTAAACGCGTAAATTTTTAGACTCATTGCCTACCTACGTCGTAGGTACGTCCCTGTATTGCAGCTTGACATGCATTAGATGATAATTGCACTGCACACACTGCTCTGGTCATTATATATTGCGCCATCATCTTTCTTTTTGGCGTTTCTTTGTCCTTGAAATCGAAGCGCGTTGACATCCCTCAAAAGAACTCCGGATCTTGAATTTACCTTCCCCCTCCCTTCGCTGGCCAATATGTCCAGCAATGGCATCGCCGCTGGTGATAGCCATTGGAACTGGCAAGGACATCTCCGAATTGTGCGAGCAGAGCAGGAGCATGAGCAGGCACAGGCATTGGCTCAATCTCACCCAGTTGCCCCAGCGGTTGCGCGAGTAGAGCAGGCAGCACCGCCCATGGGTTTTGAGAATTTGATGGAGCATTTAACAAAAGATGTGCGAGAACATCCGATAGATTTAGACGGTTATTCTGCACAAGAAACCAGCACAAAGACACAAATCTCCCAGCAGTTGGTGAAGCCCTCAGATATTTCTCGTCAGGCGTCATCTCAGCCACCAGTTGGTCATTTCTTAGGACCTACTACTACTCCGTATACGCATCCACCCACTCATTTTCGAGCATCTTTCACTAAGCCGCTGATGCATACACCGCCGCCGCAGATTTCTAAATTAGTCTCGTCGCAACCAGCGGCGCAATGGCAGCAGGGGCAACTTCCAAGTCAGATCCGGAATCCACAACCTGTGTACTCGCATCCATCCCAGAAGCCGCCATTTGCGTATCAACTGCCACATGTGGTATCTCAATTGCATCCTCGCTACAAATTGCCTGCCCAAATACCCGTTCCTAGTCCCCTAGTGGGACAGCCTCCAGCGACAACAACAGTTAAGAGCCATCCCAGTTATATGGGCTCCGCGCAGAACTATCGGAAGATCAACACACCCATGGTTGCGCCTCCGGCATCTATGCCTCAGCAAGTAGCCAGGCTGCAAGGACCCAATGTGCAGCGTAGTTCTCCGTCAAATAAGCGACCAATTGACCATGTTTCAGACCGAACGATCAAGCCAAAAAGAGTGACCCTCAATCCTAAGGCATTTAGCAATCATCTCAACGGTATTGATATTGTCAAGCCTCTAGATTTAGATCGTGCCATTGGGAGACTCAATCCTGCCACCATGGCCCGGGATATTTTGAGGGCTGCTGCGAAACATCCGACCGAAAAACCTCTTAATGCTCACCTGGACGTTTTGCGCAAAACCATTTCCGCGGTGGATTCAAATTCGGATCTCGCGACTTTTCGTTGGGATCTGGTCGACTCTTTTGCACGTGACCCTCGCAACGCACCGCAGTCCCTCAATCCTCCTCCCCATATCCCCAGTCCCATATATATTTCATCAGCTTCGTCATCCCCTCGATTGAATCTAAATCAAGATTCCACTCCCCTCACAACAAATATTTCCTCCGACTTGGCGAGTTCATCTCAAGCTCCCACCCTGCCTTCACAGTCTACCACAGTATCAACACCACAGCTTGGACGCATATCACCGAAGGTTTCAGTGCCACAATCCCCATTACCACAATCTTCATTACCCCAATCTTCATTACCCCAATCTGCATTACCTCAATCTTCATTACCCCAATCTGCATTACCCCAATCTGCATTACCTCAATCTTCACTACCTCATTCTTCATTACCTCAATATTCAGTGCCACAGTTATCACGTCACAAAGTTCCAGTGCCAAAAGTTTCACAGAGACCTTCTACACCAAAGCAACAACCGTCCAAAGCACCCACCACCACCATCACCACACGTTCTCCCTTGTCGCGACAACCAATTGTTGACCGGTCTCCACCAAAGAATATTCTTGAGTCAATTGTGATGATCCCGACCCCTCCAAAGCATAGTATGCCTGTGAAGAAAACAGGTCGCACCCGGAAGGCAGATAAAATTCCCGCCGTAGCTTCTCCAAACTACCAAACCTTCGATTGCCAATGGAATGACTGTCCAGCACAACTTCACAATCTACTCGCACTCGACCAACATTTGCGCAAGGTTCACCTTATGAATGACTTCATGTGTCGCTGGAAGGACTGTGAAGATACAGATGGAAAGGCATACACTCAAATGGTTGAGCATGTCCAAGAGAAGCACCTAAATTCTCTAGCCTGGACTCTTGGAGATGGCCCTGTGGTGACTGCTTCTGGTGAGCCTTCAGGATAAGTTGAAATTCTAAGTCCTTGATGGATTCTCTAATTATATGGCTCCCCAAGAAGGCGAAAATGGTGGAAAATCTACTTTCGGCCCGTCGAACAAGAATGCACGCCCAGAATCTCTAGTTCTCCCCGCTGATATCAGTAACATTGACGCATTCGCCCGAGTTCGGGGAATTGTCACTTGGAAGGAGAAGGCACTGGAAGTGAAGCGTGGAGGATTTGCTTGGAAGGAGGAGAGTGGACCGGATTGTGATATTAGCGACCGTCGCTTGTCCACCCCAGCACGTCTAGTTATGGCCCAGGCCGAGGAGATTGCGTACACCATTAACTGAAGAGGTTCTTGGTGGCTATCTTCCTTTACATTCCATATTATTTTTCCATTGCCCCACCACTCCCCCTTTACCTATCACCCTTGGTTCCTGCATCTTTAGGTGCACATGGGGGTTAATGGCAAAGGGTTGCTATGGAACAAGTTTGGCGTTTTACCTCAAACAAAATAGTTACTTTGTTTCTGCGAACGACCAGATTCATGAAGCATAAAAATTGAAATAACGATTCAAGAGCCAATTGGTATATCGCTAGAAGAATTGACTAGCACTTGTAGTTGTCTGGGTATTGTACATGTACTTTTTCATCTCTGTCTCTCTTTCTTTCTCACGTTAGGCAGAACTGGAATCCTGTCCATTCCCCCCTGGTTGGCCCATTTGCTCTCTCATTTGGATTTCGCTGCAGCTGCATTTTCTGATGATGCAGGTTCGGTGTTCTTGGTTGATTGGGCAGCTCCGACAGGGACAGCTTCTGTCTCTTCACTGGCATTCACATCGAGGAAGTGGTAGAGGACAATCATCATCATAGCGCACGAGCCGAGAAAGATGGCCAATCGGTAGAGGTCGCCGTCGGAGATCATGATGGGAATTGATGGAGACGTGGGTAGAAGTGTTGGATAACAGGATCAAAGGCCGGAGGAGGATAGTTGGCTGGAATTGGCTGAATGTGGAGCTTTAAAGGACAGAAAATAGAAAATAGACGTGTGTGATGTGTCAAAGAGAACTGTACGTGGCACAGAGTGTAGGGAAGAAGTTGAAGATGGACGTGTCATTAAGTGATTTTAGCGCCGATCACAAGTCGGGGAGGGAATCCTGGTAGCTTCCCCTCTTAACGTGACTAACGTATTCTTAAGAACATGAGTTCCAACTTCTTTTCATTACTCTACCCCAACAACTCTATGCCTTTATGAATGCCATGATAGAACCGCAGCCTCCGAATAATGATGGTGGACCCGGTGCAGCTAAATCTAGTCCATCTTTGCTAGCTTGTCTTGCGTGTCGGCACAAGCACCTCAGGTGTGATGCAAAGACTCCTATCTGTGGTCGTTGCGCCACAAATGGATCTGAATGTCTTTACACAAAATCGCGCCGAGGCTATCAAAGTCGATTCACTAAGAAGCGACGCGCTGAACCAGAATACTCAGACCCGCCCATGGACCCGGTCGCTGTCGAAGCCCCTGTCGAAGCCCCTGTCGACTGGAGTATTCAGGCGGGCTTTCAGCATACACCGGCATCCACCACCGCCCCATTCTCCACTTCGACGAGCCCTAGTATGAGGGATCTACCGGTGTCAGTGTTGTCTACTCCGCGACTAGGAACTGGACCACTGACACCAGAATCCGCCTCTTCGGTAGCAGGTGATGGCTACTTGCTTGATATTTATTATACATACTTCCATTCCGCACATCCGATACTTCCACCACTGCGATTCTTCTTGCGCGGAAACTTTCCTCCGTTTCTGGAGCAGGTGATGAAGTTTATCGCTTCTCACTTCACACCAGCAGCTAACAGTGAATTTTACCGCCCTACAGTCCTCATAGACGTACAAAACGAAGAAACTTCAGTGGAAAAAGTTCAAGCGCTCTTGCTACTTGCCATTGTGTTACATTCGCGCAATGAAAGAGGTGAAGCGGGAATATGCTTAGCCAACGCCGTGGACCTGGCATTTGAGCTCGGGATGCACCAAGAAAGCTTTGCTGATTCAGCCAGCAATGGCGACCCTATTCGTGCCGAGTGCATGCGACGCACATGGTGGGAGCTTTTCGTTATTGAGGGGCTACTCACGGCACTTGGTGTCCAGCGCGTGTACCGAACCAACCTAGTCCCGCCAGAAGTGCGACTTCCATGCGAAGAACGTATATATTCAGACGGACTGGTACCACCGCCGCCACCAAGCATTGCTCAATTTGACGAGCGTGTATTTTCCGATGAAGACCGTGACTTTTCGTCGTATGCCTATCGCATTGAGGCAGTACGCGTCCTTGGTCGCGTGGTCGCAACGCAGGAAATGACAGAGGGCCAACAAAATCATGTCGAAGCCATTGATGCACGCATTGCCAGTTGGTTTCATCACCTTCCTGAATCCAAGATGGAGCTCTTGCGTCCGGATGGATCAGTGGATGAGATCATGTTCCAGGCTACAATGATCATTAACGGCGCGTCCATCTACTTGAATTTCCCGCGATCAGATCTCTTGTCATCACCGGCAGTTGCCGCAGAGGTGATCTGTGGTCAATCTGGGCCTGTCAGCATTCCCGCATTCTCTCATCATGTCCATGCCATAAAGGCGATGAAAGCTGCTAGTGAGCTGTCTTCTCTAGCAGCCATCCGCATGCCTGTGGAACGTCATACACCATTTTTTATTTGCGCTCTTACTCTCAGCTCCATTGTCCAGCTGGCAGCCTGCTCTATCAAGGCAGGTCAGATGCCTGATCCCAGCCGTGACCGTATCGGGCTTACCATTGGCGTCTTCAAATCGCTTGGTCGCACCTGGGCCATTTCGCAGTCTATAATGCGTCAAATTAAGGCTGTTGCACGCGATGTGTTACAAGTGGGCGTACGACCTACCATGGACCAGATCGATCTGATATCGATGCTGGACGGTGGTCTATTCTGGTCAACGCAAGAAGGCCCTCGTTGAACAACACCGGATGAAGCTATTCATGCCTGCAATTGGTACATATTTAAGATCATGGAAGAGCCACACCAGTTATCGAGAACCCCATACCGGGCTCTCTAAGAGGGAGGCTTATTATGATCGATCTTTGTTTTACCGTCTCGACTTCTCAAATCATCGATATCCAGCTCCAGCGCGCCTTTGCGGCTGGAGAAACAGTTTTCACTTTCGAATATAGTTTATTCTCAAGTCTTCAGGGATATGGCGTCTCAACAACGCTATATGAACAAAAAAAGTAGCTCTCTGTCCGAAATCAAGCACTTTTAATGCTTAATACGCAATCTACATTCCACGTTCATGCATAAAGTCAAGTACCTAGGTAGATTAGGCATAAGCCTGTAAACTGTTTATAAGAAACAATGGCAACTAGGAAATGAATCATGAGGGAAGTGATTATTAACTTCTGAATCTAGAGCTTTCAAGTGTCTGTACGTCGGATGCACGGCCTGATAAATCTCGGATAGAATGCCGAGCCCCTATCCTCGCCGAAGCCCTAAGTAATAATGAACATCGAAATGAAGAATCACATTTCGTTTGACAAGAGGTCGGACCAGCAAGATATCTCATATATTATATCATATATTATGATATATATCCACGTTGTAAATTACAAAGTACTTTCAGAGACAAGAACATTCATGATGTACCGTAGTGTGAATTGTCTGATTCTACCTGGGCAAAGCTTTTAGCTTATCGGAGAAGATCCGCATAGTGGATCAGGTTGATGAGTTTGCGCTAATTTCTGATTACCAGACTTAAAAAAAGAGTGAGAAAAGGATAGAAGATGGAAAAACTTCCAACGCCAAATGGCTTTCCGATTTATTATTCATGACTTCCTGCTACTATGGAGCCGACTATAGAGAGACAAACGAGTCATCCTACAGCGATCAACTTAATTCCCGTTTCTGTACCCGACGAACTCGCTATACCGAATGAAAAAGAATTTGATTCCCAGGACGAAACTTCACCACCCGAGCTGAAATACGAACTTGTCACCTGGAATGGCAATGATGATCCCGAAAATCCCCAGAACTGGCCAGAACATAGCAAGATCCTTCGCTCCTCGGCACCATTATCTATTGTCTTCTGTATAGCGTTTGCATCGTCCATCTTTGGCTCCTCAGCTAGTGTCACGGCTAGCGAGTATGGTGTTTCAGTGGAAATCATGAGCTTAGGTGTTGCACTATTCATTGCCGGATTCGCAGTTGGCCCTTTGCTCTTTGCGCCCATGGCAGAGCTTATGGGGAGCGCAGTTGTACTAGTTGTGTCACTGATAGGCTGCGCAATTTTCCAGATCCCACTCGCCTTGGCTCGAAACGTTGCCACGATTTTGATATGTCGATTTCTGGCAGGCACATTCGGGGCTGGAGGGCTAGCCGTTGGATCAGGCATATTGGCAGATGTATTTGGACCGATAACTCGAGGCGCAGCCGTAGGAGTGGCTGCAACAACTATGAATTTCGGATCCATAGTCGGTCCTATTGCAGGTGCTTTTATAGTTGATCAGATTGGTTGGCGTTGGACAGCATGGGTGACACTGATGTTATTCGGAGCTGTGTCTATCCTGTGCATATTCTTACTGAAGGAATCCTCACACAACCGGATCCTCATGCAGCGCGCAGCCCGTTTACGCCGTGAGACTGGAAATAATAATCTGCGTGCTAGTGCCGAGATGATCTCGCAAGACCCGGTTGTACTTTTCCAGAAATACTTCACAAAGCCTGTGCGTATGTTTTGTCAGGAGCCTATCTTGATCGTGATCACGATCTACTTGACACTTGTGTACGGATCGCTGTATCTCTCGTACCAACTATTCCCCAAGGCATTCGAGAAGAGAGGCTGGAGTACATCTATTGCATCGTTACCTTTCATTGCTGTCGGACTTGGCTTGTTATCTGCATGTGGCATTTTCGCACTTTTCACTATGACCTGGTATAAACGGCGGTGGGTAGCAGCGCATCGATCAATTGGCGAGGAATCAGAGAAGTCTGAGCCAGGGATCGGCATTCAACCTGAAGATAGGCTACCACCTATGATTCTGGGAGCCGTATTACTACCTCCGTCTTTGATCTGGTTCGGTTGGAGCGGTGGCGCACCCTGGATAGTACAGGTCATTCCCTGCTTCTTCATCGGGTTCTCATTACAGATCATTTTCGTATCTGGGATTGTGTACATTGTCGATGTGTACCTGACCAATACCGTGTCGGCGATTAGCATTCATGTTATGGTGCGCAGTCTGGTGAGTGCTACATTTCCAATGTTTGAAGGGCCGATGTATGATACATTGAACATTGATTATTCGGCGACTCTGCTCGCTGGATTGTCGGCTTTGATCATGGTGTCTCCCATCTTGTTGCGAATATACGGACCTCGTATTCGGAGTCTGAGTCGGTTTTCCGGATAAATATGAGCCATATGAAAGATAGAGATAATAAAAAGCCCTAGTCTGCTCCAATGTTGTCCACCTTTCCCATGGGCTAAACTGTTCTTGTCTTTGCCTTCTTCTTAAGTCGAGTCACTAGTACCTTCATTTTACGGTATTAGATCCTCCGAAAGCGATCGTCGCAGGTGACTAAAAACTGATTTTTTTTCTTTTGAATATATTTTCTTCATCCCGAGCTTTTTAGAGGATAAAGGTACCATTTAATGAGATCCGCAAGACTGAACATCACCGCTAGCCCGACGTTTGGTGTAGAATTCCCAAGCTGCTGCTGCATTGCATCTTCAACAGAGATGTTGGTCAATATCAAGGCAGATCAGATTTGGGTAGCTTCTGCCTCTGTAAGTACGGCTCGCTGATATAGAGTGGGTGGGTCGTCGAGGAGAGTTGCTCCTCGTATATTGGATCGGTGTCAGTACCAACTTTGCTAACATCGTAAAAGAAAAACTTTAACCCGATACCATAACTCGCCATATTGCTAGAGTACTGAAAGTCTGAAACAGTTTCGGGAATGACGGGCGAAGAAGTTGTCTTCCACTTTTTGTGTTTCCCGATATTGAGCCTGTATCGATATCTTATACTATCACAAACAAATCTGACGGGTTTGTCAGACCCACTTGAAAAGGTTTACCTTGGAGCTAAGCCTGATATGGTATAATGATGTTATCAAGTTCCACGTGGGATTGTAAATTGTATCTTTTGGCTCTCTTTAAGAACAGCTCATTTTCATTTAACTTTCAAGTATAACTAGGTATTTGAATTTTGGTGCGAGTACTCGATCTTGACATATGCTATACCTAGATAAGTAACCTTATTCATACCATGAAACGAGGCTCTCGGCAACTTTCTAGATATAATATATATATCGAACCTGAAAAGCATGACGTGTGTAGTTTGTACCTTGATAGAATATCTAGATATTACCACTTATATTGCATGTCTTTCTGTCTCTATCTTGCGCAAATATTTGTCTCGAGAACTAGTAGCGTATTTAAATACAAAGTAACGTATCTTCCACTCGCTTTATTTTTTCTCCCTCCATCACCCCGCCTACGTTCTTCTCTACAAATCTTTCTCCCGGGGTCACTTCCTTCTTCATTTACCAGCCCACTGATATTTCTTTTCTACATCTCCACAACCCCTGCTCACATCAATATCCTGATCCACCATGTGATTATTGATAATCCTGATATATCGTACTTTAATAACTAACGGAAACAGCATGGCTCCTCCAACCACTCTCAAGCGCAAGCGTCACTCTCCGAATCTGGGACAGAAATCATCCCTCAGATTAAGCGGTGATAAAGTTGGAAAGTCGAAGGAGTTTCCCGAACGGGTTTTGATCCCCGACGATGCCACCCGCATAGAAAAGCATATCCTATGGCTCTGGTCACTTTTCAAGACATCATCAGACATTCGGGTAAGGTCTTTTAGTTTTGCCATTTTCCAAATTTCACTTATTCTAATTCACACCTTTTTATTATACTGACGAGTCTATAGCCAAGTCATGCTCTGATTGCGAAAAGCCTTGGAATTACTCAGGCAATGTCAAACCATGCTTACACTGATATCAAGATCTTGGTCAATAAACTTCAGCAACGCGCCATGAATGACGTGGATAAGGATGAAAGAAAGGCCGGAGGGAAGGCTAAATATGTTCAGGTAGAGGAGACTACGGAGGTCGAATCGATGGAGGATAAGGAAATAGGAGATGAGGAAATGGAAAACGAAGCTTAAGTCCAAGAGCAAACCGGCATGAAGACTCGAGGAAGTGCATCTATATGAACTCTGAAGAGCACCGCTAGCGTTATCGAATATCATTGTTACAGAACCGGTGGACTATATTAAACTATTCCCTAATTAGAGGTCCCTGGGCAAAAGGAAGTGAGATTCAAAGTGAGAGTGAAAATACAAATGATCCTTGGAGATTTATCGTCAATGAGAATGTTTTATGTTCTCTTCCATAGTTTAAAGTTGATTGAGATAATTTATAATATAAAACGTCTGGAGCCAGTTAGGGAGATCTGACTGGTGGTGACAATGCACTCAACAGAAAGAGAATAGCTCATTTAGGTAGCGAAATCGGTATTCATGAAGGGTTTTCTCCATCTCACTTCGATGCTTCTGTTTTCGCCCTTCCTCATCACACCGAATGGGCGTTTCTTCTCCACAAGCCCTTTCTCACGCCAAAAATCATGTAATTTTCTTCCAGGTATGATATTGGTACCTTACATTCTTTTCTAACAAAGAAAGCATGGCTTTCTTCTTCAGTCTCAAGCGGAAGTGTTCTTCAAAAAGGAGTTTTCCCAACGAGTTTTGATCCCCAACAACACAACCCAGATAAGAAACATCTTTCTTTATTGTCTTCCAGTTATCTTCAGTTTGCCTAACTTCATATTGGATATTCTGGACTCATTTTGATTTAGCCCCTATATGTTTTTGCATTGTCTAAAGCTCAGCCATGATCTAGCTGCAAAGAGTCTAGGAATTATCTAATGAATGTCGTACCATGCCTAAACTGACGTGAAAATACCAATTAAGGAGCGCACCTTGAAAGATATCGAGAACGAAATGGAGAATACTGAAGACGAGATTGGGGAAGAAAATATAAACGATAAGGCCAAACAATACGAAGAAGTTAAAGATAAGACTCTGGATGGGGAGTATTCTTCAAGTGCAGGAAGAAACTGAGATGAAGACTCGAGCCAGCGAAAGTAACCTTAGAAGAGCAGTGGTAGAAAGAATCGCAACAATCTAACAAAATCAACTCTTTTTCATACCTAGAGATGATCTGCACGTGCTAAGGTCTTTGAGATACTATTTAAGAAGTCCTTTTCCTCCATATCACTTTCTTAATTCTCCTTTCATCATCACCCCACCACCCCTCTGTTCTCCACAAATCTCCATCCAATACATTCTCCTCTTCATCCCAATTACCCTCTTTGTAAGTATTAAGTATATCATAATCTTGTTCCTGCTTCACTAACTCAGATAGAAACGACCATGACTCCTCCCATCGCCAAAAGCAAGCGTGCTGCCAAGGGCTCTGGACCTGGTAAGTCCACCAAGGCCAACAAGGTCAAAAAGGAAGTTGAATTGGTTGTGACCACTGGCGAAGCTTGTGAAGCTGGCAATACCGAGTTTGCCCCAGAGACTCCGTCCACCACCCTTAAAAGCAACAAGCGTGGAGCCAAAGGTTCTGGATCTGGCGCCAAAGGTGCCAAGATCGTCAAGGAAGTCGAGCCAATTCTGACTCCCAAGGACGCCACTAACGTCGAGAAGAACCTTCTCTGGCTTTGGGCTTACTACAAGACCTCTTCCGATGCCTCTGTAGGCTTTCTATCTTTCAAGCTACCTTGGTATGGTACTGATCCTATTTGTATAGCCCAGCCACGTCATGATTTCGAAGTGTCTGGATATTACTTCGAGTGTGTCGAAGCATCGCTTCAATGCTGTCAAGCTCAGCATCGAAGGTATCCAGAAACGCGCTGAGGAGAAGATTTTGGAGGAAGTTGGAAATGAGGAGCAGGGACGCGATGAGGTTCAGGAAAAACATGGAAGCCAGGGAGACAAGAGAGGCAAGGGAGGCAAGGATATCGAGTATGAGGCTGACGTGGAGGATTCAGCTCACCAGATTGAGGCTTAGGTGGTTTATCTAATGATCTAGGTAAAGAAGCCAGATGGAGCTTGAGTGAAGAAGCTATTGCGTCTATAGTGACCGATGAACTTCGATATTCAGAGCGATAGTTTTCGCACAATATGGTTAACAGTGCCGATTATTTTCTTATATGAATTATTTTCTACTTCATAGTAGCTTACTGGATGTGAAGAAGTAATCACTCGCATAATTTTTCTGCTCACAAAAATACCTAAGTAAAAAGAATATACCTAGGTAATTATTGCGACAAGATCATTGCATCAAAGAATCTGTGTTCTCTTAGTTTGAAATCATAGTAGTAACGAACAGATCTTTCAAAGATGTTTATGGATCCAGAACCTTGAAAATGTCCTATAACTAGTCATAAATGATTGATAGATAATTCCAAGCTAGTGTAAGATAGACTCGAGTCTCTGGTATATGTATGTATGCTGATGTTCAGGCAGAAATAATGGCGTTTTATACTTCCATTGACACGCACTTGTAGTAATGACACGCCAAGACAAGTTTAGGCAGCGGCCAAAAAGTACTATCACCTGAAGCAATCAGAGGTATTAGTGCGTGGCATTTTAATAAAACGCCGTTCTCCGAAGTTTCACTTCATCTTCTTTTCAGACTCTGAATTCTTCAGCAAAACTTCAACGCTATTCGGAGTGCGTGGCATTTTAATAAAAAGCCGTCTCTTGAAGTATCATTTCTTCATCCTACAACTCCCTCCCTCCTCACCATCCTCTCCTCATTTTGAATTCTTTACTCAAGAATTCAACCAGCGATCGAGTAGTCCTATTGATATTGATTTCTTATTTTATGGGTTCGCTGACCAAAATAGTACCATGGGCATCCCCAAGAACCCTTCGGCCACAGTGGCTGGAGCCAAATCCCGACGTGGTAGATTTCCCAAGGCCAAGCAGGCTATCAACCCCATCTTGACCCCTAAGGATGCATCCATCTTTGAGAAGCACTTCCTCTGGCTCTGGGCTCGTTACCTTCATACCGCTGACTCTCCCGTAGGTTCACTCCTTTTGCCAACTTCTTTTTTCTACCTCGCTTCATATGCGCTATTTTCAATTTACATAGATTTCTTATAATATTAATGCTATTGCTATCATAGGCTACCCACGCCGAAATCGCAGGTACTCTTGGCATTACCGCGGCAATTTCCAAACACCGCCTTGCGAAAACGAAGGAACTCGTTGCTGCTATTCAGAAGCGTGCGCAAATCGAGTTGGGCGAAGATAAGGATACCAAAGAGAAACTCGGTCAAGCTGAGGAATCCGAGACCTCCACTGAGAAAACAATTCAGAAAAAGGAAGTGGTTGACGCTGATCTTCTTGGATCCATTGAAAAGCATGTTGAAAATGACGAGGTCATCGAAGATGCTAAGGTCACCATTAAGCTTGAGAACTTCGAGGATTGAGGAGGTAGCCCAGAATTGAGAAATATGTGAAGCCAGCAAGTCGACGGTGAGGTCCGAATAAATGGGATGCCGGCATCAATCTGGTTCAGATTTGCTGCTTCTTTTTGACTTTTTGACTTTTTTTTCATTTATTTTTGCCTTCTCTGGTCAAAGGACTGAAAGGGTCTCTATCAAAACTTGAGAGCTAACGCGACTTGATATCTATTTATCATACCTTCCAATCAAATATCATTGGATACGTTATAAGTCAAAAGTTTGCCCACAGTCAAAAATAAGCCCCGCCCCAAATATATATAATGACTTCAAACACTGACATCTCTCTAATTATTATAGATATAGCTATATAAATTACATATTTAAATTGTTAAATGACAGAATAATAGAATTTCATTCAATATTTAGTAAAATATCCCCCAGCTCTGCGTACAGCTGCTATTAGCGCGGCATATACCTAGTTAGGCGATCGTCGCCTGTAAAATGGCATCCCAAGCTTCGCAGATACAGGCCTTAAAATATGTCCAATCAGCTATAGTTTGGTCCATTTATACTAATCCAGGGTGTAGCTTTCTTAATTTACACTTTAGAAGATACCAACATGGTTCAATCGGGCTCATATCAGGCGACCGTGCAGGCCATTTTTCAAGACGAATCCTCCAACGTCGAAACCACCTTCCTGCTTCCTTTGATGCATGGATTTTAGCATTATTCTGTTGAAATATATCATCATTCTCACAGTGTGGTATAAGGCCCTTTTCTGGGGCTTTAAAATAAAACAAAATGCGAGTTTACGTGACCAAAACGCGCTAAAACACGGGAAGTGTTGGCAGACTTTTGACCCATTATGTAGGTCTCTGCTTGAGAAACTCCAAGAGGAAGAATCAATTGAACATCTATCTTATTCTTTTTCAAAGTTTCCCTAGACATTATCCCAACACATACAAGGGAGAAGGACCTCGGTAAGTCTCGACCTCGACCTTGAAAATTAGGTATCGGATGAGCCATCCCCATTCACATGGAAAATCTCTATATTTTCTCTTCCGGGTTCTTATTCCTCCACTAGATCTCGTGACTATAACCTCTCATTTTTCGTAAACACCTGTCCTCTACATCTTTACTTGAACCTCAACTTCTTCTCATCAAACCTCCTCCACTACAATTTTATCTTCGCAAACATCCATTACTCTCAATATCCACTTAGCCCCGGCATCTTCTCCATGTAGGCTTGATGCTATTGATATCTTGCCACTTGACCCAACTAACAAAAACAGCTAAGACCATGGCTCCCTCCACACCAAAGATCAATATCAATCCTACCAAAAGCTCTGGATCTGGAATCAAAAAGAAGAGTGCGCGAGCCCCCCGTCCTGTCTTGCCCAATGACGCTCCAGCAATTATGACCCCTAGCGATGCCACCATGATGGAGAAAAATCTCTTCCGGCTCTGGGCATTCTACAAGACAACCTCGAATGTCATTGTAAGTTCATTTAACCTCACTTTGCTCTTCCCGATCTCACATAGTTAATTCAATTTTCCTGGTCTTGACTAACTTAGACACTGATTCTATAGCCCCGCCATGGTGATATTGCCGAGATCCTCGGCATCACTAATCAAACTTCTCGTAATCGTTTTGCCGCTATCAGAGCTTTGATGGGATTGATTCAAATCCGAGCTGAAAAGGAGGCGCCTTCTGCTGAGGAGAAGACCAAGAATGCGGAAGGAGACGAAGCTGAGGCGAGGATGCAATTCAGCAAAAAAAAAAAAAAAAAAAAGTCAAGGATGAAGAAACTAAGGATGAAGGAATGAAGGCAGAAGTCAAGGATGAGTAAATGGAGGACGAAATGAAGGCTGAAATGGAGGACGAGACTTAGATGAAAGACCTCGGGAGCAATTCGGTTTTTACTTTTCACTTTTTGTTTTTTGAATTCTACATGGAGATCAAACTAAAGCGTCATACTACAAGCAGCCTAATCATTATCATTTGTGCTCACTTTTTCACCTGACATTTCTCTGCGGTGTTTCAAGGTTCAAGGGTTGAGTGCAAGACTTGGGGGAGTGAAAGTTGTGCGTTGCAAAACTATTTATCATCAAATAGCCTAGTAAGAAGTGATAGCCAATTATAGCTTCATATACTGTTGATTTGGCAAAGTTAACAGTGCAGTGCCAAATTAACAGCGTAGGGGATATCGGCGTGTGCTAATATAGAGTTGTAGGTCGTCTCAAAAGTAATGAGGGTTTATCACGGCACGTGCTGCTGACAAATAGAGATCGAAAGAAAAAGTTGAACTATTTGTTTAGTTATTTAACTAAATCAAATTCTTCATTCACTTGGAATTGAGTGGACACAAAAGACTCATATTCGTGGGGGGTTATTGTAAATAAAAATTAGATAATACCTGGCGCCGCCGGTTGTGTCAATTCGCCAGGTTGAACAGTCCGGCCTGAAAAGTGCTCACCCTGCTCCTCCAGTCCTCGTGCCACAAGGTCCTTGAAATCAACACCCACCTCAGTCAACATGTCGACATGCTGGTGTACAATGTCAAGACATTTCTCCCAGACAGAAGTGCCACGCTGGACACTACTAAGCTGGCGACTGAGTAGAGCATTGAACCCGTCCAGATGCTCCTTGGCCCATCGTATACAAGAACTGCTCATCACACCTGGGAAGCATGTCTGGTAGATACTAATGGTGTTCTTGATTAGGGAAAAGTAGACGAAAGAAATTTGGAAGATGTAGAGGGGCAGATCACCCTCAAAGACGCAGGCGCTATGAGTTATATTAGCTTGATAAACTAGATATGAGTAGAGGAGGAAAGAACTTACCGGATACGCTTAGCAATAACATCACTTCGAGTCTTGAGATAGGTCTCTCGTGCCTGATCCTCGAATCCCAAACGACTTAGCCAGATGACGTTGGTCTTGGTCTTCATCGGGAACGAGTGTGTATCCACCAGTGCACGGGAGAGCATGCCCCCAAGTCTTGTTGCTCGCCCATCCACTTTGACATTGATTACCTCCTGGGCAATCGCATTTCCCTTGAGACCCTTTGCCAGCTTCCGCAGCCGTTCAACGGTGGAAACTGCTGCCTCAAATCTCTGCAACGCAATATCGATATCCAGCTCATCCACTTGCCCTTCCACCCAGCGGATATTCTGTTGTTTGCCATTGACATCAATACGCACACCAGACTTGTCGCGGGGGATTTCTGCGATGTCAAATGATTCAGACTTTTGCGAATAGGACAGATGCCGTCCGGTAAGATATCCATACGCCTCCATGGGTTTGCTGGCAGCCTCACTCTCGGATCGCAAGTTTCGTCGCAGATCCTCCACAGTCTTACGGAATGTCGCGAGTAGTTCGTTCTTGGTAGATGTATCGCGCTTGTCTTGGCGATATGTGAACGGCTTGGATCCCACACGAATGTTGATTGCATTACCAATGCCCCGGTCCAGGGCCTCTTCGCGCGCCGCACCAGTTCCTAAGTTTGCGGCCAAGTCGATCATGTCAATATCCTGCAGGGGCCAGCACTCTTCCGCGACAAGCTTGGTTGGAACCGGGCCGCGGTGGTTTGGATTGTTCTGGTCAACCCGCTTCCGCTTCTTCGCAGCTACCAGCAGATGATCATTCAACAGGACGATATGAACAGGTCGCTTGGGCTTCCAGGTGGCTGAGTCCAGCTCTGCCCAGTTTCCAGTTTCCAGTACGATGTGACGTCCGGGAACCGCTGGAAGGAACTTTTGAGACCCTTCCACTGTCTTCCACAATGTCTGTAATTGAACATTCCACATACTTTCAAGATTGGCGACAGAGCTTCGATTTGAGCTGCGCTTAGGAAAGTGATCATCAGACGGTGACATGGGGTTCGGAGTATTGCCCACAGAGGTTTGGCCAAGTGCTGTGGTCAAGTCCGCCATGAGAGTTTTAAGTGTCCGCATTTCATCTTTGAGCTTCTCCGCCTCTTTACTGATCTTGATAAATTGTGTTCGGTTCTGGTACACATTTTGTTGCAGGTCGGTTGAGGTCCGGTTTTTGACTTTCCTGAGACTCAGCTGGTATTTCTGGATTTCCTCCTCCGACGCGTTGGCAAGGAGGTTAGCGACGTCTAAAAGGGATACAGGTCAGCAGCTTTTCATAATAAAGCCAGTATAAAAATCTGTGTCGCATACATCTTTCCACTGGCAGGCTAGGATCTCGGAGCGCATTCAGGTCAACGCGCGGGGCGGGCGTTGGACCATCTGCGGGTGATGGCAGCCTTGAAACTCCGGCTGGAGCCAGCCCAGTATATCCCACGGGAACTTGCGGTAGGGACGGAACTGGAGGAGCATTGCCTTCTGCATCTGGAAGCGTATTGAACCTTGTCGAGTATCTTCTTTTCACCAAATCAGAGGTGGCATCATTTTGAGGGGCTCGGTCCCGACCGACGGAGATGGCATCTTGACCGGCATCGGGGGCTCTGGTATTTGGAGGGAGTGGACCAGAAATTGGTTTAGGGGCACTTATTTGAGGACGTTGGCGACGAGATTTACTCCGTAGAGTCAGTCCTCGGCCTTCCATGTTGTATCAGTTGATAACGATGGATGATGAATGGGGGGTTGAAGGGAGTTGGGGAGATCCGCAACGGGTCAAGTGTCTCCATCTGTAAATTTGATATTGCGGTGCCGCAACATTCCATGTTTATATTGAATTTTGATATGGAAAAAAATTGAAATATTTTCTTAGTTTTAGTGACACTCCTACTTTTCAACTATACCGTACTACATTGTGATAGAAATTTATAGAATAATTCGGAGTTTAGGTAGTATCTCCCATTGTATTTGTACTTTGTATTTGTACTTTGTGTTTTATTGTTCAATTGCTCAATGCATTGTCTTTTAAGGCTTCTAGGGCTCCATCAAATGCAATTACTATATACTACCAAAATCCAATCTTAACTACTTCATTAGCGATATAGGACCTAAGTAGTTAATTCTCACTCATTTTGATACCAAGTCCCTGACGTAGCCGGAAGAAAGACTGACTCGGAAGAACATAAATCCCCTTCAAATTTATCAAACAACACCTCGGATTCCGATGGTTCGTCATTTTCCATCCAACCCCATCAGCTTGGTTCTTGTGCCTCTTTCTTTGTGTTGTGCCTTCCCTGCATAAATATCCCCCCTCTCACATTATGCGGACATCTGTTTTGGTAGCCGCCTCGGCTGGCACGATCCTGACCGGACTGCTCGGTAAGAGCATCTTTGTATCTTCCAAGGTCAATATTTACTAATCATTCAATCTCAATTGGTTCCAGCCTATGCAGTTTACTTCGATCACAAGCGACAGACCGACCCTGATTTCCGTAAGTCCTTGAAGCGCAACAACCGCCGCCTTGCCAAGGCTGTGCAGGAAGAGGTCGAGGCCCATGGTGCTATGCAGCGCGAAGGAATTAAGGCCGCTGTGCAACGCGCCAAGGAGGAGGGATTCCCCACCGACCTGGAAGAGAAGGAGTCTTACTTCATGAGCCAGGTCGCGAAGGGTGAGGGACTTTGCACTGAGGGTATGTGATGCGACGTGATTCTCAGTCCCAAGGGGGCACGCGACAATCAATTATTGATGCTGACGGGTATTTTGATATAGGCACAGAACAGGTTGAGGCCGCTCTGGCTTTCTACAAGGCGCTGAAGGTGTATCCCCAGCCCAAGGACCTGATCTCGATCTACGACAAGACTGTCCCCAAGGAAGTACTCGAGATCTTGGCCGAGATGGTCGCCATGGACACCACTCTCAACCTGGGTACTTTCACTGGAGAAAGCGGCTTGGACAACCACGGAGTCGAGTAAATCGACTAGATGGAAGATGTCTTGACCTCACGAATCTGTTGGGTGGCTTTCCTTGGTTCGCCTTGGCTGTATTAATTATCCTCTTCTTTTCCCTCCTGTTCCTTTTCGACTGCCCTCTGCAAACCATTCAAGTCCCCTCTCCACTCCAATATCCCGTTTCCTCCCTGTATATGTACTGATTGGATCTTGGTCGAGAGTAGCGGACGCGGCCTTATCTCTCGGTGCCATGACTTTTGTTTTCTTCCTATGACCACCCTCATCTGCTTGACTCTTGCATTTTCACTGGGGAGCAAAGGGAAGAGGGATTTTTATACAATGTATTTTAGAGCGAACTGAATTAGAAGCCCTAAAGACGACTATTTGACTGCAAAGAACGAAGGACCCAGGTGGAGACAAAACCAGTAATAGTTAGGAACTGTAAGATACCTCGGTATTCCAGGCAACCTCATAGGTGAGACAGGTACCCGCCAAGTACCAATTTGACCCATTTATGTTCCCCCGTTTTACCCTGAAACTAACTAATGAATCTCCACTGGGGGTTCCTTGGGTGCTTTGGCCCTAATATTTTTCTCCACTACAAGTGATTGGCCGTTGATCTTGCTTTTTTCATTAAGACAATCTCACTCTGCCTGACCTCCTTTTCCCCTTCCAATTATACATAACAAGGGACCGTTGCCCGAGTTATTTGCGCCTGCCTTTCGCCGCTTCAACCATCTACACTCGCTCTTTCCGCCGTTTGGCGCAGTCATTCTTTCAAATTAACATTCAATCGCTCTTCAGTTTCTCCAACCTCTCGTACTTTTACTCTCACATTTTTATATGCACATCTATTACTCACAATGATCGCGGTATGCTTGACCCTCAGATTACCCGTGATATTCGCCAACTGACAAGAATGATGCGATATAGTTTTATAAAAGTCTGTTGACGGCCATTTGTGCCCTCGCCGGTACTGCCGCGGCTGTCACCCCACTTATTGTCAGTGGAAAGGATTTCGTCAATTCTGAAACCAATGAGCGTTTCCAGATCATCGGTGTTGAGTAAGAAATCCACATCCCGAAGTATATCTGCCATTCCCTAAGTGTATCACTAGCTACCAGCCTGGTGGTGAGTCGGGCTTTTCCAGTACTAAGGACCCTCTGAGTCAGAAGGCTGCCTGCTTGCGCGATGCTGCCCTCATGCAGCGCCTGGGTGTAAGTATAGCCTCGTTTAATTCACCCGATCCAGCAGTCCACTGATCTCCACCAGATCAACACTATCCGTGTCTACAACTTGGAGCCCAGTCTCGATCACAGCGAGTGTGCCTCTATCTTCAACGCTGCTGGTATCTACCTGATCCTCGATGTTAACAGCCCCTTCTCAACCGGCTCTCTTAACCGTGTCGAACCTTGGACCACCTATACCGCTGGATATTACAAGCAGGTGTTCGGTGTCATTGAGGCTTTCAAGAACTTCCCCAATGTTCTAGGCTTCTTCGCCGGAAACGAGGTTATCAACGAAGATGCCACCTGGACTGCGCCCAGGTATGTCCGCGCTGTCGTTCGTGATATGAAGCAGTATATCGCCAAGAATGTCGATCGTGCAATTCCTGTTGGATATAGTGCCGCGGATGTTCGTTCCGTCCTGGCAGACACTACCGCCTATTTCGAGTGCAGTCTTTCAAACTCGACAGAATCTCAGGCTGACTTCTTTGGTCTGAACTCTTATTCGTGGTGTGGAGCTGCTTCATACACCTCCAGCGGCTACAATGTCCTGACCGAGGACTTCTCCAATGCCACTCTCCCCGTCTTCTTCTCGGAGTACGGCTGCAACGCTGTCACACCCCGTGAGTTCTCTGAGGTGCAATCCCTGTACGGCGAGGATATGACCCAGGCCTTCTCTGGTGGTCTCGTTTATGAGTGGACCCAGGAGTCCAACAATTACGGTCTTGTTGCCATCAACGACTCAGACACTGTCACCACCCTGATTGATTATACCAACTTGCAGAAGCAGTTTGCTAAGTTGGATATGACCCGCATTGAGTCCAGCAACAGAACCCAGACCAGCGCCAAAGCCCCCGCTTGTGCTGCCGATATCATCACCAGTGGAAAATTCTACAACGCCTGGGATCTGCCCGATGCCCCCTCTAAGGTCTCAGATTACATCTCGAGTGGTCTGCCCAGTGCTTCCACTGGCTCCCTTGTATCCGTCACAGCGACCACCATCCCCGAGACCGTTTACGACTACACCGGCGCCAAGGTTACTGGTGTCCAGTTCAGCGTTGTGAAAGACGGCACTGCCAATAGCCCCGCTAGTATCACTGGTGTTGCTTCTGGCACTAGCACCGCCACCGCTGGCTCTACCGGCACTGGAACTGGAACTGGAACTGGAACTGGAACTGGCACTGAAACTGGCACTGGAACCGGCACTGAAACCACCGGTACTAGTACTGCCTCCACGAGCACGTCGACCCCCAATGCCGCTAATGTCAATGGTGCTTCCCTTGCCTTGGGTGGCTTGAGCGGCGTCTTCATGCTCCTTGCATCCTTGCTTTAAATCCCCATGCACCCTACACCAGTTTCGGAAACTTCTTTATGGAGACTTTCTTTTCTTGTCAATGATTACCTTGGTATCTTACTTTTTTCTTCTCTGCACATTGTCTGTTGTGTCTGTGTGGCCGATGCATAGCTTTGATCATTACAAATCATAGCTTCATATACTTAGTTTCACAGCAATGGAGCCCCGGGGGCCATTTTATTTTCAACCTGCTTTTCAAGTACACATGGGCAGTGCCTTCAATAATTGCAGGAATTGTTCTATTTAGTGGGCCGATTTCCCACTAGCAGCGAATACTTCAAACAGATGTGTGTAGCCATAGATGCTGTCCATTCGCCGATGAAGCCCTGGAGAGCAGACTGAACCCATAGTTTCCAGTCAGGATACAACAGCGAGGCTCCATCACACCCGAAGTATGCACTCGGTAACATTCTTGGTTTACATCTCGGGCAACGGCTTCGGTTGTGAGGAAATCCTCTCAAACCCACTGGGTCAGTGACTGGCTGGCTCGTATATAGGATTTCTATTTACTCTTAAGGCCATTTTGTGTATCTATAAAGCACAACCAAGCTCTATATTCTCGATGACGCATTCACAACCTTGGAGCCTTCAGTCCTGAAGAGGATGCATTGAAGGTTGACTGGAATTCAGTTCGCCGGCAATGATGAAGAAAAAGAGGAAGTACAAAGAAACGTTGTCGGTGTAGATAGGCTAGGTGAGACGGATCTTGCCATTTATAGCTACCTAGTAGGTATCATGGTTAATTCAGTTTTACATGCAATCAATCAGGGAGTGCACAAAATACAATATCAAGACAAAAGAAAAGGAAGTACCGGAGTGACTATTCTTAGCGGAAAAGTGTTTAGCCGGGCTATCCGTCATGGAATGAATGAATTATCTCATAACGAGTTCTCATGGCTCAAAGTGAAAACATCCCCATGCACGAGGTTGGGAGTCCATGTGGATAATCGTTTTTTGCCGGGACCGCAGGCTCAAACACTATGAAGTGCATCGTTTGTTCTTATTTTTATTTTTGGAATTTAGCTAGTTATTTCGTACATTTTTACACGTATTCAATTAGGGGAGTTTATATCTAGCCTAGATGATATCCAAGCTTGAGATTAAGAGTTGAAATTTCTGCTGAGACCTCCAGCTTCTAGTTGAGACCATGGATTCGATATTAAAAGAAAATAATTCAAATATCATAAATACAAAACCAAAATGAAAGTGAAAAGTACAAAAAAGGTAAAAAAAGGTCTTCGATGAGATAGCTCCCACCGGAATTCAAAATCTCAAAAATGTCAAAAGATCAAGGATTCTAATACTATTTGAGATCATTAAAATTCCACTTAGGCAGCTCTAGCCTTTCCTTTGCCCTTTCCGGAAGACTGAGAAGTCGACAATGAAGCCTGGGCAAGGACTGGAAATTCTTCCCATTCTTGCTGCTCGCGGCTTTGATCCTCGGCTAGACTAAGCTGAATTGCAAATTCGAGATCATCCATTTCCTTTTGCTGGCTGCTCTCGGCATCGGCCGAGTCGGGTGACAGTGGTGGTCGCTTCGCACCCTTTGCATATTTGATAGGGATGGAAGGTGTCTGTTCCAGAGGTGGCGAGCTAGATTTTTCGTCCAGCAGGCTCAGGCGAATGGCTTCAGCAAGATCATCATCTACTTCGTCATTCACGGAACCTTGATACGGGGAAGAAGAGGACGACACCTCGCCAAACCCACTGAAGCTGGGCCCAATCGTATCACTGGCAGAAGTGCTGACAGAGCTGGCAATCGGTATTTGCTCACCTCGCTTTGTGACGTCGCCATTATAGGCTTCTTCACTGAGGAGTTGGGCATAAGCCAAAAGCTGATCATCGTCAATGTCGGGTCCAAGAAGATCAATACCGAAACGCGTGCTCAAGTGCGCTCGTTTCTGTGTATCTTCAATCTGCTGTCTGACAATTTCGACACGTTCGTCTTCAATGAAGTCGTGGATAGCTCCACGCCCACTGTTAGAGAAACGCTGACCTGCATCGGCTTGGTTACTACCACGGATAGCCCGACGCCATTGGCGTTTACTCGTCTTGTATTGGTCGGCAGAAGTTGAGCTGTACGACCAGAAACGAAGGTGGGTGCCAAGAGAGACCATGCCGCGGAGACTCGTTGAGTCTGGATCGAGGCAGATGGCGCTCGCGGCATAATAGTTGTTACCCACACCAGTTATAGAAGCTTCTGCCTGCACCAGCCGACGACGAGCTCTGGTTGAGAATCGAGAGTTGATGGTGCGAATTGGGCGTGTAGAGGAAGCTAATGGATCCCAGGCCTGTACGAGTCCATCATTACCGCCATGCACCAGATAGAGCGATGTCAACGCCACGCAAGAAACCTGGGGTGACTCGGTCTGGATAATTCGCAAAGGCGAGATGGAATTGATGATTTCCACATTTCTTGAGGCAAGTGCGCGAATGTCCCACACAAAGACCTTACCCGTGGCAGTCCCCACAGCCAAGAATCGTGCACGCTGCCCCGGAACATCAAGTTTCGACCGCGGATATTCCATGTGCGGAATCATTGGCGAGGATGTGGCAGAGGAAAACGAAGAACTTGATATTGCCAGGAGTGGGTCTTCCGGCATTGTGAGTGTAGCGAGTGTGGAATTATCCAAAGCACTAGTAGTAACTTCCACCAATTTGTGGTCACCGAAAAGGAAGTCTGAGATACGCCATTCGCTGTTCACTGGACTAAGCGGGGGTTGCCACCAGATGCTGATGTAGGGATATTCACTGGACCACCGAAAATGGAAGTTTGCTTTGCCCCTTCACCCATGGTTGATGGTGCTAAGCCAGATTTCGATAGAGCATGAACATATCGTCGAACAGAAGCCTCTTCGGTTTCACCGTCACCGCGAGCAATGACAATAATAGATTCACCAGACCCGAGGCCATCGTCACCGGCAAAATCAACGTGGAGATCGCGTCGCATGTTCCAACTCTTGCAGACCTTACGGAAATGCTTCGGTTTGAAAGACATGAACTTTTCAATTTCCTTCGTTTCTGCGGTTAATTGCCTAACGTCAAGACCCATTGAATCTGGTGATGAACGAGGACTGTAACTGCCATCAACCAGCTCCTGATTAAACGGATCGGGGTAAGCCACACGTCGACTCAGTTCGTTGAGCTCCCAGCGCACACTTCGACCGGTTTTCCACGCCAATTCATCCATTTGCTCGGCATTTAACTTGGCCGTGGGTGAGATCTCGGGCTGGCGCGGAAGATCCGTCAGATAGAATATTTCGCCCAGCGCATTCAGGGCGACAGCCCATATTCTTCGCTGTGCACGTCGCTTAGGGTTGTAGTTATCATCCACAGAAATGCCAATAATAGGTACACCAGGACAAAGAACCCATTTCGCAGTCAACTGGCCTCGCTCATAGCGTTTCTCATAAGTCGGATGTGGGCCAATCGCATAAGCCGAGAGGACACCTGAAGATGAACCAGACATCATAGCAATAAGCCCTCCAGTAGTCTTGAGAATAGATGGTGATTTCGCAATCCAGACTGAGCAGATGACCTGTGTAATCATATTGACTGCAGGAACACCAAGGTGGGGGAGTGAGCCCAGATCCGATATCCCAAGGAAACGGCCTCGTTGCTCCGTACTCGATATAAAGTAGGTTCGACCCGACGGGCATCCCTCGCCGTAGATCATACCGAAAGGTTGGCTGACATCCATGGAATTGGGTACCCCGACGATCTCACCGGGGCCGAGTCCATACTGCGAATCTCCTGGGAACTGATCTGCAAAGTGACGAAATATCTGATAATCAGACAATCCCCAGGTGCCTACTTTGACAGTCGACGGATCACTAGCAGAAGCGACACCTTGCTCGGATGCAGCGTGGATGAAGTTCGAAACAGAGCCGTTGAATGACCCGTGGATATGGCTTACTGGGAAGAGCAGCTGCGATGTGTAAGTTGTCACGGCACTGCCGTTGCGAACACTTGTCGAGCGCACAGTACCACTCTTCTTGGAAGGCTGAAATTGCGCTGGCTTTCCTCGAGATAGGGAGCGCATCAATCGAGTACGAATGATGTACTCGCTTCTCCAGGATGCCAGCGCAGTGAGTCTCGTGAAGAATCGCCTATCAGACGCCACATCCGCTTCATCTCTAGCGTAACGTCCATCTTCTAACACCTGAGGACCGGGGAAGAATCGTGAAAATGCGATTCTCCACGCATGAGGAGTGGTGACCAATGCATGAAACCGGCGAGACACTAAGGTAATAGCCGAAAGGGAATCAGGGGGAAGATGGGATAAAATGTGGGTTAAGACCTCTGAATCACGATATTAATGTCATATACTGGACTGGGAGGGCTCGACATCACAAACCATTTGGTAAAGACTCAATGGGCAACTTGAATGGCGCCGGGTAGTAGGGCGGGGTTGGTCTAGATGCGCTCATAGATGCATTCATTTCGGGTACCGGCAAGTCCACGCCGACCAAGTCTCTGACCTCATCACGCTGAGGAGGGACAGAGACTGGCCGATCTTCGAAATCATATCCATGTTGGCGAGAACTGACGTTGGCTCGGTTTAAGTCAACGGCAGGTGTACGTTGAGATACGGGAGTAGGCTCTGGCTGCATAAAAAGGTCGGGAAAGAGATGCGAGGTTGAAATTGACTGTTCCAGCACGAAAACCTGGACCAGTCAAACTAGGAGTGTAAGTTGGAGGGCGTGAGGGTGGTAGGTGAGGCGTTTGAGGAGGAACAGGAAAGCGAAATGAAAGCGGAGGCGAAAAGCGGGCGACTCATTGACTCAGAGCGGCTGAAACTAGCATTCTTATGTCTACCCGGATTTGGGAAAACTTCAATAGTATGTATTACATTGGGGCTTTTAACGAGTATCATGTATGAGTCAGAATGACCACTCACGCTTGATATTGCTTTGAATCTGATATTTCCGTATATTTCCGTCTCTATTCAGTCCGCGTTGAAAGTGGTCATATTATATTATGCGAACACTTGACGCGCTCTGGATCACGTGACTACGCGAGGCTCCAGCGCGTAGTTTAACTTCACCTAATCACTTTGAGTCAACCAAAGGCGACAGCCTCTGGCTTCTTCGTTTTTGAAATTTCGAGTGTGATTTGCTAGTGATTATGCCGAGCATCAATGGTAAGCTCTCTTCAAATACTCCCTAATCTTCTCTTTTTGAGTCTAATCCATTCTTGCAGAAGCGGAAACTATCCGCATTCTTGTCTCGACTGACAACCATGTCGGCTACAACGAGCGAGATCCCATCCGGGGTGATGATAGCTGGAAGACCTTCCATGAGGTCATGTGCTTAGCCAAGGAGCAAGACGTCGACATGGTCTTATTAGCAGGAGACCTGTTCCATGAGAACAAGCCCTCGCGTAAATCGATGTATCAAGTGATGCGATCGATTCGCATGAACTGCTTCGGAGACAAGCCATGCGAGATGGAATTACTTAGTGATGCCAGCGAAAATTTCCAGGGTGCCTTCAACCATGTCAACTATGAGGACCTAGACATGAATATTGCCATTCCGATCTTCTCTATTCATGGCAACCATGATGATCCTTCTGGCGAGGGCCATCTCGCAGCACTGGATCTACTACAGGTATCTGGCCTGCTCAATTACTATGGAAGAACTCCTGAATCGGATAATATCGAGATCAAACCCGTTTTGCTCCAAAAGGGTCGTACCAAGCTTGCACTGTATGGAATGAGCAATGTCCGCGATGAGCGTCTCTTCCGCACCTTCCGTGATGGAAAGGTCAAGTTCTTCCAGCCATCCATCCAGAAAGATGACTGGTTTAATTTGATGTCAGTGCATCAAAACCACCATGCCTATACCGAATCGGGGTACCTTCCCGAGAACTTCTTGCCAGGTTTTATGGATATGATTGTCTGGGGCCATGAACACGAGTGTCTGATTAACCCCAGACTTAATCCGGAAATGGGGTTCCATGTCATGCAGCCGGGATCATCGGTCGCGACATCCCTCTGCCCGGGAGAGGCCGTGCCGAAAGACGTCGCGATACTAAGCATTACAGGTCGAGAGTTCAAGTCTGAGCCCATCCGTTTAAAAACGGTTCGCCCTTTTGTGATGCGGGAAATCGTATTGTCTCAGGAAAAGGGTGCCCAAAAGCTACTACGGAACGACAATAATCGATCAGAGGTGACACGTTTCCTTATGACAATAGTGGAGGCATTGATTGAGGAAGCCAAAGCAGAATGGCTGGAGTCACAAGATAAATCTGGTGATCAAGAAGATCTACCTGAGATGCCTCTGCCACTCATCCGACTTCGAGTTGAAATTTCTACACCCGACGGTGGGAGTTACGAATGCGAAAATCCACAACGGTTCTCAAACCGCTTTGTAGGTAGAGTGGCAAACGTGAATGACGTGGTACAATTCCATCGGAAGAAGAAGTCTGCAACCAGAAGCAAAGATACAGACAATGAAGAGGCACATGTCTCGCATCTGGTTGGTTTGGACACCGTGAAAGTGGAGCAGCTAGTCAAGGAGTTCCTTGCATCACAGTCGCTGAGTATTCTTCCCCAAAATACTTTTGGCGATGCGGTTGCGCAGTTTATTGACAAGGATGATAAACATGCCATGGAAATGTTTGTCAATGAGTCTCTTGACAACCAGATCAAACACCTCATGACTTTGGATCGAGATGAAGACGAAATGGACGACGAGGAGATGGCTAAAAGCTCCTTGGCCCAAGCTATGGAGAAATACCGCTATCAGATGGAAGAAATGTTCGCTAAGGGAGTCAAAAAGCGCAGTCGAGGGAAGAAGCGATACAAGCCCAAGCCAGATGGCTGGGACTCTGATTTTGATGGCGCGTGGGAGGATCAACCAGGCGCACTTCTTCATTCAGACACCGAAAATGGAGATCCCGCCGAAGAATCTGAAGATGGCCCAGCCCCAGTCGCAAGTCGCGGTCGTGCTTCAGCGAAACCCTCGGTTCGTGGTCGAGGCAGAGGTCGTGGAGGTCGGGGTGCAGCTGCTACCAGTACTCGAACTACAGCCCCGAAAGCCGCTACCACATCCATCAAAGGGCGCAAGAAGAAGCCTCCCTCCGATGTTGAATCAGTCGCTGAGGATGACGTTATTATGCTGGATGACGACGACGACGACGACGATGTAGCAGCCACTATCATCTCTGATGATGATGACGATGATGATGACGATGATGATGACTCCCAGGCTTTATTTGTCAAGCAGCCCCGCTCTACTGCTGCGTCTAGGGGGCGCAAAGCCACTACAGCTGCAACTACCACGCGAAGCCGCGGAGGACGCGCAGCGGCATCACCTGCACCATCTTCGGCTACGATCACAGCCCCGACCACCCGCCGAACAAATGCTCGTGCCGTCAAGCCGACTCAAACCACACTGAGCTTTGTTGGATCTCAGGCCAGCCGTCCCAGTAGATCAACTCGCAGCATTAGTCCTCCTAGCGATGATGATGACGACGATGCCTTTGAGCCGATGACATCGAGTTCCAGGCGCAGACGCTAATCTTTAACAGCATAACAACACATGACTTTCTGTTCACATTTCAGCTGTTTTATTAGCGGTGGTTAAATTATTAGGCACTAGTGAGATCCGCCTGGACTCAACGATACGATCCTTTATGATTGCATAGATAAAATGAACCCAAAATGAGTCTATTTTCCTTACGACTCTTGTCCACCTCTGGGACTCCACCTCCAGAGTAATAATACTACTTCGCAGTATCTTTCTATTATTCTCATGGTATTCAATCCAAACAATAGATTTCCTCGCTACCCGGGCAGCTTATAGATGTACAACTTTCCCAGATTTGTGGCATGATGTAAAGCCCCGCATCCTGAAGCCGAGCAGCCTCGGTGCCCGTGAAATCCCCAGTAGAAGTAGTTTACAACCTAAGTATAAATTCTGAGGGGAAAGTGCACTTCTGCCAACAGTTTAAACTCATAATCAACTTTGCAAAGAGTAGACCAAACCCCAGAATGACCTTCGCCGGCCGACCTATTCGCATTGCAGGTAAATAGTCCATCTATAAATATTGAACGCCAGTATTAAATAAGTACTTCCAGGCGCGTCAGGATCTACATCCGATCGACGCCATGCTATCGCTGAATTTGCGAGTTATTATCCAACAGACCCAGTGGATGTTATTATCGGCGATTTCATGAGTGAGGCTAATATGTCCAGCGCTGCTAGTCGGCGGGTTGATCACATTGGCATTGACGCAACGATGCCGGCATACGATCCAAACTTTCTCGAGGCACTGGAAACTGCGCTGGATGATTTGGCGAAGTATGGTATCAAGTTGGTTGTCAATGCTGGAGTCGCAGATACAAGGGGTCTTTATGAGGTAGTCAAAGATGTGATTCGGTCGAAAGGACTGGAATTGAAGGTTGATCATCTCACGCTTTCCTCCCCAATAAGTTTGGTATATTAATTTGGCTCTAGGTGGCTTGGATATCTGGCGATGAAGTCTTGCCAATTATTCAGAAAGCGCTTACTGATGGCCAGTCTGAGTTCCGTAACATCTACACAAACGAGCGACTCACTGATTGGGCCTTTGAACCAATATACGCACAGGGCTATCTTGGTGGACTGGGAATCGCAGCTGCACTCGCCGAAGGAGCAGACATTGTTCTGTGTGGGCGTGTATCAGATGCTTCGCTCGTCATAGGTGCCGTGTGCTGGTTTCACGGATGGCAAAGCGATGACCTGGACAAGCTGGCTAATGCTCTTGTCGCCGGCCATCTGATTGAATGCAGTAACTATGTATGCGGTGGCAACTTCACAGGCTTCAAATCTCTGGAAAACAGTGGTGACGGATGGTCCAACATTGGGTACCCGATCGCAGAGATCTCTGCCGAAGGCGATGTTGTGATCACCAAGCAGGCGCACTCGAGAGGAGGCACGGTAAGTGTTGAGACCTGCACCTCCCAGCTGCTCTACGAGATTCAGGGGCCCTGGTATTTCAACTCAGATGTGACTGCTATCATAGATGGCATCCAATTTGAGCAGCGTGGCATCAACAGAGTCGCGATGCACGGAGTTCGATCAGGCCCACCCCCACCAACCACGAAAGTCGGCATCACAGCACGAGGTGGATTTCAGGCGGAGGCGTGGTGGTTCTTGACAGGACTGGATGTTGAAGCCAAAGCTCGAATGCTGGAGACGCAGATCCGTCATCTGCTTGCGCCGTATTCGAACAGATTCACTTCTTTCAAATTTGATCTACTCGGGTCCAGCCAACCGGATGCAAAGAACCAAAATCAAGCCACTGTACCTCTGAGAATCGTCGCTCAGGCTCAACGAGTAGAGGACCTTGGGCCGGCACGATTCATCAAGCCCATCACCGACAATGTCATGCAGGGATACCCCGGTGCCACCTTCAACCTGGATCTACGCCAAGGCTTTCCTCGGCCTGTGTTTGAGTACTACGTGACGTTGCTCTCACAGACCGCCCTTCAACATCGTGTCCACATACCCTGGAAGCCCACTGTGGAGGCACAGGTTCTGAATATTCAGCCCCCAACACTAACAAAGACTTACCCATCCCGGCAGCCTTCGCTGGCCACAACGCTGACAGATCGTCCAGTAGATCTCACACGAGAATTTGGTCCTACTACTGGCGGTCCAATGGGATGGGTTGTACACGCTAGGTCTGGAGACAAGGGCTCGGATGCGAACTGCGGCTTTTGGGTTCGTCACCGCGACGAGTATCTCTGGCTTCGAGCGTTGCTATCTGTAGATACGGTACGGCAGCTTCTTGGAGATATGGCACTGGCTCAGCTTTCGATTGAGCGATTTGAACTTCCCGGTCTGCAGGCTGTTCATTTCTTGTTCCGAAATATTCTGGATCGGGGTGTTGGTGTCACGACGACTGTTGATTTCCTGGGTAAGAATGTCGCGGAGTACCTGCGTGCAAGGCATGTTGACATTCCAGTCCGATTTTTGAACCGAGGAAAGTTGTGAAATGTATGGCTAGGCAACATATTGAAGCTTTCTAAATAATACACTCTGCATTTTGGATTCACATACCCAGATTCTTAAATTAGATTGATTGTTATCAAAATCATACCTAGCTTACATCTGGCTAAACTGAAACTCCCCGAACACTACCTCGGCATCCTGTATCCTGCTTGAGTATCTCTTTCTTATTTTGGCTAGTTTGACTTGGCGGCATTACCTCACATCCACTCTCGTTGCCCACCTCGAAGATGAAACATCTCCGCTGTTCGTATTTTTTTCTACACAGGGTGTCCAAGTACCGAACATTTCAAATCATCTCAAATGAAAAGCGTAATACATGGCACATAAAGTACATAAGTAGTCCATCTTCTGAGAACTAACAATAATAGCCGTGATTACTCATCCTCGGGGTAAACCCACCCGAGATCTTCCCCACAACAGGTTTCCCCATATTCTGCCGATTCAGTTCTGAGGTGAGAAAGCGGACAGTCACACTGTCGTCATTGTGACATTGGCCCCACCGAATAGCCGAGTCTTGACTCCTTTCCATGGTTGAGTTTTACCTACAAACATCACTACAGCACAGCACTTCTGTCAAGCGTTTCAATTCGTCTTTTTTTGCTTTTCTCATAATCAGTTCGGTAATGATAGTTAATATTTGGATAGAACTAGCTTGACAAAAGTACGATATAAACTGGATAGAAGAAAAACGGAGGTGGGTAGCGCCGAAAGTGGAAGAGGGGAAATGGTACCTTTATGGTACAATCGAGATTGGTGAGATTTGGCTAACCACGTTTGTACCTATTATGTACTAATCACAAATTTAAAGCTGTGGCGTTGACCCCGCAGAATTCCTTGGTTCTATCTTTCGTATAAAAGGTGTCCCTTTCACAATTGCTGCTGGTTTACATTTTCTCTTTTTTTTTCCAATTTCGTGATACCCCCTTGTACAACCATGGCCCTCTCCACTACTATCAAGACCCCCAACGTTACTTATGAGCAGCCCTTGGGCTTGTGCGTGTTCACCCCCACCCCAACTTACCTCTCTCCCTTATTTACTCATAGCTTCTCAGGTTCATCAACAACGAGTTTATTAAGAGCGTTGATGGCAAGACCTTCGAGACCATCAATCCCACTGATGAGAAAGTTATCACATCTGTCCACGAAGCCACCGAAAAGGATGTCGATATCGCCGTCAAGGCCGCTCGCGCAGCCTTTGAGGGTGTCTGGCATGACGTAACCCCCTCTGACCGTGGCCGCATGCTCACCAAGCTGGCTGATTTATTCGAGCGTGATGCGGAGATATTGGCCTCCATTGAGGCGCTGGACAATGGTAAGGCCGTCACAATGGCTAAGGGCGATGTCCGCAACGCTGCTGGATGTCTACGATACTACGGTGGCTGGGCCGACAAAATCCACGGTCAGACTATCGATACCAACAACGAGACCCTCTCTTATACTCGCCACGAGCCCGTGGGTGTCTGCGGTCAGATCATCCCCTGGAACTTCCCTATCCTCATGTGGGCCTGGAAGATCGGTCCCGCTGTTGCCGCCGGTAACACCGTCATCATTAAGACCGCTGAGCAGACCCCTCTGTCTGGTCTCTATGCTTCCAAGTTGATTGTCGAGGCCGGCTTCCCTCCCGGTGTCATCAACGTCATCTCTGGCTTTGGTCGCACTGCTGGTTCCGCCATCTCTAGCCACATGGACATTGACAAGATTGCCTTCACCGGCTCGACCCTGGTCGGTCGCACTATCTTGCAGGCTGCCGCTAAGAGTAACCTGAAGAAGGTAACTCTGGAGCTTGGTGGTAAATCGCCTAATCTCGTCTTCGATGACGCCGATATCGATAACGCTATCTCATGGGTCAACTTTGGTATTTTCTTCAACCACGGCCAGTGCTGCTGTGCTGGTTCCCGTCTGTTGGTTCAGGAAGGCATCCACGACAAGTTCGTTGCCCGCTTCAAGGAGCGTGCTGCCAAGAACCAGCTTGGAAACCCCTTCGAGAAGGACACCTTCCAGGGTCCTCAGGTTTCCCAGCTACAATTTGACCGTATCATGGAATACATCGACCATGGAAAGAACGAGGGTGCCACCCTCACCCTGGGTGGTGAGCGCCACGGTGATGAGGGCTTCTTCATCAAGCCCACCATCTTCACTGATGTCGAGCAACACATGAGAATCGCCCAAGAGGAGATTTTCGGCCCTGTCATCGTAGTCCAGAAATTCAAGGACGAAGCCGAGGCTATCAAGATCTCCAACAGCAGCAACTACGGTGAGAATTATACGATCCATATCAAGACCAAAACTAACTATATCTCCCAGGTCTCGCTGCTGGTGTCCATACCCAGAATGTCAATACTGCCATCCGTGTTTCCAACGCCCTCAAGGCTGGGTAAGGTCTATACCCTTTTCGTTCCACCTCATCAAACTAATTGTTTTTGTAGTACCGTTTGGATCAACAGCTACAACTTGATCTCCTACCAGGCTCCCTTCGGTGGTTTCAAGGAGTCCGGTATAGGTCGTGAACTTGGCTCTTATGCCCTGGAGAACTACACTCAGATCAAGACTGTTCACTACCGCCTTGGTGAAGCCCTGTTCGCATAAAAGAAAAGCCCTAATACGAATAATGAATCTTAGTACTGTTTTATACAAATCTAATATAGTAGTTTTCAACATCATTTATATCTCCACGCTATTACTTAGTACTATTTAATTTCCGAACAGTAATTGGAACACCCTAGTCAAATGGTAAAATCGCGGTCACCTCGCTTTCCTTACTGCTTCCTAGACAGTATGTGTATCACAAATACGAATCTGAAACGGCAATTATTGTCTGCTATACTGATGCTACCTCCGTGACCCTCCTTCTTCCCTCGCTCAACACTCGCGCGCGTCTTCGGTGGTTACACCAGCTCAATTCAAACGATATGGCTCTAAGGCTTCATGCTTCGAGACTTCACTTTATTCGTGGTATGATAGAGAGCCAGTCTTTCACCACGTCCTAGATGGCCGCTGAAGCTGAATATAGCAAACTTACGATCATTAATGTTCGCAGATACTTCCGGCAATTTGGAAGTATATATGCGCCTTAAATTTAAATAGGTCGTAGACGAACGGTAACACCACTAACGATAGAAGCCCTCTATGAATACCTATTGGAGAAGCTCAGTCTCTACCTTCCAAGGTTGATGAGATGGCTATCTTCTTCTAGGGTGAATTCCAGACCATAGGTCATGACCTCTAGTATGAGACGAGCTCTTGTCACTAAAAGCTAGTTTAAAAAGACTGCTCGATACTATATAAGGGAGTAAAATGCCGATCTGCGAGATCATTATCCTCACAATCTGTCGAGCTTTTAGTCATATCACCTAATATGGATGTTACCTGGAAAATGACTCTGGATGTGATAAATAGGTTAGTGTAATGATTTATGCTAGAGAACACAAACCGCCCACTGTGCCAAAAGACTACTTTAGCCTTCCAACGGGAAGATCAACTTCTAGAATCACTTATACCAACTGAATGTCCGGTTTTTATTACGGTTCACATCTCTCCCAGTTAGGTTTAGGCGGATTGGATATTTAGGTAGACATACTTGATTTTTAGAGATTCTGCATAGCCTTTCCGAAAATTAGGAAATCTGAATATGAAATGCTGGAGATACTAGCATCTTCTTGACAGTATAAAATCCACAGAACCCATTTATTTTGGCAAATAATGAAGGCAAATAGCTCAGTATATATTGCATATGAAAGCAATCGTCCTTCGATCACAACAAGCCAGAAACGATCAATGTGAGAAATTCATTTACATAGATCTAAGAATAACAATATCCCAAGAAAATTGCTAAAAGCGCGAACAAAAGAGTACAAACCATCATTGATAGACCCAAAGAAGCACTTGAAAGTGAAACTACCTTTATCGGTGCCGGGTAAGAATCGTGTAATGGCTCTACCTCAATTTTTTGATTGTTTAGAGCATCATCATTATGTATATGATTCATCAAGAATTTCCTCAAGTGCTCTGGTGCTGACCCAGTGAGTCGACACTCATTTGCAGGTTTACCGGACACTTCAAGGGTTTGATTTTCTTGAGGCGTGTGTAATCGGCCATGGTATTGGTGTCTCCGTACACAGGACGAGCAGAGAACCACACAGGCGCAGAATTTACATATAAAGTGAGACCCGGTGATGCGACGTTCACATAAGTCACAGATAATCTGATATACAGTAGTGCCAAAAGCCTCACCAGATAGATGAAGCTGGAAAAGATAGCGCGCATTATCCACGTCGTTGAGGAACAAGAAATAGCGACCTAATTGTTGTAAAAGAGGCCATGGGGAGTTCAGCTTGGAACGAAGAAGCATATCCGAGGTGTGAAGAATCGATTGAGAAACGGTCAAATTTTGAGTCTTATCAGGAGTTAAGACAATGTGAGGGCATTTGTTAAGGATTTGCTGTATTAGACTTGGATTTCCCAGCGCCCAGTCCAAGATGTTTCTGCCGAAGCCATCTTGAATGCAAGGATCAGCACCAAGGTCAAGAAGCATGAAGGCGAATCTGATGTGACCGAGATAAATGGCCAGATGCAGAGGAGTTTGTAGGAGCTTGTCCCGGATATTGATATTAGATGTGAGCAGCGGAAATCGATAGAAAAATTGGAGCATGTTTCTTGAGGCTGCAGCATGAAGGAGTGTCTGGCCTAACTCATCTACAAATAAAAAGTCTGCACCGACGTTCAGAAGAACTTGAACCTGACCAATATGGCCCCCATAAGCGGCCGCCAAGAGAGGGGATCCATATTCACCACCCTGGGCATTGACATCGGCGTGAGCGTCGAGTAGCATCTGCACTATCTCAGCATCTCCTCCGAATGCAGCAGCCTGGAGGGCATTGCCATACTCTCCACCCTGGGCATTGACATCGGCGTGAGCGTCGAGTAGCATCTGCACTATCTTGGTATGTCGTCTATATGCAGCAGCCTGGAGGGCATTGCCATACTCTCCACCCTGAGCATTGACATCGGCGTGAGCGTCGAGTAGCATCTGCACTGTCTCGGGATGTTCTCCATATATAGATACAACAGCAGCATGGAGGGCATTGCCATACTCTCCACCCTGAGCATTGACATCGGCGTGAGCGTCGAGTAGCATCTGCACTATCTCAGCATCTCCTCCGAATGCAGCAGCCTGGAGGGCATTGCCATACTCTCCACCCTGGGCATTGACATCGGCGTGAGCGTCGAGTAGCATCTGCACTATCTCAGTATCTCCTCCGAATGCAGCAGCCTGGAGGGAATTGCCATACTCTCCACCCTGGGCATTGACATCGGCGTGAGCGTCGAGTAGCATCTGCACTATCTTGGTACGTCCTCTGTATGCAGCAGCCTGGAGGGCATTGCCATACTCTCCACCCTGGGCATTGACATCGGCGTGAGCGTCGAGTAGCATCTGCACTATCTTGGTATATCCTCCGTATGCAGCAGCCTGGAGGGCATTGCCATACATTCCACCCTGGGCATTGACATCGGCGTGAGCGTCGAGTAGCATCTGCACTATCTCAGCATCTCCTCCGAATGCAGCAGCCTGGAGGGCATTGCCATACTCTCCACCCTGGGCATTGACATCGGCGTGAGCGTCGAGTAGCATCTGCACTATCTTGGTACGTCCTCCGTATGCAGCAGCCTGGAGGGCATTGCCATACCTTCCACCCTGGGCATTGACATCGGCGGGAGCGTCGAGTAGCATCTGCACTATCTTGGTATATCCTCCGTATGCAGCAGCCTGGAGGGCATTGCCATAACTTCCACCCTGGGCATTGACATCGGCGTGAGCGTCGAGTAGCATCTGCACTATCTCAGCATCTCCTCCGAATGCAGCAGCCTGGAGGGCATTGCCATACTCTCCACTCTGGGCATTGACATCGGCGGGAGCGTCGAGTAGCATCTGCACTATCCCGGCATGTCCTCTGTATGCAGCAGCCTGGAGGGCATTGCCATACTCTCCACCCTGGGCATTGACATCGGCGTGAGCGTCGAGTAGCATCTGCACTATCTTGGTACGTCCTCTGTATGCAGATGCAGCAGCCTGGAGGGCATTGCCATACTCTCCACCCTGGGCATTGACATCGGCGTGAGCGTCGAGTAGCATCTGCACTATCTCAGCATCTCCTCCGAATGCAGCAGCCTGGAGGGAATTGCCATACTCTCCACCCTGGGCATTGACATCGGCGTGAGCGTCGAGTAGCATCTGCACTATCTTGGTACGTCCTCCGAATGCAGCAGCCTGGAGGGAATTGCCATACTCTCCACCCTGGGCATTGACATCGGCGTGAGCGTCGAGTAGCATCTGAACTATCTCAGCATCTCCTCTGTATGCAGCAGCCTGGAGGGCATTGCCATACCTTCCACCCTGGGCATTGACATCGGCGTGAGCGTCGAGTAGCATCTGCACTATCTTGGTACGTCCTTCGTATGCAGCAGCCTGGAGGGCATTGCCATACATTCCACCCTGGGCATTAACCTCTGCTCCAGCTCCAATTATCAGTTCCACCACACTTTCATGCCCTGCTTCAGAAGCATCTTGTAGCGCACTTCCCACATCATTCAAGTTTCCAATGTTCGCTCCCTCATATAGGAGCCATTCGACAAATTTCACACGCCCCCATCTGGCTGCCTCACGTAATGGGGTCATTCCATTTCGATTTCTTCGCTCACAGTTTCCTCCTTTCTCCAGAAGTATTTTGCCAGCTGGTATATGACCCCACTGTGCTGCTGAATGGAATGCCGTGCTTCCATCTTCATTTTTCATCGCTATATTCGTACTGTTCGACAACAAACGTTCCATAACATCGACAAGATTGGCAGCTGCAGACATATGCAATAATGTTGTGCCTTTCGCTGGGCATCGTATATAAGACCGATGCAAGATCCTATAAATCTGGACCCATCGACTTATTACTTCCTGTAGCACATTGAATTCATTCTGTACTACGTCCTGTCGAGATTCCGCGGCATTTTCTGCATGAATGAATAGGTTGATGGTGGCGTAATTAAGTAATGGGTGCTCCTGAATAATCTCCTCTCTTCTTTCCCTGCTACAATCTTGAGGTAAGTTTGCTGTGGCTAGGTATACTAGGCATGATCGATAGAGGGCTGCTTGGCATTGAAAGAGAACCTTATTATCATCAAAAGATGATCTGCTGGCGGTGACAGCACGATATAGAAGCTGTAATCCTTTTACGCGTAAAAAGTCGTTGACCGACTGGTGTACTGCCTGTACGGTCTCCTTTCCGTCCCCACTTAAGACTATTTCAGCTAGTCCACCAGATAGAGCCTTGATCCTTCGTTTCATGCGCTCATCGCTTTCGATAAACCCGTTGATATTCTCCCATGTCCTTATAGGGGAAGATGTCATTCTAGCTTTATTGGCTGCTAGGGCATACCGCATTTCTGTCACAGTCAGGGGTCGCTCAGCGAGACATATCCACTGGAACAAGAGGAGCGATTCTCCATGGTTTCTGTCCTCTATCGTGTTTTTGAGAACATAGATGTATATGTCTTCTAAGGCGGATGGGATATCGCGTAACCAGTAACACGTGTCATCAAATGACTCTCCTTCTAACATCCTCCGTCGTATAAGAGGCACCATGAGATAGGCCCATTGGAACACCCCATTAGCTTGCTGGATCAATTGCTCTACCAGTCTGTCTCTCATCTCTTGACCGAGACCGTCTCCGACCCCCGAGTCAGCAAGGATGTCTTTGATGTATGTGGCGATGTCTTCATGGTTGTGTTCTTCAACATATATCTCTATAGCTCGGGCATTTTCTAGAATCGGATAGTGCCGACATGATATACAGATCTGAAGAGGTAACGCTTTTCTCTGTGCGCGATCAATAAGCCGATGGAAGTACGCTGCAAGCCACTGAGCGGACTCGGCCCCAGCCTCATCTAGAGCATCCACAAAAATGGTCACGGGCTGCTGATTAGCCGAGTCCAGAATAGCACTTATAAGTAACTCTTCTAGCACTCCTTGTGGCCATTCCCATTGACGTTCACCATACCCAAACTGCATACATCGGCGCTCATAAGTTTCACGCACTCGAGGGCGCACAGTCACGTCGCGGTCAAAAATCTGGTTTAGCAACGTTCTGAACATCCCTAGAGGTGTGCGTTGCATCTCAGTGCCCCGAGCGGTAAAGAAAAAGTCGAGCCAAATGCCCTGACTCCCGTCATGTAATTTCTCGACTTTGTCATGCAAGAATGCCATGAGTGTTGACTTGCCCGCACCCGGCTTGCCCTTGATCCACAGTAGACCGCGGGACTGTCTCCAAGACTTGTACTTTTCCAAGTCCAAAATCCATTGGCAGGTATTGGTATGACAGCGCTCGATATTGTCTCTCCGGTCTAGCATTTGCGGGAATGCCAGAGACCTTAGCACCTCTTGTCGCAGTTGTTAGTGGTGGGCTATTTAGCTTGTGAGGGGGCGAAACGAACCATGGTCTGTCCTCTGCTGTGGGGTTCCCGGTCGGTCTAGACAAGCAGCCGTTGTCAATCAGTTTGGCTCCGTTAGAAAGGGCTCTATTACGAACCAGATGAGAAATGGATCATCACTCCGTGGTTGGTCACAACCTGGGTCCCTGAGTTTGTTCCGCCAAAAGATGTCGAACTCATTGTTATCAGAGCATGCTCACATTGATGCTATTCTTGGCAGAGCTGAAGTCCAGCAGGCCAACTTCTGCTTGTCAAATGGCCAGTCCTATTTTAGTCTAGTTCGTTTTATTAGTCAGCTTCCATACGCTCTTAAATAACAGCAGTTAGATTTAACTAGTGTAGTGGGGAGCCCTATACAGTATGAAGGAGAAAGCGGTCTGCGACGGCAGAACCATCTGGTACCATTTATCTAGAAGTTGTGATAGTTACAGAACGTCCAACTTTACACACTTCTTCACTTTTTGACTCCCTACTCTCACTGAGCCTTCCCTTGTGATTGTGGTTGGTTTTTCCTAGCTGAATCGACCTGCAATTTCCGACCGTGCTGCCTAGAGCGTTCCCCATTTCACTAGTTAACTAACGTTCTGAATCTAAGATTCCTTCATAGTTATAAAACTTGTATGATAGTTGAGTTTTACCGAGCACCGTCTATAACTCGAAATACCGACGTCTACGTGCATGTGGATATATGATAACCTGCCAATTTCCATCCTTATAACCCTGATCTAACCACATACAGTTATTGAAGCTCTAGTTATTATTGAAAATTCAAGAGTCAATGCTGTGTGATGAAATATAGTTGAAGTTGTCACCCTAGATTCAGTTGGACATGATACATTCTCGCCGTACGCTTAAAGGGGATATTTGTGTTGAACATTTGAAGGAAACAGCTTGTTTATGCAGCTGCTCCGATGATAATTCCACTAGGAAGCTTAAGACCAATAGGTAATCCGCAGAGGAACTGGGCATTATATTGATTGCCACGTTTTGCGGCCAGTTTCTCTTCAACATCTCGGTACATATCATATCTGGATTATGGTATTAGCATAGGCAGAGATTCGAATCCAAGGTGAAGAGACTTACGCGTTCATCTCTTCAATTGTCAACACCTTCTTTGGGTCTTCGACCTTATAGGTGGGGATATTCTTATTTTCGGAGAATCCTTCGCAATATCAATATTAATAAACTTATGCATTGGTCTGCTGCGACGGTGGAGTTCTTACCAATTCTCTCATTGATGTTATAAGCTGCCTTGGCTGCTGCGGCCTGAACTCGAGTAGCTCGGGGCAAACGAACCTCCTGATAGACCTCAAGAGTCTGCTCAACGTCGCCATTGAAGTATTTCTTGTTGAAAAGGATACCCAAGGCAGCCGCATCTTCAATAGCCTGGCACGCCCCCTGACTTTGATGGGGCATCATTGGGTGTCCCGCATCACCCAGAAGACAGACACGGCCCTTTGAGATGTAAGGGTATGGATCATGGACCCACAGTCGCCAGGGCTGGATTTCCTGACCAATGGCAAGGTGATCGAGGACTTGGCGGTCAAGGTTGGGATAGGGCTTCAGCAAGTCTTCAACGGGTCGGCCTTCTGAGCCCCAGGCCTGGGTCGTGTAATCGCTGACTTCACGAGGAAAGAAACAGTAGTATGATAGCAGTTTGCCACCGTTGCAGGGAGACAACACGATCTTGTCCCACTTGCCTTCTTGGCCGCCCCAATATTCTAATGCACTGTCCTGCGAGTAATCCACCAAGCCTAGTCGAACCGCTTCTTCGGTGGTTACGTTTGCATGCAGACATTGCTGGTCAGCTGGACGCTTTGCGGGACTGATACCGATGATACCTCGTACTGCGGATCCGATACCGTCAGCACCGATGATGAGGTCGTGTTGCGCTGTCACTCCGTTCTCGAAAGTGATTGTGTTTGTATTCATGTCAATAGATTTGCACTGTTATAGAGTATTAGCTCAAATTACTTTAAGTAGTTGTAAGCTGCATTTTACTTTGTGGTTAACCTCCAGCTTAGCGGGCGTGCCAGTCTTTCCATCGTCATCTAGCGCAGAGTCCTTCAACATGGAGTGCATATACTGTCGGTGAAACATGTTGTATACATATCCCCAACGCTCCTCATAATCATTCAAGTCGTAAACACTGACAGGTTCTCCCGTCTTCCAGTCACGGTTGATCAACTTCTTCAAAACGACAGGATCACCTTTAGCAACATCGACTTCCCACTCATGCAGCCAGCGGGTGCCATTGGCTGCACAAGACACGGAAGCACCCACTTCACCTGCAAAGTCTGCTCTCTCGTAGATAGTGACATCGTGACCGGCACGACGTAGAGCAATAGCGACTGACATGCCGCCGATGCCGCCACCCACAACAGCAACGTTCAAGTGTTTCCAGCCAGACATTTTCAAGAGGTAGTTATGTCAAATACGATTGGATATTAAATGGAATAATCATTATGCAAAAGAAACGCATTTCTTCTCGCTTTATCTCCTCGTTTCTTATAGTGTCGCTGATAGTATGGCTACGTAGAGCGCTTATCGCCGGGTGGGGATTGATAACACATCCGTATCCGTGTCCGCTTCCGCCTCCGTAATCTTGTAGTTGACCGGGGATTGATTCGTGGGAAATAGCGATGATTATCATCGCTCTTTTGAGTTGTATATTCATATCTCATGGTACGGATTGGTCAGGCTCAGTATAGGGAAACTTCAAACCCGTCCCATAACGGAAATCCAGGTTCTCCAGGCCGACACCGGTCACCGGCAAATGATGTCGCGTCTTCCATTTCTATATGCTCGGTCGTGTTTTGCCTATGTAACTAGCAGTGATGATAACATTCAAATCCACGAAATGGAATTAGATGCACTTTGATAAGACTACACATACTGAGTCAAATTGCTTCGGACAGTTATTTATCCGAAACGAATAAGACCTCGGTATGAAGTAATAAAAACAAGATCAAAGAGCTTGAGCTCCCACAACCAATCAGAGATCCTAATGATAGTGGATCTACAGAAAGAAAAAATGCCCCAGACCCATAAAAGAAGTATACCTGATTGGCCAATCGAAAATTTCACTGTCAGTAAACAAACCAGGCAAACATCGCTTAGCCAATTTTTAGTAGTATAAATACCCCCGATTCCCCCAATGCTTTTCTCTTCTTCAAGCGACTCTACGTATGTTCAATCCCCCCAAAAGTCAACACTATGAGCCTTTACTGACTTTTATTTTCCACACAGTTCAAAGAATCTCTTTAGAGTAGACGTCTCCTTTCTAAACTCTTTATAAGAGCCACAGAATCTCCACCCTTGCTGATGACTATATGTCCTCGATGCCCTAAAGTGAAGCCTTTTTACTTCCGACTCGACTGTTACACCTGCTGCTTGCAGTGTGCGTGTTTCGGTCTAGGAAGTGGTGATGATCTTAACCTGGTCTCGATGTCTGACTTCGGTCGGTCGGTCCTGGTGGGTGTCGAGGAGGTCTGAAAGGTTCCTCAAAATCTGCAGATTTTGCAGACATTTGTGCAGTTATTATTTTTTAGTTCAATTGATAAAAATTTCTTCGCTTCTGAATATCTTCGTCTTCTTTCCTCGAACCACCTGTAAAAATTGTCTCTTTGCTTCACCTTAGCCCATGTCCTCTGCGGAATGTTCTATTCCCCTTGACGAACGCCGTTGACTAGCCCATGATCATTATCATATCGCGTATCTTTGTATGCTTATGGAATGCTACTCAAGTATCTCACATTACTAGGTTTCTGCTGCACTCGGGGCAGCTTCATTTCCTCCCTTGGGTCCCTTGTTTCGTCCTCGACCACCACGATTCCGATGAGAGGACCCGGAACCCGGCTGTGCCTTTCCACCGGGATTCGCCTTGCGCTCCAATACTACCACTTGACACTGAGCTACCGTCACCGGGCTGGCAGCAATAGCCTTTTGCAATGCAGATGGATCCGCAAAGTCCACATACCCAAATCCTTTCTTCTTATCAATCTCCGTCTTGATAACAGCACCGAATGGAGAGAATGTCGCTGCCAAGCTAGCCTCAGTCACACCCTGAGATGGGTTTAGATACTTGAGGAAGGCTTGAGTGGCAGTGGGCGAAGGAGCTGCAGCAGGCTTGGACTTGTTAGCCTTCGATGATTTAGGGGTTGCGTTTGTGGTCGAGTTCGTGTTTGGGGGAGGAGCATTAGAAGTCTCATGTGCTTTTATAGACACAGCCTCGTTTTCCTTCTCCTTTCCTTTCGTAGAAGAGGCTCCGGGCAAAGTTTTTTTGCCTGCTTTGACAACAAGCTCCTTCTTAGGTTTGTCAGTCGCAAGAGCTGATGAATCTCGCGAGTTTGCAGTCTTAGGAGAACCTGTCTTGGGGGAGCCGTTCTTGGGAGTAGCAGCCTTGGGAGAATTGGTCTTGGGAGAACCGGCATTGGGAGAGACAGTCTCAGTTGCTCCACCCTTCCCACGTCGTCGCCCACCTGGGGATGAGCTTCCTTGGAGATCGCGTTGAATGAGGGTTTTTGCCACAGCAACGCTGCCCCGTTCTCTCTTTCGTTCGGGCAGGGCAGGAGTTGCTGTCTCCTTGTTGATACTTGGAGTACTAGCCTTGCCAGATTTGCTTGTCGCAACAGTGGCTTGCTTGGCTGCTTTTCCAGACTCTTTGCTGGTCTTGTCGCCCTTGCCTTTCTTCTCAGCGGTCGGTGCGGCTACTTCCTTGTCAGACCGCTGTAAAAGCTTTTTGGCTTGGATTTTCTCCGGCTTGGACTCCTTCTCTGACCGCGCATTTCTGGAGGACTTGGATGCTGCACTGTCCTTGGCCTTGCTTGCTTTCTTGTCTCTGAGGAACTGGACCAGAGGCGTCGTAACCTTATCCTTCTTATCCCTCTTCTTCTCGTCGCCTTCCGCGTTATCAACAGGGGTCGCCTTGCTAATTGGCTGTGTCATTTTGTCCAGGAAAGCAATGAATTCAGGATCTTGGTCAATGGTACCCTCACGGGCATCTTTGCGATTGCGACTTCCATTGCCGGGGATTTTGGCGTAGGGTGAGAATTCCAAAATCGGAGGTCCAAGTAGAATAGGATCTTTCATGGTGTTGCGGGCATCTTGAAACAAGAGCTGGCGCACATGGTCTGATAGCGGAGTGATATGTTCGTTGGACGTAACATGAATGTAAGCACGGGATGGACGAGAAGGTTTGGCAGCGCTAGATAGGCTCGTGTCAGAAACCAAGTACAGATGGAACGAAAACAAATTGAAAAGTCTTACTCTTTCGACACTTTGCCAGCTTTAAACTCGAGCCAATCCACCTTCCCTGCGCCAGCCGTCCATTCTAGCCCCAGTGTCTCAACAAACTCTGCCCGCGTCAGCCCTGGAGGCAAGCGACGAATAATGAGCTTCAAACGTTGGGATGGAGGCTTAGGAGCTTTCTTCGGTGATGAAGAGGTGCCTTTTTGAGTGACTGCAGCCGAAATCTGCAGAACCCCCGCAGGGGACTTGCTGGGCTGTGTCATGGTTGTTCAGAACCTTGGAAGTGTGTAGTTGGGAAAGGGGGAAAGTGGGAGTGCGAGAAAGTGCCCACCCAGGTGGGAGTGGGTAAAAGTGGGAGACGATGTCAACTGAGAGAAATGAACAATAATGAAGAGGGGATCAATTGAAAGTCAGGTGACGTCAAGTAAGCTCAATCAATGGCTGTCGCTGTGATTTTAGTTGCGGACTTAGAATCCTGCTGAGTCATCATTCGTTGAGAAATATTCGAGCATTTATTATTTAAATAAATAGTTGATTACGTAGGAGTCAGAACTCCTCGGGTCATTCGTAACTTGTTCAACTGGATTAATTGAAGGATATGGGTAATTTTAAGGCTACTTCAAGATCTCCACGACTATACTCATGGATCTATCTGATTTATACCTAGGTAGGTACCCAGGTGGAGAAAGAAAGATGGCTGAAAAGACAGCTGGAGTGGTTTATTTAGACATCTAAGTCAGGATGTTTTGAAAAAAGGAAATTTTGTTCAGATGTGATGGATAAATGTTCGTATCGTGATGTATCATGTATGGCGTATTAGAAGAGTAGAATGCGGTGCGGTTCTCTCCAAGCACTGTATATGTCCAGGTTTGAGTTATTGTTGCTTCTCGGAATTTATCATAGCGATGCGCTGGTTCTCTTCACTGAATACTCATGGTTGACCTTGATCTTGTAGGCATCGTTTCTCCGTGTTGAATAATATTCATCTGTCAAGATGGCTTGTTGGTCGCTTGGAGCATCATCAAACCTCGATGTGGTTTGATGCCGTGATGAAATATGGCTTTTTGAGCCATAATCATAGCTATGTTCTTGCAGCTCGTGTGTTGTGATTCCTGTCGGTTTTCCGATTATCCTTCTATAAAATGGTCGAAGGATAGGCGCCGATGCGGCAATGTTCAATAGACATGCTTCAGCTCTGAGATTTCGTATAAAAGTTAGCAACCTTGGACGAGGACGGTTTTTTGAGATTCATCCACATGGAATCTCCGGAGAGTTTACATACAGCACCCAGGTAAATAGAGGAACCGTGTTGTCTGAAAGAAATATGTTAGCATCCATCTTCCACGAAGGGGGGTATCAAACTGACAAGTATAGTCACCTCTGTTAGAAAGTGCTTTCAACTCGACGATCTTCATAATGACAGCGATAAATGCCCTTAAAGGTCCTAAGATCAGCAACAATCCAATAAGATAGGAGGTTCAATATCCACAGAAGACAGGATAATACGCACATTATGCTCAGACCCAAGAGAATTGAAACACCGATCTTTATTCGACGATTCATTTGTAGCGTGCTGATCATGTAGGCGGGAAAGAAAGTCAAGAAAAGATCAGTACAGCCATTGAAAGCCGAGTGTCCATATCCCAAGTACTAAAAATGTCAGGAATCGCAACAGCAATTTAAGGCAAGGCCTTGATTCTCCTTACAGTCTGCACATCTCCATTCCAGCATGTCCCGGGCACATTACCGGTCTTATCCCAGAGTAAGACCACGTTGGTACATTGTGCATACAAGCATATAACGGTAACACCATTCGTAATGATCTGAGCCGCAAAAATACCCCACATGAGACGCCGCACCTTCGGATTAATGGCGAACAGATTCATCATGAGCACTATAGTGCTAAGACGACCACATGTAGATCCCATGACACCACAAGATTGGCCTATGGAGTTGTATTTAAGTGCCATCATTTGATCGTATCCTGAGAGAGTGATTTGATGGCGGCCCCAGCCATAGTGAAACTGGACTGAAATGAGGGATGCAAAGGTGATAACGATACACTGACCAGTTAGTCCGAATCAGATAATAATATACAGGTATAAGAGAATAACCTACTGTTGATAGTACTAGTAGTGCATCACTCAGTCCAAGCTGATGGGTGATTCTTGCCTGAGTGTAAAGTCTTGCGATTGTAATAATCAAGGTGATGGTGGCAAGTGCCCAGCATACACCAAGCGCTGGTCGTCCTAGGAAGAGTGAGCTTGGATTCACGGCTGTTAATTTTGTATAATGAATTTACCGATATCGTCAGAGGACATCTCTTGTCACGCGGGGGTATGATGGGAAGGATTTACATGGTATTAGAAGATTCTATATGAATTATGTTTTCCCTCTGTCAAAGTGAGAGTGGTCCTATGTAAATTATGGATCTTCCGCAAAAGGCCAAGTACCACTAGGCCTTATGAAACCCAAGTCATCAGCTGGTTCCCACTAGAACCACAAAGGACATATGTACCTTTTTCTTGAAACGTAAACTCGGAGGAAGATCCTGGAGTCAGCTACTTTACGGAGTCTTCGCAATCAAGTGGTATAATTTTTCACGTCTTTCTAATTGCTCAGATTACCTTGCAGATACAAGATAAAGAAAAACCTAGGACTCAATATACCTAAACAATCAAAGAAAAATCAATGTGTTTACAACTTTTGGTCCCGGGTCTGAGGTCGATCATGCAAGCCTTCTACCTTTATGTGGAAGGAGCCTGCAACAATGGAGTATGAAAGCGTGCCCCGGTGGGTCTTTTACCGGGGCTCTGACTTGTCTGACGGAGTATACTTGTTTAATTCCCGAACCTCGCCAATTTTTGTTGTTCTTTTCTTCTTTTGTCCGTAGCTTATACTTACCCCACCATACCTCGGGATTATATCCCAGAACATCCCGAGGTCGCGGTCACGCCAATGAAAGACCTAAACCGTTTGGACCGTCTTTGTAACGAGTGTATGGCATCGCCCATCGAGATCTGCAATCACTAATGCAGGAACGGAGTTCAATGTCTATCAAGCAGATCCACCGAAGTGATCGTCATGTTAGTTCAATCCACCCAGAACCCCTCCGAGTACTTATATTCACTGCCACGCCCGGCGGGAACAAAAAGTTATATTCAAATAACTAGCACAAGGAGCAGTTTCATACCTAGCTTTCGAGGCAATACCATAGCCACTCAGGGGCCTACCTATTGCCAAGATACCACCGCAGGATTCATGATGGCGTTATGGGCTTCAAAAAACCTGGAAGCGGTGTACTCCATACTGCAATGAAAGCCATGAAAAACAACCTCGATTTCTAGGAATGGCATTCAAAATCAGCATCCAGGATTATCTTGACCATCGACTGAAGGTACTAACGTTCACGGAAAGTACTATAACTCAAAATAGCTAAAATCTATATGAATTTGCATCTCACTACTTTGAGTGGGTCATAGGTTGGCCACAGTGGATCGTATGATTTGTATGTACTCCAAGGCTGGCTATGCCGTTGTAGCCGTTAACCGTAGATCCTTTCAACTGATAATACGCCGAATTTGACGTTAAGGTCCACAATTACGGGATATGTAAGGGTTTAAATTCTACCTGCATAGGTAGCCTGACTAGAACGTCTAAGCTAGCGTAGGTAATGGTTACAAATCAACCTTGGAATGCCACAGAGCGCTAATAAGCAATTCTTCGGCGCTACTAACTACAAAGGTGCGAAGTTGCGATACTTTTTTCTCATGTCTAGGCAGTTCCAAGACAAAGGGGCTCACACTTGCCCGACACAGCGTATATAGTCTCTCAATAAACTTCCTTTTGGGACTTCCGTAGCAACCGCGAACTCGGAACACCAAGCCCTTTAACAATTATGCCTCGTCTCTTCTCTCTAGGCTTGACAGCTTTATCTTTGCTGTCACCTGCTCTCGGCTACCTCAAATGTACAGAAACTTTGCCTACCGTTGATGTCCACACTCTGTACAGCTTTGGCAACGGAACCTGGGCAGAGAACCTTGCGATTCGAGCCAATGGTGACATTCTTGTGTCGCGCCTCGACGTCCCTGAGGTACTTTTACTCGACCCTCTGGGCGTTAGAGACCCAATCACAATCGCCTCCTGGGACGCCGATACCTACATGGGCTGTCTAGGTATCTCTGAAACAACGACCGACGTATTTTACGTAATCACATCATCCTTCAACAATGAGAGCTTCGTGCGCACTTCGGGCGTCAACAGCATCTGGGAAATTAACCTGAGCGCATTTTCCTTCATCGGCCCATTACACAAGATCGTCACAAAACCGACAGTCAAGAAGCTGGTTGATGTGACGACTTCGGACTTCTTGAACGGCCTTACTACCCTTTCTGATACTGCCATCCTTGCTGGAGATGCCTACAATGGCTGGGTGTACTACATTGACACAACTACTGGCGCTTACCACATTGCCGTCAATGATGAGAAGATGAAGTTTGACTCCATCCCTAACCCGCCAACCAACCTTGGTGTCAACGGCATCAAGGTTCACAACGGATACCTGTACTGGTCTAACACAGCAGTCGGTACTTTGAACCGAATTCAGATTTCAGAGTCGGGTGTCCCCTCGGGTGAATCTGAAGTTGTCGTCGACAACGTCCCGAAGGCCGACGACTTTATCTTCCGGAGTGACAACACCATCTTCATGGCGCAGAACCAGATGGATGAGCTCAGTGTCTTTTTCCCTGATTGGTCTGATGCCGAGGTTCTCGCTGGAAGCAACATTTCCACCACTCTGGCAGGTGTGTCTGCTGCCAAGTTTGGTCGGCTGCCCGTTAACGAGCACATCCTTTACCTGACTACCAGCGGAGGTAAGTTTTTGACATTATATCACCCTAGATTATCCATACTGACAAGGAAACAGCCGAGGGCAAGCCAATCAATGGCTCTGTGACAGTTCCAGGAACTCTCTCATGGATCGACACACAGCTCATCTAATGTGACGTTGTTTCAAGGTTGTTATTCTGATATAAGTTACCTCCAAGGCTATGTACTTGGATTTTAATACCTATGGATAGCCATGATATACATGACAATTTAGGAATTCCAATTGGCTCAGATACTAATGAAAATGATCATCATCTCTTCAGAACTCTACACTGAAAAAAACTTACTTATTAGGGGATGGGAAGGCCAAGCTTTATGCATGGAGCCCTAAAGTTCTCGGGAGCATTGGCCTAAATATTAAATATTAATCTACAGTCCATAGCTCTGGCGCGCTTTATTGAAGCTGGACTATGTGAGCGTCACATATCCGCTCCGAAAAGAGGTCTTATTGATAGAACCTCGTAAAATAACAAAACTCGTTATAATGAAAAAATTAGAGCTCATCCTGTGCAAGTGGATACATCCTATCTAAACTATCATCGAATATATGATTTTCTTTTCACTGGCTCAACTGGTTCATCTCAGCACAGCTCTGACGCTCAACCTAGGCTAAATTCCTCCAATTTGAAGAATCCGGTCCTGACTATGGCACTCGTCCTTTAAATACTCTCGATCGACAACAGACACTATCACGGTCTGTAAATCTCATCTTATCATGTTCCTTACGTTTGCAGAAGTCAATCCTCTGTGTGAAATCTAATCGACTGTACTTAGGAACGAACAGAAAGCGAAAGGGAAAGACTATCGCGCGTAGTACCGACGATGAACTATTATCACGTGAAATCTAACGCTTTTGAGTGTATATATGGATAAACTGTAGACTAGGAAGGACAGCAATCATTGAATACTACAGTCAGCATATGACAGTGTGCAAAATACCCCGTTTGAAGACCTCATGATGCACTTCCAAGGTTAAGATTCGCCCCAGAATTCAAATTGAACTGGTACTTCCGCCACGAAGCGCCGTCCGAACATGTTCGGGATGTCAGGTAGTTAGGAGCTAAGCAGATGTCAGGTGAATCATGAAACTGGGGCACCAGCAGCGATTCTATCTTTTCGGTTTTTGCGATACCATCGCTCATCGTTGGGGTCAAAGCCACCATTTCCCCAGAGGGCCCAATCCTCCGTTTCACGCATATAATCCTCAGGTGTGAATGAGGTGCCATCGGCTTTCTCCCTTTCAAGCAACTCAAAGAAGCGCTCGTAATCAATCCGAGTGTGCCACTTTCCATTGACATGGAAGCGTTCCGAGGCAAGCAGAACGCAGCAGCTGTGAGAGTGCTCCGCAGCAATGCCGTAGCCCAAGCCCCGGCGCTGCAGCTCCGCGTTCAAAGCTACTACAAAGGCAGAAACCTCTTCGTACCATGGCACATTCTGCATTGTCAACCCGGCACCGGCACTCGTGCTTGTTCCGCAGTAGGTGACGCCCTTGACTTCGATGAAACACGGCAAGGCCTTTTCAACGAGATTAGCATATCCAATCACCTCATCGTCAACGTTGAATCCCTTGACCAGAGTCAATCGGAACACGGTACGCTGCACATGACGCTTTTCTCGGAGAATATCAAGACAGCGCTGGAATCGCTCCCAGAAGTCACGGTGCAGCGGGCGGTCAATCTTACGTAGACTCTCGCGGTTGCTAGCATCTATGGAGACATAGAGCTGAGTGACACGTTTCAAAGTCTCGAGCTGATCTGGATGTTGGGCGTTGCAAACCAAGAAGCTAGATATACGCTCTTCATGCAGCATGTCTAGGAAACGATTGATGTGGGGATAGAAAATGGGCTCGCCAACCAGACTCAGGGCACAGTGCCGAATTTGCATGGCTTCGGCAAATCGTTCCGCTCGAACACCTGGAACACCTCGCATCAACTTGATCTTCTTGTAGTGGCCTTCTTTCACACCGTTGAAAATCAACTCAGGCGAGTCGACCTGCCATCGCCAAGTCGTTCCTACTGGGTTGGTACCGTGACGCCAGCAGAAGATACATTTGTTGCTGCAAGATAGCGATGGAGTAGCTTCCATGCAAAGGTGGGAGCGAATGCCATAGAAAGAGAATTTGTAGCAAGAGCCGCGACCGCGGAGAGCTGACTTGGTCCAACGGCAAATTTTAACGCCAGAGTGAGAGCCAACAATTGTATATCCTTGCTTTGTCAGGGACGCGTAAGTAGGCGAGGTCTTGGGAACCATCTCCTTGGCGATAGAATCGGGTAAAACAACTTTGCCGCCTGTGGTAAAATCAATAGGGATGGGAGCAGGGGAGTCTCCACCCATCTTGATATCTTCAAGATCGACCATAGTGGTGTTCTTGGGGGCATCTTCGTCATCCTCCACATCTTCTTCGTCGCTCTCCAAGGCATCGCCACTACCTATCACACCCTCTCCAAGTCCTCCGCTTGACAGAATTTCGCGCATGATGTCTGTGAGACCATTTGACCATTCCTTCAGTGCAACCTCCGCATCGCTCTTGATATCACCCATTCCCAGAGGATAAGCGCGTTTGCGACCAGTCAGCTTCGCCATCCATCGATCGATTTCCTTGGCCTGTGTGCAGAATCCCTCCTCCTCGGTGGGCCATTCCTCTTTGTCACCAAAGCCAAATACGGAATATCCAGCCAACTGAGAGAGAGGTGCTGTATCGATGCGGAAGTCGTTGTGTGTTTCGTCCAGATGACCGAGGAAGGTGTTGAGAACAGTGTCAATATTGTAAGTAGGTGTCAGAATACAATAGAGATAGCGGGTACCGGGAGAGGTGGAGGGAGGCTTGGGGGTCGAGAGGAAGAATTCATCGAAGTCAATGTACGAGATATCGTGAATCTGCGGAGGCAAAAGCCCTCGTTCCAGGTTCTCGGGATCTGCCTGCTCTTGGGCTGCAGCACGCAGATATTCCAGCAGAGTGTTCGCATAGCGTTCAGTTGTTGTAGTCAATGAGGCAAAGAAAATGAGCGGTTGAATGTGGGTTGCAGGCTGATTGTTCTCGCCTGCTCCGGAGCGTCCATCAGTCGTCTTGGCAGGCTTTTTGCCCTGAACGCGTTTCGGCCCTGTTACAGTTTTGGTCGCAGACTTGATGCGAGTTTTTTCGACGCTCTTTTCAATCGAAATTTGTTCGGACAGCGGGTCAATTTTGGGTTTCTCGGGTTGGCTGCGCGGCGAGGATGGAACAGAGGCGGATGTTGGCGTCTTGGATTTTGACTGCTTACAATAAACGCGGAATGCGACAAACAGGACAGAGAAAGCAATGACGAGAGGAAGACGATAGGCGTGCCAGACAGCCAAAAGGCCTGCAGATATGGTCAGTGCTCAGATTTCCATTAAACGCGCCATCAAAAATGGAATTGAGATCTGGGTAGACACAACATACCGTCATTTGCATCTGGCGTGGCCATTATAGCAATATTGTTTTTAATCCCAATGTTGAAGCGAAAAAGACGGAGAAAAAGAAGTTAAAGTGGAGCAAGTCATTTAAGGAAGATTCCACGTCCCGCAGCGGGGTTTGGTGACGTTACTCTAGTAGATATTGGCAATAAAGACATATGAATACTACTTGGACAGTCCATACCAGTCATCAGTATAGATCTATAAATTGACTCCATAACGATTGTTAACTTTGTAGGCTAAGAAAGCGCAAAAGCATTGATGGTGTGGTTGTTATCGCGTTATCACTTTATCGGAGAATCGGGGTTATCTTTGGCTCACAAGTACTACTTCACTTCCCCTCCTCCCACTTTCATCATTTAAAATGGAGAAACAAGGAATACTAGATTTAGAGGACGAGTCTCTAGTTAGAGAGTCAGCTGCCTCCATTCCCTCGAAAGCTGAGGGATCACAACGTCGACGCATTTGGGCTCTAGTTATTTGCATATTGTTCTTTGGTGGTCGGTTCATCTGGCATGGCCATAGGCCTCCCAGCATCGAGACCAGAGTTCATCGTATCCTGGAACACACCCCATTAATCGGTATGCTCAATTCTGATCCGACTGATCTGATATCTCGATACTGATTTCCAGCGCAGATGGACATGATGATTTTCCAATCATGATTCGAGAAATCTATCGTAATAGAATCTACGATTCTAATTTCACAGAGCATCTTGTCAATGGGGGTCTACCTAAACATGTCGATCTGCCTCGTCTCAAGCAGGGCCAAGTTGGCGGAACATTTTGGAGTGTCTTTGTTCCTTGCCCCAAAGATTGGTCGGATTTCTCGGACGTAACATACGCCCCAAGTAGGTCGCAAGTCTCTAATGTGTGAATGCACTGCTTCTGTATGTAAATTAACCTACTTCCAGGTGTGCGTGAGACAATAGAGCAAGTGGACGTGATGTCCCGTATCCAGCGGGCTTATCCAGACACATTTTCAACACCTCCCAATGGAACCACTGCTCTGCAGGCCTTCAAGGAAGGAAAGATCATTTCACCTCTTGGCATTGAAGGCCTTCATTCTATCGGAAACTCTCTAGCGCATCTTCGAATCTTCTATGATCTGGGCGTTTCCTACGCCACCCTTACCCACAACTGCCATAACCGCTATGCCGATGCCGCAGTGACCGAGCTCCAAGGCGGAGGGATTAAGAAGTCAACACCCCTTTGGCATGGTGTGAGTCCAGCCGGTCAAAGAGTTGTGTACGAGATGAACAGACTTGGCATGATCATCGACCTATCTCATGTTAGCGTGGATACGATGCGCGATGTTCTGGGTGCTGGCAAGGACGATTGGAAAGGAAGCCGTGCACCTATCATCTTCAGCCATAGCTCCGCTTATACTCTGTGTCCACATCCACGAAACGTGCCCGACGATATCCTGAAGTTAGTGCGTGAGAAAAATTCTTTGGTTATGGTAAACTTCTCCCCAGATTTCATTTCTTGCACAGCTACCGATCGTGCCGATGGCTTGCCTATTGCGGATCCGGCTAATGCGACTATTGAGCGTGTTGTGGAGCATATCTTGCATATCGGAACAGTTGCTGGCTTCGATCATGTTGGCCTGGGAAGTGATTTTGACGGAATACCCACTGTTCCGAAAGGCTTGGAAGATGTGTCCAAGTTCCCTGACTTGATTGCCGAGCTTTTGCGACGTGGAGTCAGTGATAAGGATGCAGAAAAAGTGGCCGGAGGCAACTTGATTCGTGTTTGGAGAGATGTTGATCAAGTTGCTTTGAAAATGCAAGCCGAGGGTGCATTTCCTGCGGAAGATTAGGTTAGCTAATACCTAATTATGGAATAAACATTATTTTTCAATTGAGATGAGAAATAAAAGATACAGTCTATTGACTGTTAGTTGTCTAGGTAGTTTCAGTAGCTATATCCGGGGGTGGCAGTATGAAGTAATGGCATTGACGTACTTCGCCCACATTGGCTTAGTTCTTAAATATGTCAACGCCACACATCAATCCCATGTCTTATTCAACATCCTATCCATCCTTTACATTTTCACTTTTTGCTCACATATATTCTGCAGCATGGATTACCTCCGCTACGGATTCAGCAATGAGAAATATCTGAAGTTTGAAGGCAACCAAATAACTGATGACATTGTTGAGGATGCAGCCAACCTTTTCTCCTCAAATTATGGCGTCTGGGGACCAATAGCTGAGCAGAAGATGTGCCCTACCACCAAGGATAGTAGGTCACTGCAGGCACAGTAATACATTTGTGGATACTCAATGTTACTGGCACGGAATGCAGAAAGCAGATGGTTTGGTGAATGATTATAAATTAATGCAAGTGCTATGTTCCTAGATAAAAAAGTGGCCATTGGTCCTCTGCCATTCAAGCAAGGTCAACAAGTGACCATGGGCCTTTTGGCATTCAAACACCAATTCCTGCCTCCGAACGGTCACAACATCCTCATCCAAATGAGAGAGCAAGGGCATCTTCTCGGATACCTTGTCGCAACAAGATGGGATCACAAAGGTCGCAATGTCGTCTGGGTCACTAGTCTTTGTGCCAACGCCAAATGCCGTCATTGGGGTGTTGCAACCAAGGTATTATCATGATAATCTATTCTCGCCACTCACGATAACCTAATCTCTTGTCTCAAGCTTCTCCGGATGGTGCGCCATGGAAAACCTGCCATGTGCTACGGCATTCTAAGCCCCCATCCGTATGCAATTCGTGCTGCTGTTCGTGCATGGGGAAACTGGCCTGGTGACCTTGACTTGACCGTGACAAAGAGATATGCGCAATTGGTCATGCCTTCCTCGCCTGTCAGATACGTTCGCAAGGCACGCTTGCATGGTGCGCTGTTTGATGAGAGCGTGCACGACTGGGCTGTCTCATGCGTCGACACAAATTTATGGATTGATCAAGAAGAGGTTGTGGCGGCGTTGGCAAAGATCTGTAAGAACAATATTCCCTGGCCATTCGGGAACCTTCCCAATGGCCATGAGTTTTTGTTCATCGCGCACGGCAGTCATCATCGGGCCATATTTCAGCGTCGAGAAGATAGGGTTGAGGCAGCAACAGCAAGAAAGTAGGGAAAGAAGAATAGCCTAGCCTTAACTAGGTAGAGAGCGAAAAATTTGCAATTGAGATGAGACCTGTTAAGATTGACATCCATTACACGTGTATTCAAAAATTCTGTCCAAAGTAATTGTGCTATTGGAACCCTTTAGGGTTCGGAGTTTATAATTCTTATTTGATCTGTATATATATCTGCAAGTATGCCAAGGTAATCTACTCTAGGCATTCTTCTTGACAAGCTCCTTGATCTGAGCTTCAGTCCACTTAGGAACTCCCAACACCTCATTATCTGGCTTGGCAAAGAAAGAGTTATATTTCTCACCGCCATAGACAGCCCGTCGAATAAGGTTGCTGGCGAAAGTGCCAAAGTCAGGAGGCGACTGCTTAACAGCCTCATAAGCCTGGGTCTCCAGATCTTCAGTCTTAACAGGTTGACGCTCGATCTTATCCGCATTTCCAGACCATTCTAGCAGCTGGTTCTGAGTAACATCTGCTTCAGAAACATAGACATGTCGGTTCTTAGTTTCTTCAGGGTGTGCAAGTAACCCGGCGACGGCACGTCCGATTCCACCGAGGGTGGTTGTGCTAACGAGGACATCACCCCCATCGAAGATGAGGGTAGAAGGACCCTTTAGATTAACGCTGAAACCTTTCTCGAGACCCCAGTCGAAGAAAGGACCAGTAATGAGAGCTGTCCAGGTGAAGGCTTTGTCTTTTTCTGAAATCTCTCTGAGGCGCTCGATCACTGCGATCTTGTCGCCGAAGACGGGGAGCTTAGAGGTTAGAGGGTTTGAAGTGTCTGTGCCGAATTCAGAGGGTACGAATCTCTGGACGCCGGCTGCATGAGCTGCGTCGACGAGACGCAGATGAACGTCGCGAGGGACGAAACCGACATTGAGAGTGTTGATAACGGCATCTTGACCGGACAGAACGGCTTTCAGAGATTCCTCGGAGCTGTAGTCGACGACCTGGACTTTGACTCGGGGGTCGAAATTGTGCGACGAGGTTCGGCTGAGCACAGTCACCTCCAGGTTTGCTTCGACGAGGGCATTGACTACGGCAGGTCCGAGGTTACCAGTACCCTGTTGAAGGTCAGTACACGAATTGTTTCAGACGGGAATTAGCCTGGAGGATGGACTTACTCCTGCAACTGCGACTTTCTTAATAGACATAGTATAGATAGAATGGGTGTTGTGATAGCTGATTGGAGAGCTGGTGTTAAATGTTGATGTGTAAGAAATGAGGCCGAGAGGGACTTCCAATGGGCTTATAAATGCTTTATCGGAGGAATTGCGAATGAATAATGATCTCGTACTTTCATGATGCCATCTTCCATAGTACAATATTTCATCACTGGTGTTTCAGATCACATCATCTTATCTCAGCTAGCGGAATAGTTCCGCTTGCGCAATTGTCATCTATTTGTTGATTTCGAATGATATGAGGAAACTCCCCTGCATGCTGACGTGTTCTAGGCCTTAAGATCCAATCCGGCATAAAAGAGGGGAGTACAGAGTACGATACGCTAATCGGGTGGTTTGACGGTTGGTCATCATCTAGATAATTAACGTGTTTCCCGGCTAACCCGTTATCCCTGTTAAGCCGTTACCCCATCAGAATTTCAAAAAAACGCATAAATTTCAATTCCATATTTAAGCACAATAACATAATTAAATTGACTAAATAACACGATTCTGACATTTAGTAATACTATGACCTTTCTTATGACACCTTGAGCAGTTAATTTGACGTCGGACAGGGGGTAAAACTGGCAATTCAGTCTCAAGAGTGTCATTCTGAGCAGCTTCAGCACCAGATATTTATTTCTCTCCACCACCATTCTCTTCAATGACAGGCTTCTGAATCTCCTCTAAACCTCTTAAACCACCTAAATAAGCCAACTGGTTTTTTAGTAGTATTCTTTTTTTTTTTTTCGTCTGTTTCTTATCATCTTTCTAAATGGCCACAGCGATCATGCAGAAAAATATGGTGGTGGACCGTCCGGGTAGTGCGATCGGAGAACGTCTCCCACCTCCTTTTAATAGGAGATGGGATTAAATGAGAGGAGAGCCCTAGAGCAGAATTGAGACGAGATTTAAATTCTTCAAGTCGTTTTAAGCTCCAAGTAGTATTGTCGTCGCTGTCAGAGCCAGAAGATATAGGACAATCAGAAGGTAATTCTAGATCTGGCAGACATTCAAGCCGAATATCTAGCTTATTGAGCATTTCTGATGGGCATAAAGGTACTAAACTAGTAGCTTTAAAGCTACATATTATAGTATCTATCTTAAAAGCTCTTTTGTATGCATCAGGGAAGATCTGAAGGAACTCATCTTTATCAATTCTATACCGCATCAACTCCGCAACACGACCGCCATAATATCTTTTTAGTAGCCTAAAGTAGCCTATATCTAAAGACTATAAAAGATATGATATATATAGAGGCATATATACAGTAATAATATCATGCTTCTTATAAAGATTGTCGAAAATAGGTGTTAGATGAGAGGATTGCTCATCAAGGATCAGAAGGCAGTTTTACCTCTTCGATTCCTAATATTAGGAATAAGATACATCTTTAGCTAACCGACACTACTCAGATCAATATTCCGACCATTAAAGCTCTTATTTAAGCTCTAATTAGGCTCCTTTTCCTTAAAACAATGCTTCATAAACACCTTTCCTTTAAAGACAATGTAAGGTGGATGAAATCCGCGATCGGAGGATAAGATTGACCATATTTTGACACATGGCACAGGTAAGAGCTGCTCTTCTAGTTTCCATAGAGCGTAGTCATTCCTCCATCGATAACTCTTCAAATTTAGAAAATATATGTTGAGCTGACCATTTAACAGCTAGTTGTTCAACACCCTCAAGCCGATCGACAAAAGTTGAACGTGGGACGCCAAATGACCGTACAACAGCTGCGATAGTAGGATATTTGCCATCTCTAACAGCTTTTAGAGCTAATTCGATACAGCCCTCTTGCTCTATCAGTTTTTATTCCATTTCAAGGCGAATTGGTGGCATGGTGTGTGTTTGAAAACACAGGGTCACTACGGAGACTATTTATTTAGATGGGGTAACGGGTTAACCAGGATAACGGGTTGGCCGAGAAACACGTTAGTCAATTCCAATGCCATTGTGAAGTCTCCGCGGTCTCCGTGGTATGCTTGAAAATGTTTTATTCACTGGATTCATTTCGTCTCTCTATCATGATGGCCATAATGTAATGTGCTGGTCATTACCTCCATTAACCAAACGCCGGCGCCCGTGCAAAGCTAGTTGCAAATAAAAGAGAAAACAGATGTTACAGGAAGTATTCGCTGCGACCTGGCCGCTGGGCTGGTACATGTCGTTGATCATCACTGACTGCACTGAAAAGCTTGAACGTCGGTTTCAGGTCATCGCCAATCTCGCACACAGAGGCTAGATTACCGCAGCGGTAGCAGTAGTTGGGTGCGCTCCACACAGTGACGACGTTCTGATTGGCGAAATGATACTTGTATCCTTCATTCACTAGCTGGTGGGCACGCGCAATCAGAGAAAGATCGTTAACGTGGCAGAACTCATCAGCCACTTGACCACCGAATAGCCAGCCTATTGCGTCTGACATCAGTATATGCAGTAAAATTAGTGCTGTGGAACTCACCTGCTCCTCGGGGACTAACGGCCCATGTTTCCACATCATCTGGATCTGACCAGACTAAATCGCAGAAAGCACCCTCGTGAGGGATCTCTTGTGCGCGGGCCACCACGCGCACTTGGTCTAGAGTCCGAATCTCAGGACTAAGTCCTCCATGAACGCAGAGGACCTTGCCATCGATAATAGCACCTAGAGTCATGAAATCAAAGACCTGGCAACAAGCCTTCCACACTGAAGCCGACCCGTACTTTTGGAAGCACTCTTCGTAGAATCCGTATACTTGTGTGATTTGGCGAGATTCGTGGTTTCCGCGAACTAAAGTGACGCGATCTGGATATCTGATCAGAACTAGCGTTAGCATTGATAATTCCACTTGATTAGGGGTGGTTTTCAAAATACTCACTTCGCCTTGAGACACAACAACAGGGTCAGTGTCTCTAAACTGAAATATCCACGGTCCACGTAGTCTCCTAGGAAGACAAAGTTTGAATTAAGACGCACATCATCTGGTGATGGACCTGACGACCCGCTCGGCGGGTTTGGAGCAGATTCCGATTCCTCTTCATCGTCCTCCTTCGATCCGGAGCTGTTACCTCGTAGTTTCTTCCGAAGCTTGGGATCTGTGATGGTGGAAGGTGGCTCGATATCAGCGGATGTAATTACGGTAGTAGAGGTCTTGGGAGCGTCAACTTCGGTGCCGTCAGGCATCCCACCAGAGACGCGGAAGAGTTCGAGAAGATCGTAGAACTGGCCGTGGATATCACCACAGATGGTGACGGGAGTTGAAACGGGTTGGATATTTGATTCTGTAACATGCCGCATCAACATCAGTTGCTTCAAAAGGAGTGGCATCGGTCACGCCTACCTTCCATCATATATTCCTTGACAATTTCACACAGCTGCTTCATGTGAGCCTCAGATAGGTACTTGCAGTTTTTGGCAGCCTCCAGCCACTCATCAGGGCCAGCATTGCGCTTGAGTTTAGCTGGCCCCGGCTGTGGGACCTTGTTTTCAGGCATGGTGAAGTGAGGTTTAGATGGACATTGAGGGTGCGTCCGAGGATGAAGGCCAGAGGGTGGGGAACTTGCGCTTTTGGTCGATCTCGGATACCGCACTGGCACATGGCAGTCCACTATAATGCACCCGATGGATATACTACTAAATATTAAATACTAATATAATACAACAGCTATCAGCCCTATATCCAGTCTTTAAAATCTTATAACCTGAAACTTGCTTGGATTTTGAAATTTAAATTATATTCACCGAAATGATCTTCAATATGAGAAACAATGTATTCATTTGTATTTATTTCAAATTTTATTCCATCGCCTAGCTCAAAGCGGAGGCGACTCTAAAGTTTTTATAACATTTATATATATATATATATATATATATATATCATCATCATCTATCAATCTTGCCCAGGTACTCGGTGACGACATCAGCAAAGGCCTCAGGCTGCTCAACCATGGGCAAGTGACCAGCACGTTCAATAATCTTAAGCTCAGCACCACCCTTAAGATCAGCCGCCATCTTCTGCATAGTTTGAGGAAGGACACCATCGTTGGCACCAGCAACAAAGAGGCCAGGCACAGTAGCGTTAGCCATTCGGTCACGGATGTCATAGGCACACAGAGCATTCACACTGTGTGCGAAGCCCTTCAAGCTATTGTTGATCACAGCCTGCTTAACAGCATCCAGCACCTCGGGTTGGGTCTCGTACGACTCTGGTACGAACCAGCGTCGAGTAGTGATCTCGGCAAGCTCCTCACCAACGATTGGTTCCTTGGTTTCGGCGTCGACAGCGCCCTCCTTCTCTGACATGGCGACTCGGTCACCCCATGCCTTGCGATTGGACTCTGGTGCGGATGAGTTGGTGTCGCAGGCGATAAAGGCAGCGATGCGCTCGGGGTATAGGAGCGATGTGTTGAGCACGGTCACACCTCCCAAGCTAACTCCGATCAGACGGGCGGCCTTGGGTGGCACGCGAAGGGCCTCGAGTAAGGCATTCACGTCTGAGGCGAGCACGTCGATTGTCACGGCCTGTTCACCACTCTGAGAGCGACGGCCACGCGTCAAGTAGCGCAAGACACGGTAGCGCTGGTTCTGCTTGCGAGCAAAGAAAGCATCAACGAAGCGGTCCCAGATCTTCCAGTCGGCCAAGATGCAGTTGCTGAGCACAACCACCGGGGCGTAGGGATCAGTGCTACCTTCCAATCGATAGGGAATCTCAACGCCATCTGCGGTTGTTACAAAAGACTCCACAGCAGGGCGGGTAGGTGAAGGGAAAGTGCGAGTTTTGCCATCGTTGGACGACCAGGGTCCAATAACATCCGACTTGGCAATCGAGCTCAACTCACGCGGGGCAGGGCCAAATGTGTAGAACCATTCGTAGACACGACGCTTCTTAGAGGTGACTACTTCTGTCTGTAGGCGTTGGCGCCAGGGAGTGTTCATGGCTGCCTGGTGGAGCTCGCCACCTAGTCCGTTCACAGCAGCATACTCGTACAGGGCGATGATCTCCTGCGGGGCGGCCGAGTCGATAGCAGCAGTTTTGAAAAGACGACTGCGACGCCAGCCCGGTACACGGGAGAGCATCTCAAAGTGTTCCTCGCGATACCAGCGCTCAAGTTCGGCCTGCTTCTCGGGGTCCGGGTGGGAGGCAGTGGTCACGGCGACCAAGACGTTCCCACGGGTCTCGGAATCATCGGTGTCGGCTCGGTTCTCCAGCGGGACGAAACCGGGCACTTTGCGCTCCTCTACCAGATCGTACAGAAGTCTACCGACATCGATCTGGGCCATTGTCTTCTTCTCACGCTCTGTCTTGATCAGATCTGTTCGCAAATCCAGGTAGGTCTTGCGGGTCAACTCGTCCATGTCAGTGATATCATACAAAGCCAGGTACTCTGGTTTCTCGCCGTCCTTTGCACGGTAGCGGAAGCCATTGGTTACAAAGGGGAGACGTAGGCGCAGTGGACCGTGTTCGTTATTGTACCAATCGTGGAATTGAGTGTCGGACAAGCCCTTGGGCTGCATTGTCACGTAGAGGAGGCCTTCAGTAGGCATAATGGCGGGGTTGTAGGGAACAGAGAAAGGGTGAGGAGGAAGAAGAAGTCAAAGAAGGGATCAAAGAAAGAATCTATAAAATAATTGAATGATCTAAATATCTAGGTAGATCTCGGTAGTATAATAAATCCATGGACCCAAATTGCCCCTCTCCGGGAAAGCAAGCAACCGATGTTCACTGCCGATTTCCCCGAGTTTTAGGTGGCAAAACCCAAACCCCGGACTACTTTCTCCCATGAGCTGTGGGCTTGTTGTCTCTATTGTTTCTTGATTTTTGGGCTAAAAAGTAAATGCATCTAGCCTACGTAGAGTTTTCATGGTTTAGTCGTACCAGATGGCATTCATACCGAAGCCCTGCTCCGGAATGTCTACGCGCGCAACACGACCCAACTTCTCATCGCGCCAGCGGTACATCTCAACAAAGCCCAGCTGGTCATCACAGAGAGCGACCCACTCGTCGCTGAAATCGCAAGGACTGACTGCGTTGGAGTGGCCACCGCTGGTGGAAGTAGGGTTGATGAAGAGCTGGCGCTCGATTTCACCAGAGGGGCCCAGCTTGAATGCAGTAATGTACCCAGTCACATCGAAGTGATTGGAACGGGTGGTTGCAAAGAGATATCCAGCACTCTTGGTGGTGAAAGTAACATCGCCACGGTACTTGTTGCGGGGTGGCAAGCCTGGAGAGAGGGTTAGGAAAAGCAATTGTTCAAATTTCACGAATCATGCAATGGAGAAAGAGCAAGAGAACTTCACTTACCAGAGGGAAGCAATGGGTATGTGATGTGTGTGAAGACGGGCTTGTGGGTACGCTCATCGATCACGTACACACCCAAGCGGTTTCCGGCCTCCATGAGTACGTATAGATATTTACCGCTGGGGTGAATCTCGACCCAGCGAGGGTGATCACCAGGGGCTGGAGCCTCCAGGCAGTCTACCAAAGTCAATTGACCTGTCTCGGCATCTTTCTTATGTGTCCATATCTTGTTGGCGGACAGATCGGCCGAGTACAGGTAGGTCTCGGTAGGGTCGAAGACCATGCCGTGGATACCAGTCTTGGGATCGTACTCGTAATTCTGAACGTTGGCATCAAGAGCTCCATCAGCCTTCACGGAGAAGACGTTACCGTACCCCGCATAGTTGTAGAATGGGTTTCCGTACACGTTGTAAGGGGGTTTGTGAGCAGCAAGAACGAAAATAGCGCGAGTGTTGGTGTCACCGTTGGCAGCGAGCTCTGGAAGCAAAAATCAGTCAATTGCTCTGGTTTCAACTGCTGTTTTTTATTTATTTATTTATTTTTTTGAGATAATGGATCCAGGCACGTACCATGTCCGGCAACAGGGTGTGACACCTGGTGAACAATGTCAGTCGGGCTATTGACAGCGAAGCTGTTCCATTTCTTCATAGCCGCTCCATAGATGGCTTTCTTGTCGTGGGAGAAAGTCATCCATGAAATCGGCTCTGCCTCTGGGATCTCAGTCTTCTTGACCAAAGTCAAAGTTAGCTCCTCATCATCGAACTGGACAGTGTAGATACGCCCGGGGGCGGTCCACGTCCCGACCATCAGATGGTGCTTCATGGCGGCGGCTGAGCTTTGAGAGAAGGCGCGAATTGAGCGGGTAAGTGAGGCAGATGGCCGAGTGTAGAGAGCCGACGGGATCATATGATAAGTATATACCGAGTCAAGGATACAGAATATAGACGCTCCCGTAGAAGTTTTATCCAGTGGATGCGGGGTGGTTCCCCGGCATTGAGGGGCGGCACGCGTACCGTTTGGTGCGTTTTACCTTCTCCGGAGAAAATCACATTATGAATTGGTGGGGCATTATTGTGATCGTCATAGTTTTGAGATCAGGCGTGGAGTAATTGGAATTAATTGGTTGAAGTGATTGAAGTGGATGTTAGTGGCAAGAGTGAATACCACGGGATCTGAGTAAAACACAATCCCGGAATAACGGGAGTTGCAATGTCGCCGCTGCCGAATGGTTGTCCCCAATGTCACTGCCGACACTACGGTCCGCCATAGACCATTAGAACTGTCCGAAATAGTCATCCGGGGTAGGGAAATTATGGAGGCGATTTTAGAGTTATATAAGACCCCTTCCTCTTCCTTTCTTCCTTTATTCTTCTATCATTCCATCAACTCCATCAACTTCTTGTTTTTATACTACAATCTCCACTCTCATACTTCACAATGGCTGAAAAATCACGTTACGACCCCAACTTCACTCCCTATGTCATTAACTCGATGGGACCCAACACTCCCGAGCGTGCTCGTGTCATTCTGGGCTCGCTCATCAAGCACATTCACGACTTTGCTCGTGAGGTTGACCTCACCTCTGCCGAGTGGATGATGGGTGTGGAGTTCATCAACACCATTGGACAAATCAGCACTCCCATTCGTAACGAGTGTCACCGTATCTGTGATGTGATCGGTCTGGAGTCGCTGGTCGATGAGATCGCCAACAAAATCGTCACTGACCAGGGCTTGTCTCCCACCTCCAACGTTATTCTGGGCCCGTTCTGGTCTCCCAACGCTCCTTTCCGTGAGCTCGGTGACTCCATCATCCAGAACCCCCTCCCCAACGGCCAGGTCACCTACATGCACGGCCGTCTGACTGATCTGGAGACTGGCAAGCCCATCGTCGGTGCCGTTATTGATATCTGGCAGGCCTCCGCCAACCGCCTGTACGATTTCCAGGATCCTGACCAGACTGAGAACAACCTCCGCGGCAAATTCAAGACCAACGAGAACGGCGAGTACTTCTTTTACTGCTACCACCCCACTGCGTACTCTCTGCCCACCGACGGTCCCGCTGGTGTGCTTCTCAACCTCATGGACCGCTCCCCATGGCGCCCGGCTCACATTCACCTCATGATTACCCACCCCGAATACGCTACCGTCATCAACCAACTGTACCCCTCCACCGACCCTCACCTTGTCGATGACTCCGTCTTCGCCGTCAAGGATGACCTCGTTGTTGAGTTCAAGCCCAAGACCAACGACCCCAAGGCCACCCTCGACCTTGAGTACAACGTCACCATGGCCCTGAAGAAGTGGCACCCCCACCCCAACTCGGCCCCTCCTGTCTCCTCTTTCCAGCGTGCTCAGGAGAAGCTATAAATGCCAGAAAAGGAGATCTGACATTGCATTTGATGGATTTAGCGATAACCAATGTTTTTTATGCCTCTTGAGGTCGTTCTTTTTTTTGTTCAAAATCTCGTGTATAGGCTTATATCAAGATGAATCGAAATGATCATGTAACAATATCCAATTGCAACAATAGGTCTTCCAACGTAGATACTAGCGTGACTTTAATCGCGACAATTAACCATGCAAACTCCACCTTAGCGCTACAGCCGAAGTAATAATCTCATGTACTCCTATTGGGACATGGGCTGCATTTGCAGCCAACCCCACATTTGACTAAGGGCCCGAAATTGACCAATGAAAGTACAAGAATTTATGCTTATTTGGGCCAGGTGGCTGTAGCTTTTCTTGGTGCGCAGGCATACGATAGAGTATTCGATAGTAAAAACATTGTAAAAGTTTCATCAAGAGCATATCTTTCACCTCTTTCATCTGCTTCATCGTTTTCATCCTCCTGGTTTTGTCCATACCGAGGTCCCTGATGGTAAACGGCACTTCAAGCTTATCTCACCCGTTCTATTCACCGGAGAAAGGCTCGTCCACGGCTAGGGCTAATATTTTATCCGCCTGCGATTCTTCGGCAGCCATGATTAGCCGCTTAGGTAAGCCCTTTTTCAAGAAGCTGTGTAAGAGCTGTTAGAGAGAAGCTGGAGAGTGATCTTGATACCGTAAAATATTTTTCCAGGGACTTGCAGCACCTGCTCCGCGACGTTCATAGCGCAGACGTCAGTGTGGGGAAATGCGCAACATACACTAATCTACATAGTAGATGCGCCACGGGTGGCCCGAGCGGCTGTGCTTACGGGCAACAATACGCCAGTTGACAAGCTACGCTACCTTTTAGAGCCCGGAACACCACAAGGCAACGACAATCCAAATCTACCTGGGTAGACCCGAAAAGCATATCAATGGAATTGATTATTTTGATGGTAACAGTTTTCTCTATATGAAGTACTTATCGAACCATGGACGTCTACAAGAATTATATTTTAATATATTTACAGAGAAACGAAAGGCGACTGACTCATTGTACAAATCGTACATCATTGAGCCGTTGAAGGAGCAGCTCCGCCAGGTTCACATAACAGCCCTTGCTGATGTCCTGCCGCGCCAGAATCTGATCAGCGATCTCGTTAGCCCACATGTATTCCGAATGATAGTTGCGAAATTCTAGAAGGCGTTCTCGGAGCCACAGGCGGTGATTAGTGTTATCTGTTTCAATAATGGCTGTCAAAAGAGCCCAGTGGAGGCGTCGTAGCAGACGAGGGTCGGAAGCGAATTGCTTAGAAGCAATATCCACAATACCGGTTGTGGCCTGCCGGTGGAGCGAGGTGGGAAGACTTTCTGGACAGAGAAGGCGTCGATGAAGGAGAACTTGCGCGTAGAATGTACACACCGCCATGTAAATAGTGTTCAGCGTTCGTCGAGCTGAAACGCCAGCGGCAAATCTGGCGGTGATGAAGAGATCGGAGAATCGCTGGGGCAATTAGTCAGTTTCACACATAAAGAGAGGATAAAACATACATCTCGTGTGGACATGATCTCACGGAAGATAGAGTCCTTTGAATCGGGTCCAGCCCTTGGATTCATGAGTACCTTCATAGTTTGATATCGCATGCACATGCCGGCATGCAATAGCTCTAAAGCCCGATAGTTTTCGATGTCGTCCAAAACCTCCTGATCGGGATACTGTTCACCATAGAAACATCGGCCCCAAAGACGAGCACATTTATGTAGATGGTCCGGGTATAGAGCTGGGTTGTTTGATTGCATGACATAATCGTATAAGGATTCTGTCAGCCCCATGGGTCGGCAACTTGCGTCAATGTATCTATCACTTTGATTAGTGAAAGGCTCGTTGATGGAGTGGCAAGCAGAACGACATACAAAGTCCATAAAAGGAATTGCTCTGGAATAAATGAGACTTTGGAAACGGGCTTTTTCTCATCAGGGAGGAGGTTGTAATGTTCAGCCAAGAAAGCGTCATTGACATCCTTCAGGCGAAATAACTGCGGATGTGACTTAAGAAGAGAACGCACACCATCCAAGTGGAGTTGAAGATGGCGTACAGAGTGGCCAAACTGCCACTCGTAAGTGATCATCAAAAACATTGTCGCGAAAATCATCTCCAGCTCAGCCACAGAAACATCTCTTCGGGGAGTTTCTAGTAGCTGTCGGAACTCCTTAACAGCCAGACTATAATGATATCGGCCATGGTCTTCGGCCGTTGGTCGACCGGGGGAGCGAACAACAAGACCATACCGGTGCATATCACTGGCAGATAGAGCTATGATCATCCGCATAATCACTTTATTATTTGAGGCAGGGCTCTGATAGAGGTAGTTGAAGCTGCTCCAACGCCATCCTTTCATATAATAATGAATGATGGATGATTCTGGGAAGTATGCAAAGTATTTCTGGTCGTGTTCTGTAAGCGTTAAAGAATTGGCGCATATGATTTCATAGCCACCCAATACGGGGTAGAGGGGCGTGGAGTTTCGGATGTGGGTGAAAGGTGGGTAAAATTCTGTGGTCGAGGGTGTTTCTAATGTCACGCCATCGCCTGGCCAAGAGAATGTAGAGTGCCCATTGAGAATGACTTTTCTTGAAATTTTCAAAGGAGAATCTCCTGTCTCTGATGTACCAGGAGCTGGTTGTAGATGCTGTAGATGCTGTAGATGTCGGATTTGTGCACTACGACCACGCTTCACTGGAACTCCCCATTCACAAGCGAGGCGAAGATTTAGACAGCGGCTACATGTTGGACGCTCTTCGCCGCATTTTACCTTGCGTCGACGGCAAGTACTGCAGCCTGGATGACAAGGATTAGCTCAGGAAACAATCGGCCAATTCTTGATGTAACTATAGGAAAAGAACGGACCTTTCTTTGAGCGAGGTGCGTTCCGTCCGGACATTAAAATTTAATATTATTCCCCAACTCTAGAGTCTAAACATACTTCAATTTAAAGACATGGGGATGCGATTGGGTATGGGGAAGAGGAAGATTTAAGATTAGATCAATTGAGCGGAGAACTTTAGCAAAAATGCCGGGGTTGTGGCCTCAGGCGACAAGGCAGAAGTCAGCACTATGTACCTCGGCTCTTTGAAAATTCATAACAAGAATATATAAGGCTCTGATGTCCTAATTTACTTCGCTCCAAAGCTATTTTCAATCTTCACGGCAGATCTCTTCCTGCCACTGACTTCGTGTGGTTTCGAAGAGAACATCATTCGTGATCATATCCCACCCAATGAGTGCCAATGACTTACCCACGATCACAGCCTCTGCATGCGCTTCGTCTGTTCCTGCAGATGCAGTAAAAGCAGGGTGATGTGGAAAGGTGTTGTCCGGTGTTTGAATACCGAACATGGTGTGGAGAGTGGGTGTCACATAGCTGACATTCCCTTGGTAGGGCATTCCAATTAGTCCAGATTCACCAAAAAGTGAAAAAAAATATATATATATTTTTATTACATCAACATACCTATATCGGATGATGCAGTAATGACTTTATCGTGACGTTTGATCACCTTTCGGCCATACTCGCCCATATGGATTTGATATCGCTCACACAGAGTATCATTCAAGCGCACTTCAGTGTAAAGTTCTTCTCTAAAATACCATAATCAGTGAATTTCTTGATGAGTTAGTGAAGATCCCACTAACTCTTTGATAACCACCTGGCATCCAGTTGCGAGTGCTCCAGCTTCGATGCAATTGCGCACCTTGAGCGCAAGATTGTTGAGCCCCTTGAGAGACGGACTTCGTACTTGCCAGAACGCCTTAGTATAAGCTGGAATCACATTTGCTACTTTGGGTGTGTCCATAAATGCACAATGGATACGTTGCTCGGGTAGAAGCTGCTGTCGTAAGACAGCAACATTGTTATATGCTGAGACTAAAGCATCTAGTGCGTTAATTCCATCCCAAGGATTGCCTCCTGCATGGGCACTTCTTCCAGTAAACTCGCAATGAACCTTCTTGCGTGCATTCATGAGAGTCCCCGCAATTCCATCTGAGGGTTCCTGGTCGGCGAAAATTTTCTTAGGCCCTCCATGCCTACTCAGGTTAGTATAACACCGTAATAGGAGAAAGAAAGTACACACGCCATAAGTGAAATATCAACATTCTTATAGGCTCCTGCATCGATGAGCTTGACTTTTCCACCGCCATTCTCTTCAGCCGGAGTGCCCAGAAGCTGAGTTCGCCCTGGTATTTGGAATTTTTTCAAAATGAAGGAGAGGGATAAGAAGGCGGCAATGCTACTGGTAGCAATGAGATTGTGGCCACAGGCATGTCCTATGTCCGGAAGAGCATCGTATTCGGCGTTGAAATTGATAAGTCGTCCATCTGATCCGCTTAAAGCTTCGAATGAAGTATCCAGGCCGTATGCATGCTGATTGACGGTGAATCCCTGCGTCTCTAGGAAGTCGCAGATTGTATCATGAGCATGGTGCTCCTCATAGGCGAGCTCGGGATTTGACCAAATCGAATAAATTATTAGGAACCAAATGAAATATCACAGGAAAGCGATACCTACCTCGTGATTCACTTTTCGAAGCGATTCATTTAAAGTCGCGATAACATCGTCAACATATTCTCGGACATCTTCAATCTTGATGGTCGAGGCAATCATTTTGAACGGGGCTAGAAAAGAATTGAACTAAGGAGAAATTTCAAAACAGAGGTATTGAAGTTGCCACAGCGAAGAGGATTTAATAAGATCTCGCGGCACCTCGGTTCCTATCAACAGTTCATATAAACTAATCAACGTCATCATGTTTGCCGATGGTCAACTAGATCGCGTAAATTTTGATGATAGCGGGCGGGCAAGTAATGAGTTGGAGAGCTCATCTGATTGTCGAGCTCGGCAAAAGGGTGGACCCTTGAATCTGCGGGGAGAATGCCACGAGAAGCACTGCCACTCGCAGTCGGTTATATTTAGCTTGTCTGATAACAATTTATCCTGTATTTAATTTTCCGATAAGGAAGTTGGTTGCCGACTGAAGTTTGGTTACTCTGGAGCTAGTTTTGCCGATATTGATCTCATATTGGCTAAACTGCCGATGATGATAGTCTGGGGTATTTTCAGCCCTGATTATCTACTTTCGCCATCTATAGACCAAGGCGTTTGGGCCCTCACCTTATCTAGTATATAATACATGAAACTTGAGTAGCTTAGGAGAACAACTATTTGTGATAAATATGAAAAAGCAACAACACTCTCCAAACACTGACCCTGTCGCTTTCGATATGATAAAGAGCGAAGCCATGCATTATTCCCATGGTATCAACATTAGTCAAGTCCTTGACATAAATGCTACACCCGAGATCGAAAGAAAGGTTCTCAGGAAACTGGATCTCTTGTGATATACTCTCCAATCCTATGTGATGGAGATATTTCTAACGAAGCCGAGTTAGGCTCGTTCATCTCATGGGATTTTGTTACATGTTACAACATATGGACAAGCTGGCTTGAGTCAGGCAACCTTGTTCAGCCTCACGGAAGACTTGATATGTTTACTGAGGTGGGTAGGTAAATTGAGAGAATCCAGACTAAAATCTTAATTGAGGGACTTCAAGGAAGAGAGCATAATTGGGCATCCGCCATCTTCTATTTCGGATACTTAACTTGGAGCTGGCCTAGCTCATACTTAGTAGTTCGATTTCCTTTGGGGTGGAGTTTTGATGTACCATGCTACTTGCACTAGCTTCCGTGGACTAATGGTAGTGAGGTTCTTTCTCGGAGTCGGAGAGGCGTCTATTGCTTCTGGATTCGCCATGATCACAGGAATGTATTATAAGAGAGAAGCAACCGGCACGCCAAGCAGCTTGGTTTGCCGGGAATTGTATCGTCACAATTGTCGTGGGAGTCGTTGCGTATGGAATTGGCCAAATCCACAGCAGCACCTTGTACAACTGACAGCTCCTATTTTTGATTCTTGGAGCTATCACTTCTGCCTACGGATTTTTGCTTGCAATAGTCTTGCTTGATTCACCAGCCAAGGTAAGATTCTCTAATAAGACTGAAAAAGCGATTGCGATCCAGAGAACTTTGAAGAACAAGACTAGAGTCATGAATACTGGAGAATTCAAATGGAACCAGGTAATTATGGCTATCGAGAATCCACAGACTTGGTTTCTTGTTCTCTTTATGCTTTGCATCAACTTCTGCAATGGTGGAATCACCAGTTTCTCCTCCATTATTGTTGCTGGTTTTGGGTTCTCAGAACTCAAAGCCCTTCTCATCCAAATGCCAACGGCAGCTGCACAAGTGATCTCCTTGTCATCACATCAGGCGTTGCTACTTTGGTATGCTCATCTCGAATCATCATGATGATTGATAAGATTAGCCATATCTTGACACATGGCATGGGTTAGAGCTACTCCTGCTAAGATTTGGAAAGGATCGCCAATGGCCACCCTTCGCCGCGCTACACTCGGAAGTTTAAGCAGTCGGGCTGCGATGATACGACCTGAGGTTTTGGCGAACCTCGTGAAACTCCGCGATCTCTACCTCACTCCTGGACTGTGCAACCCTATCAATCTCTATGTCCAGAAGCCGCCACCATCATATACATCTCCTAAGCCACCGCTGAGTCCACCTCCATACTTCCCGTCTGAAAATGATAACCCCTTTCCACCGCCGTCTCCTAAAGATCCTTCATATCGCTGCGACCCTGGGCAAAAACGAGTCGCACAAGAAGATACCCAAGGCGATCATAAGAGGATGAAACAAGATAGACTTCCTAAGATCCAAGACCTCAAAGAAACACTCAACCTTGGGCCTGAATGGACTGTGAATCATATCTGCCGACGATGGGTACCTCTTTGCTGAAAGAGACGTTTTTGTTGAAATTCTGTGTATACCTTAGTATACCTGGGAAGAATTTTTGTATCATTATGCCATGAAACAAAGTATGCTTTAGCTCACAAGAATACTATGAGATTCTGTGACCCACGTCTTGATATATTCCACAGTAGGCAAAATAATACTAAGTCTGCTGGTATAGCTTCTCTCACCCTAATCTCACCCTTCCAAGCGAACTTCGCAACTCCCCACGACACAACCAAATTTTTTTAACTTTCCCTTACAAGGTCCCTGGACTCGTAAGGCTGTTTTCTCATTACTCTCCTCCCCAGATAACTTGTTCTCAGCCCTGTAGCACCAGTATGACTGCCGCAGGGGCTGGTGCAAGCTCGTCGACCCCGACCGCCAAAAGTCTTCTCGAGTCACAACGACTCGCCATCCAACATCTGACCAGGCAAGAGAGGAAAGGTATAGCATCCTGCTGGCCCTTTCACCTCAATGCAAGGACCGATCGGAACAAACGACAAATATTGTTGATCACCTAATCTATTCTCGACGCGTTTTCCAAACCATTCCTTCAGTATACCTTTTGTACAGGTAGCAGCGGTGGCAGCAGCATAACGCTGCCACTTCTTGTTTTTATGGCTATCCGCATAGTTACACACTCCTTTCACCACAATAGTCGGAATCGTATCCCACAAGCCGGCCCCTTCCATTTCGAAACCAATCACATCTTCTTCTTTGGCAATGCAGTCGTGGTGCAATCCACATTTTATAACTTGATCGCCGGAACCCAGTTCACCAAATGGATTTCAGGACAGTATGACTTTCCCTCGGCATTATCAGCTCAAACGTAGCTGGATTCACCAAGAGAAGTACAGTCTGTGCCATGATGTTCGTGGCATACTGTGTGGGAAATATTGTGGGAAATACTGTCGGGCCTCAGTTTTTTCGTCCCTTCTGAGAAACCCGCATATCCTGTAAGTGATATTGTTCACTTTTTCTTGGCTTTCTCTCAAAAACTAACCGGCTACAATAGACCGATATCAAAGCAGCCATGTCTGGCTTAGTATTCGGTATATTTTTCTTGATATGTCTGTATACATCGGTAAAACCGACTACGAGACCAGCTTTATGGATTATCACAAGAGATGACGGAAGAAGAAGAGCTGCAAGACGAATTTTCAAATAAGACAGATCATGAGATAGAGAGCTTCCGATATGTACTATAAGTATCTAACCAAAAAGGGTTGCAATAAATTGGCTACATTGTCCCACCTGAGCAGCAGACTTATCATCTTGTGTTTGCCTTTCCTTTCTTGTATCGCGTTCCATGGCACACGAGTAGATATTTGGCAAAAAATTCTTCCGCTAGATCATCAAATGGCTCATATGTAGCACCTAGTTGATACGCAGCTGCGATACCGGAAATACAGGCTATTTCATGCATGTTCTGAGCAAGAGAAATTAGCATCGAGGAAAAGAGGTCAAAAAATACGACCTCACTTACTACTAAAGTCCAGCTACCTGCAAAGTGAGTCCGATTTTGACCATTAATAAACATCATTCCCGGCACAACGCGCAGGTAATGCTGCCACCGATGGCCAAATTGGTGCCACCATTTCTTGCTGATAATTTTTGATTCGTCGATTTTATCCCATGTCCACAAATTCTTCTCTCGATCATTCAAAAAGATGGTTTGAAAGACATGCCGATTGTGGGGTAGTGGGCGTTGACCTTCTCCTAGACTGTCACGGAACTGATGTTGGTAGTTTGTGCAGTCAAATCCCATCTCAATCTTCTCCGGTTCTGTTGCGAGGGAGTGCGTATAGTACATTGGCTGGAACCCTTGCCACCCATCCTTCTCGCAAGTTGGTTGCTGTTCAGCAAACGAAATCTGGTCTTTTCTTTTCTTTAATGATAGTTTGGTACACAGGCTGGGGTCATATTGAGCTTGGAAAATGCTTTGAAAGTAGCTTGAGTCTGAGTGGGTGATGGTGATATCATTGAAGAACTTCACACCCCCAAGAACATACCTTTCACGCCAGGTAGCATGCTGACCAAGGAGGCGTTTTGCTTGATCTGCTGGACAGCAGAAGACTAGCTCATCGAATATCTCGGCTGATGGGTGTGAAGAACGCTGGTCATGATCATTATCTTTTGACTGGATGTCAAGAATAATATCTTTACTGTCTCTTTTGAGTATCGTCACAGTTGAGTTGAGTCTCATTTTGACCCCCTTAGCGCGTAAATCCTTTGCCCAGTCTTCATAGAAATCTCCTAGGTTGGGAAAAGTGTACATGGTCGGCAGATTAGGCAATAGAGTATCCGGATCATAATCCCACAATTTCATTTGTGGGTCATCAAACAGACGCTCCAAGAGTACGCTGGGCACATTGACAGTCTGATTCCCAGTACCCAGGAACAAGGCCAGCAGCGGAAGAACCATTTTGTTACTGAATTGGTGACTGAAGCAGAAAATTCTCAGAATAAGCTTGACTGGCAAGAGGCCAAGAAGCGGCATCAGGTACTTGATACATTTCAAGACCCGACCAAGCTTTTTAATTTCCTGTGAGTGTTGATCCACAAGAGGACTGGGGAAAACATTCGTCCAGAAATCATCGCCACCTTTTCCAAAAGAGACCTGGAGTTTGACTGGCTGAGGCTCATAGCCGTATCTTTGAAAGAAGTGAAATGTGTGACGGAAGATTGGAGATCCCCCTGCACTCCTTCATTCATCCAGCTCGCGCCGTATTTGGATTTATCTAAGGAGATTGACGTAGCTTGGCCACCGGTATGAGATTCAACATCGATCATGGTCACCTCAAATTGATCCGGGTGATCTGCCAGGGTTGAAGCGCATGACTGTGTAATGTTAGGGTCTATATACCTGTAATAGTTCATGGATACCTACCATTCCTGCACCCCCAGTGCCAATTATAGCCACTTTTTTCTTTGGAGGATCTCTAGACATTATTTTCTCTTCTATTGTAAAGACTGGATTGTTTAAATTCCAACTTATAAGACCTTGCTTGTTTATAAAGACCATTTTGGCTTAAAGTTCAATCTTGATTGCGACACGATGGTGATGTCAGGGCCAAACATTCTTTTACGATCAACCAATCATCGAGGGAAGCTTCAAGGTAGAAGTAAAAGGCTGGAATTTTGGAAATTGGAAATTACAAAAGTGAAACTGAGACAGTAATTTGACCAGAACTCCAGAGAAATAGAAAAAATCAAGTTCACATAATGCGAAGTATAAAACCCGATGTCTGGTCACATGACTTCTGGGATATTTCCGATTCCATCCAAAGTAATGGGGATAAAGCATGGCACAATTCCGAACGCATACCAAGGTTACTGGAGCCCCAGACTATGATGACCCAAAATTTTGGGATGTTCGGTTCGCGACTGGCCAGGACGTGGGCGAATGGCTCAACTCGGGCGAGGTGATAATTGAGGCAGCCTTGGCTAGCTTGGAATGCACAGGGGTAGAAAGCAAAAGACCCCGGGTCTTGCACTTAGGCCCTGGCTTATCCCAGTTAGGCGCAAAACTGCGAGATGCTTGTCTTGATCGGCAATGGATGGCCAATGGCATCGTGGTAAGTAATATCTCATGTTGGCATTATTTCCAGGCGCAGACACTCACTTGCGATTAAACAGAATGTAGATTTTTCCGCCGAGGCTGTTCGACAGGGTCTAGAAGCTGAATGCAAAACTCCGCCCAACCAAGCAATGCATTGGCACCGCGCTGATCTTCTCTCGTGGAACGATGTCTCTGACATTTCTCCTTTCGCGCCTTTTGATGTCATTCTCGACAAAAGCACTAGCGATGCCATTTCGACCTGTAGCGACCGTAAAATCTCGACAACAGACGCTGAATCTCTCTGTCCCACGGTTGAACAGATTCTATCCACAAACCCCGTCACCAATCTTTCTCCAGTGGAGCTTCTTGCCTTACATTTGGTCCCGCTGACGCGAAAGGACACCACATGGATCGCGCTTTCATATTCGACTCTGCGGTTTGACAACCTTCCTCTTCTGGGGATGTATTGGAAACTCCGCTCGCGCACCCCATTAAAAGCACCTGCTGGGCGTGTCTCTTCGTCCGCCTATACTCCTGAAGTGTTTCACTGGTTATATATCCTGGACCGTAAATAACAATGCCGGTTTTTGTAGCCGACGGTTCTATCATATACCGCATGTAAGCCTTGACTGGACTTACCTATCAATCGAATACAAATCAGAACTCCAGATAACTCATTGATGAACAACAAGCGATATAATTCGAATAATTCATTCCAACTGAGATCAGCTACTAGGCAGATTAATTACATCGTGTCACTCGTGTGCAGACAGGATTCCTCGACTTAGGCGTTTTGACTTGCTTGCCTAATTCCGCATATTCATGCAAGATCCAGGGAACCTGCTTCTAGTGTCCTGCATACTGCATACTATCTACTAATACCCCACTTATACTCTAATCCTTAACAGCCTAGAACGACCGCTGTAACAGAGTCAGCTTTGAATGATCTTGAAAAGGCGAAATTTTTTTTTCAAAACATACCATTTGCATAAAGAGCATATGTATCCGCATTCATCACAGCATCGCTGCTGCTGAGGCCTGTAGCAGCCGAATAGCCATATCCCAAATCCTCTGTTCCAGGCGTGTAGACACCCGGTGCATGAGTGAACTCATGTAGAGCAGTGGTAGCTTGGTCTTGTTGATGACATTTCACTGCCATGGCTGGCAGATATGAATACCAGATTTCGCAGTTCGCAATGACGTTTTGATATGGGAGCGTGTAAGCGAGTACATTTGTCGAGCAATAACCAAATGCATCACCACAGTAATAAGTGGTGCTCCCTGAATTCGTCGACTGTGCTTCTTTTGCAATTGCGCGCAGCCTTTTTACCACATCCTTCCGCACTGAATCATCGGTTGTCTTGAAATATTCCTTGAATTTCGAAGCTGAACCATTGTGAGCGGCATTAGCCGCGGCATTGGCGACAGCAACTGTGTTGCGTAGCGCGAGATCAAGCATTTCATTGTGATTGGTATTGTTGCAGCTCTCGCGCGTGCGGCGGTGTAGAGGGTTAATAGCTTTGGCCACTTGAGATGCCTTCATCGCATCCACTTCGATACTTAGATCATTAGAGTGATAAGACACATAACCTGATACATTTCCATCTTGGACAAGTGGCACCAGACCACTAGATTGTAGAGTCATCAATCCTCCGTGAGCAATATCACTTGTTGCGGCAATATCAAATTCATCTTCTAAGACCTCTCCAGCATTAAGGGTGGTTAGCGCTTCCAATGTGAGCCCTTGAAACCTAAATGACCGTCTTATCCCCTGGAATGCCACCTCTGAGTCTGAAAAATTATTAGCAACACACCAGGCAGATCTTGAACTAGTGTCCATACTATTTTGGTAAACCTTGACCTTCTTCACAGGAGCGCTATCTCGAAAGAAGTTGAGATGCACGAAGGTTAAGGATTCATCCCCAGTATTTTGAACAACTGCCTTGATTCGAGTTCCGTCCACTTGGCTCAAGGTCACTTCCAAGCTCGGTCTATTTATCTCAGTCGGCAAAGCACAGATCTGCTGTGCCAGAACAAGGAGCGTCGAGAACCAAACCAGATGCATGATTACAAGGACTGAGGAAACTTAGGTCCAATCAATAGATAGGCGGGCTCTGATTGACAAAACTCCGGTGATTCCCTTTGGAGGCTGTTGATATAAATGCCGCAGCTGAAAGAGGCCGAACACAGTGATTTTATAGATCAACATCCATCTTACAAAATTCTCCGCAACTTAAATTGATATATCCGGCATACTGATTCTAAAATTATTACATGAGCATGACAGAAAGCTATGATAAAAATTTTCTGCACGGAACCTGAACTAGAAGCCTCCATACAGCTCCTGATACGTGAGAATATGGCTTGGGCTCTTCTTCGCAAGGTAGGTTGCCGCGATTTCCTCACGCAGATGCATTCATAGTGTGATTGCTTCCTTTAATTGGACTGCCCCTTATCCTATCACTGCTACCTTAGGAACATGTCAAAACTTCCATTGGACTCTCGAGGTCAGCACTATCTCAAGTTAGATTGAGTCCCGCTTTTTCAGTGACAAGATAAGGACGTTGCACATACAGCACCTGAACCTGCATACCAAAAACCAAACTCCCAAGGTCCGTTGCACAGCCTGGTAAGGAGAAACTTGATTGTCTATGTGGCTACCTCTCTTTCCAGCTTTTCACACATGGGGCAAGGTTTTGGGCTTCAAATCTCCTTGGAACACCTATCAAAATTGACGGAGAGAAATGCGTTCCATTCCTCTAATTAAGACAGCTTTCTTTTCATCTCCCATTGAAAAACATTAACTGGAATCTTTAAACCATTTTCAATTCTCCAAGGTCATTCTCAGAGCAGTCGCAATTCACCTTTATCCATCTAGACACCACTAAAAACCTTGGAACAAGGGAACATTGCCTAGATATGTTCATGGGAAACCCCTGAACCCATGGACCCTCGTGGGGCCCGGTGTGGGCATAGAAAATCTCCTTGGTTTGTTATACAAAAAAGATTAGATGCTGCCAGCCGAAACTACCTAGGTGTAGAATGATCACGCAAGCTTACTGGGTCAGGGGAAGATCTCGTGAGACTCCCTGTTGGTCAGACCCTTGATAAAATCCAATGGCTAATCTGAGGGCCATGATGGCTCCCTTGGCGGATGTCACTGCATCCCAATGAAATAAATTAAATTCTGAGAAATCTCCATTGAATCTTACTGCTCATCTTCAAAAATACCTGGGAATGTTTAATGTATTTTTTGACTGGCCCACTCGCTGCGGCTATTCCAAGGTTGAAAATTTATACAGCTTGGTATATTCTCTTTTAATGGCTAGGTAACTTTGATCTGCCAATCCTTAATATTTCAACGTTCTTATTGTAACCTCACAACAAGGGTCGAGTAACACTTGGTGAACCATTAGGTAACAGCGAAGTGAATATCACACGATATTGAGAATGACGGAATTGAAACAAAGACACCATTTATAGATGGCTGTTAATACATAGTTAAATGAATGTAGCTATGACTAAATTGAGTCTTGGGAAAAGAAGCTAGTGCCAATGTCAGAGAAGTCATCCAGCTCAAAGGGGAGAAGGGACATCATTTCGACATTAAACACATCCTCGAATGAAAGGAGATTCACCGTGTTCGATGGCAGGGAGATGTCTGCATTTTCTTCTAATCCCTTCCTGTCAGGTTGATTTTCTGTTTCTGGTGCCATGAGTAAAGCGATCCAAAGAAAACTTTGAAGCCGGGCATCACATCACATACCTTGAACAGGAATCTCTGTTTGATTGATGGAAGGTGTTTGGATGATTCTCTGGCCACCAAATCGCTCCCTCCATTTCCACATTTGATCGTGGACTAGGCTAGCAGAAAGCCTGGTTTTAAGCTTCAAGTGAGGTTCCTGTTTACTCTGTTCAGAACTTCCTTGTAAACTCCACAGCTGTGCCAGAATCTTCGAAATCCGCCCTGGCATATCATTGTCTTCTAATGATGTCCGACGCATGAGTAAAAGAGCAGTATTGAATGCAATCTTCCCGCCTTCTACATCGAGAATACTCGAAAAACTGGAGTCTGCAAGATGCAGGATAAATACAGCTGCCAGAAAGACTGTACGGAAGTACTCTGAGGGGCAATGCTTCATAAAATTGGACGTGGTATCGAGTTGTTGCAGTTTGTTGAGCAAGTCTTTGGACATGTCGAAGGCTCTTATGAGTCCAACTTTGCGGTTGAGAGACTTTCCAGAGTCGAGAAGGTAGAAAACGTAGAGCTGGAGACCTACTCCACTAAGCAAAATCTCATTTTCAACTTATTGGCTTGAATGTTAACAAATTGTATATACAGCAGTGTTTGGAGTTGTCGAGTTGGAAAGTTACCTATAATCGTGTCGCCGAAATATCTGGAGAGGCTTGCAAACTCTTGTTCTAAAAGTCCCAATACGGAAGAGTTTTCTCCCGACTGGGATGAACGAGGAAAACAGTTTGACATGTAATTGCTCACTCGGCCTGAAAATCGGTATATCAAGAGCTGATGTTTTATGACCTCGGGAATGATATATGTATTCTTTTCATCACAAATACGATCAACCATTTGATCAGAGGATGCTAATGTCAGGCCATAGTTGGTGAATATGCTGCAATTTATTTGATTTTTTTCTTAAAAAATAATTCCTTCACACGGGGGAGAGATTTCAGATGATTTATTTACCTTTGGCTGGAAATATAGCAAACAGACCATGTGCGCGCCACCTCACAAATTTCTGCGGGGCTTAACTTCCTCCTTGTCCGAGAAAAATCTTGGATTGCTTCTGGCTGATGTAATCCAAGCTGCATGGCGATTGTCTGGGCAATGTTAACTAGAACTGGTGTCATATCGGTTGAGAGGGAAGAAGTAGGAATTGGCCACATGGAAAGAAGAGAGATCGACTGAACAATGTACCAGTTATGTGGTGGTGTTGAGATAGTCTCCCATAACAGCTTTTTCAGCGGAGATGCTAATTCAATCACCAAATGAGGCTCAGCCATGTTATGGCGTGATGAAATATAGATGATCACCCAAAATAGAAGTGGGCATCTATTGAAGTACTCATTTGGAGACACAGAGGCATCCAACAAAGGAATAAATGGGTGATAAATGGTAAAGTATCTATGGTCCATAAGCCATCTGCCAATGGAAGCACTTGACGATTGCATACTCACATGCGAAATAGAGATTCGATCTTTGATGAGCTGAGACGAACATTCTCTAGGTATCTTAGATCTGGTACTGATGTAGAAGCCCATGCTGCTGTATTAATCTCATCATTTAGTGGAACTGGTGATGCTACTGGGTGGCTAGCTTGTGTAGAATGTGAAGCCTCCAAGCCACGATTGAGAGACCGATTAATCGACAATGACCTTTTTTGGACAGACTGTGAAGGCGCGATTGGAAGATTAGACACTGATGATCGAAGCTGACGGACTTCATCTTCCAATTCCTCAAGTCTCCTTCAGGATTAGTTAGCCTTGCTCTTGAATTTCGGGAAAGCCGAGGGACCCACGCGCGCTTATTGACCCTTTTAAATTCAGAATCAATTTGGCAGGTCTGGCCCATTCGACCGCATCTTGTGCAGGGTGTTGTGCCATTTAGTAATTCACATCGAATCTACGATTAATTCAGCTTCAATTCAGGGAGTCGAAGAGTTTGTGTTCAGCGCGGTCGCGTTTCACAACCCCGTTCTCACCTTGGCCTGTCTACATTGCCGGCCTAGAGTACCGTCAGCTCTTGGGTATTGTAGTGAAAATACCGATATACTCACACGCAATTCGCCGGCCACGTCGAGTTGGTGAACTAGTTGAATCGTGGGGCTGCATCATTCTTTAGATCTTTTAAGAATGAAGTTGTGTTATCGACGAACTTCGAACTTCTTCTTCACGATCCACGTGATTTGCAATGAAGTCAAAATTGAAATCTTTCAACCTGGGAAAATTTCACTGATTTCACTATTAAAGTACTTTTTCGAGCCTGAAATTCTTTCGATGAATCAAATGTAAATAGTTATAAGGGAGCTATTAGGGGAAATTAGCACACTACGCATTCTTCCACCTTCAAGTAATTCGATGATTTTCATCCGCACCAAACAGATCACTCCAGTACGCTTACAGTGCTGATGTAAATCATGCCATATCTTCAATATCTGTTTAACATCATTCTATATATCACATGCCTGGCTTAGACCGTAGATTTGCGATAAAGCCATCTAACTTAATCTCATCTACCTAGGTCTAATTTCTTCATCTTGTGTATCTATAAACTGATGAATGTCTATGGGTTCGTGAATAGCTAAATACTGACTTTGTAGATGATCCATATCTTGAATGATATCAGACTGAATTGTTGAACTTCGGAGGTCTTTAGATATAGATACAGATGGTGATCTAGATTGATCTAGTTGAAGTCCTCTCTTAAAGCAATAAGAGATAGTTTGTGTCGCTCGCTTGGCGATATTCGAATATCTTGACTGAGAACGGTGAGCTCCAACGAACCGCTACTCAACACCGTAGACAATCCACCGATCTGGTAGTGGATTCCTACTAGTTGAATATTGCGATTGTTGTGAAGTCTGCTTTTTCATTGATGAAAGAACTAGCTATTTATAGTATATGGGTGCCCCTCTGCCCTGGACGAATGTCAACATTCGTCCGAGACAGAAGAGACGGTGAAGACGGGACATTACTGTCGCGGATGCACATCGCTCAAGGGTGTCGTTTGCGATGAATGCATATCGTTCAAGGATGTCGTGATATACTAATCTAGTTCCCGAGTCACTGTCTCGGCAGAAGCTTTTTCGGCCGAAATACTTTCCGTCTGTTGATGGCCTTGTTTCTCGGCTGTCGCAACAGTTTGGTCGGAAATCCTTACCCCTATGCTTAATTTGCCTATCCGATAGTTTAAAGAATTTTGATTGTTACTAATGGATTAGACTCAGCATCATACTTACCTAGGTATGAACTATATAGCGAACCTACTCTCTTCGTTAATATGCTTCCTATATACGAATAACCCCCTGATCAAGTGGCTGATAACGGCTAGTTATTTTAGAAGCAAGCTATACAATGAAGGTACTGAGTAGCGGTTGATCAGATTCAGCAATCTCGCGAATAGTAGCTTCATAGGCAGAAAATTGTCTAGCTATTATTGTCCTGAAAACTGAGAGTCAAACCAACATAACTACTATTTAAAAGTCTGGCCATCTAAGCTTCTATATTGGGACGCTGCTGAATACATGACTCTTAAGGTCCTCCGTCATTGAAGATTCTTCAAGAATTGATACACCTATACCCTATAACTCGGTCCACTTTTTGGATAGTTCAACCCTTTTCGTACTACTATAACTAGCTAATCAGGTAGTCGCTATTTATATCAGTCAAATTTATCATATTCTATCACAAATTGAAAAAACCATAACATTATGATATGCTCTATATGCTTTTCGATAGAGTCATGTATAAGTTGAAAAGAACATGAAACTCGTATAATGTTGAATCACCGGGTATCGAATAGAAAGATCACTCGCATCACGCTTAAGAAAACTTTAAACAGACAAAGTAAGATGCTTCTTGACATGAACATCAATCTTCTCCAACAACTCCGCCTTGCGCGAGTCTTCAATCCAGCTCTCCTGTACACTATTCTCAGCGATAGTGCGCCACTCGGGGATAGAAAGATTGTGAGCGTCCTGGACAGCACAGTAGTTGTCCAGAATGTAACCGCCGAAGTAGGCAGGGTCGTCGCTGTTAATCGAAAACTTCACACCAGCCTCAAGGAACTTCCTGATAGGAACTTCAGAGACAGATTTCACACAGCGGAGGCGGACGTTTGACAGAGGGCAGACGGTCAGCAGGGTTCCCTGGCGAGCGATACGCTGCATGAGCTCTTCATCCTCGACGAGGCGGATACCGTGATCGATACGTGTGGCGCCGAGCTCAAGGGCAGTGCTGATATATGTCGGGTCACCCTCCTCACCGGCATGGGCAGTAAGGGGGATGTTCTTTTCCCTAGCTAGCGCGTAAATGTCGCGGAACATGTCTTTGGGAGGACCGACTTCGCTAGAAGACCAGCCAAGACCGTGAACGACACCAGATTCAAAGTGTTGAGCATTGATAAGCTGATCATAAACGCTCTTTGCTGAGGCAACAGGCAAGTGTCGAACGAAGCACAGGATTAGCCGTGTGCTGAGGCCTAGCACGCGCTCGGCACGCTTGCAGCCCTCTGAGAAACCACCGACGATAGTCTCGTAGGGGATTCCACGGTCGAGGTGCACCTGCGGGTCAAAGAATACCTCGGCGTGGTGTACACCATCGGCATGGGCGATTTCGAAATAAGACCAGGCAAGGTCAGCAAAGTCCTGCTCGGTGCACAAAACAGCCATGCCCTCAAAGTAAAAGTGGAGGAAATCATCCAGAGAAGAGAAGTGCTCATAGCGAGTAGATAAAGTCTCAACTGATTCAAATGCTGGCTGGACTGCTGGATCAGGCAGACTGATGCCATTACGCTTTGCGAGTTGGAAGATAAGTTCAGGAGACATGCAACCCTCGAGATGAACGTGATGCTCGCATTTGGGGAGTCCCTTTAGGAAAGCATGTAGTAAGTCTTGTTGACACATGGTTGAAATTTAGTAATTGGAGATATAAAAACTGGTGGGAAAAGAGCAACGAACAGAAAAATGTATTTCAAAGATTTCAAATATCAAGGAGCGGGTGAGTGCGGATTTCTGGAACCACGGGGATCTTGCCGAATCAAGTCGAGTTCACCGACAGTTCAGTTCTACTCTCTACAAGTAAGAGAAAGATTAAGATAGTTTAAGAACAATAAACTTTTGCAGATCGGAGGTCGCTAGTCTAAATAAAGAACCTCAAATGCTGAGGCAGTCTTGATTTGACATTAATTTATTGATTTATGCATAATTCCTCCGCACGTGGAAAATTAGAAAAACCCCATTGCCTATTCGTGGCATGATGAATGGATTGTCTAGGCTATATTCCTCCACTTTCAAATTTCCCCAACAAAGTTTTGCCCCTGAATATCTCCTTTGGGAGCTTGCCGTAGCGACTCCCTGAGCTTTCTCACCTCGTTGGCCTCAACAATCTCACTAGAAAGCCCTAGAGCACTGGAGTGAAAAACTCGCCCATGGGTTCTCTGCCACAGAATTCCAACATTGTCAAACCGCACACCACCTCCAATAATAATCTCTGGTCTGACTGTTTCGTCACAAAGACGCGCAAGTGCATCGATACAATCAATAGCCTGTTCTCCAGATGGCCCACTGGTAAGAATTGAAGTAAAGCCACACTCCATTAGCTCCGTTAGCGCGCCACCCCAATGAGCTTCATCGATGCAGTCAAATGCTCGATGGAATGTACATGGCTTCCCACCGGCGAGTTGCACCAGCTCTTTATTTCTGGCAACATCAACCCATGATGCGTCAGAAGTGTCTGATGGGCCTTCGTTGAGAATACCGAAGACAAACCCGTCCGCCCCAGCATTCTTCAGACTCGTCAGAGTAGACTTCATGGTTTCAAAGCTTACATTATCGTAACAAAAGTTCCCAGGCCGCGGTCGGATCATCACATAAATTGGGATCTTGACAAGTGACTTCAGTCTCGCTAATAGCGTTTCATCGGGCGATAGCCCACCAGAAGCGTAATCGTGGCATAATCTGCTGTGATTTAGTATTCCAAGACTTTTTATCAAGGCTCCGAAGACCTACTCAATGCGATCAGCTCCTCCTTTCATAGCATTGATAGCCGATTGCTCATTGAAGCAGGCAATCTCTAAGAGTACCTTCCTGTGAATATTTAAATTGTCCATAGCAGGGATAGTCTGAGTTGATTATAGCAATCAAATTATGGCTTTGGTCTGTCTTTCCAGAGAGTGAAATCTGATGTGGGGCAAGGATGCTTTAAGCTCCGAGGCACAGATCGATAATTAGTGGTGGGGTCGTTTATCAAGTTAGCAATTTCGTTAACTAGTAGTTCACTAATTCTTTACCGGTTCTGGGCTAAACGGCCTAATAATCCAATCCTTGGAGGTCTAAATGGTTACAAGTAGTGTAGAAACGACTCCAAAGGAGAGCTGGGCTCATATTGAATGCAAAAATGATAAGTGCACTGTACATATGTCCAGCTTATGTATTGTGTCCGGAGCTCTGGAGGGCTCAGGACATTACACAAGCAGCATCCCGAGGTTAGCTAGCCATTCAAAATTCATGAAAGGTCACATAAGGAATCAGTATCAATAGCTATTCCCTTGATTCCTTGCCAGAATGGCAAATGACATGGTGTTAAAATTCGAAAAGGCCAAAGATTGCACTCTCTTTCAAAATCGGCTTTCAGTGCTTGAGTAAGTTGCCAAAAACACTGCATAGGAGCGGTAAAAGGCATTAGTTGGGATTGATATCACAAATTCAGTTCTTTTTTGGCCAGAATCAATCTCTTGCACCAGGCGCACCAAGCGCGATGCTCACCACTCTTTTCTCGTTTGAGAAAATCCGTAAGTTCATCCTCGTACTCCGGCACACACGCACCAACCAAGTAGCGGTGCTTTGCTTTTTGTTTGAGCTTCCCGCCAAGCCCTACGGTCTCTTGTCGGAAATATCCTGGCTCATCATGGTCACTCACAGTGAGAGTACTGATATCCGTATCGACCTCGACTTCTTGGGCAGTTAGACAGCCTTCACCGCGCCCACACTTTAAGCCTTCGGAGCCCACCCCGATTCCGGTGCCGAGACCCTCGCCTAGGGAAGTAGAGTATCGCTCTCGCCAAGTCCATATACGTCGGTAGATAGTGTCGTCGCTATGGGTTTGGCCGCATCCATTGCACAGCCACACGACATTCTCGCAAGTACAAATATTTTGTGAGATAGTCGCAGCAATGATGTGTTGAATGCCTTGATCAATTGCCGAGAAATCTTTGTCTGGAATGCAATGTATATGGGAGGAAATAGGTGCAGTGCGGCAGGTTTGACATATACGACGGATGCGTCTTTCAAGGGCAGTTTGGGAAGGGGGCTTGGCTGTACAATTCTATGGTTAGAAACATTAGTAACACTTCATGAAAATGTCAGACAACTCATGCTTACCCTACAGATGATCATACTACACCGTCGACATTCGTCCACCATGTCGCGGGCGCATGCGCGCACTTGCCCGCGCGTCAAGCGACCAGTCTCGGTTCTTCCTCCTCTCCCTATAGATCGCGAAACATGTGTGTCTTCACCTGCGTTCATGGTACCTTCTGCGAACAGGTCGTCTCCGATTATGGGGTACTCGTTTTCACAACGTAGGGTCTCGCGCACTAGCTGGTGCCGGAACTGCGTCAGGTTGGCTTGAAATTGGCGGCATGTAGATGCGAGTGCATGAAGGGTATTCAGGTCAACAGAGCGGGCAATCTCCTTGACAATGCTAGTTAGTCGCTGTTAGTGAATAATTGAAACATGGAGGGTGGCCCCACGTACGGATAGCAGCTCAAGCATGCGGAGAAAGCATTGCGGTTCGGGATATATATCGTGGGGCTTTCGGATTGGGTATGAGTTGCATTGTGGCTGTCATCTAATACGGTTGACAAAGAGGATAGATCGATTGACTTAGCCGTCGCATTGGGCGCAACCATCAACTTGAATGGGAAAGGATTCTCCAAAGATAATGTCGATCCGAGATTCTCGGTGAAGTCATCGCTGTCCAAATCAACAAAAACGACCATTCTGTTAATATTTCGAAGGTACAGTCTCAGACAAGTAGAGTGTCAATAGAGAGTTGCTCAACAACATGAAGGAGTTATTCCGATGACATCGTTCCCCAGTTTGGCTGATAAGATTGATAGGTGCCGACATTGACGCCCGATATACCAGGCAACAAGGCAACGAGGAATACGAGCCATCCGAAAATTCGTATTCAAATATTACCTAGGTATGCATATAAAAGATTGAAATTGGTGATAAGAGTAAGTGTTAACATGCCCAGGTGGGCAACAACATGAAAATCTGAAACCTAGTATGAAGCTCACCTAGTGCCTAATTATAGGTTATAAAGAGACCGAACAATGGTGATTGTTAATAAAGGGCATTGAATGTCTTGATCCTTTTTGGCTGCCCCAGTGTGAGATCTATTGTTGGTAATATATTTCAGTCTAAAAGCCTTCTTTGAATATAAGGTCAAGTGAATCACCATATTCATCCATATCCCGGGTGGAAATATCATAAATAGGCAGTGATCCAGTTCCGTAGCCCATTCGCAATTGACATTCAGGATATGAGCAGCGCCTTAACTTTGGTACAATCTTTCAAATAAATTAAAATTTCATAGCTGGCGATGTCCAAGCTATCATACATCTACGAGGAAAAAGAGGAAGATGAGCTCATAGACCTCCAATCCGGCATGGAAACACTTACAATAACGATTGCTAACGATCTTCAAGAACTAAAGGTGGATATTGGCAAGCTACAGCAGCAGAGGGAGGACATATTAAGACTAATTGAAGCCTCACAACAACCCATGGTACAAGCCAATTTGGACACACCAGCGGCCCATTTTCAAATCTCCCACGCCCTCGCTATGGCTATCAGTTTTATAGGAATTTCCCTTCTTGACCAAGCGATGAGAGAGTGCAAAGGAGCTTTGAAAATTGCTCAAGAGCTTAAACATGAAACAAGTATTGCGAGGTGCTACTATTGGATGGGCCGTATTGAACTCGAGCTCCAGAACTTGCCAGCCGCCCACACATACTTCGATATTGCGAAGCCTTGTGTAATGGATGACCAGAATTCAGAAGGTACAAACTGGGGATTTTATTGGAATCTCACAAAACCCACTCTTAGTGAAGATTTTCGAAAGCGCATGCTGTTCTATCATGATATTGGAGTCCTTGAGGACACAGCAGAAAGTGAGCCAGGGTTGGTGATGGTGAATACTCGGACGTCGATGAAGCGTAAACGTGAAGATAGATGGGAATATGTTCTTCGCAGTCCAACAACTTCTAAAAAGTCCAGATCTCAATCTATCGAAAGGTGTCAAACTCAAAGAGGTAGACCTACAGTGTGGATGGTTGGCGACACCGAAGATCTTCAGAGCCAATTCAGAAAGACTGCGATAAAGAGTGGAAAGGAAAGTTCTTCAAAAACAGACTGGGAGTGGAAAGGAACCTCAAAGAACGGCCATCGGTTTAAGGGAACTCAATTCACATTTCGCAAATACCCAAAGGGTCTATCAAGTCGTACGCGCCCAATGAGTATTTTTGCTGAACTGCCAGATGAGTGTATTATTTCAGCTGACCAATGGAAATTCCTGAACGGCACTTCAAAGGATCTGTGGACTACTATGGATTATCTTGCTGAAGAGAGGATGGATTTGAAAAAGAGGAAAGAGAAGAAGGAAGGACAGACTAGCTCCAGCGGCCACCGGCAGCCACCCAATTTATCATGCAGATGATAGGAACTCTCATCGGTGCTGTCTTCAACTATGTTATGATGAACAGCGTTGTCGCTAATTAGTGAGAGATTCTGCTCTCCGTCGAGGGAATAAAAATTTGGTCTAGTCAACAACCTCAACAATACAATAGTTTGGTAAGTATTCATTCCAACCATTCTAGATATCTTAAATTTGTGTTTCCTACATTATATACTTGTCGGGATACTCAGGTCGTGGGTATCTACAATAGCTTGCTATCGGACTTCAGCTTACGCCGCAAGTGGTCTACTTTTGCGTGTAGTACGTGCGGTAGTTGTAAGTTGTAAGAAGTGGTTGATTATCATGAAACTGCTGCTATGGATATGGTACCTGGAAGTCACATGATAAGCATGTGGCTTCCCACCCGATAAGCGGCGAGTGATCCCATGATAAGCATGAGATGATAGTACCAACAATACTCAAAATTGATTCTTTCAAATAGTATGCTGCATGAGGAGGTCTTGCTCACGAGCTGTTTTCAGACGGCTTCAGTTCACAATGGTGCACTCTTGTGATCATTATTAGTTTCTTCGCCCCTTGTTCTTTTGGCTTCTTCACAAAAAGTTTCCCAAAGATGGCTTTAACATGATTAATATATTTTTATGGTGTACTACTGTTCTTATCTTTGCGTTGGTATCAATTCATCTGATGTTCTTCATTATCAGCTTTACTTCACAATGGTGGCTCAGACGCTACTACCCAAAAATCTTTATCAGATAAAACTGCCTGGTATCTGCCGCTCTAAAATGTGGCACATCTGACATTGTACTCATCTTGTCTTTCGCAATTTTTGGCGCTGCCAGGAAATGTGTTTCGTTCCCTACATACTGTAGAAACAACTCTAATGGTAATTACGACCTTTGTGGACTTGTCATGATTGAGATGAGATAAATTTATAGCTTCAGTTCAAACATGGCGAACCCTGAACCTTGAATTTCTTGGTTACTTAGAAGCTACATAGGTACATAGTGCGGCAAGACCCGTGGACCAGAGCCATGGGTCTCCAGCGTTTGAAAGGTTCGCATGACACGAACAGTGAACCATGAAAATACCTACATCTCTGTTCTATATTCCTAGGTGTAATTCAAACTTAAAAAGAGTTAGTCTGTGTGCCTCCAACCTTTGAAAGTAAGACTTGCAACTTGCGTGGATACTAACATTCAACATCCCATAGACTTAAGCTAAAAAATTCATATCACCAACTTTGAATGAGACTTTTTACAGTTTAACGGGTTTCATGCTGCTGCAAACTAAGCTTCCCGTGTTACACTAACAAGCCTTAAACTGATGAACTGAAAGATTAAAGTTTTATTGACACAGTAGGCTAAAGCAATCGCATTAAATATGAGTAATGATGACGGTACTGGATTCGATCCCACGGCCTGTATGTTGCAGAATTAATCAATTTATAATATCTAGCTACTACTTATGAGAGCCTGGACTGGAGAATTCCAGGAGAACTAGTTGACTTGACTTGACGCAGTACAAGAAATAACAGTGATACAAGAACCCCTGGGAGGACGTCAAACCCCAAAGTATCAAAAGCAATGAATGACGTAAAGCTTCAATCCATGTCCGTTCCATCGGCACCATTTCACGGATTTAATCATGCGGCCTGAGAATACAGCGCACAAGGAGTATTACTACGGCATATTTTTCCTCCTGATTGATAAACGCTGCATCATATCTACGGTTTACACCAGGGAAAAAAATCTCAAGAACCTCAATCTTAAGCTATGAAGTATCACACTATATTCAAACTGGTGGCTCCCTTTGGTGTGATTGTACTGTCATCTATGGCGGCCCCAGTGAGCTCTGTGGGCATATTTCCTTCGAATTCTGTCCAATCAGGCTTACTTGCTGTCGATACGCCGAAACATTGGCGAGGTCCATATATAGTAAAGAGACAAGCAGAGAATGTGGTGACATGCACTCTGACTGGATTCCAGCTTGGAAATTTCTGCAGTGAGTTCCACTTCTTCCCCAGGTGTCTTTTTTGCAAGGATATAATCTGAATGTAGCTATTCCATTAGGCGGAACCACTTGTTCGCTGCAACCGCAGTCATTCCACTTCGACTGTCCTATTGATAGTACTGTGCTCTAGTGAGGAACACAGCCTTAGTCTATCTACACAATCCTATAACATTTCAAGATGGAAATAATTCCCAAGTGATTTTCCTATATCTCTTAGGTACCTGGAATGTTTTAGCCAGCCCTAGACCTCGGGAGCTTGGCTTGACTAAGAAAAGCTAGATGGACAGTGATATTCATATTCCAATGTTCAACTTCAACAATTTGGTAGAGATTCTGTGACTTTAGGTGGTGAACCTTGGAGCGTGTGAAGAAGGTATAACTGCAAAATTTCCAACGTTCCAAGGTTGAAATCAGGCATCAAATATCCCCCGGTTTCCATAAGGTTAAGATCAGTTGCTCTTTAGGTTACAATTCCAGTCACTAGATACTTGAATAACTTTAAATCAGCAAGTATACACCAACTAAATTACCTCATTTCTACTTGAGGAAGGTTTTGGAGCCGATTAAAGATTCCTCAGGTACTTTTAAGTTCCCTACAAATTTGCTGGAAGTGAAAGGTGCCTTTGAACATGAAATGGGTGGCACTGATGTTACCTTTCTATGGATCAGTTTTCACACCGGTGTCTTAATTCACTTCTTGAGAGACCTGTTTAGCTTTATATTCGGCACGAATATAACAGTACCAACCTCCAAATGTTACCCAAAATACCCGTCGCACATTTGATAGGATTCACCTGAAGGGAAAATGCAGTACTTAAGAGACACAAGTGTCCCTCCTCCTGTTGATCTAGCACAGCAAAAGACAGAGCATTTGATCGTCAAGCTATCTTGCCATCTATCAATCCAAATACCCTCAATAAAACGAAGCAATCTTCATCATGCAGCTCCAAAGAATCCTCGCAGCCTTGGTGTCGCTATCCATCGCTGTCTCAGCGGCCCCTTCGCGTCTCGTGGCACCCAATGGCGCCCAGGTCCAGAGTGTGACTGCTATTCTCAAGGGACAGGGAAATGCCGACACCTTGGCTGCTGACCAGAGCATCAGTTGCACTGTTGCCTATACCCTGTCACTCAGTAAGTAGCCATAATTTGGTTGTTTCCGTAAATAGCTACTGATTTGCATGCACAGGCGCTGGTGCTCCTTACACTATTGACCTGGCCAGTCTGGATCTGCAGAACTGCACCTACACCGCCGCATAAGTCACTTCCAAGGTTAAGGCTTGAATCCATCAAATTTACAGGGCTCGTCACTGGCTCGAATGGATTTATAGTCGCAAATTATCAGTCGCTTGGGTGGGGTAGTGGCTAGTCTCATCAGTGAAAATTCCAATGCCTTGAAGCGTATGGGCAGTTACTCAATCTAGGCAGAAGCAATATAACTGATAATTGAAAGTGATCAACTCAAGTGCTATATACCTAGGTATAATAAAGAAACAGTTACATCTCTAGTCAACAGGACGTCAGAGTTTTGTACAATTCTAACTTTAAAAGGCTTCTCAACTTGAAATGGAACAAACCACCGGATATTTGACCTTGCCCATTCTTTCATGCTTTACATAACTGAATGCCACCGCTGCTCTAGTTCTATTATTGTCGCCCATGCATCACCACCAGTAGACTTTAAAAAGCCGGACATCATATCTTGGCCGTATTGAGCTGCAGTGGCCCCATTCTGGGTGTCGTGCCATCCTATGGAACTGTTCCCATACCGATGGTCTGGCCGGTAGCCCCTCACCGCAAGTCCAATATTTTCCATACCCTGATACTCTAATTGAGCAAGGCCGGCCGTCATCGCCTGCTGTTGAGCCATCTTCTGTTTCGCGAACAACATTTCATATACTGGGACTGTGTCACACCATACTTTGATCCGTGCCGTGGCATATGCCATGAAACCATCAAAATCCCCAGTCTCACAAGCGGACTTCCACCGTGATCGCATATTGGGAGAGAAAAAACTACAAAGAGCCTGTAGAGGCTTTCCATCATGCATGGTCTCATCGCGACGTACGATCAAGGAGTCGAAGGGGGACGACGAAATCACCTCCTCGTAGCATTTTTTGCAGGCAGCAATATCAGGAAAGCCCTGGTCAAATCCGTAGAATATTCCAGGGCCTAACTTATCCTTTGAGCAGGGGGGAACGGATGCCCATTTTTCGACGTACGTAGAAAACGCAGACCATACACCCGTATCCAGAGCTTCCGCAAAGCGGAATAAATACTCGGAGGATCGTGGCCCACCGGCTGTGAAATCACAAATTGTGGTACAACCGGGGCTGGCAGGCCTCACTTCAAAATATTTGCCCACTCCCATGGGCTCAGCAATTCCTTTGTAGCAAACCGGACACAGAGCAAATTCGGCTGAAGATCCTTTCAGTGAATACCAAATAACACCTTGAGACCCCTTTGGAGAACAAGGACCGACAGATGCCAGCACCGTCGCTGTTTTCTGGACGAAATATAAGTTCCGAAGCCCCATTGATGTATGCCATGCAACCAATACTGGAATAATTTTGAGACCGCAAGTATACAGCGCCCCAGGGGCTGGGCGTTTATCAAATAGTTCCCAGTCCTGCGCGTATTTAGTCAAACCGGCCTTGTCGTGATAACAGGCCTCACAGGCAAAGGCCCCGGTTCCGCGTAGAAGGAACCATCTTCTGCTGCTCGGTGCGCAGGGCTTCCCGTCACACACCGGCAGGAAGATTCGCATGTTTGCCTCATTTGCCCAAAGATTCCACCCATCATAGACATGCTCATATTTTCGAAGTGCTCTGGCGACAAGTGCCCCAGAGAAGCAACACTTCCAAGTAGTACCAGCAGGCAGAGGATATGGCGTCGGTACAAATTTGTTAGAAAACTTAGAACCTAGTACGTGATCCTCATAGCAGGCTTCGCAAGCCACGAAGCCCTTTGGTGGGTCTGATGTAGGAGAGAAAAACTTGATGCCATCGCCCTGCTTAACACCTTTCCATCCTTTGCAGTCCGGAACTGCCAGTCTTATATTCATAAATTCCGCGAGGGCATTAACGCTTTGGGTCCTCTGAGCATCGGGCCAGAAGTGTAGGAGGATACGGGGTACATTAAAACGACATTTTCCCTCCGAAGACTCTACCTTTTCGAATTGATCTCCCAGGGAGCTTGGTTGAATATGCTTCTGATAACAGAAAGAACATGCAAGTGATTCAGGAGCTGACGGTAATCGATACCAGAAAGCCTTGTAGTCCGTCTGACGCGAGCCAGGACATTCCTGGAGAAACTCATTCGGCGGCCCATCTGGTCTTGGCTCAGATATATGGAGGGGTGGATACTCGACATGATCGAGATCATGATCATCATCCTCGGGCCTCGGCACATAGGGTTGAGAGATATGTCCAATATTAAGATTATCAAGCTGAGATATCACGTTATCAACAGTGTCAGTACAACTATAACTCAAAGAAGTTGCTTGAGTAGATCTTGGAGTATCTTGGGAAACATATAGTGAGTATTGGTGACTTCCAAATTCGTGGCGGGGGTGGCACAAGGGGCGGCCCGGAACTCTTGGAGGCAGCCGCATCTCTTGGTGGAAGCGGAGGCGGAGTAGAGTGGCTAGTATTAGTTTGCCCGCCCTGTTGAATCGGTATGTGGGACACAGGTACAGGCTTTCTCCTAGGTACTCTAGGAGGAAGCGGTGGAGGGTCAGGTTTGGGAGCTGACGATAAATCCGGAGAATGTGGATAGGGAGGGCTTGCAGGTGCTGTACCCGGATGCTGAGGAGACGGTGACGAATTATGACTAGCAAATGGATAGCTAGGGCGTTGATACCCAGTAGGCAATTTAGTAAACGGGGCTGCAGGCCTTTTGTATCCAGCGGGCAAAGTGGTAAAAGGAGCGGCAGGTCGTTGATATCCAGCAGGTAGACCGGTAAATGGATATCGAGGTCTTTCAGGGAGACTTGCGTGCGGGTTTGATCCCATTCGCTGATGTGTTGTGACAGGGGTTGGCGGCATATATGCTATGGCTTGCTCTAAGGATGCAAAATCATACCCCCGACCGGACGAATAGCTCTCTTGATTTTGGGGATGGTGCCTTGTGCTGTCAGGGTGTGGTTGATAGCCTCTTCCATCATTTTGCTGCGACATTTCTCACTCAAATATACCAGAGCGTACTATTTTAGGTACGAAATGCGATTTGTACAATCTGAAAGGTAAAGAGGGGTTGTTTTGTGCGCTTACGGAGAAATACTTATGAGCATAAGTGCTTACTGGAAGAAGCTAGTCTCAGCCACGAGATCCAACAATCCCGTATTTCCGTTTTACTCCGAATGTTGATTGGACTCATACTCCGTACTCTCAGAAGAATTGAGCGGATACATCCTCGCCGAGGTGTTCTTCTGGGATAATAGATATTTGTTTAACACCTGCAGTGAGGCTGATCCATGCGCAGATCTCCCGCAAATCTCCACGATTGCTGTAGCGAGTAAGATGGGCCAAAGCTTGAATAAGCGGGAAGTTTACGTCAGTCTGTGGAGATCGACAGATTCTAAGGATAAAAATAGTTGAGTTCAAGGGGTAGACATGAATAGCAGTTCAGATGAAGGAGTTCATTGAATCTCACAAGGTTAAACAAACAGACAAAGTATGACTAATCATCCACATAAATCTCACTCCCTCCAAGGATTCAGGGTTATCAGAAAATAAAATATATTTCAAGTGTTTTTGTTTTGTTTTGTTTTCTTTCTTTTTTTCGGCGCTATTAGCTTCTATGATTTTCGGAAATTTCGAATTATTACCAAGACTTCTTCTCATGACATAAATTATTCGTATCCAATCGCCTTAGGATATCGCACAAATGCCAACTGCCCCGATGGTGCCAGGGCCATGCTAGTCTTCCCTGAAAGTCCAGGCTCCTCGCCTAGCATGTTCTGGGGGTAGCCCAAATCAAGTGGCTTAACAGCTTCGAGGAAAGCGATCTGTGACTCAGTGAGTCGAATGCTCAGTGCCTTGATATTGTCGTGGAGATGTTGGACCTTACGGCCGCCAACAAGCGGAAACACGTTTGGTGTCTTGCAGAGTACATAGGCCAGCGCAATGGCGGTTACCGATTCAATTCCATGTTCCGCAGCTACCTGCGCCAATGCCTCACTCATGCGCACCTGATCATCGTCTTGATCGGGTCCCATCATTTTTCGTAGTCCCTCTCCACTGGCTGCTCGCTTCTCAAGGGCCGTCTTGGTTTGAAATTTGCCTCCGCCAACGGCATCCCAAGGTGCGAGAGCCATTCCAAATTGCCGCGCCATGGGAATAATTTCGCGTTCAAAGTCTCGGCTCAACACATTCCACCGGCCCTGGTAGATGCTGAAAGGTGTCTTCCCAGTCAGGCGCGCATATGTGTTTGCTGTACTGACAATCCATGCTGGGGTGTTGGAGATTCCCAAATACAGAACCTTGCCTGACTGCACGAGTGCGTGGAGACTATCCATGACCTCTTCGACGGAACTAAGATAGTCCCACCAGTGAACGTACAAAATGTCGATGTAGTCGGTCTGCAGCTTCCGCAGAGAGTCACGTACACTCATGTGCAGGCTGCGCTTATGATTTCCCGCGTGATTGACCGTCTTACCCTTACCCTTTGTGTATGCCTTATACTCGCCTGTGTACTTGGTAGCAATGACCAGCTGGTCGCGGTTGTCGCGTGCCGCCATCCATTCACCGATCCAAGTTTCCGATTCTTCGTTCTGATAGTTGTTCGCTGTGTCGATGAAGTTACCGCCCGCTTCTGTGAACGCATCCAGTAGCTTATATGAAGCTTCTTTGTCCATCGTGCCCATTGCCGATGACCATGCCGAACCGATCGACATCGCTCCAAGTTGCAAAGGGGACACGCGAATCCCTGCTGTCGATGAGAGCACTCTATAACGACCAAGCTCTGTAGGAGGAGCTGGAGCTGGTGCAAAGGCGTCCATGTTGATAAAGGGATTGTTTAGTAAGCTTGGGGGTACCTAGGTGGAGAGGTATTTACGGAAGAGAAAAGTTGGGTCCAGTACCAGGGGAGACCTGCTTTATGTATGGCCCAGTGGAATGATCGTCCTTGGACTTAATTATGGGTAATGAATCAATTGGTGCAATTAAACGAGGTCCACAGTTCATGTTCTTGGTTTTATTGAAGTTTGGTTTCGTGTGGACTCCATGTTACAGCTTCAGATCATCAATCTGTGACCAACTCCACTGAAAAGGTTTCATAACGCAAATCAACGCCTATTTACTGCATTATTGCAAAGAATATTATACTGATTATTATACAGAAAGAGTTCGGTGGTCATTAGAATAAATCCGGTGGAACGACAAAGTTGCATCAGTCATGACTGTCAATATTTGTTCATTTCTTCAACCCTTTCATTCGCTTCGCATTTTTCCACACATTGCCGGATCTCTGGAACACTCTGTCGGCCCTATACTCCATTTTTTTGCCACTCGGGTTGGCAATAAAGCCTGCCTCGACGAGGAACTGAATATTTTTCCGGATTGTTGCCTTGACGTGCTGTTTTTGTGATGGAGTCACCATTCCGGCGTCCTGGAGAGGCTCACCACCTAGACGTCCTTGTAATGTGTCAAAGACTTGCGAAACGGGCCAGAGAGGATGCGAGTTGGCCTCTTTCTGGATTGAGCTTCTCATTGTCTCCAACCAGGTATCATGGTCTACCTTGCGGAGCGGATACTTTAGCTCACTGTGGAAAATTTCCCAGAATTCATGCTCGGTGATACCCTCCGTCATATAAGTCACTGTCTTCATTGAATCCACTGAACAGAAAACTTGCTGGATAATCTCTTCAGCCACACGAGTGCTGCTGGTGACATACATCCACGAGCTGCCATAGTCATCGCTAAATGACTGTACGTCCACTACACCAGATGCCAATCGCCAGACAAAGTCATCAGTGTTGGCTACACCTTCCTCGGGTGTTCCAAGGATGAGTCCAGGCTTGACAAGCGCGAACTGACTAGGGTGCGAAACAGCAAATTGTTTGATCAGAAGCTCGGAGAGGTACTTGGTCTGAGCGTACCCGTTGGCATGCGCGATCTCACGTGCAAGATCCTCGTCACTCTCCCCGATGCGCCAGCGGGAACCACCAGAGACGTATGACATACGAGGGCGAGCGGGAGAATTTATGGCTGCCTTGATTAACTCGGCCGTGGAGTCAACATTTGCTGCCCACAAGATCTCGGTACCTGCATTCCAGTTGACGGCTGCACCCGCGTGGATAATGGCATGGACTAGGCCTTCGTTGGGGCTCTCACCGCTTAGAGAAGCCCACTGTTTCGGCTTCAGACCCAGCTGAGGCAAGCCCAAATTACCAGACCATACTTCCAACTTCGTCAGATAATCGTCAGACCACCACTGTGCACGTATAGCGGCATCCTTTACTCGATTGAAGGCGTCAGATGGACTATCAGCGCGAACGTGAGCAATAACACGGCCAACATCCGGGCGGTTGCATAGTTGGCGTAAAATTTGTGTGCCGAGGAAGCCGGTCGCACCAGTCACGAAGACAGTTTTTTGGTCCTGTTGATTTTTAACAATTTCCTTCACCAAAGCTGCGGCCTCCTTCAATGCGTCAAAGGCGGGCTGTTTTCCTTGGACTGAGCCGGAGAGTTCTGTTTCAATCCAGGCAGCTAAGCCCCGAACGGTCATCTCACCATCAAGAACGCGCACCACATCCACCTTGACCCCATAGGTCTGTTTGATGAAGTTGACCAAGCTGATGACTTGGACAGAATCAATACCCATGGAAGATAGATTAAAGTCATGGCCCTCTAATGTGGTGTCTTCTCGCCTAAGTAAGCTGTTGATCTTCTTGCTAATGGCAATAGCATTTGTCTCGTCGGCCCGGAGAGTGGAAGTGACTGGACCTCCATATTTGATAGCCAGAGTGGGCTTAAATTCAGAAGGAAGCTTTGCCAGCCACTGGTCCACCACCTTTCGGTCGATCTTGGTGGAGGAAGAGCTGGGAATCTTGCGCACCACGATCCAAATCGTAGGGACCATGTGAGCAGGTAAGACCTTTGAGAGGCTCTGACTGAGGTCCCACAACTGGAAGCCTGACCGCGCATATTCATCGCTGGGCACAGCAGTCAGCTCTTCACCTGCCGTGGATGAAAGCCCGAGAATACCAACAAGCTTGTGGGCATAGAGACCGCTCTTGGGGTAGGAGACAACAGCTTGAGATACCTCAGTTGGCAAGGTGAGGTGATATTCAATCTCACCTAATTCAACTCTTTGCCCACGAATCTTAACCTGTGTGTCCTTGCGGCCAATGAACAGAAGAGAGCCGTCTTGGGCGTACTTGACCAGGTCACCAGTTTTATACAAACGGTTACAACGATTGAATGAAAGCCACGAAGGTCGCTGGATAAAAGCAGCGTTGGTCTTTTCTTGGTTGTTGAGGTATTGTCGCGCCAGAATGTTGCCCTCAACAAGCAATTCACCAATGGTACCTATCGGAGCGAGCTTGTTATGGTCCTCGCGGTCAACCACCCAGCTAGCGGAGCCCACGGCAGTACCAATGTTGTTAGGCATTGTACCAGGTAAAACACTCCGGTTCGATGTAGTGCAGACACAGCACTCTGATGGCCCGTATCCATTGACCAACTGGACATAAGGGGTCCATGCGGCCACGTGAGCTGCACTCATAGCCTCGCCGGCGAGAGCTAGCGTCTTGAGTGTTGGGACTGTACTAGGGTCAATGGTGTTGACAAATGACGGAGTAAGTACTGCCCAGGAGACATTCATGCGAGTCATAGCCTCAGCAATATTTCCGCGGCGCTCAGATTCTGAGGGTACACAGACACAGCCACCATGCACCAGTGTGGATAGAATTTCAAGGATACTGGCATCAAAAGTGTATGAAGCAAACTGTAGGACGCGATGACCCATCTGCAACCCCTCCTTGTGAGAGATGGCAGCAGTGCAGAAGGCCCGGTGCTCAATAACGGAACCTTTGGGAGTTCCAGTGGATCCTGATGTGAAAATCACGTATGCAGGATTTGCGCTGGTGACTGGAGTAGGAGGCGGCGAGAGAGTATTGATTTTGGTCAATTTAGGACCAACCACAATGACGTCCTTGACTATCTCATAGCAATTGTTACGCTGTTCTTCTGAACAGAGCATAACGCGGGCATTAACTTCCCTAGCCATCATCTTCATACGGCTTAGGGGCTGGGAAGCGTCCATAGCCACAAAGGCGCCGCCCGCTTTTAGTGTTCCGATCATCGCAACAATGGTCCACATTGATTTCTCGAAGCAGAGCGGAACATAGACATCGAGACCAACGCCGAGTTCAATCAATTGCCCGGCCAACTTGGATGACAGATAGTCTAGCTCGCTATATGTCGCGTTTCCATCCCAAGCACAAATAGCTTGGGCTTCAGGCTCCGATAAAATGTTCTTTGCGATGAGATTGTGAATACAATCATTGACGGTGTCAGGTACGGATCGGTTCCACTGAAGCAGGTCCCCCTTATCCTGAGGGCTGATAATCTCGATTTCAGATAGCTTTCCGGTGGGCAGCGAAGCGAGCTGCTGCAGGACATGCTCAAACTGCGCCACAATGCGCACTACTTCAGGACGCGATATAACCACATTGTCAAAATGAACATGGATTTCAACAGAGCCATCGACAGCCAAGCTACACTCGATAGTCAAGGCCACAGTGCTGAAATTGGCTTTGGGAGCGGAAAAAGGCTGCATAATGCTGTCCTTGGGGACAGAGGTGGCAGGCTGGATGACAAGCAAACTCTGGAAATTGCAAGCGGCAGCGGCACCTCTGTGAGACGCGCAATGTTTTGTAAGCCGTAGTTCTGGGCTGGAGCCATCTCAATTGAGTGCGAGTGAATTTGTTGAAGCCACTCAGCGACAGGCTGTTCCCCATCAACCTGAGCCTTGATAGGTACAGTGGCAATGACAGGGCCGACTATGTCCTCAACACCGGGGATCGGGGCATTTCTTCCGCTCAGAGTGTAGCCAAATACGATCTCAGAAGTATCGCAATAACGAGCTTGAACCAATGACCAGGCAGCACGGATGATTGTTGCCGTCGTGAAATCAGATGGGCCTTTGCGGTCAAGCTGCAGGGTGTGAACAAGCGACTCATTGGCAAGCGGCTGATGAGTCGCAGATGGAAGGGCCGGGAAAGTGGCCATATTCCCTTCAGAGAGCTCCGCGCGCCAGTAATCTGCAGTGGCCTTGCTGTTGTTGTTTTCAATCGTGTGCTGCAAAAAGTCTCTGAATTGAGGACGGGCCGCTGGTGCTTCGCCACTTTTAACGGCCTCAACAAGGTCGTTAAAAATCATCTCCAATGACATTCCGTCGTAAACGGAGTGGTGAATCGTTAACACGAAAGTGTTGGTGGTTGACCCAGAAATAATGCATTGGCGGATGAGGGAGTCGCCCATTTGCATTGGAAGCTTTTCGTCAGATTTAATATAGTCATTTAGGTCTGAGCCATGGACCCACATGATTCCAGCACGGTTGACTACCTGCAAAATGCCGTATTCCTCTGTCTCGACCATTGTAGTCCGAAGAACGTCGTTATTAGCAACAATCAAACCCCAGATTTCCTTGAATCGGTTGACAGTCAGGCTCTGAGGCAGCTCCAAAGTGTGACGAGCAATATAAGAGCCGGGAATCTTATTAGAAAGTGCCATAAGACCGACCTGGAGAGGGCTGCAGGGATAGGCATCCTGAATGAGGTTGTCGGACATACCAGTCAAGCAAACCAAGGTTGAGCGAACAGCATCAAGATCCTTGCTAATAAGCTCAAATGGAACAGCAGCAGATGCAATGGAGGCACAAGCAGACACCATAACCTTCGCCATGTCACTCAAAACAAGATTTTCCAATATCTCACCAACATGAAGCTGGAAACCTTCGGCCCGGCAACGCCGAGTCAAATTCATGGCCTCGATGGAATCACCTCCAAGGTGGAAGAAATTGTCTTCGACGCCAATATCTTCCACTGGGTAATGGAGGATATCACCCCACATCTGTCGCAGGGCTGTCTCGGTCTCTGTGGTCGGCAGGCGGCTTTTGCTAACGTTTCCATTACCGGCGACAGCGGCAAGTTCAACGAGAGAGAGACTATCGCCAAAAGAGACGATGAGACGGCGGTCAGTCTTTCCAGATGCAGTGAGTGGCATGTAAGCCAAGGGAATAAAGACCGATGGAATCATGTACGGTGGTAGCCGTTGGCTGAGCTGCTGGCTCATCTCGGCAGCCAAAGACGTGATTTTTGTCTTATCAACTGGAGCAGAATAAAACGCATGAGGAAGCTCGGCATCAAATCCGCCTTGGCTGGATATAAAGGCTGCAAGAATTTTCTTGCCTCCAGAATGCACTATAGAGACTGCAGTCTTGACTTGATTGTTGATAGTACGCATATGAGCCTCAATCTCGGTCAGCTCAACCCGCTGGCCGCGGATCTTAACCTGTAGGTCCTTGCGGCCGACTAAGTAAACGCGGCCGTCGTCACCGTAGCGGGCCAGATCACCAGTCTTATAGAAGCGGCGGGAGGCAGCAGACTGGCGGGCCCATCTTGGGTTCTCAATATACGCGGCCTTGGTTTTTTCGGAATCTGAGAGGTATCCACGAGCTAATGTAGGACCTTCGATGACGAGCTCTCCGATGGCGCCAATGGGGACCAGCCGGTCATGGTCCTCAACATCAACAAGCCATGAGATGCAACCAGTAGCTCTGCCAATGCAACTCCTATGCGTATTGATCGCCATGGGTTCAACCATCACGACGCTGCATTCGGACGCACCATACATATTAATTAATTGAGTCACTGGCACCCATGCATCAATAATATCTTGCGTCACAGCTTCACCAGCCACGAGGAGAGTTTTCAAGGATGGAATATCCTCATAGTGAAGAGAGCGGACGAAACTTGGAGTGAAGATACACCAATTAACATCGAATGCGCGAATGGCTGGACGGATATCAGTGTATCTGTCATATTCTGATGGAATGCAAAGACATCCGCCAAATATTAATGTAGTAAATATTTCGAATGTGCTGATGATAAACGTGTATGCACCAAATTGGAGGGCGCGAGTATTATTTGAGATGTTCATAGCAGCTGCATGATGTAATGCGCTAGAAGAGACAGAAGCATGGTCATGGACAACACCCTTCGGCTTGCCTGTGGACCCAGATGTAAACATTACAAATGAGATGTCGTTCGCTTGTGAGCGAGATGTGAATTTCACCTCATGAGCAGATTGGATCTGGAAGGGATCAAGCACAATCAATTGTGATGCGAGTCCCTCTAACAGAGCTTTGTTTGACGGCGAAGTAATCACAGTGCGGGCTTCTGATAATATGATGATAGTCTCTAGTCGCTGTCGAGGGTGCTTCGGATCCAGAGGTACCCAAGCAGTGCCAAGCTTCCATAGTGCAATCATGGTAATGACTGTCCATATAGACTTTTCAAAGCAGATTGGGACAAGTTCACCGCGCTGAACACCAATGGACTCGAGATATACAGCTAGCTTATTTGAGGCTTCATTTAACTCACGATATGACATCTCTCCGTCCCATGCAAGGAGCGCAGGAGAATCGGGAGTCTTTTGAGCGACCTCCTCAATCAATTTATCAATGCAGAACTTTTTCTCCAATGGGACAATACGATTCCAAGCTTCGATCTGCAATGTGTCCAGCTCACTCGGGTGACAGATGTTGGAAATCGGCTGAAGCGGATCCATGCATATGCTCTGGAGGTATTCGGTGAATGTAGTGGCAATATATTCAGCTTGAGCACCAGAGACATGAGGCTTGTGGTAGATGAGGTCCAACTTGGACAATGACGAATCAATCTGAACGACGTAGTCGAACTACCATTCATTAGCACTTGAGCTAGGCCTTGGACCAATCCGTTTACTTACATTACATTCATTCACAACTTCAGCCAAAGGTAGCTGAAGCTTATCCTGTGAATTATTAAGCCAAATGGCAGAATTACACGGCTTGGGTTCCAATGTGCAGAGAATGTCTAATGCTTCGGAGACGGAGACCATAGACTTGGCTTGTAGGGAGCCTTGCTCTTGAATCGTGTCGAGGACAGAGACGGTGGATCTGTCTTTCTCTACATGAGCCAAAAAAACAGACATGTCAGTCTGAGACTGCTTTGCCAATCTTGGGTTCATACAAATTCCCGCAAACATGACATTGTCAGTCCCGGAATATGAGTGTAGAACAGCAGTCCAAGCGGCCTTGATAACCTCCAGAGGAGAGATGTCACAATGTTTGCAACATTTCTGGATTAATTTGAAATCCATAGATATATTGAGTTGGCCAACAGTTGACTTGGTCTGCGTTTGCGAAGAGAGACCAGAGGGAAGATGAGACGGTGTTATATCAGTCACCAGCTGAGTCCACAAGTGTCGAAGCCGACTAGCGTCATTGATTATAGTAGACGGCATTTTGAGCAAAGAATAATGAGTATTGGGCGATTGCCAGACAGGTGGCAGTCTCGCAGACTATGAGAGGGAGAAGGAGAAAATGAGAAGTATGAAATGTTGAAGAAGATAGGAAGATGCGAGGACAGGCCCACCATAATATGTGGGTTTTTTCTACATCGGACACACAATACTTCTCCTACTTCTCGATCCAAAGATGTGCTAAGTGTATACACAGATTGCACACCACTGAAGGTGAAGTGTCCCAGTTGAAAGACACTTTGGATCCATAAGTTTCAGCATTTGAGCCACTCAATGGCTTTGCAAAGATCGTGGGACAACACAATAAGTTGAACCAGTACTAGAATAATTTAATTCGAGTCAAGCTATCGTATCAACACTTTTCTAGCGATGTGCTGATTCGGTTCAACCGGTATCAGACGGAATATGACTCCATCTTGACGTGGATTCATGGGGCAAGTGTTCCGAGTCAATAATTGGCAATGAATTGCGACAATAGGTCTTGAAAAATTTATCATCCAGTCTAAAACTACGTACCAGATCCATTGATCAAAAAAGATCTGCGATGAACAAGTGGGTTTATTATAATGGAGTTTGTTTCAAATCCCAACTACTACTTATTTACATGTCCTGTTGGCGGGTAAACACGGTAGATCTAGTTTGACAGTTGTAAGACAGGAGATTCATGTTTATAGTTGCTATTGAAACCTCATTTGTAGCAAGGCGTTGTCTAAGTGCAGTCCATTGAAACCTCAGTTGTAACAAGACGCTGTCTAGGTGCAGTTGGAACTGGATTAAGAATGTGAGGCATAAACAAGAAGCCGCGTGGAGCCGCAACCTATTCAGGCTAGCGCCATATAGCGACTTTTTTTAGGATCTTGTATGGTTTTATTACCAATATTACCACAATACTTCCGGTACTTAGTGAGAATAGTTTATTTTCTATCGTCTCATAAGATCCTTTTTTCCAACCAAGGACATATCCACAGCATATTAGATCTTTTTACGCCCTTCCTCATCCCTGATGATCTACACTGCATGCACAATCAGCTCCTGTGTGAAAGCTTTATTTCACCGAGCCACTTAAGAAGTGGGGAAGAATATATATTACTTACCTGTTTGATCGCTAAATGAATCTGAATTATTTGATGGGGACGCTCTCCTCAACTATATTCAAGAGATTCGGAATTACTGTAGAAAACGGAATGAGTTATATTGGACCTTGGGATCGGCAGGGAGGCATTCCAGTCTGCTTGAAACGAGATGTCTCATTCGCTCATAAACTCCATTCGGCTTCTGATCTAACTTTTTGTGAGAATTCAACACCCAGGCTGTAAAGCAAAAGCTATTCACACATGTGAGCAGTTGGAGTGGGCAATCATATATCCAGTATCAAGATTCGCATTCTAAACAGCTATCAGACGAGTTGGAAGATGACCTGTAATTGGTCGATAAACCTTTTTTTTAAAAAAAAAAAACCGTAGGTATATCGGAAGAAAGGACCTTGAGAGCCTGCCCAGTTGGGCACATAGGTGGCTAGGTATGAGCCTGGGAACGCCTGGGAACGCCTGGGTATTTCAAATGAACGTGCCTAGGTGGGCAAAGTCCTAGGGACTAAGAAAATTCCTAACCTTTCAGGTTCCATCTTTCATCTGAGCAAAATGAGAGCTTTGAATGGTTCCGAAGCTCCATATTAATTCATAAAGTTCAAAAATACACTTTGTCACTTATAAACTACGTCCTACCTAGCAGCGAGCTCCATAATCTAGCTTTATTGGGCGCCTAAGTTTAAGCTAAGATTTGGCATACTGACGTTTTGAGAAGCGCTCTAGTGTCCGGGTAATGAGTTTGGGATGGACACTAAAATAACGTGCAATTGGGCATCGGTCCCCACTAATTGTAGTGGTGAATGGCCGTGGAATTGATATATTTAGAAGCTGGTGGGGCGATGAGGTGAATACTGTTAAAAACAGGGACTTGGATTTTGAACTACTTTGTACAAATAATATTTTGAGGCTTTTTCTAGTTGTACAAACAGTACAACTTCGGTGCTGAAGAATGATAATATCCCAGAAATAGGTGGAACTGGCCAGGAAAGCATCGCGTAGCGAAGTAGGTGACGAAGTAACGCATGTAAGGCCTAATCCATAAGCTGCCAGCTTCTTTCCCAGTCGCAATAAAAATGATGATGGTATCTGATTTTGATTTGAATACTGCAGCATCATTGACGCTACGGAAGGCATTAGCAGGGACCGGTTTGTTCAGGAACTTGCAAACAGGCTTTCGTCATTCCTTGGGGTTCCATTCGAGCATATTATCGACTGGAATACTCTGCGGACATGATCGTAGTGGATAACAAAAGCTTGTCGGCCATAGCCCGTCAAACCCCGAAATGCCGAAGTTTTCTGGATCGATCCACCCACATAAGAATTCCGAGTTGGCTTTCGGTTTGCGTCATAGATTTTTCTATTGAGCGTACCCCATCGTCAACACAACCTTAGCATCCGAGTAAGCATCGGTCGACTCGGCAAAGACAAAGACAGCACAGGGAAAATCGGTAATTTCGTCAACGCGCCTTAGTAGTTGGTCCCAATTTTTGCGGCTGTAAGGCTGCCCACCATGATACTTGGCCTGAAAACTGAAAAGCCTTCGTCCACATTTCAGTGATTTTAGGGTTCTACATGATGGAGATCATGTGATATGTATCGTAGCTTAATTCCTGCAGGGCGAGCCACGTAGTTGGGGATGGCTTTAGTGGCGTTGCGGGTGTTTGAAGAATTTCGGGAGTGTCAAAATCCACCCAATATTATTGTTAAGAATTTGCGACTTAAACAGTGTTGCAGTGTGACACAGGCCCAAGACCTGGACTTAACACGGTGGTATGTTCTGTGGTCGATATTGCTTGAAAAACTAGGCCACTTCCCGTATTCTGCATGGTAGATGTTGCAGATGAATGGTGAATCCTAGATTAATCTAACTACTTATCTGCAGTAACTTCCTAAAACACGTTATATAATTCTCACATCGTAAATGTTTCACTTCCAAGATCGGGGAGCAGTCGACGAAGTCAATGGCGCAACCGATGGGGGCATGCTAATTTGTATTTTCCGTGCTGTGGAAGAAAAAAGTGATCTACATGGAGCAAATAATTGATGGATCCCGGGCCATATGTTCACATAATATTCCATCAAACAAGGATGGTTTTTCGGGGTGGGGGTTCAGCGGGGTTGGGCGGAAAAAGAACTAGAATTCGGAAGATATTGTTATCTGATGAATGACAAAGGTACTAGAGAACGAGAATGACAGGAGCAAGTTCCTCTAAACAATTATTGAGTTTAATGACCTAGATCGTATAGATCGTAACTGAAATACACTTAAATATTTACATAGTGCGGTATTATCGCTGTATTAAATACAGGTAGTTGTGGGTCTATATATTCTCCACTTCGGCTTCATCAATGTATCATGAACTCCATTTTCTAATTGAGCTTCGCCCCTGTCAGTGTACCCTGTTTTGTTGATTTCAGGTTGTCTCGGTCAATGTCCAAAAATAGGTTCTCCTACGTCAATCCTTGATTAGACCGGAAGATGCTCTTCCTAAGTGAACTGTGGATGAAGTGGTAGATCCAGACGGCAGTTGTTTTGTAGATGGGATAATTTCTACCTTTTGATCGATTCATTCATATTCCAATTTATTCCAAGGTAAACAGCTATTATTTGCACAAGTGCATCTTAACTCTGCCAATATATTGCCTGTTTTATACAACTTCTTTGTTCGCCATGCTAAAACTCACGTCGAGCTCGCTGGACATTGTGCCATGTCTTTTTCCTACTGAAAATCTACATGATGAGGGGCTCAAATCAATCCCACTGGGTCTTTCAGTCTCTGATTCGATCAGCAGCGCTGTATTGCTGCAGGCGTGGGCGGTCGTATTACGATACTACGTTGGCAGCGATAGTGTCGCATTTGGTCTGATCGATGATAATGAGCGTTCTGCAATTTGCTATGGCGAGATCCCTGCATCCACTGAGCTGAATGCGCTACAAGTCTCAGGGTACTCAGAGGAGCCAACTAGTCTGCCTATTTCTACGTACATTGCATCAAATCTTGTCAATACCCTTGTGTGCAGAAACGTGAATCCCTCTATGGATGACCTGAAAAAGACATTGGTAAGCTCCTAATATCAAGTTACACTTTCGTTTTTTTAGCTGCTAAATATTGCAGTGCTCTCTTATCCTTGTTATTTCCGATAATTCATCCTTAGCCTACGACTCAAATACCATCGGCGAAAATGTGGCCACCGCAGTGGCTGAGGCTGTGGCCCATATGGCCAGTATAGTCGCAGATAGACCCCCAATCAAAATCGGCGCAGTAGATCTCTTCAGAGAGGCGTCATGGTCACAAATCGAAGAGTGGAATACCACGCTTCCAGAAATGTTTGAGGCGTGCTTGCATGATCTCATTGACGAGAAAGCACAAGAATACCCCGAAGCCATGGCGCTGGAGTGCTGGGATGGCTCGGTAACATACGCACAATTGGTCGACTATTCATCCCGATTGGCGCACCTTTTGATCGCCCAGAAAGTTGGTACTGGAGTCATTGTGCCTGTCTGTTTTGACAAGTCCCTCTGGGCCGTAGTCTCTATGCTTGGTTGTATGAAGGCTGGTGGCGCATTCGTTTGTATTGACCCGGCGCAACCAATAGACCGTGTGCAAACGATTATACATGAAGTTGATGCGAAAGTCGCACTAGCAGCTCCATCTCATCGAGATATGATAGGCAGCTTGGTAGAGGAAGTCATTTCGGTCGACGCAGATATTATCCTCGGTCTTACTTCTTCCTCCGATGTTCCTCCCCGTGCCACCCCTGGCGATACAGCATTTTTAGTATTCACTAGCGGAAGTACTGGCAAGCCAAAAGGCGTAGTGCAAGAGCACCGCGCCGTCTGCTCCAGTGCTAAGCGACACGCTGCTGACTTGAACATTACCAGCGACACCCGTACCTTTCAATTTGCAACCTATACCTTTATCATTAGCACCTTTGAGATATTTACACCCTTGACACAAGGTGGATGTGTCTGTATACCTTCCAAGGAGGATAGACTGGGACGAATAGCCGGCGCAATGCGCGACTTGAAGACAAATTGGGCGTGCTTTACCCCGTCATTCCTACGATCAATTAAGCCTGATGATATTCCGCAACTCCAGACCCTTGTCTTGGCTGGAGAACCAATTCAACAAGACAATCTGGATACTTGGCGCAGCAAGGTAAATATGTTGAATATGTACGGTGCCTCAGAGGCTTCCGTGTGTGTGACTGGGGACTTGTCAGGCGCTGTCGAACGGTCGACGATCGGAACCGCGACTGGCTGCGTGACTTGGATTGTGGATGTGACAGATCACGATCGGCTCGCTCCAATTGGAGCAGTTGGTGAATTGGTCATCGAGGGACCGATCATCAGTCGTGAATACTTCCACCAACCTGAATTGACGGCTAGGATTTTCGTTTCTGACACCTTGTGGCTGAGGAAGATGCGTGGCACAACATCACCATCGCGCGCATACAAGACCGGAGACTTGGTCCGATATGGTACTGATGGTCGCATCAATTTGGTGGGTCGAAAAGACATGCAAATCAAGCTTAGGGGTCAGCGAATTGAGCTAGAAGAAGTTGAATTTCACCTTCGACAAGCACTTCCTCATGGTACCGAGGTCGCGGTCAGCCTTGTTACGCCCGTGGACCAGACTGATCGGCCTATGCTCGCTGCATTCGTTTCCTTGAAGAAGGCATTTGGCGATAAATTTTATCCTGTTAATGAGGATTTTGCTCAGCAGCTTGAATCAAGACTGACAGGATGGAAAGCCAAACTAGCCGGCACAGTCCCAGGCTATATGGTTCCAGCTACCGTGGTTAAGCTTGAATATATGCCCTTAACTGCATCTGGAAAGACGAACCGCAAAGCCATCAGTGAGTTTGCGTGCACACTGACATTAGCGGCTTTGACGGGGTCAGCAAAGAAGAAGCACAAGGAGCCCACCACAAACACTGGCAGAGCACTTCGTCGCATGTGGTCTGATATATTGGACTTGGAAGAAAATGAAATTTCTGCCAACGATAGTTTCTTTCAATTAGGTGGGAACTCCATTGATATCATGAAACTCATCAACCTTACCCGCAACGTGGGTATTGGGCTTAAGACGGAAGATGTTTTTACCCACCCTGTACTGGATGATATGGCTGAGGTCACGTCAGAACTAATTGAAGAACTTTTCGAGGATATTCCATTCAGCCTGATTCATGAGGAAGTCGAGAGTCTTATCGAAGAGGCCGCCGTGCAGTGTCAGGTTACTGAATCGATGATTGAGGACCTGTACCCGTGTACCGCGATGCAGGAGGGCTTGATGTCCCTATCAGATAGCAGGGACGGCGCATATGTGGCCCGCCATACGCTCTCTTTGAGTCCAGCTATAGCTATTGATCTTTTCAAGCGCGCCTGTCAGGAAGTAGTGACCGCGCATCCCGTTCTTCGGACTCGCATCATCTATCCAGAACAGTCTGGTCCACTACAGGCTGTTGTCAAAGGGGACATTGATTGGCAGATCGCCGAAAGCCTGGAAACCTACATGGAAGAGGAAGAGCTGCGCACAATGAAGGCTGGTGAGCCTCTCACTCGGTATGGCCTTGTTCCCGATCAGGAAGGGTGGACATTTATCTGGACCGTTCGTAAGTGATCCCCACTCAAGAGTGATACATTTAACTCAATGCTAATTGAACTGAAGATCATGCTGTTTATGATGCCTGGACTCTGGAATTGACTTTTGATCGCCTAAACAGGGCGTATAAGAATCAGTCTTTCTTGCGGGATTCCACATTCAAGGCATTTATAAATCATATACTCAAGACCGATGTTGATGCTACTCGGAGCTTCTGGCAGGAATACCTCGCAGGTGCCACTCAGACGGAGTTCCCTCGGGCTATTTCTACAGCCAAGCAGCCCGTAGCCGATGCTTCACTGAAGTATGATATGACCCTTACCCGTAACAACGATATGGCTGGAATAACTCTCGCATCGATGATCCGTGCCGCCTGGGGACTCCTGCTCGGCTCTCACTCGGAATCAACCGATGTAGTATTTGGCACGATCGTCTCTGGCCGGAATACTCCAATTGCAAATGCATCCCAACTCTTTGGACCGGGCATTGCCGCAGTCCCGATCCGTATCAAAGCTCCTGATAGTGATACATTGACAATTCACGAGTTCATCAGCGAGGTGCAGGCTCAGTCAACGGAGATGATCTCATTCGAACAGACTGGTCTCCAGCACATTAGGCGTGTGAGCGAGGATGCTGCCGCAGCCTGTGACTTCCAGACCCTCCTTGTAGTGCAACCGTTCAATCCAAAACACGTCTCTACAGATGAAATTGACCTGCGCTCTGTTTCTGAGGCCAATGCAAACTTCGGCACTTACGCTCTCACTATGGAATGCAGTCTAAAGACCAACGGAGTGATTTGTGCAGCTCACTATGACTCCAGTCTTGTCTCCGAAGAACTTGTGCAACGCATCTTTGGCCAACTAGAGAATATTCTTGATCAAATGTGCTCTTCCACGGCAGACAAAAAGCTCAATGAGCTGGTTTTGATTAGTACCCAGGACCAGCAGAGTATCCGGAAGTGGAATAGACATATTCCAAAGCCTATCCACAAGACTATCCATGAGATTATTGGGGAACGCATTGCCGAGCACCCTGAAAATGAGGCAGTATGCTCCTGGGACGGCTCTTTCTCATATTCCGACCTTGAAAAACACTCTAGCCGTCTCGCGCGGCGACTTTATCAGCTGAATATTCAACCTGAAGAGTTTGTCCCATGCTGCTTCGAGAAGAGTCGCTGGGCTATTCCGGCCATGCTGGGTGTTATGCGTGCTGGCGGTGCATTCCTCAACCTTGACCCTTCGCAGCCTGCCAGCCGTATCCAGCTGATGATCAAGAAGCTCAGAGCGCAGAAAATTGTCTGTTCACCTCAGCAGTATGATCTTTGCCGCAGCATGGGCGACGAATATACCATAGTGGTTCTAGACGATAACACCCCTGACACATCTCTTGCAGAGCCAGCTCCAGTCGATGTGAAGCCAGAAAATAGTGCCTATGTTATTTTTACAAGTGGTTCAACTGGAGAGCCAAAGGGTACAATAATTCAACACGGCCACTATGCCAGCGGATCTGCGACACATGCACCAGCAATGTTGATCGATGGTAACACCCGAGCCCTTCAGTTTGCCTCCTTTACTTTCGATGCCAGTATTGTTGAGACGCTCACCGTACTGACTGTCGGTGGATGTATCTGCGTCGCGTCCGAGGACCAGCGGAAACGTGATGTTGCCGAGGCTGTTCGTGCGACAAGAGCCAACTGGGCAGCTCTCACGCCTTCGTTTGTCAATCTTCTCAGCCCTGACGACATTCCCACTATCAAGGTACTGATTTTGGCTGGAGAAGCCATGTCTAAATCGCATGTTGAAATATGGGGACATCGTGTGCGATTAGTCAATAGCTACGGGCCATCGGAATGCTGCGTCGCATCAACCGCCAATGTTGATGTGACGCTAAGCACTAGTCCACGTAATGTTGGATCTACATGCTCTGGTGTAGCGTGGATTGTAATGCCCACCAACCACCACCGGCTGGTACCCGTGGGTAGCGTGGGGGAGCTACTTCTGGAGGGTTGGAATGTCGGCCGTGGCTATCTTGATGAGCCAGTCAAGACGAAGGCAGCCTTTGTCAAGAATCCTCTCCTGATGGACTTGGGTGATCAGCTGAGACCCCCAGTCGTCTACAAGACGGGCGACTTAGTCCGTTACAATCCCGATGGATCATTAGAGTTCCAATCCCGTAAGGATACTCAGATAAAGCTGCGCGGCCAACGTGTAGAATTGGGAGAGATTGAGTATCAGATTAAGCATAGCCTGCCAAACAAGCCTGATGCTGTCGTCGACATCCTTTGCCCCAAGGATGCCTCGGATAAGCCTAGATTGGTAGCATTTATTCCGGTTCCCCCTGAGGAGGCACTCGAGGAGCCAGAATCCATTATTGCTCCACTCAGCAAGCGTCATTTGGCTTCCCTCTCAGGCCTTGAAGACCGACTGGCCAAATTCCTTCCCATGCATATGATCCCCAGTGCTTATCTTCCCGTGTATTATATCCCCAAGATGCCATCTGGTAAGACGAACCGCAAGGCTTTGATCCATATCGGAAGCGAATTCACGTATCGCCAGATGGCCGAGTACTCTGGGGTAACCGGGGATTCGCGCCCACCCACCACCGATACGCAGATCACCATGCAGCAGCTGTGGGGAGAGGTCTTGAAGATGCCCTCTGCGCAGATTAGCCTGAACGACAACTTCATTCGACTAGGTGGAGACTCCATCACTGCCATGCGATTGGCCTCCGCGGCGCGTGCCCGGGGTATTCCTCTGTCCGCAGCCACCATCTTCCAGCACCCAACATTAGAGACCATGAGTGCAACTGTTGATACTTTGTCGCACAAGCAGTGGCCGCAGAGCTTTGAGCCCTTCTCCACCCTTGAATCGATCCCTAAGTACAAACTTCTCGATGAGATTGTGATCCCTCAAGCTGGTGTAGATGTGTCCCAGGTGCAAGATGTCCTGGAAGCCACCGACTTCCAAAAGTTGGCAATCACTGGAGGTCTCAACCAAACGCGTGGATGGAGCAATTATCTCGTCTTTGATTTCACCGGACCCATTGACCTCCGCCGACTGCAGACTGCATGTGAGCAGATCGTGAAACATCATGATATTCTCCGCACAATCTTTGTATCAACGGGCTCTCAGTTGATCCAGGTAGTGCTCCGTTCGATCAATCCTGAATATTGCCTACACACCCAGGACGAAGAAGATCCAACCGAGTCCTTTATACGCGAAGATCTTGCCCGATCACCCCAGCTAGGAGAGCCTATAGTCCGGTTCATGCTCATCAAGAACAACGCTATCCACCACCGGCTGATTATGCGTATCTCACACGCACAGTACGACGGTGGTTCTATGCCTCTCCTAATGCAGGATCTGCGGGCCGCTTACCGTGGTGAAAGGCTGGCCAAGCGACCACAATTCACCGACTTTGTTCGCCTGCAACTGCTAACTAGTGATGGTGCTCAAGCATTCTTCACAAAATTGCTTGGGGGTTCTAAAATGACCTCCGTCGTCTCTCACAGCAAGGCTTCCGTCACAAACGTTCTTAATACGATGCTCTTAGAGATGACAAGCCTGGTAGCATTCAAAAACCACGGCATTACTGCTGCTACCGTTGTCAAAGCGGCTTGGGCGCTGGTCCTAGCCGAGATGGCAGCAACAGATGACGTGGTTTACGGACACATGGTATCCGGGCGCAACCTGCCTCTTAATGGCGTTGAATCAATAGTGGGACCTTGTCTGAACATTGTCCCCGTGAGAGCCAACATGAAGGCAATGAAAACTATTCTTGACCTGTTGGATGCCATACAACAGCAGCAGACAGACACAATCCCGCACGAGAGCATGGGCTTCCAGCAGATCATCAACGACTGCACCGAATGGGCACCAACGACGCGCTTCAGCTCAGTCTTCCAATACCAGGAATTTGGCGGCGAGGATGCTGCCCCAGGTCAATTGGTTCCTTTCGAGAACATCCTGAATTGCACGCCTGGCTTTGTCTGTCCAGCTCCAGACGCCTGCGATATGTCCATCCTAGCTACTCCTGCTGGTGAACAACTCCGTATCGAAATGATCTTCTCTAGTCACGCTATGTCGCGTGAGCTTGCAGAGGGAATGCTGAAGAATTTAGTTTCCAAGCTGGCGCTGATCTCTCAGTCTGTCGAAGCTCCATTGAACATGCACGATATATGCGCAAAGGAGCCACAAATTCCGCTGGCAGAGCCGGGCAGCGAGAGTGATGGGCTTGATGGTGTTGTCAAGGCTGTTGTTAATGAAATCAAATCACAACCTAACGGAGCGAGTATTGTTGATGGTGAGGATGGTGCTCCAATTAATCAGATCAACCTGTTGGCTTCGGTACGGATCAACTAGATGACCGCCCGATCCCTTCGATATACGTCTTCTAATTCAATCACATACATCCTCGATTTATATTACATTGTCTATTTCGCGACCGGCTGAAAGTAAATCTTATTGGTACTATTTGAATACCTGCAAATATTTCACCCGATTGGAGTTGACTGACTTGTGTAAATTAAGTATGTTCTCAATACTCCCGAGGTCCCACCTCGGTCTTGAAGGTGTCCACAGGAATTGATTGAATCCCAATATTCTGTCTCTTTAAGCATTGTTAAAATATAGTTCTACATGAAACCTTGGCTTATACTTTTAACGTTTATGACTCCAAGATTCTGGGGAAGTTGACTGTCTAGGTGATCTTGTGATATATACCTCCAGGGAAGGTCTACATCCGCTATACAGCTTCAGTTAACTGCGACTTCACCTACCTCAACATGTATCAGGTCTCCCTTTCAAGGATCAAGGTTGACTTTCAGCCCCATATCCAGAGCCATTTCATCAATCTTATCATAGGTATCCTTCCAATCGGAATTCCTATCACTCTTCTCCTCATCATCCTCTCCTTCACTCATATCCTGTCAAATAAATCTTTATGGGAAAGCCATCGCGACTGCGCAGTGAGGTCAAAGTTAAAATGTAGAGCTCAGTCATTTATCAGAGATTAGAGCATTGAATATGTTAGATAAAACACTAATTACCTTCACAGCCTGCATTATAACTATGTGTCCGGGTGGTCATTCTTACCCAATCACCTACATACCTCGTCTAACTATCAGTTCCGCCTCGGCAACCTTAGAAGATTGATCACACTCTCATATATTATCAGGAACAGCGCTGATGAATTTAGTAAGTGGCTGACTGCACTCAAATTTATACAGAAAGAATTAAATGTGCTCATAGCTGGATATCACAATCAGATTCTGATCTCTGAAACCACTTGGAAGCCAGTAACAACTTTAAACGACCATAATATCATACAAACGATTGAAAGGAAAATGATAGGAAAAAAGTTTGTCCTACACCTCTCAGTCAGGTCGAAGCTGACAATGAAGGTTGGGTAAAAAAGATGTTCATGAAGAGTGCGTAACAGCATTTCACAGTCTACTGATGTGAAGACTGGCCCATATTGTCATTGTTGGTCGTTGGGGCAGTGGCTTGGGCTGCAGATGTTTGAGCTGCAGTAGACGGGACTGTAGAGCGTGGTGCAAGAATTGTAGGATTGGTGACGGTCACAGCAGGAAAAATTAGAGCTAGACCGTAGTTTAGGGCAGCAGGAACGTGGGCAGGACGATAATTATGCAAAACATAAGTTGCTATTTGGAATTTAGTATGTGTGGTCCTTCTTAACTCATAGAAAGCTTCAAAGTAGATTTACCCCGTTCTCTGAAGGCACAATGGCCGGGAAGGTTCAGAATCATTGCCCGTTCAGCGCGAAATGCCGCAAATCGTTGAATGCAATGGGGGCAACTGACTTCATCACGAATACCGGCTGCAATGACATTGTAGGCATCATTAACACGGGCAGGTCCCATAAGCACGACAATATCAAAGATTGTATCAAGTGATATATCGTCCGGCAAGTGAATTGCCATCTCTCGCATCGTTTCCAAGGCATTGACGCAATACATAAGAGGATGGTCACCTCCACAGTAAATGCACCGCCTATCCATTATAGTAGATTTGAAAGCTACTATTAGAGGATGAGATTTTGGGAAGTTGAGAGGTGGGTGGTGATGAAGGAAGAAAATAAGAAAGGTGAAGGAGGTTCTTTGCCTTCTACTTTAGGTACGCGCTCAAGAAGTGAATTTAACCAACAGTTAATTCCTAGTTATGTTTTCACAAGAGTGAACATGATATTGAATTTCTACTTCAGAAATGTCTATGTACAAGCTATGCCCCGACTGAGGAAACAAAAACAAAAACAAAAACAACATTCCGAGTGTGATAAGTGAAAGTGAAAGTGAGAGTGAGAGTGAGAGTGAGAGTGAGAGTGAGAGTGAGAGTGAGAGTGATAGTTGAAGTGAAAAGTGAAAGGTGAAAGGCGAAAGTGAAAACTAGAGTGCTATGATACATTCGAGTGCACGCCATACAGAGGCCAGCATAAATGATTGAGTGCTCTTTATTCTTAGCCCAGTGCTTGAAACTAGCCATTCTATAGTCCTGAAAGAAGTTTAACTACTTCATAGCTTATTATACCTTCAATCCTTATAAGTAATGCCTTGTAATTTTGCTCTGTTTGGCAGTGAGGAAGCGCCTCAAGTATTTTTCGTGATTCAACATAAGGCTGGCCGCTATTATATAGAATCAATCATCTGATGAATAGTTGATTTAAAATGAACCTGACAGAAAATCATGATGTTTGTGCACTGCCACTCATAGGACCTTCTCTCAGGATCTAAATCCTATAGGAATGTACCAAAACCTAAACCGTAATTAGCTAATATTAATAGAACATATAGTTGATAACTGGCTATTATCTACTAACTTACCTCTGATCTGTCCCCCATCCATATCGGTAACTATAGCTTTAAGGCCTTCATCATGTAAGTGGTAAAACCTTTGGGGTCATCAAGTCACACTCTTTACAAGAGAGAAAACACGTTCATACTGCAAGGGTTAGAGTCCAATGCAGCTGGGCTACCGTAAACAAGAGAAGAACTAGTGTGAGAAGGCTACCAGAGGACAGATGTGTGTGAAGTCCCATAGGGCTCAATCCCACTAGGGTAATTGAAAACAAGAACAACTCTTGAAGTCCTTCGAGAGTCCGAAGACCTCAGGGAATTAAGTACATCAGGAAGTGACAGATCTCTAACTAACTCACCCAGGGAATCCCTATTCCCCCAGTGATCGTTGGTGCCTCTGGAGATCGGTATTCGCTACCATCTCGAGGCCGATCCTTGGTCGGCTCACCGACTCCGGTGATCCCTGACCGCTAGCCAAGCCAACTTATGTAGAGAGTCCCCTTCTCAGGCTTCTGGCGGCTCCCAATCTAGTCCCTCTTGTTGTATCCTACACCGTCACAGTTCGGCTAAGTTGTAGTCACGTAGATGATTCTGCCACAGTAGCATAATAGCGCTTAGCATTGTCTCTTTTGAGCCAGACCCGTTTGAGCCATTTTAAAACCGAACGAGGAAGACGTTCAAAAGTTTAGGACCGGTGATTTTGGGAATAATAGCTAGCATGTCGCCGGTTCAACCCACCGTTCAGTTCAACCCACGGCCCACATCACCGTGTAATTCATTTCATGTGTCTATTAACAAGTCTGAGCTGAGCTGAGTAACACGGCGCATCGGCTCCTTTCGGCTCCTTTCGGGGGTTAGACGTGGGAAATGCTGTGAAGGCGGACTTGAGAGTATTGTACACAACAAACTCATCTTGCTCCCGGTCGCGCGACACTAAAGCGGCGCTCAACCATTGCTTACCTCACTGCTTCGCTCCATATAATCTTCATTTTGAACACTGGAAGTACATACGACCACAGGGTGTGGAGAACAGGGCTTCCCGTCCGCTCAGCCGTACTTAAGCCACACGCCGGTCAGTTAGTAGTATGGTGGGTGACCACATGCGAATCCTGACTGTTGTATGTTTTTGTTTTTGCTTTTTATATTCAGCCATGTCTAGCTACTACACCAGTTTTTCGCACGTGAGTATATAAATCTGTCAAGCGCGAGATTTTTCCTTCAAAATGCCCCTCCACTGGCATTCTAAGCACTTAATCGATTCTGTAACAGCTAATCACGATAGCAAGGATGAAAATAGATTGAATAGTTATATCAAGAGTGATTTCTAATTGTTGTAGAAATATGTAGTGTTTCCGCATTACATCTCAGCGGCTCATGAGTATGTCGAAAAATAACCTTAGTAATGCTAGTCCTGATTGGGACTTGACAGAGGTTTGGAGTTGAGCATCAACGTGCAATTTACCCAACCCAACCTGACCCAATGCTCATATCTATGAGTGAGGATATTGTAAGGATCAAAGTCCCTTAGAGATAGAGTCGCTTATGGAATCCGTTTCTAGGATCATTGGTGTCTTACCCTTCGAATTGTATGAGCTGTAAGGCTACAACATCTACCTCAGCGCCCATGCCTCACCAAGCATCTCAACAACCATCCACCCTCCTATACCATCCTTCCATCCCCTGTTCCTTTATAATTACCTTTATCACTGTCCTCGGCGACATATGCCTTGACATTGAGCTTGAATGGGCTGATCAGGTCTTCCTTCAAACGAAGACCGGTCACGATCAAATCGCGCGAGAGAGCCTCAGCGCGAAGGGCAGAGGCGGACCACGAATCGTATCGGGAGAGAAACCAAGCCGGGTGACAATTATTGGCCGGTTGCTGGAGGGATTGAGCACTCTCCCGTTGGCGGGGCTTGGGATATCGTGAGCAGGGGTCAAACACCACACCTACAAAGAAAAAAAAAGCATACCAGCTCGCATGCACGATCAATCATCTTAAGCAATTGGTCACTGTTTATCATGGACAAAGCCTCGATGATGACCTAGAGATGATGGGGCCGTTGAGGTTGTAGTTAGAAAATATTTTCACGTTAGAGATGGAATCTCACTTACGAACCAAAGTCCAGTTACCTCTCATTTGCTTACGCGATATTTAAAGGGCTACTCAAGAAGACACGAAACTGGAGCTCGATATTTCCGAAGTTTAAACTACTCTTCGAAGAATAAAATTTGTGCCAGTGAGCGCGATAAAGCACCACAACTGGCGTAACTTGTAGCCACAATTTGATCATATTCAGAAGGCACAGGCATTGGACTGTTGCTGTGAGGGTCTGAAATAGGCCCAAGGATCACATCTGACGACAACCATTCTTCACTAGGGGGCTGGGCACTCAGCCGAAGCCGAGTCCAAGTGGCGATCACCTCCTGCCACTCCTTGCCCTTAGACTCCCATGTCTTTAGCCCTCTGAAATCGGTGTTTTTAAAAATCATCAGGGCACCTGCCCTTCTACCAAACTTGAGAACCCAGTCCAACGAATTTGATGCGTAGATCCCTGGTCCAAATTCATTGTCGTATGCGTTACTTGAGAGAGTTGGGATAAAGAACGCCATCAGCGAAGCTAGCGCCGGTCTGGTGACGACTCTGAAAATCAAATTGCCACCCAGCGACTGAGAGTATTGACGGATGGTGTCTACAGTCTTTCCGGACCCTTTCATCTTTGGAAGTTTGGCCACCTCTATATGGGAGGGTAAGTCTCGCATGCGGGCGCAGGGGTATAATTCGTTCGTGCTCATACATGTGATAGTTGTTGTGACCATCGCAGGGATAGAATCCAGTACGACTGGGCGAATGAATGGAGAGGGGTTCCAAAGGGCCTCTCCTGTCGCGCGGTTAAACATGTCCGCGGAGATTTTGCCCTCGGCGAACAAAAACGGCAACACCCAGTCGACTCGTGCAGCGCGAGGTACTCTGATAGTTTCATCTTCCAGAATATATGCTGAATCCAAGGCGGCTTTTGAAAGCTCATCCAGTCCCCCTAGCCAGAAGAGGCTGCTCAGTGGCCCGATGTATTGGACATGGTCTGATTTCGTTAGTTCTGAGCATCTCTTGCATCGTGAGTATATTTACCGTGGCTGTCCTCCTCAAGAAGCTCCAGGATATCTGGCGGGATTAAACCTGGGTATCCCACCTCCCGAATCCATACAGGGCGTAGGCCCCACGAACTCAGCTGGCTGGGCTCACGCTTCTCTTCGAAATCCTCTTTTAAGCCCTCTTCTTGTTGAATCCCCTCACAGCTCATGGCTTCGTCAACAGATTCAAATAGAGTGGATTCTTGTGATGCAGTCGATATTGGAGACGGTGCTGTGGAGCAGCTTGTAATGCTGGATGTCGCGATGCTTGACGTTGGAGTCGACTGACCTGCGTCAGCCCCGAAATTTCCTCCACAGTACTCTTGGCTCATCATCCCTGCAGCTGGCTCAGTAACCGATCAATGATGGATGGAAATGGCACAGTCGACTCCAGAGGTGGTTTAGTTCAAAAATTGGAGACTTCCGTACAGGCTATACACCACTACTATGCTCCTTCCTATCTAAAAACTATATAGGGAAAGTAAATACATGTCATGTTTAGGCATAGTTCGCTGCCTTTCCGAACATAGTTATATGCTACGCCTAAATTGGAAAGGTCGATGATCTTCGATCTATAGATGGACCCACGAAAATCCCACGTCTCTTGGACTAACTTCGGCTACCTTCGAAGGTCAGCGATTAATCTAGCTAACCCATCTCATACCATTTGTCCTATACTACTTGTTGAACTCTGACCATACATGTTCAATACTAAGATATTGGTAGAAAGAGAAATATTACAGAACTCAGGGCTTTAAGCATTAATCATGATCTAATTTATCATTCCGCGGGCCACTAGGTTAAACTATTATAACAAATGAGTTCTCTCCAAGGCTTTACTCATACTTTTCCCGAATTACTTACAGTAATAGTTAATTAAGAGAAAAAGATGCCACCTGACTCGAAATAATTGGGCTCTAGCGGCGATGCGCCTTGTGATATAAAGAGCATTCCAGCGATTACGGAAATACATGTGTTAATGATTAGTTGAATGCGATATGTCAATTGTTCTTTTTTCAAAACCCTGGCGAACGAATGCATGGTGATATGCAGCAGAATTATGAAAAGAGGGCACCCAAGCTCACCTATACCCCCACCCTAAGCAGAGTTCTATCGCTGCTTTGGGGTGAGCTATGTGATAGGGGTTTTTGGACTATTGGCCGCGTTCCATAGGTGGCTTAAGTACGGCTGAGCAGAAAGTCCTGTTCTCCACTGTGGTCGAATGTGATAGAGTATTTGGGAAGGTGATGTATATAGAGGTATGGCTGGTAGTCAGTTCCGTATCAGCTGAGAAATGGATGAATGCCGCTTTAGCATCACGCGACCAGGGAGCTGAGTGAAATAGACAGGGTGAGACCAAGCTAATGCATGACTACTGTAATAATCATTGAATATTGTTGGAATATGGAACAAAGCAGTCATGTGATCAAATTGTTACTTTATAATAGATAGCAAACTAAGAATGAAAACCAGACTTTACAACCACTTCAAGAAGACACACAGATATCATAGGGGCGTAAAGCGTTACCTGTGATAGGTGTCAGAAGTGGGCGTTAGCCTCTCATCACCTTTATCGAATAGCTATTCCACACTTGATACAGGTGTACCGATAAATATTTAAAGACTATTAGATAGTGCTATCCCTGCTGAAATAGTGCTAGAGACAATATAAATAGATGCCATCAAGTAAGACCTCATAGTATTCACAAATTAAAGGTTGGAAAATCTCTGAAATAAGAAAAGAACAACTTAAACAATGACGAAAGCAGACATTATGCTGTGGAAATATGCAGGTGGTCACAGAAGAATAAGAAAAAAAATGTAGTAGGGAATAAGATGTGAATGCATGGCACCTCTCAATTAGAAAGGGACAGTCAGTGACGATTAAGTAGAAGAATCTGTTTCCTGAACATTGTCTTCAATACCGAAGTTACAACGACATGAGTGGAAACTGAGGCCTAAAAGAAGGCTTCAGTGAGGGTGATTATTTCACTCTCACTTTCAGCTTCAGTCTCTCTCACTTAATACGTACTCCTCAACTGATAAGTCAGGACTCCACTCGGTTATGATGTGCTATTCAGCCATTTGACTTGCAAGGTCAATTGATGATGACTACTAGAGCTGGAGGACAAAGTGGAAAATCAAATCTCGAAAAGGGAACCTTGGAATATAGTTAACAAATGTACCGTGCTACTGCTACTGCACTGCTGCAGGTGTTTCGTAATAAATCGTAAAATCTGTTTAAGTAACATGACTAGGTAAGAACCGTGTGACTGGTACTTTATCTAAAGTAATGTATTAGTTGATGACCAAGCCAAGGGAAGCGAATCTAGAGAAAACAGTGCATCGTCACCCAAGGCCCATTCAAAGTCTGTCAGGAATTGTTCATCAACATGGAACGAATTCAAATCTGGCACAGTACTGGAAGATCCAGCAGGTACTGAATTATCAGATTTGGGATCAATACCCGGTGCTACATTTCCCATATCAGTCGCGGCATTCAAACGTGAGCGAGAATAGCCACTACCTTCAGCCGGCTCCGGGCCTCCCCTGGCCCGTGACTGTGGATCGAACTCATCTCGCCACCACCAGACAGTGTCAAGAACGGGGCTCAGTACCAGTCGACTGCGTATACGCAAAGCAAGGTACTCGGATCCGTCAGCTTTGCGAAATGCTTTGCGACTATTCCAGATCGAGTTCAGCACGGTCACTGTTCTTCCAGCTAGGTCATTGCTATCAACAGACATCTGCTTTGCTAGGTTGATTGCAGTAAATAGTGAGGATCGGGCACGAATAGCCTCTATAGCTTTGGACCCACTGCTACTCTTGAGAATTCTCAACAATGAGGTCGACGCTATTAAGAGCCCAAAGCACATCTGAACGGGTACCATCGCCAGACAGGATACCCGGACTGTGAGGGATTGAATGCTGTCAATCACATTACATGCGGTTACAAGAATGCGTGGAAAGCAGTTGCTGGAAAAAATCGTTTGAACTTTGAAAAAATGAAAACTCTGGATAGCCATTCGACAGATAAATATGTCGAATCTTTCGTCATCTGCTCCAACCCAGTCAGAATTGGACGTAATTTCGGCTTCGGTTTCAGGGATACATGCCTGTGACAGCTTGGGGCTCAAGATCATCTAAGTGGCCCTCGAATGTTGTGAGTAGAACGTCTAATGATCGTTCCTGGTCAGGTGACATAGAGCGTATACCATTCTCAAGAACCGCTACACTGCATCGTGAGATGAGGTCTTGGCAGCGTATTTTCAGCGTCATCCATGGTGCAATGTTCTCCAGGAGTATATGACGATGTGAAGGATCTTGCGCCTGATTAGCTCGTGGCAATTGTCCCTTTGTGACACAGACCCTGCTCCCAAAAGTTAGTCAAATTAGTCATTCTCTAATAGATACCAAAGGATCATACCGCTGATACACAATTATTGAATGCGCCCATAGTTCTGACCGACGCAGTAAATCATTCTCGGACGGTATGGGCAATCGACTGCGTGAAAATTCATGGCTTGACATAGGAATGTGAAGACCATTCTGCATAGCAACATGAAGTAAAAACCCTCCCAAAGGGAATGTCACATCCGGGTGATCGCCCTTTGGAAATGGCCATGTGAGTAGAATCAGTAGACCTTGGATAGTATGCCACGGCGGAGAGTTTGACAAAGCTGATAGAAATGCCATTTCTTTGATACTGTGGGCCAGAGCTGGATACAATGTTGGGTTCCGAGGATAAGAGCGACATGAAACTCCAATCACTGTCCAAAAAAGGAACGGAGACTGCGCATAAAAATTGTTTGGTTGGCTGCGTGGGTCAAGAATAGGGAGAAACTGGGCATAATATCGAAAGAAGCTGCACATAAAATTAGTGGAAAATTTTGGTAAAGTGAACAGGCAAGCGTCGTAACTAACATTTGAAAAAGATCATCAATCTCCTCACTTGTGACCAGGATATCATTGAGATTCCGATTTTTTGTGGTATTAGTCCCTAATACCGGTCTCGGCATTTCATGTGTTAAACTTCTCAGCTGCGAAGTATAAGAATCAGTGGGAGCCCGCGACGGAACAGAAGCCACGTCAATTCCAGGGCCAGTCCGTATGCCCATTTCAGCTGCAGCTGTCAAAAGTGAAATGGGCGATGAATGAGGATCTGTTGATTCAGAAGTCCGCAGCTTCCGCCGAAGCTCATCTGATTCACGCTCTAGGTCCGAAAGACGTCTGCGCCCGAGGAGTATTAATACGAATATTCAACATTAGGTATCTAGCATGAATATATACTTCCGTTTGTGGACTCGTTTGAAGGGGTCCGAAATTATACATGTCGCCTTGACCTTACGGCAACGAGAGCATGGCTGATCAGGGTCAAGATAGACGTCACATTTAGCCTAACAGGAATTAGCCCGTACTGGTCCTCAGATTTTTGGAGCCTGAGCCAAACCTTCTGCTGGCGGCATTCCGTGCACGCCTTCTTCCCTTTCTTCAGCGGCCTGCGCATAGCTTCGTTAGCGGAGTCAGGCTAAGCTATGAGTGGATCCTTACGTCGTCATATACTCGTAATGCTATATTAATCTGGGGGTATGACCGTGAGGTCTAGGAAGTCGGGACTATAGCGAGACAATTCAGGAGTGCAAAACCGGCACTGAATAATAATGAGTACGGCGTTGTGTATGAAAATGATGATAGCTCGCCGGCCCAGGCATTATTATCTCGAGGTCATCCCGGCACCGGAGTAACCCTAAACGAGCCCCTGATTGGTTAATATATCTCACCGCTATTGAACTCCCATCTTTTGCATAAAATGTAGCAAAAACGAACAGTAAATAAATTTCAAAGGGGAATTTCAATGAGGCAGAAGATAGATCTACATAGGTAGGAAATTCAAGAAACAGTTGTTTTCAAAATCAGTCATACCTTTACACTCTTCTTACTTAATTTTTAAACAATAAACAAAAGTTTCTTAAATTGTTTTTGTATTTTCGTGTATTTTAATAATACTGAAACGTCGAAGAAGGTAATTTATACGAAACAGCCTATGTATGCTGCCGTGTGCCCCTCCTCCCATTTCTCCCTTACGGAGGTTCATAACGGCCACCGCAAGATAGCCCATAAAACTGAAAACAGAATACGTATTTTATACCTGGCAGAATCTTTAAATACCCGTATCACGTATCACTCTATATTACAAGTCGATAGCCCTAAATTGAGGAAGTCAAACTTCAAATACTATTACTACTAAAATAACGAAGTAAAATAACGGAGCAAAATGTATTGTCTAAAGCAATTATTTTTAAAAAAATTCAATAAATGAGATATCATTCCCGTTTTCTCCGAACTCACTGGCTTTGTTATGTACTTGGCCGCCGCCTTTTAGTAGCCGCTACTGTTAGAGATTGCACTGGAGATTGCATTATAGATGGCGTGGCTAGTGTTAATGTAATTATGATAAAGACTTGTAGAGCGTAGAGAAGGAAACTTTTGCCTAAACGAGTTACACTATTAGGTCTCGTCATGTCCCTTCTAGCTTAGCGTCATGAGTCTCTATAGCCCTCCTTCACATCAACTCTTTCTGTACTGATTAAATTACCACTTATGTTCCTCACAGGATTTACCATGACGTCTATCTAGCAGGACAAGTTCCTGTTTGTTTCGGCGCCGTCGCCGTATACCACAGTCCGACAAGCGAAAAAAAAGCTATACAAGACAAACTTCGAAACTACCAGCGTCTGCCGAACAGTCACACCAACAAACAGTCACACCAACCCGAAGTCTGAAGCCGAAATTTTCCTTGATATAATATTCAAAAATGGGGACTTTGCTGGAAAGATAAATTTGGCTGACAAGGTGGCAAAGCGCGCAAATAATGATGAAATCAGAACACTTGCTGCCTCTATCGATACAGGCTGAATTTTCCCTATGAAGGCAAAAGTTAGAAAAACTTCTACCATCATAGACACTCCCCTCGACATGATATTGGTTCCTTTATTGAAAATCTTAACTCCCTTCACCTAGCTTCAGCGACTCGTGACGACCATAAATAAACGCTTCAAAGCAACTTCCTTAAGCGCGACAGTGGGTGATGCCTAATCTCTAGCGTTTACAATTCAAATATACATCCTCGACAAAAAAGATGAAGATGTCCTGAACTTGCCCATACTGTCCCCACTCTCTTGGAATCTTTGACTCAAACAGAGAAACTGAGCGACAAAAAATCTCACAAGTTTGGATCAATATTTCATTGATAGTTTCCGGCTGTGCAATCTGTCCTCCGGCCTACTGATATTAATCGAGAAGATAAAGGTATAAAAATGATGAAATGTCTGCATAAGGAGTTTAGAGGGTTCCATTTTATCCTACAAGCAACTTCCATGGCAAACCGCTATCAAGTCAGGGGGTTTGATGATTTCGATCCTCTATCAGGCAAAGATTTTCTCCCTCTGTTTGAGTTTGCTGGAATTATAGAGTGATAAAATGGTAGAAACGTAATACGTATCGGTTATATTCCAAGACTGATTCGGTTGGAGAATATCCAATGGGGAAAGCTAATCCCGGATTAGGGAATTAGTGGGTCAGGGTGGCTTAATTAGGCCGATATGGTAAAGGGTAATACGATGCCAGACTGCTAGCAAAGGAAGGCAAATAATATCTCAAAGGTATGGTAAAGATGAGGTGGATTAGATTGGCTTGACCCTTAGACCTCTGGATTTCAGGTCGTATATATATAGGATAAGATGTAAAGCGCAAACGTAAGTAATATCAGGTCAAAAAGATGCAAACAGGAATCAGTCATAATAATGATGGCTGCAAACAGTGATCTTTCCACTATATCAGAAGTGGTTTAGTCTGATCATTTGTGATCAACAGATTCTTGAAGGGCTCAGGGGTCATTTGTGTATGTTACTCTTCTTATTAGACCTCGGGATCTATTAGACCTCGGATCTCGTTCTTGGCAACATCACGGGATCACAAGTCATGATAGCTTCTCATTCCCATTATAACACCCTCCCACTGGTTTCATTACTTTCCGATGGCAGAACCCTAGTTTCCCGGCGTTTTTTGCACTTCTCTTCCAGGAATTAAGCCGTAAGAGTGTTCTGGTATAACTGATTTCGATGACTAGTTACTGTAGCAATGCCGGAATAAAGGTAATTTATAAGCGGGTATGTGCGGCTAACGAACGTCGCCACTCCGCATTCTGCAGGTTAAATGCGGGGAAATCCATCCTTTTTCTTTGGAAGTAGTATTTGAACTTCACATCTTTTCATACCGTTTTTCGATACAGCAAGTATTGCACTCACTACAAAATTCTCTTTTCCCATCATCCACTCCTAAAATGCGATCTCCTTCACTCTTTTCAGCCGCATTGCAGTTAGCTTCGCGTAAAGGCTTAACCAAGAGCACAACTCGCATAAATTGTCGTTCAATCGCGAACTACACACACCCTCATCATGCTTCCGCACTATCTGTCCTCCCAACTGCAGTAGACACGTCATCAGTTGAGTATCAAGAGAATACTCGACAAATGCAAGAACTTCTGGACAGAATGAGCAGCCTACATGGGAAAATCGCCCAGGGTGGTTCTCAAAAGTCCCGAGACAAGCATCTCGCACGTGGTAAAATGCTTCCCCGAGATCGTGTTGCTGCACTGATTGATTCCGGCACACCATTTTTGGAATTGTCCCCACTTGCAGGTCATCGCGTCTATGATGACGAAGATGTACCTTCCGGTGGGATAATCACTGGAATTGGTGCAGTCGAGGGGGTCAAGTGTATGATTGTCGCCAACGATAGTACTGTCAAGGGGGGCACATACTATCCAATCACAGTGAAGAAGCATCTTCGAGCACAAGCTATTGCGCAAGAGAATCGACTGCCATGCATCTATTTGGTGGACTCGGGTGGTGCAAATCTTCCTCACCAGGCGGATGTGTTCCCAGATCGGGAGCATTTTGGACGTATCTTCTACAATCAGGCGCGCATGAGCTCTCTTGGTATTCCTCAGCTGTCCGTAGTTATGGGCCCATGCACTGCTGGCGGAGCTTACGTGCCTGCTATGAGCGACGAAACAATAATCGTGGAGAATCAAGGAACTATTTTCCTAGCTGGTCCGCCTCTTGTCAAGGCTGCAACTGGTGAAGTTGTTTCTGCGGAAGACCTTGGCGGAGGCCATTTACATTCTACCATCTCTGGGGTGACAGATTACCTCGCAGTGGACGACTCGCATGCTCTCACTCTTGTTCGCCGCTCAGTTAACAACCTTAACTATCCCAATGCCCTTTCGTCTGCTGAAAAGACTATCAAAGAGCCAATTTATGATCCTAATGAGTTGAATGGCATTGTGGGTACCAATCTTCGGCGCCAGATCCCCGCCCATGAAATCATCGCACGTATTGTTGATGGAAGTGAATTTTCTGAATTCAAGCGCGACTATGGTACCACACTGGTAACTGGGTTTGCACGCATCCACGGTCATCGTGTCGGCATTGTCGCCAATAACGGGATCCTGTTCTCGGAGTCTTCCCTCAAAGGTGCACACTTCATTGAATTATGTGCTCAGAGACGCATTCCACTTGTTTTCCTACAGAATATATCAGGCTTCATGGTGGGCGCGGATGCTGAGAAGGGTGGAATAGCAAAGAACGGCGCTAAGCTGGTGACTGCGGTGGCTTGTGCTGATGTTCCCAAGTTCACAGTAGTTTTCGGCTCGAGTGCTGGTGCTGGTAACTATGGCATGTGGTAAGTTTCTTAATGACTACTCATTCTTAGATGTCTTTCTAACCTTGCTATCCTAGTGGTCGAGCCTACTCCCCTCGAATGATGTTCATGTGGCCTAATGCTAAAATCGGCGTCATGGGCTCTGAGCAGCTATCTTCCGTAATGGAAGCCGTTGGGAAATCTGCCGATCCTGCTCTGAAGACTCGCATAGATCATGAGTCTGAAGCCATCTTCTCCTCTGCTCGTCTTTGGGATGATGGTGTTATTCCGCCAGCTCAGACTAGGAACATACTAGGTTTGGGTCTGGCAGCAGCGCTGGGTGGTAAAGAAGAACCAGATATTCAAACCAGATTCGGAGTCTTCAGAATGTAAGTAGTACGCTTCGATTGGTGGTTCGAGTCACAGACGGCGCTCGATAAAACAATCTACCATACAAGCTTTATACCTTCTATGCTTAGGAAGGGTGGATTATGTTAGAATTCTTCAATTACTCTTTTTCTCTTCCTTTTACAATCATTTTCACATTCATTAGATGACTTTTAAGTAATACGTCATTTTGTCCGTTTTTTGCGTCCTTTTCAGATAAGTGGGGCGTCGATCAATGAGTGATTATTGGACATGATGATAGGGCAGCCTCTCTGACTTACATAAGCTACACTATCGACGCCTATCACGTGACTAACATTCACCATTGTCTCAATATTGATAATGATGTTATTTCAATTCATATTTACCATAAAATAAGATCAGTTTTAGTATCTGGACCGACCCCGATTGCCACGACCACTTCCTCGTCCTCGACCACCCCGGCCCCTTCCATGTCCTCGATAGGATCTCTCAGGCTCGTCTGGAAGTTGGGCGTGAGCCTCGGCTCGAGCAGCACGCTCCTCATCGGATAGGACAAACTTGTTAGAAATACCGAGGAGCTTGCAGAACTCATCAGTTTGCGGGTTGTTGTACTCAGGAGGAGCTTCGTTGGTTGTGATAGGAACAGACGGGTCGTACACTGGGGCAGTGATAGTGAAGTTGATAGGAACATCTAGAAGGCCGGGCTCAATGATGTTTTCCTTTACCCACGACTCTGCATGAATAATGGAGTCAAGATAGGCAGCCTGGCCTAGGTCATCAGGGACTTTGGCGCTGCGGTCACCGAGTTTGAGATCCTCTGCGAAGACACGAGTAATGGCAAGCCATTCTGGATCATACTGTAAACGGAATGGGCGCTCAAGTGCGACTTCGCCTTGCTCAGATACGGCATTGACTTCGATCAGATCAAGATAAGGTCCGTGGCCGCCAGGCTTGTCGAGAGCCATGAACTTGGTCACCTTATTGCGAATAGCCTCTGGTATTGAGGGCTTAGTGGGTAGGTTTTGTTCAGTCTGCCAAGAAGGGCGAGAGAGACTGGCTGGTAGTTTGCTTCGAATATCGTCAGGGATGATTGGCGTGCTGGATGGAGCAAACATATCATCCTTGGTTTCGAGAGTAACTCTTTTGGCAACGGGGGAGCCATGCTCTGATTCACTGCTAGAATCCAAGTTGATTTCATCATCGTTCTTAATGGGTTCATTATCCACATTCTTCATTTTCGTATCGACATCAGTCACCAAAGAGGTGACAGGAGTGTCAATTGTATTATCTTCGATGGAGTTTTCGCCGTTGGGCTCGACAGCCTCGTAGCCCCAATCTACAGGTTTATTATTACCTGGGTGAACCTTTCGAAGGCGGCACCCATCGTGTCCCATCGTAAGTGCAAATTTAACATGAAGGTGGGCGGAGAGCCAGTAGGCCGGGCGAAGACGATCTAAGACATTTCGGGCAGCCTGACTTCCGAGACGACCATGAATTGAGTCTTCCTGGAGAAATTTCTTCATGCGGAACAAGGACTGGCTATCACCGAGTTTCTCAATAGCCCGAGGCCAGTCGTGTGAGAGGCCAAGATCAACCTGGGTGCGAATTTGAAGAAGCTTCCGCACATCTAGCTCGCGGATATGATAGATAGACTGAGTATCGCCATAGGCGTAAGGAATACGCTCAAAATGGGTTTTGCGATAATCATAGCCTTTCCAGATGCCAGACATGCCAGCGATGCGAAGAGGGCCCAAACGAAGAACGTTTGCCGCTCCCAGATAATATATGTTTGGAGCAACCCAGCCACCATAGTACAACTCAAAGAGATGATTTCCGGCTTCATGATTACCACCACAGAAAATTGTCAAAAATGGCGCAATGCGCTGTCCTGAGTAATATTCATGAAAATCTCCAATTTGTTTGTACTTGGGCGGAACTGAGATGCAAGTCGCGTCATTAGAATTTCGAAGAGCTTGAAAGTCACCACCAATGATGACACAGTCAATGTTGTCCCATTCCCTAGCTTCCATCTCCTTGTAGATATTCGCGTAGATCTCATTCAAAGCTCCATGACAGCATCCGACTGACGCGACGCGGACGGGAGATGACATGGTAAAAGGGAAAAATAAGCCCGAATGAAACCGCAATTCAAAAACAAAAGAAAAAAAAAATCAATATTTGAAGTGTTGCTAGAACAAGAAATCTCGTAATTTCGAATTGGCGTTTGTATCTTTTCGGACGGACTAAGATTATTCCGGTGGGTGAGATATGAACAATTACAACTTCGAAATCTGTATCTCTTTTACTCATTTTTTCTTTTATCACATCCTTTATTCATCTCTTTTTTTTCCCTTTTCATCCTCTGTTATCCCTTTTTCTTCGCATCCTTCTGCTCTTCTTCCCGCTTACTCGCCCTCGCTTTTTGACTCCTTTTTTGCCTCTTTTCTATTCCAGCAAGTCAAACAGGATGGATAATGACGAACTACCACGATCGACTGTTATTCAGGACGACAACCCCAAACCTGTTCGTAGGGCAAAACTCTCTCCTTCAAAACCTTCAAGAAAAGCTACTAAGAAAAAGAAAAAGCAAAATTTACGTCTTTCCATCCGCAATGAGTCTACGCAAAATGATTTGCAGCTGAATTCGGCCAAATCCATGCTAAGCTCAAGCTTGACGACAAAGCGTGGCCCAGATGACGAAAGTCTCATGCCTCCGGCAAACAAGCCCAAACTAGATTCAGCTCAAGACACTAACTTGCCTGAAATCCGTGGTTTGCCCACTAAGTCCAAGTATGGATGGACCGAAGTTGACTACAAGAGCTTGCCTGCAACTATGGATTACTCCGGGAAATATGATCCCTTTTTGGAGCTGGCAGAGCTTTGGTCTGCACCTAATCTTCATCGAACATCCATCTCTATGATCAATGGTGATGGATCGGTGAACAAAGATTTGTCGGTTTCGATGATACTCCCGAAATTGGTGGCCTTGCCTCCAACCATCACCCTGTTTTGGGAAAATAACGAGATATACATTGCGAAATTTGGTCACTCGACGCCCATTGGCGAAGTAGAAGCAGAAGTTCTGACAGCAATGAGGAGAATTACCGCTAAGTATCTGCAGGCCACGTCGACGCGGCTGCAGGGATCTGAGAGAGACTATGTTGCCCTTTTCATCCCAGACATTGAACTGACTGAATTGGAGAAATGGGCCGATGAATACGATGCAGTCGAGCAGGCTATCGATGTGTATGCCAGAGATCCAGTTTCATCACCGATTGGGATCCTTCGAGATGGGGCTCAATACAGCGAACCGCGTATATTCCACGAATGGGTTGTTTCGCCTAAGCCAAAGGGAGCGTCTCACATTGAGATCGCCTGCGAGCAGCTACCCAAGCGCCGCAACTACCTTCATCCTCCCCCTCCAGATAATACACGCTGTGCTTTGAAGAAATACACCATACCTGCTTCTAGCTGTACTGTGGACAAGCTGCCCGCAGCTCAAGCAATCTTCGGCCGGTTTATCTCGCCTATTTTGGACCGGATTCAAGCCACCATGGTAGCCGAGAAGCTGAATAACACTTTTCTCAAGACGGTGGGAATTCAAAACTTGGCCCATGTCATCACAGCCATCACGGCTCCGAACGCACTGGCTGAAACTGACTATCAGAAGTATGAATTTTATGGAGATTCTGTTTTGAAGTTCACCGTTGCCTGTCAACAATTCCTTCAGCGAACAACATGGACTGAGGGTGAGCTTTCCGCTAGTCGGGATGCTATTGTCAACAATAAGCGACTCGCCTATGCTGCCATCCATGCTGGCCTGTATAAGTTTATTTTGACAGATCGCTTCACTCCCAAAAAGTGGGAGGCCCCTCGCATTTCGATGAAATTGGCCGCCCCGCCCAAGACGGAAACCCAGTCCCGTAAAGTAATGGCAGACGCGGTCGAGTCCTTGATTGGTGCGGCCTTGCTTGATGGTGGAATGTTGAAAGCGCAGGCCTGTCTCAAATGCTTCTTACCAGATGTCGAAATCCTGACTGACAGCTTCCCGACTTTGACACCAAGTGGTCGATTCATCGAACCGGTTTTGACCGATCTTATTGGATATGATTTCCTCGATGGTTCTATGCTACTAGAAGCACTCACCCACTCTTCCTTGAAGCACATCAGCCCATCATATGAAAGACTCGAATGGCTTGGTGATGCGGTTCTCGACACAGTGGTGGTGGATATATTCCGTGATCGCTCCGAGGATCTCTCTCAAGGTTATATGACGATGCTCAAGCATGCCGTAGTCAATGCCAACCTCCTTGGCTTTTGCTGCATGGATTTTGGATTTGACGAAACCGTGAACGAGGAAAGCAGACATAATTTAACTCGATACTTCCGCTACACAGGGTCGCACATCGGACTTTCGATCAAGTCTTGCTGGAAAAGACACAATGAGCTGCGCAAAGAAATCAGAGCAGAAATGGAGAATTCCAATACGTATCCCTGGGATCTTCTCGCACGTTTACACTGCGATAAGATTTTTTCTGATATCACCGAGAGCACTCTGGGTGCGATCTTCGTTGACTCGGGAGGTAACATCGAGACTTGTCGGGCTTTCTTGGAGAAACTTGGGCTACTCTCTTATTTGCGCCACATTCTGTCAGACCAAGTGTCTGTAGAACATCCTCGCAATAGATCGCAGGCAATTTTCAAGCATGCTGGCACTTTGATTTTCAAGCACCAGCGAGTGCCTAAAATGATAGGAAAACGGGCAGATCCCAACGAAGCCACTTACCAGTCTACAGCAATCATCAACGGTCAACATTTAGGAGAAGTGGCCGGGTGCATCTCCGCCGAGGAGGCCGATATTCAACTTGCTGGAACAATTCTTCAAAAGGTTGAGAAAGGATGTTATGACGATATCTTGGGCAAGTAACCAGGTATTTGCTGTCCTAACTATTAAACAGATGTATTAGCTAGACACTTATCTGATTAGAAAGTACTTTTAGTTTCGGTTCATTATCCTTGTTATCTAGGTGAGTTTGACTCGATGTTCTCCCTTGAGTGGCAGATTGAATAATTTCTCTATTTAATACCCAGGTACCGGACTTCCTTTGCCATTTTGGTTTTACCTTCCCTCAGTGATTGCCACTTTTGGCTCACTAAGTAACGGCGACTTCGCCCAGTCCGTTTGAGACTGTCTGACGATGACAGTCACAAATGGACTGGGCGAAGTCACCGATAGAGCTGAGTCGTGAGTATTACATAAGCACACTGCGCAATGTGAACCCCAAAGGCTTCTTGCCCAGTGCGTACCCCAGAGCTTGGGTGATGAGAATCCATATTATTGGAGTTTCCTCTTTTATTACAGTCTCGACTACATATCCAGAAGCTCCTTTAGATACCTGTCATGTTTGAAACAGTTTCTCCTCAGCAATTATATATCTTGAAACACGCCACATAGTAGTCTGGATCTAGTTCATCTTTCAAAATGACTGGTAAAAGTGCATCAGCAGCGCCATAAATTATATATTTAGGTGCTAGGTACCAGTCAGCGGCTATATTGGGTACAATAAGCTACTGCAATGCGAGCAGTGCCTGTCTCATTTGCGCCTCCAGTGCTTACTGTACTCGTATATAGATTGAGGGAGAGGACAAAAAACGAGTAAACGGGTCGTCGGGTTTTAGAAAAATACTTACTGCCTCTAGAGCTAAACACGCTTGAGTATTACACGGGAGTATTTCACGGTGCATCTGTAGTTGTTTCGGTTTTCGAGCTACCTACCCTAAATCCGGGGACATATATGCTCCAAACATCTACTTAAGTAGTTAGTTGCTTTGGGTAGTCTCTCTATAAGGAATGCAATCTTAGAAGGTGAAATCTCTGGCAAACAAAACTAGGATTCCATTTATCAATCTCGACAATGGCCGGCCTTCGAATATATCACCTTTTTAGAATTATTTCCTCCCAAGTAGTCAATCTTAGATGACTGACACACTGTAAATTTACGTCGACAACCCTAGGGTCTATTTCAAACATGATCGAAACGATCTAAAGCTGCAAGTTTCCAGCAAATGAAACTAAATCGAGATGTCAATGGGATCTATCAAGTCCGTCACTACTGATGATTGTCTTATCTCCGATTGCCTAATTCCCGAACAACAGCAATACAAAAACTGCGGAGAAATTGAACCACGCCCTACAGAAATGGCTATTTATGAAGTCTACTTCTAAGCCTAGTAGTTAACCTTCGAATGTATAAATAGCTCTAGAGGTGTGGAAATTGTGTTCAAGTCTGGGCACATGGACCGGATATATACGATGGATATTTCCAAGGTTAAGCCCATGTCATATCCGATTGTCCCGAGGTCATTGCATCAAACAGGCATGAGAAAGCTTAATTATCTAGGGTAATTTCAAGAGTTATAACCAAGCTCCCGGGATGCTGTATCCTCGTGCTCATACAAGACCACCTGCTCAACATCCCGCCGCAAAATATACCGCTTAACAAAGTATCTAATCTGACGAAGACCACACCGAATATGGAATCTAGTTGAACTCGAGAAGACTTGATCAAGCTCTTCGAGATTCTTATCTTTCGTCTCCGGCACGAACAAAAGAACAAGCCACCATCCCACAAGATTCCACCCAGCATACCAAGCGAAGCTTCCCTGTGCAGTAAATTTGTTTCTGAGAGAGGGCCATGTTACCCCTAGCAGGAAATTAAAGAACCATGTTGTGGCAGTTGCGATTGAAATACCGAAGGGCCGCACGTATAGGGGGTATACCTCGGCGGAGTAGGTAGTTGGAACTGAACCGCAGCCTGTGGAGTAGATGGCACCAGACAGATACGTCCCCAAGACTATACAGGCTATTCGAGTGTTATGGCTCGTTTCTGGGATCCATAAACTAAATCCGATGAAGAACATGGCAAGTGACATAAGCGGAAATGTTAATAGTAGTAAGTTTCGTCGTCCGAATGTGTCCATGGCGAAGATCGATTGGATGGTAAAGAGCCAGTTTATTACGCCTCAGCCTAATGAAACCTTGAGTGCTAATACTGGAGAAAGATCGGCTTCCTATTTCTTCGTCAGCAGTATCAAATATCTCAAAGTCGATTTTGTGAAAAACTCACCAAAAATATCTCTGATGAATAATATACAATGGCCTTGACTCCGCAAAACTAAAAAGAAAGGGTCAGCCTACTGACCAGAATGTTGATGATACGGGTAATTTAGTCTCACCTGCTGCATAAACATGACAATCTCTGATGCCAACATAGCTCTTCGATTTCTTGGAACCTTGATGATATCCCACAACTTGTTCTGTCCAAGCTTCATGCTGCTCTCTGCCTCCAGGAGAGCATGCATATAGAACAGATCACGAGCAGCCTGAATCTTATGGTGTCGCAGAGAAATGATTGACTGATAAGCTGGACGATGCTGCTTTTGAGCCATATACCACCGCGGAGACTCCGGGCAGGTAAAAGCAAAGCAGCAAACGATCAGCGCAGGAAACATTGCCGACGCCATCATCATGTGCCAATTGATACCTGCAATCGCAGTTCCCGAGACCCGATAGAAAATTAGGTCAGCTGCGTACCCGAGAATGGTTCCAAACGCTGTCCACATCTGCCATTGAATGACCAAAGCACCACGGATGGTGGGAGGAGCTGTCTCGGCAGCATAAATGGGTACTGTTGCAGATTTCGGGCCGATTCCGACGCCCAATACGAAGCGGGCTGCAAACATGGCCCACCAAGTTGATACAAACCCCTGCCAAAAGCAAGCGATCGCACTGTAGAAGCAGGTCAGGAAGATTGTTCCTCGTATTCCGAACCAGTGGTTGAATGGTATTGTCAGCCAACAGCTGATGAATGCACAGCAGAGGTAGGGGGCTGAGTTTACGAGTCCTGCTAACCAGGTACTTCTTGAACTATTGTCTGCAATTCCGAACTAGTGTCTATACCAGATTTGAGCGCCATTAACCACCGTTTCATCTGATGTGTAAGAGTTCTCATTTCAACCTCTGTTCTATCTAATTCATGGGTCATTCTCGAGTGTACATACCCATGCCTTGGGTAGCAGCAGATAAAGAGCAAAGCACTATGACTGCATACATTTTCCACGGTTGTGACCAGCGGTGAGTAAATTCCCGACGCAATATTTCTTTTTCCTGGCCCGTCAAGTCGGCCACATTGGGATATCGCTCTGGAGACTGGGCCAGCACAGCACCCAGTTCAAACGCACGGATGTCAGATTCATCACCTATTTCATTGGCAATCGCAAAGCTGCGACCTTGTTTGCGCAGCTCGGCATGGCTGAACCCAGCCAGAGGATTTGCAAGTTTTGCATTGAGATTGCGCCGGGCACGCTCAGCTGATGAGCCAAACGTGCGATTTGGACCAAAAGGACCGCTGCAATCTCTGTCCATATCCTCAATCAAAACAATCCTCGAGGAACTTATTTGGCTATACATGATGTATGAGAAAGGGGGTTGGTTGACTAGGGTAAATATGGAAGACTCAGGAAAGTGGCATATCCAATTTCTGGTAAGATCTTCGAGCTCTGAGATTACTGTCTTTCATCTCTTCTTGTGTAATAAATTATCTTTGGGAAATCCTCTTTGACACGGCAAGGAGAACCCGATCTCCATTGGACGAGAAAGGGAAGAGCAAGAACATGGTTGGGCTAACAAAGAATCTTCTGCCTGGCATCTAGTCTCTTGGACAAAAGATTTACACTTCAGGACTGATGGTTTGAGTACTATTGATCTACGTTGCTTGGATGGAGTTAAAATAAAGGTACAGTAACGACGGAGCCACTTCCAAAGGTTGCCTTTCAAGGTTATACCTAGGGATGAATGTGACATCAAAAGCACCCATCTAATCAGTCCCAAGATCGTTTGTATTGAGTGTATTTCCTCCTCGCACAATTGACAGAAATCTGAGATCTATTATTTGAACTTTTGTAATACATTTTGGATATCGCCGCCATGTAGATTCCGAGGTCCGCGGTCTACTCCGCCAGCCGATGCAAAGCATCACCTTCCATGACCATTCCAGTCCATTCATCCTTCGCCTTCGCTCCAACCTGTTTATAAAATTGAATACTAGGCTGATTCCAGTTAAGGACACTCCACTCCAATCGACGTCCACCAATCTCAAGAGTCTGCTTTGCCAAGAACTTGAGCAATTTGAATCCATAACCATGGCTACGCGCACTAGGCTGCACGTAAAGGTCTTCTAGGTAGATCCCTGGCGCGGAGCGCCAAGTGGAGTAATTATAGAAGTAGAGAGCCATACCGACTGGAATGGGCTCGGGAGCTTCCGGAGTCGGCGCCGGGGTAACTAGGGCTGTGTAGACAGAGCCCCGTTTAGGCGCGGTATCCGGGAAGCCGGGGAATGATAGAGTGGCTAGAAGAGATTCCTCCGTGGCTTCGACTTCGTGCAGGGCTTTTTCGTAGTCGGCCAGTTCGCGGATAAATTGGAGGATGATTGGAACGTCTTATTACATCAGGCCTCAGGACTCTGTGGGTACATTGGAGAGAAATTCTTTTACCTTCCGGTGTAGCGAATCGAATAGTAGGGTTGGCCATGATTGGAATTAGAAAACTTGAAATTGAGAGCTGTGAAGCTCTAACGGAAGTCGTTACTGGAATTGCAAATTTTATATGTTAAAACCACGCCCTATGAAAGACACCTTTACGCCTTACCTACCTTGGACCAATTGTGGTGGAGATAGAGTACGCACTATGCTGCAAGTGGACTAGTGCTTTACCCTTCGTTTCTCTTTCCTCTTTCGGCGTCGCTTTCCCTTCTATATAGATTCTTCAATATCTGCGTCCAAGAGTATCTTCCCATTTTCAGTGTATTGTAGCATTTATTAAAGCTTGTAAGTCCACGCGTGATTCTAATATGAGAGCTTCAAAACTTAACAGTGCATATTTCTTACATCAGGTACCTAGATATGCATGTGCGCTGAAGTCGACGAGCGTATCTTGTCCAAATGCCAATGTACCTAGTTCCCTTCCAAGCCTTAGAGGTTACGTTGGTCAACATCGGAAGATATGATGTATATAAACCTTAACTAGATACAAACCTGGAATGTTCGAACCTTCATAAATATTCAGCCAGCCTCTCGAGGGCTAGACTTGTAAGGCCCATGTGTTTAGATCGGATCGCGGTCATCTCCCGTGTACGACTTGCCTCATTATCCTTAAATGATCATCTAGGTAGGTGCCCTGTAAAGTTCTTTCCAAGGTTAGAAATCGGTGATCAATTGAGCCGTTAAGATGAACGCTTCCAAAGGCTTGAACCGATCATTTGCCCAAGCAATTCTTCAAGAAGCATTCAAACAGTAGTTGCAGCTTCCCTTTTTCAATTAAATATACCGCGGTACCCGCCTTCGGTATTGGATCTATATCAACAAGCTTCGATGACGCTGTGAATCTTACCTAAGTACATATGCATGAAGGGTATATTTTCCGAAGTAAAAGAGGAAATCTGGCGAGTTAAATTTCTGCTGACACTTCAATCTCATTGAGAAAGAAAATCAGGTTTCTTTGCAATCAAACTTCCAAGGTTGGAACCCCTGATAGTTTTCATCAAGAAATAAACTGGTGTTGATTCTGGCAAACAACCGGGTGATAACTGGGCGTTAGCTCGTTTTCGAAGAGCCAACAAGAAACAAAACAAAAGGAAGTTGAGAGATCATATTCATGGGAGCGGAGGCCTGAAAATTAATTTCATGGAAACATATCGCGGAAACGACGTACCCCACTGAATCAGGTTTAGTACAGAACGTTGAAAATGAGTTTAAATGACGATGCGAGGTGCGTTAGGAACTGTTTTCCTGTCAGAAGGATTTCCTTTTGTTTTATTTTTCTTAAGCGCGCTTTGCGCATAGCGGTTGCAGCGGGACTGAGAGGGTGTGGGACCGTGTTACAAGAACAACCCAAGTAAGAAGGAATGGATCTTTGAAGGCAAATTTGTATTTATGGAGATACTATAGCTCTGGACCTGTTGATCGCCCGGCAAAAAGCACCATGCTTCCGTACTTTGTGCCGTATTTGTCTTAAACCATTGTGACGGCAGATGGTACCTGAAGTAGTCCTGCACTCAAGCCTGACAAACCGAGATCGGTCAGGGGTGGGTTTGTGCCAGATACGTGACCAGGGGCTTGTGTGAACAGGCATGTTAATAGAACTAGTCGCCGGATACAAATATCAAATAGAAAGCGAGTTTGTCTTGGGATTTCGGGGTCGCGGAAGTGAAATGTACTGGATTAAAAAAAAAACTCCCCACAGCCCAAATATGATACGTCAGGACCTCTCCTGAAGACTTTCAATTTGGTGAGAAAGCAGTGATGCGCACAGGGGGGCCAATATTATTTATCCTAGCCAGTCGGATGTCGTAGAGGCCGTGACGATCCAAGAACCCGAGCGGGAAAAAGTAGCCCTAAGGCTGGTGACATGACTCAGATCAAACAATGTGATATCCTTCGCTTCACGCGCAAGCCCAACTGCGGCTGTGCTGGTTAGTGGGAAGACTGAGATCCCGGATTTACAAGGGTTGTACGAGTGTTGGGATTTGTGAATTTTCTTTTCTCGTTTAAACAAGTTCGTGCTTGGGGCATATGCAATCCCCGCGCACGGACGGGGGAAACGGGGTATACACGAGCTTGACCTAGATCACGTTACAAATTGGTATATCTGCAATTTGGTACCTATGACCACTTGCGGCATGGTTCTGTTGCCCCCATTTGGAAGAGAGCGGAGCTGATATCGCCGGCATGGACTGGACCCGTCATCATCGTGTATCATGTGCCGGCCGTTTCAACAAATGGCCCGAGGACGGGCGCTTTATTATTTATTTTGCGGGGAATCCTTGGACGTATCACGGCAGTTCCGTACATTGTAGCCTAGATTGGGAAATGTGGAATTCAACTGCTTCGTGGATCCGTTTCGTTGCTGATGCTAGCGCTGCTGACAGGTTTTACCGTCTGGTGATCATTTGAGTGGACTGAAGTTGACAAGGCTGCAATTACGTAGTAATTGCTATGGTAATTCCAACTACTTAAATAGATGTCTGCCCACCTGGCCTTTATGGGGTTTGGATAACTATTCATTCTTTTTTATAAAAGTTCAATTCTATCATTCAATTCAACTTCTAGAGCTGGTTATTGATACTTCAGATTTCACCGAGACTCAATTTGCCACATTGAGCAAGTATGTCAGCCTTTTCCGTGGTCACCATCTCAATCGTCATTCTTCTTGTCATCATCCGTTATAGCAGAAAAGGTCTCAGTTGGGTATCAACATTCTGTAGATCACAGTTCCCGAAGCATGACGGCATCAAGAGTCCTGAAGTGAAGAAGATGGTACCATATCCGGCACAACCAATTCCAGGCCGAGAGAGATACCGCATCATGATGAATATCCGGAAGCTTGATGTTCAAAACTGGCTCACTTTGGACAAAAACTACATGGCAGAGCACCGAGTACGAGACCATTTGCTTCGAGAGAAGAGGGACAAGGTCTTACGCTGTCTACCTGAGTCGATAGATGCTTGCCAGGAAGCTCTCGGTGAAGTCTCAAAGTTTCTCTGTCAGCGGTTTCCGAATGTATTCCATAAGGTGACTGAGGGAGAGAAAGAATGGGTTGAAAATCTGATGACGAAAGAGAAGTTCGATATTGATTCCTGCGGGGATTCTTCGATTGAGAACAACACCGAAGCTCTGGAGGCTGCAGTTCGTCTCACGATGGAAGACCTGAGTATTCTTTTGAAGAATGACGAAGGAGAATACTACCTGGCAGCCAGTGCGAGTCTATTCCCCACTGGGTGGACGGTAGAAGAGCGCATTGGATGGTCCATTTCTCGACTACACAATCCAGTACCTCTGTGGCACCAGCAAGTAGGTAGCTCAGTGTGCAAGTAAGTGCCAATGAAATCAACGTTGAAATTCAAAATTCCGAATACTGACATGTTCCCATTTGAAAGATTCTTAAGCCGCCTCACTCCAACTTCACCAATGGAACGGTCCAACTACTTCATTGAAGTGAAGAAACCCAACGAAGATCTGTTTGATATTCTTTACCGCCCCGGAGCACTTTGCGAGAAAGAGCTCTGCAAACTCTCACCGAACGAGATAATAATCCGTCGCGAGAGACAGACTTTTCGCCGATTACCACGCACCGGTGCACTCCTCTTCGCTGTCAAGACGTATCTGACGCCCATTGAAGAGCTCCCGATGCAAGAGCTTGAGAATCTCGCCAAAGAAATGAAGAGCTGGCCTGATTATGTGAGCGAATATAAAGGGAAGGATGTGGGGAGCCAAGGTGCTGGAGTATTACAACAAGCGCGTTGAAGCAAATTCCCTCCAGGAGAAGGAGGAGGTGTAAATTTCTTACTGAACAGGGAACAGGACTGGTAGATGAAAAGCCATTGATATTTGGATCTGCATTTTCAAGGGGAAACAAAATGGGTGGTTATCTGGATTTCAGTTTCGAGATGTTTCGCAATACTGCTTCTTTTGATCAATTGAAGTTGTGCTCTTTCAATCAGCCGTGACGAGTGTAGAACTTACCCGCCTTATTCTTTTCCAAGGCGAGTCAACTCCTAAAGTTTTTCTATCTCCTTGAATTTTTTGTTTTCGAGGTAGGCGAAGTAGCTCTCAACGATTTTACTTGTCAGAGTATACGTACCATAGAAGCTGACCTTTAGAGTATATTAGCGGATGATATATCAAAATGAAAAGGCATAACTTACCGCATGGTATCGCTCAATGTGCCAGTTGATGCTTCGGGCCCTGAATTTTCCATTAACCACGTTTGTGTTCCTCGCACGACACCAGGCGAAAACTCACAAAAAGGGCAACGGACAGCGCAGTTTGGAATAGCCTAGAAGAGTTAGTGTAACTGAAGTGAAAGAGAGAAAGGATATTACTTACAACAGGACCTGTGAATCGCCACAAGTCGAAGCGTTTATCATCTTTACGATCGGGACATTCGCAAATTCCACGAGCTACTCCTTTTCCCTTTTGTTGTGCGATCAGGTCAGCAAACTCGGCGTGTTGGTGGTCGATTCTCTCTATCTGGGAGATCCCACCAGACTTACGCGGTACCTCGTTAGGAGGTATGAAGGAGAGTAAAGTCATCTGGGAGCTCGTGTTTGATCCAGTCATCGAAATCCATTTCTCAAGGCTAAGGAGTGGGGAAAGAATGGAAAGAGATGAGGGATTTGAAGAGAAGAAGATAGGATGTGGAGAGTGAGTTGAATTGGAAGTGTCGATCCCGTTTTCTTACATTCAATTTTTCAACTCTTTGCGTATGTAGGTTGTAATGCTTTTCATTACAGTATGGAGGTTTTTATGTTTCAATTCAATGCTATAAACTTCCTCCGTCTAGAATCATTCATATCTAATACATGACAGTCAAGTAGCCACTCCGCAGTTCTCTATATGCATAAAAGTTTAGATGCGAGGTAAGAAATATTTTATAATCAAATTCCGCGATTGAATTCGACCATGCCACGACCACGGAACTCTTCCTCGAGGTTATCAGAGTTGATAGCCTGGCGCTGAGGGAAAGCAGCCAGAGCCAAAGGCAGAGCAAAGATAGAAGTAGTCAACACAAGACCCAAGTTGACGGGAAGGATCATACGAGGGCGAGAGCTTAGCCACTTGGTCTTTTCCAGACGGACTAGGATAAGTGGCGGGAGGACCATGATGGGAGTGGCGTTCAGAACACGACTGATAGCAGTCTCACCGACAGCCAGGGTAGCGGCTTTCTTGCTCTTTCCTAAGCTTTGGACTGGTTCGGCGTTTTCAGCCTCGCGCTTGGAACGCTCCTCGTCAGAGAGAACGGGGTAGACGTCGATTCCTTGGCGGATCTCTTCGCCGCGCATTAGGAACACGTTCAGGGCACTAGCGCTGGCGACGGCAGCGAATGGTACGAGTCGGGAGAGAATGAGACGGGTGTTGGGTGAGATACTTTTTAGGCGCGGGACGAGGGCGTTTAATCCTAGTGCGACGGAGCATGATGCCGAGACGGCCATGAGGTAGGACTTGGCAATCTGAGATGTCGAAAGGGGTGTCGACTTGTTGGCATTGGCATTATTGATCGCTACATTGAGTGACTGGTTACCTATTTGCCAGAGGAGGGTGCCGGTAGTCTATATTGTGAATTGATGTTTAGTAAAGCAATGTACCGATTGATCGGGAAGTGGACCGGGCCGGTTTCCTCACCTGCAGACCGGGAGTGAGCATTCCAGCTGTGACAATCAAGTTGGAGAGGACATAGCATGACATGCGGAATGGAAGCAGAACCGGCTCGCCGGTATCTAAAAATTTCACGAAGAGTTAGCGACGAAAAGAAGCCTTTGTCCAATCCCAGTCAGGCTCCATACCGGGATGAAGTGTTGAATCGACGACCTTCTTTGCGTGCCAGAGTTCTGGAGTCATCGCGGGAATCTTGTTCTGCTTGTATAGAGAGATAATACTCTTTGACTGCTCCAGGCCCGCGGAGGAGACGAGCAGCGTGCTGCAAACGTACGGTTAGTCGCTATTGTGTCTGCCGGCAAGAGAAGCACTCACCGAGGGTCAGAAAGGTCGGCAGCATGGCGAACACGACCCCAGTAAGTACTCAAGTCATACTGGGACACAGGGAGGTCCCGGCTACCAGGAAGAGAGGCAGACATGACTATAAAAACTGCAATGAGTCAAACTAAAATTATTAGTCTTCGTGCGGGGAGAAATAATTTTGGAGTCAAAAAAAAGGCGGTGAGAGCGATAAGGACGTGCCAATCAGAACCAACAATGCAGGAACCAAATTTTATAAAATATTCTATTGAATCAATTTGATTATCAAAGTGAAAAAAAAGGTAAAATAGATAAAGAAAACAGCCTATCATGTGGCAATAGTACATAGGTATCATAGTTAAAGAAAACAAGTAATCAAAACAAAGGAAGCGGGAATCGACCCGGCTGATGCAAGTAGGGCCCGGGTGGGGGATAATCGGGATGATAATGAAACATAGGAAAATGGGGTCGTAAAAGATATGCTAAGTCGGGATTCGGACTCAATCAAGAGTTTAAAACCGAAACGACTTATGCGCCAAGGGTGATGGAGGCCCTCCGCAAGTTTGATAGTCGTTACTGGTATCGCAGAACACGCAGACGTAGAAGGAAGGCAGATTCGCACGTTCTAGTCCGACACATTTTGTGTGCAGCCAGTAAGTGCAGGATTCACTGGGAGAGGTCAGGATATGAGTCAAGATGAAAAAAAAAGGGAAAGATTTACCACTGAATCATGAGATGGCCGCCATTTTCGATGGAGTGGCAAACGCAGCGGGTGCCGTTACTCGGATTAGTGTGACGGTCAGTATGGGGAGTGGTCAATTCAGGGTCGACAAGCGTCACCGGCGAGGTATTTGACAACCGTGAGGGAATGTCGAAGTCGCTGTTGAATCGAGGAGGGGAGGAGCGCAGGTGTGCAGACGAGTAAGATGATCGTGTGAGTTGTCCTCGATAGCTACTAGCGGTAGAGGGGCGAGGACCCCGGGCACGATCCATCAAGACTTGGCGAAGAGCATGTTGGGCGTCGCCCTTGTCCTCCTCCTCTCCGGGTAGCAACTGTGACGCAACACTGCCCCGGGGAAATGACGAATCAGAATGAAATAGAGACGAATGGCGCTTGGGGGTGCGCTTGACAGCTTCAGGAGATCCCAGAGAGGCAAATCGATCATTCAGGGCACGCGAAGAGTTCTGCCATGGAGACATGTGGCCCGAGTGACTTGAGCCCACAGCCGAGGTATAAGATCCCTTTGAAAGAGGGCGAGAGCCCGAATCACTCCAGGACCGACGACCTTCATCATCAAAGAGGGCGAAAGAAGAATGTGAACGAGGCAAGACGGGATATTCAGAATATTCGGCAGGGTCACACTCGCTTTCAGTGGCCGAGCCATCAAGGTCCATTCCAGTCAGAGGATCAGTCAATCCTGTCGGTCCATCGAGCATGGATTGCAGTTCCGTCTTTGCACGGCCATCCCGTCCAATACGGAGGACGACAGACTGTGAGCGGGCAGGTAAGCTGCTAACTGAACTGGAACTGGACCGTGTCATGTGGGCAGGACGTAATGCCTTGGTGGGCGAGCCTAGTCGTTTGGATGGGCTTTTGCGAATCCCACGGGAGTACATTGCAGTGTGTGTTGCACTTCGAGTGAGTCCAGGCCGAATACCTCTCGGTGTGATATCGTCGTTATCTTCAAGAAGACTGGAGGGTTCGACGAGCGGACGGCCTATTTCATGTGTGCGTCGAAGCTCTTCACGCTTCGATTCTTCAACCTGGTGGTGATACGGTTGTCTCCTCTTTCCGGAAAATAGCCCTAGCTCTGGCGTCATCTGGGGGCCACCAAACCGTCGGGCTGGTGAGCTCAAGAACATAGCCGGATCCTCGATGGCAGGACGGCGTGGAGAGGTCGAGAAAGGAGCGGGGAATACGGCAGCATCTATCGGTTGAGTAGCACAGAGGCGAAATGGGTCGAATTCTGGCAGGTCCATTGAACTGTCGATGGCTGGTAGCTGGGGTATTAAGTCCCTGTGAGAGTTGTGGGCAGATATAATACTAGTATAGTCGATGGCATCCTTGTCAGATCCTGTGCCGGGTAGCGGGATCTCATTAGACTCATGATCTTGGTCCCAGAAGAGACGCTGTTGCGGGTAGAGCGGCGAGCCAGTTGGTTCCAATGCAGCCAGCTGAAAGAGATCGGGAGACCGAAGATTGGCAAACATGCTTGGAGATGCTCCTAACAACCGACTAGGGGTCTCGAGATGGCTTTCTGTCTGCGGTGTAGCTCGTCGTCCAACACTCTTCTCCAGGTCGAATTCGGAGATTTTTCGTCGTGAGGCGCTTGTCGGTGGGGGAGTTTGCATCGAGGCTGCGGACTTGGCTGAACCCACTCGGGGATGATTCTCGACGGGATCTGGCAATGGCTTCAAGGGTCGAACCCGACGAGCTGTGTCAGTCTGATCCGAAGACCTTCCATTCTTGCAGAGAGCATCCCCTGCCAGCTGGGGATCTAGCTCCGTCCGTAGGCCATTCAAGGGGGTGCCGAGGCCAAACTTCTGTGGGGATCGAAGACACTCAGGGCTCGAGGCGTATGGATCAGCGGTATCCCAAGTGACTCGGGGATCAAAAAAGCTGGACTCGAGCTTTGGGGTAGTGAAAGAGTCAAATGAGGAAGTATTCGGAGTCCTCGTGGGAGTTTGAGGTTCACCGTTCGGATAAAGGTTGAAGCTGAACATGGTGGGATGAATTAGCATTGTGGAGCATGTTTAACAGTACTAAAGAGTAAAAAGAGGAACATAGGGCTATCACTGCTAAGGGTGAGATGGAACTCCCCGCATAAGACAGGAAAGGGAAGGGGGCATGTCAAGTCACATACCTGTGGACAGGCTGATCCCAACTCATGACAGCAACCGACAACCATGAGAAAGAAAGGAGATTTCAATAAGGAACCTGGAATGCTCGGCAGAAGTAGTGTAAGGACAGTCCTAAATTTTGAGTTGAGAAGAATCGGACAGTGGGGTGGAGATAAGAAGGAGGAATCGGTTTAGGAAATCGAATGTTTTTCTTTTTCTCAGTTCGTCGTAATTTTGTAATTTCCTTTCATCTCCACATACCCACTAACAGATTACATAGGATTCTTCTATAGACAATTTACGATTTAATTCTATGGTGGATCTAAGTAAAATTGGAGCAAGTCTGGAAAAAAGGGAAGTACTACATCTTGGAAAGAGTGGAACAAGATCGGATGCTCGCAATGAGCCAGTGAGATTGAACATATCAGTAGGTTACATTCACGCTACTTAATTAGTGAAAAGTCTCTGGTCAATCCAATATTATATGTAGATAATGACGACATTTAGCTAGATGAAAGTGGAGCTGGTACCTGCATAGTGTAGATGGAGGAGGAGAAAAGGGGTACATCTAGATCTACTCCGGGGCCACTATGAAGCCCTAGTTATATTTGACTCCCGAGGTCTAAGGGCTAGAGGATAGAAGTAAACTTATTACCTATATAGGAAACAAGACTTATGGCTGTGACATTGCCAAACTCAAATCGATCCCTCAAATTTAAATTAACTCTATTATTTCCTCTGCTCTTCACCCCTGAAGCTTCCCAGCTTCCCCGGTTACCAACTTAGGCAAAAGGTACGGGTCTACATTCTTGGCAGATAACAGGATTTATTTAATAGGTATTTACCACTTAGATCTAGGCTTCAGTGTCTCGTTCTGAAGAACCTCAATCCAGTATCCGTCTGGGTCCAACAGGAAGGCAACGTCTTTCATCAGGCCATCAGTCAGACGCTTTTTAAACTCGACACCAATGGACTCGAAGCGTTCGCAAGCCGCATCAAGGTCATCCACAGTGATACCTAGATAGCGTTAGTCGGTAAAAAGGTTGGAAAGAGACAACATGTACTTACAGATATGGCCAAAGCCCTGAGGCTCGGCGTTACCATTGTGGTAGACCGGGCCTTCCTCCTTCTCCGTTCCATAGTTCCACGTAAGTTCCAGCAGGCCTTCCCACTCAGCAACACCATTGCGGACACCTTCCTGAATCTTGGGGTTGGCTCGGGGGTAGCCCAAAAAGTACAAGTTGAACTTGTTGGCCTCATTCACGCTGGTACGGACCAAGGTCATACCAAGCTTCTCTTGGTAATACTTCAAACTCTTCTCGGCATCCTTGACACGCAGCATGGTGTGGTTGAGACGGTAGCTTCCGGGGTCAGTAGAGGTAGACAGGGCCTCATCAGCACGACTGATGATTTCAACCCAGTATCCATCTGGATCCTTGGCGAAGGCAATGTGCTTCATGCGACCGTCACTCAGCTTCTTCTGGAAGGGATATCCGGCATCTTCGAGGCGCTGGCAGGCAGCCTCGATGTTATCCACTGAGATACAGATGTGACCAAAGCCCCGATATGGCTCGGTGTTGCCATTGACGACGCTGTAGTTGGGATCTTTCTCCGTGCCGTAGTTGTGGGTGAGCTCTATCAAGGCATTGCGGTCCGTGAAGTGGCGGTCACTGCCCTGGAGAGATGCAGGACCAGTATAACCAAGGAAGTAGTTGGTGAATTTCCATTCGGCAAAATCCATCTTGAAGATCTCACTCAGTCCGATGAATTTGTAGAATTCCAGTGATCGCTTGGGGTCCTTGACCCGAAGCATGGTGTCTGGTTATTGGAAGTCATATTAGATTGAGAGATATCGCATGGCGAGGGGAAGGACGAACGGTTGAGCTTATAGGTGGTAGTGTCTGTCGTCATGGTGAAATGTCTCAGGCCAGCTAGGCTATAATTAACGGTTTTAGAAAGTCTGTACCCAATCTCTCAACTGAAGTGTAGCTTCACTAACCTGGGTCTACTTTGCGTGAGGGGTTGTTTAGGTGGAACGTTGAAGAGTAGGAGATGTGGGGCTTTCACGTCACTTTTAACTGCCTTGGTATACAAGCTCCGAAACCCTAAGCTGCAATTCAAGATATTCTGCATATCATATATGCATTAATGTGTAATTCTCTTCTATAATGCCATTTGACGAGATAACTACAAAAGATCTGATTCGTGATCGGAAAGAAGAAATGATGTCAACAGACCTCGGTCTAGTGGATTATCTTTGATCCCAGTTCGACTCACCGGCAGATATGAAATCATATTGTTGGGAGCCTGAAAAACAAGGTAAAATTACTATTAGAGACGTTGAATCTAACATTTGAACTCATAAGCCTTAAAACTTCAATGACTAGGCCTTAAGAATCCGTATATTAAATGTGGAGCTGCCATACATCTCTGTCCAGATGGCTATCACTGTAGAAATAAACGCATTAAGAAGCAGTGAGCAAGAAGGGATATGGCATATCCCCCTGCAAATATGGGAAAAGAAAGCTTTTAGAACGGCTGTTTGGTCGTTTCTGTTCTCTGTTAGAGCATGTAATAATGTGACAGACTGTAGGAGGATGATAGAAATGTACGTACCTCCTTTTATATTGCTAGAGATTAATGGCTAGAGCTCGACTCGGCCTCATCGTGGTCGACCTCCTGAACCGATTCTGCGGCACCCTTGGTATCAATGAAGTGCGTAAGACGCTCGTTGGGAAGCCATGCATTTTCAGGCATGACAAAGTAGGAAACCAACGCAAAGATCGTGACACCAGCCATGATGATTGGTGCATCTATAAGAAATGTGTTAGAATATAACTTCCAGAAAAGACGAATGAGATAACTGACAGTTCAAGTTAGCTGCAGTGACGGGCCACTCGTATGGTGAAAATAAGACGGCTACGACCCATCCGTTCCAGAAAACACCAATAACCTGGAAAGGCTTGCTCCAACGACCAAGACTCCACACCGGCTTCGGGAATCGGTTCGGGGTACAGATAAGTCGACCGAGGCAGATAAGTCCGTATGCAGCAGCGCTGGGAACACCGGCTGCTGAGACGAGAGATGTGAAAGCCACGCTTGAGGGGAGGATCGTGCATAGAACCAGGGCTGACACACCCCAGATCACGAGGACAGCATTGCGTGGTTGGCCGCCGTCTACTTTGGCTACCCAGCTTGAGAAGGGCAGGACGCCATCGCGAGCGACGGCGAAGACGAGACGAGAGGCTGCAATGATTGCGATTGCGGTGTTCTGGGAGATGTTAGATGTGGTTTGTAGTGGGGTTGCGGGATATCTTACCAGCCATAGCGCAACGGTGCAGATGATGGTCATGAAGATGTGACCACCTTGACCTAATACGACGGCGTAGAGCGGAACAAACGGTTGTGGGGACCCAAACTCCATTAGAACATCCGCAGTGGGCTAGAAATTCATGTTAGCTTGTGAAAATAGTAATCTGTGAAATGAGGCACATACAGCGCAGAACAGGAACAGAATGATCGTAGCCAGACCACCAAATCCACTGACAACAGTACTCCAGAAGATACCACGAGCAGCTGTCACCGAGGCGTTCTTAGTCTCTTCGGCAACATGACCGGAGGCATCAAATCCGATAAGGATACCAGCAGTGGCCAGGTAAGAAAGACACCAGTTCCAGCCAGCCGGCGCACCGGTTCCGTTATAAGTGGTCATAAAAGCTTCGTGAGTAGAACGGAAACCCCACGTTTGAGCAGTACCAATAGGGAGCCAGATCAGATTCAACAAGAAATCCAGCAAAACGATTCCAGAAGATGCCCAAAAGACATATTTGAAGTACTTGGGAGGCATCAAGTTCAGCAGGACAGCTAAAGCAAGGAGAATCTCAGCGCAAATCCACTGAACCGCTCGGAACTTGACACTATCAGTATCTTGTGGGAAGTCTACATTAAAGACAGTCAACTCTGCCAGCATATAGTTGACAGCCGATTGTGTGTTGCTTGCGCAAAAGGTAGTCCAAGCTGTGGTGCTCCACCAAGCAACGATAAAGCCAAGTAGACGGCCAAATCGAGGACCGCCAGATTCGGCAGCCCAGATATAGATCGATCCTGCGGATGGTGATGCCGAGCACACTTCCGCAACCACTGCAGCGGTGATGAAAGTGAAGACCATGGTAACCAGGTAGCTGGTCCAGTATGCCAGATTACCACCAGAGGCGATTCCAGTGCTGTAGGTGACCCGCACTCCGCCGACAAAGTACAGTGCAGCTGTTGGGACATGTTAATGCGAGTTTCATGGTTATCAAAACTTGAAGCTTACCAAAAGTTGTCGAGAAGTTCTCGAATAATGTGTATGTGCGGTGAAGCACCTACTCAGGCGAAAAGTAAGTCTTGAATCATTATTATAGTGAAAAATGCGTATAACATACTGGCTTGTAGCCCATGGTTTCCTGGTATAGAGCATCAGTATACCTGTACTTGAAAACATCAAGGTTTATTTCTCAATCGAACTCACCAGCAACTCTGCATCATTCTGGGCCTCATTTTGAGCCTTGGTTCCCTCGCCTTCAGTGAAGCCGCTTTCACTGCTGTGGCTCAAAACATTCTCCGCTTGCGCCATATCGGCTCGATTTGACGGGACAGAGGCCAAAGCTGCAAAAAAAGGAGAAAAGAAAAAGCAGGAGAAGCAGAATAACGAGCTTGCTAAACCTGTGGCAAAAACCTGCGCTGCGATAAATATAAATTATCGGACGATATAGCTTTGTAGAGCTCGGAAAAAAAAACCCTTTCTTAACTTCGCAGCAGTGGTTCCGCGCTATCAAACCGCCCCACCTAAGCGGGAAGTTTAGGGAGTAATACTTGGCTATATCTTATAAGAGATTAGTGAGAAAATCAAGTGGAAAAGATGATTAAGGTTCCACGTTCGAATTATCATTGGAAGCGAGAGGCGATCAACTCCGGATACAGGAGTGGAATTCGAGGTCTTCGATCCGTCTACTCCGCAATAGCCGCGGGCATAGTTTGGTTGATGGTCTTTTTGAGGTTATTGCTCCAAAGGATTCGTATATCTGTGGTCTGACGTCGGGAACTTCCATCTCCTCATACGCTATGGTGTAATTTTGCGGTATATGAGGCAAGCTGAGGTCCACTTGAAATACCCCACAATGTGACCGTGGTGAAGAACTAGCTATATTTACGTGCTTTTCCAGACGAGACCAGAAGGATGAACGCTAGATCATGCGTGTTATGATACAGTTGCTGTCAACCGTGATGGATATCTCGTCCGCAAGGTCCAGTCTACTCGGACATCCTATTCTCGGAGTCATATAACATTTGAAAGAAGGGCTACTACTCTCATGGCAAATGAATATTCGATTAGATTTTCATCCAGAGTCTCACAACCGCGTCTTTTGAGCCAAGCTCCCTCAAAAAGCTCAAGCGCTTTGTCAGCATTGTTAAAGCTGAACAGGTTCAGATCCTGTATGGTTTGCCGAATGACTTGATGTTCCTTCTCGTCCCGCGTCTCTTGACCGGCGATAATGAGCAGCAATAAGGTAGCCAACTGGCGTAGACTCTCGTCCAGCCCCATCTCCCCAGGCAGTTGTAGGCTTATAGGTGTGCTGGCCCGCCAGACAACCAGTCGATTGAAGATATCTTTATACACAATGCCTTGGTTCTATTTCAGACCAAGGCTGTCGTAATTCCAGGCGTGGATTGTCAGGGATGGATGGCGGAGATAGACTCGGTGTCATCCACCCCGAGGAAAATCACAAGGAACGGAGAGGGTGATTACACTCTAAGACGTGCTGATCCTCGAGGAGTTGTTGCCAGTATACCTGTGAATGATAGGTTGTATATTTCACGTGCGCCCTTAAGATGTACGACTTAGTTCTGATGTTGTGAATCCATCATCTGTGACCATGTAAACCCAGTCATTCTACGTGTGTAAGAGCTTAACTCGAAGAGACACAAGAGAAGACATGTCGAGTTCGAAACAACTGCACAACCTCTCCATATTTATTACTCATAGCCTGCTGCAAATGCTTATTGATTTGAACCCCGACCGAAGAGTTGGCCATGTGCAATGCGCCCAGTGCCTGCATAGCACCAACCATGGACGGGGACGAGCGAAATCTGGAAAGTGAATGCGGTCAGGGTTTGCGCTCACAGAATTATCGTGTATTATAAGGAGGATCGATAGTTGATCGATGAAATAGGTGTAATAGCGTTCGTCGAGGCACGCATTGTAGCAGGGCGGACAAGCTGGTTGGGTTTGGTACGCATAATTGGGCGGACGAATGAGCTGACGAATTCGTAGACAAGGCTGCCTTGAAGGGTCCTGTTTCGTCAGATGTGCTGTCTCTGTAGCCTCAGAGACTAAAGTTGATTTCCTTCCTCCCTTCGAGGAATACTGTGTTGGGCCATAGACGTTGGAGGTCATGCGACCTTATGTTCCATCGCACTCAAGTTTCAACCGTTTGCAGTTATTTCAGGCTGAATATGCTTTGTCACAGCGGACATGACGGCGTCGACAGGTCGAACACCCTGTGAATCCCCGATGATGCCAGCGTCGAACGCGTTTTGGAGGTGGGGCAGACTGTTGCGCGGGTGAGTGAGCGGATTCAATTGAAGGCCCATCGTTTTATGTTGGGGATCTTCATGGGTAAAAGGAGCTTGAGGATGATTTGAACTTTCAAGAAATTGGAGTATCAACAGGTGTGATTTTATGATTTAATGATAAAAGTTGAAGACACGAGAAGGTGCTAAGGGGCAGATCTCCGCCACTTGGGCCGATGTATGTGCACTCCGATATCTGCGGAATACTACTACGGGGATATAAATCGATACAAGTGAAACGGAATGCCCAATTTAGAAACCAATGGAAAGAAACAATTAGTAGATAATATTCATAATCTGTCACCGTTTTTCTGTGACTCTACTATTCAGAGCAACAGGCAAAGAATGAAACAGGTACCGGCCAGATACAAGGGGCTTCCATTTCAGATAAATTGAAATTGGATTCATTAAATCAACTCAGAAGAGCAGAGAGTTTCCAGTAGTTTAAATCGACTTGTCGTTGATAGTTCATTTTTTAGGTAGACTTGATGCTTTCTTGATAATCGAGTCCTGTATTTCAAATTTGGGCTCGTCCGCTGGTCGAGTTCTGACACTATCCGAATGGAAGAATTCACATTCGAAACTCAAATACACCCCTTGGCGCTCATAGATGGTTATGATGTCACCAGTGTACAACTTGCCATATGGAAAAGCGTGATGAGACCCCTCGTCCCGACCGCGCCGTAGCTCAACACCATTAACCCAGATGCATTTGCGCGCTTTGGTAGAGATTACAGCGCACAAACCGGGGACATGCATCCAGTCATGTCCCTTGGCAACGAGAGGCTCGATCCCAGCGGCCCAGAAAGTGATTTCAAGAGCGTAGACCGGAATACGGCTGTCCATGATGTTTTCGTGTCGATAAGTGTTGTTCATTCCGCGACCCCACGAAGTCCAGCGACGGTCAATTCGTATGTTCACATCCAAGATGGAACCTGGGACACTCTTAAGTCGACCTAGAAGCTTGGATGGTTTGGCGAATTCGCCATCGTACACGCTGGTCGAGGCAGAAGGTAGGTCGGGCTGGTGAACTATCGGCTCAGACGGCTCGATCCTACTCTCGCGGAGTTGATTAAGGACTACCTGGCCCGTCTGAGCATCGAGGGTAGTTGCAAATTCAATGTCATACCCCCCATCACCACCAAATTTTGAGGAACCGTGACGGCTAGGTTGTGCACTCTTACCGCTGGACCGCTCGCTGGCTGTCTCCGGTATCTCCGGTTCAATATTTCGATAGGGTTTGGTCTTTCGTGCTTTCGGAGTCGTGTCATAGGCACTGGAAGTGGGTGGAATGTTATCATCCCGGGGCGGGCTACCTGTATCATCCACGGGTTCCTTTTGATGTCCAGGTATGGTCTTCCGTGGTGAATTCTCGTTAACAGGGTGGTTCGGAGGGGAAAAGAAAGGATTCGAAGAGTGCATGTTCAGCCGTCCAACGAGATTCTCCGCTCCCATCAAGCTTGGTGCAGTGCCGCCAAAGGGATTTTCCGGGAGGGAGATGATCGAATGGACGCTGTGTGCATCGCTCATCGACTCACCGGAAGAAATAATACCCCCAACTTCATCAATGTTGGAAGCCCAGGCGTCAAACTGACGAGAATTTAGCAGAGCTGAGGACGTGACTTCACCAAATAGCCGTCGTCGTGCCTGATTATCGGCAACTACTTGAGCATCCTGAAAGCTTTCAATCTGTGGAAGAGACGGATATCGAATGCTTGCCGGGATATCATCGATTCGCGGTCTCTTAGAGAGCGTCTCGCTGCTGCCCGAATCATCGGGTTCACATGTGTGCGCAAAGGCACTGTCATGGATGGAGAGTTGAGAGGCATCGAGTTCATCCTCAGCATCCTCTCCAATGACTGAAAGATGATCATGCGCTTCGGACACGATGTCACTGTCTTCGTAATCATCTACGTCCACCACGTTGGCAATCCACTGGTGTTGAAAACATTCTCTTTCGGTTGGGCGCGCGGAGGGGTCGCGATTCAAAAGACGGGTAATGAAATCAATACCTGCCTCGGATATGCCTGCTTTGCGCAGAAGCCCGAAGTCTGCGTCCGCAGTCATGATGCTACGTAGCATATGCGCGCCGCGATCCTCGGAATGGCCTGAATATGGCGGGACTCCACACAAAATATGGTAGAGAACAGCGCCGAGGGACCACATGTCTACGGCTTGACTGTATGGCGATGGTTTCGCAGGTCTGAACTGATAGTCAGCAATGATTTCTGGAAGAATAAATCGACAAATAACTCACGGGTCTCCTACACGGCGTCTTTTCCTGGCCTCGCCACGCCGGTACGTATCATAGTCTGGGTAGACTTCTGGTGCACAGTACAAGAGTGTGCCACAGAATGTCTTGAGGAAAGATTCTTCTTGAGTGACTTTTGACAACCCAAAGTCGGAGAGCTTAACACGAAGCGGGTCAAGAGAGGCTATCAAGATATTATCCGGCTTGACATCACGATGGGTAATCCTGCGGGCATGAAGATAGTGCAGGGCTCGCAAAAGTTGGCGAGTAATGGTTTGGACCATCTCCTCCGGAATCTTTCCAGCAGTCGAAAGCCAAGTGGACAGCTCTCCGCCGGGAACGTACTCCATGATGATGTAGATCCACCGGTCATGTTCATGATAGTCTATGAATTGGACGATGTTGGGCTTTGTAAAATATTAGATCAGAGATATAAAGGCAATTGGGAGGCGATGAATTGCTTACATGGTGCAAATCTCTCATAATCTTCATCTCGTTATCGACTTTTTGGTCCAAAATGCCATTCTTCATGAATCTCCGTTTGTCTAGCTCTTTTGCGGCAAATATGGCACCATGCTGCTTGGTGGCTAGCTTGTACACGGTTGCGAACGCGCCCTTTCCAATTTGGCCGGTTACGTTATACGTCGAGCCACCCGTCCAATGCATGCCATAAGCATTGGAGACCGACCATGGCATAACGGAGGCCGAGGCCTGTCGGTTTTTTTGCTGGGCACCTGTTACGGCACGCTGAATACACTCGAAATATTGTAGGATGTTTTGAGTGTACTGTCTGGCGAAGCCTTCGCGTGATGGGATACGCACAACAAAGCGCAGCTCGTCCTGGCCTTCTCTGCCGGTGACCACTTGGATGACAGAGCCGTTGGTGAGCATACGGCTGTTGTCCTTTTGAGTCTTGCGTAGGCGGTGGTTGTCTACAATGGTGCCATTAGTTGACACGTCCTGCAACATAATGATGCCGTCGCTTGTCAAGTAAATTCGAAAATGACAGTTGGAGATGCGCTTGGCACGGTCGTCTGTCGATAGAAGGACATCGCAACGGTCTCGATTGCGACCGAAGCAAAATCCTAAATTGACGTCGTGCACTGACGACGACAATCTCAGAGCCACATCTAGCGCCGCTGTTTTGGATTCGACCACGTCTTTTTGAAGAATATGCTGGGGGTAAGCAGCTGCTGTTGCAGCTACTACATCGAGGGTACAATGTGAGTTTGGGTGGAGAATACAGATGATATCTGCGAGGTCGTCTTCTTGAAGGCCAGAATTTTGCATACCCATGCGACGGGGATCGGCACATGGCTGAGTAGACTCCTGAGTTGCTTCCATGATGAATAGAGGTCGATGCAAGCGCTAGTGATAGGAAAGTAAAAAAAAAGACGGCCGATGATGATGCGGGATATATGATGCTGAACAAGAAACTTTCGAATAGCAGAGTATGAATACGCGATGAGGGTCTAGAGATTGGACCCGAGGTCAGCTTGAAAATAAATTGAGAACCAGCAGAGGTGGGGAGGAACCAGGGTATAAATACCTCGAGGATGAGACGAAATATCACCAGGGCGATAACCCGGGTAAACGGCCACCACAACAACACTCGATCAATGAAATTGTGAAGAAGAGTAGTCTCCGGAAGAGATTGGGAGGAAATCGGTAGTCAGAGAGCGTTATGATTCTTGCAGAGCGTGCTTGAAGTAAGTCCTCGGAGAAACTGCGAGGGGATTGAAATGAAAACGAAGGAAGTGCAGCAAAAGTACTTGAAGACAAAAATTGACTCTTATCTCCCGACTCAATTGGAAGATGAAGATCGAGGTGCAGAGGGTATCGACGCGTCTTCGAGGACGAAGGATCGTGAAACTCAGAGTGGGCTGTTCAAGAACGTGTAGTGATTGACAGGGATATTTAGAAGTGTGGAAGGAGAGAAATGTTCATAAAGTGATGAGTCTATTTCTGTTGTAAAAAGAGAACGCGTTAGGGCTGCGCACTAAACAGGCGTCGATATTTACATCGTTTGTCGGGGGTATGGATTAAACTCACATAGGCTAAAATACACCCTGTCTCTCCTTCAGAATCTGACCACAATCGGAGAAAGATATTCAATGAACCGAAAGGGGGAAACCGGGACAGAGAGACTGGGTGGTCGTCTGAGAAACAAGAAAAGAGGAGCCGCAGTAAGATCTACGATCTCGAGGTTACTCTGACCGCCTAGCATGAACTAGAAATCTGACATGTCAATAAATAAATTCTTGTAATTTGCTGCACAATATGTATTATTCAAGAGATCATTCTTTGATGATAACTCATAGGAATTCATTGTCTTACCATTTTCTGAATTGTTACAAAACTTACTCGGTATTCAACACTTTCAGCTACTTCATGCAAGAATTGTCGTCCCTATCCTAAGCATGCCAGACTCTGCAGTTCATTCGCCAATGAACATGAAGCACTGCTACAATCCTTGCCGAAAAAATAAACGTTCTCCTTACTGGCTGTCGTGTTCCTGAGAATGAACGGCTACCTATAGAAGGTGCCACTCACGGAGGTGCAACAAGGATCTACTATATAGCTGGTTAAATCAGTGAACTATATCAGTGGCCTTCAGCTATCTACTATGTAGGTAAAAAAACATAATGAAATTAAAATTGATCATCTACTAATAATAGCCCTTCTCCTGGTAAATTACTAATCGATACTCAATTCACACAATTTCTAATTCAACAACGCTGGGTAGCAGTAGAAAATTCTTGATATATATCTCAAAGTCCTTTGCTGCCTAATACTGGCTGGTGCCTAGCACATTCTTGATGAAGATATCACCAGAGTGGAGTAGACAATGCGGGGTTAGTGGGTCGATCTGAAGTAACCAACTGGCTATGAGTAACTACCTAGGTATTTAGATAGCGCCAGCAGTGTCCTTTTCTGGCAATTTCACCTCGTACATGTCTATCCAAGTCGCTGATATCTAGTATTGATACGCCATGGTCTGATGTCAAATAAAGTATAAAGTCATCATTCTTCATTGATGCCGTGTTTTCAAAAACACAAATGATGATCTCCTAGTTAACTATATAAATATGCCCTCGATGACTAATGCTTGCATTTATAGGTAGGCGGTGAATCCGGTGAGAACAAGGCAGTAAGGCGGGGATATGGCCTGACGAAAGCCTCGGTGTAGAAAAGAAATATTGATTGCAGATTCGATTTTTTGGTATTTCTCTCTCGTTCAATCAAGAGCTTGAAATTATGGCGCCCATACCAGTGACTATTTTCACCGGATTCCTCGGTTCTGGCAAGACGACTCTATTACTAAACCTCATCCCGCAACTACCGCAAACCTATCGCCTGGCTCTTCTTAAAAATGAATTCGGCGATGTCGCAGTCGATTCTCAACTAGCCTCTACGAAATCAATTTCTGGTGTCCGCGAGATGCTAAACGGCTGTATCTGCTGCAATCTCGTAGGGCAGCTGAGTGATGCTCTTGATCAGCTACGTGAAGAGGTCCACCCAGACCGAATCGTGATCGAGACCAGTGGAAGCGCATTCCCTGCCACACTTGCAATGGAAGTCAACCGTCTAGCGCGTGAGAAGGGCGGCGCCTATGTGCTGGATGGAGTCATTAGTGTCATCGACGTGGAAAACTGGGAGGGATATGAAGACACTTCATACACGGCCAAATTGCAGGCTAAATACACAGATCTCATCATTTTTAACAAATGGGAGCTTGTGTCAGAACAGCGGTTCGATGTATGTCTAGACCGTGTGGGTGACTTGGGCCTTGAGACGCCCTACGTCAAGTCGAATAAGGGCTTCGTTGATAAGGATGTTTTGCTGGGCATTGACGGTGCTTTGTTCACCAAAGAGAATGTTGATGCATCGGTAGCTGAAAATAGCCATGATCACGACCACGAGCACAAGCACGATCATCAATCTGAGGTGGAGGTTTTATCTGTTGTCTTGAAGTCATCTACCCCACACAAGACTATCGACGTGTCGGCTTTGGAACAGCTGCTTTCTTCCGCACCCAAAGACGAGGCTTATCGCATCAAGGGAATTATCCGCTCTTCATCTCAGACTCCACCCATTGAAACCTCAGACGAACCCTCATCTAGACAGCAAGGAGATGACTCAGGGCCCCAGTACTATATCCTCAACTGGGCTTTTGGGCGATGGACTTGTACGCCATCAAAAGTTGTTGCTGAATCTGCCGATGAACACGTCTTTGCTCGCATAACATTCATCCTAGCCCGGTATGAGTCTGCTAAGTGGACGAAGAAGATTCAAGGTGGCTTGCTTAAAGCAAGTGACGCAAGCGAGGTCAGCTTGACCGTGGAGCGCTTGGTTTAACAGCTGTATAATGGTGCTGAAACACATGTCCAGCTCTTTATAAATGATAGATTTTGGGACGTTTCAACTAGATCAAATATAGATAGCTTTACGTACCCAGGGTCAGGCGCACTGAGTAAATTTCAGCCTGGGCTCAAGCTCACGGAGCTGCTTATTACCGCCACGTGATATATGAGCACTTAGTGATCATGATTATCTGTGTCATGTGCACACCCGACTCGTAAAACGAGTCGGGTGTGCACATGACACAGATAGCTGCTCACTATTCGCTCACTGATTACTCAGGGTACCTATCAAGCACTCAGTAGACATACGCAATTCCCATATGGGATCAGTCCCTGCTATGATCAATTCATGCTCACGTAACTTCGCTCCTCATCCCCATCTGCATACAAAATACATCCTGCGTACAGAATACATCATTATTCAGTATTGTGGCCATCCGCTTCAAGTTCACATTAGTTGTTCCCGGTCTCAACCTCTCTCTAGTCGCACAAAATCACAACTCAGCGCTGTTGGGAGTTTCGTCATCATGCGGAACGTGATAATTCTCCATGGAATCACTGGTGAGAATCTGGGTGCTTTCGACCAACGTGGATCAATTATCAAGAAAGTATTTTTCGATATGCTCGATATCATACTAGAGAAGACAGCCCCTACTGTCTTTGAAGCAACCACCGGAGCTCAGCTCCATCCGACTCGTCAAATTCTTGACCATGGAACATACAGTGTTTTTCCCACATCAGGCGAAGTCCTCCTTACACGTGAAGTTTCTTTCAGACGCCTACCTTCAAGAAACAATACTCCAATAGAAGAAGCTTTCCAAGTCGGGTTACGAATCAGAGACGGCAAATGCATGATTTCCCTCAAGGTAAACCCAATGGTCGGTGATCCTGGTGACAGCGAGGAGTGGGACATATTTGAAGGTTCCCACGTGTTCCCCTTGGAGCGATCAGCGCAATAGAGTGCAGGGGATTTCTCATGGTTCATCACCACTACCAATACTAATAATCATCGCGCGGATATGAATTCCATCCAGAATGGGCTCCTTCTTAAAGGAGACGTTCATAAACTCTTTGATAAGTTCATTATCATAGTCAACCCTGATGATAATTATCGAGTAATCGACTTCAAAGGCGACCGTGAGGAAGTTGATGGGAATATCCTCGATCCGGCCTGCAGAGTACCTAGTGACCCCGACCGAGTAGCAGATGGCTTACTTCGTTGGCACTTTAGACAGGCGGTCCTCGCCCACATGAAGGCGGGTGCAGGCGTGCCTGTGTGGGAGACTGACTTCCCCCCCCCCCCCCCCCCCAAGGGTCGGATATCGTCGGCGAAATTTTGTCCGGCCCAATGGGTGGAGAACGAATGGAAGCAGAGTTGCTCCAAAGATTTCACCACTTTATGAGTGACGAGGACCTCGTCAACTACTAGAGGTCCTAGAATTCCCTCTTTTTTGGTCCCGGCATTTTGCCCCCTCCCTTGCCCGCTACTCCTGCTGGTATTTTGTTTTGTTTCCCTTCCAAATGCATTTCTAGCGTCTACCGATACCCATTTGTTCTTGTTTTTCTATTGATCTCCGCATCTTTTCAGCGGCCTGTCGCTAAAACAACCCATTATAATAGCAAAGTCCATAAATGTGACGCTTTAAAGCACGAGTTAGTCAATATTATCTAGGTTCAATTGACTTGTGTACCATCTTCATCATGGCACCATGTGAATCGCCGGAGGTTATTTTATGTTAGTTATAGCTGCTCCATATCCAAACAGGTTAGTACTAAACTACGCTATTAAGTTTTGTAAGAACGGTATAGATTTTAGATTTTGGTTTTGACAGAGTATTTCACGTATAATTAGAAGAGTTGAGATCGAATCAATTCTACATTGCTTAATCAAATTCACGGAAGACTGGTAGGTAGTTGGATCCATAAATAGGCTGCTTATGTACTAACTATTTAATACCGTTTAAATAAACATTTATTTACAAGAATTAATAGATAGATGGACCAATCAAGCAAAATGCTTAGTAAAATTGTCCCTCAACGGGAGTGAGGCTCCTAGAAATGAATGACCAATTTAGTGAGATCCGGCATTAATTAACGAGATAATTGTAAACGGCCTACGAAGGGAGGCTAACGTATTGTATTTGATCAAGGTATGTAGCTCAAACTTTGGTCAATGAGTATCATGTGACACTCAGTGCACATGATTGTTCAGTCCTACTCAGTGAGGTTGCTGCTTGTATCAACTCTAAAGTTGCAGTGGATACTCGGTCGACTCAATTTCCTGAGGATACTCCAATCCGCCCTGCCGTCTCACTTCATCCATTACCTCCATAATGACAAGGCTTTCTTCCCAAGGCAGACCCTCACTCTCCACCTTTCCATCTCTCAGGCATCTGAAGACCTCATCAGCCTCCCAGTACATGCCATGGCCATCATCCGGGAACGGTTGCTCAAATTGGCGCACTTCGCCCTGTCCCTTGAGGATAACACGATACTTTGTCGGACGGAATGGAAACCCAAACACTTGAATTTCACCCTTGGTACCCTGGATGCGAATCTGGGGAATTTCACCCTTGTCATCCGGATCACCTGAAACGCGAATGTTGGTCATAGCCACACCTTGCGATCGGCGTATGCCATTTCCAGGTGTACTGTTTGGGAAGCTTAGCAAGATGGTGGTGGACTCATCTACACCTGTGAGATGATATGGCGTCATCTGCGATAAAACCGTAGGTGCCTTTCTCTGCTCTAGGGGCAAGGTGTGGTATAGAGTCTGGAAGACCCAGGTTAGAGAGTAAATGCCCACTGTAACCAAGAGAAGAAAAATAGGTCAGTACGATGTGGCAAATCTCGTAGAATAAAATACTCACAGTCAAGAAGAGAGCCACCAGCCAGCTTTGGGTTCACCATTCGATGCTCAGTGCCCCAAGTTTTCTCAACATCCTCACCAAAGCTCGTATCAGCCGTGACACGGAGAACCTCACCGATCTCGCCCTTCTGGATGGACTCGCGAATTTGTATACTTAAAGGGAAATAACGAGTCCAGACGGCTTCCATGAGGAAAACCTTCTTCTTGAGAGCAAGCTCAATCAGGAGCTTGGTCTGAGCTGCATTTACGGTGAAAGCCTTCTCGCACAGGACATTCTTGCCCGCTTCCAGTGCCAGCCTTACATTTTGGTAGTGGTGGGAATGAGGAGTAGCAACATAGATGACATCTACGTTTGAATCCGTGACAAGCTCCTCGTAAGAGGCGTATGCAGCGCAGGAGTTGGTGATGCCGACGGTCGAGATGAACTGCTTGGCCTTGTCTACAGATGAGGATGAGGCAACAGCTACGACTTGATGTTCGACATCAGAGGCATCGCGAGCTTTAGGATCTTTGAGCAGATCGTGAACGAACCCTGGAATATTTTTAGTTCATATCAAACCGTCTAGTGCGAGGGGGATGGTACTGTTCGCGATGCCGCCAGTGGCTATAGAAGTGTATTAGCTGCATTATTCAGATGAATTGATTAGATATATCATAGTCTCACCCATGATACCCCATCGAAGCGCCATGATTTAAATTGCGTATGATGGTTCCAAAGTTTGAATACTCAGAGATGGTATTTATGTTCTTCGGTTGTTTCGAGGTGGGGGAATCAATTGCCGTTATTCGGAGATGCGCCGAGTGGGGGAACCTGGCAACGTCATAAGGTATTATTTATGGCGGTCAATATTGATATTTCCCTTTTTTCACAACGTGTGTTAAATCAGTCAGAACCGAAATACCAGCTTTGCCTTCCTTTTTGCTCGAATAATTCTAATCCTTCTGTTCTACTGAACGCCCTGTTTTCCATGTAAAATATCCAATGCCAGATTGAAGCTGCTTTCTTCGGCTTTCTATTTCATAGATCCTCCGATTGACACTTTCTAGGATTAAATCGGTGAAAACCTTGAAAGATCTGGAGATACGTTACTTGGTACATCACAGAGAATTTAAAAAATTATTCCAAGTGTTTAACCATCAAAAACCTAGTAGAGTCAAGATTAAATAAACAAATTTGTGTGTGTACTACGAAGATAGATTCCAAGGTTACCAAGAACATCCATCCGTAATTTGAACGCCTCCAAATTTATGTTCAGCTGTCGGATATCATTTTCCTTCACAGATATAGACATAGAAGACGAGCAAATACTTTTAATAAAATAGCCTTGGAATATATTTTCTCTTCATAGTCACGTGCATACATCTTTGTTTAGAGTTCCGGTGCAAGTTGAGCCGATTCGTTATCGGAGGATAAGAACCCACCGAGGTCTATTTGATCTCTTCCTTTCATCGAAGCAATGGATTTGAAGGATGCGTTCGCCACGACTGGGTTCGTAACCCACGCGCTGAGACATCCCATAGAGTCATTTTTAAGCATTGGCCCAACTCTGAATGAGGCCACCGTCGGCTTAGCAGGATCATATTTCAAGCCAGAGCGCGACATTGGAAGTCTGAAAGGAAAGGTCATTCTTGTCACAGGCGGTACGTCTATCATTATCTTTCTCGCAATAGCTTGGCTTTGGTTAAACCATTCATACAGGAAATGCCGGCATAGGCAAGGAAACTATCCTCCAGCTAGCCAAGCATGAGCCTGCTTGCATCTACCTGGCTGCGCGCACAGAAAGCAAGGCAAAAGAGGCAATAGAATCGATTCGGGCCAAATTATCTACTCCAATTGACATTCGATACTTGCCGTTGGATCTTTCATCTTTTAAATCCATCCGGGCAGCTGCGGAACAGTTCCAAGCTGATACTAACCGATTAGACCTCTTGATCCTCAATGCAGGGACAATGGGCAATCCGGCCACAAAGACTGAAGATGGATTTGAGATCCAGCTCGGTACCAACCATGTCGGCCACTTCCTGATGACCAAATTGCTTCTTCCTACGCTGCAGCACACTGTTATGAGTGCGCGAGAGAGTGGATCTACCCCTGACGTCCGCGTTGTGACTTTATCTTCCGTGGGCCATGTTGTCTGTCCAACCTCATTTGAAGAAATGACGTCTACATCCTCGTTGTTAGAGGCTAGTACTTGGACCCGCTATGGCGCCTCGAAAGGTGCGAATATATTGTTCGCTGCTGAGTTGTCCCGTCGGTATCCAGAGATCATGTCTGTCGCTGTGCACCCGGGCGTGGTCAAAACTCCTCTCTACGATCATGTCAAATATACCAGCTCTTACGTGCAGCATACTCTGTCAGTTGTGGAGTCTATTTTCTTCCGAAATGTAGCCAGTGGCGCTCTCAATTCCCTATGGGCTGCTACCGCACCATTGGACAACCTGTCTAATGGTGCTTACTATACACCCGTTGGGAATCGCAGTAAGGGTACAGCCTTTGTTCGAAGACATGATATAGCCAAGAAGCTCTGGGAATGGACAGAGGATCAAATTGCCGAACGAAGCTAAGGTCGATATGTATAGTTATTTATGTTATCTGTCTGTGAAATATTTTGCCATGATTTTATACATGCGTCATCCCGAGGTCCTGTCGATGGATCTATCTGTTTAAATACTTTACTATATCTAGTGTCTATTTTATCTTTGGAAGTTTCAACCAAATGAGAGCGGCAGTATACATGAGCGGTAGAGTTGTGATGATGCCTTATCGTACTCTTATCGTTCCAAGCTCTCCACTCGGCACCTTCACCTCCACACTTGTATGCAATCACCATCTACCGAAGTAGCTATTGTACCCTATTAACACTCATTGTCGGCCCCTTATCCTTTTCAAACTTGGGATAATTTGAACTCACTCAAAAGGTCAGTCGTTTGATATATTTTATGGGTGTCTTCCAGCTGGGTCCGACCGCAATGCCCCGCATGATCAGTGTAATCTGGAGACTGAATTGATCGACTTTGATTAACATAAATAGGAATTATTTCACAAAGGCTTGCCCAGCTTAGATGTTATATTTGTCATCTTCATTCTCCTGCGCCTTGTGATCACCAAACCTTCTATTCCACGATATCCGAGAATCACCAAGATGGTGCTGCGGCTCCGCGTCGATGGCAAGTCCTTTAGAGATCCCCACGATCGGGAGATCATTTTGAGGGGCATCAACGTGGCTGCCGATGCCAAGTATCCCAGGACTCCGGATATCCCATCTCACTTTGGAGACAAGTTCTTCGAGGGGGACGACGTCTCCTTTGTTGGACGGCCATTCTCTATTGAGGACTCGCATACACACTTCAAACGGTTGAGAAAGCTGGGATACAATACTATCAGATACATCTTTACATGGGAAGCCATCGAGCATTCTGGGCCTGGGATCTATGACGATGAATGGATTGCCTTCACTATCGAAGTCCTTCGTATCGCGAAGCAATATGAGTTTTATGTTTTCATGGACCCGCATCAGGATGTCGTAAGTTCTATACGATTCACCTGGCGAGAGAAATACTGACTATCGATAAGTGGTCCCGGTTCTCAGGGGGATCAGGTGCTCCCTTGTGGACGCTGTATGCAGCGGGGCTGAATCCTCAAAGTTTCAAGAAGACTGGAGCTGCCTTTGTTCACAATACATATGATATCCCGGCTGAGTATCCTAAAATGATTTGGAGCACAAACTACACCCGACTTGCCTGCCAGACCATCTTCACGCTCTTCTGGGCTGGACGAGACTTTGCGCCAAAGGCCATAATCGACGGTGTGAACATCCAAGACTACCTTCAGAGTCATTTCATCGAATCTTGTAAACATCTGGCGCAGAAGATTCACGAAGCTGGGGATCTGGAACATGATGTGATCATTGGCTGGGAAACCATGAACGAGCCACATCGTGGCTTGATTGGATTCCAGGATATTTCAGTGGTCCCAGCGGACCAGCAGCTGAAGCTTGGAACATCCCCAACGGCGTTTCAAGCAATATTAACTGGATCTGGAAGAGCTTGTGAACAAACAACTTGGGCCTTTGGCAATTTTGGCCCAACCCAAACGGGCAGAGAGCTTGTGGATCCAGAAGGAGAATTAGCCTGGCTGCCAGCCGATTATGATGACAGCAAATATGGCTGGCAAAGAGACCCTAGCTGGAAGCTTGGAGAATGTATCTGGGCCCAGCATGGTGTATGGGATCCAGAAACCGATACACTGCTACAGAAGGACTACTTCTCGAAAGTACCAAGCACAGGGGATCCATTAAACTATGAGGTATTCACGAATACTTACTTCATGCAACACTACAGGGCGTATCGGGATGCTATTCGCAGCTCGTGGCCGGAAGCCATTCTACTATGCCAACCCCCTGTGATGGAAATCCCGCCTGATCTGAAAGGAACCATCGATGATGATCCAAATATGGTTCATGCAGCTCATTATTATGATGGTCTCACGCTTTTGACGAAACATTGGTGAGTACTGCTTCAAGAAACCAGTTCCACCCACCGCTAACGATGACAGGAACCGTTTGTATAATGTAGATGTCATCGGTGTTCTTCGGGGCAAATACTTAGCGCCGGCGTTTGCAGTAAAATTCGGCGAAACGGCGATTCGAAACTGTTTGCGTGATCAGCTCAAATTTCTCCGTGATGAGAGTTTCAATTACATGGGCAACCACCCCCTGGTTTTCACCGAAATCGGAATTCCTTATGATATGGATGACAAGCATGCATACAAGACCGGTGATTACAGCAGTCAGATCAGTGCCATGGACGCTAATCATTTCGCCCTTGAGGGCAGCACTTCTAATGGATTCACTTTGTGGGTGTATGAGACAGAGGTATATATTCCACTCTCCCTAGAAACTAAATCCAGGCTAACAATGCCCAGAACAATCATGAGTGGGGAGATCAGTGGAATGGAGAGGATTTGTCAATCTTTTCTTCTGACGATTCGGAACTCCCGATATCTAGCGCTGGCGTTTCATTAGACCCCACCTCTCCAGCGTACTCTGATAGCCACAATAGTGCAGACGAGCCAGGAGTTGAGCCACACAATCTCAAAGGTGCTCTCGCAGCACCCTCCATCTCCAGCGTTCAATCAAAGGCGGAACGGGCATTTAAGGGATATCGTGCGGCAGAGGCATATCTTCGTCCAAGCCCAATATACGTTCACAGCACCTTAGAAAACCATGTGTTTGATCTCAAGAGCTGCATCTTCAGCATGTCGCTGACCGCTCCATCAGCCACACGGACAGATGCACCGACTGAGATCTACCTCCCTGAATTCCATTTCCCGGCCGAGGACACTGCTGTCTCAGTCAGTGGCGGGAAGTGGGAGATTGAGTTTTACGATATTCAGACCATCCGGGTTCAGCGGTTGAGATGGTGGCACGCTGAAGGAGAGCAGCAAATCAAGATCGAAGGAGTCAAGCGCAAAGCAGGCGATTATTCCAACTTAACTGGAGATTTGTCATACCTCGAGCTATGCCAGCGAGGCCAATGCACGATTATGTGAAGATTTACTAGGCTATTTGGATTTGGCGTTTCAGAATCTAGCAGTATCACTTTATCCATAAGATTGCGAAATTGTTCTAGTGCACAGTCTTCTACGTAGCTGCATCAACCTTTCTCAGTCCTTTCCAAACTCTCACGCCCTGTTCCCATGTCGGGTCTTCTCTAGTCTCTACAACCCCATCAGATTTCAAGGTTCGCATACCCTTCCAACCACTCGTGTTCCAGCCAAATTCATCAGCGCCAGCTGCAACCCCCTGAACGAAGCGACTCAGCGGACCGACGAAAGCCTCCAGAGCAATCTTCTTCTCATCCGAGCTCAACACATCCCCATTACCCCAAAACCACAACGGATAGTCAGACGAGTGAGTAACCCCCCACTCCGGCGGAAAGGACTTATCCACACACTTCGCGCGAAACTCAACCCGATATCGATGTAGCAGCCGTGAAGCATCCACCCCGCCCGTATTAGAAGTCAGGGCGTAAATGAACCCGCGTTGCATTTCGTGGACTTGCATGTCGGCATATATCTTCCCCCATGCATCCGATACCCAATCTCTGCAGTCGGATGGTAGCTTTCCATCCGGATAATGCAGCGTCAGAAGTGCATCGACGAAGCGTTCTGGATAGTCTGCAATAAGACGCTTGCGAAGGGCAGGTAGGGTATCGGCCTTTGGAGGGTACCACACGCTATAGACGAAATGCTCGTCGCAACACTCGCCCAGAATCAACCGGATATTCCGCTCCAGTAATTTACGGGCAAAATCTCCATTGTCTAGGGCATCAAATAAGGTTGCGCTAACGAAGCCTGTGTCTGATGTTGGGCGGAATTGGTGCATTTCCAGTGTTTTGGTTACGTCTATCAACTTTTTTGCTGGGATAGAACGGAGAAGAGACAGCTTTTCAGCTGCGGGTAGATTCGGCGAAATGCTCAGTGCCGCCAGTAGCTCGTTGAATTGGAGTTGGGTTTCTTTTGGATACTTTGGTTGCACTGCTGGGGAATTGGACCAGATGCATGCTTGTCGGATAATTGACTGGTCATCTGGCTGGCGTAGATCATAGGCCAATTGATGGAAAACTGAATTTGCACCTGAATTGATAGTGTTAAGAAATCTGTAGCCACGCGTTATCCGATCATTGCAGATATATCTTACCTGCAGAGTAACCAGCGATGGTAATGTTGCTTCCATTGCCACTAAACAAGTGAATATTCTCCTTCGTCCACTCCATTGCAAGTCTCTGGTCCCAGAAGCCATGATTCCCAACTGTTTCCCCTGCCTCTGCAGCGTCCAGTTCCAACTCAGCCGAGTACAAGAAGCCAAAGAGATTCACCCTATAAGCAGGCATGACGATCACGCACTTAAAGTCGGTTTCGCCAATCAGCGCAGCAACGTTGAAAGAATTAGGAGAGCCGAATTGAAGCCAACCGCCATCTGCAAAGAATCAAAACATATCCAATTATAAGAAGGCAGTTGAAAACTTACGAATAAATATAAAAACGGGCCACCCGTCTTGCGGCGCCTCTCCTATCGGCACCCATACATTACATTGAAAGCAGTCTTCTGTCCATGCATCCTCGTTCTCGTTCTCGGGTGCAATGTCCCAGAACGCTGGCTGTGGACATACTCCTGCCCCGCCGTCACATTTACCTGGAATTTCCTGGGTGCCGTAGGTGAATGTTGGTGGCAATGGCTGGGCAAGTCGCCATCGCTGTGATGGGGGCAGTGCATAGCGGACGCCGCCGAAGTAGTGGCAGAGATCAGGGCCGTCGTCTCCCGGCACAGAGATTGTGACACCTTGGACGAAGCCGCGTTGGGCAAGTGATTTCAGGTAGGGTCGCCGAGAAGTTTCCATTGTGTAGAGGGATAATTCCAATGTTAATGTTGTGTGTTCACTAGGAGAACTTTATAGCATTTCATCCGTAAAGTGGATTGGGACCTTTTATTTCGGACTATAGTCCGCTGCTGTGTTGATCCAGATAAAAGATTGCCGAGATAGGATTAACTAATGTTTAAATTAGTAATAGACAGCCGATCGTAAGTTGAACGTTTGCGGGGTGAAAAGAAAGCCGAGCCGAGGATCACGTATGGAGTAAAGAAGATATGATATGAAGGCACAAGTTTCCAAGGCCTTAATATTAAAAATTTTTATAGAGAAATGACTGCTGCTGGCGAACTCAGTATAACTAGTGGACCTCCGCTTTTTTCATTTAAAACCAGTACCCTGGTGAACATAAGAGTTTCTCAAATAGACGCATCTATATTTTACTTCCTAGGTGTCAAATCATCCTCCTGCGTATCGGATGTCATATAAATCAATGGATGCCTCACTCAGGGTTCAAAGAAGTTAAGAGAAATTCTGTGTTTCTGTAGTGTTTCCTATGTAGACTCCTTAAGAGATAATCTACAGTTTGTAGCGCCGGCCTCTCGCTATAGCTCGAGCGTATGGGTGAGAGCTTGAAACAGAGATCAAATGATCTATATCCCCAGTGTGAACAAAGTCAGGAGACGCCTCATCTAAAGAGGTAATTCCAATATTTCGCATCGCAGTCTCCAGTTCATCTCGCATAACTGTATTGAGGTCAGCTTAGTATAACAGACTCTACAGGATAAAAACTCACTATCAATCAGATGCTCAACTCCATCTTGTCCATAATTGGTAGCGAACAACATACTTCGACCCATTCCAACGGCCGTTGCACCCAAACACACAGCTTTGAGGATATCTGTTCCACGACGAATGCCACTGTCAACGTACACTTCCATTGAGTCAAAGACTTCTGGGCATCGCCGATGGATCTCGAGCAGCGTGACGATGGATGGTGGGCTCGTATCTAGATTTCTGCCGCCGTGATTGCTGAGCAGGATTCCATCTAGTCCTATTTTCATAGCCATAATGGCATCATCTGCAGACATAACGCCCTTCAAACACACTGGTTTGTGAGTGTGCTGACGCACCCATTTCAGATCTTCCCATGTGAGGCCTGGATCGATAAAGCTAGACATTACTCGGGCTAGACCGCCGCCTTTCTTATCATTTTGTACTTTTGATGGGGCCATGGGCACAGAGAGGGTTTCATCGGCTTTGACGCGTTCATCAGCCTCACGCTTACCAGGCCAGGCTGCGTCTACCGTCACAAAGATAGCTTTGATATTGGGATTTGCAGAGCATTCACGAAGTAAAGCAGCTGACTTTTCTCGGTCGCGATTGACATATAGCTGGAAAAAGAAGTCTGCTGATGGTGCCGCTGTTCGCAGTTCCTCCATTGTGTAGGAAGAGTTATTGGAAATCTGAGCGAACTTTAGCATTTAGTGACACAATTTTGGAATAACACATACTCCTTGCATTATACCCTTGTTCTCACACGCCCGTGCAATGGCACACTCGCCATCAGGATGAATCAGTTTGGCCATAGCGGCAGGACTCACGAAGAGCGGCAGATTGTAGTGACCACCAAGGATATCAGTCCTGGTATCGACAGATCGAACATTTCGCAGTACACGCGGTCGGAACCATATGCGATCAAAATATGACTTATTGGCGTCTCGAGTGATGAGGTCTGTGGCTGCACTCGAGTAGAACGCCCATGTCTTCTTGTCAGCAGTTTTGGACGCTACAACCTCGAAGTCGTGGGTGTTGATTAAAGTGTGCAGATACGGCTTGTTGTCTTCCAAGAGCATTTGCGGGCTTTTGATTGGCGGCTTAGTCCAGTTTGCGTCAATTGTAGATTCATCGAGAACACCCTTCAGCTTGTCCGGTTGAAGATTTGATGTAAGCACACTTGAGGCATGGACTTGTGCGTATGCCCGAGTTGCATCGCGGCCTGCATGCTTCAAGATGACTGATATACTGATTAGGATAGATACTGAGGTCCAAAATCTGGAATCGTCATACTTGCGGGGCCGCCAGGATGTTCATCGAGGAAGTCGGTCACATCCCATACCTGTTTGTCGACCACAATCCAGCAGTCCCCAGGTGAGTTGTGTTTCGTGACTTGTTGGGCTGATAGAAGTACCATGATAAATTCCAAATGATTGGGATAGTTGAAGAAGATGTCAATGCTAGGATGGAGTGATACCTCGGAATAACTCCAATGTCAATAGGGAACGGACTTCTTTCCGCAGCCGGCAATCTTCCGTCCTTATCAAAAAGCTACAGGAATATAAAGCTATGATAAAGCTTACGAATAGTAAACTGATCGTATCAAAGTATTTCAGTATATAAGTAGCGGGTATCTATCAGATTTCCAGTCTACTCACTTTTCACCCCAACTTCACAGATATCTCGCAGTATCACAGTTCAAAGAACAAAATACCACCACGACCAACATGACCAACGTGGATCAATGATAGCCATGAGAAGAGGTCACCAATTCCAGTTGATTACCAGTTGCCACTTGTGTTGCCATATTTCAAATATGGCAATAGTTTCTGGTGTTAAGTTAGTATTTGAATACTATGTCACGTATATTTATCTCGAGGTTAAGAAATTAACTAGATACCTAGGTAGGTTTGTGAAAGGCTTCTTCAGGGCTGGCTCACTTCTCTTTATGGATAAGATGTGAATGAAAAGATGAGTCAACTTTTGAAGCGTATCGGTTATAGCCAAGGAAGTTGTAGAAGCAAATGATATATATTATGTGGGTCAGCTGACAGCCTTCGAAGGCTTATGCTCGCTTCTTACCCCGGACTTGATATGAGCTTGGCCATACATCGCCACGCATTCCCTTATAAACCTATTTTCAACATTATGGCTGCACAATGGCTTGCTCGCTTCAGCTGACATCAGGATTTAGTAGCTTTTTGGAATATAAAGTCTCTAACTTGAGATATTACGCGCTAGACTCTACCTACCCAGGTAGGTAGTATGCGTCTACCAGAGAGAAATATACACACAAAAAAAGCTGTATTGAAATATTGTCACGAATGAGAAAAAAACTAACCGATAGCTGAGGTGTAAACGAGCCGTCATTATGTCCAAGCTAAGTGGTATTCAGGTTTATACCCCTGAAACTCAACGATCCAGTCAAGAAGACCAAATGTTAGCACTAGACAAACCTGCGAGAGCAAAGTGGCTGCCAACTGCGGGTCTAGCACGGAAATCATAGGATTGTCCAGCTGTATGCCCGCTACCGGAAGTGACCCAGTATCGATCCGAGAAAGGAGCTGTACTCAGTCCATTCGAGATATAGGCGTGAAGATCATTGATGAAGATGTCCCGGGCATTTCCGGTGACTGTCGCCGCTACGAATGACTGCCAGTTTGTTTGGCCCCAGCCTAATGAGCCATCCAGTGGAACACCTGCGGTCTCCCGTACAGTGGGGTAGAACTTTGTGGTGGCTGTATAAACCGCAGTGGGGAAGACATTCAAGTCAAACAACTTGTCCGCATAGTGATTGAAGACAAGGAACCAAGGGTTTGTATCGTATTGGATCAGGAAGTGAGTGCCGTTAGCGTCAGTTCCGAGGCGGTCTGTCCAAATCTTTGTACCCCATTCTTTTGCAGTAGTGGTGTAAGTTGTTTCGTCAAACAATGCATCGTAGCTCGCAAGGCCAACCACAGCCTTGACCGCCAGGTTGGTTTGATTTGCAAGTGCACCCAGAGCATCATTTAGAGATAGTTGGGAGCTTGGATATAAACCATGCTCATAGAGATATTCTGCATACTGCTTCAGTTGGGATGCATAAGTTGTCGAGAGATCTGTGTTCCCACTGGCTTTCTGATAAGCATAGGTCAAGAGAATCAGATTACCGCTCTCTTCAATTGGCATTGACTCGCCGTTGGAGAGGTGGCCTGTTGCATTTGGATAATTTGCACCCAAATCATGGACTGCGTATGACTTGGAGTAAGCGTCACTGGCCTGGTATTCGAATACTGGACCGAGAAGCAGCTTAATATAGTTGGGGCTCAGAACATAAAAGATTGGGAATGCTGCGTAGATCACATCTATGGTGTTAATGTTTCCATCACTTGAGATCTCCTTGATAAAGGCGCGGGTGCTGCTGGTGTCAAACGATTCGAGAGGAACTGTCACTTCGATGGCACCGTAGACTTGTCGCACAGTGAGTGCGAGGATATCGGAATAGTTTGACCCGTAGCTGGACAATCCCGTTTTCTGAATCAGTTTATCGAAAGCTGTAGACTCAGTATTGGCGGCCGAATAGTCATCGAGGAAGTGTGAGACGGCATCAACTGTGTCAGCATAAGTTGCTCGATAGTACCCAGTCTGCGTAGTCCCCAGAAAGTTGATAGATTCTTCGCGGACATGACCAATCGCAAAAGTAACTGCCGAGGAAGCAGCAGTTTTACCCAAATCGTGGGCAAATGCTACAACTGATCCAGAAGCCCAGTTTGCATGGTTGCCATCCAGTTTTCCATTGTTGACGAAGAGCTCTCTCGTCGAAACCCGAGGACCGGCTCCAGTGGAAAGGCTGCTGCTCCCCGACGGGCGGGAGGCGTATACAGCGCTTCCCCATAGAGCCTGTGAGTTGCTATTTTGAGAGTAGGTGGACGCGCCAACTGTCTCGATCTGAAAAATATCTGTCGATCCATTTGTGGAATAACTCCAGCTAGAATCACTTGTTTGGCCAGTCCAGCTCGAGTCAATATCAGAGTAAATTTGCACAGAACTCGAAGAGCCAGCAGCTAGAGTAACTGTAAGATAGGAAAATGGCAGCGATTGACGCAGATAGTTTTTTGGCGATACGGGCGAGAAAAAGTCCAGAGTAAATGAGCGCGATCCAGCAGTCACCTGGAATGTCGAATGGGTTGATGTGTAAGTGGCCGCAGTGACTGTGGCTGATTTTGTGCCACTATTAGGGCTAGCCACGCCGAACAGGTTGTACGTAGTGCCATCCACACGTGCTATCACAGTCCAAATGAGGCTATTGCCGGACCAAAACTGCGCATTGGTGTTTGGAAATGATGCTACCGAGTTTCCTGGTATCCATGCTTTCGATCAGTTAGCAAAGTCGATCCATTCCTCACGGAAAGCATAGTATCAACACACCTGACAGATATGGGCTGCGCACAGCCAATGGATATGACGGAGCCTTCAAAGGAGAATAAGTGATAGCATCACCACCTACAGTGAGGTATGAACTCAACAAGGCAAGTGCCTTGATGACGCCTGAAAACATAGCTGCACGTGGACACAATACACCGTGTTGATCAGTGCTTGATTCTATCAAGTGAAGGCCGATCAAGGGGGTGAGAGGACAAATTGCTTCGAATCCAGGGTTATGTAAGATAAATTGTAGAAGCCTTGCATTCTTCGAGATCTGAAAACGGGGATCGTTCCGTCTACTGTTTTATATAATTTCAATTTTCATACGATGCTTGCGGGAGATTCGGTTTATTCCAGGGTTCTGATCACTACATCTCTAGTATAGCTTGCGCGAAAACAACGTTCACGCACATCAGTCGGCTCATGAACTGATTAGAAGGTGGGGAAGAACATGTAATTTGGTGTTTGATAGTAGTGAATTCAACAGAGGTCTGTTCACGTCAAGGTTTGTGACGATGCAAGCACGCCATCTAGTGCGGTATGATGAGCCTCAGATCATTTCCTCCCCTGAGGGGTAGAAAGCGAAAGCCGAGACTCGAGAGCCGAGAAGAATGCTAAGAACGAATATTTCTATGGCGTGATAAGTGTTGTAACTGATTCTACAAATGGCCGATTCTGCATGTAATCCAACCTTGGAAGATTGGCTAGAAGGTTGAATATGTTGGTGGATGTAAATAGGCTTATCACTTCAGATCGCATCGGGCCAAATCTAGATTCTTACTGTGTAGATAATTCATGCCTAGATATTGGGTCTAACTCTGAAATTTCGAATGTTATTTTTTTCATCCTCCCCATACCTACAATAATAAGTCAGCAGTCTTGTGACCATACTTCCTAGTATGATCAATCAAGTAACTAATTAAGTAGTCTGATTCTGCCCTGATTTGGGTCATTCTCTGGCGAGTTACTTAAAATCTGATGAAATCTTGATTTCCGACCCAGTCATTTATTGAGGTAAGGGCAGGTAGTTCTACATGTTTAGAGGAGCCAGGGGTAAATCCTCAGGCCTTCAAATCTGTCGAATCTACAATTTCCTTAATCATAGAAAAGAAAATAAATGGAGTTCAATAAGTTCGTTTAGTGACAAGCTTACTTGCATGTGTGTCTCTCAAAAGACAAAAGACTAAAAACGCTTCATGAAGCTGGACAGTTCAATGTATGCCCTTGAGCCCTCCTAAGACCGCGTGGGACTAGAGCTACTTTTCAATATAAAAGTCAAAGTTTCGGTCACCCTGTCCAATTGGTATAGCCTTGGCATTATTATCGTAGAGCGTCCGTTCAAAATATCGTATGCGACCATCTGCCTGCGCGAGAAGAATAGTTTGCTTCTGTGTGCCGTATGGTCCGCTGGAATAATTCTGGTCCAGATGCCCATTCAATTGTGACTTGCCAGTTTCACCCTCACCATGTCCTGTAGAACTCTCCTCGACCTTACGATCATCATGATCTTGGATTCCGAGGCCAGGAATGAAGATACTCTTGCGGAAGTTTATGCTGAAAGCATCGGTATCAATTGGAGTAGGACCTTCGTATTTTGGCAGGGTATCAGTGCTTAGAACGCGGAGGAGACATTCGATTAAAACATCCTCATTTTCTTGCGATTGCACATGGTCATCAATAGCAGCCGCTATAAGCTTTTCTCCATTAATAATTTTGGGCCAAGAACGGTCATCCACGCTTGTATTGCTGAGGCCGAGGGTTTGGTTCTTTTCGGCGGCCACCCAGGTGATATGATTCATGCTGGAAGAACGATTGGACACAATTGCCAGTGGCTCGTTGATACGACCACAGACTAGGCTGAAACCTCCTACACTTTTGGCTTCAGGGCCATTGACCATTGCCTGCACGAAGCTGTGGGTCGAATGCTTCTCGTTGGGGGAAGCAGTCAGCCAGCTGTTCACGATTCGACCGCGACTATACGCCCCGACTGCAGCAGTGGCCGTAGGCTCACGATAATTCGTCAGAACGGCCACTTTGCCTTGCCTTGTAACACCCATCCAGGTGCCTTGAGTGGAGCGGGCTAGATCCCGTGAGCCTAGAACATGCACGAATGGCTCCTCCCACCAGTCTGGCAACGAGGTTGGTCGATGGAGAAATTCCTAGGAAATATTAGTCTGAATTAATGCGATCTTCAACAACTAGTACATACATCTCGATTATCAATGATGATCAGTGAGTAATCCGGATGAGCGGTGGAGATTAAGGCGATGCACATTGCTAATCTCGTGACAATGTTGGAGAGCGTGAGACAGTAAACAGGATGTGTTTAAGATCGACACAAAGACGTGATGCAAGTCGAGATTGCTTATGAATCAGAACTTCAGAAGAGCGGGTCCGTAAAAGAAAGAATTAAAGACCCTGGGCATTGTTAGGCTGACAATAACTTGGTGTTCAAGATGGATTGTTGAGCGCGAGCGCGATAAGAGCGGCTTATCGATAAGAGATCTTTCCTTTGTAGTTGATGTCCCGTGACGTCAAGTTGTCAAACGAAACGCTAATTGATCCGGGGTCACAAGTGGATTCACTTTTCTTCTTTCACATCCATCTCCACTGGACCACCCCTTTCTTTCTCTACAGAACGGGGATCACCTTTAATTATAAAACATAAGACTTCAACCCCCTCTAAGTTCCTATCTATAGTTCTTTAAACCCTGTTTGGAGAGGGAATTCCGCACTTCCACCGTTGATTTACCAACCCCGCGTGCTCTTCTCCACTTCCGCTCTCTAAGATGTTCGGTCTTCTTGCGGACTTGATGTCGTGCGTATATCATCTACCAAATCCTGTGAAAATGGAAATATCTAACTCCTGCTGTCTGACAGCTCCGTCATCACCATCTTTTTTCCCGTATTTGCATCCTATAAAGCACTCCGCTCGTCTGATCCCTCCCAACTCGCACCATGGCTGATGTACTGGGTTGTACTGTCTGTTATTTTGCTAGCGGAATCCTGGACAGTATTTATTATCGGATGGTATGATGCAGTTTTTGCGACCCACCAAGGCATGTATAATCTGACAATGTCCATCCAGGTTCCCATTCTATAGTTGGATTCGTCTCTTTTTTATGGGCTATCTTGTCTTGCCCCAAACCCAAGGCGCACGGTTAATATACCAACAATATGTGGATCCCTTCTTGGAACACCACGAGCGAGAAATTGAGGAGCTTATCGGTCACACCCATGCACAGGCCAAGGCGCTAGGCCTCCAGTACTTCTACATGGTTGTTGATCTTTTTCGGGAAAAAATTCTCGGTCTCCCTCACCAGCAAAAAGCACCTCCAAGTCCATCTCCCAGCGGGCCTGTCTCCTATGCTCAGTCGTTGCTGTCTCGATTCAACCTACCCGCTACTGCGGAGCCTTCTAACACCACATCAAATGACTGGACTTCATATATGACCTCGGCTCTACGCTCTGTCACTGCCACAGGCAAGTCTCATGAAGAGCAACAGGAGGAGCTTTCAGCTAGTGGAAATCTGCTCCAACGGCAGATTCAATCCATGACCCCCATCGAAAAGGCGCAGTATATCTCGTCTCAGCGACAGGTGCTTGATTTTCTGCGATCAACCTTGGCAAGGGAGGAACAATCGATGGATCACAACGACCACGACACAGAAGATCTCGCCTATGGTGGTGGCGGTGTGTCTTTGCGGAAGAACCGCAGTGATAATTCCTTTGACGTAGTTGATGATGATGATCTGGAGAACCGCTCCAACCGACACACCAGCAGTCGGTGGGGTGGTTGGCTTGGAGCCGATCATGATCCTCCCAAATCATATGGTCCTGAATCCGCAACGCGGTCGTCTGGATATGATCGATACTAATGGGTAGATTGAGGTCCAAAAAGCCAAAAAATCCATAGAATCTGTCGTTTGCTACGGGGCGTTGGTCTTTTGAGAACGAAAATATTTGCTATTAATCAAGAAAACAAGCTTGATTCGAATCGGACAAGTGGTCTTGTCCCTGCAGCAATGAACGGTTTACCTTTGCGTCTTCAATGGTATGACATTAAGATTTGTAGATGTGTCGAAGTTTAGAAACTATCAATGAGGTACCTAGGTATTGAACTGAGGGATAGGTCTACCTGCGAACCAGACACTCCCCAAATGGACGCAGGATCGGAGGGGTAGTGGGAGATGAAGAAGGAGACTTAGGAGAAGCTCATAGAAGAGAATGTGCCTGATGGTCTAATCTCTAAAACGCATCACTTAGTTATTTAATGCAAACTAGTTAAACAAATATGAATGACTAACGAATTAGTCTGACATGTATCATAAAACACGTGATCTCGCGACTATCTAATGACGTTCATCAGCCCTTTTCCTCGACGCGTCACCAAGGGCTCATCATGCCCCCAGAACGAACAAACGCGCCGGTGAAGTTGTCACTGCCTCTGGTAAGGGGTCGGAGTTTCTTGACGTATTTAAATATCGATCACTGACTCGCAGTCCAGCAATATCAGCAAGACATCTTCAACGAACTGCGCTCCGAGGATGAATTGATTATCCTTGCTCGTGGCCTAGGCCTACTTCATCTTATCACGAACCTCCTACACTTTTACGATGCGGCCGGTAATAACTTGGTATTGCTGGTGGGTGCAAATAATAGGGAGAATGACTGGATCGGAGAGGGTATGTGTGTGAGATCTGCGTCTGGACTACCGCTTACAGGATATCAATAGCGCTCGCTGAGCACTATGCTGTTAGCAAGTCTCCGAATGCTAGGGGGTTAAAAGTGATAAACACTGAGAAAGCGACTATATCGACGCGGTCCGTATATGTTGTCTCTTGTTGGTTGCCGAAAGGAGCTGATGGTATTACAAAACAGAGAGCGAATCTATGCCGAAGGTGGGATCCTGAGCGTCACATCTAGAATATTAGTGGTTGATTTGCTATCAGGTACGTGCGTCAGGTCATGAAGGAAGAGAAGTGAGCTAATTCATCTAATAGGACTTCTCGACGCTGAGAAAGTCTCAGGCATGATTATTCTACATGCTGATAAGTAAGACTTGGTCATCATTTCAGTATTTAACAGGACTGATATGTGTAATAGAGTCGTTGCTACATCATTGGAGGCGTTCATCGTTCGTATTTACCGACATGCGAACAAGCAGAGTTTCTTGAAAGCTTTCTCTGATTCTCCCGAGCCATTTACCACGGGATTTGCCCCGTTAGCCAACATGCTTCGTAACCTTTTCTTGCGAAAAGCATCACTTTGGCCCAGATTTCACGTATCTGTCGCTGAGGCTTTGGAAGGAGATCGGAAGGCTGAAGTGATCGAATTAGAGGTCCCAATGAGCTCGAAAATGCAAGAAATTCAGAATGCAGTCCTCGAATGTGTGGAGATCAGTATTACTGAGCTCAGAAAATCGAACACTGGTCTTGACATGGAGGAATGGACGCTGGATAGTGCTTTGCATCGAAACTTCGATGTATCAATACGGCGGCAAATGGATCCAATCTGGCATCGTGTCAGCTACAGAACAAGACAGATCGTTAGCGATCTTTCTGATCTTCGAGCGATTCTTCATGCTCTACTCACTTATGACTCGGTATCTTTTGTTAAGTACCTGGACACCATTGTGGCAGCCCACTCACCCCCGCCTGGTTCGAATAAGCACAATTATTCACCTTGGCTCTTCCTTGATGCAGCCCACGTCATGTTTCAAACAGCCAAGGCGAGGGCGTATGAAGGAAGAATTGGCAATGATTCGTCACGCCCTACTTTCTCAACTACATTTGCTGCAGAGCTACAATCCGTTCTTGAGCCCCTACCAAAGTGGAAAGTTCTAGCAGAAGTGCTTGAGGAGATCGAGTATGATGCCTACGTTCATCCAGTGGGTGGAGATGAATCTCATAGCACAATCCTGATCATGTGCAGTGATCAACGGATATGTCGTCAACTTCGAGAATTTATTGGAAGCATGCACGCCAGAGTTGGCCACCAATCAAAAGACTCAGATGACGAAAAAGAACAATCATCGGCGGAGGTAATGATGCGACGCCGATTACGTGACTATCTGAATTGGAAGCGCTCACTATCTAATGTCAACAAAAACCTATCTCAGCCCGGAGTTGAAGGGAGTTCCGGTGGACCTAACGGGTCAGCATCAACTCCATCAAGACCACAGGGAAAACCCCCACCACCTAAGCGCCGTCGAGTTCGCGGAGGAGGCGCAGTAAATTCTGCAGCGGGACGTGTGCCAACTAGTAGCGTACAGACTGTGGTGGAACAGCCTGATCAAGTGATCAACCTACTCAATGAAATTCAACCAACAGAGGTAGAGGAAACTCAGAAGGAAGAGATCACTATTGATGATCTGGAATATATGGACGATTATTACGAGCTTTATGATATGGACGATTTGGTCATGATACATTCATACGATGGGGACATGGATGAACACATCTTGGAAGAAGCTCGGCCACGATACATTATCATGTATGAGCCAGATGCCGCCTTCATTCGTCGGGTAGAAGTATACCGCAGCTCTCACTCAGGACGAAATGTGAAAGTCTACTTTATTTACTACGGTGGGTCTGTTGAGGAACAACGATATCTGAGTGCAGTGCGGCGAGAAAAAGACTCCTTCACCAAGCTGATTAAAGAAAAGGGTGTAAGTATCACGGGTTCAGTCTCCTTGCAGGTAGGCTAACCTCTCCAGAACATGGCTGTCACATTGACACATGATAAACGCGCCGAAGACCCGCAAGAACAGTTTCTCCGCACTGTCAACACTCGGATTGCCGGAGGAGGCCGATTAACAGCCACGGCTACCCCTCCTAGGGTAGTAGTCGACGTGCGAGAGTTTAGAAGTGCTCTCCCGTCCCTGTTGCATGGTAACAACATGGTTGTGATCCCCTGCCAACTGACAGTGGGAGACTACATTCTAACTCCAGAAATCGCCGTAGAGCGCAAATCCCTTCCTGACTTAATCTCATCTCTCCGGAATGGACGTCTTTACAACCAGGCCGAAACAATGCTCCAGCACTACAAGTACCCAGTGCTGCTGATTGAGTTTGACCAAAATAAGTCATTCACATTTGATGCTTTTGCCTCTGCAACATCAGCTACTAGTTTCGTGACAGAAACAGGCTTCACATCCAGCGGGCAAGCAACCAGCAGTAGCGCACTTGCTAACTCATCAAACCCAAAATCTGCTCAGCACATGCTTGTCCTTCTCACCCTTGCCTTTCCCAGGCTGAAGATTGTCTGGTCTTCCTCTCCATACCAAACAGCCGAGATCTTTGCTGAGCTAAAAAAGAATTCTGAGGAGCCTGACCCTCTTCGCTCCGTTCAGATAGGACTTGACATTGACATTTCTGAATCTGCGGCTGGGTCCAGTGGTATTATGGGTGTATCTGGAATCGAGACCCGTATCTTTAATCAGCTTCCACAAGATATGCTGCGAGCTGTTCCGGGTGTAACTCCCCAGGCTCTTGAGAGATTAATTCTAGAGACAGAGAACCTGACCGAAGTTGCCAATATGGACTTCGATCAGTTGGACCCGCTTGTTGGCAAAGAAGCTGCGCGAAAGATTGTGGCATTTTTCCGCAAGAGTGTGTTTGATGATTAGAGATAATCATACTTTCGTTCATATATTAATACCCATCTAGATGAGAATCATAGTTTATGTCTTCTAATAGAATACTCTATTGTGGTACACCTAGGTCGAGGGAGAAAAAGAATGAGAAGAAGACAGAGAGAGAGAGAGAGAGAGAGAGAGAGAGAGAGAGAGAGAGAGAGAGAAAGAGAGAGAGAGAGAAGATCAAGGTAAGCTACTCGAAGAATTGAAATTTGCTTATTTGACGGAGAAGACGTGGACCAGAAGGCCATCAATACAGCCGTATTCTTGATAATTACGATTTCTCCCTCTTATTCTATTTAAATTCTTTTCTCCAGAGCTGTTGCTTCTTACACACGTGGGCTCTTCTCTGAATCCACCGCTTTCTACTTCTTCAAAATAAGGATCAAAATTAGATTTAAATGGAGTTAGTGGTAATAAGAAGTTTTCTGAGTCTGGTGTAGAGGGCATTCTAAATTTATAAACAACGTTGGATTCCCATAGTTCGGAGCCATATCGATCACGTGACCCTATTTGACTGATTGCTTCAATCGTCATTCTTTGATTTCGTGCACTAGCTCCTACGACCACCATTCGCCATGTCAAGCTCCTACACCAACGAACCAAATCCTACAGCATCAGCGACTCTACATACCACCATTGGACCCATTCAAATCTCATTGTTCGCAAACCAGGCCCCTCTCACCTGCAAAAGCTTCCTCCAACACTGCAAGGACAATTACTATGCCGGAACAGTATTCCATCGTGTGGTGCCTGACTTTGTGATTCAAGGCGGTGATCCATCAGGTACTGGGTCTGGTGGTACCTCCATCTACGAGTATCCTGAATTCGAATATGATCCTGAAGCCCGCGACCCAACAGAGCGGGTTGTTCTCCAAGATGAAATACACAGTCGCCTGCGTTTCAACAGGCGAGGACTTGTCGGAATGGCCAAGAGTGAAGATGGGTCTTATGGCAGTCAGTTCTTTATCACACTCGCCAACACCGAGGCAGAGATGAATGGGCAATGTACAATGTTCGGACGGTTGGAAGGAGATAGTATCTTTAACGTGTTGAAGATCGCGGATGCGGATCGCATTGAGGGCACTGAGCGGCCTGTGTATCCAGTGAAGGTGACATCATGCGAGGTCGGAGAATTGGGTCCATTGGCAGGCAAGTTGAAGGACAGAATGTCTGCTTCATCAATAGCAATGCCAAGCGAGAAACAAGCTCCCAAGAAAAAGAAGAAGGCAGGAAAAGGAAGAACCCTGCTGAGCTTTGGTGATGAAGGCGACGAAGACATGCCCATACGGCCGGCTAAGCCAAAATATAACGCGACGCTCGTCACGGATGCGCCTGGAGCGACAATGGAAGTGCAAAAAACCTCAAAATCACAACCTACAGAATCCCAACAGCCGCGGAAACGACCGAGATCTCCCTCCCCACAGCGCTCTCCATCAGCGGAACGCAGAAAACGTCCTAAGAGCCCAGACCCAGTGAGCCAACTGCCACTTCAGAACCTCGAATCACCAAGTCGCTCGCCCAGTCCCCCACCGAAAAATGAATCCAAGCTATCACGGACAAATGCGGAGATTGAGTCCCTCATGGCATCCATGCGTCGCACCGTCGACACGGGCCCTTCTGATACCGGGAAAAAGAAATCAGCCATCGAAGAAATGATGCCTAGCACTGCGACTCGAGCCCGCAGGCGACCTCCCCCAGGCTCCGCTAACAGTGGCGGCACAGCACCTAAGAATTCCGCAGAATCTGAAGCACTACGCATGTTCAATGCGTTCAAAGCTAAGTTGCAATCGGCCGACGCAACTAAGAATGTCAGTTCAAAATCGGGGAAGGAAGTTACTCATAAGCCAGAGCAAGTTGAGGATGAAGAAGAGCAACTTTGCGACCTTCATTTTATCGTCAATTGCCAATCCTGCAAGTCCTGGGATGATGACGAGACTGCGGCAACGGATGATCACAATGACGATGACAAGGGCTGGTTGTCCCACCAACTTCGATTCGGCAAAGATACTTTGGGTAAAGATTTGAAATGGAAACAGGACCATAGAGATGATCTTGACACCCTGATGGTAGTGGATCCACGCGAGAAAGAGAAGGAATTGGTGGGTACTGGACGCCGGCGAGTAGGTCTAGAACGTGATCGCGAGCGAGAGCGTAAGCTACAGCATGCTGGTAATATGGAATGGGACCGAGAGAAGAGTCGATAGTAACACACATCGGCCCTTTGGATAAGCGTTTGTCAACCTGGAAGTCATTGAAACTAGGAATTTACTACTAAGACCGGAAAGACTAATCATCAAATCAAAGTCAAAGGCTCAATCAATTAAACCATGCTCAGGTGGCCCACCTACTAGCATGTAGACATCAACCTTCAAATTCCACACAACTTTTGAATAATCTAGGTATGCAGTCTGGAGTCTTTTTTGACCTAATATCGGCGTTCCCGAATTCCAAATTCACATCAAGAATACAAACACAGCTACCTAGATATGACCAAAGATGACTCATATCTAATGGCAAATTACATCCGCCAGTCAGCTACAATTTTCCTATCTAGACACAAGCAGCACTCAGGCTAATCAAAGTGACATCGGCCTCAAAGCATTGCTTGTCACTGTCCACACTGACAGCCTCATACAAGGTCGAGTTATCACAACCAGAGGCAGTATAAGTGCTGAACACAGCAGATGTTCCATCAGGACAAGTGCCAGAAGCAATGTAGGCACTGAAGGACTTGAGGGGGAAATTTTCGATATTGACGCAGGATCCATCGTAGACGCTGGCACTGGTGCTGACGCTGCTACAATCATTATAGAAGGATCCACCATAACTTATGGTCGGATTAGTTGCCACTGCGGCAGCTACCAGGGTGCAGAGAACAGTAATAATCTAGTCCATTTTGTTAGATTCGGAGATTGTTGGAGAGAAGGGTCTGTCTACCTTAGGCATCGTGATGTCTGAGATGGAAGCGAGAACTGGTATGATTCGAAAGGAACTTTGGAAGACGGCCAATAAGGGAGCCTTGGAAGAGCAGAATAAATGACTTCTTATATATCTTTCCTATCCACATCCGTTTCGTAATCTAGGCTACACACAAGCTAGCCCCGGTATTCACTTCAATAAGCATTGAGATTATTGAGCTGATATCCTGATGGAGACAATGGTCCGACTCTAGTATGTTCTACGACTTCAATATTCAGTACTTTGGACTAGATAATCCTAAGTCCGGGGATTAAACTCGGGATTAAACTCGGGATTAAACATTGTAACCTCTAGGTAAGCAAGCTATGCATTTGCCAAATTAGGAATGTGTGTCATCAAATCAATGTGATACAATATTTTGCAATGATTTGACGGTGATTCTCAGGACAGTGCAATGTGTAAGGCCAATCCTTCGAGTATACCTAGGTTAGGTATTAGAACATAGACAGTAATTAAGAAATTGAAGGGTGAGTGGTTGAATTTTATTTTTCATTTTGCTTCTCCTGTTATGCCCATGCGGGGTTACCTCAGGGCTAATGACTACTTATCTACTCAGAGCATACCTAAATGGGGTTCTTCACCGTATGTCTCACTCTATTTAGTTAGATCAGGCCCACCAACAAAGAGCTCGTTCATCTGTCGGCTGAAGTTACCATCGGTAATGTTAACTGCATTTTCTCCATATAGTTAGTGTGAAGTTACCTAGGTATCTATGTAGTAGTTCTCTAGCTGGCTTATAACTAGAAAAAGAGTGACATAAAAACAGCCAAGATCATTTCAAACGTAATTTATTTATTGTTTATGAATGGGTATGCATAAGGGGTATTGTATCATCGCAACTGGAAAAGATGTGTACTCAGGATGGGAGATTCCAGATGAAATCCAATCCACCACCTTCATACATTGGAAACTGACCACCAGACGCTCCCAGCCCTGCTGCGGAAGTACTGAATGGGGCCATAGACGGATCAAAAGGAAGAGACAACCAGTCATCAGCCCCACCGCTAAAAGACGGATTGAATCCCAATTCTGTGAGATCTTGGGAGACAGGTGTATTAACTTGATTTGTCCGATCTTCAGAGCCCGGCCATGGCGGGGGACCCATTGGTGATCGACGAGGCGTTCGACTGTTTTTGATATTTCTAGAGGATGCGAGGAGGTTGCGGCGCAGACGTGAGACGTGGATATCCAACAGCGCTGCAAAGTGGGTGCTGAGGTGGACATCATCCAATGCATTGGACTTGAGCGCAATAATACTCTTCTCCAGCACTTCAAGGGAATCTCGCAGTATTGCTTCCCTAGTGCCTATACTGAGTGCTTTCATCAAGTAGATGGAGGCGCTGAGGAATCGAAGGACGATACGAACAGGTGAGAATTGCAGCGCGCCTGTTTCGGCCAAATTGGTGACTGCCTGTAAGATCTGGCAGCATCCATCAATTACTTCTTGAATATATTCATAGTCGGTCGCGTCGATTGTCATTGGTCGCATTTCATCAAAGTTTGAATCTGCGTCGGCCACGGCCCGTTCGACAACTGCCTGCATCCCCACGGAATGAGTGTAGACACGTACAAAATGATACTCAATGAACAAGTCACTATAGAATGCTGTGTCCAGGAGACCTGGCTGCAGATACTTGTCTTTCCATTGGTTAAGCAGGGGTCGAATATGCTCGAGTAGTCCGACGTAACGACCGCTGTATATTTGTTGACGAGCAAATTTGGCCGATGGGAAAAACATGTCAGTGACTGACTGAGCGAGTTTAGTGAGCTCGATCCAAGAGTCCATGAAGATTAGCCAAGTGCTGCCCGGTTGACTTAGCCCTCTAGGCTTGCGCCCGCTTAGAACCGCATGGTTCAGCGACTGAGGAATAGGCGACACACACCCGATGCGCCAGGAAAGTTGGTTGATATAGACATAGAGTAGACGCTGAACTCTATGTCTGCGAATATTCATGAGCTCCTTCCACTGATATTCCTCTTCTGCTGAGTCGTTGTTCTCAGTCTCAAAAAGGCCTAAAGCGTGGGAGAGGGAAAGGGCACAACCAAGTAACATCCACGACATCTGGTCTGATCTTCTTGACGTCTCAACCATTTCATCAAGCCATCGGTTGGCTGATTCACTATTTTCTGCACTCTCAGGTGGCTTAGGAGCTGTTGCGATTAGGTCGTCATCCCAACCATCCGCTTCAGGCGGAAAGTGTAGTGAGCGGGGATGCCATTCGGACATTAGTAGAAGTGCCTCGACTGTACCAAGACTTCTAATTTTGGATTTTGTGGACTGTTCTTGCCCCCATATTAATCGCATGGTTAACTGCTGGCAATATTGCCCGAGCCGATGATGAATGAAAAAGTTTCTTGACTCGCCACTAGCTCCAGGGAGGATATGGTAGCGTGAAGAGATCATAAGAATGGTAGAGCAAAGCACAGGCTCTCGAGTAATGAGCCAGTAGTGATTTTGATGACTTGAATAGAAGTCCGTCAATATAGGAGACAAACAAGACATGTTCTTGAAAAAGCTATGTTGGGGTAAGTAAACTATTACTCAAGGATGTACTGCTTGCTGTTTTAAGCGATCAAACTCACAGGTCGATGAAAGTGACTGCTTCTCTAGCAGAAAACCAACCCATTTTGACAAAACGGCAAGCCTCCCATACTTGGAGAGTCTCCTGCGTAACATCTGACACGTTGAGCTGAGGTACAATTCGCGGACCGGATTGAAATGCGATTGGACTTTCTTTTTCCTTTGGAGTGGCTCGTTTTTGGGAGATCAAACTTCCCTGTCGTGTGCCATCTTCGGTTGTTGGGCTTAATTCATTAGAGGAGTTGCCTTCCTGCTCATGCGCAGTAGCTGCCTCAAATAAGATATTGAGAGCATCATTCCCACTAGCGACGACCGTTCGCATCATGGAATTGGCCAAAGTAGAGTTTGACCGATATCGGTCACGATATATCTGCGACGGGGACTTGCTAGTTGTGGTGTCTGATACTGAGGTTGGACTAATACCAATTTGGGAACGTTGATCATTTTGTGGAGATGCTTGGTGCCCATTTAACATCCACGATTGGTGGAATGGGGCCCTCGCACCCGGGTAAAGAGTAGAATTACCATACTTAGGTTGACCATTTGCCCTCTCCGGTGTATCTGATACTGTGCGACTGCTCGGTGATAAGTCATTATCTTGATCTTCCTCAGACCGGGCTTAAGACGAGACGTTAGTCAAACAGTCGTACGACGCACAGATAACATCACGTACTACGTTTGCGGGATCTCTCCCAAGCGCGTTTCTCCGGAAATACACACTCCCTCATCTCCCTGCGACATCTTGCACATGGTGGACCCGTCGGTAATCCATCCGGACCGGTACCTAAGTCACACTTGGCTTTGCGCTGTCGGCAAGGGATGCATGCTTTGTAGGTGCGCTGATACGGCCGATCTGGGCGGTTTGGCCTAGCCCCATCCATATTCTAGTACTCTAAGACCGGCTGAATGGATCCGACAGATCACGGAAGGAAGATCGAGAAAGTCCAAATGTCATGAATAATTGGTGTTGGGTGGCTGAAAGGAAAGTTGGAGGGGATTGAATGGGCAGTTAGCCATGAATAGCCGACGCTTTCCGCCCCACAGCGGCTACGTTTTCTGGTAGATTAACGTCAAGTACCTGATCTACAACTATAATTCAAGGTACTGTGTATGAATATATCTATATCCAGGCTTTCCCAGGTATTTATTTCGAATTTTACCAATCATAGCCTTTTAGCCTAGTACATATTGATTATTCTATTTTCACTCTAAATAAATGCTATGCCTTGAGGGGGACTGCATCATTACTATTCCAGGTTATCTTTAAAAGTCAAATTTTTGAGACAGGGAGCATAGAACAGATTTCCACGCCAGGCTCCAAGTAATGTGTTTGTCCCCACCAGTACCCAGAGAAGTAGGACAGCAGTGCTTAAGACCTGAAGAAAGTTGTTAGTCTTGAACAATTTCAATGATCGTTAACAGACTCACAGTTCCGAATACTTTAAAGAACATCATATCAAACTCAATCCCGAGTTGGATTGTATTTGCAGCATAAACCCCAAGTGGGAAAGTAAATCCCCACCATCCCATGTTGAAAGGAAACGGGGTGCTGTACAAGACTGTCGCCAAGGCAAATATAAGCCATGTAATTCCAAAGCTCCACATCAGTAGTGATGTGATAACACCCAGAACATATAGTATTAGTCCCGCAACGGGATCTAAGACATTGCTGTCCTCGAGGAGCACGCGGGCTACTTTTCCAATATACAAAATCCTATGACAGATAAGCAACCTTCGAAATAAACTTGTAAGATCCACAGAAGTACTTACCCAAAGCCACCGAATCCAAGAGGTCCCAGTGGTAAGAAACAGCTCACTATCATCTCCCTTGGGGGAAGTTTATGTACTGCTAATCGCTGGTAGTAGATTACTAGCACGATCATTGCCAGAGGGGTACCCATGCCCCAGAGAATGAATGAAACCAGGAGTGTCGCAGTTGCATGTTCATGATTTGGCAGAATATCGGCGATTTTAGCACCCACGCCTGCTGCGACCATTGTAGCCGCAATGGGTAGTAATTGAAGCGCAGTAAAGCGATCTAACGATACGATGTGGCGTTGAGATATTCTGTTATAAAGTCAGATATTTTGTCACTTATATCTGAAAACTTTGATACTGACAAGACAAATGATAGCGAGATTGTCACAGAGGCCGATGCTACCACATCAATCATCCATAGCACCCACACAAACGTCGTAGCCCATTCTCCCCAGCGTGGAACACAGATGAAAACCCACATCTCTATTAGTGTTGCAAATCCCATTGGAATAGTTGCCAGGAATGTTGAGTTGATAGGATCTTGGATCATCACTCGCCAGATCTCTGGATACAAACTGTATCGAAGGATAGAGGTGATTGAGGCCAACGAGAAGATGATCACATTGAGCACGAAAAAGACAATAGAGAAATAAGTCAAGACCGGGCTATGAAAGGGTATTGAATGGAATAAGACCGCAACAATACCCGTGCCCATTGTTGTTGAGAACCATCTGTTGTCAGTCTTAGCCTATATACCTCATATAGGGGAGGAGGATTGCGCACGATGGACTAAAGTTTCGAACAACACGTCGCCAGCCAGCATGATATTTTGCAGGGCCCTTAAACTCTGTGTCCTCATTTGGCTTCGCCATTTTCCTTTCGAAAATCACTGTGCGGAGATGCGGAGAAGTTAGTTTCAAGATTCGTTTTCTCGGGCGAGATATTCTAGATCCATCCTTATCAATGTGGATCCACGGAAATGATACCGAGATTTGTTCTTCATTATGAGGAAGTTCCCACCTGTGGGCTTAATGAGAAAGAAGGTGCTATGAATACAGCATTTATACTCATCTTATTGCTTGCCGACTAATAATTTCAAGTCTTTGGCCCTTGATTCAAAAAGTTATCCATATACAGAGTTCAGTATGATTGACACCTAATTATTGAGGCATAAACTCTAGTTTCAAGGTGTCAATATAGTCTTGCCTAATAAAAATGGCAGCAATGTCACGTTCTCAACATCCGTGGCACCATGAATGAAGTTGTTCCGGACCTTATTATTCTGAACTTATTTGATTGAGCTGTGCTCATTTGTCATCACAATTCTACGCAATGTCTGCTCAATTCTTCCAAAGCCAACAATAGTCAGAGGCTATTCCACTTCCATCCGTTTACTGACCAAGCCTCGGCCCTCCTCTCACAACTTCGCAATCCACGGCTAGGGGCGCCACATTCGGACGTTCAACGATCCAAGCCTGTATATACGACAATAAGCTGCAAATCAAAGGATCCTATAACCAGTCTCGCCACGGCCTATCAAAATGATCAGGCTGGCGCGGGCGAAGCCTATCGTCCTCGCCGTCATTGCATTGTCAATATGCATTATATACCTATATTATACCCCGAATAAAGAAGCCCCGGCCCCCAAAATACCGGACCGTATTATCGATCATCCTCTGGTAGACCGACAAATGGAGTTTTGGAGTGCCTTTCATCCAATTCTAAACCTTCACAATCCCTTCTGCCCACCTTCCACAGATAAAATTGGGGTGGGCGCCTTAGCCTTCGATGCCAAAAATGAAATTCCTCGGCCTGATCTGTTGCAATTAACAGAAGAGTGCGAGTGGGCGATGACCTCCAGCCATTCTTCTTTTATACAGGATATTCGAAGTGCTAAGGATGATTTAAAACCTGTTCACACGGCGGGGACGCGAGGATTGGTATCTGCTGCAGGTAGAGAGTATCTACCTGTTTTTGTTGCCTCATTACGTATGCTTCGCCGGACAGGATCGACATTACCCGTTGAGTTGTACATGCACGATGCAACAGAGTACGAAAAAAAGATCTGTGACGAGGTGCTTCCGGCATTGAATGCGCAATGCTTCGTGCTGAGCGACGTGTTAGAGACCCAAATTGAGCAGCAATTTCAAATAAAGGTCTTTGCAATTCTCCTTTCGTCCTTTGAGGAGGTCGTCTGGATGGATGCGGATTGTTTCCCTCTTTTCAAACCCGAGGAGCTACTCGACTCGGACCCCTTCAATTCCACTGGTTTGGTAATTTGGCCCGACTTCTGGTATTCCTCGACAGCTCCTATTTACTACAAGGTTTCAAATCAAGAGGTTCCAGCCATGATAGCCCGCCAGTCTTCAGAGACCGGTTTCATCCTCGTGTCCAAAAAGTCCCACTTCCTGTCTCTCTTGCTCTCGGCCTACTACAACTACTATGGTCCATCTCACTACTATCGACTTTTCACCCAGGGAGCCCCTGGCGAAGGCGACAAAGAGACATTTCTGCAGGCTGCTTCCGTAATGGGTGAACCCTTCTACACTGTCAGTGAAAGTGTCCAGAGGATCGGGCATTCGCGAGGTAAAGAAAATCTAGTCGGTTTTGGCATGGCCCAATCAGATCCGCGCGAAGATTACGCCCTCACACAGCAGGGCAAATGGCGTGTCAAAGATCCATCCATCGCCCCGGCGCCCCGGATGTTCTTCATTCATGCAAATTATCCAAAATTCAACGTGGGAACTGGAATACTTAATCCGAACCGCGATTCAAGTACCGCTACCACGAACACTGATGGCTCCTTCGGACGCATATGGACTGAACCCGCCGATGCTATACGGCGGTTTGGCTGGGATGCCGAGAAGGCCTACTGGGAAGAAGCCAAGTGGGTTACTTGCAATTTCCCATTTGATTTCAAAACTTGGGAAGATAAGAATGATCTTTGCGATCAGGTCGATGAATATTACGAGTACGTTTTTGCCCAACCGCATGACGATGATCCGCAGTTTACATAGAGGTGGAATTTAGAAGTGTAGTTTACATATTTAAGAATGCAAAAAAAGTTAAACATTGTATGGCATTTCCACCGTAGAGTGGTATTGAACTGTAAATGAGTCTCAAGTATACATAGTAACATTACATGCAACCTTGGAAATAAAATGCTTTGGTAGGTAAGGTAAGGGTAGGGGGGGGGGGGGGGGGGGGGGGGGGGGGGAAGAAAAAGTGCTATATGTAAGTAACAACATCACCGCCAGGAAAGAAAGAGTGAATAATTCAATGGATGGAATAGAGATAGGGAAGTCGAGATCCATGTAATGCAGCAAGCCAGCCGATGCAGATGAACAGTCGTCAAGCCAATATGGAGCCGATCACTCCAAGGCATGATGCGTGTGTGTGATGTGATATATGGAAAGAAATCAAAAGAGAGTGACGGCTTGAAATCGTAACAAGCTTTAGTAGTGACAGATATACAGCCCACAAATTCGCGATTGGACGTTCTAAGTAAATCAACTCTAGATGCAATGCAAAATCATGTGGGAAAAATTAAGGCTTCGAGAGCTGTTCTTTCCGGAAGAAAAGCAAGAAGCCGCCGCTATAAGGTGATATCGTTAGCCATATGTTCTCGGGTTTGAAGATGAAATAGTGATTAGAAAGAACTTACCAGCAAAGCAGTTGGCAGAACAGAGCTACCCAGAACCAGGCGTTTGCAAAGGCCTGGCCACCCTTTGTTACATCAGGAGAGATAGGACCGGGGCCAGTTGCATTGGGGCCGAAAGCTCGAGCACAAATTGTGGCAGCGGAACCGATAACTTGAGAAGCAATCAGGGCGAACAACATATGCACACGGGTGAGGGTCTGTAGAAGAATCACACCAAATCCAAGGCCTTGGATTGAATCCATCACTCCCAGCCATAGCCATAGACTACGGGATGCAAGGGCTCCACCAGTGTACCCACCGGCCACCCAGGGCAAGTAGTAACCGATACCAGAGACACCCCACCAGATCTGGATGAAACGAGGAGCACCGAGACCGCAGGCGAACACAGGCAGGAACCAGGTGTGGCGCTTGGAGAATCTGCTGATGATGTAGAGAAAGATGCACCAAACAAAGCCAAAAAATACAATACACAAGATAACAATCTGCCATCCGTGGGTGTGGGCAGAGGTCCAAAGGAAGCTCCAGTTACGACCATAAGGAGCACTTAGGAAGAAATTTTGCAGGATGACGACAACAAAGTTCCACAGGACAATCTTTCTGCGGACCAAGGACTTGTAGAAAGATGGAACCTTTCCTGGCTTTTGGCGGTAGTAGTTAGGTAGACCGAAGATCATGAGAACACCGATTGCGCAAAGGAGGAGAGTAATCGGGTAGCAGATAGCAGACATCTTCCAGCTATTTGAAATCATAGAGTCGGAATCCAAAGTACCAGAGCTAGATGCCTGGCTCAATGTAGATCCCCAGTACCAAAGTGCGATAACGTATGCCTGCTGGACACCTTGAATAATACAGGCACGGAAGATCCAGGTTTCAACAGGAGCACCACCTTCGTCGCCGAAATTGGAGGCGAAGAAGAGCGATCCACTGGATGAAGCCGCAGCATAAATAGCGCTTCCAATATTTTGAACCCATCCACGGTTGAAGCTATCATCAACCCAGTGAGCGGAACCGATCAGGAGGAAAGCAAGAGCATAGAGGAACCAAGGGAGAGACAGAGACACGACAGACTTGAAGTACCGGTAACAAAGCCACCAAAGGACAGAGGTGATGGCGTATGTAGTCGCGATACCATACAACTTTTCTGCGGTTTCACCAACCTCTCCAGTCAACAAGGTGATCTGGTAAGAGTTGGCGGCGATGATTTGACCGACGGCAAGGAAGATGGAGTAGACGGGCCAGTCACCAATCTTGATCTGCATCCACTTCTTCAAACCAGTGGGAGCGATGTAGTCTTTTCCTAAAAGGAACTCGTCGTCCTCAGACTCCGGATCACTATCAGCGATGTGAGAGAATGCCTCGTCATTAACCATAGAGACGGCAGGCGATGCGTTGTGCTTTCCGCGGTACATGGATGGTGTTGGTGACTTGTGGCGACCCAGTTTAGCATTGCGGAATCTGTCGAACCATTCCTGTTCACTCTTCACCAAGAACTCTTCGATACAGAGCTGACTCTCCGAGTTGGAACCATTTAGGGCCTTCAGCTTGTCCTCGAAGTTGTGGTAATATTCGCCTGTATTGTCAGTGAAGAAGGGATCAACCTTCTGCAGCTTGAAGTCCTTCTTGTCACCAACGACGGAATCAAGGGACAGGACAGACGCATTGCTATATCTGTGACTTTCAGTCAAAGGTCGAGGAGGCAGGAGAAGGGAGTCAGTAGCCACTGGAGGTGTGATGGGGCTAGAGGGAGGTAAAGGCCACCTTGGCTGTGCCAAAGAGTCCTGACTGTATTGTCTCGATGACTGAGAGAGACCAGCGAGAGTATTGCCATGGTTTCTTAGGGCAGCCTGTGCCCGTCGTTCTTCTTCAACCTGTTGAGGTGTGAGGGTGTACTCATCATCGCCATACATGCTGTGTCCTATTTCATCGTCGCTGGTTTCGTAATCACTCTCAACGGAGCTTTCGTTTCCTTCTTCAAGACCTCCCTCTTGCTGTGGGCGGCCCTGACGGCCCCGGTGACCAGGACCGGAACGCACACCCAGGGAGAGAGAGCGGCCAAGACCAGACTTCGGCTTCTCCATATCTGAAGGACTAATGTCTCGACTGTAAATGGTGCTCCGCTTCTGAGGACCCAGCTCGAGTACCTGACTAAAGTTGGAGTAGCTGCTATCTCTGGAGTGAGGGAAGCCACCAAAGCCGGGGCCGGGTGAGGGAGGCATGGGGCTGAGACCACCCAGAGGAGGGGATTTAAGGGTACCAATAGCACCGAAACCACCGTTTGAAGTAAGAGGGCGACCGTGGCCCTTGGCCACTTCCTTCTTGTGAACTTCGATGGCGGTGTTTTGCAAGATCTCGAGATCCTCGACCCACTGGGCAACGGGGAAACGCTGCTTCGCAGATCTGGCACGCATCATTGCACGGGTAGACTCCTTGGAGTTCAATGCAGCTTCGATGGCCAACTTGAACTGCGTGAGCAAGTGCGATGTGGAGGTTGATTCGACGTTATACCACCATCCGGGCATTTGACCAAGACCACCGACACGGGCACCAATACCGAGGGCACCCTTACGACCGAACTCGACGGCAACAAGACCGAAAGGCTCATCACGGGACGGAATAAGGGCGAATTCAGCGCCAGAGAAGATGAATGGGGGGAGGGCAGTGAATTCTGGCTTCGAGAAGACTCTACCAGGGTAGACCTCCATCATGCGACCAAGCTTCAGAGCAGCGAATTTTCCATAAAGATCGATAACTGGACCAATGCAGATGATTTGTACATTGGGGCGGGACTCGAGGACAGCAGGCATGGCATCAGCGATCAAATCAACACCCTTTTGCATAGACCAGCGACCGACGAAAACAAGCAAATCAGCGTCTGGGTTTTGCTGCAGACCTGCCCACTCCTGGGCCTGTCGTTTGAGTTCACCGCGGCCAGCTTCGTACTGCTGATCAACTGTGATATCTTCCTCCTTGGTGGGCTGCTTAGTCCATTCACCAACATCAGAAGGATCAGGGTTGGGCAAGTTACCGACCTTTCGCAAACCCCAGAAAATGGGATATCTAGCGTAAGATCGTTTACCGTACTTCTTAGACACACCGACAGCTCCGAAACCTTGCTGTTGAACACGTAGATAACTGGCACCTGCGTGAAGCAGATTGAAAACTTCACCGAACTGGACGTAGCGCCGAGCTACCTCCTCGTCAAGATTGAACACTTTGCAAACTTCATCACGCTCCTTTTGGGTGCGCATTGGCCAAAGACCTTGGAACTCGGCGTTGTGGAGAGAGAGACAGGCGGGGATGGTTTCGGGGAGGAGATAAAGTGGAGCAACAGATCCGTGATAATCGTTAATGTGGTAAAGATCGATGGGGAAACGCTTGATCGCAAGTGCAATACATTGGTTCCAAGCAGAGTAGTACACTGCACTGTCAAGGTCATCCATACGAGCGGGATATGGCTCGGACTTTGACTGCTGGCGGAACACTGGAGCGTCGAGCAACACGTAAGTGATGTTGTTAAGAACGTGATATTGGACTTGAATTTGATATTTGCTGCCAAGAATGGTGACCTCCATTGGGTCCGCCACTTGATCAACAGGGTAGTCAATACCACCGACGCAAGGAACGACCCAGATCAGATCTTGATGTCCAAGGGTCTTTCCCATCAGCTGTGCCATGACACCAAGACCTCCAATTTTAATCTTGATGGCCCAATCCTCGATGTCGTACTCCATAGTAGCGATCAGAACGGTGCGACGCTTGCCAGTTCCCATGGCCCCTAAAGCGGTGGTACTCTGCATGAAACCAGATTTGTTGCCAAAACGTGTAAGAGCGCTTCCAGATCCATCGGTCGAACTACCGAACGGCTTAAGTTTCTTCAAGAACACCATGGGAGCAAAGTTGTGCTTCTCGCTGATGCCAACTTCGTTGAACTTGACCTTGTAGAACGACTTCATAAAGATGTAGACACATGCTGCACCGGTAATGGGTGGGATGATCCAGAAGAGAATGTAAAGAGCGATTTGCCATGACTGCGATCCAACGGGTGTAAGAGTAAAGCGATAGCTGCCATCGTTGATGTTAACCTGCCATGACAGATGTGGGGATGGTGGAGGCTCGGTAATGTTGATGACAGTAGTTGATAGGGAAGATGGTGGCATTCTGTCCAAGATGCCATCACCATCGGCATCACCCAACACCCAGCTCTCGTCCGGCTTTCCGTTAGGGTTCATGCCCCAGATATTAACTTGACCGACAGCTGGCCATTCATATGTGAAATGATACTTCCAAATCCCGTCCTTGGTGTCAAGCTTAATGTCTGAATCTAGACCGCCGTCGTATCCATACTGGTTATAAGGACCATTGAACCAGGCATGCGGCCAACGACGCGAAACTGAGTGACCCCAGTTGGTATCACCTTCTTGTACATAGTCGCTGCTACCGGTCCAGTGACTCCAGTACTCTACACGAACGTGATCACCCTTCCAGTCCTGTTTCTTGGATCCAGTCCAAGCAAGTTCAGTGATCGTGTCATTGCCTCCATTATACGTGATCCATTTCGACCACGAAGTACCCCAATTGGTGGTATAACGGTATTTATCAGCGCCTGCAGCGTGGTGCTCGATGAAAAGAGTGTCGTTGGCATCCCGGTGAAGCAGACTGGTGGAATAGTTGGCGGATGAGTAGACCATAGGATTATCGTGCTGGCCAATGCGGAACAAGAAGTGGTCGACTGCGTTGGTTTTATCATCTCCGAGATTGTTGGTGACATTTGTAAGGGTCAATCGATGAACGCCGTTGTAAACATTGGTCAAATTTGCCGACCACTTCCAGACGCTAGGGATTTGACCGGTGTATGTGGTCGAAGTAGTGGTGATATTGGTACATTTGATAGTGCTTGATCTGATTTCTGGGATTTGCCCTATCTCAGTCGAGGAATTCATCGACAAACCATTGGTGATGGAATCACATTCCATCACCTGTGAGAAGTAGAACTCGATCTCAACGTCTTCCGAAAGGTTGGGAGCCACTGTTGACTTCAAAGGGTAGTCATGACCGGGTGTGAATTTGGTCACCATGGGCCTCGGAAGTTTGAAAGAATCATAAGGAACGTATGCGCGGAATTCGTACGCTTTCATAGTCATGTTGGGATAGCAACCATTCCATTTTTGAGACCCATTGTAGTATGTTTTCTTCGGGGAATCAATAAGGGTCAACTCATCATACGGGTAGAAGAGGTTCTTGACCTTGGTACCTGTCGGGAAAGCAGATACCAGAGAAGTGTTGATATTAGTGCAGTCGAACGTGTAATCCTGGGTACGGTTGACATTTTGGTATACAAGCCAGATGGCCTGGTTGTCGGCAGCCGAGCCAAGATCCTGGACGTCGAGTTGAGCACTCCGAATGACGGACCACATTCCGGTTTCTGTAGGTGTTCCACTTGAACCGGGATATTGCACAAAGGAAGTGATGTTTGACAAGTTTCCGAGGGCATAACCGTCATTGAATACAGGGTATTGTTCACGGAGTTGATACATGTGCTTGTAGATATTGCGCAGTGGGTGAGTGGGATCACGATGGTCGTATGAGACTGTGTCATCACTGCAACCGTGACGGGCAGCCTCAATAGGCCAATTGTAGTACTGAGAAGAGTTTAAGGAGAAGCAGCCATGAGTTTGCCAGGCCGTTGCGGCTGACATAGCCTGTCTACCATAGATATAATTCTCCGCAGTAGCATCAAGAATGTAGAAAGCTTGTTCCTCACCCCACAGGAGAAGTGGGATTCCAGGCATAAGCAAGGTAGTCACAAATGAACCCAGGAGCTGTCTTTCGATACCATACTGAACAGAAGGCCAACGGAAAACATCCTGGTTGGTAGAACCAAACATGTGTCGGGGATCAAATTTTCCGGTGTTGGCATTGACAAGGTCATTGCTCACAAGCATATCGTGCCATGCATCAACCCAGTTGACAGGCACATCGTAACCCGCTGAAAGCTCACCGTCCATACCAAGAAATCGGGTCAAGGCACGATAAGTCGAGTAGTGGAAGGCCGCACCATCGATAGCCTCTTTGCCTTGTTCACGGAGGAAATATATAGACGACGATTCGTTTGTCATGAGCATACCATCAGTGTAGTTGCCAGGACGCTGATCGGGTTGCCGGCCTCGTCCAAGGTACACGGATCCGAAGGTGTTACCACCAGTGATTTCACCCGCAATGAAAAAGTTTTCTTTGCCAACTTCTCGCGCGCACTCTCGATAGGCTGCTGACATATCTGCCAAAGCATCTACTGTTGACTGCGTAGCTTTATCATAACGGAAGCCATCGATATCCAGCGATTGGATAATGATACAGGAGTGACGAATCAATCTCTCTCGCACGCTCGGAATCCATTCACGGAGACGATCTTGCACGGAGGCGAACTTGGCCAACTGACGCTCCCAATCAGGGAACACACCGAAAGCCTCGACATCACCGTATTGATCGAAATCACTGTCGTAGCAGCCAACCAAGTTTTGAATCTGTGTCTGCACAACGGGGTATCCATTTTCGAACCAGAATCGAGGGTAGTTGCAGGTTTTGTTGTACGTTTCTCCCATATTGAAATCAACGTATTGACGATTAGTCTTCCAGACAGTCTTGTATTCCTTCTCAGAAAAGGGGGTCGTGGTGTTAAGATGGCCTTCGAATCCGATCAAATCACCCATGCTAAGAAAGCATCTCGTTAGTCACTTCAATTCTTCATACCTAGGTACTGAAACCAAGCACTTACGTTGCAATTGTGTTGTCAAAGACAACATACATTCCACGTTTGTGAATCTCGGTGATGGCATTTCTCCACGCAGTAATAGTAGCGTAGTGTTGGTCGAGCAAGGTGGTATCAAGAGCTGAGTATCCGTCGAATCCCCAAGGCTGATTCATCAAGGAGGTTCCGGCGATGTAGAGGGCCTAGGTAATTTCGTTGCATTAATAGCGATTCCGCTGCGGTCACAGTTCAGAGTTGTAGGGCTAACCTTAATTCCCATTCCTTGTAGGTAGTCCAGTGTATCCAGCAGTCCAGCCACATCACCACCATGGCGCATTTGGTTTGAATTCAGGTCATGTTCGAAATACGTGTCATTGATATTATCGTTTGTAGGATCACCATTGACGAAACGATCCAAGAATAGCGTGTAGAATGGGACACGCCAGTTTTCTGGGGAAGGATGGAAATCGTGACCGGTCCAGTATCCATAGTAGTCTGCAGGATTGGTTGCTGTTTTATTTTCGTTCAGATTGTATTCTGTCAAATCTGGGTCGTACGGCCAAGCTGTTGCAGTCGCTGCGAGTAGGGCAATGAGCCCACTGGAGCGCAGCCACCCCATGATTATCGGTGATATGCGATCTTTCTATATACCCACCACACCGGTTGGAAGGTCTAGAAATTGGTAGATTTGGAGGTTGTAGGGCTGATGTTTTCAGTCAGGGAACAGGCGTTTGGTGTTCCTAGCTAATAGATACGTATAGCACGAGTATCTTGAGATGGCCAAAAATAGCTTCTTTTGTCAAAAACGAGTGGACGGCATTCAATAAAATGCAGAAGGTGACAGAAAAGATGCAACAAGGAGGATAAGTGTTAGACGAAGAAAAAGATTAAGATAAAGAAAAGGGTTCAATCCCATAGCCAAACCTTGCTAAGACGCGGTCAGTCTAGTGGCTTGCAGTTGAAGCTCTCGATAAAAATAACTGGCTGAATAGATTTAGTACGGGTGGATGAGACATAATTTACCAGCTAAACGAGGCGAGACCAGAGAATAGGAGCTTGGCATTAATGCATACCTCGTGCTGCTAGAAGAGACCTCCTGTAAAAGACCTGTAAAGAGGTCGACTTGAGCCTGGTTCGCCCTCCGCCAAGCCCTGATTTGAAATTTGATTTTCTATTTTTGATTTGATAGATCTATTATTTCTTACATATCTCGCTATTTTGCCTTTGAACCGCAGAATTAAGCAACCTGCCATTGGTTTGAAGACGTTAAATCCCGCTTCAATTGTCCAAAATGGGTATGAGGCGAGTTGTTCTCGTATCTGGCCTAACTAGGGTGTAGCATTTTTTTCTAGTTTTTCTATTTTTGCTATATTCATAATAATTTATTTTTGAGAGCCCCATTTCTTTTTTTTTTTTTTTTTTTTGGATGGATCCATCTTCGCCCACACCTCATATCGGAGACTTCCCCTTTTCATTTTCATTATTTGATTTACTTATTTCACTAGATATATAATGTACCGAGAGACTTGCGCCAAAGTTCCCCCATTTCATGCGCGGTAAAATTCAGGTTTGTTACATAGGTAGATAAGCTAATTTCAATTTCGTCCAAACGCAGGTTCTCAAATGCAGTAAGATTTGCCTCGTGCTCGATATCACGATAGAAGGGAATACAAGATACGGGCCGCAATCCATCTGTGGGTCTAACCGATTAGTCGGATTTTAATCCTGAAATACAAATACATAGTGGAGTACCAACCGAGTAATTTTCAAGCCTCACTTAAAATACATAAATACCGAGGTAAATACAGATACATCTATCTAGGTCTGATCGGCTTTACTCCGGAAACCAGAAAACTGTTACCGAAGTCAATCGAAACCAATGGCGATCCCTTAAAAGTACGGACCACGCCCGACTTAAATACGCTAGCCCTATCAGACATGCTTTTTCTCTGAACTGGCCTGATTGGTATAGGTGCCAGTTTCATTTTATGTTACTTTCACTACGTGGTAGAAGAGTAATCGTGCAACATGAAAAGGGGTCAATGTAGACAATATGCCCACTCACAATCTAAGTGGGATCCATTCCGAGTCAAGTCTCATGCAAGTGCTCACTTTATGCATCCATTGTGACCTTCCAACATGCATGCATATAGATGCAATGCAAGTTACTTTCAGAGATATGTGATTTCTTTTTAATAGGTAGCACCACTGCCCCCTGAAACCCGTACGCCACCAAAATTGACCTAAATATTGTTCCATTGGTTCAAGATAGTCGTAGAAGCCACCAGACGCAGGAACCTCTGCGCTAGTGGATAAGGTCCCAAGGGCCTGTACAACAGACATAGGAGATCTGCAAAGCTACACCCCCAGGTGCGCAAGGCTCGTCTCTTATTGCTCTCCACTCAATCTTCTGTTTTCGAGTGGCCATACCTCCCAAGGTTCTGACATCCGTAAAGTTCGTCCATTCGAAACACTTCTAAATAGCCAATTTATGTAGCCCTTCCCATGCTTATCTATAATCTCAATCTATCAAGGTTAAAAGGATGTTTGTCCCCTCACTTTGAACGTTGAACCCCGGCTTTCAGCTTCGGGTATGCCGAAACCAAGTTCCACTTGTTCAATGTCTCAGTCTTTTCTCCATTTTGTGTCCCAACGGTGCCCAGTTGGATTCATAGCTATTGTGAAGTGGATTCAGAGACTAAATGTCTGACCAGGGTAGGTGGACAAGGGGAGAAACCTTGGTACCTAATATCACGAATCAGCAGCTAACATGGGCCGGGCTCGACTCTTGTTCCTGACCTCGGGATGATCCCTCAGATTGTGACCTTTGTTTTCCTCGTTTGCCACAACCCTCCTTAAAATCCTCGATCTTCTGCTCTCCAATTGCCATTGTAGGTGCTAAAATATGGCAGAAACATACAATATCTCAAGGGTGGATAGCCGGATGTTCCGTTATATTTTGATATCTGAAACTAGTTCGGATCAGTGGATGCTGTTTTCCAAGCTTTTTGACGAACTATACTTTAATTTCCCCACCCCTTACACATCAACCGTCCTATACCCTAGAATACCCCCTACAATGTCCCTTTTTCTCTGTCTCTCATTCGGGTTTTATATGGATGTTTTTGATAAATTTCATGGAAACAATTGATTTATCCAGAATTAGATAAGCAAAAAAGTTAATCCCGACGGGCCACGCGATGCATGTGCGGAGTATCTAAACCTACACTCGGCTAGACTGGCCTTTGAACCAAGGAATACCTCTTCGAATCGCGGGCCTGCAGGCACTAAAATGACTTAGGGCTTGTATTGACAAGCCTCACGCGATGTTGCCCCTCTTGGTTTCTTCACTCCTTGGCTAGCCTTCACTTACCTCCAACTTTTGTCCTGCTCTCCACCCCTAGCGCTTTTTACTTTCTTTAATCTGTTTGAACATTCCTTCTTTATGCTTTCTCAGACTTCAGACCAATGCTTTTTTTAACTCCAATAGGCCAGCCACTCGTTCAGACTCCTTCTATTTGACAACTCTCGTTATTTCACGCTTGTCCCACTCAAACTCTCGCTTTCCCCTGTATCTCACACCTCTGTTGCATCAACTTCCTTATAATACCACTTTGGCGGGGTTTTTTTAAAAGATAATCAGCGACATGCTACTACAGCCGAGTCTCTGCTGTTGGGCAGGATTCATCTCTGTCACTGGTTTCTTTGGTTCTACATTAGCTGCAAGCACTGCAGAATGGAAAAGACGATCGGTGTATCAAACCATGACGGATCGATTCGCTCGTACAGACGGCTCAACAACACATGCGTGCAATACCACAGCAGGGCTTTACTGTGGAGGAACGTGGAGAGGCATGATCAATCACCTGGACTACATTCAAGGAATGGGTTTCGACGCGGTGATGATCTCACCAATCATTGAAAACATTGCTGGTAGCGTCTCGTACGGTGAAGCGTACCATGGATATTGGCCATCGGACTTTAATGCTCTCAACACCAACTTCGGAACGAAGCAAGACTTGCTAGACCTCAGTGCCGCCCTTCACGATCGCGACATGTACTTGTTGATGGATACTGTCATTAACAACATGGCATATATCACTAATGGAGAAAACCCGGCCACGCACATTGATTATTCTGTCTTCAAGCCTTTCAACAACGCAGACTACTTCCACACGTATTGCAAAATTACAGATTGGGAGAATATGACAAATGCACAGCTTTGTCAAACGGGTGACACTTCTGTAGCCTTGCCTGATCTCTATACAGAGCACGAGGACGTTCAGACACTCTTGGAAAACTGGGCCTCGTCCGCAATCGACACATATTCCATTGATGGGCTGCGTATCGATGCCGCCAAGCACGTCACCCCGAGTTTTTTAAAGAATTTTGGCGACAAGGTTGGCGGTTTCATGACTGGAGAAGTCCTGGAACAAGATCCCAACATTATTTGCAGCTATCAAGAAAAATATATCGAAAGTCTTCCCAATTACCCGATCTATTACGCCATGCTGGAGGCCTTCACACTTGGAAATGTCTCCAGGCTCGGACAAATTTCGCAAGTGATGAAGTCGTCATGTCCGGACGTTACAGCGCTCTCCATGTTCTCTGAAAATCACGATCAAGCCCGTATTGCCAGCAAGACTAAGGATATGTCGGTATGTCAAGCTAAAATCCATCAACAAACATCCCTCAGAATCCCGTGTCTAACTGACCTGTCTAGCTTGCCAAAAACATCCTGGCATTTACAATTTTGTTCGATGGCGTTCCATTAATATACCAGGGACAGGAACAACATCTCAGTGGAAACGGTGTCCCAGGGAACCGAGAGGCTATATGGCTTAGTGATGGTGGCTACAATACCGATGCGCCGCTTTATAAATTCATCAAGACGCTCAATCTCATTCGGAGACAGGCCAATAAGCTATCGCCTACTTTTGCGGACACTGCAAGCTACCCTATCTACCAAGGAAGTAGTGAGATCGCTTTCACAAAGGGTGTTGAAGGACAACAAATGATCATGCTTTTAAACAACCAGGGAGCAAATGGCGGTTCCTACGACTTCAAGTTGACCAACACCTACGCCGGAAATACGACTGTCACAGACGTCCTGACTTGCGCCAACTACACGGTCAATGAATACGCAGAGATCGAACTGACTCTGGACAAGGGACTACCCCATGTGTTTTACCCCACCTATTTGATGCCTGGCAGTGGACTATGCGGTCACTCTTCCAATAACATTTCTTACGAAGACCTGGCAACGTCTCGCTACAGTGCTGGGGTCCTGAACAAAGGCGCTTCTGATTATGCTATTTGGGTCGCTTTGCTTTCAACCGCGATGGCCTTCATGACGATTCTTTGAGCATAACAAGGACTTCTTCCATTTTTGATCTCCAATGTTCGGAACTCGCTGATGACATTTTCTAATATACCAAATTCTGCTTCTTCATCCATCTTTCCACGATCGGCATGGCTTTCAAACATTTGAATCATTTTTCTTGCGCGGGTCTGTTTTTTTTCAAGGGGTTTTTTTTTTTGCTTTGTCTATATCGGCCAACTTGTTTTGTACATACATAACACATTCCCTCTCTTGTTACAAGATCGAAACCTTCAAATATCACGTTACCTAAGGGTATATTACTTATTTCTGACTATTCAGCGTCCTTCAATCATGTTTGTAGCCAGGGGCTACTTTGGGTGGCCAATACGAGCGTGTAATATCTGGTAAAGTGAAACATGGAAAGCCCCACAATTTGAAATTTTCAACGACCATGCGATTCTATTCTAGGGATACGAATAAGTACAATCCCATTACAATGGATGCGAATGCGTGGCCTGGCTACGCAAAATCAGCCCCTTTAATCACTTCTATTAAAATTGGCATCTATTCTATTTTACCCTATCTTCACATTCAAATACAGGGAGAAAAGAGAAGAGCAGAAACAATCGTTGACATTGGAATATTGTATATTACAGAATGTTCTCTTTAATATCATGCCTTACGCCCCCGGCGGAACAGCCGGATGCTTGAGAGAGAAGGTAGGTTATTTTCAGAGCTTCTCATTCGATACAGCTTCTGACATTTGGCCTATATGGAAAGATGCCGCTAAACATCTGGATCGGCTCCCCTCGTGGACTGCACCAGATAATACGCTAATTATGCAGGCGTTCGAATGGCATGTGCCCTCTGATAAGCGACATTGGAATCGGCTCAAAGCTGCCCTCCCAGGTTTTAAAGCCATTGGTGTTGATCAGCTTTGGGTCCCTCCAGGATGTAAAGGCATGGACCCCTCAGGTAATGGGTACGACATTTATGACTTGTTTGACTTGGGCGAGTTTGATCAAAAGGGATCCATCTCTACCAAGTGGGGCACCAGGAAAGAGCTTGAGGACTTTGTGCATCAAGCCCAGAGTATGGGAATTGGTATCATTTGGGACGCCGTTCTCAATCACAAGGCTGGCGCGGACTTTCCGGAGATATGCCCGGCCGTAAAGGTCGATCCTAAAAGTAAGTGTTATCTTGGCATTTTTTCGTTTATTTAGATTGATATTGATCTTATTTCTTTTCCAGGACGGGATGTTGAAATATCTGAACCAGCAGACATAGAAGGCTGGGTTGGATTTAATTTTCCCGGTCGTGGTGATCTATATAGTTCTATGAAATATCACTGGCAACACTTCAGCGGCGTTGACTGGGATGAAAAGAGCAAGAAAGAGGCCATCTATAAGATTCTTGGGCCGGCCAAGGACTGGGCAGCAGATGTCTCCGATGAAAATGGAAACTACGACTATCTGATGTTTGCCGATCTAGATCTTTCGCATCCCGAAGTCCGCGGAGATCTCCTCAATTGGGGCACTTGGATTACGAACACTTTATCTCTCCATGGAATGAGATTTGATGCGTCCAAGCATTTCTCTTCTGCCTTCCAGAAGGATTTCGTTGACCATGTTCGAAAAACTGCCAACAAGGACCTCTTTGTGATAGGCGAATATTGGAGCGGAAACTTACGAGATCTTCATCGGTATCTAGATGATGTCGAGAACAAGATTGCCGCGTACGACGTTCCTTTAGTCTATAATTTCTCCAAATTATCCAAGATACAAGGCGGAGATCTTCGTGGTGTTTTCAATGATACATTAGTACGGACCAGGCCGGACCAAGCTGTGGTAAGTAATTCTGAAGCTCACCGTGCCCGATGTCACTAATCAATGCCACATCAAAGACTTTTGTTGCAAATCACGATACAGTAAGTACAGTCGAACTATATATCACCGTACATAAGATGTATGCTGACTGCTTGAAGCAACCTGGGCAGATGCTTGAGGTAAGGGGAACAATCTCATCGACTTGATCATGTCGGGGCCTTCGTGACTAACCGCATCTCCAGACACCTGTAGCCTCATCATTCAAATTACTAGCGTACGCGTTAATTCTTCTCCGGAAGGATGGGCATCCTTGCATATTTTACGGTGACATGTATGGGATTCGAGCTAATGTCAAGCAACTGATGACCCCATCCTGTGGCGGTAAACTTCCCATTCTAACTCAAGCGAGAAAACAATATGCATATGGTGAACAAGAAGACTATTTCGACCAACCAAATTGCATAGGTGTGTGCCACCCCTTTAAAATCAGGCTCGTCCCAACTGACCCAAGTTGTAGGTTTTGTTCGATATGGTAATGCCAATCACACCTCAGGCCTTGCATGTTGCATTAGCAATGCAGGGCCCGCAAAGAAACGCATGTACGTCGGTGTATGGAATACGAGTCAGAGTTGGATTGACATATTGGGGAACCATCACGTCCCAGTCAGTATTGACAAATGGGGTTACGGTATTTTTCCGGTCACTTCAATGAGTGTTAGTGTCTGGGTTGATTCAAGCACTGTGAACTTGCATCCAAATTTGTACGAACTATCCTTTCCTTCTCCACTTGTGGCTGCTGACACTGTCTGGTAGTGACGTCGATATTTATAAATACTAGACTTTTCTCAGTCCTTGGTTGATATAGCCAAGGCTACAGCCATAAATTCTCTCAAAAGTAGTTTTTTCAACCACGGATTTAAGATAATATTTTCAACTTATGCATCCGAAATTCCGGTATTTTCTCACTTTCAAGCGATGATTTAGATTGAAACTATACAATGGCTTTAGCGCTTATCTGTCCTTAACGAAATAGCAGAAATGGTTGGAGCGTTAAGGTGTCAGGCACTGCACGTCTGGGGCAATTGTGGAAAAAGACCAGAAAATTGCCTGTTCCTGAAATAGGGAGAAACGACCATGGATGTCTCACTTAAGATATCCGAAGTGTTCCATGAATCCCGACCAATGAATCGTTAGTTTTCTTTTTTTTCCGGCTCCACTTAGTCTTCGGAAGTGAACCCCTAAGTTACGCTAAACAGTTGGCTATGCCTCTTCCTATTTAGTAAATGGTCTGTTCCTGCGTTAGCTAAGTGATGACTTACGGAATTTACTGGACTTGGTTTGTAATCGCCGTTGACCGTCCAAAGTTCCTCCGGACCCCGTACTCCGTTACCAAAAAGACATGATTAATCTACTGTAAAGAAATGAGGTTTAATATAGCACACTTGGGCACTCCACTCTGAGTGGGGTAAATACTACCCTTGTTTAACACCTATTGGACAGAAATAAAAGAGCTACTCATTTTTAAGGGACTTAAACTGGTGTCTTATCTACTTGATTGAGGGCTTTTTGTGGAAATTGCGTCTTATCTCTGAACCCCTTTTTTCAGAAATGCTTAAACTGGCAAGTAACTGGCAAATAACTGGCAAATTTTGTAGGTCTTCCTTACAGGGTTTAACAGGAACGATTACCTTGTGGAGTGATTACCCTGTGGAGTGATTACCTGATTAGTGGAGTGTTATGTATTTTACACTCTGTGTTTGCAAATTTACACACCTAAAATTTTGCAAGTTGGCACGGCTGTGATACCACCAACGCACAGCCCGTACAGTAACTAATGCGATATTTGTCTTGATATAGTATAGCCAAATACACATAGCGCCTTGGCACAGGGTCTTTTTGCGCTAAATCCAACTAATGGTTATACTTCTTATCGGCCCAATCATCTAATTCAAGATACGGCATAGAGCTGTATATGGCCTTCAATTTCATTGTTACCTTCGTACGGAGACCGGATACAGAGTGTTCCGTGAAGGGGCGTTCTCCTAGTAACTGTGGATGCGGATTCCGCTGTTCCTGGCTGAATATGAGTTTTCAACTGTCAATTCTGAAACTAGTTCGATTTTCGACTTGAGGGTCCATGGTTACCCTACGTAGGTGGTTCCTGGAGTGAATGTTCACGAACGTCGACACAGCATAACAGTCATTTCCGCAATATCATCCTCGGTACTCCGCGCAATGCCAGTAATTCAAAGTTGATTCAGATATTATTAGACCCGTTTACTGAACCTCGTTCCACCTTGCATGCTTACTTTTAATTTTTATTATTTTTTTGATCATCGCTTGGCATGACTTCTGCCGTGTCTTTTTCTACTTAATTAGCATTATCACTCCCACTCTTTCTAGAGATCTGAATCTTCCTCTCTTTAACATTGAATCTCTTCTATCTAAACTCACCTTTTATCCACTCGCTATAATCTCGCATCTCGTAAATATGCGTTTCTCACTCGCTTCTATTGTGCCTTTGGCCCTCTCCGTTGCTGGTAGGTCCGTCTGTACTTTTGCGCCGAAGATTTTCTAATGAATTTTTATAGCTATCAAGGTTACTGAGCCCACCACTGGTGAGGATGTCGCTCTTTCAAGCTCGCTCACTGTGAAGTGGACCTCTGTCGAGTATGTTCAGCTACTTTTGATATACGTTTATGCATCACTAACAATAGACAGCTCTGATGCCTCCAAGTTTGATATCTTGCTTGTCAACAACGCAGTCTACCCCACTGTGAGCAAGACCGTCGCCACCGACGTTGAAACTTCCAAGGGCTCTTACACCATTGATAGCGTCAGCGGTGTTTCTGACGGGTAAGCACATGACTATGAGGCTCTTTGGCGATTGGACACTAACTTGCAAATCAGTCACGGCTTCCAGATCAACCTGCTGGGCGTCACCGATACCAGCTCTGGAATCCTCGCTCAGTCTGGACAGTTCAACATTACTGGATCGGCTTCTTCTTCTTCTTCTTCTACCACTGACAGCAGCACCACCACTAGTCTTTCCACCTCTACTGCCTCTGGCCTGACCACCACCACCAGTACATCTGATAGCACCACCACTACTGGTACTGCTGCTACTGGTACCTCCACCGGTACCTCTACTGGTACATCTACTGGTACCTCAACTGGTACCTCGACTACCACCTCTTCCTCCGCCGCGCAGACTTCCACTGGTGCCGCCGTTGCTCTCTTCGCAGGCCCGGCCGCTGCTGCCGGCCTATTCGCCGGTGCCATTGCCTTCGCTTTGTAAAGTGAGGTCTGAGGAAGGCCGTATATTTTCGGATTGCGGCTTTACTTCGGCTTTACTTTTTGTGTATGATTGGAAACTGGATATAAGGGGACGAAGACCGTTGGTGTTGTCTTGCGCCATTCGTGATGGGCTTTTTTTACATTAATTTTCTGCCTCGGCATTAATATTAGACCTATACCTATTTGACTTCATGGGTGTTACTGCGCATTACCGTTTATGACATTTGTACGACATTGAGATCAGAGCTCCCATAACTCTTGATTCAGATGCCCTGTAGAAGCAGTTCCTGCTTCTGTCTAGGAAAAGATATAAGGAGGACACCCGTGATGCGATATACCGTTACCTATCATTAAACTCGCGAGGCACATTTCTCTGGGTGGCCTTGGTACCTTGGAAGTTACGCGACAATAAAACAACAGCCCTCGAATACAGAGTACTATATAGTCTATGACCCAATCCTACGAAGTCTCGAACTCTTATAAGAATACTTCACACCAGACTAGGTAGCTGTTAGCCTTGTACTAATCTTAATCTTTCTCCGGGACAACCTAGGTAGTTAGTTGATACAAGCAAGTCGTAGAGTATTTAGTCAAATGATCAGTTAAACAAATGGACGACGCATGGTCAGATTCGGATACTCTTTTTTCATCTTTCTCCATGATTCCCATCACCACGATAACTATTCTCTCTCAAATTCAAGCGCTATTAGCAATGACACAAGAGTTAAGAGACGGTATGGTCGATCTATCCGATGATACCACCATTTTATTCGATCATAGGAGCCAAGGTCCACTCCCTAGTTTCAGAAGCACTCCAATTCATTACGAGCTCAATCCGAATCCTGCTTTGCGAATGGCATTGAATGGTCAAGCGCCTGGAGCAACGGTTCGCGAGCTGGCTATGGTAGTTGTGATGAGCAAATTGAAGTAATATTCTGGCTAGTGTGATGAGGCCTTTTGTAACGATGTTAAATTAGCAGAAGCCGTTATGATCAGCGGTCCTCTCATTAGTGAAGCGGCTTGGGACTGGTGCGTAAAGGAGTTTCGTGACAAGCCAGTCTACATTAAAGAGAAACAATATATCCGGGTTCGTGACACTGGATGCCATGTCTGTAAATCGAAAAATCATGCTATCAGCGCACTATTCAGATTGGTAGTTTCCCAGTGCCCACCTTGCATAGGTAGCAGCAGCAGGTGGTATTAAGCTTTGTCGATCCATTGTTATTCTACTCCTTCGTGGAAACGCCTGGTCTTGGCAGAAGTAGGAAAGGCGGAGGACATTCACGGCATTCTGAGCTATTACCAGGATACGACAGTTGTGCCTAAATACTTTAGACGGAGTCAATCCTGGGATCCAATTCCAGGATCTACATGATAACAATAAATCGATATGGGTATCTAGATCCAGGGTATCGGCACACATATTATTGGCCTTGGGTATTACTTGCGTTGAGTTTATTACTGGAGCTGGAATTATCAATCTCTCCCTTGGGAGATGGAGCTTGGAGATAGAAAGCAAATTATTCTACAGACATATCCAAGGTCCACTGCCCTTATTCAACTCAATTCCACCCGGGCAATCCTGGAAGGTTTCCCCTGGGTAGGTACCAAGGTACAATTGATGGATGTTTACTGAGTATTATTACTCCCAGACCACAGATATATACCTACCTGAGTAACTCTAGGGCTCAAACATAGCCTTGGATATATCAATTTTGCAGTAGTTTCAATCAGTATAAACATTGGAATGCACACAAAAATGCCTTTGACCTGGAAGCTATCCTGATTATCTCGATAATATCCATATTTACAGTGAGCGACACACTTGGGCATCCATGGATACTTACTGTTGGAAGAAGGGAGGTAATGGGTTTTGCTAAGATACCCAAGGGTCCACAATCCAGGTCAGCAGGTACCATGAATGATGATCTAAATTAACTTGAGAGTTCTATAAATACTACATAAGCGCGTACTTATGCTTAAATAATAGCCGGAAGAACTTATGTACGCGGCCTTACAACTAGAACAGGACCTAGTTCACGTCCGGGAGTTCAGTATGGATGTGACGCATCTTCTATCCATATATTTCGTAAAATGTATCGTGCCACGTTGTGGCCCTGCAGATATGTATTTTGGTTTCAAATTGCCACTCATCGCTGCAGGATTAATATCGAGGTGGAGATTTCTTGTTTGGGGGCTAAAAGGCCAAATGTCCCGACTGTTTTGACGAAATTCCTAAACCCGGCAACTGAATGACAGGATGTTTTCAGCAGAGAGGAATCACATTATAATGAAGTTCAAAGTCAATTTAAAGCATATAGCTAGGGAAATTACACACAAAATGGGGTATACATAGAAAGGCGGAACGAAACCAAGTCCATAAGAATCATGCCAGAGGTGCGTGCTCATAATGCGATATCTGTGCTCAACAACATCAACATCTTTGCAGATCACCCCTGGCTTAACGCCACATTAAGTGGAAGTTGACTCGGGAAGGGGAGCAGCAGTTTCAGAAGCTGGCTCGGACGAGGAAGAGACAGCAGCCTCGGCGCGGGCCTTGAGGTGCTTATTGAAAACAGCATAGTCGGCGCGCATCCTCTTTCCAAGGAACGAAGGGCTCATCAAGAAGGACAACAGACCCTTCAGGTCCTCCGACTGTGTAAACAAGGTCGCCTTGCCGTCCTTAATAGGTTCCATGCGGAATCCATGAAGACCAGCAATAGTGAAGACTGGTGGGCCCTGCCACGAGAATAATTCTTCAGAGTTCTCCTATAAAAAGCCTTTTTGTCAGCCCTATGGACAGAGTACTTTGCTTCTAATAATCCTTAGGGGTACTCACCTTGATCTCAGCCACGAACTTAAACCCTTCGATGCAAACTTTGACTTTATCACCCGCTGTGAGGGTCTCTCCAGTCTTGCTCTTATCCAGGATCTCGATGCTCTTTAGCCACTCGGTATGCCATTCGGGAAAGGATGAGAAGTTGAGTAGCTAGACAGAAGGTAGTGTCAGTACTAGTACTCCCAATATCTCAACCCCTTTTTCATAGATAGGTGGGAATCAAGTTGATCGCGTACCACTTCGCGCACCGTGGCAGGTGGGGCATCAATCTCGATCTTGCTTTCGAGGACCATGTTGATTCAATCCTGTGGTAGTTGGGGAGATGAAACTGTCTGATCAAAATGGAGGAGGAAATGCGCGGTGAGTTAAGCAATGTACTATTTTAAGGTGCGTGCGCATAAAGCGTGGAGTAAGCCGCTCTCAACTTGCTTACATACACCTAGTATTTGACTTTAATATAACTATTCGTGGTAAGGCCTAATAATGATGATAGTATTAGTGAAATTATGGGCCTTTTAAGTTCCAATGCATTATCTAATGCCCTGATACACCTTTGAATCTAGGATTTCTATGGGCCAAACACATCCAGGTCAGACCTTTTTAAACAACTGTACACTGGAATAGAAAGCCTCAGGCAGAAGAAATCAGGTACCTATAGTCACCTAGGTGAGGACCTTGGAAGAATGCAGGGTAACATGTATAGCTTTCACATATCAATGATACCCTGTCCAAAAGGTTGATTTTTAAAAAGTGTCCTAAGATTCATAGTTGTAAGACCTCTGGAACTGTGTTCGAAGCTTCATTTGCACAATATATCTATGTGGTAGTTTCAACCTTGGAAGTGGAATTTATACATACTACTTAAGAGAGGACCTGTTTCCCTAGACAGACACCCAGGTGACCTCAGCTCTAACATTACCTAGCTAGAATCATTAATATTAGTGCGCTACCTACTCATGGACACAAATAAGGATGCTGATTTCTCTTGTTGAATTGAACCCAACTGCAGGTGGACAGCGATATTCCACTAGCTTTCATCAACGTTAGAAACAGGCTTGTCCGTTTCAACTTAAGTAATGAGAAACATTGAGCCATGTTACATACTTGATAATTACATTCCACAAGTTATAAGGCTATCTATTCATGGGAAACTAGATATACTCTACATCCTTGGAGAATATCTAATACATATACTCCCTGCTTAATATGATATCTAGCGATATTCATAAAGGATACTCTTCCTTTTAGCGTTCAACATCCAGAGTTTCTTCAAGTCCTGGACACTTTTCTGAGCAGTGATATACTCTATTAACGAAATGATGATCCAGATTACATTTTTTAATACCTAAGTATATCAGATATCTACAGTCGATGGTATGATTTACTTCGTATTTTACAAGTAATAATCCGTCCATGGTCTCGGAATTGCCCAAAATATACCATGGATGACTAGAGTGTAGATAGCTTACTTCCAAGGTTCTTTAATATGAACTACTAACCATAATTGGAGCACGTTTACCGATATGGAAATATAAGCTGGCTAGATTCTCGCCGCTATGACAGCTGCTCGACAAATGAGTTTGCTATAACCTGATTCTCTTTCCAATGTTATTTGCCGCGGCCTAGACCAGCAGTGGCTATGTGGAGTATGAGGTGTATATCTTGTAGTGACACTAACAGATCAGAAGGTCCTAATTGGACATGGCAGAATACAAAATTTAGTATCTAGTTTAGGCTATATTGATTCCTCTTCTTGATGTCCACGAACTCCCCCATCTAAAATCCACTGCTCATTATCCTCATTATCGTCTTGCACACGTCGCCATGTCTGCTTACGTTCTGCCCGATCCACTCCATCTACAGCCTTAGCTTCTGGAGTGCGCCAAACAGGACGCATCAAACCTCCAGCGGCAAGAAGCGGATTTCGACTGAAAGCATGTCCCTTGCCTTCAGACGGCCCTTCGGCACCAACATCCACAGGATCAGGCTCAATGACATCTGGGGTTGATTCAACAACGGAAGATTGATAGACCCTGCGGACCTTGCCACCCTTGATATCAAGGCTCATGACAGTCTTCTTCTTTTCCCACTCTGGACGTGCTGCTTCCTCCATCTCGCGTTGAATGCGCTGTTGCTTTTTCAGCGCAAGTGCGCGCTGAGCCGGACTCATCCAGAGCGTCGAAGCCACATTAGGCGTCTCGAAATCAGCCGCTTCGTCGACCACCTTTGTTCGTCGAGCATTCTGGGCCTGGAATTGGAGCAATCTATCGCGATGGGCTTTGGCTGCATCCAGGTTGTTCGGTGTCGCGAGCGCAGATCCGGTCGGTTTAGGGCCGGAATCGTGATGAGCGCCGTCATTGTGAGCGCGCATCTTTTCTTGTCCACGCTCCGCTCGTAGTTCACGAATCATGATTTGGACTTCTTCTGCGGAGAGGAGCGGCGTACTGCAGAAGGAGCATGGTTGCAACCCTTCCAATGAGCATATAATCTTCCCACAGTTCAAACAGTTCGGGGCCGGGTCGAAGAGGGGGTGTATGGTGGCGTAGCAGGAGCATTGTCGCTGTCCCGTACCTAGGGTTGGATTTGTTGAGACTTCTAATGCGGCGATCGCAGCTGTCAGGTCAGAAATATCATTTGTAGTGATAGAGCCTTTGCCTTTTGATTGGCCTGCTGAACCTCCAGTATTTCGATTCGTTTTGCTCGTTTTTGATCGCACATTTGGAAGCATGTCCGAGAGCAAGGGACCGGAAGCGGAGGGAGGTTGTTTCGGCGTGGGAGCAGACAGGGTTGATTGAGATTGGGAGGATATGAAGGGGCCTGGCGCAGAGAGACTGGGGTTTGAGGGCCGTTTGTTGGCAGCCATATAGTCCTCTTCCTTGTCAGCCTTCACGTAGCCTCCTCCCACATCACCATAGTTCGCTGGTCGGCGCACTGGGCCTGCGCTATGTAGCGGCTTCTTCTCCTTCTTCTTCTTTCCCCTCGGTCGCTCATTATTTGATGGCGGCGCATTATTTTGCGTATTCTGGACAGGAGGGGTAGATGAGGTCGCCGGTCGGCTATTCTGGCGCGCGTTGAACGAGGAGATAAATTCTAGAGCTGCGGGCGAGTCTCCAAGGAGGTTCTTGAGGTGGTCGGCACAGGCCTCTTTGGATAGACTGGCAGAGTAATCTATGATCTGTGACAGTGACTCCTCATCGATTGGAAGAAGCTGACCGAGTCGGGGCAAAGCCCAGGCTGCGATACTGGACATGGTTGGAGATGGAGAAAAGATGATGTGTGGGAGTGCGGGGGACCCGCCCCATAGGCTATAAAATACTTCTACAGATGTCATTATGTCCACTCAAAAATTAATTGGATTGTGAGGCATTGAAATATCAAAATTGTAGATTTAAAGCAATAAGCCTAAGACATAAACTCCAGGGTATCCATAGCAAGTCATTACCTCGTCACTCACGCCTAGCGAACAGCAGGAATTACTTCGTTGATCGAACCAAAACCTTCGAAACGTCAAATTCCACCACATATCTCTTTACCACGTTGAACAGAGTATCAAAAACAGTCCTCCGGCCACAGGAAAGCAGGCTGTTGAGCTTGATGTTGATTCTGTACCGACGAATTCTGTGGAGAAAGCGCCGTAGCCTTTCTTCCAGATGCTTTCTTCTTGGGTAATTTGTTCTCTTTGAAGGCAGCTGTGGGAAGTTCTTTCGGCAGAGGAGGTACAGGAGGAACTTCCTCATCGTACTTGGAGCCCCGTGTTTGACTGGGACTAAAGTTCGAATGCGCAGTACGTCCTGGATCAAGTTGAGAGTGCTGTTGGAAATAGAAGGCTTGATGGGTTTCAATGGGCGGCGGGGATGGCGAAAACACAAGATCATTACTTATTGGATCCGGAATAGAGTCAATAGAAATAGAGCGCAAGTCAAACGAGCCCCGCGACGTACGGACCAGAAGCGGAGATCTGACAGTTGACGGGCGAGTTTGGTTGGGAGAAGACAGACAGGATTGGGTGTACATCTTTGTTGGAGTGCCGTCCTGATTCTCACTTCTTGTGCGTTCTACCGTTCCCGGGCTGTCGCCGGCGTCGGATTTTTGCCATTTTGCTTGGCGTGATGGGCTGAGGAGACCGGCGTCGATTAATTGCTCGAGTTCGTTTGGTTGTTCGTCCAGGTGGCCCGTCGGGATGGGCTGATGAGGTTTCCGACTAGCGACAGGTTCAGGATCGGGAGACTTCCTTTTAAGGGAAGAGCTTTCCTTACCCAGGATCGATGGTCGGGATTCACGCCGTCTTGGGGACTTAGTGACCACCTTTGTGCTATAAGCTGATTGGTTTTCTTCGAGGCACGCGCTACCTTCTTGCATCGGGGTGAAAGCGGTGTGTTGTTCGACGTCGAATTGGGGCATATCGGCAAGGATATCTTGTTGGTCAAGAAGTCGTTCTGACGGAAGGCTGGGCAGTGCGCCAGGAACAAATTTCCGAGGATAAACAACTGGATCCATTTCCAGATCGACATGTTTTGTCTCTTTAGAAACGGGGGGCAGCGTTACCTCGTTGCCAGCAAGAGTGCGAAGTTCTCTCCGTGCGCGTTCTAGTTTGTCCTCGAGATTGCTAACTTTCTTGAGAAGCTTGGCCTGGCGTGTCAGCTCCTTGCGGGACTTCTGTCGTCTGACTATGTTGTTTTCAAAGTCTTGGGACTGCTCAGGGTACGGATATGTCGACGGAACGGTCGATTCATGTTTGATAAAAGGCAGTGACGGTGGGCTTGAAAGGAAGAAATCATGGGATGAATGCTTATGAGCCTTAGAAGCAGCCCGTGGAGATGTGATATGGTTATTTTGATCATTAGATTTGGGCATTGGGTTTCCAATCGCGGTATTCATGCCCATCTTATCTGCAATTGCCTGCCAGGTCTCATCCGCTATGGCCGGGTCGACACGCTGTTTTTGCGTGTATGCACCTTTATTGGTACCTTTAAAGCCTGCCTTCTTTAGTTCGGCATATGCCGCTTCAGCTTGGGTAAGGGCGTCCGTCTCGGACTCAGGCTTGGCTGCATGTTCAGGCGGGTGCTTGCCCCAGACTCCAAACGGATTAAAGGCTGCTGCGATTGTTTTACCAAATCGAAAGATCCCTGATCCTCGATTCTGGCCATTCCCTTTTCCTTCGCGAAAGAATATGCTAGGTGGCTTCTCACTGACACTGTCGCTCATTGTCGCCTCGACGAAACGTGAACGCCGGCCTAGGCGGCTACGAGGACTGGTTGAAGATGCTGCTTTATGCCTGTTGCGAAAAGATGCGACTGAAATACGCGGTGATGCCTTTGGTGAGGCTCTGTAGCTAATCGTCGGATTTCCCATTTTCTGGACGTTGCGACGATCATGGTGTCCATAGTCTGCGGCCTCATCTGGCAACGGCCAATCGCTCGATCGACGCCGTTTGGACGATTTTGCCGACGGGGAATTGCAGCTGTCTAGCTCTATGACCAGTTCCTCGGCATCGTCAAACCGTCCTGAGACATCGGAACTCAGGTCCGATTCGTTGTCTTCGTCGCTGTTGCGTAAATGTTTGCGCGAGGAGTGCTGCTGTACGGGAGTGGAGTCGGCATCCATAGCGAGCTGGTAAACTTGAGTCTCAGAGCTGGTTGAAAGGGAGAGTCAGCACAATATGTTCATTTCATTTCATTGCGATCAATAAGAAATGTGCCCTGGATACGATGGTGCAAGGGGAACCCACCTATTAGAGGTCCTGGAATATCCCTTAGACAGGCGCCCTCTTTGCCCTTCAAGGGTTGCGCAATGAATCCGAGATAATCAAAACAAAAGGAAAGACATGAAATCGCTGATTAGAAAAAGAAGGTGAAAATTGAAAACAAAACAAAAGGACTTTGTTTACTTCTCCGCAATTTCAGCCCAAAGCGGGAAGTTTGCTGTGTTTGCGGGCCTTTCTGTCTCCACTCAGTATCATCTAGATTGAAAAACGGCTATCTTCAACCGATATCCACCTCACATCGCTTACTGAAGTTATTGTTACTATCATGAGAAATCTGAAGAGACAGATATCTTTTATGATTCAAGAATTCCATGTCTCGGGCTGACATGCGATTCGATCTAGGTACATACTGGATTCATGTCGTACTTATATACTTCGGCAATAAAGAATGTTAATTCATACCTAGGTAGGAACCTTGGAACCTGTAGTTAGCACTGGCTTGTTAGGTTAGAGCAGGAGTCTCTTTTACTTCGCTAGTCAGTATTCTATAGGTAAATTTCATTCTGATCTTCTAATTCAAGGGCGTAGAAGGGATAGATGCACCTGACTTCATATGTAGGCTCGGTCTAGTTTGCATTGACCGCATACCATGTCAGAACGCGAGAATGAAATGAAATGGAATGTCACTTTCATCGGAGCCCTTAGTGGAATTATTGCGTCATGAAGTCTTTAGCAAAGCAGCCTCAAAAAGACTGCGTACGAATACCAGTCTGGAATGAGGATAGAATTTATTCTTCAAGCGACGAGGGGCAGGTGTTGATATCATCGGCGAGCTTGACCACCATCGGCTGAAATCATAGAGTATAAATGACTGACTTCAACCTTGGAACTTCTCCGCTTATTCTCTAACTTAGTCAATCATACAAGTTGAAGCATATCTTCCGAGGTCCCGCTCAACAGATCCATGGATACGTTCTACTTGGCATACCCCTCATTTCGGTTATATCTACAACGTACGTCGTGGTGATGCCTTTATTTCTGTTTACACCCTAAGAACCAGGATATCGTGTTTTTATGACCTGGTTGGTAATCGGCCATAATAACACTTGCATTCTCTCCTTAAAGGAGCAAGAATATTGAAACTTTTTGTATTTAGAAGTGACCATCAAGATGCCTCGCTTGATCTATCTGGCCGTATTCTCAAACGGATTGCAACCCGCTCATCAAGCTATCTTTGTTCCTACAGGCGATACCGGCGAGGTAGGAAAGGTGATTCATGTCACTGGGAATCCTACCACCGGATTTTGTCTACAATTCAAGCGTAACTACAACTTCTTAACAGACAACCGCAAGTACGTCACCCTGCCGCTTGGGGAGGTGGAAGATCAGTGCATCAAAGATACAGTGGGTAATGGGAATGAAGGAATGGATACAACTGCACGGGACCAATTGGAGTCGATTGCTTTAGTAGTTGAGCCTCCTAAAAGCAATCTCGACCTCTCTGACCCATTAGTATGTGCTATATAAGAATTACAAGAAGCACAGGATTCTGACTGAGTTTTTATATAGGCACTTACCTGCCATGACTGGATCCTGGCCTTTGTCCAGAAACTTGTGGACGATGGCATTGTCACGGAACGCGCGATTTCTGTGGTTCAAGATGGCCCAAAGATATTATAGATATTCAAGCAGTTTACGAATATATAAGGCTGGAGGGAAGAAGCTAAGAAGGAATTTTGACTCGCAGATAAATATATCTATTAGTTATGGTCATGGTGGCTTGGAGAAATTCTGACTCGGCTCGAGAAGAACTTGAAACTTGAAGGACTCCCAGCCATCGAACAAGGCCCTAGAGGATTGAGATCCACCACTTTTATTAGAAATTGACTCAAACTTCAACCCTCTGACCCAAACAGTTCTAAATTTAAGACCCTTGTCAAGTGGGAAATGCAACTGGCTGAGGTTCAATAGCTGCCACATTGACCATGGCTGATGGGAAGGAAGCTGATGGCATTGGCAATGCGGGGAAGAGTGAGCTAGTTACAGCTGATCTGCAGTAGGTTCTTATTATTCATGGATTCCACTCTTGAACTGCTATTTGACAGGGAGGAATTGATCCGAGCCGTGTAATTATAAATCTCAAGTGGCGCTTGGGGGGCCTCTGATATCTAATATACGGGATCCTGGCCCGGACGGGACAGTAGACTCCATTCCTTCATTTATCTGGATATCTTGGATTCTAGAGGATCTAGTGGGATTAACTGAGAAGGATCATTGCTAGTAAAACAAATCACTCGTGAGAGACCCTTGTCAGCGTAAGGGCTGATGTTTCGTCATGCTGGTCAAACTTGGAATGATCTCGACTTGGAAGGTTAATACTTCGGTGTTCATTGTCTAGGTATCCATGCACATGTATCCCTGTCCACTTCAAAATACTTGGCTTACGTGAAAAGGCTCGTCATATAAGCACTTGTGTGACTTCGTAGGTAGTCAGCTAGATTTCCACTCCCTAATACAAGTCCCATTGTTCAATATTTTGTTGATGCCAGATCTGCGATATATTTATCTCAAACCAGGGCTTATCATTAGATAATTGACAAGATTGATCCAGAAGAGATTGCGGCGCAGCTACAGGATCATAAACACTTATGGGCGTCTCCTAGGCAACTGGTAGACACTTCCAAGGTTTAATCATTGAGATTTTAGAGACATACACAGAAGTACAAAGCTACCCAGGTGCTGCTCGCCCCCATGCTGGTTGCCCCGTCATCCGCCAGTGCCAGTGACAGTCCAACTGTAAGCTGACCATAACAAGGGTGGATATGATGAAACTAAGTGACGCTGAAGACCTAAAGGCTGCTTATTTGGGCTTCATTCAAAATGTGGGTAGGTGGATATGTGGTTGTAGTCTATAATTCCTTGTTCCATGATCTGACCTCAGTTGTGGATTCCGGAGGAGACATGTAATAAGCTGATGATCTTCCGTGAAAATCCGGGTGAAAACCCATTCCAGAATCTGAAAGATGATGCCTCTTAGGCTCCATATCACAGTAATAGATGGGGAGATATCAATCACCACAGGAAATCCCTGACCCTTTTTGGGGGCGATAACTCCCCTCGATTCGAACTACCTTATTTGGTATAGAAAGTGTCAACAAAGCGTGTATCTCGGGTAACGGCGTCTCTTCCTGTGGCGAATAACTGTGCACGACCTAGTTCAGGGGTCAATAAAGACTGATAAGGTACATTGCAGTGATGAACTAGTTACTACTAGCACTAGGAAGTTACATGACTTTTTTTTAGAGGTGGAGTATGATATGCAAACTCCACTTTAATTCAAAAGTCTTAGCACTAAGTCTGTAGTCAGCACTAGCACCAATCCAGGATCATCCTTCATGAAAGTAGTGGAGATTACAAGCAAAAGTGGTCAATCTATTGGTCCCTTTCCCATAAACCTGCTCTTTCATGCATAGACTACCCCTGACAGCATGTCTTTGATAAGCCGTGCTTGCCTACGAGATTCTTCAGGTTACATACATGCATATCCGACGTGAGATTGTAAATATTGCATTTCCAGCAGAATTTCTACAACGACGTGGACAATTAAGAGTACTTTACAACACATTATCGAATATATAAAAGACTACAAAACATCTATTATTGTAGCTTGTACTTGGCATTCCTGAAATTCCGTATCGGGAATATGCACTTGTGCAGATTTGGCCCCAACATCGGTTCACTGTATTCTCCGTGCTCCGTAAGGCCGTGCTTCGCAAGGCCGTGCTCCGTCAGTTGGAGAGGTTCCTGCAGACTCGACAGCCCATACATATCGAGGCCTACTATTTTGCGCAATCAGGGCTCCACTATTCCGGGGCCGAAAAGCCATGTGGCTATAGACATGCGTTTGATTCATCGCCCCCATTCACCTACTCCCCTAAAGGAAAATGCTTCTGACCTGCCCCAAAAAACATGTAATCTTTCTTTTCTTTTTCCGCTTTTTTCCAAAGTAAGGTTTTATAAACAATTCAGGGAGATCTACGAGTTCCGAAGTTTCCGTTTTTGTTTCCTTACCACGTTTTTATACAAAGAACCGTTCAGCCAAGTCCACGAATTTACCAAGACATTCTAATATAGTAAGTTCTTTGATAAGGGGAGCAGTGAATTACTGGCTTGGATCTAATGCAAATATAGAATTAAACAAAGACATTCGACAATGCCCTCGGCCGCCACACTTTAATTAGAATTATCGAAGCGGGAAACAGTTTTGCAAGATGGTTTCCACGCCTCTCTCAAACTGGAGGAAGAAGACACGCCGTCCACCACCGATAAAGATCAAGGGAAGCTTTTTCAAGGCGGAGGAGGACTCAAGTGACAAGCCAAGATGGCTTTCTGACGGGGGCAAAGCTTCAAAAAAAGAGAAAGAGAAGATGAAGCTGATAGTCCCGCCAAAGAGCCAATCCAAGGCTCATGAAAAGCTCGGTATGCCATCAGTTCCCAATTCTGCATTCAGTGAGGTGGACATGGGAACAACTCCTAGAATTCCGTGTCAAAGATCATTCCTGGCCTTTGCAGACGACAACTCTCCACAAGGATCTGTACCTACTATCACCTACCTGGATTCTCCTCACGACTCTGACGATTCTGATATCTCTCCACTGTCGGATCGACCATCTGCCCGCTCTGCTTCTGTTTTGGCCCGGTTTTTCCCAGAGCTTACAAACAACATCTCTTTGGCTCCTCCAGTGGGGTTGTATGAAAAGAAGATGAAGAAGACCGAGACACCATCCGACTTTCGCAATGAGCTTGAACGTCGAGTAAACAGTCTGTACATGAACTCGGAGGATGCTGCAGTTGGAGAGGATGGATATGAGTCTTCTTTTGAATTGCAGATTCACAACTCATCTGAAGAGAACATTTTCGATGGAGCGTCGTCCTGCTACAGCAGGCGGGCATCATTCATGAGTGTTGATGGTGGATATGTGGGCGGTGATGAAGCAGGCAGGTGCTGCTCAGCCGATGCCTTCTCGATTATGTCTCCTGCTGCTGCTGGAGTGTTTGATGATGCAGCTTCGGTTTTAAATTCACGGCCACTGACTTCACGGACTCTATCTACAACACGCCCTCAATCCGCAGCACGGCCTTCACAAAATCTATCACGTAGCATATCGACGGGACAGATAATGAAGTCGTCGAGCGCAGAACGAATACCACCAGCGATACCACGCCACCCATCGAGACGAATTAGCTTCTCCAGGCCGAGTCGCAGCAACTCACTTACCTCGAGAGTAACAATAGAAGATTGGAGGAACAAGCCTCTACCCCTTGAACCATCTCTCGAGCCCATTATTGAGCCCAACCCTTTATCAATCCGCCAGTATGAATCACAGCCTTCACTTTTCTCTCCTGCATTTCAAATGGAGGAGCAGTCGATGTTAAACCCACACTGGAGACCAGCCGACCACGCATATCATGTAAGTGCAGGACCAGCTGGACATCGCCATCATCAAGAACGCCAAGCGGCACCTTCTCAGAACTCAAGCCGGACTGATATGCGTGGTGATGGCCGCACAATGTCACAGGCAGCAGAGGAGCTGGAGGCTACGCTGGCGGATCTTGAGAAGGAAGGAAAGACAGTGTTGATTCTAGACGGGCCACTCCAAATCAGTCGGAATAACGGCGAGCTTGTCGCAACGCGACGCGCACCTCTACCTCCTCCAATGAAATCTCCATATTCAAGATTAAACTCCCAATTGTCTCCAGAGCTGCCACAGACACCCAAAAAGAGCAGGTCGAGCCGAGTTGACGAGATGAAGGCCCAGCAAGCTCGAGAAGAGAAGGGACACAAGCACACCAAGGCCAAAGAGCACAGTAAACCCAAAGAGCAGAGCAAACCCAAAGAGCACAGCAAACCCAAACTCTCGAAGAAAGAGTCCAAGAAGGACTTATCCAAAGTGAAATATTCAAGCAGCCATTCCCGTCAGCCTAGTGATGGAAAGGAAAAGCGAAAAGACGAACAGTGGAAGCTCAAAAAGTCATTCAGTTTGTTTCATCGCAAACAGTCCCTTCCTCGAGTGGAGGAGATTCGAATGAGCATGCTAGCTTCACGATCGGAAGCCTCGTTGGTAATCGAAGGAGCGCTTAAGCCATTGAGTGAGCGATCCAACTCGTTGCCTTTTGTTTCCAAGTCCGACGACGAAGCCATCTCCAGCCCTATCAAAAACCCACGAGAACGTTTGCGTAAACAACTACCACGATTACAAACAAGCAATCTCGATTTATCCCCGCCTTATGGTTCTGTTCCGTCAGATCGCCAGAGGCAGACTGCAGACGCGGAGTTGGAGGGCAATGTTGTTCCGCCAGTACCTTCCAAAAAGCCCAGCCTGGAACTACGAGCGACTCTTTCAGAGGAAGAAAAAATCCCAGTTACGTTTGACAGCATTCATCAAACACATTCAGCCATCCCTATCCCCAAACCTAGCAATCAGATCGCTTTGGACCCTGTCTACGAGCTGGATGCCACACCACCGACACCTTTTACTTTTCAACAGGTGATGGAGCCACTGTTTAGCCAAAAATTCATTATTGCAAACTGGTCTGAAAACTTACCAGATCACATCATCATGACACTGATGCAAAATGCGACTTCCCTTGATGATCTCTTCAGTTTGGCAATTGTCAACCGTCAATTCTACCGTGTCTTTAAAGAGCAAGAGATGTCACTAATCAAGAGCGCCGTTTTCAAGATGTCACCACCTGCCTGGGAGCTGCGCGAGATGAGTCCTCCATGGGACACTGAGGTGCTGCACCGTGATCCAGACGCCCAGGTACCAGAGTATACGCCCACCACCTACTTGGAGCGATATGCCCAGGATATCTATGCATTAGCAAAGCTCAAGTCTATGATGCTGGTTCGATGTGTTCCATTCTTGCGTCATGACACTGTTCGCGGCCTATCGGGCATGGACTACGCCCGTGCCGAAGAGGTCGATGATGCCTTCTGGCGCATCTGGACATTCTGTCGCATTTTCGGTAGCGGCAAGGGTCGCGAGGCAGACCTGGAAGGCCAAGTAGACTGGTTGAAGGGTGGCGCTAAGGCTCGTGCTTTTGCGGGCGCCGCATCAACCATGACAGAGCCCTTTGGCATGAACAAAGTTCTATTTGAGCCGCCAAAGGGATTTGGTCTTGGAAATATTGAGGGCCTGTCGCCAAAGCAGCTTTATGACATGACGGAAATTTGGACCTGCCTGGCAGTTTTGTTGCAGCCTTTGCACGGTAAATGCATTGAGGCTCGTAAGGTGGGCATCTATGACGGCATGGATGTGCCTGAGGGAGATGCGAACAGAGAGCAGACTGTTCTTGGTAAGTTCAAATTACACCCGTACTCAACGCACTATGCTAATCCTTACGAATAGAGGAATGGACATCCTACATTCTCACTCTCGGTATGTCGGCAGTCTTGGTTCTCAGTTCTATCTGTCCCGCAGAGGCCACTCTTGCTACATTCGAGACAGCTCAGGCGGCTGGTCTCACTAAGTGGGAACTGACAGATACTGAGACGACCAGGGCATCCTTCCTGAAGGAAGCTCTTTCTCTTGTCTACGAAGACAATGTCCGTTTTGCCTCCCCTGACACTGCTAGCCCCCACGAGTTATCCTCCGGGGACTCAGAGTCACGCGAGCAGGACCGCGAACGACAATGCGCATTCTCGCTCGAGCTTCGAACCCGTCGGTTGCGAGGAAGCTTCAAGCCTCATGAGCTGGACATCCTACTTGCCGATGAGCGTCCCATGTCTCAATTCAGTACTGTCCTCCACAACCTGAACGGGACCTCCAGTGGACCTGTTCCACCCGTACCAGCGCTGATACTCGATCGTGCATCTACATCCACTTCCAGCACAGCTCCTCGTACCCCTAAACATTCAGCTACATCATCTCAACCATCCAACTCCTCAACATCCTCTCTTGCCCCAGCACCTCTACGACCTCAAATTCAAGACCCAGTTGACCGTGCCATTACACGCATGGTGACAGAACTTGGATTTGACGAAGAAGACGTGAAGTGGGCTCTGAAGATCACCGATACCGGCGAGGGTATCGACGTGAAAGCTGCAGAGCAGCTTCTCATGGAGAAAACGAAACGAGAAATCAACCCATTCGCACCACGAGGAAAGAGGAGCCTGTTACAGTTCCAAGGCTCCCAAGAATCTGGCTGGCGATGGGCCTAAAATGGAACTACTAAAGATTTTAATTATGATATTGCATTAAATAGCGACTTGTTTTTTTGTTCACGTTTTTACGTTTCGGATTCTGTTTCCGCTTCAGCAACTCTGGTTGGCTGAAATTGATATATTTTGGGGATGTTTGACACGTGGCAACGATTGCATAATTGTGAAGAATCTTCTGCAGCTTATAACTATATGAAAGTAATTTGATGTGTAGTATGTGAGAAGTGAAAAGAGCGGTCAATTCTAAAATAGTAAAGGAAACATTTGCAGGACGGGACTCTCTCTTCTTCCTCTCTTCCCCTCTTCCCCTCTTCCTTCTGAGTAGATCAGAAATGCCCTCCACTTAGACTTAGCCAAAGTACCTCGTACTACGTATACTCCGTGCGCTTACCATGATAATTGACAAACCCCACCAATTAGGGCTAAAAGGATTGGATAATACCGCAAGTTCATTACGGAACTGGCAATCCCTTTTCCCCGTCAAGCTAATATAGCTTAAGTTATATAGTCAAGTACAACTTATACTCATTGAGTAAAAGTAAAGAAACACCGTATGTTTTGGTCATTCTAATCAATCATATCTCAGAATTAGGGTTAGTGCGGGGCATACTATCAGAAGCCAAAATAGAAGGAAATAGGCCGCCACTTGTTGAACTGTTCATCTTTAAATCCCTTCAATTTCTCTGATTTCTTGGTTTTATCTGCTTAGATACTGAAATCATGGCCGATCAACACATTGCTGTGGTATGTACTGATATTCTTCATTCTTGTCGTCTTTCTCCTGACAGATAGTAGGACGTCGACGTTTATACCGCCGAGGGTGCCTACTACCCTGATGACTGGCAGTCGTAAGTGTGTGATAGCATTCAATTCGTACATCGCTTCTCACCAGATTAGGGAAACAACCTCCATCGGTTCCTCGATCTATCGAGGTTTGATTGAGAATGGCCGACGGTAAGTATCCTTTTAGAATTCTAAAAAGTCGTTGCTGATCGTGCCACAGATACCAAACACTGAGTAACAAGGAGTATTTGTACGAGAAAAAAAATAATAATGGACAACCTTATATTTCCCTCAGAATCTATCCTCTAACCGCTGATATAGGATCCCTTCCGATGATCAGATGTTCGAGTCCTATGAAGTCGTGTATGCCTGAGCCCGTCTTTATGAATGAAAATAGCTATACTAACAGTCCTAGACATCTATTAACAATGGTTCTGGATTCAGAAAGAGAGAATCCTCTATTCCGGGCCCCTATTGGAAACAACCCGAAGCACATTCTCGATATTGGTACTGGAAAAGGCGTCTGGGCTATGTATGCTCAAATCTAAATCAGTAAAATTGGATTTTGGGACTGACAGCTTGATAGTGATGTCGCCGACATGTTCCCAGAGGGTATGCTACCAACTCCATACCTCTACGCCTGTGCGGAAAGTTGACCAATTCTTAGCGACGGTCCGTGGCGTCGACCTTTTCCCGCCGCCAGTGACCTGGTCGCCGCCCAACTGTGTATTGGAAGTGGACAATATTCTACAAGACTGGACCTGGAAACAGCCCTTCGACCTGATTCACATGCGGATCATGATCGGATCTTTTGATCAAAAGGAGTGGGATCGCGTCTACAAGCAGTGCTACGAGTAAACCATCCCATCCCATTCCTCCTGTAATTAACAAGTATCCTAACGACTTTGCTCATAGCAAACTTCAACCAGGAGGCTGGATTGAACAGATAGAAGCCAGCCCGGTCATCTTGTGTGATGACGGCAGTCTGCCTGCAGATAGTGATAGCGTCCTCAACAACTGGGGCCCTACCATGCTAGCATGTGGCCTGGCAGCTGGACGTGACTGCGATACAGTCGACACAATGGACGCCGCCATGGCCAAGGCCGGATTCGTGGACTTCAACGTCAAGAACTACAAGTGGCCAATTGGACCCTGGCCCCTTGAACAAAAGTTCAAGGAAGCTGGAACTGTCAACTTCCAACATTGGATGATTGGTATGGAAGGGTGGTGTATGTGGCTACTGACAAAGTTCGGCAAGCCTGAGCCGTGGACGAACGAGCAGGTGCGCGTGTATGTGGCTAAGATGCGTGCTGAATTGAAAAACCCACGCTACCACCTTTACCAGCGAGCGTAAGTTTATAGTTATTATCGGCCGTGTGATCGATACTGACTTGTATAGACGACGTGTGTGGGCACGCAAGCCCTTCGATCACGAGCTTTAGACTTCAGCTACCGAGAACACGGCTATCGACGAAGCAGTGAAGATGGATATCATAGATTAGGAGATACAAGTCTCATGGATCTAATGATTCATAAAAGGGCCTATAACCCAATGATATTGAGGGAGATTATTGAAATGGCCGCTTTCGCTTGACTGTAAATATCTATTTCGGCCTGCATTCATTGCATTCATTGCGCCCATTGCCTGGTTTAACGATTTGAAACGGAAGCCATGAGGTCAATTCCCCCAGCGAACATATTTGCAAACTGGTCAAGCTGTAGTATTGAGAAAACTCCAAAATGCAATATCATCGTAATCGTACATGACAGGGTATCCCATCTTCCATCTTATTGTCCCGCAATGATGTTAGATTGCCACGAACCTTCCATTAACATAAAAAACTTTTGTCCAACCCAATTAAATCTGTTGAGCTCATTTAGGCAGCATACCTTCAATGGCCAGGTCATAAAATCTCATAAACGCCTCAGCAGGAGTCCCAGTCTCCTCCTCATCATCACAGTCCTGTCTAAATTTCCGCACTTTCCCAAGGCCGCGCTTGAAACCTTTCTCGGCTGTCCAAGGTCCCCTGCTCTTTTTGCCTTGTGATCTTCCACGAGCAGATGGGCGACCTCGCATAGGCGGCCTGTACCATTCTACCCATTTCTCTTCCTGCGTGGCCTCGTATATTTCTCGTAGCTGGGAGCGAAGTTGCGGGAAACGGTCGAGGAGTTCCTTGAGTTCTGTATATTTATCTATTCCACCAGCGGGGCTCTTGTCCTGCTTGGTGTTTGGCGCTGAGCTAGCTGTAGCTTGGTGACTTTCTCCATTTTGAAATTGAAGTTGACTTGTATCTGAAGGAGGTTGGCTCTCGATTGGTAGGACAGGTTTGGGAGTGCAGTATATCTTATGGGCTTGCGTGCATGCAAGCGAGCAGCTGGTAGTAAATTAATTAAGCAGCTGTTTGAAAAAGTAACTCTGCGCAGCGCGTGGAGAATTGAAGGATTACCTCTTTACTTCACATGTTGGACAGCGATACTTGAAGGGCTCCAAAGAACAGACTTCACAGGAGCCGGACATTCTAAAACTATTCAAGTAGATAGTTTCAGTATAGCGAATATATGGCACGTTGAATTTCCATGTGAATGTGAGAGGGCACTCCAATAGAACGAAATTCTAGCGCTAAATGTTCTACCGAAGATTGCGATAAGGCCTTTGGTGCCTGGAATTCCAGGCAGTATATAATGGGCCCATGTCTCTAGATGCACATCAAAACTGCTCATCAAGCATCGCTGGCTTTCTCTCATCTGACTTCAGGTGAGTTGGGTCATGTATAGTGATATATTTTCAAATATAACAAAGCTATCACCTGATATGGAGCACTAAACCCTTTTACCACCCATAGCCTCCTACCTAAGTATATACTCAGTGTTTCAACAAGTATGAAAAGTTGCCTCCCAATTCTACCATGTTCTCAGTTCAAGCAGTACAGCTAAACAGCTTGAAGTCTTTGACCGGATGCCCTTCACAGAGAGTGTCCGAATATCGGCACATAAACATACTACGGCATTCAAACTAGTTGCCTCTGATTGGACACATGATTTGTCATTCAAATTGTCCATTATCACGTGACCATGGAATTGCGTCAGAGCCTTGGACTTGCGATGTCCAACATTTTATCTTGTGCTGTACATTTTTGATTCAACTCACCCGTGGAAATTCAAAGATGGCAGCAAGCTTATCATCTACAAACATCTTCCGTCGCACAATTTTGAGCGCTCGGTTGGCTGCTCCCGTTTCGAGAGCTGGCAGCCGGTCCATCAGACCCGCGGTACTTGGTTGCAGAAATGTATCAAATGCCGCTCGATTGCCCACCATCACAGCCTCTGAGACTCGTCGCCGACCATCAGTACAGTCACACCAACTGTCCGTGTCCCAGACTGGCATGAACGGCCTGTTGCCCACAAACAAGCGCACTATCTTCATCCAAACCGAGAACACCCCCAATCCCGATGTTAGTGATCATTTCCAATTCAGGCGTACAAATTTTCAATTATGTCACTTCTGACACTTTTCTTTTACCTTTAACTAGGCTTTGAAATTTATCCCCAATCACCGAGTTCTTCCTGAAGAGTTCCCGACTTCTTTCCTCGAATACCTTTCCCCAAGATCAACCATCGCACCCCCTCACCCCTCTCCACTCGCTGCAAAGCTGTTTGATGTTGAAGGTGTCACCTCAGTCTTTTATGGACCAGACTTTATTACAGTGACCAAGTCTGGCGATGTCAACTGGGCTCACATTAAGCCCGAAGTATTCAGTCTCATCACGCAGGCCGTGACTTCGGGAGAGACTATCGTATCAGTAGTCGAAAGCCTTGATGGTGAGAACGGCCAGGGAACAGAGGAAGACTCATTGGCCTACAACGAAGATGACGATGAGGTTGTCGGAATGATCAAGGAGCTGTTGGAGACCCGCATCCGGCCTGCTATCCAAGAGGATGGCGGTGATATTGAGCTCCGGGGATTTGACGACGGTATCGTGAAGTTGAAGCTGCGTGGTGCCTGTAGAACTTGTGATTCCAGCACTGTGACGCTCAAGAATGGTATTGAGTCGATGTTGATGCATTATGTGAGTTTCCTGCTTGTTCGGACCGAGATCTATACTAATGTCTTTCTTTTTTCTAGATTGAGGAGGTTAAGGGCGTCGAACAGGTGATGGATGAAGAAGAAGTGATCTCTATGCATGAATTCTCCAAGTTCGAGGAGAAGTTGCGCCAGCAGAAGGGTGCTGGTGCTGCTGCCAGTAGCTCATTGGACAATGCGCCATAAGGACAGTACCTTTTAGCATATACGAATCTTGTACAATATAAACGCGTGGAACTTTAACCCGCAGTAATTTCAGTTTCGTTAAATATAAACTATACATGGTTGATATATGAACTACCTAGGTAGACTTTGAAGATCTATAGTACCTTTAGTATCTTTTCCCGTTACTGAATTACCGCACATCATGTCAATCAGACAAGTTCCGGCCAATACTTCTGAATAATGACCTTCTTGTTCACCTTGCCCATCGCATTGCGCTCAATGCCATCGACAACCTTCAAAACCGTCGGGACCTTGTATGTAGCCATTTCACTCTTCAGTTTGGCACGCAACTCAGGCAATTCCAGCGGCGCAGTCTAAAAAAGCAATCAGCGGAAAATAAATATATCATAGTCTCGGATTTCGAAAACCTACCCCTTCACGGAACTTGACCACTGCAGCCACTCGTTGGCCCCATTCCTGATCCGCAAGTCCAACAACAGCAACCTCTTGAATGCATTTTAACGAGAGCATCTTGCGCTCCACATCCAAAGCGGATATCTTATATCCACCAGACTTAATCAAATCAACAGATGCACGCCCTTGAATGAAATAAGCGCCCGTAGAGTCCCGTCTTGCCACATCGCCAGTCTTAAACCATCCGTCGTCCGTAAATTCTGCCGCTGTAGCCTCGGGTTTGCGCCAATATTCTCGGAACACGTTGCCACCCTTGATTTCAATCATGCCATCTTCATCGATTCCATCAATGACACGGCCGGTCTCTTTCTCCGTCAAACGGACCTGCACTTCAGGGAGCGGCCAACCAACACTTCCATCGACGCGTTTGTCTAGATCCAACCCACAACTAAGCGCCATACCAATCTCAGTCATCCCATAGCGTTCCAGTAGAATCTGCCCGGTGATTTCAGCGAATTCAGTCTTGATGGGTGTTGGCAGGGCCGCTGACCCACTGACAAGCAGACGCAGGCTGCGCGCACCAGTTCGAGCAGCTTCTTCGTTGCTTGTACCGCGGATGTGGGCATTGAAGTAGTCGTTTAGACGGGAGTACACTGTCGGCACAGCCATGAACAAAGTAGAAGAGCCAGCATCAGACCACCGCTCCCAGACAACCTTTGGATCAAACTTCGGGTGCATTTCGACCGTTGCGCCGCTGAGAAGACTTGCCGTCAAGCCGTTGATAATACCATGGACGTGGTGGAGTGGAAGCACATGAATCAAATGGTCTGACGAGCTATATTCCCAAGCCTTGACGAGAGAAGATGCTTGGAATGTGATGTTTTCATGGGTAGACACGCCTCCTTTAGGATTGCCCGTTGTTCCAGATGTATAGATGATTAGGGCGCGACGGTCGAGAGAGAACGAAGGCGAGAATGTGGGTAGAGTGAGTGAATCGTTGGTGTTAATTGGATCAAGTCCCATGAATGGAAGCTCGGCCTTGATACCCTCGCGTAAGGATGGCCCTATTTTCTCGAATGTTGGGTGAATAATAAGTAGTGACGGATCCGAGTCGCCAATTGCGTATAGAAGCTCCTTGACTGGGTGACTTGTACCTATGGCTATGTTAGTTCACGGTATATCAGGCTTGAATCTGATCGGATGACATACAAAGAGGTACACACACGCCGCCAGATGCCCAGATAGCCCATTGTGTAACAACGTAGTCGTATCCACTGGGGACTAGGAACGCAATGCGCCGCTCGTCTAGATCTACCGTTAATCCTAGAAGATCAAGAATCTTCTTTCGCAGAGTATCGACATCTTCTAGAAGCTGTGTAAATGTGAAGGATTGCTGCTTGGTGGTGTCAATGACAGCAATTTTGCTAGGGTCGCTGCGCGAGTGCTGCTGAGCTGCCAAGAATATAGGAAGTGAGGGGAGCGGCATCGGGAGCGGCGCTTAGGATGTTTGGTATAATACGTCCTGATACGGGGAACGTTCGTCGGCAGTGCAGTAAAATGCACAGGTCAATTCAGATAGGAATTAGGTTTCGGAACTGCACTAACAACAGGGGAATGGAACATAATGGGCTAACCCATCTATACTCGCCAGCTATACTGCCGCCGCTACTCTGACCTCACACCGCCTTCATAAACCATAATACTAACTGCTTCCCCACTATATACAGTCCTTAACTATTGTAGTGGGGATATACAGTAGTATGAAGGAGAAAGCGGTCTGTGACAGCAGAACCGAGTGGTACCATTTATCTAGAAGTTGTGATATTTACTTACAGAATAAACACCCTTTTAGACCTCTTCATTTTTTGACTCCCTCCTTTCATTGAGCTTCCCTCGTGGTTGTGGTTGGTTTTTCTTGGCTGAATCGAGCTGCACTTTCCTACCGTGCTGCCTAGAACGTTCCCCGTTTCATATGGTGACTTACGCAGGTTGCTGAATACGCAGGAAGAATTACGAATGGAGAAATCGCTAGTGAAGTAAGGGAGGAAAAGAAAGAGTTGGGTCATCAGAAAAGTGGCAGACAAGCTTGACCCCGAGAATCCATTTAGGAGCGGCGGTTTAGCTTCAGTTGAAATCAGTAGATGAGTTTTTTTTACCGGACGACTGATTAGGCAAAGATACAGAATGGTCGCGCTGTGCCACGAATGCCTCTAGCTACTACGTTATCTCTTAGCAAGCATGCTAACAGAAACGAGCGAACTACGGGAGCTGGTTTTGATTGGCCCATGGGAACTACATTTTTCAACTTAGATTCGTGTTACTCTTATTTGTCTACCTGTTCATCATCGACCTCTAGCAATATGAGCCCTATTACTCCATCGTCTATACCAACTAGTGCGGACAGCATGTCTCCTGGTGCTGTCCTGCCCTCCTTTAGAGGGTATCGCGAACCAGATCGGATTTAGTCAGAAACGTCTGGCGAAGATGGTCATAAGGAGATTGAGAAACTCCTTAGTCGCCAGTGGCCAAGAGTGCCTGTTAGAACCAACGGAATCTGGTTTACTGCAGTGAATGGACCCGAGATGTGAATAGAACTAATGGAATCGGGCCATATCCGATTCCATCGTTGGAACTTATAATGAACACACATCTTACCGCACACTTACTCTACATATAAATGTAGTAGTAATAGTGCATCGAGATCCCTGTGAACCGACAGTGCCCTATGGCAAGGTACCCCTCTACCACCTAGGTAGGTCCAGTCCCTATTAGAAATGATTGTGAAGTTCCTACTAGAGGATCCTATGTTTACCCAGCCTACAAGACTAGCATAGACGTCTCTCTCTAGTGCGACTATGCCGGAACCAGGGTCTCTAGGAGCTCCCTATTTCGAGGACAAGGATGTGATAGACACCATCAAAAGAATTAAGAAGATGGCGAAGAGAAGGGGAGTTATCGACATAACATTATTCTGTGAATGGTTCCCAGGCTACTGCGAGAAGAGAATTTGGTTTTAGGTAGAGAGTCTAATGGATTAGAAGGGCCGTGAATAGGGAAGCTTTGAGGAAGTGATCAGTGAACGCTATCGGGACCAAGATAGCGAGTATCATAGGTTTACGCGACCAGCATTAGCGACCTTACGAGATCAGTCACACGAGACAGATGACGAGATCCGCTAGTTTCTTACGGAACTCTTTTCAATCTCGCATGTGTTTATGTCTTAGGGTGTTATTGTCACGGTGCCAGCTCAGACGACTACTGATTGATTAGATAGTGCGGGCCACGTGACCCGCAACCTCATGTAAACTCAGAACCTTGTCTGAATGTAGCTCTTCAAGCTACGTCTTCGTCTTAGCCTGCCAGTTAATGCAATACTGTCTGTCCAGTTCTAGTATAATTCTACTCACCTGCCCGCCCCGTGACAGTTATGCCGGAACTCATAAGGTGCGAGTGGCTGTTATAGGGATTACCAACTTGGCATAGCTTTCAACTATCGAAACCTTCCAGTGTCTTCCAATTTTCACTTTGGTCTGAATTATCTAGATAGCCTAATTTGTTTGTAGATATCTCCCAGTATCTCTCAGTAATTAATCTATACATATTTACCCACAAGCCTCGCGGCCACTATGTCTACGCCTTGGAAAGGAGGGGGATAATGTGACGGGTAAATACCCGATAGTATGCCTAGTCCCTTATAGGGACTATTCTTCTAGCTCCTATACAGAGCATATGCACTTACCTTCTTGAATTAGATTCTTGTTTAAAATCGGGTCTCTACAGCGTACCACTTTCTGTATTCATCCCGTAACACATACCTAGTCTTCCATATCGACCTGATAAGATCTACAACAACAGACCTATTACTATCATAAATCGTGGACGATTCACCGCTGGTAGTCAAGGGAGAACTAGAATACGAAGTGAAAGAGATATTATAAGCACGAACAGATAGAATTAGAAGTAGTCAGTGGCACGAAGCATTAGTCAAATGGCGTGGATACGCAGAATTAACATAGGCACCAATCAACTCCGTGGAGCACTGCTAGACATTTTTAAGTTATATTACGGACTAATCACGACATCAAATAGACCACGAAAGAGGTAACTCATCCATCCTCCACTTTTTGACAAATGCTGAGCTATCTACGCCGCCTCTTCCTCTCATATCATCTCTACTTCAATCTTCTTCATTCACTTGATTTCATTTCGTCAACATGACACTATCTCAAGCACAACTGCATTCCTTTCTCTGGTCCCTCTTTCAACATGTTAATAATCTTGAGGCTGACTTCCCTTCTCCTGAAATTCTGCAAGCACTTGAAATCCAAGCATTTCAAGTGTCCTTGGATACGGCGAAATATGAAATTCTGAAATTTAACCCGTGCTTCTTTGAACCTCAACCAGGTAAACTTTTTCAAATGTACCCTTTAAACCCTATGCATCTAGAATGGGACCCGGGAGACTCTATGAAGTTGTCTCATCTTCCTAGCGTACGGGATATCATGGATAGGGCCTTGGAGAAGTACCCCTCTGAAGTCGCACCAATCCTTGAGAATCTTAGAAAAGAGGACCGTTCCGATTTTGATCAAGCACGGGATCCTGAAAGCCTAGTCACTGAGTTAGAGGGTGTTGTCGATACTCACCTACGCGCTTTTAGGCAAGGCCCATTCGAGTACTTCACACTCACTGACCTTAAAAACCAAATAGACTGGTAGTGAGTATACTACAACCTTGGAAAGAAGTCTATGCATGCTCTATATATGTATATTAGACTAAAAACCTTCTTACAGTCCTCCACCCAAAGAAAACGACCCTTCTGATATGGACTTTCCTACTCCCTCAACAATGTGGGAACTGGTTAGTCATTACTGGTACACCGATCACCCTCGCAAACCACATTCGGTCTTATCATGCATATCTACTATTTGTCCCACCAAGACAGGTCGTGGAATCACTACACATGAGCTATGTGTTATCGTATATGCGATGCTTCTTCGAGTGAATCATAAGCCGTTCAGCACATGCCATATTCATCCAGTAAGATCTTTTGCGTGTAATGATGTGATGATGCATATCTAAAAATTATATGTTTTGGTTCTCTCTTGTATGGGTGATAGGCAGGCGAGAATTATTCAAGCTTTATATGATGGAAAGGCACTGGTCTTACAATATTCGCCGATCTGGAGCTTTGAAGACGCAGAAACGGCACCAATGGAATTATTCGTCCGATATGTGTTAAGTGAGCTAGTTGGTGGTGATACCTATACCATTTCAATTAGATAGTCTTCTTTGCTTCCTGATTTAATTAAGGAGTATATCGACCCTTAGCTAGTATCGGTACTGAATTTGAGGAATTTGCAAGCACAAGATGTATCCATGATCGTATGCATACTAGTTATTGATGGCTTTTTGTCTGTTTCTGTGCCAATGGAGAGGTCGAAACAACAAGCTAGAGAAACTTTTCAAATTCCTCCTCAGCCACTTAGGCACCAAATATGTGCCTTAGATCTGATCATGATGTACATACATCACAGCCCTGGAGATGTAGGTCTGCACCTTTGTCGATACCACTAGACCAAAGTGGGGCACAGGGCTAATGAGAAAGAATGGTTACGATGCTGTTGGTCCGACATGGAAGTGAATCTAGCGAGTTTTATCTATTTAGTTACAGCGAGGACAAGATTGAATAACACTCCTCTTACAACTTCGCATCGACGCACCTAGATCTATTCCATCGAGAATACTAGTTGCATATGCACCGTAAGAACGTCACCGCTCCGACAACCTTCCATCTGTAGATGTAAACAATGCGTTCTGGGGAAGGAGCCTGTACACTGCGGTAAACCTCGTCTCGTTCTCATTATTCCAGTACAGGGATTCGGAAGTTGGAATCTGGATATCCCATCCTTTACAATAGGAAAGTGACGTAATATTGGAATCGCCAGCATCTTCTAATGTTGAAATAGCAGGCTTCTTTGCCGATATGAACTAACCAATCACCGAGTTGCTGACATCTTGATCTTGGTCTTGTTGCTGACTGCACTATTGAGGAAGTTGAGTCGCAATTGGCCATGCGACAAAAGTACGTGCCACTCGATTTGGTTACCATAATTTAGAACCTTATGATGCAGGTACAAAGTATCAATTGTGCATCCTAATTCTCGGCCAGAAACCGTCCTGAGATTAGAGATTGTCGCTCTAGTAGCAGGTCGCCTACCTTGTCACTACCTGCCCAGAGCGTCATAATGACGGCCGATCAGATTATGAACACAATTCCCTGCGTCGGTGTTGCAACATCCTCTCGCATTGGTAACTTGCTGGGATCGCGGAATGCAAAGGGTGCCGTTCATTCTGCCCACTCATCCGCTATTCTAGCCGTCTTCTTTAGCGTTTTTTAGCTATTCTGATAAGTACTCGATACCACTTTGCCAAAATCTCCGACAATGACACTCAATTTGTAGAGCTGGTAGCGGACATCATACTCTTGGTGGCCCTATTCCAGATTGCTGATGGAACTAACGGAAGCTGTGGTGGTATTCTTCGAGGTACGAGACGCCAAAATCTCGGTGCTACCGTTGATATAGTGAGTTAATCTTGATTTGCGCTACCTCTGGGCATCTATCCTGCCTTCAATCGTTGAGGAATTCGCGGTTTCTGGATCGTTCAGTGTGTTGCCCTTTACTGTGCTGGTATCTTAGAATGGGTCCTCATAGCTTGCAGTGATTGGGAGTGCACAAAGACTCCAAGCGCATGGACACTGTCGACCTTTTGGAAGCTGGTATTGGGTAGCAAATCGGAGACGAGGAGTGATATGACGGGATTATTTCTATTTTTACAATAGAGGTTCCTAAATAAGTTCCAGCATTCGCAGATCCCATGCCTCCTGTCTATGCCTTAAGTCTTCTAAATGAACTTCCTCTCCGTATGAATGGAAGACTCATCCTTAGCAGGAACCTTGTCAGTCACTTCATTAAGCTTGTCTAACTGATCAAGGGACAAGCGTAGGAAGTCATGCTTGTTCTTCCATTTCACCTGGCTTTCCGGAAAGCCCTCACTTTCAGTAGGAGACGGCGGGGGGTCTGTGATCTTAGTGATGAGATATGCCGTAGAAGCCTCGGCAACACCATACATAAGAACGCCAATGAAAGGTGTCTTCAAAACAATGGTAAAGGCAAAGGCAAAGCCAAATAGAACACCCTCGCGATCACGGAACCAAAGTTTTTTTTGCTCAGGAGTGAACTTGATTCGGCGGAAATATGGTTCGAGCTGGGAAGTTGTCAGATAGGTCCGATTAAAAAATCCCAAGGAATCAAACTCACAAGCTCTCGCATAAGACTACGCGACGAATAGTAGGTATGGAAGAATAGGACAAGATATGCCTTGGGCAAAATGAGGCCTGTACCGAAAATAGCAGCCGCTGGGACGGTGCCAACGTAGTTTTTGAAAGTGTAAAAACTCAAGGCTGGCATTACAAAGCGACCAACCAAGGGGGCCGTAGAGAGCAAGTAAACACCTAGTAGCATTCCCATTTTCTTTCCATACCGGTGGGCGAAAGCCATGAGGGCTTCGGACATGGGCCGGCTAGAGCGGGGGCCCCTAGAGCTCTTGAAAAGGACCAAGTTGGGGTAGTACATAGCACGTAGAGTGTTGGGATCTTCAGACTTGTGCTTGTTGGTGTATGTCTTGTCTACCCACTGAATTGATTCCATGAATCTAGCAGGATAATGAGCTTCAAGCAGGGTTGAATGAGCAGGAGACTTAATACTTACATCTCATCAAGTGTAGGTGTTACGTAGCTCATCAAGGTCATTAACAGGAATGGGACTTGAAGCACAGTTTTGCTCAGGAAGTTTAGGCCACTAAGAAGAGTCTCATCCCAGGTCGAACGATCAAGATTAATAATCCATGACAGTATATACAAACCGAACTTCAAGGCAATTATCTGCAGAAAGTCAGAAGTTTTTCACAAAGAGTAAGAGGGCACGAGACCTACTGGGATCTGAATGATAAGTTGAATAATGACTCCCACAGCTATGGCCAGAGCAGCCTGTCGAAAATGATCATATTTGAAGAGTTCAGGATTTCTCAAGGCTCGCACAGCTATGAAGAGAAGATCAAATCAGTTAGCATTACAACTCGATAGAAGAACGCGGAAGGTATTGTCCTGTCTGCCATTGAAGAGAGCAGCCGTTAACGCATTTAATAGCTATATCTCGCATCTCTTAAATGTACATGATATCAATAGCTATCTGAGTCTCAAACCGCCAAGAGCTCCGATCTTGAATGGCTCAGGGTCGCGCAATGCAAACTTGGGGAAACGTACTTCCTACCACCGTGAGCTGGAAGCCGCGGATGACGGCATTGGGCTCGAAATTTGACATTTGCAAGTCAGTGGACTTTCAAAGCCTTTTGATATTGGTGGAGTTCAATAAAACAAGTTTCATGAATATCAGAAACTTCTGAAAAGTGTTCGCAGAGTGAAGTGTGTAGGCATCCAAATAGAATGTGGACCGTGAGAGTCACCTGACTGTGATGTCAGTGCAAGGCAACAAGGCAATAAGGCCACTATGCGTCCCCGCGCGTTGGGAAAATAAACTGGAGAAAATGCGATAAAGAAAGTTACTAAGAAAACCTTCTAAGCAAACCTTCTCCTTCTTTGTCTCTTCCCCGTCCACTCTCTTTCATGGGTCCCACTCATGTATACCTTCTTGCCTGTCTAGCCTCTTTATAATGCCCGAGTCTCCTAGCGAGTTCTTGGATCTGGATCAGGATCAGATCCAATCTATCCGGCGCTCGGCCACCCTTCCACCCAAGCTAAACCCTCACGCGCAACGTATTTCACCGGCGCCAAATCTTTCGGAAAATGTCATATTCTATCATCCTTCCGCTAAAATCGTCCACTTTGCGCCTAGAGCCCTAGTCCCAATCCCTTCAAGTTCTGCCCCATCCGATTTCGATTACCCCGTTGATACCATTGAGACCCTGCCTTGGCGCTCTGCTGCAGAGCGGACTGTCGCAACCGCTCCTCTGAGGCTGGAAAGGATCCATGGAATTACAGCATTCCTAAAATGTGGAAACGTTGTTCACGCCATTTTGAAAAACTCCCAGTGCTGGTGTGTAGATGGGGTGTCCAAGTTTGTCTTGCGCATTCGCCCACTTACCTACTACCGCATAGAGCTGCCACATGAGACTGAAGACAATCAAAAACTGGTGGGGGATTTGAAGACTGCGTTACCTACAGTTCTGCGATATGAGGTCACGCCATGTCCCTTCAAACGTGCGTTTACGGTTGATCTCCCCGAGTATGCAACAGCACCCAGGCGCAAGAAAGCATGGCAACCCAAACGGAAATCCTTGGTCACAGGGAGGAGCCAAGCTTCCCTTGCAGAAATAAAACTGGAATTTCCGGAGTATGGCAGTGCGGGAGAGGATACCGATGGCACCACTACGGACGAAAGTATAGTGACCTACTTCGGAGCCAATAGCAAAAAATCCGAAACGTTTGCTGCTGATGATTTATCCCCATCTACTTCTAGCGCATGTGAATTTCCGAAGATCAAACCTCTTAAACGATCAGTGACAGACACACCCCAGACTTTTACCAGCTTGCGAGCCAAATTTGATGCGACCCCTGTTCGGCAGAGCGAGGCAGTTGCCGAGATTTCTTCTGTCCTAGAATCACGCACTGAACCGACATCCGAGTTTGAATCGGAAAAGCTCGAGCTCGACGCTATTGTCGAAGCCGAAGCTGAATCTGAACGCAAATCTCAGCCTGTATCTGAGACTAAGCCACATGTCATGCTTCAATCTGAAAACGAAAGTAAATCTAAGCCGGAGGTTATCGTGAAAGCGGCCGTTGCATCCATAGACGAAGCGACCGCTGGGATTCCGTTTCTGGATGGAATAAACGGCGGTGTTGAAGCTGAGATGGACAGTCTTGCTGTTACTAATCTATCCGAGGCCGACCATCCTCGAGTATGTGATGAATTTAGAACAACTAGCCCCGCTTTGGAAGCGACTTACGAGCCCAACTTGAAGGTAGAGGCTAATGCTAAAACGGCTAGCACTCCACCTAGAACTGGAGCCATGACCAAGTTGAACCTTGAAATTGGTCACCAAATCAAGTTGGAGGACATCAAATTGGAGGAGGGCATATCCAGAGTGGATACCAAACCCCAAGCTGATAACTACATCTCGGTAGCATCCAGCCCCGATTCATTTCATTCTGCTGGTTCCCCCTCTCGATCAACTTCTGTGTTGGATCTCGCTACTCCCGTGGAATACGATGACTGGGCCCAGAAGCATTATGAAACTAGTTCAGCATCGTCTACAATACCACTTTCTGGAGACAGTCAGCTGTCTTTGACTCAAAATCTTGAAGCTCCTTGTCATAGCGTTTCGGACAAGCCATATCCAACCCGAGAATGCATCTCAACGTCTTCTCTCAGCATCCCTTCGAGCAATCAGATGTCACAGAAAGATACATCTCTAGAGACATCTCCCACCACAGATTTTACCCACATGAGTGTCGAGTTCCGTCGGCGAAATCGAGCAACACGAACACGGGATTTCTCCCCGATGCCGCCCATTTCCACTTTATACAGGCCGCCATCACCAACTAAGGAGGCTGTATCAATGGTCTCCAAAGCGCTAACCCTTGTTCTGGTGCCACCGATCTCTCTTTTTATAATATTAATGCACATTGCCGCGCGCATTGTCATTAACCAAACCAGCAACTCTAACTTCGAGTCGAGCTCGAAATTTCAGCCTCTTAAATCGCCTCTTATCGATGATTTCAGCTTCCCCTTGGAGCGCGAATCTTCTGAATATGAGAATGCAGAAATATCCAAGAAATCAGATCCTTGGGATCTCGATTAAATCTATTTCTCCCACTTATGTCCTTTCCTCTTTTCTGTCTGATTAGTACTTATTTAATGTGTACTCCTTCTTGCATGTGCCACCACGATTTGCCATTCTCCTTTCTCCTTGCGTTTTTATCATTTTCATTCTTACGAACCCTCCCATACTAACTTACATGATGAACGGCGGGGCGATGTGTATAATGGGTTCTGGTTTTTTCTTCCTGGGTTTCCCCCCATTCTAGCGCTGCATATACCCCGTTGGGATAGGACTAGCCCATACTATCAGTACGCCCATTATTAGGTCGCTATATTTCTTAATTCATATATCAAACATCTCACAGCTATTCTTGATCTTGAATCCTTAGTACTGTAATTCAACTGGATGAAGGGATATCAATTTGAAAGCTAGTCTTCGCAAAACGCCAGCAAGGGATATAAAAACAGAAAATTGTCAGTCCCAGGCCATCCACCCAACAGATCCCCCAATAGCGACGATCATCATTAATGTCAGGATGCCGGCGCCAGCTCTATCGGCAGTTGTGATGGCATATGAAAGAGCATGGGGCTTCGGCTGCTGAGGCATGCCACCGGCACTAGGGTTACCTTTGCTAGTGCCGCCGTTGTCACTGGTAACAGGTGGATCAACGCGAGTAATCAAATTACTCTGAATAACTTCCAGAGCAGCCATTTGCTGTCCAAAGTCTTTCGTGCTGTCCCATTTCTGATCAGTCCATTTGAGACCACATGTTGTCCCTGCCTCTCCGCCACTGCAAGACTTAGCAGCTGCAGAGGCGGACGCCTTGAGTTTGGGCATAATCAAGTCGTAAGTGAACGGTGCTACCTGAGTCGTGGCGGCCATCCATCGGGCTAGATAACCTTTGAAAGATCGCTGATCAACCATGCAAGTATTGACGGTCTCACAGGCACGTTCAAGCAAGACGTCCTTCTCAAAGAATATATCTGCTGCCTTTAGTGTTTTCGTGATGCGATCTTTCCATTTGGGATCTTCCGTCTGTTGTCCGTGTTAGAAGAAATTCTCAGTATCGCATCTTGGCTGGTATAAAACTCACCACATTCCACATATTTGCTGCTCCTAGCAGGAAAACACCAGTATTATACGTCCATTCGATCTTGTTCATGTCCGTACAATTAGATAAATCACTCGCGCCATCCCAGAAGTGGTACTCGGGAGTCATGAAGCCGACGTCATACGTCCAATCCCACGCTTTCTCAGCCCATTCCGTATACGTATTGTTGCCAGTATACCTCGCCAAGCGTGCAGCCAAATTGAAAAACCCGCCAGTAGATATTGTGTTCTTGTAGGTGTATCCATTGTTCCATGTAAAAATCTGCCATCGCAAACCTCCACCGCATGTCGAAGTATCCCACCGCGCGGCCTGGGTATTGAATGTTGCTTGAGCCATTTCCAACCATTGTGGTTGACTACTTGGGGGATTGGGAAAGTTGCGCTCTGCGGCAGACATAGCTGCGAATCCCCAAAAGGCTTGATCGTCATTTCCTTCTGTCTTGGTCTGATTGTTTGGCATGAACGCTGCGTTGGGTCCAGCTTGCCAGAGTAGTCCTTGTGTGGTGATATTATTCCATGTGTCGTCGCCAGTGAAATACCAGTAGTCAATCAAGCTGTTGAACATCGCTCCAGCTTCCCACCAGTAGTATGGATCTGGAAGGTTACCGGGGTTATCTCCGGGGTTCATGCCAGTATAATAGGTCATCATATTTGTGGCGACTGCCTTCGCGGCCTTTTTGAGGGAATCTATGAGCCTAAGTTAGAGATCGTATCAGATATGCGCGCCGGCTAACTGACCTCCACTTTCAATATCCAATTCTACAGCCCATGTTGTTCTTGAGGCTCCAAGAAGAGCCATCGTCAACAATCCACCCCATGATGGGCGAGATGCTTGGCCTATTACGAGCATGACCGGCAGTATAGCAGTTTTCTTAGCCAAGATATGTAGAGTTATGCCAGTAATGAGCTTCTCCAAGTTGATAGGTGCTCAGAGTGCTCAATAACATCAATTGATCATCAAACACCGATGGATTCAATAGGTGTTCACTGTTCAATTCACTATCAAATTGACAAGACAAAGCCGTGAACAAGAAGATGAAGAAGATTCAAGGATCCAACTTAGACCCTGTGGGGATAATTGAGCCAAACTGATCACATTCCAATTCCTTTTTTACTGGTATGGTAACAAGGCGTGTATCCCTCGACTCCCTTCATCAGGAGTGTAGAGCCAACTGCAAAGAGCATATTCCCAAGGGTAAGTCGTATGATTCACAGAAACAGGTGTTAAAATGGCAGAATTGTAACCCTGGGTCTTTCAGATACCATGGTTCCAATGGTTCAGTTAGACCCCGTTCCATGATGAGGATCGTTGTGGAATGCGGGCAGGGAGCTGTCAAGTCTCCTGCACAATCGTCTGGGTTAAAACTGGAGTCTCTATCCCTCAATTGACCCAATCATTTACTACTATCTGAATTGACAGGGCGGCGGAAGCTCTGGCTGCAAGCGAGCTTACTGAGCAAGTTGTTACATTGGGATGTTGTTGTAACCTTTATCCCTTTCCGGTAGAAGAGAATGGTTCTCCTTGGGCCTGCGCTGCGGCCCGCCTTGGTACCTGAATAGCGTGTCTAGAAAGTGCCAGGACCTCAGGAACAATGTCCCTGTCTTGATAGATAAGTTCAAGGGACATTGTGGGGCATCGATTCATGTCTTGTGGAAGAATGAGTGATGAACTGTGTCCACAGGTGGAACGAACCCATTCTTTTCAGGTATAGTCGTTACTGAGTTGGATATTTTGTAGATTTTCAAAATAGTAGAAGAATCGTGTTAAAAATAGTGCATCCCTGTTGAAATCACCCAACTATCTAAGAGAATACATACATGCGAACAAAGGGTAAAAAGTCAAGAACGAAAACAATGTATGAAAGGTATCCCAAAAACGCCACACTTCCTGAATATCTTCAATCCCGAAATGCTACAAGAACCAGACTTTTCAGCAAGTCAATATGCCAAATATCATTAAGAAGACAATCTAGCTTGAGTGCGATTTCTTGATACGCTGGCTACCCTCGTAGAATCCGCGGTCCAAGGCTGCAGCGACCGTCAAAGTACCACCAATGATCGCGCAAACGCCAGTCAGGAAGCCAACGAAGGTCTTGGGCCGAGTCTCGCGGTTGACCACCTTCATGGGGGAAATGTCGTAGTTGAAGAAAACGCCTGGAATACCGCCAGCGGCGTGCATGCGCTCATCGTGGCCGTCAGCGGCATCGGTACCGCCCATCAGTGAGCGCTTGTGTGAAGTAACAGAGTACTGATGGGCCTCAATGCTACCTTGAGAGCCATACGCAAGACCATGGGAGCCAAGAGGGGCCTTGTCATAGGCGCTGTGGATGGCAGATGAGAATGACGGATCCCAGCCAAGAGGGAGATAGGAGGTCGAGACAACCTTGACGAAGTACATGAAGTTGTATGCAGGCTCAGCGGTTATTTGCTCCGTATCGTCAAGCGGGTTGGTGTGATGGTGATCACTCCACTGCCACCGGCTAGCTAGTTCAGCAGGGAGCTGAGGTCCAAATCGAAGCTCGTGGATCTGGTGGGTCATTGTGTGCTGGTCCTCTGCTGATTGGCCCGGCAGGAAGTAGTTCTCGAGATCGTGCGCATGCATGTTCATGTTCGTGAAGCTGCGGCCTGGTGCGATGTGGAAATTGCCAACCACCTTGTTTACGCGCAGTACACCCTCGACACGGCAGCCCTCTCGTCGCTGTGCTGTTAGTCGCTCTCCATATCCTTCGCGAGTGCACTGCTCTACGTTCTCTCCGATACCAAATGCCCATTGCTTATTCGCATAAGCCTCTCGAACCTCGTCACAGGTCGAACAGCAACCCGGCTTGATGGCGTTTTCTGGTGATGGGGCTCCGTAGCAATCACCACAGTAATCAGGATCCAGATGTTGGGCAGCGTCTTGAGGAGAGTGTCTAGAAAACGAGGTAACATGGTGTCAGCTTGATTCCATTGGATTTTTGCTGCGCAAAAGATCAAAATATTATAATTGGATATGTAAACTTACAAATCCAGAGATTGGACTTCAATGACTTTACTACCATCGGCAACAGAACTCAGGCGAACTTTGTTTACACCATGCGCGACACCAACCTGCTGTTCTCCCGAGACATCCATGACATCCAGAGTCAAAAGCTCACAGGGCAGTCGCGGGAAAGTCATGTTTAGATGAATCTCCATTCTCTCGCCTATTCAGTTCGGTCGTCCATGTCAGTAATGCCGTCTCTACCACTTGAGCGCAAACTGTCCGATAATTCTTACCTCTCGACTTGTCAACAATGAGCTCCGGCTGTACAACGATTCGGCGATAATCTGCCCATTCTCCAAACACTAGCCATAGCACCACTAGCAATGAGGCGACAGTGATAATGCCACCAGAGTTGGTCCGAATGCGGGCATCCTCGACGGTTTTGGCGAAGGCGTCTAGTCTCGTGAATCGCGACTTTGAGGACATTTCGCCGATGGGCCGACGAACATATATATATCAACACCTCACGGAAAAATGAAAGAGAGAGTAGGAAGCGCAATTGACTGGAGAAAGAGAAGATGAAACAGTCAGCGATGAACACGCGGGCGGAGGAGCTTCGTAAATGGGGGCGGCTGAATCAGATAGATGGATGGATACTTACGTGAATTAAGGTCAATTGGAAATTAATCCAGTCAATTCGGATCAATTCCGTTTAAGATCTGAGTTTTACGCGTATCAGTCAATGAGGGCGTGCGACAACCTTGCTCAAGGGTAATCTGGTCAATATTATCTAGATAGTGCATACGCATTACTCCATTGAAAGGACAGAAGACACTCTGTGATTGGTGGAACTCAGTGCTGACTAATATATCACATGACTCTGATCTATATCGCTAACTATTTCTATTTCTGCCATCACAACATTTGAACCTTGGAATACTTACTAGTAGTTTTAGAATGAATTGGTTTGGCTCACGGGTAAGCCAGCTTTCTAAGGTCTACATTTAATCACGCTTTTAAACGTTGCCTTTGATCATGCCAGTATAACATCGACACCTCGGAAATGGATGACTTCGTACCTAGGTAGCGATATATTTTCCTCCTGGGCAGTGATCATTCATGAATGCCTAGGTAAGCACAATAGGTCAGAGGCATATTAATGGGGATGGAGCAGAGGTACTACCTACTTATGAAGAAGGAGATCTGATTCTTGAACAGCATAAATCTCGTCAATCTTCTCTCGAGAGGATTTACATGCAAAATCCTCATTAACACGACTAACAAACCGCTCGACAAACCCATGCGCCACCTCATCGACACTGATCCCTCGCACACCAACGCCTTCCAAGCTCGTCGCTTCTCGCCCGTCCAACCCACAAGGAACAATTTGCTTGAAAAACCACATCGGCTCCTCGGTAACATTCAGCCCGACACCAAAGCTACTAATATTACGACGGAGATGCACACCGACTGCAGTGATCTTTTTCGGAAGCTGATCCGCGGGCAGAGATGGGTCGTTAACCCAGACGCCTGGATCTTCCGTGACGAAACCATTTACTCCGTAACTTTTGAGTAGATCGATCACACTATTTTCTAGAACGCGGATGTGACACCGGGGAGAGAGTCCTAAACGTCGGAGATCTAGGATTGTGTATGCGACCATCTGGCCGGGGCCGTGGTATGTTGTTTGACCCCCGCGTAGTGTAGGATGGTATTCTGCCTTGGAGCCATTAGATCCGTCTGGTGTCAGAATTGACCGAATGGGCTCAAGGGGAGGTGGCAATGATATGTTGACGAGGGATGGAGGTGATGTGTTTGACGGTGGCAAGTCGCGGCGGCCTGTTGTATACACGGGATTCGGAGTGAACGTAATAATTGTGGAATCTGGGGGTGGTGGGTAGGCATTTGAGGGTAATCGGCCGGTTGTAGATATTTCTTGTGAGGATATTGAGCCTGGTGAGGCAATCTTTTTGTGAGTGAGGAGGCGGGTTGTGAGGGCTTGTTGAATTTCGGATACCCGCACAAATGGAGTCGTGTTAGGGAGATGTAGGTGAGCGAGCCTCATGGTGGCTGGGTTATATAGGTTAATGTGGGTTGAGATTAAGATTGAGGTCCCAGTTGTGAAGTTAAGAAACTAATAGGATTTTAGGTTTGCGGAGAAGCTGCGAGTCAGATGATAAGCGGATAACGCTTAGATTCAAAGACCAATAAGTCTGAAACACCCGCTGTCAGTATTTACTCTATAATAGGTTTCAGACTTAAACCCATTGTCCGCATTTTATCTCTCTTTCTCTCGCTCTCGATTTATGCTATAGTGCAGGAGAATTTGACACAAAATCAAATTCATTTAATCCTAATCTATGTACTCACTTAAATAACAGTATCCTTTCTGTTTTAATTAGGAGTTTCAAACTACACCCCGTTGACTAGCTGCTCCTGCTCTGACGTAGGAAGCAAGACCCAGTCCCGAACTCCACCCTTCCAGTCTGCAATGCGACCCTCACGAACTTGTACAATGACTACGCGAACATCATCGTCAATAGCCAGGCTAGGCCGACGCTGACTTGGGTCCTGGGGCTGTCGTTGACCAAACATACTGATCTCTTCCTCGTCAAAGGTATTGTTCTCGAGATGCCGTTCCTTACACCAATCTTCTTCCTCCGAACCGGGCTCCAGGAACCGTGCGTTACCGGTAATAGTAGTGGAGATACTGGAAAGAGCACTAGTGTTCAGATTGAGCAACATGGTGGCCAACGATGACCGGCTGGCAGCAGGCGGGGGAGACCCATCACGTCCACCAGGGTTCGGAGTCCGGGTTGGTGGGCGATGAGAGACCCAGTCGTGGACCAAGAGCGATACACGCGGGTTGGAAAGTAGGTGGTTGGTTTTGCGCGATGTGGGGTTCGTGGTCATGATGATGGTGGGGTACGGATCGTAGGGGGTCGAGGGAAGGTAGGTGTAGGACATAAGGGAGATATGGGGAGTAAGATCATTATCACATGTGGCCAGATGGAGCTAATTATGAGGAGAGGATTAGTATATTGGTGATTGGGAGTGGCTTGGAAGCTCGCATACGAAACGAGAGTTCTTCAGGCATTGGACAACCTCTGATGGCAGAGAGGTAGCTTCATGCTGATGAGTTGTACTGGCCGAAGCCTCGTAGGAGAGCGGTGGATTGAGAGAGTCAGCCATCGTGAATGCGCGGTGATATACCCAGGTAGATGATGATACAAGGTGGGATGGTGAAGATCTGCCGGGCGGTCGGAGGGGATTAGTTATCATCGACGTCATGACAGGATTGGTCAATACGAGTTCAGCTCCAAACATCAATTATTTGCTGAAAATAAAGAGATTTATTAAAAAGCCAATATTCAGTCACTAAATATGTCATAATCTGAATTAAAAATGCTCAAGATAGAAGAACATCCTCCAGTTCCAAAGTTGAGATGCAGGATATGTACATGGAAGCAGAAATTGGACACAGAAAAGATACTGTTTATGATAGTCAACCCTAGAAGAGACTGAAAATATGGGGATATTTCAAATTGACTCTGACCAAGAAGGCTGGTTGAAGTTGGGAAGGCACTTGACCATGCCAGGAGGGGCCACTTTCCACTTCACCTTTTCCTCCTTATGCATCACCGACATTGTGACATTGACATGATCGCTTACATGCCCTCGAACATACTTGGTTCCCACAGCCTCCTTATCCGAGTAAGCAACATTGACAGAAGGGATAGCAAGAATCTTTCCAAGCTTCAAACGATATAGATCCTTGCCCAATAGTGTGGGCTCACCCATGTAGCATTCACCTTCTTCGGATGAACGGAACTTGATAGTGTCTTCTGCAAATGAGACCGCATCCAAGGTGACCATACCACCCCAGCAAGAGTAAACCTGCACAGGCTGAAATGCTTCGTACCGACTCTTACTCTCTGGATCATCAAAGAACATGTCCTTGCTGTAGTCCCATGACCCGTCGTGTGGCACTTCAAAGAAGGTATTCCCGACTAACGACCGTGAAACCCAAGAATCGTAAAACAGCGTTCCGTTAAAGATCCAGTCAAAAGCGCACGTCATGTGCGCTTCCTGATTGACATGTTGAAACACCAACTCCAAAATATCTTCCGGGCATAAAGCGATGTCGTTGATGAATATGATTACAGCTTCGGGCGAGTACATGTCTGCCAACTCTGGCATAAGACCAGAGGGACCTTGGGCCTTCAATGGGTCCAGAGCCTTGTTTCGCAGTTTTGACAGAGCCTCAATGCGGTTCAATTTGCCATTCAATGGATTGATTGTGCTAGTCGAGAGGAAGACATGCGCACCCATGACCTCTACGCGTGACTTCAGGGCTGCGAGGATTTCGTATGTTCCATCTTCGGATCGACCCTCGACAATGGAGATGGCGCAGTGTTCCGGGCCTAGGAATCGGATCGCCTCGATAATACTGCTGAATAATCGTGGAATAATCGCGGCTGACTGGTATAGATCCAGCGCAAAGAAATATCGAATTTGTCCATTACCACTGGCGGTAGCCTGTAGCTCCTTGTATCGGTTTCCAATATTTACTGGACATGGAACTTGCTCAAATGAAGTGTCTTTGTAATCCAAGATAGCATGAAGATATTTCTCCAACTCCTCCTGTGAAACATGGGTTGTGGGCTGAGGCGATTCGGAGCTTGTTGTCGTAGTCGTCTGTGACCATTCGGGCCATGGTTCTTGGTCATCCCAACCAGAGTTCCATTCTAGTGCTGATGTGGGACTTGGAGCTTTTACTAATTCATTCTCCGTTGTTGTCGCCTGATATCCAGATTCCGGTTCAGTGGGATCCGTATCATACAGTTCCGCCTCATTTTCGGGGTCATAATTTGGCACTGGTGGTAGGCTTCCGTCAAAAAGGTCTATACCAGAATGTTTTCCCCAGTCTATCTGAAGTACACGCAGCCTGGATGTCAGGAACCATAGCCCGAAAGCAATAGTAGCTGCCGCCGTCAAGAACTGGTAGTGTCTCGGCCTCACCATGACGAGCGCCTCTCAACAGATAATAGACGCAATCAATATAGGGAACAAGCGACCCCTCTTCAAATTCTAGATGCTGGTTCTTAAAGGTGAGCAGGGAGGGAAAGGATATCCCCCCGGGGCCTAAAGAAAGATGCTCATGAGCTGTTTACCGCATTCAGCGTGCTTAGCCTCACTAGGCTGCACTATCTACAAATAACCATGATCAGAATTCACCGGATCAGGGATATGTTTTGGAGCATCCATCAGCTTCGAGATTTCGAAGAGCGTTATGGCCGAAGATGGTTGTGGCATTCCAATGGACATCCGAAAACGGTAACTTGCCCCCTATTCAAGGTGATTTGCGTTAGAATTGATCCAACATAAGAGATAGAAATACATCAACAGTTAAATGGCGTATGATTGACAACGTAAATACCTTCTAGTTGAGATTTAAAATGGTGATCAAGTAGACCAGAATCATCATATCAAATGCAATCACAATGGACCAGGTTCGTCCAGGAGGTGGCTTAAACTTAACTTTTTATGCATCAGCCACATTCCTGCTTTAAACCCGTCAGCATAATCCATAGATCAAAGATTTGTAACATTTCGTGTACATGCATGGATAGATCTTGATAAAAGTTAGGTAAAACGAGGATTTAAGAAAAGACTTGTGGGGGCTAACCATCCTTTTACCCCCCTACCTTAAGATCCTCCAAATTCAACCCACCAAATATTTTAGAACTCACCAATGGCATCCGATCGCGGTAAAGTACCAAAAAGACTTGCTATGCGTGCTGCACCAAGTAACCCTGCCTCACGTCAAGCAGCTCAACCAGCCGGAGATTTCTTGTGGGTGAACCACGAAGAAAACTCTCAAGATGCCTCATCTCGGGCCAAACAAGCCTTCATACGCAAGAGATATCATCGACTAAAGAAAGAAACAGAGCAGGAGAAGTTCAAGACTTCTGTAACCCCTCCTTTCACCAAAGTCTCCAAAAGCTCTAAGTCCTCAATTGCCGCAGTTTCCGACCGTTGCGAAAAGAGCCAACGACCAGGGTCGATCAAATCTGAACTTCTAGTATATCAACCGGCGGAAACAGGCATTGTAAAGGCCTTTCCTTCTCTATCATTGTCCACGGATAAATCTATGGACTACTATCTCCGTCATTGTCAGTATTGATGGAGTGTATTGCCTCCTTAATTTTGCCCCGCATTTAAATATTCACTATCTAACCATTCTGACAGACTGTCATTTCGTCTCCAAAGCATGCTACCCATTAAGCTCAACCGATATGACCAGCTGGATGATTAAGAAGGCAATTAATCAACCAGCGTTGATAGAGGCGATGCTATTAATGAGCGCTTCCAGCCGAACTACGGGTCTGTGGGTGCGGGGGGCCCCTTCACATATTGTGCATCGATCTGCCCACGATGCACTCCGGCTGCGTTCAAGAACTTTCAGATCACTTCAAAATATATTACAAAGCCCCAAGGAGGTTTACTCGGAGTTGACCATCCTAGTGGTAACCCATTTGCTTTGCATTGAGGTAAAGTTTGAGATAATATGAACATCCTGCGCTTGCTGACCTTGATCTATAGGGCTCGGAAGGTAACGTACCTGCAGTCGAGGCTCATGCAGAAGGTCTCAAGAAGATCATACATGCAATGGGAGGGCTAGAAGTTTTTTCACAGCATACTCTTTCCACAATATATTGGTAAGATTTACCAGTTCCTTCTAGAAGAGAATCTCTCTAACTATTGGCAGTTGCGATCTTGTAATTGGACTTCTGAAGCAAGGACCTCCCACATTTGAAATTTGCGAGAAATGGGAGCATAGAGTCCTAACAAAGTCCATAATTGCCGAGGCGAGTCGTCTCTGCAATAAATCCTGTCCGATCGGGAACCGATTTTTCGACTCGGCATGGTCTGCAGACATACGTCCAGAACTTCAAAGCATTATCAAGTCATTCCAACAACTGATTCTTCTATTCGAGGCCATCTGCGAGGCGGATCGCCGTCTTATGGCAGTAGAGAATGATTATTTACTGCTCTTGGTCCATCGATTATCTTCTATGCCTTACGAATACTCGTTGAAACCTTTGGACGAAGTCATCCGAGTGTCTATTTTGCTATATTCTTCCGTCCGGATATGGGGGTTCCGAGGGAAGCCATGCATGGAATATGCTATTGAAGGCGTTCGGTACAGTTTGGAAGTGGGTATTTCACTTCTTGAGGAGACTGCCCCCGAGCTCTTATTTTGGATGTATTTCTTGGGTGCTCTCGGAACTACAGGGTTAAGATGTCACCAATGGTTGGTATCAGGTCTGCAGAGCTTTGCGAGGCGACTTTGTGTGGAAGATTGGGCTAGTGCATTGCCAATTCTACAGGGATATTTCTTTGTGTCTCGACACAGAGAAATTGGAAAAGAGTTCTGGGAATCGTTGTTTGGAACTGCAGTGGAATATATTGAAGAATAATACAGAGAGTAGAAGCAGATGTGAAGCTTTTCAAATGCCAGGTCTTGTTGTCACGTAATGTCATGATAGAACAAAGAAAAACATATGTCGATTACCCGACTGTAGATCACGTCTCTTAGTACCTATCATTCTTTAGTTCGCCGTTCAAATATTATGATGAACCAAGCTGCACATAAGAATAAGACGAAAAGGATGATCGGCTCCGATTAGAAGTTCCTAGGCACTCCAGCAAACCTCAAAATTGTGGTAATCTGTACAGCAATGTTGCGAATGCCTTTATGGGGCTTGTTGACAGCTTCAATGATAAACCATGGAGAGAAATTCTTGAGCTCCAGTCTTCTTTCAAAGGCCTCTCTCCGAAAATATTCACAGATCTGTATTCGCCCATTGAACCTTCAGCAACATAAGCCCTCCAGCCCTCGAGAAAGCGAGAAACAGCCGCTTAGATGGCAAGGATATTGTTGAAAGAATTTTTCTGGATTTTATGACTAGGCATGATAATTATACAGACATGCCTGAATAAAAACCATTGAATGTGGAAGGTATTTAGTTAATTTGTCGATACCCAAATAAACATAATGGTTGTTGATTTTCATGGATCAAGGGGGTCAATAAGCCGCTTCTAGTGTTGATGTATCAACCTTGGAATCCCTAATTTGTACCTAGGTAACATTTTTCATGGATTCCTTGCGTTACTTCTAAGGTTAGCTGTTTGTAGATCTCTACTAACATAGGCATACCTATCTACATAAATATCTAGGTAGCTAGACTCCCTTACCTACATATTTCGAAGGCAACTTGTGACCAGTGGAATGTTTCATCAATTATACAATTATGACGGTCAACATTATAGCCCCCAGAGCTTTAGCAACGTCCATACAGGACGAGGAATACTCTCCCTTCGGCATCGTAAACTTGCCAACTAAAAAGTGGTGATAGCCATTGAATAGAGAAAGATAGCCTTGTGAGTAAAGTCCTGACTATAAAATGTGAATAGCTTGAATTCCCTGATTACAAAAGTAAGACCTGGAATGAGAACCTGTTGAGGGACTTCCGGATACTCTGACGATGATATAACATGAAGATTAGGTCCACGTGTAATTTCTCGGTACCTAGGTAGGTATGTAGGTATGATGGCTCTCGAATTCTCATTTCAAGAAAGGTAGTTTCGAGAAGACTGACTGACCAGAATGAAACATCTAGTACAAAATAGGTATTTGACGTCAGATTGTAGTGCTCACTTTAGTAGGTACTCCGTCAATGCGGGCTATTCTCGTCCATATCTTACCCTCCGTACATGGCTTATTTACGAGATGACACAAGAGCTCCAGAGGTCAGTTTCGAGGTCTATAACTCATCTCATTTTGGCATTTTGTATACAATAATTGAAGGCAGCCGAGAGCCGATGCGTAACTCAGTGGAGTGATCACGCCATACAGGAGCGTTACACTAGGACATTCCGATTTCGAGGGATAATGGACGATTCAATTAAGGAGTAGCTACGATAAGTTCAAGATTAGTTAGCTAATCTGCTTGGATGTCAATGAAAGAAGCTCTACTAGAGATGTGACGAGCAATGATTATACTCCGTAGCGCGAGGGGTAAATAGTTAGCTTCCCCGCGTTATCAAGTTGGATCAGATCCACATAATCCACTTTCTCTTGCAGCCGAGGGCCGATTGACGACGATGAATAGTTAAAGATTGTATGATAACGCGTAGTGCTAAACTGCATAGTTTTTGTTTGTTTTTGTATAAATGTTCTCTCTCTCCTCTTCCTCCCCTTGTTATTTGACCTTCTCTGTTCTCATTTCTTAGAACCCTTAATCTATAATCATGGCGAAACGTCCCAATTTCTTAGTTATCGTCGCCGATGACTTGGGATTCTCTGATGTGGGATGTTTCGGTGGAGAGATTCGTACTCCCAACGTCGATCAGATTGCTAAAGAGGGATTGAGATTCACGGATTTTCATGCTGCGGCAGCATGCTCGTAAGTATGATTTTGAATTTCCTAGATAGCGATAGCTAATATATTTATTGGATGTCAGTCCCACCCGTGCTATGATCATGACTGGTACAGATCATCACATAGCAGGCCTCGGTAATCTGATCGAATGGACAAATATCTCTGGTCAAAACGGGCCCAAAGGCTCAGCCATGAGTACCGCACCACAACGAGGAATGCCCGGATATGAGGGATATCTAAATGAGAGGGTCGTTGCGTTGCCAGAGCTCCTACAGGATGCAGGATATCATACTGTCATGTCAGGCAAATGGCACCTGGGCCTAACTCCAGAGCGATCACCAAAGAAGCGAGGGTTTACCAGATCCTTTGCCCATCTCCCTGCATGTTCGAACCATTATGCCTTTGAACCGGAGCTTCGCGACGAGGATCTGATCCCCACATTCATTGAAGCGAGCTACATCGGTCTGCACATGGAAGATGGAGAGTATGTGCGTTATCTTCCAGAGGGCTGGTACTCTTCCAACGGATATGGTGATAAAATGATCGATTACCTGCGCGAGTGGAAGAAATCCGGCGGCAGTGAAGGTCCAGATGGAAAGGGAGATCGCCCTTTCTTTGGCTATCTACCCTTTACAGCACCACATTGGCCTTTACAGGCACCACGCGAATATATCGATCACTATCGTGGTGTCTACGACGAAGGTCCCGATATACTGCGTCAGAAGCGACTGCAGCGTCTGAAGGATCTAGGAATGATCCGTGACGATGTCGAGCCATACCCTGTTGACGCGGACGAAGTCAAGCCGTGGGAGGAATACACGCCGGAGGAGAAGAAGAAGTCTGCGACAGCAATGGAAGTCTTCGCAGGCATGGTCGAGTGTATCGACTTCAACGTCGGTAAGGTAGTCGATTACCTAAAGTCCATTGACGAGCTTGATAACACATTTGTCTGTTTCATGTCTGACAATGGTGCTGAGGGTGCGGCATATGAAGCCTACCCCATGGTCAAAAACGGCGTGATGCCACACTTGCAGAAGTATTACGACAACAGCCTGGAAAATCTGGGTGCTGGCAACTCATTCATCTGGTATGGCCCGCGCTGGGCGCAGGCCTCCACTGCCCCTTCGCGCCTGTACAAGGCCTACACAACCGAAGGAGGTGTGCGCGTGCCCTTCACCTGCCGTTTCCCGAAAAACATAAACTTGAAGCCGGGCGATGCCACAACGCCCAAAGGAGGAATTACCGATCAATTCGCAACAGTCATGGACCTGGCTCCATCTATCTTGGAAATGGCAGGGGTAAAGCACCCGGCCCCAACATATCAGGGTCGTGAGGTGGTCTCCATGCGTGGCCGCAGCTTCTACCGCTGGGCCGTAGGAGAGGCTGAGCGTATCCACCCGCGTGATTTCATCCAAGGCTGGGAAACCTGCGGTCGGGCCGCACTGCGCTGTGCAGACTGGAAGATTGTGTTTATTCCGAAGCCCAAGGGCCCTGAACTCTGGCAGCTATACAACCTCGAGAAAGATCCGGGCGAGGTGCATGATCTCTCGAAGCAGGAGCCCGAGAAGCTGAAGATGTTGCTTAAGCTTTGGGACCAGTACGTTATTGAGACAGGTGTCGTTCCTCTATGTCCCGATCTGGGGCAGTTCTTGGAGGCTACAGAAGCACAGATGCCAGAGAATGCTTGGATGGAATTCGACTACTGGAAAGAAGGCGCCCGTGATACACCTGAGAAGTTCACGCGCCAGCCACCTCGGTTTCAGCGTGTGGTGAAACAATGGTGAGCCTACTATTAGTAAATGTAGATTGTCCAAAGTCGATAGAAATCATTGTACTTTCAGTATACTTACGCTTTGTTCTTTTTATTGGTAAATCTTGGAGGATATAGGCAAGCATTATGTCCAATGTTTGAAGGGTAGCCAAGGCAGATTTTATTCTATCAATTTATCTGTCTATCAATTAGTTAAATTTCAATCTTTGATACTTGCGAAGAAGATTAAGATGATCCCAGGAATTTCACCACCGCTGTTGGAACACAAGGTTAGCATAAGTTCTATGAGCCGAGTGGATCGGGAGAACTCACCTTTGCGGAAGGCTTCAGGGTTCTCCGAGATAAGCCAGTGTCCTGCCTCAACATCCGCAACCTCTGCCCTGGGGAAAAAATTCTTGATAGCAGGGATAGTATCATCTGTGATATAACGAGACTTTGTCCCCCTGACGAATAGCGTAGGTCCATCATATTGAGCGGATTTCGAATCGAAAGGAAACTCAGCCATATTATCAAGCGAGCGACCAAGGACATCTAATGGCACGCGAAACTTGAACACATTGTCCTCTTCAGAGCGGACCATGTTGGTGAGTAGGAACTGGCGAATAGGAAGTGACTGAACATTGATAGTCAGCTTCCATCTCGAAAGGACGCGGTATACTTAGAATGAATCAAATCTCACCTCTTCATATGGCTCCATGAGTTTGTAAGCTTCTGACTGCTTTGAAACTCTAGCTTGTTCCACGTGCTGCATTCCTCGGACATATTTGTGGAAGTCACTCTTGAGAGTTTTGCTGACTGGGGCGTTGTCAACTGGAATCAAAGCCGACACGGTTTCTGGCTTGTTGAGAGCCACCGTCATCGCAACTTTAGCGCCCCTTTTCATTATTTAGTATAAATCGTGCACCAGCAGGAAACTTTGAAAAACAGATCTTCAAGTTTGTGTTCCTCACGAGACACAATATCTCAGCAGAACTTACATTGAATGACCCATTAGAACAGCTTTGTCTAGCTTTTGCTGTTGCATGAACTCCTGCACGTCCTCGGCCATAACGGAATAGTTATGTTCCTGGGCATGGAAGGACTGACCATGATTGCGCAAATCCTGGAATTTCAGGTCAATACATAATCCAATGTAAAGTCCTCGCCGTTATCTTCCAATAATCGGAAGATAAGACCGAAACATACCAGCGTAAAGATTTGGCATTTCAAGTCCCGAGCCAGAACCCTAAGGCAAGATTTAGCACAAGCATCCATCAATACAGTTTAGAGCTGAAAACATACTTACTGATACCCCGATTGTTCTGCTTAGAGCCAAAAAGACCATGCAGGAACACGATGGGGTCCCGGACGGCCTGTTCGCCCTCTGGCCCGTAGACCTGGTATGCTAGCTCGCCTCGGCAAACTCGCGCGGTTGAGAACGCACGGATGCCTATGGCACTCCGGGCGGCTGTTCGAGCGAACATAAAGCTTGATTCTTGTTAATTCGGACTGAATAATTGAGTATCGTGAGACTTCCAGCCCAACAAACTTGTCGGAACCATGTTCGGGATTCTTGCCGAGGTCTTGCGGAATGACTAAGCAGAGATCCAACGTGTCCGTTGGCTTAAACTGTTGGACAACTTGATGGAGCAAATTCGAGCAATGATTGTAGGCTGCCATCTGATTCAGGATCCTTTGAGACTCTAAAAGCAACTGTACTAAAATCTATGCAAGCTTCCTTCAACCAAATCAGTAATCATTGAATACCTCTGCTATGCGACGTTAATCTAGGTCAAGAACACTATCAAGTATAAGGTGAGTATAATGCCAAAGTCTGCAAAGTTATCCTATAAATTCACAAACTATGATTCCACTACTTAGATAAGACTTAAGTGATCTGCTGATGGCAGCTTTGCAGGGCGATAATGTTGTTTAGGGCCCCACCCATAGATTAAAAGAGTTCGTTGCATTCATTGCCTAGCTTCGCCTTTCTGACCCAGGTATGCGTATATGACTTCAGAAGTGCTGTAGATTGATATTCAATTTCTCTACCTATATGATCATGGCATTTGATGATTCATTGACGAGAACGACTGGAGTGAAACTTGTCCGCATCGAGCAGGACGTAGATCTCACGCGACTTTTCAAATATTCATCTTATCTACAGAAATATATCGTCGCTTGGCCAGGATAGCGATGGGCTGGGTACAGGCTTGTCTTCAACCTCCATCTTTAGTCTGAGGTTTGACATGATTCAAGTGGACTTTGACATCACAATTGAGGTGTTTGTCGCTGCACTTGTGATTTGTCCTTATGGAAAGCGGAAGAGTGGATCGTTCAGCTTTTGAGACGTAATTCGAATGAAACTGGATTTTCTTGATTAAGCACACTTACTACATACGAATTTTACTAAGGTACGATCCATTCACTATATTACTCTGGGGTTTTGTAGATATTAGATAAGAATGGAGATGAGAAAAGATATTTGGTTTGGGCTATCGAGGTCGATTTATACATAAACGACTGCTACTGTGGCTCAGAAGTGGTTCCAAAGCTTTCAAGTGGCGTATTTGGAGCCACACGAGCTCTCTGCCTACAGTTATGGCGGAATGCAATCATGAAATTCACATCCAATCCTCCGAGAAAGGTGAGACTCAATAACCTCACCCTCACCAGCAACGTCAAGATTTGGTTGATATATAGGAACCCCAACCGAGTCGCATCCATCTCCAGCCTCTCCAGCCTCTCTAGCCCAAGCGGTGGATTGGTTAGGTAGAGTTGTAGCAAAGGAAGGTAAAGGATTCCCAATCGCTACCGAGCAATTGAGTTCAAGTAAAGCCTTGCAGCGTTCTAAAAGTACCGGAAATCGATACGAAGGCGAGCCCCGAATCTGTGAAACAGTTTGTAATATACTCCACAGAAGCTCACGAGGATCGACTATCGGCTGTGTAAAGTTTTGATCAAACGAACTTTTCACGTTGATAGATGCGGCCGCATTAAATGTCCTTTGCTCCTAGATCCACCCTATTAATTCCAGTACTATACCTAGCTATTAGGGTGAGAATGGCCACTTACCATCTCTATGCTATGCGGATCTGTAGATCCCGGGGATACGATGCTTATGACGCGCATGGAAGCTTTTTCCGACATTACGGGTAGATGAAAAGATAAGAGCGCGTTGTCTTGAAGTCTTGGCTGTGGGCTGCTGACTGGTATCTTCCACATCATAGTTTGCAGCCACTGCTGCACTATGAGAATATCAAAATCTTGAGCTTCCAGTACACCATCATAGATACTGGCCGTGAGTTTGTCGAATATGTTGATTAGGTTGACGAAGCCATACGCTAGAATTGGATTCTCAGAGCAGAGCGCCTGGGGTTTCTGGATAGATCTGGGCAGCATAAGAGGCTTTGATTGTTGAAGTGCATATCCCCTTTTTAAATCAGCATGAGGGTTTGGTATATTCATGGATATTCTTTGTGAGCTGCTCACCTTTCTGTGATGAAAAGCAGCCAAAAAACCCGTCGTCGTTCCTCAGCTTCCTCGACGGTAAAATCCTCATAGGTCGACTCACGATGAAGGCCCAGAGTAAACGCCATTGATGTGGCCTGGCACAAATAAAACCACGCGTGATCTTGCTTGTCCATATTTCCATAAGATGCATATAAGAAGAAAGAGGTAAGAAGGTTCTCAATGCTTCTATCCTCCACAATATCATATTCACGTCTAGCGCGCAAAACCTCTTCCAGCAGCATTTCTCCAGAAATACGTTGGTGAGAGCCAGTCCACCTCTGAAAGCCATCCAAGTCCTGTGATGGAACAGTATCATCTAGCTTTAGTTGAATATGCGTTGCTGCACAGAGGGAGGCTAGAAATGAGTATCGTTGAGGAGACAGCCATTCTGGCTGCTGACAGTCCATGTGCAGTCGCTCACCATATACGACTGGCATAATGGGGAGTAGATATCTCTGGTGAGCATTGAAATGTGCCAGTAATATTTCAGGTGATAAACGGCCTGCCTGAGGGAGGGTTGGGCTTAAGATTGACGCTCCTGAAAAATCGATCGAGTCTGGCGACGATACCGACTCCGTGTGTGATGACTGAGGAACATCATCACAAATTGAATACAGTGGGAATTGCGCACTGGTATCCGAGGGCGGTGGAGTGGGAGAAGAGGGCACATTGAGCCCAAAGTACGGAGCATCTGAACAGCCGTCTTGCATAGCACAGAACGGTTGTATAACTGAATAATTTCCAGTGGCAAGTGGATGCCCAGGTGCTAATGGATACAGAGTTCGAAATTTAGGACCTTTGCGACGAAGTACATCGCTATAAGAACATGAAAGAAACAAGCGCTGACATTTATCGCATGGTAGTTCGCGCGAGCATTTGATCTTGCGACGCCTGCAATTGTCGCAAGCTTGTTTTAAGGGTAACTTAGATGGAGAAGCCAGAGTCATGACGGACAGAGAAGCTTTGAATGCCGGGATAACGCAGGTAAAGAAGCAGGGAAGTGCATGTTAGGCGTGAGAATCAGCCTTGGAATGAATTACGAAGAGTAGAATGGAAGATTTAATTGGGAAAAAGGCTTGGAAGAAAAGAAAGGATCCGGGGACATGCCCTGCAGGTCAGAACTAAGAACCCCGCAAGGTCTGTAGGTCCATGCGGGCGCTGGTGATTTTCTGATTGATTTTCTGATGTACTGGGGTTGTGATAGGTAGGTGTCATGATGGCCAAGGAGGTTTTGGGCCTGACATATGCACATGGGCATCGGCCTATAGATCATCTTCCATTTATGCGGGGTTTACCGGCAATTGTACCAGGTGATCTTGTTATGCTCTACATGGGATGAAGAGGCTTTAGTTTCCGCTAATGTAGCCTTTCATACCTAGTAGAAGATCAAAATCTAATCCACACATCTGTCAAGGTTATTGAAGATGTGAGATGTACTCTGTATATCTCGGCACTCCGTATTAAGGTAAGCCGAGATTCTGCTATTGTCAAGCTAGCAGAGGGCTAGTCAGTGGCGGAGGCCGTTAGTTTACTTCCCCAGTTGAGAGATATAAGCGGGGAAATTGCGCGATTTTCTGAAATTGTCATGAATTACAGAGAGGACCAAAAAGAACACTACCTCCTTAGTGTCTTTTCGCAAGTTTGTGGGTTATCCAGGGTGCAGGATCGGTGGGCTTAGGGACAAGATCAGCCAGTGAGAGTCATATGGTGACAGTGTGCCATTGAAGAGAACCTTGGAATGAGAATGAGAAACTTTGTACATCATGCAATTAATCCCGCTTTGATATCGGCTAGAAGTGAGTGAATTCTACATTAGAAGTTACTGGATGATTTTGTGCTTGGACCTAGATGTGCTCAGGCCCTAAAGTTCTTGCGGTTGAGGTATCCTAGGTCTAGGGGTTTCCCCGAATTTTACCCACGAAGAAGATACTAACTAAGTTACTGTTATGATGAGCAGCAGAACAGCGTTTCAAGATAGCATATTAAAGGAAATGGACAAGATAAAAGAGTTAGAGGAACCGGGATAAGTAGGCCGTATATGGGAATAGAAGCAACACGAAGAAGTAGGGCTAATGGCGAAGTGATCAGGCCACAAAAGTACTCTTTCATTATTCTGGTAAGTCAAGTCAGATCAAGTGTAACGTCACGTACATAGAAATCGAAAAACCTTTGATTTTATTCCGACAAAGCTCTCAATAGATATCTATAAAGATGTTCGTCATCAAACAATCTACCCATTATCCTTTTTACTGGTGCTCTATCTTGTTGATGAGCGTGCCCACGTAGGGCAGTAGCTCCACTGCAAATTCGTCTCCAGCGCTAATGAACTCCTTCGGTTTCTTGGCCGCACCAACGCCAGGCGGGGTGCCGGTGAGAATAATAGTGCCAGCGGGCAATGTAGTGCCCTGAGAAAGAAAGCTAATCAGCTGGGGAACGGTAAAAATCAAGTCACTAGTAATCAGTTAGCCAGAGCTATTATAAGTGGCTAAATAGAACTAACGTCAAGGGACAGTCTTGCATCACGCGGCCGCTCTTCAGGCCGCGGATCTGGAACTTCGTTGCATCAGGAACTAGGGTAGTGGAGACAAGAACCGGGCCTGTGATGAGTGAATTAGTTAAAAGGTATAACCATATAGTAGTAATAATTACCGATTGGGCAAGAGCCGTCAAATCCCTTAGAGAAACACCACTGGCTCTGATTCATCTGGCAGGTGCGACTAGATACATCGTTGGCGGCAGTATAACCCAGGACGTAGTCAAGGGCTTCAGATTCAGATACATCCTTGGCATCACGACCAATGACAATTACCATTTCAGATTCATAATCGCCAGTGTTATCCGCTTGGGTGATCTTGGGTAGAACAGTGGGCGAAGGCCATGGATCGGCAAGAGATGAGGAAGGCTTAATGAACAGGGTAGGGACCTCTGGGATCGCAAGGGACATCTCCCTTGCATGCGATGCATACTATATAAACTTGGATTAACACAAAGCGTCACGATGAGCCTTGGGAGTACAAGAACGTCACTTACATTCAAGCCAATGCAGCGAATCGACCCAACTTCGCTCTGAGCAAGCGGCGACAAGATACGCGCAATACTCTCAGTTTCTCCGGTCGCCTGACCTGGTCTCAAGACCGAAGAGCCTGAGAATGGGCGAACTTCCACCTCCTTGCCCTGATACAAAGCTAACCCCACATCCAATTGCGCATCAACCGGCTCGCCGATAAGAACTTTGGTGGGGTTGGACTTGGGAATGAAGCGCACCAGGCCTGAATATCATCAGTTGGATCGAATATATAGTATAATATTTGGAAACCCACGCGTAAAAGTAGATGCTATCTTCGACATGATGTATTCTACTCAGCAATTGTCAAAATACAAAAAAAAAGAGGGAAAAGCAACTCTTCTTATCGGCGGAAGATGTCTGACCCCGGTTTTAGCTTCTCCACTAAATTGTGGGAGAAAGATGCTCATCATAGAATGCGATAAAGTTGCGCCATCTCGCTGATTGCACTTCTTCCAGTTTATATCGCCATTATGTCTGATCCTAAAGGTCCTTTCCGTTTGGTTACTGTCAATACTGCACCGGAGCGTGCCAAACGACTCATCGGTCGTCTCGCCGAGACGTTGAGTGACCGGTACACCATCATCCATGTCGACAACTGCGAGAGTATGTGTCTAGCAGGATAAATGACGAGCTGATACTAAAATCAGGCAGAAATTGAAGAAGTGGAGCCTAAGGTGAAGGAGCACATGCCGGACGTCCTGGTGAGTCTCCTTTCGGCCATCAAATTGAGCATGTCTGACATCACCTTCAGTTCAGCGCATCGATGTGGACAGCCGATGAGGCCAAACAGATCCATGGAATCGCCAAGTCGATCAATCCGGACATAAAGCTGCATGCTATTCCCACCGGCTTGCAGGTCGAGCGCGGTCCTGACGCTATTGTTGAGTACTTGTGCGAGAAAGTACCTCCTCTGCTGGATAGCTAGATATGATCATCAGCTCAGATACCCAATGCATGAAATCCTTCGTAGAGCTGCGTCTATCAAAGGGGAAATATAAGTAGCTTAGATATCTTCTTGGTGGACAGTTCGCTGTTTCTTCGCATTTCATATCGTGAAATAAGATGGAATCAGTCGACTCTCAAGAGCGATGAATTGTAAATGATAAATCCAACGTCATATTGTGTGGTACAGGTATATCTGTAATATCAAGAGAGGATGTGTTGCGTACAAATAGCATTTTTTGGCGTTACTTTCTCTCCGAACTCCGCATAAATCAAGTCATCATCTTAAACTCCGCAACCTTTCACTTTCCACTTCAAAATTTCACCCTCAACCTAGGTTTCCTACAGGTTTCATCCGAATAATAAAGGACACAATGCGCTGATAGCCCCTACCCATTGATCATGGCGCACGCGACGCTACTTGGCTCTTTGCGACCCGTCGCACCACGAGTCTCACTCCGACGCGCTTTATTCCGCCGACTTCACGCCGGCCAGTATCAACCATTTGTCCCTCCGACACCAAGCTCCCTAGGCAAGCCCACACCAGCCAAGACATATACCCGCACCCTAAAATGGCTCCGACGGCTATTCTACGTGTCATTGACCACAGGCATTATCTACGGAATCGACAAGCAGTTCTACGCCTCGTCATTGACCCGTACAACCCGGACTTTCTCCTTGGGTCTTCTCGTTGCGCTAGACTACAAGATTAATTTCCGACCGAACCCTCCACTTGCCAGCTCAATCGCTGCTGTACATGCTCGTAATGCGGAGCGGTTGTCGGACCTGCTACGTCATAATGGTGGTCTCTATCTCAAGATCGGCCAGGCAATTGGCATGCAGTCGGCGATTCTGCCACCAGAATTCCAGCGAATGTTCTCGCGCATGTTCGATGATGCGCCGCAGAATGACTGGAAGGATGTTGAGAAGGTTATTTGGGAGGACTTTGGCCAGTCGCCCGAGGAGGTATTCGGTGTCTCGTTTACCGGAGAGCCTGGTAAAGGTGTGATGGAACGTAGGGCCCGTGCAAGTGCTAGTGTGGCTCAGGTACATTGGGCACGTCTTCATGATGGTAGGGAGGTGGCTATCAAGATTCAGAAGCGGGAGATCGTACAACAGTTGGCTTGGGATCTGTGGGCTTTCAAGTAAGTTTCCCTCGCGAGAGCTCCAAGCATTGGAATCTAATAACGACCAGGGCCGTCACATATATCTACAGTAAACTGTTCGACATTCCATTCTACAGCTTGGTACCATATATCACCGAAAGATTATCGTTGGAGACCGACTTTGAAAATGAAGCGACCAACTCAGAGAACATGGCTCGACTGGTGGCAGGGGAGCCCCGGTTGCGCGATCGGGTGTACATCCCCAAAGTATACCGGGAGCTTACCTCGAAACGAGTCATGACCGCTGAGTGGATTGAAGGGGTACGTCTCTGGGACAAGGATGCTATCACACGGTCGTGGCGAGGTGGCTGGCGTCAGGGAAGTCCAGGATGTCATGGAACGCCCTTGGACTCCCCAACACATAGATTCCAGGATTCAAGCGCAGCGAACGTCAAGCCGGAACGTAATGACTGGCGGGGCCGAAACAACCGCGGCGGACTAGGTCTGTCTCTGAAAGATGTGATGACCACAATGGTCGACTTATTCTCGGCTCAGATGTTCCTTTGGGGATGGGTACATTGCGACCCACATCCTGGAAATATTTTCATCCGCCGCCAGCCCTCAGGGCAGCCTGAGCTGGTCCTCATCGACCATGGACTTTACATTCACATGGAACCGGGCTTTCGACACCAGTATGCACGCTTTTGGAAAGCGCTGCTGACATTTGATAATAAAACGCTGGGCGAGATCGCTCAAAGTTGGGGTGTGAAAAACTCCGACATCTTCGCTTCGGCGACCCTGATGCGCCCTTATAATGGCGGTGACATGTCAACTTACCATGGCATCAAGGGTCTGAGTAAGGCGGAGCGCGCAGAGCGGCAATACGAAATGCAACAGGCTGCGCGCAAGGCCATCCGTGAGGTTCTGGGTGATGAGACGAAATGGCCCCAGGAGCTGATCTTCATCGGACGGAATCTGCGTATCGTACAGGGAAACAACCAGTTTCTCGGATCGCCGGTGAATCGGGTCAAGATCACCGGTTTATGGGCTTCGCGTGCGTTGGTAGAATCCCCAGACCTACCCTTTCCAGAGAAGATGCGCAATCTGGGTCGACATCTGATATTCCGCTTTGTGTTGTTTACTACCGATATCTTCTTCTACTTCACCAAGGTGCGCCAGTTCCTGCATCTAGGTAGGGGTATGGAAGATGAACTCGAGCGTCAGATGCAGGGAATTGCTAAGGATATGGGTGTAGAACTGAATCATAACGTTTTTGAGGGATAGAGCCTGTTAGACACAAAAATATACTCTCCTCTTTAATCTCCTCTCAACGAACTTCCAAGATCGACTACCGCTTCAAATGCCGCGACTGTGGGATCTCAAAGTATCATGTGGTATCGGAAGTTTCCATCAGCATTTATATACACAACAAAGGCAACTCCACTGGCGAATCAAAATTTGAAACTCACTTTTGCTCCCAATACAGCCATCGAATAGCGTTGTCGGCTAGGCCTAGAAGCAATAATCTCCACTCCGATGGGGCTCAAATTGATCCCGGATATTACTGAAGTCCCGCTTATAGCCGACGTAAAATGGGACAGATTTTCAGGGTTCGAGGCATCAAACAGTGAAGACCCTCAAATTCCGTAATTACTAAGGATAGGAGATCTGAAATAACTTCAAGTCAAACCGATTAGTTTGACAGCGAGTTTGAGTCCAGGATGTTTAAGCACTCCAAGGATTAAGCCCCAAGTCTGGCAATTGGTCGTGTGCTCAATAACGGATTCTGTCAAGAATCCACTGTGGACGCTTATTACGGGGAGGAACATCCGAAGTAGGCCCGGCGCATATATCTAGTTAGATCGTTGTTTCTACTGATAACTTATGTAACTTATCTGTGAGTTATTTTCAATCATAGCGAATGGTTGATGCACGTGGTGGGCCCACCATTTAGCCTCGCATATTTACTTTCCATCTTAATCGAACTCGTCAGCTGTGGCATCGTAGGCAGTTTCTAGTTTTATGGACTATTGCTTTTAAAAAGACCAGCCTCTACCTCCTCTTCCATAGTTGAATTGAATAATATTCTCGTTCTAAAGATTCCCGTCATGTCTTCCCAACCTCTTCTTGAAACTGCCCCAGGTAAGTACATGGATAGTAACCTTAGAACCTTGAAACAACCTTGGAATATTGTGCTTGGAAGTGCCTATACAGACACCATTATAAAGCCTTGAACACTTCAATCGCATTATCAGAAATTTCAAAGTTTGAAACTATGGATATACAGATCAACTAACTAATCTCATTCAGGCAAGCTCATCGCACTGCCAACACGTGTTGAGCCCAAAGTCTTTTTCGCAAATGAGCGAACATTCCTCTCATGGCTGAACTTCACCGTCATCCTCGGTGGCCTGGCTGTCGGACTTCTTAATTTTGGTGATCGAATTGGCCGAATCTCCGCTGTTCTCTTCACTCTCATCGCCATGGCGGCTATGATATATGCCGTCTTCACATTCCATTGGCGTGCTCAAAGTATCCGTCGCCGCGGTCAAAGCGGTTTCGATGATCGATTTGGTCCTACTGTTCTTGCTGTTGCACTACTATGTGCTGTCGTGGTCAATTTCATTCTGCGAATTCGCGATGGACAGTTGTCTTGACAGAAGGATGTTAATGTGTTCATTCATTGATTCAATCTTGTTCTTGTGATTCTGGCAGGGGTCTGCCTCAGTCGGAGAATACTTTCTGTACTTTACCTCTCCATTGTGAGCGCATCTCTTCAAAAGTTGTCATTACCCTGCATTTGAGCCAGTCTTCAATTTATGATGTGCTTCAAAATTGGTTTTCTGTAATATATCCGCAGATGAAGTTCTATTAGGAAAAAATAATTCTCCCGTTTGTGAATATAAGGTATCAAGGCACCAAGGCACCAAGGCAACCATGGTGAGCCACACCAAAGTTGCTGTGGCTGTAGATTTCTAATTTAAGTCCCGAATCAACTATCGCGTTCGTACTTTGATGCTTAGGTGACTCACAACTTGATTTATTGTTCGATGCGTATCAGTTCGACTATAAGTAGTCGGAGAATCGCTCAAAAAGCCTTTTGCAGCATCAGTACGTTTTCAAAAGGAGATCAAACGAGGCTCAGTCGGCTATCTTGAAGTGTTTCTCACAACGCGACAGGGCATACCACACCAAGTTACTTTAATCGTTCAACTTCATTCAGGTCACTCCTTTCTACCTGTATCGACAGGAAATATCCCGCAGCCATGGAGGAGACAAGTAAAAAGCTTCGATATGTTGATGTTAGCACCTTCCGTTCTCTCGGATCCTTCTCAATTTGAGATGATGATTTGTTCGCTTGAGCTGACTGAGGCACTTGCTAGATTGGTATCAATTTGAGTGATCCCATGTTCCGGGGCAATTATCGTGGCAAGCAGGCCCACGAAGATGACCTGGGCGATGTGATTCAGCGTGCTCAAGAGGCCGGATGTGAGAAGTTTATGGTCACTGGAAGTGATCTTGTTGAATCAGCCACGGCAATTCAAATAGCCCGTGATTACCGTCAGTTTCTTCACTCTTCGTTCTAATTTTCAATTCATTGTCTAACATACCTCTAGCGGGCTTCTGTTATGCAACAGTTGGTGTACACCCCTGTTGCGCAAATCATTTCGATAAACACCCAGATGGTCCCTCCAAGATGCTGGAGGAGCTCCGCAAACTGGCAATTGAGTCTAAGGAGTCAGGCTTGACAGTAGCCTTCGGTGAAATCGGACTTGACTATGATCGACTGGAGCACAGTGACAAAGAATCACAGTTAAAATATTTCGAGCAGCAACTTGATCTAGCCGTTGAAATACAGTTGCCCCTGTTTCTCCATTCTCGGGCTGCAGGTGAGGACTTTGAGCGACTGATCCGTTCTCGACTTGATAAGCTTCCGAAGCGTGGACTTGTGCATAGCTTCACGGGAACCATGGAAGAAATGGAAGGGTTGGTCGCCCTCGGCCTAGACATTGGCGTCAACGGATGCAGCATGAAAACAGTCGAAAACCTCGAAGTCGTGAAGGCTATTCCATTGAATCGAATTCAGATTGAGACAGATGGACCTTGGGTAGGCCGTTCCACACGACTATTCATCTGTCACTGCTGACTTTTTCTCTTTCCAGTGCGAAATTCGTCCGTCGCATGCATCGTCTAAATTTTTGAATGGCGCGCCTGAGTTGCCAAAGACTGTCAAGAAGGAGAAATGGGCAAAGGGCTGTATGGTCAAGGGTCGGAATGAGCCTGTAGCTATTTCCCAGGTTGCTCATGTCATTGCTGCAGTCAAGGAGATTTCTGTCGAGGAGGTCTGCGAAGCGTAAGTCACTTCTAGTATTGAACTTGATGAAGCATTTGCTAACATTTCCTGATAGAGCTTGGGAGAATTCTACTAGGATGTTTGGTCTTGGTGAGAAGGCTTGATAAGTCGACATCTAGATCTCGTTCTTGCACCGTTCCCCTGTCAAAAAGACCTACCATAACTATTAGTAGTAGCCCGCTTATTAAAATATCGGTTCCAATCAGGTAACCATGCGGCCATCAATTGCCAAATTGACACGGATCGGATAGAGAAGAGTATAATTTAAATCAAAACCAATCTATTTAGATCACGGCGCCAAGACTATTGCAAACACCGTATTATTCCTCACGTTTGGCCTTATCTATATACATCAAACGGTCTACCTATGTTTGTCCGAATAAGGGGCCTTTTCTCACTATCAAGGTTCTACTTCCACACTAATTCGCTGTTGTTCAGCTTCGCCTCGTAGGGCCCATGCATGTTGGAAGACCTTGCCCATCTGAGCCCTTAATATCTGTGTCTGTGCGTATTCCATTCTTCGTGACAGTGTCTCAAAGCATTGATGATTTCGCTATCTTGTTTGACAGGTACTTGGTTGAGTGTTCTTTCCAACTCCTCAAACTGACCAGGGGAGTCTATTGATTCTATCTAGGTACTATGCTGCAGAAATTAAAAGCGTTATTAGTAAGGATTTGAAGTTGTACTTCTAATCCAAGTATTTTACGTGTTTGGAGATTCGATGTTAATTGTCGAGTGAAATCTTGACATCCTCGGCAAGGTATAATCGCACAGCAGGGGCATTAGTGTGACTACCTCTCGAATCCTCTAATCTCACGTTAAATATATCTCAGAACATTGAAGAATGCCGCCATATTGCTTGGTTGACTTGGACATACGTAGAGTCACGTTGAATTGATTCAATCCCTGTCAAGGCACGTAGTGGCAGCAGTGCTCTGATCCTCGCCTCCGATCTGAAAATGGGGCGTAAGACAAGCAAGTGGCAGGAGATTGAAGGTCAGTAGACTTTTCCTCTCGAAATTGGATATCTCTTCGGTTCTTAATAACCTAACCTACCAAAGCTATCGCAGACAGTCTAGAGAAGGAGCCATCATGGGCCACTTCTCAGAACAGTCTTATGATACAGGGCTTTGAATGGCATGTTCCAGCAGATCAACGCCACTGGAGGCGCCTTAGGAAGGAACTGCCAAATCTCAAAGATATAGGGGTAGATAATATCTGGTTACCCCCTGGATGCAAGGGAATGAACCCAGTAGGAACGGGTTACGACGTATACGACCTGTACGATCTAGGAGAATTCGACCAAAAGGGTGCCAGAGCCACACGCTGGGGTCCAAAGGAAGACCTGCAGGAACTTACGCAAGCAGCACAGGAAACAGGTATAGGAGTTTATTGGGACACGGTTTTAAATCATAAAGCTGGCGCGGATTTCACCGAGCGATTCCAAGCGATCAAGGTCGACAATGAGGGTATGAATTTTTCTTTTCTGGTTCTTACAATAACCAATGTACTAAGTTTCTCACTCTTGACTGATAGACCGCAATGTTGAGATTTCACAGCCAGAGACTATCGCTGGTTGGGTAGGGTTTGACTTTCCTGGTCGTGCAGGGAAGTATAGCTCTATGGAGTATCGCCGTGAACATTTCAATGCGGTTGATTGGGACCATCTCCAGAATCGACAAGCAATATACAAGATCGCTGGTCCTGGTCCCTGCAAACGATGGGCCAATGATGTTAGCCTTGAGCATGGTAACTATGACTACCTGATGTTTGCCAACCTGGATCACACCAATCCGGAAGTGCGAGCGGACATCTTCAAATGGTCGGAATGGATTGGAACTGAGCTACCAATCAACGGTATGCGAATCGATGCTGCCAAACACTACTCTGCTGCCTTCCAGAAGGACTTTGTCGATCATCTACGGAGTACAGTCGGTGCCGAGTATTACCTGTTTGGCGAGTACTGGAGAGGAGATGTAACCTTTCTACTGAAGTACCTTAAAAGGACAGACTTTCAAATTTCCCTATTTGACGTACCGCTTCTAGGACGCTTCTCCCTGGTTTCGAAGGCAGAAGGTGGCGACTTGCGAAAGATATTCAAGGGGACATTGGTGGAAAAGAGCCCGAAGCACGCAGTAGTAAGAATTCTATCATCAGACATCTAGGTATTGGATGCTAAGTTTTGCCATAGACTTTCGTTGGCAACCATGATACTGTAAGTCAATGAATTAGGGGCTCGAGCTGGAGATCTGATAAGCTTATTTCGTTTCCAGCAACCTGGTCAATCTCTAGAGGTATGTTTAACGAGCTGTCCTTGGTGTCTCAAGCTAATCATTAGCTGACTAGACCATCATCGCACCATTTTTCAAACCAATTGCGTACGCCTTGATTCTTCTACGAGCCCACGGCCAACCCTGCGTGTTCTATGGTGACCTTTACGGTATTAGGGGTGGGCCTGGCCCATTAGACTGCCCCTCTTGCAAGGGAAAGCTTCCGATCCTGATGCGTGCCCGCAGGCTTTATGCCTACGGAGAGCAGTGCGACTATTTTGATAAGCGGAACTGTATTGGTTGGTACCGTTTTCTAGCGGACAGTATTTGTACTAACTGTGCCTATTCAGGCTTTGTGCGATATGGCAACATCCATCACCCTTGGGGTCTCGCCTGCATCATCAGCAACACCGTTTCAACATATAAATTGATGTATGTCGGGATAAATCATGCTGGGGCGGAATGGACGGATATTCTTGGGTGGTGCATCGGGACTGTCATCATCGACCGTCGAGGCTATGGCGTCTTTCCTGTTTCTGCGAAGAGTGTTAGCGTCTGGGTTGACAGCAAGGCAAAAGGTAGACATGATCTTACTCGACCTTTGTAAGTAAAGTACTCAGCTTAAACCTATTCCGCATAACTTACAATGAACGAATGACTAACTTGTCAAAACAGTAATAGCGATATTTATAGGTTTTGAGGATCGATGAAAGACTTCTCCATGAATTGTTCAAGGGAGTGAGTGGATGGATGGGATGTGTTATATCAAGCCGATATTGGCTCAAAAGCAAGAAGTGAATTAGCACCAGATTACTGCTTGGGTTTCTTTGCGGCTTTCTTGCGAATAATATTTTGTTTTGATTTTTGGAGAGACATTTTCATTGCAATCACAATGTATCAAGGGTATTCTTCTTGGGATATCAATTAATTATGTCTAGGTTGCCAAACCATAAAATCCGACATTTCAACTTGGCGGAAGCATCATGACATATTCTCGTGAGCTCAATCCGAAACGAAGCACATCTTTGTCCCTCACTTCTACGTAACGGCCGGCTGGGACAGGGTCGCCGTTGAGACTAGACCCGTTTGCGCTCTCAAGATCAATGAGATAGGGCTTAACCTTGCCGACCTTGTCACCGTATTCATTCTTCTTTTCGACGAACCGGAACTGAAGCGCAGCGTGTTGCTTCGAGCAGCTGGGATGTTCAAGCGGAAAGTCCACAATGACATGCTCCCGCCCGAGCAGCCAGCAACTCCGCCCACCCAGCTCCACCATTTCCAGCATATCAGGACCCTTGAAGACATAGATTCGCCATGGCTCCTTTGGCGGCGGTTTTCGCGCCTCGGGTGGTTCATGATATTTGAGAACGATTCCCTGTCCCTGTCCATTTGCTCCCCCCGCAACTTGTACCGTGTTACTCTCAGCGGCAAGACGACCAGAGTTATTAAAGTTGGGCTTCTGCTTTTCTGGTGGAGGTCCGTCCTCAGAAGGTATCATGTCTGACCCTGTAAATGCGTCGGACTGTGAAGGCAGAGGGCCGCGTCGTTGCAATGCCTTTGGAGGACTTGGTGATCGTCGCGGAGAGCGCCGTCGTGGGGAGCGCGATCGGGATTGTGGGCTTCGCCGTCTTCTTGAAGACCTGTTATCATCCCGATCGCGATCCTGATCCTCGTGACGGCGACTGCGATGGGTGCGCTTCCGACGATCGTCATCTGAAGAGCGGTCTCTGCGCTGTCTTATTTCACGTCTATCTCGCCTTCGATCACCACGGTCATTTTCTGCTCTGGTCCTGCTGTGGGAGTGGCGGCGTGGACTTTTTTGGCGAGAACTTTCGCGGTCGTAATCTCGCCTGCGAGAGCTTCGGTGGTCGTCTTCAAGGTCTCGCCGTGATCGATCACGATGACGATCTGAATGGTTGGAGGGTGAGCGTTGCCGGTCACTACGGCCGTCACGAGAGTCGACCATTTGGCATCAGTTACTATCAAATAAGTAGGAGAGCTGGTGGAACTCGAAGCTATCCCGGGTAGTTAGTGCTCAATCACGTGATTTTCACAAGCTGTCAAATGGACAATCCTTTTTTAGTCTAGTGTTCTTTATTAGTCAGCTTCCGCACACTCTTCACATATATTTGAGATTGTGAATTCTTCTGATTGGTTCTTATAATCCCACTTCCTAGATCAAGTTGACACAAGCCACTTCCATTAGCATACCATGTTCTTCATCAACACGATAGGTAATGTTTAGGCCATGCGCTCCACCTATTTCAGTATTCGAAGTACCAGGATCAGTATTTAGTAACTATTGTTCACCTCTCACTGTCCTTTTCTCTGCATGCTTCAAATTCTATTCCATCGTTGTGATGCATTGTAAGTTGATCCACAATATGGGAAATGATTCGATTTGATCCACATAATAATTCAGCAAAGACCAATGGAGCTCCTTGAGTATATTACGACGACTATATGTACTTGAACAACCGGGCCACTAAACACAATCCACCCAGAAATGCAGTCAAACCTGTACATCCAATAACTAACCCAAAACCACTGCCATAAGCCCCAAGCATATGTTCATTCCTGCTGTCCTTCCTCAGCAAGAACTCACTAAAAGGCCCACTGACAACATTTCCAATTCCCCGTCCAAACGCAATGAGAGAAAAGATGATAGTCGGATCTGCAGCTGAATCAACCTTCTGAACCTCGCGTATCATCCCAGACCACGTTGCTGAATAACTACCCGCAAAGAGTCCATATGCGACACAGAATACCAACAGAACAGGAACTGTGGTTGAAAATCCCCAGAGAAGGAAGACCGAGATCACAGTACCGACAGTAGATATTGCAATGCAGGTCAGTACATGAAAGCGATCGGTCAAGAATCCCAAAGCAACACTGCCAAAAACCGATGCCAAATTTAGGACTGTGACCGTGAGTGAGGCCACGAGCTCTGTCGCGCCAATGCGGTGCGCAAAAGATGGGAGATAAATTCCTGGGAGAAAGAATCCAAGTGCTTCGAGAATGTTCCCGAGATTATAGGTAACAAAGACCCGGCTGAATATGAACTGAGTATTCAGCCTATTGTGATCGACCTTACTTGATCTTGGCAGCCGAGCTTTGTGATAGTATAAGAATGGAGCGGCCATCACAAACAATAAAACAGAACAAATTCTCAATGTTGTTCGAAATCCCAGGTGATGCAGAAGCTTCCCCAACACAATTGGAAAGACAATTCCCGATAATCCGGACCCAGCCCACACCACACCGAATGCAAGCCCACGACGTCTATCAAACCATTCAGGCATGAATAAGATGGACGGACTATATGCAATACAGCCACCAATACCAAAGCCAATGCCCTGCGAGAGCACAAGATGTGTAACATTTGACGAGAAGGATGCCATCGCTAAAGAGAAGCACATTATGCTCAATCCAATTGTCGAAAACCACCTGGACATGCTGGGAATGAGTATCATTGCAACAATAGCTATAGGACAGCTCAGATATGCGACACCCTAGACAACCTATTAGAACGTTCAATAAACAAGGGAACAGGGTCTTCTAACCGCAGCGCAAGTTCCTATGACGGCGATCATGGGCGATCCTTCAAACCGATCATCGTGTCTATAATAGTTTTGGAAAACACCGAAAGAAAAGGCAAAACCTGAGCGTTTCGTGAGCTTCGCCAAACAAAATCATGACGTTTGTTAACTTACCCCAAACTAACGCATCGAACATGGTACAAGCTGCTAAAAACATCCATGCATGGAAACCGCCATCCATGGGAGGAAAGTCTTTCTCATCGTAGACACTCGGTAATTTTCTATTACACAGAGGTAGTGAAACTGTGTCAGCTAGACTTGATTGTCGAGATAATGTTTTTTCGGACTCCATGGTGTTAATGGGTTGGCGTTGGCTTTGATCAATCATCTCGCCATGGAAAAATCAGCTTATATGGCTACCTAGGTACTAAGAATAAGTCCTACGTCAGACAAAATCTTTGTAATCTCACATTCTACAATCCTTTTTATGAAGTGTAATTAAAAAGGGATGAGAAATCTTCTTCTACTTAGTCAAGCAACAGGGTGTCCGGCAACTTCATTGGCATGTAGTCGTACCTGTAAACGCAAGCTCTATTACAATACTCCATATAGACCCTTTCTCCGTAGATTTAACAGCCGGTTTTTAGAGTAAATAATATCATGCGATTGGACCGGGAATTTGCATTGTAACTCGACGATCTTGAAAGTATGTGGACCTTCAAAGCCATCCACCACCTGGGCAACCTTATAAACTACCGCCCGAGGTATCATGGCCTCAATAGACATAATCTATAGCTAGACGTCGTATACAGAGATCAGAGAGCTTAGTTATCAATAGCTACTGGAAATTTCGACTTCATTCTACCAATCTATCTTCTGAGGATGGCTCGTACTCGAAACCGCTTGTATGCGGAACTCCGAACTTGGGAATGTAACTAGGGCATGATCATTTTTAACGATGGCTGTCGATCCCGGAAAATAAAGTTAAGCAGAGCTTATCATGAGATCATAGGTGACCCAAGTTAGCTGTGGACTTATACCAAGGGGTTAGTTATCTCAAACCCTTCTTCCTTACGGGAGCTTCTTATTCCCGAATTTCAAAAGATCCCAGTTATCAACAGTTGCTACATACTTTCAAACGCCAAGAAATATCTTGATCAGATAGTTTCCAAGATGTGATAACGACATTTCTATACATAGAGAAATGTTGATTGGGATGGCCAGCACCTACTTAAATACCACTCTATCCAACATCTGGGAGTTAATGTGAATAGAACTTCGCCTTGTAGTCTTGAAAGATCATAGAAAAGAAAACTGAAGGGCACATCAGAGTAGAGAAGTACTTGAGGAACGTTGATTGAAGCGAAAAAATATCCATATTCGATAGTTCTAAAATAGGATAAAGTGGAGTACTTATAGTGACTATATCCGGAATGTGTGTTGTACACAATGACCGAATGCAAATAAAATCTATAACCCGGGGGCAGAGGAGTTAAAGACTGAATTTTAATAAAATAGAAGGTATGAGACAATCGAAATGAACGATGGTAGAAGCCGGCAAGTAGATATAAGAAGGAAGAGACTTCCCAACTGATGAAGAGTTGGCTGCCCACATTTCAGATCAAAATAGTTTCCTTGCTTGCAGAAGTTCAATACAGTACGTATTTTTAATCAAGAACTTCAGCATGAGATGAGTGATTGAGGTCGCAAAGTGCAATAATTTCCCGTGCATCTATACCCAGCCAGCAGATTGATCAACTAGGTCAACCTCTTTGTTAAGAGCGTCGAATAACCATATCTTCCCAGTGGTAATAAGATTTTAGATTTAGCTCCTTTTCTCTTGGATAAGGCCATGATCTTCAAAATTATCAGTCCACTGCTTGCACAGAAGCCTCATCTTTCCCGTCCTCAAAGCTTTCCGGAGGTACTTTACGGAGTCAGGCCAAGCCCGAACGATTGGCGATAATCCTCAAAAGTTCGATCCATTTCTCTCGAAATTACCGTAGCTTACTGTATGAAGGTCACCATATTGCTCAGCAGAACTGCTGATTTGGGTTTCAACCATGCCGATGTTCCCACTCCAGATTCACAACATTAGGTACAATTGACAGATTTGACGGATTCAATCCGTGAATTCGTTACCATCCATAATTGACAACAGCCAATGGCCATGGGGATCGAAGAAGGATGAAATGAGCAACCGACATCGTTACGTTGGTAATAGCATTAGAAGTGGGTTTTTGTTCACCACCGATTCGATCTCAACATCATGCCCTGGTGCATCTATGATAGCCCTGCAATAATTGACACTATTTTCCCAAATTGACCCTCCGGGTGTAGACAATTCATTCAAAAATACCTTCAACCTAGTGTGGACAGATTCATCGTAAGGCACTCAAATCATCATGTATGGCTTCCTTCAAGATATCTTCTAGACTTGAACGTTTTTTGTTCAAGAAGTCGTTTTATGAGTTTCAATTTCTGTGGTATGATCTGTGGGTTGGGTCTTGAAGTATGGTCATAGCAGAAGGTTTGTCCCCAGCTGGAGACGTCCAACACCATGGCTCTAGCCCGCCGGTGCTCTAGCTTTACTGGGGATGTGGAATACCCATGTATATTATGGCAGTCTCCGGAATTCTATTTACATCTAAATCATAACTGGCTTTCAATTATATACTCTAGTTGCTGTACTTCGAACTGAGCCCTCGTTGTGCTGCTAGCTAGCTAGAGTAAAGATCAGTCCTGAAGCGTATATCTTAAGCGGGTAGCTCTCAATAGGTTTTTTATAGTGTTGATAATACTATTACTCATAACGGAACAAGTAGATCGAGTCACGGGGGAATCACTATATCAGCACCTCGAGTAGCTAGATAAATCGAACACATCTCACACCACCTTGCACAACGTATATACTAAGAATATAGGACGACCCATTCCCTACTCCAGTATATTTAGTGTAACGTGTGAACCCTGTCCTTTCAACGTACTTGATCGATAGTTGGATAACCAGCATGTATCTCGAACTCTGTTAAGTGGCCGCGCGTCATCCATTGTCTAAAATAAATTTATTAAAACAGAAAACCCTCGAACTTTAGCATCGAAGCTACTACATCTGGCAAGCTCCTTAATGTGCTGAGAGCCTCAAGCCAATGAAGGGAGTCTTTGAGTCTTTGTGGAAGAAAGTGCCTACTATGCCACATTATCGGTTAAGTGTCTATGAGACACGTTCTGATTTAAAAAATCCATCTTTCAACCTTAAAGGTTAACTGATCAACCGATTTAATAGCAATACCACGGACACTGTTTTGCCTGCCTGCTAATGAGAAGCAACTTCGAAGGTTCTGATACCTACTGTGTAGCTATTCTCCCAAAATAAGAAACTCGCCCTGCAGATCTTTCACCCAAGCTCTAGATCAGCTGACCCGAGTCGGATTCCTTCCAATATACATAACTCGGGTCAGAGAGGACACCTGCGTTTAGTATCACACGTCGTGAAGGCCTTATTTAATTTCCAGGTGCTTCTAGGTAAGCGGCCGCGCCAATCCAAGTCTTGACCAGTCATTTTTCTTGAGATACATCGCTTATAAGATGCTCGTTAGCGCAAATGATTAAGTGACTTCTCCTAAAACTGATCGAAGTCTCACCTAAGGCAAAAATCTCGTAGGTGTCAGCATTATACCTCGTTTGTGCGGGATATTTCAGTGCTAAATGAATACAAGCAAAGGTATCGTACTTGATATCTTGAGCTATAGATAGTTATAGATAAAATCAGTCAGTGAATCTCTAGCGCTTCAAACTCAAAGTTGCAACTTACTTCCAAGGGCAAGGTGAGTTATCTCGTGTAGAATGATCGAGCTTAGGGACACCATGCTGTCTAACGAAGTACCTGTGGTCTGCACCTGGTCTTTAAGGGCACCGATAAAGTATTTCACCACTGAACGGGTCACACTACTGAACGGGTCACCCCACCAATTTTACGCGTCAGTCTGGTGTTTCCATTTTCAACTACCCACCATGCCCCCCCTAAATGCTCTATATGTCCAAGACAAACAGGATCAGGAGAATAGGGTCTTATTAGCTTACCAAGCTTACAAGAATGGCGATATATCATCAATGCGTAAAGCTGCAGCTATGTTTAATATACCATTTTCAACCCTCCAACGCCGCCATTCTGGTGTCCAATTTCGTCTTGAAACACACCCACCGCAGTCTAAACTGACTGAATCTGAAGAGGATTCATTACTTCAATGGGTCGTCTCTCTAGATGATCGCGGCTGTGCTCCTAGAACTAAAGATGTTGGTAGAATGGCTAATATCCTACTCGCCGACCGCGGAACCAACCCTCCTCTTACGATCGGTAAAAACTGGGTTACTAGGTTTGCGACGCGTTTACCTGAACTTAAGACGACCTATTCAACACCGCGCGATTTTACACGTGCGCGTCAAGAGGACTATAATGTGATCAATAATTGGTTCAAACTGGTTGAAAACACGATCGCAAAATATGGTATCACCACCGACGATATCTATAATTTTGACAAGACTAGGTTTGCGATGGGACGATGTGCGACCGCGAGAGTGGTTACTAGAGCTGGTTATTATGGTAAACGCGCAAAAAAACAGCCTGGTAACCGGGAATGGGTTACTGTGATAGAGTGTTTAGGCGCGTCTGGTTACGCACCTCCACCCTGTATTATCTTTAAGGGTAAGGTGATGATGCAGAGCTGGTTTGCTCCTGATCTAGGTTTACCACCTAATTGGCGTCTTGAGATTAGTCCTAATGGCTGGACATCAAATCAAATAGGGCTCCGTTGGCTTGAAAAGCTCTTTATACCTGCTACTGCTCGTACTAAAGGACGGTATCGCCTTCTGATCTTAGATGGCCATGGTAGCCATTTAACACCTGATTTCGACAAAATCTGCCAGGAGCATGATATTATACCATTATGTATGCCTGCGCATGCGTCTCATCTTCTTCAACCTCTTGATGTTGGGTGTTTTGCGGTGTTAAAACGCTCTTATTCTCGGCTGGTTGAGTCTAGAGTAGAGCTTGGTTTTTCCCACATTAGTAAAGGAGATTTCCTAGAGATATATCCTACTGCGCGTATTGAAGCATTTGCATCTGCTTCTAATGCGTTTGCTGCAACTGGAATCGTGCCACTTGACCCTACTAGGGTGTTAAAAAAGCTTACTATGCGCGTCGATACACCACCACCACCACCCTCTATAGGAAGCGATTCAAGTCGAAATTGGACACCTAAGACGCCTAGGACGCAGAAAGATTTACGACGTCAACACCAAGCTATATTACGCACTGTATCTCGAACGCCACCAACACCATCTAAGAGAGCATTAGACCAGATAGTAAAGGGTGCAAATTACCTATATCAAGAGAATGCTCTCTTACGCCTGGAAAACAGAGATTTACGCGCCGCCCATGAGAAAAAGAAAAAACAAAAAGAACGTCCGAATCGTCAATTAACAGTAGTAGGGGGTCTTACAATTCAGGAGGGATTAGACCTGGTTGACGCGTCGAATGGTGGCCCTAAACTTAATGATGCCAATTTACAAGAGGGCCAGGCGCCTGTAAGGGCGCCTGTAACCCAACGCCGGTGTGGGATATGTAAGACACCTGGACATAGGAGGGAAACCTGTCCTAGTAGGCCCATTCAGTAGTTTTTTTTTACTATATTACATAGTAAATAATGGAGTTATTGGGATTCATAAAAATAAGTGGGTCAAACTGACCCGTTCAGTAGTGTGACCCGTTCAGTGGTGAAATACTTTATTTGTCCGCTTGTTGAATATACGGGGGCATAATATCAGAGCGTTGCCCCTGATCGAACCTATAGCATTTGGATTCTCGACTTGTTCGCAGATATCATTCGCTTTGCTGCCTTTGATATCGGGGGCTGATTTGGTAGGATCACGTCGAGTCGCGTACCATTGACCTGAATATTGTGCAATTATTTATTAGGAGGTAAACTTGGCATGGATAATCGATGAGTTGTTCTACCTTCTTCTCCGTCTTCACATTCGGTGTCAACCCACTTGAAAGCAGAACCATCGCAGTAGATTGAGTACGGAATAGTTACTCCACCTCCAAGTTTTTGAAGGGTGTCATATTTGCCTATTGTAATTTGAATCTGGTTAGTTGAATCACACCAGCTTAAATGGACATACTTACTTTGAATGAGCAAGCCTTTTGTGTCAGTGACTCCAAAAAAGGTCTTTAAAGTTGCCTTGTTTACGGTTGTAATTCCATCACCCAAAGAGTCATATGCTGTTTTTGCAAGCTGAAAGTATTCTTTGCTTGCCTCGTTGAGGGCGTCAAGTTTACCATTGCAGCTTTCGTCAGTCCACGCCCATTTCACTGAGTTGTCTAATGCTAGACTTATAACAGGTCGGGCAAAAAAACATGTAACAGCAAATAATATAGAGGATATTCTCAAAGAGTTCAGCATATTTATAGTATTGTGTATAGCAATAAAAGAACTTTGAGAGAAGGCAAGCCAAGTCAGCAAGTAAGCCTCCCGCCAAGTTATTATCAATCTTAAAATTTATCTAGATTTTTCTTTACTATCTATAACAGGCTAGGGCTTACCCATGGACACCACCTTGGGGCCAAACCAAGTGGACTAAGAAATCTGAGTAGGAAGATTTGACTTTTACACATCTCGGCAATCTTTTCAAGGCTGCGAGCATATATTCATGAGGTTACTCAGCTCCCGTATCCCTTCTATTAATCTCGGGAAATCTGAAATACTGCCTACTAGGTAGATACCTTGATATATTGGCTGGTGATAAGCCAGGATTTTTTCGGCCCCGAGCCTTTCATAGTCGTGATACCTAGGTGTTGCCCCGTCTCAACCTTGAGAACTTTTGGACCAATTGCCTAGGTAATAATCATGCATAATAGCTAATATTATAGAAAATTAGATGACTAGAACGAGGCGTAAATGAAATGCCTCGGTGAAGCTTGAGCGGGGAATTTAGCCAAATCCGTGTTCTTTAGACCAATTAAACATAAGGATAACCCTTATCATAACCGGAACAACCATGTTCCGCGCCTTATCGGTCGCCGAACCTGGGAATTCCAAATTTTTATACGTATTTTACGTGATATATACTACGGATTCGATGTGTAGATATGAGACTCCGGGAAACGTTCACTATTTCTGCCTAAATTATCCCACCGCCTTTCCCTCCGGGGGCCACTACCGTGGAGGCGGACAAATTGTAGCCCTAGTCCGAGTCTGTATCCATGTCATCTTGGAGGCGTTGACTACGTTGCTGCTGGAGTGACCGGATGAGTGCTCCTGGAGATCGCTGGACTCCCTCTGATGTAGACCAAGCATGGGTAACAGGAGGAGTATGCACACTACCAATAATATGCTGGGCTCGTCGGCGAAGGGCATCAGCTAAGCGCATTTCAAGTGACAAATGGTGCCGCACCGAAAACTGTTCGAAGTCAAATGACTCATCGAACATTATCCCTTCAATTGAACGAACACGGGATACGGCGACATACGCCAGACCTGGACAGAAGTCATGCTTTTTGATGTTCAAGACTGCCCGTAGCACAGTTATCCCCTGAGCTTTATGAACAGTTATCGCGTATGCAAGTACTACAGAAAATTGTGTACGGCTGCAGGCTATAGAGTTAAGAGTAAACTCCCGCCGGGATGGCAAAATTGGAACAATCTTCCTCCTATCAGTATCAGTGAAGAATGCTGGCCTAGTATAGCTGTCAAAGTGAACCATCAAAGCTAAAGGCTGTGTTGACCTAGGATCAGTAGTCCTAGCTGGCCACACAATCTCAGTAATAGTGCCAAAAGCACCATTTACTAACCTAAATGCAGTCCAAAGATTTTCGGTTAGCATTATCCTGGCGCCAATTGAAATACTAAGTATCTCGAGTAGATTCCCAGCATCATCGCTAGAAGCAGTCTTAGCGCCCTGGCCTATACTTATAGCGTCTAGTCTGATCACCGGTGAACGTAGCTCACGTAGACGCCGTAGATTATACTCATCGACAGCATCATGGGTAGCATATATTCGAATTGCAGTATCAAACAGTCGAATCTCTTCATCTGTAAGGACAGACTGTGCCCTAGTCGATAATAATAGCCAGTCATCCTTAGTGACAGTATGAAGTCGTAAGTGTTCTAATGCCTGACGGAACATGAAGGTTGCATCACCTTGCTGTCGTACGATTGTGGTTAATTCAATTGTCTTATCGAAGCTATGGTAAGCCTGTCGGCCAGCTATCATCTCAATTGTAGGTAGTTCACGTGTGTCAAATAGTGCCTTCGACATAATAGGTGGTAGTTGATAAAAGTCACCAGCAAGAATGATGTTTAAGCCACTAAATGGTTTATCACTGTCACACATGAAGATCTCTCTACATCTTTGATCAATCCAAAACAGGGCAGGGATACCGATCATCGATTTTTCGTCGATAATAAGATATGTAGTGTGTCGAAAATCGGACTGTAACGATAATAAATGGCCAGGTGATAGTGGCTGATATTGTGATGCTAGCACAACTGGCAGCTTGAACATCGAATGCAGAGTCTGACCACTAATACCATATGCCGCCACGCCAGTCGGAGCAGCTCGCTTTACTGGATTTAGTTGATCTCCACCAGTCGTAGTTGGCGCCATATTTTGTAGATCCTTCGAGAGGAGCATAATCAGAAACGACTTTCCAGTGCCAGCTTTTCCGTCAAGGTTTATAAGCAACTGGGAAGGTTGAAAGCCATTCAGGAAGCTTATATAGTGGTTAGTCACTGTATCATATAGAAGACGCTGCTGTGTGTTCAGCTCGTCTGGTGTCGATAGTACATCACTCCTCATCTCGACCAGATACTGCGCCTTAAGCTGCTTCCAATAGTCGTTTTCAACAACGTACTTCCTAATATAGGGGCTCCAGTCATATCCGCGATTGATATCGCGGCTTCCTAAGCTATCTGGATCATCTCGACGTGTAATATCTCGCATTGGTGCATCTCCTGCAAGAATCTCCCAACCTTATGGATTATCAATTGGATCATCAATATCTTCGAATAAAGCATCATCCTCTGAAGTGTCAAGCTCCTTGCCATATTTGTCATCTGGATGGGTATACACTACCCGGCAATGGCTGTACGCCTCTGAAAACGAACTAAACTGGTGAGCTCCTATTTAAAGGAGATCACTCACCTTCCTGAACGGATGATGTAGAGTAAGCTTCACACGTGCAACTTCCTCCTGCTCACGGTAGACTGGGTAGTAGTTTAAAACACGGGGTTTTGCACCACGAACCCCTCTTAACCGATACTTATACCAATCGTAGTCTCGAAGCCAGGTTAAGTAAGACACATCCTCAAGTGAGATAGGACGTGAAAGATACCTCTTGATTTTAGACTTTGCTGTGATAGCATCTTCCTCATTGCCCTCATTACTAACCATATAAGCTTGTCCTGGTGATCTGGATGTGTACAGTCAACATGAACTGTGATTCTGCTAGAGTTTTGGAGCGGTATCCCAAGCAGGATGTGACAGACTTCTTGCGCGGACCAATCCCTCTCACTGATAAGTGCGTTCATAAGCTTAGTTACTGCTGTGCGTAGTGGATTTTGAGAATCGGCTGGAACGTGTGAAACGATGTCTTTCATAATAGAGTGGTAGGCAGTGGTTTTTGTCTCAGCCTTCCTAATATATTTACTTAGGTAATTCAGGATAGCCCGGGTGCCAGTGCAAGGGGCAATATCAATATTAGTCAACCACGCGAGACTTAGCACTACACAGTAACAGTTCAGATGAGGATCGTTTCGAATAGGCATCATTCGCCAGAATGTCGAGCCTACTGGTCGTATTAGTAGAGGCATATCGCGGACTTCAAATGGGAATCGAAATCGACACTCTTGTTGAGCAGTTATTTTATTGATGCGTAGATAGTAGTCGTTATAGCAATGAGCCTATACACGACTAACTAATGCTGCCAACATAAACCGGGTGTTTTGCTGGTCCTTGCCAGCTAACTGCATAACAGGATAGATATCTCGATATGGAGCAGGTAGGCCGACATTATCGTTCACTGCAGATATTTGGATACCCTAGTAGTTTACAAATATGGCGCGACTATCCTTAGAAAGCAAGTTATCTGAGTCAGGCGGAGCACCAAGACCATTAGAGCCAGTCACCCAATACGTCCTATGACTATGGCCTGAACCCCTACCCTGCCACTCATATCGATCCCATTCATCTTGAACATTAAAATAAGGGTTGATAACATGCTTTTTAAAACATTCAAAACGAATCGTGAGCCATTGGGCCATAATATGCGGGTTTTCACGTAAGTTGACACAAGCAATTGACATGCGTAACTGAGTAGAAGCAAGAAGCCACTCATTGTATCTTGGTAAGTGCTGCATCAGGTCATCCCAATGAAGGTCTGCAGCAGATATAGTGATAAATAGCTATGATGGCCTAAGGTGTCGAATCATCGCTTCTAACTCCTTACGCCGAGCTCCCTAGAAAGGGCGAGAGCCAGGAATAAAGCTAGAAAATCGAGAGATAGAGTTAACTATTGAGTGCATTTCCTCGTCCTCGGCTAAGAAGATAGCTTATAAGTCCTCAAGTGAGAAATTCTGTTGTCTAGACCAAGAAACAAAGAATCCGGCACGAACAGAGCTTTTATGCCGCATTATTGTGTTAAAGGCGACATATCGAAACCTCGGATGACGGGCAAATCGGCCAGTAGAATGCTTCATGAGATAGGTGATGTAGTCCTCATATTTGACCGTTCGTTGTCTTGGAGTAGTGAATTCCGCATCTCCATATAGGTATAGACTAGGGAATGCAAGTGAGAGCAGTGCCTAAGAGTTGTCAAACTCACTTAAAGGTGTGTGACGAAATGGTGGCATAGTGAGTTATCTCTTTGGCGCGATCATATCAATAATAGTGTCTATTTCAGCTTCTCTTATAGAGAGATTTGGAATAGCTGCAACCACTAGGAACTTAGTCCCATCCTCTAGATCATCTATATTGCTAGGACCTGACGCTAAACCGGCGGAGGTAAAGGAGTGAGAGATAATACCATCCTGGCTTAGGATTTCATTCATGATATTACCATCAATTGGCAGTTGAGATAGCCGATCCTCTTATATTTGAATACCCCGATATCCAGGGTGGTTTCTTTACAAGAAGAATAGCCAATCCTGAACAACAAAACGTCTGACTCGAAAATCCTGTATAAATTGGCGCGCTAGGTTTGGGTCTGAATCTGAATTCGGAGGGCGAAGGATCAAGATATCTAGCTCAATAGGGAGTAGTGGTAGTTAAGTAAAAACTTTACCAATATCCCGTAGGAAGTTGACAATATGGCCTCGATATTTGAACTGTTGACCCCGAACGAGTCGCACTTCCATGAAAACATGCACACGAGCAATTAACATCTCCTCAACTTGCGTTAACTCTGGTAGGGTTGGTAGCTGGCCAGGGTGCATATTATTCTCCTTGCTAAAGAGATGACATTGAGTAGCATCTAAGTCAACTTTACGGCACCGAGCACAGATATTATCTTTCACGTTCATGCTAAACCATGTCTCATCATAGTGTAAATAGGTATCCATCTTCTCAGCTGATAACCCCTCTCGAAAAGCTAAGATCATTGCCCACTCTCTTGGCGAGACTGCGTCTGTTGGGTTCTATAAAGCGGCAATAGGATCGTACGGTAATATCGCCAGTGGATCTTCAGCTAATTCAACTAGGGAGTGTTCAACTTGGGGAGCTTCAACTGGGTGAGCTTCAACTGGAGGATGTTCGACTTGGGGAGGTTCGTGGAGTGCTGTAGCTCTTCTCACATCTGAAGCCTTGAGATACTGGCGGCAGGTAAGACATGTTGTAATCTTGAGTCTGCGTCTTCCTGATTCCGGGATATACTGATCTAGAGGCTTTAAGGAGTGACAGCTATTACAGACTTGGAATCCGTCGGTAACTGTGTTCGCGGCGTTACTCTTCTTCTTGGCAACAGCAGCTTTTTTACTAGCGCGACATGATGCACATTGCGAAAGGGTTTTAGTTCCCCTCTCTGGAACAAACTGAGTAAGAGGTAGGTGTTTCTTGCACTTAGTGCACTTCTGTGTTAGTGGATCCATCCAGAAAGATTAAGAAGTGGTTGAATATCAGGGAAAGGATGAAAGATGGAAGTAGGAGAAAGAGAAGATTAATGATATAAGATAGATAGAAAAGATGAAATGAAAAACGCGAGTATAGTCAACAATCGGGTTAAATCTATGAAAGTGGATACAATATTCAATATAGACTCTGATTGGACAATCCCGGCGGTGAAACAACCACGGCAGAAAGAGTGAGCATTTCCCGGAGTCTCAAATATACGCGTAAATCCGTAGTACGGGTCACGTAAGTACAACAATTATGATTGGACCGAAAAATAGATCCACATCGGATCAGACATTATGATTGGAGCAACTGAAATATTCGACTCCTATTGGATAAATGCTGGATACCTAGGTATTGGGATCCACAATTAGGGAAAAAAAGGCTACCAAGGGGTCACATGACGAGGCTACTGTTGGAGTAAATAGCTTATCGCTTCGCTCAAGCTATAAATGCTCAAAGAAGGACTGGGGCGCTAAAATACATATGCAGAGGAGCCCCTTGGCCCCCAACTCAGGACCCCAGGAAGACCCTGAAATCATTTAGTATGACTGATACTGAAATGAATTATTATCTCGGTATTTTAAGCCACTATTAGTTAGCGTAAGTAGATAGTTGTTTAAAAAGAACTACAAGTAAACGTCTAGCCCGTAAAATGTCCTTCTTTCAAGCCAAAACAATACTTCGAAATTTGTTAAAAGGAAGGATTTATTATATGATGCTAAATAAGAAAATAGAAGCTTTATGCTTAGTTAGCTATTAGTAACTATTTTTCAAGAAAGCTAATAGCCTTGAAAGGCTTTCTGGGCCTTGACCTATCCTGTTGATCAATCTTGAAAATATGCACCAAAAGTTTTTGAAGATTATCGGGACGATGTGAATGGAAAGTTAGACCAAGTTCATATCAGGATGTGGGCTCAGGCATTTACGTATTAGGAATCATCAGGCGAGGAGTGGAACAAAATCAGTTCTCACTATCAGATAGATGACTAAGATATAGCTTGAAGATCTACGTCTAGACAGAAGCGCGGTATTCAGGTAAGGATCAAGGCCACAGGAATCTGATATCTGTGCCGGTCGATATATCATCCGGCTTTGATGGATCCGAATGCCATCCCTGTGTCAGCAGTGACTGTGTTAAAAAAATCTTCAAATTGAATGAATCCGGATCCACGGATGATACTAGATAGTTGTTTACTGAAACAAGTAGAGTTGATTTGACAGAGTGAGAAGTGGAGAAGAATGTTCTACATTAAGCTTAGTCAGGAACCCAATCTAGGTTTTCTCTCCGAGAGATGGAAACTCACATTACCCCACATATGCTAATGAAGAGCGAGAAGATATCCTTCTTTGACACTATTAGAGAACTTGATAACTAGTCATTGATACCAAAACTGAGAAGATTCAAAGACTATGTCTAAAAAATCAGAAACAGTCCGCCCAGCATTCCCTGGTCGCGAACGTCCTCTACTATCATACGGCATTGAATTCCCGGCTGCCGCGGTTCACCACATCACCGAGACCTTCCGTGCCTCGCGGGTTTATGTGATCTGTTCAGGCTCTTTGTCGCGAAACACCGATGCACTAGATCGGTTGATTGCCGCTCTGGGCCCTGAGAATGTTGCAGGGCGTCGGATCGGCATGCAGACTCACACTCTTTGGTCGGAGGTGTTGGAAATCGTCAAGGATGCCAGAAATGTGAAGGCTGATCTGCTCCTAACTCTTGGTGCGGGGAGCTTGACTGATGGAGCGAAAATAACCGCATTGGTGCGCACTTAATTTAACCGCATATGTATAGCTACGTTAATAAATTCCATAGGCTCTTGCTAATGATGTACGGACCGCCGATGATCTCAAAAGTCTTGCTCAAGGTCCAAACAGACGGTCGGAAATACTTGGCCCGTCTGTCCAAATTATATCAATTCCTACGTCACTTTCTGCTGGCGAGTACTCTGATTTTGCAGGTGGTACTGATGACCGCTCTCGCCGCAAGTATAGCTTTCAAGCACCGTGTCGTGGCCCTCAGCTTGTCATCCTTGATCCTGATCTTGTCACAAAAACGCCCGACTCTATCTGGTTGAGTACAGGTATGCGTGCAGTCGACCATTGCGTCGAAACGCTGTGTGCAGTGGTTGGTGTATCGCCAGCATCGGACAAATTGGCAGAGCGTGCCCTGCTACTACTGGTACCAGGCTTGCTTCAGTGTAAGAAAACCCAAAAAGATCATGATGCCTACCTATTGTGCCAGCTTGGGTCTGTTGATGCCATGGCAGCTTGTACAAGTGGTTCGGTGGAGCTAGGAGCTAGCCATGGTATTGGACATCAAGTATGTGGAACGCTTTAATTGTCTTTTTTCTGGATACAGTAATCTTACATTTTTGACAGCTTGGGCCGCTGGGTGTCGGCCACGGTGAGACTAGCTGTATTCTCCTCCCAGCCGTGTGTAAGTTTAACGCTGCGTACGATGCAAACCGCGGCCGTCAAGAGCACGTGCGTAAACTCCTTATTCATGAGCCGGCTGTATTAGGTGTTTTGAAGGAGCGTTCGGTGGACATTGCCAAAGCTGACCTTGGAGACGTTCTGGATGCTATTATTCGTGAGCTTGGTATGCCACGGTCGTTGAGGGATGTGTGAGTGAGCCGCGACAGACTCGATGGCCTTGCAGAGCATAGCCTTGATGACCGGTGGTGTAAGACCAACCCAGTTCCGCTCAAAGAAAAGGGTCAAGTATTGGAGATCCTGGAAATGGTTTTTTGAAAGAAGTTATAAAATCGAGTGATGAATGGGTTTCTTTTGCGTGGAAATCTAACTCCCAGTATAAACCTATACTGTGGTTAGTATTGTTTCAAGGATCTGAAATTACAATAAGTGCGGAGTAATAACAACACTTCATTTACACTAAACAAAGCTAAGGATCTGCTAACGGTTATTAGGTACAGATTTAACCAGGAAGGCCAAATATAGTAGATACATTTGATTCGTCCATATCAATTGAAAACAAATCCTCAAGATTCCTCGTACCCGCAGATGAGCCCCCACATCACCCAGGTACGCCCCAGAGACGCTAATCGATGAGATCCTGCGAGGTTTATTTTAAGCTAAATAAATGCAGGCTTTGGACGAAGATCTCCATTCAGCTGTAGCTAGACTAATATGGAGTTCCACGGTTGACTATTTACACCTTACGTGATTATCTACACTGTAGATCCCAGATCATGCAATATGGACCCAAATCCCGATTCAACCACCACGAGGTTCCACGAGGCCATTACGTACGTCTTTTGCCTTTTACGGCCCGCAATGAGCCTCCAATCAAAGACTACCTCCAAAAAAAGAACAAAATAATAATCCATTTAGGTAAGACTGAAAGACATAATTACTTAAATGTATCAGAAAATTGTCGTCTGATGGATCATGAGCTTTGTTGTAGTTGTTCTTATGGCAACGATCGTCCGGCAACTTCAAAATTCACTTTTTTTCCGCCCTCTAGTTAAGCTTCATCTTTGCCAGTTTACCATTCCCCCCGGAATTTTCGCTTAATTAATAATCCGCTGTTTCAGGTTCCCAGAGTTTCCATTCAACCTTTCAACTTGGAACAGTTGACTAACTTTGCTCCGTACTTGACTTTGGGCGGAACTATACACCATGCCCATCACAAAGCCCTATACGGCATCTCCCTATGGTTCTACAACCTCACTTCACGGACAACATTTGCGAGAGAGCATCAATCAAGATAATGTCTATTCCGAGGTACGCTCACAAATACACCTGATGAATTTTTTGTACAGTTTACAAGGCATATTAATTAATATTGTCTAGATGAGCCAAATCGAAGAGCTCCAGGGGGTGCGCCGATCTACCAAACGAAACAGTCGAAGATTCTCATCTATGCCTATGGGCGATGCAGTACCTCAACGACGCTCAATGGGCCTAGGAGTCCGCCGCTATCCGACACGAAAAATTAAATTGGGCCAAGATAATGTGCTCAGTGCAGACTACCCGGTCCCCAGCGCAATTCAAAATGCGATACAATCAGAGTATCGCGACTCTAAGGAGTTTTCTGAAGAATTCTCTCACCTTCGCTGTGTGTTTCCCCGTCGCGTTTAAAGGTTGCCAACCGAGGCTGATTGACTAGACACCGCGGCAACATGCGATCCCGACGAATTCGTTATGCGAAACGGATATAACCTTCGACCATCTATGTATAACCGACACACAGAATTGTTGATCGCCATAACCTATCATAGTGAAAACAAGGTTCTCACAGCGCGAACTTTGCATGCGGTTATGCAGAATATTCGCGATATCACCAAAATCAAGAAGACAGAATTCTGGGATAAAGGTGGACCGACATGGCAGAAGATTGTGGTCTCTTTGGTTTTCGATGGATTCGACCCTTGCGACAAGAATGTTCTCGATGTATTGGCGACCATTGGCATCTACCAAGAGGGCATCATGAAGCGATCCATCGATGGCAAGGATGTTGAAGCTCATATAGTAAGACATGCACATAGATTGAATCAACTTCAAATCTTGGAAGAGCAAAAAACTAACATTAGATGTAGTTTGAGTACACAACACAGCTTTCGGTCACTCCAAATCAGCAACTAGTACGACCCAACGGTGACGACTCTGCTAATCTCCCACCAGTTCAGATGATCCTCTGCTTGAAACAAAAAAGCAGCAACAAGATCAACTCGCACCGCTGGATCTTCAACGCAATCGGTCGCTTAATCAATCCGGAGGTAGTCATTCTTCTTGACGCCGGTACCAAGCCTAGCAGGAGATCTTTTCTTGCGCTATGGCAGTCCTTTTACAACAACGAGAACCTTGGTGGAGCTTGCGGCGAAGTTCGCGCCCTCCGCCATAAGCGCAACATAATCAACCCCTTTGTTGCTGCCCAAGACTTCCAGTACATGGAGTCCAACATTCTCGACAAGCCTTTAGAGAGTGTATTTGGACACGTGAGCGCGAGTGCTTTTTCCGCCTACCGATATCGAGCCATCATGGGCCGACCTCTGGAGCAATATCTACACGGTGATCCGACTCTAGCGAAGCAGCTCGGCAAAAAAGGTATCGAAGGGATGAATATTTTCAAGAAAAACATGTTCTTGGCAGGTGATCGGATTCTGTCTTTTGAATTGATCGCCAAGGCCGGGTTTAAGTGGCAATTGACCTTTGTCAAAGCCTCAATAGCTGAAACTGAAGTCGCAGATGATTATGCAGAGTTCATTAACTTTCAACGCCGATGGCTGAATGGCTCTTTTGCTGCTAATCTTTATGCGATTATTCATTTTGCTCGGATCTACAAAAGTCGTCACAACATTTTCACCTTGTTGCTACTCCATATTCAAATGGTGTACAATGTTGCTCGTTTTGTACTAAATTGGTTCTCTCTCGGTATGGTTATCCCTTTTCTAGATTTTGCCCATCACTAACAAGCAGCAGCTTCGTTCTGGATAGTCAATTGGGTCATTCTTGACCTAGTAGGCGATGCTTCACCCGCCAATAAAAATAGAGGATGGCCATTTGGAAATATAGCTACTCCAATCGTGCATAACTTCTTCAAATATGGCTATGTTATCTGTGTGGGGGTTCAATTCATTCTGTCCTTAGGGAACCGGCCACAAGGGTTAGTATACAAGTATGTTCTTATCAAATCACCACTAATCCATTTTTTATAGATCCCGTCTAGCCTACACCTTTTCTTTCATGATATTTGGATTCATCCAGTTGTATGTTTCGGTCCTGGCATTCTACATGGTCGGCACAAACACAACAAGCAGTACCATCGACTGGGCTATGGATGAGGACGCCATAATATCAAAGCCCTGGAATACACTAGGCTCCGACATGATTTTGCTCACTATAATTTGCACATATGGAACCCACTTTGTCGCAAGTCTCTTATATCTGGATCCATGGCACATTGTCACATCCTTCTGGGCCGCTTATACCGGAATGACGTGCACATCCAACATATTAATGGTATATTCCTTCTCCAACTGGCACGACGTTATCTTGGGAGTGAAAGTGGCCAACACGAGCAAGTCACTGCCCGAGGCGCAAACCAAGAAGGATGCCAAATCAACGTTCGTTGAAGAGGAGGAGAAACCGCAAATTGATATCGATACTCTCTTTGAGACTACGGTCAAGCGAGCACTAGCCCCATTCGTAGCTCCACCGGATGAAGATGAACCTAGTATTGATGACTCGTTCAAGGCTTTCCGGACATGGCTTGTTGGAGCTTTTATTTTCAGTAATTTGCTCATGGTGCTTTTGATCCAAAGCCACGGCATCAAACAGATGTGCCTTGATGTAAGTCTATTTCATCTGCTGAAGTTATGTTATTACAACACTGACGGAAATTCTTGACAGGCCGGTCCTACCAAACGGACGTTGAATTATGTTCTGGCCGTTGTTTGGGCGACTATTGGACTATATCTGTTCCGCTTTATTGGCTCGCTCTTCTTTTTGGCCAAGTCATATATGCTCATTTGTATCTCAAAAAGATAGAAATTCTGTCTTCCCGGCCCACCATAACTGTAATTGTTTATAATCATGGAGATAGCATAACATGGAAATAATATGGAAGACATGATACGCCTTTCAATGACAATCTATTATTCTTGACCATCGTAATTATAATTCTTTGTTGAAGCGTATTCTTCCCGCCGCATTTCTAAGCTTCTTGCCAGAAGTCAGACAATAGCTTTGTTTTAAAGCCACACATCCTTTTAACAAAGATCATTGTTGCTTTCATTATTGTGTAGAAATCACAATAGGGCTTTGTTCAAGACCCGAGACTACAATTCAAATCTTCCGATGTCGACCTAATCTCTCGATTATAAAACGAGGGTACTCCACTATCAGAGAAGATATCAAAGCTACAAACAAAATCTCAATTACATCTGAACCGAATTTAAATTAATAACCCGATAACAACTACTACCATGTCTTCTCAAAATAAGTCTCCAACCAGGGGGTCTTCTCCCAAGATCAGTTCTCCCAAGACATCCTCTCCGGGTATCCCAGTCACCCACATTTCCGAGTCTGACCCCCCGTCTCCTTCAGCGGTGAGCATCGAGTACCTTGAACAATCCTTCCAACAGAGCAGAAAGGAACTCATCAACTTCATCGATGATATCTCCAAGCAACTCGCAGAAAGTCCTGGTCTTTTCAAGCATCTAGCAAACCGTCTCACCGAGGGCACGGGTGATATGGATGAGCTACGTCGTCAAGCACTTTGTACAGATACAAATCTACCACCCTGTCTAGGTAAGAGATTAGATCTCATCAAAAAAGAGGTATCAACTGCATGCAGTATCCTCGACGGCTCGTTACATCTCGCCCCTCATGCTGCACTGGTTTTAAACATGCTAATTATCCAGATAGGAAGACTGTCCATTCGTGGATATGATTATTCTGATGCCAGTGCGCATGGGTATGAGTTTGAGGCTTATTATACCACACAAAAACTAAAGTCGTTTGATGTTTCCAAGGCTGAAGCTGCCACAACAGCTCAACGCGATATCATTGCTATTTGGCTGCGTTTGAATGCTCCTCAGGATGACTGTGAATGTCAGCAATGCACAAGAAGGGTTTCTGGTAAGAAGCCAGAAGAAACATATCAGGTGAGTGACCCCAATTTCAGTTTCGAGTTCTAGGACTTTCTATTTAAACCAAGAATAATCAACAACGCAATGGAATGCAGTCATTTTGCTGAATAAAATCTGCAGACAATTTTTTAACTCTAGGTAATTGTAGACATGGGCCCACTCCAAATTATGGTCGTAGTACAGAGTATAATCTTAGTGGCTGGTTATCCGGGAATATGCTAGTTTTCGGAAAACAACAAAAGCCGTTAAAGCCGACTGACACTCCGTATATCAGAAATGAAGATTGGCCCATACCCATACTTGCTTTTTGTGTATAAAAATGGAACTTCGAAAATTAAAAAATTTCAACTCTTCAGCTTCTCCGTAGCAAGTTTCTTCCCAGTCAATTGAGGCCTTAATTCATCATCTGGGCACAACTGAATTTACTAAATCAACTCAAACTTCAAATCATGGCCCCTTTCCCACTAGGTCTTCAGCTGGCGCAGTCCATAGGAGTAGGTGGTGCCCTATGGCTATCAGGTATGTCGTGAACTTGGAATTTGAATTGGAGCATACTTTGGATATGATTTCTCCAATGGCCTTTCTTGATGCCTAAGCCGGTCCAGAAACTTGAAACTAATCATTTCCTCAGGAACAATTGCATCGGTCAGTACAATAACTATGCCTGCTCTGCTCCAAGCACAAGGAGAACAGATCATTACCGTCACAACGCTTGCTCAGCAATGGAGCTGCCTTTATGCAACGGGAAAGGCTAGAGCTCCACCTATTGCAGTCACTGTAGCAGCCTCATTTTTGTATATGGCCTGGTCCGTGCGCGCAGGGACACATTTCTTCAAGAACGCACGAGTTAGTCGCAGCGCTCTCTACAGTGTAGCGGCTTGCTTTGTTGTTGGAATTGTACCATTTACTCTCGTGATGATGGCCAGCACAAATAACGCTCTTTTGGGCCTCCCAGTTGCTCCATTGGCTGATTCTAGTGTCCTGGAGTTGATGGAGAAGTGGACTTCGCTTAATCGGGCCAGGAGCTGTCTCCCTTTGATCGGTGGCGTCTGCGGGATTGTTGCTTCTTTACTTTGAGTTTAATTGAATCCACAGATACATCCATTCCCGATTACCTAGGACCTTGGTCGTGTCAAAGACCGCAGTTCATGGGCGTGGTTGAGGCTGCATAACCGGGTGTATGAGGACGCTTTGTATATAATTGATCGCACTTGTGGTTTCTGTGAAGCAGAATGGAATTCAAAATGACAATTTCCCCAAGATTGCTATCATGATAAAATGGTGATAACAGCAACAACTACTTATAGCCTAAGTTCTAAAATTAGAAGGTTGACATATTCAATGCTAACACCAGAGTAAAGTCTTGACGCCTGTGAGATCTTGAGATCTGGGGAACCGGTGGGGACGATCGCCTAAGGACGCCAGGGCCCACATACGCCACAACGGTATGTTGTAGGCGGTAACGATCGGTATCAGCGTCATTATAGCGGGGCTATATCGCCAATTTCTGACCGCCCTTTTCATCTTCAATCAACCCACACCAACATCGAAGTACCCGCATAATGGCCACAGAAGGACCTCGTCCTGGCTTTTTGGGGAACCTGAATCCCGAACAACAAGCCAAGCTACGGAAACTGTGGACAATCGTACTCAAGGCGACTGATGCCGATAAGTCGTCAAGCGGAGATGTCGACGAGAAGACATCTGAACCCGCACAAAACAAGGTTTCCAGCAAACCCGCACTCAGTCCTTGCTCGCAACAAGTCCTTGATGATCTGAAACAAGCCGGAATCGGTGCGCAAGAGACAAAGAGACTCCAAAAGTCATTTTCAGCAATTTCCCCCAGCGAATTGGGCAGTGCAATTTTCGAAACTCTCAAGCAAGATCATCCAGATGCTACACTACTGCGCTTCCTTCGCGCCCGTAAATGGAACATCAGCAATGCCTTCCTCATGATGATGGAAGCCATCGTCTGGAGAGCAAAGGAGATGCACGTTGATGATGACATACTGGTTAAGGGTGAGCTGCACGCATGGAAGCAAGCGCAAAATAAATCAGATCCTAGCGAGAAGAAGGCTGGAGAAGACTTTTTGGCGCAATTGCGCCTAGGAAAGGGTTACGTCCACGGAACTGACAAGGCGGGTCGTCCAATTGTCGTTGTTCGGGTTCGGCTGCATAAGCCTGGCGCACAGAGTGAAGAGACTCTTGAGCGTTTCATTGTTCATCTAATTGAGTCTGTGCGACTCAATCTTTCTCCTCCATTGGAGACAGCCGTAAGGATCGCGTACTATTGCAAAAGTGAGTTTGCTAACCCTTTCATAGGCCGCTATCTTCGACATGACTGGTTTCTCTTTGTCCAATATGGTATGCAAAGAACGAAGATTCCATAGGTACGACTACTAAGACTTGGCTACTGTAGGAATACCCGCCTGTCAACTTCGTTCTAAAGTGTTTCGAGGCAAACTACCCAGAGTGTCTGGGCACTATGATCATCCACAATTCTCCGTGGGCATTCTCTGGTTGGTCTGGTCTTAGAAGTTTTCTATTTGTATCTTCTGACGAATCTAATACAGGCATCTGGAGACTGATACGAGGCTGGATGGATCCTGAAATTGCGGCCAAAGTCCAATTCACCAATTCGGCAGACGATATAGCCAAATATATCGACCGCGATAATTTTCCTAAAGAGATCGGCGGTACTGACGAATGGACGTACAAATACATCGAGCCCGAAGAGAATGAGAACGCAAAGATGGAGGATACCACGACCCGAGACGCTCTCTGCGAGGAAAGACGCCAAATCAGTGAAGAGTTTCTTGCTGCGACTATTGATTGGATCAAAGTCACCGACTCTAAAGATGAGTCACTAACTAAGTCCGTTGAAAGCCGAAGAGACGATCTTATTGAACGTCTGCGGTCTAACTACTGGAAGTTGGATCCATACGTCCGGGCACGTATGTGTCTTGATCGAGTAGGAGTTGTTAAGAGTGAAGGCAAGATCGATCTTCAATCCAAAATCCAAGACTGAGTCTGTGTCAAAGACATATTCAATGACACTGGACAAGGTGAATAATAATTGCATGACTATACTTAGGTGGATGAAATTTCAATCTTGGTCTGAATATTTTGAATATTTTGAGTATTTTAGCAATTATCTCATGCTAAAGTTGGAGCAAGAACAATAAAAGTCGAAAACATAATCGCTAGAATCTGTAGATTGACCTTTTTGACGAAGTGTGCAATGCCTTATTTTCATGTCCACGGGTATTTGATGACACTCAACGAGGTTTACTTGTTTACTAGTAGTATCTTGATGTTATCTATGTAATATGTTGATTATACCAATAGCAAAAAAGCAACCATGTTATAAGAGTCCAGGGATGGAACCGGGTATGAGATCAGTTGTTTTTAATCTCAACCAGACTCTAAATTTGGCTCCCGAGGTCAATCCCAAGAGTTATATAAATCTTCACGTCTTGAAACTCTCAATGGTCCCTTGCTCCGTACCACAGTAACTTCTGAATTTCAGCTTATTTTCAGGCAGTTGTTCGAGCTTCCATATCGGCTTCTAAAATGTGGGCAAGTTAATCCCATGGAGCCCCTTATATGCCGGCGACTTAGAAGGTTCCCAATCCTTCAGCAAAGTTTCATCTGTGATCTTCCACACTTCCACCCCGAGCGGACGACAAGTGGCGAGCATGTCAACCGCACCACCTCCGAAGCCCCAGGCTGAGAGGTCACCTCCAGGGCATGTGGACAGAGCCATGATGACGTCAATCTCAGCGAAGAACTCAATGTAGTCTCCAGCCTTTGCCGGACAAGGTCGCCTATCAACAGTCAGCTTTGTAAACAGATAGAATGTCAGTACTATAGAGTCTTACATGAAGTATTTGTCATCCTGGTTTAGCCCTGTGACCTGAAATAGATTGATCACGTCATGGACATCATATTCGGTTAGTCCAAATGGCATGATCGCCCTGGTAAGATTTGAATGGCAGTGATAATCAAAGTCGTCGCCAGTCAACATCTTGTTAACTATTTGGTAATTGGCATCAACTCCACAACGCTAAATATTGTCAAAATGAACGTACCATAAGGATCACACCTCGTCCCCAGCAAATCATGCACTCTTCCCCCGACAGCATCAGTCCCATACTTGTTCCCACCCAGAGTGTCAGCTATAATCGTAACCATCGGCCTTAGAAAGGGTAAACAGCTCCATAACCTATCAAAGGTAGATACGTGAGCGGCATGCAATTGCTTCGTTCTGCTCGCCCAGAACTTCTCCCTAGGGTTTTGCAGACCCCAGATGTTCAAATCACCGACTTGAGGACCTTCAGGCGTGCTGATGCGGCAGATGTGCCCGGCGGGAACCACCCAGGCTTTTCCGCTCCTGATTGGGATGATGAAGTCCTCGACCTTTTCACGGGCGGTTGCCTCTGCAATGCTGGTGTAGAAGGCACGATTGGCATGGAGGACAGAGCCTTTCTCTGCAATATAGCTGGGAACGGGATTTTCTACTTGAGCTGCCATGGTATGCGATGTTGCAGAGAAGTTAGAATCTGCTGGCTACTATAGAATCTTTCCAGGTTCAAATTTTGGAGAAGGTAGCATTTATACCAGATTGCGGACCCGCTAGCTAATACAGATACGGCTCGATTTTGGTTATCTTTAGGTTATCTTTAGGTAATGAAGTTGAGGGGTGTCAAGTCGATTGGTTCGGACTGACCAATCATTCAAATGCCACAAATGAATGAAAACTGAATTACTAAACTAGAGATGAAGTTCGCCTAAAATAGTAATACAAAGTGGGTAATGCAAACCCTACAAACCGGGCCAAATAAGGCTAACTAGGCCCAATCGAGCCTAAACCACCACCCATTTGACAAGGGGACTGATTCACGTGACGTCATTTGCAGGGTGGAAGAGGTAATCGAAGATTACTATAGAAGAGAATAATCTCACGAGGGAGAAGCCTCCTTATATAGTAGCACCTAGAGTACTTGAGCTAGAGGTCGGCACGGTTTTACGGATACGAATAATCCAAAATCTTACGGATATGTATCCGTGCCGACCTCGAACTTGAGCAGTTAATAAATATGAGAAAGTGAGCTAAAGCGAGAGTGAAGGTGATTACATACGTCGTAGTCTTTTAGTTCAGTTGGTTATTTGCTCCCCTTCATAACTATCGTACGTTGGAATAATGAAATTCCAAATTCCAAAAAATCCGTCAATCCGTTACCATCCCTATTGCAGTACTATATACTGCTGGTCGTTTTCGCCGCTGTGGAGGTCAATCAGTATTTTCGAAATTGATTTCCTGATAGCTGAAAGTGTGGTATACAGAAGCATAAGCGCTCCTTGTGGGATAGGAAATTTGGCCGCGTAACTAGAAGCTGGAGTGGATGGTGATGTAGGCAGCATTTTGTGTTGATACGGGTACAGCGAAAGGGGAAGGCGTCGAAATCTCATTCAAGCAGACTAGAACTGGTTGTAAGCTCACTGTTTAATAATAAATGATCAAAAATTCACATTATTAGGCCAAAAATTTGTGATATCACGTACTCTAGATACGTGCATCTATATCCAGAAACCCTGGATGACGTGGAAGTCAAGCAAAAGTTGTCAATACTCTTTTCTGGTTCTTCGAATCCCGCCATAATCCCAGGACTGCACTATTGTCTACATGGATGAATGGTGATCCGGGAAGTTTGTTCCTGATCAGTGATACTAATAGGGCTATTGGATACAAATGCGGTAGTCTTCTCGTAAATCTGCGTTTTCATCGTGACGCTGTGGGTATCAAATTTTAAAATTACCAGTATTAGCAAGAAATAAATCCCGAAATTGCTCGTAGCTAAGACATTCACAATCCTTTTCACTTCGCACCAGAGGAGCTGACCATAATCGACATAGAATACGTTCAAAACTCAAAAGCGGAGTCGTGAGATGCCAGGATGTCTTCAAAGTGATAGCCATCCCCAGACTTGTGCTCTTTGAACTTGTTGAATGTTGAAAGCATGCGGTTCGTTAATGACCCATGCGGTATCTTCTTCGTAGGCCTGGCTGATCTCTGCATAGTGGCTACAACACTAGCTTCAGCTGGTGCAGTCGCCTGATAACTCTGCCAAGATTCTTCGTAGAACTTCTGCATCTTTGGAGTGAGAGCAACCTGCTTAGGTGGGATATCTACCAGATCAGGTGAAGGGGCGTGAGATGGGATTTTTGGCGTGGCAATCTTCTTTCGCTCGGCTTTCGTTTGTTCGGCCTTCTTTGAATCAACCTTCTTTGGATCAGCCTTCTTTGGATCAGCCTTCTTCGTATCGGTCTTCTTTGGATCAGCTTTCTTTGGATCAGCCTTCTTCGTATCGGTCTTCTTTGGCTTCGCCTTCGTCTTGTGTGATACGTCGTCCCCCAGAATTGAAGCCCGAGTGAAGCCTGTTTCCACATCATCTGGCATTTGGAACTTCTTCGGTGGTCGCTTGGGCACTCGGCCCTTGCGCTTGGGCTCGGGAAGATCTGCTTGGGAGTTCTCTGGGGGAATGTCGATTATCCGCTTCTCAACGACTGGGCGTATACCAGCAGGGAGAATACGAGGAGATCGGTCATCGTGAAAGGTAAATCGGGTGCCGCTGGCGATCATTTCCTGCATTTTCTCGTAGTTGTCCTTCGCCTTTGCGTATGATTCTTCCTCTTTGCCCTTCATTAGCAGAAGAGTGATATTTCCTGCTCTCTTACGACCCGTTCGACCCATTCGTTGGAGCATTCGGATGGGTGATGCGGAAGAGTCGTAACAAACAATCCGGTCCACCTCACCAATATCCAGACCTTCTTCACCGATCGAAGTGGCCACAATCGTATTGTAGGTTCCTGTCTTGAATTCCTTGATAATTTGAAGCTGGGTCTTTTGGTTCATACCCTCAGATCCCTTGGCACTGCTCTGGCCCACGAAGATATGTGGCCGGATCATTGGGCCATATCGCTTCAGAACTCGCACCACTTCTTCAGCGCTGTCACGGAAATGAACGAAGATCATCACCCGAGTAGATGACTGAGCATTGTCGGCATTATCTTGTCCTTCGCCCGCGTCCATGAAGTGGTTCAGAATGACGGACTTCAAGTACTCCAGTTTGGGATGGCCGATGAATTCTGGGTTCTTAGTCCAAGGGCCCAGGTGGTTGCAGAGCTTCTTGAAGCTTTCATTTTGCACGACTTGCTTCTGATATTTCCCGCCCCCGCCCTTCTGACTCTCCATATTTGATTTGAAATGCATTAAATGGCGATAGAATGGCGTGATTCCATGGTACTTCAACAGGTCGATGGAGTGCGCCAAACTTGCAAGAACGGTGAAAATAGCATTCACCATCCCCTTGAGACCAAAACCGGCACTTCGTCCAGCGTCGGAGCCCATCCATTGCTGTCGCGCTTTCGTGAGACCGAACGCCGTCAACATCAAAGGATCTTTTCCCCAGTATGCATTCATCGTTCGAAGCTGGTCCACCAGAGGTTGTAGAGCTGTAGACATTAGATCCAAGCAGAACGTCATTTCCTCTGAGTTTTCGAATGTCTCAATCTCGATGTTTCGAGAATGTACGTATTCTCGGATATCAATGGAATGTTCTGTACGAATCTCAACTCGTGAGATATTCAATCCGTCGACGACAGCCTGCACTGATTCTACGGTTGATCCAGGAGTAGCTGTCAGTGCGAGAACACGGAAACTGTTGTTGAATCGCCGCAAGAAACTGACAACTTCGACATAAGCGTATCCTCCAGTGGCTCGATGCGCTTCATCAACAACAACCAATATAATACGTTTGGGATCGGCAATTCCGGTCTTAAGGTCGTTGATCAGTGTCTGCGGTGTCATGAAAAATACTCGCTTGCTCTGCCACTCTAGCGCACGTAAACCAGGTGCTGCTCCGCCAGTAAGCATAGTTGTCTCTGAACGAGGAATTCCAGCAATCTCCAAACATGCCGAAACCTGTTGTGAGACCAAAGGCTTTGTTGGCGCTACAAAGATAATCTGTGCATCCTTCGTCCATCGAAACCAATTCAACATGACTGCTGCAGCGATGAAGGTTTTTCCTAGACCAGTCGGCAAAGCAACCAGTAAGTTGTGGAAAAGACCAGTCTGGGTGATGTTAAATTGATAGTCTCGGATGGAACCGATATTTGTAGGGTACCACCACGTGTTGAGTTCATCATGGTTTAATTTATGGTGGGTTGGCGGTTCGTTCCTCTCTGACGGTAATCGATTTTGTTCTTGCTGTGATGATAAGTTTGGGTTCCGTGCAATCATGCCGAAGAGAGTGCTTTGTCGAAGAGCCCTGGCCTGGTTCGCAGTAGTTTGAAATGGGGTCCGCTGAACCGGCTGTGTTATTGGAGACAATGGAGATGAGTCAAACGCGTCCTCGGGAATATCCTCAAATTCAAACGAAACATTCTCCGAGCAAGGTTGCTGTAGTTGAAGAGACTGCACAGCAGGCCGAGAGCTGGATGCGCTCGAAGTACATGGTTGGAGAGCATTTCTTATAGTTTGATCTTGTTCGAATGCGTCGAGTGAAGCCGCTAATGCAGCCCTCATATCCTCGTCCTCGTTATCTGAAAAATGGTCGGCCTGGGGGTTTGTATTGTTTAACGTCGGTGGGGTGGTCCTCTCTGGTGAATCTTGTTCGAATATGTCTAGTGAAGCCGCTAATGCGGCCCTCATTTCCGCATCATTGTCATCTGAAAATTGGGTTTCCGAGAGTTGATCAGCCTGAGGTCTTGTCTTGTTCAACACCGGTGTTAGGATGGTCCTCTCTGGCGAAGAGAGTTCGAGTTCTGAGGGATCAGGCTTCTTCCACTTCGGCCCTCGTATCCGTTCGGGGCTAGAGAAGGGTTGCGTCAATTGTGTGACAAATATGTTCTCCTGAATGTTGCTGTGTTTGGTGACAAAGCTTCGGGATTTTCGCGATTGTTGCTTCTCGTGATTTTCTGGTGATTCAGGCTCGCTTATCACATTGTCTTCCATGTCAGAGGTAACAATGTGATTAATTTCATTGGATCCAATCGGATGTTCCACACGTTGACGCTTGGTCGGTCGAGAGGTGGGCAAATCATCGGAATCATAGTCGGGAATAACGAAGTCATCATCGTCAAAGTAGTCCGACTGTGAGTCTGCCACAGACATTGTGAGGCAGCTGGTGACCGAGGGGGTCAGTCTGTTTGTGGAACCAAACAAGCACTTTGAGAAGCGACGTTCCAATATCCCTGGATCAACAAGTTCTCATGATATTCCTTTATTTGATAAATCAATTATTGACGCGTCCAACAACGCGTCTCATGCATATTTAGTGCCTTAAGGCAACAACTGATTAGATTAGATATGCAGCCTTGTATTTCAGGCTCTACATAATAATGAACACTTCGAAACAAAACACCTAAATATTGGATTACTTTTAAAGACATTGCTACTCAAATTATCTTAGATTAAGATGATAGTGGTTTTAGAGCTGTTAAGGGAGAGCCTGGTCATTCTGATGCGCAAATACCACAGGTACCTGCTTTACTGAAGCTATATACATAATGGCATGGACCCATCTGGAAGGTATGGTAGTTATACCAGCCTTGGAAGGAAATAGGTTAACAAATGGTACCCCTAAGTAGGTATGCATCTTTAATGCAATCCTGGAGTACGTCGGGGATCTCATTGAATATGGTGGGTCGCACGCAAGAAATGTAATAAGAAAAACAGGAATGAATCGCGATGAAAAGCGAGCTAAAAGAGGGGAAGCTTGCATTTGGGCAGCTTGAAATGCAAGTGGATGCTTATTCTCGGATGTGAGCGAAATTGGCAGTAAGGTAGCACGTAGTTGTTGGATCATCCTTGTTTCTTCCGTGGTGGCCATTCCTTAGGTTCTTATTCCCCCACGGATGATATGCCGTCGACCGAGGCAAAGTCAGGTCTTGGATTTTACCTTGATCAAATTAGTGAAATGATTTCAAGTTCAAGAGCAATATTTCATATCTAACCCAAGCACCAATTCCCTGCAAGTCCTGACTCATGGTACTCTGGAGCGTGGAGTTGCTGTCTCTGTTAGTAATGAATTTCTCCAAACGTAGAAACTGCAGAAAGGCAATAGACCTACCTGGAATAGCCACTACCGTGATTTGCAGTGCCTCTCTGAGGAATTGGACGCTCCTTCGAAGAAGGACCCTTTGAAGGGGTTACTGTTGTCTCTGTGGAAGAGTCCATTGTGTCGATTTTGTAGTGGGAACGAGAGATTCATGAAAATCTTATTTCCTTCTAAGTCTTGAAGGTTCAGATTTTATGAAAGTGCTAGAAGGAAAACCACGGGAGATGGCCATCTAAAGCTGGATTTCAAAGGCATCTTTATAGGTATCACATGCGCAGGTCCATATAGTGATAACATGTACCAGATGTCCTTTTCAACGCCTGTTGAAAAGATGGTTTGAGTATCTCGACACAATTTTTGAATGGTTGTGATACGTGTGCCAAGAAAGTAGTGCATATAACACGTTAACTAGAGAAAATGCCATATGATGCGAGTCTTAGAAATATGTGTACAGAGCCGCAATCTGTAGCGCAGAGGAACAGAACTACTCCACTCTTTTCGGGTATGCTCGGTTGCCTTATCAAATACAATGCGCCCCATATGCGAGCCAGCGCACAAGCTGCTCGGGATTCCGGATGCGATATTGTCGCTGATTGATTGATGGACGAGGCAACCGTATGCATAATGAGTATAAATTGAAAACCCCGGGCATGCTCATCCCTGCCCATTAGTTTTCATAGCAGGATTCTCCAGAAGGATGTGTTTCCCAGTCAAAAAAACCTACACTTTCGTACAAAAATTACTCGAATCAATTAACAGTCCATATTGATGTGCTGGCCAACGCACGTGGAGGAGATACCTTTCTGTGAGGAACAATATAAATGAGGGCTAATTCAATTGCTCAACTACAAGTCACCTGGTCACCTGCAAGAGTCCAAATCAGGAAGTTGTTGTATAACACAACACATGGATAAGGCTGATATCCTCGAACCCTCGATGTCTACGCATGCAAGTATGATTCTAATCCATTCTCATATCTGCTAGCTTCGAACTTGTATATCACCTCACAATGTGACACTCATCTCACGGGATGCGCCAAAGGCGATCCTAGCGCACTCAACGCAAGGGAATTGACGTATAACCCTGTCACTACTCTCTTCCAACCAAGCGCATGATATTGAACATCGATAAACCAACGTGGGGCCATAAGCCTTTCGATTTCTCATATCAAGAAAGTAGAAAAAAACTGTTTTGATTTTGGTTCACTGACTCTCGGGCTGTTACCTCGGCTAAGTACTTTTGGAGAAGCCAACGAAAAAGTTTGGCTCGCAGCCTTCATCAGGTGAAATGATAGTTCTCACTCGCATCCTGGCTGCCTAGATGCTGTGAGTGTATTTAAGATTTAAATTAAATAGAAAAGAAGATAACAGGTACACAAGTTTGTATAGAACCTCAACATTGGATCTCAAGTTATAATAGAAAGACAGTCATTGGTCGATCCAACTGTGGGGAATTGAAATTGAACAATATTGAACTACTAATATTGAACTACTAATATATGGTGAATAGCTTAAGTTGATTAAAATACGCACTAAATTGATAACTACTAAATAAACTGTGAAAGTTGAAAACCCGAAAGTTGAAATGGATTGACTTGTTGGGGTCAACCAAGATATCATGCATGATGACCGAGGCTGTTCTTCTCCCCACATCTTCAACTTCTTACCGAAAGCTCCCTCTCTCCATCTCTCTGTTCAACAAAAATGTCATTCTCTCTATCTCGCTCATTGCCACGGACGGCCCTTCGGTCCTACGGGACCGTCCAGAGTTCACTCAGTGCTGCCTCAATTGCCAGTCGCATCCCCAGTGTCCTGGTTGAGGCTATTGGTGCCACTTCCCCACGAACCAACTGGACTCGTGAGGAAGTAGACCAGGTCTATAACACCCCTTTGAGTCACCTCACCTATGCCTCAGTGAGTGCTGGTATTCAGAACACTGGAATTTCAGAGTTGGGCTAATCCTATCTCCCATCTAGGCTGCGGTGCACCGCCAATTCCACGACCCATCAGCGATTCAGATGTGCACTTTGATGAACATCAAAACCGGTGGCTGCAGTGAGGACTGTTCATACTGTGCCCAGTCTTCTAAGTACAACACCGGCCTCAAGGCAACAAAGATGAGCCCTGTAGACGAGGTGCTCGAGAAGGCCCGCATGGCTAAGTCAAACGGCAGCACACGCTTCTGTATGGGTGCTGCATGGCGCGATATGCGCGGCCGGAAAACTAGTCTGAAAAATGTAAAAGCTATGATATCTGGAATCCGCGAGATGAACATGGAAGTCTGCGTGACGCTAGGCATGATTGATCAGAACCAGGCGAAGGAGCTGAAGGAAGCTGGCTTGACAGCCTACAACCACAACCTCGACACCTCTCGCGAGTACTACCCTAAGGTTATCACCACACGCTCATATGACGAGCGCCTTCAGACCATCTCAAACGTCCGCGATGCCGGCATCAATGTCTGCTCGGGCGGCATCCTGGGCCTAGGCGAGTCCGACACTGACCGCGTTGGCCTCCTGCACACTGTTTCCAGTCTCCCATCACACCCGGAGTCCTTCCCCGTCAATGCTCTTGTTCCCATCCCCGGCACACCCCTCGGTGACCGCAAAATGATTCCCTTCGATCGTGTGCTCCGGACTATTGCGACAGCTCGTATTGTCATGCCTGCCACCATTGTTCGTCTCGCTGCCGGTCGCATCGCACTTTCCGAAGAGCAGCAGGTCGCTTGCTTCCAAGCCGGTGCCAATGCTATTTTCACTGGTGAGAAAATGTTGACTACTGACTGCAGCGGTTGGGACGAGGACCGGGCTATGTTCGAGAAGTGGGGTTATTACCCCATGAAGAGTTTCGAGAAGCCCGAGCTCAAGTCTGCCACTGCCGTGCCTCCAATTCCCGACGCCGAGGCTGCCGTGCCGGTCGCAGCCAGCTCATAGATGTCAGTACATCTATCTTCTTTTTTTCATTCTCATTTTTATAAGGACGATCTCATTTCTTAAAAGGGGGTTCATTTCACAATGGTATCATGTCAACCGTACATTATCTTATAGTATAGCTTAGACTTACGAATCGATACAATGACGGATCTACTGAGACGAGTTTGAGTAAGAAAAATTTAAGAAATAACTAAGTTTCTATAGAAATATAATTTGAAGCAAAATAAGGTGTGTGCATGCGCCTTCAAGCCATATTACGATGTAGCGAAAGCTCAACTTTCTCTCCAGAGGCATTAGAATGTGAGAATAAGTATACTCCTCAAATCAATCACTGTATCAATGAATGCCAGGAATACCGACCGGGGTAGCCTGTCTGTACTGCACATACTCAGCACCAAAGAAGCGGATCAAAAACGCCTCCTCGCGCTTAATTCGGGTCGAGAAGAATCTCCACAACACAGCAGCATAAGCGACCAAGCACACAACATTACCCAGAACCAGCTGAGTACCGATTCCCCACCAAAAGAATCCAAAGTAGCTCGGATGGCGCAAAATATGATACAACCCTTTCGTGACAAGTACATGGCCAGCCCGGTGCTCAGACTGCACGTGGTGATTGAAGTTACTTCCAGCCTGTGCCATGGCAATAGTACGCACCACCTGTCCGACAGCCGTTATAAGCAAGCCTACAACGAGGGGCAGCGAGATTGAAGATCCGAAAAGCGGCTCTTTCACCGTCAATAACTTTCCGAGAGTGGTCTGATTGCTCCAATCGGGCCACAGCCAGTTTGTTACGATACACTCTACAATGGCAGAGCCGTGCGCGACATTGTAGGCCCATCCATTTGAGGATAGCAGGAATGCGCTCACTGTCGCAGCGTGTGTGTTGTACCGGGCCGTAACGAAAAACTCGAGGAAGTGGAAGAGGCTCAGGGTGGCGATGAAGGATGGGACACGCCAGAATGGAGTTGGAAAGATAGTCATTAAAAGGATAGTGAGACTAGTAGCCAAGCTGAGGGTTATACCGAGCAGAAAGGCGCGTAGAGAGATGCCAGAAAGCGATTTCGTTCCATCGGGGTAGATGGAGCTGTCCACGGATGATTCATCGCTGCTTTCAGAGGAAGGGTTGCTGTCGTGGTCAGCAGAGCCAGAGGGGTATAAAGGATGCCATTCATCGGAGGGGTTGGAGAGACGTTCGATCGGCCATGAGATGTTGGGGTCGCCTTGAGTTGGCTGGGAGCTAGAGGTTATCGCGTCGCGGATAGTCATGGTGGAAATTGAAGCGAAGGTTATGCGGACGGAGAGTGTCCAAGGATGAAGTAATTATATGTGCATTTGAATGGGGGATTTTATTGATATTTCATTGTGTGAGAACAATCGAAAGCTGGATTGTTGATTAAATACGGGATACGGAGTTACGGTTCCTTCTTTTTCCCCCACTTTTCCTTTGCTGACATAATGAGGCTCGGTTTGGCGCTAACCAAATATAGTAATACTGGGGTATAAGTAACAGAAAGTAAACAAACAGAATTGAGTACCATCAAATTTAGTTTTGAGAGACGAATTAATGACCACCTGATTGATGTGAACAGGTGAGTTAGTTTGAGTGAACTTTTCCCCTCTCCTGTTTCGCAAATATTACTATGAAATGTATACCGGGTTAAAATACTTTCAGCTGCCGAAAGCCATATGAGTACAGCGTGTCACTAGCAACAGATTCAAGCGTGAAAAATTTGACAAGGGTTTTTTTCCATTATCGCTACAGATCAGCACATGAAAGGTAAAAACCACTGGAGAGCCCGCCACATAGAATTGTGAAGCCTGTGAAAACCAATTTCCTTCGCCATAGCCAAACAACACATGGACGCAGGTGGACATTGGATGCCCAAAGTTTAGTTGCCTGATGGTACTTAATTCTTTCCTCTTGATTTCGCTACTTAATAGCGTTCCAATCTTCTCGCTCTGAAAGTCAGTAGCAACCATCCTCTCGCAACCCAAATTCCTACAACTACTCAAATACAGGATGGGATGAAAGGTCCTTTGGCCCATTTTCTTCTTCTTTCCTGTCTTTTTCGCTTTGGGTATTTCGAAGCCAGTTTGCATTCAGCCTGGAAACCTCCATCGTAGGATATTGACTGAGATCACAAGACAGCATCAAATCATTTTCTCATCAGACAGCCCTGCCGCCTTAGATTGTAGTCTGGGGTATAATAAATACTTCGTTCATGATAACACATAAATTCAACAAAACCTTGAACTAGGAGCTGATAGCCTGCTCAGGTCGTGTTCGGCCCAATCCTTCCTTGGCATAAAAGTCCATCGGATATACACCTTTGTTAGCCTTGCCCCAGTCCTCACGCTCACCAAGAGCAATCAAAGCCTCATATGGTGTGAGTAATGGACGTGAGAATGCATAGCCCCAGTCGATACTGAGACGTGGGCAAGCGATCTGAACCCAGCACTCAACGTCAGACATAGAAGCCAATTTGCCGGGGAAGATCTCGCTTAGTAAAAGATTGATCACGGGAATACCTCGCTCAGCCAGATGGCGCTCAATCATCGCCATTGTGTGAGGATTGCCCTGGCGCCCAAGCGAGCCGAGGATGATCCCCCACTTTTTGGCGGTCTTTGCGGAAGCAATCGCATCGCGTCGCAGTGTGTGCATTTCATCGTGATCGTAGGATTCACGGGTCAGGGTGCGTGAATAAGGATCATAGCGGTAGGCGGGGATAGATGGATTATGTATCATGGCGGACTCGAGGTGGAAGTGGCCGTCACCGAGATAAAGGATAACGTCGACTTCAGATTCGGGAAGTTTAGGTGATGTACAGCCTAGGATCTCGCCCTTTGAAAGTGGCATGATTTGTGGAACTATGACACGGAAGCCAGCACGTTCCAGAACAGATTTGAGGCCATGCAGGGTCGCGTTAAACTGGATTGTGCCAACAGTGGCGATGCTCTGGCCAGGCTTGAAGTTACGTTCGAGGGTTGCAAGCAGGTGAGCTGTATCGATAGTAATATCAACGAAAATATAAAGGGTCTTGATCTTCGTAACATCCACTGGGATTAGACAGCTGTGCGCATAGTGAACGAGAAGGTCGCAGCCGAGGGCGCGAGCTGTATAATCATCTATACAGCAGGCGCCGTATGTTACATCTCCCATGATCAAAGTCTCAATACCCGGGCAGAACTGGGTAAGGATATCCGATATGGTTGTTGCGAAGATGAGCAGTCCCTCTGGGAATTGGAGAGCGACTCGTGTTGCCCCCGAAGAGCGGACTCGGTGGATCGTCTTTGGGATCTCAAAGTGGTAATTTTTGGGAAGTAATTCAATAGCGGCTTGAATTTCAGGGTCATTAACAATTTCTGGAGGTACCTGATTCAGTATTCGGGGTGCCCGTCGAGGTCCAGCTATTAATAAAAACTGTTAGTGATCACATTTGGCTCTGCGGATGATCATTGACTGATCCTACCCGTTTGAACGGCCGTGGACTCGACATCAGGGCTATTTGAATCTTTCTGGGCAGGACGCCTGGCGCCAAAGCGCTTCCTAGGTTGGCGTAGCTGTTCCATTGTGGTTGCAGAGGGGCAGAAGTTGAGATAAGAAAAAAAGATCCCCGCTGTTATAAGCACGTGACTTTATCGAGTAGTTTTTATGCAACCTACGCTAGGCCTGATCAGGATGCTCTCCGCATAAATAAAATCTACGTCAGTCACGCTTTCGTCCGACTCGAACCCTCTCTTTGAAGTGCCTAATCAAAGGACCAAAAATATTCAATGCAAAAATCATCTAAGGTTTGTTTGTTTAAATTGTTTTCAATAATTTATAAAGAGTTCACAAGCATTGTTTGTATATGATTTTGTCAAAGCCGAGGTTTTCTGCAAGGCATTTTGTGGCTAAGAATACACTCACAATAAACATTGATACTCGAATGTCTCGACCCGAAGTATTTAAAAGGCCTCGATTTTCGACTCAAATACATTATTCATCGTTCATATTCTCTCAATACCAGTATCATCATTCCAAATCAAACAACCTTCTAAAGCTTCAAACTTATCCACTCCAACCAAGTTATGGCCCGGGTGGGTGATGCGCCTTTCCCTGCGCTATCTTCGCCCCCAAGTACAAGCCAAACTAAGGTCAAATATTTTGACTGTACTATCCCTCAAGACTCTACTACCTGGATACAGTCAACTCCCGAAACGATTGATCAGCTATCAGATGAGATGGTGTGGAAGATTTTCAATCAAATTATCACGTTCTCCACACGGTTAACACACAATAGCCTCTGTCATATCAGGAAGATTGGACTGACTAGCATGAAAGCAGCCCAACTTGTGCTAACTTATCAAGCCAGTAGCCGACTGTTCAATTCCGAAATGAGTAAGATCCCCTGGTTGGATTACCGTACCCTTCAATCTTTCAACCGGCTACCTAGTGAAATTGTCCCTCTTCATGTCCAGCCCAACTTAGATCATGCAAATGATGCCCTTACAGAGGCAGTTCTCAACGACTGCCTTGAATGCTTTGACCTGATTTGCAGTCAACACCCGACAATGAGAAAAAGTGCAACCAATCAATTCGGATGGAGCCTTGTCGCACTTGCAGCATTCTCTGGATCATCTCGCATTCTTGAGCGATTGCTGAGCACTTCTCACTTGGAAGACAGTACTGTTCATTTGCTTATTTCTCCAGGGAATGCCCAATTTATTACGCCAAGCCCTTTAGAAATCCTTGTGAGAAACAAGGATCTCCACAACCTAAAAATTATATTTAGATTGTCCGGATCAAGACTCCACGAGTTTGGAAACCCACGCGACAATCACAACATCCTTTCCGGTTTGGAGCTGGAGCTCTGTACTTTTGTGACCCCTTTTGTTGCCGAACAGCTATGCAAGATTGGTCTACCCATCTATGACTTCCAAAATAAATACGGCGATACTTCATACCACGCTGGAGTCCACAATGAGCCTGCGTTCCTCAGTTGGCTGCGCCAGCGCTCTTCTCTTTCCATGAGTGCCAGTAATGTAGAGAATAGAACTCCCTGGGATTGTGCTCTCAAGGCGAAGTGTATCGACTCGGCCAGATGGCTCGCAATGAATGGGGCAGTTCAGGATGGGATGGCAGGCTATCTCATTGCAGAGCATACCGCAATTTATAACGACAACACTCTGCATGCCTTTATTCCCTCTCACGGAAGCCCCCATCTCGCTTTTATCGACTGTGTGATGATGACCCGTGGCTTGTTAGAGGGTCTGAAAACAGTGGTTCGGATCACAGCCCCTCAAGAAAACACTAACCACGTTCGAGAAATGCATGAGACGATGGCAATTCAAAACTGCAAGCTGATCTGGAGGGCCAGTACTGAAGATAGCATGTCCCATATGTATCTCACTGACCGCAAGGCTCTTGATAACCCCATATACGAAGTGCTTACTAGAACGGTTGCTATGGCAAGAGCTTCTGGCTTTCTGAGATTTGCACAATTCATTAGCAACCCCCAGTTAAGCTTTTACTAAACTCTCACCTCTCACTCACTTTCCAAGGTTTTTCTTTCTTGTATCTTCTCTGCTTATTCACTTAAATTTAAATCTAGACAAGCAATTCCGATACTTCAGCTACAATCCAACCTATTAGAATGATTTATAGAATCTTAAAAAATACCGATTACAGATTAGAAGCAGTTATGTAAGCCATCCTCTAGCGTTGAAACTTTACCACTAAACAGGGATTTATATATGGGCTTGCTGAATCGGGGAACCATTTCTTAGGGTCTTCTTTGCTTATAGCTGTAGCACGAGGAATCTTCTCGTCGCTAAGTCCTATGGGAGCGTAGGCTTTAATGGAAGAGATCAAACCATGTACTCAGATGAAGAACCTTTGAAGAATCACCGGGTCAAGTAAGAAATATGTTGTATGAAAATGAGATTAAGTGGAGCATTTGTTTAGTGCCATGTATATCTTTGTACGGCATAAAAGCTTCTTCTCAGCTTGGTTTCGCAGGCACGTGAAGGTTTTGTAAGAAATAGATGGCCTTTCGCTAGTCCCTTAATTCCAATGGTTTTATAAATCCGACAGTCGTAGTTCTTACGACAAGGATAAAAAGCATCCATGTGCTGATCAGCTGCTCCCAAGAAACATCATTCTCGGCGACAGGTCTCACACTTAAACTTAAGGCAGCTTATGCTTCATATTATGTGCTTGGGTAGCTTTTGGGAACAAGCGATCACGGTCGTATTTTGACTCCCAGTGTCCAGAGGCATCTATTTGTTGTTCGACTACATTTAAGGCTACAAAAAATCTGGTACAAGTTTTGCAGGGTAGCAAGTGGCAGTAAAAATCCAGATTATAGCAAATAAACTTCTTTCATTCTATAGGTCGTGGGTTTGCAGCACCAATTAAATGGCATTTTATCTGCTTGGGTGAGTCATTCTTTGAGAAAATGTCGGTGACGAGTTGAAATAAGAAGTTTAACTGTCTTGACTGTCAATTTTTGAAGTTTTTAGCTTGTGTAAGTTGGAGCTAAGAGATGTGAAGAGCGAAAGGAAGAAAAGAGGGAAGAACCTCGCTCGGTCAAGTAGTTAATTTACCTACTTGCCTTAAACATGTTTGTAAATTATGCACTATCCAGGTCTTCCGTTTTTACTGATCGAAATATTTCCACCACATATAGACATATTACTCACAAGGTTTTCTGAGAGCTACCTTATAGACGTCTTTCAAGGTGAGATATCCATCGATAGCTAGGAACCTGCCAGTCAAAGTTCCAAGCCCGTCTGAAATTCTCTACCTCTAGCTAGATTTTTGTGTTTTATCTAGTTGCAAGTTGCAATTTTCTTGAGTTCAGACTTCCTGAACAATGTCTTTGTCCTTTCCAGAGCACCAATTTATCTCCTCAATGGAATCATTCTCAACTCACCATTTAATTGTATTACAAAGGAATGAAACATTTGAGATATTCTTTGTTCTCTAATGCAGTCTTAGATTACGAAAAGAAAGCATTGATGGATCCATGGATAAAGTCAATATTGAATGAATTCCTGCGCCAAGTATATCATCTAATCTCGAGCAAGAGATAAAAAAAGGGTCGAGTTACCCATATCAGAATACCAGCTTAAACAGTACCAAGATCCCAAATTACAAAATTCACCAATAAAAAGAATCAGAACTATCTCCAACCAGCAAGGGAATTCTGATGTTTTATCCTCCATCCCTGTCAGATACAGCAATTGAGAAACAATTTGCAATAGAAGGGGCAAAACGGCGTCGATGGATAGAAAGCTCTGACGATGTTGACTGTAAGATTGGTAAGTGCACATTGACGTATGCTGATCTTGAAGCGATTTATGAAGTACACACTAGGCCTGATGATATTGATGGTACTTACCACAACCAGATTGTCGAGCTCGGACTCCCGGAATATTTACCTGCATCTGAATGCCAGTCCAAGTCTGCATATAGAGTTTTCGTAATCGAGCATGATGATTTTACTTTCCAAGCATACACTGGACCAGGCTTGATTGTTTTTGATTATATCACCAAGCACCGAGCTGGAGAAGCTCCCAGACCATTCTTCGCCGAACTAGCTCTGGTGGTGTATCAGAAAGACTTCACCCTTGCAGGTCTAAAACACATTTTTTTCACAAACGTGGTCAATTATGAGACGCTAACATACATCAGTGAGAGGCTCTGGACAAACTCCAGCTCATCTGTCTATGACGATTTCACAGAAGAGGAAAAGTACAAGCAAAGTTGGAAACCCGACACGGATGTATACGACACCTTGATGGGCACGCGAATCGGAAAACTGGCTTCATATGTAGTTTTGGGTGGATTTAATAGAGGTACTCGACAAATCACACAAATTACTATCTGGCCAGGATTCAGATGTGCTACTTGTTTCATGCGATTTGACATTAAGGAGATGTCTCCCTAGATGTGAGGTGGCTGCCGTTCCAAGGGTCTTGATTGATTAGCTTTTGCTTTCACTGACATTATCTTTTGTTATTTATCCAAAGCTTGGTTAAAAACTTCCCTATTTATTGATTCAATTGTATTTAGCAGCAAAAAAAGTACCTTGGTAGTTTCGTTGGTATTGGTGTCATTACTGTACTATAGATTGATCTTTGCTTTTATTTTATCAGATTAGCGATTTGTCGGAATACTGACACGTCTTACTGTTTCATATGCATCTACTTTGTAAATGTATTGTTGTGAGTTGTAAGAGGTGTATTATTCAAGTCTACTCCAGAACTGCCTAAAGTAGTTCCCCATTTATCAACCGACAAAACCAATTAGGTGCCAAAGATTTATTGCAGTATTACTGCAGTAAATCTGGGCTCCACTCGTGATTGAAACCACTTTCAGTCCATCGTATCAACACGATTAGCTTGGTATCTCTAAATTGTCTTGCCGCTGATCGCGATGGTCCCTATCTATCACTCTTCCCGGAGTCACCTAGACGAACCTCTAAATTTGTGAGTTTATCAGGTACAGCGCTAGACGTAGATATGTGATTAAGTAATTATTACAGATACTTAGGTAGCGTACATGACCTCGGGAAATTGAAGCCTGCAGGGAGCATCCCTTTGTCTTCGGGAAGAAGAAATGCACATACTATACTAGCCGTGTTTGAAAATCATATATTTATGATTGGAAATCGTATCAATCCTAGCAGGCGTCACCTCAGCCAGAATAAACATCAACAGGTCGAAGTTGAGACGGCATTGACAGTAGCACGGACCTGAAATGGAAATTAAGCCGGTATATACCATCGTGAAAATAAACCGAAAAATGAAAAGGAGTGTGATAGCCACGACGAGGGTACCTGTGTCTCCGGAGGTAAAATAGGTATCATGTATGGATCCTGATTCAGCTTCCAAGGCTTCGCTATACAGGAGATTGATAAGATGTTTGCTCTCTCGAAGTCCATCTGGGATACGCCTCGTGTGGTTGCTCAGACATCGACACAGAGAGATGGGAATTTGACGATATGACTGAGTAGATATAAGAGGTTTTGCATCTTGACATTTAATGGTGTGTTTTGGGTCTCCTTATCGATATATTGGCCGCATAAAATCTTACATAGCCCAGAGCATTCATTCGCAATTTACTTATTCTTCATCTTGATCTCTATACGCGTATTCGAGCAAAGGCAAAAACTCTTGGCACGTTAGTAATCTTTGTCATTATGTGGATGCCTGAAATTGACTGAACCTAGGAACGGATACGCGTATGATCTTAAGTGGTTTTGGATCTAGATAAGCGAGCTCTTCTATTTCAAGCTTATACAGCCTTGGCAAACTTTAAATCTCGACTTCACCAGAGATTCTATACGCGTATTCAGCATCTACAGAAAGACTGAACAGTTATTTTCACTATGATTTTGTATAAGAGATGGAGGTTTTCAAATCTTGAAAGATCTCTTTTGAGCATAAGTTTCTCTTACAAAAATCATCGGAGACTTCCAAATTTTTCTCTTGAGCTATTTCTTGCACATCCTAACTTATCTCCTTCGAAGTTCGCGCAAAGTCCAACATGCACACCCTCATTACTCGTTCATATAAATTTTGGGACTATGCGCCCTCGATACCCGCCGCTGTCATTTTCATGCTGATATTTGTTGTCTTGACATGCCTTCATCTCTGGAAGATCATGAAGGCTAAAACCATATTTTGCATCCCTTTCACTGTTGGCGGATTGTGTAAGTTCACTTCTCGATGTGCCATATCCAATTTGAGAGGAAATCGTGTTAAACCCTGTATCGCAGTTGAGATAATCGGCTATATAGGCCGCTGCATTGCCCACAACAACACAACAACAATGGGTCCATACATAATTTCATACATATTCATTCTACTCGGCCCAACGCTCTTTGCTGCTTCCATATACATGACCCTCGGTCGTCTCATGCGCCGCGTGAAAGGGGAGCATCTTTCTCCAATCCGCGTCTCTCGCTTGACAAAGACTTTTGTGGCAGGTGATGTCCTATCCTTCGTCGTCCAGGGCAGCTCATCCTCTCTTTCAGTGATGGGATATGCAAAATGGGCAAAGGTTCTCGTCATTCTCGGATTAGTGATTCAACTTGTCTCATTTTCACTTTTCTGGTTGACAGCCATCGTTTTCGCGAAACGAATTCGTCGCTCTTCCACAGATGAGTCGACCTCGTTTTCTTGGGAGAAATTCTTACATATGCTATACTTTGTCAGTGCTCTGATCATTGTACGCTCTATCTTCAGAATTGTGGAGTATGCCCTTGGTAATGATGGCTATCCATTAATGCACGAGTGGACGATTTATATCTTCGACAGTGTGCCGATGGCGAGTGTTATGATTGTCTTTTTCATTTGGTATCCGAGCCAGCTTAGAACGGATACAGACCAGGAGGGCAAGATACCACTTACGCAGAGTTATAATTCGGTATAGTACTATTTGCTGCTCGGAGCCTCGGTAAGGTAAGTTTTATGTCATCTGCACAGGAATTGTCTCAAGATTAATTGTCTCAAGGTTTCCAAGGTTGTTATCCATCGCAATTCATTTTTGTTCATTTGAAATGTAAACCGCTTTGTATGCAGGTGGTCTTCATTGTCGATCAATGGCCATATACCAGGATTTGAACGTCGATCAAGCTTTTAGGTTTGAATTCTTTGAAATGAAAATATAATGGTATTGTATTCCAATTCACTATGTTTTTTGGTGCCTGGAGTGATTTATTTTTGAAATAATTGTACCGGCATAGTATGGAGACTAGCTGTGGGAATTGTCTCTACTAGTTCCATCCTGTAGGACCCTACGTAGCATGGATCTTCAATGATCCTTCTGCTTGTCAATTCCTTCCTCTTTGTCCAGGAACTCTGGATATGTGGTATGGAAACAAGGCAAAGAACGTAATCTTGACAATCAATCTTGGAACCGACTTCAAATTGAAAACTTGGCTGAAAATCAATATCACAATCTTGATCGTTCCAAAGAACGTTCCAAGGTTGTCATGGGCCCCACTTGACCGTCAATTGGCCAATGAAGCCCCTTAGATGATCGATATCATACGGTAAAAGCCGATCACTTGGAGCAAAAATCAGCGGTAACTATTGTATTTAGTACATTTCTGGACCAATACGCACACAGCTCATCATGAGACTTGCATGTTATGTATCAGATTTGAGTTTATGGGCCGGTCTCGACCATATGTAAGCCAGGGGTCGGATTCATCGGAATAGTAGCAACAAACGAATAGGAAATTCTAGTCATGAGTTATCTTGAACCCAGACTGTGGCATTGGGTAAAAATTAGTCAGCCGAGGTACAGCCACCACGCTCAGATGTCCGACCGGAGCCAATCTAATGATTAAGTGGATCCATCCAGTATAAATTGTTCACTAAGAGGATATCCACAGATACTATTGGTTTACTGCTTTGACCTGCTTAATAAAAATAAACGGAGCGGAGTGAATGCTTCGGCAAGGGGCCGAAACAAGTCTACTGTTTAACCTTGAAATAGTCCATTAATAGTTCTGCCTGGGCTGAAATGAATCTGCCTAGTTCGCGAGAAGTAGTCTAGAGAGACTAAAACAGAGCCGCAACTGAAAAATTCAAATTTAAAGCCTAAAACAGTTCGAATTGAGGCGAAGTCCTGACGTACACTTCATCATGGGGTACCCTACGTCCACTCTTCCACCCGATTTTATTTGGGGGTTCGCAACGGCCAGTTATCAAATTGAAGGTGCGACCAATGTGGATGGTCGTGGCCCCTCGATTTGGGATTCTTTTTGCAAGATCCCTGGGAAGATCGCTGATGGCAGCTCGGGCGAGGTCGCATGCGCCTCTTACAATCGAGCTCACGAAGATATTGCCTTGTTGAAGGAATGTGGTGCGCCTGCATATCGATTCTCACTCTCCTGGTATGTTCAAAAGCTTGAGAACAAGGCATCTTAGACCTCCACTGATATTAACGAATAACTAGGTCTCGGATTATTCCTCTCGGCGGACGTAATGACCCTGTCAATGAAAAGGGTTTGCAGTTCTATATTAAATTCGTCGATGATCTGCTTGCTGCCGGTATCACCCCGATGATCACCCTTTTCCACTGGGATCTCCCTGACGAACTCGATAAACGCTATGGTGGCTTTTTAAACAAGGAAGAGTTCGTTGCCGACTTCGCGCATTACGCCCGACTAGTTTTTAATGTGCTTGGGTCAAAAGTCAAACATTGGATTACATTCAATGAGCCTTGGTGCAGCAGTGTGCTAGGATATAGCACAGGATCGTTTGCTCCTGGTCGCACAAGCGATCGAAGCAAGAGTCCCATCGGCAATAGCGCAACGGAGCCGTGGATAGTGGGTCACAATATCCTAATAGCCCATGGTACAGTGGTTAAGATCTACCGCGACGAATTCAAGGGAGAAGATGGCCAGATTGGAATCACACTAAATGGTATAAAGACAGAAAATTATGGAATGCTAAAACGATTGGGAGCTGACATCTTAATGATTTTAGGCGACTGGGCTGAACCTTGGGATCCTGAAAACCCCGCTGACGTGGAAGCATGCACTCGTAGACTCGAGTTTGCTATGTCGTGGTTTGCAGACCCGATTTATCATGGTAAATATCCTGATAGCATGGTCAAGCAGCTCGGAAATCGACTTCCTACCTGGGAACCGGAAGAGATTGCTCTTGTAAGGAATAGTAATGACTTCTTCGGAATGAATCACTATTGCACAACTTATGTTCGCACCAAAACTAGCGAACCCAACCTCGATGATTTCGAGGGGAATGTGGATCTGCTACATGAAAATAAAGCCGGTAAATCTATTGGACCGGTCACGCAGTCATCCTGGTTACGGCCATATGCCTTAGGCTTTCGTCATTTGCTCAAGTGGCTCAGTGAACGATACGGCTATCCGAAAATTTATGTCACGGAGAACGGTACTTGTGTGTTAGGTGAGAATGACTTGCCAGTGGAACAGATTCTCAATGATGAGTTCCGTGTGAAGTACTTTGATGACTACATCCATGCCATGGCCAACGCGTATACCCGTGATGGAGTGAATGTTCACGCTTATATGGCGTGGAGTTTGTTGGAGTAAGTTTCTTATCCTCTATTTCCAATCGACGGGGAGAATTACTAATTACTTGAAAAGTAACTTCGAGTGGGCTGAGGGATATGAAACCCGCTTCGGTGTCACTTACGTTGATTATAAAAATGACCAGAAGAGGATTTTAAAGAAAAGTGCGAAATCAATTGGCCCAATCTTCAAGAATCTTATTGAGAAGGATTGACAAAGCAATCAGAATATTTTTTTTGCTCACTGTGTCTGATACTCCGTACTTGCACTACCTAATATCAAGGGACATTTCTGCTGCCGACTATGGCGCTTGCCGACATGGTTTCGTGTTTGGCCATTAGCCAGGGTCCACCTAAATTTGTACTGTCTCGATTCAATACTAATCAAGCGGTCAAAGATGAATTGTGATACCGTCTCTTCATTGTTACACTCGGCTTGAAATCCAATCAAGTTAAATTTTCGCTCTGACCTTGGTCTACATCGAGATGATTCTAAATATGGCATGTCATCCATGGATGCCCGGTAAGCACCTGGATCGGCACTTTCAAAAATGAAGCTTTTATCGAAGCTACGCAAGATCGTTCCAAAGGTTCTTCGAATCTTCCCTTCACAGCAGAAAGACCGCCAACTCCTTCAAAATGATCCTGACGAGACTGAAGACCACCAACAAGGGAAATACATACTCCCGGCTGAAGGCGAACATCATCTGGCCACGATGATGGGGTTTCCATCTCGGTGTTCTTTACCTCCTAGTCAATATGATGCCGTCTGCAATGAACTAGTCGAGTTAGCCTCGGCAATTTCCGACTTCGAACCCGTCCGCATGTATGTGCGCCCCGAGGACAAGGACCTGGCCGAGTCTCTGATCATGATGGCTGCGAAGGATGTTTCAAAAGTTATGCTTATCCCATGTCCCATCAACCATTGTTGGGTTCGCGATACAGGCCCAATCTACGTTCATGAAGCCACAGAATCATGGTTTAACAAACGATTTGCATTGAACGGTCGCTTTAAAGAGTGGCGAGGAGAAAATGCAGATGATGATGGCACATACATCGGTCAGCAATGGTCGGTCATGGACAAAAGGGCCATTCAGGAAAACTCTGACTTTGCGCGTTGGGTTATCGATCATGATATTGACCCGACTCCGGTCACTCGTATTGATTCCCCTATTTGCATGGAGGGAGGCGATCTAATCACTGATGGAGAGGGTACACTGCTCATCACAGAATGTAGTGTCATATGCGACAAACGAAATCCCATGATGACCAAGTTCAGTATTGAGAGAGAATTGAAGCGCCTCTTGGGAATTGAGAAAGTGATATGGCTCCCAAGTCGACGGAGCGACGTCACGGATGAAAATTTGCACGTTGAGGCACGGTTTGTCCGGCCAGGAGTTATCGTCTGCTCCAAACCCCATGGCACTGCGCTTGACCTATGGAAGGATATGCTGGATGAGATCGAAGAGACTCTTGACACCGAGACAGATGCCAAGGGCCGACATCTTGAGATTCACACTATTGAGGAACCAGATCCTCAGATCCTGGACAAAACTCCTTTTGATGAACTCGCCGCTAGCTATGTCAATTTTTATTTTGTGAACGGCGGTTTGGTTCTTCCTAAGTTTGGGGATGAGGAGAGAGACCAAAATGCCCTGGAAATAATGCAGGCTTTACTTCCTGAGAGAGTTATTCGACAAGTATATATCAACGCCATCCAGCTTACGGGGGGTGCGCTGCACTGTGTGACCCAACAGGTTCCTTCCGTCTAATATTGATCTAGGTAGATCCGTACCTATGTAAATGCTTGCCTTTACTTGAATGGGGTTTCTTCTTTTCAATCTACATTAGAAATTATTCATATTGTGCGGAGTAAACGTGATTTTAGACAAAAACGAAGTATGGGAATATGGAAAATTAGAACGTTGATCACTTCCATTGTTCATATTCCGTACATATGACGTGCAGGTGGCGTTTATACCTTAGTTTGCCGTTAAATAAATATTTCATTTCTTATAACAGGTACTGACCTAGAGGACCTAGTAGCTATCTGACTTCGGACTATCCGTGGCTATAGGGATATGTCTATAGAGATACCTACGTAATCTCGATTTTCCCACTCCTTGGAACCTTGGAAAGCATATCTCACAGTCACGGCTCTTATCACGATATTGTGTGCCTGCCGGGAATTCATTAACACCGTATGGTCCGGTTAAATATCGGAGGTTCTTGAGGGCTCCACCGCCCCACTTGAACCTTGCACCGTTGAGCTTCAAAAGCTCCGCTCCCCTCAGTCCAGACACCTTTCATTATCTACCTAGGTAGCCATTATCGCTAAACGTCCTGCTGCTGTAGAGGAGTCTGAGAAAACCACACTCTACGTGTTAAGCAGATATATCATATTGATATAAATTACTTAGCAACCAACTAACCGCTGCAAGCCGAGCATCCTTCACAACGCGGGGCAGTTAATAGGCTTGGAACATAGACATCATGGCTCCTATAGATGTGGAAAAGACGATTGAGGAGCTGACACAACTTGAGAAGATTGCACTCACAGCTGGTAGGCACTTAATCTCGCCCACAATTGTTGCGTTCACGGCTTACGTTTTCTAGGAAGCGATTTTTGGCACACAGTCTCTGTGCCGCGACTCAATATCCCGGCATTGCGCATGTCAGATGGCCCTAATGGTGTCCGTGGAACTAGATTTTTCCAGGGAATTTCTGCCGCTTGTTTCCCATGTGCCACCGCTCTAGGTGCTACTTGGGATGTAGACCTCCTGTCCGAGATCGGCTCACTAATGGGCGACGAGGCAATTGCCAAAGGTACCCATATTCTGCTGGGACCAACAATCAATATCCAGCGGTCCCCCCTGGGCGGCCGTGGGTTTGAGTCGTTCTCAGAAGATGGAGTTCTTTCTGGTACTTTGGCAGGCCACATCTGCAAAGGTATCCAAGGTAGGGGTGTTGCAGCTACGCTGAAACACTTCGTCTGCAACGATCAGGAGCACGAGAGAATGGCCGTGAGCAGTATCGTCACCGACCGAGCTCTACGCGAGATCTACTTGCTTCCTTTCCAACTTGCTATGCGAATCTGCCGCACGGCCTGTGTCATGACTTCTTATAATAAAGTCAATGGAACCCATGTCAGTGAGAGCAAAGACCTCATTGATGCCATCCTCCGAAAGGAGTGGGGGTGGGATGGTCTGATTATGAGCGATTGGTAGGTTTGCACTTTTCCATAACTCATCCGAATTTAGTTTTAAACTAATTAATTGAATGAACTGTAGGTTTGGCACATATAGCACATCGGAGGCCATCAATGCTGGCCTCGATATTGAAATGCCGGGTCCAACCTGCTGGCGTGGATCTGCTCTCGGACATGCCATGTCTTCAAACAAGGTCGCATCGTATACATTGGATGAACGCGTGCGCAATATCCTGAATTTGGTGAACTGGCTCGAGCCTCTGGGCGTCCCTGAAAGAGCCCCAGAGAAGACACTGAACCGACCAGAGGACCAAGCCCTGATGCGCCGGGCCGCCGCAGAGTCAGTCGTTCTCTTGAAGAAAGATGCTGGCGTCCTTCCTCTGAAGAAGGATAAATCTTTGCTGGTTATTGGCCCGAACGCCAAGATTGCCGCCTATTGTGGTGGTGGCTCGGCGTCACTGGCCCCTTACTACACCGTGACTCCGTTCGATGGTGTCTCTGCGAAAAGCAAGGGCGAGGTCACATACGCACAGGGTGTGTATTCGCACAAGGATTTGCCTCTTATGAAGGGTCCCTTGGTTAAGACTGCCAATGGTGAGGACGGGTTCACCTTCAAGGTATACAATGAACCCTCAAGCGCTGGGAAGGAGCGCGTTTTGATTGATGAGCTACGGCTTGATGACTCATTGGGAATTCTGATGGACTATAAAAATCCCAAGCTCAAGTCGCTGACATACTATGTCGACATGGAAGGTTTTTTCACCCCTGAAGTAAGCGGCATATACGAATTTGGTGTCACTGTTGTCGGAACAGGACGTCTTTATGTCGACGGTGAGCTGGTAGTTGACAACACCATTAACCAAGTGCAAGGATCTTCCTTCTTTGGCGCTGCTACCGCCGAGAAAATCGGAACGAAGGAGCTTAAAGCAGGCCAAACAGCTAAGGTCTTGTTCCAGTTCGGCACCGCTCCCACTTCAGATCTAGACAGGCATGGCGTTGTTGTGTTTGGGCCGGGTGGATTCCGCTTCGGTTCCTCTCTCCAAGTCAGCCAGGAGGAACTGATTTCAAATGCTGTCGAACAGGCTACCAAGGCTGACCAGGTCGTTATCTTTGCGGGCTTGACTGGCGAGTGGGAGACTGAGGGTTACGACCGCGCGCACATGGACTTGCCTCCGGGAACTGACGAGTTGATCACTCGGGTTCTAGCCGCCAATCCAAATGCAGTCGTTGTCATCCAATCCGGTACTCCCGTCACAATGCCATGGGTGGCAGAAGCAGGCTCGCTTCTGCAGGCCTGGTTCGGCGGTAGCGAGTGTGGAAACGGCATCGCAGACGTGCTCTATGGCGACGTCAACCCGTCCGCCAAGCTGCCCATTTCGTTTCCCACCCGTCTGCAGGATAACCCATCCTACATCAACTTCCGCTCAGAGCGCGGTCGCGTTCTATACGGAGAGGATATCTATGTTGGATACCGCTACTTCGAGAAGGCCGACCTTGCCCCTGCTTTCCCCTTCGGCCATGGCTTGTCATACACAACATTCAAGCGCTCCGACCTGGCTATCAAGACTGTGTCAGAACAGCCGAAGTATTCGGAATCTGGTGAGCCTATCACCGCATCTGTGACAGTCACCAACACAGGCAGCGTTGCTGGTGCTGAAGTTGTTCAACTATGGGTTGTCCCCCCAGCTACCGATGTTAAACGGCCTGTTCGTGAGTTGAAGGGCTTCAAGAAAGTTTTCTTGCAGCCCGGTGAGTCCAAGACAGTGCAGGTTATTGTTGAAAAGAAATTGGCAACCAGCTGGTGGGACGAGCAGCGTGACCAGTGGATCTCGGAGAAGGGCCACTATGAGGTGTTGGTGACTGGTACCGGAGATGAGGAGCTTCGTGGCGAGTTTGAAGTTGGGAAGACGAGATTCTGGCTTGGACTTTAGATACTTGAATGGAAGGTGAATCGAAAGCTATGATCTTGAATTGATTGAGATATGGAAACCCTTTGATCATACTGTATTACTAGCAAACGGCGATTTTGAAGCTTGAATATCACGCTCAAAGCTCAAAGCTCAAGATCCAGGCTTTTTAAAAGAAACAAAAATGAGTACATAATAGTCTGGTCATTCTCCCAGTCAATAACGATCCATAATTAGCTGTGTCTTAAGCGAGTCCTCTGCAAGAAGCCAATCCTTGCTCTTTAGGAAGGCGGCTAGATTACTCTGCTCAGTCAAAGCAGTCGTGTGGCTCTTGGTCTTGAAAGAAGCTTCAACAATGTAATCGACTTCTGTTCCTGCAAGGTTCCGGATTGGCAGGATTTCGATATCTAGCGGCATCTTGTTCCACAAGCCAATGAAGCGCCTGGTAAGAAGTGGCCCGAAAATACGTGATTCTGCTAACACGGTAGTACCCCATTTGTCGAGCTTCCAATTTGCGAACTTATCCGGCGCTTCATCGATCAGCATTTTACGCGAGTCGCTTGTTCCTGGAAGGTCCGTTTTACTTCTCTTAGGATCCGCGAAAGTCTTATCGCGACTAATAGAAAGTGTCTGTTTGCTGTAGCCCCAATCGACTTGCGCCTTATATTTCTTGCTACCAGCGTTGAAGCCATCATGATTAGCCGCGGTGAGAGCGGCATCAATGTTACCGCCCGAGATAGCGTAACGCCTTTTATACGTCAACTCGAAGTCGTCCTGATTATCGGGCTTGCGAATGCGGGCTATCCAGCTGGCAGTATAGAGATCCTTGGAGTTCGTGTCGAGGAACTGAAAATTCAGCTTCATACTGGTAGTTGGCATATTGAAGGTCGATAGAACGGAGTCAATTAGCTCGTTTGTTGAAGTGAGGACCGCCCTTGTATTGAGCAAGAGCTTAACCTCATAGTCGGGCTTCATATTTGGCTCCGTTTGTGTTCCGGGAACGTTCGTGGAAACCATGGCGAAGGGTCAGTGCGGGAAAGAGAGTGCAATATTGAGTAATGTCCAATATTAGGAAAAGACGTAGCAAGAGCCTTTGTGTTGAATCAAGCTGCCTTTCAATGAAGGGAGCAAGGATGAAAAAGAATAATTTTGATTCAGTTTTGATTAGTTAATGTGTTGAGCAAGCGGCACTCGTTCTTTCTTGCTATTTATAACTTGCGCATTTCAATCGCGACACTACGTCGGAAAAATAGAAAAATATCAAGACCACCTTTGCCACTATAGATTACAATTGCTTATTCCAATAATACTTCAGGACTATGCAAGGATGGTGCGTATATTGTGATTCATCCACCTCTTACATCACCGGCTAAGACAAGCAGAGAATCAATACGATTATTAATGGTTAACCACAAACCAATAGCCCTTGCAGCAAATCTGAAATTGGAAGCTAGACTTCTGTATACTCGTATTGCCTAATGTAGTACGGAAAAACATTAAACCAATTAAACCATCCCCGCATCCATATTTATCCCCGGCCCGTGGATGCCTTATCCTTTTAGGCAAAAAGACATTCTCATCCCATTTTTATTTAACGAATACCATTAACGCCAGGTTGGTCTCATTCATAGATGGTAAGGTACCTTTTCTGTGATTCAGTAATCAAGTTCAGAGTCCAGGAATACCTTCTTTCTTCTTTCTAATTGGTTTTGGTGTCCTGTAAAAAAAAAAAAAAATAGCCCTGGAGGGCAAACATAATACAGCCCAAGTTCATGCTGAAGCACGGGAAAAATCACCAACCACGCCCAGCCATCTTGTCAGCTTCGGGCATTTTCTGCACATTGATACCAACCATGGCCTCACCTAGGCCCTCGCTCACCTCAGCCAGAATTTTAGCGTCCTTGAAGTGAGTCACAGCTTGCACAATGGCACGAGCGCGTTTCCTAGCATCACCGGACTTGAAGATACCAGAGCCGACAAAGACACCGTCGCAGCCCAGCTGCATCATCAGTGCCGCATCAGCAGGAGTAGCAATACCACCAGCCGCAAAATTAACCACTGGTAGACGTCCTAGCTCAGCAGTCTCGCGCAGGAGGTTGTAGGGGACCTCCAGCTCACGGGCGAAAGCGCGCAGTTCGGGTTCAGGATCTTGGCTTGCCTGAAGAATACCACGAGCGCGGGAAATCTGGGCATTAACAGTCCGCATATGCTTCACGGCCTCGACAACGTCACCAGTACCGGCCTCGCCCTTAGTACGTATCATGGCAGCGCCCTCTGAAATGCGACGCAGGGCCTCGCCTAAGTTACGACAACCACAAACAAAGGGGACTTTGAATGTGGATTTGGTAACATGGTAAACATCGTCGGCTGGGGTGAGAACTTCGGACTCATCGATGTAATCCACTCCCAGAGCTTCGAGGATCTAAGTGGGACGGCAAGTATAAATTAGCGTCCGTGCGTTTGGTGCATTGAACGAAACGAACCTGGCACTCGACAAAGTGTCCAATACGAGCCTTGGCCATGACTGGAATTGTGACAGCATCCATAATTTCCTTGATCATTCCGGGGTCAGACATGCGCGCAACGCCTCCCTGGATGCGAATATCGGCGGGAACGCGCTCAAGAGCCATGACGGCAGCGGCACCGGCCTCTTCAGCAATACGAGCCTATGGAATCGAATTCAAGTTTTTAGTATCTTGTCAATCATTTTGTATATTCAATTCTTGATCTCAGATCATACCTGCTCTAGGTTGACAACGTCCATAATGACGCCGCCCTTCAGCATCTGCGCTAAGCCAGCCTTGACGGCAAAGTCGGAGGATTCGTTCTTAGAAGCCATTGTGAATGAAGTAATATGAATAATGAAAAGAATAAAAAGAAGAGAAACAAATGAAGGAACGAGAGTAACCTTGGAAGAAAGTCTAGGTTTTCTTGAAGAACCAATGAGTCAAAGCAACTGCTACCTCGATTGTCGCCTGAGGCCAATAGGCGGGGAATTCGCCCCACTTCCCCATTAATTATTATTCAGCGACATCGGACTTGTTAAAACCGGTTAGTTTGAAGAATTTCCCTATGACATGAACCATTTTTAGCCGGTACCGGCGCTCACGGCTATTATCGGACCTAGAGATTCCAGTCTTGTAGGGTTGAACCGGAGTGCCTAGTATCCAAGAGGGCCGAGGCCAAAATGTTACCTAGGTGATTACTGAGAATCGCTAGCTCAAGTTCCTCGTCAATACGAAGCAAAATCTCATTCTCTTCATCGACTACTCAGGTATCGAACAAAGTGATCTACCTAGCTGTTCCACTCTCCTACTGTCCTTTCAACAATTTAGGGAACAAGATTTGTCCACCAGAAGCCTTGCGCAGGTATAAGCCGAGCAGAGGGCTCATCCCCATCCTTTCAGCCTCATTAACCCACTCAGATACCGAAACCATCTCAAAGTGCTGATTTGTTTCATTTTCCAGCATGGATTGTACCTCTAAATGCCCCAGTTGAGTCTCTCCAGACTCATGGCGGAACTGAACACTTGCCTTCTCTCCCTCAGATCCCCCAGAGAGATGCACTGCTTCAATGATCTGGGTAGCAACTGACTGCACGGAGATCAAATCGAAAACGCCTGTCCAAGAGTTTGAATCCGGGATCTTTTTGGTCTTTTGGCAGTATCGCATGATATTGCTCATCAAGTCAAGCTCGGGTGCGTTGGCTCCAGTAGTACTTGATGGGCGATGAATCCAGACAGGGACGCCGAAACGTTCGCTGGCCTGCTCTAGATATACCTCGCACACCCATTTAGATGCTGTGTAGCCATCATCGGTGATATCAGGTGGCGGGTAAGAAGCCAACGAGCTCTCTCCAAAGCTCTCCTGCTTCGCGAGACGAGTAACACCAGCGGAAGAGATGAAGTGGAAGGGGATTTTTCGCGGCAAAGCCAATGTCATAAGCTCCTTTGTCGAAGCAACGTTGGTGAGTTTGAGAGACTGGTAGCTCTTCATAAAAGAGACATCGGCTCCGTTGTGAATCACCACGTCTGCTTGGTTAAATATCGAGACTGCGTCGGACTCGGAGAGTCCGAGTCGGGCTGTCCCGAGATTCCCGCTGTAGACATGAACCTTTGGATTAGTAAAGATGGCGGGAAGCTGGGCGACTGGCTTTCGCACAGCAAGGCAGTATATGGTCTGAGTCTTCTCGTCGTCAATAAGATTTTGTAGAACCTCTCTGCCAATAAACCCAGTCGCGCCGGTGAGCACAATGACAGAAGCTTTAGAAGGAGCAATGCTGCTATCGATATTCAGCGATGTAGAAGAACCAAGCAGAGTTTCAATTTCCTCATTCCAATTCACTGCAGTCCCAGCGTCGGCAGAGAAGAGGTTCTGAATACGATGTGCCATTCCTTTCAGTGTACTTGCTTCAAACAATTGATACAATGGCACCGATACACCCAAGCTGTTCTTGATAAGAGCCTGCAGGCTCACTAGAGAAATTGAACTTCCGCCGACATGAAAGAAGTCCGAGTCTGAGTGAATGGAGTAAAGGGAGCTGAGATCGTCAGGAATTGCTGCCTTCCAAAGCTTTTCCAGTGTTTCCTCCAATGGTGCCAAATGATTATTATCGGTGTGTTCAGCTGCGTTTTGTGGCAATGAGAGATCATTAACGGCGCGTCGATCGACCTTGCCCGAACTGTTTTGCGGAATGGAGTCAATATGAATCATGGCAGCAGGACGCATATATTGCGGAACCGGTAACTCTCTCGAGAAATCCTCCAAAAACCGTCTTGACTCATCAGTAACATCGCTGTCAGCCAAAGTGACAAAAGCAATGAAGAAGGTTTGCTCGTTTGCAGATCGAGGGGAGACCACAGCCTGAGAAATCCGGCCACTCGACGTGCGAACGATGACTTCCTCGATTTCTTCCACGTTGACACGGATTCCACCTATTTTCACTTGATTATCACCATCAATACGACCAAGTAAAACAAGATCACCATTTTTGGTGAGTCGACCAAGCTCGCCACTGCGATGAGCAGTTGTCCATTCCCGGCTTTGGAAGAAAGAACTTGCGTATTGATCTGGCATGAACCGCTCCTTGGATTTCTCGTCATTGAGATAGCCCTTCACAGTTCCAGCACCTCCGATGATCACTTCACCCGGCATCTCCAGGGGAACTGGATTCAAATTTTCATCGACAATATAGACCGAATAATTGGGCAGTGTGCGCAGGGTCAGAGTATTGTTGCCCGAAATAGTATCAATATCCGTGTAATCAACTTCTGCCATAGCACAGGCGAACGTTGATTCCGCCGGACCGTAGACATTAAAGAGCTTCAGATCGGATTTTTTGAGAGACTGAAAATCCCGAATCAGACCATTTGGCAAAGTCTCACCACCACACAGCGCTGTTTTCAGGACGGAATTTTGCAGATTAGTGCGACCATTTCGTGTCCAAGCCAGATATTCAGTCGGAGTTGCAAATGTCATCGTTACATTTTGCTTCTCGATCAACTCGGAAATGGCAATAGGATCACCACGGGTTTGACTATTGGCAACTATCAAAGTCTCACAATTGCAAAGCGAAAGCAAAATTTGATAAAGTGACAAATCCCATGCATATGAAGCTTGGTGGAGAATGGTTTCTTTTCTCTCTTCAATACCCAATGTGTGGCTGAAAGCTTGGATATGATGGGATAATCCTGCGTGCGTAATTGGAACACCCTTCGGGATACCCGTTGAGCCGCTGGTAAACATGATAGCTGCAACTTGGTTCGCTGTTGCGAGATTCGGAGCCGACTCTATTTTGGAGGCACTGAGAGTACTTATATTCAGTGGCAGCGCGGATGTGTGAAGTTGCGGGAATTCAGGTGCTGTTGATGAGTCCACGATAACCACTGTAGGTTCCGATCTTGAGGCGATCATGACTAGTCGATCAAGTCCAACCTTTTTGTCCATGGCGACATATGTTCCACCAGCCCTCCAAATCGCAAGGATGGAACAGATCCAGTCCGTACTGGGTGATTGGAAAACTGCAACTCGGGACCCAATATCAACTCCCTTGCGACTTAGTTCGTTCGAAATGAAGGCTACCCGCCTTTGTAAGTCCACATAACTCATCTTAAAAGTTTCATTCTCGTTTTTCAGAGCAATATGATCAGAATGAGTTGACAAGATGTCGTCAACCCGATGTACCACGGTTTGTGGCCACTGGTCTTCCATCTCAGATCCTGCCAATCGGTTAGAAAATTTATACTACGGAAGAGTGAACATTTACATGCCTCTGCCAGCCATCAACCCTTCTTCTACATCATCTTTGGTGAACATCGGAGGCCATTCCACCCTGGTAGCAGGGTTCTGTGTGAAGGCTTTCACAAGGTGGCAGTAGCTCCGAAGAAGAATCTCCGCATGCTCTTGCCCATAGAGATCCTTCTGGGCGAAGATATATGCCGAAACCTTGCCTCCGCCAAACTCGACGATATCCAAATGAAGATCATAGGAAGTCTCGCTGAGAGTTAACAATGAACCCTTGGCCTCACAGCCACAAAGGTTGCGGAATTCTTCAACTCGACGATAATTGTAAAAGATTTGGAACATAGGGTTATGCGCAGCAGAACGTGGAACGTTCAACTCGGTCAGAATCACATCGAAGGGCACACGCGAGTTTTGGAATGCTTGTTGAGCCACATTCTTTGTCTCTTTGACCGACTCGCTGAATGACTGCGTGGATTGACGATGCATTTGGATTGGCAGAGCGTTGAGGAACAATCCGATGCTTTGCAGAATATCAGCATCGGTGCGGTTTGCATCGCTGAGACCGATGCAAATAGATTCAATGTCGAGCTGTCGCAGGAGAAGAATCTTCCAAACTGTTAAGTGGAAATGGAAGGGTGTGACCTTGAAGAGTCGACAGCAGTTATCAATGTCATTGATAATGCTGGTGTCAAATTCGATGGATGCATAGTCAGATCCAAAACTAGAGATGTTTGGACGGATAGCTCGACGAGCAAATGGAAGCAATGGGATGACCGGCGGAATCTGGACGAACTGCTCGCGCCAGTAGGCAAGGCTTTTTGACCATGAACCTCCTTGATACTCATTCATCTGTCTCAGGGTAAATTCCGGATATTGAAGAATACCCGAGGGTAACGTCTCGCCACGATAAGCCTTGTCTACATCAGACCAAAATATATCAAAGCTGATTCCATCCATGTTAATGTGATGGAAAGCTGTGATAATATAATTTTTGTCGGGAGACAATGAAAGAAGTTGAACACGAACGGTCTCGCCATCAGAGATATTGAAAACATGTTTCTTCATTTCTTCGACAGCAACGTCGACCGCCTTCTTGTCATTGATAGCCTGGTGCTCTAGACGCAAGCGAGATTTCGCCCAAATTCCCTGCATAGGTTGCTGGTCATTATCAGAGTAAAAGAACGTCCTCAGCGATTCATGACGTTGAGCAACAAAATCAAATGCTCGGGTAAAGTCCTCGAGTCTAAACTTTCCACTCAGCTCATATAACGCCGTCACATTAAATGTTGTTTGATTAGGGACGAAAAGCTTGAGGAACCAAAATCGCGACTGAGAAAAAGACATCGGAACTCTTTTCTGGATCTCATTTTTCTGGGTAGGCTCGGAGTCATCGTCAACAGAACTGGACGAAGAAACATCGTTAGGCTCTGAGCTGGAGTCTCCTGCATTTAAAGAATCTGAGGAGCTCCCACCCCCATTGGCATGTGATGGAAGATATTCGAGGTTAAAACCCTTGGGCTCAACACCTATCTCTGATGAGGTGGATCCGTTCATTGGTGTGTGGAAGTTAGAGGTGTTGGTTTCTGTTGATCCATCTGACTGGTTTGGCTCTGAGACTTTTGGCTGGGCTTCCCCATCGCCATTTATCATCGGAATTGAGGCTTCCGGCAGAAGACCAGCAGAGAAGCTCAGTAAATCCTGTATGGATGCAGAATTGAATATTTTAAGAACTGGTACATCGACTGAAAGCTCTTTGAGGAACCAGGATCGTAAGTCAACAGCGCGTAAAGAATCAATTCCAAGATCATCAGGGCTAGAAGCAAGAATACTGTCGGCCTGGGTTGGATCAATTTGAATAGCTGCCTGGAGTTTGAGAAGAAATCCATCTGTAGCTGTTAGATATGTGTTCTCCTAGACAAGCTGTGAAAAGAATTAAGTACCTTGTAGAACCTCCATGACATCATCCATCGACGTGCATTCCAGCAAACGTAGTCTAACTGGAGCTCCTGCCTTGCCCTTTTTATCGATTGTGACAGAGGCATCGGCTTTGATGACCAAGTGCTGGAAAATGGGATTGGTTACCCAGTTCTTAGTGTCATCATCATCTATTCTGAGACCGCTGCAGAGGTCGTGAGAACTAGATCCTTTCAAGCATGAGAGAACACCTTCTGCAAAGACCTCATGGAAGTCTTGCTCAGACATCCAAGTATGACCAACACGGTAAAGATATGATTGCTGGCCCATGTTGAGCTCTCTGGTAACATATCCATTGCCAACAATCGCACCGATGTTGATTGCATGTGTGGGAAGACCACGTTTTTGACGTTGAGCAGCAAGACTAGCCATGAACATGTTTGCGGCATTATAGGCGACTTGACCAGGATTTCCTGTCACAGCAGCCATGGACGAGAAAAATATCATGAAGTCCAAAGTATTTTTTGAGAACAGTTCATCGAGCAGAATACTTCCTTGTACCTTCGGTCGAAGCACTTTCTCAAATCGAGGTAAATCCAGATCGAAGAACATCGTATCTTGAAGAACCATTGCACCTTGAGCAACACCCCCAATTGGAGGCATACAATCAGTAATCTGACTGTATGCCTTGTGGACTGAGTCTCGATCCGTAATGTCACTATATCGGTAAGAGTGAGTGACCACGTAAGTTTAATTCAAAGCATCACTGAACTTACCATGAAAAGACTCTGATCGTGCAGCCATCGCGTGCCATATTTTCAATACAGCTCTGGTCAACCTTGGGATTTCGGCTAGATAAAGCAATGTAACGTGCTCCCTGACGAACCATCCACTGACACAAAGAAAGGCCAAGTCCTGCAGTCAGGCCAACAAGCCAGTATGTTTTGTTTTTTGAGAACTGGACCACCTTTGTCGCAGGGCACACTTGAGTAGGTAGAGCCTCTTCTCCCCACACAACAAGAGACTGCTGGGTTGGTTGTGGATAATTCTCAATGAGATCTCTAAGGCTCAGGCTCTGAAGTCTGTGATTGTTAACAGGTAAATCATCAGCATGAGCTTGAATCCATAGTCGTTGAAGTTGAGAAGTAACTTGATCCACATGAGAGAGGTTTGAAAGATATGATCCTTCCATTGTCAAAGTCTGTTCGGTTTCCACTTGGCAATCCGCCGGCAGCAGGCTCTTCAATAATGACAGTAGTGTATCGTCACCGCTACCGGCACTGAATAGTCGAGCAATATTTCTGGGAATCTTGCTCGCTAGTTCACGGCGCGTGGCATGGTGATGGACATAAATACTTGGACCTGGTAATTTGCTTTGTTGTGTTGTGAAAAACACCATTTGTATACCCAGTCGGCTTCCTTGTTGCGCAAGTACAGCTGCAATGGAGAATTCTGGATCCAACACTCCAATTTTGCTGCCTGGCTGGATACCTCTGAACAGCGATTGAACCAAAAAGTGGGTATAAAGATTGATCATCGTTTTGGTAGCTTCACCTTTAGAGTGTCCACATCTAACAACCCAGCCTGAAGGGACATGGGTGCATGAGTCCAAGGTCTCAGACAAGGCGATAACATCTTCACCAGTTTTGGCATCATTTCCAGCAATTAGAAACAGGCGATCGACTTCAGTTATTTTGACTGCTCGAAGGAGGGAGCTATGAGCCTGAATCTCGGCTTGATTGGCTAGGGCTAGCGAGCTCGGAATATTCGTTTCAAGAATTTGGTAAGAGTTCTCAGACCTCCGGAGAGTAACAATAGAGTCTTTGCGGTCAACGTTCTTGACTATAAGTCGTCTTGAGGAATTGTACCGGTCATTTCTTTCCGAATTTAGTTTGAGCCGAGGGATGAGGAACTTGCCATCCTTCAGCCAGAGTTCGCGCTCCGTGTACCACAAGATATTTTTCATCTGTCCTTTTTGCTCCCAAAGATCTGCAGCTTCCAGATTGAGAAGCTTAGCCGAGATAAGATCTCCATTTGCTTCATCAAGTGAATCAAGATTCAAGAATTGGATTCTCAAATGAATCATTTCCGTGACTAATGTTCGTTGAATTCCGACAAACATATGGCTGAACGGGTTGTCACCCTGAGCACCATGTCCAACCCACAGGAAACTTTTCGATTTCTTGAACAGCTCTTGGAAGAACTTGAGCTTTTCTGGAGTAAGCGACACGAATGTTGGCCCCTCTAGATCTGCCAAGCACAGAACAGTCCCCATGGCTGGAAGCTCATCCGGAATTACATCGGCAAGAGAAGGGAAAACACTCACTTGAGTGTAGTGCGGAGCGATTGATTTCTTGATACCAGACACCAAATTCGCAGTCAATGGAGTGGTGCCACCAATGATTGCCAACCGCTCAACGTCAAGCGTTTGTTGGTCTGCAGCCAAAGGATTTCGCAAAAATGTTACCTGGTTGTTCACGGCCTGGGCCAACATCACAGAAAACGGTACTGGAAACTCTGGGTTATGTGGTACCACGGTATCAACTCCGGCAAATCCGGCCTTTTGCATTAACTCGCTCCATTTGTCAACTGACACACTTGGAGACATTGTCCGTCCTTCGGGATGTCCAAGCCACCATGCAGGAAGACCACCAAGAACAAGACCAAAACGTATGGCGCTTGAGTCAGTAATCTCCAGAAGCAGGAGATATCCACCCGGTTTTATCATGCGTCGAACGTTTGAAAGGGTAGCCTCAAGGCTCTTTGTGGCGTAGAGAGCTAATGAAGCCACCACCAAATCAAAAGTCTCTCCGGTGTATTCTTGCTCTGTGATGTCTTTTTCGATGTCGAGGGTTTTGAATGCCATTTTGTTTTGGTGCTGTTTGAATCTCTCTTGCGCAGGCTCAAACTGAGAATCCACAATGTCTGTGAATGAGTAGGAGCTAAAAGCAGTTCCCATTCCACGAAGTATATATTCAGTTGCTTCACCAGCACCAGCCCCTATTCCAAATTGTCAGTATGCAGCCTATCCGATTGGTTTTCTTGATGCTTACCAATTTCCAGAACGTTCATGTGTGGGAATCTGTGGCTAAGTTGACTCGCAATATGACCAGCTTCTTCCAGATAAGATTGAATCCCAAGAGTCCGAGCATAGAATTGACTCAGAAGGTTGTCAGTCATGAGGATTTCTAGAAGATTACCCTCACCACGGATGACTGCATTGATATTTTCACCAACTGTGCGGATGATTTTGAGATCGATGTTATCCGGATTCCTAGTCCTATTTAGCATCTAAATCGATATCAGAAATGTTCAGCTTCAATACTTACTCTGCAAAAATCTTGGAAATATCTTCTACAGTATCGTTTGCCCACTGCGAGTTGCCAAAAGGGTGTTCTCCGGATTTAACAAGTGAGGCACAACTGGCCGCGTAAGACAGGAAATGAGCGTGATGCCATTGAACAACAGACTTCTCAGTGCTGGTGAAAGATGAGTCAAGCTCCTTGAGATAGAAGTGAGCAACTCGATCCAGACTCAGAGATAGCGAGCAGTCTTCTGGCAAAAGGTTAGGCCTGGTCTTGCCATAATTCCCAACGGGCTCCTCTGAGTTCCAGGTAAGTTCTGTAAACATAAGAACATCATCTGCTGGTGTGAGGGGAGTGAGAGGAGTAGTGTGAAGTCCTTGCAGTTGTACCACTGTAGATTTGCCGTCAGAAGAATAGATATCAACATCGCCAGAGAGTTCGGAAAATCTTGCATCAGCGACAGATGAGTAGAATGGCAGAGATGAACCTGGCCCTGCTAGATCCATGCAGCCTCGTGGATTAATCCTGATTCTGTCAATCTTTGTGGGAAGATAGAGTGTGCGCATGCGGCCATCTCCTGGAAAGCAGTATGCTAGCATGATTGATTGAATAGCACCATCAAGAGATCCTGGATGAATAAGTAGAGGCTTTTCGCCGTCTTCTCTATCTGGCACAGCAATCATGCCAGTTGCTTCGTCCATCTTTCTGCTTAATCCAGAGAGTGCACGGAATGGACCAGTATAGCCAAATCCAAGCCCTAACACTGTATTGTAGAATCGGTCCTCGTCAAGGTCCAAGAATTGGTCTCGATTATTAGAGGAATATGGAAGGGGAAGACTTTCCTGAGCTGCGCCCCCAAGAACAATCTTCAAATGAGAAGAGGCATGAAGAGACATGGACGACGATCCTTTGTTGGAGTCAGAATAACAGTTGAAAAGAGCTCTCAGGGTTTCTCCCTGTGACTCAACAATAGTCAAAGTGAATACTATCTCAACCTCGGAGCTGTCTTCTAGAACTAAAGCCTGTCCAACAATCGCATCCTCGAAATCGATCAGTTGAATAGACTCCAGTCCATACTCCTCCAGAACCATTTCTACTGCTGCCGATATGTATCCAGCCGCAGGGAAAACCATCTGACCCTGGACTTGATGATGAGACAGCCAAGATATTTCGCGGGTATGGAGGATATTTCGCCACCTGATCTCCTTTTGCGTGCTATCCTCTTTCATACCCAGGAGCTGGTGAAACTTTTGATTTCCACCACGGAATTCAGCTGAAATTCGTGACTCGTGCCAGTGCAGACGATCATGGTCCCAAGAATATGAGGGGAGATCTTTAAGCAGCTTTGGTGGTGGCGCATTCGGGGTGACTTTGCTCTGAAGGCCCGCAAAGTCAACAACTTGCTCACCAAGAGATACCCACAAAGCTCCGAGCGTGGATGCAAAGGATTTTCGAGCATCTTGGCCTCGACTGAGAGTTCCCGAGTATGGTAATGTCAAGCCAGATATCTCTTGAATTGTTTGTAGCGCGGGGCCTTTCAGTGCTGGATGAGGGCCGACTTCCACGGCCATGTCAAATGGACCACCAACACCAATGGCAAAACTGACAGCTTGTGAAAATAGAACTGGGTTGACCATGTTGTTACTCCAGTAAGTATCACCCAAGTTATCGTTTACACTTTCAATTTCCTTCCCATAAACACTAGAAATCCATGTTGGGTGAGCATTGGTCGGCTTTAGAATCTTGATGCCACACTTCTGTATAGCTTCAATATAGGGGGCGGAGCAAGGAAGCATGTGGTGGGAATGATAAGCTTTGTCCACTTTCAGCAAACGTGCGAACTTCTTTTCATCCTCGAATATTTCCTTGGCCTCTTCGACTGCATCAGCGTCACCGGACAATGTGACACTAGCAGAAGAATTACTGGCAGCAACGCAGATTCTCCCTTCAAGGGATGCCATCTCACACAGTTCTTTTGCATCCTCAAGAGAGGTGCCCACTGCCATCATTGCGCCCTTAACGCCGCCATTGTCACCAGCGAACTGCAGTGACCATCCTCGATAGTAGGCGATTTTCATGGCATCTTCGGCACAAACATACCCGGACGCGTAAGCAGCGGCAATTTCTCCAGATGAATGTCCAACAACAGAATTGAAGACAACGCCAGCTGCTCGGAGATGATCGACAAGCATAATCTGAACTGCGGTACAAAGAGATTGTGAAAATAAGGCCTCTCCGATGCGAGATGCAGCAGCATCTTTCATAATCTCCTCCTTCAACGACCATTGGGGACGATGATCCAGGGGTAGTTTTTGGAGAGCTGAATCAAGTCGAGTAATGCACTCTGCAGCCATTGGGGACTGGTTAAGCAGCTCTGCTCCCATTCCAGCCCATTGAGCACCTTGACCAGTGAAAATGCCAAGAAGCTTGGGCGTCTTGATACTTGTGGCCTGTGTCGCCGAAAGAATTTCCGCTGGCGACTCAACCGCTTTCTCAAGTTGGGTGATGAAATCTGTGAGATCCAAAGCGGCGACCGAAAAACGAGCTGGTAGTGTGGATCGGCGACAGTTTAGGGTCCATGACAAGTCTCGAAGCTCTGGCACATGTTTACCTTTGAGGTAATTTGAGTAGGTCTGAAGAGTTGCAACGAGTGATTTTCCTGATGATGCAGAGAAATTGAATGGAGTGAATACAGACGCGCCAGAGTCAAGCTTCTTATCCGTGACAGTGGAAGGCTCAAATGACTCTAGAATTGCATGCGCGTTGGCGCCTCCAAAGCCAAAACTATTGACACTAGCACGGCGGATCCCTTTACTTGGAAGGGTTGGCCATCCCTGTGCAGCGGTCACAATTTGGAGGTCATTGTAGAACGGTCTCACATTTGGATTAAGCTCATTGAGCAAAAGGTTAGGTGGTATAACACCATGCTGCAGGGCCAATGAAGCTTTCATGACTGCAGCTATACCAGCTGTGCCTTCAGTATGGCCGATGACTGTCTTGATTGAGCCAACATACAAAGGTGACTCCTGGTCATCCTTGCGGTAGTAGTTGGCTTTTGATCCGAAGAAAGCCTTGCTGATGGCTTCCGCCTCGACTGGATCTCCAGCCGGTGTACCTGTTGGGATTAGCCAAAGTTGAACCAAACATAGTTGCAGTATCTCTTCCACATACCAGTTCCGTGGGCCTCAAAGTATTGCGGTCGATCAGAAGGCTTGGATAAATCAAGTCCTGCCTTCGCATATGTTTGTCGGATCAAATCTGCCTGAGCCATAGGATTCGGCATGGTAATTCCTTTGGTACGTCCATCCTGATTGATTCCTGTTTCTCGGATGATGCACTCTATGTGATCGCCGTCGGCCAGCGCGACGCTCAGAGGCTTCAGAACAACAGCAGCAATTCCTTCTCCACGGGCGTAGCCATTCGCGTCTTTATCCCACATGCGAGACCGACCATGTGGTGAGAGCATTTTCAACTTACTCTCAGCAATGTATTGTTCCGGCCCTAAGAGAAGGTTCGTTCCAGCGGCTACAGCCATATTGCTTTCGCCACTACGTAGGCCTAGCACAGCCTGATGAAGAGCAACTAGACTAGCAGAGCAAGCAGTGTCGATTGTCATAGAGGGTCCATGCCAATCAAAGAAGTAAGATATCCTGTTGGAAAGGATGCTTCGTGCCGCTCCTGATGCAAAGTACGTAGGAAAGCTTTGGATATCCCGACCAACAAGTTCAGCATAGTCGTTCGTCATCAATCCAACATACACACCAGTGTTGGAGCCTTGCAATTGCTCCATAGGAATACCAGCGACCTCGAGGCCTTCATAGACAGTTTCCAGCAGCAGTCGCTGCTGAGGGTCGATAGATTTCGCTTCTACCGGCATAGTGCCAAAGAATTGGGCATCGAACAACCGATAATCATCGGACAGTACATACGAATGTCTAACATTGCTAGTACCGTGATGGGAGCCATCAGGATGATAGAAAGCGTCGGGGTTGAATCGGTTGCTTGGGATCTCAGTCAAGACATCTCGAGGTTCTTTGAGCAAGTCCCAGAGTTTAGAAGAGGATACTGCGTCACCGGGAAACCGACAAGCGCTCCCCACGATGGCGATAGGCTCGTTGCTAGCTTGGCGACTGTTGGACATTGTTGGTGTTGAGATTCAAGGATTTTCCAGGGAGTGGTGCTACCAGTGTGTGACTGTCGGTCTGCAATGAAGATATAACTAGTTTAGTAATCCTGAAAAGCCGAGGAAACAATGTTGAGTGAATATTTTTCCAGGCCTGCGATGTCTTGGACATATCAATGTACCGAGGTTTAAAGAAGACCAGTAGATCGGACATGATATCGGACAATCATCTTGGAACAAGATTGAAATTGCATTGAATCAAACCCGACTCCGATATCTTACTTGTTGGCTTGATGTAAAACAGGCAAATCATTGTGCAGTATATGACGCTATGAGCTTAATCTCTTGTTGATATGCACTGCTTTTGCATAATCCATGTGGTATTTTAGATTTGTGTTCTCGTGTTTAATTTTCATCTATAACACCACGAGGATGTTGGCAGCAATTTTTGGGATATTGGGTATGAAACTTGCAGGGGCAAACGGAATACCGAATCCGAGACCGAATCCGAGACTAGATAGAACTCCATATTTAGCAGGTTATGGTAGCACAGTATGTATGGTCTCTCAATGAATCTTACCTTGAGTATGACAGCTACTTTTGAATCCATGTCAGCCCATTCTGCCATGCGTGGCTATTTCCCTGTTGGAAATACCCGTGTACCTTGCACATTACCTGAGCTCTGGGATATGTGCTAGTCCAGTTCTATTTCAAATTTATATAAGCCCTGGAGGGGTGCAAGGGTTCAATAGTTTCATCTTTTGAATTTTAATAATATTTTCTGAAATATGAAACCTGGAACTTCAGAAATTTGACCGTATCTGAGGATCAGGAGCTTGTAAAAGCTCTTTGACAAGCCTGTGGAATCATAGTGACATCGGAAAAGGCATTACTATAACTATAGAATTTTGAAACTTGAAAATTATTTTGTAGAGATATCTCGTAGCTGATCGTAAAGCATGTTCATTGAATAATAAAGGTTCGTTATAAACATCCTAGTAAATATACACGAATTCATCATTCTCACGATCTGTGAGATCTTTACCGGCATTTGCCCCTGCATGGGCTACTTCCTCGCCTGTCTCTGTCTTATTCTCATCGATGCCGTGGAAATGGCTTTGCATGGAGTGATCGATGATTTTGGCAGATTTGCCATTGCGGACACGACGGCGAGCCTGTGATTTGTTTAGATACCACAAATTGGCCCATTGAATGAGTACAGCAGCAACCAGTGCGCTAAAAATAGCCAAACAGCCTCGTAGACCAGGTTGATAAGATGGTGCATCTTTTGAATTGAACAAAAGAGGACCCACAATGTTGCCAGCAGCACTAGCAGCATTGTACAAACTCATGGCCACAGATTTCTTGGTGCTTCCAGCCGTATTACCAACAATCCAGGTCACAACCAGAGGATTTCCACCAAACATGAATGCAAGCAGATAGTATCCACCGAGCAGTCCGCTCTGGGCAGATTGTGTACGAGGCATGGCGTACAGAATGGCCAAGCCTGCGACTACAGGAAGCATGAAGACGGCGAAAACTGCACCCTTTAACCGTGCAGTCTGGGCAAGATAACTGGAAATGAGAATCAATATAGTCTGCATCGCACCAAAGGGCATTGTCAGTAGACTGGTCCGGTATTTGTCATAGCCAAGTCCGCCGATGATAAGCGGACCAAATGTATTGGTCACACTGGCACCGACGTTGAGAAGCAGTGTAATTGCAATCCACAGGTATGTTTTGGGTTCCAACACTGCTTCCAGGACGTGGCTGAACTTGAACTCATTGCTTCCTGTGCCAGTCTGGTTGGCAAGTAAGCGCTCCATTCCCTGTTCCCTCTCCAATTCCGTCAAGAAACGGGCAGATGATACATCGTTATCCAGTCGCCAATATACCACCGGTGCCGAGACGATGGTGAGGAGACCGACAAACAAAAAGATTCTAAGTACAGTTAGAAAGGTAAAGAGTAATGTCTCGCATCCAGTAACTTACATTTGCCATGATTCCAGCACATCCGACTTAATGTGGGATAGGCCATATGATAGCGCAGCTGCCACGATGGTTGCCAGTCCGTTCGTACCGTACCATGCCGCGATACGGATCGGCTGCTCTGAACGAAGGTACCATTGACTAGTGATAACACCAAACAGAGGAAGGCATCCAGCTTCGAACAACCCGAGGAAGAAGCGAGCGGCCATCAATTCTCTAAAGTTATGACATGCTGCCATACACGTCTGTGAAATCCCCCAACCAAGGCAAAGCACAGGCATAAGAATCTTGGGCGGGACCTTGACGATGAGAATTGAGGAGAATGGCTGCCAACATAACTGGGCAATTGGGGCAATGGAGCCAACCAAGGAGTATTGGTTTCCAGTCAAACCAGTGTCTGTCTTCAATCCAAATGTGGCACCGTATCCCAGCACGGACTTGTCGAGTATTTGAAGGAAATACACCCACATCAAGACGAGAAGAATCGTTTTGTCAGTCTTGCGACAAATGCGCTTATTGTCCTCCTCCGTCAACGTTACGCGTTGTACCATTTCGTCCACTGGCTTGCCAGCCACTTCATCGTGAAAAGTTTCTTCTTTAGACATAATTGAGGTACTGATATTGAACTTGACCACTATACACAGAAGCTTAACAGCAGCGAGGTCGAATTATTTAAATTTTACCACTTTTTGCCCCCACGTTGTTACCGATAATACTTGTGGGGGTTTTCCCCGCGTTCCCCTTTACCCCGGGTTGCCGAGGCGTCATTAAAGGTCGGCTATTGTCTTTCCCCGGTTTCAACACCGATCTGTGAACCAATAACAGACTCGGATCCTTCCCAATGGCTGAAAATGGGTCAAAATGGCCTGATCACCTGTCCTCCTCAGACGTATTCTCGTGTTGAATGGGGAAATTTCAAACGCCGTTCATCGTAAAATCAAGTCATGATGGCCTTTCGTGACGTGGATCAATCTAAAAACAAACATTGTTAAGGTTAGTTTAGTGATGGATACTCTTGACTAGAGATCCAGGTGAACCAAGTAATCCTTCCCTTCTTCCTCAAATTACTCGGCGCATCATGTCGGCTTTTGATGCCAGGCAAGGTTGTGAATGTACTTGGCACTCCTCTTCGGTCCGATGTATCTTGTAGTGGGAGAGAGACTACGCGACACATATGGTCAATTTATAAGTTATTAGTCCTAATAACCATATAACCCTGCCCAGTTGGTTGGGATTCTGCTCAGAAGTTTGGACAATTTTCCAAATTACTCAGGCTTATAACCCAGCCCGTTGAGAATACGTGTTAGTAAACACAAATAAGAAAGAGTATTGGCACGATTCACCTTTCAGATACATTGTCCAATGGTGTCTCCTTATTTCAGCCAACGAAGTCACTACTATAGGTAGAACATATGCGAGTGGCCCATACAAGCGAGTGGTCCACCACAAAACACCATACTAAATGCGAGAATTCTTAATGTTATATCTCAACAACCACAAAGTCGATAACGTGTGACTAATAATTATTGTGCACCGATAGTTAAGTATTTAAAGAATGATTAATCGAGTTTAAAGCATGTTAAACTATTACATTATAATGATATCATAAATTACGGCTTAATTTTGCATTTAACTCTATATATGTATATCTCGATAAAGCCACATTATAATTTTTCAAAATTGACATAGATACTTCTGTCGCTCGCTTAGCGAGCGTAGCTAGCTAATCGCTCGTTACTGAGAACAGTGAGCTCCAACGAACCACTACTCAACACCGTAGACAAACCACCAAGTGTAGTGGTCTCTACAGTACTGAATATTGTGGTTGTTGTGAAGTCTGCTTTTTCATTGATGAAAGAACTAGCTACTTATAGTATATGGGTGCCCCTCTGCCCTGGACGAATGTCAACATTCGTCCGAGACAGAAGAGACGGTGAAGACGGGACATTACTGTCGCAAATGCGCATCGCTCAAGGGTGTCGTTTGCGATGAATGCATATCGTTCAAGGATGCCGTGATATACTAATCCAGTTCCGGAGTCGCTGTCTCGGTAGAAGCTTTTTCGGCCGAAACACTTTCCGTCTGTTGATGGCCTTGTTTCTCGGCTGTCGCAACAACTTCAGTAAATATTTAAACTATGATATTAGAGAATAATTCGAAGTCTAGCTGTTGAGATATATATAACATTGGGGTTTACCAGATTTACAAAGTAGTATGATATTTTGCGGTGGGCCACTCGCATATATTCCACCTTAAGTAGGAAGAAGTAGTTGGAGATAATAGATAAGTAAATATTTATTTATTATGTTGGCTAATTAATTAAACTTGCTGTTAAAAAGTTAATCTTAATCACGTGGAATAAAGTGCCCTTTGTTGGTGGCTTAACTCTTTCTGTCTTTCACCGCTTTTGTTTTGTATGACTGCGATTATGTAGGATGTAATCAATAACTTCAATATAGGGGCCAATTTATGAGCATTTGTTTGAATCTTGGAAGTATCTGTCGTGGATCTCACGTCATGTTTCTCGATCCTAAAAGTTCAACTTCTCAACCATCTACGATTTCCACAGTGCAATTAGTTAATCTTCAAGGGAAAGTACAGATTCGAAAAGAGGCTGAGGCCTTGAGATTTCCGTCAGTGAGTTCCCGCAGAGACAAGCTGAAGTGGGTCACCTATCTTTGATCGCATTTTGTTTCACCCCGGCCTCTTTGCGACTGTTCCAGCATTGTGGACCTTGTCTTCGCCTCATGTTAGTTCAGTCAGATCTTCACAACTCGGAACCCACCAGTAATTTTTTTCAGAAAGATGGATCCGGATCTGGATCCGGATCACATTCATAAGTCTGAGTCTACAGAGTAGAAAATTTTTTAATAGATCCACTTAAAAAAGCTCGATCTACCAAAAAGAGGCGGTGAAATTAAAAGGGCGGTTTTAAAGTTTGGTTAGGATCCATCTTTTAGAGTTCTACAAAATGCACGAATTAAAAGCTTCAATTCACCCCACAATATGGCTTATTCGGGTTAAGCTCGTTGCATCGACAACTACTTGGACAAGTTGAACTTGACTTGAACTATTAGTAATATCCGGTTGGCTTTTTCATGAAGGAAAAATAGTAATATTACGCACATCTCAAAGGTAGGGTCACATGACAGTCACTCGGGAATCGGGACCAGACGAGAACAGGCAAAACTGCCTAAGTATGCCGATAATCGTTTTCATTCATCTTCTCCTGCGTTGCAAAAATCACCTTCTAAGGCTTAAAAAATCAAACGAGCCTCTTGATCTGCGAAGAGGTCTTTCTTCCCAACTCCATTGAGTAGAAGGATACTTGATCTATCAATATGCCGTCTTTTGACTCATTTACCCCTGTGGAAGTCATTGAGGCCGTCTCAAGGGCTGGGGTTATGAAGGGTAATATGCGAGCAGACAAAATCTTCTTGAGCGGTGTCTCTGCTGGATGTCTACTTTCCTTTGCCTGTGGCACCACTCTCAGTACTGATGCCTCGCCATGGTTCCAAGAAAATGCACCTGGGTTAATCCGCACAATCAGCGCTCTTGTATTCCCTTATGGACTTGTGATGATTATATTAACGGGAGCTGATCTCTGTACGGGTTCCTTCATGGTATGTTATGATCCTCGTATTTTCAAATTGTCTGAGTCATTCTGACCGCAACCAGTACACAACTGCTGCAGCGTTACAAAGGAAACTTCCATGGTGGAAGATGTTAATGCACTGGACCATAACATTCCTCGGCAATTTGGCAGGATCCCTTTTCGTAGTAGCTATCATCTTCGGCTGTCAGTTGCACTTCTTTGAAACCTTATTTTTTCAATCGAATACTAACTAATTTTCCATAGATGGCAACGTCTTTGCCACAGACCCATTCAAATCTGCTGTTATTACCTTTGCTACCAAAAAGCAAGTGACTCCCAATTTCCGCATGATATTTCTGCGGGCGATTGGCTGTAATTGGCTTGTTTGTCTGGCCTGCTTTTTCGGCATGCAAGGGCGGGATCTTGCATCCAAAGTCATCGGCATCTGGTGGCCTGTATTTGCCTTCGTTTCGCTTGGATTCGATCACGTTGTTGCCAACATGACCTTTATTCCCTTGGGTATCTGGCTTGAGGCACCTAATATCACTGTTGGTCTGTACATCTGGAAGGGGATAGTTCCCGCATTGTTGGGTAATATCATTGGTGGTGCACTATTCAGCGGTAAGTATAGCAACTTTCCATTCGGATTTTTGAGCCGATTTGACTAAAGATTATTATTAGGAACTTATTACTGGTACATGTACCTTTTGAGCTTCGACTCTTTGCCCATTGTCAGAAGAAGGAAGACTGACAGTGAAACGGAAAGAAATCCAACCGATCTTGAAGCATATGCCGAAAGTCAAGCTCACTATGACTAAAATATCAAGTTCTTAGGATGCAATATTGGAATAATGCGCCATCTGGCCTGAAGCCAACTTCTAAGGTTGGGTTAAAATCATGCATATCTCTCAATTGAGTTAAATTCAGGGTTCCAGGGCTAAGCAAGTATCAGATCCGGAGTCAATATGCGCAATCTTGGAAGATACCGTGGGAAATGACCTTGGGAAAGATTTAAAGGATCGATTAGTGATAGAGCCGTAGATATATATTTCAGCATCATGAGCATTGAATAAATGGCAATCATTGCAATTGATTGGCATGCTCTGGTTTAGAAATAATCTCTACACATTTCCAAGGTTACAGAAGAAAAGGGGGATTCAAAGAAGGCTTGAGAATGATGTAGGCACACTTGAGGGCATGTCACGTGATGCCGCAATCCGTCGATCAACTACGTCACTGCTATCATACCACGTGACACGTTTCCAATGTTGCGACCATCCGGATTGAAGCAATTCAAAAGACCGAACGAAGATAGCTGCTTGAATACGGAGTATAGACGACGTCACTCTTAAAATATTGTCCCTTTTCAGCCATAAATACCTTGTGCGGCCAAATTATCACCCTGGTCATCCCGCCCCAACCCCACGTACTTTGCAAGAGCGAACATTCACCGGATCTTCTCCGTTTCAACTCACCACATTCATCCACCATGGCCAGCACACAATCCAATCTTTACAGCTTCGAGAATGCTGATGCTCTGGCTCAGAAATTAAGGCCCTATGTTCTCCAGGCTCAGACCGCGGCTCTAACCCGCCACAATACCTTCCGCCTGGCTGTATCCGGCGGTTCCTTGCCCACCGTGCTGGCCCGCGCACTACTTGCTACCAGCAACGGTACTCCAGAAGACACTCCTGAATTTGATAAGTGGGATATCTTCTTCGCCGACGAGCGCGCTGTGCCTCTTGATCATCCCGATAGCAACTACTCCCTGTTGAAGCAGGAGCTTTTGAGCAAAATCCCGGCGGAGCTTGGAGTTCCGACCGTGCATCCTATTGATCAAAAGTACGCCAACCAAGATGCGGATCCCCAAGAACTTGCCGACTTGTACCAGGAGGATCTTATGCGCACCTTTGCCAGTAAGGATAGCGTCAAGCTGCCTATCTTCGACCTGATCCTGTTGGGCTGTGGTCCTGACGGCCACACTTGCAGTCTGTTCCCTGGCCACGATCTATTACGCGAGAAGGACGCTTGGGTCGCAGCCATCTCCGACTCGCCTAAGCCCCCGCCCAAGCGCATCACTCTCACTCTGCCTGTTGTCACTTCTGCTATCCAGATTGCGTTCATTGCCACCGGCAGCGGCAAGAAAGACATTATGAAAGCTATTTTTGATTCCGAAGAGGGACATAGTCTCCCATCAACTTTGATCAACCGAGGCGCTGGTGAAAAAGTGAGCTGGTTCACTGATTTCCCCGCTATTGAAGGTGTCTCCTACCGCCGTAGCACCCTATAAGTTTCATTCCCCTTTTCTATCAACAAATACAATCCCGACATTGTATGAAGCGTCAAGCCTGTGTCACGTTTGGATTTCTTGCGCTTAGCTTTTGCTCTACCTCGGAATCTAATTCGTGTTTGGTTCCATTTCGGTATATTCAAAATTCGATATGTCTGTTTTGACGAAGGGAAAATTGAATATTTGTACCTAACAAATTTTTCACGCAAGAGGCAGTGTCCTGATGATTATAGAACACAATACCAATAGAGATCTTCTTGAAGTGGTTCACGATCTCACGATAAGGGATCTTCCAATGATATATTCATATTGCTTCGTATCTATAGATTTTTTGTCCTACCACTTCCAGTTGATGTGGATGAGAGCGATGCTGAAGATTGGAATTTATGTTGACTTGCGAAGTTACCACCAGTGCACCTTTTTTATCAACTTATGGACTGATATACAAATAGACTTGACATTAAATATCCTCTCATGGCAAATTTTATTTTGCTACCCAGCCCCAAGCTTTTTTGTACCAAGTCATAGGAATCTCGATCTCTTTCTGGAAGAAGATTCGGCCAGTAGCCAGATCCGCCTCGGCAGGATTCACAAAAGATGACCGGGCCCAGACTTTATGTCCGACATAAAGAAGAACAAACACAATGATGCAAATGTAAGCGATGAAGAAGTTCGTCACGTCCAATGTTGGGATAAATGATGTAAAGCCTTGGGTGAGGGCGATCAAGACGTTGAAGAACAGACCGTACCAAGCCATGTAAGGCTGAAACATGGTTTTATAAGGTAGATCACCGCGAGAGATTCCCTGTGCAACACATGCTCGCATGAAAGCAATGTGCGAAGCATTCAGACAAGACCATGTGATAAATCCAGCCACACTAGAAAGATTCACTAGCCAGTTGAAGACTGCTCCCGCATCGTCGGAAACATTCATGAATCCGAGTAGTCCGAAGAAAGCAGTGAAGCCCACACTGACATATGGGACACCTTTTTCAGTGATAAGAGTGAAGAATTTAGGAGCGAATCCCTCGTGGGCCAGACCAGTCAAGATGCGGCTTCCACTATACACGTTCGAGTTTGCTGCGGACAACACGACGGTCAAAAGGACAGCATTGATCAAGCTTGGCAGTACCTTCACTCCAGCAAGATTGGCTGCAATAACCATAGGCGAGGCGGAAGCGTCAGTTTTGTCCGTAGTGAGCGAGCTATTATTATAAGGAACCACAAGACCAATAAAGAAGATGGTCAAGACAAAAAATAGTAGAATACGAAAAAATGTCTTGCGGATGGCGGAAGGCATAGTCTTTTGAGGATTCTCAGTCTCTCCAGCTGCGATACCAACAAGCTCTGTTCCTTGGTAGGAGAATCCAGCCTGGATCAGCACTGCCCAGAACCCAACGAATTTACCAACAGCACCCTCGACCACATGCTCAGCAAAGGCACCGGGATTATGCCAGTAGTGAAATCCGATATAGCCTTGTTCTCCAGCACCGGTATCAATACAGATAGCAAAGATCATGAAGCCAATCACGGTAGCAACCTTAATAGTGGAGAACCAAAATTCTACTTCACCATAGAATCCCACAGGAAGGAAGTTCAGAGCAGTGATGGAAGCCCAGAAGACTCCAATGAAGATTGCGATATTTAAATTTGGGTCCCAGTATTGAATAAGGGTTCCTGTTGCGGTCAACTCGACAGCGAAAGTAGAGGCCCAGTTAAACCAGTAAATCCAGCCCATTGCAAAGCCGAGACTAGGATCTATCAAGCGAGTCGCGTATGAAGTGAATGCACCAGGAATCGGTATATAAGTTGTAACTTCACCGAGAGACGTCATAACAGAGAGCACGATAGTGCCAACAAAAGAATATGCAATGAGCGCTCCTACAGGCCCAGAGTAGGCTATTGCAGTACCACTTGAGATGAAGAGGCCTACACAAGTTAGGGCTAGATATTGGGTTCAGTTGATCAAACCAGTTCCAAGGTTAAAAGCTTACCAGTTCCAATTGTTCCACCTAACATTACTCGTTAGAGCCATTATACAGCAATATCAAAAGGGATAGTGAAACGAACCAATTGCAATCATTTGAAGGTGACGACTTTTTAACCTGCGCTTCAACTCTCCCGGTCCTGACTCGGGTGTGTGATTCTCCTCCATATCGGCAACCTTCAGATCCTGAGAAACCATCTTGGTGTCATTGCCAAAATCGACAGCTGTAGAGGACCAGCTTGCCGGAGACGGTCCCGAGGCGGCATTTCTAAACGACATATTGGTCCAGCACTGCGCAGATTGTTATGTTCAACACGAGTAAGATACAAGACGACATCAATATAGCCATCGAAGGATATCTACGTATCTAAATTTAAATACCCTAAGCAAATTTCTTCAAAAAATTTTACATTCTGTGCCGGTTTCCGCTTTCGGTTGGTTAACCCACTAGGCCTGCGTCACAGCACAGTTTTAATAGGCGGAAATGGATTGTTCTTAGGTAAACTAAACCTGGAAAGGAAAGAAAACACAAATATATAATTTTGGTTTGTAACAGGTACAACTAGTAAATTTTCCCTGTGCCTAGGAAATCATTAGTGTGTCTGGTTTAGTTCAACGCAACCTTGGAAGGATCTAGTTTGATCAGATAAGATCCTTGATCACTTCTAAGCTCGACGTTTTTCTCAAGCACCAGCTCGCATAGCTCAGTTGGTAGAGCGCGTGACTAGTAATCACGAGGTCAGCGGTTCAAATCCGCTTGTGAGCATCAATTGTTTTTTATTTTAGCAATTATATTTTTCACCGACATCAATTCATCATATATGAATTCAAAATTCAATATTCCAATACCGGGGGGAGGGGATTTTTTCTTTTTTTCTGTCTCAGAATGATTGCATACCTATCTATGTCATTAGTCGACATTATGTCAATCAAGCTGTTTATGTACTTCATGAAATCACGTCAAGTCGGTTCAACATTGAGATGACATGGCTTCCTGGATTTGACATGGTATCAATGTAGTATCAATACAGTGTTAAATGCATGTATAACCCAAAACCCGTGCCTCAATAATGTCAGACACGGTGTCTCTAGGTAGGAACACTATCAAATAGTCTTGAGATAGTTACACGACGGTATCGCTAATGTTACTTTGGTACAGTGAGATGCCCGTGAAATCATGATATGTACGCATGAAAGAAATCTCGACTCAATCCAAAATAAGGTACTTAGGTACCATTTCTTTCTGGACACCGTGTTTATTTAGTCTTGATACGTCGTATCCCTGCCATCACTACCTATAACAGCCCGACCCTGTCAGCTACTGGTTGACATAGTCCTTAGTTCTGATCCATGTAAACTAAGACAAAGATGGCCTTGACTTTTGAAAATGGCTTCCAAGGCCTGATTTGCAAATGAATTCATGCCTAGATGATTTCCTTCATATATCATCACGTGATAATGCTTACTCAGTAACAACTGCCGAGTTTCGTTCCAACCTCGAATCATCGTCCACACAAGGACTCCACCAGAAATCCCTGGCTTACATTTAACCTCCCCGCGCTTTGCTGATTTCTCCGATTTCCGGCAGATGCGCATCACGAGCACAAGCTCTTGTTCGATGGGGTTTTATATCGGACGAACGCAGGCCGAACCGAATGGACTTTACTTACCGAAATTTGTTGGCACCAGATGGGCCACAATTCATCCCCCCACTGACTTTCGGGCTCCCAAGCTAACCGGGCCACCCCCGGGGGTTGATTTTATGAAAAGAAGCCCGGATTCCGGAGGAATGGACAAAACTCCTCCTGTAACAGGAAAGCGCCGAGGCGGAAGCCGAAAAGCATGTAATGAATGTAAACAACAGAAGGTGAGTTAGATGTATAGCATGTCACTTATGCCACCTTGACTCAGGATACGCTAAACTGGGCACTCCTCCCACCATCACAGCAATCAAATTGTGCTAAAAAAAATTATACAGCTCCGATGTGACATTGTACAAAATCCCGCTGCGGAGTGTTCGCGCTGCCGTAGACTTGGGATCGACTGCAAAGTTGAACAGTCATTTAAGCGGATCTCCAAGAGAAGGTGAAAAATTCTCATATCGCTCCTTGGCTCTTCACCTCACTCATTGATACACAGGCGAAATGCGGAAATGGAGAAGGAGATCGCAGATCTTCGGCTTCGCTTAGCTAGCAATGCAGATGAGCAACTAGCTGAGCCTCATGCCAGTGACGATCTTTCCCCATGCTCAGATGTGTTCGCACACCAGGATCCCTCTGGTTTAAATCGATCTCGGCCAGTATCTGTGCCAGTGGAACCACACTCTTCTATCACTACTCCATTGACCGTGCAAAGGTCTGGATCTATTCTGTCACAGGAAGAAAACACCCCATGGAGGCTGGAGGACATCACCCTCTCCCGAGCCCGAGTAGCCCGCTTATTCGAACAGTAAGAAACCGGACGTTTCGGTCGTTTGCTTGAACCTAAGGCTAACGTTTATTGAAGATACTTCACTTACTACCATCCATTTCTTCCTCTTCTCAACCCCCCAAAGCCACCTGAGGCCTATTTGAACCGATGTCCCTTGCTTGCGTGGACTCTCATCTGTGTGGCTAGTCGAAGGTCTCCATGTGAACCTGGCTTGTTGAGTGCGCTGTCAGGTCCATTCAATCGTCTGCTGTGGTCCACTATCACTAGTGTGCCGCAGAACTACCGTGTGGTCAAGGCACTATGTGTTTTGTGTACATGGCCTCTGCCAACGACAAGTCAAAGGACAGACACGACTTTTATGCTCAGTGGCTTAATGATGCAGATAGCTATGCAGTTAGGGCTGCACCGCCCAGTCCAAGCAGAGGAGTTCACCACATTCCAGATGGAGGTTCAAGGTGAAGCATTAAAAGACCGTCTTCATACGTGGGTCATCTGCAACATAGTTGCTCAGAAGTAAGTACTGCATGACAATACTTGCCAACCCGAAAATAACGATCTATAAGTGTTGCGACTGGCTATGGGCAGCCTCCAAGTACAATATACGATTGGGCTCTGGAACCAGCATCGTTGAAAGATGCTGACTATCACCTACCGGATGACTTGGCCATTCGGCTACGCATCGAGAAATTTTGCGATCGTGTCACCAAATCCCTGTATAGTAGCAAACCCGAGCAGGCAGAATTTATCAGCGTCGAGAAGCTGGTCCTTGTGCAAATTCTTGAAAGTGAATTGAGAGAGATGGAAGTCGAATTTGGTCAAGAAATATCAGGTATATCACTTTGGCCCATCTTTTTTGAACTGTTGTCTAACATTGTGTTACAGCGATCAACAGGATTCATTTACGCGCAGCAGAACTACACTTCCGGTATTTCCTGTTCCTCGGATCTACCACACGGATTGACGACCTCACTAAGCTGTACATCGCAACAACGTCGTTCCTGGGTCGAGTTCTTGATCTCGAAACAGCGCCAGGCGAGTTGATCAGCCACTCCACCAATTATATTCTTCAAATGATCGTTTCGGCGGCCTTTGCTCTGATGAAACTGTTAAAGAGTAGCTTCAGCCGGCATATTGATTTCAATCACGGCAAGCTGCTGTTCAATGGAGCCATCTCGGCTATTCGCAGAATCAGCGTCATGGATCACGATCGACCCATTCGCCTAGCTGATATCCTTGCGCAAATGTGGAATGCCACTGGCCCAGAACTCGCCGATGACGATACCCTTCAGCTCAAGGTTCGTTGTAGGATGAGCATGAGTCATGTTTACGACACCGTTTGGCGCTGGAGACAACGTTTCAGGCCTATCAAAACGATAGAGGAAATGCAAGGTATTTACTCACCTTGGATCCAAAGTTTTCTATCTTTGAAACTCACATAATTATACAGCAGCAGCAGCAGCAGCGAACCAGGATATTACAACAACAACTGGCCCCTTGACACAGCAGCAAACTAGTTCTCTCGAAGACTCCTCTCTGATGTTAGCTGCCCAATTTGACGAAAGCGGCGGCTTTTTTGGCGAAGCTGGCTTCTCAGAAGTGTTCGACTCTCTTAACTGGGTTTTTGATGGCATTCCGGAATCTTTCGTCGCTCCTCCGATTCTGTGATCTTAAATCTCTACTACCTGATTTTCAGCAACGATATACCATTAAACAAAAAGTGATTTTGTGAAAATATGTTAAGGCAGTGTACATAGTTGCTTGATAGTCACTGAACATAGAATGTCTGTATCAAATCCGTACCCTTGAGCAACGTATTCCTCATTTATTGTCGATTTAATGATGCTCATATGTTATCACTTCTACTCAGTTATTCTACTATTGCTCTTGAATGTTATACTTGCTCAACGATTGGCCGGGCCGTACCTTCCAAGGTTGGAACCATCAGTGTTGCTGGATTGGAATTATAGCTGCATCTGCATTGGGCCCTGCACATCATTTCGAAACTTCATTCCAAGGTTCTTGAGGCGTTGCTAAAACATAAGCCAATCCAGTCCAATCTAAGCATCTCATGTTTTAGAAAGATGACTAGGGTCTGCGCTAAAACAAGCGAACGTACCCAAGCTTGCAAGGGTGATTTGATTACACAGGTGAATAATAGCTCTTCCCGTACGAAATTTATAGGTTCAAATACGAAGTCTAGTCCCTATGTATGTATGGTTGTAGTATGACCAAAGCTACTTAAGTTAGTTTTTTAGTAGGATTTTTCAACGGAAAAGGATAGAGGCTATGTCTAAATTATGTTCATGAGTATTGGAAAGCTATGATAGGAGCTTGCCTAGGCACGTTTATGAAAATATGTATATGTAAAGAACCTTGAACCTGGGAGTAAATAGCCGTTCAAGTACCTAGATAGCCTGCGGTAGTACAGTCAGTGCAGCCGTTGTCCCACGGGAAGACGGGGAATGGCGAGATGATATTTTGGACCAAGCCCTTTCTAGTAACTCCATAGATCAAAAAACAGTATTCCGGAGCCTGAACCTTGAAATAATCTAGGCCCTGCAGTATTTTTGACCTTGTACGTACATGCATATTTAAGTCTGAGCTTAGTCTGCAGGAGCCGTGCAACCTGAGTACTATAACAGCCTAGTGCCAAGCTATTGGCGTGTTGAGGTTCATGTGAGAACAAGGTGGTGCAACCGGCTACTAATTAAGACGGGGATTCTCCGGATATCCAGGTTAATCCTTGCCTAGTTGAAGTTATGATATTCCGGTCGGCTGGGGCGTGTACTACCTAGATGCCAAGCGCTAATTCCCAAACCAAGTACCTGGGCCCTGCACAATGTGTTGTCAACTTGTCCTTGTCAGACCGCATCCATGGCTGCTCACATGGGATCCTAGATTTACATCAACGCGTGGCGTTATCCTCCATCTGTCTCAACATCCTAATTTGGAAAACAAAGTGAGCAGTGTGTTGGTTGGGCATCAGTTTTGTTCTCACTAGATTCAGGACAATCTTATTTGCATAGAAAGATAATAGCCAGTAATCTGTCATATCTTCCTTTACCAGGTGAGCTAGTTCTAAGTTAAGATTTTTAGCTCAAGCGGCTCGGCTCGGCTTAAGACTCAACCTTGGAACTGTGCTCAGAAAACTGCCAACTTAAACTTCATTGAAACGAAATTTACACCCACTATTCTAAATTATTTAAAGAGCCAGTATCTATTTCACTTAGAATCAACGCTAGCTTTACAGTAGCATCTAGTAGAAATAACGAGCACTCGAGCAAGATAAGTATCATACTTGGGTATGACAAATTGGATCCATGTGGTTTTCAAATCACGCATACCTCAATGGCTTCTTGCAGATAGTCCATGTTTCGCACATGTTTTATGATCCAATACATAGGTACCTTGGACATGTGTTTCGAACGCAGCGGCCCATTTTTAAGCTGAGTGCTTGGTCTAGTCTACAAGCTTCTTGCATTCAAACCAGTCAAGGCGACATCTCAGGCAAATATCAGGTGATATGAAAGTGCAAGAATGAGAACAACATCTCCATCTATCCAATGAACCAGTGTGCCTTTGAAAAATCCAGACACAATCTGTGAACTCAATTCCCATAATGCACTCAGCCATGAACTATAGACAGTCTCGACGATCTGCGTGTGATCGATGTCGCGGATTCAAGCTCCGCTGTGAACGCGATCAAGGAAATGGCAGATCATGCGAGAGGTGCCTCAAAGCTCAGGTGGTATGTACTACCAATATCGGTCAGCCTGCTACAAATTATCTACCGTCAAAGAGCAATTCTTGGACATTGTCAAGAGATTTTGATGGCCGGTATATAAGCAGCGAGCAACATGCTATGCCCATTCTTCACAAGCCCTCTATCTCAAAAGTGAAGAAGCCAAGCATATCCTCCAGCACTAGCCGAAGGCACGATCATCTTGGCCTCCATTATTGGGGTGATTCGGAGAAAATCCCTTATCCTACCGGGGAACGGAGTCGCTTCATAGAAGATCAAAGCTTTCAGTGTGCTTCTCATCCTGTTGGAACTTTCCCGTTTGAGCCTTGGGGAGATCAAATGTCGCCATGGACGGCAACCCCGTTCCAGGTGGTAGGTTATTCCGTACTATTCTTCTAATATATTTATCTGATCAAATGAATATAGCCTTTGATAGATGATTTCATGTTTGAACCCGATCATCGTCTCAGGAGCCAGCTCTCATTCTCGGATACGCCTATGATAGACTATTCCCGAAGCATTCAAAATAGTACCAGCATCGAAACAGCTTCTCTATCCACAGAGAGACTAAATAGCATTGTTCCAGATTCCATACTTCTTTCCGATTCCGGCTGGGAATCTTCCTGGGAGAACAGTCTTCAACCAACGAGAGACGAAGAGCTGCCAAAACCTGCAGTGGACTCGCATTTTATGAACTCGTGCAGTCTGCGGAAGAGCCTTTTGAGGTTAGGAATGGAGCTGATTGATGATCTGGAGTTCCTGGAGACCGAAAAATTCATCTTTGGGTCGTCATCTCTGTTGAGAGAAGACATCAATCCCATGGTTAGAAAGCTTGATCTCCCAATCTTTCGAATGCTCAACCACTCTACACAGTTTATTGAGATTCTTCAGCGTGAATTAGTCACTTTGAGAGACAGATTCAGCTTCCCGTCTGTTGATATCAGCCAAAGCCCTTTTGATGAAATGAAATGTGCACCGGTAGATACATTGGAGAACTACATGGAGGATGCTGCAAATACAGCTTCTTCATACGATTCAGGCTACCTTACCGTGATGGCATCACCCGTGAATCAAGGCCAGATCCATAATCAGGCAAGCCTTGACATTTCCACAGCTTTGAGTATTTTGTCTACTTACTCTCATCTTAATCGAGTATATCGTGCCGTTTTCACTCAGCTTTATCAACTACTCCTCGTTATTCCTCCGCATTATGCTGCCCCATTCCTTTTGCTACCAAATTTCAAATTTGGGCAATTTCATATGGAGGGGAGTCTCACGGTTCAAATTCAAGTCTTGATTGAACTAAGCTCGGACATGCTGGCAAAGATTGAAAGGGCTCTTGGAATGTCTTCTGGCCCCTGTTGTGAGGTTGACGGAGAGTCTAGTCCAGCTGTGTTTATCATGGAGAATAGTCCTGTGGCATCTATTCGGGATCTTGTTATGACGCAGGAGCATGTCACGTGTGGGATTTCGCTGAAGGAGACTATGAGCTGTTTAGGACAGCTTGTCAAAGAGCCCACTGGTCTATGACCAATTCCCTCAATACCCCTGGCAAAGACTAAGAACATACAATAAAGAGAAATCATCTCATAATAACGACCCTATTAGAGTGTTTTAGCTATATAATGCCCGAAGTTGGGTCTGTGAGCATAAGTCGTATAGCTTCCCTCGGGAAATTCTTGAGTCTGAAGTGCGTAGAACCGCATAATCCGAAACCGATATGAGCCTGAGAACTCAAATGCCAATAGAGTGTGATAAGTAGAATATTCAACAGGCTCAGTAGCTATTTTGTTGGAAAAAAAAAAAAAAGCCATCTGTTATTTTCCCCTTTTCCTTTTTTTAATGATGGCTGCACCCAATCGAAACACTCTTAAAACTTAGTAGAAAAATGGGGCTTAGTATGTCTACTTCCTTCCCAGTAACTCTAGTGCGTCTAGCTCATCTTGTATAATAGAGCGTTTTCTGACTATCCCGTTAGTATATTTGAGTTGGAAAGAGGTTTTTCACGGCTTTGAAGTCAGGGAACTGACAGAAAGTAGCAATGAGTGCCTTTGATGGTTAGAATGGCCTCGTGATTGGCAAAACTTATGCTGGATGCCACGCAGACTATCATTTTACAAAATAAACGAATCGATAAGGAACAAGTACTAAAACTTCAACCCCAGATCAGTCACTACTCTCGACGTCAATCAAACTGGTATACCTAGAGATTTCCATACCCAATCACCAGAGAAAACGCATATACATTCGCTCCCTGGATTTGGAGACATTGAGATGGGATTGAATTATATTAATGTGATAGATGTTCATGAATAAAAGCATCGTCAAAGGTTTGAAGAAAAGGCACCGCACACGAAAATTGATCACTTACAAGGATGAAAATTATCTAATTTCAAAGTATGGTCCATGAAGTGCCCAGGTGTGTTAAAATCGTGCTGTCATAAATAATACTCACTTGTATGGACCAAATTGGGTTCACCAGATTAAACTACTCTGGATTAAGACATGAAGAACCTAAAAATAAATATCAGGTTAGAAGAACCCGGCAGAAAGTATTTCACCGCCTTATAATGGTGTCATTCCCCATATCAATTTCATCAGCTTCATAGCCGACTAACCGCTATTTTGCCGATGATGCGAACATTGAATGTATTCCTAGCAAAAAGGGTACGACTTCGCAGAAAGTCGCAGATATTAATCGAGAACAAGCATGAGTGAAACTCCTAAATCATCACGGTCGCGATTTGGTGAGTTAAACCTGTGTAAAAATGCAGTTCTGCTGGTTGACTTGTAAATAGGTTGTCGCACTTGCCGAGCTCGTAAAGTGAGATCCATCGTTAAAACTACAATTAGATATATTCCAGGGTTCCAATTAACTCTCTCTTTATAATAGGTCAAATGTGATGAACATCCTGGTGAATGTGGTAATTGTGTACGGTTACGCTTAGTATGCTCAGGCTACTCCACATCTCCAAAGTCTCAAGTCCAAGATATTGCAAGGGATAGGGTGGAGAGTTCAAAGCGAAAACGAACATACCGATCTTGTATGTCATGTCGCACATCCAAGACCAAGTGTTCAGGCGAGCGACCTTCATGCAAAAGATGTCAAGACAAAGCCGAAAGCTGCTTCTATTCTGAATCTTCCCAGCCTAGCTGGATACGGCGGGTTGAACCCATTTCCAAAGCCGCGTCTCTTCAAATTCCATATTCGGTGCCTGAAAACTCACCAAGCGACCAGCTTGAACCTTCTTCAGTACAGACAAGTGAACAAAATGCCACACCGCAATCAGCCTACATATCATATGAGCAGTCTCCTTCGATAGAGGTAACTGGACGAGCCAATTCACCATTAAATTGGTAGGTCTGTCACTGGCTACATTTATTTTGTTCTCATTTCTGATGTAGAGTTTTTAGGCTTACAGCTCCTCAGCTACCTGGCCCATGGAAAGTAGGGCTTTTGGTGGAAGACTACTTCAACAATATTCACCCCTTGCGATGCTTTGCATTTATCCACAGGCCTTCATTTTTGCAAACATTCGATAAAGATTTATCACAAAACTACCAGGAACATGCTTTATTGCATATAATATGTGCATTGGGTGCCCAGTTAGTTTCAAGGTTTACTGGCATATTTCTCGATCTTGAATTGACAAGTTGAATTTAGGTTCCATGCGCTTTCATACAGCGAGAGTGTGGCTCCCCTTCTGCCAAGATTCATACTTCACGCTGGGAGTCAGTGGTCAAAAACAGCTCAGCGGTTAATCCTCGAGAGCCTTGACACGGTCACAGTCGAGAACCTAATGGTCAGCTTCAAATCATCTTCAAGTCAAACCCTGAAGCTAAATTTCACATAGGCATCTGTTTTACTCCACGATTATGCCATTAGGATGGGCAACTTCGCTAACGCATTTATGCTTAGTGGTCTCATTACTCGCATGACTCAGGCCTTACAGATCAATCTAGAGTATAACACAGATATTCTTTGCCAGAACACAGAAGTAGGGCCTTCTGTTACAGAACGGGAATCCCGCCGACGACTTATGTGGTGCTGCTATGTGACAGATGCTCTGGTGGGTAGTGGTGTTGATCAATTAACCCTAGTTGATGAAAGGGACATGAAGATTCAACTTCCGTGCAACGAACGAAACTTCATCCAGAAAATCGCATATCCTACAGAGATATTGGACCCTGGAAACTGTCTGAAATTCATTCCAAATGAGCAACTGAATTTAATGATGCCGAATATGGGAATTATGGCAATTTTCATACGCCATATTGCTATTCGCAAGAAGGTTCTTAGGTATATCAAGCATCTCGATGAAGCTATGGTACCTTGGGAACCTGAGTCTGAATTTGCAATTCTAGCTGCAGAATGCCACGCATGGTATGATTCTTTGCCAGCACGTCTGCAGTTCACATCAGATTCAATATATGTTCGAAAAGACTCATCCCAGCTTGGCGCTCTGTGTGCTCTACACTGCGCTCATTATCAGACAATATGCGATTTGTACCGGTTGGGTGCACCGGCACTTTATAAGCTTCGATCTGCCTTCGAATTTCCACCAGAGCAGCAAGTATTTCTTCGCCATTTACAAAAGATATTGTTCGATGCAGCAAGAACCATTGCGAACATAGTTGGAGAGACGGCCCGCCATGGGACCCGAATGTTAGCAGATTCATGGCTTCCCACCATTACATACGACAGCTCTCGGATCATTGTGTACCACTTGACCCAGATTCTTGATCCTAGCTTAGAGGAATCCAAGATCCTCATGATGCAGAGTGTGCCGCATTTGAGGAGTAACATCAAATGTTTGAAATCCATGGGCTGTCTTTACGTTATTGCCAACTCATTGGTACGTGGCAGATGCACCAACCCCTGGTTGTTTTTTATATTTTTATCATAATTGACTTGAATTTTCTATCAGGCATCTGCAGCTGAAACAATGTTCGAAAGATCTGGTATTGGTTCTGAGGTGATAGCTAGGAACAGCATACCCGACGACCCGTACGAGCCGATAGAGGAGGACGAAACAAAGTAGGGAATCCTCAACAACCAATTTTTTATGACATTGGACTTATGAAATTTCTAGCGAGAGTCTTCCTGGGACACCAGTTCAAAGTGCACCTGATTATGTTCTTAACCCCTTGAGTATTTTTCGTCTAGCACGAAAGTCTGTACCGGAAAGACACGCCCCGGAGAAGGCAACGACGAGCTCATCTGGACCTAACAGCTCGAGACCGGATTCAAGTTCTAACTTTGATAGTTCCACAGATGGGTCTCTTACTCAAAATGTTGATATAGAACTAGGCCAGGCAAGTCTCGAAGAGATTCAAAATTTGTTCATGTCAGACCTTGGCTGGGCATGGCAACCTGCAGATACAGCAGTCGGATCTGGAATTGAGGGGGCCGGCCTTTTGCCATGGGCCGGCGGATATCCTGTTACACAAGCAGAGCCATGGTTGCCGGTTTTCCCATTCCCTCAGCAGAATTGATTTTTGATGATCTGGAATTTTAGACTGTGAAATGCCCAGGTAGACCTGGAAAAGAAGATCCACACTTTAGGGAAACATGTATTCTCGGACAATATATACATTGAGATTTTGATGCTAAATTAATAATATGTACAGCTTAGGTATTTGGAGAAGAGGCAAGGTAATCAAAAGATCTTATTCGGCATCCAAGGGGCAGGTTGGGGGGTTGTTGTTAACCTGGATTCCACCGCGCTTCTTCTCAAGAGTATCATGATAAGGGAGCTTCCAGCCACCCTCGGATTCAGGAGCAGACAGCCAGAGACGCATCAGGTGGCGTCTGCGGATAGGCTTGCCATTCTCATCAACAGCATCATGGGGGTGGTCTGTGTAGGCAGTACGCGCATGGAAGACATGAGAGTTGCTGACAAACTGGATGTCACCAGGTGCCAAAACCATGTGAAGAGCAAGCTCGGCACAGGTCTCCTCCCAAATCTTAATGGCATACTTCTGCTTTTCAGATAAGGGCGGAATACGCGCATCCGGGCCAGAGTTGTATCGGGAAAGACTGGTGACGTTATTGGGGTCAAGTCGGGCGTAAACTCGGGGATTCTCGCTCCGTTCATTTTCTAGGTAGAGGATGCTGCCGCGGAGCCATTCCTCTTCGCCTTCTGAGACCTCGCCCTTGCGGTCAAAGTACCAAATAGGGCTGACAAGAGTCTCAACCACATCAGGGTGGCGTTCCTGGAGCAGATTGTACACAGAGTGTGTTGAAACAATGTCTGATTCACCACCGGAGAGAGACTTGGCGATGCAGAGAAGGCCAACGATATCAGATCCATCCGTGTGGAAGTATTGACTGGAATCAAAGTTAGTGATGCATGTTATAAGGCTGTTACTATATTTGACATACCGAGCATTTGTACGATAGATTCGCACTCTTTCAGTCTTGGTTGGGTCCTCCCCAAGGTCCTTGACGTGGCCAAGAACGTGACCACGGCTGTTCTGACTTGTGAAGTAACCAATGTAGGTGCCGAGACCCATGTATGCTGTAGCACACTTTTGGAGGTCCCACTCGTTAACTGGAATACCCTTGAAAAGGAAAAATCCCTTTCCATCAATCAAGTCTTTCCGCAGCACTCCAAGACGCTTGGAAAGGTTTGGAAGAGGGAACCGAGCCTTCCGAGTGTCGTTAGAAAGTTTACTTGAGCTTAATATTGCGAGAACTCACCTGAGAAATTCCGGTCAATGGGATGCCCTGTTTGATGAATTCATCGCTTGCATCGCTGAGCTCTTTAATTTCCTCGTCGGTGAATTTGTGGTTCCAGAGCTCAGGGTTATTGCGATACTCCTCTGCTTTCCACAGAGTAGGGCCGTACTGAACCTTTGGAAAATCAGTGTAAGGGCGAACTCGTGAATAGATAGGAGGATGTTGTCCCGAAGTCTTGAAGCCATCAGGGAAAATGGAGATATCAGCTCCAGACAGAGCAGTTTCGGTCTCATTCTCTGTAAGAGTTGCCATTTTGAGGAGTTTATTCAATGTTGAGGTCAAATAGACTTAAAGTAATATTTATTTAATTTTAAGGTTTGCTTGAGGACTCCTCCTTATATACCTACACTCAATTGTGAAAATGTAATTCTATAGTAGACTCCACATCGGTCAGTCGGCTCGGTCCCTGAAACTATCAATACTCTACCATTTCTTAGTGATTGTACGGCGGTATCGGCTCGTCGGCAAACTTGCAGCAACGACATTCCTGGCCAAATCACGCCATATTGCGTCATCAGCTATACAATCAATACATCAACTGTTTCTGCATATCTACGATGAATAGCAATATAAATAATAAGCCATACCTATTGAAATGTTCAGATTTATACAGTACTAGATTGAAATGATAATGATTCAATTTGGCCTTCTTGAGTTGATGGTGTATGGAACCTTGTATATCCATAGATCGGATCTGTTCGGCACGAAAATTTATAAGTATGGATCTTGATAAGTTTGATCCATAAACGAAATGTGAGCCCACCGGTTCCACTGCTTATCCGGTGAGCCTGATGGTAGTAGAAGGTGGTATCACCGGGGAAATATATAGATCATGACATAGATTAAACGAAAACATTGGAAGATGAGAACTAGTATATTATTCACGTGACCAGTTGAACTTATCAACTTTTAGAAGAGAGGTGGAACCAAATCCCGTAGGAATCAACGAATGAAATGCGTATTAGTTACTAGATTAATTAACAGAATTGCTGATAGGTATTAATTGGCGAACATAACTGTTGGAACGAATATCAGCTGACATACCAAGATCATGTGATCTTGGCATGGCAGCTACTATATCTTCCTTCATCTGAGCATTTTAGAATGACACTTCACTTTTACCCAATATGCATACACCTATTATATACGTACAGAAACGATATCAATAGCTGTCTGCTTCGGTAATAACCTAGTCAACCGACACTGATCAGTAGACGTACAGATCAGGAAATACGCATCTACGAAGCTCGAGCGCGTTGAACAGTCTTCAAAAGCTGTTTTTCCAGATTCGCTAAGTTCTTGCCATATCTCAGTCGAAGGAGAAGATCGTGACAATTGGAGGCTTGAACGATCGCCGACAATTGCACCATCTTGCTAAGAACCCACTTCATAGAAGCCCGAAGGTCTATGAAGAACGTCCAAAAACACAGAAAAACACCATATTTCCCACATTTTCCCTCATTTTTCTTCCATTTCCATCAGTTCTCAAAAATACCCTCATTTCTGCAACCTTTTTACTCCTGCATATCCTGAAACAAAGGCTACTCCCAAAACAACCACCAAAAACCCAATAAGTGATCTATCTCATAGATCACCGTATCATCCCTATATTAAGGAACACACTGCTATAACCACCCCACTCATTCGCTATATCACTTTCCATACTACCCGGCCGGCTTACCTGCCGTCCATTACACCATTGCTATTTTCCCCACTGTTTACTATCATTATACCATCATCACCTTCATTAAGCTGCCATAAAAACGGATCAACCATATCTATCCCATTTTCCGCCGCCGATTCAATTCAACCAGTCGATGACGATGATGGTGACTGGGAAATTGATTTGTCAACGGCTATAAAATAAGAGATGAATGACTACGTTGAGAAAAACATGATTTTCAACAACCAGATACTGGATTACAACCTCTGGATCCTATACTACGAGTTATTCGAAAAATGGGAACCTGAGCACTTTAAACAAGTGACCCCATCAAGACGATCAGCATTACGGGCGAACCTACTTCAACACGGAGTATTCGTCCCCCGCCCTGATCGCAAAATGCCAATATACGCCCTTCTATCTATGGTAGCTCAGCAAGAAGAGTTTCACCTATGGACAGACAGCGATATAGAAGATTTCTTTGAAGAATTCTCTCTTCCAATGGTCACTGCGAAACTCAGAAAACGCCTTAACCCGACCTACGACGGATTGAAACAACCTTCTTAAGGAAAACCCCCCTCCCAAAGGGACCAGCCAATTGATCCAAAGATCAACTCCTCCGCCCCCAGAAGCAACCAATCCGATCCAGGAAATAACGAATTCTTGCCATAGAGCACCCTAGGCATTCCTAATCAGTTTTCTCTAGAGACTAGTCCATTTATCTTTGAAACCAAGAAGTTGAAGACTGATTTCACTAAGGAGATCAACTCTATATCAAAGATTTATACTAAGAAACAGAGATATAGTGGGACAGACAACAGCAGCTTTGATTGGAAGCTCAAAATCTTTTACACCATTTACAAAAGAGTTAGGATAACACTAGACGGATACAACACAGCACTGCCAACGATGCTCACTAGAATTGCTGAAGATCATTACTATAGTAGTGATTTACCTTCGCGAACATTCCAAGAAGCGTGTAACCACCTACACTAATTCTTTAAAGGTCCCGAATTCTACCGCCAAAACTTGATCAAATGGAACGACATCATACTACAAAGAGTGATAAACAACAACTCTAACAGCCTAAACTCAATCTATCAGAATTTCCAATCCATGCTTAGTGACCTCCTTAGAAAGCGACATGGTCTTCACCCAGAACTCAGGAGCAACATGAACCTCATCAATAAGCTTATCATAGCCTATAGAGGAGTCCTAGCGTGTAGTAACGTACTTTCTGATCTACCAGAAGACCTCGCGGTATTGATTAATAAACTATAGTCATCAATCACCACCTGGGAGAAAGAAAACCCCGAGAGGCAAGCAGCATTCGCCTTAGAAGAAATATTCTATACTGATAGACGATACCATAGAGACGGCAATCAAGGAAGAGGACTCACCAGGAATCAGACTAAAAGAAACCCATAGGGAAAATGCTATGTCTGCCAAAAACCATCATGTCGATCTTGGAGACATACTGAAGAAGAACAAAAGCAATCAAAACAAAATTTCCTTCAAGGATTCAACCAGAATAAGGAGAAAAACGGCGATTTCAACAGGAGATATAGGCAATACATGCTCTATTGCGAAGGAAATGACGAAACCGAACAAGTTGAAGCTTTCGAAGCTCTCTTGGCTGACGCTCAAACAATTAGCCTCCAGACCAACGAAACAGACCCTAATGAAGACGAATATGATCCAATCGATAGCTTCTTCACTTTATTTAGCCAAATTAATGCTGAATAGGGTATAGAAATAAGCTTAGAGCTCTCTAATAAAGCATTCTTGCACTGGTTATCAGAGAAACCATCGCCTATATAAGGAGACACTCCGCTATAAGACATTGACCTATTCAGCTACACCACCACGCCCACTAGCCGATATAATTCCTAAATATTTATGGGAATCATGATCGATACCGGCGCCTCAAGAAAATCTACAGCCGGAGTTGGTTAGTTCTAAGCGCTTCAGAGGATTGAGAACATCAAATTGGATCCCTCCATAGCTAGCGAAGTTAATGTCCAATTCGGAATTGGAACAACCTCTTTAATCGGATCAGCAAAAATCCCTACTCCTATTAGCAACGTTCAATTCCATATCGTTAATACAGACACTCTATTCCTATTATGCCTAGCGGACATGGACAACCTTGGAGTATACTACAACAACCTTAGGAACATAGTCATCACTTCAAAACCAGGCAAACAAAATGAAATACCTATCATTCGCCGATTTAGATACCCCTTTATGCTATAGGACGCACCCCTCTCCTCGTACCTCAGCATATCGTTCAGCATAAACCCTTGCTTCCTGACCGATACTAAGCTTAGACGACTACACCGTCGCTTTAGCCATCCATCAGTCAGCCGACTCCAAAAGTTGCTCTAGAACGTAGGCCATGAAACAAACACCACGGCACTGGAATACCTCACCAAATTTTGTCAATTCTGCCAGAAGTTTGGAAAATCGCCAGGAAGATTCCGCTTCACCCTAAAGGACCCAGATGACATAAGATTCAACTTCAATATTATAGTCGATATTATATACATCGTAAACATGCCCCTCCTTCATATTATTAACGAAGCAACACACTTTCAATCAGGCCGATGGCTAGACGACATTAGTGCCAAAAACACCTGGGATAAACTACGATCATGCTGGATCGACATATATTTAGGCCCTCTAGACTAGATCACCTACAACACTAGAAAGAACTTTATTAGTAAGGAATTCAAGACTTATGCAAAAGCCATAGGCATAAACACAAGAAGTGTGCCTATTAAAGCGTATAACTCAATCAGCATGGTTGAACGATACCACGGCCCCCTATGCCGCGCCTACCAGATTATCATTGCTGAAATCCCTAGAATCGACCGAGAAATAGCCCTCTAAATGGCCTTTAAAGCAATTAACGACACAGCTGGACCAGGAGGTTTAGTCCCTATACTACTCGTTTTTGGCGCATACCCCTGAATGATTGACTTAGATTCCCCTTTACCATCAATCACATAGCGTGCTACAGCAGTTAGAAAGGCGATGGCCGAGATACAGAAGCTCCTAGCAGAACGCCAAATCGCTGATGCATTAAACATGAGAAACGGCCCAAACACAACCGTAATCCATGATTTGCCACTGAATTCACCAGTTCTTGTCTAGAGAGAAGGAAACATAGGAAAAACAGGTAATTGGACTAGGCCATATATACTGCTATCGATTAAAGACGAAAACTGCATAGTCAAACTACCAAATAGACTAACAGCATTTCGATCGATAGTGGTTAAACCATTTTACACAGAATCGCCGACTCTAAACCCAGAACCATAGGGAATAGACGAAATCGACCTGATGGCACCAGAAGCCAAAACTAAAACCCTCTCTGAACACGCTGGATCACAGCCAGAACCTAGACGCTCTGGCCGAACACGGGTAGATAATCAAGAACAAGAACTTGCCCCTACTCCCTCGCAGCCCACGTAGCCATAGAAGCGTAGCCTAGGCCGTCCACGTAAGCACCCGATACCTGTAACTGCCCCTATCCCTAAAGAAGCGCAAAAACGTGGCCTAGGTCGCCCGCGTAAACACTTTCCGCCCATAACTATCTTTTTGCAAGAGGAGAGCAGCACCAATACTCAGTTCCGAGATTCAAGACAAAAAGAAATCAATGGGTTACTTGAAAAGGGAGTCTTTGAGCTTGTCACAGAAGCCCCACCTAGTATACGACTATTTAATTCAAGATTCGTTGACGATATCAAGAATAAAGGCATAGAGCGGGCTTTCGAAAAATCAAGACTGGTCATTTAAGCATATAACGACCAAGAGAAAGACCTGGTTTTGACTCAATCGCCAACGATTCAATGTGTCAGTCAGAGACTAATCCTTTACATCGCTGTAAGTCGCTAAGGCATTGCCGCTGAATCCAAGCTATTCCTCCGCGATATCTCCTAGGTATACATCCAGTCAAAGACCACACTAAACCGTGAATTTTACGCACGCCCACCGAAGGAACTGATAGGCCACCTCGGGAAAAACACACTTCTGAAGGTCATCAAGCCACTCTATGGCATCCCCGAAGCAGGAAACTACTGGTTCAGGATATATCACTCCTACCATTTGATAAACCTGAAAATAAACCAGTCGACATTTGACCTATGCCTTCTATATACAACAGATTCGAAAGGATTTGGTATCGTCGGACTTCAAACAGATGATACTCTTATCCTTATAGATAACGAATTTGCAGAAGCAGAAAAACAGGAGCTATAAAAGGCAAACTTCGCGGCAAAAGAGCGTAAGCAACTAACCATTGAAAATCCACTGAAATTCAATGGTGGAGTCATCGAATTGGTAACAGATGGAAGCATCACCCTTAAGCAGAAGGGCCAATGCGATAAGATCTCCCTTGCCAACACCAAAGATGAATATATTACCGAACGCGCGAGAGGCGCCTATATAGCTTCAGTATGTCAACCTGAAGCTGCTTTCGACTTGGCATTCGCTGCTCAAGCGACCGACTTGAGCAAAGACAATTATAGGTTATTGAACAAACGACTGCATTGGCAAAAAGAGAATTCCGCCAGAGGACTTAGCTTTGTCAACCTAGACTTAGACTCCCTGCAGCTAGTAGTCTTCACAGACGCATCATTTGCGAACAATAAAGACCTCTCATCCCAGATCGGCTATATCATCGCGCTAGCCGATAAGAGAGACGCTCCAAAAGACAATGACACCACAGTAAACGCCAATACCATCCACTAGAGCTCGACCAAATGCAAACGAGTCACCCGCAGCGTCCTAGCATCAGAGCTATACACTATGGCTCATGGCTCAGACATCGCTTTCGCAATAAAGTCGACTCTAGACCAAATGCTATAGGCCAATATCCCAATAGTTCTCTACACTAACTCAAAGTCGCTATATGACTGTCTTGTGAGACTGAACTCCACACAAGAGAAACGACTAATGATCGACGTGATGTGCCTTAGACAAGCATACAAACATCGCCAGATCACTGAGATCAAATGGATCGATGGGAACTCGAATCCTGCAGACGCGATGACCAAGGACAAACCCTGCGACGCGTTAAAGCAATTGATTAACACCAACCGCATTAATTTACAAGCTATCGGTTGGGTTGAATGTTCTGACTAAGCGGGACAGAGAGACTTTGTTTTCAAAAGCAGAAGACTGGATTTTGTGACTGCTGTACGAGTTTGTGTTTCTTTCTTGACTTTTGTGCTCTGACCGCGTTTTTCATCCCTTCTTTAAGTTTGCCCAGTGTTGGAACGAATATCAGCTGACATACCAAGATCATGTGATCTTGGCATGGCAGCTACTATATCTTCCTTCATCTGAGCATTTTAGAATGACACTTCACTTTTACCCAATATGCATACACCTATTATATACATACAGAAACGATATCAATAGCTGTCTGCTTCGGTAATAACCTAGTCAACCGACAATAACTAATAGTTATGATTGATTGGCTAGAATTTACTGTATATAGTTAATTGTTGGAACGAATATCAGCTGACATACCAAGATCATGTGATCTTGGCATGGCAGCTACTATATCTTCTTCCATCTGAGCATTTTAGAATGAAACTTCACTTTTACCCAATATGCATACACCTATTATATACGTACAGAAACGATATCAATAGCTGTCTGCTTCGGTAATAACCTAGTCAACCGACATTAATGTAAACATAACAAACATATCAACAACTTCTATTCTTAGATGGGGGCATTGATCACATACCTCCGCTCCCCACCTCAACGGTCTTCTTGTCCCTTAGGTATTCTATCACACGACTGCAAGGTTTTCTCTTCACCCCTTGAGTGTTGACCACCTGGGGCATAGTCCACCTGTACTTAGCATGGTACGCCATTGATAAGAGAAAGTTTTGATCACTTGAACATAAATTTACATACCTAGGTACCTTTGTACCGATCAGTTTCTTTTCTAAGGTTTATTCCAATGTGCATAATTGGATTTTCCGTTCGCATCTATTCATGCCTATCAGCCTTGTAACGTAGCCGAACTGACCCTGAATACATACCTTGGTAACCATATAATATCGTTGTCTAGATATCGAGTGGATTTAAGTGAATATAGGTTTTATTAGCGAGGTCCCGGTGACATGGATATCGGCTCCGGAAGATGTTTAGGAATCCCAATGAAGCCCGCATGACTTTACAACTTGACAGCTGTGCATACCCTCTATAACACATACGTATGCTCGTCTCTCTATACATTGATATGGAGCCCTGAAGCCCTAGTGCATGGAAAACCTAATCATATTACATAATCATAATCATTGAATTCGATCTTGTATGTAGCCATACTGATAGTACCTAGGTGCCCGTAGACACTTCAAATGCTTATCTTTCAGGCTTGCCGCACCTAGAAAGGGGTAACTATCTATGTGAACTCATGCCGTAGTGGCATAAATCACAGCATTTTCTCTGTGTGGTGGGAGATAATAGCTCCGGAATCTTTATATTATACAAGTCGAAAAAAATTTGTATAATTATTCCAAGGTTTTTTGTAATACTACTGACCCAGCCCGGGAGCAAAGCCCCGGGCCTGCAGGACTTGGTGGAAGGTACCACAATAACGGAACATGAACTATATATTCGTCTGAATATGTTGAGCATGCAATTTTCCACGAAAGTTCGCCGTCACATGCAGTTCCTTGGAACCTCAAACTCGGAATGTTAGTTTATCGGAGGCCTCATCAGTTGATCAAAAGATATCCCTCATTGGATTTCCCCGGACTTAACACGCACTCAATGGATCAAGATTGGAAATTTCCAAAACTTCCATCATACTTGAGCTGCAAAGTGACGCAACGGAAGCCTTATGGGTACGAATTTTAGCGACGATCAAGCGACGATCAAGCCAAGCTTTTTGATGTGAAACGCAAGCTCGCCAAACAAGGGAAAAAGCTTGTGCTTGGTTCCATCCCCTTGTGCTTATCCTTGTCCAATTTGGCGATGATTTAACCTTGAAAACAACTCCCGAGTGATCAACAGAAGTTGGGTGCTACAGCATCGGTTGTGACCTAATTGGCTCTACTCCACATTCCATTGCCCATTTTAAACCCCCGGACAACCTCTGCTGAGGATCCACTATGTCACCACTTTATTTCTTTTGAGCCTGGGTAGCTTTTTGACTTTAGTAGATCGATCCTCATATCCTAATCAATATGAAAACTACGATGTACAGAACCGGAAAAAAACCGATTATAAAAGTAGTTATGAAAGTGAACCAGCCGGGAAAGAAGTAGAGATCATCTTGCAAGAAAAAAGACTAACGAGCTTTTCAAGGTTTCAAGGATGGGAGCTCGAAGGGGATGATCTAGAGAATGAAGCTACGTACGTGCATTACTCCCTGAGTGGATGCGCGCATCGACCGCACGGATGGCCATTGCGGTACTTTCACTGCTATATAACAACCCCTTTGAATGAGAAGTCGGATTGAATTAGTTTAATTCGTCATATCTGACGGTCTAGCAAGCTTTATCTTGCCTGTGATACCCAGACTTCCCCGATATTACTTGCTTTATACATGAGTCTCGCTCATGAAAATTCCGAGGTCCAATTAATTTATGACAAGACGACAAAGCCTCTATATTCGATATGGCTCCGATGAAAAATTACAAGAGCAATGATTCCAGAGAATATCTAGATGAATTCAAAGAGTACTCATCAAGCTGCACTACGGCCTCCTCGTGTGAGGAGGGTAATATCAAAACTCTCGCAGATGATCATAAACTACCTCGCATTGATGGTGGCCTCCAGGCGTGGTTATTTCTCATAGCTTCTGCGATGCTAGAAGCCTTGGTCTGGGGTATGTACTCGGAATTTTTGGTTTAATCAAGCTGACCATAAGACTAACGAATTGACTTATAGGGTACGCCTTCGCCTTTGGGATATTTCAAGATTACTATACCACGCACAAACCCTTTGAAGGATCTAATAACATTGCCATCATTGGTACATGCGCTATGGTATAGAAACAATCAATCACTATTCCTCAACGATATTTGCTAAATCAAACACATAGGGACTTGCATACCTTGGTGCTCCACTAGCGATTGTCACGATGATTCTAGTGCCTCGTCTCGCACGATGGGTTTCGACAACAGGTGTTGTGATCATGTGTCTTTCATTGGCACTGAGCTCTTTTGCATCAAACGTTACCCATTTGATCTTATCCCAAGGTGTTGGCTTCGGACTGGGTGGCTGTATGGCTTATACGCCATCTATTCTTTACATGTCTGAATGGTTTGTGGAGCGTCGAGGGTTAGCCTTTGGATTTGTCTGGGTATGTGACGACCATCGTTCTGAGATTTACGGGTGCATTGGCTGACTTGATGATAGGCTGGTTCCGGTATTTCAGGCGTTATCTTTCCATTGGTAATTGAATGGTTGCTTGGAAAGTATGGAATAGAAGCGACACTACAAATTTCAGCAGTGGCTCTCTTCATTCTTGCAGCTCCATTCCTTTACTTCCACCGGCCTCGTCTTCCTCCCTCTGAAACCGTTTGCCATGAAAGACTCAACTTCCGTTTTTTATACAGCAAAAGATACGTCATCTATCAGTTCGGAAATACAATTGAAGCGCTGGGGTTCTTTCTGCCAACAATTTACCTTCCATCGCAGGCACGCAGCTTGGGGGCGAATGAGTTCATGTCATCGCTCACAGTTACGCTCGTCAACCTCGCATCCGTCTTCAGTTCGGTTATCGCAGGCTTCTTGTCGGATCGATACCATATCACTACATGTCTCTTCATGTCCACGGTGGGCACTGTCCTTGCTGTGTTCTTTTTATGGGGATTTTCCTCTTCCATACCTTGTCTATATGTGTTCTGTGTCGCATATGGTCTTCTAGCTGGTGGCTATTCATCAACTTGGGCTGGTATCGCTGAAGACATTCAACGAGCATGCCCCGGCTCAGATTCTACTGTGATCTTTCCGTTCATGGAATTGGGTCGCGGTATTGGCAACATAGTCAGTGGACCACTCAGCGTGTCACTTCTCCAGGCCGATACTAGAACATGGGGAAAATATGGAAATGGGTATGGCGCTCTTATTGTATGCACAGGTGCCACAGCACTTGTCGGAGGAGTATCAGTTGTTACACGGCAGTTGAACTGGTTGTAAGTCCCTGTGGTGGGTCACTGTACCTCCTGAGAAGTGGGGTCCGGTTTAAGTTTGTATTTGGGACCTTTGAACTGTTGGACAAACATATGGTTTGAGGACCACTATTAGATGGAAATATTTACTAACTTGTTAGCATGTCAAAAATTATACATCATTGTTTTTAGCTGTGGGCTTAGACCACTGGTAAGCTGTTAAGAAACAGTTTGAATCCAGATCAATTATACTTCATTTTTATGCATTGTCAAATCCAGGGGTCAATATACTTAACCTTGCTGAAACAATCATGACCTGAAATTGAAATTGTCGGCAACAAGCCAAAGCCGAATATCAAGCTGGTAGTCTGTCACGAAGGTCGGTTTTTCTCTGTAAGTGTCGGTAAGCCGATTCACAGAGCCTCGGCTGCGGGCCGCTGTTTCACAATTTCTTGTATCATACAAGGTCTAATACTTTGTAACTACCGGAAAATCGGCACAAAAGATCCACAATATCCACCACGGCTGTTCAATCAAGATCAATAGATCTCTTCACATTAATGCAGATCAGACCATACATAATCAGTAGGTCGTTGGGTGCGCAGGAATCTTTTCTTCAGAAATAAAATTCTTCGTCTTCGCTGTGAAGAAAAGCGATTGCGACAGTAGTTCTTTCTTTATATCACCCGTCATGTCCCTGATGGATCAAGACTCGGTCGAGGCTCCGGCTCCACAGCGCATTCCTTATTGGCGAATTGTGGTGGATCAAGGGGTTGTGACTCCAGAAATAATCGATCATCACTATGCTGGCTCTGGGACTGAAGCCGATCCGTATGTCGTCGAATGGATTCCAAATGACCCTCGCAACCCTATGAACTTTGATATAAACCTCAAATGGACCTACACAATTACTGTTGCGTTCGCGACCCTTGCGGTGTCTCTTGCGTCATCTGCCTATGCTGGAGGCATCGCTGAAATATTGACAGGTTTGCATGTTGGCGAAGAAGTCGCCACTCTTGGTGTATCACTCTTCGTACTAGGCTTTGCAGTCGGACCGCTGATCTGGGCCCCTCTCAGTGAGCTTATCGGGCGACAGTACGTATTTATGGGCACATTTTTCGCCCTCGCGGCATTCTGCGCAGGCGCAGCAGGCTGTCAAAATATCTGGAGTCTGGTCATAATCCGATTTTTCGCCGCATCGTTTGGTTCGTCTCCCTTCTCGAATGCTGGAGGTGTCATTGCAGACATCTTTCACGCTGACCAGCGTGGATTGGCCACTAGTCTGTTTGCCGGCGCACCTTTCCTAGGTCCCTCAGTCGGCCCTATCATCGGTGGTTTTATATCTGAGAATGCGGGATGGCGATGGGTGCAAGGTTTCTTAGCCATGTTCACTGGAGTTATCTGGATTATTCACTGCTTGGTGGTGCCAGAAACCTATGCACCCGTGCTGCTTCGCAAGCGGGCTCAGCGTCTTTCCCAAATCACTGGAAAATGTTACCTCAGTAAGTTGGATATTGATCGTGGCCCAGTGACCGCTGGTGCTGCATTTGGAACCGCACTGCGACGACCCTGGATTCTTCTCTTCGCAGAACCTATCGTTCTCCTGCTATCAACTTATATGGCCATTGTGTACGGTACTTTGTACATGCTCTTTGATGCTTTCCCGATTGTCTTCCAAGAGATTCGCGGCTGGAGCGAGGGTATTGGAAGCTTGCCCTTCCTCGCTGTCATGATCGGAATGATGATCGCAGTCGGGATTAACATGCACGACAATAAGCGCTATGTTCGCATCCATAAAAAGCACAACGGTTTCGCACCACCCGAAGCTCGACTACCGCCAACAATGTTCGGAGGAATTGCCATTCCTATCGGTTTGTTTTGGTTTGCATGGACTAACTATACCTCTATTCCATGGATTGTGTGTGTGCTAGCAACAGCGCCCTTCGGCTTCGGTATGGTGTTCGTTTTCCTAGGAATCATGAACTACCTTATCGATGCATACACCATCTATGCCGCATCTGTTCTGGCAGCGAACTCGATAATCCGTTCGCTTTTCGGTGCCGTTTTCCCCCTGTTCACGACCTACATGTATCGCAATCTGGGAATTCACTGGGCGTCATGTATCCCGGCATTCTTGGCTCTTATTTGCGTTCCGTTCCCATTTATCTTCTATAAATATGGGGCAGCTATTCGTCGCAAGTGCAAGTATTCCGCGGAATCGGATAACTTCATGCGTTCGTTGGCACAGAAGGCTCAGGAGGCTTCTCAAGAGAAGCCTCATCAGTATATCGAGAAAGAGATTCCCAAAACACCTGGGGAGTCTACCGATATTGAAGTCGATGTTGATATCGAAGCCCTGACCAGGTCGAATACTTCTCATTCCGCTCATTCCGCACTGGAGCGTGTCGAGACGATATACGATGAAAATCCGTATGACATTGACCGCGTGAACACAAAAAATTCGAAAATCTCTCGCAAGTCAAAATCCATTAAAGAGCGCGCCTCATCCTTCTTTTCATCCAGCCGCAAATAAGGATTTCTGCTCTGTATCAGCTGCCGGTACATATTGAGCGATGATGATCCCCCCAATTGAGCTTTTTTATAGATTGAATAATTTTAATTACTGTCATGAGATGGCCTGGGATTGAATCGAGGGAAGACAGTCTAGAGATAGCCCAGTGCTGATTAGTCCCCTCTTCTGCTTCTACTCTTGTCTCTTTCCCTAGTCATGAGTGAATAACAACATAGCGATGGATGTTTCTATCGGATCTTTTCCCCCTTTATAGCTCACAAAATAGTTACCTTGAATGAGAAAGTGGCAGGTGCTGTTCATGTGGTTCGTAAAAGTTGCACTTTTCAACGCGTGAGACCAAGCACCCACTCTTTTTTCAATTCCATCATTTCAATTTCATCATTTCAACTTCTATTTCTATCTTTCACATATTTTTGTACCCTTTATTCCAACAGCTCCATTCATGGATAGAGTCGTTATTGTCGGTGCAGGTACGAAGTGCAGTCTTAATCAATGATATAATCCAAATACTGATAAATCCAGGCCTCTACGGTCTCATAACTGCCAAAACTTACTTAGAGGTCGCCGGTGTTTACGACAATGGAGTCCAGTTTAAAGAAGCCGAAATCATCGAAGAGATCCCTGTATGCTTCAGTAATGTCAAGCAAAACGCGTTGATTGCGCCTGGCTGCCAGCTGCTGGTAATCGATGCCTTGTCAGATGCTGGAGGAACATGGGCGGAGGAACGCCTATACCCAAATCTGCTGAGTCAAAGCTCATACGGTTCATATGAGTTCAGCGATATGTCTCTTCAACCTTATCCAAGTGAGCAGGGAAGAGGCCCATTCATTCCTGGCTGGAGCATCAATCGCTATCTGCACGCATGGATTGAAAAGTGGAGATTGAAACAACATATCAGGTTGAAGTGGAAGGTATGCCTTCATATAAGTGGAATCGGTCGAATGGGTTACTTAACTTCCACGAGGTTGATAGCATTTGTCGCCTCGAGAGCAAAGAGTGGCGCTTAGCGATTACTATCACCACAACGACTCCCCGGAATATTACCATCATTTGCGATAAATTGATTTTGGCCACTGGGCTGACCTCCGTACCCAATACTCCTATCATCAGCCAACCAGAAACAATCAGAGATCCCATTATCCACGCGAAAGACATCGGTAAATGGGCGCGTGAAAATCTAGGATATCGACCCATTCCAGATTTTACGGAGAACACTCAGGATCATCAACTACCAGCCAATATTTCCTCAAGGGTGACCTCTGTTGTGATCTATGGTGGTGCTAAGACTTCGTTCGACCTGGTTCATTTGTTCGCCAAGCTCCATTTCAAGGATAAAGCCAGATATATGGAGATGGTAGATTGGCAGCGAGTCCAAGTCCATTGGATTATCCGGGAAAATGGAAGAGGGCCAGCGTGGATGGTACCGCCAACTACGCTTCTCCCTGATGGTGAGACTGGGCCGAGCGATAAAGCGACGAGTACCAGACTTCTCCATTACCTTCATCCATGCTCTTACGAAACACCAAAGCATCTTCTCGTTCGAGGATGGAAATTGTGCCTGAAAGGATCTTGGATAGCACGTGTGCTTAACGGAAACTTCATTGGTCGAATTTATATTCGTAAACTTTGGAAATCGATCAATCAGAGCATTGAGGATTGGGCAATGTACGGATCGGATTCAAAGATGCAAAAACTTCGACCGGATAGGAGGTATGCATGTGCTCATTGCTGACATGATTTAGACATCTGACGTCAATTAGCATTTACACTTGCGGTGCCAGCATTGGTATTGCCAACCAGCTAGATTTGTGGAAAGTAATCCGGTCTTCGCATGTCAAGGTTTACCGGTCAAGTATCACAGCCATATTTGATGGAGAAGCTTTGTTTGACTGTGCTACCGTATCGCTCTCGGATGGTACTGTGATTCCGGATGTCGACCTTGTTGTCCATGCTACTGGATATAAGCCAGTGGTTCCCATTAACTTTGAACCGCCTAGCTTTCGTCTAACTCTTGGCCTTTTAAGTCTTGTGAATAAAAGTTCACACGACACTGACAATCTTGAGAGCTTGCAAACTATTGACGGATTGATCCCATTTGACTTGGTCTCAAAAACTCATATTCACCATTGGGAAATTATGGATCAGCGGGAGGAACCACGAATTTGGAAATCATTAAAAATGGCCGGATGTCCTCGAGCTGAACAATCTACACCCTCATGGGCAGATGACCTTGATGTCCTGCCGTATCGCCTCTTTCGACGCATGGTAGCCCCAGAATTGGTTGCTAGTGGGGATCGGTCATTTGCCATAGTAGGTGTTTTACTATCGTCTACTGTTCCGATTATTGCCGAAGTCCAGGCACTCTGGGTAACGGCCTTTTTGACCGGCGGGTTTGACGATGAGGTGATTGAGGCTCCTAGGCATGATGGAGTCCTCCACTTGACTACGCTATCTCGTAAGGCAATGGACCGAAGCATTGCAGAAGATGTGGTTCTAGGCTCTCTCACAGGCAGTGGTCTTGAGGTGGATTCAATTCACGTATGTTTTCAACATTTATTTTTTCTTGGTAAACTCGATTCTAACTCGTGGGATAGTATAACGATATGCTCATGCAGGATTTGGGATTGAACCCCAACCGCTTGGGTGGCGGGCTCAAGAGAGAAATGACGGGTGTCTATGAGCCATCGGTTTATGCTGGAATTGTGGATGAATGGAGAACTAGTGGTGGGTTCCGTGCTCGGCACAGTGATCGAGATCATTCAATGTAGCAGCATTGCTATTTGGCTCGTACGGCCTATGTTGTTTCGATTTTGCGGCGGAAAAAAATTTGTTCGCGAAGTTTGAAACCCGAGACTCAGTGGTTTATGTGGCTCGGGGTTTCAAGCATATGTCGCGAGCTAACTCATACAAGGGTGGAAAGGGGGCATTCAAGGGCTTTGATTTGCGGCTGTCTTCATCCCTTGCCACGTATTTCTTCAAAAAGGGACTCTTTATGAAGTTACTTCCAGGTATCTCGGAGTCGGAATAGATGCAAGGGATGTCAGACTATTGAAACCCTTTGAATTAGTTATCCTTTGGTGTAGTACTTGGTCTTGAGAACGGAGTGCATCAACAAATATTTCCTACTACACAAAAGTGATTCTGGGAAGCTAGTTTCGATTCTATCATGTACGGTCTGAAGCAAATTGCTGCTCTGAGCTTCATGTTCCTCTCGGTTTCTGCGAAGGATGTCAAGCAGACAACGGTATTGACCTTTTAGCGTCTAGTCAAAATGTTTTTCTCATATGCTAACCCTGGTAGATTGGACTTGGTACCGACAAGAGCAGCCGTGCAGTCATGGTTAATCTAGATGACTGCCATGCAATTAACGAGGAGTAAGTTTTCTGTACCAATCTTGGCTTATTTGACGTCTTCTAAAGATATACAGCGAGGTTTTCACCGTTTCCGTCCAAAAATACTGTCGTGTATTCACGTAAGTGCCCTTCTATGCATCGATTGCCCTTATATCTAGGTACTAACTTTATTTCTATCAAAAGTGGCCCCAATTGCACTGGTCGAAACACTATACTCGCTCCAGGCGATCACTCAAACGAAGATCCCGTTCCTATTGAATCAATTTACTGCCATTCAAAGCGACCTTAAGAGGGAACTCGAGAAGAAAAATAGTATATGGAAGTTACATTACATGAAGTACTACTGCCTGTCGCGATCAAACGAATTCTATCACGCTTGGTAATAATCTTGGAAGAGAAAGCCTCGAGTCGAACAAACAAATGCATAACTTGACGATCACTATCATTTCAACAAAATTACGCGATTAGGCGTGGAAGTACCCATCACGTGCTGTTGTTGGTATTTCGTAGCTCTCAGTAGGAACTGGAAAATACGAAGTATTTGTGTCCTGCCTCTCATTGTCAACGCTCAACCCATTTGTATTGCTCTGTTTCTCCATCTTCTCCATCATCTTCCTCTGTTTCTTCTCTCCGCGGCTCAGTTTTTCAAACTTTGCATCCTCTCCCTGGAGAATCTGGCCCGGATTGAGGACGTTGAGTGCGATTAATGCGAGGAGCATTGGAGTAGCATCAAAGACATATTCATAGGCTTCGTTTGTGAGAACTTGGTTTGATGTAGAAGTTCCCTGTCCATATTGAGAAATACGGAAAATGATTCGAACCTGTCCAGTATTATAAGCATATATCCAAGCATCAAAGCACTTAAATCAGAAAGATATGAGCCGAAACATACAGTGATCATGACCAAGGCGAAATAGATAGTATAGAAAAGCCATCGCCAAGGAAACGGACTTTGTGTTAACTTGAAGGTCGCCGCAATGTTCTCCATGTGAATCAATCGTCGATGAAAATGGATTGTCATGACAGTAAAGCAAATAATAAATGCTTCTTGGAGACCAATACCACCCATATAGAGATGCAATCCATTCATTACGACCTTCACGTCACCCTGTGCACTAGTCATCATAGCACCAGCTGCTTGCACGATGAAAGCAACGATGTCAAGGCAGACAAAAATCACACCGAAGCGAGGGGCGGGGATTCCCCAAAATCGCTTCTCGGGAATGTAGAAATGAATCATTCGGCCGAGCGTCATGTATAAAAAGGCATTGATCCCTGTAACATTTGTGAGCATGAAGAACCTTTGAAAGTTCCGAGATTTTTGTGCAAAAATGCTCACAAATTGGTGCTAGGAGAAAGAAGACTGTATAGAGTGTGTCGTAGGTGGCACTGTTTTGATGCCGTGTCAAGAGAGCGCGGAAAATAAATGCAAGTAATTCCCATGCTGCTCCCATGATTATTACCCACACATATCCCTGCTTACTGTTAGCGGCGCTCAGATGGTGAAGTTATTTGATCGAACCTTCTTGTAGAGAATGGCTTGGACAAGATGTGCTATTGTGGTTGCAGAGAAGAAAATGCAGAATACAATGGCAGCGGCATATGATGGCACGTAGTAGAGATTGGCATCACATGATTCTGGGGGAAGATATCCATTTTTGCCAGGAGTCATACTTGCTATGCAACTAGCAGTAGCTGTAGAGGAAGCCGTAGAAACTGATGTCGCTGTAGGAGCCATAGTAAAAGGACGAACAAAAGACCGGACAATTGAAAAGTGAAAAAATTGAAAAGAAATGAAGTTCTATGGATATAGAAATCAAGGCAGTCTCATTATCATCTTATATACCATAACTCTAGTATACAATTTGTTGGAATTTTCAAACAACTTTCTATTTTGGTTGAGGCGAAGCTTGAGGCATCAGAACAACTCGCATATCACTCAAAGCACGGACTCTGTTTACCCGAGCCAGCCAATCAGCAACGCACCCTCGCTTACACTAGTCCAATCTGAACGATGACTAAACATAATTCCACCCACTCTGAAGCTTTGCTCCAACCACATCTTCGCGACCGTCATTGCAACGGCTCAACAGATCCTTTACAGCCCTCTGCGCAAATTGAACAATCTCCACCTCTTTAACAGACCCTCCATGCACTAATCTCCCCTGCTCCACCAAAATCTCACCGTTTACCACCGTCATATCCACGTCGCGGCCCGTGCATGCATGTACAACTGCCGTAGCGGGGCTCACACCTTGTCCCGAATGTTCGCAGCTCCAGGGAGCTGCTGCAAGATTCCCACGTCTATATGGATCAAGCAGGACCAAGTCAGCCTTCTTTCCCACTTCTAGGCTGCCAATATCACTCTCAAGACCCAGTGCACGGGCTCCATTGATCGTCGCCATTTCTAAGGCAGTCTCAGCTGGAATAAGCGCGGCGTCATGGTTGACACCCTTGTGAAGGATTCCCGCTAGATGCATTTCTTGGATCATATCGTAGGAGTTGCAGCAGGGGGCCCCGTCTGTTCCCAGCGATACGTTGACCGCAGACGGACCGGAGATCATGGCAGGGACCGGCGCGACGCCCGAGGCCAACTTCAAATTTGAAGTAGGGTTATGAGCCACTGAAGTTTGGGAACTGGCAAGAAGTGGGATATCAATCTCATTGTCGAGATTAACCATGTGGGCGAGAACTAGCCGATGGCTTAGCTTATCAACCCGGTCGGGGTTTGACTGTGGACATAGCTTTGCCTGCTGAATGAACTCCATGGAGCTACAGCCGTATGACTCATGGTAGATCTCACGATCGCGAGGAGCCTCAGCACAGTGCATTGTCACTGATATACCGTTACTGGAACATGTTTCGCCCAGCTCGAGGTACTGAGAAATAGGTGCGCCCCTGGGTGTGCCAGCTGCAGCCCAGACATGAATCCTTCCGTTATTGCCATTATGATATTTCTGGTGCGCATTGAGAAGTTCAGGGATTGACATGGCAAGCAAATCTTGGTCTCTGGGGTCGGATATTGACAGCTGCCGATTTGTCTCCGTAAATTTTACCAGCTTTCCCTGAAACAAACAAATAGATATGAGCATAATTCTACTTACAGTGGATATACATTTTGACTTACCAAGCAGCCTCGAATTCCCATCTCAGTCATGGCCTGGCATACTCGATCGAATCCTGCGCGATATGTCAACATGGGATCAAGAAAACATGTTGTCCCAGTCTTCAACATCTCCGCCATGGTCAATCGGGCTGCGTGGTAGCCATCATCGGCGTCGAAAGCTGCTTCGAGCGGCCACACTGCATCACAAAGCCAGTTATGAAGGGGTAGATCCTCTGCAAGACCTCTCAGCAGCGATTGCACCAAATGGGCATGAGTGTTAATCAGCCCGGGTATGATGATTTTGTCTTGGCAGTCGATTTCACGAGTTCCAGAAGGCAAGATCGTAGGATATGGGCATTTCCCTATGGCCGAAATCCTGTCTCCTTCTACTAAAAGAAAGCCGTTTAGGATCACTTCGCGACTCGCGTTAACAGTAAGTATGGTAGCATTGAAGAAAAGTTTAGGGTCTGAAGCAATTTCGGGAGACATTTTGACGTGAAAAGAACAAGAGGGCGAATTGATAGCTAACCAATAGTCTACTGCTCACGGGTATGGGGAATTAAGAATAAAACCAGAGACCCAGTGCGTTGGTTCCTGGAACTCACCGACTCCATAATCCTCGGCCGAGCGCCAAGCTTTTCCCTCTTATCAACAATCAGGACTCCCGAGATTGAGATTTGTCCAATCGGAATCAATGCTACTATACTTCCCTATCAGCAACATATCTAGACTCGATCCTGGCTGACAGGATGTTATATAAGAAGGATTTCATGGTCAATTAGATGTCCACTACTATTTAGAATTGAAAACTCTCCGCTCATGACCAATCAGATGGATGAAAATCCAAGACTGCCTGAAAAAGGCGCATTGAACACACCAGTCGATTCATCTTTTGAGGCATTTGACAGAGGACCAGGAGTGATGGAAGTCCTTCCCTGCTCAGAATCAAAATGGCACTATCTTTACCGGTACTTCACAACTAGACAGGGATGGGTCGGGGACTACGTATGCCAATCAAAGGTTGAACTTTCCCAGCCATTCAGTCACTGACATGATTAAAGGACTACGAATATCTCGTTACTCCGAACATCTGGCCATTCAACAAGAAGTACAAAGATTATGAAACTCCCTTTTACGGGTTGAATGATGAGGTTCCTATCCTCTTGACAATCATCCTAGGCCTACAGCATGCATTGACCATGATCGGATCGATCGTGTCTCCTCCTCTCGCCATTGCTAGTGGTGCCTTTTACCTAGATGCAGAAAAAAGCCAGTACCTCGTCTCCGCTGCATTCATCACCACCGGAATTGCAACGGCACTCCAAGTGACTCGTGTTCATCTAGCCAAAACTCCGTTCTATATCGGAACTGGACTTCTCTCGGTGGTTGGCCCGACTTTCGACATCCTCGCCATTGCCTTCAGTTATACGGATATGCGATATGCAAACGGTACTTGTCCTACATCTTCAGATGGGACCAAACTACCGTGCCCTGAAGCATACGGGGCTATGTTAGGTACCATTCTTTGCACAGTTTGGATTCAGATCCTGCTATCATTTGTCCCGCCCAAAACTCTGAATCGTATATTCCCAAAAGTTGTCACCGGTACTCTGCTTTTGCTTGTTGGCGTCTACCTGGTTTCTAGTGGAATGCAGAACTTTGGGGGAAGTTCTAACTGTAATGGTGGGACGGGCTATTATGCTCTATGCCCGAATACAGCAGCGCCACGGCCACTGCCTTGGTATGTTTTTGTCGTTCATTAAACTAGCATTTGACCCAAATCTAATATTCGCCAATAGGGGAGACCCGAAACTCATTGGGCTTGGATTCAGTGTGTTCGTGACAATTGTCATCGTTGAGCTCTTTGGCTCTCCTATCATGCGCTCAGCTTCGGTCGTGTTTGGACTTGCTGTTGGATGTGCTATATCTGGAGCGACAGGATACTGGTCTCGTACTAATATCGATGCTGCACCTGTCGCGACCTTCCTCTGGGTTCACACTTTCAAGCTATCGGTTGACGGGGCACTAGTTCTGCCACTGTTGATTATGTTCGTTTGCGAGGCAGTAAGCTGCATGCCGGATATCCTAGCAACTGCTGAGATATCTGGGGTTGATATTGATGGCGTCGAGTTCAACAGTCGCATTCAAGGTGGAATTCTTTGCGACGGCCTTGGGAGTCTTATTAGCGCTCTAGGTACGGGTTTGCCGATGGTCAGCCAAGCAGGAAACAACGGGGTCATCTCTTTGACTGGATGTGCAGTAAGTACTTTCACAAGACACTTCATTTCAATATACTGAGAACGCAATCCAGAGCCGGCGAGCAGGTTGGTGTGCGTCTGCCTTTCTCATCCTGATGGGAATCTTTGGCAAGTTCGGAAGTGTTTTTGGGAGCATGCCCCCATCCGTTCTTGGCGGAATGCAAGTCTTTCTATATAGCACTATCGCGGTAGCTGGTGTACGAGTACTAAGCTTGGTAGAATTTACCAGGCGAAATCGGTTCATTCTCACAGTGGCCCTGGGCATTGGCTTCATGGATATCACATCACCTGAGTGGTTCAGCAGCATCTTAGACTACAGTGGGTCTAACGTCAGCTTACAAGGATTTGAACAGGGCATCAATCTCGTGGTAGAGACGCCATTTGTTGCTGCTGCTGTGGTTGGTGTTTTCTTGAACCTCTTACTTCCTTATGATGTTAAGAAGGCTGAGCATGAGAGCGACCGTTCGTCGCTTCCTAATTGATAACAATCCTGATAAATAATTTAAATAACTACAGTTGAATTATATGTAACTAAGCACAATAAAATCAGTTGTTCAGAGGTTTTAAAAGGCCTTAACCGGACGGACCGTGTCCGGACCCGTCTCTTACCAACGGTCCATTCGGCAGCTATCGCTCTCAATTCCGAAATACGGACCGTGAGGGGCGAGATATAAGTTCAATGAAATATCCTGAAAACAATTCTCCAATCGTTCTGCTCAATTACATTTCTTAAAATGAGCGCATCGTGATCTTCAGAGCCGGTGTCTTCGGCCTCAGCACTGCTCTCAGACTAAAGAAAGAAGGCCATACTTCCGTGACTGTTCTCGATCGGTCAATTCCTCCAGTGCCAGATGGATCCAGTAATGATATTTCACGGGTTATCCGCTTTGACTACAGCGATGCTATCTACACCCGTATTTTGAAGAAGGCGTTCGATCCTTGGTCAGCCCCAGAATTCTCTGATGCATTCTATCCCACAACTTGTTTGTGGGTATGTCAAGAAGGTACCCCTGAGCAGCCAACACAGCCCAGAGCTCAGGAGTACAGTGAAAAACTAAGCGCGTCTTGATCGATGTGGCCAACTGTGGCATGCTATCAACTCTGTGGCTGAAAGCTTGCAGCGTAGTCTTCCAAAAGACTTGCTCGACAAGTGGAAATTCCAGACTCCATTCCACGAGCGTTTCCAAGAGAATGCATTTACTGGAGATGGCAGCTGTGGTCGCCCAGAGAGAAGAGAAATTTCTTACAGCGAGCTTGGTACATTCGATGCTGCCCTAGCGGCCTCTGCCAGACAATGCCAGATTTAACAATGCACCAACCCAATTATGAATTACGAATTTTCTTTTCTTCAGCACATTTTGTCTGCCTCTTTCAGATTCTTTGATTCCTGCACTGCGATATTTGGAAATTTAAGGATGATCTGTTATGAAGTCTCCGAAAAGCACCCAATCCGGGATATCAGGCATACCTGCACTTGGCCCCATATTTCCACTTCTTGCAAACGGCCACTGCGGAGTTGATGTTTCTTCTACCAGCTGCGGAAGTCCACCAATGATGGTCTCTGCGATACTTGGTTTATTTGATTTTGGATCACGGACGATTTGCTTGGGTTCTGCCTGGATAGGCGGTGCTGGAATGTTAATTTTAGTTATTGTTTTTGACTGCTGTTCTTCTCCATATCCGGATACAACATCAGCTGCTCCTGCTGCCACAGGAAGGCTAGATGAAGAAGTAAGGTCGAGAATATCCCACATGAGGGCCTCATCCTCCGTTGACATTCTTGGTAAATTTGACGGTGTTGGAATAGTAGATAGAGCACCTGAATACCTATCTTGATTATAGAACAGAGATCCGTGGTTCTGGCGTCTAGAAGCTAATTTGTTTACTCGATTCACCTAAATAAGGGAGTTAGATAAGAGATCTATCAAGGAAGGCAGAAAAAGGGCCTACCAAGACTCCCATATTTTCCCATTGGGTTGAAAGCTCGGTTATGAAACCCAAGAGAACATGATACTCATTATTGACTAAAATAGCAACCTGCGGGTTTTTATTTCCTGTATGCTCGACTTGAATTGTAGCCGCAATCGCAGCGAGGTATCCGAAAAATGGATCGCAGAGTCGCAGGTCGACCTCGGACATTTCTCGGATAAATCTGGCGATCCATCGTGAATGAAGTAAGGAGGTCTCGAATGACTTTTGTAAGAATGTGGCAGAAATGTTTCCGCTCATCTCTCGCAGTTTGATCATGGTTACAAACGGATGATGAAGAAGGCATTGAATCCCATGAAACAAAAATTGCACACATAGCCAGGTGGATAAGTATGGTCGTGATTTGGGATCTTCGCGGGCCCGGCGTCTAAAATCAACGTTCACGTATCGGTGTGTGTCGACGAACTCTGTCTCAAAGTCCATCCATTCTGACTCGAGAATTGAAAGGGCAGATCCTGTTTGCCATGGGGGGAGGGTGCTTGAGACCATGGGCTCGAATACCCACTCTGTTGCTTTGCCCCACAGTAAGTATAGCTTCAGAAGGCATGCGAGGATGTTTTGATCGTCTTTCTGTCCTTGTTTGATGGATTTCTCATATAGTGGTCCATGACTGGAGAAGCCACCTGAGGAGGGATACGATAGTATAAAGTGGTTGTCGGAAAGACACAGCGAATAATTTCGTGATGCATTGTATGCGCGATCAAGCATGAAGTAGGCCCATATGATTCGCCGGGTCGCCTCTCCTTCAGATTTGCTGAGTAGTGGTAAATTTTTGCCCTGATTCAGTCCAGCAGATTGAATGAGTCTCAATCCAAGAGCAACAGAATTGCATCCTCGGTGAGCATTCCCACCCGCGAAGTCTAGCTGGGCGACTAGAAATGTACCTTGCAAGAATGAGAGACCGGTTTTGCCATCTCTGTACTGTGTTGATAGTATTCGCCAGGCTCTTTCAGCGCAGTATTTGCCAGTCGATATTTTTCTTCCTGGGATTCCGGGGGAATTGACAGAAAGTCGGCGAGTCAAAGCGACTAATGGAAAGACAACTTCTGAAGGTAGCAAACACGCATTTTCTAGAAGCCAATCCTTATCAAACACGCAATAAGGTTGGTCTTGGAAGTCATTCAGATAGACTTGTACCTCAGATTCGATGAAAGCGGGTGATAATGGAGAGCTGGTGCCATTTAGTGAGCCTGAATAGAAGGATGGGGTTTCTTGTAACATACTATGCCATCATATCTTGATGCCCTATCGAAGGTGCTATTTCAGGGGATATTCCAACCTCTTCGTTTCCATCATCGTCACGAGAAGGCATATATTCTCTCAAAGCCTCGGATAATTCATCTGCACGGGATTCTTGGTTTCCGATAGATGAACTGTGCGCGGTTAGAGGGTGGTGGTTGAAAAACATAACATTCAAGTCTCACCGAAGCATGGATGAAATTTCTTCCAACCTCTGTTCGATATGCTGGAGGCGCTTTATGCTCGCGGGATCTGAATAGTTTCCCTACGTTCTATTTTAGCCAAACCGTGTTCCTATAACTAGGTTGTATTCTCATACCTCTACACCATGACCATTGCCATTACCTGAGAGTGGCTTTTGTGTACCAGGTCTATTTGGGGTTGGCTGGGTCTCATATGTACATTGCTGGCCAAGTCGTTGACACAGCGAACAATTCGGCTTTTCGCCAGGACAACGAGCCTTCTTCCGACTGAAATGGGGAATTAGCTTCATATTCCACTAAATCGATTCTTCAAGCATACCGGCATGTACCACATGCTTGTCTTGTTCTTTTGAGAAAAACTTTATGGATAGTGTAATTGTTACTCGTCGGGCTCATTATATTGCAACTTCCCTAATAATACCTCCAGGTTCCAGTGATTTTGAGCTTGACTTTTGAGTACACGGTCGCTTTGTGCGGTACCAGAGATATGAGTATGTCAACTATGTGATAATAAGTCAGTGGGAATTAAACAGAATGAAAATACGGACGCGGTCTTAGTGCTGTATCTCCATGCGGGGCAGCACAGTACGGATATGCCGAGGTAAGACAGCATATGTAAGCAATCATCGAAGTGAAGAATCAGGGAAAAAAAAGAAAATATACAAGCTGACGTGTTCTTTAATGATCAGGCCAAGGATGCAGAATATTATCTACAGCACCTTCTGTTTTCATGCTTATCAGCTCGGATGTCCAGCCCCGCCACCGCGCCGGGCCTGGGTTTATAGGACCGACGCCATGTCCTATCAGGTCGATCATGCCTTAGCCTCGGTTTGCTTCTTTGAAGAGTTGAAGGTCTGGGGAAAATTACAAATTACTTATAGTTAGGTCCTTAAATCTGCAATTTCTGCTCGATTTTGATATTTCGAGAATTTAAAACTTCTGCTCCTCACTGCTGCCGAGGCGCAGGCCCTAGGTTGACGTCGACCTAAAAAGACCATGACTGGGCGCCGCGTTGGCCGCGGAGAATGGACATGATGGTATAGTCAAGCAACAACTGGAGACAAGCAAAGCTGTTGATGAAAAACTGCTATCAAGGAGTGATCACTTACACTTCGGGTTGCTTCAAAAGGGCTGCGTTGTGGTGGGAATCCAAAACATTAAGCAATGAGTAAGCTCTGCTTTGCGATTTGGATCCTCAGTATCTCTTTCTAGACTTCGCGATTTATGTAATATCAGAGGGTATTTCATCAGCGACAAAAGCTTTAGTGGATAACAAAAAGTGAGACCTGCGTGCCCTGTACTTAGGGGCTCTGACCACTTTTACTGACCACCTCTACAAGAAAGTAATAAAAATAGTGAGACTTTTCGCGATTCTCCTTCTATTTCTACCTTCATCTGCATTTTTTTTTATGGTATATAATGCCTGCTACACCATCTCTACCCCGTGTTCGAAAGCCATAGCTCACCCTGCAAACCCACTGTAGAATATGGTAGCTTAAAAGGGTCAATAATTAAGGGGTAAATCGTATTCTCAATGCGCTTCCTGGCTATTATCGACGATTCAAAGATCTCTAAAAATAGAGCGATTAAGGGTTGATAATCAAAGAATCCCTGGCTCTGGTCGGCGGAGATCTCTTTCTCCGAAGAAGAGCAGCAGCGAATATTTGATGCTATTGATGACAATCCCGGTATTATTATTATTATTATTATAGAGCTCCTTACTATCATTGATAATAAGATCTGCCGCGATTCTCTTCAGCGTCTATGCCAGGCTATGAATATTTGAAAATGGCGGAAGAAAAAAAGGCCCAGGGCCTTATCTTAAGGTAATTTATGGTCTTGATATCAAAGTTTTCGCCTAATGATTAGCGCCAAGTCTATTTATTGAGTGTCTCGGGAGTCCCAAGCGTGGGGCTCTGATTAAACAGATGTCTTGGGCTTTATTTTCTGGGCAACCACAGCGTACTGCTCTTATTCCTCTTTATGGAGACCCTGAAGCAGCCCACGGAGGAGTCTCTTCAAGAATTATTGATAGATCATATCGCGATATATTATCTACTTTACTTCGCGATGACACAGATACTGTTCTTTAAATATTTTTTTTTTCAGGATAATGCTGTCCATAATGTGAACATATCAAGGGCTATTTACACTTGAAGAGCTAAAATTTAACATGATGGTATGGCCACCATATTTGCCAAATTTAAATCCAATTGAGAACTCGTGGGCGCTATTAAAAGCAAAAGAATTCCAAGGTTGGAGATGCTGCCAGAGCTACTACCCATATTTACCAAGTAATGATACTACTCTATTTATATCTTTTGATACCTACTTAACAAGCCTAGGCAAGTCTCGATATCTAAATCTTTGAGTTTCTAGCTAATACTATGCCCCATGGAGTAGCAGAGGTGATCAAAATTCAAAACCCATGGCTGTCATACCGAATTCTACTTGACTATTTGAATTTGAATTGAATCCCAGAGGTTTCTGCCCGGCCGTAAAACAGGGGTCTGTAAAGGGGGCTCACATTTTGTCAGACGGCACGTAGGTCGGTATTTCAGTAACAAGTATAATACTGTAATATACGTTATCCACTGAATGTATCATAGATAACATGAAATACTATTACAGTGGGGGCTAAATATTTCACGTGACGTGTGGGGAGCGACTTTTAATACGGACTATTCACCGGATGAATTCTAAATATTAATACCGTCAATCACGACAATTACTCGATGAGTTTCAAATTTCGAAATGACGCCCACCCCATCAACTGGGCAGAAAAGTGGTAAACCTGAGCGTACGAGATCGAGACGTGGATGCAAAACTTGCAAGTAGGTACTTGCCTTGTTATCACCAAAAAGAAACCTCACTAAATAAAAGTTTTCCTAGAATTCGTAAAGTCAAGTGTGGAGAAGAGAAACCCCATTGTCTACGATGTACCTCTACAGGTCGCAAATGTGAATATGAAGAAAGCGCGCTGTCTATTCTCGAAAACCCACTTGCACTATTACCAAACACAGTATGGCGAGAGCGTCGCGCATTTGCCTATTATTTCCATCAAGCTGCACCCTTTATTGGTGGTGGGCTAGATATTGGTTTCTGGAGCACTATTGTCCCGCAGATTTGCCGGAGTGAACCCGCTGTGTGGGATGCCATCATATCTATTGGCGCGCTGTTTGAGAGTCCTGAACCATATCCAAATCCCGCTTCCATTCGTGGGGTTACTTTTCAAGCTCTCAATCAAAATCACCGAGACGCATTGTCTTGGTATTCACGCTCTGTCTCCTCGATGCGTCGGCGGATCGAGGATGGTCGTATAGATACCTTTGTTGGATTGATCACTTGTATTTTGTTCATCTGCATTGAAGCCATTCAAGGGGCAACCGAAGAAGCCTTTTATCTCTATATGCAGGGCGTGCAACTCGCTCTTACTTTACGTGCCCAGATTTCCTGCGGAGCCCTACCTGCTCAGGCTTCTTTGTTGGAGGAAACAATCATCCCCATCTTCGTTCGGTTGGGAACAATAGCTCCCCCTATCTCTGGTATTCCAACGAATACTTTCCAAACTGATGCAGGAAACCCATCGGTAGAATCGCTGTTCATTTCCCCTAAATCGCCTCAAGAGGCGCTCAAGTCTGCTCGAGAAGCCATCGTTATCTTGTCTACAGAAATACAAGTCGTACAACGGGCTTGCGATGAATATCTACAAAAGGCAGGCTCCTTCAATCTATCCACATATAGGGTACCACGGGAATTGGAAGACCAGCAAACCATTCTCTCAGCTAGACTCAGACGTTGGTACATTGAATTTACGCACTTGATGGAATCACTGAATGACAGACAAAAAGTCTTACCACCACAACAGACAGGTACATGTGCTCTTCTTTTGAATTACTACGATATGCTTCTCATAATCATCACAACTTGCTCATCGCCATCGCTGAGTATTACTGATACTTATGAAACAACCTTCCAAAGTATAATCGATCGGAGTAGCGTTGTTCTCAATGCTTCTCTGCGATTGGATGGCACACAACCACCATTCACATTCGAACTGAGCGTTGGTCTTCCGCTCTGGTTCGTGTGCCTGAGATGTCGCGAACCCAGTATACGACGTCAGGCTATAGCTCTTTTGCGCCAATCGACCCCAGTGCAGGGGCTCTCAACCTCCGTCTCTGCGGCAACTTTTGGTGAAAGAATGATGATGTTAGAAGAAAAGTTCGGAATGACAATGAACATGGATCAGGGAGTTGTCAATGCTACAGCTCCAATATGCGACGCTCCAGATTCACCTCAGCGATCTCCATCCCGTAGCCCAGGACAAAGCAGCAGTTGTTCTGGATACGATCTGAGCGTTTTTGCAGACCCAGAGTCCGAACATGTTCCGACTATCTGTCCTATCCCTGAAAATCCAAACAGGGTACCATCGACAGTATTTATCCCAGAAGAAGCGCGTATCGGACCAATTTGTATGTTCCGGCCACGAGACGGACTTCCAATCGGAACGAACGAGGAAGACATTGCAAGGTATAATGGCCGGCATGAGGTATTCTTGCGCTTCACTATGAACCGGCGCCTGGCTGCGGACACTTGGCAAATCGTCCATGAATATGTTCCAACAGTAGTACCATAGCTTTAATTTTGGAAGAAATTTAAAATGCACCGCCTAAGTTGAAAAACGGCGTAATCAGTATAATGTTGCGCAGATTTGCGTTGTAGATACGCGAGGAATCAGCACTGATAAGCATAACAACCAACAGCTTATTCAAATAATGTTGACTGAAACGTGTTAGAGGAACGGTGTATGAGCCGAAAAGCCCCGGTGGCGTTTCATATAGTCCGGCTGTACCAACCGGTCACCGTTCAATTCTCAAAGCCCCGCGACGCTGATTCGGTATCGACGCTTGACCTCCATATTCCGATCCCGTGATCGGTTTGACCCCGGACTCTTCCTTTAACGTCAACATACCAAAGATAACGATAATTATATATACAAGTTCCATTAACCATGTTGAGCTTCATAGGATCAAATTCTGAGAATCTCAGTTTTCCCACGAATATACTCCACCAGACTTCCAATAGTCAACATGTCATCGACGACACCTCTATCTGCTGCTGCTTACACGTCTAAGGACAATTATGAGCTCGAGCGACGAGCAGTCTTCTCCCAGAAGTGGCTTTTGACCACACATAAGATGCGCTTCCCTGAGACTGGCAACTTTATAAAGTATGATATCGCCGGATTCCCTTTCATCGTCGTCAAGGGCCGCGACGGCAACATCAGTGCATTCCACAATGTCTGCAGGCATCGCGCTTTCCCCGTTGTAACTGAGGAATTGGGCACGGCCAGAATCTTCTCGTGCAAGTACCATGGTTGGTCTTACGGTCTCAATGGCAAACTTGCCAAGGCACCGGGATACCAAGATCTGGATGGCTTTGACAAGAGCCAGAACGGTCTCTTTACTATTCACTTACATACAGACGATAATGGCTTCGTTTGGGTGAACCTGGATGGTGCTGAAAAGCCCAAATTCTCGTGGGCCGATGACTTGAAGGGAAACGGCTTGCAGTCGCAATTCAAGAACATCAACTTTGACGACTACCATTTTGACCACAATGAGGATTTGGAGGGTTCATTCAACTGGAAGCTTGTCGCTGATAGCTACAATGAATCCCAGAACACCCAGTCCGGTGCCACCTTGACCAATCTTGATACTGAGGAAGGCCTCAAGAATGCCCGTACTTATTACTTCCCCAATGCTTCATTGACTGTCGCGTAAGTTTTTTATCATTCACGAACCTGTCCCATGATCATTACTTACGGACCCTTCCAAAAAATCAGGCCCCACTTCTTCGCTATGCAACGTGTGGTACCCATGTCAGCCACGAGCACCTTGGTTCGCTACGAGATCTACCGTCACAAGGCCTCAAGCACTCAAGATTTCGAGTCTGCAACCAAGACTTTCAAGGGCATTATTTTCGCCAACCAGGAACTCTACACTAGCACCCAGAACAATCTGAGTGAGCTTGACTCCACAGTGGAGAAGGCCCCTCTTTACTTCCAGTCCTTGGTGAGAGGTCTAGTGATAGATCATCAGAAGCGTGAAGAAGAAGCTAAACGGGAGATTTGGCCTTCTCGGCAAACCCTACCTGAAACTGCTGCTGACTCTGAGATGGAAATTGACTTCTGTGATAAGCTTAAGACTTCTAAGCAGGCTCCAAGCGGATGTTGCGGTGGAACAGCTTGTCAAAGCGGAAATGCTTCTCTCGTTTATTGATTGAGTTCATCTTCGTATTGCATTTATTAGCGCATTTAGCATCATGATTGTCATACTTCTTAGTATATTCAATTCCATTTATGAATTACGGAAATAAATATTCTATCCACTACTGACAAGGATTGATTCAATTGGCGATTGAATCGCCTCCTATCAAGCCTTATCCTGACAATCTTTTGTCCTCAGATTAAGATTCTTGATAATTACCTGATTACATGGTTAGATAGTCACAAAATGTTACAATACGAGATAAAGACCTCCAACAAAATTTCATTGGTTGCACTGTGGACCCTGATGGATATACAGCCAGGATACCTGTAACAGTAGCGTATTAGCATCAATATCGGGATCATATTTCCCCTTTAAGCATAAACAAGTCACGAATTTAAAAAGTTACATTCCACTTTTTAGTACGAGTACGGGCCATTTCAAATATGCGACAGTTGGTCGACGCCACTTTATGACAACTCAATCGCGGCTATTGATTGTATCTATTCAGATTACCATCGGTTCAATTCCGCCCAAAAAAGGTACCATACAACCCCCTCTTCCCCGCACGCTCTTATCATCGTCATTCCCTTCTCCCCCTTCTACGTACTTTCTTACATTCATTTCTACTTCGGATCTGATATCTTGGTACTGTTATCTACTGAAACCCTATTCTGAGCAATAGGAAAGAGGCAATTACAAGCTACTTGTCGCCTCCTGTTTTCAACCCTCCAACTACGCGCTTCTTTTCGGCCATATAATGCCGAGGGAAGGCAGTCGTGGTGGTAGATTGCGTTCTCATGAGGCTTGTCTGAATTGCAGGTACGATCTCCGTGGCTTGCTTAGCGTAATTGTGGATCTCATACTCATAATATGAAATAGAAGGAAGAAAACAAGGTGTCCGGCCGAAAAACCGGCATGTTCAAGCTGTGTCCGCCTTAATCAGGCATGTTCGTACACGGCAATCCAAAGGGGCTCTCGTGGCGGTCCATCTGTATGGATCCCTTATGATTAACGGAGTGAATGGTCCTCTAACTAATATATGATAGGCTGATCGGCTAGCCTATCTTGAAGAGAAGGTGAATCTGATCTTAAATGGCCAGCAGAATCAGGGATTTAATGAGATTCCTGAACGAGCCCGAGCCTACTCAGTCGTCTCGGGTCTTTCTTCTGGAGAAAGAGCTTGTTCGAACGACCCTTTCCTCCTGGGAATTGGGCTCGAGGACTCAAAAACAAACCCTGAATCTTGTCTTCTTCATGCTATAGAGCTCTATTTTCAATATTGTCACAGGCAGCCGATCTGGTGCTTTGACCGTGAAGAAGTCAAGGATGCCAATACCACCTCAGAAGAACTTGCCTGCAGTATCATCACGCTCACGTCACGTTTCTCTCAAGACCGAGATGATCTGCAACACTATGGTGACACAGCACGAACTTTGGTGATGCTTCGTATAGCAAATGGAACTGTTGAACTGGATACGATCGAGAGTTTATGTCTACTTTCGTATTCTGCATTCTTGGGTATGGTAATATCCCGTGCTAGGTATTTATGGCTGCTGACATTGATAGATGGTAATGGCCATGTTGGGCGCTTTCACCTCGGCCTCGCACTTCAACTGTGTCGCTCTGCCATGCTAGATCTCGAATCGTCATATGGCATTGACTGCGCAGCTCCCGAGCGAAAGAAACGAATATTCTGGAGTTTACAAACTCTAGAGCAAGCCTATGGACAGATAAATGGTATTTTGAGTGTCCCATCGGGCGTACTGCGGTCCTTTTACGTTTCCAATGTCAAGGACCAAAATTTCACAACGGCTGGAAATCCTCCACCACTACCATATGACGAGCTTGGCTGCACCAGCTCAAGTGACATGGGAATCTGGAACCTGGCTTTACATTTCGGATGGGTCTGGACGAGGATAAGAACCTTCGTCTCAGATTGTGCCCAGAATAAATTACAGGAGCCCTGGCGGCACGACTCGATGTATGCCATGGTTCTGTCTGATCTAACAGAGCTCGAGAATAAACTTTCTCCATGTCACCGATATGACTCGGTCAAATTCTACGAACGGAGAGCAGAAGAGGTGAGAGGGAATAGAGATTATTGGGCTTCCTGGCTCAAACTACAATTCACCTATCATACCATCTTGACTGTACTCAATCACCCTTTCCTTTACATAGTCGCATCTCAGGACAATGAAAACCTGACAATACCCAATACATTTTGGCGAAGATCTTCTGAGTTGGTCTTGTTGCATGCAACCTGGATTGTTCGCATGATTGATATGGTAACTGAGAAAAAAATGCGACTGATCGATCCCTTCTTTGGACATGCAGCCGCCATTGCTGCAACTGTCCATCTCTACTATTGCTGCGCTGCTGACCCAAGGTTAAAATACAAGTCCAAAATAGACTTTGCAAAATGCAGGAAGTTTTTGAAAAGTTTTGTTCCATTTTCACCTGCTTGTGAAGCTTTGGTATGGCTAAACATTCAGAAAGTCGAATTAAAGAAATTTGGAGCTAACATTCTCCAGGACCAAACACTGGATCGAATGACTCAAGTAGCATCTGGCTCAGAAAAGATTGACTTTGATTGGGAACCCTCGAAAATTCATCTTAGTATCCCTCTGATGTGGGATCTTCTGCAAGTCAACTGTTCGCCCTCGTCATATGAGAATGCTACAGGTGGCTTACTTCATTCCTCGCTCACACCGGTCGCTATTCCGGAAGAGATGGAAAACTCGACTACAACGCTTGAAATTATCGTCGCCATGTCACCAGAGGTGACGGTCAACACGGCTGATGGAGGCTCGGCTGCTCATGTACCGCCAAAGCCTCGTTGTCGCCCGCTGGCCACATCACTACCAGCATCACCTGCAAGCACAGCTGAGGACCTCGTAGAAAAGCTTGTAGCACCAGCAGACAGTCTCATGGCCAACACCCCCTGGCTATGGGCTGATCATTCACAGTATGTTGACCTGGAAAATCTAGGCTTTGCAGAACCTGAATCCACATTGGGAAATGTGGAGGGGTTTTCCACGTGGTGGGATTTCGGAAACTTATGACAGTATAATAATGATCTATTGCATTTCTACTTTGACACGCTTTACCAGGTTCATTCATTTCCTCGGATTGATTTTCTATGTGCTTAGCCACAGCTTTGCCCTTGAGCTAGAGTCACTGACAAAAAAACAGCGCCCAGATGAACCCTATGCAAGCTACATATACTCACGATCACAATCCCATATCCAATTTATGCCTCAACAGCCTGCAACTTTACCTGCAGCGCAGCAAAATTTCTCTTCATGGCATTCTCATTAAATTGAGCCCCAGTAACCATGGGATACTTCTTCAACGGTCCCTGAATCAAAGAATCCTTGCAAGGCTGATTGAAAAATGCAATGCTGTACCGGTCCCCATAATAATCCCCAGCCTCACACGGCGCCTTCACGCGATGAAATGTCGACTTGAACCGATCATCCGACCAAGACATGAGTAAGTCCCCAATATTGCAAACGATCTCCCCAGTCTTTGCTTCCACCTTAGTCCACTGGTCCCCAATACCAAACTCCGTGACCGACTCGCGCCCCGGACAGATCTCCAGCCCGCTCTGTCCTTCCTTCTGAAACAGTAAAGTCAGGAAATCCCAGTCAGCATGTGCCCCAGCGCGATGATACACATTTCCATCTGCTTCCTCTGGCAGCGCAAAGTAATGAAGTAGTCGCATGGTGGTCTGCGAGTCTGGTCGTGATACATCATGGCATTGAACGAAGAAATCCTCTGGGAATCCAAGTCCGCGTGCAAAGCATCGCATGAGACATTCCGATATACTTTGCACTCGCTTCATGAATTCAAGGGATGTAGTTTGAAACCCGGGAAGATGCTTTTCAGAAACCCATAGGTCTTTCATGTTTTCACCGAACTGCATTTGGTATGACTCTTTGCTGTCGGGTTTTCCGGTTGATGGACGGATCTGAGAGTTCTTCTCCCAGCCGACGTTGTTCGCGTTCCAGGGAACAGTCGCTTTGGCTTCGTCAGGTAGGTCGAAGAAGGATTTTGACGTCGCAAATATCGCATCAACGTCTTCTTTCGTGATACCGTGATTGACTAATGTGAAGAATCCCACATTTTCCGCAGCGTCAATTAGCTCTGCGGTCAGTTCTTCGATTCGGTTTTCGAAGTCGGCTAGGGAGATTTGAGGAATCGGCCTGTCCACATATCTGGTTTGAGACATTTTTTTTTCTTCAAATTTGAATGGTTCAAGTTGAGCTGAGTTGGATTCAATAGACGTATATATGTATGATTCTGGGAAACATACGAAAGAAATACTTACAGTCAATATATAGAGAGATAGAAATTATAATCAATTGTTTGGTCAAGGAATGGTTCTTATCAGTTCGGCCGAGAATCGTCGGCCGGCCGAAGGGCTGATAAGAACCTAGTGAGGTCTTGATTTGACTATCCAATTTACTTTTCTCCATCAATTCGGTATCACCAGCAGCTGTCAGCATATCTAGCAGCCTTTCTCTTTGCGGAATAAGGCGGTTGGATTCGCTGCGTAATAACGAAAAATCATTGGTGGAAACAAATTGTGCCACCGATAAGGCAAATCCAGCATCTACACTGTGCTTCATCACTACACAGCCCTAATTAGGTATGAGCTTCAACATCCACAGAAAGCGATTGGCATGTGTAGAATGCACAAGACGTAAAGTCAAATGTGACAAGATCTTACCATGTCGCAACTGCACCAGAAAAGGAATATCATGCACTCGGCCGCGCGAGCGAGATTCCCCGACTCCAAGCCCCAGCACTTCTCAGCCTGAGGCACGAAATGAACGACCCATTCTGGCACGGCCGAGCCCAAATACTAATGCCTCGACTCTCATTGAGATTCTTCAGTCTCGGGTCAACCAACTCGAAGCTGCCCTTCAAGAAGCCACTGAGGCTGCAATACGTCCGCACAGGTCAGACTCTGACCGTTGCTCCAACCTTGATTCGTTTTCTCCGGTAGAATCGACGCCTGTACATCCCTCACCCCTTTCTGTGCAAGATGCGACACATAATGTAGCTGAAAATACTTCGAATGAGGTAGAGGACGCCGCCACTATTCTCGAGTTCCTAGCCTGGGGCCGTCGCAAGGATCCTACCTACCAGGATGAGATTGCAAGACAGAGCAATATAGAGCGCTCCCCTGGAGATATCCCCACTGGAAACGAGTGGGAAAACACCAGTATGAATGGCCTGTCGCCAACGGCTATATGTCAAACTTTGTTGCCAGTCAAGCAAAAGGTTTATCAGTTGGTCGAGTACCATTGTGAGAGTCTACTATGGTACCATGGAGCTTTCCATGCAAGGACTTTTCGTAGGGAGTTAGATGAGTTTTACAGAAAGGGTGAAGGGCGGATAGATGGGCCGGGAGTTGATGGTCAGTGGATCGCACTTCTATTTGCAGTTCTAACCGGATCAATGACCTGTGCACCGAGGCGAATTACCCAGTCATGGGGCTTCCATAGCCGCGAGCAAGACAGTCTATCAAAACGCTGGCTTAAGGCAACTATCGCATGTCTCCATCATGCTGACTACATGGCCTGCCACTCTATCTCCTCTGTTGAAGCTATTGCAACACTTACAATATCCGTCCATATGCTCGGTCACTCGAATGGATTCTCCGTACTACTTGCTTCGGCAGTTCGCATAGCCCAGGGACTCGGCTTACATCGACTCGGAAGCGAATACGATACCCAGCCAGCAGGTCTACTAAATCGGGAAATCGGCCGACGAATATGGTGTCAACTTTGTATCCAAGACTGGTTCTCCATCCCATTTACAGAAAGCTATTTAATCCACCGCCTCAGTTTCAACACCCACAAGCCGCAAAACTGCGACGATGAGATAACAGCTCTCCCCGAAGACTACCCGACCGTCACCGGCTACTCGCGCGTGAAATATGATATAGCCGCATTGATGCCGGAGCTGCAGGATGAGTTAATATCATGCAATACTCTATATACCCGCTACGAAGAGGTCCTTAAGTTTGACCGTCGCCTACGCACGCTGGCAACCCACCTCCCACACTATTTGCAAAATGTCCCATTAGATCCATCCTGGCCGTGCTACGTGCCCTGGGCACGACGGAGCTTGGCAATCAGTTCAGCTCACAAGGTGATTATGATCCATAGGAAGTTTCTCAGTCTGAGCTTCGTCAACCCTATGTTTGAATTCACACGAAAGACATGCGTGGCAGCCTCGAGGACTATTATCAAAGAACAGAAGGAAGCAGCTCATGAGGGTGGACCTGTGATGTGGATCAATCAGGCGTTCAGCGTCACAGCGAGTGTAAGTCCATGAATAATCTCTGAAGTATACTGAATAGACGAGCTGAGAATCAGAAGATCATATTATGTTTAGATATGTTCCATCAATCAGGTCCCGACCACCAATGCACCGAGCACCGCCAGCTCATAAAAGATGGAATAGAAATTCTCTCAAGTTGCGAGTCAGACATGATTGCGCAACGGGGTGTATCGCTTTTGAAATCAATGCTCGATGCCGAGGACTCTAAGTTCAGAGAAAAGTGTCTGGCTGCTGAATTACTAGGGCCAAGGAATCCTGATATACCATCGCGGGAAAATGGGGTTAATCTCACGGCGATCATTCGAGCGTTCTATGAACAAGATGAGACTAATCAATCTGGTCGACCAAGGAGAACGGTACGATCGCTTGAACGTTCGCATTGGTCTGAGATGACGCTGGATCATACTGTTATGCCTGGTTTTGATATGATACCATCATTGGGAGTTAATTACTCTGAGGAATTGGGAGATATGTTAAGCTTTGCGACGAATTCTTTTCATTAGTCTGATGGTTACGACGAACAAACAGTTGTTATATGGCATATCCAGATGCCAATTAAATTTAGCATGTACATTTAGGGTATGAGCCAGCCTATACTGCCAGTCCAATGATGTGCCCTACATTCCATAAAAACGCTATTTTGTACAGTTGCGACCGGGACAAAAGAATTTCTGTACATCCCAACACAAAATGACTTTTTTACATGGACTTGCGCACCTGTGTGACAGGAGCCTGATAGGTGTGTCGACCGTGAACCAAATATTGCACGATGGCGAAAATAACCACAACGCCAAACACAAGAATAGACCAGTTCATATCGACAGGTGTCGGATCAGCAGCAGTAGGGAAGAAAGTGAAGATGATAGCGAAGCAGAGATAAGCAACAGAGAAGATGTTCAAAGGCAAACCCAGCCGGCCGAGTGAGAACCGCGCGCGCGGGATCCCACCCGGTAAGAAGCGAACACGGATGAAAGCGCAGATGGGCAAGATGTAAGTAATGAAGAGGGCTGCGATCATAACTGAGGCAATGGCGTTGAAAGCAGCCGTGGAGCCGATGTTAATCAAGCTCAGCAAGACGGTGATGATTGTCGAAACCAGGACGGCGGTTACTGGAACCTGGGTGCGGTGGTTGATGTGGGCTAGGGCACGAGAGAAGGGCAAAGCGTTGTCTCTGGCAAAGGCAAATGTCTGACGTGAAGCTGTTGCGAGAATACTGATTGCGCTGCATACCTCCATGACGAGGATGATGGCTGCTACACCGTTGGTGGCAGCTGCGGAGTCGGTAGCGTGGTTCACTGCTGAGATGAAGGAGAATCCACTTGCGGCATTGAGCACATCATCTATAGGCCCCATTTTATATAGAAGTGTGATGAGGATGACGAAGCCCAGAGCTCCGTTGATTAGGGCAGTCGAGACCATGCACCACGGGATAACGAACGAAGCATTTTGGACCTCCTCAGCTTTGTGGCAGTTAGCACTTGGCTCTTGAGATCGTATATAGCTGACTTACACATATGGGTCGCCGCATCAGGGCCTGTCCATGAGAAGATGGGTGTCAACTGGCCTACCAAACAAGCCAGTCCCATACTTGACCAACCACCCGAGTTGGTAAATTCCTTCCAAACAGTTTCGGACGTAGAAGTCTCCTTGGTCATGGACCACATAACGACTAGAACAGCCACGAAGCCGAGAAGGTGAAGACCCAAGATGATGATCTCGATTTTAGGAAGTATCTTTGCACCGTATGTGTTGATCAGGGTTCCACCGGCCGCGATCGCGATTGTCAAAAGGGTTCCATGCCAGCGTTCATAGCCATACACGTAACCTGTGTCGCCAGAGTAGTTGAAGACGAGCAATCCTTGAATCAAAGTTCCGCAGAGAAAGCAAATACTAGCGTATGCAGCTTGCCATCCCAGCACCGATAGCCAGCCTGCATATATCAGGTATGTAAGCTTCCAGCGTTCAAGTGGCTTACTCTAATCAAGTGAACTTACCGGTGAGATAACTCAAAAATCTCTGCCATTTTGGTGCAGCAAATTCACTTACCCAGTGATATTGACCTGCCGAGGTTGGTGCACTATTATTGTCAGTACCATTGTTCTCCAAACTCAAGGCTGAAGATGAGGATCATACATGGAAGCAATCTCAGCCATGGAAATGACAGCGGCAAAAAAGCCTACAAAAGAGGCAATATAGACATAAATCATGCCGGCCCGGCCCCCATCTGTCAAGCCATAATTACTTGTGCTGCGAGCAGTCAGTAAGATGATATTAAACCAAGCATATTCGTCCTCACAGTAGGATAGACTCCCAAGTAGCCATCAACGTCGTAGTGAAACCCAAAATGGAGTAGAACTTGAAGTTTCTCTGTTGCCAGTTAGTCCCGCGCAGTTAGGGCTCGACCTCGCCACAAGCTTTCGGCCTACCGACCTTGAACTGCTGAGATTTCCCCAATCGCTCCATATCCTTTTCATCTTGGGCAGTGACATCTACGCCAACCTCATGGGCCACCAGCTCTTTGTCTCTTGACATTTTGAAGTAGTCGGTCAAGGTCTAGAGAATGGAAACGCATGAATTAGGGAGACTTATGAAGGAACAGGGGGGGGGGTCCATAGTGAAAATTGGTAGGCCTGGGCCAATCATCATGCCTAAATTGTCCATATAAGTGGGGTTCTTGGCATGCCGATCATTGATGAAACTGGAAAAAATCTAATTGAAATGGAGAACGAATGGAGAAATAATGGAGAACAAATGGAGTATTTTACTGTCAATGTCTCCATTCATGTTCATTTCTCGTTAACTAGCTGAAACCCTGGACCATTTTCAATTGAAATCTCCTTCCCCGTCAAGCTCTTGCTTAGTAATAGAATCTCGATCTCTGCAGAATCCATGCACATGTAAGTAAGCGAACCCTATCTGAAGTGTGACATCGATGACATGTGTTTCGAGTCTTGGCAGTCTTGGCACCTCACCATCAGACATTAGCGCTTCGAACATGGCATTCCACTTGGGCGAGGGAATTAGGTAAAATTGACCGAGCGAAAAAATGGAGAGGAAATAACATGAAACAGTTCACCGTATTCCGTACTTTTGACTCGGTTACTGGTGTTTGTTGTGGGGTTGTTCCCAGGTGCTATAACATGCTGGTGTACTGTGTAATTTCAAGGTGAGTGCAGAGTGGAACTGACCGTGGGGCGAAATGGTCCCGTAGAAGGAAAACTGAACAATGCTTAGATACGGTGCTGGATACACAAGGGCAATGAGTAAAGTGCCAATACCTCGGCAGATTATAGAGTTAAGCCAGACATTTTAAAAAGATATGGAAAATAAATATGTTTGGAGAAACAGGCGAGTGGAATTTTGAAGGAAGAAAGAAACGTATGAACTTGTATGAACTTGTATTTTTAAAAGTCCAGGTAGCCATAGCAAGACCAGAAAATTGCCAGGAATTTGCATACACGGAGAAACAACCTGAATGCTACTCACTTAGCCTATTAGACCTCCAAGTATATATGACTTCCCTAGCTCTGTTGCACTATAGCCCTCCAATGTAGTTATGGTGACCGTCTTTTTGAATTCAGTGTGACTCCCACTGTGACTAAATAGACTAAGTGCCAACTAAATATTGAGCCAAGTGACGGTTTAAGCTTAACTAACTCTGTGCAGTCAAAACGGGAGGCGCCGTCGCCAGTTGAATTCTGATTTGATTACGTAAGGTATAATTCCGAGCATAATTCCGTATTGCCAGATAATGCGGTTCACGTCAAAGTCCTCCGTCCTTTTGACCAGTCCTCAGACAACGACGTAGGAATTAAGCTGGTGCTTACGTTTAATTTCTGCGCCACGAAGTTATAATTATTTAAGCATCTTTTCCTCGTCTCCACCTTCTGAATCCTTCTTGATTACAAACATTGGAAGGCAATTTCTCTTGGAGTACGGAATAACTATAGGGAAGAATAGTGAAAATAGGGGTTCCTCCGAGTCTGTATCCATGCACATGCACAAACAGAAAAAAGATAATGGAAAGAAAAAAGGAGTCGAATCCACCGAGCCAGCAGATATTCAGATCACATCTTTAAACGATGTTGAATTTGTATAATTCATTTAAAGTGAACAATTTCCAGGGTCTACGGCTCTGGAGTCATAATATTATTGATATTTCCAATAAAGCACTGAAAGCTTATCAAATGAAAAGAATAATTCCAAGCCTCCGAGCTTATTCTGCCCATTACGAAGAAGTGTACGCAACTACGAGTGGAGCGGGCGTATTGCTAGTTCCTCGATCCAAGAAAATTCAGGGAATACACACTTTTATTGGCCCAATATCTACCATCAATATCCACTGACCGCTGCCAAGAGGAGGAAACGCTCAAGAAATGTTATCCATTTGGCGGCATTTCTGATGCTTTTAACAATCCGGATATCGGGAAGCAGTCATCACGGGTGGAGGATTCGTAGCACTGACGCGTCGAGGGCTTAGGGGTTTAATATAAATGAGAAACCTATCCGGACGTCTATTAAACTTCATAAAGGTATCATATCATTTATATGGGGATCCGCCAACTCCGTCCCGGCTATCTCGGAATTTATAACCTGATATAAAATTAACTACTTGATGCTCACCTTTTCTCAATTCTTCGCCAATGTTGATGCGGGATTCCGCTCTCCATCTAAGCTTCTGGCTTAACCATGGCCGTTCACGTCCCCGCTACCTCATTGCCCTAGTTCCGACAGTCATCGGAGGATTGATCTTTTTATACCTCATTCTAGCGCCGCAACTTATCCGATTTCGATTCCGTGCAGGACTGAGCTGGTATGATCTAGGGTTATATGGCTTTGGACCTTCTCAGGACTTTGTGTCCTTCGATAAGGAGTCTCGATTCGTGGAGATATCTCCAGCGGATGCACAATGCGACCCTCGATTTACCTTTTTCGCTCCTAGAGGCGATTCTGTTGCACATCCCGGTCCAATGATCCTTGATGCGCAGGGTGACTTGGTGTGGATGAAACACAACGCAGCTACAACACAAGATTTCAAATTGCAGCGATATAAGGGCCAGGATTATTTGACTTATTGGGAAGGAGATGAGGAAGAAGGACATGGATTGGGTTCATGGTATATGGTAGGACTAGTCCCTTGGCCGTTTCCAGATCGTTTGCTCGTATCTAGCTTTTCGTCATATGGCATAAAAGACTGATATCAGGAATTTTCCTGCTTCCCGCAGCTTGATTCAAACTACAAACAACGATTTGTTATTTCCCCTGTCGGGACTATTGATGGCGACCTACACGAGTTTACAGTCACTTGTAACGATACCGCTCTTGTCTCAGTATATGAACCTATTCTATACAACCTGACATCCATTGGCGGGCCCGAAATTGGCTGGATGTATGATTCCATCGTACAGGAAATTGACATTGCCACCGGAGAGCTCCTGTTTGAATGGAGAGCTTCCAACTTCTACCCGCCCGAGTCTAGCTTTCAGCCAATAGAGAATGGGGGCTCCGAACGGAGCTTAAGTTATGACTTCTTCCATTTGAATAGCGCAGACAAAGATGACCAAGGCCGTATTCTAATTTCCGGTCGACATACTCACACTGTCACCTGCGTGGACAGTTTCACAGGTGATGTACTTTGGACTTTGGGGGGAAAGGGCAATGAATTTTCTGATCTGTCAAATGGGTCTGCCACCGACTTTGCATGGCAGCATGATGCTCGCTGGCAAGGAAGTAGCTCATTGACTTTGTTCGACAATGCCGCCAACTCCCCCCAAAAAAATGCGGATGCATCGAAAAGTCGTGGTCTTTGGATCGATCTGGACATTGATGCACGACAAGCGAGATTAGTGGCAAGCTATGTCCACCCGCAGGAGCTCCTGTCTTTTTCGCAGGGCAACTTGCAAATCCTGGATACAGGGAACGTCATAGTGGGCTGGGGACACAGTGGCGCCTTCACAGAATTCTCGGCTGATGGAGATTTGCTTTGTGATGTACACTTTGGTGCCTCGGCCTACTTCTCTTTTGGTCGGGTTGTCTCCTATCGCGTATACAAGGGATATTGGGTCGGCACTCCGGATACATTACCCGACGCAGTCATCTCAGGAAATACTGTATATGTGAGCTGGAACGGCGCGACGGAAGTCGATCAATGGCGACTCGAAGCTTGTGACGGCCAAGACATGCGAGATATGCAGTGTTCGTTGATTGAGGAGGTCGCACGAAGTGGCTTTGAGACTGAAATCGCTATTACTGCTGTCAGCTCAAAGTTCTTCAAAGTCAGCGCCATTAATTCAAATGGTCAGACTATCGGCACAACGGAGCTGCTTAGACGATATCCTCTGCATGAGAAAATAGCCCCGTATTATTGGGTCGCTATATTGTTCGCCACTGGATGTCTTCTTTATGGAATTTATTACGCTGCTGTCCGAAGCTGGCGCCATCGCGATCTCAATGGGATATATCGATTAGTGGGACACAAAGAGCCGGTCGAGGTTGACTTTGTGAATCTTGGAATAATGGCTGATGAGTAGATAGTTGACTCTGATCTCGATATCCCCTGTTTTTTGGAGTTTTCCAAGTTTGTATTCCAAGGCCTTTTTTTACATTTCAGCCAGCGTGGCATTATGCTGATCAATCTGCTCAAGTTTATTCTGTTGCTATACCGTCTTTAATTCGCCCATACCTACTTGAGTAACTTTTCCATGTTCCTTGGCTGCTGTTATTTAAAAGCTCATACAATTAGAGTGAATAAGTTTTTCTAACTTATAAAGTTCGGATTCTACTAATATTTACAATTTCGAAACGAACGCAATCCTAAAGAGTTCAAACCTCTGAATCTAGTTCAATGTGCCCTCCAATTATTGGTGATATTGCGTTATATCTATACGAAGTACTCGGTGAACATTCCTGGATTTCTAGGTGGCACGACAGGCCCAAGAACTCAAGCTGATTTACCACTGCACTAACTCAATTCCATAGCGCAGGTAGTACTCAGATGTAACGTAATTAATATTATCACAGAGTATTATACTTGCTGACTCTATTCGTCTTGGAAAGTATGTATTCTCCCGCGTATACCCGAGTTACGTAGTATAACTAAAGTGTCGAGGGATTTTTGCCCTAGACCCTGATTTTTTCTCTTCAAATTTCCACCCTCTTCAAAGGACTCCTTATTCCTAAATATATCAGGAAAATCTCAGCCCTACGAGCCGCTTACAGAGAGCGGTTGGTCGGCTCCGGTTCCGCGGGAAAGTACCGAGGTTCACTTGGGCAATTTGGTTTTCTTTTTTACGCCATTTGCCTCCTTGCGACATCTTGAAAATTTTCACTTTCTCAACTACCAACTGTGAGCTGCATCACTTAGTGCCAATTTGGGCCATAAACAAAATGGAGAAGCCTGTACAGCCGTCTCTCGATCTCGAGGCTAGCCCTTCACAGGAGAAATCTAGAGAATCGGGCCTCACGCGACGATGGAAGCAGACAGTAGATCCCGCCTATGCCGACCTGGTCTGTATCTTGCTCTGTTTCTTGACAGGATTATGCGACAGTAGTGCATACAATGCCTGGTCCTGCTTCTTGGGCATGCAAACTGGTATGGCAACAACTCTCGCCTCCTCTCTTCTCGCCAACCCCCCTTCCCCTCACGCCAAGTACGACGATAACTAACTTATATTACGCATTAGGTAATACTGTTTTCCTTGGTCTTGGCGCCTCAAATCAACCTACTACCAAGCCCTGGGGCTGGCTGAAATCCCTTTGCTCAATTGCGTCCTTCGTCACTGGCGCGTTCTTTTTCAACTTCACCATGCGATCCATCGGACCCCTCCGTCGCGGTACTCTGTTCCTCTCTTTCTTTGCCCAGGTCTGCTTGATTATCATTGCCGTTGCTCTGATCCAGGCCGATCTGATTCCGCACACTTCAAGCGATGCCTCCCTTGACCATGGTCCTCTTTTCTTGGAGCTCATCCCTATTGCGCTCTTGGCATTCCAATCAGCTGGCAGCATGACTAGCAGTCGACTCCTTGGATATAACGAGATCCCTACGATCGTGCTGACCAGTGTATACTTCGATATTGCCACAGATGACAAACTCTTGGCTGCGCCCACGGCTAACGCGAAGCGAAACCGTCGCATAGGAGGTGTGGTCGCATTGCTGGTTGGTGCTATCGCTGGTGGTTGGTTGAGTCGTAGCAGTGGTGGTATGGAATCTGCGCTCTGGATGGCAGCAGGCTTCAAGTTCTTCATCTCCTTTGGCTGGTTCTTCTGGAAGTCCAAGTAGATCTTGGCCTGTGATTTGGCAGGGGAAAATATTGCACATTGAAATTTCAATGTGAGTCGCTAATTGGTTAATACTTTCAGGGTATCTTATATTTGCTATAGATTATAGATTCCACATAATTATATGTGATAATTGTTTTAGATTTCAATATTGTATCAACCTTAAAAAGTCTGCCAACATGTAGCCCTGGAGGTCGCTCAAGACCGAGTCTCCTCTTCATTATAGAATTTGATTTGTCTCTTTCAACAGTCTTTTAGTATAAAGGGACAAATACCCTAGGTAGGTTAATTTCGATAGCTCACAGAACTGTGAATTATCCCTTTCCCCTAGATTTCTTGTCTTATTTCTATTCAGACCACCATCGCTAATATGACCAAAACCGCCGCTTACTAGTACCTACGCCACGCCGATTGGCCTCGGCAGGGTGCAGAGATGGAAATTCGGAGGTCGAATGTGAATGACGTCATACATATGAAGATAATATCTCGTCTCAAGCCAATGCCTCGTGTCTGTGAAATTCCATCCTCATTCTCCCATTGCGCCATCCCAACAATCTATGCTGTTCTTGTTACAAGCGAGAAATCAATATTAATTTCAGGAGCTCTGTCCCTTTTTTCCCAATATCATAATGTCAATCCCTAGCGATACACCAGCCTCGGGAGCGTCCACTACAGATCTTGCAAAAGTAACACCTGAAGACAAACCTACGTTTGGGCAGAAACTAAAAACACATCTGCGAAGATGGTGGTGGGCTTACTTATTGGCATTTATTTGCATAGTTCTGATAGTCATTCTTCCAGTGTAGGTCTCTTTCTCTATCCCAAGATCACATACACTGATACCTAGGTAGCGTCTACGTTGGGGTACCTCACATTGCAAACGATTATATCAACAAATATCAATTTGATTTAGATGGTCTTACAATTAGCAACCCACAACCTACTGCCTTCCATGTTAGCCAGTCTCAAAAGATCAGCATGAACGGGTTTAGTGGCAGTGGGCAACTCTCAACTTTCAATGCTAGTTTGAATACGGCCGATAACCAGGAATTTGCAGTTCTGCAAGTCCCTGAAATCGACCTCAAAGATGGTGGAAGCATCAGTATTGACCACGATCTGCATTTAACATGTGTGGACTGTTTTTCACAGGTCCTTACTTCGGCTGCTACGGACAACAACGTTTCGGTGTTATTAAAAGGGAAACCTGATTTGAAAATTGGTTCTCTTCCCACGGCTCATTTGAATATTCACAACATGATGAAAATGAAAGGTCAGTCCTGCTTTCTATATGAAACACGTGGAAAATGTTAGCTAATAGTAGATAGGATACAATTTCACTGGTAAAGACTGACATCTATAAACATAGTCTGGATAATTCATTGCTGACTCTCCACCCAGATTTGGCGAACACTCCAGGGGCAATCAACATTACAAGTCTCAGTCTCCTGAATCCTCCAGTAAATGGCTACAACTTTAACGCTACAATCACTCTCCACAACCCAACACTTTTTGTGGTCGAAATGGTATTTTCCCAGTCAATGGTAATATTGAAATCTCGGTTGTACTTATTTAGATCAATGTCTGTAGGGCCACATCATTTTCAATCTCACTATTGGAAATTCATCCGCGGGATTTTTCGATCTCCCTAACCTGGTACTTGCGCAGAATACCAGCAGCACTGAAGTCCTTGGACAAGTCGATGAGACGATGCTTGTTGAACAGGCTGTTCTGAGTGCGGACGGGTTTGGTATAATCACTGTTGGTATTCAGGGTTATAGTTGTGACTATAACGGACAGGACATTCCGTACTTCACCGCAGCGATTAAAGCCGTCTCAGTATCGGCGAAGGTTAATCTGCTTCAATATGCGGCAAGCCTATTTTCATGAGTTTGATAGTATCTGTCGGTACACCTGTATCAAGTGTGGAATAGCTATTCGATAAAGGTGATGAGGCTAACGCCTACTTCTGACACCTATCACAGGTAACGCTTTACGCCCCTATGATATCTTTGTGTCCTCTTGAAGTGGTTGTAAAGTCTGGTTTTCATTCTTAGTTTGCTATCTATTATAAAGTAACAATTTGATCACATGACTGCTTTGTTCCATATTCCAATAGTATCTTAGAAAGTCATCCATTCATATAGTGCCTGGTATAATTTTGTATGTAACTCAATATTAGTACCTAAATCCTATTTTTATGGCTCACGTCCACGTAATATTAAAGAGCCCCAAGGCTATCTATCCAATTTGAATGGGATATCTTGAAACAGACTCTCAATACAGCCCCAAGGTCTTCTCCATCTGAAAGGTAACCTTGAATTCACTAGATATTCGCTTCCCTGGTGCCTACACTTAAATGGTAATATTAGTGTCTTGGAAGCCCCTCGATTTATGAAGTTGTTAAAGAATAGCGGAGCATCTCTTACTGTACCATCATTCAAAAGGCTGGCGTATCTAGGTAATCTGACAGGGGCTGCTGACAGGAGTTGCTGACACTATCCAGTGTGGAGTACTCTGTAGATTCAAAGAAAGTCCAAACAAGTCTGTCATTCAAAGTGGTACCCCATGTGAAACCCAATTTTGTGAGCTCTCAAAAGTACAGCTGAGCTTACAATCTTACGATGCACCATCTACGAAGTATGAGTAGTCAAATAAATTTGATTATCTGTCCCCGGTGGGGTACATGTTTACTATCTATAGGTTCGTGCAGCTTATGATATAAGCTCATTTCCAACATGCGCTACTGGACCCACAGAATCCAAGATTTTCTGGGGCTGAATTTCCTATCGATTCTTATCTTCATTTGACATGCTCAACAAGTTAGTGTTTTGATGGTTAAAGCTACAGAAATCCTTTTATGTTGTAGACTATTTAGGTATAAATGACTCAAGAAATGGACAGCGCTTATACTGCCACAAATGTCGACGGTTGATGTAACTATAAGACCACACCATACTTGACCAGGTCTAGAGCTTAAAGTCTCGGTCTTGCATGTAGACTTACATATTTAAGCATGAGCTTCAAGGAAATCGGGCTTTACATGGCAAGGCTGTGATCTGACATTACCCACATACTTGGTAGGTATCAGCGACCTATGTGGTAGCCTCGGAACCTTCAAATAGTACAGTTTGGCCTTTATAGGTACATTTTCATTCTTCATACGCATTGAAGCATAAAGATAAAAGTTGCAAATAACTCGAATTATCGTGATATGTATCTGTCCATGGGTTAAAGAACTTGAGCAAAAGACTTTGAGAATTGGCTCAAGCATCGAACCAACTACGATGACTCCTGAGGTCTAACACTATACTGCAGGATGAAAAAGGTACGGAAAGTCGGGAGATGATATTACGATGAAACAACCCCTTTTATCACTAGTAAAACTCTACTCTACCATTAGCCCAGAAAACGGGGTATTTAGTAGATACTCGCCATTACCGAAGCGACGATCATGTACCTACTTAAGAAGGTATGTTCTGAGACCTTCTAGTAATGTTATATAAAGTCCATGTAGCAATTCGAGTTTCTTATTTCACTAGAATATCCTTGCCGACCTACGAGTTCTAAGGCTGTGAAAATGAATCTCAAAGCCCACAACATGTCTAAGGAGGGAATCGGCAGTTTAGCGATTCTGGTCTCATCTATCTTCTTTTCTTTCTGCTATGCTATACCCCATGTACCGAGAGACCAGCCCCTTCATCTTGCTAAAAGAGAGGATTCCGACTGGGATAAGGCCCTGAACGCTGGAAAGAAGATAGCGGCTGACTTTACTGGTACCCCGACACAATCCAAGTGGACCAATGTCAACAGTTTGGAGACAAACGGTTGGACTGATCAAGTTGATGACCCCGAGACCTTCAAATCTCTGAGCGCAGTTTTCACGTCCATCGGCCTGGATCGAGCTGATAACACGATTATAACACTCATCCAAGACCAAGATGTCACAGTCGATGGAACAGAATATTTGGTATTTTATCCCGTGCCAGCTTTGTACAAGTTGAGCCAAATTTGAAAATAGCTAATGATTTATTATTTGATCTACAGGCAAGTAACGGCTTCTATAAAAATACCTACAATGTCAAGGCTGGCGTTATCATCGCAAACGATAATAAAAGTCCCCGGGAAAAAAGATTTGAAGATGGAAACGACTGCGACGATGTCGTACCGCTGGCAAAATTTTCTGATGTGGTTTTCCTTGAGTGGCAAAAGCTCGCAGGAACGTCCGTTGATGGTCTCAAGTATATGATTCGGAGCGAAATCGATAATGCGGCTACCAAGGCGGTCATTCGGAAGGCCTGCGGTCTTGCTGCGAATGAGGAGGATTGGTCGAAGATTGAGGATGCACAGGAGTTCCTACCTGGCACTGACAATTTCAACGCACTTCTGGGCTCTCCCAATGGTCGCGGTCTCGGGTATATGCTAAGCCAGCATCAAAGTAAATTGGGCAAGGGTAAGACCGTGACTAAAATCACAGTGCAGGGTCAAAAGGTTGTTCGCACTTGGAATGTCATGATGATCCAAGAGATCGGAACGGCCTAGTTTGAGGTCATGGGAATGCCTAAGACCTGTGTGAGTGTATTTAGTTCATCTATGTATTTGAGCCTGGTCAATGAAATCATGTATTGGGATAGGAATCGAACGATATTATTGACGCGGCCAAAGGATTCGATGATTTCTAGCTTAGTTTTACAAGTTTTATAGAATTTATTCTAAATGCCTCTCCGCTGGGGGTGAGGGGGCACTGCCATGGAGCCGATAATTTGTAAATGGAGTCAACTCGCATCAGTTAGTGACGCCTGTAAATAGAGTTGGTTGGTTTCGTCGCCCTCGACTCTCACAGTCCTCTTGATCATCAGACCGTTCCTGTAGGAAAATATCTATTGTCAAATACATTGGACTGACATATGGAGTATGTGGCCGCCATGGTTCACTGTAGTAAGCGAGTCATATCCCAATAGCTAGATACAATGGAACTGCTTAGGTCGAGTAACCTCCCTCCAGGCTGGACTTGTGGAAAGTAAAGACTCTATCCTTCAGACGTCTGTGAACAATAGGACATTGATTCGATCATGGTATATACCTGTTAATAGTAGGCAACGCTGATAGTAATGCGCGGTGCTATGCTAAATATGATTAGCTTTTAAATCATGCAATGTGTTGATATATCATCTTCAGCATGATGTCCCTTTTATCAATTCCCCTTTTCATGTTTGTGATGACCAAGTGGGTCTCTTAAGTCCGATGTTTACTCCGATCATGATGAAGCTGACCAAGAAGGTGGAGTAAACTTTACTATCCTTAGTAGTCCGCTACTTGTCTAATTGTTTGTTCACATCCGGATCATGTTCAGTGGACCGCGGTGGCGTGTTTGGCAGTGGATACTGACACAGTACTAATGACGCAGTGCCTATGACGGGATTGAAAGGCCTATAAAGGCCACAAGATATCGCTTCGTGCTCTGAAACACATTTGATAATTCAATTATAACTCTCGTCAAAATCATCAAAATGGTGAAAGTTCTTCTGACCGGTATGCAAATGCATGATATTGCAGTATTACCTGGGTCAACGAAACTAATTACGTCCAATAGGCGGCAGCGGCTTCATCGCGGCCCATATTATTGATATCCTACTTGAACATGGGTATAATATGTCACTTCCACATTATCTTTGCAAACGCTAAACTTATCTCTACTAGCTTCGATACTGTGGTTACTGTTCGTTCGGATGAAAAGGGACAGCGAATTCTCGGTGCCCACCCGTCTACTCCCAAAGAGAAGCTTTCCTATGTGATTGTGAAGGATATAGCTCAAGATGGAGCATTTGATGAGGTATCGGATATCGACTGAAGTTACGGCTGAGCTCAAAACTAATGATTTCTAAAAGGCCGTCAAATCGGACCCGCCATTCGACTATGTTTTGCACACTGCATCCCCATTCCATAATAATGTTCAGGACCCTGTCAGGGACTTCCTCGATCCCGCTATAAAGGGAACTACCAGCATCTTGAAAGCCGTCAAGGCCCACGCACCCAGTGTCAAGCGAGTTGTCGTTACTTCGTCCTTCGCCGCCATTTTGAACTCCAAGCAGCACCCGAAGCTTTATAATGAAACAGTCTGGAACCCTGTTACTTGGGAGGAGGCTTTGCACCCCTCTCAAACTTACTTGGCTAGCAAGGTGAGTTCTAATGGACGAGTAATAAGTAATTGATAACCCAAGCTGACTTAACTCTTGACTTAAGACTTTTGCTGAGAAGGCTGCTTGGGATTTTGTGGAAAAGGAGAAGCCCAGCTTCGACCTTGCAACTGTGAACCCTCCAATGGTATTTGGCCCTATTGTTCACTATTTGAACTCTCTAGATGCCGTCAATACCTCCAACCAGCGTTTCCGTGATCTCATCCAGGGCAAGATGAAGGAACAAATCGCTCCTACCGAAGTCATCATATGGGTGGATGTTCGTGATATTGCGCTTGCACATGTCCGAGCTATCGAGGTGCCCGAGGCTGGAGGCCAGCGCTTCTTCATTACCGCTGGTCACTACAACAACAAGCAAATTGTCGAGCTTGCCCGCGAGACGCATCCAGAGCTCGGTTCCAAACTTCCTCCCCAGGACGTGGAAGGAGATTTCCCTAACCCTGAGTCCGTCTTTGACATTGACAACAAGAAGTCAGTGGAGGTATTGGGCCTGAAGTATCGGCCACTGAGCCAAACCGTCAAGGATACGATTGACTCTTTGTTGGCAGTTGGTGCTTAAACATCCTGTTGGTTGTCTCTCTGGGCATTTAGAACGTGGGACATACTAGATAGTGATATATTTGTAGACTGCCAATAATAATCATAATAATACGGTATAGTACATGCAATGCAATGAAGTCTCATTGCCAAATCCTGAGAATAATATTATTGTTGACACGATTCCCTTGCTCAATTTTTAGAGATAAATTTTATAATAATGCACGAAAAATCGCTAGAAGCTGGCCATTTCAATCCAGCTTGCAACAAACTGCAGCCGGCGTTCTTTATCGGCTGCCATACGGCGCGAGAACTCTTCAAAGTTAAGTTTCGCTCCACTGCCACCACGTTCCTTGGCCTCGAGCTCGACCTGGTTCAGAAAAGCCCATCGGGAAAGAGTCCGGTCTGATGGTCGACGAGGAAGTGTAGATGCCTCTGGCAATGGAGCCGACTTAGTTCGAGGTGATGGAAGTGTTTGCACAGGAGAAGGAGGCTTAGGGGCTGTTGCTTCAGCCTGTGGCGATGAAAGGGATAGGGGGATGGCGTGATCTGGCTGAAGACGGAGGTGGTCTGGGAGGCCGGATTGGCTATCGTCCGAGACTGGTGAAGCCACCATAATCACAGGATCATCACGGAACGAAAGGCGAGGGCGTGGTGTTACTGTATCGGGACGGAATTGGGGAAGAGTTGGATCGTAGTGTGGAGGTTTCTCGTCATCGTCGCTATCGTCATCATCGTCGTCGTCATCATCATCATCGTCAGATTGATGAGAGGAAGCGACCTCGTAAATTTGTGATTGATCATCACTGTTAGATGAGCCAGTGGTAGAAGCTATGTCGGAGTTGTCTTCGAAAATCTGACTATGAGATTGTCCGAAACTCTCGTCATTCTCAGGGTTGACAAGATGCGCTGGGAGGACATCATCATTCTCATCGTCTTGATTCATGAACAATGGAGATGGAGGTGCCAATACTGGACCTGTGCTCACGGGTGCGCTATGCAATCCATAGCCCGTATGTCTCAGCAGTTCATCGAGCGATCTCTCAGTTGTGCGAGCACGGAGCTCATTCTCATCCCGCTCTTTTGCAGTCGTCTGAGGACCAGATGCTTGCACAATCTCAATTTCACGGGCCCAAGTCTTACGTTCTGAGCGTGTCCGGTAAGCTTCCATGAGCAAGTCCTCCTTTTGTTTGAAAAGAACATCAAGCAGCTCGTTGAAGCCCTGTTGTGTAACTTGGTAGAGAATTTCCTTGCCTACATCTTTCTCGACCTCTGGAATCTCAAACCCGCCCCAACGCTCACCAACACTTCGCGAAGAAGTCGAAGGATTGGATCGAACGTCATAGTCATCAATAACATCATCCTGGAAACGGACCTTAGAAGAAGAGCGTGATCGGAAAAGCGATTCAACTGGCGGTAAATCGTCAAGGAACTCTTCATCGTCGCTCCTATCATCAAATGCTGGATCTTTTTCATAACCATCTGGTGCAGTGGCACCATCTTCTTCATCGGTATAAAAAGCTCTACGCCTCCAACGTTCGTCGATTCCATTCCTGCGGCTGTCATTAATTCGTCTTTGATTTTCATCTCGTAACCTGTTGGATAGGACGGTCTCGATCCGAGCCCTATCAATCGGTCTAGTGATTTCATGAGGCGGAAAATACTGTCCTAGTGCCTCAACGATATCTTCCTCAATGAGATGTTCTGTTCCTGGCCATAGGCCACTAGCATCGGACGAGGCGGAATCATCAGACCCACTAGCATCGTCATCATCGTCGTCATCATCATCGGCATCATCCCCGCGGAAGTGTCGAGACGAACGAGTCTCGGACTGAGTAGTTGGTAATTGCAAGGTGGAGGGGAATACCGGTCTTGTTCGACCGAATTGGTTTCTAATTGCAGCATCGCCTACAACCGAATGCCGGTCACCAAGGTCTGCACCGTCTCGCCGCAATATCCCTTCATTGTCGACGATTTCCATGTCACCGTTAGCATTGACACGCTTCCCTTCACCTATACGTGAAGTCTCGCCGGAAGGAATGCTCCCTGGGAATGCAGAACTCAGAGGCTGGCTTCCAAGAACCACGTCACGAACACCACCCTCGAGGAAATCATCTTCCATACCAGCAACCATATCTCGCGTGAGTTCCCGACTAAGGGTATAATATGCCCTGAAAACTCGGAGAAAGTCCTTTCGCTCAACAAAGCCATCGCTGTCAATGTCATATCCACGGAAAACACGCCGCAGTCGCTCGTCATTGCTCTTGTTGTTAAGACTGGCCAGACCTTTTAAAAATTCTTCGAATCCGATAAGATTATCGCCGTTCGTGTCATAAAATGCGAACATGCGATCGTAGATAAGACTCGGTGGAGGTGGACGAATGGATGTGTTAGGCACAAAGCAACGATCAAAGGTCTTACGGTCGATGGCCATGTGTAGTTTGTTAGGGTCGTCTGACCATTCGTAGTTGGCAAGACAGCGGAACTGATCCCAAAGAGCATCGAGCTCAGTGTTTTCGAAGTTTGTCTCTCGCATCAAGCGATTTGCAAGAGGCCGTGGAAGGCTTCTTGGCAGTAGCGCAGGTTTCCCTGGATACCACACTGGGAGTGACTGGCGCGGGTTTCCCAAGAATGGAGATGGGATGCGGACCTTGTAGAACAGATGTGTCTTGATGTGAACCTGCATTGCCTCGCATGTTTCACACAAATCATAGTCAATGCAGTTTGCGCAGCGATACCGAATACCTTGGATAGGCATGGCACCGCAACTATTACAAGTCACCCCACGATGAATGTAACCATCCCTCCGCGACTGGTCTTCGGCAATATGATAAAGCAAATTAAGAAGATTCTGGCCCTCGCGCGTGGGCGAAGAATCGTTATTTCCGTCCCGCCAAGAGAAAACACTCTGGTCATCAACGACGGTTTCACCACCATCAAGGTTTGCGGCAGGAACAGTCGCGTCGGGAAAGGTAGATGTTGACAGAGTAACACGTTCCCCATTCTGGCGTCTTTGTCGCAGTTCGTCTCCATAGTTTTCATCATCGTTGAATCTTATCAAAGCTCGCTCAATGCCCGCGCGCGATATTCCTCGTCGCTGCAGCTGCTCAGTCAGATAATTCCGTTCGGCACTATCATCAAGGAGGGTATGAGAAGAAGGAAAGTCTAACGCGAGGAAAGATTCAAGAAAGGTATCCTCCATCATCTCGCGCATGCGCTCTGCATGAGCTGGTGGAACACCAACTTCCTCCATTAACTGGTCGCGAGTAGCAAGCAGTGAAGGCAGAAGCCCACTTTCCACACGTCTTCCGTCCTCTGTTTCAATTCGAAATGTCCCATAAACTCCGTTCTGGCGTTCCAGTTGTTCGAGATGGGTAATCGCCCGGTAGGAGGGAGACTGAGTGATGCCAAGCTCGTCTGCGTCGGAGCGTCTTGAGCGGCGGACAGCATTTCGGCGGCGGAGTGGGCCATCCGTCACTGGTGAAATGATGTTGCTGTGAATGTATAAGATGGCATAGGCAGCTGCAACACCAGTAAAGAGGTAAAGAATGGGTCGGTATCGCGCGAGTGACACCGGCCCCGAGCGAGATTCAGCCATAGCAATATCTGCCCTGATACAAGCTACACAGACGCCGTTAAAGTATAGGGATGAGGATCATTTTTTCAACAAATCTGAGATTTTTGAATACGGAGGTAATCCTTACAAATATCAGGCAGTGATGTCTTGACGAAGAACGTGTGGCACAATTTCGAAGCGCGATGGCGGGCGGTGAGATCTACTCCGAAACTATCAAATTAAATTATCAAACTTAACTCTCTATCTAGACAACTATAGCACAGGGTGTATATCTCTATAAAGTAATATAAAGCATCAATTTAAATTTTAAAGATTTCGCGAAATCTTGCCACTTAATCAAGTACAAATCCACGATAATACTGAACTTCAAACTCCCAAGCTGCGCATAATCAATCTAAGTAATATGTCTCACTCTAGTTCTACCTAGATAGTCCCCCAATGATATGTAGAACTTTTAGTCGAGAGATAGGGTATTCTCTAGCGGTTGAGTTTCTGTTCACGAATAAAAAGGCTGCAGAATAAGGCAAAGAAGACGACAGAAGCTGTAACGGCAAAGCCCTTGTTTGTTGACCAACCATAGCAACTGCGGACGATCCTGGCAACATCAGGATCTAGTTTCTTGATGAAGTCGAGACTTTGTCGTACACCATTCACGATGCTATCAATGTCTTTGTTGCCCTTCAGATCGGATCTTAATCGCTCTCGGAGAAGTTGCTGGACAACAGTCGATGAAAGAGAAAGACCAATAACTGAGCCAAGAGACCGGAAAAGATAAGAACAAGCAGTTACGACTGCTTGATCTTCAGATGTTGCGTTAGATACTGGTAAAAATGTTAGAAACTTGACGGAGGAGAAATAATGAGCCAAGATCTCACTTAGACCGATCAGAGTCGTGGTGACCCCGATTCCATTTCCGAAGGCAGACATGACCATTCCAATAATCATTGGAACTAAACTTATCGTCATGCCGCCCGAGAAAAGGAAAATAATAAAGCATCCAGATGTGAGCAATGAGTAGCCTATTACTGTAAGCCAGAAATATCTACCGGTCCGTTTCATCACGAATCCGGCAAAGAGGGAGCCAGAGACACCGGCCAGGATACTTGGCAAGAGACGTAGGCCGGCAACAGTGGCAGAGACCCCATCGGTAGCCTGGAAATATAGCGGGATATAGAACATTGCTGCCATCCAACCTCCAAAACTGAAGAAGTTGCATGCGTAAAGAGCAAAGAAGGTGCGGTTGAAGATGATATGGCCAGGGGCGAAAGGCTCAGCCGCAATGTAGACTTCAACCAGGATGAATAGAACAAACATGAACGCCGAGATGCCCAGTGATATGGTCGTCAGTGGGTTCTTCCACGACACATTACTGCCACGGTCCAATCCAAGGAGGAGGCCGAACACCGCTGCTACAAGGACGATAGCACCAAGGAAGTCAATGCGATGTAGTTTAGTCTTCCAGTGAGCACTTTCATGCTCAGGGAGCTTCAGCATAAATGAAACCGCAGCAAAAGCCAAAAGACATAGAGGAAATTGTGCGAGGAAGGACCAGCGCCAGCCGATATAATCAGCTAATATTCCACCCAGAGGTGCACCGGTAGCGGATCCAGTAGCCCAGATGATATTAATTATACCTTGCCAAAGTCCTCTCTCGCGTAGGGGTACTATATCACTCATCAAGATACTGACGACTGTAGTCATACCACCACCTCCAATACCTTGGAAGACCTAAATAGACCGAATTAGCATGATTAATATTTTATGACGGGTTGGGATCTCCAACATACACGAGCGGCAATTAGCTCATTGATATTGCGTGCTAGTCCACAACACAAACATCCAATTCCAAATATCGCATACGCAAAGAGGAGACAATGCTTTCGCCCAAATATATCACTCAGCTTCCCATAAAGCGGCTGAAATGAGGTAAGAGTGAGGAAGTATGAAGTCGCAATCCAACTAGTCAAGTTGAGAGCATTGAGATCACTCCCAATTTGACCATAACTTGCCATGATAATGGTTTGGTCGGCAGCCGATAGGAAGATCTGAAAACATATGAGCTACTGCGATGAATCAGGCCCAATGAGGCGGATTAAAAGAGAGGTATCATACTCCTATTGAAACCGCGGGCAATATAAACTTAAGTTGCTTTCTTGCATCTGGGAAAGGCGCCTTAATCTGGTCCTCAACGGATTCTCCTGACTCTTCTGATTCATGGTGGATATCAGCTCCATTGCTGGGAGCCAGCAATGGGGATGTCTCGGAGGGAATATATTCAGAAACCATCGCCAGACGTGGCCACCATGCGAGAGATTAAAAGACTGAAAACTGTAAGAACTAGAATCAATTCTCTCGCAGGAAATATGAGTAAATCCCTTCACGGGTCACGTGGTGAAATTCCCCGCCTTGCTTGCGTGCTGCCCTTTGCAACAATAAGTACTAAATAAAGTCCAAGTAAATGTACAACAACTCCTGCTAGTTAATTGGTGTAGTGTTGGAGGGTTCCAAAGCTAGACCTATGCACCAATTAGCTACTGTATTGTTGCTATTTTCGAAGCTTATCCCTTGTGCTGTCGGAGGAGTGAAAGCATATCAGAGTAGAATATATAGTTATGACTGGCTGATAGCAACCTTGGAATGCTTATCAACCAATAACAAATAGCTCTGATTGGCTATTAGTTATCTATGGCAAAAAGTACGATGATAATCTTACTATCTCGTGTACGCGTTTGATCGCTATTCAACTCTACTATGAAATCTATACGAAGACGACTAAGGCTATTCCTTAGCACAATCCATTTTAAGAAAAATCAATAAAATATCACCGAACTATTCATTCGATTCGTGAGATTAACTTAGGATCTGGTTGTAATCAAGACTTCTCAAAACGACAAAGTGTCTTTAAGAAATTAAGGCAAATTCTATTCTCTGGAGGTGATGGCCTTTCGTAGGTCTGTTTTCGAATATAGCTGTATAGTCCTATAATATTTTTGTGAGTGTGATTTCATTTCCACTCAAGGTAGGTAGCACCATACTCATATGAAGCCGTGAGAGAAATGCCTATTGATCGGTTTGATAACATCATTCGATCCATTTCGTATGGTACGCTCGACGGCCAAAGGTAGTAGATGAAAATTAATGTCAGTCCTGTGATGAGGTATTTTAAAAGCATCTTTGTGCTCGGCCGAGTTGGCGCAATCGATGGATTGCGGGGTTGTTTTTGAAACATCGGACGTTGTAGACATGGGGGAATTATGGTGATAGTTCCAAGGAATAAACAGACTGTGCTTGGGGAAATTACTCTTGGTTATAAGGCGGCTGCTATTTCTTTGCAGGTGGATTTCCGTCGCTGCCTGATCAACATCATAAGACAGCTACCAGATAATAGATAAACATGTAGATACTTGCGAACCATGGACCTAAATCCTTAAGCTGTGGAAACAACTAATAAAAACCACTCGCTATGATCTTCTATAAAGTCACAATCAATGACCCATTTTCGACGTAATTGGTGCTTTTTGACTCGCTCAGCTGTACGAATATAACTTCATCAACGAACTTCATACCTTGGAATTCAATCGATAACCGGACTCAGATCCACCTAAGCTAACCAATATGAAGGATTTTGCAGCCGGTGATGTTGGGGCGTCTTCTCAATCATCTACTGCAGAAATACGTCCTGACTTGACTCGATTTGATCAACTTCGGGCAAATCCTCCGAGCGTTCTTGTTGTACCCCCAGATGCATGTGAAATTCACCCATCATCCCTCGACGACATCTTCAAGGCTATTGGTCTTCTAAAAGACCAATTTGAATCCGATAAGCCGCCGTCCTCACAATTTATTCACGTCATGAACATTCCATCGCCACTCCTCAACAAAATTGAAAATGACACTGGCCTCTTTCAAGGTGTCCAAGCCCATATCGTGCATAAGCAATCGGAAATATTACTCAAGATATCACCAGGACGCGATCATGAATCGATTACTGAGAGATTTGCCGAGGAAATAAAGACGAAACTGCGCTCTATGGGTGTTGCTACGTGGAATGGAGAGTTTGAGGCAATTGGTTCCACCAGGATCTATGGAGATTCATCAAGTAAAGAGCCAGCCTGGGCCATGGCTCCCAAGAACACGATCAACCCCTCTCTTGTTCTTGAAGTCGGATTCTCGCAGTCTTATGCCAGTCTCCTAAATGATGCTGCTTGGTGGTATAGTAATGCAAACACCAAGGTAATCGTTCTTATCAGCATATCGCACAGCCCCGTCCTTCATGTGGCTTTCGAAGTCTGGTCCGAGGTGCCCAATACATCACTCGCTCCGTTCACAAAATCTCGTCCACAACAGGTCCTACAATGCACCCAAAGGGCCCAATACCAAGACGGCCAAATTACCGGCGGGCCATTAACTATACCTTTCGATAATATCTTAAATCGAGCGCCCCGAGGTATTGAGCAAGACATCATCCTCAGTCCCGCTATATTGGCACATATTGGCGCGGAGGCATGAGATATCCACACGCATTGACATCATTTCTCAATTTTTTATTATTTATTCTTGTATTGTTTTACTTTTTTGATCATGTTTAGAGCTAATTGAGCAGAGTGATTTGAATCTCCATTCACATCGTCCCGATGATCAAAAACTTTTAGTTTATATTTTCAAGATTGATCGACGGGATAGGCCGAGATCTAGAAAGCCTTTCATGGCTGTTAGCGCTCTAGATCAAAGCTAACTATAGTTAAAACTGCTTGTTTTCTCACCTAAGAAATCCTTTTCTACCTAATCAAGGATCGCTTTGGTTTCAAAGAAGCACATGTTACAGGCTGGGCGCTTACTGGTTAGATTTTTCTAAACAACTATTTATTTACGCGACCGAACAGCGGCTTAATATAATGCTTTAGCACTCTATTTCAATGTCATATCCCAGGTTTCATTATATTCCTGAGGTCCTGAGTTGGGGGCCACGAGGCTCCTCTGCATAGATATTTTACCGCCCCCAGTTCTTCCTTCGGCATTTGCTTTTCCAAGTTTCTATATAGCAGGGGACATTATGAATGATTATTACCTGGGCATTGATCGAGAAGCTCTCAAGGTTGAAACTGGCGCGAGATAACACCTAAGTATCGCGTCTATTAGAGGCTCAGGGCTTCAACAATTGGAGGTATGAGTTGCTTCATCGATTCCGGCTCTGGGCATGATGATGCCAGCTTTATGATAATATTGAAGATCTCGTGCGATATTTGATACTGGAGTATTGAGATTTTGCTCACACTTTGCTTTATAGATGCTTTTATCACACTCATCTCTTTTGACGACGATATTTCTGCAAATACACGCCTTGACAGTCACGGCACTTCCAAGTTCCTCTAACGAAACATCTTCAAATGCGACTATCAGGGTCGATTTTGGTAGAATCCCAGATAATATTACCAGATATATCCATTCTACTCCCGAGTACGAATATCTTGAAACTTCGCGTGCCACCAAACGAGACTTGTATCAGCTCCTTCTTCAAGAAGAAGCAGGTGACGAACTGAAGTTTGTTTCATCACCGGATGAAATAGAGCCAACAGAGGAATATTATGCCAACGCGGGTTATGCTTTTCTGAGTGGTGCTGGCTCAGGCGTGACTGTATATGTCCACGATAGCGGGATAAATCTTCAACATGCCGAGTTTACATTAGCATCACCTCCAGATGTACAAAAGGGAACTATTGAATGGCTATACCCTGATTTTGACCTTGAGTCTATTCCATGGGGAAGCTGGATCACAGAGCCAACACATGATCCTATCGGGCATGGCACGTGTGTTGCAGACAAGATTGTGGGTCAAATGTTTGGCGTGGCTAAAGGTGCCAGTCTCAAGATGGTCCCTGTCGTAAGTATAAGTTCTGACTTTTGGCTGCAAGCTGGCCTAAGAACTATTATCAAGGACATCAAAAAGGAGAGAGAAAAGGACCCCAACTTTATGGCAGTAGTTAATTTCAGCTATGTGCTTACGGGGCCTTTTTCAACACTGGTACAATCGGATTACTATGATCTTTTTAAAGAGATCCACGACCTGGATGTTGTTATGGTAGCAGCAGCCGGGAATTGGAGACCAGGAATGAGTAAGCAAGTGACAGACTACCCAGCTGCTCTGGTGGGATCTCTTCAGAATATGATTGTGGTTGGGTCAGTCGATGTCCATGGTCACGTATCAGACTTTTCGAAGACTGGAGATCTTGTCTCGGTTTATGCACCTGGGGAACGTTACTCAAAAGAAGAAGGTATTGAGTGTGCCGCAGGCAGTACTACAAGCTCAAATGAGGAAGACATCCAGTATGGTGTGGTTAAGCAAGAAGGCACTTCCCTTGCTGCACCTATTGTTTCCGGACTTGCCGCGTACTGGTTGTCGATAGATTCAAGTTTGAGAAGAGGGAATACTGTTTCGCAGAAAGTGAAAGCCAGGATTGTGGATTTAGCTTGGAGCCGTCAAGGTCTCGATATAAATATACCTGCTATTTGGAATGGCCAGGATGGATCGGGATGCTAGAAACTGACCAATGTTCAGTTAAATGGAAGCAGTGTACTTAAAACAAATCATCTCAAATAAAAAGAAATCATTTTTCGATCCCTATTTATATAGTACCCCAAGCAAAACCTATGAATTCCCATGAAGTAAGTCCAAGTCTCAGAATGCTAACATTTAAAACAAGCTTTTTCGGGATTTAAACGACAAAAAACAGAAATTAGCAGGACAAACGAGCAAATCGAGCTTACTCTGTGGAGACAACAGGAACAACTGATAGATTAGGAAGTGTTATTGGAAATCAGAGCCAAAACAAAGGAAACAAAATTGTCTCCAGATATAAGTGATAATTCATGGTTGGATTCTAATTCTTGCAGAGTCTGTTTGAGTCTGTTTGAATTCTGCGCATCGTCCCAAAATTAGGGCTTCCCGTAAAGCGATGTATCGGACGCAGGGAGCGGAGGGGTAGATGAAGAAGGAGACCTAGGAGAAGCTCATAGAAGAAAAGAAGTCAGATGATCCCTGAAACATAGGTATCACTTATATACACATCCTTCTTAGTCAAGTCACGCTTGTCTGCCTCTCCGTATACTGTTAAATCAGATCAACACCTGAGTCTTCCAATTATGCCATTTTTCTCCAGCAGACACGTTCTTACTCAATACAAAACGGGATCAACTCCGGCAGAAAATAATGCCTCGCTTCCGACTTCCAGACACGCCTTTCTTATGTGGCTATTACGTCTTGTTATCACCAGCGCCACTATGTAAGCCTTTTGTCCTTTATAACTTCAAATTCTGCACATGACCTAGTTCTTATCTAGGCCAGTGTATTGTCTGCTTTAGAGCCCATTTCGATGCTGAGGCCAGCCAGGCCTATGAGTGGACAGAACTAACTCCGATCCAGCTTAAACAACCACTGCCGAAAATACTTAAAGACTACCTTGGAAAGACTGGCAGTATGACTGGCGTAGCTATATAATCTTTGACGTAGTATAATTGTGACGTTAAGCGATATTCAATTCAATATCAGAGACATTGAAAGTTCATAAATTTTCTCAGGGTATTATAAATCTAAACAGATATAAAATGTCTCATAAAATATCCTGTACATATCTACTTTTCAGTCTCAGCCACTTCTGTGATGGGCATAGGAACGGGACCACCGGGGGATCCTGGCAGACGAGCTGTCAGTACCTCCACTCCGTCCTCAGTGACAAGAAGAGTGTGCTCAAATTGAGCAGAAAGCGATCCATCCGCAGTGGTGCTGGTCCAGTCATCTGGCCATGTACGGTCTCGATATGTGCCAATGTTGATCATAGGCTCAATGGTAAAGCACATACCGGGCTTAGCGGTACCCACGGCCTTGTTCTTGGCATAGTGAGGAATATTGGGGGCACAGTGGAAGAGTTGGTTGATGCCGTGACCGCAGTAGCTCTTTACGACACTACATTTGCGGGACTTGGCGTGCTTTTCGATCACGGTACCGGGATCACGGAAAAGCATGCCAGGCTTAACGAGCGCAATCGACTGATCCAGACATTCACGCGAAGTCTCGACGACTCGCACAGCGTCTGGGTTTGCAAGAGCTTTCTCACCCACATAGTAGGTCTCGTTAATATCACCGTGGAACCCATTGTGGTATAATGTCACATCAATGTTGATGATATCGCCATCCTCGAGGGGCCGTTGGTCGGGAATACCGTGACAAATGGCCTCGTTGATAGAAGTACAGACAGATTTGGGGAAGTGCATGTAGTTGAGTGGGGAGGGATAAGACTGAAATATTGCAGGTCAATATATAAATCTTGAAATGAATCCATTCCATGGATTAACTCACGTCGCGCTCGAGACAAGCCTTGTGGACCAACTCATCGATATAGTCGGTGGTCACACCAGGCTTCGCCGCGGCTCCAGCAATATCCAGAACCTCACGAGCAAGGCGGCAAACCTTGCGCACGCCCTCTTGCTCCGCCTTATTCAAAATCTTGATGCTGTGTTGACCAAACAGTTTCTGCTCAGAGCGGGGAATGCCATCACGGGCGTAATCCGGGTACGGGATCGACTTGGGGACGGTGCGGGTTGCTGACAACGGGTATACGGGGCGCAAAGATCCGGCGTAGTTGAAAGATGGGAAAGGATTGAAGTTGCCGGTAGCTGGATCAGGTTCAGAAACTACCTTTGGAGGAAAGAGATTGGTGAGAATATTACCAGTCTTATGGGTGGCCTTGTGTTCGCTCTAATATAACAAATCAGCGAAAATGCTTATAGGATCACTAGATGTGCGTTTATTCAAGTGCGCCTACCTACCCAGCTCCGCTTAAAACAGTCTTGCGAGCAGAAGAAGCTGTCGGTGCCCTTCTTGAGACAGGTTGGACATTGTAGGGTTCCTGCGTCTTTCCCGCAATCAACGCCAATGCATTTGCGAGGAGCAACAGCCATCTTGATTTTGTGGCACAGATAAAAGGAACTTAAGAGGTAAAAAGAAAGTCACTCAGTATGTATTCTGAGGGAACTTGAAGACTTTAGAGAAATGGACTACCTAGTCTTCAATAGGCTTAGCGTATGTCAAGTGATGTTTCAGGCAGTAAGGCAATAAGGCAACAAGGCACTCAGACCATAAACCAATCACGGGAATTTATCGGTCCTTTAAAATTTGTCTTTCGACATCACGTGAAGTTATTCCTTGTTCCTCCTTCTCATCTCGCTTCCTTATTTCTCTCGCTTCTGGAATCGACTCTCTTCATTGCGACAGCTGTGTTATGGCAGCTCCACCTAAGCAGAAGGTGGTTGTGGTGGGTGCAGGGCCAGTGGGGTCCCTGGCCGCGCTATATGCAGCTTCCCGAGGAGATCAGGTCGAAGTATATGACTTGCGCGGAGGTATGTTCTAAATCTATCTGTTTTTTGCTATCATCACCCCTCTCTCGTGATAATGCGAAGAATATATAAACGCAACATATAGAAAGCCTGAAGCATGACTTTGACTGGTTATAACTTCTGGCAAGTACCATTATGTCAACTTCAATGTTGGCAGGATCGAAGTCGATGCTAGTGCGATCTATCCAAAGTTCAAACCTCACGTGCACATTGTGATCTGGATATTGATTTCTACCACAATCGCGATGGCAAATACTCCTATCATGCCACTCAACAAGTTCAATTGCCGTATTTAGCCGGACAAAGTACTAATCATTTCTCCGTAGATCTCCGAGACCCAACCACAATTCCACTCAATTTCACCAAGTCTATCAACTTGGCTCTTTCGGAACGGGGAATTCACTCTATTCGACAGTCCTACCGCCAGGGTCTGACCGATGATATTCTACGTGATACCATCCCCATGTATGGGCGCATGATTCATGGTCGAGAGCGGGGGACTTTATGGAAGGCCGCTCAGGCCTACGATATCCATGGCCGGGTAGATGCACCCACCGCGTATATCCACGCAATATTGCTAATCTGATTTATGCAAAATATATAGGCTATTAATGCCGTTGATAGAAGCTCTCTCAACAACGCTCTTCTCGATGAGTTAGAGCGTAGCCCCAACGTGAAGCTATTCTTCAACCACAAACTGACAGGTGCAGACTTCAACACCAACAAGGCTTGGTTTGAACGCCGTATTCCCGGAGAAACTCCTCAGTGTGATGATCTCGGTGTGGCTGGACGAGTACCTGAGATTGAGGTGTCCTTCGACTATCTCATTGGTGCCGATGGCGCGCACTCTGCTAGCCGGTTCCATATGATGAAGTTCGCACGTGTCGACTACCAACAGGAGTATATCGATACAGTGTGGTGCGAGTTTCGCATTCCGCCCACTGAGAATGGTGACTTCTCAATATCGCCAAATCATTTGCATATCTGGCCAGGCCGCGAGTTCATGTTCATCGCGCTTCCGTCGGCAGATAAGTCGTTCACTTGCACATTGTTCGCACCGGAATCACACTTGGCCCCCTTAGAAAACGCACCAAAGGCTCTTCATGAATTCTTTGACCTGCATTTCCCAGGTATATGCCCCGAGCTTATTGAACCAGAAGCGCTGAGCGAGCAGTTCACGTTGAATCCTCATCTCCCTTTAATCAGTCTCAAATGCAAGCCGCATCATTTCAGCGCTAGCGTCGCCATTATAGGTGATGCAGCCCACGCTGTACTCCCGTTCTATGGCCAGGGACTGAACGCCGGATTGGAAGATGTTCGTGTTCTGTTCGAGCTCCTGGATAACTTTGGTGTCTATGACAGCAATATTAGCGTTTACACCCGCAGTGTGCGACGTGGCGCTGCATTCCAGGAGTACACCAAGCAGCGCTGTGACGACACACATGCGATCAACGACCTGTCCAAGCAGAACTATCTGGAGATGAGGTGGGGTGTCAAGTCACCGCTATACAAGCTGCGGAAAATAATTGAGGAAACCATCGACCAACGATTTCCGTTCCTGGGCTGGAAGACCCAATATGCCCGCGTCAGTTTCAGTAACCAGCCGTACGCAGAGATTGTCCGAGCTGTACAGCATCAAAGCCAGACGTTAGGAATTTGTCTTGTCACAACGCTGGTCACTACTGCCGGCGCCTTCTCAGTACTCATGTGGAAATATCCACGGTACTTTTCGCCTATGGGCCTTATTCGATCCTCCATACATCAGCTGGCAGGATTCTTGGCGCGTGCTACAAGAAAGAACTGATTTGTTCATGCACATTTCAGCGTGAAAAAGGCGATTACTCTTTCGTTTTGTTCGAGAAATGTTGCCATACTTGTAATTATAAAGTGAAAATTGACTGTACATTGAATTATAGCGAGAAATCCTTTTAATTCGAAATATGAACACTATACGTGATAAGACCCCTAGACTGGGTGACTGAAAGGATCTTGGAATCAAGCGTTCAGATTATCCAGGGGAGACTCATTCTCCACAGTTTTCCACACCTCCGCAACCTGCTCCGCGAGCTTTACATCAAGAGGCCCCTTATCAAGGCCATCAAAAGTTTGATTGAGCTGCTCTATAGTGCGCGAGCCAACAACCACACCATCACCAAGCTCGCCGCTGAGAGCGGAGTTGTGAGCGACCCATCGATATGCCAATTCAGCCTTGGGAATACCTGATTCTTTCGAAATCTTCTCCCACAATTTCAGACCTTCCAACAGGGCCGGCTTGTTGTAAAGCCTGTGGTACACTCCACCAATTTTTGAAGTCTTCTCCCACCGACCACCAACTACTTCAAAGTTCTCGACGTCTTTGGTCAGAAACCCCCCTGCAATTGGCGAGTAAGCGTAAAATGCAATTTTGTGCTTCCGCAGGGTAGGCAATATCTCTTTCTCTGCTCGACGAGCAACAGCAGAGTAATTGCCTTGATAGATGCTTGGGAGGACATAGCCTTTCTCGCGACAGATACGAACTACTTCTTCCACCTCTTCAGCTAGATAGTTTGAGAGGCCAAATCGTTTGAATTTTCCATCCTGATAAGCGGAGTTGACGGCCTCTAGAAGGGTTTCTAGTGAAATTCGACGATCTGGACCATGAATATAATACACATCAATCTATGACTCAATAAGTAAAGGTCCCGCCTGATAGATTGGAGGTAGTGCGAGATTTACCTGATCTGTTTTGAGCTGCTTCAAACTCTGATCCACAGTAGCCAGAACAGATTCTTTAGTAGACGGGACAGGGGAGAAACCACCGGGGTACTTTGTATCAATGGCGAAACGGGATTTAGCATCAACGTTTCCAAGTAGCTCCTCTGACTTGCCATAGATTGTGGCAGTATCAATTGTTTTGATTCCTCTGCTAGCTGCCAGGTTCAAAACCTCATTGATATAATCGAGAGAGGGGAATAAAGCCTCGCTTTCGATGAGGCCGCCCCCGAAGATAAACTTGACTGTGGCTGGCATAATAAGTATATTGCAATAGAGATAGGAATAGTTCAGTGAAGTGTGTTGCTTGTTTTTTAATGACTTCCAAGATTGAGATCCCAGGAGCCTCTCTTTATACCATCATGATATATAATTTTGGGGATCTGTTCTTCGATCCCCTCATCCTCCTGTGACATGATCTTTGGTATAGATCGATTACAAATTTACATCCTCCGAAAGACCGAAAATTGAGTGCTTACCAAGCTATCCGAGCTCTATTTAACTAGGGCTAGTTAATTACTTCGATAATCCGTTGCTTACGGACGATCGACGGACAAACAATGCCAAAAGGGCCGAACTAGTTGATTTTTCGTAACTATACATAAGTACATAAACTTAGTAATATGATAATACGATGGGTTGTTGTTGATTGACTGACTGCCCAGTGTTAACAATAATGTTAAATATCTTAATCTAAGTAAAAAGGGAGGTAAACATGCATATGCTTAGGCATTAGTAGTTGGACTAAGGGTTATCTACAGATTGAGTAGGCAAGTAAACAAGACAAGACTGCACTTGCATGACCATTGAAAGATGAAGGGCCAAAATACCCAGGTACTGGCTCCAGGAAGGTTGGTAAAGATTAACCGACTAATCCCAATACTTGATAAGGCCATCCAGTCCACCAGTAACTACCTTGCTCGTCTCTTGCGGATGCCAGTCCAAGCAAGTAACTGCACTACCATCCTTACCAGCTTGCATTTTATGATACATTTTGCCAGTCTTCCAATCCCAGAAGCAAACATAGCCGCCGCTATCACCCGAGACAATAAACTGGCCATCGGGTGAAAATTGAAGATCGATAGCGTAGCCAGCATTATTATGACCGCGGAAGCATTTCTTTCGATTCTGTCGGAATTTGTCTGTGGCTCCGTAGACCAAGATCTGATTATCGGCTGATTGGAATGCAACGTACTTTCCATTGGGGTGGGGAGCGGCGCGATTCAATGCGAACATGTAGGGTTCGGCAATGAACTTAATCGGAACGGGAATACCATATTCCCATGCGCGCAGGGACTTGTCATCGGATGTAGAGATGAAGCGGCGATTGTTGTCCACGAAGGTAAGAGTGTTGACAGCTGCTAGATGGTGGTCGTATTCTTGGATCAGCTTGCCGGAGCGGGTATCGAATTGCACAATTTTCTTGTTGGACATGCCTGCCAAAAACTCGTGCGAGTGCTCTGGGTTTGGGTTAAAGCGCACTACGTGCGCTGTCTTGCCTGTTGTGAACCGACCCAGACATTTGCCATACTCTGTGTCCCACAGCTTGATGTTTCGATCGAATGAAGCAGTAAGGAATGTCTTCCCTGTCGGGTCGAAGTCTGTGGCTGTGATTCCCTTGTTGTGTCCGGAGAAAGTGCGCAGAAGCTCACGCTGATGGTAGACATCCCAGATCTTGGCTTTTCCATCGGCAGCAGATGAGAGCAACAAGTGACCCGAGGTAGGGAAAAAGCGCAAAGATGTGATGACCGAGGCTTCCGACTTCCATGTATGCACCAGTTTCTTGGGCACGTAGTTCTTGATACTGCCAACCTCCTTGTGCAAATCGATATCCAAGTCCCGAGGAACATGCATATAAGTACGACCAAGGTAGTCGTGCTCCTCGGAGCCATGGAACTCGGTATGTTCGACCTTTGACAAATCGCCCTGGTAGATACCAGCGGGTCCTTCCGCAGCGGGCGCGGTAGCAAGGGTCTCATCCTCTTCGACATATTCCTCATCACTGGCCAGAGGGCGATCCGCGTCCCCTTCATACTCTTCGTATTCATCTTCCTTCTCCCATTTTGCCCACGGACCAAGGTACGCGCCCTCGCCTTCGAGAATATTCGCCTTTCCCCTTGCTTCCCGCTTGCGCTTCACTCCCCCTTTGTGCTTGTATTGTACAACATTGAGGCCTCCATATTTCTCAACGTTTTCCATGTCGCCAACAAATTCAGTCGGCCTGGTCGGGTTGCGGGCGTATCCCAAATTCTGAAATGTTTGATGTTGCGTCCTGAAGGTCGACTCGCTCATAGCTATTTCTTGAGCAAAACCTGTCGGAAGGTTCTTGCGCGCAATGCCGTTTCCAGGACCGGCTCCTTTGAAAGGGTTTATTGGGCCTTGCACCGGCCGTGTCAAATCATCGTAGGTGGCGTTGAAGGTGAGCTCGGTGGATGATGCGTTGGCTAGGGTCAACGCCAAATTTTCTTGATCCTAAAGGGTAGTTAGTTTTACCCGATCAGAGAACTGTGTATTTGGTGCCATTGGATTGATTGCAATAGCGAGTGCTGGGGTGTAGGGGACCAAACCTCTGTATTAACTTCTGGCGCCGCAATCACCTGGGTAGCAGTGGTATCGGGGGCTTTGACCAAGATAGAATCATCGTCGCTTGAATCATAGTGAGCGCCTAGTAAAGACGCCATATTGTCTATGGTGGAGCACGAGAAGGAGGGAGTGAGTAGATGAAGAAATGAGAGTATGTAGGCGGTGAAACTTTGCCGTTGCGCGTAGCCCACCGCCATTGATGTAAGACAAATTAACTGCTTAATAATTAAAGTGGCCATTTATTTATTTAGATAGACTCTAGAGCCTGTAAGATATAAAAACCTTAGAAGTAAGAGAAACATCACAAAGACACCTTAGATACTCCAAGCAAATCTTAGCTTGCTCCATAATTACTTCTGTCTACTCCGTACATTAGAGACAAGACTGGGTATCATACGCGATGCATTTCCAAACCGCTTAGGAGTATATACAACTTACAAGCCGAGATAGCATGGTTCACGAAGGATAGAAAAAAAAAATAAGGAAGTATAAAACCAGAGAAAGACGTCAGAAGAGGATGTCTTCGAACCATTCCATGCTATCACCCATCACTCGCCACATCGGAAAATAGCCAGCAGATAATCTCTATTAATCGTCACTGCACCCGGAATTAAACCCTCTATATCAAGATAGAGAAAAAATGTAGCGCACAAACATCAGACATTAGATTCATCCTGACCAGACAGCCTAAGCAGCGAGTAACTGCCAGATAACCGTGGGAGGGAGACTGGCTGGAGAGCGTATTCGTAACGTGTCAAACAATAATTAGGCCAAAATCACAGGCACTAGTAAGATGATATAGAAGCAACTACGCCGTTGAGAGTACGTTGCCGATGTCATGCTAGTTGCGAGGTCCATGGCGCATGGCATGATTGGTCTCTGAAATAAATCAGTGGCCCTCGTCGCGGATCAGAGCGACGATCATGCTGTAGAGGTAGAAGAAGAACATCAAGAGGTGGAATCCTAGCTTGATGAACGATTCCTATAGATACGCGCACACAAGTTAGCTTCGATTATCGGTCATGGGCGAGGCAAGACAGCTACTGACCTTCTTGTGCACATTCAGCTTGCGGAAGATCTCTGTCGCATCCAGCAGGTGCTGGTTGTCATAGATCCTACACGAAAAAAAAAAAATTAGTTATTGTGCGGCCGGGGGGGGGGACTTCAAGCCGGGAGGGTACTTACTTCTTCGCATTGTAGGCTAGAAGGGGCAAGTTCAGGACGATGGCGACCCAGTAGCCATTGATGATGAAGAGGATAGTCAGGAAGCCGTGGACGGCAGCCTCAGGGATTATGTAGGCGTTGAGGCGGTTGCACAGATCGATGGGATTGATGTAGTCACTACGCGAAAAGGGGAAGCGCAAGTTAATCGTGTCCAGCCAGACCGAGGATTATTCAATCGAAGGCTGATTGAATTGAAGACAGAAGACTTACCATTCCAAGTCGCTATACATGATCGTGAAGAAGACCTGCAAGAAGAGGTTGACGGCGTTGATCAACACCGACAACAGGTAAAGCCACGCTTCGCCAGACATCATGGGCACGGTATTGATTCCTCAGAAGGAATGGCTCAAATTTCAATTACTAAACAGCACCTTTTTATTAGCTAATGACCACTTCGACAAGTAGAAAGAGGATGGAGGTAAGTCGGGGGTTCCAAGCCGGAGGCCGGAATTGGAGATAGTTTTGTGGGGTTCTCGGCCCAAGGAAGAGCGCAGAGAATTGAGGCAGAGATCGGGGCCACACTCACAAATCGGGACCTGCGTGAATTTAGAGCGGCAGGTGGAGATAATTGAAGTACGAAATCTGCAGAGCCTTGGAAGTGAGGAGGTGGTTAGCGAGCTCCGGGCGGTGGGCAGCAACTGCGGGTATTAGTGCGCTAATACCAAACCGAGGAGCTGGAGACTGTAGTAGATATACTTTCCAATGTTGTACCAGACACTGAGGGTAAGTTTGTTATATCAAATGGCCCAGGTGTAAGTGAAGATATAAGCGCGTACAGGGCTTGGAAAATCATGTCGAGGTTACATTTTGGATGACCAACCGTATGACGTCGAACACGTGTCTCCACATTACCAAGTCTATCAGTGTATTCTTATTTTCTATATGATTTGGAAAATTCATGGTCATAGGGCACGATATACATACATCTACTCAGTTCAGTCCGAGTCAAGACCAGCCTAAATAAATACACTTTAATCTTTGATACAAGCGAGTTCGTCTTCACTTCAATACACAACATCAACTGTAAAGCCAACGAAATATAATACCCTAAAAAAAAAGCCGAAAGTGAATGATAAATTATCACAGTGATCGAAGGCAGGTATTGCCGACCGAAATAGAAGCTAGCGCTTCTCAATAAGCAAGAAATGCATCGCTGCATACGCAATAATAAGACAGGCCCCTGCAATAACAGCGAGGCCAACAACGTCGTTCCAATAGGCAAGTGTATTGAATCCAAATGCACTGAGAATTGATGCGCCGGGAACTTCAATGTCCAGGCCGTACTTGTGGTCAATCAAGGTGAGGAAAGTGACCTCGTTAACGATGAGAGCTTCAAAGGCATAGTGGAAGATAGAAAGCTAAGAGGGTTTTTAGTAAGGTGATTTCATGAGGGGGTAAACGAGTAGACCTACACTTTGTAGCCACAATGCAGATGCTGGAATTGCTTCACGGTTTAGCAGAAGACCAGCGAAGAGAAGGCTGAACAGCATCACTAGACTGCCAATCAAGTTGGCAACCCCACCATCGCGGAATATGATGCCAACCAACAGCGAGATAGTGGCAGCTGCAAGATTAAACAGTACCAAAACCAGCAGGAATCGTAGGAACTCAGGCCATGCGGGGATAAGTCCAGTCATAGGGTAAACAATGATACCCATAATCATGGGTGGGAAGAGTCGCAGTGGCACAATATCGAAGACGACCTTGGCAGCAAAGTATGTAAAGGGGTGGTAGTAGCCATTAGCACGCTCGCGGACAAATAGCAGTCTTTCAGTCGAGAAGGTTGTGAGACTAGTGAGAGTGCTGAACCCAAACAGGGCAAGAACAAAGAAGAAGAGACCAAGGCGGTTTTGGAAACCCTTGATGTCATCAGTCAGTCCATAGAAAAGATATCCAGAAAGCACAGCTAGCAGAATGGAGATTGCATAGTGGGTAAGCATCAGCATAGGGTTACGGTATAGGTTACGCCATGTGCGTTGCGACAGAATGACAAATTGCCTAGCCAGACCGATCCGGGCATAGCTCTTCGACTGCGCTCCAGTCAGACCAGACACGATGTTCGAGTTTGACGAACCATTTGCAGCCTGGGCAGACTCAACGGCCGCCAAAATCTCCTCATGAACTGAATGGCATACGTCAGAATCAGCATAGCTAGCCACCAAAATATCAAGATCGGTCACAGAGTTCGCTGGAGGTGGAATCTGGTCTGGATCAAGAAGAATTTGTGGGGGAGCATTGCTTTGTTGGCGAGAAAGACGTAGCCATTGGTTATTAGTGTCAGTCACATCGGGTACAGAATCCTCTTCATCAGTCTTGGACGCGATAGACTTTGATGCAATAGACTTTGATGTGATAGAGCGAGCCGATTCCTTGCGTCGTGAATAAAGTTGGTTATCCTGCTGCTGCTTCAGAGAAATACGCCGTTTGTTCGGTGGTTTCAAGTTGGTCTCCGTAGTGCCACTAGCGTTGTCTTCGATGCTCACGCTTACGTTAGATGCACTGGCGACAGATTTGATACCCCTCAAACTGCTCGTAGCAGTCTTTGGCGGACGACCGTCGATGGAGCCATCCACATCATCTCTGTATGAATGAACCCCAGCGTGCATGGTAAGATCAACTAGGTAATCCGCGATGTTGAATCCAGGTGGGCACGAGTACCCAATTTGGTCAAAGTAACGCTGACACGAAGAGAAAGGTCCAGAGTAGACAGTTCGTCCGCTTGCAAGAAGGATCAATCGATCGAAAAGAGCCACAATGTTCGAGCGTGGTTGATGGATGGTGAAAATGACCGTGCGATTATAGGTTTTGGCCAAAGTGACCAAGCATTCAACTACGTTAAAAGCGTTAAACGCATCCTAAAGGTAGATTTGTTAGTCGGTAAGTCTGAGTAAGTACTATGATGAAGACACATACCAATCCACTAGTCGGTTCATCCAGAAACAGAATGCTGGGGCTGGTGACCAGCTCACAAGCAATACCGACTCGGCGTTTCTCACCACCAGAAATTCCACGGCCTCCACTTTCCTCTGACCCGATAAGTTGGTCTCCGATGTGGTGAATGCCTAATTGTTTCTCAACTTCTATGACTCTCTGCTCTTTGAGGGCTCGACTCATATCCCGTGGCAGTCTCAGCAGGGCACTGGTCAAGATGGTCTCATGCACAGTTAACGTCGGAAGCATTGTGTCCTCTTGGTCCACAAATCCGATTAAGTTCTTGAAATCCTGGTCTCCAATCTGCTCGCCGTTGACATAGAAGTCACCCTGCACCGTACCCCGTTTATTCTTGCGAGCTAGTATATCCAGAAAAGTCGTCTTTCCCGCACCGGAAGCTCCCATAATTGCAGTGATTTGACCAGGGTGAGATGCTCCCTGGATATTAGAAAGAATTTCTCGATGATTCAGATAATACGAAACGTTTTCCCAGGACAAGCTGGCTGGTCTGTATTCTGCCTGAAGTCTCGCCGATTCGTCGTCAGAGTCATCTGACAGAGAAAGGTTGATGTAGCCACGGCTGGCAGCCCGGCGAGTCAAGTACCAGACGATTAAGATGACAGCAACGACGAAAAGAGCAGAGCCTGCAATCACACCCGCAATCAATGGTGTGTTGATTCGCTTGATAGGGCGTTCGTAACCTGGCATATCGGTCTTGTACAGACACTCTCCTGCATCACATTTCAGAAAGATGCTCGGGTCACCAAAGACACTACTGATCAAGTAGTTCATCTGGGGCTCTGAGAAAACACTTGTGCTGCCTTTCGAGTCTGATTTGGTGGAGAAGGTAGCTGGACCCTTGATCATCTGGTCAAGGAAGTCCCCAAGATCAATGGAGCCATTCTCACCACAAAGAAAGCGACCTGGAATACAGCTGCAGCGGAGATCTTGGCACTTGTAGCTGGTAGAGTTGACGTCATAATCATTCTGCATGTCCCATTTACAATTATCCAATTCGCAGAAGAAGGACTCCTTCTGCGCGACCCAGAATTGGAAATTGCAGGTATGATTGTTGGCCTCGCAGGAAAATGTCACCTGTGGCTTCCGTCCATCCAGTTGATCAATGATTTTTCGGTTGGTCACGTCACACATTTGGAAGTTCTCCTTGATCGTAACACCTTCCTTGTAGCATGCGCCATCTTTACCCTCAGGCATCATCGCATCACAAGCGTTATCATTTTGGCAGACATTGCAGTTGATACCTCCCCAGCCATCCTTGCAATCACAGGACTGGCCTTTCCGCTGGGGGCGATTCTGGCCGTCAGCGAGTGAGCCGCAGACAGGCAGAGAGCAGTCATCTCCACCAAAACCAGGTGGACAAATGCATTTGCCATTGTATTGATTGCAGGCTGCGTAGTGGGTGCAGTTGGAGGCGTCTAGCAGACAGTTGAAGCATGGAGGACATTCGGCGGGTCGATCATCGAAGAGGGAATAAGGTTGGTAAACAAGATTTGGATCAGAAACATCACTCCATGCTACTGTCAGGATCGCTTGGGAGACCAGAGCGATCACTGGAAGAAATGCAGTTGGTCGCATCTTCCGAGGTTGTTGATAGACAGCAGGTACATAGAGGTTGGAGACGGAGGTTGGGGTGTTTGGCGGAGTGCTCAAGTGGATCAATCTTATTGGCTAACCTTGGATCCATGTGTCAATATGCATATGCAGTGACACAAAGTACAAGGTCTTCATTCTTCCTAAACCCATTCACGGATCTTTGAGATTTCAGGTCTTTTGCATTTTTGCCTCTAGTGCTCTTTTCATAACCTTGGAAATGGATTGAAGGTGGCTATAATAGATCGTAGTAAGTAAAACAATTACCCACATACTCCAAAACTGCAAGATGTCAGAGTTCCTTCTCGGTGTCTCGAAATTGGAGCTTTTTCATGTCTAATTTGATTTGATTAGATACAGCTAGCCCTGTAAGGAGTCAGATACTACATATCTACCTAGGTAAGTGAATAAATATGGAGTAACAATAAATACGGTAAACTGACGTCATAGTCGATAGTGGATATCTATCCCAAATAGGCTTAGCTTAAACCTTCCACAACAATATAAACATTAAATTGTTATTCTGACCTCGGGAATAGATAATTGAAATGTCTGGTAGTGCATGAGATAGCGATAATTCTATTCAAGGGTATCTCAAGAGGGGTTTAAACATAGAAGAAAATAATGTTCAAACAGACAAGAGAGAAGAACAACAGAACAACTTCCAAGTTCACTTAAAGTCGAACTTGGCCCCCATTCAAGCGATCCCAGTGTTTCTGTTCGAAGGGAGTGTATGTATTGTCCTGTAGCCAGTACAGGCGATCATTCTTTGAAACTTGCGTAATATCCACCCCTTCTGTACGGAGAACACTTTTCTGCTGCTTATTATTACCAGTGGACTGCATCTGTGGCATCACACGCAGGAACAGCGGAGCTGCAAAGCGCGGAAGGTTCTTGGAGATGTGGGCAGCCAAACTGTCGAGCATTTGGCGAGATGGCTCCAGTGCCGGATCGGATGTGTTGCCGCTCGCGATTTGCTGGTTGAGTACAAGAGCAGCACACCCAGCACGACCATCGTGGTGGGGGAGAGCTACACCATAGACGTTGCATTCATGTACATCGGGATGGGTGCCTACAATCTCAGCCACTTCACTGGTGGAGACATTCTCGCTCTTCCACCGGAATGTATCACCCAGTCTGTCGGAGAAGAACCAGCGTCCCTCCAAGTCCCATCGAACCATATCTCCAGTGCGGAAATACGCGTCACCCTTCTTCAAAACGTTGCGAATAATCTTGCTATCGGTAGCCTTGGAGTTCTCGAAATATCCCTGGAATTCGGCTCTGGTGTCATTCGCGTCAATGACAAATAAAAGCTCGCCAGGCTCGCCTCGGGGTACGTTCTTGCAGAAACCAGTCTTTGGGTCGCGCCATGGCTCCTGTGTCTCATACTCAACGTACACGATTGCAGTTCGATGCGCGAATACTTTATTTCCAATAAATCCGTTACGGCCAATGGCGCCGGCGGTAAAATCATTGCGTGACTTGTTCCATGAACCAAAATTCGCCTCGGTGGCAGTGTAAAATTCAGCAATAGTTTCGATATTGAAGCGGTCTTTAACGCGATTCCAAATATCGGGCCGAAGACCATTTCCAATTGCCAATCGAATGTTGTGCTTCTTGTCCAAGTCCTCGCCCGTAACCGCATCGATCTCCGGCGGTACACCTAGGATGTAACGAAGTGTCTCGCCCACATATTGGATCACTGTTGCATTGTTTTCACGGGCCTCTTTCATGAAGTTTCGAGCGGAAAACTTCCGACCGATGATTATAGTAGCGCCGAAACTTAAACTTGGCATGAATCCAAGCAAAAAAGCAGAAGAGTGGTAAAGGGGCATGCACTATAAATCGTTAGTATTTGACCGTGGACATCGCAGAGTCACTATGATCTTACTGTGAAGAAGCGGTCTGATGAACTGAGATCAATCCAATCGCCGAAGTATACAGCTCCAGTCCAGCATTTCTTCCAGCTTACAATGGCCGGTTTCGGAAGGCCAGTGGTTCCACTAGTATAAATCAACAAGGCCATATCGCGTGGCACCAAGCCACCTCGCACCTTGTCATCATCCCTTGCCGGCTCTGTCGCCAGAACCTGTGCCTCCACCTCAGAAGTAGCGATAATCACATTCACTCCACCCTTCCCATCGCGGAAACTAGGAGAGCAGAGGATTTCTAGTTGCTCTGGTGGGAAGGAGCTTTTCAACTCTTCATCCACAATAAGCAGCTTTGCACTCGATGTACGAATGGAGTGTGTCAGAGGTTTGCCGGTTAAATTGTAGTTGATAAATGCCGGGACTGCTCCAATGCTCCATAGACCAAGAGTCATGAGGAGGAATGTATCGGAGTTCATAAAGTCCAATGCCACAATATCCTTTTGCTGAACACCGTGAGTATTTTTGAACCACGTTCCGTATCGTAGGGCCATTATGTACGCCGCATGGAAGGTCCATGATCTGCCATTATATACAAGAAACGCTTTACCAGCAGTCTTGGGAGAAAGGGCGTGATCCTCGAGGGTGTAAAAGAGATTCATGCGATCGCGACGCTGGGCGAACTTTATTTTCACATTCATTTTGATGGCTGAGCCTACAAGGCCCATGTCATAGTAGAGGGCGCATTTTGCGTTAAGGTAGGCCAAGGCTGTTGCAGCGGCGGGAAGAGCAATGCTCAAGGGAACATCTGTGATAAATCGAGTGATTAACAGGTTAATTTACCTGAAGGAGCCGGGATACATACCAGCTAATGCGGCGGTAAGCGACATAATCAAAGACTATTGGCCAGTATGTTGCAGGACCTTAGAAGTGGCGTCTTAGAGTTAAGAATTATGTCGGTATTATAAGATTTCCCTTGCAGTAGATTGAAAAAGCAAAAATCATGCAATGAGAAAACAACCTTGGAATTCGAAAGATGAGGGATTGATTACACCATGTCCAAAAGTACCGAGGTACGGGTACGTTGGGAAGGTTGGCTCCACGCCCGGCTGAACCGGCTCACGCCAAATATTGGCACTAGCCGCATTCGGATACTTGCCGATCACTTCTACTGTGTAGATCACTTTTATATTCATTTCTACCTCATTTGTGCTAATGTCTGAGCAAGCTCAGCTTGGGTGTGCATTTCTTTATGTTTATGCTCTATAGAGTGTCTCATTGCACGGGTACTAAGACCATGTAACATCTCTAGCGTAATGAGACTTCTTTTTATGTGCCAGAATTCCAAATTAGACACTGGAGGTTACAGGGGGTGATTAACTGTTGAAAAGGATATGACTGAATCGTATGATTCAGGGGTTCTCGTGATAGCTGTGGAAAATGAAGTAATCACAGTTGTGTATACTCCGTGTCCATAAACTCTCGCAAGGCATCCAATCCCTTGGTTAGCACTTCAGTCTCACTAACATACCCAAATCTAACATATCCTGCAAATTCCTCTCCGAAGCATCTACTTCCCGGAACAAGCATCACACCAGTCTTCTCAAGAAGCCTCTCACAAAAGGCAACATCATCCACTGGCTTCCCCATTTTTGAGAAGCGCACGAATGCAGTTGTTCCAGCACGAGGCTTGACCCATTCACATGCCCATCGATGTGACTCAATGAACTTCTCAAGAATAGCCAGATTTGTTCGAGCCAGTTCCAAATTCCGCTTAAGGAGATTATGTATGCATTCTGGTGCAAGGGCAAACCTCGCAATGGCATCATCAATCTGGCCAACTGAGATAGTAGTGTAGTCTCGAGAACTAGCACAGGTCTCAATTATCGAACTATCTCGTGAGGCTATCCAGCCTACTCGAAGACCCGCAAGGCTGTAGGCTTTGGAAATGGATCCTGTGACTATGGTATGTTCATAGCCAAGTGACAAAAGCGATGGAGGAAACTGCGAGTCCATGGGACTGATATTGTGAAAGAGTGGCCGATATACTTCATCAGCGAAGAGAATGATAGAGGACTCGCGGGCGATATAGACCAAATTCTGGAGAACTTCCCGCGGTATGATGGCACCAGTGGGGTTTTGTGGGTTACTACCGTATTGTTAGAGATGGTTCAAGGATCGTTACAGCTTGGGCCATACTTGATGATAATCAATTTGGTGTTGGGACGTATCAGACCCTTCAACTCTTCCAAATCTAACTGCCAGCCATTGGCTGCTTTCGACTTCCAAAAACTAACATCAGCACCTAGTGATGCTGGTATAGAGTATAGTTGCTGGTATGTCGGATAATGGCAGACAACATGATCACCTGGTCCAATCAGGGAGTACAGGGCTAGGAAGTTGGCCTGGATTGCGCCAGCAGTAATCAGAATATTGCTTGCTGGCAATGGCGTTGGTGTTTTCACGGAGTATAGATCAGCCAAGATCCCTCGAATACGTTTAGAGCCACGGATTGCCCCATATGTGAGCTTTGTAGATTGTAGTTGGCTTAATGGGTTGGTATCTTTGTCCTCTGATAGCGCTTGGAGGTCGTCAACGGAGATAGATGCACAGCAGGTCTCGGCTATGTTGTACTTGGCTGTATTCTCGTACTCATCCATCCACTAAAAAACAAGAATGTCAGCTTCCATCACAAAACATGACTAAAAGTTTAGGGTAACTCAGGCACACCTGTTCTACTGCAAATGCTTCAATCTTTACCATATCGCTGGATTTTTGAATTTGGGCGTGAGTGGGAGCTGATTATTCAAATACAATAGACTTGAGAGGTTCACAAACGTAGCTTATTCGTGATCAGACTGCTGCACTTTACTCATCCTCTATTAATGCGGAGTCTTGACATGTGCGGAGTATTAGTCATGCGTGTCCTATTGCGTCACGTGCTTCCCCGCATTCAAGCCAATAAGGGAGGTAAATAATATAGTAAATATTAATTTTAGTTCGTAACCGATAATTCATCAGATTATATATTCAATATCTAGATAATGCAAGTTTTTATCTATCAGACAGCCTTTTTAAATTACTGCTTACCTCCTGACTATTGCATACTGTGACATTATTATTTATTTGATTCGTTTTTACTTGGATGTGTACATTGTACTTTTATTTTTCGTCGTTTCGGAGTTGGATAACCCCGAAAGTGACGTAGACAGTACAACCCCTCACAGTACCTGATCTCCTGAGGTCGATCAACTGATTTCATTCTACAAAAGACATGATACATCCCACAAAACATACACCGAGCTTTTAACGATATTTCAAGACACGCAAACATGTCTATGACCGTTGAAGATTGTGTTCGTGCCCGCGAGGGATTTCCTCGTCCTGTCCCTGATATCCCATCCAACGCCGTAGACCAATTCAAGCTGAATGGGAAGGTAGTGGTTGTGACTGGAGCTGCAGATGGAATTGGCTTAGCAGTGTGCGAGGCTATGGCTGAAGCTGGAGCTGATGTTGCCTTTTGGTATCACTCGTGAGTAGTATACAGTGAATTGCCCAAAAGCAAAGTGAGCTCACGTTGTAATCTTGTAGGAATGACGCTGCAATCCTCAAAGCTAAGGACCTGGCTGCTTTGCATAATGTTAAAACATCTACCTACAAGGTTGATGGTGAGTTGTCTCCTAAAGACTTCTAGAATAATACGAAGTGCTTATGATTTAATGTTGGGAGCAGTTTCGGATCCTGCTCAGGTTCAATTTGCCATAGCCAAAGTTGTGCATGAGTTTGGTGCGATTGATGTCTTTATTGCTAATGCGGGTGATTATTTATCTCATTCTAAGGTCACTTCTCCTTCAGTATACTAATTAATCTATCAAAAGGAATGTCTATATCGAAACCTATATTGGAACAAACTCTCGAGGAGTACCGTACGCAGATGTCCGTGAATGTCGATGGCATTGTCCATTGCTCCAAATATGTTGGCAGCCTATTCAAAGATCAGGGATACGGCAACCTCATCATTACATCAAGTATGAGTGCACACATTGTCAATGTACCAGTTGATCAGCCTGTGTACAACGCAACCAAAGCATTTGTCACTCATTTCGGTAAATCACTTGCACGAGAATGGCGTGAATTTGCACGCGTAAATATTGTCTCTCCTGGATTCTTCGATACCAAGATGGGGGCCGGTCCCTCGGCTGTTAATGAGGCCTATCGTATGGCGGCTCTAGGACGACAGGGTCACACGAGGGAGATCAAGGGATTATACCTTTACCTCGCTAGCGATGCCTCGACATACATGACAGGTAGTGATCTGTTGATTGATGGAGGATATGTTCTCCCTTAAGATCAGGTAGAAGGAAGGTTGAGCTACTTCCGTAGATTGTGGTGTATCTTTGGGCAAGCTTGCCTGGGTACTTAGGTACTGAAGATATCCCGAAGTCTGTAGTAAGTGGTACCTAGGTAGTAGTGTGCAGGTACTCAGGTGGGCTACAGACCACCAGGGCATGAGACTGGCGCTTTTGTCAATGATTAACCCTACATAGGTAACTCGAAGGCTGTTAGCGATTGAATGGTCCAAATACATATATTTACCGTACAAAAATGAAATTTGAATGTACTCGTATCCCAAGCTCAATTGAGACTGATAGAAGTACATCACTGGTCTATATCAACAAAAAACCAGGAACATAAGAAATAAGTTGATATTTGAAGGTTGAGCCCGCATTGTTAAACCAAACAGTTCGAAGCGGGAGCTGACTTGCCACTTCAACTCCTCATCCCATTTTGCGCCAGCGAGATATCAACCCTTGCGAGCAGTGCAAATACTTTTAACATCAAATTATTGATCGACCTGAGCTAGATATCACAAGTCTTTGTCCATTATCAACTGTCATGTCTGACACTACGCATATTAATATTGACCCGAGTGCGGGGTCTGATTCAGCACCGAAAAAAAGAACTCGGGTCCAGCTTTCATGCACAACATGTCGAATTCGAAAGTAAGCTTCCTATGATTTTAATCAATATGCTATATACCTAAGAATCAAAACTAGACTGAAATGCTGTCGCTCGTATCCATGCACTAATTGTAAAAAGCGCGGCGAGGAGGCTTCATGCACTTTTGTTGGCCGCGGGCCTCGAGGCAAGAGCCAAACAGGGTGCTCTAGTTCTACAGTGGTGCAAGACCGCTTGAAGCACCTGGAGAATATGGTTATGTCTTTGGCAAAGATACAGATACCGAATGAGCAAATAACCGACTTCAATACTGGCCGACCAGAAAATGTCGCAGTCTATAATACTCCACCTTCCACCAGTAATCGCGAAACAAGATCATCAGCTCATGATACAGGTAAACTGGTCGTGAAGGATGAAGTCACTAGCTATATCGACAGTGCGAACTGGCGTGTTATCCTGGAAGAGGTTTGTTTTCATCCTTCGTGTCTGTCTACATGGAGCTGATTGACCCATGGCGTAGATCAATGGAGTAAAGGAATACCTAAATGAGCAGGAAGAAACTTACAGTAAGAATGGATTTGAGGGTGATCCATATGATAAATCATCACCCGTTTTACTGCTTGGAATGAGCAAGCCTGTGTCCAGGGAAGAACTGCTGTCGGACATTCCGCCGCGCTCAATCAGCGATCGACTCGTCTCTCGATTCCTTAAGACCACAGAGCCAGTATTGAGTGAGATTTCATTGAAGATCATATGAATTACTGCTAATCCAAACCCAGTTACCATACATGTGCCCACATTTCGCAAGGAATATGAACGCTTCTGGAGCAATCCTGACGATATGTCGCTGACCTGGATTGGATATCTGTACTCAATTATCAATCTAGCAGTCGTAGTGTACATTCGAAGTGAGGAACCTCTACCACTAGACATGCAAGACCCAATGAACACCTGGGATGTATTTCGGAAGCGAGCTTCTCAGTGTCTCGTGCAGGGCAATTACCTCTCACCGGGTAGACACAAATGCGAGGCCATGTTCTTATATTCCATGGTTGAATTCTATCGCAATCAAGATGCGCAGATAGGAGTTTCACATTTATTCGGCATGACTATCCGCCTAGCTATGCGTATGGGCTACCATCGCGATCCAAGCCACTATTCCAACCTGTCACCATGGGCCGGTGAAATGCGTCGACGCCTATGGGCTGTCCTTTGTCAGCTTGATGTCCTCATCTCGTTCCAAGTTGGACTTCCACGAACCATCCTTTCTTCTTACTGCGATGCTGAGCCGCCTTCTAATCTTCTGGACACGGACTTTGACGAAAGCTCTAATAAACTGCCATTTCCAAGGCCAATAGAAGAACGGACACCTTCTTCATATACAAAGGCTAAATCATATCTCATGGATGTCTTTGGAGAGATTGTTGACCTGGCATATACCCGAGAACCCGCATCCTACGATAAAATCAAGACCCTCGATCGTCGGCTGGATGAGGCGCGCAAACGACTTCCGCCATTCTTCAAGATACGGCCCATGGCGGAATCAATAGGGGATCCGTCATCTTTAATAATTTCTCGATACGCTCTTGAACTTCTCTATCAAAAAGCCCGTATAGTCCTGCATCGCAGGTACATGGCCGATACGCAGGACAAGTATTGCTACTCCAGAAACGTTTGTCTAAACGCGGCCAAGCAAACTTTGCAACATCATAGCGAGATTTGGATCGAGTCGTTAACCGGTGGTCAGTTGTATACCGATCGATTCCTGATCAATTCTCTCCAAAACACGGACTTCATGCTTTCGTCCATGGTGTTGTGTCTGGCATTGATACAGGATAATGAAGGTGGGAGTTCATCTCGCTTGGAAGTCCATGAACAAAAAGAACTTCTTGCATTGGTTGAGACAACCTATGGAATATTTGGGCAGAAAAAAGGCCGGTCTGTCGACGTACAGCGTGCGTATGTCGCTTTGGGCATAATGCTCAGTCGAGTGAAAGGTACCCAGATCGAAAGCCTCGAGCAACCAACTAATTCAGTTGATGGTATGTCGCACTGTTCCATATTTTGAACCAGAAGCACTAATCATGGGTTCAATTTCATAGTGGGCCTCCAACTGATGCCCACCACAATGGACCAGCAGCAGTACCCTTTCTCCTTCGCTGAAATGCAGGATATAATGCAATCGACAGAAACACCCTCCTATTCGTCACTGGGTGTAATTGAAGACATGCTCAATACTCCTGCTCAGATGGACTGGGTAAGATTTCTCTTCATAGCGTTGCCACTTCAAGACTAACCTTTGACTACAGAGCCTTTACGACAGCCGCATGTACGGAGTTGAAACTACAAATCGCGATAAATGGATCCCAGAATCTGCTGATCTATCTACTATGGACTTTGGGCTTTATCCTTCGGGGCCCTCCGAAATGTAGCTCAATCATTCAAGTGGATGAACGGTACATTTCCTTGCCTCTAGAAGAACTTGTATAAAGTTGTCGATAATTTTCACTCAATATATAACATGCTATCGACTATTCATACTCCAAACAATTATCGGGGTCTTCAAACTCATGGCTACAGTGCTTTGTCCAAAAAGTCTCAATCGCGAACCAGGTGAAGCTATCAGCGTTCTTGATGGCCTGATCCCGAGGAACCGTATACCTCACGTTATAGGGACCATAACCATTATCAAGATCATCTGCCTCAGTACTCAACGGCGGAACTGTTAAGTAATGCCAATGCATAAACTCATGCAAGATCACGGATCCTGTTGTTTCCATACTCTCGCTCAGTTGATTCCCAATAGTTTGGCAGGTCACGGCAGCGACGCCAGTGTAGCCTTTATCGATTCCACCCTTCTCGAATGCATACGGGAAGAGAACCATAATCGCGTTCATACTCTTATAGTTCAGAAGGACTCCTTCGTCTTCTCTTTCTTCTTCTGTTATATCCTCGTCGTCATCAGCGATGGTTAGGCGACGGAGTATAGCGGCGCCCTCATATTCCATCGACTCCCCACCTGTAATCTTTTCGAACACACCTAGAAACTGATTAGCTCTGATATGAGATTAAGAACGCATTATAAGACTCACCAACAATCTTAGACTTGTCGGCGATTGGGAAGTATTTCTTCAAGATATTGTCCACAGAGGCATCATCAGCGGTTAGAACAGTCTTCGCCATTGTGAGGGCATCGGTGAGTCCATCTTTGATCTGAGTCCTTTGTAAGCTGTCGTATCCTTTTATCTGGGGAGAAGTACGCTTCTCGATAGGTTGGATGTTTCTTGAGGGTAGAGAAGTGGCTAACACCAAGAATATGAAAAGGCCTTGTAGTAGAATTCCAAAGAGCATTTTTGGTCAAAAAGAGTGGACTTCTAGATAGTCTACAGGAAATCTTAGAGGCTTTATCCCTTTGCCAATTTTCTATTTATTGCCGACGGCACAAGTATCGAACTTGGGGCTGATATTGATATAGTACTTCTGCAGGCATGCTGACTTCTAAATAGGTTGCGATCTTCTGTCGATTGCGTGACTTGAACATCCAAATACTTACCTAGGTATCCATTGTCGGATATAACGAATCTTTTCGCCCCCGGGGAGCAGTATGAATTGGAACTAGGGAGTACCTTTGATGAACAGGAGTTTCAGCCGTGCAAAACTCATAAGCACTAGCTCGTATCGCGATACTTCATTCTGACCTAAATTCTCACACCCCAAGTATCCAGTATAGGCATCTAGATATCTTCTACGCTTTGGTAATTGTCTAGTGAGCCAATTCGGTACCCGGTAAGTATCAGTAGGCTCTGGAATAGGGACTGACCTGGTCTAATAGAATCGTATAAATTATAGAGGCAGAAGCTTATAGAATGAACCGTAATGTGTTACCTAGACAGTATTGATATTACTTAGCCGCGGCTGCAAGTGCCGATCCGCGGAACGGCGATTTTTCCAAGGTTGTTCCATAATCTAGACATCTTCATCGCAACTTTAACCACAATTCCCTCTGAAGCCTACCAATCCCCTCCATGCGTCTAGTCCGAACTCTGCGACTTTCAAGTCATACAAGCGCGTTCCCGCCAAAGCCCCAAATCCCACAGCGCGGACCAGTAACACCACGAACAATCAGCACAACACAACGGCACCCAGAACTACAATTAAAAGCAAAAGGAAACACATACACCACCCGCAGAGAATTCAATCTCTCATCCCTCGCATCTCTCCTCCCCAATGGCAACAACAACGGCAACAACTCTCTTAAGCGCGTCCTGACCGCAAACCGCACACTGCCCTACAAACCAGCCGTACTGTTCAAAGTAATCTCCTCTGTGGAATCATACTCGCAATTCCTCCCCTTCCTCACCGCATCAACTGTCACAGCCCGAGACCCTGAAACCGGTTATCCAACCCAAGCCTTCTTGACTATCGGCTACGGCCCGCTGAGCGAGACTTTCACGTCACGCGTAGACTGTGACCCAGCTACCGGGGTAGTCGAAGCACGCAGCGGCGCGAAGTATGCAGAATCGGCATCGGGTCAGGCTGCTGTAAGCAGTAAGTCTGGACTAAGTGGATTGTTCCCTGGCGCTAACGAGGGTATTTTTGAGTACCTCTCTACTCGGTGGGAGTTGGTGACCGTTTCTCCTGAGAATGCGTCTAGCGGACCGCAGACTATGGTGACTCTTGAGGTGAAATTCGAGTTCCGGAACCCGTTGCATGCTACTGTTATGAGTACAGTTGAGGGGCAGATGGCTGGGATCATGATTGAGGCGTTTGAGAAACGTATTCAGGAGATGCATGGTAAGGGTCTGTAGAGTATACAAAGTATCCCACTTAATGTATAAAGAGCTATATAATGCTCCAGGGTTGTTTTGTATCTTACAAGGTTCCTTTATCTCAACCTCAACCTTATACGATGTAGATAGAAGGTTGAAGAACGTGTAGATAAATGTACAGATATTGGTATAGCACTCAGCTTGTTTTTGTTAATTTTGATGGTTGTTGAAATTGGGAGAAATAAGCACAGAAGCCCAAAAAAAAAAAACGTAAAGATCAGGTCCGGCTGGGATTCGATCCCAGGATTCCAGAAGGTTTTTGATTTCTCAAAATCTGGCGTGCTAACCGCTACACTACAGGACCGTGACATTGAACAACCTCGGCATATTTGACTATATAAATTAAAGAGAAAAACATCTGAATTTGGAATATTTACATCTTTCAGATATACCACTTTCTAACAACTCTATTTCGACAGCAGTCAACTAGGTTGTTCGGCACTATATTGATTAGTCATATATGAATCCCGCTTAGTTAGTCAGTTATTATGTTCTCACTGACAAGCCTCCATCAGCGGTAATATCTTTTCATCGCTATATAAGATGAACCTGAAACCTACATCCGGATCATTTCTTTGGAACCGACTGTACAATTTCAACATAATTCAGAAGTTAAATGCACCAAAAGAAAAGAACATGATAGTATATAGTACAGATTATCCAGACAAGGGCTTCGCTTCCAATGTTATATCATGCCGCCTTAAAATCTACGGGCAATCGAACTCCGCGCAGACCTCAAGGTGCCAACGGCATCGTGGTTGTGCAGGACAACTTCCCAGTCAATTCGGTTCCACCAGCGCTCCAAGTACTCTTCCTTTCCACGGATACCGTAGTCCATCATCCACGCATGCTCCCAGGTGTTGACACACAGGATGGGCTGCAGGTCGACCGCGCCGGGTGCGAGGGCTTTCTGGTTCTGTGCGTGTGCGCCCATCGAGCCGGCGAATTGGTTTCCGGTTGCTGCGGGTGATGCGGTGGCCATGTCGACAGATTGCCGCCGGGCGTGGGCAGCCGGGTAGGGCGAGCCCGCGTTATAGGTACAGAAGATCTGCAACAGGCCCTCGCGCTCAAGGTTCTTGGCGAGCCAGACGAAGCCGGGGCCGAACATGGCGTTGGCGGTGGCTAGGAAGTCCAACTTCAGGGATTCCACGGAGGAGCAGGTGTCGACGATGCTCATAGCGAACTTCTCGGGGATCTCAGTGCGAGTTGGGGCCTGCGGAAGAAAATCAGTCAAGTTGAAATGGTGCGGTGTGAAGAAGCAAGCCAATTGTTGAGCTTACCAGGCAGTTGAAGAAAAAGTGGTTGTTGTGAGCCATTGAGGCATAGTTGAAGACAGAGGCCATCTCCGGGCGCTTGGAGTACTTGACCAGCAAATCTCCGGGCTTGGTGTTCGCATCCACGGTGTCTATGAGAAAAGAGAGTATGAGATTCCAATTCCATTCGCATCGAAGTCTCAGGTAACCTGTCTTCAAGAGCTCGGAGGTAACTCCTCAAGGAAGCCGGAACTTACCTTCTGTCAACAGGTTCAGCTTGTCCACGAGATGGGTCTGGTAATCGGTCCAGGCAAAGTTAAAGGCCTCCGGAGACATGAATTCCGAGATACCATCCTTTCGGAAAGTAGCATCATGCTGTAATTGAGGGATGGCGTGAAGGCCACGGACCTGGAAGCGTGAGAGGGCGGAGGTAGTTGTCTGCAAAGTAACGCGATCAGTTCCTGCAACGGGCGAGGAATTGAGGCCGGTAAAAGAGTATATCATACCTGAGAGAGCGAAGCCGCGCGCAAAGCGCCCGGCCGGACAAGTCGGCTAAACATAATGTATTTAAAGGTGGAATTAATACGCCTGCAATTGAAGCCTCGAAGAATTTCCTTTCCGACATAAGACTTCCTCATTGAGTGTAGCGTATATTACATAACCCGACCAATTAGAAGACATATAACTACTTCTATATCGACCAACATTTTAAGCGCCGAGCTATTGATCTACACTTCAAACATTACTGCAGCTGCAGAGATTGCCATTTCTGCAACATAGCCTGTTACACAGGATCCGGTTTAGTGCTCGGGTGATGGCCAAGCTAAGATCATATTGTCCAACTTGAAACCCCAGACTCCTTTTATAGAAGCTCGGCGCCTATAATAGCTTCTTTGGGCCTGAAATACTTTGCCTTCATAGTTCCATTGTCACTTTAGTTCCATCCGGTAAATCCTATTATCGTCTAGTTTTTTTCTTTTCTCCTTTGTCAACCCATCATTCTTTCTACTGGCAATATCTGTGTTTGTTATTTTGAAAGTGCATATCGACCTGGAGTCGATTGTTCTTCCCTCTCTTTTCATCTCATAACTGTATTGTCGTCTCAACAGTCTCAAAATTGAGATATTCACGCTAGAATGGCAACACCGACTACGCGTTATGTCTCTAGACAGATGACTATTTTGCTATTGATTCTCATTACTTTTATCGAGTCAAGCTACGCACATGGGCCTTTTGAACTATTCTCAAGAGACTCAAACTGCCCAAGCTCGTATAAATCATGTAGCAGCAAGTTGCCGGACACATTCTGCTGCCCTTCTTCCTCCACATGTATATCCCTGGACGATGACAGCTCGGCCATCTGCTGTCCATCCGGCTCTACCTGCGACTACATCTCACCGATAATATGTGATATCCAGGAGCAGAATGTGACTGCCCATCCCAAAAGCCCTATCCACACTACGAAGCTGGGCGACTCTCTTACGACATGTGGAGACGCCTGCTGTCCATTCGGATACACCTGCCAAGGTGAAAGTACCTGTGTCTTGAACAAAAAGACTTCAAGCACACAAACAACCACAGAAGCGACCTCAAAAACAACCTCAACAGGGATCATTGGTGCGACTTTCGTTCCGATTTCTGCGCCTTCAGTCTCCGCCTCTGAAAATTCAACAAACTCAAGTACCATCACCTCCTGCCCATCATTCCCAAGCAAAGCTGTAGCAGCAGGCTTTTTCCCAGGGGCTATCTTCGGTGTCATTCTCGCCCTCCTAATCTCCACGTGTCTTCGTCGCCGTGCCTTGAAGAAAGAACTTCAAGAGAAAGATCCAAACCAGACACACCACTGGTCCCAACGACTGCGTATTTCCAACCCAATATCGTCAGAAGATACCTCCTACCGCTCGGACTTCCTCCTCCGCCCATTTATCCTCCGTCCAACACCGACCAGACGCAGTTCACTCGGGGGAAGATCCTCTCACTCTGTGCGAACCCGAGTGCGAAGTCTTTTCTCTGGAATCCCAGAGCTGGATAAACAGGTCCCACCGCTTCCTATGGCTGCAAACCCTGTTACACCCCCTCGACAGCGCCAACCCAGCACTGAGAGTATCAAGGTGTACACCCCGCCTGGAGCAGCATTCGCGCAGTCACGAAAGTTTCTCGGGCCCGAGCCGTATCCTAGTTCCATTGCTCGACCGGATACAACCTTCTCAGACTTTATGCAGCTGGGCAAGACTCAAGACAGCGGAAAGAATGAAAAAAAGCCTCCTCCTACGGTCAAGGTGACGGAGGCGTCTATTTGAGGCAGACATTTATCTGTGTGAGTTCGAGTAGGGGATTTCTAATTAATTGAGGCAAGCATATTTATCGGTTGGCGCATGCTTTTCAGGAGTCATTGGACTTGCATATTCCATAGGTCTAATTCAAAATTAGCATATTCGATTGAGTATAGAAATATTGATTTACATGATGATTTACACGATAGCTTCTATAATTAGACAACGATGCTGTGACTGTGACTGTAACTGTAACTGGTCTATGTGGAGCGCCTTTGGGCTTTCCACGATGCAACAATTCGTTTCAGTTCTTTCAATAAACCCACGGCTAAGGGAACGCCAATGGGTCCTAGCAGTGGTAGATACACAGCAACCTTGTGCTCATCTGGGAAGTACGCCTGGCCGACCATACTCTTCTCGAAGAAGCTGCGCTCAGCCTCTTTTTCTGCGATTCGAGCCGTGGCTAGTCCAGCTTCGAATTGGCCCTCACGAAGGTGGGAGCAAGTAGCAGAAAGATGTGAGAGAGTCGTAGAGACTGAGGTTGCTACGGTAGCAGGGATGGGGATGGATGGGAGAGATTCTGTGAGACGGGCAAGAGAGCCCATGGTAGATGAGGCAGAAAGGAGAAGAGCGGCAGCCCGAACACGGATCAGTGTTTGCAGGCGAAGAGGCAGAGAGGATGGAGTTGTAGGGGTGCCAAGTAGGGTTAATAGTTGGTGGGAGAATGTCATGAATGCAGGCCTCAATGATTCATGAGAAAGATGGTCAGGGTTGGTTTTGATAGTGTCTCCTTCGGTTTGGGCAAGTGATGGATTGAGAAGAAACACGCCACCCCATTGCGGAACAATCCAGCTAGAGGCCCGATTCTCTTTAACAACCAGCGGCGCCTGCGACGGATCCGGGACATAGAGAATGAAGTTGAGAGTAGGTCCGCTGCCAATACTAGGATTCAGTGGCCACTCGGCAGCGTTGATGAATGCACTTAGATCCTCTTTCTTCAGAGTCCATGCCGCTTCAGTCTCATCGTAGACAGGTGGTGGTGCCATGGGGGAAAATGTCGCATACAGCTGGACTTGGGTATCGACGGTAAAGTTGCTAATAGGAGCAAATGCATGGAGGAGAGGACTTAGGTACTCCTGAACAGCAGCTTCAATATCCCAGGATGAGGGCTGAGGGCCTGGCGTGAATAAAGAAAATGATAAATGATAGGTATCCGCGTACTTCATCGAGCGGCGCAACCGTCGGCCGATACTCTCTGCTAGTTGAGGGGGGACCGAATCAAGTCCGGTAGTTTCTCCCGAGAGGATGTAAGCAATAGTGGCTTTTTCCTCCCCGTAAAGTCGCTGAAGTTCTTCTGCAATGTACGCGGAGAGGGGTGGGCTGGAAGAAGACGGCGCAGGGACCTGGCTTGGGGGGTAGAATATATCAAGCTGAGTAGTATCCGAATGCAATTCAGATCTGGGGGCAGACAGGCCCTCCTCGGGGAGAACGCGAACAGTTAATGCGATATCCCCTCCCTCGAAAGCTCCATTGTGGACACTGTCTGAGATATATTCGCCATTTTGTACGGTCGAAGAACCGGTGTAGTTCGCTAATTTAAGCCGGAGGTGGTGAGCGGCGAACTCGTTGAGATCGTCGAGGGAATGCTGTGTTGTGCGGAGAAGATGCTGAGATTCAGACAATTGCATTGCTGGTGTAGCGACATGGATCTCGAGAGGGAAGACAGGACGACAAGCCTGGAGTAGTCAGTGAGCTGCCCAATTATTTATTGGTATTAGGGAGAAGCCATACCTTGCCATCAGCCCAGTCCACCATATCCTGGATTGGCAGATGTGCCCTGTAGATTGAGGTTGTCTGCCACCATATTGGAAATCCCAGAAAGACGATCACAGCCCAAAAAGCCGCGATCACCCTGAATCGTGTTTGAATGGCCTCTGGTGTCTCGGGGGTGGGACGCGCTGGGCGCTAGATGTTGGGGGTGATGCGGTCAAAGCCACAGATCCTTCTCCCTTTGTGTCGGTCATGTCGGGGACATGCTTTGTATTCTAAATCAAGATCAGCCCAGACCAGACCTGAGTGGAGGAGTGTTGGTGTTTGGGGAAGATGAAGGCGGAGAAGGGACCAGGTGGCTCTGCCGCATTGAGTGCAACTAGAGTAGATCAACTTTCGCAAAATGGAGGGACCCCTCCCTGAGTGAGTTTTTGATTTATGAACGCAATATTGGAGGAATCATGCATAGTTCGATGATGACATTTTCTATGTCGATGTCTTTTTTACCTGGGTATTACCTTTTTTTCTAAATTATCCACAGCGTTCTCTACTCAATGAGCGATGCAACTAGGTTCGGACAAAATAAGTATATTTTGATGTCCTATTACACTAAATCAAATGGGTATCCTGTCCAAATAACGCCGAATTAATGCGGTGGTCATAATCGACCAAACCTTTGAAACAATCTGAATGGATTCCCTAGTATTCCTTCTCGAAAATCTTCTGGATCGGTTTGGCAGCCTGGATGATAGGAATAAATTAGTAAGAACCCATAAATCAAGTGATGAAGGTAGCGAACATCAATGAACTTTTCAAGATCCTTGTCCAAGCTGGCGAGGTCATCTTTGCGTTTCTTGTTCTCGGCAATAAGCGCCTGTTTGCGCTTCAACAACTCCTGACGGCCTTGTTCGAGTTTTTCCCGTTCAGCATGTTCGTGGCTAATTCGGGCAATCATCAGATCATGTTCACTAGTCTGCTCATGCTCGGGAAATATCTGAAGGAACTCTTCGACGGGAATCAAGGGCAGCAAACGGTACTTGTGACTTCAGGTGGAGAGTAGAGTTAGTTGGCTATCCCCAAATAGCGAGCGCATGATTTGGACTTACTCATAAGCGTCACACGCAGCGATTTCGCCGGTCAGGTGTTTCTGTTCATAATACAAGTTCTGTAGTTGAAGGTGCAGACGGTCGATTTCCTGACGGGCTTCAGCAGTAGCCTGTTTTGTCTCGCGCACACTGTGGATGGCGTCGCGGTTTTTACCACGAAGCTGCGACAGTAAAGAAATGAGCACTTTCTGTTGCTTTGCGACGCCGAGCGAAAATTCGTGGAGCTGGGAGGGCTCGGGGGCACCGGCGGGATTAAGCAGGGTCAGAAGATGCTGACACTGAAGGAGGGTTTCGGTGCTCGCATTCAGGACTGGTAACAGCGAATCCTCGGTGACAATTTCGCCGATAGCCATCTTAACGTTTGACGTTGGTAGATGGGTGGCGTTCGTGGCGAAAGGTACCTTGGGAAGGGGGAAAAACTAAAGGGATTAAAGTCGGATTAAGTGGAGAAGAGGGTTAGTAGGGGATAGTGGAAGATCCATCAATCAGATGCCCATGTGAATGCTCGGCCGCAGATGGTTGGGGAAATCAACTTTCGCCTAATTCTACTTTCACCACCTTCCTCTTTCTCTTCCTCTTTTTTCTTTCTCTTCCTTTTCCTCTTCCACCCCACCTTACACTTTACATTATGTGTATATAGACTCCGCCCTAACAGAATCCTTCTCTTGAGTCCTCTCGGTGCTTTCCCTCATTTCTATCTATCCAGACCCGAGTCTCACCCCGGATACCCCCGGGTCCGCTGGTTCCTGCACACCTCTACTACTTGACTCTCACTTTATATTTACGGGCTAGAATGGCCTGCTCAGTATCCTCTATGACGGTCGAATCCCATCCTGAGGCGATCTCGTCCTCCATCTCAACCCCCGCAGAAGCCGAGGAAATTTCTCTGAAAGATCGGCGGAGACACTCCAATCATGCCCCTAGGAAACTATCATGCGACTACTCAGATCCAGACACCGTCTTCCTTCGGGTAAGGTTTCCAATTTTTCTCCGGGAATCAATGTTAGAATTTGGATCTAACTATAGTTCAGGTCGAACTCTTCCTTGCTGAACTTGAACGGCGTATGCACTGGATCGAACAATACCGCAAATCTCACATGGGTCCGATCGATGCCAGTCTAAAGCGGGGCTATGCGGCTTTGGAGGCCGTGAGAGACCGGTGTTCTGTCGCATCGGGTGAAATCATGGGTAGCGGCAAGAGAAGTGCCAAGATATTGGTGGAGACTCTGGAGGATCGATACAACGAAGCGATGGCGACCAAGGAAACCCTCGAACAAAAGGCACATGTCGGAGTTCGCCTGATGGAGTCGTTCTTGTCGGAACTTGAGTCTCGAGCACACACCGTCCGTAGCCGTGGTCTATCTGGAACCTTGGATGATGGGTGGAAGGCTGTGGATTCAACAATGGTACATGCCCAAGAAATTGTGGACGAGGCAATGGAGCGAGCGCGCCATGCTCGTGACACAGTCCTTGAGAATATTGAATCTGCACTTGCTTTGGCCCAGAAGAACCGTTTGATCACCTATCACGATCTTCCCGATCCTTGGCGGGTTAATCCCCACATAGTGCGGGGATACCGATTCACACATTCCAAGGTGGAATGTGTGTCGTCCGCTTTCCATTTCTCTAATGAAATGGTCAACATCTGGTCCCATGTCATCGGCCTCATCATTGTCCTCGCCATTGCCTTCTATTTCTATCCCCTTCACACCAACTTCAGCATGAGCACAAACACAGATGTGACGATCGCCGCCGTCTTTTTCTTCGCTGCATGCAAATGCCTCGTCTGCAGTACCATCTGGCACACCATGAACAGCATCGCCTCCCAATCCCTGATGGAGCGTTTCGCCTGCGTCGACTACACCGGTATCTCAATGCTGGTTGCCGCTTCGATCATGACGACTGAGTACACCGCTTTCTACTGTGAGCCGGTCTCGCGCTGGACCTATATGCTCCTGACCATGACTCTGGGTATCGGTGGTGTCATCCTCCCCTGGCACCCCACATTCAACCGTCACGACATGGCTTGGGCCCGTGTCGGCTTCTTTGTCACTCTAGCCTTGACTGGCTTCGCTCCCATTGCCCAACTATCATGGACTCGTGGCTTTGAATGGTGCACCTACTTCTATGCCCCCGTCATGAAGAGTATCATGGTTTACTTTGTTGGTGCTTGCATCTACGCCTCCAAGATCCCCGAACGGTGGAAGCCCGGTCTGTTCGATTACGTTGGCGGCAGCCACAACATCTGGCATTTGGCAGTCCTGGGAGGTATCCTCTTTCACTACCACGCTATGCAGGATCTTTTCACAGGCGCTTTTCTGCGTGCCGCAGGCGAATGTCCCGGTTTGCTGTCATAAAATGATAGTTCAAGACTTGGTGGACTTCGTATGATCTCTTCGTTTCCTTTCTATGGCATATAAGCATGATAAATGGAGACAGGTAAACGACAAGATCTAAAAAAAAAAACCCCTAGACAAACTTTCTTTTCAATCCGCAAATTCTACATCGGTGGCATTCAATAAATATACATAGCTTTTATCTCTTTTTAGACATAGACGGAGTTGTTCTTTTATCTTTCTTTCTTACCTTTTCAAATTCCTTTTCTTTTCGTCGGATTTTGGAGAATTCAAGACTCGTCTTTGCTTGCTCTAGAGTTTCTTTTACTTCAAACAGCACAGTGCCACTAGTTCCTTGTATTTATTACTATTTACTGTTATATTTAGTCTTACTTTCGGTTTGCTTTGAATTCCTAAAAGTCATCTGAGTCAACTGAACAAAGTCCGCAGAAAAGTCATAAGGAGTAGTAGTACTGCGAGACATGCTGGTCTATTTTCAGCAAGGCCCTAATTATATCCAAGTCTACCTAGAAAATTATCGATGTCTTCATAGTTCGTTACTACCTAGGTATGGTGTTCCCTACTCTTTTTTCATCAAGTGCTTTGGTTTATCTTATTACTTGGAGAAGAATCTGGTTTGTTTTCATCTTCCATTTGCCTTGAGTCGACTTCGATTTTCTACTTTGGACTTCCAAGGTCAACTGTAGACCCGTTCAATAGATATCAGATCCCCCAGAAATCCAATTATCTTATTCTATCCTCACTTTTACCGAGATATCTTATTTCAAAATAAGATATCAAAAGTACTTTTCAGATTTGATCATCTTCTCTGGGTGACAACTTGGATCCCCTTTCGGAAGAAATATATCCCCAATATAATGGCGAATCAGCATCATTACGAGTGCCTTAATGATAAAATAAAGCCGACATCCTTTTCCTAGGATTGCTGTGAGCTGATCCAACTTCTGGCCTCTACTCGAAGAATATCTATCCATCTCTCGGTCAACATCTAACCTTGGAAAAGATATCTAGGTATCGCGATTTAAGAACATAGTTCGAAGAAATGCACTGGAATTAATGTGCCTATGTTATCTTCTCTCCTAAAGCTCAACTAAACCTTCCATGAAATATGACCTACAGTTCCCGATATATAAAGGTCACTGTCGAAATGATATCCGATAGGACATGTGTTTGACCTCGACCATGATCATCGATTCTTTATAATCCATGTCGACTTGGAAATTTCTATCAATTTTGGCAGAATGAGGGCGAAAGCAAGAAAATATATCACGTTTATTCACCGTCAATCGTTCAAAATCAGCATTCCCAACCACGGCTTATCAACAACTTTCAAGACTCTTATGTCAGCGGCAATGTTAAATCGTAGTTACTATATTTCATTGATTACATAGTGGTATGGACAGCCTGCTAGTGGTTGACACCTGAAACATCCACGTGGTCTTTGGCTCTCGACTCCCCTGGATTCCTCTGATCCATATATTTGGAATCGATCGCCTTCACATCGGAAATCACTATCAGCGTACAAGGCAAAACAGTGCTGGTTGTATGACATCGAAGTTGAATGCTATGATCTCCTGTTGTGGCTGGAGATTCACTCGGCCAATGCAAAACTGAGTACCGCTAGCCAGAAGCATATGGTGGTAAAGAACTGAAAATTTCTTTTGGGTATCATAATTTTTCAACAAGTTCACTCGCTAGTCTCTGCCTTGGCAGCAATGGCACCACCATGTTTCTGGAAGTGGCCCTGCATCCAGCAGCGATACATCTTCAACTTAGTTTGGCGATTGACCAGTAGTCGCCGGTCAATGCCAATATGCACAACATTGAAAACACCATTTGCAATTTTATTTTGAGACTCCTCCTCGGTCTTTTCCAGATCGATCTGTAGGCCGTTCTCTGGTGTCCAGCGACTCCACATTTGGACCAACTCCTCCTTATCGAAGAAGTAGACGCGGGTACCATCGCCTCTAACGTAAAAATTCTCCTCCATATAGCGGCCCTTCTTGAAGCGCACTTGAGCCAAGTCCCCACGGCCGTAATCACGGAACAAGACACGGCCACCAGGCTTAAGTAGGCGGTAAATATTGCGAATAGCATGATCCCACTGCTTAGGATTCAACGCAGAGAAGATAAAAATAAGAATAACGACATCGACAGAGCCCTCTGTCAGACCAGGAGGTAAAGAATCGACCTCCTCAGTGGGGACAGAAGCAGCGTCCCAGACATCGGCGACCATATGCTTGGTATCGTAATGTTCGCTGTCCCGCATAACCTGTACAGCATACTTGGAAAAGTCACAAGCATGTACCATCAACTGGTCATTCTCATTGTTCTGGATCAGTGGGAAGGCAGTGTTGCCTGCACCCGCGCCAACCTCCAGAACAACCTGAGGGCCAGCATCCTTCTGTGTCACATCTGCCAAGACCGGAAACTCCTGGCGAAGCCATTTACGGTCCTTGAAAAAGTTGGAGGTATTATTCTTATAGAACAAATTCCACCATTTGGCCGGGTCGTTGTTGAAGCGGTTCTGGTCGAATTCAGAGACAGGTGCTGAGCGCTGCTTCTCATACTGGCCCTCGGCAAAAGCTTTGAACTCGTCATCGGGTTCAACATGGTCCCAAGCATTAAATTCAAACACATTATCGCCCTGCTCGAGGTATCGGGATCCAAATTGGAAGGGATCGCTACGCTTCATATTGTTGGAGGGGTCGTGAGAGCGCTGAGGGGTGACTTGTGGTGGTTGCACATTTTGAATGAAGTCACGAACAGTAGGATCAGTGATAGGCATTGTGCTGATCACTGGTCTAAAACGAGGGTAGTCACTGGAAGTAAGGTGAAGACAAGTTCAATAAATTTGTTGACCCCGGGAAATTTGAAAAAAAAAAAAAAAATAAGGATCAAAAGTTAAGATTCAGGCATCAACCAAAAAAACCTAAATGGTATTTTACAACTTGAAAACCGTATTCTAATCATTTAATACATAAAGACGGGGTCCTCAGTGTTAGAGATATGCTATCTTATCTGCTAGTTCCGTCGTGACGGAAACCGGGGTGTCGGTTGTGGCGTACAGGTACTGTTCCACAACAATCGCAAGAAGGTCAGATATATGGAGTGACCGAGACCCAAAGACACGAGATAGAAAAGGGCAACGATTGAAGAAACCCAAATTTCGGTGGTGAGCCAATTGTGGCTATGGATCCTTCACTATGGTGAGTCACTAGTATATCCTGCCTAATTTTCGTTTCATAAAGCGTGCTAATCACTCCTGTGTGTATGTCAGATACGATCATCACCACCGTGACTAAAGATGTTGAAATGATTGATGAGAAGTTCTTGCAACGTGTCCTCGACAACCTTTATTAAGTTGATTTCCACATTCTTGGTCAGTTCAAAGGCAAAGATGCACCGTCTAAGGTATATCAGTATCAAATTGTACAAGTGATATTGGACACCGCCCAAAGCATGTTCAATCCTCGGTACGCGGGATATAGGAATTACTTCTGTCAATGATAGGATATCGTCACTCGATGCATACCGAAAAGCCATTCAAAAGACAGTAGGTACTCATGAAGATTATCAATTTCATGGCTTACTTCGCGTCCCACCGAGACTTCCGGGTCGAAATGGAAGAAGATGCGACGCAGGAGGGTGAGTTCTAAGCCAACAGAAGTGGAAGGAACGCAAGCTACCGTCCTGGAGGAATATAGGCCTCGGAGAACCCGAAAATGTAGTCACTTGTAGGAGAAGAATACAGTGTGGTTGAAGCAAATTGTTCATCATGTAGGCTAGGGCCCTTCAACTTTGCAGGCCCCTCAATGTAATCAACACGGGTGTGGGACTTGTGGAGAGCCAGGCCAAAGGAGAGAAACATGTCCATAAAAGCGTTCGGGCTTTTTAATCAAATAAGTATGGATTAAGATCAGTAAAAACCATATGATCATGACTTTACCGAGTTGACCGAAGAGCAACTTATGGGAGCGCTAGACTAAACTAACCACAACAGCATGTTCAGATAGGATGGATAATACAACCTTCGTAGCACAGTCTCCTAATGAGGGTTATGGGCTGGTTTCTCGAGGCTAGACAAAATATTTACAAAGTGCATCGACTTTGATTTCACCTCAACTTCAACTATCATTTCACTTTCAATCACTTCAAATGCTGAAGTGTTCTCTCCTTCCAACACACACTTTTATCTCCAGCTCTCTTTTCCTACTATTGCCACAATAGAAAGCACATCACCTGTGGATTTCATCCTCTTGAAAACAGACATCTGGCATGGAAACGGAGCTCTATTTACATCAATGAAAAGCTCGGTAGAGTTTGGTCTCTATTATAGTACCAACTCCGAAAGGAAGCACTGGTAGAGCAGTGAAATCCCTCACACTCTTCTGGTGGTTATCTGAGTGCACTTAAAGAGTCTGTGGGTACCAGCATTCGTTCTCATCTGAGCCACCTAATCTTGGAATACTCTTCATGAAAGCCATCATAATTCCCATATTGATATCATGGCTGTTCACCCTATCCCCCATATCATCTGAAATACTGTGGTGCAGCGTTTCAGAAATCCAAATTCTGATATACAGCAGCTTGCCACTCTCAAATGAATGATCAGCAAGAGAGACACCCAATAGACTGAGATGTGAATGAGACAGTGAGCGGTCATCCGCCCGATGGTGGACTGGATCACAGCCCTTTTGCCTTTACAGTCATCCCTTCACGACTCTATACATGTTTCATCGGAAAAGCTGCTAATATGTTCATTCATGTTTGATCTACGGCTGCCCTTTGACATCATAAACCAGAAGCAGAAGTCAAATGCCGTCTCCAAAGCATTGATAGAGATTATTGGCTAGCAACAAATTAAATTCTTTCTCATGGCACTAGTGAGTCTTTCGGGGGCCAACATATCAACCTAGTGTGACCGCAACAATCATACCACATACACCTCGTCATGTGGTTCAGGGATTTTGCTTTCAAAATTGGGCGTGACCTCGGGATGGACAGACCAGATACGGAGTAGCCAGTCATACTTAGACATAAAGATCTCAAATGCAATATTTCCTGTGCCACTATTATCTGCACGCCACATAGTAAGCCAGCAGCCTTTCGAAGCTCCTCTCTGGCTATTAGTGAGCCATTTAGGGCTAGATAGGTATGATAAAGATGAGCACCGTCTCTCATTTGCCGGATATCTTAATACCTAAGTAAAACAGCCATCATATCATGCTTCTGCATCCATCCTAATTACCCTTTTCTCCGCATAATTTCTTTTTTCTGACACCCTTGCATATTAAGTCCATCCTTACACATGCAAAGTGAATCACCACCTCGTATTCACCCCTATCAAGCACATACCTCAACAGAATATCATGCAGCAACTAGAGATATAGCAGGTAATATCTCGGACGTTTTTTCTAATTCCATCGACCCCTCCTTTCAAACAAAACCAAGACTGCAGAAATGCTTAGAGTAGCGAGCTTACAAGTTGCAAGTTACATCAAGCGAGTCACTCTGACGACATGGCTAATCAATGGATGCAGGCACCAACCCAGCGGTCTTCTATTTTCATTCCACAATCGTCTGCCCCATATATAATCTGAGGCTTCTTATTTGTTACCGAATATCTCTAGCACATTACTCCGATTTTCGCTAATATCTCTTCAGGTGAACTTTTGACCTAGCCGAATGCCGGAATATATTGAGAAGTATCTTGCTTTATCATGTTGATGTCATTATCGAGGCATTGATAGTGACTTGCAACCTTGTTCCATGTTCTAAGGATCTCCCGTTTGACCCTATAAAAACACAAATTATGTCATACATGAATTAGACTTCTACGGAGCTACTCCGCATTGTCCATCACTTCCAAGGTAGATAGTCTGAGGGCTCTGACCATCACATGACATATATCATGCATGCTTCACATATCACGAAGCTGCGATGAGGTGATTAGATCCATGGATCTGCCTGGGCGCTAAAAAATGATTGGCTAACAGCCTGTCAGATCATTGAAAGTATCGCTGATTGGAGATTTTAACTAGTCATCTAATCCATCTTATCGGAACTAAACCATATTAAGAGAGCCATACAATGGTATGGGACGGTCCGAACCTCAGAAATATCAAGCTAAAGTTCAAGATTTGGTACTTCATCGTGTCCGTTTCTGGCAGGTGCGTATCTCTTCCTTATTACGACCCCTGTGTATGGCATTGGCTATGAGCTTTCCCCTATTGTGACCAAAGTCCGAGTGTGTGATCTGTGCCCAAGGCCGGTGCTGGTAATCAAAAAAGCAATATGATATTCGCGGGGGTAGCTCCTTATTTGGAGTGGTACCTAGTTATGACAGGGAATATTGCCCAAATGCAGATCGAAAATTGCGTATTGAGGAAGAAGAGTCTTGGAAAGGAGTACGTGAAGAGGGTCCTTGCAAAAGTAGGTAGTTTCAAGGTTGCCTTATTATCCATGTCTCATAGGCGTATGTGACTCGATTCTGACCTGCTCATTTTGTAATTTGGTGAGCTTTGCTTGTTTGGAGTTAATGAATCGAACCTCAAGCTTTCAACGTATACTCATGACTCGATATCCTAACGTGACGTAGAATTTCCAACTCAAATGATATCCAAAGCACCCAGGATACCTACTAGGGTAAGGCAACCTTGACATTCAGTTCAGGTAGCAGGGGTGGAGTTTTCCATACTCCTACATCTCTTATTAACCGAGATATTCGTAAGACTAAGAAAGTACCATCTCGAAAGAATATATTGCAGTCACTGACTCACTAGTGGTCCAAGCTTTCCGACCAAATAACTGCCTGGTAATACGAAACCGACCCGACTCTAAGCATGAAGATCCGGTGTATTGGGCGACGGGGTGCATAGGATGGTCGGTGAAGGAAATACACGAACATATCCCCTCACCCGAAAATCAGATGCTGCAAAGCGCAGCTCCCGTGTACCTTCTCACTTCAGCTGGCCATGTATCATCTATGCTTTTTTTTCTTTTACCTTGGTCAAATATGAACATCTGCACCGACGCTAGGGCCGTGAGCTGTGCTTCGGCTCACCTCCCTAGCGTGCAAAAGTCCCTTTTTTTTAAAAAAAAAAAAAAGATCTTTCCCACTTGAAGAATAGGACAGCTTCTACATCCGCTTGTATGACGACACGTGTGTTTCGAGTTTATTCTGGTATTTTTATCAGTTAGTATTCTAGCATTTTGGATTTAGGTTCGATGATCATATTTCCGGGCCGTTGACTTTTTCTTGAGGTTAGGGTTGGTGTTGTGGGGGTCTGATGAGGGAAGCTTTGCTGTTCACCGATTAATTGTGCCTAATCTCAAACAGGTAGTATTGCTTCTGATATATGCCTAAGTAGTTCAGATGGAGATTCAATGTATCTAATACTCTAAGGACAAAGAGAATCTTGGGATGGTTCGTACCTAGTTCGATTTACAACAGAACCAGGTGATTGGAGAGTGTAATCCTATGTACTCCATCGAATCAATCACCAAACCGTAAATCTAGAAATTAGAGATTCCGAACCTGTTCCTTAAAACCTTATTCAGATCTCTAACTCCGTGAATCCGACTATTGAGCAGTATAATAATAACTCTTTGGGCTCTGATCGACAGATTCTATTAACCGGGGTAGAGCCGGGCCGGTGTCGCGTCACTTACCAGCTGTCAACAAAGATGTAAAAAAGAAGCATGAGGCTGCAAAGTGACAGAGCGGCAAGCTCGAGTACGTGTCTCAACGTATCTGGTGACTGGTCCCACCTGGGCATAGAGTGATGTGGTCAAGACTGGAGTCAACGGCGACCTTGCGGCATGCAACCACGTGGGGTGGATTTAGTAAAAAAAAAGAGAAGTAAAAGAAAAACAGAAGGAAATGCAACGCCCCAATTGTGCAGGGTCTTATTGGCGGTGTAGATCGTATCACTGTCTATGTAGATCGGCGATCAGGCTTGAATTCATTCATACTAGCTGACTCCACATTTTTCTTCTCTATGTATCTCTCTCTTTTTATCTTGGACCTTTAACTTGTACTCTACGGAGTAGCTTTCTCCACATGGACCAATTAGCCCACAATCCTGTTTGGATCCCAACTTTCGTTAATTCAGATCGGTTGGCACGGAAGCTTGTAGTGTCCCCGATTGGTACAGAACTGACTGGCATCCTATACGCTAAGTGGGGAAGGGACTCTTGGAGCTTGGATCAGTGTGGCTGTGCTAAAATACTCACACCTGGGCACCCGGGCACCAACTTGCCCCGGTGTTTCCAGGTTCTGAAGTTCAAACTTGAAGTGGAGTGTGTGATGTATAGATAAGGAGTACCTACCCACAGATCAGTCTTGAACGATGGTAGGTCAATGTTTCTTTCGAAATATTCATACTTTAGATGAATAGTTTAGCCCATAACTAGACGATGGTCAAAATCACAGTACATATCTCGGGCTTTCGGGATCAAGAGTGATTAGGTAGAGGTTCAACGGACCGTAGTGCCGGGTCGGGAATGAATCCAGGGGGTTAAAAAGAGACGGTGAGTCTATTGTGTACAATCTAGAAAGCAAAAATTACTAATTGTATGATTTGTGGCTCGTGACCAGTGTCTTGAAAACCTGTAATTTATCATTATTTATTTTTGTTTTTGATTTATTAGTTATTTCATCATCTACGTACTTTCCTTTGTACTTGCCTTTCGACTATATAAAGGGGGTTCCTTATACCTCAAAGCTTTTTCTATTTTCTAAGCATTCAAATCTACACTGAACAAGGATTCTGATAATCTTTGAAGTCTAAACTATTATCGTCTTCTCGACTCACACACCTCATACATCTATCATCAACCATCAACTATCAACCATCCACCATCCACCTTCCATCATCCATCATCCGTCATCTATCATCCATCATCCATCATCCATCATCCATCATCCATCATCCACCATGGACCCAATCGTCAAAGCCGAAAAGCCCAGAGTTGAGGAGGATCGCAAAGGTGTTCACTGTGTTGAATTCTACCAGCAAAAATGGGCAAAGATGAGAGAAGATACCGACCGACAGATTGCCAGAATCAGAGGTACGATATACAATACAACACGCCTTCCAACCTTGGAAGGTGATCAAAATCATCAGCTAATAATATCTTAGAGCAAGAGAGACTTGAGGATGAACGACGGGCGGCCAAGAAGGAAATGAATTGATCCATTCTCCATTCTTTTTTCCCGTCTTGCTCCACTCGGAATATATACGGAACCTTTCTTTTCGTGCTTATATTTTCTTTTTTCTTCTCTGTTTCTATTTTTTGGTTTGCATGGGTTAAGCAAAGGTATGGGAAAGGATAACATTCATTTTGGAGTTTCTGTTTCATTGGTTCGTTCTGGCTAGAGCAGGGATATGAATTTGGAATTATACAGCCACAATTACGCTGGGCCAGCTGTATCGATTTTATAGCCGACCAATTAACAATTTTACAAGTTCTTTGTCCTGTCCTCTAAGATCTAAAGATCTCGGACGTCGGATTCGACATATTTCATTCGTAGATCCGATACTGCACGTATGATTAACCGGAGAGCTGTCTTTAATGTACACTCGTGGGCGTATTTAGGCACATTAGGCAGCTTTCAATCCAGCTGCCAAAATAATTCTCGGCTTACATCTTCTCCATTTTCATCTCTTTGCTTTTTCCAATACCGGGAGCTTGGGGCCGCATACGAAACACATACGAGAGAGCACATTGAAGGGTTTCAAACTGCATTTCAGCCAGCCTCTCACAATGCTATTGTCGCAGCGGTGTGACCTACATCTACAGGCTTGAAAGAGCATGTGTATTTTGGTGCCCAGCGTTAGTGCCATCGCCGGACAAGTGCTAAGTTGACAGCAGTTCCGTAGCGTTGTAAGGTGTCGATCAATCAAGTTAAGTGGATACCATTCGCTCCTTTGAAGTTTGATTTCTGGGTCAAGATACGATAGATAGAGATATGTCATAACTAATAGACCAGTCTTCTGTGACGCAAGGAGTGGAGAATGTGAGACGCGTATAGCGCGGTTATCGTATGATCCTTTGAAGGGCAGAAATGATATATGCAATTGGATTTTTCTTTTTTCTTTTCAAAGTGAAATCAAATAAAGCATTGACCATAACGATATCTTATCACTTAGTTCAAATGTATAGTTAGCCCAGTAATAGACTTGAAGTAGAAATCAATAAGCGTGACCAATCATATTAAAGTCCAAGCTTCCTCGAACTTCCATCTTTCCTTTCTTGGCAAAATACATCCCACATCTACAACAACGCTTCACACTACACCATGTCTTCCGCCGATCCTGAACAGAACCTCTCCCCGGCAGAATTAGCTGAACGTGATCGTAAGGAGCAAGAGCGCAAGGATCAGCAGGAAGCCGAGCAGGCCAAGCTGCCTTACAAATGGACCCAGACTATTCGCGACCTCGAGCTCACAGCGCCTATTCCGGCCAACATCAAGGGCCGCGACATGGTCGTCGTGCTTACCAAGAGCAAGATCCAGGTTGGCATCAAGGGACAGGACCCTATCATCGAGGTACGCTGGCAGATCATCGGAGAAAAGTGACTTGGCACTGACCACATAATTCAGGGTGATTTTCCTTATCCTATTCTCGTCGATGAATCCTCTTGGACCCTCGAAACCACACCCACCCCGCCCGGCAAGGAAGTCAGCGTGCACCTTGACAAGGTGAATAAGATGGAGTGGTGGCCCCATGTTGTCAAGACTGCTCCTAAGATCGACGTCACGAAGATCACACCCGAGAACTCGAGCTTGAGCGATCTTGACGGAGAGACCCGCGCTATGGTGGAGAAGATGATGTATGACCAGCGACAGAAGGAAGCCGGTGGCCCGACAAGTGATGAACAGAAGAAGATGGATCTTCTGAAGAAGTTCCAGGCCGAGCATCCCGGTATGTTAGAGTTATCATCTGGCTAGTTGCCGAATATTGAGGATGTGGGCTAATATTCAGCAGAAATGGACTTCTCCAATGCGCAGATTGGCTAGATCCGAGTTTGTATTATCGACTCCCTTCAAAACGATGCAGAATATGCAGGTCTCCCGAATAGACTACGAATCATGAATTATACGCCTTCAAGTTTGATGGCGTTGGTCCCAAATGAATGATGAGATGCATGATGTCCATCATCCCAGAAAATAACAAGATCTGGGCTGGTCTTTTCCGACTGTTCTACCTGTATGATTTTACTTTTGCTGCTCAATATCTCATGGACCCAATCGTCAAGACAACCTCACAGCCCGGAGGTAGTACCAGTCCCCCGTAAGCAGCTCTCAACCCTCTAGAATTCATCCATGTCTGTTAAATTCAGCCATTGAATCCATGAGTATAGTTAGATTGGGCTGTTTCATAGATCCCGTAAGATAAAAACTAAGTCCCACTCCCCACTCTGTAAGGATACCTAGATACGAAGATTACCCTAGCAATCCATAAATGATATCCAATTCCCTTGATTCTCACCACCAATTGAATATGCTCTCTTGAGAAAACTCAGTTGCTTTGCAGTAATTTCCAATCTAATGTTAGGCCAGGTCTAGCTAGAAGGGCCTGGTTCTGGCTGTGGAGTTTAGTAAGTACTGCAATCCTCGTATCAGTCCACTCCATACACCTTACATCCCTGGCTCCGATTTGACATGTCCGCTACTTGATAAAGAACTCCATTTTACCAGTGGAGTGGAACAATATGCATCTTCCCGGTCTCTTGGGCCCATGTAAGGGAAAATTCCTCTCAGAAGATTTCATGGATGGTCTAGAGTGTTAATCAGGCGTCCGACCTGATCTGCACAGTAATTAGCCTAAGGATTGGGTTCGTTGATCTTGTCGATCATCTAGTTACAAGGTTGTACGCTGTAGTTATTAAAAGTAGTTCGCTGTCAACACTGGTAAAACAAAAGAAAAACGTTAGTACTTCGCAACACCGGCATGATACTCCGTACTATGATTTTATATTTTCGAGTAAAAAAAAGATTCAAATGAAACTTGGAGGCAGTATTAAGCCACAGGTAAGTAATACATCTAGGGTTCTTCCGTGTTAGGATAGAAAATCCGTAGATAGCTAAGTAATATTAGTAATTGAATATTGTCACTAACTATCCACTGACCGCCTTCAACTTCCCACAACACAAGAAAGAATTTCGACTCCAACTGACAATAAATCTCAAAATAGTTTAAAAACTAAAGAGCAAAAAATCTCCGATACGGGGAATCGAACCCCGGGCTGTCCTGTGAAAGAGGACGATGTTAACCACTACACCATGTCGGATTTAAGAATAAACAGGCCCGAGCCGCGGATCGAACGCGGGACCTCGCGCAGGAGTGCTTAGGAGTTGCTGCCCTAAGCGCGAATCATACCACTAGACCACCCGGGCTGTTATTGTATGATTGGATGGCAGTTTTTACCATTATATACCTACAAATCATATACTACGCAAAAGCATCACTTGGGCTACAGATGTAGGAACTTCTACACCAAGCCAAAAAAAAAAAAAAAAAAAAAAAACTGTTACCTATGTTCCAGAGAGTTCCTCCAGAGCTGGGATGGTCAGATTATTCCAACGTTAGGCTCAATTGGTGAATACCAAATCCTGATTTCAGGCTTTACGGAACACTGACGGGGACAAGTACCCAAATCCTTACGAGAAGAATATTATCAACAGTAATGCCTATTTAGGTACTGTGGGCCTAGAAGGCAGCCCACAGTGGCCTCCTGGGTGGAGACTCGATAGGTCCATGTAGCTTGAAGAAAGCCTGCAGGGAATTTCTACATAGTATAGTCGTAACTGAAAGGGAGAAGAAGCCTAACTCTACGGAATTCTTTAGTCAGCATTTCATGACGAGTTAACTACTGCACCTTCCTTTTCTAGAACTATACCAGCTCCCTCCAATTCTATTTCCTTCGTCTTTCATCATGTCCCTATCCGTATTTGAACCCCCCCCCCCCCCCATGAGTCGAACCATGATGAAGACTTGAATGACAATTACTTGACAAGTCTTTCGGTGAACGAATTTGATACTATTGAGGGCTTCCAAAAGTACGTCAGATTATTATTGAGCTTGACGGTGTCGCATGACCACCTCTTTACCGACGTACCACCATCTTGGGGAGAAACAGTTTTTGCTCAAGTCAACGATGAGTTTCGATTCCGGTAAGTTGAACCCTGATATTATAATAATATCTTAAGCTAATATATCTGAATTAGTCAAACCCTGAATTCAACGGAGTTTGAGCTCCGAATTAAAACAATGCCGGTTCAGGTCCATGATGCCCATATTGGCTGGGTACACAGCGAGATGATGGAGTGGCAATTTGCAAATCTTCTCAGTCGAGCGGAGGTGGAGCTTTGTCGTTCCAACGTCGGCACAACAATTGACTTCATCAAAGGATCTAAAATGCAGCCAGATTTGTATTTTTGGGTTAATCGGACCACGTTGCCGACCTTCTCAATCGAGACTGGGTGGAGTGAGTCATTTCCGCGGCTCCTTCGAGATAAAGAGCTCCTTTTAGATGGAAGCCAGGGAGCATGCCAAACCGTCATGATAATATCATGGCGAAAACATGTTAGAAACAGAGTTGCAGGAAACATGCAAGTCTGGAAATGGGACCAGGGACAAAAGACCCTGAGTCAAACTCTGGTATATTAAGGTATGTTAAATTTCTGTTCAAGTCACTTTCTGATCTTGATAGCAAATTTTTCCTCGGCCCACCAATGGGCACCTTCAGACTGTCAACTTGACGCGTATGGAGATTTTTGGGCAATCAATCTTACCCGGAAGAAATCCCGCGGACACCTTTACCCTACACCTTGACAACCTGCGGAATATTGCCGGCGACGCTATCCACCTGATGGGATATACACCAGCATAGCCTGACAAGGATGACTCTTCCCAGGGCTATCACGCAACGGGTCCTTTTTTCAACGGCACCCCTGGAGGTTACGTGATGAGGGGTTACCATGGACATTAATCAGTCCATCCATACCTACCTAACCACCCAGGTACTATTGCGTTGATTACCATTGACATCCATGAATTATTCCAATATTGTTTCTTAAGATATTCACAGCCTTGGAACATTTTGACGGTAGTGATGGAATTTTTCTGTCGAAGTGACCCAATATATATCCATATATTTATGTCAAATGCTGACCACCAGCACACTTGAATAAATTGATCAAGAACCCAATTACCAAGGGATTCCAATATTCCCTTTATCCCTTTAACCCAGTCGTAGTATCGTATGTAGAGTCGCACCAAAAAAAAAAGAGGCGAGGCAGCAGAGCAAAAAAGAAACGCAAAATGCTGTGATAAGCGAGTCCAGCTCGAGTATCATGCGGTCCAGCAGCTAGCACAAATTAAGCAAGTATGTTTTCATACAGTCGTAAGGTTAAAAGTCAATCACCTGCTCTCCCATGAGGTCCTTCGGTGACGACGAATAGATTGATCATCCGCCTCTGAATGTGGTGCCGACGTTCGCCCATCATGCACCCGAGCCAAAGGCAGGGTATTGATTGGAACTACCATAGAGGAAGACACAGAGATTGATCGAGAACGAGTAAACACAGACGATTGACGTGGAGAGTAAGCAGGCGGTGGAGTTTCCCTGGTTGCAGTAGAAGTATTACCATAACTACTCGGGTAAGAGATATCGGAAGAATTGTCTGATGTATCATCTCCATCATAGATATCCTTCTCATATTGGAAGCCAGTCTCTGACGATATTGGGGGATCGCGTAGGTGTGACTCAAGCGTCTTTTCGTTGATGCTCATCGGGCGCGGAGTGTACTGCGGAAGCGGGACCACACTTGCATAGCCCCCATCGTCCGAGCCATCGGGCGGGGGTCCGTGCAAACCCGTCAGATTCGGAGTTGAGGCTCGGGTGAATCCGCCCTCAGCTGAGAGAATGAACTGGCCTGTGTGAATACCGTGGCGAGTGTGATTCTGAGAATTCACTCCTGGTGTCTTGGGTTCAGAGGGCAGTTGGGTATCCTCCCCGCGGGTGAGGCACCCGCAGAGCATCGTTAGCAATGACATTGCTGGTTGATGCTTTGGGCAGTTGGATGCAGAAGTGAGAAATTCCCGAGGTCCGTTGAAGTGAGTAGAGAGAGCAAAATGTTCTCAGAGAAATTAAATCTGAATTTGAAGCTATATCATCCCGTATTGAAGACAGTTGTAACGATAATATGGTAGATTTAGCTGCAATTTCGTATAGCGATGTAGTAGCTATGGAGTATTCCCCATAGGTATCAGAAGCCTCTGAGATAGGACCTTGGGAGGGGGAAAATAAATGGAAAGCCTCAGGTGAGAATTTCAGTCACGATTATGAGGGAAAGAAAAAGAGAGCTGTGGAAGAGGGTAGATTATTTGAGGCAGCCGCAGGCATCCAGATTCTTGACATTGACACCTGACATATCAGGCCCTAACACAGATCACAGCGCTAGAGCAGGTATTTTAGGGTTCGTTTGAATTTATATTAGCGTTTGAATCTAAGAACATGCTCATTGCTCATTTCTATGAGGATACTCAGGTAATTTTGATACCTTTGAACGGGTTATATATGTTCTCGGGCTATGTGGAGCTCTAGAAAGAGCCCTAACTTCTACGTTCATCCTACCTAATCACGACGAGAAATTTAATTTGGTATATCAAATCATTGCAAGTTTTCAATAAATTCTATTTGGCCTCAGCTCATAGATGTGACTGAAATTTGAAATTTATCAGCTTCTCACTTCCAAGTGCTTGGAGTGGTTCGTACTTCTTGTTATAGTTGACTGCTAGACTTGAAAATAATGCTGGCATAACTCAATATGAGCAAAACAGAGATGTGCAGGCTTTTATGGTCATTAACACGCAGCTCACTCGCGCGATGGAATTTCTTCTTTTCCTTGTTTACCCATTTTGATTTTGGACTTCAGACCTCGCGCTTTCTTCACACACTGCCCTCCAAACCTTTCCCACCAACATACTCAGCTTTCCTCCTCTCAACCCCAACATTGTAGACAGTTTTACCCTTCCCACTAGATCTGAAACTTAGTTCATTGTTGGGATCCCTCTGGTGAATGTGACATATGGAATGTTATTGCTTTCATTTCGCTTGACAAGGTGCGGTACCACACACGAAGCACTCAAAAATAAGTCCCCACGTGTGGACCACTTGACTGGGAATTAATACGTCAACACCTCTAATTCGGAAAGCAAAGTCCTCGTCCGGACGTAGAGGGGGTTATGGTCTTTATTTCTGAACCATCCCCAAGGAATATCAATTTTGAAAATCGACGGAAAGTCTGCGCTAGCTAATTCCCGAAAGTAGTCGGTTTCATGCATCGAGCCTAGTCGATAGACTACTGCTTGCGTGAGGTCACCTAGCTCGTCCTTTAGCATCTAAACACCTTTCAGGATATCTTTCAACCCATAATGAGTAGCTATATATGGGCCGAGTTCGTCAAACCCTGGGAAGGACGTCAGGTATTCGTGTGCAAGAATACGAGCCCGTTGAGTCGACCGTCCAGCAGACATAGCTTCTTCAACTCATCTTCCCCTGATGGAAATGGTGGTATGGCGCGGGGTTCCGGCCATTTAGCCTTGTAGCTTGCGAGTGGAAGGCCTAGGCGTTTCTTATAGCTGCTTTCCCAATCGTCGTCTTATGCAGCGAAGAATATCTGCTGCTGCTCGCCAGCAAGCCCATCCATTTCACGCTATCATGGACATATGTTGTATTACTCGAAGCCTCCCTGAGGCCTTCTACTCGCAAGCTATAAGGCTAAATGGCTGGAACTCCGCGCCATACCACCAATACGACCAACACTTCCACTAGCGCTCCATGACGAGGATTCACCGAAATCATCTGCTGCTGCGACCGATGTCGCATTCATGAACCGTACATTAATATCAGGGTTCAATAGCCACCCATAAGAATAACATGATGTGATGAATAGAGTGACCGGGCTTGAAAGCTGTAGCAGGTTATGGACATCTTTCATTTGAAAAATAGGCTCCTTTCCAATAACTAAACCACCAGTAGCAAGTGGCCACCTCGTATGTGGTCGTCCCATGGCCGAAGATGAGAATTATCAAGTGTTCTCCATTAACTGCTGCCTCTTGAGCTTGCTCTCGAAGCGTGCCAAGGTACCGTTCCGACAAGTTCTCTCTGGAAACCACCCGAATATTCTGAGCGACATCGATCTTTGGCAGCATTCCAGCATCGAGGACGACTCGTCGTTCACCATGAGCATACTCAGTGTACTTGTCTACCAGACGCGATGGATCCTCACATGTCATCCAAAGCTGGCTAGGTCGTACTAGTACTGACTATCAGCTAAAGCGCAAAAGAGATTAGACCAAGAGGGACTTACTGGTGGGAAAGCCAGGGGAAAGTAAGTGGTGGAAAGGTAGAAATCTGATACAATCCATACATCCGATTTGTGGGCAGGAGATGCGATATTTTTAACATCAGTGATGGTCAGAAGGGCGAGTATGCGATGGTGCGGAGGAATATCGGGCGGGCAATGCGTTAGGAACTCTCTTCCTGACAATTCTCTTTCAGTTCCAGTTTGCCGTCCCATAACGTTAAAGGACTCCAAGTCATCTGGACGGATGGAAGGCCCCGCCATGAGGGAAACTCCTGATGGAAACTGCTCAGAACCGATAGAAAGATTTGATGGAAAGTGTTAGGAAAAGTGCCGGTGATGATGACGAGGGAATATGGAGGCATAAAACCTGATATAATAGTACCTGTACGCCACAACTGCTGGTGGAAGGAATGAAATTTCCAAATTGGAGCCGAAAATGAGAGTTCGTGCTCACGTGTAGTTGGTGCGGAATCTTCGCTGCTTATTCGAGTCGATGTCCAACGGCATAAATATCATAATGAGAAGTTTATCAGGGAAACCGCATACTTAGGTAAATGACAGTGGAAGAATATCCACTATAGTGGGGATAATCAGAGAGGTGTGGAGAAAGGAAAGTCAAGTTCTTTAGAAGAGTCGGTTTTATACCATGAATTCAAATCAAATAATTAGTAGAATGAATAAGCAGCGAAATAAAAGAGAATAGTGATATTAATCTCAAGTCATAGTGAAAGTAAGGTTAGTCTCGGACAGACTATAACGAAGTAGCCAATTTCAAGTCATGAATGTAGATTGGTTGATAGATGTATAATGGAGAATGCTTAATGCTTCTCATCTGAGCCACCGGCAGTGTATCCCCCTAGCAATACCCTTGCGCCCTTCTTTGACCAATGTGCTATCATCCCCGTCCTCATCATCATATCGGATATCGAAGTCACTTCCAAGTCCCTTCCATGTGCGCTGCGACTTGAGGAATTCCGCCGCTGGAGATATAGAGTTACCAATCATTGCAATATCACCCTTAGTCCTCCGAGCCAAAGCCCTAGCAGCAGATGGCTTAGAAGATCCATCAACCTGAGAAACCGATGGTGTAGTATCGCGCATGGGCCGTGAATGCGAAACATAACGCCCAGTACGCAAGTCAAACTCTGGAGGTGCAGACTCAGGTTCTGACATATCGCCCTCATCATACTCTGCATTGTCATTTGACATCTTCTGTTCATCGCTCTTCTCTTCAGCGGGCTGATCAAGGATAGCCTGGAAATCACTCTGCCATGCTCCTGTCCACAGCCGCTCTGCATCGCTCTTCAGGGCTAGCTCTAGTTCGAATGGAGTAATAACGGGCTTCCAGAAGTCCTTGCTATCAACAAGTGAGCTCTCCCAGCAGCCAATGACTACCCAACCACCAATCTCGCTGAAGTTGGCAATCTTGGCAGCGTTCAGTTTGCCGACGACAAACATGTAGCTTTTCTTTCCTGCTGACGCAATTCGTTCCTTGACATGCTCCACGATGTGTAGGTAGTTCTTCACACTCAAGGTGTTGATCAAAATTCCCCAGATGGGAACCGTGGTCAAAGATGTCAACAGGGCATAGCGTCGCCGCAAGGCTGCAGCTGTGGATGCTGGTAGTGGCTTGACATCGCCGTTGCCCGGGTTGTTTGTAGGATAAATATGAATGGCAGCAACACGAGATGCAAGAGTTAACAGAAGAGCAGTCGGTGGGTCGGAGATGTGGAACAGTTGCCAGTCTGACAAGGTCTCCGGTGCTTCACTAACAGACTCGGGGACTGTACGATTGGGAATAGGTGAAGAGGGTTCATGGAGCAGCTTTGTAGCGAACAGATTGGTATATCCATCCTCGACCAGGCGATCGTGTAGCATAGCCACATAATCGATGAATGTGACATCTGCCCCGATGATGACCTTGGTGGTCAGGTCAGAATAGGTCGCTTTAAAGGCATTCACAACCGGGTTCAAGTTCAGAGGTTTGCGGGTAAAGACATGGATCACTGGCAGTCTTGCTGTTGGCGAAAGGCAAGATCTTCCGTAGTGTACCACGATGTCTGCATCCACATGCTCCGCGGCTACCTCATCGACACAGCAGGTCCCGTACGAGGTGTCGGCCAGAATATAAAGACGAGGAGACCACTTCTCCGTATGATCCACAGATAGTTGAGCAACAGACTCGGTGATGGTTCCTGCCTCGGTATTGTCATTTGATTTGATGTTAACTTCGGAGATGAGGCCACGGCTCAGCAATTGGAAAATCCGAGGCGCATCCGGGAGCATATCATCAGGGAACTGAAGTGCAATGCGCTTGTATCGTGCATCACGGATCTCCTTCAGTGTGCGCTCGATGTCGTAGGTGATGGAGAGTTCGTCATCGGAGATTGGTTGCGACCCTGTGCTCACGGCTACGGGCTCCCTTTCTTCGAGGATTCGATCGTCGGGGGTTGATAGTACGGGTGCTGCCTCCATTTCTGACCCCATTCTCTCCGGAAAATAGGGTTGGGGTGTTTTAAGTGACGGTTGAGTGAACGTGCGAAATTGTGAAAATGTTCGGAGAAAAAATGAACCCCCACTTTGCCCGCCGGAGATAACAATTACCAGCAGCCGATCGGAGCCCAACTGTCAACTCTTCAAGCTTATATCCAAGATACAATTACAATATTAATCCCGTGAATATATATAATTTTATATTTTGATCAAATCATCCATGTTATATATACAGCTATCTATAAATCCGCACGAGCGGGTTCACCCGCCCAAACTCTACGAATAACCTCGCGAATGGGTTCGCGTTCAATCGGTCGGGGGTTCCAGTAAGCGTTTGAGACAGCGATATCAGCAGCCTTGTCGACATCCTCCTCCTTCAGACCGTATTCCTTCAATCCGCGCTTAACCTGCAACTTCTCCAGAAGAACATTGAGGCCGTGAATCGCATCACCGTTGCTCTCGGGAAGTGCCTCAGCAAGCGATTTCATGGCATCTGGGATGTTGGGGGCGTTGTAGGAGATGGCGTGGGGCAACACGGCAGTGTGAGTCTCTGCGTGGGGGAGGTTGAAGCTGCCACCTAGGGTGTGGCACAGCTTGTGGTGGATAGACATGCCCACGCTGCCCAGGCAAGTTCCACACAACCAGGCACCGTATAGAGCCTTCGATCGGGCTGATTGAGAGGAGGGGTTTTGGACAATTTCTGGAAGAGCGGACGCGAGTGCCTTGGTGCCTTCAATGGCCATCATCTTGATGATTGGGTTGGTGTTGCGCGCGTAGAGGGCCTCGACTATTTCGAAGCTGTATTAGTGGCTTGAGGCTTACGATTATGATGCTTGTATTTATAACTTACCAGCATGGGCAATCGCATTGACACCGCTGGTAGCGCTCATAGATGCGGGCAGAGTCATGGTCAAGTCAACATCATAGATGACGGTACCAGGCAGGATCTTAGGGTCAGAACGAGTCTTTTTCAGACCGTCGGCGGTCTCGCCTAGGATGGGAGTCATCTCACTACCAGCATAGGTAGTAGGGATGCAAATATGAGGTAGTCCAGTCCGAATGCTAATCGCCTTGCCGAGGCCGATGGTGCTTCCGCCGCCAATGGAGATGACCGAGTCGGCACCCTGTGCCTTCGCATACTCGAGTGCCTTGTCGGTAATGTTTGTGGGAGTGTGCATGGTTGCTTCGCCGAAGATGCCAGCAACCTGGCCCTTCAAAACATCTTTCACGGTCTCGGCATGGCTGACCTGTTGAGGAGTGGAAAGAACCAGCGGAGCTTTCAGTTGTAGGCGGGCGATCTCCTCGGGGAGTTTCTGAAGAGTCCCACTGCCGAATATGACACGGCCGGGATTGGGGGTGTACTCGAATGCGTCCATTTTGAAATTAAAAAAAATGTACTAAGATATTTAAAGAAGAAGGAGAGCCGCAGTCTTATTTATTCTCCTAAGACCCACTCTGATTTCATAAGTCGCCGCGGGGCCTGTGGGGTGGTAGATCAGGTAAGCCTCATTTCGATCAAGCTTTAGTTTCTATTTTAATCTTATATTGAGCAATTCTACTACTAATCTGTCAATTGCGATTACTGATCAATTGCGAAACCCTTAATATCTCTGTTTTCTGAGTTGGAATATTCGCATTGGCTTGTCGAGGCATCAATCTTTCCCCGCAAAGTTCGGATGAAGAATCACGGAAATCCCCCTAATCCGAGCACGAGGGAGCATTAAGACCTCGGAAATAGTCAAATCGGACTACTTCGAGTGGAGCTTAGTCGGTCTCGGTTGTGGATGATGAATATATGTATACTCCATGCTGGGTAGTGGTATGTAGTGGGTATCAGATAATGGAGTCTTGAAGTATCAGTCCAAATCGTGGAAAGCCATGACATGCTGTCCACCACTGCGGTCCTTCTTGGTCTTCTTCCGCTTCTTGTTCTCCTTTGCGCTTTGACGAACCTCACGGTCACTGTCATCAGAATCAGAATCATCACTGTCGTCGCTACCAAGCTCATGCTTTTCACCGGCCAGGGAATCACCCCCAACGGCAGCTTCATGCCAAACTTTGACTATCTGTCCACCACCGGAAACCATGCGACCCTCAACATCAAATCCAAGACCCACGACACCCTCAGTCTCGTCATGCTGGACCTCTGACACGACCTTGTTGGGTCCAATGCGAATAAACTTGACTAATCCGTTGGCTAGACCAGCTCCAACCATCTTGCCCATTCCAAGGTCATTGGGTACGACGGCCAATGTCTCAATTGACTCGCCGCCATCATCACCACCACGAACGTAGATTCGCTCGTCTTGGTCGTCCCACGCGCCCTTCTCCCATAGTGTCACAACACCGTTGGATCCACCAACGATGATCTTCTCACCCCGACTGGTTCCGCTGCAAGCCAAGCCTCCCATGTAGGCCGAGCTGATGGGTTCCTCCTCTTGATCCTCGCTGCGCACTAGCACTCCTCTCCGTAGATCTGTCACAGCCAGCGTTGTTCCGCCAGTGGTGACCCATTGCTTACTGAAGCCAGAAGTGCTAGTTTCAGACGCTGGTAGGGGAGTCAGAGATGAGATATAGTCGTCATGGGGATGGTAGGACTGTTCAGGCCGAGCTGAAATTTTAGAGTAAGGGATTCGCAGATCATAAAGATGTAAAGCACTGGAGTCTGTCGCGAGTAGAAGAGTCTGGGGAGAAAGTGCGTGAATCACGGTCGGAGAATCAATCGCTCTGGAAAACATATCAGCTTCAATGAAGTGCTGCAAAGTTTTACTAAGCCCTACCCGCTTTTCTCAAGAGGGATTGCAATCTTGTTCTCAACCCGACCACTTTCAGTCTTGGCAATCTTCACCAGGCCGTCAGTGCCAGCAGAGTAAAGCATATCTCCGTCAACTCCAAAGCCCAAGCACCGGCAGCTGCCCTTGTGTCGTCTTGTGGTCCACATTGTGTCAATGTGACCCTTACCATTGCGCGAGGATGAATTGGACGCTGTGTCATCTTCGTCAGCATCTTCAGATGGCAATCGGAAGGTCTGGACGTGGCCGCTAGCTAGACCGACGGATACGACAGGCTCCCGTGAGTGAATAGCCTGTGCGAACAGGTCCGACGAGAGCGGCAATGTGCACACTGTATCGAACATAACTGAGTGTGTATATGAGGGATCAGGAATTGATCACTCAAGGATATAGCTGTTTTAGATCTGTATCGAAATTGAAGAAGGAAGCTTGAAGGTTAAAGCTGCCTTTTTTTTCTGCGGGCCGAGGATCTTCCGCTTAGACGAATGACATCAACGGATGGGATAAGCTTAATATGAAACAGCTATCTCACTATCAATCTAAATCTATTATTTCCACAACGTACGAGGGAATGCCAAAATTGTACTCTTTTCTACGAATTTTTGGCATATGAAGCTCCCTATATTCTCTACCTCAGGGCCTTCACCTCCTCAAGAGACAAGTGCAGCTAAATCTGCAAGGGAGCTCAGGTGTTGCAACTTATTAATCTACATTTCATGCAAGCATCGTCTCAAGGCTAATCTTAACAGATCTCCTAATAACACTTTGTGGATTGCATTGTCTATCCCAATATGAACTCCAGCTATTTTAAAGCAGTTATATATATATGCTGAGTGCAGTAATTGAGTCGGGTTGTTTTAGGATGATTATATTGCTGACGCGGGGTATGGAGTAGTTGGCGTTCAGATAGTTGATACCAGATACTTAGTGAGGAGGATCTTCTAGCTGATGGTTAGATTATATGAAATTTTATGATGAAATTGAACTATTAATTACCTTGAATCGCAATTTGCAACCAGGACGTATTGTTGTATTCGTAGTTCGAAATCAGCACGTCTGATGACGTAACCAACTTCTCCATCTTATCGATGAGCCTTGATCTTTTTACCCAACAATCAACAAGGCGCATTCCCTCATTTCCATATTCCCATCAGCGCTTGCAGCATTCATTATCCAGGGCTCCCAGTCGTGGGAATCATATCTTCATACTATACATAATCACACCCATTGACTCGATTCAGTGGGGAGCTATACCGTAACCATGGCGCTGTACAACCAGACATTGGATTTCTTGACCGACTCCTGGACGAATCAGCGAACACATCTCCCATTACTAGCTGTAACAGGGGCTTCATTCACCTTTGGACTTCTGCTTCGATCGCTTTTGAGTGGTGCGGCACCTGATGTAAAGGTGTTGCCTTCACCCCGCGAAAGACTCCTTCAGGGGCTGACGGAGGAAAAGAATCGTGAACTACCTCTTCCCTTGGATGCTTTGCCCGGTGCGCGCGATGTCGCCTCCCCATATGGTTCAATCAGGGTATATGAATGGGGTCGGGAAGATGGCCCTAAGGTGTTACTCGTACACGGTATCACCACGCCATGTATCGCACTAGGCGGGTTGGCCCATGCACTGGTTGACCGGGGTTGCCGTGTTATGCTTTTCGACCTGTATGTTGTCCCACCGACTGACTGGTACTTAAACAGATCGATCTGACAGTGAATTAGGTTTGGTCGTGGGTACTCCGATTGCCCGGCCGATCTCCCCCAAGATAGTCGGCTGTTCGCGACACAGATCATGCTGGCTTTAGTCTCATCGCCCATCTCTTGGACTGGCGCCCAGTCCGGCAAATTTAGCCTCGTCGGTTACTCTCTGGGAGGTGGTATTTCTGCTGCGTTTGCGTCTTACTTCCCTCAGCTCCTATCGGCGTTGTTTCTCCTCGCTCCGGCCGGCCTAATACGCGAGTCGCAGATAACCTTCCAGAGCCGTCTTCTCTACACTGCAGGCATTATACCCGACAGCATCCTGGGTTATATTGCAGGCCGTCGCCTAGAAGCCGGTCCCTTGATGAAGCCTAAGCCCAAGAACGAGAAGATTAGCGCGTCAGCTGCACTATCCGAAGAATTTCCATCACAAAATGGAGCAGACGTTCAGATTCTCTCGAGGGAATACCCTGATATCAATTCCATATCTACTGTTACGTGGCAGGTGAAGAATCACCCTGGATTTGTGCATGCTTTTATGTCCAGCATGCGTCATGGTCCCCTCCTGGCAGAACGTCAATCGAGTACATGGGCCCAACTGGGAGAATATCTTAGTGCACAGAGCCTCTCGCCAGATAACAAAACCGAAAAAGTGCCAGGTCTACCTGCTGACAAGGTTCATATTCTATGTGGCAATAACGATGCCATAATCATCAAGGACGAGCTCGTCTCAGATGCCACAGCTGTTCTTGGCGGTAATGCGGTTTTCAAGTTCTTTGAAGCTGGCCACGAATTCCCCAGCACCAAGTATGAAGATATCGCGCAATATATCTTCAAATTTATATGAAACACTGTTCAATCTTTTTTTTTTTTTTTTTTTTTTTTTTTTCGTTCGGTTCAATTGACAAGGTATCTTTCCATAGCAAGTAGTTCAATAGGTTTAATTTAATTACACACATGCACACAAGGATATCACGCTTTAGAAAATTTCAAGATCCGGAGCTCCAGGCCCCTTCCCACAGCTTATTCACGTTCAGGCCTCGGTCCTTCGCTTTAAGATTTCATTCATTGCATTGCATTGATTTGTAAGTCTGTCGATGTGATTTGATCGGTCTGCCATCCGTGCTCCGATATAGTAGGGCCCCTCAGATGCTGATTCATGGACAAATCGATCAAGGCTAGTGCGGCTCGCTTTTTGGATCTTGACGACGTTGCTTTGGCTGAGAATGTTGGATGTGTTGCCACTGCCATTGCCATTGCTAGAACTGTAATTGACGTCGTTAGTCTTTTACTTCACTTTAATAGGTGGACGTCAGGACTTACGATGATTGAGCTTCTGGGACAGACATGATTTTGAGTTGAAGAAAAGTTTATCCTTGCCAATGATCTCACAGGACAGTAGAGTAAAAGCGGATTATATGATCTAGTAAGTTGACTAGAGGATATTGATAGACTATTGAGGAGGATCTTGTTTGAGAAGCTTGAATTGTATAATAATGGCATTTGAGTAGGAGAATTGCGCTCTTTAAGTAGCAATGCGAGGCTATGTCCGAGCCAGAGGCATACCTTGAAACACGCGAGCTTAACGACAGCCCGCATGGCCCACATGGCCAAAGTGGAACCGAAAGAAGAAAGGAATGAAGGAAAGGATCTTCATGATGCATGCACTGCATCGCAAACAGGTGGAGATGATCCACCCTGTGATACCATTCCAGTAAGGCTGGAGACGAATAGAGCTAGAACGGATGACCGCCAGGAATTTCCAAGCAGGAAAACTCATACCAAAAATAACGAAGTATAGTTGGGGAGGGCTGAATATGCACCGGATTCATACAAAACAAGCGACTAGGGTGAGACTATTAGGGTGCAGGTCAGAGACTGCGGCCAATAAGGCAGGTACTAGATGCATGGGGGGACAACTATCGCGTCCTCGATGTCCGAGTACGGCTGAATACGGGAAGCAATAAAACTGAATGATCAACATTTTTGTATACGGCACATGGCGAGCCACATGTTTCAGAGTGGGAGTAACCAGATCTAGTAAATGTACCGTGGAATGAGGGAAGGGGAGTTTATGCAAGTTCAACGGTGGGATTTTCAGTGAGAGGTCGAACAAGGGATAAAAAGCCATTTCACGCGAGGTCTCAAACTGGTCTAGAGGTCTAGATCATCCAGATTTAGTAGATCCTTGTCGGTAAAGTAAGCTAGTGCGCGTTGCTGCAATGTACGTCTCGCGTGGTAATTTGGCTTTAATTTTTTCCTTTTTTCCTTTTTTCCTTTTCTCGTTTTTTTCCATTTCTTTCTCTTTCAGAGAGAGAGAGAGAGAGAGAGAGAGAGAGAGAGAGAGAGAGAGAGAGAGTTAGAGCTTTTAGAGGAATAAACGTGGCTGATCACATGGCTATAATAGAATCTAGTCATTGAAGATTTTATAGACGGGGTAAGCTGATTGGAGTAGTTTAGACTGGAATCAAATTTTCAACATTCTTCACTATACTCGACTCTAGGGCTTTGAGTGCCCTATCAACTTGGGATATTCTTGCATCAATTGACAGAAGACCGGGGTATGGGAATTAAGGGACTCAGTTTCATGTCTACAAAGGTACGTACAGACTACTTTCTCTTCATAATTTGACCAGGTGATTTGTGATTATGAATATCTCCGGAATGCTATGACCATCCAATATTGACGCATTTAGCAAATACTAAGGGAGAGGAGATCGGCGAACACGCGATTGTGTTTCAGAGTGATCAAGGGTCTACAGAGGCGCACGTGGAATATGTAATACACTCTAAAAATGGGCTGTGACGAGTAACGTCCCGGATCCCCACAGAAGATGAATTTAGCTTCACTCTACGTCATCTACTAGATAGACCCTACTCTATATTTCACTATCGAAAATCTTTGCCTAGATATTTCGTACTTCATTGATCAAATTTCCCAATAATTGCTTGAATACTTCATTGTTAAATAATAAAGAAACCAGGACGGATTTCAAAATGTGAAGCATCCTAGAAGCGTGGGGAAATGAAACACTCTGGGTGTGGCTTCGGTCCGCCCCACCCGTAACTTACTAGGCTAGTGCCTTGGGGTATGCTAACCACAAAGGCCTTAGAGCCATATGAGATCCATCGTTTCAGATCATGAGCTTGCTTTTCCCACGCGTTCTTGAGCTTTGATCATTCCAGCCTTCATGTTTGGAGCGGGCCCGCAATGCAAGGCCCACCAACCTTATCTCTAGAGGTTCGCTAAGCGATCATTAAGTGATCTATTTACAAATTTTGTACATAGTATTCCCTCGTCCTCTTTGACTTTGACTATGTCTCAGGGTGATTGAGTTCCTTAAGTTGAAAGTCCAGCTGATTTTGGGTGGTTGTACTACTATTCAATCTTCCATTTTTGGTTCGTCATACGGAGTACTCCGTACATTTGTTGATAGCTCAGCCCTACATTATTTTGAACATAACAGCCAAGATCTTAGACTAGCAGGATCAAAAAGTCCGCAGGTTTAATGCATCTTGCAGATCAGAGCTCATCTTGGCTTTAATTTAACTTTGTACGTATCACAGTCTCCGCTAGTGATTATCAATACCTATTAGACAGGTAAAGATCATCAACCACTACATATGATCATCCCTTGACATTGTTAGCCCACACCAATTATAGGCGAGACAGCGCAGTCTGAAACGCGAAGCTCATCTCCATCACTTTTTGCAACGGCGAACGCCGGCATAGATTCCGAAGAGCCTCTGTACGTTGCCACCGCAACATGGCTGAGCGATAGAAACTCAATGCTTGATCGCTTAGGTATTTACCATGCGCCACGCGAGAATTTCATCATTTAACCGCTCACCCCCTTCCCTGCAATTTCATATGTCCGATTACACCCGAGTCCCAGTCGACCCTGAATAATATCAATTCCATGACTATAAGTCCGAAGCCCTAATGCCGATAGATTCCTGCCTCCTTGCACCGTGGAATGATAAAACATTGGTTTCCAGATGAGAACAAAATACGAGGATCGCAATATCCGTGTGGCTTGTCTTCGGCCGAAGCCCCCCCCCTTCGAACTCAGCCAAGCCACACTGATATTAAAATGCCATTACAATAAAAATCAGCTTGCCCAGAGACTGACCTGTGCTACTGAGGCTTGATTTTGATGTATGCCATAACTTTCGGCTCCGACTAAACCCAGCTATTTGGTGTTCAGCGCAATGCTTTTTCTTCTAGGCTATCTATGCTTTCTTTTTTCTCAAAGCGAGCACAGCTAGGTGAAAATAGCCTCGAAACCCCACATCGGTAGAACTGGCCATTCATAGTTAGGCTGAAACATCAGCTCAAGTTGAGAAATGCTAGTAGATGCCAGCTGGAATATGGGTCATCAATTTCGATTATAAGCCATATCTCAAAAGGGACATCCGAGGTCGGTATGGATCCTAAGTTCGATTGATGAGATTGGTCCACAGGTGAGCCAGAGACAAGCCATAAATGATCGTCATAAATTCTCAAGGCTCAGCCTTGAATGTCGTCTCTTTCTGAATACCTAGATACCGACTTCCTTTTCTAGTATCTTAATTAGGGTTTTATTCTTGGACGTCTTAAACCCCTTTTAAGTAATGTTCACTGTGCTTTCAACGATTCTTCCATTTTGCGAAGTCAACTGTCTAAGAATAAATAAATTTCTTACAGCGTTGAGACGACACCTTGCTTACTCTGAAACTTGCCTTAAATAGTAACGTTTGCTCCCTATTCTCTTACTGATATAACCCCCGAAAGCGGTGCACTGCTCAGAATATGCAAATGAGTTTTATGGACACTTGTCACACCCCCCTAATGATCGCATTCTTTTCTTATACCTATATAGTATAAAAATGAACGTAGATTTCATGAGTGCCTACCTAATAGTTTCTGAACTCCATATCGCCATGGTCGTTCGAACACTGAAGCCTTATCTTCGCGCACTAATGGAACAAATAATCTTCCACAATATAAGATCCTATATGGGAGAATGTCACACCGATCAATGACCAACATTTCACGAGCTCGTATATATGATGTACACTCTTCAAGAAGAACGTTGTAGCATGACAAGAAGGGATTTAATCATTTAGGTTTCTGATAAAGGATACTCAGGTGGATGAAGATAAAACCGTTTCCAATTGTTGCAATAAATGGTGACGTTTAGGATGTAGAACGAGAGTTATAAGGAGTGTAAGGAGTACCATGTTGGTTTACTTATTTGATCGGCTATATCTGTGATGATTGTGAAACATAGTCCACTCATCTAGTGGATTCTGAGAAAATGATGTACTAAGTAAACTCAACATAATAAAAGGCTAAGATGTATGTAAATACCTAGGTAAATAGTTACAACGCTAATAGTTAGATTCTGGCGGTGTCCACATAGGAACTCTTTATACTATAACAAGCAATTAACTAACAACATACGTAACAGAAGCCTGAGCTTGAAAGTGATATTCTAAAATCTGCATTATTTATCAAGGTAATGGTAGATAACGGAAAAGTGATATGCGATTTCATTAAATGAGATTTTGCGGGGCATCAATCTTGAAATGACGTAGTTTACTACCGATGATCTTCTCTCGAATGAATGAATGACGCAACATGAATGAGATCAACTCCTCTATATAAATAGTTTCCCTTTTCTTGTTTGATCTTGGTAACACTTGGATCTAGTTTTTGACTCCATTTCCTTGGTCATAGTGAAAAAAAACTAGTTATCCCCACACGACCCTTGATCTAGATATGGGTCTAGCTTATGCTTATCACAAGGCGATCGCATTATTTCTTCGTGGCCTTGTTAAACCCAGACTTCACCTCAACCCAAAGCCAGATGAAACAGTTTCTATTCCATCCCGCCAAAGCGACCGCACCATTAAAACTCATGTCTACAAATCAGCTTCAAAGAAAACACCTAGTCCAGTTCTAGTAAATTTCTGCGGAAGCGGGTTCGTCCTGCGCACATTCGGGACAGATGACGAATACTGTCGATTAATCGCAGACCAAACAGATTATACAGTAATCGATGTTCAGTACCGACTCGCCCCAGAGCACCCGTTCCCAGCAGCATTTGAAGATGCAGAGGATGTAGTGACCTGGATAAGATCGCAACCAGATCGCTTTGATCTATCCCACCTGTCACTATCAGGTTTCAGTGCGGGTGGAAACATCGCCCTTGCAATTTCTTCCTCATCTTCATTATTCAAATCGACAGAAAAGGGAAATATCTTCAATACAGTCATATCATTCTATGGAATTACAGATATGGCTCTGGAAACGCCGATCAAACCCATGCCCGATACTTCCAATTTCATTATGCGGAGGATCTTTCCATCTTTCTCGCATCTGTGTCACAAATGTCTTCTCATGAATGGTGCCGATCCAACAGATCTTCGAATGTCTCCTGGGTCCGCTGACCCACAGAATTTCCCAGATCATGTTTTGATCATAACAGCTGCGCAATGCTCTTTTGCTATCGAAGGTGAGAAGTTAGCAGAGAAAATTGGTAGTTTAGATGGTGGTATAGAAGGAAAACTCACGGTGTGTTGCAGGATGGATGGCTGTGCTCATGGGTGGGATAAGGAGGTTGTTAGGGGCACCTCTCAATGCAAGGCAAAGGATGAGGCGTATACTCTGGCAGTTGAAATGTTGCAAACTGGCGTGAACCAGAATATTGAGGCTTAGTGGAGCGAAGTCTGACTTGATACCCATTATATAATTGCTGGCTTGCTTTGATTTTCAAGCTCGGAATGAACGCAGCGTTTTCTCTTTCTCCAAGATTTTGATTTAAATACGCCTTAGAATCAACGAAAGCAAGCTTGATAGTAAATATGACCAAAAGCTCATTGTTCAAATGCAATATCAAAATGATACTAGGTTTCTGGATCAATGAAGGCTGACTCCCCGCCGTGAACAAAAACTGTTTTTTTTTTTTGCTCTTTTTTAATAGTTGAAATGCCCAATGACTGTAAAGCCAACCAAGAAGAATGACCGAAACACTGTACAAAATTAGCTAGCCACCTGGGTACGCACATGTACGAGTTGTACATGTGCTCGCAATTTGTCTTTTCGTCCACGACCAAAGGTTTTGTTACAGTGGGGACATTTGAGCTCATTCGGGGACACATGAGTTGACTTGATATGCCGCCAAAGGCAAGTGTCGCGAGAGAAAGTCCCATGGTATCCACATCCCTTCCAGTTACATATAATGGGCTGTGAATGATCACTAGTACCTGGTTAGAGGAAGATGGAAGAATGAAGTCCACAAGATATGTGACAAACCTGGCCCTGTCAGCTTCCTGAGAAAATTCTAAAGTTTGACCCAAATCTTCATTATTGTTGTGAACAATGAGAGGGACATCATTTGTGAACAGCTCATTGTATTCGTACGTCCCATATCTTTCCAAAGGAATCGCTGGTTGATTTTCGTCTACATGAGGAGACAAAGTTGGTCTGCCATTGTTGAATTCCTGCATAACGAACGCTTGATCGTTTGGGAAAAATGAAGTTTTCACCGTGCTGTCCTTTTCAATTGAGGTGAATTGGAGATGAGAATTATATTGAGAGTTCACAGCTGATGAAATAACTTTGGTGGAGTATGCACACTCCACACATGTGCAGACTGGCCTTATTCCCCAGTTTTGGTTCGAAGCCTGAGCTGTAGAGCTGCACCTCGGCAAAGACGTCATATTAAAGAGCAAAGAAATGTATCTTACTAGGTAGAAGATGATTTAAAGAAGGTTTAGAAAACTAAAAAAAAAAATGTGTACTTTTGCCGGGGTTAAATAAGAAATTTCTCATGGAAATTGTCATCTTCATCTTGATTATCTTCTCTTTGTTATTTTCTATTCTAGAAGGATGACCAAGGGATTGAGCTGAAGAGGAAAAATCGGTTAGCAGAAATTCAATAATTGGTGCATGGCATTGCTAGCATGTTTGAAGTCAGCACTTAGGGGGACATCCTGTTCTTGGCGTTATTGTACTGAGATCTTAAGTTGGTTCGGTGTGAGATACGCGTTGGCAGCTCAATGAACAAGGAATAATTCCTGTTTCACTCTTTCCAGACTCCGCACGGGCGAATTATCCCCTTCAGCCATGGGATATCACCATCCAATAAGCTGACACCTGGACAAACTAACAAGCGGTGAAAACGACACATGCGTAATTGCCACGGGAGACCCAGAGTATGGCGCTTGAATCCAATCATAAGTTTTGGGCTCTTCCGGATCAAGTCGTTCACCGCATCGCAAACATCGCTTGAATATCGGTGTGATTTACTAAAATGGCTTATCAGGGCAAAGGCACCACCCTGGTCAAAGTAACGAGCAGCGTTGTTGAACACACGGCCTTGATACGGTGACTAGGTTAACGCTACCTGGACAGCTCAATGCTGGCAGCTTACATATTCTACCATGATTAAAAATACCTGAGCAGTGGCACTAACAACGGCAACATCAGCAGCTGTAGTCGTAAATATCTATTCTCAAGTTTAGCCAGATTAAATTTTGGAGATATCTGTACTGAATTAGGTAGGTCCCCGAACCACGAAGGTAAAGATGTTGCTATAATGGGGCTCAAAAAGTGCATTATGCATGCAGCCCTATTACTGTAATGAACGGTACGAAAATTCCTCCAGATCAATGGTATTGACTTAAACTCGGAGATCTTAGTTTGCCGCAACATGCAGAGCAATCGGATTCTTGGGATCACGAACGGACCTTAAGACAACATATCGTTTCAAATCCGCATTAAGAAGTCGGATAAAGTCGATTATTTGTAATATCTACTGAGAAAAAACGGATGACGTGCTCATGACAACCTGGGTTTCAAGTATGTATCGACGATCTGAAGTGCAAATTTTGACTTCGGCAAATGTACTTCTCACAACTGTAGACACTGATTTCACTGGATGTTATATACACGTACGGAAGCCTTGCTCGCTAGATTAAAGACTGGTATCATGCATTATTCCGAGTTGATGAGTTGAATCGTCAGTTAAGACTGATAATAAGACCAGACTGACATTTTTTATCTAGAAGATGTCGATTATTCATCATGTCATCTTAGCCTGACCATCCCATCATCCCATCATTCGAACAACCAAGTATGCCCACCCGTCTCCATAAGCTGAGCTTCTCACCACCTCTTCGATTGGAGCTGACATGGGAAGTACGGCACCATGTAATACCGGCTTCGCAAGAACTGGTGTTCTTCGACTAGGAAAAAGGTTGGGAAGTAGCTTATTCAAGATACCGCCCACAGTTTGAACTTGCGTACTGGGACTTGATCGAGGGCTGATTGCCTGACTGGCCTGAAGATTAGTCGCTACTGAAGGTGGAAGCGGTGACTGAACAACCTTTAGTGAGGAAGAGTCTTCATCAGGTGGTAGGGGCAAGAATATCCGAATCGGGACATTGCGAAATGGTTGTGATAATGGCGGGAGGAGAACATGTGAGATGCGTTGAAAGGAAGGGAGATCCACTATTAAGCTTAGCAAATACAATTTGTTCAATTCTGGATTTTATCATACCATTTTCGACAGCTTGCCAGAGACCTGAAGAGTCCTCCTTGGAAAGACTCATAATGCCTTTGGCTGTGCCGTTCCGGAGGAAATCTGCCTCTTTGACGCTGTTGATAAATGCGTCATTCATAACCATGCCGTCTGGATCTAGGCGAACGAGATCTTCAGAAGGCCAGTCACTGAAGTGAACTGTCAACGTCCATGATAATGAAGATTGGCTGTTTCGGGAATCGTCGCCCATATTGGCTCGCTTGGTGGCTGGATCTACTCCAGCGTACAGGTCGAAAAGCAGGCCAACTGGGTAGTGCCATTTTAGAGGCACGCCCTCAAATTCAAACCAGCCTTCATGGTGCTGAGAATTTGGATTGATCAAAGAAGATGAGTAAAAGGCTCGGAGCCTTGGTAACAAAGAGGGGAGATATGAGATACGAGGAAATGAGATCTGATAAGCATTAATACAGCTAATATTAGAGGATACGTGATTATGGAAAAACTTACGAGATATGGATCGGTCTTATTGTAACTTCGACTCTCTGAAGGGGCTAAGACAATCTGCAGAGGTATCCGTCCGTCCCACACACTTCTCTGAATTGTGGATAGTGATACTTTCTCCATTCTGAGCCGAGTCGGCTGACTATGGCGAAGATAAGTCGTTACTCCAAGATCTTACCTCAGATCAGCTGAAGTCTATGCAATGCAAATTTGCACAGATCAACAGTTGAGGGGATCTACTGATGCACAAGTGGGGGGTGTCAATAAACAAGAGTTCGAGATCGTAATTGTCTTGCTGAAATGGGGATCATGATCTAAGAGACTGACTGTCCACATAAGCTATGCCGATATGGTATTCATTCCGACTGGAATCAGCGATTCAGCATTATGTCACGAATGCTGTTGATAGAGTGAGCTGTGTCGGTCGTTAAGCCGCGCGACCCCACGTGACTTGATTTAGGCCACCAATTAAACAACCCCATTGCAACCCTTATTGTCTATATCAACGTCCGACTGTATAGAAATTTTACAGCAAACGCATGGTAGCATTACCATAGTTAAATGACTACTTAGTGTGCTAAAGCATATTGGCCTAAGCAGATGTTGCCACAATAAGGACCAGACTTTAAAGTCAGGAATGTCTTAACCATTAAGCTCAGCCCTTGATTATGTTTTGTCTCTAATCGCTTGCGATGATCAAGATGGCACTCTCCGCTCTCAAAAGGCCTCATAGTACTGAGAAGCTATAATCTTGACCTTGATGTTTTAAACCGACAACGACTCTCTAATATCTGTTTGGTCACATCACTAAATTTTGTAGTTTAATCTTCCAAGTGTCTGTTTCCCCGACCTGATTTCAGTTTTTTTCATGAACCAAATATCCATATTATTTTCTCGCTTCCTTCTAATCACCCGAGACTCCGAAATCTGCTCCAGTGCGCGATTCCGACGACTAACAAACAAAGAAATATTGGAGGGAATACACTCATGGCGACTAGAATAGTAAGACTTGCATCGCCAGCAGATTAACTGAGCTCTAGGTCAAGACGAAATAACCTCGGGAATGGAGACACAAACCAAATCCAGCATTTATATCTCAAGTAGACATTCAGATGTTGGCCACCTGCCCAATGCAGCCAGACAGGCCGCTTCGAACAAAATCCGCGCATGTGTATCTCAGCGTTCTCGACTTGAAGCACTCACGTACATATATGCCGTGCGGCTGCCTGTTGATTCAAGACAATATCCGATCAATGTAACATTTTCCGAAAAGCGTGACCGTTCCGGAGCTTTTTTGCTTATTTAATGTAGATTCAAAAAAACCTTTCAGCAAGTATGAGCTGATGTCTGCTCATTAAATTTGATTTCAAGGCTTGAATGCCTGACTAATTCATCTTTGACCAAAAGAAAGATAAAGAGGCCACCCCGGGCAACATTTCCAATGCTGCGCGTGTTTCTGAGAAGAAAAAGCGCTGGCACCAATCCATAATTTTAAAGAATGCCATCAAACGTGTTCTCGATTTTATTCCCTCACTTGCTGAGAGCTTGTAGAAGTCATGTGGCTGTGGATCAATCTATGGGTGGCCATGTGCGGTATTCTGAGCATATACGAGACGCCTGCGACACGTTTCATCACAGAGCCTGCAGCCAATGTGCCGAAGTTCCGATAAGCTCCAATGATCAGCCCAGCGCATTAAGGAGTTATCCCGTACCCTGTACAGCGATCCGGATTCAGTATACAAGCTACTCTGTAGGAGGGAAAACGACCTAAAGCCCAGTTATTTCGTTTCTAGCCGCCAGATTTTCTTCAGGCCCCACCCAACTAGGATTACTTAGTAATTGGCAATATTCCATTGTCTTGCTTGACGGAAGGAATATGGGATTTCAATACGGTGTTTAATGCACAGTGTGGCCCGTGCCAAATATCAAATTAGGAATTCCACCCGTGTTCTGCCCGTGTTCTGCTCATGTTCTAACATTGCTTATGCGGATCTACCGGGATATCTAGGGCATTGGATCCGCAAATAGCGCTCCTTGACCATCCCTCGCGCGTCTTTTGGGTTCAAGGAATAGGGGCCTATCAGTTGGAAGCAAGGACCATTTATTGAGTTATGATGATTATGCAGCAAGAATAATTAATGTTCCAGGGTTCTAGATGCCTTGTTAAAGGTTATTTTCTTACTAATCCATGTTTTGCTTTCGGTTTACGCCTAAATGGTGCTGCCCAGATACGCCTGAAGCTTGCCTAGATAGAGTTCAGGTACAGTAGTATTGGCTACTACTGTCACTACTTAGATAGGGGGTTCGAAACGTGGATTCCTCGCCATACCTTATACGCACTTATAGCCTGGCCCGACATGCGTCAGCCCCATCATTAAAGATAGCCCGAGTTTCCATACATACTAAGGTTTTGAGTATCTTACCGGTGAGCAAAAATGCCAGACGAGTTTAAATTCCAAGGTTTTATATCTCCACATGCCCTGGACTCATCCCAGCCAATGATAGCTGCCACGGGACATACAGTCTGACAGGTAGAGGTAGAGGAACACGTCTCGCCACAGTAAATCGGTCAAGAAAGGGAAAGTGACTTGTACAGCAAGATTATAATGTTGGCAGGACTTTCTCCTCAAGAGTTTTCTCCTCAAATGTAACTACATGCTGTAAATGCATTGTACATTCTTGGTGGAGCTTGGTAACGGTCGCTTACGAGATGATGCTGCGCATCGGCTTTCAAGACATGTGGTTTTGTCCGAGGGCGAGTCAAACTACCCCACTGAGATTCAATATTCTTTCTCCACGTCAGTGACCAATGATGACAGGTTTACGTACTAGAACTCCATATTCACGTGACATGGAGGTCGGCATAGTTAGCGTGGAAAGGTTTTCATATTTTGCCGTTCTTCCGCCTTGAGTTTCGGCTACATTCTGACCTCACTGAGGGTTAAGGGTTCTCCCCCAGTTAGCCACTTACGAGGTTGGTATGTAGATCAATGACACGAAAATCTTTACAGATGTATGGAGTACGTAGTTAAACCCCGAACAGTGATGTATCTAGCAAATTAAATCTACCCCAAAGTCATCACTTGCGGGGTTTTGATTTCGGAATTTCGATATCCCCCAGGTTCTTTTCTCCGCAGAGTTCAAGGTCCGTCTAATCTGGGGTTATTATACCTATATTAGTCAATTCATAATTACTCACCCCTAGATTCCCACCGAGGAGAAAATCCGAGTTGGGCCCCCAGAGCTCGTACTTGATCCCCCCTTTGTTTTGCGGGTAAACGTAGTGGCCGAGCTTCAATATCAAGTAATAACATCTCCTTTCCTCTGGAGTCTCGTTCCAATCTATTAATCTCTTGGAATTGAAACTATTCCATAAAAAGAAAAAGAAAAAAGAAATTCCTCCCCCCACAAAGTCAGATGTATCTATACTGCTAAGTAGTAGTAGCCAATCATTTATCCCGGCTATACGTTTCTTTCCGGGGAAAACGCTACCCCGGCGCCAAAGTAATATCCACCTCCTGTGAGCAATCTGTGGAAATCTGTACGAATCTGTAATTAGAGCCTTGTAACTCCGTAATTCTTACCAGACCCCCCCTGCAAGCTTCCTTAGTCTTATACCTAACCCCATACTGCCCCAGAGAGACGGGGAAGGACATACGCGAGCTTGTGGGGAATCGTTGGATTATCCACTCCTCACCGGTGAAGTTAATTACTGGCCCCCGTCCTTTTTTTCATTATCAATTCAATCCGCAGATTTTTCTCTTTTCCTCTCAACTCTCAATTCCCAATTCTCAACTCCATCTACATCTCCAATTTTCAACCTATATCCACAAGTATTTGTTATAAAATAATATAACAGCTATGGGTGGTATCCTCCATCTGGTTGAGGATCGACCAACACCTCCCTCAGTCTACAATTGGCGTATCTACCTGCTCGCCGGTATTGCATCATGTGGCTCAAATATGATCGGTTATACTAGTGCCTTCATTGGCACAACAATCACACTCTCATCGTTCAAGGCCGATTTTGGCATGGACACGATGACCAAGACACAAACAGATCTAATCAGTGAAAATATTGTCTCGCTCTTCATTGCTGGTGCCTTTTTCGGTGCTATCTTCACTTATGGTCTTAGCCACTGGATTGGCCGCAAATGGTGTTTGACTATCGCTTCAGCTGTTTTTATTCTAGGTGCTGGTCTCCAGTGTGGTGCTTCTTCCAAAACTGGTCTGGGTATCTTGTATGGTGGACGTGTTCTCTCCGGTCTCGGTACTGGTGTTGCTTCCAATATTGTCCCTATATACCTCGCCGAGCTGGCTCCTCCAGCAATTCGAGGACGTCTTGTCGGTCTCTATGAGCTTGGCTGGCAGATTGGTGGTATGGTTGGCTTCTGGATTAACGTGAGTCATACTGCCCCTGAAATTTTCCATTTTCAATTTTTCGTTTTGCGATGCTAACTTGCTACTTGAAGTATGGCATTGAACTTCATATGCCATCTACCCGCGAGCAATGGATCATTCCTTTTGCTATCCAGCTGATTCCCTCGGGTTTGCTGTTCATCGGCTCTATCTGGATGCGGGAATCTCCCCGTTGGCTATTTTTGCACGGCCGCCGCAAGCAAGCCATGGAAAACCTCTGCTGGGTCCGCCAATTGACCCCTACTGATATTTATATCACTGAAGAGATTGCTGGAATTGACGCTGCCCATGAGCACCAGAAGACCAATGTGGGTTTCGGCTTCTGGTCGCCCTTCCAGGCAATCAGCCACCACCCTCACCTCATGTGGCGTCTGTTCTTGGGTTGCATGCTCTTCTTCTGGCAGAACGGCTCCGGTATCAATGCTATCAACTACTACTCTCCCACCATTTTCCAGGTAAGTTTTTTAAATCAAATTTGATTTCCTGAATTCGACAATGGAATTGGGACTGACCCTTTTTATAGAGTTTGGGTGTTGACACAAACACTGTGAACTTGATGACTGGTATTTTCGGTGTAGTCAAGGCTCTCATGACTGTCATCTGGCTGTTGCTCTTGGTTGATCAACTCGGTCGCCGCAAGCTTTTGCTTTTCGGTGCCGTCACCGGCTCATGCTGCATGTGGTTCATCGGTGCCTACATCTACATTGTCGAGCCCGTCAATAACAAGCTGTCCCATCTGACCCCCAGTGGTACTGCTGCCATCTTCTTTTTCTACCTCTGGACTGCCGTGTACACTCCTTCTTGGAACGGAACCCCTTGGGTCATCAACTCTGTAAGTTTGCAAACACTTCAACCATATCTCGAACCATCACTAACATGTGTTTAGGAATTTTTCGACCCTAGCTACCGATCTCTCGCCCAGGCTTTCACTACTGCCAGCAACTGGCTGTTCAACTTCCTGGTGTCTCGCTTCACTGAGCAGATGTTCGCGGCCATGGGCTACGGTGTATACATGTTCTTTGCATCGCTGTCCTTCCTCGCCTTCTTCTTCGCCTTCTTCCTTATTCCTGAGACCAGTGGTATCCCCCTGGAACACGTCGACAGACTGTTTGAGCTCAAGCCCATCTGGACCGCGAACAAGAAACTCAAGGCCGAGCTCAAGGAAGAGGAGATTCAATTCCGACACGATGTCAAGGAAGATGGTGTCTTCCACCGAGAAAACCAGGATGACTCCTCAGGCGCGGAAACGGCCTAAATGATCATCTTTCTCATTTTTATAACTATAGAATTTTGTACAGTCACATTTAGCATTTGTATATAGATGAACATGAACGCAACTTTGTCATGATTGATCCTGACGATTATGAAATACTCGCAATGTTTTTGTAGCTTTTCATGTTTCAACAAAATTAGGAAGGCAATAAGAACAAAACAAGATTCATCTCTAAAGAATACATGGGAAGAAAACGGCGACACAGGATTTCCCATCGTCTTCGCATAGTCAAGGGCTATTGCCAGTCACGTGATTCTACATCGTTGTCAACTTTGAGAATCTAACCTGACCAATCATTCGAATGCCATAAATGAATGAAACTGAATTTCCTAACTAGTGCAAAATCTGTCCTAAATCCACATAAGAATGGGTCATGTGAATAGACCAATCTTGCCTATTTTGACAATTGTTCCTTTGATCGAGTCACCCGATACCTATCAGTCTTATATCTGAAGTTGAAACATCGATTGAGTCATTATATCATAATTGACAAACATGATAAAAGATTCGTTGTCTCTTGGTAGATATAGCCGCAGGATATCAGCATCCTTAGCTGGAGGGCCACTTTAGGTTATCAAGGTCGCTATCATTTTGTCTAGTCAGTGGCTCCATGCCGCGGAGGGTTAGATTTTTCATGGTGCGACTTGGTAAACTTCTATAGATGGGATCTCTACTACTAGCAGCATACATATGTAGCGTCCCATCCGGAAGAGTGGGCTAGCAAGTCCCGGAACACCATCAGTGTCGTATATTCCCTGTTCTAACCCAATTTGAATTCACCTCCAATCAAAAAATACCTTATACCGCTTTTGAAACGAACTTCCAGCGAAGATTGGAGAGATCTGGAATATTTGTTATCCGCATATGGATAGCGTTTTACACCAAGAATAAATGTGACTGGGAAAGACGAGGGCACCGGATTCATTAGCTGTTTCATATCTTCCATGGATAGGATGACATTTGGACAACCAGTGTTATCTAGTATAGTGAATCTTTTCGTTACTCAGAGACAGGTGTTTGGCCAGGGGTCTGTGGATTTAAAAAATGAGTGATGCAAGGCCGTTGGCCTGGACTTAAAGTCCATCTAAATATATCATTTATAGCTCGCAACTTGGAACCCAGTAACTTGGTTTGATTATCTTGGTATAAAACACATACATAGTGGAGATTGTCATCTGTTAAAGGAGCTGTTCGGATAGATGGTAGCTTTTTCTGCATTTAGATCCGCGTAAAGTACTTAGCAATTCAATCATTTGAAATTCTCTGGGGAAAGGATGAGGGCGGGCTATTCACTGAACATGCTTTACTTTCGACGATCTTAGCGCTTTTTATAACTGGCAAGTTTGTTCTGAAACTGTGAGACCATGATATTGTCCTTGGTTCTCTCATTGCATCTCTCCGTTTATGCCTCAAGATCACTACGACAAGACATCAGCTTAAAGTTCCATCTCTCATTCTTTTTTTTTTTTTTTTTTTGCAAAATGACTTACCTGTCATCGAGATCTGGCTCAGAGTTTCAATCCTCAGGAAGCTTCTGCGCACTTTTGATGAAATCTCTTTGTGTACCCATCTCGAGTGGCGAGGTGGCTTAACTTTTTCAAGCAGAGGAAGAGGAAACTACCCCACCCCACATATGGATAGTTGAAGTCATTCTTACCTGGCACAAAACCTTTGAAGGGATCAAATTGTTTAGAATCCCCGGCACCGCCACTGGAGCCTCTGCGGTAGTGGCTTTAAAGGCCTTGCCTTCAAAAATAATATATAGCGATAGAGAAACCCCAAAAGCCCTTACATATTCAATGATAGTGACCTATTCGTGACTACTAGCTTATAAAAGAGCTCTCCAACTGTGGTATTAAGTAGATATGATAGCTTTTTTGAGTTATAGTTATCCCTATCCCGAACCCAGATTCATAAAATTAAAGATATCGACCGAACGGTACCATAATCTCGGATCGTTTTTTAACTAATTCAAACCATCCATGGTTATCTCTCAACATAGACAAGGAGCAGCTAAGACGGAGGGAAATCTGCCCTTTTTAATACCTAAATAGCTTCAATGGTCAGTTCCATACAGCCCTACTGATCGACAGATTTCTTTCTTTTTCATTTTTTCATTTTTTCATTTTTTTTTTTTTGAACGAATTGTTGGCATGGTGTTTGAAACTAGAGGGTTGCCATAGAGATGATATTTTGATTAGGTTTCCGGAACGACCGATGGATTCACGTTAACTAGTGGATACTACTTTTGAAGCTGACATAATCATAATGAGTACTTAGTTAAGGGCCGAAATTGGAACAAAGGCTGTCATATCTTGTGAGACTTCATTTCGATTCTTCTTTTCCATACCATTTCATGAGCTAGGAAAACAATCACCAAAATCAAAAGGAAAAGGCAATTCCTTCGGGGTTATGTCGAGGATTATGATGTATAACCATGGATAATTCCAATCAGCAACTTGGAAACCTTACATGCGGGCCTAGAAGATCTGAAAAGTGATTCTTGGTAATTGCTCCCTGTGCTCTGTCGACGTCCATGAGAGTCTGTGTTACCTCAATAGGGCAGGCAGTTGATATTAAAATCGAAAGTTCTCTCGACTTTGCTATAATCGCACAAAGTGTAGTCGGGCAGAAACTTCCACTGATTCTGATAGGACGGCTCACTTTGAAAGCATGCTGCATACATATTCCGAATATTCCTTCAACTGCTTTTCCTAGCGAATAATAAAGTTTTGAGTTTCAGGCACTCAAGCAGGCACCATGACTGATCAAAGGATGACTAAGATTGGAGTCTTCTAAAGGTTCGTCTAACGTGATGAGGGATGGCCCGTGGTTTTGTCATAAACTATATATTTCCGGTTAGATTTGGCGAGGCTACCTAGACTGTGGTCCATTCATACTGGAGAATAATGACACCATCCAAAATCAATTTAATCAGCCTCAGCCCCCTAGAAGTGGGGCAATTTCAAAGCAAAAAGCAATACTAAATAAAGTAAACAGCGGAGATCCTCCGTCTTAGCTTTCTTTCTTTTTTTCCCTCATTTCGGATAATAATAAATGGCCAAGAAATGTGACCTTCGACCGCATAATCACTCAGAACAATTACCTCAATGAAACATACTACAGTAACGCCCCGTTGGGCTTTTGTTTGGCTCTTATCGCTGGCCTTTATACCACTACTTACGACTGCATTATCTCTGTCTCCCTCAGATGTGGCAGTATCTGGTTCCGATTCACACTTCCCTACGCTATCACGTCACAATGGGTCGGACTTTCTTCTTCGGATCATGCCACTCGGCGCATCAATCACCAATGGGTGGAAATCAACAGATGGAAATGGTTATCGAGAGTGGATCCGACAACAGCTTCGATATTCTGGCTGGGAAGTCGAGATGGTCGGAAGTCTGGAGAATGGGACAATGAATGACAATGTAAGTGATTGCATCGCATCAACTTATTACACCTCAGATCTGACTTGGTGTCCTACAGTATAACGAAGGCCATGTTGGCTTTAGAGTAGATCAACTACCAAAACAAGCCATGAAGACAATTTCCCATAAACCTAATCTGATACTCATAAAGTCAGTTTACCCACGCACATAACGCGACCTTTACTTAAATCTAATGATTAACAGTTGCGGTGCGAACGATGCTCTACAAAATCATAAGGTCAGCACTACCGGGCAGCGAATGGATTCTCTCCTAACACTACTATTCGACTCGATCCCTGGAACGACCATCATCTTGTCAACTTTATTGCCAAACAAGCAGCAACAATCTCGAACAACAAGCATAAGCAAGCAATATCGAGATGTTGTCGCCTATCGGCGCGCAAGAAAAGACCGTATCGTCCTGGCCGACATGAGCAAGTTTATCACGCACAAAGACTTGAACGATAGCACCCATCCGACGGATGAGGGATATAAAAAGATGGCCTCTGTATGGTGGGCGGCTATTAAAGAGGCCAACAGAGAAAACATGATCCAGGACTTCAACTATACCATCACGGAATTTCGTGAAAAGAAACTTGATGACAGTACCAAGGACCCGGATCTGCCTTCATATACAGCCCCAGCTCAGCCTGTCCTTAGAATAGCCAGCCTCTCATCTCAATCAGCACCAGTGGAGCTCTGGGTTATGGCTATTCCGGTACTGATCGGTAAGTGGAATATCTTTAATGATCTATGGAATGAGGGCTAACCTATCAAAGTTTCAATTACCGTCATGACGATTTTACGATAAAAGACTTGCATAAATTTAGATAGAATTATGTAACTTAGCTTAAATATATACCGCTGCATATTAGAGAATCCGTACACTGTTCATAGTAGCTAGATCTAGACGGAATGATTCTATTTTAGATGTAGGAGACCTGAGAAAGAGATGTCGGGAAACCTTGGAAGTCGAGTAGTAGAGCATGAGTGCATAAATTGCCTAATTCCTCATTCCACCCTGATATTCGCCATACTTTGTAGCCTTTAGACGAATTTTGTGTAATATTTCACTACTTGAAAGTAAATCTGGGGAAATGGTTCATCTCAAACATCGAGGGTGATATTTTTCGAACTTCTCGTCGGCCGGAGATGGGCGCTGAGGGATCCAGCCTCGCCTCAAGCCAAGGGGACTGGGTCTGGTAATCGCTCTATATGCCTATAAAATATGGTTTAGAAATAAATTGCTAAGAACTTAATTTGGAAATACGAAAAAAACTGAAGAATTGACTTTATTAATAAGTAAATGTGATTTTTCGAAACTGATAACTACTTAGCTAACTATCTTAATCAAAGTGGGTATTCCGTTTGTTCCTGCCGACCTGCGACAATGCGTCTTTATTCATGGCCAATAACAAAAAGAATGTGTGAAAATGTTTTATGCACGAAGAAACAACGGGGACAAATTGTATGGAAGAGGGACAAATATCCAACAGATGCGAAAATGAGAGTTAGTGATACACGAGATTCAAGGAAAGGTCATTCAAATCATGTTTCCGTTAAGAAGAATTTCTTCGCCACTTTCTTTGCCCTTTTTGAGGGCCCTGGCGAGCATGAGTTCTCGCATCCAATCAATCCGCTCTTCGCGAGACTTAACAGCAAAGTGGTGGGGCTTAGCACCGTCTTTGGAAAACAAATTCCTACGTTCGTTTTCTTTGGGAGCAGGAATGAGCGAGAAAGCGAAAGCAGTGTTGTCACTTCTATTGCCCAGGTCCTTGCCACTGCGAAGAACGGATTTCTTGAACGCAGCCGTAAGCTTTGAGCTAGTCGCCAGCGACGAGCAAGCAACGGCATAATCGTCAACGTCAAACGAATCCAATGCACGGGACATGTGGCGAGCATCCGCTTCGTCCTTGTGCATGGCAAGGTTGGTGCCACGGAGCGTGAAGTGGGCATCCTGCCATTCGTGACGCAACAGACGAGTAGTCTTGCGCTTCTTCATATATCCGCTTTGAGTAACATCTGGATCAGATGCAAGCGATGATTTGGAAGAGCTGTAGCCGTTTTGGTTAACACGGGGGCTGCGGATCAAGTCCGCGGGACCCTCAATTGGAGTTAGTGGTTTACCCTCCTGGACCCGGCCGAGAGACTGAGGATGCCGGGGACGAGCAGAAGCACTACGTGGAATTGGGTTCCGGTATTGATGGAATAAGTTTCCATACTGCATATCCGGGGGCACTGACTGAGAGGTATCTCTTATAACAGGGTCTTGAGCTGGGATAGCCGTGATAGGAGCATCCATCTCAGAGAATGGAGTTCCTTGGCGGTAAACATCCATGCTTCGGCCTTGAGTGAAAGGGCCATACTGCTGCACCGCTGTTGGGGACCCATACAACTCTCTGTCAGGGCTCATTGAGTGGTTGGTGGTGACGGCAGTTGTCATGTCTTCTGTCAAAGGGCTAGTTGGGATAGTCAACTTGGGAAGACTGCGAAGGTGTGCCGCAATAGTGTTTGGGTGCACGTTAGGTGGCGACAACCCCTCGAACGGCCTCGGAGGAAATAGGTTAGAAGTATCCAAGTTAGGCGGCGCAGGTTTAGATGTACCGTCAACATGCTGATAGTTGAGGAAATTTCGAATAGTTTCTTGAGGATCAACTCTCTGCACTTCACTGAGCGTTGCCTCCGAAAGTCGTATACCAGGAGTGTAAGCGAACGCAGCAGAGGAGGCCACCACTGATGGTAGAGAGTCGGAGTTTGGCCGCAACATATTTCTTGCTGTTTCCGGATTTCCAGGGCTACCAGAAATAATTGCACCATCATGAATGATAGCACCTGGAAATTCAGCAGCGATCCTTTCAATTTCTCTTTGTCGCCGTTGGTACTTTGAGCAGTTCTCACCCTTAGAGCAGCTGTGCGGCTTAGGTAGAATTTGCTCAATACCAACAATTGATACAGACTCCGCGGGAGTTACTTGAAACCCATTTTGGCCATTGAGATGCCGAGAAAGAACTTCACCGTTGGGGGACACGGACATGACGTAAGAACGTTGTTCTGAGGAAGAGCGGTGCTCAGGAGAAGAACGATGTTCTGGGGCAGGGCGATACTCCGGAGAAGATGAACGATTTGGAAGAGAAGGGTGGTCTGAACCGGCACTTTGATAAGAAAGCGCATCTTCAGAAAAAGCCGGCGAAGGCTCAGGAAGGACACCGCCCTTAGACATGGTGTTCTTTAAATGGTTGATTGAAGCCATGATCTGGTGACGAATGCCAAATGATTGAATGTTCAGCTCTTTCAAGTCATTGATCTGCAGACTGAGAAGAATAGCACCATCGATGTCATTTGCAATGAAATTCTCGATGACGGAAGGCTTGTAGTTGGCGATGTAAAGCCAGTGTGCAACCTTGCTTGGCTTCCAACTGAGGATCTCCTCTTCATCTACCTGAGATACATCGGGATGTTGCACATTCTTAAAAGCCTTTGGTGTCTTGGGCGAGAATGGAAAGCGATAGGGAGTGTTCGGAGAGAACGGATATTGGTTTGGGGTATCCACAGATCGAGAGATACCGGACATCAATGGAGATTGCTGCAAAAATAGCGGTATCTCTGCCGTTAAGGGTTCATCGCTCGAAGGCTCATAAGCTGATGATTCATACATAGATGATGACCGAGAACTAAGAGGCTCTTTGAAGAGATGCGGGCCACTAGGTCCTGCAACCATTGAATTATCATCTGCGATATGCATTTTCTTTGGAGCATCGTCGGGTGTTGAGGGCGGTGAAGAAAGAGTAGTATTGCTTTCATACCCAAGCTAGAGAAGATTTTGTTAGATCATAAAAAGTTGTTCGTCATTCAATGGTAGACTTACCGACTGAAGGCTCTGCCGTAGGGATTCCTCATCTGAATCACTAGCCTCATAATCTGTGTCATCAAAGTTTGTGGTCCTGGAAAGCCGGTTGTGAACAAATGTTGTCTTTGCAGGGTAAAACCGATCATGATTCTCCATACTGATCGAAGCAGGCGCTGCCTTTCTTCGAGATCGTAGCGAATCCTAGTAATGTAAGAATGTTGTTTCTCAACTTAGAAATGAGTTACTCACCATAGCTTCCTTTGACAGTACGTCTACCACCCTACGGGCCTTTGTATAGTATACCAGATACAATAAAAATTAGTATGATTTGGCTTCCGTCAACGGTATGCCATTCAATAAACAGCAGGTGAACCTGAGTGTATTCAGTAAAAGGATAAAGTAAGAGTCAAGGATGAATACTGGGCCAAGTGGGGATTTGGGGTATATGTACCGTATATTTTCGGATCGAAGGGGGGAATCATGAAACATTATGCGCTAGAGGAAGCGGTAAGGCGAAAATGGCATCCATTAATGTCGGCCGGCTCCAATAATTCAACAGAATCAAATGTCTGTGAGGTGCATGGTGAAACGGGGAGCTACTGTCCAGGCATTCAGCACGCGAGGGTCAAGCCGAGTGGCCAAAGAACACGAGAATAGATTGTGATGTGATAGAGAGTGATCTGCCTGCAGCAGTTTACGCTGTTAAGCACGTTACATGCATAGTCATCCAATCAGGACAAAACACAGCGAGAGTTGCTGGGTTTGAAACTGGATTATGGATGTTGAAAGGTATAACAATAACGGCTAGCCTTAGTCCGAGCGTCTTTCAAAGTTTGTTGATGGTGAGGCGGGGGAATGTGACTGGCCTGCAGTTAGCGCTGACCGGACGGCGGCGTTGATCGGTCAGGACCCACTTAGGGCATTGTGACGACCATACATCAGTCCTGAATTAGCGCCTTGTAGATTCTTCAATTTCTTAACTAACGCTATCCTGAATGGGATATTTAGATGCTCTCGGTCCTGCACTCCGAGTCATATTCCTGGTTTTTCTCCACGCTCAGAGGATAGGGAGATAGAACTTGTGGTTCTTGTTGGGTTCGTACTATTACTAATGTTTAAAAATATTTACGTTCCCTCCTCCGATGGTAATTGTATATTCCCTGGTTTGTCATTTGATTACTCTTTTTTACTGGATGTATTGTATGTGGCCCCGCTCCGGGTATATTGAACGCGATGTGATATGCGAGCATGAAACCACACTGCGTGAATTGCGTTCTTCGGGCTCGATAATTTCCATCTTGTTGCCCGGGAAGCATTGCTGCATGTTGATCTGACCAAGTATTCTTTGACTTAGGTATTGATTTTTCGGACTGTCAGGCCTGGATCTTGGTGTAACTGTTCCAAGGCCTTCACGCTTTCCCAGTCTTCAGACCTCCTTTTATCTTTATTACTTGTTACTTGGACCAATATGTGCCGATGAGAATTTATAAATGGTGTAGAATGGAGCTACCTTGGAAAGACAAGTTATCCTCAATTTCCTAGACTACTATTATAACCTGAAAAGTAAGCCACTATTTATGTGGTTGAGCATACATGTCTACTTAAGAAGCTGTATGGAGTAATTCCTACCCAACAACAAATTGACGGTCAGTAACCAGGATCCAACATTCAATCTTGGGCAAATTCGTAAAGTATCTTTGAGTTGAAATTATCTACATTGCTACATGCCAAAAAACCAACACAAACTCAACAACTTATTTGATCTCGGAGTCGAACATGTAGATTTATATTGAATTTACAACATGATGCTGGAATAGAAAGCAGATTGCAGGTTATGTGAAACGATAGTTATGTTCCAACCTTTCAATCTTGGAAGGTTGTATCGTATCACCCTTGTCATTCCAAAATGAACACCGTACCTGGATTTGGACAACTTCATGCGCATCTATAGGTGGAAGTGCATATCCACGGCTACTATGTTGGTTTTACAATATCTCCAGGCAGCAAGAGGTACTCTGTACTTGTGGGCACATGGAATTCCAATCGAGATAGCAGCCCAATTCATTGTTCATAACTATAGCTTGACAGAAACTGATTTTAAAAATAGCGAGCTAAGTCTGGGCAGAGATTTTGGTTCAACATTAGCCTAATGCCCTAATGTGTCCCGAGGTCCTCGGGGCCAAAATTTGGATAAATTATTGATGCCTAGGCGCTCATGATGTATATATATATCTTGATATACTCAAGAAGCCTCTCATGAGATGAACCAAGCAACAGGGCTCTGACAGTTTACCAGCCAGTTGGGTGTGATATTCAACGTTTTACCTTGGAAGTTCGGTATACCACAGATAACGCGCAATTTCGGAGTGCCCAGGTGAGAATACTGTCAATCTGATGATGCCCAGCCTCCGATATGAAATCTAAACCAGCACAAATAGGTTGACGGATTTATAATTTTGAACATGGGACCCCACTACTTGTAGGTCTTTGATGTAGATACCAGTGCTTATTAGTCTATAAGCTAGACTTGTGGGTGTAAACTATAGTGTAGACAGCCTTTATTCCACATTAGCGAAAGTATCAGAAGATGAGCTAATTTTTGGGGGGATTTGGAAGAAATGCCTGAAGGCATTGGGCATTGACCTATTTCTAATATGTGTTATTTTCTTCTATTCTAGACCATCGAGTAATATTTACCCGAATTTATTAATAGTAAGATTATACCAAAATTATTCGTAACATATGCAACTTGCATCATCAATTCACTAAGAAGGAAGCTTTGAAGAAAACTTTGAAGAAAATTAGCCAATATTCTGATTAGTGTTGGCGGCTAATTGATACTAATTAAGGATATTTCTTGCAAAATAAAAGTCGGGGAAATGCGCCAAGACAATCTTATCACATCACACCTCTATTCCCATACCATGGTACATCCTAGTGGTCCGACAGCGTTCCTACTTTCTGCATCAAGCATGGACAATTTCCAGAACCCAGCCGGTTGTCCAATCAAAATTTCAGGAACCGAAGCTTGACGTTCTTCGTCTTTTTTGTCACACCGCTGTGCATGGTCAGCTAACCAGTGATGTATGAGGAATGGTATACCCCCCACAGTTCTAGAGTTGACTGATCCTATTGTGAAGACCCATTCAATGTTGCATAATGGCCCATCAGTCTGACGGCTACAAAGTGTACGATATTTAATTTGCGGCATTTTCTAGATTTAGCAACTTAACAGGAGAATATGCAGTACGGTCGATTCGAATCACACGCTTAGCTGCAGTGATAGATTTTTCGAGTTTTTGGGCGTTCTCACTCGGTTAAAGAATAGGCTGTACTTGAGAGGACTCATTGAAAGGTTTCTATGTTCAAAATGTAGTATTAATTCTGTACTTGGCACGCCGCCGCAAAAACCAACATCTCAGAGCGCCGTTGGTTGTGGGACATCACTTTTAGAAAACGCTGAAAGTTAACAGGATCCAATGAGTGAGCGAGAGTGTGCATAGATCACCTGTATGCACCCCTGTTTGAACGCACAACAGCCATCCCTAGCTGGGTTATCTCTACCCAGTCCGTGCCAATCCCTCGAGGGGCTCGATATCGAGGTGCATGATGCCAATGCCGCCATGCGACCCTATGACACTAAAAAAAGATGGCTAATTGTCCCAAAATTAGCTTCCCACCACCTGATTGCAACATTAGCATGCCTTCTCTGGAGTTTTATTCGTTCATCGTGTATAATTTTCTAGTTTAGAGGAGATTATGCGGTGATCCCAGCCCCACAATCACCAACACAACCCCCCAATTGTCCCGAACCTGCAGTGATTATACTAGTGCAAAAGCGTAGAATTCCAAAATAGAAACAGCTCACTGTATTCCACAAAGCTATCTAGGCTTTAAAGCTTCTCTGATCCCATCGTAACCAATCCCGAATTCTATTCACCATTCAGTTGCACGGCCAACCAAGAATTTCATTCCTTCTATATCATTTAGACGGTAAAAGCCTGCTGGTTCAGACTTTCCATAATACAGCCCATACACCTAAAACTGGGAACTCATACTCTCTCACCACTACTTCGACCGCCTCTTAATCACAATGTCTACATCAACAAAGACTAACTACATGCCCGCTTCGATGAGCAGGGTGACTAAATCTAGTACCTCATCCGACTGCTCTACTACTCAAGTTCATGCATCTGGTGATCGGACAAACAATAGAGCGCATAAGCGATCTCGGTCTGGTACGTCAAGTTTCCTCCAAAGGATTCCAATGCATTAACTAATTTCTAACAATGAGTAGGCTGCTATACTTGTCGCTTGCGCCGAAAAAAGTGTGATGAAAAGCGCGGAAAATGCGGTGCTTGTGTGAATCTCAGTGTGACATGTGAATACAATCGTCCAGCATGGTGGGGAAATGCAGAGCAGCGAAGGATTCAAAAGGAGCGCATAAAGAACAAGATCAAGCAGACCAAGTCCCTTGAGCGAAGTGGAAACAGTTCTGGTGAGCTTCATGAATACTTGAATTTTGTATCTGAAATATGCTAATAATGGTCTCATTTATAGATCGGTATCGACGATCTAATCCATGTCTGCCATCGCCTTCCAGGTCCCCTTCTTATGACAGCAACCCTACCAATCACATCGGAGTATTTGACATGACAGATCCATATAGTGCAACATATCAACAAGGTCACTGGGTAGTTCAAGAGGATAGACGGGAATTTGTGGGAGATGTTCAAATGAGCCATATTACCTCCACATCCACCTTCAACACATTTAATCCTGATGTATGCGGTCCACAAGCGCCATACTTCGAGTTCCCCCCCGAGCAAAAAACATACAGCATCCCTTATAACTACTTCACCGGTGAGCCTGAGGCCTTTATCGACCCCTACTTATCCGCGGATCCCACTCCATATTACTTCCAAGACGATCAGAGTGAGGAGCAGCGACTTCTCATGAACATTCCCGTCGAAGAGAAGGATAGACCTCTTCTTGATTACTTCGCAACCAACGTTATGCATCAAATATTTCCAGTTTTGGGAGCTCATCCACAAGGACATGTCCATTCCCAAAACATGCTACAGTCGATGGCAAGCAGCTTAACTTACCTGCACACTTGCTTGTGTCGAGCAGCGGTTCATCTCAAGGTTACACAGGGCCTATCAGGACCTGAAATCGACACAGACATTATACAGCACCGTCTGGCAGCCCTTCGTGATCTTTTTGATTCAGTACAGGTTGTCAATGACACCCAGGATAAGGATGAATATAAGAAGGTCCTCGATGGATCACTTGCGATGCTCCTGTATCACTGCTCTCTAGGCTCATCTGATGAGGTTATTCTGCCGTGCGGAGATCAACTCAAGGTTATTCGAGACATCGTGAGAGAGATGCACCTGTACGAAAATCCCTTCGAGTATGTCAATGGAATACACAGCATGGCACTGGCTGCCTGGGTTGACATTCTCGGTGCGACAATGACAGGAGGTCGTCCTGAGTTTTCCGACACCTACCGCAATCACCACCTGAGCGGGAAACCACTGGGCTTGCAAGAGTTGATGGGATGTGATGACAGAATTATTTATCTCATTTCCGAGATTGCCTGCCTCGAATCTTTGAAGAACGATGGTACAGTTGACAGCATGACCCTTCACAGTCATGTTGAGGCACTAGAAGCACAATTGCAGTACACTGAGCCTGAAAATCCAACTCTTGAGCATCCATACTCACCAAAGACTGGTGAAATATGCCCCCAAATACTCACCAAAATTATTTCATCAATTTTCCGTACTGCAGCTCGAATTTATCTGTGCAGCTTGTTACCAGGATATGACCGCCACCAAAAGTCAGTTCAGGATCTCGTCCAGAAGATCAACGATGATCTTGAATATATTCCTTATGGACCTCAAGGTTTCGATCGCTCTCTTGTCTGGCCACTCCTCATGGCGGGTGTGAATTCTTCACAGGGTAGTCAATTCCGGGTCACACTTAGTCACCGTCGTGGGATAATGGGTGACCATATCGACCTTGGTGGCTTTGGAAGATTGTGCCGCCTTCTTGATGAAGTGTGGCGACTCTCAGATTCCCCTTGCTATAAGAAGGGTACGCGTAACGAAGATTACAGCTCCTCTCTCACAAGTCCTATCTCAAAACTTGACAGATCCGACCCTTTCTCTCTCACAGGGACTGGTGCCACTCTGGGTGGAAGGGAGATCAAACGTCAAGAAGTCCATTGGAGGAAGGTTATGGAGAAGAAGGAGTGGAATTTCGTTCTTATTTAATCTTTTAGTTCTATTTTCTTCATTTGTCCTTTTGTTCGTTTTCTTTTATCTTAGGGCTGGCTCTGATCATGCTTTACGACCTTATTTTTCTGGTGAACTATACCCACTTCGCGACTAGATGCTGCAGCATACGAACCCATTTTCGGCGTTTCCTTTTATATTTTTACATTTCTGCCACTTATGTACTACTGTTACCTCTGGGATGGACTTGGATCGAGTGAAGTCTGATTTCTAAAGTATCTGATGGCATTGGCTGGCCTTTGCTTATCTATATACTGTTCACGGTCATCTATTGCTAGAAGCATAGCTTTGACTATTTTGAATTCAAAAATTATAAAACTGACACAATACTCCATACCTTATCTACACAAATATAATCTCATGGCTAAAGTTTTGAACTTCCAAGATTCCCGAGGTTCCGTGTTTCAACCTTGTAAGTCACATTACCTCAGGGTTGGAAATTCATATTTTAAATCTAAAACATTGGAACTTTTCGGGCCAAAGTCTGAGGTCAATATACCAGTTGGCTCGACTACACATCTATGTGAATTCTGGAGATTGTGCCCAGATCTTCAAGGGTATCCTAAAGTCTACTACCTAGTTATAACGAGGTCCACGAGTGATTTTGGAAGTGGGTTTGTGTTCACCTTAGAAAACACATGTATGGAACATCCTGCCTGATTAAGACTATATACCATAAGAACTATTTACAAAATTACCTAGGTAAGCAGTCTAACTTAAAGCTGCCTGGGTTCCAAGGTCATTGATAATCTTGATGGGTGGGCGCCTTTACGTTCTAGATATCAATATTGCCTTGGCGGCATAGGTCAACCTCAGAACACCGTTGCTGAAATTGTTGCGCCAAGAAATTCGTATCCTTCCTCCATAGGTAGAGAGCACTTTAACTTCTTACGATAAGTTATCTGAAGCAGTAATATTCACATTGGGCCAAACATGTGCAGTAAGGTTTCAGCGCTATTTATTTCATGCATTTCCTGAAGAACCTTGGAGGCGCGAAGAGTGACCAGGGTCCTAGGGAAGTTCCGTAGATGACTGGACTTAGTTAGTGGCCCATGGTGGGGAAGGGCGCACATAATTTGATATTTGACACAAATTTATTGAGATTCAGTAAGTAATGTGCTGCATGTAATTGAAAAAGGCGTCTAGAGACAGCTTTTTGAGGTTTCAAGACTCGACTATCCCCTGAAAGCGAGGCGCCGTCGTGGAAAGCTGCAGCTGTTAACGCCCTAGCCAGGCAGGGCCTCATATCGAAAAAGGTGGCTTGTGAAAAAGTGTTGCTCGTGACAACAGTCGCCTTGTTTGGCGGCTATTGAAGCCTTTCAATGACTGCTGCTTCAGATTGCGCGCGACAATGATTTGTGTATATTGGCGCCGCAGATGAAGTGTTTTGACTGCCAGAACAATGCCATGTAGAAGGAGATATAAGAGACCAGCTAGATACCTCCCTGATAATTTCAGAAAATATCAATTCTCTCTTGTGCTTCTTACTTTTTTCAGACGATTGAGTCGTCTCTGGGCTCCAGTCGAGTCCCCTTTATTTCTTGCGATAGGCTAGACCTGTCATTCTTTGAATTTGGTGAACTTCTTTTCTGTTTAAATTTTGATCTTCAGTAAACCAATCTGAAAATGTAAGTTACTCCGATGCCTACTTTACCGCCGTGTTATTTTCTGGAAGGATTCTGGGGGGCTGAGTAGACCCCCACTGAACCCAGTCTAAGCCTAGTTCAGCTTGGCTAATTATGGTAACTGACATGAAATATTACAGATCTGTATTTACGGTATTGAGCTGTATCACTTATCGGGGTTCCATACAGTTGCCTTGATTATATAGATCAAAACACTCCTTCTCTCCCTCCACCTTCCCTTTTTCTCTCTTGTTGCTGGCCAGCAAAAAAATTCCGTTCAACTTCTACCTCACACTCCTTGTTCAACCTATCAAGGATATATCCTATTATATTCTTGTGTCGACGGTCGTTCTATACACCGTCCTACACTTCTGAGCACGGACTTTTGAGACTCTTTCAACTACCTATTCCATTTAATTGCCACGACTTTCATAACTCCCGCAAATCTGCCTTACTTTTTGGAATTATTTCTACTCCTGAGCTATCTAATAGAGATTTGTTGATTTCTATTTACCCCATCATGCCGAACGTCAAACCAATTCTTCCTCCTCTCAAAACACCTAAGAGTGCAAGCTTTCCATCGGAACTCCACGATGGCTCCGTCTCCAGTATATCCTCCTCTTCAATCAAACAAGAGGATTCGGACACTCCAATTACACCGCACTCGTCCATCCAGCTCCCAAAGGTTTACGCAGAATTCTTGGAAGCCTTCACGCCCGTCTTTAGCCCCGTTAGTGCCGGAGGCACCCACAGGTTCCAGTTCGAACCGAAGAATGCGTCTCCAACTTCTCAGCCTGCGAGCTCATTGAGCAGCTCGTTCAAATTCAGCCCTTCAACGCAATCACCAACTATATCGCTCCCACCACCGACACCCGGATCTGCGGTATCTTCGAGAAGGGGTTTTCCATTTCCCCGTCGTCTTCGCATCCCCACATCGGCGATGTACTCGCCCACTACTGACTCACCAACAAGCGCGACCCCCCTTCATACGCCCTTATCAGCTTATGATTGGAAGCAACGTTATAATGAAGCTCCACGCAGTGCCACAGGGAAACTAGTCAGTGTCAAGCAAGTTATCACCCGCACTGTGACGTATAAGCGCACTCAGCTTGATGCCCCACCGAAGGGAAAGCGTCGCAAGTGCCGAGATACCCATGATACCAAAGAGGTCAAAGAGCCTAAAGAGCCCAAAGAGCCCAAACTCATCCAGGAGCCCAAAGAAGTCTAGTCTCTGGTCTACTTCGCGCACGCCGTGAGATGATACTTTTTCCTTGTATTGGGTTATTTTGAAAGCTGTTAGCGAGGCATGGGCGTTGTAGAGGGGGGCGTTATTGTTCAAAACTGGAATTATAGTATTTTTGGAACTGTCTGACTGGTCTAGCTATTTCGGTCATCAAGTGCAGTCGTTTACATTTGTTTACATGGTACGCTTTGTCTTTTGGTGACTTGAATTTACTTTATAATATCAGACGGGTTTATGATCAATACCTTTTCAATACATAATGCGTCTATAAGTTTCTTAATAATTCCTTAGAATCGGAACGTAGAGCTCAACTGGGCTTAGATGCGCTTGTTAGGTGGAATTCATCCCTGTATCTCACCATCCTTAGGTATGTATTGCCAACTCACGGGGGTTGGAGAGCCTCGCCCCTATTTAGTCATTGATGGATAAAAGAAAAGTATCAAATCGGAAGCGTTACTAGATTTTAGGGCCCGCGCTCTTGGTCTTAAACCAACACTGACTCATGAAGCGGATAGGACAGAGCTTAGAAATGAGCCTCCGTTAGTTCACGCGGGGCCGCGGAAGTTGACCCCGGTAAATACAATAAGCCAGAAGCCCACTAAGCCTAGACCAGTAAAAACCAACACTCTTTATCAGAGTATACTCAAATTAAGTGTTGGCGTCATCCATTCTAAGGTTCCATTGGATGTAGAATTTTAGTTGATTCACATCGTCCAAATTGTCGGTAAAGAGGCTCTGGGAGGCTCTGGGCGGCTCTAGGTGGATGAAAACTTCGCTAAGCCAAAATTGTGAAGCTTCAGTGTGATATCCAGAGCTCTCAAAGATGCATAACACTGTTTCTCCGGTCAGCTATTGTTTATCTCAAGCCTTAGATGCGGGCCGTATCAAACCACCATGGGTGCATATAAAATTCTCGGTGAGATTTACCATTTGCCGCTGCTTCTAAGTTTGTCGTGATGCCAGCATAGATCATAATTCTTCGCCCCATGCATGCAGTAGGTGGTCTTGAAAACGCCTCGAATAGCAATCTTGGCAATTGTGTTGTGTGGATCTTGGAACTCTACCTAGGCAAATAACATTTAATGTGAGAGCAGAATTAATTAGGGACTCCTAGTAATCACCTCACTACAGTATGTAAAAAGATGCTTGAGATGTTCCGTGGAGGCTAATTTGTGTTTGGCGTAGAATTTTCCCAGATACTGCATTCTAGCTGATGGTAGACACTGTTCTAGGGACACATTGATAGCCAATGATGCCCTCACGTAAATTTCCAAGCATCTAGTGGTACGGATTTAATAACTCGATATGCAGAATTTATACAAGACTCAAATGGACCCATGCATTGTAATATTACAGTACATAAAATACCAATGGTCCCAGTATCATTTACCCTAGCGTCTGACCTTCACCTAGGTACGATCTAAGGATTGTGCTACTATATTCTCAGTACTCAATTCGGGGACAGAGCTTGTTCGAGTCTAATTCACATCTCATTTTCAAGTCATGCATGTGAAAGGAGATTCCCACTTCACTTAAATCTACCAATCACCACGTTCTAAGCTCTAGCTAAAAGTTAGTTCCCACTTTTTCGAGGTAAGCTGATGTTCCCAGTGATATCTTAGGTGCAGAGGGCTGCAGTAGGAGAACTGAAAGATCTCATTTTATTGGGCATCAAAAGCATACTTTGTTTCATATTATCGCTGAAGAAACAGAGCCAGGGGAAGTATGTATGTACCAAGGCTATTCCCCTGAGTTCTGTTTGAAGAACTACTACGTATTTGGAAGTCATCCGAGATCGTTTCACCCACCATAAATACAAGTATCTGAGTTTTCTACTTGAATACCGCTCATAATTTGGTGCATGGACCTCAGATCAAAAGATATAGATAACCTTGGAATGGTCACTCGATCCGGGAAGAGCTCCTTACCAGCCTTTGCAACCCACAAAGCAGCTACATGAGTGGTATGATATATTTGGAATAGGGTTTCAATATAGAAAGAGTTTATATTGGCTGGTTTTACTTGATGCCATCACAAGGACGGACAGACAAGAATAACATACATGAATCAATCGCCAATCAGCGTGTGATGTGACAGTAGTGATCGAATGAATTAAGCGCCGGCGCTTTGCCATATTAGAATAGTGGAACGATAAGTGACACTTGGCCCCACAAGTGCTCGGACAGTGGATCCTGCTTATAGCCAGTTGTTGAATTGCTTCTTATTCTGTATGCAGCTGTGCGGTGATAGCTGACGTGGTAATGTTGAACTCGTGTTCTTACCGCCGAGGGTTTCTGTTAATACTTGGCTCATCACAATCCACAATTCACTTGGGAGCCAGCAGCTTTCAATGTCTTTGCTATTGACTCAAGCCAAATCACTCTCGAGTGTTAATTTAGGTAGAGGATTGGTGGCCTACGACAATTAAATTGAATTATGGCTGCTTTATCTAGCTTAAATCTATTCTGAACATTCAAAGGCTCATCTACGGAGGCACGTATTAAATAAAGAGGACTATCGTTTACCGTGGAAAGTAATTGGGCCTTCTAAGGTTACCACAAAAATATCTAAGGCATTTACAGATTAATTAATGCCGCTGACCGCATCATGTCTTCTGACATCCCTTGACTAAGGAAATGAGGGGTACTTATGTCGGGTTATGCACGAGTCCAAATGAAGTGTGTTTTATTTTTAGCAATAGATCCACGTTCGTGGGTAGTACCAAGACCAAGTATTAGGTAGTCTTGCATATTTAACTCATCTCCGTGCTAATATTATCTATACCATATATAGAACTCGGCGTCATAGTAGCGTTGACTTCTCAATATCAATTAGTATCTCTCAGTAGGAAGGCATAGCTATCTATACCTAGGATATCACGTTCGTATGATACTTTGATCCTAGAATCTCTCACAACTATTTACGCAATCCTCGACACCCGTGGACGTTCTTATCGGCTGGAAAATCGTTTCTCGGTATACCACAAAGATATTTCAAAAGCGAATCCTAAGTTCACATAAAAAAGATCGTATGAGCACCCAGTCAATCTTTTGATCTATCAAATAGCTCACACTAACCTTAAGTACCCCTGACTCCACCGATTTTCATCTCACACTTCATGTTCCGCATACATTGGGTGGCCCTATCCAGTGTGTCGTTCACGATCCATTATTTTGACCTGCAACTATCACCCGGAGATTTCTATCCTCCGAGGTCCAAGCTGACCCTTCACTATCACAGAACCACTACTTCAATCCAAGAATAGCATCATGTAGCGCCATTGAGTCTATTTTTGACCCTGATCATCACTTTATAAGCCCGTATCGGTGGCTATCAACATCCTCTGGATCGAAAACCGAAAGAAATTCTCATTACAAGAGGTATGATACCATACAATACATCTTGTATAATGATTGAGCTTTCAGTCACCCAATATTGACGTACTTTTGGTCAATTAACGAGCATCCCGGAGTTTCAAATGGCTATATTTATCTTTTTTGGCATGACTGTTGCAACTTTACCTATCTAGCTACTCAACTGCAATTTGGAATCCGGCTTCAACAAGTCATCGCCTCTCAGGCTCTAGCTAATCAGGTGCATATCAAAAGAACCCCCTTGATGCTATCTTGCCAGTTCGAATCTCGAATACCTCGGCCTAGTTTATTATTCTAGAGTTCAACCTTGGAATGTCCATGACAATTGGGATGTCCATGACAACCAAAGAATACCATGCGATTCCACCTCTCCACCTCTAAGACTATCTTGATTTACTACTTGGATATTTATACCTAGGTAATAGCTGCTCGGGTGGTGATACAAGAATTGGAAAATTGGAAACCTTTGACTTCAAGATATCTTCACCCTGAGAATCCTTTCCTAACCTTTGTTAGTTTCGGCCAGTTGACCACAAAGCAGAGGCCCATGGATCCGAATGCGGCAGGTAAACAGTGGCGAAATCCTTCTATGAAAATTTGCCGGGTAAAAGTCCTAGACAGGGCATTCCAGCTAACATCATATTAAAAATATATTCATTAGGAAGTCGAAATTTGAAAGAGCGTTCTTTATAGACTTCAATGCCAAAATGTAGGGCGCATTCTTTGATGCGCTTAAAAACATACATTGCCAAGAAACGCTTTCTATAATTAGAGGCTAAATACTAGCATCATGTACCCCCCTCCCACTTCACACTCCCACCTCTACAAGCAGAGGATGAAACTACGCGATCAAACTCCACAGTAAATTCGAACCACCCAGTCAAACCCTTGTGATCGGCCCAACTCGAGTTGTAACCCCTCCTCTACCCATTTCTGCATCCGCATGCATAACAGCCACTCCCCCCAGTGCCAGTTCTCTCACTCTCTATTTCCCGTGATCCTGCCGCCGACTCAACCCATTCTGTGATTTGAATTCTGTGATCTACATAAATCTCATCAGAGCCGCTATGATGGATCAAGCATTGCGCACCTTCACCCCAGACAGCGAGTTCGCTGACATGGAAACCCCACGCGCTCCCAACCCCGGTACTCTGTCTATCACTGCGATGGCCCGGTTTGAATTCGAGGCTGGCAAGGGTAACGAGGGCACGAAGGTTCTCATGATAGAATGGGAAGATGATGATCTCACCCGAGTCTCAGCAGATGGCTCGTGGCATGTTTCGTGGGCGGGAAAGACTACAATCCTCCCCGCTGATGAACGTCCAAATGCCCACACTCGTCGCTTCTACTTTTTGCTTCCGCCCCATACCACCATCCCCCCTGTCGTCACACTATCGTATGAACCCTCCGAGTCAATCGACAATGCCAACGCAGCCGCAACTCCGTCGTCAAAGGTCCGCGAGTCCCTACAGTTGAACCCTCTGCCTGCCATATTTCCCCCCGAGCTGGGAGCAACGGGCCGTGCTGCTGGTAAAAAGGGTGTGCTACATACCATCTGGGGTAAGAAACGACTGCGCGTTCTCGAAGATGAGATTGAGAATGAAGCTCTCAACAATGCCGAGGGAATCGCTCTTCACATGGCCGTACAGGAGAAGGAATGGATCGAGACTAACTTTGGGGTCACCGCACACGGCACTGAGAGCGTTGCAGGTAGCCATGATTCTCCTGCCTCAAACAACGCCTACCCCGCTGCACCGGCCACGCCAGTATCACCCGTCAGCGGAACAAAACTTGGCGACAAACTTAGGGGGTTGAAACTTCAGACTAGCGAGAGAGAATTGTCTGTTCACGAAGGTGATACTTTTCCCATTCTCAAACTCTCACCGTGGGAGGCTAATCGTTGTCAAATATCAGGCTCGGATCCAGAACACCTTCTCTCCCCTAAATCACCTGATGTAGCAGTATCCTCGTTCAGATCGTTTCGCAATATTACCAATCAACCCCTGCACTCCATGCCAACCCCGAACACACCACTGCACGTATCAGGTCTCGAGTCTCTCAGGGCAGTCGCTCACTTTCCTCCCGAGTCTGTCCAGGAAGCTCAGCAGAACTCCGGACCTGATGGATTCAGCTCAATGAACACTCTAGATTCAATGAGCTCACTCGTCCGTACCTCGAGTACTGAATCAGGCGATGACCTATTCGCAAAGGCTCTTAGTCCTCGTTCGCCCGATCTTCCCCGCAGCCCTTTCTCATTCGCTTAATACCCTGGTCGCTTGCTCATGCTTGAGACTGGTGTTTTTTTTTTCTTTCTAATATCGTTTCCTTATGACAATGATTCCCCTTCTGCGATGTGATGATATTATTCTCCATCATTTTTTTGTCCCATTCGTTACGGGTCCATAGATCCATCCATGAGGACGTCCAGCGTTGAAAATATTGCATCTTCGCCTTCGTTTCTATTATTTATTATTTCCTATATTGTGGATTGAGACAAGGTTTGGTGTACACTGATAAAACTCCACAAGATAAGCACATTCATTGAAGATATTGTAGGTAGTTTTATCTCCGATGCGCTTTTTTTTTCTTTTTCTTTGAGCCTGATTAAAAATCTTACAACTGCACGGATCATAACAACTTTGCGATGATCTGAGAACTGAGAAAGCAAGACGAGGCATCAAGCAGAGATGGGGATTTTGAGATGCAGACGAAAAAAAGCAGCTCAGTTGCTCTTCTTACGTTGACTCGACCGAGTAGCTCTAGTAGTCGAAGCACCGGAAGTAGTAGCAGTAGCCGTAACAGGAACGACTACTTCCTCCTTCTCCTCCTCCTTCTTGCTAGCAGCAAACTTGGCAATATCCTGCGCATCCTTGCGCTCAGCATACCACTGACCAGCCTGCAAGATGAGAATACCAACAAGGACAAGCGCTAAGATAGTATTACTAGCTGAAAGCACCTTAAGTGAGTCCTCGCGACCGAGGATCTGCTCGCTGTCATCCGGGTTGGTGGCCAGAGCGGCGCCATACTTGCCAGCAGTGGCAAGGCGCATGCCCTTGACGATGTTCGCGATGTAGATGGTCACGCCGCACATGTAGAGAACTAGGGAGGCGCCGTCGAAGAGCATGTTGGATTCGGAGGGGCGATAGAGCTTCGTCACTAGGCCTGCGAGACCGAGGAAGATCACTATGTGGAGGATGCGCGGGATGAGCGGGGGCGAGGCGTGGAGGAAGCGCAGGTGGGCTTCAAGGTAGTCATAGTGGGAATCCGGGGTTGGGATTGCGGACCAGAGGACTGGATAGTCGTAGGGGAACAATGAGAAAACGATGCCCAGAAAGAAGCATGTCGCTGGAACGTGTCATGTTTGGTTAGCTTTTTTTTTTTTTTTTTTAGATCTGGGGTGTGTGGGGAGCTATGAGGTTTTTGTTGTCTCGTGTAGCTCAGGGTTGGGGAGGCCTACGGCAGACAATCAGGAAGGTCGCAAACGACCCGGTGGAAAAAGCCATTGTGAAGGTGAATTTGAGAGAAAAGAGGGAAGAGGAGACGAGGAACAGGGGGAGTTGGAGGACGTCGGGAGCGCCAAGACTAGCGCCCCAAGATTATAAGATTCTACCGGAATTAGATAGAAAGTACGGAGTAGATAAGAAAGAAAAGATTAGAAAAAGATTAGAAATTATGATAAACTCATGACTACTCAACGCTTCAGTAGATTTCAAGTTAAATATCAGTATTGTTACATGCTTTCGCGCCCTTCATAAAATATGCGAGTTGGTATCTTCCTGAGCAATATCCCTCAAAAATGCAAATATACATGGAAAAAGGTGTATGTCGAATAAATTATAATAGATTCATCGCTGGTATCGAGGCAGAGATTCATCTGCATGCGCTGTTCCGCCAACGAGTTGATCGTCTTCGTCGAAGACCGGCGCACTAGGGCCCTCGCCTGGGCTGTCATTGGGTTCTTCTGGAGGGGCGCCGGGCGCACTAGGTGCACTAGCCTGTTGTATGAGTCGCTGGCGTTCCAGCTCCTGTTTGTCTTCACCGGATGGAAAGAGTTCGCTGGGAACAGCATAATTATTTTGCACAATTACGGTCTGAAGCGACTCGTTGGAACGGACTGTATGCGATAGGCCGTTGGTTGTTGGTGATGGCAGATGCTGATAATCTTGGAGGTGATGATCATCTGATAATACTGGAGCGGTCGGAGCATCTACAGCCGTGGATGGTCCTGCTTCATCTTCTTCTGGGGGCTGGCTGGGCAACAAAGCTTCTTCGTGGCGTCGCATCCTCGTCTTTTCGTCCACAGGTTCTTCTAACTCTGGTTGAGGGACGATAGAGCCGACAGGATGGGGTTGTTGGTTGTAGTCTTCGTAGTCTCCATAGTCTCCAGGATACTCTCCCCACTCTTCTTCGTTTTCGTAACCCTCCTGCCCGGTATATTCGAGCTGTGAATTGTGCATTGAGCTTGACTCTGGCCACTCCTCTCCATTCACGGGATTACTATTGGTTTGAACGTAAGGATATGACGTCGTAGACTCTGCTGCATTTGATAGCGTACGTTCAAACGCAGCTTGGCGACGCTGAGAATCCCGTGTGCCGACAACAATCTCGAAAGCTACCGAGATAACACCTTTCTCTCGGCGAATCTGGTCAGTGTCCAATATATTACCAGCCCAATTGGCGGTGATACCACCCCCGTTCACATCAGCTGGGTTCAAAATCTGCCCGCTAGGCGAGAATGTGCTGCCACCTGAAACCATATTGAAGCGTGGGATAAAGCGATCGGGCGAAGTAATCTTGCCTCGGAGGTCCACGGCAACCTCGACGTAGTATCGGAAGTTGATCATGGCTCCGGGCACACGAGTGATTGTCGGGAATGCGTCCTCCGGGACTCGAATGGAGGTCTTGATCTCGGCAGTCATGGTGTTCGGATCCACGATCAACGGTGCGAATGTTTGTGACAGATCCTTGCGGAATGTGCTGGTGGTACGACTGGTGCCGAGAGTCAGGCCCCCAAGTCCAGTTCGTGACCGTGGGTAGCAATCTTCGTAGACCGGCTTCTTCCCGTCTGTTGAAGAGCCAATAGGGATAGCAGGGTGAAGGTCGATGCGGCCCTGTCGGTATAGAGTAACGACAATACCATGCGCACTGCGCACCTGTTTCCAATGGTTGATGGTGACTTTGATGGGCAAAGTGTCCCCTGGTAGTACGCCGGCGCGTAAGACCTCCGTCTTTGTCGTGATGGTTTTATCTGAGATTGAAGGCGTCGCACTACGGCTTTCGCTATTACCTCCTCCTGTGCTCGGCTCACTTGTGATTCTGAAACTTTGACTGCTTTCGCTCGGTCGACTTATAGAACTGACATTGCTTGGTGAGGGGCTCAGCGGTGGGCGGTCTATCGAAGCAACTGTGCAGCTTCCTATATCTATAGAAGATATATCGTCTGGCGCCGCGGTCGCGTCTGAAATTGTGGACGTTGATGGAGTTGATGACGGGCTTTTGGCTTTGCCTTTTGGTTTTGATCGCTTCGTGACAGGTTCAAGAGTGACAATGCGGGCTTTTGGGGCTGGGAATGATGCGATATCAATGTTTTCTAGGACATTGACCCGTCGTCGGCAGGTCATGGTTGGATTCATAGTGGTCGGTCGGGTGAGGGTGGATGTTAATGAGTAAGAGATTGCGCCCCGTTCAAACTGCATGGTACGGTTAGCACAGATACGAAGAGATTAGGTCTCATAGCGACATACGTTTATACTGCTGGGCAACGCGTAGGGCGGTAGTGTCATTTCAAAGCGAAACTTGTAGATTCCCTCTTTCAGACGTCCATCGCCGCAGAGAACGACTTCGTCTTCAAACAATGTCGCCAGACCGTTGCCCATATATTCTGCGCCTCGCCGACCGCGCCCGGGCCCTAGAAAGCCTAGATCCGGGTTCTTCTCCCCGGCAGGGACCGCATTCTTGAACACTTTCACACATCCGTGAAGACAGACAACTATATGGGTGATGCGAACCGGCCGCACGACCGTCACGATGACAGTGCCTTTGATGGTATCCCCCGGAAAGTATGAGCGCCATGGATCATCGAGATCTATATAATAGTCGGTGATGCTTCGGTTGCGTTGGCCGAGAGGAGAGCGGAGTTTTGAGAGGAAGAAGCTGCGATTTCGACTGGCCAGCGGCGTGGGGTTGGATGGAGGGTTGGAGGACATGACACACAGTCAGTGTTTGCTGCATCTATACAAGATAGCGTGGCGACAGGAGAAAAGGGGATGGGGGGAACACCCTAGCTGCACGGCCTGGGCCAACGCGATCGATGGAGTAAAATGGCGCGGTGAAAAGTGTCGAACAAGTTGGGTCGCTCTCTAGGCGCGTTGCTGCCTAGTCCAATTCTACCGACACAGAATAGACAGATCGACCTCGAAATGGACTCGGACGTCCAGAATATGTCCTCGAGTACCGTTCAATTGTAAGCCACGGTATGCGTATTATATTTTCGGAAGAAATTCCCCGGGGATGAGAGGGCTGGGTATTATCAAGAACCACAGGACCACATTGTTCCACGGTATACGACCGAAGCACGAGGCCAGGACGGAGAACGTATCCGGCGAGAATCTATTCGGTATAGATATAGGACGTGATGTATATATAATAATAATGAGGTAGGCGAATAAGTTGAGTATTAGGTCTGGAAGGGGCCAAATGAAATTTCCGGGGAGGCCTAGAGGAGTCGGATAAGTTGAAGAATGTGGGGGTACTAAAGATGTGGCGCAAAATAGGTAGGGGAGAAGGAGGGGGGGGAAATGCAGTATTAAACAAGGAGTGAGTAGTAGGAAAGAGAAATATTAAGAGTAGAAGGGATGTGAAGATATGAGGGGGGGGGAAGAGGAAGTGAAGGTAGAGAGAGAGAGGTAAGCCCCAGTTCTTTAAAAGGCGGAGAAAGTGTTTAATTCGCGTGTCACAAAGTCAAGCTTCGCGGGATTGACTAGTCTTCTTTTGCATCGATTATCACTTTGTTTCATCTTACGTACTAAGTTGATTGATCATGCTAAGCTTTTGCCTTTTCTTGGCTTAATCCTTCATATGATTCAGATATCAGGAATAGGAATACAATATTACTTCAATATAGCTCTCGAAGACCCTCTCCGTCCACGTACTCGTCTCCATAACAATCACGTAAGACTGCATCAACGGCTTGTCGGTCTCCGGTCAGCTTGTTCATGTACTGCTCAAGGATATGTAGATTATCCGTCCACTGTATGGCTTGCTGCCTGAACCGTACAAGGTCTGATCGAAGTTGATTGACGCCTTTGTGGCTGACCGAATCGCCGGACTGGGACTCTGCAGTCTGAAGTCGAAGAAGCTCAGCCTGAACCTCAGCTTTCGTATCAAGTAAGACCTGTCGTTGCTCGTCAACATCAGCATGGTCCGGCTCATCTTGGCGTCGCATGGTCTCAGTGGCTAGAGCGGCCTCTTGATCGGTGAATGACTTCCGGGTCTTCTCCACCTCCGTCTTCACCCGGTCCAACTGCCGTTCGCGCTCAAGCTTTTCGTCACTGTCAAAACTCCAGTACCAATTGCCGCTGCCGATCTTTTCTACTCGGAGTTGGCCTTCATCCGTTAGCGCCTGAATGAATTCCTTGACTTGGATGCCATTGATGGAGGCAATGGCCGGTAGCTTCTTTTCCAGCTCCTTCAGAGTGAAGCAAGTGCCGGATGAACGAAGATGAGTTACAATTAGTGCGAGTTTCTCGGTTTTTGTGGGCTTGGCCGGCTGGAGGAAGAAAAAGACGCGTCAGCGTACCTAGTGCTTGATGAAATCTAAGCCGGTGCCACGTACCATATTCCCGTTTGATGGGCACGACCCACTGACTCCTCGGCCCAAGAAGCTTATGTTGTGCAAGGTTTGCTGTTTTGAGGTAAGTAATGATAGAAGAAAGTGAAGTCAAGTCAAGTCACGACACCTCAACTTAATTTTTCATAGAATTTTACATATAACCATTTCTTTTCTCACTTATTCAATCTTACATTGTTGGTATATTACTAATGAGTCTGTTTGATGATCAGCACCTATTTAGACTGAAGATTGATAATGCTGATTAAGTGGGTGCTGGACTCTACTATGTACAGGTTGAGCTAATACCGAGTTTTCTGCATAGTGCTATCAATGAGTCTCGCTGTTACTGGCAGAATCTCTATCAAATTCTAGCCTCAGGTCTCACAAGATCAAATCCCCCGAATCACCTCGGACAACGTCGCGTGGACGAAGGTTTTCTGAGGTTGTATCAGATGCCATATAGTCAGAGACTGTGCAACCGTGGTGGAATAAACGCCGATGTCATCATGGTGTCAGTAGAAGATAGGCTTAGGGCAATGCAGCACCTGACTAAGCCCGGTTTGATTGATTTTGTATATCGCCGTCCTCGCCTTTGTGGATGTAGGAAGGTTTTTTCAGGACCCCTGGATCTGAATTTTCCTCCAGTCGTACTTCCTAATCGGTGTTGGCGTCGGTAAGCTTGTGTCTGCGACGTTTAAACTTCTTTCGTACGCCCTGCAACGAGTCATTCGAGGCCATCGGCCCGTCAACAGCAGTCGGTCTTGACCTCTTCCTGTGTTTGCGTGGTATTCGCGAGGCAGTAGATTCATCAGTTGCCCAGCCCTCGCCCTCTTCGTTGTCGGAATACTGTCCTTCAACAAGAACCATGTCACCAGTTTCACCCATCTCTTCTTTCGCCAACTCCTCCACTAAAATTCCCATGGCAAGCAAGGCCGACTCATCCATAGTATGATGGTCATACTTGCCTTGCTTCCTTGTCTGGCTTTGGTAGAAGTCGGCACTGTAAGCGTGGATGGCCTCGAGGATACTCGAGTTCGGTAGTGGCTGGCTGGGTGGGAGCTTTTCATGTGCAAAGTAGGACTCGTCTTCGAGAATTTTCTTCAGAAGCTTGGGTTTTGAGCGGTAGAGAATTTCTTCCGGGCGGAGATCTCGAGCTCCAGACGACGCTGTGTCGTGGTGCCGTGAAGCATAGGGTTTGGATGGGTGGAAGCCATTTTTGTTGACACGACCTGTGATAGTTAGACTTGTTCTGAATATAAACGGGCTGATGGTCCATACCAGCTACAGCATGATAGACATTTGCCATTTGCCTGTTACCGCTGTTCCGTGGGCGCGCTTGGGGCGGCGAGTCTGGCAGCTTGAACCTGACTCGAGACTGCGCCCGACTCGTTGCGACATTTTCTCTGACTTCGGAGCTCTCAGCTGTAGGCTTTCTATGAGAGCCTTCATTCTGGCTATAGACATCAGTCGACATCCTCGAGCATTTCTGGTCACATCTGGCCAGGCGAAACCCTCAAGTTAAAATTGACAGTCGGCAGATTGCATTATTCAAAATTAAAGATGCGCCGGTACAACATTAATCCGATGAGGTCACTGACATACATAGTAGTAGCTTAGAGCATCCCATTCTGCTTCTACTTCTCTACCCTATACAGCAGAGCATCAACGTTAATGAATTAATGAATAGCCAGCTACTTGGTAGATCCCTCGGGACGATTACGCCAAGTTCTTTTAATTCCTATCAAACTCAACAGCTAATCTACAACATTGAACCGGCCCCGGGTATCCGATTCTCGAGTCGCAAAGCCAATCAATCTCATAATATCTTATCCTTACCAGAAGAAACGTACGCTCACAAATCCGGCGTGAATTGCCTTGCAATCGATGAATTTGAAGGAAGATAGTAGGCTCAACCTACCCCCGCATGTAACATCTCTAACCAGACTAGCATGGTCTCTGCCGGCGCAGATCCATCTATCCATCTCTGGGACCTTGAAACGAGAGGCGCAGAGCTAAATTATATCCACCGGTCTCATGCATCAATCAGTAAATCGGCACACCCGGACGCGCATACTCACTCCATCACTTCGTTGTCTATCTACCCGTTCGACCCCGTTCCTACGAATATTTTCACCACATCCTATGACCAGACATTGAAGCTTTCAGTGCTGGGACCGGCAGCTATCAAGCCGGTCCACACATTCAAGCTCCATTGCACGCCACACGCGCATGCGTTCTCCTCCAAGCCTCATTCAACGTTACTCGTTGCGGTGGGTACATCAGAGAACGCCGTCCGCCTAGTGGATCTACGATCAGGACTAGCGACACAAGGTCTGCCAGGGCACACCGGCCCTGTGCTGTCAGTAGACTGGGCACCGCATCGGCCCTACCTGCTAGCTTCTGGCTCGGTCGACCACAGAGTGATAATATTCGATGTCCGACGCGGTGGCTTTAACTCTGCCATCGCAAGCTTTGACATGGATGACCCAGTCGGATTAGTACCACCCGGGTCATCAGCGACAGTAAGTCGACCAGCGTACTCCACACAAGCCCGTGCACACAACGGAGCTGTAACAGGAGTCCGCTGGACGTCTACTGGCAGCAAACTCGTCACATCGGGCCAAGACTCCCGCATAAGAGTGTGGGATACAAGCACAGGCGCAAACACATTAGTGCACTTTGGACCTCGTGTCCGAAATGCAGTTTCTGCACAATTAGTAGAGCGACCACCGCTGCTCATACCTAAAAGTTTCATGCTACCAGGCTACGAAAGCTTCATATGGCCTAACTTCACGAATGGAGACGACAAGGGCGATATGTACATGTTTGAGATTGCCGAGGGTACGCTCATCAAGCGACTCCATGTGCCTGGTCTTGTGGGTACATCACATACCCAAAGCCGGCCCGGTGCGCTCACTGCTGGCAGTGCGGGGCGAATCAATGATTTGGCCTGGCGCAGCAACGGAGGGAATGGTGCGTCAGGTCAAGGGTTAGAGCTTTTCTCTGCGCATGGTGATGGGACGATTCGGGCTTGGGTTTCTGGGCAGCCGGATGCAGAACCTGCTGAAGATGAAGAATATCGTAAGAGGAAGCGTGATGTGCTAGACGACATGTACAAGTCATTCGCAGCTCCTAATATTCCGTTCGGGAAAATCCCGGGTGGTGATCATTGAATTATTAGATACGAAGGTAGCTACAGATTTTGAATATGTTTTACTGAACATTCATTCCACGACAGTGTGACTGATGAGAATAATGATGATGCTTGAAGTAAATATACACAGCAGCTCGGAAATGGGAAGTAGAAATTAAAGGCGGGCGATAATCGCAGAAGTATACAGAAATACATGACATAAGTAAAATGCATGAGTAGGTATTTCAACGAGTGACAGGGGGTAGATCCCAAGATAGTTTACAGGATGAAAGCAAGAACACCGACAACTGCCGCAGCAACTGAGACAATTCCACCAGTGACATGAGTAGCCGCACCCTTGAACACAGCGATGGAGGAGGGTGAGGGCCCGGCGAACGAACTTGGGTCGGGTGAAACACCGTTAGGAACCATGGCGGCCATGCTTGCGGATGGAGTTGCCATGACCATGGAAACCATGGAGCTAGTGGGGACATTGACGGGAACCATGGACCATGCGGCGCTGGGGCTCAATGGGGCCTCAGATTCAGAGCTAGGGGTTTCAGGAGTAGGAATGGGGGATGAAGCAGCGGGAGAAGTCCAAGCATCAGTTGGAGCGGGAGTAGAGGACCAAGAGTCGGCTGGGGTTGGAGTAGAGGACCAAGAACCGGTTGGGGTGGCACTCCATTCTTCCTTTGGCGCTTGGAAGGCGGTTTCTGTAGGAGTAGGAGCAGAAGACCAAGCTTCAGTTGGAGTGGACGTAGAGGACCAAGAATCGGCTGGAGTGGGTGCAGAAGACCAAGCATCAGCTGAAGTGGGATTAGAAGACCAAGAATCGGTTGGGGTGGGAGTAGAGGACCAAGAACCGGTTGGGGTGGCACTCCATTCTTCCTTTGGCGCTTGGAAGGCGGTTTCTGTAGGAGTAGGAGCAGAAGACCAAGCATTAGCCGAAGTGGGAGTAGAAGACCAAGAACCGGTTGGAGTGGCGCTCCATTCTTCCTTTGGTGCTTGGAAAGGAGTTTCTGTGGGAGCGGGAGCAGAAGACCAGGAATCAGTTGGGGCGGGAGGAGAAGACCAAGCATCAGTTGAAGTGGGAGCAGAAGACCAAGAACCCGTTGGAGTGGCGCTCCATTCTTCCTTTGGTGCTTGGAAAGGAGTTTCTGTGGGAGTGGGAGCAGAAGACCAGGAATCAGTTGGAGCGGGAGGAGAAGACCAAGCGTCGGTTGGGGCGGAGGCAGGAGACCAGCTGGAAGAAGACCCAGGGGACTCGTCGAATGGCGTTGGGGCTGCGGCCGGGGGAGGTACAGCGGCGGTAGACTCCACGACCTTCGCAGCGGGTTCATTAGCCACGGGCACAGCGACAGACGGGGCGGTCTCGACGGCATGAGAGGGAACAAGCTCTGCATATACAGTCTCAGTCGGGTGGACCTGCTTGTGTGCAGTCCTGGTCACAGTGAGCAGAATCTCCTCAGTCCTTGTTGTACAAGGGGGAGTTTGAGGCTCGGGGGTAACATGTGCCTCCTCAACGACTGGAGCTGGAGGGGCACTCCATGCTTCTTTTGGCTCCTGGGGAGCCTCTGACGGAGGGGCAGCAGCAGGTGCTGGAGGAGCAGTCCACTCTTCTTTTGACTCCTGGGGAGCTTCTGATGGAGGGGCAACAGCAGGCGCTGGTGGTGCCGGAGGAGCACTCCACGCTTCCTTCGGTGTCTCTGGTTCCTCAGGAGCCGGAGCAGGAGGAGCTGGCTCAGCAACAGGAGGCTTAGGAGTGATATGAGCATGAGGTTTAGGAGCCTCTGGCTGTGGCTGCTTAGGCTGAGAAGGATACGACATCCATGGCATCTCAGGAACTTCTGCATATACCGGTTGAGGGGCGTGAATATCAGTATCATCAATCTTGATGGCATGATTGTCTTGGTGTTTCTCGTCGACATCTGTGCTGATACCAAGGTTCTCGGGGTCGTTGAAATCGATTCCATCGTCATCACCGGAAGGGCCACCCTCAGCGGTACCACCACCACCACCACCGGGACCTTCAGCGACACGGTCAGCAGTAGGGGCTGGGTTTCTGACTGCTCGACGGTCGAATGGCAAGATACCACCCTCGGGAACGTAGGGGCCGGGGCCGCCACCGAAGTGTGGTGGTGCATAGACTTCCTCGTGCTTGATATCAATGGAGTGGTCGTCCTGGTACTTCTCCTTGATATCAGTGTTGGTCTCAATAGAGATGGGCATGTTGAAACTCTGGCCGCCATCATTTCCTGAAGGACCGCCGATGGCAGTGCCGCCGACGACGTCTGGATGGTTTCCAGGGTGGCTTTCATCACGGCTGGGGGCACCGCCCTCAGATTCATATGGGGCGGCGTCGCCGAACTCGTCAAGGCCGTTAGGGCCGCCGAAGGGGGTTCCGTCCCTTGGGTCCCAGTCACGCTTGTACCAAATATCCTCATGCTTCAGATTGATGGAGTGATCGTCCTTGCTGTACTCCTTAACCTTGGTGTTGATGCCAACGTTCACCGGGGCGCCAAAGCTAATGCCTTCATCATCGCCGGAAGGACCGCCAAGAGCAGTTCCTCCGCCGACATATGGGGGCGGGGAAGCATCACCATGGCCTTCATCAAAGTTGTCGCCATCACCACCACTGGGTCCACCGATGGCGGTTCCACCAAATTCGTCCCAACGTTTGCCGTACTCAGTGGCAGGGACGTGGAAGTGTTCAGGTTTAGCGTCGTCGCCAGAGGCTGTGCGATAACCAGTCTCAGGTCCATGGACGAACTCCGGGCCAGGGTGGCTAATGACCACAGGAGCGTTAATGTTCTTGTCCTTGACCTTAATAGAGTGATCGTCCTTGTTGATCTCAGTCACCTCAGTGTTAAAGACACCGGTGATGGGCAAGTTGAAGCTCTGGCCTTCATCATCACCAGATGGGCCTCCAATGGCAGTGCCACCGCGAGGCCAGTCGCGCTTGTGGAAAGGACCAGCTCCAGCAGCACCGCCAGGTGGGAGCTTAGGAAATGGGCCGGCGCCAGGACCAAGAGCAACACCGTACGTCGCAGGGCTGGTCTTGTCACTGATCTTGATGGAGTGGTCGTCTGTCGTCTTTTCATAACCGTTGGTATTCGTGTTTACAGTTTTGCTGAGCGGGCCAAAGGTTGAATCCAAGTCATGGCCTGAAGGACCTCCAATCGCAGTGCCACCGGCTTTAGCTTTGTAGGGCAGAGCAGCATCAACATGGCCCTGTTTTCAATATTAACATCATAATCTCCATGTCCTCGTGGAAGATTTACTCACAGTGCCTTGCTCCATGGCCTGGGCCTGGAGGGCTGCAACCAGCAGAGCCAGAGGAATACCACCAACAAGTCCCTTCATAATGGCGGTTGAGAGAAGTTAGGTATTACAGATAAGGTAGGGACAGGTCACGTCCGATATTCGATCAAATGAGTGACAGTAAAAATGGATTTACGAGATAGAGCGAATGAACGGCGAAAATTGTCGATATGATCCTCAGAGGCTCTGTCATTTTTGATGTGGGAGATCACTAGAGCTTTTAGTAGTTCCGTTACATTCGCGATGACCATCATCCCATGCCTGTTGGAATGTTAGTCCACGGGATCAACCCGGCTACGCAGGGCCAAGCCGCCCGCGTTTCATCAGAATGTCGGCGAGAATGGGTAAACATCATCATTGTGTATGTATGGACCCCCCCCTGTGGTCGTTTGGAAGGGTAAACAATGGCCGTGCGGCTCCTTGTGTAGATGGAGCGAGTCCGAGCAACATTCCCAGGACTGCCGAGGGATCACAGAATTCATTAGGGAGACTATCTTCCAACCAGGAGTAGGCTTGAGCTTCGATTGTCCTGCTATTTCCAATCATTTTTCCACCGGAGAAATAGCATGACGGCATTCGCGTTGTCAAGCACCCAGGGGCGTGATTATAGCTAACGCACAATGCATACCCTCGCTCCGTCCCGTCGCCTCTTTGAGAGTTTCAAAATACAAGAGACGAGACAAGATCCCAGACATCGAGATTCCCAATGATGTCAAAAGACAACATGGACATGCACTGACCGTCGTCGGTATCGTTTGTGAGTAAACAAATATTCAAAATCTCCGAGCTTCTGGGCATCGGTGTGGCCTGGAGAACCCTTTCGGAACTTCAAGCTCCGCAGCAGGACTACAGTATTGGCATGGAAGGGAACCCTAGCAGATCTTAATTCAAGTGACTACGCAATGAAGATTCCATTGACTCGCTATGTAGATACTCCTTCCATAAGAGGAGTTGTGTATCCCGTCTTCGACATTCCCCTCCCACAGTCTTCACTTAAGAGGATCAGGGAGACAAACTTCCTATTGGGAAATTACTCTCCAGAGCCGAACAACCCTATAAAACCGAAGTTCTACAGGATCGAAGGCAACACATCGTCGTGGAATTTGTCACGAGGACAGAACGACGGTCGTGGCGGGCTCTGTTGCTTTTTTGATGAGGAAAGGAAAAAGAAAGTTGGGAGAAAATTTCTCACTTTTGTAGGTGCCTTTGATCACGTGGTCGGGCCGTCGTTATTCCTGGGAGACCAATCATGTTGCGTTTAGCGTATATACCAGTATATTCTCGGTTCTAAGTTGCTCCGTGTACGTTCCCTACCTCTCGTCGTCAATTTGATATCCTCTGCTAGATTGTGTATTCGCTATTGACACTATCAATACGTACTGATCTATCAATTTTGATGAATGATGTCATTACTAAGAATGATAAAAACGAATGCATTTAACTCCTTCCGACAAATGAAATCGTGAATCCCCATTGCAACGCGCAAGGCTTGGCAAACAAGGCAAAAAGATTGAAAGAAAAGAGTGACAATTATTGAGCTCTCAAGCTCCTTCAAGAGCTCAGGCGACCGGGTGAAATCCCTCCATCCAATATGTTGATCGGCCACCAGTGCACAGAAAAAGAAAAACGCTGAAGATCCGTACTATGGTGGTCAATTCCATGCTCGTCCACTTCTACTAACTCTGCGACTCCCATGTTTATCCGCCAAGTGATGCCTTCGAGGCACCATCCCTCCAGGTTGCTCCTCCAACTGCCGCCGTGATACCTAGGGCGATTGCAATCATGGTGCCCACGGTGCCGACGGCAATGATGGCTTTGATGATCATCCGTTGACGGTGGCTGAGTCTGTGAAAGCATGAACGTGGTGGATTCTCTTGTTTGTCCCACAGCTTGGATCGCCGTGGGCTACCTGTCCGACTTGGTTTGTATGGTCCGGCATTCTCAAGGTCGCGAAGCTCGCAGCCATCATGGTCGGCGGTCTTGGTTGTGAAAGTAAGTTCTTCGTATGACACAGTCGCCGCAGCATGAGAGTAGAACGGTGAATGAGGTTTGGCGCCGATGGAGGGGTCAAATTCAAAGGAACGCGTGGCTTCGTGTGGCGAAGGGGGTAGAGATGAAGGGTGTGCTATCTTGGGGGATCGTTTCTCGTCGCTGCTCTTGATTGATGCGGCCACCTGGGCCCCAATCACTCCTAGCCCATGCAGACTCATCTATGCGTGGGCTGAAGGGTAAAGATACCCTTCAAAATATTTTGGACAGCCTCCGCAGTTCTTTCTTGGTTAATTCCTTTTTTGAGGAGAAGTTTGAAGAAAGGCTGGAGATGGAGGAGAGATCAGAGAGGTTGGAGATTGAACGACGTAGACTCTTGCGCCTGGATTCTTGGTTGGATTTCTTGGTTTTGGTTTTGCAGGGTTTAGGATCTTGAGTGACTGCTTCGACAGGAATGATTACCGTTGGGACTCCGCCAAACATAAACAATCCCGTATCAACTTGAAATGCACTCCAAGTCCAAGTAGACCGCGGTAGTCTCATCACTCAGACTTTCAGACTTCAAAAATGGAAATAGAGGTGATAGAGTAATTTACACCGCACAGGTGTTTGCGAAAAAAGAATTGGGTAGTAACTTCCTGTTATTTTTGCAAATGGTTTCCTCCTTCCGTAGGCTTCGTAGATCTGGATTTTGTAAGGAATCTATGAACGCACCCCTGTTGGAATCTGAAATGTGCTGGAATGCAAGGTCTGAATATTATCGCCCCTTTCCCATCTTGTCCCACCTTGAGGGCATTCCTTGTCCTTCCTTGTCCTCACAAGATGGAAGGATTTTCTCTCCTTGCAGATTGTATTGCACGTTCATTGGATTTACTCTCCTTCGTACACATGCCCTCCGCTGCTCCTTATCACCGACCTTGAAACCTATCCCTCTCATAGGCTGTGTTTGTGTCCCTTCAACCCACAATGTGAGGATCCCACCTTGATTTGGTCCATAGTGAAGATCGCATCATTGGCAGGTGCAGATGTACCTCTTTAAGCTGCAGCCTACCTTAACGGCACTGCCGTCCATACCCAATCCTCTCCGAGAGTTTGCTTTTCCGATCGTCGGTATTTCCTCGCGTTAATACATCTGAAGTCTAGGGTCTTTTCAAGGCCGGTTATCACAATTTCAGCCAACATGCTGCTATAGTTAGTCAAGTATTCAAATGATGACCAATACTGTATCTAGGTACTAATTATCGCGCTCGTTCTGGGATCCAATACTACCTTGGTAGCTAGATAGTGGTTATGGAGCGTGATTCTAGGTCTAAAGGTAAAGGAGTTACTAGTAAACCATACATTAAAGCCCTAGGAAAGGGCCTTTTACTACACTATGAGGATGATGATATATTTTAGCAGGATAATACTAAAATCCATACATTAAAGGAAGCAGGAAGGTGGTTTCGACGTCGGAGGATTCGTCTTGAAAAATGGCCTGCACGATCGCCTGGTATGAGCCCGGTCGAACCATGTTGGTATCTTCTAAAGTGTAAATTAAGAAAGCTACACCCCGAATTGGTCGCAATGGGCCAAACTGCAGCTGATTGGGCCTATTTTAAGGCCTGTATTTGCGAAGCTTGGGATGCCATTCCACAGGCGATGATTGATAGCATAATTAGGTCTATGCCATGTAGATTAGCCGCTGTACGTAACTATAGGGAATATTATACTAGATATTGAATAAAATTCTGTTCTCATGTCATTTGCCTATATAAATACATATACTATACAGCTATTGCTATAATATTGGTGTAAGTATAGGTGGTTGAAGTAATTATATATATTTGGGGTGGGTGGGGCTAATTCCCGTGTGTGTACAGACTGTACACCAGTACCGAGTGTAGAATAGCTATTCGATATGGTAAACAAGAGGCTAATGCCCATTTCTGACACCTATCACAGGTAACGCTTTACGCTCCTATGATATCTATATGTCCTCTTGAAGTGATTGTAAAGTCTGAGTTTCATTCTTAGTTTGCTTACTATTATAAAGTGACGATTTGATCACATGACTGCTTTGTTCCATATTCCAACACAGACTTATGACCTAACGTAGTTGGTTGTTCCTATATGCCCAGGTGTATTCTATGTATCAATTTTGGTTTAGTTTAGTTGAGCCTAGGAGTCGACACCCATATATGTATGTATCGGTCGGTACAACGATGGTTTCAATAAGGTTGATGAGAAGCTAACGCCCACTTCTAACATTATAGATAACGCTTTATGCCCCTATAATATCTATGTATTCTCTTGGAGTGGTTGTGTTGCGACAGCCGCATGAGAAACAAGGTTGACGACACATAACCGCTAAGGCAGAAAGCATTTCGGCAGAAATGCTTCTGCCAAAGGCTGTAACATTCGGTTCGGAGTAACTAAAGTAAATCCTATACGAACGGGACACCCCACCGAATTTACGCGTTAGTCTCGTGTCTCTTATTTTCAACTACCCACCATGCCTCCAAAAATAGCTCCTATCATTCAAGATAAACAGGAACAGGAGAGGAATGTCTTGTTAGCTTTACAAGCTCTAAAAAATGGTCAAATATTGTCAATACGCCAAGCTGCAGCTATATTTAATATACCTAAGTCGACTCTCCATCGCCGCCAATCTGGTGTTCGATCTCGGCTTGAAATACGCGCAAACAACCATAAATTGACTGAATTTGAAGAGGATTCATTAATTCAATGGGTCGTCTCTCTAAACGATCGCGGATGTGCTCCTAGGACTAAAGAGGTTGGTAGAATGGCCAATATTTTGCTCGCCGACCGCGGAACCACCCCCCTCTTACGATCGGACGAAACTGGGTCACCAACTTTACTACACGTTTACCTGAAATTCAAGCTACCTATTCAAAGCCACGCGATTGGCAACGTGCGCGCCAAGAGGACTATGATGTGATAAATAATTGGTTTAAATTGGTTGAAAACACGATATCTATAATTTTGACGAGACAGGATTCGCGATGGGACGATGTGCGACCGCAAGAGTGGTTACTAGAGCTGGATATTATGGTAAGAGAGCTTAAAAACAGCCTGGAAACCGCGAATGGGTTACTGTTATTGAGTGTTTAGGCGCGTCTGGTTACACGCCTCCACCCTGTATCATCTTTAAAGGAAAGGTGATGATGCAGAGCTGGTTTGCTCCTGACCTTGGATTACCATCTAATTAGCGAATCGAGATAAGCCCCAATGGCTGGATATCAGATCAAATAGGGCTCCGATGGCTTGAAAAGCTCTTTATACCTGCTACTGCGCGTACTAAAGGACGGTATCGACTCCTAATCCTAGATGGTCATGGTAGCCATTTAACCCCTGATTTCGACCGGATATGCAAAAAACATGATATTATACCACTTTTTATGCCTGCGCATGCTTCACATCTTCCACAGCCTCTTGATGTTGGGTGTTTTGCGATGTTGAAACGCTCTTATACTCGGCTGGTTGAGTCTAGAGTAGAGCTTGGCTTCAGCCACATCAATAAGGAAGATTTTCTAGAGATATATTCTTTCGCACGTGTTGAAGCTCTTACATCTGCATCTAAAGCGTTCGCCGCGACCGGAATCGTGCTACTTGACCTTATTAGAGTGCTTAAAAAGCTTAATATGCGCGTCCTAACACCACCACCACCACCTTCTAGGGGGAGTGATTCAAGCCGAAATTGGACACCAAGAACCCCTAAAACACAAAAAGATTTACGGCGTCAACATAAAGCTATACTCCGCACAGTATCTCGAACACCACCATCGTCATCTAGGAGAGCATTAGACCAGATAATAAAGGGTGCAAATACCCTATATCAGGAGAATGCTCTTCTACGCCAGGAAAATAGGGATTTACGCGCCGCGCATGAGGAAAAAAAAAGAAGCAAAAAGCACGTCCAAATTGAAAAATGGCAGTAGTAGAAGGGGTTACAATTCAGGAGGGAATGGATGTGGTTGACGCCTTAAATACTGCTCCTAAACCTAGTGATGCCAATTTACCATCAGAGGGCCAGGCGCCCCAACGCCGATGTGGGATATGCAGGAATTCTGGTCATAGGAGGGAAACCTGTCCTGACCGACCGATTTAATAGTTTTTTTACTATTATATAGTATTTAATGGAGTTATTGGGATTCAAATATATAAGTGGGTCTAGTTGTCCCGTTCGCCTATGTGTCCCGTTCGTATGAGATTTACTCCGTACTTACTCGGAAGAACTAGATTAGTATATCACAGCATCCTTGAACGATATGCATTCATAACAAACGATACCCTTGAGCGATGTGCATTCACGATAGTGGTATTCCGTCTTCTGTCTTGGATGAATGGTTACATTCGTCCAGGATGGAGGAACCATCATGTACTATAAGTAGCTAGTTCTCTCCGTCAATGAAAGACCAGACTTCACAACAACCACAGCATTCAGTATTGTAGCATCCACTACTAGATCGGTGGATTGTCTACGGTGTTGAGTAGTGGTTAGTTGGAGCTCACCAACTCCTTGCTTACTACAGTAAACTCGAACACTATTCTCAGTTACGATATTCTAATATCACTCTATTGAGCGACAGGTTGTAAAAGCCTGGTCTTTCATTCATAGTGAGGACTAGCTATTTATTGTATAAGTTGCTCTTCTGTCTGAGACGAATATGTTCTATCGTCTAGAACAGAAGAGTCGATAAAAACGGGATATCACTGTTGTAAATGCATACTGCTCAAAGTTGTCGTTTGCGATGCACTCTGAACAGGGATTCGTGATGTAGTTTAAACCGGGATGTCGTTTGTCCGATACTCCAACAATAACTATAGTTGTTCAATTGACAAAGCCAAATCAACCTCTGAAAAGCATCATCATGTCTACCATCTCATTCAAAAATATCTTTACGTCTTCTTCGCTGTAATTTGCATCGTTATAATCAATTGAGATAGTACTGCAATCTCGCCAGCTTTCGAGCCGTAACGAACTATCTCACTAGATATTAGTAGTATTGGGTGCACTTCAAGATCTGTGTTTGAACAACAGTCGGAACTCACAGATATATGGTAGGTACTGATTCAATGAGAACTGGACATCTTTGACTGTTAAGATAGAATTTTGACTATTTTTCTTGTAAACATCTCGTGGGATGCATGCTTCAATAATGCCATCGCTAGCGAATACCTGCTCAAAGAAAACAGGAGTTTAGTTACTAGTCTGTAGAGCCCACTCTCATGAAGCACCAGCTTACCGGTGCAGTGAAATGATCACGCGGCAATACACCACTGGAGTAATTTAAAAAACCGAGTCTATTAGAAATTTCAGCCATTCTTTGTAAATGAGATATAGCCTACCGTATTATGAGGTACGCGATCAGATTTGAAATCGAAATTGAAACCGGTAGCTGACATGGCTGGTTGATCCAAAATTCGTATGAAGTCTTTACAACGGAGCATGCTCGAATCAGAAGAGTATTGAGTTCAGGCCTACCCGCATTGACGACGTTATAAGACTTGATATTCTGAAACAATATTGGTGTGGTGCTGATGCAAACAGAGTAAAGATTCTTGATGCCGGTGGAATATTCATTTGTGAGGTGATGCCGGCCATTGAACGGAGATAGTGCGAGGTGTGTCTGGGTTTCAGGCACATCGGGTCCAGGTGGGTTAAGTTTCAGAACGGTGGCAAATATGGCAGCATGGGCGAGATGTCTCATTGTGTTGGCAGGGTGTTATATTGCCAGAAACAACCTCTGCGAGAACACGCAACAGGTCACCGACGAACTTGCGAAACCCCATACCGTCAAAGTGGATGTGGTTGGCGTGAAAAAGAAATTGCACATGCTTGGTGTCCAGTAGGTCGGTCATACTATCCACCGGTGCTGCTAAATGAGTCGCGAAAGCTCGGGCGTTGCCTTTATTATCGACGGCGCAACGTTTCTTACTCTCATCACGCAGTTCGTAAGCTTGTCGGCTACTGACTTCCACTTTGATAATACCAGATACCCAGGCTTCAAGTTCGCACTTGCCCGAGAAAACTTGATGTTGAATCCAAGGAAAGCCATAATCATCCCACTTGGTGGTGTGAGAGATCACTGAGTGTGTATATCGCATATGTATATAGGCTTCTTTCAGAGCCATGTGCAGTACTGCTAATGTCAGTCCCCGGCAATGGAATTGCACTGAACTCATTAAGTCCATGTCATTTTCGCCTTTCTCAATGCTGGATCGGGATCCGACAATGGCTTCAGTTCCAATTGCACGTCGTTACCACAAACCAGAATCCATTGGCGACTGCTGCCATTGATAATGACTTGGGGCAAGAGGTGGTAATCGCGGTACTCTAAACAATCGATGGAAACAACTCAACAAGAAATTCAACATTCTCAATACACTGATTATTAACCAGGATGATAATGAAGTAGAAGCCATATTGTTCTCACTCACGAGTGTCTACGTGAAGTTAGTTGCAATTGCGTGATGAGATCGGAGCTTTTTACACGGGAATCAAATAACTATGTTGGCGACACGGTGACTATTTTCAGGCGTTACATTGACTTGAAGATGTAGAAAGTGATGAATCATATTACAAATCAGAAAATGGGCGTAGGCATCTTGATCGAACTAGAGATCTATGTTGAATCAGGGTTCTCCAGATCTTTGGACAGAGAGTGGTCCATGCTCTTGGTTAATCTTGAAATAAGTGGGAATAACTAGTCTGGGCGAGAGTTTCCGTGACATCGTTGAGATCATCAAGCGCCGATCGATTAATGATCAGCGCATAATTTCCGTTAACAAAAGAAGCGTCCAATTTAGTTTGCAAGATTTAAGAAAACTGTTTTTATCAGCATAGTGTTTTTCTGTAGAATGGATAATTTCTGCGATATCCTGAAATCACTGCTTGAACAAAGTAAATGGAGATATGTGGTGAAATTGTCGAAATTTGTGGGGTGTTCTTGCCTCCACATTAAGTTCAATCATACTTCGACATATCATTACCCTCTAAAGGAAACGTGGATGTGTGAAATTTATGATCCAGTTTTCATGCTCCATCGCAATTATAAATTTGGGTAGCGCGTCAGTGAGTTTGTGACTTAGCGAAGCTTAGATTTTTCTCTCCTTGAACTCCCAGCGAAAGGGGAAAAAAGACAAGATATTAGTTCCTCACAATGAGTGTGCTTGACTCACTTCAGTATTGGGATGCTTTGCGTTTGCTGGAACCTCTCTCACGCTGTACATCATTGGTCTAGTCGTTCACCGTCTATATTTCAGTCCAATTGCATCTTTTCCAGGGCCTTTACTCGCCCGGAGTACATTTTGGTACGAGTTCTACTATGACTGGGTACAAACCGGACAGTATTACATGGAGATTGAGCGCATGCACCGAAAATACGGTTAGAACTTCTTTCATACACATTCAAATCGAGTTTCTTATATCTGTCTGCAGGCCCAGTCGTACGCATCACACCTGCCGAGATTCACGTTCGCGACCCGGTTTTCTACCATGAGCTCTTTGTCATGGGTGCTGTTCGAAAGATGGAAGCTTACCCAAGATTTGCAGAAGGAACTGGATTTGAGGGTAACTTAATTCCCATTATTGCTACTAGATTGAAGATTGAAAAGAACCTGCTAATTCTGAATGAAGACATGGTCGCCGTTTCCACCACACACGACATGCATCGCGTCACCAGAGCCCTTCTTAATCCTTTCTTTTCCATTGCTGGAATCGCACGTGTCGAAGAACGCGCTGTCCAGCGGGTGGAGCAGTTGCGTAGCCGACTGAATGGATTTGTAAACACGGGAATACCAGTCAACATTACCCATGCATTTAACTCGCTTATGACCGGTGCGTATAAAAGTCCTTTACCACTATAGGATGAAACTTGACAACTGGGATATATCAGATATCGTTTCTTGTATGCTGTTTGAAGAGCCTAGTGATTATCTAAACGATCCTACATTCAATGCAGAATGGTAAGGGTTTGTCCTTATCATGTGGATGAAGCTAACTTCTTTGAAGGTTTGAAGTGCTGAAAAAGGGCGCTGTGACAATTCCTTTGCTGGCACATATGCCATGGTTTGCGAAGTACATCATTTCCTTCCGCTGTTATGTCTTTTCTAATTCAATGATTGGTTAATAGGCTTTTGGTAATGCCTGTAGTAAGGGCTTTATCTGAGAGGATAACCAAATGGAGGATTTGGGACGATGTGAGTGCAACTATCTTCTATAATAATTAATTTTGGTCTGGATTCTAATACTTTGCTAGAAAGCTCGCAGGCAAATGGTCAAATCTCGACTTCGACCAGCAGATGAGGCCAAGAATCGAAGTGATACCACTTTCTTTGACCATCTTGTGCATAGTGATCTGGTGGAGTCAATATTCGGCAACGGCGGGTTTTCTCGCCTATCACAGGTAAGACGAGTAACCCATATCATAGTAGAGACACTCGATTCTGGGCTTACAATTGGCAGTTGATCCAGCAAGCTGGAACCCATAATGTTTCCACAACACTGGTGACTTTGGTGACATATCTGGGGCTGAATCCGGATATAGAAAAATGACTTCGTGAAGAACTTCAGGCTTTCTATGACGAGAACACCCAGAACCATATCACGTGGCGACAACTAGAAAAGTTGCCATATTTGAAGGCATGTTACCAAGAAGCACTAAGGTAACTTGCTATCACTTTAACAAAAAGAAATCAACTCATCCTATTTTATAATCAGAATTTCGATGGGTCTACTACACCGCCAAGTACGGAGGTCACCAGACGTCGAACTGGAATGCAGTGGCTGGAAAATTCCTAAGGGAGTAAGTGATGAGTCACCCTTCAATATATCCCGATTAATTTCATAACAAATTCACACAGACTCCTATCTCAATGACGAACCACTGGATTCACATGGATGCCGATATCTTCCCAGACCCAAGAAAGTTCGAGCCAGAACGTTGGCTGGGGAACCAAGATAAAGTCAAGCTAATGTACGACTACTTCGTTCCATTTTCAAAAGGGTCTCGTGCATGTCTGGCTAAGAAGTAAGTTATTACCCACTATAAAGCAGCTTGGGACTCACAATTTCGACAGTCTTGTCGACATGACTATTTACCACACCATCGGAAAGCTGTACGGTCCGCTAGCCCCACGTATGATACTTCACGAGACAAACGAAGATGCGGTTCGACCTGTACATGGCCTTCTCTTTCCATTTCCGCAACTAGATTCGCCGGGCGTAAGGGTCTGTCTTACGAGTGGAGTTGATTGATGAAAGATATTGTTGTCACAGGATGACAAGAGGTAACTGGTGCGTAGTTTTTATCCATATATAAATAATTGTGAAGGTGAATACAGTACACGAGATCAGAATACCGCTGTTTATGTGTTTGAGTACTTTAGTCATCAAATATGTATTGGTCAAAATATAGATGCGATGTTATATATCCTCTCGCCAAAGTTATCTCACCAGTTATAAGATACTTCTGTGCTGCTATGGCACTTTTCTTTTTCTAGCAATAAATTCTGCTCAACTTCTTGACAAGAATATTGTGCTTCCCTAACACATGGGGGTTGCTGGAATGCAGTGCATTCTACTGAAATTTACTCATTGAGCTTGACTCTGAGCGCTCTCATTAAAGCGGCGGTAGCTGTTTTAGGGAAGCCCCACCGGGGAAAGGAAATCTGCTACATACAGTGTCGGTTCACAGGGATCTTGATGCACTATTACTACTATGTTGTACGTGTGACAAGTTATGCGGTAAGATGTGTGTTCATTCTAAGTTCCCGCGATGGAATCGGGTATGCCCCGATTCCACTAGTTTCATTCACTTCCCGAGTTCATTCACTTCAGCAAACCAGATTCCATTGGTTCCAACATACAGTTACCTAGGTAATTTTTGACTGCAGTCAGACTAATATATATGCACCATATATACCTGGGTATGCTTACTTCGGGTGCGAAAAGACCAATGCCCTCACTTCGACGCTGACCCTAGGACTCGGCATCTTTAGGGTATTCAGGGACATAAAGGACGTATGAGGAGTATCTGCAGCAAATATTGTCAGAACGGTGTACCTTATCTGGACTCTCCATACTACAAGCTTGTAATGGCTCATGATAGAGGAAAAACCGACAGTACGAATGGCCAGCCACTTACATTTAACACTGTCCTCACTCGTGTCAAACCCCTTAAACAGAATTACATCTTCCACGTCCTGTCTACTCGTATAGTACCATTGACATGTATCATTCGGCTCATACTGTGGATAGAGCATGGTGCCAGTATAATTACCGCGTATCATATCAGTTTCAATCAATTTAGACGAGTCCAAGGTTCGTCTATCACACACAGCCAGAGGGTGGTCCTCAATCGGCCCACTAATTGGTCGCCAAAGACTATTTTCTCAAGTCAGGACTATTCTTTCAATCTGCAGTCTGACTGCATAGGCCTTGAGGGGAGACAAGAGCTAGAATCCTGTAGATACTGTTACTCACTTGATCAGTCGGACTCGCCCAGATAGAAGGTATTGAGATTCTTTGGGAAGATGATTTCTAATACGTTCCATCATCGGGGTTCCAATTTTGTCCCGAGTTAGAAGTGTGTCTTGAAGATTGTCAGCAAACATCTATGCTGATTCGATATAGTCGATCCGTAACTTACCAATATGAACCTGATGGGCGAAGCCTTGCAAATTTGGGTTTCTCCGTCGTTGCTCTTTTGCACTTTTTTTCTTTCTGATCTACCAAGATTGTTATTTTTTGGTGGCTGGAGGCAAAGTTGCATTGTGGTCACCTACTTTCCAATCGAATATCATTACCTCATCAGCTCCTTCAACCTCCTTTTTAAAAATAGCCTCGCATTCTGGCAAAAATATATTTTCAATATTTTTTGGGTCCGAATATTCATATGCTTTGGTGAGAGCCGGCCGGGGGCACCTTCTATAGGCGAAGCCATTGGTGTCCAGAGTGAATGGAGGACCTTCAGTCAATCCCCTGATGTCTCTTATAGTCTCTGCATGTTCCGCCACACAAAATACTAAGTTTGTCGTCTTTTCACGCTGTTTGGTTGGCTTTCTCCGTCCAACAAATTGACTAATGCGATATGGGCGAGTATTGGCATAACTGGGTTGCCATTGGAGGTATGTCAACCTTGTCTCAACATCTGTAGCCATACCATTCTTCCATCTAGGATATGGAAAACGGTGAAAAGGAAAAAAAGCAAGCGAAAATTAGAATGATGAATGTTGAGTAAGTACTCATATTAGGGGGATTCTTCAAGGTTATATCCTACATCTTTTACGACTGTGCTGTGAGCTAAGGGCCTCATGTCAATAGCGGGAACCCGAAGGGGGTTAGCGACGTGACTCATCATAGGGGTCTACATTGAGGCAGCCCCAAAAGTGAGTCTAAGCCGCCCAAAGCCCACCAAAAAAAAAAAAAAAAAAGGAAAAAAAATCGATCGCTATTGAAAATTGATCTTGCATCCAATTACTGCGTATCTTTGAAATACTACCGAAGATTAGTCTAACTGGTCAATGTTCCTACCTTATGGAGCAGAAGTCGATGGCTGAGATTTTTGCTGGAGATGACAATATCAAGGTAGGCAGTCACATTTCAGAATGAAAATGGATAATCAAACATTCGGGGGTAGTTCATGGAAGCTCCCAGCATGTCATCAAGACTTTGTGTCTGTCAAAAGTCAGCGGTTGGTCTGGAAACACATGAAATCAAATGTACATACCAGGTCCAGAAATCCAGGTTCCATATTTGAATATGGGGCAGAATGGTACGGCTCGTGATCAAGTGGATTACTTAACCCCTGATCCAATGCATGCCAGGCAGGTGAGGTTGATTGGGTTAATGGGCCAGGAAATGTCGGAATGCTCGCAGCAGGCCCAGATGGAGTGGTCTGTTTCTGACCACGAATCTTAATGAGTATCAAATCCAAAACTTGAACTGTTTTTTTAGATCCATCTGACCCTTCGCTAGATGCAGCCCAGTGTTGGTATGAGTTTTGCAAGGCCTCCACTATTTGCATTCTCAAGTTTTCAGCCAGTGGTATATGCTTTGAATCCGCAAGATCAACTAAAATATCATAGTTCAGTTCTAGACAGAGCATGGTTGTTGCCGACATAAACATGCCATTTATCATTGGACCTCTTGTCCTCCATCGATCGGAAAAGAGTCGCCCACCGGGCTGGATCTCTTTATTGACTAGACAATGGTATTCATGGATGTGAAGACATGCGTGAACGCAGGCGTCGCGCGAGTATGAGAACTTTTCTTCAGTTCTTGCAGGTGCTAGATAGCGATAATGCAAGACGCACTTTGCCCTTGAACGAGTAAGAGCGAGTAATATACGATGAAAGATTATACGCGTATCATCCAATAGTGACATTTCCAGCGACCGTTCATGGAGATTTTCTGGAAGTGAAGCGTACGTATCATCAAGCAGTTTATCCAGCTTCATAGCATCTGCGTAACTTGGAAGTCGGACTGAGGTTGAGAAATCGGCAATAGCACCAAAAACAGAATTCATCTTATTGTTCGCAAGTAACCATTGGCAGGGTGTATGGAGGTGGTCGGGCCGTGATGGAGGGAGTGCAGTCGAGTCTTCGTCAAAATCCTCATCTAGCAGATTTCGAGGACGAGCGGTATCTGATTGGGACTCTTTCAACAGCCGAGGGAGCCCAACGGAAAGGGACATCATAGTATCCATATCCGTGATCAAGTGCCACACTCTTCGTCGCATTTCACCGTCGAAAGGGGAAATCTTAGGAAAGTATGATGCATCACGGTGGTAGCCCATGCGCCGAGCCATTCTTATCACAACACCAAGAAGGATCAAGTTTCCAATATTTGGATCCTGCTTTTGAACAAATCGAGTGCCCAATGCGAAAGAAAGAGTTTCGATTGTATCTGGTGGGCATTCATCGTATTTTCCTATGATCAAACATTGGTTGATCTTATGGGTGTACTTCTCAAGCACGCCTGTCAGATTTGGTATGATTGGATTGCTCTTGTCCTGGCACGTTATAGCCACGCATAGGATGCCATATAGTTTCCCAATCCACATGATCGGGGTTTCTCCAGGATTCTTCCAGAATCTTTCGTACTGTTTAAAAAGTAAGTATTCATCATACCAAGGGGAGACGCTATTCATTACATGTCTAAGAAATGACGGACCGTGAATCACTGTGTTTTAGCGAAGGTAAGCTTGCATTTCAATTTATTCCTAGGGTATTCAATCGCACCTGGAAGATGTTTGCCGCGAAAATACTCAGCTACGAGTCTGTCACTTAATTCCTTCGACGGCAGTCCGGCCAAAATCTCTTCTTTGGTCGCGGATTCACAGTCTGGGAACAGCAGGTCTGGTGTACCGGCCATAACTGACACCTGACTACTGCTAGCAGCGTCATTTTGGACAAAGCTTTTGATCTCTGATATCTATGGCTCTCCTTCAGTCAATCAACAAGACTAGGACTGAGGAAGGTCGACTTACTTCGTCTAATATTGCTGACCAATGGGTGTCATCAACGTATGTGGCCTTGCTACCCTGCAGTGAGATATGGCCAAAGGATTTGGTGGGCTCAATCTTCTCCAATTGGGATCCTTCGATTCCAAGGTCTTTCGATAAATCGGTTTCAATCTGGCTTAGCACCGTTGGTGAGTTGGAATTCTCCACAAATGATGTGATGAGTCTCTCTAGATGACCAATCCGGTCTGTCAAGTTTGAAGCATTTGTTTGCTTTTTCTCTTTGGCCACACGATCTGAGCCAAGACGTTTTGGCTCGGGATAAGTACAAGCTGGCAGCCCGCGGTGTTTGCAAGATGAGCAAGGGTCAAGTCGGTCACATCGCAATCTGTGGATCAATTAATATGGCGTCTCTGTAAAAGTACGATCGATCGGAAAGTAGACACAGGAGTCATACTTTCTTATCCTACAGAAGTTGCATGATAGTTGTGGCTTATCCCGTCGTCTATTTGGAGGCGGGGGATTTTGCGAAATTTTGGGTTCCATTGTCATTCCAATGAAGATGGAATATGCAAGAATGTATGAAAAAGTACTCCAAAGAATAGATCTGAGGTTTAGCTGGAATTGGGATCAATTCATCCTTCGCGTTGATATTAGTAATCATTTATTGGCCTGATAAACCAGGCGACAAGGTGCGCGGTCACCTTCCCAATTTTGAATAGCGCGTCCCCACATAAGCCTTGGGCGACCCCGCGTTCTTACAGAAATGCAAGATCAACCATCTCAAGCTACTGACTGAGCCTTTGCTGGTCTGGACCAGACTTTTGGCGGTTATTGCGAGAGCCCATACTCTGAAGCACCAAAAATTACGCCCTATTTTGAACACCCGCCTTTGCCGAAGAACTGTCCCTAAATGGTTGAGATTGACAAGTGGATCACAGATAATTAATTGTTGAATACTCCGTCCTCCCTACTTATATAGACTCTTCTCCGCCCCAGAATCTCCAAACTATAATCAAACAATTCACCGAAATAAAACTTTCTAGCCTTCCACCACTGGTGCACATACACATAGAACTTACAACCTCTTTTATCTCATCCTACCATTCCTTATCTAGTGGCTGCATACCACTTCAGCTTTACTTAGATGGCGGTTTTATCACGCTATCCTCTACGGCCTCATACGCACGCCTATACTATATCATTGTCTCAGCCCAGTCACGGGGCTAGTAGATCCGGTTCTCGCTTATCTATACCCGTGCTGTAAATCAGCTACCCTTGTGAGCCGAGACTGTAGAGGCAAGGCAAAGACCATGTTAATCGAGATTGTTCCCTTGACTGAGGCTGATGTCCCCGGCGCTGTAGAATGTGTACAGAGAGCATTCACCGATGACCCTTACTTCCTGTGGGCATTTAATGATCCATCCAAGGTATGAAATAATACTACCCAAGTGTGACAACTTTGGAATTCTAAACGATTCAATTTCATTCCATTTATGACAGTTTAAGAAAGGCCTGACAATTGTTGTCGATTAGTTCAGTGTCCAACGAAACGCAGCCTCACTTGCAGCACATTTTCATTACGGGATTAACTTAGGCGAGCCCATTTCCATCGCCAGAGTCACCCGCGCAACTGGCAATCAGAAAACAGATCGCGAACTCCAGATCCCTCCAGGAACTGTCGTCGGTCTTGTTTGGTGGCATTCTCCTCGAGCAGCTTCTGAGCCACAGACTTGGTCTATATGGGCACAAGGATGGCTCCTCTCCTTCCGACAGCTTATGAACAACATTCGCTTCCTTGGTCGTGGTGGCCTTAATGTCAACCGATTCTGGGTCTGGAAACAAACGCAACAGGCTGCACATGAAGCTCTCTGGACAGATCGTTGTGGATATTATTTTTGCAATATCGTAGCCGTCAGCTCCCAGGCTCGCGGCATGGGGATCGGTAAGCGTCTCATGCAGACTGTTATGGAAAAGGCAGATCGAGAGTGTGTACCGTGCTATCTCGAAAGCTCCAAGTCGTATCCCAATGTGCCCATGTATGAGAAGATGGGATTTGAACTTATCAAAGAGATAGAATGTGTGGAAGGAGGTGATGCTTGCAAAGTAAGTCTCTCACTAATCCGGAATCTTGCTTAGTGACTTACTAGAACTGAATCAGCTGTACTGCATGATTCGCAAACCCAAAATCAAGGTCTAGTTATACGAGAGACGCCAGTTTACGAGAGGAGTACAAAACCTGATATCAGGAGCCTTATGTTAAAGCTCTTATATATTTACTCTTTTCTTGAGTAAAGAGATGCGGATACTCTCAAAATTCACTATGATAGGGTGTTGACGATTTAATAGCAATATCATAATAGTCCAGTGACACTCTAGTCAAACTCAATCGTAAAAGGATCAGTGGATTCTCCAATAGCACCAATAACGCACCCATAGAGCCCTCGCTGGTCCGACATATTGTCCTTCCATGAGATGAGAAGCTTCCTGATCCCCGCATCCAACAACCCTTGAAAATCTTGAGCTTCCATAAGACCCCTGACAGGAATTAGTTGGTAGTGTGGAATTAGGAACACTTGGGCATATTTTTCGGAGACTTGCCCGGCTTTTCGCAGTCTTATGGCCTAGAACACCGCATCAAAATGATCAGATCCTTTTTTTCGGCGCCCGTTCTCATAATCCTATCTAAGGTACGAGACCCTTAACTTCAAAGCCATTTTGAAGTTTGGATTTAGAAGTTGAGCCCCTCGAAGAACTTACGCCACTTCGATATGCCTAGTGATCTGCTCATAGGTGAGTATGCTGTCAATCGTGGTGAGAAAGTCGATTTGAATAGCGACGGAATTTCTGGTATGATACCTCGGACAACTCATTGAATCTGTCTTTAGTCTTTTGAAAATGTTTATTTCGCAGCTATAGGAACTGGGGGAGAAACAAACTAACGCGTATTTGCACAAGGTGTACTGGGCGCTTAAAGCTATCACGCCAAACGTCTTCAATACCTAGAAAATAACCTTGCAGAACGCTCACACATGTGATAGGACCAAAAAGTACATAAATCCCCGCTTTCGAAGTCACCGTCCTGCATAACTATATCAATGCTGTTACATTTCTTTGTGCCATTATGTTCGCCGAGGTAGCCCGAGGCCGCCATCGCATGATTGCCATACCAACAAAACGCTCGCCATGATTGGCTATTTCAAGCACCAGCAGAAAACAGACAATCACTACTGGCCAGCTTCCTTGTGTATTAATTTTTATGTGCAAATCATGTATACTGGCGCAGCAGCAAAGGAAGTATAGGCGCCGACAACACGACTTGGTCATTCTTCACGTTACTCAGTGATGACATTGAGATCAGGACATTTTGAAAAGGCTGTGATATTTTCCGCATAAATAGGACATTCCTGTCACTGGATATCTTGAAAATCACTCAACCTCAAGCAATCTGATCAAGCCCTCGGGCCTTCTGAATATCTCAAGTACTTTGCTTGTTTGCAAAAAGGCATATATATATATATATATATATATATAAGTACCAGGTACTATCCCACCTCCTCTATACTACATTCCATTGCATCTATTCCTTGTAAGTTTTTTTGATCGCTGGACAAGTTCCAATTCCGTGTGGAACCTTGCGGACGGTCCGTCCTGGTCCACAGACTTTTTTGGTCTATGAAAAATTCCAGTAACTGATCAAGACACGATTAGCTAGTCATAAGAGCTCTCGGATTTCTCATTATTTTGGAAACCTTGAAGCCCTAAGTCGGAGTAATCAAGAAGCCGTCCGTCCAGCTGATTTCGCCACCCTTAAGGACAGAGACACAAGCTCAGGCCTATTTCTTATTCAACTGCTTCGAAATGAAGACCATACACTTGGATACTCACAGCCAGAGGTACTTAACCACCACCTAAAATGATAGTCAATTGATACTAACTAAGGCCAGTCCTCTTCCATGTCGCCAATGGAAAAGAATGTATCGAGTACCTGCAAAGTGCACCAGGATAAAGACGAATGAAAGGCAGGGTATGTCCCATAAGAATTAACCCAACATTGCCATCTCTCACAAAGTCAAGAGGATTTCCGAGAAACCGAACACCTTCACTTTATTGGGACTCATCGAGAGCCTAACTTGCCGATCCATGGAAACTTTGAATGGTAGATTAGCTTGCAGAAGCATGAATCAAGATGTGAGCTGCGTCAGCTGACTAACCCTTTCAAGCCCATCAATGCCGATCCTTCCATTTTGACACATCCTATTGATTTTTAGCTAACCAGTTGTTCTGAGTCAATTCATTGGCAAAACTCCTTTTCTATGACCAGAGCTGTTGTTGCCTGATTAAGCTTGTTGTACCATGTGGCTATCAGTGGGGTTGGAATGTGCACGAACCACAGAGTAAAGTGGATTCGAATTATGTACAGATTCTTCCAAGGTTTTGATTGACTCAGATTTTGTCTTGGGTAAATCCTTCACCGGTCTTCAACCTGTTTTCTACATGTTATCTACTGCATTTACTTTTCTGTTCTTTCCATGCTTTTGTTATCGTTATCTATGTTTGAACCTGATCGATCATCCTACTCTGGCAGCCTGAACTTCATATGACGTTGTCAACTGTGACTAGTATTTAGTCACGATAATACTAGTACACAGTTGGACTAGTAATAATTTGTAGATTGTGGTCAAAGGCTGATGGATTCAGCTCTGCGACCGACTCTGAAACGGCAGCTCCACTGTTGCTGTATCACGATGTGAGTGGCTTGGTACTTGTTCTGTCTCCACTTCTTGTCCTGGGAAAAGTACTGGAACCAAGTCCCAAATATACGTTCTATTTATGGTAAATTTGGGGGTTATCTTAGTTGGAATACCTCCATGCCATATTGCCATAATCTATTATATCGTACTCTATGTAATAGAATGAAGCAATAATTACTCCGTAATCCGTGTAATCCTATACTTCCAATAATCAGGCAACAGAATCCGCCCGATCCGCAACCATGAGCCGAGAGTTTAATACGGAGTAACTATGGAGTCCATACGGAGATTTGGTTTAAAGGGATTGTCCTTTTCGGCCCGGAGTTTGCCAGGGACGCGCTTTTAACCAGCCAATCATGCCTATTGATTGGACAAACATAACACATCAGATTTGCGATTGTGAACCATCCACGTTAGCGTAAGCCTGATTTTCCCTCTTATACATGTATCCACATCCCTGCCCTTTGGTCAATTTCTTTTTTTCCCTCTTTTTCCCCTCTTTATTTATCTCTATTTCCTCCCTCGACTCCCTGTACATACAGTCTTCTCTTCAATTTGATTTCATTCTACAATACCTGTACCTAGGTAGCATATCGACCAACCCCCCGACTGATGCACTGACCACCTGAGAACGTCAAATACCAATACGCTGTATAACGCTGTACATACAATCCCGATTGCGACACAGACGAGGCCGGATATTTGAATATTTGAATATTTGAATATTTGAATATCTGAATATCTGAATATCTGAATATCTTTCAACCCTTGGAAGCATATACATATACATATACGTCAAAATGACGCTTTCAAATTCCGCTATTATCGTTATCGTCTTAGTGTGCTGTCTGGCCGTTATAGCTGTCTGCGCAGCCCTATTTAAGCACTACCAACCCCCCGAAGAGACTACTGTGTCTGCATATAATGCATCAGTCGAACAAGATAAATACATGAGGACAGTACGGGAACGGAACTATGGACATCTGAAACACGCGTCCATGAGCGGACAGGATGTCGAAGCTCGATGTATGTGTCAGCCCATATTACAATTGGCTTTCCACCTCTTCTAACTTCTTGTCTTCTCCCAATTATAGACTCCCAAGCTGAATTGAATGGCGGCTATCCTTATGGTCACAACAACCCCAGTCAACAATTCAGTCAATACGAGTCTTACTACGGGCCAGAAACTCCGTCTGCTTATGTCGAGACTCCGTACGTGGAAACTCCCTATGTGGAAACTCCCTATGTCGAAACACCTTATTTGGAACATGAAGTCAACTACTCAGAAAAGCAACCTCATGTTGTCGGAAAGGAAGCGCATGCTACTCAAGAATCTGAACTTCCTGTCCCCTCTGTCCCTGCTGCGACCGCGAATACGACTCATTAAGCACACCATCACACGATCCCCATGATGGAATACTTTATACGATGGATGGCTGGATGAAAATAGATTGGATTTGTACTTGGTTGGCAGGACCTAAATTGGCGATCAGTGATCAGCCATTTGATATCAAGGTCTGGACAAGTCAATTGTTTGACTGTTGACACGTATGGTCGGATGATTTTGTCCTGATAATCCGTCTTGGGAATCTCTATTTAGGTTTTTCCTTTTCTGTTTCCTGTTTTCCTTTTTTTGTCGGTTTTTTCCTTTCTGTTATTTCAGCGATTATCTCATTTCTGGCGCTATCAATTGCGCAATTCACGCAAAAGGGTCTGCCAGATGCATAGGTATCCTTGGACCCATCACCTTGAACGTCATTTCGGTGTTTTTCTTTACGCTCCTGGCCACTGGAATATTGATACCCTACTTAATACCTTCATAACTTTAACATCGGACTGAATGAATGCCCCGAGCACCTAGGTCCTCAAGCTTGAGCTCAAAGGTCCATGAAAAAGCTATAAATATCCTCCACATTGGGTCTGTTCCACCGTTGAATGCTAAATGAGTGTTCTTGAATGACATAATCCGGGCTAGTTGATCTACGCCATCTTTTCAGCCCTGGGAGTTTAACACCTGTCATACTCTTAGCGGCTCCTAGGGGGTAGATTATCTCCGCAAATATTTTTTTCGTGTAGTACGGACCTCGGGAATAAGAGTCAGTCCGTTTACTTCCTTATTATTCCTTATTCTGCTTACTTCTGCATTGATGACGAGGGAATTCCCGGGCGCTTCAAGAGCAAATGAAAAGACCTGACTCGGTTATGAACTGTGGACCCTTAGACGGTTCGCCCTAATAATAAGGCTATTGGCTACCGTCGACTTAGTAACTAGGTAAGCGGCTCTAATCCATGGTACTTTTTGGATGACAGCATGACAAGGCTGGCAAATATTGACCCGAAGGCCGATGCGAGAAGGATTTGCCCTAAGTTCGTTACGAAAAAAGCAAATAGCCTCGGCCTCCGAACACCTGAAACTCCACACGGCTCGCATACCGTTGAGCTAAGGCCAAGAAACTAAGAGGGCTATTTAATAAAGTCGGTGAGGGATTAGAAAGGGGATCATAAAGGATTAGACTACCCTTAGTTCTTAGTCCACCGTGCTTACTTCCTACTATCATCTCCAACATGAGCCTTTACCTACAACCGCCCGTGTTGCGTGCTTCGGCCATATCAGTAAACTATGAAAGCGACACAGGAGGGGATGAAAGGTATGACCACTCGCTTGGTCGTCAATATTGAAGCTTGAAAACTGGATGAAATGCTCATAATAACCTCTATTCAGGCCAGGCCAAACCTCTTCAACTAAAATTCAAGCTCATTTCCAAATCGCCTGTCGACCACCAAAATCCACATTCTGCCTAAGTCCCAAACTCGTCCTCCAAGTCCAACAAGTCCTCCCAAATCACCGCCCAATTGCCGTTTTAGAATGTTGGCAACCACCTTTCCGCAAGGGCAAATTAACTCGAGACTTTCATCATCGCCCCAAGCTCCGCTCGGGTGATCTATACGCGACTCACGCCGAAGGTTTCACTTCAATCTCTAATCCCGTCTACAAACACAAACAATCCTCGTCGGATACAACACAAAGCAGCAGCAGCAGCGATACAAAGGGCCATTATCACTCAGACCACGACGTTGCAGATCAGGATATCGTCGCGGCATTGTGCAATGCCCAGACTCCATCTACTATATACTTTCGCGACACACGGTGCAGTTGGCAAGTCAGTGCGAGCACGGCTGGGCCCGCGCGTACGCCGTGTTATAGATTTACGATGAAGAATGACGAGGACCAGGATTCTACCGATCCTGGACGGATGATTTTGCAGTGGGAGAAGCGGAGTGGCAAGAATGAGTCGGATGGTGAGCACTTTGTGCTTGTTTTGATTGATCGCAGTTTGAAGAAAAAAAGTCGTATCACTACTATGCGACGGTCGGGATTGGAGATCCTTGTGCGGAAGGATTCTATTATAGACAGTTTGGAGACATGTATGCAGCTCACTGGGCCGGCAGAGAAGCAGGAGTTGGAGACTTGGTTGTATACACATGTCCTTACGTTTGGGGTGTGGGTTGCTAATCAGGAAAACTGGTTTGGGGCATCTAAGTAAATAATAAATAATTAGACTAGCTTAGGTGTATTTTACTAAGAAACCTTGGAATTGGCCTTTATAGCTGGCTATGTATAGTAGAATTTCGACTAGCTATTACGTACTTAGGTAGCAATACCTACTTCTAGCGCTTTTATCTGCAACGCCAATAGTCGCGAGTAGTATCTGCATAGAGCAAGATTGCCACCCATAAACCAGAAACCGGGATGACCACTGCGACGCCATATAGTGCGGAACTCACCCTCGGTGTCTAATCCCCAGACATCGCCGACACGGTCTGCGACTTCATCTCCAAAGATCATTTGAGCCTGGCTCCTCATATTCTGATAGCCGGTCGCAAAGACAATTTCATCCGCCTCCAACTGCGATCCATCCGCAAAGAGGATTCCGTGAGGAAGAATTTCACTTATCTCCTGTCCTTGTTTCACCTTTATCTTCCCATCAATGATCAACTGGCTACCTCCTACATCAATGTAATAGCCACCGCCTCGCTGGAAGTATTTCATCATGAGTCCAGTCTCCATAGGGCCAGAGTCAACCTTGAAACCGACCTTCTCCAATCCAGCAAGGATTTTCGCATCGTTCTGGCCCACTGCTTTCGAGACCTTGAGCTGCTGCGCTTTGAACAGCTCGGGTGCAATACTCCAAAGATAGATATCTGCATCTTCCGTCGGAGGTCCACCCTCCTCGTACAGACCCTTCATGGATATTTCAGTAATAGACTTTGAACTCACGACGCAGGTTGAGCTGCGCTGCACCATTGTGACATCGTATCCCTTCTCAAAGTAATCCTGTGCGATATCGTGACCAGAATTACAAGATCCAATCACAACAGCCTTCTTGCCCTTCGCATTCGAGTCTGCGCCAGGAAATTCAGAGCTATGACAGATGCGATAACCCTTGAAGTTCTCTATTCCAGGAAAATCAGGAGCCTTCTTCTTCCCGGAATGACCAGTGGCCTGGATAACATGGCGCGGATGGAGAGTGCGGGATTCAGTTGAACCGTCTTCTTTTTCGCGCTGCAGGACAACGGTCCACTGCTTCTTGCTCTCATCCCAAGCTGAGGACTTCAGCTCAGTCTTTACCCAGACATTCAGCTCAAGCAGTTTCACGTAGGACTCGAAGAACTCGGCAAGTTTGTCCTTGGGCGTGAAAACAGGCCAAGACGATGGGAATGGGAGATAGGGCATTTGGTCAAACCAGACAGGGTCATGCAGAACAAGCTGGTGATAGCGACGTCGCCAACTATCTCCGATTCTATCTTCTTGATCGATGATCAATGTGTCAACGTCTAGCATCTTGAGACGCGCAGCAGCAGTAAGGCCACCCTGGCCAGCACCTGTCTTGCATCAGTGATGTATACACGTTGATCAACAAAACCAAATACGTACCGATTATTAGAACTGCAGGATCTTTCTCCTCAAAGCTCACATCTGCATTCCTCCGATCCAGCCAGTTCTTCCTCCCATGCTGCGCTCCATGCAGAGCACCAAGCGGTCTATGTCTTCCAGTTACCTCTTCATAGCCGGTCAACTCTCGCAAGGAAGTGAAAATCGTAAAAATTTTCCACTGATCCCCCTGCTGTGCTAATCGCACAACCCCAGTCCCAGAGCCAAGGTCAGTAGTAACCAGAATGAAGAATTCAATTCCATGCACATCTCCAAAGGCATCAATGGGTCCAGTACGCGGCGCTTTAAAAGGAGAAGACCGGTCAATTTGGATGTTGAGGGATGATGAGCTTGCAGTGGCATATTTGACTAGCGCCTCGCGGCCCTTTACAGTTCGGAAATCCCATGACAGGCATAAGTGGTCTCGCCAGTAGCTATTTTCTATGAATAGTGCAGAAAGGGCGCTGGCATCTTTCTTTTCCAGAGCGATGTTTGCTTTGTTGATTACGTCTGTTGCGAGATTGTCGGGATTTGAGGGGGTTGATGTGCTTGTTTCGGGGTAGATACCAATGGCAATATCGCAGGAGCCTGGTTCCACTCTGTATCGTGAAGGGATATTGGCCTGATTGGTTCCAAGCACAGCTTCGACTACAGCCATATTTTCAGATGAGATGTGGTTTCGAGCGAAAAATAGAAGGAAATTACCTGGGTAGTCCGTGTGAGAATGCCTTGAGCAATATATGCACTAACCCCGCAGTCTAGTTCTTTTGCTAACCTTGGAACCTCCAGGGCTGGGGAAGCTGGAGATATTCCGGAGCCCCGAAGTCCGGCTGCAGTGACAGGCCCTTTTGCTCCAGAGTTTCCAGCTTCCAATTGAATGAAGGGTGTGATGCAATCAATTCCCAATAGCTCCAGGGCCACTTGTTACACATAGGCACATTGACCTTTTCTCCTCAGTGTCATTGAACGATAGGCTTGAGAGTTAATGATTCTCGAGGCGACCTGATCTTCAAATATCCAAAACTACAACCCTGGTTATTGGCCGAGTAGCAATGCTACTTCATATATCAGGTACATAGATACTGGTAATCCCCGAGGCTTGGAAGTCCTGTACAAACTTCGGTGGGATATTACCAAGAAGTTTACCACGTAGCCTACAGGTACATGCATCAACCTGTAACCAAAGTAACCTAGGTACGAAGGTGGGCAGGGACATTGGAATGTGAGGGGTAATTGTGCAGGGTAGTGACAGCAAAAGTAGAATGATTGAAGTCCCCCGAGGTTCCTGGTGTGTGGAAGAGAAAATTGGAAAACCCCGCAGTGCAGGTCAAGTTTTAGTCCTTTATATTGATCTAAATGCATCCACAAAAAGAAAAGAAAAATAACGAAAAAAAGATAAAACACGAACCCTAAACTAGGCAAATTATCTTAATGGGGGAAAGAAACGCCAAGATTAATTAAAAATGATATGGAGCAAAAAGATATGCATCATCCGTGAATCGAACACGGGCCTCGTCGATGGCAACGACGAATTCTACCACTAGACCAATGATGCTAGTTCGATATGAATTGTTATCTTTTAGACATCATATTCCAAACATACAGTATTCTTTATTTCTGTGCTTAATACTTGTTCAATTTACGAAATAAACTCGTACGGGGTGGGGTCAAGTGACGAGTCGGTCGGAATTGTAATTGATCAAATTTACTGATCTAATAAATTAACCCTGGAAGTTGAGACAAGCATTCCAAGGGGTTGACTAAGCATTCTAGAATTATTCCATTTACCCAAGGTTACGCGGGATGGCGTCAGGCCTCCAGCAACGCTGTCAACTGGTCATTCGATAGGTCACAAAGTCCCCTCTACTAAGAATTCTCAACCCAAAGTGAATTCCATCCACCATTATGGACTTCACCACGCTCCGGAAATCTTGAAGATTATCCTTACTTAATTGGGTATCAACACAGTCAAGGCCCTTCGTCTAATAGACCAAAAGCATGTACAGGGCTCCGGTTTTTGAACTCTATTAGATATCCAATTGCTGATACATTGATGCAGAACCTTCGTCTTCTGTATGCTTCAGCTTGCCTTTACTTCCGCATTCAAACCTAGATTCATTTATCTGAATCCTCCAAGTCCGCATTCTGAAGTTGGGGCTCTAGGCGTAAAAGTGAGTAGGCAGCACGAGCTGCTAACAATTAAGGTCCCTTAAATGGTCCTTCTGATTTGAGCTGGTTGAGAAGACGGCAAGAAGCAACATCTAATGAGTCATTAAGCGAGATGATTGAACTTCTTCATCTTGGAATTCTATCTACTTAGATACTGAAGTTATCGTCGGACATACAAAAATGTATTCGGCTGACTGTCAAAGGTATTTGCTCTGAGAGCGAGCCTCGCATATACTCTCTTTGCTTATGACGGTAGAGCGGGGTGTCGGTGAAGAAACTCAATGCATATCGCAGTACTACTAGATAATGGATTGCATTCCATATCATAATATCACCATATATGTAAGCTTAGAGCAGTTAAAAATCCCGAGGGTTCTAGAACATGTGGTAAAGATGAAGAAAAGAAAGTGGAATCATGAATTTACTGATCCACGGAGGGGTCATAACGAGCGCATAATGAATATTGTCCTATTCTTAATCGAGATGCGGAAACTTCTAATCCAAGAAACTAAACCAGGATCTAGTAAGGCTTGTAAATTGACAGCTAATGGTAGCTTTCGACAGCCAGAAAGTATCTCACTTGACTTGGCCACTTTGTCAGAATTCCTTCTCTAGCCTGTTGGATTTCAGAATGATTGGCAATTAGGCCCGCCGTCTGTAATAGTGCAAGTGGGTCGTCTGTCCAGAATCCTCAGTCTTCGCACCCGGCATTGAACTCATACTGGTGACGTTCGTGCTGGATAAGCAAGTCAAAAGAGTCTCGGACTTTCACACGACTCGATACTGAAATTTGCACAAAGTTCTCTGAAAAAAGCAAGTGTAAGTGCTGTAGAAAGCTAGCAGTTATGAATGCCTTCGATCCTTCTGGAATCCCAGTTGCGGCAACGGAATAAGACAGCGTAATGTTGATGCGAACAGGTAATTGCCGATGACAAGGTAAAAATAATGATTCCTTCCTGGCGGGAGTTTCTCGTGTCCCACGGTATGAAGAGCAGCCAAATAATGGTATCAGACCATCTCTCTCTAGCCTGATGGCAGGAACCGAACGAGCTCAAATGGGGCCCACTTTACTAAAATTCCACGATCACTGATTAGTTAAACCTCACAACGAGAGTGAGCACCTTTTTTACTCATGATTGAAAATGAGTATCGCAGAAGTGTCAATGGTAAAGAGAGTTGAGGGTTCAGCTTCAAGTTTGAGCTTGAGGAAGAAATAAAGCCAGTAAACCGAGATATGAAGCCGAAGAGTCCGTATAGGTTGATGGAATCAAGTGAATCTTCAATACAGAGAAAGTGAAAAACGGTAAAAAGATGAAGAAAGGAAGGTCGGTCAAAGTATTTGCAGGAAGACCAAGTACAGTTCTAGGACAAAAGTTTTTGTATGGCTCCACTAAAAAGTGGAGACAAAACACATCTGCGACGCGTATCGCTGCAGAGGGTAGTATGTTTCATATTACTGTGTAGGTTAAATCTGGATTATTTGATCAATTCTTTATATCATATAATGTTATAATTTATAAATAAACAGGTGGTGTATGGCTGCAGTTTTAACATCAGGGGTGAAAATGATGCTGAGATATATATTTGAGGGTACAATCTCAGAATGTATCTTTCTCTTGGCAAAGTGGGGCGCCATACGAAACTTTTGTCCAGATGCTGTAGATTCGTAAGTTTAAATCGTGGAGATGAAAATTCAGCTTCGCACTATTCTAAGCCTTGGGCCTACCCTGACTGTAATTCTGCATTTGGTTTAGCTTATCTAGTCAGCATTCCTTTCAGTCCTTTAGATAACGCGCAAACGCATTCGATTTGTTGATTCTGATGAGATTTGGTTCCACTCTCTTCTAAAAGTTGACACATGCTCAATTGAGGCCTCAAGTTGCAGGCTGTCCTCAGGATATATTTCTCTTTGCTATATCTTTTGTCTACTGAGCATTAAAAATCTTACCCCGAGTCCTGAGACTCTATATTAGACTCACATCTCATCGGCCAAAAAGGATCTCATTATTTCGTCAAATGTTGCTATCATAGACGAGAACTGTTCATTCCCCGCTCTGCTCATGCAGACGCCTGTAATATGCGACCTGTCTATTGAAGGCAACGTCAGTTCTTATCAAGAAGCTGCAAAGAACTTTGGTTCACTTCTGCGGGCTGAGAAAGAAAAACAAATACCAATCGTATCTGCACATTCCCACTAGCGGCTATTTTTGAGACTCTTCGATACTGTCTTGACGCTTTACTGCCCAAATCCGGGGCTCCGATGCCTAACCGTTTAGTCTACCTACATGACTCAAATGTACTTTGTAGATGGAGAGTGTACATAAGTAATTGTACCGACTCAAGTCTCTATCATCAATCTGCGAAATCTACGCAGTGCTAATATTTAATATGGAGGATCAACAATTTTTCAACCTTCTTCACTTGCCTGTTGAGCTACAGCAGCATGTTATTAGCTATCTTGACTATCCAACACGTCTTTCTCTTTCAGAAACCAGCAAATTCCTCAATTCTACCATCCATATTGAAGAATTGGAAAGATTAAACTTCCTATGCACTGCAGAAACATGGCCGGAGTAGGTTTTTGAAAGCGCAGTATAAGTCTTTGCAAAACTGACTGAATCAGATACAAAGACTATTGGTCCTGCAAATATTGTCTGAAGCTCCGCCATGAAGAAAAATTTTCGGATAAGCAAAAAGGACGAAAAAGAAGCAAAGGGAGCTCAGAAAGTAATCGTCGCATGTGCATCGATTGCGACTTGGGAGAACGGATCTACCAACCAGGACAACAACTCGTCGAAGTTACCACGCAACATGTAGAGATTTGCGGCCGCTGTGAGAAGTTTTGTCAGAGAGGACTATATTGTATCTCTTGTTCGCAGTGTGAAGTGTGTCTTCAACGGCATATACCGAATACGAGCCATGGCATGAGTCTGAGACAATACGCTATCAAGGATCAGTGTCCTTATTGCTCTTTGACAGGGATGAGGGACTTGGGACAGGAGACAATTTCAAAATCAGTTGAAATTGGATTGGAGGCTGTGTTGCTTAATATGAAATTGGCGGACTTTGAGGGGTGTTATGGGTTTGAGGTAGGCCCGGAGTGGTTTGAAGATGATATTGCTTATGGGAATTTCTAGACGTGAATTGGATATCAATGTTCATATATGACAGTTACAAAGAATCAGACATCTCATCTCTGCCAATTATATTCAAGCTTAATATGGTCTACAGTAACTAGAGTATTTCATACCCATTCATAGGTACTAGCATGTACTAGGTGATGCATGTGCAGTTGTAGAGTTAAAGGGGGTTAAGTTGAAAGATACTTCATTGTTCGATATCAGGAAACTTGAAGGCTGCTGTTCTTCCCGCGAGAGAGAGAGAGAGAGAGAGAGAGAGACTCAATGCAGACCATAAAAAAGTTATTTTTTGTATGATTCATTCCCTGTACCCATCTGTGCTCCGTATCTCCGTGTGCGCTCTTGAAAATGTCCGGGTGCGGAAACATTTCGCATAGAACGCAACCCCACTCTAGGCTAAACCCACACCCGTCTATTCCCGCGGGGTAGAAGATCATTTTGACCTCTGTTCCTCTTTAAGGTCTTTGTTCAAATTTATGACTCGTATTTTCTTTCATTATTGACTCTCATGATCTGAAATTGATAGAATTGTATAATGAAAGATCAGGATCCGGAAATAATGAGCCAGGAGCCAAGCCCGAACCCGAGCTCGCAAAGAAAAGACATTCCTGAAGATTCACCTTCAAGTGGGACGGTGACTCCTGGTGAAGATGAGTTGCAAAATGAGAAGATAACGAAACAAGATTCAGATTCAGAAGATCAAAGCCCAAGGTCAACACGCAATCCACTCCTATGGGCCCCGCCTTGGTGTCGGTGGGACCCTAAGAACCCGCCTAAATTTAACGTATGGATAAACATCTTATTTGCATTTGCTGGTACTTTTACGGTATGCGTCACATTATCTGTGTTTCAAAGAAATACGACTAATTCTGTGTCTCAAGGTTGCCAATCTATACTACGCACAGCCGCTTCTAGATGAGCTAGCTCAGTATTTTGGCGTCACCCATGAACGGGCTTCATTGGTCCCAACATGTAGCCAGGCTGGGTATGCCACTGGGCTAATATTTCTCTGCCCACTTGGAGACTTGCTCCGAAGAAGACCATTTGTCCTTTCATTAATGTTTATGACGGCTACGTTATGGATTGGAATTTGCATTACCAGATCATTCAACGTATTCCTCGCGATAACATACCTGAGCTCAATCACTACCGTCACCCCTCAAGTTATGCTACCTTTAGTGGGAGATCTTGCACCCGCTAACCGACGTGCGACAGCGTTATCCATCGTTTCATCCGGGCTGGTTCTTGGCTTACTATTCGCCCGTCTTCTATCTGGAATCGTTGCCCAGTACTCCACCTGGAGGACTATATACTGGCTAGCACTAGCCCTTCAATACACCATTGTTTTCCTCCTTTGGCTGTTTATGCCTGATTATCCGCAAACAAATAAAGGTCTATCCTATCCCCGAATGCTTGTCTCGATTGTGCGATACCTGTTCACAGAGCCTGTCCTTGTACAAGCTGCATCCATGAACTTTTTCCTCTCTGCGACATTTACCAGCTTCTGGACAACATTAACCTTCCTCCTATCGGGTCGATACAACTACAGCACGATCACCATCGGATTATACTCGCTAGCCGGACTAACGCCCATGATCATGGGACCTTTTTTCGGCCGCTACGTCATCGATAAATTTGTGGTGACAGTCTCACTCCTGATATGCCTGACGATTGTCATAACTGGCATCTGTATTGGCACTTATACGGGCACTATTACAGCTGCGGGCCCGGTTCTCCAATCTGCCTTACAAGACTTTGGTCTGCAAATGTCCCAAGTTGCCAATCGCGCTGCTATTTACAGCATTGATCCCAAGTCGCGTAGTAGACTCAATACTACATTTACGTTTGTTTCATTTTGTGGACAATTGATGGGAACGGCAGTTGGGAATAGAGTCTATGATCAGAGTGGATGGATAGTGTCTGGGTCGGTGAGTGTTGCCTTTGCAGGAGCTGCATTTTTGATCTGTCTTGCACGTGGACCGGCGCAAAAGGGTTGGCTAGGATGGAGTGAGGGTATTCGAATTCGAAAGCCCGATGTACAAACATAATAGGCAAGATAGATTAACGATAGCATTAGAGGCAGGACTTTGGATTTCGGATCTTCTTTCAACTCACTTATACCAAGCCTTGAATGATCAGAGTCCCACTGTCTTATTTTCAGTTAACTTTGGAAGGATGTTAAGTTAATGTTGCCGTGATAGAGATTGACTTTCGGCGATTTCCAGAAACCTTGAAATGACCTCATAATTAATGATAAAAATTAACGTTTGCTTTTGGCTTGTTCATGGAGTTGAACATTTCTTCTAAATATCCTCTCCTTTCCATTTCATTTCCCCTTGGAAGATCTTGATAAATTATTAAATGGATCGACTACTCCAGCACTTGGTTCAGGTCCAAGTGGATTCCACAGGTTCCATGGAATTGGAAATACTGTAAATTAGCAGACATCGAAACGGTGCGAATATCTCACTCTCGTTCTTTCTTAATACAGGTATATAGGCACTCGGGTAAAATCTCAGCGACAGGACATGGATCCACATTATTGATATATCTTTACAAGTACCGTACCGGCAGCTCTAATACAATTATATTGTTTGAGTGCAGTCCTCCAAACAGATTGAATTGGCCTCCACGTGAAATGCCACATGGTGGGGTGGGCTTTTTTAATTTGGGGAATTTTCAGAGCCAGTCATTTTGGCACGTTTTTCCCATTTCTATCCACACTCTCCACTCACAACTCCACCTTTTACTCTTTCCTGTCCTTCCAGATCTCTTATTAGCATTGATACCCACTGCGATCAGCATGTCTCCTCCAGCGCCGATCTCTAAGCTGGCTGGATACTTTCACATCAAACGACACACACCAAGCCTCACAGATACCATTGAAACAGAAGAGACAGAAGTGGAAAGATCACCATCCATATTTGTCGACCAAGTCGACAAGGCTATGGAGGACGAAGTTTCCCGGGCCCTTGAACAGCTTCCAAGCAACTTCTCTTCGCGCCGAGAGAGCGCGGCTTCAGTACTCACCGTGTCGACCACTGCCACCAGCATTGCGCTGCCTACACCCAACTCTCCCAGCTTTCGCAAAGAAAGCTGGCAACTTTACGATGTTGTTGTCCGACTGATCTTGACCCCCGCCGTGACCATGTGAGAATTCCAATTCCTGCTTACGCTTTCCTGTCGTTACGCGCGGCTAACTAGTTCATATACAGTTCTTTCATGAAAAATGGACAGTTGTTCAAACTCGCTTACACATTCATTGATATCTGCAAGGATTCCTCGGGTGCCTTGAAGTGTTTGGAGCTTGGAGGAGGATTGGGGCAGCAAAAACCCTTTACACATGCATGTAAGTCACAACAAGTACATTCGCGCTTCGTTTTAAAGGAGAATTCTGATCTCTTTAGTCAATAATACACGACTACCACTTCCTCACATCGAACATCCGAAAGACTCTGCCGAGTACCCCCTCCGGATCTCCTTCTTGGATCAACAAACTGTTCAGACCGCCCAGATCGTGTTTATGACACAACTATCTTACCAATTTGAAAATTGGGAAGGTACGCGACTATAGAGATGGAATAATTTGTTAGTATGATGGACTAACAAGCGAGATATAGACTGCTGCCGATTCCAAGAGGTGTTGCTTTGTTCGAAGATCATTCTGATGGCAGGTATCAGCGAGGCGAAGTCAAAAGGTCGTGGAGAGGAATGCATAAGCCAGAACCTACGTATTCTGCGCGGAAAAAATGGCAAGCAAGTGATGATATATTTCGCCAATTCACAGCGCAAAGACTTGAAGCGCTACGTGTCTATTCCGAGTAAGCGAACACCTTGAAACCTGTGAATTCACCATCAGCTGACATGAGAATTTCTTGAAACAGTGGACTGCATTTCTGATTTCAAGCCCCCAAAGAAGAAGGGGAAGCCTTTTTTTGCTGGAACTGTCTCCAAATTTCGACATTCTTATCTCAATGCGCAGCCTACAAATCTCTTTCTTGAACGAGGATGGTTAGTATATCCCTCATACTAGCGCCCGAAGCCCCGCTGACCGCTTATTCTTTCTAGACTCGAAAGCATTCGGCGATTTCCTAAATACCCTTTAATGAACAGAACGTAATTTCCGGAGTTTTGGCGGCATTTTGGCTTGGATTTCTTGTATAATGGAGTATGTTTTTTTTAGCGATAATCGTGTGATGTTTTAGATGATACCATACGGAGTGGTGTACTATTAGATGATAGTTTGAATGAATTTCGGCAATTCAGCCCTGTTAGAACCAACTCTCATTAAAGTAGGATTCGTTAGCCCTCTGATAGCTCCACGTGTTTCCTAAGTAAGAAAGTGGGGGTTCCCGCAGTCAAATAGCCTCCTGCACGTGGAGCAAGGACAGCTTGAAATTGGTTGATTGCGCTGTGGGTCTAAATCTTGGAAACATCAATCTTAGCGGAGCCTCACTCTTTCTTCCTCATTGGTCGCCCCAAATAAATGTTCAAGCACGAGCTCTCGCAATTGTTGTTTTTACATCTCTCATTAAACAGACAGGTCACATACTATGCAACTTGAACAACTGCGTGTCCAACATTAATATGGGCAAGTTTCATGCCCGTCTCTATAAGACGGATCGTGCACGGGACTTTGATCATGAACAGGTGGGATTTAAAGTCTTCTAATCATTTGGCGGTTGAAAATTATCAAGCGGTTTAATCTAATAGTTCCATCTTATCCACAGGATCGCCATGTGCGCACACGACAGATCTATGAAACTATCGATCGACAGAGCTTCCAATGGATTGTCGTGTTGGTTGCTGGCCTAGGTTTCTTCCTCGATGGCTACACGGTGCGTCGCTTGCCCAGTTGATGGAATAACGTTACTGACAAGTTTTTACAGCTCTTTGCGAGTAACATGGCCTTGCCGATGATTGCTTATGTTTACTGGAGAGACGATACCTCCTCTGTTCGCTATGCTTGCTTCAACATCGCTACCCTTGCCGGAACCCTCTTTGGAATGGTGTTGTTCGGATTCCTCGCTGATAAAAATGGACGGAAGAAGATGTATGGTGTCGAGCTGGTGCTGCTGATTACAGCCACCGTTGGAGTCGTTATGTCGTCCAGCGGCGAGAACGATAGCATGAACGTCTACGCTTGGTTGATATGGTGGAGACTATGTGTTGGTATCGGCGTTGGTGCCGACTATCCTTTGAGCGCCGTCATTACCTCTGAGTGCGTTCTTAAATGCTATGCCCTGCGACTATGAGAAAGACAGCTGACATGGATGACTAGATTCGCTCCAACTAAGCATCGAGCCCGAATGATGGCCAGTGTCTTCTTTATGCAGCCACTCGGCCAGATCGCAGGAAATATCGTTTCACTTGTTGTTTCCGCCATCGCCCATCACAACGGAAGCGCAGATTCTACGAAAGTGGTGGATAGTATGTGGCGTTGGGTCCTGGGCATCGGTGTCATTCCAGGTGTGATTGCAACGCTATTCCGGTTCGCTATTCCCGAGAGTCCTCGCTACCTCGTTGATGTTGAGGATGATCCCACATCTGCCGAATTCGACGCAACAACTCTATTCAGCGAACCTCTTCCTAGCCCTGGTATCTTCGATAATTCGACTGGGATTGGAGTGATGACGACCGTTGTCGGAAGTTCGATGCAGCTACCATCAATTGCATCGATGACCAGTGGAGAATCTCGCCTTGAAGCTCGGTATTCCCAATCCGATTCTTATTCCCATTTGTCACCTGCTACCTTGAACTCACACTGGCGTCTTGCAAAGTCGGATATCATCCGATATTTCTGGACAGAGGGCAATTGGCGTACTTTGGCAGGCACATCTCTCGCATGGTTGTTGATGGATTTTGGATTCTACGGCATCAGTCTTTCGAGTCCACAGTTTCTTGCGAAGACATGGGGTCAGCTCAACACTGTCCGCTCTGAGCCGTATTGGATGATCGACTCCAACCCAAATGCTAATGTGTACCAAATGTTCTTTGACAGCTCCACCCGCGGGCTGGTCATTCTGAACGTTGGAAGCTTTGTCGGTGGACTGATGTTTATCATCTTCGCCTATCGCATCAACCGTGTTGCTCTCCAGAAGTACATGTTCATTCTTTTGGCCGCACTTTTTATTGCCCTAGGCTGTCTATTCTTCACCTTAAAGGAGAGCACTTCGGCAATAATAGCGCTCTACATTGTCGGCCAGATCCTTTTCAATTTTGGTAAGTACCCATTTTCCACCTGCCACAGCAGAAAAAGTACATCCACTGACATATATAAGGTCCAAATGCAACAACCTACATGATACCCGCCGAGCTTTTCCCGACTCGCTATCGAGGTACCTGCTATGGAATCAGTGCAGCTGCAGGCAAACTCGGCTCAATTTTGATCCAAGTCTCCTCAATGTACTATCAAATCAGCGGACCAAGCGAAACGTCAACCCGTCACCATGGCATTATTTCCTTTGTTTTCAGCGGCTGTATGCTTTTGGGAGCATTGGTTACGCATTATTGGATTCCATCTCTCCAGGAGAAAAGAAGCCAGAACTTGATTTGGGGTGGACAGCCCGCTACGCTTGAGACTCTGGCTATGGGTCGGATGGGTACTGGCAGTCGCGAGACTGAAGCTCAGGCTCGCAATAGAGTCCCTAAGCAGCGATCTATGTCTTTCAGCCTTTAAAAAACTCTCTTCAACTTTTATCTACGGCGTTTTGATTTACGGAGCATGAGTTCGGTGTTTGGGATGGCTACAATGTCTTTTTGCACTCCCTTTTAACATACGCTGAAGACAGATTCTTTACAGCTCAGAGATACCCAAAACACCCTTGAAGCCTTGGAATATTTTACATTGTAAACTCAGTATTGTGAACGTAAGTTTCATCTTATAAAATAGCCGGAGATCCGGGTGTTTTGACAGGTGACAGGGTGCCAAGGTGTGGCCCTGCTATCTGTAGACATGTTTTGATAAGAAGTACGACTTCCATGAAGCTATAGAAAGTAGACCACGTGACGACATATCTTTTAGTAGGGTTGTATTCCAAGGACCGTGGCCTAGCCTTCATTGGAAGTGGTATCCCGATTAGAGATTTGTAGTTTAATGTCGCCTCTCTCTTACGCCTCTCTCTTACACACATACACGGCTAAAATTTCTCCGATATTGAAACATTATTGTTTTGGATATTGTTTCTTATTTTAGGTGTCAGTGCACTTATAGACTATTGTTCTCACCGTTATCTGTCGCTAAGATCAATCCTTCAACGGTTCAGGAAGCTTAATTTTAGAGCTTAACAGACCTTATCATAACTCCCAATGCCAGAATCTGCCTATTTAGTGACAATGTACTCCCGAGGTCAGTACTTTTTACACAGGCCATTCCAGGTTAACCTCGGAAGTTCTGCAAAGCGGCTGTGAATACTAGCACCTCAATAATACTATCCCGAGGTCTGAAGAAACTCTCAAGTGCCATGTGTGGAGCCCCTATAGGCCATAGCAGCTGACGATGAAACGCAAGCTTAATATCGTATTTAGTAACTTTTAGGTATCCACCTAGCTATCTACACCTAGGCACTACTCACATCCGTCCAAGTTCAGATAAACTAGACAACCTTGTAATTGAAATAAATTGGAAACTGATCGCAATATTGCTGCCTAGTTCAAGGTTTAACTCACTATGATAGTTAGTGGTTGCTTCAAGGATCAATACCCCGCCGGAGTTTGCCAGTGCCATTTCGGGCCTCATATCCTTTTAGGAATAGACCGGCATATAGTTCCTCCATATTGTTTGCAACAAACTATGTAACATCTCTATTCCTAGGTGCGGAAATTGTCTTGAATGTGGTGTGATGAAACCCCGAATTACTCCTCAGTGCTCATCTTGACACGTTTATGGATAGGTACTTAGGTATAAAGAGCACTTCATGTGAAGAACAGGTCCACCGAGTCACATTGAGTTCGGTCCTTCTTAAGTTTCTCATCGATTTGGTCACTCCATTCAGCCCCTCAGCATGAGATTGAGCAATACTCTTGTCCTTGGTATGGCTGGGACGGCAGTAGCATCGTCCGCACTCGAGAAGAAGTCTTCCACATTCACATGTAAGTTTCCAGCTGTGTATACAAATTCATGATCGGAACTGATGAAATTGCAAGGGTTTGGGAGCAATGAGTCTGGTGCAGAGTTCGGCACAGGTGAAATCCCCGGCACTTATGTGAGTGACCTATTCATCCCCTTGGAGAAAAGCAGTAGATTAATCGTTTCTGAAGGGAACTGATTACACCTTCCCCTCCACCATCAATATCCAGGTCTTGATTGATGAGGGTATGAACATCTTCCGTATTCCATTCCTGATGGAACGAATGGTGCCGACTGAGATGACTGGGTCAATCGATAGCACCTACCTGTCCCGTCTGGAGACTGTTCGTATCCCTGTCAAGAAACATTGCGGGCTTGTTGCTGATGTTATCAGGTTGTGAGCTACATCACAGGAGAGGATGCCTATGCAGTTATCTGCGCACAGAACTTTGGTCGATAGTAAGATGCCTGTTAACCCCAAGATAACGGATTTCTCTAATGAACCACAAGCTATGGCGATATTATTAACAGCACTTCAAACTTCGAGGCATTCTGGAAAACTGTTGCTGCGGAATTCAAGTCGAACTCTAAGGTCATCTTCGACACGAGTAAGTTCTATCAGGAAATTCCTCTTGGTTATCTTTATTAACTCATGCAAAGACAACGAGTACCATGACATGACGCAGTCCCTTGTCGTGGAACTGAACCAAGCCGCCATCAATGGTATTCGTGCTGCAGGTGCCACAGAGCAGTTCATTTTCGTAGAAGGCAACTACTACACCGGCGCCTGGACCTGGGAGGAGTACAACACTGACATGTCTACTCTCACCGACACGGAGGACAAGATCATCTACGAGATGCACCAGTACCTCGATGAAGATGGCTCAGGTACCAGTGCAACTTGCGTCTCGTCTACTATCGGCCAGGAGCGTCTTGAGTCGGCGACAGCATGGCTCAAGGCAGAAGACAAAAAGGCCATTCTCGGCGAATTTGCTGGCGGCGTCAACACTGATTGCAAGGAGGCTATCACTGGTATGCTGACTTATATGCAGGAGAATTCTGAATACTGGAAGGGTGCCATGTGGTGGTCTGCTGGGCCATGGTGGGGTGACTATATCTTCAGTATGGAGCCTCCTGATGGCACTGCGTATGAGGGCATGTTGTCGACCATCAAGACATACTTCCCATAAGTGGGAGGAATATATCTGAGGATTATGCCTGAGGTCATTCCTATGACTACCTTAGCTTATTAGTGAAATCAACTGCATTTACAACCGAGAATTTCGAAGTATCTTAGATCAATCTCTCATTAATTGTCTAGATGGACTGTGTTCACCGCCATTTCCCGGAAACACCCGAATTTGCCGGACGTTAATTTCGAAGAAAAAGACGTCAGCTCAGCAGATGACAACTAAATCATAACAATTGCATTTTCAATCTGTTCAATTTTTTGCTATGAGAAGCAGAGAGACTCAGCCAGTACGTAAACGCCGGCGACCTGCCTTGTCTTGCCAGCAGTGTAGGGCAAAAAAGATACGATGCGACCGGGGCTTTCCTTGTAGGCCTTGCATCAAGGTTCAGTCCTCGTCAATGTGCTCGTATGTTGATGAAGGCAAAGTTTTATTAGATGCCAGATTGGAGTCAATGGGCCCATCTACGGCTACTGATAATGACCATGAGTCGCCCTCTAGTGGACAAGATCAAAGGATTGTAGCTGGTCAGACCCCAGATATCGATCGGATAATGCAGCTTGAACGCACTGTTTCTGCTCTTCAAGGGCAAGTGCAAGATCTACAACAACGCATTGATAGTGGGGATGTGCGGCGACTGGGAAACGAAAGTATCAGAGACGGAAAGCGTCCTGCAAGGTCTGGTCAATCTGAACAGCCTCCAACACTTATTCCACCACTAGAGCTTCGACTCAAGAGTTTTGGAGAGAAAACGAAGCTTTTCGGCACAACCCACTGGGCAATGGTTTTCCAGCAGGTAGATCATTCTGTTCATGAAGTCCATCTTGTGATGCTAACTTCCAATGTAGTTTCACCTGCTGCGCCAGGCACGTGGCACAGCCAGTTGTACTGATGGTAATCAAGATGAAGTCGGCGAACGGATCAGAGAAATTAGGGGGCTGAGAAATCGTATTAAAAAGAAAAATCTCCAGTTCTTGACAGACCCGGCACCGGATTTACTGAATGAGATCCCCTCAAGAGAAATCTGCGATGATCTGGTGCAATACTACCTACGCACATTGGGATTCATGTACAGAGTGATCCATGTACCTACGTTCTACCAAGAATATGAGAGCTTTTGGAAGACGCCCACATCCGCTTCGAAGGGATTTATCATGAAGCTCTTATTGATTCTTGCGATTGGGTCCGTATTTTATTGCAACCCAGGGCCTGTGAATGAGTTGGGCCTTCCGATTTACCTCTGGATCCATGCGGTGCAATGTTGGCTTTCTGGCTCATCCCAGAAGGAGACAATGAACTTGACTGGTTTGCAGGTGCATTGTCTGCTGATTATTTGCCGACAGGCTTATGCCATTGAAAAAGACTCGAGCTGGATATCGGCTGGCACTTTGCTGCGGTTGGCAATACGGCAAGGCTTTCATCGAGATCCAAGTCATTTTCCGAGCCTTTCCTTTTTTGAATGTGAGATGAGACGTCGTATATGGGCGGTTGTATTAGAACTCAATGTGACATTAAGTATTGACGTCGCAATGCCTCCACTGTTAAGTTCAGATGATTTTGATACCAGTCCTCCTTCAAACTTGGACGACGAAGACTTTCACCCTCTAAGCTCAACGATATCATCCCATCCCAAAAGTTCTTTAACTGATTCGTCCTTACAAATTCTTCTGCTACGATCCTTCGCCATCCGACTACAGATCACTCGAACGATCAATGAGTGTGGACATGAGCATTCTTTTGAGAATGCGTTGAAGCTTGGCAACGAGCTAAACATATCATGCAAAGAAATAGCTGCTTTTTTCCAGAAATACCCTGCTTGTTCGAGCGACTCAAGACCTCGGCCAACCCAACTCCACTATCACCTCATGGATACCCTGCTGCGCCGTTTCTTGATATATCTTTACCGCCCATTTGCAATTCAAGCCTCTCGTGATCCACGCTTATATCTTGCACGAAAACTCAGTCTTGACTCTGCGCTAATTATATTTTCATACGGAGACTCCCCCACTGATGCACCAGCCACAGACTTGACCTCATACCAAGATTTCTACCGCCTAGCCTTATCAGGCGCAGGTTTCTTCAAATGCCACCTCTCACAAGACGTTTTGATCACGATATGTCTAGAACTAATAACGCAATTCGAAGAAGAGGCCGCTACGCAGCCAACAGGTTCGTCTCAGCTTACCGATGCAATGAACAAAGTGGCCCAGGCTGCTCGTGCGCCACTCATCCAAGCCCTTGAGAGAATACGGAATCAATTGTACCAGAGCTTGGCAGCTGGGATCCCAAGCATGAAACGGTATTGCATCTTGGGAGGTGTTCTCGCTCAGATCCAATGCGTGCCTCATGGGGATCAGGGTGACTGGACACACATCCGTGAGGCACTCATTGAGAGTATGCAGACTTGCCGCACGCTACTTCAGCAGCATATTACCAAGACTTCGCAATTTTCACCCGATGACGGTAAAACACTAGTTACCCCCGGGAATCAGTGGATGCCTGACAGTGATATTGCGTCTAGCTTGGACTCTGGAGTTGCAGTAAGTCATGCTCATCGATTGAAATATATCTTCAGTATGGTGGAATCAATTCTAACCACAATTTGTTTTAGTTTCCTGGGCTCGGATTTGGAGATTTGGATTTCTGGGATATTCCGGATATGATTGACACGATTGCATTTGATTCAGATCAAATATTGTAACAAATTTATAATATTATGCAGGATATGGTTTTTATTACATAAAAACAGATGTCGAGTTAGCCACGGGGCATCACTCCTTTGTACATGTTCTGAGACGTCAATGAACGAATCAAATACCTTACAGAGCGAGGGCAAAACCCAGCAGGCCAGCAGCACCGGCAAAGCTCATAGCAACGCCAGCGGTGGCAGCAGGGGCACCACCAGTAGAGGTAGACGATGAAGCAGTGGACTTGGTAGCAGTCTCACCAGAGGTAGTAGCGCCAGTGGTAGTGCCAGTGGTAGCAGCATCAGAGGAAGCAGCAGCTGTCGAGTCGGCAGTTCCAGTAGCAACGGCACTAGAGCTAGCGGCGCCAGTGGCAGTTGCAGTAGCAGCGGCAGTAGAAGCGGCAGTGTTATCAGCGGTGGTAGTAACATCACTACCGAAGAGATCACTGTCGTAGGAGGTAGCCCATGCCTTGACGCTCTCGGGAAGGCTGTTGTACCAGGCAGGGTAGGTACCGGCTGCGAGGTCACTTTCGAGGGAGGACTGGTATGCTGGATCCTCGATCTGTGTGAAGAATGATTCAGGAATAGCAGTTTCCAAAACAGCAAGAATGGAGCTGGGAACTCCGAGATCAATGTCCAAAGAGTCGGCCGATTCAGTCTCGGTGGCGACGGGGCTGGCAAGAGCCGGAGCAATAAATAGAAGCGTGGAAAGGAGCTTGTACTGCATGATGGCGACGGATATTATTATTCTGTTAAGAGAGGGTGTCGTGTAGAACGTGAATATTAGGTATGAGTAGAACGGATGTTGGCCTGGAAGGAAAATCCTTCTGGGGAATAGGTTCCATATATAAGACGCGCAAGGCTGTGAAAAGATCCTGCCCCAGAAATAACCGGCAAATGAAGGATCATTTACTAACTTGATTGAGCTTACTTCCGACTCCATTTTCCCCAAAAGGGCATGTAATACGGATGAAACTCTATTACTGGAGGGTATATTGCCCCTGAATCAGATTTCTACTCAGGTCTTATAGTCAATATTCAGTCTATAATGTTTGCATGGTTATATGAGCGTATAAGTAATTGAACAAGTCTCATCAAGGAAGAACGTGGTTTCATAATTGTTTAGTTGATTTCTGTGAGTTTAGCGACGGACCCTGTTTTACCCTTGTATTTTATACGGTATTTTACCTCGCTCACGTGTTTTAATTAAGGACCTTACGACGTTTGGAACATTCATTGGTTGGCTCGTCTATAAGTATTTGAGCCTACGACGCCACGAACTTTATTCAATACCTGCATCGTTTATTTCCCCTGACGAGTAAGCTGACAATAAACCTCGGAATCAGAACAATGGCTTACTTGTAAGCATAAAGTCCCCATTATACCTGTGACCCACTTACACAGCCACTGGGGCATGAGTCTGGTCGAAATCAGACCGACAGAAACAAGAGATGCGCCGCTTCTCGTTCAGCAACACAATTATTATTACAAGGCCCATAACTCTCATGGCTAGCTAGAGCGAGTGTGCAATCTGCTGAAGAAAATCAAGAGCTGATGAAGTGTGGGGTCGCATCGGTAGCTGTTGATGCCGACTTACCAATTGGATTTTGCAATGGCAACATAACCGACCAAAATTTGCACATTTGCAAAGTCTTGGTTTATTTCAAGTGCCAAGGCAAAGGAATTGGCTGGCGCTTGATGGAAGCGGCGAAGCAGTGGGTGATCTCTTCAGGGCGTTCATCTATTACTTTGATCACTTTTCGTAATATACCTCGGAACAAAGGGTTTCACAGGTCTATCGGGTTCACTGATTTAGAGTTGTTGGAATTGATTACTGTACTCACTACTGTTATGGAAGAAGAGGCTGATGCCGGTCTGGTAATTGAGAAGAGATGTGTCATGCTTTTACTGCTGGCGTGACTCTTTCTCATTCTGCTGAAAACAAACATTTCAAGTCATAGTTTTCATTTAATTTCTACCTACAGACCACAAGATCTTCTTATATGGCCCGGTATCTTTGAAATATCAAAATTTATACACAAATCAATGGTCTTTTGTCAATGACTATGCCCAGGTACTCATAATATCGATCTTATCGCCCTCAAGTGTCAAGATTTCAAGGTTATGTCGCTTCAATCTTTATAAAAGAATGCTTTCACATATGGCCCATTGATGACCAAATTAGTAGCTTCTTTTATATCCAGAATGTCATTCTTAGAACAGGGACCACGCTGATCTTCTCTGTGTTTTCATCTGACCGAAGCCGTGAAGGAGACAGTAGGTTGACCCAAAATATTGTTCATATACCACCATTTCATTCTATTCTATAATTCTGCCTTGAATACCGTACCTATATTGGTCATCCTTCATTTCCAACCATTTTGAAGCCTCTGACGGTAATCCACAATCATTTCAGAAGTAACACCGCTTCCCCCACAAATTACGATAACAACTCGGCTATCCGGTGTTAGGTCTGTCATGGCCTCTCTTAACCTATCCAATCCAACTTGGACACTTATTCCGCATGCCAGCTCTACCTCTAGCCGTAGCTCATCACACAAACGCACAACTCCCATCGCAGCATCAGCGTCGGTACCCACAATACTGGTGACTTTGATACCCGGTGGAGGAGAGTGTGCGTTTTTAAACGTCTGTTGAGCCACACGGAGTGCCCCCAGAGTGATTGCCTTTGATGTAATTGCAGATAGAGATTTCCAGGAACCCTTGCTTAGTGAGTGCGCCAGCGAATCCGCTCCAGCTGTTTCAACAGCGATGATCTGAACATTCTTCACCGTCGGTTGATAAAGAGGTAAATGCCTTTCAAGGCCGTCAACAATCCCGTTCAAAAGACCACCCCCGCCAACGCTGCAAACGATTGCATCTGCTGGGAATGAGCAAGAGCTAGCAGTTTCATTGCAGTGTCTTGGGGGTAGTTGCTTGACTAACTCATCAACCAGAGTCCCTGCGCCTCGCCAGATATCACGGTGATCGAATGGTGGGACGTAGATATTCCTGGTAATGGAATCAGACTTGCTGTCTTCATTTTCAATAAAGGTTTCTCTTAGGAACGTGTCGGCTTCAAACCAGCTGGCCCCATGTCGAAGAACATCCGAAGCCCCCGCAGCATATAATTTTTTGATCATCATGGGCTCTGCAGTAGTGGGTACAACAACAGTACAAGAACAGCCGAGATCCCGAGCGGCTATAACAGCTGCAAGCCCTGCATTACCTGCTGAGGAGCAGAAGAAATGCAGGGTTCTGCCAATATTCAATGGATCAGAGAGGGATGTGAGGATCAAGTTTCCAATGCCCCTGTAGCTGTTTAGATTATGCTTCCTGCCTCTTAGAACTAGCTATAATAGCCATTGAATGCGAACTCACCGTGATTTAAATGAGCCAGAAGGTTGGAGCGACTCTATTTTGAGAAAGATTCTACTACACTTCCTCTTCAGCATCGACTTATATTGATTGGTGAAAATATCAATGATCAATATTACCATCCAGCGGCCTTTGAGAGTGCTATTGACTCAATCAAAGGTGTTTCGATCCATGGTTTCTTCAATTCGTGTTCTGAATCAAGGCAAACCATTTTTTCAAGTGATTAGAAGCAATAATGCCCCAAGACGTGTCAAAAAAAAAACTCCTTGGTTGCGTGCACTGTGAAAAAATTCTGTATCGCAACTTCGTTCGCTCAAAAAGATAGCCTCAATCCCAAACTATTTATACCCCAGTATAGATGGACATGGACCATTCTCATTCTGCCGACGCCTTTCACTTGACATTTCCTTTATGTGGATCCTTAGGTCGCTTGTTCTACCAATAGCATTACGCTGATCGGCTCGGAGACATCTTCCGTTTTTCAAGCCGGCTCTTTTCCCGAAGTCCGAAGCTGTATGTAGCGACTCCTGTCTGATTTATAGGTACCTAAGAACACCCTCATATGCTCCAAACTCTGGAGGTCCATTTACTCTGACCATAAATGCACGCCATCCCTGATTTTTACTTGACCGCCATTACCTTCTCTCTTCCAGGCATAAAAAAACAAAAAATTACAAAAATAAAACATACAACAATCTCGTTTCACATGTAGCCATTCAATATATAGGTCCATAGTACTAACTGACCGGTGTGTGACTTGAGCGTGGTTAATGGCCATTTGGGTATCGCCTAGGTGAGAATGGGTGAGTGTTAAGCCGAGAGGATGAGTTGTGAAATATGATGCATTATCACTATGGGACTCTTCCAGTTTGAGGTCGTGTGTTGAGGCCATTTTCTCTAGGTGGGCCGGGTGGACCCTATAGGCCGTCTGCACTGCTCGGGCGATAATCTGCTCGAGCTACTGATCTGATAAGGTGATATTCGCCATGACTGGAGCTGCGCTGATCGGCTACGTGGCCAGTTCCTTCTCGGATAAAAAACTTTTGGGATTTGGGGACGAGCGATGACGTATCGTTAGTGCTCGGCAAAGATATCGAATATTCGATTCATTTGTCACGTGGTCATACCAAGATGTCAAAGGACCGATATAGGGGGTATGTTTGTACTGTTTGCAGGATCCACAATGTGTGTATTTAAGCGGGTTTTACTCCCTACATAGACAATCCAGTTTCGTCAACCAATGGTGGTTGGACGGTCGAAATTCTATTTGACACAAGACTAGTGTCAAATGGAGGTCACTCCAGTTATAACTATATAATAGACATTCATTTGGTAGAACGTGAGAAGGTATGACACCCTTTCAAATTTTAGAAACAATAGCGCACGCATTCAATTTTCAAAAACAGTCTCTGTATATAAATCTCTTAATAGAACTAACTTCCTCATCGTCTGACCATTCAAAGAATATCGACGAACACTAATTGTATCCCGAACTTGACTGAACAATCTCTCCACTGATACCTTAGCTGAACATATGGGCGCATACATGACATAGTATAGGCGGTAGCAGAATAAATAAAACGAATAAAACGAATCGAATACGAATAATGCTACCCCAATCGAATACGAATTCGAATAATGGCTATCTGAAACGAATTCGAATTCGAATAATCCAAAAATCTATTCGTTTTATTCGATGCCGAGCGATACGTATCGTTTTGAAATAAACGCGTAGGTGCAGCAGCGAGAATGATGCACAGAACGTGTTGAGATTAAGACTTGCAGCGGCGTGTCACACAGCGCTGTCGAAGCTTAGTAGAATTGATCATTTTACTCTTCGTGTCGATCAACTACGTTGAAAGGACAGGGTTCACACGTTGCACTATATACACTGGAAAAGGGTATGGTTCGTCCTAGATTCTTAGTATATACGTTGTGCAAAGTGGTGTGAAATGTGTTCGATTCATGTAGCTACTTGAGTTCCTAATATAGTCGTTCTCCCGTGCTCGGGGGCCTGTTTGTTCCGTCCCGGGTTTATGGTATTGCACGATTGCAATATCCATGTTCCGACACTTCGTCAATTCGGTGTAAGCCCAGGATAACTCCTGGACTGTTTGGACATGCTACCAGTTGTTAAGCTGAGAGGTTGAGTGGTGAAAGATGATGCATTATCACTATGTAGCCTAGGTCACCTGACCCTAACAGGGTTGATTTAAGGTCGCGTGACTGGGAGTGAGCAGAGGGCAGCCAGCAATCTAAGGAGTACGAGGGTTAAATCATCGATAATGGCAAACTTGTCTTCAATTGTGACAAAATATTCACGTTTATCCATCCGCTATATCGCACGAATTAAAGGCATATCTTGTCTTATAAAGCTATACTGTATGTCAAGCTCATACATATCGCGCAGTGTCTAGGCAAAGGCTCATCTTCGCACTCCGCCACTCATGTTACCCTGGTCATGGTTCCTCATCCACAGTCTTCAATTCTCTGGATCCTTTTACATTCATATTCGCTGTGTCAAGTAGATTAATGTCAGATTTAAGGTAATAGTTGCTATTATGACTCTTAAATTCACCGGATTAAAACCCGATCTGTTGTGCTTTAAAGACTTTAGATAAAAAAAAAATGGCCCAATTGATTGTGTAGGCGGCCTTTTGTAGCCTCTTCATCCCAGGTAGTGATTAATTTGGGGGAATTTGATAGTCTTCCTAATGCTCTATGGCAGTTACTCAGTTGCTCCAGCGTAATTGGCCTTGAAAGGTGGCTTCGATACGGCTGGCAAAATTTGAACCTAGGGTCATTTTGTGAACGTACCAGACAATGCCATGCACTTGAATAAATAATTCAATGGGTCAATTCAGCCAGATTTGGGAAGGCTTGCTGTAAAAATTCGTGGGGGCGAATTTGAGCGAACCATCTAATCTGATCTCGATAATCCACACAGTTGGCTTCAGGTTTGGGAAGGGTTGCTACAAAAATTCGTGGGGGCGAATTTGGGCGGGCCATCTAATCTGATCTCGATAATCCACAAAGTTGGCTTCAAATCCCAATTATGTCTTATCAGTGCTGGCGTAACTGACTGCAATTGATGTATTTCCATTGTAAAAATTGAGCAATTTGGAGATTACTTGTCGGAATCAGGCTATAATGAAAGATATATAAGTGTTCTCATATGAGCCGATCCTGGTTACCCCAAGGGTTCTATGACCCAAGACTACTGAGTCTTTCCCATGGTTTTCTTAGCGAGTCCTGATATGGTTCCAGAGGAAATCTCATTTCCAAATACTGGTTCTTTATGCGTCGTCACAGAAGCTTTTAGCTAGGACGAAACTAGCCCTTCTTAGCTTAGGTTATCAGATGTCTTTATTCAGATAAACGTATATGGTCATTATGTATCACGTTATTAATAGGAAGTACTGCTTAGGTTTAAGCCACCAAAAGGCTATACATTAGAGTATATCTAACCAAGGTAGTACAAAAGCTACATAAGAAGTATAAAATTCGGAGATAATAGCATTCAACTATCTATGCCTTTTCTGATCAGTCCCCCATTATCCTAAAAGTTGGCAGACCAACTAACGCTTCCTCGCAGGGAATTGTTTGGGCCGAAGCAAGAGATATAAACCAGGTACATCCTGGTCTGCAGCAATCTGAATGGCCGCCATAGTGGAGCGTGAAGCATTATACAGCGGCGGACTAGGCCAAAGCAAAAATTTCAAAAGATAGGATTAGGACCCGGGCAGGAGGTGGCTTAGGAAGTTGGCAGTTGCATAAGAGGTCTTGGTGTTGGCTTATTGCGAACTGCTGATACTTAGACATGTATGGGACTTGGAAGGATCGCGCTAACTAATTTTCTGTGATGTTGTTCCCTTACCTATTAGGCAGGTGAGTAGCAACAAGTGTCTGGACCTTTAGAGGTTCCAAGTGCAAGGATTGGAAGATCATACGGTAATTGGATTCATATATTAGATGAATGCCTATTTAGAGTGCTGATTCCTTCTAAGGAGGCTTCTATTTGAATCTTGATGTATCAGAATCCTGAAAGACTCATATTCAAATTTTCATTCAGCGTCGCACTAAATATTCATACCGTCATCCTGAGTGTCCACGAGTAGTATGAGCATACTAACCATAGGTCGATATTTCCGTTCTAATGTTCCAAGTACAGGCATAGATAATTTTTATCGCATACTTGGCATGATTATTGGGGCCAGCCTTGATGGTTGGCCCCATCCGATGCTAGTACTTTGTTCAAGGTTCCTTCACAATAGATTAAACCTATGCCTATATAAACAAGTAGAATCTTCCATAGCTCTTCCACAGCTTCTATTATTAGGGGCAAAATCTTTTCATTCGTTTATCCAGGTCAACTTGATTCTACATACCTGCCTAAGTATGAACTCAACGACCACTGAAATAAAGAGGCTTAACCGTCTGCTTCACAGCCGACTGATAAAGACAATTCTCCTCGTTACAGCAACTGTCTTCATATTCTACTCATCCATTGGAAAGCTTTTTATAAACAACACCTTCCAGGATAAACAGTTTTACCAGCAGCTTGAGCGTAATGAAGAGCAGTCCGATCTCCAATCTCGAGCTTTTGGTAAAAAGCTGACCTGGGACGATGCGAAGAGCAAGGGTCAATTGCTGGTTTGTGCTATGCAGAAAAGCGACAAATTGGCACTCGATTGTTTCCCAGCGGGGAAACGGCCGCAACAGATCGCAAGTAAATTTCTAAGTTATTCCGAGCTGAGCACATGGGGCTGGGCTCGTGATGTTGAGGATGTTAGCGAAATGTCCGCAGATGAATCATCTCTTCTTCCCATCGAACGCGTCCTCGGTATCTCTTCTAGTAACTCGTGGTTCATCAAGTGGATACATGACGAATCCGTGGAAGTGAACAACGTACTGTACGAAGTATGTACTATTATCTATGTCCATAGAAGCCATCTAATTATTTCTGTTCATTGCTAACGATCATATAGTCTACTGGGGGCTTCTATAACAACGCTTACAACCTTCCCGGTGGAACTATCATAGCAGACCATTCTCAAAGCCCCGCATATACGTCTTACATTGAGAACTGCGATGATGGTAAACCTTTGGTTGATCCTTTGGTTCCTCTGAGTGTGTGGTCTGATGTGTCATTTTTGGAATGGCAGAATTTGTGCTCTATTTATGGAGCTTCCGTCCAGAGCTTGAAACATGTAGTTCAAAGTCATATCGTCAACAGTGAAACCTTAGAAATTCTCCCAACCGCGCTTGACGAGTCTGGTACTGATGTTGATTGGGAAAAGTATAAGGACGGCAAGAAGTTCACTGGTGGCGCGACGTTTGAAGCTTTACTTGGAACTCCTGTAGCCTCAGGAACAAGTTGGATGCTCATTCAACATAAGAATCAGCTTGGGTTGAAAAGAATCGCCTCAATTACAATTATGGGTCAACATCTAAATAACGAGTATATCAAAGAATGGGTACCAGCAATGATACTGACAATCGAAGATGTATGAACAAAACGCCTTGCACTTTCACCGGACAACGTGTGGAGGTGGGATTGATTCTGACAGGAGGAAAAGAAGGGAAAGATGAATCCTTAAGGGGAGGGAATTTTCCTTGGGAACTGTGCCAAAGCGAACCATGTATCTATGTAAATGATGGAAGTATTTGACCAAGGCGAAAACAGTATTTCCGAAAAAGGATTTCCCCCACCAGCTTCTTTCGTCCTCTCTATATAATGTATTAAATGTGAAAATTATCTGACGGAACATTTGACGACCCCATTTCAAAGGCATAAGCACCTGAAAAATGTCTTATGAGATAAAATACTCAATATTGATTTCGCGAAACCCTATATGCCGCGCGATCAGGCTGGGTGAGCTAAGGGTGAGCAGAGGGTGAGTACCTAGGTAGATGGTAAGCATCTACCACTTTGTTATGCTTCGCCCACCTATTTGTGACTATTCGGGTTGAAAATTTAATCATTTAGTTTGATTTAGTTCACGAGTGCGGAACATATGGGCGAAATTTCTGGACGCCATTATTAAAGCTATCAATGTATATTCACGTCATCGTTGGTGGAGGCCTCACATCCATATCGAGCTTGCTAATGTGCGCCAGAAACTCTGTCGGACTGAAACAAGACCTCTTTTTGTACTCAATGACAAAGATAAGAGCCCTAGAAAGTCGTTTACATGGCGAAATTGCCTCTAGATAACAATATGATACTTCTGTTGTCTGCCTCCCAGCGATGGGTTCCATCCATGGATGGATAGGTAGATTTTCCATGGTTTGAGGGTTTATTAGGCAATTGAGAAGCAGATGCTGCAACATCAATTAACCTTGGGGCCATATACCCATTTATAGAATAATCCATTCACCCGACACAAGTACTGTAGTCCTGAAATAGCCCTGGAGTACTGGGTAGGAAGGTGTGTATGAGACCACCGACCGTTTCCAGGTAAAGCAGATTATCTTAGCTAGTGATATGTACCACAAATAACAAGCTTATATAATCTATATCAGCAATAAATCATGTCCTTATCATGATAAACTCACGCATTGTTCATTGTATACATGGAGATATCTCGGCCGCACTTTGGTGAGGAATTTTCATGCCGAGCGAAAGCCGAACTAAAAAAAAAAAAACCTGACATCATGAGAGTCAAAGACTTAAATAAGCTACATTTCCCTAGTATTCTAGGTTGACTACAGCACCTAATAACCACTATCTTGCACTTGAGGCCCCTATAACTAGGAAATTTTGACCTGGACACCTGGATAAAACCGTGTCAATCAATATCGCCTTTGCCCAAGTGATTATCTGAGCCTTCACAACATGCGCAATTCATCCATCACGAAGTCTACAAGTGGCTCAAATGTCTCTAGCGCTACGTCCAGTATTTCAGAAAGCGCTTCTGCTATTTCGCGTTTCAAGGTACATCTTCGAAATCTGCAGAAGACTTGGGGGCCTCTTATGGCTGCCAAGGAAGACTGGGACGACGAATACAACTTCCCACCTGGCAGATATGCGGGTCAGGAGAAGAGAAAGTAATGTGGTTAGACTTCCCTTTACAAATGGTTGATCTTCGGTCTGACTCTGAAATTTACAGATCAACTCCAATCCGTCAGATCCGGAGTGACCCTGTCCCAGAATGCTCCAATTCCAGCAGAACCCCCAGGAGGTTTGATTCATGATAACTTAAATATTTAATAAATAATGCTTGTGTTATGTTTACTAGAATGATTTTAACGATTTACTTGACCGAAATTACTATCTACCCATGTAAATTCATAGCCCTGAAACCGACTACTTAAGGTAATAAGTGTTTTCTATGCTATAAAATAGGCTTCCTATTTGGATCTCTATTTTCAAAAGGTACAATCATCTCCGGACAGTAGCAGGTGAATTTGTACTGTATAATAAAAGGATATCTGCGACCCGAATAGGGTAATGCGAACCGTACTAAGTAGTTCCACCGTCCACGTCTCATACTAACTTAATCCGGTCTAGACCTTCTAGTTTATTAATACAGATATGCCATCATAAATAGGTAAAGTATTTCACCACTGAACGGGTCACACTACTGAACGGGTCAGTTTGACCCACTTATTTTTATGAATCCCAATAACTCCATTATTTACTATGTAATATAGTAAAAAAAAACTACTGAATGGGCCTACTAGGACAGGTTTCCCTCCTATGTCCAGGTGTCTTACATATCCCACACCGGCGTTGGGTTACAGGCGCCCTTACAGGCGCCTGGCCCTCTTGTAAATTGGCATCATTAAGTTTAGGGCCACCATTCGACGCGTCAACCAGGTCTAATCCCTCCTGAATTGTAAGACCCCCTACTACTGTTAATTGACGATTCGGACGTTCTTTTTGTTTTTTCTTTTTCTCATGGGCGGCGCGTAAATCTCTGTTTTCCAGGCGTAAGAGAGCATTCTCTTGATATAGGTAATTTGCACCCTTTACTATCTGGTCTAATGCTCTCTTAGATGGTGTTGGTGGCGTTCGAGATACAGTGCGTAATATAGCTTGGTGTTGACGTCGTAAATCTTTCTGCGTCCTAGGCGTCTTAGGTGTCCAATTTCGACTTGAATCGCTTCCTATAGAGGGTGGTGGTGGTGGTGTATCGACGCGCATAGTAAGCTTTTTTAACACCCTAGTAGGGTCAAGTGGCACGATTCCAGTTGCAGCAAACGCATTAGAAGCAGATGCAAATGCTTCAATACGCGCAGTAGGATATATCTCTAGGAAATCTCCTTTACTAATGTGGGAAAAACCAAGCTCTACTCTAGACTCAACCAGCCGAGAATAAGAGCGTTTTAACACCGCAAAACACCCAACATCAAGAGGTTGAAGAAGATGAGACGCATGCGCAGGCATACATAATGGTATAATATCATGCTCCTGGCAGATTTTGTCGAAATCAGGTGTTAAATGGCTACCATGGCCATCTAAGATCAGAAGGCGATACCGTCCTTTAGTACGAGCAGTAGCAGGTATAAAGAGCTTTTCAAGCCAACGGAGCCCTATTTGATTTGATGTCCAGCCATTAGGACTAATCTCAAGACGCCAATTAGGTGGTAAACCTAGATCAGGAGCAAACCAGCTCTGCATCATCACCTTACCCTTAAAGATAATACAGGGTGGAGGTGCGTAACCAGACGCGCCTAAACACTCTATCACAGTAACCCATTCCCGGTTACCAGGCTGTTTTTTTGCGCGTTTACCATAATAACCAGCTCTAGTAACCACTCTCGCGGTCGCACATCGTCCCATCGCAAACCCAGTCTCGTCAAAATTATAGATATCGTCGGTGGTGATACCATATTTTGCGATCGTGTTTTCAACCAGTTTGAACCAATTATTGATCACATTATAGTCCTCTTGACGCGCACGTGTAAAATCGCGCGGTGTTGAATAGGTCGTCTTAAGTTCAGGTAAACGCGTCGCAAACCTAGTAACCCAGTTTTTACCGATCGTAAGAGGAGGGTTGGTTCCGCGGTCGGCGAGTAGGATATTAGCCATTCTACCAACATCTTTAGTTCTAGGAGCACAGCCGCGATCATCTAGAGAGACGACCCATTGAAGTAATGAATCCTCTTCAGATTCAGTCAGTTTAGACTGCGGTGGGTGTGTTTCAAGACGAAATTGGACACCAGAATGGCGGCGTTGGAGGGTTGAAAATGGTATATTAAACATAGCTGCAGCTTTACGCATTGATGATATATCGCCATTCTTGTAAGCTTGGTAAGCTAATAAGACCCTATTCTCCTGATCCTGTTTGTCTTGGACATATAGAGCATTTAGGGGGGGCATGGTGGGTAGTTGAAAATGGAAACACCAGACTGACGCGTAAAATTGGTGGGGTGACCCGTTCAGTAGTGTGACCCGTTCAGTGGTGAAATACTTTAGCCGTTGAAATTCTTAGATTGACATAGGCGAGAAGCCGATATGCTGCCAGATAAGTTATGAGCTAATAATAGCAATAGGCAACTATATAAAAACCGTAAGCTTATTCGTTAGCTCCACACCGAAAAAGTATATGAACAGCTCTATCCTACTCACCTGCTCACTCTCTGAATTCCAAACTTTCATTCTTCTCTAGAGTCCAGATAAACCCACCTCAACCCTATTTCTCAAAATCATCAACCACCATGGCCAAACGAATCGCCATTGTAACAAGCAGCACCCGCAGTCTTCGCATCAACCCCACAATAAGCCAATACGTCTATGACGTCTTAACGACAGACAAATCGCTCCCAATAAGCCCAACCCCCAACGACACAGATGCCCGCCACGTAACATTCTCAATCCTGGATCTAGCAGCCCAATCTCTGCCCCTCTACGACGAATCTGTAATCCCAGCTAGCCTCCCACCCGCAGACCCTACGCCCCACTACAGCAAAGCGCACACGCGAGCCTGGTCTGCCGTTGTGCGCGAGTACGACGCCTTCATCTTCGTCACACCGCAGTATAATTGGAGTATACCGGCTAGTCTGAAGAATGCGCTTGATTATCTCTACTTTGAGTGGAAGGGGAAGCCGGCTGCGATTGTGTCGTATGGATCGCGAGGGGGTGGGAAAGCGGCTGATCATTTGAGAAGTGTGCTTACTGGGTTGAGGATGCGGGTTGTTGAGACTGCGCCTGGTTTGCCAATCAAATTTACTGGGTTTCCGGTAGGAGGGTTATCGGAGGTGCAAGAGAAGGTTGAGTTGGATAGGAGAGATGTCGAGGGGTGGAAGGAGGCTGGTGTAGAGGGGATAATGAGAAATCTTGGGATGGAGCTTGTATGTGAGTTAGATAAGGAGTAAGTCCATGTACTGTTATTCAGGTGAAATATGATGCATTGAGAAGCGAGAGTATCTAGGTATCGAATTATTATGTGCTATGTGAATAAAAATTATATGCAAGGACGCCGTCTTTTATCAGATCAGATTCAATCCACGGTCAAAATATCATCGCGAGTAATTCCACTGCGGTCGCACATCCCCCGGAAAATACCGTCCGTCTTATTCCATAGTGCAAGCGGAGAGTCCATCTCGGCAATCTGGCCCTGGTCCATCACACAGATGCGATCGTAGTGGATGATCGTCCGCAGACGATGGGCAATACAAAGCAGTGTCTTTCCGTGGAATCCCTGGGCCATGGTGCGCTGGATCATCTGATCCGTCTCGAAGTCGACTGAAGAGGTAGCTTCGTCGCAGACGATGATGCGGGCGTCACGGACGAGTGCGCGAGCAAGTGCCATGAGCTGGCGTTGGCCCAGTGAGAAGTTGAGACCCTCTTCATCAACAGGTGACTCGAGAGTCAGTCTGTTTCGAGGTTTGGCATCGAAGTCTGTGGCCGGTGTTGCGGTGCCGGAGGCAGGTTCATTGATTAGACCTTCTGCGTCAAGACCCATTGTCTCATCTCCGATTAAATAGGCCTTGCGTAGCGATGACCAGAGTTCCAGGTCAGTATGTTCGTTAAATGGATCCAGGTTGGATCGTATTGTGCCTTTAAAGAGAGCAGGATCTTGGGGGATGATCGCCAGGCGGGATCGCAGATCAGACAGGCCAATAGTCGAGATATCAATTCCGTCAATCTTGATACTGCCCTCTGACAGCTCAGTCAGACGGAATAGAGCGGACATGATACTCGACTTGCCGGCGCCAGTCCGGCCAACAATACCGACTCGCTCGCCTCCTTGAACTTCCATACTAAGACCCTTGAGCACGAGCGGTAGCCCAGCTCGATACCGCATCTTTACACCGTCAAATTTAATATGAGCCTTTTCAGGCCAGCTATCGGGAACGGGGTCTCTGTGCAAGGGGGCCTCTTCTTCCAGCTCGGTTCCGTAGTAGTGGAGTCGTTCGGTAGCGTTCATATCGTTCTCAACTTCCGCGAGCTGTCGAACTGTGAACTGCAGCATTTGTGCAATAGACAGAATGTATGATAATACCAGGCCGGATATGCTAGGCGATACATTGAAACGTGATGTGACGACCAAAACACCGGTGACAAAAACCAGACAGGTTCCCACGGCGTCCAGACGCACAGTGAGCCAGCGCTGATTAGAAAATGTCAAGAAGTAAGCGCCGTTCATGGTGTCGATAGAACTGCGAATACTATCGCGGAATTTGTTCTCGACTCCGTAGGCACGGATACATGCTACACCGGTGATGGCTTCGCCAAACCGGGCATAGACCACTGATCGCAGGAGGGCTTCGTGCCGCTTCATCTCGCGGGCTGAGGCGCGGTAATAGTCCGCAGCAAGTAGAAAGAGGATAAACAAAGGCACCAGGGCAATAACAAACTATATAGTATTATTAGCACATGGGTTCTCTTCTTTGAGGAGGTATAATAACTTACGTAGTAGAAGAAGACGATGATTAGGATCATGATAGAGATTATCATAACCATTGTCAGAGCGTACATGCGGATTGCGTCGGATAGCTCATTGTCCATGACTTGAATATCCTTTGAGAAACGATTGGTGATGCGACCGAGGGGCGTAGTATCGAAGAAAGACATCGGGGCACGTAGGGCACGGAACATAGCACGCGCGAGCATCTTCTTGCTGGCATTTGTGCCACAAATAGACGTCCAAGTTGAGAACGCAAACATGAGAAGAACGCTTGCAGCGCCCAGACCTGCGTAGATACCTATGTATTGGCCAGTGGACAGCGAATATTTGTCAGATGTCCAGTAGGACAGCCACAGACTAGTCCAGATACTGGCGACGTTTGAGATACAGACCAGAAAGATGACCATAAAAGCATTGAAGTAACTGCCAGATGCGCTGATGTACGCTTTCCAGACCTTCCAACCAACACCAGCTGTGGCTTTTTCTTCCTGTTGCATCAACGCAGTAGTCTTTTTGCCTGGTATAGCTGCCTTTAGATCCGCATCAGGTTTACTAGCCTCCTCCTCGACTTCCTCGGCAGCCTCTTCAGCGTTGTCATTCGAGTTCTCTTGTCCAGATGTAGACATCAATCGCTTGAAAAGCTCGTTGTCTCGCATCAGGTTGTCAAAGGTATCGACAGCATGGATGCGACCCTCATCCATGACGACAATCCTGTCGCACCGACTCAGCACATGGAGCTGGTGAGTGGCCAGAATTCTGCACCGATCTTTCAAAAGACCGCAGATGGCCTTGTCCATAATGTGACGGCCAACATGGGCATCAACAGCTGATAGTGGATCATCCATAAGTACAAGCTCCGCGTTGAAGTAGATGGCACGAGCGATATTCAGACGTTGCTTCTGTCCTCCAGAGACTGTGATTCCACGCTCACCAATCTCAGTCTGGTCGCCATTGGGAAGGATTTCAAGGTCAGGAGATAGAGCACAAGCATCGATGACTTGATTGTACCAGGATTCATCGTAATCATTACCGAAGAGAATGTTGTTGCGGACTGTCGCATTTTGAATCCAGGCATACTGCGGGCAGAAGGCCCTAGTTGTGCTCATTCGGACTTGACCGTCAACCACTCGCATGTCGCCTGCCAGAGCAGACAGAAGGGAACTCTTGCCGCAACCGACTGTTCCAATCACGGCCAATAGTTCATTTCGTCCTACTTCCAAAGTGACGTTTTTCAACTTGAACGGCTCCGCAGCAACTGCCTCTTTCTTTTCATCCTTGCCATTCATCTTCGCCTGAGCCGCAATTAATTTCGCGGCTTTCTTGCCAGGCTTCTCGTCATCTTTGTCGGTTGGTAGTCGTTCCCAAGTGAAAGAGGCGTTTTCGATCTCGATGGCATTCTTCATTTCAGTATCCTTTGTGATATCTTCCTTTTGCTCCTCTGCAAGGAGGAACTCTTGGATTCGGTTGAGGGCAGTCCAGGCATCAGTCACTTGACCCAGAACCATAGGCATCATATTCAGCGGCATACGCAGTGAGTTGAACAAAGCAAGCGATGAGAAAATCGCAGCAGCCTGTAAGTCATGGTTTGTCAGAGAGTAGGTGATGAAGGAAAGCATAGAGGCGAAGACCGGGATAGCCATGGAAACACACATGATGGCATTTCGAATAGCCATGAGAGTCTGGATTGATCGGATCTCTCGCGTGCGAATCTCTTCCAATCGACCCAGGAAGCTGCTCTCCCATCCAAAGAACTTGACGAAGCGCACAGTCTGTAGAATTTCTTGCGTGAGAGATACTCGCTGGTCGGTGATCTTATTAATGTTTCGTCGTCGTACGATCAAGATGCGAATGGCATAGGTCAGCAGTGGCATGCCGATTACCAACAATGCATACCCAGAGAGACAGCTGTAGCCAATGTTCACAAGCAGCAGAACTAATGTCACGATGATGGAGATCGGGGCGCTCCAGATCATGTGGAACATGCCGCAAGCAAGATTGATACGGTCAACATCAATACTCATCAAAGCAATGATCCTACCATTACTCCATCCACGTCCATCACCTGCGACACCCGTTGCAACATCAACGGCTTTATTCGGGGGGTTTTTTTACCACCATTACCCTCCTCCTTCAAAAGGTCTTCTTTTGTAGACTTCAATGCCTCAATCTCCTCAGTCGTCGCCTGACCTCCAGCCTTTGCACGCGCCGAAAGCTTCATAGCCTTGTTGAAGATTTGCGAAATGAGCACAGCACGAATCTGACCACCGACCATTTGGCCGCGATACAGAAACTGATTTGTGCATACGCTCTGGAGGGCCTGCATGCAGGATATACCGACGACAAACCCCATACCTTTCCCGATATGAGGAGCGGCGGTGCCATATTGCTTGGCCTCCCATGCTTCTGTAGCAAAGGCGATCAAGTAACGGGTCAAATAGGGTGCAAAAACGAGAAGCAGTGAGCTCAGGAGCTGGCAGAAGCCACCAAGAACGAACTCGAAGCGGAATGTGTCGTATAAGGCCGAGACTAGTGGGCGCTTACTGCCGCTCTCGTTGCGCTTCTGCAATGCGACATCTAGACGATCTGATAGAACATCCACTGTGCGATCAGGGTTCACAGTCCAGATATCCTGAAGTTCGAGGGGACGCAAATATCCGACTTTCATCAATGGGGACATCCACTGGAAGGAAATGATACTGAAGAACGAAGCGCCATATTCTTTTGAAACTGTTCGTTCTTTTGGCACAGGCGGGATTGTCTGCCATCGCAGCGGATTCAAATTCCCATACCATTTCTTTTCTTGAGTTTCAGTCAAAGTATTCTCTGTCGAAGCATTGCTATCGGGTCGTTTTTCATCGTTGACGACAACCTCATGTAAAGGCTCCGGCGCCGACATGGCGATTTAGAATGAGCCAAGTCTAGATCTAAAATTGTTCAAGGGAACAAGAGATTAAGTAGTTTAGGGATTCGGAGTTGGGATGCGAATCCATCAAACTAATGTGGGGCAATCAAAGCTTGGGAAGGGAATCCCTGAAAACGGACTCTGTGAAGTAGGTAGATCAACAATAGAAAGATGAAATGAAATCTGAGGTATTTAAGAAGGGAAGTTGAATTAAAATGAAGAAATTGAATTTTATTTGATGGCTAAATCATGTTATCTACGGGATGGTTCAACGGGGGAACGGACGGTGAGCGGAACAACGAAGCAACGCCTCTCAGAAGCTTGAAGGATAACTCACATTGATTACTACGGCAGTCAAGTCGTCCATTGGCCTAGTTTGGGACCGCGTACTCGCTCTCGCCTAAAATCAAAGCGGAGGATCGGAATTCGAATGAACTCCGAAGTAATATGATTGGTCTAAGTTTACAGTCCATGTGGGTATCGGCCAATCGGTATTTTGATTTATCTCCGTACCGAGATGCTTAACTACGAACGTACAACGTATCATAAGCAAGGTTAGAATTGAAACTTCAACCTTTTGAAGCCGCTCGCTCCATCGTCAGACTATCGTATAGGACGAATCTATTTATAATCGGTTGAACGCCATTGGTCCCTGTATCCCGTTTCACAAGTCGTCTTAGTTCTCACTAAACTTGGCCTTCTTCTCCAGGGGCGGAATCACGTCTTCTTCAATATTTCCCTTAATAGTTGGGAGCTCAGTCAGTGCCTCCTGGATGATCTTCAGTGCCTGCTGAATCTCCTCGTCGGTGATGACGAGCGGTGGTGCCAGACGGATTATGTTTTCGTGAGTAGGCTTGGCCTGGAAGGGGAAAGATGGTTAGTTCACAACATACAGGCATTATAATGATGGTTAAAGAGATTACATACCAGCAAGCCCTTCTCCTTCATCAACAGACACAATTCCCAGGCAGAGTGCCCATTGGTCTTGGATTCGTCAATAACAATAGCATTGAGCAGGCCCTTACCGCGCACGGTTTGGATGAGGGGACTCTTGAGATCCTCAATTCCCTTTCGGAAGACGTGACCCAGTTGCTCTGCGCGCTCAACCATGTTCTCTTCACGGACCACCTCCAAGGCGCGGATGGCAACCGCACAACCCAGAGGGTTGCCACCGTAGGTTGAGCCGTGAGTGCCAGGCTCGACAGTCAGCATAACGTCTTCCCTTCCCAGTACAGCGGAGACGGGGTACATGCCACCGGAGATGGCCTTGCCCAGCAAAACCAGATCAGGCTTGATACCGCTCCACTCGTGGCACAAGAGCTTTCCGGTTCGAGCAATACCCGTTTGGATCTCATCGCAGATCAAGAGCGCATTGTACTTGTCGCACAGTGCGCGAGCCTCCTGTAAGTAGTCGTTATCAGGTACGACAATACCAGCTTCACCCTGGATGGGCTCGACCAGGAACGCAGCCAGGTTAGGGCCAGCCTTCTCAAAGGCTTCGTGTAAAGCGGCCTTGTCATTGTAGGTGATGGGCTTCTCGGTGCCGGGAATGAGGCTCCCAATACCAGGTAGGTAAGGTCCGTAGTTGTCACGCGATTCTGGGTCCGATGACATGGAGATGGCTGCGAACTAATGCAAGGGACGATCAGCCACGTTTCTTTTGTTTTAAAGGTTGCACGAGCACGTCATAGATAGGCAGGGGTAGACTTACAGTACGGCCGTGGAAGTTGTTTTCAGCACTCAATACGATAGCCTGGTTCTCTGGAATGCCCTTAACTTTGTAGCCCCACTTACGGGCGATCTTAATACCAGTCTCGACCGCCTCCGCACCAGTGTTCATAGGCATGACCATGTCAAAGCCGAAGTATTGAGTGACAAACTCGGCAAATCGAGGGAAAACATCGTTGTAGAACGCGCGCGAGCTCAGTGTCACCCGGGAAGCCTGATCCACCAAAGCAGCGATCAGCTTGGGGTGGCAGTGACCCTGGTTCACAGCCGAGTAGGCGGAGAGGAAGTCGAGATAGTGACGACCTTCAGGATCCCAGACTGAAGTACCTTGAGCACGAGCAAAGACAACGGGCAATGGGTGATAGTTGTGAGCGGCATATTTCTTCTCAGCCTGAATTGCTGCGTCGCTGGAAGCAGCGTGATAGTGAGCAAAGACCTCGGACCCGTTGGAGGTCATGATGAATTGCGGGGAAGAAGTTGGAGATGTGATAATTGAGAATTGGAGAATAAACCAAATTCAATGTTAAAACTTCAAAGGAAGAAAGGAAAAATGAAAAAATGAAAAAATGAAATCTAAATTTCAAAAGAATCGATTGAACAAAAGAAGGAAAAATAGAAAGAAGAAGGGAATTCGGAGTTTAAGTACTGTGAAATAAATCAGGAGGGGGAGAGTGGCGTATACGGAGTACTACTCCGCTATTCCGCTAAGTGCAAGTGATTTCTCCTAAGTGCAGGTTGTCGCGAGCATCATTCATCCCTCGACCTCCACTATTCCCTAAGCGCAGGATTACACGAGAACTATCCCTGAACATCTCCAGTTGTTCGAATTTTCCTTATTTTCTTCCAATCAGCTTTTATTCTCCGGCAACCGGAACACGAAGCTCTTCCTCTGATGTCATTCTTCGTGTTTGGCACGCTTTGAACTGAGCCAGTGAGAATCGTGAGATTGGGCTTTTGTGTAGAGCCTCAAAGCTCCCCATTTTTCTAATGTCTCTAACTTCTTCAAAGCGCGTCGCGCCCGTCTTCTCTCCCATTAACGAAACTCACGTCATCCTCTTTCTAGTCGCATTCCGCCTGCTAAATTCGGTCGTTGTTCGAACGTTTTTCCAGCCGGATGAATTCTTCCAGTCATTGGAGCCCGCTTGGTTTACTGCGTTTGGACAAGATCAGGGCACTTGGATAACCTGGGTGAGTGGGTAACTAGGTGCGAGGTCGATGTTACTGGAGCTAATGGTAGTGTATAGGAATGGAAAAATCACCTTCGTTCCTCCTTGCACCCTCTCCTCTTTGCCGCCATCTACAAAGTCGGTGATTTCGTCGCGTCTATCCTCCAGCTCTCGCCTGCGACACGCGCAAACCTTCTCATCCAGGCACCCAAAACCGCGCAGGCTATTGTGGCGGCAGTCGGAGATTTCTACACTTGGAAACTTGCAACCCAGATATATGGCGAGGACTCACGCGGTTCTTGGGCGACGGTAAGTAAACCCTCATAACTTGAGTTTATGATGAATAACGCGTGTTGACTTGGTTTATAGTTAGTTGCCACGACCCTTAGCCCATGGCAATGGTTCTGTTCCACGCGAACGCTGTCGAACTGCCTCGAGACCACGATTACAATTGTCGCATTGGAGCTCTGGCCTTGGAAATGGTCAGTCACTTCGGCTGACAACGGCCGCAGCGACCACGCACTCCTATTGAGGTAATGTATGACACAAAACAGTTCATCCATGCAGCTGCTGACGTATTGCATAGTTTCCGCAAATGCCTAGTGCTTGCCGCATTTGCATGTATCCTCCGACCTACGAATATTTTGATTTGGTTGACCCTGGCCAGCTTTACGTTGTATCAGACCACTTGGGGCCGCCGCAAAATCTTTGTTCGTGAGGTCCTAATGTTGGGGTAAGTCAGCTCCATTTTTATATTCTTCTTGGTTATATAGCCAGAATTAAATAACTTACTCTGGCTCAGATCGACAGTCTTGGCTATGTCAGCCCTTGCAGACCGCTACTTTTATAAGGTCTGGACCTTTCCACCTCTAAGTTTCCTGCAATTCAATATCGTCCAGTCGTTAGCCGTTTTCTATGGCCGGAACGATTGGCATTACTACGCAACGCAAGGCTATCCGCTCCTCCTTTTGGGATATCTCCCCTTCGCCATTTGTGGTCTCTACTTAACATTGACGACCCGCGCCTCCACGGCCACTGACGAATTGCAAACCTCAATTCGAGTCCAGTTGGCGACGGTATGCTTATTGATGCCATTCGCGCTCTCCTTCATCTCGCACAAGGAAGTGCGCTTCATCTACCCATTGCTGCCCTCACTACACATTTTGGCTGCGGCGCCCCTTGTACGATTTTTCTGGCCAGCTTTCTTCTCATATGGCGCTCACTTCACCCCCCGGAGACTCATATTTCTCTTCATCGTGCTTGCACACTTGGCAGTTGCGCTGTACACAACTACCCGCCATGCCTCGGGAGTGATTGAAGTCATGACCTACCTTCGCCAGCAACATGACCTCCACGCTGCCTCGACCAAAACCTTCTATGGCGTGAACTACGAGCCCAAGCCATCAACGAGCGGCATCACAGCGGGCTTCCTCATGCCCTGCCATAGTACCCCTTGGCGCTCGCATCTGATATACCCAACCATCGACGCGTGGGCCCTCTCTTGCGAACCACCCATCAATCTCAACGAAACCCAAAGAGCCGTGTACCGGGATAATGCTGACCAGTTCTACGATGACCCGAAACATTATCTCCAGGATAACATGGCTGGCGGTCTTCGTTACTTCCCTACTCGCCCAAGTGCCAACACGGGGCCCCAGTTCTACACATCGTACTCAGGCAGAGGTCCTAAGAAGCTTAACGAATGGCCCGATTACCTCATATTTTTCGCGCAGCTCGAACCCACTCTCAAGGACCTTCTAAGAAGCTCTTCATATAGTGAATGTCAGCGTATCATGAACTCAGACGCTCACGACGACTGGCGCCGACGCGGCGACGTCGTAGTCTGGTGCGTCAACGGAGCCGAACAAGACAAATGGCGCGTACAGACTCAAAAGAAGCGCCTGGCAAAGGCTTCCGCAGATTCTGCCAAGCGCGTCGCGCGCATCCTTGAGGCCATGAAAAGCGAACCCCCTGTCAGCGATTGGTATGCGCTAGTCGGCTTCCCCAGCCCACCGCGCCCACGCCATTGTCTCTCAAGTTTTGGAAAAGGGGCTTCTCGTCATTTTTCTCAGCTATTTCTAGCAGAAATTGGCCGTGGAGTAGTAGCTCGCCTTCCCTTTCTGAAGCTATCTTGAGCAAGTTTGCTCGCCGTCAACCGAGTACATGGGAGAAGGCTGTTTCTTGGGTTTCGTCTAGTTTGCCTCGTTCGTTGGGTGGTAAACCGGGTACATCCAAGAAGAAGAGACAGCTCTCTGAGCGTGAGTTATGGTCTTGAGCTAACCATGTTTTACATGTAGTAAGTACTACTTTTCTCTTAATTTTTGATACTACATATTATTGACATGATTGATTTCATTTCTCTCCCTTGTAATATGGCTTTACTTGTTTCAAGTTTAGGATTGATTGTACTTGAACAGGGCTTTATGCATTCCCAGGGCTATAGTAGAGCCCAAGGATGTTTGTATGTACAGTATTATGATATCAACAGTAGAACTCAAGTCACTGTACAACGTATATTGTATGCCTGGGTGTATGAAGAAGAAAACTAATAAGATAAATTACAGTCTATAAAGGTTAAGAGAAAAAAAAGAAAGGAAAGGAAAGGAAATAACAAAAAAGACAGAATAAAGAATAAAGTAAGAATAAATCACAGGAAAGAAGAAGACATAAGGAAAGTAAAGAATGAAAGTTTGAATCAGAAGGCCCAGACAGAAAAAGCACGTTGTTATAAGATGCACATAACTTTTGAGGAAATGAAAAAGCAAGGCATATTCACATCTCGTTGATCCATGTCTTGGGAAAGTAGGAGGGTTAATGATTAGTATCAATATGAAGTCAATGAAATCCGTATGAATGATGAAACGGGTCGCAAAAGGTCATTCCATGGTAAAGCCCGTGGTAAAAAGCGCAAAACATGGCCATTTCTCATCTCACTTCATCGAAAAGCTTGGCCATACGTTTAGCCGTAGCGAGCGCTGAGGCTAGCAAAGGCATCTGGGCTGTGACGGCCTGATTGGAGGCCGTTGATGTCCATACTTGGTTGACTCATGTGAGGGGGTCTGGCGTAGTTTGAGCTGGTTTGTGGTGGGCCAGTTGCGTTAATTGGCATACCCATACCCACGTTGGATCCCATGGCTGGGGTAGTGGCACCATTGGTGCCCATTCCAATGCCCAAGCCTGGAGATTGGAAAGTTGTTATACCTGCCTGCGCTGCTAGACCTGAGCCAGCTCCGGTTGGTGCCTGGCCGAAGGGGTTGCGAGAGGCATTAGACGGGGGAGTCTGTAGGCTGAAACCGGGCATGGATTGTGGGGTGGAGTTCATAGAGTTTGAGAGGGGTGGTACAGGGCTAACTCCCATGTTTGGCTGGAACTGAGACTGAGACTGTTCGGGAATTGAGGAGATGGGGGAGTTGGTGGAGTTGAGGCTGTACAGATTGAGAATGCTGTTCTTGTTCATAAGGCCAGTAGGTTGGGGAGCAAGCTGCTGCTGCTGCTGCTGATACTGCTGCTGTTGTTGTTGTTGTAGTTGTTGTAGTTGTAGTTGCTGCTGTTGATATGGGTTCTGTAATCCGCCTACATTCTGGGGAGGCTGCTGTCCCATTGACTGCTGCATGAACGGGTTGTAGGAAGCTTGGCCAGTATTTTGGACTTGTTGTTGTTGTTGCTGCTGCTGCTGTGGCTGGGTTTGATAAGATTGCGTCGCTCCGAAAGGAGAAGTACCATATGGTGAGTTGGAGGAAACAGCGGGCATGGTATTGGCATGCTGTAGCTGAGGTGGGGAGAACACAGATGCGGCCGACTGCTGTTGCTGCTGTTGCGGCTGCAGAGAAGGATTCTGCTGTGTCGCGTTAAAAAATGGATTGTTCTGTGCTGGGTTTGGTTGAATTTGAGCTTGTGGCTGAGCTGAGTTCGGGAAAAATGGGTTGAAACTGTTGTCCAAAGGCTGGGGCGAAGAAACATAGCCACTCTGCGAGAATGTTGCGGTGACTGGTGGGGTAAATGGTGCCTGATACATAGCCTGTGGCATGGTTGACTGCGGATATCCACCAGTCGAATGCGGGAACAATGGCTGGGAGACCTGGAGGTTCTGGAAGGAGTTCTCCAACGCCTGTGTCGGTGCCGGAGCCTGAGTTGGCTGGTCGAACGGGTTGTAGGGCGTCGACTGAGCTTGCTGGGGAAATGGGTTCGAGACTGTCCTGTCGAATGGGTTGTTCGATGTCTCTGGCTTGGAAACCGCGGCCATGGGACGGATAGATGCCCCGTTGACTGACGCCGGAGTCCGAGAGCGTGACGAGCTCTGGCTTCCTTCGCCCAATTTCGTCATTGTCTCGACAGCCCGATCCAAATCCTCATTGAATCCCCTGAGAACCATCTCGTTCCGCCGGTCGTTGGTGAAACCCATATCATGCATCGCTGCCATCTTTGCCTCGAACGACGCTGTTGTTCCATCAATAACCGGTGCACCCAAACCACTCGTCTTCCTGACCGGTGGGGGAGGAGACCAGTCATCATCATAGGACGATTGCTTAGGTTTATTACTAGCCCGACGAAGATTTGATGTCGAGGCAGATCCCCTTAAACCAAATCCAAAGAATTTGGCCGCGCCCGAGCCCGACGAGCCCGTCTTAGGTGGAAGCGGAGGGGGAGAGTCGTCCGGAGATCTGTTGCGTCTCGATCTATCACGACGACTGCCGAAGTCGAATTCGTCTCGGCTGGATTCTTCGTAACGTCTGCTATAGTTGCCATCGTCTCGGTTAGAATCCTCGCGGCGATTGGTGTAGCTATCATCCCGGCTCGGAGGCTTGGGCTTTCCATCTGCCAGTGTTCGGTACTGGTATTTTTGTCGAATGAAACGTTCCATGGCCGAGTCAGACTCGTCAATATCGCTGGGGACCGGTGGCTTGACATTTTTGGGGTTGTAGATTTTGTTCATGAGAAGGTTACCGTGCGATTTCATGCTCTTGATCATGTCAGTTGCGAGGAAATAATGGCATGAGATTAGATAGCGCACTCACGTCAACCTGTTCTGACGACCATGTATCCATTGATAAGGACTTGACCTTGGATATATGAGTACCGAGCTTGCGGTGGAGTGTGGCGCACCGCATGCACAGGAAAAGACCCATCTAGAGAGAAATGATAAGTAAATGGATTCGAGGGGGGAGCTAAAATCAGAGGGAAGGAAGACTCGTACATTCCAGCTTGCCCATCCTATGAGAAAATGTCAGTTACATGTGTAGTCAATGGATATTCAGGGGAAATACCTGGACTTAGAGCATCGCAATCGGCACAGCGGTCGTTGCCAGGGACGGTGCGGACAAGCTCGGCGAGAGTCTTCTCGTTCCGCAGCTGCTGGCGCTTGCTTATGCCATTAGGCATGATGAAGGAATGGACACAATACAAATGATTGAGGAAAGTAAAGGTTTAAGGGGAAAGGAGAACAAGGGTTGCGGAGATTCTAGGCGGAGAAGACTAACGGCCCGAAATCTGCGAGGGGCAAAGAACGACCCTTCAATACCAGTTGGATACCTACTTAGTACTGCCTGCTCAGTCCTTAATCAAGTAGAAGATTGAATTGGGAAGTTTATCTTTCACAGTATTCATCCCCGCGGAGCCGGGGCTCGGACTGAGACTGGTCCAGACCTGTCATTGCCCTATGAAGCAAGTTTTGTCTAACTTATTGCGTACTATATCGATATTATTCAGGTATACGACATATCCGGTAGTAAAATGAAGTCATATTAGGTCATGTATTAGCACTACTACGTCTAATTTAAGCCGATAGAGATGTCAGGGCAGCAGGTGACGCCAACCACCATTGCACTCAAGAGAGTCGGAACCCTCCCAGTCCGGTAGAGGAGCCTTAAGTTGCCCATGATTTCTTCTAGTACGCCAATATGACCTGCCATCCTATGATAAAAAGGAAATTGGAGGTTGATTAAATGCGTTCGAGGTAAAAAGTGTAAAGAGAGAAAGAAGGTTGAAAGCGCTGAAAATTCCGCACAAAATAGGAGGGGTCACGTGAGCACTAGTTGGGTCACGTGAATTTTTTCCTTTAGTCTTCGATTTTTCCTCTTCCGCTTCTTCTTCCTTCTTCCTTCTTCATCCTCAACTCAACCTTGCAGGTCTTGGATAGAGTCTTTATCCTATGATGTTCGGATTGATTCTCTATCCAACCCTGCAAATCCTGTAGCTATCAGTTGCTTCGCAACCCCACATAACCCGCGTGGTGCTATTTTGGTGGCATCTGACGTTTCATGGGTGATTTTTATCGTTCGTTCGTGGGAGAACAAAACCAAACAGTTTTTAGCAGAGCTGCGTCTACTCCACCCTGGTGCTCGCTCCAATCGAGCAGCAGGACTTTTTTACGACGGACACTTCAATATTTTAAATCAATATCGTTCAATATCCTATATCTTTATTTCCAGCTCCACCCAAATGTGTGTTCATCCGAGCCCTAGATATCAGTGCACTCCATCTAGAGACGAGGCATTCCACCCAATGATCCGTAGTCGAGGCCTCGTGTATTCTTCCGATACTTCTTCTGGCTTATATACAAATGATGATTCCTGATTATTCGACGTGAAATCCAACGTTCCAAGGTTTTACATGGTTCCTGTTATTAATCACAATTCCAATAACTAGTTATCTACCTCTGCATGGAATCAATAACTACATAAAGTATTTCACCACTGAACGGGTCACACTACTGAACGGGTCAGTTTGACCCACTTATTTTTATGAATCCCAATAACTCCATTATTTACTATGTAATATAGTAAAAAAAAACTACTGAATGGGCCTACTAGGACAGGTTTCCCTCCTATGTCCAGGTGTCTTACATATCCCACACCGGCGTTGGGTTACAGGCGCCCTTACAGGCGCCTGGCCCTCTTGTAAATTGGCATCATTAAGTTTAGGGCCACCATTCGACGCGTCAACCAGGTCTAATCCCTCCTGAATTGTAAGACCCCCTACTACTGTTAATTGACGATTCGGACGTTCTTTTTGTTTTTTCTTTTTCTCATGGGCGGCGCGTAAATCTCTGTTTTCCAGGCGTAAGAGAGCATTCTCTTGATATAGGTAATTTGCACCCTTTACTATCTGGTCTAATGCTCTCTTAGATGGTGTTGGTGGCGTTCGAGATACAGTGCGTAATATAGCTTGGTGTTGACGTCGTAAATCTTTCTGCGTCCTAGGCGTCTTAGGTGTCCAATTTCGACTTGAATCGCTTCCTATAGAGGGTGGTGGTGGTGGTGTATCGACGCGCATAGTAAGCTTTTTTAACACCCTAGTAGGGTCAAGTGGCACGATTCCAGTTGCAGCAAACGCATTAGAAGCAGATGCAAATGCTTCAATACGCGCAGTAGGATATATCTCTAGGAAATCTCCTTTACTAATGTGGGAAAAACCAAGCTCTACTCTAGACTCAACCAGCCGAGAATAAGAGCGTTTTAACACCGCAAAACACCCAACATCAAGAGGTTGAAGAAGATGAGACGCATGCGCAGGCATACATAATGGTATAATATCATGCTCCTGGCAGATTTTGTCGAAATCAGGTGTTAAATGGCTACCATGGCCATCTAAGATCAGAAGGCGATACCGTCCTTTAGTACGAGCAGTAGCAGGTATAAAGAGCTTTTCAAGCCAACGGAGCCCTATTTGATTTGATGTCCAGCCATTAGGACTAATCTCAAGACGCCAATTAGGTGGTAAACCTAGATCAGGAGCAAACCAGCTCTGCATCATCACCTTACCCTTAAAGATAATACAGGGTGGAGGTGCGTAACCAGACGCGCCTAAACACTCTATCACAGTAACCCATTCCCGGTTACCAGGCTGTTTTTTTGCGCGTTTACCATAATAACCAGCTCTAGTAACCACTCTCGCGGTCGCACATCGTCCCATCGCAAACCCAGTCTCGTCAAAATTATAGATATCGTCGGTGGTGATACCATATTTTGCGATCGTGTTTTCAACCAGTTTGAACCAATTATTGATCACATTATAGTCCTCTTGACGCGCACGTGTAAAATCGCGCGGTGTTGAATAGGTCGTCTTAAGTTCAGGTAAACGCGTCGCAAACCTAGTAACCCAGTTTTTACCGATCGTAAGAGGAGGGTTGGTTCCGCGGTCGGCGAGTAGGATATTAGCCATTCTACCAACATCTTTAGTTCTAGGAGCACAGCCGCGATCATCTAGAGAGACGACCCATTGAAGTAATGAATCCTCTTCAGATTCAGTCAGTTTAGACTGCGGTGGGTGTGTTTCAAGACGAAATTGGACACCAGAATGGCGGCGTTGGAGGGTTGAAAATGGTATATTAAACATAGCTGCAGCTTTACGCATTGATGATATATCGCCATTCTTGTAAGCTTGGTAAGCTAATAAGACCCTATTCTCCTGATCCTGTTTGTCTTGGACATATAGAGCATTTAGGGGGGGCATGGTGGGTAGTTGAAAATGGAAACACCAGACTGACGCGTAAAATTGGTGGGGTGACCCGTTCAGTAGTGTGACCCGTTCAGTGGTGAAATACTTTAAGCAATCAGGTCTCGAATCTCACACCTATTTGTAAGGTGCCTGGAATGCTCGGATTAGTAAGAATGAACCAGACCATTCGATGAAGTAAGCGAGAAGGTCGAGATCAAGTGGATCTTCTTAGTTAACCAAACAGATAAGTTCTGTTAATAATGATTACGATAACGATATCGAGAGTATCAACCATAGTCTATGTGAACGATATTCAACATAACATAAGGCAATTGATTCTCAAACTCAATGAAGTAGATAACTGATGAATACTAGCTACTAGTAGGCAGCTACTACTGATCCTAAATCCGGGGGCGGAGTTTCTCTCGTCCGGGTGAAATGCGGAGAGCCCGAGGTAAATGCGCGTCTGAGTTTCTATGATTGGCCCTGTGTTTCAGTTGCTTCTGTAACTCGTTACTATATAAGTCGCAGAATCTCCTGTTTGGCCTGATTCCTCACATTACACCTTTTTTCCTTTTCTTCCTATACTAAGCTCCTTGTATACCCGCCTTCAACACCTTCACAATGGCCTCGGCTGCTCGTTCTGCTTCTCGGGCCTTCCTGCGCTCATCCTTCCGCCCTGCTGTTCGCAGCACTCGCTTTGCCATCCCCGCTCAGAGCCTCCGTACTTCTGTCCGTGGATATTCCTCCGAGGCTGGTGAGCCCAAGAAATCCTCTTCTGGCGTCTGGGGTGTTGGTCTCGCCGTCTTTGTCGGTGCCGGTGCATATTTCTACTTGAACGGCGACTCTGCAAAGGGTCCCTTTGTTCCCACCCAGGCCGACTACCAGAAGGTGTATGACGTGATTGCCGATCGTCTAGCCAACGAGACCGACTATGATGATGGCAGTTACGGACCTGTAAGTCCTTAGAATCAGCCAGTGACAAGGACAAGAAACTGACTCGATCGCTTCAATAGATTCTCGTCCGTCTCGCCTGGCACGCCAGTGGTACCTATGACAAGGAGACTCGCACCGGAGGTAGCAATGGTGCCACCATGCGCTTTGAGCCAGAGTCCGGCCACGGCGCCAACGCAGGTCTCAAGCACGCCCGCGACTTCTTAGAGCCCATCCATGCCAAGTTCCCCTGGATCTCCTACTCCGATCTATGGACTCTGGCCGGCTCAGCCGCCATCCAAGAGCTAGGCGGACCCAAGATCCCTTGGCGCCCTGGCCGTCAGGACAAGGACCTATCCGCCTGCACTCCCGATGGCCGTCTACCCGACGGCTCCAAGGGCCAGCGCCACATCCGCGACATCTTCGGCCGCATGGGCTTCGATGACCGCGAGATTGTTGCTCTGAGCGGTGGCCACGCCCTTGGTCGTGCTCACGCCGACCGCTCTGGCTTCGACGGCCCCTGGGACTTCAGCCCTACCGTCTTCAGCAATGATTTCTTCCGTCTGCTTGTTGAGGAGAAGTGGACCCAGCGCAAGTGGGACGGCCCTATTCAATTCACTGACAAGACCACTTCCACTCTGATGATGCTGCCTACTGATATTGCCCTGATCAAGGACGAGGGCTTCAAGCCCCATGTCGAGCGCTATGCTAAGGACAGTGATGCTTTCTTCAAGGAGTTCACTGATGTTTTTGTCAAGCTCCTTGAGAACGGTGTTCCCTTCCAGAGCAAGCCTGAGGATCGCTTTATTTTCAAGACCTCTGATGAGTAGAGGTCTTTCTATATGAATCATATGCAGACTCTGAGAATATTTGCCTACTTCCGCAACCCATTTTGATATCCGGTATGTTACCAGCTTACCATCCATGGTCTTAGATAAGATTTAGATCTTCAAATCAAGACAATTATATTTAATCTCGTATTTTATGTTGCTTCGTTGGACGTTGATGTATTTCGAATGACGTAAACATGACCTATTAAATCCTATCATTGGTCTATTGATAGAGTCGATAGAGTCGTCGGGTACTATACAGGTGTGCGTAAGCAGATACCTGGGCGCATTTCGTAATTGAAAGCGCTCCTTGTTGAGCTTGTGCCCTCTTCGCTGGCAAGAAAATGCTCATCCTCATTGAAATCGGCGTCATACTTCTTCCAAAATTCGCCTTAACCTGAGAATATTGAGAGCAATATGGAGAGGCTGATCGCGCTCAGGTACATCTGCAGGAAAATACGGGAAATTCGCTGCTCAGTCAGGGAATGTGTGACCTGGTTGAGGCCTCGTCTGAGCGAAGCCTTATTGTATGATAAAGCATCTCGCTCTTCTTTTGTTACTGAGCAGCCTTGGTAGCCTGACCGACCTCGGACCTGTTAAAGTGATCTGAGCAAGCCATAGCCACGGGGTCGACATATTGTATGTGGTACACCGTGCCCTTCCTGTGTCGCTATCCTCTATGCTTTATGACCAGTAGAGGAGTGGACACCTGGTAGGTTTCACAACCCTAGGTCTGAGTATATAAACTCATCGTCCTGAGATAGGGTCAAGCTATTCGGACTCCCCCATTGACTAATTGGACTCCCTCTACCGGATTAATAGTTTTTCCAGTAGATTTTCTCCACTTTCCCTACCGCTTTACTTACCGCTTGACCGCCTTACTTCTCAATTATCTCCAGGGAATTGCTAGGGGCCCCAAAACCAAGCTTATGTCATCCACCCAATCAAAAAAATAACATTCCTTAAAGTAAATCACATACGAACGGATCACACTCCAGAACACCATAGTAAACTCGAATGGCATATCTCAACAACCACAACTTGAAATCATTTTAAATCTTGAATTTGGATTACTTCTAGTTAAGGAAATAAATATATGGAAAGAAATATTAGGAAACCATTAAGTGAAGTGTAGTTAAAGCTAAAATAGATAAATTACACTGTAACTTATGGTACCGCTATAATTTATCCATCTAATTTACTTAAAATGAATTGATTCTTTATGAGGAGCCTTATCGTTATATATCACCGGATATTTGAATCTTATCGGAGTCATGGTTTTTGAGATATGATATTCAATTTTTGCGAGTTTACTTGGGGTGATCCGCTCGTCGTGTGATCCGTTGGCTGTTATTTTTTGATGGGGTGGGTGGCTGATATAAGCTTGGTTTTGGGGTGCCCCTAGCAATTCCCTGGAGATAATTGAGAAGTAAGGCGGTCAAGCGGTAAGTAAAGCGGTAGGGAAAGTGGAGAAAATCTACTGGAAAAACTATTAATCCGGTAGAGGGAGTCCAATCAAGTCAAAGGGGGAGTCCGAATAGCTTGACCCAATTATTACATCGTCAATGAACGCCGAGCCAGAACAATGCCAGGCAACGAACACCTGGGCAGGTGAGAGATTGCACCGCAACTTAGGCGGGCAGATCTCTCACTTCTATTTCAAACCTCTTTCCATCTCGTCTCTCCTTCTACCTCTTACACATTTCACCTCATACTACCCCACGCCGCCTTCGCCATCGATTTGAATTCTCTTCTACCTATTGAGGTATAGTTCATCTGAGCATGATCTTATCCCAACCCTATTTGAAATGTCCTACTTACTTAAGTATCATTTAGACTCACTTCCATGTCGTTTTCACGAGTTCCCACCATTGCCCTGGACTTCTACAGAGTCCTCGAGCTTCCCGAGCGCTTGGAGTCCTCCCTAAGCAAGGAGGAGATTAAGGAGCGAGTGAAGGCAGCCTATTTCCGGGCCTTGTTGAAGCACCACCCTGACCGTGCCCAACTCATTGCCAATCGCATCAACGATGGCACTGACAGTTCTTCTGAAGCCTCCAACGTCACTGGAAGCAATGTGAGCAATGTAGCCTCGGCCATCGTCGGCGAGCCTACCTGGACCGTGGACCAGATTACCACGGCATACAAGACTCTGAAGGATCACCACCTGCGGGTCGAGTATGATTCTCGTCGTCGCCTAGACAGCCTCAACCAGCAGGTTGAACTCCGCATCGCTGATGAATTCTTCGATGGCACTGATATCATCCACCTCGATGATATGATTTGCGACGAGGCTCTTGATCTCCAGGACCATGTCCAGTGGTTCTTTTATCCCTGTCGCTGTGGCGATTCCCGGGGTTACATTGTTTCCGAGTGGGATTTGCAGGAGGAGTTGGAGGTCGATCCTGAACTCAGTGATATCATTGTCCCCTGCCGTACTTGCAGTCTTTTCGTCAAGGTTCATCTGGATTATGACTCCTCTCCTGAAACTACTATTGAAGAGGAGAATAAGGAGAAGGAGAAGAAGGAGGAGGTTCAAGAACAGTAGGGTCCTTGGCCAGTTCCATTGGCGAGGGCCCTCCTATCCCTCACTCTCCTCTTCATCTGAACCCAAGTGGGACTTATCTTTTTACGTTGCCCAACATAATTTCTAGGTAGCCAGGGCCAAAATATCTAGTTCCTACCATTTTTCATTTGAATAATTACCTTTGGTCCCAATAATTTCTCACATACCTAGGTTCACTTCACCAAGGATCACCTACATTGAGGTACGTATGACAATACATCCAGAATATATTTAATATCAAAAGTTGAAAATCAAAGAAATTCATTTAGGGATAATAACAATGAATCAAACTGCAATCAAATACATCTCAGAACAGGCAAGAACTACGTAGGCTAGGAATTGGACCGGACTCTTATCACCTGGACATTCTCTGATGGCTGTCTAACCAAACAGTCCTATGTGGGAATCTTCAAATTCAATTTTATCGGTGTAACCATACTCTTCAACTTGTTTGCGCCCCTACTCCTCCCTCTCATTCACCAAACATTGTTCCCTGGGCGCGCTCTGCACGCTTGCCCTCGCGCTTGCGCTGGCCCTGGCCCTGGTGCTTATCCTTTCTACCGCCTCGATCGTCTGCCTCATTGCCCTGCTTCGGGTCCTTTGTTGAGCCTTGCTTTGGTTTCTTCTTTTTCCCACCACCTTGATCGTTGCCATACTCCGAGTCCATCTGAGTCGGAATTTTCTTCATGAACGTAGCCAGGTTACCAGCAACAAAGTGGAAAGGAGGCACATCCTACACCAATTGTCAGCAAGTCGAAACGAAGAAGGAGAGGGAAACACTCACCCCACCGACCACGGAGCCTGTACCAACCATACTTCCCTTTCCAATGGTAACTCCACCCAGGATGGTTGCGCCACCGGCAATGAACACATCATCCCCGATATAGATTCCCCGACCAGCAACGAGGCGATTGGGACCCTGACGCATGGCCGGATCGAGCGGGCGAATCTCACCGAACAGAGACACGTTCGGTTCAATAGAGACTCGCTGACCGATTTTAATGGGGCTGGCATCCTCAATAACCATGTTGAGGCCGAGACGAGTTCCAGCTCCAACTTTGAGGTTCAATCCATTGATGACGAAAATCGGACCCTCCACAAACGGATAAGTCTCGTCAAAGAGAGCTGCATCTTTCTTCGTCTTGATTCCGAGGATTCTAGTTAGTGTTAGTTCATGTTTAAGGTTGATCAAAATTTTGGAAGTAAACTTACTCGCGCCAGAGCTCGACCTTGCGTCGACGAGTCACCTGTCCTGCGATGTTGAAGTCTTCGCATGCTTTCTTGCATCGGGCTCGGTTGGCCACGAGCTTCTCATTCATTGGGTCATATGGCTCTTCATGAAGCATCTTAACCCATTCTTCTTTGATGATTTTTGGCTCCATTTTTTTTCGTTTCAAATGGGAAGATTTGGATGGGTAGTTATAGAAAATAAAGTCAAAGTTGGAGTAAAGTTTCTCAATGTGTAGGATAGAACGCTAGTATGAGCGTTGTAGTATGAGCGCTGTAGTATGAGCCCTACTTCAGGTATCCTGAAAACCTCTCCGCTGCGTGCTGCTATAGTGTGGCCGAACGCCAACAGCCTAATCATCGCAAATCCTATATATATTCTTTTGAAGTCCTGTATATTCTTTTCTTTGGTTGTTCAGATAATTGCCTACGTACCTAGATCTCTACCTAGTTACACAGGGGGATCTATAGGTTTTACTATAAATATGTATATCTGACCAGCAGAACTTCATCTAGCTACATAGCTAGCTACCGATAAACAAAGACAAGCAGTATCAAAATAACTTAGGAAATAATACCCCAAAGTTACAAAATCTGGCCGAAATACGTACATAGGTACCAAGAATATCGTTAGCTTACTGGAGTCCGTCGTTGCCTATGTTGTGCCTGTGCCGGGGCTGATGACATATTCAAACGGCGGGCAAAACAACATTCTTCTTCCCCACCATCTTCTCTCGCCTACACACCCCTACCATGTCTGCCATCAATATATCTTCAACCGAGCAATTTAGCTCACTCTTGACCTCATCCCGTTTTGTTGTTGCAGATTGTAAGTGTCACACTGCCTGACATCCAGCCCCGCCGATCTCCACCTGCAACATTTGAAGGTAGAAACCCCCACTGACACTGATCTAGTCTATGCCGACTGGTGTGGACCTTGCAAGGCCATTGCTCCTGTTTACGAATCCCTTGCAAACCAGCTTTCCCGTCCAAAGCACATAACCTTTACAAAGATCAACGGCGACCAGCAGCCAGATCTCGCCAAAGCTTACGGCGTCCGAGCGTGAGTCCCCTTCGAATTAAGCTAAACCAGTCTACATTTTACTGGATAGCAAACAATCTCTACGAGAACTATCGCTTACAGTTCATCTGAGTAGCTACCCTACTTTCATCGTTTTTGAAAACGGCAAAAAGACTCAGTCGGTCGCAGGCGCTGACCCGCGCAAACTCAACGATGTGATCCAAAAGCTCGCATCTGAAGCAAGCAAGTCCGATGAAGCAGGCGGAGAACCTAGTGGCTCTGGTAGCGGTTGGATCGGTGCTGCTGTCGCCAAGGGTTACAGCGACGTGACTGACCAAGTTGACGCGAAGGGACTAGACATCCTCAACCGCGACGACGACCGCGGTGAGGCACGCGTGCTCTTTAGCGGAGGAAAACCCGGTGGACTATCAGGAAAGGGCAAGGCTGCAGGCCAGGCCGATTGGGTCGAGAGTGATACAGACGAGCAGCTGATGCTGTACATTCCTTTCAAATCAACACTGAAGATTCACTCTCTACATGTGACCTCACTGCCCCCTGCTGGAGACGACGAGGCCCCCATGCGCCCAAAGAGTGTGTCGTTGTATACCAATCGCTCCCATGTGCTGGGTTTCGACGAGGCAGAGGACATTCCTGCTGTGCAGACGGTGCAGATTAAGCCTGGCGACTGGGATTCGAAGACTGGCACAGCCAAGATCGACCTTCGATTTGTCAAGTTCCAAAATGTTTCGTCACTGGTCATTTTCTTTGTGGATGGCGACGGAGACGGCGAGAAGTTACGCGTGGATCGCATTCGGGTTATTGGCGAGTCGGGCGAGTCGAGGGAGATGGTCAAGCTAGAAAAAATCGGTGACGAACATGGGGAGTAAATGGTATAGACTTGAACTAACCTTGGCTGGACCCCAAATTGGCTTATATAAGGCGATTTGTGATTCAGTAAAAATCCCCAGGTAGAAGATACGGCGTGGCAAGACGCCTCGGCTTGGAGTTGAACTCTCAACCGACGACAGGGATATGAACAAGGTGCAGAAGATTGTTGATGCGTCTGGGAAGTAAAGGGCTTAGTTTAGGTTTAGGCACGGACTGACTTGACTATGTTCGATGAAACGTTGGAAAGGAAATGCCCCGAGACGATTTGACGAGTTTTGTTGTCACCGAGCAGTAATAACGGAGGTCCAGACTACAAAGGCCACAAGCCTGAAAGTGTTTCGTGCAATGAAGAAGTATTTTCAATTCAAGTAACTAATATCGAGAGTGTAAACTCTGCGTTCTAAATAAGGAATGTTCAATCCTAAACCAAGTGGTCAGTCGTTCTGGAGTAACCATAAAGACCAATAAAGTAAGGACCGATTTGCAATATATTTTCTCTGTGACGCAACTGACACCTGGTATAAAACATCACTGATAAACCCCGAAGGATTTGGACGTCCAGGCAACACGGGTAAGTGAGAGTTGCGCCGCCGCACGAAGAAGAAAAGAAAAAGAGAAAAAGGTGTTCGTGATGATCAAGTTTTTATGGGAGAGTTCGGAGCGGATTATCATAGCTCCGGAAGGACACAGGAGTAGAATTTTCAGTATCACGTGTAGATTAGATAAGCGAGATTGAAATTTTGTGTTTTCCTTTTCTTGAAGACTCTTTTCTTTTCTTTTCTCCCATAAATTATATTTTGGCCGATGATGAGACAATGGAAATATATGATAGGAAGAGACTGACTCCTATTTAGGAGCGTGATCTTAACTTAACCATCTCCTGAGACCAACCATAATTTTGTCCTGTCCTCTGAGATACCTTGGAAGATCAATGTTTGGAACTTTAACATTAGCATTAGCATGAAATTCCCCATTCTCTTATCGGGTTACCGCAGAAATAATTTCCCTTTGTAAATTGACGTGGTAGACTCCGCATTTCACAATTTATATCTCGATGGCGTATCGCCGCCACTTAGGCAGGCGTGCCATCCTTCCACTTCCAGCAATTCCCGAAGTTACCGACCTCGGAGACACTTGGGAGCCCCAAGGCTATCTAAGCGAGCAGATATGGAGATCGACCATAGACTGCTCCATCCCCGTTCTCCGTAATCTAGAGATACGAGGGAAATGCCAAGTAGGACGCGCGACTTCGGCCGAAGCCGATGAGCTGCGACTGCAACCCTCTTTTGAACCAGTACTCCACTCATTTCAGTGGAAATGAAGCCCCAGTGCCCCATATCGCTACCCAAGTGACAAAAATGACAGGGAATACAAATCCTGTTGGAGCTGGGCCACAGAATTATGATCCTATCATATCTCTCGCGTCAAGCGAAAAACGATATCAATCGCGGGGCTGGATAACATTCTCACGAAAAATTGGAAAAAAAGGTAGCACCACACCGAAGTGCGGATCCAAATCAATATCGCAAGAGTGGGCTGTTTATCGCTCATCCTAACTCGGAGTGCCGTAAGAAAGAGATCCTGCCGTCAGATAGTGTAATCGAGAAGTACCCAATACTGGGCGCCAATTGACAAACCTGGGCACCTTTTTTTTCACGTTTGGTGTAGATTGTTCCTGCATTAGTGATTTTGCATTATCGCAACACGCAATATACGGTAGGTAAAGTTGCCCCGGTGAGTTGAGAGTGCGAATCACCCCACGCGTCGTGCCATTCCCCAGAATGGCATCCGCCCCAAATGCGGACACGCGGAGTACAGCCGAGACCAGAGATAGTTGTCGGTTGTTGCTCGAATATTATTTCCCGGTACCTAGAGGCCTTAAGAAGTATGGAACGGGGTTATTTCTCACTAGTGGGTGCACCGCAGGCCCGGGAATCGAGGCTGTCTAGGTCTGCCCAGGTGCTAAGTATGATAGATCATGAGGTTCTGCTAGACAGGTCAGCAGACCTGAGACCGTTGCAGAATCTACTTTTAGACAGTCGCTGATATTGTCTTGGTGTAGAAAGTAGGAGCCCTGAAAGTGTTTTGGTATTAGCCAGAAGACAGGATTGAGTATGGATATGTCCATACTGACATTGTCATTTTGATTGATATTCTCATCCACCATAGTGTCTAGTTATGTCAGACCCGCTCGATTCCTACTCAGCTTGAGCCTGTCAGAATGTGAGAATGGCACACGCATCTTCGTTGCCCACATGGGTGCGTACCCGCTGTTGGACACACGTGCTGATATACTTGTTTGGAAAGCGAAATGGTGGTGGGTAGGCGTGGGGATGGTACGACGGGTCTTTCTTTACTTATGAGGTAGGAGATTAAGTCAATTCAATGGTCCAAATGGAGATTGATTCTGTTTTTGATTGAGAATAGCAGCTTTGTAAGCCCCGAAGGTTCTTTTGCGTAGTTCACAAAGCAAATCACGAGAATGCTGTACCAAGTACCTATGTAGAAGTGAGCTCACTATCCTCCAGGGCTGCCATGACTAACTAGCTGAGGCTACGGTACAAAACGCTGAATCAGTAAACATTTGAAACATATATGTTTCAGGTATTTGATTTGATATCGCCTAAAATAGAAGTATAATGCCAGACTGGGAACGATGTGGATTCTCCTCGCTATGTCCGTGGAAAAATATGAACTTAACTCTAAAAATGGATAATAGTGAGAAAATCTTGGTTCCAAATTATGTAGCTAAACTTCCAAGGTTTGCTGGAATAGATGAAACTCTCAAACTACCAAAGCCCCCGCAAGGTAGGGCTTGAGCCGTGTTGAAGGCCAATCTCCACCATTGGCTTATCGGGTCAATCGTATAGACGGAGAAGAAAACCCGAAAAGAGCTTGTGGTACGGAGTACATACACGATATTGCCAAGCTTTGGAATATTAACCATCTGAGAGCGATGTGAGTGGTTGTGTGGTGGCAAAGAGGGGGTCCACCGCGGTACCAGCAGCCAGGAGATGAACAGAAATGAAGTCAAGAGTGAGAGATAAGGATGAGCAAATGATCTACGAATACGCGAAGTATAGATGATTTGAAGTCCGTGTCAAGAGCATTGAGCAAGACAAATGTGTATGAGATATTAGATATGCACGATCTAGATGGATCTAACTAGTGTGTGCTTTCAATACTTTGTTAAATCTGTGAATCGATAGTCACCGGCAATATGAAAAAGGCCATAATCCCGATATAAGCAAAGACTCACTATCCATGGATAACAGATATAGGACGGGAAGTGACATCTGAAACAGACTATGGAAACTTTACTGTACGGGAGAATATTCTTAACTGTTCATATACGACCCAAGTGAACCTTACTGCAGATCATCGGGTTAAGCCCGGGTAAGTGCATCAAGTAGTGATCTCATATGGTAATTCTGGCCGTCCATGGAAGAAGTAGGATGCGGAGTTCCGTCCATGGGTGTATCTCAGCCGTTTCCGAATAGATGAAATGATGAGGTATGATTGTTGGTATATGACTTCAATCCATGGAAATCAATCCAGGATCTGTAACGTAGATGGGCTCAAATCCCACAAATATTACGGCATCAATTGAGCCTTCATGATGATATTCAAAAACAAAGTTGCCTGTAATGCCCGTCTTGGACGAAGTTGGGGCAACTGGGACACGCAAGAACCTTACGCCATGCAAATTTGAGCACGTACCAAGAAAAAACATATAGCATCAATTTCCATTTTTGGAATCGTTGATCTGATCTAACTTGGAATATGGATTCATTCGTCCTTTACGATCTTTCCATAGAGGCTCTCGGGCCGAGGGGGGGGGGGGGATGGACCGATTTGCCACTTGATCTAAGACATGTGGGTGGGTATTAATCTTTCGCGTTATTGAAAGCCAGAAAGAGTAGGAAAATATATTGCGAATTGAATGTGGAGAGAGAAAAGTTTGTTAAGGTGATAAAGACAGTGATAGTAAGGATTTAAAGCCGATCTTGGGAGGATTGACTTCCTTGGATTACGTAGTCGATCTTTCCTTTCTTTACCTTTTTACCTTCTTCTTTTCTTCTTTCCACGAGGTCATAGCGATGGAAGCATAAAGTGCCAGGGTCCATGGCACGTTCCTCTTACACAGCTCGTAAGATGATCACTTCTCAAAACCCCGGTTCACTAATGATTTATATACCCGATTGAGAATAGCATGGGGTGAATAAGCCAGGGTCATCCATGGTACTGGATGTTTTAGAGCGAGATTGACTGCTCATTTTCTGGAGTTCGAGAGTTAAAAAGAGACTCATGGATTGGGGACTGGGGTGGCGCTTATCATAGAAAGCTTCAATCCCTTTTGGGAAGCTATCGATGATGCGGTCCTTTCCCAGAATACTTCTTAAGCTACAACCTTGGACGAAGTAATGTTGCGTTGGTCCAGGGAGAGAAGCTATCTAGATATAATGCTGTCTCGCCATTGAACATTAATGTGGTAAGCTTATCATCGGCTATATGAACACAAACTTGATCAGCGTATCCATCACGTGCGCACGAAATCGAAGATTCCATTGAATCTTGGAAGGTTTCAATTAAGGTAAATATAGAACCGTGGAACTGTTCTCTTGCATTAGGCTAAATTATTAATATGCTTCCAAAGTTTGTTAGATTTTTTTTACCATGGCCCCGGACCCCTTAAGAAACCAATTGATTTAGTTAAGATTTTCATGGTGGTATAAAAATCAATATTGGACTGGCCACTAGCTATCCATAAACTCTCTTTAAGGTCCAATGAGGAGCAATTAATTTCGACTCCAATCTTATAAAGTTGGAATTAACGTTAAGATTCAATAATGCAACTGAATTTTCAATTGCAAACTGCTCAATTAGGGCCTCCAGGCTGAGTTTGGACTCGCGTATAGTTGCAGCCTCTAGGGCTTCTTGGCCACAAGTCAACATTGAGTCAACACTGATAGATCTTCACGCCAAGACGAAACGATCGCTGAAAATTCAAAATGTTCATGATAAGCGTCCAAAGGTGGCAAGTTAAACAAACTCAATCGGCTACTAGGCGCAGCATTGAAGTTTGAAAAAGACCAAAAAGTGGCCAAAGCAGCGCGATTATGCAGGCAGCCACATGCCTAGCTGATGGCAGTGGCGCCGATATCCATATGCCAAAGTGTATTCCGTAGACCTGAGCATCTTAGCTACAACTCTATTATCGGCAGAATTCGGACTATTGTTTCAAGAATCAAGCACGATCCATGGGCATGTCAAATTCCTTAACTAGGTAGCAGGGAATCACTGCCAAAGTGAAACGAAAGCGAGAGCGAGATCTACAGACTTACTGGAAGAATAGGCAAACCACGTCAAACTTCAAAATTTCTCATTAATATTGACTTCAATTATCAATACGTAAGTATGCCATATCTTAAACTTTTACTAACACTATAATAAATGGCAAGTATATGTATGGTGGGTCGAGTGATATCCAACTGCTAAGTGAGCTGTACTAATGAAATGCGTTATCCATACGTACTTCGCCACTTTTACAGTGGCACACGTGCAAGCTCACAGCAGATCAATGTAAAGGGAGTGCCAGCCCCATTGCCAGCCATTGCCAGCCATTAGTTGTACCCTCGGATAATCGTTGTGGGGCTATGATCCAGTCGAGACTAGCGCATATTTGACCGAAAACGCGTGCTCCGAATCCACTGTCCAACTAGCGATTGACAGGAACACGGACTGTTTCAGATACGGGGCTAATCTCCAAGCGTACGGGACCGACCGAAATTATACTTATCCGAACCATATCCTCATTTGTCGTAGTAAGAATTTAAGAGAGAAGAATGGGGAGATGATAGGGTGGAATATATGGGGTCTATCCACTTGAGGCGTTGCTAATAGCTTAGTGCATCCTTAGTCACCCTTAACCATCCCCGTACCCGGTATAGACTTCGACTTTTGTCAATATACCAGTGTGTTACTTTTTTCATTTAATGAAAACCTGAGGTTATACCACTTTATCTGGCCAGAATAATGGAACCTTTGGAGATAGGCAGAAAAAGATAACATGGCTTCCAAGGTTGCACATGTGATCTACGAGACTAAAGACTTAGTTTTCCTTCCAATGGATCTAGTCAGGAACTAACTCGCAAGCGCTTCATAATTCCGCTGGAAAAAAGGAAAGAAAAAAAAAAGGAAGGGAATGCCGTGGAGAAAGAGAAAAAAGCCGCTTCTCGACCTTCGAAGCCTAGTTCCGGCTTTGTTGTCTAGCTCCGACTTTACCTTTCCTCTACATCTCCGTAAGAGAGTGGGGGAGAATGAGAGATGAGCGAGGGCTAATTTATCCAAATCTGTGCCGATACCCGTTCATAGTCATTTCCGGACCATATTGTCGGGCTCATGGGGGATGGAGAAGGAGGCTTGAATCTACCCGGGAAATATCATGATCGAACCGAAGTACAAGAGTTACGGCTTATGTACTGTACTATGTATGGAGTAGCTACTCCGGACTCTCCGCAGTGACAAGGCGATGTACTAGTTTGTACCAGAGAATGAGACCTCGGGAGGAACATATGGAGAGATTGCATCATGCGATCGGTGAGACCCTAATACGCAAGGTCCTCCACATCCGTTGTCATTTCGAACCTTCCATTCATAGGTTATTTTTAGGTGGATATTCATTGGCTATCGTGGCACCATATGATAGATCCATCGCAATTAAACCAAACCCCTGCAGGGAACTATTCACCGTTATTTTGATAGTAACAGCTAGACTAAAACGTAATTGGTCAAGTGTCCCCCGATGCCGCAGAGCACGAAGTACAATTAGAATAAGGCGATGAAAGGGAATAGGAAAGAGGAAATAGGAAAGAGGAAATAGGAAAGAGGAAATAGGAAAGAGGAAATAGGAAAGAGGAAATAGGAAAGAGGAAATAGGAAAGAGGAAATAGGAAATAGGGAAGAGAAAAGAGAAAAGAAGGGAACGAGCAGGGAACGAGAAGGGACAAAAAGAAGAAAATAGACATTAGTTGAATATTCACTGATTGTAATGAGTATATTTCCTTTTACTCATAGACTTGACCAGTCCAGACTACGAGTGTTAGTGGCGTCGCCACCCCGGTTAATTCCTGCATGAAAGGCAAGCTTTCTGCGAACTGGTTATGGGACACTTGGACCCTTGCAGTAAGCTCTGGATGTATCAACTTTTGTTTACCCTCGAGGTCTTTAGATTAAAAACGATGATTTGCAACGGTTGCCAAGCTAGATAGATCCAGTAGACAGCAAACAGTCAACAGCAAACAGTCAACAGCAAATAGTCAACAGCAGATAGTCAACAGCAGATAGTCAACAGCAAATAGTCAACAGCAAACAGTAAACAGCGCAGTAGACAGCGTGTAAAACAGCGTGTACTCTATACCGAATACTGGGATCCATCCAGAACTGCATTGGCCATGGACACGAACGCACTCCTTTCACCGTCATCTGGACGGATAGAGACGTGAGATGATCGCCGACGTTCTTGCGCAAGCTCCGAGGCAACGGGAAGTTCACTAACAAGCTGATTCGCTCTACTTCGTATAGTGTTCTCCGCCGTCATGATCCTCATCTCCAGTCTCCATCTAATGAAAACTGACTAGAAGAAGACTAAACAAACTAGAAGGAGGTAGATTATTGATAGGCAGACCGTCTAGACCCAGCGGGGAGATTGTGAGAGACTCCATCTGGGCCTTTGAGTAGCTCATATGGAGTAAGAGGGAGCCGGAATCCGGACAAGCAGCCGCCCGTCTCTCCCCGTCCGGAGCGGGTACGCTAGATCTTCTTAGAACCAGTCCTCTTTTGTTCCAATTTAGTATATTATTTAGTCATGATGACTACAGTTAGTATAGTATTTTTGTCGTTCTTCGTGCCGACCTAGAAGGTTACTCATGACTTCCATAGATCCTCTAGGGGATTAGTTGAGCCCACCACCTAGTTATGGACTATGGAGTATCTTCGATAGTGTTGCTCTGCTATTCCCGAGTATGGGGTCATTGGAAAGTCTTATTTTTGATTTACTACTTAGCGAGTGTTATTTTTGTAATTAAGTGGGTTGTAAGCCTTAAACCATTCGGTGATAGATACTCCTCTCAGTTATAGTACCAAAGCCAAAATACATTGGCCACAATTTTGAGCTACAGTGTTTGTGCTTTAATTCGTGGGTAAAAAGAATGGAAGGAATGCAGTATTAAGTAAGAAAGAGCAACATCTAACCACTACCAAACAATATCAATTCGGGAATGAAAAAAGTCTAGGTACCATATCTCCGACGCAAGGAATGGAGGGGGAATCCTTCCTTCTCTTGGGCCTATGGGGAAATAAGATTCTCTCGGACTGCAAACTGACAGCTTTGCATGCATTGGCTTCCCATACACCCGGGAGACCTTCTAACCTAAGGAGGAAAGAAAAAGGAAGACGATGAAGCCGAGATCCCCTCCTTGGGGACCTTGGAAGGATTCTCCAATCCCGTACTCCCGGCAAGTGTCCACAATCACTCAGGTACGAGGAGGGGGGAGGGGGGAGAGGTGGAGTTCCTTGGTCACTTTGGTCCGAATTTGATTTCCTTCTCCCGTCTGTGCTTGCCCTCGGACGGACGGATATGATTGGTAGCGGAAGAATTGGAAGAATCCGACGCCCGCAGATAGAAAGGGAATGGTCAGTGAGGGTGGAGCGCCCTATCTTTAGAAGCGACCAATAGACATAGATCAACTACTGAAAGGAAGAGAAGGATTCCTATAGGGAACATTTGAGTGAGGAAGGAGTCGTCCGTACCGAGGTAGGACTAAGGACTCAGTTGTTTGCCTCTTATCTATGGAAGGCCAAGATTGAAACAGTGCAAGGAATAGGTTACACAGACCTTGCGTGGCGGTAGGTGCAATGATAGCATGGAACTCGTCTAAATCATGCGGTATAGCCTGATGGATCACAATGGTCAGCATGAATATGACAGCAAGCCTTGTGGTTCCCCCGGATCTACTGATCCGAAGCAATGTCATCACACCGCCCATGCATACGAAACACATCTCACACATCTCACATATCACTTTGCGACATGGGCTGCATGGTGTTGACCAATAAGATGTATCACAAGGCATTTACTTTAGAATCCAATGGACTTGGTGGCCTAAGTCAGTGGTGATAGGTTAGGTGGTGACTGAGGGAGTTAGGTTAGGGCAAGAACCCTCATACACAGCAACTAGCCTTGGAAGTAGATAATATGAAGTATTCAAATATAGAAATCGAATAGGAATAGAATAGAAATAGTAACAGAATCTATGCAGCCACTTACCTTGATTTCTCGGCTGCACTCCGCCAGGCCTGTACCTGCAGTAGGCCGCGTACTGGTAGAAGTTACAGGTATCTGAATTCCACTCTTACTCCCTTACTCTAACTATCCTCGTCATTGCTGAATCAGACAACGTATGTGGCAATGTAGATTAAGTCTTTGTGTTTACTCAGATACCTTAAGTTATAATCTAGTTAGGGTTAAGTACCTAATGACTATCGGACCGTACTCCAGTTAGATGAAATAGAATGGTGGCACGGCCATATCGCCGAGGAACATGACTTACCCGTTTCATATGATGCCAGCCCAAAAGTACGTAGGTACATGACTCCAGCCAATGCCGACAGTTTCATGATCGAGGGACGTGGTAGTACAGTCGCCACCGTTGATAGCCTTTCAAACAATACCAATCAAACAATATGGGGTTTATTTTTCAATTTAGTCTTAGCTGAAAGGTGTAGAGTCAGTATCAGTTACCAGACTCAACCAGAGCCACTGATACTACTGCCCACGATGATCTTGGTGAGATCCACGTCGATCGTTGGTTCTACACTGTAAAAATGACGGAAGACGGGATAAACGTGGGGCGTGAACACACTGTCTTCCTTCGTGTGTGCACACTATGTAATTAGCATTTAGAAAATAATAATTATAAAATTAAATAAAATATAAATTAAATTAAATAAAATAAAATAAAATAAATGCCACTGCCCCACTGTGTACTTAATGCTGACCTGATAAGAGGTGAAAATGATTGCCGCTGTCACCATTGCCCCTAGTCCAATCACTGATCACCTCGTGGCCACACCACGCAATGGCCTCATTTTTTAGTCTTTAGTACGAACTTGGTTCGCGTATACTACACCAACCATAGTGATATTTATTAATAACACAACACACACAAAGCTGAAATACTACATAGTAGCAGACTGTTATATTAGAGGGTATACTACTATTCTATTCTACTATTCTATTTGACTGCTATTTTAATTGCTATGTACTATCCCAGTTCTACTCGGAGTACAAGGATCCACTAGCTAACAGGTCACACTCCACAGTGTCTTTCCCAATCCCGCCCCAGACTGTGATACTTTACACCAAAAAGGAATTCTCCATTTCTATTTTATTCCCATTTTAATTCCCATTTTAATTTACTATTTTACTATTTTCCATTTTCCATTAAATTCTATTTTTTTTTTCTATTTTATTTCACCAAAAATTACAGTTTCCAGGCCCACACTGAGTACTGAACTGTAGAGGTTAGAAGATCACTTTTATCCACCGCTTGCACCCTTTCCTACTTCCTTTTTCTTTCATACTCCCAGCCCATATCGGCCCTGACTCTCTTTTATTTTTTATTTATATTTTTCTTCATTTTCATTTTCATTACCCAAGTCTCCACTAAGTCTGTTAGACTCTTTTGGGTAAGGGAGCTTTTTATCATCTTATTTCCAACTTATTCTCTCTTTACCTCTCTTGTCTATCCGGTCCCTGAAGAGGATCCTGTCCTTCCTTATATATCGACATATCGACTGAAACACGAGGCTTTCCGTCCTCAAATCTTTTTACCTCATTCTAAATACCCTTAATCATCCCTATTCTGGTCTATTCATTCTTTCTGCTTCGGCAAACAACTAAACACCATCGACCACATACTTGCAACATCAACTCTATACATCCCTAATACTCGAATCTATTACGATTCAACCCTTAACACACAGGTAAATCATACATATACCGAACGTGAAGTATTCATGGATCATTAGAAATTGACATTGAACATAGATTTTCCACAATGGACTCAACATACATGGCTCCGACTCCGGTCCACCCATCTTTCGCATACTACCAGGATGCAGCTTCACAACAGGCTCACTATGGCCAACAACCAGAGTTGTGGTATTCACAAATGGAGTACCAGCCTCGGGTCATGGAGCAACCAATCTACTCAGCTCAACCTCCCATGAACATGCACCACTTGGCCTTCCGTCACTCCCCCATGAACATGACTCCCATTGCTTCTCCTCAACCTTCGCAAATGAAGCCCTCCATCATTGTGCAGCAGGATTCTCCCTCCTTGATGCCTATTGATACTCGGTTTTTGGCCCACCACGAGATGTACGCTTTTCCTACAACACCGCCGCTGTCGTCATCTGGAGGCTCGATCAGCAGCCCTCCCTCCGTCAATGGTGCTCTACTTACCCCCATCAACGAGAGCTTCTTTGCCTTTGAGAAGGTCGAGGGTGTGAAGGAAGGTTGTGAGACTGGTGTCCACACCGAGATTCTGGCTAATCCTGAATGGTCGCGTTGCGATTCGCCTCCCATGACACCTGGTAAGTAAAATAAAATATACAATTGAGAGACGTCAAAAGTTCTTGCATGCAGATGGTTGCATAGAATCATGCAAGGAGTAAGAAAGATTAAAAAAAGGTCGAAATACTAACCTTGGAACAGTCTTCATCCACCCACCTTCTCTGGCTGCTAGCCAAGATCTTCTTTCTACTACATCTTGCCCATCACTTTCTCCTTCTCCTTCGCCTGTCCCGACTGAATTCCTCACTCAGCCTCAGTCTTTGACTGCTGAACCTTCAGGCCCTAACTACTGTGACCCTCGTCAGTTGACGGTGGAGCCTATGGTAAATGTCCCGACTCCTCAGGATCTGCCTCCTCTCCCCACTCTCGCCTGTGGAGAGGAGGTGTCTCATGCCGTGGTCAGCGCGTCTGTGACCCTGCCATTGAATGAGAACCCATCTCCTTCATTCAATTCTTCCAGCGAAGACCCTCTCAGCTCTCTCCCAGCCTTTGACAGCTTCTCGGATCTGGACTCGGATGACGAGCTCACCCGCCTGGTTGATTTCCACCCCGGCAGCAACGCCGTCTACGTAGGTGACAAGCGCCAGCGTGTGCAGCAGTATCTGCTCGAGGACGACGGATTCCTAAGCGAGCACAGCCTTGAGGATGACGACAACGATGTTTTCGTTCCCTCAGCTGCTCCCTCCTTCGAGTGGACCGAGTCTGCCCCGTCCCAGCCTGAGACAGAGGAGTATGTCGAGGAGATCAAGACCAAGAAGCGCAGCAGCCGCAAGTCTGCCCGCAAGAACTCCAGCTCCGACGACGAGACCTACAAGAAGTCTGTCTCCACGTGCCACTCCGAGTGCGCCTCTGACTCCACCGACTCTGAGCAAACTGCCCCCGTCTCCATCAACCGCCGAGGCCGCAAGCAGTCGCTGACTGAGGACCCTTCCAAGACCTTTGTCTGCACTCTCTGCTCGCGTCGCTTCCGCCGCCAAGAACACTTGAAGCGTCACTACCGCTCCCTGCACACTCAAGACAAGCCCTTCGAGTGCAACGAGTGTGGCAAGAAGTTCTCTCGCAGTGACAACCTTGCTCAACACGCTCGCACCCACGGCGGTGGCTCCATTGTCATGGGAATCCTTGACACAGCTGATTCAATGTACGATGAACAACATGACTCAAGTTCAATGAGTACTGTCATGTACGAGTCTGCATCATTGAGCTCAGAACGGCCTGCAAAGAAGCGCAAGCGTGACTTGTAAAGCTTTTTCATTTCTAAAAACGCTACAATAAGCTTGCGATGACATTTCTCATGAGACCAAGGAGCTTCCTACTTGCATATATAATCACATACATTATTCTTCGGCCGCGGTCATTGCCTCGACCGCGTCTTGATTGGGTTTGGCGTCCGGGCATTTACAAACTGGTGTCGGATATATTTTTTCATCGGTGTGCACAAAAATCAGGGGACAGTCGGGATTCCCCCTTGTGCAAATGCATTTTTCATTCTTATATTTTTCTTGCTCGACGAGAATCGGAGAAATACTCCAAAAATGCCTTAACGGAGGGCCGGTTTTTCATTTCGGGTTTGCTTCAATCGGAGTCCAGGCAGGACAAAAATGAAGAAGCAAAATAGAGCTGATGGCAAATCTCGAAATACGAGATTTTTGATGTTGATTTCCTTTTTTCCTTTGTCACTTATTTTCTTTTGTTTTTCATCTTTTTTCTCACCTTTTTTTTTATTATCGCTTTTAACATTCCACCTCTTCACTCGAAACTGGACCAACACGTTCGAGACCGACATAGTTCGGGTTTCTATTGGGCTTTTTTATTTTATTTCTCGACTTCGGTGTTCCCCCGTTGTTCTCTGTGAATTCTTTTAAACCTTCGATTCCCTTTCTGTTTCTCTGACCGTTTCGTTCAGCTGTTGTTTCTTGTCTATTTCGATGTAATACCGTTTCTTTTTTTTTTCACACCTTTCTTCCTCGCTAGTCATCCTTTCTGCCCTTCTGCTTCTATGTGCTGGTCACAATTCGTGTATAAGCTACTTGTTGTCACTCATACCCCCTTCTTGTATTGCATTCATTGCCCTTATGTGTTGGCTCCAGGTCATATGGATCCAATGTGGATCTAGCAACATCAAATTACAAGCATAATTACTTTCTACCTATTACTGAAAACTGTAGAGCAATAACTAGGTACAAACCTTGAAAAATGTGATGTATAACGGCTTATACGCTATCGACTTCTCATAGTTGAGCCGGAAATCTCATCCTGTGAAGGTTGTCAAGTTTAGATGAAATGACCTAGGTACTGGATGAATTGAATCATATTCTCTAAAATTGCATTAGGCTGAGTCAATTCTACTTAATTTGTTTCCAGTTTCTAAATACTAAAGAGTCCTGAGCTGAATACTGTAGTTATCGGTTACTGTGTAGTCCGGCTTATCATATCAACATCGATAAGCAGTGGGGAGACAAAAAAAAAGGGCCCGCAGCACAACACCTTCAACAACATACAACCAACATGTCACAATCACAACAACCAGGACTAAACGTCATAGCCTTAATATCCGGTGGTAAAGATTCTCTCTACTCTATCCTACACTGCATCCACAACGGCCACAAAGTAGTCGCCCTAGCGAATCTCCACCCGCAAACAAGAAACTCATCGAATCCTTCCCAAGAAGATGAAGACATTGACAGTTTCATGTACCAAACAATCGGCCACAGCATAATTCCCCTCTATGAAGAAGCCCTCGGTATTCCTCTCTACCGTGCGGAAATTAAAGGTGGTGCTGTGGATACGGCCCGCATATATAGACATGACGCGGCAGACCAGGCCGCCGAGCTACCAAGTACCGAAGATGAATATGAAGACGAGACTGAATCTCTGGTTCCGTTGTTACGCCGTGTTATGAAGGCTCATCCTGATGCTAATGCTGTCTCTGCCGGCGCTATCCTGTCTACGTATCAGCGCACCCGTATCGAGAATGTCGCTGGGAGACTGGGTCTCATACCACTTGCCTGGCTATGGATGTATCCGTCGCTGCCGGCGCCTGTTGAGCGGGATGCAGATGTGATGGCTGTGATGCAGTCGGGGCTATTGGAGGATATGGCTGCTATCAGGTGTGATGCGAGGATCATCAAAGTCGCCTCTGGTGGGTTAGACGATGGGTTTTTGTGGGAGAATGTTTCTGGCGAGGGAAATGGCGGACGGGCGCTAAGGAGACGGGTTCTCAAGGCTATGAGTCGCTTTGCTGCGCCGGAGGATATTAAGGGCGCTGTGCTGGGTGAGGGTGGTGAGTATGAGACGTTGGCGTTGGATGGGCCTGCATTTTTGTGGAAGAAAAGAATTGAGATTTCGACTAGGGACACTGGGTCTGCGGAGGGTGGTGTTGCTTTTATGAAGCTGAAGGATGCTAGAGTCGTTCCGAAAGATCTTGAGGTTGCACCTCTCAGGCCGGCTGATGTGAGGAGGCCGATTTTGCTAGATGAGAAGTTCGTTGCTGCTTTGCACGACCTTCGATCAGTTTCTTCCAGTGCGATGGAGTCCAGATCTCATAAATCTACTGGGCCATCGCCTGATTGGTCTATCTGTGAGCCTCGTCATTGCCAATCTGAGAAGACATGGACAATCGCAAATATCGTTGCGCCTGAGGCTGGTCCTGGCGCTGGTGACCAGATGAATGCAATTGTCGACAAGGTGCGATTGGCCCTGGGGGCAAGTCCTCGTTCTACGGATGATATCGTTTTCGCTACAGTGTTGCTCCGATCGATGGGCGATTTCGCATTGATGAACAATGTCTACAATTCCTTATTCAAAAAGCCCAATCCCCCTGCTCGAGCGACTGTTGCATGTGGCGACGCACTCCCGTCTAATGTGAAGGTGATGGTCTCATTTGTGGTGGACAGAGGCGATCGAAACCATCGACAGGGCCTGCATGTGCAGTCCCGATCATACTGGGCCCCGGCGAACATTGGACCCTACTCACAAGCGATTTCCATCCCGATCCATGACCAAACCAGAGTGATCTATATTGCAGGCCAAATTCCTTTGGAACCGGCCTCCATGGAACTGGCTACCAATGAAAAATCTTGGCTCGAGAATTATTGTCTACGGGTCGTATTGGCCCTCCAGCATTTGTGGCGCATTGGCGAGGCCATGCAGGTGAACTGGTGGCTGGGCACTGTGGCATTTGTGACTGGTGGAGAGTACATTGAGACTCAAGCCCGGGTGGCGTGGTATCTGTGGAAGAAGATGCATTCTCGTCCGGAAAGCGCCGATGATGATGATGATGAGGGCCCACAGCTTGATGCATGGGATATCAAATATGGACGTCGGTCAGAGGAGCTAGTGCCTGAAGCTGTTTCCTCCACGTTGCCTAACTTTAATGTTCTGGACGAGGAAGCTTCGACTACCATACCACCATTCCTGGCGGTTCAGGTTGACGAGCTTCCCCGAGGTAGTGATATTGAATGGCAAGGTCTGGGAAGCCACTGTGAAGAGGCCAGACTGGAAAGTAGTGGCGAATGCGTTTCCACCACCACCGTTGGTAGATACAGCTATCTTTCTGTCGAGATTGAAGGCGATGATTCGCATGACCTGCAAGAAGGTCTTCGCTCGGTAATAACTAGTCATTGCCAAGGCCAGGGCGTGTCACAGATGGTGTTATACACCACGCAATCTGTACCGGAGGATCTCTGGATCGGACAGATTGTTCCATGTCGATCAGTATGGGGTATGGAAGGAAGACAACTAATAGCGGCAGTAGTTGTGCAGAAGGAAGTTGTATAGTTACATTTATTACTATGTGGATCAATACAAGTAAGGATGACGATGTTGCATACGCAAGAGAACCATGTGGTGTGCATGTGATAAGCAAAATCCCTTCCGTTTCCGCCCCGGTAAAAAACATCCTTCCAAGTCGACTGTTCTTTATATTGTTTCAATGTTTTGAAGGACTTCATTTCGCTGTTTTAATACCCTTTTATAATCTTTCTTACCTTAATACTCCCTCCATACCCTTATTCGCTCCTCCATCAGGGATGACGTACTCATTAGTTTCAACATGAGAACACCGCGGGGCCAGGGGGAACAGAAACAGACCGAGCTCGAGCTCCCGCACGGCAATACGTCTGCCAACAGCCTTGATGAGACCATGACCAATGATCTACGAAACTTCAATCGCTCTCCCCATCCCTACCACCGAAGCCGACACCCCGTCTCACGAACGCCATCGGAGCAAGGCGATCGCCTCCAGCCCCAGGCCCATAACTCAAAGTCCCCGCGCACGCCTAGTGATAGTGGCACGGAAGCGGACGATGAGAGCACGGGGATTTTAAGAGGTCTGCCTGCGCCGCCTATCCGGCCTCGAAAGGGACTGCGGTCTGGTGCGAATAGTACGAATGCGGCTGATTCTGATGCCTGGCTACCTTCGCTGCAGCCATGGCCATCATTCGTGCGGACTACTCGAGGGTCACAGCGCAGCTCGGAGGAGGAAGCTGAGTGCGCCTTAAGTAAGACTTTACAGCTTCGGCGGAAGAGGCGGGTTGAAATCTTGCGGCGATTGCTGGAGACAGCGTTACTTTTATCAGTGGGTGCGGTGACGACGTTACAACCAGAGGCGCGCGAACGTGCATGGGCTTGGAGAAAAGGTATGGCGAACCCATGGAAGAGGAAGAAAAGAGGTGTTTGATTTGTCAGAAATTATATTGATTTTGTCTCTGCAGAGCTCGCCGCCCACGGCCTTTTGGTCATTGGCTTGTTTTCCGCATATCCCGTTCTTCTTCGTATCTCACAGAGTCGGAGTCTACTACGATTATGGCCTTCCAAGCGTCCCTTCTTCTCAATTCCAACCAGCTTCGACCCTGCTCCTCTCCTATATCCCGTTTTCATTCCAATTTTCGTCTCGCTCTCGTTGACGCACCACCGCGCGGCGTTTCTAATACCAAATATCATTCTCAGTCTCTCATCTCTCCCATCGCCAGTCATCCCCCTCCACCACTTGACGCATGGATTCAGTATTACCCACTGGATGGTGACGCTGGTGCCGGCGCTCGTCTCTGAGCACCTTTCTTTCGACACTACAATCCTCAAGCCTCTCACGCTCCGCGGATGTGATGCGGAATTGCTATTTCTTATTTTTCCTTTGCATCAAGCGTTGATACCCACTTTAGACTTTTTGTTGACGACCAGCATTCTCCCCGCGGAGCTACAACTCTTGACGACTGCCTTGATCAATTTGTACTTGTTTGCGAGCTCGCCCCAGGCTGAAATTCTGAAAGCTTTGCTATGGCTTGGTGGGCTTTGTATATTTGCTTCGTGCCGAAACATAATGCGATGGGAAGTTGCTTTGGCTCGCATTCCCAGTTGGAAATTCCGCCGCTCCATCAGTAACTCGCCATCTCCTCGCCAATTCCTGAATTTGATGGACCACCGATTGTGTCAGAAGCTGAGCAGAACTGGTGGTTCAGATGAGCCCAATTCGGACAGTGATGGTCCCGGTAGCGTACCCGTGTCGCGCAAGACCAGAACCACTCGAGAAATGCGTGGCGCAACGCAGCCCGTGTCCGCCATTGATAATATAACCACAGAAGAAGCTTTTGAGAAGTTTAGTCAAAAGGGCCATCGCCGCCGGCATACCATATCTACCTTTGACGATGCACTACAAGAAGAGAAGCGAATTCGAACTACGCCAAGTGGTCGCCGAAAGAAGTCGATGGGCCCGGACGTTGTGTCTTTCCTGTCGTTGACTGCAGTACAGGCGCAGGTTCGCAAGTGGCTGTACGCCTTTTACGTCTACGCCGTGTCACTGGCCATAATATTCGGCCCGATACGAAAGTACGTGGCTGAGAGGGCGCTGCAGGGACATGATCCATTCGGCTGGGCTGCAGGATATATGCTGGGCAATATATCCGCCTTTCGACTATGGGCGCTTATGTTGAGCCTCGAATATTGGGTTGATCTGCCGGCCCGGCCGGATGTGACCATGAACACCGCTTCTTGCGTGCTCGGCCGGATGGAACACCTGCGTCAGACCAGTTTTGGGCCCGCGAACTCTCGTCTTTTGATTGCGACATACTGTGTCGGTGTGTTGGTAACGGGCTTGGCCGTGGTATTCCACCTCAGCTCTGTGGTTGAGGTGGATACACGGCGCAAGGTGTTTCACGGTATGATGGTGCTTATGTTCCTGCCCACGATCTTTGTAGATCCGACATTTTGTGCTTTGGCTCTAGGATTAGTACTTTCTATTTTCCTTTTACTGGACCTCTTCCGAGCGTCTCAGCTTCCCCCCATATCACGTCCGTTGACATATTTCCTTGCCCCGTATGTCGATGGGCGGGACCACCGTGGTCCCGTGATCATCTCACACATCTTCCTGCTTATCGGGTGCTCTATTCCGCTCTGGCTATCACTATCTAACCTCGACCGCAATGACACTGGTCCTTGGATCGGTTGGGATGTTCCTGTGCGGGATGTCAGTATGGTTAGTGGCGTTATTTGTGTTGGGATGGGAGATGCAGCGGCTTCTCTAATCGGTCGTCGGTTTGGGCGGCTGAAATGGTTCTGGGGTGGTGGTAAGTCGCTTGAAGGCAGTGTTGCCTTTGCCGTGGCTGTCACCTGTGGATTACTAGCGGTTCGTGCCTGGCTGATAGTTGGGGGATGGGCTGTGGAATCAGCAGCCACCAAGGCGGACTACTCCACTCGATTCTGGCTTTTGACGATATGCAAGGCCATGTTAGCGGCTTGTGGGACTAGCGCCACTGAGGCAATCCTCACGGGATGTAATGATAACGTGTTGGTGCCAATAGTGTTGTGGCTGTTGGTACGGGGACTGGGTGTTTGACCTGGATCAGTAGTAAGCCCAGTGCTTGTTGTGTGTATAACCAAGGACATACCTGTATATATCTACGTTAGCTTTTCATAATGAATCGAGGTAGTATTCCAGGATTCGTGAGAGTGACGTGGTCCACCCTCGATAAGCTTCTTTTCCCTTATCGCAACCCGCACTGATCGTCGCCGATCTTCTTCTAGCTTATCGCGATTAATCGATAGGCACTAGTAGTCATCTGCATGGAAGCGACCCCTTTCCCTCTTTTCTTTTATTTTCTACATCTTCTTTTTTGCCTTCATCCATTTACCCTGTTAGATCTAGTCCATCTAATTAAACCTGATAAAATATCTGGTTTCCCTGGCCCCAAATCCAGTTGGACCCACGCCGCCCTGCTGACCGCTTTCCGTCACTCGTTATCGTTGGCGGTCACACCCCCTCACGGTCCTTGGATCCAGCGTTTCCGCCCTTTCAATCTATCACATCATCTGGATCGACCATTAGACACTCTCTTCTTCCCACTTTGAATTTACTCTTCCTGTCTTTCTCCCCTTACCCCATTACCATCTACCCTCTTATTCTAATCAACTTATTTCTTTTTCCTCCTCTCTATTCCTATTCCCTCGTCCAATACACCATCACTTCACCGCTTTCCATACATTTGGATTAACGAATCGAATACGCGTATCCTCCTACTCTTCCTACTCCTTCAACCCCTTTAACAATACACTCCCAAGTCGTTACTTACCTCTCATCACTTCTCACGCCTACTATTTAGGCCTTCCCAGTTGGCCTAATTACGTCGTTGTACTCTCCAACGCCTCCATACCAGCTCTTCTACCCTGATACCTACAACTTTCTCATTCATCCCGGCTCCCCTGATGGGCCTGTACCTGTGCTGGTTGCCTGCATTACTTCAGCGGTAGTTGTGGTTGAAGAGGTGTGGTTGGTTTTCCATCCTCCCTCAAAGTTTTGCGGTGAGGTACGGGTTGTGGTTGTCGTCGCTTTATCACCATCATGACGACGCAGCATACACGGAGGCCTAAGGAGCCTCCACGCTCTGAGATGTCTATCGGGCGCTACACACGACTAGATGAGATTGGTCGAGGGAGCTTCGCGACAGTCTACCAGGGTGTTCATACGGTGAGTCATCTGACGAGTCATATTTGCTTATCGCGTTCAAGGTCTTGCATGCTAATCATGTCCTGTTACAGAAATCCCGTGCTTTTGTCGCTATCAAGTCAGTAAACCTCTCCAAGCTCAATAAAAAATTGAAGGAAAACCTTTCCTCCGAAATCGATATCCTCAAGGGTCTCCACCATCCTCATATCGTCGCTCTCATCGACTGCCATGAGTCAACATCAAACATTCATCTGGTTATGGAGTACTGTGCTCTCGGCGACTTGTCATTCTTTATCAAGCGTCGAGAGAGCCTGGCCACACATCGCTTTACCAAAGACATGATTGCAAAATACCCTAACCCAACCGGTGGTGCCCTGAATGAAGTTGTTGTTCGACATTTCCTCAAGCAACTTTCTAGTGCATTGAAGTTCCTTCGGGATCGAAATCTCATACACCGGGATATCAAACCTCAGAATCTTTTACTTTGCCCGCCGGCTACCTCTTATCGGAGCGGGACACCTCCAGTGATTCCATACAAGGGCAGCGACAATTCATATGAACCGGTCACTGGCATAATGTCGTTGCCGATGCTCAAGATAGCAGATTTTGGCTTTGCTCGATCCCTCCCAGCCACCTCGCTGGCAGAAACATTGTGTGGCTCCCCACTTTACATGGCCCCTGAGATACTTCGATACGAAAAGTATGATGCCAAGGCTGACCTGTGGTCAGTTGGCACCGTGCTATATGAGATGGTCGTGGGACGACCTCCATTCCGTGCTTCCAACCATGTGGAACTTCTGCGGAAAATCGAGAAGGGCGAGGATCGAATTCGATTTCCCGACGAGAATCCTGCTTCTGAAGACATCAAGAAGCTGATTCGTGGTCTTTTGAAGCGAAACCCCGTGGAAAGACTGAATTTCCCGGAGTTCTTCAGCAATAATGTCATCACAGAGCAGATTCCTGGGTTGGTGGCTGACGATATACCTCAACCAGCTAGGCGGCTTTCTGCAGACCTTGCTCGCGGTCATACTCCTTACCAAACGGAGTCTCGATCGTCGCAGCCTGCGTCACTGGATTCCCGGGGTAGCAACTCCCCTCGTCTGCCAGAGCACAACCAGCAGCCTATGACATACCCCCCGCCGCACAGGCCATCCGCACATCGACAGAATTCTGGGAACTCACCTATTTCTTCAGCGATTCAGCGGGTAGTAAGTGAGAGCCGAGCTCATCGTCCAAGTGCAATCAGCAACAAGACAGCCCCCGGTCGACAGGAGCTTCAGGATCGCAGCCCTACCAAAATACGACACAGTCTCCCGGTTACATCGAAGCTGGCAGAACGCGCGAGTGCCCAGGAGGAACGCGACCGAGCCGCCCAAGATGTTGCCTTTGAAAGGGACTATGTAGTAGTTGAGAAGAAAGCGGTGGAAGTAAACGCATTTGCTGATGAATTAGCAAATAGTCCACGTATTCAAGGTGGTTTTTCTCGACAAGCCGGTGGTGTGTCTCGACGTGCGACTACGCTGGGATTGCCGACAGTTTCGTCTGGGAATTCCAAGGCCATGCAGGTTGTTTCCACTCGGTCGCGAGCAGACTCAACGGCACATCGGCCACATTCATATGAGCGACGATATGGACAAAGCCCGACGTCTGCGACATCGGCAATTTCCAAAGCGCTAAATATGGCCAGTGGTCGTCTGTTTGGATTCTCCCCACCATTAGCGGGTCTGACCAAGGGTGGACGGTCGCCACCGTTGGCCTACAACCCTTACCCGGCATATCATGCTCCTAACGCAAGCTTGTTGCTTATTGGTGATGGTACTAAGGGCTGCCCAGGCGATGAAGATTATCGGGCAGTCCAATTTATTGAAGAGTGTGCTACTCGCAGTGACGTTGTCTACGGATTTGCCGAAGTCAAATACAAACAGCTTATCCCATTGGCACCTTCAGCGCAACTCGATCCATCGACGAGGGCCAATGTATCAGGCGACGCTGATCCCGAGGCAATTGATGATGGGCTGACTATCGACGTTACCGTCATCTTGTCGGAGGAAGCATTGGTTCTGTACGTGAAAGCCTTAGCTCTATGTGCCAAGTCGATGGATATCGCAGGAGCCTGGTGGTCGCGAAAGTATGGAGATGATCCCTATAGTGACTCTCCAACAAGAAGCGATAGCTATGCCGGTACCAGAGTCAATCAAATTGTACAGTGGGTGCGAAGTCGATTCAACGAGGTTTTGGAGAAGGCGGAGTTTGTGCGCATGAAGCTCCTTGAGAGTCAAAAGCGACTGCCACCTGATCACCCGAGCCACCCTGACAATAGATCCGTCTTCTCTAACATTGCGACCTTTGGCTCGACCGATGTCATCGTCTCTCCCGGCGTTACGGCTGAGAGGTTAATGTACGATCGCGCACTCGAAATGACTCGATCTGCGGCCATCAATGAGTTGACTAGTGAAGATCTTACCGGATGCGAGATGACTTACATCACTGCCATTCGCATGTTGGAAGCAGTCCTTGAGGATGATGGGTCGCGATCCTCCCAGACAAGTTCAAGAACGGTGCCCGGCGACAGAGTATCGATGGAAACCCTAATTGGACAGGACCGGGAGGTTATCACGAAGAGTGAGTCCTGTTCATCTGACCTAAACCCCCCTCTGTGATTCCAATGCTAACTAATTGTTCTCTAGTGCTCTCCACTACGCGTGCCCGTGTCTCCTCTCTTCGAAAGAAACTGAATATTTTGTCGAAACGAACATCAGCACCCACGCCTACAACAGCTAGTGGTCGATTACCACCGTCTAACTTAGTCACTGGTGTCACACCACCTCGTTGATCGAGAGTCTCGACCTATTTTTACATCAATAGGCCTTTTTTCAATAAACCCCAAGGTTTATTCAGTTTATTCTACATAAGCCTGGAATTATCCTTCGTGTGAATCCTTTGCTCCGTTTTGATCCCCAAGGAGATACTAACATTTCTTCCTTCTTTCTGCTTTCCAACCTCATGTGCATGATCTCAATTCTTGTGTAAAGTTTCGTGCACTGCCATATATCCCTGCACTTGGGAGAGGAGTTTTTTCTTCTTATCTTCTTATCCTTTCCTCTATCTTCTTTGCTGACTATTTTTCATCTTTTTATTGGTTTCTGGCGTTCTAACTGGCATGGTACACAGAATGGACCTTTTCTTTTTGATGATTGTTGCGTTTTCTCAGAATTCAAAGCACGGATTAGGGAGTTAGGGACATGGCCATGGATGGAATGGAATTCCAAATTCATGCAGATTGATTGGACGAGAGGTGGTGATATCTACTACCTAGAGAATTGCATATTTTTCCACTCGAAGTTTCCTTAGATGGATACGTAGATATTCACCTGGTTTACCTAATAGACCCTTCATAAAGTTGATTGGAGACTGAATTCCTCGGATTCAAGGGTTAAACATAGATATCAAAAGGCATATTTCTGCCCGATCTACCAAGGTACAAAGGTACAAAGGTACAAAGGATAAATAGTACCAAATTCTGTCCATGGTTACCTATTCGGGCAGCGTTCATACAGTGATTACTTCGGCATATTATTGAGAGATACCTGGGTCCCTAGGTAGCATGTATTCTATTGTACTTTATTGCAGCAATCAATTTAAGCAAGCTTAGAGCTAGTCGACATATCATGCAGGTACTTCTTAAGAGATAAGAATCCCTGTACAAATGAGCATAAGTCCCCAAAGAGCAGACGCGAGTCTGTCTTTTGCTCACCGCTACATCTGGAGACACGATCGACAAGGCCCAAGCGATGACTCCAATTAAAGCTAGCTTGGCGAGATATGTTCCAACACTTTTATGGATGCCCATTCACGAGATATATCATGAGCCCCTCAAACTGGCTGGTAGTTTGTCTTGCAAGAAAGAGCAGACTACATAAGTAGAACTGCCCAACAGTCGTCTGCCGTGGAATCGGGACATGCGCTGAGTGAAACTTGCGTGAATGATGAAGGAAATTACTAGGGGGAAACCTTTTTCGCTATTAAAGGGAAACTTTTTTCGGGGAAACTTTTACCCAGCCCGATACTGACTAAGCATTCAAGTTACCGTCTGAATAGTCTCAAGACATATCTGAACCTCCCTTCTAATAGGTGATAGAATTAATCTTAGAATTGAGATAAAGGTTCTAGACATTAATTGACCCAAGACAATAGATTTCGATTGAGCTGGCGTTTTTATTTGAATAGAGGACTTAGAGTGTCCGGAATAGACTTCACTTCACTCTCTACCTCACTTTACTTCACTTCGTCTTTCTGTTAATATAATGCCTTCAGTATTGGGACTAGCCTAATACGGAGTAGGGGGTTCTCCAAGTAAGAGCTTCACCCTCTCTCACTTTCTGTTCTTTACTTAACTCTCAACATTCCAGATTTATGATTTATCGACAACACTTATTACACATCGACAACGCTCATTGCACATCGATATAACGCATATGGCTTACCTAGAATTCAAAAAGGCAGAAGATGCAGAGCTACCCCGCAATACCCTCGATGGGCATCATCTGGTGATAGAGCCACCTATATACCCAAGGTATCGCGTCACCGTTACTTTAAAAGCAAAGAGCATATCACCAATAATCGCCAATAATTGCCCTAACCGATTTCGATGTCCTCATCAATCTTCTCACCAGCCCCCTCACTATCGGAAACGCTCTCAGTTTCCTCACCTTCACCACCTCTCTTACAATCAGAGACGCTCTTGGTCCTGGACAAGTCAGTATGGTCGATAGTAGCCTCCCTAAGGCTTATAGCACTTAGATCGATGAGCAGCCTGCTCCAGAAACCTCGGATCAACTCCTATCAATAACAAATATCAGGAGGAGTAGGCTACTCCCACTCCTGATGCTATTGAGGACTAGCGAGATCGGCGGATGAATTCCTAGACAATCTAGACTTCAGTCTAGTCCCAGATTGAGTAGCTCAAAGCAAAGCTGAACAGTATAGTCAAGGCTACTCTAATAAAGCCTAGGAGGGATAAACGATCAACTATATCATGAGTAACTTAAATATCAAACAGAATCAAGGCTGCTCCCTAAATCAATCCTTAGTTTTCTGCTTTTGAGTTTATTTCGCCCATGAGCTCACCGCCTTGATTATCTCCTTCCAATTTATTTCCGATTGTCCTTGAGGCATTGAATCCCCAATAAACATTTTCATTGTTCTTGTATTACTAAATTTTTATACCCTGTAATTATTCAACTGGGACTATCTCCCTTTTTTCTCTTCTCCTTTGTTTTCTTCCCCATTGGGGGTTTTGAACGCCGATGCGCCGCTTCTCCACGCGAACCTTGCTTCGAGCAAAGCCACCGCTTCTCTCTGCCAGATCTCCCCACCCCCTCATCTCTATCTCCGCTCGCTCATCTCCGACTCCAAGATCGATCGCTCGTTTGAGTCCACGTTCTCTCCTTCACCAGAATTCGAAGCGATACTGCTCCTACCGCAGAATGTGCCACGCCCGACGTGAAGAGCTCTCAGGCTCGACCAACGTTCAAGGTCGTGAGGTCTTACCCACCAACGTGAAGCCGGTTCATTATGATTTGACTCTCGAGCCTAACTTTGAGAAATTCACCTATGATGGAACTGTTGTGATTGAGTATGTTTATTCTATATATCAAAAGCTATACTCAAGGTCAGAGATGATGCTAACAATAAGCTCTAAAGTCTCCAAGTCAAGGAAGACACCGATTTCATCTCCCTCAACTCCAACCAAATCGATATTCACAGCGCAACCGTACTGTCCAAGGACACAGTGGTAGAATCTAAGCCTGAAATATCTATCAATGAGGAAACTCAGGTTGCAACTGTCAGCTTCAAGCAGACTCTTGTAGCGGGGTCAGATGCTCAACTGAAGCTGACCTTCACCGGTATTTTGAACGATAACATGGCTGGCTTCTACCGTTCCTCTTACAAGACCAATGGCGAGACCAAGTACATTGCATCGACTCAGATGGAGCCTACCGATGCTCGTCGGGCATTCCCTTGCTTTGACGAGCCCGCCCTAAAGGCCAAGTTCACCGTCACTCTCGTTGCCGACAAGAGCATGACCTGCCTGAGCAACATGGACGTCGCTTCCGAGACTGATGTTCAAGGCGGAGCTAAGAAGGCTGTCAAGTTCAACACATCCCCGCTCATGTCAACCTACCTGATTGCCTTTATCGTCGGTCACCTCAACCACATCGAGACCAAGAATTTCCGCGTGCCCATCCGTGTCTATGCTACACCAGACCAAGATATTGAGCACGGCCGTTTCTCCCTTGAATTGGCTGCCAAGACCTTGGCTTTCTATGAAAAGGCCTTTGACAGCGACTTTCCGCTGCCGAAGATGGATATGGTGGCCGTGCCCGATTTTAGCGCCGGAGCCATGGAGAACTGGGGCCTGATTACCTACCGCATTGTCGATGTGCTGTTAGACGAGAAGACCAGCGGTGCTTCGCGCAAGGAACGTATTGCCGAGACTGTACAACACGAGTTGGCTCACCAGTGGTTCGGTAACCTGGTGACCATGGACTTCTGGGACGGCCTGTGGCTCAACGAGGGTTTCGCGACTTGGATGTCCTGGTACTCTTGCAATGTCTTCTACCCGGAGTGGAAGGTGTGGCAGACCTATGTCATCGACAACCTTCAGAGCGCTTTGTCGCTTGATTCGCTCCGTAGCAGTCACCCGATCGAGGTCCCCGTGAAGCGTGCCGATGAGATCAACCAGATCTTCGATGCCATCTCCTACTCTAAGGGCTCATCTGTTCTGCGTATGATTTCAAAGTACCTGGGAGAAGATGTGTTCCTGCAGGGTGTTCGCAACTACATTAAGAAGCACGCCTACGGAAACACCGAGACCGGTGACCTGTGGTCTGCTCTCGCTGATGCCAGCGGTAAGCCTGTTCAGTCGGTCATGGATATCTGGACGAAGAACATCGGTTTCCCCGTCGTCAGTGTGACTGAGAATGCGGCGTCATCCTCAATCAGCTTGAAGCAGAACCGCTTCTTGCGTACCGGCGATGTCCGTCCCGAGGAGGATCAGGTTCTCTACCCCTGCACTCTAGCTTTGCGCACCAAGAATGGCGTTGATGAGAACACCATGCTGACAGACCGCGAGCACGAGTTCAAGGTTCCTGACCTTGACTTCTTCAAGCTCAACGCTGATCACTCCGGTATTTACCGTACCAACTACACCCCGGAGCGCTTGACCAAGCTGGGCAAGGCTGCCCGTGACGGCCTGCTCACTGTTGAGGACCGTGCTGGTATGATCGCGGATTCGGGTGCCCTGGCCGCTTCAGGCTACCAGAAGACCTCAGGCCTGCTGTCACTTCTCCAAAGCTTCGACACCGAGTCAGAGTTTGTTGTATGGAACGAGATTCTCGCCCGCATCGGAACCCTGCGCGGCGCTTGGATCTTCGAAGACAGCAAGACCCAGGCTTCCCTCAAGGCCTTCCAGCGCTCGCTAGTCTCAGCCAAGGCCCACGAGCTTGGCTGGGAGTTCTCCGACAAGGACGACCACGTCCTGCAGCAGTTCAAGGCCCTGATGTTCGGCTCGGCCGGTATGGCCGAGGACCCCGTCGTCCTCAAGGCCGCACAGGACATGTTTGCCAAATTCGCTGCAGGCGACCACTCCGCCATCCACCCCAACATCCGCGGCAGCGTCTTCACCCTTGTTCTGAAGCACGGCGGTGCTAAGGAGTACGATATCATCCTAGACCGCTTCCGCCACGGCTCCACTTCCGACGAGAAGCTCACCGCGCTCCGCTGTCTTGGTACCGCCGAAGACCCGGCTCTCATCAAGCGCACCCTTGACTTGGCTATGGGTGATGAGGTCAAGAACCAGGATATATACATGCCCCTCGGCGGTCTTCGCAACCACGCTGCAGGCATCGAGGCCCGCTGGACCTGGCTGAAGACAAACTGGGACACCGTCTTCGAGCGTCTCCCTCCGTCCCTCGGCATGCTGGGCACAGTCGTCCAGCTCTCCACTGCAGCCTTCTGCACTGAGGCCCAGCTGAAGGATGTACAAGACTTCTTCGCCGCAAAGGATACAAAGGGCTTCGACCGTGCCGTTGAGCAGAGCCTCGACGCCATCCGTGCTAAGGTCAATTGGCTGAAGCGTGATCGTGAGGATGTCGAGACCTGGCTTGGTCAGAACCAGAGCAAGCTATGAGGAAGAAGTAACTCACCTTGCTTTTGGTACTTTCCGTCTCCTTTTCGGTTATTAAAATTCAGTTGCGATGACACACCGGCTGTCTTATCTTGCTTCCGCTGTCGGAGCTTTCTCGTTCTCCTCGCCTACACCTCCACTGCTCTTTATGTTATAGAAGATGAATGGAAAACCAGGTTGTTGAGCTCACCGATAGAAGTTCTGACTAGGGAAACATACATAGATATTAAGAGTCCCAAGTTGGTGTTTATTTCATGAGTTATATCAAAAATTCTTATTAGCACCACCTAGAAAAGAAAGGAACACCGTTCTTCACAACATGCAAAGAATTTGATTACTTGAAACATGGAATTGTTGATTGATTTAAAAGAAAATAGATTCACACAGGTCTAACCAAAAGAAATTGAATTTGGGAATATTTTTCTTCTTGCTTAAATTCGAATGCAGGCTCCGATTTGAATAGGAAGTCGCTCGATTCTTTTTCTTAGAATTATGATGAGGCAATATAGCCAGTGCAGAAGGTCTTAACCTGTTTAGTAGCTTGTCCAAGACAAAGGTTTCTTGAACGAAAGAAGTTAAATGATACTGTGAAAAAAAAAACAGCATGTAGAAGATGAAAGATGCCTATATAAGACATAGTGGAGGATGTTACAAACGAGGCCCTTTTGAAACAAGGCATTGAGGGGAATAACTCTAGTCATTCCTTATTTGTGCGCTGAGAAGAACTTATAAACTCGTTTAAAAGCCATTAGACCAAGGTAGAAGAAGTGAAGAGTGAGATAGCTCATAAGAGCAACATTCACAAGCGCGATATAAGTCAGATGAAAACTTTGAGAGTAAACTAAGATGGAGTTTCCCATCTTATTCGCAGCTCTATATCAGACGATGATCCAGTCATAAGACTAAGCATACAAAGTAAATTATCTCAGCAATACAAAACCTCCTCAACCTAGTCCAGCTGAAATACGTTTCCAAATACTGGGCGGAGCTTATCTATATTATCCTCGATTGCCCGAACCATCTCTTCCATCTGAAGCTGGCTACCGACCTATATATCCCGTGCAGTAAAAACTTTGATCCAGCAGCCCAGCAAATTAGGCCCCTGGAATCCCTTCCAATGTGCTATGTTTTAATTAGACAGTCAGATCCCTCTTGTCCATGGCGACACCAAATACTACTCAGATACTCAGGTACTCAGGCTATAGCGCTTATTGCTTATGCTAACTATATACGGACAGAGAACCAAGAGGGGATAAGAAGACTGAAGAAGGCAATTCTGGTCTACCTACTCTACCTAGTCTGAAGAAAGCTATCCTCAAAGCCAGTATTAAACATACAATGCCATTGACTGAGCCATCCAACCGCGTGGATGGCAGCAGCATTAGATGATATTACACAACAAGATCAAGAACACCGTCTGACGAGCTCGAGGAATGGCACAAGCAGAGATATTCAGTCGCGCCGTCCCTGCCTGCCTGCATTTCGCCATTCGCCATTGCCGGCAGAATATTCATCAGTCTTATTCTTCTCAAGGGGCCGTCTCGACTGGGCATCTTCGTGCTTTCTCAGCTCCTCGGGCAGTTTCGAGATGGGAGATCTGTCGATCATCTGTCGGAGATCGTACCTGGTAATAAAATTAGTTTACTTCTGGCCATAATGATTAAGAAAGGGAAGACATACAGCACAGCGCTATCCTCGCTGCTGAGGAATGTGATAGCGACACCCTTCTTGCCAGCACGACCGGTACGACCGATACGGTGAGTATAGGTCTCGATTGTTGAAGGCATGTTGAAGTTTATCACGAGGGAAACGTCAGGTACATCAATACCACGGCCGGCCACGTCAGTAGCGACCAGGACTTGGACTGATCCATTCCGAACGGAGGCTAGGGCGGCTTCACGCTCAGCCTGGGTCTTGGAACCGAAAAACTGGGCCACAGAAAACCCCTTTTCTTTGATAGTACTCGCAACTGTATTAACCATGCTCTTGACATTGACGAAAACAATGACCGGGGGGAAGAACTCTCCAGAACTGAGGATCTGATTAAGTCTTTTCTTTCGTGCTTCTTCGCCTTTGACAAACTCTACGCGTTGCTCAACAGTCTCCACTGCCTCACCGACACCACCGATGGTGATGATGGCTGGACTCTGTAAGTACTGGCGCGCAATACGCTCCATAGTCGGGTTCATGGTGGCTGTGTACATCATAGTTTGACGATAACGGGGTCCACCTCGGCGTCGTTGAATCGCGCGGTCTTCCGCTACACCCATGTCAGGCTTCAGATTAGAGGAAGGAATCGCATTCAGAATTGTGTTGACAGGTTCCTCGAAACCCATATCAATCATGCGGTCAGCTTCATCCATGATGACGTAGTTGCACTGGCTCAGAACCAACATACGGCGCTCAATAAGATCGACGAGACGACCAGGCGTGGCGATAATGATCTCTGCACCATTGCGCAGACTGTAAACCTGTTCTTCAATGGGTTTACCGCCGACGAGACTGACCACCGTGAATCCTAATGGGGTGCAAAACTTCCTGGCTTCAACTTCTATTTGTTGGGCCAACTCACGGGTTGGCGCTAGGACAAGAGAATAAGGTCCATCATTTATGCGTCCCTCGTCCATATCAAATCGTGGCATGTCCAGAATGTATACCAAGAGCGGAAGAAGGAATGATGCCGTTTTGCCAGAACCTGTCACAGCAACGCCGATGAGATCGTGAGACTGGAGGGCAATGGGAATAGCGGCGCGCTGAATGGGGGTTGGATCCTTGTATCCAACCCGATCCACGAGGTTAAGCAGCTGTTGAGGCAGACCACTCTCCTCCCATGAGCGCATCGGGGGAGGTACGTTATTACCCTTGGAAGCAATATTGAAGTCCTCCTTGAAGATACGCCAGTCGCGATCACGCATTTCATCCAGTCTCTTTTCACTCCAGTGCCTATTATCCAGGGTCTTCTTGTTGATTGCTTCAGTACGATGGTGGTACATGTCAATCATGAGCTTGGCACGCGCGGCGCCAGTTTCTGGGTCGTGTTGTCTTATGAACTCCGCAGACTTGCGCACCCGCTCCTCTTCAGCTTGATCTCCGAGCATATCCAGTGTCCCAGGACGCTGAATCGGATTGGGGTCATTGATAGCGCTGGTGTCATCGTCAGCATTCCAATCAAAATTAAATTTCTTGTGGTGGGAACCGCGGCTGCGTTTTTTCTTGGCTGAGAAAGTCGAGGTCCTCTCTGTGCCCATGTAACGCTCTTTGATAAGTGCTGCTTGTGCAAGCGCTTCCTCTGGTCCAATTTCGAAATTGACCTTCTTTTCCTGCACTTGCTTTGTTCGCCGTGCTTGCGCAATTTTTTCACGCTCACGTCTGGAAAGGGCCTGGAAATTAGAAAGAAAAAAAGTTAGCAGACTGAGATGCGCATTGGAGGTTGCGACTGTACGACAGAACTCGCCTTCTCAGCTACTTTTCCCCGTTCATGGTCCATGAGCATATAAGACGCCCGCATCTCTCCCCCACTCTTGGTACTTCCCCCCATGATTCGTGTTGGGACGGCGGTGGTACAGGTGGAGATGCAACCGACGAAAGTGCAGCTGACGGAAGTGCACCATCATCTACACTGGACAGAGATGGGATCAGATATGCGGGCTTAGGCGCTCGCTTCTTGCCTCCCCAGCCAGTCTTCTGCTTTTTGGGCCTTGGGGGCGTATCTTCAGGATAATCCTCTGGAGGAGGCGGAGGGACACCATCATCCGGGGGTGGTGGAGGAGGGATGAATTCAGGTGGAGGTGGGGGCGGCGGAGCACCTGACTCAGGAGGGGGAGGAGGGACATGAGAGGATGACCCAGTGAACGTAATGTCGTCCATGACTTTGTGAGATGAGGTGGGGTAGACAAGTTAGGACGAAAATTGGAAATTGCGCTCGTTGCGCAAAGTGCCGAAAGTGCCAAATGAGGTGGTGACCTTGTTACAATTAGTGTAAAGACATAAAAACAAGGCGTAGAGGGAAAAAATACCAAGCACAGAATGTGATGTTTTTAGCTGTCGTCACACACGATTCAGCAGGGCAGCTGGCAGCTGCCCGGATTGAGCTTGGAGGGGGGGGGGGAATAAAATGGGAATGGAAGGTTAGGGGCTGGAAGATATTATGGAGGATGAGAGGCGAGGGAAGAGAAAATAAAGGTAAACAAGGAAAAAATACGAAAAAGAACAAGTGACGCAAAGTGAAGACTAGATAGCTTATCTGATGTCGAGTCGTATAATCACGTGACATATTCTAAATCCATTTTCAACTACGGAGTACAGAATAAGAACAGAATACGGGATATCAATTGATAGGGCATGAAGATAAAGGGACTTTTCATTAAAAGTAAACTAAGGAAGCTTTCAAAGAATCCTCGCAAGCACTGCCTACCATGGTTAGGAGGGGAAAAAAGGGTGCCAACCTGCTACAAGAATCGCTGCAAAAGAGACACCACCGTTGGTGAAAACCGTCAGAGAAACAAAAGGGAGGGGGAAAGAACGATAACCTAATACTGAAGATTTGCCGAAGAAAGGGAAACTCCTTCAATTTGCTTGGCATGTGACGGGCCATAGAGCTTTTGGTCCAGGGCCATGTATTCTTTAGTAGCACCCTTGTCACCTCGCTCCAGGAGATACTTCATGTAAATTTGGACAAGTTCCACGTGAACATCGGGGTGGACAGTACTCTTAGACTCGAACTCAGACATGACCTCTTTAATCCGTTTGTAGTGGTCATGCTCAGTAGCAGCACTGGTGGGCTGCTCAATCTCGAACAGGAGATAGCTAGACCAAAAAGATCGGTTGTCCAGGTAGTACTGCTGATATGTCTGGAACACACCCCGAGCTTCATCGGGAGTTCCTTGGACTTTCCACAACAGTCGGGCCCATTCGGCAACTAGGATACCTTTGGTGGTCATAGCAGATTTGTCAGAATCGATCTGCTTCTTGTAGACCTGGACAGCAGCGTCCAGACCTGCATCACGGCGAGACATGTTGGCCAAAGAGTTGATTGTGTCGACATGGTCGGGCAAGTTGTCGAGCATGCTGTTATGCAGCTCAATGGCGAGATCGGTGCGATCGGCCATTTCCTCAGTATACGAGTACTGCAGGCGAATTTTGGGCTCAGAGATGGGAAGGAACACGGCACAAGCACGCTGATAGATGAATCTAGTATTGCTCTGCTTATCAAAGTGGCTTTCTTTGTCTTCTTGCGCAAGCATCCACCGGGCATACCGGAACCAAAACTTCTCATAACGAGCACATGTCACGAGGCATCGTTCGTAGAGAAACGTGGTCCGCTCGAAGACATTTTGACTCTCCTCGAAGTCCAGGTAGTTCCACCAGTTGGTCAACTCGCTTTCATCCAATTCAGTCACGTGGAAATAGGGGCGTTTGATTTCCGATTCAAAGGCCCAACGAATGTTTGTTTCGTTCTGGGTAGTCTGGAATGTTTCCAAATAGTAGTTGTCAATACGGAGTCTGAGTTCATGCTCAATTTGTGACTCCATAGCAGACTCTCCCAGCTTAACCGTAACCTCTGAGCGAAATTCGTCCAATTTTTCAGCCGCGACCAACTCAACCAAAGGACGGTTGGGAGACATGGAGCGGTAACGCTGAAAGTAACGAGTATATTGATGGCAAGGGATACGAATCAAACGAGCGAGAATTTCGAACACCTTGTCCGGGCACTCGTTGCGATCTTCGTACTCGATGTACTTATCCCAGAATGGGTGAGAGAGAAAGTCTGATCCACAGCTATCGGCGCCACGAGAAAAGATTCTGGTAAGGGCTCAAGTCAGTATAAATGGATAATTTGAGGGTAAATAATAGAGAGGAGGGGGGGGGGGGGGGGGGGGCTTGGTTTGGTTTGGATTGCATGGTAACCAATGCAATTCCTAAGATCGCAAAGCTGTAAGTTGATGAAGTTTATGGGGAGGATAGTGCTCTGGACATAAGATATCAGGGTTCTTAAAAGCTGTCCTTCGTGGTGCCCAGGAGTCTGACTGGAGGTGGGGACGAGAAACAGTCTAGATGTGTCATGAAGTAACTGTCTCTCACTTCATATGTCTCGGCACCACAAGAAGTTATCGGTAGTTGTTATAGGGATTGGGAATGGAAATCAGGTTATCAGCACTTACTCTCTGACTTCATCCACGACATGACAAGTTTGCACCTTGAAATCACAGTAGCTAGCCCAGAGATCAACAGATGTGGGGATGCTAGCTACACCCCGTTCGTAAATCTATTGGGCGAATGAGGCTATTAGTGACAAGATCAAACGATATCTGGATATCTGGAAAAAGGGCAGGAGAACTTTACCATGTCGGCAGACTCGGTGCCCGCAAATCCAAACTCGCGGTCGGCATACTTTTTCCAGTACACAAACATAAGAGGAAACTTGGTGAGGAGTCTATCATAGACGTTTCGAACCATCTGAATGGCCTGCGGGTGAGAATTGCGAGTGACGCCACCGTCGACTGCTTCTGTTGTGTTCAACAACCTCTCCCAAATTTCAAAGTTGTCTGGGTCTTGCGACTGAAGAAAGAAGAACATGTGAGAAATTAACCGTCCAGCAGCACGTGGGACCGTGCGGTATTCATTCATTGTGGGATCTCACCAATTCAATTTCAAGAGCTTTAAGCTCCGCATTCTCCTGGTCAGTTCCACCAGTGTGTTGGTCGACTGGATTTTGGGGGGAACTGATTTCATTTGGGTGAGAGAATTCCCATGTATCTCCTGGGTGAGAGGATTCCCATAGATCTCCTGCAATTTCTGCCATTTTGATAGTAAGTTTGAAAGAAAAAGAATGGTGATAAAAGGAGTGGGAAATAGATGATGGAAGGTGGGAGGTGTGGGAAGTGGAAGGTAAAGGTGAATGATGAGAACAAAGATGATGAAAGTTATTGCCTGAGGCAACGATATCAACCTAATTTAGACTAGTGTCATCTACAACTTTTATCGCCAAATCCCAATCATCCCGAGTTTCTTCACAGCTACCATTGACCTCTGTTTTGCCATCATGGCATCTGTTTCAACAAATGTGGGCATGCTGCCTACCCGGCTTCGAAATTTCTTTGCTCGTTACCCACCTCAGATCTACTCGTCCCTAGTCGTACCTCGTCAACCCGCCCCGGAGGGTGAACCCGTCTCGGCCAACCAAACCCTTCCATCACCATATACCCCTGACCGTGAGGTAAAGGGTACTGTCAAAGAAGATACTGCCGCCTACTCTGTTTCAAAATCGATTTTGCACAACCCAAAATTCAGGAATCCCTTCTTGCCGCGAAAGGTCTTTACTACTGGCAAGTGGCAGGGTCCACGATATGGACTACGACAGCAGGCAGACCTGGTCAAACTGGCAAAGGAATACAATGTCGAGGCCTTACTGCCCCCGGGACCTAAGTCTACTGAATACAAGGAGGCTCGGTTAGCAGAGCGTGGTCTTCGCATTAAGGGAACTGGTATTGGCCAAAAGGTCAAGGGCCACAAGTGGGAGCGTACTATGGAGGCGAGACTCGAGGACCGTCGCAAGGCTATGACGGAGATGCCGGAGTTGATCAGATTGTGGAAGCAGGTAAGTTACCTGGCAATTACTATGCTGCACGTGCGATGGAGATGGAGACTAACTGTATCTTGCAGAGAGGTCACGGACGTGGATGGAGACAGTGGCCCAAGCGGTAAATGGCATATCTTTATCCATGCTCGTTTCGTCATTCCCTGGCAGTTTCCTAATTGGTGGACTCTTTCTATCTACGACGTTTTATCAGTCCTGTTTCCAATCCTACGAGGAAAGCATTTGTATGAACATTGCGAGTGTTTGGATGGGAGTTCTTTTCATATATTTTGTTTGATTTATGCGTCACCTCTACCCCCTCATCTTTATCTGTATTATAGGCAAGCGTGGACGCGGAGTCTGATTCTTCCTGGGAAAACGCTTACCAAAGGTCTATCTTTAGACCGCATAAAGCTACTCACCAGAGCAATTTACTTTTTTAAGGTTTCAAATCTACCTTTTACACGATGAAATATCCTCCGGCCTTATTCCGAAGCTGATCAAGGCCTCGGAAAAAGTATCCTCAGTAAGTTAAGTCAATTGTCCCCAAGTCAGTTGACGAAGGCATCATATCTTGACTTCGGAACCGAACGGGACCAATGGATACCAGCAATTATCCTTCATGCAGGGTATCTAGGTACTATACCAAGTTACATGGATCATGGCTGCCCAAGACCCCCCACTAATTATGATGGCTTGAAATACTGACAGGAAGTTGCGGAGTACTCGCAACCGTGAAACAATTATTGATTTTGATTTTGACTTTCCATCATTGCTTCTTGATGACAATCTCATTGTTCCAGAGAATTCTAGAATCTATTGGGCGTCGTCATTATCCCGATCACCGCGATTCTTTTACGATATATAATTCATAACGAGTAAGCTGACTGGGCCCATGAACCTAGTCAAGTGCAGATTGATTACCTGCAGCTGGATCGACTATTTCGACAGCTGAGAGTTCAGCCCATGCCAAATTACAGGGTGAGAATGTGATATATGCTGATATATTGCTTCCAGAGGGGAACCCTGGAAATTATGTGCTGGTTGGTGCATATCTTTGGCGCGTTCATTCGTATGGGCGGGGCTTCAATATTAGGTGCAGTTTCTTCATCGAATCTGGATTCGAGAATAGGCCATCCACCTAGATACTCCGCATCTCATGTAAGCTTTACGAATTAAACGGTATCATTCTGTAAGCCATGAACAATTCGTGATCATATACGACTCCGAGAAGCCATATCACGTGATCACAGGTACAATTAAGGGTCCGAATGAAAATGCGTATTTGGTATTATGTTTACTTGACCGCTTTCGGTTTAATATCTATTCTTCCTTGTACCTACCTTCCACCCCTCCTCAAAATATAATATACAAAAAAAACTATATGAAACAAAAACATACAACAGTCAGGATTCGCATGTGGTCACCCACCATACTACTAACTGACCGGCGTGTGGCTTAAGTACGGCTGAGCGGACGGGAAGCCCTGTTCTCCACACCCTGTGGTCGTATGTGGAAGAAGAGTCGAAAAGTAGAACTATATAGATTGAAAGATAGCAAGAAACATTGTAAAGGCCAGGTGAGATGTGCATAGATAATTATCTAACCATTATTCTAATTTCTGCCGCTTCAATACACTAATAACGCCATAAAACGACATGAAACGTGCTACGAGGATCATTTGCATGAGGGCCGTTATTTGATACCATATACAGCGGTTCGATCGCCACTGAAAAAGAGAAAGTCAGACATAGATAGAGGTGCATTAGTGGGTTCAAGAATCAAAATATAAGATCGATGGATTGCCCTAGTGTCGGTATATACTCTTCTCTACAATAAAAGACCCCCTTACCTAGATAGAAGGCAGAAAGCTGTTGAAATTGAGAACAACATTGACCGCTATCGGTAAGCTCCGATTATAGTTCCCCGCAAGTCATCCGCCTTATCATTCTTCCCTTTGACCCTTTTATATGTGGACATCATTGCACAAAGATGCTGCTATTCCTGGCTCTTGTCGAATATTTACCAAATTTATCTTTTATGATTGAGCCTAATATCTTCAATGAGTTGCAAACTAACCGACAATGTTAGTTTTATTATCTATCCTATTGGTCGCCACTTTCAAGTGGGCGCCGTGCAGCACCATCTGGAACTTGTTGAATAAGACATATCGCGCCTATATGAAGCCTGTGGCTTCTTTGCGGAATAATCCTGCCTCTACCTCTGTGGTAATCCCAGAATATTCATCCTCTTCATCATTGATGGGAGATGCTGAAAATGTCGAATTGCCACAGAGCGACTATGGCCGCGGCTATTCTGCCGATGTTGAAACTATTAGAGAACAGGAATATCCTTTGCTCAATGGTATTGATTACTCCCATAAAATACCAAAATAAATATATCTAATACTTACTCACATCTGTCTATAGAAACAACTTATCTTGATCATGCAGGCACTACTCCATATGCTAAGTCCATGATTGAGAATTTCTCGCGTGACATGACATCGAATCTTTTCGGAAATCCCCATTCTATGTCATTGTCATCGCAACTATCCACACAGAGGACTGATGATGTTCGGCTTCGGGTTCTACGGTTCTTTAATGCTGACCCAGAAGAGTTTGACCTTGTATTCGTGGCGAATGCTACTGCAGCCATCAAGCTCGTAGCTGACTCGATTCGGGACTCTGACCATCGTGGCTTTTGGTATAGCTATCATATAGATTCTCATACCAGCCTTGTCGGGGTACGTGAAGTGGCCGACATGGGCCATCAATGCTTCCAGAGCGATGCGGATGTGGACTCCTGGATCTCGGAGCTGGCTACAACACAGTCTAAAGCGCCACGGCTATTTGCCTTCCCGGGACAGTCTAATATGAATGGGCGCCGCCTTCCCCTTCGCTGGTGTAAACAGATCCGCGCTGTTGCAAATGAAACTGGCGGGAGCGTATATACATTACTCGATGCTGCTTCTCTTGTGGCAACATCTCCCCTTGATCTTACTTCAGCCGCGCCGGATTTTACAGCGCTGAGTTTCTATAAGATTTTTGGATTTCCTGACCTAGGTGGTTTGATCATTCGCAAAAGTGCTGCCCGGGTCTTCGAAAGGAGGAAGTATTTTGGTGGAGGTACTGTTGACATGGTCTTGGCTGACGGTGCCCAATGGCATGCTAAGAAGGAGACTTCAATCCACGAGCGCCTTGAAGATGGTACACTACCCTTCCATAATATAATCGCCCTTGATTCGGCCCTTGATATCCATAAACGTCTCTATGGCTCTATGGAAAATATCTCTGCACACACAGCATTCTTAGCCAAAGGGCTCTATGACCGACTATCTGTCTTAACCCATTGGAACGAGACGCGGGTCTGCGAAATCTATTCATCCAGTATAGGCTATGGTTCCTCCAAATTTCAGGGTCCGATATTAGCTTTTAATATCAGAAACAGCCGGGGGGAATTCGTCCCTAAAACTGAAGTGGAAAAGTTGGCAACTGTTCAGAATCTCCAAATACGAACAGGCTCAGTTTGTAACCCGGGTGGGACTGCATCTTCACTCGGGTGGGCGGGCGAAGAACTTCGTCGACATTACACCACAGGCCTGCGCTGTGGTGACGATCATGACATCCTTGGTGGACGACCAACGGGTATTCTGCGTGTAAGTCTCGGTGCAATGACCAACATAAAGGACATTGAATCTATAGTAGACTTCCTTGCCGAGTTTTATGTGGAGACGATCCCTCCTGTGGTCGCCGTTAATCCGCCAGTTACAGAAAATGATTCTGTGGGTCGCCATTTCTACATCGAAAGTCTTTCTGTCTTCCCGATCAAGAGCTGTGGAGCTTTTAAGATTCCGGAGGGTAAACGCTGGGAGGTGAAAAGAGAAGGTTTAGCTTGGGATCGAGAATGGTGTTTGATACATCAAGGAACTGGTGTGGCACTAAGCCAGAAAAGATATCCTCGAATGGCTCTTATTCGCCCCTCTATTGACCTCGATCGTGGAGTTCTCCGGATCACCTGTGGTATTCTCACAGACTCCGTGAGCCTTGAAATATCTTTAAGCTGGAACGAAACCAGTCTCATATCAACCTCTTTACGCCCCACCTCAAACAAGAAAACCACCGTCTGTGGAGATCAAGTGCCCCTACACGCCTATACATCACCAGTAGTGTCTGCATTCTTTTCCGACTTCCTTGGAGTGCCGTGCACTCTTGCTCGATTCTCTTTACAGAGTACCACTCGGTTTTCGCGGCCACGCCGAACATCGAGGGTCTGGAGAAACAAATTTCGCAAGTTTATCATGCCAGGCTCATACCCACCAGATCTACCCCCAGCTCTTCGTGATACCTGCCAGAAACCTCTTACACTATCCAACGAAATGCCCATACTAGTTGTCTCCCGCTCATCTGTCAATCGCCTCAATGAAACCATCAAAGGGGGCAAGAATGGCACAGGTGCCAGTCAAGCTGTGGCGGCTGATGTTTTTCGTGGAAACATTGTTGTCGCCGAGCGGCTGGTTAAAATTGGGGATGTAGAGGAACCATACGCCGAGGACCACTGGTCCTCCTTGCGATTAGGAACTGAGCAGCTTCGTATTGATATGACGGATGCATGTCAGCGCTGCCAGATGGTCTGCATCGACCAATTCACAGGCCAGCGACGTGAGGAACCCTTTTCAACACTGGCGAAGACGAGGAGCGTCGATGGTAAGATCAACTTTGGCAGATATGCTGCACTTTCCCGGGAGGAGATTGAGGGCTTGGTGTCGGATCCAGCTCATCGGACAATCATGGTGGGAGATGTGGTTGTGCCGACATATCAAGATGACTGAATATGCTCCGATGGAGATATCCTTTGTTATAAGTGGGTTGTAGTATTTGATAAACTGGGTATTCTGTTTGGTACTTAAACTGGGACGGTTTCATGGCGTGCATACATCGGGCCAGGTGTTTATTGGGTTGCAATGAGTTGTAAACTTTTCGGATTATTCAAAAATGGATGTGGTTATCCAGATATCTCCCGAAGTCTCAAATTTTGTTTGATACAGTAAGTACAGAGGTCTCCAATTAACCTTGGGCTTATTTTAAATATAGAAAAAGCCAAGACGATACATGAACTGCTAATATTGGCGCCTGCTCGTGTCCCACACTAGAGTTAGGTAAGATATAGGCTGGACATATCCCCTCCAATAATGTTGAGATGGACCAATTGGCCGTGATTTAAGCCCCTCATGGGATTGAATCAGTTCAGTGGCGTTGTCTTAGTCTCTGACTCTCGGCGTTAGTTTCGGTAAGCCTCGGATGTAGACTTGACACAGTAGAGAAACAGAAAGCATTTTTACTACACCCACAGGAGAGCTGTGAGTCTTTAGAAAGCTTTCAAACTGTAAACAAGACAAATCTAAAATGCCTTGAAAATCTAACTAGTTATTTGATTATTCAAAACTGAGCGAATGATGTAAGCAGAAAGATTTCCGGATCAGGACTAGCGTTATTCAAGTTCATTTGTGGCAGACCCGCATCTCAAGGTCGTAACTCTCTATTTCTCCCATTTTCAGCGGATTTTTGTTATTGAAAATCGCCAGTAGACAGCTCTAAGCATGGATTCTCCCACAGTCAACCCCTTCTGGGGACCTCAAACCTCCTATTTGAAGTATGTTTATACTAACAGCCTTCTCGGAGTGCATTATAGCTGACCCGATCTTAGCTTCTGTGAAGAGGTAAAGCACCCTATCTGTGACGATATTGAGGTTTGTTTGTGTGAAATATGACTTATAACTCATTTCTGAAGGACTATATCATCACTCGCTTCATCGCTGAGTTTATCAATACTTGTAGCAGCTTTGTTTACAGTGAGTTTGTGGGCATCGGAAACCCCGCGGATAGCGGTGAAAAGGAAATTAATCGATTGCAAACTGATATTCGCATGTAGTCTTCTTTGGAATCTATGGGCTGCTAGGTCTTCGCCATAAAAACAAGGCTGGCATGCGCTGGATCTCATACTATGGTTTGATCGGAGTCGGGGCCTGCTCTGGTGGTTACCATATGACTCTCAAATACCATACACAAATGTGTAAGTATTTCTCCTTTTACTGGGTTTTGAGGTCTAAACTAAGAGGCTATGTAGCGGATGAACTGTCGATGCATTTGCTCACAACGCCTCTACTGTTTCGAGTTCTCACATATAAGGCTACTCCACAGCATACTAAAATAGTTGGATCCATCCTTCTTACCATGTTCACCATTGTAATGGTTACTCACATGGTTATGGATGAATTCCTGCTTCATGCTGTTACCTTTGGGTTGGCAGCTCTCTTGATCACAACACGTACCACATCACTTATATCTCACGAGATCCCTGATCCAACCATCAAGAAGAAGTTCCGGATCATTGCGAATGTGGGACTCTGTAAGTATCCCCAAACAGTTTTTAATGAATAGATTACTTAAAATCTTCAGTCAGCTTCATCTTTGGTTATCTCATCTGGCTGGTTGACGGCTATGCCTGCGGAAGCCTTACTGACATTAAACACATGGTTGGCTTACCGCTTGGATTTCTCTTTGAGTTCCATGGATGGTAAGTTATTAAAGTATCTTGCTTAACTCGAGAGAAGCTTATTGACTCGAAAACAGGTGGCATTTCTTCACTGGAATCGGAGGCTACGCTGCAGTTTCCATCGTTGACCTTATTACAGCAGATGAGGTACATCAAGATCCTACATCACAGCTTGCCTGGCCTTTAGCCCCTGCAGCAAGAGCCGCTGATGCAATTTTTGGTTCTAAGGAAAAGGTCTAGACGGTTGAATGAGAAGAGAGTGAACAGTGAAACAGGAGGCAGAGTCTGGATTCACAGACGGTCTACCATATACCCATGGCGCAGTATCATTAATGATGGCAACTGTCATTGAAACTATAGCTTTCACTGCAATATAGTGAGCATTTAGAGCAATCCATGACATGGGGAATACCTGACCCCAGGGTGTTACCCGAAAGAAATCAAGAGCTACTTCTGATCTTGAAATTTTACCAGTAACCTTAGAGCCTGGTAGAGTTTAAAATTTGATATGCAGAGATCTTGGACAAACATCCAGGTTCTCAGCTTATTTTGTTCCCCAATAGTCTTTCAAAATCAACAAAAGTCTACAAAAGTCAGATAAAATAAAAGGATTCAGAATCTTTGTTCGGAGATATCTGACACAGTTTTCCGAAGTCTATATTAGGTCACTTAGCCCCGAGATCTGCACTAATACAACGGCGAGAGCTGTGAATAATAAATCAAAGGCTATTGAGATACACTTTGGAATTTTTGGTCTATTGAGCTTTTCTTTGAGAGGGTCGTGAGATGTTGAAGATAGTTTATATTGAAGAGACAAAGAAGACTCCTGCGTGAGTGGATATTATGGGCTAGTATTTACATTGCGTTGTGTTATTAAGCTAATTAGCTCTGCCCTACAGCTGATTACACCCCTTTGTTTGGGTCACTCTATGGGTCTACCTATATAAGACACTGTAATGAAGAAGCATTTATAGATATTCTAGCAGCCCTACGTACCAGATCACATAACTGCTTTGTGGTTCTTGAAACGCCTGATGCCCCTCTATAGTTCCCAAGTCCTATTTAAACACATCGCAATTGTCTGAGAGCTTAGAAGCGTCGAGAACAGAAAATTTATTATCAAGTTGATATGCAAGATGGAACTTGCTTGTATCAGAATCTTTCTTTCGCTTAGTCTATTCATAGCAGGTTTCCAAGCCCTCTTCACTCCCAACCTCTATGAATTATCTCCCAAATCCCCGACTGTGCAAACCGATTCGACACCAAGAGACAGCATTTGCACCACCCATACTATTGCAGCTGAAGAGAACTGCGTAGTCTTGGCCTTCTTTCTGCATATCACAATAGCAGACATTGAGAATTGGAACAAGGCTATGTTTGGATGGAAGGGCTGTGGGAATCTCTCCCAAGGTCAAATCATATGTCTAAGTGCTGGTGAACCTGCCATGCCTGTCGCACTTCCACAGGCAATCTGTGGTCCTCAAGTGCCTGGTACTGCGCGACCTAGCAATTACGCCTCTCTTGATACTCTCAATCCATGCCAAAGCAATGAATGCGTGGGTGTTCTAACACTGATAACCTTCTTACCAACTAAACTAACTATTTTGTAGTGTTCTTTATGGGGTCAATGTGGTACCACATCAGAGTTTTGTGAGTACACTAAGTGTATCTCAAATTGTAAAGCACTAGATTTGGTTGAAGGAGGTAAAGTCAAAGGAAGCGGAGACAAAAAACCAGCTACCACTACCACGAGCCTCGCCACGGAGATTACACACTTTGCGTGGACAAAACCAGCAGAATCTACATCCACTACAACGTCAGCGGAAGTATCAGCTCCCACATGGTCTATAACAATGTATGCCGATAAGGATTGCAATGCCAAAGGCGGCTACTACTATGTGGCAGGACACAACAAGAAGTTGGAAAGCCAGTGTCTGGTGATGAGTGGTGGAGACGTCAGCATGGAATTTGGCGACTCAGGTGTTGCTTGTGAATGGTTTCCAGATGGTGGCTTCACACCGACCAGCTGTGGTTCAAGTGACCTGGTGAAGCCCAAGTCATACTGGATTGATAAAGGACAATGCAACATGTACTCTGATACGAAGTGCTCTCAATTTTCTGGCACAGTTTATAATCCAAGTATAGGCTGCCAAGGCCCATACAGAACTCACTGGGGACCTTCTGAAGCAAAATCGATGATGTGCTCGATAAGTTGATTGGAGAGGGAGGGCATGGCGAGCTTTTTGTTTCCTTACACCTAGGTAGCGATTCAGCACGAACAGTGCTCCATTCTCAATGTTTTTATTTTTGCAATTACAAAGCTTATAAAAAGCCTCATATATATAGTACCTAAGATTGGCAGGTAGTCAAATAGGAAAAAGAATTGAACTTTGGATGCAGACCCCCCCCCCCGTGAACTAGGGCAAGGTCCGTAAACCTGTCCAAGTTTTATCTAATATAAGAGAATATCAGCATTCTCCTATTTTTGGGTTATTCGATATGTTTCCTGAGTCCCGTAAAATAATCTCTGCAATTTATTTATTTCCTTATAAACCAATCCGGATAAACCGGTGGGGAAGATTTGGTTTACCCCGCGGGGAAGTCGATTGACCAGATCTTTAGATGAACTGTTCCTTCTAAATGGCCCCTGAATTATCACAAATCTATCACAAAATGCGTGTCACAACCCATCCCCAAAATCCTCCAGCTTTGGGGGAACTTGCAGTTGTCATTCAGCAGGCACTTGAAGCCAACTTTGCCAGCGCAACTGTCAAGGTAGTGGAATGCCCCGACCTTCGACAGGCTCCTTTCAGCCTTGCTGCACCTGGTCTTTCGGGCAATCCATGTATAGCCGACATTGGTGGTCAATCCAACCTCTTCCCTTCACCTAATTTTGAGGCGAAGTATTCATTATTGTCCCTGGCCAAAGACATGCAAATGTCGCCCGCTGGGGGATCTTTGATAGGGGCTGGTGCTGGTCCATTTCAAGATATTGGTCGTAATTCTGAACTTGCACCGAACATCTCCTGGACAGCAAAAGCTCCGACATCAGACTTTGATGATGTCAACTCCTTGCAAGTTACAAATCAGACTTATGTTATACAAACCCGGGATGATGGTTCACCGTGTTGTGATAACACCCCGAGTACTAATTGTGCTCTCATGATGAACCTTTATGGATCAAATGGTGATACTGGACTAGTTCTCAAGGTAACTGCTCGTGCTCGAAGGGGTGATTTGAACTTCACAAACGCTATCCGCTTGGGACTGCATGATCACTATGGCGATAAAAGCCCAGTCAGCCTTGGTGGTGTCTTTCTCTTGAAATCTGGAAAGGCCAAGTTTCATATCATGCCTGATTTTCCTCCAAAAGATCAATTGCCATTTCAAGGTCGAGACCAGCTGGAGAATCAATGGCTCACGTATCATATCTTTCAAGCGCCAGTTGTGTGCTTGACAGTTATGCACAGTGCTGACCCGGAAGGACTAGGCCTACGAATGGAGCATACGCATTGTTTTGAGACAGGTGGAAATCACAAAGGTGGACATTACCATTATGATATTGAAGAGGAGGAGGTAGAGTATGAAGCTTACCTTCACCCGGCTTCCATTCTTTACAGAATTGATCAGCCAAACTAAGGGGCAGAAAATGTGTTTTGGTTTTTTCAGCAGCTTAGAACCTTGGGATATGATGCCAAATGAGAGAGCTCTTACCTATAAGATCACATTTGTCAGCGCGTGACAACTAACTATCCCCCCTTCTAGAGGTTGCACGCCCCGGGCGACTTATCCTATAGTTCTAAATAAAGGAGATGGAGTCCTAAGGAAACGAATCTCAGCAGTTTTCTCATAGAGTCGATTGCGATTCGTTGGGTCTTCGCATGGCCGATATTTTGAAATGTTGAGTTGGAGTTTCTTTGAAAGCAGCGGAGAGTTCCTTCGTTTATTGTTTGTTGTTCGATGTTTGAATGAAGTCTTTGAGGTATAAGAAGGAGAAAATCCCTATTTCGCCTTTGACCGTTCCAACTCATCTCTCTGCTTCTGCTTCAACATGAATCCTTTCGGTCCTCCACTACCTAGTCCCGCTCCTGATCCGAGAGATGATCTGGATCTGATCTGGCGTATCACGTATATGTCCTGCGCTAACTTCGTGGGAAGGGCGAAGAAAGCCTAGCGATAGGGTCGTATGGTTGATATCTAGTGTTTTTGGGGGTATGGCTGCTTGTAAAAGCTGCAACTTTTGTAAAGATAACAAGAAAGTTTGTTACGTGGTAAAAGTCTTCCTTGATACCCTCTGGATTAATTGCTAATTTTTTATGTTGTCGAACCCTCCTATGGGCATTATGGGGCTGACGACTGAACTTTTTATCCATCGCCGCCGTATACTTCTGAAACACTTCTTGCGGAAAAGCCTTGGAAATATCAAGCCCATTCTCTATATAATGTCCTTCAACCATCTTTCGAAACGCAACGATTAAGCCACCGGATGCTAGGTGGCATGCGCCCATCCAGGCATCCATGGAATGAAAACAGGAACAGTTCCAACGCTCCTTGCAGGTACGTTGACCCCTAGCATTTATGACTACTCTCACCACTCACCTGAGTTTTAATCTGTATTCTATTAATATGAGTATGTAACTGATAAATTAAAAATTCTAGTTTCCAAATTGCTAAAATTAGAATATAACTTGGAAGACTTTCAGCTTTCAAGAACACTGGGCCTGGTCTATCTAGATCATATATAAAGGAAGGCATCCCTTCAAGCACATCGAAGTTAGAGAAACAGCGATAGAGCGGAGTGACTACCTAGGTAGATTAGATCCTGCAAATAGTACAAAAAACACCCTCTAATTTGACATAGATTGTCGACTTTTAGGGGATTGGGTGACCAATCAGAATGTGTAAGAATGATTGATTAATCTAGTATACTGAAACTCTCAGGAACTGAACTAACTAGTGTGTAGTGGGCAGGCAGACAGGTGGCAGTGTGGCCTGACTAAGCAGGATGTGTATATAAGTGATATGTTTTAGAGATCAGACCATCAGACTTCTTCTCCTCTGAGCTTCTCCTAAGTCTCCTTCTTCGTCTCCCACTACCCCTCCGATCCCTGCGCCCATCTGGGGAGTATCTGGTTTCGCAGACCAATGCAATACGGTGGCCCCGTTCCCCATTCCACTAGTTAACTAGGATCAAAATGACATAAATACTGTGTAACTAAGGAAAACTGCCTCAGGCTGACATAGTTAAATGATCATGTGAAAGCGACATTGGATTATAATGAAATTTATGCTCACTGATCCGTGTTAAACTCTTAGTTTTACCTGGGTACAAAAAGCAAGCACTAAGCACTTCAACGGAAGAAGAAAGTGAGAGGAAACCAACTATATTACCTTGAAAGTAAGTCAAATATCTTAGACTGGTAACTAGTTGGAGTGGGTCATAATGAGTCATAATGTATCATAAAGTGAGGAAGGGGTATTAGGTGGTTGAAATAAGCCATTTAAGCTTGAAAAGCATACTCAATCCATCTACTTCCTCCTGAACCTTGGAACTCCCTTTATAAGTTATCGTCAACTTTGCCACAACTCTCAAATTAAAGTCACGAATCTATCTAAATTTCTAAAATGCCCGACCCCACTCCAGAAGAGTTCCTCACTGAACTACCTCCACTTCCAGAAGACGAGTTCTGCATATATGGCACTGTCTGGGCCTATCCCGAACACGCAGATGCCCTAGAAGAAGTCTATACCGAAACAACCCGTCTCGCACAGTCTGAGCCTGGCTCAGTATATTACTGTCTGACAAGAGATGAGGATGAGCCTCATATCTTCTACTTCTTCGAGCAGTATGCTGGGCGTCAGGCATTTGAAGACCATAATAATCAGCCTATTATCCAGAAGTTGATGGAGGATAAGTTCATTAGGGGTGTCAAGGCAAAATTTGGGAAACAGATCAAACCGAGGATACAGTAAGTAAATTCTATAGCCGTTTAGGGGATACCGAAATATGGAATGCTTACTCTTTTGGATAGATGATTGAAACATTGGAATATCTGGGCAAAGCAAAACCTCAATACGGATAGGAGTATTCCATGTACTACCTAAGTATCCATGAATTAACGCCGACTAAGTTATACCTAGGTTAGTCAGCCAAGAGAGGTCTAACTAGAGGTCGGAAAGCTCCGTTTCTTGTATAACGTTAGAAGTATAATATCATAATTTGGATACACTACATAAGCTGCCTAGAAGGAAGACATCAATCAGTTCCCCAGAGACCGACTCGATCTCCACATTTTCATCCAGTCGCCAAATCAAATCAAATATTCAGTATGGCATTAATCCATCCAACATGCAAGATCGTTCCATTGCATATAAATCATAGAGTTCATAAAAAGAGAATCAGAAAAAAAAAGAAGTGAACATCAATCAGCCAAGCATATCCTCAAACATAGCTCGGCCGCCGGCTAGAGCTACGGTGACGAGTATGGTGCGAGCTTGCAGAGTGACCACGACCACGGCCGTGATGGCTGCTATGGCTGCGTCTCCGGACGACAGTTTCCTTAACAACAACATCGCGCTGATGACGCGAATGCAAAAATAGAGCCAACAGCGCAGTGAAGAAGAAGAAGACAATTTCCATAATGCCAAGAGCAAACGAGGCCTTCAGCATTGCGCATGTCTTGTTGATTTCTAGGTGCAGGTTGTTGTCGATTCTCTGGCCGTACTCGCCAAATGGGCCGAGGGAGGTCCAGTAGATGCCGCCAGACCAGTTTGCGCAGTTTGCATTTGCGATGAATCCGAGCTCGTAGACTCCAGCGATGAATCCGCCCATGAAACACAAGTCCACGAAGGCGACGAAGATGGCTGAGCGCTTAGTTGATGAGTAGCGAATGAGGGTATCAAGGGCCCAGAAGACGGCTACTACACTGACTATGAATAGTACAAGGATGTAGGCGGGTGTGATCATGTTGTCTTTAACGAAGCCATTGACAAAGTAAGCCTGTGTGATGCCGAAGCGGTTTAGTAAATCCATGTGCGACTGGCACGTTCTGGTATGCGGGAAATAACGTACCAGCATGCCAATGATGGGAATCAGGAAAAAGATCTCCGCCATGCGGTTCAAGATGAAGAATAGACTGCCGATCATGGTGGCGGATATTTAGTTGTGGAGGGTTCAAAAGAGGGAATCGGGCTCGATCGCAAGAATGTGAGGAGTAATTGCCAACAGGACCAGATACGGTACAGAGTAGACGAAGTAACGGAAGTTGAGATACTGCTTGATTTCAGCTACAGCATCACGTGGGGAAACAAGAATAAGTAAGTTTACAGCCGTGACCCTGCACAGAGATGCAGGAGGAAATCAATATGAGTTTAAAAAGAAAAAGAAATAGACAAAGATTTGCGTTGCAAGATATGCCGGTACCGTCATCTTGCGCCGGCTGAGGGGGCTGGACGAGTCACAACACAGATTGTAGGTGGCTGGGGCAACCAGTCAAACGCGCCACGAGTCGCTGTTTTAGAATTGGTTGACAATTTTTTAGCAAAGGATGATCAGTAGGGGCCAAACCTGTTCACTTCTAATACTATGACTAGTTAACTATAATGTGATTGTTGATCTTTGTCCTAGAGTGTCCATGTTGGAGGGGCAACCATGTATAGAGTGGAGTTAATTTAGTGAAGCTGATTGGCTGTTGGGCCAATTAGTAGATTCGGCATTTCTATTTAAATAGTTGGAGATCTTCAGATGCAGGGACTCTGTTGATGCATAAAACCAATTCAGATGTAACGATATCATTCTTGTCAACGTTTGTTTCCTAGATATTTCCAGGTTTCCTATCCATGGAAAGTACACATCAGTTCATTCACGCCGCTGTTGGAATCGAAATCAGCGCATCAAAATAATACTAATTCTAATAATAAAAATAAAGTTAAAAGTCGCTGAATTACCATTAGACCACAGGTGCAGGATTATCGGTTAATGTCCGACCTTGGTATGTGGTGGCCCCCACAGGAGCAGGAGCCTGGGGATGATAGGTAGTGTCGGCGTTGTAAGGTGGATACTGGTTCATGGCAGGATTGCGCGCCGTCGTGTACCCCTGCTGCATTTCGAACGCGTCTCCAACATCGTCCTCGCTGGAAGACCAATTGCCGTCGGGGCTATGATCATGTGCGCGGCGGACATATGGGTTGCCAGAACTGCCATGTCTCGACCTTGTGACAGATTCATTGGGGGAAGGCTCTAATCGCTCCACCTCAGAATTATGAATCGCGGAGCTACTATCATTCAACGTCGTGAATCCGGCTGGCTCTGTACCCCAAGTACGAATTGGGTATGCGCGACCTTTGCGCCAGGCTTCAGAGAGAGGAGGGAAGTATTGGTGGTAGGAGACAATGGCACAGACGACGCCGAGTAGACTGCCGGTGATAACATCAAATGGGTGATGTCTTGCGTCCATAATGCGGGACACGGCAATCAATGCTGCTGCAAGGGTAGGCACCACGATCAGCAGAGTCTTCCAGCTCTCGCCTCGGCTGTCCATGACGTGAAATTTTCCACCCAGCCATAGGGAAGTATAGAAAAGACCGGCGAATGAGGCTGTTGAAAATTAGAATAGAGAATCAGTTTGATCGTTTCCAAACATATATGGAAGCGAAAGGCCAATTATGAACTCACAACTACTGTGACCTGTAGCAGCAAAAGTTAGCAAGATGTTCCCAGAGCGCGCAAGTATCAAGACGCAACGTACCAGACGGCCACGATCGAAACCCGTCCTTGATCAATTTTGCATCCCCAGTACAAATCGTCGAGTTTGACAATCCATACGGCAAGATATCCTCACTTCCAATGCGCGGCTGACACCGGTCAATCAGGTCCGGTCTCGGCTTACCGCACGCAGTTTTCAGCACCTGTGTAATAAGAAACGCGACTCCCTGAGAGAGCAATAGGCCCAATATACCACAGTTCATCTCCCACAGACGATCCTTCCACCGCCAGGGACCACGCAGCTTACGCTTTCCAGAAGCCGCGTCATGTTTGTGATGTGAGAAGAGACCATCGATGAAAAGTGTGTACACGATGATGAGGACAAGGGGGAAAACGCCAGAAATTAATAGGGCTTCTTCGATGGTAATTCGCTCTTTCACGGCATAGGGATATTGGATGGATATATTGCGAAGGGAGAAGTGTTGGTGGTAGGGTTCGAGGGAATCGAGGATCCAAAATCCGGCGATGCAGGCGCTGATTCGAGATTGTCAGTTGGACTGTAGGACTGCAGTTGAGGGAGCTTGACGATAGAAGGGCTGGACTCAGACTCACATCAGGATCACATAGTCGAAGATATAGCTGATTATGGTCAGACTGGGAGATCAATCAAGGGTCCAGAAGAGGCGATAACGCACGAGATCACAACACGCGGCCGAAGCTTTCGCTTTGTAAAGGGTAGTTTACTAGGAACCTCCATACTTCCTCATCGGTGTCTTCGAACAGTCAATGAGAGGGGAAAGAGAGAGAGATGAACAAGAAGAAGAAGAAGAAGAAAAATAGATTAGGCAGAAGAGACAAAGTATCAGACAGAGTGAGATAAGGTTTTCCAAGTTCGTTTCATCGCCAGGTAAACTTCGTGATTTCAAGAACTCGACTCGTCCAGTCCAGCTTCAGTGAAAGAAGAGCGCTAAAGTGCACGTCCTTCGCACGATTGTGGACGCCGATCATTCTTGACTTGATCTGCAAATGGTTTTCCCCCTGAGCGGGACTTCCACTGATTACTACAGTGATTAGGCATCATCGTTTTGACTGCTCTACTCAACTCCCACTCGTTACAAAAGAAATAAAAATGATATTAATACATCAGAAGAATAAGGCAATACTGTACAGGCCGCCCGAGTTAAATGACTATAACCACCGACATGATGCAATATCGTCCAGCTGTTTTACAGGATATTCTGAGATTATGGGCTACGAATTCAGCAGGTTGTGATGAACAGACCCAGGCTAAAATAAATGGTTAGTGAATGGTTGCGGATTATCAAACGAAAATTTTACTTACGGAGATGGGTTCCAGTCTTCGAACCAATGGAGGTTGGTGCTACCAACCGACTTCATCTCAAAGGCGATAGCGTCGCCAGCTGGGCATGAGAAGGTGGACACAACGTATGTGTTGCCCTCGGAGATAGTAATCTCACCGAGGTCCTCTGCGACCGACGGGCTCGTATTGTATGTGGTTGCCTGGGTGGAAACAGCAGACAGCTTGGAGAAGTCGATCTTTCCATCACCGCTGAAGGTATAACTGGAAGTCTCGAGGTCCTCCTTCAGGGGGAACATGAACAGCAAACTACAAGTCTTACCCTCGTCAGATTCTGGAATGTCAAAGTTGAAGATGGTCGAGACGGTCGAGCTGACAGTACCGAAGTACTGAGTTCCTGCGGCAGTATCAGGCGAAGAGGAGTTGATCGGGATTATCAGGTGAGGGTACTGATAGTTGCCTTCATAGGTGCTAGACAGAGTGGTCGCGCAGCTACTCGCTGAGGATGAAGAGGTGGTAGAAGAAGGGACGATGGTGGAACTGGCAGGGGCGCTGGAGGGAGCGATGTTGGCGCTGGTGGGCTGGGCACTGGCGCTGGAGTATTCAGGGGCACTATAGGTGCCGGAAGGCTGGTAGTTTGGGCTGCCAGAGGGAATTCCCGAGGGAGTAGAGGCACTGTAAGAGTCCGATGGGTAGGAGCCACTGCCAGTGGAAGCAGATGGCTGAGAGCTGGAGCCAGAGCCGGAACCACTAGCAGAAGCAGTCCAAGAGTTTGAGGGGTAAGAGCCACTGCCGGAACCGCTAGCAGAGGGAGCAGCCCAAGAGTCCGAGGGGTAAGAGCCACTGCCAGAACCGCTAGCAGAGGGAGCAGTCCAAGAGTCTGAGGGGTAAGAGCCACTGTCGGAACCGCTAGCAGAGGGAGCAGCCCAAGAGTCTGAGGGGTAAGAGCCACTGCCAGAACCGCTAGCAGAGGGAGCAGCCCAAGAGTCCGAGGGGTAAGAGCCACTGCCAGAACCGCTAGCAGAGGGAGCAGTCCAAGAGTCTGAGGGGTAAGAGCCACTGCCGGAACCGCTAGCAGAGGGAGCAGCCCAAGAGTCTGAGGGGTAAGAGCCACTGCCGGAAGAAGCAGATGGTTGCCATCCTGGGCCAGAGCCAGAATCAGAGCCACTAGAAGGATAAGCAGAGGGTTGCGAGCCTGAACCATAGCTAGCGCTAGGGGCGAAAAAGGGAGCAACGCTACTAGGGGAGCACTCATTAACTGTGATGGTCACAGTGACCGGTGCACAGGCGGGAGCCGAAGCACTGGAGCCCCAGCCAGGGAATCCAGATCCAGATCCAGAGTCAGAAGCAGGGCCAGAAGAGACAGAGGGAGCTGGAGCCCACGAAACAACGGGACTGACAGAGCTAGGGGCCGGGGCAGCAGACCAAGAAACAACGGAACTGACAGAGCTAGGGGCCGGGGCAGCAGACCAAGAAACAGCGGAACTGACAGAGCTAGGGGCCGGGGCAGCAGACCAAGAAACAACGCTGCTGTAACTGTAACCAGGAGTCGAAGACCAAGCAGCAGCACTGGCAGAAGATGAAGGAACCGCACTGGAGCTAGCACCAAAACCGGATGCAGCGCACGAATCAGCCGTCAACTCCACGTTCTTGCACATGGTAACGGATGTGCTGTTGGTAGTGTAGATGTTCCGGCCGCCTCTCTCGCCAGTTTCACAGGCAATGAAGTCCTCTGAGCCGCTAAATTCAATCTCACCCGATGATGAGATCGAGAAGCCAGGAGTTCCAGTGCTACCCTGGTCACATTGAAACTGGGTAGTCTCGGCTACATGCTATGTCAGCTACTTTGGAGTCCATTTGGTATTGACGAGAGACTAATTACTTACCGGTGATCACGCAGCCACGGCCGGCACCATCAGTGATATAACCGGCAGAGTTAATGCAGAATTGAGAAGCAGAAAGACTGTCATCACCGAGTCGAACCTGGCCGTCATCCAACTGGCCCAGGGTTCCTGAGAGGTCTCCAGAGGCAGTGATGTGGAAGCAGCAGCTCTCGCTACGACCAACGAGAGCATTGGTGCCAGCAGCAAAAGCTGCGAGGACATAAGTGCTCTTCATTATGAAAAGCAAGCGCAAGAAAATGAAGCTTATTAAAGAGAGAAAATGAAGCTTATTAAAGAAAGAAAGCAATGCTTAGTCTTTCTTTTCCTCTGGTCAGAGGAACAAGACGAAATACTTATAAGAAGCGGTGGATGGGAGCCACATAATTACGAATCAAGGTACGGACTATAACTATCAGCCAACAATTGCCAAGGCCATCTACGCTTCCGGTAAGAAAAAGAAAGAAAAAAGAATAAATTAGAAAATAAAAATAAAAATAAAAGTCTTTTCAGCCCTTGAGAATTGAGTATGGCCGCTCATCATTGGGTCCGAACCAGCCGAACAGTTATCCGCATCAACAGAGGAGACGTCATCTTGGAATAAGATCTGATCCTTGTGGTGTGGAGACGATTTCATCGTGGCTCCACGCAATGCAGCGGAGCTGGCTGTCAATGGATACCGTTGAGGCCACAGTGGATAGTTATAGCCCTATCATAATCTTGGGATGGCCATGCGTATGGTCTCCATACTGGTCTGGATCAACGACTCTCCGACTATTTCTGGTTTCCACGGGACTCTCTACACATGCAAGTACGGATATCTACGCGAAGATCGAACGGAAATGAGACTTGTTCCTGTGGTACATCCTATTCCGAAATTTGGATAAGTAATGATTGACAGGAAACCAACCTTGGAAGAAAGGTACTGGTACCAGTAGACTTTGGTTGAAAGGATATGCCCTGAAAATCCATCCGTACGAGCCAATGCTTCCAGAATGATCCTATAATAGTATCACTACTCAAACATAGTACTACCTACACACTTGATCAGAATTTCCAAAGGGCTAGACCAGGCCCTTGATCCCTGGTAGATCCCAAAGCTCCGCTCCTTCTTCCCTGTGATCCTGAGAAGTAGTGGAGTTAATACCAATGTGGTAGATATCACATCGATGTATGTGGACTGTGCAACGAAAAAGAGGGATGCACACAGCCTTCCACGGGGCATGAGGGTACGATGTCCATTAGTAAGGGTCCACAGAAATTTTAAGTCTTAGCCAGTCAGAATATCAAAGGATTGGCCGGATGGTGTGAAGCCATAAAACAATTCTTCAATTCTTGGTGGAGTCGATGGAGAATGGGGGTGACCAACGATATTGCCTGCTATTTATATTCATTTGGTCTGACCCAGGCGATTTGCCCAAGAATAAAAACTGGAATGACGCATCTAGTGATGATCGATATTTAAGAATATTAAAGATAATTCATGGAAGTGCAAAAGTTTAATAAAATAGTCAAGATCTAAATAAATGTTGAATAACTAGTTAACTACGGAGTTGTGAAGCAGGCTTAGTCATGATCTGTCGGGACGCGTGTCTACATATGTCATGTCATTCGATGAAGTGGAACATCTGTTCTCTATCTGCATTGATAGATCAATTGACAATCATCTGAACCAAGGTCTTGAATCTGAATTGATCAATGGGCTATGACCTGTCACCTCAGCGGCAGTTAGCATGCCACAGACATATTTCTCAAAATCTGACTGACTAATAGGTGGTGATGGCAAAGATGGTAACATTCCAAGATCCCCCAAACTGGAAAGTACTATTCAGTGGCATATCCCGCTAGTAAACTCCACGTCAAGCAGTACCAATACTAAAGTTAAACTGGACCTAGTGTTGATCGCGTTGATCGGTATACTGCCTAGTTCATAATTGACGTCATTAAGTACCCAGTTGATGGAGAATATTGAGAATAACGCCGATCATATAGTTGGAAACGGAGTCCACGGGTATGCCTTAGCTGCCTAAGTGTGTGCAGTTAGTAGCTTGAGAGCGTGGTTCATGTGCTGTCATCTCCATACATGGTCAGTTTGGATTTCTCCTCCAAGCCCTTTAACTTGATTCACTTTCCAAGGTTGAAGCTAAATATGGGAGAAGTTGGATTCATTTTCGCAGAGGTATCATCATTGTATCGTAACAGGCATTTACATAGGGAAGACGTGATGGAGAAATAGAGTCATCATAGTATGATCGCCGAGGTTCTATGCCAAGCACAAAGGAAGCCTAAGCGCATGCCTAGAAACACGATTAATAGATGAAAAAATATGGTCAGAGCTTGCACTCGGAAGTCAAAAGATCGTAGGGTCACAACTGCCAAGAGAAGTAAGGGATAAAGAACCCAAGGATTCGTCGCCAGTGGCGAGCAGGGGTGAAGGATAGAACCCATCTTGATCAGGAACAAGGACATCTGGAGCCCTGAGAAAGGTAGTACATGTGACCTCATGATATCAAGTATTGGGAAACGGCTAGGTGGGGGGAGGGAGGAGTTGCTGTGGGGGAGGTAGGGGTTGAGTGTCAAGAAGGCTTGGTCCGATCGGCGAGGTGGTCGGCGGGGCAGTATATGCCGGGCGAACGACAAGATCTCTATCTTTTGGAGTAGATCTCTCTTCGACTTCGAAGATTGGTTCTGGATGAGGAGGGGCGCCATCCTTTGAATCAATAAACTCGGAGTCATATTCTATGTCTTTGAAAGCGCCTGAGTTACGATGTGGGCTACGATGCGCACGATTCAAGTTCTTGCGTGGAGAGAGAGTGCGTTCAGTCTTTTTCAAAGGCTGGAATAGACCACCACTTGGCAAATCAGGGCCCGCGGAACTGGCTCTGAAGCGAAAGTTGTCAGCAGAATTGGGGCTGACCTGGATGCCGTTCAGCACCTCATCTGCTGTCGGTCTAGGACCGGGATTTACCGAGAGAAGTCGCTCTAGAAAGGTGTATAGCTTCTGCGGGAGATCGGGCCGTAGTGACCGCGCATTTTTAAATCCAGCCCATCGGGTGATCTCCTCACGCAGCTGATCTAAATCTTCTTTTTCTTCGTTGATGACGTTGGCATGGACATACGGTAGTCCTCCAAAACAAAGAAAATAAAGGATCATTCCCAATGAGAATATGTCAGATTTGAATGTGAAATTTCCAAATGGGCCACCTGGATAATCTTGTTGAAGAACCTCTGGAGCACAGTAGGAAATTGTTCCTGTTGCGCCAGTTGATTTGCGAATTGCATCTTGAGATTGGACTTCGCCAAAGTCGCTCACCAAGACACGGATACCGTCGCCGGTCATGTGAAGAAGACAGTTGTTCGGCTTCAGGTCTCGATGGATGTACCCATTGATATGCAGATGTCGCAGCCCAGAGGTGATGTCTCGAAAAAACGAGTAAATTTCATCCAATTGGAGCGTGCGAATGCCAAACGGCTCTTTAACTTCCTGCTCTCCTCTCGATTTACGGCGACGACGCTCCTTAAGTTCTTGTGCAGTAGTAGTAGTAGTAGTCGGTACAGCACCACAGATATACTCATGAAGATCACCAGCATTGCAGTACTGCTGCAAAATGAATGCACATGGCACACTGGGTCCAAATAGGCTAAGCTTGGCATTTTCGAGCCACACATGACGGTAAGATACCAAATTCTGGTGTGAAAGGTGTTGCAGTAGCTGGACTTCACCGAGTACCTTCTCTAGCCATTCGTGATCATCACCGACAGGCACTCGTTTGCAGGCATAGTGACCGAGGGAAACCCCATCCAGCATGTGTTTGACAAGCAAGACCACTCCTTTCCCCCCCTTTTCCTAAAATCCTTTCCTCAACAAAGAATTTCTTGAAATAGCCCTGGCTGAACGCTGCCGAGGAAATTCCTTGGGCATGTGCTGATCGAGGAAGCGATTCGGAACTTGGAGTTCGGGCATATGCAGCTTGAGGGAGTATACGCCGTGGAGAAGAAGGGCTGGGAGGTGAGGATGTAGAGCTTGGGAGACTGTTCTTGAGCATACGAAAGTAGTTGGGGTTAACGAATTCCCCGTCTAAGTCAGTTTCATTGCTGTGATGGCGACCTCTGTTTTTTCGCACAGGTTGGTGGCATAGCGGGCAGTTTGCCGGTTCAAAGTTTTCGTCTATGACATCGGCATCGAAATCAGAGTCGGAAGTATTTCGAAGGACTAGCTGCTGGGAGTCATGATCGAACACCACCACGGAGTCATTGTGCCGACTGTAGGATGTGACGGTTAGCGTTTAAATATGGAAACAACAAAATAAGAGGCAGAGGGCCTACCTACAGAACAACATCCAGGTGCCCTGCGTTGTAAGGAATCATAGACATGTCGTCCGACATGACTGGATGATCGTATCAATAAAATTCGTGATCAGTCTTATGCGTGAGGATAAGGCAATGGGATGACGAATGTATCCTATTCTGCCTAGGGCGGTGGAGAGGTCAACCCCACCTGTCAAGAAATAGCTAAAAAACTAACCAATTGCATTCTAGGTTACGGTGTCGGGCTCAAAATATTAAAAAAATAAACTTTTATTTGATTCATTTTTGAATCGGGGTATCTAAAAGGGCTGCTAAGCTGGCAGACCGAGCTCATAAGGAGCTGGGCTGAATACAGCTGTGGGGATCATGAGATCGTCAGCGCATTGGCATGGCACCGTTTGTCACATTGAAGCAGAGCTTAGGTGGTACCGGTATATGACCATGTTCTTCTCAAAGGCTTCCACTGAGGCGCACGAGTTAGCTGGTTGTGCATGTATGGTCTACTATGTCAATAGCCAATGCATTTCATCTAGAGATGAGAGTAGTGAAGGATTTGGTTTGATGATGTATCAAACCGAGCCTTCAGTCCTCCTCGCCACTCTCCACGTCGCTAATCTCCAGGTTTGCGATGGAACCATCGTCGTCGGAGTCATCCTCAAGTCCTTCAAATTGTTCATCTCCAGGCTTGGATTCAGACTCTGACTCTTCTTCCTCTTCATCGGCGCCCTCTGCGGTCTCATCGATCTTACGCTTCTTGCCCATCTCTCCGAGACGGCCTTCACGGCCTTCGATCTTTTCGGTCTTCTCTTCCTCGGCATCACCAATCTTAGGAGGAACAGTGAACCAAGGAATCTTGCCGCGCAGGAAGTCATTGATGACCATTTTGGCAACGCCGTCCAAATCAGGTTCACCACCCTTGATAAGCCGGCCACCCTTACGGGCGAGTCGACTCAGGAAATCAATGGCATCGGTGGGCTCCTTAATACCATATGTGCGCTCCAAGTGACGGGGCTGCACACGACGCATAACAGCAGGGATATACTGCTCAGGGTTATCAACATTCTCAACACGGCAAACACCACGAAGCAGGATGTCTGTCTCGGTGTCGTTCTGGTTGGGTGGAACCACACCAGGGCAGTCGATGAGGTAGATTCTCTTCATCAAAGTGACGTATTGCCACACCTTGGTCTCACCAGGGATGGGTGCAACAGTGCACACCTTCTTGGCCCGGAGAGTGTTGATGATAGAAGATTTGCCCGTGTTGGGGTAACCAATCAGACCCACAGAAATCTGCTTGCGATCAGAGTGCAGAGAGGAGAACTGGCGAAGAAGGGTGATCAAAGATCCCTTGCCGAAGGAGTTGGTAATAGAAGCATGCATTGCAAGAGTGGGGTAGTCCTTTGACAGACGACGAACCCATGAGGCCTGAAGAAGTATTGCATGTTAGTAAGTGGTCAACAAACAAACAAGATGATGTTTGAAAACAGGAATGTGTGGGATGTTACTAAGAGATCTGCTACGATGCCACCAAAAAGGCAGAAGCAGAGCTCAACTCAAAAACAAAACACGTCTGTCCCTTGCGACAAGCCCTCAAGACGAAGACCAGTCAACCTAGATTCAGAAAGAAGTTCGGTGCGGGACAGCGTTAATCTACCAAAGCTGTAACAGACTAGAATCCATTGAGAGAAATTTACGACATGAGTCGCAGGAAGAAGCCTTGACTTAGCGATGGAACGGCACAAAGGCCAAAACAGAACGAAAGCAAAAAACAAAAGCAAAGAGACAAAATGACAAGGGGGCAGGTGGATAGAAGTAATATGGGTATGAGGCAAACTTACAGCAACACCGGTTGGAACAAGATCGCACTTGTTCAACACAAAAACCAAATGCTTGTGAGGGGCTTCCTCGCGAATATACTTCTCAACACTTCGGCATCGAGTACCGATAGGATCACGAGCATCCAAAACATGAATCACGACATCGGAGGAGTCAATAACCTTGTAAAGCTCGTTCCAAATACGCTTGCTCTGGCCCTTGGAGAAAACAGACTCCCGGTTGGTAGGGAGGTTGACATCTTCGACATGACCAACATCACTGGCCACAATGGGAGTTCCATCGGCATGGACACCTTGATCATTTTTCTCAATATAAGAGTCGTGCAGCTTGACGGTTTCGCCAGCAAGATCTTCCAGAGAAGTGACACCTAGCTTAACACGCTTTCTTTGAGCTTTGGGGCCGAAAGTATCACCGAAGGGGTTGTTCTCAATAGCCATCTTGGCCTGATGTTGTTTGAGTCCGTTCACAGTATCACTTTGGTCACGGATCAAGCTCATTGGCAGCTTGTTTGTTTTCAGCAGAACCTGGTAAGGGTCCGCAGCACGCTCAGCGACAGCCTCACGGAAGGATGTGAGTGCCTCCTGTGAAATAACCCGAGTGTTACCGAACCATTTACGGTTTGGTTCGATACGAGCTACAGGGGCTTCACGAGATTGGAAAGAGGCAGCGATAGTGACCTTTCCTTGGGCGTTGCGACGAGCTTTGCCATCCTTGAACATATTCAAGTGCTTAATCTTCTTCGCATCACTGAATATAATGTCAGCAAGCTTGGCCTCCTAATTGTATTGACTGGAGGGTTTGTACGTACCGATAAAAGTTTTCACCTTTGGTTCTGACATTTTGCATGCCATCGTCAGTCTTCCCCTGCCGCACTTTACGTGTGGCCTCCTTCTTTCCGGTACCCATGGCTGGATAATTCCAATGGTAGATTGTTTAGAAAAATGTAATTTGGCCTTCAGAGAAATTTTCGTGGGCAGGACCAAACACAAGGAATGGCAGAGAGCGAAGCAAAGAAGGAGGAAAAAAAAAAAAAAAAGGGCAGTGCTTGGTCGGGTGCTTAGTCACCTGATTTTTGTGGCAGAAAAGCGTGAAAGCCTAATAGTCATGTCAGGTGACTAGAAATAAACTCACCGCCCATCTTCTTTCGAATGAGGACTTTTCCTTATCAAAGTACAACCTTCGAATCAATGAATCAAATGATTGAAATACTATTAAATCCATCCCAAGCTCTGACAGATTTAATAAAGCCACAAGTATATGGAAGGAATCTGGACGCTGAGCATGGATAACTAGTGTTTTTGAGATCAGTTTGCTTGCTACATTGTACATGTATTTAAGGTCTTATTTTAAGTATGTAAAATCAACTTATAATTTTAAATGGTCCACCAAAATATCAATTCATCAGGCTAGTTTACTTCTAAGTGAGTCGTTGCTATTTAAATACTTGTTCAGTTCAATGTATAGAGCGCCAAGAGAAACCACGTGCACGGACCAAGGGAAAATCGAGCAAGTTCTCTTCTCCGAACCAGCTACTTTTGCGGATCTCCTTTTGGATGTTAATTGCGGTCTACCTGGCCGATACGCCCTTCCATTGATATATTCATCCCATTCCTTGTCTATTGCCCTCATTGAAGTCAATTTCTCACCAGACTGAACGGGGTCAACTGTTGCAGAATGTCTGCCTTCCGCAACAGCCGGACTGCCCGAGTGCAGGTCCGCGGCTTCGCGACCTCTCCAAGTCTTCGAGTTGGGCCCGAATCACCTCACTTCATTGAAGTGCCACGCACAGTGCAGCCCACTAACCCCGGGAAACCCCGCGTCAAGGGTACACTTCCTGTGCCTCGTGAGCTATTCCCAGCCCGTCGCGCCGACAAGCCTCGCAAAGCATACCTTGATGCCGCTACACCAATGCCCGCTACCGAGCGGACAGTGAACCCAAAGAGCAGCAACCCCGAGAAGCAGGCCTTCAAGCTCAAGATGGCGGACGTGCGGCGACAAAACCTCCGGGATGGTCTCCGAGACTTATACAAGCGAAAACGCGAGGCTGAGGCAGTAATTCACAACCGAAGTTTCGAAAGCCAACGCCGCCGTGAGCAAATTCTCCAACAACCGCTGGCGGAGGACGAGCATCTTACCCGTTCGTCCGTCGTGGCCACTATGCGGCCTTCAAAGGGCTCAGCTCTTCAGGACCCGAACCGGGAACAACGTCTGGCTCTTTCGAAGGCGCGATTGGCGATGAAAAAAGCGGAGAAGGAGGCACAGCTACAGGATGATATTCATTCCCTGTACATGAACGCCCGTACCTTCATCACAACCGAGGAGCAGCTCAATGCTGAGATCGAAAAAGTGTTCCCCGATGGCGAAAACGAAGCCTGGCGCAACGACTATCAGAATGGTGAGAACATTTGGAACCTGGGCAACCCGCCTACCGTGCAGAGCATCGTCAATATGACCAAGAAGAGCGAGACTGCTCGCTGGGACGTTATTCAGGACCGTGTGAAGAAGCTGGGTGAGCAGATTACCGGAGGTAAGCTGTGATTTGTGTCTTCGCATCGTGTACAATATTGTTTCAATTTACAGCACGTGGATTCTGTGCATCTGTTTTACTATGAGCATTTTCAAAATATACAAAATATACTTGGCCTCATTTTGCTCCACCAATAAGTAAATGAACATGTCCGCCTGGGTAAAAAACCCTTTTCGTCTCGTCCCCTCACGTTTGATACTATATGAACTCCAATTCTTGTTTCTTTCATTGGTATTTTCTTCTTCATTCTTTAAGATCTACTTTGCTGGGAGGTTCTTGGCAGTCGATCTAGACAGTTGATCCATATTTGTTCCTCGCAACATCCAGCCCATCCTCCCCATCAACAAGTACGCACCATCCCTCATCACCCTCCCCTCCATCACCCGCAATCACCGTCTCAAAGTTACTATGCGCAAATGCCAAGACATCGTCGTCAAATGTACCGGGCTGTAGCCATACTGCAGTGATTCCAACCCTATGCGCCTCCTGTAGAATTTGTAGGGTTACTGGTGGGGGCGTCACTACCGACAATGAAGTATCAGTGGGCGAAGGTAGTCCGGCTGGCGACGGAACAGTAGTATACACCTTCGAGGGAAGAGAGATCTGTGCAGCCCGTGGATTGATTGGTGTCACTGATAGAGATTGTCCATGATACCATGCGAGGACTGGAGGATGGATATGAGCTAATTTCGACACATATTTCACATTTTAAGGCATGTCATACTCTTGTATCCAAACTTGTTAATATCGTTACTTGCGCCCGCCACGGCGTATTGAGGAGAAGAGAAGAAGCGCGCGATTACACCTTCCATGATGGGTAGAATGCCAGTGTGATAGAATTGAGAATTGTTTGAAAGTTGTTTAATCTTAATATTGTTCAACTTTACTATTTAAATAGTCATATCGATCACGTGGTTTGTAATGAGGTCAGACAACTCTAATTATCTATGGCTTAAGATTGTGAAGATCGAACTACTAATTTCAAATCATTAAATTTCACCTTACTTAAGCTTGTTATACAACTGTACTTTGTTGATTCGATGTTTCCAAGGTTGAGCTGACTTATAACCGGAATGTCTACAACTCCACTGGAGAGACTTCGACGATGATTTGCGACAATTTTCCAAAGAGCCGGAGAGATTTGAGCTCCTGGGCGAGCTCTATGTCTTGTGATATGGCGGCACGATCCTGTTATATATCAGCAGCTTGTCACTACATCCATTCTCAAGTGCCAAACTTACATCAAGGCTCGCCCATCCTATAATTCCCACAGTCGCTTCGTTGGCAAGATTCAAGCTCTTTCCATATGAAACAAAGCCTTTCCCCTCATATCTATCAGCGAGGATATGGGCAATGTCTTTCCAGGTCTTCTGCACAGTCGAGGCATCATCGGTATCCACAACGCTCACTCGGATAATTTCAACGACAGACATGGTAGCCACCTCATCTGGGCTGTGAGTCGTTTCAAATAGCTGAAGCGTTGGAGGACCTACTGCCAGAGACTTCATAGAGGCTTGAAAGGCAGCGAGTCGCTCGGAGTTCACAAAGGTATGAAAGGAGGCCTCATCAACCCATTCTATTTGAAGCCGTGTCAGTACACGCTAGCCTGGGATAGTCTTTTGAGGTTTGTCATTATGGTAACATACCGAGGATTTCAATTGGCTTGCTGTCCGTTCGCACGTCAGTTTCGTCTTCGTGAACTATGCGGCCGCTATATGCATTGACGAAACCCGGGGTATGTTTGAAGACGCTCTTTCTGATCTTGGGACCGTCTCGTTTGAGTGTTTCGACTGACTCTTCGTCGGTCTTGAATTTTGGGAAGACCAGCTCGGTGATGGCCATGATCAAAATCTAATCTCAAGGGCGAATATTTTTCTAGATATCCAGCTGGTCATTGAATGGATTAATACCCAAATAATATAATTCAGAGATAAAATTCATGGGTCTTTTATATTTCTATGATCTTTAGTTGGAGCCCAATTTAAATCAGTCAATTTTAATTATCTGGGTAAGAATGCTTAGACGAGAAAATAATTGCGGACTTGCGGATATTGGTCTCTATACTTCCCATTTGGGAGCCGAAAGCTGACAGCGGAATTTGCGGAGTCTCTGCGGAGTTCATTGAACCCTTCTACCAGAACTACCTCTAACGTAAACATCAACATGCCTCCAGCTCTCCGCTCAAGACAGAAATCATGCATTGCGTGTGCCGAGGGCAAGCGGCGTTGCAATCGTCAAACTCCGCAATGCTCCCGATGCCTTAATCGCGGGGTTCAATGTCAATACGTCAACAAGGCGGTCCCAGCCAACGAACCCCAAATAATTACCAACCACACAGGATCGGAGTCTCTTAGCTTCATTTTTGACTATGACGAAACAACACTATCTTCTGATGCATTAAATCCATCGTTGTTTGAAAGCGAGAGCTCCGACTCGTGGCTCACCATCAGCCCTACCCTGCTAACACTTCCAACCTTACGGCCTTTCCGCTCATGCCCTGAAGTTATCGTCTTGGACAATTGGTCTATGAGAGAGCTTCTACGCAGCATCAGGAGCTTTCCTCAGATGTTTGCTCAGCATCGACGAACTCCGTTTATCCATGCTCGTCTGTATGACTCATATCTCCCTGATGCCATCCAAGATGCCTTCACTGCATCAGCATCATATTGTACAAAGACGCCAGAAACGGAAAATATGATATTACGGATAGTGGAGTCAAAAGCCGATAGATTAATGCAAAGAGACCTCCAACTTGACTCTTTGCAAGATCTACTCGCCGCAACACAAGCACTGATGCTTTTCCTGATTATTCAGCTTTTTGACGGTGATATCAGACAGCGGTCAATTGCAGAACAGAATCTTCCTACACTGAGTACATGGACGATGCAATTACATGTCCGTATAGATGAACTAGAGCCAAGCACAACATGGCCGGAATGGATCTTTGTGGAAAGTATTCGAAGAACTGTCATTCTTTCGGCTATTGTTGGAAATTTCTACTCTGCTCTTAAGGTTGGATACTGCACTGAAGTTCCTCTCATGAGTATGCTTCCATTCACAGCAGCAGCTGAACTGTGGGATGCAAGTTCATATGCGTCGTGGCTGAGTGAATCACATCGAGCGGAATCGGATATTGTTGTATATGGATCGTTTTCAAATGCTTGGGAAAATGGATGTGTCTCTGGACGCTTGGATCCGTTTCAAAAGCTTCTGCTTACTCCTTGTTTGGGTGAGAGGTTTAAGGAGGCACTTGAACAAGCCCATTAGGTATCTAGGAATTGAAAATTTAATCGGAGATTGAATTGTTGAAAGTTGATTCTCTCCACCTGGACACAAATAAAAATGCTGCCCGCCGGATAACCACCCTGGACGCTGCCTCATCCACGCTCTACCCAACAGTGAGCAATCTGTGATTCTGCACGATAGCTCCTCTGATGTTTTGCGGCCAACCTCCTTGAACACTCCAAAATGGCATTCCCGAGATCCGCCTACATCCAACAGATTTATCCCGGACAGAGCTCGCGGAAGAGGCAAAGGGATGGTTACTATTCGTACTGGTAGGGAATCTATGGAGCTACACTTATATAACGATGTGGCATTGACGGTCCCTATAGGAAGAATCTACGCCAACCTCAACTCCTGAAGATGGGCTACGTCAACGGCGAGCTTTAGTTGAGAAATAGGCCACCCCCGGCCAGGAGTTCCGTGAGGTCCGTATAACCAATTTCGATAGTCTCTCTCACTTCTTTAACTTGAAATTTGAAATTTAGAAAGTTAACTAGCATATAGTTATAGTCCTATCATGGTCATGCCTTAATAAGCGCCTCAGCTCTACCCAGCCTCAGTGTTCTCACAGCTAGCTCCGAGATCTGATAAGCGCTTCCTATGTCTAACACCATTCCCGCCCCCATGATTACGTCCACCTCATAAAATTCCTGATCCTACTATACATTCACCAATAGGAATGGGGCGGGCAACATCCCTTCGACTTAGATGAGGCCCCCCGCTGCCATATTCCGGAGCTGTTTGACTCCGCTACGCCCGCGCAAAATACACTTAGCGAGATCCGCACTATACCTCGCCTCAGTATAACGAGCCTTTAGACATGGATCTTTCAATTCTTGAGCTCTTAGAGTAAACCCGGCGGAGCAACAAGTTCCTCTATGAAGGCTACGGAAATCTAGACCTATGGGTGCGCATTATAGAGCAGAGTACGCCTGGATATCTAGAGCTAGAGGCTCAAGGGCGGGAAGTAGAATTCAAGCTTGATAATCTACTGGAGGTTGATACTTGATGCGTGCCCTTGGTAGCAGACTGATGCGATACAGTATACGTATATGGTATGGAGTTTTTCTGTCTCTCTGAGTCGAACATAACTACTCTATAAATCAAGTGTTTCCGATGTGTAACATGATCCATGGATGTAAATTTTTGAATCGTGAAGCTCATATAGTTATTTTTTAACCATTAGCGTACATTAAATTGCTGATAGTAGTATTAAGATCTTTTTACTCTTATTAGCGAGGTCACTTGTCATTCACGCTCCCTTATATCATGAAGAATAGTTCCTCTGATCAAGCACGAAGGAAAATTGGAAATCATGGTGTAAATTCGTCTAATGCCTGGGCTAAATGAAGTGCTTCCTAGGAGCTTACATCCTGAGATAAAATTTGATAGACCAATCAAATAAAATACGCAGTAAGATTACCTCCTGGACAGGAAGAGTAGTCTAGGAAGTCTTCCATATTTTGTTACATTTTGTGGTCTTTCTAATGGTACACACTCCGAAAATCTTCAAGATGGAGATGAGCTATACACACCTTCAAATGGGCCAGATGTCAGATGTTTTCCATATTCCCAATGTCCAATTTTCACCTGCCTATAGGAGTAGAAACGCCTTCGTTTTCTGATGAATAAGGTGGAAACGTGGGTCGACTATGGTAACGAACAACCCGCATGCGTTATGTATTCAGTGTCTTCTCTTATGGCCTTGGAGGTCTAAATAATCGTAAGATGATGAACTCAATTTGATCTCCAGAGCTATATCGATTTCAGTCAAAGTCAAAGGTCGCGTAGCTGCAACAACAACTTCTTCGGGGATGATACGGCCCAGTACTGAAATGGCGTTTCACACGGAGAAAATATAGAAGGCCAGGCTGCTGTTTTATGTAGACAAGAGGTGAAGTCACTTTGTAAGTAGAAAATGGGATGGTATAGTCCCACGAAACAAAAGAAAGCCCAACGGCAGAAATAAGGAAGGGTGGTTCTTTTAGTGCGCTAAGGTCGAGGAGTGATCTACTCTGCTTAGGCGGGAATAGCTGTCGATTTAATACTATTAATGACACGACCGGACCCGACAGGGCCACAAAGACGACGATACGCGTTATTCAGCCAATTAGCCTTGGTCGATTAGTTTGTGAAACATGGGATATAGCGGGCCGGGCAGAGTCCAGAGTGGATAGTGATATGATAGTTTGGGCGAAGTGAAAGCTATAATGAACAGGTGACGGTTACTATACAGCCTGATGGAAGAAAGAGCTAGCTACCGAGATAATAAATATGTAGAGGACTGAAAATAAATTGCATCTCCATAGAATCGGCCCGTTAGCAAGCCCAACGTCGCCAGAAAACCTGATTGCAAGTACTCGAAGATCCCGAAGGACCAACTAGCACAATACATACAAATCGCCCAGTTCAGTAGGGTAGCGTAAAAAACTGATGGTGATGAAATCAGAGATTCCTCTTGTTTTGATTTTGGAATTCTTTCTGATGAGTGACACCAACGTATCTCTCAGGGGAGAGAGAAGGGTGTACCCATGTCAAACATTATAGTACCGAAGTGTTATAATGTTGTAGAATTCCTGTGGATGGAAGGTATGTAAAGTAATTCAAAGCCTACAATTAGTGAAAGATTAGTGAATGGGTGATCGTAGTCAGGATTGTTGAATTTTACATGGCTGGCTGATGTTACATGAGTTGATTGGACTGGTAAATGTAATCAGAAGCTATCCCATCCGGGCAGCTTTGAACTTGCTAACGCGCGGCTTATCTTCGATATCGATGGGGACCATTTCGGCCTCATCGTCGTTGACAAAGCCGCCTTTATTTTTGATCATCCGGTTGCGAATTTGGTAAAATTCGCTGGCAATTTCACGACGGTGAATTTCCGGGTCTAGCTCGTTGGGCTCAGGGGCTCTGGCGGCCCCTGGAGCGAACTCTCGTTCGACGAGATTGTCTGCCAGTGTCATTCCTTCAGGAGGATGAGCAACAGAAGGGTTTTCATCTTCAAAGTTTTCAGTGATAGGGGTTGAGAACGGCTTGGGCTCATTGGGAGTCGCCGGGAAGAGAGCAGGAGGAGTTGCAGATGGAACCGCGTTGATTAGTTTTCGCACAGTGACAGTCTCGGAAACCTTACTTGGCTTGACTGCTGCTTCGGTGGAGGGCCCACCGGTTGGCTTCGCACTGATTTCTGAAGAACGGGCACTCTTGAACCGAGAGACCTTCTTGGGAGCGACAGTTGAAGGTCCTTGGATCTCTGGCTTCTGGTCTGTACGTTCGACAATAGACTCCAAGAGAACCTGCACCTGTGCTTGAGGTGGTAGCATCTTAGTTTCAGCTACCGCGGGGCTCTCGGTGGTAGGTGCGATATCAAGATCGTCCGCAAAGGCCACTCGTTTCTTGGCCTTCTTTCCATTGATAGAGTCTGGGGCAGTTTCGACAGGCTCACTGGTTTCCGCCGCCGCAGAAGTCTCGATTTCTTGACGGACTTCCTCTGGAAATGTCTGTGTATCCTTGCCCATGTTTGACATGCCGCGAGCATTAAGTTTAGCTTCCAATTCCCGCATCTGCTGAATGTACTCATCAGAGAGCACCACGTGCGAACGACCAAAGTCATCATCTTCTTCATCTGTCTCATCCTCAACAGAGAATTCGCTGCCGTCTTCATCCAGTTCCAACTCTGCGACGATCGCACCAATCTCATTGATACCGTACTGGAACATTTCTCGGCGTAATGCTGCTTCATAGACAGTCTCCTCGGCATTGGTGACTGGTTCTTGACTGCGTTCATCATCTGTGACCAAAGATACGGGTTGGTCAAGATCTGGCTCCACTACAATTGGCGAAACGATTGTGTTAGAGGTAGGCGCTTGTTCATTCGTTGTTTGATTCGTCTGTGGTTCGGGGTGGGTAGCAACATCAGGCGTATCATCTTTCACTTCGGGCACTGCAGCGGCAGGCTTAATATCACTCGTAGCAGCTTCCGTAGTATCCGGAATATCATCAACGCCAGCCTTCTTCAGAAGTTCCAAAAGCTCAGGTGCCTGCTCTCCAGGAGTCTTAATAGTACTAGAGATAACCTCGCCATCCTCATCCAGCTCCTCCAGGATCTCGCGCATCGGAAAACTCGTACCCTCTATGATCCGAGCCTGATCGTCCTCGTTAAAGGCATACAGCTCATCTTCCGCAGCCCGGAATCTCTTTTCCATGGTCGCAACATTCTGCTTCACATAGTCGATCCGTCGTCCAAGAAGGTTCACGATCTGTACTCGAGATCGCGGCGCGCCCTTGTATTCAAGAATTTCCTTCACTTCCTTGGCGTCAACAAGGGATCCACCGAATTCCTTACCAACTGTTGCGATATCTTGGATAGTCGCATAGTCGTGTAAATCGCTGATTTCTTCGCGTAGTTCGTCGTACTCTGCCTCCCACGTGCGCCAGTAATAGAGGGATTTCTGTAGCTGGAGAATGTTGTCTTCAAGTTCAAGGCGGCGTTCTTCCAACAAATCGAAGCTGTGTTGAGGGACGCCCATATTTTCAGTTGTCATTGTAAACGATGTTGATGAGAGGCTTGAATGAACATACTAGTCATTCTCTTTTTTTCTTTCACCGCCTTCAACGAAAAATATGGTCCGTGCGGAGTGGGTCTGATCATCAATCATCTCCAGCTCCAACTCATTCAGTAACTTACACACCACTTCAACACCATGGCCTCCAAGGGAATTCAGCCTCGAGATGAGGACGGTAAGCGTTGCTATACTCAAATAAAAGCCACATCACTTATATGTTTACAAAGAGGTCTGTCCCGTCTGCAAGTCCTCGCGGTACCTTAACCCGAACATGCGATTCCTCATTAATCCAGAATGTTACCACAAAATGTGCGAATCATGCGTGGATCGTATATTTTCCTCTGGACCATCCACTTGTCCAGTAGCTGGATGTCGAAAAACTCTGCGCAAAAACCGTTTCCGCCAGCAAACCTTCGAAGATATCGGTGTAGAAAGAGAGGTTGACATCCGTCGGCGAGTGATGCATATGTACGACCTCCCAGAACAACCTTGTTCTATTTATACACCAATCTAATATTCTGTGGTACAGTCTCAATCGACGCGAAGATGAATTCGATTCCAAGCGTGCATTCGACGACTTTCTCGAACAGCGCGAAGAGATGATAATGAACCTAGTTTGCCGAACCGATGTGGCAAAAACAGAAGCCCAACTCGCCAAATACGCAACAGAGAATATGCATTCCATCAAAGCAAACGCAGCCCTCGAAGAAGAAGAGGCATCTTCTTTCCAGGCTCGCATGTCACTCGAACAAGAAGAGGCGCGGCTCCGGCGCCAACTGGCACGAGACGAAATCGAGAGCGAGAGACGACAAATGCAAGCAGGACGAGAAGGTTTTCTGTCTTTGCTGGCCAACAGCTCTAACATGGACGCTGGAGCTATCGCACGAGAAAACCATAAAGTTCTTCTTAAGAAGTCTTCCGCTCGAAGGAGCGAAGAGGAGCGTATCAGACAGAAGCAGGCTGCTTTGCGTAATTCCGAGAACAATCGTACTGGCTCACTGCTTAATAAGGTTGAGGATGCTGGACCCTTGCCCGGTAGTGGGCTTATCAAGGGTCTGCGCAGTATCAAAGCCCCCGAGCCGGAGAAGCCGTATGATCCATTCATGGGGTATGTACCGGAGAAACGCGATTACTATTCTTTGCAGCAGTCATACCCGTCTGTCTATCTTGATCGTGCGAGGTCGGATAAGAGGATGTCGGCTGGTGGGTTTGACTTGCGCGAATACTATACACGTACTTTAATGGAGGCGTTTGCCGGCTTGGGTTGCTTTATTGAGGAAGAAGTTGCACTTCGTGAAACTACCTCTAAGTCAGGGTCGAAGCAAGCTGCGACTGAGGGAGCTGCAATAGTTGCAAATGAAAGGGTTGCCTAGGTCTTTCTTCATGATATAATGTTGCGCATTCGGTTTCGTTTGTTGGTGGTGGCATAGCGACGGCGTCTAAAATACCTTTCTTTTTTTTTCTATTACCATCGAATGCTAGATAACCTGACCTAGATAGCTAGGTATATCTGATGTCTCTGACCTTGTAGAATTTCATTTTCCACCTGTGCATGCATACAGTCATCAAATTAACTCGGAAAGCTATCTTGATACTTATACTGATCTGTTTTATTTTTATGTACAGTACGCTAAGAACCCTTGAACTATCCACCTCCAACATTACTGCGAAACACATTTGCCCTTAAGGGGACTTGAGAACCATGAAAGATAAGACTAATTTTTAGCACAAAAGCAACAACAGCATGGAATGAGCGGATTGATCAATCAAGCAAAAGCAATCAAGTGGAAGAATACTAGCACATGTCAACCTCGGAATAAACAAGAGATGCCCTGAGAAAATAACAAGCTTGATCACGCTGAGACAATTCAAATCCGCCCACTAAGCTCAGCTGTGCTCTCGATACCTTCCCAGGGCAGCTCGCCTTCATCATCCAGATCAAGAAGACCTGACTTATCAGTGTTACCGGTCAGATCAGGGACCTGACCAATATCAATGCCAATAGACTCCAAAGTCATTTCCATCTCCTGCTCGGTCATTCCGTGGCCTTTCTGGCCTTCCAGTACATCATACAGGGCATAAATCTGGTCAGACTTCATGTCGATTTCTCTCAGTAGAGTCTCAATCTTCTCCATGACAGTCTTTCGTTGGCGTTTACCAAGCGATGCGTCAAGCTTGTTATACACACTTTGGTATGTGGCCAGTGACATTTTAAGGTGGGACAATTCATCCTCCAGCGACTTGAGGACGGTGGCAAGAGCCACGGCTGGATCTTGGGATGGCCGCATAGTAGGATCCTCGTTTTGAATGGTAGGCTTGGGCATGCGTTCCGAAACGGGAACGGGGGTGGGGACCTTGACAGGCTGGTGGTCGCAAGGGCCATCATTAGGAAGGACGTTCTTGCAGACAACGCAATTTTTACCATGGTGCTGAGCAATAGTATCCAGGGCACGCTTTGTTGCCTCGGGAAGACGGGTTGGGTTGCTGGCGGCTTGCTCCGCACGGCTCAAGGTGATATCAGGAAGAATGAAAGCAGATGTCATGTCGACATTGCGGTATTTTTTACGCTGGGGAGTTGGGGCAATTGAGTGATCGGAATGACGTCTGGGACGATCAGCGATGGGTACAGTCAAGCTGTTGTCACCATCGGTGGTTGCAATCGACCTAGTGGTGATATCACCCATAGCTGATGCGGGACGAGGGATTGATGTCTTGGGTTCACGGAGGGATGATTTGCGGGGGGCTGGTGCTTTCAAAATGCTCTGGCGAGTTGTGTTGACTGTATCGGTAGTAGTAGGCTCTTTTGCAACAACAGCGCGCCGTTGCCTGCGCAGGAGTCTCTCGTCTTCCAGAGTCTTGCGAAGACGGGAGATTTCATTTTCCTAAATTACGAATTAGCTCTATCCGGCATGAGATGGCACTGTAGATTGATACTCACATCAATGACACTTAGCAAGGTGAGATCATCAATATCAGAGGTCTTGCTCTGGTCTGTTTGCTCAGTAAACTCTTCTACAACGACGCGTTTCACCCGCTGTTTTCCGGTGTTGGAGAGCTTTCGGGGAACCTTAGGCACCGATTGACGACTGACTTCGGCCTTGTTGTGTTTGGATGACGATGAGCGTTTCGGCATGGGAATATCCAATGTGAACAGAGCCTCCTCTGCGCGTTCTTGTTCCAATCGACCGATCTCTCTGTCAACTTGGCCGGATACCTTAGAGCGGGAACGTTCCTTGTCCTTTGACTTGCGCGTGCTCTTGGAAGTGACGTCTCTAGTACTGCGGCTCAAGTCACCGCTACGCTCTGTGTATACTTGACTTTGACTGTCGTCGACATCTGATACAGTCCGACTAGACTCTGATTCAACAGTCTCTTCGCGTATCTTCTTGCTAACAAAACGAGTCAGCTGAGACTTAAGCTCTGCGTTTACTGCCCTCAGCTCCTCATTCTCTGTCTTTAGCTCTCGCGCTTCGAGGTATGACACTCCCAGCTCAGAGATGGCAGCCTCTCGCTCCTGGCTCAGGCGCTTGACAGCAGCATCCTGGACTTCGGCTTTGCGCTCAGAAATGTCGAGCTGGTTTTGTAGAGCAAGGATAGTTGCTTCATGCTCTGCGAGTTATTAGCAAATGTTCATCAGACGAAATATTTCATCAAAAACTTACTATTGTTATCGGCAGCAGGGCGCTTGAGATTTCGCTTGTATTCCATATCATGAACGGCGTATTTATCGGAATGCCGAGATTTCGTCGCCTTGAGGGCGGAATTCTCCTCGCGATAACTTTCGATTCTCTCTTTTCAGCGTCGGACTTGAACATCTCCAGTTCGGAGACCTTGTCCTGTAAGAGTCTGAGGGAGACGAACAAAGCCTTCTCGTCCTCGGGAATGGGAATCGCATCGAGTGGGATATGTTCTCGAGTAAGCGAGATGTCAGCTACGTCGCGTGAGGGTGCGGCAAATCGAGTTGAGCGCTTATTATTTTGGCGAGTAAATACTGGAGTTCCATCTTCATAAACACCGGAAACAAGCTCTGAAATATTCGGGAGGTCTGGGAGTAGAAAGGAGTTGCGAGTGGTGTCGCCCGCTGTGTTGTTGGTGTGCATGTTATTCGTCGTGTTGACACGGGGTGTACCATTTGCGTTTGCTTTGCGCAATTCTCGGGCATATGCCTCTCCAGAGGCGCGCTCAACCGCTTCGGCAATCTCTTGGGAGTTGCTCGGGTTCGCGAAACGCGTCGAGCGAGTTTTCGTGTCAATTTGAGTAGGACGGTCATCGCCCAAGAATGAACCATCGTAGTTTTCACGGACTTTGGCATGCATGTCTGAGAGTGTGCGGCGCTGATCGCGTTGGATTTTGGATTGGGGATTCATGTGTTCCTTCTGGGCCTGACTGGCGCGTCGCAATTGCGCATCCCTTCGCAGATTCTCACTGGCTGCGCGTCGACCAGTACCACGACTTGGAACGTTCTTTTGAGGTGTTGGATAGTCGAAACGAATAGCAGGAGAGGAAGAGCGAACGCTGTTTTGGAAGGTCATGATCGAATCGCGTGAGTCGTCGAGGCGACGAGGGGCTTTGGCAGCGGCTCTGCCTAGCTCCAGTTCAAGGTCGCTCTGAGGGTCAGACAGGTCTGCATCCTCATCGTCGGAGGAGAAATCCGGAAAGGCACGTTCAAGGGTGGAACTGTTGATCTTGTAATCAGGTTCCTCTGGGAGTTCCGGGCTGCCCATTTCTCTGGTTGATGCTAAAGCTTCGTGTTCGGGATCAAAGTCATCCAGCGTAAAGCTGAGATCTGGAAGAGGCATAATAAGAGGTAATTATGAATGATACACTCGAGAACATAAGAGTCCTACTTAGGGTATGAGTTGTTGATGGGTTTGTTTTGAGACGGGAATGTTTGGGTCAGCGCGTCTTACCCAATCAGCGATTACCGTACTAGTACACGTACAAGCCCATACAACACTCCGCATGAAATCTATCTATTTCCTTGCTGCTGAGTACACCTGGGCATATAAATAGCTATCATAAATAGGATAGGCTTATATGGGCTTGTTTCTAACCATGTTGAGCCTTGGATATACCTACTTAGACACCTAGATAGTATCAATCAAAGGCATACATGTTAACGGGTGTGGATATTGCCCTACATGGATGTATAAAATCTTGTCCACCTGGGCAGTTCGCAACTGAAAGATCAAAACAAGAGCCGTGCTCCTACCGTAGACCTATGAATCCACCGATGAGTTCAAGTGACTCCCAGGGCCAACAGATTGTCCAAGACAGTAAAAGAGTCTGAATAACAAGGGCTTCCGTAATCGGTATATCTACAGCCCAGAAGTAGTTCGGGAGGGTCAGCGTTGAGATCTCGAGAGCTCCACGATATTAATATCTGGGGCATCTAGAAACTTTGGAAAGCAGAGATAGCATTTCTGATTAGTTCTTGGGGTGCAACGTTGCAACACAGTTGGACGTTGGTCATGGTGGTCGCAAGGCCAACACTTGGCTGATGCAGGCGGCTTCGCTGCTTTTCTGAGTCCAAGTCCCCGGTTATGAAGATGCTCCAACAGCTGGTTACTTGACAGCCATTACTGGTGAAGATTTCAAAATCCCTCAAGGTTCCAAGTTTGAAAGACTGCGTAAATCTGGTTGCCCCGACAATCCCTGCAACTATAGAGCGGGGTCGAAGTACATAACGGGGAAGCACCTAAATAGTTAGAAAATGGACTTAAGAATCTGAAACGAACTGAAACGACCTGAAAATTGAATGAGACTGAAGAAGTAATCCCATGGCTAAATTGGATTTCATATCGAGAATTGAACCATGTGCAATTTAATTGGATAGTATCTACAGAGTAACATAAATCAAAAATATGTCCAAAGGATAGAGAGAGAAAACAGATATCAAATGTCAGACCATACTTGAATCAGTTAGTCTTTTTCCAGACGCCTTTCTTGACCAACGAAGATAAGATAAAAGGAAGTGTAGATCGTAAATCATACTCATTATTAAATCGCGCTACAAAAATTTCCTGTCAATCAAATAGTCAGATAACTCAAATAAATGCAAAAAATGGTTGTTTTATGGTGAAACAGGAATGTGTTCGGCGGCTGATGATTGAAGAGGTGAATTCGATGTAGTCGGCTCTTGATCCATGTCTGTATTGGAGACGGTAGGAGTGAGCGGAGATAGCACAGGACTGGCTACCTCGATATGGATAGAAGGTAATGAGAGAGAGGGTAAAGGTGTTTCAGATAGCGGCCTTGGTTCTCGGTTTCGGCCTTGGAATGGGCTTTCGGGGACTTGTGTGTTTTCTGAGTCTTCTGGAATTTCTAGACTTTCACGTTCTGGGCCTTCTGGGCTCTCATATGCGGGGGCATCACCCCAATCGAGATGATCATACTCTGGAGGAGGAATCTCCTGTGCTCCAAGATCTTCTTCAATTTGTAAGATCGATCGACTAGACAGTGCAGACTCATGAGTGGCTGTTGGGGCCAAGACCAGCGGGTCGAGTTCAGTTCCACCCGCGTATGTTTCTGTGGTTCGGGTAGAGGATGCAAAGGAGGATTGTTGTGTCAGTTGTAGGGTTAGTGGGTCCTCCAAAGATGGGGACGATGCGCTTTGTAGAAGTGGGCGGGAATCCGAGTCCGAGTCAGCTCGGAGACGTGTTCCATCATGTCGAACATGGCCGATTTCAGCATAACTGACACTGGCAATACGGCGGTTTCGTTCACGATTCCGGTGTTCGGCTATGATGGCAGCCGCACTGGGTCTGCCCACGCGGCCATGACGGGATTCTCTGTTGAGCAGGTCCATACGCAACGCATCCCCTCGTGCTCGTGCATCTCTTCGTTCTTGGCGGCGTGCCTCACGGTCGGCAACCTGTTGGCGACGCTGTACACGAATTTGATACAAGGCATCCATCTGCTCCTCCCGGCGAGTTTCTTCTTCTTCGACTGTTTCAGGAAACTCCACAACCATGTCCATGCCTGCGCGTTCTCCCTCTCGACCTATAATTTGTTCCGTTGGATTTGGACTCGCTGAGTAGGATGGCAAGGTCATGACAGATCGGACCGAGGTATCACGCTGAACACCACTGGTAGTGGACATTTCTGGATTGGATCTCCCCGCTCCCCGGTATGAGGTATCGCGAGTTCGAGTGACAGTCGGCTGAGTCGGAACATGACCATATGAGGCACTCCCTGGTGTCCATAGCCTCCATTTTTTTTTAAGAAACTGGCCGGGAATATACTTTGGTTCATAGTATCGTTGCCTCAGGTATCGGGCTAGGAAGACTCCGATCGCACACAAAGTGAGAGGGAATATAATAGCCACAAAGATCTAAAAATAATAATGATTAGTGAAATCATTCAAACGGTATAATCGGGTATGAAGGCGTCGGATAGTGGCGGCAGGCAGCAGCATGGAAAAGCAAACGTACAATAATGAAGATCTCATTCTTCTTTGACAAGGATGAATCTCGTTTCAAAGGAATGTACATGATGGGAATGCGGGTGGGGCGCAATAGACGTTGACATCTCAAGTGTCAAAATTGGATGGGAAGATGTCAAAAGAAGAAAAAGCAACAGCCTGCGCCACTGTTGATTACTACGTAGAAGGGCTCCCCAGTTAAATGGAAGTGGGTCAAGTGGAGAGACTGGAGATTGGCTAATCAATCCTTCCAGCTCTCTTCAAACGTCACGTAAGGGCGAGGCCTTGCTTTGTTAGTCGTGCTTACGTTTAATGCCGCTTCCCACCGCTTACTTAGTACTTTTTATCGAGTACTGACACTCGTCTCTGTACACACAGACCCAATGCTTCAGCCCATTGCACGTATTATCTGCTTACTTGTCTCAGTAATACCTGATAATTGGCACTAAACTGAGAATACCCATCATCTCATTGAAATTTCTATGTCTGAGATACAATTATACGAATTATCATGGTGATAACAGCCTTACGGAAAAAAAAAATGAAAGATGCCCTAACAGGTGATTTTATTGCGTCGAGTAATACCAACGAGGACTGTTTCCGCAAAGAGACTTGGTAAACCCTAATTTCTCACTTCGAAGTAGTGAAGGCGAGAACTACACCCTGAAGTCAGGCGAGTCGAGATAGAAAGTGCAGCCCATGATTTTGGGCTGCCAGGTATGTCAATGTCAGCCAATATTACATGATAGAGTACATAAAGAGGGAGAGGAGATCGGGAAGTTCATGATATTACGAATTCAAGCCGTCGTTCCCACCGTCTCATCCATCTGCAAGTCCTCCTGATGTTGAACAATCCTGGTCCACACCTGGTTCTTCCACGAATAATTCCTTGCATTCTAGGAAACAACTCTATTCTATATTGACGCACATCATCTGCGAGGACAGCATGATCGAGACGTGACGTTGACATCTTACTTGAAAAGGATAAGGGTCCTTCAACGCTCGGCATCAAGCCTTATCCTGGAATAGATCGACACTCGCCGATTGGCGAGTCCAAAGCTAACTTCTTTTGACATCATTAGCTTACTACATCACCAGATTTTGTCATTCTACGTGATCACTTTTCTTGGAACTTTAAAGTATTTTAGCGTTGTTAAGCGAGGTATAACTATCCGACTTCCAGAGCCATGGCTATAGATCTTCATGACTTTGCCCTGGTTTTGTCTAACACGAAAATCTATAGCATCGCGCAGATATATCCACCACTCGGTTGACTCAACATGGCGACACTGAGCTTCCAGTTGACGAATAATACGGACTCGAATGATGTCTATGCCTATATCACGGGAAGCGCACTCGACAGCAACAATGCCCTGTTTCTGCTTCAGTCTGACGGCAAAACGGGCTATTACCCAGACTCACCATCAACCAGCCTAAGCGCCCTTGCGCAAGATTGTGCTATTAAACTGGGTAGCCCCGGAAATTCTATATCAGTTACCATCCCGCATCTTGCCGGCGCGAGGCTGTGGTTTATCCGTGACAGCCAGTTGACCTTCTACCTAAATTCTGGCCCGGCATTAGTGGAGCCATCATCCTCCAACCCATCCGATCCGAATTATAATCTGTGCTGGGACTTTTGTGAATTCACCTGGAACTCTTCCCAGCTATTCGCCAATATCACTTATGTGGATTTTGTTTCACTTCCCATCTCCCTCCGCCTAACGAACGGCTCTGGAAACTCAAAGATTGTCAGTGGTTTACCTAAAGATGGACTCAATACGATCTGCACGGCTCTCCAGAGTCAGAATTCTCAAGACAATTCAGGTTGGGACAAACTCATAATCACCCAAAACGGCAATACTCTTCGAGCTGTATCGCCCAACACTGGTATCACGCTTAACAGTAGTCTCTTCAATGGATATTACGATTCCTATGTCAACCAAGTATGGTCTACATACACGAACAATACCATTAGTGTGGACACACAAGGATCTGCAGGAATCATTCAGGGTTCAGTCGCCAGCAATCAACTTGTATTTTCCTCGGACCAAAACATTACCTACGATAAGCCTTCTTCCGCTGATATCTTCAGCAACAGCTCAGGTGCATTTGCAGTGTCTGGGAATTCGGTCAAGGACGCTATCACCGCTCGTCTGGCTGCTGCTTTCAACCGATCCACGCTACTGACCAATTCAAACCAGCCCGATGGCGAAAGCGTGTCCAGTTATTACCAGAACTCTACCACTAACCACTACTCGCGAATCTGCCATAATACTACTTTGAACGGCCAAGGATATGCATTTCCGTATGACGACGTGTCTCCTTCCGATAGCCAAAATGTCTCCGGGTCTGTATTCGACTCTAATCCGACACTCCTAATTGTCACTGTCGGTGGACCGTCAAATGATACCACTGAAACAGCCAAGAGTCAAGAGAATGCCTCTTTGCCCCCAAAAAATCGGAACAAGGGTGTCGTCTTCCAAAGGGTGAGGAGACTTATGCGCAGGACATTTTCTTCTAATAACTAAGATTTTGGACTTTCTCCAGTCAGGAACAATCTAGCTGGCTGTATTTGTGAAATTCTGTACATGTGCTTTTGATTTTATGATGTAATTGATTAGTTACAAGGGTTTCTCTGTGATCACTTCAACGTGATATTTCAGATGGATAAGAACGTGAATAAATACGTTTTTCCGCCACAAATATGAATGCTTATACGCACGATACTTTCAATAACTCTAAGAAACAAAAGGAAATTTATTGGCGATGAAGGCTTATCCGTGAGTATAGGTAGACCTTGACACCTGGGCACTTTCAATTACTTTGTTGTACAAATAAAATTACATCCTTAGTGACGTCCATACCTGGGTAGCTTCAAACAAGTACCTACCTAGTTAAGAATAAATTAGCAGAGTTACCAAAATAAAAAATTAATTGCCTACAAGCTTTTGAAAAGACCAGCGATCGAAATTGATTTTGCTAACAAAAGATTGATTCCAACTGACGGTAGAAGCCCTACATCTCGCCACTATCTTCAGGATCATTCATAAGTTCAAATAGCTTGCCCCCTACTCGCTGTGAGAGAGTCTTGTATGTCCCATCTTCCACTACAACACCCTGATCTAGCACAATCACATGGTCTGCTATCTGGATCATCTCGCGACTATGGGTAATAATGATGACAGTCAGGTCTTGACGGGTAGATACGAGCTGTTGTACCGTTTGACGAACGACTTCAGCACTGACCGGATCAAGACTAGATGTTGCTTCATCGAGAATTAATATCTGTGGGTTGCGTAGTATGGCCCGAGCAATAACCACTCGCTGCTTCTGGCCTCCCGATAACCCGATTCCACCGTCACCAATGACAGTGGAATACCCCATAGGAAGTGAGGCTATGAACTCGTCAATACCAGCTGCTTGAGCGGCGACTCGAACAGCAGCCAAGGATGCTAATGGAGAGTGGTCGTCAATCCCATAGTTGATGTTGGCGAAGATTGTTGCGGGGAATATAGTTGGTTGTTGCGAAACAATGGCAATCTGTGAACGGAGAGTTGGCACATGAAGCCGCAAGATATCCTCTTCGCCTAGCGTCACAGTTGGACGAAGATCCCTTGACACGGGAGCCTCGTAGAGCGATAAGAGTAGTGAGGCGATGGTGGACTTGCCGGACCCTGAACGTCCCACAATGGCCGTGCATGAATTCTGCGAAATTTTCATTGAGACATTCTTCAAGACTAGCGTCTTAGGTCGAGAGGGATATCGGAAATTGAGGTTCTCAAATTTGATTGGTGTTAGTTTTGGGAGCAATTGGAATCCGCGATGCTCGTGAGAACCACCTTTCGGAAGCTCGGATAGACGGATGAGGTTCGTTGCTATTTCGCGGGAGGTGTTTATCTGGGGAACTAGAAGAAGCTGTTAGAAACACGAGTCAATAGAGAGGACTGAAGATGAAAACGTACTCCATGATGAGATCTGTGCCGCATATCCAATGCCGAAGAGAAGAAGCGAGAATACCTGCACCACATCATCCACCGAGAACTCTAAGTTTGCTGCGAGCTCTCCACCATAATAAAAAATTAATGCTATATGCGGGTCAGTTATGTGCCCATATCCTCAAGTTGAAGTGTCACTTACCAGTTGCAAAGATGATGGTTGCTTCGACCAATCCAAAGAGAGCACCAGTGTAGATTGCTCGCTTCACTCCTAGCCTCAGACAATCCATGATAGCCACTGCTTGCTTGCGATGGAAATATCCCTCCAACGTAAGTGTTCGTACTGTCTGAATCTCGGAGAAAGTCTCTGTGACGATATCGGCTGCAACACTTGAACCTTCATTGCAGCGCCGTTCCCACCGACCATTGGAGCCTTCAAAGCCTCGTGTTATGATATAGATAGCGGGCCCACACGCTAAAGCCACCAATGTCAGCTTCCAGCAGACAAAGAAGCTCCAGATAATGGCGATGACCATGATGGCAGCAGCAACAATAACAAAGCCAGCAAAACGGCCAAGAAGATTGCGCATGTCCTCTCCATTCTGATTGAGATAAGATGAAAGTCTGGAAGACTTGTTGCTTTCTTTTTCAAACCAAACCCTTGGTTGATCAAGAATTCGCTTGAAGGCCTCCTTCCTCAGAGTATCCATCCACGCCTCAGCAGAGTATTCGAGAAAGTAATGCATGAAAAAAGATGAGGCTCCATCTCCAATTGAAACACCCAGCACGGCGAGGGACCATCTCATGGATAATTTGGCACTGTCTTTTCCCACATAGAATGTTGCTATAAGTTCAGAAAGACAATAAGAAAAGATCGGAGTGGCGCTGGCGTGGACGAGTGCGGATGCAATACCCAAAATGAGAACGACACGCTCTCTCCAAGTCAAATTATACCAAATGGTGCTCATGATCTGACTCAATGGGGCTAATGGAATAGCATTATGGCTCGAGTTCACGTGAAGACTTTTTAGGGACTGTGAACGACGCAGAGAACGAGTCTTTGAGCGCCTACCATGTGATCGACGCCGCAAAGTACCATTAGATCTTGAGTCGTATCCGTCTATCTGAGTCATTTCAATCTCGTCAGTTGGTACAAGTGTATAGTTTGTCCTTGTCACTTCTGGTGGGTTGATATTCAGTGGAGAGAACAGAAGAGACTGCCGGTTTACAGCAACATGTGTGGCGCCATCAGCAACATTAGAACAGAGTGCAAACCCCTGAATCGGAACTGCAGCCATACTTGTGCGAAGTCCGGGAGGGATGTGGTGTTGTGCCCACGAGTATCTGCGATTGTGAAGAGCTCGGCGAGGCATGATGGGTTCCACGTCTTCCAGAGTATCAAGGGACCAAGTATCTGAACAGCTATCCCTAGCCGGAGACAAGGATGGAGCAATTGGCGTCTTTATCTTAGTCTTTATTTTTGAATGGAAGTATTTCTCACTGCCGGGTTGCTTTTCGACATCATTTCTGTAGCCTGACTGCACGATTGATCCATTCTCAAGTATGTAGATGAAGTCATCTCCCTTGATTTGCGACATTTCATGCGTAATAATAATGGTGGTCTTGTTCTTTCGCCATCCGCGGATTGCTTTCATCACTGCCACACGGTTCGTTTGATCTAGCGCACTCGTGGGTTCATCCAAAATCAGAATCGGTGTATCGCGCAGCTTGGCTCGAGCAATGGCAACTCGCTGCCGCTGACCTCCACTCAATAAGCTACCACCAGGGCCGACAGATGTACTTAGCCCTTTTGGTAGTGAGTGGATGGTGTTGCCGAGCATAGCAAGATCAATAGCCTCTTGGATATCCTTGCTGGAAACGGTCTTACGATCGTGGTTTTGGTACCCGAGCACAATGTTATGGAATATAGTATCGTTGAACAAGACACTGCGCTGCTCAACCAGGGTCGCGTTGTTTCGAATCCAGTTTATGGCAAGAGACGATAAGGGGTTTCCATCAATCAAAATCTGTCCGGTTGTCGGTGCATAAAATCTCATGAGCAGTTGACCGAGTGTGCTTTTGCCGGAGCCGCTTTGACCGATTACGAAAGTTGTCTCGCCAGCCGGAAAGAAGAAGCTTGATGGCTTCAGAACACATCTGTCTGGCTGAGATGGATAAGAAAACGATACCTGCAAAATCTGTAAGAACTAAATTCAAAAAAGTAACTCGGCCGAGGACGTTGTACTAACATTCTTGACTTCAATATCGCCCTCGCAGTGAGACGGACACAGGCGGCCTTTTGTTTCAACAGCAAATCTGTCCTTGGAATAGTCCCTTACAAGAAGTTTGAGCAGAAGAGCTGCAACTTTTGCCTTTTCGATGACTATCACCTGCGGTAGTACCTGCTCAATCGATTGAGCTGCAGTGGTGCATGCCCAAAATGTTCTGACGACATCGCCAGACGACAACTCTCCTCTGCGAGCAAGGGAGCTGCCAAACCAGAAGCCTTGAACGAACATCCCAAACATCATCCATCTGATGAGGGCAATCTGCAAAGAGTTCAAACGGGCCTGTCTAAGGTAATGGATAGCAGATTGTTGAATACGACTGGCATAACTGCGCGACTCGAGGGCTTGGCCATTGAGACACTTGATTGTATCAATCGAGGAGATGGCATTTATTGCTATTTTCGAGGCATGGGTGAGTTGGTCTTGCTGTGCTGTGATACTGGATTTCATTCTCGTAGAGAGATAAGCGATGAGGACCGAAAATAGTGGTATCCCTGCAAGAGTGACGAGGGAGAGCTTCCAAGATGTATAGAAACCTAAAATAAGAGATGCCAATACTCGGCAGCCGTACTGGATAAGAAGGCCTAGAGGCTGAGAAGTTGCCACCTGCAAGTCGTGAATATGTCTAGATTAATAGTTAGTTTAAGACTATTGGCAATATTGATGTCTCAGAACGACTTACGCTTGGATCCCGGAGAGAAAAGCTCCAGATCCTTCTCCCTGAGCCTCAAACCATTCGACATCTCGTTTGAGGAGTTCAGCAAACACCATTCTTCGGATACTGGCAGCTTGAAGTTCGCCAAAGGCGACGAATAGCATAAAGTATGCTCCATTCAGAAACAGAACAGCTGCTCCCAATCCGACCAACCCGAGGCAACTTTGCATGATCTTCGCACGAAGCACTTCAGAATCAATCTCATTAGCACCAAAGGAAGTGAATGCATCAAAAATGTTTCCCAAGAATATTGCAATCACTGGTGTCACACAGCCAGCAAATACAGCGAAGATTGATCCGACGGTGAGGATCGGTATGTGTCTTTGAGTTGTAAAGCTGAAAAGAGATATCAAGCTATGCTTATTCTTTCCTGAGTCTTCATTTTGTGCCTTTTTGCCGGTACGGGCTGGATTTTTGGACTCATACGCCATGATTCGAAAGTTGAACGCTCTAGATAATCTGCTGGAATCGAATTTGAAGAAGGATCAGAGCATGTAGATGTTCAAGTCTGTACATTGTGCTGTGCACCCTTTTTTTAATGGATTGGCTCATATTTTCGAAGTTCATTGTCTTTGGCTAACAATACTAAGGAACAATACTAAGGATGTAATTAGGGCTGCGATGACAGAAAAGTGGTGCTAACTTGGAAGTCAAGGATTGAATGTAACTGACCAATCAGATCAACCAGATCCCTTAATTTGAATGCTGAATAATTGTATTGCCATTGTTCTTTGTTTTCCATGTTAGGGTTAGGCCAGTCTCGGTCCATAGCATTGTTCTCCAAATCCGTTGACTTCCAAAGACTCATCAGCCAAGACAACTAGAATCAAATCATTAAGAGGGGGAAAAAGAATGCCAATAATGAAATGCCATTTTATTTGCGGGTATATTTGCCAATTCTCAGTTCTCAAGAGGTTCCAAAACACGCGAAATCAAATCTTGCTTCAAATCAGATTCTATCGTATATTGTCTGTACATGTATCATGGCTGTGCTCCACTCGGCGTCGTTAGGCCGATGCTGCAGGTGACTTCTCATACATTTAGTTACACCCTCGAAGTCCAGTATATCATTGCGTCGTGTTGTAACAGTTACATGGCGTCGGTCGAATAATCGAGGGTGGAGCTGCGCTTGAAATGTGCCAAGCGCGAGTTTATTGGAAGTGATGCGCAATCAAGCACTGGCTTTTTGTGCCTTCTCGTAGATCCAGTCGTTCAGACCCGCACGGTTGCTACAACGGTCAGCTTGAAGATTTCAGCGGTAATCATACAAATATAGACTTACCGAGCGATCTCAATAGCATAGAATTGCATGCGAACACCTTTTATGTCTCGTTAGCCCTTTATTTCCCTGATTATCACCAATGGAATTTGACTAACCGAAGATGGTGTTGTCCTGCTCATACTCAACATCAGCCCGGTTACGGATCATTGTGCCAAAGTTGAAGTCATCGATCTTGTCGAACTTGGTGATCCAGTTGCGCCACTTCTCCTTGCCGGCCTTGCTCTTCATTTGTTCCTCATCAACTGTGGCAGCGGGGTCAAAGTCGGGGAAGGCCTCCATGAAAGTCTCAAGGATCTCGTCATCCACTTTGGTCAGGCGCAGCGATGAGCCCTTAACCTTCTCAAGGATGGCCCAGTATGTCATGAGATGTTCGACGGCTTTCACAGCAAACTGCTTCTCCATCTGTAAAATTGGTCAGAGGTTAATTGCGCTCGAGTTCTATTTAGGTTCACTTACATCTTCCAGGTTCTCAGCCTGCTCAGGATCGAATGGCTTAGACATTTTTGTGATCTTTATAATGGAACTAAGCTCTAAGGTAGGAGATTAAGTGTGTAATGAGATAGAGGTGGGGACGAGGATGCTCTGCCCCGCGTACATGATTTTTTTTCAGCGGGCGGTGAGGGTACTGCCTCCCTGCATAACGTCATCGTTCCTGATCGTTCTAGAAGGCACTAAATAGAAGTCCAGTCGCACATATTCTGAATATTCTTAATAGTTACATATGGTATAGACTGTTTAATATGATGGGTGGAAGGTATTAATGAGTAGCAAAAGTTTAGTCACTGTCGGCATCGTCAGACAGTTCTTCAAATCTTCCCTCACGTACGGCCTGAGCCACAGGATTCTCCATAGTCAAAATTCCATTTGCTCTTGCCCTAGATAAATAGTGAGTAACAAGGATATATCAATAATTATAGGGAAACACTCACCTCTCAAACAGCACAAACAGCCTTTCTGCTTCTCTCTCCTTCTCCTCATTAGTCATAGGTGGTCCTGTATCTTTGGGCTCTGCGGCCCAACGCTGTCCAGTGACAGGGTTGAGTTCCGAATCTAACCCATCAGACTCGCTCGAATTCTTGGGCATCTCTAGCCCACGAGATGCCAGGAATCCAGCTGCGTAACCGTAACCAATCCTTTTTGTGAGGGTCTCAGGGTCCTTGTCACATAGAACGAACATGAGTTCGGAAATTGCGACTTTGAGGTTCTCGCAGTGGCCAGTTGAAAGTTTCAGAAGATGGGATGCAAGAGCGTCGGTATTTCCGATCGGCTGACTGCGATCTTTGTCCTCGGGCAAGAGGAGAGCATCCATCCGCTCGCGAGGGCCATCGGGTGCAAGCCCACGTAATATAATAAGTGAGTGCAATATGGGGATCGCCTTCTCCTCCAATTCCCGAGGCCCATAAACGAATATAGCTTGGTCAAGGATCTTGACCAAACTTTCCACGTTACAGTTGGGGTCGGAATCTGGGAAAAGGGTGCTCTTTTCAAAGTATTTGCCCATTCCGCCTTCAATATCAAGGACGGACAGAGAATTGATCAGAGCACTCAGCAGCCCTTCTAATGGGTTTTGGGGAATAACAATGTGATTGATTATTTGGAAAATATCGGGGATCGACGGCGAAAAAGCAAAGGTGACGTGGGAATGGATCTTGGAGATGTTGAAGACCAGCTTGAGAGTATCGGTAAGTGCCAATTCATCGATTTGAGGCAAAGACTGTCTCCCAGGCTCGGAGAATTGTTTTGCGTGCCTTGCCAGTTGCTGTACTGATCAGTATGGATACATTCAAGGGTTTCAAGTAGTCGCCTACATAGTTGACATTATCAGCCAATGAGTGATTATCTATCAGGTTCTTGTAATCCAGGTCGGTGTTGTAGGTCGATAGAAACAGGATTCGACTTGTGATCATCTCATCTTCTGAGTTGTTGGTCTGTAATGTCAGAATTAGTATTTGTCAGAAGTAGCAACCAAAGGTATAAATACCTTGAGTACCTCTGCCAGTTTTCCGGCATATCCCGTGTCTACGAAGACCTGACGCATACTCTCATCGAGGAGAAGAGCATTGGCAATGCATCGCAAAGCAGCACGTCGCTCGTTGACCGTCTCACCCTCGACTCCATAACGCGCCAATATTCCGATACCCTACGTAAGACGTCAGATCTCCTCGTGCAGCTTAAAATCCACTGGGCGCATACATCACTAGAATATATTGGCTCGGCATTATCGGGACTAGTTCCATGTTGGCGCAGTTGAAGAAGACTTTGAACTCGTTCTAGAAGGAAGGCATCTTGTGAGTACAAGATCTCTAGTTTTGTCAGATAGGGACTCACGCGCCGATATCAACTGCTTCTTCTGAATGTCTTGTTTGAGCGTATCTAACAGTTGTGTGACATCTTGTAACTTTGCTGTAACAAGAGAAAGACATATGAGCTTTATTTCTTCGGACCTCGTTCTGGATTGTTCGTGGTCTGGTCACTCATACCTGCTCCCTTAAGCTGTCGCAACGCCATGGTCGCTTCGTACGGAATAAAAGCTCTTCAATTGATCCAACAGAAATGATGAGAGGTTGAAGACAGTGCAAGAAAAACCTCTAAATAAGCGACAGAAACGACGAAGTGACAAGAACTCAGGAGAGAAAAGGAAACGCGGGGAACCATGGAAATCTTCGCAGGAGAAGACCCCGACGACCCCACTTGAGCTCGACTCTTTATATATGTATGTTTTGCACTGGAATAGATCTTAAAATTTTCACATAGTGTACTTGGTATAATTTGTTGCTTATCAAAACGCCTGAATTATAGACAGGTCAATATTGTCCACCCCGTTGAGTATACTTTTGATGGATAGTTCCAGTACAGAGTGCAACAGCTTATAATCTAAAACCTGTTGAGTATTTACCTATTTAGCTAATTAGATCAAAATAATTATCAGCTGACTGAATATAAAGAGATGAATACATTGGTAACTACAGAATAAAATATGCCTTGGTGCCTGAGGCGTGAGGCGAAAACGCGACCACTTAGTACGCGATGTCGCGGAGCGCGTTTCGCATTAGTTTTCACAGGGTCCCACTCTCCGACTTCACTATCGTCGTTCAGGGACCAACCTCCATAATTTGCTCGCCAAACAGCAATGGTCCCCGTTCCCATCCATTCACCTCACTTTTTCTCTTTTTAAACCATGGTGGAGGAGATTCTTGGGCCACTCCCTGCTCGTCCACCAACACCTCCACGGCCTGGTTCACACTTCGATAATCCTACCAATTCGCCCGTCCAAGTCCAAACCCCAGGAAACGAACCCTGTACAGAGTTCCCTGGTGCTACTCCATCAAGTCGCACCTCCAAACGTGTGAGCTGGGCGTCATGGGTTGCCCGCGCCATCGACGAGGAAAATCCTCCGTTTAAGAAAGACAGTCCGTTCAAGGATAGCCCTTTTAAATCAATTCTGAAGGAAACCAGTTCTCCGATGCCTGTGTTTTTGCCTACTATTGATAATAAACTCACATCTCTGTCTCTCTCCATGCTTCTGGAATCTGTCATCCAGCAACTTGCTGGAGAAAATGTCACCTCCCGTGTGGATGCATACCTGCAATTTTATAACGCACTTCGGGCATATGAGGAGTTACCACCACTGAGGAACATTTCAGAAAAGCTCAACCTGATCACAGACTTCATTCAGCGTGACGTGAGTCGAAACTCTTTGACCAACATACCTCTCGACAATAATCTTGCCAACCATGCTTTAAAGCTATCAGCTGTAATTGTCTGGCATCCAAAGATTACGCCAGTTTTATCTGATGAGTTCAAGACTTTCCTGATTGAACATGCAACCTTCTGTATTCATGAACATAAAGTGCCCAAGTCCGTTTTGACACATTACATGAATATCCTCTCCACCCAGACCTTCGGCTCCCGAATCATGACAACCACGCGCGTTATACGCCTACTCACCGCATTAAGACACATCACAGAGTTTGTCACTGGGAAATCGATCGTAGTGTACCGATTGAACATATACTCGCGTCTTCTTTTTCAATGCCAGTCTACTTTCGTGGCTCAATCTCCGTTGTGGGCGGAGCATCTGATTTTTGGCCTCCTTCATCACATCAAAGATACCCGTCAGAGAGCTATCACATTAGGCCTTCAAATATCTACAACTGTAGGCCCAAATCATACATTGTCGATGTCCATTCGTGACGTTTTCAATCAACCGATTCAGAACGGTGGCAAATTGGCGAGCGAGATTCGAGAGCGAATGTCAAGGATGGTAACAACACCGGAAACTGGTATTCATGTCCCACAAATTTGGGGCGTTTTGATACTTCTACTCAGGAGCAAGACCCAGAGCTTGGATGAATGGGAGTATTTCAAGGATTGGATTCTTCTCCTTCAAAAGTGTTTCAACTGCAGCGATACTGCCATCAAAGCACAGGCCAGTGTAGCCTGGAACCGCTTTGTTTCCGCTGTCAATCCAAATGAAAAAACAAGTCCGTCCTTGATCAAGATGCTCGGCAAGCCAGTACTTTCCCAGCTCGAACGCAAAAAGTCGGATAAGCCCATATCTGTGCCCAGTCAGCTGGCTCTCCGGAGCTACTATACCCTTCTGTATTACTGCTTTCGACCCTCATCTCCTCCCAAGCACCTTGATCTTGTTTGGGATGAATTTGTTGCGCTCCCCTCTCCCCGCATTCTCGACAGTGCCGGTTCTCAGCGAGAGTGTATCGCGTGTCTTGGCCAGTCTGCTTTGGAGTGCACAAGCCAAGGCCTGGTCAGAGACCCGAGTATATAGCAGTTTGAAAATTGAGGCCGAAGAACTTTCTCCCCTCGACCCCAAGTGGGTGCGCTCAAGACTACCCAGCGTCTTGAAAGTTTTTGAGTGCATTTTCAGGTCCTCTATTTGGAATCAAGAGAAGCCGGAGAAGTCTAATGTTGCTGTGGCATGGAACAATTTAGCCAATGCCCTATGTACGGCCTCAAGCAAAGAAATAACCCCCTCAGGAGAGTCTATGCAGGCTGCGGCTAGTATCCTTGGGCTTCTGCACTGCATTTGGATCACAGGACCTGTTTCTCTGAATGCTACTGGGCACGGCTCAGCTAATGCCTTTTTTGAGAGATTTCAATATCTGGCCGTAACAATTATCAACACGATCGGAAGCCCTTTCACCGAAAAGTCTGTCTTAAAAACCGCTGACGGAAAGTTTCGAACTGCCAGTGCTTCAGCCCGACGCGAGCTGGACGAAGGTAGAAATTTGAAGCCTTCCATTCTACATCTTCTAGAGATGATGACTAGCACTTCCGTGATCAATGATCCCATTCCATCCTTTGTACGCTTAATTGATGCGACCATTGAAGCATCATGTAAAGGAAGGATCTCACGTGGGTCTCGCCTGGAACTTTTACAACAAGTGGCAACGTTGAGTTGGCCTTCTATTGCCGAATCAGTCGACAATACCGTTTCATCCGGGGCAATCAACAAGTCGCCCCTTTCTGCGGCACTTTGGACATCCACCGCTCGTGCATCTGTGGATGCGTTACAGTCATTCCCAATTGAGTCTACCAGAGAGCGTGATGGGTCTATTTCCAAAGACTATGACAACGTTCATAAGATTCTGTTTTCCGGTCTCCAAATTGGGGTTGTGTTTCACGAGTGGTCGAAACTCCTCGAAGTATTCGTACGCGTCGCACGAACAGAGAAAGGAGTTGATGCGCTGGGTATCTTGATAATTGAGCCCATAGCTCAAAGTATCTCTGGTGTTCAAGTGAAGGATGCATATTTACCGCTAACATCCTTGCTTGGCCATGCTCTAACTGAGCCTTTACAGGGCTTGGGAGTCAGCAATGGCCAAATTGTTATGGAGGAAGCAATATCTTCGTCTTACTGCAAACTTCTGGAACAGATTGGAAGAACTCTCCAGCTAGCATATGCAACCCTCCATTCCGAACACAATTCATGTCTCGCTATTTTCATCGAATGTTTGACTTCCTTCCTGAACTCTGTGTCGCCATCAATTCGCTCCCATGTTCTGGATACCCTTCAGGGCTCATTATATCATTGGGTAAATGATGAAGACTTCAAACTTGATGTGAAGAAAGGTGTTGATAGTCGCATTTTGACTGCAGTAAGTTTGTGCAGGAAGGAAAAGATTAAAATAGCCAATGTAGATGCTGACTGATTGATAGTGCCGGGCCCTTACATCAACCGTTCTCACAATTTTACAGACATTTGTGGCCAGGGATTTTCAATCCCTGCAGAAATTTGAGATCATCATTTGTGCTGGTCTGGGGTCATCCGACATCTCCCTAGCAAATAATTTCGTTGATTTCTGGGTTTCTAGGGTGAACGACTTCAACGAGTCAGACCACTTAGCTTATTCGCAGAGCCCCACGGCGAAACAGTTCGCGCAGGTTCCTGAAAGACTAAAAGCCACGGTCATCCATGAAGCTAGTACTCTGGTAAGGCTTTCATCTAATTCTATGTGGTATTTTTTACTAATCGGTGGTCGTTTAGAATGCTTCCATTCCATCCCTAGCTGTGCAACAGCAGACTGAACCATTACCTGCCCTACCTCCTACCACAGCCTCCGTTATATCCACAGCGAATGACCGTCGCCAACCGACCTCATCACCTGCGATCGAAGTTGCTGAAGACTCAGCCGTCGAGGCTGCAGAGCCAGAGCCACAGTTCCCGATAAGCACCGACCAAGAAGAACCCGAGGACGCTATAAATCCTGAAACTTCAATTGTATCCCTACCTAGTACTCGACGCGATGTATTTCGAATGATCGAAGCTATCGGGTCATCTTCACCTGCATTAGGCTTCGATACCCCAGTACACTTGAGAAGGCTTAACACTTGGCAGTCAGCATCTGAGGTACCTTTGACGCCCACTCTTGTACCGACTGAAACGGAGGAAAGCTTCATCGGTTCCTCTCCTACTCCTGCAACCAGGGATCCAACTCCCATGGCGTCGACAGCTGCGGTCAAAGATGTCGTGTTGGAAGATACCCCGGATATTCCATCTTCGCCACCTTCAATGACTTCCCGTTCCCCAAGCCCTAGTAAGATGTCCAAAAGGGCTAAGAAGCGGCTTGCAAAGTTGAGACACTCCAACTCAAATTCCTATGCCGCAGAGCAACTCCCCCTCAGCGGCCCTGTTCACTTGCTCACACCTACACAAAAGAAGACACGAGGCTCGAAGATCAGTCAGGTTGAAGATCAAAGTGAACGTACTTCTACCTTGCTAGTTGATGAAAATGTTCCTAGCCGACGCACTCGGTCAGTTCTGAGCCAGAGCACTGGAAATAATCTGCATAATGCGTTAGACACGACAACAACTGCATCAAAAACAGATACACCCAAGAAGACCAACGTCCCAGCTTCACAAAACACTCAAACCAAGCCGGAGACGAGAAGCAGCAGAAAGAAGGAATCGCTAAAGCCGATTGAAATCGATAATGATCAACACATGGAAAAATCAATAACTCCCACGCCTGCTGTCACCGACGATGGAGGCGATCTGGACGGTGATGATTTAGAAATGCAAATTGCATCCCAACTTGGGCAAGATCTTGATTTGGAGCTTGATCTCGGCGATGAAGCGCCCGCTTCACAGTCTCCAGAAAAGGTCAATTCACCTCAATCTACGAAGAAGCGAAAGCGTGACGATGATGTCCAATCCGTTCCCACAACGGAGAGACGTCGTTCAACCAGACTTTCTACTGTAAAGAATTTGCTTCCAATCGACATTGAAGATTTGCACGCAGCAGAATCCCAGGATCCCGCAGATGTCGTTGAATCTTCCCAGGTTGCTCCCTCTACTCAAGCTTCCACCACGCCCCGACGCTCTACGCGCAATTCCCAGCGTAAAACCCACGAATCACCTGCAGCTCTAACACCTGATATTGTCGTGGAGAAATCAGCTTCGCAGCCACCATCGAAGAGGCCACGCAACAACCTGAATATTGATGAATCTTCCAACCTTTTCGTCGCCGAGGAGACACCAAAGCGAAGTAGCGTCACTCCCAACTCCCGCCAAAGACGGTCCTCTCGAAAGAAAAATACATCTCGGATTATGCCCTCCCAGGGAGACTCAGCTGATGATACTGCTAAGCCTGAGGTAGGCTTGGTTGAAGAGGAACAAGTCAATCAGGCCCCTGTCCACGGTCCAGTGACTAATACCAAGGAAGTCAACTTGTCTCTTGTTTCCCAGGAAGAGGTGACCACTGATTCTCAGATGATAGAGGCTCTGACATCGACTGAGTTCGTCGCTGATGCCAATGACAAAATGGATACGCAAGTGAATCATTCCACCGATCAGATCGCACAGGTCAATGATGTCGCCACAGCAGGCGTTCAAACCGAGTCAACTGAAAGTGCCAACTCTGAGATCAGTGACAGCGATATTTCTCAATCTCTGAAAAAACTGTTGGGCAACATGGAAACGGCAAGCATTAGCCCAGAGTCCCTCCGGGAGATTGATGATCTTCTTTTCAACATTCGCGTGGCAGTACACGATGCATCACGTCGACACCACAATTCCGCATAGCGATGGAGTTTACATTGGATCTTTTTATCTGTAATCAACTTTTTTGCCGCACCCCTTATTGGCTCCACCCTTGTGTCTATTCCCCAAATGCCCCAAATGCATAAACATGTCAACAAAACCAACAGCGGCCATTGCTTACTCTTTGTATTTCGGAATGGTGTTTCTGGGTGAATTTTCTTTCGTGAGATCATACTGTATCAATTGACATTCGACTCTTAGGAGAATTCGAACACAGCCCAATGTTTGAGGATTCAATGTCTGATTTCTAAAAGAAGTATTGTAAAGACGCCACCGTAACTCTCAATCTCCTAAATTTCCACCGCAACTCTCAATTCTGAACACCTATTTAAAGCAATATCTTCCAGTCACCATGTCTCAAATTGAAGAATCTACTGAATCCCGCCTCTCTAAGGCCCATGAAGCGGCTAAACGTGAAGAAACCCCAAATATCTCGAAGATTGCGCGTGATTATGGTGTTAGTCGACATACCCTCTCTAACCGCCTCAAAAAAGGGGCGACCGCGAGATCTCAACGAAACCCAGCCAATAAGGCTCTAGATAATGTCCAAGAGGAAGCTTTAGTACGCTGGATTGATCAGTTGCATAATTGGAATATGCCGCCAACACCTAAGCTAATTCAGGCATGGGCAAATCGCTCGCTCAGAGGTGCTAGCCATGTTGGTCTGAGTTGGGTGTACCGCTTTATTAAACGTCTTCCTGAAGAGCTACAGCTAGCTCTAAAGAAGCAATATACCAAAGAATCAAAGCGAATTCAGGCTGAAGATCCAGCCGAGCTAGGTCATTAGTATGATCTACTTGAATGCATTCTTCGAGGTGTGCCTTCGCGGTTGATCTATAACTTTGATCAGTTTGGCTTTCGACCTGGCGAGGGTAAAATCCAGGTGGCTAGTAGGAAGAAGAAGGCTTATCCTGATCTTGAGACTGAAGGAGGTGAAAATGTCACTGCGGTTGAGTGTATTGCTGCTGATGGATGGGTGATGGATCCGCTCTTTATCTTTAAAGATAGCGTCTTTACGTAGCCTTCGTTCGATGAAGATTTACCACCGAATATGATGATTAAAACGTCCCCGAATGGCTGGATATCTGATGAAATAGCCTTACAATGGCTAGATTCTTTTATTAAGGCTACGGATACACCTGATCGTCTGAAGAAAGGTATGTTTTACTCTTATTCTTACTCTTATTTTTGGTCTTAGTCTTACTCGTATTCTTTATATATAGGAGAGACGCGTGTCCTTATCTTCGATGGCCGTGACTCGCATCTTACTCTTGAATTCCTGCAAAAATGTGAAGACTATAAGATTATACCTTTTGGTTTTCTACCATATTCGACGCATCTTTGCCAGCCACTTAATGGGAAGCCATTTTTCAGCTACAAACAACATCTTCGATTGCTTAATGATGATATCTCTTATTGGTCTGGCGCGTCCATGACGAAAGCTGAGTTTCTACGGGAAACTCACCCTGTACGACAAAAGGCCTTCAATCCACAAATCATTCGAGACTCTTTTGAAGAGCGTGGTATCTATCCTATGGATAGTAATAAGGTCTTAAGTAAGCTCCCTAACCAGCGGGATATGATATCTAGGAACCTTATTATTACTGAAGGTAAGTAAGCTCCCTAACCAGTGAGATGCGATATCTGATCTTATTATTATTGAAGGTGGCCTTACTGAACTCCCTGAAGACCCGGCACCATCTCCGTCAACATCGTCATCTAGTATTGAACATACTCCTCCGACAACCATGGCAATGCTTCAGGAGAACCAGGAGATGCTACTCGAGAATATAGATCTTCTTACACCGAAGCTACAGAGGTGGCTTACACGTCTCTGCAATCTCTCCCGATTATTCCACAAAGAGCTTCTATTGTTCAAAGATATAGTTGAGCATATTATGGATGCGCAAGAATCACTCCGCCACTCAAAAACTAAACAATAGGTTAAGGGGCCACCGCTTCAGGATACTGGTATATTAAGTGTAAGTGGTGCAAATCGCGCAATTATAACCAGGAGAGCTACAGAAGATGCGGCTAAATGGAGGAAGTGGGTAAAGGAATGTAAAAAAAGATATGGTCATGAGCCACTACAACAGGATCAGAAGGAGGTTGAGATGGAAATAGAGGAAGAAAAGGTGGAAGATAGACCAAGAAGACCTGACGATCAGTCCTTGATAGTGGCGATAGAGATAGATATGCTATATTTTGAACAGATGCAGCGTCAATATATAGAATAGGTAAATAAGAAGTTACGGTGTGTTTTTTTTAAAAAAAAATTGAGGGTTACGGTGTTATCTGTGACGGGTGTTAGGAGTGGACGTTAGCCTCAAGTCTCAACAGCATACTCATTATCGGATACTCGTTGATGTACCGACAAGTATCAGGGTTCTCAGAGGTGTGCTCAGTTCTTCCTAGTGAGCAAAAGCAGCAAGGGAGTGAACACTGCCAAGGACTGGCATAGGTACTGTATACATCTATAGGCAACATTCATGATATCAAACGAGGCGGCACGCCATCAAAGAAGTATTTTAAAGCAAAAACCTTATGGACTTTGAACTAGCTTGGCGTTTACATCATTTATCTGTGCGTTGCCATCTTCTCGAATCATAGTAAACCTCGAGTGCTGCAATTTTCGCTACTAAACTAGAAATCGTCAGACAAGTCCAATAATGACTTCACCAGCGAAACAACACTCCATGAAAGCGACTTCTACAGGGGGACGAGATAGCGACACAGTTACTAGCTATCCGAACTATATTATTGATCCCACATTTGTGCTTCAGAGTATTGCGGGTAATCATCATGTCAATGTTCCTGCCGTCGCATTGAAATACTCGGTTATCAAAGGGAATATTCCGAAGCTAGACTTCACAATCCTGAGCAGGTATAGCAGAATGTGCAGACGCCTAGATGGCAGTTGACTGAGGAAGATATTCGTCGCATCGAGGAGATTTAGAAGACGGGATAAAAGGGTTGATAAAGCTCTAAAAGTCTTGTGATCTGGCCCAGTGATTATCCAGAGTATACGTGCATCGGGAGTGCCGAGACCACATCATATACATGATTAATTATTTCTGAAGCCTCAATATTTCATGAATCAAGTCCAAATCAACTGAATCAACTAAGTTCAAGCGAAATATAAAAGTTATCGAAATTATAAAAATGTGATGTATTAATCGCTGACGTTGTGATTGTTTTGGTTGTTAGTTCAAGTGGGGCCAGATCCCCGCCATCGATCTCTCTCACTTCTTTCCTTACTCAAGGTCTCCTCTTCCCTTCACAAAAACAATGGTTCGCGCTCACAAACCCTCTGCTATCGGAGTGGGTGAATCCACTCCACAGCCCATCCTTTCTGTCAAGGATGGTATCGTGGAGGTTACCCTTCCTTCCGGCGATTCCCTTACAATTCACCAGTATGGCGCTACTGTCACCTCGTGGAAGTCTCAAGGCCAGGAACAGATTTTCCTGAGCCAGAAGGCTCTTCTCGATGGCTCAAAGCCCATCCGTGGTGGCATCCCTCTCGTTTTCCCTGTATGTGAAGCATCTTGTCCCAATAGAAGCAGAGTCGCGGGGAAGCTAACTGCGTTTACATTAGGTTTTCGGACCCCCACCAAAGGATCATGCAACCTCGGCCTTGCCGCAACATGGCTTTGCTCGTAATTCGAACTGGGAATTCTTGGGCAAGTCGTCGGCGGAATCAACCGAGAGCCGGGACAAGCTGGCGGTGAAGCTGGACTTTGGTCTGTCGCACACTATGTTGACGGAGGGGTTCCGGAAGGCATGGCCATATGAGTTTGGTCTTGTTTACAGTGTTACTCTCAGCGAGGGTACATTGAGCACTTCAATCCAAGTGCGCAATGAGGGCCAGCAGAACTTTGAATTCCAGGTCCTCTTGCACACTTACCTGAAGGTCGAAGTATGCATCAAAGCTATAATTTATATACTTCATTCGGTTCTGATCTCGTGAAATAGGATATTTCCGATGTCCGCGTGAAGGGCCTTGACTCCAAGATCTACATCGATAAGACCCGCAACGCATCCTCCCACACCGAAACCTCCTCCGCGCTGGCAATCGCCGAAGAAACCGATCGTGTCTACAAAGATCTTGACCCCACTGTTCCAATTGTTGTGTCTTCCGCCAAGGATGATAAGCCCTTTTTCTCAATCACTCGTGAATCTTTGACTGATGTGGTGGTCTGGAACCCGTGGATTGAAAAGGCTAAGGGAATGGCCGACTTTGGCCCGGATGAGGCTTACAAGAACATGATCTGTGTTGAGGCCGGTTCGGTCTCTGCTTGGCAGACCCTCGAGGCTGGAGACTCCTGGGAAGGTGGTCAGAGCATCAAGTCGCGTCTGTAAATAACTATTTTTTTTTTTTTTTACATTCACACTCTGCTCATCGGCCCCTCCTGTTCTTGTATACCCGACGACGTTAAGACAGTTTCTTTCCCAAACTCCAAGATCAACAGGACTTGATCTACAAGATGTATTAGCACCTGGGCAGGATCTATGCTAACAAAATAACATCAGTTGAATGGATTTTCTACATCCTGAAATACTTACCATGTATTTCCCATTTTTTCTTCTCACGCTCATAAATCTTCCTTATGTCTTGGTGGTAAATAAACATTCTGAACATTGTAAAAATATCTCATCTAGTATACATTAACTTATTCCCCATGTCCATTCTATAAATTGACATAGTCAAGACACATCTCATCCAATTCTAGCATGGGATAATAAGCTTGGGCGAGATTGTTTACAGTCATTAAGCTGTGCAGCACGTCTAGTATCTTAAGTAGCTGCGGGCGTAGGGACTCGTTCATCTCGGGATTTGCCAAGATGTACTCGGCACAGAGGGAGAGAGGAATCGGCATGAAGGGATGCGTCTGAATCATTAGTGGTGTGTTTGAGCAAGTTCATGGATAAGGAAATGTACCTGAAAATGATTCAATTGTGTAAGAGCCTCGACCATCAGCCGGATATCCTTGGTGGTTGCTAGTGAAAGCTGTCTATACTCCATGACCAGTCTATTCCACTGCTCTGTCCCGGGTGGAAGAGACTGAATTAGGTTGTTCAAAAAGAGGATGTTTGTCGTGGTAATCAGCATGACAAATATCAGCATTGGATCCGACAATCCTGAGTTTGATTGTTCTCGCCATGATAGGGACTGCAAGTGTGTTCGAAGAGTATTGTCTAGCCATTGGTGGCGCTCCCAGAACTCTGAAGTTGCGTCGCCATAGACATTTTTGACCTGAGAGCTGTTTTTGTGCATGAGACTTCGGCCCCATATTGTGGCGACGATGACACATTCTGTGAGAGGACAGGAGAATTTGTAGCTGATTTGTCCAGTATCAGTCACGCCGATGACTTCGGACAGGAATGACATGACGACCGACTGGCTGCTTTGAAATTTGTCCTCGGGGGCTGGGAGTCGAGTAAATATCTGATCATCCATGTCAATCATTTCAACCTAGCAGCAGCTGCTAGAAAGACTGAGTTATTAAATACCTCTTGCTCATTCAGTGTCAAAGGCAACCCTTTCTTGACACTCACAAACCGATCGATCATATATGCTACCCAAAACGTTCGTCGGCCAGTCTCTGCTTCGACAAAATCCTTATCCTTTATTGCCGAGCCAGTGCTATCGATTTCATATAGACGCATGAGTTGAATGTAACGAAAAGCGCGCCCAGCACTGACAAGTCCTCGCTGATATCGATTGAACATAAACTCGTAGGTGGACAGCAGTATCCATGCCTGTACTTGTTCGATATGTGCTAGGTCGATTATGGTGTCGTCCGAATCCAGTCTTTCCAGCATCTGTCGCGTGTCACGGTATAAGGAGTCGCGCTGATACATGAATTGGCTGGATTGAGAAGCAGCCATGGTCCACATGGCGTACTGCAGACACTTTTGCGGCTGGCTTATATTTTGTTGCCTTGACCAAGATAAGTAGCGGCGTTTGTGGATCATGGGTGCAAAGGATTGTACTCGATCAAAGTATAGCTGATCTCTGCTTTTTCCGTCAGACTTGCTGAGCAGACTAAGCGCTTGAAATAATAGATTATTTGAAACTTACAAGTCCTGTCGGGCTAAATCAGTCACAGGAAGATCATTAAGTGTCCAATCTAGACTCGGCTCTATAGGAGCCACTATATCGAAAGGATTAACCTTGACATTGAGTGCGGTTGGTTTCAAACCCATCGGTATCGTCGTCGGCATGATGAGGTCATCCATAGCGTCTTGTAAAAGATCTTCATCATCATAGCTGCTGCTAGTGCTCCCGGTACTTTTGTGACGGTTCGTGCTACAGCTACAATTCCCAGAGCTTGGTAGCTGTATGACTCTTTGACTCGTCTTTTCCTGCTCGTTCAGTCGGCTTTCCAACGCCGCTAGACGTATTTTCAGCACTAAAATTCACTGAAAGTTCTAACTGAACCCACCAAGTTGATTTCGCAACACTCTCAGATGGCCTTTCTTCGGACCGCGAGGAGGGCGCGTGGTACGCATGCGACAGGGTATTTCTGCCTCAGCACAATTGCCGCATGTAGGCTGTTGCCTATCACAACGCAGCTTCCTTCTTCGGCAGTCATCACACGCGGATCCAGGTTGCTGTCGTGAATGTTCACGGCGGTTTGACATTTTCCAAGCAGGAATACCACCAAGGGAAGAAAGCGGATTCCAAGATTGCAAGTGGATGGAGAAAAGAGCAGTGAGATACATTGTATCTGCAAGTATCTATTTATCGCAGGACGTGGCCAAGAGGTCTTACATGTTGGAATTCTTATCCCGAGTCTATATTCCCGATTGAGTGGGCGTATGCAACCATGCCTAGATACTCCGTCCGTGGCTTACTCACCTACAGTCAGCGTCTTACATTCCTCCCAAGAATCCCCCTTTTGATCTGGGTTCCCCGTTCGGGCGTGGACCTGAAGTTGAATGACTGGGGTATTGCACAAAGCTTGATTACAATACACTGTAACACTGCAGATAATTTCCACCAAATCCCCGCAACTCCATGAGCCATATGCATAATCTGCCTGAAATGTCAAGTTCCGTCGTACTCGGGTAGTTCTCAAATATGGAACACCCCCGCCCGGGCTTTTCTTTTGCTGATCATTTTTGCCTAGGTGGTCTGATATCCAGTGTTTCGGCTTCTTGATCGGCATTCCAATATTGAACCACCGTAGAGAACACTGTTGTGAATCTCTCACTGTGTTCCAAGGTTCTACGCAGGCTCACATGTATATGCGTTCACTTGATATTTGATTTAACCCTGGTTCCCTTCAGTCTTGGTCAGGCTAATTCCACGAGGTTAAAGTGCACAAGCGTCTTCTACTTTAGGGCTGAGACCCCACCAAGACTGGAAAGAAAGACTTGAAGTCTCCCTCTAGGCTTTATCGCAAGTTCAAACTACTCATGCAGATAAGCATACCCACCTGGACAGATACGAGCTATGCAACCTGGATCTCGACATTTCTCACCAAGATTTCTTATCTTACTTTAAACCTTTCTGGCCTGGGCTTAGACTAAACGTCGCTGAATTAAACACCTGGGTAAGATAAAGAGAGCTAAAATTCCTGATTTCCAAGGTTGCCACCTTATATTGCCAGACCATTTAGCTCAGGAACATAGCTGGTAAAGATACTTCTGAAGTTTGATGAAGAGCAGCACTTGCTTCGTGAAGCTAGGAAAAGACTACATCCATTGCTTTTTCCCTGATTAGAACGCCTTAGTGCGGTACCTTTGAAACTGAATGTCTGCATGACTCTCCAGATGATCCCTGTACCGCCTGAAATCCAATCATCCCGGCAGATATTAGTGTTCATCTTATCTGTAACTTTCTATCTTGTACGACCACTGCAAAAGTTCGATGGAAAATTACGTCTATTCCTAATCAGTTTTAGATTCATTTTGATATGACTTATTCCTCTAATGGCTCCTTCACTATTGATGGTGTAGGCGAAAAAATGAACAAAAACATACAACAGTCAGGATTCGCATGTAGTCACCGTACTACTAACTGACGAGCGGTTTAAACGCAGACAATAGTCGTCGGGTGAGCAATGGGTGAGCGCTGCTTTAGCTTCGCGTGACTGAAGAAAAGTGTGTGTAATCGACAGTGTGAAAGCCGAGCGCCGGGTGAGATTGGATAATCTCAGCTAAGTGATTACTGCACTAGGGTTCGGGAATGAAAGTCAAAGAGTGAAGAGGTAAATCTGATTTTGAATACTATTGTAAGACAGACAGCCTGAGTGCTGGACTTTGCTCGTCACAACGGTTTCAAAGAGAAGCCTAATAGTGCCAACGGCAATTGGGCCATGACGGGCCTTAACGAGGCTCTGGTTCCGTTTTCAGGAAGTGGGATAACTCACTTGTATCTGATAGCTTCAATACAGTTTCTGATAGCTTCAATGTAGTTTCTGTTAATACCTTAAATCAACCTTGTAGGATAACTGAGAGAAACAACAATCGAGCCTATTTCATATCTTTCTGGAGTGAGCTATTTGTTTTTGCTTGAAGATGATTATCGCCAATATTCACTAATAAATGTATGTTAAACTCATGATAAACCCTTGGGCAATTCTTTTGTTATCATGTAAGTACTCAAATTCCCTCCAGTACTTCCTTGAAGATAGTAGCTATGTTCGCTTCACTAAATCGTAAATTTCTTGCGGCACATCCTAGAGTGATTACAAAACGTTCATATTCATAAACCAAGTTGGTAGCCTCACAAGACATAAATTGATCAGCTAGAGATATGAAGCTCTTGTGAGCCATTAGTAGTTAGTCCCCAAGAGGCTGCGTTACTCCTTCATCTTATGCAGATACTTGTTGAAAGTGCTGCCACTTTGTAGCCGTCGTCCATAAGACAAAATTATCCGTCCTCTGCGGCCAATGAATTACTACTAGAATTACTAGCTACGAATTCTCAAATGGATTTAGGATAATCAGGTTGGAACATTAGTGTAGAAGCTACAACAGCGCGAAGGAATTCGCCTCTAACAGGGGAATTGGTGGAAGAGAAATCACACTTGGTCTACGTCAAGCTCAGATAACCTTAGAAATTAGTAGAAGTTAGTAGAAAGGAAATCCCTTTTTTATCCTCGGCCAACAATTTTCCAAAGTTCTCCTCACGCTCGATTTCGTCGTCGCAACTCTCCTTCTCAGAGAGTCTTATATTATCAAAAGTTACTGCGGCATCAAAATAAATACAGATAATTCTGCCATTAAACACAAGGGTACGCTTTGGATAGACATCATCATGAGGAGTCCTAGCATTGTAAATCTCTTGCAACCCTGAACCGCGTAGGAAATCAGTTCTAAAGAGTGATTCACAGAATTCAGCTCTTCGAAATTTATTAAGTATTCAGGAAGAATGGCCTGCGGCTAGAACTCGTCTAAGCTATAATTTTCAAGTGGCGGGTCCAAAGCAAACGCGTCGACTCAATCAAGATAACCATAAGATATAATTGGATTTCCATGATTACTCGGTGTATGGAGTCGTATTGTATAAGTCATATTACAAATTGTGCCGGCGTGGAACTTTTGCAACGGTCTTCGGTCCCTAGTCTAATCGGTAAATGCTACAAGGTCACTTACATGTTCGGAGGTCAATGGCTTGGATCTTGGCCTCAGTTTTTTCAAGCCCCTCTTTTCCACTGATAGATATAGCACACGTGCAGAAGTTCGGGCTATTAACCACTCCAGTATCGATTGGAGCTTTCGATCACTATATTAAATGATTGCCCGGGTGGTTAACGGGCCATTGTTACCGAATAAACGCCCAATCTGACGCCCAAGTGCATGTCCCTGGGGTCCACATGACCTGATTGTTGAGTAAGAGAGAACGACAGAAAAGCGGAAATATATGAAATATACTACAGTTTAATACTAAGATACTACTTAGTATATGATCTCTCTTGTGAAACTCTAGACAAATTTCAGGAACGTTCTTCTTAAGACGTTTGTCCCTTTTAGTTACTCCACAAAGGAAAGTTCTCGTTCTCGGCCCGGTCCGCCCATGACCATCAACACAACATGCCATTTCAAGCCTTGTGAGAAGAAAGGTAAAGCTAAGTGTGGAATACTCAAAACTGACTGGCTATCTCATAACGGAATGGAGATTTTAGACTCGACATACGGTGCAGGGTCATCTAATCTCCGGAAATTTCTAACAAACCACTTTTTCCAAGCCCCGTGAAGAAAGGAACCAGCATAGCGGGGGACTTGCCGATGAAAATAATGATCAAAACATGTAGTATGTCAGGCCCTTAGAGATACATGATTGATTTCCATTATCGTGAGTCCTGGTCTTCCCTAATCAAATAATGTGCCTACCTACGTACCGGATTTCCTATTCCAGTTCTTGGTATACCCCTTCCTTGTTTAGTGCTCACAATTGCCGCTTCTGCTCACTGGGCGAGCTGAGTAAGAACCTCAATAAAATGCAGCACACTAGTCCATTCCTTTCCTCCATAGGTTGTCTACATCACCTCATCAATAATTGTCAAGTTTCATGGGAAATGTAAGTGACTCTGGCTTTCGTTGTTCCTAGTAGCTTAGTTGTCTGGAAGACTCATCTAAAAAGCGCGGACGCTCACTCTATACCAGCTAGGAGAAACAAAGAATGCAATCAAGTCCAAGGATAATAGATTACGTGTATAGTATCTTCTAGATGGCTGAATGCTGGCTGCTCTAGGCGTATCGATATATATATATTCATCTCACTATATGCTTGAAAATCGTAAAGGTTAATTATGTCCATTGGGTGAAAGGCACCGAGGACACCTGCCTCAGTACATTTTTGAGTGCTTAGAGTGTGGGCTATTGACGACGAGACTTAAAGCAGAGGAATGTGAATTTGAGGTAATATTAACACTAATCAATGACTAGTGATGCGGTTCTAGTGGTGAGCGCGAGAAATATGATACGACCTGAAGAGCCGGCGATCGCCAAATTTGTTGCTGACATAGCAAATGCAGAAGAGTAGGCCGGTCTGTATTCCATAGGCAACCATATGATGTTGACTCCATTATAGGTTATCCATGAAAAGTCATCGCTTAAGCCATATCCATATTGCCTAGGAACTGAGGTCAAATCATGAGGCATAGAAGCCAAAGAACCCATCGAACCCATGTCAAATGTACCGTTATCTGTCAATAGGCGATTCAAATCAAATTTATCTAATTGAAGGGGACTGATTAGGCAGGTAGAGAGGCTCTGGCCGGTGGCTGGATCCCAGATCCTGACCGTCTTATCCTCCGACTCTGAAGCAAGTTGGCTTCCATCATGCGACCAGGCAACCGACCAAACCGAACCACTATGCCCCTCGAGAGTGGATAGGCTCTGGCCAGTGGTTGGATCCCAGATCCTGACTGTCTTATCAGAGGATGCTGATGCAAGTCGGCTTCCATCGTGCGACCAGGCAATCGAGAGGACCCGGTTACTATGCCCCTCGAGAGTAGATAGGCTCTGGCCAGTGGCCGGATCCCAGATTCTGACTATCTTATCATCCGACGCTGATGCGAGTCTGCTTCCATCATGCGACCAGACAGTCGAGAGGACCAAGCCACTATGGCCTTCGAGAGTGGACAGACTCTGAACGGTGGCTGGATCCCAGATCCTGACTGTCTTATCAGAGGATGCTGATGCAAGTCGACTTCCATCTTGCGACCAGGAAATCGAGAGGACCCAATCACTATGACCCTCGAGAGTGGACAGGCTCTGACCGGTGGCTGGATCCCAGATGACTATCTCGGAGGATGCTGATGCGAGTCGACTTCCATCATGCGCCCAGGCAATCGACCACACCGAGCCACTATGCCCCTCGAGAGTAGATAGGCTCTGGCCGGTGGCCGGATCCCAGATTCTGACTGTCTTATTAGAGGATGCTGATGCGAGTCGGCTTCCATCATGTGACCAGGCAACTGAGAGGACCGAACTACTGTGCCCCTCGAGAGTGAATAGGCTCTGGCCGGTGGCCGGATCCCAGATTCTGATTGTCTTATCAGAGGATGATGATGCAAGTCGGCTTCCATCGTGCGACCAGGCAATCGAGAGGACCCAGTTACTATGTCCCTCAAGATTAAATCGGCTCTGGCCGGTGGCCGGATCCCAGATCCTGACTATCTTATCATCCGACGCTGATGCGAGTCTGCTTCCATTATGCGACCAGGCAATTGAGAGGACTAAACCACCATGACCTTCGAGAGTGGACAGGCTCTGACCGGTGGCTGGATCCCAGATGACTATCTCAGAGGATGCTGATGCGAGTCGACTTCCATCATGCGCCCAGGCAATCGACCGTACTAAACCAGTATGCCCCTCGAGGGTGAATAGGCTCTGACCGGTGGCTGGATCCCAGATGACTATCTCGGAGGATGCTGATGCGAGTCGGCTTCCATCATGCGACCAGGCAATCAACCAGACTGAACCACTATGCCCCTCAAGGGTAAATAGGCTCTGGCCGGTGGCCGGATCCCAGATTCTGATTGTCTTATCAGATGATGATGATGCAAGTCGGCTTCCATCATGTGACCAGGCAATCGAGAGGACTGGACCACTATGTTCCTCAAGAGCTTGAAGACAGGGACTCCAATTGACCTCTAATAAGGGATCCTTCAATACCCAATCTGGTCTCTCTTTCTGGAAAGATACTCTGGTGAGGCTCTTTATTGGGCTAAAGATGAGAGCTGAGCAATATACTTGTAGAGGGCTGCTCTCAATTGCTTTCCTATGATATCGAATGAACCTAGAGGCGTCTCGAACTCGATGTAATAGGGCTTCTGGCTCTCTTCCCTCCTATTAAAAGGCGTTCTTAGTTAAAAGATAAGATTATCTATATATAACCGCTTACCTTTATCAAGGCCTCAAGCCTTTGTATCGCTTGGATACCATCCGAAACACACCCTAAAATGCTAAGAGCCTCAAGCCAGTGAAGGAGTTTCTGTTGTAGAAACGCATCCACGCGACCCATATCATAAAGGCTAAGCTCAGGAGTTACATTACGCTTGCTGCCTTGGAGATGGTCCACCCAGTAGATACACGAGTATTCTACCGCTACTAGTGGATCTGGGCTAGGTTTGCTGATATCTTTGGTGGGGAATCCAGGTAATCTGATGTTGTAGATATCACGACGAAGTGCCTTGAAAATGACATCGAGAGATCGCGCGAAAATCATTTTGTGTTTAGCTTCTATACCTCCGGGGGATATCTTATCAAGTGCTTCCTTGAGTAAAAATTCCTTTGCGGACTGATGGATAAACACGATAGTATGTTCCCGTAATATTAGAAACGATCCACAGATTGCGATAATCTCCTTAAGGAGAGCATGGTCATCGTTGTCATCATCCGGTAGTTCAATAAGGGAAGTCAGTTCATTTAGCGTGATAGGCTGAAAGACTGTCAACATGATTTCCAGTATTTGCATACAGAGCTCAGCATCTTCCGACCCGCAAACCTGGTCAATCATTCGACTGTATAGAGAATCTAGCCCAGGAGGAAACAATTTAAGCTTCTTTAGCACATGTGTTCGTATCTTTCCAAGATTTTGACACACTAAGGCCACCCATAGGAAGGTGCCTTGCGAGTTTGATGATAAATAGCGCTGAACAGCATCCCGAGTTGTATCGCTATACCTTTTAGCTTGCGCCAATACGCGAACTTTATGTTGAATGAAATAATTCACAGCTTCAGACACAGACGCCTCGTTCAGCTCTAATGAAACTGGAGATAGCTGGGCTGTAATGCTAAGTTGCTCAGTTATTTCAGGCCAGTTACGGCTAGAAACAATCCATTTTATCTGTAAATTGACTGACGACTCCTGAACAATAAAGTCTAGAAGAGAATCAAGCCCATTTATGCACTCATCTAGAGCATCGATTACAAAATAAGTCATTTGTAAGGTCGGGTCTCTTAGAATATCCCTGAAGATCGTCAAGAGTGCATTCCATGCATTGACATCCTCAAACAGGGCCTTCCCAGCATTGTCGTACCGAGCTCGCACATGAGGGAGGAGGGAGGGATGCTTTTCAATAAGTAAATATATCAACCCCCGTAGGACAGACGTTGCGCTATTGATTCGCATATCAGCAGCCTGACAAAAAAAGAACGAGATATTGGCATTTTCCCCATATAATCGTGTCAACTCTTCGATGACACCACATATAAGCATCGTCTTGCCTTTGCCAGGATCACCTCTGATCCAGAGGAGACGATTTTTTCGGCTATTTTGCCATTGCTTGAATTCTTCGTTTTCTAGAATCCAGCGATATGACTCTTTGAGCAGTCCCCCTTTGGTCTTCTTGATCCGTTCTTTATCATCGAGAGGATTGGTTGTACGCAGATCCCGAAGGCATGCTTGGTTCAGCGTTTCCGGTTGTACTAAAGCCGCTTTAGTCACGTTCTATTAAGGTTATATCTTCAACTTACCAAAAGTGACATTCTCAACATTACCGTGAATCACTCCTGCTTGGAATCCAGAGTTTATACCACCATGGGAAATGGCTGTTGCCATAATTATAGCCCGATGGGTTTTAAGCGGGTAAGCCCACGGTTGAATCTCTAGGGTTCCAATACCCCGCGATCAGGTGATCTATCTAGACTGATTTAGCAACCCATATTTACCCAAAGAGGAATAGTTTTATTTCACTTGCCTAGGAGTCGTAGATGTAGCTTCATTAGCCCGCGTGAAAGAAACGCTTTGATCAGAGTGATTAACTGTTGATTGTAGAGTAAACTTGTTTCTGAAAATTACCACCCCATCCAATATCGCTTTCGCTTTACCTAGCAATTATGCGGAGTAGGCATCTACTCGGACCTAGATATGCATGTCTCATTTGATATATCACATATCTAGGTGTAGATGACTATCTAGCTTGGCTACCAATACGAGATAGCCTCAGTTGAGGACCAATGACAGTACTGCATGACCCTGACGAGACTTTTAAATCCTCTTCTAATACGAATGGGCTGTCTGACGGCGAGCACCCAGGTTCACGGGTATTCCAAGTTGCAAAGTTGTCTTCTGTGCTTTCAACTCCTGATAAAGTGACCATGTTTGGTTACCATGGCTTCCATAGACTTAGATGGTCCAAATTGGGGCTTGCAGGTGGGGGTCAACAATGGTTCAATTTATGCATCTCCTGGTAGGTTGCATATACACGACATCGGAGATGCCTCAGCCAGTTTCAAGCTAATACTCCTCAGGGCGACCGGAAACCCCACCTCATCCGCTTTCGACCGTGCCATTTTGTCATGATCCAGATTTTATCAGTCGTGGGACAATACTCGATGAGATCTTCCATAAAGGAGTGATACCAGGCTCTCGCATCGCGCTTGTGGGCTTAGGTGGGGTTGGGTAAGTTTGGATGCATTCTTCACCAATGCCATTACTCATAGCTGGAAAGAAAATCACAACTTGCGATCGAATACTCTCACCAAGTTCGAGCCCAGTCTCCAAACACATGGGTTTTTTGGATACATGCAAGCAATTCAAACCGTTTCAAACAGAGCTGCGAAGATATTGCCGATCGAGTTAAGATACCAGGCCGACAAAATCCCAAGGCGAATATATACAAACTCCTTCACGATTGGCTTCATGATGAGAGGAAAGGCAAATGGGTTCTTATCGTTGATAATCTAGACGATGATCAGTTCCTCCATGAGCCTTTGACGGTGGAGCAGGATGGTGAAGGGAGTGGACGATCGATTTTAACGTATTTTCCTCAAAGTCTGGGAGGATTGATCCTAATAACAAGTCGCAACAAACGTGCGGTATCGAGTATAGTCGAGGAAACTGACATCATTCCAGTCGAACCGATGGATGAAACCCATGCGAACTTACTTCTTGAAAGAAAACTCGCAGGACAGGCTTTTACCACAGACGAAGCCCTTCAACTCATAACTGCATTAGACTTTATGCCGCTTGCTATTGCGCAAGCAGCCGCATATATTAAACAAAGGACACCATACCTTTCAGTCCCGAAATATCTCCAGGAATTTCAGAATAGCGACCACGAGAAAGCGGGTCTTCTAGACTATGACCGAGGACAGCTACGACGGGACAGAGAAGCAAAGAACTCCATCCTCATTACTTGGCAATTATCCTTCAATCATATTCAGCGAATCAGATCATCAGCGACTGATCTGATCTCACTTATGAGCTTTTTTGATCGACAGAATATTCCCAAGGGCTTACTTCGGTACCAAGGAGGGGATGAAGACGATGGTAAGAACTAACCAATGAAACATAGATCTAGGACTAATCAAAGCTTAGCAGACTCTGCTTTAGATCATAGGCTTGAGGATGATTTGCTGATCTTGAGAGACTATTCTCTCGTCTCTATCAGTATCGACGGATCGACCTTCGAAATGCATCGACTGGTACAACTCGCTACGCGGAAATGGATTGAAGCTCATGGAAAAATTGACTGGTGGCGGTCAAAGTTCATTGAAATTTTGAATCAAGAATTCCCAGACCCAGTTTTCGAGCGCTGGGCAGTCTGCAAAACACTTTTTCCTCATGTGAAATCTGTTCTCACACAACGACCGAAATGGAATGAAGAAAAGTCCATTGAAAAGTGGGCTGACCTACTAAGTAAAGCAGCAGAATATGCATTCCTCCAAGGGGACTCAGCTGAGTGTCATTTAATGGCAGACCTGGCTGCAGAGGCAACGAAAAGAGTATTTGGCCTAAACGATATGAGAACATGCGATTGTCTGGACATGTTGGGACTTGCATTTATCTTGAAACACCAATGGGGCGAGGCTGAAAAGCTATTTGTGCACGTTATTGCGATGACTAAACAGCTTTTGGCGCCAGAACATCCCAGAACTGTGAGTGTCATTGGCAACCTAGGTTTTGTCTACGAAAAACAGGACAAGTTGAAGGAAGCCGAAAAGCTGTTCATACATGCGATGGACATGAGCCAGCGGGTGATCGGGCCCGAGCATCAAAAAACAGTACGCATCATGGGCAGTCTAGCTTTAGTCTACAAAAGACAAGGAAAGTTGAAGGAAGCTGAAGAATTAGGACTGCGTGTGATGGAGATCCTTAAGCGGGTGACCGGACTAGAGCATCCTGACACTCTAGATAGTATGTCCAGCCTCGCCTTTATCTACCGTAGTCAAGGGAAATTAGATGAATCCGAAAGGCTATGCTCAGATGCAATGGAGATCAGCAAGAAGGCGATCGGACCAGAGCATCCCATCACTCTGACCCTCATCGGCAACCTGAGTTCAATATATCAAGACCAGGGCGAGTTAAAGAAAGCCGAGAATCTAAGAGCTAAGACCATGGAAACTTACAAGCGAGTGCTCGGGCTACATCATCCTTCTACTCTAGCCAGCATGTCCATGCTAGCTTTTGTTTACCAGTGTCAGGGAAAATTAAAGGAATCTGAGAAGCTATGCTCAGACGCGATAGAGATCAGCAAGCAGGTGATCGGACCAGAGCATCCCGACACCCTGATCCTCATCTGCAACCTGAGCTCAATATATGAAGACCAGGGAGAGTTAAAGAAGGCCGAGAACCTAAGAATTGAGACGATAGAGATTTGCAAGCGAGTAGTCGGGCTGGACAATCCCTTCACTCTGGATACGATGGCCAATCTAGCTTCGGTCTACTTAAGCCAGGGGAGATACGAAGAGGCCAAGGGTTTATGGACTCAGGTAATGGAGGTTTCAGAGCGGACTATGGGGCGAGATCATCGCGATACTTTGAATGCCTTATACCACCTTGCCCATACCTCATGGTTATTAAGTGAGCACGAATCTGCCATACAAATGATGTCAGAGCATACTCGACTGCTTGATCAGCATCTTGGCCCTGTTCACCCACAAACCGCATCTTTACTTCTTCAACCACAACATCGACGTGGTATTGACGCTTCTTCCGCCCATACGAATCAAGTACTTATTGGAAGACAAGATGAGCAAACGCAAAACGTCTCGATGGGAAAGTCTACAAGATTTCATCAGCCTACAGGTGGCCACCAGTCTACTCGAGAGATACTTTCACGCTTCTTCCGCCGAAAATGAGAGATTTGAACTATTGATACCTTGTCTGTGTTCTCGAGGAATACTCTAGTTTGTAATGGATAGTGAGTAAAATCAATTGATAAAAAAAAAAATTCATCAATCGCAACTTGCAAGGTTGGAAAGTTCATTTTCATAAGTTCATAGGAACTCAATCACCTTGGCACATACGTATAAATTTAGTTGACCACTCTCAAGATCGTTAATACCGGTGGATCTAGGTACGAAATACCTAGAACTAGTCCTAGAGGTCAAAATTCTAGCGCCACTTTTTAACCCATATATAAGGAATTACCCCAACCTTGGAATCTAGTGATGATATTGGATCTAGGTCTTTCCAACTACAGTAGCGCGCATCCTTTTCTGGATATTCTATCTGGATATTTTTGGAAACAGGTGGAGAACGGTATCGTGAAGGTGTGTATACTCCAAGTGTCCCGGAGCAGGAGGTTTTTTCATCATTGAAAATATTTTCTTAGGATACAGATCTTTTCCTTCACCGAGGAATATCGGAATTGATTTAGCTCAAATTTGACCTTGGAATTCTTTGGGTATTTTCTTTGTTACACTCTCCCGAGCGCTTGGAAAGTAGAATGTTCAATCTTAGCCCCGAAGCCGATTCATTCCCGAAAAAAATTGTCAGTAAATTACGAAAGCTAGATTACTTATGTTAAACCTGGAAGCCAATGTAGAATGTTACGATAACAACCTTGGAAAGCTTTATCTAGGTCTCGAGCTACAGCCTTAGAAATCTGTATGGTGCCACTTCTGTCAACCCTTGATAGTCAAGTCTTCCGAGGTCCCGAGTATGCGCCCATTCTAGAGCTTATGGATAGCCCGTTTCTAGATCTAATATTCAGAAATAGGTTTAGAGCATCTTTGAATAAGCTTCTTCCTACGGGTTGAGTGGGCGTGAAGTCAAACTCTTAGTTTGTACTATATTATCTATAGATTGATTCTTATAGGCGTGGAGCCCTTGCAAGGAAGCCTAGATGCATAGAGCATAGTAAGAAAGTGTACCTGAGAAACTTCAGTTCGCCACATTCAATAGCTTTTCAGTGTGCCGAAAAAGTGATCAATCACAATTTGTCATGACACCATGCTGTCCACCGGTATTTCTTTTCGAGATATGGCGTCGTATTTGCGTGACTGGTGGATGGGTTTGATACATAGGTACGGAGAAATGATTCAGTCGAGCAATCTCCATAATTTAGTCAAGAGTGGCAACCAGCAGTGCTTGTCAATCCTTGGCATTTCATCTCCTGATTACATGGTAAGTTCAGCTCAAAAATCACAATACTAGAGTCTTGGCTTTAATTATCTATCACAACGTACATAGATGTAGCTTGTCACGCCTGAAATCTGAAATTCAAGCCTTGTCTATCGCCCGGTGGCCCAGCTCTAGCCGTCGTTTCTTGGAGTATTCTAGAGCGAAGGTCAGATATCCCTGCGACAAGGATGCAACACGCTCAGCTGCTTAGTGACAAATCCCCTTATCAGAGAAATTTCGAGTTCAGAGTTCCCATAAATCAAATATCATTGATTATGAACTCCACGATATGATTGGGCAAGATCTACAGAACTAAACCCGATGGTGATCCTTTTCCACCCACGGAGTTCTCCGTGTACCCACTTTTGATAGAATACCTGCAGTGGATCGCGCTCCTCCGTCGGACTTCCCTTTGATAATGGATCTGTAGCCCGTGGCATATAATAAACTTAGGTAATATTATTTAGCCCTAGCCTATAGAGTATGTGCTCAGATCCCATCCTTGGTAACCGAGTGCGGCCCCACTATTCCGTAGTTTTTAAGTTAAGGTTGGCTTTGACATGACTGGCCCAAATACTTGCTCCATAACGCTTTGTCTAATTTTGTTATCAGTCAGTTACATGGACTAAAGGTTGCATCCGGCGTAGTTCCATAATGTATACCATTGATTCGCCTCTTGGTCTTATCTACCCTCACTATAACCACTAAATGGCGTGATAAGTCTGGGGTAAACATTGGAACTAATGACCAAACTATGATCCTTATGGACTGATATCTCGCGGGTAGTTTCTCAATTTTGCACACCGCAGATGCAGGGTGCATTAGTCTGTAGCGGGATAAGAATATAAGTTCTCGCCGCTTTCACTACCTTCCCTCTTTTGTATTCTCCCTCCCCCTTCACATCTATACTTTCTGTCTTTCACCTTTTGGACTGCGCCCTTTCACCATGGCGATCCAGGAGATTTCCCGCTCTTCTATGGAGATCCAAGAGAGCAACCAGGATGTTGTTCTCATGAAAGGCGATACAAATGTTGATCCCCATAAACCCGAGAAGAGTCTCGTGTCAGACAAGTTCCTTGCGTCGCTGGGTGATGAGGATCCAACTCCCGAGGAGCTCGACGGTCCGAACGCGCTGCGTCGTATCTCTGCACCTATTCCGCTCGCCGTTTACGCAGTCGCTTTTGTTGAGCTCTGCGAACGGTTTTCATACTACGGAACCCAGGTCTTGTGTAGGTCAACCGCGACCAATGCGCTCGAAAGATTACGATTATGCTAACCAACCTCAATATGTGCGAAGACTCCAACTTTGTAAACCATTCTCTACCTGCCATCGATGGGCCTGCGGGATCGCATCATAACACAGGTGCTGGTGGTGGTACCTCACAAGGCATATCGGGTGCTCTTGGAAAGGGTGTTCAGACTGCGAATGGTGTGAACACTTTCAACACCTTCTGGTGTTACTGTGTACCTCTGTTCAGTGCCTATATTGCTGATGAATACTGGGGACGATATAAGACCATCTGTTGGTCCATCGGATTTGCCATTCTGGGTCACATCATTCTTGTCATCTCCGCTATCCCTCCCGTGATTGTTAACACCAATGCTTGCTTCGGCGTGTTTATGCTTGGTGTTATTATCATGGGTCTCGGCACTGGTGGCTTTAAACCTAACATCTCTGCGCTAGTCGTTGAGCAGATCCCTGCTGTGAATCTCAAAGTGCGCACTGAGCCCTCTGGTGAGCGTGTGATTATCGACCCAACTATCACACAGAGCCGTATCTATCACTACTTCTACCTGTTCATCAACATCGGTGCTCTGGTTGGTCAGATTGGTATGGCATACGCCGAGAAGTATGTTGGTTTCTGGCTGGCATACCTCCTTCCCACCCTCATGTTCTTGATAACTCCATTCATCATGTGGTGGGGTCGAAATCGCTATCGTCAGAGCCCTCCTCAGGGTTCAGTGACCTCCAAGGCTATATTAACCTTCGTATATGCTCTCCGAGACCGCTGGCACTGGAACCCTGTGAAGTTGTGGAAACGCACTCATGACGGTACTCTCTGGGAGACCGCCAAGCCCTCAAATATCCCACCGCACCTACGACCCAAGTGGATGACCTTTGATGACGCCTTTGTAGACGAAGTACGCCGTGGATTCGCCGCTTGTGCAGTCTTCTGCTGGTACCCCCTCTATTGGCTTGCATATGGTCAGTTGACGAACAATCTGACCTCACAAGCTGGTACGATGAATCTGGGCGGCGTGCCCAACGATGTCATCAACAACCTAGATCCGTTTGCGCTGATCATCTTCATCCCCATCTGTGACACCTTACTGTACCCCGGTCTGCGCAAGATGGGCATTCGATTCACTGCCATCAAGAAGATCTTCTTCGGATTCATGCTGGCTTCGTTTGCCATGATCTGGGCCACCGTAGTTCAGCACTACATCTACAAGACTTCGCCATGCGGATATGATGCTAATAACTGTTACCTCGATGACGGTAGCGTCAACAACTCTCCTCTGAATGTCTGGATCCAGACTGGCTGCTACGTCCTCATTGCACTATCTGAAATTTTCGCATCTATCACTTCTCTCGAGTACGCTTACTCCAAGGCTCCTCGAAGCATGCGTTCCTTCATCCAGGCCATTTCGCTTTTCACCAACGCCATTTCAGCTGCTATTGCCGAGGCTTGCAACCCGCTATCCGCCGACCCCTTGCTCGTGTGGAATTACGGCCTGTTCGCCGTACTGGCTGGTGTTGGTGGCGTTGGCTTCATCTGGCAGTTCTGGGGACTGGATAAGGAAGAAGATGAGCTTAACAACTTGGCCGAGGGCCATGTCTTTGCTGATGAGAAACCTAGCCCCGCCTTGCTGGTTGCTGCGGAGGTCGGTCCTGTTAAGGGGTGATGTTCTGAGCTGGAAAGGACGGATGAATGAGTGGCTATTTTTAATAATACTTTTCTTATAAGTTACGATGCGAACGTTGCTAGATTAATAATGATCATGTTATTTCTCACTCTCCAGGGTTAATTCAGTCCGAAGTTTATGCCGCCTCGTATGGAGCGTAGAAGCGACGATCTGGGTTCATCCAATCATGAAACAAACAAGCCAATATTACGAACCGGTGTTTTCTTGTTCAATAGTAAAATTAGGTAGCCGATCTGTGGAGCTTCAGGCATCAATGAACGGTACACTGCATTATCCAGGCTGAAAATGACTCCCATTACTCTGTACTCAGAATTTCAGATCAAGTTGACTAAGACGCAAATAGATTTATGGCAAGGCATCCCAAATTAAATCATTTTTTCTGTAATACATCTATCTATGGAGTACAGCCTACTTACTCCTTTAAGATCCACATTTCCTGTTTACGTAGTGAATCTGGCATGATTGGTAGTATGGTGGGTCAACGCTAACCTAAACTAGATTGTGCTGCGATGCATTATTTTCAAGTTATGCTCACATCTTCTGATCCGCGTAGTCCCTATCACCTCTACTTCATACCCTCTTTAGTGTTGATAAGCTTATACGGTGATTTTAAGGATTTCTTCCTTGATTCTTCTTCAACCTCCGTACGGATTACGGAGATTACTATGCTAAGCATATGCAGGCTTAAACTAAAATCGGTACTAGTGATACTACATAGGTAGGTTTTCAGCTAAGGTTCCTCGCATAATCAGATGTATCGAGTACAAGTCAGTCTGTATAAGGCTACATGACGTGGCTTGCAAGGCATGGAATCTTGGAACGTTCCGGGAGGCTATATCCTATATCCTATATCCTATATCCGTCAAGCTGCCCAGCTTCAAATCTCCAGTGCCTGGTTCCTCAACATTCTTTCTGATTTTGCTATAGGGCTAATGCTATGACTTACCACAGGCTTACCCAGGCTTGCCCAGGTGCTTTTGAGTCTTGATCTACATTCGATTTAATACCCATGTAAACCGGAGGACGGATGTCGGAGGATAGCGAACCAAGGTTGCTCAGCAAAACGGTTAGACATGACGTATACGCCGTTGCGCCTTTTTTATGCCAATATTCCATGCACCCAAGAAACAAAAAAAAAAAAACCTAGTATAACCAATTAAACCCCACGGTAATCTTCGACGATACAATTCCATCTAGGCTCACATAAGACACAAGGCTGCTCAGGCTGAAAGGAAGACTTAAAATGTCGAATTGAATACTAAAATAGGAATAAGCAGGCCCGCTCAAATTGGACATGTGACCTGTGAAGCCCTTGTCTTTAGCTCCGCTCCGCCCAAAATGGGAATGCCCCATCTTACCTGCCTTACGCTAACTTCCATCGCGATCCTTGAAAATAGGAGAAGATCTGGGTCAGAAAACCGGGCATGGCTGGACCACTCTTCCGGTCGCCCCGGCGCATAAATAAATATCAATACCCCTAGCTTATATTGATGATCCTTGCCAGGTTTCCTTCTCCCCCTTCTTTCATCTTCTTTGATTGAAGAAGTGCTGTAGTTCCACTATGAAGGTTTCTGCGATCATCGGTTCCATTGCGCTAGGCGCCTTGCCAGGTACGACTCCATCTTAACACCTCTTGACTCCACATTGATGTTGCGATAATGTTCAACTCCAACCGAAAAATAAAAAAATATATCGGGAAATAAAATATCATGAAAATAAATAAAACTAATTATTGGCTCGATTGATCTTGCAGGCGCAGTTGCTGCACCTAACCCTGTGGCCTTCGAGTCAAAGAACGTCGACATCTCGCGCCGTGCCCTTCCTAATGCCCCTGATGGATATGCACCCAAGAATGTCACTTGCCCAGATACGCGACCGACCATTCGCAGCGCTGCAACACTCTCTACCAATGAGACCGATTGGCTGAAGACTCGCCGCCCGAAGGCGCTCTCGGCTCTAAAAGATTTCTTCGGCCATGTTACTGTCGGTAGCTATGATGTCGCGTCGTACCTGGAGAAGCACTCGAGCAACACATCAAACATTCCCAATATCGGAATCGCTGTATCTGGTGGTGGATACCGTGCTTTGATGAACGGTGCTGGTGCGATCAAGGCCTTCGATAGCCGAACTGAGAATGCCTCAACCAGTGGTCATCTCGGAGGCTTGTTGCAATCAGCAACCTACCTCGCCGGCCTGAGTGGAGGCAGTTGGTTGCTAGGTTCCATCTACATTAACAACTTCACCACCATCTCGGCTCTTCAAGCTAGCGACAATGTATGGCAATTCGGAAACTCTATTCTTGAGGGTCCCAAAGATGGCTTAATACAGATCCTCGACTCGGCCGACTACTACGTAGACTTGGTTAAGGCTGTTGATGCTAAGGGTGACGCTGGCTTCGACACTTCGATCACTGATATTTGGTACGTCATCTTAATCTATCACTCAGTCTTCATGCTGACATTTTCATCACAGGGGTCGCGCACTCTCCTATCAAATGTTTAATGCTACCGACGGTGGTATTGACTATACCTGGTCATCGATTGCACAGACCTCGGCGTTCCAAGATGGTGACTATCCCTTGCCTCTGGTCGTTGCTGACGGCCGTAACCCCGGTGAATCTGTTGTGGGTAGTAACTCTACTGTCTACGAAATCAACCCTTGGGAATTTGGCTCGTTCGACCCGACTATCTTTGGGTTCGCTCCTCTGGAGTACCTGGGTTCACGCTTTGTCGATGGCAAGATTCCGTCCAACGACAGCTGCGTTCGTGGCTTCGACAGCGCAGGTTTCGTCATTGGAACCTCGTCGACTCTCTTCAACCAGTTCCTTCTGGAGCTCAACACTACCTCGCTTAGCACGACCGAGAAGAGTGTCATTGATAGCATTCTTAATAAGCTGAGCAAGGCCGATGATGATATTGCCGCATATGACCCCAACCCTTTCTACCAGTACCACACCGACTCCTCGCCTTATGCAGACCAGACCAAGTTGAACGTTGTGGATGGTGGTGAGGATCTGGAGAACATTCCCTTGCACGGACTCATTCAGCCTGAGCGTAATGTCGATGTCATATTCGCAGTCGATTCATCCGCCGACACCGACTACTATTGGCCCAACGGTACCTCTCTGGTTGCAACCTATGAGCGTAGCCTAAACGTCACTGGTATCGCCAACGGCACCTCTTTCCCTGCCATCCCGGACCAAAACACCTTTGTCAACTTGGGCTTGAACACACGTCCTACCTTCTTCGGCTGCAACAGCACCAACACGACCAATATGACTCCCCTGGTCGTCTATATCCCCAACTACCCCTACTCGGATTTGTCCAACGTGTCCACCTTCGATCTCTCTTACGAGAATTCCCAGCGTGACGATATTATCCTGAATGGCTACGAGGTCGCAACTATGGCCAACAGCACCCGTGATGGTAATTGGACTACTTGCGTCGGTTGCGCTATCCTGCAGCGCTCTTTTGAGCGTACCGGCACCACGCTCCCCGATATCTGTACTCAGTGCTTCACTGACTATTGCTGGAACGGCACCACCAACTCCACAACTCCCAATACCTTTGATCCTGACACTTTCTTCGCAGAATCGAATGGTGCTGGTATCAGTGCTGTACCTACCGTGATGTCTGCTTTGATGGCAGCTGGTGTGGCTCTCTTCACTATGGTCTGAACGTTACTCTAAAAACGATTGCATCAGATGCATTACAGCGTCTTCTTATCTTTTTTTCCACTGTAAATTTTAATTTAAATCAAATCCCTCACCTGTCAACCTTACAAATTGAGAGCATTCGCACAAGATGTAAATTTGTACGATGTATATAAATCGATACTAGATTTCGATGACAGCGGTCACATGACTACTTCCATTTCCACTTCGATTCCATTTTAGGACTAGTAGTGGCCGTTGATCTGGTCACCGCGGCAACAAAGTGGGTCAGCTCTGCAGGCTAACTCGCGTTGCGCACACCTGTTCCCCTCCATCTTCTCTTCCCCACACAACTTTCTCGCGACATTTCTTCGGCTCACATCGAATGCGCCTCTTAGTTACTCTTTCTTATCCTCGCGATAAGCTTGAATGATTCAACTCGCCAGTTACTAACGACAACCGCGATCGACAAATCCATACAAACTTTCACCGCCATGGCGCGTCCTGCGGTTCTCCCAGCTTCACCTGTGAAGCCTGGTTCCCGTGCGGCAACTAGATCCAGTGCGACTAGAACAACAACCTCTGCTGCTGCGAAAGCTCAAGCCCCTGCTAAAGCGACAGTCACGAAAGCGCCAGCTAAAGCCAAAATTACGAAACCTGCACCCAAACCTAAGACCACCAAGGCCCCCGCGAAGCCTAAGGTCACTAAAGCCGCTGCGAATCCAAAAGACGCCAAGCCCACGAAACCCATCACCAAGGCACCTGCGAAGCCCAGAGTTACTAAAACTAAGGCTTCTCTTGTCGAATCAACTCCCTGCTTGGAAGACAGCGATGATGAGCTCGATACTTTGATGAAAGAGGAACCCCGAGTTACTCCCGCACCCCGCGTGCGCCCTGCTTCCACAAAAGTGGTGAAGTCTGCCGTTTCTGAGCCTAAGAAACGCCCTGGGCGTCCCAAGGTCAACACCGCTGCTTCTAGCGCCCAACCCAAGCCCGCCCCGAACCCTCGTGTGAAAACACCCACCACCCGCCAAATTATCAAATCTGCCATACAGAGCGCAGTACCCGATATTATTAATGCGACGAACAATGCATTTCACGGACGCTCCAATATTCTGCGTGGCCCTGCCAAGAAGAAGACCGTTCGTTTCGCAGAATCTCTTCCTTCAGAGGGGGATCCTTCAGAAGGAGAATCGGATATCGAGATGCCTGATGTCATTGACGCACTCAGTGCTGGTCTGGATGCTTCACCGATCCGCAAGGTTACCCCAAAGACGCCAGTAGAAAAACTTTTTGCCGAAAGTAAGGACATTCGACCTTTCTCCCCGCAGACGGCAGCTAGAATTGCGAAGTGCTTGTCTGTTTACGCTCCCATCTCTTCTGACGAGGATGAATTGTCGATGAAGATCTCGGTCCCCGCGATCACCTCGCCCCTTCCTCAAGTAAATGGCCCAAATAATACTCTCAACACTCCTGTGAAGCGCGTCAATTTTTCACCCAACAAAATTTCTTCTCTTGTTGATGAGAATGGCAAGGAGAAAGTGTCAACCCCCACACTCTCCACAATTATGTCCAGCCCGGCAAGACGACCTGAAATATCTCCCTCTCCGTCCCCTTTCAAGTACTCCATCGGGCGAGGTGTTGTCTCCAGAGAAGGCGCAAACTCTGCCCCTGTGCCCGAGTTGAATCTTGCGGCCGCTTCCCCGTTAAAGATGTCCCCTCGAAAGGGTCATCTCGGCGCAATCTCTATGAAATCTTCAGAATCTCTTGCCTCTCCGACGTCCTCGCGATCGTCACTTTTCGCTAGCCCTGCGAAGAAGTTTTCCAATTTCTTCAGAAATTCGTCGATGTTCTCGCCCAAGGACACACCTGAATCTTCCACCCAGACACCTCTGGAGGCTACCAAAGACGTTGAACCGGCCATCTCATCAGAGTACAACTTCGACAGTCTGTTCGACACTGCTTCTCAAGCCGATGCCACACCTGTCAAGGCAAACAAAGAGGTTGAACCGGCCACCTCGCCAGAGTACAGTTTGAACAGTCTGTTCGACACTCAAGCCGATGCCACGCCTGTCAAGGCAAACAAAGCAATTGAACCGGCCACCTCGCCAGAGTACAGTGTGAACAATGTATTTGACACTCAAGCTGATGCCACACCTGTCAAGGTAACCAAAGAGGTTGAACCGGTCATTTCACCAGAGTACAGCTTGAACAATCTATTCGACACTCAAGCCGATGCCACACCTGTCAAGGCAACCAAAGAGATTGAACCGGTCACCTCGCCAGAGTACAGCTTGAACAATCTATTCGACACTCAAGCCGATGCCACACCTGTCAAGGTAACCAAAGAGGTTGAACCGGTAATTTCACCAGAGTACAGCTTGAACAATCTATTCGACACTCAAGCCGATGCCACAACTGTCAAGGCAACCAAAGAGATTGAACCGGCCACCTCGCCAGAGTACAGCTTGAACAGTCTGTTCGACACTCAAGCCGATGCCACACCTGTCAAGGTAACCAAAGAGGTTGAACCAGCCATTTCACCAGAGTACAGCTTGAAAAATCTATTCGACAGTCCTGCTAAAGTTGATCACAAATCTCTTCACACCACTAAGGAAGTTGAGATGGAAATTACCATGGAGCCATCTTCTGCTTTTCATAGCCTGTCTGATAGCCCTCTTTCAGATGAGCCGACACCTCTTAATGCCACCAAGGAAGTTGAGATGGAAATTACCATGGAGCCATCTTCTGCTTTTCACAGCCTGCTCGATAGTCCCCTGGACAATGAGCAGACGGATATCTTTAATAGCCCGTCGCATTCACTTCCAGCACGCTCAAAACCTGAACACTCAATGGACAAGGACCGAAAAATTCGACGTAAAAGTGAAGGCTCAAAGCTTTCAAACCATTCGCCTCAAAATGAGCGTATTGGCTCTTCGCCAGATCCCGTACAAGATTCGAGCCCTTGCCAGCGTCGCTACAAGCGCCCATCAAGTGAAATGTCACCTGATTTTAATGCGATTACGAACCCCAAGCGCCGCTGTTCTGAGTCTACACAGACAAGACCTGACCGGTCAACTGTTGAGAGCAACATTCGACGTAAAAGTGAAGGCTCAAAACCTCTGATTCCTTCATCAGACTCTATGCAAAATTCGAGCCCATACCAGTCAAGCGAGCTGCCCACTGATCTTGATGTGACTCCGAATCTTCAATGCAAACGCAACATTAAGGAGGCGCCTCTCTCAGAGCCACCACTCAAAAGACCTGAACGGCCAAATCAGAAAAGACGCACAAGCGATGGTAGCAAGCCTATGAGCCTTTTACCTCAGAACGAGCAGTTTATTTCTTTTTCAGAGCCAGAGCAGGACTCCAGCCCTTCTGAACGTCGGCTTAAACGGTCATCAAGTGAACTTTCACCAGAAGATCAAGCTACTCCAAGCGCGAAGCGCAGTCGCCAGGCAGAAGATGATCTTCCAGCTACTGATAAGACCTCGCGACTTGTAAGCTCGCAGTCAAAGGCTAAGGCAAAGTATCCTGCTTTGTCTGTCGGCCCTTTGAGCGGTGCCATTGTCTATGTCGATGTCCACCTGTCTTCAGGCGAAGATGTATCGTGCTCATTCACGGAAGCTTTGGAAAACCTTGGAGCCACTGTCCGCAAGTCGTGGAGATGGAACCCAGGTCACATCATCTACTCTACCGGGGATATGCCCCCGCCCAAGGTGGGGATCACCCACCTCGTCTATAAGGATGGAGGCATTCGGACCTTGGAGAAGGTGAAACAAGCCGGCGGGCTTGTCAAGTGCGTGAAGAGCAGCTGGGTCATCGAGTAAGTGCTATCGTCTATTACCGCAATTTAATTGTTGCTAACTATAAACTTTCTAGCTGCGAGAAGACCGGGAAGTGGCTTGACGAGGCAGAATATGCTGTAGATACGTCAATTTTGCCTCGCGGCGGTGCGCGCCGGAAAAAGAGCATGGTCCCTCAAAAAATCACAAATGTGAATGGGACTCTTTTCTACAGTGACGGCAAGTCTACCCCTAGACCTAAGCGTCGCTCTAGTCAGGCGCAGGTCGCCATCACCCCCCGCGTCCCGGATTATAACTTCGCTGATCTAGACACCCTGGGCCTGACTCCGGGACCAGGTACGCCTGGCAATCGACTCTTGGTGCAACAATCATGCCCTCCCAAGCAGTCGTGCCAGGGCCTGTTCCCGGATGGTCCACTTGACTTCAGGGGTCTAGATGATGCGAACGAATGGGGCGCGGAGGAGGCCAATGCCAGTGCCACCTATTATCCGTTTTAACCAAGTGGCTGGCATGGCTGCGGCAGCTACGCGGGGGATAGACCTGTACGATTATTACTTCTATGTATAATATTTTTCAAAATAACATATATTTTATTTAATAACCTTCTCGGACGACACATCTAGTAGGTATGCGCAGGTGTCAAAACAGGTGGTCCTAGAGGTAATAAAGTCTTCGAATGTTTGAAATACAGAAATATATATCAAATGCTGAGCTTCGCTTGAAGGAATAGACCGAAATTTTCAACTTCTACAAATCTCCTGGGTTGGAGATCCTCATCACTTATCCTCCTCCTGTCGATAGAACCCAGCAACCAAGAATGCCAGCTCCAGCGCCTGCTTTTCGTTAAGACGAGGATCGCAGAAAGTGGTATACCTTTCTCCCAACCCATCTTCCGTCAAGCCAGCAGCACCACCAACACACTCAGTAACAGCCTCGCCAGTTAGCTCAAGATGCATACCGCCCAAAAACGACCCGGCAGCCCGATGAATCTCCAAAGCCTGCCGTAACTCTGACAGAATATCCGTAAAATGGCGGGTTTTGATACCGGATGGAGTTGACTGCGTGTTCCCATGCATAGGATCACATTGCCAAACAGGGACATGGCCAGACGCCTGTACAGCGGCAATATGACCAGGTAAGAACTGCGCGATCTTCCCTGCACCGTAGCGTGAAATGAGTGTGACTTTCCCGATTTCCCGGGCTGGATTGACAGCGTCTAACAAGCTGACCAGATCATCTGCTACCATGGACGGACCAATCTTAATACCGACAGGATTTGCTATTCCGCGGAAGAACTCGACATGGGCGCCGTCAAGTTGACGAGTTCGATCGCCAATCCAGAGGAAATGTGCCGAGGTAGCATAATATTCTACAGCAGCCTGGGCCATTGCTCCAGATGAAGTACTTGTAACCGGGTTTCTGAGTAGCCGGGTGAGGGTTTGTTCGTATTCGAGAGAGAGACCCTCGTGACTGGTGTATATGTCTGCGGTTTCGATACCGCGGTCTTTGTCGATGCCGACTGTGCGCATGAAGCGTAGTGCGTCTTTCACTGCGTTGACTGTTCGACTGTACTTTTCTTTGATCGATGGGGTTATTACATGGCCTAGACCCCAGTCTAGTGGAGAGTGCAGGTCTGCTAGACCTGATGATAGCGAGGCGCGGAGGTAGTTTAGTGTTGCGGCCGAGTGGAAGTATGCCGAGACAAGGCGAGATGGATCTGGCTGTCGCGATTCAACATCTGCCGAGAAACCGTTGATGTTATCACCACGGAATGAGGGCATTTCCACTCCGTCTACCACTTCTGTTGGGCTGGATCGTGGTCTAAAGGAAAGTTAGTCCTTGTAAGATATCTACTCCGTGGCTGAAATACATACTTCGCAAATTGACCAGCAATGCGAGCTATGCGAATGACTGGCTTATTGGCTCCTATGTGGAAAGGCTGGTTAGTAAATGATATATACATCTATGGATGCCGGTGGTTGTTGACGAACCCCAAATTAAAACCAAGCTCATTTGCAGTAGAAGCTTGACTTTAGCCTCAATCATATCTTGAGTGCAGTAGTCAAACAGCTCAGCACAATCTCCTGATCAAGACACGTATATCAGTAAAGTTCTGAAATTCATACATCATTCGTTGGACGAACCTCCTTGAAGAACGAATGCTTTGCCTAAGGCGACATTTTTCAAGCTGGCTTTGAGATTGTTGATCTGATATTTCGATAAGCCATAATACACTTGAAAGTGTTCATTGTAAAATATTTTTATCTACCTCTCGTGTTGTTACTAGAGGCGGGAGCTTTTGCAGCTTCTCTAGTGCGTCTTGTACGCCCTTTTTATCTTCATAGACCACATCTTGCTTGATGGGCTTGGCGGTCCAAGCTATTGAAGAGTCAAGAAGTGTCAGAGTCCGGCCTTCAGCAATAGTATATCAATTGCCGTGGATGAACTTACAGCTAGGGCTCCAGTCTGGCATGGCGGACAAGATCCTTTGATTAGAAGTGGGACCAAAAGCTAACAAAGTTGGGAATTCTACAGCAACTTGTGCGCTGTTTTATGAAAATACAAAAAAGTCAGAAGAAAAAAGAAGGGGGCACACAACTGCAGCTAACAACACATAATTGATTCATTCCATTGGTGTCGGTTATTCACGGTGAGTCATGTTAGTGCCTTGTACTCAAGGCTAGAGAGAGTGTCACTTTCTGAATAGGGTAAGTACATGCGGGGTAGATAAGGTGATAAGAGCTTTGACGGTAAGTCATATATCAGGCAGAAAATGTGATGACGTGTCATCATTCGAGGGCCACAACCATGTCTGGCCCTAACGCTGATCGCAAAGCTGCTGCAGCACTCTCCTCCTTCCAAAGCAATGGAGTTAGCTCACTCGGTCCCCAAGGCTGGTTGACTGTAGACCAGGATGCCCTGGGAAAAGCCATGAGCCGACTAGACATCTCAGACATCACAGGTCATGGCACAGAACAGCGCCGGGGATCTTTCAAGATTAATCCCGCAGATGTCACATTTCTGGTATGGACATATACTCAAAAAGGAATTCCAAAAGTTACGGAGCTAGGGACTGACTGTCGATCATATAGATCGATAACCTGGATCTGAACGAGACCCTGGCAATAGATCTGTTGAAGGCTTATGATGGGGATCTTGCAACTGCCTTGAGAGCCTTTATGGATCCGCGTTCTAATCTAAATGATAGATTTGCATTTAATGTGTAAATTCTCCTAGATTACCAATGCATGAACCGATACGATGTCGGGATGCAAAGCGAAAAAAAAAAAAGATTTCTGAAAAGATGCAACTATTCCAAAAACAACCTCCCCCGCGCTTCTTGAACAACGCCTTAGTAACCTTCAAACTTTTTGGATACTGGGTAAATATTGAATACCATTCGTAGATTGTATTCTATTCTATTCTAATCATAATCATCAGCGTAATAGCCAACCTCTCATGCCTTAGGACTCCTCTTCTTCGACAGCTTTCGGTCGTTGTATTCCTTGTCCTTCATATATCTTCCATAAAACAAGCCAGCCGATCATTGCTTCAACGGCCAGAGCCCACCATACCGCACCGACCATATTATAAGTGAGACCCAGTCCAAGGCCCCAACCACCAAGGAACGGACCCAGAGTACGAGCCGCACTAGCAATACTTTGCGCAACACCATGAACGGTTCCCAGAACAGATGGGTCTGTAACACAATTATTCACGAGAATGACAGCTGCGGGTAGTGCAAATGTGCGGGAAATGACCTGCAAGGAAACAATAAACGTAAATGAGGGCCAAACGATCCAGACGGCACGGGGAAGGATAACCAGGAACGGCATCAGGATGTAAGATAGAGGTGATAGGGGAAGGAATCTGCGGAAAGACATAAGTGTTCCCAGTTTCCCTTGAATGCGAGGGTAGACGAAGATCTGGAGTGGGAGGCCGATAAAGCCGATTATGGCTGTTGCGAGGCCGACGCGGGAGGATGGAAGGCCCAGTCCTCCACTAAAGCGGAACCAGCCATCGCGGGAGCCATCAAAGGCACGGGGGGTAGGTAAGAACACAAATGTCATGGAGGTAAAAGCACTAGTGTGAAAGCACAAGAGGAATTGGGCCAAAATGGTAAGGAGGACGTTGCGTGTCCAAATTTGTCGGAAGGCTGGGCGTTTATGAGCCACGGGATGCGGCCTACGTGAACGAATTGGGCTTGATGATTCTGATGAGTTCCTTCCCACGAAATCGGCGTCGATGAATAGGGATTCATCGCCCGAAGTGCGAGCAAGGGGCCTGTAGTATTCAGGCCGGCGGGTAAAAGCTCGATATATCCTCTTTCCCAGCTTGCGCCCCCAATCGCCGCGGTAGCGCGCAGTTTCATGCGACTAATCAGGTTTGTTAGTTTTTGCAAAACAGATGTATAGAAAGATATCATACCTCATCCAGGCCGAGGAATACAGAGCAAAGAGCCACGAAGATAAAAATGGCATTTATGAGGTTTGGCAAAGCAAATGGCCAGTTTTGCATCCACCACACGCCATCCTTGCCTCCAATGAATGAACCAGGACCAAACAGCCCCGGAAAATTGTGAACAGGTTCAGCTAACAATCCTCCCAAAATCGGACCGATAATGACTCCAATATTAAAACACATTGGCAAAAGCAGAAATGCACGCGATTGGTATCTACAGATTGTCAGTTTCATGGTCGCGTTGCATGTCCATACCTCCAACGTAACATACTTTTTCTCGGCGATAATCTCCGCAATCATCGTTCTCATCACACCAACATTAGAATTCAGTACGCCACCCAGGGTGCGAAAGATAGCTGCGGCAACAAAGGATCGGGAAAATCCGAAGCCTATACACGATATAAAAGTTCCGATCAAACCTATCAAGAGAACTCTCTTGCGACCCATCCATTCGGTATCAGCCAAACGACCCCACCACACAGCAGTCAAGAACTGAGCAGCTGTGAAGCTGCCCTGTAAGATACCAGCTTGTTTAGAGATTATCGAGTCGGGCAAAGATGGATCAAAGGATTTCAATTGATAGAACATGTACGCCTGCAGCGAAGTTTGCGTGAGAGGCTCGGACAATCGAGCCAGAGTTAAAATGGCCAGCTGCCCTTTCTTGGGTAGTGAACTCCATGTCACGGGCTTTTCTTGATCGGCATCGTCTGCGCTATTGGGTTCGACATCAGTATCTTCGAGCGACGGGAATCGCTGGTTCGTGACGAGGGGAGCAGGCTGAGGTCGAATATTTCCATGGTATATAGCCGTATTCTCACTGTGAATATCGCTTTCGCTTTCGCTATACAGATCGGACAGTGATTCTCGACCACTATTTGAGGGACTGTGAACACGGAGATGGTCCGAACTAGGCGGGGAAGAAGGCGACCCCATCAAAGTAGTATTAAGGCACGCGAGCAGATGAAACGCGCCGAGACGACTGTTCGTGGGAGGGATAGTTGGATATAGGAATTATAGTCCTTCTACACCGAATAAGCAAAGCAACAACTATGAAGCTTTGAGTGGTAGGAAAGGTATTAGGTTGAAAACTTCGTTAGAAATCAATGCATGAATCGACATCGACCGCCACAATGCCGACTTAACCGCAAATACGCAAATAGGAATCTTCCGGGTACCAAAAGTCGCAACTCCATTCATGTAGAATGAGAAAGGAGAACCGAATAGAATAAAATCATTGCTTTATGCCAATCATGATGGTGGAATTATTGTGCCCAAGAGGAGGCTAATAACGTGATATGAAGTCAGAAAGTGGTTATGCAGGCAACGCTTCAGTAGATTGTATACCATGTTTGATAGATAACCCGTACTGAAGAGTAAAGAGGAGTGTATATTTTCATTTCTCGATTTAAAAACTGTCGAGTTAATCGATCAGCTCCAAATCACACAGGCAAAAATGGATGGTGAAGATAAAAGAAAACTTACTCTAGGTTACAAGTCAGCAAGGATGGTCAAGTGGTTACGATACCTCCCTCCCATTTAGCATAGGAAAGGTGGTGACTCGGGTTCGAATCCCGATCTTTGCATGGAGTGATCTCTTTTTTTCTTTTTTCTTTTTTCTTTTTTTATTCCAAGAAAATCGGAGGTATTTTTGTTAACTTGTTTAGTTGTCCCCTTCCCTGACCGCTTCCAAGTCTTGGCGCTTATGTATTTACCGCATCTTTAGTGTACGTCGTAGAGCAGGCAAATCAATACTGTTGCGACAGCCGAGAAACAAGGCCATCAACAGACGGAAAGTATTTCGGCCGAAATAGCTTCTGCCGAGACAGCGACTCCGGAACTGGATTAGTATATCACGGCATCCTTGAACGATATGCATTCATCGCAAACGACACCCTTGAGCGATGCGCATTTGCGACAGTAATGTCCCGTCTTCACCGTCTCTTCTGTCTCGGACGAATGTTGACATTCGTCCAGGGCAGAGGGGCGCCCATGTACTATAAGTAGCTAGTTCTTTCATCAATGAAAAAGCAGACTTCACAACAACCACAATATTCAGTACTGTAGAGACCACTACACTTGGTGGTTTGTCTACGGTGTTGAGTAGTGGTTTGTTGAAGCTCACCAACTCCTTTCTACTGCAGTAAACTCCAGTTCCCTTTTACTGCAGTAAGAACTCGAGCACTGTTCTCAGTAACGAGCGATTAGCTAGCTACGCTCGCTAAGCGAGCGACAAATACCTCTTAAAGAGCCTGGAAAAGTTAGATTTGAATGGACTTGAGTGTTTACGAGTATCATGAATAGCGTCAAACCTGTTAGAGAAACATATGGTTAGTATTTACATTTAGCAGTAGAATTGAGTTAATGTTGACGTCAAAGTCTCTGGCAGTAAATAAATAAAAGTGGATCTTTTAACTACGTTATCAGCTTCTTTCAGGCATCAACTCTTTCTAAGGCAGCAATATTGTGATCTCACCCCGCTATCTAACTACATTTGGATACAAAATATATTGATAATACTCATGGGTATAAAGAAAGTTGCAGTACTCTTTCTCTTGGGTATGATTGTGGCTAGGTCTCCAATTTAAGCTTCAGCACATCGATGGAACAAGTTCTTAGTTCTCTGAGCCTGCTTTTCTCTAGTCCCGCTGATATCTTAAGAGCTTCATTCTTTATATGCCTTCAACTTCCGACTTCATCTTTTAAGACCTGATAAGTTCGCAGAGATCTCGTAAAGTGAGGTTCGAGTCCCGAGGTCGTAGTCTGAGTTTATATTTTGATGCATTACCTACTCAGACAGACTATCCATCCGAATCTTCAGTGATGAATCTTGAGCCTATCTCGGTATCAAGTTTGCGATGTATTCCAAGGTTGATTTATACCTGGAAATTCAAAAATTGATCCTCTTGAAACTTTCTTATTCTTTTTCATAACTACCTATCAAGGTAGATAGTTAGATACCCTAACCATCTCTGCGGCTTTAAGATCTGGCTTTAAATCCGACCGGATTTAAAGGACTTTAGTTCTATCAAATCGCATTCTGATCTTCAGGTCCAATCAGTTACAACCTTGAAAGCTCTCTGTAACAATTCTGTCACAGTGAAGACATTCGATCTGTGTTCCACTAATCATGATTACAGCAAATCATAGTTTCACTGTGAGCAAAATGAAGACGGAGTTTGGGGTGCATCATACCCATATGGATCCCTTCCCATGTCGACTGACGTCGGTTTTTGTTTTATCTCTGTCTTATTGCGCTATGTCGTAAAATATGCTAGGCTGGAAAGCTTTACGGCGATAACTAAAGTCCGTAGGCTGATCTAGTTAAGGACAAGGTTCCAAAGTTGTGGGAAAAACCTCGGAGTGGTGGATGGAATATCATAAGATCATGCATGATATTACTTAACTTCCTGCATATAAGTATGTGAGCTCTCACCACCTGGGTAGCCTGGGTCCTAAAGACTTTTTGTTCAAACGATTCTTCAAACACATCCACCAAAACGTTGTTCAACCTGCCAAGGAAGGTTCACCCACCATGACCAGACAACACGAAGCAGCTATCCTCGCTGCGAGTGGTGCCCCTCTCACTATTATCCAGCGCGAAACTCCCGAGCCCGGTCCCGATGAATACCTGATTGAGGTCAAAGCGGTTGCTGTGAACCCCGTTGACTATGCTCAGCGTGATTTAGGTATGCCACCAATCAGTAGCTACCCCGCTTGCATTGGGTCAGACGTTGCGGGAATCGTCGCAAAGATCGGTGCTGAGGTTCCTGCTGGCTCTCCCAAAGTTGGAGACCGCGTTTTGGCTTTGGCTACGAGCTTCTACAGCGCTAATCCCGATCACGGCGCCTTCCAGAAATTTACTATTGCCTCATCCCAGTGTGTGGTGCTTCTCCCTAGCTCCATTCCTTTTGAAGCCGGTGCCATTCTGCCCCTGGCCACCCTGACTGCCCTATCGGGGTGGACCTCGATTGGCATACCATTAAACACTAAGTACACTCCCGGCGAAAAGCAGGCAGTGCTTATTTGGGGCGGGGCAAGCAATGTTGGCACCGTTACTATACAGTCTGCAAAATCTATGGGCTTTATTGTATACACCACTGCCAGTGAGAAGAACCACGCCTACCTAAGTACTCTTGGTGCCGATCGTTCATTTGACTATAAGAGTGAGGATGTGGTTGCCCAGATCGTCGCCGCTGCTAAAACAGACGGGGTTAACCTGACCATCGCCTACTGCTGTGCCGTGCAGACCCTTGGTCTAATACTGGATGTGTTGAAGGAGACTAAGGGCGATTCTACCGCCAAGGTCGCCCACGCGCCTCCTCTTCTACCTGGATCCCCTACCCTGGATGGCGTGGATGTTACCTTCGTATTGCCTCCCATGGAACCCGCTGGCAGACTACAGCACATGTACAACTGCTTCCGTGTTTGGCTTCAGCAGGGTCTAAACACCGGTAGCATCACTCCCAGCCCCAATTCGGAGATAGTTGGAGAAGGGTTTTCGAGCGTGAGTGATGCCATTGATCTCATCAAGGCCGGTGTCAGTCGAAAGAAGCTTGTGGTAAAAGTCTGAATAGTCCTTTATCTTAGCATATCGGGAATTGATATGATTTCAAGTTTATCATCTTATACGCTTTACAAAAAGACTCTTCAAGCAGCAGCTAGATATCATTCTGTCTATAACTGGGTATATTAGCGACTTTTATCATTGTCGACATACAACATTGAAGACAAAAAGTTACTATTAACCCGTTAATTGTAAGGCCAAGAATACAACCATTCAAGCAATCAAACTTTCGCTTCTCCCAATAAGAAACAAAACTCCATGTAAATGAGCACCTGACACCCGATCCGGGCCGTAATTAAGTTATAATTTTAGTCATTTCATATTTGGCTTACCATGCGGCATGACCACCATCCATGCGGAGATCGCTACCAGTCATGAAGCTACTAGCATCACTCAGCAAGAAGACAGCAGCACCACGGTATTCCTCAGGACGCGACAGACGACCGAGCATGTTCTCCTTGGGCCACTGATCACGGCGCTCGGGGAATTGAACGAAGAGATTCTCCACCATGGCGGTGACGATGTAGCCCGGGGAGATGGTATTCACTCGAATGTTATACTGGCCCCATTCAGCGGCCAGATTACGGCTTAGCTGGATGACAGCAGCCTTACTGGCATTGTAAGCTGGGCAGATAAGACCCTTCAAAGAGAAAGTCAGCGCTGTTTGGGAAACCCGTGTATGACGTGGCGAAAATTCGGGGAAAGCAAATCAAAGAGTATTAGGGCATTTGGATTGGAGGAAAGACAAAGTATGACCGACAGGGAAGTGGATGGAAAATATCACGCGGCAAGTCAAGGAAAGGAACGTACCCGATTGGCGACGGTTCCGCTCATACTAGCGATCATAGCGATACTACCACCATTTCCAAAGCGAATCATATGCTTAGCTACGGCCTGAGCAGTCATGAACACTCCAGTAACATTGACTTCAAACATAGTATTGCTGTCCTTGGCCGAATATTCCAGCGCTGGGGTTTCCTGCTGGATACCAGCTGCTGCTACAAGACCGTCCAAGCGGCCTTCATCGTTGGCAATGTTCTCGATCACGCTGTTGAGTAGCTCTGTGTCGCGCACATCGATACGGCGGTACTGAAGCTGTGTGCCTAAGTCCTTGGCCCGCTGCTGGATCTGTGCAAACTCGGGTGCCTATTCAAAGTCGTGATCAGACAATGGCCTTATATGGAAGTTCGTTGTGAAACATACCGGTTCCTCTAGACGGTCAAGTGCATACACCTTTGCACCAGCCTCCAAGAGGGCTTCTGATTGGGTCAGACCAAGGCCACGGCCAGCACCAGAGACAAGGACGACCTTGCCGGCCAAGCTGAACTCGGGCATTCTGTTTTGCTGGCCCATAAGAACAGGCAGCGGAACCACAGGGGCGGTTGGGACGGCTGTTTCAATTGAGACGGACATTGTATCTCTAGGTAGGTATGAAAGGGACCTCGAAGGGTTAAGATGATAGTGCTTGGATGGGAGGATATGATAAAACTTGGTAATAATCGAAACCACGGATCGAAGCACCCTTTAAATATGTAATTCTAAGTGTACAAAGCCCTGAGGAGGTCAATATCCATTACTTTCGGCACCGTGGTCCGGCCAGACCCTTGGCTCTGGTCTCGTGAACATGAAAAGACTGGAAAAAAGGCCGAAATAGGAAATCCATATTCAAGCCAAGATCGGTCTGGTAACTAGCCTAGTTCCGGAGAATGCGTGGCGATATAATTTTCATAATGGATACGCGCTAAAGTCCGGGGTACGGGGTACGGGGTAAGGGGCGCTGTACTGAACATCATATATCAGGATATCGATGGCTTTTAGTGAGGCGAAGAGCTTGGAACCTTGGAAGATCAACCATCATCTACATCATAAGAAGATTAATACGACCACTAGCGATATTATCAATTGAAGCCTGAAGTTTGTTACATGAGCTTTGCTTTGATTCGATTTCCAAATATCCATAAGTCAAGACCTTCGGATGTCCTTATTAGGAAAGCCGTCCTAGCGCCACTAGAGGCTTCAGGTGACTCCAAGCTCCACAGATGAACTGCATATTTCCCTTTCATATTGAACAGATCCGATAGCTTGTTCTAAATATTGATTTTCTTTTTTTAGGATGATCATGTGCCCCTTGGTATCCAATTATCGATCTGGATCTTGTTCCTGGATAGGCAAAACTCAATGGCTCATTCCGTGTATTATTATTTTTTGTCTGAGAGCACATTCCAGCATTGAGTGCTGCAATTTTCATACAAGAACAGAACATTACCTAAATAGCTGATTCCAGTCTTTCTATCGTTCTGTACGGAGTACTAATAGAGGCAATCAAAAAAATCATGAATCATTAAGGGTAGAAAGTCTAGGTAGCACAGTGAACTATGAGGATCTAGATCCATCGCATCAAGACATCACCAATCCACCCAACAGACTCAATCCTCGCAGAAAGCAGATTGGAATATCAACAGGCGAACATAGCGCTATCTGAGTCCTTGTGACCGGCAAATTTACTGGAAAATAGGTGACTTGCCTATTCAGGCGAACCCGAAGCTCTTTGGATCCACATAGTCCAAGTAAAAAAATGAAATCTAGCTCTGGAGGTACATGTGTATCAAAGATTGAACTTTGAAAGGGATGACTCAGTACTAGATCATTATCACGAGACATCTGCTTGACTCATACGATCTTCAAGCTCTTGGCTCTTGACTCTTCGCAACCCTTGCAAGAGTTCTGACAAGATATGTATCTCTGAATTATTAGAAGGTGTAATCCCATGTTTCTAGAGACTTTGAAGCCGGGATTTGTACAATTCAAATTGATTCACGTCACTTTTGCCATCTGATTAGAGATGTAGAAAAATAACACTTCAGAAGAGGCCACCTGGGCAAGCTGGTCAAGAAAACATTGGAAATCATATCGAGAAATATAGCTACTGCACTATTCATTTTTCTTGATATTCGATGCAACTTGATCACGGTGAACATGAGTGTTCAGCGTTCGTTCTGATTCCCCGTGGCTTGGACGGTAACCTTCTAACTAAGGACTATACAGTCTACACAACAGTAGGTAAACCTTGCAAGTTACAAACTTGGAACATCTAAGGATAGAATGGCATTTGATATCAGGATGGAATGATTTATAGTATACAAGACTTTTGATTAAAATTTCATTAAAGATGCCAGACTTCACTTTGGTTTGTAGATGTTGATTATCATTTGACGTCACTTGAGTGGCTGCGCCAAGCCAAGACCTCTGATTCCGCGGATAACTTCCGATTTCTAACTCCGAAAGCTTCACTGTCTACCCAACACCCAGATCTCATCAAGCAACCAGCTTCAATGGGTTCTGCTGCTTCCAAACCAGCAAAATCTGCCGTTGGTGCAGCTTCGCGCCAATATCCCAAGAAGGCCGCTCCTCCGCCCAGAACACCAGCACCGGCTTCAAAAGGCAGAAAAGCTAAAGCACCTCAGGCTCCGAGTGCGCCTACACCACAAAGCCGAGCTCCAGCCTCTGCGCCCCAGGGACCTACATACCATTCAAAAGAGCAACCCTCAGGTACAAAATCCAGTGGTATGTACTCGCGAACTTGATGGTTTAACCCAAAAAGAAAGAAACCCCCCAACAAAAAGCTCCAAACACCCATCTAATGTCTAAGAACCTCCATCTAACAACATATAGCAATTGAGCTCGATGGCCGTGATCCAGACTTCGCCGCCTCCCTCCGAAGTATCGGCCCAGTCGACCCATCCAGGAACTACATAAACCACCGCTCAATACAAACCGTCTTCCCCACAGATTCCAACCCAGCACTTCTAGTCGCAAGCGCTCGCAAACGAATTGAAAAGGCTGCACAGGAAGAAAACGCACAAATTGGACTAGGCGCGGGCCGCCAGTACTTGGATTCCTTCACAATCACACAAGCGCTGTCAATGCGTGATCAACAGCGTTTGCCTGTTAGCGAGATTGAGAAGTCTCTACGGCTGAAGAAGGGGACATTGGATAAGCTTGGGCAGCGCGGACTTTACTCTCGGGCTGTATAGTCCTGGGTTGTCGAAAATACTTTTTACATGCTGGGCGTTACCGGTTCATTCTTTTTCTGCATGTTGTGTTTTTGGTATGGCGTTGATCCATGTACTTGAAATCTGTATAATATTGGCATTTCGGCTACGGCTCATGCCCATCCCTGCTCATGAAATACTGCATAACGCCTCTACTCTGCAGTCTGATGACACAATTGGTCAGTTTTCTCGGAAATACGGAACACATCCGATATGTAGATTGAATATGAGTCGCTATCTAGGTGACTCAAGGAGTCATTTGATCCTTGGAAGCTCCAAGCGAGACAGAAAACTATAAATCCAAGCTACCTATACGATCCCTGTAGAGGTAATACAATTTTCTCAAAATGTAAATTCGAGCTGTACGAGACGAGTCTACACCGGTTCACGGATAGTCCACTAGGCATCTTCACAACCGCAATCAAGTCCATCCAAGAATCATTCATCCAATCTAGTCACATCCTATTTGTACTCGACACAGCTAGCAGCGAAAGTAATACAACCTCTTCAAAGGGCATTCTACGCGGTCACATGGCTACGCAAAACTCACAAGCAAAAGCCCTAATGGAAGCCATAGCTCACCAGGAATAGACAGGGAAAAGCGACCTCGAATTCCAGACGAAGTCGTAGTCCTCTTTGGCGGATCCTACCACCAATACTTCAAGCCAAAGCTCTACACAGAAACGAAACCAGCCGTAGGCAACCAGCCATAGGCAAAGTCGTGCCAACATGGAATTACAGCGCCGTGCAAGTCTGCGGCAAGATACTTGTATAATGCGATTCCAAAGTCCGAAGAAACGGGTTCGTTCCTGAAGATATTATTGGAGGATCTGATGCTACATGCCGAAACTTCTATTATAGGGTTTACGGGTAGTGAGAGGGAGCATGCACGGAGTGTAGATAAAACTCCGAAGGCCTAGAAAGAGCTTTTGAAGAATAATATTATAGATTTGAGATTCGTGTTGAGCGGTTGGAGGGAATGTTCTAGATGAATCAGGATAAGGGGGTAGATGATAGGTGTGGGGTTGTCACAGGGTTTGAAGGGGATGGCTAGGGAGGTACAGGGAGAGAGGTAAAGGATAGAGGGCTATAGATAGACCCGAGGTATCAAGTTTTGATTCCGTGTCAGTGTCCGTCCACTGAGACATGGAATTATTGTGTCGTTATCATTCGTAATAGTATAATATGTCGCTTTTCAGGAGAACTCGTTCATGCTCCTAAGATTCAACCCCTAGCGGCAACATCAATGGTTGTTTTTGTCCACGTTTGAAGCGCCGCATTTTCTCGTATAAGCCCAAGAAAGTCAAGAGGACTAGAAGTGAAAATCGTGGACTATACTCGACGAGAATATCCAACTGGCCATCTTCCGTGGAAAAGGTATTACCAGACGAAAATAGTGCGACAACCTGATTTGTCCTCTCATCCACTAGCTTGAAGTTCGTGTGGCCCTGCCCCGTAGACTCTTTCCAGGTAAACGTCCGGGGCGAACGACTACCAAGATTCACTCGGAAAGAATAGCGTGTCTTGACCACACCCTTCCGATTTAACTGTTCCCAGTTCACAGTGTGGGGGTTGTTTGGGTCTCCTAGTCCAATTTCCATGTCTGATGAGAAGTGCCGGTATCGGCAGACGCCTATGATTGGTGATGCTTTGTTTGAACCAGAGTAGAAGGTCAGGTCTGGTTTGCCTGGTATCATTTGAGAGTTTACAACATGGTATGCTGAGGTGTTTCCGACAGCGATGTCGTAGTCGTGGCCCCAGCGGCTGTGGGTGATGAAATATTGCATAGTTAGGATTTTAGGAGGGAAATTATTGAGTTTACAGGATGGGGGAGTGGCCAGCCTTTTTCAATATGTAAAATCATACCTGCCACATGCATTTGACCTAGTCACTCAGATCAGTTTGTCAAAACAGAGTGAAGCTGGGCAGCCTTGGGAGCTGTTGTGGACTTAGGGGGTTCAGCTTGGCAGCGGTATGTACTCCCTATTTTGGAAGATGATGTAAGACTATGACTCCTAGTTAAATTATCCAGCGTAATGGAAGGAATGGACTGGTCTATTGAAATGAAATTCAAGTGCCATCACTGCCACTAGAATATCTGCATTGAGGGAGTCTTTATTTTGTGATCGACGATGGCTGTGTACCGAGATCCTTACAAGGCTGATTCTCTCTCATAATTGGGGAAAAGCCAAGCGCTGGGAATTTTCTGGAGTAAAATAACGGTTTTGTAAAACTATTACCAGTAACATCGTGTTCGGCGTTAGGCCCCCTTTCCCATAGAGTATAGCAAACTATGAGATATAGCCCTAACGTCGTGACAGGTACTTGACCGTGACATGTATTTGACCACATCAGGAATGATCTGGCGGTGAAATGCTGTTTAGTGAATTCCACGGTGGAACTGACCTATAAATGGAAATACGAACGTGACTAATTCAGCCTCGTGTAACTAGTTCCTAGTGGGTCGAATATGTCTGACACCAAATTTGGAAGGGATAATCTCATTGATTTGGTCATAAGTAATGCTGTACAGATGGATGATTGTTGAAGTAATGTTTGAACAATAAAATAATATTGTTATGTTTGAAAAGGCGAGGTTGATCGACATAGAACCATGCAGGGACTTGATTAAGATCTTCTCCACTTCAGGCAAGGCTGATACGATCACGTCAGAGCATGGAGGAAAGGGAAATACGTATTACTAAGTAAAAAAAAAAATCGGACCCTCAGACCCTGTGAAGAGATCAACAAGCAAGCACTTACTATTTCAGGGGTTTAAAGCTTGAATCAAATCCAGGTTCCCCGGATTCCTTGGCTTTTCTTGGTATTTTTGGGTATTTTTGAAGGGTTCAGAATAGAGAAGTAGTACTATAAATACTTTTATAAGGTTACCTAGTCAAAGTAAGCGAAAGGGATAATAGGATGGGACCGTGTTTTGTTTGTCTCATCTCACAGAGTGTTGGCCATTGGAGTATAACCAGTAGTATACTGTATACTGTAGTGCAACGTAGGACTTCCCGTAACATCGAAATGAAAATAGGGGAAAACATATAAAAGATACAAAAGATATAGAAAAATAGAAGCAATAAGAGAACATAATAGAAAAAGAAACTAGGTTGCATGTCCAAGTCGCGTGCTCTAGTCCCTGATAAGGTCAAGTGTAGTGGATCTTAATAAGATTTGAACGAGGAGTGAGGGTCAGTGAGGGTCTTCCGTGGGCCCTTTTAAGGGTAAGTGTGATTTTCCTTATGTCACTCCTTCAGCTTTTCTTTTCCACTCTTTGACAGAAACACATTCCGGGCCTTTTCCCCCTCTCTTTTCTCTTTCTCTTTTTCTCTTTTCTATTTGTCAACCCTCTTTCTTTCTCTCTTTTCTCTCTTTTCTCTCTTTCTTCTTATTTCCAAGTCATGAGCGGTTATTATGTCGCTCTTCACATCCCTTCCACCTCTACCGCCCTTCCTTTTCTCGGCTCTGGTAGTTAGTGGTCTTGCTTCAAAGGCCCTTCACATTGGCCTCCACTTTCACTCAATACCTTTCCTCTACCTCGTACTATTCTCACCTACTCTCATTTTACCTGACCTACTCGTCATTACTTTCGTGCGCGCATTGCTACAGTATCCTACCCCCGAGACCCGGTTACAATGGCTATCAACATGTATAGGAGGATTGATTTCGTATGTATCTTTGTACTGATGAAATGGATAACATTGACTGGGTATCTACTAGTCTGACCACATGGGGTGCTGCAGCCATTCAGTTTGGCTTCTTCATGCAGACCGGTGCAGAGGTCGCCTGGGCTGCCAGTAGTAGCTTTGTCAGCGATCCCGCTGCCATGAAGATCTTGCTGAGTGGCATCTCTACTGTTTTTGCTGCAGCTACAGCACTGGCTATCATTGCTTGGTTGATTCACTCGAAACTTTACGCGCTGACCGATCTTGGGTTGCAGGCAATCCGAGGCGTGCTCATAGGGGTAGTGAGAGCACGACGTAATGTGCTATTGCTATCAACACCAAAGGTAGCTTGGAAGGCTTCAGTTTCATCAATCACTGCTCGATCTATCCGCACTTTCGGGTTCGTCTTCGCCGCTCTCACCTCATTATTGATTTTGGAAATTACTCGACCAGCTATCCCGTACGAACACCTTTCAGGAGCATTGCCTCTGACCCTACTTGATGCTTTCGGTAAAAAGTCAAATACCCTTCCTGGTTGTCGCAACCCTGCATTGAGATTCCCACTGTGGAGAGAGAAGCATCCAGAACCCGAGCAGTGGTCACGGGCAACCTGGCTCCCTGAGGATGCTCCGCCAGGGTTTAGCCGGTGGGATATGAACCCCGAGCAGCGCATAGAGAAGGATCATGAAAGTCAGGAGGATATTGCTTGGTCTTTGTGTCCTACTGGCGATGAGAATTTGGGCCTATTTAACCCCAAGTCAGACCCGCTGAAGATTTCCAATCTGGGCGGTGATATCTACGAGCCTTTGCGCGAGGCATTTGAAAAGCACTCCGTGGAGATAGATCATGTTGTCTTGCTGACCCTCGAAAGCGGGCGCAAGGAACTGTTCCCTGTGCAGCAAGGAACTCCCCTTTTCGATGCTCTCGCCAATTCTCACTTAACCAATGACAAGGAGGATGCAATTGATAAACTGATCGGCATCACTCCTATTGCACAGATGTTGACTGGCGAGTATTCGCTGAATAGCAAGGGCGAGAAGGCCGACCTAAGCGGAGCAAACTGGCACGACTCAGCAGAGGAAGGCATGGGAGGACTTAATGTCCGCGGGGCCGTCACTGGCAGTTCGTTGACTTTCAAGAGTGTCTTGGGTAGTCACTGCGGTGTCCATCCATTGCCAGTGGATCTTTTGGAGGAAACTGGGCTGGAGATCTACCAGCCATGCTTGCCACAGCTCTTCAATCTATTTAACAAGGTGAAGCCCAATGATATCTCAGCTAACCAGTCTGAAGCTCTGCGCAACCCGTGGAAATCCGTTTTCATGCAGTCCATTACCGACGATTATGATCGCCAGAATATCTTGAACAGCAACATGGGCTTCGAAAATATTGTCGTCAAGAACAACCTCACCTCTCGTCGGTCCAAGTACAGGGCCAAGGGCAGTGAGATCAACTACTTTGGATACGCTGAAACAGAATTGATGCCATACATCCGAGATCTATTCGACGAGGCCGCAAACAATAAGACTCGCATGTTCCTATCTCACGTAACCAGCACCACCCATCACCCCTGGAACACGCCAGACAATTTCAAAAACCAACAGTACATGGGCGATCGGGGAAGCGTCAACCACAGGAACATGAATGACTATCTCAACACGGTGCGATTCGTCGATAACTGGCTAGGCGACATTATGAATATGCTCGACGAATCAGGAATCGCTAATCAAACTCTGGTTGTCATTGTCGGCGATCACGGCCAGGCATTTGGTGAAGACAACGAAGAATTGACAGGCACCTACGAGAATGGTCATATCAGCAACTTCCGAGTTCCACTTCTGTTCAGACACCCGCGCATGCCTCATATCGATATCCAAGCAAACGCAACATCACTCTCAATCATTCCTACCATTCTCGACATGCTTGTTCAGTCTCAATCTCTCGACTCCCGCGCTTCAGAAATTGCCTCTGCTCTCCTCCCAGACTATCAAGGTCAATCTCTCATCCGCCCCTTTGTCTCCTCCGTTACAGAATCTCACGGCCATCCTCAAATTGAGGATCCGGACTCTAAAGATGAAATGGAGGCCCGCGCCTTCTGGAGCCCGAAGAAAAAGCCGGGGAAACACCACGAAGCCTCTTACACGCGCCTTCAATGGAACTTCGGCCTGGTTAACGCCGGTGGCTCCATGATTTCCGTGACTGCTGCTGGTACACCATATCGTCTTGTCCTCCCTATCAAGGAGGGCTTCGAGTATGTCTTTACTCACCTTGGCGAAGACCCTGGTGAGCTCCACCCATTCAAGGCTTGGACGATTTCCGAACTTCTTGATGAAGTTGAGACTAAGTATGATGAGAAAGCCATTGAATGGCTCGAAGATGCAGAGAAGGTTGGCAAGTGGTGGGTCAACGAGCAAATCCGAGTATGGGGATACACGGAAAAATAAATTTTCATCACTTTTCAACGCCTCTTGATATCCCCGTTCACCTACCTCGCATGAACACATGCAAAAATTTCCCTCCATGTTATTATTACCCCTTTGTTCCATTACGATCATATCTCTAACGGAAGTCTCAATCTGACTCGGCTGCATTTTCATTCTCATTTTTTGTCGGATTTGATCCATATCTGATATCCCATCCAGTCATGTTTCCATGAGCTGGCTTTCATTGTTTCTGCGCATATTCAAAAGTGCTATGGGAGGTCCTCGTGTACATAAATCTCCTTGAACTCGATTCGTGCATATTAAAAGAATCCATTGTTATCAACTATCTATCATAAAATATGCTTTTTTGCTCTGAATATGAATCTTAATTGAGACCTGGAGAGTAAAGTGAGTGAAAGAGTAAGGTCAATCCAACGTCCTTGAGCAGTTGAGTGAATTTTAGCATTCACTACGAGTCCTACTCCTATAAGAACTATATAATTCTCCCCTGGAATCCTTTCTTCATCATCTCTCTCATATCTACCTACCTAACCAGATTGGAGAATCCAGGATACTCATCGAGTGGTCCTAATCATCGGGAATCTCAAGCCCTCCAATTAGTAGAATGTCCTATGGTAACGGACCTGTTCCCAGAAGAATTGCGTAGTGCTAGCATCGCAATTACGTATCATATCTGTGACAGCAATGAATGGGAACTATTCGCACTTGAAGTCTCTCTACGCATAGTAGAGAAAGGCTCGACCGCGGTTAGTCCCGACATTGATACGCAAAGCCAATTCAGCTATGTTAACAACGTCGACGATGCCTAAAATGCTGATATCGATACTACAGACGCCTATCAGGATGAAGGCCCCGACTTCGAAATTCCCGATTTCTGCGAGTACCACACTGTGGCTTGGAGGACTACCGTATGTCCAACTCAACCTCATGAACGAGGAACGGAAGATGCCACTTCAAAGTACGGAGAAGAGGGTCATAAAGCCGTTATGGATACTCGGCTGCAACTTTCTACAACCGATGACCAAAACATTTGCTGCGTCAACGAAAGCTGGCACAAGCTTGGTCGGGTTCATCTTGTTCAATCCAGAGATGGAGGAATAATTCGTGACTTTCATTCGAAAAGAACAGCTCGATAAACAAATCGGGATGAGGTCTGCACCGTGAGTGCTAAAGACCGTGCAAACCCCGAATGTTGCCAGTGCCGTTGAATGGGATGATTGTGAAAGCGCATCGTCTGTCGGTAGAATCATCCCAAACTCTCACATCTTCATCTCTCCCCCGGCGTCTAATGTGGAGCAGTGTGAGGTCTAATGAGGCTAAGTCGAGCCTACAGATATATCTTTCCTCACGTTCCTGTCTACCAAAGGGAAGATGAGCAGGTTACTCGATCAAGAAGCTTTTGGCAACATCTCAGTGTTACTTTAAAAGTAACCGATTTACCTCTCGGAACCCGGTGACTTTCTCCATTAATCGTAAAGCATTCTCTATCCGAATTCTCTTTTACTCTTTCATCACTCAACCATCTCACTCTTCGGCGTACACAACCAACATTCTCCATATGTATCTGGATTGGTTAAAGTCATTGAAGACCATGGCCCCATAGACATGAACAGCCAATACATCCCGACGTTCATCAATCTACTTTTGGATCAGCGACGCAGCTTCATCATGAATTATTCAACCATTCCTTCGGACATTGCCCCCTGGACGCAACTGACGAAGAAAAGAGGTCGCACTGGGAGCACATCAATATATATGAAAGAGGCGAGAATTCCATGCTCCGCGCGTCGACCGATAAAGGCTCAATATGAATTGTTTGTTGATTCCGATAGACTTTGATGTCCAGTTCAATTGCTAGAACTGCCGCCAAAGAGATCCTCTCGATTCCCGATTGACCAAGAATAGTAAGCAACCTGATATCGATATTGCAGACTCAGACTCCCGTAAGACGAAGAAGCTGCAGGAGAGGAGCAGAACAGAGAGGATGGGTAAGATACGAGTGATTCTGCATTCCAAGGTTGCGGATGAGACTAATCGGCTTTCTATAGATAGCCTCGACGTCTCTAAAAGATTATATTTCGACATATATTTCGCTTTTCGACTCGAACTACCTGAATAATGCCCGTCAAATTTCATGTCGTTGACGGGTATCTTTTGGCTCTTTGAGTACACTCATATGTACGTTGAATGACAGGTTTAGAGTCATCAACATAGAAGCAACATCATATTCAGATATGGAGGAGGAGGCGCCGCCGCCACCTAGTGTACAGCGCCTTCGTCTACGAATGGGGCCACAAATTGAGGATATCTGCCCTTCTCCGTCGTCGGCTGGCGTTTCTATGAGAATAATTCGAAAGCCAAGAAGGCCAGGATGGATAACAAGAAGGTTAACTGGAAGGCAGGAAAGTAGAAGAAGAGATAGATATGGTTTTAGTTCCAAATTGAAGAGTTTTTTCAATAGCTATTCCAAACGATAAACTTCCTACATAAATAACTGTTTTCCCACTCATTACGAACCTTGGAAAACTTCCAAGGTTGGGGCTCTGCAAATCAGCAAGTGCCCAGGTGCCCAGATATCTCTATAATTTAGATATGGAGTACTAGACATTCGCAGTATAAATCTTGAAATGGGAGGTTTAGGCTACTGGCGGAAAGAAGGCCGGCAGCAAGAGAGTCCACGGGTGGAATCAAATGAAAACTAATGGATTTGAGCTAGCTGGAACCTAGTCCCAGGTACTTTCAAAGGCTACCTAGGCAGTTGCCTAGTTATCAGCTGTTTGAATCGATAGTCAGAGGGTCAAGAATAAATCCTTTGTCCTGAAGCATGTAGGCATGTTTTAAAGCTACTGTACTTCGTACATCTGCATAGTTTGTACAACCCTGGCCTTCCGGCCAAAGCTCACTATCAATAATTCAAATAATAGATGATCATCACAATTTTCACCAATATAACGCTGCATTTTTTATGAAAAAGATGGATATCATCATAGCTAAGTTACAGTACCATGCGACTGGACGATACAGGGCCCTGACAGGGTATGAGTTTTTAGTCGAGCGTTAATGAGAGAGCTCAACGAAGGCCTGCAAGACGCCGGCCTTGTACTTCACCCAATGCACGGCTACCGCTCACGAATGCGACTGTACCAGCAATAGCCGCAGCTGGCAGGATCTCGAACAGGTTCCAGGAAGTGTAATATAGGAAGAAAAGTCCCTCAAAGGCAAAGAGAGATCCGAGAAAAACAAGATGAGGCAGAGGAGCCGTCTTGAAAGCCGTGGGAAGGTGGTTGACGTTGGCGCCGAGGAAGATCCACTGGTAGAGACGAATTAGTAACCTCGCCAATAACGAGACGTGAAAAGATCTCACCAGGCCGCCTAGAATTGGGAACGTAGCAGCAACTAGGGCCACGAAAACTAGAGTAATGATGATGGGAGGACTTGTGGCAGCATCCTTGAAGATGTGGGAGATCTGTGGTTGCTTGCCGTATCTCTCGACAGTGAGGGTCGGCACGGGCACATCGGGGTTGCGCTCGATCGACAGCTTGAAAACAGAGCTGTCATATGGTTCAGAGTCTCCAAAGGAACCGATAACAACTCGTGCATCAATTGGGTTAGGGAGGGTAAGGAATTGAACCGGAAGCTCCTTCTGGGTCTAGGTGTCTAGCGTTAGCTACTTAGCTAGTCCAAGAGTAGCTCTTCCATTGCTTACCAATTCGAGTCTGGACTTGCCATTCTCCTTGACAGTAAATGGGTAGGAGATATCTAAGCCAGTCTGGCTATCCTTCAATAGCAGGAAAGCTTGGTGTGGCCGTTTCGCAGAGCTTCCTTCTTGCGCAGTCAAGGTGACGCGCAATGTATCCGCACCGGCGAGCGCGACCGGATTCGACAGCGGCTTCGAAGAAGCGAACCTAGTAAAGAAGCATATTAGCTACAGGACATCAAATCCGATTCCCATGATGCCTACTGTTCCTTGAATCCACCATTGATCCCTGCGCCCTTATGTTGAACTGCCACGGTGGCATCAGTAAAGCCCCAAGCAGATGCAGCCGCCACGGGCAGGGCAGCTGATGCCAGAAGACAGAACAGAACGGTGGCCTGCCACAGATACATTATGAAAAGAATAAAAAACAAAAAGCCAGTGAATCAAGGCGTGGGTTGGAAGAGCAAGGAGGTGTTGGTTGACAAGTTGCAGAATAAAAGGCGGAAGGGTTGATGAAGCCGATAAGCGCCGATCGACTTTAGCCCTAATTTCTTTTCTGCTGTGACTTGACCTCTTCCCCAGATTCTGGTCGCCCTGGCTTCACTTCGGACAGCCTCGGGTGCCTGATCAAATGAATAATTATTGCCCTGGTGGTATTCATCCATTGCATAATATAGCCGGACCTTCCTCGTGACTTCTGTTGCCCTTTAATCCTAAAGCTGGCCCTAAACCCCAACTTCTGCCCTAGCACCGACACAGCACTTCTGACGTCGACGCAAAAGCTCCTCCTGATTCCAAATAGAGATATCTATTCACTTCTGGATGCCACAATATTAGGGCTATTTGCGTAATACCCCATTGTTGTGCACTTCGACTTCGACTTCGACTTGTACGTTCCCCCTCTCGGAGTTAGGGTTCGTCAACTAACGTATTTCCCTATTGACTTCCAGATTTCTTTCACCATGCCTCCCAAAAGGGGACGGAAGTCATTGCCAGCGCGTATTGATGATTCTTCCCTATTGATCTCCACTTTACTTCCATCTCGACGCTCACCTCGAGTACCTACGACTAAAAATGCTTTGAATGGCGACGAATCCCCCAACCCTCTCCGAGTTTCTTCCACCACCTCACCTCAGAAATCTACTCACAGTAGTCCTGTTGCTCCCAAAACACCTACTCCAACCAAAAAGGCTTCTACATCTAACTTAATCGGCTCCCGCCGACGCACATTCCAAGCTCGTCCTTCTCGATTGTCAAGTGTTTACACGCCGGTCGTGGAACCTGTCAACCCAACTCAAAGTAGTCGCAGAACGAGACAGTCAACCGCCCTTGAGCAGGTCTCAGACGAAGATTTTTCAGAAAGTGTCGGCTCAACCGGTTGGACTTACGACCAGTACATGGGCGGCCAAAACACAATGGCCCCAAAATCTCCCAGTGCGTCCTCATTGGGTAAACGCTCTTCTACTCGTGTTCGAAAGCCTACCATTCGTGCTATTGAATCACTCGAGTCGGTCATTAAGAAGCCGATCATCAAATCCCGCGGCAAGAGCAAGACCGCCGAAACTCTCAAAGAAGAGACTCCAGCCCTGGTTTCAACCCCAACACCTACTCCAATCACTCCTCCGGCCCCACTTACCAGTACCTCCACAAAGGCAACCCGCAAAAGTAAGCGGGTCAAGAACGGCAAGAAGCCTGCCAAAGCTCCGAAGTCTAAATTGATTGGTGATGACATCGATGTTGATCAAACCGGCAAGAATCTATACAATCTTGTTGTACTTGCCTTGAGTCCCGAATTCGTTACTCCCCCTGACCCTGAGGCTTTCATTGCCGAGGCACGCAAGGCTTGGGAGCTGGGCTTAAAATTCCCACAGGATGAGCTGAACGGCACCGATGGAGAAGTTGCCGAAGTTCGCGACGATGATACCAACGTTCCCGATGTCGATACGGAAATGTTAGACGTTAATACCAATGTTCTTGAAGCCAACGCCAAAGTTCCCGACATTGACACGGATACCACCGAAGAGCACGAGCCAATCTTCCTGAAACTGCGACGTGTTCGACCTCCTAGCATTGACATCGATGGGTGGTCGAATACTGGCCGTGTCAGCGCCAGTGGTGACGAAGTTCTTTCGTCGCCCAAGGGACAAAGCCCTTACCGCCCACATTGCACTTTATCCGAGAATGGACTTCCTCCCCCACCAGTGCGCAGTCGCCGAGATGACAAACCTTTGGTTGGACTCCCGCCCCTTGTGGGCGATCGCAATGTGCCTTTTGTATCGGAGGAGGCGCCGCAGGAGGCGCCGCCGCAACCTAGGGTACAGCGCCTTCGCCTACGAATGGGACCGCAAGTGGAGGATATCTGCCCTCATCCGTCCTCGGCCGGCAAGAAACGCCGTGCCGAGGACTGTGAGAATGGGCACGAAGCCAAGAAAGCCAAGAAGGGTATCAAGAAGGCCGAGAAGAAAGCCGAGAAGAAAGCCGAGAAAAAGGCTGAGAAGAAGGCTGAGAAGAAGGTCGAGCAGAAGGCCGAGAAGAAGGTCGGTAGTAAGGCTGAGAAGAAGACCGACAAGAAGGCCATCAAAAAGCGCAAGTAATTCTTTTTAGGTTAAATCGGCGACGCACTTCCCGAGGAAGGCGTGTGGACGCTTTACTTCAATTATCAACTTTTTACCTATTCACCCACTTATTACAAAAATGCATAAATTAGTTTCAAGTGTCTCATCTAGGTATGCACCGAGTGAATGGAGAATGGGATATTCCCAATCCAGAAATTCAATAGCAGAACGAGAAATCAGGAGATTTTCTATCGACTGAAATGCAAACCTTTTAAACCAGAGCCCATGCAAAACCCCATTTGCAATCCAGGGTTGATAAGAACGAAGCATGATAATGAAAAAAAGGGTAAAGCTATCTTGATAAAATACATGTTCATGAAGCAGGGAAAGGCTCGTCAGGATCCGGCACAGCTCGTGCCAGAACGCGGATATTATCCACGAAGCCCTTGACCAGTTCTTCGTACTGGTTTGTTGAATCACCAGCCATGGCCAGCTTTCCTTGACGGCGAATTTCATCGGCTGAAACTTCTAACTCGAGTTCATGTTCAAATTCACCCTTCGGGGACTATTAGATAAAAAGGTCAGAAGACTGGTCGAAGTTACACAAGATTTTGTATGCAATGGTAAAGAACACTTACATTTGCTTTGGCGACCTGTGTCAAGTCGACCTGGTAGGCCAAATGACGATAGCTCATGCGGTCTTTGATACGTTCGCCCTGACTGCCTTTGACGCCTTCTTGGGGAAGTTCGTCGCCGATCTCACCTTCGTACTCCATTTCCAGATTGACACTGATACGCCAGTCGACATGAGTTTTCGGACTGCTCACGTCAATGTCTGCGAGACGGCATTTGACGATCTTCGCGAGGACCTTGCCGCTTCGCAAGTCTCTTGTCACACGGACTTTTGGCGAATGCCGACGGTTGAGATTCTGGCGAATCAATGGTGGCAGCTCTTCTGGGTTGACTGAATAAAATGTATCACGCTCCTTCTTGTGCGCGTACGAGATCGGGATACGATTTGCGTTGTTGCTTGGGATTGAAGCTTTGACAGTCTCGTTTAAAAAGTTGTTCATAGCACGATGTTGTTCCTAAAGCATTTCCTCGTCAGTTTGCTTTTCTTTGTCAGGCGATGTTAGAGAAGTGACATACCACAGTCATGTTGCTTTGGAATGAGGTCCGGGCTCGTGAATTGTTGACGACGGCCTCAGTGAATATGGGCAAATTCAGCCTCTCACCCCGCTCCAGATCCATGAGGTGACCTAATTTAGCTTCTATCTCAACAACGCCAGAGGGTCCGTCGTTACGCATAACGACAAGCTGGAAAAGGAAGTCGGAAACCGTTTTTGTGATTTCTTCATAAGGGATTTTGCCAGTGATCGACGGTTCCCACGGACCAAGGCCGCCTGGAACAGACGGCGGCGGTACAAAAGGAGCTGATGCCGCAGAGGGATCATTAGCATTGGGTGGAGCTGAGTATGGAGAAGATTCCGGGGTGGCTGCGTTCAGGGTCTGTGAAGGGCGTGAAGAAGCAGCAGGAACTGACGATGCCGCCGCCATTGACGACCTACGAGAAGCCCAAGGGTCCGGGTCCAAGCGTCTCGCTGCTTTTGAGACAGTAGGCTGAGGGTTTTGAATGATTGGGCATTTCCCCTTCACACGAACCGATCGTTGTGCAAAAATTGGAGGTTCATTGAAGCGTCTTCGCTTTCGCTTTGGTTGGCTTTCAAGTTGAGGACCCGATTCGTTATCCACTTCCATCTTCAAAGGATGTGATCCACCTCTCGAAACGGACGGAGAGCTTATTATTTGTGAATCTAACGCGGGCGCAGAATTGATTGGCATTGTATAAGTTTCAATTCCCTTTTTCTCTGCAGGTGAGAGAGAAGGTGCAACTGCTGCGGCAATAGAATTATTCTGATGGGAGTTCCCTTTCGTGCTCGAAGTCGAAGTATCTTCTTTTGAAACACTTGGGTGAAACTGAGATGTTGATTTGGAAGGTCGTGAGCTAGGAGAAAAGGTCCGTTGGGTCACAGGGGATTGTGTTTGTGTTGCATCCCGGGGGTGGGGATCAAATAGGGGCCGAGGACTGGATAGAAGATGACGCGGTGAATCGCGACCGGAGGACAGTGGATACACGGAGGAAGGTGATTGAAGAGTTGATTGAATAGATGAAAAAGCAGGATGAGGACCGAGTGGAGTTCCTGGGATCGACAAGCGGTGTGTGGAAGGGGGTGAAAAATGATGTGGGCGAGCTTGCGGCGCCGAAGGAGGACTTTCAACAATTGGGCGTGATGGATTCGTCATCACAGTTTGAAGAGAATGGGAGCGTTGCTGTGCAAAGTATGACTGTGATTCACCCGTGGGCTGCTGAGATGTGTATGGTGAAGTCAACGGACCAGCGGAGTGTTGAGAATTGAACGTTGATGCGCCGTATACATCACGCGGCCCGGGTCCATATGGGGTTGAAACTTGTGAAGGGCTTTGACTACGCTGCGATCCGACTGATGTATTGAGTGGTGGAGGGCCTGCATTGAACTTCTGGTAAGGCGATTGGGCAGGAGGGCCGTAAGGTGAGGAGAGTTCGGGTGAGGTGTGATGCGGTTGTGGTATTGGAGGTTGAGGACGTCCTAAGTAATCCGAATGACTCTGCGCACGCTGTTTAAGGGAGGGATCTGATATAGGGCTAGAAGATTGACTGGTTGGAGGAGGATTAGAGGCGCCAGCGTCGCTATTCATGATTGTGCGCAAATCCATGGCGATCACATTCACCCCGAGGGCACCACCACTACCACCAGCGCAGGTTTATAAAGAGAAACACGCGCCTACAGTGTGCGACATCAAGACGACACCAAGTGTCGAGAGTGTTGGTGGAGTGACAAACGATGGATGCGAGACAAAGAGAAAGGGAGAAGTTCTCAGTGCGGATCGCGCGAATCAGGAAGCTTGGGAGGATCATCGCCGCTTTGGGGTCACTTTAAAAGAGCCACGCGATCACTATATATTTCAATATTGGCTTATTATAGACTATTGTATTGGCTTGTTCAAGAACTAGCTATATACCAAGCTTTTCAATATACATTATAGCTTCCAGGATGCCGAGCAAGGCTAACGGCGCAGGTTTCACCTGACTATGGAGACCATATCTATAGCGGATTCTTCTATCGAATAACCCTAACAAACAGACTTTACATCAATAAATTGATATTCATTAGTAAAGTACCTCGGTATTTCATAAGAGTACTTAGATATGTTACTTTAAACTTCTATCAATCTACACTGCCATGTAGTTTATGGAAAGATTGATAAAAAGCCACAATGTAGATAGTCATGTGATTTGATATGTCATCAATCATGCCTCAGGTGTCACTATACACTTACAAGCTCTTTTCCTACCATTAACCATTAACCATTAAGTGCAAAGCTGGTATATATAGCTTATAGTTGAAGTTTATCGATCTAGGTATACTCAAAATATAAACCCAGTTACAAGGTTAGGGTTTCATCGTCTTTCCTATGTATCATATATAGTGTAGTTCGTGAAGACGGGCCAAAGCTGCAAATGGCAATAGATCAGCGACCATCCTGTCTCATCTCGCTCCTTCCCCTCTCTCTGTTTCACGAACCTGTCTTACTCTGACCTAGGTAGTTTGCACGGTATGACCTGATGATGTGAATAGACACACCTTATTCAAAGACGCGTTGAATTTTAGTCGCCTTTCTGCTGAATTTGGTGTTTATTGTCGGCGCTACGAGTTGACCTCCAATTTCCCAGCGCACGCACTTGAGCAACCTTGGCTGACTCGCTGGACGAGTCATCGCACATACCCTCATTTCTTTCAATGCTCTTTATTCCTTAGTCTTCTTTCCCTCAGAGTCTCATTTACATCGAGCCACAGTCAAGACAGTACCTCTGGCCATGGTATTTCACTCGGACCACCGGTTCGCAACGTCGAACATCCGTCTCAAAGACCTTGGAGACCTCGAAGACCTCGAATGCTCGTCTATTTCCTCCGAGGATAGCATCCCAGATCGCTCCTCCAATTGGACTCAATTCTCCCAATTCCATCCGTCGAACATCCTGGCGCATTCGAATGGACATGATTCACAAGATTGGCTCTCCTACATCGAGGAGATACTATACAAATTGACAGTTGTATTGGCACCGAGCTTTCTGCAGAATTATCTTGGAGTCAAAAACCACGAGCCTAACAAGCTACATGCTATCGCTGCACTCGATGGCTTGCGCGGCTGGGCTTGCCTACTTGTGTTCAATTTCCACCTCCTATTCACGTATACCTGGAAAGTCGCGATCGGATGGGGATTTGGTGAGAATAATTTTGGAATCCACCAGCTTCCCATCATCCATATGTTGATCTCGGGCCATATCATGGTGGCTATCTTTTTCGTCATTTCCGGCTATGTCCTCTCTTACAAGCCCCTGAAGACCATTCGATCACGGGATTTTGATCAAACGTTCACCACTCTAGCATCCTCTACATTCCGGCGAGGACTGCGTCTCTACATCCCATCCATCGTCGGACTCGCGTGTGTTTTCGTCGCAGTCCGACTGGGCATCTACAACTCCTCTTGGCACGTCATTAAGGAAGGTCACACGATCATGGGCACAAACGAACAACACCCACCTATCTACGGCACCTTTATGAGTCAGTTTTGGGACCTATATTACACCATTGGGCGTCTGGCGGACCCATTCGACTGGAACCTTTACTACAACAATTACAACCCACATCTCTGGACTATCCCATTGGAGTTCCGATGTTCGCTCGTCATTTTCTTAACAGCACTTGCAACCTCTCGACTAGGCTCACCCGTTCGCCTGTCTATAGTTGCCGGTATTATGTGGTTCTGTATACGTTACGGTCGCTGGGATATCGTCCTCTTCCTTGTTGGAATGATGATGGCTGAAGTCGATCTCATAAATGGAACCTGGGAGCAGCCTTCCAATACAGGGTCCCGCGCAACAGACTCAAACATCCACATACGCCTTCCGCCGAGTGGTAAAATTATCGCCAGCATTTCTCAGCGCCGTTTCTGGATCGCCGCATTTATAGTCGGCCTGTACTTCGGCTCGACCCCAAACCTCGGCTTCAAATGGACACCAGGCTACTGCTGGCTCTGGAACTTGACACCTAAGACATACCCCGAGCCACACCGGTTTCCGCAAACCATAGGTGCGGCTCTGATCGTGTTTAGCGTCAATCAATCACCGGCCATTCAGCAGCTATTTACCAATTCAGTCTCACAGTACCTAGGCAAGGTGTCATACGCTTTCTATATAGTCCACGGACCGATCCTTCACGCGCTAGGATATGCACTCATGCCCAATATCTGGCGCATTACGGGCAAAGAAACGAACTTTCAATTCTGCTTTGGACTCTTGATAAATTGGATGATTTGCTTGCCCGTCTCTATTTGGGCCGCCGATATTTTCTGGCGTGCTATTGACATTCATAGTGTCAAGTTTGCTCGCTGGGTAGAAGACTGGCTTACTGCTCAGCGTAAGCCGGTATCTATACCTCGGGATAATTCGCGATCTCACAATTAATTCAATGACATGGCTGGCTGGATCAGTATATCTCTTATTGTCATCACCGGAGTAGGCTTTGCAGCTTGTTTTCTTTTATCCAACTTTATCTCGTCCTTGTCTATTACAATACCCTTCTCAGTGGTCGAGTTTGTACATTAAAGCTAATTACAAGGATTCATTGATATCAGCAACACTTGAAACGATTTAAAACTTCCAAGGCTCTGCTGTTCACTGCATAGTGTAAGCTGTCAATTTGTTTAAGAGGTATAACCCTGGAAGGGGTCTAGACAGAAAAAAGTGCAAAAAGAATAAGGTTAAAAGGGGTGCTATGCTACCCAAAATATTTGGTGTATCATTCATTCATTCATAGTTGTTCCAAAATCAGGCGATATCCTTGTTCCAACTGATCAACAAGAAAGAAATCAAGTCATATCGCAGCCGGCTTATTCTTACTCGACCCTGGAAATGTAATGCAAGCAAAGGACCATTGCACAAGAACGAGGAAGCTAGGAAAGTGAGGGTACAAGACAAAGAGTGGGTCAAGTAGGAATCACGAAAGGATAGGTAAAAGATAGTGGAAGAAACACATCCGCGAGCAAAGGTAAATGGATCTAGAGAGAACCATATTATGCCGACTGGACGGGGAGACACCAAAGGACGCAGGTGAAATTCTTCCAGTAGTATCGTGCAGGTCCGTGAGGGAAAATTGACACCTCATCTTTGGCCTATCAATTCTCCAATAAACAAGGTCTATAGCGACACGCCCCATATTCCCCGTCCACCACAGACACCCAACCATTCCCGCGTATGGCCCGAGTGGTTTGGTCCCCCTTGAGGAGACCAGCTAATGTTAGAAACTTCGTAATCACATTGCCAAGCGGCGGCAGGGCCGCGCTCAGAGGCTGCGACAGGGACAGCTGGGTTCTGACCAGATGAGGAAACGGGTGCGGCATTATGTTGGTTAATCAAGTCCCAGATCAGAACAAGACTATCATCACCACCGGATGCTAGGACACCGCGGCAGTTTGGTGACCATTCGACACAGTTCAACGCGGCCGAGTGACCCTTCAGTTCTAAAAGAGCTTGACCTGGTTGCCGGACGTCAAGAACGCGAACAACGCTGGAATCCTGGGAAAATGTGGCTAGAAGATGGGCATCATGGGGGGAAGCTGGCAAATAGTTAGACAAGTTTGTTGAAGATGTACAAAGATAATCTACCTGCGATCCTGAGTAGAGGCGGAGGGAATATGCCCGACTGTGATGGGCCGGATGGACTGGAATTGCCGGAATTCATCACCGCTTCAAGAAGTTTAGTATTTGAACTGCCTGTATATGTGTCTAGAGAGAACTTACGCTTTGGATCAGTCTTGTCTGAAGGTTCATATATGATAGTACTATGCTCGAGGCTTCGAAGATCGAACATACGCACACTGCCGTCAGCACCGCAGCTGACAAAGACGTCAACACTGTTAGCACAGAAGCGAACGTCAAATACTTCCTTGTCGTGGGCAATAAGCTGTGTCTTGGCAGTCAATGTAGGGATATCCCAGATCGTACAAGTTGTGTCAATACTGGATGTGATGATAAGACTTGGAGAGATTGTGTTCCAGTCTAACGAAGTAATTGGCGCGGTATGCTCAGGCGACTTGGAGTTTGAGAGTAGGGCCAAAGGTGAAAGTTTGGCCGCCGGAGCCTCCCTTTGGCTGGAGGAGCGAGTGATGGAATTCGAGCTTTGTAAAGGCTGTGAATTCGGGAGGGACCACAAGCGAAGGTGGTCGCCCGACGTGGCGAGCAGATCGGTGGACTGTTTTTGAGATGAGGGAGGTTCCCACAGGATGCGCGTGACAGGATAAGAGTGTGTTGCCTCGGCAGTTTTCACATATTCTAGCTTGATTTGATCAGCCGCAGCGTCAGGAGTATCTGGGTCAGGCTGGGCCCAATGTGTATCGATAATTTGAATCTTGGAATGCAGTCAGCTTTGAGTGGTAGTCAGAAAATGTGGGAAAATTGCGCCTACAAAGTTATGGTTGTCTTCGAGGTAGCTCCCAACAGCCATTTTTCCTCCGAACGAACTCGAGTTTCCAGGAATTGGCCATTTGCACCAATCAACAGCATATATTGGCCAGGGTGCAAGGTAATTGCTGTTTGTAGGAACATTATTGTCTGTATGATACGAAGACAGTCCTGGGCTCATGAACGATTCTCCAAGATTGTGGTCGCCTGAGAGCCGAATGTCGGCCAGTCCCAGCGGCGAGTATTTGGACCCTTGCGGGGTTTGGGGCGAAAATACACCTCCTGGAGATGAGGGATACTTGGAACCTTCAGCGGTTCCCTGTTGCTTAAACATGGACTGGTCAAATCCAGCCGGACTGGAGCGTGAATGGCTGTGTGAGTTGATCATGCTTGTGCGATGACCGGTCTGCTGGGTTGAAGAGTAGGTGGGGACGCCCGACGGAGCTGTATGGGTGGAGATAGCTTGGGGGCGATGTTGGTTTCCAGGAGTCAACGAACCCGGAAGAGCACCACTGCTATTGGAGCCGTATTTGAGGGGCTGGGAACTGGAGTGCACATTGATCGATGGGACATGGGCTGCACCTGCATCTGGGGAGGTGGGGTATTCGTGTGATGATTGCTGGCGCGAGCTTGAATTGGCCAACCCCGTCGATGGAATATGCAGCTCTTCTGGTTGGCGCCCGAACACGTCGGATCGACGAGATGAGTCGAATGAGGAATTCGACATGGTGTCTCAATCGCGCCTCTTAAGTAGGGGCAATAGTGGATGGGGGAGTCTGAGCTCCACTCCCCTCGGGACTGAAAGTAGTCTAGTATAAGAGTGGCACTTCAAAGTGCTCCAGAGGATGAATGGAGTGAGCTGGCAAAACCCCACTAGATGAAAGAAGCAAAGTTACATTGGGCTTAGGCGCAGCTTCACGAGGTGTGTGTTTCTGCGACTGGGTGTGCCCGCGCTGAGTCAGCTTTCCCCAGGTCACTTGGCTTGTTTATTAGATCTCTCTCTCTCTATTCTCTTGCACATAGCTTTATTTCTATACATGGAATCCTCTGAAATGAATCCCATAGAGGCTGTCACCACCTCTCCATCTGCCCTCCTGCTACTTCCACCACCACCATCCTTCTCGTTTGATCAAGTCAAAGATGTATTTGAGACTGCGGTATCAGATGCCCTGGTGAAACTCCAGAAGACCCCTAACCGTTCTGGGTGTGCACCGACCCTCGACATTGCTGCAGATATTCCTGGATTATTATCTCCTGCCTGCAGACCTCGATCAAAGATCTTCCCTCAACTACAACATTACCTTACCAGTATTTATACTCTAATTGGGGCCGTCGCAACAGAGCGTAGTATTGAACTAGACACGCCCGGTGGTATTAATACGAGGGTAATTTTCGTCGACTCTTCACTCTCTCATCAAATATTTGCATCTGCTAGCCGTTCAGCAATTGGGCCAATTCTCGATCTGCAGACTCTGGCAGAGGCAGTGCAAAGCCAGTATCGAAAATGGTCCCACATATTTTATTTGGGCAGCAAAGCTGGCAAAGAGCTAGCTCAGGCCTTTGTGAGTCTTGCCCCGAGTTCTTCACAAGATCGCATGACATCGATCCTTCAGTCGTTCAGTTGCGGGGACTGGTCTGTTCCGCTGCCTGTGCTGGTTCCTGAGGATCAGCAGTCGTCAATGCCCCACTATTCGGTGGCGGTGGGAGGTACTTTTGATCATCTTCATCTTGGTCACAAGCTTCTCCTCACGGCTACGGCTTTGGCCTTGGAGCCTTCATATGCAACCGATGAAAGCCAAGAATCGCTGTTAACAGTCGGAGTGACTGGAGACGCACTGTTGGTAAATAAGAAGTATGCGGAGTTTTTAGAAGACTGGAACCAGCGCTTCCTTGTCAGTCAAGGGTTTCTCATGGACATCATGAATTTCTCGGGCTCTTTGGAGGTGAATAAGACCATCACCCCCGACGGAAAAGGAAGTTTGATCCTCACGACCATCCAACCACACAGTCCAGGAACAGGAGTGACGTTGAAGTTTGTGGAGTTCTTCGATATATGTGGACCCACAGTCACCGATGAAGGTATCAGTGCGCTTGTGCTATCCAAGGAAACACAAGCCGGAGGGGCTATAGTGAATAATGAGCGAGTGAAGAAGGGATGGAAGCCACTGGTTATATTTGAAGTGGATGTGCTTCAGACGGGAGAGACAATGAATACCGAAGGATTCGAATCCAAAATCAGCAGCACAAACATTCGACGCACGCTATCCAAGGCATGAAGGGGATTTCAAGACATGAAAGAGAATCCTATAAATATAATTTGAGGGGCTACGAGAGTAAATTGAAGAAGGGGTGAGAGATTAGTAGCTTATGAACCAATCTAGTCCTTTAGAGCGAGTCTTTCCACCACACCTCCATCACTCTGCAGATGTGACAAGCGGGATGGCCTGCATTGGTTTCATGTCCAACCCCCTCATCACCTCCCAACTAACCTGACTCGTTGAATCTGCAGGTTCGCGATGGGCCCGCAGCCTTGATCAATCATGTGATTGCTATAGGAAATGCAGCGCTAACCGAATCCTCGGTCGCGATTGTTAGGGCGAGGGATGGTGAGACAAGCACCGAAAGGTAAATTGTTCACGACTGGCTTTAATCACTGCTTATTTTTATTTTATTTTCGTTAGTTCTTCTCACCGTGCGCCCCCAACGATTTCTCCCGTAGAACGCTAGATCTTTCTTCTTCTTCCTTTCTTCCTTCCATGTTGCTGCTATTCATTCCAGCCGAAATATCGGCTGACGATCATGGATCAGTCTCCCATGCAGCATCTTCCGGACGAGCTATTAAGCGACATTCTGTCATTTCTACTAGACTCCAGGCCTCAAGCACTTGACATAGGCGGGCGTAATGGCCTTGAAGCTGAATCTCAGACCATTAGGCTTGGAGAAGCTTCCGATCTCGATCGGTTTCGTCTCGTCTGTAAACGATTCATGCGGATCGGCACTCCTCGACAATTCTCACGCTTCAACTTACGCTTTTCTGAACATGGATTCCGCAGACTCGGGGACCTGCTGGAAATGCAGCTAGCCTGCTACGTGAAATCAGTGACTTACCTTGTGCGACCCTTCTATCAAGGCAGCGGTATCGTTCTCCATCTGTCCAGTTGAAAAAAAAAAAGAAATGAAAAGAAGAAAAAGAAAGGAGTTAAAAGAATCAAACACGGCTGACAACAGATTATAGGATGGATGCCGATGCTACGCACGCTTGGCTTCGAGGATCCTACTCTGGCCCAAGTACACATCCGCCGATTCAGAGAACAGACGAGATTGGTCGAGAACAACCGCGACCTTGTACAGCTACGCAAGGCTATGGAGGCATTTTCATCACTTCAGGAGATCAAACTCCTTCGCTTACAAGACAAAGCCGACGACGATCTACTAGATTTCATTCGCGATCACTCCATCCGACGCGCGGAGGGTACAAGCTTGCGCACAACCCGGTTCGACTGGGAATCGGCCTGTTCACGCGCAGTAACAAATCTCGGCATATCCATTCTCGGTTCCCAGCAATGCACTTCTATCCGCTTCATCGGCCCGCAGATCAGCCCCGAAGCAACTCTCCAGCTCCTGCGAGCTCCCCCCACAACCTTCACAGCAATTGGCAGCCGTCTCACCAGCCTTGACATCAACTTCCACTCCCACACGGACATTACCGCAACCATGTCCGACCTTTCAGGGGTGTTCCGTCGGGTTTTCACCGAAGCCCAAAATCTTGTCACAATAAAAATCGGCTTCCCTCCCAAATCACCACTCAACCTCGCCCTTGAGGCTATCTTCCATAACATCTCTTGGAAAACCCTGCGCACACTCGGTCTGAAGGGATGGCGCTTGCACGCCGAAGAGATCATCTCATTAGCCCGTCGACACCGCTCCCAACTACGTGACTTGCGCTTGAACGCCGTCTATGTACGACCGGGTGGCCGCTGGATAGACGTTCTCTCCGTCCTCCGTGTCGAGATGAAACAATTAAACCATCTAGACCTGACAGACATCGACTACTCTGGCAATTTTGACGCTGTTTTTCTTACCAGCGGCGTTGAGGTATTCGATGACCCTCTCAGCATTACTCCCATATCCTCTTCCTTGTCCAATGCAACAAGCGCATTCCCGCCGCAGCCAGATCTCTTAGATAAAGTGCGTGACCTTGCGACAGTTGATCTGGGGGATAATGGTCTTCACGTCCATCGGGACCAAGGTCATCTCTGGGAGGCATGGGTTCTTTCTGGACTGCGCATGCAAGATGTTCATAGCAATAGCAGTGTCATGAATGAGGAAAGATGAGTGGAATATACGCTACGTATTGATTTGGAGTTGGCGGCCTGGATGATATTTACACCTCTCATTTTTTTTTTTTGCAAATTTATACCAGTCACCTGTATTCAAATGCTTCTGTTTATGTTCATTTGGACCTAGATAAAATCCCGAGGTCCGTTGATGCTGCCCATTTGCGCAGCTGCTTCGGTTCTTTCAGCTACCTAAATATTTTGTATATACAGAAATGCAATAATCAATGTCATTGCCATGATTCATGTGCTAAAAAGGGCACATCAAAACTCAACATCAGTGTCCTTGGGTATGAGGGTATCAAGTCAAACAAAAAGTGCAAAACAAAGCTAAGAATCAAAGATTCAGCCATTTCCATGACAGTTCAGATTGAAAACCTAAGTATAACAGGCGTTCCAATCCCCACCAGTCTTCGCAAAGTCAAGTGCACGAACAAATTCATCAAGCCGACACCTCCCCAACGAATCAATAGTGCAGCCATGTAGCGGCACAACGCGATCATTAACAAGCACACGAACCAGTGGATCGGGCTTACTCTTCCCACGACACTGCATGACCTCGACATAAGCACGCGCGGCAAAAGGCACAGTCCACGCAGCGGAAAAGCCATCTTCCACTCCAACTGACGCAGCGTGATTAGGCTGAAGTGGTACGGTGCCGTTATACAGACCCAGCGCGGAGAAAATTGGTATCATGCCGTTGTCATGGGTGAAATCAATATAGAGGGAGCGAGAGAGAGGAAATGTAGGGGCATTTGGAGCGTCCAGGGTATGATTCGTAGACGTGTCGTCGTGGACGGCTGTGTGGGTCAGACGAGCTATGAGCTCGTTGACGAAGCCAACGCCTTGGGTTGGGCCGAGTTGGTTTCCGGCGCCGAAGCCGTAGTATTTACTCAGTGACTGGAGGTAGTCGTATTGGATCCATTCTGCGTCGGTGAAGAGGGCGCAGAAGGGGGATTGGACTTTTCCGTCGGCTGTTTTGGAGAGCGTGTCGAAGGGGCACATATCCATTAGGTAGACGACTTCTTTGTTTGAGAGGGTGACCCCTGGTAAGCTGGATTCTAGGCGGGACTTGATGCCTGGTGCGAAGATGGCTGTGTAGTTGTCTGAAATGTTGTCGCCAAGCTCACTGGCCTCAAAGGCTGGACAGGTGTTGTGGTTGAGGGTGTTGTTCATGCCTGTGTCTTCGGATATAACCACGTTGATTGTGGGACTTGATTGGTTCTTCTTAGCGGCATTATCTTGGGTCTTAGATTGATTGAAGCCTTGGATGAAGAATTCGCCCGATTCAATCACACGGGAAGAGCCTGATGAGCGGATGAATGGGATGTAATCTCGTGTGAGGGCTTTGTATCGGTTGTAAAACTTGATGCCTGAATTTACCATCTCACGCTCACCGAATGGGATCAGATCATCGCTGCCCAACGAGTAATTGTACGAGCGCAAAAATTGAGTCTTGTCCTTGTAGGCTGTAGCGTTGGCCTGTATAGCTTCTAGGAGCTTCTTGTACTTCTTGCTCTTGGATGCAGTGGGATATCGTGCACCATGGCGCGACAGGGCCTGCACAAAAGTAACATCGCATTCGTTTGGAATAGCGCCATTGATACCCTCCTCAGCGAGGGAGAAGTAAGGCGAGTAGGCGCCCCAGTGGTGGGATATATTAGTGAAACACTGATAACCACCTTTGACCCCGTTGCAGAACTCGCGCCGAGGGATGACCTTGTCATTTCTAGAAAGCGACAGCTTTATCAGGTCACTGAAATTATCATCTCGAACTCGCAGAAAAGCGTGGGGTTCATACCCAGTCACTAGGTATATCAGACCCAGGATTACGACTACCAGCGTGGAGGCGATAGACATGATAGTCCACTTGTGTAAGTTCCTGGGCCTGGGGTATTCTTCAAGTGCACCTGCAAGCAAATTCTTTTCTTCTTCATTACTGAGTCTGGATCGGCCCGACATTCTCATTTTCAATTTCCTGGGCAAGGTTGGAAGGTTTAAGTCCCGAGATTGTCACACAAGTTTATACTGCCTACCTTGGGTAGTATATGTCCCGCACAACCACTCGGCTCCGACTCAACAGGGATTCAGCTGTCACGACTCACTTGCAAGAGAGAGGAAAAAAAAAACACTTGAACCGGTATTCTTTAGATTTGGTCTAGGGTTGAAGCAGTTGCCCGTGATCGCATTCTAGTTGCTGATTGGCTACACTTCACGTGATCAGACGGCAGGCCTCGGTACTTCAAAGGTACCCCCTTTACAAGGCTAGTAATAGTAAAACTCAAGTACTATTTATGTACCTATCAACCTCACACAATGCCATTATATTCGATCTGCAACTCTGTCCGACATCTCGATTTAGATGACACTTAAGCATGAACCCTGCACAGGCTGCACTGGTACCTAGGTATGCCTAAGAACGAGGCTGAGCCTTGACCTGTCACAAATTAAATACCACAAATACCACCTAAACCGTTGACAGCTTGAGATGGATCCTCCATATGTAAGGGGGTTTTCAGATCCATGGTTCAGATGGTAGCTCACAACTTGACTAAAACTTACATTTGACCGCAAAATCAAGTACTCTAATTCTATCTACCTTGCGAACACTTGGATAGCTGCCATTTCATTTTTATTTTTATTTTTATTTTTATTTTCATTATCTATATTATGCGAACAGAAACTGCAGTGACCGCTGAATTGCAGATCACTTGTCAATTGGGCAGTATTCGATAGATGAAATCTTCTAAAATAGACTCTAGACCCCAATCGAACACTGGAAGCAATCTCAAGGCTCTACCTAGATTAATTCAAGTATGCAGGTATGTAGGTATGCAGGTATGCAAGTGTAGAATGAGAAAATTGAAATAAATGAATAATCTTCGCCGTGGAGGTATCACCGCTAGAAGCCGAACAACACAGTATAAAAAATAAGCAATAAAAAATAAACAAAAATAAACAATAAACAATAAACAATGGAGATGGGGAATAGACTTTTGTTTTTTCCAGGCAACGAGACAGAACGGACTCCGAAAAGAGATCAAATGCCACAGAGAGATGCATGATAGTACTACATACGCCCAACCTGAAAAGACGCAGGCGCAGTAAATAGAAAGCAGAAAATTGATCCTTGTAAGCCAAAAAAAAAAGCAAGTGCGCTGTAAAGCAACAAGTCAGAAACTGCTAGCTCATAACAGTGTATATGATGGGAAAAATTGACGAGGGGAATTTCTAATAGATATCCACATAGGAAAATAAAGTCAACATGTCTAATAAGCAATCGGAATAGTAATCTTGTCAAGGTCGTGACCAGGACCCAAACGGCGGTAAAGATCCAGGCCCAGAAACTGTTGGTCCTGGAAGCCAAGTTCCCTGAGGCATTGGCGAGTCTACCAATCTGCCCGGATGTCCAGGCGCAGAGCCCGCTGGGAGATGCTGTGAGACTGATGTAGATCTCAAATCCTCAGTGGCCCATGGTTGTAGCGTAGGGACAGATTCGGTAGAAATTTCAGGAGTTATACCTGTAGATCGAGGTGAGGGTGGTCTGGGAGCTAGTTGGCTCAAAGGCATTGAGTGGACGAGATGGTCACGGAAGACATCACGCTCAGAGCGATAGTAGTCTCTTTGCTGAGTCAGGGAACGGATTTCCTCGCTTTGTCGACGAACTGTGTCCAGGTGACGTTGGATCTCATCCTGCTGGGAATTTAATCGCTGCTCTAGCTGCATCTCATTGCGCTTCCTATTGCGAAAGCGCCGGGAGGCGTTACTGTTTGCTTTTCGTTTCTCGGCCTGGCTGGATGAGCCTGTTTTAAGATCTAGCACACATGGTATTAGGCCTGGTGTTGAGGTATCCTCTGTCCTGCTTCGTGGACCGGCTGTTGCTGGAATGCCTCTGGTCATGGAGTCTATCGTCATGTAGGAAGTTGGGGCTCCTGAGTAAGGCGTGCTTGGCATGGAAGTAGTGGGAACTGCTGGTGAAACATGCCCATAGTGACTGTAGCCCGAATGAGGCGTTGCTGGAGGCGTTTCTTGAGAATTGGGACTCGTTAACTGCCCCGTACCTATGCTGGCCCGCTGGGAATGTATAACTGGTGTCGATTGTGTTGCTGCTGCAGACGAGGGCTGAGTGCTGGGTATTGATGGGATGGAGCGAAGTGAAGAATCTAGCATGAGAGGAGAACTGACAGCAGGAAGCTGACGCAAACCAGCCATAGACGGGTTATGTGGAGCTAGCGGGGAATGCGAGACGCTGGATTGTGCGGAGTGCCTGTCTCCAGCACTAACAAACCGTGAAGAGCCCGGGTTGATCATCGGCCTCGAACGCGACCTGGGAGACAAGGGCTGCTGCGCTAGCGGGTGAATTGATCGCGGCGCTGGCGAAGAGCCCTGTCGTGGTCGGGGAGATGATGTAGGACTAGGTAGGCTCCGCTGTTCACGATTGCCTGGTGTCAGATCGGCAGTCATCTGGGCTGGCGAGTTCAAGATAGCATGTACACCAATAGACCGTGAGGATGCGGACTCTAGCGGTGGCTCCACAGGTCCATATGGATGCCAGGATTGTGGACGAGGACGCAGTAGTTGACGCCTAGAAGAGTAAGGGCTCGCAGACCCATGCTCGTCAATCACATTGCGATCTTCAGAAGTCACATCGTCGGACAATGGACCTGCGCGCAGAGGCTCCGACATAGACGGATGTCCTGAACTGGCTTGGGGCTTAGGGCATGACCGAAACCCCCCTCCCTCTGTGTTACCGGGAGTCTCACGAGCAGTATGAGAGAGGGAGGAAGGCGGATAGCGTGAATCAGCAGGATAATAAGACAGCTTTGGAGGGTGTAACGGTCCCGAGTAGGAAGCAGTCCAGACGTTGAGACCCAGAGTAGCCACGATGAAGAGATGTCAGGGGGAAAATAGGTAAGAGGAGGTAGATTCAGGATGACACTCTTTTTTTTCCTAGTTCTGAGGGTAATCAAACCAATTGAGGCTAGTGTGGCTTATAGAAGAGATGAGATAGAATGGACCCTGTAGAGTATACACAGACTCAGATCAATAAAATGTCTTCAATCAAAGTAGCCCTGGGTATAAAAGGGAAGAAAGATCAGAGCAGGTAGCTAGGAATTAATAAAGCATTGTCGTCACAGCCGTTGAGATGCAGCGGTGAGAGAGAGAGAGAGAGAGAGAGAGAGAGAGACAGAGACAGAAGAGACCGATCCATCAACTGTCTAGGACCAAAAAGATGAATGTCCGACCCAAGCTGTCGGGATCAAGTGTTGGGCATGTACATGTAGCAGAGTTCCTTCCAATAAAACGAATAAAATAAATAGTGAAATAAAAGTGAAATCCTTGTGCTAGAAATGGGGCAAACTAAAGAAGATCGGGAGCAAAGGAAAAATGCGAAAAATGCGAAAAAAGCTGCCTGAAAGGTGATTTCCAGTCTCCACTGGCGTCTTCTTACATGAATTAATTGCCCGTGGGACCAACCAGAGATCGTCGGCATACAGAGTACGAATTATCACAAGTGCGCGGGCTCACCATGGACGTGGACATGTATTTTTATCTTGCAACCTTTGTTCTTTCCTACTTGCCTATTTACATAGCTCCCCAATATTTGGACCTCGAGCTGTTCATCAGTTTGTGGGGCTTATTTCTAAAGAGGGATTCATGCATCTCCAGCTATATGGATCCGTATCCGTACATAGACCGGATACCAACAAAGTACCTTAGTTTGTGCCATGTGTCGAGGATCCTAGAGTGGGCCGATCCATGACGCAGAACACTGAGCAATCTTTCTTTCCTTCAGATCCCTTATTGAATCTAGTCCAATGAAGGAGAGTTGAGGGGGTTAATGAGACTAGTCCTGTCCTGCCATTTTCCGAGAGTTTGGGCTTGGGAGACTAACTAGAAGTATAGAAAATAAAATAAATCAACAGCAAATACTCCGATGGACACAGATGTCAGGGGAATTGACGAATCAAGTAGATAATAATAGTGTAAGGCCCGATTTGGAGTGTAGGTAAAGTTTAAGCCCTAAGAAGAAGTCATGATGTTATGCATTGCGTTCCCCGTGTCAAATCCCGACAAAAGGGGCTCCCGTTGACGGCCGTTGGAAATAATGATAAAGGACAGATTCATCCTATCCACTTTTCCTGATTCATCGAGCCAAACTATTGGAGTAGTTCTTCACCGTTCTTTGGGACGGACCCGCCAGCTTAAACCGAGAAGAGATGGAGACGTGGATCAGTCATCGTAGGTGGGGGTGAAAGCAACACAACTGGGGAAATGGAATGAGGAACGGGGGTAGAGGATTTACTTAGTAGAGCAAATAGTCTGATTCAGATTTAAAAACTTGGAAACCTTGGAAACCTCGGAAGATTTCAAGTTATATACCACCTGAGTAGAGCGAATAGTCTGATTCAAATGTAAAACTTGGAAGATTCAACTTATATAGCTTAGTGAGTGAAATCGAAAATATGTGACAACTCATCCGATCTCACCGAAGAAATCCGAGGCGCTGAAACGCTGAAACGCTGAAACGCTGAGACGCTTTAGTGTACAATGCATGAACAAGTGGATAAAGTACGAAGTAGCTTCCTCGTGACGAGATCAACAAAAGTGGGGCTTCATAAGTCCATCCTGCAAAATGGAGATACTATCTAGGTAAGTGTAGCTGAAGGTCAAGTTCTCAGGTGGCTTTCAAAACTCCCTATACCTACCTAGGTAGGTACTTACTCTAGTTGGTACCAATTCACACTACCTTTCTTGGCTGGCTGGATTGCTTTCTCGATTGAGCAACGACGATCTGTTGACAGCTCTAAGCTTGCCATGTGGTGTTTTGATGGCTTTTCGATACATAGGGTTGTGGTGGTGGCTTAGACGCCAAAACAAGCTACCTGCCATGACGAGGCCTAAAATAGCAAGTCCCGCAAGATGATAGATCCGGTTGTATTGAAGTTGTCCAAGGCGTGCATTGGGTTAGCCGCCATTTCTCCGAGAACGACGAATCATCATGTCTTTATGTGAGAAATTCCCAAGCTGATAGATCCATCGATCTTGACTGGTCCGTTGCATTAATTATTCCTCTCCCCCTATTTGGTCATATTATGACCAGGGTACACATGAAACGTAGTGTACTACCCCTGTAGCTGTGTCATGTATTTCAAATCAATAATCCCTGTGAAAACACTGAAGTGTACGAAGTATAAGAGGTTCTAGACCTTAATGCGTGTCATGGTAACGTGGGTCAGGGGTGGAAATAAGAGTCCCAGGTATCTGGTACATGGGTACGTCGTACCAGGGTTAGGATGTGGATAAGTTCTTTCTACTTGCCATACTTCTATCTTTTTATTCATCGCTTGTCGCGGGCATACTCTATTGCTCCAATTCCTGCTTAGATTAAATTCATCACATCTTTCCATCACTGGACTCCGTCGGCATTACAATCATTTGCTTTTTGCATGCTACCCAACTTCTATTCGAGAGTGTTTCATGCAGGATTTTATCTCATGTCCGCTGCAACCGCAACAATTCTCGAACCGTGGATCTAGGTTGTACTGATGGAAACTACCGGGATGAAAGATAATTCACCTTGCACGTACTCGTACTTCCACGGAGTACCATGTACACACAGAAACACTAGGCTCATCACCCTCCGTGCCTGCATTTCACCCTGCAGGGCAGATCCTATGAGAGCTGAGAGCCTAAAAGTACCATGCATATGCAACAGAGTAATACATAGACTGCCCAAGGATTGCAAAGATCGGGCTCATTCCAAGAATTCTTACACCCTGAACTACCCTGAAGATTGAGAGTGATGTAACTTCCACGGGTAGATCCGGCATTTACGCATTTGACGTGTAACTTTGATTAATCCAGATGCCCCAGGTGTCTCCTTATTGCTTGCAGACTTCACCGATGATAGTGAATCGGTCCGATCAGGCCTTTTGCCTCACTAACGCACTTAACGTTTTTGACGGATGTGGACGACTATGATATGTCAATTTTGATGTGAAGCAAACAGTACTTTCAAAAGTCAAGAAAGTGCGGAGTACTGCAGTTGAATGCACAGCCCCCATCAGGGCGAGCGACAGGGAAACAAGGCTAGACGAGGGCAAAAGTCAATTCTCCCAAATCAAGACAGATGCACAGTCGATCGCTCGAAAGAAGGAAGAAGGAATCTAGCCTCAGGCAAGTATTGCAACTGCATATAGGAGAGATTTACTGATCGAGGAGTCATTTCCTGTCAATAGCATCATATTCATCTAAGATGACAAGAGAATCCCACTTTCATTTGCCTCAATTCTGGAACCGGAACTCATTCTTAGGCTTTCCGCGAACGCCAACAGAAATCCTAAACACCCGGCCCCCATACCGGACAGACTGCGGAAGCCGCTCATCATCCTTATCATCCTTGGCAGAGGTGATGAACAGCTCCTCACCTACAAAAACAGGACAGGTCGGATTGCGCGTTGGTAGATCAATCTGTCCGATCACCTTCCCCTCCGGCGAAATGCGGATCACCTTTCCACCGCCGTAGATACAACTCCAGATGCAGCCCTCGACATCCATAGCAAATCCATCCGGCTCAAGAGGCTCGCCAAGGTCGAAATGGACACGCTTATTGCTGATGGCGCCGGTTGCGGCGTCGTAGTCAAACGCGAAGATCTTGGCTGTAGGTGAGTCGGTCACGTACATAGTGTCATTGGCCAGGTTCCATCCCATTCCGTTAGGAATGGTCACTGGGGAATGAACCCGGTGCAAGCTCAGGTCGGGATCTAATCTGAAGATTATACCTTCTGGACCTGGGGACTTGACTTTGGGATCGTTCATGGCGCCAGCGAAGAAACGGCCTTCGCTATCGACTGCGCCATCATTGAAGCGCATGCTACGGATACGTGTATTAGATAGGAACTTCTTTAGCGTAGAATGGAGTATATGAGCCATTTCATCTGACTTCACCAAAAGCTCAGAATTGAAACTTACAGTTCTGCCTTGCCTGGACCATCTTCCTCGCCCCAGGCTTCACGAATATAAGAGAGATCTCCGGTAGTTCGGTTCAACCGAGCAAACCCATGCTTAGCCCCAACAATAAGATGATCAACGTCGGTCTTACTTGGGTTAGCAATATTGGCGGTGACGCTAGAAATCCCGAGAAATCACACAGGCTAAGGGTTAGCCTCGCTTGTACGAAGAATCTAAGTGGACAATCTTCAAGAACACCTCCACGTAAAAAAAAAAGAAGGGTAAAAAGGGACAAGAAAGGGAAAAAAGAAAAGAAAAAAAATATGAAGGACCAGATCATGAAACGTACCCAATTGCAGCACCTGTATCAATGACTTTGAGAGACTCGGGTCCCTTGGCCAGATCGAGGCGATAAAGCTTGTGTTCCCAGATATCAACAAAACGAAACTCATTGTTGGCTACATCATGGTAAGGGCCCTCAAGCAATGTTCCAGCAATGTCAAGATAGGGCTAGAAAGGGCATCAGCAAAATTCCAAGATTCTGAGGCGTAAGCCAAGTCAAGCCATGTCAGAAAATAATTTATACAGCCAATTAAAAAAAAAGACAACGAGTCCGGGAAATTGCAGGGAATAGTAATACGAAAGGGAAATAATCTGACCTCATTGACCGTCCACTTCTGAATTCCTGACATGTCGATCGGAAAGAGACAGTAAAAATGAATTTAAAAAACAATAAATCCGGAAGAGGGCTTGGACACCGCTATTTTGAGGTCTAGGGAGTGACACAGTAATTAGTTCTGAATACGGAGTAGTGTATCACATACGCCGAGGAAACTGACAGTGAAGGCCAAGGATTGTTTAGAACTAGAGGGATTTGAAATGAGGTGATGGTGATGGTGATGGTGATGGTGATGGTGATGGTGATGGTGATGGTGATGATGATGGTGATGATGATGATGATGATGATGTTAGTGATGAGGACACGAAGCGGATTGCTTCGGATTAACGAACAAGTCCCCCGCCCTGGGCCCGCCCTAAACCCCCCACAATCATCAATCGGTGGAGTCTACACCGAACCCGTAGGACAAGAACGCAAACTACGCATGGATCTAAGCAAAGGTACAAAGGTACGGATACTGTACTACCGTGCTACTATTGTTCCACAGCCCACTTCACCTTCACTTCACATGACCGCTTCTGCATGCAGATGCAAGAGATTCATGTATGCGCTGGATGGGCGCTAAGCCATAGCCCCATAACATTACACCTACTTTCCTGCCTGATGTACAAATTGGGCTAGCATCTACTATGTACGGAGTACTTTGATGGAAATTACTGAAGGACGTGGCTTTAGTGCTTTTACCTAGTGCTTATACTTACCTATACGGATTACTGCGTATCACTTTACCCCAGGGCTGAACCATCACAGCTTTGTTACATGCAGCTGCTAAGGACATTACCTACATAGGTAGTAGTTCCGTGAAAAGTCTGTCAGGTGTATATCATTACGGTATTATTGTATGGAGTAGATCTAGAATACACAAGGATGTCAACATGTCTATAGTAATGCTTTAGAGAGCCTGCATTATCAGGCCACAACAACTTTCTTCCCGATGTACGAGATTATATACAATAGTCAAAGCTTAGATATTTTGCTATTTAATCGTCTTACAAAGTAATGAGAGTTAAAGACAGGTCAAAAAAAAAATCACAATTTATATTCCGACTCACCCAGCTCAAGATGCTGTATACAAATCGCTCAATCTGATCCTTTGAAGTTTTAAACAATATTACAAATGGGCGAAATGGGTAAATTGTCACTATTGCTCTCCAAGCTGGAGGTCTTGCCTTCAATGCAAAATCAATCTCGAAATTAAAGTCAGCGTTCTACATTCAAAATCGCAATCATAGTTGTTGTGCTTCCGATGTCGTAGCTTGTATGAGATCAGGATCAGTCGGGACCTCCGACAGCCCTTTCCATGGTTATCTATCTGCGCTGGGACTAATAGCATCAAAGTGGGCATACTCCACTCATCAGCTATGAATCGTATGATGGAATCTCCACTCATAACTAGTAGAAGCCCTCATAAGTTATAGTGTGCGTGAACAATCCAATCCGATCCAATGTTGGAATTCACATTCAAGTTGAATGACAGTCGTCAATTTTTATCTGCCTCGCCACCATAGATCATCACTTTCAAGATAAACAGCTAAGCTACAGCTTGCTACCCATGTTAACATGAACAGCCTTGACCTGCGAGTAAGCCTCTAGACCAGCCTCGCCCAACTCACGACCAATACCACTTTGCTTGACACCGCCAAACGGTACGTGGATGTCACTGTCATTGCTGCTGTTGATCCAGACCATACCAGCTTCAATATCAGAAGCGACGCGGTGCGCGCGCTCAATGTCACGGGTGAAGACGGCCGCTCCGAGACCGTAAGTTGTGTCGTTTGCGCGGGTGACAGCCTCTTCTTCGGTGGTGAAGCTGGCGATGACGACAAAGGGACCAAAGACTTCTTCGCGGTAGATGCGCATCGAGTCCTTGACACCTGTGAAAATTGTTGGGGCGATATAGTATCCACGGCCGTTACCAATGCTCTTGTCTGGCGATCCGCCCGTGAGGAGGGTTGCGCCCTCTGACTTTCCGCTCTCGACGTATGACAGGATACGGTCGTACTGGGCCTTTGTGACCTGTGGGCCTTGGAAAGTATCTTCGGCGAATGGGTCGCCGACTTTGCTGGTTGCAGCTACGACGTCCTTGAAGAGCGCCACGAACTTGTCGTACACGGAGTCGTGTACGAGAATACGGGAGGTCGACGAGCACACTTGGCCCTGGTTATACATAATACCGATGTGAGCCCACTTGACAGCCTGGTCGAGGTCTGCGTCCGCGAAGACTAGCAGCGGCGATTTGCCGCCTGTCTCGAGGGTGATGTTCTTCAGGGTTCCAGCGGCCATTTTCATGATCTCACGACCGGTAGCGGTGGAGCCCGTGAAAGCGACCTTGTCGATCTTCGGATGCTGCACCAAAGTAGCACCGGCGATACGGCCGTGGCCGTTGATGATGTTCACGACACCAGGAGGGAAGCCGGCCTCTTTGATAAGGGTGGCTAAGTAGAGGATGCTGAGCGGGGTCTGCTCGGCAGCCTTCATGACAATAGTGTTGCCGCATGCGAGAGCAGGGCCTAGCTTCCACGCGGCCATGCCTAGAGGGAAATTCCACGGAATAATCTGGCCAACCACTCCAATGGGTTGACGGAGGGTATATGCGAACTTGTTCGGAGTGGTGGTGATGGTCTGGCCGGTTATCTTGTCGGCCCAGCCGGCATAGTAACGTAAACAAGAAGTGACCTCACCAATATCGTCATTGAGTGCGACAGAGTAAGGCTTGCCTGGAGTTGGAGTTCAGCCGTGAGCTTGAGCTTACAATTAAGCTACAGGGAGCTTGAGTTGGAGCTCTTGACGAGCTTTATACACAAATATAAGTACTTACCGTTGTCCCAGGTTTCGATAGTCGCCAAAGTCTCCATGTGTGTCTCAACCAGATCAGCCAGCTTGTTGAGCAGAGCACCGCGATCTGTTGCGGGTAGAAGCTTCCATGATGGATGTTTCAAGGCCTTGTGTGCCGCATCCACGGCAACATTGACATCTTCTTCACCAGCTACATACACGTCCGCAATAGCCTCCTCGTTACTATACACTTGAGTCAGCGCCGGTTACAGTAGCATGGGCGATGGCGAATCAGGAACATACGAAGGGTTGATTGAGGTCAGGGTTTCACCACTTTTAGACTCCACAAACTCGTTGTTAATGAAAAGACCGAGGGGCTGAGTGTACTTGCGCCCATTTGGGGCAGTCAATTGAGTGGAGAGGGGCATGATAGAAGTGTGAAATTGACGATCTGATATGCTGGGTATGAAGGTAAAGGTAGAAATGAGATGCAGACGAAGACGTGTGTAGCCAAGCATTTGGAATTTGTTACATATCAGAATCTCCCCGCCTTGAGATAACGATTACATTCTATTCCTCGGGTAGACCTACTCTTCAAGGATATATCTGGTTCTGACTTGACTTCTGGTTGGTTGTGAAAGCTGTGACATCTATTATTGTATACCCCCACTTTCTTAACCGAGGTTTATGATCGTCAATTTAATTTATGACGTTACTTCGAACTATTTCTGCCGATATTATTTCTGATTTCACATTCTTATCACATTAACCATACTAAGCGGAATTGGGCTTCGTGATCGCTTTCATCAATTCAGCTGGATCTTCACCTGCAAGTTCCATAATGAATCGCCATTGCGCCGGGGTCACCGACGACACACTGAGTCGTGACTGCTTAAGAGTCTGGAGGTTTTCGAGGGCTTGACCGGGCTGGGAATGTGACTTGAGTTCGTTCAAAGTTACCTGTTTTTGGAGTTTATGGCGAAATTCAACATGCACGACCACCCACTTCTCAATTCCGCGAGTAGACTTGGGGTCGTAGTATGGGTGTTTAGGATCGTAAGCGGACTCTATAAGTCGAGATGTCAGCAAGTTGGTCACATATTGAGAGTGAGATTGAACGAACCATCAGCCGAGTGCTCATTAACAATTTCCATCACTCCCACAACTCCCGGGACTTTGCAATTCGAGTGGTAAAAAAATGCATAGTCTCCTTTCTTCATGTCACGCATCAGATTGCGTGCTATTGATATTGTAAGCTGCATTCTTCCATCATCATAAACCCGGCGTCTTACCGACTGCGTTGCGCACCCCTAGTATACATGGTTAGATTTATTGAGCAAGTTCTGAGAAGAAGCTAGCTTACCATCCCATGGCTCAGGAACTTTCGCAGCGGCCAGATCGTCGATGGAAAATTTGACATCAGCGCCCTTTTCAATGCGTGACTCAGGCTCAGCTTTCATCAGCCAGTACGAAGGGCCTCTTTCCTCGGGCACAGTCGCGTTAACGACTTCAGTGATGACATCTGCAACACTAGTAGCGTCGGTAGCGGTACTGTCGGTGGCAGTAGCTTCGGTGGCAGTAGCTCCATTTGTATCAATACTTTTACGAGGCCGACCACGGCCACGACTAGCTCCCCCAGTCACAGTAGCATCGATGGCACCAATGCTCTTACGGGGCCGACCACGGCCACGGCTAGCTTCCCCAGTCACAGTAGCATCGGTGGCATCAATGCTCTTACGGGGCCGACCCCGGCCACGGCTAGCTTCCCCAGTCACAGTAGCATCGATGGCACCAATGCTCTTACGGGGCCGACCCCGGCCACGGCTAGCTTCCCCAGTCACAGTAGCATCGATGGCATCAATGCTCTTACGGGGCCGGCCCCGGCCACGAGGCAGTTCCTCGAGCAGGTCCTCTGGAATATTAGAGTCGCCAGATTCAGCCTTTGCATTAACATCACTAGATTTAGTAACTTCTTCAGAAGGAATGGATTGACGGGGCCGACCACGACCACGGCCCACTTCCTTAGATACTATCTCTTTGGGAATTGTGCCTGGATCAAAAGAAGAATGTCAGTACTTTGCACTTGGCAGCAGTATTGGGATTAGAAACAGGAATTACCCGCCTTAGGAGGTCGTCCACGTCCTCTCTTGGTCGATGAATTGGTCGATGTCTTGGCAGCTGCAGCTGTAGCTGCAACGGCGGGGGACTTAGGGGGACGGCCACGTCCGCGTTTGGGAGTGTCAAGCTCAGATGGCGGGAGAAGTGGAGTAGCAGCCTCTGGGTTCTTGCGGGGACGGCCACGACCTCTCTTCTCGGAAGTCTCAGTTGGAGGAAGCTATTGCGCGATATCAACATTGGGTTCTAAATTGTTTTCACAATCCAAGGTCAAAAAAAAAAAAAAAAAAAAAATCAAATAATCAATTTTTTTCCTCTTCTACTGGGGATGCTCATGATAAAAAGCTGCTTACCTCAGAAGGAGTCTTTTCGACAGATGAGTTGCGCAGTCGCTTGGATGGACTGTCGCTCTCGACGGTCGACTTGCGTTTCGCCATTTTGAAAATGTTGGAATCGCGCTACCCTACTAAGGTACTGTTTTTTGGATGCTGAAAAGTGACAGTTGAATTGATTGAGAGTCGGTAATATTAAGAAGAAGTTGGGGAATGCATTCAGTCTCAATGAAACTTGAAGCTTTGTTTGTTCCAGCTGGACGCGACGGTGGGTCTCGGGTAGTGCACGTGACGATCTGCGGTTCTTTACCAGAGTTACTAATATCAGTGACTTCGACCCACATATGTCCTGTGTATGGGACTTTTATTTTCGCAACATTACTTATAGTGACAGTTAGTACTTACAGTCTATCTACAAAATACCCATCAATCGTAACCGTTTCAAGAATCAAAATGCAAAGTTTGTCTGTCATTTCGTGTATGCTCACGTGCTAAGCTGGTAAGAAAGCACTTTTCCTAGCAGTCGAGAAGTTCAAGCGCCAAATATCTAATGCAAGTTGTTAAGATGTAAAAACCTTAGGTTTATAGATGCAAAATGGATAGTGAAGAAAAATGCAGAGGTTCAAAAGAATCAGCAAGACTCCATCGAATTGAATCAATGGATCATTGGAAATGACATGAGCCAAGTGAGATATCAAAAAAGCAAGTCGTGTATGTTTATTTTCCTGTTTCCCGAGGCTTTTAATGCCAGAACGCCTCTCCGTGAAAATGAAGTTGAATTTAAAAAGCAAAGAAAGAAAAAACTCATTATTGCTGTTGTTGCTGATGTTGTTGCTGGTCTCGTTCCTCGTCCTCATAAGATGGAAAAACAGATCTGAAAAAGTCGCCGCCTAATGGATCATAAGGAAAATAAGAATCTTCTGCGAGTTCAGGTTGGCCTGTTGGTGGCCAGATCAGATCGGGTGTCGGAAGGTTGAAATAGCTAGTATATAAGTCTTCGTCTGGTACTAAGCGGGCGCCGAACGGGGTCGGGTCTTCCAGAGGAATGCTGGTGAAGTAATCCCGAGAAGAAGTGGCTGTACTTGGACCAGTCTCTGCAGTGAAGTGAGACCCTAGTTCGCCTATGTCGCGATCATGTTGTGGTGTCGGGGAGGGTAAGTCGTCAGTAGTGTATTTCATGCCACTGGCAAGTTTTCTGAAACTGGAGTCACATAGCTGCCAAGCACGTCTAGAGCCAATGCTGCGTTCGGACATGGCGTAAAACCAGCGAATGGACTTCTTCGCAAGACCAACAAACTTGATCTCTTCTTCTGGTAGGTGGACACTGCCAAATGACAGTTCGAGCAGGATGACTGTCGCAGCCTGCATGAGGTAGCGTAGAACGCACCACCATGGACAGACTTGGTACAGTTGGATGACGTCCGGCTCCTCTGGTATGAGATCGAGAATGTTGGAAGCAGACTCCAGAGTCATCAATGCCATCATGTGACTGAAAGTCTGAGGAGAGTTGTTTTGGCGCGCGTCCCGGCGGCAGAGACACGGTCGGCCCAGGGTGATGCGAGCACTGTAGTAATGAAATGCCAGGGAGATTTTACAGCGCAGCTGGTCCGGTGCGTCTTCGCTGTCGTCTTGTGTGAAGTCCAGTGCTGTGGGGAGGTTTGAATGCCACAGTTCGATGCGGGTGCGCAGCTCGTCAAGTCGGTTTTCAATTTCCGACCAGGGGAGTGTCACTGAGTTTGTCGAGTACACTTTGTTGATGATGTCTTGTGTGATGACGGATAAATCGCAGTAGTAAAGAAAACACAGCCCGGTATTGGCAGGCAGGTTTTGGAGCCACGATTGGTCTCGTGATCGACATTTGGAGGTGTCGTCTCTTGCTCCGGGTTGTCGAATGGAGGAGCTTGCCATCACGTTGCTGATTTGCTCATCTCTTAAAGTTGCGTCGTTAAGCACCTTTACAGCTTCTGGATCCACTGAAAGCTGGTCTTCTTCAAACGGAAGTGGTAAGGGTGTGGCATATCCGCCGTCAAGTGTATAGATCGCCCGGCCTGTCATGATACCGAGAGAGTTTTCAAATGTGCAAAGGCACCACCAGACCTTGTAGCGGGCCTCCTTTGAGATGTTGGGGGTTCTCGGGCTGTTGTTTTTTAAATTGATGCCGAGTGTGACTGCAGAGCGCATAGCGAGGACAGATATTCTCCAAGCCCTATCGTAGAGAATGATTAGTATCAGAATAAAAGAGAAAGGGAAAGAAGAAACAGAAGAAGAAGAATAAGAAGGGAAAAACTCACCTGTTAATTTGATCTGAAGCAAGTAAATAGAATGCAATCAAGCCCTCCACTTGTACTTGCTGCAGATCAGGATGGCTGAACAAGACCTCGCTATTCATGCTGAGCCGTCTAGCCCGAGACAAATACACGAGATCATCATTTTCATCTCCCTGCCATGGAGCGTTGATAAGATGGGCATGTTTGGCTGCAATAGCGAAAATCGTATTCAAAATGGCAAGCCACTTGTCCCCAGGGCGGGCCGTGCTCGATCGAACAAACCCGTCGAAGAAGGTCTGGAACTGTGCACAGAAAAGAGGTTTACTGATTATGGGGAAGAAGGGATGGACAGTATTCAAGTAGTCCTCGAAGAGTCGATCTGCCAGATGTCGAGGGGGCATGCTGTACAGTTGAACCGGCCCCGGGACAGAGATTTCGAGGTCATCTAGGTGATAGTTGAGGGTATGAAGAGAGAAGACGCCCTTTTCATCCTCGTCGTCTTGATTGGAGTCTAAGCTTCCAGGATAGCCATGGGCTCGTTGCTCTGCTTCTCGTTGGACGCGTTGCATCCAGTTGATTTCAGAGCTTTTGCCCATGAAGCCAGTTGCTTGGGTACTTTTCGATCGATTATGATCCTCATCGACTCGATCAATCGTCTCCAAAGAGCCAATAGATGAAAGAGGTGAAGGTTCATCGGGATCTATCTCATTCTGAGGCGTTGACAAAAGAGATGAGGAATTGTCGAAAATATCATTCCCTTTCAATCCGTGCTTGCCTAGTAGAGTCTTAACCCATTCGGTTGTACGAGACTCACTGGAGTTTCTCAAATCTTTCAAAAAGCTTTCATAGTCCTTTACCTCTTCGGATAGCCGGTCGACTTCCCTGTAGAAAAACGTTAGTAATCAATCGGAGCCCTAAGATTTTGTTATTGGGAACCTACTTCTTCATTTTTTCTCTCCATCCCACAGGATAGTGACAGGTAACGCGTAGCTCCCTGCATTGGCGACACACTGGAGTATCACCACTGCACTTGGATTTTCGGCTTCTACACGATAAACAAGCCCTCGGCACGCGACGATTGTAGCGCGGGGCGGCATTGACGGGTTGTCGAGGTATAGCAACTTTCCCCGAGTTTGATGTTTTGGCAGCTTCTCTCAAGGGAATTTTTGATTTTGATGCTGGACCTGGACCTGATGTTGCAGACCCCTGTGCTCTCTGCTGTGGGGGCAAGTCCGACATGGAGGGACATGGGGTCGCAGGGGCACTACGCGGCTCATACGACTCATTTCTCGCGCCCTCCTCTGATGGACGTCGATGATGTTCGTTCATGGAGTATTTTGAAGATTCATTTACAGAAGAATACAGCCCTATTGCTAAACGACTATTGTTGTTCCCCTGCCCAGTGCGACCAGTATGTCCTTTCGGTTTGAGATGCCGCCAATGACAGTCCGTATTTGCGGAAGCGCAGATAGGTGGGGATTTAGGGCAGAAAAGCAGAAAAGCAGAAAAATTCCAAGTCCTCTTGAATACGGAGATAGGTCTCTTTTTATATTGATCTCCTGCCGTGAAGCCGTGAAAAGTTTTAAAATAAAATACGTCAATGTGAAGCAGTGGCTTATCTAGAAGATACTCGAATACTCTAAATTTGGTACAATTCCGTCAGAGGCGCAAAACTGATGTGGGAACGGAATGAGCACGACACGGCACAACAAAACAGTTTAACATTATAGATATTGCGGGAAGATGAACAAAATGTCAGCGGTCGCTTGGTAATTATAATTGACAGCCGAATGACAGCTATTTCCTGGTTTTTCGAGATTAGTTTTGTCATCTCTTTAGCGCGACCCACACAGCACACGGGCCGGTAATACACAGGAGTTTGTTTACTTCTCTAATTAGCTTCATAGTAGTAGTACAATGATATTTTGTTCCGATCTATGCATGATGATTTCATATTGTGTCACAACTAATCCTAATTGGCTATATGAGGTGGTATGGCGATACTTTCGGTTCTTCCCGAAGATCCTTATGTAGCCCATGATTCATGACAAAGTCATGGCTTAATATTTCAAATTTCCCAATTTCTGAATAGTGGCATGAATCAGAATTGTGGACTGACTACATAGTATAGAAGAATCTAGAGGATACCTGAATTCTCCTGTTCTTATTGGTGGAATGTCACTGCCACACTCTTATTGGTGGAATCTATGGCTCGCATTCCAGCGAATTGACTGTTGTTATTTGATGATTGGAATCTATCGATGGGTCTGGAAGTTTGTTCCGGCAATAGGAATGTGAATTGTCTAGGGTTGATACTGAAAGTGGTGGCTATACTGGGGACTTTACTGCTCTTAATGTGCCACCTCGGTTGATACCGGACCAATTGGATGCACTTCACTCAGAATGATATCGAAGAGATTAATCGTTTCGTTAGTCTTGGAATTGAATTTATTAATGCGCTGACCTATCATACTACCTAATTATCGCTCTCTTCAACTTAATCCTCCTTCGTGATAGGGCGTATTTTCATGGAAATCACGGGAAACGGGAATAAGATCAACTTGAAATTAAGTCAAGCAGTTGTGATAAATACTCAGAGAAAGAAAATAAAAGTCTAGATAAGATGAAATGCATCTTTTGGCTAACTGGTTCTTAAGAGCGTCGTGTTCAACCACGGAAGTTTATATCTTTATTATTATTTATGCCTTACACCTCAGGCACAACTACCACAATCTCACAAACCTCCAATCCTTTCTCGTACAAAGGATATGCAGCGAGTCCACCTCCAACCACAAATCAAAAATGTCCAAGCAACCCAAAGTTCCCAAACCTCAGCTCTACCCTTCTGAGATATACCAAAGTGGAAAACCTAGTCCTGCACAACGACCGGTTCGCCCAAGGTCGTTGAAGGGACACCCGGATATCCGGTCGACCAAGGAGTATAAGCAAGCTGCACGACGGTATGTATGAGCTCTAAAATTCACTTGATTATCAGTATCTCTGTCAGGCGGGCTTTACTTGGGTTAACGCGATTTGAATGAAATGGTGCTGACTATTCTAGATGGACTTCTATCATGGTCGGGTTGCCGATTATCATGTATACTTCTTGGGTTCTTTATGAGCGAGGTAAATTCAAATCTCTCATTGTTCCCTTCAATCAAATCGCTGACAATATCAATCTAGTTTATGGGAATAAAAGCGTGAAGGAGATTGCTCGGCCGTCCTTGCCAGACCGATCTTCAAACTCTTCATAGCACAACATTGGAAATCATACGGATATCAATTGATCCGGTAGACCAGCCATTTTACAATACAAATTAATCATCCATTATCTTATCAGTTTTGATTATTATTTGTTGTAGCCTCAAGTGTTCCAATGACACCTATATTCCAAGGTTCTCGATATTTACTCAGAAACAAATAATAGAATATCTTTGATATTGGTATTAGATTAGGTTTTCTTTCGTTTAACCTTTCATCACTCATAAATTTCTGCTTTACTTCTTGCTGACGTTGACGAAGCGGAGGTAAGGCTTGACCTCACGGACTTCACCGAACTTCTCCTTAGCAGCCTCAGTGGAAATGGTAGGAGGGACAACAAGGTCATCACCAGGAAGCCAGTTGATAGGGGTAGTAGCACCGTGCTTGTCGGTAGTCTGGAGAGCATCAATGACACGCAGAACCTCGGCAGTGTTACGACCAGTAGAGGCGGGGTAGGTCAGGATGAGACGGATCTTCTTGTTGGGGTCGATGATATAGACGGAGCGGATGGTCAAGGCCAAACCCTTGGAGTCAATGTTGGTGGTGTCCTGGTAGTCGATCATGTCGTATAGGTAAGCGACCTTGCGCTCGGGGTCGGAGATGATGGGGAAAGCCAGCTTGGAGCCGGTAACCTCATCGATATCCTTGATCCAGCGGTGGTGGGACTCGGTGCCGTTGGCGCTCTGTAAATTGATTAGTGGCTGCGATTGGACGTGACTAGTTGTGAAGTAGACTTACCAGGCCAATGAGCTTGACACCACGGGCAGCGAACTCGGGCTCGAGCTTGGCGAAGGCGCCGAGCTCGGTGGTGCAAATGGGAGTGAAGTCATCGGGGTGGGAAAAGAGGATAGCCCACTTGTCACCAATGAAGTCGTGGAAGTTGATGGGACCGTTGGAGGTGTCAGACTCGAAGTTAGGGGCGACAGAGCCCAGACGGAGACTGGAGGGTGGTTAGCTGTAGACCTAAGATGGTAGATGCATAGATCAATTATCATAGAAAGGTGACATACGGAGGAGCACGTTCTTCAGCCATTGTGTATGAGAATCTTGAATGTGAGTAAGAATAAAGAACAGAAGAGAAGAGGGAAATGAACGAGTTCAAATAGGATCCATGGAAGCTACCCCTCCTACTTTGGCGTCACCGTGATCGACTTTACCTTATCCGGTTGATAGAGCACGCAATAGCTCACCGCAAATGGCAGAATAAGCATGATTGGAGGTTATAAAAGTGGGGAGATTAGTCTAATTGATGCCATTCAAATCCATTCTTTTTCTCCCCAGATTCCGTCTCCATTTCTTTCCTCCTTGCCGACTCCAATCTTTTCTCTTCATCGTCATATCTCCCTATTACAATATTACTGATTGACCTGCTTGAAGCAAATGAACCCTGTACCATGAAATAACTCCAATCTCACCACATATATCGGCCGAACCGTTTTTGTTGACAGTCGGCCGATAATATCCCATCAAGAGCCAATGGAGACTCGACAAGATGGCGCAATTTATACTCCTTCTTCGTATTTTAGTTCCCATACTCCATAGAGCCAATTTAGATCAGAAGGACAAGTGTTCAAAGAGCCAAGAGAGCCAAGCCAATGGATTATGTACAGAGTAGCTTCGCTTGTTCAATCAAAGCACAATGAACTCCATATCTGTATATGCTGTGGTCCAAGTGCCGGACCCACTCACTTTGCGGGGCTTAATCAGATCTGCTTCCACTAATTATGCTTGATAGATTTCCGCAATAGTCAAGAACGGCTGGAATTTCATTAATCTCTAAATGTGATTGGTCTTAAAAATGTAGTATCAGCATGAACGGTTCAGGTACCTAAGGAGTAATACAGCTCTATATATAGAACCTTGGAATGTCACCTACGTAGTATACGGATGAAGGGTCTAGCCCTGGAGCCCTAGTATTTCCAGATGACACCCGGAACGGCCCATATTATCTACATATATTCCAACGTAGCCCAGGATTAAAGACATCATGATGTAAAGCGAGAGACGAAGTTTGAAAATACTACGATAGAATAGTATTATGGAGGCTCTTGTAAATGTTATGCAGGCTGTTCATATTATCACATGGATGAATAGTATATTCCAGAGGTTCATGGAGTCATTATCTGTTAGAATTTGGATGTGGTGCCCGTTTCCATACCTAGGTAGTGAAGGCCTGTAGTTTAATAGTTACCATAACCAACAACTTTCATGAATACCTAGAATCTATGGGACCTTAGACTTTGGAAGGGTAAATTGAGACCTACTGATGAAAATACAGATTCCAGTCCCACATCCGCTTAGCTATGATGAATGTCAAATGGGTTATCGATGATATTCCGTAACATCAGAACTCACCAACGCAAGAAAAATCAAGTAGTCGTCCAAAGCTAATCGGTACTTGGTGGTTTTGATTCGAGTATAACAGCGAAGCACCACAGCCAGTGTTGTCGTGACCATCAGCGAGATAAGACCATTTCAAAGATATTCGGCTTAAGTTCGGCCGGGGTAGATGACTCTTGCTTACTTTCATTGAATCATTTCTCAGATCTTGTCCCTGAGGAGCTTGATACGCTAATTCGCTTAAGGCCAATTGATAAAGTTGTCGTACGCTAAAGTACAATGCCACGCGATTAATTATGGCGGTCTAAAGTTTTAGACCTACAGGATGCAAATATACAGGGCTGCCGTGATCATGGGACATTTCTACCTAGGTAGGCGGAGATGACGACCTATCTAGTGGCTTATTGCAGATTTCACAGACTTTGCACATGGATCTAGCAGGTTCATGCAAATGAATATCCACTTGTAAAGAGTGGATGTTGTTGGGCAAGGTTGACTTTCTATAACCTCATTTGTCGAGACTCCAGACTCGAGTCGATTAGATGTCAGATCCCGGGATCCGGTGCAGTGCGGCTAGACTAGGCTGGGGTGCCTAGTTTTATGTTAGAGCTTAAATACCCGTGGACAGATCTCAAGATCGGGCACGGATGCGTATTCCCTTATAGGGTACACAGACGAAATTGTCCCGTACGGTTCGTACAGCACAGCTAGCGAGCATAGTGACATATTTGTGTTGTTTCAACCGTGTAGAGGGCTTGTTACCAAGTACTGTCAGGTGGAGACTCAAAATTTATAACTTGAATCTGCGATAAATTTCCTTTTATTGTTTGTTTACATGGGCCGGGTCTTAGCGGGATTAAAAGTCTTCTCGCTGCCTTAGGTAAATATTCAACGAAGCATTTATTCCATGCGAATGATCGGATGTACTAGTCGTTGTTGAGCGGGAGGTAATAATGTCGGTGCCGTAGCCACTGTCTTTGATTGAAGGCTACTGTAGCCTCAGTGTCCTATAGACAGAAATATAAAATACGTGGTGAAGGTGAAGCATATCCGAAACGCTGATGATAAATTCCTCTGGGAAACGAAGGAAGAAATGTGGGGACTCTTAGGTCGCAATCCAGTGCTCAGGTCTAACCTATAGGACCTCTGGATGTTGGCATCAAAAATATGATACTAGCCTCATAATTTTTGCAAAATGAGCTCAACTTCAGCGTCGGCCATTTCGAGAATGTGCTCAGCGGGATACTGGGGCTTCCATCCAATATCAAGCCCGTTCTTAGCTGTAAGCGAGCAGTCCCCACCGAGGAACAAGGTCACTATATCCTTCGGGCACCCTATTGCTGCAGCCATCTGGTCCAGGACATCACTGTCAGCCACATCAACAGTCTCTGTCTCAGTCACCTTCCGCTTTGCCAAGCCCTTTGCCATTTCGGTGTAGATCTTTTTCCAAGCCACTGTTCCGCTAGCAGCAAGATAATAGCCATTCTTTCCGTGGGGAATGTCTTTTTCAGAAAGAATGTTGCGAATAATTTCTAGGTAAAGTGTCGTGTTATCCACAACATGACATACGGGCCATGACTATTGCAGATTAGATTAGTTAATATCAATAGAAATCAGTTACGATGCACGTACAAACTCCTCAGGATCGGGCTGGTATACGCGCCCAAGCTTCCGAGCCGTATTAACGATCGCCACGGTTTGAATCGAGATCTTATTTCCAAATCCTTCGCCTGGGCCGTATACAATACAAGGGATGAAGACGTAGCATCTCACTCCGTATTCCTCGGCAGTTTTAATCACTCGGTTATTAGATTCAAGGGCCTATTCTTCAGTGAGTATAACCTTTCCACATAGGTAGCAGTATCTCTTTCATAACATACTTGTCCAATCATAGGCCAGTAAGAGCGAGCTTGGGCCTGAGTCTGCAAATCATAAAGACCCGGATCACTGTCAAGAAGAGGGTGAAGGGTTGGAAGTCCAGTATGGCTGCTAAATAACTTTGCGCCAGAAGTATTCAGAAAGTGGACTTCCTGCCCAGTGTTCCTCTTGACTGTGGCAAGGGCTTTGATCATCGGCAATTGCCATTTTGCGGCGCCGAAGGAGTCGATCAGGAAATACACTACGCTGATGTTATTGTCGATGATGGCAGCTTCGGTGGCGGCTGTATCTAGGACGTCGAAATCAAGCGGCTCCGCTTCGTATTGCTTGATTGCTTCAGCTTGTTCTGGGGTACGGACTAGTGCGTATAGCTTGTTGTGTGGGAGCTTTGCGCCGGACCAGCGGGCTAGAAGAGTCCCTCCTAGGTATCCGGATGCGCCTGTGATGAGAATGTTGCGAGGTTTGGAGCTTGACCGTGTAGTGGGAGCCATGGCAAAGATTCAAGGGATGTTGGCGAAATATGAAAGATCAATTGATGAAAGTCAAACTATTCTCAGGTTGTACGGAATACAATAGATCATTTTAAACGATCTATATATTAGATTGGTCATCACAGGTGCTTGGTAATCTTATCTCCTTCAGCTATTTAAATAACTATTAACTATTAACAATTCTAAAATCAGTATACCACTCTCTCGTTGCACTACTTAGTATCAAATGTACCGTTATTGGGGAGGAGCGTAATAGCTCTGCATTATTTGTTGTGGTCATGAAACCATTGAATAATTTAGTCATAAGAGCCACGCTAGTATTGGATAGGGTCAAGTACTGATTTATCCATTTACGCCCACAAGTCTCAGTCTTATAGAATAATTTCAAAATTTCAAGTATGGTTCATCATCTATCTCTAGCTCGTTATTTTTTCATTAAAAGTCCCCCGAAAAATTTAAACCAAATGTGAACTGAACATCGCTTGCAGACGCAAAAACCACAGCCAACATCAAGTCATAAGCTATCAACAATTTAGTCAACGTACTTTGGCATCGTCTTCAAGATACCGTCGCGAGCAATTTCCTCCATAGCAGTAGTAAGAGTCTCGAGGAATCGGTCGTCGGAGCGCAAGTCGTCTCCGAACAGGCTCTTAATGCTCAACATCTCACGCGGGTTGGTGCCTCCAGCACGAGCCTTGGTCTGGAGCTCCTCACGCATAGGGTCATCCACGACAAAGGTCTTGCCGCTGTCGTCAACGCCGTTAACGTAACGGAACCATGCAGCCGCGACGAAGCACAGGCGACGGAAGGGACCCTTGACCCAGATAGCCTCGGCAATCGAGGGCATGATGAACTGAGGGATCTTGCCAGAGGCGTTGAGACAGATGCGGGGAAGCTGGTCCATGATGGTAGGGTTCTCGAAACGGACGACGAGAGTCTTGCAGTATTCGTCAATGCTGACTCCCTCGATCTCGGGCAGGAGCGGCTTCACTTCCTCCTGCATCATCTGCCATACGAACTTGCTGAACAAGGGGTTCTGCATGACCTCGTGCACGTACTCAAATCCGGCCAGCTGGCCTGGGTAGCCAATGGCAGAGTGGCTGCCGTTGAGCAGACGCAGCTTGTGCTTCTCGAACTGCTCAACTTCGTGCACATTCTTCACAACCTGGACACCGACCTCTTCGAATGGCGGGTAGCCATCGGAGAATTGCTTCTCGATCACCCACTGCATGAAGGGCTCTGTGACGACAGGCCAGGAATCTTCAATGCCGAACTTCTCGGCGAGGGCAGTCTTATCGGCAGGTGAGGTCTGAGGGGTAATACGGTCGACCATGGCATTGGGGAAGGCACCTTCCTCTGTAATCCACTTGGCGACGACGGGGTCGCGCAGGCGCGCAAACGATTGGAGCATGTTGCGCGTGATGGATCCATTCTTCTGCATGTTGTCGCAGGACATAACGGTGAAGGGCTTGAGGCCAGCCTGGTGGCGCCGGGCCAAGGCAGCGTAGAGGAAACCAAAAGTGGTGCGGGGGGCGTTGTGGTTAGCTGGGGCGAGGTCGAATTGAATATCGGGGTGCTCGCTCTGCAGCTCGTGGGAGTTCTCGTTATAGTAGTAGCCGCTCTCAGTGATAGTGAGCGACACAATGTGTGTATCAGGGTGTGCCATCTTGGCAATGACAGCCTCACGGTCATCGGGAGCAAAGAGGTAAGAGTTAATGCTACCAACAACGTGGGCAAAGCTGCCTTCAGCTGAACGCTCGATGACGGTGTAGAGGTGATCCTGCGATCCTAGGGCATCGCGCATGGAGGCGTCGAAGGGCTGCAGGCCCACGCCGCAGATCGCCCACTCGTTAAAACTCTCGCCGCTCTCTGCCTTCTTCTGCTTCAATTTATCAACATAGACAGCCAGGTGAGCTCGGTGGAAGCCGCCCACTCCAACATGGACAATTCCCTCCTTGACATCGGCACCACGATGATACGTGGGGACCTTGACTTTCGACTCGCCTGCTGTCGAAATCTGCGACAAGCTCTTGTTGCTGAGTTTGAGAGCCATTGTGAAAGATTGGATGAATGAAAGAATACAATGATGAGATCAAAACAAAGGTCAAGATAGAAAAGCAAGAAGTGGGGGATATTTGCGATAGAATTGACTGAGAACAGCAAAAGAGTCGCCGGTTTGGACTGTTGAGTAACCGGAAAATGTTCAGATTCTATTACATCATGCGGGGCCCTATTGTGGAGAGAATGAACTCACTCAACCTGTCCTTTTTCACTTTCAAATTTAGAGTGGCAAGTATTCTTCGAGCTTCTGTAGCTGTACCTGTGCGTTCTAATTGAATTGTACAGATGGAAAGAGAGAAATTAATGAGAAAAAGGGGAATTATGACAACGAAAGCACGAGGGCTATAAGTCTAGAACCCTAGAGGCGGTGTGGAGGTGGCGTTTCGTAAGTGACCTTCCTTTTGTCTGTTCAGATGACCATATATTCTGCCCGACTAATGAGGATTCCACCTCTGCCTGGTCTCATTCTAAATCCCGTTAATTTTTACTCAATGGCAGTCCATATGAGGGATTGATACGTTTAGATGGAATCATACTGCCATTATCTCATAATTCATGGTATACGAGGAAAAGAGTAAGCGAAAAGACTATATTTAGATCTTCAGCCCTCCTAATATAGTAGGCGGTAAGGATGTAAGAATAGCGGTGTGATTCTAGATCTGTCTGTTGACATTATTTTATGCCTAGAAGGATTCAGACCCTGGCAACCGGGCGTCGACATTGTATCTCGTGCCCAGTGGGATGATAATAAGTCGCCACCTGCATAAGATTGAAAGTAGATGTATACACTATGCATATTCTAGACACATGATCATCGACACTAAAATTAAATCAGATCTATCACGATGTTCGTCGTAGTTCTAGAATTCTTATACGTTTCATATCTCATCTTGTACTTCTTGCCAAGCTTTCAAGGGGGTACAATCTTGGAATCGTTACTTCGTAATTCTGTACACAATAGCTACTGTGTACAACAGAGCACAACAGCTCCACTTCCTAACCCCATTCTCCATCTTCTCCCCATAGTACCCCCATACTATCCCAATCTTCCAATCCTTTAGAATCTTTTAAAGTGGATCTGTTCGGGTCATACTTGCCCAATGAAAAAGTACTTACTCCGTAGTACTTCCGGCTAAATGAGACCTTTAACGAAAGAGTTTTTACCGGAATTAACAGGAAATAAGAAGATGCACAATTACGGAATGTGTTACTTCTTAGGCATCCATGGATACGGGTAGAATAAGCCGTCTCACATTCAGCTATCAGTCACGGGAACCGATGTTCAATTTGAGTGAACATGTCAAATTAGGCAGCACCATTGGAGTAATTGTGGAGAAGGGGAGTTGAACAAATAGTTAGATCGGGGAATCGAGGTCCCAATTAAACAGATATCTGGAGCAAGCGCACGGAATTCTGTATCATAGGCAATCATAGGGTTGTTCAAGCCCTGGAGAAGGAAGCATCTGAGTGTTCTATTGTTGAAGGAAAAAGGAAAATGGATTCATTCTTACTATAAAAGTAAAGTAAGAGGTAAGGGGGGAAAAAACAAAGGAAGTGCATGTAAGAGCGTGATTTTCAGGCTAAGACCTAACCATTGCAAACTATGAATATGGAACAAACAAAGTCCTTAATCCTCGTCAAACTCAGATAGCTGTCAGATAATCAAGGAGAAGGTGTCGCATCCTCGTAATGGGGACCATCATCAAATGCGCCAGGGGTAGCTGCAACGCCTCCCATTGCGGGAGTAGGGGCATCATAGGCACCGGGAGTGGGTGCCTCGTATCCTCGTCGCGCACCAGGGGTTGGCGCGTTGTAGACGCCGGGAGTGGGTGCGCTATCGGCCCAAGCTCCAGGGGTAGAAGCAGAGACACCAGGAGTCGGGGCTCCGTATGCACCAGGAGTAGGGGCGGAGTAGCCTCCGGGAGTGGGGGCATCCTCATAATGTTGTTCACGTTGTTCACGGGAGTTGGATAAACCGCCCCAGGCGGGTGTGCGTCCTCCATCATAAGGAGTTCGGCCTCCATCCATCACCCGTGCGGGTGTACGGGACCCTCCAGTTATGCCCCAGGCAGGAGTACGGTTACCACTAGCACCACCCCAGGCAGGAGTACGCGAAGAACCACCATCCCAGGCGGGGGTTCTTCCTGAAGCAGCGATGGGAGTCCGACCACCAGCCCATGAATTACCACCTTGAGAACCTCCGTTGGGACCATGTCCGTATGGAACACGTGATACTCCTCCCCTTCCGCCTCCTCCCCGGCCACGGCCCATATCCAGTGTTTTGTTGGTGACTGGGTCTTTGGGAATACAAAGTTCCCGGGGAATAAAAACATGCTTGTTAGTTGTGTAAAGCTCGACTTGGGCAAATTTGTCATCTGCAGACTTGACAAAGCCAATTAAGCCCTTGTAGCGACCCGTGCGAATGGTGACAGTCTTGTTGATCAATCTGTCTGGGCCACCACGTTGGGGAGGTGGCATCGCGGAATTGCGATTCTGCATCGCCGCCAGAGCAGGATTCATCTTGGTCAGATCAGGACCAGCAGACCGAGTGCCTCGGGCAGAGACAGCGGTGACGTTGTTGCACCGCACCACTAACAACCCAAGATTTGCGGCTTGAGTTTTGCTGTGTAAGAAAAGGAAGGAACGCCAGACGTGGATAATTTGTCCCATCCGCTGTTCACCAGTGACCTCACGAACAATATCCTTTGTCCGGATTTCAGCGCCATTGCGATCGATGGCAGTTGGTGGCCTACGATCAATCAAGTTAATCTGAGTTGGAAGCATATCGCGAATGGATTCGTGCTGATCCAAAACGCGAATTGAATTGTGGTCGATGCGGACTACAACGCCAACTGTGGCATGACTATTTTCAAGTTAGCAATATCTTCGGGCATATATATATGACGATCACATACTCAAGCTGAACAAGATCTTGAACATCGAACTCGTGTTGTTTTTTGTTTACTTTGGACGTCTCAGAGGAAAGGCGTAGGTCCTTGCTGAAAACGGTGACTTCCGCCATATTAATATCGCTGAGGAGGGTGACAGTATCATCCTTGATTTGGACAACCATGCCCACAGTATTTGTGAAACGACTGTTTCCAATAACCTTGACATGATCACCTTCACGGAAACTCTTGCGAACAGTTTCAACGGTAGCATCGATCGTCTGACCCACCAGATCTCCCTCGCTGACTTTCAAAGTCACAATATTATTCCGAGTTGATACGGTGCGACCAATCAAGCCCGACTGTTCACCACGGAAAATCTCAACAGGATCACCAGGTAAGAAAGACTCATCGGCAGTTGACTGCTTCAATGTATCCGCCAAAGAAGCTAGATCTAGGTTTGAAGTGCCATCCTCTCCTCCACGAGCGAACATGGTTACTTCCTCCAGCCGTGGGTTGACGTCCTTGGTCTCCAAGTACTGGATTTTCAATTCCTTGATAAGGAAACCCTCGAAGTAGTTTTCGTTTTGATAATTCCACGACTTCCCAGCCAATCCAGGATTAGAGGTAAGAAACTTTCCGTGCTTCTTCTTCGCTTCCGCCTCGCTGAACAGACGCTGAGGGGGGCGAACTTGCCCAGCACGCTTGCGCTTCTTGTTGGGATCATTGAAAGGATCCTCATTCATACCGTAGTCCAGGCGAGGAACGATTCGTACGGTGACTGTCAGGCCATTGGTCTCAACTTCTTCGAGCTGAGCCAGATCACCCGCATAGATACCACGCTTAAGTCGAACCCATCCGCCGGGCACGAGGGCCTCTGATTTCTGGACACGTAGAAGATCCGGCATTTCTTTGACCGGGACGAGAATCAACTTTTGGGAGGGGTAGTAAAAATTGATGCCTTCAATGGCTTCGGCAACATCGGCGAAGCGACGCGCTTCACAGTAAAACCAACCCTGCATGACGGCTCCACGCTCGAAAGCTGAGTAGATCCGAATGGCGTTTCGGGAACCAGGCGGGCGTTCTTCCATACGCTTTTGGATAGAAAAGACGACCTCTCGCTCCTTTCCAACCTTACAGCGACCACCCCAGATACTTGGATCGTTCACTCCTGGAAGAAGCAAACGTTTCGGAACTACGAGTGAATCTGACGCTGCGGCACGGTTGCGTCCGTATCGTTCTTTGAGCAATTGCGCCTGTTTCTCTGCATCCATTGTCGCATCAAGCTCGCGCTGACGATCCAATTGACGATGACGGCGGTCGTCCGTTTCGGCGCCGACGGGCAAGGCATCGATGTCGTCGGGGTGCATTTCTGTGCCTAGTTCGGCTATCTCTTCCTCATCTTCCTCGGCTTCATCCTCGTCTTCGTCGACGCCGGCTTCCTCATCGAAGAGCGCATGAACTCCACCGCGACGGCGCTTGCGCGGGTGCTTCTGTACCGGCCAGTAGTCAGTAAAACGCGCATGATCAATCGAGTAAGATCACGAACCACGGCTTCCTCCTCTTCATCCTCATCATCCTCCTCATCCTCCTCATCATCATCTTCTTCATCCTCATCCTCATTCACGGCACGGTCATCATTCAGACCACCATCGTCATCGTCATCGACGCGATCTTTGCGATCGGTAACGGTGTTGTGTTCCTCGGAGATAGGGTTGAAGTCATCGTCCTCCTCCTCTGACCCGTAGTCATCGTTCATAAATTTCGAAGCCATCTAAACATCAAAATATAGAAATTAATATCGAGGTAGACATTGATGGTAGGTGTGGAAAAGATGAAAGGAAAGTAAAAGAAGGGACATACCTAGGTCCGGGGGATCGATCAATTTAGAATCGGGTGCGCAAAGTAGATCGCATGAAAAAGCTGAAAGAAAGAGAAAAGTTTCGGGCAGATGCAGAAGACTTCGATCCCCCCGGGGTGTGTCAGTTCCAAGGTTGCTAAGCTGGAAAGGAAAAAGAGCTGATGAAAGTCGAATCCAAAGTGATGGTCGGGAACTGCACAAAAGGTGGCTATGCGCACCCGACTTAAATCTCCTTTCCTATAGACAATTACTTCATTTGAAAAGCAGACTTCTTCACTCATCTCTGACAACTCACTTAAATGCACTACTCTCATCAATACTGAGATTCCTATCGCTTCCAACGATTTACTCTACGCAAACAGCCAGATATCCTTCGAAGGTTATGATTTATCTAACTAAATTAGTAGAGCAGATCCGCTGCATAGAATATATGCCATCCTGCTACCTAGTTCCTCAAATACAGTCTTTTGTATAAATTACGCCCGATAGGCGATGCGTAAACTCAGCATGGAAACCTCTCTTGATCGGTCATATCGATGCCCCATTTGATAAGCTTGGATCTTATTCCTTGATGCCAGAGGTTTGGGCTTGTTATTGGTGCTTGAAGAACAATGTATTTTCATCTTTGCTCTTAGCTAACCAGTATGCCCAACCAGCCATGGTTCGCTTTTACTAGCTTACAGGTCAGATCAGTAAGCCAGAACTCGATTGACTTTCGCATAAGGATCTAGCGCGCGTTTTCTTCCCATAGAGCATGAAGTTGAAAATTGATCCGTATACAACCTGACGAGATCAGGAATATCGTTAGTTTTCGCGGGAAAAGACAAGTTTCCATCATTTTTCCTCTTTATCTTTCATGCAAATAAAGAATAATAGCTTTAGCTAAAGGTTCTTAACAGAGCTCTGGAGTAGTTCACTATAAGTTTAGGTGGTTATAAACTTGGAATAAACGCGTTGATTTATCAAATACAAGGGGACAAGGACCAATATATGAGGTAGATAGAAGGGATTGACTGAAACGCTTTTCTGGAGCTAGACCTGAGCATTGGATTGTGTTAGATTAAAAATTCTTCATTCAATCCAAAATCTAAGAAATGTTTGATACAAAGATGCTGAAATTATGTATACCATGCAGAAGAGCGCGGTATTTAGTGCCTTAACGACTGGGCAGCAATGCAGTCCCGACATTAAGGAGACTCCGTATTTAATAGATGACCTTAGTACTTATGTACCTACTTAGAGCACTTGAGAGACTATGAGATATCATGAGCAAAATTCATAAAACCGGATGGGATATCTCGTTAGAAAACGACATGAAAAGAAAAGGCACTTAAATCAAAGTACCTAGAGGTAGGTCCGAGTAAATCAGGAAAAAAAAGCCTGGAAGGTACCACGGAGATCAAAGTGCCACCAAAACACATCGTCAGAAGGAAAGGTAATCAAAGTTTGAGACCAAACATCTCGTGAACCTTCAAGCTCTGGCGCATACTCAGATCAAGCATGATCTCTTCGCTTCCACCAGGGATAGCATAGGCGCGCACATCACGATACAGGCGCTCAACTTTAGCACCCTGTCCACCACGACTGTAGCTTAGACCACCGAAGATCTGACTAGCCTCCCGGGCACAGTATTCAAAGGTAGTAGTGGACTGGGCCTTTAGACCAGCGATGGCACCGCCCAGTTTGAGCATAGCCTCTGTCTCGTCCATTGACTGAGACTGAAAGATAATGTTTTCCATCCAATTGTGCGTGGATTCAATCTGGCGAGCCATATGCGCGAGCTTCATGCGAATGACCGGGTGGTCGATCAGGCGCTTACCAAAGGTCTTGCGCTTGTGTGCGTACTTGACGGATTCCTCGTAGCAGACACGCGCAAAGCGGACGCACTGAATGACGATTCCCATGCGTTCATGATTGAAGTTGGTCATGATGACTGAGAGTCGAATATTAGTTTTTTTGAATTTCACTGCAATGGATGTGGCTTCAACTGACCCTTAAATCCTTTGTTCTCTTTGCCGATAATATTCTCAACGGGGACCTTGACATCCTCAAAGGTCACGTAGGTAGTTCCACTGCTCCAGACACCCTGACAGTCCATGCGGCGGGTACTGACGCCACCGGCTTCACGCTCGATGAGCAGAACGCTAATGCCATTCATACCGGGCTTGCCAGTGCGGACAGCAGTGGTGAAGTAGTCGGCCCAGACACCGTTGGTAATCCACTTCTTTTCACCGTTGACAATATAATGCTTGCCATCTTCGCTCAGCTTAGCCTCGCAAGTCAGACTGGCAACATCACTGCCTGCATCGGGTTCAGTGATGGCCAGACAGATACGTTTGTCACCAGCCAGGATACCGGGGAGGATGCGGTCAATGAGTTCTGACTTGCCGAACTTCACCAAGGGAGGAGCACCAATACCAAAACCACCGATTAGGTTCCATACCAGGCCGCCACTTCCAGTGCGTGACAGCTCATCGGTCAAAATAGTCTCATGAAATAGATCCCACTGATCCGGCAACACAGATTGTACGCGGTATTGAGTGTACTTCTCGGGATACTTTACTCCCAAAAGACCCGCTAAGTAGCCGCGCTCTCCCATCTGCTTATAGATGCGGTCTGGAACTGACTTACCCTCATCCCACTCAGTAACATACGGGTCGATCTCGGTCTCAACCCATCCACGTACCTCCTCGCGGAAGGTAGCATGGGTCTCGTTATGGTATGGCGAGGCGTACTATGGAGTTGTGTGTTAGTCTGGTAGTCGTATGTATTATTTCATATAATATCAACCTACACCCTGGTACCAAGCGGGGTCTGCAAAGGGAATGAGCTCGCCATACGGCTCAAGCGGCTCCGCAGTCGCAGGCTTCACATCCGGTGAAGTGGACTGAATCTCGACCTTGACAGGTGTCGAGGCGGGAGTCGCGGCTGGTTCCGGAGCTGGCTCAGCCTTCTTCGTGTCCAACGAGCCAATCTGCAGTTGGGCTTTGTATTTCTTCAGGATACCTTCATTGTGATACTTCCAGAATTGCTTTGAGGCATCCTTGCCGGCAACACGCTGAAGGACTGTGTGATGGTTAATACAGTTCAAATTCGAGGTCCGAATTGGGCCCCGAGGGCTTTGACCTACTCTTTTTCCCACCTTGTCATAACCATATTATAAGCGCATGTTCTTGAGCGCATGATCATAGGAGCACTTACCAGGGTGTTCGTCTTGAAACTTGGAGACGTCATAAACGTCCTCATCAATTACGATGTACAAACTATCGCTTTTTGTATGCGACGCGACGTTCTCTTTTGTGAAAATCTTCGACATTTTGAAAGCAAAGAATTGAGAAAGAGGTGAAAGAGAATAAGTCTTTTTGTTGGGATTAGCTATAAATCGGCAGGGAATGATAGTGTGGGAGGAAAATGGGGCAAGTCGAAGAAATATATAAGAAGATTCAGGATAGAGCTACCTAGGTAGTCACAATGCACATGCAGTGATGGCGCGTGGCGTAGTTTCGGGGATCCCCAACTAACTCAGTGACGATGATGTAGGGACCGGATATAGATGGAGTTAGTCGATAACAAAGCTTCGAGCCGAGGTGCGCTTAGGTAAGGGGCCTTGCATGTGATGATTTGTTCAGGCCCAAATATAGATTACACATAAATTGTAGCTGAGTGGTCTGGGTATGGGTATTTAGTATTGTCTCGTGTAGCAAATATTTTAAGGACTACATGAGAACTCCGTAGCTCATACTAAATTATATAGCAAAAAAAAAGAAAGGTGGAAAATAGATGCGACGAATTTACTTCTTATCACAAAACCGAATATCTCTACTGATACACCCCATGTATAAGAGTCATCTACTCTTCATCCCCATCTGTCTCATAAGTGAAGTCAGCTGGAAGGGGTGCATCCTCGTCTCCTTCCTCGTCCTCGTCCACGGCAGTAAGCACGCCCGCAGCAGCAGCAGCCCCAGCAGCAGCCCCAGCCCCACCAGACAACGAGGTGAAGTCAGACAAGGCGGCCCGAGCTGCAGCCCGTTGAGGAGTCTGCAATGTGGCAGCGCTAACGGCGGCCTGAAGGCGATCTTGGAGGCTTTCGGTCGGGGCAGCCGGTTGGCGGGTCTCTTTACTAGCCTTCAACTCGACGATCTCACGGGGCTCATCGGGTTGGTTGTCAAGGACTACAACAACACCACCAGTGGGCTATAGAGAAACAGTTAGTATAGCTTTTTGAAAACGTGATAATAGGATCTAACGTACCCTCTTGACAGGCTCGTAACGCGGGTCGGGGAATGTTAGGTACTTGAGCTGAGCGGGAAGCACTCGGGACATATTGTCCAGCTCATATCCAACCTTCTCCCGCTCAGCCTTTTTCTTCTGGCCCTCAGTAGCGCTCTTCTCTTCTTCCTTATTATCTTCACCTTCACCCTTGGCAGGCTCATCGGTATCCATCTTCTCGGGTAGTTGATCAGTTATCTTGGGGGTGGTAGGTGTTTGATCAATATCCATGCTCTCCCGGCGTGCCTGCTTCTCCCGACGCTGAGCACGACGCTTGGCCTGGGCTGTAGTGGAAAGCACAGCGGTCTTAACCTTCTCGGGAGCCTCCTCAGTCTTCACTTGCTGCTCAGGAGGGTAGTCGAAGAGGCTAGGGCGGGTGTTGCTGTGGAACTTGAAGTAGGGGACCTCCAACTTCTGGTCCACACCGACTACTGATGTAGGAGTAAAGCTGAGAGACAGGAAGTGAGTAAGAGGGAACCAGTACCAGTACTGCGTGAAGACGGCAGCACCGACGATACCTGGCATGTTGAGGTTACCAGTCTGGGTTTGCAAGCTAATGGTACAGTTACGGCCACCGGCATCAATGATACCAAGGGCCACGGCGCAGCCAAACTTAGCCATCGCATCTTCGTGGCGATCACCGATCATCTTCATCATAGACTTTCGGAGGCTAGTGACACGGGGGTTCATGGCCTCGTTCTGCTGGACAAGGACCATAGCAAGTGCGATCAAAGCACCCTGGCGAACGAAGTCAGTCGAGTCTTTGAGCATGGGTTCCAAGAGATCAATGGCCTCGTCCAATCCAGTACCCGCGCAGGAGATACCAAGAGCCATAGCGGCACCGTAACGGACATGAGGGTTGTATGACTCGGAAAGCAGCTCAACCATGCGTGGAACGCTCTGGTGCTTGCGGAACAGGATGAAACCCAAAGCCAGCACAGCAATACGGCGAACATCATCATTGACATCGCTAACGGCTACGTGCAAGAGCTTGCGGACAGCCTTGTTGCTGCCACTACCACAATAGGCCATAGCGATCGTCATAATACCACCATAGCGGATGGTTGGATCGGGGTCTCCAAGAAGACCGTTGACCAGCTCGTCAGCAGCCTCCTGGCGGCCATACATGATCAAAGCCATACCCATAGCCAGACCCCGAATTGTCTTCTCATGCTGTGTGTCGTGGGCATATTGAATCATGTCCTCAAGTACGGACATATTGCCAGTTCCAAGCATGACGAGACCCATGCCTAGACCGACAGCCTCACCGTTGACCGCAGAGTCGGTGTAGAGAACATTACGGAGATCATCGTAGATTCCCTGATCGCCGGTAGCCATACCTGCAACACCCAGACCCAAAGCACCACCATGCTGGACAACCTCCTCAGTGGCCTTCTTGAAGTGGTCACGAATGAGGTCAACAGCCATGCCGCCGTGGTTGGCATAGATGAGACCGAATGCATAAAGAGAACCACCCTGGCTATAAACAGAGCCCGAGCCTCCAACTCCAGCAATATTCTCTCGGGGCAGGTACGGCTGCAGGAGCTTTTGACCTTGGCTGAGATTGCCACGGTGAATTACACCAAGAGCAGCAGTGGCAGTAAACTTGGACCAGTTCACAGCCTTGCCAAGCCACTCCAAATTATCACGGAAGAACTTGTCATGAGTTGTTCCAGCATGCATAAAGGCGTTGGAAATGGTGACTGCGGTGTGGAAAATGGAATTGCGAGCTTCGAGACTGTCGCGAATTTTATTCAAAATGCTAATGTCGGCCTTGTTGCTCCGGTAGAGGAATTCCAAATTCAACTGGATGCTCTTAATACCATCAAGGATGGCTAGAATATTCTTGAATGCAGAGATTGACTCGTCTGAAACACCATCCGATGGCCGAGAGCTTGATTGATTAGCAAGTAACGAGTCAGACTCTTGGGGTTCTTCTTCGGTGTTCTCCTTCTCAGCTTCCTTTTCAGGCACAAGTTCAGCGATCTCCTGTCGAACTTTTTGAAGGAACTCTTGAGTACTGTTATCATAAAGATCAAACGAGATCTGGTAGGCTACGGCGAGGGAGCGCGCATCGCCCTTTTCGACAAGTTGACGAAGGATATTGGAAGCCATCGAGTGTTCATTAAGGTATACGACACATTTGGCGATCGAGAAATAGTCAGGCGAGGGGATCTCATTGAGCAGGTCGAGAATGAGCTTCAAAATCTAAATAAATGAAGTAATTAGCGGCAGTTCGCGCTAAATGAGAACATGTTGGCAAACCTCGTTACGGAAAGCGCGCTCCTGAACAATGCTCATGCAGATATCCAAGACGTATTCCATGAGTTCCTCACTCCGATGAGATTCACCCTGCTGCTTCTTCTCATCCTCGCTAGCCTTGATAATAGCCGTGCGAAGCACATCCATGTCCTTTGCCTCAATAGCAATACCGATCACCTGGCGATAGCGCTTTTGACGGAAGCACTCTTCGAACAGTCTCTCAATAACAGCTTGCAGCTGAACTTGAACGCCACGCTTCAGGACCAGAGGGCTCTCGGCGTGCCGAACACTGATATCCTCGCCACCGGGGTGAGCGGAGTCAATACCGGGAACCTCTTGGCGTGATAGCAGAGATTTGGAGGGTAGAGCGGATTTGGAGAAGGGTGTAATTGGAGAGGTTAGGCTTGCAGATGTGCTGGTAGCTCCGTCGTTGGATGCTGGGAATGAAGTGTTCAAGTTCGCAGCCTGGTCACCGGCGGTTGGTCGCTGGGCAGCAGATAGAGAAATGAAGGTATCAACACATTTCGCTAAATTGGCACGGAAAAAGTTAAAAACTACATCTTGATAAGATTGGGGACGAATTTTCCCACCTACCAATGATAGTCTCCTCGTACTCGCCACCGTCGTCCAGGTTGAACAACTTGCCCGCGCCGAGAGCAAGGACCATACTTTCGTTATATTCCTGGAGATGGTAGTATACTTTTGAGGCAACCAAGGCTGCAAGTTCTCGCTCTGGGAATGATTCATCTTCGTAAAGAGCCTCACTAGATAGGTGTCGTCAGCATTGTCATCACGGACCGATGGGACGGTCGCGCCGGCTGAAATTGCGGATGCCGGAGCGCAGCATATCAGCAAGGGACTTGAACTCACATCTCAGGAACAGCGTTTACAACCTCTGTCCAAAGGAGGTCAATCTGAGTATCTAATGTCTTTAAGGCAAAGACCTTGAGCTCTGGGTCAGGCTCCGAGAGAAAGCCGACTAAACCGGCGGCCGATACAATTCCGACCATCGTGAATGAAAGGTGTCGAACTTCAGGAACCCGTTGTAAATGGAGCTTGAGCTCAGCTGATGATGTTGTCACGGGGTGACGCAGCAACGACTGCTGGGTAGCTTAGAGGATTAGCGTAGCTAATGGGGCCCTGGGCAGAAGAGATGTGAAATGGGAAATCAAAGAATCCCAGTAGAGTGACACTAGAAAACAAAGGGGAGAGAAAAGAAAGAATAGATGATGGGATGGGGTGGAGATGCGGGTGGAAGCTGGAAGCAGACAGCGGAAGCTTTGCAGGCGCGAGGCCCGACAACGTCAACGGAGCTGACTAGTTTGATCACGTGATGGGAATAGTGCAGCATCAGGTGCCGACAACCCTTGACCTACCTTGCGGCAAGTGCTCTCTTTATTACCTACTCCGTACTCTATGAGATAATCCTTTTAGGTACTTCCATCTCCCCCTTTTCGTAGTTTTTCGTCCTCCATTAGAACCGCCTCTCCCCCTTGGTCCATTATGTCTATACTCCAGTTTCGCGACAGACGGCTAGCATCCTCAACAACAGCTTCGATTTATCACCATGACCCTCTTCTCGTCTTAGAAAGACAATCCAAATATATTCAACAGAATCTCCAAGCTCTTATTGATGCGCAGAGTGAGGGTCTTCTCTCTGGGCTAGCTAAGCCCGAGGTCGACGATACATCGGAAGGAAGCTATACACCAACATCCTCCCGACCCCAATCATCATCCCCTGTAGCTCAACATCCCACGCCCAAGAGAATTGGGCTTCGATCTGCGCGAAAAGGAATATTTCAGTCCATCTATGACCTCCTGAAAGTACGAGAACAGGAGCGAGATATTCTCTCTTCTCAAGCCGACGAGCGGAACATTGCTCTCCATGATATAGAAGAGTTTACCTCGAGGAGAAGCGGGTTAGAGAATGCAATCTATGGCATAAAAAATGAGGGAGGAAACAAACGTGCTAAACAGCTACAGCAGGAAGCTCAAGGCCTCGAAACCGATATTAAGAACCTTGAGACCAAGTTGTATGAACTGAAGGCCAGGCACAGACATCTCGTGAGAGAGGCATCAAAGATCGAGAACACAGTTGATGCTAAGCTCTCTTCCTACATTGACTCTTTGTCTCTCCTTCAATCGGAAATTCAGACCTACCTACGTCATCCTCCTGTTCAACCGCTCTCGCGACGCGGCAACGCCAACGAATCTACATTCTACTCGTTGAATCCCAAGCGCCGAACCCTGGAAATGGCCCAAGATCATTGGAAGGAGGATCAAGAGACTCTGCAGGATAGACGAAGAGTGGTAGATGCTGAAATTCTGGCGCTAGAGGAAGGTGGTGGGGTTTGGAAACAGACCATAGCTGATGTGAACGGCTTTGAGACGCGTCTCAGTGGTTATATGCGACATTTTGTCCAGTTGGAAGTCCAGGCGACTAAGGGTGAATATATTGGAAGAACGAAAGATGAGGTTGCTGCCAGCATCTGGCAGGACTTGGAGCAGACCACGCAACGTCTAGAGACAAGCTTAGAGCTTGCCGAGGATAAAGACTGGAAGCTTCTTGTTTGCTGTATTGCAGCAGAGCTGGAAGCTCTTCGAGAGGCCAGGGGGATGCTTCTCCCGGCATTCGGGTTGTCCGTGGCTGAGGACGAGGACATCCAGAATAAGGAAGAATCGACGGACATACGGAGGCAATATTTGGAAACCGACGATCTCGAGCCTCCAGCTGATTTATTAAGAGATGGAGATGACCACCGCACTGATACCGCGTCAAGGTCGGAGGACGATGAGCCAGATCCAGCTTGGCTACTCCCTCCCTGAGGTCTAATGGGGACAGAGCGCGATAACACATTTATAAATTTCATTTATCTCAAGGATCACGAATTATAATCTCAAGTGCTACAATTAGAATTGCTCTCTGACCCGTATACTACCTAGTTGGTGTGGACAATGCCTCCAGGGCTGCCGATAAATGAATATATGGTCTCCACAGGTTTTAATTTGATTCAATTTTGCTCCGATGTCCGTCATATTCCATCTAGGTAGGTACATTTAATAAGAGGTCTTCATAGCTGGCCCCGGGGTAGATGGGAGTCTACCTAGGCAGTTGTTCCAAAGGGTGAGCTTAGAGGGTTTTACTCCAGGATGACGCCGGGCGGATACCTTGACAACGTCAACCCCCGATCCCGTCGTGGCAATAGCATCATCTAAACAACCTTGGAAAGCAGGAAATAACTTCGTACATGATTTAATCATGCATCTCCCTGCACCGACTTTCGCCGCTACTATTCCTTCGATTTACGATGGGTCTAAGTTGGAATACCGTATTTATATACCTGATCAACTGGAAAGTACAACGACATCCCCTCGTCCCATCAAAGGAGCTATTGTCGCACATCCCTATGCATCGCTAGGAGGATCCTTCTATGATCCTGTCGTGAGCTTTCTCGGCGGCGAGCTTTTAAAAGCGGGGCATGTCGTAGGAACGTTCAACTTCCGGTAGTTACAGCACATCTGAGCTTCATCAGGCATCCTACTGACCGACGATCATCTATGGATAGTGGCGCCGGTGAATCAGAAGGAGGAACAAGTTGGACCGCAAAACCCGAGCTAGGCGATTATACATCATTTTACGGGTTCATGCTACAGTATCTGCACCAGTTGCAGGTTATGACACAAGGGCGAATTGATAGCCTCGAACCTGCACTCAACCAAATTCAGGGCCAGGATCGCGATCAGGGAAGCAGAGCAAAAGAAAATTACGGTATTCGGCTTATTCTCGGCGGATATTCATACGGAAGTTTTATCGCATCACATCTCCCAACACTTGATGTAATCGCCGAACTATTCCAGCCCAGAACTGGGGTCACATCTTCACCCACACCATTCGAGAAGATTAGCGCAGAAGCAAGGAGGATCGCTGCATTATCTATACGCGCCACACAACCCCGGGAAAATCGGACGGATGACCAAGGGATTTGCGTATCAACCGCGATCTCCTACCTTCTCATGTCACCTTTGTTGCCCCCACTAACTCAAGTACTCACGGCATTCTCCACATTATCGCTGCAGATTGGAGGAACATCAGCTCAGACCCGACCCGCTGGCTGTCCAGCCGACCAGCTACGAACGCATAAGACGTTCGCATTATACGGAGATAAAGATACATTTAACTCAGTGCGCAAATTACGAGATTGGTCAAGTGAGTTGGGCAGAATGCCACAGAGTTTATTTCAAAGCTGTGAGATTAAGGGCGCAGGTCATTTTTGGCGAGAGGATGGAGTTGAGGAGCGGGCAAAGCAAGGTCTTCGGGAATGGCTTCAGCAAGTATAGAGTAGTAATCTTAATATCGATATATGATGATAAATGATGATAAATGATGATAAATAATGATAAATAATGATACAGTACCATCAAAATAAGGAACAAATCAATAATAAAGAGTTTGATGGCGAGAAAGAGGCCAATGCTGCTGCATGTGAGCCATTTCCCCACATCATTTGGCAGATGATATATGCGGATTTGTGAGATCCTCTACAATCAAGTAAACAAAGAGCTTCCCATCAAAGAGGTAATCATAACAATAATAGATTGTAGTGAGAATTCACCTTATACACCTTCTTCATTGACTCTGAGAAATTGACTCGAGAAACTCGAACAAAAGTTGGGGAAGAAAAGGTTGGGGTGACCCCGTGACGTTTATCCTTCTCTAGACCGCCCAGTCTTTGCCTTCTCCAGTTTATCCCTACTCTTCCCCCTCTTGCTGCCTCTGTTATTTACAAGCAAATACTCCCAGTTTGACAGAGTGGAACTTTGTTGCATAGAATCCTGACCTGGATGGCTTGCTCTCCAGATGCGCAGACCTTCTATGATGGTGTTGGCCGACTCAACAATATCTCATTCGCAATGTCACTCTAAACATGACTCGACTCCTCAGAATGTTTCGAAACGGTCCCTTCGAAAGTCAATTTCCATACCAGCGGTCTCCACAATTGTGAAAAGCTCCTGGAATTGGGCCGGCGAAACTCTTGGCACATACCGCGACGGCCTCACATCCGAGCAGCGCAGACAGAGGGCCGACATTGAAGATCGCAAACAGGTATTATACTTTCAAATAAGAAATGTGTGCATACTCTTGCTTCCACCAGTCTGTTCCTGACGGGCAGGCGCAGCTGCCGAGCTACCATGCTAACCATGACTTCGATCATAGGCTGTGTCGTACGAAGAGTGGAAGACTTGCGCCAGTGAACTGGATATCCTCGAAGATAACACAACGTGGAAATACACATTAGAATGCGATGAATACCACCCGACTTTTGTCCAGGAGCGTTTGCGACAGCTAGAAGAGGCGCGAATTAGCTGTGATGTGAGCCGAATGCTGTTTCTTATTCGCACGTCGTTGAGTCGCGACCTTGGCGAGATGAACGGAGCATCTCTGTACCGGCATTCGCACATTGGAACCAAAGATCTGATCGACCGATACATCACCACTGCCCTCGACGCCATCACAACATTGGTAGATTTGCAGGTTCATAATCGCTGTGATGGACTGGAGTTGAAATACATCCTAGACCAGCTGCTGGCAGCTCGTCAAGCATTTGGTCGTAGTGCTTTGCTTTTTTCAGGTGGTGCTACATTTGGAATGAGCCACATTGGTGTTTTAAAGGCCCTATACGAGTCTCAGCTCATCCCTCGAATCATTTCTGGCGCATCCGCCGGCAGTATTGTATGCGCTGTGTTTTGCACTAGGAAGGATGATGAACTGCCTGGTCTTTTGGAAACATATGCCCATGGAGACTTTGCAGTTTTCAATAAAACCGGCCAGGAGGAGAATATTTTCCAGAAGACAGCGCGATTCCTAAAGTTCGGTTCGTTCCTTGACATTTCTCACTTGGCTAATACCATGCGGTCATGGTTGGGCGACATTACATTTCAGGAGGCGTACAACCGCACTCGCCGGATTTTGAACATTTGTGTGTCCAGTGCCGGCATATATGAACTACCGCGACTCCTTAACTACATTTCCGCACCGAACGTGATGATTTGGTCAGCCGTGTATGTTTTTCATTTCCCCCATCTTTCAGTACGACATGGTTTAACAATATATGCATAGAGCGGTATCCTGCTCGGTGCCGTTAGTGTTCAGACCCTACAACTTAATGGCTAAGGATCCCTTGACAGGAGAGGCTAAGCCATGGAATGATCTTGACAAGCAGTATATCGATGGCTCAGTAGAAGGCGACCTTCCAATGACACGATTAAGTGAGATGTTCAATGTCAACCACTTTATTGTATCTCAGGTCAACCCCCATGTTGTACCTTTCCTACCTAAAGAAGACGGGCCCATGATTGGAACCGGGAATTCATCCTTCGTACCTCGCTGGGTCAATACGATGGCTCACCTTGCTAAAGATGAAGTTCTTCACCGAATGACTGTTCTTTCAGAACTTGGAGTTTTCCCAAACTCAATGACCAAATTTGCTTCAATTATGAACCAAAAATACAGCGGAGACATTAACATCTACCCAGAACTTATTTCATCCAATTTCCCACGGATCCTGGAGAACCCTACAACGGAATTCATGCTTGAATCCTGTCTCAGCGGAGAACGAGCAACATGGCCTAGGCTCAGCCGTATACGTAATGCATGTGCCATTGAGCTTGCTTTAGATAGAGCGATACAACAGATGCGAGCTCGCGTGGCTTTCAGTCCAAACCATGTTGACTTGCCGTTGCTATGCTCCTCTCGTTTCTCTATCGATTCAGCTGGAAGTTCTACCCGAGGGCGTTTACGCAATCATCACCGGAAGTATTCACACAGACATGAGTTGGAGAAGCGACCAGGAGGATCACAAGGTCCCGCCGAATACGACCTGCGAAAAGCACGCAGCACAATTTCGCTCGAAATCACAAAATCCCAAATCCCGAACGATTTCAACTCCGTACCAGGTCGACCGAAGTTCCGCCGTGGGACTTCGCTATCATTCGGTGACGGGAAATCTACATCTAGTCCCACCAGCGATGAGGATAATGAAGATGCCGAACTCCCGTTTTTTACCCGCCCTCGGCCCACTAGACATGGAGCTTCTTGGGATCCATCAACCAATGGAGAATTCTCGAGCCATGGAGCAATCACCCCTGTCCGATCACGACGATCCTCTGCCTCCTCGAACAAATCGCAACAGTCGGCTTCGTTCCGGCCAGGATCTTCACCAAAGCAGATATACGTGCCGTCACCTAAAGAGATTTCTATGGCTCTTTCACCATCCTCCCGTCATCTTCTCAGTATGACACCATCTGTTTATCCAACTGCCGACTCCCTTACACAAATATCACACCGCTGATTAACCGGAACATCCGGGAAAAAGGCCATTAAACATATTACCAAGATAGGTATCGTCGGACACGTCTGTCTATAGAGTGAAATGTCGACTACGATAGAGATCGGCGGGAATTATAGCAATAATCATAGCAGTAGTCATATTTAGCAGCTGAGCTGCTAGTCGCACACATAATAATATAAGTTCAATTTCATCGCACATCTCCTGGGACCTAAGTATTGGAGTACTTTTCAGCTTCCAACTCTGGACTAACATTGAAAGGTCTAGACCTCTGTCGAGGACCCTGAGGATCCACTTCCCGTACTTAAAACGCCATTCCGAACTTAGAGAGTACAAGGCTTAGAGATTGATCCATATTACCCTGGAAACTCAACTCTCAATTTGACCAGTCCATCCTAGGGAACGATTTACTTGACATGATACCTGAGTATCTGATGAATCTCAAATTAAGGATTTGGTTTGGGCTCAGGGACTAATGAAGTATCTCCAACAGGCAGGTACATGGAAACGTACTTGTTTCACATTTAGTTGTTGAATCCTCGAGTTGAAGCCTTTAATCACAAAATCCCACTTCTATTGATATGACCTAGCCATTATATTTACTTTGCATTGGCTTAGTGGGTCGCTGATTTGTTGATCATATCTATGTAAGTAGGGTCCGAGAGCCAAAAGGTTCTGTGGCTGTCAACCTGCTACAAGGCGCGTATCAGCCCCATGTCAATATAGAGCCGAATAGGAATTATGGAACGAGAACCTATCTGCCTATATACATGGAACATGATCTCGCCACTGTTGTTGAGTTTCATTTTCTCAGCATCAGCCATGGCTAAGCAATCTAATTGACCAGTCAAAACGCCATATTCTGCTGTCTATAGCCTTGGCTTTCTGACAGTCGATACGCTATAGTGACATTCGTCACCTTATTGCAGGTTTATTGGTTCAAGTTAAGCCAATATAACGGATCCATCAATTCAGAAGATACTGGGTCTAGCCATGCCCCTTGAAGCTCCTACCGGTTGACTCCATATCCATGTCATATAAAAGTAATCCAATGCTCGCTCACCTTGTTTGTGTCTTAGTGTGTCTACCATATTTTCTTTCATTTGCGCGGTCCAGGTTGACCCATACTATCATTTACTCTCATTCCTTTGAATTTCTCTTCGCAACATTCATTTTTCAATTCACCACGATGAAGTACTCAGGAGTCACTTTCGTAGGCATGATGGGCTGTGCCCTTGCCGCTCCCCTCTATAGCGAGACCCCTACCTCTTCTGCCGGTCCTGCCCCTACCGCGGCCATTATATTACCGGGCGGTTTCCACTTCCCTCCTATTGCGAAAAACGCCGACAAGCGTGGCCTCGACTGGTTCGAGAGTCTGAAGGATAAGTTCGGCGGCAGTAGTGCAGCATCCGCTATCCCCGAAATTACTATCCCTACTAGTGTGCCTACTGGTATCGCCGGTTCTTCTGGCCTGGACAGCATCCTTGACAAGTTAGAGGGAGAGAAGCGTGGCCTTGACTGGTCCGAGACCCTCAAGGATAATATCGGCTCTAAAACTGCCACACCCCCTCTGAAAGTTTGCCCCCCGGGGCGCCGGCTCTGGAAAGCGTGATTGCCAAGTTCGAGGGTAGTCACAGCGGCTCAGCCACACTGCCTACTGGTACTGTCGAATTGGGCAATGATCCTTCTATATCTATCCTTGCCAGTGCTTTCGCCCAGTTCGAACACGGCCATGGTTCTACCATCCCTACTAACGTCGCCAATCTGGAGCACGGCCCAGCTTTCTCTGCTATTGCTAGCGCCCTCGTCAAGCCTGAAGGTAGCCATGGTAGCTCCGACGCTCTGCTTACTGCTATCGCCAAGTCTGAACATCATACCACCGCTGCGGCTGCTTTACCCACTGGTTCCGCTTAAATTGGCGACCTCGCTTTCTACATAAATGCCGAAGTCCTTTCGATTAAACGCCAAATTCAACGTCGTCAACAACCCTGGAAGCTATTCAATTCCAAGGTTCTAGATGCCGATAAGGCTTCACAGGTGTGCGCAAATCCGGTGGTCCTCGTTTGATGGATAGGGATGGCCGGACATTATTATTATGACGATGTAAATAGGTTTATATATGGGTTCTGGGCTAAGATGGGGTTTTCGTATGGTTCCAATAACATCCGCTGGCACGGGTTCATTCTAGTGTTTTATCTTCTTAGGGAAAGTCCTTCAATACACTCTCCTATCATTTTCATCTTCTCTAGGAAGTTGGCTCCAGTCTGAGAATCGGTTGCAATTGGGCGGAGCATTCGCAAATGTCAATTTTAGGTATTAGTGATTATCTAGGTAGATATGAACTGCCAAGCTGGTTTGTGTTACCTAGATAGAATGACAGCTAACCCAGGAAGTATGATATCCATGGGTGCTTAAGCCAAATTCAATACTGCTGATTAGAAAGTCAAGGATGTATCCTCTAAAAATACCGTTAAGCGACAGGAATATTTAGGGTGCATTTCAACAGTGAAGATATGCAAGGCTAATTTACAATCTATTTTTGGAGCTATTAGGTGTTAAATGCTGCTAATTACGGCAATTTTCCAATGCAGCTCAGCGGTAGCAAATCATCCCCATTGGTTGATCAATCCAGATTGAGGTCTCATTGAGCACTAGAAACAGGCTGTTATACAACCATCTGGGGTTCGTGATCAAGCTTTATATCCGGGCGCCTCCCGCTGTCTGAAACTGATACGTTCGTTATATGAACTCCATTGAATCATTGTGCATTAATTCTTTGTTTTATTGCGTCAGTCTACTTGAATTTGTTCTACTTCAAGATTTCTTCTGCTTGTCTATCTGCTTTCATTTCCTTGCTTTTCTCTGGTACTTTACCTTGCAAGGAAAGCCCTAGTCATCGAATGCCTTAGCCAACCACTGCCTGAGCTGTGTCTCATCTGCACTACGGAGGCCCCTTCGTTTACGTTGGCCTGCTAGCATCATACATGCAGCTAACGATAAACCCCCACTCGTCAGTTAGCCTTATTGATCCATCGGGCTTGCATACACCAGGGTGTTCGTCATCCGGCGGACTTGCTGTAACTGAACCGGTCTGCATTGAGTCCCTTCGACCCCACTTCCAATTTATAATCACCGTCCTGCTCTTTGGATGTTTTTCGTTCTGTTCACCAAAACCTTGGAATATATACACCCGGTTCCCCAGGTCTTGAAAAGCTACAACTTTGTTATTTGTTCATTCTACCTCAGTATGGCTAGCCTTGTCAGTAAGCCTCTTGCCAAGTTTCGGAGAGCCGAGTCTCCCTTACCTCTACACTCTCGCTGGGGGGACGCGGCAATCTCAGTCCCTACGGATGGTTCATGGAGCCAATATGACAATCCTCATCACCACATGGCCAAAGAAAGACAGTCCTATGGGCCAGGATTTGTCCCTGACATCCCTCCTGACGGGGTCCAACCTTCTCAAAGAGAAAGCGATTGGAGAGACCACGGAGATACCAGGAATAGAACCTTCCGGCGAAATTCCATTTCCCGGCTCTCCATCCGTCTGTCATCTCGCCCTAGACACCAGAGAACGAGAGGGGAGAGCCCAGCTGACCGAGGACGAGAGAGCCTTCTACCAGAATACAGGCGCACAGAATTTTCGTACATGCCAATCCAGCACGACTATCTTTCCGAAATGAACGATAATTCTAAGCAAATAACGCCGACTCCTTTCCGCTACATTCCCGTTTCTACTCAGAGTCCACGGAGTCAGTCTGCAAGAACATTTCCAATTTCACATAGCCGAAGAGACTCATTCGCCGATTCAGTCGAATGTCGAGACCGAGACGCTCCTATGAGACGTGGTTCACATCAAGAAGACAACCACAGAAGTCTTAAATCAAGTCTGGACGAAAACTCGAACAGCTCCTCTCGACGCACGTATGGCCCTCCACCCAGACGATGTACTTCACCTTTTGTTGCGGCAGATCGGAAACGATCGTCGTCCTTGAAACCTATGACATTAACAATGGTCCCTGATCCTGGTGAACTTTACTAGTGATAACTTGACGATATATTCGTCAGTTATGTGGCTTCAATTTCTCATTTATTATCAGTCAAGAGCTTCATAACGAATGGAGCTCGTCTGCACATCTTCCTCGTCTCTTGCCTTCTCTTGCTTGATCTTTTATACTTGTCAATTTGCGCGGCGTTGGGACGGGATTTTCTTTAACGTGTATGACTGAGTAGTCTTTTTCAAATGATATCAAGAATGTAGCCCATTTCCACCGGATTGGATCCATAGATACCACCGGCCTTCAAGCTTGATGTCGGTGTGACTGCTAAATCATTCTTATATCTACTCAAGTACAACGAGATACCGAATTTAGGATGATCTTGAAAGTAAGCTTTCCAAGGTTATTGGGCGAAGACGTTGCAATCTCTTGTATCTCCCTAGTTGAACTATACTATAAGCACTTAAGAAGTACAATCGAATCCGATAGCGACAATCCAATCAGAAATCATGGAATAAATGGCATGATTAGACAATGCTATGTAATTATCTCGGAGCCGACGAGAATTAGACGCACAGTCCCTTATGGGCGCTAGCTCAATGATCGTCACTAAGGGTTGTGGGTCTAAAGTATTTCACCACTGAACGGGTCACACTACTGAACGGGTCAGTTTGACCCACTTATTTTTATGAATCCCAATAACTCCATTATTTACTATGTAATATAGTAAAAAAAAACTACTGAATGGGCCTACTAGGACAGGTTTCCCTCCTATGTCCAGGTGTCTTACATATCCCACACCGGCGTTGGGTTACAGGCGCCCTTACAGGCGCCTGGCCCTCTTGTAAATTGGCATCATTAAGTTTAGGGCCACCATTCGACGCGTCAACCAGGTCTAATCCCTCCTGAATTGTAAGACCCCCTACTACTGTTAATTGACGATTCGGACGTTCTTTTTGTTTTTTCTTTTTCTCATGGGCGGCGCGTAAATCTCTGTTTTCCAGGCGTAAGAGAGCATTCTCTTGATATAGGTAATTTGCACCCTTTACTATCTGGTCTAATGCTCTCTTAGATGGTGTTGGTGGCGTTCGAGATACAGTGCGTAATATAGCTTGGTGTTGACGTCGTAAATCTTTCTGCGTCCTAGGCGTCTTAGGTGTCCAATTTCGACTTGAATCGCTTCCTATAGAGGGTGGTGGTGGTGGTGTATCGACGCGCATAGTAAGCTTTTTTAACACCCTAGTAGGGTCAAGTGGCACGATTCCAGTTGCAGCAAACGCATTAGAAGCAGATGCAAATGCTTCAATACGCGCAGTAGGATATATCTCTAGGAAATCTCCTTTACTAATGTGGGAAAAACCAAGCTCTACTCTAGACTCAACCAGCCGAGAATAAGAGCGTTTTAACACCGCAAAACACCCAACATCAAGAGGTTGAAGAAGATGAGACGCATGCGCAGGCATACATAATGGTATAATATCATGCTCCTGGCAGATTTTGTCGAAATCAGGTGTTAAATGGCTACCATGGCCATCTAAGATCAGAAGGCGATACCGTCCTTTAGTACGAGCAGTAGCAGGTATAAAGAGCTTTTCAAGCCAACGGAGCCCTATTTGATTTGATGTCCAGCCATTAGGACTAATCTCAAGACGCCAATTAGGTGGTAAACCTAGATCAGGAGCAAACCAGCTCTGCATCATCACCTTACCCTTAAAGATAATACAGGGTGGAGGTGCGTAACCAGACGCGCCTAAACACTCTATCACAGTAACCCATTCCCGGTTACCAGGCTGTTTTTTTGCGCGTTTACCATAATAACCAGCTCTAGTAACCACTCTCGCGGTCGCACATCGTCCCATCGCAAACCCAGTCTCGTCAAAATTATAGATATCGTCGGTGGTGATACCATATTTTGCGATCGTGTTTTCAACCAGTTTGAACCAATTATTGATCACATTATAGTCCTCTTGACGCGCACGTGTAAAATCGCGCGGTGTTGAATAGGTCGTCTTAAGTTCAGGTAAACGCGTCGCAAACCTAGTAACCCAGTTTTTACCGATCGTAAGAGGAGGGTTGGTTCCGCGGTCGGCGAGTAGGATATTAGCCATTCTACCAACATCTTTAGTTCTAGGAGCACAGCCGCGATCATCTAGAGAGACGACCCATTGAAGTAATGAATCCTCTTCAGATTCAGTCAGTTTAGACTGCGGTGGGTGTGTTTCAAGACGAAATTGGACACCAGAATGGCGGCGTTGGAGGGTTGAAAATGGTATATTAAACATAGCTGCAGCTTTACGCATTGATGATATATCGCCATTCTTGTAAGCTTGGTAAGCTAATAAGACCCTATTCTCCTGATCCTGTTTGTCTTGGACATATAGAGCATTTAGGGGGGCATGGTGGGTAGTTGAAAATGGAAACACCAGACTGACGCGTAAAATTGGTGGGGTGACCCGTTCAGTAGTGTGACCCGTTCAGTGGTGAAATACTTTATGAAGATCGCCGGCGACTTGACCATTTAAGTTAAAAGAGGGGTCCATGGGATTGTGTTGTTCGTGGGACAGGGCGTTGCGCTGTGTTTTTTTACAATAGAAAAGCATGGCGCTATACCGCGCGTCTGCAAAATGATACATATCCAGTACGAAGTACACTACTAACTACTATCTGGTCACTAGGAATGTTGCAAGTTACAACGGCCCATAAGACTCTGGAATAGGATAACGACAACATTTATTTTTTATCCTGCAAGGAAAAGTCATACAGAGTTAGCATGAGGTAGGACATGACCAACACCTTTTATAGTCAATACCATCAATTGATCTGGATAGAATGCAGGAGTAAATCTAGAATACTTCGACAATTTGGGTAGGCGCTTAGAGCTGACCAGTGAGAGGAAGGATTGAATGTTGGTCTTCGCTACCCGAACATTGTGATTCGTTAGTATGCATCAGAACTAGATTGGAGAATTACATCCAAACATGCCGCTTTTTGAGGCTTTTTGGCTTGGTCTGGTATTGACTAGTGCGATGGATTGGCTCCCAATTAGGACTAATTATATACTAATTATGGGTCATTGAGATCTATCTATAGTTTGTCAATTAAATTTTATCGGCTGGAAATAACTCAGGGCTTTCAAGGTTTCGGTTGTTTAGGAATTATGGGGGCACTGACCTTGTGAGAGTGTTTATATCAAGCCCTGGTCCTATACAACAATTCTCCCCATCTTTTGCCTACATCTCTATCTTGAAAACTTGTATGTTTATCTGAAAAGCGGGGTAGGTCCGGTACCTGTGTGACACACAGACTAGAAGTCGATCACTGTATCGACATCAATTGCCATTAGGCCGTCTTCAACTTTGCCTATTCTATCGTCACTAGCTTCCTCTTGGTGTCCACAGTGACCAGGATATGAATATCGTCTTACCATCTTATCACACGACCCACCAACAAATACAGAGAAAGAAACAAATACGATTGGTGTAACGTTGGTCAAAGATCATAATCCTTGCAAGTATGGTGCCGGAAGAGATAAAAGGCCACCAAAATGACAATGGACGCTAACTTTTCTTCGCCACAAAGTGACTAGTCTTCGGTATCTTCTCTCACGCAAGGAAAGAGCAAAGCGAAAGCAGGCCAGAGAAACCGAGTCACCATCACAAATACTAGTTCCTCCAGCCTACAAGACAGGTCTCTATGAAACACCTACTAGCCGGGGACCCCGCTCTGTTCATCCCCGGCCAATATCTTCCTTTGCACCAGATCATAGCCGCCAGTCACATTACCAGTCCTACTACCAGCAACAGCTCCCACGAGCCTCGTCTGAGATACCATCACATTATCCAGCTTTACCCACCTACGATCCGTCAAAGTACCAACCAGTTCGATCGGTCTCGAATCCACATACTGAATCATTTTCTTCACACATATATCCTAGCTCCCGCGGTCAGTCTTCACGTTTGAGCGAGGTACAGTATAACGATTCACGTGCGTCAGCGTATCACCCTACACCACCTATGAGAGATCAGTATTCAATACCGAAGATACCACGAGAGTCATTGGCTGCGTCTGATGTAAGACGACAGACTATGATGCCACCCTGGTACGGTGCATCGATGCACCATGTTTCCAGGTCAGGAGAAGGGCGAGAACGGAGCTATTCTGAACCCGTACATCTAGACCCAGCTCAAAGTACACGCGGGCCCGGTCGGCCAAAGCCTGTACTTTCACGATTGATTACCAACTTCAGTTAAATTCGGGGATTTTATGCGGCGTTTACTTTTGACGACTACTATCACGAAGAGCGAAGGCGTAAGGTGTTTCCAATGTTCTGTATGTGAATTTAGAGATGGCAGAAATCTGTGATTTCTAATTCCAAGATTATTCAATCCTTGATTCAAAGAGGAACTAGAAGAAAAAGCAAAAGCAAAGAAACAAATGCATTTGATACCCTAAACCCCACTGCCCTAAGCTCCACTAGGGACGCGGTCCGTGCCCGTCTTTCTCTTCCTGGTCATTCTTGCATTCTTGCACTTTTGCAATCTGCCTTCTGATTCCTGAAGTCTCGTCAAAACATTTGAAACACTTGACTCCAAAGACGTTTTTTCTAGATGGGATTGTATCCGTGCACAAATAAGCTCTGTCATATTGCCAAGAGGCGGGAGTAACCTTGTTTCAATCAGATCCGAGGTTCAGCCTCTATTGACTCCGGCTTACCTGACTGTTTTTATTATTCATAAAGATATCTTATATGATTTCTTGAATCTCCACTCTCAGGTCTGGCTCTCAGGCCTGGAATGCACTCATTTGCAGGGGCGGAAGATAATACGCATGACTGGTGAAACCGCGTATCTTTTTCAACGTCGACCCCTCTTTTGACCCCTGTTGGTCATCGGCCTTTTTCATCCTACCAGACAATCTTCCATGAATCAAGCGGCATGATCATCTCAAGGTCCCTGTCACAGAGAGCATACATATGTACTTATGACCCGTCAGTTCAAATTCCTTTTGAGACATAGGCGTCCAACGATGTTTTCGTTATCTCCAAGATTGATCATTTCAAAACAAAGCTAGTACGGATATTTCCCTAGTCACAATTTGGCTCTTACGCCGTATGTTATATGCAATTTTTGAAGCTCGTGCGCCGGCGCAGATCCCTGAACAAGCGCCATGCCAAGACGACGGCGAAATTATGGATTGACACTAGCTTGAGTAACCCATGCCTGATTCACCATCGACCACTTGAACTGCGATATGGGGCGCAAATTGCTATGTAATTTAATCGACCTCGACATGGAGTAGTACCTAGGTAGATCCATGCTCAGGTAGACCGGAGAATGAAGCCTGCTTATCCACTCACCTAGGCATTTATATTGCTTAACCCTTCTTGGCTATAACTGTGTACAAATGCTGCAGCCATCACCGCATTCTTACTTACATCCTGTTTAAATAGTCTGGCCCCCTAATCCCTTACCTTGTTGTCGCGCTTGTGGTTCCCTGATGTGACATTCTTAAGAAGCGCTACCTGGGTACTACCTAGGTATTGTATTGGTTTTGCATAGTATTCGTCCCAAGTGGCGCTCCGAAAGCAACCGACAGAGGGGTTGACCCGTTGTCTCGGGCCCTAACTCGGAGTTTCTCATCAATGACTGGATAGTTTTGATTTTCCAATTCCGGCTGGTGAAATATCTGGAAGATCTTCTCTCTTATTGTATGCAGTGCAGACATACGATTCATTGCTAAGTCCCCTCTTCAAGTCCCTCTTTTATTGATATAACTTCAACTCATGTGGCGTGCTGCCTACCTACTATCTCTCGTTTCTTTACTCCATTCCCTAAGGTTGCCTTGTCCTAGTCCTATATAGGCACCTTACTATCAGACTAGCCCCGCGATCACCCTATGTGGAAATCCAAATTAGTCTTGAGATGAGCACCACAGAGGGAGCGGCCTGTCCTCCCACTGATGTTCATTCGTTCAAATTCTAATTGAAAGAGAGTTATACATATTGAATCATACCCTTTCTCGGCTTTTCGATGGTCAATTTGCTCACAGCCATGGCAAACATCATGAAAAAGCTCAAGCGGAGACGCAGGCTCTCATCTGAGCTGCATGATCGCTGGGGCGACCCGTCCATCAGCTACCCCATAAACGGATCTTGGAACCAGTGGAATCAGTCATCAGAATGTGCCACAACGCTAGATGATGCACAGAATCTTCAATCTGATGGGGCACATCGCTATATTCCTATGAGCCCAGAGCAATCTCAGCAACCAGATGATTCGGTTCTGATTGACCCTAATAGACATAACTTCTCTCCTCAATTCCCAAAGGGCTACTTTGATGAAAACATCCGGCATCGTCCCGGAAAACTCCAAAACCTGCCCGGAAATGACCTTGCTATCAATCTACCCCGACACGATCTACACGATGACTATGAAACTTCGACCGTCGAAGGGTCTTGCGACGAAGAAAATGAAGAACGCGATACGTTGAGAAACCCCGGAAAATTAAACCATCGTGGCGAAATGTTAAATTATTCACCGGGAGAAGACTATAATCCCTATCCCCAGCCAGCAAAGTCCCCACCGCTATCTGTAACCTCGCGTATGCGTCGTGTCAGTATACAAAGCGCGACGACAGATAAATCAGGATCTCTCGTCGGAGCCAGCTCAAGACGTACGAGCTATACCGCCCCTTCGTCTGTCTCCGCTCCTTCACTGCCTCCTGACACGCCACGATATGTGTTTAATTCCATGCATCCTTCACACGCAGAGAAACGATCTACTCGCTCGCGACACCGGGAACCTGAACCTCAAATCCATGTACAATTACGAGAAGAGATGGTGCCGTCCTATGATGATTTGTTTGGTTGATCGGATACTTAAATATTTTCTATTGCTTTTCTTTGGGTCGGAACCTTTCTTCATCTTGCGGTTGGGAACCTTGGAATATTATTCAGATATGTGTGGCCTTATGTTTGCTTTTTAGTCTATGTTTCGGACCTTGGGAATTCGTTGGGTGGAATTTACAACAATCTTCAATCAATCGAGATTAAATATTGCAATTCAAGCTCTGGAGTTCTCGCTTATAGTGGACTCATATGTACTCATACGTCCTCTTATCTCGCTGTATCCGTTTTGTAAAGTTTTGCGGCTCGTTTGCTGTCCGCGGGTACCACTGAAGCCCTAATCTTCAGTTACGCGCTAGGGAGGTGTCTTCAAACTACGCAACTTACCTTCAAGGTTGCCGCCTACTTACCTGAAATTCAAGACTTGAGACTTTACAGGCTACGACTTTTCTGGAGATGCTGCTAATTCACAGAAAGTATTTACGTACTTCTACCGCATTGGGCAAAGAGGGGTTAGTAAACGCCCGCAGTATTATGCAGTCCTTGTCACAGTCACAGCTGCCAATCACCAATCAGATATCACACTTCATCACCTTCATCACGCCTAGAGAAGATCGCTACTAACTGGCCGATCACTTTTTTCCACCAGCCTTCGATTCCCAACCACTCAGCAAAGTGGCTCTCATCCAGCCTGTGTGTGATGAGCTCTAAGCGCCGAGGAGCAAAATGAATATGCTAGATTCAATAGGCACATCGTTTTGGCTGTTCAACAGAGCCACACTCAGGCCACATCGAATGAGAAATGATTTGCTCCCCTGCTAGCTTTTTTTTTCGCGAACTGCATCAGTCCACTCGGCCATCACATACTAGTCACCTCGTACCGTGAGTGAGCTTTCTGGTCCTGAAAAAAGAAGCTTTTCCTCTCAAGCATTTCATGAGTCTGGCCTGCATTTCCTCTTTCATACATTGTTCTTCCCATGAGATCGTCGCCCTCCCCTGGCGCTGGGCCTCATCTTCTACTCCATTCTCAGTGGTCGCAAATGTTACAGAAGCCGTAAGATCTGTTTGTATCCAAAAATGCATGGACTTCAAGTCCGCAGCTCATCTCACAAGATGCTGCCAACTATTCTGGGGATATTTTTGTTCAGCAATATATTTCCTACCGTTTTTGGGCTGACGACAACGCCGGGCTCGCCCTGCGAGAGTCGCTGCAGTAAATGGGGCTCCACCTCCAGTACTAACGCCTCCGAGATCGTATGTCTAGACACTGCGTACAACACCACCTCCAAAGGCCAGGCTTTTGCAGACTGCGTCACTTGCCTATTGGATAGCACTTTCTATGATTCCGGTACTGGCTCGGCTGACGTTAAATGGGGTCTCTGTATGTCAATTTCGTCAGTTCGGAACAAAATTGACTTCTAACGTTACTTCAATTAGACAATCTTCGCTTTGCGTTTTCAACCTGTGTTTATGGATTCCCAACACAGGTTTCCAACGTCTCCTCTCCGTGTCCAGTTGGATGTGCAGGTGTTCAGGATGCGGTGGAATTCGATGTAGGAAGCCCCAGTGTGTCCAACCTGGACTCCTGGTGCGATCAATCAAGCTTTGCAGACAACGTTGTCAACACCTGCGAAGCATGCTACAACGGAACCACCTATCCACAGCAGCAGCTTTATCTTGCCAACTGTAAGTGTTCATTGTCAGCTGGAATGACGGTCAAGGAAAAAATGAAGTGGTGATTGACGTTTTCGATGCAGTCCTTGAATCAATTCGATACAATTGCCACTTCCCAGCCGTCAGCGGATCAAAATTTGATGTCTCTCCAACGAGAATCTTCTATGAGAGTCTCCTTCCCTCAAGCCTTTCCCTCACCACCCCAACATCCTCACACTCAGGTGTAAACCTAGGCCTGGTAATCGCAGTCCCGGTGATAGGATTCATCATCATCCTGATCGCCCTAGGAACCTGCTGCTTCTTTTTCATCCGATGGCGTCGCAGACGCCACCGTAAACAACGTTACCAAAGCCACCAGTATCCTATCTGTATGGACCCATCCCAGGCTGCGCAACATGGGTGGGATAATCAGGAGCAGATGTATGCCCAGATGCATGCGGCTGCAGCAGCTGGATTTGTATTTGTGGATAGCGATGGTCATCCACAGGACCCTGGGTATGGACATGAGTTACTCAAGATTCCTGTTCAGCAGGATATCACAGAGACTGCTCCTGCTCAACTTCAAGCCCAGGATATGCATGGCTTCCAGCCTGATCAGAAGCATGCCTTATAACGATGTTCAATGATACCCAAGATAACTGTGAATGATTTTCGGCGAGTGTAAAGCATTGCTTGTGCGTGAGGATTATAAGTAATATTGATCATCACTTACAGGATTCAAAGATTGTTGTGCGAGTCGGTTCGCGATGTTGATAAAGTAATGACCGAGGATGAGAGGTGTTGATACCATGGCGTTGTTGAATCTATCTTTTTGATATCTGTTCTTTTAGCTGAAATTGATCATCTCTTGCGACTGGAATTGGACTTTCAGAATGTAGGCCTCCTGGCTCCAATATTGGGGTTCCTCATCCGTACAGATGAGAAAAATGGTGAAAGAATGTGTGAAAGTGAAGCTGAATAAATTATACCAAGTAACTTAATGGTCCCTGGACAGACATACCTACCCAGGTATGTATGTAGAAATTCCTGGAGGTGAGAATGGAGCGGAGATGGTATTGTCTATATATACTCTTGCTCAGGCAGCCTCATCTAGACTCCTTGATGTGTATATTGAGAATAAGCACCCACTATCCGACGAAATAAATTTGAATGTCTAAAAATAACAGCGGGACAAACGTTTGTGGTAGAATCAGCCATTTCTAATAAACCTGAATAGTATATAGAGCCGAGGGACTCAGGGATTGGTTGGGCTTAATGTGCCCGCGTTTCAGCACGCACCGCCAAGCGTCTGAGGGTTCAATGCCTAGTTAGGCAGGGACTCGTTATATGATATTTTTAGTTATTGGGTAAATGAGACTTGTAAATGATATGAATTCAGGGTGAATCACATAACCTCTAGTGTGATGTCTCCGTACAAGATGCCCATTGGTGGTCCTGGGATTGCCAGCGCTGTTGAGGAGATCTTCTAGTAGATAATCCACTTAGTTCCATACATTTGATGAACTGTGCTTCAAAGTATGTACAAAATTCACTTCGAAATAATTATTTGGTTAATTATTAGAGATTGCGTGGGATTCGTTCGCAATGCCTATTTTTCAAAGTTGGTACCTAAAGTTGATGCGGAGTAGTTGGTGGTAAGCTTTGAAGTTAAGGTCGAATATTGAAAGCTTCGTCCGTTTATCTTAACCGCACATCAACACCACATCCTGCACAATATGGCTACCCTCACTCATGACCAGAACAAATCCCTCGAGCAATCGCGCCAACGGCTGGTCCAATTAAATCGCTCCATCGTCTCCCTAATATCAAGTCTCAATCAGTCCGACCCTCTTCCACCATGGTTCGCATCTCCTACCAGCAAATAACCAACCCCACGCTACATATACCTCGTGTAATCAGAACTTGAACTAACAACAAATCCAAAAGGTCATCCCTTCAATCACAAGCAAGCATCATATCGAATAACCTCGTTAGCGTCTCCGAGCATCTTTCCGACCATCGCGATCTCTTCTCCTCGGTCGTAGCCTACCCAGGCCCCGATTTCCCAGGTCGTACACATGCAAATGCCCTTGAACAGCTTCTACGCACAAAACTTGATCCTCGCGTTGAGGACTGGGTTGCGCGCGGCCGCGAAGCTGGTACAGCGCCATCTCAAAGCACTACGAATCCGGGCGCATCACCAGGAAATGGACCGCTCAGCGAGGCAGACCTGGCCAAACTATGGGAATGGGCACCACTAGAAGCTAATCAAGAAGCGAGACGGCGCAATTGGGGCGGTGACTTTACGCTTGAAGAGCGCGAGGCTGGCATTGAGAATGTCATCACGGGATTAAAAAGGCAATTGGAGGATGATGAGGGAAGTGAGGATGACGACGAAGAAGAAGATGATGATGAGGGCGAAGATCAAATGGACATCGTGGGTGTGCACCGTAAGTCTGGGGGTGGTGCTGGGTTGGAGTTTGATATTGCTCCTCGCCATGCCCATGTGGCAGAGCCAGTTGTGCCGCTGAGTGAAATCTTGAGGTACATGATGACTGGCAAGATGCCGTAGTCTCGACACTGAAATAAATTAACATGGTCGTGTTTTTCCAACTGGATTTTATAATGCCACATGCCATGCATCTACAGAACTACTGGATATCCCTCTTTGAACCAAGTGTATAAATTCCAAAAAATGGTTGCAGTATTACAATGACTATAATATATAAGGAACGAAGTAATTTAACCCCGTCGGCGTGTGCTAGGGCTCTTTGAGCCCGCCTTAGGGGAGACACCAGAGCTTACGCCCCTGGTGGTCTTCTCTACGGTCTTTGCCTGGGAGTTCTTCTTCGATGTCTTCTTCTGTGCCGGACTGTTCCAGTAATAGACCATCTGGGCTGCGAGAATCACGTTGAGGGAGAAGCCAGCGATGAATCCATAGAGAATGAGCTTGTCGTCGACTTCTTGCAGGGTGGTGAAGATTCTGGACAGCGATCCAACGAGGTAGTTGAAGATCTAGGACAATCACATGGTCAGTAGGGGATTAAAAACTCTGGTTTGATTCAAGCGTGAGCTTACCGCGAATGCGCTCAACTGTCCGGTTCCGCCCTCCCGCCAGATGGCATAGATCTGGGGTGCTTTGCTAGCCACACCAAGAGCGCCAGCACCAGCTTGTAAGTAAGACATGGTCTGCGCATCGACAAGGGTCTGGTCGAAGAGTAGTGTGTATACGCTGGCAGCAACCACCGCGATAAAGGTAGCAGCAGCAGCGGATCGACCAGCGTAGGTCAGGACGAGAACTCCAACGGCAACATCTTGGACAGCAATGAGAGCGGACTCGCCATAGGTACTGAAGGGAAACTGGTTGCGAACGCCGTATGATAGAGTGATGAGCAAGCTGGCGGTTTCAAGGGCGTACGAGACGAAAGAGACACCAGCAGATGAGCGGGAGTTGATCAGCTTCAGGATTTGGGGAACCTTGACAACGGCACTAGCGCCGACAATAGCAAGGCCAAGCGCCTTGGAAATGGCCAAGGATGTGCACGCCGGGTCCTTTGTAACATCGAGGTCGAGCAGTAGTGCGCTATGGCATGGTGCGCCGATCAATGAGACAACAACGTCATGAACGGGCTCGGGAATAGCCTCGACGATAGGACGGAGATAGGGTTGGAGAGGATCCAGAATAGTCTTTTGTAGGGCGTCCATTATGTGAGAGTAAGATGTTGTTGTTGCTCAAAACGAGGAAGAATGTGTTTTCAATGTCAATGTTGACACTCTTTAACTGTCCTGTTCTAAACAGCGGGATTGGTCCGTGCGGCCGCCGGCGAAATGTTCGCACCTTTCCACCTTTCGATCTTCCGCTCCCCTCCAGGACTCAGACGCGCCATGATACCTCTCCGGTTCGCCATACAAAGGCCGACGCCTCAGGAGGCACTATCATGCTCACGGTGCCTGATTCGATCCAGGATCAGTCGCCCGTCTGCGATTCGTGGATTCCTATCATCCTCACATCGGCAAAACGGGATCGCCGAGAACCAGATCTCCGCCCTCCAAAAGACATACTTTTCTCCTAATCGGGCTCAGGATGGCTCGGTTAAGAGATTAGCATTTCATTCCTCCTCTGCATCTGCCAATTCCGTGAACTCATCAACGTCACAATCTGCAAGCAATGCGCCTCAAAGCTCGACCAATTCAGCCCCATCTGGGTCAATTGCACCAGAATCTCAGAATCATGAGCTTCCACATCGACGGAGGAAGCGATTGAAGGAACTTGAAATAGAAAATGGCAAAGAAGAACACGCCATCTCGCCCGATGCATCGGCTCAATTATCAAATTACTCATCCGCTCTTCCCTCCACCTCGATACGCCGGAAATTTGCAGCCTACCTCGCCTTGACAAAACCCCGGTTATCTTTCTTGATTCTCCTCAGCACAACATCTGCTTACAGCATGTATCCTATCTCATCTCTGCTCACCCTTGACCCGGCAATGACACAACTCCCCACTCTCTCAACCTCGACCTTGACTTTCATATACTTGACCATCGGTACGTTCCTAGCAAGCTGCAGTGCCAACACAATGAACATGGTATTTGAACCTAAATTTGACGCGTTGATGTCCCGCACCCGAAACCGCCCACTAGTTCGGGGACTAATGTCCCGCCGCGCGGCTGTGTTCTTCGCTATTGGCACTGCAGCTGTTGGTCTCGGATCGCTATACATTGGAACAAATCCTACTGTTACTGCTCTGGGCGCAGCGAACATTGTGCTCTATGCATTCATATATACGCCTCTAAAGCGCATCTCTGTCATTAACACATGGGTTGGAGCGCTGGTAGGAGGCATTCCCCCATTGATGGGTTGGGTTGCAGCTGCTGGACAAGTAGCAACAACAGGTCATGACACCTGGCGCGACATGCTCTTCAGCGAAGACAGCATTGGCGGTTGGCTCCTCGCTGGAATTCTGTTTGCGTGGCAATTTCCACACTTCAACGCACTCTCCCATACTATCCGTGAAGAATACAAGGGTGCCGGCTACCGGATGTTAGCATGGGTTAACCCGGCCATGAATGCTCGTGTCGCATTAAGGTACTCTGTACTCATGTTCCCCATCTCAATTGGCCTTTGGTGGATTGGTACCGTTGGCCATGGGTTTTTGGTTGGAAGTACAATCGCCAATGGATGGCTTGTCCGCGAGGCTTACCGCTTCTGGAAGCACCAGGGTACCCAAGGTACCGCCCGTGGCCTTTTCTGGGCTAGTATTTGGCAGTTGCCTATTCTTCTTGTCGGAGGTATGGTGACAAAGAAAGGCCTGTGGGACGGCATCTGGCAAAAGATCTTCGGCCATCCCGAGGAGGACGATGATGAATATTTTTATTATGAAGACGAAGAATAGCCTGGTCGACACGCCTCCAGATTTGACATTTTCGAATCATGCTAGTGTATCATGAAGCCAGACTGATTTGTCGAATGCATGAGGCCGATTGATTTACCGAACAGAGAAAATCTTTTGTTAGGCTCACATCACTGATTGACAGTCTGATCGAACTTGTACTTATACTTTTCTCCTATTCTTCATTTTCTTGTTTCATTATATAGGGCGGTTGGGTTTGGCGTTTCTATCGCTATTTTTTGTACAACAATGTCTATATGCATCTATCATCTCAAGATATCCTCTTCCCATTGGAAAGGATCTTCAACAACACCTTCTAATTCAATATGCTGTTTTAGTAACCATGAGAACATCGAAGGAATTGATAGAGGTCTCTAGAAGCCTGAATGTCGATTCTCTTACAATTATTATACTCAGGTAAAAACATCGAGATATCACTGGTCACACAATTTGACTGCTACTAGTCATCTCTAGCCAGCGCTCCAGGGCTTCTAGGACATGGTAATCGCTTTGCAGACAGCAAATAAAACCCTTTTGAACATGGAAAGTATTCGTGTACATCACCAGCTTCCCATTCCACACCTCGTTTCGAGGCCTTGGGATGCCTACCTAGGTAATTATTGGACAAAACACTCGGTCCGAGGTTCATGGTGGCCAATCAGCCTCTCGAGAGGGGAAGCATATAGTTGATTTATTTCCTATCGCTTAGCTTTCTGTTTCAGTGCCTAGGGATTGCTGCTTTTTGTTCACTGGGTAAAGCTGGGAATGCCTATAATAAAACTCTGAGGCCGTAAGGGTTGAGCAGTGGTAGGGTCAACAAAACGCATCAGACTACTCAGGTAGTCCATGGGTACCATATTTTGAGCACTCAGCCCTTTCTTACGCTACACCAAAAGGGAACTAGTGGAAACAAGGATACTGAATTTAGAATTGTTTCTGATGGTCGAGGTTTAAATCTTTCCATCCACATACACAAAAGATGGCGCAAAAATTTGAATGGGTCTATATCGTTGATCTTGAAGTAGGCAAGGGAAATTTTGCTCAAATTACTCACTCGGAGTTACCCAGGCATAACCAAGCATATATAAGTTAAAGTAAAATCTCTCTGAAACATCATCATAACTTCTCTTCATCCTTTTATATATATACACTTAACTTGATTTCTCTTACCGGCACCTTTTCACCTAATCGCTCATGGGCCAGAGATAGTATCATGGTCAACGAAACAATATTGAAAAAGAGAAGGTAGGCTGTTGGAGAAATGCGCTCAAAAAGAATAGGATTGCAATTTTTGATCGAGTCACTCAAGGCGAAAGGGACGATATAGCACACCTAGGGATATGCAGTTTGTGTGATGATACACTTTTCCCTATCGTGTGCAAAGCATTTTGCAGATTCCGATCGGTCTCCACTGTTTTTCGTGTTTTCGTTGGCAGTAGAAGGAGCCTTTTCACTGGTAGTCCGTCCTTTCCTAGGACTTATGTTGCTATTGGTTCGAGGCATTCTGCCATCGGGAGAATCAGGATGATCGTCAAGGAGTCTAGTTTGTCTCTAAGATGCATCAGATTGTGTGCATATTGAGGACTGCTGAAATGCTTTCTTGGGCTCGGCGAAAAAAGACCTGATGAGAACCTCCAATTTTGTCAAAACCATAATTTGAAATGGAGGCAACTGAGATCGGAGGTCTCTTAGTATATCCATAGGTGCGATTAACATGGTGGAGAATTGCATCACGGTGAACTGTCGTTTTGTGGCATCAGATACTGGCTTTTCGTCTATCCGAGAGCTGCAATTCCCGCTCTTCATTAAGGCGAACACGTCTGATCCAACCAACCATCTCATCAATAACACATCGTTGATATTGCTTCATCCGGGATATAATTTCTCAACTTGTGAACGATGTGGTGATAATGAATCCATTCATCCTGAAGGAGTGTTGCTTGGTGTCTAAAACGCGAGGTTTTCGAAGTCTTTGGTTGCTGGAAAGCGTTGATGTCGGTTCGAGATGTCAAACAGCCGGGGCTTAAGGCCCAAGGATAATATATGTTCTCCAAAATCGAACATCTAAAGTGACAGCGTTGAAAGCGTAGGGGCTTATTATGCATGAGAAAGGCATTTATCGAGAAAGATTGAAAGGAAAGAGATCGTATATGAGGACAGCGTTTGAAACAAGCGGAGCATGTAGTAGGAAGAATCTTGAGAATGAGGGGAGTTTTGAGTTGGGAAGTGTTTTGAAAATAATAATAGTGGGAAGTGAAGTATGAAAGTTACTTAATAATGGTTATTCAGCCCCACTTCTCTACTTCCCCATCCAATAATATTAATTATTTCTACTTCTGCTTCTGCTCCCACTTCTGAGTCCACGGTACGCTCATTTTATATTAAATATTTGGGCTTTCTTGAAATATACTTATCAGGGGTTTAACAAAAACCAATCACCTCCTTGTTGTGATTGATAGTCTCCTAAAATGATAGAATAGTTGATCTAATGCTAGGGTTGTGTGCAAATCCAAAGGAGGAAGGATATCCACTCATAAGTAATTTTTGGTCTTCCACTCCTCTTTTTTTTACTTTTCTTCTCACAGCCCTCAGTTCAGTAATTCTAAAGCCATTCCCTAAGTTCCCAATCATTCAATTCACTCGAAAATCCAGCAATGGAGGGAAGAATTGGAAAGATGAAATCGACTGGGCACAAGAGAAAGCTGAAGATGGCAAATGAGAAGGCGTCGTCGGCTGGTATGTTTCTTGATCTTACTCCCGCAAGTTAGGATGGAGTATTGATATCATTTATAAATAGCACGCGTCACTGAACAATTCGCCATGGAAGCAGCCAAATAAATCTTTGCCCCGCAAGACCAAGACCAAGATGTTTCAAGATGCTGTGAAGATGGCTCGGAACTCAGTTTCTAGAGCTCAGCTAGTGACTAGCGTTTTCCATAGCACCCAACTGGTGAGCAGCGATCTTGTTAGCAATCAGCCACCAGCCACCACCTATGCCTCTGATATCGAGCCCGCAATCAGCGAGTCACAAGGTGACAATGCCGAGCCGGTCGACCAGCTATCCCATTTGATGAGTATGGTCAGACTCGACATAGAGGCTCTCTTCCCTCCGGACCCAGTGTCTAGCGAAGAGAGGATGAGAACAATACCCTTATGGGCGGGTTTAAGCCTGTCTAGGGTGGAACATGATGGCTGCGTTGCTTCTGCATCGCCGGCCCTCTAGGTATACGTAGAAATCCTCTACTTCGGTCTTGAATTTTATAATTCATATGATGACGATGACTGCGTTACTTTTGTATCACCGGCCGTCTGCGTGGATATCCTTACTTCGGTATTGGATTTTGTAATTCGCACAACAGCAATCAGTTTGAGCCTCTACGCGACGCTATTGAAAATCTTAATCATTTAATAAATATCAGGGTTTTAGAAAAGCAGAACAAAATTAGGACAGTTCCTGTTGATTTAACTCTTCGCTTTCTCCCTCAGGCGCTTCGGTCGCCTTAATTCGTTCTTTTCGTCAACTTCCGCGCCATTCCTCCTGCACTTTTTCGAGCCTTCTCAGTAGCTTAGAGAGGACGATTTATCATAGTTTGCTTTAGTTCATGGATGTGATATTTCATGTCGAGCGGGTATTGGATTTCTTCTTTGTTTCGCATGATGACCACTGTCTTTGGTCGAGGCTAACAAATGATCTTTATTAGTAGATCCATTCTCAAATTGCCGCTTAGTATCACTCTGCTGTATATGGTGAATTAGATAGTGAAACGCACCTTCTTTGCCGTCAATGATGTAAGGTTTTGCATTTGTATATGTTTCTTGCTTGTTACCCGGCTCATATGATTCTGACGGATATTTGTCTTGAAAGCTAGAGTCAATTGGCAGGAGGAGAGGTCAAAGATGGATCTAAGTCCATGTTTTTTGAGGTAGGAATATATCCAGTATTGAAGTTTTGAAAAAGCCTCCTGGATGCTCATAGGCTCGGTATCTGCATTAGAGCCATCGTCTTTAATTGGAATAGACTCCATAGAGTCTCATTTCGTTCCCAATGAGGGAGACGTACCCATAGCATCTACCATGATGACTAGGGCCAAGGATCTAAATAATGGAGCTAGCGTGTCGCAGTTTATTGAGGTGGCTTATTCAGCTCCTCAGTGCTTGCTCAGTGAGCGAATTAGGTCGCTCAGATATACCCCAAGTCAAACTCCATAGTGGGAGAATAAAAAAACTGGAATTTTGGAATGGAGGTGAGGTCAGGATTGGAATGCAAAAGGTGAGTGATTTGAAGCTAATCAGAATCATTAACATTGATTCTTTCTTGACACATCCTTAAGCCGTTTCGATAGTTGTTTTGAAGCGTTTTCATCAAGACTGAATGGGTTAGTGCTGAGCAATTAAAGCTGGAGTAAGCTGACTAGCTGTGCATTTTTACAGCTCTGTGACGTGGCTCGATGCCACGAATACTGCTACCCCTCATTGCTAGAGGATCTCATGAAGCTGGTATATTCAATGTCTAGTTATCGGCCTAGGGGGCTCCGTTTGCTAGAATGTCGTTATCATTTACTCAGCAAGGGTCAGTCGATTGGGCGGCCTTAGGGCAGATGAATTTTGAATTTTTCAGCATCAATCGCTTTGCTTTCACGCCTTTCTTCAGCAGGTATCGAGCCTCTCATCGTGGCATTTGGTCAGGCTATGTGTAGCAGAGTTTATATTGGGGCTCATGGCGAGAAGGTGATTATGGAAAGCCTCAATAACCTGAAGGCGTTCTCGACATTTGGAGACTTAATTTGGTTTGGAGTGGGAGTTCGACAAATTATAAGAGATTTTGTTCAGACTTCTGAAGGTGCTTCTTTAATTGCTCTGTGTGCCGCCATGAGCGAGGCATTTTCCATCAAGACTTCTGCCCTTATACTATGTGAGATGTCGAAATTGGTCAGAGCATCAAGAGAGCTATCGCCCTCACTCGCTCAGTGGGAAGTTCTTGTCAAAACTTCCTCCTGCGTTTTCTCGGAAACAACATTCAGCCTGAATGTTCAGACACTCTTAGGATTATTTGGCCACTTGAATACCAAGATTGAAGATTGGTATCATCCTGGCCACCCTCAGGATTTGGCTGAGATTCTGCTTGTTTTGGGTCAGATTACTTGAGGAGAAATTGAGCGAATCACTATACGAGGAGGTCCTACATGCTGCTGGCTTGCAGCTTATTCCAGTTTCATCCTCGGACTTAGAGTGGAAGAATTATAATAAGAGTCCCTTGACGAAGAACTACAATGAGCGAACTATGGATTCTCAGTTGCGCGTCAACCTGGTGGATGATAGTGATATCTCTCGAGCCCTCGATCATGTCTCAACCTCCTTCGCAGTTAGAGATGGCCATGATTTTATCAAGCAGATTTTCAACCGCTACGGGGAATATATGGAAGAAACCGCCAACACCAACTTCATTGGTGGCAGCCCCTCTTGGGACAACTTGTTCTACAACTGTTTCGGGCAGGATGTCACCAAATTGCTGGAGCAGCTGCAGGTGAGCACGAGTTTTCTGAACGGTGACACTCTGGAAGAAAACCACATGGCATCATTTCAAAGGCTTTACGGCATAGGGATCGTGCTATACACAACCCATCTCGCGGAGATTAGCCGCTTCAAATCTATTCCAGCATATATTCTTTCTGTGACCGACAGGCTAGCAGAGCTGCGTCCTTTCTATAACATCTCAAGACAAAATCTGACACCTTACCATGAGGACTTTTCAAGCCAACCCAAGCTTTTTGTTTAGCATCATTATGATGTTGTTCACAGGTTCTCCGAGTCGAATCTTTTTTAGTGTTGACTACCCATCAGCCCATTCAAATGGCACTGTTTACTGCTATTTGAATAGTCTGTCCAATCTCTCCTTGGGCTATGCAGAAATATAAAAATCTACGTTGGCTCCGGCAGCATTGAATATCGCTCTAGAACACATGATTGGGTTTTTGACAAGCAAGCCTCGACGGACATAGACGACCTCAGTTATTAAGTCCAGCAATTGACGAGCACTCGTGACTTATCGGCCCTCAAAACATATACGTCTTCGTCATTTCTTTCAATGGAAGGATTGGTCGACGACGATCATAATCTTTTGTTTTACTACCGGCTGTCTTCCGCTACAGGGAAACGGTTCATTTCTCCTGCATCCTTTGTCTATCGATGCCTGCAACCAATAGCGCTTTTGAAGGTTCAGTCGATGTTTTCAGGTCTCCCCAAGTCACAGTGGGAATCCGATTTGAATCAGAGTGTGCAAAATCTCGCCCAAGGAGAGGGGCAAAGCATAATCTTAAGGGTATGGCTCCGCCGCCTTATTTCCTTATATCTGGGTGACCGAAAGTCTACTATTCTGTGTACCTGCTGTTAACGGGCAAAATCACTGAATTACTCGTGTTATCCCTTTCGCTTTGGAAAGTTGGAACAGTTGGCTGTTGATGGGATTGTCTGACAATTCATTTTCCTCTGGAGATGCACTATAGAGATCGCACAGATCGTCTTCCTCTAAGATTGATGCCTCTGATACTGAACATCCTTGGAGTCTTAGGGGAAAAAAAAGAAAAGTTCTAGCGACTTATGCTCTTTCCGTATGTCTACCAAAAGTCGGTCTGATGGATGTACCAAAAGCTACACAGGTAAGCCCGTTCTGAAAATTACTGAGTACTCTGTCAGCCCGATTTTGAGTGGCTAACCTCATAAAAGCGGCGACAGACCTCGGGATGCAGTAAAGAGCCCTGGATATCAGAGATACCTCGGCACACAACAGTACAACCAAGCTTAAAGCTTCCCCCGCTTCCCCACATTTCAGAACCATAGTTCGATATCACATCATGGCGTTGGCAGGTATTTTTATTGTTCATTCTATAATAACTCATTTTTGACTTGCTTATCGAAACTATAGCACCAATTACCGCCGCACTGGGCCTGTTAACTCTCGCGAACTACTGCGACGCGAAATTCCATCTTCGGCACGACTTCCGAAGTATAATCCGTGTTAATAAACCCAATGCGCTGCAATACATTACAGGAAAGCTCAATGAGAACAGGTTACTCATGTACCATGTTCTCGAAGATCAGGCCAACAACTCTGCTATTGCGAATAACCTCTTTCTCATTTTCCCCCATGATGGGAGGACGTGGACATATAAGCAGTTTTTTGAAGATACGAACCGAGTGGGAAACTGGCTGTTTCAGGAGCTTGGCGTAAAGAAGGGAGAACTTGTCGCTCTGGACGGTCTCAATAGCCCCGAGTACCTCATGGCGTGGTTTGCACTTGACTCGATTGGAGCGGGCGTATGCTTTCTCAATCACAATTTGACGAGTGGCTCACTGAAACACTGTATAGAAGTATGATCTGCGTTCTTTCTGTTGGATTATGCTGACATGCTTAAGCTTTCTGGAGCGAGATATTGTCTTGTCGACGAAAACATCAGACACTTGGTTGAACCGGTTGAGAGGCAAGTAGAGAAGTGCACAATGATCTACTATACTCCAAGCAGTTTCGCTTCGGCCCCCTTCCCAACCACGCCTCCTCCACCAGAACAGCGGAGTGAAATATCCCCTGATATGATAAAGACACTATTGTACACCAGTGGCACGACGGGATTGCCGAAAGCAGTAATAAAAACAGTAGCGTCGGAGATATATACAGGCTTTTGGGTCGCGAACCGTCTTGAGCTCAAGCCGGAAAATCGGTTTTATACTTGTCTACCGTTGTTTCATGGTGCGCCACACTCGCTTTGCGTCACCCCCGTGCTCCATACTGGATGTACAATTATTCTTGGGTAATTTTTGACGCCAATATCCTTTTGAAGTTGTGTTCACATATTAACCTTGGAATCTGGTGCAGACGCAAATTTTCCCATTCCACCTTCTGGAAAGAGGTCGTTGAAAACGAGGCTGATATCATACAATACGTCGGAGAGCTTTGTCGATATCTTCTCAATGGAAAACCCCACCCTCTTGAACGGAAGCACAATATTAGAATGGCGTGGGGAAATGGAATGCGGCAGGATGTATGGGAGCCATTTAGACAACGGTTCAACATTCCAGTTATAAATGAACTTTATGCGGCAACGGATGGAATAGGTATAAGCGTCAATCCAAATGAAGGAGAGTTCAGCCGGCATGCCATTGATATTCGAGGTCTCATTTGGAGACTGTTCAAGGGATCGACGGAAAAGATTGTGAAAATTGATATCGACACTCAGGAGATCATCCGAGATCCCGCGACTGGATTTGCGATTCCTTGTCGGCTGGGAGAAGCTGGTGAGACGATCCATTGGCTGAATATCGAAGCTCCAAAATCGCAGTTCTCGGGTTACTACCAGAACAGCGATGCTACGAACAAACGATTCATTCGGAATGTGTTTAAAAAAGGCGATATGTGGTTCCGATCAAGCGATATGATGCGCCATGAAGAATCAGGATGTGTTTATTTCGTTGATCGTCTCGGGGACACTTATCGCTGGAAATCGGAAAACATTTCTACAAGCGAGGTGTCGGATATCATGGGCTCGTTCCCCCAGATCAAGGAGTGCAACGTTTATGGCGTGCTTGTGCCCAACGCAGACGGTCGGGCTGGCTGTGCAGCAATTGTCTATCCAGAAGGCGTGACAGAGGGCAGTTTCGACTTTAGGGGTTTGGCGGAGCATGCTATACAGGCTCTTCCCCGTTATGCGGTGCCGGTCTTTCTGCGCTTAGTTCAAGAGCTTGTATACACTGAGACTATGAAGATGCAGAAGGGCAAGCTGAGACTGGAAGGGTGTGATTATGAGAAGGTCGCAGCGGCCGGAGACAAGCTTTATTGGCTACCCCCAAATGGCAGTGTCTACGTTCCTTTTACTCAAGATCATCATGAGAAGTTGAAGAGTGGAGAGATCAGGTTGTAGATAGCTTTACCTCAGAATTTAATGAGCAGTCAACACTGACGAGCCTGATGTGAAGGATCCATTGGTTAGTAGGGTATATGAACATATTGTACACTTAAAATACAGCACTTCTAGATCGAAGCAGCTCCCGACTGGACCTCGGGAAGTAAAAAGAATATACAGAGTTAAAATTCCAGTAGACGCGACTGGACTACTTTCGTAGCTGCAAATGATATGTCTCCAAAGCTTGAGCCGTCATAGGACTCGGAGCGCGAACCATGGCATCATCACCACCCTTACCAGTTTTTGGGAAAGCAATGACATCCCGCACAGACTCTCTTCCCAGCATGACCGCAACAAGACGATCAAAGCCCAACGCCAACCCAGCATGCGGCGGACAGCCAGAGCGCAGGGCATCAAGCAAGTGCGAGAAGTCGGCCAGACGTTCCGCTGGGACCTTGAGAATATCACGAAGAATAAACTCCTGTACGGCAGCATCGTGGATACGACGACTGCCGCCACCAAGCTCTACGCCGTTGACGACCAGATCGTAGTGATCGGCTACGGCTTTGGTGGGATCTGTGAGAAGAAGGTCTACATCGGCTGCCGTCTTTGGCGCTGTGAAGGGGTGATGAGTTGATGAGATGCCGGCGGTGCCGCCTTGGCCGGGCTCGGACTCGGTTGAGGGAGAAAAGAGAGGGAAGTCGACGACCCACATGAAGTCGAAACCTGTAGGAGCTGGCTTGAAGCCGGTTGAGACGGAGGATGCGTGCAGCGCGCGTCGGAGGTCGCCCATTGGAGTTGAGCCACCGGCGAAGGGGCCGCGGGGACGAGCTTGGAGTATGATGAGATCGCCGTGGTCTGGCTCGAGTAGTTCTTCAACTTGCTCAGCGGCTTCGAAGCCGAAGGGCTGGAGTCCGCAGAGTGGCTTTTTACTGTTGTATACAAACACGCCGGGTCCACCGTCGGGGTTGTTGTTGAATGGGGTGCCTGCTGGCGAGTCGAGAAACTGCGTGATGAATTTGAGCGTTTCGGCGGGGTCGTTGTCGTTGCTTTCGACCTTGAAGGCCTCAACTATTGGGTCGGTGAGAGGCGAGATCTTCGAGACTAGATCGATCGGCAGCACATGATCAAGCTGAATTATCTCCATGCCGTATCTGGTGTCAGGCTTGTCTGAGCCATAGCGGGCCATGGCTTCCTGGTACGGCACCCTCCGGAATGGACCTTCAGGCGCCGGGTCCTTCATTAAATTCGACCATAGCCGTCGAATGACGCCTTCAATTGTGTTCATAACCTGGTCACCCTTTGCGAATGACATTTCCATATCAAGCTATTGAGGTCAGCATGGGGATCTTCTTCCCAATTCTAGTTCATCCATACCTGTGTAAACTCAGGCTGTCGGTCCGCTCTAAGATCCTCATCGCGGAAACAGCGCGCAAACTGGTAGTATCTCGGCAAGCCACTAGCCATAAGAATCTGCTTGTACTGCTGCGGACTCTGCGGCAAAGCATACGCCAGCCCTGGTCGACGCGTAGGAACCAAGAACTCACGCGCACCCTCGGGTGTAGACTTAAATAGCAGAGGAGTCTCGATCTCCGTGAAAGGGGGTTGACAATTCTCCTCCAGCTCCTGCTTACAAATATTACGCGCCTTTGCTCGGAATCGGAGAGCATCACGCAGTTCCGCATCCGAACGCAACTGTAAGTATCGCTGCTCAGGACCAAACACCGTTTCAGGCGTCATGATTATGTCCTTAGGGAATTCATTCAACAGGTGAATGTCCTGCAATGCTAGTTCCCACATATCTTCAGGCTTGTCAGCCGGGTCCGAACCCTTCGCTTTCTTCTTTTGAACCGTTCCGCGAACAGCGACGGGGCTGTTCGGGTTTATAGTCTTGAGTTGCTCAAAGCCTTCGTTTTTAGCAAATGCAATGATCTGTATAGTATGCTTCATTGTCGGGTCTATGAGACGAACGAATGAGAGCTTCTTCGAGAGGTCTGCCCTCTGGCCTAAGTAGCCGTGTAGCACCACCTCGGCATTGGGCTCAGCCTGTGAGAGGAAGGACTCAAAGTCATGGGTTGCAGGAGGGAAGTCAACTATAAATAGCATATTGATTTAGCAACTGGTCCAGCAAAGACTCCTGAGCCTCACATACCGGCCTTTTTATAAGCTTTCAAAAAGCTAGGAAGCTCTCTCGGAGCCTTCTGCTCGCGCAAACAAGCCGAGAGATGAAAAGGCCTTGAAGCAAGCTGCCTCGACCGTGGAGTACATCGAGAGCCACGGAATAATTTTGAGACGGCAGCACTCGACCGAAGCCGCATTGGCAGCTGTACACCCATGCTCAGCATTATGGCAGTCGAAGCATGGAATGATGCAAGTCGGCAGAAAGGAACGACCGCAACCAGACCGCCCGACCAAAACAGTCTAGCGCGACAATATTTAACTGCGGAGGATCATCGCATTTTTTTCTTTTCTTCTTCATCCTTCCAAGTTTAACTCAAGTGAGTCCATCTGATCTGTCAATCACTATTTGATTGACTTGTTTTTTTTTTTTTTTTTGGCGCATCTTACTGACTTTCTTTTATAGATGATGAAAGCTTAGTGTGTTCTATGTGAATGATTGCTCCTCTCTGAGACCAACGGCTCTCCCTCTTTGAGGGCTTGAGGGCTGGTGGACTCGAGATGTAGGAAGATTGATCAAGACGTTCGGCACAACCTCCTTGTTATACAACGGACGTTATCAAAATCTCTGACTCTCTTTGAACTTGGTGGTGTTTCCACTGGCTTGGTGCCGTGGAGTGTATATTATGAAGTGAAGTGGATCAGGTTGTGGAGAGGTTGTTCTTGTTGACTCGAGAATACCTTGGTGACATGTACCTTCCTCTTCCTTTTGTTCAATTTTGAGGTCATTGGACTCATCGCAACTTTTTCGAAGCTTGACGTGGGGCACTAGGCGCAAAATATTTACGAACGAAGAAAAGAAAACATAATAAGATTTTGTGATCTGTACTTACAATTTTGAAAAAAATTATGAACAATCTATCTTTTAACCGAAAATCATCTTTTCCAAAACCTCCTTCTCACCACTGCTATCAACAAGGCTCTTGAAAACGCCATCCTCAATACCCATCAGATGTTTAGGTTCACCAAACTCAACAGCCTTACCGGCATCCAGAACGAGAATGCGATCAAAGTCCGCAATGGTGCTTAGACGATGCGCAATAACGAGCAATGTTGTAGAATTGCGGCCGAACTCGGCTCGGATAGAAGTCTGAATCAAGGCATCTGTCTCCATGTCCACGGCGGATGTTGCCTCGTCTAGTACCATGATCTTAGGATGAGCGACGATTGCACGCGCGAGGCAGAGGAGCTGGCGTTGGCCCTGTGAGAGATTGAGACCGCCCTCTGAGATTGGTGCTGATAGGGACGAGAAGACATTTGTGTTGTTGTTTTTCGATGTTGCTGTGTCGGGCGTCGTGGCGCCAGTGCCATGCTGGAGAATTTGAGACGTAAGTGTTGTGTCGTCGTCGTCACCAGCTGAGGCGATGAGATGCACCCGTGCGAGCGCATCGTAGAGTTCTGAATCGCTGTATTCGTCGAATGGATCTAGGTTTGATCGCACGCTTCCGGAGAAAAGGACGGGGTCCTGGGGGATGATTGCGAGCCGGCTACGCAGGTCATGCAGTTTGATCTTGGAGACGTCTAGGCCGTCGATCACGATCTGTCCCTCGCGAGCTTCGAGGAACCGGAAGAGTGCTAGCGTTAATGATGACTTGCCCGCACCTGTTCGGCCAACTACGCCGACACGTTGGTTCTTTTCGACGGTGAAGCTGAGTCCCTTTAGGACTGGAGGTAGATCTGGTGCGTAGCTCACCACTAGATCAGTGACTTCTAAGCGGCCCTCTGTGGGCCAGGCTGCAGGAGCATCGGCACCACCTTGGTTCTCTAGTTCGATGTTGGAGTATTCAATGACACGCTCGGTGGCATTCATGTTCAGCTCAATGTTAGCGTACTGGCGCAGTGCCATGGCTATTGCAGTATTGCTTTGCAGAGCGAAGCTCAGTGCAAATCCAGCGAGCGAGGCCGATATACCGGGGAGAAGAACAATCACAAATGCAGTCAAGGTTGAGAAGAATGCTCCTATCACATTCATTCGTATTCCAAGCCAGCGGTTGAATAGCCACATGGTCCACCAGGCCTGGGCATGAGCATCGATCTTGCTGTAGATAAGCTCGATGAATGTGTCGCTCTTGGTAAAAGCACGGATGGTGATCAGACCCGCCAAACTTGAACCAAACTGCTCGTAGACAGGACTCTTGGCAGTACTTTCTAGACGTTTGATCTCTCGTGCACCTGCGAGGTACTTGATTGCTAACTTGACGGAAATTGCAAGGACGATCGCTCCGAATAAGAGCACCACCGGGGAAACCATCATGCCAGCCCACATTATGCCGAGAAGATTCAGGGTTTCCGAAATCAGGAAGCCAATCTGGTATCCAAGATGGGAGTCGATCGAATTGAAGTCAGCAGTGAATCTGTTCAGAATACGGCCGAGGGGGATAGTATCCAGCCATCGCAGAGGAGCGCGCAGTACAGCGAAGACGAGATTGTTGAAGAGATTTCTTGATGCGCGGACACTAGCAGTCAGAATGAAGTAGAATCTTGCGGTTCCGATGAAACACGCGATAACCGACATGGAAATGTAGACGCCGAGATACAACTTGAGGTCGTTGTCGACGGAGTCTGAATCTGTGCGGTTAACTGTCATGCTATGTTGTAGAAGTGCCTGCATTTGCTCAGGATGGGCTCGAGTTCTCGACGACGAAGAGGAAGTCCAGACGTTAATCCACCAAGACTGTTTGAAAATGTTAGGACATAAAATCGTTTCATCACGGAGTCTGTACTTACTTTTCCGATGACAAGGGAAGTAAAGGCGATATACACCATGACCGTCATCATCCAGAACAAAATACCACCGCCCATTGACAGATAAGACTTGTAAACTGAGAACTTTATTGAGCCAACCTCTCGTTTTTCGTCCTCGATGAACTTTTTAGGCTTATCCTTGAGTACTCCATTTGCTTGTTCATTTAACTCGTTCGGCTCTGGTGCATTGCTAGGACGCCGACGCGAAACATTGGAGAGGACTCTTTTAAGATTTGTCTCTTCAGCATCAAGTGTGTCGTGGGTTTCCTCAGCATTTTTGTCTACCTCCTCCGTATCTTGATCTTGACGAAGAATATCTTCCAGATGATTAGAACTACGAAGTTCGTCGATGGTACCGGCATATTTGACGCGGCCGTTTTCCAGAAGAACAGAGTAATCTGTCTGAGGCAGGCACAGGGCGACATGGTGGGTCACCAGAACTCTGGTGCGGCCTTGTCCTAGTTCTCCAGTTAGTGCATGCTCGAAGGCATGGCGTCCAGTGTGGGCATCCAGTGCGCTGAAGATGTCATCTAGGACGAGAATCCCAGCCCTTGAGTATAGGGCACGAGCAAAAGATACACGCCATCTCTGGCCACCACTGAGATTAACTCCATTGGCTCCTATATCCGTGAGTTCGCCATCCGGCATCATTTCCAAATCTTTCTCCAGAGCACAAGCGAAGAGAACCTTTTGATAGCGGCTTTTGTTGTAAGGAAGTCCGAAGAGAATATTGTTCTTAATAGTCGCATTTTCGATCCACGGGATCTGAGCAACATATGCAATAGCGGAGTCAACGATCCAGTTCTCGCTGGTTGCCAGGTCGTCGAACCGTTCCTTCACAGGTATTGGAACAGGGACCTTGACGGTTCCCCCAAGGACGTCACATTCGCCCAATATAGACGCGAGAAGTAGACTCTTTCCGGACCCCGTTCGGCCAGAGATGACGGTAAGACCCTTTTCAGGGAAATTCAATGTCAGGTCACGCAGTTGGAATCGGTCTCCATCATCATCATCGTCATCCGTCTTTTCGGCAGGCCATGCCACAGAAGCATTCTCAAACGCAATGCTATCAGAGGGAACTGTGTTAACTACTTTCTCTGCGGACTTCATGTACAAATCAATGCGGTCGGCACTAATTTTGGCCTCCAGGCCATCGGCGATGATCTCGGGAATGATAGCGAGCGACGATTCCAGGCCACTAAAGACTGACATGGCTGTGAAAGCAACAGATGCAGAGAGTCCACTGTTAATCCAAGCGTATACAGTCAACGAAACGGCTGAAAGTCCAACAGGACCAAGAATCCAGATTGCTATTAAGACGACATCGTAAATGAAGGAAAGTCTCAGGGCGCCAAGTTCCCTCTCACGAGTCTGACTTATTCTGTTCTGCCACTGCTGCTCCATAGCGGAGAACTTGATCTGACGAATTCCTTGTAGCACCTCGGTGATGATGGCCATTTTCTGGTCTCTGAGCTTCATCAGCTTATCTTGGGCGCCGGTATATTTCTTTGATGCGTAGATATTCAAGGGCAAGATCAACACGGCGATTGACAGACCTGAGAGCGCACTGCGCCATCCGAGAATTTGAGTCAAAAAGGTGCATCCAATAATGATCTTCATCGTTGCTGACGGAATTAGATAAGCGTATGATGTGAAATCAGAGATACGACGCGCATCAACGGCAGCCAGATTGACAATACTCTGGCGACTTTTCTTGATGGAAGCCTCCTCATCTTCTTCCTCGTCTTCCTCCTCTACGAGTAAAGTCTTTGCCGACGTAGAGGGGTCATTCTTGCCATTTGACTTCTTTGCATGTTTAGCGTCCTTGCGACGCATTGACTTGGCAAAAACAGTCGCGCAGAGCTCTTGATAGATCGGGGCGCCAAGTTTTGATATGACACCCCAAAACAGCCATGCATCAATACTAGATTGCAGCAACATCAAGCCACCCAGGGCGAGGACCCAGATCCAGGATCTTAGTGGGCTCCATGAATCCGTACCCCGATCTTCCAAGGAGCCCAAAATGTTGTACAGAGCCAACTGCGGACTGAAACTCAAAGTTCCAGTGATGAGGCACAGAGTTAACTGAAGGAGGATAGATTGCCAATGCGCAACGATGAGGGCTTTCCATACTTTCCGTGATCCGCCCTTACGAGCCTGTTCGAACTTGCTGCGTAGACGCTCCACTCGCTTTTCCCTTCGAAGCTTGGGTAAGTCTTTAAGCTCCAGGTTCCTGTTTTTGACGGTAAAGTTGAGGAGAGTACTCGCCCAGGAGAAGGTGTAGCGACCGAAAGCTGTCACAGTCTGCTCTTGATCGACTATTTGGCCATTACAGTACACATTTGGTCGACGGGGGAGAAGGACGGTGAATAGGGCACGTAGAATTCCACTGGCGAAGGTTGCAAAAACCAAGCCTAGCCAGTACTTTTCTTGGAATAAACTGTTCTGCAATGACCAAGTCTGCTGTGCTTCAACGGCTATCGATGTGACAGTAACGACACTTCCAACAAAAGCTATTTGGCCGAGCCTGAAGCGACTTGTTGGCCTCGGTTCCGTGAAGAAGGCAACAGATTGAATAGAAAGAGAAATCTAGAATATGTGAATATCAATTGCTTCACCTATTTTACTCCGACATACCCAGATTGCAAATTGAAGCCAGCTAAATAGCGGGTTACTTGGGATGAATTGGATGGTTGTGAGAACAGCCAACGTCAACGACGTCAGCAATCCACTGATAGAGAACAGCGCAATAGCGACTCGCTGCCATGTATCGGAGAAAGCGCGAAGAGACTCTGGTGTAGCCTCGCCATCATTGTCACGATAAGTCAATTTAGCTAGACTTGAATCATCCGGGATGGAAGTGCGGAGGAATCGATCGGAGATACTTTTGATGGCTGGGATGGAGTCGGCGGCTACAAGTACAAGGGCAATGGCGCCCGTTACCGATAAATTAGGCTGATTAGGGGACATTCCTCATGGAGTAAATACTAAAAAATTAAGAGAGGGGAGAGAGGAAAGAGAAAATGCAAAGTGATGAAAGTGCTAATAAAGTAGTGAGTATGAGCAATCTGGCTTATCGCGATACCAAACATCAAATAGTCATAGCGTGGCGTTACCATTGCTGAATGAGCATAGATCTTTCCAGATCCTCAACCTCGGCGGCCTGAGAACTGGAAGAACGGTGAGGGATAAATGACTGATTGGAGAATACGATGAGTCATGGGGAGCTGAGTACATGGGCTTACAGGACGCATAATCCTCCGCAGCATATTACATATTAATACCATATCACTTCCTACTATTTGGGAAGTTGCCGGTGCAAGACCGGAGCTCCGTGCAGCCGCCGATCGATGCTATACTTGCGGATATCCCTCACTCATCATTGACCAGTCTACTGATTGATTTTTGCTTCTCAACGTGACTATAAGTATTAAGCTTGGAAGATGACATCTAGACTAGATACCAAATCAAGCTAATTTGATGGTCATAGCTCTAGTCTGGCCTTTTGAAGTTGTTAGTTTCCTATCTATATTTACCCCTCTCATATACCTATGTAGTACACTATGGCGTGATCTACAGGTATGTGCTTTTGTTGGTCAACAATTCATGTCATGCACAGCTAGAAGGGAATATGAAAATACGCGCTCATCATCGCAAAGCCTTGAAATAATAATACGAATGCATCAAATGCCGAAAGAATAATAATACTTATTAACTGCGTACAGCCGAATGGAATAATCACTTCTCATAGCGCATGTTCAATGAAAGCACAACAGTCAATCCAAATTCAACCTAACGGTGCGCATTCAGCCGGACACTTTGAGGATTGTGGAAGAGATCCGTCGGGTCGATGGCAGCCTTGATATTCTGGAGTCTGGGCAGGTTAGGTCCCCAGTATGCACTCTGCGCATTCTCCATCTCAGGGTCGACATATCCCGGATACGCGCCAAACCGAGCGTCAGGGCGAGTGGAAGCAATGGTATCGTACAAACCGTGTTGGAAATCCTTGATTTTCTGCGTGATTCTGCCGACGGGGTTGACGGAGTAAGACTGCATCCAAATAATCGCATCACGGTGGGCATATGCTGTCGCATTCACGGCATGGTCATTGACAGCGCCTCCCTCCAGGTCAAAGATGATAAACCATTCCAGAGTCCCCTTTGAAGTGGAGTCGATATACTCGAGCATCTTATCCACACCGTCGTCGGAGATCATGGTCTCGGCAGTGAATGACATGGACTTGGCGTAAAAATTACACGGAATGCCTCCTGCGGCTCGCATGATAAGGTTCTCAGCTTGGCTTGTCAACATTCCGAGCCAGTTGGTAAGATAAAGCACATTGCCGCTGTTGTGGATGGGGAAATGGTTTTCAAGGCCGAACGCCTCCCACTCTTCCTTTGTGCCAAAGAAAGTGCCAGATAACAAAGCGCCAGATTCAAAAAGAACTAACTCAGTGGCAAACTGCCGGGGAATATTCTCAATCGAAACCAGCTTCTTCCAGTCCTTGAACAGCTGTGCTCGCTGACTTGTTTTGCCGAGATTGAATGCGTATGAATACTGGATAGCCTCTCTGGGCGCAGGGTGCGTGCGAAGTTTGAATTCAGTGACGATTCCAAAGCTTGCCGCAGCTCCCTTGATGGCAAAGAGAACATCCTGATTCTGCTCATGAGAAGCTATCACAATGCTACCATTTGCGAGCACGACCTCGGCTGCTTCGATGTGGTCGAGAGCTGTACCCCACTCGCGTGACATGGCACCGAGGCCACCAATAGTGAAATGGCCGCCCACGCCAACTTGCGGGCAAGCACCGTGGGCTACTGCTCTTTTCCCAGCGTGATACAGATGAATGTGGAGATCACCCAGGTGAGTACCCGCCCCGACAGATGCAACGTGAGTCTCCTTGTCCATGGAGAAATGATGCATGTTCTTCATGTGAACAACGATAGCTCCATCTTCTCCACCGAGACCTGGATGAATGTTAGAAAATGTCAGATGAAGAACTCGAATAATGCAGAAATCCTTCAGAACATACCGTAGTTAGCGTAGCTATGACCACCGCTGTAGGCTTGCACCTTTAGTCCATTTCTTGCAGCACATTTCACAATTTCAGCGACTTGATAGGAGTTCTCTGGATAAGTAATGGCAGTCGGGACAACTGGGTAGTTCAGATTGTAGAGAGGAGTGTTTAGATCGAAGAATGTATCATTCTGGAAATTGACGAGTGCCGGGTTATTCCCCACGGCCGCCAAGAGGCAGTCTCGGACAACGCTCGGGGTATTACCCATCGTGAGTAAGGCAAAAGAATTCAAAAGCTCAATTGTCAGGTTTTGTAGAAGCTGGAAATGAAAAGAGGTGAGGAATAACGGGTGGTTTTAATTGAAGGAGAAGGCCGAGTTCTCCAAGCTCCTTCCCTGTTCATTTTTGGGCGTTTTGGACGTTATTGGAAAGTGATTCTGGAAGAAGGAAGAATCTGATGTCCATTATGGGGATGTCAGAGTTAATGATATACCCAAGCTTTATCTCGATATTCTCGTTGGAATGTATCTAGGGAGCCCAGCTTTTGATACAGGAAAGCGTGTAACCACAACTTATACTTAAAGTATATATTCAAAAAGTGCAGTCTCAACCGGGGTTCAGGTGCCCTGTCATAATGGTAATTAACTTGACTGAAGTGATGAATTTCAAGTTTTGTTGAGTATTGAAGGATGCGGGAATCAAGATTGTTTGGTTGATCGGGGACCATTTAGACTAATTATGGTCCCCGAAATTGCAAATGTGGAATCCGATATCGCGAGAAGCTAATTCCTTCGAGTATTTGTTTTCTCTTCTATTCGTACTTAGAGACTTTTCACCTACACTCGAGGGGTTGTCCAGGCGTCATGTTCACCCCAATCAACACCTCACTAGGTGCCATACTGTTGTTCCAGAGCTCATCCAGCTTGCTTTTTCACAATGGCTCTGTCTTCGGCATCTCATCCTTACTATCGGGATGTCTCCTCAATCCAAACCGAGATAATGTGCCGATAATAGCAGGCTTGATGTCAAGTGTACTACCAGTGTACCTACTGGCACCATCTCTGATACCAAACTATGTTGCTCCTCCATATTCATTGGCTTCAGTAGCCGTAACCATGGGTGTGGGCTTTCTACTCGGCTGGGGAACCAAGGTAAGCAAATCGATACATGATATAGCCACCAACTAAACGACTTACGTAGAATGGTCACGGTTGCACTTCAGGGCATATGCTCTGTGGTATTTCACGCCTCTCATCACGCTCGTTCATTGCAACTGCTCTATTCTTCACTTCGGCTTTGATTACAGCCAACTTCGCTGGAATTCCCTCCTGTGGCCCAGATCCATGCTACACACCTGTATATCCATCTGCACATGAGTTGATATTCATGGGGGGTGCTGTTCTTCTGTCCAGCATAACGAACGACCTTGTCATTCCCAAGGCTTTGAAGCGATCGCACATGGCCAGGGTCATCTTTTCGTTCCTGGCAGGTTTGGAGTTCGGACTGGGTCTTTTTATTTCGGGCATGGCAGACCCTCTCAAGGTCCTGAGATTTTTTGCTTTCCTGATGGACATATCGCGTTTTGATCCGTCCTTGGCCCTAATCATGGTATTTGGTATCGGGCCTTCGCTGGTGAAGTTCTGCTCTCAAAAGCCTGTTCAAGTGGTTGAAGGGAAGATAGGCTTAATACCTACTCTAGCAGAGCGGTGGTCGCTACCTACTGCAACCGTGGCGGACATCGACTGGAGATTCGTTGCTGGCTCGGTGACATTCGGTATTGCTTGGGGGCTGAAGGGTGTTTGCCCTGGGCCGGCCATATTGCGTGCCATCATACAACCTACATGGGGATTTGTCACGATGAGCGGGTTCGTTTTGGGAAATCTGGTATAACCCAGCAACCCAGCCCTGGAGGAAAGGCGAGGACACCTGGGCATATATCTTATAGAATTATTCATTATGTATATACTAGACGCATTTCATGCTTTCAGCATGGCCAAAATAGAAGATACTCGTCGTTTTCATACACTATACAACTATCAGCACTCATCATATACAAGGGGAATCACAGGCTCAATGCAATAATACAATGGTGAACATGAAAGTCATAAGGGAGCTGGCTTACAATTCGGTCTGCCTGTCTAGACGATTAGCCTCCCATTTCGGCTCTTCCTCCTGCCGCGCTTTCACATCAGTGGGGTGGCCATGGTCAAGATACCCTTCAAGCTCCATCCACTCAGCCGCGAAAGCGGAAATAAGGACACTCCAATCCTCAACAGTGTCCATATCTAGATGCTCTCCATCATCGTCCATTGTATGCCAGACCGAAGGGAACCCCTTAAAGGCGGCAAAGTCTATTAGATGCATAATCTCAACACCTCGTGCCAGAAATGGAAGGTGGTCATCTGCCACCGGACTCGAAGGCTTTATATGGTGTGAGTCCCTGGACGCGTCAATGAACCATGAAGCTGACGAAGACTTCCAATTCCCCAATGAGCGGAGTCGTTGCTCCAGGGAACTAATACCTTGATATGCCCAGTGAGTGGTTTCATAAAACGACTGGATGGTGGGTCCTTTGGAGCCTAGCAGGTCCAAAAGAACGAAGAGCGAGATGGACGAAAGTCTTGTCTTGAAGGTGGACATGGCTTGGTACTTCTCTTTGTCCCACTGAGCTGCCAAGGATCTCGCCCCATATAGAGAGTCTGTATCAGTCCACCTGTGGAATGATTCCTCACCGTCAAGGAACAGAAGCTGGATTCCCCGCTGTTCTTCAAGAGAGGTATCAATTCCCTGCGCTTTCATCGCAGCCCACTTCTTATCCAAAGCGTCATCAATGTTGCGCATAGCATGCATGATCATCGCCAATGGCGCTGCACTGTCAATCGCTCCGATGAATCCAGTCGGTGTCAATTTGCTGTCATAGTGAGCAACAAACGTCAATCGACCAACATCTCCCACCGAAGTGCCAGGGGGGTCCCGATAAGCGATGACATTTACAAAGGGCACTTGCTTTCCCGCTGAGGCAGGTGTTTGTGATGTGCAATTCTGAAATTCAAGCTCCCATTTCGGTAACATGGTTCGAACAAAGGTCACCAGGTGTTCGAGAACGGCATCATGACCTGGTGTGCCAGCAACACGCGTTCGGAGGATCGGTGCCAAGATAGCACCATTGTGAATATTAAAGTCATGCCCTGGTCGGGGAATAGCTTTTAGGGTGTCATCTGAGAGTTTTTCGTATGCGAAGCCGGGGAGTGAGCAGAGAAGTAGTCCGAGGCATAGTAATAGGAAACGGCCGCTTAGGCCAGCATAAGTGAATTTCATCAGGTTGAAGAGGGTCGTTATAAGCTCATGTCCTAAATGAGAAAAGCAGTGCACAGTACCTAGGTGTCCAGCCAGAGCGCCAGACCAGCTAGCCACGGAACATATAAAAAGACTGATGTTGCAGCAAAGGAGTAGTCAGGATACACCAAACAAAGCGCCAAGGCGGTCGCGACGGAAGTACGTAATTTCCCTCTCAAAGCCTCGACCTTGAACAAAGAACATTCCACCATGCGATATCTACTCGTCTACCCTCAATTGCGCACTGCGATACCCCGTTTGACTCAACGTCGCCTGCAAATTCAGTTATGGGCCCGATACAAATCTCATCTTACCCAACCACGACCCTCACAACAACATGAACGTACGACAGCTGAAGCCAAAAAACCTGCGACAATAGCCCGCACACCTACGCCGACAACCACACCTTCGAAGACGGTTTTGCGAAGAGGTACCGGTCACACAATATGGAGTGACTGGCTGCATACTAATTTCGGATAACAGGGCCACCGGAGCGCATTTTGGTCTACTATGGAGGAACCGGCCGAGCCATGTTCTTGGGAATACTGCGAGTAACCACCATTCTTCTCTTCGGCGCAGCCTGCCTTGTCATCGCACCAATCTATGATACGGCCGAGAATGAGTGGTATATGAAACCACTCGGTATGGATATTCAATCCAAGTCTACTAGGTCTTTACTAACGATTGTTCAGTCATTGCCGGTGGAGCATTGCCGATGATATTTGTCGCATACACTTCTGCGCCCTATGTGAACTTTATCCATCTCGCTCTTCCTTCAATTGCCAGAAAATCCCGAGAAGCAGCCCTTCTCTACATCAAGGATCTCCCGCCTACGGCTACTCTATACATTAACACCATGCGCTTCAACACGATACCGCGCCAGACCAAAGTCATGCTTGGAGATTTAATAGCGGAGAGGGATCCTCTCCGTCCAGTCGCTTTCCGGAATTTGAAACCACTCCCGAAGCCCTGGTGGATGGGTCGACCTACAACTCAGTTTTTTACTGCGGCTAACAGTCATCCAGGGCGGCAATCTATGGCTTTTTACCCTGAAGCTTGGCCGGACATTTATAAGCGGATTCAGTTGAATGCTCAAAAGTAGTGTCGATATAGAATGTTGCATGGTTGACAAAGAGAAGGCCATACATACGAGCTGTGAGTGTATTACTACAACCCTTGAATGAGAGGAATATGTATGGATGGAAGAGTCCAGTCCTCAAGGCTCAAAAATGAAATTGACCTCAAGGACTAAGCACTTAAATCGCTTTTAAAATTAACAGCATTATATGTACAACAATAAATGGATTTCATGATCCATAGATCAGTGACACAAATCTAAATATCCGACAGAACGTGGCTTTGAAGCAACTACCTAGGTATTGATAGTACTCCAGGTCATTAAATGAGCTGCTCATCAATGTATCGTCGCATAGTCGTAAACTCAGCCTTCCCTGTCTTTGAAAAGGTCAGACACTGGAATATCAAGAATAAAAAATATGCCTACCGAAATCAGATATCGAATATGATGCTTCAAACGACCATATTAGAAATTTTCCACTGAAACCATACCACAGTATTCATATTGAACTCACCAAATCTGTCAAATTACGATGCCGTTCAAATTCATCTCGAGCATAAGACCGTAGCTCGTCACGGGTAGACGAGGGAGGGATTTCTAAATAGAGTAAGCAACATGACATCCAGAGTTATGGATTTGGAATTGGAACATTAATGCAGCATAGTACATACTAATCAAAACTCGAACAATCTCACGCCATAGTGCCAATGATCGTTGTCTTTGGATGAACTAAATTGCAGGCAAGGTGAGAACTCATTTGATTCAACTGTAATCTGTGGGCTACTGACATGCTCTAAACTTATTGATGGCTTCTTTAGCCTTGATGAATGGCTGCGGGATACAACAGCAAGGAAAGAAAAAGAGGGCCGCATTAGGACGGCTTCATGTTATGTCTCTACTATAAGGAAATTAAGCGGAAGCTCTTGATATCATGGCATATTAAGGCGGTCTAATCGGCGGTGAAATTAAAAGTTACCACGGAAGAATGCTGAGCCGGTCCGATATATACTTTAACATTTTCCACCTTAACAATCTTAAGTTAAGGTGACCTCATAAGGGTATCAGTGTACGTAGGTACAGACTCAGGATAATTTAAGTAATGAGACGTCATTTAAAAGATGCTGTATTCATTAGAATACCGGATATTAGTCCTTGGAACTGAAGAAAGAAACACCTCGGTAGAATTCTTCACTTCTTTTGTTGATACTGTTAACCCCTAGACTCATTATGTTTCTCATTCCATATAGATCATGTCGTAGATAAATCCTGAATTTTGCCGCAATAGAGTCTTTATGACTGCAAAGGCTCACCCATACCTCCAAAAGTAACACTCTTAATAACCATGAATTCGTCAATACCATACTTGCTGCCTTCACGGCCAAAGCCACTTTGCTTAACACCACCGAATCTGCGAATAAGTTAGCGACGGAAAATGAATTCACAGTAGGAAAATGGAAACTCACGGAGAAGCAACATCACTGATAAGACCAGTGTTGACACCAACCATGCCAACCTCCAGGGCCTCGGCAATACGGAAGATGCGATGGACATTCCCGCTGAAGAAGTATCCAGCAAGACCGACCTCAGCGGCATTGGCGAGATCGACAACCTCCTTCTCTGTCTCGAAGGCAAACAAGCCAGCTACAGGACCAAAGGTCTCCTCAGTAGCAAGCTGCATATCCTTGGTCATACCGGACAGCACAGTAGGCTCGAAGAAGTTAGGACCCAGAGCAGTGGCCTTCTTACCACCGATCAAAACCTTAGCACCCTTGCCAATGGCATCTTTGACGTGTTCTTCGGCCTTGTTGGCGGCACGCTCGTGAATAACAGGGCCGTGGGTAATACCCTCCCCAAAGCCAGCTCCGAGCTTGAACTCCTGAACCTTGGCAGTGAAACCCTTGACAAACTCGTCGTAAATACCCTTCTGAACATAGATCCGGTTAGCACAGACACAAGTCTGGCCAGAGCTGCGGAACTTGGAAGCAATAGCACCAGCAATGGCAGCATCGAGGTCCTCAACATCGTCGAATACGATGAATGGCGCATTGCCGCCCAGTTCCCAGGACACCTTCTTGATGGTAGATGAAGCCTGCTTCATGAGCAGCCGGCCAACATTGGTCGAACCGGTGAAAGAAACTTTTCGCACCTCGGGGTGGGTGGTGATAATCTCACCCACCTCGGGAGTGTTCTTGGACGCAGTAACGAAGTTGACCACACCCTTTGGAATACCAGCCCGGTGGGCAAGCTCAGCCAATGCATTGGCAGTGAAAGGGGTCTCACTGGGAGACTTGGCAACAACAGTGCAACCAGCCGCCAGGGCCGGTCCGATCTTCCGAGTGATCATCGCTGCGGGAAAGTTCCATGGTGTGATCAGACCGCACACACCAACGGGCTGCTTCAGTGTGATCACACGGTTGCTAGCCACAGATGAAGGAATGGTATCACCGTAGATACGCGGTGCCTCCTCGCTGAACCACTCGAAGAATGAGGCGGCATAGTTAACCTCGCCCTTGGCATCGGCTAGAGGCTTTCCATTCTCCCATGTGATTAACTTGGCCAGATCCTCCGCATTGTCGATCATAAGTTGGTACCATCGGCGCAGCATGCGCGCACGCTCGCGTGCTAAGACTGTGCGGAATTTAGGGAATGCCTCTGAGGCGGCTTCGATAGCCTTCTGGACGTCGGTGCTGTTGAGTTCGGGACAAGTTCCAATTAGGGCTCCAGTAGCAGGGTCTGATAATAGATCATATGAAAATCAGTCATCTGGCTCAATAGCATGTTCTTCAGCTCGGGTAATGCTTACCGTGAACTTCAAAGGTCTCGCCGGACTGGGCACCGACCCACTCGCCGTTAATGTAGCATTTTTCGATGAAGAGAGACTTGTCATTTAGCTGTAGGGAAAATCAGCCATCGATACCACTAATCCCACTATACTTTTTTTCTCTAAAACCGATCAACTCACCTCTGGCCTGTTGGATCCCATGGTGTATAATCTCTTCAAAGCTGGCGGCGGGGGAATGGAGAAGTGAGATCGAAGGCGAGGTCGTAGTAATTGTCGTGAGATAGAGCGGGTCATTCGCTCCATGGTGAAAAATGACGAAGAAAAGAAGTACCTAAGAGGAGTCGAAGAACAGCTGATACCGGAAATAAGAGGTGAAGTCGGCGTGCGGGGATTTGGAGTCGTCTTCAAAGGCCTCAATTGCTTGCAGCGAAAGACTTCCACCACTCTGATTTCAGATAAATTATAAGAATACCAATCAGACCCAAAAAATAACAAGAACTAAATCTGGGACGACTGTCTATTTAAGTGGTGAGTCGTCAGGTTTACAAGGGGATCCAGAAACTTAGCGGGTCTGGATAATTGATGTCATAGAGCGGAATGCGTATTTGAAGTACATTTAATACTGTTTGCGGATATTTCAACCAATAAGAGACTTTTATTTCAATATGACCGGCAACTATGGCCAATACAACTTCGTAATTCTTCCCCGAGCTAGCGATAGCGTAAATAAAATACAATATACACAACCGATAACTAGTCCAGCTCAACTCCATATACTTCCATCTCATGGACAACATGTAGAAGAGGTCTAAATTTGGAATATAAAGATAAATTGGATATTGTGTTAGTAAGAAAGTTACGTAATAGTCGTTCCAAGTCCTTATTTTCGAGATTAGGCTTGTTATATGACCTCTTCCAATCAGCTACAGGTAAGTGCAAAGCCCTAGAAAGCTTGGAAGTGTCGGTCGTCTATCAGAACTACAGAGTCTGGACTAAAACTTTCGATTGGTATACATCTATCCAATACTAAAGTAATACTCGAATGCCTCGAGCTGGCTACTTCAATCTTGAAATGCTGTGGCTACTCGACTTACTTTACGCATTTATGCCCGAATAAAATTCAGTCATTCATTGATGAGTATGAAGATTCGAGGATTATATCGTTGGAAGTGAGTGAGAGCCCATTAAATGAAATGCATTCTGCAATAGCTTACAAGGAGAGAAGAGAGATATTCCTCTCTTCTTCTTTCTTTCCCTGCAACTGTCTCTGTATTCAACAAATGAGGTATAATATCTTTCTTCATCTTGATTTCACCTTCTAAGATTTCATCACATCACTATGACTTAGCTTTCACTTTCATTTTACTTGGAAGAGCTACCATCTACCTTTCTTATGTATGTGGATCAGTATAACGTTAGAATTTAGCTCTCGTCCTACCATGGGCTGGACCAAGGCATAAGAGAATACTTCCCGAGGTCGGAGACTCTCAAATCCCTGACTTTGATACTTTGATATTTATGATATTTTTGATAGATATTTTTTGGTTATTTCCAGGATGCTTATTTTTACCCAGCCTGAGAGCAAGCAGTTCTTCAGAGTGACGGAGAGCGCTGATGTCAAAGTCAGGTATGACTCCCTCTTAAGCCATGGCAGATAACTATTCAAGCATGCCATATATATCTCTCACCTCAGACTTCATCTTTTAAAGTAGCACCCCGGGTAGTACTCGCGCTTCGAGATCGTACGCGCTCAGAATCATACGTCGGATGAACTCGCTTCATGTGGAGATTGAGATTCCAAGTCCGCGAAAAGCCATTGGTGTGTCGAGTACATTTCTTGATAGGGCATAGTATATCACTTTTTCGATGAGGGCCCTTACCAGCACCGTTCTTGGGAATAGATATTTGCTGAATCACGTCTGCATTTGAAGATGAAGCAACAGGAGAAGAAGCGGTAGGAAGTGTAGAAGAAGCTGGCGCTTGGAGTCCTTGAGATTGGGGTCGTGATGAAGACTGAGACCTTGATTTCGGTGTCGCTTTCACACGTTTATGTGTCCTAGGAGGGTCGCTTTCGCTTTCACTTTCAAAGTAGGCGTATTCGAATGTACTGTCGGATAGGCGACCGACTTTTTCCATCCGTCCTTCTCGAAATTTCCGGAAGGTCATGTCTTGCCCGAATAGGTCGGTACATCGTTTGAGAGCACGGTTGACGGCGTCGGAGGGGATGCCCATCATGGGAGCTAAGCCCATGACCTCGCTCCAATCTCGTAGACCAACTCGTGATTTAATTGGAAGACCATTACGAGAAGGCTTTGCACGACGTTGAGATTTCGGTGAATCAAGCATCTCTTCATTCTCTGTTTCGGCACCAGGGGATTCACGTGGACTTGGAGAGCGTCCATTGGCCTTTCCACGGGACTGTGGGCGAACTAGCTTCCGGCCTCGAGATTGATTGCTGTTCGATCTCTTACGCCTGGGCCCTGATCTGGATGGCTCATCCTCTCCATCAGTACCGGAGTCGCTACTTAGATCATCACCAACTCGGGTTCTCTGGGCATGGTGTAGTCCCATCAAAAGGCGATCAAGCTGGGACATGACATTTCGAGAAAGCGGTCTCAGTTGCTTCCTTGAAATATCGTCATCTGCTTGAATAACAGGCCTAAGAGGTGCCGAGGTGTTATATTCCTCTTCTGTCTCGTGCTTCGTCTCATCCTCATCGTCGACAACCATTGCGTCCAGATGGGGAGAGCTTTCAGAACATTTAATTCCAAGATCGTCATGATCCCAGGCACGGGCTGAGAACCTATCTTTGGCAGTCTTCATCATAAATGCCATAATAGACTCTTCTAATTCTGCGCTGGGCCGAAGATCAGGCGGTCTCCGCGCATTGTCAGGGCCATCTAGTGTACGATGAATGAGTTCATCCGTACGAGGGACCGAGTCAGCTGGCATTGGCCACGCAACCCAACTTTTTCTAAAAGATATCGACTCATGATCATCAACGTCTTCGTCATCCCTGAAATCTGCTTGCGCTTGGTTGGATTGGTTGCGGATTACGAAGGCGTTGTAAAGATGAGCCCCTAGATCCCTTGATCGATTCGCAATCAAGCTCGTGTAAAGATCATGCTCTTCTCTGATAGCCCTTCGGTACGCATGTGGATATCTGGTCCATCTGTTTGGACGCTCAGTTCCAAGTGGCAAATCTATACCAGGATCAATCAGATATGCTGGCTGGTACGCCTTTTCCGGTAAAAGATCACTTTTGATGGCAGATTTCGTGGCCCTACGCCCGCCCTTTTTTGGATTCTCGTCTTCGCTTCCTCTATAGCTATCCCCGTCGGAACCATAATCAGCCAGCAAGGGTCTCTCTCTCATGAGAGTGTTGAAATCATCATCTTCCAACATTTGGTGGTCCGGATACTGGGCATCTGAGCCAAAGTCAAGTTCCGAGGGAATCTCCTGTTTTCTGGGGCCACCAAAGAGGGACTGGGGTGACCCTGGCTGAGAAGATGATAGTGGGCCAGCATCGCTGCTTGGCCCACCAAACAATGACTGGATCGGCTGTGCCAACTGTGGCGTCCGTAACTGGGATGATGATACTTGGGGATTTTCTGAAAATGAGGACATGCCTCAACGCTAATGTTGGATTAAAGAGCTGATCGAAGTCAAAATTTCGATTCTATCATACATAGGATGATATTGATCGTATACAAATAAGGCTTGAAAGTGAGATATATCCAATCATCACGTAATTTTGTTCTACGCGTTGGCTCGACGGATTGATCAGGTAGTGCTTGTATGTATCAAAAATTCACTCAAGTGGAGTCATATCACGTGATATAGGTAACGGACTCATTTCCCTCTACTCCGTAACCCTACTCCGTGCTCTCTACAGCTAATTAATTTACAGACTACGCAGGATATTTTAGTTTTCTAGAAGTCGACATACTGCAGATAAACCATTAAATTTGGACATAAATTTTTTAGGACATGCATATACAGGGCCTATCCCAGCCGCAAACGCCGATATAAAAAGCACTCTTTAGTAGGGTTGACAAACCGCTCAGCTTCATTTCTTGGCAGTAGCCTTCTCAAGCTTGCGCCGCTTGGAGCGGAGCTTAGCAGACTCGTCAGCCTGCTTCTTGTTCGAGTACATCATCTTCTCCAACAGCTTGCGCTTCTTGCGGCTCATCATGACCTTCTGCCTCTCGAGTTCCTCATCCTCCTGGCGCTTCTTGGCAGCCATCTTCTTGGTCTGTGACTTCTTCTTCTTGGAAGACTCATCAGATGCCCCACCGGCAGTGAATGGCAAACCAGCGGCCTCTGCCTCTAGTTCGCGTTGGTGCTGGTTTCGGGCAGCCTCGTCGTCATCTTCAGATTCAGAGGCAGCTGCGATCTCCTCATCAACTTCCTCATCTTCTTCTTCGTCCTCGTCGCTGGCGCTCTCGTCATCGCTTCCAGCAACGTCCATGCCACCATCAACGGACTCCTCCTCGGACTCCTCCTCGACAAGATTTTCATCAACGACAGCCTCATCCTCCATCTCCTCGTCACTCTCCTCGGCATCCTCGGCCATTTCAGCCTCGCCTTCCTCTTCTTGCTCAGCCAGGGTAGCGCGGGGATCGTAGGCTCCACGAGAAGCCTTAACCCATGGGCTCAGGTGAGGCGGGATGGTAGCACCGGGTGCGTAGAGATCAGCACGAATGAGCTTGCCCTCGTTGATGCAATCCCAAACCCACTGAGGCTGGACGTAAGTGCGTCCCGGAATGCGGGTGCCAGGCTTGACTTTTTGGGAGGCGCTATCCGCAGCAGGAATTGCAGGGAGAGATGACTCAGGGAGCTGGGGCCGATCAACAATTTGGTGAGTGATACGGGGGTCGGTCTCATCGTGAGTGTAAGCTCCATCGCCAAGCACGGCATCCCAGCCGATACGCTTGCAGCCAAAGGCGCGAAGGATAAACTCAAGAGGGGCCTTGGGGGCCTCACGCGAGATGTAGAAAACAAAAGGAGAAAAGAGAGATCCAGCCTCGTTGCCACTCAAATCGGGTTGAGGGAGGGTGTCGGCCTCGGGGGCAGCGGGCTCGAAGCGGTCAATGGCTTCGGTATCCTCTTCGGGAGCATCTTCCATCTGCTCATCTTCCTTCTTGTCCAAGCCAGCAGACTTGATGAGCTTGTCAACCTTAGCCTGAACCTTTCGGGAAACCTCCTTCGATTCGCCGTTGGTCTGGGTCTTGCTGGGCTCCAAAGCCTTGGGTGTCTCGCCGACGTTGCGGCCCTCGAGGGTGAAAGCAGCCAACTCGGCACCGTTCTCGTCGCTTCGAGTGTCAAACTTCGGGGGTACCGCAAGCCAATGGAAGAGTACAGACGGAAATTGACAAAGCCAAGGAGAGTGGTGTAGAAGTCAACAAAGGTAGCCATGATACGGTAGTCAATATCTCCGTTCACGCGCTGCACAAAGCGGTATGGCACCAGCCACATAACGTCCTGACCCTGGATAGTCGCCTGGTAGTATATACCCTTGATCGAAAGGAATGATTTCCGGAGCGAATTGGTAATAATCAGGTAGTGCTGGAATTCGTGGCACAGACGCTGGCATAAGGCAACAGTCTTGGAGGGAACATGGTCAGTGGAAGGGAGGGTGGCGAACAGGAAGAGAAGAGACAGAGCATCATCAAGATCTCTAAGGGCATCAATGAAGGTGGGATAGCGCTCCTTGATGACATGATCGAGAGTGAGCTTGGGGGCATGGTTCTTTTCCAGGCGCGCAGCATCACTGACTTCACCACGGCCAAGGGAGCGTGCGATCTTCTTCGCAACAGACTTCTGGTCACGGAACTTGTTCAGTAGCGGCTCATGGAGGAGGTACTGAATGTCCTTGGTGTAATAGAAAGTAGTGTTTGGTGTCGAGGTCTTGGAAGCCTTCTTCTTGCTCCGGGGCTCACGAGGGTAAATTCCTTTAATCGGGGACCATGTCAGTATTGCCGAGGCTTTTTATTCTATATCAGAATATCCTCACCCTTGAAGATGCAGAGGCGACGGAAATCTGGCAAAGAAATCTGAAGTTTGCGCACAGCTTGAGTACGAGTAATGTAGTTTTTGGCCTGGCCAGAGGTACCTGAGAGATGTTTATTAGCAGGATGAATTAATGAGAAACATTTCCATTCGATTACACACCCTTCTTCTTGATTTTCGCCATTGTTGAGGTTTGCTTGAAAGTTGAATGGGCAAAGGCAATTAGTTCAATCCATAAGTGACTTTAGATTTTCATTTTTTTCTCCACCGTGTTATTGACCGCCTTTAAATGCCGGTATTTCGGGTCTTAAGCTTCAAGCGGTAAAGGACATACTGCTTACTCTCTTTCATTTAAGGGTATATTCCGAGAAGTTTGATAGGGCTTCTCACTTCTGCATATAGTATGGAGGATGGTACCATCTGCCTCTCATTTTATAAACTAGAAATCTCTTAATTCTACCCAGAGTGCCTTCTTAACATATATTTCTAATAAAAAACGCGCAGTCTCGGGTTCGAACGCATAACCATCATTTTCTACCAACTTCTTCATTTTGGCCTGTTAACAAAAACAAGAAAAAAATTGGTGGCTTCTCTTTTGTTGAGAGTGTCATCCTTATGCAGGGGTCATGCTAAACGTCTCTGATTTTTTTTTAACAGTTTTTGATAGGTATTGTCCCAAACATCGGTTGATATACCCTCTTTTACCTTCTGCCAGGTGGTGTCGCTTTGACATGACATTTGTCAAATTACTCAGCATGTTAGCGCTCCCACCTGCTTCTAACGGATTGAAAAGAAAGTGAAAGCACGTAAAAAGGTCCCAAGTATGTCCGAAGATGGATCAGATCAAGATAAATAATAAATATTGTCATTATATTGATATTTATTATTTGGTATCGTATCTTCATCTTTGTGCTTATCCAAAGTACCCGTGGAGGGGAAGTCCTCGGGACCTCCGTACTAATGAATATACTGTATCAAACGCCATGGGATACGTAGATAAGAAACCTAGTAGGTGTTAAAATGCCAAAATGTAAGACCTGCATTCCATTCAGTTGTACAATAATTATTACATGATGAAGCAGTAATAAACAAATACAGACCAGACTAGAAGTTTGGAAATTAACAGTACAAGTGATAACTTTGATAGAGTTGTTCCAATATCAGGAAAGTCTCGATCAAGGCCGCTGAACAATGATTTACAAGGAAATTGGAGTGGACAATGTGAAAGAAACGGGAGATCCTGAGAGTTGGACCCAAACAGTCAGAGGGTCGCTGCCCAGCTGTTCGGTGGTGAATCCCTGGGTACTCGTCGGGGCAACGGGGAAGGTCACAGGAATTGGCTCGCTGCAGGTATTGCCAGTAGCAGAGACAGTCACGGTGGTTATCTCTTGGTTCACCGTGGTGTAGCTAAGGGCGTACCCACAAGCGTCGCGAGTGTAGCGAGCTTTAAATCCAGCAGACATCTAGAAGGCAAAAGTGAGAATCGGTTTGAGAAAAGGTGGATATTCGGAATACTCAAGGGGAGTAGAACTTACATCAGCGTGCTTGATTGTTACGATGGGCCAGGTCGCCAGACGAACAAATTCCGGAACAACGGTTTCAACCCAGGCCTGGAATATGGAATATTGACCAGTGACTCCATTGATGGTGATAGGATCAGTGTCGTTGTTGCGCAGATTTGCCTGGTGGAACATGTATGGGTCGTGATATAGGCCGAACATATGACGGATGGTGTCAGACTTCTCAACGGACAAGAGATAATCAAAATCGCCACTACCATCGGAAGTGTTGACCCACTCGGCCAAGGTACAGGCAGTAGTGCAACAATCATAGTAGATACGAGTGGCCCAGCGAGGGTTCACTTGCATACCAGCGAAGCCATCAGTCGAGACTGTCGTAAAGTAGGGCCACATGGCATTTTCGGTGTTAAGAAGGGCAGAACGGGTGTTATCACCAACGCAGTTTGTGATGCCATTATCCCACCAAGCCTGAAGGGCGTCACCGTTGTGGATACCAGTAATTGCTGGCGGAATAATACCATTACCAGTGTAATGAGTGGCTGAAGAGAATCCGACTTGCTCAAGCCAAGCCTTGTTGAAGGAGATTTCCTTATAGATATCTGAGTATGTGGCATTGTTTTGGGATTCGTGAGTAAACGTGTGGGAAAGCAAACCGAAGCTGTTCATGTTACTCTGCCACCATGTCAGGAGGGTATCTCGGCTGGTGCAATCTGTGGTCCAAGTGTAGTTTGTTGGAGTGGTTGGCCATCTATTGGCGCCGGTTCCGAGTGGTTTCTTGAACTCAGCAGCGGTGTTGGGAGCACTCGCAGGGTAGACGCCTCCCCCATTACAGTAACCCCAGCCGTCGTTGAATTGGGAAGAGCTGTCAATATTACCATTGCCATTGAAGCCAACTTCCGGCCAGTAGGAGCTACCAGCATTCATCTTAGCATTTATAGTCGGGATCCAGTTCAGAATACCGTCCATATCGGCAGTAGTGATGCGGAAAGTTGTGCCAGACGGCTCGTAGACGTTGGTAATAAGCATCATATCGTCAATTTGCGTATTCAGATACACTCGGCGCCATCCTGCATGAAGACCGCGAGTTATCCAGGTAATCCAGGCATGCTGGATGTATGCTGAAGTGGCACTCCAAGTAGGATCCAAGGATATATGAAACACCATTTGCTGGCGGCCATCGAAATCGTTGATCACTGCTGCCACTGATGAAGTGCCGTCGGTGTTGGCGAATGATGCAATCTGTTTCGTACTTGTGGTGTTTGTGATCAAGGCCGAATAGTGATAAAGGCCCTCGGTGCTCACGGTGGCACCAACTCTCAGTCCGGCGGTAGGGAAATCACTGATGTCCGTGAACTGCATGAGCTGTTCAACACCCGAATCGCAGCATCCATCGCCCACTACAGTTGTGCCATAGTCGGAACCAGGATACACATCATATTGGACCATGCGGACTCCAAAATCGACCTGATAAGCGTAAAGTTGATTCCATTGATCTGTGGTCAGACCACTTGCCCAGCCTGTATCGTATTCATAGGAGATACCAGAAGCGACAACAATACCTCCAAAGTGGCCTCCCGCGGTCCCATTGAGCTCAGGAAGGGTAGCACCGCTTTCAGGGACAATAAGAGTAGTAAAAGGAATTCCGTAGCCATTGAGACCGGCAGTCGCAGCACTGATCGAGGCACTGTCTCTGGCAATCACCAGTATGTTTGAAGCGACAGTAGCCTGGCTGAGTCCACGCATAGCGATTTCATGAATAGCCATTTCGTGGGCCATGATGGACGGCTTCCAAGTGGAAGGGGAAGACTTTGGGAGCAAGTATAAAAGATGTCACGGAAGCAAACGTGGAGACCTCGTGGCGATGCTCACTACACTCTGGTAACACACTACAAATTGTCTGGGGAAACTTCCATGAAGCGACTGAATATGTGAGTTCAGGTCAAACTCGGGGCATCATCTCAATTTATAAAGCCATACCAGTTAATCTGCACGGCTTACTTCGGGACTATCCATCAAAAGCCGAAAAGGGGGACAAAGGCAGCCATTGCTGCAGGGAAGAGGGGAATCGGTCTAATATTCACGAGTCAGAATTGATAGCCGAGTATTTTGTATCAGGGTCGTATCATAAGATGGTGTTCGCATCAATGTGCATAAACGTTTGATATATCTACGAATGACCAGGATTCTGATTGCCCAGAAACGTTCGACACTGGAGCCCATCGTATGTTCTATAGGTGAAATCGCTTTTCCGGTCGCCCAAAATATCCAATTTCAAATCATGATACCTTTATTTCCCTATTCAAGTGTGTTTGCCAAGCCAGAAATGAGGTTTCTGAAGGAGTGTCTCAGCAGAATATCATGAGATGCAAACCTGGTCTACCCAAGCGATTGGCTAATTGAAAAAGGGTCGTGAGGGGTTTCATGCAGGTAATGTGACAGGTTGAATCCTGATGCATACGAAGAGACTAGTGCTCGCTTAAGCTGTGAAGAAGAAAAAACAATGCTTTCGCTTTTGCATTGGGACATGCTATTCGCTGGAAGAACTCCGAAATATCACTCCGGGCTCTGAAAATGAGCACACCTGTTTTGAAAGGTGAGTACTAAGTGAAGTATCTCGTGCTTCAAGCAATGGCCCGGAGGTTTTGACCAAAAGAACGTCCTAGTGTGTGCTCAGGTGCAGTGGATGCAGGTCCAGGCCTTGGCAACCTCGTGCTTTATAAATACCATATATTGTAATACGAGATAGTAGCTATTCTAACGACAGCTTGCCCGGGATTTCAGAGTAAAAAATCAAGTCAAATCTTTGGGTAACTGGTTAATATAATCTGATCTGTAGGTAGCAACCTTCCAAGGTTGGTGGTAATGAGCCGGGTAATCCTTGATGTATAGACGATTTTCTTACATATCTATGCTCAGTACCCTTCTTGCCACCAATGATGAGCTCCCCACTCTCATCATTTTGGAAGAAACTTAGAAGGACCTCACTACACCTTGTCTGTACCTGTACTTCAAATGCCCAGTTATTAGGTACCTAGGGAAGTAGCATTGGAGCCAAGAAGGCTGCCACAATATTCGCCTCCGTGGAATTGCCACAGATCGACGAAAGAGACCTATCTCAATATATGCGCTTCCCGTTACCGGAGACCGGGATAACTCAAAAACGATATAATATATTGAGCATGGCTGGGCACGGCTTTAAGAAATTATCGGACCGAAGCTGGATTAATTCAGTAGTTGGATCATGGAAGGAAAGCGTGGGGGTTCACCGCCTAACCCGGCAGAAATGTAGACAAGATGGACAGCTAGATCATATGGCTGTATCAACACTCAGCATATCTTGTCATGGCGGACCGACAAAAGGTCGCTGTGTTCGGTGCCGCCTTTGTTCTCCGCCTACTTTTGATATGTGTTTTTCCTTCTTTGCCTGATTTGTTGACGGGCAGAGTCGAAGTGTCAACCCCAGTCACTAGCTTCAAGCGATGTATGTGATTGACTAGAATGGCAAGAGTGGCAAGACAGTCTTATCTGACTTTGACGTATAGTGCAAGAAGGCCTCTTTCTATACACTCGAAATGTCTCTCCGTACGATGGTGGTGTCTTCCATCAGGTGAGTGTATCTCAATGTTTATCTTTACGGGGCTACAGTTGACAATTGAACTTAGGCACCACTCCTACTTCCCTTATTCTCCCTACTCCCCGGCGTGAAAAGCAGCCCATTCTCCACTGCAATATTCTATTCTCTTGTCGATCTAGTCAATGCGCATGCCTTAATCACCATCTCAAATTCAGGCCAATCGGTTCAAAGCCGTCGACACTCGGCGGTACGAAAGCATATCCGGTGGGACGGAGTTTCTGTTGCAGCTTGGTATGATTAATCTGACAACTTTGCCATTCTAGCGAGTCATACTAACCAGAACATAGGTTCTTGTTTAACCCATTCACTATTGCAACATGTTTAGCACGATCAACAAGCGTTTTTACGGCATCGGGGATCTTATTCGCAGTCTCAAATGCTGTCAGTGGCAATAGTGTCAATGCGATGTTGGCACTGGGCTTCGCATCCTACCTATCTCTATACCCCGCTCTTCTATTTGTCCCCCTTGTTCTCCTCTGCTACGATCAACGGGCACAGAAGCAGGCACCCAATTCCTTTATCTTCACGCTGCAACACGCCGCTATTCTACTCGGCAGTATCACCGGCCTACTTGGCGTTTCATATTTGATTATTGGAAATTTCTGGGATTTTGTGTCGGCGACATATGGCTTCCATCTTCTTGTCCCTGACTTGACCCCTAATGTGGGCCTGTGGTGGTACTTCTTCATCGAAATGTTCGATTCATTCCGTGGCTTCTTCCTTGGGGTCTTCTGGCTTCATCTGGCCAGTTATGTTGGTGGTTTCACAGCGCGGCTGTGGCGACAACCTCTGTTTATCATAACGTCGCTTCTCGGGATCTTCGCCGTCTTCAAGCCATACTCCAGCATCTCCGATGCGTCACTGTACTTTGCGTTACTTCCGCTGTACCGACACCTTTTCCCCTGTGAGTCTTGTCATTGCAATCTATAAGAATCGACAAAGACTAACTGTCAATAGTAATGCGGTATACATTCTTTGCGATCTCCGCCCTTCTGTACTCCACCTTGTTGGGACCTGCCTTCTACCACTTGTGGATCTACGCTGGTTCTGGTAACGCAAACTTCTTTTATGCCATCACTCTAGTCTGGAGCTTAGGCCTCTCGATCCTTCTGGCAGACAGTATCTTCGCCTGTCTAAGAGACGAATGGGAGCAAGCCCACCCAGAAGCACAGGGTCAAGAAGTGAAACAAGTATAACGTATACCCAGGCTGCAATTCATTATCACATAGATTCTTGTACAATACAAAAAGCCACGTCCAAATAATAACAATCAAGAAATGCAATTTACAACCGTTTCGACAGGATCAAATAATCCCATTCCTTAATCGTACCATTTCGCAACCTTCTGGGCTGGGGACTAAACTCATCAACCTCATACCCACCCCGCTTATAAAACTCACGAGCTGCCTCATTAGATCGGAAAACAGTCAACATAGCCTTCTCCAACCCGACAAGTCGACCTATCTCCTCCATCCGACCCATAAGCAACTTCCCAAGCCCGCGCCCCCGGACCGTCGGCGACAAATGGATCTCGTAGCAGTAGACAACCTCCTTCCCATCTTCATACGTGACCATGAATGATAAGAACCCGATCACAGTGCGAAAATCCGGCTCTACATTCACATTCACATTCACATTTGGCTCTTCGGTTTCCGCTACGCCCCGCAATATGAGATATTTCATATCGGGCAGTTGCATTTCTTTGCGCTTTTTTGAGCGCGACCAGCCTATTCCCGAGGCTGCGTATGCTGAGCCCGAAGTCAGCTCGATTAGGTCCAGACATGCTTCTAGGGCTGCAGTGGGGATTGATTTTGCGGAGTACACTTCTAATGGCGTGTGTGCCGCCACATCTTGGAGTGATATTTCTGCTGGATTTGTCGCGAGGTTTGTTGGAGTTGATTCAATCGCTGTTTTTGGCGGTGATATGTATAGCGAGACGAACTCGTTGATGTTTAGTGCGTTGGTTCGCTCGACCCGCGGCAGGACTGCAGTTTCATTAGGACGTGTCGGGATCAAGAAATAATGTATATGATTTCCGAGGATGTTATTAAGGGAAAATCAAATCACAAGATAGTGAAGTTTTTCAATAATTTCGCGTTTGGTTCACTATGAGCGACTATTCAAGACTTACCCTTGGGTTTGGGCTGGACGCGTCTTGCGGTCTGAGATTCACGAGTGGTTTTGGTCACTCGTGTCGGCATGGCTTCGATTCTCAGTTAAGTATGTGAGTGAGTACTGAGAATATTTCTGCAATTGCTTGGGATTGGTCGGATAGGGCAGTCAATATTGAAACATTCTAGTGGGTCGGAGTCCAGCCCGCTTTGACTTCTAGACTTATCCACTCCGCCTCGGGGAGTATATAAGTCAACTTTCAACCCTGATCATTGCGGAATTTCACAGTCAATTCTATTGGCTTTTTCATCATTCTATCAACCCAAATCTATTTCGTTACAATGTATAACAATAACTCTCGAAAGACCTTGGTAGAGTTGATATCGAAGAAACTCTCACATTCAGAATCAAAGAGCTCGCTGCTTAGTAGCATGCTCTTCAGCGCGTCGTTCAGCTTCAGCAGTTCCCAATTCATCAAACATATCAACTCCCCAACGGAACGGGTAATTGTAACGCTGGTTTTTGTCCAGTTTATTCAGAGCTTCAAAGGCATCTTCGGGAATGACGAAGTCTGAAAGATATCGGTTAACGTCACTCTCACTCTTGGGTCTTTGTGTGACAGCTTACCTTGGAAATTACTCTCGATGCGCGAAGGAGTCACACTCTTGGGCAGTACGGCAAAACCTCGCTGGATAGCCCAGGAGATCAACAGAGTAGCAGGATCCCTATTTATGTTCTTGGCAATTTCCACTACCTTCGGGTCATCGATAACACTGTCCAAGTATTAGCTAGGCTGAACAAAGTATAGTCTCAAGTCAACGATCAGGCAGAGTTCATACCGTGGCAGGTTGAATACATTGTTTCCTAGAGGGCTGTAAGCCACGGGGAGGATGTTCTAGTGACGAGAAAATGAGCATAATTTGACCAGTGGAGAAGATGAAAGATGACCTACGTTCTCTTTCAAGAAAGCCAGTAATTCCGGCTGAAGGAGATAGGGATGAGCCTCAATCTGGTCCGCAGCAGGGGGGATCTTGGCCGTTTTGAGCAGGTCCTTGGTAGCTTGGATGGTGAAGTTGCTAATACCAATGCTGCGGATCTTGCCTGCAGCAACAAACTTCTCCAGAGCAGCCCAGGTATCGGCAATCGGAACATCAGCTATGCGGAATCGTTTCGTCACCGGATCGATTGGTGTGAGGGTTTCGTTGGTGTGTTCAAAGGCGACAGGCCAATGGATCTTAATGAAATTAGCTAGCTGGTCTTTAATTGCGTATCTTCCAACAAGCCAAACATACCAAGTACAGGTCGAGGTAGTCGGTCTGCAGGTCCCTCAAGGTTTTGTTAAGACCCTCCTCGACATGGTCTGGATGGTGGTGCGTATTCCAGAGCTTGCTAGTAATCTTTTCGGAACTTCATGTAAGACATTAAATTGACCACGAGCGAGAATCCTCTATGCAGCTTACGAAGATCTCTTCGCGAGGCACGCCAGACTTCTTCCAGCCATTTCCTACTTCGTTCTCATTTTGGTAACAAGCTGCGGCATCAATGTGACGATATCCCTTGCGTAGAGCAGCTTCAACTGCATTCTCGACCTCATTGGGTTGGGAAAGCTACAATGCATGCATTGATAAGTCCTGTGTCTAACATTGCCGTTCAGGAAAGAAACCTACCCAAGTACCAAGACCGACAGCCGGGATCTCGTAGCCCGAGTTGAGCTTGAAGGAGCGTCCAGTAGCCATGATGTTATATTCAATTGGATAATTTGGATTAAAATGTTACAACGTAAATTCAAAAGGACGAAAGCTTCCACGTGTTATTTATCCCCTCTGCCGTGACTGCTACGACGCCGTACATTGCCCCCTCTGATCCAAGCTGTGTGACCCAAAGTAGAGATCTTATTGATTGATTGGCTGACCCGCATCATTCAATTGGGTCAACGTCCACTCATATGCATTCTCCAGGCGTTGTTGTCATCTTCAAGCAAATGACACAATTATTCGATAAGATAATCTTATCTGCGGACAGAAAGCTGTACCTCGGCGATATAAGGCGGTAAACACAGCGGTGTATATACACCGGGCCGACCTCGGGATTTGAACTAAGTATGCAGGATGACCTACTGCCATGTCGTAGTTGAATATCACTTATGAAAAAACCCGTTTGTGCAAAAGCCGGATTCTAAAATGTCTAGGTTACTAGGTACCTGGTACCATATCAAACCTGGATCTCTAGCCGCAAACTGTCACACTACAGGATTGAAAGCATCAAAGGCTTTTCCAGCGGCTGTTACGTCAGCCATCGATGGACCAGTTGAGCTGCCGAAGCTCCCGAGGTCCGCCTATGAACGAGCGTACCTACTAAGAGGCACGGCATCTTGTTTCAAGTTTCAACTCAAAAGTCATAATGTCTCCGATTATTATATCAGGGATGGTTGTAAGAATTTGCAAAATTGGTCCATTTGGGTGATCTAGTCCATTTTGGTCCTCGGGCCCGCCTATAATGAAGTGTAATTTATGTAATGTATACTTTGTATAGAATCCAAACTTGAATCTTTCCGAGATGGAACCGTTTGTTTACCCGAGCCCCAGGAAGGTTGGCCCCGGACGGAGACTTTTATCAATCCTTCCGTGGTTCCACAAATTTGGTACGCCACGGTCTCAACTATAAATGTAGCTCATACCAGAAGAATTGATCTTGGGTTATTTACAATTCATAAACACTTCAATCTCATTATAAGAAGTATTCCTATATCTATTGACTATTTTTCATAATGGCTCCTTCGACAATTAAGCAATGGGTGGTTGAGAACGGCACCAACGACTTCGATGGTCTTGTTCACAAGGAAGTACCCTTTCCTAAAGTTGGCGAGAATGAAGTTCTTGTGAAGCTGCAGGCTGCTTCGCTGAACTATCGTGATTTGATTATCCCCAAGGTATGTATCTATGGTGCCAGTATCACTAGTCCTACATATACTAACAAGCCTTTGGCTGTTATAGGGCTTGTACCCATTCCCTCTGGGCTATCCTGTCGTTCCTGGCTCCGATGGTTCCGGAGAGGTTGTCGAGGTCGGATCGAAGGTTACCCAGTTCAAGAAGGGTGACCAAGTGAACACCCTCTTCAACCAGGGCCACCAGTCCGGTGAAATCGATATCAAGGCAGCACAGACTGGCCTCGGCGGTGTCTTTGACGGCACTCTGCGCGAATATGGTGTCTTCAACGAGAATGGCCTCGTCATCGCTGCTAAGAACCTTAGTGCCATCGAGAACAGCACCCTGTCCTGCGCAGCTGTTACCAGCTGGAATGCTTTGTACGGCCTCAAGCCATTGAAGCCTGGCCAGACCGTCTTGGTGCAGGGAACCGGTGGTGTCAGTATTTTCGGTTTGCAGTTCGCTAAAGCTGCTGGTGCAACCGTCATTGCTACCACTTCTTCCGACGCAAAGGCTGAGAAGCTGAAGCAGCTCGGTGCCGACCACGTTATCAACTATAGGAATGACCCCAACTGGGGAGAGACTGCCCGCAAGCTCACCCCCGATAACGAGGGTGTGGATCACGTTATTGAGGTTGGCGGCACTGGCACCCTTGAGCAGAGTCTCAAGGCTATTAAGTTTGAGGGTATCATCAGCGTTATCGGCTTCCTGAGTGGCGTTGACCCCAAGGGCCAGCCTAGCCTCCTTGACACTCTTAGCACCATTTGCACTGTCCGTGGTGTCTACGTTGGTAGCAAGGCTCTCATGCGCGATATGATCCGCGCTATTGAGGCTAATGATATTCACCCCGTTGTGGATGATAAGATCTTCACCCTTGACGAGGTCCGTGACGCATATGACTACATGGTAAGTGAATCTGCATCTTTGACTCTGTACCTATCGAACAATTTGCTAACTAGCAGAACAGTGGGCTCAAAAGCACTTCGGAAAGTTGGTTGTCAAGATCAACTAAATTTAATACATATCACATGTTGTATAGGTAGAAGAGAATGTCATGAATATCAAGTTCCGATAATGATTTAAAAATGAACTCTATTACAATGTAGTCATAGAAATAATCCCAGTAATGAGAATGAGGTTTGAATCGGCTTTCATCATTGACTTGTAATCAACACTAGCCATATTACCACCCTGATAGGCATATGTGGATAGTAATTTAACAGGGTCATAGCCCCTCGCAATTTAATATGCAGATTTACTCGTCACGGAGCTGGTACTGCTTGATGAAGTTGTTGACGTGCTCGATGTAGAGGGCTTCGGACTTCTGGGGAGAGTAGTGCTTGATCTTCTCCCACTCGCCAAAGAGCTGCTTCTTCTATAGTGTAGAAAGATTGTATTAGTAAGATTGCAAGCAAGAACCTTCAGCTTAAACACCTACCACCATGTCGAACATGCCGGGTTTCTGGAGAACCTCTCCCTTAGCAACCTTGAAGTGAACGTAGAGGTCCTTCTTCTCAAAGGGACCGGGGGCAGTCTTGAGCATCATAACAAGCTTGGTGGCGAACTCGAACCCGGCCTTCAGAGCCTTAGCCTGAGCTTCGGAGGTGATCTTCTCGGTCTCACCCATAGCTAGGGCAGCCTCAACAGCGGCGACAAGGGCAGCGACATCGATGCCGGCAGCAGCCTCTTGTACCTCGGGGGTGAACTTCTCCTTCTTCTGGGCGACCTCAAGGGCGGCGATAAATTCGGAAACGTTGGACATGATGTAGGGTAGGGAGATTTTGAGTGAAGAGACAATTGCGTGGTCGGAAGAAAGTAAATGTGTTGAGAGCGGGGCTCTTTTGCAAGTAAATGGTGGGGTTTGCTGACTGCACATGCGCCAAGCTTTAAGGTCAACAAGACATGCTTAACCACCGCCTTTCTTCTTTTCCCCATATATTCTTCCAATCTCTACTCCCTCACCATCCATTATGGATCGTAATAATTTGAATAGAAATACATCCACCCTTCCCATTACTGGGCCAAGCAAACATCTCAAAAGACAGACCACATTTATTCGCCCCGCCCAGATGGGCCTATTTTCCCGAGTAACTTGCCACCCACCTCTAGGGCAATTAACTTGTCCATCTAGGGCATTGTCGGAAGATGCAGTAAGTCTGTCTGCATTCTTCTGCATCAGAGTGCACATTTATTTTGATCTACACCGACCGATCCGTAATGCATAGCTACATATCTAACAATTAATAGCTGAGATTTACAGTCGTCATCGAATCTAGTACTTCATTCCCAGAGGAATCTGGCTGGGAAGCTCAGATCTGGCACAACATTCTTGATACAGAATGGATGGCACTTCCGTTACGAAAGGCTCCATCGTCGCATGCGCCATTATTGACTGGACATGAATCTGAATATAAATTTTATCGCTATGTATTCTCAGGCGAGATCGAGTTTCCAGCAGCCGGTGGACATGCACAATTCACCGTGCGCTTCCGTACAAACCACGACAGCGAATGGTTATGGGCCAACCAACAGCAATCAGTCACCGATGGTGAATTGGTATTTAGCCCATCGACCTCTATGCTAGAAAAACTATCGAAACCCGGTGCGTCCTCACTGAATGCGGCAGCTGAGCTTGCAAACTATATCGACAACGTTTCTTCCGAGGTGACGGTCGAGGTACGAGCTAGTGAAGCTCCAGGATCTGTTTTATGGACCATTTTGGGTGATACAAATGTTGCTCTAGACGGATTCTCCGGTGTAAAACGACTTGTGCTGGGGACCCCTTCCTCGGTCGTCAGATGGTTTTCTTTGGTGCGAATCTGGAGTCCGTGGTTGGGACCTAGACATGGCAAAGACACTTTTCGGTTGACAGAGGATGCCATTCTATGCTCGTTTCTTCGCAAGGATGGGCAACATCTCGTCTTCTTAGCTGTCTCGGGAATTCATGATGTCGTGACTGTTTTCCAGTCCGGTGATAATGGCGAAATAATTGTTTCGTCAAGGAGTGATAGCAGTGAGATATCTAAGTTTCAAGTCCTTGTTGCTGCCGCGGAAGACTTTGAAGTTGCTATGTCTGCCGTAATCTATGAATCTAGGAAATTGGTCAGACCGTTCAGTCAGTCTCTCGATATCACTTTTGATAAGCGGCCATTGTCTCCTCCTGGTGACGACGAGGTTCTTGTGGAGAAAGATGTTGAGACCCAGTGGCAGACGGAGTGGCTTGATGGACTAACATACTGCACCTGGAACGGGCTGGGTCAGGACCTGACTGAGGAAAAAATAATTGGTGCTTTAGATGCTCTCAAGGCCAAGGGAATCAATATTGTAAACTTGATCATCGACGATAACTGGCAGAGCCTGGACAACGAGGGCGAATCTCAATTCAAAAGGAGATGGACCCAGTTTGAGGCAAACCCGAAGGCATTCCCCAATGGCTTAAAGAGTACTGTGAGTAGCATTCGCCGAGCCCATCCCAATATCCAACATGTCGCGGTCTGGCATGCTTTGCTAGGCTACTGGGGCGGCATCTGCCCTAAAGGTGATTTCCCACAAAAGTACAAAACCAAAGAAGTGAAAGTCAAGGATCCTTCTCCAACAGGTCCTATCGCGCATAATATCAAGGACGGCAAGATACTGGCCATTGATCCAGAGGATGTGCAACGTTTCTATGAAGATTTCTACAGGTATCTTTCGTCTGCGGGCGTGGACTCGGTCAAGACAGACGCCCAGTTCTTCATCGACCTGCTCGAGGACCCGGAAGACCGAAAGAGGTTCATGACATCGTACCAAGACGCATGGACAATTGCTTCACTAAAGAACTTTGGCAAACGTGCAATCTCCTGCATGTCATTGATCCCTCAGGCGATCTTTCACTCACAACTACCAACCAACAAACCAACAATCGCACTACGTAACTCAGATGACTATTTCCCCGATGTACCCGAGTCTCATCCATGGCATGTGTTCTGCAATGCGCACAATGCGCTCCTCACCCGGTTCCTGAACGTCTTACCCGATTGGGATATGTTCCAGACCAGCAATGCCTATGCTTCTTTCCACGCCGCAGCGCGTTGTATATCTGGCGGGCCGGTGTATATCAGTGATGAACCAGGCAAACACGATGTAAAGATTATTGATCAGATAACAGCGCCAACGATACAAGGAAGCTCAGTCACCTTGCGCCCGAGCGTTATTGGCCGCACAATTGATATTTACCATGATTACAACGAAGGTAGCATCCTGCGCGTTGGAAGTTATACAGGTCGGGCAAAGACTGGTAGTGGAATCTTGGGTCTTTTCAACATTTACTCCGCCGAGACATCATGCCTCGTCTCGCTGATAGACTTCCCAGGAATACACGCTGATAGCGATGGTGACTATGTGATCCGCGCTTATACCAGCGGCAAAATAACAGAACATATGCGAAATCTCTCCCAGGATTCACTTGTTGCCGTTTCCCTAGAGCAGAAGGGATGGGAGATTCTCACTGCCTACCCGACCCAATCATTTTCTGCGAAGAGGAGCAAAAGGTCTAACTCGTCCATCGATGATTTAATCCATGTTGCTGTTCTGGGTCTTATTGATAAAATGACTGGCGCGGCTGCTGTTGCTAGCTCAGATGTATTGGTCGTTGAGGGTGGTAGATTGCGATTTGACGTACTTCTTAAGGCGCTGGGTACGCTTGGAATCTATATTTCTGATCTTCAGGATAAGGATATTGCTGAGGACTTTATGGTTACGATTCTTGGAAAACCGATTCCTCAGAATAACGTGTGGAAAGAAGGCGGCGAGAGCTCAAATTTACTGGCTATTGATGTTCTGACCGCGTGGAGGACTATGAAGCTGGATGCTGGGTGGAGCAACGAAGTTTTGGTCCAAGTTTATGTTAATTAACATCACATCTAAATGATCAAATTGACATCACCATGGAAACTTAATGCTTCCAGAGATCTGTCGGATCAGTCAGTTCGGGCGCTGAGTTCAGGAAATTGGGATGTTAATGAATGAGGACAAGTATATGCCGCGGTCAGTTTTGCCTTTGTTTCAACGTTCATAGATCTCAAAGCGGTATAAAATGGCAGAATATGATGTACCGCATCAATAATATTCCGCACCTTATCGAAATAATTGTGAAGCTGTCTGCGATAATCTAATAATTCTCCAAGTCCATTGAAGCTTCGTTTGCGTTCTAATTTAATATAAGACGAATCAATGCGGCCACGGTCTGCGCCACTTCCCCGGGCGGTTTGTGAAAACCTTCAAATCCCCCGTCAAACCATATGCGCAGCGCGTGGCTTCTCTGGAGCAGCGCAAATACGTCGACTACGTTGCGAGACCCGTCGCCCAATTTTATCATTCCCACGCTCGGAACAATTACTACAGCAGAAGAGATACATTACACAAAATTATCTTAAGAGGGTAGAAGATGGGAAGAAGGAGTGGGCCCGACACGCAAAGGAGATTAAGGCAGGAAAGAGGAATAACTTCGCAGCTCATTTGGAGGAGCGAGGTCTTCTTCACGATGTAGTCGGGTATGTACATCAACTCCACAACTCTCAATTTAGCTCATAATGGAACGATGGATTACATTGAAGGTCTCCAAGCTAACTTATTCGGACCGATGGCAGTGAGCGCGAATTGCTTCATCGGCTGTTCACGGAGAAGAGGACTGGTATATATGTTGGAATTGATCCCACTGCACCATCAATGCATGTTGGGCATATGTTGCCGTTTATGGTTCTGGCCTGGGGGTATGTTTGGGGTCTCCCAGTGACATTCTTGGTTAGTTTGCGATTCGGTCAACCTCAGGGAGCTCTGAACTAATTTAGTCCAGCTGGGAGGTGCTACATCTCGAGTTGGTGATCCTACAGGCCGTTTGAAGGGGCGGGAACAGGTCACATCATCGATTCGCAAGGCGAACATGGCAAGTATGCACATGCAGCTCAAGAAGTTAGGCACAAGCATTGAGCATTACGGCAGACGACACGGCTACGAGAGACAAATGATTTGGAAACGAGCATTAGTAAACAACAATACTTGGTGGAATTCTATGCCATTTATAGAAGTTTTGCGGGATCTTGGTGCATTCATGCGACTTGGGCCTATGCTTGGCAGAGATACGTAAGTTTCACAAGAACCATTACCTACTTTAGGTTCTAACCGTAAATTTAGGGTCAAGAATCGGATGAATCAAGGCGATGGTATGTCTTTTGCAGAATTTTCCTACCCGCTTCTTCAGGCGTGGGATTGGTGGACGCTGTTCCAAAAGGGCACCCAGGTTCAAGTGGGAGGATCTGATCAGTATGGAAATATTATCTTCGGAATGGAGGCCGTAAAGGCTATCAGTCGCAATACTGCTGATGAGCAGCTCCGAAGTCCGTTGGAGTCGGAGCTGGAGCGCCCCATTGGATTCACTACGCCGCTGTTGACAGCACCATCTGGCGAGAAGTTTGGCAAGTCTGCAGGTAATGCGATCTGGCTTGACAAGGACATGACCTCGACCTTTGAACTATATCAGGTACGCTAGGAATTTGCTGGTTTTTGAGACATTCAGCTGATGTATTGCTTAGTTCTTTGTGCGCACTCCCGATGATACCGTGGAGAGATACCTGAAGTTGTTCACTTTTATTCCTTTGCCTGAGATTGCTTCCATTATGGAAGAGTCCAACAAGGATCCATCCAAGCGAGTTGCACAGCACAAATTGGCGTATGAGTTTGTCGAGTTGGTGCATGGTAAACAAGAGGCAGATGCTGTATCACTTCAACATCGCCAACTTTTCCGTCCCCGATCTTCTACCAGCGAGCCTTCCCCTATGCCTCGGTCCTCGGCTCCTCCTGCCAGTCATTCACTGTCTCCAACAGCGGGAATGGAGACTCCTCAGTCTGGTAACCCATACGCCTCCCAGGTCAACTTCGCCAACATGCCCAATGCCAGAGTTACCCTTCCCAAGTCGCTTGTCTTCAACCAACCTTTCAATAAGATTCTTTGGTCGTCTGGCCTTGTAGCATCAAAGGGCGAGGGTCACCGTGTCATCACGAACAATGGCGCCTCTGTGGGCAGTCGTCCTGGAGACAGCGGCCCCATGTCGGATGATCTCGCATTTACTCCTATCCGTGTCTGGCCGGCAGACAAGACCAAAGAATTTGTCCTCGACAATAATCTGCTGATGTTGAAATTGGGCAAATGGAAGTTCAAGATGGTCGAGATCATCAGCGACGAGGAATTCCGAGAGAAAGGCTTGACTGCGCCGGGTTGGGAGGAGCATACTGAATCCACTGAGTGAATGTCAGGACAGTGATGAAATCTCCGCTTTGTGTTTCTGTTGAATTCCTGTAAAATAAGCAACTTGTACAATATATTCCAGCATTCAAATCAGTGGATCTATCACATTTCGTAATGAAACGGGAACGCCAAGACCCGCCGCTTTACGCGTCGACGCGACTCTCGCGACCAATTTCTCACTTCCCCAAGGCAAGGCTCATAATACTCTCAACCATCATAGTATGCTCTGATCACCTTCTCCCTGCACTATTTTGTCCCAATTTCGCATATTATTCGTTCAATTTCATCGAATCCTTGACAATGGCCAAGGAATCGCCCACTGCGACGCCCCCTCCGCAGCTCTAAAGCGAGCGACCTCTAGCACACAGAACATGAAGAACCAGAAATCAATTCTTGGTTTTTTCCAAAAGTCATCCCCTGCCACTCCATCCAGTGCAAAGGTCCGCGAGCCTGCCTCTTCCCCAGCACAAAGAGCATCTGAGCAGCGTGGTGCTAGTTCCGCCAAACAAACCCCCGGCCAGAAAAGGACCTTCTCGAGCTTCGCTCATGACTTGACACCTATCCCCAGTAGCGATGTGCCTATTCCTGATGAAGAGGAGGAATATGGTGATAATCTGAAGGTGAGTTAAGACAAATTGCTCATTTAACAAACAATATTCTAATGATCCATGATTGTATAGGCAGCCAGCGATGCGACCATGACTCCTTCTCATAGGGTATGTTGGAAAGAAAGTTTATTTCGTCGAAGATCCTAAATACTGATTGTTTCTTTAGCCCAAGAAGCAGGTTAGCTACAAGGAGTCTGATTCGGAGGGTGAAGACAACGAAGTCATCTTCCGTCCTGGTCGAAAGGGCGCCGCTGGGGGTCGAGCCACCAAGAGACAAAAGACTGTGCTTGACGAAAGCGATGAAGAGTTTGAGGGGGCTGCCGATGTGGCAGGATATTCTGACGATGATGGTGAGGCCCTACTTGATCGAAGTAATCCGTTTGAAACTCCGCTGACCAGTTCCCAGAAATGGACGACTTTGTTGTTCCAGACGACTCAGATGAAGATGTCGCTCCTGTGAAGCGAAAGAAATCTGCTCCTCAATCTTCTCGCAAGAGCTCAAACATATCGTCGTCTTTACCGCCGCCTCCGCCAGTCGATGAAGATATTGACATAGAACTCCCCGAAGGTTCTGGAGGTAGTGCCAGCCAGTGGACTTTCGATCCAGAAAACAAGGAGCCTCGAAAGGAAAGAGCGGCTAAGACCCCGAAGACACCAGGGAGTGTGAAGAAAGAAAAGGCACATGTTAAAGATCCCGAACAGCGATATCCGTGGCTTGCAAATGTCAAGGATATGGATGGCAATCCTCGGGACCACCCTGACTATGACCCTCGAACAATCTATGTTCCCCCTCTAGCCTGGTCCAAGTTCTCGCCGTTCGAAAAGCAATACTGGGAAATTAAGCAGAAGTTTTGGGATACGGTTGTCTTCTTCAAGAAGGGAAAGTTCTACGAACTCTACGAGAATGATGCCACCATCGGCCACCAGCTCTTTGATTTGAAGCTTACTGATCGAGTGAACATGCGCATGGTTGGTGTTCCAGAGATGAGTCTCTCTCATTGGGCCAACCAGTTCGTGGCTAAGGGATACAAAATTGCTCGTGTTGACCAGTCTGAATCGGCATTGGGCAAGGAGATGCGTGAGAGGGATGCCAAGAAAAAAGAAGACAAGATCATTAAGCGAGAGCTTGCCTGTGTACTCACCGCAGGTACTCTAGTTGATGGATCGATGCTCACAGATGACATGTCTACATACTGTGTAGCCATCAAGGAGGCTATTGTGGATGACCTTCCAGCCTTTGGTCTCGCCTTTGTCGACACAGCTACAGGCCAGTTTTTCTTGTCTGAATTTGTAGACGATGTGGACATGACCAAATTCGAGACTTTTGTTGCGCAAACCCGCCCACAAGAAGTCTTGCTTGAGAAGTCGTATGTCTCTCAGAAGGTAATGCGAATTCTGAAGAACAATACAGGACCCACTACTATCTGGAATTATCTCAAGCCTGGTAAGGAGTTCTGGGAGGCTGATATCACGCTGCGAGAACTTGATGTGAACAAGTACTTCGAGTGTGAAGACAATGATGACAGCAAGGCATGGCCTGAAGCTCTCCAGCAGGCACGAGAGAAGGAGCTGCTTATGTCTGCCTTTGGTGCTCTCGTTCAATACCTGCGGGTCTTGAAAATTGAGCGCGACTTGATCACCATCGGCAACTTTTCATGGTATGACCCGATCAAGAAGGCGTCTAGCCTGGTACTGGACGGCCAGACGTTGATCAATATGGAGATTTTCGCCAATTCCTTTGATGGAGGCATCGAAGGTACTTTGTTCCAACTTCTCAATCGATGCATTACACCGTTCGGCAAGCGAACTTTCAAGCAATGGGTGTGTCATCCTTTGATGGACGCAAAGAAGATCAATGCTCGGTTGGATGCGGTGGAGGCTCTCAACGCAGACCCCAGTACCCGTGACCAATTCTCCTCGCAGTTGGTCAAGATGCCTGACTTAGAACGACTAATCTCCCGTATACATGCGAAAGTCTGTAAAGCCCAGGATTTCGTGCGTGTTCTGGAGGGGTTTGAGCAAATTGACTACACTATGGGTCTTCTTCAAGAGTCCGGCGCTGGCGAAGGCATCATAGGACAACTGATCTCTGCAATGCCCGATCTGACCTCCTTGCTGACGTACTGGAAGACCGCATTTGATCGATCGAAGGCCAAGGAAAATGGCATTCTCGTCCCAGAGTCCGGGGTTGAAGCTGATTTCGATAACTCTCAGGAAGTCATTGAGGGGTTGGAGAAGGATCTTGATGATCTACTAAAGAAGGCTCGTCGCGATTTGGGCTCCACTGCTATCTGCTACCGTGATAACGGCAAAGAAATCTATCAGCTTGAAGTGCCCGTCAAGGTCAAGAACATACCGAAAAACTGGGATCAGATGTCTGCTACCAAACAGGTGAAGCGGTATTACTTCCCCGAACTCAGAAGTGTGATCCGCAAGCTGCAGGAAGCACAGGAAACTCATGGTCAGATCGTCAAAGAAGTTGCTGGTCGATTTCATGCTCGATTTGATGAACACTACGGCACATGGCTTGCGGCTGTTCGAATCATTTCGCAACTGGATTGTTTAATCAGTCTTGCGAAGGCCTCATCAGCCTTAGGCCAGCCTAGTTGCCGACCTGAATTCGTCGAAGGTGAACGGAGTGTCCTTGAATTTGAAGAACTGCGTCATCCTTGTCTTCTCTCTGCCGTGGAAGATTTCATCCCCAACGATATTCAGCTTGGTGGTAAACACGCAAATATCGATCTCCTAACTGGAGCCAATGCTGCTGGAAAGTCCACTGTTCTTCGTATGGTACGTTGCTATACCTCGCTTTCCTCCCTTGAGATATTTCTAACTCTATTATAGACATGTGTTGCCGTCATCATGGCTCAAATTGGTTGTTATGTCCCCTGCAAGTCTGCCCGCCTAACTCCCGTAGACCGCATCATGTCACGTCTAGGTGCCAATGATAATATCTTCGCTGCACAATCCACATTCTTCGTCGAGCTCTCCGAGACAAAGAAGATTTTATCCGACGCTACCCCCCGCTCGCTAGTCATTCTCGACGAGCTAGGTCGTGGAACCAGTTCATACGACGGTGTGGCTGTTGCGCAGGCAGTTCTGCACCACATCGCCACTCACATTGGAGCCCTAGGATTCTTTGCCACGCATTACCATTCCCTCGCTTCCGAGTTCGAGGGTCATCCAGAGATCGCACCCAAGCGCATGGCAATCCATGTTGATGGCACAGAGCGCCGCGTGACATTCCTCTACAAGCTGGAAAGTGGCGTTGCCGAGGGCAGTTTCGGTATGCATTGCGCGGCCATGTGCGGTATTTCTAACAAAGTCATTGAGCGCGCTGAAGTCGCTGCTAAACAGTGGGAGCACACCAGCCGACTGAAAGAGAGTTTGGAGCGCCGCAAGGGTGGAGGCTATGTGGGTCTGGGCTGGTGGAGCGACGTTGCCTGGGCATTGCGAGACCCTGCTGATGACAAACTTGACTCTGGTGATGTTACTGACCTTGGCTTAGAGGTTTTGCGCAAGGCTATTGAGGCGCTTTAAGAGATTCTATGTCACTTTGAGCCATTTTCATTTGATTATTTCAGCCTTTGTTTTATTACTTCTCGGGTTCAAAAGCCATATTGGAATGTGTTGTCTTATGCATGATTCATTCGTTTTCTTGATTAGATACTATTGTGACAATCTCCTCGAGGTCGACTGCTCAAACGTTGACTGAACAGAAATGAATCGATCAGGCAGATTCATATGCTTCTCATCCGTAGACTCCGAAGATTGCTTGTCACTCTCATTTACACCAGCAACAACATAGCTCGTCAGGCCAATTTCGTCTTCTTCATCGCGCCCCGATCGATCCAGCACATAATCATAGCGTTCTCTTTCCTGCCTCCTAGATTCACCCTGCAGTCTCCAAGTATGGCCATAGCTTGCCGTTTTCTTTTGTCGATCGCCAGTCGCCATTGAGTGATGTGCAAGGCGAGCCAAAGGAGCGAGGTGTGGAAGACAGGCGCAGACAATAGCTACAGCCGGCTCGATAGTAGACCATATAAACACCTGGCCCATGACCCACGTTATATCAAGCGCATTCGCATATTGATCTACGAACCAGATCCGGACAATACTGGCGACACAAACACTGGCACTTATCAGCTGGGACAAGGACAGATAGGTACTACCTAGATGGGGACTTTCTTACAAAAATCCTAGGGCCATGATTCCACACACTGCGATCTTCTTCCCAGACGTTGTCTTTAGTTTCACGATGCGCGGGAATGGAATGATTAGTACCACGAAATCGGTCAGCATGTTGATGATGCCCATTGCCAAGAGAAATTTGCTCGTTCCGGAGTGACACTTGCCCTGGCTGCCTGTGAAACTATTCCAGAAATAGGGCACTGGGCTACAAACTGTCGCCATGAATATGCCCACGACGATAGGGTAGGTGAGCGTGATGATTGTGCCAATGCTAATCCCAATTTTCAAGTATTTTCCCATTGGCGAGAAGATACGCCTGAAGAAGAGGAGGATTGATATTCTGGTCGCCGTACATCCCGCAGCATAGATATAGATGTAGGCGTAAAGTATCTGTATTGGTTGCCTGTCAACTGAGAATTTCATTTGTGTTTTAGGCTGGACTCACTTCAAATGCCTGGTCTAAATCAGTTGTTGTCAAGGCCCAGACATGTCTACCAGACGCAGCTTTGCCTCCTAGGGGAGAATGTCAGCTATCTGAAAAGATCTAGAAAACAACTTCATACCCAAAACTGTGCAGACTAAACCGCCCGCTAGAATGACCTTTGAGAAAGTCAGAAGAAATCGAGTTTGAGCCTCATCACAGAACATACCAAAGCCACGATAATGACCCAGTCATCCGCCATCAGACCCGTTCGAAGGACAGCGCGAGCGAGAAATCGCAGAATAACCGCAAAGGTCGCAGTAGCAAACATTGCGATGACAACCCCGTTATCCATAGCCACATGACTTGCACTCAAATCGATGCCCAAGGGCACTGGCCCAAAGAGGGTCTTAATATCTGTGTCCATGGCCATCGCATCCCTCAAAGTGGGAAAAGAGCCAAATGTGAGAGCTGAGATTGGGATTCCATATGAGAATCCAATCTCGTATACCGACACTGCGTCAGGTGTCGAGACCTTCTATCGTGGCTGGTAGTTGCAGCACATTCCATGCAGGGAACGCCACAAAGAGGGGGCTGACCTAGTCCATGGAATTTCCAGGTGGAAGATGCATGGCCACGTTGATTTCCGGAAATCTTCTGCCCTAATCGAGTATTTGATCAGTTGTACCCATGTACCGGATTTCCTTGCCGCTTTATGAGGGTGCAGTCAGGCTCACTGAGTAAATTGGCCCCAAAGCAATGACTGCAAAATTACTTCGCTCAAGCTATAAGAACTAGCCGTACACACCTCCATCTAACTTAGAACTGTTTTTAGCATTGAATCAATATTCCTTCAGGAATGACTCCATTAGTGATAAGAGTATGGAGTAGTTTTAAGAAAACTAAGCACGTATGACAAAAACCAAAAAGACCAAAGAAAAAGCCAAACCACCAAAAAAAAACTAGAGTAAGGAAGACTTCCGAATTTTGATAACGCCATGGCCAAGGGGCCACCAAGAGCCGGGCCCTCTCCCATAAAAAATTGACGGCGCATGTTGGCTCCAGACAACCGAGGAATGTCTTGATCACCAGACTACTCAATTGCCGACTCTATAAACCAAGGACCTCGGCAGTTCCCTGCATTATCAATCATTTGAAGCTCAATTAGGTAGCTAGTCAGACAGAATATAGCCCCGTTTGCAATCTTGACATTAGTATACCCGGACGGCTGGTAATAATTTGGCGAGACCGCTTAGAGAAAAGCACGCTCGTTAGCGTACATTTTCAGGGAGCTGCTACCAGTAACCAGTGTCATTAAGAAAGCTGATTGGGATGAAATCGCTGCCGTGAAATATTTGTGGTAGTCTCATTAGCTCAATTAGCTCAAAGCTTTAATGAGGCTTCCTCAAATATTCCATGGCAGCAATTTTTTCATCCCAATCAGCTTTTTTATTGAGACTACCTCAGAGGCCTCTTCGAGAAGAGCACGCTCGTTAGCGTAGATTGTAAGAACGCTGCTACCAGTAACCAGTGTCATTAAGAAAGCTGATTGGGATGAAAAAAATTGCTGCCATGGAATATTTGAGGTAGTCTCATTAAAGCTTTGAGCTAATAGCCGGACCAAAGCTTAGATGGAAACTCCTCAAAATAGAGAAAAGTTCTTACCTCATGGGAGCACACTTCAAGCTGGCCATTATCATAAGAAGCTTTCACAAGAAGTTGTTGGTGTTGCTTTGTTTGGTTGAATGCCTATTTCATGTCAGGGAAGATAATTAAAAATTATTTGGATTAAACTTACTTCGCGAACAGCTGGCTTGCGAGTTGCTTCAGCCTCCTCTGGAGTTACGACCTCCCCATCTTGCACAGTTATGTGATCATCTAGGGTGAGCTGCCCATTTTCATAGAGCTCGATTATCTTCCTAATGTTTTTCACATTGTGTGCCGAATAATAGGCGCTTTGGGGGTCAACGAGAGGCTTCAGCAAGGCGACGCGTGCTGCCTCTGTCATAGGGGGACGGACGTATCAGTGCTCCGGAACATGCAGCTCGAATGATTGGTCATAGTTAGGCATTGCAGAAAATAGAGAGAACCTGTGCCTTAAATTTTTGGGGAGGGTGGAGTTGGTGGAGCCAGCTCGGAAGGATTATGGGGCTGAATGCTGATCGTGGAGGTGCTTAATACTTAGTCATCAATGAGCGATCAGTGAGCAGCCAATCATAATGAGTGCTTAATGAACTGATCTATCACGTGACTATGATGAGCCTCAGCCCAGACTGAAATTTACTCAGTGAGCCTGACCCTGAGCTCAAAAGCGGCGGCACCTGAAATAGGAAAGCCCCACCCGGTATAGAAAAAAAAGGTACGTAAAGCTACATAGGTACTTAATCTGTTCAGGTTTGGCCCTGGATCAGCGAGATTGAAGATGGACCCAGGGTGTTTTAAATTTTTAGTAATTAGTATCATTGGAAGTTACAACTGTCGCTTTGGCTTGGTAATTATTTTAGATACGCCGCTCCTGCTTATCATTGCAAGGCGTCCCATGTCCACGTGTGGCTCTTCAGCCCTTAGGTACCTTCCTTGGTAGCCCCTGAGGTCTTTATGCCAGTACTTGGGCACATGTATATCTATGTAGTTCTATGGTTATCACGTTACACAATAGTACGCGTTATATATGCATTGGAGATGAATGCTAAGAGGTATCTCAAGACGATTGGACAGAGGGCTTTGGAACTCCTCGAGAAGATCTTTTGCTTACATCTCACCGCTAGTCTTACCAACTGGGCCGATCTTTTATATCGCACCTGATCACCTTAGAACTAAATTCTGGGAGCTGGTACCCTTTCCAATGATGGAAAATCTTTAGAATTTCAATTGCCTAGGTGGTTAGAAACCTGATATAACGGGGGTTCTGAGCCTTGGAATAATATGAGCCTTACAACCTTAAAACTTTACAAGCAAATAGGAATGACTATCTGCGTACCCATATGTTCAGGTAGTGAATTTGGTTTATCAGGCTTCAGGGTATGGTCTTAAGGATTCTGAAACTACCGGATTTTGCTTCCAAAGTGAAAGCATGTGCTATCTGGGCATATCAATGTATGCGGACCGCCAGGTAAGGATTGTCTGATATAAATGCCCGGTATGAGGAGAGAAATGCCCTCGCCAAGGTTAATATGTTCCAAGGCTTTAAGAGCAATATGTTCAGCCCTCACTGCAGCTTGCACTGGACCTCGGGATCTCCCGCGACAAGATTTATTATACATAGCAGAGGCAGAGATTGGCTGCTTTGACCTGGCTTGGTGGGGAAGTAGTAGGCCTTGCAACTCCGCTCAGGTGCTATATTCAGCGTGAGACACCCTCATTGACGAGCTTTCTACCTAGGTACTTACGGTACCTCACTATCTCGACAGTGTGGTCCCGCTGTCAATAGGTTCAATACTGATAGAAATCACTCATATAATCGTGACTGATGTTGATACGGGAAGCACGCGGTTGGAAGGCTAACAGATCTACAAGGACCTTGAAATGGACTGACTAATTGTTCAGTTTTATGACTATTCACAATTTATCTTCAGCCATCAGTTCAATTCCCCTTGCGTCAACGCGTTGATTGCGATTGCTGCTTTTTTCTTTCTTTCGCTTCTGCATCCGCCTGCTTCCACGAGCCCTCATAGTGATGGGTCACTAGAACATCGCTTTGATCTGTCGGATATCCGTTCTGAGCTGCTGCAAATGAATTCCCTGGCATAATCAAGACATCACCCACCAATTTTGGATGTTTGATGCCCGAAAAGTCACGATCGTCAACTGTTCTGCCCAAAAGTTGTGTGAGGCCATCCACGATGGCAATGGTCATAATCTTAGGCCCAGTCACGTTGACAACATCCGAAAGCATCTCCAGAGTGATCTTTGAGATTGGCACGTCGTTTGCCTCGGCAATGTCTTTTAACTGTTTGAGGACGGCATCAACTACCACTTGAAGATTGCGTGATGACGGTCGAGCCGCGAATACCCAGTTGCAGAATTGAGACGCAACCTCTTGTCCTGCTCCTCTCCATTCCAAATCGAATTCCAATCCAACAATCATATCAATCTTGTGAGCTTTATATTCTTCGGGTACCCAATCAGAGAATGACTTTTCTGAAGTGGCGTCTAAATCGCTCCAGTACCCGCCCTTTGCAAGGACAATCAAATAACGAAGAAGATCTGCTCGCAAGATCGGGATTGGAATGGATTCATAAATCTGAACAATATCAGGCCTTGCCTTCTGATAGTGGGTCCGAACAAATTCTTCGCCGGAACGATCTGTCAACAGTTCTTCAACACAGGAGGGATTTGTTTCTGTCCAACTGTTGATCCATTGATGTTGGATTTCTGTTATGTTCTCATCTTTGGCCGAATGCCACACTCTTTCGGGGATTTCCACATGAGAATTATGAATGGAGTCGGTTGATGTCTTTGTGTCCGTTTTTGTGTCCTGAAATGTCTCCTGGCTAGGGAGTAGCATATGTATCGGATTCCAATCCAAAAAAGAATAACACAAAATTGCCGTTAAAAAGACAAGAGGCAAAAAAAAACGCATGAAGCGTGATATCTGAATATTGGTGACTAACATTTCGTCGTCTTAAGGTCAAATTTTGCCCAAGGTTGGAATGAATTATCAAAGAAGAAATTCAAATGTCTCATAGGTTGAAATCGATAACTATTATAGTACATTGGAGTCTGGGGTTATCCACTTTCAAACCTTGAGATCCTGGAAACCCAATGATACAGTGTACCGTATATTATCATTTTTTTTTTTTTTTTTTCAAACAAAAACTGACAGAGAAAAGACATCATTGGCGCTCATTTTGGCACTCAAAATAGCGACTGTACTTCGTACCAATAGCGGAAACACCCGGACTGGTCTTGGACTTCAAAGTATATTTTACGTATAAGAAACCCTCGTGGTAGGTGTTGACACCTGATTTGGTTGATATGTCAGCACTGATAAGCGCTAGTCAGCCCTCGAGGTTCCACGATTAGGCTATGATTGGCCCAATATGATATATTTGAGCACGTGGCAAATAGAAGCAGGTTATTTGTAGAGTTGTCAACACTACTCTTCGAGTTTATGATAGTTTGTTCTAATAATACCAATACGAGCTCTATCTTAGACTTTATAATAAATCGCGAAGATTCTAGTTATTACTTCAAATGTTATCTAGCCTATCTTTTCAGACCAAATCTTGAATCAGCCTCAGTCTTAAAACCTATCTAGCTGAAAACTGAAGACTTGGCTGTAGTGCCATTCGATGGCAAAAGGTCGTTAAACAGTAGCTCAAAATTGGTCCTGTGTACCTCTGCTCTGCTCATTCTTTAAACGTTCTTCATTTAAAGATATCCACCACGCATGAGACGGGTCCTGACTTTGATCTGCTCCCTCCTCGATTTTGTCCCATGGCTTTGGGCTGAGAATGTAATGTACGTTCTTAACCTTCTCATCCCGCCAGATAGCGTCGTGGACGCCCTCCCATCGCAGGGTTTTGAGCGCATTGTAGATATACGGGATGGTAACCCATCTGCCGTTAAATACGTCGCTTAATAAAGACTGATCGGCAAACTCGTAATCCGATGATGTGGCGGAAGCAAGCTGTTGACTAATCTTCTCGTAGGTTTCTGTAGATGGATTCACCACCTGAAGACCTCCATTAGGCATTCCCAACCCCGCAGTAGGCGGAGCTCCGACTATTTGCGCATTGTTTGGGTCTTCATGCTGGGAAGTAAAGGCACAGTTGGCCGGGATCCTTCTCAAAATGTTAGTTTAGCATGCCCAGTAACGTCAGGAATTAGTCATACCAGTCTTTTGGATAATGAGGCTTCTTAAGCGGGTTGCAGACGCAGGCATGACTAGCTGCAAAAACCCGATTTCCTGTTCCAGCCAATTCAGGTGGGTCCAATTCAATCTCCATCAGTTCATCCATGTTCTGTAGTACCATCATATCGCTATCAAGCTGCACAACGCGGTCATACTCGACGAGCGAAAACGGTGTGAGCTTGCTCCAGCAGTCGTAGAAGCGTGGGTCATTGGTATAGTCCTTGGAGACCGATGGAAGAAGATAGGGCACATGTTGTTTCAAGATACCTCTTGAGTCAAGAGCTTGATGCCCCTCAATTGGAAATGTATCCGTGTAGAGAACAACGAGCGGATACTTTGAGCCGACTTTCTTGAGAGAATAGTCGAGGGTCAAAAGACCAGACAAATAGGCAGTATTTGTGATGAGAGTGGTCCAAACTGAGAATGGTTATTATCCTGTCGCATCAGAGCCCATGCATTGTAAACATACCCTTTTTGGGGTGGCTGCTGCTCATGATGGGTGTTGAGAGATTTAGATAATACAACCAGACTGGGCAAAACTTAGGCGACCTTCCACAGTATACCTAATGGCTGAAAGGTGGTAATTGCTGTCGGAGCAGAATGAATTGAATAGCTATGTTATTGAACGTGGGGTTGATGACTAAAGCCGCTCACGGAGGCATTGAGGTGGTGACTAATCATGCACGTTTACTTAGGAATCTCTTCCGATTGGCCATAAAGATGCTTACTAAGTACTATTTTGGTTCCCTGTGGAATAAAGATAGGTATATCGTGCTTTCATCTGATCTGAACATGATAGAATCCTGGAGAGTATATCCAGGTAAAATGGTCTTTACATCAAGACTGCTTTCAACTTCAACGGACTACGAATCGCACGATTCTCTTACCTAGGTAAGTCCGTGCTCTACCAGCCTTGGAAGGTGAAAGGTTACTTTTAATATGAAAGACAACACACCCATGGACCGAGAAGCCGAATAGAATGGATTGATTTTGGTCAGTTCCAGGGTTTTCTTATATTTAGAATACCTAGTGTCCAGAAGCCAGTCAATATATTGCACTTTATCACTATCAATATAATTTCCAGTGCCGAGCAGGTGAAAATAATGGGATGTGGACCACCACAAGACCAGAATAGTACTCAACTTCAAACATACCCTTGGAATGGAGATTCAGCACCTATATACAGACTTGTTCAAATTCAACATATTTTACACATGCGTTGCGATTAACTAGTTCCGACTTGAGAGCAAGACCCTCACAGCATCCAGAACGCCAATTTTCTTCTCATCAGCCGGCTCAATCGCAGCCCGGGCTGCATCTGGCTGGGTTGGCTTTTTTCCAGCCTCCTTAGCCGCAGCCTCAATGGCAGCATGTCGTTCGCGCCACTCGCGGTCCTCCTTATCTCGGACCTCCAACTCTCGTAGCCATGCATCACGCTTCTCCTGCTGCTTACGTTCCTCGACGGCCTGGTCGAATTCGCGGCGCTGCGCGCGCTCAGTCTTGTAGTACATGCCACCGACCACTAGAGCCACTAATGTGAATGCTTGTGCGTAGATACGTGCTCGGAACATGCGGTTCATCTCTGTGGAGTCACCGACTCTCATGGAACGGTAGGCGCGGTACAGGGCGTAACATGTTGCAGTACATCCTATAAGGAAGAAGGGATTAGCGGTTCAGTCAGATAGGGAGCAATTTGCATGCGCAGCGGATGATCTGAATCATACCAAGCGGGACGAGCGGTTCCTCGCGAAAGCGTCTGGTGAATTTCTTCCAGCCGGTTTCCTCCTCGAATTGTCTGTTGATCACGAGATGTTAGCTGAGGTCTTTGCGCCCATTCATTTTCGGCAACAGTCATGCAATTTGTCGAGGTTGCCAAGCAGCGAGGTGGAACCTACGGGCCATCGCCCAGGGATGTGGGTAGTTGATCGCGATCCATGATTTTTTAAGATGTCAGGCGTTGCAGTTGGGAAGAATGTTCGTCGTGGTGAGTGGGTCGAGTCAAGCTCGGGCTGTTCAATCGGAGCCGCGGAGACACTTCCTGATTGGTGAAATAGAACTACTGAAGTTTTCAAATGAAGACAGCTGACGAGTTATTAATAAGTTGATTGGAAGTTGAGAGATGGAGATTTTACGCAGGCAAAAAAGGGTTGGTGTAGTATGACGTTGCGGACTTTTTGCCAAGAAGTTTTTTGATCAAAGTATGGATTCACGCGGCAAAAAGATAGAACATTCACCACCACCATCAATAGCTTCAATTGAAATGAACCTACCTAAGACACTACATTATACAAGATATATAATCAATCATGCAAAATAAAAAGAAAATTGATGAGAAGCATACACGATCCACAGCGATTGCCGCGTTGGCTTCACCGCTAACTATGGAGTCGTGCATGGCCTGATATCAGTGTCAGGAAGGAATATATGCTGACTATCCCACAATAGGAACCGGTCAATATTATTCTAGATTCTCTTGTTCTCAAATACTCCAGAGTCCGTAAAACTTAGCTCATGGATCGATCTTAATCCTTTCAACTTAAAATGATACTTCGTAACGTGAGCATGGGATTAGGGCTCAAGAGAGTTGATGACATAAGGATATGTCTGCTCCGATCACGGTCCCGCCTCTGCAAAAAAGAGTCATATCTGAATTATCGGTTAGCCTTTTCCCTCCATTTATGAGCCATTGACTCTCCCTAACCGAAAAATAATTAGGCATTTCTCTTCTTCCAACTTGAAGATGATTGCATCTGCCAGTGGATCTACAACCCCCGTCTCCCCAAAGGCAAGCGGTTTTACCTTGACTGAATATGCAGCCGGTCCGACCCCGCTCTCTGAGCCTTCGCCACAAATCCCTGGAGTCCCCCGGGATTGGGGAATTCCAGATGCTTTCGTGCTTCCTAATGGATATCCTGATGTGAGATTGAAGCCTACCCGCCATCTGCCATTTTATATATATATTGTGCGATTCTAATCAGTCATTTAGTACCTCCGATTGATATTGACATCACGCGTATACGACGTTCTCGAAGAAACTCCCCTTCACCATGCCACTAACTTGAGTAACAAGCTGGAGAGCCGAGTTCTCCTCAAGCGCGAGGACTTGCTACCAGTTTTCAGCTTCAAGCTGCGCGGTGCATACAACAAAATGGCTCACTTGAACCAGGAGCAGCGATGGAAAGGCGTAGTCGCTTGTTCGGCTGGCAACCACGCCCAAGGTGTCGCTTTCTCTGCTCGCAATCTGAAAATCCCCGCGACAATTGTCATGCCCGCCGGAACACCAGGCATCAAGCACCTGAATGTTGCCCGTCTGGGTGGAAGCGTCATTCTGCATGGAAATGACTTCGATGCGGCAAAGGATGAGGCGCATCGTCTGGAGAAGCAGCACGGTCTCACCAATATCCCGCCGTTCGACGATCCATATGTTATTGCCGGTCAAGGTACCATCGGTATGGAGCTATTGCGCCAAGCAAACCTGGACAAGCTGGAGGCTGTCTTCTGCGGTGTCGGTGGCGGCGGCCTGATTGCCGGTATCGGCGTTTACATCAAGCGCATTGCTCCCCAAGTTAAAATCATTGGTGTTGAGGCCTATGAGGCAAATGCCATGGCCCAGTCGCTGGACAAGGGCGAGCGTGTGACCTTGAAGGAGGTTGGTCTTTTTGCAGATGGTACCTCGGTGAAATCTGTTGGTGAGGAAACCTGGCGTGTTTCCAAGGAGGTCATAGATGAAGTGATCCAGGTCTCTACCGATGAGATATGCGCTGCTATTAAGGATGCGTTCAACGACACCCGGACTGTTATCGAGCCGTCTGGTGCGCTTTCGTTAGCTGGTCTGAAGAAATGGGTATCCAAGAACCCCAGTCCCGACACCAACCGCGAGCTGATTGCCATTACTTCCGGTGCCAATATGGATTTCGACCGACTCCGTTTCGTCGCAGAGAGGGCCGCTCTGGGAGAGCGAAAGGAGGCTCTTTTGAGTGTCAATATTCCCGAGAAGCCCGGCGCCTTCGCCAAACTCGTCGAGGTCGTCCTGCCCCATGCCGTGACTGCATTCAACTACCGATACTCGTGCGCTGACTCGGCTGATGTTTTGATGGGAATCTCCTTGTCTGCCCAAACTGGCCCACAAGATCTGCTTAAAATCATGGAGGAGCTCAAGAAGGGTGGTATGTCCTCCCGGGATTTGAGTGATGATGAACTTGCTAAGCGCCATTTGCGCTTCCTCGTTGGAGGCCGCTGCAACGTGACAGACGAGCGGCTGTTCATGTTCGAGTTCCCCGAGCGACCAGGTGCTTTGGCCAACTTCTTGAGGACTCTACGCCCCAACCAGAACATCTCCTTGTTCCACTACCGCAACTATGGCGGTGACGTGGGCAAGGTTCTTGCAGGTATTCAGTGCCCCTCGTCAGAGAAGGCTGAACTCGAGGCGTTCCTCAAGGACTTGGGTTACCCATTCGTTGAACAGACTGACTCTCCCACATATAAGACCTTCCTCCGCTCATAAACAACCTTGGTAGTTTTGGTGTTCTAGAAAAGAGCTGGGCGTTTCTTTTTTCAGCTGTTTATCATTCTCTGTTTGGCATTTGGTTTTGAATATAGACTGATTGGGCGTCGGCTTCAATATCGCAAAATTCTTTTCTCTTTATTTTAATGTACTGCACATATTGTTGGATGCAATCATTTTTTTACTTCGGATTTTTATGTAGAGTGTACAGAGTACTGTAGAATTATTTCCAACCCTCGATGGTATGATCTAACGGGATCGGCCTCTCGGCAATACAGAACCTCCGGGCAACAATCTTCCCGCTGGAGACTCAGACAGCAACATCAATTGATTGTGGAACCTATAATATCGGTTTATAATATTCATAGAGCTGAACAGTGAGGTACCGCGCCTCAACAGTACTTCTCTCTCGCGTCTGCCACAAATTGAAGCCATGTTCACCCTCCGCACCGTCCTCCGCGCCCCCGGCGCCATACGCCAGTTTGTGGCTCATCGATCAATCCTCGGAGCTGCGTCGCTTCGTCCTTTCTCGCACATGATACAGACTAGCCTTACAAAACTGCGTGTATCTCAATCACAGACCAACAGTGCAGTTGGTGTTAGCGGCGTCTCTGCCCGCCAAATTGAACAGATTCGGGGTATGAAGACTCGGTCTTCGGTCAAGCGACTTTGCGATGGTTGCAAGGTATGTTTGGATCTCTCTCTCTCTCTCTCTCTCTCTCTCTCTCTCTCTCTCTCTCTCTCTCTCTCTCTATTTCGTAGAAGAATGACCCAATATAATTTGATCTCTGTTTGGGTGCTGACTATTGATTACATAGCCCGTTCGAAGAAAGAACCGTGTTTTTATCATCTGGTAAGTTTGCGCACTCTATTGTTGTCCAACCCTTTCAACCGTGCTGATTGTTCCTCTTTAAGCTCTAAAAACCCCAAGCACAAGCAACGTCAAGGGAAATAGAGTGGGAAGTCTTCTCTGCTTTTCTTTTCGACAATTTGCATGACTTTGGTATTTTCGATAGCCACCTTTGTCTCAGCCCTCAAACCCCGAATATCGCAGCTAAAACGATTCATCCCTACTTTTATATGTACACTATCGGCGAAATGATTACTGGGTCCATATAGAACGTTTGCACTGGATCTTGCCTGAGATTTGAGATGATGGTATATCCTTCGCATTTGCATCTCTGTTCCTGCAAATCATGCCTGGGAAATCACGGCGCTTGGGTCTTTTTTTTGTACATTAGTCTTCAAGGCCAGGATGCATGGCCTTTCTCTGTTAAATGAATTCAAATCGACCGATCCTCAAATTTGTTTTATCGTACTGACATGAGAAAATGCAGGCTTGTGCATTCAAAAAGCACTTGAAAATCAACATTGAAAAAAGCAATACCGCCAGAGTACAGCCTTAGGTAATAATTTATTTGCATTTGTCTCTTGAAAAATCTAAGAATGTTCCTTGTTAGTCGAAACGATCAAGCCATAAATTCGCCGATCAGCCACGTGACCGTCCCTGGCTTCCCAGAACTTTTTTTATCGACAAACAAGACCGTAATCAAGGCTTGATTCGATCAACTCAGGAGTGAATTGAAAGTCGCCATGAGGTCTCCTTCTCTTGCAAGGCTGCAGTACCACGCTGTGTCTGGTTTGACCAGATCCGCTCGCTTCCAGTCCCAGGGCCTTCTGCGCTCGCGATGCGCGTCCACGGCTGCTTTGCGGTCTTCGGCCATCGCGCCCACTTATCAATCGGTTGTAAAACAATGGGATCAGCGCCGTAATGCCTCAACTACTGCATCTGCAGTGTAAGTACTTCATACGAAAGACTATATTATCAACCAGGCTGTTCTAACCCGCGTTTGAATAGCCTTGAGGCTGCTGCGGCTAGTCCGGACACTTTGTCGCAAGCTGCCATCATCGATGCCCTCGATCCCATTGAGGCCGCTCGTTTGGACAAAGTTCGGAATATCGGTATTGCGGTACATTCCCAAATCTTCGATCCTTCTTTTCCTGGGCTTATCTAATGACTTCATCTGCTAGGCCCATATCGACAGTGGTAAGACCACATGTACCGAGCGAGTCCTTTTCTACACTGGCCGTATCAAGGCCATTCACGAGGTTCGCGGTCGTGACAGCGTCGGTGCCAAGATGGATTCTATGGACTTGGAGCGTGAGAAGGGTATCACCATTCAGTCTGCTGCGACCTTCTGTGACTGGGTCAAGAAGGACGATCAGGGCGTCGACCAGAAGTACCACGTCAACTTGATTGATACCCCCGGACACATTGATTTCACTATTGAGGTAGAGAGAGCACTGCGTGTTTTGGATGGAGCCGTCATGATTTTGTGTGCTGTGTCCGGTGTCCAGTCCCAAACCATCACCGTCGACCGTCAAATGCGCCGTTACAATGTCCCCCGTCTTTCCTTTATCAACAAGATGGATCGTATGGGTGCCAATCCATTCAAGGCCGTTGATCAGATCAACACTAAGCTTAAGATCCCCGCTGCTGCTGTCCAAGTTCCTATCGGTGCCGAGGATGAGTTCCAGGGTGTGGTGGACTTGATCCGCATGAAGGCCATCTACAACGTTGGTCCCAATGGCGAGGAACTCAAGGAAGTGGACGAGATCCCCGCAGAGGTCAAGGACATTGCAGAAGAGCGGCGACGCAAGCTCATTGAGACACTCGCTGATGTTGACGATGAGATTGCCGAGCTGTTCTTGGATGAACTTGAGCCCACCCAGGAGCAGCTCAAGGCAGCCATCCGCCGGGCTACTATTGCATTGAAGTTCACTCCCGTTTTCATGGGATCTGCTCTCGCTAACAAGTCCGTCCAGCCCATGTTGGACGGTGTCGTTGACTATCTGCCCAACCCCGCGGAAGTTGAGAACCTCGCCCTCGACAAGAAGCGCAACGAAGCTTCCGTGAAGCTGGTTCCTTACAACTCTCTCCCCTTCGTTGGTCTGGCTTTCAAGCTAGAAGAGAGCAACTTCGGACAGCTGACCTACATCCGTGTTTACCAGGGTACTCTCCGTAAGGGCGCCAACGTTTTCAATGCTCGCAACGACAAGAAGGTCAAGGTGCCCCGTATCGTGCGTATGCACTCCAATGAGATGGAAGAAGTCAACGAAATCGGTGCAGGTGAAATTTGCGCCGTGTTCGGTGTTGATTGTGCCTCCGGTGACACCTTCACTGACGGCCAGCTCGGCTACAGCATGACCTCCATGTTTGTCCCCGAGCCCGTCATTTCTCTCTCCATCAAGCCCAAGCAAGCCAAGGATGCTGCCAACTTTTCCAAGGCCATGGCCCGTTTCCAAAGAGAGGATCCCACTTTCCGTGTGACTTATGACAGCGAGAGCGAACAGACCATCATTTCTGGAATGGGTGAGCTTCACCTAGACATTTACGTTGAGCGTATGCGTCGTGAGTACCGTGTTGACTGCGAGACTGGTCAACCCCAGGTCGCATACCGTGAGACCATTGGCAACCGTGTCGATTTCGACCACCTGCTCAAGAAGCAGACTGGTGGTGCTGGTGACTACGCCCGTGTTATGGGATGGATGGAGCCCACTGGTGGTCTCGAAGAAAACCACTTCCAGCAGCAGATTGTTGGAGGTAGTATTTCCGAGAAGTTCCTGTACGCTTGTGAGAAGGGTTTCAATCTCTCCTGTGAGAAGGGACCTCTGATCGGCCACAAGGTGCTTGGTACTCGCATGGTCATCAACGACGGTGCCACCCACATGACTGATTCCTCTGAAATGGCCTTCAAGAACGCCACCCAGCAGGCCTTCCGCAAGGCCTTTGCTGACAGTCAGCCCTCTGTTCTGGAGCCGTTGATGAAGACTGTGGTGACCGCCCCGTCCGAGTTCCAGGGTGATGTGATCGCCCTGTTGAACAAGCGCGGTGCCACCATCAATGATACCGAGACTGGTGTTGACGAATTTACCATCTACGCCGACTGCAGTTTGAACGGCATGTTCGGCTTCAGCTCCAATCTCCGTGCTGCCACCCAGGGTAAGGGTGAATACACCATGGAATTCAGCCACTACGAGAAGGCACCTCCACAAGTGCAGTACGTTATGAATCTCATCAAAATCTCCACTCAAATCCCCATTCATACTAACACATCCCCTCAATTTACAGGAAGGAGCTCATTGCCAAGTATGTCAAGGCTCAGGCCGACCGAAACAAGAAATAAAGCCCCATCGCCAAAGCCCGCTCCATCTGATCCAAAATCCGCCATCATCCTCATCCAACCTTGTAAAAACATTTTTCTATCTCATCACCATCATAATCTCACTTGGTCCAGGCGGGCCTGTCATTTATTTAGCTCATCCCGGAGATCAGTTAGAACCCTGGAGCGAGACGACCTCACTTATAGACTAGAGTTTTTGGTCTTTGTCTGGTTATTTGGACTCTTCGACTCTTCGACTCTTTGCATCATGGCACTATATCACCTTACGTCAACTGTATTTTAAATTCAAGAACCTATCTACTCTCCTGCATGAACAATATTTTACTATCATTCAAGACCTCAGGGAAATGTAAAGGTTTTCGGTGGTCCAGGGGATGGCGACCTCGGGAGAGTCCATCCTTATAATGGCAGCTGCAGAAGTCATGGTGATAGTTGACTGATACACTAGGAGTTCATTTGGACGACGTGATTCTCACAACCCCTTCCAAAGTTTCTTTTTGTCTAGACTCTAGCCCGTGGACTGCCTATATGTCACACCAGATAAAACTTTCCCTGCTCAACAAACTGCGGAGATTCTCAGTACTTAAGGCTGAAGAGATGAGATAGCGATCCATTGTTGAATTTTATTGCACTCACATAATAACAAGAATTATAGGAATTTAAAATTCCAATTCTCGTACGAAATCTAAACTTTCGTTGAATTACTAGAACCCGAGAGCAGTTAACTATATATATATATATATCTTATAGTTCACGGTAACCACCTAAGCCGTGTTATGACAAACAAATTAAATAGAATATAAATGCTTCAACATTGTAAAGTTATATTCGATCAGAGAGTAGCCACTAATTTCATAAAAGCCACATACACTGGCAAGCATCAAAAAAGCTAAGAACGTAGTAAGCTATCAAATCATATACCACGATCAAGCTGTCGAATTATAAGCAATCTGCGTTGAAAAGCCAGTCTTAGACTACTGGTAATATCAGTTATCCTATCATCTACCTATGTATGCATGATCAGTGCATTCATACCTGCCTAGGTAGTCGTAGGTATTTCAAAACTGGATAAAAGGGAATTTGCTGCCTTTTGCAAATTTTGAAAATCATCCCACGCTCCTATTTCAAATTTGCCATCTAGTCCTCAAAATTGGTACAAAAGAAGACCTATACAGGATAGTTGCTGACCAGCTGGATATGAATGTGGAAGATTTTTTTTATAGTTCAAGCGGCTATCGACTACATCGAAGAAAATCGGCCTAGAAAATAAAGGTAGCCAACACTTAGGCATTCATGAATATTGGTTTCCAAGATTTGATTAGAAGATAGAGAACATTTCAAGGTGACATAGGTATCCATGCTTTATATCTCATGGAAATAATCCTGATTGAATTTTCCATAGGAGTCGGGAGCAACCGCCAATTATGAAGAGCCAAAATATCCCACGCAATGCTGAAGGCACAAAAAAATAAATCTTAGAGCAAACTTGTTAGTAAATCACGGTCCACGTAAGGTCAGGCTTAAGTACTCACTCGCCATTGAAGAACCGGTCTTGCAACAATGATACCTACCAGAACGCTTGGAGTAGGCACGCGTTGGGAGTCGATAAGAGTAGTAGGAACTTGAGTCTGTATATTACCAATTAGCGTCAGATTATCACATTTATAAATTTGAGTCATGCGTTTAGGTTGGGTTCCTGTGTTATTGATCAATACAATCCTCCGCTCGTCATCTAGAATGGGAATATCTTCCTCACCGAAGTTGATAGAGCGTCTAGGCCTGCTAGATTCATCATCTCTCTCATCACTTTCTTCACAGAAATTCTCAACGGAACTATCTATGTTAAGATCTTGCAGGAACAGGGGCCATTGTGTGGGACGAACTGGAGCCGAAGTAGGAGACCAAGGTTCTTCATGTCCTGAATGTCTTGCTTTCGGTTTCCCAGTATCACCTGAGCTCGGACTCTGCAATTTGACGTCTACCCAGAGGGGTTTATCATTGTGGTCCCGAATCTGGTAGTGTTGCATTATTGTGTGCGCGATTTCCGCGTGAGTCGCACCGTTATCCACCATTTTCGTCAATCTATAGTTCAAATGTTCATCACGCCGGTAGAGAACTTGCTGGAGAAATTCGCCAATGTTGCTTGCCGAAACCTCGGCTTGAACCCAAATTAAGATGAGCTCGCGCAGCTTTTGGATGCTGTTCAGGTCCCAGACAAGAAGTTCTTCCCAGTGGGCTCGGTTCTGAATCTGGCGATCGAAAGAGCCTTTGCTGTCTTTCTGCTGTTTCTTCTGCAAACAGGTTTTAGTTGAGTCTTGGAGGGTTTTATTATACCAGAACGATCGAAAGGACTGACCTGAGGTGTCTTGGGATGAAACCAGTCCCGGTGAGATGACGGGCTTCCAGAAGATGAGCCCTGACGGCCTGTTGAATTTGAATTTGATGACATTGTTTCGGATTTCGGTATGCGAGGAAGTGAAGTTAGTGAATCTGTGGATGGCAACAGATATTGGTTAAAATCTTGTAACTAGGTAACGCGTTTTGAATGCGATACCTACGTTTCTTCAAACGTATTATTGGCTATGTCGAGTTGAACTGGGTCACGATGTGAGTTTCAGTTAATTGTGGAAGATAGCAAGTCCACTGGTATAGCGTGGTACTTGGTATTTTAGAAGTCAACTGAATCCTGATACACACCCGACGTATGATACTGCAGGTAGTTTCAAGCTTAATCAATACATGGACATAACGAATGCCAAAGAGGGGTTTTAACTGCCCCTCAAGGACTGTAAGGGTTCTTCCAAGGTTACTTTCAGCATCAAAGGAAGCATAGGAACAAAGCTCCTTTGTATACGAGGTCTCACAACTGGGCCTCGAGATTAACCTGGACCTTGAAATAACCGTTCAACTTTAAACTTCAAAGACTGCCCATATATTTTCCAAGGTTGAGACTCGACTTCAATTCTTCCAGATTTGAACTTGGAAGGTTGGCCAGATGGCAGGGCTACTGGTATGTAGGTCCATCGAGATGATACAACTGAGGCCCAGGTGGGTAGCCTTCTAAAGTTTTTATGAGATGCTTGGAATTTCGTAGCGTTTGACATGGGGAGGTTTTAATATGTGGCGATGTTCAGTATTCATTATATGCAGTAAATAGATATATACAGCTGATTCAGACGACCCAAACAAGTACGCTATATAAAAAATGCGATGACTGGTATCAGGTATGATCCAAAGGAATAAACCAAAGAACTCCAGGCTAAAGACGAAGGAATGATTCACGGGTATATGTATAGGTGGAAAAATTACTATATAATGATATTAAAATGGTGGGCTTGGTGTATAAATTCCGAGGCCAGTGAGGGAAAAGTTTCACTAGAGCCAGAGAATCCACCGAGCTCCAGAGAAAACTCCTCGGACAATACCGCGGAAGACCTTGAAGACCATGACGATCAACCAAACCCACCACAACATACCGACAAGAGCCCATTCCAAGAGCACAAAGCCAGTACGCCGCACCCAGCGCAGCCGACGGCGCCTCTTGCGAACACCTTTATCGAGGGCATCGCTGAGCGATTTCACGGCAAGAGTGCTGGTTGTATTAAGCTGAACACATAGATTTTCGGCTGTGTCGGCCGTGGCTCGCACACGGGGTGTAAGGGACTGGTTTATGAGAATTTCCAAGTCCTTGAGTTGTGAACGGAGGGGAGAGGAAGTGGCTGTGGCGAAAAGATGTACCGACTTCTGGAATGAGTACTGCGTCGTTTCAAATCGTTGGAGAAGCTTCTGGGCGGCAAGATCGAATTCATTAATACGAGTCACTCGGGGGAACGATGTAATCGCACCAACTGAAACTTGTAGCCAGGGTGGAGGGGGATTTCGGACGCTATGTGCTCGTCTGGTGATCTCTCGTCCTTTGATGCCAGACGAAAAAAGTAGCGTGTGGGTACGTTCGACTTCTGACTTGCCAGGTACTCCAGAATCCTTATTGGTACTGAGGCTGCGGCCGGAAATACTCCAAGAACGACTTGCTGCCGAGAGACGACGTCCTTTGTCGAGTGAACAGTCTGGGGATGCTCGGGCCTGGGCAAGACCAGTGACTGGTAGACGTGTCAAACCAAATGGTACAATAGGATCTTTGATTCGGCGCTGATGCGTGCGATTACGTCCTGTGTTCAGAGTCGTGTTGAAATCAAGAGTTCGGGCCCGGGGCAGGTTTGGTTTTGGAATATTATGCTCATCATGTCGTCGCGATGCAGCACTACTGGGGCCATCAAAGTCCAGCACATCAGTCGAGTTTCCCTTCTCATCATTTTTTAAAGGCGTGAAGGAAGATAGAGAGGGAATGAAGCTTCGAGATGGAGTGCCTCTATCAGTCTCCCGGCGAACAATTCGACTGGGTTCTTCTGTGAAAGTGGGGAGGCGCCGTAGTAGTCCCCTGGCGCCAGACCGCTTATCCGGACGCTTTTCCTCGTCAGAATCGCTATTGACTGAGTCGATACTTGATGTCGATGATGATCTTCTGGAATCGGGCGCCGTGTCCTTCTTCATGATCATTTCACCGACCTTGGAGACTTCATAGCCCACCATCTCGGCAATACGACCTGGTCCTTTGAGGATTTCCCGTAGCTTAGACTCTGATCGATTGGGCCCCTTTTGTCCCCGTACAGGCTCACTTCGGTTGCTCTCGCTTGTGCCGTGATCATCGGCGTAGGACACAATGTCTGGAAGAGGACTTGGCTCAAGCTTGGAAGCGCGTTCGGAATGTTTAGGAGTTGATGTAGCCGGCGGAGGTAAAGGCTCCACGATCGGAGTTTCATCCTCAATCTCTTGCCCGTGCTTACTCTTGCTCCGTTCATGACGCGAGACAATCTTTTGTCGAAGTCCCTTCTTCGCTGGTGAAGGAGAACGACTGGAAGGTGGGGAAAAGTTGACTGCAATACTGGGAAAATAGCCGGCGGGAGCTTGAACAGGAGAGTTGGGGGCGGTACTATCCACTGCGTCTAATGAAGGTCTTGAGTTATACCTGTCATCTGTACTGCCGACAGAAGATATCGAAACCTTTGCAGAGATATGTGTTTTATTGCGTTTTGTGACTGCAGCCGCGGTTGAAGATTTAGTGCGCGGTTCTGATATTCGCTCTTCACTGGAATCACTTGAGACGCTTCCAGTGCGAATTCTGACCTTATCCCATCGAGAAGGTTTCTTAGAGCTTGAACGGCTACGACCCCGTAAGCCTTGGGAATGGCTTTGGAATCTATGTTTGTGCCGCCCTCGGGCAACGCTCTTGAACTCTTGTGCCAGGGCAGGATGCGCACTTGACATTGAGGTATGTCGTGAAGAAAATCCTTCCTCTACAGGACGATCCAGTTCAAGAGAAAAGGCCTTCCTCTGTCCATCAGGGTTGGTTTCCATCAAAACCAATTCCATCAGATCTGGATATAGTTTATTTCCATCCTTGTCCACGATCTTAGCTTTGTTCACTGGATCTTCCAGCCAAGCCGCATCAGCTAGAAGCTCTGCTGGTGATATTTTCCAATCAAGACGTGGCCGGGACGACTTCATGCTGTTGGTATGACTAACACGGCGCAGCGGAGAAGAGTCGGGAACCATGTCCGTACTATCAATGGATGCAAGACGGTTGGCTTGCTGTAAGGATGGCAGCTTGATACAGTGCGCATTTTCGTAGCCTTTGTCCTTGTATTTTGCCTCGATGACATTGACCCATTCATGGACTTTGTCTACATCATGCCACCCTTGCGCCTCAGCATCAATGGGACATTTCTCTCGGTATCGAAGTCTTCGATTACGAATTACCTGTAGCGGATTATATTCTCGACTGGTCGGAGCCGAAGGTGGATCATGGTGAGAGTGAATATCATTTTCAACTGAGGTGTTTCGATTTGCATTTCGAAGTGGAGGTAGTAAGGGAAGTAGGCGAAGATATTCGTGGAATAGTTCAAGATGTCGACGAGCTTTTTCTGCACGAGCAATCGTGCTGGCAGAAAACTCATAATCTCGGTTGTCATTTACCATGGCAGCCGGAAGGAAATTCGTCACCGGTGGATGTGTATCAGATTGCGCCGTTCGTGCCACGTTATCAGAGAACGGGTAAGTATGATAGGAGAAGTCTGGCTGTGTAGCGTTCCCGCGCGAAGCTGATGATGCATGTATGTCTTTAGGAGCTGCAAGAGTCTGAGAAACAGACAACTGCCTTCGCCCACCAGGACCTAAATGCTGTAACCCGGAAGCATTCCTTTTCCGAGACTCATTCAAATTCAAGGCTAGATTCACAATTTGTATGGAATCCTTATCCAGACCCTCTGTTGTAGATTGGAATGGATCGCTGGTCTTAGGTATCTCATTTGCCGATATTGTTCTTGATGGTTGAACATCTGGGGGAGGTGTAGGGGCCTGCTGAGGGCTTAGTTGACTTGATGTCGGCTCCTCTGAGATCAACTCTGAAGCAGATTTCTTGTGACGGGCCCAGTGGAAGCGGGATTTCTTCTTAGGAACCACAATATCGGCTTCGGGAGCAGTTCGTTTCTCCGTAGGCGGTTCCAATAGCTGCGGGCGATGTGAGGAGCTGATTCTGGAACTCTTCGAGCGAGGAAGAGAGTCAAGCAGAAACCTGCTGGAGCTTTGTGCCCTGCTGTGGCCCGACGCAGCCCGCTCGCCATCACGAGAGCCTTTGGCAAAGGTACTACCTTCCAGCTCCATGCTCACTCTGCCATCGATTATCTTGGCTCCTGTCCGTCGAGATGAGTCGCCATCGGAACGATCAAAAGGGGATGAGAGACGTGGAGGTGCATCTTGATGTTGTTCATCTATTGGGGACATCGAATACTGTGCGCTGGGAAGGCCGAGTCGCTGTGACATCTGTGCCGAGGGGGAGTAGGAGAACTAGATGGCACCCGTCAAGTTGGCAACAAACATCCCAGCTACGAACAAGCATGGGTGCGAGTCAAGAAATCGAATACCAAGGACACAAAGAAAGCATAAAGGATTATGCAAGGGTTTTGCAAGTAACTAACGCCGTAAGTTGCTGATCGTCAGGGTTGCGCGTAACATAGGCTTATCTAAGCGTATAAGGTTCCCGAGCCTAGATCCCGACTCAACCATGTTCCAATTCCCCTTATACAGGTTGACTGTTGGGATGAGTTGTGGATCTACGATTTGAAACTGTCTAAAAATTGATCAATGTAATTTAGAGGTTGTTTTCACAAAAGGAAAAGGTCGAGCAGTTGGGTCTAACGAAAAAGTACAACTACATAGAGGTTGTATACAAGTCCTTATAGATAAGACCAAGATATACAGGTAGTGAAACCACCACTTCTTACTCCACACGCAAGCACTGAAGTCGAGCCTCAGCTTCAATGACCTAGAAACATAAAGAAGTTAGCTCATATTCCGAGAGTATGAGAAGAAAATTAGAGAAACCTACCTCGAGAGCCTGCTGGACTTCAAGAACTCTACGGATATCGGCAAGCCAGTCCTTGCTCAGGATCTTGGCCCAACCGGAGAGAGTGTTCATCTCACGGGCAGCAGCGTCAACATTGCCCTCCTCCAGCCAGTTCTCGGTGCGAACAAGAATGCTCTCCACATCATCACCATCAGCAAGGGCATCCTTCTTGAACATGACCTTGCTCAGAACCATGCTGGCAGCGTGGCTGGCAATACCTGCATTCTCAGGCAAGAGGCTAGCCTTGCGAACCTCACTAGCCACACGGCGGAAACGCTCGATTATCTGAGTTCTGGAGGGAATACCACGCTGGTACGCAGTAGGGTTAATAGATGCGATTGCAGCATCAACCAGAGGATCGTCAGCAGCCAGCTCCTTGACGGCAACGAGCTCACGAATGAAGGGGCGTGCAGTCTCTGAACGCTCAACAACAGTGCGGACGGCATCGACCGCAACCTGGAGTTGCTGGGTCTTCAGGTTGCTGTCGATGACGTCGCTCCAACCGGTAGTCAGCTGTTCGAGTTCATTAACGTTGGCAGTGAGCTCGTTCAACTTGCTGAGGCGACCCTCTCGTTCGCGCTCAACCAAGTCCTTGACCTCGTGGATGTATTTCCGGTTCAACTCAATAGCTTGTTCCACAAGTTCATTCTTCAGACGCTGTTCCGCAAGCTCTTGGCCGCGGAGAAGCTCGATATTGATCTTCTCCTGGTACGCCAGAGCAAGCTTCTCGCGCTCAGACTCAAACTCTTCGCGGAACTGGGCAATCTCAGAATTGCGCATCTCCTCAAAGCGGCGAATCAGCTCGCGTGCTGACTCGTCAAAGGTGGCGTGGGCCTTGTTGAGTTCTTCTTGGGCAGCCTCGCGTGCCTCGTTACGGATCGCCGAAATCTTTTCTCCAATATTCTGTAGCTCTTCCTTGGCCTTGGAAACCACACCAGAGTATTTGCCGGCATTCTCGTCTGCGCTAATCACAGTGACAATGTCGTTGAAGGTCTTCACTAGTTCCTGGACCACAGTCTCGTCGGCATCCTTGACTTGCAACAACTCGATGGTGCTCACCGCAGGGACAGCGGGTTTTCTAGGCTCATCAAGAGAGGCAGCCTTCTTCTCCTCCTTCTCCTCCTTGGGGACAGACTTTGCAGCAGGCTTGTCTTCCTTGGCCTTAGGCTCGGACTTGGCGCTCTTAGAAGAGTCAGTCTCCTCAACCTTAGCAACGTTCCAAGACAAGCCGCTGTTGCTGGGAATTGTGACTGGTTTGCCGTCATCTCTGGGGCTACCAACACCGCGGCTGGATTGTCTCGAGGCATTTGGGAAGCGTCGGTAGAAATCACGCTCCTCAAAGTAAAGAACGAATTCCTCGCCGTATGGAACGAACTCTGTGAAGAAGTCATGGAAGTTGTCGGACTTCAAGGCCAAGAAAACACCACCTCCATAGGCGAAGCCGGAGGTGAAGATCAAGTACAGGAGGAATCGACGGAAGCGACCGGACTTTCGTGGTTTCGCCACAGGTTTAACTGGAGGAATTTTTGATTCTGGAAGGATATCAGGTTAGCTGGTGGCCCAGAAGTGGTAGATATAAGACGAGGCCGGTACCTTCTGTGAGCTTCGCAACAGTCTCTGGGGGAACGCTAGAGGTTGAAGAAGGTGTAGCAGGTGTAGGGCTAATAGGAGGCTTGTCATCGGCAAAGAAGCGCTACATTTGAATAGATATTAGCAGTGAATTCAGTGAGTCCATAGAATGATGTCGTTCGTACCTTGCCCGAGAGCTGGCTGCTAGCGCCCACTTTTGAAAGCCATTGCGACGGGATGCGCTGGCGAACGGGAGACGACAGCAAGTGCCGACTTGAAGCAATTGAAGTGCGCAGCATGACTAGCCGCACAATCGCCAAAAGAGCGGGGAGAGTCGTGGAAGGATAGATTGAGTAAGAAAACGTGAAGTCGAGGATCCATCGGGAGCGGATCGCGAGTGAACCTGTAGGCGGTCAGTCAGTTTTCTTAGAACGCCCTTACTACGACAGTAAATATTGCGAAGAAGACAAGATAATTTAAATATTTGAAGACCTGGGAAGTTGAGTGAAATATTATGATATTAAATTATAATTTAGTCTCATCTCTTATATTCCAAGGTAGCTTCGGGAATTGGTATTGCACCTGAACATCCTGACGATAAGTATGTACTCCCAAGGTTCGTGAACTCCTAAATAGAAATGAAAATGATAATCTCAAACATCATTATTCTTTACGGGAAATAGGTCCTCTATTAGATACAGTTTGGAGGAAATGTATTATCTGGGCATAGCATACTGAGATAGGATCTGGGCGCGGGACAACGGATAGTGGAAAGAGCAGATGCAGACGCCGGGTTGAAAGGGAAAAAAGGTACATAGAAAACGGGGAAGAAGGCAGGGAAATCCTGCCACAGCATATCTAAAGCCAAATTCCAAATGAGTCCGTGAATAAAGTCAACATTCGCCTGTCGACGGCAGACTTGGTAGACTCCCGACAGGAAGGGGCAAGCAAAAGGTCAAGAAATCGTATGAAAGACGAGACAACTGAATGAACAGTGAGCAAGAGAGCCTGCTTTATGCGCGGAGATGAGATGTGACATGGGTAAATGATCAAGCAACCGATACCCAAGGTCACAGAATATATCGGATCGTTGCATTTGGCGGACGACCCTTCTTAGTTATGTGCAAGCCGAAAACACAATAACTGATTACGAGGTTGAGGTTGACGCGGAATGAATTAACAGTTGCAGGCACCAGCGCCTTGGGTTCCAGGAGCTTCTGGTCGAAGGTCAACTCCAGGCCGAGGAGTCGTCCGCATGTTGCGAGGGCCGGCCTGTTCGAGAGGCAGCTTCTTCGCAATAGCTGTGAACAACTCCCGCACATTTGTAGAGGTCTTGGCGGAAGTCTCGAAGAAGAGGAGGCCAGCCTCACGCGCGTAGGTTTCTGCATCCACTGTGGTAATCGCCCGCTTATCTGGACTCTCTGTGACGAGATCGAGCTTGTTGCCTGCTAGAGCAATGACGATATTCTCATTTGCTTGACGCTGAAGCTCCTTTACCCAGGATTTGGCCTTATCAAGAGATGACTATTGATTGAAAACAAGAGATTTGGAGTCAGCCATGAAAGTTTAAAAGAGGGGGGATGTTGAAGAGATCCAACGAACAGCTTGAGTGATGTCATAAACCACGACGGCGCAGTTGGCATTCCGGTAGTACATAGGAGCCAATGACTTGTATCTCTCCTGACCAGCAGTATCCCAGATTTCAAACTTGACCGTGGTACTCTCATCGAGAGAGATAGTTTGTGTCAAAAAGGCTGCGCCGATAGTCGACTCGCGATAATCATCGAATTGATCCTATTTCAGAATATTAGCCTTGGGTTGTTCATCTGCAACACGGTTGCAATAAGAAAGCTAGTAGACATTCAGCAACTCACCTTCACGAATCTCAAGACCAGAGAACTCTGGGGGATAGCGGGAAATGTTAGCGTCTGATACCAAATGGAGGCAGCTTAGTATCTCCAACCTTTCCAACAGCCGACTCGCCTAGAATGAAAAAAATAGTCAGTCACATCATCCATGTTTGTCTCCACCGATACAACAAAACAAAACCTACCTAGCAAGACGAGCTTGAACTGGGCGAACTTGGCCCCAGGACGGGCGCCTGCCGTAGGTCGGGAGGCCATAATGCTCAGGGGAGGGAGCGGGTTAAGTCGGAAAGGCACTCAAATGAAGGAAATAGGATTGTAGCAGAAATGAGAAGGCAGTCACAAAGTGGGGAGGGATAGACACCTCAAGGGTTAGAGAAAGATTATAAGTTAAAGCAGAGAAGATGGAGTGGATGACGGAAGACAAGCCGCATGAGTGAGCGGGGCGGTGTGGTGGAATATTTCAGTACGATACGTGATTTAATACGTGGATTCGTATGTGAATCAATGATTTTTGTAATGATATTACAAAATCGATACCAAAAGTACCTCGAGTACCGTGCCTACCAGTTAAGGAACGATGGGTTGTATGTATCCCTGAGCGTTGTTTCTTAATTTCTCCAACTCCCACTCTCGTTTCTTTTTCATTAATTCTTCAGAAGGATCGCTATGGCATCCACTATCACCCCATTTAGGGATGTTAATTTACATGCGTCTCCTTCTCACTATGCTTTCACCTCACCATCCTCCCCTCAATCTCCAACCCTCGTGGTAGATCGGCCGACTGGCGACCTCCGCCTGAACGATGGACCACTTTCGGGTGCCAAAAGGATTTCTAGCATCGCTGGAATTCTTGGTATTCTAAAGCTGAAGCTAGGTCAGTTGCCAATAAATAACGATGCTTGATGTGCCTTGCTGACAACCCCCTCTACAGACAAATACATCATCGTCATCACCAAGGCACAACCGATGGGACGACTCCGAGGCCATATGGTATACAAAGTTGCTGGAACTGAATTTCTACCTATGCGCGAACGTCCTCTTCACGATCGTGACGAAGATACATACATTGCGCTAGTCAAAGAGCTGCTGCGAACGAGTCCCATGTACTTCTCGTATTCCCTGGACCTTACCAACAGCTTCCAGCGCCAGTCACAAGATGCGCCCAACATCCCATTATGGAAGCGCGCAGATGACCGTTTCTTCTGGAACCGTTTTATTCAGTCCGACCTCATTGACTTCAGTCTGGGCGCCCATGACACCAGTGGCATTCGTTATGGCCCTCAGCCGGGTGTTGATCCCTTCATCCTTCCTGTCATGTTTGGTATGCTGCGTATTACTCCGGCCCGAATGAAGTCGACGTCTTTCACATTTGCACTCATTACTCGACGGTCCAGACACCGTGCCGGAGCAAGATACTTCTCCCGTGGCATTGATGAACAGGGCCATGTCTCGAATTACAACGAAACTGAGCAGATTATCATACTGAATGATGCGACAGGTGGTATGTCAGGCTTTGCTGGAGGTCAATCAATGTCTAGTGGCAAATCTGGCCAGGACCTTCAGGTCTACTCCTTTGTTCAAACTCGGGGCAGTGTTCCCGTCTTCTGGGCCGAGGTCAACAATCTCAAATACACACCCAGTCTTCAAGTTCGTGGTGTGGATACGGCCGTTAATGCTGCACGCAAACATTTTGCTGAGCAAATTCGTTTGTACGGAGAAAATTATTTGGTCAATCTAGTCAACCAGAAAGGCAGAGAGGAGCGCGTGAAGAAGGCATACGAACAGATGGTTCGCACGCTCATCTCTTCTTCCAATGAAACCACTGAGTCTGATACGAAGAGCCCCGAGAAGTTGCATTCCCTTGAACCAGGATTGAAGAGAAAGGAGATGGATCGCTTGCACTACGTGTACTTTGACTTCCACAACGAGACTAAAGGTCTCAAGTGGCACCGTGCCGAGCTTCTCCTGGGTCGGTTGAATGATGGATTGGCCCAGGGTGGTTATTTCCGTGGTGTCGAATCTCCGGGCTCTGGTGGACAGCTCGACATTCGATCGGTCCAATCAAGTGTTGTACGAACCAACTGCATGGATTGCCTCGATCGAACTAATGTCGTACAAAGTATGCTTGGACGCTGGGCGATTACACGCCAGCTCATTGATGCTGGCGTTCTTCGCACAGGTGAGAATGCCAACGATGATCGGGAATTTGAAGACCGGTTCCGTAACATCTGGGCTGATAATGCCGATGTGGTCTCCAAGTCCTACTCCGGCACCGGTGCTCTGAAAACCGATTTTACTCGCACAGGCAAGCGCACTCGTGCGGGAGCACTGCAAGATTTGAGAAACTCTATCGTTCGATATGTCCGCAACAACTTCCTGGATGGGCCTCGTCAAGATGGGTTCGATGTGTTCCTGGGAACTTACCTTCCCTCGACTTCCATGCCGGCAAACATTCAGCTTTTTGTCGACAGACGACCTCTCGCAATCCAAGCCGTTCCATATGTCTTCGCAGCCAGTTTGTTCATGATTCTCGTCTCAACATTTACCCGCCGTTTGCCTGATGCTACCACCTGGCCCATTCGTATCTTGGTGCTTTTCTGGTTGATTGTTGGCATCTACAGCTTCCAGTTTATGCTAACTTATGGCATGCTTTACGTAAGATCACATTCGGATGCACCAACCTATTTTCTTACTAATTGGTCGTTATAGGTAAACTGGCCTAAGCTCAATACCCCAGTCCACGGCATTGAAGGGTATCAGGATGCTCTCATTAAAGCCAGTTCTGACCCTATTATCGGTCATTGGGTTTCTTCACGACGACACCAACGAGGCATCAGTAATGCACGTCTTGTTTTCCTCGAAGAGGGAAAGACCCGAATCGAGTAATTTTCTTCGTTTTCCACGCCACTTCTTGTTTCTATCTGTAAACCTATGGCTGTATGTTTTACTACAATTTTTTTTATTGTTTCCACAAACTTTCCTCGAGCACTTTCCCTTGTTCTCTTTTGTTAGCATCGACAACCTATTTTCTCTGATCCCGTTTTATTTGCCCCCTGCATGGCATCTTACGTTTGACCTGCTGGTTTCTTTTTTCACGAACTGTGCTCTCTTTTGCCTTTCGTTCTTTCTTCTTTCACCCTTCTATGTTACAGATAGAGATGATATGTGGGGTAGTCTGAGTTTAAATTATTTCATATCAATTGAAACAATTGAATTTTGAAGTTCTCCGAAGTGATGGCGTGGGACAAACCAGTAAAAAGGGGAGAGTAATAGTTTAAGTTGTATATAGTCAGATGTTACTATATTAAATGGCATCGATTGTGAGATTCATTGTGTCAAGGAGAATCTCGAATTGTTGAAATCCACCGTCTCTAACTAACTACTGTCACCACGCTATGTTAAAAATCATATTTTCGAGTGTTGAATTTGATACAAGAACCAAAGAGTGTATGGAGCTCTAGGCTACGTATTAGGAACCTATACCGTTAGTTTCTGAGAATCAAGCAGCTTCAATGAAAGGCTTGGTCTCAATTACGTCAAGGAAGCCGCCAACCAGATGCAGACTGCCAGTGACAAATGTCATGACGGGTGCCTCATTGATCTGAAGCACCCTGCGTTCTTCGGCCGCCAAGTCGCGCGCAAAGTCCACAGCTTCCTCGATCGTCCCAAACACATGTGTTTGAGCTTGTGGGTCAATAGAGTTCCAGGCTTCTGCAAGTGACTTTTGGACACGGAGGAGGTTGATGTCGTCGGCGTTGGTATTCATACTAACAAGGTCAGGTCTATAGCCTGCCTGTTTGTAGGTGATGTTTGTGCAGAACAAGGCATGTGTGAATGGAGTCTTAGAGTCAACTGCGGCAGCAAGAGTCTCGTAGAGGGCCGTGGCCAGAGCTGTGCTGTCCCGGGTCTGTTGATTGAAGATCAAAATCCGCGGCTTTTTCGATGCAACGTCGCTCGATGATGAATCTGCCTGGATGCGCGAGGCAAACCACTGGCCCGCCAGTCGGATACTCTCGATTGTGTGTCCGCCGTCAATATACCAAGCGACATTCTTCTCAAGCCGGGTCTCACATCGGCCCCCGAGATGTGTCTCTTCGAGGCCAGTTTTGAACTTGGCAGGAAGTGAGCTGGAAATGACATCCTCTGGGATATCTGCTACCCCAGTCTTTCTCAAGAACTCCGCCGCAGATGCTACGGCCAATGAAGCATTAGTATATTGGAAGTCACCAGCCAAACCAAGCTTTACTTGGCTGCTGCCAGGGCGAAGATCGGGGTGTTCGGAGATAACATCAATCCGAATACCTTTCTCGGAGGCACGCTCAATTAGAACCTGCTCCGCACTTGGAGGCTGTGGCGCAGTGAAAGCTCTAACTCCAGATTTGATGATACCGCCCTTGTGCCATGCGATTTTCTCAATTGTGGTTCCCAACATGGCAGTGTGGTCAATACCAAGGCTAGTGATCACCGATACCTTAGGTTGGTCGATCACATTGGTACAGTCGTACTGTCCTCCAATGCCGCATTCGATCACTGCTGCATCGACACCCTCGCTCAAATAGGTGTGGAAAGCCATCAACGTGAGATAGCGGAAATATTGAGGTTTTGTGCCCGGTGCAGAAGGATCCTGGCCAGCTATCTTGGCCGCTCCCTCAAGACGGTCCCATACTTCGAAAAAGTACTGCGCGAATTGCTCTTCTGAAAGCGGGGTATTATCGATTTGAATGCGCTCTCGGGCAAAACGGAGATGTGGGGAGGTGAACAGTCCAATCTTGTGAAGTCGGGGAGTCGTCTGAGCTTGATCTGATTTCGTGTACTGGGAGAGAATGGTGGATATAAATGCAGAGGTAGAACCTTTGCCTTTCGTGCCAGCGACATGAACTGGGTTCAATTGGTTCAGGTCCGATGACTATATTCAAAGGTGTCGAAATTAGCCTGAGGCTTAAGATAGAGTAATTGGGTAACGAACCTTGTACCCAATCCGCCGAAGCCATTCTACTGTCTCGGGAAGAGAGCGCTCATTAATATCCTGCCTCGAATTTCGAAGCTCTTCGACGATCGCAAAGTTCGTCTGTAAAGAATTGAGAGCCGCAATGGCAGCCTGAATCGTATGTCAGCTAAATTAAACTTGAATAGGAGCTTATTGTCTCTACAATTGACTATGAAGCTAATCGGAAGTTGAAGGTGGGGTTGCATACTTCGTATGTGCGAGTCATAGCGGGCGAGTAAGTCGACACTCTCCGTCGTTTGCAGGACAAGGAAAGAGACTGCCAGATCCGTCGCATAGACAATTGAGCCTCGTGCGCGTGACCTTTGCGAGGGTATTCGTGACAAGAAACCCTGGCTGCTCGACGTTTATGACCCGACCCAAGCTTGCTCTCCTCGGGAAAGCTTCATCGGGAATATCACGTGGCTTTATCTTATCAGGTATCTCCGTTGGTACCGCCTGATATATGTGGCAGTATCTATAGAGCGGTCTAAATGTATTGGGTTCGTATCCGTATCCTTCAACGTTTGTTCCATTTCAACCACCTTCTGTCTCCTTAACACTTCTCCAAGCAGCATTCATGTCAGACTCCCAAGACAAGGGCAAAGCCCGCCAGCGGGATGAGAAAGAGCGCGAGGGTACTGACTCGGCAGACAACAGCAAAGGTTTGCAGAACCCCACCAGACACGCCGCATAGTTACTGATTTAATATCACAGGCTCCACCCAATTAGGCAAAAAAAAGATCCCCGCAAAACTCCTGGAGACCCTTCTGTCCATGAATCCAGCTATGCAGAATGAACTCGCCTCAATGGACAAGGATAAGGCGACAGAAATGCTAGCGCAGATGGACATCTCCCAGTTCTTCACAGGACTGTCAGTCGGGGGTAAGGGCCAAAAGGATATGGCGTCGTTCAAATTCTGGCAGACACAGCCTGTACCTAGCTTCAATGAACAGCAAGACAAGGAACTCGCCCAGGGGCCGATCAAGATGATCGATCCTGAAAAAGTGCCGAAGACTCCCCAACCACTACTCGATGGTTTTGAGTGGTGTACTCTCGATTTGACGAACCCAGAAGAGCTTCGAGAACTGTACCAGCTTTTGAATAACCACTACGTTGAGGATGACAACTCTATGTTCCGATTCAGCTACTCGGAGTCTTTCCTTCACTGGTAAGCTCAGCCTCGGCTATTAAAATTTGTTTTCTCAGGTGTGATTTAACGAACTATATAAAACAGGGCGTTATTGTCTCCAGGCTGGAAGAAGGACTGGCATGTCGGTATCCGTGCCACAAGTTCGCGCAAATTGGTTGCGTCGATCTGCGGTGTTCCTACGGACCTTCGTGTCCGCGGTGACAAGATCAAGGTGACTGAAATCAATTTCCTTTGCGTCCACAAGAAGCTTCGTTCGAAACGCCTCGCTCCCGTTTTGATCAAGGAAATCACCCGTCGCTGCTACATCAACGGTATCTACCAAGCCATTTATACGGGCGGTGTAATTCTTCCAACGCCGGTCAGCTCCTGTCGGTATTTCCACCGTTCGCTGGACTGGCTGAAGCTCTATGAAGTCGGCTTCTCGCCACTCCCTGCAGGATCCACCAAGGCCAAACAGGTGACCAAGAACAAACTTCCCGATTCTACTTCGACACCCGGCTTGCGGCCAATGGAGGTGAAAGATGTCGATGCGGTTTACGATCTCCTGGAACGATACTCGCTCCGCTATGACCTCAACCAAGCTTTCACCCTCGAGGAAATTGAACACTGGCTGGTTTACAAGGAGCAGCCAGGCAAGGAGCAGGTTGTTTGGGCTTATGTGGTGGAGGATCCGAAAACACAAAAGATCACTGACTTCTATTCATTCTACAACCTCGATTCGACTGTCATCAATAACCCAAAACACAGTGCTGTGCGTGCTGCTTACATGTACTACTATGCGACTGAGACTGCCTTCACCGACGATCAGAAGGCGCTCAAGCAGCGGCTGTTGCTGTTGATTAATGATGCACTTATTTGTGCCAAGAAGGTATGGTGCTCGTCTGACTATTACCCTATCAAGGGCCCTTCTGACATATTTTCTATAGGCCAAGCTTGACGTGTTCAATGCTCTTACTCTTCTCGACAACCCCTTGTTCCTTGAAGAGCTTAAATTCGGTGCCGGTGACGGTCAGCTACATTACTACCTGTACAACTACCGCACCTCCCATATTCCGGGTGGAATTGATAGTAAAAACCGCCCGGATGCGACTAAGATGAATGGCGTTGGAGTTGTTATGCTCTAGATGAGGATTTGGCTGACTGGTAAAAAACGACTCTACGTCGTATCTTAAGAGTTTAAAGAATCCAATTTCAATTACTAACTAAAATCTACTATCAAGATATTTTAAGCTCTTCCATATAACCAAAGAAAATACTTCGAATGGGATTGTAGTCCGTGTTTGGAAAGTGACGACACCTCAGGCGGCAATATTTGACATCAGTCATCTGAAACGTCGCTCCACCTCCTCCTTTCTTCTATTTGACTTGATAAAAGCAACTTCGAACTGCTCACTTCAATTAAAGTTGAGAACTGTCTTAATACAATAAGCACACACATACACACCTCTTTCAGGACCCCTTGAGGTGCAGCAGTGGGGTATTCCCCGCAATTACGGTAACAATGGGCGCGAGCCAGTCGACTCAATACAGCGGATCCCCAGGTCAGTATTTAGTTCTCTATGTAGATGATACGTATAGGTTCCTGGACTTTTGAGACGACAGATCTCAATTATTTCTTCAGCCCATAAACCAGTTCTTGAAATCCGTATCTGACAATGCACAGAAGAACTGAGTTACTTGCTTGCGGAGCGCTTCGCTACAAAATGCTTCACGCCACTAGAGCTCACGCATTTCAAAGATAATTTCTACTCTCGTGCAGCGGAGCAAGGTGGCTTGCGGTACTGGAATGAAAACACTCTCTCGGATTTCCTAGGCATTCCAGACGGCACCTCAGTCACTCACGAGAGCCCATTGGATGCAGGTCCAGTTTTGTTTCGTATGGTATCGTACCTAGGTGCATTTCCATTTCAAAATACCTTAGCACCAAGCGTTTTGACCTTTGACGCTATGGTCAAGGTAGTGGTACTGCTGACTGAACGCTATGGGAAAGCGTTGCGACGAGGTCGCAAGGACCGCGTCAAGTTGTTGTTTGGAAGTCTTGCTGATGTTGGAAGAAAAGACCTGGGACCAACACTGGAGAGTGCTAAGACGGACACGCAGCAGCTGACTGGTGAGGTGGTTGAGGCCTCCACTGTTCGGTCGCATGCTCAGGGCTTTCTGATTGATGAACCTGCCAATGATGAGTATGATGAGGATGACGACGACGATCTTGCACTTGCGGCTCTCGAGTCGCTTGATGCTATCGAAGTGTTGAAATACGATCACCGTGTGGATCGAACAGTCTATGAAACGCGTATATCGATCGATACCTTCCGTCGACTGCTTATGTTGCTACTCGTCATTGCACCTTTGAAGCACTTAGAACCAGTCAAGGTCTATACATCAGATCTTAGCCCTGAAAGATTTGAGGCCGTCGAAAAAGAAACAGACAGCATCATTGCCGCGTTTTCCCAAGAGGAGTCAGATGGCGGCATATCATATTGTGCTTTTGCTCGGACGGTCTCGTCGTCTTTACCATATCTCTTCGATCCTCTTACGGCATTGTTTGAGCATCTGCTTTTCAGCAAGAATCTAGATCTTTCTCAACGACGACAAAGAGGGGATGCTCAAGAAGAAGATAAGGGCGAAAGGCCGGACGAAATACCCCAGCCGACTCCGATCACGCTCCCCGGCAGCTTTGAGTCAACCATTTTGAATTCGACATTAATATCACACATTTCATTCTTCTTGCCTTCGGTCTCCCCGTCACTCAATCTCTTTCGTAGTGGTGTTCGCCTCCACCCTGTGTTCTCAACCGCCGCCCACGGCTCGTCATTAACATCCTTCTCTCACCACGTCTTAACCTGGCAATCCGCAACGCTGCTCGTAATCCAAGGCTCAACAGAAGGTTCTAACCAAGAAACAGTTATAATAGGTGCATATCTTCCCCAATCATGGAAATCTCCAAACTCAACAAGCAGCACAACAAATAAAACCTCCAACACCCTCCCTTGTCTCTTCGAATTATCCCCAAAGCATCAACTTCTCCCAGGGAATTCATCATCATCTGTTAGCAGCAAATCAAATCTCCCACCAGCCTGGTTCTCAACAAACTCCGGCGTTGCAATAGGCTGCCAAATACCACCACACTCACGCAGCCAGCACGCTCAACCCAGCCCACACGGCGCGGGCAGCCTGATCATCGACGTTAATCTGGAAACAGCAGATCTTTACGTCGAGCCAGCTGGGCACGATGGTGTTTTCCTGCCAAGTGGAACCGCCTCATTGAATGATAAGCCACTCAAAACACATATTGATATTTACTGTCTTGAAATCTGGGGTGTAGTTCCTGACCCAGATGTCGGGTCTTCGGACCCCAGCTCCAACGCTGTTGAGATTCAACGTGCAAAGTGGGATTTCGAGGCTCACGAGGCCGAGAGACGGCGGAATGTCAATTTGAAAGCTGGCGCTGGGGACTCCGCGAAGGAAAGTGCTCGCTGGTTATTGGAAACGGCGGGCATCCTTCCAGGAGATCAGGGTGGTGGGAGCGTTTGACATATTTTCTTAGTAAGGTCTTTCGTACACATCACACCACAAACCAGGGAAGCTGTAACAGGACTTCAGTTTGATAGATGGAATTATATTCAAAGTGACCCAACATTGGAATTTTTACATTCGAACGTACGATATAGTTAATTAGTGAGTCATATAAAAGCATTACATAAGTCAACATGTCCCTCGGATCTGCGCTCTTCACCGACATGATTGATCTCAATACAACAACCTTGGAGCAAAAATGACCGACTCTCCTCTTCACATTGGGATGGCGCTCTTTCCAGGCTTCCAAGCCCTGGATGTCTTCGGCCCACTAGACTGCCTAAATACTCTATCTCGCACCCATAACCTTACATTGAGTCTCATATCCTCAACACTGGAGCCAGTTACAACCAGACCCAGTATATACCCCAATGCCATAGGCCAATCAATCATGCCCACGCATACATATAGCGCAGCCCCACGATTGGACGTGCTCATAGTCCCTGGCGGCTTCGGAACTCGTGGTTCATCGCCTATAGTGGAAGAAGTCGTTTCGTTTATCCGGGAAGTATACCCAAGCCTCAAGTACTTGATTACTATCTGTACTGGTGCCGGACTCGCGGCTAGAGCGGGTGTGTTGGATGGGAAGCGCGCGACCACGAATAAGATGGCTTTTAACGAGATGAAGTCTCTTGGAACTGACGTTATGTGGGTGTCTCATGCTAGATGGGTTGTTGATGGGTCGATCTGGACTTCTGCTGGGGTTAGTGCTGGGATTGATGTGACGCTTGCTTGGGTTGGGGATGTGTTTGGAGAAGATAAGGCTAAGAAGATCGCGGGTTATATGGAGTATGATTGGCATCGAGATGCGAGTTGGGATCCCTTTGCCGAGTTATGTGGCCTTTGAGTGGATTAAGTTTGTAGTTAAATACCACCTTTAGCTCAGCATGTGGTAATAATCAATTGATATCCGTCTATGGACTACCTATGCATATAGAGAGAAATATATCACATTCTTGGAGGTAATTGGCAGCTGCTTCAACTTGCAGTTCACGTGAATAATGGAATTTGTATAGATTTGCGACTAAACTGATACATGGGATATTGATGTAGCGTGAATAGTCATGATGCACCAAAGTGCCCATCCTTAACCGGTCTGGCCAAAAATCAACCACAAATGGGCGGCAGCCCCATTGGCGCATCATATAAATCCTTTAATTCTTCATAATCAGGCTCTTGGTCAAAATGATTGTCGAAGAAGGAATTCTCGACTTCTGACTCCTCCTCGGCTGCCTTGACAACACCTCTGGATGGACGTCGAGAAGCAGCCGCGGTAGTATTCATCCCAGAAGTTGGCGTGCTTTCAGCCTCGAATACTACACGAGACTCTTCGCGAGGTAGACGCAGGGCTGGGAATCCGTCTGGCGCACGCTCAGCTCGGTCCATGATGTCGTTCATATACTTGCGCACCTCTTCGGCTGGCTTCACTACATGGGTAAGAGGCTCGAGAAACCTGTGGTCAGTCGCGTGGATGCGGAAGGTAACAGGTTGCCAGTATTCTTTGAGCTTGACCGCTTTTACTGGTGGCTCGCTAGGGCCGGCAGGCGTCTCTGTCTGGTTGGGAGCGGGTTTGACATCTGACTTATCAGAGGGTTCAGGCTTAGGCTTAGCATCTGCCGCGAGTGGGTTGATCGACTCTTCTTTTTCTTTCTCAGTTTTAGTCTTCTTCTTTTTTGGAGCCGCTTTTGCTTTGGGTGCATCTGTGGCAGGCTTAATTGGAAAAGGAAGGCTCGGATCGACCATGCGGATGACGAGGAAGGATGCCAAGATAACATTCTCATCCGGTAGCCATTCTAAAATTGTGTGTTCGGGGAGCAGATATCGATCTCCCGAACCCGCATGGCCAGAGGCACTGTTTCCGTAAGGAGTTAAGGGAGATGTGAATTCAAAGACCACAGCTTTATAAGCTTGGCGACTAGGAGTGGATGGAGGTCCTGAAGGTCGGTAGATTGGCGCAGGTGAACTGTATTGAGGGCGTGACTGAAGGTGGGATTGCTGATATGGAGGAGCCTGCCCAGATCTTGCTACTGGCTGTTGTAAAGGTTGTGTATGACGTACTGCTGGGCTTTGCTGCTGGGAAATCGTGCCAACAGGCGTTTCAACTGGAGCGGGTGTTGCAACTGGCTCCTGCTTGATTTCTGGCTTGCCATTTGCTGGCGTGAGTGCTGGCGTCCGGGGCTGAATTGCAGATTTAGAAGTATCCTCGGACTGTGGTTTATGTGGATTCACTGCCTGTCCTTCCGAAAAATTGTCTTTTGATGGAGTCTTGACTAATGAATCTGGCTGTGACTTAGAACCCTGGCTCTGAGTTGAGGGAATTGTATGCTGCCCCTGCTTCCCCTGTATCACCGGCTGTGACGAGACTGGTGTAGGTGGTACTTGTTGAGTTGGGGTTTCAGATGAGTTTTGTTGGCGCCTTTCCTGCTGTTCTCTCGCTTTGATGATAGCATTTAGTTCATCAATATGCGCTTGAAAAGCACGAAGCTGTTCTTGCGAGGCTAGACTACCAGCAACGACCCTCATCAACGCTTTGAGCTCTGGATCAGCAGCCGCCCGGGTGGCAAGCATTTGGATAACTGGATCAGGACTTGGCTTTGCAGGTCCGCTTTGACCTTGCGGAGGTCGCTGAGGGGGTTGCTGGTGTGGACCACGTGGTGCAGGTGAACCATTGCTTTGATAACCTGATTGAGGGCGGCCTTGGGTGGCAGGTGAATAGGGCGGCCTGCGCTGTTGGTTTCCGGAATATGGCTGGTATTGCTGAAAGTTGTTCGGGTGTCCATAGTGAACCATCGGACGCTGTGGAGGGGCATATTGAAGGGGCTGAGGCGCACTTGGATCTTTCACAGTGTAAATTATGGCGTCAAACAGATGGGGGCCAATAGTGATATCGCAAGGCCCAACTTTCGTCATTGAATCTTTCGGGGGATTTAATTTTTCGATCTGTTCGCGCTTCGCTTTTTTCGGTTTCGTGTAATATCGGACAAGTATGCCATCGCTGACCCAGCTCTTTTTCGATCTCTCTAATGATGCAAGAAGTACTGCGCTATTGAGTAGCCAAGTGTTAGTACTTCAGTATCATAGAGCAGCATGGCGCATCGGGGAATCAAACCTTTCAGCGACAGACAGATATTCCTTGTCAGGCAAGTCGGTAATCTGTTGCTCGCGTGTAACTGGTATGGGATCGCCATCGTGTAGTTTTGTTGGGAGTGGTGCCTCTACGGGTTCTTGGGGTTGAGATGGAGCGCGAGGAAGTGCTTTCTTCTTATGGGACGGTGTTGGTGTCGCGGCCGCTTCGGGGTGTCGTTTTTTGGAGGCAGGTTCGCGTCCCGCGCGTGCGGGAAGCTTACGCTTTTCTACCATTGATTAATCAATAATTTTTTCTTTGTAATAGGTGTAATGTGGGTACAATCATAGTTTGGGAGGAGTTCGGTGGAAGATGGAAGGGGAAAAAGCGTGACGCGATAATCACCTCTTATCAATTTGTATTTCCGCTTCTCCGCTTTTGTTGACAACATGGATGAGTTACAGTCAGTTTTCAGGAAGGCCTTCTGGTCTCTTGCGGCTGGAGGTTTGCTCTATATAATTTTGATATTTGCCTTGACATTCCCAGAAGTTCAACGTTTGTATGTATCAATTCCCCCGTCTCCTAGATTGCATAGCTTACTTAGCTCAGCGTTCTCTACGCCAACAAGATCAATCCTACTTACTGGCAGAACTTGAACCAGGTAGAGCAATTTGGATTTTCAAGTAGGCTCCCAAGCAACTGTTCTCCTACTTTCAGTATTGATTTGTACAGAATCTCAGGTGCAGCCGTTCCACTTTGTAACATCGGACAATGAGGTTTTATATGGCTGGCATATGCTACCTCTTCATCTTTGCCATGAGCATGAGCAGGAACTGAATGAGAATCCTCCATCTGGACCGATGCATGATTATAGAGAAACTGTTGCCTACAAACTGCTGCACAATGACCCCAACGCTCGAGTGGTAGTAAGCTGTAGGTCACTTATCATTTTCATCCTTTTTCGCTCCCATTTCTTCCTCTTTTAAAGGTTCCTTTGCCTTACGTTTCCTTTCATCCTCTTTTTCTCGGCATAAAGGAACTACATAAAGGAACTACATAAACTATCTATGCATACTGGTCATGTCAATATGCTGATATTTCCCTTCAGTCCATGGAAATGCTGCCCATCTTGCATCAGCTCAACGCCCAAGTAATTACAACCTACTTCTCGGGTTGTCAACTCCGTCAAACCCGATTCACGTCTTTGCAATTGACTATCGTGGATTTGGCCTATCGTCTGGCAGCCCCACAGAAGAAGGACTCATTACTGATGGTGTCTCACTTCTCAATTTCCTTACCGCTGGTCATTTCCAGATACCTCCTTCACGAATTGTCATTAGCGGTCAGAGTCTTGGAACTGCAGTCACAGCTGCAGTGGCCGAGCGATATGCATTCGGATCTCTCGATCCTACTATTGCCCAGCCTGCTCTCTTGGACCCCGAGCCCTTTGCTGGTGTAATCCTTTTGGCATCATTCAGCAGTCTTCCCAGTCTTATCGAGTCTTACAGTGTCAAAGGTCTTACTCCTCCGCTGCTGTCACCCCTAGTTGGTTATCCCGGATGCAAGAAGTGGGTGACGAGCCATATTGTGGATAGCTGGAACACGGCTGGCCGGTTGGCTCGCTTGACAGGTGTAAATTCTTCAGATGCGGCTACACCTGTATCAAAATACTCGCACAAAAACGTCAATCTCATAATTATCCACGCCCTGAATGATGTGGAGATTCCACGACACGAAGGGAGGCTTAACTGGGCCGCTGCTACAGGTGAAAATATTGAAAGCGCTCCGGGTATTTTGACCTTGAAGAAAACCGGGAGTTCTGGCGAGGTCAAGATCTGGGAGAACAGAATTATCAATCAGGATGGAAGCAAAGCTTTAAAGAGGGTTCGATGGGAGCAGGTTCCATATGGTGGTATGTATCCTTCCCCTTTTTCGTATTGCAACATACTGACTACAATCCTTACGTGTTTTCAGGCCATAACCGAGTTGCTTCATTCTCGGTTACTGGTCTTGCCGTTCTACGCTCATTTAAAGAGCATTCCAATTAACGATACGTCAGTGACTGTTTCAACAGAGGCAACATTGTAGCGACAAGTTGTATCTAGGTACCTAGGCATCGAAAAAGTGATTTTCGTTATAGGTGTAACGGGTGTTCGGACAATCTCCAGTAGCTGTACCACTAGTGGCAATCTGACAGAATATCATGCTAGTAATACAAACATTCTTCTAATTACAGCTATGCGTTATTTAGCTGTCCTTTAGTAGGCAGTAAATTTTAGTTCAAAACCGGCAGAAAACTGCATATAGCAGTAAGGAAGTGCATGGCTTCATAAAATTTGGTTGATCGAAGGATGTAAAAAGCAGACAAAATAATATACCTTCTGAAAGTCAATGAAATTGAAATTCATTGGACAAAGAGGAGGAAACGAGTGGGATTAAGAAATTTGGCAGAAACTCTCGTTCGATTTTATTTTGAAAAGTCCTGATAGGAGATAAAAAGCTGTCAGTACAGCGTTTAATGAAGTGGTCTGACTGATTTTCGATGATATAACCTCTTGTGAGAACTTCCTAAACACATTACAGAGGTTTCTATCATCTGCAGGATTTTGAGCTGCTGTTATTGTTGTTGCCATGGCTGTTACATCGCTTGGAAATGATAATGACAGTATATTACAGATAAGAGTTATTACAGATGAAGTTAGAGATCAATGAATAGGAATACGATTATGAACTGTCCAAGTTGACTGAGGGCCAGAGTAAACAGAATATCAATATAAAATCTTAATTTAGTGAGCGGTAACTATATTAGGCGGTAAAATGAAGTGGGGGTCCAATTTTAGCTTAGTCATAGATATGATGCTTGGACTCTCTCACCCATTGCCCCGATGTCAATCCAACTCACCTGCACAGGATGAGTATTAGCGCAGTGACAAAAAGGACAGTGGGGAGAATTCCACTCGCTTTTGAGCTACACAATCCCAGAAAAGGTATACACTTATTGACTGAAAGTCCAATCATTTTCCTGCATGGCTTCCTCGGCTCAAAACGAGAAAATAGGCCCGTGAGCCGGTAAGCTCTATGCATGTACTGAGTAAATCTCTTTCTTGACTGATTCATTTGATGTGAAGGGCGTTAGCTCATGATTTATTGCGAAGTGTTTACGCATTGGTGAGTTTCTAGGAAATTTGGTAGTCTCCTAGAAACTGATAACGAACTAGGATCTACGAAATCATGGAGACTCAGGCCATCATCCAAAACATGACTATATGGAGATGGCATTGGACATTAAATATTTTATAGAAAAGCGTCAACTTGGACAGGCCACTATCATTGGACACTCGATGTATGAATTTCGTGACTCGCATTTTGAATACCTCATATGGCAATCCGACTGAACTATGCCAATAGGGGCGCAAAAGCAGCTTTATCACTAGCTCTCCACTCGCCACATCTGGTTAAAGATGTAGTTGCCGTTGATAATTGTCCCATAGAGCTGCCTCTGACTCCAGACTTCTTGAAATACGTCGAAGCAATGGAAAGCGTGAATGAGGCCCAAGTCCGAACGCACAAAGAGGCCGATGAAATTCTGAAAGATATCGAACCAGTACGCCTCTATTGAAATATCTTGCGCGGTTAAGCTTTGTGTTAACTTATTCACAGTCACCAACGATACGACTGTGGCTACTGAGCAACTTTGTGAAAGATAATGATCTTCCATTTTTAAAATGCAGAGTCCCTCTTGATACCCTGCAGATGTCGATCGGCCCATTGGGAGACTTTCCCTATAAGAACGAATCGATCAGTTTCCCAAGACCTGTCCTCTTTCTTCGGGCATTGCAAAGTCCATTTATACCTGATACTGCTTTTCCACTTATTAGGTCTTTCTTTCCTTGTTCTAAAGTCGTCGATATTGATTGTGGCCACTGGGTTGTTCAGGAGAAGCCAGCAATCTTTAGAGAAGGTATGCTCCAGTATTGGGAAACAAGACTTTAATCTTTGCTGATTATCTCTATCAATTCTAGAGGTTGTCAAGTTTCTGCACGGCGAGTCTGTCGAGGTTTGATATAGGACTTGTACATTTGCATACTTATTCGGCTCATACCTACCTAGGTACCTGTATGTAGCAGATTTCCTTTCCACGGTGGGGCTTTCCTAAAACAGCTACCGCCGCTTTAATGAGGACGCTCAGAGTCAAGCGCAGTTAGTAAATTTCAGTCCGGGCTCAGGCTCAGTAACCTGCTCAGTCTTATCACGTGACAGACCACTGAGGCCCAATGAACGCTCAGTGACTACTCAGTGAGCATGATTGGCTGCTCCCTGCTTACTCAGAGATCGATCAGTGCCATCTATTGAGCACTCAGTCTTTTCTCACGCTATACCCAAAGAGTACTAGTGAAAACAAGGTTACAGTCTGATGGCTGAGGTGTTTAAATATTTCCTCTATATAAACATAAGATGACGCAAAAATTTGAATGGTCTATATCGTTGATCATAAAGGGGGGAGGGAAAAATTTTGCTCAATCGGAGAGACCTAGGCATAACCAGGCGTATATAAGTTGAAATGAAACCCCTCTCTGAAGCATCATCATAACTACTTTTCATTCTCTTATACATACGCTTATCTTGATTTCTCTTGCCGGCACTTTTTTAGCCAGTCACCTATGGGCCAGAGACAGTATCATGGTCAACGAGACCATATCGCAAAAGAGAAACGCTATAAACGGTTACAGGAAAGTGGCTACGTTTTCGGAATGCATGCAAATTATGATGCGATTCGTGATAAAGATAAGAGACTGGCCAAGACTAAGAGGACATACCAGCAACATGCAAAGCTATGGAAAGAGTATGCTGCCACTAGTTTTGATACGAATGATACGTGGATAAAAACTGACCTGCTTCTAGATTCCTCGAGCAAAATGGGAAAGGAAGCCATGAAATGGACCACAAAACCAATGCCCCTGATCACATACACATCAGAGAGTTTATTCGTTAGTACATTTATTCCACGCGCGGACGTATTAGTGAAAATAGACGACCAGTCATGAAATTAGTTCTGTCATTTGCGGAGCGGTTCTTAGTGGTCTTGAAGAAGAAATGCAGATTAGTATTATGCTAGAGGATCGAAGTGAGATTGTCGATCAACTACGTTGAAAGGACAGGGTTCACAAGTTGCACTATATACACTGGAAAAGGGTATGGTTCGTCCTGGATTCTTAGTATATACGTTGTGCAAAGTGGTGTGAAATGTGTTCGATTCATGTAGCTACTTGAGTTCCTAATATAGTCGTTCCCCCGTGACTCGGGGGTCTGTTTGTTCCGTTCCGGGTTTATGGTATTGCACGATTGCAATATCCATGTTCCGACAGTAACTATATATGGCTGATCAATAAGCTTTTCATGTAAGTAGATGTGAGAAGTTGGTGATGAAGCATAGCAAGATTTGGAGCTAACACTTCATAGTCCTGGATGCCTGAATGCCGCTGCGGGGTTGCTGACTACACTGATCAATATTTACACCTCACAGAAACGCAGCTGGTCGGTGATGGCTAGTGTCAAGACTGCGGTCACCGGAGCTTAAAGGCATCGCTCCTTGTGAGCCTTTACCTTCCTTAGTTAATTCTTTTTGGAAAGCAGTCCAATATAACTATGAAGTTAGTCGGAAGTTTAAGAGCATTTTCAAATCTTCTAACTTACCTCACATCACCTAGGCCGACCACAGAAGGTATAATTACATAGGTAGATAGGATTACATGACTGATTGATAAGATTCATTCTAGGTCTAAGGAGTTCAGATTCGCAAAATGTAAGTAATGTACATTAAGACGATGTAGGCTTGTGTCCTCAAGCTGCCCATTCATATTCCGGCACCTTGTAAGCACCAGAATGCTTTGAAGAACTCCCAAAAGACTTGTTTAAGAGCGACGGAAGTCTACTCCAGCAAATAAATGCAAAAATCGTATTTCTCACCCAAATCCCCCAACTAGTCTGAGGTGCAAACATTCCAGGGACGAGCGGAGGAATCTTTTGCATATCATTAATCAACGGCCGAACCTGTTCTTCATACCCCTTCAATCCCGCTGCCAGGTTACCTCGGTGCTTCCCAATCTCGCCCGCCAGCATATATGCTCCAGCAATAGCCAGACTTGTACCGGTGCCTATTGGACCAGGCGCATAGCCAGCATCACCGACCATTACGAATCGCCCTTGGTATAGAGTTGGCGCTTTGACCTGTGCCCATTCACTGGCGTAGAAGTCGTCGGTTTCGAGCATGCCTCGAATCACCTCGTCGCACTTCCAGCCTGCTCCTTTGAAGTGCTCGGCGACGAGGTTCTTGAGCGCATTAGTGTCGAGCTTATTTGCTTCGCGAAACTTTTTCATTGCATCAGGATCGGTGCGCGGGTAAATTCCCATTAACCCAATCCGGCTGCCTCCAGTGGGATCAGGACCAATGAAGATGGCACGGCCGCCAACAACACTGTACGCTTGACATATTTGACTCCCGTTGAGAAGGTCTTTTTTGATTGAGAAGTAGGCTGACCATAGGTTCATAGTTTGGATGTAGTCGCGCACGCCACAGCTGAGTCCAATTGCGCGAGTCCTTGATGTCGCGCCGTCACAGGCCACGACAAGGTCATACTCTGAGGTGGGTGTACCGTTCAGGAACTTGACTTGAATATGCCCATCGTTCTTCTCGTGATGCTGCATGGAAGCAATTTGCTCGCCGAAGATATAATTGACACTCTCGTGGTTTTTGGTCAAGTCGAAAAGGATACGCGATAGATCACCGCGCAGAATTTCAAACTCAGAGATCAATGACTGTTGATCGGGATTCCCGGTGGAAGTCATGGTTCCGTAAGGTCGGCCATCCTCACGCATAATACTTATACCGTCCACTTGTTGGAGGTTGGCTCGAACTGCTTCCTCCATACCAGGCATCTTACGCATTACCGAAACGCCTGCAGTTCGAATGTCGACATTATGTCCGTTTTTTCGCATTTGAGAGAATCGCTCGATGACTGTGACTTTTGCCCCGGTTTTGGCGAACCAGTAGGCTGCCGTTGGGCCTGCGATGGAGGCACCGACGATCAAGACTCGCAAATTTGACATTGTGGTGCTTGAACGATTATTAAAGAATATTATTCGGGAATTTGGGGGCAATTATATAGTTTCAATGCATTCAGCTTAAAATCATAACAGCGAGAGACCCGAGGAAGTACGAGCTCTGATTGGTTGAGAGATTCAGATCGGATCTCAGATTGGATCTAATCTCGGGATACGAGCACCCGAGCAACTGACCAATCACAGAAGCCATGAACCCTGGGTCATTCCCATGCTTGATCTTGAATCAGTTGATCCCAAAAAAGCCAGTTATCGACGTCAAATTCGAGATACTGACCCATTTCAGAGACAATGCTCTCAGAAAAACAACCAATAGATGTATTTCCGTCACTCGCAGTCGGTGGTCTGCTTGATGAACGTAGCAATTCCTCTGGCTGAGCTTTTCTTTTCATTTTCTTGCAACGTACAGATCGCAATGTCTTGATGAATTCCGGTTCGGAGTGATCACTACTCGATTGGTAGGAATCCCAAATTTGCAAGGTAAGACGTCGAAGCGCCACATTCAGCGCCTGCTTGCCATCGAAGAGCTCGTCGTGGTTCTGGTAAAGCTGTCCTACGTTTTCCCAGGCATCCTCGATTTGTTCCGAGGAGAGTAAATCTCGTCTTTTCCACAATGTAGTGAGGATAAAGATGAACGAGTCTCGTGTACCCCATAGGAAAAACGGCTTGATATGCCACTCAAACCTGCTTATGCCTCGGTGAGCATGGACTGCCGCGTCGGTATCCAGAGTCTTCTGCGCAATTAGGAACAGCTCTTTCCGTTCCTCATCGGTAGCAGTTTGGTCCCTGATCTTGTGAAGGCGGACTATAAGCCGTTTGGCTGTCATGCCAGATCTCGTAAGTCCGATGGTAAGGAAGTGCAACGGATTGACGATGTCACAGTAACGAATAAACTTCTCCTCCACTTCATCTTCTGCTGCAGAAATGGCCGTTTCAGCTTCCTGGAGATCGGAGAAGCTCCAAGGTGATGTGCCGTTGGTAGGATTTCTCGCTTTAGCTAATCTTTTCCCGACATATGCGCGTGAGAGACAGAATATCATATCGGTTGCGCACTTTTGCTCTACAGGCTTCTCCGTCATTCCAGGCCAGATTTGTTCATCGTTGATGTTGAGAGGAGGCTTCGTATCCCAGCCTTCAGGCAAACTGAGAAAGTCAATCCCTGCAACGAGGCTTGCTCGGCAGTCCTGTGGAAAGAGTTGGTAGAACAGTCGTCGTCTCATCTCCACGTCAAATGGTGGTAGTCCCAGTTTCTCTCCGTCTCGGTGAAGACCGATTCTCTGTCCGATGCGGCAAGATACGCCCGTCAGTATCCAGTACGTATGTGGATCGTATAGGTAGCGGCTAGATAGAAGGAACAGGTAGAGTGCTTGCAAGACGGATATTTCCGTTGTTTTGAGAAAAGACGCATTCACAAGGGCCTGGCGTGCAGCACAGTGGAAATTTTGTATCAGTGTAGATCGCTCTTGACTAAATTGCTTGACACACTGTTCCTCGGTGATTGAGAAAACTGCACAATTGTAGATCGCAAATAATAGACACTCATCTGTCTTCGACGCTATTTCAGGATGATGCGAAATAGACTCGACCATTTTACCAGTTGATGGGACGTGCAGGACCTTACAAATGGGTTCCACGTTTTCAGTATACGTCTTCCATAGCTGCATTGCCTCTATATGACTTGGATGATACTCCAATATTAATTGTTGGCTGCCTAGGAATGCACCAGTCAGGGGATCCGGTGAAATACCTCCCGCAACGTTGGCACCGATGGGAGCCATCTCATCCTCTTCCTCATCATCAGACATGTGTTGGATCTCATCGTTTCCGAGATTATACCACATATGTCTGTCAATATATCTCGATCTCCCTTGACCAGTCAGAAGCTTACCAGTCTTAAACGCGTGAGTGGCCAATGCCGATTCCCGAGGGGACACATCTTTGGCAATTGACGTCTCGGCATCCAACAGACCATTTTGTTGCAGGATACGCTCATATTTGGCTAGCTTTTCAAACACCTCATCGCTCATTTTGCGTTTTCGAGATCGTGGCTGGGGTGCTTGGTAAACGCACTCGAACCCTCCCTTGCGGCATCTGGAACAAATTGGAGCCTCTTTGTCGCATTTAACTTTTCGTCTGGTACAGGTCTGACAAGTATAGGACATTACGGATTGTGATGAGTCTCCGTTGCCGCTTTCGTTGCGGCCTCCCCGGGTGGGAGCTGGGGTAATAGGGACCAGGTCGCTACGTCCATTGTTGGCCATTCAAGCTTTTGCGGACTTAAGAGGCCGCAACAGTGAACACCCTTGTCTTATCGATTTCGAAAACTTCTCATCTCATACAGGCTAGGGTATTCCTTGTGATAATTTCCATCCCTTTAGGGAGAGTTGGACTTGAAGTCGACCTCGGGTCAAGCAGCCGAGCGGCAGTAATCATCGCCTGTCACCGCTCCACGGTCAAACCAAGATGGCTTTGTCGCCAATTTTGATCAAGTTCCAATGCGTCACTGGAGAGCTTTCTGAGATTAGGTGCTCGGAAAATGTCAAAGATATTGAATACAATCGGAATATTTGAAATTCGATCGAATACATTCGATTCAAAATCTCCGAAAAAAATTCACTATCGGACTGCTGATCGCAGCTCTCTAGTTCTCACATACGACAACGAGAATAGAGCTTCACGATAGCTTGACCCAAGCTATAATAAGTTAATTTATCTGTTGAACTAGGGAAAACTTGTGGAATTTGGCTAGGGCTTGGAGGAAAAATGCAGCTTGGCTACAAAGCCATATACATAAGCTTAGTCTTTATGCGGCCCTTTTTCAGTGACGACTGAAACAATTTCGCACTTTCCTATGGCTAGGAATGGTTTATGTTTGGAAGTATTGCATTTCTAATAGCTTGAGCGAAGCGATAAGCTATTTACGCACCGATTTTACACGAGATGGATGACAATCCTTATAGTTCACGTGACAAAAGCGGTGAAGAGTGGATGCATCATTTACTCGTAGTACATATAGGTCGTTGCCAAAACAATACCACCAGCGCAATATTATAAGCAACTCACCACGAATTTTCCCATGAACATGAATCACACCCCAGACCTCCCACAAATGTTCACCCCACGCACTGGATTTCTGAAACCTTCAGATATAGAGACTCATCTGAAAAGTTCCATCGCTAAAGCAGAACACTACAATATCCTACGATACGAGGATGTGAACGAGGAATGGGCCGCCAAAATCATTGATTCGCTTGACAAGATGAGATTCAACTCCTCATATAGGCTCTCATATTCCTCCGTGTCGTTGGTGCTCCGCCTCATCGTAATGCCGACCCCGGCCCACGATTGTTCCGCAAAGTGGTGGCGTTTATGCGAATTGGATATGGTTGCGACCGGGGTGCTCACCCCATTTGAGCAAGCTCAATTTGAATCGAATGTTGGAACCACCATGAAGTTCACCACAGGCCCATATCTGGGCTCAGTAAAACAACCAGACTTTTTCATTCGAACGGACGATGAAGTTCTCCCATCTCTGGTCATCGAAGTGGGATGGTCCGAGTCATATGATGATCTTCTAAGTGACCTCAACCTGTTGATGATTGGCGGAGATGGAATGATTCGAACGACGATTATCATCAAACTCTCGAAGTCAACAAAGCGTGGAGTGACGACCGTGAACGGCTTTATCGAACTATATACCCTCAACCGACGGGGAATCCCTGTTATCAAACAAGAAGAAGTATATTTATGTATATACATTATATATTCAGTTGCTTACCACGTGTAGGTACTTTACCCACCAACCGGGCAGTGCAGTCTTTGCGGCTCACGCGCAAAGAGGTCTTTGGACCATTTTTGGTCAATGACCCAGGCCGAGTTCTTCCAGTCACCGACCGTGTGGAAATGAGTATTGAACATCTCAGAACTGCCTGCACCCGAGGCCTTCAACGAATGAATCTCACTCCAAGTGAGTGATGGAGGCGCCCTCACAATTGGGTTGTTGCTCTCATCGACTTAGTCGCTTATCATATCAAGTATTTGCTCTTTTCCAACAGTTGACCCTAAACAAATTTAATTTCTCAGTATGCGGTAAAGCCCAGTGAATGCGCTAACCCGGCCGATGATGGTGCTCAAACTTTGCTAGAGCTACCTAGGTAGAGAGCGAGACAACAGTATAAGCTAACATGATATTCATACATGCTTCAATCCAATAGCTCCGCTTAGAATAACGTGGTTCACCCTGGTGGATAAGCCGCAATAATCAGGAACAGTTTCATTTTGTTGTAGATTGTTCCATGCAGGGGTGACAGATTTTCCCGAGGTCTCGATGTTCCCGAGATCGTCAAGATCCTTTTGTCGAGCAAAAAGGATGCTATGTGATCTGTAATCTCATTGGTGATAAATGTTACGGGATGGATACAGGAATACGCTGTACGGATCCGATGTTGATCAAGAAGAATTAATTAAGGACTGAAAAGGGATGATCCATGGGACGGATGCTCTTATGAAGCTCTCCGGTTCCACATAGAGGCCAGCAGCGTAGTATCCACAGGAGACTACGCATCTATATAGGGTCTTATTACGTCTACTCTCCTGCCGGATTAATAGTTATTCCAGAAGATTTTCTCCACTTTCCATACCGCTTTACTCAGGTAACGATCAGGTGATGATCAGTGACGGCAATCGTATGATTACATAACGGTCACTGACTTGCTCTTGGCGTTCGTGGCGTGCTCAGCTCTACTCAGTGAGCAAAAAGCGGCAAGCACTGAGCACTAACGCGGAAGGGGAAAGCCAAGAACTGGAAAAGGAAATCCTCTACATAGGTAGGTAAAATACATGCTTCACCTAGGTAGTACTATAAAAACTTGAAACATCAGTTTCGGCCAGCCCTTGGAAGGTCCAATCGCCTAAGGAAACGTCGAGAGACCTCATATATCTAGCCTAGCTCGTTGATGGTGCAGAGGGACTTTTATACTTGTCTCGTAGAAAATCAGAGATACGCTCTGGATCCATATTATCAATATATTCCTGCTCCAATTTAGGCACTGCCAGGTGAAAATTATAGTTCCTCCAGTTAACCAACTGCCCTATACTTGGGAATGAATAAAAAGACTTACCATTTTCAAGAGCACTGGTCTCATCAGATCCACTCCGACCACACGCAATGCTCCCAATTGCACTTTTAGCATTCTGCAACACTTCATCTGCAGCAGGTATAGCGCTTCCAAGGACAGTATCTTTTAAAAGAGTGGCTTTTTCTCCGGAAACTGTGGCGACATGGTCTTTGATTTCTGAAATTGAGGTCCCGCTCGCCATTGAGGTCAGAGAGTTCCTGGAAATTGTCGTGGTATTTTCCGACTTGGGATCTTCAGTGTTCGGATTTGAATCTTTGCTTTGTTCATGTGCGGGGTCCATGTAGAATGAATCGCTAGATGACATTACTTGTGCCGTTGGAAATTTGATAATGATGTAATATTGTACGAAGTAACGACAGGAAATAATGATCGAATAACTTCTGATCGTCAACAGAGCTTAGAGGGATGGATTGCTTTAGCTTTCTGCTGAGATGTATAAAGATAGAAAGGAACTGTAGGGCTGAATTAGGGTTGAAGAGAAATCTCACTGTCATTTACTAAATGAGTATCCGAGGTATGACGTTGTAAGGCTTTCAAGGTTTTGGCGAGCGAATCGCTCTTGGAGATAAGTATCAAGGCAGCAGAATTAGTAAGCCAGACCCTGTTTCGTTGCAATACCTGGTTATGACGTCATTGGACTAGAGCGGCCTTTAGCCTAAGCTACAGCATGGTCACGTGACGTAACCCTAACCCCGTTCAGTACGGACATTCGCTACTGGCAGGCGTGCAAAATGACAAAACTGGGTTCAACTGTAGTCTTGACAACAAATGGTATGAACGAACCTTCAAAGCATGATCAATGTATTAGTTGTCGTTGTAAAGCGAACATGGCAGTTTTATCTGATATAAATAAAAAAGATTTTTATAAAAGCGACTTGGTACAAAAAAGATAGACAAAGTTGGCTGTACCATAACAGAGTCTAGTATATCCAACTACTTCAAAAAAGCAGCTGAAAAATACTAGCGCTATGAGAAAATCACAGAAATGATGAAAACAAAAAATAACAAAAGAGTTTGGGAACTTTCACACCAATGAACTAGTAGTTCAGCAGGGCAGAAGCACCAGTCTCACTCGAGATGTAGATCACCTCATGGTTGTCAGAGAAACCATTGAAGGCAGTGGCACTGCACTTGGTATAGGCACCCATCTCCTCGAAGAAGAGCCAATCACCAATGTCCAGCAGACCAGGCAGGTTAATGCGCTCGGTGATAATATCAATACCATCGCAGGTGGGACCCCAGATTGAGTACGGGATGGGCTCCGAAGTCGCAGAATTCGGAGTGCCAGGCTGGCTGTCGCTTGCCGAGAGAAGGATCTGGGCAACGGGGTGCTGGTGATCGAAAATGATGTTTGAAAAGTTGCCATACACACCATCATTGAGGTAGAGCATGTACGCATCGCGCGAAGGGTCCTGCGGATCAGGAATGTCACGACGCGCAATCACATTGGCTGCGAGAGTGAAGGCGTTGGCAACGTAGTAACGGCCGGGCTCGGCAATGATACGAATGTGTGGCGGGAAGTAGGTTTCCAGAGCGTCGCTCAGGATGGCAGAGAACTTCTCAAAGGTATCCTGGCAGAAGCCACCGCCGACATCGAGAGTGTGTATGTCGTGGCCAATTTCAGCAGCCTGATCGAACACCAAGCGCGCGTCCTGGACCGCTGTCAAGAAAGCACTAGCGTCTTCGGCACCTGAGCCGACGTGGAAACTCACACCGACAACCTTCAACTCGAGATCCCTGGCCAACTGAAGAAGCTGCTGAGCAACGTCTATAGACGCACCAAACTTCATGCTCAGTCGGCACAGGCTGGTTGAGTCGTCAGTCAGAATGCGGAGGTAGAGCTCTGCCTCAGGAAAGGTGGCCTTGATCTTGTAAAGCTCATCGACGTTGTCAAAGGTCATTTGCTTCACTCCAGCCTCCCTGGCGTAGCGGAGGTAAGATTTGGTCTTGCAGGGCTGCGCGTATATGATCCGGCTTGGATCAATGCCCGTCCGAAGGGCGAGATCAATTTCCGATTTGGAGGCGCAATCGAATCCATTGCCCAACTGGGCCATGAGTCGAAGAACCTCAGGGTCCGGGTTACATTTGACAGCTGCGGCAAACGATTAGGAAAACAATAATCTAGGGTCAGGGAAGCAAGAACTGCGACCTACCATAGAAAGGCTTGACACGGCTCAAGTTCAACTTCCAGCGCATATGCTGGCGGTATACCTCACCCATATCCGCTACATAAAATGGATCCTCCTCTCCAGCACCGCAGTGGTCCAAATCCACATCAGCGGCGCGCTTCTTAAGGACATTCAGGACAAGTTCCTTGGCCATCAACCGAGATTGCAACATCTCATCCTCGCCATGGTTGGCGATCAGACCAAAATGGTCATGGCTAATGAAGTCGTTCTTGATGACAGAGCGCACTTCAGAAGGCGATACACACGCAGTAGGTGCCATAATCGTACGGCTGCAACTCAGCACGATTTTCAAATTTCCAGGAGGAAATAAACGTTGTTTCAAATGTACGCAACTGCGCGTTAGGGAGGACGAAAAGCGTCACAACCGAGGTTGACTGGACCAAGCCTCTTCGACCCTTCCTCCTTAAGAGGAAGAACCTTCAAGGAAGTCCTATGCGGCAGCTCAGGGCTTTGTGGGGATTCTGATGGCGTCAACGGGGTGAAGAAAGGAGCACCTGACGATAGATCAGAAGTGAGTAGCAGGAGGTGGAATGTTGTTAAGAGTGTCGCGGAGACGTCGAGTTGAAACGTGTTGGCTAAGAAGCACAAGTGACGCTACTGGCGCCGTGATGACGTTGCCTTTGGGGAATCCAAAGGCGAAGCTGATTATGTGGTGTATCCTGACTGTTGTCAAGAATGATTAGTACCGAGGTGTAAACAAGAGAGAAGGTGAGGAAAAAATAGAAGAGAAAAAGGAGGGGTTAAAGAATGGGTGTTCAGAATTTTATTAGGGAAGGTCGGAGCGCAAATCCAAATGGGGATTGGTGGTAAAAAAAGACCGCAAACATGAGTCATAGCGATGGTGGAAACGAAGGTATAAAATGAGGGAGATACTCACATTTGGTATAAAATATACCTGGGAAGATATGGAAGGAACCTTGAAGGACTTGGGAGAGGAAGAAGAAAGAGAACAGACATTCAAGGTCTGGTTCCTTTTGGTGGGCGGAAAAACCAGGTCCACAAAATTGTCAATTGGGTCTGTTGATTGGTTGAAAGGTGGGCTCTGGACCCTTTAGCAGAGTATACAGTTACATAATCAATACTGTATTCAACTAGTTTGACGGGGAAATATTACAATGACACAACCCACTTGATTATGCGCGATTTGACTCTTTAAAATAATATTCATTGGAATTTTCGTGGCATTAAATTCATTGGAATGCTTCCATCGGAAATATTTCCGGAATCACAATGTCCCGGTGAATTGGAATATCTGCTAAAATGCGGTGTGACAATCCCTTTACAGTGGTTTCCAAGCTACACTTAGGGTTTTGATTAGGGCACTTCACTTATCACATACATCATGTACTCTGCACTGTACATAATTCATGCATATGAGATCGCCAAATAGGTATTTCAACTGCACGGAGTATTGCTGGATATTAGATTATGTGAAATTCTAAGTAAAAATGACTATTCATGACATCCTATGTTACGCAACAGGTGACTAATACAAATTTGGATTTGCGAATGAAGCAGGATCAAACATGAGCATACCCAGATAGCTAATATCAGAACAAATAAAAAAAATACCTCTCTCCATCCAACGGCGTCCACCGGTGAGGTTGTGCCAAGGCTGCCTATCATTTCTATACTTAGGTCCATGATGTGGCTGGGCTGAATAAACCTAGCTACTCCGTAGTCGCGACCCAATCCCCTTTTTCTTTCTTTCTTTTCTTTTTTGTCTTTGGATCTGTAGTTCCCAAGGTTTTCTTACTTCTCTACATTCCTCTCCCAAGTTCTGTTCTAGACCGACTACATGGGTGATGATCTTCGTGATAGTCGGCCAAATCTTTGTTAGATGCAACGTCCAGAGGAAATTTGTCTGAACCCACTAGATAGGAAATTAGTCATTCTGGGGTTATTAGGAAGAATCACACGTTTTCATTCCATACGTCACGATTGGTTTGAAGTCGGAGGAAATTCCAGGCGATGATGCCTTACATTAAGCATCCTCTATTCCACCCTCTATTCTGAACTGTTGGATCATACCTATTCAATTTCCAAACTTGATATATGCACATGTGACAAATGGTGCATCAAAGCGTCTACCTACCCATATATGCTAGGTATTGGAAGCACCATCGGCGGGGAGTATAGTATTTCTTGATTTCGACAAACACGAGATTAATCTCTAACCCGCAAACACACGTCAATAGCTCCCGAAAAAATGCAGCCTACCCAATCTATATAGCATGGCTGTTTGATAGCTCTATCATATTGGATGTAGAGAGAATCAAAGTCAAAAGTGGCCATTTGCTTTGCTTTGAAATTGTCAGCGTGGCGAGAAATGGCTTCTACACGGGTTAATAAGACGGCTTCGAGATTTTCTGAGACTGCTGCTGTGAGAACAAGTTCTTCAACTATGGGAACTAGAATATTAGGTTAACAGGATCCAATTCCGACCTTTTTGTAGGGATCTTTTACTATAGACTTGCACAACGGCCTTGGATAATGTCTCATGTGGAGCAGTACTAAGCTCATATCGGGCTGCTGGCATTTGCACAAGGCCAAAGTATTTAGGGATAGCCAAGGAACTCAGGTCGGTAACTTGATTTATTTGTAATGCTGAAATTGGGTCTGATTTTATGATATCCCCGTATTTCTTGGTCATCTCATTGATCTGCCATAGTTTGACGGGTTCGGCATAAAAGTCCTGGGACACATTGTCTAGCTTCCAAGAGAGGTCCACGTTGAGCTCTGGGGAGGGAATGAAAGGGAGGTCAAGCTCGGTAGACAATAAATCACTTCAGTGAATGTCAGGGCCGCCATTGTTGGCTAAATGGATGTATATACAGGGAAGGATGAAGGTGGTGAATGGATTAGATTCATATTTTTAGCCTTTCAAAATTGCGGCTACAGATGCCTCAATATGGATAGATTAGAGGGTGCAGAATAGTCTACAATCTTTGAAAGGGTTAGAACTTAGATGTTCCACCGGTTCTTATTTCCTTTCTAGGAAATACACATTTCTGACATACTATGGATTTTGAGCCGGGTATGATTAGGCAGAGGTAATTCAAGTGAATTGTGGTAAGTGGTTTATCAACGAGCCAGTGGTAACACTGCAATCACCGGTTATTATGTTAACTAACTAGGGAAATTATTGGTTAGCTGATACGATGACTCAGATCAGTAAGAACTAGCTACCCAAGTGGAAAGGGACCCCGGGACTGAGTAAATGTGTCATGAACCATACAGTTGGTGATTCAAGGGGACACACTGAATTATACTCAAAGGTGTAAGGTATAAGTTCGCCGAGAGAATCCCATGGGTGCTTTCGTGCGACCACAATGCAGTGTTATTCACAGTAGTGCACGGGCCGTGGCATGCAAGCCTGTTGTTGAGTTCCAGCCACCGCTTATAGCCCGTCTGAGATGTTTCACACAGCTAGCTTGTGGCTGTAACAGTGCAACTCAATTTGGTCAAACTCCTCATGTTGCGTAGGTAGCTGAACCTTGGTCTGGACGGAGAAAAATGACGCAGAACGCATCAGATCAAAGAAAATGGCTTCACTTTCATGTCGTCGCTTCAGAGCTACTAGAACTAAGGCCTCCGGAGAATCCCGGACCAATCGGTCGAGCGCAGAGACTAACGTTGGCAAACTGTCTGCATTGTAGGTACAATCCGACACCAGAATCAAATCTATAGGCTGGCTACAGAGATTTGGGGGCGGATCTTCCCAGTCGAGGTTCTTATATGTGATGGATGAGGAGGGCATCAAATGGGCGTGAGATATGTTGCGTGAAACAATCTCCTCTACCTCGGGCAGGTCTGTGAGAATTACTTGACAGCTATCGAGCATAGTTGCCAGTGCTATACCGACAATACCACATCCCGCTCCTAATTCCACGGCCTGCAGTAGCTTTTCTCGCGGTGTCCTCAGCAGGTGGCTGAGAGCAGGCATACTAGTATCTTTCCCTGCGATGATTTCATTGAGGAAGATAATTGATGCTAGCGCCGCATCCCTGGACCATGTATTTAGAACACAACACTGATATGCCCAGACAGATACCGATACTCACCAGATATGCCGAGCAATGCTGTTGCCGGTTTCTTCCCAGATCTTGAGCTTTGATCCCGTGTCTTGAATTCTGAGATTCCGCAGTATCAATTTCTCTGCTGGATCTGATTGCCACTTAAATGGTGCACTGCATGCAGATATCACCAATGGCGTGGATTTCGTTCCCAGAAGATCTTCTTTGGTGTCCTGCGGTCGAATCTCTACGATCGCTGGATGCCTAGACATCTTTTCTTCTGCAAAGGGTCCCAAGGAGACCTGGAGTTGACGAGACCCTGCCTGCCATTGTAAAGACACTTGATCTACAGCACCATGAGACACACCATGAACCCATGTGGCAACTAAGTCCACATTTTGAGCGAGAAAGTCATCACCGAGATCCGTAGTGATGGAGATGAGAGCATTGATGAAGATGGTCTTTTGAGATCTGGATGATTTTGTAATGACTTTTTTCCTTTCAAATTTCGGAGGTTTCAAGAAACGAATATAATAGACCATTGTTTTTGAGCGTAGCGAGACAATTATTTAATTCCTTCCCGTTTTACACTGCTAGAATTCCTTGAAAAGCTTAGATGACTAAGCAGAACACCGGTGGGCCAAGCAGCTTCTTGCCGTCTGAGTGAAAAGCGGCCGTTTCTCATTTTCAGTGTCATTTTCATAGGTCCTTCTTCTCCGTTTTTAAATGAAAGGACTTAACTAACCTATTCCTCACAAGATCCTCTGTTTCGATCTGTATTACGTAAGTGACTAGGTGGGGCTTCAAGCTGACTAACTTGGGAATGACATCGGTGTAAACTAATCACATCAGTCAGGCCAAGTCCTCTGGTCCATGTCCTCCTCTGGCTCGATGCAGTGAGTATTCCGTCAGTTCCGGAAAGCTCGTCTTTAAAAGTGTTGCAAAATGATAAGATCTGGTGATCCTCGTATCCGCCAGCGGATCAACCAGCTCTCCCATAACCTCGAATCTGCAAACGAGTCCGCCCAGGAACGCCTGTACACACTCTCTCAAAATTACATCTCTCCTTGCCTGGCTGCAGCAGGAAATTGTGTCTCTGTTTGTGTTGCGCCTTGTATTCCCAGCCGAGAAGATCAATTGCGTCGCCGGCGACGCGGGCGTGCGGAAGCCAACTTTGATTTCTACGATGATTGGGATAATGAAGAGGAGGATGATTCGATTTTAGGATGGGGTACTGGTGAGCTGGATCGTCTACTCGCAGGTAGCGGACTGGGTCGAGTGAGTGCAGAGCAGCCGCATCGACCAAGGAAAATGAGCTATGGGACACGCAACATACGGCGAAGAAGCACAGTACATATTCCAGACAGCCATTCCGATCCAACAGTCATCCCCACCTCATCATTTATTGGGTTCCTACAGGGGTTTTCATGGAGACTTGGTGCTAAGGGAGTCAAGTATCGACCTTCCGCGGCGGATTTACAAGAACACCCCGGCAGGTCCAGACGGTTTGCCCATGAGGATGAGCCGTTGATGGAGACAATAGACGACAATGACGGCGCGCTCTACCATGAAAATGGAAGAAACCGAAGTGCAACCCAGTCGTCACGAGAAACAAATAACTCGCTGAGCTCCCGCGGTGATCTATTCCCAAGTGATGAAGAGGAAGATGCAGTTCCGCTGGACGATGAATTTGCACTTACCTTTAGCCGCCGGGGGACTGGCTTGGAATTTGACGAACAGTCTGGCCCCAAGGCGGACATGGTCAGGTCTAGTTCAGGCACATTCAGTTTGGGAGCCACATCGTCTAAGAAGCTAGCGCGAAAGATGAAGAAGAAGCGTTTATCAAGAATGTCTGCAGTTAGTACAGATCAGGATTTCGCGCAGAGTGTCGATTCGCCGTCAATTGCAGACTTGAAATCGGAAGAAGATCGGGCGGCACTGGAAGAAGAGTCGAAGATTGAAAGGAAAAGACTTGCCGCTCAAGAACTTGCAATGAAACGAGGTCTTGATCTAGCCGATGCGGACATGGTGCGATGGTCAATTATTCTTGTGGCTTTTGATGGTTTACTGACATGGCAGATGTTTAGTCCGCTTCATCCTCCAATCCCACTCAATCCTCCAATAAAGACAACATTTTTAATCCAATATTGGTCGAGTCTCCTAAGCAAACCGAACCCTTTCCACCTTTCCCATCAGCGGCATCTCCGGGAACATCACCAAGACCCAGCTCCTTGATTACATCCGGTAGCGGGTTGGACTTAACGGACGGGCCAAGTCATCATGATCCTGGCGCACCGCATTAATCTCACCTGGTGTTCTCTATTAAAGACACTCGCTCATTCCCCGCGGATCTACTGGTCTGTATGATATGATGAATGGTTTTATTTTCGCTGTACTTATACCCCCACCGATAAGCATCGGACACGCTATCGACTGCCTTTGCTTTACAGCTCTGGAGTGACCAACAATCATATAACACTGCTTTTGAATAATGAATTTCATGAATCATCCTATCACCTACACAGGACCATCAAAGGAAGAAAGTAGTCAGCGACTAGACTAATGGTGAATTATGGGTTGGAAGCAGTTTCACCTTTCGGATAATTGGCACTCGCAGAGTGTATGAAATACGAACGATGGATAAATTATATATCACAGCCTTGCAAGCTCGGATATTGTTGGTCCTGTTCATTTCAGTACTACACAAATGCCATCGTGGTAAGCCAAATATTATATCCTACCCCTCATTTCTCTAACCAGCGCACTCAACTACTGCATGCTCTTGGAGCTGCCGTGTTGCATCATTAGAGGTTGAGAAAAGTGCGAAGACTTACAACTGGTTCTTAGCAAGAAAGCTTGAGCTAACTAAAGCTAGGTGTATGCGCAGGCTTGAGCTTGGAGACAGAGAGGGCCGTGGACTACATACCATACAGCGCTATGCTGGCATATATAGGCACTGACCCAATCCAAATAACCTACCTACGATTCCACTTACAGTCCTGTTCTACCGTCTCACGTTTCTCATCATTCGAATGAACAGTTATCGATTGAGCATTCGCCTACAAATAACCCTCTAGATATTTCTTGGAATCGGTATATATGATTACATCGAACACGAGCTCAGCGCACTCCAAGCTCTGCAAAAATATTTAAAATAAACAAAAGTTCTAATAAAGACCACTCCTGCCAGTAATCGAGCTTAAAACCTCCCTCACAACGGAGGTGAAATTAATGGGCTGAGCTCCAGGCCGGCATCTACAGGTACCCCTACTTATATGGATATCACTAATCAATCGATCTACAATCCTAACAGTCTTCAGATTGGCACTAGTTAACGAGATATCGAAATGGGTAATTCATCTTCTTGTCCACTTCTCCTTCTCTCTTGTATACAGAGGGGAGGAAGCCCCGTCAAACTACACCAAGAACTTGTCACAAACCTACCGACGCTGTTTCATACTTTACGCAAGATACAATTTAGCCACAGGAGGAAGTTGAATCACACTGGTCACCACAGGCACTGCACAGTATCCATTTCATGAAGGTAAGTCAGGAAAGGGCTATGTTAACACGATTACTACTTATGAATCCTTTTTGAAACAGTTCGCTTATGGAGGGTAATGGCCTGATCGAGGTCTGATGTCACCTCGAGCCCTTCGGGCTTGATATATTCTACGGATTCATACCACCAGTGGAGTTAGTCTCCCCTAAAGGCAAGGACTACGTCTGCCGGCCGATTCCCTCTAAACTCTCACCACCGTGTGGTCCAGTCAACAATGGAACTCTACAAAGATCCAGACAACCGGAAAACTCATGCAGGTTCTATACTATGGCAGTTACTTAAGAAGGTAGGCACAGAGCTAGACTTGGACAATTCAGAGATGATGGAGGCGTGGGGGATCTTTTACAGAGAAGATCGGGATTGAATGCGGATTTGGGTTGTGTTGGGTGCGGAGTTTTTCCCACGTAGTTTTCTGTTTGATATTTCGTGGAGAATAATGATGCATGATATCCAGGATCATTCAGGATAGCTAATTGGTGAATGACAGATGCATCGATCGCAATTGGTACTGTTGCGACTTGCACATAGAATGGATCGATGTTCTATGACAACCTTATATCGGCCCCACTCGGCTTCGTCATCTCCGACTTCCGCAATTCCCATGATCACATCATTCTCATAGTCCTCTCTCCATCCAATTGAGTGATCTAACTTCCTAATCCCGACAATAGAAGAGCGAATAACCTTGAATTTCATTAGGGCAAACTTACCTAGTACCAAATTTTCGTTCGGGATATTTGCTTCCCCACAATGGCAAAAGCTGAGTCTGACTTGCAGTCAATGCTCGCTAAGGGTATGGACCCGCGCGATCTACCCTGGTATGAGGCAGACCTTGCAGAAGTCCCTGAGCCTGCAAAGACTATATTGGAAAATTATAGCCATATCTCACCGGACCAAGTCTTGCAGCATGTCATGGATATGGTGAGCCATGCTATAGTTTTGAACTAATAAGAGATGTCGAACTAACTTCTCATGTATCACAGAGAGATCGGGCCTTTAATGTGGTGAGCTGGAGCATCTCGATAGCCTCAAACTTACAACTGATTCTGATCTAGTTCCCATACCCTTGCATTGGTTCATATCGATTTCTAGATATGAGCATTCCTCAGTCCCCGGTTTACCAGGAAGTCCTGCAACGACTTAAATCCGGGCAGAAGTTTCTGGATGTTGGCTGTGCTATTGGGCAAGAGCTGCGTCACTTGGTGAACAACTTTGGGAATCTTACGGCTAGAGACTCTCATTAACAGCCATACAGGTCTTCGATGGTGTTCCTTCGGAAAATCTTTACGCTTCAGATCTCCGTGAAGATTTTTTCGACATTGGATATGGTCTATTTGCAGACCGAGAGACCCTCAAGGCTGAATTTATTACGGCCGATATATTCGACGACGAGTCCGACTTGGTGAAGAAACTCACTAGTAAGATAGATATCGTCAACGCAGCCTCCTTTTTCCACCTCTTCAACTGGGATAAGCAAGTCATCATCGCCAAAAGGTTAGTTAGCTTGCTGAATGCTCAACCGGGGTCTCTTGTTATCGGGCGACAAGTTGGGTGTATTGATCCGGTTGATCCCGATGACAAGGAAAACACGCCTCCACATTATCGTCATGATCCAGCTTCGTGGAAGAGACTTTGGGAGCAGGTAATGAAGGAGTCTAATACGAACTGGGAGGTTGAGTCTTGGATGGAGGGCTGGGAGGGCGCCGATAAAGTGATGAAAGGCTATCATGAGGGTGTGCAGACTTTCAAGTTGAGGTTTGTGGTGAGAAGGGTGTAGAAGCTGTATTTTTTGTCTTTTATTCACGTAAATACTATATCCTCAACATACCACAAAATTTCTGATGGACTGTTTATGAATGTTCTGACGTTTTTAGTCCGTCTTGCGTAGGCTTCAAGATTCAAGACGGGTCTGATAAACGTAGACAGAAAGTGTACCTCGAGGGCTCACATATCTATTGATATTGCGCTGCACTCTTTGAAATCATGTTTACCTGAAAACGATAAAAGAATGCCACACCTGTCAACCAAGGGAAGAGCTAGTTGCAAATGTGGTAAGCTCGTGTGCACGGGGCACTGATAGATCCTGAAGCGCGTAAACGATGAATATTGAATGTGGGCCTTGAACAGGATATAAAAAGGTATTTTGCAATCGCCTAGGAAGCTTAATACTATGATTTTGGAAAGTCCAAGGATTCATAGAGGCTAGCTTTTAGAAATGACGTTTTGCTGTATAGGGTCTGATAAGAGGGTGATAAAGGGCGATATGGCAAGATACTACAGAATCGAAGGAAAGGGCGAACTGGGACAGACTGGAACAGACTTGAGCAGGCGGTGATATCATTAAATGTTGTTAAGATAACTCGGGAAGTAGATATTGGAACATCCATTGCATCGTCAAGGGGGTTGCGTTGCATGAGTAGGTTGAAATCGAAAGAAATTGGCTCAGGAGGGTATCGTGATCCAGAGAGACTAATTTCGTTGTTGAGATAAACACTTTGTAATAAGCACCTAAGAAGAATTTATTTAGTTAGAAGTTCACAGACAAGTTCTGTTCAATGTTTGGTGTTGTTCCTGAGGAGAATTAGGTTCAATGAACATGGCTGGATTAAAAGTTGACGGCTGGGCTGGGTCGATGACTAATATATCCATCCCCTCGTCGTGCGAGTCTCGGGGAACCATGAACATCATTCGCAAGCCTTGCACCTCCACCGAACGCACACTGGCCCAGAGGTGATCTTTGATTAGTCCCCGTTAAGCCTCTGGGATCATTCCTTTTAATCCCCAACTTCTCCCCACCCCGATTGAACCCGCACACCACCCAGCTTTCTCCAATTCTTCCGCTCCTGCACAATTTTTTCGGATTTCAACGGCCACACAAGCACAGCATCCTGAAAGCAGGTGTTATTTGACGTGTTTAGTCTTTTCCGAGATTCGCGCATCATGTCCTCCAATACTTTGGCAAAGAAGAACAAGGGGAAGAAAGCAACTGATCCCAATGAGACGTCCAAGTTGCTTGCCGCCAAGATCTCGCAACTGGAGCAAGATGCCGCCGGCGAGAAGGACCAGGAAGCTGAAATTGGTATGTGTTTCCTGCTTGCGATGTTTTACACCTGCGACAATACCACGATGCGAGAGATTACTTGACTTGGGTGGATCCGAGGACTAATCTGACTACTATAGAGCGCGAAGTCAAGAAAGCAACCCGAGACCTCAATCAGCTTCTCAACGGTATTGAGTCCCCGATGACTCGTCTGGAGACCGTTCATAAGAAATACACCGAGTTACTGGCCGATATGAAGAAGCTTGATCGCGACTACTCCAAAAGCAAGAAGCGTGCGGATCAACTCCAAAAGGATCAGGAGAAAGGAAAGTCTGAATTGAACAAAACTGTCACTATGAAGGACAAATTGGAGAAGCTGTGTCGCGAGTTAACTAAGGAAAACAAAAAGGTCAAGGTAGAATTTGTCCTCCGAATGATCAAACTGCACAAAACTCATGCATCAGCACAGGACGAAAATAAAAAACTTGACGACACAGAAAAGAAAGCCCGTCTTACTGTCAACGAAAGAATCGATTCCCTCCTCTACGATATTCAAGACGTCATGGCTGCGAAGGGCAATCCCCGCATCGAGAAAGTTGATGTTGACCTCGAAGAGGCGTAAGTGCTTTCACCTCCCCTCAATCGATGGAATTTTTGAAGTCTCCCATCTCGGGATCGTATATTGTCATTTATCTATTTTGTCTTGTTTTCGTCTAACAATTTGTGGGGTTTTTAGGTTTCGCGTTAAGCTCAAGACCCTCAATGATCAATTCGAATTGCGCGAGCTGCAGTTCAAGAGTCTCTACCGCCACAAAGAATTGGAGAATCAGATTCTCATGGTCCGTTACGAAGAACAGCGCCGGATCGCCGAAAGCGAGACTGCTCGAGGTCGCGCCCTAAGCGCCCAGGTTTCCACATTCTCCCATACCGAAGCAGAGCTGCGCAGCCAGCTCAATATCTATGTGGAAAAATTCAAACAGGTATCAAAAAACCCCAAGGAGAACTTTACCATAATACCCGATTTGACAAACCACCAGGTCGAAGACACTCTGAATAACAGTAACGAACTGTTCCTCACCTTTCGCAAAGAAATGGAAGAAATGTCCAAGAAAACTAAACGTCTCGAAAAGGAAAATCATACCCTGAACCGCAAGCACGAACAAACGAACCGCAACATTCTCGAAATGGCGGAGGAACGAACCCGCGATCAGGAGGAAATCAAAGGATGGCAGCACAAGTGTCGCCACCTCGAGGCTCTGTGTCGCGGTATGCAGGCCCAAGGTCGTGGAGCAGCCAACTTGGCCGATGATGTGGATGAAAGCCACGATGATGAGAATACCGAGAGTGAATACTACGACGAGGAAGACCTAAGCGATGAAGGCGGATTGGAGGTTCCCGAATCCATTGCCCAGAAGCCTGTGTTTGGACCCCCTCCTCCTCCCAATCTGCTAGAGGCTCGCAAAGGTCACCATATCAATGGTTGTGTTTGCCCGACCTAGATACCCTTTTCATTTATCGATCTTCCATCTTCTTTAGATCGACTTTAAATGCCCTTTCAAGATTACGTTCTCATGCGAAACCCCTATTGCTGTTACAGAAATACATCTTACTGGAATATTTTACGCTTTTTGAAGCCACCAATCAGCATGTTACTCAAATGAGATGACCATATTGAACTGGAGATCTTGGAAGAGGCATGCGATATGAACCTTTATTTTGTGGCCATTCCGGCATAGCTCTGTTCGAAACAATCCCTTTTCTTTTGGGTCTAGTTCTGTACCATTACACATATTTTACCAGTCAAAGAACAGTTCCAAGGACGACCTCAATAGTCTCTCTCCTGAATATCTAAAGCTTGCTTTGACCACTCGTAATATACGCATTGCCCACCTTCAGCACCTGTATGGCCTGCTGAACCATCTCCTGCACAATAATTCCGGCTGGCTTGATGTCCTTGATACTAGCCGAGACATCTCCCATGATGAAAGGCATATCGACATCTTTCTCATTTTCTAAGTCATGCACCATCGGGACAACTCCCTTCGTAGTCAAAGCAATAATATCTGCCGGCCGGCTCTCCCACTCCTTCACGTAGTCATTCGGTAGTACACGTAAGGGCCGTCCAGAAATAACCAGCGTGCGGCGCGTATCACCATATCCAGCCCCAACAACAGCCTCCTTATGCAGGCGACTCGCGCCACTCTCCTTAGTAGCCACGAATCTCGTTCCAACCCAGACCCCCGATGCACCAAGCATCAGTGACGCAGCCAGACTTCGTCCATCAGCAATCCCACCAGCAGCAACAACCAGAGCCTGCTGTCCAGTCAATGGACTCGTAAATCGTCTTGCCACATCAACAACAGCAGGGATCAGTACCGAGAAAGGTATATCCCCAGTATGTCCGCCCCCCTCACCTCCCTGAGCACAAACAATATCCACACCTCGCATTAAAGCTTTCTCCGCATGCCTTGGAGCCCCGACCATATTCATGATGAGGATCCCAGCCTCATGCAGCCGATTAATTGTCTTCTCAGGAGGCACGCCAACGGCAGACACGAACAGCTTTGCACCATGTGCGATGGCCACTTCGATCAGTTCGTCCAGCTGGCCATGTGTATAGTCATGATTGGTACTACGTGCTCCACCGCCAACTTGTGGAAGGGCTAGATCCACGCCGTAAGGGAGCGATGGGTCCCGTAGTAGCGATTTAAGTTCAGTTAGTATTTCAGATAACTGCTGTGGTGTATATCCCAAGCCGCCTACTGTGCCTAGTCCGCCTGCGTTTGAAACTGCTGCTGCAAGTGGAGCTCCTGAGGCTTTGGCCATGCCGGCTAGGAGAATTGGATGTTCGATGTTCAATAGTGAACATAGTGGTGTTTGGATTGACATGGTGTGATGTTGACGGTTGCTGCCGTTTTTATCTTCTTTATGCGGTGAGAGTTGTTGGTAGCAATATCCAGCAGATTGTGGAAAAGGTTCACTTCGATATTTTGTTGCGGATTGGATTTTAAGCTGGGTATAAAATCAAGATTGATGGCTTTGAAAAATGCGGGGAATACAAAGCGAGGCTGAACCGAGGCTCTTGCCCTACCTAGGCACGTCTTCGAACCTCTACGGCCATACCGAATATAATTATGTCTTCAGTATCAGTAAATCCTTCTATATGATAGTTAGCAAGAGATTGGTTCTAAATTGATCCACCAACCCCGCCGCCTTTTCCGCCTGAACCCCAAACTTCCGCTCCATCAGCATCTTCACAGGAACGATTTCCAAATCATTATCGACTCGAATCTCCACGAAACCCAAGTCACTTATTCCATAGTCAGGTACTACCTGGGCATGCGCAAAACATTATATGCAAAGCCATTTCCCCGCGCGATCGGTCCAACATCACACCAGCTGGGCAGCTCCAGCTCTAGACTGACCAGGTTCTAGCTGCGTCCCATCAGCCGGACCAATTCAACTAAGGCTTACAATCCCAACAGGGTTGTCATCGACCCAGATGAGGAAGTTCTTACAAGTCGGTGGCTGCGTGAGAGAAGTCCATCGTCTGGCTATGCCTTCTATCGAGATAGGACAAAAATCATATTCTGGTGTGTATAGATAATTATGACTGATTTGGTCACATATATTGTATTAGTAAACCCATTCTCATATACTGAAAATAACATAAATTACACAATGCTCGTAGTTATGAGTTTCAAAGATATAGAAATGTTGATTACTCCACAAACGCGACATCCTAAAGCGGTGTAATTGATTCTACGCGTAGTCGCGTCAAACTTCCGCGGCAATCCAACGCTTCCTTGGAATCATTAAACCGCCGAAATGGCACCATTTGAGGATTATGGGTTCTTGTGCCCTCCTAGGTCTGTATCTGATAACTTGTGCAATTGCACCTCATTTTCCTTCGAGCTTCGCTGACCAGGATACTCTTCTATAGTAACGAGGAATATGAACCAGTCCAGCGCACACCTTCCAACTACAATCCTCTTGATACATTTAAACTCCCAGCTGGAGAGGCAAGACACTACAGGCAGCAATATGGTGATATGTACTTCTTACGTCTGGCCAAGCTAAAGCCCGCTGTGGAAAAAGTCGCTAAGGAAGCATGGGATGGATTCACGGTGAGGGCAATACGGCTTAAAATCGTCTTGGCATAACTGACCGTTTATTTGTGGTTAGATTGCTGGAGAGAATGCACGATCTGTGAACCGAGTACTCGATGTGCGACAGGGAGAGTTGTGCTGGGTGACTGGTACGGTGTACATGAATATGCCCTTGAAACCTAATATTCTGGAAGATCTGACAAAAGAGGTATGTCGCGAGTGGACTAGATGGCTTGAGACGGCTTCTAACTTACTCTAGAACTTCACAATCGCACCTCTTCCCCGCCGTACCTATATTGACCCTTCTAATCCGTCAGCGACTGAGATTACAGTGGAAGACGAATCAGGCCGTGTTCGCCTGACTGGCGCCTTCCTATCATCTATACATCTTACCACCGGTGTTGTTATCGCAGCACTGGGAACTGAGAACTCAAGTGGAGATTTCGAGGTCATCGATATCAAGGTCCCAGATCTGCCCCAACAACCTGCCCGCTGGGAGAGAGATGAGGCAACCAAAACGAGTGTCGCTAAGGAACATGGCAAGATTGCGTTCGTCAGTGGGTTAGAAATCACGGGCACATCAAGCGACAGTCTCACGTTAGAGCTGCTGACAGATTATCTCCTGGGGTATACCGGGTTCTCTGGCAATGAACAGAACAGCCCATCCTCATCCGCATCGAAGATTTCACGACTGGTGATTGCAGGTAATTCACTTGGAGCCAGCGTAACCAAGGCTGCAGACTCGGCAGAAGGGGTACCTAAGAAAGCCGCACCGAGGAAATACGGCTATGACGCCTCAGCATACAATGCTTCCCCTATCACCAGACTGGACAATTTCCTCGCGAATATCCTCCCTAGTATTCCGGTGACTCTAATGCCCGGTGAGAAGGATCCGGCAAACGTCTCTCTTCCTCAGCAGGGTATTCATCGTGCTATGTTCCCACAGTCAAGAGCATACGCCGCGGCCCCGAAACCTGATGAGGAGAACCCGGAACCAGGCTGGTTCGACAGTGTTACAAACCCATGGGAGGGCGATATAGAAGGATGGCGACTATGGGGCACTAGCGGGCAGAATGTCGACGACGTTTTGCGGTACCTAGACTTCCCTGCCGATGATACTGATGGGGTCAAGGAAACAGACGATTCCGAAGCTCGACTACGAATCATGGAAGCCATGCTCCGATGGCGCTGCGGCGTTCCTACAGCGCCAGACACGATTTGTACGTGCTAACCCAGCTCTGAATAATTCTGTGGTCTCAAATGCTAACGTCAACCTCTAGGGGCATACCCTTTCCAAATCACTGACCCCTTTATATTTGAATCCTGCCCGCACATTTTCTTCGCAGGGAATCAACCATCGTTCAAAACTGCTGTCATCGATGGTGATATTTCCCTGCGTCTGGATACAGGCGATACCGAAATGACGGGTACTGGTGAATCATCTGCCCGTGTGCGACTACTCACGATCCCACAGTTCAGCAAGACCGGGGAGTTGATTCTCGTCGATTCGGAGACTCTGGAGGTTGAAGTGATTCGTTTTGATACGTTTTCAGGTCATGAAGAGAAAAAATGATCAGATATTTGCATACCCAGGTAGCTTTTGAAAAAGGTTCCAAGGCTCACTACAACTATGCCTCTACCACCAACAATAGAGTATTTACTTTCAGATCTGGACTTTAACCTAAATTGAATCATCATAATCTTGTAGATATAGCGAATGGGATTGGTGATCACGCTCAATTCACAATGACCTCAAATGCCCAACAAAAATGATGAGCGGACCCCCGAGCGAACGAATGACAACAGCGCCAACCACACCATGTAAGACAAGAACTATATTTTGGCATTCCATTTGAGACTGTGGAGCTCTATCTAGGTAATCCATGTCTTTCAAGGACTAGTGGACCTCCCCGGCTCGGGACTTTTTACCCTCTATAGATATGTTCTATATTTTCAAAACAAAAACTAGGCGTTATATGTGAATTATCCTATTGATTGGCGGACTTTCACTTCGTACATTGGCTGTACATACAATGTTTCGACTATATCTTACCCACGCTGAATTCTTGTATGTGATAAATATTCTAATTATCCATGGATGACTTGTAATGGAAGTACGTGGCTGTCGATAAGATTGAGAGAAAATTAGTGCGCCAATAGACTCTAAACTAAGAGAGGAATAGTGCAAGGTTCCAATACGAGGACATCGGGAGTTGGGATAGAAGTATGCGAGGTATATCCGTCACGATCAAGTCACCGTAAGCTGTCGATTGCTCCAGCAACTGTTGAGCTCCAGGGCTGGAGCAGCGTAGATTTTTGGTGCCATATCGAGGCCTATTGATTGATGTTCCCGCTTCGAGTTTTCCAAGGTTTATAAAATCAATTCTGCTCCGGAGGTCATGTCGAACCCTGGGAAGGGAATGATGTGGAGATTAAGATCTCGTACAATACCACTAGTCGCGTATTGTCATCCTTGGCAACCCAAACCCAAACGGAGCTAAATTTCAAACCACCTGACCACTTCTACTGAACCGGAAATTCAAATAGGCAATATATTAGTGGGTAGCTTAGGACTTGTGAATATATAAATCTCGCACAAGCCAGAAACCTTGAAGGTTGCTCGAAGGCACTCGAGAAAACTGCTTGTGAATATACCATCTGTCCACCTTTTTCCCTTTTCTGTATCCCTTTTCAACTTTGTCTCGGAGACCATAGCTACTTTTGCATATTAGATTCGGCTTCTGGCCGACCTCTAAATTAATTTGAAACTTAAACCCTGAAATATTAAATTTCCCGGTTCTACTTCGTGATATTTCGGATCTTCCCGAGCTGGTGGATCTAGAGATCTCAGATCGTGGATCGATTAGTATTGCGTATTCGGATAAAATGCCCAACATCTAGGCTCGAAATATTCTAATAATATTTGTGCTTACCAGGAGGCTTCGGGCTTGGGTTTAGGCTCAAACGAATAGCCCTTTTCTTATTTGAGGCTGAATCCAAGAAAAAATAAGCAATAGAAAAGGAAATCGATACGTCCGTTACCGGAATGTGCTTTACCTAATAGGGCCTAGTGTCCTATGTACGAGACCCTTATAACCCGATTAGGAATATGATGGGGTCATAATCCGGTATTTCTGGTATTTTTGGTAAAAGATAAATGCGCCTTACTGAGTATAAGAACGGACCCCTGTATCGATTCTTACAAAAAAAAACTTAAAGAATATCTAGGGAAAAAGGATTGCCCAGTTCCAGTTCTTCAATTCTCATCGTCATCGATATGTATAACCTCGCAACCATCGCGCTGGGAGTTAGTGCTCTACTACAGATAACACATGCCTCCCCGCACCCTATCTCCAAGAGCTACACCAACTGGACTACCTTGCATGGCCACGGCGTGAACCTAGGTGGATGGCTCGAGCAAGAGTCAACAATTGACACCGCGTGGTGGGCCAAGTACTCTGGCGGCGCCTCCGACGAATGGGGTCTATGTGAGAACCTAGGGTCGAAATGCAGGTCGGTCATGGAGCACCGATATGCCACATACATCACCCGCCACGACATCGACAAAGTTGCCTCAGCCGGTGTCTCTATCCTGCGAATTCCAACCACCTACGCCGCCTGGATCGAGCTTCCAGGCTCGCAGCTATACTCGGGACATCAGCAGCGCTACCTCCAGAAGATAGCCACATATGCCATTGAGAAATATCAAATGCACATAATTATCGACCTGCACTCTCTGCCGGGCGGTGTCAATGGCCTCGATATTGGTGAGGCGGCTGGCCACTCGGGCTGGTGGCATAATGAAACAGCGCTGGAATGGTCACTTCGCGCAGTAGACGAGGTCCTTTCTTTCATCAAACACTCAGGCCATCCAGAGGCCTATACAATTGAGCCCATCAACGAGCCCGTTGACAACAAAGATTTATCTACACTCGGGACCCCAGCCGCGCTATCTGATCACGGCGCAGCCTGGTTGTTGAAATATATCCACGCCGTAATTGCGCGTGTCAAAGCCGCAGACCCTCTTATTCCTGTCATGTTTCAGGGCAGTTTCCATCCGGTGACCTACTGGTCACCGCACTTCAAGGCCGGGACGAACCTGGTCTTTGATCTGCATCACTATTATTTCTTTGGTACTGTGACATCAGTGGATCTGCCAACTTCTATCTGCTCTGATGCACGGGCCAGTGAAGGAGATGGTAAATTTCCTACTTTTGTCGGTGAGTGGTCTATTCAGACTGGGGGTCTCAATTCACTAGCTTTGCGGGAGGTGAATCTCAAGGCTGGAATATCGGCATTTGGTCAATTCACTCATGGTAGTGCGTACTGGAACGTGAAATTCTCGAGTGAAGTGACTGTTGCTGGAGGGTTGCAGGAGGATTACTGGAATTATGAGGGTTTCATCGATGCGGGTTACTTTGACGGTCAGGTTGAGCAGCCAAATTATTGCTTGTGAAGAAGAGGAAGACTTGAATTTCAAAAGGTTACCTATAGAGTAGATATGCATGTGAGAGAGATAATTAGACATTAATTAATTTATTCCGAAGTTCCACTCTTAATAGGATACAGGGAATAACTGCGAAAGTGGCTCGAAATGCTGCTCGTCGCACGGCGTGGCCGAAAAATGGGGTTTTGAAAGCACGCTAAGTTGGAACAGCACTCACCTGTTCGGAACAAGAGGAAAGTACAGGAAGATGATTACCTTTACCTGTAAATAAGTCAATAAAGTGCTCCAAATGCTTCAAAACAACACTGTATAGCGATATAGTAAGATATAACCTTAAGTATGCAAACCAGAATGTAAAACAAACCAAAGAAGACTTCTTAAGGGGGATGGATGACAAACCAATCACTCTACACATCGGTTCAGGTCACTTGCCTCCGTAAAGCTCCTAGGAAGTAATTCTCCGTCACTAGGTCGCGGCCCTTCAACTAGCTGGCGATTTCAGCTTTCACTCACCCCTGCTAATATTCTTGGCGTTTTTCAGCTGGATAATGCTGTCATTGGTCATAGAATAGTTCCGAGACACTAATTTTCACAAGCTTCAAAATGTATGCTTTGTTTTACTTAACATGTGGGCTTGGTGTTACACCGCATAAAGAGCTTAACCGAATCTGTCCAAATTCCACTTTCTGAAAATGGTATGTACCCTCCCAGGCCGGTTAACAGTATCGATATGAATCTGACTGATACCAGGTCTTTTGGGTTCCATATTTTGCATAGAAATTGGCGTTCTACTGCTTTTGCTCGTTATGAACGAGGTAAGTGCGCCAAGATGAAGAACTATACTGACGCTCATTAAGTACCTATCTGTATCAACTTTGCAGTCACGATCAACTCATATAGTTTTCGTCTTGTTTCTCATCATCGCAATGATCCTCTTGTCTTTGACTTTGTATATACCGGTAAGTTTGAATCTATTGCTATATGTGGCCTTTTTTAGAATAATGATTTTCTTCAGCAGCATCGCAATAATCTGCTTGTGTTATTCACGTTAATATTTTGCTCAGTCAGGGTTTCATTCATGTGCAATTCGTGCGCTGTTGGGTTATATGCATAAAGTCCATGTCTACCACGACCGGTGATTTCAGTTCATTTTGGAGAAATCCAAGCAATAGAGCTCCCAGGCATCAAAAAGTTCTCTGGGTGGCATCAATGGGATCCATTCCTTTTTCTCTCTACACCCTAGGGACAACGACCTTAGTGTGCATACAACCATATCTATGGACTCAGATCATGACGGTATATGCCTCGAAGACACCAGGAGTCCCTAGTCATTTACTTGCTTTATAGCTCCAAAGGGCCATAATAAGCCTTAGAAAGATATTATTTTCGACTCGCATTTCCTAGCCCCCGGGGAGGAGAATGCATTATGAATGGCAGGAGCTATATGACGCTCATTCTATATTGGGAAAAGGCAATCCAATGATTATTGTGCTGCATAAATAGCGCAAATATAGAAAGAACTTCGTGACAATTCCACTCAGGAGATACGAGGGAAGCGGCGAGAAGGTTGCGGTCTCGACTGTAGTGCAAATCGGACCAGTCATCATCCCTTTCGAGGAGGTTGAAATCTTCAGTCTGGGCTAAGATGACGGGAATTTTTGGACTACAAATCAGCCACAAGATGCTTGCTCGATGCGTTCTATGCCCAGCCTCGAAAGCACTGTGTATTCAATATAACCGGATGTTTCTGGTATTTGACCCTTCTATCTAGCGGTCAATATAAAGATAATGCTGTCTGCAGAATAGTCCGTAATTGATATAGTACAAGGAGAAAAGATTGATCGCGGTGTCGTTTCAGGACTAGACAACAGTTGAGCTGGACCAGTCATTTCACACTATCCAAGTCAACGACAGCCAAAAAGATCTCCAGATCATCTCTTGACATATTAAGCCACTGTTGCCGTATAATTGGAGAGCGGTAAGAGTTTCGCACGCTCATCATGAAAGAAGCTGGAGTTCTCCTTAGAGTGTCGGGGTTTGAATAAATTGTACATAAGTCGATTAGTCATTTTAGAATCATCCTTATGGTCCTAGATACTCTCAAACTAAACTATTCATGCAGATACGCACCTTGGATACGCTTGCGCCCTATATTACTGACTATCAGGATTGGCCAAGAGAAACCAGAATCTCGTCCTGTATGCGAACATAACAGCTAAGAATAGTATGGCCCAATGATACTCTTGACGTTCACTTTGCAGCCAAGAGGGTCATGTTTTCGCCTAGGTGCACAACGGTGGGTTGAGAAGATCTTTGTAAGGCATGTGTGAGAAAGAGTTAATCTGAAGCGAAGTTACCGCAGCAGGGAAGGGCCAATCCTCATCTATTCTAGGAACCGGGGATCGACAAATATATCATATTTGGATTAGCGTGTTTCAATTTAGGGTTCGAGAATTAAAGTCGAAGAGTGTGGAGGTAAACGTCCGCGGTACTTCTCTCAGATATATCATGTCTGAGATGCTTACTTTGTACTTTTCATGTGCACGTACCTATCCTATCGCCAAGATGCTGACTACAAGCGATCAGTTAAATAACCCTCCATTCACATTCATACTCCGTATCCTGCAATTCGTGCTTCCCTGTCAATATGGAAGAAAGCTGATCTAAAATTTCTAAAATATAAACAAGATTAGTCAAGAAAAATGTGAAGCGATGTAAATTACTACATATCAGCGATATATAATATATACCGATAAGGATTTAAAACTCAGAAGGATGATTAGTGCAAGGTGTGCAGAGATTCCCATTCCAGGACTACATCAAGGTATATTAAACTTGCATTTTAGGCTTACTGACCAGTAGTGCGTAACACCTCCAGGGCTGTGTCCGCCTCAATGCAAAATCCTATGAGTGCTCCCGCCGTCTTTGGCGTCCCCATCAGAGCCTTCTACATTCACTTGATACGAAAAGTCCACAGAAATGCCTTTGGTGTCAAAAAGCGGATCTGTAGTCCTTCTCTGAACACTGTGGAGCTCGTACGAGTGTTGATTCTTGCTGTCTTTAGGCTGAAACCTACCCCCATCCATATTGTATGTTGTTTTCGCAGCACTGCGAGTGCCCGATGAAAAAAATGATAGTCGTGGCAAGTATGTCGCGATCAGTCTTTTGAATCGCATGGCACAGGCACAAATGATACCGAGGTTAACTTCGACAATAGACCACACTCCTAGGATAGCTTCGGTGTACGTTACATCGGCGGTTTTGTCCAGGAGAAGGACATACGGCAGGCGAGCAATTGAGCAGATGACAACGCTGTGAGACGAATTAGAGCAAACCATTTACAAGGAATAAATTTGTAATTAGGATGAACAGGAAGCCTTACCCGGATCCCAGAGCCAGGAGGCAGCCGACGGTCGCTTTTTGCTTCAAGGAGAATTGGAGACTATGAATCGTAGGAATTGGGAGACTCACGACGGCAAAGTCAGATACAATATTTAGCACCGCTTGCGACAGAGCGACGTTCTCCAGACACTTCGTTGTTCCCGTTTTAAGAGGATTGCATGGCCCTCCAGTGATGATGCACAATATCAATGTGTAGGTGAAGATCGCAGAAGCGACAGCCACGACGAGGGCGCGATAGATAGTCGAGGGGTTAATGCGATACAGAACAGATAAGATCGCCATCTTGGTGATGCATGGGCATATCAAATACGCCAGAGTATTAGGGAGCAGCGCCTGATATATGTAAGTGACGAACGCGCTGTAGGCTCATTGTAAATGTCAGTCCTACCTTATTTAACAAGACGAGATCTGCCAACGACACATCCCATAGATGCTTTCCTCACCCGTGCTTCATTACTATCACGAAATTAGTCCGACGATATCTTCAGCCCCACGATACTCTATCACACTCACGGTTGACCATAGTCACGAAATAGACCAATGCGACCCCATAGGAAATCGTAATAGCGACTAAGATGTACTTTGTGTTATGCACTGCGAGTCATGGCTATGGGCCCATAGGGAGCTCGCTTAGAGACTTACCTAGATCCGCCTCGACCTTCTTTATGAATTTCAAGGCTTGAAAATAGCGAAGGCCAACGAAAAGAGTTGCAAGGAAATATGTAATACCAAATGCAATGACTGTCCCAGTCTGTAATGAGTTGTAAGACGCGTGAAAATATGAAGTTTGGCCGTCCGGGGGCTGCATGCCCGGGGTCGTGGCCATTGTTACTGCATTCATTGTTCCCTATCCAACTATTGTGTGGTAGTTGTGTACGCAATCTAATAAAGAATAGAATTTGAGGTGGGCATGGTGTTTTATAAAAGTACTTCATCTACAGAAATCAAAAAGGGCTTTTCCCAACCCAATTCGGGTAAGCTTGGAGGAAAGTACCACACGACAGTTCGTTGACACTATGGGTTCAGGAACCAATCTGTCAACGCACAGATAGTGGGACCCCAGTGTCTCCACCAGACTCGTGTCGCCTGTCAGCTGTAACTTTCTTTTTTAGGTAATGTACGTACTTCGAGCAATCCCTCAAGGCCCCCTGAAAAGAACAATCCTTTGGCTTTTTTGCCCTCGAAATTCAGCATCAGTTGATCAACTACAACTTTCGGACTCCGTTGTTCCTTGAGCTCAATCCCAAGTTGTTGTTTAGAGTCAAAAGTCGATCAAATGTACAAGCTTTTTGGGCCGAAGCCAGTCGAGCTTGTTCCGGGAGACCGAGTTCTACCACTGCATTTCTTTGAGAGTAACCCGCTTGTCCAGGGTAACAATATGGCTGTGTCTTTGGTGTTTGATGCAGTGCTCAACCCGGAAATACTACGGCAATCTCTCGAGGGCCTCGTTAAGCGGGACGGATGGCAAATATTGGGAGGTCGGCTCAGGAAAAATGTAAGATTCCCCCTCTAGATGATGCTGTATATGTAATAACGCCTTTTTGCTCCTAGGAATCAGGCAGTATCGAATGGTATATTCCAGGAAAGTTTACAGTTGAGAGGCCGGCAATCTCTTTCGCACACATCGATCACGGCATACCCACTACTTCACACCCAGCAGCATCTCAAATTCCAAACCCCGAAAGCCGCCCTGCCATCGTGAGCGACCCAGACCAGCTACAAGACCTTGCTTGGGGGCCCGATTATCAGCCAGGAGGTATCCAAGACTACCTTAGCTCAGATAAGCCGGTGCTTGGACTACGGGTCAACTCTTTCACAGATAAGACAGTTGTAGTTCTGCAGTGGCAGCATGTTGCATTCGATGCACTTGGCCTAAAGTATGTCATTGAAGGATGGATTGCTATGCTCTGGGGCAAGGTAGACGAAATCTTAACTCCAGTTCAGCACGACATAGATCCATTCAAGTCATTCGAAACAGGTTCACGTCCTATAGCAGAAGAACATGTTCTGAAAGATAAAAATGTGGGTCTTGGAGGTATGATTAAGTGGGGATTGGGGTATGGCTTCGATATGTTGGTCCGAGCGAAGGAGAATCGCATGGTCTGTGTACCTAAGTCGTACTGGCAGCCTCAGCTTGAGAAAGCCTTGAGTGAGCTTCGAGCCGAGGCTATCGTCAATGGAGAAGATGAATCGAAGGTGTTCTTGACTGAGAACGATATTATTACTGCGTGGATATTGCGTTGTGTGGTTGGTGAGATGGGAATGGACCCTAATAGAACGGTATTTTTTTGGTTATAATACTGCTTGAGATTACACCTTATTGACTGATACCTCTCTCTAGGTTGCCGCATCTATCGCTATGTCCCTTCGTAAGGCCTTTGAGGGCGATCTTATCCCTGCATCCTCTGAGCATCCATATATTGGTAACGCCTTTGGCTGGGCTAACGTTCTTACTACTGCGGACAGCGTTAATTCGAAACCTCTGAGCTGGCTCGCACGAGAGATTAGACGCGCCATCAATACACAAGGCACTCCTGCTCAACACGAGGCCTACTATGCCACAGTCCGTGCTGGGTACGGCCTCCCCGTTGCTATCTTTGGTGATGGTGGCATGGTCCAGGTCGGCTTCTCCAATTGGACCAAGGCTGGTCTATTTAACTTGGACTTCTCCCCAGCTGTTAAAGATACCAATGGTGGCAATGTGCCGTGCAGGCCTTCTTACGTCCAAGAGAACCACGGTCCTATCAAGCCTGGTGATGGTTTCTTCGTCTTTGGGAAGGATCAGAAGGGAAATTATTGGGCCTCCGCATATAAAGTGAAGGGTCAATGGGCTAAATTTGAGGAGCAGATGAAGAAGGACTTCGAGGTCCAGTCATGAATCGACGACAGACAGAATATAGGCTACGACCATTTGTTTGCGCACAGCTGGTCAGTAGCCCTAAAATACGAGTACAACTTACAACTTACCTTGAAGATGAGCTACACTCGAAGCTGTAAAGTCCTGTCGAGTGATCGATCCAAACCTGTTGTCCAGAGATCCAGTTTTATGTTCTAATTCAAAAATAAAATCAATAGAATGGAAGGATTTCTCAGTGATTTATTTCAAGACATACTATTGAAAAAATCAGGAGCGAAGCTGTACCTCTCGACTCCACTTCTTTGTGTCAACTTTTAGAAGAGAGTGGAACCAAATCTCATAGCAATCAATAAATAACAATGCGTGTGTATTCGTGTCTCAACCAAAGGAGCAAAAACCATTCCAAGCTCCCACGAAGTAGACCTACATCACAATGTCTACTATTTATGCGCCTGTGGCGATATACTGAGGGCTATTCCTATCGAAATACCTATTGATATCGATTGATGTTTCTACCTCTGTGGATGTGCCTACTCTCTGAATGTGCCTAAGCTACTGCCTCCATCTGAACAGATCTAAGAAATGATGCCATGTTATATCCTATGGATGCTGATGGTGCCAAGGAAGCGGAAAGCTCTAGGCAGATGCTCTAAATGCGGCGAGTATGGCCAAGAAGTGTGAAATTCAACAAGAGCTAGAAAGTCATGCTAGCATTACAAAAGGTGGTCGAAAATGTCGTGTTCCTATCAGTTCCCTGATCTGCTCCTAGCGCGCGCACAGGGCATGCTCAGTGAGGAAAAGCGGCAAGCACTAAATCAAAAGGGTAAAACCAAGCAATGGGGTAAGGATGACACCCTCGATCAAAGAGAAGAAGCATATTTTCTACAATTTCCTGTGAAAGCACTGTTATCCGATAAAATTGGTTGAATTGAACTATGAAGATCTTCTACTCGCTTTTTGTTTCTTAAGAATCATATCAAGGCGGTAATATAGGGCAGAATTACAGACTTTATAAAGCACAAAAATTAGACCTTTGCAACCTTGGAATCAGCCTTGGAATTTGAATTAGCTTGGTAATCTTCGCATGAATAACAATGTTACTCAACGCTGAAACAGGTGCGCACTCTTCACCCTCTACCCGACTTCCGAGGTTCACGACAAGTTATTCCATGGTTCTTTACTCACTTTCAAGATAGCCATATCCACCACCAAAGTTTTACTTGTCCCATACTCAAAATGGCATGTACCCCGATACCACGAGTGGATGCAAGATAAGGTACGGAGCTGGCTAAATACCGTAAATTTCTAAAAGGAATATAAGGAACAGCTTTCATGTTGATTTTCTAGGAAATCCAAGAAGCAACCGCTTCAGAACCACTATCAGTTGAAGAAGAATATGAAATGCAACGCAGCTGGCGTCAAGATGCAGATAAACTGACATTCATCGTTTGTCAACCCATAGCATCATTATCAGCATCGAGAGTCTCGGCATCCCTTCAACTTGACAGTGAGGATGACTCGTCTGAGAGAATGATAGGTGATATTAATCTCTTCCTGCGCGTCGATGACGGCGAAGATGGAGATGCACCACCTGAGATAATCGGTGAGATTGAACTCATGATCGCCGAGAAGGTGAATCAGCGACGAGGGTTTGGGAAGGCGTCTCTACTTGTCTTCTTGCGGTATATTATCCAGCGACAGGCAGGCATTTTGGAAGAGTTCGTCAAGAGTGTTGATGTGCAGGTGGTAGAGAAGTTGAAGGCTGCTGGGACTTCGGGGGTTGGACTCGCTTGTCTAAGTGTGAAAATCGGACAGACTAATAGGCGTAGTCTGGCTTTGTTCGAAGGCTTGGGATTTGCAAAGGTTTCCCCTGAGCCGAACTTCTTTGGTGAGTTTGAACTTCGGCGGATGGACTTGACTATGGAGTCTGTAGATGAGGCACTAAGGGTTTCTGAGGTTGATGGATATGTTGAGATGAAGTATCTACGGAAATAAATGTACTTTCGCCATGTATGATCATATTCACCATTGAGGTGACCTACTCGCGTGTGATGAGAGCACGCGTCAAGGGCCCAACCACTGGAAAGCCTGAAATGACACAGTTGAATGATGAATTGTCTATTTCTACAATTGAATCGGACTTGGTAGGATGAGTCGAAAGAGTTGTTGAAGAGATGGGTGTGTAGTGGAAATTGGGGATAGCGTCGTCGTTGGTGCTTTGGGGTCAAAAGCCGGGATGAATGCATGAAGACCATAAACATTCATGGGGAGGAATATGATCCCTGTACCCATTCTCGTTGCAGTTGTGATTTCAAAGAACGAACGATGACACTTTCCTCCAAGCTACATGGAATAGTCCAATTCTGTTCTTTGGAAAAAGGTTGAAACAGTTCGAGTGAAAGAGTTATCATTGATGATACCATATTGAAAGAGCAATTCTGCGGTATCTGACAGAAGCCCAAGTAAAAATGTTTCAACTGTTTTTTTCATTGGTGTTTTAGGGATCGGAAGCTCCGACAAAAGCGTTCCTCAAGTGCATCCGGAAAACGCGAGTTCGTCTGGACCGGTAAGATTATCCGAATAGCAGGCGCAAAGATGGTATTCCCTAGAAAAAAAAAGAAAGAACTTGGAAAACACCATGTTCCTAATCCATCCCTGTGTCGGCTCGCAGAGAGATTTGAAACCCTCCAACAGTTGGTATTGCATACATCAACAACCAATCACGCCGCGCCCCGAGATTCCATGCATTCCATTTTTAACACGTTTACAAGGACTTCTTCTTGTCACCCTTGGAGACGTCAACGACCTTGAGGGCTGTATGATGGGGAAGCAATTGTCAGTATATATCCAGACCAGTTTCAGATGAGGTAAAAGGACTCTAAGCTCTCTCGTAGGACAGTTTCGCTTTGATAAAGCTGGGAAATCGCGGGGTGAATGTATTCTCAAGGTGTGGGGTTCGACGTACCAGGAGGAAGGCTCTGCTTGAGCTTCTCGGCCTTGTCGGAGTCCTTCAGGACAAGAGTGTAGATGAAGCGCTCGCAGCGGACCTTGAACTTGATCTGCTGGGAGACACGGTTGCGCTTGATCCGGGCGGCTGAGAAGAATCAATTGGTTAGTTTTCAAGCTCCGATAAAATTTCGATATCTTTCGATATTTCTTTTCGCGGAGTTTGGCGGAACATACAGGAGGCATCCTTCCGGCGGCAGATCTCAATGAACTGCTTGATATCGGAGACTTCGCGAGGCATGGTGACGGTTGATGGCGATGATGTGCTGTTGGAGAGGAATCACTACAATCTTGAGGTCTGGAGTTGTGTGGATCGGATTAGGGTTATTACCGGTGAAAGCCCTGCTGATCACGTGATAACGGGTGGGGTTGAAAATGTGTCTAGTGAGCGGCACTCAAGAACTGCTAACTAATAGTTATTGAATACTGATTGCTGAAACACCTATGACCAACTTATCTGGAGTTTGAACATACTAGTACCTATTTAGCTAAGTCTAGGAGGTACATACGTCTAAGAAAACATTAGGTTGCGGGCTCCCTATCCAAAGGCTACCAATTCATTCAAGTACACATAACCTTGAACATCTACTACAATTAGGGGGTTTTCGGGAAGGTCCAGAATTTTTCATTAATTGTTCTATTAAATTATCTATACCCAGTCTTCATGATGCAAGGTCGCATTAAATACCTAAACTAGATAGTTGTCTGTTGGGTTTCTTCCATGGATGGAGGCTCTCATGCTTTCCAATTCCGATATGAATATTGCAACCTTCCCTGTGGATGTCCGAATGCCCAGCTACCAAATTGACTCCAGCCCTCGGGATACGGACAGTCCTCATCAAATACTACTACATTTGTTGGCTCATCCATGTCAACAAGACTACTTCTGAATTACCTTCGCTCTCAAGCCTGTCATCGGCATCCGAGTCGAACAGGCACAAATTTTTCGGTGGTGGTGCTATAGGTGGTATTACAGCGGTGCTGTTTTCAAAACAATACTCCTAGCTTTGGGAGTTTAGTTTGTCATGAGGATAAACAGACAGAAGGGAATATCTCCATTTATTGGCAGTTATAATATGACGAACAGGGAGACTGTAAGAACTAAAGTTCATAGCCACTAGATAGAGCTACCTGTGACCCATATAGCAGAGCCTCAAGGGTTCTCAATATGCTCCCGAGTTCTGAATTATATGGGGTCCAATAGCTTCCGGCACTCCCACAGTCTCCGGTTGCGCTGATATATAATCATAATACATGTCTTCTTGTACCTCAACCTTGCCTAGCTGTATCAACAACTATATTCTATAACCATGGTACCTAGGTATTAATAAACTACCTCGCACTAACACTGTTGATATTGTTCGAACTGTGTATATTTCTTATTACTAAAGGGGAGCCAAGAGTCCTTCAATAGGCATCGATGATAGACCAGAGCTCATTTTTTCTATGATGTTTTCAAGCTCTATATCTTGTGAGAGGATGACAGATGATTGCGTGATGTTAGAAGCAACTTTGAGAATTGAGATAGGGCTTAGATAGAAGGATATTTATTTACTGCGAGAGCAGGCAACAAGTCACCGCGTCTCCAATAGATCTTATCAAGGTCCTCAGTACCAGATGAGATATTATCAGCCACACTTTATTTATTCCCTTGCTCTTTCGTGAAAACTTTTCCTTCATTGGTAGATGGAGGGAAGGGAAGGAGTAAAGGCAGTCAAATTACTATTCCAGGTAACTACATAGATGACGTGGGGCATCTCCTTCGGGCTTAGCCACGGAAACCAGTGGCGTTACCTCGGTAGTGTGGCGCAGTTTGCGAAGTGGTTAAGTTGTCCTAACATTCAAGCATCCGCTGTTCCAGAGCTCTTCTTTTGCATATTCTCATTTTCATTTTGACTTGGATTGATCCGAATTTTAAGCAGATGAAATCCCGAACTAGTCCCGCCGAAATGCCCACTCCGCTGGATCGAGCCCTGAATTCCAAGGTAATCCAATTCCATCCCAACTGCAGACAATGGCTGATGTGATCTAGAATTTGTTCCTTGGTATATAACCACGAAATTATTGATGCCATTACTGTAATATATATCTAACCATGTCACTATCAGGCTTCGCAGGAATGGTGACTGCCGCTGCTGCCTGGTCTATCTGGGGGACCGATATGTTGCCTGCACAAGATGATCCAACTGGAGGTGAGTAAATAAATACCATTCATCTCAAACTGACTGGCTAACTGGAGAAGACCCCGAGAATTGGACTGCGGACGATATGAAACGATGGCTTCGCGCGGTATGTATCGTAATTCAGAAAATATTTTGAATATCATATTCTGACAAGCATATCAGCGGGGTCTGCTACCAAATGAGAGCGCAACACGCGATGAACTTCTCGAGAGGGTGAAGGTCAATCTGCGCATACCGCGCAAATCCCAGTCATAATGGGGGATAGTTTCGGTGTTATTTCTCAAATATTTTCCATTATTTGACGGGATTTTTGCTTCGATCCCTTTCAAATTGCTTCCTCTTTTATAAGCGCAATTGTGAACCGCCCGGCTTGCTGTATCCAAATATCCAATATCATCCCAGGCGTTATGGAGTTATTCAAACCAATGCAATCTGATATGATTTCTTCTTTTATCCTCCAAGTATTTTTCGGTATTCAAAAGTCAATTCAGACAACAAGCCGGAAATTCTGGGTTTGGATCAGCCAATCCCTCAGGCGTTTGCGATCGGAGGCCGGGTTGGGAATCAATGTAAAAGTCTCGCTGAAGCCACGATGCGGCAAGTTGCGATCGTCACCGTACCTGACATGCCCGCTGACTATGACTAGAATAGACATATCTTTGATAGTCATCTCTGAGCGTGGCTTGATTCCAGTGGGTGTGACTGTGGGGTAGGCTGTATTGATGATTTGGCAGTTGAAGGATTGGACTTCATAATGCGCTGTGGGCATTTGGTTCGCGAAGATATCTTGAACAGCAGCCCCATCTACAACAAGGTTTCCATTAAGAAGGATTGTGGGAGTCGGCGCATAGTAGGTGCTGATGGATTCGCGATTGTTATTGATGGCCGGGTAAAAGGTATGGACGAGCTCAGTGGCCGCTGAAACATATGTCAGTAATCAGAATCGAAGTTTTCCAAGTAGTATTGGTTTATACCCTACCTACCTTCCGTGGAAACTTTAGTGAGCTGGTCTTCTGTTGCGGTGGGCATTGCGAAGGGTATCGGAAAATTGGGTAGAAGGAAGAGGGTTTGATTGGGTTTATATAGGTGGATGTGATAGATGTGGGAACAGATGGTATTTGAAAGACGTGAATATATATGATGGTGATGCCAAAAGTAGGAATGGCACTCTGAGTTGAAAAGTGAAAGATGAATGCTTGAGAGTCGAAGGAAAAAAAGGCGCGGGAGCTTGGACCACTTGCGGCGATGCGGAATAACATGCGACCTTAAATTGTCTCTTCTTCCCTTCACCAGCAAAGGCGACCGCCATGCTCCCATTCCGTAATCTCTCAAGAGCGACTCGGCTTCTCAGTGTACAGCGACAGTTCACTTACTCAGCTTGCAGAAATGGCGCATCCAATCCTCTCCGTCGCGGACTTGCGACTGCGACTCCCAAGAATTCTAAGAAGCCTTACTATGTGACAACTCCAATTTTCTACGTTAATGCCGGTATTTTCCCCAGTAATACCATTATATTTAATCTGTTACTCATAATAGTGTACACTAGCCCCTCATGTCGGTCATCTTTACACTATGGTTATCGCCGATGTTTTGAAGCGATGGCAGGTATTACTCGGTAATACCGATGCTCAATTGTTGACTGGCACGGACGAGCACGGGATGAAGGTACAATGCATACCTACATTTTTTGTGGAATTGCTCGGCTGAAGAATTCTTAGATTCAACAAGCAGCTCTCGCGGCTGGCATGGATACACAGGCTTTCTGCGACATGAACTGCCGAACCTTTGAGGTAATTCGCTTTATATCTTGTGCTCTGAAAATCATGCACTGATCGAATACATTGCAGGCGCTAGCCAAAGCTGCAAACCTCGACCATGATCATTTCATCCGTACTACCGATCCCGCTCACCGCGATGCCGTCCAGTACTTCTGGGTACGCCCATTCATTCGCTCATCGATGAGGCTAGGGCTAACGGTCTGATAGGAAATGCTTAACCATCGGGGATATATCTACACATCCAAGCATGAGGGCTGGTATTCGGTCAGCGACGAGACATTCTATCCCCAGACGCAAGTGCAAAACTCCTTGGATCCAGCCACAGGAAGAAAGCGCATGGTAGGCTGTCTATCAAAAACGTCGAAAATAGATGCTGATTTTCAAATTTTCAGGTTTCCATCGAAACAGGCAAAGAGGTGGAATGGTCTTCGGAAACCAACTATCATTTCCGATTGTCGGCATTTCAAGACCGTCTACTTGAACTATACAAGAATTCAGATTTTATCACACCTTCGAAGTATGCAACGGCCATCATTCAGTCGGTGTCATCTGGATTGCAAGATTTGTCAATTTCCCGACCAGCAGAGCGGCTGACCTGGGGCATTCCGGTTCCTGGCGATGATACACAAACGATCTATGTGTGGTTGGATGCGCTCGTAAATTATTTGACTAGGGCAGGATACCCTTTCACCCCGGGGCAGGAACACAAATCCATGTGGCCGGCCGATGTCCACGTAGTCGGTAAGGATATTGTAAGGTAAGCGCACTTGAATCCCTACTGATCGTGAAATTCCGGGCTCAGCTGATATCTCCCCAGGTTTCACTGTGTTTATTGGCCCGCTTTTCTTATGGCCCTGGACATCCCTCTCCCCAAGAACGTCCTTGTACACGGACATTGGACAATGAATCGCGAGAAGATGTCCAAGTCGAGCGGCAATGGAGTGAACCCATTCTTCGCCATTGAGAGATTCGGAGTCGATAGCATGCGATTCTTCCTTACATATCAGGGAGGCCTGTCGGATGACGCTGACTATGACAACTCATTCATCATTCGCGACCATAAGAAAATACTTCAAGGGGGCATCGGAAACCTCGCATACCGCACAATTGGGTGCGCCAAGGGCAAATTGCGCTCGTATATCGAGGACGCCACTTCTGATAAGCTCCCGGCCCCAAGCCCGGAGGATCTAAAACACCAGTCGATGCTGGTCCAGACACCTCCGAGAGTTTCCGAGCATATGACCGAACTAAACCCGCGTGCTGCACTACAGGAAATTATCAGCATAATTGAACAGGTATGAACGATACATCCCCGCACCTAGACACTAGCTGATCTTCCCCATCAGACAAACAAGTACTTCCATGCTGCGGAGCCATGGAAAAGCCCCAATCCCCAACGGGTCCTTTTCAACGCGGCTGAATCCCTTCGAATCTCTGCCATCTTATTACAGCCATTCATGCCCACCAAATCAGGAGAGATCCTGGATTTCTTATGCGTAAACACAGACCCTAACAAACGCGCTTTCTCAGCAGCGACCTATGGCTCGGATGCCGACTACGGTGACGGCATCAAGAAAGCCTTTCTTTTCCCTCCTCTAGTTGCCGACGAGTAACAATTTGATAAGAGGAACGCATCCTAGTCCAATCAAGGCTGAAGGCGAAGTTTAAATAAAGATGGAACAACACGAATACCCGAGCTCACACTCTATCAGCAGCTCAATTTCCAGGTTTCTTATTCTGAATCCAGAAGGATTGTCATAGCTCACTCATTCATGATTGGTGTTACGTTATCGGGAAACGAACGAAGTCATATCATACTTGTCTCCAACGGATCTCCGCACGGCTCGGGAAACTCTCCCCGTTTCCCGTCGGAAAGCTCATGTATATCAAAATATGTCATATTTGTATACTATGTTTGAATGCTAAAGAGGTTATAGCAATTGTTTTTGTCTCAACTCTTTCTATCTTACTATTGCCATATTATTCAATATCAAGTCGTGCAACGACTATATACTATTTCACTCTATCCTCCAAGGCTATCTAAAACATCGCTCTTATACTTGATTATCTTGATTGATCTACTTATTGTTTCTCTCTAATTATCAAAATGGGAAGCATACTACCTTCTGTTGATACCTACAAGAAGCCCTTCAAAACACCGTGGATTGAAACACCACTCATCGAGTCAGCCAGCCTTTCCCGAGCGGCTGGTTGCAGGATCTTCTTGAAGCTAGAGAATGTCCAACCAAGCGGCTCATTCAAATCCCGTGCTATGGGCAACCAGATCCTATCCCACCTTCACAAACCAGAGTATGCCAACTGTCGAGTTCACTTTTACGCGTCATCGGGTGGAAACGCCGGACTGGCAGCTGTATGTGCTGCCCGGAGTCTAGGCTACCCCTGCACAGTCGTGGTGCCGATGTCAACGAAGCCCTTGATGATTGAGAAGCTCCATGCAGCTGGTGCTGCGGACGTTATCCGCTATGGCGAGACATTCTTTGAGGCTGGCTCATACATGAGAGATGTTATAATGCAGAACAGTTTCGGCGATGACGAGGATATCGCCAAGATCGCCCTCCACCCCTTTGACAACGAGCCCATCTGGCAAGGAAACAGCACTATAATCGATGAGCTGGAGGCACAGCTCCCGCCTGCTGCCAATAACGACGAAGAAAAAGTTTACCGCGGACGTGCACTTCCCCTCGACGCGCTTCTGTGCAGTGTTGGTGGCGGTGGTCTTCTAAACGGCCTCGTCATGGGTCTTGAGAAACGTCGTTCTTCAAAACATAGCGGTAGCTCTAACAACAGCCACTTTTACCTGGACACAAGTTCATCTACAGAATCTCGCTCTACATCTACATCCACCCAGCCCGGCCCTATTCACATTCTCGCCATCGAAACTGCAGGCACTGACTCTCTAGCTGCCTCAATCGCCAATAAATCGCTCGTTTCTCTTCACAAAATCACGTCTCAAGCTACGTCACTCGGTGCACTCCGTGTATCAGAAACCACCTTCCAATACGCCACTGCCCCTCCGCCGGGAATCAAAGTTCACAGCGCCGTACTTTCCGATGCAGATGCTGCGAGGGGTGTGCTGCGGCTTGCGGATGATGAACGTCTTCTCGTGGAGCTGGCATGTGGAGTCTGCGTTGAGGCAGCTATTGGCGATGCTTCTATTGCTGGAATTTCTAAAAAGCGGAAGAGGAGTGCGGATGACTCTCACTCACAAAAGGATGAAGGTTACGGGGATGACCGGTGGTCATCGATGGATGAAACTGATCCTGAGTCTGAGGTGCAGGATGATGATGTCGAGGCGAAGTTACCTGCTCTCAAGTCTAAGTTGAAGCAACTTGTTCCGGATCTTAACTCCCAAAGTAGAGTTGTTATTGTTGTTTGTGGTGGAAGTAATGTTACTATTGGTATGGCTGGTGAATATCGGAAATTACTATCCGAAGGATGGGTTTAAGGAGGAAATTTGAACATGTTTAATAGACAGATTCCAACAAATAGTACACATCAAGCAGTCAACATACGAATCCGATAATCCCAATAATTCTTCCGAACAGGATCATACTTCTCCTTCAGCAGCGTCAGCATATCAACAGCCTTCCCACCTTCCTGCTCCTTCTTAGAATAAACATCCGCCAACCATTCAACAGCATGACTACTCTTAACAACATCCCCAGTAACAAACCGCCCCGCAAACTCCTCCCACTCATCCAACTCCCTACCAGCAGCATGCAGCACTCCACGCGCATACCACCACGAACTCCGGTTTTCAGGAGCCCGCAGAATCTTATCCTGGGTAAATTTGAGCTCCGCATCAACCATGTCCTCATCAACAACGGACAAACGACCCTTGTCCGCAGCCACTGTAGACAGACTGCCTGAATTTGCCATACCGGCATCTTCCTCACCACGAGGTCCAAACCGTAGTGTGTACCGGTGGCTCCAGGCAGAGTTGTTGTACACATCTGCCTTGAGCAGGGCGTTGACATCTGATATTTCGCGGGGTAGATCCCACAGCTTGAAGTGGCGCACTAGCCAGTGGCGGTATGTCCAGACATGATAGTTTTTGCTATCTTGTGCGAACATCTCCATTAGGAAATCAAGTTCCTTGGGTGGGAGTGTTGGAAATTGTGTCCGTGAGGACATGATGACTTGGCGGTGGCCCCTAAGATGTCATTTTAATAAAGATGATTGGAATTTTTGAGAGATGGACTGTTTACCAGATTTGATAGTTTTTGAGGTTCTTTATGGCTACTTTGTTTAGCCAGTCGATCTCCTCGTCGAGGTTTTTGTTCAGTGCAAGGAGGATCTTGGCACGGTAGATCCTATCTTTTCGTTAGATTGCTGGTATAAGGATTGGGAACAGTTCACTCACCACACTGTGTAGTGGGCGGGATTCATTGAAATGATGTCTTCGGTCAATGCCAATGCTCGCTCGGACATTTCATTTGCTGCCATCACAGCCCGCAGATAGGAGGTTACCTCGAGGTACTGGGGTAAGTAGGCGATGGTTGCCAGGGGCATAGACCCCGATTCAGAGCCATCGTCCAAGGGAATTGGAGTGATTGAGGCCCATTCTGGATCATTCGCGTATTTTCCGACCTCCATATTTGATGGGATTGGCCTGGATTATCAATCTGTTGCGCGAGATAGTCGAGACTACGCTCACAGCCAGAGTTCAGGTTGAGAAGTTTCTGGGTAAAGAAATCTTTCTTTCAGCCTAGTTGAAACCAATATCTCTGATTCAAAACACAATAGAGTGAGAATTGGCAGATCTTAAGCTTCTTAAAAGCGACTTCGCGGTCGAGGAGTTGGTGGGGCGGATTTGTGGCCTGAGGCTGAAACAAAGACTGGGAACAATCACTTCGCCATTTTATTGTTCTTGTTCTCTTTTTATTTTACATCCGAATACCAACAATTCAAAAATTTAAGATTATTTTACATTCAAATTAAAGGAAAATAGGTATATCACTAGGAGTAATTCCACAGCCTCTTGCGTTCCTGCACCCACCATCGACCCACCTCGCCTGCATCAACCAACCACTGTACAGCTTTGTCTCCATGATGCGCCTGCACGCGTGAGGATATCTCCTCGACTGACCACCCTCGCAATGGATTCTGCTCATCTGGGTCTGTATCCAGATTGGAAAATACATACTCGAAGTCCTGCGTCAACGGCAGGATAAGTCTGTATGGTACAGCTGCAGATCCAACGCTAAGCAGCGTGCCCCCGGCATTGATAATGCCGAAATTCCAGGCTTGTCGGCCATTATGTGTCGCCTTGTATGGACGGATGAGAGATTGTCCCTCATATTCATTCATTAGGTCAAGTGCAGCAGTCGAGTCTATCTCATTCAAAGACTTTGTCTGAACTAGCAAGTCTAGAATGGTCGGCACTACCGACATGGAACTGGCGTTGGCTGTGATCTGAATCTTTGGCAGCAATGGATGTCGCAAGGTAAGAGGAATTCTGAAATTGCTAACATGGCCATTTTCATAGGTTCCTGACACTGGGCTATCTTCAGGAAACGCTTGACCACTAGGATGGATTAGCTATAGCTTCATAGTTGCCTTGGTTACAGGTTTCAACTTACTGGTCTCCTATGAATACCACCAATGTCTCATTGGCGATACCTGTGTCGTCTAATACCTTGAGGATATCGCCAAGCCACGTATCCACGTATCGAACTGTATTCAAATAACTGTTCATGTCCTCATGTTTCCCCATCAGGCTGTCATCGGAAAAGTACTCCTCGTCGTGAAAGCCGGAAGGTGTTGCCCACGGGTGATGAGTGGTGGACGTAAAGTGTGATAGAAACAATCTTTCATTATTGGCGATTGCGTGGTTGATAGTATCTTGCAAGTAAGGATAGATCTCACGCTCGGGGTATCTACTCACATTAGTGATTCGGCCGAAATGTTCAAAAAAAAACAAACTCACCCAAAGTAGTTGATCTCCTCCATTCCCTCGTGGTAATATGATGCTGTCCGTTCGCTAATCTGTTCCGAATACACTGCCTTTTTGAATCCCATATGGGTATTCAGAACATCCTGTTTATCATAAAGTCCAGTAATAGACTGCAGAAATACTGAATTCCACTTTCGGTTGTGCATATCAGACCCTTTCTCTTCGTCTAAAGTCTCATTTTGTTTGAGTTGATTGAATAACTCGAATATCTGCATGATGCATGGCTGGTAAATCTCAGATTTTACCTCCTCCATGAAGTCGACGGGGATGGGTCCAACGCCGCAATAGTTCATGACAGCACTCTTGAATGATAGACTACTACCAGTGAGAACTCCTTGCACGTTGATACCCCCCATGCCGGGCTCAGCCGAATCTTTCCAGTATGACGAGACGGTGTCATTCAGATGGCGATATGACGCGAAGCCTCCTGATTCACCGGTCAATTGCTCTGCGACTGGTGTGAGGAGTGAAAGTTTCTTTTGTAGCTGCTCAATCACCCCGGTGCTCTGAGTATGGTAAGAGGAAAGGATCTCTCGATGCAAGGATGAGCCCGATTTGAGCGGGAAGATGTCTTTCCTTGCACTCTCCATCATAACCAACACAACGTGAGTTATCGGAATTTTATGGTCCTTAAGGGCCCGAGAAAGGGGCTCCACGATGCTCTGGTCGAGATTAGTGATTCTGAGGGGGTCATTCGCAGGATTGTAGTGATTTTTCTGATCTGGCGTTCTTTCTTCGTCTCCATCTTCTTCATAAAATGGGTCACTCTCGGCTTCAGGTACTGGTTCCCATCTCTGGAACCCAGGTGGTAAAGAGTTAGATGCCCAGGCCGGCCTGGCAGTTAAATCATTGAACTCTTTCACGCCGGGTGCCCAACCTTTGAAGTGACCATTGGGAGCCTCCCAGTACTCTTCTCCTATCGATTGTGGCAGAGGGAATTCTTGATCTTGAACTTGGTTCGAACTTGACTTTGACCCTAGCGCGGCGAAAAAAGTAAATGGCAGTCCACCAGATATGTGATGATATGGCACATTCGGTCTGATTAACCATAAAACGAACGTAACAAGAGCAGCAACAATTGTCCAGAACCGAACAAGGCGCTGCTTCCTGGGTCGGCGCTGCAGCTTGGCCAGTGGAAGTTCCTCTTCTTCTTCTTCACTGAGTGAATTGATGAATGTCATGGAGGCCCAGTTATGGGTAACAACCCAAATTCCAGGCGTGGCGACCCATGAAGTAGCAAGTAGTACGACTGCGGCAGCTAGGAATGATTTAAGTCCGCTGAGCATCAACTTTCTCCCTTCTGGGTCATTTCCAACACTTGTTGCCGCATCCCAGCGGACTTCACTGCCTGTTACAAGATAGAACCCAATTTGTGAAGAGGCAAGAATAAATGTCAAAAGCCTATCCGACAGTTAAAAAAGTCAGCTCAGCTTTAATCTAATTATATTCGAAAAAACGCTTACGTGAGTACTGCTGCTATTGACACGGCCAGAGTAGACCGTAATCCTGTCGATCTTTGCAAGATAAACCAAACTGCACCCAACAGTAAAGCTTCTTGGATGAAAAATGTTGGGAAGAACAGAATAAGCTGCGTTTGAGGAACTGAGCCAAAGTGCTGCAGTAGATGGAGGGCCTTGGAAGATACCGCCGACACAGCTAGAAGTGACAGCAGGTATGGCCGAATAAATGATTGGCGTGCAACGATCATGGTGGGAAATGAGTTGCCAAGTCGTATCACACATTAACTATTACAGGCTCGAGTATCTGACTGTGGATCAAAGGAGCAGTAGTATGGAATTCGAACGGCCTATGTGCATTGCTGCCCTTTGTTATCTCTGGAATTGAAGATTTGGAGGAAAGAGTCAGAAAGGAGGAAACCCAAGGAAATGTTGGAATACGCCTTGAAATATTACTCTGGATGGTATTTTGACAAAAGGATTGTCAAAAGATGACCTTGGGGGCCACTTTACATGGTCCAAGCTGATATCCTGCAAGCGGTATCTAAATCTTACCTAGGTACCACCTGGAACAAGACAAGCTTTCTGATTAGGATCAAGACTTTATCTCAGAGCCAAGAGTCAGGTATGTGGACTCGAAATTGAGATAAAGCGGAGACTCCCGTGGATATAGGGCTGGATAAGATCGTTAGAAGGTTGAAATGTGATTGATTCCTGTTTTGTTACGAGCCACCTAAGCAGAAGATGTTGTGAAACAACAGGTACCTTCAAGAATCATCTGGATAGATTTATTCGCCGATAGTCGCAAGGGTCAATACTCCGAGGCGTTTGTATGGCCATCCCGGATTCGTACTTATGGCGCGCGAGATTGGTATGTGGAACAAATTTCACTATTCAATAATGTTGGTGGCACTATTGAAATCACTTGGAAGGGATGACTGTAGCTCATTTCAATACTTAGATTGCCTTTGAGACACAAACATGACACCTTCCAATTCCATTTCAAACAGCACTGGAAAGGCCAAGCATCAAGCATCAAGCATCATTCTCTTCAATTTAAACTACTAATGCATCCAGTGCCTCGGAAACTAGAATGTCGCCTGAATTTCCCCGAAGTGCATTAATATGCTCACTGTAAATAAAGGCTGTAGAGGAAATGATTGCAAGAATGTATATTTTAAGGGGTCGTGTGCTCCCTTGCTGGATCCGGTAAATGGGGCTGAATATCCACATTCCTGTGATTTCTGTTTATACACATGATTGACAGTCATAAGCTCATATCCCTGATAACTAATGATGACATGCGGTTTCAGGATATGACTAACCTTTCCCTTTTATATATTACTAATGTATTACGGATCCATGTGAAAAATACTACCCAATATCAACAATACCCTTCCTTTAGCCCTTTTCAGCATCACTGTTGGTGCGAAATAATCTATTCGCAAAAAAAAGCGACAACAAAGAGATGTGTATGAGCGGAATAAGGAGAGAAACCAATCAAAGCTTAGCAAGCCACTTCGGAGAGAGATATCATCAGAGAAGTACCAAAGCAGCTCATCAACCTCCATACTGCCATCGGGGCCAGTTCGCCTTGGAGACGGATGCAACCTTTCTCATAGAAATCATGCACAAGCTGGCCCCCAGCATCGGTGCATGGAATACCCCCACAAATTCGCTAATGAATATCCAAGAGCTCTCTGCTAACAGACTTTACTTCATTGGGAATGTTCATCGTCACCCCGCTTCCCAGAGGTTTGGATGCCCGTACTGTAATTTAGGTGCGTAGAGCTGGATCCTCATACTTCAACTCACTCTTATTCACAAGATTGAAAGCCAGTTTGAATTTTCCCAGCGAGTGGAACAACTTAACCACCAAAAATCCACTGTGTGGGCTATCGACTGTTGTGGTTTTGAGAATTCTGCAGGCCTATGGGAAACAAGCGTTAAGAGCTGCCCAGGCGGGCTCGACCTCGCAATAACAGTATTAATGATTGGATTAGAGACAGTGAAATGAAATGTGCAAACTCAAACCTTAGATAAAACAAATTAGGATCTTGAAACTCACATCACCTGCGAGAAAAGGAAGTTTGCGACTGCGGCTGCCATTACAGCCACCAGCAGGTCCGCTACCAGAGGGTAGATACATGAAGATACGAGTCACTGTATGAGTGGCCACGGCGGATTTCCTGCCCACTCCTGCCTTTTGACGGGGGATGGCTCATTCGATGATCTTCTTGTCTATGAGATGTTGGAAGTTGATAGGATTGGTCAATTGCCTAATGTCTTTAACGATACGAGAAGAAAAGTACAATACCAATGATGGTACTGGTTCAGTACATCACTAGATAACTAGGATTCAATTGAAGTTATGTCATGAGCAACCTTAAGATCGAGTTTCTCGTAATAGCGCCAACAAAGCCTTGGGGTGATAAGGAGCCTTATAAGACTTGAATAGGGTATCAAGAACCTCAGGATCCAAGATAGGGCTACTCTGTACTTTTCCACTCTCACTTTCACTCTAATTTTAATTTTACTTCCAATGTTTACTTTAACTTCACTTTCACTTTACCTCAACATTTGCTAGTCCCTACTGTCGAAGCCATTCCAGCAGTGCGAGTCAATACGAGGAGTCTCTCGGGAGCGGACTGTCATATGCGGCGAGAGGGTTCAGTTGGTTTCAGGTATGAGCCAAGAAATTAATAAGCGTCGTTGTACTCCCTAACTGAATGTTTCCCCTCCATTATTTAAGTACTCAATTTCCTCTTCAGTTGAAACCCTACCTAATACTTCATTGCGATGCGGGTATCGCCCAAATTGCTCAATAATAGCTTTATGTCTCTTCTCAAAGTCGAAAGTGCTGCTCAACCACGCCTTTGTAGCATCATGTTGAACCGAGAGAACATCATAACAAGCCTTTTCATCATCGCTCATAGTTTCAACCTCTTTCTGAAGAAGTTCCCCAAGATCTCTGGCTATCCCCTCGTGCGTCTCAATCGCTTTCTCGTGCACGGCGAGATTCTCCGAGTGCATTAGAGGCAGATGAAACCAAAGCCTATACGAAAGCCGGTAGCGCACCTCCGATGACTGGATCGGCACCCCAGCCCCAATAGCACGTATAGCGACTTTGACAGCTAGCGGGTCAAAGCGTTCAAAGACTTTCTTCGCCTCGTCTCCGCGGAAACAATTGCGCGGCACTTGATCTAACAAAAGGAGAAGACTGAGCCATTCTATTGGCGAGGACTGATCAATCACATCGATCATATCAGTGGCCGATGCTTGAGAAGTGATAATCACCTCTAATGCAGGCTGAAATTGTGCCCTTAAAGCTATTTGTTAGCTTTACACTAAAGCCTGGCAAGGTCTTATTATAACGTACACGCAAGCTTGGTCGAAATTAGTGTCCCGCATGAACCAACGCTTCATCTCTTTTTGACTAGGGAGAATCAATGCATCTTCTCCATTAATGTGATCAAACCAGAAGTTTCGGACTCCCTCGAGCAGTGCAGGGGTGATGGTCTGCTTCAGTAAGGCCGAAGTAGCTGTCATTTTGGTAGTTGTATTTGAGAATTGGCGACAGACCACGTATTGCTGCACGCTCTGTTTCTGCCGCACTTGAATAGCTTGCCTTTTTCCAGTATTCTGGAATTTTGAGGTTGTCAGGCAGGTCTGCGGCAGCACGGAACTTCTCGAGAAAATTCGCAGATAGAGTCCTCTGAGATTGTTCTATCACCCCTGTCAGTCTTCTCTTTGAATATTGTAGCTCATAGCCTTGTAATTTTCAATACGAACTTTGGTTGCCCGCGCTAAATAGGCCATGGTATTGCTTTATCAGTTTCTATTCTCAGAGCTTCAGACGTCATAACTAGAAGCTAAGTTTGGTTATGCTGAGTCATCTAATAAAACTAATTAATTTTGGATGTTAAATGGCAAAATATGCCTGAAGCCAAGCTTCTAACTGAAAATAAAATACATCAATACAGTCAATTGATCCAAAGATTTTTTTATAGGCCCTTGCTCCGTCCAAAGTTGTTCCAGAAAAAGAAAGATTTCAAGGGTTTTGTAATTACCTGGGCAATCTATGACTATCAGCATGAATTACATGAATGAACCAAATTATACGAAATCGCTTACAAGCTACAGCTCATGGTTTGTCTTGTCCCTTGACCTATGGCCTCTCGTGGGCCGTTGCACTGAAATAACCATTCTGCATGCCGCTTAGGACTAGAGCAGATGCTTGATGCGTGTTGACAGACGTGACTGGGGGTCGGACGAGGAGACTGTATGTCTGCCTCATTGTCAGTCTTCCTCGTCCTTTCTTCAAATAATCAAATCCGAGAACGATGCATGTTTTGGGCGGTTAGTGTGGTAGTCTTAGAATTTGGTCGATACCCGTGAAGGGATTTAGATGGGCTGTCTTGATGAGGAGTGCTCCGTGAGACCCGCCAATACTACCTCGTCTAGTATCTCTAACTGTGACTGTTCGGATGAGGTGGATTTTATACCTAGCTCGAGAGCTTCCCTCTACTAACTAAGCATTTTAAAATAGACTTCCGCCTGACTTGAGATGGTGCCCATATGTTATACCCTCAAAAACGACTGGGGCGAAGTCGTGCAATAAATAGAGGCATTATGCCACTTGAACCTATGTTCCTAGGTACATCAGGATGGAGACAAAACGTGATGCACGATTCATGATGGCTGATAGGGGATTGCATGCTTTGGTTGGGCGGGAAACGAACGGCATTATAGAATTTGAGTAATTTTTGAAGTCAGACAATTGCTCCATTTCCTGGTGATCGGTCTCAACCGCGAAGTATATGAGAAAGTGTGAGGGAACAGAACTTGTGTACTGTTCAGAACTAGTTGACCTCGGAAATGTAGTTCTGATGATATCTAGAAAAAACCGAGATATTAAGTACATAATGAAGCGAATGAAAAGTGAATGTTAGATTGTTCATCGTAGTTCATAGCCGTGGAACGATGGGAGAATCAGAAGATCATGTCAAGGTGTGAAGTCAATGGAGTGAGATATAAAAAGAGAAATGAAGCGATGGTATTTAAGTTGGCAGCCCTTTTCTTCTCCCTTTCAGCGCCAAGTCCAGTCCTATCACGTGACTTACCCCATTAGCGACACCTCAGCAAGGACAACAATCGGACCTCCTGAGGTCACTTCCGCTTCTTCAGATTTCCCCATTTCCCCTCCTCTCTTCCCTCCCCATCCTCCTCAATCTCTTGAATCCACTTCGACTTCCATTCCCCCAAAGTCATTCACCCTTTCTTTATTTATCTGCTTCCTTTACACGGCGTTCCGTTCGGTGGATAAGGTCGTGCTACGGCCTCAGTAAACATGGCGCCGCTTCCCATCAAGTTCACAGAATTGGTCAATGTGCGTTGATTCTGTCCCTCATTACCTCTTATTTCTTGTGGAATTTGTTACTAACACCTCATCCTCAATTAGTTGACCAGTGTCGGTATCGCAGTACGTTCCAATCTCTCTTAAGCTTCCCCGATATGATGCTTTGCGACAAGCTCCCATTGCAAGGCGGATATATCGGTCGCGCTCGGAAGTCATCCCGGCGCTATTAAAGCAACATACTGACTTTACATTAACTTTCTAGCCGACATCTGTCAGTTTCACTTCATGCGTAAGTACTCCGACTCGACCCGTTCAAGGTAATCAGACCTGGCTAACCTGGCTTCCACTACATCACAGACTCTAGAATCCGATCACTACGTTTGCGTTCGCCAGAAGCTCGACGAGGATGAAAAACCACAAGTCATAATCATCGATTTGAAAAACAACAACAGTGTCATTAAGCGTCCAATCAACGCCGACAGTGCGATCATGCACTGGAACAAGAACATTATCGCTCTCAAGGCCGCAGGACGCACAATTCAAATCTTTGACCTCGGCGCAAAAGCCAAGCTGAAGTCTTCGGTGATGAACGAAGACATTGTGTACTGGACATGGCTCAGTGAGACAACTCTGGGTCTGGTTACGGACAAGTCAGTCTTCCACTGGGATGTTTACGACTCCGCTCAGCAAAACCCGGTCAAAGTGTTCGACCGTCTACCTAATCTTTCCGTACGTATCAAGCTGCACCATATTGTATAAAATTTGGCCTTACTGACTCTGTCTTCATTTCAGGCATGCCAAATTATCAACTACCGCGTTAACTCCGAAGAGAAATGGATGGTTCTTGTTGGTATCAGTTCGGCACAAGGTCGTGTTGTGGGTTCCATGCAGCTCTATTCGAAGGACCGTGGTATTTCGCAGTTCATCGAAGGTCATGCCGCCGCTTTCGCAACCATTAATGTCGAGGGCTCTCCATTGCCCCACCACCTGTTCTCTTTTGCCGTCCGGACAGCAACTGGTGCGAAGCTGCAAATTGCCGAGATCGACCACCGTGAGCCCAATCCCAAGTTCCAGAAGAAGGCCGTGGAGGTTTATTTCCCCCAGGAGGCTGTCAACGACTTCCCCGTCGCGATGCAGGTTTCCTCAAAATACGATGTTGTTTACCTCGTAACGAAATACGGCTTCATCCACTTGTACGATCTTGAGAGCGGTACTTGCATCTTCATGAACCGCATTTCCAGTGAAACAATCTTCACCACAGCTCCTGACGCCGAAGGTGCTGGTCTGGTTGGTGTCAACCGCAAGGGTCAGGTTTTGTCTGTCGGTGTCGATGAGAACACAATCATCGATTACTTGATGAGTAACCCTGCGACATCTTCGCTTGCTGTGAAGCTCGCCTCGAGAGCTGGACTTCCGGGCGTTGATCACCTCTACCAACAGCAGTTTGATAACTTCATTAGCCAAGGCAACTACCCTGAAGCCGCCAAGGTCGCAGCAAACTCGCCGCGCGGGTTCCTCCGCACCCCAGAAACCATCAACCGCTTCAAGGCTGCACCCCAGACCGGTCAGATGTCCGTTATTCTGCAATACTTTGGTATGCTGCTCGACAAAGGATCTCTGAACCGCGTTGAGAGTGTGGAGCTTGTTCGTCCTGTGCTACAGCAGAACCGGAAGCACTTGCTGGAGAAGTGGATGAGCGAGAAGAAGCTAGAGTCTTCGGAAGAGCTTGGTGATATCATCCGACCTTACGACATGTCTCTCGCCCTGGCTGTATATCTCGAGGCCAATGTCCCTAACAAGGTCGTTGCTGGCCTTGCTGAGACTGGACAGTTCGAGAAGATTCTCACCTACTCCAAGCAGGTGGGATACCAGCCTGACTACACTCAGCTTCTGCAGCACATTGTACGCGTCAACCCCGAGAAGGGTGCCGAGTTCGCTACACAGCTCGCCAATGAGGAGAGTGGTGCCCTTGTGGACCTTGAGCGAGTGGTGGATGTCTTCCTGTCCCAGAACATGGTCCAACAGGCTACATCCTTCCTCCTTGATGCTTTGAAGGATAACAAGCCTGAGCAAGGCAACCTTCAGACCCGCCTCCTGGAGATGAACTTGGTCAACGCTCCCCAGGTTGCAGATGCCATCCTTGGTAACGAGATCTTTACCCACTATGATCGCGCTCGTGTTGCACAGCTTTGCGAGAATGCCGGTCTTATCCAGCGGGCTCTTGAGAACTCTGACGATCCTTCGGTAATCAAGCGCAACATCGTTCGCACAGATAAGCTTACCGCCGAATGGTTGATTTCCTACTTTGGTCGTCTGTCAGTGGAGCAAACACTTGACTGCATGGACACAATGCTCGAGTCCAACATTCGCCAAAATCTGCAGTCCGTGGTCCAGATCGCCACCAAGTTCTCCGATCTACTTGGTGCCAACCGTCTGATCGATCTCTTCGAGAAGTACCGCACTGCTGAGGGTCTTTACTACTATTTGGGAAGTATCGTCAACCTAAGTGAGGACCCCGAAGTGCACTTCAAGTACATTGAGGCTGCCACTGCCATGAGCCAGATCACCGAGGTTGAGCGCATTTGCCGCGAGAGCAACTACTACAACCCCGAGAAGGTTAAGAACTTCCTAAAGGAGGCCCACCTGACTGAGCAGCTTCCTCTCATCATTGTTTGTGACCGTTTCAACTTCATCCACGACTTGGTCTTGTACCTGTACCAGAACCAGCAGTTCAAGTCCATCGAGGTCTATGTGCAGCGTGTCAACCCTTCGCGCGCTCCTGCCGTCATTGGTGGTCTCCTGGATGTCGACTGCGACGAGAGTATTATCAAGAACCTCTTGTCTACCGTGGACCCATCCGTTATTCCCATCGAAGAGCTTGTCTCAGAGGTTGAGTCCCGCAACCGCCTCAAGCTCCTTCTACCCTTCCTTGAGGCTACTCTTGCTACTGGCAACCAACAGCAGGCCGTCTACAATGCTCTTGCCAAGATTTATATCGACAGCAACAACAATCCCGAAAAGTTCCTTAAGGAGAATGACATGTACGATACCCTCACTGTTGGAAAATACTGTGAGAAGCGGGATCCCAACCTGGCATACATTGCCTATAACAAGGGCCAGAATGACTTGGAGCTCATCAGCATTACCAATGAGAACTCCATGTATCGTGCGCAGGCTCGTTACCTCGTTGACCGTGCCGATCCCGAGGTTTGGAGCTTCGTGTTGAGTGAGAACAACATCCACCGCCGCTCGCTCATTGACCAGGTCGTGGCCACGGCTGTGCCTGAATCCACTGAGCCCGACAAGGTCTCTGTCGCGGTCAAGAGCTTCCTTGAGGCTGATCTCCCCGGAGAGCTGATTGAGCTGCTAGAGAAGATTATTCTCGAGCCTTCTCCTTTCAGCGACAACGCCAGTCTGCAGAACTTGCTAATGCTTACTGCTGCCAAGGCCGACAAGGGCCGCCTGATGGACTACATTCACCAGCTCAACGATTTCTCTGCCGATGAGATCGCCGAGATGTGCATTAGCGTTGGTCTCTACGAGGAGGCGTTTGAGATCTACAAGAAGGTTAACAACTACCTAGCTGCCGTCAATGTTCTCGTTGAAAACATCGTCAGCATTGACCGCGCTCAGGAGTTTGCCGAGCGCGTTGAACTTCCTGATGTGTGGAGCAAGGTTGCCAAGGCTCAGCTTGATGGTCTCCGTATTTCCGACTCCATCGAGTCTTACATCCGTGCTAGTGACCCATCCAACTACGCCGAGGTGATTGAGACTGCCACCCATGCAGGCAAGGACGAGGACCTCGTCAAGTTCCTTCGCATGGCCCGCAAGACCCTTCGTGAGCCTGCCATTGATACCGCTATCGCCTTCTCCTTTGCCCGTCTGGATCAGCTTGCCGAGCTTGAGGAGTTCCTCAAGTCCACTAACGTTGCCGATATCGAGGCTTCTGGTGACAAGGCATACGAAGAGGGCTACCACCAGGCCGCCAAGATCTTCTTCACCACGATCTCCAACTGGGCCAAGCTTGCTACTACTCTTGTGCACTTGGAGGAATATCAGGCTGCTGTCGAGTGTGCCCGCAAGGCTAACAGCGTCAAGGTCTGGAAGCAGGTCAACGAGGCCTGCGTTAACAAGAAGGAGTTCCGTCTTGCCCAGATCTGCGGTCTCAACCTCATTGTCCACGCCGAGGAGTTGCAGGCTCTTGTCCGTCAGTATGAGCGCAACGGCTACTTTGACGAACTGATTGCCGTTCTGGAGGCTGGTCTTGGTCTGGAGCGGGCCCACATGGGTATGTTCACTGAGTTGGGCATCGCTCTCTCCAAGTACCACCCAGACCGTGTGATGGAGCACCTGAAGCTTTTCTGGTCTCGCATCAACATTCCCAAGGTGATTCGTGCTTGCGAGGAGGCTAACCTCTGGCCCGAGCTCGTCTTCCTGTACTGCCATTACGATGAATGGGACAACGCCGCTCTGGCCATGATGGAGCGTGCTGCCGATGCCTGGGAGCACCACTCCTTCAAGGACATCATCGTCAAGGTTGCCAACTTGGAGATCTATTACCGCGCCTTGAACTTCTACCTGCAAGAGCAACCCCTGCTTCTCACTGATCTTCTGCAAGCCTTGACTGCCCGTATTGACGTCAACCGTGTTGTGCGCATCTTCTCATCGTCGGATAATATCCCTCTGATCAAACCGTTCCTGTTGAATGTGCAGAGCCAGAATAAGCGTTCGGTCAATGACGCTATCAATGAAGTTCTGATCGAGGAGGAAGACTACAAGACCCTGCGCGACTCTGTTGATAACTACGACAACTTCGAGTCTATTGATCTTGCTCAGCGCCTCGAGAAGCACGATCTGATCTTCTTCCGCCAGATTGCTGCCAGTATCTACCGCAACAACAAGCGCTGGGAGAAGTCGATCGCTCTGTCCAAGCAGGACAAGCTCTACAAGGATGCCATTGAGACAGCCGCCATCTCGGCCAAGCCCGATGTCGTGGAGGAACTACTCCGCTACTTCGTGGACATTGGCAGCCGCGAGTGCTACGTTGGCATGCTATATGCCTGCTACGATCTGATCCGCCCCGATGTGATCATGGAGATCTCGTGGCGCAAGGGTCTGAATGACTTCACCATGCCCTTTATGATCAACTTCCTTTGCGAGCAGACTCGTGCCATTGAGGTGCTCAAGAAGGACAACGAGGAGCGCAAGGCTCGTGAAAAGTCTCAAAACCCTACCGAGGACAACAACGGACCGATTCTGGGTGGATCCCGCTTGATGCTCACCCAGGGGCCTTCCCCTCAAGCCGCTCCCTACGGACAGGCCAACGGCCTCACCCCGCAGGTGACCGGGTACCGCGGGTTCTAAACGTCCGGCACGATTCAGTTCTTCGACATTATTTTTTATCAATTCTTCCAGCTCTTAATCCCTTTTTTTGTAACATAAAGCGAAGTGATGACCTCTTAGGGCGGAAAAAGACATGAGTTGCGGAAAGGGAGGATGGCTGGTGCTATCTTCGGACCTGGAGGACCTTCATGATGGCCCGTTAATTCGTTTTCATTTTATTGACCATTTTAAATTCTCTTTCTCGTTTCACGATGTACTTTTTAACCGCCATTAATTGTAGTGTTTATTCCAGGATCCCTGAAGCAGTGCATTGCCAAGTATATTGTACACATATATCCTCTTGACCAGGCAACTCAATAATTCAATCATTTAAAAAACAAGGGAGTACATGAATATTTCCAATGCCAAGATGCTAATGTGTATTCTCATCTCATTTCCAACATTTCCATCTCCGTAGCTTGTCTTGGTGTAACACAAGTCTATAAAGATTTCTTGGACTTTTGGACTTGGATTTCTTGGATTACTTGGATTTCTTGGCTAATGAAACCCCAGCAGGTGCCAGAGTATTGGAAGTGTGCTTGTTTTAGAGTATCCTACAGGTAGTTTACTCTTTTGTTTTTTTGTTTTTTTGTTTTTTTGTTTTTTTTTTCCCTTTTTATTTTCTGCTAGCCCTAAGTCTAGTTCAGTATAATAGCGTACATAACCCCACAAAATGCAATATCCGTTCCCCCGTAGTCCACGCTGCCCTCGGCCCGGTTAAATGGAAGTCAGATCTACGCTGTACATGTGCACACAATACCATAAGGGGAAATAATGTACGCAGAGTCAGATATGTGCAGGGTTTTTACCTGTGCCCCAACGCCTCCTTCCACCGGGAACAGTTCAATTTGGAGGATCTTGATACATTACAAGGTAATGTGCAGATTTGTGGTAAGATGGAGAATTTCATTGGAATGATTATGATTAAGACGTGCGGGGTTAGGTTGTACAAGTATATGATGGATCACATTAGAATTATAGATAACCTACTTCAGATATCTAAATACATAATACTTCGTACCATACAATAGATTGCCCAGACTTGAGAAGATCACCGCAATGCCAAGTAGGAAGGTGGAATGGAGGATGTTTGTTTGGAAACGACACACCGAGAGTCTAGAATGAGCTCCTACATCGTACTGTGTACCTTCTCCGTATACTGCGTAGATAATGACCCCCACTTTTTCATTCTTTTTCACGAGAGTTCTCCGATATCCGAGACTCCGTTTGATGAACTCCAGGTTTCACTCCGCTGATATCCGTAATGGCACCATACGGAGAGTAGATATACCGAGGTCGACATAGTGACATAGCTAAATTACCCGATCTGTTCTGGACTCAACTGAGTTTAGTGTGGATTAGAATAAGATCATGCTGATAACTGGGGAAGGAATATATGATTATTTAATTGTTGCTCTTAAATACTTGGTTCTTCTATACAATTGAGATCCCCCGGTGTACCGGTGAGACTGGCGGTCTCCTCTTCTACATCATTATTCTGCAGCCCCTCTATCTGTTATCCCCTGCTTGACATCATATCTCCTCTCTTCCTCCTCCTCTCTCTCTCTCTTCTCATCTCACTTCACACTTACTCTTTTCCACTTTATAATTTTCAAAACTCTCAACATCTCAAAATCTCCTCTTTCTAACTATATCAGCGGCTACTTGTTTTACCGAAATCGGCCCGTATCTCTATCTGGATCTGGATCCTATAGAGTGAGTCACTCGTCCCTCATCTCCTCACCCTTTCACAATTGAGGTATCTCGGTGAACCAAATCCCAGATGTGAATTGACTTATTACAGTCCCCAATCCCCTCGACTCTCCACTCTGCCATTTCCCTCATTCTTCTCTCCACACACCTGTCATGGCTGCCCCGCACCGCCAGCCTGAGGAGGCTATCGATGAGTCTGACTTCATCGAGGATCACGATGAACACCACCAGGACTCTGTTCACCGCCGTTTGCGTGCCAACTCTACCATTATGAACTTCCAGAAGATCCTGGTTGCCAATCGTGGTGAAATCCCAATTCGTATCTTCCGTACAGCTCACGAGCTGTCCCTCCAGACGGTCGCCGTCTACTCACATGAAGATCGTCTGTCCATGCACCGACAGAAGGCTGATGAGGCCTACATGATCGGCCACCGTGGTCAATTCACCCCGGTCGGTGCGTACTTGGCCGGTGACGAAATCATCAAGATCGCCCAGGAGCACGGGGTACACCTGATCCACCCCGGCTATGGCTTCCTGTCAGAGAACGCCGGATTTGCCCGAAATGTCGAAAAGGCTGGTATCATTTTCGTGGGTCCTTCCCCGGACACCATCGACGCACTAGGTGACAAGGTTTCTGCCCGTCGGCTGGCTATCAAATGTGGGGTCCCGGTTGTCCCCGGTACTGAGGGTCCCGTCGAGCGCTTTGAGGACGTCAAGGCTTTTACTGATGAGTATGGCTTCCCCATCATCATCAAAGCCGCCTTTGGTGGTGGTGGCCGCGGTATGCGTGTCGTCCGCGCTCAGTCCGAGCTGCGTGACTCCTTTGAGCGCGCTACCTCTGAGGCTCGCTCGGCCTTCGGTAATGGTACTGTCTTTGTCGAGCGCTTCTTGGACAAACCCAAGCACATTGAGGTTCAGTTGCTGGGTGACAGCCACGGTAACGTGGTCCACCTGTTCGAGCGTGACTGCTCCGTTCAGCGTCGTCACCAAAAGGTCGTGGAGATTGCCCCGGCCAAGGACCTTCCCTTGGATGTGCGCGACAAGATCCTTTCCGATGCTGTAAAGCTCGCCAAGTCCGTCAAGTATCGCAATGCCGGTACCGCTGAGTTCCTGGTCGATCAGCAGAACCGCTACTACTTCATTGAGATCAACCCCCGTATCCAGGTGGAGCACACCATCACCGAGGAGATCACCGGTATCGATATCGTTGCGGCACAGATCCAGATTGCCGCTGGTGCCACCCTGGAACAGCTGGGTCTGACCCAGGACCGCATCTCCGTTCGTGGATTTGCTATCCAGTGCCGTATCACTACCGAAGATCCCGCCAAGGGCTTCTCCCCTGACACCGGTAAGATCGAGGTCTACCGGTCGGCCGGTGGTAACGGTGTCCGTCTAGACGGTGGTAACGGTTTTGCCGGCGCCATCATCACTCCTCACTACGACTCCATGCTAGTCAAGTGCACTTGCCGTGGTTCGACCTACGAGATCGTGCGCCGCAAGGTTCTGCGCGCCCTAGTCGAGTTCCGTATCCGTGGTATTAAGACTAACATCCCCTTCTTGACATCGCTGCTGAGCCACTCCACCTTCATTGAAGGTACCTGCTGGACCACTTTCATTGATGATACCCCCGAGCTCTTTGCCTTGGTCAACTCTCAGAACCGTGCCCAGAAGCTGCTGGCCTACCTTGGTGACGTTGCCGTCAACGGCAGCAGCATCAAGGGCCAGATCGGTGAGCCCAAGTTCAAGGGCGAGATTATCAAGCCCGTTCTCAACGACGCCGCTGGTAACCCCATCGATGTCACCAGGCCCTGCACCAAGGGTTGGAAGCAGATCATTGACAGTGAAGGCCCAGAGGCTTTTGCCCGCGCCGTGCGCGCCAACAAGGGCACCTTGCTCATGGACACCACTTGGCGTGATGCCCACCAGTCCCTGCTTGCCACTCGTGTGCGCACCATCGACATGCTGAACATTGCACACGAGACCAGCTACGCGCTCCAGAACGCTTACGCCCTGGAGTGCTGGGGAGGTGCCACTTTCGATGTCGCCATGCGATTCCTTTACGAGGACCCCTGGGACCGTCTGCGCAAGCTCCGCAAGGCCGTCCCCAATATTCCCTTCCAGATGTTGTTGCGTGGTGCCAACGGAGTGGCTTACTCCTCCCTCCCAGACAACGCCATCTATCACTTCTGCAAACAGGCGAAGCTGTACGGTGTTGACATCTTCCGTGTTTTCGACGCTCTCAACGATGTGGACCAACTCGAGGTCGGCATCAAGGCCGTTCAGCAGGCAGGCGGTGTAGTCGAGGCCACCATCTGCTACAGTGGTGATATGCTGAACCCCGCCAAGAAGTACAACCTTGAGTACTACCTGGCCTTGGTGGAGAAGGTTGTTTCTCTGGGCACCCACGTTCTTGGTATCAAGGATATGGCCGGTGTCTTGAAGCCCCAGGCTGCTCGTCTCCTCATCGGCTCCATCCGGGAGAAGTACCCCGACCTTCCCATCCACGTGCACACCCACGACTCGGCTGGTACCGGTGTTGCCTCCATGATTGCCTGCGCTCAGGCAGGTGCCGACGCGGTTGATGCCGCTACCGACAGTCTGTCCGGTATGACCTCGCAGCCCAGCATCGGTGCCATTACTGCTTCGCTTGCAGGTACCGAACAAGATCCCCTGCTTGACTCGTCCCACATTCGGGCTATTGACACCTACTGGGCTCAGCTCCGTCTGCTCTACTCGCCCTTTGAGGCTGGTCTGACCGGACCCGATCCCGAGGTCTACGAGCACGAGATCCCCGGTGGCCAGCTGACCAACCTGATCTTCCAGGCCCACCAGCTGGGTCTGGGCCAGCAGTGGGCCGAGACCAAGAAGGCCTACGAGGCGGCCAACGATCTCCTGGGCGATATCGTCAAGGTCACTCCTACCTCGAAGGTTGTTGGTGATCTGGCCCAGTTCATGGTGTCGAACAAGCTCAGCTCGGAGGACGTGGTCGCCCGCGCTGGCGAGCTTGACTTCCCTGGCTCCGTCCTGGAGTTCCTAGAGGGTATGATGGGCCAGCCCTTCGGAGGCTTCCCCGAGCCGCTACGCTCGCGGGCCCTCCGTGACCGCCGCAAGCTTGACAAGCGACCCGGTCTGTATCTAGACCCTCTCGACCTGATCCAGATCAAGAACAACATCCGCGAGAAGTTCGGCAGCGCCACCGAGTGCGACGTTGCCAGCTACGCCATGTACCCCAAGGTGTTCGAGGACTACCGCACCTTCGTGTCGAAGTTTGGTGATCTCTCCGTGTTGCCCACCCGCTACTTCCTGGCCCGTCCTGAGATTGGCGAAGAGTTCCACGTCGAGCTGGAGAAGGGCAAGGTTCTCATCCTTAAGTTGCTTGCTATAGGTCCTCTTTCCGAGCAGACTGGTCAGCGTGAGGTCTTCTACGAGGTGAACGGTGAAGTCCGCCAAGTCAGCATCGATGACCAGAAGGCCTCTATTGAAAACTCCTCCCGCCTCAAGGCCGATGCTAGTGACAGCAGCCAAGTCGGTGCCCCGATGAGCGGTGTTGTTGTCGAGATCCGCGTTCACGACGGTCACGACGTGAAGAAGGGTGATCCCATCGCTGTGCTGAGTGCCATGAAGATGGTAAGTAATATTCCTCACCTAACTTCATTTCCCTATGAAGTGCCTGCTAACACTTTTTTTTTACTTCTAGGAAATGGTCATTTCCGCCCCTCACAGCGGAAAAGTGTCCGGCCTGCTCGTTAAAGAGGGCGACTCTGTCGATGGCCAAGACCTCATCTGCAAGATTGCCAAAGCTTAAGCAGTAAAAAAGTGTGATATGTAAAAGATGTGCAATACGCACGATGACTTGCAAAGATTTGAATGACAGCTATGGCGTTTGACTTTTTTTCCTTTTTTTCCATTTTCCTTTTTTTTTATTTTTCATTTTTTTTTTTTTTGCTCTCTTCGCGGGGGTTGGTTATCTCTTATTTTGTGTGGTCTTCTATCAATGGACTTAATCAATATTCAGTAAGATTAAAGAGATGATTAAGATTGAATTGTAAGAATCTTCCCATTACCTAGTCCGTAGTTATGTCAGGCCATGTGTACGTCGTACCTAAGTACCCAAGTACCTAAGTACATGCATGTATGTACGTACCGAGTAGATCCTAGAGGGTCTAGATCCTCAAAGACTCCCAGCAAGAACAGCCAAAAAAGTGGGCGATAACTGTATTCCCCACGACTAAAAGTGCTTCGTAGGTACTGTAGGTACTATTTCAGATCTAGATACATATGTCAATACGATGGATTTCACTAAGTATATCAACAGCTAAGTAGTTAAGTAGCATCTTCAACTTTTGTCAAGGGAAGAAACGGGGTTAGGCGAGCACCCGACAAGCAGCCATGTAGAGAGACAGCTGACCTATCATTTTCGTCATTTTTATCGTCTGCATCTCCTTTTCTTCTTTCCCTTGGCCTCTTTGCATTTTGAATTCTCCTCTTAGCCTCTTCTGTCTACTCCGTTACCTGTATTCTCCTTGTTAATCTGGTCAATATAAACCATGACCGAGGCAAAGACATACCTAAATGAAGAGGATTTCCGAAAAGGTACACTAGAAACCGTGGTACCCAGTCGGTACCTAAGTATGAGGAGCAAACTTGAACAAACGCTAAAGAATGTTCCACAGGCCTTAAAGCCCTAGACCGCGAAATGGGCGCCGACGCCTGGATAGTGACATTCGCACCAATCCGCATAATAGCAGCAGGCGGCTTCCTATCAGTGTCGTACCTCAAAAACCGCGACAGCACCGGTGACATAGACTACCTACTCGACCCAGAGGTATCGGACAACGACGACCTACAAAGCTCACTCCACCAAACAATCCGCACCGTAGCGCGCAAGATGGACTACAACCACAAGTGGATAAATGAAGACATGGCGATATTCGTGACCAAGCGCAGTCGCGAGACGCTATTCGAACAGGCGGCTAAGCAGGGCATTACGCTGTTTCGGGGGAATAATTTGGAGATTCTTGCTGCGCCGTTGGAGTGGGCGCTTGAGAGGAAGTTGAGGAGGATTCATGCTGCTGATCGCGGGAGGAAGACGGAGTGTGACGTTGTTGATGCGCTTGCGCTGTTGAGGGAGTTGAGGGTTAGGAATGCGGGCCCGTTGGATGAGGAAGAGGTGAGGAAAATGAATGTTAATGGGTTTGACGTTCTTCCTGGTTGTGAGACTATGCAGCGGGTTAGACGAGAGTATCGGTTCATGTATAATGAGGAAATTTTCAGTTAGGGCTTGGATTTTGTAAGGGTTGGGTTTGGGTTGGTTTTTGGATGGATTGGTGGAGTTAGCTATTAATATTATTGTATATTGTTTTTTTTTCTTTCTTTTCTTCAGTTTTGTTAGAAGATCTTCCTAGATGGTATAAAACCAGCCTGTGTTGGTGATAATATTCCGTCGAGCAAATATGCCACTCTGCCCCTGTTCCTCTAGTACGAGATTCCCATCTGCATCCAGAACATCACTCGGCACAGAGCGCTTCAACAGCTCTTTATTGATGGGCGCAACATCATCCACCCAGTCGGGCAAGTCCTCAGGAATAAATGGCGGCAAAGGATCATGATCATCGTCTCGAAAGACATGCCTCCCATTCCGTCTCAACCCAAGACTAAGCCTCCAATTAACGGCCTCGTACAATTCCTCCGCGATACACGCAACAACGGCATAGCGCAGCGGATCCTCGTCGTGCGGATCAGGAATATCACACAACGACCAATCAGGTCTATAGAAGAAATACTCGGTCTCATAGCCCATGAGCTCGTATCGATCAGCGAGATGCAGCTCGTAGAGCCGGTATATAGAGCGGAGAGGGGTGTCGCGCAAACACCAGATGGGAATAGCGCGCAGGTTGTGGATCTCGCCGAAGTGCGAGCGGATGATACCGGTCTTGTTCCTGCTGTCTTCAATCAGGGCGCGGAGAGAATACGGTCCGGGGATTGGGAAGAACCAGGATGGATATGGGATGAACATGAGTATTAGGGCGAGTAAGGGATGTTTTTGTTTTCGGAGTCGGAAGAGACTGCTGCGTAATTGGAGGGGTGACTCCCAGTAGCAAAGCCACCGTTTGAAGCGGTTCCATGGGGAAAGTTTCGGCCTGGGGCGGCGCGGGTTGGACGAGCGCATGTCCGGTGGAGAATGGCGTTGCTGAAGTGATTGTTGGAGCGAGGAGACTCCAACCGGGTTGTGTTTGACCTGTTTGCACCTGTTTTTATGTATATCGAGGACTGGTTTAAGACCATCTCTAGTCCATGGATATAATTGAATTTGAATATAAATCAGATAGACCATCACATTCTAAAATTAATAGTAATAGCTGAATAATATTAGGTGGCAGTATACTTTGCTACTCGAATAACGGCAGAATGTCAAATTCCGGGGAAGTGAGACATGGATGCCAAGCTTTTGTCTTTTCCCCGCATTTCAATACGTCAATGCAGATCTGGTATTGGACAGTACATTCATATTTAACTACTTACTGATCAGCTCAGTTCAGTGTATTGTATTGAAGTATTTGTAACAACATATACAAGTTGGAAATGGACCGTTTCTGCTTCTTATATAAATGATCTAGACCGATTCATTATCAGTGATTTGGAGACAGCAGATACCAAGAAGTCAAGCTATAACCCCAGCTTCCCTCTTCCTCGTCATAATCAACTATATAACACCAAGTCAAGTGTGTAAGAGTATGTACGATGTTCCTCATCAATCACACAATGTAATACTTAAACGGATCCAATCAAACCCAAGAGGTATCTACCCATGACGTCTTCGACTCAACATACCTCGTGACTTGAGAATGATAACCAGCTGCCCTTTCTATTCCTCTATTTAAATCTAATTATCTCATTGATTCTGTTTCTATTCCTTCTGTATTCAAAATTAAGATTGAATCTTAGTCCGGCCTCTAAATCGGACATATTTTACCAACAACAGACTTGCCACTATTTGAATACTCCAACATGGCTGACGATGCTGCTCGCCGCCATTGGCACGGAAACTCCGGTGATCGCCATGAACATCTCAATGTTTGGACGCAGGGTGGTGCAAAGGGTCCTACGCCCCGTGCTCCATGGGCACTGACCCCGGAGATGATTGCCTACGATACTGCTCGTCGGGTATGTTTCACACCAATCTATACCATACTGCACCTGCACTTCATCTTCCAGAACTATCTTAATGGGTTTCCGGGATATACGTCCAAACAATCACTGAAACGGACTAATTCTAACATGAACTTAACAGGCATCGGCCGCTTCAAACTCCTCTGTCAAGAGCGATGGAGCCGCTGACTCCCCCACAACTCCGTCCGTTAGTGAACGCCGCCGTTCCAGCGTTTCCGGTGGATCAGCTCTCTTCACAAACCTCCACACCCAGAAGCGGGAGTCTACTGATCCGGAATTTTCTGTTCGTCGTGCCAGCTGGAATGAGCAGCGTGGTCAGAGTGATTCGTTTTTGGGTAAGTTGTGGGATAATTATACTCGGGGAAGTCCTCGAAATTAATCGGTTTCAATCACTGAGTCTTAAAATGTTTTTTTTTTTAATCCTCGATTTTCACCTGGACAGGACCTCAGGATCCTTTGAAAATGAATATCACCTCTAGGGCAAATATCTTATTTAGTCGGGGGTGGAGGTGATTGTGACAATGGCCATGGATTGGATATCGATATATATTTTATGTACGGATCTCTGGAGTTGGATATGTATTTGTTTTCCCCCAAATTGAATTTTATTAGGATATTCCGAATTCTAACGCTTGTTGGAATTTTTCCAATCCAAAGCTCTAAATACTGTGCATAGGACTGAGTTCATCATACATAGCCTTGTTGGATTATCACATACCTGTGGTGCTGAATTGCTTCTGTTCTCGCTAGCAAGATAGATAGGCGTTTGACATTGGCATAGGGAGTAAACGACGCCTAGATAGAGGGCATATTCAAGATTTATAACCTTGGAAGGCCCGGATCTTTTAGTTAATCCAGGGAAATGTAAGTGGATTGGACACTCTCATTCAGACGCTTTCGTAGGTCTAGGCTTGCATGGATGTTCGTCATCCAATAAGTTAGCGACATGGATTATGACAAGCATATACACAAGGACAAGTTGAGCAATGGTAGACCGGGAGCTCGTTCTATTCTTAGAGAGCAAGTTGCCTCGAGCCTTCAGACCCTTGAGGTTCAAAAGGTCTTGCGGCACTACAGTCTACAGTACTACAAAACCTACTGCTACGAAGAACGGCACCAGGTGTAGACAGGGAGAGAAGAGAAAGATAGGCCAGGTGGTACTCATCCAAGACGAAAGTCATGGAGAGACCGACTCTTTGAAAAGATCATAGACCAATTCAACCGAGTCAAGCTTGACAACCAGACCGCAAATTGCGAATCTGGAAGCAGCCAGCATTTTCAACAATGGTTATGCGGAACAACAACACCTCATGTGCAGCCTTCATTGTGAAAAAAAAAAATTGCGAATTATGCAAAAGGTGGTAGATGAATTCATGTCTCTAACACGCCTATCCTGGTTGCCAAAGTTAAAAGTAAAAAAAGGGTTCAGAACACCATATCGGACGCAGGATCGGGAGCCCGGGAGGGTTATTTCAACGGGTCCGCCCTGGGTCTTTTTGTTTTCTTTTCGGAGGGGAAGAATTTTTTTTGGCTTCCTTTTGATGGATCGTAAATCACAAGATTCAACCATCCCATCCCGCTTCCTATCAATGCTCAATTAAAAGCATTTACCGGACAATACCGTCGAAGCGGTTCTTGAACCACTTAACGGTCTCGTTCTGGTTGATCTTGTGGTTGGAGCCGATGGAAGACTTGCAGCGGCGACGCTTAGCAACACGCTCACCGGGGCGGGTCCTAGAAAAAAATCATTATCAATAAAATTCCTTCCTTTTCCGCCGAAATAAGAATACTCACATGCAGCAGTAGAAGTCCATGCCGTAGATACCAATACCGGGGTCATACTTGATACCGAGATCGATGTGCTCGGAGATACCGAAACCGAAGTTTCCGGTCTCGGAGAAGTTGCGCTTGCGGAGCTCGTACTCCTTGACCTTGAGGCCACGCTCGAGGATCTCCTCGGCCTTGGGGCCACGGACGGTAACGTGGACAGCGATCTTCTCGTTACGGCGGATACCGAAAGTACGGACGGTGTAACGGGCTTTGCTGTAGACAGGGGTCTGACCAGACAGCTGCTCGAGCACCTTGGCGGCACGGGTCAGTCTGTCACCAGACTCGCCGACGGAGATGTTCAGCACGAGCTTCTGGATGCGCAGCTCGCGCATGGGGTTTGCGCTCTTATCCTGTGCTTCCGACTACATTGTATGTTAGAGACTGTTGTATTATAACGACTGAATAAACATGGTGATGGTATTTCGGGGACCTACCATGGCGTCTGTATTTTGGCGTTGAAGTGGTGGTCGACGAGATGGAGAGAATCTGTGAAAAGCACAAAAGCGGTTTGTGTGGGTTGACGGTCACGGGATCGTGGGTCACGAGTGGAAGCGAGCCCTGAGGCGGTCAATGCCGGCAAAACTCTGGGCTCCATATCTATCACATGACTAACTGACTCAGCATATCAAGTGGGACTTCCAACCTGAAAGGTTCCAAGAAATACAGCTTAGCTTTCCCAATCAGCTCTTCACGTCTTCTGTGACCCCCTGCTTCATTTTATTCTTAAGTCTCTCAAGTCGCATCCGTGCGCGCCCTCATACATATGTCGAAGAAGGTTCACCCCAAAGATCAGGGCAAGATGGTAAATCTTTCTGTTGTAACTCACTCAATGGCGGTCGCTAACATCTCTCATCTAGGCCAACCTCGTGAGACCAACCAATACATCGTCATTTACCCAATTGTCTACTGACTCGCCTTTCTCCTAGATCGAATACCGCATGCGCGTGACTCTCAAGGATGGTCGCCAGCTTAGCGGCCAGATGCTGGCTTTTGATAAGGTTTGATTACTCCACCATGCCATACACATTTTCCAAGACTGATCTTTCTTGGTTGTTTTTTATAGCACATGAACCTCGTCCTTGACGATACTGAGGAGTTCCGCATCACTCGCAAGCATGGCAAGGCCGGCCCCGGTGGCGAAACCACCACCATTGAAAACGAGCAAAAGCGTGTTCTGGGCCTCATCATTTTGCGCGGAGCCCAGGTTGTTTCTTGTTCCATGGAAGGTCCTCCTCCCGATGACCCCGCCAAGCGACTCGGTAACTCCGCTCCTACCATCAGCGCCGGTCCCGGTATCAGCAAGCCCGCCGGTCGTGGCGTACCCATTGGCCTTGGTGGTCCTGCCGCAGGTGTTGGTGGCCCATCGCCTTACGGATTCCCCCCGGTGGCCCAGGCCGTTTCCCAGGTGGTTTCCCTGGCGGCCCCCCTGGAGGATTCCCTGCTCGTGGAGGTCCTCGTAAGCAACTATCCTAATTCCAATCACATATCTAGAGAACTGACTTTTATCCTTTCTTCGCAGTTCCTTTCACTCCGGTCCCTGGTGCTGGTAACCCCCGTACGTTTTCACTTCTCCGTTCCCACTTCTCCACACTGTTTTCTCTACTGACATCGTTATATTATAGCTGGATTCCAAGCCCCAACCCCACCAATGGGTTTCCAGGGCCCACCCGGACAGGGACAGGGACGAGGATACCCTCCTCCTGGCTTTGGAAGATGATTGGATAGGAGAGGTTTACGAAAAAGGATCCAAGCTCCCCACGTCAGCGATTTTTTTAACAAGTGGGATAAGCGACTTGAGATGGATTGAGACTACGAGACAATGAGCTGAGGCCCTCCTCAGGAAAGTAGCAAAACTAATGCTAGATCAGCCCTCAACTTACGGGCAAGGTGTTGTGGCGCATGTGATACCGTCTTACCATCAGCCATTACCTAAAAAATAACCTATTTGCTTCATGTGTTCACTAGATTTGTCAGAATTATTCTGGCTAGTCCTTATGACCCATATCATCGTAAAGCTACGCGGTACAATACAGCCTGGGTGTCAGATCCCCATCTCTCATCATCTTCACATGTTGATACCTAGGTACAGTTGATGTAGATATCCCCTGTCTTACCAACTATAGCACGTGAGTTATATATAGTAGGCCGGGCTTAGTTTCAGGAATCCGGGGAATTGAGGCGTCTGGAATAAGCCATTGACAAAAAATCAGCCCATCCCCATGCACTAACAGATGACTAGCTCATATGGGTAAAAGGCCGAAGGAGCCACTTAGATGCAGCTGGGACTTATTGCAATGGATGTTGACCAATTGCACGTCATCAAAGCGCCGAGTTAGTGGGCACGTGACATATCGGTCCCCGATCGTTAAGGAAGTCCGTAGCCGGGGATGCCAGAACCCCAGCTTCAACCACTCAACCTCTCCACTCAACACTTATCTCCCCTCAACTCTCTCCGTCTTATCCAGCAAAAGTCATCATGGCCGCTGCTATTAAGGCAATCAATGCTAAGATACGCTCCAATAAGGCTGCCGACTATATCTGTTCTACTCGTACGTACTACCACTTTCCTACCCCGGCTTTCCCGCCGACACCTTCACCGAGATCCCCTCCCAAAATGTGTCAAAAGTGTCAAAAGTTCCAACAAAAATAATGAGTCAAGAATGGCAAGGAAAGGAGTTTCGAGAAAGTCGAAATGGAGTTTCCATCAAATATTCAAGATTGGAGGAAAAAATTACCTAGATTGCTAACAATACTTCTTCGCAGACTTCTGGGGCCCCGTCTCCAACTTCGGTATTCCCATCGCGGCAGTGATTGATATTGGCAAGGACCCTGAACTGTGCGCTTGACCTTCCCCTTACAACATAAAGCATACCCCCCACGCCTTTCCCTTTCAAGTCCTTTCGCAACTATGTCTCCCTTTGTCGCGACTAATTCTGCTCTCGCAGTATCTCTGGTGGAATGACCGGCGCTCTCATCGTCTACGCTGCTACCTTCATGCGCTACTCCCTCGCTGTCACACCCAAGAACTACCTTCTCTTCGCCTGCCACTTGACCAACTTCGGCGCCCAAACTACCCAGGGATACCGATATCTGCAATACTGGAAGTACGTTATCTCCGGACTACAGTGCCCCGTGGTTTCAATTTTATAAAATATTTGATCCGAAACTAACGTCTTCTTAGCTGGGGAGGTCGAGAAGCTAAGCTTGCTGAACAGGCGGCTAAGAGTGGTGCGCAGGCTGCTGCGGCTTAAAAAAACCCCTTGACTTTTCAAGATTGTCAAGGGGCTGTGCTTTTCATCGGCTTTGAGTTTGCATGTTTGTGTTGTTTCACTGCACTTCATTTCTATACGTCCATTCCTTTTATGTTTCTTGTAACAGGGCGACCTGGACTGACCAGGAAATATGGAGAGATAAAGAAATAGAAGTGTATAGAAAGTATACCTAGGTAGTGTCGGAAGGATGAATGGAACGAAGAAGCGGAGATTGGGACATCTCTTGACTGGATCGAGCATGTCCGATTGTTTCGGATGCTTGAGTCAGTCACTGTACATAGTAGGCTTATTGAATCGAAAGGCTTAAAACATGATTCTGTGCGCTTTAATTTCACTGAATCTCGGTAAGTTGGAATTGAATTGTATGTTTACTTTCATACCCAATACAGAACAAGTAACTATGTATACAACAACCTCGACCGATTAAATCCCGCCATATATAGGCCATTTGTCCAGTAAATCAAATACACCGATTCTCCGCTCATGCGAGGATGACAGAAAGTTTGTAATGCAACATCAGATATAGTGGAGCTACAAAGATAAAAACAAAAGCCAAGTCACAGCATGTATCTTATCGCATAGAGGACATGATATAGATGAACAATTACTGAGGGTCGCAGTATCCGGGAGATACAACAACCTGGCCTCCTATCCAATTTTTGATGGTCAGAGAGGTGGTGTAGATACACCCAATAACGCCGAAGATAGCAAGGGTTATGTCGGCAATGACTTGGCGCCTAGAGCGCGCACATGCGCGAAGATGTAGAAGAGGCTAGAAGAATTAGAAGTTAGTTTGAGTTTCATCTGCAGGCTTGCGCTCAAACGACCTACTGGGTACACATAGATCAACGGCACACATGCAAAGCTTCCAACAAGCGAAACGAACTTGTCGAGATCATCAGCGCCGCACACAGCGATAATAGCACAGACGAATACCAAGAAGAAGCGGAAGGCATTCTTCTTCCACTTGATATACGGGTTGTACTTTCCGCTGCGGGTGAATAACTCGTTCTCCATAATACGGATGGCGGGGAAGAGTTGGAGTGGTGTGCTGAGCAAGATGGCAAGTGAGTAGAGCAGTTGAACCACGTTGACAAGCTTGTCATCCTGGGGAAGGTTGAGGAGAATAACGGTTTTGGTGGCCGATCCATAAGCGGCGTAGCTCAGGGCACCCGCAGAAAGGAAGATCAAGGTGATGACGACCATAACACCGGCTAGGATACCAGGGAATCGTTGGGGCTGCTTCATCGATTCCTGGATGGGGATGATAAGACCAATTCCCTCATAGGTGAAGATGGCAGTGCCGATGAACATGGACCAGGTTGCCGGGTTAAAGGCTTCAATATCCGAGATGCCACCATTACTGATCAGAGTGCGGGCGTCGTAGTAGTAGATGTACAAAAGACCCATCAAGATAAACGCATCAGCAATAAGTGCAGTGAACCCAAGTTTGCTGATGTCGCGAATCAGGGAGAGGGGCAAGAAGATGATTACTTGCAACAGTACCATGACCTTGATGTCTATAAATGTCACACACTTGCTCACAGCTAAGACGAAAGCCTGCAGATTCTGTGAGACGAAGACGATGTATGCACCGACGAATCCCAATTGGCTCAGCACGATAGAGCCAAGGATGATACGCCGCATGTGTTTTCCGTAAAGAATACCTCCAATATCACCAAAAGAGCCCTCGATCTTCATGCGGGTGTTAACCAACAGGATGAAGGCGTAGTAGCTCAGAATGGAGACTGCCAGAAGGACCAAGCTGCTGAAGAGCATGCCTCCGTTCAAAAAGGCCCGAGGTAGAAATAGAATTCCAGTACCTACAAAGGACTTGAGCAACAAGAGAACTGCACCTGTAGCAGTGGTTGTTCCTGGAGGTGCTCGTTTCTTGTGCTTCCGTTTTTTATGGCCAGCTGAGTCTCCTTGAAGTAAAGCGGCAGCTTCCCCGATCTCTCTGCCTTCGTCTTGATCGTCCCAGGTATCAGATGAGAAATACTCATCAGGGCCCAAGACCTCGTCGTCTTCCTCCAGCTCTTCTCCAGCAAAGTGACCGTAAAGAGTCAAGAATTCCAAAAAGCTTGTAGTTGGGAGCTGGGGCTGGGGTTGGGCTTGTGATCCTGAACTAGATCCGTTGGAAGGCCCACGGTGAGGGCTGGCAGCAGATCTCCGTAGATAATCTCTGCGGAAGCCTCCTGGAACTTGTATAGTGTGTATGTCTTCGGTCTCAACTTCGGGGGTGGGTCGACTGACACTGAAACTTTTGCTGCGAGTGAATCTGCCCGCAGCCTCAGCTTCTGCATCCTCTGCCCATCGGTAGACCTGGCGAGTGATATCACCGCCCTGCAGCTGTAGACTTGAGAAATGCTCGTCACCGCCGAGGCTGGTTCCGAGCTCCGAGCCTGCATCTCGCAGCTCAGAACCATTTTGTGGGCGCACAAGATGCCTTTTTACCACCTCTGGGTCTTCATATGGAGCAGCAGTGTCTATACCACTCTTGTTGTCGAAGGAGCCGTACTGTGAGGCGATCGGTCGGTTATCGAGGAAAGAGTGGGGCGTTGGTGACCCAGCAAGCCGTGCGGGGGTGCCAAACCTCGGAGGTGAGCGACTAAGGCTGTGTTGTAGCTGCGAAGCAATCATAGACTGCCCTGGACCGGGCAACGAAGATGGGTTATCAACAGCTTTAAAGTCGTGTTCTTCTGAGGCGGTCGGATGAGTGATCTGAGATGTGATCGGACGACTAGCAGTGCCACCAGGTCGGGAAGAGTATGAAGTTCCGAAAGATGGCGAGGGCACTGGTGAAGCGAGTCGAGCGATCGAAGCCTGTCGATTCCCTTGATCAGGAGCGGGAGATGACGATCGAACAGACGATGAGATTGGCACTGCCTGGGACGGAGTCAGCGATGAGCCCTCTCCGTTATCCATAATGTTTGGATTAAACGGAGTACTCCCGTTAGTTTTCAGGATCTAGGATGTGTCAAATGAATGAGCATGTAAAAATATCCAAAATTGATATTCCCCTGGAGGCTTATGCTGTAAACTTGCAGCGGAGCTTAGAGGGCGAAGGATGGCTTGGCGATCGGGGTTGCCAAGATTAGTTTCATTTGCACTGTTTGTTTCCACGTCATCCATTCACCGCGCAATGTTATCTATCTAGTTTGCTTTCCCGTCAATAGTACGAAAACTACGAGATTCTTCACATTTATTTTGTCTTTTCATTGCTTATATTGCCGACATCGGACTCGGCCATGATCTTGCCATTGTAGAGGTAGTTTCAATTGTTTTGTTTGACGGAGAAACACGGAGATACCTGTGACAACTATGTCTCGCCAACGCCCTACTTTCTCGACTCGGTCCGCCGACGAGGATGCCGCGAGACTCGATCCAATTGAGCATGGAGATCCTTCATTAGGGGAACGTAGTGGATTGCTACAATTGCCACCTATCATCCGTCGACAATCTGAGGAGAGTCAAGGCCAGCACCATTCCTGGCTCGGCAATCCATTTGGCGGCCTTTCCCGATGCTGGCGTCGAAAGAAATGCAGCGAACAAGAAGAAGAGAATGGCGAAGAGAGCGAAATACCCCCTATGTCACCTCTCACAGCAAACGACAAGAAGGATAAAGGTAAACCCCACTCTCGTTCGATAGATGAGCCAAAGAAGCTGGGCACTTTCTCCGGAGTTTTTGTCCCTACAACCTTGAACGTGCTCAGTATTCTTATGTTCCTTCGTTTTGGATTTATACTGGGCCAAGCTGGGCTGGTGGGTATAATTGGTGAGTTTATGAATCTGGTATCTCGTTGAATTGGCATAGCTGAATGTGTCCAGGACTGCTGGTCGTCTCATACATGATCAATTTGGTTACCACAATGTCATTGTCTGCAATTGCCACAAATGGAACAGTCCGAGGAGGCGGGGCTTACTTCTTGATCTCTCGGTCATTGGGTCCTGAATTTGGCGGTTCCATTGGAGTTGTATTCTACTTGGGCTACGTCTTCAATACTGGCATGAATGCTGTTGGTTTAATAGACTGTTTCACGCAAAATTTTGGTGAAACATCTGGCACTTGGGCTAATTTCCTCATGGAAGGGACATGGTGGCAGTACCTTTGGGCAACTGTGATCTTGGTGCTCTGCACAGCTGTTTGCTTAGCTGGAAGTTCCATTTTTGCGAGAGCGAGCAATGGTCTCCTGGTTATTCTCCTTGTGGCGACATTCAGCATTCCACTATCTGCCATCTTCATGAAACCATTCCAGTCTCCAAATGAAGGCGTTGAGTTTACAGGACTGAGGTTAAAAACCCTGATAGGTAATTTGATGCCTCATCTGACTAAGGGCGCTGCCGGAAGCCAGTTGAAGCACAAGGAGAACTTTCAAGACCTTTTTGGTATCCTGTTTCCTGCCACCGGAGGCATATTTGCGTAAGTGAGCTACCACACCTGATGACTCAATTCATGCTAACAAAGACTTCAGTGGCGCAAGCATGTCAGGAGATTTGAAACATCCAAGCAAAGCAATCCCAAAGGGAACACTGGCAGGCCTTGCGCTAACATTTGTCTCTTATGCTGTGGTCGTCCTAGCCATGGCGGCCTCAGTCACCCGGGAGTCTTTCTACAATAATGTGAACGTGATACAGATTGTTTGTCATCTTCCATCTCGCGAAGGTATCTTCGGATAATTTCTAATCTCATACAGGTTAACTTCTCTGATACCGTCATTCTCCTTGGAGAATTTGCCACCAGTTTCTTCTCTGTGTTGATGGGAGTGATCGGATCTGCAAAGCTTCTCCAGGCAATTGCAAGAGACAACCTGCTGCCTGGACTTGACATCTTTGCCCAAGGTACAAAGAAGGCCGATGATCCCATATATGCCATTTTAATCACCTACATCTTCGCACAACTGACAATGCTGTTCGACATCAACCGCATTGCGTCATTTGTGACCATGACATACTTGATGACTTTCCTTGTGACCAACCTGGCCTGTTTCCTCCTGAAAATTGGCTCAGCACCCAATTTTCGACCATCCTTCCATTATTTCAATTGGCAGACTGCAGCTGCAGGAACACTTGCTAGCGGAATCAGTATGTTCTTTGTAGATGGCCTCTATGCAGCTTGCTGCGTTGGTATTTTGTTTGTGCTGTTTCTTCTTATCCATTACACCTCGCCGCCCAAGGCCTGGGGCGATGTGAGCCAAAGCCTGATTTATCACCAAGTGCGAAAGTATCTGCTTCGTCTGCGCCAAGAGCATGTCAAATTCTGGCGACCACAGATTCTGCTTTTTGTCAGCGACCTCGACCAACAGTATAAGATGGTCTCCTTTTGCAACTCTCTCAAGAAAGGTGCCCTCTTTGTCTTGGGTCATGTGCTCGTTACTGATGACTTCTCATCGGCCGTGCCAGAGGCACGTCGCCAACACAGCGCATGGACCAAGTTCGTCGAATATTCCAAGATCAAGGCCTTTGTCAACATTGCTATTGCCCCTGCCGCAGAATGGGGTATGCGTAACATTGTCCTCAATGCTGGTCTGGGTGGCATGCGTCCTAATATTGTTGTGATCGACCAATTTCGATCAGATCAATCCCTGGTAGAAACCTTGTCACAGAGCAGCTATAACAAGTCAAGACGCCGCTCCTCTATTTTAGGCTCAAGAAGTGACGGATCCCACGAATTTGCACCATCTGCAAATCCAATGAGCTGCCAGAGTTATGTGACGGTTCTCGAGGATTTACTTTTCAAGCTTCGAATTAACGTTGCCGTGGCCAAAGGATTCGAGGATCTTGAACTGCCAGACCCACATGGACGTCACACGAAAAAGTACATAGACTTGTGGCCCATACAGATGTCTGCAGAGCTTGGGGCCGACAGTGTGAGCAAGCAACATGTTTTGACAACAAATTTCGACACCTACACCCTCATTCTCCAACTAGGCTGCATCTTGAACACTGTCCCATCGTGGAAAAAGACATATAAGTTGCGAGTTGCAGTGTTTGTTGAATACGAGACAGACGTGGAAGATGAACGAAAGCGGGTCTCTACTCTGCTCGAGAAACTGCGCATCCAAGCAGAGATTTTAGTCTTTTGGCTTGCATGTGGGGATCTCAAATCATACCGCATTATTATCAATGGCGATACTTCACCTGATATGACTGACGCCAAGGAGAATGTTCAATTGATTCTAGGTGAAGAGGACTGGTGGAAAGAAGTCTCACAAGCTCGCAACCCTGTCGAGAACTTTCAAGCGGAAGAAAACGCCGGTGAGGCTATTTCACCAGAGCGGCGGTCATCTAGTTGGCAAGCACCCCCTGCCTTGGAGGGTGGCGGAAAGAAATGGAATCATCTGACAAAACTTCGGACATTGATTCAAGCCACCAAACGCAAGCGTTCTGTGTCCAGCTTCCGGGCGATGGGAGGTATTAGCCTGGGCATGCAGACCCATCATCTATTGGATTCTTTTGTTGACTTTGATGGAGAGGACTCGAGTAGTGAGAGCTCAGACAGTGACCTGGATCCTTATACGAGTGACCCAGAGATCAATGAGGGTGACGAGGACGCGTTCGGCAGTCGAGATAGTCGAGCGAATCCTGGTTCTTCACGGCTTTCTCGCACCAAAAGCGATGATGGAGACTCTAGATTGCGCACACCTACCATGCCACGAACACCTAGCAAACCAGCTTTTTGGTCTCCTGCTCCGATACATGAGGAGGGCCAACAGAGCCAAGAAATTCCATCAATAATCACAACTCAGGAGGATGCATCTCCAAAGAGCAAACCACCTGTCCCTGTGCCGCCCCACTCTCCCCACTCGCCTCGCCCGGCCATCAGCCGCTCGGTCTCCAGGAACCGCTTTAGCTCTTCCCCGATTCCGGAGACCAAGGTCAACGCGGAGGAGGAAGCGGGTCCATCGATTATGTTCGCCTCAAATGCTTCACCTCCCCGGTTTTCAAGCAAACTTGATTCCATTTATACACGGCGTCAATCAAGCCCCAGTGGACACAGCAGCCAATCGGCACCGGCACACGCATCTGGATACCCGGGCCACGCTTCCGTCCCTCTATCTTTCAATGATCTTCCTAGCCGAGCGCAGCATCTTATACTGAACGAGTTGATGGTCCAGCAGAGCAGTGAGACAGCCGTTATTTTCACTACGCTACCGTCGCCAGAAGAGGGCACTTCGCTTAATGAAGAGGAAAGCGCAGCTTATCTGAGTGACCTTGATGTGCTGTGGCAAGGTCTCCCTCCGTGCCTTCTGGTGCACAGCAATAGCATGACCGTGACTATGAACCTTTAACGAGTCCATGATTATCTGTTCATACAGGTCTAGACTTTCTTAAATATAAATCCACAAATTCCGGGTTAATATGGAGGACGAAACTCAGTATAGAATATTGTACTGTAAAGAACGAAACTGTAATAAAAAGTGAATTACTGTTGGCCAAACTTGAAAGAATTGCTGACCAATTACTATATTCCTTCAATTTGATTGGTTGTTGCGCGTGCCCTCAACTACTTCGTAATTTGGAGCACTGGAATTCCCAATTCTTCGATTAATGCATATTGCCCTTACTTCCCTTGAATGATGATTGTACTTTGTTGCTGATATTATTCTTCTTCTTATGATTAATTCTACGATTCAATAATACTTTTCAATCGCGCCTCCCGCTAGCTCTTCTGCAAGTCCTTTCTCCACACCCCTGAAATCAATGGAAGCAGTCACGCTTCGATTAAACGACAGCGTGAAAGTCGCACTCACTCATTCTTATCCTGTTACCCATTTTCTACCCGAAGAGTTACACAGCGTTGATATGAATGAGAAAGCTGTTGACATTGACATTGATCACTCCACCTCTTCAAACCAAGCTCAGACCACACGACCCAGTATGGCCCGTAAAGCGTCCTCGCCCATGGCACCCGCCTTTATGGTGTCAGCACCAGGCAAAGTAATCATATTTGGAGAGCATGCTGCTGTACATGGCAAGGCTGCCCTGGCCGCATCTATCTCCCTTCGATCATACCTCCTTGTTACGACCCTCTCGAAATCACAACGTACCATCACCTTGAACTTCCGTGATCTGGGACTGGACCATACCTGGGACATTGACACACTACCTTGGCATATCTTCCAACACTCTTCTAAGAAGAAGAACTACTACGATCTTGTGACAGCCCTCGACCCCGAGCTTGTCGAAGCTATCCAACCACATCTCGAAGGTGTTTCAAAGGGACTCCCTGACCAACAACGCAAAACTCACGTCAACTCCGCTTCCTCCTTCCTCTATCTTTTCCTCTCACTGGGCTCCCCTCAAAGCCCAGGCGCTATCTACACCCTCCGTTCCACAATCCCAACTGGCGCAGGTCTAGGCAGTAGTGCCAGTGTATGTGTCTGTTTCAGTGCTGCGCTTTTGCTCCAAATTCGCACTCTTTCTGGACCCCATCCAGATCAGCCTCCAGATGAGGCTGAGACTCAAATCGAGCGTATTAACCGCTGGGCGTTCGTAGGTGAAATGTGCATCCACGGAAACCCCAGTGGCGTGGACAATACGGTTGCCGCAGGCGGCAAGGCCGTGTTATACCGACGAACAGACTACGAGAAGCCTCCGACTGTGACTCTACTTCCTAATTTCCCGGAATTGCCGCTCCTACTCGTCGATACGCAACAGTCCCGCTCCACTGCAACAGAGGTCGCCAAGGTCGGCGCTTTGTTGAAAGCCCATCCTGCCGTGACCAATTCAATTCTCAACGCCATTGATGAGGTGACGGTCTCAGCACAGAAGATGATTGAGGACCCGGACTTCGAAGGCGACTCGGAACGTACTCGTGAACATATTGGTACTTTGATTCGTATCAACCACGGTTTCCTTGTCTCATTGGGCGTCTCGCACCCTCGACTTGAGCGGATCCGCGAGCTGGTCGATTATGCCGATATCGGCTGGACAAAGTTGACTGGTGCTGGTGGTGGCGGCTGCGCTATCACTCTCCTCCGTCCGGACGCCAAGCCTGAAGTTGTCAAGGAGTTGGAGCAGAAGCTTGCCGACGAGGGATTCAACAGGTACGAGTCAACTCTTGGTGGCGACGGTGTGGGAGTTCTTTACCCTGCTGTGCTGCGCAATGGATCTGATGAGGAGGGCGGGGAAGAGATTGACCAGCAGAAATTCGAGCAGGCCAACGGCCACGCAGGCATTGAGCGTCTTGTGGGCGTTGGGAACTCAGATACCCGTGAAGGCTGGAAGTTCTGGAAACGGGCAGCTCATTAATATGTTGACGTTATACCCAGTCTGTTTTACAACATATTGTACTGATGCTCTTGCTTCAGATGAAGTCGAGTTTTTGCATGTAATAACCTGCATTCTCAATCTCTTGCCCATTTCTTGGACAGTCATTTCATATGCCTTTCAACCAATATGACTGTGTCAGCTCTGTTCGGTTATTTAATAAATGTCCTTTTTTCACAATTCTTCCTTTCTTAGTCCTTCTGATATTGACGAACGAACTTTAATATTACCATGTTCTCGGAATCTTTTATGACGATGCATTTTTTTGGGCACGAGCATGTCAATGTAGTAGCTTGAGCCAATGGGTAGTTCCAACACGGAATGGAATGTGATAATCTTTCCTCTGATCAAATTTTGTTTCGTAAGTAGTAAGTGTCTAATATAGGCATTGCATCGACTTTTTCCATGATCATCCCATGGTAGTCTCCCATCCATTTTCAATCATCACATCAATCCAAAATATATCCGTCTCACCAGCATCCATCCGTCTCCATACCTCCTCAACCAGTTTCAAACACACCTGAACCGGTCTAGGTGGTAGAACATGCAATAAGGACGTCAGCCGACCAAGAATGAATTTGCGCGTATTTGAGACTTCAATCGCCTCCATGGAGATACATGATGCTTCTGTTTCTGGCCCTGTACCTGTACTCGGATTGTCATCTCCTTCGAGCTGCCCGCTGGGAATCTGGCCATTTGGACTATTATAAGGAGCAGAGGTTTGTGATGGGGGTGTCAGACGTAGTTCACTGCAGCTGGCCACTAGTAGCAGAGGTTGAAGACACCGGGTGCGGGATTCGAACGGAAGTGTTTTGAGACGGGAAAGAGTTGTTACGGCTAATTCGGTGAGCCAGGAGTCATATATATTGACTGGATCAGAATCCTTAGGTGTGGATGTGAAAGCTTGATAATGATGATTTTGAAATGAAGGTGAGAAGATATCGATGCTGGGAGATGATTTTGGTGGCGAGGGAGAGATTCTGTGAGTAGGAGTCCAGTTTTCGTTCGATGGATTGCCGGGCGTTTGATTATCGGTTCTAGTGGAAACATTCCTGCTGTCAAGGTTGTGAAGTAGCGGACTCAGTGATGCTAGATGCGCCGTATCGAAATGCACATCATATGGTGATAGACGGCTGCGCAGGAGATCTGGGAAGACTCGGTATAGCTGGATCAGTCCCGTGCAGCGGTAGACCTCGGCCATGGTGAGAAGATGCCAAACTGGGGTATCGTCGTCTCCAGGACTGACAATTTCAGTTTCATTGGGGTGCGCAAGAGCCAACAGACGCTCTTCGAGTTCATAGGCCTTGTCGATGGTCATTTGATCGCGATTGATTTCATTGCGAGAGGTGAACTTTGTTGCAAGAATACGTTTCCGTTCACGGCGAACTAGTTTGCCTACCTCGTTAACAGTGAGCTGCGTATCTCTTGCGATACCAGTCCAGGGATGTGGGACGCACTGTAGAGCGAGCAGTTCACTTGAAGAGACATTGGAATGATCTGAGGTGGTCATCTTCTCGTTGTCGGCTACGAATGAGAGGAGCATCTCCCAATAGACAAGGGCTTCATCAAAGAAGCGGTAGTTATTACTGCTGTTCTTAATGAAGCCAATGCCAGAGCTTCCTGGGGTAGGATTGGTATTCAGCTGTTTTCGGAGAATGTTGAAGAATGAAATGCCTAAATCTTTGGGATCATGCCAGCTGGCGGTTTGGCCGAGCATGAGTATTGCTAGCAGCGCTTTGTCATCCATAACTGCCTCACTCGAGATAAGATCGACAGCCTGGTGGCGCAGGTTTTGGCCCATCAGTCCGAACTGTGGGAATTCGTTGACTAGGCTTGCAGCTGCCATGCTTTGCATTGTGAGGAACATGGTTCGTGATGAACCCCATAAACGAGACACAGTGGTGCGGAATGGGTTCATCTGACTGTCATAGCTGGAAAAAAGCGCTGCAACTTCTTTGAAGTAGTACTCAATGAGAGTCCATGATGAATTATTCAGAGGTCGAGATATTGACATGAAGGCGGGCGGAAGTGTACGTTGACCCGGGGGATGGTAGCTTCGTACAATGGCAGAAGGCGAGAAGTGACGATAGATGCTTCCATGATTTTCTTCCTCAAATGGCCCGAGCAACGAGAGTAAGCCAGATATGTCTGGTTCTGTGTTTCCGGGTGCAAAGTCATTTACCGGGTCTTGGCAATTTGAAAGACCTGGAGGGGAGGGTGGATGCAAGTCCATGAGCTCCGGAAGAGTATCGTCTACTGGAACAAACCATAGGTTGTCGAAGGCAGCAAGACTATCAAGTTCAAGCTCTGAAGTACCCATATGATTGGAACTAGCCAACTGCAAATCATCATATACTTTTCCACCCTCCAATGATGCAGTCGGACTGGGATTTACGGGCTGACTGACCCATCGTAGAGATTGAACATAACCAGGACAATGAACTCCTAGTCGTGTGCAGCGATTACAATGAGGTTTTTCCTCTCCGCATTTCACCTATTTCAAAGATTAGAATACAAAGACTACAGATAGATAAGAGATACTAACCCGTTTGCTCTTGCATCTAGCGCATCCGTTGCGGGACTTTTTGACTCTTCGCATCACTGAGGGACTAGTCTAGTAACCTGCAAAGAGCTTTGGGCTTAGAGCAATGATGAATGTGGAGTGAAGAGATCCGACAAGGTAGATATGCGGGGAGTTGTAAGAGAGGACCGGATCTTTTTGCCATTTTGGGCTATAGATCAGGCCCACTTTTACCCATTTACAGCCAATGAAAGCTTTATACCAAGCAGCAAGCTAGTCTATTCGAACGATATCTTCTCTTGTACGAACCTGCCCATTGCTCTCCCACTCATTGCGGGAAATAGCCTATTTGGATTAGAGAATAGTGTGACTAAACTAGACTATTGTGATATATATTAAAGAATTGACAGAAAATTTTGCAAGGAAAGGGAAAACGGAAGAGGAAAGCAAACGTTGATAGAGGTGTGAAGGGCTAATACTAATCTTGAATGCAGACAAACTGTCTTTATTAAGCTTGAAGAGAGAAGGGAAGGACTAGCTATGGACATGTGGCAATAAGGGATGCGGGTGCGGGAGGCACGTGACGAGCATGAGTGGCACAGGCATGAATGCTAAAGCAGGCACCAGCCTGTTACAGAGGGGTTCTCAAAGCTATTGGTCATCACTTTAAGCTCTAACTACATAGACGCGAATATGAGAAATCTCGAAAATTTAGATTATTGACATATCGTGAGATGATTATTTACTGCCATCTGGGCATGGATTAGGTATAACTTTACAGTCCTATATAATTTTGTAGGGCATACATAGAAATTAGGGGATATGATTATACAGACGACACCTTAGTTTGTGGGTCCTGGCTATAAAACTGACGCTACAATTATTCAGATTGTCAACCAATTTCTCGCGCTCTTCGTCTAAGTAATATGCTTGGCTTACCAGTTGATGAACCTAGCGGACATGATTCTCTATGTCGTTGGCGATGGAAATCTCGGCTAGTATAATAAAATCCATTATCTTCCAAGATAAGTGGATAATCCTCCATGTTTTAGAATAATATAGGGTCTACCATACCTGGTAGCACGCCAGAAAATTGTTTATGTACTGTTCACTCCACTCCTGAGGCTTTTCCAGTCTTTCGATAGGAATTTACCAAGTTGCTTCCAAGGACTCTGATACAATTATCACGTGTAATCAAAAACTATTTATTATATTATACTTTAGAGCTTTTGGATCGACATCTTGGAGCCTATAAATGATCTTCCAAACACAGCACGGCACCTCTAAGTGCGGTTTATTGTGATGAAGCCTCACTCACTTGGAAGGCATTATAGCATACCTAGGTACCTACGACGTAGGTAAACCATGATATTCTATCTCTTCGCCCGTTCATTTGATGGCCTTCGCAAAATAGAAAAAAAACACAGCCTCATTCTATATTACTACGAACTATTCTAATGTAAGGGGTAGAGTCCAATACGGTTGGGCTACCGTAAACAAGAGAAGAACTAATATGAGAAGGCTACCAGAGGGCAGGTGTGTGTGGTATCCCATAGGGCTCAATTCCACTAGGGTAAATTGGGAACAAGGACAACTTTTGAAGTCCTTCATGTCGGAACGATGGTTTGACTAGTCTTACTGTTGCATATGCATCTACTTTGTAAATATATCGTTGCGAGTTGTAAGAGGTGTGTTATTAAATCTTGTCCTCGCTGTAACTAAATAGATAAAACTCACTAGATTCACTTCATGTCGGACCAACAGCATCGTAACCATTCTCATTGATCCTGTGCCCCGCTTTGGTCCGGTGGTATCGGCACTTCAAGAGTCCGAAGACCTCAGGGGATTAAGTACATCAGGAAGTGGCATATCTCTAACTAACTCATCCGGGGAATCCATGTTTCCCCAGTGATCGTTGGTGCCTCTAGAGATCGGTACTCGCTATCATCTCGAGGCCGATCCTTGGATCGGCTCACCGACTCCGCTGATCCCTGACCGCTAGTCAAGCCAACTTGTGTAGAGAGTCCATTCCCCTTCTCAGCCTTCTGGCGGCTCCCAATCTAGTCCCTCTTGTTGCATCCCACGCCGTTACATCCAATTAGAATTTGGATCTTTTTCGCTCAAAAGTTGTCGTATTATATAGAAAACCTCCCATCAGGACCTACTATCAGTATTACATAGGGGATTCTTACAAAACTTATATCCCAGCATATCCGGAATAGCTTAGGGCTTAGTATGTCACCTTGAGCCTTTGCCTTTTGAACCTATTGGATACAGAATTTGCGTCATACATTAATTACCTTGTATCCTCTCAAGCTGATAATATGAATCTCTTTCTCTCTCTATAGATCACCTAGGGCCAATTATAGGTATTTCCTTCTTATTTCCCTCTCCGGCCTTCTTTCCCTCTTTCTCTTCTCAACCCTCCCTTCCTTTTTTGTACCCAAGATGGCAGGGAATCCGTGGAAACATATATCGAAATCAGAAAAGAAATGAGGCAAGAAACGGTGAATCAGGAATTACGGGAACAAAATCAACAGAATAAACTGGATATACAGACCAGGATATAGAAATTCAAACGGTGCGACCCGGCCACCCACTGTGTTGACTAATGAATGATAGGGCTTGAAATTGCGAATATCCTATGAGGGAATTGTAGTACGCAAGATGTATATGATGATATGGATCCATGGATATTTTTCACTTCGCTCAAGCAAAGACAGCTGGGTAATATTTAGATATACCTGTCTCTATTTCTTGACAATATCTGATTCTAAGATCTCAAGTAAGCCTTCACAGCCTCTCCCCAGACACCAGCGCGCTTGTAATGGTGAATTTCTGGAACGCTGCCTTTTTGGAGACCATCAATGGCTTGAGATAGCTCCTCTCCCCAACCCTCTGCCTTGATATCTGTGAGCGGGTAGATAAAAGATTTAAAACAGAAGCAGATTGCTCCAGATTGCGGCAGCCGATGAACTGTTTGACGCTCTGAACGTACACATGCCTTGATGAAATTTATGTTAGTCCTATTTTGCCCTCGCCAATCATAAAGGCTCCTTTGACTTACAATTTCAGGGTCGATAGTATCGACCGCCTTCACGACTTCATCAAAAGCATGGTTTTCATATGAATTGGCAGACCATAAGGCGTTGTCAAGGGTCACAGTCCACTATAATTACCCCTTAGTGTCAAAAAATTCAGTCAGAATCTCCCGATTTCTCTGGACTCACGTTTGCTCTTCGAACATAGGTTCCGGGCTCAACTCTTCCCAAGAACCGCTCCAGACTCATCTCCAACTTTTCTTTGTACTTGGGCACTGGTACATGGATTTCTCGAAGTGTCATGCCGAATTTCTCCTTGGGACTCCAGCTACTTGGGAAGCATGCCACTATACCTTGCAAGGAGTATCCACGGCCATCCGAAGAAGGCATAAGGATCATGAAATCTTCTTCGACTGTCTCACCGATAATCCGAAGTGCCTCAGTGCTCGTAGGGCCACTAGAAGGGGGCAAAACAGGATGAACATCGCCAGTGACTAGGTTAGACAGTTGCTGTGGTTTGCCATCCTTGGAGGGTAGCAATTCAAACATGGTAGGGAATCGTTGTGGCAGGTATGTACCCATGAGCCAGGTATACAATTCGTTAATGGCTGGCTGTGCAGCTGCGTTAGCCACAGCGCACTCGTCTGGTTGCTGCTTTAGAATATGTTTGCGAAGGTTGATTCTGTCGAGATAATTCTTGTCCATTTGAATCAACTCTGAGGGTGTGAGAGTTTGAATCCCTGATGATAGCCCAGAGTCAGAACCGCTAAACACTTCCAAGACTAATTTGTAAATAAAATTGTTCACTCACCCATTGACATGTGCCAAATTGGCTTGAATGGTCTTTGTTTAATGGGATCAATAGCGCGGTAATCGAAATCTTTGAGTGGCTCGATAATTTGATCTTCAAGCTTGGTAATATTCTTTTTCGCTTCTTTGGAACTGTTGACCTGCTGGGGAGAGCTCTATTGTATGATTTATATGATTAGTATAGATGTTTGATAGAGACCGAAGTTTGAAAGACATAATGTCCATTCAAGAGAGAACAAGTTATGATGGGTTTCTTTCTCACTTTGGATGAATGCTTCCATGTTATCCAAGAGCTCATGAGTATAGCCACGGCTAGGCCGGTCACAATGGTTGGAAGCGTAGGAGAAACAATATTCCCAAGATCCATGTTAGCATATATCTCTGAAGCTGACATGTTTGGAATCCTCAAGATGTCGTTTGCTGGGGCGATTGAGAATATTTTTGGTTTTGGGCCAGAGAATGGAAGAACATATATAACATTAATTGATTGATCACAATCACCGAGTATGTGTCAAATGATTCGAAATTTCATCCGTTTTAACTGTGGTCACACAAAAATATTGAGAAAAATTGATAGAATCAGTAGGAGTTTGCTACAATCGTGGCTCATTACGCTGAAGCCGAGTTCCAAGATTGCGGTAATTAATTCCTAATTAGGAAATCTTTTGCTAGATTCCACCCATGAATATCAAGTACCCTCAGTTCCGAAGTTTGAACAGCTGAAAGCCGATAATCAAATAGATATGGAGCTGATAAGGGAGCTAGCTGATATGATTGACGGGTAAACTCTAGAGGTGACTGCCCAAATGGACAGTGTCACATGAACACGCTGCTCGAGTGTTTATCGCATTCAAGCCTTATCTGGATTATGTTACGATAATTGGTGATTTGTATAGAAATTCCGCGTGCTGGCTTTTGACTGATCACGAGATAATTTAAAGAGAGAAGATAGCGATCCATTCGAGATTAACTTTGATTATCCACTTTCCAACGGAAGTACCAGAGGCTGTATTGGGGACGACAACTCCATCTGGGAATTTTATTATTAAAGAGGAATATTGTTCAGATTATAATGGAAGTATGTATAAAATATTGAAATTGAGTTAATTCTTGACGATCTATTCTATCTATTTCAATCAACGTAATTGGAATAAAATGCCAATTAAAAAACGAGCTGGCTCCCGAGGTTCTTCATCATAGATCTATGAAGACTAGTGCCCTCGACCATCTGGGTCTCTTCAGAGACCAAGAAGACCCATAGTCAAACCTTGGAAGGATACATATAGCTATTTGCTATCTTGGGACCTTGGACGGGTTTGTGGGTGGCCTCAATGCCTGAAGAACAGTGACTCATTGACTGGTCCATGCTTCTCCCACGAGTCTGGAAGTGATGAGTTTTTCCCAGGAATCAGTTTAGAGGTGTACGGCCACGAATAAACCCGGCGGGAAAACTCTAGCGTCCCACCCGAGGTGGCGTAGTCTCCGCCTGAGTAGTGACCTCCAATAAGGTATTCCGGGTTAGTATCGTTCAAAACCCAGCTTTCAATAATGTCATAGAAATTATCAAAGCGTCCACAGCCGGGTCCAACGCCATGGGCATAGCCAGGCACAAAGAAAACTCTAACAAATTCATCGAGTTCTTTCTGACCACCCATAGTATTGCGCGATCTAAAGGGAATGTAAGAGAACTGCCTGGAAAGGGGCTCATTTGTGTCAACTTACTTCTTGTACCATGAGATCAAACCCTCAGGACAACTCTCGAAGTCTTGCCATCCGACTGTAATCAGCAATTTTCCACCATTTGCTTTGAAAAGGGTCAAATCAGCATTCGAAGCTGAAACAATGCTGTCGACATAAAGTACAGACGGAACATTGTCCCAGTCAAAGTTCCACACATCAAAATTGAGAAGAGGTAGACTATCTTCAAAGAGGTAGCTCGTCAAACCAGTTAGGACAGTGATGTACCAATCGGCAGGGTCTGAGGACAAGAAGTTGCGAATCCAGTTCGTTTCGAACCCATTATAAATTCCAAGGCCAGTGATTCGATTTCCCTTGGAATCTCTTGGACCATCGTAAATGGCTTTTGCAGCATCGACTTGCACCGCAGACAGACACCCCACTGTGGTATTTTTGCCACATAGCAAGCTAGATGGATCGAAGTCGCAAGGGAAGCTGGGATCCACAATGCCATCCACAACACCATCTAGACCATCGCAAGCGGCTCTGGAGCCATTTTGAAGAACCTGCAAGTCGGCTAGGCTGAATTTGGAGGTTGAGTTTGGATACATTCCCTGAGCATAAACCCAGGCGTAGTTCAGGAACAAAGCAGTCTCGTTGGCATCGACGGCTTGCGAGATGATGCCGTCAAAGTCGGTAGGATACTTCTGAGCGGCGATCATTGCTTGACGACCTCCAGTTGAGAGACCGCGGAAGTACGAGTGAACTGGCTTAACTCCATAGTAAAATTCCATCATAGCCTTTCCGGCGACAGTGAGAAGATGGGTGGCTCGGTGACCATAGTTTATCAGCTGAGGACGGTCATTTCGTAGGAAGTAGAAGTCAAGAAGGTTGGAAGACTATGATATGTTAGTTTCTCGATAAATTGAAAAAAATTCCACGGTTTGTAGTACATCTATGTTTTCATGGCCCATGTCATCCACTGCCAAGGTCCACCCTCGCTGGAGCTGGTCAACATCCCAGCCAATGGCGTTAAGGGGAAATGACTCTATAATTTCTCCACATGTTCCCCCGCAACTGTCGTATTGTTAGCCGAAGAATCATGTGATGAAATGAAGTAATTACCCCATCTGAGACCACACGCCAGCCCATGCGCTCCCCTCAGCGGGAAGCTTGATCTCAAATCCGATATTCATGTCAATCACTCCATTAACTTTGCATAATGCCGGCGTGCCTTCACTGGAATTGGCACTGACATAGCTCACATAGTGAATGTGAGTTGTTGCCTCCTTTGACTTGTCTCCTCTGAAATCAAATAGATCCAAGCAGTGCTCAGAGACATTCGAAAAGGCGTACTGAGCTAGAGCAGAAGATGCCAAGCCCAGGGCGGGTAGAAATCTCCAAGTGATCATCCTTGTATCAGATACTCAATTGAGAGCAATCGAACAGTTCATTTAAAATGGCTTGAAACTATGAGAAACTTGAACGTGGAGGTCTTTTCTTTTATAGAGCTTCGAATTGGATACTAAACTATCGATTATTATCAAGATTGACATCGCTTTCAGCAATGATCTTCTTTACTCTTCAAATTGTCTTCAAAAGCTTTTGATAAGGTATTTAGGCCGTCCGAGGGTTTTCATACAGATAATCTTCCAATTTCTCTGCATAAGTCGGGATTACCACAATAAACTATACTATGGAGATATCCATACCAATGAGAGCTTAGAAGAACGCTTAAAGATAAAAGATAAAACTATCAAACCCGAAGATAAGCGGAATTTGAATAAAGTACTGATAACGGACGTTTCGCAAATGATTGATAACGATCGGTTTTCGGGTTTCACCATTTGATTCATGCACTCCGCTTCAGTATCCTAAAGAACCTTGGAAGTTACAACTTACAAATTCAAGGCCCATTCGTAATCGATATATTAAAAAGAAGGCAATTTGTTCTGACAGAAAGAAAGTCGATATCAAGAATTCAAAATGGCATTTCTGGACTATTTGCTGCAGATCGCAGCGGTCCTGGTGAGAAACTATGTCTATATTGTTTTGGGCTTGCCTGCTGCCTACTTAATTCTAAATCGGTACTTTCACCCTCTCAAACGAGTGCCTGGACCATTCCTGGCATCGTTCTCGAAGATTTGGCTGCTTTACCATGCTTTGTCTGGGAGCCAACATGTCACCGAGATGGAAGCCCATAAAAAATATGGTTAGAGCCTCTATGCTGTTTACCATTTCATCTTTTAACGTATCTCTGATTAATTTCAAAGGACCCATTTTTCGAGCTTCAACAAACTACGTTTTGGTCAGTGATCCAAAATACATCACCCAGATCTATAAATGGGACAGATCGGACTGGTTCATTTCTTTCGACCCTCAACCGCATAGATCTAGCGTGGGCTCCGCTCGACCTATGCCGCGGCATAACTTCCAGCGAAGAAGAATTGCAAATGCTGTGAGTGTAGTCACGCAAATATTTTGAGTTATACTGAATTAAGGAAGTATTCTATGAACGCAGTCATGGAAATGGAGCATGCCCTTGACAAAACAATCTCGGAATTTTTGGCCAAATTGTCGACCAAATACTCTCAGACAGGTGCGGTCTGCGATTTTGCAGAATGGAGTCATTGGTGTAGGTAAGCTCCGTGAATCCTTCATGGCCTTTACTGAAATCTTTCTTCCAAGTTGCATTTGATTCCATTATGAGTGTCGCCTTCAGTGACCAGGTTGGGTTCATGGAAAAAGAATGTGATGTGAATTCTCTGATAGATTCATTGGTCACACTGTTCAGCAAAGCGCAGCTGGTGGCTACTTTGCCGCTGTTAGCCAAATTGATGAGACAACCCTGGTACAATTTCTGCTTCGGCTCAAAACCTGTGAAGTCGGCCCCTTTGACTGGACCAGCAGCCTTCCAAGCGGTAGTACTTCCCACACATATTTCAAACTTCTCAGCTGACCTAAATCTTTTTATGTTAGATTGCAAAGAATGCCGTTCACAGGCGAGTCGGGGGCGATATCAGCGCTGGGCCAGGGGATCTTCTTCAACGATTCTTGATGTACAAAGACAAAGAAGGACAGGGTATTCCGATCGATGAGCTTGAATTGGAGGCATTCAGTCCCGCGTAAGCAAGGAACTTCAGCAAGATTTAGATATATCAAACTGACGTCAACTACTTCTCAAGTGTCGCAGGTCCAGATTCAACTGCAATGGCACTGCGTGCTGGTGTCTTATATATCGCAACTCACCAACGTGTCCACAGAAAGATGATGGCCGAAATCGACGAAGCGGATAGAGCTGGAAAACTTTCGCACCCAGTTGCCTACACAGAGATAAAGAAGCTTCCTTATTTCAATGCTATTGTGAAGGAAATTTTCCGAGTTTTCCCTCCTATTGGGTAAGTTTTAATGCTGCATTTTGGCCACCTTGATGAGAGACTTACAAATTAAGGACTGCATTCCCTCGTGTTGTACCTCCCGAAGGCGTAACTATACTCGGACATTTCCTTCCGGGAGGCACTGAAATTGGTAGGATACAGCTCTGGAGATACTACACTGCCACTTTATACGCTTTCTAACCCTATCAACTCACAGGAATGAACTTCTGGGCTATCAGCCGTGATAAATCCGTGTACGGCGAGGACGCTGACTACTTCCGCCCTGAGCGCTGGCTTGAGTCTCCCGAGAAAGCCAAGCTTTTCGACCGCTATGATCTGAATTTTGGAGCAGGTCACTGTATCTGTGTTGGAAAGTGAGTTTCAACATATCGCTGCCATCTTTATCGTAACTTTATACTAACTGTGCCTCAGGAATATCGCCTTAGTGGAGGTTCATAAAGTTTTACTCGAAGTACGTAAGCTCTCTATTTTGAAATATTACAGCTATTGACCTCAGATCTAGATATTCCGCAATTTTGATGTCGACGTTCTGGATCCGACAAACCCGTGGAAACTGAAGAATATCTTGACATTTGTCGCCCACGATTTCAATATCAAACTCAGCCAGCGAGGAGTGCCATCCGCTGTCGAGGGCCCGTGAGCGTAGACGGGATTTATGGCTAAGTGATCTAAATCTAAAGATATCGAACATTTCTTTTGCTGTCTTGAGCAATTCCCAATTACCTATTTACGTACCTGGGTAGCTTACTCCTCTTCATTCAAAGAATTTCACCTGCTTAAGGTTTGATTATTTATTCCCATTAATAGTACAATACATCAATGCTAGATAACTATCAGATACATCGCGTTCGAATATTCATTATAACCTTGAATGAATGCTTAAAGTACTCATGATTTTTTTCAAAGGTTCAAGGTTGAGAAATATGCCCATGTTACAGGCTCATAGTGGATTTTTTTTTATAAAGCTCAATCATGATACCCAAACATTAAGTTTTCAGACCTTTCAGGCATGTAGAGTTCTTGGTCCGCGACGAAACTCATCAAATGACCATGGCCAGTGAGGGAGTTCTCGCCCGTCCAATTCCACGCATCCCAATTTTCCTCGCTGAAAAAGGCATCATCGTGCAAGGGCTCTGTAACCACAGACTCAGCCTCTACATATGACGCGATACTGGAAGTGGTGTCATTGGTGTGACTTGAATTGCCAGAAGGCGCGTGAACAAGCGTTTGAACGGCTTCAACAGAGTCCTCACTCGAACATATGCTTCCATACTGTTGTATTGAATCCTCTAATTCACGGAAGTCATCTCGGCCCTTCTGGCTAAAGTTTTGGCGGTGTGATTTAGCTCGAGCCCATAAGCGCTCGAGGTTTAGGATAGTTGAGTGCTGTAGAAATATTAGCTATTAATTAACGAGCTTGGCGTTTTACAATTTCTTACCCAGCCTTCACCGATTTTCCACAGCCTGACAAATTCACTAAGATATGTAATATCCTTTTGTAATCTCTCTTTGGCTCCAGTCTTGCCATGAGGACTCATATGCGGGAATGCTTCGAGGTAGCAGTTCATCGTAGCGGCCGTGAAAGCGCAGAAGCCCACGAATGGTGTCATCAGTGGTGCTTCTGCTTGCGTTAAAGTACTTAAAATCGCTGTAATGCATTCGGCCGCATCAAATAATACCGCTGCAGAGCTACTCCACCATCCGACTGGAGGAGTACTTTGAAAAAACGGTCGTTCGATGGGCCCCTGTGGACCAGATACTGACATTGGGAAGAAGGGCACGAATTCTCGGTGCAGAAATATTTGACTGTTTTATTAGCAAACTTGCGGAATGAATCTGAAGGTATGAACTTACCAAAGATAATATATGAGATTGATGAATGCGAAGCTATTCTCATTACCACGCTGTAGATGGGCCTCTGGTCGAGCAGACGGATACCGAATTTGTGAGCCGAGTCGCATCCACCATTGCTGCAATCGCTGATTAATCCGACCCCATGGCGAATGTAGCTTCCATGGACAGTCATCACGCCCATGGGTTGCTCTTCTACCTCCTTCTCCAACCCAATTAGACAGCTCAGCCCAAATATCGACACCCTGCAAGATGAGCGAAAAATGGTAGTCTGATGGTCTTTGGGTAGGAAAGGAGTTGCGAGAAGAAAATACTTCACTAATTCTGGGCTGAGGAGTGTTAAGATCGGCAAATATAAAGTCATCATCGGAAACAGGTAAAGGAATGTCCATATCGTCCTTATAGAGAGTGACTGGGCGTTGCTTTCCTGAGCTCAGTAGTTGATCCATCAAGTAACACGACCAAACTGTTCGATTTTGGATTTCCAGCTGCAATGGTCTATCTTTCTTTGAAGCAGTCGTTGTTGAATGCTCGAATCTTAGGCTCTGTGCCATACGGATTGCCATTCCTGGGTAGAATTAGCATGCTAGTCACCTATCTAAAGATTGAGGGGTGAAAATACCAATATATATCCATGCCTGGTACCCCGAACACCTCCCCCAATCATATAAACCAATCATCAACAAGCACTGGATAGTGTCGATATCTGCTTTTCTAAGACACAAACCAACTAACTCCCGACGAACGAAGTTTGCATAGATCTCTCCAGCATGCAGCGCCGTCTCCGCCTTAGTATTGAGGTCTGGTAAGAACTTTGCACTTAGTGCGAGCATAGCACACACTTTAAGATAGTGATATCGACCCTGTCGCAGGTCTTCAAAGAAAGTAGTGGTATGTATAAATGCAAATTCGGGGAATTTTTTCACGAAAATGTCGCATCCTTTAATGATTGTTGCTCTCGGGATGTTGTCAAGCAAACCATCTTCTTGGCTTTGGATTGATACCAAGCTTAACCCATCTGATACCGATATTGGTAACGAATCCAGTGTTCTTCCAGGTGCTGGAAGCTTCATACCCACAGGAACAGTTTGAACCTCTGGTGACCTTTGATTCTCTGTCTCGGGGCTTATCGCTTTGACCGACCCGGACGCTGCATTAGACTTGTACACTCGAAACTGACCAGAATGCGGCCCTGATAAAACACAAGATCGTGAGTTTTTGATGCATGCTCGACATGGGGCTGTGCCATTGTGGTGGCATTTTACTTTCGAGCGCCTGTATAGTGTTAGTCTGATAAAAGTATTGGTATACTGGTGGTCCTCACCTGCACGAAGCGCATGAGATACTTGTACGCATTGACCCTCTCAAATTTGTTTCTAGTGCGCTCAAAGGTCGAAGAAAACATGCGAGGAAGATTTAGCAGCATCTGGGGACATGGTGAAGCGAAGTGGGAGAGGCATTTGATGTATCATTTGTGGGGAAAATAGATCTAAGATAAGAGCTCGGAACAAGTGTCAAGCCGCCATAGATACTCTTCTACTATGATAATTAATATGATAATCAAATGCACCCAGTAGGAAGCGGGCAAGTAGTTGTCGGTGGCGTCTAAGCTGAGACAGCAAATGTTGATATCGCACGACTGCTATTGGCGCGATATCGTCATTGATAAAGGCTAACTTTGGAACTAAGATCAGCATCCCTAGTTTGGCGTCTTGGACCACCACTTATTATCTTGAAGGGGAAAACCCCGCAGACTTCTTGGTTTCGAGAAAATCATATTTCTGATTGGCTATCCCACTTCCGAGAATACAAAGTAGCTGGATCTCAAATTTGCAGAGTGGTGAAATGGCTGCAGCGGACCAATATCGATAACTTATTTTAGACGGCCATAGAGGCATATAAGCATCGAATTCCTCTAGATTTACAAGGAAAAAAAAGTTGAGTAGATCTTTTCACCTACTCATAGTAGCCATATCCTACAGTCCCTGACCTTCTTCTCATTTTTTGGTGAGTATGTGTCTAAATTTAGAGAGCTTCGGTCATTTTTTGAGGTGCTTCAATTATTCCCTCGCCTTTACTATGTATGTACCGCCTCCGTCGAAAGTGACCGACATCTCAACTTTGAAGCTACTGAGGTCGTACTGAAATGTGGAACGGGCCGCCGTATTGCATTGATCTGCGAAACCAGATACTCCCCAGATGGGCGCAGGGATCAGAGGGGTAGTGGGAGACGAAGGAGACTTATGAGAAGCTCAGAGGAGAAGAAGTCTGATGGTCTGATCTCTAAAACATATCACTTATATACACATCCTGCTTAGTCAGGCCACACTGCCACTACAGTACGTACATAGGTATCAAGATATGTAAATGCTCTATTCATACATTTGAAATGAGAAATTCAGGCTGGGAAACAGGCATGTGATGATTTTAAATTACAGTTTACCTCGTGCTTTTAAACCATAAATGATAACCTTCACCAGCTCATGCTGGCACCTTCTTCCTGGCAATTAAAGATCGGACAGCTCGTCCAGCGAGGTGTTGCCTCCTTATCACTCAACTGCGCAACAGGTTTCAACATATCCAAACGTCCCCAGGGAGTGTCCTCAAAAGTGGTCATAAATGGAGAATTTTGAGCCAGATATTCAGGGAATTTTCTCTTCCAGCCAGCGATAACCTGCATCAGGATCTCCGACACATATTGGTCGGGAGTGGAGCGGGCAAACTGGAATTTATCCAGTGTTCGTTGTACAACATCCATTGGATAAAGTCCAATCTCGGGGTCAACCAAGATTGTGTCGGCTGCGACCAGAGAGCTGAGAACATGGTATGAGCCTCCGTTTCTGGCACGGTCCCGAATAGCCATCATAGCCGCCAGAGCACCAATGGCACCAGTAATCATGTCGGAAATCGGCAGAGGTGGGAGGACACCTGTTCCTTCCTTGTAGCCCCAAGCCTTGGCCATGACATATGAAGCGCCCGAAGCGGCATCTCCAATCTGCTGCCAACCGGGTCGCTCGGCAAAGGGTCCATTTGGACCGTAGCAGTTCTCGTCAACGTATACTATACCCTTATTCCTCTTTGCAGCTATCTCCAACAAGCTCTGCAGACCAAGTCCCTTTCGCTCTAGAGACTTATATCGGAAACCTTGAATGAAAATGTCTGCCTCGCTGATAAGATCCTTGAGATGGGCCATATCGGTCTCGTTGCTTATATCAAGATCAATAGTCCGCTTTCCGGCATTAAGAGTTAATTGCAAAACCTGCGAGAAGTATTAGAGATATTTGGAAGACTAGATTCACGCTTCCAAGGTTATTACTCACGTTCAAATCTGGAAGCTTGCTGCAATTCACGCGGATAACATCAGCACCAAAGGATGACAAAATAACGCCAACAGTAGGGCCGGCAATGATTCGCACCATCTCGATGACTTTGATTCCAGCCAAAGGTCGTCGATCAGGAAGGTTAGGAAGCGGTACTGGTGGCGTGGGCGATGCATAAGACTCAAGTGTGTAGTTGATGAGAGGGTGCTCCGCGAGTCTCTTTCCCATCTCTGTCTTCCTCCAGCCCTCTGGGGAGTAACAGATACTTCCGCACAATCCATGTCGCACATTATGCATTTCAAGTTCATCAGCACTCCACATTTCAACATGTTCACGGATATAATCATATCCCTCCGCAAAGCTTTTTAGGGGCACATGCATATTCATCCCCATCGAAACAAGCGTCTTGCTCGCATCCAGCGATCCATGAAGTTGGTACCACACATCGGAATCTTTAGTAGGATATAGTGCAGTCGCTCTTCCAGACAAAGGGTCCTTTCCAAATCCTTGCTCGAAGTCCTTTGTGAAAATATCGTTCAATGTTCCATTCAGGGCCAATGTTGAGACATCCGTCCCGTTCAAGTGCACAGTAAATGTGGAGGCGAGCCAGATTCCAGCATGATCGGTGTTGACAGTCACACTAGCTTCCCCCGCAGGTTTGCCATCCCTAATTTCTAGAAGTTCATTCCCGACTAGCCCGCACATAGCGTGCACAGCCGCAGATATGACGGGGGATTTCATGGGCCCGGGTACCATAGGCTCTGGGAGTCCTTCAAATTTGATAGAATCCCATAGCGCCTTGTCCTTGGTAAAGCCAGGAGTTATGGATGCGAGAAGCTCAAAAACACGACGAGAGTCTTCGGGTACTGGAAGTACAATCTTGTCAATAAATGTACCAGGTCCATAAATGGCTTCCCCATGCTCCGTCTCGTGAGTTGTGTTAGTCATATTGCTAGATTTGGGGACCAAATATCTAAAGAAGCTGGCAATATGAAATAAGTGATCGCCTTCACCCTGGAAGAATTTTAATACTTGATAAAGTATTTATTACATTAGGGGATAATGCTGCCGATTAGCCGACTCATGAGGAGGGCTAACGGCGCCAAGAAATTCCATCAATAATCACAACTCAGGAGGATACATCTCCAAAAAGCAAACCACTTGTCCTGTGCTGCCCCGCTCTTCCCACTCGCCTCGTCCGCTATGCAGATTCTTCAAAGCCCCACGCTAAGTGCGTTCTTGCGGACTATGGTTGGATTAAGCAGTTGTCCCGTGCTTGTGGGGCGACTTTAACGCTCCTGCATAAATCTATCGGCCTACGAACAGCTTTGTGTTTTGTACTGTGAACTCCGAACTACGAGATATTCCTAACTGCTCAGCTTCAATCTTGTATTGGCCTCATCTTCACACACCTAGTATAATGTTTGTATTCAACTAACGTGATTCCCGGTTATGTGGCCATCCCGGTTATGTGGCCATCCGGTTGTGCAGCCACCCTATCAAAATTTTGAAATTACATCTTTTAAGTGGAGATTTAAGAACACAAAACATAAGAAAATTGGCTAGATTACTTGAATGGGGCATTTAGAATCATGCAATACCACAAACCCGGAACGGAACAAACAGACCCCGAATCACGGGGAAGCGACCATATTAGGAACTCAAGTAGCTACATGAATCGAACACATTTCACACCACTTTGCACAACGTATATACTAAGAATCTAGGACGAACCATACCCTTTTCCAGTGTATATAGTGCAACGTGTGAACCCTGTCCTTTCAACGTAGTTGATCGACAGAAGTGGTGGTAAAGAGGCATATATATCTGGTCAGAAGCTGATGTGGAAGCTATGGTTGGGCCTTCAAACTTTACCTACTATTTGGCGTCAGGTAACCTGTTCTGGATATGGTCAGAAAGGTCATACATATAGCAATATCCATGTTCTGACAACTTCCACCAACAACCACTTCCTAACTCTCTTCCAAACTTCCTAGACTAGACATGTGCATGGGTTGGGTATGGGTCAAAATTCATACCCATACCCAACCCATCAGGGGTAAGGTAAACCCATACCCATACCCAACCCAACCCACGTGGGTATGGGTTGGGTATGGGTCCCATATGGGTATTTTTGATGCCTTAATGCCTGATTTTCGCCTCAACCTAAACTAAATTAGGGTAATTAGTGCCTTAGTGCCTAATTTTTGCCTCAATCTAGTACTAACTAGGTGACAAATATCACGTGAAATAAAAGTCTTGGCAAAAAGATGGGTTTATGGGGTGTGGGTTTTACTTCAAACCCATACCCAACCCATATGGGTTTTGGGTAAAATTTCTGACCCATACCCAGCCCATTGTGGGTTGGGTTGGGTTGGGTATGGGTTTACCCAACCTAATGAACATGTCTAAGTCTCTATTAAAGCACCATATCCTACGTCAGGAAATATTTCTAGGAAATCTAGTTTTTCGACCAAATTGATGTTGAGTCTCATATATTAAGCCACTTTGTCACCTTAAAGATGCTTCAAACCGTAAAACAGCCAATATCAAGTAGCTGTAAAAGATGCGATGCATACAGAGGCATATAAATAGGGATAATATCATGTTTCTGGCATAGCTGGTCAAATTTAGGGGTAAGATGGCTACCATGGCCATCTAATACCAGAAGACAATATTTCCTTTTTCTGGCCCTGACGTTTGGAATGAAATGCTTTTCTAACCAATCAAGACTAAGCTCATCGCGAACCCAGATTCATTAAGATTCAAGATATCGTCTGAATCGATACCATAATCTTGAATCGGTTTTCAACCAATGTAAACCATGGCTCAATTATCTTAGGGTCTTCTGAGAGAACTTTTCTAGACATATAGTCAGATCCGGACAACGCTTAATAAACTCTGTCGGCCAATTTTTGCCTACAGAAGAGCTGGTTGAAGAATGCGATCAGAGTAAAAGATTGACCATATCTTTTAACATAGACAAGGTTAAAGCTGCACCTCTTTTATCCATAGAGATTGGCAATATCTTAATAGAACTTTCTTCATTTTTAGAACATTTATGACGAGAATAATGTTTCTCAACCACATTTGAAACCCCGTTCATACAACATCGGAGGGTTGATCTTAGAACAGAAAATGAGTGTGCAGCAGCTACTACTGAGGTAAAGCTGCCATCTTTGATAGCCTGAATAACTTGAATAACACGATCCTCCTGTTAGATCAAATTTTGTCGTTTTTGGGAGTGATTTGGAGGCATGGTAGTTGTTTGAAAACAAAAGGTTGCTATGGAGATTCAAAATTTTGATGAGGTGGCCACACAACCAGGAATCACGTTATAGTTAGTTAGCTAATGAGTGCTTGATAATCTCTCATTTTTTCCGGCTGTATAGATCTTAGAATTCACGAGTGATTCTGAAAGCTACGTATTCAGTTTCAGGGTATTAATTAGTTAAATATCTCTCCAAATTGTGTAACATCTGGGCAGACTCAGATCGCTGTTATGAAAGGTATATTTTTGTAATCTCGATCTCTAATTGCGAGGGCTAACCCCACTCAGGACTAGAGTTATTTAGAGAAAGTTATCCTGCTACTAAGCCCCCACGATTTCTTCTTGTCTTTGTAGCCATAAATATAGCATGGATGTATTTAGTGGCTAGGTATACTTTCAATGGTATCTGATCAAATAGAAACGAGATAAGTTATAATTCTACAGCTCGTGAAGCATTTCAGATCCTTCTTCATCTTCGTCTTCTTCTTCGTCTTCGTCGTCATCATCATCTTCGTCCTCATCGTCTTCATCTTCGTCCTCATCGTCTTCATCTTCGTCCTCATCGTCTTCATCTTCGTCCTCATCGTCTTCATCTTCGTCCTCATCGTCTTCATCTTCGTCCTCATCGTCTTCATCTTCGTCCTCTTCGTCTTCATCTTCGTCTTCTTCATCTTCGTCTTCTTCATCTTCGTTTTCATCATCTTCGTCTTCGTCTTCGTCTTCATCTTTATCTTCTTCTTCATCTTCTTCTTCATCTTCTTCTTCATCTTCTTCTTCATCTTCTTCTTCATCTTCTTCTTCATCTTCTTCTTCATCTTCTTCTTCATCTTCTTCTTCATCTTCTTCTTCATCTTCTTCTTCATCTTCTTCTTCATCTTCTTCTTCATCTTCTTCTTCATCTTCTTCTTCATCTTCTTCTTCGTCATTGTTCACTATCACTTCGTCCAATTTTTCAAAATGAGATACAACCTCCATCAGTGCTATCTCATCAAATTCCATATCAAAACTTTCACAGCAAACTTGCCGCAGCTCATCCTCACTCTCCAAATCTAGAATGGAGTATTCACAATCTTGTTCTTCTCCTAACTTTCGAGTGTTTTCAGGCAGGGAGGTAGTTGGGGGACAATGTGTAAGAGTCATTGTCGACAAGCATTGATCTCCTGAATCCTTATCATCATCCAGATTAGGTTCAAACAGCGAACCCGAACCCTCAGCACTAATGCATATTGTTGTTGATAAACAAACAAGAGATGATGAGTCCGAGAAGCTCGGAGAGAGAGGCAGGAGTTGGTCGAATATGTGTGTGGGCGGACAGTGCTGTGATGCAATTACTCGAGTTATGAGAGTTGTTGTTGCAAGGGCGAGTAGAAAAAATTGTAGTAGCGGATTCTCTTCATGATGAATGGACATGATTGTAATTTTTGACCAGGCAGGTTCCAATGTTAGTTAGACGCACTGAAACCTTAGAATGGCTGAAGAATGATTAGTGCTGAATATAAGCACACGATGCCACCGACGGTGACAACAAGAAAAATAAAGAATAATGGAGATTTATGTTTCTGAACATATGAATTTATGGAGTCAGATAAGAGGGTAACAACAGAAATAGATCTTGGTTCTTGAGGATCTGAACCCTAGATGGAAGGAATCGAATAAAATACAGCTAGAAACAGGCGTTACCTCGTATGCCCTGGCTTGTTGACTAGTTTCTCTCAGACAGGCTTATTTTACCGAGCCAACTCAAGAGTTTTAGCTGAGCTCTGTAGCGGCAATGCAGATTGGCTGGAGCTAAACCAATCGAACTATATCCACTTCAAACACGAGTAAATTTTCGGCGTTTCCGAACGATTGTGGATACTAGCGGCTTTCTACAGCTGTCAGAGTGTTAGTGGCTGAAGTGGGTCAAGCTAAGGAAAAATGGCTGGCTGAGATGGAACTAGATTTAGGTTGGTAAATATCAGATTCGTTAGGCTCAAGCCGCTTTCTTGTGTATGAAACTTCGTGAGAGCGGGGTTCAAGGAAATGATAGACTGGGTATATTCCTGTAGGATGAAAACATTCTAGGATTAGTAGATAAGAAGCCAAAAAGACAGACACTAGCTTCGTCGAAACGCAGACTTTTCTCTTCCTTGATTTACATTACTATTTCTCTATTTTTTAAGTCAGTATGAGCTTTCTACAGCTTACGGCCGTCGGAGACGACTGCTACCTCCTTCTTACCAATGGCACCATCAAACAATGGACGCAGGGGTCATCCACCTCCTGGAAAGTGATCGATGCCAACCCAAACACTGTGCAAATCACTGGTAGTACTCCTCTGGGTCAACGCCATGGAACAGGCCATGTATACAAACGTTTACCAAAATGGACCCATTTTGGCACCAACGCCACCAAGCTCTGGGGATGGGACGGTGAATTTTGGCAATGGCAAAAGGAGAACGGCGGCAAACTTTGGCATGCAGGTCAGCATACAAAAGGGGCATGGGAGGTCGCCGATACCAATCCTCTCATTAAAGATCTGGCCTGTTGGTCCAATCAGACTCAGTCATCCGTGTACCAGTTGACGGAGGATGGCAAGATTTCGCAGTATCAGGGCCCCACGGGAACTACCTGGCTGCAGATCAATGACGATGCGACCGAGGCTGATACCGCCGCTTTAACAACGGACCATTCCAACGTCTACAAGATGCATCGGAATGGGCTCATTTTCGTCTGGAACGACAAGCCAAAACAGTGGACAAGAGTTGGTGCTGATTTGAGAACGGTGGAGGTTGTTGGAGGATCAGCAGGGCTGTTCCAGAGGATGAAAGATGGGAAGATCTATAAGTATTCTGGGTCGGGGGCAAGTTGGCACGCCATCGATATCCATGCGGATAACACTCATCTTGCAGTGGCAAATCATGTCTACCGAGTGAACACGAAAGGTGAAGTGTATGTACAAGAAAAAGATGGAGCATGGAAACTCCTGGAGGATACCGTGAAGCCTCCGACAAAGCCCGGGACAACTGGCCCTCAGCCAGCTGAAACTTACAATGGAGGGTATTCAACTGCGACCGAAACCCTTCTGCGCATTGGTAATGGAGGAGCGGGTCAAACTAGGCTCATCGAAGGTTGGAACTATCTGATTATTCTCTCCATTTTCATTTACTGACTATTTCAACAAATACAGCTATTGGTAATGCCTTTGTCAAATATAAAGTGTCCAAAGGGGCAAACCCTTTCAAAGTGGCCTGGTTCAAGAGCGACACAACTGAATCCATCCAATATCTTAAAGACGGCGTTGTTGATGTGGCCATCACCTACACACCGGCTGCTGAAGACATTGCTATAGCCCAAGGCATTGCCCTCTCTAGTCACTACATTTTCCGGGAGCATTACCTCCTGATCGGGCCTCCCTCTAATCCTGCCAATATTGACTTCAACTCCTGTATTGTCACTCAGTTCATTGACCTGTACAAGGCCGCCTCAAGTGATCAACCCACGCCCATTCCAGTTCGTTTCCTCAGTCGTTATGATAAATCGGCAACCAACTTGAAAGAGTCTGAGCTGTGGATCAAAGTTGGACAAGTCCCTTGGGCGACTAAACGCTCTGCGTGGTACCACCAGTACATTGCCTACCCAATTCAGGCACTAGGTGCGGCGGCAGCACTGGGGGAATATACTCTTACTGACTTCGGAACTTATCTTTCTGTTGATAAGAAGGTCCAAGACCAGGTGACCGTCTACAAGAAAGGGCTAGACAAGGTAGATGACCCGCTATTGATGCAGGCGCATTTGTTGGTGGGAGCAAAGGCAAACGATTCGGCATTGGCTGTGGAGTTTGCGGCTTGGATGACAGATAAACAGGGTGGGCAGGCTGTTATTGCTGGTTTCAAGAAAAATGGCGAGCAGGTTTACTCTCTTGCTCCTTAGCTTAAGCCCTTTTCACTGTTGCGGTTACGCTATTATTTCTCCTTTAATTGTTACCTTGTTATTTCATTTACTTCCACAGCTGTGGTCTAGCTACACTACAATTTACATAAATACTCCAGGCTTTCTATTCTTCTGCTTATAATGTTTTAATTGGAGCCTCGATTTCTGATTACTCTTCCAATTCTCTTTATTTTGGAGACAAATATTAGAATAATCCTCAAACAGAGAAGCTTTCATCCATTTGAGTAACCTTTTTCCACTTTCTGATATCTAGATATAGCTCCTACTATATAGGTACAATTAAATCACTCAACGAGTTGCTAATAATTTTCCCTCTGCCCTGCACTACATAGCAATAGGCTGCATACCCAGTTGGTTGAAAATGCATCCTATATGCCATTCCACAACCTGGAGTATTCGCACATCGCTTTATGCAGACCTCCATGGGCTGATCACTTACTGTGCCCAGACGAGACCGTGTCTGCGTACCCTGAACTGCACATCCGGGGTAGCTGGCATAGTAACGATTATTGAAGGGCCCGTGGACTGTCCCTGTGCCGCAGCCGGGCTGAAAGGGTGCAGATGGTTTCTTTCCATTATTCGTTTTCTTTCCACCATTCGTCTTTCCACCATTCGTCTTCTTTCCACCATTCGTTTTCTTTCCACCATTCGTTTTCTTTCCGCCGTTTGTTTTCTTTCCACCATTCGTCTTCTTTCCACCATTTGTTTTCTTTCCACCATTTGTTTTCTTTCCACCATTCGTCTCCTTTCCACCATTCGTCTTTTTCCCTCCGGATTTCTCTGGTCCGAGTTTTCGGCATCGAGTACACTCCGTCGTGAGCCTCGTTTGGAAATCTTTTTCTTTGTCGGTTACAGCATCCGTAACATTCTTACCACACTCAGTTTCTTTTTCAAGCTGTGCATTTTTCACGGCAGAAGAAACTTCGGCGGTACAATTCTTTGCCTCTGTTTTATCCTCAATGACTGGAGCCAGTCTGATGGCTTTAGTCCCACTACCTGCTGTTTCGATTGCAGCAAAGTATATGATACAAAATCCAGCTGGCTGGTCTGTCCAATAAGCAGCCAAGCACGTGGAATTGTTGGTACACATCTGCGCACATTGAGCGGGGGAGCCGGCGAAGTCTTGGTGAAATTTGATATTCTCTCCACAGGAGATGCTGTAGGTTCTCCCACCCATCTTGACAGGAAGAGTAGAGCCGGCACCGACTAGAGGACAGCAGTCGCCATAGGCAGCTGTGCCAAGTTGAAGACCTTGTGCGCAAGTCGGAGGGACTTGCTGACCGGCCACTTGAGAGAGAAACAAGGATATGAAAAAGAGAAGAGGTCTCATAGTGAGTTGTCGATAGATGTATAGATAGGTTGTATGATATGGCCAATTTCCAAGGATTGTTGGAATATGGACTGGGAAAAAAAATAAAATCAAGCAAGAGGATATAGAGACACTATTAGCATTATTCCTATACCTTTTTTCATCTATGCGATGTTCCGTATCAAATACCACTCGATACTTACAAGCGCGCCACAACTGAGTTAGTGCGCTGGATATCGGACAGTATGAAATTGTGGCTGGCTGTATAGGTCCTCATCCCCACTTTTTGTATCTGTTCAGCTTTCATCAATGACTTGGCCTCTGTCACTTGGAGCGCAGCATAAGTCGATCATTCCTATTCCAGACAAATGATAAATGGCTCATAGTAGAGAGGATGAAAAGAGGAAAAAGAAGCCGACAAGAAAAAATCAAAAGAACTAATTTGATATAATATAGCCACTTGGTCGGTCTACCTCGTCTCCAACCACTTCTAAAGCTCGGAAGATGTTTCTATTTTTTCTCCTGGCAGCCAGTGCTATTTGCTTTGGTGGTGTCAGATCTCAACAGCAAAAACCTCTCACCTCTCCATCAAATGCGCAAAGCCATCCCATCACAATTGACGAGATCATCTCAACAACCGACTCCTCTGGCCAAAGCAAATGCTGTCCTATTGGAACGGTATTCAACGGTGGAAAATGTGTTTTCCGTACAGTATCAATTTGCCCGGTCAATACTCATCTAGCAAACGGCTCTTGCATAAGTGACAGTCTTCCCGACTGTGGGACTGGAGAGTATAGCACTGCTTCCTCTTTATGTGTCTCCAAAGTTCCTCCAAAATGCCCACCACAATCCACTTTCGATCGTAAGATTGGACTCTGCATATCCACAGCACTGCCAATTTGCGAAGATAACTTCGGGTTCAACGGGGAATCTTGCACTTTTTTGGGGGCAAAGGCCTGTCCATCTGGGTCTGACCCGAAAGGCACACAATGCGTGTCGAGGCAGGGACCAACATGTGAGGGGAGCGATAAGTTTGAGAAAGGATCATGCACACACTCGGAGCCGCCAAAATGCGCAGATGCTAGCATGATCCTGGATCAGGGACTATGCACATTGAAGAAAACCCCAAGCTGCAACCCTGGGTTCGAATACAAGGATAAACGCTGTTCTCATAATGAGAAACCCACTTGCAAGAATGGTTCTTTCAAAGACAAAGTTTGTGTCTCAGCCGAGCAGCCCCAGTGCAAGACAGGGACTTTCAACGGCAAGGTCTGCCAGTCAAAAGAAGCCCCTTTTTGTTTCGGCGGTGCCACACTCAAGAATGGATTATGCACGGCTCCTCCTATGTGCTCATCCACTACCAATCTCATAACAAATCCCAGTACCCAGGAGATAGGCTGCTGTCCACCTGGAACCCCTCATCTCGATAAGACGGCATGCAGGGACCCGGTCTGCATCGCTGGGTTTCACTTTGACGGAAAAGTCTGCGCATTCCATCAAGCACCCATTTGTAGCAAGAACTCAATACTGTCTGGTGGAGTTTGCGTTATCGCCAACGAAAGCCCATCTTGCTCTGTGGGAAGTTTCGATTCCAAAACTGCCAGCTGCCTTCTTTCTGATTCACCAGTTTGTCCTGCAGGATTGACCCTTTCGGTCAGTACAGGCGATTGTATCTCCACCGCGACACCTCAATGTCCATCTGGAATGGCATTGCACGGCGACGAATGTATCTCCACTAGTGCACCCAGCTGTCCTGTTGGACAAACCTTACTAGGGTCGGTATGCATCACATCTAAGACACCCACTTGTCCGATGGGGACCACTCTAGTTGGGGGAGATACATGCATTCTTTCCACTGGCCCGACCTGTCCTGTTAATTCTGTGCTTTCAAGTACCAACGAATGTATCTCCATCAAATCGCCCGGCTGCGAGGACCCCTCTTCCTTCACTTTCTCAGCAGGTGCATGTGTTTCTTCCATATTACCGGTCTGCATTGACCCCACTGCCGTTTTAGATGTGAATGGTTGTTCCACTAATGAGCTTCCATCCTGCCCAGATGATACAGGATTTGATGGTTCAAACTGTGTATCATTTACATCTCCTACATGCCCCAAGGGCCTGATATTTGATAACACCGATCCCAAAAACTATGTGTGTGTATCACCAACACCCCCGCAGTGTCCACCTGGGACCAGTCTGGTTGGGGCACCAGGGAAGAAGATCGGAAAATGTCAATCATCACCCACGCCAGTTCCATCTTGCCCACCACCATTGAAAGCAGACAGCACGTCCTCTGCATGTATCACACAAGATACTCCACAGTGCCCTCCCGGAAGTACGTTAGTTAATAATGAGTCATGTGTGACTATTCAGCCACCGACCTGTCCCAATGGGGCTATTTATAAAGACAAGAAGTGCGTCTCACCTGCAACTGTCCCTAGCTGTCCTTTAGGTTTGTCGAAGGATGGGGATGCCACGACAGGGATCACCTGTGTGGCTGTTGGAGGTCCAACTTGTACTGATGACCGGACTGCTTTGGATGAGAAGAGTGGAAAATGTACTCTGTCAGCTGGAGCAGGTTGCTATGATATGCACTTTTGTCCAAGCTGATTGACGGGAAATTTAATAGAAAGTGTTAAGATTCCAAAGTTATGCTTCTCGGCGATCGCAGAAGAATTTTAGGTTAATGTCACTACTGAAGCAGACTATCATACAGACTATCATACATAGGTAAGTGAAGCTTTGATATCAAAAATTACAGGGAGCCTTATTTTCCCTCTTAAAGCTTGTGTGAGTTTGAGTATTGCCAAGACTATAGTTAATCGTTACACCAATTTACATCTTGGGCCGAGGCTCTCCCAACCCGCACAAAGTAACATAACCATCAATATTCCGTGGGGTTATCCTGATGGTGGCAACCAGTCTTGGTAGTAATTTCTATGAGAGTGCCTAGGTCAGGCCAGATGTGTATAAGTTCCAGCCTTGAAGGCTCGACTGTTGCTCAATATCCATGCCCAGGTGGATTTTTTATGACTAAATCACCATCATCAGGGGCAATGTAACAGTTGAACAGGACGGGGATGCAATCTATTTACCCGAGACATCCTGCAATACCTGGGTAAAGAGCTTAAATTTATGGACTCAAGTGACTACTCACTTACCTTTCTTGCTGTCCAGCTCAATTCCATTCCCTTACACTTTAGGTAATTGAGATGCAACCACGGAAAGGGACTGCAACATACAGTCAAACACAGAGATCCATCCATCTCACACTACAACATTATACATGGAGAGGACGGTTTTGCAACGTATCGTATGGATCCAAATGATCGGAACCGTGCATGGAGCAAAGACAGGAATCGAATGACTCCAAGGTGCTCAAGTATAAATAGTAGCGATCAAGAGATGGGTAGGGAATTTTCTCAGTTCCTCACATCACTTCTTTGTGAGATTACATACTTTGACTCGATCATATCAGATCTTTTCATAATATAAACTATCAGCCATGGTCAATCGTTGCACTAAAATTATTTTCTGCGCGCTTGGGATTATACCCTTAGTGCTTTCTTCACCTATCAATATAGAAGCTTCAGAGGCAGAGGCACCACTATGTTAGTTAAACCTAGACTGATTGACGAAGTTAGCTAAAATGGAACATCTAGGCAATCTCTACGACAGAGTCCTAACTGGTGATACCTGCTGGGATATAATTGAGAGAAACGAAGAGTCCCTTACTATGAAACAACTCATGTGTTGGAACCCCGACATCAACCCCTCGTGCTCAAACCTCATCCCTGGTCGACCTATTTGCATTGGATACAACCGGCCGACCCCCTTCTGCGCATAAGGGCCGTGTTCATCGTCTTTTATGAAATGGAGCTCATTCCTTTACTGAAAAAAGTGGACCTACGACTCAAAATTGGTAGTGATTTGGAATGAAAATCGTATTAATGCATGCTTTCAGGTTTCAGCAGATGGCTAAGCTATCTCTATATTTAAGATCTTGTTAAATTAAATTGAACTTTACCAGATTTTCATTTTCTCCAGGACTTTTCCAAAAATTCTCTCATTGTAACGGGTCGTAGCTCCGGAAACAGAGAATTTAGTCGATTCTCTCTAGGCAGTTGAAAGACGCCATTCACAGTAAGTCGGCTGACCAAAGCAGTGGTTTCCTTGAGCTCCTCGGTAGAATATTCAACATCTTCTGCTACAGGTGGAACAGTAACATCACCAGATTCTATTTGTTCCCTGCTGTCATAAGTGACTTGGAACTTCGTGCCTGTAGACTGGAGATTAGATGTTTTGGCCTAGTAAGATATGCACAACTTTGTGGATCCATGGAACGTAAATACCAATAATTTCTTCAGCCATATGCAGAATATCGTTGTAGGTGACTTCGTCTCCAACGATCACACTAAACTCAGGCCATTGGTCGAGATCGAGTGCTTTGACCACGTACCTTGCCATGTCGTACGTGTATGTCATACACATCATATCATTTCCATCGCCAGGGATGGCGGCTGTACGACTAGCAATGTCAATTCCGAAGGAAAAGGGTTGGAGATTGGTTTCAGCGTGAGGCATGCCCCAATAGTCCATGAAGAAGCCTGGAACAACCCGGGTATACTTGAGTGAACTAGCTTTCAAGCGACCAGCTGCAGCAAGCCAGTACTTGATACTAGGGTCAAGTGGTAGTAGACTATTGAGTGATTTAGTAAATGATCGAAATTGGAGTAGCTAGGTCAATACTCACGAAGCAGTCTGGATGAATGAATATTCACTCGGTATAAATCGCTGTGTGGCCTTAGACTTTTCTGCTGCATCTATCAAGTTCAGTTGGGATTGACTTGTTTCATCAGATGTGATACCAATTGCCGATATGATCGTGCTGACGTTGTGGTGTTCAAGTTTCTCTGCTATCGAAGAGACGTCGTCGTAATCTACCTGCATATGCTGAATGTGGGAAACTATTTCCTTTGGCTCCTGAAAATATGCATTAGCAGCATTCTCCTCGGCTCGTCAACCATGTACCATGTCTGCCAGGTGTTGGCTACTCACGTTCCGAGACAATACCACCACCTGGAACTTGGGTTCAAGGCTCAGTGTTTCAATGATAGTTTTCCCAACACCCCCAGTACCACCAGCTACAGCGATAACCGCCTTTCCTAGATTCAGACCTGAATTCATATCACCAATCTATATTCAAATGAATCAGTCCCAAAGTGCTTGAAAAGGGATGGACGGAAGTGCGTCAAAATTCGGGTTCCACCTTGAAGACCCCACCAAACATGGAATCGCCTGACCGAATATACTTTCCACCGCGCCAGGATTATACATAACAATTGTATAAAAGATTCAAGGTTTAGCCTGAATTTGGTCTCGGGCTTACATGGCATGAACCAAACACCAGCATTTACTAGTAAGTGAACGCCGAAAAATCGGGCTTTCGGGCTTCGAGCCTAGAAGCGGCATCTATGACTAAGGAATGTCACGGGGAAAAATAGTATAAAAAGGACATCCCGCCCCTTATCAATGACAATTATCATCCTTAGATTCTTCAACATAGGGTATAAACTGATAATATCAACACGCTTACACCATGTGTATGAAGGCTCAATGCTCAACCTGCAGTGAGTGAAAGTGTGAAGCATTACAAGTACAGTCAGTTACTAATCTATAAAAGACAAAGTCACGTGGTGGGGATGTGGCGCACATATCCCTTCCGTCATGGATGCTGTGCCAGAAAGTGAGCGTTGCGCTTGTGAACCACAGGTTGAGAGGGATGGGAAGAAATACCCGCCTAAGGCTGCGAAGGCCGGCTGACTAGCCGGTTGTGTTATCTCTTAAGTTGGCGCTTTGAGATGTGGACAGTAAAAGTACAAGAATGGCGCTTCTTGAGGCAGCGTACAAGTGTGCTCAAACATGCTCTACCTTATTTATATCCTCCTTGTCCACCTGTTTTTCCGATCGAATATAGCCATGGGCTTTGATTTCCGCCGCCAACAACCTTGCCTGCTCGACCGGGTCTCCGCCCCGGGAGAAAATGAGATCAATGTCTTCCAGTCTGAAATTGCTTGTCTCCGGGTAAAAGAAGTAAACAACGGGAATGAAAATGAAGTTTGTAATCATGAAGATTAAATACGCCTTCCAATGGAGGCGATCAATGATCACTGGTGTAATCATGACCACTATGAAATTCCAGAGCCAGTTGGAGCTTATTCCAATAGCTGTTCCCTTGGTGCGAGCTTCCAAGGGCAGAATCTCTGGCACGTATACCCATGGCACCGAATTGATGCTCATCCCGTGGACGAGCATATATAGGAAGAAGAATGCGACAGAGGCGGAGGCGAAAGTCATGCCATGGGGTTCATAAATTTGCGATTGCAGAGCTGCAATCATCAACATGCATACACCTAGGCCGAAGGAACCCCACATCATTGTTCGGCGGCGGCCCATGCGATCTAGCATGAACGCTGGGAGAAGAGAGCCAAGCATGAACATTATTTGGATACATCCTCCCAAAATTTGAGCGAGTTGCCTGTTTAAGCCCATGGTGTCTCTCAATATAGCTAAAGGAAGCTCAAAGTTAACCAAGTCCTGTGGGTCAATGGGGTGATGCTTGCAACTAACTTGGAACATATGAAACAATAAGGTTAATTCCAGAAACCTGATTCATCAGTTGCATACCCCACGCGAGAAGTACTCGCTGTCCAGTCTTGATTTCATCGTTGCGAAAGATTTGCAGGAACGATTTCTTGCTCGCAGTTTTCTCAAGCTCAATAGCGGAAATCATTGCCCTCAGATCGTTGACGATGTACTCATCATTCTCCTCCTTGTCATGAACGGTACACAATACCCGGATGGCCTCTTTCTCCTTTCCATGGTTCATCAACCAGCGAGGAGATTCTGGCAGGCCGAAAACAAGCACAATGACAAAAACAGCGAAACAGACTTGTACAGCGATGGGAAGTCGCCAGGCGATCGGTCCTCCTACGAAGGACATTCCATAATCAAACCAGTAGGCCATTACCACTCCGAAGGCAACGAACAGTACTTCCGAGGCGATAAGACGACCTCTTGTCTTTGCATCACACATCTCTGCTTGGTACCTTGAGTGAAATCAAGATCAGCATCGAACTCTTTTCAAAATGTCTTACAAAAGACATACATTGGTACAGTAGAAGTTTTCAGACCAGTTCCAAGGCCAGTAATAAGGCGGCCGATGATCAAGTGAATCACGTGAAATGACGAGGCTTGTAATATAGCACCTATGATCACCGCAACCATCGCCAGCCAGATAGTTTTCCGGCGACCAAGGAGCTCTCCAATGAAGAAGTTGACTGGTTCGTCTTGTTAAACCGTTCCAAACTTGTACTAAGCTTGAATCACCTACCGAAACATCCAACCAGACATCCCAAATTGTATGAGCCCAAAATAATGCCCTGCTCAGAGTCATTGGGTGAACCGAACTGCACGTTCCAGTTTTCATTGTCGATGATGCCACTAAATAGCCCCTGATCATATCCAAACAAGACGAAAGCCAACAGACAGCAGGATGTCACCGCAACCTGGAGGGATTGGCCTCGTCCAAACCAATTACGCATGATGGGCAGTATTGAATTGCAAGTGAATATTGTAAAAGAAAGCTTTTGCTGTTTATCTAGTGCTATCTGCCATCTTATATCAAACTACGAGGTTCCAGCATTCCATTCCGATGCCCCTTACTCCTGGGAAGGGGAATCATCCTTTAGTCCCCACTACCTCGTGCGCTATGCTCTAGACCACAGTGACATATTGACCGACCGCTGTATCTTCTCCGCTCAGAGTGACACGGGTAATCGAGTTTATTGAGCTCACTGGATGGTCACTACTCTCATTTAGTCCAGATATCTGGTCTCTTTGAGCGGCATTTGATGTACAAAGTAGTCCATTTCACGTATTCTGTAGAGTGCCAAAGAGTACTCTTTCCTACGTAGAGTGGCGAACCAGGGATTCACTGGTATGGGTGTCATTTGCTGTCAACTTGATAAGAAAATTGTACTATGTAGGCGATGACGGGACCCTAATCGGCGCTGCAGCTTCTTCTTTTGGCCGATCTAGATTCAATATGACGCCACACAGGGACGGATTCCCTTCCTTTTCGCTTTATTCAATTCAAGAATGAAAAATTCATGATATCCGGATTATCTGTGACGTTTCAAAAGTTCATTACAATCTACGTAAGAAATTAAAATGAGAATCAAGATACAAGAGAAAGGAATTTTGGAATAGAGAAGTCGGCAAGGGACTTCGCTTATGAAATGATACTCAGACCGAATTAGGAAGCTACCTATTCCGGTATTTCAACGGTAAACGATTCAATTGAATTTACTATCTCCACTGCTTCGTCTTCGGTCGATTTCCTCCCCTAGAATGAGTCAAGAGATTCTTTCAGCATTAAATTATGGGTGGGGGACATGACGCTTCGGCATTGGCATCAAGTTCTCTTTGGAGCTGAGCTGCTGCTGCAGCTGCAACTTTCACCTGCTCCTGCTCCTGCTCCTGCTCATGCTCATTCTTTGCCAAATTTATCATTTTCGTGCGACGTCCAATCTTTTGTCGAATGACCCTGATGGCATCCTTTTGCTTGTCTCCAGAGAGCATCAACGCAGCATTGGCCTCAAGATGGAGATCTTCAGGGATCTATCATATGCTAGTTAGATGAGAGCATGCCAAAATTTCCAGTAAATCAGGTCTGACCTCAATGCACCGACGATGGCCAGCGCGACAATTTGTGCAGGTTTTGAGATTTTTGTTTTTTTCGCATGCATGATAGGGTACTTTCTCTAGACGAAGCAAGCATCGTTGGCAAGGCTTATCCTCTGCCATTTCTCTTTTTTAAAGCAGAGTGGTGATTCTAAAGATGATTTGAGAGGTTTATTTAGCAAGATCCGATGGTAGGGTTTAAGGAGATGACGCTGCGTGTGAATTGCTTCCAAAGTTTTGAGAAATTTCGCTCGATTTATACGCTCAATCCCCAAGATTTTGCTGTAGATGATTTGTTCAAATTCAAAGCTCCACATGCTGCAATTAGAGGTTTAATAGCTAGTTCTTAACTTATAGAGCTCTAACACAAAGACTTATGAGAATACCTTTATGTTTCAGCAACTATTAAAGTCAATATCATTGTCATTTCATTCATAGCAAAATAACAAAGGCTACTTAGCATCTAAGACTAGATAGCAGATGGGGCAGTTCCAATCAAAATGTCAGTAGCCATCTAATTATGCTTCGAAACTGCCTACAGGGATGCGGCAATCTTGTATGGGTAGGCTGTTGATGACAACCTTGGAAATAATTTTGCAAACTCAATCAGGATAAAAATGGACGCCGTGTAGCCATGCTTGACCTCTCGATACAGTGGCTTTATCCCTCTATCAGTACGTAATAACATGACTCAAATCATCTTGACGGTCATTTTCTATAAGCACAATGTCTCACAGTGAATTGATCTACCCAGGTACCTAGTCCCAGGTAGAAAGCATGGACACGTGGTAGAGTTTGTATGGCTAGAGGTCAACAGATATGGTAAAATTACTCTCTTCTGAAAGTGAATAAACGATTTTTTTAAAATATACATTTCTTGAATCTTGAAATTGGAGGATCTAATGAAACTAATTATTTTATTGGAGAATATGATCCATTGCTGACTCAGCTATTATATAATCGTATCTGGTGCTTTCCCGCTCACATATAGAAAACCACTTCAACCTCCTAAGCAGAGCCCGATAAAATATTTGCAGCGACGTACACTTATAATAGCTTTTACCAACCTCAGTCCTTATCTTGCGGTGATCTAAGAAACCCACATATAAACCAACATTTGAAGATTTAATGTGCTAGCTCACATATCTTAAACTTGAACTTATCCCTCAAAACCATGAGAGGACCTATAGTCCCTAAGTTTGAGACTGAAGACCCTGTTGTGTTGAGTTCAATACAACCAAGCGATGGCAATACATCACAAGAGGATTGGGACTCAGAAATCCAACTCGTCTCCTCACTAGCAAAGCTACAACAACTGGAACGCAAGGTCAGAGAATACATATATGATGTTCCAATAAGTATATCAACCTGACAGATCATCCCAGATCCATGAGCTTCGCCAACTCTTGCCTGATGGGCTTCTGGCGCCCCTGATGCCGCCATCAAGTGCCAATCAATTACCACCAGGGTATTTAGATTCTCCGGCATCGTTGCGTGACAGTCTTAATCAAGCTGCACGCTCTGGAATTGCGAGTGTTCGCGAGTTCCAGTCCAAATGGCGTGATCCGGAGCTCAAGCCCGTCTGGACTTACGCTGAGTCACGCTTGCAAGAAGCTGGGCAACCATTGCAGCCAACGGGTGTCTGGGACAATGACTATGATGTCCTTCTTGCAGAGCTAGTCAATTCACAGAAGGCGAAAGAAGATGAACAGCAACGAGAGGAAGAGAATACTGAACGGGCGAAATCTTCCGCGGGAGATTGGCAGTCTGTTGTTGAGAATTTCACTCAGCGGGCTATTCCCGGTGTTCGTGTCATCAAGGGAACGAACTCTTTAGTCGTCGCACTTTCAAAAGCAGGGCTGATATTCCTGGTTGATGCTGATGCCGAGGGTTCTGATTGGAAGGTTTCGAGTAAAGCAGCACTTGGTCGCTCCTCAAAGCTCGAACAGGCTATTCTAGATTGCCTGAATGCGCGATCGAGGAAATGGGATCTCGATTTCTTACTGGTAATTTCTGAACAAAAGAGATATTCCGGATTGGATGGATGCTAACACTATTTTAGGACATGATTTCTTCATATACCGATATTAAACAGACGCCTTGTGTGAAATGTGCTCATCTCACCAACAAGGCCGCGCAATTACCAACTATTCGGCGTGTTCAATCTCAGTCTATGCAGGCTGCCCAGGGAGAGTCCCGTACTTTCTCTTTCGATGCGTTACATTCCACCTGCATCTGAACAAACCCTTGGCCCACACAAAACTTTCACCTTCAAGCATGAATCACATATCCCGATGAGGGCCATATTGACTATCATGCCAAAATTCCGCTGGGTATTGATTTCCATATTGATCCCAGTACATTCTCGGTACATCATGGAACCGATTTGAACAATACTGCACCTGACTCCACGTCCCTTCATCAGGAATCGCGTACTTGCGTGTCCGGAAATCATACCGCTCATCAGTTGATCGTCGTGCCCATGGAATTGCCTTGTGTTTGTTTTCCTGCTCCTCCCAGCGTGACCAGTTGGTTTTCTTCGGTGCTGTTGCAATCGTATTTTCACCTGCTGTTGCTGATGGGCTGAGATTGGGTTTGTATGACTTGATTGATCCGATGTATATATCTGGGCCTTTGTTCGTGAGGATATCCTTGAGACGCCAGTGTCGGGGCCAGTGGTTTGGGTTTCCTCTTCGTGGATCTTTGGGCCAGATCCAGCCATATGTCACAGTTTTTGATTTTGGTGCCATCTTGATGCTTTCGGGGGAGGCGAGTTGCTGGGTAGAATTGAATTGTGGGATTCCACAGATTTCAAAGTAGGGTTCTGGAGTGGAATGGAAATGGAAATTTTGGGAATTACAGGCAATCAAATACTCTTGCTTTGCTCTTTAGATGTTTCCTTGTACGGCTTCCGCTGAATCTCAGGCTGATGCTGCATGTTGCTTGATTGTTTCCCGAGACTAGACTAAAGCCTACTTCAAGCACAGTCGCTTTCATACCTACATAGGTCGCCATTTTTTCTTTCTTTCCCTTCTCTTTCTCGGTAGAATCTTTCTCAAAGACGATATCAATTGTCTTGCTTTCAATGTTCTGTCGCTTTAGGGTCATAGAGCATCACTGTAACTACTCAAGATATCCAGCAACGCTCATGTGAGCAACAATAGCTCCATCAAAGGATTTTCTGCACAAAATTACACATTCTTCATTGTCTATAACTTGTTTCAATGTTTGGTAGCCAGTCGGGAATGAAAGAAGTATATGGTTTCTCCGGAGCTGAATGTCTTAAGTACAGGATGGATATTATTATACTGAAATGCAAGACTAAGGCTTAGAAATCCAACCCGAAACACAAATTCATAGAAACCAAGGCTATGATGCAGGATAAGTGTGAAAGAATCCGCCGACTAAGAGTGGACAAGATGTGAGATACCAAACAATCCAAGACAACCAAAATAAAACACAGATATATTTCCGTAATGTCCAAATATGAAAAACGCCAATTTCTTGCAATCGTCGTAAAAAAAAACACCCAGGTCGCTTTCAAAACAAAATACGCCTGAGAGTTGAAGAAAAAGATCAAATATTTCCATGAGAATGTCTCTTAAAGCATCAATAAGTCTGTCAGAGGGAGAACAGACCAAATGTGCCCGCAAACCAAGTGAAAGACGCAACTGAGATGAAAGCCATGCCTAGGGCAAATGTGAGGCCTTGACGTTGGATGTCAGAGAGGGCACCGCTGCAGGTGGCACATTTGAACTCTAAGACAAGTTTTTTAGTATTTGTGCCAGAGTAGAGGGACCGGAGGGTGCTTACCATTGAGTGGGGTGTATGATTGCGGAATGTACATGCCGAAGCTGTATCCGACCTGAGAGCTTAGATATCCAGCCTCACCAACATCAGTGTAGGCCTTTTGTGCGTCATACACAAAGAGCGTGTATGTAGATGTCAGCAAGGGGATAGTCGCAGATGACTGGTACTTGTCCGTGTCCCAGATGAAGGTGCCTGTTGGGGCGACACTCATGTTCTGGGTCAGGGTGTAGACATTCTTGTTCACGCTGCAAGATGCAATGACATCGATGCCGGACGGGGTGACTGAGAGCGAAGTGTAGTTCCAGACGAAAGTGATGTCCTGGCCAATTTTATAGTATGTTGTTGATGAGGAGGCCGGGGTGATCATTGAAATACCACCATCAGCGGCAGCAGGGTCGATGGAGATGCTGCTGGTTGTCTTGGTGGTCTTTCCCGTCTCGGTGGTTTTTTTGCCCGTCTCGGTTGTGGTACCAGTTTCAGTGCCTGTAGCAGTTCCCGTTGTGCCATCGGTTGCGGAATTAGTCCCGGTTGCGGTTCCGGTTGCGGTTTCATCAGTGTTGGAGGCAGTATCGGTGGTTGCTGTGTTTGAATCGGAGGCGGTGGTTTCTGTAGAATCGGTGGCAGTGGTTTCTAGAAAGGTCAGTTGGGTTTACGGGCTGAAATGAATTAAATTGGCCGAACGTACCAGCACGCTTTGCCAACAAGGCATCGGCCTTGTCGCGAAGTGCCAATCCGGAGAATGAATCCCATGGCCAAGCCGAACTCATAACCCCTAAAAGCAGAACAGTGCATAGCACGGTCAAAAAGAGGAACCTCATGGCGAAGGTGATGTGAGACTTTGAGAGGTGGTGGGCTCTAGTCGGAAAATAGAAGCCAGAAAAACAACCCCTTGCACACCTAGCCGGAGATGTTGGCAGATGGCGAAGACTTGAAATCCAAGAGGAAAAAGGCAGTCTCTTTGACCTTTCCGGTGTATTCAACAAGCGTCGCACAGGAGAAAGTGATCAAAATAGCGTGAATATCGATCGAAATTCTCAAGTCAGGTCAGTTCTGGAGACCCTTGGAGTCTGCAGATCACCGCAAAATGTGGAAATCAGCGGGACTGTGTCGGGATAAGTCTCGGAGTAGCGACAAATCAGGGCAGCGAATGTTGTCAAACGAGCGACAGGAGAAGCAAGAATGTTGAGCGATGAGATTAAATGGAAGAACAGAAAAGCCAGGCTAGCAGGGAGGTTGAAGTATGGCGGGGCTAAGCCTAAACAGGACATAGTGGCTACCAAGGATATGTGAGACATACTATTAATAGGCGATACTTGAATACTTTACTGCACCACACCACACAACTCATAGTGTTTTTTCAATTGTTTATTTTCTATATCGTATCAAACCTTCATATAGTATTACCGACAACATTTGAACCATTCATGGTTATGGATTTTGCTTTCCAGGGATATTTGACTTCCCCTCATTTTTAGGACCAAAGGACCCACTGGATCCTACGAACTTTCACTGAAACATTGAATTAGAGGATCAAATCATAACTAATCCATTTGAAGTCTAACTAGACATCACCTAGGCATATCAGGTGACTTCCTCGTCAAATTCTATGTTTTACCTAAGTCTTGGCAATACTTAACTATCAATAACTAAAAGAATAGTAAATAAATAACGATCTAATTAACTTACGTTCACACACTCAATCAAATTAAATCTCCAATGTCCTGTCTACACATCTGTGTGTACATATAATTCAACCAGTCAGTCAGATATCTGATCCATACCTAGAAATATATTTATGAAGTAGAAGATCAACCTTAAAGCCCGAAACTACACTGAAGGCTGTAAGGAGTTGAGGTTCTCATTCAGAATATAGAAAGTCTGGATCCTTGGAATTACCTAGAGCGATGTCCTTACCTAGGTATATACCTTCCAACCTTAACCATATTCCGTAGACCTGGGGAGTTGACATATAAGACTACTTAGGTAGAGATACTACCGATATCAGGTTCACCCATTGCTGCTCCAGGACTACATATTGATACGGGGAACAGGGACGTCCTAGCTAGTCTGCGAACCTAGCTAAATCATGGAGTATGGTAGATGCAGTCAGAGTCCGTCCTCTAGGGGCTGTGTGGGAGAAAGGAAGGAGAACCAAAGGGTAGCTCAAGAAGGTAAAGGTAGTTTGATGGTCTCATCTCTCAACTGAATGCTTAAATACACAATCTACACTAATTTCAGGTGACCTAACCCCCCACTACAATATCTAGGTAAAAGCCTTGAGATTTTGATCGAAGCTTGGGTAACTACAGAAACATCTGATAAGATTGCCTCGGTGGGCCCTGAAAACCTTGAAACACCAGAGATCCATGGATGAATTACCCTGGGCCAAATCATCACTCTTCAAATACATCTCAAATAAACTAGAAAATATGTGATCATGCCTAGGTGGCACGTGTGTACGTAGTTCCATAGGCCATATATACAGTCGCCAATATGTGTTCAAGTAGAAAACTCGTAGTCCGCCTTAAGCTTAATATCATAGCATCCATCAGGTGTGCCGCTACCTACAGCAGCGTTGACGTAATAAAGACCCTTGTCGCTACAAGCTGTAGCACAAAGACAATCAGCTGTTGTACATTCCCAAGCATTGATGCTTGCAGCAATTAGTGGTCCAAAGTTGTACTTACCAAGCCAGCCACTAAAATTTGTGCTCGAATCCTGCAGAATACCGCCCTTGCTGAGAGAGAACCCTGTGCTGCCAGACTTGGGACTGACACTGACCTCAACGCCAGACTTGATCTCTAAAAAAAGAGAAATGAATTAGAAATGGGTCGGAGCTCCACTCCGAGAGTCGCTATGTAGAAGCTGAAAACTTACGCTTTCCAGGGATCAAAGCAAGTTCCCACGGGGCGTTGTTCTCCGCTTTGTATCGCACTGTTCCATTGTTCATGATAAAGACACCGGCAATACTTTCCTCGCTGGTGAGAATTGCTTGACTGTTTAGTGGGCCGGTGCTCTGGGTTGATAAGTAGAGGCCATTGTATGTGCTGTTAGAGGCACCGGAGCTGATGAGGTGGAAGTATCGATGGGCGGGGCTGGCAGCTGCAGCTGTGGCCAGAAGAGCAAGAGAAAAGAACTTCATTTTGAGTATCAGGACTGGATATATGTAGATGATGGAATATCAGTCAAGATGAGGAAGATTTTGATTTGAACAGCAGTGGATGACGGGGGGTGACGAGTATTTATGAATTGAATGGAACAGGGATCCGGTTTGCAGTCACTGTGGAGAAGTGTCAGTAGTACGAAAGGCTGATGATGAAGATCAAAATGTAAAGAAACTTGGAACTTTGGCTAGAATAGAAGCTTATAACTTGTGGAGCTGGGTTGCATTGCTTTGTTCCAGTTCTACATATGATCAAAGGATAAATAGCCTTGCTGGGCTGAATATCTGCATGTCTTAGTGGCTGCAGCACGACTCGATATGAACTGATTGGGGCCGGGCTACATTGCCGACTAAAATGGAAGGTGAGTGTTTGCGAAACAATCAGGAGTTGAACGGGCGAGCTTTCTCTGACGTTGGATGTGGATGTGGAGAGGAAGAGACCAATGATATGCCAAAATTCAATGTATTAGGTCTCCACTATGACAAAGTAAAGTAACTTGAACATAAAAGGAGAATAAGGATATTCAAAGTAGGTCCAGTTGGAAATATTGGTGGAAGCTCAGTATATATTATGTTTTATCAACTACATCTTTGTATTATGCGCCTAGTACTTGATGACGTGAAATTTTAATCTAACCCTGAATGGACACATCAAGCCCCTGACGGCAGAATCCTTTAATACACATCTGTAACTCTTGGCCCCTGACTAATTTTGCACAGTACTAAGTACTAAAGATGGACAGGAAAATAAATAACCCGGTCCGAGCCATTGAATGGAGTACAAAGTACCGAGTACCTATCAACCCCGATCTCTTGTTATATTTGGCGGCGATATGGCCGAATATGAAATTGAGAGAAAGAGCAGACTTGGACCATAGTCATTGCAAGCTGGATTATGAAGGGCAGACGGAGGACTTTCTACCATCATCAAAACTTCAAGCACAACCAAATATCCCGAGCATAAATCGCTCTCAAGCTTATGATTTGCTCAAGCTTATTTTTGTAACGACGATCACGAATGAGATGCCTAAATAACCTTCAACTAATATCTGAAAGTGATACCAAGCCAAAACGGGTAGCTAAGTAATTACTTAGTTATCAATGGCCTCAGCTTCATCGAAATCTGTGGATTTTTATTACTGATATTCTCGATGGTTTAGCTGAAGTCAAAGAGTGCATCTCTAATTGTTAAACCACGGGGCGTAAGGGGGTTACTAAAAGGCCTACAAGAAGTTGGATATGATTTTGGGGTTTACCCACCTGGGGCAACCCTTCTCATATTTTTTCGTCATATAGTCGTGACTCCCGACACCTATATTACACCGTCACCTCCCCTCCGCCTACTCGCGACGGCGGTGAATTTGCTGGAGGACAGGCTTCTCTTTCTCTCTGCGCGCAACCATCTCGGCGATGGGGTCCCGTTTCTTGGGAGCTACCTCCTTCTCTACGGCATTCTTCTTGGTAGGGTCATTTTCTTTCACAGGACCCTTCTCCTTCGAAGAATCTACCTTTGCCTTGCGGGGCACAACTTTCTTGATGGTAGTCTCGTATTTTGGTTTCAAGGCCCATGTACGGTTGTGTCGGAAGTCTTCGCCGAGAACTGCGACTTCTGCCAAAGCGTCCTTGAAGATGGCCATTCGGTTCACGTCCTGGGTGTATGGCCTCATGCTTTGAGAGATCATGTCACTGCGGACGGGACCCTTGTGGGTCCGGAGGAAACGGATAATCATCTCTTTGAAATCCTTAAAGCCTTTGGGCATGCGGCGCGGCAGCGCACCCACGGCTTCGCCGGTGTCGGAAGTGGTGCCGCGACCACCCACACCGTACCTGCCAGTCCAGGTCGGTAGACCGATCGGAACCTTTTTAGCTTCGACCTGTGCCAGCTGGAGGTGTACAGCACCCTGCTCGGCAATCCGGGATGCTTGTCGTTCCATGAACTCGTTTTGAGCCTGATTGCGAACACCGCCGGAGCGGGCAAAGATACCCTTCAGCAGGCGATCTTCTTCGGTCTTGGCAGCAGTCTCCTTGCTGGTCATTCGCTCACTTATGTTCTCGAAATGAACGACTCCGGAGATATCCCCATTTGAGTTTCGGCTTGGCTTGACCTCACTCTTGAATGACTTTCCGACGGGGACGGCATGATTGCGCGTTACCTGGTCATCCACCTCATCATCCAGAGTAAAGACGTTATGCATGTCTTTTAAGTTGAAGTCCTGTTGGTATTGAGGGTCCTTGGTGATTTTATGACCGAGGAACTGCTTCCATATCTGTCGATGATAAATTTTGTCCTCAATGGTGCCCTTCAACAACAGACGGTATACGTGAACATCTCGGGTCTGACCCAGTCTCCAAGCACGGTCCCGAGCTTGGATATCATTAGCCGGGTTCCAGTCAGGGTCATAAAGGATTACCCGATCAGCACTGGTCAGGTTCAAACCGATGCCACCCACTCGGGTGGTCATCAAGAAGACGTCAATGTTGGGAGATTCATTGAACTCATCAACCATTCCCTGACGGTGCTTAATAGGAGTTTGCCCACTCATCTGTAGATGAGTGATGCCATTAAGTTGTAGGAGGAACTTCTCCAAGATGTCAAGCATTTGCCTTGTCTGGCAAAATACTAGGGTCTTATGTCCGTCCTTCTTCCACATTTGCAAGAGACCTTGAAGGACTTGCATTTTGACAGACAATTCCATCTTTCCATAGTCAATCGCGCCACGTCTATTGTTGAAATCCGCCAGATCGGGATGGTTGCAGATCTTGCGAAGTAGATCCATGCATTGCAGATAGTTAGTGCTTCCCTTGGTCATGGATCGAAGGTCGAAGGATTCCAAGCAGCGCTTGTAGGCCGCTCGCTGAGTGCCAGTCAGCTTGCAGAAGACAATCTGTTCTGACTTCTTGGGAAGATCTTTTGCGACATCGGTTTTGTACCGAGTGAGAAGCAGGGGTTCAATAGCCGCCTTCAAGGTCTCGGCGCACTTGGTTGCAACCTGCACCTCCAAATTGCTCGCTATGGAATACCCACCCAGGCGGATAGGAATATCAAAGTGACTCTTGAAGCTCTCCAGGTTTCCAAGACGCATGGGAGCGACAAAATCAAAGAGCGACCACAAGTCAATGAGACTGTTCTGGATGGGAGTTCCAGACAGGATTATGCGATGCGGGGTTCGAAGCTCTTTGCAGATCATCGTGATGTTCGCATTTGGGTTGCGAATCTTGTGGCCTTCGTCAAGAATAACAGAGCCCCATTCAACGTCGGTCAGCATATCGGCATAAGTTTGCAGACCCGCATAAGTCGTTATGAGTATGTGACCGTCGTCGCAGACACGGTCCGCGATCCTCTCTGCAGCTTGCAGGACGGCTTCCGAGCGAGTTTGAACGGCGGGCTTTTCCAAACCATCCTCACGCTGGTTCTCCTTGGTCAAGTTCAGCATGCCACTACCAGTGGAGTGCAGGATTGAAACCCGGAATGGCGGCCACCACATGTGAATGTGAGAAACCCATTGAAACATCACAGTTGCGGGGCAGACAATGAGGGTTGGCTTGTCAAATTTGTTGGAATGATGAAGTGCGGCGAGGTAAGCAATAGCTTGCACAGTTTTTCCTAATCCCATCTCATCTCCGACGATGCCACCGACGCATTTCTGATGAAGCTCCCAAAGCCACTGGACGCCAGTTCGTTGCCATGGGAAAAGAAGTTGGGCGATGTCACCAGGGACGAAAATACCGTTGTTTAGATCTAAGTCATCGAACTTGGGATGAGGCTTGTTCCACTCATCTATCTTGATGTCGTCCACGTAATCGGGGCGATTCAGGGCTCGGGCCTCTCTGCGCTTGGCAGTCCACTTTGCTAGACGGGCCTGATAGACCGATTCCTTGCCATCGTCCATGCTGCTCATATCGACCAACTCCACTTTACCCTTGCCTAGCTTGCGCTTGCGACTTGATTTCGGCTCAGGATCAGGTGTGAAATCGCTATCGCCTTCAGAATTGCTATCGCCTTCGGAATTAATATAGCTGTCAGAAGGGTCCACATCTGGGGAGCCAAGAAACTGGGGTTCGGCCTGCTCTGAGATCGAGGCGCGTTTCTCAACCTTTTGACGTTTGTTGATGCTAGCTCCGGTGCTTTCATTGCCGAGGTCGAAATCGAGAGTTGGGCGGACTAGGATTCGCTGTGAAGCTTGCTCCTTGACCTTCTCGAGCTCTTGCAATTCCAGGTGCTCATCTTCGGCGGCGACAAGGACATAGTGAAGGGGCGCAGCAAGATCATCCTGCTCCACATCAGGCACTTTGTCGAACGGGGTAATATGGCCAATGCGCAACAGATAGTCTCGACGGGACTCATTAGGAAGCCGGCCTGAACTAGGAGCCGACACAGGTTCTTGCTGGACCTCTCGATGCTGCTCGATGCGGTTCTTAATGTCGCTGACATCAGTCTCCAGGCCAACCTTGGAGATTTTGAGTCTGTTCAGTTCGACGTCCAATCGACGGGCCGTTGGGCCAGTAGATTTATCCAAGCGTCTCTGAATATCATCAATCTTGGTTTGGAGCTTGCTATAATGAAGAATGAGTAAACTATGATCTGATCAAGGGGATAATGGAAAACTTACGTCAGACTCGCCAAAGCTTTTTCGAGGCGCTTGTTCTCATTTTCGGCTGCTTTTTCAACCACCAAACGTTTTGCCTGGAATATAGCATGAGCAAAATGTCAAAGTATGGCCTAAATAAGTATAAACTAACCTCTCTGCTGATGTCTCGTTCGAGATCGGACTGGTCACGCACGTCGACATCTAGGGCTTCTAGGGGGTTGATTTCAGCAACTGCCAGCAGTTGCTGAATTAGGGATTCGGTTTTATTATTCATAGTGAATAAGAAACTAAACCAGATTGAAGAAGATTGAAATGGAGAAAGGAGGAAAGGAAGGGAAAGCAGAGCAGAAGCCCTTTTAAGTAGGTTATGGGGGCAAGCTAGATCGAAACATTACGGGTTTAGTTAAAAAGAAAGTGGAAGTGGAAGTGTTCCGCAATAGAATAAGACTGGGAGTAAACTGGAAGTACGGTAGAAGAGGTGTTGTTGGAAATGGAAGGAGCGAGAAGTTCATACTAACAGATTTCTTATCAGCTGATTTCTTATCGCGTCAATTTCCCCACGGAGCCTCCAAGTCACATGATACTGACTCATTGTGGCGTTGTTTGTACTGTTTGCAGTATCCACAACCGCCCATCTTCAGTTTCCGAGTACAAGGTGAATTTTTATACATAATATAATATTTCATAAAATATGATCATAGCGATTTCTCATTAGTTAGATTACGGATTGATATTCACCATACTCGGTAAGTATCACAAGAAAGAAGTTCAATTAACCCTGATTAGGAAGTGCTGGTCATGTGACTTCCAAGGCATTCCATTTACGAAAGTACTCGAGTACGTACTCGAGGTCTTACCGAGCTACATGGAAGAAGCAGGCTCTTACACAGAATTTTTACAAGTTGAATACTGTCAGTCTACTGAGAAGTATTTCTAACTTATAGTCGGATAAATCTCATCTTCACTTCACTTTCATCTCCTCCATTTCACGTGACCCGTCTAGAACTACTTCAAAAAAATAGTGAAAACCTTGGAAGGTATCTCGTCTCACAATATTTGAGCTCAACGTTGAAGGATTCTGAATTTCTGAAACAAGATTCTCAAGAGTCAAGACTGAAGATAAATACCATCCTATTATTTATGATGTAGGAAGCAGGAGGTTTTTACGTTGATTAACTATAACTCTCAAATCTACTGACTAATCTCAGGTAGATCTAGAACCACGGACTCTTCCCAGGTTCTATATTTCATTAAAAGAAGTTACGAAATCAAGAAAATGGGATATTTGAATTTGTAACATTATAGTACTTACGTATTATTTTCAGTGCTTAACTGTATTATGAAGAGAGAATATAACCAGGGGCAAATTAGGCCGATGACTTGCTTAAGTGGCAGTTGGGTATGCAATGACGACGATATTGGGAGCCAACAGTCGAATAAAGTGCCTAGGTGGTGAGATCACTAATCTCGATATACTCGAGCACTGGCTGTGTAGTACATGTACTAAGTAAAGTACGGAGTACCTAGTAGTAAATAAGTAAACAAGTAAATAAGTAGAAGTGTAAATAATAGAGCAGTTTGAAGGGATGATTAAGTGATCATGTTACCTTCCAGACTTCATGACGATCTTCTCCACTACCAGCACCAAGTTGAAAACAAACTGGTCTTGACTCTTTCTTCATTTGCCATACTATTAAAATAGTAACCCTGAGCAACATTCAAACATTGCGCAGGATCTGTTCCCGATATTTCTCTCTCCCGCGTTCCCCCAGATTTTTTGTGGTCTAACCAGCCCCAGTCTTAAATCTTGACCCTTCGGAAACCATACTCTTTACCCGCCCCCCCTTCCCCTCCTCGGAATTGTTCCCACTTCTTTAGATGATGAACTACTACACAATTCTGACCAACTCATCGTTTTGACTCCTCCCAATCGCTTGCAGTGTTACCTTACCTGCGCGCTTCTCGCGTGTATTGTCCCCTCTTACCTCCCACTGTTGGGCACTCCCCGATCGCATTGCGTCTGCACTGTAGACGAACGGTGACGGAGCTCAATTCTTACACTTCCCTTCCCCATCCAAGTCTTTTTCTTGGACGATGGATCCCGGATGGCAGCCATATCAGGATCCCCTGATAGGTCGCCCTGCGCAATACACTGGGTTGACCTCTCATCCTCCAGCCAAGTACAGTCAGCCACAGCAGTCACAGCCCCCAGTCGGATACACGTATGAAACCTTTCAAACCCCAAACACCAACTCTAAGCCTCCTTCAACCGGTCCACATTCCAAGCCTGTGTCGATGGCTTCGTCTCCGACCGGTGCTCCACGTAACCGGGATTATATTGCCGATATCGATACCAACATGGAGGACGCAGACCCCTTCAACCGTGCCAAGTATCTCGCGAGACCAAATAATGCCAATCGCCCTTCTTCACAATTCCTCTCCCAGGCCGAGGAATCGTCAGCTGCTCGCAGGTATTCGCCGAAGAATGTTTTGTCGCCGCCGATGTCATACCCTACAAGCCCCGGGAAATCTCAAGGTTCATATGGCTTTCCTTCCTCTGCATCAGGTCAGGTGCGACGATCGCCAGTCCGAACTGCAGAGTATTCATCACCGCCCCAAGGCTTTCAAACACCACCATGTAAGTGCTTCCAGTCACCATGGTAACCTGTACCTTCTTCCTAACTATCGCGGCAGCGAATCGTGCTCCACGACTTCCGCCTCTCCAGTCAACCGATCTCAGTTCCGATCAATTCTACCCACCCTCCGCATCTTCACAAATGAGTGGATTTGGGTCCGGGACGCGATCCCCACGCTCTGGCTCATTACCATCACAGGCCCCGTCATTGCCGCCACAAGTTCCGGGCCGCGGTCCGGTTCCCAAGTTTCAGAAGATTAAGTCTGTGCAGGAGCTCCAACCTCGAGTGCATACTCAGCCCGCATATCGACGCGCGAACCCCGAGGGTGGCTTTATCAGCGTAAGTCTCATCTCATCTATCCATATCGGCTAACACTAACACTTCCAAACCTGTCGCAGCCCCTTAATGCCTTGACGAGTCATCTTCCAGCCACTTATCGCATTTGCAATCCCAACTTTCACTACGAATCCTCTAGAAATCCCCGACGCGTGTTGACCAAGCCAAGCAAGGGCGTGAAAAACGACGGATATGATAACGAGGATAGTGATTACATTCTCTACGTCAACGACATCCTCGGTAGTGAGGAGGCTGGTCACAAGTATGTCCTTAGTCTATGCTTCCCTGTTACTTTCTTATCTAACTTTGATCTTCCAGGAATCGATACCTCATCCTCGACGTATTGGGTCAGGGTACATTTGGCCAGGTAGTGAAATGTCAGAGCTTGAAAACCCAGGAGGTTGTAGCAGTCAAAGTCATCAAGAACAAAACTGCCTACTTCAACCAGAGCATGATGGAAGTCTCGGTGTTAGATCTGGTAGGTTTCTGACGCATTGACACTGTTCGCAGATTGATTGACCTTCACACCATACAGCTCAACAGCAAATACGATAAAAATGACGACCACCACCTCCTCCGTTTGAAAGATACATTTATTCACCGGCAGCATCTATGTCTCGCATTTGAACTCCTCAGTGTCAATCTCTATGAGCTCATCAAGCAAAATCAGTTCCGGGGACTGAGTACCACTCTCGTCCGGGTCTTTGCGCAACAGCTTCTGAACGCTCTAAGCCTCTTGAACAAGGCACATTTGATCCATTGCGATCTGAAGCCAGAAAACATCCTTTTGAAAAAGTCGGTGTCGCATTTGTATCTCCCCGATCACTTTCCCCACTGACATTTTGATTTCCGATCTTAGTCTCGAAAGCCCCATCATCAAGGTCATTGATTTCGGGTCTGCTTGCGATGAGCGCCAAACCGTCTACACATATATCCAATCACGCTTCTACCGCTCACCAGAAGTGTTGCTCGGCTTGCCGTACGTTCCATACTTCGCACTCCCTTGTTTTGCCTTATTTCTAACATCATTCTAAGATACTCATCTGCTATTGATATGTGGTCTCTTGGCTGTATCGTGGTCGAGCTCTTCCTGGGGCTTCCTCTTTTCCCAGGATCCTCCGAATACAACCAAGTCACTCGCATTGTCGAGATGTTGGGTCTACCTCAAACGTGGATGTTGGAGATGGGCAAACAGTCTGGTGAGTTCTTTGAGAAAACACAAGACGAGTTTGGACGGAAGACATATCGTCTCAAGAGCTTGGAGCAGTTCTCGCGAGAGCATAACACCAAGGAACAGCCCAGCAAGAAGTATTTCTCTGCCTCCACCCTGGAGGAAATAATCCGGAGCTACCCCATGCCAAGGAAGAACATGAAGCAAGCAGAGATTGAACGAGGTAAGATTAAATCCCTTTTTTCTTTCTTTTTTCGAAATGGTCATGTCCTCTCAGCTGACAAAATATCACTCAGAATTGAATAATCGAGTCGCATTCATCGACTTCGTGCGCGGCCTCTTGGCTATCAACCCTCTCGAGCGATGGTCCCCACAGCAAGCTAAGCTGCACCCGTTCATTACACAACAGAAATTCACTGGCCCATTTGTGCCTCCTATGAACCTGAAGTACTCGACTATCAACAAGACCGTTGCACCAGGCGTTCAGCAACAACAGCAAGCAGAGGCTGCTAGTAAGCATAGGGCTGCACAAGCGGCACATGCGCAATCAACCTATTACCAGTTCCAGCAGCCGCCGCCTCCCATGTATAACGGAATGTACCAGCAAGGCGTACCGCCCCCACCTTATCCCATTCAGCCACCAGGGTATGGCCACCAGATGAATGTGTCTCCCAGTCAAGCGGCCCAACAACAATATGCTCCGCAACAGAGTCTCTATGCTCAAGCTACAACAAGAGCAGGACGCCAACGTGCGTCTACGATGGACCCTCAAGGAGGCGGTATTCCAACCACCATCCAGCGTGTGGCTAGTCACCTGGACCCAAATGCACCCATTCGGTTGCAGCCTAGTCCAGCATACTATCCTCCTCCTCCCGATGGCTATGTTGACCCCAACAATGCCAATCAACGGCGACGTGGAAGCCGTAATGGTGGCAACGGCAATGGCAACCAGCGCAACCGCGATTTCATCCGCACTCTCGAGGACGGTGCAATGAGTGAGGGATACATTGGTCAGAATCAGTGGCAATGAGAAGTCATTGGGCGCACACATGCCTAATTTCTTACACATATACTGCTTGTCACTTCTTATCCCACCCAGTTAAGCTCATAGACCCCTTCTCTCTCTGAGGGTCCTTTCTTTTCATTCATTTCCGTGCCTATTTGATAGCTGGAATTTATTTGACCTGCTGCGCCACCTCTCGACTTAAACCGCTACTATAGATATGCCGCTCCATGTGGGCTGTTTTATGTCGTTCTGAGTCATGAAGTTTGATTTGGAATATGCAAGTTTTGAAAAACAGGCCGGAAGGTCATCTGAAATGGATAACATGAATCCAAGTGGGCCTGGGGCTTTGAGATGGCGAGGCCTACTTCGACATATACTTTATCCTCGATATCCCTTATCCCTCAGTGAGTAACGGAAATCAAAGGGCCAAACGTGCTTTTCCCGTTGGAGATATACTTTACCCTTCTTTCTTCTGCTTTATCATTGCTATTCTGTGATTCCGAATGTCTTTCTGCGAATGATCTTATGAGTCGTCGCTCGGTACTTGCGACTGCGATGACTTGATATCTTATTTATTTTTCTTTCGGCATAGCCTGGAGTATGAAAGAACTATTTGATTCCTTTCAATGTATTTTCTGCTTGTCTCTGTAAGTTTGAACATACTAAAGGTGGCTATTTGACCTTTGCAATGGGTTGTTTTCTTTCTCCTTTGATTCGGCAGTCTGATGCTCTATAAACCAGTAGTATGATATTTTCTAGTTATTGAATAAGTCACGATTCAAGACTGGAAATCAAAGCGTAATAAGCAATTGCCATGTAATTAAATATTTAAATAAATAGTATGTTGGTTTTCTTTGTAGATCGTTTCCATATTGCGCTAGTCCATATCGGGTATAGTCAACCCCTCGCTTAAATTTCGTGTGTGGCTCTCTCACCCATCAACTCCATTCACCATTCGACGGATCTGCTTTTACTGCCCTCGTGCACCGGATTTCTCGCCTTTGATCCGCAACGATGTCAGCACCGCAGTCACGATTCTTCTATGGAGGTAGCGACAGCGACTCCAGCTCCTCGGACGAGGGAGAGGATGTCTACGACCACTCCGATAACAGCGATTCCGAAGAGTCTAGCGACGATGACCAATCCGTGTCCGGGTCCGACTCGGATTCCGATGATGACATCGCCAACCAGTTCTTGAAAGGATCTGACAGCGAAGAAAGCGAAGATGAGGACAAAGTGACAATTGTCAAGAGTGCCAAGGACAAGCGATTGGACGGTCTGGAAAACACCATCCGTCTCATCGAAAATGCGCAGAAGATTGGCGACTGGGCTGTCATTTCTACTGGTGAGTCTACTCTCCGACATGGATATATGGACATGGCCAAAAAGAGTGCATGACAGGGGGAGATGGAGGGGTTGAACTCGAAGAAAGCGGAACCGGCAACTAACAACAGCCTATTACAGAGTTCGACAGCTTGAACCGCCAAATCATCAAGATTACCCAGTCTGGCCCAACCCCTAAGCTCTATGTCAAGGCCGTCGCTGACCTCGAGGACTTTGTCAACGAGGCCGTCTCCAAACAAAAGGCCTCGAACAAGAAGATGAACGCCAGCAACCAAAAGGGATTCAATGCAGTTAAACAGCGCATCAAGAAGAACAACAAGGACTACGCCACTCAGATTGAGAAGTACCGCGCGGCCAAGGAAGAATTCATGAAGAGTGAGGAGGAGGTCGAGAAGCCCGCAGCTCCCGCTCCCAAGCCCACTAAGGTCGAGAAGATCGAGAACTTTTCTCAGGCTCTCGCTGCAGGTGCTGACGACGATGGATTTGCGACCGTTGGACGTGGTGGCAAGGCCCTGCAGTACACCCCTGAGAGCATTCTCAAGCATCTGCGTTCTATTGTTGAGTCGCGTGGAAAGAAGAACACCGACCGTTTGGAGCAAATTCGGACCATGGAGAAGCTTCTCGAGGTCGCCCAGTCTCCCTACCAACGTATTCGTATCTTCATGACCGTCATTTCCACTCGTTTCGACCTTACCGCCTCTTCTTCCGCCAACTACATGGGCGCCGACCAATGGAAGCAAGCCAACCAGGAATTCGGTAACCTTTTGTCCGTTCTTGAGGAAAACCGCAACTTCATCATCAGCGAGGGTGCTGATGAGTGGGAGGATGATGAGAAGCAACCCACAGTCGCCGCTGGGGAGACCTTCTATATTCCCGGCAGTATTGTCTCATACATTGAGCGCCTGGATGATGAACTTACCCGCTCCCTGCAGCAAATCGATCCCCACACTGCTGAGTACATCGAGCGTTTGAGCGATGAGCAACAGCTTTACAACAACATTACCCGCACTCAGCTTTACGCCGAGAGCCTCAACACTGGCGACAAGAACGATAGTCGTCAGGACAGTGTCAACCGCGTGGTCATCCGTCGGTTGGAGCACGTCTACTTCAAGCCCTCTCAGGTGGTCGCCATTCTGGAGGACGCCACATGGAAGGCTCTTCCTGAGCAGCTTGAGTCTGCTATCACTCCCCGCGCTAAAGCTAGTGATGTGTCTGCCCTCATCCAGACCGTCTGCAACTACCTATTTGAGAACAGCGATGGTATCATCCGCGCCCGCTCTTTGCTCTGCCAGATCTACTTCCTTGCTCTGCATGACCAATACTACCGTTCTCGCGACTTGATGCTCATGTCGCACCTCTCCGAGAATATCTCCAACTTCGACGTTAGCACCCAGATCCTCTTCAACCGCACCCTTGTTCAGATCGGTCTTTGCGCTTTCCGTGCTGGCCTCATCTACGAAGCTCAGACCACCCTTGGTGATATCTGCGGCAGCGGCCGCCAAAAGGAGTTGCTCGCCCAGGGCATCATCCTCCAGCGGTACTCCACTGTTACTCCCGAGCAAGAGCGCCTGGAGCGCCAGCGCCAGCTGCCATTCCACATGCACATCAACCTTGAGCTTCTCGAGTGTATCTACTTGACCTCCAGCATGTTCCTCGAGGTCCCCCTCATGGCCCAGACCTCTTCCGCCCCCGAGATGCGCCGCCGTATGATTTCCAAGACCTTCCGCCGCATGCTCGACTACAACGAGCGCCAGGTGTTCACCGGTCCCCCCGAGAACACCCGTGACGGTGTCATTATGAGTGCTAAATTCCTGGCCGCAGGAGACTGGAAGAAGGCCGCTGAGATGCTGGCCTCCATCAAGATCTGGGACCTGATGCCCCAGCCCGAGCAGATCAAGGAGATGCTTTCCCAGCAGGCCCAGGAGGAGGGCCTGCGCACCTACCTCTTCACCTACGCGCCCTTCTACGACAGTCTCTCCATCTCCTCGCTGGCCGACATGTTCGAGCTGCCAATCAAGAAGATCTCCGCCATTATCAGTCGCATGATTTCCCATGAGGAACTTGGCGCCGCCCTGGACCAGGTCAACGACTCCATCGTCTTCCGCAAGGGCGTCGAGCTCTCCCGCTTGCAGTCCCAGATCGTCACCTTGGCCGACAAGTCCATGGGTCTGCTCGAGTCTAATGAGAAGACCCTCGAGCAGCGCACCCAAGGAATGGCCAACGCTTTCCAGCGCGAGTCAGGCCCTGGTGCCCGTGGAGGACGTGGCGGCCGCGGCGGTCGTGGAGCCCACCAAGGCCGTGGTGGTGCACGATTCCCCGGTGGCCAGGAGGGCCGGAGACCCGGTGGTCAGCAGTTTGGCGGTGGTGCATTGGGTGGTGCCATCAAGGCTTAAATTTAAAATGGTTTCTGATGTAATGGCATGCCTTTTTTTTTTCTCTTATTTCTCATCTCACATCTTTTTCTTCTCCCCCTTGTCACGCTTTTTATAGTTCTTTCTCACGCCGTTTTCCTAACGCGAGTGAAATCCCTCGTGTCAGTCTGATGACATAAAATGAAATGAATAAATGGTTAGAAAGTATTGCTTGTGTTTTTGTAGGAATTGTTTCTTGGCATAATCCTTTTAGGTGTGTAGCTTTTTACTTAGCAGGACTGACCACAACTACCATGGACCTATGTACTTGATAATTGCATTACCCTTGACTCCTGAAATGTGTCAATGGGTGGCTACTGTTCAAACAAATTTTGAACAGGTCAAAGATCAAGATGCACTTCAGAGCTGGGTCCCAAGGAAGATATCCGAAACTTGAAATTGAAAACTTGCAGTTCGACCAATCCGAAATCTAGCACTTTCTGAGGTCTTAAGTGCCAAATCTTCAGATACATTCAAATTTTCAGTATAATAATATCAAGTATCTTCCCAGTCTATAAAAACCTGAACTCTCAAAGCTTTCCGTTGCTTTTCTCGTTGTCTAACTCCAACTTCAGCTTGATTAAGTATAAAGCGAGCTTCTTCCTCTCTTCTAAAACTGGACACCATGCAAATGCAATCTCATAGCAAAGGGTTCAAGTGTTTGTATTTGACGGCATCAACTTGGACCTCATGCTTCTCTCTATTAATTTTCGATCTCAGAATCCGCCTCTACCAACAATATATGTACAGTTCGACATGGGTGGAGGGTATGAGCGCTTGTACTCCTCTCTCACTCAGCTTTCCTCGATATCCATTGAGTTTCTTCTCACTGTCGAAGCTGAAAGGACTTAGCCTTCGTAGTTATGTTGTTCTTCCATCGAGGAAATCGGTTGAATGTATTTCTAGAGCAGCAAAGATTCTTAAGCCCTTTGAACCTATAGACTGTACATGCACGCCGAGGATCCACAAATTGGCAAAACGCCTGGATTGACGGGACGTCTTCTTTTGAATAGTAGTGATCCATTACTGGATGATCAAAACAAGGAACTACGAGGCCGAGCAAAAATGTGTTTATGATGGCATTGTGAGCCGTATAAAGAATTATCAAATGCGTAACTGTTGTAAACTGAGGGGTGACTTTTTCTATGGTGGAACTAGGATATTTGAGAGCAGAGAAGACAGCTCTATTTGCTTAAATTATCTAGCTAAATACCAAATCTATACCTGACAAGTCCACCAATGTAAAAGATCTATTAGATTTAGACTTGCGCGTGGAATGGTTCCAAGCCAACCGTCTTGCAAAGAACGAGTTAAGCATCTGCTTAAACCTACAACTTTTGCCATTTTAAGCCTTAACTTAGCAGATAAGATCATATTTCTCCCGCTTGGTTGGAAATACTTAACAGTAGACCAAGAATTGGTGAATAAAATGTCTTTAATTGATTATTCTACTTGCTAGGGAAAGATCCGTGAATGACTTCGGTATTTAGATACTTCAGGTCATAGAACAATATCTAGTTCCTTAGAAATCCCATGATAGATATAGCCCCTGTTTTAGGATGTATCAAAATCGCTTTCTATCTTATTCTGTAGGCAGAAGTAGGTGGACTCAATTTTTATTTTTATTTGTTGTCCCAAACCTCCTCTTGACTGGCAAAATGATAACCATTAGCGCCTTGCCGAAACCTGAAACTATGATTGGCTACTATATATTATTAAGCTATTTTATAACGTAATTATTTGATTGTCACCCCACCAAATAAAATTGTCTCTCTGTTTTCAAACACACTATGCCCCCCAATACGTTCGAAATTGCTTAAAAGGAGTGTTTCCCTGAGCCTTTACCTTTGGACTTGTTGGGCGCAGAATTTACAGGCCCTGTATTCTCTCAAACTGATGGCTCTCTCTCTCTCTCTCTCTCTCTCTCTCTCTCTCTCTCTTTTCAAGCTCTTGATAGAGCTGTATTCGGAACTCAAGCTGAGTCATTGGTGGCCAATATTTTACTGGCTTCTTGATATATCTATTGTAAATGCTTATTGTATTGCAAAGATAGCTCGCCAAAAACAGAATTTACCACCAATGACTCAGCTTGAGTTCCGAATACAGCTCTATCAAGAGCTTTTTGAAGAGGGAGAGAGAGAAACACAGAAAGATATAGGTCTCAGAAAGATAGGTCTCAGAAAGATAGGTCTCAGAAAGATAGGTCTCAGAAAGATAGGTCTCAGAAAGACAGTCAGAGAGATAGTCAGAGAGACAGAGAAAACCATCAACTTGAGGATACAGGGCCCCAAAAGCCTGTAAATTCTGCGCCCAACAGGTCCGGAAGGTAAAGCCCCGGGGAAACACTTCTTTTAAGCAGTTCCGAACGCATTGAGGTTGGATGTAGAATTTCCTTATGTAGGCATGATAAAAGGCGTTGTAGGGACCATTTTCATGCTTTACGCCAGCCTTTAGGGGAGATGGAAAGAGATAATAAAACTAAGCCTGTAGCTTCTGCGTGGTAATAACAAAAATGCCGTGTATTTCATGTTTTCGCCAAGGCGCCAATGGTTAATACTTATTATTTCCGTAGCACGTCAGAAATAGAAAATTACAAGTCTGCAAGTTTGAGTAGGCATAAATAATTTCAAGACTTTGATAATACTGATTATTTAAATTCAAGTTCATTTTTAATTTTCCTGTTCATCTGAAAGAGTCGACGTCATTCGGTAGACAAACAGTCGCGTCAGGGCGCGTCTTCACTCTTGGAGTCCTAACAACTACCCAAATTCTCATTTAGCTGTCATCCAACATTTTTCAGTCCCCTGGATTTTCAACTTTGCTCAATCATGCCTCCTAAGCGTAAGTCCACCGAGCCGGCTATTAAAGCACCTCAAAATCCTAAAAAGGCAAAGCCTGCTGCCAGTCGGTGGTCTAAAGTCTCGGCATCGAAAAACGCCGATGTTTCCTTGAAAGAGGAGCTCTTGAAGCCCAAATCATGGGAATACATCTGCTTCTGCGAGAAGCGCTTGGGAATTCAACAAGGCCAGGATACTGACGGCGAGGAGGATGAAGATGAGGAGGAGGATGAAGATGAGGATGATAAGGTGAGCCACATTGTCAGAGTTTACCATCAATCCACTAATTTGTGCTGCTAATTTTTTTGTTAAAGTGTGGTGAGAACTGCGTCTGCTTCAAGGACCACAACGACCACCCGGAACACAAAGTCTTCGTGACCAAAGCCGCCTTTTGTATTTCGACCAACATGGCCAACCTCATTCGTCTCAGAGATCCCGATTGTTTCGGCATGTATGTGTACAACGATTTCGCATCGTACGGTGCATTTGAGGTGGTGCAGAATACGCTACTGGATTTTGTGGAGGCCGATGGCGATTGGAAGAGACAATGGGCTATTTGCGAGGCATTCGTCCTATGCTTCCAGCTGGGTTATATCGATGTTATGTATATGTAGGGATCTCTTGGATTAATCATACAAAGTGGCCATGACTCTAACTTGACGCAGGTCTGATGACGGTGAAGGATTTCAGAAGACGATCAACATGCTTCAAACCATGTTCCTCTCAATTCTGGCTACACTCGATCGCAAAAATCTGATGTCTAATGACTCGGAGGTCAAGAATCTTGGCTTGATCATGGCGATGCAAATTCACCAATCACAAAACGGTGAATCAACAATGAGTCAAGGCGATGAAGCTGACGAATTCTCGGCTAAGGTCCATGCATATGCGATCAAGCACAAGATTTTACTGCAAGGAGCGCCAAAAATCGAGAATTATGTTGCCGAATTGAAGGAAATGGACGAGGTTTCTCTCCCTGCCTCTGACAGCAACAACAACGACCCTTGGGACTTCAACAAGAATTTTGAGACTTACCAAAAGCACTTCGCCCAGTTCGGTGGAGATAACTTCGATATCACCACCATGTCTTCCACTGAACGTAGAAGCCACGCCTTCGATAAGAAGGACCCTTTGTCCAAGGCGGAGATCAAGATGATTAAGGATGGTACGATCATGGCGTCCGGCTAGGTTGATTGCTATTTTCAAGCCGGGTGATTCCTGGATTTCGGATTCTGCATTCTTTTCTCTATGTTAATTTGATATCTAAAGTCAACTACCACATTTGATTATCTGTTCAATTGTAAGACTTAACATGGATAGGTGAATATATCTAGGTGAGTGAAGATATAATTTGCACAACAAAGTATAAACAATTCTCGGCGACCCAAAATAGTTTAGTGGTAGATGAATCTTGAAAATGCATCACACTCAACCTCATCCTTTTCAGCAACATATAATGCAACACGGGGTTTCTTGCTTAAGACATAGAAAGCAGCCCACGACTCAATACGGAAATCCCAAGCAATATAGCTTCTAGCTCGAGAATCTTGAGAAGCAATACGCCGATCGAATGAATCATATGTACACCGTAGTGAGCTGGATGTCTAAAGCCGAGCAAGAATGGCTTCTTCGGCCTGAGACGCCTTCTTCCAGACATCCAGTATCTAATTGATTCTGAGTCAATATTTTTCCCGGCTATAAAAAGTGAAATGCTTACATCGTAGTCGTAAAGCCAATTGGTCTCCTTGTTCCATTTGTTTGCGACCGTGATAGACACAGCATCGTCAAATGAGGCATCCTCTCTGATAGTGGCGTCAGATTTGGCGAATTCATCTAGTATGCCATACTAGCATTCAATTGTAAGCAGAAATTTTCACGAATTATCATTCCGATCGACTTACCAAATTCTCATAATGTGGCGAACGAATTCTATCAAAAAGGTCCAAACCATCACGCAGAGGAGTGCCTTTTTCATATGTCCATTTAACAGCCTGGGCAAGTACAAAAACGTCCTCTAGAGCAAACCCAGCTCCAGCACCTAAAATCCAGTCAGAAAAACTCAGTGTGCTGCAAAAAAACTTTTCTGTATCGTACCGAATGCACCAGATAATGCTTCAAAATAGTTAGAAACGAGAATTTCAGTCTGCTGGAAACAGAAACTTACGATGCGATGCGTCGCCTACCAATGCAATAGATCCAAGCGAAGTCACACTAGAGAGTCGAGGTCCTGCAAACAAAGCAAATCTCGTAACCGTCTTGACTTCATCCAAGACTGCTTGAACGATAGGTGCAAATTCCTGATAGCTTAGTCTTTATCCCAGATATGAAGCAATGGAGTATTATGTACCTTGTATGGCTTCCTGAACTCTTCCAATGCGGCCTCTTCACCCCAGCTCACCTTGGAAATTTCTCCTGGTACCGCTGCCATTGTAGTTACCTCGTAAATATTGTTGTTTAGATTGCAGGTATACACCCAATCTTGAGGACCATGCCAAAATGTCACAGCATCAGGAAAGTTGGGAATTCTCAGGAGCTTGTCTGCATCTACTAGAGCTCGGTATGCTGTCCGGCCTGTGTAACCGATGCGATGATCGGGAAAAGAAAATCCCCGGACGACCTTAACCGAAGTGTGAGCCAAAGAGTTTCCATCGTAGTCAGGGAAAGAGAATTTGACATACTGATCGAACTCCATCTGCGCCCACAAGCAAGTCAACTTCATCAGTATGGCCATTCTCAAATTTCAAGACTAGGGCTCCGCTATTCTTTTTGATTATCTCAACAAGACGACTTGAGAGATTCAGCAATCTTTTGTCCACACTATCCAACAGCCCTCGCTGGAGGACAGATCGCAGAGCGCGTGCATGCTTGTGTCGCTGAGGTGTATCTGGCCAGCCAATCAGTATCTCCTCAACATTGGCTACTTCGTAAGGCCCTACCTCCTTGTCCATGTGACTGAAGAAGCTGACCCGTTCTGCCATTTCTATGCTGAACAGAATGCCCATCTGCCGCTCGGAAGAAGTTGCTTGGATCAATGTTATCTAGCACGCCAAGTGCGTCCAATAGCCGCCATGTATTTCGCTGTAAGCTAATACCAGTACCAACTTCACGAAGTTCGCTAGCTTGCTCATAGATTCTTAGATCGACGAAGGGAAGCTTTGAAAACTCAATGGCAGCACCGAGTCCTGCCGGTCCAGCTCCGATGATTGCTACCCGAAGCCTTGGGGGGTTAGGGTTTACCATGACAGACGACTAAATGCTAAAGGAAATGTAAATTGCTATTTCCGAATATACGTCAAGTAATCTTAATGAAATGGCACACAATATATAATTCAACGTTTGATCCTGGACTATTAGCTGCTTCCTGGATAATATTTTACCCCGCAGACAGCTATAACCGTCGATGGCGTAATTGAAGTATGTATCTGTACGAAGCATATCGACCGGATCATGTTCCCGTGTCCAGCGAATCAGAATGCATGAAATTAGCTGGGATACAAGTCCGTCCAAATCCTGGAGGTGTAGAGACAGTAGCTGAATTGCGGGTAAATAGTGCGATTGACGTGATCTTAACATTGTTCCAGGATTCACTTTCAACTCAATTACTAATGAATCTGAACTAGTCAACAAACTCTTCGTTGATTTAAAATTTCGCAATAATTCTTCATTTAGCTCCGCAATGCCGTTATTCAGACCCAGATGCATTCCTGGAGACTGAGAAATCGGCGAAACATCCGCATATAGTAACGTGGTTCCGGCCAGTCGGTTAGCCCTATCGAAAATTTATATCTCCAGAGCAACCCATTGTTTTCAATCAATTACCATGCCCCCGCCCCCACCAAAAAAAGAAAAAAGTTCTATAGAGCTCAGAAATCGATTAAGCATGAGGGAGAGCTTCTAGTTATGACTAAAAATCTTGAAATGAAAGTTTTTCTAGCATCTCGGCCGCTGCAAGGTCTTATGATATATCGCGCACTACCTTATCAGTTCGATTAAAGGGCCACGAGAGTCAGCACAATAAGCGCCTATCAGGTCATTTATTTAATCGGAATGGATAGATAAACGATTATTTAGTCTTCAATAGCTAAAGAACACCTTATCTCACTCTCAGGGGCCCTCAAAGTGGCTATAGACGCTTCTGGTATTATATATGCATAGGATCCATCTTATACCTGAAATTAATCAAATCTGCGGAGACTATCATACTATGCCTATCTATGTGTCTCCGTGTATTTCCTACTTTCCATAGCCTCTAGATATTAGGTTCTTTATACTTCTAAGGAGGGTATATAGGAATAAGGTCTTATAATACATATAATACAGTATCAACTCGATCGAAAAGGATGGCTATCTTAAAGCCACTAAAGTGCCTCTAAACATAAATGAAAAGCTAGAGATGTGCGTTATTTGATATTGACTGGGCCTTGCACAGCACTGGAGATTTAGCCTTTTGCCCTTCCTTTTAGTAGAGTTTACTACCTACAGACTGTGTTTGAGTAGAATATAAGAATACATCTATTAGACGAACCTTGGAATCTTGTCAGCCCTTGCCCAAGTGAAACTTTTCCTTTGACAGGGGATTTATATAAAATTCGAATTCAATCCCCACCTCTTCTAAGGTTGATTAGGAGTTATCGCCTGCCGGGTTTACCCCCTGTCTGAAGTCATCTTCCCCCGCGATGGTGTCACCTCCCCATCAATTTCTGAAGCTTGATTATGTTGTCGCCATCTAAGCCATGCTACTTTGAGATGGTGTGCCATCGGCATTTTCAGGCGCAGCCAATCACCGGTCTACGTCTACCAGTTTCGCTTCAAGACTTTTCTGAATCCACAGCATCCACTTATGCTTATTGGCTGTCTTTTCAGGTATGCTAAAGCCCTTGATATGTATATATGGGGAAGGATTTTGATTTAAATATAAGGATTACCGGATTGATAGCCATCAAATCTATTGTTTCTTCATCCGTAACCTGCAGAGATGAGTTTTAATAAATTGCAGGCAGTTAGACTGCATCCATGGTATGCTTTTCCAGATCCTGCTCTTTCATTTGATATTGGACTGCTCTAATTATGATACAAAATTCAGGTATAGTGTGGCCATTGTGGCCTGGACGGCCTTTTGTCATCCAGGAATGTTTGGGGCTTTGAATGTAGGCTTTACCTCAGTATATGCATTGAGTTGATGGATATTCACTAACACTTGCTGACAGGGACTTGGGGTTTGTTTCATCTCTCTTCTGGTTAATAGTCAGTTTTGCTGATCTCAAGAATGAAAAAAGGCTGCGGGAGAAGAAACAGCATCTCTTTCGAATGTTGTCAATGCCGTGACATTCGGCGCTCTAACAGTTGGTGGATTCTTCACCGGTATTATCTGCAACAAGATTGGCCCTCGGTGGACACTTGCCCTTGGAACATTGGGATATGCCCCTTATGCAGGTCAGTCATTGCACCAGAGGTGCTGCCCACCATTTACAAAGGGTTTTCAGGCGCTAAATTGCTGCAGCGGCTCTCTATACAAATGCAGCCTTTGGTAATAAGTGAGTCTCTATAGCTTGCTAGATGCAAACTTTGAATTTCGCAGCTTACGTATATTATTAGATGGTTTCCCATCCTAGGGGGCTTGACTTGTGGTTCTAGTGGTGTCTTTCTATGGACAGCATCTGGGGCCATCAATCTCGTTTGTGCGTTGTCTACTCTTGGTCATCATAGTACTTTTTTTATTAACAAGCTCTTTCAGATCCTGCTGTCCAGCAACGTGGACGAGCAGTTGCCACAAAATTTACTCTTCAAAATTTAGCGTCATCTGTGGGAGGAATGATATCGCTCGGGCTCAATATTAAACAAGCAAAAGCAGGCAGAGTTTCAGACGGTAAGATAAGCAGATTGAAAGATAAATTTCGAAAGATATTTACTGAGATTCTGCAGCCACATACTATGTGTTTATTACAATCATGACCCTTGGACTTCCTGCGGCCATAACAATTCCTCAGCCCCATCAAGTCATTCGAGGCGATGGATCACGCGTGAGCGCTCATCGTTTCAAATCGTGGAAAGATGAGCTTGCTGGACTGCGCCAGATATTGAAATCGAAGACCTTCCTCATTTTCTGCCCATTTTTGATTTATTGGGTTCGTGACTGAAGCTTCTGTTCCTTATCCTTTTATTCGGACGTACTGACTCTCATTAGCAATGGGATCTCTCTTATATGTGGAGTTGGAATGCTCAATATCACAGTGTCCGCGCCCGTGCTCTTCTCAGCACTCTATTCTACCTGAGTAAGTTTAATGAGCCAAGTCTGAGTGATTTAGTTACTGACTTTAGAATCTCAAGTCGGGCCAACCTTTATCGGCCCTGTCCAAGGCTATCTTCTGGACAGTACTAAATGGAGCCGTCAATCGCGTGCCCGAGTGGCTGTTGTCAGTTTCACAATTATAACACTCATGACATGTGAGCATAATCCCATTTCTGAGGTTTTTCTCATGATTATTTTTGGCTTATCTCGAAATCTAGGGATTTATGGGCTTGTAGTACAGTATCAGTATAATGGAAGGACTGAAATCATTGACATTGAAGACCCAGTCTTCATAAAGTCATGCCTTCTCTTCATTCTGTACGGCTTGATTGAAAACTCTGCAATGGTCACTGGGTACTGGATTATTGGTAAGGAAAGGTTCCTCAAATGCAACCAATTGCTCACATGATCTAATTTATCGATTCAGGATCACTTGGTCTCGATGCAGGCAGTGTTTCCACATTTGTTGGGCTCGCGTAAGTCAAATATAAATCGGCATTAGTCAAAGTCAAAACAATTATCTGACCTGTTACTCAGAAATGCCATTGGATCCGCAGGATCTACCGCCGCATTCATTATTGGAGCTTGCAACGTCTCACTGATCTGGCAGTTATGGGCCAACGTCATTGCTTTCCTCGTCAGCGTTCCTGGATTGTTATACACGGGATTTGCCCTGATTCCTGAAGATGCGATCATTGACGCAGCGACAACGCAAGTTGACTGGATTGATAACGCAGATCCGAATGATGCTTTCAATACCTCTGAGAAGAAGCAATCTCATTCATTCAGAGAATCCTCGGCTGGAGAAAGTTTCTAGATATCAGCTTATCAGCTTTATATCAATTGAAATCGAAGGACTTCAGAAATTGGATTGAGGGCTCTCCTCTAGTTATAGAAGGAATACACGAGGCTACTAGATAGACATCATTTTGAATTTGAATTTTCTCTCTGAATTTTTAGCCTCAAGGGCTACCTACAGGTTATTCATGTCGGACTTTTCTGAGCTGACCAAACCAATAGTGTTGACAAACGCTCCTTGGAAAATAACGAGGGATCAATCCAGGTTTCCACAGTAGAGCATAAATCGCCAACAGCATTTGCATTTTGATCTAGGTAGGCAGGGTAATAGTCAATTAGCCGGCACTAGTCAATAGATAGACAGATCACACAGCCTGATAAGTCTCACATTCCAAGGTTAGTACCAGTTAGCCAGCCAAACACCCGTTATCGGTGTCCAAACCATCTACAGCCATGCTGTTGATATGTATGGACGTATACTTTTATAAAGAATCCAACTTCGTAAATTTCCACTTTCTTGCGAGAAAATCCACTCCAAAGCACTCCAAAACACTTCTAAAAGAACAAATCTTCATTCCTAATACATGTTTATCTTCCTTACCATACGAGAATCATAGTTCCCCCACCGTCTAACAGGAATAAAAGGTTTGATGGAATCGAAATCGCAACTTATCCCTTTAGAGCAGAAGCAAATTAGCGGCAGGCCATGTATGAACATTTTCAGAACGATGGAAAGGGCCCCAGCATAACCTATAAACACAACTACCTCAGAGTATGGGTAACAAGCGCCATTATCTACATCCATGGGTACAACGAAGGAAACGCCAGATTCGATAGACCATCTTCCCCGATATATGAAAAGATCCAAGCTACCACCTTATAAAAAAGCACACAAGAAAGCTGTCGGTTGACTAGGTTATTACCGAAGCAGACAGCTATTGATATCGTTTCTGTACGTATATAATAGGTGTATGCATATTGGGTAAAAGTGAAGTCTCATTCTAAAATGCTCAGATGAAGGAAGATATAGTAGCTGCCATGCCAAGATCACATGATCTTGGTATGTCAGCTGATATTCGTTCCAACACTGGGCAAACTTAAAGAAGGGATGAAAAACGCGGTCAGAGCACAAAAGTCAAGAAAGAAACATAAACTCGTACAGCAGTCACAAAATCCAGTCTTCTGCTTTTGAAAACAAAGTCTCTCTGTCCCGCTCAGTCAGAACGTTCAACCCAACCGATAGCTTGTAAATTAATGTGGTTGGTGTCAATCAATTGCTTTAACGCGTCGCAGGGTTTGTCCTTGGTCATCGCGTCTGCAGGATTCGAGTTCCCATCGATCCATTTGATCTCAGTGATCTGGCGACGTTTGTATGCTTGTCTAAGGCACATCACGTCGATCATCAGTCGTTTCTCTTGTGTGGAGTTCAGTCTCACAAGACAGTCATATAGCGACTTTGAGTCAGTGCAGAGAACTATTGGGACATTGGCCTGTAGCATTTGGTCTAGAGTCGACTTTATTGCGAAAGCGATGTCTGAGCCATGAGCCATAGCGTATAGCTCTGATGCTAGGACGCTGCGGGTGACTCGTTTGCATTTGGTCGAGCTCCAGTGGATGGTATTGGCGTTTACCGTGGTGTCATTGTCTTTTGGAGCGTCTCTCTTATCGGCTAGCGCGATGACATAGCCGATCTGGGATGAGAGGTCTTTATTGTTCGCAAATGATGCGTCTGTGAAGACCACTAGCTGCAGGGAGTCTAAGTCTAGGTTGATAAAGCTAAGTCCTCTGGCGGAATTCTCTTTTTGCCAATGTAGTCGTTTGTTCAATAACCTATAATCGTCTTTACTTAAGTCGGTCGCTTGAGCAGCGAATGCCAAGTCGAAAGCAGCTTTAGGTTGACATACTAAAGCTATATAGGCGCCTCTCGCGCGTTCGGCAATATATTCATCTTTGGTGTTGGTAAGGGAGATCTTATCGCATTGGCCCTTCTGCTCAAGGGTGATGCTTCCATCTGTTACCAATTCGATGACTCCACCATTAAATTTCAGTGGATTTTCAATGGTTAGTTGCTCGCGCTCTTTTGCCGCGAAGTTTGCCTTTTATAGCTCCTGTTTTTCTGCTTCTGCAAATTCGTTATCTGCAAGGATAAGAGTATCATCTGTTTGAAGTCCGACGATACCGAATCCTTTCGAATCTGTTGTATGTAGAAGGCATAGGTCAAATGTCGACTGGTTCATTTTCAGGTTTATCAAATGGTGGGAGTGATATGTCCTGAACCAGTGGTTTCCTGCTTCGGGGATGCCATAGAGTGGCTTGATGACCTTCAGAAGTGTGTTTTTCCCGAGGTGGCCTATCAGTTCCTTCGGCGGGCGTGCGTAAAATTCACGGTTTAGTATGGTCTTTGACTAGACGTACGCCTAGGAGATATCGCGGAGGAATAGCTTGGATTCAGCGGCAATGCCTTGGCGACTTGCAGCGATGCAAAGGATTAGTCTCTGACTGATATGTTGAATCGTTGGCGATTAAGTCAAAACCAGGTCTTTCTCTTGGTCGTTATATGCTTAAATGACCAGTCTTGATTTTTCGAAAGCCCGCTCTGTGCCTTTATTCTTGATATCGTCAACGAATCTTGAATTAAATAGTCGCACACCGGGTGGGGCTTCTGTGATAAGCTTAAAGACTCCCTTTTCAAGTAACCTATTGATTTCTTTTTGTCTTGAATCTCGGAACTGAGTATTGGTGCTGCTCTCCTCTTGCAAAAAGATAGTTATGGGCGGAAAGTGTTTACGCGGGCGACCTGGGCCACGTTTTTGCGCTTCTTTAGGGACAGGGGTAGTTACAGGTATCGGGTGCTTGTGTGGACGGCCTGGGCCACGCTTCTGTGGCTGCGTGGGCTGCGAGGGAGTAGGGGCAAGTTCTTGTTCTTGATTATCTACCCGTGTTCGGCCAGAGCGTCTAGGTTCTGGCTGTGATCCAGCGTGTTCAGAGAGGGTTTCAGTTTTGGCTTCTGGTGCTATTAGGTCGATTTCGTCTATTCCCTGTGGTTCTGGGTTTAGAGTCGGCGATTCTGTGTAAAATGGTTTGACCACTATCGATCGAAATGCTGTTGGTCCACTTGGCAGTTTGACTATGTAGTTTTCGTCTTCAATCGATAGCAGTATATATGGCCTAGTCCAATTGCCTGTTTTTCCTATGTTTCCTTCTCTCCAGACAAGAACTGGTGAATTCAGTGGCAAATCATGGATTACGGTCGTGTTTGGGCCGTTTCTCATGTTTAATGCATCGGAAATCTGGCGTTCTGCTCGGAGCTTCTGTATCTCCGTCATTGCTTTTCTGATTGCCGTGGCGCGCTGTGTGATTGACGGTGAAGGCGGATCAAAGTCGATTATTCGGGGGTATGCGCCGAAGATAAGCAGTGTGGGAACTAAACCTCCTGGTCTAGCTGTGTCGTTTATTGCTTTAAAAGCCATTTGGAGGGCAATTTCTCGATCGATTCCAGGGATTTCAGCAATGATAATCTAATAGGCGCGGCGTAGGGGGCCGTGGTACTGTTCAACCATGCCAATTGAGTTGTGCGCCTTAATAGGCACACTTCTTATGTTTGTGCCCATAGCTTTTGCATAAGTCTTGAATTCCTTGCTGATGAAGTTCTTTCCGGCGTCGTGGGTGATCTAGTCTAGAGGGCCTAAATAGGTGTCGATCCAGCATGATCGTAGTTTATCCCAGGTGTTTTTGGCGCTAATGTCGTCTAGCCATCGGCCTGATTGAAAGCGGGTTGCTTCGTCAACGACGTGTAGGAGGGGCTGGTTGGCAATATACATGATGTCGACGATGATATTATAGTTGAATCTGATGTCCTCTGGGTCTTTAAGAGTGAACCTGAATCGGCCTGGAGATTTCCCAAACTTCTGGCAGAATTCGCAAAATTTGGTGAGATGCTCTAAGGCTGCTGTATTAGGTTCATATCCAGCGTTTTGAAGTAGCTTTTTGAGCCGATTAACTGATGGGTGGCCAAAGCGACGGTGTAGTCGTCTAAGCTTAGTATCGGTCAGGAAGCAAGGGTTTATGCTGAACGATGTGCTTAGGTATAAGGAGAGGGGTCCGTCCTATAGTATGAAGGGGTGTCTAAATCGGCGAATGATAGGTATTTCATTTTGTTTGCCTGGTTTTGAAGTGATGACTACGTTCCTGAGGTTGTTGTAGTATACTCCAAGGTTGTCCATGTCCGCTAGGCATAACAGGAATGGGGTGTCTGCATTGACGATATGGAATTGAATGTTACTAATGGGAGTAGGGATTTTCGCTGATCCGATTGAAGAAGTTGTTCCAATTCCGAATTGGACGTTAACTTCGCCAGCTGTGGAGGGATCCAATTTGATGTTCTCAATCCTCTAAAGCGCTTAGAACTGACCAACTCCAGCTGTAGATTTTCTTGAGGCGCCGGTATCGATCATGATTCCCATAAATGTTTGGGAATTATATCGGCTGGTGGGCGTGGTGGTGTAGCTGAATAGGTCAATGTCTTGTGGCGGAGTGTCTCCTTGTATAGGCGATGGTTTCTCTGACAACCAGTGTAAAAATGCTTTATTAGAGAGCTCTGAGCTTATTTCCGTACCTTATTCAGCATTAATTTGGCCAAATGAAGTGAAGAAGCTGTCGATTGGATCATATTCGTCTTCATTAGAGTCTGTTTCGTTGGTCTAGAGGCTAATTGTTTGAGCGTCAGCCAAGAGAGCTTCGAAAGCTTCAACTTGTTCGGTTTCGTCATTTCCTTCGCAATAGAGCATGTATTGCCTATATCTCTTGTTGAAATCGCCGTTTCTCTCCTTATTCTGGTTGAATCCTTGGAGGAAATTTTGTTTTGATTGCTTTTGTTCTTCTTCAGTGTGTCTCCAGGATCGACATGTTGGTTTTTAGCAGACATAGCATTTTCCCTATAGGTTTCTTTTGGTCTGATTCCTGGTGAGTCCTCTTCCTTGATTGCCGTCTCTATAGTTGTCGGAACATGGATATTGCAATCATGCAATACCATAAACCCGGAACGGAACAAACAGACCCCCGAGTCACGGGGGAACAACTATATTAGGAACTCAAGTAGCTACATGAATCGAACACATTTCACACCACTTTGCACAACGTATATACTAAGAATCTAGGACGAACCATACCCTTTTCCCGTGTATATAGTGCAACGTGTGAACCCTGTCCTTTCAACGTAGTTGATCGACAATAGTATCGTCTATCGGTGTAGAATGTTTCTTCTGAGGCGAATGCTGCTTGCCTCTCGGGGTTTTCTTTCTCCCAGGTGGTGATTGATGACTATAGTTTATTGATCAACACCGCGAGGTCTTCTGGTGGATCAGAAAGTGCGTTACTACACGCTGGGACTCCTCTGCAGGCTGTGATAAGCTTATTGATAAGGTTCATGTTGCTCCTGAGTTCTAGGTGAAGACCATGTCGCTTTTTGAGGAGGTCACTAAGCATGGATTGGAAATTCTGATAGATTGAGTTTGGGCTGTTAGAGTTGTCGTTTATCACTCTTTGTAGTGTGATGTCGTTCTATTTGATCAAGTTTTGGCGGTAGAATTCGGGACCTTCGAAGAATTGGCGTAGGTGGTTACACGCTTCTTGGAATGTTCGCGAAGGTAAATCACTGCTATAGTAATGATCTTCAGCGATTCCGGTGAGCATCGTTGGAAATGCTGCGTTGTAACCGTCCGGTGTTATCCCAACTCTTTTACAGATGGTGTAGAAGATATTGAGTTTCCAGTCGAAGCTGCTGTTGTCCGTTCCACTGTATTTCTGTTTCTCAGTGTAGATCTTTGAGATAGAATTAATCTCTTTTGAAAAGTCGAACTTTGGCTGTTTGGTTTCGAAAATGAACGGGCTATTTTCTGGGGAAAACTGATTAGGAACGCCCAGGGTGTTCTTTGGCAAGGATTTGTCGTTTTCTGGGTCAGAATAATTGCTTCTGGGGGCAGAGGCATTGATTTTTGGTGTGATCGGATAGTCTCCTCGAGATAAATTGTAATCTTGGGAAGGTTGTTTTAATCCATCGTAGGTCAAATTGAGGCGTTTTCTGAGCTTCGAAGTGACCATTGGGAGGGAAAATTCTTCAAAAAAGTCTTCAATATCTCTATCTGTCCATTCGTGAAACTCTTCTTGCCGAGCTACTATAGATAGTAGAGTGTATATTGGCGTTTTACGATCAGGGCGGGGGACGAATACTCCATACTGAAGGAGATTCGCCCGTAATGCTGATCGTCTCGAAGGGGAAATTTGTTTGAAATGTTCAGGTTCCCAGTTTTCGAATAATTCGCAGTATACAATCCAGAGGTTGTAATCCAGTATCTTGTTGTTGAGGGTCATGTTTTTCTCCACATAATCGTTCATCTCCTACTTTGTGGCCGTTGACAGATTGATTTCCCAGTCACCATCATCGATTGACTGGGTTGATCCGGCGGCGGAGGGTGGTTCAGACATGATTCAGTACAAACGTGGGTAGCGAATCGCAGTAGGGTGATAAAATAGTTAAAAATTCATTAAATGATGAAATTGATGGGGAAATCGCAGAAGGATGACGACTAGTAGGGAATGGCAGTATGGAGAAAAGAAGCAGTCAGGGCTGTGGGGAAAATGATAGTGATGTGAGAGGTTTCCAGTGGGGTAGTTGTAGCGGTGTGTTCTGTAATACTGGACTAGTACAGTAGTCTGTGTTAGATCACTCACTAGGCTCCCGGTGGATGCTTTTGGGATAGCCTTGATCTCAGGGGTGTGGCAGAGGAAAAAGAGGGAAATTAGAGAGAAGTGATGGGAATATGACAATGAAGGGAATTGGGAAAATATGGTGTTTTTCAGTGTTTTGCACGTTCTTCATAGACCTTCGGGCTTCTATGAAGTGGATATTAGCAAGATGGTGCAATTATCGGCGATCGTTCAAGCCTCAAATTGTCACGATCTTCTCCTTCGACTGAGATATGGCAAGAACTTAGCGAATCTGGAAAAACAGCTTTTGAAGACTGTTCAACACGCTCGAGCTTCGTAGATGCGTATTTCCTGATCTGTACGTCTACTGATCAGTGTCGGTTGACTAGGTTATTACCGAAGCAGACAGCTATTGATATCGTTTCTGTACGTATATAATAGGTGTATGCATATTGGGTAAAAGTGAAGTCTCATTCTAAAATGCTCAGATGAAGGAAGATATAGTAGCTGCCATGCCAAGATCACATGATCTTGGTATGTCAGCTGATATTCGTTCCAACAAAAGCATTCCCAATTGTATCAGAGGATCCAGCTCAGGAATATTGCCATGGTAGCAAGCTCCTTCCTTCGATCTACTCTTTTCGCATAAAAAACAGGGAGATTCAGAAATTCTATGATCGGATGATTCGAACAGTTTATCATATTATTTTTCTGTATGATTGATATAGTCATTTAGAAGCGAACAAAAAACAGACCAAAAAAGGACAGCGAATAAGAAGCAGCCGACCTATAAACGTTGGTGGAAGGAAGCCTAGAAAGTTTAAAAGATATTCATGAAGTGGTTCCAAGGTTGAAGAGAATAATGGTAAAGAAACATTTATATATTGATACGGGGAACATGGACGTCCTGGCCAGTCTGCGAACCTAGCTAAATCATGGAGTATGGTAGATGCAGTCAGAGTCCGTCCTCTAGGGGCTATGTGGGAGAAAGGAAGGAGAACCAAGAGGTAGCTCAAGAAGGTAAAGGTAGTCTGATGGTGTAATCTCTCAACTGAATGTTTAAATACACAATCTCCACTAGTGTCAGGTGACCTGGTCCCCCACTACAATATATAATTTGACACAGAAGCTGGTGTGGAAGCTATGGTTGAGCCTTTGCTCACAAGTTTACCTATTATTCAGTGTCAGATAACCTCTTCTAGATATGGTAAGAAAGATCATACATATGGTGCCAAATTTACTTTATTTTCTATTCTAAATAAACAGTTTGAAAAAAAAAAAAGTAAATTTTGAAATTTTAATGGGCCATGCAACCGGGAATCACGTTGCAGACAGGGCAGCTACAATTTACATCTTTTACTATTTGCATACTTCTACTATAGTAGACTGTCTGTCCGGTAATATTGTAACGAACACAAACTGGTAAAATTGAGATCAACTACTGTGCTCTACCCAGGTCAGTTTGTAACCCCAGAAGGCGGCAACTGCCATATGGAGTAAGTAACTGGGTAAGAAAAACATCGGGGACTACATGGAAATGCCTAGTATAGTTTAACATTATTAAGGTTGAAAAAGGCCTGCCTAGACCCTTATAATGTTGACGTGCATATTTGGCGACCAATAGGAGAGCATATAATGTATAGTAATGTATGGAAACAGAGTTCTTCGTTTCCACTAACTATTCAGAGCTAAATTAACAAGTACATTTAAACTATGGGAAAGTAAGCGAGAGTATCCACAGTATTTCTACGTAAGGTGGTGAGCCACGTATCTCCTCAGAGGTGGAACCCAGTGGTATCAATAGCCCGAACCCAGCCGCTGATAGTCAGGTCCAATAGGCTATCAGGGACGCTGTATAAATTGCCCGTGACATATAGGATGTTAGAGTCGTGCTTGGTTCTTCCGAACTGGCAGGAGGTCGGGCCAGGGAAAGTTAGATTGTTGCTGGTGCCCACACCGTCGACGACAACTGCGGTCCCGTTCTTTGTCGAGACGGCATAGATCGCATTGAGGCCGGTTGCCCAAAGAAGGTCACTGTTTCCAGGGCCAAAGGCAAAATCATCCCACAGCTGGCTTTCCACAACAGTGACAAGTTCGGGGACGATAGGCTTTACAGGGTGGCCATTTTTACCAATCTTCACCCGGTAAATACCTCCATTATCCTGGTTAACCCAGTACATCTCATCATGAAGAATTCGAATTCCATCAATACCGACATCCTCGCCATGAGCATAGGTAGTGTTCATCTCAGCAAAGTCGGTCATTACCAGATCGTATTCTCCGGTCAATGTGTCCAGGAGCCAGATCTGTCCGGGGCTAGGTGTCCAGTCAATTTGCTGGTACCGGGGGCGCTGGACATATTGATCGGAGATAAGAACGGAGGTCTTCTTCCACGGCAGGGCTGCAACACCTTGAAGCAATGCGGCTTCAGGCAACCAGGCAACTAGGCGAGCAGCAGGCGGGTTCACGTTGAAGTCGATCTCCATGGCTGCAAATGTCCGTTCAACTTGGCTGGAGTACGACTCGGGCGAATAGAAACGTGAGCCGACGACGATGTACTTGTCAGGAGTGGTCTCTCCGATACCAATGAGACGGTCTACCCATTGGTCGAAGTTGTAGACAAGCTCCACTTCAGGCGAGTCGGTCCATGGCTTTTTGACATGCCAAATGGTGCCATTTGGAGTAGATGTTGTGAGCAAAAGATTCCCATTGGGTCGAACGGCAATGTTCTCGACCCAGGTTCCATTTGGCCAGTGATGCAGTAGTCGTTCTGGGAGAGGAACAGATCCAGTCGCCTTGGAAGTGCGCGGGACAATTGACGATAGAGCTGGCGATGCAGCAGCCACCAAGCCGAGGAAGGTGGTTAGGATGAAACGCATGATAGGCTTGATTCCAATAGAAAGCTTTAGACAGACAAGACTAATCTTCTTAACTCACAAAACCATCCTTGAACGTACCTTATCATGCATTAAATCATTGAAGAACATGTCCCCCTGAATTCCATTTTTGGCAAAAGAAAATAACATGGCAAATAAAAAATTGAACGCAAATAAGCAAAAATCCATACAAAGGGGAGGCCTCCAGATGTAATTACTACCCGACCCTACAGGATAATTAAGAAACTCTCCGCGGAAGAAATTCTTCGAGTCAGATTATGAAAAAGTACCCGCGCCTCTCAGCTTATTTCTTGTTTTCTGGACATCTAGTAGGTAAAGCTGGAAGTGAAAATATTCCTAAGTGTAAACACAGGAGACTGTGCATCCTATTGGGTGTTAGACATCTACTCAATGGACATAGAGAGTAACTCCGTTCCTATACCCTAACTCAAGGTCGACATCGTCTCGCTTTAAGACGTGAGTCCTCGGACATGTTCACAAAGTAAATATTCAATTGCCTCGTATAATACTAAGATCATATCTCGAAACTGTTTTCATCTTGTCATCCTACAACAGCTACCAATATGACTACCAACATGACGACCAAGCAGATGTGGGAAACCATAAAAGCGTACTTTGGGGATGGCTACGTCGCCGGGTCTTCTCCAATCCGCTACAACATGCACATCTGCGACTTTGAGCGTTCATCTACAAAGGATAATCTCTTTGAAACTGGCAGAAACGGCAGCTTCAGGTATGGAGTAGAGATCAGTGAATCTGCGATGCCTTTGTATTCTGTCTGTAGGAGATCTGCCTTACATCCACGAAAAAGAATATATGATTAACTTTTAACAGTGGGGGATACGTCCCCTCCACCTTGTACATGCTTCGAGATGGCAGCTGTCGTTCGGCGTATTGATGAGTATCTCGAGACTGCACCGGATGTCCACCCGGATGATTACACAATCATGAGCGGTAAAAACGACACCGACAGAGATGAGGTCAGTCTGTACATCATGCGCGACGTTCTCAGCTGGTGGGTTCACTGGGGTGGAGCACTGCGACCAGAGGACTACTGGAAGCAGATTTATGTCGCCTTCGCTGCCATTCCCGATGATTTCCAGATTCCCCCTGCAGCCTTTTTGGACGGAACCTACCGCTTCCTTGGCCACACTTGGGAAGACTGCCGCCAAGGCCTACTCGGCGAGGGTATGCTCCCGACTGAAGTCGAGTTTGTCGAGATGTGTCTTTGGCGACAGATACTCACGCAGTACTTTGAGAAAGTAGACCCGGAAGTGTACCGATTGCTGAGATCGAAGACTACAATCATGACCCAGTACCGAGTGCTTACCGGAAATACACTTGGGTGTGCGGCTCTGATCCTGGCGACTGAAGGCCTCGTATCGGGAGGGGTCGAGGACAATGCACTCGAGATTGCCTCTATTGCTCAGTGCTTGAGCATGGACATGGCCAAAGAGGCGCTGGGTATCCTGCAGGGTGAGAAGACGGAGACGGTGGCGGGAAATCGTACACAGCTCAAAGCAGAACTGCGCTGGATCTACGTTCGATGCATGAAGTATCTTGAGACTCAGCCCAATGCGCACTTGCTGCGGCGATTTGCTTCTGCTGGGCTCCACTATGTTCCTATGATGGACCGGTATCTTGAGCGCGTGCGTGGCAATGTCAGGTTCCCGATTCGAGCCTCCACAGCGCGCATTCTTGAGCCATTTATCAAACGAGCTTATGTTTCCGAGAAGCTGAACCCTGAGGGCCAACTCTTCGAGACGTCGAATAATGGGTTCAAACTGCCCACTATCTGTGCTTAGGATAAATTACTAGTTTTGGAGGCTAATAAATCACGTGAAGAATTTACTCCAGACCAATAGTTGTTCGGTCTAAGTACTTAGTTAAATAGGCTGTTCGTTTCTTGGTTATGGAAGAATTCATTCCGGTTTGATCATGAGGAAAACCTGGAAAGAATTATTGATTATTATCCAATATTGTTTCTGAGCTTTGAATGAATATTATTCCTTTTTGATACGAGTAATACATCTTCCAAGATTGCTTTGCTGCCTTTAAAAAACTCTATATTATCTGATCTCTTGGATTCAATGCTCATAGGTAGATCGTAACGACTGTATTCGCCCTGAATAAACGAAAGAGGAAAAAAAATAAACTTCCAAGGTTGATGAACATCCGAATACGAGATGACACTACATGCAGGACGGACCTCGGGGTTTAGCAAATATCGGAGAAAGGAAAACGGATGTGGCGGCTGAGTCAGCCCACCCCTGCTAGTTAACTAAGCCTCATCAATCATCTTTTAAGCCCCACCTCTTGTCTCATCTCATGGAAAAAAGTTGGTAAACCGCCATCTGTTAATCTTTTACAAGGCCAGATCTACCAATAGGGTATCAGTTTGCTGTTCTGGCTATTGACTTCATTTGATTCCCCGCTTTCCCTGAAAATTTCAAGTTTATGTGCGGAACATCCCGCATGGTACTAACTGTACTGGGACTAGTGCCTCGTGTTGACGAACTAGGACGTTCAAGCATATCACCTCAAAGATACTAAATTTGGGACCTAAAAACGAGGTTTGGGAAAACCTAGAAGAGATATGTGTTAGTAATTTTGTGGGTTCACCTACAGGCCGTGAGACCTGATTCACCGATTCATATGATATTAGTAGGAGGTACGAATGAACTACTGACAGTTAGAGGTCAGCATTTGAATCAATGGATAGCTAGAGAATTGGATTATCAATTTTATTAGGAATAAATGGTTCAAATTTCACCCCCTGTTTTTCTAGGACTTGATGCACAATAAGCTTTTAGCTGGCTTTACAGCGCTTCTAACGTTCGAAAACACGAATCACAGCCATATGATAACACATCTCAATTCAATGCCCTTACACGTCTGCAGTTTCAGCAAAACATGTGGCTTCTAATGGAAGCTTAATGTCTGAAGCAATATTTCAACCTCGTCTACATTTTCCACTTCTGAATGTTGCAGCGATATATCAACTAATAATGTGCTATTGATTCCGGTTATGCATTAGCGGCATGCAATATCTCTGAATTGGACCCTGAAATCTTTCAGAGCTGAGCCCTCCATACAGTGATCGACATTCTGGACTTTTTAAGCGACCATCGTAATTGATGGCATTTAAGCTAACGTGAGACAAGGCGTAATGGCATATAATGGCTAAAGAAGGCCGAACGCTCTCAGCATAGATAAAGGTTGCAGAGTAATCCCCCAGGCCTGAATAATAACTGAACTGAAGAAATATCTTCTCATACCAATCACTATGTCCACTGAGATACCCAGCCAATCTCCATCCAGAAACTACCAGCAAGGAACCGCAGCCGAATTTAGACCCAGATTAGTCGGACGAAACAAAAACAGATCGACTAGTCGAATTCTTTCTGCCTGTGATTCATGTCGTCAGACCAAAGTCCGCTGTACAGGGGGAAGTCCATGCTTGACATGTGAATGGGCACAAAAAGTATGCAATTACAGCCCTAGCAATAAGCTTGGTCGGCCGAAAGGCAGCAAAAACAGACGAACTCTGATGCATGAATCCATGAGTTTGAGCAAAGAAAGACATACAGTGACCCGGGATGATAGTGCTGATACTACTCAGCGAAGTGAAGATAGACAGCAGCCATTGCAATGTCAACCACTGCCCCAATCAGAGCTTAATCTGGTTGAGTTTGATATTGGCATGGATCGCGCATTCGACACTATGATGATATTTGAGGGATGCAATAGTCCTCCCGGGGAAGAAGATCGCGACCTCCTACTTGATTTTAGTGAAAGTGTCATCGAGTCCATGATTTCAGACAGCAACTCGAACTTGAGTCATGAGGCTTTTTTTTGTCAGGTATGATTAGCAACCCATTTAACGCAGACATGCTACTCAATCTACTGAACTGACACTCCTGCCTCGATTCCTATGTACAGAATTCTCAAGAGATTTTTGATGGGAAACTATCGGGAAGTGATTTGGGGCAAAGGAAGTCCCATATATTCTCATTAGATGGATCGGTGAAACCCGAGTCCTTTCCTTCTATGTATTTCTCATCACCCACATCAGAACCTTTTCCGAGACTACAAACCGGCTGTGGATGTATAAAGAAACTAGCTCGACTGCTGTGTGACCTGGAAGATTTACGCTTCTCTCCAGACCAAAGTCAAGAAAATCTATCTTGCATGCATACACCCGCTGGACCATCAGCGGACTTAGTTCTGCAAGGTCTGGAAACTGCCAAGATGACATGGCAATGTCTAATGCGATGCAGTGAGTTGATCCCTGCCGACGATGAAAATCACCGAGAGGCCATGCTCTTGTTTGCCATGAGCATTCGAATTCTGTTACTGGCAGTGCAGAAACTCAACAGCACCATTAACTCCCATCAAGCCGAGCTATGCTACGATGTTGCTATTTCTGTGGGTAGCTTTGAGCTGATGGGAGAGGCAAAAGCCGAGATCATTGGTGTTGTTGTTCGACGGGCACTGAACGCAATCACCATTGCACTGCAGCATGTCTGGGAAATCGCGGGTCAGCCGGTGATACAAGCTGCCAGCGAGTATGGGGGCAGCCCTGATATCCCTAGTCCGATGAGCATTCTTACCAGTCCATCTGCCAAGAATGATACTCATTCAAGACCACGTGCGTTCAGTGGAACGCCACCAATGAATGGGTTTGGGACTGAAGACGATAAGATCACGTCACTTCTTGCTACACTGCAAATCACAATGAAGGCATTGAGGAGATATCAGGGGTCGGGTACTAGGCCTGAGCGAAGACCATCCCTAATATAGTGGACCTCGGAAAATGGTGTTTCTGATTCGACTTTCCACATACATAGGTGGAAGGAAGATTATTGTCAATATCTTGATCTCTTATTTCAGTGAGCGATTTATCATAGTTAGAGAAGATATCCATGAATCTCGTACCTCGGGCCTCCAGGTGAGACCAATTTCGGTTTATTGGAAAACTTTTGGAGCTTAGACTTATTTCATACAAATGGATGGCGGAAATGATGCATGATTCACATCAGCAGCCAAATCACCTTTTCAATATCTGAGTCTCCGAAGACACATTATTAATTGTATTGGACTTAAGAATCCCCATGAAAATTCTCACCTTAATTACATGACTTACCTCCGATCTCCCGGCTCCGTGAAGATCTGCGGAAACGGCTACTAATTACATGCATTATCTCCGACCTCCGTGAAGATTACCCCGAGACCAGAAAACGGGGCCAAGGCGGGGATATTCGGGTATAAGTACATTCATATCCGCATTGTTTCGGCCGAAATCTGTGGGCCAGTTCCAGCCCCAGGGTAAACACCTGATCTATAATCACTTAATATCTAAAATGGCTCTTCTTATTGCTTATTTAGATATCTCAAGTGGATGTCAATTTATGCGACGTAACAGAGTCAATACGAGTGTTTCCACCTATATTTAGGATGGATCTAAAACCAGAAAGCCAGGCCGTGAGTCTATAATTACACATGCGGGGCTCAGTATCCATTCCAAAATATTCATCCTTGTTAGGATACATAGTTATTGTAACTAAATGAAGTTTGAGCGAGCTCGGGAACATACCCAGGTGGAAATTAACCTTAAAATGTGCTTCCAAGACAGAACTTAAGACCAATAGGGGAATGACCAGGTCATAACGTAAAATAGACTAGAATAGCTAATACAGATTGTATCTAGGTATGTGTTATTGTATATATTAAATATCTTAGTGGCAGCCTTACGAAAATCGATGGAAGGTTTATTGAGATGAAATATGGAAATCAAATGACTCAGCATTGATGTGCTAAAACATATCTGGTATCTGGTATCATCACAGGTGGTAGCTGTCCTCGTTATCTTCAAACTGAAGACTACCATGCCCGAGAGCTGAAAATCTTTGCTTGTACTCAGCCACAGCATGCTCTACCATGTTATCAGCATCAAAATGCCAAATTTTGTATGAACGGTCCCTGATTTCTTCAAAACAGGTCTCGGCCTTAGTCCGCCGCTTTGGGTCAGCCCATTCGGACTGGTGATATAGGTCACAGACTCGCCTACTACTGTTTACAAGCCACTGGGTACGTAGTCGACGCATAGAGTCGAATGTCTTAAATGCGGCTACCAGAGCTGTCCCCTTGCTCTCAAAGGGTGCCTGCTGAACTTGACCTAGAAGTACGTTCAGACAAAGTGCATCTTCAATCTGTAATGATATACCGAGTCGTCAGCTATGAGCTAGGAAAAAGAGAGATGAATCAACATATCAGCTTACCCCAAGACAAGCCCCAGCTCCATGGTGTGGACTAGAAGCATGCGCAGCATCCCCAGCAAGACAAACTCGGCCGTCGTTGTAATGCGGCAATGGAAAGTCCCCAAGATCAAATAAACCCCAAGTCACCAACTTTTCTGGTAGGAGTTTGACCAGACCAAGGACTGTCGGGTGCCATCCACTCAGCGCTGCCTCAACCTGGTCTCGCGTACCCTCTGCTATCATACTACTTGAATCAAACCATGGTTCTGGGTCTGACAGAAAGACAACCACGTTAAGCACCTTGTGGTTTGCCACTGGGTAGTGCGTTATGTGAGCACCGGGGCCAACGTGATGATGAAAGTTGTTTGCCTTCCACTCTCCTAGAACTTTAGTTGCAAGATCTAGTGGAACTAGGCCCCGGTAGGCCGTTTTATGCGTGTACTGGGCGATTGAAGCCTCATGATCTGCACCAAACATAAATTTGCGCACACATGATTTGACACCGTCACAGCCAATCACTACGTAGTGCTGTCAGATTCAGTTGACGGATAGTTCTGAGAAATTTCACATACCGGCATCGACATCCGCACTGGTCCCATCGGAGAAAGTGAGAGTTATCTTTCCATCTTCTCTCTTTTCAAGCCCCTCTAGCCGCTTGCTAAACTCGATCACATCTGGCGGCATATCTTTGGCAAGTTCTTCTAGAAACTGGTCCCGTCGGCAGCCTTTGAAACCGGCACCTCCTATTTGAGCCAGCGGCTTCTGATAGGTGGAGTCATCAGTGTGATACTGGTTATATCCATCAATCCAGCGCAGGTAGTCATCTTCCTTATCTTCATCCGATATTAAAACGGCACCGCACCGTCCCAAGGCTTCGGTAATCACAGGATCCATGAGGTCCACTTTTGCGTGGCTCTGAGTCAGCGAAATTCAGTATAACTAGTTGCTACAACTACCCATTGATCAACGGGGAAGTACTAACTGCAGTACCGGGCGCATGCTGAAAAAGCAATGCCGGCCCCAATCTCTCGGAAGCCAGCAGCCTGTTCATACACATGAACCGAAATATTCTGTCGAACAAGTCCGAGGGCGAGAATCACACCCACAATTCCACCCCCGACGATAGCAATTTGTGGCTCAGCAGCGCTTTCAAGTTTGATAGCCATGATGAAGTAGATTTCTCAAATAGTATTGTGGACTTGGGGCTTTGGAATTAACGTGTGTATCTAATTCTATGGGAGGGCAAAGATGGAAAAATATTTGAGCCTTTGAAAAAGAAACCGAGAGAAGGACGACACCGGCTTAGTCGCTCCAGATAGCCCAAGGGACCGGAGTATAGCATGAGAAGTTGACAACGGAGAGTAGAAAGAAAACTTTCCGAAATAAAATAGTCCCCGAGTTTATGATAGGGCAAAATGTGGCAGGAGTGAGAAAATAGGGCTAGCGCTTACATCTATGCATGCTGCAGTGAGAGAATAATCTCCAGTCGAATGACCGTGAATGACATGAGAAATGAATATGAGAAGCTACCTAGATAGTAGATTGAATATTGTTTTTAACTGCTCTTCCTTCAACAGATCTATAGATAATAAGAATTAACTATCTTTCAACCGTCTACAACAAATTCAACATGACACAACAGAACACTGGGTTGACCCCTAGCATTCTCCTATGGGGGTCACTCGCACTATCATTCGATAAATCGTCGTTTGAGCGATTGCGCAAATCAATCACCGAAATCGAAGACAATATTTGGCTTGTGGATGTTTTCGAATCACTCCCAGAAGCTTGCAAAACAGCCCTGGCGGCATTGCCCACACTTCATCAGGCCACAGGAAGCAGCGCAATCAAGCAGTTGATCAACTTCAATGAAATATTTACCACCAGTCGTTCCGTGGACACAGAATTGACTCTACCGAATACTTTATTGATTCCTCTTGTGATCATGAACCAATTGGCCCAATACACCAAATTTTTGCAACAGGAAGGCCTTGAACATGAGGATGTCAAATCTCGCTACGGAGAAACTCTAGGCTTGTGTACCGGACTATTGAGTGCATTTGCCGTGTCGAGTGCACACAACAAATCCGAGTTTCAGCGATATGGTGCTACAGCTATCCGTTTGGGTCTCCTCGTCGGCTTGGTGATTGATAGTCAGGATGCCGTCCTGGGTAAGGGAAGGTCTAAATCTCTTAGTGTTGCCTGGGCCTCTGTTGAGGCGCACAGAGAGATGACCCAAATTTTGGAAGAGTTCCAAGAGCAGCCAAGCCCTTCCTCAGCGCGAGCATACATCTCGGTTTATTTTGATGAGAACCGCGCAACCATAACCAGCTGTGCCGACACTATAACCCAGCTAGTACATCGGCTACAGGCCGCTGGAATTAGCGTTTCAGAGCTAAGTCTGTACGGGCGCTTTCATTGTAACGATAATCTTGGGTTCATTGAGGATTTGAACACGTTCTGCGAGCGTCATGCAGACTTCAAACTCCCAGATGCATCATTGCTCAATTTATCTACTCGGGCAAACAATAGCACCGCGAGTTTATTGACAGAAGGCCCTCTCCATGTGCACGCACTTCGTTCCATTTTAGTTGAGCCCCCTCAATGGTATGAGGCCTTTTCCGCTACTATTCGGGCAAAAAGTGAGAATTCTCAAGTCGATGTCTTTGACTTCGGCCCTGAGCGCAGTATACCCTTATCTCTTCCATTAGAAGGCAGCCCAATCATGCGAGTAATCAATTTTACCGACCAAGGGACCAAAAGCCGGCGATCTGACCGTATTTGGCTTGATAGCGACATTGCAGTCGTGGGAATGTCATGCAAAGTTCCTGGAGCCAATAACCTGGATGAGTTTTGGAAGTTACTAGTATCAGGCGAATCACAGCATCGTGAAATCAGCCCGGGATCGAAATCGGCTGATCGGTTTTCATTTGAAGATACCGTGTTCCGCACTTCTGCCGATGCCAACATGAAGCGCAAATGGTACGCCAATCTTGTGGATGGGCACGACCAATTTGACCACCAATTCTTCAAGAAGAGTGCTCGTGAGGCTGCCTCAACGGATCCGCAGCAGAGACACATTCTACAAGTGGCATACCAAGCTGTTGAGCAAAGCGGGTACTTCCAGCAGGAAAAGATCAGCCGTGATGCCAGAGTTGGCTGTTTTGTGGGTGTTTGCTTGGGAGACTATGACAACAATGTGGCCAGCCATGCAGCAAATGCTTTCACGGCTACTGGTAACTTGCAGGGTTTTATATCTGGCAGAGTTTCTCATTTCTTTGGTTGGACAGGGCCAGGTCTCACTATAAATACAGCTTGTAGCTCATCCCTGGTAGCTGTGCATCAGGCATGCCAATCGATTTTATCTGGAGAGTGTGAAGCGGCACTTGCAGGAGGGTCGCATATTATGACTTCTGCAGAGTGGTTTCAGAACTTGGCCGCCGGGTCTTTCTTGAGTCCTACAGGCCAATGCAAGCCGTTTGATTCCAAAGCTGACGGGTATTGTCGAGGTGAAGGTGTCGGCGCTGTCTTCTTGAAGAAGATGAGCAAGGCAGTTGCCGATGGAGACCCTATACTGGGTGTTATTGCCGCAACTGAAGTTCAGCAGAACCAGAACTGCACTCCCATTTTCGTGCCTAATACAACATCTTTAAAAGATCTGTTCACAAGGGTTATGACCAAAGCCAAAGTTAGGCCATCGCAGATTTCTGTGGTTGAAGCTCATGGCACCGGAACGGCTGTTGGTGATCCCGCTGAATACGACAGCATCCGTCTGGCCCTTGGAGGACCAAACCGGGGGCCGGGGAAAGAACTGATGGTGAGCTCTGTCAAGGGCCTCGTTGGTCACATGGAGTGTACCTCAGGTGTGATTAGTTTAATCAAAGTCCTACTCATGATGAACAAGGGTATTCTGCCACCACAAGCTAGCTTCAACGCCATGAACCCAGCCCTAAAGGCATCTCCAGCCGATCGGATGTTTGTTCCAACCAAGGCACAGCCATGGGTTGCTGACGTTCGAGCTGCACTCATTAACAACTATGGTGCCTCGGGCTCAAATGCATCTGCAATTATACTGCAAGCGCCGAGTCGCAACGTTCCGGAGGCTGTCTCAGAGATGACTCTGTCTGATGTCAAATATCCATTCTGGCTCAGTGGATTTGACATGAAAGCTCTATACCGCAATGCTCACGCCTTCCGAAAGTTTGTTGATCGATCAACTGGTACATCTCTCGCCAATCTATCATTCAACCTTGCATATCAGAGTAATCGAAACTTGAAATCGAGCATGATTTTCTCCGCTCAATCTTTTGATGATCTAGATAGGAAGCTGGCTGCATTCATACAGTCTGACGATGACGAGCACGTCTTCTCCGGAAAGCCAACAACTATACCGACTGTTATATTATGTTTCGGGGGCCAGATATCTTCTTTTATCGGTCTTGACCCACGATTATACCATAATATGGCCATCCTACGCAGCTATCTTGACCGCGTCGATACCATCATTCAGACAATTGGATGTCCTAGCATTTTCCCTGCTATCTTCCAACGCACTCCTATTGTCGACACAGTCCAACTGCAAACAGTACTATTTGCCATGCAGTACGCATGTGCGCGTAGCTGGATAGACTCTGGAATTCGCCCAACCGCACTGGTTGGCCATAGTTTTGGTGAACTGACAGCCCTTTGCGTATCGGAGATCCTATCGATCGAAGAGACAGTGAAAATGATTGTGCGACGGGCTACATTAGTTCGGGACGCCTGGGGCACTGATAAGGGAGCCATGATGGCTGTTGAGGGTGATCTAAGCAATATACAAGAAATATTGGCTAATGCTAACGCGAAGCATTCCGACAAACCGGCCAGCATTGCTTGCTATAATGGACCGCGCAGCTTCACGCTTGCAGGTCCAGCCGTGGCCATTGATGCTGTGGCTGCTCAACTGGAAAGCCAGAATGGCATCAAATCTAAGCGGCTACAAGTCACGAATGCGTTCCATTCTGTGCTTGTTGACACAATATATGACCAACTTGAGTATAGTGCCAGAGCTTTGAACTTCCGGAAGCCTGTCATTCCCCTCGAGCTAGCTACTGAAAATGCCACAAATGCAGCAGAACTGACACCAGAGTTTGTGGCAAGTCACATGCGCAGTCCTGTATTCTTTCACCATGCAATAAAGCGCCTGGGACAGCAGAATTCCTCCTCACCTTGCATTTTCCTTGAGGCTGGTGCCAACTCAACAATAACTTCAATGACCGCTCGCGCACTATCAGATACTAATGGCACATATTCTTTCCATAGTGTGAATATTGCCAATTGTGATGACGGGTGGAACAAGCTGACTGATACTACTGTATCTCTCTGGAAAAACCATCTACCTGTTCAACATTGGGCCCATCACAAAGTCCAAGGTCATCAAGCGGATCTTAAGCATTTGTTTCTGCCTCCGTACCAGTTCGATCCAAACAGCCGCCACTGGATGGATCTGAAGGTATCCTCAAAGGCGTTAACGACACTCATAGATGCGAAAGCTGAAGGGGCTTCTGCAGAGGAGAAGCAGCCCGAAGGGCCACTGACCTTCATGGGATACACGGATGGTGCGGCACGCAAGCAAGCGCAGTTCCAGATTCATACGGCGACAGAGAAATACCAACAGCTCCTCTCGGGGCATGTGACGATGAAGACTGCTCCAATATTGTCAGCCACCCTACAAATCAGCTTTGTGGTTGATGCAATCAACATGCTCCATCCTGAGTATAAGACCGTGCAGCATCAGCCGCAGATTCAAGACGTGGAGTACAAATCACCTGTCTGTGCCAACCGGGCACGTACGACTTGGATTGAGATCAGTGAGGAGGTATCAGGGAATGCTGAATGGCGATTTGAGGTATACAGCACTGTGAATGCGTGCAAGCAGCAGAAGCGTACGATGCATACCATTGGCAAAGTTGCTCTCAACAGCCCCGATGACCCATCTCTGAAACGTCAGTTGAAACGGTTCGAGCGGTTTTTCGGACACGATCGCGCGGTTGGATTACTACAGAGCGCGGGTGTTGATGAAGTTCTTGGCAACCGAAGCATCTACAACATTTTCTCCGAGATTGTGGATTATGGCGAGGAATTCCGCGGAATGCAGAAGTTTGTTGTCAGGGATAATCACACTGCTGGCCAAGTTGTTCGTCTCAACCATGACACTGAGCTGCTATTTGATCCCCATCTGGCCGACACATTCTGTCAACTAGGTGGCCTCTGGATCAACTGTATGACCAACAGAGCGCCAAATTATGTCTATCTTGCTAATGGCATTGATCAGTGGATCAGAGCACATCCAGCTGCCAAACGGCCAGAAAATTTCAATGTGTTTGCTGTCCACAATCGGCCGTCTGATCAACTGTCCTTGACTGATGTATTCGTATTTGATGCCGCCGATGGCGCTCTTGTTGAGGTTATTCTTGGTATTGCCTATGTGAAAATACCAAAGACTTCCATGGAGAAACTGCTTCTTTCCTTGACTGAAGCTTCACAAATGGCTCAAGTGCCATCGAACATCGTGACGGTGATTCCCTCGATTGATAAGTCAATGTCTGCTGAGATTCCGAGCATGATAAATGGTGGTCATCAGCCCTACCCTCAGTTGCAGCAGACAGCAAAACGAGAGAAGCTACCGCTACAGAGTGAAACTGCGCTCCAGGAGCTTGTCATGAAATTGAAAGCAGTTATCGCAGACCTCTCTGGCTTGGAGATATCAGAGGTAAAAGATAACAGCGAACTAGCTGACCTTGGCATCGACTCTCTGGCGGGAATGGAGATGGTTAATGAGATTGAATCAACTTTAAAGGTGAGGCTGCCGCAAGACGAGATCATCATGGTTCATGACATGCCTGGTTTAATAAAATGTGTTGCCGGAGCCTTGGGCATCACCACAAAATCTAGTCCCGAGTCAGGCGATTATTCGACTGAGGAGTCTGAGAGTGACGTGCCTAGCATTATGTCTGCTCCAGACGGTGCAATGGGACTGAGCAGCGCCAGTTTTGGTACAGCTGGTACAGATTCCGATATGAAGGAGGAGCTGGACAAAATACCAGGAGAACTTTCACTTCCCTTGGCAACTGTGATGGAGGCCTTCAATGAGTCCAAACAATTGACGGATACCCGCGTTGCCGAGATGAACCAGACAGACTATGTTGCCCGAGCCTTGCCGCTTCAGAACGAGCTGACAGTTGCACTTACTATCGAGACGTTTGAAAATCTTGGTTCTGGATTTGGAGCTGCCCGACCGGGCGAACAGCTTTCTCGCATCCCACACGTCAAAGAACACAAACACTTCGTCACGTATCTTTATGAGATGCTTGAAGCTGAGACTCAGATCATCAAGCTGGATGGTACAATCATCACCCGAACTGCAGTACCACTTCCACACCGTCATAGCAAGGAGCTATATGAGGAGCTCCTTCGAGATTACCCTGACCAGCAAGAGGCTAACAAACTCACCTACTACGCCGGCGAGAACCTCGAGCGAGTACTCTCTGGTTCCACGGACGGTGTCAAGCTCATATTTGGCAGCCCCGAAGGTCGAGACCTTGTCGGCCGCTGGTACGCCGATTGGCCACTAAACCGAGTTCTAATCTCAACGATGGAGGATTTTTTCACGCGACTGTGCGAAAAGCTCAGGTACTTAAACGATGGCAATGGCATCAGTGATGGCCAACCACTGCGTATCTTGGAAATGGGTGCCGGTACTGGCGGCACGACGAAGCGCATAGTGCCACTCTTAGCACAACTAGGGGTCCCAGTGGAGTATACTTTCACAGACCTAGCGCCATCTCTAGTAGCTACAGCGCGGAAGAAATGGGGCAAGCAGTACCCGTGGATGAAGTTTCGCGCTCATGACATTGAGAAAAGTCCAGCGACGGAGCTAGAGGGAACTCAGCATTTTGTACTTGCGAGTAACGCGGTGCATGCCACTAAGTCACTGTGTGTCAGTGCGAGGAATGTGCGGAAGGCACTGCGCTCGGATGGCTTCCTTCTTCTTATGGAAATGACCCGCACACCATATTGGGTTGATTTGATCTTTGGCCTGTTCGAGGGTTGGTGGCTCTTTGACGACGGTCGAAAGCATGCTTTAACGCATGAATCGAGATGGGAGAGGGATCTCCAGAATTCCGGATTTGGCCATGTAGACTGGACGGATGGTGATACGCCAGAGAGCGAGATCCAGAAGGTTATCATCGCTGTCGCTGATTCTACAAATCCGTAAGTCAGATTTGAGCTTCGAAAATGGCATTTTCTTTGCTATTTTGCCGGCATTTATCTGGCTACAGTCTATATAGACACATTGAATTATATTGTACATTCTAACACTCTGAATCCGTAGATACGAACTATTCTCAGGCCCTCCCCCTAGGCTGCCAGTTACAAACCAGCTTCAGTCAGGCCTTTTGCCAAACTTCGTAGCCCGTGAGGAAATGGTCGCCAAATATGTCCGTAATTTTACCCAGAACTTTGACGCTGCCATACTTCAAAGTCCTACTGAAATTACTCAAGGTCGTATTGATACAAAGGGAATTTTAATTACCGGAGGCACTGGAGGGTTGGGCGCTCATTTGGTAGCAGAAGCAGCTGTCCGAACAGACGTGGCACGAGTGATATGCCTCAATCGACCAGGAAAGCAACAGAAGCCACGAGAGAGGCAGATACAAGCTCTTCACAAGAGAGGCATAGATCTCCCGCCAGATTCACTTGCCAAAATTGATGTATTCGAGACAGATTTATCTGCAGAGTCCTCGACACTGGGTCTACTCGAAGCCGACTACTATTCACTTCTCAACGATGTAACACACATCATACACAGCGCCTGGCTCATGCACTCAAAATGGCATGTACATCGATTTGAGTCTCAACTGAGAATAATGGCGAACATGCTTAAATTTGCGCGAGACATCAGTTCCAGCAGTCCCAAAAGTAACCCTGTTACCTTTGAATTTATCTCATCAATTGCCACCATCGGTCATCATCCTTTGCAGACAGGCAGACCTGTTGTACCGGAAGATCGTGTCCCAATCACCAGCGTTCTCCCTACGGGATATGGTGAGGCAAAGTATATCTGTGAGCGGATGCTTGATTCCACCCTACACCAGTATCCAGACCGTTTCAGAGCTACCGCTGTGCGCCTAGGTCAGATTGCCGGAAGTGCGATCAACGGCTATTGGAATCCAATGGAGCATGTTCCATTCATGTTTAAATCGTCGCAAACTCTGGGTGCCATGCCGGATCTGCCAGGGACTATGGGTTGGACTCCAGCAGATATTATGGCGCGCGGACTGCTTGATATCTTAACGCAACCGCATGATATTGCGCTGTATCCGATCTACCATATTGAAAATCCCGTACGGCAGTCGTGGGGTGAAACACTTGATATCATCGCTGAAGAGATGAATATTCCCAGGCTTGAGACTGGAACCTCTCTTCTTCCGTTCGATGAGTGGGTCAATCAAGTGAGGCATTGGCCACGACTGGAGGATAATGGTCCTCAGGGGAAAAATCCTGCTCATTTGCTCGTTGATTTCTTGGACTCTGGGTTCATTCGTATGAGCTGTGGGGGTCTTTTGATGGGAACAGCCCATGCGCGAGAGCATTCTCCAACACTGGCGAAGATGGGGCCAGTGGATGAGAACTTGATCAGATTGTTTGTGCAGAGTTGGAAGGATACATGCTTTCTTGCTTAAGCAGTGTCGAGCACGCATGGATATATAAGCGACTAATAAAGCATTTAAAATATATAATGTTCGGGAATTCAAAGGTTATTATTTTACATCAAAATACCTACCACTACATCCACATAGTCGTTGCAAATCACATAGTTTAAATTACAGCTGTATTCGCTTCAAAGATCACCTGGGTAAATAGTTAGAAATATGAGGAACATTATTTGAACTTGGTCGAAACCGCCAGACCATATTAATCATCTCAGTTTACATATAAGGACCAAATCTTGCAATTGGGAAAAAGGATTCCCAGCCAACATCCGTCCCCAGCCCGTCGAATGCCTGGATACCATCCATCCCAGAGAGTGCTAAATCATCCGGCGATGGTATCGAGCTGGTATCTTCTCTCGTCTTTAAGAGATCGTTGCATAGTTCTAAACTTTCCCTCGCGGCCAGGGCAACTTGAAGTTCAACCGGGGCCTCCATCTCCACAGCCACGGCCTGAGCGAGAATCATCCTCAAAAACATGTGATTTTTCACATTCGTTTCACCCTGCCGTATACGCTCTTCTGACATGCCTATAAGATCGAAAACGGTCTGCTTGAGAAATTCTCGGTACTGGACAGTTCGGTGCAGCGTGCCATTGAGGCGCTGTGTTTCGACATGAGCGAGAAGCTCAAGGCTAATTGCTGAAGTGGCACATCTAATTCCTTCTCGAAATAATCCACCACCAGTTGCCATGAGCCTGGAAAATCTATCGTCCACCTCTGGTGATACTATGGCAAGGGCGGCATCAAGACTGACTTTGAGCGAGTAGTGATATAATGGGTTTGTGCGTGCCTGGTTGCTGAAGGAGTAGTGTAGCGGAATCATGAACCTGCGAACGAGATAATCGAAGAAATTTCGATGGAAGGCGGACGACCCACCGCCGCCCTTGACTAGGCTACCACGGATTTGGAGGCAATCTAGTAGATCAGAGGTTAGTTCCAGGGCTAGCTCATATGAGACATCAGACTTCAATCCATTAAGAGCTTGGACAATCCGAAGACGTGTTGGCATCGACTCAATCAAGGCGATTTGTACTGAAGTAGCAGTGAATATGTTTTTTGGATGGGGCTGGGGGTCTATCGTGGACTCATGCAGTTGGTCATCATTAAAATTTGAAGGTGGCTCGGTGTCAAACTCATCAAAGGAAATCCGTGGTGGCATCCAAGAATCCAAGGACGACTGAATGACCAATTCAAGAACGGTGTACCATAGTCTCCGGCGAAGCTCAGCCTCCATCACTGGCATCTCTGGGAGATGTTTAGGGTCACGGTGCAACCCAATTTGCATGGCCGTATGGACCAGCGATCCCGTTGAAATCCAAATCATATCTCCTCCAATAGAAAATACTTGCCGAGCCAAAATGGCCAAACAATACACTTGCAATCCGGAAATATCCAGGCGATCCTTTTCCAATGGGCCTGAAAGCCAGGTCTGTGCAGAGTATATCCACTGATGGACCAATTCAATATTGCAGAGTGCCGCAGCTCGGTCTCCATGGTCATACAGGCAAGACCCTATGCCAACGACTAAAAGAATCTTGAGGCGTGTACTTTGTGGGGCCCCATCAGGGTTACCCCAAAACTTTTGGTACTCGGCCCAGAAGGTCGGGATGTGAAGTAATCGAAGTCTACGTCACCAGTTAGAATATAGAAACTGAGACCGCAGGTGACGGTCTTAGATGAGGGGGAAAACAGATTGAAGACATACGTTGGTTCAAATGATTCCACGTAGAGAGTAGCCATGACATCCGACATTTCACGAGAGGGGACCAAAAATCCAAGGTCAGGGGACGGGAGACCTCTGGTTGGGCGGCCAATTTTCATGGCCTTGGCTCTATTTTTGCATTTGCGAAGAAAATTTCCTGCTTCTGAAATCACTTCCAAGACTTCGGAGCTTTGCAGCGAGCGGTCATTGGTTCCTTTTTCTATGATAGCGCTGTAGCAGGCAATTACAACGGAAAACTCTTTCGCTGCACCTGTCCAGCGACTCCTGCCCCAGTCTCTTGATTTATTCAAAACTGTTTGCCACTCTTGCGTGTCCGCTGGCGACGGCCGACTTACAGAGGGCTGGCTTCCCTCGTAGCGTGCCCTAAACTTCGGGCTACCTTCAGTCTGGGATCCACTAATCGAAGATTCCTCCAGTTTCTGGACTCGTTGCATAAGATCACGGATATGAGATCCACCATTCTGGCCAGTCTCAGGTAATCGTTGCCTGATGCCAGTTTGGACCTGTATCGATGGTCTTAAGGCATGTTGGGCTGGAGATGCCAATGACGATAGCATGGGCCGGGTTCCAGGTGAGTAAGTAGTCTGAGGAGGCAGTTCTACAGAACGATGTATGTTCATCGACCCACCAAGGTGGTTGAGATGCTGGGAAGCTGGACTACCATGGGCTGATTGCTCCGGGCTTGAAGGTGACCTTCCCAGACGATCATCACGTTGAAACTCCGCATTGGGACCACCTAACCCGTTGGTTTGAGTGTTTGACTCGGCCTCCGGGCTAAATGGTTTGTAAATACACTGAGTCTTGTGTTTTAAACAGTGCTCACATGGATTATTATGATTGCATCTGATTTTGCGGCGACGACATTCTCGACATGAGAAGGCCGGTCTTGCGCGTCTGCGTCGCGGTGGCTGGGGCAGTGGCTGCGACTGTAGCTGTTGTGGCTGTTGAGACTGCTGTGGCTGGGGCAGATTCTGCATTAGAAATGATTTTCTCTGAAAACAGGACTCGAGGAAGGGCAGAGGAACGTGGACTGCATAGACGGAGATGTCGGAACTCGGAGCGCACTTATCGGGTTGGAATGGGAAAATGGATCTCACGCTAAAGCATATGATCTGACAGGTGTCATGCAGCGAGATTGGACCTGTATATTTCCCCTAAAACAGCCTGGACTTGAAAACTATTGGCCCATAAGGTAAAGTCGTGACGTGAAGCATAGTAAGCAGCCTAGTAAGCAGCCTAGTCAGCCATTCATGTACAGCCGAAGTTGGGTTGTCGCGACGGACAATATTCTAGCTCGGCCGAATTGGCGGACTTGGCGGATTTAAGCTGATTCGGCCGTATCGCTTCTAAGGAGAAGAAGTATATCCGTGATTTATGCACAGCAGCGACTACCAGCAACAATATAAGATTTTTGAAGATATCTCACCTCCAAGGGGATTGTCATTTTGAGTCTCCTTTATTGCCTCAAATACTCCTGCAGTCCTTCTGATTTTCTCAAGTACATGCTACACCAAGTTCGGTCTAATTACTATGTCGACTGCTGCGGATTCAGATCCGTTGCAGGAAAAGGCCCAGTCCATGACTGAAAAGACCCCGAGCGGAGAAAATTCAGAAACTCAGAGAACACCAACGCCTACCGAGCACAGGCACTCTGCAGTGAAAGATCTAACAGATGAATTTATCCGCAATAGTACTGATGACTCTGACGGTAACCCTCTATTCGGAAGCGATGATCTGGAATCTCCCCTCAACTCATCCGGTAGTAAGTTCAATGCCCGCTCGTGGGCCACCAATATCGCTCGAGCTGCTCAGAAGGGTGGCCAGGACTTTCGCAGAATCGGCTTATGTTTCGAAGATTTGAACGTTTTCGGCTACATCACCGCGGCAGACTTTCAAAAGACTGTTGGGAATATATGGCTGGCCTTGCCTGCAATGATCGCTCGTCGTCTTTGGCCTAGTGCGAGCACTTCTGGCCAAAGCCGAGTAGATATTCTCCGACAATTTGACGGCCTTATACAGCCCGGAGAAATGTGCATCGTACTGGGCCCACCAGGATCCGGCTGCTCGTCGTTTCTCAAGGCGATCTCAGGGGAACGGAACGGGATATACATTGGCGAGAATTCGTTCTTCAATTACCAAGGAATAACAGATGAGGAAATGCATACAGCTCATAGGGGTGATACCATTTACACCGCGGAGGTCGATGTCCATTTTCCTATGTTAACAGTGGAAGAGACGTTAACATTTGCCGCCCACGCGCGGTGTCCCAGGGAGCTGCCAGAGGGAATCACGCGCACACAGTGAGTTCCTGATCGATTCCATCTTAAAGTGTAGACTCAATTGACTGGTATGAATAGATACTGCGAGCATTACCGTGATGTCGTGATGGCCATGTATGGAATCAGCCACACCAACCACACCAAAGTTGGAGACTCTTTTGTCCGTGGAGTCTCCGGAGGTGAGCGCAAACGTGTCACCATTGCAGAGGCGACACTTTCGAACGCTCCATTCCAATGTTGGGATAAGTAAGTGATTTTAAATTATATGTTTATGCTTTAACACGAGCGAAAGCTAACAATGGACTCCGCTCCCAGCTCGACTCGTGGCTTAGATGCTGCTAATGCGGTTGAATTCTGTAAGACTCTCCGACTGCAGTCCGAGGTATTCGGTCAGACCTGCGCGGTATCAATGTACCAAGCCCCACAGAGTGCCTACGACTTATTCGACAAAGCTATGGTTATCTATGAAGGGCAACAGATCTTCTTTGGATCTGCTTCTCAAGCCAAGGATTACTTTATCAATCTCGGATTCGAGTGTCCAGCTCGGCAAACAACGCCCGACTTTCTGACATCCATGGCATTCCCAGCTGAACGCGTCGCTCGTGCCGGCTGCAACCCACCACGAAAGGCCGAGGAATTTGCAGTTGCATGGAAAAAAAGCAGAGAATATAAACTCCTTCAACAAGAGATTGAAGAATACAAGTCCAAGCACCCGATCAATGGTCCAGATGCAGTGACTTATCGAGAGCTGAAGAAGGGCCACCAGGCTAAGGGTCAGCGCCTGAACTCTCCATTCACTTTGACATACTCCCAGCAGGTGAGGCTCTGTATGTGGCGAGGATGGAGAAGATTTTGGGCAGATCCTTGGCCATCAATCTGGGTCATGATTGGAAATGTCATCATGGCACTCATAATCTCGTCTCTGTTCTACAACATGGGCCCGACGACAGCATCGTTTTATGGCCGGGCCGTCGTTCTTTTCATGGCAATTCTGTTCAATGCATTTGCCTCTATTTTAGAGGTTATGACTTTGTATGCACAGCGGCCGATTGTTGAGAAACAAGCCCGCTACGCGTTCTATCACCCATCAGCAGAATCATATGCATCAGTACTCGTGGATTTGCCTATGAAGATCACAGGCTGCATTTCCTTCAATTTGGTGTTCTACTTCATGACAAATTTGAACCGGCATCCAGGTAATTTCTTCTTTTATCTCATGGTGGTCTTTTCAATTGTTTTAGCCATGTCTGGAATCTTTAGATTCATGTAAGTTGCCGCAATATCGCTGTCCATACACCAAGGGAAGAGGAAAAGGAGCTAACTTGGTTTTCAGCGGCGCGTTTTCCCGAACAGAGCAGCAGGCAATGGTTCCAGCTTCGATTCTGATGCTTGCCCTGCTTGTATTCACAGGATTTGTCGTCCCAATTCGCTACATGTTGTCATGGTGCCGATGGATTAATTACCTCAATCCTGTCGCATATGGCTATGAAGCGCTGATGGTCAACGAGTACCATGGCCGAAACTTCACTTGTTCATCGTACATCCCCAGTTACGGGATTCCCGGTACCAAGAACGTCGCATGCGACGCAATTGGCGCTGTGCCCGGTGAGCCCCATGTCAATGGTGATGCGTATATCAACTCCGCCTACAGCTATGACAACGTTCATAAATGGCGCAACTTTGGTATCATTATCGCAATGATAATCTTCAACCATCTGGTCTACTTCCTGGCTAGTGAGTACGTGACCGCAAAGAAGTCTAAGGGAGAAGTCCTGGTCTTCCGTCGAGGCTTCGTCCCCAAAGGTCCTACCAAAAGCACCCAAGACATCGAGGGATCTCTTTCGGGTCCTGTTGCAACTGTCTTGGAGAGCTCAAGCAACGATTACGGCTCTACAAAGGAAGGAGCTTTTCAGGGTTCAGAAGGTGTGTTTCACTGGAGCAACATATGCTATGACATCAAGATCAAGGACAAGCCTCGGCGTATTCTCAACAATGTCGATGGTTGGGTGAAGCCAGGTACTTTGACAGCTCTCATGGGCGTTTCTGGCGCTGGTAAAACAACACTCTTGGATTGTCTTGCGGACCGCACCGGTGGCCTGGGTGTTCTCACAGGGGAGATGCTGGTTGACGGAAAACCTCGGGATAAGAGCTTCCAGCGCAAGACAGGCTACGCGCAACAGCAGGATTTGCATCTTGAATCAAGTACCGTCCGAGAGGTGAGCTCAGCGTCTAAAATACATTTCTATCCACCGACTAACCTTAGCGTCTATTTTAGGCTCTAGAATTCTCTGCCCTTCTACGGCAGCCGGAAAGTACCCCAAAGGCCGAAAAGTTGGCTTATGTCGATGAAGTGATCCAGCTCCTTGATATGGAGGAGTATGCGGACGCTATTGTTGGCGAGCCAGGTGAAGGCCTCAACGTTGAGCAACGCAAGCGTCTAACTATTGGAATTGAACTGGCCGCAAAACCACCGCTGTTACTTTTCATCGACGAGCCTACCTCAGGCCTTGACTCACAAACAAGTTGGGCCATTCTTGATCTGCTTACCAAACTCTCCAAAGCTGGTCAATCAATTCTTTGTACGATTCATCAGCCCTCTGCCATGTTGTTCCAGCGATTTGACCGCCTTCTCCTCCTCTCAGGAGGTGGTAAAACGGTTTATTTTGGTGAGTGTGACCAATACCATGTATAATGGGTCTATGACAATTCTAACGTGAGCCCTTTTGAGCACAGGTGACATTGGCGAAAATTCAAACACACTAACCAGTTACTTCGAGCACAACGGCGCCAAACCCTGTCCACCTGGTGCAAATCCAGGAGAGTGGATGCTTGAGGCTATTGGAGCAGCACCTGGCAGCGATTCTACAATTGACTGGCACGAAAAATGGCGTTCCAGCCCCGAATACCGCAGCATCCACAACGAGCTAGATCAGCTCCGAGAAAAGAGATCATCGGTGTCGTCGAAAACCGAGGTTGATCCAACTGTGTATAACGAATTTGCAACATCCCTTTATTTCCAGTTCCTCGTGGTTACAAAGCGCGCATTCCAACACACATGGCGCACTCCCTCATACATCTACTCCAAGCTTCTCCTCTGCATCGTTACCAGCTTATTCCTTGGACTTGTCTTCCTTAACTCTCCTCTGAGCATTCAGGGCCTGCAAAATCAGATGTTTGCTATCTTCGAGCTGATGAGTATTGTTGGGCAGCTTGTGGACCAGCAATTTCCTCAGTTTATCGCGCAACGCTCATTATATGAGGCCCGAGAGAGGCCTTCCAAAGCTTACAGCTGGAAAGTGTTCATGGTGAGCCAGATTCTTTCAGAGATCCCTTGGTACACGCTTGCTTCAGTATTTATGTGGGCGCTTTTCTACTACCCGATTGGCTTTTACAAAAATGCCGAAGCTGCTGAACAGGGCACTGAAAGAGGCGCACTGATGTGGCTTCTTGTCTGGGTGTTCTTAATGTGGGTTTCTACATTTGCACACTTCTGCATCTCATTCGCCGGCTCAACCGACGATGCCGGAAACATAGCCAACTTCATGTTTGTTTTGGCCTTTTTCTTTTGCGGTGTCTTGGCCTCCCCGGATCAGATGCCTCGGTTCTGGATCTTTCTCTACCGCGCCTCGCCATTGTCGTATTATGTCTCCGCAGTTCTCTCAACGGGTCTGGCCAATGTCAATGTGACTTGTGCTACCAACGAGTTCACCACTGTCAACCCGCCTCAAGGCCAGACATGTGGTGACTACATGTCGCAGCATATTTCGGAGGCAGGCGGGTATCTTCTGGACATGAACGCCACGAGCAACTGCCAGTTCTGCAAGGTGAAGGAAACAAACGTGTACCTGGCTGCTATTCACTCTGATTATGGCACTCGGTGGCGGAACTTTGGTATCATGTGGGCCTATGTCGCTTTTAATATTGCAGCGGCGTTAGTCTTGTACTGGGTGGCGCGAATGCCGAAGGGTAAGAACAAGCTGTAGGAGGCTGGGGGTTGATATTATCAGTTTTCTTTTCTTCTTTTCTACATTGCATTGTAATTCATACATGTACACTAGTGCCACATTAAAGGCTTTAATATCATCTGCAAATTTTTGCTTCGGAATGTATCAATTGATCGATGAATCACTACCTAGGCAGACGACACAATCACTTGACAAAACAAGCTATAGCTGGAATTTTTGGAAATGAAAGGGATATTGTCGGTACACCTGTACCAAGTGTGGAATAGCTATTCGATAAAGGTGATGAGGCTGACGCCCACTTCTGACACCTATCACAGGTAACGCTTTACGCCCCTATGATATCTTTGTGTCCTCTTGAAGTGGTTGTAAAGTCTGGTTTTCATTCTTAGTTTGCTATCTATTATATAGTAACAATTTGATCACATGACTGCTTTGTTCCATATTCCAACAGATATCTTCCAGTATTGTCAACGACAGGTTTCATGTTTGTAGTGACAAGACCTCAGGATGGCTGACCTGCTGTTGATCTTGCCTAAATCGTTACTTGAAAGTTCATCATAAGTCATTAGTCCATGAATTACCTGCTTTTCCCGCTTAGATATATATTTCATGAAGCCCTGAAGATGCTAATTGTCTATAAGAATTCGTGAACGCAACTTTCTGTCAATCGGATTCATGGCGCAAACGTGCTTTGAATCTTTTTTCCTTTTCTTTTTTGGATTCCTTTCATCATCACAATAATCGTCTCTATAACTCTTTCCTGCGTATCTGCTTTTCTTGTCGAGTACTAGTTGATGAAAAGAAGCCAATTAAAATGATCATTACACTAAAATTGTATTTTCGGCCCTGGAAGGGCAACCAGCTCTGATTTTAAACCTGGAAGTTGATATAATCGAATTAATTACTAAGATCTGGGTGTAAAGACCATCTCCAACCCAGGAATCCACAAAGTCAATGTCTCCTTTGCACCATCCCAAAACTCCAACCCATCTTCTCCCGGTGCGAAAGCCACATCATATGAGAGCGCCACAGATGATATGAGCATCCGCATCTGCATCATAGCCATTGACTTACCCACACATGTAAATGGTCCGCGCTGAAACGGCAAATACGCGGCTTTTTCAGAGCTCAAGTCGCCCTCCCACCGCTCTGGAACAAACTCTGTCGCAGATTCAAAATACCGCTCGTCGTGCTGGAGTGACCAGGTGGGTACGTTGACAATAACATCCCCGGGGATAAAAACTTCATCAATTTGGAGTCCTTCTGGCGGTGTTTGACGGGGAAACCCCATTGGAACCGGAGGGCGAAGACGTAGTGTCTCGTGGATCAACTTGTCAATGTAGGATATTTTCCTGGCTCTTTTGTAATTCCAAGTACTGGGACCTGAAGGGAACTCTGCTGAGACCAGATTTTGGAGCTTTTTGTAGATTTTTGGATACTTGACCATAAAGTAGAGACTATTTCCGAATGACTGGATTAGCTTACAACTAGGTGTCAACATCAAAGGTCCTTACAAATTTGTAAACGCAATTGCAACAGTATCACTGTATAATAAGATTAGTATCGATGACAAGGTTCATCAACATGTGAAACGTGAGTAAAACCAACCTTCCAGCAGAAACTAACGTACGAACATCCTCCCTGATCGCGGACTCGGTTGGTGGAGCTGATCGCTCTCCTTCTTGCTGAGCCTTGATGATAAATGACATCACGTCCTGTGATTCTTTTGACTCGCCACTAGCTTTCTCCAGGGCCAGAGCCTTTCGTTTCATATCGAGCTCCTCCGAGCACCACCTGGCAAAGTGCTCAAATTTTCCCGTAGCGCCGGGGATTACCCTCAACATGTTCATAAGCCACGGCAAGGTTGTCACTACTCCGGCTGTAGCCATAGCCCAATGAAGACCGTCCACTGCGGGATGCTCTATCCCAGTGCTATGATATAAGGTCAGTCAATAAGGCGTCGAAGTTTCTCAGGCATTCCTCAGGAAGCATGTATATCATTTCTTACTGTAACATCTTGAAATCCTTGGAGAATGATATTTCTCCCATCACATCCCAAGCAAAGAAGATATTGTCTTGGGTGACATTAACTGGCTTTCCCGAACCGATTCGCTTCATAAGCTGTTTTACTTTGTCGGCCACCCGGTTTTCATACAACTCAAGCGCTTCTCAAATGTTAGAAAGATGGGTAACAGTGACCAGATATTCATTACGGGGATCATACCTCGAAATCCAAGCCCCATATCCCACGCCTTACGACGAATACGGTGCTTTTCCTTGTCACGAACATTTTCAATTCCACATTTGTCCGCATCGCCAGAATTTTGATTGTACCAGGTACCTTTTGTACACTTTGAAGAAGGACCATAGATGAGGTCGACGGCTGAAGCGCGTAGTACTGTAAGTTCACGCGGCCCCGTACGCACGAAGTCGCCGTAATGAGAATGGAGTTTCTGAACGTGAAGGTGGTATTTCATGTCGGTACTAATCATTGAATGGAGACTTCCAATTCCGTCAGTATTCTTATCTGCTAAGCTGTTTGGTCACGCCTCTGGGACTACACACTGATATACATTCGACAGACGCGCTGCAAAAGGTCCCGGAAATCGACCAAGTCGGTGGAAAAATGCCCTGTATAGCAGTAAACTGCTGTATAGACCCACAAGGAAGCTCAAGCCGATTGCAGATGTTTGGAGAATTGCACTTAAGACCCCCATGTTGCTTGATTCTGGCTGTATGTAAGTGATGAGGATGGCAGCAAGCCCGCTGAAATACGAGATCGTCATTTCCCAGCCCCAGCTGTCAACCTCAATCTGTTTCATGAAGCTCTGATGGCATAAAACGCCTAGCAGCGCTGCTGCTAGCATCATCGGGGTGTCCATGGAGGTCTGTTTGCGATATACGAACCGGTTCCGTCGATGGACTATGGTGAGCTTGTTGGGCTTGAAGGTAGATGGTTTTCCCAAGTGCTATATCTCTGAGTCTCTATGAACGGTACTATGACAAGGTCAGCATAAATCAATTACTGCATCTGGAAGTTGATTGGTGGGTGCTATATGGGTGGATTTCTCCGGATTGTTTTTTAGTCTCCGGTAATAATTCAGATAACAATCTAAGTCCCAAAGTCATTTATGATTTACATCATTGCATCTTTCAAATGGAGATTAAAATATCCATGAGTAAGTGTGGTGAGCAGTCATTACTATACATCATTTCCCGAAGATTATTGGACAACAGTTGTGAGGGACGTGGATTTGACTACTACCTAAAAATTAGGGCCCAGACTCCTTAGATCCAGGGCCTCCTGCTTACAGATTAGGTACTTCCAAAGCTGTACTACATAAGCTTTGTGTAGTATTTGGGATGTATATTTCATTCTTGAAAGCTCACTGATCTTATTTCCGACTATAAAAATAAGTAAAGCCCCTATAAAATTAATTATTCGATGGAAAATGTTTAAAATTGTATGACGGAAGCCTAGGTATCAAGCCTAAATATCAGTTAGACATGAAGGGCTTAATATCCGGTAATTATTCCAGTACTACATAACTTCACCACCCTCGCTGACTTTTTAACCTGAAATCTATTGTTACTTTCTCAATAATCCTATTTTTGAAGACTCAAGTAGGACTCAAGTGGCATTAAATGAAAAAAAAACTGGAGAATAAAGTCTAACAAACACACACCAAGTATCAGGGTCGAGTAGCTGAAAACGAAGCATGGCTTTAACCATGCGCTTGAAAAATGGCATGAAGATACAGGCTGGAAGATAAATACGGTCGCTTTACCTGTAACAACTCTAAGAAGTAGAGGGAGCAAGAGCTGCCCAGGTGCCAGCTGTCTACTTACGTACGTATCTAGGAAAGCCTCGGGCCTTCCAATAGGAAGCCATTTAAATATCTTAAAAGCAGCAAAGCAACATTTAAATGGGATAGAATAGACTCAAAAACGCGAATCGTCCGCCTGGTAGTGGCAGATACTACACAGGATTATAAGATCCATGCTAAATTTATGGATATATTTTCAGCTCTAGGCAGTAACAGCCTCTCGCTGAAGCAACTTGCCAGTGGCGCCCATAGTCTCAATAAGTCGACCAGAGATGTGTTCACCAACAACCGTCTCGACCCCTGATCCATCCAAAGCCTTGGCTTTCAATTTCAGGTTACCATTGAGGAAAAATGCCACGCTATGGCGGTGCTTGTCTCGATTGGTCTGGACACGGTGCCGTGCGCTGCGGTAGTAGCCGCTCGTGTACTTTTGCATCATATCGCCCATGTTGACCACGAACGCATCCTCAACCACAGGAACGGAGACCCAAGCCTCAGCTGGTGGGTAGTAAACCTCCAGACCTGTGGTTTCAGGTTCCTGGAGGATAATAGATACGCATCCGAAGTCAGTGTGGTCAGCGACTACGAATGATATAGTCAGCAATCTTGCTCATCCAAACGCTGCGTACGCTTGAACTTCGTGCTACTAGGTTTATCTATACGCGGGAAGCCTGTGTCACTTACCTCCAAACTGACGGTCGTCTTTGGTTGGCACTGGCCCGTAATGCAGGAACCTCATTGGGATCGATGGCTTATCCAGTAATGAATCGAACACATCTGGCGGGCAGCCCCATTCTGTGGGAAGTCCCAGAGCAAGAATATCTAACATTTTGCTGACTAGCGCAAGCATCTTACCCTGATAAGCCATGATACGATCCTGAAATTTATCCTTTGGCAGACTGGAGGGCCATAGGTTTGGGCCGGTCGAGAAGCTACCACAGTCAGGGTCATCTGTCGAGACTTCTCGCCCGACCATGAAAGTCTGAAAAGATCTCACTTAGCTTCTCTTTGGATGATTGCAAGGAAAGTTGAAATTGTGGAATTTTTGGCTCTCATACCTCCTTACTATCAGGAAGTAGGCCCTCTTGATGAGTTTGGATTCCAGGAGGTTCGTAGCCTCTGAAGGAACGACCAAAAGACTTGTTGATCCAAACCTCCATCTTCTTTTCTTCAGGCAAGGCGAAAAACATCTTGTTAATCTCAAAAGCCTCTTCTAAGTCACATTTGGGAATGCCATGCCCAATGAGGTTGAAGAATCCGTATGTGTGACAAGCATTACTGACACGCTTGACGACATTCTTTCGTTCCTCTTCTGTAGAGCTTGGGTGGAGGAATGCACTTATATCCACGGTTGGAATAGCTGGGGAGTTGCTGAAAGTGTCCATTATCTTTCGTTCTGATTGGGTTAATGAGACTCAGGTGTGCTGACAAGAAAATTGATCATTATTTCAGGTGGGTTCTGCCTTCCAAAGGCTCGTACTAATATAATTCCAGTCTCTGTCTGCTGACATACCAAGGCATCTCTCTTTCCCAACATATTTTCTCAGCTCTACCGGGATACAGATTGGTCCCTGTTGAGCCAGTAATATCAGCTGACGCCTGAAATATGTCAACATGTATCCGAGGCTAATAATATGTTCCGAGAATGATTTTCTGAAATTAACAAATCTCTAGTAATTGACCGAGACTAAAATGCTAGGACTGCGGAATCTTTCTCATTGGCAATTTGTTAGTGCCTTGAAACTATACATGAATATTTTTCCCCTACCTACTGTAGTAGACAAGTTGACTAAGCAGGATGTGTATAACTAACTATAAGTGATTTGGTTTAGAGATCAGACCACCAGACTCCTTCTCCTCCGAGCTTCTCCTAGGTCTCCTTCTTCGTCTCCCACTACCCCTCCGACCCCTGCGCCCATCTGGGGAGTATCTGGTTTCGCAGACCAATGCAATACGGAGGCCCCGTTCCCCATTACACTACTTAAACCAACCTCAGATAGTCTTCATTATTGGGTTTTCATATTCACAGTCAGTATAGTATATTTTAGATTGCGTTCGCTCCATTATATTTAAGTCCCTTGGCCTCATATAAGTCCTGATCAATCCCTAGAATACCTTCAGTAATGATAAAGCACATCCTCATCATCCAAATTCATCTTGGGTACCTTTGAATACTATCTTTAAGGCGATAATTTGATAACAGACTCTACCACGGCTGCAAGTTGTCTTTCCGTATCACCCTAGTAGGCCAAGCCTGATCATCTCTCTTGCCTCCAATAACATCCGCACAGAAAGCAGCTCCAATAGCTGGCTCAATAGCTCCCATCACACTTTTGTCTCTCCATTCACCGGTAGTGCGGTTATCTCCTAGCCCAGTGTTCAGGAATCCAGGTGATACATTAAATACTGCAACATCATCATTCCGTAGAATCCGCCCCCACTCAGTCGCCATCATGTTCATAGCTGTCTTACTCACACGGTACGGCAGCCACAAGCTGTCTGGCTTCGGCCAACCCGCAACTGGGAGTGAATATTTTGGACTCACGCCAGTCGCATGCTCGGCAACAGATGACAGACCGCTCGTGATGAAGATGAGTCGAGCAGAATTAGCCTTTGATGCGAGTAGGAGAGGCGCAAAGGTCAATGTGAAGAGGTGGGTCCCAGTAACGTTAACGTCATAAGTCCCGTTCCAACCCTCGCGCAGGGTGAGCTGGTCGGTATCTACAGCTGTATCTAGGGCTAGGCCTGTGGAGATAGTATCGTTAGTATTGAAGGAAGTATTTCACGTGATAAGCAGTTTATGGTGAGTTTTATCTCTTACCTGCATTGTTCACAAGGATATCGACATATCCGAATTTTTCACTGACTTGCTTGAAAGCCGTGGCGATCGACTCATCTGATGAAATATCAACAGAAAGTGGCTCCGCGCTTGATGCACTGTTTGGAGATAGTTCCTTCAACTTTGATATAGCGTCGCTCGCACGACCAACATCGCCGCGACATCCGATGAGGATATGGTAGGGATGAGAACCGGCAAAAAGAACTTTGGATACTTCAAATCCTATAGCAATAATCAAAAAGTTAGTTTCAAATGGCCGTCCATTGGGCTGTCTTGTTCTACCTAGACCGGTATTGGCGCCAGTGATGAGAACAAGCGTCTTGCTGTCAATAGATGCCATGATGGATTGTATGAAGTCCGAAGTATAGATTTGGGATGATTGAGACTACCAATTAATGGGTTAATTGATTGTTGGAAATTTTGACAGGACATGCTCTAGGGGTACTAGTTGACCTGTGTATCAAGTAACTGTCAAGTACATACTTCAATGCGCTAAGGTGGATACTTCTCTACTGTTCCAAGGTCTTTTCACCAATAGGAAACATTTCTGTAAAATGAAAGACGACAAGTAACGAACTTCGGCAATTTCAATCTACTCTCCGGTATAATAATCTCCGGATAATAACTACACAAACTCTCCAGGGCTGCTAATTTACATAAACAGAAATTGCTAGCTACTTCCTTGGCCCTAATGACCTAAATCGGATAGAAATACATACACTCTAGTCATGCGGGGTTATCGATGCGTACAGGTTTAGGGTCCATAGAACAGGTATATATATTTACCATAGTTATATGAGTAACTAGTTAAATATTTTTCGGATATAGTTACGACCTTGAATGCTATACAGGTACGGGACTGAGGGCTCATATTGAGAGATATTTGGATTTAAATAACGAAAACCAATGTAGAGTGCACTTTTGAAAGGGGGAGGGGAGAAATATGCGTGAGGGAACCAACCAAAGTCTGGAAAGGGACACTACTTATGCAGGAGTCCATGACTCGTCTGTAGAACTGAAACCTTCAATATCTCAACAAGCTAAACCACTTTCGTTGCAAATTCCATACCCTTTATCCGACTTTTAATAACTCATATCTAATGGATGGATAGAGTATAGTCAGCTGATTAAAACAGACAACTATGATATGGGTTTACTCACAGCCCTCACAATTTGAGTCGCATCCATAGATAACAACGTCGAAATATGCTTCCTGTACGCGCCTCTTAAGGGAATCGAGTGACTTGAACGCTAGGTATCGACCACTTGGCCACCTACAACCTTGGAAATTATGCCAACCTTGGAAAGTTCTCAAGTGTATTCTACTTCCTGCTGCTCTGATCTTCCTATTTTAAGGTTATGTAGTGGATGAAATACTTGGGTAGAACATAAACACAAACAATTTTCAAACTTTTGAGCCTAAAGATTTCCGAATTTCATAAGCAACATATTTCTCTTAGAGTGCTCCGTGGTACCATGAGAAAGTAAAAAAGGATTTGAAAGCAATTGAATTCCACTCGTCGACTGAATCGAAAAATTTCATGAAATATTAAAGAATTAAGTAGCAAGTACCTAATGTGCTCAAGAGTATGCCGGAGTATACCGGGCCTCAGGGCAATTAGAGAACAATCGCCACAGCAAAGAATGTAAGTGCGTACAAGATGCCGGAAGAAAGAGTGAATGTGTAGGCAGAGCCAGTGTAAATAGGGGCGAAGGAGCTGGTCGTGGGAGAAGAGACCGAGCCAGATCCGGCGTAAGGAACTGACGAAGCACCCACACTGAAGAAGCCAGACGAGAAAGGCTTAAGGGATGTAGTATTGCGGCTGATAGTTGTTGTTTCTGCACCAATAGCAACAATCTGAGTAGCAGTGGTGCTAGAAGTCTCAGCAGGGGTAAGTGTGACAATCTCGGTTGATACAGCAATAGTTTCAGTGGTTTCGTATGTAATCGCTTCTGAAGGAGCGCAGATTCCCGCAGATGGGCAGCCAGTGATGGTAGAGATCTCAGTTATATAAGAGACAGATGAACTCAGCTGATTGGCAGAGGCCTTTGAGGTAGAGGCGGAGGAGAAACCGGATTCGGAAGATCCACTGGTCTCCAATGGACCAGCGGCAGCGGGAACAGTGGTCTGAGCATGCTTTCCAGCTGTCTCGGTAGCAGTAACAGGGCAGATAGTGGTATAGTCAACAATAGTCTCTGTAGTCACGTAGGTTGATCTCTCAGAGGCCGGGCAATCCTTCACAGACGAGGGGCATGCAGTGACAGTGGATATATGGGTGGCAAAGACAGTAGAAGTAGTAAATCTAGTATCAGACGCAATGCTTGCGGCCGTAACACCTGGAGTACCAGGCACACCTGTAGGAGTAACCTCTTCAGTTGCCTTGGCAGTCTCGGTAGCAGTTACTGGACAAATAGTGGTATAGTCCACTACTGTCTCGGTAGTCACATAAGTTGATTTCTCAGAAGCCGGGCAATCCTTTACAGACGAGGGGCATGCAGTCACAGTGGATGTGTGAGTGGCAAAGACAGTAGAAGTAGTAAAGACGGCCTCAAAGGTACTGCTTACGACAGAGCCACTACTAGCTCCAGATGAAGACAGGCCGGTAGGGCGAGCACCTTCGGTAGTCGGGAAGCCAGGAGTACCAACAACAATCGAGCTAGAGCCAGAGCCAGAGCCAGAGCCAGAGCCAGAGCCAGAGCCAGAGCCAGAGCCGGAGCCGGAGCCAGAGCCGGAGCCAGAGCCGGAGCCAGAGCCAGAACCAGAACCTGAGCCGGAGCCAGAGCCAGAACCGGAGCCAGAACCAGAACCGGAGCCAGAGCCAGAACCTGAGCCGGAGCCAGAGCCAGAGCCAGAGCCAGAGCCAGAGCCAGAGCCAGAGCCAGAACCGGAGCCAGAGCCGGAGCCAGAACCTGAACCTGAGCCGGAGCCAGAACCGGAGCCAGAGCCAGAGCCGGAGCCAGAGCCAGAGCCGGAGCCAGAGCCAGAGCCGGAGCCAGAACCTGAGCCGGAGCCAGAGCCAGAACCGGAGCCAGAGCCAGAGCCGGAGCCAGAACCTGAGCCGGAGCCAGAGCCAGAACCGGAGCCAGAGCCAGAACCGGAGCCAGAGCCAGAGCCGGAGCCAGAACCTGAGCCGGAGCCAGAGCCAGAACCGGAGCCAGAGCCAGAACCGGAGCCAGAGCCAGAGCCGGAGCCAGAACCTGAGCCGGAGCCAGAGCCAGAACCGGAGCCAGAACCTGAACCTGAGCCAGAACCTGAACCTGAACCTGAGCCGGAGCCAGAGCCAGAACCGGAGCCAGAGCCAGAGCCAGAGCTAGAGCCAGAGCCAGAACCTGAGCCAGAGCCATTGGGAGGAAGACCTGAGCTGCTCGGTGTCGGCAATGAAGAAGCAGGAACTATAGATGCAGCCGGGGTCGATCTGATAGGCCGACGGCTCAAAGGAACTGGAATAGATGACGGCAAATTGCTAGGGGGCAAAGTCCGAGTCCGCACAGGAGAAGAGGAAACAGGGTTTGACTTGACAGGCTTGCTAGAGCTCGGTGTAACAGTAGACACGATGCCGCTAGAAGAGCTTGTCACATGACTAGAGGGTGCGGTACTGGGAGAAGAACGAACAGGAGTAGAGCTTATAGGCTGACTGCTCAAGAAAACTGGACTAGATGACGGCGAAGTGCTAGGAGGCAAAGTCGGAGTCCGTATAGGAGAAGATGAAACAGGGCTCGACTTGACAGGCTTGCTAGGGCTTGGTGTGGCAGTGGACAAAGGGATGTTGGAGGAGCTAGCCACATAACTGGAGCTCACAATAGAGGAGGGCACGATGGGTGAGGAGATCGCAGCTGGTGTTGAAGAAAAAGGAATAATAGCTGGTGTTGAAGTGGAAGTGGTCGTGACGCAAGTACTCGTTGGAGCATCATTGACACCCTTGAGCTTAAGATTATCCAATTCAAACCCGGTGTTGATAGTGCATGCATAGATGAAGAAAACTGTCGCAGTATCCGAGGTGGGCGTCCAAGTTGTTGTGAGAGTATTCCACTCCCCATTCACGGTCGCTGTTTGCCTGCCAACTATCCAAGCGTACCAAAAGTTCTGCGCAAAAGCGACATAGCAGGTTCTCCTAGGATCGGGAACATCGGGGGGAGCGACAGTAAATTTATAGTTTGCGGATAACGTGTACGTGGAAGATGTATCAAGCCCCGTCACAGTCTGTTTCACGTAGGTATAAATGCTTGTGCTTTCAACAGCGCTAGTTTGAGACAGGTTAGTCATAATTATCTATAGATGACGGTGGGAGGCCATCCTGATGTGTTTGTTTCAATACTTACAAATAATAATCGCCATCAGTAGCATCACTGCCTGATACAACCGTGCCGGTATCTGGAGTAAGGTTGGCACGATAATTAATCCAGTCAGTCAAGTCGCCAGTTTCGAAGGATGGATTCTCGAAGTGGTTGGGCTCAACCGGGGTACAAGTCTCAGTCTCGATAACAACGGGAACAGGGCTAGTGCCAATGGCATATGCTGAGCCGACAAGAGAGGTCGAGAACAGCAGTGCGCTAACCGTAGATGTCGTGGTAAAGTGCATTATTGAGGCGGCCCTGATCAGATAAATGTAGATTTTTGGCAGGGGTGTAGCCCGTATTACCCTAAGAGGCAATTGTTTAGATATTTAATGAATGTGATTGAATGAATGACTGCTCAGCTTAAAGAATGACTGAGGATAGAGAAGCAGGGAGCGACAAGTCGAGTGAAACCCCTCGTAGACAGTGCAATGTAGATTATCAGCCACGTTATATACCTGGTAGAGTATAAGGGTAAACAGCTACGAAGTATACGAAGTCCCTGACCCGCTTATTTAACTTTACATCAGGTACGAGAGAGAACTCAACCAATGAAATCATTAGATTAGCACTTATCGTCGCTTATTTACTTCCACGCTTCTCGGGTTGGCCGAGAATTCAATCTGAAAGCCAGAAAAGTTAGGCCGGTCGAGATGACTGGCCAAAGACTGTCAGATGGGTCTTTTTCAACTTAAAACATCGGACTATTGGCTTTCTGTAATTTCGAACTTAATATCGTTGGTGATAGGAAGCGACGAACCCGAACCCCTTTGAGCTTTCTTCTGGATTATATTCAAAACAGCCAACACATAGTATTTGTTTATCGAGGACTGACTAGCTTTCTTCTGATCAGAACTTACAAATCTTTGCTTTTTGAGTTTCGGATATTAATTCGGCCGAGTTACGGTACTGAAATATACAGGCATCCCGGAAGAATAAAAGAGTATGTAAATCTAATACTCCGTATTCGATATAGAACTTAAAAGTCAGTTATGAAAAGTGATTCTATTATCAGGTCAAGTCAACTTTCCTTTCGCTTTGGCATGGTTTGAAAGTTTAGACCTCAATACATACCAAGGGTCGGCCTTTTTCTCCGTTTAGCAGCCGTATTCAAAGTTAAGTGGATCATCTCACACATCATAATCTATGACATCTTCCAGCTGGAAGAAATTTACCCCCTAAATCTAGACCTTGAGTAATCGGTCTGCATTTATCATGGTATAGATATTGCTGCAAGATATTGTGGTAACTCGTTGAATTTATTTCGTCACTCTAGTATATGCATGACTTTTGATCAGGTCAAATTTTCAATAACAAAAGAGAAAAAAACTAGCCAGAGAAAAGTGACTCGTGTTACGACCTCTGTTGAATTTATGCCCTCAGCGAATTTGATTGGTACCTGGATTTCAGTAGGAAAGCTTCGATGTAGAATCGATATGTAATAGACAATCCACAAGGGTCCTATGAGGCAAAATTCGGCTACCCTCCAGGATCCTCTTTACTTCATCATTCACTATGATAGCTCCGAGATTTGAAATTGAGAGAGAAATCTCACCTGGTATCGATAGTAGATACTATTGAACCAAATTACCTTTCTGATCAATTTTATTTATCGAACTCACCAATTCGACTGCTCTTCTACCTATGGGCTTCGCTGTTCAGGGTACGGTGTGGCATACCAACTGGATCCGTCTCAAATCCAGCGTACCCCTGGATTAAGATCAACCATGAATGCAGGGCTTAGGTTGCCATGTGAGGCGCTAGTCCCAATGCGGAAGGGCGTGTTATCCTATGACATGATCTCTATTTGACACTTATTATTCCGGAGCTAAGAATTTAAAACCGTCTTTCAAGGTACGTATCACGTACAATAGAAGTGAAGGAATCTCCAGGGTTGTGGATCGAGCTCAAATGTGCTCAGCCCTAAGCCTTTCTAACCCGATGTCAGAAGCCAGCCCCACCCAACAGCACCCACGTCTTTCTAGCATTAAGCTATGTCAAGTGAATCACTACTATTCATATCGTGCCGTTTGATGGATAAATTGCTCAATTCCGAGCAGATCAACGTTGATCGGCGAGGCTGGAATGCGTATCGGGAACAGGCCCAGGAGTGTAAATATGTGCGGATTTGCCGTCATAGACAGATGTTTTCGGCTCTATACAACAGTTGAATCTCTCGTGGTGAATAGACCACTTCTGAGGTTCTAATAAAACTCTGATCTGCTGATAATATATGAATTCTTTTCATCTAGAATCCTGGATTGACAATTTCTTCCCCTATAATCTCACGCATGTTTCACATGTCCACGATAACTTCTTTTGAGATCAGGACGACACGAATAATAAAATGAAGGATATGGATATGTCAGGGTCATGGTCCGGGTCAGGGAGCCATATCCCCTGGCTTACCTATCCGCTAAAGCTTCATTCGTCTCGTGTGGAAACGTGCGAGCTGACTCCAGAGCAATGCGCCTATCGCAGTGGCCATTGGAGATACTGGTATTTCTACATCTTGAATAGCCCTTGGTTGGATTAATGCTTATAGAAAACTTTTTGCCAGGTACCAAGCCGATCACGTATATGCATTAAACACTGTTTATTTTTGCTGTGCTGTGATTGGAGTATTTGCTCTGTCCAATTTAATCGTTAAATTTGCTCCAGAATGGGTCAAACGAACTCGGTTTTGGCGTACCATAACCTCCTTCTCACGTTATGTAACATATCGCGGCTACAGCTTCTCAGTATTGCGGTACTGGTCTCCTTCATTGGGCGTTTTGATACTGGGTATTCTGGGCGCGATATATTTCTTTGGTGAGTCGATTGTGCAGGGCATACTAGGTACAGGCTCGGAGAACTTACTTGAAGCAGCAATGACTCTTGGTCCAAAACCTTACTACTGGCCCACTGATGCCAGTTATGGAGGCAGTCCCCCTATCGCAACTCGGGCGGGATGGATGGCTCTTGCGCTGCTACCTTTTGTTCTGTACGTTCTCTCAATGGTGTCGTGTCGTGATCAATCTCCTGATTCTTCAATAGAGCCTTGAGTGCCAAAGCCAACATGATATCTGCATTGACTGGAGTTTCTCATGAGAAACTGCAGGTTTTTCATCATTGGACCAGCTACGCAATGTTTGCGCTCGCACTAATACACACCTTTCCTTTTATCATTTACAACATCAATCACGGCGATATGGTAAAGGAATGGAAGACAAGTCTGGTATACTGGACTGGTATCGGCACAATTATTCCGCAGGCATACCTGACCATCATGTCTCTACCTTTCATTCGGTATGATTACAGATGATTTCCTCCTTTCTGAATTTTTGACGGGCCGAAGGATTGACATGTTATTTTCCGCCTAGTAACCGATTCTATGAATTTTTCAAGGCCACTCACCTTATTGCGGCAGTAGTATTTGTTGTATTCTTTTTTATACACTGTGACTTCCGCCTTTCTTCATGGTATGTCAGAGAACTAGCCTATCAAACGACGAATTTTAATAATATATAGGGACTACTTCATCGCTACCGGTGCTATCTATCTTCTATGCCTCTTCACTGCTCAGGTCCGCACCTTCTTGATGCATGGTATAAACACTGCCAAAATTGAAATGCTCCCAAGTGGTCTTCTCCGCGTCGCTGTGCCAACAACAATCACATGGACACCTGGACAACATGTCTTTATTCGATTTCTCACATCAGACCTGCACCTGCTAACCGCCCATCCTTTCACCATCTCTTCTGTTTATCAGGACCCCGATCAGACTGGGAAATTTTCCGAGCTTATCTTCTACATCAAGCCCTGTGGTGGTGTTACAGCTCGTCTGGCAGCTATAGCGACTAAAATGCCTGGATGCTCGAAGAATATCCTCATTGAGGGTCCATACGGTGGCGTAGGCGCAAATTGCATGACTAAATTCGACACGTTAATCGTCATTGCTGGCGGGTCTGGGGGCGGGTTTTCTTTGGCAATGGTTGATGAAGCACTTCGAATATCCAGTCTAGAGAAGGACAATACCAAGCCGGCACATGGCGGACGTCGACATCTACAGGTTGTCTTCTCGACTCGTGACCATGCTATGGCAGGCTGGTATGTCGAAGAAATAGAATCTAGACTGTCACACTCTACCACTCTATCTTCTGATGGGAATGGTTTTGAAACTTCCGTGTCAGTGCATGTTACTTCAACGCTCGAACCTTTGGGTCTGGGTAAGGATGGTGAGATTGGCAAAGTTCCTCCGACAGAGATCACCACCACGGGATTATTCAGCCTTGATGTGCACCGCAATGTCCGTCCCGATATCCCAGGTATTGTGGAACGTACTGTTGCTATGGTGCGAGCTGAGACGGCCTCGGGTGAGAAGAAGAAGCGCATAGGTGTCTTTGTGTGTGGGCCTGCATCTATGCTACATGATACCCGTAATGCGGCGGCTATTGCCCAGACACGGACATTGAACGGTGAAATTGAGGAGTTATATCTGCACTCAGAGCCCTTTGCGTAAGTTTTGTCTGATCCATGGATTCATACAGCACTTTTGAGTCGTTTGCTAACTCTGGTTTATAGGTGGTGAGTTCTTCTCCCTCGGCAGCTTACCTGTTACCTTTTGGAATTGGTTTCATAATTACTTTTGAAATCTTGGATAAAATATCATTTGTATAGTGAAATAAGCACTGGTTTTATCGGAACACCTAAATTCGAAGTACATTCTGCTAGTAGTAGATTGGAGATCAAGATGTATTAGAGAATGTGAACTGCATACCTCTGAGCCATACAAGAAAAAAAACAAGTAGAACATCATGTCAATCATCACGTCGTCGAAGTTATCAGAATCCAAACTTGAAAAAACATCCGCTGGACGTAAACGCCAATTGAAAAAACGAGTAGAGAAAAGAAGGGGGGATTAACAAATTAAAGACTTAGGGGTAAGAGAAAAGAAAAAGAAAAAGAAAAGAAACTACAGCTCATCAATTACAATAATCATTTCAACAATCCAGTCGACCATGGCCTGGCCCTCCAGTTTCCATCGGTCATCGGACCACACATCTCTAAACCAGTAACTCCATCGTCTACCAGGGGTAGATAGTTGGAGATCCCACAATGACGAAGAGCGATGGGTGCTGTTATTGCCTTCCGCCCCGGCAGAAAGATCCTGGTTGATATGGAGAAGGCCCATAGTGGGAAGTGAGCTGCCAGGGGCATTGTTTCCTTGGCGGAGGAGCCACTCGCGCTCAGCTTTATCACCTGCCCGGCGGGCGACAGCTTCCTCATCCTCAGTCTGGTAGAGATCACATTTAGTGCATTCAGAGCAGTGTGAGCCAGGGTTGATTCGAAAATGTTCGCAGAAGTGTTTGTAGCCTTCTTCCTCTTCGAATTCGTCTTCTTCAGGGGCGTTGCCAGCTCCGACTTCTTCTTCCACTGCACCATTGACAATGTTGACGTTTAGTTCTTGTAGACGTCGCCTAGCCACGGGAGCAGCTTGTGATTGTTTAATTGGAGCGCCGAGGGCTTTGCGGCAGAGATAGCACATGGAGTACCCGCAGACACACGTGAGTTTGTTGCAGCCCGAAGACTTGACGAATGAGAGCCCACATTGTGGACAAGTTCGCTTCACAGCGGCTGTGCGGGCAGCCTCAACGGTGGCACGGAGGTCGAGTAGAAGTGGTTCATGGCAGACATGTGGGTCGTGCCATGATTTCTGACATGTCATGCAGCTGACACGGCGACAGGTTGGATTGGCACAAGTGAACCGCTTAGGGCGAAGCTTGATGCAGAGGTTGCGGATAGAGTTGTTAAATATGGCCAAGATGGAGGATGGGTGGATGAGTAGAAGTATCAAAAGAGGTATTAGAAGTAGGGGGACAAGATCCAGCAGGAAAAGTGTCATCAGAATAGTGGGGATAATGCCTGCACCCCGGCGCACGTGCCAGTCGATTCCAAGAGCCGAAGAATTAGAAACCGGGTCAGCTTCAGCGTAAGAGCAGAACGGACACCGGATGAGCTTTATTTGGGATTTCAACAAAGTTTCAGATGCAAGGCGGTCTTCAAATTTGCGGTATGTTTCACTGCCTGATGTTTCAAGCATAATTGCCTGGCGCACAATTTGCGGGTGTAGACATCCATCGCATGCACCGACGGATACTGGAGCTAGACACTTCAATGTCGCATGTTCCATGTCCACTGACTTACCCCAGCCCTGTCCAAACAAAGCTTCGTGGGTCGTCCGCTGGACACAGTTGTGACAGATGATGTGGGCGTTCGCCGAACAGGTTACGATCTGCTCAAAGGTCACATCGGAGAAGCAGCATTCGCATTCATAAAAAGCATCGACATCCCGAGCCTCTTTCTCATTAAGATCCGAGGCAAATTGAAAATCTGCAGTCTCCTGCTCTTCGCGTTTTTGCTTTAGGAACGGAAGTAGAAGCGTTTCGTGAAGCTCGCTATCCAGCTCGCTAGAACTAGTTTCCTTCAGCTTTGGCACGAGTTCCCCATTCACCTGACGCTGCCAGTTCATAAGTGGATGACTCTCTCGATCCTTCTTGCGCTTAAATGACGGCAGGAAACTGTTGAATGTAGCCCTCCATGTGCGTCGAGCCAGATCTCGGAGTACCGGTCGCGCCCGCGAGTAGCTGAAGTTCATCTCAGCCATTACGCCTTCGATGGTACTCCTGTTCAGGCCACTAAACTCTCTGAACAGCGTTGTCCGGACAGCCGACTTGTACTCGTCAGACCGAAACCGTTCCACAGGAAGCACCAGGCTGTCGTAATCGCCATAGACTGCGCTATTAGCCGCACCTTCTTCACCGCCGCCCCCCTTGAGTACATTCCACCGGCCTCGTACCCAGTTCCTTTTGTGTCGGAGTAGCTGCTCAACACACACTTGTAGCCGGCTCTGGCCGTCAAACCGAACCAGGAGTTCCCGGAAGACTTCTATCTGTATATCAGGAAAAATCCGAGCCAGAGTCTCAAGGGCCGCATTCAAGTCATCCCGCTCCTTCTGCTGTTGCTCCGCTTCGCTGATAGTGGCATGGATAGAGCGGGACCGGGACCGGGATGTATTTCCAAATGGATTATTTCGTAGAGCTTCGCTAAGGGTTACAGAGTGGGTATTTGTAGATGATGTAGCCTGTGTGGATTTGTTCGTATCTGGAGATCTCCACAGACTTCGGCTGGAGGACGGACTCGAGGAGGAGTCGCGACGGCTGGATTGTGGTGCGGGCGCAGTGGCGTCAGGACGTGGAGAAGTGAAGGATCTAGAGAAGTTTGGAACTGGCAGCGAGAGCACCATGTTGGCTCAGATGCTACATCGTCGTTCCTTCCGTTAAAGAATGATAGTTTTTGAATGATGGGGGGGGAATTAAAAGGATTACAGCGAGGTTACATAAGAACCTATTGATGGTTGCCTTACGACACCTGATAAGGAAATCAACCGTTGGTCAATTCTAGATGGTCTGATCCGGCTTCTGATAATTCACTGCTACCTGATATTGAATTCTACTTTCACATGTACTTTGGGTTTTTGATCTAGATCAGGTTCCTTGCGCCACGACTTAAATGGCTCGGATGTAGTATGCCGGGATGATGTGTTCCAGACCAAACTCATTTAATGTGGCATAAAGAAAAAAAAATGTAGAATTGAGTTAACAAATATTCCAATACAAGTATCCATTAAGCCTATGATACTGAACTGTAAGAAAAAAGAGCATAAGAAGCTTTATATGTACAAACAAGAAAGGCAAATTCCAATTCCAAAACGCTACAAAGATCCCCTTTTACAACTTGGCCTTTGCAGCCTCAAGGAGCTCGGCACCGGCGCCAGTGATGGCAGGCTTTCCAGTATCGACAACGATAGTCTGGAAGAGCACGGTGTTTCCCTCCTTCCACATCTCGGTGCGGAGGGTCTGACCGGGCAGAACAACACCAGCAAACCGAACCTTCAGGTTCTTGTAAGCCCCGTATTTGCCGAAGACGTGCTTGCCTGAGATACCGAGCGAGCACAGTCCGTGCAAAATAGGAGTCTTGAAGCCGCCGACCTTACTGAATTCAGGGTCAATGTGAAGGGGGTTGAGATCGCCGTTGAGACGGTAGAGCGCTGCTTGATCTTCAGAGGTCTTCTCCTCAATTACGGAATCGGGCTGGCGGTTGGGTGGCTTGTAAGCAGCGGTGGCAGCCTTGGCACGCACACTAGTGGGCTTGGGAGAGCCACCGAAGCCACCACTGCCACGGATGAAGACAGTCGACTCGTTGTAGAAGAGGTCCTCGCCGGTCTTGGCGTCCTTTGTGGTGAAGCCAGTCACGACTAGCGCGGCATTACCCTTATCGACAACGTCGATGAGCTTAGGGTATGTCACCGTTTTGGCGGTGGTGGGAATTGGGAACTTGCGAACCTCCATATACTGCTCTCCGTGGAGGAGCATCATGGGTGAGAAATCCTTAACAATGTCGTCAAAATTCCAAGGGGCGGAGGTATTGAACCAGGGGACCACTCCATAAGAGGGAAGAGCCTGGAAATGCTCGCTGTTCTCGTAGACCAGAGGCAAATCAGTGCGCTTAGCACCCACGCTGAGGTTGTAGAGGATAACATCACGATCCTCATAGTTGAAAGTAGATCCCTCGGATTTTGCGGATTTAGCCTTTTCAATGTTCTGGAGGATCTCATTCTGATCTCCGCCGGAACGATTGGACATGTTAGCCATGATACGCTCATTACCTGCCAAGCCATCCTCGGGGTGATCAGCACGTCCATCGTCGAAATTGGTAATATCTTTCCACTTGGATACGACGGCCTCGGGGGTTAGCTTGACGTCCACGGGGAAACCGTGGCCGCCAGAGCGGTTCCAGCGAGTGCGACTGAACCAGCCACTTCCACATTCAAACAGACCCTTAGTTGAGGGCTCAGGGGCTGCATCAGAGGACAGTAGAACAACCAGAGGAGCGACATAGTCGGGCTTGAAAGCCTGGACCATCTCCTCAGGCATGATAGTACGGGTCATGTTGGTACCAGCATTTGGGGCAATGGTGTTGACCTTGATGTTGTACTTGGCACCCTCCAGAGCCAAGGTACGGGACAGACCCAAGATTCCCAGCTTGGCCGCGGCGTAGTTGGCTTGGCCAAAGTTGCCGTAGATACCGCTGGTACTGGCAGTGTTGACCACACGGCCATACTTCTGCTTCAGGAAGTAAGGCCAGGCGGCCTTGGTCACCTTGTAGGTACCACGAAGGTGAACGTTGATGACCGAGTTCCACAGGTTGTCATCCATGTTGGTGAAAGCTTTGTCACGCAGGATACCAGCGTTATTGATCAAGATATCGATGCGACCAAAAGCGTCGATAGCAGACTTGACTACGGCGTCACCATCTTCGCAGTTGGCCTTGTTGCCAACGGCCTGGCCACCGAGTTTCTTAATCTCCTGAACCACAGGCTCGGGGTCCACCAGATCGTTAACAACAACGGAGGCACCGTACTTGGCGAAAAGCAAGCAGTATGCGCGACCTAGGCCAGCACCGCCGCCAGTGACGAGGGCAACGCGGCCCTTAAAGTCGGGTTCCTCTCCCTTCGGAGCGCTAGACAGCTTCAGCCCATTTTCCAGAAGACCCATAAAGTCAGCAGGTCCAGTTGGGTGCTCAGGTTTGGAGAAATCGTTGACGTCATCCCACTTGCGGGCAATAGCACCTGGGGTCAGAGATACATCTGTCTTCAGCAAAGCTCCCTTGGCACGCTCCCATCGAATTTTGGCCATATGGCCGCCACCAACTTCGAAAATACCACCACTCTCGGTCGTATTGGATGAGTGTACCAAAGCGGCAACCAAGGGAACAATCCAATCAGGCTTCAGACTCTCCAGGACATCTGGTGGCATTATAGTGGCAGTCATGCGGCTAGCAGCAATAGGAGCAATGACATTGGCAATAATATTATATTTGGCGCCTTCCTTGGCCAGAGTCTCTGTAAAGCCAACCTGGCCTAGTTTGGCAGCAGAGTAGTTCGCCTGGCCGAAGTTACCGTAGAGACCGGCGGCAGAGGCGGTATTGATAACACGGCCATACTTTTGTTTCCGGAAGTGAGGCCATGCAGCTCGTGCGCACTGAATTATTCGAGGGCTATTAGCACTATCCTCCAACCAATATATCCATATTGAGCAATACCCACCTTGTATGCTCCGTAAGTGTGAACGCGGTTGATGAGATCCCAGTCTTCATCCTTCATGTTCTTAAAGCTGATATCCCGCAAGATACCGGCGTTATTGAGGAGTACATCGATACGACCAAAGTTCTTAATTGCTGTATCAATGATAGCTTCACCGTTTTCGACGCTATCATAGTTGGCGACGGCCTTTCCGCCGGCGGCACGAATCTCGTCGACAACGACGTCTGCTGCCTGGGAAAACGTCAGTTAATTCAGTGACCATTCCGAGGGATAGAGAGAGACTTACCTTTGCTGATTTGCCTTCACCTTTTGATGAGACACCGAGATCATTCACAACAACGTTAGCACCCTTCGAGGCAAAGAAGAGGGCATATGCCTTTCCTAGGCCGCCGCCGGCGCCCGTGACAACAACCGTCTGGTTATCAAAGCGTAGTTCAGTCATTCTCGATATTTTTGTGAGGAATGAAAGTCCGGCTTTTTTGAAATCAATGGGAAAAGAAGAGGAGAGAGAAAGAGGACAGAGGGCAGGTTTAAAGTGAGTTCGGCAGAAGCTGGGGGAGCCTCGGCACGTTTTTGCGCTGTAAGGAAGGTATGGCACCAGTATTGGTATTACTGTTTTGATTACGGGTACTTCATATGCCAACAATATAGATCCAAATTTCAATTGCAGATAATGGAATATATTCATATTAGGATCTAGAACTACATGGAATTAGCAGTGTCCTTGAAAGATTATAAGATAGCTGTTGATTCGGCATTTTCAATCATGAATTTCAAATACGCGTCAAAGATGCTGACTCAGACATGTGATGGCGACGTCATCTACATTTAGACATTTCAATTGTACTTCATCAAAGGTGCTGATGTAGTAGTACCTTGAAAATTTTAACTATTTAAGTCTCGCTAACATCCATGGCAGTGGGTTTCGAGTCCGTTAATAAGCGTGAAAAGTATATAGCTAACCTATAACAATTCTCCCAAGATGAGACCTCGAGACCTAGATATACTGATGAATCCATCATTATCCATTCATTGTTTCCTCGGCACAGAACATTTGAGCCTTGGGGTTCAACTCAAAAAATCGAGTACCTACCTAGGTGCCTAGATAGGTATCTTTTTTTTTTGTTGCTGTTCGCATGAAGAGGGCATATACAAGGCATAGTGGTGTTCACTGGGTTTTAACTAGTATATACCTAAGTAGGCTTGGAAGTAAGCATTTCAAGGTTAACCTTGCGACCTAGCAAAGTGATGGATTATTATGAATTATAGTAAACTAAGTAAAGTCCTTACAAAGTAGCCCTAGAGATGGAGTAAAACTTGTATTGGATTACGCAGTACGCAGCAAGACGAGTAAGTTACCCCGCAGAACCAAATCACCCCCAGATTCTCGGGGAATTTTCCGGGCGCCGAGGCCGTTTCGTAGTATATGTATTTCATACTCGTACTGGGTTACAGTACTTCATACTCCCACCCTCAAGATGCCCGAAATAATAGACGACAAATCTCAACACTGCATTCCTTTTCTCCTGAAGCGTCTTGATGACCATAGGAAGCGACAAAACGGCAATGCCTCCCCTTTCTTCTTGGGACTCAACGGCGTGCAGGGTGCGGGCAAGACGGTTCTGGTAAGTCACCTCTCAAAACCTGACCCCTGACTCCTTGCCTCGGATGAAAATTATAGCCTACTACTTCGGGAAAAAATATATATCTTGATCTGACTATGCGTAGGTGTCAACCCTATATCAGACCCTCCAATCAGAGCCGTATTCGTTGTCCGTTGTGACACTGTCACTAGACGACCTTTATCTCACCCACGCTGACCAAGTTGCTCTTGCCCAAGCGCACCCAACCAATCCCCTGCTCCAGCATCGCGGCCAGCCCTGTACGCATGATCTTGCTCTCGGTGAGCGAGTTTTTGCTTCTCTAGCTGCCGAGAGCCCCACTGCTATTCCGCAATATGACAAGTCCGCCTTTTCCGGGCAAGGAGATCGGGTCCCTGAGCCTCAATGGCAGGTTGTAAATGCCGAGGGACAAGAAAAAGTCAAAGTCGTTATTTTCGAGGGATGGTGTGTTGGGTTCCGGGCGTGGGATGAGGATACACTGCGCGCAAAATGGGAGGCTGCCGCACGCCAGAAGGAGGCTGGTGACTATCAAGGCCGATTGGGCCATGTCAAGTTTGAAGATGTCCTCACGGTGAATAATGCATTGAGGAAATATGATGTTTTGACTAAGTGAGTGACCCTTTTTAGTGATTTGTGACTTGAACTTGGCTAATAGTACCTTGCAGCAAACTTGATGCTTTGATCCATATGTGAGTCTATGATTGGCATCTTTTCTTGTCTTGATAAATATTGACTTCACATAGTGACGCTGATGACTCACACTTTGTTTATGAATGGCGTCAAGAGCAGGAGCGCACTCTACGTGCTGTCAAGGGTACTGGCATGACCGAGGAACAGGTTAACCATTTCGTCGATGGCTGTTCGTATTCCAAACTCTTAATACATATTCCATCGAAGAGAAGACTAACTTTCATGCCTAGATTATCCGTCGTATGAACTTTTCACGGAGACGCTTCGCGAAGGAGCTTTCAAGCCTGCGTATCATCAGCCTAAAGCTTCACTAGGTGACTGGCAGGGTAGACAGCTTCGTCTGGTCGTGAACCGAAACCGAAGAGTCAAGGAGGTGATAGAGATTTAGAGAAGAAAAAAAAGAGAGAAAAAAAGAGTTTCAGAGAGTTTCTAGACTATGCAGCCTGAGGTATCCACGATAAAAAAATGAAGACTGGAATTTAGGATTATTTGAAGATTATGTTATATGCATATTTCTATACTGCGTTCCTCAAGCTGGGATTCACAGCAGCCGGTATTGGAATTCTTTAACCGTTGTCTCCAATGATACCTCGTTATATCGAGTCAACACTTGAATCATCAGGAAACCTTTCATGATACGCGCCTGGGCGTAGTGCTGCCTAGTATCTCACTGGCTCATATGTCGTATCAGGGTGAACGAAGCATGGTATTGCGAAGATATTTTTTTGTCAAGTCAGGGCAGTGTCCTGGGATTTGATGATGTATTAGTGGTCAAGAACATATAAGCTGATAGTCGCTCAAGGTGAGAATGAAATATGATCAAGCACTTTAATGCGTTTGTCTTCATCCAGTATCATCCAGAAGACCTTGAGGGGACCAGTACTCCTTCTCCGATCCTTGAGAATCCAGCCACACGAGACCATCGGTGAGTAGATCGTCGATGACCGTCTGAGCTCGAGCCTTTTCCCAGTTGAGATTCAGGCAAAGCATTGATACGCTCACAAACCCAAGGACCTGAATGGCCTCGAGAACAGTGGATTGATCTGTGTTCAGCTCCTTCGGAATGGACCGAATGAATTGTTTTGTCCCAACATGAACAATAGAAAAGCCAGAACCCAGGGGTTCCAGTGATCTAACAGCGCGGAGAATATCGTCCCTGGAAAAGAAAAATGCCGAGTTAGTAAGATTGAACATATGGTAAGATCATGAAGAAGTTGAGCATACTCTGAAACCTCTAATCCACTTCCGATCGCCTTCCCTTTGCCTACTCGCTTCTGGCACTCTTCCACACCTATCAATCCTCCATTCTCGCTGCGTGTTTCCCGGCACAGTTCCACTACTCGGACCGCAACTTCAAAGTAGAAATCGTTCATATCCCCGCCCAAGATCTGGGTCCAGAAGCTGCCCCCTTCACCGAGCCCACGGCGGCCATTCTTGCCCTTGATATTGCTAGCTGCCAGAGGGTCAACCCCGATGGTATTACACATGCGTGCGAACTCTGCGCGGAAGGTTGGATTGTCCTTGATAGTGGAACTATGCTCTAAGGCGAACGTGTGCAGTAGGGACTGGAAGACGGAGAGCTGGGTTTGGAGGGATGCCAAGTGCGCAGACCGAAGGTTGGCGCCATGGTTGGCGTAAGATTGAGTGGCCTGGATGCGATTTGTAAAGGCCCCGAGGCCAACTCCACGTCGCGACATGGTATGAATGAAGATAACGCAGTGGTTTGACCTTGGGTTCTAGTGGCTCCTTATCACATTGAGATAAGGTCACATGAAGATGATACCAGCCCTAATCACGAGGTGATAAGGGTACTGACCAAATACGGGTTAGTCCGTTAATTCAATACTAGTCTGTAATAGGATTAGCGTCTAGCTAACCACCCACACAAGATTTCTTCTTTTCACTCCGACCTTTCTTCTTTCGTTCGAATCTTTCCACGACAACTTTCGACCAGCCAACTCGCCTCGACCCGTCGCAATGGCCCCTACCACGTATGAGTCCCTTCCTTATTGACTGATACTATCCTTCGGGATTGTGAAGTTGCAGGTATAGTCGTCCTTCTCGCTGGAGTTACCACGGCCATCGTCGATGATGGTCTGGTACCAGCTCGATTCTTCCACCGCTCTTCTCCTGCTCGTATGACTTTGTACATACTTGCGTCGCACTGTATACGGCATTAGGAGAGCAACGGAGTCCTTGAGATTGAAAGCCTTGTGCCTTCTCCTCTAAAACCATTGTTGCACAGCTATCGAATTCCTGCGTATGTGATGCGGTAAAAGCAGTCACTGCGTTTGGGTCGAAGAGCATCAGCATCCATTCCTGAACATCTGTTCGGGGTATTGTCGGATGAGATAGAAATGGCACTTTGCGGATGATCGAAATTTTTTCAAAATTTTCCGAAATGAAAATTTTCAAAAAAAAAAAAAAAAAAAACCTCTTCGCTGAACCTTGTGGCTGGAATATGTCCAAGTAGTAACTGAAATTGTATCGGCCTACCCCATTGCCATTTCCCTCACTGATCAAATGAATCTCGTCGAGTTCACCTATTTTATCTTCAGTTGAGAATGTGGCACTATGCTGCAGTTCTTACACTCGACGGATTGTTTCATGTTATCATGATCTACCCGGAGACTATACTGACCTTCACAGCTCCGTTCCCGTCAAGGACCAGGTCCTCGTCCCCGAGACCCTCCTTAAGAAGCGCAAGTCCCAGGAGGCTGCCCGCGCTGAGCGCCGTGCTGACGCTGACAAGAAGAAGACTGTATGTATCTCCCATCTCCTTCCACCCTCCACACCTCCACTACTATGATGACAACACCAACCACGCGACTAGACTACGGTCGATGTTGTCGCCTGTTAACCATCTTTCGGGTCTGATACTGTTTACACCATATATCATAAACATTACCACTATCTACTCGGAATCTCGTACTGACAAGATTTCCTCTAGGCCAACAAGGAGAAGCGCGCTGTCATTTTCAAGCGTGCTGAGTCCTACGTTGCTGAGTACCGTGACCGCCAGCGCCAGGAGATCGCTGCCAAGCGCGCTGCCCGCGAGTCTGGCAACTTCTTCGTTGAGGATGAGGCCAAGCTGGTCTTTGTTGTCCGTATCAAGGGTATCAACAAGATCGCTCCCAAGCCCCGCAAGATCCTCCAGCTGCTCCGTCTGCTCCAGATCAACAGTGGTACCTTCGTCCGCCTGACCAAGGCTACCCAGGAGATGCTGACCATTGTCAACCCCTACATTGCCTACGGTTACCCCAACCTGAAGTCCGTCCGTGAGCTCCTCTACAAGCGTGGTTACGGAAAGGTCGACAAGATGCGTGTTCCCCTCACCGACAACCAGATCATCGAGGAGCACCTCGGCAAGTACGGCATTGTCTGCATGGAGGATCTCATCCACGAGATCTACACCGTCGGCCCCAACTTCAAGCAGGCCAACAACTTCTTGTGGCCCTTCAAGCTTTCCAACCCCACTGGCGGATTCCGTACCCGCAAGTTCAAGCACTACATCCAGGGTGGTGACACCGGTAACCGTGAGGAGAACATTAACGGTCTCATCCGCCAGATGAACTAGATGTCCATTAATATGGAACTCTTTTTTCTCTACCAAAAATTTTCTTTAACGACGTTTACTGTCACGGGTTGTTTTTAGCACACGGCTGTGTGTATTTGATTGTCAATTAGCGATACAATGGTCCAGGTCTTCCGATAATAAAAATGCTTCAGACAACCCGCAATCGCATTCCACGTTTCATAGTCGTAATAAATGTAGACATTGTCGCCTGATGGTTTCATCATTGCTCTCCACAGCGCCGATTTCAAGGCTACCAAATGTAACCGGCCCATTTCATAAATTGGTAAAAGAGGCCTGCCGTCGCACTTCATTACGAACTTCGTGGGCTGACTCACTTGAGGTTGATAGTATTTGTCATCCAAAGATCTGAAGTTAAATATTTGTTATTTAAATACTTAAGTAGTTAACCAAATGTTATTTAAGCAAGAGGTCAACCAAAAATCTGAACAGACCCCCATTCGACTCAACAATCAACATTGCCCCTCATATTTACTATCAAAATGTCCAACGCTTCAATCGTGATACCCCGTCCAGGGACAGTGAATTTCGACTCAAACGTACAATCAATCCAAGCTCCACCCGAAACCTCCTTCGTCGCAACATTCGGCCAACTCCTCCCCCCGGTCTCATACTTCCAGACCCCAAATGGCAGAGCAGCATACTACAAGCTCCCATATGAAGCTCCCAAATCCGCAGGCACGGGGCCAATCTCCCGAGTTCTATACGTACACGGTGTTCAAACACCCGCAATCGGCCTGCAACCATTAGCTAGCGCGCTATCTTCCCGCTTCCCACATGCTCAATGTGTACTCATTGACCTATGGGGTCACGGACTCACAGACACACCGATAACACCACATGACGCAGCACTCTTTCATGGATTGTTGGAAGCACTGATGGTGCATCTCCAGTGGGAAAATGCGCACTTTGTAGGATATTCGTTCGGCGGGTCCACAACGGCTACTTTCGCGGCTAAATACCCCGAACGTGTAGCGTCTATGGTACTATGTGCGCCTGCGGGTCTATACCGTTCTGTGAAATTTGGAGAGAAGGAACTGAGTTACTTGCGTGGGGGTGAGGGGTTGGAGGAGGAGGCGAGAGATTGGATCTGGGAGTTGCTGGAAGGAGGGAAATTGGTTGTTCCTTCTGATTGGAAGGAGAGGGTTGATCATGGTGAGGTTGTTGCAGCGGCTGTGAAGGATTGGCTGTTGAGAGAGCATAAAGGCTATTTGGCAAGCGTGGTGGGGATTTGGAGGGATGGTGGTGTTCTAGACAGACATGCTCAATTTAAGGAGGCGGCAAAGAAAGGTATTCCAAATCTATGTATTCTGGGGGAGCTTGATGGAGTGTGCAGCGTGCAAGACTTGAGTGAGGTTGGGATGCATAATGTCACTGTTGTCCCACAGGTCGGTCATCCACTTGTGAGAGAAAGGGTGCCAGAGGTATCTCGACTTATCGAGGATTTCTGGACCAAGCTTTAGAGACCTGAGATATTCATATTTTCTCTTCTATTGCTTGAACTTCCTGGCGTTCTTGAGCTTTGTAGGTTGATACCTAGATACTAAACTTGGAAGCTTGAAGGCATTCTCCTGGGAAACTGTTATCATATATATATAGGGACTTGCTACTACCACTACACACTTTACTTGAACCACTATAAAAAGTGCTACAACCACTATAATGCTTCAAGCCTAAGGCATATTTATCTCTTATATTGGTAATAGCAAAACGCGTATTACTGTATGGTGGCTTGAGCAAAATTAACAAAAGTATTACTGTGGTATGGCAGTGTGGTCGCGTTAATATGGTACAGTGTTGTCTGAAAAAAAAAAAATGGGACAGAGTACAAGACCCACTTATTTACTGCCTAGCAGAAAGCTCCAAAAACTCCATAATATTCAATATTTAGTATGCCAACCATGGTTTTTAATAACTTGCGCAACCCTACGCGGCATAGTAATAGCTAGCCGTTCCATAATATCAAAGCTAATATTACCCCAAGCCTGTTGAGCTGTATCCACCAATAGCTCTAATAGTATATAGAGAGCTAGCTCAACGCGTTATTTACATATGGGCGGTGTAATAAACGGTGTAAAAGGGGCTGTGTACTCTGTCCCATTTTTTATCAGACCCCACTGTATACTCCTCGCCAACTATACTGCCGCCACTACTCTGACCGCTCATCACACCGCCTTCTTAACCCATAATAATAATGGGGTACTCGTCGAACAGCTATTATCGGTTGTATTTTTAATCGATAGCCATTCTATCGGTTTTCCGTATTGAGATACATATCTTAGTGGTATTGTAATTGCGGGTGCCGCGTGATCAAGTGACAGCATGGAAGAGTTGGCAAGATGTGTTGAGTATTCAGCTTCTGATTCGAAATCCTAATGTGACTTGAAGTGACCTTAGGCTTGCAGCCTGAATATGTCAGACAGTTTTTATGAAAATCTCTATTCTAAGGTTGCTTCTGTTCTACCTTCAAATACCTGTTCCTCGAGCAACGCTTATTACACATTTACACCATGGAACAGTGAAAAGATATATCTATTCTATTCGTTAATGTAAAAAACCCAGATGTTGCTAAAGCTCCAATTCCATTATATAAATGAAATGCCAAAAGGCTATAAGAATCAGCATATCAAGTTATGTATTTCATGTGTCTAAGCTCTCACCCGGTCCTGATTCACCTGGGTACCCAAGAGACTCAAAAGGGTTTGTAGGAATAAAGTGAGATTAGAGGTAAAACAAAACAAAGAAAAAAACAAAAGACCAAGGCGCTCATGGTTAAGAGATCGGGCAAGAGTACAAGCGCAAATGCCAAAATGCAAGAACCCTGTGAAGAGTTCGGAATTTATAGAGCCCTCTATTATATACGTCTGAAGATTCGACAAGCATGATCATGAATCAATCATGCTTAGTTCGTTCACTCTGCCCGGAGCCAAATGCAGCCGCGCGAGACCTGCTCATCGCGGATGCGGAAGAGCCTACGGCTCTGTATGAGGATGTGGATGATGAGCTCTGCAAGTTCGCCCTTCGTGCGGGGCCTCGTGATGGCGATCTTTGGTCCTCCAGTGTTGTTTCTGATGTATCGTCCAGCTCAATCAGATCACCCATTCCCCATATTCCTATACTGCGACCTCGGCTGCCTCCCTGTTGGGCTGGAGACCCTTGTTGCAGTTCGTTGATGCCAGATTTTGCACGTGTCGCTACCTTACGGACCCAGCCTTCAAGGGCACCACCGATGTTCTCAAGTCCTGATGCATTGGAAGTAACGGTGGCTACTGACTCGGTTGAATTTCTTGGTAGGTTTGGTGGAGGCGCAGACGGTGCAAGATATGAAGGCATGTGCTGCGATAAAAATTTGCTGAGCCCATCCATTGCGGGACCAGGGGCAGTCGAGGTGAGATCAAGAGTACCGACACCAGTGCCACCCCCTGACAAATTGATGCTGCTATGTTGGCGGCGATGTCCAGAGCGGCGAGCGGTATTTGAATTAGATGAATCTTCACGATCACGATCCCAAGGAAACAAGCCTTGAGAAGAATTAAGTGGTGGTGATCCGACTGCTGATGACAGTGGAAGAGGTTCCGCATCGGTATAAGATAAAGATTTCCGACGTGTGCGTGGGAAAAAGCCCAATGACCTCCGTGGAACACGGCCTATCTCTATTGCGGCAGGAAATCCATCTATTTGTACCCACGACTCATGTTTCCAAAATTGATTGGCGTCTGATTCGGACTTGTTGGCCGTCTGGTCTGTTGGACGGTCTGTAGAACCAGGTAAAGGAGAAATCGAGCTTTCAGTCGCATCTTCCGTGTCAGGTCCTAGAAGATCCACAGACTCCTGTCGAATCGGTCTGCCTTTCACGGTGCATAAATCGACTGGCAGGAGAACTATCTTCCTGCTTTGAATGTTGTCATTGGGCCAGAACCCGTTGGCCTTTCGAAATACTGCGGCTTGACACCCATATTTGATTGTAACTCCGGTGATACTATCCGATGGTTGAACGTGGTGAATATAAGCTAAAGCGTCTTCATCGTGGTCGGGGTCAGGTGGCTGGTCAAAACAATCATCTGAGTCACGCCTTTTGTGTCGAAGCATGCGGGTGCGGTTAAGAACCGGATCAGAGTCTGCCAGTAAAAGCGCCTCCCTCTTCTTTGCTTGCACAAGTGCTTGCCTCTCTTCCTTAGTTCCCACTCCAATTTCTGGAATAGAGAGTCCGGATGGACCCCAAGCCGGAGCTGTGGACCGTTGGGCACTTGAAATATATAAATCCGACCGAGACGGTTTCCATCGTGCGTGTGTCTTAGTTGAATGATTCGTTGCAGGTCCCATGTCGCTTCCTAGAACTGATGATGCCAAGCTCTGAAGCGAGGACCATGACGAGTCTAGAAAGTCCGCAGCCCCTCGGGATGACGAAAAAGCCTTTGGTGCACCGTTCCAACCTATCGATATATCGTCGCAATCTCTATAGCTCGCCTCGGTAACGCGGGAGGGACGCTGCGTCGGTAATGGCGATGTTCCACGAGATGGCCGCGGCGAGGGGGTGGCACCGCGCGATAGAGCTCCACCTGGTAATATAGTGGTAGACAGACCAGAGGTATATGGTTGAGAATCGTTGTCGGAGGAATAACTTTTCTTGCTGTAGTCATCATCCTCGTCCATCAACGAAACCAGGCGGCGAGGGCGCGATCGGACCGCGGAGGTGGAGGTTGTTGCGCCAAAAGAGTTGGAGCTCAAGGAAGCATTGACATGGTTGCTTTGGGAACTCATTCCTAAAAAAGAGGTCCGTAGATTTTTAATTCCAAGGTTACGAGTTCAACTCCCTTAGGACTAGATATTGCCAAGGCACGATTGCCATCAGTGGTCCCCTAGGAGAGACCCATTCGTCCGTGTCACTTCCGTGGCCTCAGTCAAACAAGGCGAGAGGATCGGTCATAAGATTTTGCTGGTATAAGTGTTTAAGAAGACAGAATGGGTGGAAGTGGGGGCGGAGGGTGGTGGTTGTGTAAATGATGTGATAGGAGAGGTAGAAGAAGCGTCGTGGTAGTGACGATAACGACCCACCATTATTCCCCGTGCTGAAGACGGCCCGGAACCACTTCATGGGGAGAAAAGCTCCAAAAAAAGAAAAAAAAGAAAAAAAAACATTGAAAAAAAGGAGAGAGAATTGTGAGGGTCTTGAAATCACAACCGTTTTCAAATCATAGGTAGTTATTGCTGGTAAAGTCGTGGTATAAAACATTTCACATAACGCCACATACTGCGGCAGTACTTTAGGACGAGACATCACCTCTTATTGCTATGCCAAAGAGATGCCAACTGTACACTAAAGCTAAGTAAATAATGTTACAGCCTTAAACGCTGGAATAATATCCAAATTGCCATTAGAGAGCAGGACATATTCCAACGTTATCTTCAGAATGAAAAAAAAAAAAAAAAAAAAAAAGGAAAGATGAAAACAAGATTATATATGAATCCTGGGGTAATTCTATGATCAGAACTGATTTGCGGCCAAGTGTTCCCAAATGATTCAAATAGAAGAGGAAATATGGATAAAGAAAGAAAGAAATATAAATATAAAAGATAATATCGTTACTCAAGGGGCTCATCCATCCCAGAGGAACGGCCAGACTCAGTCTCAGTTCTCCACTCAGCTTCATCTTTCCCGATAATAGCGGCCGTTTGTGTGTGATTTGACGGGGGTACCACAACGACATCACCGGCAGAAGTAAAGAAGTCATCTGTCATAAGCGAACGGATATTCCTAGGGTTAATATTCACCTTCCTCAAGCTCAAGGCTCTTGGGTCTTGTCCTCTGGCCCTCATCTCTGCCCGGGCATTATGGATGGCCGTTTGGATAGCTTCTTGTCTTGGAACCATAGCTGCCTCACGACACATTTCCTTTATAGCACTTCCAGACATGCCGTCCATTTTCGTGAGTAGTCTGTCCAAGTTTGGGTTTTCTTTCCTTCTGAAGTTCAATGTATCCAAATCCAAATCATTCAAGCCCATGTTGGTCCAATCGACTTCTGTGTCCTTGAGTGCCAGCTTGAGAATTCGGATTTGCTGAGGGGGTTGAGGAAGTGTGACGGGGAATTTCTTAGGCATGCGCCGGAGAATAGCCTCGTCAATATCGAAAATACGGTTGGTTGCGCCCAGAATAACAATCTGTTGCGGCTCCCCTAGAGAGTTTGCAGACGTAAGTCCATCCCAGTGTGTCATGAACTCTGCCTTCACCATCCCACTGGCTTCATGTTCACCGCTTCTGCGAGTTCCAAGAACGGCGTCGATTTCGTCGATGAAAACAATAGCGGGCTGCAGCTTGCGCGCTAGTGAAAAGACTGCCTTGACCAACTTATTAGAGTCTCCGTACCACTTCTCTGTTAATGTAGAGATATTCAGGTTGATGAAGCTAGCCCCGCTTTCCCGCGCCAGCGCTTTGGCAAGCATGGTCTTTCCGCATCCTGGAGGTCCATAGAGAAGAACACCGGATGGTGCCTTCAGAAGCGAAGATTTGGAAGCGAATAGGTGAGGGTAGGTCAATGGATAAATCACTGTCGCTTCTAGCTCTTTTATGATGTGGTCGAGACCACCAATGTCTTCGAAACCATCCTGGATATCCCAGGGCGCGATGAGTTCCGTAGAAATTATTTGCTCATACTGATTGAGGTCGAGGTCAGCTATTTGCTGCCGAAGATTATCGTGTCTTGATGAGGTCGAATCTTCGTCGGACCTGTTCCCTCCGTATATTTTGCGCAATATGGCCGTTGATTTCTGTCGTTGTTCTTCCGCCTGCTTGGTGCTTGCATCGGGTTGAATGATATGATTCAAGAGCAATCTGACCCCACCATAGGCAAGTAAGCCCTATGGATACTTCATCAGAAATGACGTCGAGCCGAAATATATGTATTAACTAACCGAGAAGAGCATAATCCCCATTTCGTGCGCAAAGCGCAGCCAAGGACCACCACCTCGGTCACCTGGCGGAGCCATTATGACGATTCAAATAGATGCAGTAAGACAGGGTATTATCTGAAAAAGATCAAAGAAGTCACAGTGGGCAACTAAGGAGAAGCAGAGGGACGGTGACCGCCTCAAGATGGACGGACACTCGAATTGATTTTCACCGCCCAATAGTGCCGCAAATCACATACCGCCTATCTGTAGTAGCGTAACATTAGTACTTGGATGAATTTTTGTGCGTGGTTACTGTCAGATAACAATCACTTTTATGGTTGATGATTCGAAATTATGACTTTTGGAGCCAGTATGGCTAGAGCCTAAAATCCATCAAGCAATAAAGTAGTGGTGTATGGAGGCTAAATATAAATCCAATGTTCTCGCCAATATTTGCTGCCGTAATCCTGAAAGGCATGTCACATGTCACCTAATGTGGAGATTTGTTGATGTCCGGCGCGTCGACTCGTAAGGAACGGTCAAACTGCGAACTACCAATTTAATCCACAAAATGGCCCCGAAACGCAAAGCTGCAGCTAAAATTTCTGGTCTGGTTGAGTCTGATGATGATTTAATGCAAATCTCGGGAAATGAGGGTGTTCTTCTGGAATCGCAGGAACCTGCCAGCAAGAAACGGCGGGGCCGGGCGCGAACCTCCGATGAGAGTGCGACCGATGTTAAGCCAGTCAAGCGTGCCAGAAAGCAAGTATCAGCCGAAGCTTCACAAGCAGAGGTTCCAGAAGATATCAAGCCCAGACGGGGAAGGCCCCGTGCCATCAAGAGCACCACAGGAAGCGATAGAACTTTGCCACCAGCACCAGAAGAGCTACAGGAACAGGATACACATGAGCAAGAAAATGACGACCCTCCTGCACCGAGCGAAACAAAGACTTCGCGCGCGTCAAAGTCTAGAAAGCCAGCGACAACGACTCGTCGCGCAAAAGGCCGCGCAGCTAGTACAGCCAAGCCAGCTCAGTCCGAGGACGAATTCCAAATTACACCCTCTGGTTCTCGTAAAGTATCTATTTTGGAGCCGACAAAGGATGTCCAGCGACTAAGGGATGAATCTCAAACAACCTCCAACAACGAAACTGTCGACGAATCGACTCTTCCAGACGAATTACCTTCTGCGCCCACTATGCCTACACCGAGCCGTCTTCCTCGATCTCGACTAAGCTCAATGCCCAACTTCCAAGACTTGTCTCCTCGTAAGCGCAGGTCAGGCGTTGAGCCCGTAGAAGGTGGAGATCCGGAGTTGAGGCGTAGAATTGGGGATCTTACCAAAAAGTATGATGGATTGGAGTCCAAGTATCGGAATCTTCGTGAGATTGGAATAATCGAAGCCAACTCAAACATGGAAAAGCTGCGTCAGCAATGCGAGCAGATAACAAAGTGTACGTACTATTTTGGTTGCTTTCGTCTATTCTTCCAAACATGAGACTAATTGCCCTTTTAGCTTCAAATGACCTGGTCGCCTCCCTCAAATCTGAACTTGAAGCTCAAAAAGTCCTCGGGCAGCAAGCCCGCACACTCCAGATACAACTGAAGGATCGGGATGTCGAAATGAGCAGACTCAAATCGGAGGCAGAGCAGGCACGCGCACAGCTTGTATCGGCACAATCTGAGATTAAGACGCTGCAAACCAAACTCGCAGCGACTCGCAGCACAACTACAAGTGCTGAAAGCACAGCCAAGGTTCCTGGGAGCGCCATCAAGGGTGGTCCTGTCAATCGTGCCGTGGCAGCTGCCACTGCCGAAGCTGCACAGGCCGCGCATATTGCACAGCTCAAGGAAGAGTTGTACAGCGATCTGACAGGATTGATTATTCTTGACGTTAAAATTCGAGACACAGATCATTTATACGATTGCATTCAAACAGGAGTCAATGGGAGTAGGTCGACCCTTCAATCACTCAGCGCACAGCTCGAATGTTTACTAACCATCCTCGTAGCTCTTCATTTCAAGCTTTCTGTTCCCCGTGTGTCTAGTGCAGAGTACTCAGAGGCAGAGTTTGAATACTTGCCCCTGCTGGACCCAAGCCGTGACCGCGATCTACTGGACATACTGCCCGAGTTTCTGACAATAAACATTAACTTCATGCGACCACAGGCTGCCAAGTTCTATACGCGCGTGGTTGATGTCTTGACCAAGCGGCGAAGTAGCACTACACATTAAACTTGGATATGGGATTCAATAGAAATATGATGCTTTTGGTTTTGGTACTTGTTAAAAGAACTTGAAACTTACACTTATCTACTCTAATTCTACAAATAATATTTCCAAGTGCGACAGGTAGTTAAATAGTGAATCCGTGCTTAACTAAGGAGTAAACAAAGCTTTTCTGTGCTCGTTTAGAGGCACATGATTGGCTCAGTTTCCCCCCACTTTGATCCGCAAGTTCCCCAATGCATTTGACGGCAAAGGTGGTCCAATGTGTTCCCCATATTCGTGATGACCTTGCGAAGCTCCTTTTTCTAAAGGCTCTTTCTGTTCGGACTCACCGTCCCAATTCCACTCCTTTATTCCCCACAAGTCGGTTCACTGTGAGAAGTCGATTGATCATGGCGCGTCTTGGCCGCGTTGGATTCGTCGTCCTCGCAGTGGTCTTTCACCTGATCTATACATATTCTATTTTCGATATTTATTTCCTTAGTCCCATTGTGAGTGGCATGCGATCATATGGTGTTGATCGATCTGCCGATACCAATGCCCCCGCCCAACGATTGTTCCTTTTTGTCGCCGATGGTCTTCGCGCCGACAAGGCCTTCCAAGCCGTTCCTGACCCTTCACCCGGAAATGCCGAGCAAACCGACGAATTGATCCGCCTGTCACCTTTCATTCGCTCCAAGGTTCTTGAACAGGGCACCTTTGGTGTCTCACATACTCGAGTTCCCACCGAATCTCGGCCCGGCCATGTCGCCCTGATCGCTGGTCTGTACGAGGATGTCTCAGCAGTGACGACGGGATGGAAGCTGAACCCGGTCAATTTCGACAGTGTGTTCAACAAAAGTCGACATACTTGGAGCTGGGGTAGCCCCGATATTTTGCCAATGTTCAAAGAGGGCGCGGTACCTGGTCGAGTCGATGCGGATACATACAGCGAGGAGGCCGAGGACTTCAGCGTGGATGCAACGCATTTGGATACTTGGGTTTTCGACAAAGTCCGCGAGCTCTTTGAATCAGCTGAGAGCGATCCCGAGCTGAACGCGAAATTGCGGGATGACAAGCTGGTCTTCTTCCTTCACCTTCTGGGGTTGGATACTACGGGCCACGCACACCGACCTTATTCCAAGGAATATCTGCACAACATCCAGGTGGTTGATCGCGGTATACAGGCAGTTACAGAGCTGGTGGAGAAATTCTATGACGATGACAAGACCGCGTTTGTCTTCACCGCAGACCATGGTATGAGCGACTTGGGCAGTCACGGCGACGGCCATCCAGACAACACGCGTACTCCCCTCGTTGTTTGGGGCTCTGGAGTTGCAAAGCCATTGCAAAATACCCCCGACGCCCCGACTGGACACGAAGATGGGTTCTCGTCGGATTGGGGATTCGACAACATCCGACGACACGATGTTGCACAGGCCGATGTCGCTGCTCTCATGGCCTACCTGGTCGGCGTCGATTATCCAGTCAACTCTGTTGGCCAATTACCGCTAGACTATCTTGATGCGAGCCCCCGCGAGAAGGCACTGGCCGTCCTCGCAAACACTCGGGGAGTGCTCGAGATGTACCGCGTCAAGGAAGAGCAGAAGAGGGCATCGGTTCTTCGCTACGTGCCTTTTGAGCCTCTTTCTGGGTACGGTGAAACTTCAATTGAAGGTCGCTTCGCTAACCTCGAGGCTCTAATCTCTAATGGTGCTTACAAGGAATCGATCACTCTTTCTTCTGATCTCTTGGTTCTCGGCCTTGATGGTCTACGTTATCTACAGACCTACGATTGGCTATTTTTGCGGACTATTGTGTCCTTGGGCTACCTGGGCTGGATTGCCTATGCTTTAACCACGGTCATTGACTTGCATGTCCTGCATAGTACATCTAGCGCCCACAGAACCGTGGCCAGCATCTCGTTCTTTTCGTCTGTCTTGGTGGTCTTATTTTCTGTCTTCTGGTACCAAGCATCATCTTGGCGCTACTACTTCTACGGGTTTTTCCCTGTGTATTTTTGGGAAGAGGTCTTTGCTCGGCGTAAGGCTCTGATTGCCGGCCAGCAGGCTCTTCTTGGCCACGTTCACTCATTCGGTGGATATCTGAACTTCGGCTTCCAGATCCTAGCGTTTATTGGCGTGCTTGAGGCATTGGTAAACTGAACTACCCTAGATATGAGAGCTTTCTTCAAAACTAACACGCTTTACCTCAGGTCCAAGCTTACTTTCACCGAGAAATCTTTTCAATCTGCTATGCATTGGCAGCCTTCTGGCCTGTTGCTTACGGGTTCAGCTTCGTTAGAGATCATGTGCTCTTGACTATTACTTGGACCCTTGGATGCGGTCTGATGAGCACTTTCACTCTCTTGCCCGTTGTCAAGGTCGAGGACGTTGATACAATGTAAGTCTTGTCTCTTTCTCACTTTTCCGGCTGTTAATCTGTTTGTTCTCAGTACCTATGGAGGTCTTTTAATGTTTTTCACTGGTGTGCTCTATCTCCTTTTTGAGAATTCCATTATTGGACGGAGTAACTCCAAACCCGCTGGTGCTGCGGCTTTTAACAGTGTTCAATCACGGGTTATCATGGGCACACAGGTACGTCTTCATTCTTGCCATCTTATTGCGATGATTTACTTATATTTTATTTCTACCTAGGTTGGTTTGGTTTTCCTTGCCTTGATCGTGACTCGATCAAGCATTTCCTTCCTCCAGGCTCGTCAGGGTCTGCCCCTTGGTAATCAAATCGTTGGATGGTCTGTTCTAGGAGCTTCCGTGCTGCTGCCATTCATCCATCGATTGTATTCCAACAATCACTACATTAATCGCCTCATGGTCATTTTCTTGGCTTTCTCTCCCGCGTTCATCATTCTCACAATTGCATGGGAGGGTCTCTTCTACTTTGTGTTCTGCTTAACACTCAGTACATGGGTTCGTCTGGAGCACGCCATCTTCGTTCACTCCGCCGAACACAAATCAGAACAGACCTCAAAACCTGCGGCCGTCGCCACATCGACTGTTGACGGTCAGATATACAACTACCGCTCCCTCATGATATCAGATGCTCGTGTGGCGCTATTCTTCCTATTCCTGATCCAATCAGCGTTCTTCAGTACCGGAAACGTCGCTTCCCTCTCCTCATTCTCCTTGGATAGCGTCCGCCGCCTGATCCCAGTCTTCGACCCATTCAGCCAAGGCGCGCTCTTGATCTTCCAGATTCTGATCCCTTTCACCATCATCAGTGCCAACCTGGGTCTTCTCAACCGCCGACTGACAGTAGCACCCAGCGCATTATTCATGGTAGTAATGTCTATCTCCGATGTAATGACATTGAATTTCTTCTACATGGTGCGTGACGAGGGCTCCTGGCTAGATATTGGTATGACAATCAGCCACTTCTGCATTGCTAGCCTTCTGTGCACTTTCGTTGCCGGGTTAGAGTTCCTCAGTGAGCAGTTGGTCAGTGGCGTGGAGTTTGGTCCAGTCAAGAGCGAATTGGCTGGTAGCCACGAAGGGGAAGCTGCAACGATTGAATCTCATGAGGAATATGTCGGAACTGGCAAGGGCCAGAAAGTGCACTTGCAGTAATATTTGTTTAATTATGTGCATGTAATTTTATCTTCGGTCTTGTTGACCATACGCTCTTAATATAGAATGAGCCATTTATTATATTTATGAAGTGGTATTTACAATGATTAGTCATGGCTCACGTGATGTCGCCTATGTAATTTTAGAATGTGATTGGCTGAAGCTGGGGCATAATGGTACCACCGTCAGCCGAGGCATCACACGCCTGAATATATCATCCGATCCTGATCATCTTTCCACTCAGAACGAACCCTCTATCTTTTAAATTTCATTAACAGATATCAAGAACCAGTGCATCTAGCATTGAACTGGCAGCTTACCTACATAGCGATCTCGGGACCTGGCACAATACAGTGAGCTATGTTAAACTGCCGACTCGTCTACTCCGTACATCTTGAACGTCGTACCGCATATGTCTGGCGCGACTAAAGCTACATGAACATCCACAGGACCCTCCAAGGCTAGTGCTGCTATGTCTCCCAGATTTCTCCACCGAACGAATAAACTCGAGGATTTAGCTATAGCCCCTCGAGCCTCTAGGATATTTTGGATATCTAGTGGAAGGCGCAATCACTGACCTCATCCCGCACATCCTGGGAGCATTCATTCTTTCAGGTCACTTGGACTTGGTGAGACAGTATCAATTTAGATATCGCAGCTATCCAAGGGCCTAACCCGTGCTTCCAAGGTTGGGATATGAATACCTAGATCATTACCTGGAAATCAAGCTTCTAAGCTTGTACGACATTCTTGACGTATACCTAACCTTGAAGTGTAAGTATGTACCAGGTACGATATACTCCCCCAACAAGGATAAAGAAAGGCTCCCCACAGGGTATTTCCACAACCCATGAACCTTGGAAGGCAATATGTGCATAATCGCGGATAAGTTGCTCTAATCCACAAAGTTTTAGCTTCCATATGAAGGCTTAGGTAGAGAATGAGAATCAGCTGTGTATCCATTTCCGACGCTTGATATCGGCCCTTTTCCCCTTTATGGACGCATTCCGGGTTGACAGCAACCTTGGATTCTTCAGAATAACACTGAATAACGAGCTCCGTATATAGATAAGCGTGTACCTATTATGTAGAAGGCTATTCGCGGACACTACCTAAGTACAGGCTCAACCGTAAAAAGTTGGAATCCTCTATATAGGACTGTAGTTTATATCGATATCAAGGTAGTTAAATATGTACATAAAAATTAGAAATAAGCTAGAATAATGCTTAAGAGAAAAAGGCTACAACGGTCGAACATTCAGACGGAAGAGAAACACTTTGAACCCCACAAGTATTGATCCCCTTTCAATTGCCACATCCTTTTTTCCCTTCTACTTCCCCCTTCTCCATTTCCTATTTTGGGCGTTCAGGAGAATCTCATCACCTCCTTTCACCTGAGCTGTTACTGAATTATCCGCCCTTTATATTCACCACCTCGCGCGCTCCAGAGGGGCACTGCGCGCCATGAACACCTTCGAGTCGCATTCCGACCCATCGGCCAACCAACCCAGTCCTGCTGTCAGTGCCGCCGATTCTTCAGGAACCCCTATTGCGGCTGCTAATGGCCCTGGTGGACAAGGGCTTAGTTTTAGGAGGTAAGATTAATCTTGTATTTCTTCCGTTGGGTAGCAGCTATGGCTGTGGTAGCCTAATTGAAGTCTTGCTGTGAAAGGCATTTCGGCAGGGTTTTCACCCAGTCTATACTATTACTGACAAATGCTGATTTAAATGTAATCCAGACAACGCGCATCACGCGCGTGTGAGGTACGATTTTCTACTTGATATGGGACGCGATCTGGTCGTCGGTTTTCTGGAGAACCTCGGCTGCTGAGAACCTCGGTCCCTTCTTATCGCGATGTCAAAAACCCCTCCTGCGTCGCATATACAATACTACCTTTTAAGAATGAAATAAGCTAACTATTATTTCTTTGTTCGTTTTCAGACTTGTCACTCCCGCAAGGTTGGTCTTTTTTTTTTTTTTTTTCTAAAATTTAATCGGTCGCGTATCATGTACGGTGTTCGCGGTCGCACTAACACTTTCCCTCCAACTAGGTCCGCTGTGATGCCGCTAGCCTCGGAGTCCCATGTACAAACTGTGTCGCATTCTCAATAGAATGCAAGATCCCAACCCCCAAAAGAAAAAAGACTCAATCGAAGGCCAAGGACGACGGTCGGTACGTCGACAGCCCACCCCAGAATGATCCCTCGCTCGTCGACCCTGCGATTCCGCACTTCCAATCCACCAGTGCCGGCCCTACTGAAGCTGCACCGAACGAACAATCTCGATCCCTGGGCTTGGAGCAGAAGGGGAACCATGAATTTAGTTACCATAAGAGTCGGATGAGCTCCAATGGCATGCCTGCCACATCTTTCACGGAGACGGAGGCCGCGCAACAAAACTCGAGTGAAAACGTCTATGCCCAATTCATGAAACCCAAGTTTGCCCGTGCTCCGATCAAAGAAGCGGGGCGCGTGGCGTATCTTGGGGAGTCGTCGAACTTGTCGCTACTGGTCCAGGATCGCCATGGAACATCGAATGTTGTGCACTACCCACTTCCACCAAATATTCGAGGCTCCCGAGCGCGGCTCACGGATCTGGAACCTCTCGAGATTGATATTCTTCACCAGCGAGGAGCATTTCTACTCCCACCGAAACCTCTATGCGATGAATTGGTCGATGCCTATTTCAAATGGGTTGCGCCCGTGGTGCCCATCATCAACCGCAGCCGCTTTATGCATCATTACCGCGACCCTAAGGACCCTCCTTCACTCCTCCTACTACAAGCAATACTCCTGGCTGGCTCAAGGGTTTGTACCAACCCGCAGCTCATGGATGCGAATGGATCCACTACCCCTGCTGCGATGACCTTCTATAAACGCGCCAAGGCTCTTTATGATGCTAACTACGAAGATGATCGTGTTACGATTGTGCAAGCATTGGTACTGCTGGGCTGGTACTGGGAAGGACCTGAGGGTAAGTCTAGAATTTGATGCGAGCTATCATATCCTCTCTGACGGTTTTAAGATGTCACCAAGAACGTATTCTATTGGACCCGGGTGGCCATGGTTGTTGCCCAGGGATCGGGAATGCACCGCAGGTACGCGAATTAATAAAATTTATCTTTTTGCTCCTCTAACCTCTGCTCCAGTGTGGAAACATCTCAGCTCAGCAAACCTGATAAGAGGCTTTGGAAGCGAATTTGGTGGACGCTTTTTACTCGGGATCGATCCGTAGCTGTAGCGCTAGGACGACCAATCGGTATCAATACAGATGATTCCGACGTGGAGATGGTGACGGAAGACGATTTTATTGAAGATGAGGTTGATATGCCAGCCGAGTACCCACCAGAGCCAGTGCATGTGCAGTTCTTCCTGCAATACGTCAAGCTGTGTGAGATCATGGGGTTGGTTCTTTCACAACAGTACTCTGTAGCATCAAAAGCACGACGCACAAATGCGATGGATCTGACACATTCGGATATGGCTCTGGCAGATTGGCTCCAGAACTGCCCCAAGGAAGTCTGTTGGCAGCAATCTCGACACCATTTCTGGGCGGCTTTACTTCACTCCAACTATTACACCACGCTATGCCTTCTGCATAGAGCCCATATGCCTCCTGCATCCTCTGCGCCCAATAGTTACCGAAACGAGGAAATGGCGTATCCTTCACGCACCATTGCTTTCCAAGCTGCAGGTATGATGACTTCTATCGTCGAGAACTTGCAGGCTCATGATGAATTGCGATATACTCCTGCATTCATTGTATACAGTCTTTTCTCTGCCTTAATCATGCACGTGTATCAGATGCGCTCGTCAGTCCCCACAATTGTGGCAACGTGCCAGGAGCGAATCAACGTCTGTATGGCTGCCTTGAAAGATGTTTCGAAGGTATGGCTAGTGGCAAAGATGGTCGATACGCTCTTCGAGTCCATTCTCGGCAACAAGATTCTCGAGGAACGACTTCAAAAAGCCGCTGGCACACGACACCGACGGAGACCTCATGAGAATCCTGCAACTGTAAGGAAACCGGACCCTTTAAAACGCAAATTTGATGACATGGACCTTGGCTTGTCTAATGGTGGTCCGACACCTCCCATGTCGTATGAACGCTCGCGTCCTCAAACACCTGCGGTGACGCCCTCTCGAGAACTCAACCAGCCTCAGACTCAGCCTCCAACGGGCCACTCCACCCCTAATCCCCACCGTGGACTACAAGACCCAGGTCCCATTCCTATCAACTCTCGAGGGAATACCCGTCCAACTACACCGTTTAATGCACAGTTTTCTCTGCCCGCTACACCTCCCGATTTCTTCCTTGTGACTCGTGCCTCGCCGAACCTATCTCCATCACTGTGGGAGAACTTCCAGCCAGACCAACTCTTCCCAGATGGCACAGCAATATTTTCCGAACTGACATCGCCCCCACCAGGGACTGTAGACCCGCAACTACAAGTGCCTCAAATACACCCTCCGATGGGCCCACGGCAGATGATGGGTAATCAACAGCCGTCGGCTATGCCGAGTCGTAGCATGCCTGGTCCCCAGGCTAGCCCACAGATGATGTCGGGAGTGCCAGCCGGTATGGGCATTCCGCCGGGCCAAGGACCAGTGTATGGAATAGAAGGCTCACCATGGCCGATGCCAGTTTTAGACGGAACCATGAATGGAGCAGCGCTGGACGCTGCCAGCCAAGATGACAACTGGAGTAGCAGTTCGCGCAGCGGCCCAACTGCACCAACAGCGTTGAACGTTGAAGATTGGTAGGTCTTGTTGATGTTTATTATCGTTCTTTTACTAATTGTTGCGATAGGTTCCAATTCTTTGGCATCAACGGTAACTTTGGCGTATAATATTGATCATCTTGACGAACTCTCCAGCGAATCATAATCTCGTTTAGTGTAATTTCTTTCCAAAAAAATGGAAGGATCTGGGTGGTGTGGATACGCTAGGTGGGCGTTGGTTGTGGCTGTCATGTTAACGTGTCATGGAACAAGTATAATTGGTGATATATACTGGAGCTGAAGGCTCATGTAATGGACTTTTATCATGTATTAAATATACTTCTCAACGTCGAGAATATTGACATTCCTAACTCTATTTCAGCCCTAACTACGAACCAACTAGTTGAGGTACATCCAAATATTAGTCAGCACTATATAGCCCAATTAGGACTAGTAAATGACGGAATCGCAATGCCAGTATCTCAGCCAATGACAACGTAGCGATGGCGGAGTCATAGCAGTTCTGAGAGCCGAATTGTCGAATTGTTATTCGAAGAATAAGCCTTCCTTTTTTATCCTACATTCTTCTTGTCTCCTATTCAATTGCTACATATCTTTCGTATTTGTACTTAGGTACTTGACTTGATTTGTCCAGTCCAGTTATTTCCCCCATTCAACATATTGGAGTTTCTGCCCCCGCCTCATAAAACATAGCGATGTCGGCATCAGGATCTGGAGCGCCCAACGATGTGTCGAAACCATCAGGTTTCACTAAGAAGGCATTCCCACACGTTGACTTGCAAGGCAATGACCTTCCGCCTTCTCCTGCTCCCTCCAGCCCTCATGGAGGTCGTCGGTATAATATCGCCACCGAGCTAGTCTTGACCGAGAGCAATGACCAGTATAATGCCAGCAGTGTGCCAATTTATCAGGTATGACACGCACCTCAATTGCACCAGCGAAGGGCTAGCAGTGTTAATGGAACTTTTCCACAGAGTGCTACCTTCAAGCAGTCATCCGGCAGCGGAGGCGGCGAGTACGACTACACCCGGTCTGGTAACCCTACTCGTACACACCTTGAACGACACCTGGCCAAGATCATGTCAGCACAGCGTGCTCTCGTCGTGTCTTCCGGCATGGCCGCGCTCGATGTGATCACCCGTCTTCTGCGCCCCGGCGACGAGGTCGTAACCGGCGATGACCTCTACGGCGGCTCCCACCGCCTGCTCAAGTTCCTCTCAACCAACGGAGGAATTATTGTGCACCACGTTGACACAACCAACCCCGCCAAAGTCCTGGAGGTGCTAAGCCCCAAGACCGCCATGGTTTTGCTGGAGACCCCGACCAACCCATTGATCAAGATCGTCGACATCCTCGCCATCGCCACCGCTGCTCACGAAGCAAACCCCACTTGTCTAGTGTCTGTAGACAACACCATGATGTCGCCACTTCTCCTGAACCCCCTCGAGCTGGGTGCTGACATTGTTTACGAGAGCGGCACTAAGTACTTGTCCGGCCACCACGACCTCATGGCCGGTGTCATTGCCGTAAACGACCTCACTCTCGGTGAACGCCTCTACTTCCCAATCAACGCATCTGGTTGTGGCCTCTCACCTTTCGACTCATGGCTCCTGATGCGCGGTGTCAAGACGCTCAAGGTGCGCATGGACCAGCAGCAAATCAACGCGCAGCGCATCGCCGAGTTCCTCGAAACTCACGGATTCAAGGTGCGGTACCCAGGCCTGCGCTCGCACCCGCAGTACGACCTGCATCACTCCATGGCGCGGGGCGCTGGAGCTGTGTTGTCCTTCGAGACCGGTGACGTCGATGTCAGCGAGCGTATTGTTGAGAGCGCCAAGATTTGGGCTATTAGTGTTAGTTTCGGCTGCGTTAACAGTCTGATCAGTATGCCTTGCCGGATGAGTCATGCTAGTATTGACGCGAAGACACGGGCCGAACGTGCCATGCCTGAGGATCTGATCCGACTGTGTGTTGGTATTGAAGACGCTGATGACCTGATTGATGATCTACGACGAGCGCTTGTTGAAGCTGGTGCTGTTCGTGTGACGCTGGACGGCATCGAGGCTAACAATGCCGTCTCTGCGTAATTTCCATAGTAACTGTTCGGTTCTTTTATATATTGCAAATAGGCGTTTTGGGGATTTAAAATTCAATCGATATCAAACCAAAATAACTACCCCAAGTATTTGGATATCAAAGTACTGAGTAGTCCTAATCGGTTATCTGTCCGGCATCGGAGCCGGCGCTCGCGTCCGGGACTTTCTCATCCACATCCCCCGTATTGCGATAGTGAGCATCATTTTGTTATTTGTAATAACTTTCCCTTTATTCGTCTGCGTCGTTTTATCGTTTGTGATCTGCATATTTTCTGCCTAATGCACCCGAATTAATTACTCTTCACCTCCAGAACTCGACTATGAGTGTGACTAGCGATGCTGTTGCGCAGGATACTTCCTTCGCTACCGATACATCGATACCAAAGGTTTCAACGACAGTCCCAAAACAAGCATCGAAATGGAATTCGAAAGATTTAGGTCGTCGATTGGGTGTCGATCTCGTCAGTGCTGCCTCAGCTGGCGCACTAACATGTCCTATCATCACGATTATTGATCGGTGAGTCTTACTTTTTTTTCGCCTTTCTCATTCGGGCGTAGGATCCCTGCGTAGCAGAAATGAAGACACCAAAGAAGGGATTTGAGAGAGAGCCAGACTAATCGCCTTATCTATATAGCGCTATCATTGAAAAAGCCTCAAAAGGCTTCCCAATCCAACAAACAATCACCAACAGCCTCCGATCAATGGTCGCCAGGCCAGGCGCATTCTTCCTAGGCACACCATTTCTCCTCATATACACACTCTACACCTCAACCTACCTCACAGCTAACGTAATCGACACTGCAACCTCCACCCTTCGCAACCAGTCTTACTCAAGTGTATTCGCCGGCCCAGCAAAGTTCATCTCAACAACAGCCGTAAACATGGCAATCTGCGTCTACAAAGACGCGCGTTTTGCCCGAATCTTCGGTGCAAATTCCCCAGGCCAGACAGATTCAAATATATCCCAGAAACAGACAAGCCCTTCGTCTAGAACAACTCTCCGCCCTCCAATGCCTCCTACACCTAGTATTCCCCGAGTCTCGTACTCCCTCTTCTGTCTCCGTGATAGCGTCACTATCTTCGCCTCTTTCAACGTCCCGCCCCTCATTGCACCCTTAATACCAGACTTTGTCGCCGCAACCCCGGCTATGAAGGCTGCCGTGGCTCAATTCGCTTGTCCGGCTCTAATGCAGTTCGTCAGCACGCCGATGCATCTACTAGGCTTGGATCTGTATAACCGACAACCACAGGGTGGTATGCCGTGGGCGGATCGCATGTCGCGAATCAGACGAGATTATATATCTAGCTCCTTTGCTAGAATGGGGAAGATCGTGCCTGCTTATGGTATTGGTGGTGTGGCGAATGTGCGTGTGAGAGCTACACTGATGCATAAACTTGAGGGGAGGACCGAGTAACGGTCGAATTAACTGTTCGATATGTTCTTATCACGAAGCCTGTAGGCTAGGCTTCATGACCTGGTGGAATTTTATCTTAAGTACTTTGTCATGACCATCTTCACTCTGTGTTTCGTTTTTCCTGGGACGGAGTTTTGAGGGATATGGAGGGTCTGGGTTCCTTTGCTTGCTGCCTATCTGGATATAAATGTGCATTCTCATTCCATCATGGCGTTGTGGGATGTGTTGGACTCTTTTGTTCACTCAAGTGTTTCGGCTCCTTTCTCATTCCCTTTCCCAATCTTGTAGATACATTAGATCTGGATATCTTCAATAGAGTTATAGACTTTCAGATTTCTTGGTTGTAGGTCATTCATATCAATGCAGTTTTCTACATCAGATATTTGAGTAACTCAACTATCACTATCACCGTAAATCTTATCAAGTCAAATGCGCTTTTCTCCAAGATTTTGGAGATTCCAAGGTTGAAATTCGAGCCCTGGGTGAATTTATTTTTCTGTCTGACTCTCCAGGGTATAAGAATAAATGCGTAAAGCCTCACAAAAAACATGCATCATCTCAAAGACATGCGAGCCCTTCAATATTTCCGAGAGCAAACGAATAAGCATCGCTCCAACGCGCCGAATCTGAGTACTTCCTATTTTCAACTCATCACCTAACGGCTGAGCCAAGTCCGCTTCCCTCAGAACACTCATGATAATTCTCAATAGCCGTCGCTCATCCCGATGGAGATTTGTCGGGTCTTCAGCTAGAGTTTCCAACCACTTGCACAAGAACAAGGCGCATTCAATATTACACAGGGAGTGAATAGTGCTCCACGTTAATGTCTGTGTCCTCGCGACATATTCGATGCCGAGTCGTACAGGGATGGAAAGAGCGTGTATGGATTGGAGTACAGCGTGATAGACTAGTGGGACCTGTGCTGGCTTCGGTGCGTTTAAAAAGGCGGATGCAATTGTTTTTGGATCCCATGTTCCTAAACTGCGGTGTGGGCCTAGATTGAGGTGTAGCCGGATGCATGCGATGCGGAATATGGCTGTTGCGTTGAATCCCAGGGGGCCTTTGGGAGATGATGGTGTTATAGAAGGGTCTGAACTGATTTCCCAGCTCTTCTGCCATCGGCGAAGTGCACTGTGGAATCTTGTGAGAACTTCGTGTGGTAATGAAGATTGGTTTTCGGAGGCTGGGAGATAGAAGGCCGATTCCCACGCTAGGTATATTTGCTGGAAGATGCCGTGGATTAGAACCAGGTTGCCGAATGAGGACAAGCTGGAGTTATCTTTGTAAGAGGCCTTCGATCGGAATAACTGGGCGAATTTGTCTCCAAATGAGACACCGTAAAGCCATTTCGATCGAAGAGTTTTCCATTCTGAAGCACTCGACGCCATCCAGAGTTCGTCAGGACAGGGAAGATTAAGTGAGTTCAATTCACTATTCAAAATCTTTGGCGGCATGTGGTATATGATTGTCTGATTATTGCAAAGCATGTACGCAATGAATTTAGTACGACGCCGGCCTTCTTGCCGGATCCAGTCGCCCCATGTTCCATCATTGATGGGGTCGTCCTGCGTGAGAAGCCCGCTATCACGAAGATAGAGTGCAATTTGACTGGTTGTTGTAAGTGAGTCGTGAAGGAGCTCTTGACTATCCCATATCCCTAGAGTTGTGAGGATAATCCGTGCTTGCAGAATCTCGATATTATCCTTCTCCGAAAGAGCATGTGAATGTAAATGTGAGCGTGAGCGTGTGCTGTGTTCGGTATGATGATCGATTAATGCCTTTGAGGCTTTGTAAAAGCAAACTGCCCTCTCTCGCTCGAAGCGATACTGTGCACCCATAGCTAGTATGGCTAATATCAACGGTGGAGTTAGACATGCAACGGAAATAGTAGGAAAATGCAGAAACGGTAGATGGCCGTGGCTTCCAGTAAAAAAACCCTCTATGTATCTGCAAAAGACATATTTCGAAGGTAAGCTGAAGGCCCCAGGAATAAGATGGGATATTGCTCCAATATTTCCAAGAATCACCTGGTAATCCTCTTTATTGATACGCCAAGGATAACCCAGCTCGCAAGTTGCGGAGCGTTCTAGGCAGAATTCTGGATTTTGCGAGGTGTTCTCAATATCTTGATCTTGGGAAGCAAAGTCATCGGTATGTTGTAAGGATGGAAGTTGGTAATTGCAGAGTGATGCTTCATCATCTGAGTTTAGACTTTCGGGTTGTGTTTCACCGGTGGACATCCCCGAAGGCGGGCATGACATATCAGGAGGAGTAATATCAGAGCCATCAAAGTCGGCAAAGGTTATAAGCTCATTTGGAATGCCGGATCCCAATGGAAAGGTTCCTTCCCAAGAGAAATTGGCGTCCATATCTCCCCATAGAATATGAAGATCTTGTACATTCTCGTCAAAATCCTGCTGTGTAATGTTTTGTTGAAGTGTTGTTAAAGCTGGCATTTGTCTTTCATTGATTGCCGCGGTCTCCAGTGAAGATGTCTCTATATGGGAGGGAGCATTCAAAGCTTGAGCATGGAGTTCCTGATCCTGCAAGGGTCGAGGGACTAACAGACTGCTCTCATTTGCGGTTGAATCCAAATCTATCAGGTGATTAGATGCTCCTGAGTCAATTTTTAGAGAATCATTATCATTCGTTCTGGCTGAATGTTCGGTAGACTCGATTTCACCATGGCAAGAAGGATCGTTCTTGAGCTTCAAGTGTCGCGATAAGAGGTCACTTATGCTGGTAAGATCCCATTTTATCTACATTATTCGTATGAATTTACATACCGTCTGGTAAATCTCTTGCCACACTGACAACTGAAGGGTTTCTCTCGAGTATCTGTAAATTCATTAGTGACAATCGCCGGCTGAGAAGTGAGAATAGGCCCATACGGGTTCGTTCATGGCGAAGTAGATGTTCGCGTCGAGAAAACCGCCTCCGGCAAAACTTGCAGGGTGCAACCTCAATACGAGGACGCATTCTAATTTCTCTAGATCCTGGAGAATAATCAGGTGAATCAACTTCAATTAGTTTAGGAGTTGGTTCTCTCGGAATCTTGGCTCTGGAAATTGGGGTTGAACCGATGATAAGATTATATTACTAATCGAGGCCTTATCTGGGCTCGAACCAATCATATGAAAGACAACAGTATAGGCCTACTCGATCTAGTTCTAATGATGATTTGTGATATTTTAGAGATGATCTTGTGAAGCGGTAACGTGTCATATTCCAAAATAGGAGCTTCTTAAAAGCATTAAACTATTAGTTAACAGACAGTGCCTGAATTAACGAATCTTTGATTTCTGGTTATCGAATACTTTGTAATCGTCTTCCAAACCAAACCTCTCTTCGCACGCTGTCAACTGACAATCAGCGCCGGATCATCAAAATCCGACAATCCACTTCACAGCCAGTGCTGCTCACGTCGTGCCCGGTCTTCGAAAGCCTCCTTGTACACTCCACTTTTGGCAGTCGAGAGCTTTTCCCGCACAAGGCCAATAAGAAACTGAACACCCAGGCCCACTCCATCCAAAACTCGTACACCGGTTCCAGTCACGATGCCCTCACACTCAGTTCGCATGTCTGTCATTCCTGCACATCCGAGTAGAATGCAGTCAGCTTTGTTGATGCGAACGAGGTTGTCAATCTTGCAAGCGAGAAGAGCATGAACATCTCTTCGAGGCAGTGTGTCCAATTCCAGCACTCCCAGCTTGGCCGATTCACATCCGGCAAAATAATCAGAGAAACCATAAGCAGAGATTGTACGCGCATGGGTAAGAGCAGAGCGATCAGAAGTACAAATGATGCCCATTCGCGCTCCAAGCATGCGCGCAGCATACATTCCTGCTTCCATAATTCCAATCACGGGCTGGGAGAATTCCTCCTTAAGGACTTGGATAAGGGGATGGTCTCGGAAACAAGCAACGAGAAATGCGTCGTACTGCTTTGCAATGGGCTTTATCGCTTTGATGCAGACTGCAGTGGAGAGTACTGCGTCGACTTGATTTTCGATAGCGGTGGGACCCTGATCAGGGGCGGTGAAACCGTGAACGGTAACATCACCAGGCAGACTGAGTGCAATAGAACGCAGGCAGTCTTTGGTCATGTACTCAGAGGAGTTTGGGTTCACAAGAAGAATGTTGATTTTCTTGGATTGAGGAGACCCGGTGACGCTTGGTAGCGACATTTCTGCTAGAATGAGGCATTATGATTTAGTAAATAATGCTAAAAAGGACCAAAGGATCTACCTGGATCGTGGATCATCCAAGGGTGTAGGTTGTGGGTTGTGTAAAAGGAAAGATGAAGAAGGGTGGGCAGAAGTAAACAACAAGTGAAAGTGGGGACGCGTTGATGTATCGTATTGATACCTACCCCAACCACTTTACGACTCACACATTTATTCACGCCACTCTCCAATTTAAATATGATTTTAAATCGAAAACATTTCTTCCACTCTAAGTCAATAAATATCCAATGCCGTGCAATCCTTGGTTTAAACATGAAAGTAAGTGGGATTGGCGTGGAGGGGTTTTTACTCCAATTTCTAATGGAACAATGACTTTGAAAGGCCCCCTCACGTCCCCACTCCTTCTCAAATGGTAACGGTTTGTGTATCTATTCATTTGAATGGCAAGTTCAAAGTCGGGTCACACAATTTCAATCTATCAAGTCACAACTAAGAACCTAAGCACATAAAGCCTTTGTATCCCGGGAATCTTGAAACCTTGGAAGCTCAAGCTACAAGACATTCGATTTCTCCGACGACTCACAGAAAGAAAATGGGTAGGACTCTTAATATTCATTCTCCTTCATTTTACTAAATCCGTCAAGCGTTTTATCTCGTGATTGGCTGTGGAGTGGTTGGCCTCACCACCGCTTTGGAGCTCAAGGCTAAGCATCCTGATGCAAAGGTCGTCATTGCAGCAAGATATCTTCCTGGGGATTCAGTAGCAGAATATGCCTCGAACTGGGGAGGCGCCAACTGGTTCCCAGCCTCATTCGATAATGGACGCCTAGAGAAATGGGATGCAATCACCTACCGCAAATTAAAAATCCTTGCCTCTGAGCGGCCAGATTCGGGAGTCAAAGCAATGAACATCAAATTCCACTATGATCAACCAATCGAAGAAGTTGGAATTCTTACTCCTGCTACTGGAAAGCTTTGGTTTGAGGACTTGGTTGGCGGATTGATACCAATCGAGAAAGAAGATCTACCTTCTGGGGCTGTATTCGGATTTGAAATGGCTTCCTTTGTTATGGATGTCCAAAGATACCTTCCTTGGTATGATAAATCCCTTTTTTATGCCTTTAAATTCATCTAATCAACTCAAGCTTACAGGTTGCAAATGCAAGCCAACTCTCTTGGCATTGAGATTCACCGACGAATTTTTAAAGACATTCATGATGCCTTTGAAGAGTATCCCGGTACATCTGCTGTGTTTAACTGCACTGGAATTGGCTCACTCAAGCTTGGTGGAGTCAAAGATGAGAAGATGTTTGCTGCAAGGGTTTGTCATGAGTCTTCTTCAAAACCTGAGATTTTCATGCTAATGTCAGGAAAGGGCCAAATTATGTTGGTTGAAGGCCCCAAAGAGCCACTTCGCACCATGTACTTCCGGGCTCCCCATCGTGATGCCGACGCAACTCATATCTTCCCACGAGGAAAAGATGGTAGAACGGGTGTGATCCTTGGTGGTTGCCGAGAGAAGCACAACTGGAATGGGGAGGTTGATCTCGAATTTGCGGAAGAAATTAAGAAGAAATGTTGTGAACTCGCGCCTCAACTTGGAAAGCCCGAGGACCTGAAGGTTTTCAAACACGGTGTCGGTCTCCGCCGTAAGTCTTATCTTGGACTTAGGTATCCAACCAACTAGCTAATCGTTATTTGCAGCTGGACGAGAGGGTGGTGCTCGGATCGAGCCTGAATATATCGATGGCAGAATGGTCATTCATAATTATGGAGCAGGGGGCACCGGATTTCAAGCATCGTGGTAAGTCTTTCGCCCTATAATATAATGGAGATCTCAGCTAACGGGCTTGGTTAAAAGGGGAATGGCTAATGAGGCCGTCAGCTGTCTTGCAGAACGCGCTCGATTGTAAATAATCTACTCAGTACGTGAGATAGTGGTCGGTGTAGGTCGTAGAAAAACACTCTTGAGATTGTTCATTAGGAGAAGTGTAGCTAACTCAAATCAAATTTTCTCGTTCTTAACAATTGCAAATTTGTAATGACATCACTCCATAAAAATGCTACGATTAATTATTATCTTCTTATCATGCTTGGGGCTTGGGGCGCCACAGATCGCGCTCTCCTTCAATCATACCAGCAGGAAGCTGCCCCGTTTTGCCGACCAGAACACGCCCATTCTCCCGTTTGATGAAATTTCCAAATCCTTTCGTACCAGTGACGCGATTTTCATCTGCGTTCCAAACAACTTGACCTCGTAGAATTGTAAATCGGGGCCAATTTCGCACGGACATTCCTTCAAAAGGTGTATAGTCAACATCATGATGCAGATTAGCCTGCTCAATGACCCTTTGTCCTTGATCTCGTGGATGCCAGATTACTAAATCCGCATCATATCCCGGCAAGATCGCGCCTTTTGTCGTCAGACCATAGAGTCGAGCTGGATTGCCAGAGGTGAGTTGGACAAATCTTGCAAGACTCAGCCTGGCCTGATTCTTGGAGAGACAGCCTTCAGACTCGCTGAAAAGAAGCGATAAACGTGTCTCGATCCCAGGAATACCCTTGGGTATCTTGCTGAACTTGGGAATGCCATTGATGATACCGGCTTTCTTCCCTTGGGGATGATCGTACTTTGTCGGAGCATGATCAGAAGAGAAGACGGTGAAAGTATCGTTTGCAATGCCTTGCCAGAGGGCTTCAAGATCCTCTAGATGGTGGCGAAGTGGAGGAGAGCAAACACCCTTAGCACCGTGGAAATGGTCATGCTCTTTATTTGCCAGCCTATCAGATAAAAGGAACAAATAGTGAGGACATGTTTCCGCGTGAATAGGCAGGAGTCTGGTTTGTGCGTCCCTGATATGCTTCATCGCCCCGTCAGAAGAGACATGGACAAGAAGGAGAGGGGCATCAACAAGCTCAGCAAGTCGAATTGCACGATACGAAGCCTCATCCTCTGCAATTTTGGGACCTGAAATGGCGTGGAAGAAGGGAGCAGTGTTTTCATTCTTTTCAAGTCCTTCGATCAGGAAGGAAATCATGTCACTGTTCTCCGCATGGATCATAGTAGTGAGTCCTAATGATCGACAAGCAAGCATTGTCTCCAGAAGCTGGCGATCTGACAATTTATATAACTCATAGGTCATATATAGCTTGACGCTTGTGATTCCCTCTTTCTTGGAGAGAACTGGAAGCTCTTCATTAAGAATCTTTTCATTGGGATTGGTGATAACAAAGTGAAAGCCGTAATCGCAGTAAGATTGATCCCGGGATTTCTCATGATAATCCTCAAGAACAGGGTACAAGGATGTCATCTCCTTTGTCTGTGATGCGAATGCAAGAACAGTTGTCGTGCCACCGGCAACGGCACTACGAGTTCCAGTCTCCCAATTGTCGCCTGTTGGGGCATTTCTCTGTGCAAGATGAACATGCGAGTCGACGCCACCAGGAGTAATGTAAGCTCCTTGAGCATCAATGATTTTGGTTTCTGGACCTTCAGGAATATTGTATCCTATTAAAGATATCTTTCCGTCAGAAATTCCAATATCTTGTCCTGCTGGAAGAACTCCACTCTCTGTGACCTGGGTAAATTTTTAGTGAATCATTCCAACGCAACTGTAATGAAGTAACGTCCGGGCAAACGAAGAATCTTTGGAATGACGAGGGATTTTTGCTTTGGATCAACTTACAATGAGGCCATTTTTGATGATCGTATCCAATACCATGATTGCGGAAAATTCTTTCAAGGCCTTTCTTTGGCTAGTAAGAACGTTGGTGTCAATGTATTGATTTGGAAAACCAGAAGGCTATGGAGTACTTAATCAGGCGATAGCATGTGTATACTTCCGACTTCCGTACTTATCTGATATGGGTGGGGGAGTAGTTACCCCAACTTAATTCCCCGCTCTGATAAGGGTGAATATTGCGATCTGCAAATTAGATCGGGGTTAGAACATGATTCGTGATTTAATTTTGATAGAGCGCGCAAATGGCCGGAAGCCTCTACTACCCGAATCTAACTCCGCTTGCTGGATTGGAATTACTTGGAGGTTGCCGTGAATTATGTCACTAGTCCCTTGACCGAGAGATTCGCTACTATGTACATATCACCAATGTCAACTACTGGCTGGAACCTCATCTTTTACTTACAAGCCTGGATCCTTGATCGGCCGTTAAGATAGTTTTAGTATGGAATTTATTCAGTTTGTCGATACTAAAGTGACTTTAGAAACTCATTTTCTCTATCTCTCACAACAGCTCTGGTTCAATAGGCCCCGTGCGCTCAATGATAGAGTGATAACTCTCGGGTTTACGATGTTTTTCGAATGCAAACACACTTGTCTTGAGTTGACGGCAGTCGGCTAGGTCGATGGTGGCCACAACTATCTCATCCTCCTTAGTCTTGGCTTCCTTAATGATATGTCCAAGCGGGTGAACAATGATAGTACCACCAATCAGCGGATGTCCATCTTCTGAGCCTGTTTTGGCGACGTTAATGCTAAAGCAAGCATTCATGTAACTATTGCCCTGGCAAGAGAGCTTGTGATGGAACGTCATCTCCTCTTCCGCTGCCTCGGGACTAAGACCCGGTACTGGATGACCAGTAGATGTGGAGCGGAAGGCAGTAGTGTTATATCCACAACACATAAGCTCCAATCCTTGGAGTCCGTACACTCGCCATGCTTCCGCCCATCGTCGATCATTGCAAATTAGCATGCCAATGATGGGATCGCCTTTTCCAGCTGTTTGTGATGCATCACTGATATCTCTAGACTTCTTCAGAGCGCCATTTACGAGACCTGGTGCCCTGAAAGCAGGGAATCCTAAGTCGCCATTGCGGAAATATCGTTTTTCCAGTTGTTGGAATGAACCAGGCTCGGTATGAGGCTCGACTGAGCCAGGGAGATGAACTTTGCGGTACTTTCCAATGACTTTACCCTCTTGTGAAGAGTAGTATAAAGAGGAATTATAATCAATGTGGGAGCCGTCTGATTGAATGCTCCTTTCCGCATAGCCGACATAAACATCAATGCCGAGTGATTTGGCATGATCAAGGAGAGGTTTCACATTGGCTGACTGTTCGATTCCACCTTCACTCGGGTTTTCAATTTCAAAGTACTGGTCTAAATTCTTTCCCTCAAGGAAGTATCGTGGGAAAAATGTGGTGAAAGCTAGCTCCGGGAAAACAGCAAGCTTGACGCCTTCTTTCGCACATTGGTCCAGAAGCAGACACATGCGTTTCAAGACATCCTGACGCGAGTCCGAGAGATGAATAGGACCCAGCTGGCAAGCAGCAACAGTCACGAGCCTCGGTGCGAGTTTGACGGAACTCATAGTAAAAAATTGAAAAATCAGAGTGTTCTGGTGTGGAGTTTCAAAACAGCTCTTAAGCGTAAGCTAATTGCCTTAATTAATTCAATCAAAGCTCATCTTATCGGGGTTTTTGTCATCTAATCTATAAATGGACCAGATAATACAAAAAGTTGGGGTAAACTACGCCATTGGCTTAGATCCATTGTTCTCCGCTTATCAGTTCCAACCCCAAAGATAATCTACAATTAGCTAATCCAGATAGGCCAAGCCTTGGAGTATTTAATGTGGAGTATCTTCTTATCTTAACTTTTAATAGTAGGTTAGTAGCTTTAATTATTCAGTGAAGGATATCTCACTATCAGCAGCGGCATCGGGTGATTATCTAGCCTATATACCCATCGCATAGACAGAAGTACTGAACAATTTCCGCAAGCGAACCCACACTTGGTAAGGACTACCTAGGTATTTTGTGCAATGAACAGTAGAACTTAAGGTCTGCAGACTAAACCTAAAAGGTAATGACAGGATTTAACCTATCTAGAGTAAACCTTGAGCGATGCTAAGGCCCACCTGGCTAGTTCCACTGAACTAGCATGGATGTAGGGTAGACTCTAGTCCTCTTTGGAAACACTTTTTCCGTGGCAAGTTTTCGACCCCGGGATTCCTTATCAGTGATTTGGAGACAGTAGATACCAAGAAGTTTATCTATGAAATGTGGAGAATTAATCTGTCAAATAGCGATTGTTATCTTCGAACGCTGGAGTGAAATATAAGTTTGGGATATGTTTACATGAAATGAATATTAAATCTAAATATTATTTGAAAACTCTGAAGTTTCTTATAGACTCAAATCTGCTTATCCTGACCTTTCAAGGGTTGTCACCGTTAAATGGATATGAGCAAGAGCATCCATCCGGACGAGGAGCAGTGTATTGGAAGCCATGACTATAAAAGTGGTGAGATGATATTGCTTGAGCCGAAGTGCATGTCCATAGGAGAATATGCAGCTACCAGGATCACGACCCTCAAACCCCCTATGACACATCTCGCCAACCCAATCACTCTTCTGCGCATGCTCAATGCACGACAATGGGCCTTCTTTGCAGTCTCATTCTGGGCATGGTCATGGGACTCCTTTGACTTCTTCACCGTATCCCTCACAGTTTCTGATCTAGCAGAGACTTTTAACAAATCTACTACCGATATTACATGGGGAATTACCCTAGTTCTCATGCTTCGGTCAGTTGGCTCCATCATTTTCGGAGTCGCAGCAGATCGATATGGACGCAAATGGTAAGTTCTCACTATTAGCATTTAGGGCACTTGACCTGTACTGATTGAGTGGATACTGCAGGCCATTTATCGCCAATCTTGTTCTTTTAATCATCCTTGAGCTTGGCACAGGCTTTACACAAACATATCAACAATTCCTTGCGTGTCGTGCTCTGCTTGGAGTTGCAATGGGTGGACTATATGGAAATGCAGCGGTGACCGCGCTGGAGGATTGTCCCAAGGAAGCTCAAGGTCTTATATCAGGATTGATGCAGCAAGGATATGCGTTTGGTTACCTTCTTGCAACTGCCTTTTCGCGAGCCTTGGTAAATACCACATCGCATGGCTGGAGACCTCTCTTCTGGTTTGGTGCATGCCCTCCAGTCCTTATTATCATCGCTCGTCTTTATCTAGGAGAGACAAAAGCTTTTCAAGATAGGCATGAGGTTCGCAAAGAGCAAGGAGACATTGCTAAGATGTTCATTGCTGAAGGAAAGGTTGCGATCAAGCGTCACTGGCTATTGCTGGTGTACCTGATCCTCTTGACTAGTGGTTTCAATTTCATGGCACATGGAACACAAGACCTATATCCTACTATGCTGAAGAGTGACAACGGTTTCGATACCAATATCGTCACTGTGACCCAAGTTGTTGCCAATTTGGGTGCAATTTGCGGTGGCACTATTATGGGATACTGCTCACAATTCTTTGGTCGACGACTCAGCATGTTGACCGTGTGCATTGTCGGTGGAGCCTTACTATACCCATACACATATGTGAGATCGAAGTCCGTCATGGCTGCAGCCTTTTTCGTGCAGTTCTGCATACAGGGTGCCTGGAGTATCGTGCCTATTTACATCATGGAGCTTTCTCCTGGTTCTTTTCAGGCTTTCATGGTCGGGTCAGCTTATCAAATTGGAAACCTGGCATCCTCTGCCTCTTCAACGATTGAATCAAGGCTTGGTGAGCGTTACCCACTTCCATCGGTAACAACCGACGGCAAAGTCGTTCACCGATATGATTATAGTAAAGTTGTTTGCATCTTTATGGGAGCTGTATACGCTTATAGTATAGTGATGATCTTGATCGGGCCGGAGAAGAGAGGTCGTGATATGGATGTTGCAAATGACCAGGAAATGTCTGAGATTATTCGTAACCGCAAAGCAGAAAAATAGAGGCCTGGTTGTGCTTTATAATCAAACCTTGGAATCCGCCCATATGAAATTTGTTATCAGTCTAATTTATCTCAATTTCTTTTCTCTATCAAATCTTGGAGAATGACCTTGCCTGATGCTGCCTTTCTTACCTTTCAAGTTTGAAAGGTTCATTAATATTATGATTCTATACTAAGGGGCCCTGTCGATCATGATAATAGTTTTTAACAATTTTCCCAACGTTATTCCAAGACTCATACCAAATGTCAGCATTAAATCTGTTCAATTGATTGGTGATGATGGTTATGCAAGAATGACAAGCCTTAAGACCAATCGTGGATGGTGCGGCAATTTCATTCAAAATTATGATACCATTAATCACCGGTTCTTCAAGAAAAGTGTTTGCGAAATGGCATCGACCCGCAACAGCGTGTAATTCTCCGACTAGTCAGGCGGTAGAACAGGATACTTTTCTAGGCACACATAAATAGATCGGGATGTTGGGCCCTTTATTCGGAGTTGCAAGCACACCGATCTCTCTATAAAAAGATCTATGACTTAGATACTGTCATATTCCCTACTGCATGGAATGTGAAAAAAAGGTATAGCAAGACCCCATTGAATAAATACCCAGCTCCCTTCATTGAGGAGTTTCCGAATACGATTGTGGTTATAGCAGTTGATATTGATGATTCTCCGTCAAGTTTCACTCCGGGAGCAATCGATTCTGACGCGGTGAAAGGCATAACAGAGTATCGAATCGAGTGTGATTGTGATTATGGTAGCGGCACAGATAAATCTAGGACTTTGTGCGATCAAGGCACTTCTTTCGCTGTCCCGACTATTGAACTTGCAGCATATCTGATATCGGGTGATTCAAAACACAGAAAGTGGGGTCACTAAGAATGGAACTTCGCTATGCACGTGCCTTTGGTGGTACGCGTTATCTGGAATATACTAGACGTAGAAGGCTACTAAATATCATTTTATAAAAGTCCATATCGTGAGAGATACATGAATTGTGCAAGGAGCCAAAAGAAATCAGGATTATTTCTGTCGTTCCCGCCCACATATGATCTCGTCTAGCTACAAATGTTGTTACTGTGGAACCTGAGACCTCTACAAACTGTACCTAGTACACAGTGACATTTTCTTCTCCATTTATACATTATCTGTGGTTTTCAGTTAATGGCAATTTGTAAAGGAAAGGAAGTGAGAACACTGAACATTCCTTTGCATTTAGATAAGATTGCAAAAAGAATCCACAGCGGACCCTCAAGTTCGTGACTACAGTTCAAGATAAACCAATTAAGTGCTTCACATCCAGCTCCACTTTTAGTCTCGGTGATTTGTTATCAATTAAATTGACTGACCAATGCTGTTGTTGACAGTGTTGGATAAGGCGGGGAAGATTTCTAGCTTAAGTTCCTCACTTTCTACATCTCACTTTCTTTCCTTTTCCCATAATACATTTTTGCCAGTTGACCCCTCTTATATCGAAATATGTCGCAGAGCTGGGAATTGCAAGCCAAAAGAGGCCGGGATATTCTCATCAATTCCGTCCCCAGGAACTGGCTTGTCCCAATAGTAAAACTACCACCAATGGTGCAGAAGAGTGTGATAGATTTCCCTAAGGAGAGCGGGCTCTATAGTGAGCGAGAGCTCGCGATAACGGACATGTCCGCGACGGAGCTAGTGGAAGAAATGGGAAAGGGTCAATTGAAGGCTGAAGAGGTGGTAGTGGCATTTCTCAAGCGATCTGTCTTGGGACATCAACTGGTCAGTCTTTTCTATTGACTCAAATTAACCAGTGTATAAACACTAAGGCTTTTGGTAGTTGAACTTTGCGACGGAATTCTTGGCTGACGAGGCAATAGCTCGAGCTAAAGAGCTTGATGCTTATTATGAAAAGACGGGAAAACTGATAGGACCACTTGTGAGCTCGCACCTATTAAGCCTTGCTAAAAAAACACATGAATTTCTAACTCTAGAATTAGCACGGAGTCCCTATCAGCGTTAAGGAGCATATCGGGATGAAGAACAAGACCTGCAACACTGGCTATGTTGCCTTGTATGTCCCGATAAAAACACATTTGGGCAAGGCTTATCTGACAATGAACCCTGAAACATAGAGTTGACCGAGTCACTACCGAAGACGCATATCTGCTGCAATTGCTAGCTAAAGCTGGTGCAGTATTCCACGTGCGGACCAACCAGCCACAGTCACTCATGGTAGGCATTAAGTCTTATACTCTCTCCTTGTATGGCTTGTTCACACGTATTAGCATCTTTGCTGCACCAACAATATCACGGGCACGACTTTCAATCCGCACAATAAATTATTAACCCCTGGAGGGTCTTCCGGTGGGGAGGGTGCTTCGATGGGCTTCCGATGTGCACCACTTGGAATTGGTACTGACATCGGTGGATCAATTCGCTGCCCTGCCGCTTTTTGTGGTGGATATGGATTCAAACCGACTGCGATGCGCAACCCAATGACAGGTATCATGGTTGCGGGCATGGGTCAAGAGAACATCCACGGTGTAGTGGGTCCACTATCAACCTGCTCACTCAAAGATCTTGAGCTGTTCCAGAAGGCCGTGTTGCAACAGGAACCTTGGGATACAGAGACATCCTTAGTGCCCGTGCCTTGGAGGACTGTTGCTCCATCTCACGATGTGACTATTGCCATCATGTGGGATGACGGGTAAGAAGACCTATATTTCCTTGATACGGAGAAAAATTGCTCATCTTGCACAGCTTTGTTCATCCTCATCCACCAGTGACACGTGCCCTTCGGCTTGTTCAGGAGAAATTGCTTACAGCCGGAGTGAAAGTTGTTGACTGGGAGCCTTTCAAGCATGACCATGGATGGGATATCATTGTAAGTCATCAGCATCGGCCTTAAAAACGAATGGACAGCAGCTGAGATTGAATAGTCAGCACTTTATTACCCCGACGCCGCTACCCTGCCACGGAAGATGCTCAGTGAATCAGGCGAACCAGCCTGCCCGCTAAGCGAATGGGCATTTTCCTATGGCTCCGAGACACCCCTGTCTCACTTCGACGTCTGGAAGTTGCAATACGCCCGTGACACTTATCGCGATGACTACCATGCTGTGCTGAAAAACCGTGCTGTCGATTTTATCATCTCTCCAGCCTACCCCGGAGTTGCAGCAGTTATGGGCGAGTCCCAATACTGGAACTATACTGCTATTTGGAATGTGCTGGACCTTCCAGCTGTGGTCTTTCCTTCGGGACTGACCGTTGATCCGGAATTGGATGCCTTGACTGAGCAGGATAGGGATTACAAACCTCGCAATGAGGTTGATGAGCGAGAATGGCGGAAGTACAAGGGGCCAGACCGGTATGAGGGTGCGCCTGTCGCTCTCCAGATTGCTGGTAGACATTTCAAGGATGAGGAGACTTTGGCTGCAGCAATGTTGGTTGAGGGTATTCTGAAGGATGTCAAGGCCAATTCGAAGCTTTGATCCATCTAGGTATTAGTGTATGCCTGGGATGAGAACACTGGAATAACGAGCAATGAATCTGGATCTGACAAGTGAATAATTCTTGCTTGAGACATGAGACTGATCCCTCATTTCCATAAATTCTAACAAAATTCATTCTTAAAATACCTATCTTTCAAAGCTTGTGATAGGCCAGTTCGCGCATTATATCAATCCATATTGCACTTCAATTTTCTACTGGACCTCTATTGAAAACTTGTTATACGCGCGAGCAGATATGCTTTATTAGATTTATTACTATATTTATGACCCCGACACGCATAATGTTTAGCAGATTATGGTGCTTATTTATCGCTAAGTTGGCATAAGATCTGTAATAATGATCGGCGCTATCCGCAGATGGTTCTCCATAATATACCCAGGCCGATTTTCTTCTTAATGGCCTGAGAATGACAGTGAACAGAATCACTATCTTCGACCAGAGCCACTCCATAATGTGTGCCCTTCTATCTTTGTAAGATGCAAGGCTGATAAACGAGATGTTCAGGTTGTTGAAGTGGTCTCATCGTTGACCAAATATCAGATCAGAATGCAAAGATAATAACGTGGTGATGTGAGGTCCCACAAATATCATCCATCGTTGTCTATAGTTTCAAGACCATTAGCACGTCCTTTGGATGCATCAGTCGCGCAAGAGGACTCTGAACGATGATGATCGGCGGCAATTTGCGCGGGGTCGACAAATGAGGGGTATCGTCCGCCGGCCATATGCACATTCAATGGCGAGCGCCATACATGTTGGTGTGCAATATAGACAAGTTTTCCCAAAACGGCGATCTCCAGCTTCAGCTTCACACTGTAAAGAGTAGCTTTCAGGGTAGTTTGATAGATATAAAAGTTCATAAACTCGATGACCATCAACGCGATATCCATCATGACACAAGACATGTTAACTGCAAGCAGCTGCAAGATGAGCTGTCGACTGCCGCGGTCGGGATTTAGCTGCAGCATTCGATTCGTTTCCCACATGTATAGAACAGAGATGATGACCTCTTGAACGCAAAAGCCGGCGAGCTGAATCTTCTCCATGATATCGTAGCCGGCGACCGACGCGGAGGAATTTGAAACATTAGCGACATAAGTCAGGGCGGTGGTCGGGATATGGAGAATGAAGACGTTTGTGACGATCATGTATTTGACCATGTGCAAGACGCGCATGTTCTCAATAACTAGGTGTAGTCGAGAATACAACACGAAGGACTGGCCCGTTACCATAGCCCACCAGCCCACGGTTAGCAGGGTTACTGGAAGCCATGGAGTCGATGTTAGGGCGAAAAACTTGATCAAGTATCCGACCGAGTATGGGAGGATGCCGATGGATGCAATTAATAAACTCCAAAAATAGGGCCCATCGTAGCGTTTGAAGGTAAGGAAAATAAGCACAATCAGCTCAATCACGTTGTACCACGCGACCCCCACAAATGTCGCGATTGTGATGAGTACTATTGGGCTGCTACCCATGTAACTACCAGTGATCCAGTTAGAGGGACTGGTATCGGACGAAGACATCTGGACTTCATTTGAATAGAGTATAAAATAGGGTTTCATGAGAAAGATGGGGTGAAATCGACCCAAGGGTGAGATTTGCGGGCGGGGCCGAGAGGGGTTAGCTAAAGGGATGAACCCGTTGTCGCTCCAACAAGCCTAATCTTATCTGATCAGGATTCAGCCTAGATCTCGATCCTGGTCCTGATCCTGATCTTTACTGATGGCTAGTATTGTTTATTCAAGTAAGTATTTTTCAGATAAATCTACATTCAATTATGTCAATCATGTTAAGTACATGTGTCATTCTAGATATTGCATCACAACTCGGGAGTATCGGCGACAGAGAAATTGGTCATTCTAAAAAAAAAAAGAAATATCAGCATAAATCTCCAAAGTCCCAATGGGAGTGTACTTACGATTCATGGTAGCGACCAGCGAGAATCTCTGCCCGTTCAACCAATGCCCGGATGTCCTTGACCTCCTTATCGGTCAAATGAATCTTGGCAGAGGCAAAGTTCTCGTCCATTCTCGAGACAGACTTGGTACCAGGAATCGGAATGATATCAGACCCCTGTGCAAGAAGCCAAGCAAGGGCGATCTGGGCATTGGTAGCTCCATGGGCTTTGGCAACTGTTTGAATGCCCTGAACCATCTCCAGAATCTTAGGGAAGTGTTCTGCTGAGTACTTTGGAAGATGACGGCGGAAATCATGCGCGGGTAAATCATCCGGAGACTTAATTTGTCCAGTCAGGATACCCCGGCCAATGGGACTGTAAGCAACGACAGATACGCCTAGCTCGCGGCAGGTGTTGAGAAGGTCGACGGTAGGCCGTTCAATGTCAAGTGCGAAAGGACTGTACTCGATCTGAAGAGCTGTAATAGGGTGCACAGCATGTGCACGACGTAGGGTCGCAGCTGAAACCTCAGAAAGTCCCAGGTAGCGAATCTTTCCAGCACTGCGCTTTTATTAGCAAAGGAGCTATGATGAATAATTTGGAAGGAAGAAGTACTTCTTGAGCTCAACCATAGCTTCAACGGTCTTCTCAATTGGGGTGACTGTGTCGACGCGGTGGCAGTAGTACAAATCAATTGTATCCACACCAAGACGCTTTAGACTCTTCTCACAAGCAAGCTTCACATATTCGGGGTCGGACCTAATTTCCATGGCAAAGGTCTGGGGGTCAAACTGGATGCCGAACTTAGTAGCAAGGAAGATATCACCGCGATTTCCTGATTTCTTGATCCACTCGCCGACAATATCCTCACTGTCGAGGTACATATCGGCGGTATCCCAGAATCGCTGGCCGGTGGAATGAGCATGGTCCAGTAAAGCAATATTGTCCTCTTGGGCACCAGCTGACCCATAGATTCCACCAATGCTCATGAGACCAAGACCAATGGCAGGCACCTGGGGACCATTTCTGCCAAGAGTTCGAAGGGGGGCAGACATATTGAAGAATGAGTGATTGAGGAGTTGAAGATGTGTTATCAAAGAGGATTGAATGTGAATATGAATAGAAATAAATAGGTTATATCGGAGGGGAAAGATATTGCTTTAAATATGCCTTTACGGATGAAATCATGATGACCGATCATACCAAACTTGAGACGATAACTATGGATCTGGATCATGTCATGACGGATTTAAGCAGCGGCTTTAGTTATATTGTCCAATCAGAAGCTATAAGATCCGATCGTATCCATTAGCCCCACTATGTCCAATCGGATATCGTAAAATGCGAGCAAGCCAATCCCAACATCCCCAATTTATCTTCAAACAGCATGTCTGTCTCAATGTCAAAAGCTTCCTATGTCTGGCCCCTATTGAATGCTTGCATACTATTTGATGTATCAACCAGAATACAAACCACTGCAAGTGGGAAAGAAGAAAGTAAAGTCGGGCTGTAAGACGTGCAAGTGAGTATCAGTAATCCGCCTATCGTTACATCACTCTAACGTGGGCTATAGAGCTCGCCGGGTTAAATGTGACGAAGGTCGACCCGCGTGCCGGCGCTGTGTCTCCACGGGCCGCATCTGTGATGGTTATGGAATCTGGGGAGGAGGTGGGAGTCCATATCAGCTGCAGAGCAACCGAGCGCCTTCCATCCACTGCACTCCAGTACCGGCTGGTAGTCTCAGCCACGAAGAGCAACAGTACTTTGACTGGTTTATGTTCAAGACGACTAAGAAGTTTACTGGCTTGTTTCCCTCCGATTTCTGGGAAGTGTTAGTCTTCCAAGCCAGTGTGCAAGAACCCTCCGTGCGCCATGCGGTCGTTGCCCTATCTGCAGCCCATAAATTCGAAAATAACAAGCCTTGGAAATTTATGTCACAAAATAACCTCGAAGCTGAGCAATTCACTTTGCAACAATACAACAAGGCAATCCACTGTCTTCAAAAGACTACGAGTAGTAACACTAAACACACTCTTCGCGTGGCTTTGATAACATGCATGGTTTTTGTCACACTGGAGTATCTGCGAGGCTCATACGAAATGGGCAGTGCCCATCTTCGCTACGGTATCCAGCTTCTGTCTACTATCTCGGCACCGAAGCCTCGTTCTGCAATGAGCCCAGCCATCCTAGGTCCATCAGATGACTTTGCACACAACGCTTTGATTGATTCTTATTCCCGTCTCACAATTCAGTCTGCCATGATTGGCCATGTTCCAGCGCATATGTGTGTTCTGACTCGAGACCCGCAGACTCATTCTCTACCATATGAATTCTCCTCCATAAAAGATGCACGACAGGCACTCGACAACTTACTTAACAGAATATACTGTCTGAATCAAAGTTACTCTGGCCCCCAAGAAATAAAAGCACCGGCAGAAGACCCGCAACTGTTTAAAACACAGGGCAAGATTCTAGCAGATCTCTGCTTCTGGCGCAAAGCATATGATGCCTCACTCGTGCGTCTCGAGGCAGAAGCAACTCAGGGTGATAAGCTTGCCTTTTTACTTTTACGTGTATACTATGAGATGGCGATCATAATGGCATCTGCATGTCTTTCTACCGAGGGCGAGTCAATCTATGACTCCTATACCGAGAAGTTTATTTTGATACTGTCCAGCTTCCTCGATATGTGGAGGTATTATGAAAACCAAACGAAGGCAGGGAATCTCGGCTTGGGTGCTCCCAGTTGTAACGGACTAGGTTTTACCATAGACTCCGGCTTCATCCCTCCAATATATTACACAGCGCTCAAATGCCGCGTGCCTCGCATTCGTCGACAGGCTATTCGCATACTGCGATCAGCTCCACATCGAGAAGGAGCTTGGAATGGACTCATTCTGGCTGATATGTTGGAGGAAGTGTTGCGAATTGAGGAATATGGTATTTTGCTTGAAGATCCTATTATCGACGAGCCTATCATGGAAATACCTTTGACACATAGACACCCTTCCCTGTTCAAAGTTCAGGCGTTGTGCCGTATATCTGATGCTGCGGTGATTCATCCAACTGCGGCACGTGGTGATGCTTTTATGAGTTATAGGCAGATGTTGGAAGATGGTACTTGGGCGACTTTCGAGCGAAGGATTCCACCAGGCGTGATGAATAACACTTCCGCGTTCATATTTTAGCATACTTGTCGGTACACCGGTGGGTATAGCAAGGTTGGTAAGAGGCTAACGCCCACTTCTGACACCTATCACAGGTTGCGCTTTACGCCCCTATAATAGCTTGTGTCTCTGAAGTGGTTGTAAAGTCTGGTTTTCATTCTTGGTTTTGCTATCTATTATAAAGTAACAATTTGATCACATGACTACTTTGTTCCATATTCCAACATTGAGAAAATTAGCTCTTGGACCTGATATTATAGGATCCGTCTTTCGTTGGAAATTATAAACTACGAATGACGTCCAGGGAGTCTAGTTCAGTAATTTTGGAACTATTCGCACACATTATTAATGGCCATTGCATAGCCCTTCAACAAATATCAGTGCAGAAACTCGGGATTGAGTTGAGAGTTCCAAGTCGCCGTTTTGACCCGTAGATCAAGGTCACCCACCCATTCTCGATGATTTTCACCCAAATCGCTTAGAACAAAAGCAAATAAAAATAAAAACATATTGAAAAATAATAATGAATAACATACAACAGTCAGGATTCGCATGTGGTCACCCACCATACTACTGACTGACCGGCGTGTGGCTTAAGTACGGCTGAGCGGACGGGAAGCCCTGTTCTCCACACCCTGTGGTCGTATGTGATATAATGAGTGAATGATGAAATTAAAAAGGGAAACAAAAAGGGCGCTAAAGGGAGAAATGAGTGAGACGCAATTGTCAGCTAGCTGCGCTCCACGATCAAGTTAAGCAGGTCACCCTAAAGACCAAACCGCAGCCTCAACTTATTTACCACGATGTGGGAGCTTGGGATAGATGGTATGCTGGCAGCAGGGGAGATGGTTACGGCGTTACATTTACCTTTAAATTGTATTTGAATCTTTGAATCTAAATCTCACCGAAGGATGTTTGTAAATTTGGATTTAAAGAAGGAAATTTGTAAGTATTTTGCATTTCGGTGGTGGACCTACGCGCGGGTCCGTAAACATACATTGTAGTAATTTTGTAAGGTACAGAGCAAAAAGTGCAATTAGCAATAGTGCCGGTGAGTGCGGAGCAAAAAAAGTGCAATTAACATCATAAGCAATAGTACCAGGGAGGGAGGAGCGGATGAAGAGGAAACATCTATGTACTCGGAGACTGCAGCGGAGGGAGGAGAACCAGAGAGAAGAATTTCCACAGAGTAACATTCACCAGTACAGTTTGGTAATATTGATCAGGTCTTGTTCGGAGATAATCAAATCGCTCTCCATGGCATTTGCCGGGGCCCTGTCATATAGGGCCTCGAAGGGGAGGATCAACGGCGCGCCTGAAATACCGTTCTCACTAGCCCGGACTTCTTGTGCACAATAGGACTGTTGATTAAGTGGTTGCTGGGTTGTTAATGGCGGCATGTTCGGGGCCTGGGCACAAAGACTCTCCACAGTTGCTTCTGTCAATGGTCGAGGGGAGTTTGCGGGAGCCAACTGCCACTTTTCAATGTCGACCCACTTGGCCTTAATGCTAATGATAAGGACAATCCTGACTTCCCCATGAGAGTCGGCGAACCACTTCGCCGCGTCACCTCTGAGTTGTGAGATTCCCTCGGAATCCCCTGTTTCAAAAACAAGGGTCAGCCATCCCGTTTTCATCACTTGCGGCTTACATCGTGATGGCGGTACGAATGCATCGTCAGCTTGTTTACCTTTTCCAATAGCTGGGCGATACGTGGTAGTTCCCATCCACTGGAAATCATGCCATTTCATTCCCATACCAAGCATTGCGTGGTGGATTGTAAGCTGGGTTCGCCGAGTGAGAGTGTCGTGGGGCTCATTAGGAACAACTTTGATGAGACCTGTTGTGCCCTCCTATTGAAACCGGAAGTTGATCCCAAGATTGAACCCGTCCTTGTCCAGCTGCTGAGTAGCTTTCTCTGACAGCCCCCGAACAACAAGCCATTGGTTGTGACTCTTCTCTTGTTCGTAACAATTTTGGATCTCATCCACTGCCTTCCGCAAATGAACCATGCTTGAATATGTCCGCATCATATATCCGACCGGCAGAGAGGCCATAATGGAGTTCGGAGGGGTCTGAGTCCTCATGGTAGCTGTGGCAGAAGCTGGCTTTTCTGGGGTCCTGAAAACGGAGGAAACATCGCCGTCAGTAAAAGGGATGCCATGGCTGAAGAATGGAGAGGTACGTATTACCTTGAAATTTGAAACGCCAAATGTAAAGCACTTTTGGAAATGAAGATATCTAGGGAAGGAGCGACTTACGAGAAGGTCAACTTACATTGGCGTCCAACGAACACGACGATAAGCTTAGATTGCCCAACTAGACCACTTTCGGCTGGGATAATAAACCTTGGAATAATTCGACTCATGTGCAAATTTTTTTCAACTACAGGGGACGAAAATGTTTAATGACCAAAGTGTAACTAAAAGTTTTAGTATTGTGGGACCAAAATCCGGGGTATTAATTATGACTAGAGCATAAGGCACCAATCAGGCAGTGAATAGGAGAAATATGCCGAGAGACTAAACCTAATATAGACTAGTCATAAAATACCAACATATCTATGAAGTTGATTCTCATGACCCCTCCACCCGGATGGACATTTCACCCAATCGAGTTTGACGATGAGGGTGAATGCCACTAAATAGATTAGAGATGACGGCCTCGGAGCTGAGACTTCCACTAGTTATCGACATGAGAAATGCATTCCACTTATATGCCAATGTGAAGCACCCTGTGATGTGATCTTCAAGACGACAAATTTTACACCTACACAGTATAGTCAACTGAGCCATGAAGTCTTTTATCTAGCTTCCCCGGCTGGGGGCTGGGGGCCGCGATGACCTTTGATAGCTTGATTGATTGGTATTATTAATTGAGAACTGAAGGGTAGATTTGTTTGGAAGCCTTATAATTCCTGGTACAATTCAATTTCATCTAGCTGAGTAAGAGATCATTATAAATCTCGTGACTTGAAAAGGCACTTTCACTAAATTTTGCGTTGAGAAGTTCATGCACTGGGTGACCCTATACTGTTTTTCATTCGACCTCCTAGGCCTGTTTCTATCGAAGACTGGAAGGGCATCACCGAATGCGACTGTTCGGACCCCGACCACGACGACATGGAAAAGGGCCTGGTATCAGAGGTATAATGCGGTGATGGACTCGGTCAAGAAGCGCGAGATGGACTCGGAGCACGAGGAGATTTCGGAGAGGACAATCCTGGAGATAAGCCGTATTCTTACTCGGTATAGAAAACATTCTTAATCAAATGTGCATGAACTATCAGCCATATATTATCCCAGTTCCAGTTCCCAGGTCGCGTCACCTAACATGACAGTCGCATCACCTATCATGTGACTTAGCGTAAAAAGTTCGCGTCACCTAGCATTTGCCAATAATGTCTTGGCATTGTAATTAACAACAGAATTACAGTATTTTTTGGCTCTGAGGAGTTGTAAAAGAGATGAAAAATGGTTTACCGCACGCACTACAGAGTAAGCCCAATTAAATATTAGGCGACGTGAAATTTCTACGCTAAGTCACATGATAGGTGACACGACCTGTACTCCGAGTTCACTAAATAACCCACCCTTATTATCTATAGAGCAAAAGGATAAAGAACAAAAAACAAAAACATATAATAGTCAGGATTCGCATGTGGTCACCCACCATACTAATAACTGACCGGCATGTGGCTTAAACGCGGAAAATAGTCGGGTGGGTGTCGCTAGGGTGAGCAATGGGTGAGCGCTGCTTTAGCGTTGCGCGACCACGGGTGAGCAAGGTGAGTGCACAATAAATAGGGTGAGATTGGGGTGAGAGTAAGCTAATGCATGACTACTATACTGATCCTTGAATATTTCAAGATAATTGGATAGGGTAATTCCTCCTGAAACAATGCTGCCTTCGTATCTGCACATAACCATATAGTAAAGCTAGCTAATGCATAATTACTGCACATTTTGTTGGATTCTGAAATACTATTAGGTAGTGTTGGAAAAAATGAAAATTTTCCTCGAAATTGAATGATTTTTTGCCAAATGATTTTTTGCCACTAAAGCAAATGCGTAATTCTATATGTTGATTTGTATTCGTAAGTTTATAAACCAGAATGAAACCAACCCAAAATGTAAAATAAACCAAATACAGGTGTAAAATAAAACGATGAAGAAGTTACGATGTGACCCAAAAGCTCGGATTAATTGCAGAATTCTGCCAGAAATTCTGCAATTTTTGGAATAACTATTTACTAAGCGAGGGGATACCTAAAAGGCAAAATTTATTGAGAGATAAAAGCAAGTACCAAGATACTAATACTAAATAGGACTAGCGGGATAATACCTTTTGTCATATGTTCAACCAGCAGCGACGGGATTCCATATGTAAAGAAAGATTATCCCCCGCCAAGGACCATATTTCCCCTAGCATAGTCTGTTTATTTCTTAGAACTATCGCCATAGTTCTTTTCAGGAGGTCATCTTGCTGTCTAAAACCTCCGATGTTTCGAAAACAACCCTGCAATCCATTAGTTACGCTAACTCGTTCGCGTAAATACCTAATTATAGGGCTGACATTGATTTTCATCTACTAGTGAGATATACAAGATCCTCGCCACCTGAGGGGAGATATGCGGAAAAGTCGGCTATCTAGGTACCTTTTTAATAGATCCTAGATTAGTCAACCCCTTTATGTCTTTTTTTCTCCATTCGACAATTTATTCCTATCTTATTTTTCCCGATAGATTATCACTACCAGCCAAGCATCAAATCAATTACTTCAAATCTCTATTGACCACCGCAAAGTCATTTATCGTATCATCTTCTACTTACGCACGAATTAAAGGAGAAACAAAACCATGAATATTTCTCTTTTTCTGGCGACAACCCATGATATCCCCGATCTCGTCCGGGTCCACACAGCGGCATTCAAAAAGGATCAATTCTCGAATTTCATGCTCTATGGTCGCGAAGCAAACGCGCATCAGAGCGTTATGCAAAAATCAGTCGAAATTTGGCTATCTGATCCGACATCAAAGCTAGTGAAAGCCGTAGCTGGTGATGGAACAATAGTCGGGTGGGCGTGCTGGTTGACTAAGGATAAAGACGATCAAGACAGAAGTAAGGCATTGCTGAAGCCAAGAAATCTTGATACGCCTAACAATGGAGAATCTTCCCTTATGAACCAGCCAGCGCGACCAAGAACCTCAGCTCAGCTTCTTAGTCGCCTGATGCGCAGCGATTGTATGAGATGGGAAGAAAACTTCATGAAATGCAGAAAGTACCTTGTGCTACAAGCATTAGCAACAAGTCCAAACTTCCAGTGTCGAGGAATAGGGTCTCAGCTCATCCAATGGGGCATCGATATAGCTGATGCAGAGAAGCTTCCATGTTGGGTTCACGCATCGCCCGCCGGTCAAAATCTGTATAAGAAGGCTGGATTCCAAGAAATTGGTAGCAGCGAGTATGACCTTGAAAGTATTTCTAGGGAAGGACGTTGGGGCCGCTATACATTTCGTTACATGCAGCGTTCAGCTTTTGATAACAGGTGATTTCGAGTGTTTTCTATCTTGAGATTTTCATACCAGTTTCAGCATGAATATTATACTATCTTTGTAACAGGCTGGTGCCTGCTTTAGCATTCATGCCTGTGCCACTCATGTCAGGAAATTGGGCGGAAGGAAATGTTAACGATTGATTGATTGGCTAATTACGTGGGAAATCCACAGAAACTAAATAGTCCAAATAACATGCAAACAAAGCAAACAGTAACCGTCTGACAACTCATGCTCGTCACGTGCCACCCGCACCCGCATCCCTTATATTGCCACATGTCCATAGCTAGTCTCTCTCTCTTCTCTTCAAGCTTAATAAAGACAGTTTGTCGGCATCACTAGTTCTGCATTCAAGATTAGTATTAGCCCTTCACAGAACTGGATAGAACCATAGAATACAAGGCAAGGATTCTGGATTCATAACTAGTTAACTATCATATGATACTAAATATATTATACAATCTAGTCAGACGATAACGCCCATTATCGTACGATAAAAATATCGTGTGCATCCCTATATGCGGGTTGTTTGGCCGAGGTATGAGCACTTGACGGATCTCTCGTCCAATACCTCTCACCTTCTCTCAAAGATGACCTCTCACTGTCGTTAAGACTGGAGCGGAGATAGGGTAATTGGATCTCATTGATTCAACATCTGGTATTCTATTGGTAATATCAACAAGTGGGGCGTTCAGCCTAACTGGAAAAGTACAATTGGGATAGAATAACACATCTTACCACTTTCGCAGCTGCACTTTACCATATGCAACCACCGCCAACCAGTTAGAGGACCAAGAGGAGTACTCATAGTACCGACACTCACATTCGTTGCGCCACGTCGATGGAGTTCGTTCCGAGACTGGGACACTTGGTCAGCGATTGAAAAAGCTAACGGAGACGGCTCGGTGCTGCCACAACACTTAAGTGACCTCCTATCTGAATATGGAAAGTCGAATCGTCTATCCTGATTGGACGGACGGTTCAAGGACTCCTATTGGATGCAGCTCTATTTAAGTGGGGCAGTGGAATTACTTCAGTTCAGAGAGCAGCAGTTAGAACAAACACTTCTTACCATCTTTGCAACTGCAGTTATTAGTACTACACGTTTAAAAGGAGTCAAATCTTACGACACCTCCCTGATACGACAGAGGATAGCCGACAATTCATCTCCAACGCCGCAAGCTTATCTTCCTTGCCGGTCACCCAGAGCGGAGCAAAATTTGGCATGATGACCCGCCACGGCCTTATTCGTGCACGCTGGTTGAACGACTTGAATAAACAGTAAAACCTATCCATGCAGGTGCCCAGGTATGAAAATATCATTTTATAGAACTACCGGGCATCAAGTCACACCACAACAAAGACAGTCGACTTTGATAATGTAATCTATTGTGAAGGGCTAATACTAATCTTGAATGCAGAACTAGTGATGCCGACAAACTGTCTTTATTAAGCTTGAAGAGAAGAGAGAGAGACTAGCTATGGACATGTGGCAATATAAGGGATGCGGGTGCGGGTGGCACGTGACGAGCATGAGTGGCACAGACATGAATGCTAAAGCAGGCACCAGCCTGTTACAGGCAGCGATGTGTCCTACGACGCCTGGTACGAGTGGTACCCCGATTACGCCTATGACTTTGACAATTTCGAAATATCTGCTGGCAACGTAATCAAGGTCACCATTGATGCCACTTCTAGCACTAGTGTTACTGCCATCATCGAGAATATCAGCACTAGAAACTCCGCGACCCACTCATTCTCTAATATAACTGACGGTTCTCTGTGTGAATACAATGCCGGGTGGATTATTGAAGACTTTGAGAGTGACAGCGAGCTTGTTGATTTCGCCAACTTTGGTACTATTACCTTTAGCGATGCTATAGCCAAGTCTGGCAACACATCCTATGGCCCTTCGACTGCTACCATCATGGATATCAAGCAGGCCGACACTGTTCTGACTTACAGCTCTATTACTGATGATAGTGTCACTATAACATACTATAAATCTAGCTGAACACAGTGAGATGCCTTCTAAAATTTCAAATTAAAGTTTTATGAATACATTCGATGCTTAGAGTGAAGCATCTTGAGTCTTCGCTTTTCACCTTAACATCAAACTTATTGTTTCGACATTTTGATGTGAAATTTTCGTTACATTATAGTGAGATCTCTTTACCTCGATGGATATAGCAGTTCGTAAGGTGTGTGTAGGTCTACTCTTTTATCTATATCTATTTTAAACATAAGTTATCTCAATATGATATCAAGTTTTGGTTTCATAGCACATACGACCACAGGGTGTGGAGAACAGGGCTTCCCGTCCGCTCAGCCGAACTTAAGCCTATTATTCTGCACAGTCAATAGTTAAAGCGCCCTTAGCACCTAAGCGGCACTCTAGGGTGAGTGTAGGTGATATGGGTGAGAAGTCTCAATACTGGGGTGACAGAGGTGAGAACGGGCGACAACTCTCACCCTTGGGGTGATAGGGGCCAACTCATTCTAAACATATGCCTGTCCCAAAAAAAAGACATAAATACAAGTCCCAAGGCTCTTCTCTTGCTCTTTCATGATTCTCTTTGATTTTCTTCGCCATTGAAAATATGTTCTCCGGAAAGAATAACCAGAAAGCACTCCAGGAGCGTATCGCACGTTGTCAAATGGAGGTCGACTACCAAGGAATAGTGGATTCTAGTGGGCAAATGAGAACGCAGTATGCGTACCAAAGAGTGTATGTGTATAGATTGTAGAATGGAGGAATCCCATTGTGGGATTCCAATGCTGACTAAAATAGACTAACTATAAATGGAATCGGGCCTTTGACACCTTTCCCATCTCTCCTGTTCAGTCTCATGAGCTCTAGCTCCTGACATACGTGACCATGCAGGTAGTAGAAGGGTCGATGGTCGACGAGTAGATCTTGCCAAGGCAAATCTACCACTCTACCTTCTACCTATCTACATGGGAGAAACCCAGGGATATATAAGGACACTCATTCATGTATCTAGTTCTTCGTCTTCAATCACACCATTGTTACTTGTGCCTACTATTGAGAATCCCGAAAGACTTGATTAACTTGATTATAACTTGACTACCACTACGACTTGACCAACACTGCGGTGTAGATCAACTCGGCGCCCTAAGGCACTGTTTCTTGATTCCTCTGCGGAGTACAGATCATTGAAGCGGTTGTGGAAGGAGGATTGCAGGATACTTGGGAAGTATAGCCCTGACCCCCTTTACCTAAGAGCGACCAGCTAGCGTGTGCGTAACAGGTGAGTGCCGTAAGTAAAAAACTGAGTGCCGGAAGTCGGTCTCATCGCTCCAGGTATCAAATTTATCAAAAAATACGGGGGCCTGGTGGGCCATCAATAGGCAGTGGGTTGGGCTGGGTAATGGCCTACGGGCCGGTAACCAGGGCTTTGGCTCATTTGGCACCAACTCGGAACCCCGAGCTTGATTTTAGCCACCATGGACTGGATGCTCTATATGCGAAAACTATATACCTATAAGTACTAATGGCAAAAATAGAGCGTAAGTCTTATTTTCATACTATTCTTGCTTGCCTCGAATGAAGAATGGTCTCCTTAATCATCTATGGTGCGACCGGCTATACTGGCCGGATGGCCAGTGAACACGCCAAGAGCATTGGTTTGGACTTCGCCCTGGCCGGCCGGTCAGAGCAGAATCTACAGGATCTAGCGTCTCGACTTGATGTCCCTTACTACGCGTTCGATCTAAGCGACCAAGAAATTGTTGATTCCATGTTGAAAGACACATCTGTCGTCCTCAACTGCGCCGGTCCATATGTTCGAACCGCCAAGACCCTTATGGAAGCATGCATACGGAACAGAACACAGTACCTCGACATCTCGGCGGAAATTGGAACCTACCAGCAAGCACAAGAGTACGATACTGCTGCACAGGAAGCTGGTATCATGCTCCTCCCCGGCTGCGGCGGCAGCGTTGCTATGCTGGGTTGTCTTGCCAGTCATGTTATCGGCCAAGTCGAAAATCCGAAGAGCATCGACATCGCTCTACATGTGACCGGATCAATGTCCAGGGGATCGGCTCTCAGCGCATCGAACATGACATCCGGATGTCTTCGACTGGTGGACGGAAACCTGGTTGAACAAGAAAATCCTCAAACCACGACTTTCAATTTCGGTGACGGCAAAGGCAACGTACCCTCATTCCCAGTAACGCTACCCGATCTCTTGACCATCTCAAAGTCATCTGGTCTCATTAATATTGGAACCTTTGTTCATGCCTCGAGCGACAGTTTTCCGACCGGGGACCTTGACCAGCTTCCTGATGGCCCGACGGCCGAACAGAGGGATGCAGCACCGTATCACGCGGCGGCTGTTGTGACTTCAGAAGAAGGATTCTCGTACAGAGCGGTGCTGCATACTGTCAACGGGTATTCCTTCACCGGCTTGGCCTCGGTGGAGGCCGCAAGACGAGTTTTGGAAAAGGAGGCGAAACCCGGATTTCAGACCCCGGTGCTTGTTTTTGGAAAGGATTTCATCCGGGCGATACCGAATACAGAGATCATTGAAGATTAGCGAAGGTAATTCCGAAGGGAGTTGGTGTGTCCAATCGCGGCTCACACGTAGAGTTATTTGAGAGTGGGGGGTTCTTTTTGCCTTGACTGTGAACAAATTTATTTTCTCTCTGATATTTACTGGATACTTCGTTTTATCTTCCCGCGTTTGCTGTGGCTGTAAATAAATCATAGATGGAATGCTGCATTCATGGTCAAAGGTCTCGAGCGACGTGCAACCTGACTTCCCAAGGCTCGAACCTTTACGTATAGTATATCGTATCGATTTTCTTAGTGATGATGAATGAAAATTGAGGAAACAAGTTTTCAATGTCTCAGATTGCCTCTATTTTTCGATTGTTCCACTCTCTGACAGAACTTTCATGCTGTAAATTGAGCTAGATAGTCCAGCTTTCCTAAGTCCACCCCCTTCGATCTCAGTATAGCATATGCTGTCACCAGATGGAAATAGAAGTTTGGGATCGAGAATCGCACAGAATATTCTTCTAAAGTATATTGAAAAGTTTCCATGCCAATCGGGGCGGCAAAGGTCTTGCCCTCTCTACTGGCACACATGTCTGCATCGACAGCTTCAAGCTCGATAAGATATCTCTCAATGCGGCTGTAAAGCTCCTTCCAAGTCTTATCTGGCGGATATTGAGGTGGAGGTTCCATAGAGAATGCCCGAGCAAGGGCCTTTCCGACATTGTTTGTGGCCGTCACAACTTGGAAGGCCAGAGGCTGCATATCTTCAGCGATCCGAGCGTTGAGGAGTTCATTGAGAGGTATGTTGTTCTCTTTCGCATGTTCCTCGGCTTTTTTCAGAAGATAATAGAGAGTACCAAGGCCTCGAATAAAAGTGGCGAGTGTGTAGTTGTAAAAGGGTGATGCCATCTTGATATGATTGTGGTTTAGTCTGATCGATTTCGCAGGTTGAAAACATGGAATTCGGAGCGAAGAGAGATCTTTTATACTGGTACGTCTCTGCAGAGTTGATAATATCCCTCTCTTACAATTTATTGCTTGGATACCGTAGGGGAACTCCGAAGAACCTGCATTTGGCTTCAGCGAGCGTTCTCCCGGAGCTCCGAGTTCCGGTTGATGTTGGATTCATCTAGACTATAGAATGATTTGTAAAAACCGAACTTGAGTTGCAACTAGCTCATACAATATTCAGGTTGATTTGTCACACGAAGGACCGCCCGCGGGCCCCTGGGAGAATGGGCTCTGTTGGGACGAGAATCAAGATTTATACATGGGCATCCCCAGGAATTCCAAGCTGATACTCATTTTCTTTAGATCAACATCTGGGCCAACCTTCACAATTCAAGATGTCAAATCATCCTGTTCCTAACCGTACCCCAGCCATGGGAGTTACATCTGATCACGAGCTCATTCGGAATACCATCGCTGGTGTCGCTATAACATTCGATACCAAAAAGTTTGAAGACCTATGCACATTCTTCACCGAAGATTGTGCTGCCGACTATACAGGCTCACTCGGTCTGATGAAAGGGCCAAACGCCGTCATCCAGGGCCTGAAGAATGCAATCGGGCATATCAACACTTTCCATGGCCTGACAACCCAGACTATACAGCTCACTGGCGAAGATACAGCTGAGGCTACGACCTACTGTGCCGCTGGGCATTTTCTAGGCGAGAAGTCATTCCTCGCGGAAGCGAAGTATTGTGATAAGCTCGTGAGAATTACGGATGAAGACGGTGTCAAGTGGAAGATTTCGTATCGCTTGACCACCATGATGGGGGTTCCGCGAGGCGATGTCTCGATGTTTAGCATCGATTTGAATGATTGGGCTGAGACATTGAAGGCTTAAGTGCCGACTACAAGTCAAGGATGGATGAATGCGAGTTCTGATTCTTCCGTTTGCAAGATATAGGTCTGCATTGCTTGTTACGGGAAAGAATGATCTTATGGGGTTGAAAATACAAGCTATGAGCTCTAGGGATTCCAAAGTCCCTTATCATTGTGAGGTTTTTGAATTGTCAGACCCCGGGCGGATAGTTGAATTTACAGTGCTGCACTCTGGTATCAATGTGTTGTGAGAATAATAGGTCAAGAATGAAAGACCACAATCAGAGCTTGTCAAGCAGAACTCATGGGAAATTTTCACGCTCTTCGTATGAACCACGGGACACTCATTAAACCGCCACTTTGTAGCTAGGAGGGTTGAACTCAGTAGCATTAACTGTACATATATCAGCTGATGACGTGTAGACCTGAAAGATGAGAAGTACATACGGATCGAAGCCATGATGAACCCGAATTCATCTGCCTCTCCCAGCCATTTTTCCGCCCTGGGACTCAAAACAGCACCCGGCTTGATATGCCCAAATTCAGCTTGGAGATAAATTTGGCCATTCCATCGCGCAAGCCAGTGTATGTATTTGCTGTTCCATTCTTGCTCTGTGTGAGCCTGCCAAAGAGCCTTTGGCGCTGGTGCCGGCATGAAGCCCAGCTCTGAACAATCAAAACACGGAACCTTGTGCAGGACGGAATATGCCCAGTGAAGTAAGTATAAGGCGAGTATTGCGCGTCGTTTAGCTGTGACATGTATCCAAGCATCCCACGACGGCCTTGTCTGTGCCCGCTCCTCTGGCAGGAAAAGATCACCACGAACGACATGCCAGACGAAAATCTCAACTTTTCGAAATATCGCATCTTCGCTCATGCAGTCACTGGGAGAGGTTTTGAAGGGCGCAAGTAAAATAATAGTGTACATCACTACTGCCTGTAAGGTCGCTAGAAGCGTTGCTTCATCTAGCTCGTCGGACTGGATTTTGTGTTTCAGTCAAGTATCGAAAGATCGTTCGCTAATAGCACTCACGTTGTTCATGGCCAGATCAAGCTCCCGGCGTATCGTATCACGGACGATTGTTTCGGCACCAGGACATTGCCCATGCCACATTTTGACCAAAGTTATGCACGTTGCTAGTGGTCGGGGGAGATCAGTCTGCGAAGCAAGGTGGGTAGGGTGAAAGATAGGCGGGATCTGAAAACCATCGGCCAGCATCTGAGGCCATGTTCGACAAACTCGGAAGATGAGCTCCATGCTATGATTTACCAACGCAGCTGAATTTGTTCCAGAATCTCTGTCAATCTGTTGATTTGATCGGGAAAACGCTATCTCAGAAGAGGCGAATTCAACAGAATCACTGAGAGGGAGAATCTCCCGGCCTGTCCCATTCCGAGCTTGCAGCACAAGTTCAGATGGCTGTATTGGAGTCCAGGGTTCTAAATCGCCAAAAAAGGGCTCGAAAAGAGTCGAGTCGAATCTCGCGGAAAGATTCTGTGGTTGGAAACTTGACAAGGTATCAAGGTCGAACTCCAAGGGGGCACTCGCAATTCCGGGCGACACAGGCTGCTCGGACTGCTCTCCACCAGAGCTCGTGTATACGCACGCGATTTGGCGCAGAGAGCACCCTGCACAAGTGGGGCGTTTGAGAGTGCATCTTGTCTTGTTCGCGATGCATTGGTTGCAGGATTTGCGCCGCTGTGATGGATTCTTGTTGCAATTGTTCCGCGTATGGCGAATGAGCGATGATCCTGTATATTTATTAGCTGGTGTTTTCGTACAGTGCAATTCCGAAGCACGATCAATCCGGAGACTTACGATGATTAAACTGTAGACCACATAGCAGACATTCTGACTTTTTCTCACTAGAGTCAGCTTTCATTCTGCATCAGTCTTCGAGTCTCCCTTGATGTAGACAGGTTGTTGCGCCCAGCTTGAGGTATCCTGCTGCGATAGATATAAGTCATGCCGTTCACATATGCACTTTTAGCTCGGAATTCCGAGCTGCTTATTCAGCGCTAACCGGCGATTTGGCGGGGCAAAAAAAGTGTCAGTTTTATATTTACATCGATCAGTGTCTTATTGATGATTACACGTTAAAGCCTGGAACCCGAATAGTTCATTCGTACTACTTCCAAGGTTGCCATAGTAGATATATATTTCCAAGGTGGTAGCGCTTTTGTGTAGAACATCTCTTCTGAAGGCATGACATCCGCGTTAGTTGGAAATTTGCCTGGAGGTCAGGTCCACGGGTGAGATCAACAATAACACTTGCATAGTCGCAGAAAATCAAGCAGACTTATGGATTGCATCAAGTCGCAGATACTGCGAGATAAGTTCTTTCATAGTATCTTCAAACGAAACAAATTTCCAATCGAAAACCTTTTCGGTGTCCTCGGCCTGAAGTCTCCATTTGATACTTTGCAAAGATCCCTCCATTGGTAACTGCCCGCTTGCAACCTCTGTCGGAAAGAACTTTCGACAGATATCTTGAACGTCTCTGTCCCAAACAACTCCATCAGGCGTATCTGATGACAAGATATACTCGGAATTTCCTGGAACCAGATCTCTGTTCACCGCGTCCACGTGCGCTTTTGCAACATCGGCAACATGCACAGGAGTCCCAACATAAGGGAAAGATGAATTGAGAGAGGAGTCCAGCGCAGCGGCCAGAACATTTGATCTTGCGCCCTGTCGAAGACCGTCGGATGTCGCCGTGGGGTCGAAGTCGAGGCGAGTGTCGGGACCAATTACCACCGATGGCAGGAGGTTTACAAAGTCAAAGCTTGGCTCAACTTTACAAATAAATTCACTTGCTTTGATCCGAGCGATGCCTTTCGAGGCCCAGTAGGCTTCCATTGCGTTCTCATAAGGCCCGTCGAGCTCGTTGTTGACATCATTGACTGGAAATGGGCTTAGCGTATGCCTCCGAAGTAAATGCGAGTCAACTCTTACCAGTGTAAAGTCTTTCGCTATCTGGATTCATATTCCATCCGAACGGAATGAGTGTCACGCCTGCGGTACTCATTAGTGTCTTATTTTGATGCAATTTCAAAGGCTTTCTCACAGGAAGAGGTCAGCACCACGCGACGGATGGAGGGCGTACGACTGGCCGCGTCCAGGACGGTCGTGACCATATCGACAGCCGGCTTGACAATCTCTTCAACAAATCTCGTAGTCTAGTCAAAAAGCGTCAGCACGTAAGGCTCAACAGTGGTAGATGGCAGAGTACCGAAAATGCTAACGGTGATGCAAGATGAAGTATAGTTGTGATATCTTCCAATTGTTTCAAGAATGCATCTTTTTCCAAAAAATCCGGGATTGTAACAACATCGAGTCTACCTTGATCAAGGTAGCCTGCAATGATGGGGTTCTTTTTCAAGTCTATTAACGATGATTGTTTTCGAGTCACTGCGCGAACGCGATACCCTTTCTCGAGAGCAAAAACAAGTGTCTGGTAGCCGATGTACCCAGTCACGCCTGTGATCTAATGCCTATGTATTAGAAGCATAAATCGAGTGTGTAGTTGTCGGGCTTGATTTTTGCTCACCAAAAGATGCTCTTTGTTGATTTGATTCGCCATGCTAGCTGCGTATGACCTTTTTGTTAGACACGGGGGGGAAAGAAAGATTAAGATTGTCGAGTTTGGAGATGTCGAAGTAAATAAGCGCTATCAAAACTCGGAGTTCCGAGCTATAGATCTCAAGGATCCACCGTACCAATTCAAAGACACTTCGGTCTGACAGCAAGTAGTATCATCTGACACCCCAAAGATGGAATATAAATGCTCATGTTGAAACCAATGGAAACGTGGCAACCTTTGCGGGGTCTTGACGGGATCGCCTGGTCCTCCAGGGCTGGCCTGGTGTCAAGTCGACTGGTTCAGACTGGCCAATCATTCAAATGCCACAAATGAATGAAACTGAATTACTAAACTAGGGATGAAGTTCGCCTAAAATAGTGATACATAGTGGGTAATGCAAACCCTACAAACCAGGCCAAATCAGGCTAACTAGGCCCAATCGAGCCTAAACCACCACCCATTTGACACCTGGTGGTCATCACGTGATTGGAGGACAGACTCTCAGGCCACGTCTAGTTCACGGCGGTCATATCTGACGGGATTGTGGGACAGCGAGGATCTCGAGATTGCAGACCCGAGCTGAAAGGGGTGACCAATCTTTATCCAAGGAAAAGAAAAAGAAAAAGGGGAGAGGGAGCGCGACCTCGGGAGCTATTCCAAGGTCTCGAGTCACCTGACCGGGCTGTAGGTAACAATGCCTCCATGGATGTAACATCGCCCACAATACTGGTTGTTTCTGATGCCATTTCTCTAGATTTTGTGTTCGCACATCTCTATACATAGTTCGGAAGTGCAGCCTATCAGGACCCCAAGTCACGGGACCTCGGTGATCTCGACAAATCACATGTCAAGAACAGTGAAATCGAAGCCAATCAGGGGATTTCTCAACAAGGTGCAAACCTTGGAAAGTCTGCATTATTGCGGAGCGAAGCGGAGCAACTAATTGTGACTAAGCACTCACCTACACACAGGAGGGTGTAGGTGAGCCAATGCCTAAACCCAAACCAATGCCTAAACCCAAACCAATGCCTAAACCCAAAAAACTCAATCTTCAATTTTTAACCTCATTTTTCACCACCAATACAATGCCGATTTCCTCCTCCTCCGAAGAGATCCTTCTCTCAAATGCCCTCTCAGCCTATAAACTCGGCCAATTCAAAAGTATTCAGGCCGTAGCCTCTCATTTTAGCGTTTCAGAGCATAAACTGAGGAACCGTAAAGCCGGCACGCCTACTAAAAATGGCCGTACGGCCACCAACAAAGTCCTAAATCAGCTACAAGAAGCGTCTCTTATTCGCTAGATCGAATTGCTTAATTCAGTTTATACACCACCGACCCCTTTAGACATTGAGGGTGCTGCAAATCGAATTTTACGGCACTGCGGTTCCGACCGGGAAGTCAGCAAAATGTATGGCTACCAATTTATTCAACGTCTACCACCGCATATTACTCTCCGTACATAAAAGCCTATTGAAAAAGCGAGAATCGAAGCTGAATTACACGGTGAATTAATTCATTGGTACGAAGTCTTCGGTCAATTTCTTCGAAAAAACAAAATCCAGGCCCACGAACTATACAATTGGGACGAAACTGGCTTCCAGTTAGGCATTGGATCCCCGGAAAAAGTAGCTTCTACCCGTCAACAAGAGACTATTGGGACCGGTGGAATTGGCCAAAATATCACTGGTATCGAATGTATTTCGGCCGACGGTTGGGCTATGCATCCTTGGTTTTTGATCCGTGGTTCCGAACAAATGGAAGACTGGTATAACGGCGATAATGATCCTTCTAATTACCGGATCATTAAACCAACATCCAAAGGCTGGACAGATGATGAGACTGCAAATCAATGGCTACATGATTTCCATTATGCTACCCGAAAACGCCATCCAAAACACAGACCAAGGGTCTTGTTAATGGATAACCACGGTTCTCATGCAACCCCGGAGTTCAAGTATATTTGCCAATCTTACAACATCATACCTTGGTGGTTTATACCAAAAATGACACATCGATACCAGCCTCTTGACAATAAAGCATTCTCAGTTCTAAAACAGAAACTCCGAAAAAAGAACAATGAGATTGTACGATAGGGTGGAGATGTTGACGATAAACGGCATTTTCTTCGGATGATTAAACAAGTTCGCAAAGATGCTTTCAAATAGACATGTTCATTGGGTATGGGTCAGAAATTTTACCCAAAACCCATATGGGTTGGGTATGGGTTTGAAGTAAAACCCACACCCAGCCCATAAACCCATCTTTTTGCCAATACTTTTATTTCACGTGATATTTGTCACCTAGTTAGTACTAGATTGAGGCAAAAATTAGGCACTAAGGCACTAATTACCCTAATTTAGTTTAGGTTGAGGCGAAAATCAGGCATTAAGGCATCAAAAATACCCATATAGGACCCATACCCAACCCATGCACATGTCTACCATCAAGCTCAGCTAACACAGTAAATAGCTCCATCCCACTATTATTTGTGCCATAAGTAGAATCTATGGCTAATTGAGGCTGTGAGTTAACCTGTTCAGCCCAATTAAGACGTGGTTTAATAGTCTCCGGGAGGTAGAAGGCTAAAGTATATCGATGTCAGTGAATATATAAACTAATATACTAATACTAATACCAATACCAAAGCTAATACTAAGCTAGTAGCTAAGCTAGTGGCTGAAAAGAATATTGCTCTTACCTAATGCTGTAACGGGTTGATACCCGATGAAATGCTCACTCTCTGGAGAGACTGCGCTCCTGGCATCTGTGCGGAGCCGAACGAGCTATAAGAACACCCGGTCCCCAGGACCCATTTCCCCCCCTTAGTTAATTCTTCTTGTTTACCAATCGGATCTTTACAGCGTACAAATTCCTGCATTCATCCCGTAACAAATGCTGATAAGTTGCCTGCTTTAAAGATCTCTTGGTGGGCCTGATACCTTCCATTCTGGAAATCTGCCTCATTTAGAAGCATTTGAGCTGAGGTAAGAGGATCATCATGGCGTCGCCAGTTCTTTGAGTTTGCCTTATGCCAGATATAATAGACCTGGTGCCTTGACACTTCCTTTCCTTTAGGATGCTCCCTAACCTGGCGGGAAATCTCTGCAGGAGCATGGGTCAAGACAAGGGAGTCAATAAGATCGTGTATGACTTGCGGAACTTGAAGATCTTTATAAGGCGGGTGCCAGTGATGTTGAATAGAAAGACGGAGGGTCCGATCAAGTAAGGATGGCTGTATAATAAGCTTACTTCCACAAGGAAATCGCTCTATACGGCGGCCATCTCTCTGTTTTTCAACTTCTACCTTAGATTGATAGCTTCGGGTATGCGCTTCATCCTGAGAGCAATGATTGTCGGAACATGGATATTGCAATCATGCAATACCATAAACCCGGAACGGAACAAACAGACCCCCGAGTCACGGGGGAACAACTATATTAGGAACTCAAGTAGCTACATGAATCGAACACATTTCACACCACTTTGCACAACGTATATACTAAGAATCTAGGACGAACCATACCCTTTTCCAGTGTATATAGTGCAACGTGTGAACCCTGTCCTTTCAACGTAGTTGATCGACAATGATATCTATACCGATGATATTGGGAATCAGTTGAGGTATGGCGGAATCGGAATCCACCTTCCTGCCAGATCAAATCTGAAAGACTATGCATTGCTATTCCCATCTCCTCTTTATCAAACTCAGAGCCAAATTTGATAGGCAAAGCATCAAGATCAAATTCAAAGTCATGATTAAGAGGCTGAGGCTGGGAGAGAAGCATAGTAAATTCATCCCAATCATCGCGCTGAAGAGAACGCTTCTTCGTATGACGATTACAAAGGCTTTTTCGCTTCCCTTGCTTATTAAGATCAAAATCCTCGGTCGGACGGGGATTACGGCATTTCGAGCAAAAAAAAGGTAGTGGTATCCATGGTGCAGGGTAATTTTTAATGACGCGTGTATAGATAGGGATGAACACCTAGACGCGATTGTAAACATTTACGCCAAGACGCTAAGCCTGATAAAAATATCACGTGTGCGACATTTTTCAGGAGCCCAGTACCCCCCATCGCGACCTGTACTCCGAGTTCACTAAATAACCCACCCTCATTATCTATAGAGCAAAAGGATAAAGAACAAAAACAAAAACATACAACAGTCAGGATTCGCATGTGGTCACCCACCATACTACTAACTGACCGGCGTGTGGCTTAAGTACGGCTGAGCGGACGGGAAGCCCTGTTCTCCACACCCTATGGTCGTATGTGCTGAAATTATTACAAAAGTGATTTATGACTTTAAGTGGACTGGCAGCCCGCATTGTTTTATTGGTTCGACACTATCTTCCTCCCAGAATTCGGATCGATGTAAGGGTGTCTAGCGGATAAAGGATAGATAAGATGAAGCCAAGGCCAATTGTATTCAAGACTGATTCCTTAGGAATCAGTCATAGATCCGAAGGAGATGTGAGTTTTTAAGTGGTTACGATTACAAATTTCCCGCACTGTGGGAACACCATGACAATCGACTCGAGCCAGAGCAGGATCAACCACAAAATCACCGACCAAGCCGATTTAGATAAGAGCACGCTTTGAAAATATCACTTTAATTTGTTGTAGGAGGTCATCGCTCCTAGCTTTCTCGAATTCATAGCATGGACATTGATGTTTTGCTAGCATGATGGCTGAGCTGTGAAGGGCTAAAGCTAATCTTGAATTCAGAACTAGCTAGGCACATGCTGTGTACAAAATCCTTGAAGAAACGTAAACAATTCGTTGTGGAATCGTGAGGTATCTGTGTCATGTGCACAGATACACTTCTAATGCTTATAGCCATCTCACGTTAGGCATGCCGGAGGATACTCGGCAGATCCATCGCGTTCATCGGCTTCGTCCCCTCCGAATTCCGGTTGATGGGTCGTCTAAAAGTGCCTCTTCGCATTCCCTCTCCGCAAGGACCTCCTTCAACCTGATATCCCAGCAGGCGGTATGCTGCAACATCATAAAGCTCAACTTGCGGGTCTCTGTCATCAGTTCTGAATTTGACAAAGCAGTACAAAGGCCAACCTTCCTACCTCGCAGATGGGCAGAACAAAAAAGGGCTCTAGCATCGTGGCGCTTGTTATCTAGCCCGGTTGCTTATCATCCAGGCATATGAGCGGTGGTCGGCGCCAGGGAAGTGTGGCGATGAGATAGTACTTCGAAATCTCTTTAGTAGTAGCTTTTTATGCTTAAAGATATTATATATATATTTGGGGCTAAAAAAGAGTAACCTCTCATAAAAATAATAAAAATGAAAAAAATATATTAAAAAGTACCGGATCTATTAAGCCTGGAAGGCCATACAAGCCTAATACAGAAGCTGATTTGTGCTGTAATATATGCTGCTTATATATTGCGGAATATCCATAGTACAGCAAACGATGCAGATCTAGGTAGCAGTCCAGACCCTCATGGAGCTCCCCTTCCCCAGTTTACCGAGGGTTCATGTGTTCGAAGTGCTGAGGGGTAGAGAGGGGTTGGATCGGAAATCCCTTCTTTTCGATCACATTGATCATTAAATGTCCGCTGCTTAGGGTTCCATCAACATCTGTATGCGATAATATCGGCTGTCTTCTTGAGTTTTAAAGCTTCCAAGGCCTTTGACACACATATTTCACGATTAAATTGTGACCTGCAATCTCTATACCTCCCACATCTAACGAATCTACAGTCAATCCTTATATACTGTGCATCATGGCTATTCCGAAAAGCTGTACTGTACTAGTTATTGGAGGAGGCCCAGCTGGCTCATATGCAGCCGCGGCTTTGGCTCGCGAGGGAATTGATACAGTGGTACTCGAGGCCGAGAAGTTCCCCAGGTAAGTTATCACAATAAATTTCCGTTTGCTGTTTGTGGTTCATGATCATTTTTGCGACACGGGTACTTAGTTGTCCCGTGTCAGGATCTCTGTTAACAGCACAACTCTCTTCGGGCCCGCCCCCCTTCTTTCCTTTATTTCTCTTCTCCGCAGGCTCAGTCTTACAACGCACCACTTTTGCTGTGCTTACTTCACTGGTTACAGATATCACATCGGCGAAAGCACTCTTCCTTCTTTGCGGCACTTTTTCAAGTTCATAGACTTTTATGACACCTTCAATGCCCATGGATTTTACCACAAGGTATTTGATAATTACAAACTTTTTTGGCCAGCCTTTGCATCCATAATCTGACATCATCCACAGAATGGTGCCGTTTTCCGACTTGCTCAAGGCCAGCCAGATGCGTGTAAGTTTATCCCTGTGCTGGCTTTTGCATTCCACAAGTACACACACTAAACTATAAGCAGATACCGACTTCCTCGAGGCTGGTGGTCCTGATGCATATGCCTGGAACTTGATTCGATCCGAGTCAGATGACCTGCTCTTTAGACATGCGGGAGCCTCTGGCGCTCATATCTTTGATGAAACCAAGGTTAACAAAATCCAATTCGAACAGGCCACTGGCGGAATGGAGAAAGATGACCTGAATCATGGCAAGCCAGTTTCCGCTACCTGGGCCTGCCGAGATGGCGCTTCTGGGTCCATCACTTTCAAGTATCTTGTGGATGCTAGCGGAAGACATGGTATATTGAGCACAAAGTACCTGAAGAACCGGAAGTTCAATGATAATTTTAGGAGCATTGCCAATTGGGCTTACTGGGAAAGTGACAATCTATATGGCCCTGGGACACAAATGGAAGGTTCGCCATACTTTGAGGCATTGGACGGTGAGTTACTGGAATGATTCTATCTTGAGCCCTTAATTAGAAGCCAGCCTGTTATGCTAAGAGAACGCAGATGCTAGCGGCTGGGCATGGTTCATGCCGCTGCACGATGGTACATGCTCCGTGGGAATCGTTCAAGACCAAAAGATGGCGACGGAAAAAAAGAAAGAATTGGGACGCCCCTCGACCTTAGACTTTTACCAGCATGGTCTGAAGATGGCTCCTGGAATCAAAAAGCTTCTCTCGGAGGCAGATCTAGTCACCGAAATCAAGTCAGCCTCCGACTGGTCCTATACCGCGTCAACCTATCATTTACCGAATGCACGCATCTGCGGAGATGCTGGCAGTTTCATCGACCCTCTATTTTCTTCAGGTGTCCATCTCGCCGTGGTAGGCGGTCTCTCAGCAGCGTCTACGATCGCAGCTTCAATCCGGGGTGACTGTAACGAGCAGACGGCGGGAACGTGGCACTCTAAGAAGACAGTTCAGAGTTACACTCGTTTCTTCCTAGCTGTTAGCAGTGCCACGAAGCAGATTCGTGAGCAGCATGAGCCTATTATCCAGGATATGGATGAGGAGGGGTTCCAACGAGCGTTTGATATGTTGAGACCCAGTACGAACTTCCCAATCCGGATTTCCAGGTCTACAGTTAACGATTTCTCGGATTATTCCAGTCATCCAAGGCACCGCCGATGCCGACACGAAGGGCACAATCGAGAAATCCGAAATCTCCGAGGTTCTTGAATTCTGCTTCAAGGCGTTCACATATGTCCCGCCGGACCAGAAAGACGCACTGTTCGAGAAGCTCGAGAAACTTGGTGTCAAACCCGGAAAAACCGACATCACAGCCACAGAGACGCTCGGGAACATCGAAAAGCATCTTACAGCGAGCGAGCTGCGGATACTCGAAACGCTACGCAGCAGGCGTATGATTCGTGAAGATCCCTTCGAAATGGATAGCTTCACGCTTGACACTATCGACGGGCTGGGACCGAACCTGGTTCACGGAGAACTGGGCCTCGTCAAATCTGACGAGCCTAAAGTGGATGGGGCTCACTTCTGCTCTCCAAAGTTTTTGGATGGCAAAGGTCCTGGGATTAGAGAGGGCAGCATTCATTTGCCAACGTCGAAGGTGCAACTTGGATGATAAGTGTCACCGAGACCATGTATTTCGTGCTCTAGTTAGTCTGAATCACTCTATTTATGTGTCTGGACATGAATACAAAGTACATACGACCAAAGGGTGTAGAAATCAGGGCTTCCCGTCCGCTCAGCCGTACTTAAACCACATTCTGCACAGTCAATGGCCAAAGCGCCCTCAGCACCCAATCGGCACTCTAGGGTGAGTGCGGGTGATATGGGTGAGAAGTCTCTAGGCTGGAGCGAGAGAGGTGAGATCGGGGTGAGAATTGTTGGATTCCTCGGCCCAAATTCTGATGATGCGCGGCTTGGCTCCTGATCTGCACCAGCCCTATAACGTATTTCACGTGCGAGCGGACCACCCCATCAAAAACGCGTCAATTAATTAGACCTTCCTTCTTCAACCAACCACCATGCCACCAATTCGCTCCCAAAATCGTTCTAAATTCATGGAACAGGAGGGTCGTATCTCAATTGCTATCCAAGCTATTCAAAAGCAGGCAAACTTATCAATTCGTCAAGTAGTGCTTACATATGACATCCCATACACGACCTTGCGCGCGCGTCTTCACGGTCGTCAACCCCGCGTTGAATCATACCCAAATTCGTAAAAAGTGACCAAGGTCGCAGGGAATTCGTTAAAGCAATGGATAATCTCTATGGGCATACGCGGAGCGGCACCAAGACCGGCTATGGTGCAAGAAATGGCTAATCTCCTACTTTCGGAACGCGGAACCCCAATTCAAACTATCGGTGTTAATTGGGTTACAAACTTCGTTAAACGACACCCAGAGCTCGATTCAAAGTTCTCAAGTCGCTATGAGTATAACCGTGCAAAGTGTGAAGGCCCAATAATCATTATGGGATGGTTTAAATTAGTTCAAAGACAATCTGTGACTATGGTATCAACTCTGGATATGGGGTATCCTGGAGCGCCAGCCTTTTATGCACTGTTGGTGCCTTTCTAATTGCAAGTATCGGTCGCCAATCACTTCAGCTGGATGTTCAATACTCCTCAACCCGCTTCTCTTGGAGTATTGCCAAGGCCAGTTCACTTGTCACGTTGAAGGGCGTGATCAATCTTCTCGCTTTATTGCTTTTCCTCCCTTGGCTTTCTAACTGGCTGAGTACACGTTTGCTTCTGTCCCCCGCCGCCAAGGACCTCCGGATTGTCCAAGGCAGTGTGTGGATTCTAACTCTGGGTTCCGTCATAATGGCCATTTCAACCTACCCGGCAGTATTTATAGCGGGTGTCGGCTTACTTCCATGCGGGTGGGGGTTCTACTCAGCCCTCCGAAGTCTAGCGATGGAACTTGCATCACCATCGCAAGTGGGTATTTTGAATACGGCGATTGGGTTCGCCCAAAGTGCTGGTTCCATGGCTTCTGGGCCCATCCTAGCTACTGCCTTTCGTCGTAGCATGAAGGAAAAGGGGCTTTTGCTTGGATTGCCGTATATGGTTACCGCTGGTCTATTCTTTCTATCCGGTTGCTTAATAAGTTGTATTTAGGTTCCAAAGAGAAGAGGTTTCTCCTGAATGTCGAAGCCAGGGTTCTACGATGGTGCTTTTTCAAGCTTGTCGTTGGAGTATGTGGCTCACGTAACCTAGTTTGGATGCCTTCAGCGTTGTGCATTCTTCATTCGTTTCTAAAGGATAAAGTTATAACCTTTTCTGCCTTTTCTTTTCTCCTCTTTTCATACTACTTAAGAGATCCCTTGTCCTATTATCTTGTAACTTAGCTTAAAATTGTAGCCCTTTCTATTTCAAAGTAGTAGCCAATTTACAACCTGTTTAAAGTATTTATTCCGGAAGACAGACGGTCATCTTAATAATGCTCATTAGCATATGATAAAAGGGCGTAATCCTAAGGATGAAACTGGGAGCTGACAAGACACAAAAGCGTGTTATTGGAGAGCATTAGGTAGGAGGTGAAGCCAGACTGCGAGATAAGAAGAAGAGTGATAACAGCCGATTGGAATTCACCTGGCACTTTTCTCCGACAAAAATCATTTGGCATTCTGATCCTTCTGTCTAATTCTTGCCCCATATCTCTTTAAAAGAAAGGGAATAGGAGCAAATGCCAATGCAATGAACGCCAAGAGACTGTTCCCCCAGACATATCGGATCGGCAAGATTGGCGGGCCGGGCGACCCCACTAGCGACTATGTAATGCCGGTAAAATACATACGTGACAAATGTTAGGAGTGTAATAAAAACAATATGGCACCAACGGTACGTGGCGTTCCAGTTCATAAGATTTGAAGGATCTGTGTCATTCTCCCAGAATACTTCGTTTGGATCTGGGACAGCATCTGGATTTTCGTGGATTTCATCCCCAGGTAGAGTAAATGGTGGTCCCTTCTCGCCGTCGTGGGTTGAGGCCATGTGTTGGACAAAGGTGGGGTTGTGGGGTGGAGTGAACTGAGATAATAACTACGGCAGCTCGATCAATCAAGATATGAATATCTAGCAAATAACCCTCTTTAAATATTATCGTGAGCTAGGGGAGTGGTCAATTACCGCTATGACCCTTCGGAATATCGTTTAACTACCCAATTCTCCTAGTATTTGTATGGTGTCGTAACACGCCAAAGCTCAGATTCTGTAGGTTTGAGATCGCTCAACAGACCTTCAACCTTCAATCAATCATCGGATTCTATTGTAAATCTTCAGTACGAGCCAGTACATCAATTCCTCACCCTGTCATCTTGTATTCGAAAAGAGATCCGTCGGTAATTTTACTATATCTTCTCTTTGTTAGGTTATACCGAGATCAACGATAACGGACCGCCCTAAAACAAAACCGACGATAAAAAGCGGTCCGATAACGCCTTTTTCCAGATTTTGGACGTTATCGTATCGTGTGCATCCCTAAACTGTGCCAAGAACCCCTGAGATTTGAACCGCACGTTATCTTGTGTATACAGAATGTGGACCGAAATTGAATAGCATTCGAAAATGGGGTCGTTTTGGCGTGACTAAGCGGAGCTTATTTCTGGGATAAAATGAGGCTGGCTGAAATCACAGCCGCACATATCCGCGGCTCTAAGTGCAGAACTTACTTCACTTAGCCCTGGGATATACCTGATTGAAATCAATCAGCTACGTGGAAACTTTATTCGAAACTTCACTAAACTCATATCTCGGGTTTTTTCCCTGAGGTCTGTACCACCGGCCTTTTTGAGAAACGAAAGAGACATGCCTCCCACAAGTTCATTTCTAGGGTTGCCAAATGAGATTCTCTTTATGGTAGCTGCTCAATTGCATGATATAAAAGACGCCCTTGCACTTACAACACTCACCTGTCGCTCTCTCGCTATTCGTTTTGAACCTGAATTTTGTTACAGAGCGCGAAATCATATCTGTAAATTGGAAAAGTCTGTCCTAGAATGGGCGGCAACTCGAGGCGAAGTAAGGCTCACCCGCAAGCTTTTGAAAGACAACAAGGCGATATCATCCGACACGAAAGATCTAGCCCTCTGTAAAGTTTCTAGCCGTTATGTTGATGATTTAATATCGGAAAATGAGAGCTTAGAGGTTGCGAAAATACTGTTGGAAAATGGCGCATCGGCTAGAACTGGTCGAGATCTCGATATTTTTACAGCTCTTCATCACGCAGCTGGCAACTTCGAATCGATTGTGAAATTGCTCTTAGATCATGGTGCTGATGCAAATGACCAAATGAATGCCGATGGTCGTGCACCTCTACATTGCGCAGTACAAGACACGAAATCTATTGTTGAATTCGAGCCTATTATGAAGCTGTTATTAGCGAAAGGCGCCGATATAAATTCCAAGGATTCCCATGAGCGGACAATTCTCTATGATGCAGTCAGACTAAGGGGTTCTAAATATACAAAGATGCTGTTGGCGTACGGCGCTAGTGTATACTCCCGCACCGAAGGCTTTACACCACTTCATTACTCAACTAGGAACTGTGCTACTATGCTTCTGCTATTGAATAGTGGTGCTGATATAAATGCCCGTGATGACCATGGTTATACAGCCCTTCATTTAGCTATTGGAGAGTCCAGAGAGGACTCAATGAGGCTGCTTTTGAATACAGGCGCTGATATACACGCCCGCACTGATAAGGGCTATACACCTCTTCATATTGCAGCATCTATCTCACCCTTTGATACGCCAGAAAAAGTGAGGCTACTTTTAGAGAAGGGGGCCGATATCAAACTTCAAGATAACGATGGTTTGACACCTCTTCACTGGGCAGCCAAACATGGACTAGAAAATGCCTTAAAATTGCTCTTGAGAGCTGGTGCTGATACAGAGGCTAAAGACTCTCATCAATTTACACCCCTTCATCTTGCAGTGATATCTGGGAAACCGGAAGCTGCACAGCTGCTATTGAGAAGCGGCGCTGAGGTTATGCCCCGAGACGACGACGGCTCTACGCCACTGCATTTTGCGGCAGAAGCGATGATTGCAAGCGCAAGCAATGTGAAAACGCTGTTAGACCACGGGGCTGATGTAATGTCTCGAAATCGTGCCGGGTTCACGCCGCTGCATTTGGCAGTAGTAGAAGCCAATAATGAAGACGCTGTGAGGACTCTCCTCGAGGCAGGCGCTCTTCATTTTGTCGGTACTAATGAAGATATTGATGTTACACCACTGGCCTTTGCCAGGAGAAGAGCCGATAGAAGACCCGGCTTCGAGACAATCGTCAGTCTTTTAGAAAACGCATGCGAAAAAGAAACTAGCGGACGTTGTCAGGTGAACTGAGTAGCAATCCAAATAGGTACCCAGGTAGTCTTTACACAATAAGAGAACAATATATGCCATAGAAATCCAGTGGATACGAGAGTATAATGCGAAACTAGAAGCTATGTTTGATATACTATTCATTTTTGAAAACTTAAAAGGAAGAAAAGAAAAAAATCAAAACACATCACTTAATGTCCTTCTGGTCACGCTTCTTCAAATTATAGACACACTCTTCGTTAGAAGGTGCAGACTCGTCAGTGCAATTGAACTGCATGAGGGGCGGTTATTTCGGTGTACCAAAATATCCCAAACCATCACAGCAGGGATAGTTATGGGGACACGGACGCGTTGGCTACCCTTGCCATTGCCCCTACACTCGTTCTGGTTTCTGGTAGGCTCGGGGGGAGGGACAGAAGCAGCGGGGGTAAGGATCAAGATGCGTGACTTGGTGTCAATTTCGCCGGTGGTCGATTTATTATCGCCATGAGCATCCCTCCAAGCATAAGTCCAAATAAAATACATCGATCCGTCCTTGATTTTCTCAATGTATTTACGGGGCGTTTTTTCTTATCATTGGTCTTTTTGAAAAAGGTTATTTAAAAAATCAAACTATATTGTCGATGAAATTTTGTAGGAGAAGCAATGAATGAGTTAGGAATTTGAAATTGAAACTGGATAAAGCTTGTAAAAAGCCAACCTGCAGACTGGCCAACTGAATTATAGATTAAATATGATGGTTGATAGCATGCTTGGCTCTTTCACAAAGCAGACAGAGCTTAGCAGATGGAACACACTTTCACTGCCGATCAAGCCATCTCTACCAATGATTCCAGGAATCCATCAGGCTGACATGCCTAAAACGAGTGTATCACCAGTCTCTGCATAGCCTTACCTGCTTTCTCCGACATTTCAGATAACTGACTGCATGCTAGTGTACCTCCAACTCTACTTGAGGAAGTCGAAGAATGCAATTTTTCAATCCTTCAGCCACCCAGAAGACTGGGACAGAGGTGTAGCTCCCCAAATTAGAAATGAAATTCTGTGACAGAGATTCTGATGCTAGGGTATGTGTGAAGACGAGGATCAGGACAGTAGTCTCGGAATCGAGTGCGCAAACAGCTGGCATTGGAGGAGAATGGATGTTGAGTCAACGTTCAATGCCATCACTTAGCTCTCAAATGAGCCGAGTTGAAGCGACTGTAAAAAGAGGTTGCAGTATTAGGTGGTCAGGTCTCCAGTTGTGAACTGAAGGATTACTACTAAAAAGAGATGATAAACGGCGTTTAATAAAATGATGAGTTGGTTGAAGAAAGGAAGAAAACTAGCTACAGCTGTGGGAGGAAAGAGAATGTGAGAGAGCCCCCACCAGAGTCCAAACATCAGGTCAAACCTTTACTTTTTTGTTTTTTAAACATCAACATCACGTTCCCACTTGAACTTTATTTCACTGAGTATATCCAAAATGTCTATTTCCATTACCAGCACCGATCTACTGCAACAGTCACTGCCTAGTATCAATATTGGACCAAACTTTACGCAGTCGAGTGCGATTCACAATATTCAATACATCGGACCGCTACGTCGTTGGGCGACCTTTAAGAATGAAGTCACTACGACATTTCAAAATATGAATTGGAGCCCTGTCCCTCTCTCGGTGACTCTCGTCAATGCTCCCATCCATGGACCATTATCAAATGAGCACATTCGATGTGGTGATGAGATAGGATTACAGGGTCGTTTTGATGAACGTGTAGGACAATTTTGAGCGCGGTACTCAATGTCAACAATATTGATTTGGTCTTCGGCAACTTTAAATGCATGACAAACGCGCAGACCTACAGAAAAACACCCGATGTTATGATCATGCGATCTAATGGCAGTTCTTATGTCGTTGATGAGGTAAAGACGTTTTGGGTATTCGACCACCAATTGAGCAGCCTTGTTTATCAATTCAACATTACGCCCACCAAATATATCTGTCCATGGATATATCCATTCAAACACCCGTGGACCACTATTCCCATCTTTGATATATATAACATTATTCTTTTGGCATTATTAAGAAAGCATCCATGGATAGGATGTATAACGTCATGGTTACCCAATCCACTTAATGTTTTCAATATCAAATTTAACACCAAAAATCTATTAAATCTAGCTATTTAACGCGTGTGGGACACTACCTATATGTACAGCCTTCATAAATTAGCCATATCCTGGCATAGTTCATATGAAAGAGCGAATCCTCTAGCACCCACATCAAGAAGTCAGTTTTCTATCAATTTCTCCTTGATTTGAGTGAATTTATGGTGGAATAGAGCAAAAATAGACTAATAGGAATGCATATAACATGCCAAAAATAAAGCTTGCCATTCTCTTTTATACGCACCACTTGGCCATCAACTTTGTCCCTCGGCCATCTCGTTATTTTTTTGTACCCCCTTCAATCTTATCAATCGAAATGACTTCATCATATCCCTGGTTCCGGGGCCCTGAGATCCACAGCATTATCTTCGATGACCCTGAGCCCTCTACCTGGATTGTCCTCGAACGCCTTAACGAACACGAAAACCGAGAGGATCCCGAAAGAGCACACATAAAGCATCCTGACCACTGCACTGTCTCCTATGCCTCTATCAAGTACCGGTGCAAGAAACAGGGAGATGCTAGCAAAATCGCGTTCGTTAGGATGTATAAGCAAATTCCCCACCTCGGCACAGAGTTTGATGATCATACTACCCGCGCTAAACAAGCTAGGGCGTGGAGTCCGCCCGAGCTAATAGCATACAAGACTCTTACCGATAAGCAGTCAAAATTCACACACCACCTCTTAGGATATAGGGAAGAGGAGCAAGAGAGCTCCGCTCTTGTGTCCTCTGGTTTCCTAGTCTCGTTTGCGTGGGAGCAAGTTCCCGGTGTTCAGCTAGGAGATAGTCTTGGCGGAAAGGTCTTCTGGGATATGAGTGATGATCAACGCCACACTATTCGGGAAACCTTCAAGAATAAGACAATCCGGTTAATTCCTCTATTCTGTATAATTTATAATAATGTATACTAACATCGGCCCTTTTTAGTGAGACTGAAGCTATTGGTTTTCGCCCCTTGTTCGCTTGTCCCTCGCATTTGGTTTGGGATTCCGCCTCCGGTAATCTGTATGTCCTTAGTAGTTGAATCATACTCCAAAGGGATGTTTACTAATTTATACTATAGTTTTATGGTCGGCTTCCGTCAGTGGATTGATGTTAAGCCAAACCCCTGGAGTGAGGCAAAGTCCTTCTGTTTCGGCCTAGCTAAGCCGCCCAGAAATGACGACTGGTCTGAATAGATTAACAATCCCGATACTTCTGATTGGGAGTTTTAGATAGCCTATGTTCTTTTTCTATGAGGTTTTGCTACTCTGGAGACAATCCAATACTGTTACAACACCAGGATAGTTAGATAGTGAACTTTTCAGCTTCCGTGCATTCCTTACAGCAATTAGTTTCTACCTACAATTTTGATATTATTCAGCATTTAATTGGTTCACGTAGTCCCGCTTCTCTGCCCAAAGTTACATCGCATGCAGATCTTGATGATCAAGGGCTCTGGTTGCAATGCTGCGAAGCTTGTCGAGGTTGAATGGGAGGAGATCATGGGGATTTTGACCATCTAGTATAAAGGCTGATCCAAAAATGTCTTCTCGGGTTATAAAGAGGGGCAGTTCAGGGACTTTTGGGACGGGAAAAACCTGGCACTCTTCATCTTTGTGCGGCATTCCCTGGCGATCTAATCGCCAGAATTGAAGTCGAGTCTTTTTCCGTTTCCGGGCCTGTTTGTAGTGCTTAAGGAGCACCACCAGGCGAACGGTTGGAGAGCCTCCAATTAAAACTCTCCGTGCATTTTCTTTCAAGCTTTCATATGATTGAGAAAAACTAGCTTCAAACAGGATGCTTGGAATAGGAGAAAGCTTTTTGCCCAGAGCATCCCAGCCGGATGAAGGAGCGCGGGAAGACATGACACCAGTGTCAGGCTCTTTTTTGAGGTTTCTCCGGGGTGCTCGCAGAGGATCTGGTACAGGATTAGGGAGATTGACCACAGTGCTTAACAAGATCCAGAGATCCTCTTACTTGATTGTAGTCAGAAATCCTTGCATATTCCACTCATTCTGGCATTTCACGAGTCAAGTGAGAACACTATCATGAGTCCAGGACGGCATGGTAAGCTTCAGGATACCGTCTTCTGGGGATGCAGTCTTTCGAATATCCGGGTATTCATGATCCAGGGTATTCCATAAGGAGTTGCAGAACCCAAGTCAGAACGAGGAATTGATCAGGCTGTTGGAGAATTTTATATTCTTGGAGGATTCCCAGTGTAGCTTCCGCAGAGGGAACGCATTCGAGGGAAATAGAAGCGTCAGATGATTCATCGTCAGTATCGTGTTCTGGAAAATGTTCCATGGTGATAAATGACTGGAGTGGAGATTATGGAAGGTATAGAGTAAATGGAGTGGATCTCTGCTACCCGGATCCCCCATGATTCCTCCAAGAATCGGTCTTGAAATATTATCGAGTTCTTGTTCCCATTTTCGTCTTCTCTGTTAAATCCAGTAACTCCTTACACTTATCTCGCTAGAGCTGGACTTTGTACAAGAGGTTCACGGCGTCTCTAGGGTCTTCTTATATCGTCAGAGATGAACTTCGTACGAGGGGTTCAAGGCTCTAGTTCGTTCGTTTCGTCGCGATTGGGTATGCTGTGTGCAACTCCGGGGCGTCTACTAGGAACCGTATGACAGTTGGATTTACCTTACGTAGTCCAAGTGTGTCGTCGTAAGTAACTAGCAGTCGGAGTCACCTTGTGTGTCCCGTTTTACTACGTCGTACGATGTCCGTTCCACGCGTGGGGATCAAGGACAATGGGCGAAAAGGCTGAGTTAATTCTAATGTTCTGGGATAAATGCAGGAATTTTTACGCTATAAAGATCCGATTAATAAACAAGAACAATTAACTAGTTAAGGAAGGGAAAGGGGTCCTGGGGACCGGAAGCTCTTATGGCTCGTCCGGCTCCGCACAGATGCCAGGAGCGCAGTCTCTCCAGAGACTGGGCATTTCATCGGGTATCGGCCCGTTACACCTGCTGCCAATGGCATTTTTCATCTTGCCGCCCGCTGCTACGCTTCGTGTTCACGAGGCTAAGCATTGCAGTAGCGACGTCTCAAAAAAGGTGGGGACATCACTAGCTGCACCCCACTTAGAAGCATGATTGATATAATTAGGAAGCCGCGCGGGTGGGCAGAAAGGCACGGATAATTCCTGACTTAGAGCGCTAGATGATGAGGCTGAGGACGTACCCCTCTTTTGGTATGTTAGAATCCAGCTTAAATTCTGTTTATAAACGGCATAAACCATTTTCAAATCAGCTATTCCTTGGCCCTTTGCTTTTTAGCTTGAGAATCTCTAAGAAGTCCACTAGCAAATTCACCACAAAATATCATCAAGATGCATCGTTTGACAGAATGGAAGGATCAGATTCTCCATAAATCCAAAAAGACGCGGGATACAAAAACGCAACCCGACCAAACTCAGGTTCGTCCCAAACTCAGATCTGGTACTCCAGACGAAAACAGCAAAAGTCAGTTGCAGTCCGAGGACCCTGTGGCGCCGCAAGACCTGTGGCAATGTGCTTTTTCTCAGCTGGATCAAAAGGATCGAGACATCTTGAAGCATAATCCTGGCTGGACCAACAGAGGCGAAGGTCGCTCGCCAGTGATAGATGAGATCAATAATGTCATCAAAACTACAGAGAAAAAATACAAGGAGTACAAAGAAAAAAGTGGAATTCCAATTCACTGGTTAACTGAGGAAGAGATTGATCTTCGAAAAGTTGCGGGGAAAATCATCGACGCTGCTCTCTCTTTTAAGGGCGTGATTGATGCAGGGGTAGCTTGTGATCCTACTGGACATGCTACAAGTGCGTGGGCAGTAGTTTCACTGGGACTGAATGTAAGTTGTGAAACTAAATTCGGATGATAGAAAAACTAATATATGGTCAAATAAATAGATGGTGCAAAATAATTCCGACCGACGAGATGCCTTGTTCACTTCTTCTGAGTACCTTGCGGAGGTCCTTGCCCGATGCATATTTATCGAAAAGAACTTCTTCCGCTCCCAGATATCAAATCGAGAGATTATAGGATCTGCAATAATTAGAGTCTATAAAGTGATCCTCAAATATGCCGCAGAAACTTTAGGCGCTCAGGACCTCAACTTCGGAGAGAGAATGGTCGACAATGTCACGGCCATGACCAGTCAATGTCTCGCAAAGCATCAATCTTCTATTGAAAAGGAAGAGCTGAAGTTGAATCAATGTATTGTCTGGGATGGACAATTGCAAAACGAAAAGAATGCAGAGAAAATCCTTATAGCAATTGATGACGGATTGTCGAAGTCCCTTAATAATATAATTCTTGATTTTGGTCTGCCTATCGCAGAGGGTGCAATTCTGGGCTTCTATGAAAACCAACGAGACAATGCGTCTATCTGTTTAGAGAAAACGAGAGTTGATGTTCTCGCTCAAATCTCAAGATGGGCTGAGTCACCTGAGAGCAGATTCTTCTGGTTAAGTGGAATGGCTGGAACAGGAAAATCCACCATTGCCCGGACTGTCGCAATGTCTCTCCAAGATAAGGGTCAACTGGGAGCGACTTTCTTCTTCAAGAAAGATGACGCCCAGCGTGGCAATGCGAAAAGATTCATATCAACGATTGCGAAACAGCTGATGCGTTATAATCATCAGCTTGCATCCGGAATTCTCAACGCAATCAAAAAAGATTCCGATATTTCCGCAAGAACTCTATCGGAGCAATTTACTAAGCTCTTCCTCCAACCACTACAAGACTCTATACAAGATCGAACCCGAGTAATGGTTATTGTGGTCGATGCGTTGGATGAGTGCGAAAAAGAGGATCTGGAGATCATCCTAAAACTTCTGCCGGATTTGCAAAAGATCCAAAAATTCCAGCTGAAAATGTTTCTGACCAGCAGGCCGGAAAGCAGAATCAAAATAAGATCCAATCAAGGTCAGGAGGGTTCTCAAGAACTGGCTCTTCACACGATCGACAAATCTTTAGTTAAGCATGACATACGGCTTTTCTTAGGAAATCGCCTTGAACAAATTCGGCAAAACTATTCCTCACTTTGTTCTCAAAGTTGGCCTGCAAGTGACGCTATAGAAAAGTTAGTGGAGAAATCTGTTCCACTGTTCATTTATGCTGATACCGTATGTCGCTTTATTGGAGATGGAAAACGGCACCCACAGAAGCGCCTTGACAGAATTCTATCGCGAGTGGGCCCGCCTGAACTCCAGATGCAGACCATGTTTCAAGCAGTGTTGGAGCAACTCCTTAGCTCAGACGAAACTGAGTCAAAGGAACTTGAGAAACAGTTTCATGATATTGTGGGAGTTGTTATTCTTCTCGCCGCACCCCTATCAGCTAAGGCTCTCGGAGGACTCCTCACACCTTCAATTTCCACTGAAGATATTAGATTCCTCCTAGACGAGCTGCGCTCTGTTCTCAGCGTACCAGCAGATGATTATTCTTCAGTCTCTGTTTTACACGAATCATTTCGCGAATTTATCCTGGAAACAAATAGTGGATTCCATGTAAATGAGCAAGAGATGCATAGAACGATAGCATCACACTGCCTTCGCGTTATGGATAATCTGAAACGTGATATCTGTAATCTACAAGATTACGGAACACAGCGTGCGGACATCGACAGCCAAAAGATAAAGGAGTGCCTTCAACCAGAACTCCAGTACTCGTGCTGCTATTGGGTGTATCATCTAGAACGAGGCACAGCACTCACCATAAAAGAGGGAATTTCAGGGAAGGTTATTCTAAAATTCCTTCAAAAGCACTTTCTACACTGGCTAGAAGCGATGAGCCTTATGGGACTAACATCAGAGACTATTGAGATCGTAGGCAAACTGCAGTTGATGAATCAAGTAAGTACGTATATAAGTGATAGGTGATTAAGGCTGATTTTGACCGCATAGAAGACCCCGAATTCTGAGCTTTCACAATTCTTATTTGATGCGAGGCGATTTATCCTCCGAAATCTTTATATGACTGAGACTGCTCCACTCCAGCTTTATAGTTCCGCGCTAATATTTTCGCCACCGGAGAGTATTATAAGAAAACATTTTCAAGAAGAACGACTACAAAAGGTGCAAATTCTACCGCAAGTACAAAGATCGTGGAATGCATATTTACAGACCCTCGAGGGCCATTCTATTTCGGTCGAGTCTGTGTCCTTCTCTCCAGACGGCCAAATAGTAGCCTCAGGCTCGGGAGATAAGACGATTAAGCTCTGGGATGCTAAGACTGGCAAAGAGCTACAGACCCTCAAAGGCCATTCTGATGGGGTCTGGTCTGTGGCCTTCTCCCCAGACGGCCAAGCAGCTGCCTCAGGCTCGTTTGATAAGACGATTAAGCTCTGGGATTCTAAGACGGGTAAAGAGCTACAGACCCTCGAGGGCCATTCTGGTTGGGTCTGGTCTGTGGCCTTCTCCCCAGACGGTCAAATAGTTGCCTCAGGCTCGAGCGATAAGACGATCAAGCTCTGGGATGCTAAGACGGGTAAAGAGCTACAGACCCTCGAGGGCCATTCTGACTGGGTCCGGTCTGTGGCCTTCTCCCCGGGCGGCCAAATAGTTGCCTCAGGCTCGAGCGATAAGACGATCAAGCTCTGGGATGCTAAGACGGGTAAAGAGCTACAGACCCTTGAGGGCCATTCTGACGGGGTCATGTCTGTGACCTTCTCCCCAGATGGCCAAACAGCTGCCTCAGGCTCAAGAGATAATACGATTAAGCTCTGGGATGCTAAGACTAGCAAAGAGTTACAGACCATCGAGGGCCATTCTGATTGGGTCGGGTCTGTGGCCTTCTCTCCCGGGCGGCCAAATAGTTGCCTCAGGCTCGGGAGATAAGACAATTAAGCTCTGGGATGCTAAGACGGGTAAAGAGCTACAGACTCTCGAGGGCCATTCTCATTGGGTCCAGTCTGTGGCCTTCTCCCCGGATGGCCAAACAGTCGCCTCAAGCTCGTTTGATAAGACGATTAAGCTCTGGGATGCTAAGATTGACAAAGAGCTACAGACCCTTGAGAGCCATTCTGATTGGGTCCGATCTGTGGCCTTCTCCCCAGATGGCCAGACAGTCGCCTCAGGCTCGGGAGATAAGACGATTAAGCTTTGGGATTCTAAGACTGGCAAAGAGCTACAGACCCTCGAAGGCCATTCTGACTGGGTCCAGTCTATGGCCTTCTCCCCGGACGGCCAAATAGTTGCCTCAGGCTCGAGCGATAAGACGATCAAGCTCTGGGATGCTAAGACGGGTAAAGAGCTACAGACCCTTGAGGGCCATTCTGATTCGGTCTGGTCTGTGGCCTTCTCCCCGGACGGCCAAACAGCTGCCTCAGGCTCTAGTGATAAGACGATCAAGTTCTGGGATTCTAAGACGGGTAAAGAGCTACAGACCCTCGAGGGCCATTCTGACTGGGTCCGGTCCGTGGCCTTCTCCCCAGACGGCCAAATAGTTGCCTCAGGCTCGAGCGATAAGACGATTAAGCTCTGGGATGCTAATATTGGCAAAGAGCTACAGACCCTCGAGGGCCATTCTGATGGGGTCTGGTCTGTGGCCTTCTCCCCGGACGGCCAAACAGCTGCCTCAAGCTCGTTTGATAAGACGATCAAGCTCTGGGATTCTAAGACGGGCAAGGAGCTACAGACCCTCGAGGGTCATTCTAGTTCAGTCCGGTCTGTAGCCTTCTCCCCGGACGGCCAAATAGTTGCCTCAGACTCGATCGATAATACGATCAAGCTCTGGGATGCTAAGACTGGCAAAGAGCTGCAGACCTCTGAGGGCCATTCTTATTCGGTCGAGTCTGTGGCCAGTCAAAAATCGTCTAAGCCCGATCCTCAAGTGTCTATAGCAAATGAGTGGGTCGCCTTTAGGAAGAAAAACCTCATATGGCTCCCTGTTGAGTATCGTGATTTCTCTTGCTCAGCTATTCAGGGTAACTCTCTTACTCTTGGATATCCTAATGGAACTGTTTGCATTCTTGGTTTTCACACTGATCGGTAAACTCGTTGTTGTATTTAGTGGTGAATTATTTTCCAATATCCTTTCAACCAGACCATACAGATCAAAATAGCACACTATGTAATTTTCTGTTGCGCTTTAAATCTTCCGGCCTTTCCGTCATTTAATGTAATTAATGAAATTATGCAAGCTGTCAGTAGTTGAGAATGTACACATATATCAGCTTACACCAAGTCCGCTAAAGAGAGTAGTGGCTGATAAGCTGAGTATTCTGTTAAGGGATTGCATAAATAGACTTCAAGTGGAAGATGCTGCTAGTCGCTATTTGCTCTACCAGATACCGAATTGACTGGGGTTTGACGGAGGGATATTCAGTTATGACACATCAATAGATTTTGGAGGCCCTTTTCCCTTCTGTCAAAGGACTGATTCCAAGTTTAGTTTAGTGCATTATCAGTCAGATTCCGTAACTGGCATTACCGCCAGATCATTGTTTAGTTGAATACACACACACACACACACACACACACACACACACATATTTGACTACTCTGTTCCTATTTGCTCGCACGAATCCACTATTCAGTCCCATTTGACAGAACTTAATGGATCTAGGGATCGGCAATACCTAGGTATAATTTAAAATTTTCCTCGTACATTTTTAATCGATCCCATTTTTCTTAATTTGCAGAACTGAGAAATTCACTTCTTATCGACCTTTATGCAATAATGGCTCATAAGTCAGACTTGATACCTTCTATCAGGTCTCGTTAGTTGGAAGCCTGGGACAAATAAAGCCACAACAGATTGCACGCCTACAGGCATCGGCCTCCGAATCAAGATTCAAGCTTCAGATTTGATCTATTTCACGGAGGCTCTTACAAAAACCATCAGTTATTCTTCAGACTGCGGGCTAAAGAAGTACCCTAAAGGATCCGGAACCATCGAGCCTACAGATATGCTACTTGATGATGCAGTCATTGAGAAAATTAGTCCAACTATTCGGGCGATGTTGCAAGGATTCTGAATTCTCTTGTGAGAATTATGGATCCCCGATTTCTATGAAAGCAAGGCAGTTTCAGCCTTTTGCCAGAATGATGATGGTTTCTCAGTCATACTCTGAGTTCCGCCGCCTACGCTGGCCTACCTTCTTTGTCTCTGAGGTAACGAAGGCTCTTATTATAACGAATGAGATGAAGGCGATTTTTTGGGCCTGTCCTTCCAAAGACTATATATAACCTACCCTCGTGGGGCAATCTTCATTTTATAGAACATTTCCCCGATGTAAATTTTCTAAATATTTACTCAAAAAACCTTCAAAATAAAATAACAACATCACCTACCTTGGAGAACGAGCGTCATGAGCATCTTATGATCTTTCAAGTTGCGACCACCAACCCCCTAAGTTTATCCAACGAAATCCACGTGTCGATGGTTTGACGAGCAGGCAGAAAAAGCTAATTTGAGCTTTAACAAGAGCTCTTATGGCTGGACAAACTCAAGAGGCATTTTTATCCCTTAGATAAGGAGTAGAAAGAGCCAATTTTGTCTTTTGATACTTGATGGCCATAACTCTCATATATAGCCTGTTTTTGATGAGATATGTAAAGCAAATAGTATTATTGCTTTATTTATGCCTGCACATGCATCTAATATTTTACAGCCTCTTGATGTGGCCTGTTTAGGCCTTTAAAGAGGGAATATGGAAAGGGTGTTGCGGAGCTGATGCGGCTCGGCGTTAATTCTATTCAAAAAGATGATTTCCTCCTCCCTTCAGAGATGCTCGGGATATTGCTTTTAAAGCTAGTACCATAATTAGTAGCTTTAGAGCTGCTGGTTTAGTGCCTTTAAACCCATTAAATGTGCTTGATATGTCACGGTGCCATACGGTATATTAATGATTTGTTAGTGGTGTGTGTAACAAGGCTAATACATGGCCCGGGTTTACTATAATATAGCTACATAACATATTCGGCGACATATAGGGTAGTCATGCCTTAGCTTAGTCTTACCCAATCTTACCCTGTTTATTGTGTACTCACCCTGTACACCCCCGGTTGCACGACACTAAAGCGGCCCAAAGTATTCAACCTTGTACGCGACTCGCAAGGTCACCAAGGCTTTCGTTGCAGCTGGTCCAAGATGCAAGGTCTCGTAGTATACAAGGGAGCGAAGAAGGTCACGGCTTATATTCACAACTGCGAGGAGTGCAGACGGAGCCAGATACCTCGGCATTTTAAATAAACAACCACATTTAGAACACTGACTCGTGATATCGACGAAAAGATCCGTCGCGAGTTCGTCCATCCCTTTACCATGCGCGAATATACGCCAATAAAGTCTCTCTAGCAGCTTCCCCGGAAGATTGGAGGAAGAAAGCGGCAAACTAGGAGTGCATGGCAGGCTACTTAGACGAGAAGCTGATTACCGTTATGCTTGAATGCTTGCTCTCGCTTTCAGCTTGCAACCGCTATAGGTATCTTGGATGATGACTGCGGCCCAGGTCCAATTAGGTCACGCATCATTAACGAGTTTGGCTCGAGCAGCTTTTAAATTTTCATACAAAACTTGCTTGTAGAATTTATGTACAATAGGACTTTAGCTAAATACCTATGTTAGTCTATTTAGCTTAGCCTTTCTCACTTCCTCATCTCAACGTCGACCACTTCCCTACATTGTGTACTTGAATAATGGCTCACTCTCACTTCCGAGACTCGTAGAACAGGCTTGCCAGGTCCCTAATTTTGGTTAAAATTATCCACTTCCAGATCATTGCTCTTTACCGCATGGATTTTCGTCCATTTAATCCCGAAAGCAAAACAGAAAGCCATGGCTGTCGTACTAGCTGCAACAAACTATCGAAGTTCACTCGTCAGTAAAAATTCCTCTACATCCTCACCCATGGAGGGGCCACTCACAAATGTGGAGGTAATAGCTTTGTTGTAAGAATCCAAAACCGGACTCAGCAGCTTTGGGAAGTTCGCATTGACGGTCTTACGGATATCGGCAGTTCCAGCGGCAGATAATAACGCCCTCTGTGTAGCATTCAGACCATGATCATCCAGGGATTTGCTCAGAATTGAACGGAACACGATGCTTCCGATAACCTGTGTGACTGTGGCACCCAGAAACTGGAAAAATATATTGAGAGACGGCAGCGGGCATGAGCTCTGGTCTATCATAGACTGCTAGTTGGACTATGAGAGAGGGCATTTGCTGGGCCATGCCGACTCCGAGACCCTGGATGACTTGGGACCCGATCCAATGGCTAGACGGCGTATGGAAAGCTGTGAACTGGGTGTATAATGCTGCGGCGGTGCACATGAAGAGAGGTCCGATGAAGAGCCAAGGGTTATAGAAGTTGACTTTCCGCGCTGTCTAGTGTCAGCTTCTTTTCCAAGGCCACTTTGCACGTGAAACCCGAGTGTTAAGCTTACCTAGAATACTAGAAGTCAGTGTTCCCACGATCTGCGCGAGCACCGAAGCTAAAACCCGCGTGCCACTTTCTAGCGGACTTGCGCCTTCCACGGCTTGAAACCACTCAGGGAGATAGTAGTTTAGGATGCCAATAGACCCGAAATGACAGAAGGAAAACAGGATACTGAAGGTGATGGATCGTCTGGTAATCAAATTCCCAGGTATTATAGCGTCATCGCCCTTACGGTTTAGCGTAGAATGGACCATTTAGATACGACTAGTCGATCTCCACTTCGATCCACTCGCAACACTGATACAAAGAGTGGGCTACTTGACTCTGGGAAATTGTATTATGCAAGACTTGATCGTCGGTAGCAAACCTTGTCCTCTTTTTCACATAAAGGCTTTTCTTTCACTCTAACATCTTTCCATTTACCAATGTGTACGAGGTTTGAACTTTAAAGATGAATTTCGAAGATCTCCAGAAAATTGCTCTTGAGCGTGCTACACTTGCCGCATCACGTGGCTTCACGCTTGAGTCCTACCGGACCCACTCCCATAGGACCGAAGTTTAGTCCCATGGGAGTCCCACGGGAAATGGCAAGGTCTACCTGTAAATATCGTATCACAGAAGTTTTTGTTCCTACTTTCCGATAAAAAGCTAAATAGTATATGTTGGTGTCTAATATCAAACGCTAGGGAGGTGAAAACTAAAAAGAGGATATTGAAAGATCACGGTGTATCAATGCTAGGGAGAAAAAACCAAAAAGGATATCAAAGATCACGGGTATCAATGCTAGGAAGGAGAAAACCAACAAAGGATATCGAAAGCTCACGGGGTATTAATGCTAAGGAGTAAAGACAAAAAGGAGAATATCGAGAGGGGTCAGTTAAAGAGGAACAGATAAGAGGATAGGACGAATGCTTAATCGTCGATAATCATGTGATGAAGACGAGCGAAAAGCTCTGCCTCCATACGTTCACCAGGTAGTGGGCCGCGAAGGATTTCACCGATCATATCAGACCCTTCGGGAAAGTCATATTCCCAAACAGGAGAAGCTGACCCCTTCATACGGCGGAGAAGGGTCTGTTGCCAATGCCATCGTAGGAGGTCGTCAGAGACGCGATTAGGGTCTTGCGGATTGCGGCACACTGGGTCCAGAATTCTGCCGTCGAGATTGTTGTTATTTGCTCCAAAATCGACGATCTTATACCCATCTTCGGGGTTGATGGAAATTTCAAAGTCATCAAACTGGTCATGGATGTCATTACGGAGACATAATCCATTTTGGATGGAGTTGATTCCAGCTCGATGACCTCCAAAAGTCTGATCTGTGATAAAACGATCAAGGTGAAGATCATCCCAGAGGGACACACGGGCAAGTGGAAATAGATGTGCGGACTGCCATCCTCTCCATGAAGTTTTCATACCAGGGATAGAGAGGGAACGATTGAGCACGCCAGAAATGACGCACATTCCATCCCGGTTACGAACACCGTTGCGGAACGCCAACTCTCTAGGAGTAGCGGCACGAGTTGTGATACGCGAGGGGACTCGTCGGATGCATTCATCGTTGGTGAGTTGAATGGTAGAACCAGGGGTCGGATAGATATCATAGTCACCAATCGCAAGAATCTGAGGACCTGCTAAGAGTTGGGTTCCAGTTTCGTTTGAAAAGATTGAGATAGGGGCCCGCGGTTCCGAGTCAATAATAAAATCGATCATGTCAATGAAGTTTCCGTCTGTGATCGAGCCATTTTGAAAAAATTGCCCAAAAAGGTTTTCCGTGCCTCCACGGAAGTAACGGACAAGCCCAACTGCGTTCATGATGATAGCTGATTGTTTGCGTAAGTCTCGCGCTCATGAGGAAAAAGAAAAGAGAAAACAATCAAAAAAAAGAAGTACGCTCAAAATTATGTAACACGTGATTGAACGTCATAGCTGATTAACAATAGGGAACTATTATTTATATCCACCATGCTTTTACTTAGATGCACCATGCACTGCCTTATTACTAAGGCTATACTACACTTTCCCTGACCGCTTCACTTACCGCCTGACCACCTTTAATTAGTCATATTCAAGCCAAATTCTCCAACTCCTGTAAATATCTATCTTCATTCATTCTTCATTCTACATAAAACCAGAGTTGAAAACACGCTAAATACAGCAAATGAAATACAGGTGTAAAATTAGGTAGATGCGACTGAAGGGAAAATTAGGAGTTAAGTTAAGATGCGACCATGGCCAGCTTTCGGCTGAATAGTTTTTCCATAATACTGGCAGAAATATTGGCAGAACTAAATAGGTGCCTGATGGTGCCTTAAAACCTTAGTAATAAGGCAGTACATGGTGGATATAATAATTCCCTATTTATATAATCTACTCCTATTTGTTTATACAATCTACTTATTCAGCCCAAATCTAACATCTTTTGTCAAAGATCATATTTTAGTTTAACTTAGTTTTAGCCATCTCCCGTGGCATTACTGCCATTGTTTACTTAGTGTCGGAACATGGATATTGTAATCGTGCAATACCATAAACCCGGAACGGAACAAACAGACCCCCGAGTCATGGGGGAACAACTATATTAGGAACTTAAGTAGCTACATAAATCGAACACATTTCACACCACTTTACATATAATATATACTAAGAATGTAACAGGTTGAATCCTGGTGAACACGTGGTTGTACCACGTGACCCACCAACCGTGTCAACTTGTGCGAGGAAGTGGGATTATAGGAACCAATCAGAAGACTTCACAATCTCAAATATGTGTGTGTATTCGCAGTAGTAAATCTTACGGCAGTAAAGAGCGTACGGAAGCTGACTAATAAAGAACACTAGACTAAAATAGGACTGGCCATTTGACAAACCGCATACCTCACGATTCCACCCCGAATTGTTTACGTTTCTTTAAGGGTTTTGTACACAGCATGTGTCTAGCTAGTTTTGAATCTAAAATTAGCTTTAGCCCTTAACAGCTGCGATGAACACGAAGAATTAAAGTAAGTACAGTGAATGAGTGTCCTTACATCCTTCGCGTCATGTTCATGGCTAGTTGCCTTTTTTACAAAATGTGTAGTAATCATGCATTAGCTAGCTTTATTATGTGGCTATGTGCAGATACGAAGGCAGCACTGTTTCAAGAGAAATTACTCTATCCAATAGCTTTTAAATATTCAAGGATTAGTAAAGTAGTCATTAGCTTAGTCTCACCCCAATCTCACCCTGGCTCACCCGGTTCTCACCCTGTTTATTGTGCACTCACCTTGCTCACCCCCGGTCGCGCGACGCTAAGGCAGCGCTCACCCATTGCTCACCCTGGCGACACGCACCCGACTATTTTCCGCGTTTAAGCCACACGCCGGTCAGTTAGAAGTATGGTGGGTGACCACAGGCGAATCCTGACTGTGGTATGTTTTTGTTGTTTTTGAAATTCATAGTCCGATGTAATGTATTTGGACGAGAAGAATTCAAAATTGTGTTAACATCTCATATTTTTTTAATGTTGACATACATGCCTTGAAAACTAGGTAACAATGAAAACATTGGGAATTGATAGGGACACCAAAAAAAAGAAACTAGAGGAACACCACCTCTACTCTTTAAATGATTCTCTATTATAGTGAGAGAATTTAATAATCAATAGAGCATATAAAAGCTGCAGGTAGGGTCTAGTGACATTATCGAGTTCTAAGGTCCACTCATAAAAATTGCACCGTTTCGGACTTCCTTCGCCAGATACTCGATTTCTGAATCTGTAGGTTCTTGGCCGGGCAATTTTGTAAGGGTGTATAATTTACTTTTACCACTATTAACTGGTAGTGGAATCCGAAGCAAATAAGTGACACGCATGAATTGTTTGCGGATCCACTCGTGCTGCCCTGGTCTGAGAAAACTCGCCATAGACTGACCATGGCCTTCTGAGAAGAGCGTCAACAAGCGACTCAACGGACTCATAATATGCCAAGGCCCTTGAGCAATGATGTGGCGTCTGTAATATTCCCTTGATGTTTGGCCCTTCTGACCTTGCTTGTCAAAGCGTCGTTCATCCTGAACGACGGCTAGTGAACGAGGACTTGGAAGCAATATTTTCGTGTCGCCAAAGTCGGCAAGGTGGAGAGGATTGGATCGATTACCGAGATAAAAGGGTACACTGTGGCACACGGAATCCACTAGTTCCTGGAGAGTTTGGACATAATCTCCCAGATGTTCATCACTCGGAGATGTTTTATCCGCTCGATCCTCAAATTTCTGTGGATATGCAATTGCATGTAAGCTGAAAATAATCCTGAGAAGCAAGAGACGCTGAACGCGCCATAGATTCCAAATCGTTCCAATCTGGCACGTAGGATAAACCTCGCAAAGAAATCGATAGGTGGGGATTGAAGAATCGACGTCCTGTCCACTTCTGAGCTTCAGCGGCTGCCAGTAGTCTGGCACGTTTCTTGACCAGGCCAGTAATTGATCGTCTAGGCGTTTTGCCTCGAAAATCCAATCTCTTGGAGCATTCTGCGAAGAAGTGATAGACCCGTCCTGCGTTACGAACTGCATATAGCTAGCTTGTAATTCGGCAACAGTGGCCCCTATAGCATCAAGTCTAGGACTTGGGTTGTCTGTCGATGCTATCAAATCCGTGCTTTTGACCCAGGAGTGTGCAGTATCTTCCAATGCCCTTTCTTGACGCATCGCAGAGCAAATTTCGGAATGAAGAATAAATCTCTGAAGAAGAATGTGGGTCATTCCGCCGGCTTTATTAGAACTTGCAAATGGAAGCAAAGACAATGCGGCATTGTGGTGTATGGATGTTCCTGAGCGAAGACCAAAGACAGCGGCGACGTTTTCATATAACTGCAGTGCCAACACCGCTGAAATAGTTCCCGGCTTGCCCCATTCATTGTGATTCTTTAACGTACTCCGAAGACATTTAACGGCCTGAATATATATATCTCGTGAAGTCTGGCAGTAATCCCGTCGCCATAGAGACAGGATTTCAGAAGCTACGGCTGACACAGCCAACATGAGAGGCGACTCTTGCGTCTGAGAACAATATAATGGAATGAGAACCTCGAAAAACCCGCGCGCGGATTCCAAACTCCGACCCATGCCGGCGTAATACTGAAAAAAGAAAGACACTGAGGTGTCTGGTTCAGCTAGCGCTCGCGGACTAGACGCCTGATTCTCATCTCGAGCGACTCTGGCCCTATTGATTTCGTTGCAGAACTTGTGGTTCTGTTCTTTGAACTTCAGGGTGGTACATTTTATCTGGTAACCCTCACATTGAAGTCCTAGACGATGGCATGTCCGGCATTTGGGTTTTGCTTGGTCACATTTGACGCGGCGTTGTTTGCATGTAACGCACCCTTTGGAGCATCCGTAGTTAACCATGGTGACAGCGCTGATGCCAAAAATGATACCTCATTTGCGATGGTGAATCATAAGCATGGTCAACTCGAGCCATTGAATTGCTAGATCTCGTCACGCTTACTGTGTTCTTGGCAGAGTAAAAGGTGGAGCCTGATTGTGTACAGACTCCACTGCTAGCCATATACCAATGAGGAGGCTCCATCGCAAACCCCATACCTAATAGATTCTAGTGCGGTTCGCCCTCCAATCCCAAGCAAATCTGCCTGCATCTGGATCGACACGATCTACATACACTTTACATTGATGGCCTTGTGGCTGCGGGTGCATTTACTTATCAAGCCACCAATGATCCAGCTCCGTCGCAACCCATATACCCAATTCAATATGAGCCGTTTATGTTCTAATCAACGGACACATCATTTGGATACGCTGATGCCTGGTCCCATGACGTCCGAAGACGGTTCGCTAGAGCAGGAATGAAGTATAAGTAGAGATGAAGTGACCGTAGATAAAATAGTCAGATTTCAACAAGCAAGACCTCTTTTATCAGTGAACTGTGACATATTCTTATCCTAGAAAGAATTCGAAACTTTTGTAGTCCGCCATGAAACTTTTGTGTTGCACCGGCCCTCTTTTGGCGACATCACTTTATTGTCGTCTAGCAGTTGCAGCCAACACAACAGACAATCTTCCCACGCTGCAACTAAGCACAGACACTACTTTCAACTTTCAATTTCTCATTGCCCTTGGCGATGCTCCCACGGGGGGTTCGGACATCGGACCTGTCCTGGGGGCTGCTAAGAACATCAAAGCTGGAGACATGTCCTCTTACAGCGAGCAGTTCTACAAACTCGCCAATCAAACTAAGAGACAAGCAGAGGACCCGGAAAATGCCTATGGCCCAGCCAATGTCAGAGACACCTGGTTCTCTGCCTCCCAGTACTTCCGTCGAGCAGATTTCTACCTCCACGGAAACTGGAGCAACCCGTTAATCAATACCCTTTGGGCAGAGCAGACTGCGGCGTTTAATAAGGCGTTGGCTGCTTTGCCCGTCCCTGGCAAGCGTATCCGCATCCCCGCTAAGAAGGGTAATTTCACCATTGAAGCTATCTGGTATGGCGTACCCGGGGGAGAAAACCGCAAACTGCCAACCTTAGTTATCGGAAATGGATTCGATGCTGCACAGGAGGACTCATATCATTACTTCGTCGCTCATGCACTAGTAAGAGGCTGGAACTGCATCACCTATGAAGGCCCAGGTCATCCGACTGTACGCCGAGAGCAGAACATTGGCTTCATTCCGAACTGGGAGAACGTTGTGACCCCCGTGGTAGACTACGTCCTTTCCGAAAAGTCAAACGTCATCGATGAGAGCCGTCTTGTTCTTGTTGGCAACTCCTTCGGCGGTTATCTGGCTGCCCGTGCAGCAGCCTTTGAGCCTCGTTTAGCAGCAGTGGTCTTGATTGACGGAGTTTGGGATTTCTATGCTGGAGTCATAGGGCAATTGACATCTGAGATCGTGGCCTCATATGAGGCGGGCAACTATACAGAATTTGACAACAAGATTCTTTCACTGCGAGAGGCTGGGAAGCTCAGTACAGCTGCTGCCTGGGGTTTAGATCAAGGCTTGTGGTCATTTTATACGCATTCCCCTTCTGACTTTTTCAATCAGAGCAAGCAATATCGATTGGAGGATGTTGTTGACAAGATCAAGATGCCAGTATTTATAGGGGATGCTGAGTATGAGAACTTTTTACCGGGCCAGCCGAAGCAAGTCAAGGATGCACTAGGGGACCGAGCTACTCTGCATGCCTTCCTAGGGGTTGCTGGCTATCACTGCCAGACTGGTGCCACGCAAGAGATGGCACGGGCTATCTTTGCCTGGTTAAACAAGTCTCTCGGTAAAGCATAAGAGATGTTGTAGCTTGTCTTTGCATATACAAACATGCTCTAGCTTATCTTTGATGTATGAATACATTGATTTGGATATAGTTTGAGGCCAGCGCTCTAGAGGGGCTATCTGACTGGGTGTCAGAGAGAATCATTGAGTCCTGTAGAGGAATTAATATACGACTTTTCACAGAAATTGAGGAAATCCCGTGCTCAGTGATATTTATAGATCCATATCAGGCTTAGTTTGATCATGCGGGCCACTCTTTTCACCTTAAGCCGACTACTACACAAACCGATGTCCAAGAGGCTTGCAATTTCATCGGCCTCAAAACACAGAATATGACAGGAATCATACATAGCTACGTGCAAGTGTTGTATGCCCGTCGCATGGTCTAAGGTTACAGTATGTGTGTGTGGTGTGTTTGTGTAATTTACCCTGACCCCTCGCAATGAAAAGCGATACTCAGGCTACAACATAGACTATATAGCCCTGTATGTACATGCAGAATGTTCCATTTCCCGAAAACGAACTTAGGCCCTCTTCAAGGCCTGTCCTGGCCCGCGACACGCTGTCTGGTTTACATCTCTACCCTGTTTTTGAGCCCTCCTAGTAGAGTCTACACGCCGTTAAACGCATCGCCAACCTCTTTGCTTAACTCTGTTAAAAGCTCCCTTAAGTTCGCACAGTCCACTGGCCCTTGGGTGTTTTTTCTTGCGTGCCATACACGCATTGATCGCCGTCGCGTACAAAGATATATCATGAAATCTTGAACAGTTTAGTTTGTATCTACTTTTTTGCACATCAGATACTGTAGAATATCATACTTGACCAGATAAATCAGATTTTTAGGCTAGACTGGTTGAATTGAACTAAAGATTGGGGTCGGTCCGGACATACTACATCATATAAAGTTTTCAGGCACATTCTTCGTACTTTTCTGGCCGAAAGCACTTCAGCCAGTCTACTTGAACGCCTTATTATTACACTATTCTTTATTGTCGAAGTACCCTCTGCGCCCTGAATGAAGCGCTAGCTTACTAGATGTGGGTGGCGTGGGCATGTCCATCAGATAACACGTATCCTGGCCAGCCGAGGGAAATCCGTAGATCTTGATCACGATATGTATCATAGTCCTTGAATACTTGGAATTCTTTCGACAAGCAAGAGTGAAGACATCTTCAGGTTGTTCATCTTCGACTACAAGATGAAACCCGCAAACGATCAAGGGAAAGCCAAAAGTCGTAGTGATGGCATCGCCAGCGATACAGTATCTAATGTCATGTTCCTCGATAGATCTGGATAGGTGACAGAGATCCTTTCCTAATAGTTCCGGAAGAGGCCGATCGGCAGTGTAATCGTCAATTTAGAGATGGGAAGGATATATGAATTGGTTTGTTCGAGTTTGGGATTCAGTGCAGATACTACTGTGAACGATACGAGGACCAGTGGATCAAGAAACACGGAAAAGACTGAGGGCAGTGTAGATTGAAGCTGGGAGTCTATCCAGTATTCTCGAAAGGATTCACTATAACAGCATTTCAAGAAGACTCATGAGCTAACCACGTCATTCGGTAGATTGTATATACATGTGATATCCCTGGCTGTGCTGTTATATCCGCTTCGATTCCCCAGTACAAGTCACATCTCTGGGAATCTCAGGCTTGGTTGAGTCATTGGAATTGCGAACTAGCAGAAATGCGAACCTTCCTATTTTCTGCTGGATCTTGTGCTTCACCTTTCTTGCCCTAACTTCCCACCTGACACGAGATAACAGCCACAAAGATGTCTTTGTCACCAGATGACTCACCAATACGGCTTTCGGCGGTCAAGAGAAAGCGAGCCTACACAAGACAGCTTCTAGGAAATGAGTATCAGAAGTTGGTCACCGAGCTCCTCACCCCGCCACAGCCAAAAGCACATTTTCAAGACTATGGTAAATCCCATATCATCTATGGGCTACGCTATGTGGATACTACCTTCCAAAATCCCACTCGAGTTCTCTCCATCACCGGAAGAGCTGCCCTCAGAATTTATAAAGATGCCTGCGCAGACTATCTCGATATTTGTAGCCAGCATGTTGAGAGAGTACGCCTGATCTTCAAAAGTTGCAGATCGACCTGATCGCCCAGATTTGGAGCTATGAACAAGCTCTTGGGTACACAAAGGTGCTGATTGCTACTTTCGGTAAAAATCTGACGGAACTCTCGCAAAATCTGATCCACCTCAAGCGCATGTCTTTTTATGCCGAGATTATATAGTCGAGGCGTGTAAAACTCTGAGGACAAGTGCCAATAAGAATAATAACACCATTGGTAGAGAACACATCCAAGGGAAATATTGGACCCAAATCTCAGAGGACTTGAGAAATGAAGAATCAACCTGGCAGGAAAAAAAATAACACCAGCCAAATACCCCACGCACATCGCTGTTCGAGGCTTGCAACTTTATCAACTTCAAGAAAAAAAATATGATCACAATCATCTATAACTATGGGAGACCAGAAGTCCGTTCTACACGAAGGTATCACTGAAATAGTTGCCACCAATCCATCAATATGCTATTCATTTAAACAAATCATGGGTGAAGTTTATCACTGATAGCTGACCTACCAAAGTCACATGACTCTCTTAATACTTTAGTTAAATAAAGTTCAGGGAAACAAAAGCGCCAAGAAAGTAAAAAATCTGACCAGACTGGGGTTCGATCCCAGGACCTTGTCGGTGTTAACGACACGTGATAACCAACTACACCATCCGGCCAATTATATACTTAGATTTCGATTAATAAATCTATATACATAAGTAAAAGTATACAGTTGCATCATTGTTGTTGGTGCTGGTGATGTTTGTAGATGATTTCGATCTATCAGGAATTATCACTGAATGTGAACCCATAAATGATGATGCAGCCACTGTTATTGTCGATACCACTAGACCAAAGTGGGGCACAGGACCAATGAGAATGGTTACGATGCTGTCAGTCCGACATGAAGTGAATCTAGCGAGTTTTATCTATTTAGTTACAGCGAGGACAAGATTGAAGGACACACCTCTTACAACTTCGCATCGAAGCACCTAGATCTATTCCATCGAAAATAATAGTTGCATATGCACTGTAAGAACGTCACCGTTCGGACAGTTATCGACCGAGGTCAATATCTCATTTGGAAAATTCATCTTAAGATCGAGTTCATAATCAGCCTTAACAAACCATTGATTTTCTAGATTATTGACAAAGGCTACAAACTTCAGAGTAGCGGATGGAAGAAGACATTAAATCCCATTTCCTAGTAGATCCAAGAATACTACTCCCGTACATTATGGTAGATGTTGTTTTTGTGAAGGGTTAAAGCTAATCCTAAATTCAGAATTAGCTACTAGCTAGGCACAAACTGTGTACAAAAATCTTTAAAAGGCGGAAAGGAATCGTTGTACAGTCGAGATTGAATAGTTCTCGAGCCACATAATGTTTTAACCCGAAAGAATATCGGTCTTATGTTCACGCTCAGACTTGGATTATGCACCATAATCCATCACTGGGCTTCAGTCCGTTGCAGTAATTTGCAAAATTACGACAGGGCCTCCAATATGGGTGGCTCCATAATACTAAACGCCAAAGGACTTGGACCCAGAAGCTGATTGAGGAAACCAAGGCCGTTCATAATATATGGACAATGCTTAAAACATGAACATCCGCTATGGATATACTTATAATAGTTGGCCAGAGAAACTTTACTTTGCATTCGAGCTTGACATCAGATAACATCTTACGAATTTCATTTATGTGGAGCTGAAAATATGTGGTGGAATTAATCTTGGGATAGATCTACACTAATCATCCAATTCAGGTGCAGTTTGGGCGTAAATGGAATTTGGGCTGTAGTAGATAAACTCAGATTAGGAACGCAACAGCTTCTTAGGCTGAGCATTAAGTTGTGTCTAGTGTGTTTAATTCTGGCCTCCATCATATGAAGCGCCCCCTTAGTTCAGTGGCAGAACTTGGAACTTCTACTAGTCATTCCACAACCCGGGTTCGAATCCCGGAGGGGGCTTCTTTTTTATTTTCGCATCAACTTTTTGAGTACCTTGTTAATTATAGATATAATTGACTCTTTGACTGAAATGCCTCAGAATATCAACTTGTTACTGTTTTTCTTTTTTCCCTTTCATCAAATGCCATTTTTAGGATAATATTTCCGTACTTGTGACGGTTTGTTTGTATACGGCGCTATTCACGTGATAAGGACAGTTGTCAAAACGTCCTTCCCGGCGACCCTTACTTACTCTCCTTTGCTAATTCTTCAATAAAATACTAAAAATGAACCTTTGCACTTAACACTTTGTATTTTTCCTGTACCAATACTCTGTCTAAGTACCTGTTGAATTACCGACCATGATCTGGTGGAAAAACAGCTAGGAGGTTTATGCCATCTTTGACCGGTTTTACCCGAGCCAATTAGAGACCACTTCTTATCATAAGATTATCGATTGTTTGCTCTCATCTCAACGTCCACACTAATACAGTTTACTGTATGATGTGTTCTGCCTCACTCAGAACGCTGCACTGATAGCCTATCACTGCCTGTTTTTATCTCTTTCTTACCCCTTAAACCCCTCTTTACTATATTTTCCCACGGAATCTCACCTTTCATCCCAATTTTAGGATGATATTTCATTTCATCTAGTTGTGTATTTAAACTCACCGATTTCTCGTCATTTCGGTTGATAAATCAGGTTATCTTCTTATCTGAACAAATGCATTTCTTCCCTTATTAGGCTATGTTCGCTTTGGTCTGATGTTGTATTATCTGGAGACTAAACACCTCCACCGCCTTATTGCTAAGGCCTACATCCCATCTTTCAACACCATCTCCAATTATTCATTAGTATCTATATAGGTAGTTGATACATATACAAAACTTCAAGAATTTTGTCACGTGGGGGAGGGTGTCACGGGGCGGGCAGGTGAATAGAATTATACTAGAACTGGACAGACAGTATTGCATTGACTGACAGGCTAAGACGAAGACGTAGCTTGAAGAGCTACATTCAGACAAGGTTCTGAGTTTACATGAGGTTGCGGGTCACGTGGCCCGCACTATCTAATCAATCAGTAGTCGTCTGAGCTGGCACCGTGACAGAGGGGGAGTTTCGCAGCAGCTCACAATATCGATTCCCATAGTATAAGTATACATATACATATCCATTTCTTTATTGGAATTCCAAACAGGGTTATGGGATTAGAAGTCCTAAGCTCTGTCTCTGAAAAGGGGGCATTTTCATATGGCCAGGCCTACATTAAACAGAATAAGGAGACTGAGCGTAGTATCTTGTTTGATCCAAGTTCTGGTGAATTATTTATTTACTATGCCGAGATTTTTGGATGGTTCCAAAGTTCCAGCTTCTTCGTACTAGTAATGTCCACTTTCTAGATTCTGGTTGGTTCGCTTAGGATCATGCATATTCCTCCCCTCCCCTTCCAAAAGTGTACTCTAAATTAGCTTTACGACGTAGTTATTTACAGCCCTTGGTTCTGTACCTGTAAAGCATTCAACGTTACAACCAGATCCGACATACCATTCATTCACGATGTTTAAATATAGAGCTAGCAGTCTAGACTACAGCCCTAATCACATTTACTTACAAACTGCGCCTAGATTGTATGATTAGTGCATATTGTTAATTACATCATTCATTCACTTGACTCAGCACAAAGACTATTTAATCCAATTAACTAAGTATTAGTTAACCTGATGAAATTGATAGCTGACAATAGTGACGTTCAAATATTTGATTTTGTTTCCAGTCCTCTACGCCCAGTTGATAGCAGTTATCCGACCACCGGGGTTTGAGAAAAAAGGACGAAACGGTAAGAAGGTCTACTATAAAACGCTATAGGACAGTTTACTGTGGGGTAATCTTCTCGAGGGAGACCTCGCTATAGACAAAACCAATTAGTACCAAGTCAATATGAAACGGAAGCGTCAAAACTTACAAGACGAGAACAGCATTCTCGGGAATGACACCGGGAATACCACTATAACAACGATGTCAGTATGTAAATGGTGAAAAATTGGGCTTTGCCTTTTGTAGAAGGAGGTTTGCTTTCAAGGATGGGAGCTTGAGGCGGATTCAAGGAGCTGTCACATACCGAGGGCCGTAGGCGTAGTCGCTATTTTGAACAATGCTTTTTAGTAAATTGACCCAATTTCTGGGAGGTAAAAAAACTTACGGAGTAATGGTGAGAATGGCCTTCTCGCCCAAGCTCATGGTGGGTACACCCTCATCCCAACCTAATCAGTATGGTATCAGCATCTCGGGGTTCCTATTATTTTTGCCCGACAAAAATTGACAAAGCAATCTCTGTTAGCTTTAGCTTGTAAAGTGCCACGTACCCTTGATGAGTCTGCCGACACCGATAGCGCTGCCGAGAGGCTTTTTGCGGTCGTAGGAGCTATCGAACCTGATAGTTGCCATGAGATTAGTAGCTAATACATAGCTAATTGAAATTTGCGATAGTAAAAATACTTACTTCTTACCCATGAAGTGGTTGTCAGCTTGACTGGCATCGTACAGGCAGCCGGTATAGTGCATGTCGACGTAGTCGCCAGGCTTGGGGAAGCTGGTGCCGTTGCCAGGGGAAAGGATCTTCTTGTCGACACCCATTTTGAATATATGGTTATAAGTATGGAGGTAATTGAGGTGAAGAAAGAGGTATGTTGGTTGGAAATCAAAAAAGGAGGGGCAACTCTACGATTTATCCGCTTTTTCCCCGAAGTGGGGTTCGACGTAATCACCGCCACTGAAACCATAAAGTATTTCTAATTATTATTCTGTGAGACAGTTCTCCGAGGTCCTCATATTATATTTCAAGGTGGTGGTGAACCCGTCAAGATACTGTATCCAGGGCTGTATTGTATGCCTCAACTTAAAATACTCACAGTGCTTTATTCAACCAGTTCAGGTTGAATGAGAGAGCAAAGACCAGGATTTCTAAAATATCCAAGTGAGCTTGGCGCAATGGATCTCCCTACATAGCCTATGTAGTACACTATACATACCATAACCTAAATAAGAAGTGAGACCTAGAATGAATGGATACCTGACTTAGGGCTTTGGCAAGGCAGTTACAGTATGGAGCAATGTGCTTACATTGACAATTTACAGAGCTCAGAGTCTAAGCTGACGCGATCCAAACAATTAGTTTGGACATATCATATTAAGGGCTGGCTGAAGAGTGCCAAGGGTCCGTGGCTTGATGCAAGTAATTTATTGGCGGTCATGTCAATAGTACTCCGGATAAAAATTTTATCCGTAGGGATGTGGTGCTACTTTTAGAGAAAAAGAAAGGAGGGTTTCAAGTGAAAATAATAATTACCTAGGTTTTATAGCACTATATACGCTTGGAAAACACACTTCTTGAGGGAGGTTGCTATAGAAAATATAACTGTATCTACCTTGGTCCTGCTATAGTATATTTGATGAAATATAGCCTTGTGACTTGTTAAGGAGAGTTGAGTCTGACACTAATATAAGTATCAATTTGTAGGGGTTGATCTAACAGAAATATTGTTCTCGGAATTTTATCTTTACCGCTAGCCTTGGAAATTAAGATAGCTGACGTTGCTATAATATTTACTTAAATCTCCTATCAAATATTCCAAAAGAATACATAGCTAATTCTGCGTCGTCCAAATAGAACTCCATAACACACACAGCTCAGTGAAAATTTAATCTGACAAATGATATGTTCTGTCACCAGTCTATCCGTCTCCTTAGCCATTTCACCGCGCAACAAAAGCGAGGTAACGTGGGGTCACAATCTACTGACGTACAAGGCACCGCAATGTGATGCCGCATTTCCAAGATTTTTCGACTTTTTTTATACATGGAGAAGGAAATTTAAAAGTCACTTAATCATCCTGTCCCGATTTCTGACGAGTATGAAATTGAAATTTCATTTTTTTTTTTTTTTGATGAGCTTTTAATACGAACAAGCACAAATCAATAGAGCATCAGGTAAGACCTGATGCTCTAATACTGGTGATCAAAATCTACGTCATACATTCTCTGCCAGATATTTATCGCTAAGTTCTCTTCATTACGTATTACTTGCGGAACTATCTTCCCCGGTCTTAAACCCCTTCACATACTCTCTCTTCCAGAATGGGCTGCTACAAGTGTTCATTCTTCATCTTTGCATCTTTCGCCCTTTTCCAGCTTCCTCCTCCATGCGATAATGGCGCTCACCTCACATCAAGGCCTCAGGGCCTTTGCACTTAGCATCATATTTACGACCTTAGCAACAATTTTCACCGCTGCTCGTATGTACACTCGAGCTGTAATTGTGGGGAAAGTTGGCGCCGACGACTATTTGATTCTGATTTCCCTAGTATGAAATCTCGCACTATACAATGAGACCAATAAACCCTAATTTTTTGTACAGCTTTGTTCATGGGTCTTCTTTGGCCTGATTATTGGAGGTCTGCATTGCTCTTGTTCTTGACTATGTGCTTCCACTAATCTATCTAATCAAGAGACTTATAATGGTTCAGGTGTACACATGACAGATATCCCAAAGGAGATATTCATTAGACAGATGAAGGTAAGTCTCTATATAACAACGAGAATGCAGCAGTAACAACAATAGCTAGTATCCGTAAGCTAATCCATACCTCTTGGATGTCCAGTGCTTTTATGTATCGATTCCGATCTACACAGCTGGTCTTAACTGTGCCAAAGTTTCGATCATCCTCTTATATCGACGTATATTTGCAACACCCAAAATGCGCCTGGCATGTAATATACTTCTCGTCATTTTGGTCATATATGCAACATTAATGTTTGCCCTATGTTGGGCCACCTGTGTTCCAGTCTCCAAATGGTGGGGTAACCCCGTCCCCGGATTCTGCTTTAATAAGCCGGCCTTGTGGTTCTCGAACTTGGCAATCAATATCACAATTGATCTGCTCCTTTTGATACTTCCCATACCTCCGCTTATATCTTTACAATTGCCAATTCCACAAAAGCTGAGCATCATGGCTCTCTTTGCTGTGGGTAGTTTGTATGTCGCCCCTTTCCCTATATTCTGGCTTTAATAGGCTCCTGATACACGAATTTTCAGCGTCATGGTCACAAGCATTCTTCGCCTGCACAGTGTAGTTCTGATTTCCAGATCTAACGACCTAACCTGTAAGTCTTAGTGACTCGCATACCTTAAATAGGAAATATTCTAACAGCCCTAAAGATGATAACACCAATGCCGCAAGATGGTCCACCATCGAATGCAACGTAGCAATCATATGCGCTGATCTACCCAGTTTAAGACCATTGCTGTCTAAATTGCTACCTCGCATTTTCCCCGCCAGTGGTAAGACAAGCGGGGACTCGAACTTCAATCATACTATTTCTACAGAGTTCAACACAGCTACTCAAAGGAATACGTCTGTCACTGCTTGCAGTTATGCCTATGCTTTAGAGAACCTATCCTCCTCTTGCTTGTCGGGATCTGATAAGCATCGAGTAGTGGATGATCAGCCTGCCTGACACTTCTGAATGGTTTCTTTTATAATCCGAGATCACTTACAAGAAATAGAGGAGCTATGAAAGACAGAGTAGCAGCGGGTGTGAAGATCTAAATTCTCACGCCGAAGGCGGTCATAAGCTTGGTCAACGCGAATAACGCGGCCATCGAATCTTTGTACAGCCAGCATGTGGATGATCTCGACGGATTTTTCTGGAGTGTAACGAGATATACTGCTGTGAATCTCTTTTGTAGCAAGGTACGATCGTTCCGAGGGTAAAAAATACAAATCGCAACCAGCGTCCTTGACCCATTCATGGGACTATGGGGCTATATTGCTACCGAGTTCTGGGTCACCAGAAACAGGCTCAGTCTCAGGATCAACCTTTTAGACATTTTCTCATAGTCGATGGCTGAAGCGAAGCCTGAAACAAAACCCTCGAGGAGCTTGTTTTGGGATGAGAGTTTGGGTTTCTGAAAAGTAGGTAGTGGGCCCGCACTAAACTTGGATTGAGTAGATCTGGAAAGGTCTAAGTCGCCTATCCCCGAGAATTCAACCCATATATCGTTGGTATTTTAAGACTTGCTCCAATATTTCAATGTCACGGAGTGGATAGAGTGGCTGATCTCTTGAAGCGGCTGCGGACGATATGAGGGCCAAGACTTTGATCATAGAGCGCACCCTCAAGCATGTAAGATCCTTGGGGATTTCAGAGTAATATGGTCTCTTCATTGATACTTTCAGCCACAAGAAATGCCACAATCCATCCACCAAGGTTATCCATCAATGAAAAAGTTAGCCCGGTAGGAGAAAAAGTCCGGCAAGAAGATACAGGGAAAAACAAGTCCACCCGAGAGCAGTCAGTTAATCTCGCCGTCTAGTGAAGCCAGCTCTTTAGCCACCTCATCCGGAATGGTGACATGATGGTCTTAACCAAGGTCATTGCTCTTCCTCTTTCTTGGCTTGCTGGATATATCAACTGGTGGGGAAGGGCCGTTGAGAGTCTCCAGAGGTTGTAGAAATAAAAAATACCTCAGTGCACCATGCGTCGTATATGAAGCATTTTCTGGAAATGTTACCCGTTGCGAATACCACCTGACATGTAGTGAATGGGAAATTGAATTAAAATTTCAAAATGGGATAGATGTGAAATAAACCGATGTATTAGTTCAGTTGAAATGAATCATAATATAATATTGAGATGAAATAAGCTTGACGGATTTGATGTAAATTATAGAGAGTCTTGGAATTGACATGTAGAAGTAGATGTTAGTTTAAAGATGATATGCATAAGAGATAACGCACTATTTCCAATCGGGCTTAGTGCATATCTAATTCGATATCTGTGCAGATTCCATTTTTACTTCATATAGGGCCGGGAGGTAACCAGCTATTGTGAAACAAAAAACGAACGAAGTAAGTGATGCTGAGACTAAAATACTTTGATCTCATATACAGAAAAAAGCCTTGACATGGGATATGAGGAAAAAGAAAAAAGAGCAAAAAGAAATCTCTCTCCCTCGGGGAATCGAACCCCGGTCTCCCGCGCTTATCGGTGTTAATGACAAGCGGAAATCATGACCACTAGACCAAGGAAGATAAGATAGTCCAGTTCCACTAGACCACTTGGTGTTGGTTGATGAAAAAATTTCCGTTTTTGCAACTATATTAGCCACAACAAGACAATGCCTCGCACAGTGTGCCACACAACACCTGACACGGTACCTTCTCTCCAGTGGGATACACGGAATCTGTCTTTGACACCACCTCAGGCTGCAGTGTCGCTGAATGAATTCCATAGGCGTGGAAACATTCATTAATTGTCTTGGCTGTGATCATGAAGTTGGCCATGGAGGGATCAGAAACAACAATGTGCACGGAGGCAAGTGTTTTTTGTTGGTTGAGTTGCCAGATATGTAGTTCGTGGATAGATTCCACTCCATCAACCTTGAGAACAACCTCTGGTCAATTTTCACCCTTTTGATCCGAGGCTTCTGTAAAAGGACAAGGGAAGGAATTCTTACCTTTTCCAAGTCATGCTGCACATCATTTAAATCGAGTCTGCTGGGTGCACATTCCAGCATGATCATTCCCGACTTTCGTACTACCAGCGCATCAGATTATTACCCTAAAACCCGCACCCGCGGACCATTTTGAGAAAAGGGAAATCTTACCCAATGGGATTGAAGAAAGTATAATCATGGCACCAATTCCCATGCTCACTCCTGGATCAGCGTAGTACCGTCCCTCGTAGTTCGCGAGCCAGATGACCAATGCTGCTGCCATAACACCAAGGTTATTGGCCGCGTCGCAAAGAACATGCAAGAGAACCCCCATCATTCCCAGATCATGTTCATGACCATGGCCATGGCTTTGATCGTGACGGTTGCCGGAAACTAGTTGTAATTTTTCCGAATGCGCATGTCTGTGGTCGTGATGCTGAAGCAGTCAGCATGCATCGTAACTTGTATATCTATCTGCTCATACCTTTGTAATTGAATTCTGGAAGTCTTCGTCAATATGTGATAGTCCAGTCTCGACTAGTTCTTGTGGATGGTGGTCTTGATCGTGTTCTAGGGCTGGTTAGTTGATCACAAAATACCTCAACGGTAAACTGGCATACCATGTAGAAATAGAGCACATATAACATTCAGCCCCAGACCGATGGATCCGACGATGAATATCATTTTAGGATTCTCAACACCTAGATTATGTTAATATCTAGGTAATTCATCGGCAACCTCCACAGTTAAGACTCACGGTGCAACGAGATGAATCTCTCAATTGACTGCAAGAGAACACTAATCCCAATTCCGAAGAGCAAAGCGCCATTAAAGAAAGCACCAAGCAGTTGTGCTCGCTGCCAACCAAAAGATAAACCTTTACGCTCGTGATTTTTCTCCGAGACCTAACAGGAAGATCAGAACAGAACTGTTAAAGGTCTCGTCAAGTATCATCTTGTCTCAAAACGTACTTTTAGCGCAATCAACGCGATTGCAAATCCGACCAGATCATTCAGCTACCAAATCAATTAGCTTTCATACCTCCAAAACCCCGTTAAGAGTCACATACATAGTGAAGAGCATCAGCAATCAACGCCAGAGAGTGAGTATAAAAGCCCACTAGATCAAAGCCGAAGTGAAAGTCAGCGCGAAAAATCCAAAATCCAAAATCGAATTCCACAACGAACCCGCCATTTCTCCTAGAAAGAAACATGTCGATATACCAATAACCGCCGTAAGTCGCGTGGATCGCGACAGCTGGAATGGCATTATACGTTTCTTTCGCTCTTAATTAGTTCCCACGGACCTGGGAAACTCTCGCGCGTAGAGCAAAGGAGCGAGTAATGAGAGTTGACTTTCAGTTGCCAAAGATGTTGAACCAATGGTGAAAGAAAAGAACCGAGCTGTATGTGCGAAGGGAATTTCGAAAACCCCGAAATTTTATTTTTAGAGGGAAATCGCCGGGAATTTTGGTGCCAATGGTTTCTGGGTTTGATGTTGTGTAACGGTGCCTATTGTAGTGAAACATGTACGGAAAATGAATCCTTCACTACATAGGTACAGTTAGTATCGATTACTCCATTGGGTATTTCCTTCAGCAGAGTTGGAGTATGGAAACTCAGAAGTTGATGCTATTAGAGTCAAGTAAAATAAGACTAGTTTCATGTTTCAAAACTAAAGGACGAAGGGACGTAGAAGACGGCTACAAACACAATCAAGGTACATCATTACCGTCCACTGCGCCGGATAAGGGCAGGAAAAGTCGTCAATTTCAAAATCCCAACTAAAAATAACTACCATAAGTATCTTACACTTCATAATCAAACTTGAAAATGTCTGTCAGATTCTACGCCGCAATCTGATCAGCCAGTCCATCCAGCTCGCGCTGCCAGTTTCGATGACACGAGACATGCCAGATAAACTGCTCAGCAAGAGTCTTAGAATCCGGCCCAATATCGGCAACCTTGAGTATTGAGGCCGTATCACCATGCCCAGTAACAACGCCGTAAGACTCAGTAACAGTAGAATCAGCATCAGCAAGCTTGACCTCCTCAAGCCCGATCTGTCTCTCAATGAACGGAACAGCCTCGTTAACACCAGCAATAGCCTTAAGGTGCGCAAACGACTCTGTAATCCAGAACTTGGCAACACCGTTCTTCGCCAGCGCTGACACGTGTTTTCCTCCAGGCACAAACACTGCATCGAAGAGAGTCGATCTCATTCCGTTAAAAAAGTTATCAGGAATAACCTTCTGCCCATCTTCAGACACAACTCCCGATCTCAAAGCACCGATCGTGAAGACGAAGGCGCCATGCGCCTCGAGAACCTCCTTCATAGTAGTGTAAGAGGAGTAGTCGAAGCCATCGGCAATGAGAATAGCGATGCGACGAGTCGCTATGGTCGGTTTCGTTGGCTGGTACTCGAACTGGCTGAGACCCTTGGCTTTCTGGCCCTTGTTAGCCTTCAGCGCTTTAGATGGGGCTTCACCCCCGACATTCTTGGCCACTGCCTCTGCGAGCTCTAGGCTAACTGCTGCAACGCGCTCAGTGACGCGCTTGTAGACGATTGGGTCGTCGCAGTGGTCCAGCTCGAAGGAGAATGCCTTTGCTAAGTGTATTTTCTCAATCTGCGATAGAGAGTTGTAGAATGTTTGCGCTTGGTAATAGTGCTCGTTGAATTTTTCTGAGAGGCCCCGCGACTTGATTCCTATCTGCTTCCCAGGGTGACTGGTGAATCCACCCTGGGCTGGTGACGCTGGAGGATTGGCTTCGAAGCGGTTCGGCCAGTAGTTGATTGTACCCTTGGTGATACGATGTCTCATGGCACCGTCTCGATTGACCAGGTTCATATACGGACAAACAGGGCGATTAACAGGTAACTCCTCCCAGTTCGGACCGAGACGCGAGATCTGTGTATCAAAGTACGAGAAATTCCGGCCCTGCAGCAGCGGGTCATCGGAGAAGTCGATACCAGGCACGATATGGCTAGTACAGAAGGCGGCTTGTTCGGTCTGTGGGAAGAACTCGTCCACATTGCGGTTTAGTTCCATCTCGCCGATGTAGCGGATGGGAACAAGCTCTTCTGGCCAGACTTTTGTCGCATCGAGAATATCAAAGTCGAAGTCGTCCTTGTTCTCTTCTGGAATCAGCTGCAAGCCGAACTTCCAGCGTGGGAAATGTCCTGCTTCTATAGCGGATATCAGGTCTTTTCGGTGGAAGTCTGGATCTTGGCCACAAATCTTGAGAGCTTCATCCCAGACGAGCGAGTGTACGCCCAGCTCGGGGGTAAAGTGGAACTTGACAAAATGGCGTTTGCCATCTCTATTAATAAGAGAATAGGTGTTTACTCCAAAGCCCTGCATCATTCGATACGAGCGTGGAATAGCCCGGTCAGACATTTGCTGTGAACACTCGTCAGCCCTGAATTCCAGATTCAAGTATTGCCCTGCCGATGATGGATCATTCTTACCCAATAATTCATATGCGTCGTCTCAGAGTGCATATAAACAAAGTCCCAAAAATTATTATGCGCGCTCTGTCCCTGCGGTACTTCATTATGCGGCTCGGGCTTGACAGAATGGATCAAATCAGGGAACTTGATCGCGTCCTGGATAAAGAAAACTGGGATATTATTCCCAACGATATCCCAATTCCCCTCAGATGTATACATCTTGACGGCGAACCCGCGCACATCACGCACGGTATCTGCACTGCCCTTGCTGCCTTGCACAGTAGAAAATCTCAGGAAAAGAGGTGTTGTACGGCTCGTGTCTGTCAAGACACCGGCTGTAGTTACATCTTCAGCGCTCTCATATAGTTTGAATGTACCGAATGCGCCGGTTCCACGTGCATGCACGACGCGTTCTGGGATGCGCTCGTGGTCGAAACGCATAATCTGGATAGTGGATGAGCAATTGTGTTGATGTAGAGTGAGAAGTCACATACCTTCTCGCGAGCAATTTGGTCTTCGAGAAGCGTTGGTCCGGTGTTCGACTCGCTGTGCACTCGTAGCCAGTGATCTGGGTCTGATATCTTGAGGCCATAGTCGGTTGTCATATGCTGCTTGCCATCGAATTCGACAGTATCCTTTTGCATATCGGCAAACTTGCCATCAGACTCGGAATTTGTAGCCATTTTTATAATCGAGATTTAATAATTAGAAGAGGAAAAAATAGCCTAAATCCTTCGTCTAAAGTGACTTCTTATATCCCATTTCACAGAATAGGCCATTACGTCATTGAGCTGCATTAATCAGATGTTTGATTCGAGACCAGCCTGCGCAACATCCAGTATGACCAAGTGTTTCGGTCATAGAGCATTATTGTGGGGTTAACACAGGGTTAAAACCTGTCATCGAGTTGAGAAGATAATATCTTTTGGCTCATTCGTGGAAGACTTTCCAGTGCTGCCAAGAGCTAAGCTTGCTCTGAGTGAAAGTGGACCCATCCGATCTACCGTCGATCGTATAAAATTATGGATGACGTCTGGATAGTCTGGTTAATTTGAATAATTGAGAACCTGTTATAGACAGAACTTGATATTTGAGTGACGTCATTATGTAGGATCCAATGCCCTACTCCATACGTCCTTTTAAAATGTATCTTCTCTATGTTGCTTGAAAGACTTGGTATAGCTACGGCATAGCTATAACCCCAGTCCTTCCGAACTAATATCTATAATTACATGTTATCCTCGCTCCAGTGACTGCGAGTTTTCTTCCAAGCATCGTGCTCTTCTTTATTGGCAGCATTTATTCCACGCTCCACCCACTCCTTACTACCCATCTCAGCGAGTCGAGAAAGAGCGCGCGCAAAGGCGAATCGTTCCTCATCTCCACTGAAGATGGAAGTGTTCTTGAGTGTTTGCACGGACATGCCCAGGTCATCCATCAGGTTGCGCATCGCATCTGAAAGATCGGAGTGGTCGCCTTTTTTCAACGAGTCCTTCAAGTCGGAATCGGAGAGAAATAGGTTTGCGAGGGGGACTTCGGTTGTCAGAACTAACTTGGCCTTTTACAGTGTCAGTTCAGTGGTCGAGGATTGAAGCGAAAGAAAAGGAGAAACGTACCCTGCTCTCATATACGGCATCGATAAAGGTGATGAACCGTCTAGCCAGATCACGCTGGTTGTGGTTCATTCCTGGAACATCTGTGACGATAAAGGCATCATAATGGCGCACCAGTTCCAAATAATCAGCCGCGCCCGTGGCAGTGCCGATCAACTGGTCGAACGTGAATTTTGCCGCTTTGCCGCTAGCCAGAGGAACTTTGATTTCGCGTCCCCAGACGATCTGGGTATCAGGGTGAGGGGGATCATTGATCGGGTCTCCTAGGAAATCAAACCACTTCTGCGCATGCCGCTCGGCATCTACACCGAGAGAGTCATGATATACAGCCGCTAGAGGACGGGGGATCTTGCGGTAGTCCGTTGGCGAATTGAGGTTTATGACGTTTAAATCGTTCTTGAGGAGGTTGATGCAAGGGATGAATGACTGGCGCTGGATACCGTTTTTATACAGGTCGTCTGGGTGGCGGTTGGAAGTTGTGACGAGACAGACGCCGTGGGACATTAGGAATTCTAACAGTCTGTAGATTCTACGTCAGCGAGCGATAAATTCAAGGTCTGACAGAAATAAAGAACTCACCTCCGCAGGATCATGGCATCGGCTACATCTGTGCATTGAAACTCGTCAAAGCAGAGCACGCTGGATGTCTCGGCAATATCCGCAGCAACCATAGGCAAGGCGTCGAAGTCATTGCCAAACTTCATTCGTACAACATGTATGCGTTTATGTACATCCTGCATGAAGTTGTGGAAATGGATACGGGTCTTCGTCTTGATATTAGGCGGCAAGGTGTCGAAGAAAAGGTCCATGAGCATAGTCTTTCCGCACCCAACATCCCCGAACATGTACAAACCCTTGGGTAAATTTTCAGGTACGCTCAAGGTCGTGTCATGTTTGGCACCTCCAAAGATCGAGCTGAAGAAAGATTGCTTCGGCTGCGGGTCCAGGGACTCGGGGCTAGGATGAATAACTTTAGGAGCATCATAGTGCTTCAAAGCTTCGAAAAGGTCCTGCAGATTTTGAATGATGCCTATGTATTACATACATTAGCCGCGCGCGATCTTCAATTCCACTGATAAATAGCCTACCTCTTTGATAAGGATCGTCCCGTAGCCGACCCTCTTGAACCCTAGTGTCATATTCTTTCATAGGACCCTCATGTGGCGGTGAAACCTTCTCACTCGCTCCATCATCCAGCGCCCCATCACTGGCGGTGGCTAGCCCCCGCCGCGGAGACAAAGGAAGCTCGGAGACAGCATCCCGACCAGTAAACAGACAGCTTGGCGAGTTCCAAGCCTGTCTTACAGCAACTGGAGCAAGCGCACTCCGTCCAGAGTAGTTTCTTTCACGCGAGACCCCCGGCAGTGGTGTCGGTGTGGCAGCTCGCAGTCTCCGGGACGGCCGCAGCGCGCCGGGGAAGCAATCGGCGCAAAGCCTTGCAGACGGACGGCTCATTGGTAGGGAATATGCGCGGAGGCAAGTGGATTTGTATGTGCGTTTGCACGAAGGATGGAGAGCGGTTCTAGTTGGTGAATATCGAGATGCTGCGATCTGAGGGACGTAACCGAGGTATTTCGTTTTGGTTTTCTTTCGTAGAAGCGGCGTTTGAAGAACCGATCAAGTCACGCACGGTTTATGGTATATGGAGTGTATGGGACGCTCAGTAATTTATGGCAGTAATGTATGTACAAGTTTGGACCCCACCAAATGGAAGCTGATCTACACAAAATCGTAATGAAGTTGCCTCGCCGGTACAGCGGAAACTATCCCGGATCGAGTCATGTGACTCGGCATCAAACTGGCTGTTTTTTTTGTTTTTATTTTTTAATTCCGAAATAACATGGGATAACGAGAACCTCCAAGGCTGTTTGGTTATTATCGATAGGAAAGAAGGTACGAAGTGAAATATAGGAATTCAAGTAAGTGGGGGTGGTATACTTTAGATCTACTTCATCCAAGTGACGCAACTTTTTGTAACCACAAGTGTAAATTATATATAACACTGTTAAAACACCTTCCTATGCCAAAGAAAGGAAGAACATATGTACAAGGCTCGAGTAGGGGAAGTAGGCAAGATAAATGAACAGCAGAAGGGATGCTAGGAGTATTGGTAAGATAGGAGACTCAATACTCAAGGAAATGTTAATGAGAAAGTAAAAAAATATGCCCAGAGAAAAAGACGATTGGAGAAAAACCAATTTCAAAAGAATAGAAGGCATGGCATGTCATGTCATGCCATAAAAAATGTAAGCAGATATCATGTTCGTAGCATCTCACATTCATATTTCCCATCCGCGAATCAAGTGCCATCTAAACAAACGCTGAAAAGGGCAGATGGAAATGTCGATGGTCAAATACCGGAACGCCGACGCACCGAGCTTGTTAAACCAGAAAGGTGAGAAAAAAAGGGGGGGGGAATAATGTTAACAAAGGAATTGAAACGACTGGCCAGAGTAAAAAGACCTTATTAGTTGAAGCCGAAGTTGGGCGTTTATGCGATGCTGACAAATAGCGTCAACTTGGTATTGCGCTGCATGGCAGTATCGAGATCAGCATCGGAGATCAGATCCACGTAGGTGCTAGACGATTCATCTTTGTACTGCACAATGATATCGTCTGAGATCTTTAGACGATCTGATAATTTGTCCTTCAAATGCTGCATGCTCACACCGTTGGGAATGCGAATAGCGATGAGGTCGTCTTGGAAGAAAACCTTCACCTTCATAGCGCTGTTGGAAGACGCAGAAACTTGAGTCAGCGAGCTGGCTTGTCGATTCATTGGTGGTGGGCCGCCGCTAGCATAGTTTGTGGGGGGAGGGCGTTGTTGAGAAATACGCTCATTCATCTGGGCCTGTGATGACTGACGGGACACAGTGTGATCCATGCCACCGGAAGATTGGTGTGATTCAACCGAGTACCGGGCTTCTTCGCCGAAAGCACTTGGGTCAATTTCGAAGTCACCTTGGCGGGGCGCGAACAACTGCCGGATCAGCTGGCACCGGGAAATATTCGGGGGCATCGACAATAGCTTCTTAATGTATTCATCTAAGTTTTGACGCCGGCCGTTAGAGATAGCATCTGTGACATGTGTAACGGGACCCGGCATGAATGGTAGTGTTCGGGGGCGACCTCGGTTGCCTGCCTCATCCTCAAATTGTGTTAACAGAGCAATCTGGAAGTCGTAAAAGTCGTGGTAGTATCGTGACAATTCCCAGCACCGACCGTCCTCCATCTTGGCCTCCACAATATACCAGTATTTATCGTTGTCGAAGCAGTAGCGGGGAATCGATGCAGCGATGGGAGCGAGGAGGGGCTGATACCCTTGCGACGGGGTCTGCGACATGGGCGCTTGGGATGCCACGGTAGCTTTGCTGGTATTACGCTGGTGGTAGCCCTTTTTGAGGAGAAATGAAAAATGTCAGAAACCGAACTTGTAAGTCTAGGTGACGCAGGTACTGTACTCACATTTCCGTAGCTATTCTGACTCATGTGGCCATTACTCTGGCTCACAGACTTGTCCACGCCTGGACCAACAGCTGTGCCACCTCCGCCTGCACCACCTTCAATCTTGCCTAGGGTGATACTACTGTTTTTGTATTCAGCGGTCATCTTCTTCCACTCCTCAACCTTGGGGACACCGGCGCGTCGCACAGCCTCCAACGGGTCGGTCACGGCCTGGCCGGTCTGCATATCGCGCAACTCGATAAAGGAGACGGGAATCAAGCCGGGACCACCGAGACGACCGATCGGCTTTGCGACAAACCACTCGGGATTTGATTGCGCGATGACAATGATGGCCTCGCCGGCCCTGGCATCCAATTCATCGGGACGCTCGGCTTGAAAATCATACTGGACGATACCATAAACCATAGCACCTTGACCCTTTGGGAGGACAGACATTCTAAAAGCAGAAGCAGGTTGTTTGGGGGTGGTGGAATCGGGAAGTGAACGGTCGGCGAAGCCAGAGTCGTGATGGTCGTTTTTCTGGAGATCGACGGAACCCCCACTATCCCTTTCGGTTTTGCCTATAGTCTCAAAGAAGGAGACGGGAACCAGACCACGACAAGTAGGGATCAAGGGGTTGCAAGCCTCGTACCAGTCTGTATCGTGTTCCCGACTGATAACGTGGAAGAAATCACCTTTATTGAAAGCCAATTCGTGGTCTCCCTCTGGTTGATAATCGTAAAGCGCTTTGATCACCTGCTCACGAGCGGTCAGTCAAGATAATAAAAAAAAAAAAAAAAAAAAAAGAAAGAAAGACCAAAAGGTAAAAAAAAGATAAAAGAGGATACTAAAACAGGGGAAAAGAAGAGAACCGGGAAGTGGGAATTAAAATGAGGAAAAGAAACAAAATTAAGAAATTAAAGTGGGAGAAGTCAAACCTTTTTTGGAGGCAAAATAGCTATTGCTGATTTGGGTGTTATGGAGACGTGATGATGTTTGTCTACCTTCAAGGACCGTCTGATAGCCTGTGTTATATATAAATAAATTAGACTATGCTTGGGAAGGAGGATTTAAAAAGTACCTTCATTGCGATTATTGTTGAGGAAAGGAGAGGTTGTAAAAGAGAGAGAGAGAGAGAGAGATGAAAGGCAAAAGGGCTAAAAGAAGAGGTACCTTTTATCCAATCTGGAAAGAACCAAGTAATGTATTGGGGTTCCAACCACAGGAACGGACTAGTTTGTGATTTTCTGATTTTGTGGTTCCCTCTTTTTTGCTCCTTCCTGTTCCTGACTTATAAAAGGATGAGAAAGGTACGAGTAAGATATAGAAATATGATATATTAGTAGATAGAATGTTGATACCTGGTATCAGTATCAGTATCAAGTATACTAATGAAGTATAATACAAAAAAAAATACCTGAATAGTTGAATACTGAATACCTAAAAACCCAAATACATGAATACATGACTACACCCAATCTACCGGAATTCTCTGGGCTCCTTCGGCGCCAAACCATCGTTTAGTTTACATGTAATATTTCATATTATTATCCCCCGGAGAATGAGAATGTGACCAAGAGTAATCTTCTAATCTTCTACTCTTTTCATCTTTTCATCTGTCAACAAGAAATGATCTTTCTCCACCATTTCCTTGTAATCCGTGGCTCTTTAATGAAAACCCATGGATCGATCTGACGACATTCTATCCCAAAGACGCTTAGATCGGCGGTTACTAACTTTTTGTGGAAATGAATACGTGGGGATAGAACACGAAGAGCAGCTGAGGTCTAGATCAGCAGTGAGCACTTCCTAATTATCCTTGAAATTAAAATGAGTACGTACTTAGGTAGTAGATATTGGAGATACGTCAAGTCCTCAGGACATTTGCCGGTCAATGCCTTACTAATGATTTAGGTAATCATTCAGCCTTGTCTCTGATATCCACCAACTAAGTATTTTCTAGGGTATCTAGCCCTATATGTACCTACTTAGTAATATGTAAATAACTAGCTGAAAGTTTAGCCGCCTTGCAGCGCTGATCGTGGAAGTGACTTCCAACCTTAACTTAGTACCGGATTCATATTGATGGATCGCACAGTGTACTACAGTGTTTTAAAGATCCAACGGATGGAAGGATGGAAATTATATAATAGTTAAAACTGACTGACACATTGCCTCCTACCTAAATGGGCACGTCCTATCTGCATTTTAAGTATTCTGATTCCATGGGTGTCATGTTCTTGGGCCCACGTGGTGGGGGCCCTATACCTTCCATGGAAGGATTATAGAAGGATTAATTGTGGCAAATGTCCACAGATGACTTATTACAGACCTGGAGTTTGCTGTTTACGTTGTTGGACTTTTGCTTAGTAGAGCACGTGTCGGGGCAATAACTAAGTACCAAACACTTGACCTCCGCAATTTGTCCGACTTCGTACTCCTATTTATATTCTATTAATACTGCGATCCCTAAATTCTGATCTATCGTGATTTCTTTTCTCGCTCTCTCACTCCTGTTTTCTCATTTCCTGATTGCTCTTGGTCCACTCTTGTGATTCGTCTGTTTATTTGCATTTCCTCTTGGCCTGTCACATATATGAGTGCTTTTCCCTACCTCGTGTCTTCGCTATTTGAGTATTCTCAAAAGATTGTCTCGTTTCATTTCACTTTTTACTAACCTGTACAGTAAGCAGGAAGATTCTTTAATCTCTAGCCTCGTGTAAAGTTGATAAAGTGCCCTAATTGGCTTATACAATTTCATTCTACTTTAATAACCATTTATGCCACTATGATGGAATCTCCTCCTGCGCAAACCATTCTTTGCCCCACCTTTCGACCTTAGCAGTCGCCTCTATATAAAATGTGTCCCGCTTGCCTTCAGAAAACCCACAAAAAATGCGTCGTTTCGTTGCTACTGGTGAGGTATCAGCGTCCCTTTCTCCTATGCAAACTCTGCTACCTTCCACATCTTTTCCCCCACACAATCTACTTGAATTGTGGCTGGCCTTGGCAGTCTCCCAGGTATAGAACCTGTGATCGCTGTCGCCAGTGGGAAAATAATCATCGCTCGCCACCGTTCCGACAAGCGGTCTTCAACGGAAGTTGCTGATGGCTTTCAAACCAGGCTGTTCTGCTCCCAATTTATTTTGAAACGGCCAGCGCCGGCCAAACTTTCCACTGAACATAAAAACCCATTCTTGATAGGTCGTATCTTCGACCTCACAAAAGAAATCGCCACTTAGCTATTCTTGCTAATAATATAAATTTTCTCCCAACGCCAAATCACTATTTACCCGCTACCCCTTCCTCGACTAGTAAACGAAAGCGCGTAGTTGGTTTTAGAGAGCCAACCATAAACCCCGACTAAATCGACTGTAAGGCCATAGACCAAATCACTTCCTCTCATGCACTAGTTCATGAAAATTCCCTGAAATAATTGCATTCGATCATCACGATGAGGAGGCCACACAAATTACGCGCCCAGATACGACTGACGAAGCCAATAAGTCAGCGTGAACATTTTTAGCTCTAACCCTGCGACCCCGTTCTGACATTTGCCTCCCTGCTAATGCTAATATACGATCATCATCTCTGGTGGAGCTCGTTGTTTCAGAAAATAGTCTTAATTTTTCAATTTAGCTAGAAGGCAGCCATATACTGGTGCCACTGTCAATTCTCAATTGATGGAAATCGCTTCAACGATTCAAGCCACTTCTCATCATTATTTGGCAGAATACAGCAAAAGGTTTTGTCACTTAGAGAATGCACATGGAATCGAGACCCTTATTTGCATACCATTCAAGTTTCTCCTTCTTCGTATATCTGCACTTAGGCAGATACAAGCTTGCGATGTAGAGAGGTCCAGCGACATACGTCAAACCAGCAGAGACCACATTACCCTGGATATTTTGAGGTCTTTGTAAATGCTAGGGTATAGTTGCGCTGGCATCAACTAAGAAACATCGGCCATCGTATTTATCAAGGACATAGCAATTTCGCGTTTGTGTTCCCCTAAATACTTGCTTCGTTAAATTTACATCCAACGCTATGTTCCATGGTAGAGTCTTTTATCATCGAGACCTTGTGAGGTTTATTTTCAACGACCTTCGGAGAATCTGGATATGATAGGCCTTCTATCCTGACAAATGGATCCATTATGAAAGTAGTGGGAGATATTAAGAGGAATGTAGTCACGATGACCATGATAAATAATAAGGCCCACATAATGAAATTAACCGTCCTCATGAAATTAGTTGGAAATAAGATTCCTGATCGGAAATCACCGATGATTATTCAGAGATTATGTACTGATAGCCAGTAACCTTCGATCCGGCCCTAGATAGACAGCTTTGTGGAAGTGGATTTTGCAGCTGTTATTACTGTATCCCTGTATATCAGAACAGAATCTCCAATTGCCACAAAACTCTTTTTACTGTAAATTAATTGAGTATCTTCTTAGCTGCATCTGCTAATTGAGTTAGGCTCGAACTATAGTGTAGCTCTGACTAGTTTCTTAGCCATTATTTGTTTAGACAGATGAACTAAATCATGGGCTACCAGAGCGCCAATTAGACCTTTCACCAATCGAAACTGACCATGTATGTTCTCCAAGTCCATCTTGAGCACATGGCCACGGTTCTGCTGCAAATTACCGATGAAAACACACTCAGGGGCACACCATGTTCATATTGCGCTGGCGGATCTGGGTCTACCATTCGATGAGGTCACTGACTACAGCAAACCGAGGAAGCCTGAGTATCTCAAGATCAATCCTAATAGAAAAGTTCCCACATTGACATATGGTGACCATGTCATTTTCGAGTCGGCTATTATCGCGCAGTTTCTGGCCGACTCAGTCGCATCGATGCATTTGACTCCGCGCACTGAGGAAGCCCAAGGACCCTTCATGCGCGAGAGGATCTCCTTCTTCATCAAAACATACTTTTCAAAAGCCAACGTATACTACTGCCGGACAATCGAAGCCAAAACTGATGACGATACCGAGGAGCTCGGAACACGCTATTTTGATGACGTCGTCAAAAAGGTACGCAACTATAGTTTGATCCTTTCTGCCTTACAATCAAGGCACTATTCATGTCAAGTAGAAATTGTACTATGTTGCATTTTGATCAAGAACTAAATCATAGCTCTACGGGAGTATTCCAACGACCCATCTCATCAGCACGCCATCTTCACCCGAATTTGAGGAGGGATTAGTAGGTCAACAGTCGTCCGTCAAAGCCGAAAAACTGAAGTCCGAGGAAGAGAGCAACAAAACATGAAGAGTAATCGTGCGATAACTCCATAATAACCGAAACGGGAAAATGACCCTTTTTTTGAAACCAAAACGCCAGGTCGCTTGCTTGGGAATTTTGGAAAATAAATAAAAAGAATGCTTGCCAACCTGGGCAGATAGAGACGGAATAATCCCAAAACGAAGACCGGTCTAGGTTGTGGTTAATTTGAAACGTCGGGATGGAAGAGCTGGTTTTCTAGATCTGGCCCTTAATATCAACCATGCGGTGAGCTTCAGCTTTGGCCTGCTCAAACAGCTGGCCCGCCTTGCCAGTCAACAGCCTCACAGTGCCGTTCTTCTCCTCAAGGAGCGCATCGGAGGAGTGATCTAGGACAAAACGTGCGGTTTGCTCATCGGACTCAAAACCAAGCTCTTCAGTGATAAATCGCAGGTTCACATCGGGTTTGTAACTATTTTCTAATGTCAGTAATTCGTTTCTTTGAAGAGAGGAGGGAAATCTTACGCTCTACAGATTGTAGTAATGGCAGTCAATCGTTCACGGACGACAAACATATCCATAAGATAGGCGCCCATGTTCGGTGTGTCCAGATAGAGCATAAAGAAGCGATGGTAGTTACCAAGAGAGAGAGCGGAGCGAACATCGAGAGCATGCTTGACAGCCGGGTCTTTCTTGTCTTCCGCAGTTACGTCGGCCAGAGCACCGTTCATGTCCGTCCAGTTGCGCGTGTAAAGGAAATAGAGGATACGATAGGCCTTGAACTCTGTGGGATGGCCGCCCAAGTTTTGTGCGTATAGCAGTCGTAGTTGGGTTTGGCACTGATTATACTCACCAAGATCTCCTTTCTCCAGGGCGATGCGTCCATGAGTCTCGTAGACGGAAACTGTGAACTCATTTCGGATATGCTGAACAGTCAAGTCCTGACGAAGAGACTTGAACTGGTCGCAAATGTATCCATAGTTGCTTTCGTACTTCCACTTCTGCTTTAGCAGTTCCAGAGTCTTCTGAAGAACTTCAATGGGGCGGACTGTGTCCGGATTCGGGGCAGAGGTCAGACGGAAATAGTTCTTCTCGAGGGTTTGGCATCGGCCCACGACGGGTCCCTGGTGTTCCACAACGGGAGTGCCAGTGCGAGAGTTTTCATTACTGCCTCCGGCTTCTTCAAAACGCTTCTTTCGCTTCTCCAGGTTAGTTTGTGACTTACTAGACACATCCAGTGTCATGCGGGGTTTTTTGTCTGTGGGCGCGTGAGTAACTCGTTCTTCAAAACGATAGCGGTTGTTAGTTGTTCTCCAGGGTGCCGAGTTATTTTCCATCTCAGGTCCCTCAGTAGACTTTCGCTTATTGCTGGGGGATGCTGGCTGACTGTGGGTCGGCCAGTTTGAGATGTTGGGATTCGACAGGATCTGGTTGCGTTCGTTCTGGATCATGGTCTGCGGCAGTGGCAGCCGCTCCCAGTCCGTGACATCCATTGTCTGGTTGTCTGCGGCGTTCGTGATGATTTGTTTCAGCTTAGTCTGCATCTCGATGGCGCTTACGCCGGGAACTTGGTTCTCAGGAGCAAAGCAACGTTGCACATAGTCTCGAACAGCAGGGGAGAACTTAGAGCGGGGCCGTTCCTCCTCTGTTGGCTGGTTGTGCTGGGAAGGTCCATCGAGCTTCTTGTTATGATAGAGGGTACGTCGAGCTTGTACCTGGGTGTAAGCGGAGGTGCCTGTTGAACTGGTCAGTCTTCAACGATCACGTGATGATTAAGCGAAGGCAGCGAGGTATTTGTGACTTACCGGAGTGTTTGTATGTTTCGGTTGTAGCACTTGGTGCTGACGCTGTTGACCGCCATGGGGGGACACTTGAGCCCATATTGTTAGAAATGGGTGTGGTGAAAGGGAAGAGAGGGGGGTTGGGGTAATGAAGATGAAGGTGTGGAAGAAAGGGGCGGAGGAAGAGGAGTTAAAATGATAGAGGAGCAAGAAAGTCGTGAAATTCTCTTTTTCTGATTCAATGTACACAACTTGATAGTTGAGTTGAGAAAAATCGGATGAACTAGCGCGTGGTAAGAAATTGGAAATGGAAGTGTAGGTGAGGCTTCGGACTTCGCTTGACGGACTTTCTATTTATCCGCCCATCGACCCTCTATCAATGTTATCGTGCAGCTTACCCCTCAAGGTCTTATGAACCTGCTAGATGTTTTTCAAGTCGCTGGATTTGACTACAGCACTCCGGCCTCTTCTGTTACCTGATGAGACTCTTCTCTTTGTCCAGGACGCGGTGGGGCTTTATGAAGGGTGAGCTATGTCGATCCAATTTTGATGTCATCTACTCATACCTGATTAGCAAATATAAGATCCCCAATTATCAAGATGGCCATGCCTATCTCACATCACACCGAGTATGCTATGTTGCTACTGAAGAACCACGCAAGTACTCAGTAGCATTGGATCTGAAGGAAATAGATCGTGCAGAATATCAGGTGCACCCGTCCCCGATCTTATTAGCAGGCAATTGGTGATTAATCAGTGCCATACAGGCCGGCTTTTTGAGATCATCGCCTAAGATCACCATTTACCCCAAGCCGCAAAAGGGCAAATCAGAAAAATCACGGAGTACAACTGCTAGCCCTGCTGTATCTCTACCAGCGACTCCTTTCCAACCCAATATCGCACCGCCACAGTCTCCCAAACCAGTAAATGCAACTTGGATTTGTGCTATATGTACATTTTCAAATCCCGTGCCCTCAAACTTTGACCCATTGGCAGCTACTGCAGGAACTCATGTGCCACCATGTCTCGCCTGTGGTATTAAGCCGCCATTCACAACAGTTCTCAAAGCTGCAATTAGTGCGGTGTCAACTCATGACTCATTACTGCCCGAGTTGAACTCAGTCCCCGCTGAAAATAGCACAGCTGAAAGTGCTAGCTCTGTATTAGCTCCGTTGAATACACCGGGGGTCTCTGTACCATGTCTTCGATGTACCTTTGTCAATCATCCATCGCTCGCTGAATGTGAGATATGCGGAGCGCCACTAACATCTGCCATTCCTTCACATATGGCCGGCCATCAACGTCGTGAAGACTCACCAGCACCATTTTTTGAGAGTCCGCGCATGACAAACACAGAAATCACTGAAAACATTAAGCTCTCATTTCGTGGTTCTGGAGAGAAAACTTTCTATGAGCGACTCAAAGGTGCCCTAATTCAACGTAAATGGCTTCTTCAAAATGCTCCGCCAGTGCCTCCACCGTCCCAGGCTAGTTTGACGAGTGCGCCTAACACCACGGCCTTGGAGAGTCCACAGCCAAAAATTCGGCCAAACGCCGTGGGTATTGCCGGATTGGAACAGCGAAGGATGGAGGCTCGCATGAACAACCAATTAGTCATTGGTGGTGCATTTGAGGATCTCGAGGCGCTTATGGCATCTGCTAAGCAGATTGTTGCTCTGGCTGAGACTCTCGCCCAAGAATCTGGCATGGTCACCCAGGAAGGATCTGCAGAGACTAGTGCAGTTATATCGCAATCAGCGGCAGCCCTGGGCATGGTGACTACAAAGGACATGCTTAGCTCCGGATCGGAGAATCTGTACCTCTCGGAACTCTCACGTGACCTGGCCGAGTATCTCACTGATGATCGAAAGGGAGTTCTGCAACGAGAAGGCGGTATCATAAGTTTAATCGATCTGTGGTCGGTGTTCAACCGATCGCGCAATGGAGTTGAACTGATTAGTCCATCTGATTTCCAGAAAGCGGCCGAGCTGTGGGAGAAGTTGAAGCTCCCCGTCCGCTTGCGTCGGTTCAAGAGCGGGCTCTTGGTGGTTCAGCGATATGACTGGAGCGACGAGAAGACGGTCCGTCAGCTTCTAGACTGGATGGAAGAGCTTCGTAAAATTCCACCAGATGAACCCGTTCCATGGGACTGGACTGTTTTTGGCCGGGCCGTGACGGCACAAGAGGCGGGCCAGCGGTTTAGGTGGAGTGTTGGTGTGGCTGCAGAGGAGCTGGAGATGGCTGAAGACCGGGGAGTTTTGTGTCGAGAAGAGGGAATTGAGGGTCTTCAGTTCTGGGGTAACTACATGGTAACCCCAGACTCATTTTCCAGAATTCTAGGAGGAATTCAATAAACATAGACTTCAATATAAAAATAAAGTACATACTTCTACGAGACGCAGACCTGCATCTCTCATCATTGACTTCATACATTTCTATCTCACCTTCGCCAGAATGAAATATGTATTATATCGGGGTGAAAAATGAAGTGAGAGTAGGTTTGAAACATGTCTTCTAGGCCCAACTACGTGGTAGTTGCTCTGATTTATGGGAACCTTGGAAAGGCATAGTTATGTGAGTAGTTTCTTGTGCGATATTTTGTATCCATAGAAATATCTTCTAATTCAGGACTGACAATTGGTTGTATAGCGTGTGAAGTGGCAATATCCATTGAATATCCTACAACGCTCAGCATATACTACTTTAGCGTCAACCATAAATCTCAATACCACCGCTACTTCAGAGGAAAGATTTATAATACTTATTGTCTTGATCTAATATAAGAGGTGAGCATCTGCTCTGCAAAGAAAGATTCCCCTCAAGGCAAGGTTGGTTTGAACGATTTTCACCTGGGTTCATAAATGGCTTTCTTCTTTCCGCGACTTTACCTAAGAACTTTACCTAAAGAACGCAAAGATGATTCTGTGCACTGCGTCAACAGATGGTCGAAAGGCACTCCGAGATCAACCCCTTATGTACTTGGGTATGTATAATAATGCAATTGGATGCATTCCTTTGACACGAGTCACAACAACCTAGGACAGCACCAAACCCACTCGACTGTTCAAGGTCCATGTCATGAATCAGGACTCGTCACTTCGTATTATTCATCACTGTCATTCTTCTTTGTTGCATGTTGCATTAAGTCCGTCTTATGAGTTTTTCTCGTTGCTATCATTTTCCCATTCAAAGACACCTGAAACCTAAGCATCCAGGCAAAATGCCCGTCGAGAGACCTATTGCTGATGGGTCATTTGGCAATGTTGAGCATCTTGTTCGATAGTCGGAACTTTTCGAGGCTCTTTGTTACCAATCAGTATTGTATCGCCTTTGCTAGATAATTACATCACGCAGCTCCCGTCCGCTGCTCAACAGCAGTGAAATACTTGCGGAGGCTTTGATCTCCAGAAACTTCACAATTGCCAACATCATCGCATCTAAATACCTTGCAGCGCTAGATGCTGCAGAGGCGGCCGTATACGTAACATCTTGGCTTATCTTACACTATGAGAATGGAGGTGATGAATAGTTCGGCCCATACAGACGGGTATGGATAAAAACTCGATTCACAAGCTAAGTCCACCTTGGTTCTATACTCCATCCTAATTCTACCACCACAGGTGACTTCATGGTCAAGCAAACCCATCTCGCAGCCCTGTATCGCTAAGTAGCCGCCTCGGCATCCATTCCAAAAAGATACTCGGCAGCTATATCTTCTGCACTGCCGTAGTTGTGGTTCTGCAGGTACTTAACAAGGGCAGTTCGCTGGGATTGAATGTTGGCTGGAAGGGTTTGGGAATTTTGCGCAAGCAGGATGGACGCCATGCGATCCAGCGCTGTCTTCGACTGAGGACACTTCGATGCATCTCGAAGAAGCTGTCCTTGACAGCTAGGAGGTCATTTTGCTCTCGCATTTCCACCATCTGCTTTTGTGCTCGGCCTGCTGGCTCAACATGCCGGCCTTTGCGCTGTCCAGAATTCGCCTGAACTCATCCATCTGGTGGTACATGATACGGCCATCCTCGTTGCCAACAACTTGCTCTGCCTCAACAAATGTGATTTTTTCAACGCCATCCCTCATTTGGATGCGGGTTAAGGTTTGCAGTTCACCGAGTCCCTCCAAATGATAGGGTACTTTCTTACTTTTCTTACTTTTCTGCAACTATGCCCTACTTTTATCGCCATCCTGACGTCATGGCGATGCTATCTCAGAAGAGAGCGGCAGATCTGAGTTCGGCTGACTCTCCGCGGAAAAGAATCTTAGACTCCAGCGTTAGTTTTTTCCCTGACTGTACTTTTACATATTATTACAGAATCTCTGACTGGCTCTTTTCCCTGATCAAAGTACCCTATCATCTGGAGGGACTCGGTGAACTGCAAACCCTAGCCAGCATCAAAATGAGGGATAGCGTTGAAAAAATCACATTTGTTGAGGCAGAGCAAGTTGTTGGCAACGAGGATGGCCGTATCATGTACTACCAGATGGATGAGTTCAGGCGAATTCTGGACAGCGCAAAGGCCGGCATGTTGAGCCAGCAGGCCGAGCACAAAAAGCAGATGGCGGAAATGCGAGAGCAAAATGACCTCCTAGCTGTCAAGGACAGCTTCTTCGCTGTCGGACAGCGGACTATTTCTTCTTGGGTACGCCATGTATTTAAAAAAGACAGCGTTGCACAGATTGAAATGATCCGTCTCACCAACAAATCTATACATGGAGGTGACATTGGGGTCGACTCCCGTGTAGTGTTGCAACGCTTCGCTCCAAAAAGCTCCAACACTGTTCTTTACCAGACAGCAGAGTAGCAGACGGAAGAGGAGTGGCATACAAGAAGAGGTCAAGTTGCAGGATAGAAGAGAGAAGAGGGAAAAGACGGGAGGGTGGAGGTAGAAGGTAAGGACAGGAAATAGCTCCTTCCACGTTTGTTCCAGCTCCAAGCTCAGGAAAGAGGATGCAGTAAGGACAAGGGGTAATGGGATATTGATACATTTGGTTTCATTGACTCGCACATTTCGACTTCGCTGGGAAGTTATTGTTGTCAGCAAATTTCAAATATCGCCGCTCCTGAAGTGCTTTTTTGCAAGTTGAAGGGATCAGGTTAACAGTCGAAGCTAAACAGGTACATAGGTAGACAGACCATCCAACTGATAAGTCGCTCGATTATGACCTTGTGGTAGTGGAATCGGTTACATTAATCTACGATCCCAACTCATACTGCATGACTGTATATAATGTATGATATCAAAACAAAATGCATCTCGAACAGGTTCCTTTTCCGGCGAGAAATTTGACTCGATACAACCAGTATTCAATACATTTATCAGGTTGACCAGTCTCCCAAAAGGTATGGCACAATCATGATGATATTTGCGAAATCCCTATACTCGAATCTAACCATCCGCTACAATACTCTAATTCTAGATAGTAAGGTCTAGATTTCCCAGACTATCAACAGATAAAATATGGAAGTGACTATGTCCAATCAATATCGACACAGTACTGCAAGCTCTTACAGCTTATTCCAAGTAAAAACCACCAACCTTCGATAAAAGATTCGGGCTCGGTTTAGATTTCATAGATCTTTTGGCTTTCCCCTATTTCTTTGGTAGTTTTTTCGGCCAAACTCCTAAAGTCGACAACATCCGTCACCTCAAAGCTTCCAAACGTCAACCTTTGCTCGCCTCAAACTCTCCAAAATGGGGTGGCCACTCCCAGCAGAGCTTACCGGTAACATCGTGTCATATCTTGCCAATCCTATAAACAACCGAAACAGCAAGTTAGAATTGACTCAATATGCTACAGTCAGTCGTGAATGGCAGGCCCTCGTTGAGGAACGACCCTGGGCTTCTCTTCGTGTGAAGACAGGGATTCCATTGGATCTGAATAAGTTTGAAGAAGCGACAGGTATCCCCGGCGACAATCATATATCCGAAACATCGAGTTGATCATGGGATTGAAGAAGCCCTATTCTCTATACCACAAAGTCGGATATGAGACACTAGCTAGAAAGGGATATCATATACCTAGATATAAAAAGAATAAGGAATAAAACGATATAAGAGACAGCTAAATCGAGTGAGATACTATTATTTTGGCTAATTCTTGCATCGCATTATTAGAGAGAGAGAAAAACCAGCTGCAGATGACCTTGGATTTCGGAACCACCCTAAATCACCGTGCGAAGCCAGAATACCAACTATTGAGATTATAGAACATTGCTGTTCAGGTGCATTCAATTATTAGCATATTTCAGGTCATCTTCTCACAATAAATCAGCATCTTTCATACCTGTTGCAAAATACGTCATACTATTGGCATTGTTTCGTGCTTCCTCTGGGCGTCTTTCCGCAATCTGGAGACATTTAACAAAGTCATATGCGTGGTCGAGGGCTAGAATAGTTAGTATACGAAGCAAAACAAATAGGATGGTCAGACACACTGTGCAATATAAGGTGAGTAAACTCATGGAAAATGGTCGATCCGACGCTTCTCATCTCTCCAATATCAGTTCCTACCTGTAGACGCTCCCTCCAGTCACACTCATGATTAGGAGGGTCGAGTCTCCACATCGCGTCACATAGCATCATCATTTTTAAGCCCGGGATAACAAATGCGACCGTGCCTCTTTCGCAAATTTCGTCGTAAGGAATGGAGATTTTTACACCAGGAGGGCTTCTCGTAGCAACCATTTGACGACCTAGTTCGAGAATTTTTAGTCAGTTTGGGAGCTAGTGTAGGAATAAAGATTATGCCATAACATACCTCGCCTAACAAAGGCAGAGGCGGAGCAGTAAAGGTAATAAGGAAAGCTCTCTTCGTGAACTAAGCTGTACATCTGGGCAAATTTCCCTAGAACTAATCAGCCCAAAATTTCAAAGTTTCTTTGGATTTTTCTGAAGTGGATCCTTGCATTTGAGACTTGCAGTCTGCGCTGCGTCCGGGTCACCAAATAAATCATCCAGGGTCCTCTGTTGAATTGCTGAGAATTCATCTTGAATGAAAACCCCATAGCCTGCAGTTGCGAGACCAGTGAATTCTCTCCATGCATCTCTTAGATCATGCTTGAGTGTGTGGCAAGATTGGTCTACCCATTCGAAAGCAGTCAAGGGATCGTGATAGATAATTGGAATCTCATTTGGCTCAGGAGTTGCAAAGCAGACGTTCAACCAGCCCAATAACAAACATGCGACTAGTTGAATTCTATAGGAAACCATAACAAGTGAGTAGAAGGGTAATCGTAAACAGATTCACCTCTCACAATTGACGAGTACGATTTCCTAACTTTATATACGTGATTGCCCTATAAATCTTGGCCCCCAGATCAACAGGCCAGACAATTCGAAGTTGATTAAAAAAAGTGCACTGCCATACAAAGGAATTTTATTGAAACAGCAGATCAAAGATCTAATAAAAGAGAATCCCCATCAAGTCTTTCTTTAACATCAAACATATTAAAAATTGAACAACTATCATAAATAATATGGTAAATACAACGTGGTGGAAATGGTCATAGCTACCTAGGTATATCTCCCCAAGTGCGCAACCTAAGAAGCAACTTTGCAAGATTGGCACCCGTGAACCTCCAGGCATAATCGATCCACAGTCCTCAGCATCAAAACAGCCGAACAGAAATGGCCGAGTTAACATTCACCGTCCAGGGCTGTGACCACAACTAATATTTTTTGTCATGTTAAATCCCTACTCCATAACCACTCCCTCATCCCGTGTGTCGAGTGGAAGGAATACTGTGATCAAAACACGGAAATGAAATCCTTTCGGAATGAAAATCAATCAGGTCATCATATATTGAAAACAAGTCGCCCTATGTTTTCATATCCCTCAATTTGACTTAAAATACCCAGGCTCATATGCGCTACCTACTGATTCAATAAATTCTATTACCGCCCAATGAAGGGTTATTTAGAAAGTGACTGATTTGTCATCTGAAGTTCCAAAGTTGCATCTGGCAAACTGCACCTGCACCGCCATCTGAGCTTCCTCGAAGGTCTCGCAGAAGAATAAGGTGTTTTTTAGTCAATGAAGTTGTGGTTCCACCTGCTAAAATTCCAACGGCGATTTATAAACTGTTTCCGGGATTACTATAGCGACGTAGATCATACACACTATAATAGCCACAACCCGAGGAGGCCTGAGAATTAGAGAGTGGATAGAGAAAGGTATAAAAAGAAAGTATCTCAAGTGCTGTATTCTTAAACCCATAGAATATCCTATTATAGATTCTGAAAGTAAGATTCTTCGAGAATTAGGGGTAATATCTGCCCAGGGACTCTCATACTGATTAAAACCCTCTGTTCGGTGATACGCCCTCTCTTCCACTCTAGAATTCACCGACCTAGTTGAAACGCCCTCGCAAAAATTTCAAACACTCTAGTATTTTTGCATTCTATGGACGAATGTTCTCTCTCGCCCGTCTGTCGAATCAATATCTCCCTAAGGGCCGCCCATAAGCACACCTTCAGTAGCAAATGAGATGGTAGATTCCTGGGTAGAAAAGGCCAATGAACGGCATAGGAGAAATGAAGAGCACCAGAGAGCATTAAAGGTGCTCGAAAGGACGAGAAGTGCGTAGAGGGGCCGAGGAAGTGCTAAAGGGGGCCGAAGAAGTGCTCAAAGGGACCGATAAAAATAGAAAAAGGGCGAGGTGTTTGGAAGGCTGATAAGGAGTTACAAGCCGCAGAAACTGACTTAAATCAGACTCGTGGCCAGATTTTATGGAACCAAGTATTCTTAATGAGTTTTCCAACAATTTCTTTACATCTACATCCAAACTCCGCAGACTTCCTTATTCGTACCGTTGTGAATACTACTCTCTTGATACCCCTACTTAGCGATTTTCCGACTGATTTCTCCTCTAAAATAGAGAATTTATTACCGAAAGGACGATGTTCAGAACAGCTTTCGTGACCCTTAAGTCTAGCATGTGATGTTGAATTTGGTATATCCAAGGCCTTCGCAGGAACTCTAGTAGAGCTATATATTCTATCTTTTATAGCTTTTATAGCTAATAGAACACGACCCTCTTGCTCAGTCAATTCTTGTGCTTTTTTTTATGGCGAGTTGGGGCATGGTTATAGATTGAGAAATTCTTTCTTCCAAGGTTCTGTCCTAACTTGTTCTACCGGAAATAATCCAACACTCGTTCCTCTGCCCTGGTCATGAGATACCATTGGTAATCTACTTTCCTCAACCCCAGTCGGACTTTTATGTTAACTCTATAGCAGCCCCTCCTGCCAGAAAGCTTCCTTTTCCCGACGCATGGAAAATGCCATGTGCTTATATGTCCAATTCATGCTGAATACTATATGCCGAGCGGCTCATGTGCTTCTTGCTAGGCAGCCAAAGTCCGAGCGGCTAAAATGAGCAGAAGAAAGAGTAAGGCAATAAGGCAAGTAGAAGTAGCCCACTCGGGTCATGGGTTCCAAGGTTTAGAGTTGAAATGATGTGGAGGATGAATATGGTGGCGAAAACTATACAACTCTCATATAGATTCATCTACCCATTTATCGATCCTACTAGTACTGCTGAGCTTTGCTGTACTGTGCTGTTTCAACAGCAGTTTGCCAGAAGTTGCGGGAAACCATTCCTGAACCAAATTATAAGGGTAGATGACCTGTTGAGGTCTGTTTGATATCCTTTTCATGGCCCCCTAGTTCCGCCAAACCTTGGGCTCCAGGAAGTTCAGTGGTACCTTCTCCACTTATTTCCAAGATTTCTCCATCTGTAGGCGCCTCGAATGGATGCGCAGCATCCAGTTCATATATTTCTGAATGTGGTGATGAACGATCACTTCCACTTTGGGGATCCTTTGCAAGGCTTTTATGGGCACGACTACGTTTGATCAAGAGCCATGCTATCCCTGCAATGATTGCGAGTCCAGCAACTCCACCGACCACACCGCCCGCAATAGCGCCGCTATTTATATGATTGGACTTTTTGTCCTGGTCTTGAGTTGAGGCTGTATTGGATGGAGTTGAGAGGGCTGTGTTTGTGCCTGTATTTGTGGGGGTAGCGACTCGTTGTTGAATCAGGGAGGCCAAAGTAGCGTCTGCGAACCCAGCAGCAGGAGCTGTGACTGTGGCACTGCCATTTTTACTGCTCTCAAAATTTAGTTCATGACCATAAAAACGAGATTAGAGAAACCTTACTTTCCACCGATCTCATTGAAGATAACGGCTGGCACCTCATAGCTAAGATTTGTACTCAGCTCTGTCTGCCATTTGTATGTGGAGAGGTCGAGCACGCGAACAGGCTCAAACACGTTGCTGCACGCCCCATTGGTGAGCGAATAAGCATCCGCACGTATCTCGCCTCCAAGCACGATCATTTGCGAGCCCTGGTATGTCTGACAAGCGCCATTTAGTGCGTCACGTCCAATGGTTGAGTTGATTTGCTGCTCTTTATTGCTCTTGTTGGATAGTTTGGTGGCATTAATCCATGTAAATGACGGGATTGTTAGAATATTCACATCCTCGTATGACCGCTGATCGCCCAGGCTCCATCCGCCGTACGTTGTGATGTGGAACGCCCCGCCATCTGGAGATGCTGTGACAGCTGTGCAGAAAGAATCCCGGTTTGAAGGAGGGCTGCCTGAAGCCTCTTGCATCCACCATGTGTGGGTGGCAATGTCGTATACATAAATAATGAGCCAGTCCGCTTCGTAAGGCCAGCCCGAGTAGGGACTTATACCGGCAGTGATCTGCCCTAGAGTTAATCGCAGTTCAACGTAAGTCTAGGTCATTGGCATCAGAACATACATTTCCACCTCCGAAGCTGATCAGCATTCCTTCTTTTCCCGCTGGAATATAAACCATTGCACCAGCATTTAAATTCGGGACTTGTGTGCCATATGATCCGTTTCCGAGTGTCTCGTTGGTCCAAGAGAGATTATCTGGATCAGTCGCATTGAATCGGATCATGCCGCTCATATATGGTGCGCTGCCACCGTATATAAAGCCTAGACCTGAGTCGGGAGCGCTAGCAAACTGGACAGAAGTGCGATTCCCGAAGTTGAAGTTGCCACCTGCGACAGTCACATCTTTCCACTTATCTGTTGAAACATTATAGACCGACAACTTGTCATTTGGAGTCTTAAAGCCACCGCCGAAGACGTAGATGCTGTCGTCAATGCTCCAAATTGCTCCATTTGCGTCGCCGCCGCTTGTACGTAGCGCGTTCTCGTATGCGACACTCTTTTTGGACGTTATGGTGTGATTATTAAGGACCGCCTGAGGAATAGACCTTTCTACTGGAAATTGACTATTTAGGCCGATAGAGTAGAGAGATGCAGCTATTCGCTGTTAGCATGGAAAGAGATAGGCTTCCTTTGAAATCTTACCAGGTTCAATCACCTGGCCATCGTAGGATATAACGCTGTAGTTACCGCCCATGAAATATAGCCGGTCTTCAACAAGGCTAGCTGCAAGTCAGTTAGAAGTAAAGCTTTGTATTTTTGAGAGAGATGCCAACCTACTTTTGGCTCCGACCACGTAACAAATATCTCCTTCAGAGCATAATGCTCTATGTGCAAAGGCCACTACTACCAGTGATTTCCACGCTTTCATGGCCGCTATATGGAGATTTGATATTTCTTCGGGGGAAAATTCAACGTAAGAAGCGGTAAGCCTTTAGTAAAATTTGTATTTACCAAATGCATATTTGATTAATTAGGAGTATTTAGTGAAGGCTGGGGCCACATAGCGATCTCTTCTCTGCTTATTCTGGGCAGATAAGAAGGATATGCGTGCCAAGTGCCTCTAATGATACAATTAAGACCAGCTTACCATCAGCGGGGCTAATAATGCCCAGTAGTTTCCTCCTATCAATTATCTTGGACTTTTTCTCATATATTCACGGAGTTAGTGGCAAACCAGTCGAGAAACGAACCTGATCCAAGTCCAGACTCTAGATTTGAGGATATGATTAAAAAGTAACCTTAGAATACAAGCCACAGAACACTAGAGCTAGTCTGCACTGGTAGAATCCTCAGAAATAAAAAGTGTGGGTCAAAATACGCCTGAACGAGGATCTAAAACAACTAATGTTTTAGCAACTACTTAGGAGAGACGCAAGTCTTCCCCTATGTCTTGGCTGAAAATTGTCCGGTAACATTGGACCAGTAGGATTCCGCCCGGATCTGACATAGAAAAATTGCCATCAACCTTCCAGGTTCTGATGTCCATCTATTGAACTTGGATTTGGAAGTCTTCTTTCTCTAAAATGGGGTGGCACAATGAACTGCAGTAAGACATATATGGCTAGCACCAGCTTGCTTGTAGTTACACACGCATTTCATTCGTTTATTTCAATATGACTTGGTGAACGAGGAAAAGTCTACCCCACTCTATCTGTACGATAACCGAACCCAGAGCCATCAATTAGGGGACTATACAGGATTATTGGCGCACAAGCACCCGAACTCAAGGACGACGAGGACTGGCCTAAAGAAGAGAACGAGTCAGAGTTTGATTTTCGAGTTTGGAGTTTGGAATTGCCAATCATATCGGTACAAACAACGTCCCGGCCTCCTCGTTGGCAATTTCAATGAATCTCAGATATACGTGAATTAAGACTCACATCGAAGTATGATTTGTATGAACACTGTGTAAGAAACATCGTGATGGAATGGGTGATAAGATGCTGGCAAATTCATTATTCAACTTGAATTATCTTGTAAGGACGGTCGGACACTGAAATCTACAATCGATTATTAAACCTGTTTATATTATTTATCATGGAACCCAGTACACCTGGGCACCAGCCTTGGAACTCCGACGGAGTTTTCTATCTATAACTACGTATCTAGTTCGGTGTTCTACTGTTGCACTATCCGACTCATATTCTAAGTCCATCAGGAACTGCAGAGTAGTCTCTCTCTAGATGGATTATCAAATAGTATGAATTGCCCAGGGATAGTTAGATGTGGATATTTCTAGTGTTTATATAAGTTAGATTTCCTAGGGTTCCCGGTCATCTCTTTCTCGCCTCTCTTACTCCATCTTCAACTATAAATATCAGGTTCTCAAAAATAGTCCATGACAGAAAATCTCCAAAAAAACCACACATGGAACAAGGTCGACGAGAGATCCTGCTCTTCGCACCCTGTAGTCGTGTGTATCAGAATACGAGAAAAAGTGAAACTAAATGCACTCTATACAAACTCAAAATTTAGAAGTGGGAGACGATGAGGCCGATGAGGTTGATACCTATAAACTGTAGGGATTGGTGCTGTTTGGCCGCTCGCTCGTTCGACCATGTTTCGGTCTTCCAAGGTTGTATTTAGATAATTTAAAACCTTAGAAGCTTCAAATAGAATCTACTGAGCTGACCCATGCGAACCTTGGAAGCGGTACACTAAGTTCCCCGGATCTTCTCGAGAAAATCTACAGTCATAAAATGGACCCGTGGAAATAGAAGAATGAACAGTTAACGACCATACAGGCATGTTGGTGTAATTTTTTTCCCTTCTAGGCTCTCTACGGAGGGCCCGAAAATAACCGGACCATGGAGGAAGTAGAAGGAACAAATCTTCTATGCAGCGTACGCGTATCTTATGTACAGATTCATTATCCACGACTTCCGGAACTCCGCCACGTCCAACTTCCTAAGAATAGGTCGAAAGATATCGATGTGATGCAATTGAAGGTGACGAATTTGATGACCGACTCGAATAATGTCTCATGCGGAATAATGTCGGGTCAGTCCATCTTTTCAATCCGTTTATGAGGGCGAGAAAAGATTTAATGGCCGGAAGCAGCCTTCTTGTCGCCTCCATCAGCCTCCTTCAAGAAGTTTCTATTGGATTTAGTCAGTAGTTGTTTTGGTAAACAGGTAGTCGAATTGCAACGTGTTGCTTCGGAATTCATGGATAGCATTGAGTCTTGGCCTTCAATACGAGCGAGGCAGGAGCACATACTGGATGAAGTCACCCTCCTCGCTGGACGAGGCGGCGATCGGGGGACCAGCGGCGGTCTTGGGCTTGGAGCTGCCGGTAGCAGCCCAGGCACCAACGAAAATTGTGCTGAGGGTGGCAATGGAAAGCTGTATCACAGGAACAGAGGTTGAGATTAGCTTCATGGTGTTTCCATATATAGCCGCAGTGCTTGCAAAAAGGGATAGGCGGGGACCGTCGCCGAGTTGTCATGGGTCTAGGTTGGCACTTACGACGTGGGAGCCGACCTTCTTGCCGGCAATCTGGTAGTAGACAACCATTTTGGGAAATTGGAGTGGAGGAGGGCTTGGAGTGGAGGAGTATGGAGATGGGCTGCTGCGATGGGCTTGATCAGAGACTACGGAGATTCGGGACTATTCTTCAACGTATACCGCCTTCCATAATGTGATTAGCTCCAAAAAATTGCATGACTCAGCAGCTGAAGTATCAGGTGATCATCCGATAGTACCCGAATCATGTGACTAGATCGGGAATGATATCACGAGGGTTGAAATAACAGACTTTTTGTATAGATTGGGGATGGAAATATCTATGAGCAGATCAAAAATTGATGGGTTCAATATAATACTAACTTCAGTGGACTTTGAGCTAAAGGTACTCTGTTCAGATGCCCATGGATTATATCAAACATGAAACCTCGGAAGTAGTACAGCATCATGTCAGTATGGCATGAGCTACGCTTCATACCCAAGGTACAGGTGTAGTAGGCCCATATCAACCACTACACCTATTAGCTAGGGATCCGCCGCTAGTTTGAAGTTTCAAATTTCTTGAATATTTCTTGAATCCTTTAGAAACTTTTGTCTGTCTTTCAATTTGGCCATTTTTGTGCCATTGTTCTTCTTTCCTTCCTTTTTGCACCTTAGAACCATTCACATAACCTTGGAAGCCAACCCCTATACATTGTATATTTCCACGCCAGTCGAAATTTCTCTCTGGGTTTTACTCTACTTTTGTCTCAAAATGACATCGGAAAATCCCCAGCAGGATACGCAAGCTGCTCCGAGCTCGAACTATCCCCTCAGTAGAGAGAAGCTACCCGCTGAACTCCAAAAACTATTGGATAATGACACGGATATATATGGTGATATCTACTCTAAATAGTACGTAGCTATTCATCCAAATATTCATTATCATTGTCGTCCTTTCACCAGAAAAGCCCCGATGTCAGTGGTGAAAAAAAAACAGACCAGAATGGGAAGTGGAGAGCTTGCAGCCCCACTTCTTTTTTTCCATCTGAAATGACTCCATGACATTCCCCAGATTTCCAGCACCATACAAACCCACCTGAGCAAGGGAACGAAGCGCAGACAATAATCAGAGCAATTTCAAAACTAACCATGGGCTCCTCTGATCCCAGCTCCGTCGATTCTACCGACACCCCATACCGTTATGCCGCATACGCGCAAAGAGTCCGGACTATTATGCTAGCGGCGCACCGTTATGTCGCATACACTTCAGATATCGGCGAGTCTTTCAGACCAGTTGCCCATCCATGGGTTGTTCGTTCTGCATACGGTATTTCGTGGGCATATTTGATCGGTGATGTCAGTCACGAGGGCTACAAGGCTTACCTGCGCAACCGCCGCACGCTGTCACCACCCGGCGAAGCATACAAGGATGCCAGCGATATTCCCAGTGACCAGATCTTCAAGGGCATGGCTACAGGTGACTTTGGTCATGAACATACGCAAGACTCACTCCAGCCTTGGCCTGCAACCAAGATTCCTCTCGCGGAGGACTATCGCATGGTCATGACTAAGCGTGCTGTTTTCCAGAGTATTGCTAGTATGGGTCTGCCGGCTTTCACAATTCATAGCGTTGTTAAGTATTCTGGGCGATATGTGCAGGGCGTGAAGAATGCGGTCATTCGCACTTGGACTCCTATTGGTGTATGTTGAACTCTCCTTTAGAGGTCCGAACTATTTTAGCTAATTTGTTTATAGTTCGGTCTCGCCGTTGTGCCTTTCCTGCCTTATCTCTTCGATCACCCTGTCGAACAGGCAGTCGACTGGGCGTTTGGTACCGGACTCCACCTTTACGGTGGTGAGGACGCTGTTCGTCCTCTCCCTGAATACGCTCAGGACAATTCTACCAAAGTTAGTCCTGTGACAGATGCTACGTCCCAGATTTCTTGGGAGCAGTTCAAAGAAGAGCATGAGAAGACTCGTGAGCTCCGTCGTGAGAATGAGGGTAACAAGTCTCTGCTGTCTTGGTTTGGCATATCGTCTGGGTCTGACGGGAAGTCTAAGAAGGAATAAACACGCCATAAATGGAGTGGTGTTGACTTGATACTGATTTCGTGAATATGCATAGTTCCTCACGAGATGATCCATTTATGTCTCCCACTCTCTATTGTATATAATATAACTTGTATGGCTTATACATCACCGCTCTATCATTTTCTGCTTCCAAAAGTTCCAATGTTGATATATATATATATTCACATTTGAGAGACTCTCCAGTTTTGCATTCAAGTTTTTGTTGCTACCACAATCCGTTCAATCTTATCATGGATGTTGTCCACGGGTCAAAAATACTTGGATCCTTGGCTCACATTTTTCAGCTTGAACCTCCATCCTAGGGCTATTATCCCCATAACCGATCCGAGAGCGGGAGACAGCGGAATTGTTTCGTGATCGAGTTCAAAGCATCACCCATTCATCAATGAACCATCGTTACTTCTACCTACTTAGGCATGTATGATCTATCTATCCAAAAAAAATTTATACTCCGTAATAGAGTCAATAAACTACTAGGTGGGCCCAAATAATTTCTGTGCGGCAAAAAATGACAAGAGTGGGATTTGAACCCACGCCTACAATGTAGATCAGGACCTTAACCTGACGCCTTAGACCAACTCGGCCATCTTGCCAATTCGATGTTAGGATCATGTCAAAAAAGACTTAAATACAGAGCGCTCTATATATGCAAAAAATAATTAATTTATATATTGGCGGCGGTGAAACGGCAGAAAATATAGTGTTCTATTGGCGGTGGCAGAAAATAACAACATGACGAACTTGCGACAAATTGTCCAATAGTTATGTGGCCATATTTTGCGAAACTTGGAAGGCAGCAGCACCACAATTATTTCTTAGGATTTCCAAGGGCCTTGATATTTCAAAATCGCCTGTACCTGCGCGAGTTCCTAAGTTGATAGGTTGCCTAGGTAGCATCCAAGAGCAAGTGACCAATGAAATTATGATTATCGGAAAATATGACAGTCGGGCACATGCTACATGCAGGGGACAATGCGCGTGTTTACGGCTTCAAATGCTCCTTTACCTTGTAAATGTTAAAAAGCCTGCTTTCAGTTCCTTCCGGATGGAAAGGAAGACCCGGGCAACCTTGGGGCTATCTAAGGCCCCAAAAATTTCAAGGCTGATAGATTTCGTAGTGTAGGCCCACATAACCTAAGGTTAAGAGCTGAATTTTGGAAGGGCAGTTGCAGGTGTTTTGAGCGTTGAAATGTTATCTCAAAATATTCCGAACTTCACATATGCATATGCATGGACTGGTCTAGATTTTGGGTGGATTATATACTCGTATCCACGTACCCGGTCATGAGAACATTAAAATGTTGTGCATAACCATTTAATATTGACTTACATAATGAACAAAAGGAAATCTTGGAGACCACGGGTGGGTAAAAGTGGAGCAAACAGGAACAGGTCTAGCGTTGGCTGAAGCCAATGTTACGGATGAATCGTGTATTTTATTTCTTCCATTATGGAGTACAGTAGACTGGAAATTTCAAAATCTCCAATTCAGGACACGGCATGATTTTAGTATAGTTTTAGCTTGACGTGCTAGTTCATGGAGTACCAAATTTTAGGATTTACTGCCTTGGGATCAATGGTCGGCTTGACTTCTATAATTAAACACTAGTGGCTTGGTATCTTAAGAAGATAAAATTTCTCCAAATTTCTCTGGAGTATGGATCCTTGGTTTCTCCAGCCATATATCCATTTCATACTATTAGTAGGCAATGTCCCAATTGACAGGTAGAGTGGAAGTGGAATAATTCCAAGGTTGATCAAATCTTAGAGGATACTTGACTACAATATACTGCCTTCTCCACTCGTTTCAGCAAGAATTTGTATTTGGTAATAACTTTAGACCATAAAACCCTTCATTCCGATCTGTGGCACGTGTCCAAAATAGATCGAGATGTGATGGACCATCGTTTCACTTTGACTCATCTCGTTTTTCTGATTTCTACTTTGTATACTCAACTATGGAATTCGACTCGTATATCCGTAGTATCTACTCGAAGAATATGGATTCTTCGTTTTTTGGGGGCTACGATTGAACCACGTCAGCAAAGCCCATTTATATACTCACTAGTAAGACTAGTTCCTGTCGATGAATACACAGTAGAGACCTACGCCGTACTTTTACCGGGCTTACCCTGCTATTCAACCCAATTAAAACCATCAGATTTCGGTACTAACCTTATTCGACAATAACAATAATAAACATAAACATGCCATTTTGAAAGAACCAACAGACCAATGAGGGGAATAACGGCACAAGAGAAGGCGTTCACGCTGATTCGATCCAACGGATGATCTCTTTCCCAAAATAGTCAATTGCATCCTCTAGTATCAAATGTGGAATAGCGGCTCTAAGGTGGTTGAAATCCCCGTGTATTGAATACACTCGGGAGAGACCATGACCCGCAATTCGTTTATACACACGCACTTTGTTCCCTTATACACACTTCACCCCACTCGAACATGGTCTGGACCAAAGATAAGGTGGTTCGTGTGATACTAGTTTTTTAATGATGATGGGCGTTCCTGGGCCCGAGTCATAGTTGCTCCTGATCGACAACAACAACCGGAATATTGACGTGGCAGGATGATTCAGTTTCCAGAAACCAGATTCGTCGACTTGTTTTGATCCCCTCTTGAATTTACCTCCATAGCCTGCCATGAGTACACGGAATGCGGATGAAATTATTTCAATGGTCCATTCCTCCCCCCACTAAGGATGCTCATCCTCTCAATTGACCCATCAGGCAGTGTTATCCCTCGGCCCATTGGACTGTGCTTGCGAACTAGTTCTGTCATACATGAAACCAGTCTAAAGTCGTTGGAAGCCTCGAAGATATCCTCCGATAAACGTCAAGCAACCTTCAACCTTTGAACCTCTCCAACTAGACTGTGAACAGACAGGTAATATGTACTACGTACTCCGTAACTCTAGAATAGACCAGAATACGCCTAAGTCAGACTTTTATTCCGGTAACCTGCATCTCCTGCAACTAATTCCTTCGGTTTTACCTAGACCTGAATGGGAAACCAAGGAGACTACAAAGTATATCCGTAAATCTTAAGATGGGTCATACAAATTGAGTTATGTTCCTATCCGGATATTGAATTGGTTATCTTACTATGTTGTATTCAGGAGTCTCCATTACTCTTGCTCCGTACTCGGGAACCTGTATAGTGCGTGTGTATAAATAACAATGTCCAAGTGTTACGAATCGATCATATAATTTACCGTAATATTACCCAATATTACTAACTTACCCACACGTGTTCCATCGCCCCTTTCCCCTAAGAAAAGCGTCTCAATCTCAAAATCCTCCATTCATTCACTCTATTCACTCTTTTTTCTTGTATGCTTCGTGGTTGACGTATTTGGCTTTGACCTGGGGCTGGCCGATTCAGTCCCCTTGCTTAGTCCTCTTGCGCTTTGCTCCCAATTTCTTTGATCGCTTGCCTCAAGTAGGCCTTCGTTCGCTCCTTACAGCTTTCTTCAAGCCCACACTCCCTTCATTGCAGCTTTATCCCGGTCGTCGTTTCAGATCTCTCAACCCCCTTCCACTCTTTTTCATCATCTTGATCATCCTTTCCATTCGATCGGTCTCCGTTGCCCGTCGATACGTCCACTTTCTTTGTCCTTCCACCCAAAATACGATCCATGAGGCTGTAGGCTTTACGACTGTGTCCTACCAGCTTTCTCATTGATCGTTTTGAATAACCTAATAGTTGGACTTGGAATTTGAATATCGAAATCAACCCAGACGTGGAGTTTTTGTCACCTTCGTACAGGTGCCTACAGACGAGGTTTATTGCTCGTTCTGGACACTCTATTTGAAATTTTAACACAACAACATACGAAATATGCGTCGCCAAGTTTTCTCCCTTCTGGCTGCGTTCGCTCTCGGTGGTTTCGAGCTGGTGGCTGCTAACACAGTCATTGTAAATGACGATGTCGTCCATGTTGAACGACCCCGTTACTACTTCCCTCAAAATGTCAAGCGAACTGTCACCAATAACACCTCCAAAAACACCGACACAGACACCGTGAGCAACGTCGCCAGTCTTCCGATTAGCTCAACAGACACTTTGTCATCTGTCTCGTCATCAGCTACCCCGGCACCAAAGGAAGTCGTAGTGGTCATTTCAATCGACAGCACAGGACACCGTCATACTGTAACCACTACTACTCGTGATGGCGCGCCTACTGACCCAGCCACTACCACTAGTACCGGTGCGGACGACTACGTGCCCAGCGATACTTCCGCCTCGGCCCCAGCTTCGACAACGGCCGCCGCCGTAAGCAGCAGCAACAGCGCGGCTGCTACGGTCGTGACTTCATCTACCGCCCAGCCCACTAGCACTTCGTCAGCTGGTCTCCTTGGAGGTATTGGTGGTGACGTTTCTTCGCTCGTTGGTGCTTTGGCCGGCTCTACCAGTTCGACACTTGCCAACAGTGATACTTCCAGTGCCACCGCTTCTACAACACCCGTGACCCAGGCTTCGGCTGCCTCATATACTAGCGGCTCAACTGCCAGCAGCACGTCATCCAACGACGCCGGCCTACTGGGCATTGTATTTGGCACATCTACTTCGACTGCATCGAGCGTTAGCGCCAGCGCTGCCGCCGTTTCTCTCGCCTCTGGCGTGTCTAGTTCGACTGCCTCAGCCAGCTCAACTGACCCAGGCCTGCTCGGTATTCTATTCGGAACTACATCATCAACTCCGGGCGCCAGCGCTGCTGCTACTATCGCGACTACCGTTTCTTCTGGCGCATCTTCAGCAAGTGGCTCATCTGCTACTGACATTTCATCAACTGACCCAGGTCTGCTCGGTATCGTCTTTGGAACTACTACATCTACCCCGAGTGCCAGCGCTGCCGCTACTACTGTAGCTTCTCGCGTGTCTGGCAGTCTGACTGCCTCGGCTGCTAGCAGCTCATCCACTGACCTTCTTGGTGTTGTTGGCGCTCTCTTGGGAGATTCTTCATCGACTACCCCGAGCACCAGTGCTGCCGCTGCCGCTACTACTGTCGCTTCTGGCGTGTCTGGCAGTCTGACTGCCTCAGCTGCTAGCAGCTCATCTACTGACCTTCTTGGTGTCGTTGGTGCTCTCTTGGGAGATTCTTCATCAACTACCCAAAGCGCCAGTGCTGCTGCTGCTACATCTGTCGCTTCTCGCGTATCTGGCAGTCTGACTGCCTCGGCTGCAAGCAGCTCATCCACTGACCTTCTTGGTGTTGTTGGCGCTCTCTTGGGAGATTCTTCATCGACTACCCCAAGTGCTAGTGCTGCTGCTGCCGCCGCTACCACTGTCGCTTCTCGCGTGTCTGGCAGTCTGACTGCCTCGGCTGCAAGCAGCTCATCTACTGACCTTCTTGGTGTCGTTGGTGCTCTCTTGGGAGACTCTTCATCGACTTCCTTGATCGCTAGTGCTACTGATGCTTCTGCGGCTCTGACTGCTATCACCCCTGGAACAGCGACAAACACCTATCTGCCAGCCATCAGCCCAACTGCTAGCCCTGCGCCTACTGGTCTCGTAGGTGTAGTGGGCTCTCTGCTGGGAGATTCCTCGACTACCCCAGCCGCTACGGCCATCGCATCTTCTGGAATCGCGCTGAGTGCCACCGCATCTTCTGCCGCCACTGCGTCCACTGATACCGGGCTCATTGGCGCTCTCCTTCCCGGAATTTCTGCATCGAGTACTGCGGACATCACCACTACCGGTCTTCCTACGGCAACCAGTCCTGCGTCGGCCCCTGCCGCTGTCACCTCCACCGGTGATGCTCTTAGCAGCTTCCTGGCTGGTGTTACATCTCCAATTGGCAGCACTGTCGCTAGCCTGACTGACGAAAACACAAGTACTGGTCTCGCCCCTATTCCCTCACCAGCTGGAAGCGGTCCTGCGAAGTCACCTGGCGCCAGTGGTGCCGTTACTGCCACTGGAACAGCAACAGCACCCACCGCTACTAACTCCATTGGAGTAATTCCTGTGCCTCACTCTCCTGGCACCGAGACTACCCCTGGCTCTATTCCCACGCCTACCGGTGCTGTCGATACTTCGGCCTTTGCTTCACCAACTGTCACTCCTGTCACCCAAACAACGGCCGAGTCCACTTCGACTCCTGCTGTTGTCGTAGCACCGGTCCCTACTACTACGGAATCTCCCAAGGAGATCCCCACTGAGACCTCCACCTCATCTGACTCGGGCAACTGGATGCCATCTAGCATTCTGATACTTCCAGCCACTACTCCTTCTGAGAACACCGGATCCAGCACTGGTACTTCCAGCACCGCCTCGAGCGAGCCCACTCAGCTTCCTGGCTCGATTACGCCGGCAACAAGTGTGACCGAGGCCCCTGCTGACTCGATGTTGCTTCAGTTCGGATTTGACGGCAGCCTGCCTTGGTCCTTTGTGGCGACTACCGCTCTGTCCTCGTCTCAGATCTTCCAGTACGTTCCCGAGGCTCTTGCACATGCCCTGCCAACATATGGATCCACGGCCACCATGTTCGCTCTCGAGCCCTACTACAATTGGCAGAAGACTGGGTACAACTCTACCCTTGCTATCTTCTACTTCCCTCGTGCGGGCTATGAGGAGCTTCTGGCTCAGCACAACAACCCCAACTCAGCCCTCTACACCGAGGCACAGAGCGATACTGTTAGATCCCTCATGTCCATGATTGATTCCACCATTCCTCTCGAGTTCAATGGCAACTACCCCACAGGTAGCGGCAGTTCATCCTCCGGTTCCACTGATAGTGCTAGCGGCAGCAGCACCAGCACCAGCACCAACTCCAACGTCAATGGAGGCTCTGCATCTACATCCAAGGCTAAGGCTAGCTCTGTTGGCATCGGAGTCGGTGCTGTCGCCGGTGCGGCTGCCTATGGTGCTGGTATGTTCTGGATCGCTCGTCGTTACCGCAAGAGAAAGCAACTGCACCAGCGCTCCAGCTCCACAGCCATGAGCCATGGTTCCGTTGGCTCCGTCTTCGCTACCGGTGGTCGCTTGTCTGGTAGCCAGCGTACTGGTCGTTCCCAGATGATCAGTGCCCCTGTCATGGCAGAGAATTCACTAGGATGGAACTAAATCAACAACAAAAAAAAAATTACAAAATCCATACAGATATAGACCAGGCCCACCTCTTTCGTTCTCAACATTTCCCAAACTTGGATCGCCGCTTGATGCGGCCATCGGACTTGGGTTTGTTCTCTTTTCCGATTCTTGATCCAGGGCTGGTAGATGATGGAGAAATGCACAAAACTTCCCTTTCACTGTTCATCGTTCCCAGGATATATATCATCTATTCGCGTACCTTGTTTATTTTTCAACTGTGAACTTTTCTTATTTGGTTATCTTATCCCGATTTATTTTATTAGGCACCGCCAATTTCGACGAAGCCTGTGTCTTTTCTATGTTTTTTTCTTCTTCTTTCCCATATTCCCCATTCTGTTTCTCTCATACAACACACCCCCTTTTTATATTTTCTCTTGTGGTACTCGCGAGTTCTCTCGCTGTGCCAAACTGAAAATATTATACTTACTGGCCATACTGTGTTGTTTTTATCCCTGATAATTCTCTGTTTGGGTGGCAGCATCCTTGACGAAGCCGATGCCAGTTTCCATATTTTCTTTCATCTCTATCTCTCTATCTCTCTATATCCCCCATCTCCAATGTTGGAAGGAATTGTTTCATTTTTTATCTCGACTCTGCGCTAAAATTTTGTACAAATGGTGCGAGTGTAAATGGTGTAAGGTGGTGAAGTGGAAGCCAGGAAGATGCTTAAGCTTGAGCTTTAAACTCAGTATGAGATGTGTAGATCTCCTTATTTGATCCATATTTTTGATTTATATGTTCTTTATTGTGGACTTTCTACTTCTTTAACATATGTTTTCTCCATAATAGAGTCATAAGGAAGAGGGAACGATTTCCCTGGTACATCTAGCACCGCTTCTAACGAGCCCAGCTTCTGGGATTGATTAATCCGGCAACAAGTGTGACTGAAGCCTCCCTCTTCTTGTCTCTATAGAGGCTAAATGCTCCGGACATTCTTTCACATACGACCATAGGGTGTGGAGAGCATGGCTTCTCGTCCGCTCAGTCGTACATGTAGAACGCAGGCAATGATTGGGTCCTCGGCACCCAGCTCACCTTAAAGTAGCGACAGAACCTCCCTAGGGTGAGGGCAGGTTATTTAAGTGAGCATGGGTGAGCTCGGGGACGAGGATGAGATGTACACAGGATTCGAGGCTACACCCAAATTATCTTGGGATTCGACTCCATTTTCCCTAATCAATAGTTACATCAATTTTGAACATTCCAATTTGTCAATGCTTGTCCAGTCACGTGATTATAGGGCGGACCCTGAAGATGACACAATGCCCCACTTTCACCCTTCCTTCTTCTTTCAATTACTCTCTTGTTGGCTTTAAAGATTCTCTTACTTTCTTCAGTTTTTGAGTCATCCACTATTACACTATTAGTTCTTCAAAATCTAATTCCCCCGAAAGCTCGAGCCCTGAGAAAAGCAAATTGCCCAGAAATTCCTCCAAGTCCAAGTTCTCCAAGCTCTCATCTGGCCAGGGAGCAGACAAGATCATTTCTGAGAACGCTGATCAAACACTTTCGTTCAAGAATGTGAAGTCGGAAACAAGCATTAAAGATTCTGGAGGAAACTGCAAACCTTGGAGTTCGGTAGATTTGCGTGTTGATTGACGTCGACCCGAAAGTGGGAAAATTCACAAAACCTTTCTCCCCGCCGTGCCCTGAGCACTTCTCCCGAGAAGTCTCCCTTCCCCTATTGTTGAGATTGGGTTCTCACAGTCCTACAAGAGTCAAAGAAAATGCAGAAAGAGCTCTCATTGGAGGAGCGCCCATAATTGGAATTGTCTTGTAGATTTTTGCCCTCGGAAACGGGGAGTTGCTGTTTGATTAGAAGTGTGGCGACGAGATGCAGCAGGAGTTCCGTACTGCGCCCTATCACATGATATCTTTGTACACTTAAATAACTTGGATCTTGGTAGTTTTGTTTCATGAAGATGTATTACATTAAAAATTCTGACTTGAAGTTTAGTAACAGCTGTTCGAGCTTTCGAGAACCAGTGATCATAGTGTCCGTAGTTGAGATGGAGCTCTATCTTACACTCAATGCGATAGGACTTGCGTATGCCCAAAGTGAATTTTTCCAGATGCTGACGGGTCTTATTCTGGCGAACCTTGATGTTTGATGGACTTCCACTTCACAAAGATGGCTCCGACCAAAGATAAACCGCTCAATGCCACGGCTATATAGAAGATATGAACAACTGCATCGTTCACGCACAATAAAAGAAGATCAAGAGTATCTCCAGAAACTTGTTGACGCAGCTTGGTGATCCCAGCGGCCAACAATGTCCCGGGGTCTACCTCTGGTGTGCGAGAGCGGACACTGGAAAGAAGCTGAACCTGAAAAACAGCTTCACCGACGGCGATGAAGACGGCTCCGCTAAGGAACTGAACAAATGACATGATGACTGTTCCCATAGGGACGTCGGTGGGTGACAGGTAAGAGGAGGCCACCACAAATGGCAAGTGTTGACCTAGGCCGTACCCAATGCCCACGATGACTTGGTATCCGATCCAACAATTTGACCCACTATGAACTCCCAACATGGTCATTGCCCCCGAACCTATGGTGAGGATCACAGAGCATGCCAACAGGAACGGGTTGAACCACCCGATGTAAGTCACCAACAGTCCAGTGAGCACTGAGGTTATCACAGAGCTCAGAATGAGGGGCAAATTCATGAGTCCAGATTTAATGGCACTCGCACCTTTGACAACCTGGAACCAAATTGGAAGATAGTAACTGAAGACAAAAAATGCTCCTGCAATGCAAAAGGCAAACAGGGCAGTTCCCCATATACTACGTGTTTTGATGAGTCGCAGCGGAATCGTGGCATTTTCCTGCTGCCATTTTGTATTGGCAATGAAAATGAGCAGCAATATACCGCTGACGACAAAGGGAGCAATGACACGAGCGTCATTCCAAGGATATTCGTCTCCACCTGACTGGAGTGCTAGCAGCAGGGAAACGACCATTCCTAAGAACAGAATATTGCCTAAGACATCCAGTTTGTATACTTTGGCCCTCAATCCTTTGGCTTGAACCAATGGAGGCGACGAGGGAACAAATAAGAGGAATATGCTCGTGATTAGACCGCAAGGGAGATTGATATAGAAGCACCACCGCCACGACACTTTATCCGTGAAAGCTCCCCCAACCCTATATTTGAGTCAGTTGAAAGATAATTTCAGTTGGACATTATCTGATACTTACAAAGGTCCAGCAATGCTGGCAATGTTGTAGGCTCCTGAAAGAATCCCAGTAAACATTGGACGCTTCTCTTTAGGAGTCGACCCATACATTACAAGAATGGCTCCTGAAACCAAGCCTCCGCTTCCCAGGCCAGCAATTGCTCGACCGATGATTAAGCCCACCGAGCTCGGAGTAACTCCGCAGATCAATGAACCCAGTTCAAAGAGAAATAAGGCGGCCAAATAGACCCATTTGACGGGATAGAGTGCATAAAGCTTGCCGTATAAGAGGCTGACAGCGCACGTGGTCAAGAAGTAGGCACTACCGTACCAGCCTACATCGTCAAATGAGTTGAACTGCGCTGCAATGTGCGGATTTGCAGTAGCAATAATTGTGTTATCCTATCATGAAACACATGATTAGCTGTTATACAGAACTTTAGCAAGCGTCAATACTAACTAGACCTAGACAGAAATTGGAGAGAAGAAGACCAAGAATAATTGGAACAGTTTTCCATGATCCTGGATTTTTAGGCTCCTGGTAGCTCGCGGTATCCGATGACCGATTTCTTAGCTCGATGCTGTCGGGTTCAGAAGAAGGTTCAGGCTTTTTCATGAAGGAGTCGAGCATAACTTGAGTAAATCAATCGCCTGAAAGTCGGGCCTTAAAGGTAATTTTCGAAATTTTTTGAGCCTTAAGTGTCCGCTTGGAACAGGTCTGAGGAATTCAGGTACCCAAATAAGCTAGGATTTCTAGATAATTTTGTGAAGCGGCCTGAAACCTAGACATTTATGCAAATCGCATTAGAGCATATCTCTATTAGCAGGACTATTATCCCTTGCTGGATGTAGACACATTCCAAAACAAATGTCCACAACAGAAAATTCCCCTTGGATATCAATCCAGTAAAATCATCTTGCAACAGAAGATCGACAATATCCGAACGAGTCAATTGTACTCGCAGTACTCGGAAGCACATGGCGTTTTCCTGGAGGCATGCATGAGTGAGATGTTTGACCCCTTTCCTTCCATGGTCTCACAGCCTATTCATCACTTGTTGAGATAAGGAAGAATGATTCAAGGAAAAAATATATCAATTGGAAAGACTGTATCGCTTAGTTGAGCTTCTCTTTCTTCCCTACCACGAAGATCCAGACAAGTGTTCCAGAATTCTTGCTCGCAACATCAACCACGTCAAGTATGGATAGGCAGCTTTCAGGCTCTCATTCCGTAAATCCTAGTTAAGCATTCAAATCCTTGCTTCAGTGATCTTGTAGGACTCGAGTAAGATCCCTAGTTGGTAGAATATAATAGGGAATAAATCATGAGTAACCTAAAACTGATTGGGCAGATGTGAAGCAAGAGGGGCTTTCGGATTATCTAATCCTGTCTTGTTTGGGAAAGTATAGTTATCTTCTACGACCACCATTCAATAATTTTCTACGGGTGGTGTAAGGTTCGTTCTTCATAGGATTATGGACCCTATTCAAATCATGACATGTTGCAAATGAATGAATGGTAGTTGATTTATATCTTGAAATCATAGATCTCACCCACTAAGAAGAAGCTATAATGAATAATACTTCACTATACAGTTCTTCAATGTAGATCACAGAAGTCACAAAGAAGCCTTGCACTCAGACCAAGAGCACCAAATTCACGACTGCTTTGTCTTCCTGTCTTAACAGCTGATGGACAAAGTTCAAGCATCCAAGTTGATCAATTCCACCTTCCGTGTATATCTGACATTATCTTTTTCCTTCCCAAAATATCTTTCGGTTGCAAAACTGTACAGCAACAGATAAGAGCAGAGTTAGCGAGAACCAGTCCTTTAGTATGCATAGAAGATCACCGGTTAAGGCAACTCACCTCCAGTGTAAATTTCCGACAGCAACCTCGCGACAGGCAGTCAAATATTTATGAACCTGTGCATCAATATTCTCACCATATATCGGAACCTCAGAGACCCTCAGGTGCCATTCCTGCAATCGCTGCCGGATAAGGGTGTCGACATTATTGTAAGCTTCCTGCTGGGTCATGCCCTGCTGCCGGAAAATGATGACAATATTATGGACAGCACCCATGTCCTATCAAATTCATCAGTGCCATTAGCTTAGGAACTTGGAAGTCACCAAGGCTTGCTTACGTATTCCTTGTGGTACGATAGGACATCATTGTGCCTGTTTCAAAGTGGGTAAGCAACGGGATCTGCGAAGTACTTCTTATTGCTTCATCACCTACAGGACAGTGATTTCAGCAGCTAGATCTTTCAATCTCTGGACAGCAGGAACGCGGAAAAATTCCTCAGGGAGACGAAGGTTGTGATAGTATCTGAGAAAGCAGGATAATGCGGTGAGATCAAGAAGGAGGAAGTGTTGGAAGCTGGAACTTACTCAGCGAAGACGATACAAGGAATCACTCCAATGGAGCCTCGGCGAAAAGCTAGGTAGCCTGCAATATCTTGAGAGCATAATTCGGCTCGAACACCAACCTGACCTACAAGGCCCCTGCAGAAATCTTGCATAGCCTCCCTAAATCGCGCCTGGACACCTGCTCAAGATTAGCCGATCTGCATATAAAGTCTAGGAAACAACCTTTTGCAGCCCTGAGGCGGAGAACAAAAAAAAGAAATTCCGATTTTACTAACCTTTAGATGCTCGCTGCGGCAGAGAAGTAAATCATCAGTTCACTAGATATCAAAATATAATAAAAATATTCTTACCTCGACTAGACGTTCCCACACCGAGCGGAAGGCAGAGCGAAGAGCTCTGGCGCGTGGGGGATCATCTTTGTACTCATCATCCTTCAGGCCGGTCGTCATAATCTGTGTCAGAATGTCTGCCTCTCTCTGGGCATTCAAAGGGTCTTGACAGAGGTGACCCTCGTCAAATTCTGTCCACAAAGATGCGATCAGCATCTTAATGGAAAGCTCCACCACGAGGATGATATAGTGATCCATGGCTCAGTCACACTTACGGTCGTCAAAATAGAACACCTATCGTCTAGTTAACACAGGTTGACACAAAATTTTGTCTTATGGGGTGATGGTACGCACCCAGTTACACCAGTCGCAGATGGTGCGGAACTCAGGGCCTCCAGCATGCTCAGTCCACGATGCTGCGAACAAAGCAAAGTCTGCCTTGTCCAGCTTCATTCTCTCCTTCTCAGTAGTTCCGTACAGTCTGCCATTGAGTTGTCAGCTTATACGAAGTCTTAAGACAAAATATGACAGAATACATACTGCGCAAACCATTCATCAGATTCCGTTTTGACCTTGGCGTAGAATGGATTAAGAAGAGGAGCTTGGCTGCAGAAAGAGACGAAAAGGTCCGGGATGAGAATTGTGGTCAGAGTTAATGCGGCGTGCTGCTCCGCTGAAAGTTCGGGTGCCACCGAGTTAAGAGCGGGCGCCTGTACCAGCTCTGTAAGAGAAGCCATAGTAAATCGAATAGAAGTACGAATTGTAATATGGAAGCTGTTTCAAATAGTCACTATTGTCAGTGATTGAGCTGAGACTAGATCTGGGTCGATACAACAATTTGAACCTGAGACCAGCAGCCTTCTTATATATCTGTTCTTCGTTCGCCTCCAGGAAAAAGCCTAATGCGATTGAAGATCTAGATTTGGTCAAATCAGTAGAATGACGATCTGACACGTACCTCGATAATCCTACCTAGCGGTGTAGACTCTGCTGTATAGAAGACCCTTAGTGTCCACTTTCTAGATGATTACTATGCAAAAAACAAGGCAGATTCATGCATAATGCTATTTTGCGAGGTGGCGCTATCAAAACCTTCTGGAAATATGAGAATCAGCCTGCAAGAATAGTGATTTATCTGTGGGCCACCAATGATTTCGTCATACTGGCAAGATTGCGGTCTGCCAATTGATTTTGGGTACCAATGCCATGTATTTAGGTGACTAGGCACATGTAAGGAGGTCCCATAGACCGCAAGGACAAATAGAGCCACTGACTTCTCATGTCAATGAGTGGAGACTGACGACGAAGGTTCTGACGGTGTGACATTTTGTCTACTGACAAATTGTTGTAACCTAGACTGTATTTTTTCATTTGTTGTGAGCACTCTAAGGTAGTATTGGATTTTATGTCGGTATTTTCTTGCATTGAATGATATTGATATCACAATATGCATCCTGATCGGATATCAGAATGCTACAGGGCTGTTCATCTAGCGATATTTTCATCGAACCTTGGGATTCACCTAAGCTATACTAGTGAACACTCATACTGCTACAGAAAACTAGATAATTTTGAGAGAAGATAAATTGATCGATAGGGTAGGGGTAGATTCCGAATCTAGGCTGTATATGACCGCCGAAGTTCTTAGAACTAGGCAAGGGTATCTCCCTTTCATAGCTTGCTTGCGGTAAAGGAGACATCCCTGGAGGTGAAAGAAGATCAAGATGGAAGCGACTTTACGACATTTGCTGCATTAATCTAGAGCATGATGCCAACTCATGTTCCGTCTTCTTGATTAACATTGTGAATTACCAAACGACGCATATCATATACCACATCAAGGCTTACATTACATGCGCTCTTGTATCATTCATGTGCAAGCATTAGACGACGTTTCAATTAGACATAAACTAAATACTAGTTGCCTCGTGCCATCCTGCACGATATGCTTATGTGGCGGTGTGAATAAAAGATTAAGGTGGTAACATTCGGAAGCAAGGAGTTTAGGCCCCCCTTGACATATGTCACTCGGGTTACTTGCTTCACTTTATATTGATGCATTTGCGATAAAAAAGATAAGAAAAATGCAAAATGAAAGAACAAAAGACAAGGCAAGCGCGGGAAGAGAGAGAAATCAAGGTTAACTTGCAATGTTTGAAAATATTTCTCTATTAGTTAAGCTGCTAAATAAATATTGAGTCAACTAGGTATCAATCTTGTATAAGAAATTTAGAGTGAGTGCGGGAAAAATTCATCAATTCCTGATCAGAGGACTTAAAATTATCCCAGTTCTATGAAACACGCTAGAATTATAATTCAAGACTATTACTGTGGGTTTTTATATATGAAATTTAAACTATCAACTACTACCCAGGGGCACATTTCTTAGATAACGCCTTGTTACCTAAGATCAGGCTTCCCATTCACCAACTTCACCTGCAAACTTGAAGTTTCGTATGTCACTTTGATGTTGATTTATAACTTATGGAAGACGTGATATTATTGCAACCTGCTTGGTTTATCTTGTTCTTTGGCTAAAACTACACAAATAACCGGGAACGTTTACAACATTTTAGTGTTGAAAAGTCACTTGGTTTAGTGAGATAGATATGCCGAGATGTTGATTAGGCACTAAGGCCCTAAACTCTACCATAATAAGGGCTATAGATCTTAAAAGAGTAGTGTTTTGATACCACAAGCTTGCCAATTGGTTTAGACCCGCCCCCTCATGAACATTTTCAGTCTATTTACCTCTGTATGAATTGTGCTCCTACCAGGTTTCAAACCCGGTCAATTTGCCACCCTCTCTTGATGCCTGCATAGCATGAACCCATGCTGCAATTCCCTTCGGATAGTAGCTCCAGCGAGCAGAAATCCGGTCTGGTTTTCCCTGCCCGTTGAAATACCCTGGGGTGCAGGACTGGGCAAACCGGAGCCGCTCATCACTTCCGGCTTCGTTCTGCTGAACCCAATCCTCTTGGGCCTCCTGGGTCGGCTGGATGGCCTGGAAGTCGTGCTCATGGTCGACGCAATGTCTTATGAGCGCTGCAATATGTGCAGCAGCCTCGTACGCCGTGTGGGTGTAGTTGAAGGAAGCGCCCGCCTGGACTGGACCCATATAAAACAGGTTAGGGAAATGCCGAACGTGAATACCGTAGAGAGTTGAAGGACCGTCAACGGCCCACTCAGAATCGAGGGTTTGGCCTTGAGATCCAGTCAGGTCGATGCCCGTACGGTCGTAGAAGCTTGTTCCGATCTCGTAGTCGAACCCAGTGCAGTAAATGAGCACATCGACCTCGAATTCCCGTCCGTTAACCTCGACTCCTTTGGGGATAAGCCGAGAAACACCCTTTCCCTGAGTGTCGACAAGCTGAACATTTGGCTGATTAAAGGTGGCCAGATACTGATTATTGAATGCTGGGCGCTTGCACAAAAAGCCATACCACGGCTTCAGGTCCTCCGCTGTGGCGGGGTCCTGTACAATAGTTTCTACTGTTTTGCGGATACGATCCATGAGACGATAGTCAGCCTCTTGGAACAGTCGTGGTAGAAGGTCTTGGATTTCAGCCAGCGAGGCTTCGTGCAAGTAGTCGCGGAGGATATTGCGCAAAGCTAGGGCATCAAAACCTTCAGTAGCCGAGCACGGCTTCTGAGAGAGCTCTTCTCCCTGAACAATACGCGAGAAATCCTCCATGCGTGTCTTCTGCCACCCGCGTGGCCAAGTCGCAATCGTCGTGGCTTCGACAGGAACGTCGTCGCGTAGGGTGATAGACGACGGGGTTCTTTGAAACACATACAGCTTTTGAGCATCTCGTGCCAGCTGGGGTATAATCTGCACGGCTGATGCGCCGGTGCCCATGACGCCGACAGACTTGCCCGCTAGACGATCTCGGGGCGAGTAGGCATCGCCCCCAGTGAGCTGGTAGTCCCAACGACCACTGTGAAAATGCGCTCCCTGAAAGGTTTCAATACCTGGAATCTGTGGTATCTTTGGCTCATGAAAGAGACCGGTGGCCAGGACCACAAACTGAGACGTCCACTGATCCGACCGATTGGTAGTGATGTGCCATCTCCGGGCCGGTTCATCCCAACTCATCGCCGTTGTAGAGGTTCCTAGAATGATCTGGGGAAGAAGATTCCATTTCTCTACAATTCGGGTCAGATGAGCACGAATATCCTTTGCCAATGGATATCGCGTTTTGGGCACGTATCCAGTCTCTTCAAGAAATGGGAGGTAGATGAGCGCCTCGACATCGCATGCCAACCCGGGATACTGGTTCCAGTACCACGTGCCTCCATAGCTACCGCCCTTTTCAATCATAACAAAGTCATCAACACCTTGTTCTTTGAGTTTCACTGCAGCAATAAGGCCGGCAATACCAGCTCCAACAATCACCACGCGGGCAGCTCCCCTAATCGGTTCCCGAGCTGAATACTGGGAACGTGGGTCTTTTCTGAGGTACTGTAGAATATCGCTATCCACATGGGAACCATCGTGCTCAAGGCATCCACCTGGAGAAAGACGTTTAGATCTCTCGGATGCATATTTGGCCGCCAGAACATCAGCTTGGACTGGGGTTGATTGCAAGGTATCACTTATGGTGAGAATCGAGCCCATGATGAGATTTAAGTCATAAAATAGTCAGGAGATAGTTAACCAACGAGACCGACAATTTGAAATGAGAGGGGCTTTAGAATCATAACATGATGAACGCAATCCAGTTGGAGATTGGGATGAGGTGCAACACCCTCCAGCTAGACCAGACTGGCCGCCTTGGATGGGTTACAATGAGCGGTCAAACATTCGACTGAGGAAGCAGAAATTTGATCGTCTCTGCATTCGACATTCCAGATACTACATACATTCCCCCTTACCTGCGTGAATTTTAACCAGTCAGTATCAACTATGCTTTATCTTTTCAAATTTGATGTAAATTGGAGCCTTGTTCCAAATGAGGCAACGTGGAGATGATGGCTGAATTCGTGGTACGTTACACTGCGCAATGAGATACTGTAGGTCCTCCGGCTATGTAGACCCAGCTTTGATTAGATTGGCTCAAGCCGTTCCCTTTCCCCTCTTCTAGTACGTGTTGCTCAAGGAAGTGTGATGACGACTCACTCATCGCTTAATCCAAAATGGAATAGATAATATGAGACCTTTTATTTATTTTTTCTTTAATTCTTACTTATTTAATTCTTATATAAATCTAAATCTCTCTCACCGAGCCATTTCTCACTCACAACGAGCCATTTATCACTGACATTGCTTCAACTTAATTTTCTTTGATTTTTTCCATACCTCTGGCGAGATCATGAATGACTCCATCTTGGACAGAAATGTGGCTGGGGACAAGCTTCAGGAATCTCCTATCTCCTTTGCTAGTCAATTGCTGTCTGAGTTCAGTCGTTCCCAGCTCATAGGCTTTTTAACAGCTGGCTGGCTGGCATACATTGTGCTTCGGTCTTACTTCAGCAAGACCTTGCCACCCAGCCCTCGGCGGCTTCCAGTGCTGGGGAATTTGCACCAGGCGCCTCTGCGTGATCATTGGGCTGCGTACAAGACCTGGCACAAGCAACACGGTCCAATTATCAGTCTTCGATTTGGACAACGCACCATAATTAGCCTGGGATCGCACCAGGTTGCCAATGAATTGTTAAACAAGCGCAGTCAGAACTACAGTTCGCGGCCCAACTTTGTTGTGGGTGGTGCTCTGAGCAACAATCAAAACAGTGCTCTCATTCCATATGGTGAACAATGGAAGATACATCACAGCATGCTGACCAAGGTCATGAATGCTCGAATGGCCGCCAAGTATCAGTTCCTGCAAAACATTGAGAGCAAACAGGCCATGAAGGACCTTTTATCGGTGCAAGGCAAGGAATGGATCCAGGTATTCCACCGCTACACCACAAGTGTTACCTATACCCTGGCCTATGGAGAACGACTGAAAGACCTCTACGATGAACGTATCCATTTTGTTGACGAGCTGACGGAAATCATCTCATCGAACGTGGAGAAACCCACAAATTTGATCGCCGACTGCTTTCCAATTCTGGATAACCTGCCTGCATGGTTGGCCCCATGGAAGCGCCTGGCCAAGATGTATCACGGCAAGTCAATGGACTTTTTCCTAGGGGAGCACACCAAAGCTGAGCAGCGCAAGTCTTGGAATTGGGTAAAGGAGCTGGCTGAATCAGACGAGGCTAAGCTGCTCGACAAAACGGAAGTTGTCTATTTGATCGGTGTGCTCATTGAGGCTGGCGGCTCGACAATGAAAACGTTCGAATTCTTCGTAATGGCCGCTATTCTTTTCCCCGAGGCCGTACACCGGGCACAGGAAGAACTGGATCGAGTTGTGGGTTCAGGCCGACTGCCAGACTGGGATGATCAAGCCCGGCTGCCCTATCTAAATGCCTTTATCCGCGAGGTGCAACGCTGGCGACCTATCTTCCCGCTGGGAGTACCACACTCAAACCAGAAGGAAGAGATTTATGACAACTACCGCATTCCCAAGGACTCAGTGGTGATTGCTAATCACTGGGTGATGGATTCCGATCACGATGTGTTCAAGGATGCCGACGACTTCAGACCCGAACGCTGGATTGAAGATGCTAATTTGCCGTTCTTGGCATTTGGCTATGGAAAAAGAGTCTGCCCAGGGCAACACATTGCCAAGCGGTCCCTCTATATAGTTATCAGCCGCGTTCTTTGGGGATTTAATATTTCCCATGCTCAAAAGAATGGGAAACGTATAGAGCTGGACCCCAATGACCTGGTTCAAAACATCCTGTCTGGTCCTAAGCCATACAAGGCCGCTTTCAAAGTTCGCTCAGCCAAGCATCGCCATATCATTGAGAACGAATTTGGCAATATTGGAGAGGATGAGCGTCAAGTATGGGAGGTCTGCAAGCCCTAATGTACTCAACATTCAAGCACTTCTGGGAGTTGAAGAAAAGAGAATAGAAAGCCCTTCCACTTTTTCTTTCGTTTATTGTTTCGCTTTGATCGATTTACTGTCTTTCGTTTTTTTTTTTTTTGGTTTTTCTTGTTTTTCTGCTTTTGAGAAATTTCATATCGGTCGCGCCTAAAGACTGATTGCACTCGCACGAAACGCGAGAAAAATTGAACACAACGGTCCTTTATAACAGCTACAAGCATTGGAAAAGTCCAATTAGCCAATTCGCCTTTGAAGTGGAGCTTTGGAAGCGGAAATCATTTGTTTTACCGTGCTGGGCCGAGGTTGAAGTGCTTAGTTGACAGCACAAGATGTGTGGTTCGGAGCTTCCAAGGTTGCCGATTAAGTCAGATGAAAAAATTGCAATTCTGTGATCAATTCTAGCTTTCTAGTAGCAAATTAGTACTTGCTTTGTTTTTCTTCTAGTGCAGAGCAGTTCATAAAGGTATAAATGCAGGTTTGATGGGTAGGATTGTCTTGCTGCCCCGTGTGAGAAGGTGTGCGGACACCAATCTCAACATAATGAATTAATCATACGTAGAGGGTTTCGCTTAATGAATACTCTAAAGTTTTGACGAAAATTTACCTAGTTAAAAGATATATCACAGATCATCAGTCGCCCCGCAGCGTGCCATGCAGGTGGTAGATGTTGGATAAATGGATCGATTACGTTTGCATTTCATATATGAAGTGCCTTGAGCTATGTGGCATAGATGTGAAAATGAGTATTTTGCATCTCTAATGGTGGTGTGTCAGTGAGTTCTAAGTTCCAAAGGTCCTCACGACTAGCTAGTGGCCTACTTATATCTTCATGCTGCATAATGTGTTATCAATATCATAAAATGTAATACGCCTTACAATGCCAACATTGCATACAAGGTGAACTTACAATTAGGAATTAAGGCCAATGCATTAATACATAAATTACTTTTTGTGGCAGATAAAGAATGTTTGAGTGGGTCATATCTCGACATTCATGCATATTCCACACCGCGCAGGAGGAACGGTCCGGTTGAAACTCTTAAAAGGGGAGCCCACCCTACTTCATGATTTCCTTTTCCAGTGGCAAATATTTCAATCACTTCAAGCCCCGTCCTTATAGATTCAGACGACTTTTTGCTTTGCTATTTCTTAATAACGCACTTGTAAAGTGACTTCGGCAAAGATAATGTCCACTCAATACACGTGCAGGAGCACCAACCCCTGGGCCGACAGCAGTATTATATATGCAGGATTACTGGTAAATACAGTATTCGAATCAAGCATCCTCCATGAGAAGCTGAAGGAACTTATCACTCTGTGGCCCATTTTAGGAGGCACAGTGATACGAAGTGTTCGTCTTTCCTTTCTCACCTTGCCCAAGTACAATTCATTTGAACCATAGCTGACTGGCAATAAAAAGACCACACCATGGTCTTTTACGTGTGGCTCTCATGTTGACTTTGCCAGTCGGACTTTAGATGAACTTGTTTGCACATTCCTCCCCGTCAATTGGAAAAACACCCGGGCCCAACAATCATTCAAAATTTGGAACCATCCACCGTAGACGGTAAATTCCTCTTTGGTATCGAATCCGCATCTTCAACAATATCAAGACTTCGGGTGACTGTTTTACGGGATGCACCTTTGCTTTGTTTTGGAATCACGCATTAGATCACAGGCGCTGGGGGTTGCTTCGAGTTCGTCCAGGCATTCTGTGAACTGCTGTCCAATCGAAAAATCCCCTCTTTTGTTCACCCGCCCGATACACGAGGGATTAAAATTTCTGATTCCATCACTGATAGTGATAAAGACGAGATCCATTGTGATGCCTCTGCGGACTTTGAATCTCCCGAGGGAAACTGGGACATCGGGGTCATCAAGGCGGCTCAGATGACGTGGAGGGTTGCAAGAGCACATCTGTCAATGACTTTAGGATTGCGCGAAAAGCTGAAGGAGAAATATGTTCACCTTCCATGTGGCTGGGTAGACCAGATTAGTACTCAAGCTCAGAAGGAGCTAAACGTTCTCCCCGAGTCTCTCGATATCCAGCTTACGCGCAACGATATCATTTCAGCCTGGTACCTGAAAACAATATATGGGCCATCATATTCTTCCTGCAGTGACAACACACTGGTAGACTTTTGCGTGGCAATCAATTACAAGGGGCTTATTAACCCATTACTGGCAGAAGATGCTTCTGAGAAAACCCTGCCCCAGAAGGAACAGCAGAAATCTCACTATCTCCATCACAGGGTCGCCATTTTCCGCTGTAAATTTACAACTAGCCAACTGCAGAACGATTCAATTGCCAGTATCGCCTGGAACATACGTCGGGCGACGCTTCATTACAAGCAGCCTTCGTCGATCCAAAAGTATATTCAATTTGTTGAGAAACGCAATTCCAACTTTTTGATTGTCAATATTTGTGCAAGTGACCCTTTTTCCATGGTGAAGCTCTCCTCGTGGACGACTTATGACTATATGGCTCTCGACTTTTCTGGAGCAATCGGTGATAGGAAAGTGCAACAAGACAAGGCGAGCGTCGCTTTCGTCAATCCGCTCGCTGTCAGTCCTATTACAGGTCTCACGCTGTATACTCTAAAGGATGGAATGGGGGATATCTGATTCGGATGGCAAATATGGAAACAAAATGGGAGCAGCTAGGAAAATCCTCAAGTATTGAGAACTTGTTCCCAGATTCGTAGAATAGCTTCCAAGCTTCTACCATAGTCAATGCACAAGGTCTTCCATCATTATTTCCCCAAATGTCCTTCATATTAAGATAAATTTTATTTTAGCTGTTCACTACTAGGCACTCAAATGCAAACCACATGGTTACCTAGGTGTGACTGTTCCTATTTTATTACGCTACTTGGCCCATGATACATACCCCTACGTTTCGACTTCTAGCAATTGGGTGACACTCCGTGGATCCAAGTGTATAATAAAGAGCTGAGTGGGGTCAGCCCTAAGTTTTATTAACATTTATATTGGGGTTTGCAATGCCCAGAAAGGTAGAACAGTGGCACAGGGAATGGACATAACGTCATATGCAGTCCCAGAAGCTCTCGTTCCTCTTCCCCCTCGAAGGAGGAATATACTAGGATTTAGGCATTTGTCAGTGGAAAGATCACAATGATGCTCTAGCAAGGTCCATACTGAAAGTCCACTCCTATTAGATTAGTTGCTCATGCGTGATGTGTTTGCCACGTCAGCATGCCATTTTTTCTTGTTTCTTCCCGAGTCTTCTTTCTCATTTAGTGTCTTTATTTTATTTACGATGAAAATATCGCAATACCGGTTACATGCCCCACCAAGCTGGGCACGAAGGTTGATCAATTCAGTTCCATGCGCTGATCTCTTGCGGTCTGCAATTCTTTTTTAGTTCAAGATAATATATTGTCACAAATTCAAGTACTTAGCTAACGAAAGATCAATCGTATATAAAGTCCCATTCCTCTTCTCCTTCGAACACCTTTCTCATCCAAGACTAAAATCCATCAAGTCAAATCAACTCTTTCCAGCAACTATGACTGTATCTCAGAAAATATCGGAGCCACCTCAATTTGGGCTTCACAGAGTACATGCAAAGACCACTTCTGTTCAAGAGATCCTTCCACTGCTGATTCAAAATGGCGGGGTGATAGTGGAAGGCCTGATATCAAAAGATATTTTACAGGACATCGAAAACGAGATGCGACCTCACTTTCAACAGGGTTGGGATACTGATGCGATGTTCTCTAAAAAGACGCGCGTAGTGTGTGGCCTACCTGACAAGTCACCCACCCTGATGAACCAATGCTTTGGGAACTCGCTCTTTACGGAGGTCTGCGACGCCATGCTTACCGCGCACTTCACGTCGTGTTTTGGTGAACAGACGTATGATTTTCACTCGCCTCCCGTTTTAAACGGGACCGTTGCCTTTTCAACCTTACCTGGAAATCCTGTCCAGCGCCTGCATCGAGACGACAATCCTCACCATAATAATTTTCCAGCCATAACCTCCGATCAGTATGAGATTGGTCGTGACTGTATAGTCAATTTATTTGTCGCGGGCACGCAAACTACCAAAGAGAATGGTGCCACACGTTTCATTCCCGGGTCTCATTTACAGCAGAACGTCCACACGCCCGATGAGAGCCAAGCAGTTTATATAGAGTTACAACCCGGTGACGCTTGGATCATGCTGGGGAGCACTTTCCACGCGGCATCGAGTAACATGACTGACGGAGAAGAGCGGATTCTGTACATGGTCTCCAGCATTAAGTCCTTTCTACGCCAGGTGAGTTGTTCATCCCTTCTCTATAAGATAGCCCATTGTCTCACTTATGGCTAACCAATTGTTTAGATGGAAAATATCTACCTCACCCTTCCTTTGGAGAAGGTGCGCGAATACTCCCCGTGGATGCAGAAGCGACTCGGCTTCAGTGCCAGTAGTCCCCTTTGTGGTCACATCGACTTAAAGGATCCCAGGGAAGTTCTTGGACTCCCGGAGAAGAGTGAACTCCAGTGGTTTTATGACTGATATGTTTGCGGACGAACATAGTATAGACAAGATGGGTGACAGCCATGGTGATCGTTTAGATTTCTAGAGATCATTTCATTATCCATGTTTTCTCAGTCGTTATCCATGTTTTAGATAAGCCCTATATGCAAATTTTATGCTACATTATGACGTAAGGGATTAATTAAGTATAGAAACCTTTGGTCTCATTTGTTCTGAAGGATCGTGCTAGTGCCTGTTAAGGAGGTAAAACCTGACTATATGATCTGAACTTGACTCTTTCCACTCGATTAAGTCATCCATGCTTTTTCTTACCCCGTGAATTCCAGGATTGAATCATTTTTTACCGTATGGCAGCTATTATGGTCAACATCCTGTGATGAAGTGTGAACTTTAGTTTATTTGATGTATGAAAGCAAAAAATATATATATATTCTTGAGTGAACTGGAGTGTTATTGAACTAGATGCAGCTGGTCTCTGACGAATGAGGAAAATGAGAAATAAATGGAAGGATATATTTAGTAAATTTTATCTGTGACGATTAGCACTAAAATAGATATTGGATCATGTTTGGAAAGCTATAGACCTAAAAATGTAGCATTGTGAGTAGGCATAATCAGTATCTTCACCAACTTTGCTCTTGATCGTACCAAGAAGATAATTTTGATACAGCTGATGCTGACAGCTCCCTTCGACTTCAACTCAAGGTATTAGATAATTTGATCGCTAGTGTCCTCGACAATGTTATTAGCCAAGGGTTAAGATGATCACAGGACCAATTCCATGATTGATGTTGAACATCTTTCAACTTGAAAGATGTATAGCTTTCCATCAATAAAATAACACCTCTATAGAGCTCAGAGAAATGTAAAACACCAATTCAAGAAGTCCTTCATCAATGATGCTGATATTAGTGACCACATCGAGCTTCTTCAAGACTCCTGGAGATTGAGATACCAGAAGATTAGCTGGATCAAAAAATGTAACTTCTTCTCTTCTTGGGCAGCTGAATATGGTAGTATCTGTTCGGCAAGATTTATTAGAAATAGAAGCTAGGATTGACCTTTGAATGCACATGACATGCACTCCTCTTATCCTGTATCATATTTGAAATTTACACTAATTTCTTTACGTTTACATTTGGCCAAATAATATTAATGACAAATGATTTCACAATGATGCATAATTAACAAAGACTTCGATAGCATTTGGAATTGGTGATCAAATACTGTTTTTTGTACTTGCATAGTAAAGCGATGATCTGCTACAACAAAGAGCTATATTAAGAAGGCTGCAGATTTGTCTGACTGGTAGTGAGTATTTAGCATTCTATCCTTTATACTGATCGCTATAATCCCGCTGGATACAGCCAATTCTGTTTTTTTTTTCATGCAAGAAGGGAGGTATGGCTACCCGAGACCCTTGCCCATGTGTAATCTGTATGTATATCACTGCAAAGGTGGTAGGAGTCTTAAAGATCTTTCAGGTGGTGGTTACATTGCATCGATAAAACATGCATGCTCGAAGCTATTGGTACAATAATGACGTACGTCAATTTGCATAAGGGAGATTGAATCAGCATTGAAGAGCGTGTCTATCAGTTCACCGACAAATTATTCCTTCCACTGTTGAACTCACCGCCAATTTATCATTCACTCATGTAGTATTGAAGGCTATCCCTTGCCTAAAGTTTTACTCCGCCAAGAGGAGGTGCTGCTGAGGCATATGACACAGTCTTGATTGGCAGTTGGAAATACTATAAATGTGCTCTGGTGTCATTATCTCGATTAATAATCACGAAATTTTTACGTATATTCAAATTAGTTACATCATGGGAGCCACTTCTTATTCATCTCCGTCGAACGAAAGTGAGCCTACGTTCGGGCTTTATCGGCTAGATGCACAAAAATCATCTATTGATGAGATCGTCCGCAAGTTAACGTACAATGGTGGAGTCATTGTTGAAAACTTGATTTCTCAAGAAATTCTTCGTGAAGTTGAACAAGAGCTTCGACCTTATTTTTCCAAAGAATGGGATACGGACGCTATGTTTTCAAAAAAGACGCGTGTGGTAACTTCAGTTCCACGCAAGTCAAAGGCCTTTGTCGAGAAGCTGTTTGGTAACCCTACCTACATTAAAGTCTGTGATGCACTTCTCACTTCATCCCACGAGGTTTATTTTGGCGACACCGTATACAATTTCACCTCGCCTCCAATCTACAATGCTTCAACAGCATTCTCTACTTTGCCGGGAAATGTTCCTCAGAGATTGCACCGAGATGATCTGGATCACCACCACAAAAGACCGGCGATAACTCCAGAGCAGTACGATATTGAGCGGGACAGTACCATAAATATGTTTGTGGCAGGAACTCGAGCTACCAAAGAGAATGGGGCCACGCGGTTCATCCCTGGCTCCCACTTACAGGACACTCTACACAAGCCCGAGGAAAGCCAAGCCGTTCATGTTGAGCTACAACCAGGTGACGCATTTTTCATGCTTGGAAGCACTTATCATGCTGCATCCAAAAATGTCACTGAGTCAGAAGAGAGGATCATGTATTCGATGTTCACTATTAGGTCGTTCCTTCGACAGGTATGTTGAAATTTTCTCCAACGGCTCATATTTGCTTACCCCATTGATTTGGTATATACTTATGGTTTTATTACAGACGGAAAATTTGTATCTAAGCCTTTCACTGGACAGGTTGCGCGAGTTTTCTCCTTTTATCCAAAAGCGACTTGGCTTCAGCTCAGGTAGCCCCCTTTCGGGTCATATAGATCTCAAGGATATAAGAAAGGTTCTTGATCTACCTGGGCCAAGTGATGTTCAATGGTTTTATGACTGAGATCGTGGAAAGTGTATTGAACACGGCTTTCAACTATGATTCTTATGATGTAGCATGTCGATTCAATGGTAAATTGTTTTAGTGCGACATGCGCAGTTGCGTTCCGTTTGAAAAATGACTCGATTAAATCTTTATCTGGACAATAAATTTTGTGCATTACGGAGGGCGATAGACGCCACCATGCAAAAACCCCGAAAACAGTAAACAGATAACGTATTTTACACCCGGCAGAATGTTTTATTACCTGTATCGCTCTATAATCCCAAATTTAAATTGAAATTGACTAAGTCCAACTCTAATACAATTAACTAGTCCAACTCCAATACAATTTACTAGTAATAAGGTAAAATAACGCATTCAATTGTATTGGTTTTAGCAGCAAATACTCTGAGACTAACTAATGAGAAATAAACCCGAGAACCAATAACCTTCATTCTATTCTTCGACGAATAATTCTCTTACTTTGATGTGTGCTTGGACGCACACGTTTGCCACAAGATGGAGTAGCTGGAGGTGGAGTTGGATCTGGAGCTGGAGTTGGAGCTGGAGCTTGAAGTGGCAGTGTAAATGGAGATGTGGGAATCAAATATTCATCAGGAAGTGTTGTTAGAGATGCTTCAACAAGAGATGCTTCAGGAGATACTAAGAACGCTTGGATTGTTCCTGGAGATTCATTTCGAGACGAAGATAATAGAATATTACTCCGGCGATCAATGATATCATGGAGTTGATACATGTTCTTATGGATCTTAAGCTTCTTACAAAGATCTCCAATAGTTGTATTCACAAACCATCCCATCCCAGGAAGAGATTGAGGGGATAGATATCCTTTTGGTCGTCCAATATGATGAACGTCTTTTGCAAGAGTATAATGATCCTGGTAATGAGGGTAGCATTTTGATCGGTGTAGCTCTTCAATTGAGAATCCATTGATTCCGAGTATATCTCTATCAATGAAATCAGGAATATCAAAGATAGGATATAAGACATCAAAGGTAAAAGCAGCAGAGATATCAAGCCGTTGAAAGCTACTCCCTTCTTCCCAAATATATATCTGAACATATATTTCACGTTCATTCTCTTTAAGAAGAGATTCGACCTGTTGATAGGGCTTCGGCTTAGTATTGGCACGAGGAGAAGAGTCGCTGCTTCTCATATACTGACTCCGAATACTCTGAGCAGTACGATGCCGAATATCCCTTAGAAACCCAGGATTGTTATTCACTTGGGCAGGAGGAGCCATTGAAGCAGGAGGAGCTATTGAAGCAGGAGGAGCTATTGGAGTAGGAGGAGCCTGAGTAGTTTTTATTTGCATTTGTATATAGTTAAGCATCATAGTCCATTGCTCTGGAGTTATCTGTAGAGATGCCATATTGATGGAGTTGGAATTGATAGTGGAATTGATAGTGGAATTGATAGTGGAATTGATAGTGGAATTGATAGTGGAATTGATAATATCGAATATATATGCATAGTAACTAAAGCTCGTTTGTAGTTTAAATTATCTAATTTTGAATTAAACTTAATAAACTAACTATATTGACCAATCATATGCACTATGGGGCTTCTTACAAACGCCTAGTATAGGCTCTGTCTCATGTGTAAGTGCTCGCTCCCGAAGAGCTTCATAAAACACACGATATGGTTGGGCAGGATCTCCACGGAGGTGTAAAAGGGGGTTTTCAGGGTCAAATATAGTCCCCGCAAGTTGAAGTCCAATCTCTTCATGTTGCTGTTGACACCAGATAAGAGTATCTGGTAAGAGATATGCCTTGCTATCCCATTTTTGTACATCATATAATAGTCTTTGTAAAGGATCTGGATCAAATGGTTGTTTATAGTCTGAAGCCTCGTTTTGCGGAAAATTGTAGTTCATAACTGGTTTTCCTGGGATGGTATGTGGGCGATTTGGTTGCTTGCGAATCGGGTGGATATTCCATACTTCAGTAAATGACTGAATAAGGCGTCGTAAAATTGGCATATAGATCGCAAGAAGAGCCACTTGCTCCGCAGTATTATCCTTTGCGAATAGACCTTTATGAGTTAGTATAATATAGTGATATTATATTGATATTATGTTGAACTTGAAGAATAGAGCAAATATCTTCAGCAGAGCTACCAGCTTTATAAAGATCGATGATCGCTTGTTTATGAGCTTCAAGAGTGATTCGTGGGCGCGGCATATTCGAGAGGTTGGAGGTGGAAAGATGAGAGCATATTCCAGCACTTCGTAAACAGTATTTTTAAAGCTCCCCGATTGGTTGAGCCTGATTACTGATTGGTAATTTAGTTACAGGCGGTCAACTTGCATTTATGGATTACAATACTATACATTTTTGCATGGCGGCGTCTATCGCCCTCCGTAGTGCATCCAGGTCATTAGTAACGAAGGCAGTTTCTGGTACGCATAACCGATCAAAAACTACCTGGCATTACTCAAACTTGATATATCATCTCTGAGTGGACAAAGACTTGAACGCTATACCGAAACTTAATACAGCGTTTTGGAAGCTACCTAGGAGCTCCTTAAAGCTTTAAAGCTGCTACTTTCTCAAAAGGGTAGAATTTTAAAATTTAACGCCCTAGTAATGGCGTTTAATTTGGTATTCAAAAGTTGTAGTTCTAGAACAGGAGGTATGACCACATGGCATGCTATATAATCTTCCACAAGAGGCATCGACTTGAATATACCAATCAACTATTGTACAGCAGTCACCCTAGATCCGGACATTGCAAAGAATAAGCTCGCTCAAGGTATACTTTCTGAATAACAGATTTGAGTAGAAGTCCATGACTAATAATATAAAACTAGCATGTATGAGAATGAGGAAGTCATAGATAGTCCGTTGTCTTTTACACTGCAAATGAGGTCAACTTGAAAATTTTTGTCTTGTGTGGGAAGGATAAGAGTTCAGCCATTGTCGGAACGGTGACGTTCTTACGGTGCATATGCAACTAGTATTCTCGATGGAATAGATCTAGGTGCGTCGATGCGAAGTTGTAAGAGGTGTGTTATTCAATCTTATCCTCGCTGTAACTAAATAGACAAAACTCGCTAGATTCACTTCATGTCGAACCAACAGCATCGGAGCCATTGGTCCTGTGCCCCACTTTGGTCTAGTGGTATCGACAGCCATAGATGTTCCAGATGTCCTTATCTGGGCAGTGTGTGAGATTTGGAAAGATACCAATCGTGGTCTTCCCCTCTAGATGACTTAAAGTAGCAAAAAAGAGTATGGAAAACTGCTCTTTGAAGTGATGATAGAATCTCATCGCTCCAGATTCTAGCGTTCCTTCAACCGGAATATCAGACCCTCGAACAACGATATTGACCTATATCTTATGTAACCACTCACTTGACACGATGGAGACACCCAATATGGGCTAGTCAACGAGGCTGAGTTGACTCAGTAGGTACTATTTTGATAAGTGGACCGCTACTGATTTTAAAATAACGACTCATGCACCATATGTGATCGAGATACGATGTCAACTAAATACTACTTAGGAGATTTATAGAAACAATATAGCTCTAATCTCTCCATTCATCAACCCGGAATATCCAATCACGGACAAGAGCTTCAAAAAGACCAGTCTCATCAATAGGAAGGCCATGCATACCACGATCTAGAACAACATAAGTTGATCGCGGATAGAGCTCTAGTAAACGAAGGCTATCTCGATAGCCCACACTCTCGTCTTGTCTCCCACAAACAATAAGGGTAGGTGCAAAAAACTTGGAATTTTCATCATATAGCAAAAAAGACAACTGATATCGAAGTGGATCTGCCCGGATCGGATCTAACACTTGACTATCTGATATTTCCTTCGCAGGAATGTAAACATCCTCGAATTTTGCCTTTAAAGCTTTAACATAAGCAGGAGTTTGAACGAGGAAGTTCCCAATTAGCGTCCTGTCCTCAGCTGATAGCTTCGACATGACCTGTTCGTTTGCGACCAAAGGTTTGAAAGGGTCGAGATCGCGCATGTCGTCTTTTGGCTCAATAAGCGGTACACGCAATAGTAAACCATCGACTTGCTCAATGTATTTTTGAGCTAGAGCACGTGCGAGGTAGCCACCACATGATGAGCCCACAAGGAGGAATCTCGAGCTCCCAAGTCTAGAATCAATGAATTGTACCAGGCGATGGTAGATATTGTTTAGATCCTTGACATTATTCGCAGGTGTTGTGCCCATTCCTGGGAGGTCCACGTAAATACGACAAAGACCGGATTTTTTGTTGAAGATCGGCTCGAAGTCTAGCGACTCAGCTTTTCCATCCATCTGCCATCCATGAATGATCAAAATGGGAAATCCTTCGCCTATTTCATGTGCAGATAAAATAGATTCCATTTTGATACTAGGTGGTGGTTTTGTGAATATATGAGGAGCAGGATCCAGAGCAGTTGAATCTGAGCCGATTCAATTTGCAGAATCATGCCATCTTATAGGGCTAAGGTGCTGATGCAATAGATCCAGCAGAAGGCAACAGTCTAGTTTGCCCTGCTTGTCTAGTTTGCTCAGTTTACTCTGTTTGCATGAATCCTTCTTATTGGAAAGTGTCAAATAGAACTGAATAGTGGATTCGTGCTAGCAAATAGGAACAGAGTAGTCAAATATGTGTGCGTGTGTGTTCAACTGAACAATGATCTGGTAATGCCAGCTACGGAATCTGACTAATAATGCACTAAACTAAATTTGGAATCGGTCCTTTGACAGAAAGTGTCAAGTGGGTTATTCCCTAAAACTCTTTCATTTCTCCAACACCAGGTTGAGCAATTTGGTCCAAGACTCAAATCTCTGACGTGGTAGGATGATACTAGGGTCTTGGTGAATCCGTCTGCTACCATCTCTGTAGTAGGCACCCATCTGATCTTAATTCGCCCTTCTTAGACCTTCTAGCGTAGCCAGCTGCGATGAATGTCCACATGGCGTAATTTAGTCTTAAATGCCCCTTCTTTGGTGAGCAGATCCACTATCCCCTGGTTATCGCAGTCCAGAGTAATCTTCCCATATTCCATTTCTAGTCCAATATGGACTAGAATTCTCTTAATAAGGCCTATTGATCCTGATTCGCGTCAGGGTAAAGAGCTTGCGCCTGATATTAGTGGTAAATCACAGCAGGGTATGCTCTTGGTTAGTTTTGTTGCCTTTCACTTGAGCTTCTTATCGTGGCAAGATAGCAGTATCAAGTTAGTTACTAAATCTATGAATGAAGAGCAAGTGACAGAATTCATAAGAAAGGCCTGAACACCTCTAGAAAAATCCGAGTTAGATGGGTAAGAAAAATTCTTGAAAGCAATGTTCTGAACGAGATTGATAAAGCGCAGTTCAAACTTAGCGGAGTATATGGCAGGTGGCTAATGCCGATTTTGTCACCTGATGACTACTCTGCCTCCCTTCCGACACCTCCTGTTTTGCCCATCTTTCCTGGAGCGCAAGAGCTCGGGGAAAACCAATCCGAATAAGCATAATAGGGGTGGGGATATCATGACTCTTTCTTGGAATGCTTTTGGTGGAGCTGTAGATTCTTAGTATCAGTTACGATATACTTGAATCAAAAAAGAGCAGGCAAGATTTATTCAGTTCCTAGCAAAGATCATTATTATGTAGGGGCTATGAGATTTTCCAAGGTCGGCGTATCATCCGTGAATTTCCCGAGAAAATATTGTCATACCATCTGTAGTCTTGAAACCCATCTGACATCTATTTGTATCCAGATCCCTTCAATGAACAAGTACGACAAAACCCCACGCGTATCAGTTCTATGTTAGCGGCAACTCATGCCACTACAGAATGTTTGAACTCTTTAAAACATGCGAAGTGGATCTTGTTCCATACAAATACGAAGGAGATATGTGCCCTAAATCCTTCAATGGGATATTTCGGCTTCCAGTGCAGCAAAACCGATCTGATAATGATCATTTTCAGATGAGCGTGTCAAATGGTGGTATGGTCCCGGACAGGTAAGTCTCAAATTACCGTCCAGGGCTTAAGAGGTTCCATGGGTTCCATGAGTGCAAACGTTGACTGTTATTGAAGGAGCCGAAAACATGTTGAACGGTACCTTTTCCCCTTTTATATACAAATTGACGGAAAAGTTCCACAAAGGCTTCATCGAATTGATGAAATATGATCATATGACAACAAGAGATTACCCTCGAGAGAAAATTTTAATTCACTCCTGATAAACAGTTTTTCATTTTACTTATCATGTTGGAGCTATAGGGGATTTCTATTCCATTTGGTACATAGAAACTGTTTTAGGGTGTGGAACTTATTTCTACTAAAAACTGCCAATGCTGAATCTTTCATGAAACCAGTGCTTCAGGTTTATATGGCCAGTCCTTGTCCGAAGCTGTACTCAACGCTATGGATTTTGGCTATCCTATAATATCCGGAGAGGCTGTCAAGTGGTTTCGCATTGCTAGAGGAACATCTCAGGTCATCGAGAAGATGGAACAAAGGCTATCTAGCAAGCCTTGACTTGGTGCACGAGTCGCCTATATTGCATACGATCCAGAAACCAACAATCACCAATGCACGTGCAGGTAGAGGGTGTGAGGCTAGAAACTACTCAGCCGTTTTCAATACCACCAGTTTGCCATGTCTTCGACGTACGGCTCTAGAACCGAAACATTGCACCCAGTTCAGCAGGCTGCCATTCAGGCCATTCATTATGATGCATCAACGAAGATTACCATCAAGTTTAAGTCAAATTGGTGGACAAGATTATGCAGTATCAAAGGTGGCCAAGCTGCAACCGACCTTCCCATTCGAGTTTGCGTTTACCTCTCCCCAGAGTTCGGAACAGAAAACGTGCCCACAGTACTTCTATGCTCATACACTTGGGGGCAAGAAGCACAAAAAATGGCATCTCTTGTCAATCGGGACACCTCAAGCAAGGAACTTGAGCAACTACTACGTCACAATCTTGCACTTCTGCATCACAGCTACATCGATCGGTCTTCCGGTAAACCATATATGTTCGAAGGGATGTTGAGAATTATCCAAGACAAATATGATGGGTTCCACGCGTATGATTGGTGCGGCGATTCATCTGTCTCGGGGGCTTTCGCATATTTTGGGCCTGAACAATTTCGCCACTTTTACCCCAAGCTTGTCAGGCCCGCTGGGAATGGTCATATGTTCTTGATTGGCGAGGCTTGCTTTGCTAATCATGCATGGGTATCGGGTTCTCTTGACAGTTCCTATAGAGTATTATTACAGCTCTTATACAAACTGATCGCGCAAGGACTGGTCTCCCCGCATGTGCTATCGGAATTAAAAGTACCTTGGGGACAGCCGGATGAGATCCCGGAGGAGGTATTGGAATGGCAGATGTATCTGACTTTGGTGACTTCCAGATGATCCGAGAGATCTACCTGCATCAAAATGCATATTTATGTGGGAGGAGAGGAGTATTCGAAAATCGACCTGGAAATGCTGGAATCAAATAAGAACACGATAGCCCCCTCCCTTCATCCGTAGGTCGTTTGAATTATCCAGCAATGAAATGTGTCACGTACCTCTGTACTCCATATTTCCGTCAAAATAGTGGATGTGTTTCTGTATTGGATTCATTTTGCCCTCATTTGAAATATCAGTTTTGTATGCATTTACAATCAGTTCACTACATTTTTCTTTAGTCAGCAATAGTCATTCAGGCGCATCCGTATCTAGATTCCATTCCTATTCATTCTATTATCTTAATACCGATAATCATAAAATGTAGTTATCACTACGTCGTACATTGTAACATGAGAAAATGGGGCAACCGGAAAACCAAGCGTCAATTGCCGAACAAAACAAGCTACGAAGGCTCTTACCAAAACGGCCATGGAGACTCTTGAATTGGTTGCAGATCATTCGCTCAGGCTATCAATACCGGTGGATGGTTTCTGAAGCATCCTTCCCTTCAGATTTATCACGGTATTTCTTGAAAATGATTTCACTATGCCTACTACATCTTATGTAAAATGTACTCATTTTGGGCCGCACCTGCAGTTGATAGATCACTTCCAGTGCTCTTTGCCCAACTCACGTCAGCTCTTAGATTTTACCGTATCCGAATTCAGCTTCTATTTTCTAGAGTTGATGAGGTCTATTTCTGGAATATCCACTAGGGTATTCGATGTGTCTGATCCGAATTCGGTATCAATCTATCAGAGGACCAATTTTCGACCGGGTCTACAGCTGAAGACATTTCCATGATACCAACGTCGTATCAAGAAAAGTTTTACATATCAGAAAAAAAGAAAATTTTTCATTGAGGACCCTTCAGAATTGATATTGGCCAAAGCGATCTGCCGATCAATTTGCCATGCATACTTTGTAGATGGTTCATGTACTTTGGCCCCTAGCGTCATGAGGGCCGCATTGATTTTAAGAAGGGGTTTTACGTAGTAAAAATTTGAGGAGAGATATGCCTCAACTCTTACTTTGCCGAGGATCCCCTTTTCAGGTTTCAAAGGTTTAATTATTCCTGTCTTCCCCAAAGCTGCAATTTCTTTCCTAAGCACGTACACTCTTTCCGGCCTCCACTACACGTGCTCGACAGAGCTATCTCACACTCATTTGTTTAGATTTTTTTTACTGTTGATCCAAAATGGCCACTGAACAGTCTCCACTATTGAAGGAGGAACATCCTAAGCACGTTACGCCCGCAGTTGAAGAAAAGAATATAAATTGGGCATTCTTCTGGATAACACAGATTGGTGAGATTGTCCTATTGATTGGAATCATACATAAAGCTAAACAAATAAGGCGTTTTTGTTGCCATGATGGATAATTCTTTTGTCATGTCAGCGCATGAACAGATAGCCTCCACCTTCAACCACCTATCTGCGGCCTCTTGGCTTATTACATCATAGTCAGTTCCATTTTCTACTGTACATCTCCCTTCCGAAGTTTAATCGGAAGTATAATAGTACTTTGGGCTTTGCTACAGCCCTTCCTATCGTGAGTTCTGAGCTTTTTTAGTTATCAAAGCTTGTCCAAACTTCAGCTGACTGATGTGCTTGATTTCCTTATAGTATGGACGACTCAGTGATATCTACGGATGCAAGAAGATTCTTCTTTGCGCTTACCTGATCTTTGCCATAGGTTGTGCCATCACGTATGTTTATACCCAAGTACCTTAGGGCATAGATGAATCATGAACTAACTCAAATCTTATAGAGGCACGGCATCATCAATTTGGATGGTAATCGCGGGAAGGCTCATTACTGGATTTGGTGGTGCCGGAGTTATAGATCTTGTATCTCTTCTCGTTATCGGTATAAATATCGTTTGTCTGGCTAAATTGAGGGTTCTTCTTTACTAAATCATTATAGATATGGCTCCGATGAAAGATGTAGCGGTACTGAGAAGTTATATTGGCATGACAACCACTATTGCAATTATCTCTGGTGCTCCTATTGGTGGCTTTCTCATTGACTTGATAGGCTGGAGATGGTATGTTCAAACAGCCTCAAACTCTCTATATTTTCCGTTTGATATGATATATCTTACTAACACAGCCTCTGTTGAAGGTCTTTCATGTTTCAAATTCCGCTTATACTTATCTGCTTTGCGACGGCAATATGGAGATTCCGAAGAGAGCTCCGAAAGATAAACAATCCTGACGACGTTGAGCCTCCTAGCTCTTCTCATCGAAACCTCGATTTATTTGGGATTTTCACGTTAGCAGTTGCGATCACCGGCTTCATGCTTTTCTGTGATTCTTCTAGCAAGTATTCATTCTGGGGATCTCTGAAGATGTTCATCCTTCTAGGAATTACTTTGATCAGCGGCACCATCTTTGCTATAAATGAAAACTACTGGGCGACGGATCCGGTCATGCCATTTTGGCTTTTAAAATCAAATGGTATCGGCATAGCATCTCTGGGGCAAGCTTTGGTTATGGTGAGAATTCCTGCATTGAAATTTCACCAAATCTAAGCTCACTGAGATAAAATAGGTTCCGCAATTTGGAGTAAATGATTGCTTTCCTATTTTATATGGGGTTTCGCTAATCTTTCCTAGCTCATCTCTACTACTGCCGAGTTTTTGATCCGCACTGAAAATGCTTCCAACAAATTTGTTGGCATAAACCTACTTCCTGTTGCAGTCGGCTGCACTGTCGGGGCAATCTCATCTGGAAGGATCATTAAACGGTACTTCCTGCCCTATCAATCTATCAAGATTGTTTTCCATGTTGACTAACATTCACTTCTCAATGAAGTACCGGAAGATACAAGGTCTTGTCTTTAGTTTCCCTAGGAGTTGCTGCTGCTAGCTACCTTATTATTCTACTCCGATGGCCCCGTATCAGCAGCCATTGGGAGATGATATATCCCTTCATTGCTGGTATCGGTATAGGTGGTCTCTTGTCGACTCAATTTGTAGCACTCACAATATCAACTCCACCAAAGATGTCGGCAACTGCTATCACAATCTATAACCTTTCACAACAGGTCGGTAACATGTTCGGAGTCACTTTGACCGCCACTGTCTCTCGCAGTCTATTCGAGAGAGATCTTGGGCACAAGTTCGGCAACTATCCAGATGCTATCGAAGTCAGTAACGTTGATTCTATTCTACTAAAATTGAAGATTTTCTGATCAAATGCTAGATTATTTCTCGAGTATTGCAGGATGTTCGATTCGCTAGCACGCTGCCTCAAAATCTTTGGGAAATTGTGCGCTCTTCATTTCTACAGGCATTTACAGGCGTTGCAGGTAAATTGAAGCCCCATTTCCAAGGACTTGTTTCTAAAGATGAAACTGACCAGTTGAACTGTAGCTATATGGTTATGCTTCATTGTCCTGCCCCTGCCCTTGATCTGTCTTCTTCAGGAGCATCGCCTTGTATGAGCAAATTGCGAATATTTTGTGAAGAATGGACCGAGTTACGTGCCAGCAGATTCACTTCATTTTGTCCTTTGCCATTGTACCTAGGTAGGTACTTGACTTCCTCCCTCACAGTCCTTTGAGAATTTTCTTTTTAATATTTGTTCTACGCACAATATGACGTACTTCAAGGTTGATAATTTAACTTGTTAATCAATATTCATCTCCTTCGATGACGCAAATAGTAGTTAGTAATAGCTTAGTATAAATTCATCTAGGCTGGATGTTCATACCTGAAGCTTGGCCAATTTAGCCACTAACTCACAATTCTCCAGAAGAGTGACCTCTAATTTCTTTTCGACTTCATCCAGCATTTCACCTTGTCGGCGAAGTTTTTCCTCGCTGCAGAGCAATGCTCTTCGTGAAAAGTCGGCTGTGACAACAAGCTCACTATATCGGAAACGAGCAGCCTCTAATTCCAGTTCAGCTTGTCTGAGTATCTTTCCTTGTCGGTGAAGCATTTCTTTGCTGCTCTGTTGTGACCTTCGTGATGGTTCAGCTTCGCCACTGGGATCTTGGACACTTTTTGCCGTCCTAAAGTCTTGAAATCTTCGTAGGAGATTAAATCCTGAAGCCGGAAGATTCGCCTGAAGCTCAACAATCGGATCTTCTTATTTTAGCAAGCCAAGATAGTGGAAGAACATGACTCCTTACCATCGGGGACTGAGGCTGGCATCGTTAATAGGGTTTCGGTTGACTGCGACTGTAAATGGCTTTTGTTTGGGTTTGAATCCATTTGGAAGTTGCTCGATAGGATACAGAGTGATTGTAGGTCATAGAATTATTTGTTGATAAAGTCGGAGATTTCATTGACAAATGTAAGAGAAGAAGACTACGAGGACTCATGATCCAACTATTCATATGATTAAGTAATACTGAAACAATAGTTAAGCCAAATGAAGTGAATTCAGACCTTGATACAATTTTTATTCAATTTTCCTGCTCTTTTCTTCCACATCCTTCGCATTATCAAATCCTATTTCGAGGGTGGATCTGAATAAATCGTTCTGTCATCTCCAACAGCACTTTTGCATCCTCTCTTCTGTCGATCCCATTTATTAACAACTTCTGCAACCAAACCTTCCACAAGTTCTACAGTGAATTTTCACGAGAACATCATAGCATCAAAAGCGCCACCCAATCCTGTCATTGGCATCGACTTCTAAGTAACATACAGTGGCTAAATTTGTTCCAATCAACCATTCTTGAGTGAGGAAAAAATGGCAGATCCCATACCATTTATAGCTGAAGCTGTATTTTTGTAAGACATATTAAGATCCAGAAGCATAAAAGTAATTCTTCAAGTGTCGATCGTTCTTAACAAAAATCAGCCTTGGAACCTTCTGTTCAGCTCTACCCCTAGGTCTATGCCAGGTCTCAGGTAACTATGATTAACCCTCATATTATGTTATATAACTTAACTGAACAGTTACTCATAATAAATGGAGTGAAAGTAATAAAGATTTGGTATAGATGATATCTACGTTGCAACTTGGTTGCCGGACTATTATGAACTAACTACTGTGTAGTAATACTTGGTAGCTACCTGGGGACCACGTACACTTTCTTAACGCACAATACTGTTTATATAATCCATGCCTGCCACACGATCAGTATCTGGCTCCACATAGCCTTCATCCCGTGGAAGGCGGAAGACGAAGTTAGTAGCGTTGGATGTATAACGAGGCCATTGCGGAATATTGGGAACTAAGAGAAACAATGTGAGCGCAAAGCGTTAATAGAAAAGCCAAGATTAAACCAACTTCCGTGTCCATTAGGATCCAAGTCTGTCGCAAATGAAGTCCACATACGAGCAGCCATGTGTCCCAGTTCCAATCGACGGGGATCACTCGCAGATGCCAACGATGTGAAATTTTGCACTGGATTGGAAAAAACGAATGGGATCTTTGTTATTCGGCTTTGAATCAGTACGAAGATCACAGAGTTCGCCGATCAGGGCTTGGAACCTTGGCAATGGACGTACCTCGGCAAAATGTCCCACTCCAATTTTTGTTGACTCATTGAAGGCCGCTACGTCCCATCGATATGAGTATATGTTGTTCACAAATCTTGACATTGACTGTGCAAGCAGTCGACGAGGTGCTGCCATCGTCAAATCACCAGCAATTGACGTATAGCGCTTGTACTGCAGCCCCAAACTAGGCCAGGTTACATTCCCCCATCCATATGGAGACCCAGACGCCGCAATATTTGGATAAAGGGGAAGTATTTTCTCCGCCTCTTCGCGACTGATAACCCAACGTTTGGATGCTGAGACCCTTTGTTAGCGAGTTATCCTACCTAGATATCAGCTTTTATAGAAAGCATTGAACATAAACATACATATCAATTGTTCAATACACTGTTCGTCTGTATCGGTGCCAGTTGTGCCAAAGCTCGTGCCTTCATCAGTATTGCTTCCTAGAAGAAGGGGGACTTTGGCAAAATTTCCCTCTTGGTAGCTAATCTGTGGGTACTCGGCAATGAAGCTATTATCAACGGTGGCGAACCACTCGAGATTTTCATATGCGTTGTTGTAGAAAGTCTCGTATGGAAGCTCACGGAGACAAACCAGGGTGTTTGTTGTATTCTCGCACCTGGTACATCATCAGCTTATAGAAAGATATTTGACAACTTATTAGAATCATACCCTGTGCGCTCAACAATGCGGTCATACATCGGCTGATGCCATTCAGTGCCATTATAAGGTGGGCCAACAGCATTTCCAGATTCCATGATTGCTATTCGTAGCTCGTCAGACTTTATTGAATATGACTAGGGGCTTGAAACACCTACCTGCCCTGAAAAGACCCTCATTATCACCTCCATTAATGACCAGGTGAATACCAACGCTATAAGCACCTCTTTTGCAAAATTTAGTTTTATTTTGTTGCCAAGAGAGAAGACATTTCCACTTACGCAGATTCTCCCCAAATGGTTATTTTGTCAGGGTCGCCACCGAATGCCTTGATATTCTGCTTGACCCAATGCAAGGCGGTGCGTTGGTCTCGAAGCCCCTGGTTTGTATTCCCTTCAGCCTGTAAAGTTTATTAGATTGAGCCAAACCAAATGTTTCTTTGACATAAGATTGATATTCACTCTGACTTCTTTCGAGTCCAGGAACCCGAATGTTGACAGCCGATAGTTGATAGAAACACCTATCACCGGCTTGTCATTTATGACACTTTGTTGTACCACATAGCTCAAGTTGTATCTAATGACAATGTCTCATTAGATCCAAGCATCCTTCCAATACACGAAATGCATACCTTGGATCTGCAGTATCACCCGATTGCCATCCACCCCCATAGATCCATAGCAGAACTGGCAATAAAGCTTGACCATCGGTCTTTGGCCGGATAATATTCAGATTCAGGCAATCCTCGCCCAGGCGGATAAGACCCTGGTTGAGTAGGTTGGTGATATCAGATCCATATCCAGGACAGTCATAGCCGTAAGAAGTGGCATTATAATAGACCAAATTGGGATTTGGGTCAATTTTCGCCGAGGAAAGATTGTAAGTACCAGAGTCGCTATCATTTGATCCATATGATGTCTTGAGCTCGGCTGCCGTGAAGCGCGCAGGCTCATTTGCATACTTGATGCCCAAGAAGGCATATTGATCAAACTCAGGGATTGTTCGTCCTACAAATATGGTACTTGTATCTTTCTTGCTGCTTGATAGTGTGACTGTGGGTGATTGGTTGATTTCTTGCCGCCTTGTTAGAGGATTGGCCCATACTACCGAGGCTGAAAGCAGCCACAAAACTAGAAGCATGTTGTCAATGTGATCAAATGATATGTGCAGTTTCGAAACTTTTCAATAACAAGAAGGGGAAAATGATGATTATGGAGCAGGCAACTTTCAAGATTTTACCGGTCCATCAGGAGGTGAATTTCGTTCATAGGTGGGAAATATAACATATGTAATACGGGAATCAGGCCGAATGTAGCATAATCTTCGAATGGAGGGATCCTTCAGAGGCCTTGGCAAGACGGAAAAATAGAAAACGTCAGTTATGAACATGATTTCATAGCGTTTAAATTTCATGGAGTTTGAATCATTGTATTGATAGAAAGAATCGAGTACTTGTCCAGGGTCTTTTCATCAAACAGGTCGCGTGAAAGGTTCAGTGACTCTTTCTATACCAATTGAGATGTGGATATGCCATACACAACTACTGGAATTTTGCAAAGACGGGAGTTCCTTGGCATGAGGGGTTGCCACGTATCCAGACTAGGATAGCTTCATTATATCGTCATTATCATGTTTTACATCGAACTCGAGAGAGAACGTAGCTGTGTCCCAGAACCATCAAGCTATTGATCATTTCCTGCCTCTAAGAAACTTTGCAACTTCTTCATGCCGTGATACGAAGAACATGCGTTTTCTGTCTGATTTCCAAACTAAGACACCGATGTCTTCGGCATACTGGCATGGAGCCTGGTATTCGACTAGAGTGGCAAAGTCCTTGAAAAGGAAGCCAGCAGTAGCTCTGAGACGATCTCGTTCAAGCTGCCAAAGTCGGATCTGATCCGTCACGGTAGGAGGAAGAATAGATGGTGGAACACCGGCTGATGTGGACGCATTGTGTTTGCGGAGCTGGGGGTGTGCATGCGTCAACAAGTACGAGATGATCTGGTCGGCTGTGATGCCCATCTCAATAGCTCGCCGCACTGATTGTCTGGTGACTTTACCAGTGACAAGGTTTGGAAAGCGGTATTTCAGGTTTGTGAAAAGGGATATGAGTGAAATCTGTAGAGGGGATGAGGTATAGGCGTAGAGGCGGTAGTTGGTTTCGATCACGATGAACCCTGAGCTGGCGCTATTACCAGATGGACCGACAGGTCCAGTTAGTGAGCCGGAGGCAGGGGCGCTCAGTGCACTTGAATCGGAGGTCAGAGTTGTCGCAAGTCGTGTTGGGTAGAAGCGCGTTGCCTCTGGTGATTCTTGGTAAACAATACCAAAGTCGGCCAAGTCAGTCAGAGTGCGGAGTTGAATCGAATTTAATCCACTCTTCTCGTAGCATTCTCCCAACTCCAGACTGCTCAGCAGAAACAGGAACGATAGCACCTCGACACTGTCCATTCCGATGGCATGGGCGCTTTCGACGTAAAGAATCAAGATGTGCCAGACTTGGGTATTGACGTCTTGAAGAACAAATCCAAAGCCATCCTTTGTGATATCCACGCGGTTGCCCCGGATTTCAACGAGGTGACCAGCTTGCAGAAGTTGTTTCACACCTTTGCTCAGAGTGATATCACGCGATCCACTTAGCGCACTTGTTCCCACCATATATCCCAAGACACATTCCCATTGTCGTCGCGCATATTCGTCCAAATAAGGTATTGAGACTGCATGGTTGTCTGGGGCTTGGGAGAAGACGCCGAAGGATTGAGACTGTTCAGAGCCCATGAGAGCTTGTCGGAGGGAGGACGCGAAGGGATTAGTGACCATATATGCCCGGACGTTTTTTCCCGTCAAAGTAGTTGAAAGAATATGGAGCCTTCCCAGAATCGAAAGTGCATTATCCCTTTCCCTTTCAAGTTCAATTCACATGGTCAGTTGTATGAGCTTTGTAGATCGTCTTCATATGGAAGATGCTCACTTTTTGCTTTCGGACTTGACCCAGATTTCGAGATCAGCGGTTGGAAGAGGATCCTTGAGATATAAAAGAGCCATGACAAAACATTTTGCTATTCTTTCAGTTAGTCCGGCGATGCGCCTGAAAAGTAGAGAGCTTGAGCTAACCTAGATCAGGTAACATGCGCCGAAAAATGGCGAGGGCGGTCGATGGCTGTTGATAAAGCTTGAAGAATGTGGTGCCAGGTAGGCTCTCCAGGTACTCAAGAGGTCGAGACGTAGCTGCCGCCATATTGGTGACCTAAGAGACCTGGTGCCTCCGTCGATATTCCAAAGAAATGAGCGTGGTGAGGTCACTCGGATTACGGTGGGCGTAGCGGCCATATGGCGCAGTTTTCGGGATTGCCCCTTGACTCCGTACTGGAAGTGTCTTCGATCTTTCACTTTCTCACCTCAAATTTTCAATATGACAACTCTGAGATTTGTTAGATCTGTGAGTTTTCTCCGATGCTGGAGTCAATCTCAGTTTCACTCCAGTTGCTGCTGATCCTAACCTCTATTCAGGTCTGGGAGTCCTTTCGGGCTACTTCGGGCCTAGAGCCTCGGTAAGTGATAGTTACATATGGTCGTCTTTAGCACCTTTTATGTCACTAACGATGATACTTGATCCTTTTTTACAGACTGTTGGACGGTGTAAGTTCGAAGCGATTATCCATTTTTACTTCAGCCTCAGAAGTATAAAATGAAAGCTCATTGACGTATCTAGCTTCGAGTGACTGCTGCTAGACCCGGAACTGTCAACTTTGAATTAGACATTCAAAAGGAGCACACCGTAAGTTATCGAAGAATATCCCCGATACTCAGCTTTTTACAAAGCAATTGCATTGATATACTCACCTACTTCCGTAAATTTATGTGTATGTATGACTGACTGTATATAGAACCGCCTGAACATTCTCCACGGAGGCACCATTGCCAGTATGGGTATGTCCATCTGCTCAGATTTCTCTCATATTTTATCTCTGGCTAATGACTACTTCAGTGGACCTCGGTGGCTCTTTAGCTGTAGCGTCTCGAGGCCTGTTTGCAACAGGTGTTTCCACAGACCTCAACGGTATATAAATCTCAAGATGGCTCAATCGACGTTGTGATTCCATATCAGCGAGCTAACTTGTTCTACTCATATGCTAGTAACATACTTGAACTCCGGAGGTAAAATCGGCGACAAGATCATGGCGGTGTGTTAACTAATCTCTATTTTGAAAATGCTTATATGCTAATCTATATCCAGGAGGTGCAATGCGATAAGTGTATGCTGGGATACAATTCAAACTATTGAATATTCAACTAATATATATCAAACAGTCGGAAAGACTCTTGCCTTTACCAACATCAAGTTCACCAATGCTAAAGGCGATGTTGTCGCCAGAGGAAGTCACACCAAGTACGTTTATTCTACATTTTCCTTCAGGTATCTACCTGGTCATTGCTGATATCTTGTAGGTATGTGACTTTGGCTTGGAGAGATCCGCAGAATATAGTGGATGAAATCAACAAGCTTGAGGGCAAATAGTCGGGAGAGTAAAATACTACGTATCAGGAAATCCAAATATCATTCGTGTGGGGTGCTTCTACCCTGATTTTGAATCTCCCTTCATAAAAAACTTGTTCATACAATATCTTCTTCAGCACCCTCCATCACCTCATCGTCATCGATGCCACTATCCTCACCATTTGGTGCCGCATTGTCAAGAACCATTGCTCCATCTCCCATAGACTTCACCTTGGCTTCGGTCATTTCAAACACATACTGACCGAGATGCTCCAATCCCTCCATAGGTGTACCCTCAAAATCAGCGTCCAGCGCTCGTGTGGTTGGGAATATTTCACCCGGTGCAAGCATCAGCTTATCTGGACGCTGCAGGAGAAGGCCAAAGGCTGGCTGCAGTTCGTAGCAGGATTCAAATACCTCTCGGCGACCGAGAATGTACAGTCCAAGACGAGCGCGGGAGAGGGCAACAGTCAGACGGCGAACATCTCGCAGGTAGCCTACGGAGCGAGTGCGAGTCAAGGAAAGGATAACGTCTAAATATAGTTAGTATGGCTGGTTAATATGAAAGAGATATAAGATGAATAGGAGAACTTACAGTCATTCTGCTCTCCTTGATATCTATCGACAGTGGTGACAATTTTGGGCATTCCAAACAGAGCGTTCTTGCCACATCGGTGGCCCAAGACATCCCGAATCAAAGCCGTTTGCCCCGCATAGGTGGAAAGGATTGTGATCTTAGAAGCTGGATAGCCCAGTAGTCGCATGTACTGATACAATGCCACGGCATATTCAGCTTCTCCCAAATTCTGGATAAAGTGAGGCGTGGGCTCTCGCTCGCCAACTTCCTGGTAGTCAGGGACATTGATGAACTGATAATCATATTGGAAACCGGCATTGGCTTGCTTAAAGTTGGCCGCATTGACAGACGGCAAGTCTCCCAGCTCTTTGTACCGCCACCGGAAAAGGTCTGCAATGCTTGGCCTGGATCTGCCTTGCTTATCAAGAGTGATGAAAGGCACACCCAACCGTGCCATGCGTAGGAAGAGACTCTGTTCGAGGTGCGCATATTGGCGGAAAGCGAGGTTTTGGATGATGGGAGAGTTCTGGAAATGATCGCCGCAGAGAACGAGGCGTTTGAGAGGAAGTTCGTTATTCTTCATTTTTTGAAGAGCGGTCGGGATAAAGCTTTCAATTTCAGTGATCTGCGCTGCTTCTTCCACGACTACATTATCGTAATGGAAGCCCAAATCTGCGATTTCTCGTTGACGCATCGCTGCGTGGGTCGAAGTCATTGCAATTACTCGGGCCTCCTTTATGAGGAGATAATTGGCCTTGTCACGCGGGCTTCGTAGGATTTCAAAGGGTCGGATATCTTCTAGCTCGGAAAAGATTCGATCAATGTGTCTTTGGCAACCTGCAGCGACGTCCAGCACCGCCTCCTTTGAAGCTTTGACATCGAATAAAGGCTGCGGGGCGTTGGAGAAGAATAAGGGGAATGGGAATGCGGCGATTATATCCTCGGTCGAGGTTTTTTCGGAGTTGGCGCGGTCCCAAAATTTGGCCCATGAGGGCTGAACATACACTGTGTTGAAATAGCCAGCGGTCTCGCAGGAGTTTCCATGAGCACCTTCGGCTCTTATTGACGCTGCCAACCGCATGACTTCAGACAGGTAGCTGTTACGGTTGTCAAGGAAAGATTCGACTCGGCCATACTTGCTGTAGTTTGAGTCGCTCTCCAGTTCATCCTCGCCGCGGCCCAATCGCAAAAGGTGACGTTCGTCGATATCGAGAGCAATAATCTTTTGGAAAATTTGGTTAAGGGCCTGGTTGCTGTGTGCGATGATCACGGTGCGCTCGGTGGGGAAGTTATGATAGATGTTGTTGATAATTTGTGTCGCAACATCCGTCTTTCCAGTTCCAGGTGGACCCACAATAACAGTGAGTCCTGGCTGAGTACCAGATGCAATTGCTTCCACTTGGGTAGGAGTAAAACACACTGTGTTGTATTTGCGTGCGTCAACGGGATAAGGACCAGGGTTAGGCGGCTTGTAGCTCGAGACGCGTAAGGTGCTAGGAGTCTTCTCTGATTTCTCCTCTCGTCGACGCTTTTTCTGGGAAGCTGCAGGAGCCTCACTTGGGCCGTTTTCAACAGTCTCAAGCACATACGGAGGGCCAAAACTTGATGTCTCAGATCCGGAAGGCTCGATATTCTTCCCGGGGAAGCTTTCCACCATGTGAGTCCAGTCCAAAAAGGTATCCCGGAAGTCAACAGAGGCAAGGCGATTGGGTAGTTGGGTGTATTGGGCACCTGCTGGGTCGCCGTACCCTAGGAATATGTCCTGAAGCCAGGATGGGAGTACTATATCCGAAACGATGAGTTTCTGAATAGTCTCCAGAATTGACTTGAAGTTGTTCTCTCTTCCCTTTCTCCGCGCAACAATGTTGATGAGAGGGTAGACCTCTGGTTTTCCTAGCGCTTGCTGATTCACGTCTGCCTTGTAAGCTGCAGCATCCAAGTTAACAAGAAGTTTCAGAACCCGTGGACGAGGGTGGTATCCATTCGATTGACCAGGAGCGGACTGCCGCAGCGAGCGCCCTTTTTCATCAAGCACTTGCACTATCTCGGCCGTTCGAAGATGGGTCATGCGGGGCCCATCTGATGTGTCGTTATCAAGATCACCTAGCTGCGCTGGAGAAACAGACTCCACAGCCATCAGGTATACAACATCGTCGGGACGCAGTGCTTCCCATTCCTTTCGGATATGATCTGCGAGGCGTCCTACTTCGATGGAAATCTCTGCACGGACAAATGCAGGATTCATAGAACCAACCTTTGCAGGTGCGACTTCGATTATTGCAGGCTTAGAAATGGGAATTGCCATTCGCGAAAAGCCCTCGAACTTCAAGCTTCCGTCGCGGGCTACCCGCGGCTGCATACGCTTGATGACCGCCTCCATATCTTTGCGAATTTGGAAGAAAGCCTCGGATCGATACAGCTGGAAAGAGCGCCAAAGGAAATCTCCAACACTCAGGTACTGCAAGTTCAGTTTCGGGATAGCTAGAGGCCTTGATCCATCGTATGTCTCACTTCTTAAAAGAGCTGGTTCATAGAGGCTGGCTTCGGTGGGGACAATGCTCAGTTGAGCCGTAACGTCTTGGAAAGTTTGCTTGCGCTCGTAGAATGACAAAAGAACTTCAAGATATAGTCGGCGGTCTGGGTTGATGCTTGCTGATTTAGGGTAACTTGTTCGGAATCCGAGGCTGGAGCACAGGCTCTGAAGTTCCGACTCGTCCAACGAGGATAGCTGTCCTTCTAGTTCCGACCGCTTTTCAATCAAGCCAAGATTAGAGAGCGCTAGAATCATGAGCTTATCTTTAAAACCCTTCATTGAGACTCTCTGTAGCCGCGCTAGTTCCTGATTGTGCAGATCATAGACCGCCTGCGGAGAGAGAGCTTCTCCTGAATAATCATCGATGGAAAAGTAGACGAAGTGCTTTAAAAGCCTGTGGAGATCGTGAAACAAAGCATTTTCTGGCGCATTAAACAATTTCGAGAGGCGTATGATCGGTATGACATTGAGATCTTTCAACAGCGTATTGACATAACGTCTGGTAGGAAGTTGGCTCAAGAGATCAATCAGCAGCTCCAAGAACCGTTCGCAATACAAGAGATTTGCAGACTGCTCTTTATCTGCGCTGTTCAATTTCTGCAGGAAGTCTAGTAGCATAGCGTATAGCCAAGCCCGTTCAAATCGAATCTTTGCTTTCGCGGTGTCATCTCCTGCATCGTGTCTCTTCGTCGCAGCCCGCCATGCCTTCTTAAGAATAGGCGATTTTGCAACGACATGTTCTCTGGCCTCTTCGCTGGCTAGGTTTTGCCAGATTGTGATGGAAACGAGCGGGGCACATTCCTTTCGGATCAGGGTGTTCTCAAGCGATTGAAAAGCAGCGATGACAAACGATATGATGGACATGCGCGAGTGAGTTGGCAGAGTAGAATCGATGCTCATAGAAAGAATTCGATGGAAAAGGCCCGAGAAATCCTCTCCGCGATCAGAGAATATGTCTGGTTTAAGCATCAGTAACGAACTTGAATTTGTAAACCCTTTCTTGGTCTCACCCCATATTGGAACATGTTCGCGGTATTTGACACTGACGATTACAGCGATTAGAAGAACGTGATGGTTCGAAGCGTCCTCGGTGTAGGTCGGCCAAAGGAACCTGCAAAGTAATCGTGTTAGCCCTGCGGGGGTAGTGAGAATCACCAATGCGGCATCGTACTTCTCCAGGATGTTGAGGTTCTCCAGTGTCAAAAGTGAGCTAGTGTTGAAGCCCGCTGCCTCTAGAGGATCCCATAATTCTTGTTTCACAACATTGGGTTTGACCTTGCCGACTTTCTTATCCAGCCAGTGGGTCTTAGCCACCTTTACCCACGGACTGTCATCGCGAAAATCCTCGACTGTTGGTCGGGATTCCAGACTCTGCGCCATTGCAGCACTCGATTGTCCCTAATCCTGGCAGGTTTGGGGTGGTCGAGAGTGTGAAGTGGGTTGGCGCGCGTGGGGAACGTTAGAGGGTGAAGCTGGGGGAGCTTTTTCAAAGTCTTGGCTTTCTCTCTCCGCCGAGCCGCAACACTACCTCCGTCACTTCCAGTTCTCTCTTTACTTTTTTTTTTCTTTTTGTCGCGTTCGTTTCCCATTTAAAATTTTTCACTGTCTTGACAAAGATGGCTTCTATCGAAGTTGAGACAGTGCGAGTCTACAAGGGGCTGGTTGACAGCCTCTTGGACCGCGCGACACAGGTCAAATCTGGCAACGAAATAGAGCCCCCATTGACAGAGTCGCTTCTGGGTGAAGCCATCTGGAAATTCCCTGACGATCAGGATAAAATCGTACAGCAGCTTACACCCCTTACGCGATTCGCTGCTGTCGAAATAGCCTTTCGTGAAAGATTCTATCGCATCTTGGTATGGAGCTCGCACAACTCACAAGTTCCGATGAGAAGGGCTGCTGACCGTCGACGTTTACATTTGTTTTAGGCCTCCACCTCAATTAATGACCCCTCCTTCATTCATATCTGGAACCTCCTCGATATTGTCTCCTTATTCTCGGACAAAGGTCAGTCTCCTGGCATCTTCACCAAAGTCCACAGCGGCACCCTTGCTAACACCCACCAGAACAATGCGAACCCGGCTTGATCTTCTGGCTCATTGAAGAGCTACTGGACAGTCAAACTATCGATGGCTGTCGAAAAGTTTTTGACTATTTGGAGTCCCGTCGAGAGCGGAATATCAAGGTATGTACTTATTAATGTTTATGTGATTGCATCCCATCTGACTGCGTCAAAGAAACACTTCAAGCAGAAAAGCCTAGTAATTCTCCGGTCCTGTAATGAGCTTCTCCGCAGACTATCGCGCGCAGAAGATACAGTCTTTTGCGGCCGGGTATTCATCTTTCTCTTCCAGAGCTTCCCACTTGGAGACAAGAGTTCAGTCAACCTCCGAGGTGAATTTCATACAGAAAATTTCACAACCTTTGACGAGATCAAATACCCCTCCCCCGAGGTAGATTATGTTGATACTACAATGACAGAAGCGAATGAGGACACAATTGAACAGGCGGAGGGATCCGAGGAAGGTTCGCAGATCCCCAAGGTCGTGGTTTCTACATACGGAACAGCCAAGGGAAATGTGAACTTGGATGCTCTCTATCCCACTTTCTGGAATTTACAGGCATACTTCTCGGCTCCAAGCAAGACGTTTGATAGTGAATGCTTCGCATCGTTCAGGGCCGGGCTCGAAGCAACTTTGTCTGCCTTCAAAAACATCAAAACCGAGTTCGACAACCAGAGTGGTGCACGCTTTTCAGAGGACGCCCGAAAGGCCATTAAGCGCAAGCGCACGACCGATGAGGCTGAAATAGGCACGAGCTTCAACCCCAAATATCTTACCAGCCGTGATCTATTCGGCCTCGAGATTAGTGATATGGCTTTCAGACGACATGTTCTTGTGCAGGCCCTAATTCTGCTCGACTTTCTTCTTTCCCTCACTCCGAAGTCCAAATCCCTTTTGGCCAATTGCAACAATAAATCAGTGCGCTATGATTTCACATTGAGTGATGAGGACACGAAATGGACCATTCAAATGCGCAAGGATATCGAAGACTATCTCCAGCAAGGGTCTAGTGGAAAATTTTACTATCGTATGGTCGACACTGTCTTATCCAGGGACAAAAATTGGGTACATTGGAAGGCTGAGGGCTGTCCACCCATTGAGCGGTCAGCTATCTCAGTTGAAGACTACAACACTTCTCGAGAAAATGCCCTCAAGCTCTATGTCAATAAACGTCTTCGTTCTTCGCCAATGGGAGCTTTAGACGTGAATTTTCTGTCGGACAATGAAGCACTGGCCAACAACGAACGATTGAAAGAGTCGAGCCGTTACTCTATTCCTGCCGCAGACAATTTCCTTATGGGCATCATGGATGATGAAATGGATATCGACACGGCCAAAACCCCGGCTGAAAAACAGGCAGCATTAGAATCGAAAAGCTGCAAGTCGTGGCGTCTTCTCCGTTTGGCTGCGAAAACGAAACTAGCAACCTTTGACAAGATTGAAGATGGTGACAACCTCAAGATCCTATTTGAGACACCCGCAGCACCAGCTGAAACACAACATGGCGATGGGAGTGATGATATTGCTCAGCAAGATCAGTCTGCTTTAGATTTAAAGGAGACCCAACAGCCTACTGAGGAAAGTGAAAACGCTGCTGCTGCGCAGTCAATTGAAACTCTTCCAGATGCGAAGGATACCCCACAAGAATCAGTGGAATCGCCGAAAGCAGAGGACAAGATGTCCCCTGGCTGATCCGTCATCCATTCTCATTAATTCCATATTATTCTAGGTATCATCCATAGCAGCTAATCAAGATACCCACACTTACTCTTCCCACGTATCATATTTTCTATCTATGCAGTATTCGCTGAAGGACTTGCTCAATATAGGACCTTTGCGGTGCTAGCCGCTAAGTGGATTACTCTATTAGGATATACACCGGTGCTGTAGCAGCTCGTGCCAAACGCCACTTTCTCCTCGCGTTCTGGCTGGACCTGACAGGGCTTCGGATAAAATTTGGCAGGGAAACTTGGACATGACTGGCCAAAGTTCAATCCAGGAACGGATCCCCACTATCCGTATATTCCGTAGTAAGGATGAGCAGACCACAAGTAATGTGAATTCTACGGAGTACTCGGTACAATATCGGCAATTTATACTAGGTAGTCGAGTCGGGGTAGAGGCTTTAACCTGGTTAAGAAAGGCTTTGTATCTTTAGAAATATTGTTACATATACCACTTTTCTGCAAAAAATGACACCTAGTTTTTTGGGCGCCTAATATCCACCACATTTAACGATGAGTTACTTTGGCACTTTCGATCGGAGTAAGTATTGAAAGCGATTTGAACTATGGATAAGTATATATGCCAGGCTATAGCATTAATGAAGTCATTTAGTGTATGCTGATGATGTTTACGATCATATGAAGTCCTGCTATACCACGTTGAAAACAGGCGGTGAACGATTGGATACACCCATGGAATCTAAAATACCACTAGACCTTTCCAATTTCCACATAGAATTCACTGACAACCTGATTTTCTAAGTTCTTGACAGCTTTGGCCTTCGAAAGTTTGGTAGCATAGCTTTTGATGGCTTTGACCCCTTCCATTAGAGATCCGGTACAGCGGAGCAATATCCTAACTAGGTATCGTTTGGCGGGTATGGCACCTTTTAATCCGCCACATCCATACGCTTGGGTCGCTTGGGAAGGGTTCCAAAAGCATCAGTATCACGGCCTCTGCGTGATTCAATCTCCGAGAAGCCAGAACAGGAGTAGTACTCATTTCCAACCACCCCACCCCCCTTGTCCAGGCTGCCGGGTCAGAATCCTCTAATTCTTGAAAGGTATGCTTCATCAAGCGCCCAGTCTAGACCCTAATGATCATCGAATGCATATGTCTAGCCCTTTCATCATCAGACAACATCAATCCTTCTGAAAGTTTAGCTTGAGGATTCATGGATTTTCTTTTTCCGGTTCCACTGGATCCACGCTGTGCAGTATCCTCTTTCGGTAGGATTCTGCGATCTAGTGAGACCCTGTTGCAGGAATATGGATTGTATGTGGATTATTTCCCTCGAGTACGAAGTACTTTGAGTCTGTGGAAAGGGGAAAGTACGTAGGAATTAGAAATGTTCAGATGTCTTTCTTGTGAATGATACCTAGGTATGCTCTCTGTCGAGCTGTATGATATCTACCTAGATAAGTATTTAATACTTAATCTTTAAACGCCAATTAGAAAACGGATCACGTAGAGCGTTCCTGCATGGAACACCCAGGCACATAGGTAGGCAGTGTACTCCATTTACAACGTTGAATCATTATCATAGAATCTGCACGGGGTTCTCCGTGGCCTGTCACTTCGTACCTTTTTCTCCTCTGATGTTTTGGCCCCTCATCAGAAGGCACATGTAACCCTGGAAGTAATTACAGTGGTAAGGCTGGAGCATTGAACCACCTTTAGCCACGTTTCAGTCTTCCACCTTTCAACCTTGAAGACTAATAGGCTAGAGACTTGGCATAAGATGTCGGCGAAACAAAGTACAAGATAGTTTGATAGGCTTTTCAATGGCGAGAAGGCGAAAGGAGGCCTCGACTCCGTACGAGCCGGGAGGCTTGCATTGAGTTCGCTGACAGATTTGTTCTCGAAATGAGACGCACTGATCGCAAGGACATCTGTGAGAAAGAAAAAGCCACTTGGTGTCCACTGTGCTCTGTACCTGGTATGTAGTTGGGTCGGAGGTTCGCGAAAACTCCACTGTGGAGATGGTCCTCGGGTACCTCGCCGCTCGTCAGGCGCTGAGATGCACTTCGCTGAGATAGGCTCCCATGGCTATTCTTGAGTATATAATGGCCCCCAGTGGATTATTATTAGCTAAGCAATCCAAGTAGGTGAGTAGACATGTGTTCAGTGGAAGTAACATGGTGTCCTAGTTCTTTCCAAGGATGTGGCGTTAAATGTGGCGTTGTATAACTGTGAAGCAGCTCTTCTCGCAACGGCTTTCCTAGTTGAGGATATGATCAATTCGTGGAACTGGCTGACGGCCGGTGTCAACCCAAAGTTTGAATTATTTGGAACGATCCACAAATCGTGGCGAAGTAGACAGTATACGAAGTAGTTATGGGGCAGACAATGCGGCTTGATATCTGAGAAAAGATGTAGGGGGAAGAAAGTCCGTAGGTGCTCCGTATGGGGTAAATTGCGTAATCCCCCTACCCCCTCACTCCGCTACCCAACTGGTTATGACACAGCGTGCATCATAAGAAATGAAGGAGACACGGCATTAACGGCATAGAAGAGTTGAACAGGTCTGAATTTTGGGTCAAATATTTGAATGTCAAAAGATCGAACTTGTTTTTCTACTAGTAAATCACCTGTTACGATCACTCTACAACTGTTGTAGAAGTAATAATTGGTCTATCTAAACAAACTCTTAGCGTTCAGAGTTAAGTGGAAAATCCAGACGTACAAACGGCGTTACAGTGGCGACATTTCAGTTTTCTAGGGTATCTTTTTTCTACTAAAATCAAAACTAACGAGGTTGGTAGTAGAATTGATCGACACTAGTAAGTAGGTAAATAGTTTCGGCCGTAATAGGAATGTGTGTAGTGTTTGATTCGTGATTCGGGATTGAAAGTGTAAACAGTTTCCGAGTTTTCGCCCCGACACGCTTAAGGAAGGTAAGGCATTGAACTCATCCAGGGCTCCACGTTTGTGATCATCTGGGTCCACCTGGCATTCCGATCATTCCATGGTGAGTTCGTTAGCCTAACGTTCGCTTAGAACGATAATAAAATAACAAAATAATAAAATGATAAAATGATTAAATAACACTGATAATAAAAACATACGATTATGAGATTAGATCGGGAATCATGAATTAGGGTTTTTAGGGACTCCTCCATACGGGAGATGAACAAAAAGATTTACATGCGCAGGGATTTCGAGATCACCGCGATCAGGGTCTAGTCCCAGTATCATTAAGACTCTTTTAAACCTGCGAAACATGAACATCACTTCAATATGCCATGTCACGAGATAAGGAACTGCCTAAGTGATTGGGTCTAAATAATGAGATAACGGAAGGGAGGCGTAGCCTTGAATATTCCCAGTATTCAATCTTAAAGTAATTTCCAGTGTTTCAAGACAGATGAAGTGGAGGTGGGAAATGGTGGAAATTTCCAGGAGGCTTGTAGTGGAGAAAGAATGTTCTTCTGAGACGACTAGCGGATGAAGCCATGGTTGACTAAACCATTCTTGGCATCCAGAGCTCAACTTAGCGTCTGTCATCGTTTAAACGGCAGACCCCAGTATAATTAGTACTTAGTACTTAGTCCATATACTAGATCGTTCAGGGGCTCTGTTCAATCCTTGATTTTTGACTACTGCGAACTAACAGTTGGCAGGTTGCCCCATATTTCTTGTCGTATTAAATCGCACTTATTTTGATTTTGATTATTATTTTTTCCATATGTATTCCCGATATACTTGGTAACCTTCACGGAATACCCAAATTCGGCCCCTTCCACGCGTCTCAAGTTTCAAGGCTTGACTTAAAAACACAGAGAGGGGTTCTTGTGATTCGTTACAAAGATTGCGGGGAGGGCCATCCCCCATTTCATCATTTCTCTGCCCGTTTGTTTATGACTTCCTTGGTCGAGCCCTGTATCCACTGTCCCGCTCCCTCTATTCGTTGGTCACATCGTAGCGGGCAGTCCCTTGAGTGGCTTGTTATTATCCGTGATCGATGCACCTCATAACCGACCGTCTGTGTGGAGCCAGCACGCTAACAGTAAGAGGATCCATAACTGGTTTCCACATCTCTTGTATGGGACCTAATCTCTCCTCCCCCACCACTTGACCACTCTTGTTGGTTGGCCAAGTGTTTCTGCAGTCATCTATGTAGCATCGATGGATTCGCCCCGGATGGTACTAGTCCAAGCAAGATCGCCCGCTAAGTTCTTCGGAAATTTATGTATCGATTCCCTTGATCCTCAAGAGAGGGGAAAGAGATGGGAATACTAGCACAGTCCACGTCGTAACTTCAAATGAGCCACATAACCTATGGGCCAGATCCCACCATGTGGGACCTCATACGGAACCCAGTTTACTAGGGCCATCTCGAGCTTGTTCGGATCCTGGAGCCTTTCGAGATTCTAGTCCTGGTCCATTTCTTTTTTTTATTTTATATTTTTTTCTCCTTTTTATTTTTTTCAAGCCCGAGTGCCACTCTTGCCACGGGCTCGGGACATTCACGGTCACTTGTATGGCCATGGCCGTGGCCATACTCGAGACCCATGAAGCTGTGTGCTCTGTGCACAGCTTGATATTCTTCTAAGGTTAATCAACATTTACTTTTCATTTGGGTTTTGGAATCATATCTATGCTGCCATTTTAAGTTAATTATACAGTTCACAAGGATGTGGATGGATATGGATAAAATATGCAAATTAGATCTAGATTACTCAGTATACTTCTCTTAGACTTCATATCTCAGGATTACAGGCTTCTATTCCCATTCCTTTCAGTTTCTAGTCTAGGGCTGATCCAAGACCTTCCGTTTTATAGTAGAACTTCGGGAATTAAACACTGTCACACTTTACTTCGAGCAGTCTTATTCACCTCCCATGCCGACTCAAGCCGATGCCCGTAGACATTTGGCCCACCTTCACCAAAGTTTAAGATAATTCCGTTTTTCTCCAAGGTTGATCATGAGGTCCATTTACTATCTCCCGCCGTTAAGACATTCTCAGTAACGCTCCTTCTCTCTCAAAAATAGTCGAAACAAAAGACGGGAAACATCTTTGGTCTTATGTATACTAGGGTAGACCTTGGCTGTCAAGACGGGTGGCCAAATTCGACGTCTTTGCCTTGTGGACCCCTGGGGGCCTTGGGGGCGTCCTGTTTAATGTCGCAACAAAAATGCGTATTTCCACTACCTTTCAAGTAATGGACCTGTAGTCAGTCCCTTTGATCTTTACTTTTAAACCCTCGTTGATTGTCTAGATTCACTCTATTTTTTTTTGATCTCCATCCTTTGGTGATCCTCATCTACACAATCCGATCCGGGTACCACATAATAAACCGTGGTCTGACCTTTCGTTCTTTTTTTTTCATTCTTTTTTCATTTTTCATTCTATATCTTTATCCTCTTCTCGAGGGTCAGCAGTAGAAAGCCTACCAATTAAACCTAACTTTGGTCCCGCTTTTCTAACGTCTCTGCATTTACCCTACTGTCGCTACCTGATCAAACCAAGTTCCATCCACCCTACCCTAATAGCTTTACTCGATTTTTTTTACCGTACCCCCTGCCTTCTCTATTCTTACAAGCCTGACCTGTTGACTCGGACCTCCACCAAACTAGAAGGCGCCTCGGTCCTTCCACCAGACCCACATCCGTCTCATCTCGGAGAACCTGCGCTTTAGTTCTCTTGTCCGTTCCTGCTTCACCTGTTGTATCCAAGCTCCTGGGTCCCGTTTTGTTTGGTACTTGCCTGGCGTGTTTTGAGTCTATTTGATCAACCAACTAGACTCCAGACGCGGGAACTACCCGCCATAGAAAGGCTTTGTACTTCAGTTCACGGCCTCCACGAACCCCTCTTTAACAGTAACATGTCCATTCGTGGTCCTTGTCTCTGGGTACCTTCATTGTCTTCACCAGTTTCTTCACCTATCTCTGCTGTCACATCTCATTTTTCAGCTGTCGCTCGTCACGGTAACGGAGAACGGGTTTCTCCTCGAACTACTTCGCCATCTTTGACCCCGCACAGTTTCGGTGATCGAACACTCCTCGACTCTCATAGTATCCCTGTTGTTATGAACTCCGCAGGATTAAAGGCTGAAAATGCCTCAGTTTCTTCTATGGTACCCTCAAACATGACTGGTCTAAGACCTGGGGTTGAGAGAGAAAACCTACCTCGAGTGAGGCTGGAAATTCCTCCCAATACGAACTATTCTACTTCCCGCGAGTCAGGTCTTGTGTCACCTCTAGACATGGACGGAGATGACCATGATGACTCGGCCGATGATAAGGGAGATGACGACGATAGATCGCCAACGTCGGCAGAAAGAAAGAAAATGAAGCGATTTCGGTAAGAAAACCGACGAAGAAGACAAGACGAGTGAAGACGCTTACACCGTTATAGCTTAACTCATAATCAGACTCGCTTTCTGATGAGTGAGTTTACTCGCCAGGCACATCCAGATGCTGCTCATCGCCAGCGTCTGTCGCGTGAAATTCCCGGCTTGACACCTCGTCAAGTCCAAGTTTGGTTCCAGAACAGGTAGGGTTTGATCTTCGTTTATTTGAAGGGGATTTAATTTAACCATCAATATAGACGGGCCAAACTTAAGCGTCTCACTACCAATGACCGTGAGAGAATGCTGAAGTCACGAGCACTCCCGGATGACTTCGACACCACCAAAGTCCTCCGAACGCCGTTTGAAAGCAAGTCACATAGTCAACCCTCGATTGTATCACCATTGGAATATGGTGCCTCGAACTCCGACTTTACATCGAGAACACTACGTACGGATTGTTACCAGCGTCCAAATGAAGAAGACTATCTAGTTTCCCCCTTAGCTCCACCTCAACTGGAGGAACCTACATATCTTCTGCTGGACAGGGGCGAGGCGACGGTTTGTCTCCGCCTGGACTGGTTTTCGGTCGACCTTCTGCGTCGGTGTCCCTGACCGACCTGAATCGAACTCTCCGGAGCGACTACTCTATCACCAGGTCTAGTAGTGTATCAGATGGCTCTCCCCATCCATCATCCTACCAGGCCTATTCGATGCCAAACCGCTACATTCTGCCTTACGTGCGGCCTGGTATTGACTACACTGTTCCAAGGAGTCAGCCAGGCATGATGCCTGGATACGAACAATCTCAATCCTTCGATGGATCAGTGTCACCCACAGACACACGGGGAGTTCAAATCACTTATGACATGAGAAACATAGGTCAGTTCACCTTTATAATAAGTCAATACGTTCTAAAGCGGTAGATCCTAACTTGATTCTCACATTTTAGGCTCGCAACCTCAAAGCTATCCTTCTCTTTCAGTCTCAGCACCAAAAGATTATGACATGGCAATGGGCTCGCAACTTCCTCCTGGCAGCAGACCGATCCCAATTCTCCATCCTCTCTCAACCCCTACGGCGCAGCCTTTCCCCTACGGTAGCACCTCGGGCTTGCAATATGCCAACAATACATCGACTCTGAGCCTCCCCTCATCTTTCGTGCCATCTGAACAATCTCCTGCACATAATCAAATGCAGGCACCTCAAACTATCGAGTCCTTACGAACCAAGTTTGCTACTCCTTCTTTCCAGTACGCCAACTACGTCCAGCAATGAAGGTATGCAAGACATGATCATACTATATTTGCATCGCGTTGCTTTGCTTTATGAGCCATATAACGAGTTCTGCTCTGTTCCTTCTATTTTCCCTTCTGTCTTATCCTTTATGGCCTGTGCATTTGACAAGGCGCCTCAAGAGCGTGTTTTGGCTCAACCTTTCTCGTGATCTGTCACGCTGGTTTTGACCTTGAAGTTTGAACTTCCTTTCTCAACTTTCAATTTTCAATTTTCAATCTCTTCTTGTATATGGATTCTGTCCAAATCGACTGTATTTTTGGGCTTCAACTTTTGACTTTATTCTTGCCGCTTGTGGCATTTCTTGATTTTCATTCCTTTTCTTGCTCTAACGGGGCGTTTTTTTACTCTTTTCTTTTACTTTTCTTTTGTTTTTTCTTATCTTTTCCTTCATATTTTGTCTCATTGGGAAGATTTGGTCTTGGCATGTTTCGCTCATGGTGGTCTATCATCTTGGTTTCTAGCTTTGCACTTCGGTAGCGTTGGATTTACTCCTCTTCTTGCATATCGTTACTCTTCTTTAACGTTGATGGTTCTCTGGAATGAATGACTGTTATATGAGATTGAGCTTCTTTCTCTGTAAACTGTCCAGGTATTTAGTATAATGGGAATCTATTTATCCAAGGTTCATAGTATTCAATGTCTACCTATGTAAGCAAACAGGTACCTAGGTAGGTATAATAATGCAAAATAAATCTCTCTCTATAGCCCTCAGGTGTTTCTGCCAAGAGAGTATTCCGGGAGTCCTAGACAACCCTAGGCCATGACCACCGAAGTAATAATTTACCTTCCAACCTCGCTGCCGCGAATACCAAACTTTACATGTTTTCCAAGGTTACATAGAAAGACATAGCTTCCAAGTTTCTGATCTTGGAATGCTCCAAGCTTCATTCCTACCTAGGTAAGTAGGTACCGATTCAGCCTTCAGATATCAATGAAAGGAATGAATATAACGGGTGAATAACAGTTATGTGTTACTCTAACTCTTGGAAGCTGTTATCCATTCATGGATGTAGTTACGTTGAAGTAATGTAGTAGTACCCTAGATAAATGTCCAAGGTCCACTTCCAAGGTTGCTGCTAAAATTATACAACGTTGTGGCTAAAATCTCAACCTTAGATTTTGACCCATGACGTGCATATTCAGATCAGCAAATCAAAAGTGAGATAAACGTAATCTCCAGCTACTGTTTAAATTTCTGTCCAGTCAAGTTGCGAGCATTTAAAGACATTGAGTCTTGTCCAACCAGCGGCCGCCCATAGCCAGCCTCTCATCACGTGATAAATGAAATGAACCAATTATATAGTAGATATTGATAATCCAACCAACATCTGACGTATCCAAGCAAGTATAAATAAAATCAAGATTCTTAATACTCACCTTGTTACTTCATCTTCCAATGCTCTATTGCTCTATATCTATCCTCTCAGAACTCAAAAACAATCCCAATCAATTGATTTCATCTCCATCAACAATTCGCAAGCTTCTTGTCTAAACCATACCACTTCAGACCAGATCTCTACCAACATCATCTTCAAAATGGTTAACCCTGCTTCCACCTGCTGCAAGACCTCCCAGGAGGGAGGATGTGTCTGTGCCGCCCAGGCCAAGTGCTCCTGTGGCAAGGAGAGTGCCCTGAGCTGCTCCTGCAACAAGGCTACCACCGAAAATGCCATTTCCGGACCCCGATGCTCTTGCCGTAAGGATTCTCTCTGAAATACTCTGAGAATCATAGATACTAATATATTTTAGGAGCTCGTCCTGCTGGCCAGTGCACCTGCGAGCGCTCTGACGCGGAGAATACGGCCGTCGATGGAAACGCCTGTGCCTGTGGCAGCCGCCCTGCTAGTAAGTTCAACTCGCTGATTTCATGATCCGTCTTCATTTTAGCTAACAGTCGTTCTAGCTTCTTGCACTTGCGAGAAAGCTGAGTCTTCCGAGTCTGCCCTGGAGTCAGACTTCACTACCCGTGCATGAATTAACTTGAGATTGATGATTGTCATGACGATTTGCACCTTATTTTGCACTGGTTTTGGTGCAGAGGCAGCGGCGTTTGATCGAAGCTTACGTAGGGTAATGCTTTTAGGGCTGTTTTTGGTATCTTTCTGATAATAATTTGGTCGTTTATGGGCCTTATCAAAAATTGAAATACATTTAAAGCATTCGAATATTTGTCTAGTTAATTTAGATACCTAAGTACCTACTACCTAGTCATGAAGGTATGTGCCTTGGGAGACAGGTTATGCTTCCAGAATTATGCCCACATCAGCAGATGTCTTCTTCTCATGTGGACATTCCAACCTTGAAGATTATTTACATACTTAGGTATGATGTCAATATATATGTAAAGTTTATTTAAAGTACCTAGGTAGGTACCTCCGGGGCCGTGACACGTATGTACATATTGATAAACATAATGAGAGAATAAAGAGCGAGATATGTTAGGCGACGAAAAGGTGAAAGATTCAAGAAGCGTGGACGATAGTTGATACTACTGGAACTTTTGTAGGTGTAGGCACCACTCCGCATCAACCTTATTCCGCGAGCTACAGCGGAACCCGGACTGATCGACAGCGGAAGTGGCCCAAGGGAACGGGTGTTATGCGGGATCTCATCTCAACTCCTTTCCTGTAACGGTTGGACGCTAAACTAGCTGAATCCTGGTAAATTGACCGTTCTTATCTGAAGCGCGCACCTAACCTTACCTTGAACCTCCTTAGATTCTCATTGCGATCAAAACAACTCCCTCCTTCCCCTGTCTTCTCTCCCAAAGCATAGGATTCCCCGTCACCCCGGGTGGCCAATGCACCACGTTCTAGTAGGGACATGGTTGTGTGACGCTATCCGTCCAATTGCGAACCCCTGAGGTGATCTCTGCGTGGCACGCGAACCCGATACTATCGAACACCCACTCCCTTCGAAAGCCAGCGTGTTAGCATTAATTGAGTGTGCATTCAACCGATCCCCCAGAAATTTAAATCACCAGCCATTATGTCGTCCATGAAAGGCTTGGTTCAGTTCATTGCTGACCTGCGTAATGCGCGAGCACGAGAATTGGAGGAAAAACGGGTGAATAAGGAGCTGGCCAACATCCGACAGAAGTTCAAGTCAGGAAATCTAAACGGCTACCAGAAGAAGAAATACGTGTGCAAGTTGCTCTACGTCTATATCCAGGGCTACGATGTCGACTTCGGACATCTGGAAGCAGTCAATCTCATTTCGTCCACTAAATACTCCGAAAAGCAGATCGGATATCTAGCTCTTACCCTGTTTCTGCATGAAGAGCATGAGATGCTCCATTTGGTCGTGAACAGTATCCGGAAGGATCTGATGGATAATAAGGAACTGAATGTGTGTCTGGCCCTGCATGCAGTGGCCAATGTGGGAGGTCGTGAGCTTGGAGAGGCGCTAGGATCTGAGGTCCATCGACTACTGATCTCGCCGTGAGTCTCTTTTTCTTTTTCTTTTTTTCGGTTGATATGTAATTTTGACACTCCACAGGACCTCAAAAGCTTTCGTTAAGAAGAAGGCTGCTCTAACATTGCTCCGCTTGTACCGCAAATATCCCGACATTGTTCGGAACGAATGGGCCGAAAGAATTATTTCGATCATGGATGACCCGGATATGGGTGTCACACTCTCAGTCACATCACTTGTGATGGCCTTGGCGCAAGCCTTGCCCGATGCATACAAGGGCTGCTATGTTAAGGCTGCCCAGCGGCTGAAGCGCATAGTTGTTGAGAACGATATTGCACCAGATTATCTCTATTACCGTGTACCATGTCCTTGGATCCAGGTCAAGTTCCTTCGTTTGCTGCAGTACTATCCCCCATCAGGTAAGTTTGGCGCCGTTAAGATTCACCCATCCATCCATCTACTAACCCTCACCATAGATGACAGCCATATTCGTCAGATTATTCGTGAATCCCTGTCACAAATGATGCAAAGCGCCATGGAGACACCGAAGAACGTCCAGCAGAACAATGCACAAAATGCAATCCTATTCGAAGCCATTAATCTCCTCATTCATCTCGGCTCCGAACACAACCTCATGATGCAGATCTCTACCCGCCTCGGTAAATACATCCAGTCCCGTGAGACCAATGTCCGATATCTTGGTCTGGATGCTATGACGCACTTTGCTGCTCGAGCAGAGACCTTAGACCCCATTAAAAAGCATCAAAGTATCATCCTGGGCTCTCTCCGGGACAGAGACATTAGTGTTCGCCGCAAAGGATTAGATCTATTGTACAGCATGTGCGATACTTCAAATGCAGGGCCCATCGTCAATGAGCTACTGCGTTACCTACAGACGGCTGATTATGCCATCCGAGAAGAGATGGTATTAAAAGTGGCTATTCTTACTGAGAAATATGCTACGGATGCGCAATGGTATATTGACATGACCTTGAAACTACTTTCTCTTGCCGGTGATCATGTCAACGACGAAGTATGGCAGCGGGTGATCCAGATTGTAACCAACAACGAAGAACTGCAGGCATATGCAGCCCATACTTTACTTGGCTACCTGAAAACAGACTGCCACGAGAGTTTGGTCAAGATTGGTTGCTACGTTCTTGGCGAGTTTGGCCACCTTATTGCTGAGAATCAGGGATCAAGCCCGATTGAGCAGTTCCTGGCTTTACAAACCAAGATGTTTACTGGTTCCGACAATGCAAGGGCCATGATCCTCTCGTCCTTTGTCAAGTTTGTCAACTTATTCCCTGAGATTAAACCGCAACTATTGCAGATCTTCCGTCTGTATAGTCACTCCCCCGATTCCGAGTTGCAACAACGAGCATTTGAGTACTTGTCACTAGCCACACTCCCAAGTGATGACCTGCTCCGGACGGTTTGCGACGAGATGCCACCTTTCTCTGACCGAACATCTATTCTTCTGTCACGACTGCACCAGAAGACAGCTGGCACCAGTGAGAAGAAAACTTGGGTAGTTGGCGGAAAGACTGCCAATGATGATAAGCAGGAAGTACTCATGGCCCAGAATACCGGCCTCAAGCGTTCCTTTACTACTATTGTCCACGGCGCACGGACTGGGACTGGAGCTGCAACCGGGGCTAGTGGACCCTCCACCCCCACTAACTCATCATCTGGCGATTTAGCCGGATTGGACTTCAGCGGACCTTCGGGGCCTGCTCCTAACCTAGCCAGCGCAGCGCATCTGACGCCTGAATGGGACATTGGCTACAACCGACTTTACTTTACTAATGAAGGTGTCCTCTTTCAGGATGCCCAGATTCAGGTTGGCTTACGTTCAGAATACCGTGGTCACATGGGTGTTGTGAAGCTCTACATCTCGAACAAGTCCTCATACCCCATCGGATCCTTGACAACCACTATAGACAACCCTGCGGCTCCGAACCTGAAAATCGACAGCAAAAATCTTCCTGACCCAAGCGTGGCCGCCTCTAGCCAAACCCAACAGACCTTCTTCTGTGCCGCGCATGGGCCCTTCTCCGATGCTCCCACTATTCGTATCTCATACCTGGCCGGTGCTCTACAGGCTTACACCCTCCAGCTACCTGTTCTGATGCACCGATACATGGAACCCTCTACTCTGTCTGCTGATGAATTCTTCAAGCGCTGGCGCCAGATTGGTGATGGACCTCTGGAGGCCCAGAAGACTTTTGGAATAAGCGGCAAGAACAAGAGCATCAATGAGGCATTCACACGCCAGTCAGTGGAAGGCTTCGGATGGAAGATCCTCGATGGTGTGGACCCGAACAACCAGAATATCGTCGGTTGTGCAGTGTACCAGTTTGAGGGTGGCAAGACTGGCTGTCTGCTGCGACTGGAACCCAACTACGAGAAATCGGTAAGTTCACAATACCATACCTTTTATTGTGGGCTATGCTAACAAATTACGTCTAGATGTATCGGGTCACTGTTCGCGCGACCCAGGAAGGCATTCCACAGGGACTGGTCAAACAGATGGAGCAGAAGCTGTCTCAGGGAAGAAAATTGAATGCACCAGGAGTTTATGATCCGTAATCATCCATTGCCAGCATTTTGCAGAGCGACGGCACATTGCATATATCCTTATCTTCTCGGCTTCCGAGCTATTGTCAGCGAATTCTTCCTTGAAAGTTGGATCATTCGCTTGTTCTTGTATGGTTAATCATTGACTAGAACAATTTTACAGTAATCAGTATCATTCTACAATTCCCAGGTTCCGCTTCCGACCTTCTAGACAATGCTTTTCCAAGAATGCTTCATATACAGCCTAGCCATTCGTAATTCATGAGACACCGAGAGTTGAACCTCTCAAACAACCCTTGCCTCCGACTTCGGTGGTCGATCCCCAAACAGAGTCGTGCCAACTCGCACCTGGTCCGAACCCAAGGCAATAGCACCCTCGAAATCTGAGCTCATCCCCATGCTCAACTCCAATCCAGCCTCAGCCCCCGTCAACCCAAGATCAGCAACGATGCGATCCCGCGTCTCACGCAGACGCACAAAATCCTCATTCTCATTTTCTGGCGTCGTAGCCTTTGACCGCGCAATAGCACCAATAGTCATAACGCCCTGAAGCTTCAGCCCCGGACACTTTTCCCAAATAAAGCGAGCCAATCCCGAAGCCGCGGCCGGCTCGACGCCAGCTTTATTTTCTTCACCAGAGGTATTAACCTGAACGTAAATGCGAAGTCTAGCATCCGCATCTTCGCCCGCTTGAGTCTGCTCCTGCTCCTGGACTTGCTCTGGCTTCCGCTCTCCCCAGCCTTTATTGAGCAATTGGGCCTTTTTCTCCGAGTCGACGCTCTCAACGGCCCATAGACCGCGCACATCGCGCGCGAGTGTTACGCACTTGTTTGACTGCAATCCGCCGATGAAGTGCCATTTAATGCTCGGGGGGAGCAGACGTGACTTTTCGAGGAGCTCTTGCATGTAGTTCTCGCCGAAGTGGAGCTGTGAGGCTGGCGACTGGTGCATGGCTAGGACATCTGAGGCTGGTTTGAGCTTTGATACGGCTACTAGCCGCACTGGCTTGCTTGGCTGGGGAGATTGAGCTGCTGCTGCGGTGACGCGCGCTGATACGGCCGTCAGATTGGCGAGTAGCGCGGCTGCTCGCGCGGGGATGGCGGCCATATTGGGCGTTTGATCTTCAGTGAATGGGGTGGTCATGGCACGGAGATGGTATTGGGGGGAGCTTTCAGATAGAAAGCTTTCGAAGTAGCTATTTGTTTCCGAGATCTAATGTAAATTGGGGGAATTGGGAGTCATCTTCATGTCAACTTTGATATGGAAAGTGATAGCGGCCTGAGGCAATAATATTCCATATCGGATCACATGACCTGTCAGCGTATTACTGCCACCGCTTGCGATATCAGGCATTCGGTGCCACACTTTAATTTACCTCAAGTTCTTTCATCTTCTCTGTGGCTCAGTAACTTTCCGTTTGCGGAGGATCGACGTGATCTTATCTCGATCATCCATGCGACGTTAGGAATGTTCAGTCCCCTGTGCACATTGCAACATGGGTAGTCAATTTTGAAGGCGCTAACTGAGACGTTTCCAAGGACTGAGGTTCCCGTCGGCTTTACATGCCCTGAAGAACTGGCGGCAAGCCAAACTTGTAAAGAGACCATGGGTCCAATCAAAGGGATGCCTCAAGATCGGACAGAGAAACCTTTGCGTCATTACGGATCTCTCGTCCTAGGGCAGTTTATTCCAGATCTACAGCATTGTATTGGATTGACGCCGTTGAGTTTCAAACTCTCCGAGCTTTGACAAATTTCTTATTTTCCTTTGAACAGCTGACCTGTGGCCATTCTCCTTTGGTAACCTATTTTTATCAGGCGGCAATTGCTTCAGCTGCAAGCCAACATTTGACAAATGGGATCTTCTCCCATTTGCAGTTTGCTTTAGGACTAAGCCAAGATCAGCTAATCGACCATCGATTTCCGTTTACCTTGCAAAAAAAAAAAAAAACATGAATGACTAACCAGCCCTAAAATGTACCATGGAATCTACCGGCGTGATGATTCCAACAATACAACCCGATTACCTCGTAGATGTAACCCGATCGAAGCGCCGGAGCGGGGAATCCATTGGAAAAGTGTTATATTACAGTGGTCCAACTGCTGCTATAAAACCATCATATCCTTGACGTCAGCCCAGCTGACATTGTTCGTGTTCTTTCTCCAATTCTCTCATTAACAACCATCGAGCCCTACTTTCATTGTAGACCTAGAATCTAGAACAAAAAGACCCTAGTGGGGGCCTTCATTCTATTTCGATCCATCCATTTATTCTTATGCACTTCCACTTCCACTTTTCTTCTTCATTTGACTTCTACTTCCACTTTTCTCCTCTATAACCTCGTCAGCTGGTCTGAAATTCAACATTCTCACCTATCCATCGTCCTGGCTGATCGATATCCTTGCTCCAAGCTCTTCAGCTATACTCCACATATCCTTCTCCACCGAGCTTTGAAGGATTCTACTCCAATTTTCCTGGTGCCCGATTCATTTTGATTTGAAAGTTCCTCTTCGAAAAAGATCTACTCACAACTAAACCTGGTCTACCTCAATCTTTCTATCCACTCTTAAGAATTGTGATCTATCGGCCTTTCAATAGCGGTAATTCCACCACCAAAGCCACAAAAGCCAGTTCAAGATCCAACAAGTACACATCCATTCAATATGTGTCGTCAAATATTCACCATGTATGAGTGGTGTCAATGTGAGGAAGATGCAGGTCAGAGCATTTGTGCTGGTTACCGTCGCAACACTTGCGCAGGTGTAAGCATTGAGACTGTTCACATGCACTGCTTTTGCAATTCTCATGCCACACGAGGTTTCAAGAGTGAGAAAAAGAGCCGCAAACAAGATGAGAAGATTCGACGCCGATCTGAAGATTCTATGGATGAGAGGGCTTCCTTGGGTCGCCGTCTGTATCAGTGGTATCAATGGCGAGGAATAAGATCGCAGTAGACCGCTGCATCTTTCCATTCATTCATTTCATTTTGATTATTAAATTTTACTTTTGGGATTTCAGCTTTGGTGTTCAGGCTGAATGGGCGGATCTTTGGTATTGGAAAATGGGAATTGAGGGAGTTCATTGGGCATCCAGACTATGAACAATGTTATATGACAGCTCATGTCAGATGTTCTGAAACAAAAAGAAATGAATAAATAACATAATGCCCATGAAATAATAAAAATTAAGATAATAAATACGAGAGACGGATCTCATCTTAGAAAGAATGTGTGATCTTTGTAGTCTTTGTTATCTTTGTAGTCTTTGTAATCTCTGTTGTTGGAATGAGATTCACTTTCACTTACCCCCCTTGCCCCGATAGAGACATAGTGTCTGTCTATCATCCCGCTATCTATCCTTCTTCATCCACCTTCAACAACTTCCTTCTTCATCATCTTAGTGTCGCCAGCCTGATTAAAACTGATCTTGTGTTTATTTAATCGGGCTTCGGATCTATGATCAATCTGCGATCTACATCATGTACCCCTCCAAACCCCCTAACGGTGGGCCTCTAAATAACAAAAGCAACCACGACGTCATGGCCCAGTCGCATCATGATATTTCAGATTCTATGAGTAGAATGACTCTAGATTCCACTGATACTCCTATTTCAGAATCCATGAGTAGATTGAATTTAGAGACTGAAACACCGGTATCTCCCTACGTTGGTCTGTCGCGTGCTGAAGTTCTGCCACCTGCGCCGCGACGCGCGCACAGCAACTGCTCACTTCGAGATGGGCGGCGCAAGTCTAGTCCCGAAACCCAACTATCTATCCCAAATCCATACTACCCGAACTCATCTTCAAGTCATCCAATTTCTTCTGAGTCGACTCGCCTTGCCTCTGCCAATTTTCCAGATTCTCCACCCGCGACGTATGGGAATGCGGCTCAAGACCCCCATGGCCCTACAGAGGCCTCAATATCGGCTGACCACTTTCGCAAGGAGGTGGATCTACATAATTTAGTCGACTTAAACTCCAAGACCCTCGTGTTGCTCCATGATGACTGCTATGGTCACCGTGTTGCCCGTCGACTCAACCAGAAAGGCATCGACTCATTTCCAGAGAGACCTGAGCGTATTCGCGCCTGTGTGGTAGGTATCTCTGCTGCATATGTACGCATGGGTCGTCGATATGCGGGAGAACATTACTCGCCACATCCCGGTATGGATATCGGCTTGCTTCCCCCACCTCCATTCCAAATGCGCCGCACATCAAGATATATCCACTTCGAGGATAAAATTCTCACCAATGTTCATGGGACTAAATGGTTAGACGATCTGAAGGCTCAGTGCAACGCCTTAAAACCCGATGGTTCAGGTGCCTCACTTACTCCGCTCGAGACCGCGGATCTTTATCTATGCTTGGGATCGATGCTCGCATTTGAAGGTGCCTTGGGTGGTGTCTGCGATGGTGTTGATGCCGTGCTTGGTCCAAGCCAGACAACGCGCGCATTTGTTTGCATTCGACCCCCAGGTCATCATTGTTCCGCTGATACGCCTTCTGGGTTTTGTTGGGTCAACAATGTGCACGCGGGTATTTCTTATGCAGCAACTAACCACGGGTTGACGCATGCTGCCATTTTCGACTTCGATCTACACCACGGCGACGGCTCACAGGACATTACATGGAAACATAATCAGAAGCTGTATAACGCTGACGCTGACGCCTATGCTTCCGCTTCAGATTACGAGAAAACGGCTATTGCATACTATAGCTTGCATGATATCAACTCATTCCCATGTGAAGATGGTGACTGCGAGAAAGTCCTCAAAGCCAGTGTTTGTGTTGATGCACATGGCCAATCAGTTTGGAACGTGCATCTTGAGACTTGGGAGACAGAAGCCGAATTTTGGATATTGTACGAGAAGAAGTACAAAATCTTGCTCGACAAAGCCCGTTTGTTCCTTCGTTATCATACAACAAAACTGCTTGCTGAGAGCAAGAAGGGCAAGAGCGAAAAGGCGAAGAGTCTTCCTAAAGCTGCCATCTTTATTTCGGCTGGATTTGATGCGAGTGAATGGGAAACCTCGGGTATGCAACGCCATAAGGTTAATGTGCCGACTGAGTTTTACGCAAGGTTCACCGCCGACATCGTGCGCATGTCGCAGGAGGAAGGACTTGGCACTGACGGGCGAGTAATCAGCGTGTTGGAGGGTGGCTATAGTGACAGGGCTTTGACCAGTGGCGTGCTCAGTCATCTGGCTGGGCTAGGACATGAAATCGATACCCGTCAGCCAAGCTTCCCAATATCTCCCAAGAGCAGCCTTGAGCAACTTCAGCAGCCTGATTATGATCCTGAATGGTGGTCTCCTACCATGCTAGATGAACTAAAAGATCTTGTCACACCGTCCAAGAAAGGTCGAAAGAAATCTGCCCCAAAAATTTTTAATTCCACTCGCTCTTTCTCAGTCAAGGTTATCACCCCTACGCTTGAACGCAAATCTGTTGATCTTAGCCAGCCTCCATTGCCCCAAGTCGGATGGGCAACGGCAGCGCATGAGTTATCCAAGATACTTATCCCAGATCGCCAGACTACGAGCTATCGAGCCGAGGAGCTCCATGTTCCACAGCCTCGGCAAAGACGCAGGATAGTGCCGGAAAGTGGCTCTACTGCGATTCAACCCCCACCTCTGGAAGAAAAGCGACAGCTTCGAGCGAGAAAGACTAAGTCTCCAATGCCGATCTCATCCCATCCAGCCACACCGCGTCAGCAGGCAATTCGAAAGAACCGACGAACCACCATTGGTGGTAATGACATGCAGGGTCAATCAGTGGACTCATCCCCATCCGCGAGTGCCAGTCGCCGCAAGAGTCTGAACTCGACGTCTACTACCGTCGCCAACCCCACAGATCAGACTCCCACTGAACATGGAACAGTTGCGGCACTACCAACTTCCGCTCCCGGCACAGGAAAGGTTCGTGGTTTAGGTCTGGGTACTCCCAGGCGCACTGCAGGCCCAAGAAAGCCTCCCCCGGTACCGAAAGTCCCTACTACCTTTCAACCAAAGGTTACTGATCATGCGCCTTCACTTTTGGGTGAAATTCCACCAACTGTTGCTCGCAAGCTTAAACTCGTCATGCCCTCTGCCGAGGAGCAGGCTGTACGCGAAAAGAAGGCGGCTGAAGAGCGCAAGCAGAGCCAGAAAGGAACCCGGGCTTTGAAGATCCCGAAATCTCCTAAAAGGGCCAATAGCCCCCAGGTGGCAGGTGAAAAGGCATCAGCTCGTGCTGGTATTACACGTGTCTCCACGCCCGCTAATGCCCCTATCCCTGCCAGCTTTGTGACCGGTGAGGTGGCAGTTCGCCCTGAGCCTTCTGACACACAATTTGCGGCTGCTGCAACTTTCGCCTCGTCTCCTTTGCCTTCGTCTATGGAAGTATCCAAATCAACTACTGCGGAAGCGATTGTGCCTGACACGAACCCATTGCAAACGACGATCAGTCCAGTGCAGACTAATGTTGCTCAGGACCCGGCTCCTTTTGCTGTCATTTCAGCGTTAGCTCAGACCTCTGACACTTCGCGCCAACCTTCATATCTATTTTCTCCGACTATGTCTGCCACTGAAACCAAGTCAGGGCTTCCGGTGTTTACTTCAAGCAGCCCCATCCCTTTTGCATCTCCAGGGAATTCTATCAATGAAGGGTTAGACAGCACTGAGGACAACATCTTCCATTCTCCTGTGTTGAACTCAACCTAACTTAACCAAGTGCTCTTCACACCAATACCTCTTTTTTCGACATCTCTCATGATGCTTTTTGACTTTTTCTCTGGCGCTTTGGATCGGACTCTGGCAGTTATCTTCTTACTTCGATATCCCCTGGTATTAATATTTCTTACCTCTTCTCCTGGCATTCTGGATGGAACCTGGAGTCATGTTGGATGTATTCATTTCTCAATGTTTTAGCCCTGCGTCAATACCCCTTGTTTGATTAGTTTTTATGTATGACCTTTTAATTTGTTATGCTTGCCAGACAGTTTCAACGTTGAGCCTAGTGCTAATAATAATCGTGGATTCACTCTATATACCTCCTGTTAACTTTGATGAGAGTGGGTGACCATTTAGAATGGGATGAATAGATGATTTGATAGGTATGCTAACAGAGAACTAGATCTGCTGGGTGCCGGCGCTAAATCTTGTACATGTTGGACTAATGAGCTCTAAGGGCCTCAACCAAGCTTTTAAGGTTCAAACCTCAACCCCCAGTTCCCCAGTTGGGAATGTGTAGCCCTTGTTAATAGTGTACCAATACGCAACACAAAGAAACACATATGTCTCAGGATTGGCACGAACGAGCTGCAAATTTGTGAACTTGTCACTATTTATCCCTCCCTCATTAGAGTCAAGGTTGAAATATTTGGGGACAGTCTTGGGAGACTTCAGAGCTGCAAGAATTGTTTCCAAATTATCTATCAAAATGTTAGCGCTGTAAGTCAAATGAACAAGGAAATTTTTTGGCCATACAGGATGCATCAAGAGTAGCCCCAGTGCCATGAACGAGGTGAAACAACTCATGAAGAAAGGTCGCGCTTCGAGGCAATAAATTGCTAAGCGTATTTGTTTGGGCAGAACGAACACCCAGAGTCGCGCCATTTTTACTATATTTAAATGCCGATGCGCATATGTCCATTGTAGCAGGATATGTGTTGGACTGCGTTCCTGCAAGAGAGCCTGTGAACCCACAGTATCCCTTGCGATTATAGTCTTGTTCGAAGACGTATTGCTCCAGATCAGCCGACCAGTACGGTACAAGATCTCCAGCCTCATACCACCGACTGTACAGTGAATCCTCTGCTAGAGTCACAGGCTCAAGCTTAAGATCACCATTACACTCCACTTGCTCGTGTTTGACATTTCCAGTGGAAGTACAAGACCAATCGTTCCAGGTTTGCTGTTCCAGCCAGCCACTTCCACAAAATAGCCTAGGGTACTTGCCAGAATCTAGCTGTAAGCCCCCCTCGCAGAACTCAAGAATCTCTTCCATAAAGACTATAGGTAGGAACTATCAATAAAACGGACATGTGGAGATGAAACGTAGCTGTGGATGGCTATACCTTCAAGAGCTTTGACTTCTTTAGCGGCTGTGTTGCCATTGATGCCGAGAAGCAGCTTTAGTGTGCTTTTGGCTGCTTTTTCCCCTTTCTTTGCATCCTGGAAACACTGCACACCTGCCTTGGCCAGTTCCACGGACTCGTCGAACCAAGTCGAGAGCTTGGACTTGTAAGTATCACATCCACCTTTATTTATCCCGGATTTTAGCGTGAAGATAGACTCAAGACTTGTGATACCAAGAACTGAAGGAAGAAGAGCACACAGGAACGTCAATTTTAAGAGGATGTCGACCATTTTCAGAAATTGAAAGTGCTTGTACCTACTTGGTTAGCGAGATATATGACATTTACCTGTGTGCGAAATAACTGCTTTATCTGTATTGAAACAGGCTATGTAGCTAGACGATCCATTATGAAAGTAGCTTACTAGAGTCTATGGGGGGCCTAGTTTAAATTTGGGTGAAGGATTGGGGCTGAAATAACCAGCCTGATGGGACAGGATTGGGTAGGTAAAGTGATAGCTTTCTGTCAAAGGAAGTGATTTGGGATCCACTTTTCGGTGTGTATTTAAGCCAGATTATACTCTAGTTAGAAAATTCAGTTTCATTCATTTGTGGCATTTGAATGATTGGCCAGCCAGTCACAGTCTATTTGACACTTTCCCATTTAGGTTAGACTTTACTCCATGTGGCATGATCGACATTGCATGGCTAGTTTATCATACCCAATTTTCACTTTTTAAGCTATACCACCACGAAAAGGAAAATACAGTAAGAAATTAAACACAACAAGAAGAGCTTTTGAGGCCAATAAACCTCAAAGTTCTTAGATAGCCCGTGATATGCCCGATTAGTCCATTGAAACATTGAATTTTAGCCACCCCATGTGACTATTATACGATGGACTATCTCAGGATTATATTTTTACAAGAGACAGATACTAACTATGTGTATCGCAAACAAATAATTGCCACTGCTATTTCATTCAAATCCTTTGCCAGTGTGAGTTCTCGACGGGCCATATACGCCGTATCGATTCCCACGGTCTTCAGCTGCCCATGTGAGGACTTGCGCATTTGCTCTTCGAATTTGTAGCTTTATAAGTTCAAAAATTGTTGAGTCACCAATTTATAGTTGATAACTTCAATATTTATCCAAAGTATCGAATAACACGTCCATAACGCCATCTTTCAACAGCCTCTCATAAATCAAACTAACCTGGCTCCCAATAGTCTTCTTGCTTTTTTCAGGGAGGCCGTTTTGGCGATTGTATAAAGGATCTTCGCTTATACCACCATGAAGTGGTATGTCTAGTTCTGAACGAACCCAGGTGTACAGCTGTGCAGTTCCATCTCCAAGTTGCAAAGCCACTTCTGGTGGAGATATGGTGGAGCTTGAATCAAATATCGCACCGGCCGTCCTTGAAATAACGTCTTCAAAGCGTGCTTTGAAATCATCCAGTGATGATAGCGAACAATCCAATTGGATTTGGAGCAAAAAGCTGACCACAGGTGATATAACGGCTTCCACCACATGTGAGATACGCTCTTTCCAGGTATTGGAGTTCCAGTGGTACCATGTTGACTCAACAATGGGGAAGAGGGATGCAGACAGAGTGTCGATTTGTGGAGCTGTCAGTCCAAGTCCATGCAGAGCACCGGATGACGTGGTATCTTCTATCCTCTCGCAGAGATTGGAAAGGAACTGGATGTGGCGTGCCCGTAACTCCACAGCTTGGCACGAGACGTAGATATGGCAGGCACTCATATGCGCCACTAGGTCGACAGCTTCCATTGTACGCCGAGCTGTGATGAGAGCTAATGAGTTAATGCCTTGGTTGTGCATCTCTGCCGACATAATGTGGGCTGAAACTGGATGGGCCAAGGCTGCCAGTTCAGACATGTACGCTGACATGTTGATGTCAATTCCTTTCATGGTGTAATTCTCATATGGACTAGCATTGAGATTGGCCTCGAGTCCCTTATTTGTCGCCGGGTTGATAATCTCCGTGACCTGAGACCAAAGCATCCGTCCGATCATTTGAAGAGCGAGGCGTGTCTTGTCCATAGCCGTTGTGACAGATGTTGCTTGGAAGTTCCCGCCGGAGTATATCTCCCCGCCAGATGGACCAGCGGAATCAATTAAAGGATTGTCAGAGGTGGAGTTGAGTTCGACTTCCAATTGTCTTTGTGCGAGAAGAAGATCTTCTAGATACGGACCGATCCATTGGGGAGCTGTTCTCGTCGAGTATCGATCCTGCCACAGCCCATCCCCAGTCCTCTTCCTCGATTCTAGACCGACGACAAGCTTGGAGCCCCGTAAGAAGCGTCGGATATTGTTTGCTACTTCAATTTGACCAGCATGGGGTCTCGTAGCATGAATGAAGGGATGAGTCCACTCGACATTTCCGCCAATTGACTCTGCAGAAAAAGCTGTCAAGACCTGAGATAGCAGCGCAAGCTGCTGCGTATCATACAACACGAGACTTGCCACTGCGACGGAAGGAGCAGTGCCGTTGATGAGACCCAGTGCCTCCTTGGGGCCAAGTCCAGTTGGAAAAATTCTGCTCTCTTGCAGCGCTTCTGGAGATGGTAATACTCTCGCATTTTGGCTCTTTCCAACTTGTACGAAAATATCCGGATTTCCAGTGATTGCTCCAGCAATATACGCCATGGGCATGAGATCTCCAGATGCAGAAATTGTGCCTCGAAGGGGAATCAGTGGGGTGATATCGTGAATCAACAAATCAATCAAGCTCTGAATAACATTCATGCGGACAGCACTGTGGCCTCTGAGATTCTGATTTGCGCGAGCGACAATAGCTCCACGAACCCATGAGGGTGGCATCACATGTGAAGGCTCCCGCTCCGAATTACTCGCCGGGTTCTTGTCGGCCTCTGTAATGATTGCACTCTGGATAAATTGAAGCAAATGCGTTTGTAGATCGATGAGCGCATTGGTTCTAGTGTCAGCACTGCCTCCGAAACCAGTGTTGACTCCGTAAACGACCCAATCATGCGAAAGATATTCAGCGAGGGCGTTCACACTTAGTTCGATCTTTTGGGCGAGTTGGTCATCTGTGCAGATGCTGGGCTTGACGTCATAACGAGCGACAGCAACAATAGAGGCAACGTCAAGACTGTTCCCGTCAAGGATTATAGTGGCCTGGCCTTTCAGTTCGCGTAGGCGCCTCCATATATGGAGTGTGGCGCCGGTGTGCGCTGCCAGTTTGGTGAATGTCATGATGACCTAGAGAGATCAGATCAACTTGCGGGTAAGGCGTCCGCCACAGAGCGCAGATTGGTAGTAGATTTAGCTGGTCTTTCAAAAATTGAAAGTCAGTATGTGTTCAACAGGTTCTGTGTCACTGTCTTACAGAATAATTCTCAGTTCTTATTGGAGACTATACTGAAGCACAAGAAGTTGAAGTATGAAGAGAATTATGGTGAAAATAAGATGGAAAGTTGCGGTAAAGACTGTAAAGTAGTGAAGTATGCCCAGCATTTGGAAAATTATTTCATATCGGACTGATCATAAATGACTGATCAAATCAAGTACATACTACATATTGTGTATGTAGGAGGAGTTTGAATCTATTGATCAAACACTTGGGTTAGTATCGTGACAATTCTACTTACCAGTTCTGGTAGCTTCAGCCCTAGATCTTCTTTGTTTTAGTGGTACTTGCGTAACTTGGGACGAAATCAAACGCAGTAATCAAGCTATTCAATTCTCTGTAATAATTATGATGTTTTGATCCTAGCATTCCGGTTTGTAGCCCCTTACTCTGGATTCTCCTTGGAAGAGTAATTAATGCATATGTTTGCCTCCAAGATAATCGAAGGGGGTGTCAGTTTAAGGCTCTAAGGCCACATATATTAGGCCCAAAATCATCTTTACATCCCTGAATTGCGTAAACTAAATACACTCTTGGATTTATTCCCCGTCCATGCCCAGGGCTCAGGCCCCAACCCTTCAGATTTGTCCTACATAACCATCCATGGATGTGACACTGAAATGATAGATCTCAGATCCCTTCAACTCCGTATGTACTTGAGTGGATTGAAACCGGGAGCAAACCTGCGCATGAGCCGCTATTACCCCAACGTCCCAATTGGTCAGCGTTTACTTGAATACATCTGAAGAAAGTCTTCGTGAAGAAAGGGAAGCTGATCTATGTGTACCTGAAAAAGGAGCCAATAATATTGATGCATTCCCGATCCATAAATAGATTGACATGCTGATTAATGATTCTCCACGTTTGTAATCACATGCTGGTGCCTTCTACTTCTCACTATATCTTCAATAATAACAACTATACGATACCCCCTTTCGAAGCATAACAACCTACGTCCCTTTCCTATAATGCCACCTATCAGCATATCCAAAGCGCGCTCCGCGACACCCGAAAATTCATTCACCAAGATGGACGATAAAGACGTCGAGGCCATCGGTCGCCATTGCCAATACGAATACTGCGGCCAGCTAGACCTCCTTCCTTTTAAATGTGAATCGTGCCGTAGCACTTTCTGTCTCGATCATCGAACTGAAACAGCCCATAAATGCGCCAAGGCAGGCGAGTGGGCTCGACGCCGAAACGGCACAACCCCCCGGAACGAGAACAGCCCATCACCCGAGAGACCGAATATATACAACTCAGATCAGTGCTACCATGTCTCTTGCAAGACGCTCATCAATACACTTAAAGACCCGGGCGTGCGCTGTCCTAATTGCAACCAGCAATACTGTCTCAAGCATCGTCTCAAGGAAGAGCACGACTGCGCAAAGCTGCGCCAGTTCGGCGCTAGACAGGGTGTGTCGCCTAATGAGACGATTAAATCTATATTTGCAAAGATGCGTGAGTGGGGGAAAGATACACAGGCGGCAGGTGCCCAATTGATCCCTAAGCCGAAGGTTAAACCAAATAGTCCTGCTGCGCGAATGGCAAGCGTTAATAATATGAAGCGCTCGGCTAAAGGGGATGCTAAAGTTCCTGCTGATAAGCGGCTGTACTTGCATACGGTTGGAACGGCAGATACCCAGGCTACTGAGCCGCCTTCGGGTGACTTCTACTTTAACTCAGAGTGGAAGGTTGGCCGTGTGCTCGACGATGTAGCGCGAAGGCTGCACGTCGAGAATATGAATAACAGGAGTCCTGGGGAGGAGGAACGACTACGGATCTTCCATGTCGAGTCTGGGGAGTTCTTGGAATTCTCGGATTCCGTTGGAAGAAAGGCGAAGTCGGGCGATACAATCGTATTGTTGCGGGGCGCTGGACTCGTCTTGGAGAAGTCATAGTAATTCTTTCACTTTTATACCCTGGTGTGAAACACTTTTCATCTAATACCCACCGAAATCCGATATCCGGACGTATCCACGCTTCCTGGGTCTACAACGCTGAAGAATTGAGTGACTGCTCTGTTCTACTCCAGGTCCTATATCCAGAGTATATCCCCTTGGATTTTGTACAGTTTCTCAAGCCATATATGATTAATCTAAACCAGAATTTCTCCTTTCCCGTGCTTCTCCTTGCCCCTAGTTATAGTATATATCGATATAGTCTATTCAACCTTGCAGTTGATCCGATCCTATGAAAGGAGTTTAAAGGGTATCGACGCTTTGTTCCATTCCACAAAAGACTATGATTATCTAAAAAATCTATTCTACTCAAACACTCATCTTCATCTTGATGATCTTGTGAGGCTTATAATTGATAACCTCAAACTCATCTTCCTTCCAGCCGTCAACGACCGCACTACCACGATCATCACGCTTGATGCGCAACTCCGGGAACTCAGTAGGCTCACGAGTTAGCTGCTCATTCAAGGCATCGACATGGTCGAGGTAAACGTGCGCATCGCCCATAGTGTGAATCAAAGTACCAGGGTGAAGATCAGCAGCGTGGGCAAGGATGTGGACAAGAAGCGCGTACGAAGCGATATTGAATGGCACTCCAAGACCCATGTCACAAGAGCGCTGGTAGAGCTGGCAAGACAGTGTACCCTTCTCAGTCGGGCGGCCAGTCTTCTCATCGAGCTTGTTGGTCGGTGGGAAGGAGACGTAGAACTGCGCGAACATGTGGCAAGGCGGCAGGGCCATCTTGCGTAGATCGGCCGGGTTCCACGCACTCATGATAATGCGTCGGTCAAAGGGCGAGTTCATGATCTTATCTACGACATCTTTGAGTTGGTCCACGCCCTGGCCTGTGTAGTCTGCCTTGGCGTCCACGTACTCTGCGCCGAAGTGTCGCCATTGGAACCCGTACACGGGGCCTAAGTCTCCTTCCTCACGATGTCCCAGTCCTACTTTATCCAGGTACTCACGGCTACCATTTCCGTCCCAGATCTTGATCCCGGCTGCGGAAAGTGGCAGGGATGATGTGCAACCTGAGATGAACCAGAGGAGCTCGGCAAGGACGGCGCGTAGGAAGACGCGTTTTGTCGTGAGGAGTGGTAGCACTGGGATTGGATCGCCACCTTCTGGGTTGGGCTTTGAGAGGGAAAATCGGAGTTGTGGAGGCGCAAATAATGATCGCGTGCCGGTGCCTGTGCGATCAGGCCTGTGTTCGCCCTCGGAGAGGATTGTGCGAATCAAGTTGAGATATTGCTGCTCTTCATGCGAGGAATTTTGTTCTAATTGTTCTGTCGAGACAGCAGCGGTGACTTGTTCTTGAGTCATGATGTCTATATCGATCAACAACCAAGGATGTTATGTGTAGAGGGGAGATAATTCAGACCGCGTTCTCGCGTTTTGACGCGATCAATTACCCGCAGTGGGTCGTTTTGATCTACTTCGCCCCTCGGCAATACTAACTACCCTTGCCTAACATTACTATCAAAATTGAAGGTCGATATTATTTGATACATGCCCAGGATTCAGCTTGGAAATGGTCACGATATTTACTGATCATATATATGCAGTTACTCAGTCATTATGAGAGTATTAGTCTCTAAGCAAATCCATTCCAACACCGCGCAGAGCACCAACTGCCCATTCAGGATACTTGGACTTATCGCCTTTATAAATCTTCGAGAAAAACTCGCAAATGAAAGCGGGATAGCGATCTTCAATAATTGCCTGTCGTATGGACCCCATCAAGGCCAGCATGAAGTGCACATTGTGCATACTCAGTCTAGGTAAAGATGAGTAAAAAATCATTATACCATCTGGAAATGAACTTACAGGTGGGCACCGACAGTCTCCTTTGCTGTCACATGGTGCATATATGCTTTGGTTACTCCTAGACCACCCTTTTCGACGGGCAGGCAACAGGGACAACCGCAACCCTCTTCAACCGGGGTGAAATCGTCTACATAGCATCGATTTCGAAGATTCAAGGTCCCAGACGAGACAATGGCATTGCCGAAGCGCTAAATCGATGTCAGCTGATGACCGACCCTAAAAATGGATCAATACTTACTGCAGTTCGTGTCGGCCACACACAGTCGAACATATCTGCACCAAGGGCCACTGCCACAACGATGTCCTCGGGGTATCCCTAGAGAGAAAGCATCAGTTTAACAGACCTTGTAATAGAATTGATCTGGTGTCACGTACCACGCCCATTACATATCGGGGCTTGTTCTCTGGTAGAATTTCAGTGCATGTCGCCACACTTCAAGCTCATCAGCAAATAATCAGACATTTGGAGAATGGAGGCACATACACTTTGCAAAACTCTTCCTTGTCTTCGCCTCCAGACAATCCTCCAATAGCGATTCCCGGTGTATCACGAGCCGCCATTTGGGCACAGCACTCTTTCCGAAGCTCCAAATCTAGGCCGCCTTGAATAATGCAGAATAGGTTCTGTCTTTCGGGATACTTATGTGCGTCGATACAACGATCTAACCACCGTACAGAGCGCTCCATGGCTTCCTTGATTCGAGCCTGATCTGGGGATGTAGTAGCAATCACATCGTCTAATTGCATGATGATATCGGAGCCGATGGAATTTTGGAGAGAAATGGAGTGTTCGGGGGTAAGAAGCCTGATATTTGGTCAGCCATTTGACTGGATATGGCACAAATGCAGTATCAAAGGAGTCATACATCGGCGAGCCATCATGATGGCTGAGGAATCGCACGCCTTCCTCGGTAACTGTAGCCAACTCTAACAGAGAGACCATCTGGAATCTATAGTTCAAAATGGCCCAGTCAGTTTAAAATGGCATTTTCAAAGCTTGAAGTGCCACTCCCAACTCACCCTCCGCTGTCGGTCAAGATATTCCGATCCCATCCTTGCAGTTTATGTGATCCACCCACAGCATCAAGGACCTCCTGTCCTGGTTTCAATCCGAGGTGGTATGTGTTGTTCAGACAAAGCATACATCCTGTTTCGCGCAACTGGTCGTATGTCAAGCCTTTGAGGGATGCCTGTGTTGCGACGGGCATGAAGATGGGGAGAGGGACAGAGCCATGAGGGAGTTGGAGGGTGCTTGCACGAGCTCTAGTGGTCTTTAAAGGAGAACAACTGATCAGTATTAAGGCTTCTTTGTAAATTATGGCGGGGAATCGATACTGAGCATTTCGCATGCCGCTCAAATGTCAATGCTGAGGGCATAGCTTTTCGGATGGGTGCTTGTGTCGACATATTTGCTGGAATAATAAAAAATTTTTTATAAGTATTTCCAGTGTAATTTCTTGCTGATCGGAAGCATTGCATGGAGAAGAGAAATTGTGCCAATCGCAAGCGTAGCGCGTTCAAGATGCGACATCTGAATTGTTTGCTCGGTTTGCATGAAGTATAAATTTGTATATGCTTGGCATTATTTATCCTCAGCTTAACTCCCCATCATGGGCTCGGCAGTACCTCGTAAAGGGGTATTGACTCAACTAAGAGCGGGCAAGGGAACCCATGCGATCGCGCAAATTGTTCTTGTAGAGATTCTTGAACACCTTACCGGGCATATAACGCACCATTGTCTCCACTAAGCGGGAACCAACGGCATCGTAGAGCAAGCCGCGGATGAAAGTCGCACTTTCCGTTCCTTCTTCGAAAGTCTCGTCTGGGACAAGTCTCCGCAAGGTCGATTTCGGGTCCTTAGCGCTGGATTTGCCAAAGTGGGAGAGTTCGAGGAACATCATAACCTGCAGGACTGGGTTACCCATAGGCTGGGTAGCCAAGGCACGAAGATAAGTGTCGTCCAATCCCGAGACCATGTCGTTCATGATATTCTTGAGTGTGTACGTTTTTACATACAACGTACGCTGGTAGATGAGATACCTAGGTACTTGGGAGTGTTGTATCGCTTCTATATCGATCCTATGTTGCGGTTTTGTTACTCTCACCTTCACCTTTATTTTCAATTCCACTTTCACTTTCACTTTCAATTTTAATCTCACTTTCCTCCTCGTCTTAGGCAATCATTTAGATGGTACCATATCATGTGGTATCCCGTCATATTTAATTCTTCTCTTCCAACTTCTCTTCCACTCTTCAAACCTGGGCGCTTCCAAGATTTCGATAGCTTGTGTTTTGCCGTCACTTCATGAGGTAGTCATGGAAAAGCTTGAGGGTGAAATGATGAGACAAAGAGGAATGCCATCTACAGCACTTTTAATCTCCAAAGCTCCATCAACAACTCCCCGGTGCGATAGAGAACTCCTGTTGATGCTATTACAGCACATTGTTGTTGAGAGGTAGAGATGATCGAAGCTATCCACCCAGTCCCCGTCATCGACAACGGTCAACACTAACAGAGACAACCTTCATATTCTAATGAAACTCGTTTGAGCTTCAGGTCAGGTCATGTAAGACTATATAATTGCCAAGCCCGCCACACCACCGGGGTTACCAATCCAAGATTTCTCGATGATCAGACAATGCATGCAAATATACATCGATGGTCTTTAAATCCTCGCGAATATAGTGGTCTGTCACGAGACTGATGCTGCTAAGACGGATGGATGTTCCGTTGACGTCAGCAGATAGAACTCCTCCGTGCTAACGACAGCTTCGTAGGCCCAGTCCTCCTACCTTACAGCATTCACAAACATTGGAAAGTTTGGTTTTTCTCTCACGCAACGACCTTTAGAAAGCTCTCCTCAGACATTTTCAGAATAGCGGCCCCTCATCCTATGAAAAATACAAGCTCATTCAGGAGTACATCCTAAAGTGCCCAAGATCAACGTGAAACTATGTCATGCACCCTACGGCTCGCTGAAACATATTATGGCGCCTTTGAAGAAATTATCAGCACAGGTGTACTGAGTTCGCCCGTAAAATTACAAAACTCAATGTTGTGCATACACGATCTTTTATGGCAGCATGATACCATCTCTAAATGGCTATGATGTGTCCATTAAAGAGCACGTTGGGTTGGTGTCGGTGATGGGGAACCCAAAACAGTCCGACTCCCGAGGTAAAGACCCCAGCATATACTTACTTCACTATAGAAGGCAGAACCAAGATTCTCGACCACGAGTCACAGTACTCGGAGCAGCTTATTGATACGAAATCAAAACGCGTAAAGACAACTACATTACCATTTTAATATGTTATTTGTCCAAAGGCATTCACAACCAAACGAACCCTGGGAAATCATGTTTATATCTGTCACAAATTTCAGTCAACATCAAAGTAGAATTTCGGTATGAAGCTCCGGTGGTATCAGATAACAGTGAACTCTGGGCTCAGCGATGCAATGCATTCAGAGTCGCTACGCTAAAGTAGCATTCACTCGATCATCTCCAGGGCTATTTACCGGTGACAATATTTTACGATTTGATCAGGGGCAAAAGTGTGTGTCCTCAAGGCCGGAAAAGGCCCATGTGAATTCCTTACTCAGCTGAAACAATGGTATGGGATTCCAATCAATCCAACCAAAGCGCCAAGTTCTACCTTTCAATTACCCTTGAATATCCATGCGAGTGGATCTCATCTGCCTCGAGGGCCTCGTATTCACAATTGCTGGTGCTCCGCTACACCCAGAGTACTCCTGATGATGCAAATAATTTCATAAATGTTCAACGTATGGGCTTACTACATGTACCCACAGATATTGCGAGCCTTTGGGGAATGAGACAGATACAATTTATTCGTATACATAACAGCAACGGTAATGGGGAGAGAATAGCCACATATGGCACAAGTCATCTGTTCACGTAGTTTCCAATCATTAAATGCACCCTAGTCTTTAAGCACCTCCACCTCCACCGTCACCTCCTCCACCTCCACCGTCACCTCCGCCACCATCCACAGCATCCACAACACTCGCAACACCATTCATAACACCATCCACAATACCAGGAAAATCTCTGGAATGTCTGCGACGATTCTTCTTATTCTTGGATCGATATTTGTTTCTGTTATAATCACTCGCGTAGACTACCGGGCGTGGAGCTTTTGTATAGGCATCATGTTTTTGGCTCCTGAAAGGCCAACACATTGATTATTGAGGGTAAAGATCTTGGAAGTTGTAGGACTTGGGCTGAGTTTCAGGCGTGTCTTTGACTCTTGAATATAGGGATCAGATTTGGTATTAAGCTGAAAGGATTAGAGCTGCAATTGCTAAACTCGATGATTCTGAGACCGTTGTTTTATGATAGAAATCGATTAGGCTGACGTAATAGTACTAGCACTCAGCCACTCCACGGGGCAAACTAGGTACCACTAGCGGGATGGTAAATAATAACAAGACCGGCTTGGTCTAATTCTTTGGAGTTACCCTACGGTCTGTGGACTATTAAATGTGGAAGGAACTTTGACGATCCTTATGGACAGGTCTTGGATGAAGGTATTTCCATCAACTGTTAAGGCGACTCAGCATGAGTGTCAAGTTCTTATTGGCCATCTATACCTAGATAAACCTCAAGGCTGACTTCCAAGGTTGACTTCATATGTTCATATGTGAAGATAAAGGGTCGCCTAGGTCGGGCGATACTTACTCCGCGCTACCGAGGTATAGACCGTGAAAGTCCCTATGCCCAACACTTTTGATAAAATATCAACTGTCTAGAAGATAATTTTCTATTTTCTATTTTCAGGGTTTGGAGAACTTACATGCTCTGTTGGAATACTCCAGATCTCCTAGATAGAGGCGTATCCATACTGAAAGTACAACACTCGAATACATAGCCTGTTTAGGCACATAGCCAAATCACACAAATATCTTACCCAGAGTTTGCCTAGATACCTCTAATCAGATGAAACACTACAGACTGATGTGGAACGAAAAAAAACCCCTAAAAATCGAGTATCGAGATTCTCTGTTAACAGGTTTTATATATAAACAAAGAGATGACAGCCAATCTGATAAGAAACCTATCCATACCTAACTTCTTTGCCGAAAGAGAGAAAAGAAACAGTAAACGACGATGTACAAATCCAATTCAGCCCATCGCTAATAGCTATCCAAAGAAAAAAAGAAAAAGAAAAAGAAGAGTTCCTTCAAATCTCGCACTGTTAGACTTCCTGAGATGAAAATTGCTTGAGAAATGCAGAGCCCATTTCCCACCTGATCTGTCGTATTTCATGTTAAATTCCTCGCTCCTCTCAAATATACTCGCTTCTTATCAACTTTCTCATTATAATTGTTGTGTCTTTGAATTCGGACGGCTTCCCGTTGGTCACACAGTATCTACCAGGCTCCGGGTCAGTTGTAGCCTGATAAAGAGAGATACAACAAGGTACCAGGTATCACCGTGAAAAACAATGTGAATCATACGACTGAGTAGAGACACAAAAATGTCATGTGGATTGACGGAAGAGCCCCACAGGCCATCCATGGTTCACATCACACACTAAATTGTCTTCATGCGATCAACAACACTGGAGTAAAGCAATTCCATCGGCCAGAGTTCCGAAGAAAAACAAGGAATCTCGCCGCACCTCAAGGCCGGAGAATTAATTTGAAGACACCGTTCCTGACGTCGGGATCAAATTGGGTATCACAACCATGTTGGTAAGTCACACCGGACCAGAATTGGTGTACGTAGTAAGGACCAGGGTGATTACATCTCAGACTCTCCATTGAGAATGAAGAGAGCTCAGCGGTAGTCCGTCTTCTGCTGGTCAAATCTCCGGATCTGTCGATTACGATTTGGCTTGTTTTCCTCCAGGCCAACCATTCCCAGACCCACACAGTACAAGGGAGAGTGTTGCAAAAATTATGCAGAAGCCAGCTGTCAAGATTTCACCGGACCAGGAAGGAAGTCCGAAGTTTCATGCGCATTCCCGGGATTCGGGATTTGTCATTGTCAGAGAAATCGAGCTCAAAAAGGAAAGTTGAGTCGTTTCGTTTTATTTTTCGATGCGGAAGGTGGAGTGGTGCGTTGGTGAATTGATTTTTTTGAGCCTGCATGCACAACCAAGAGCAAATGAGAGAGAGCAGCAACCAATGCTGTGGACCCGCACAAGGAAGTGCTGGCTCAGGCAGTTGGAAGAAAGATGGAGCGAGTAGAAGAAAGGAAACGAAAGGAAAGCGAAAAAAAAAGAGGGCATATTGCCCCGGAGCCACAAACCCCACAAAAATAAAAAATAAGGTCAAAATAAAAACACAATTGAAGAATGAAAGTCTCCCCCCGAACAAAAGAAATAATTCGAACCTAGACATGTGAATGGACTAGAATCCAGGCCCTCCACCATAGCCGGTAGCTTGCTGGGGCCAGAGCTGACCTGCATGAATGGTTGAGGATCGGGGTTGCTGGTTCAACAGCTTCAGAGCGACCTCGGCGGCATCTTCTTTGGCATTGTTGATGTATTGACCGTCATACCAGTATCGAGCAGCAACATGTTCACCTCTGACAGTAACAGTGCTTGACCAAGCAGTTCGACCCCCTACATTTCAAGGATCAGTCATTGTAAATGGGAAGTAAAAGTCGGTGTAAACGCGTCTTTGCCTCTTTTGCAGAGATCCACATCTGCAATGCCCAGACAGGACTGGGTGAGTCCAGGAGAAGGAAATCAAAAATTGCAAATAATGCATTCAACAAGGGGAGATGACGATGAGGAAGAGGGAAAGCGGATAGATACCTCGCCGATCGGACACAATATTGAAGACAGGGGGAGGTAACTTAGTACTTCTGCAGTGGGCTTTTCGAAATGATTTAGTACGAGAACGGAGTAGCATGTTTCGTTTTTTCTTCAGAGGACTTGTGTGGGGGGCGTAGGATTGAAGTATCAATTGGCTTACCCTGGAGCTGGTCTTGCCAGCTAGGCCTTCCAGCAGCACTTCCCTGAGGGCTTGTTGGCAGTGACATGTTGTAGGAAAGGATATATGTAATTGTATGAATGTCAAGAAGCTTCCAAGCTTTCAAGGCTTAAGGGATTGGGTTGGTTCAAGATTGGATTGTATCTAAATGGGGATGTGAGGGGAAGGGGAAAGAGACTGTGAGGTTAAAGGAGTATAGGAAGAAGAAAGAATCCACTTTCCAATGGAACTTGGCGTGACCTTTAAGTGTTGATGGAGGGGGAAGAGCGGGGAGTGATATAAATCAACTAGTATCTCCAACCGAGAATAAAATCTAAAAAGTCCCCATTCTAAATAGAATTATTATTTTTCTTTTCCCCTGGCGTGACAAACATGGAGCCCAACCGTCAAACCTAACGGACTTATGCAGGATACTGGAGACATGGTACCCCAAGCCAAATCCCCCTCCCTCCTCCCTTATCCGCGGGACATGCGGATCATTTTGAGGCTGCATTGGAAGCTGGAACGGCCCGGCGCACGCCGAACCTGAAGAAACGCTAGACAAAGTTGTAAAGGCGAAATTGTTAGCTGCAGAAAATAGATAGACTAGAAGCTCTACTCATCTATAATATACACGTCTATTCTAAAGATTTAATCACCTGCGAGGCAAGGGATGATTAGGAAAAACTATTAAAGTAAATCATAAGCATAGGCTATACTGGACAGGGCCAAATAATGGATAATACGAAGATTACATAGGTAATTGAACAACTCAGAGCACTAGAATGCCCTGCCCCTGCCTCATTGACCAGGCGTTTACAGGGGATTGAAGTAGTTCGTTAGTCCTTCTTAGCAGAAACTCTGTATATATTGCATGGCATATGCAGATGAGCCGGGGTTAATCTCTGCCCAAAAGCCGCAACGAAGGAAATCAGCTCTTGCTCTCTCCACTCTCCATTCTCCACTCTCCACACTCCGCACTCTGTACTTCGTACTATAGATTGTACGCCCAAAGAACAGATATGGAAGGGTAAGTCCAAAACAGCCCTGATCCAGGTTGGGCCGCACAAGAGGTCGAATTAAATGCCAGCTCATCAGGATGAGATCATTGCCGTTGAACTAACGTCAAACCGTTCTCGTTCGTCGTCCTAATCTAAATTGAGGCGTTTTACTAATTTAATTCTAATTTAAATTCGGTCTTCTCTGCTAAAGCAATATCTAAGGAGTGCTTAAATAAGTGGCCTGGTCGACCCCGCCGAGACCGGGGTTTACCCATAAACCGGGCCGCTCTGCATGAACAACAGTAGATCAAGGATCAAGAATAGAATGATGAAGTTACATTCTAATTGCTTCAATGTAATAGATGATTCCAAAGTTCAATTGCAAAGAGCCCCAGTTCATAGCTGTGGACTCGCATACAGCACAGAGCCAAGAAATTTAGAGCCCTATGTACTACATACCTTGGTGCCCAGGTGCTTCCCCAGAAATCTCTCTGCCCACACATGTGCAGCCTCTTTCCATACCTCATAATTTCGGGGTCTATCCACAAATAACATAAAAGTTGCATCGGGCTGATCCTCACAATTGCCCAAACTATTACCAAACGGCCACGACCATAATCATCAACGGAGATGGGTCCGATTCGCTGCCTTTAGCAGAGCGAAAAGTTGGGCATTGATGCATACATTCCATACATGCAGTTCTGCTTTTGTTGACATTGTTGATGCAATGGCGCTTGGTTCTCTGTGTATAAACTCTACAATACTCCAACCTGGGATTATGCAGCTAACTTAAACGAGGTAGGTAGGGTATAGCTTTCTGGAATCGAGCCAGCTAGAAACAAAAAGAAGAACAAAACTCTCGGAAATGCTTTAATTTGTTTTAGGATAAGCGCCCTTCTTCCAGGGTTTCCTCGGGTCTATCCCAAGAGCAGTAATGCAAAAGCACCGTGACTAACTGGATAGCCTGGAGATTGACTCAGGCGGCAAATGGGCCAGGGTCTTGAACGCGTTCTGTAAAGATTCATTCAGGGCCAATCGATTGTCTTATCCTTTCTGTCAATTGCATGTGGGCTGTTTTTATTGTTCCTCAACGCCACCAATTTCAAAGCCAATGCCACCTGGGCAATGACAATGCCCATAATCTCGACTCTGTACGCCGTAGCTCTCAAGAGTGGTATACTACCCAAGGTTTGTCATCAATTTTATGTAAATGATCCATTTGGGAAAAGAAGACAGCGATCAGACTTTCCTATATGCATCGCCAGCAGTGCAGACCTCTGGAGCGCAGAGTTCATGTAAATGTCAGGGCCCAACAAGCTGACATCATACTCACCTGGGTAGCTGGTGCTAACAAGCCTCAAAAATGCAAGCACCTAAAGCATGCCGAGGATAATACCAATATAGATTTGATTTGATTTGATTTCCAAGTTTAAACATTTCAATGCAAGGTAAAAACGCCTGATATCCGGTTCTCCGAATATCCAATGCATCCATTTCATTCCGCTCCCTGATCAAACGCGATCTTTCATGCACATCATCCTGATACAGCCCCATATATACCAGATCCAGATCCAGGCATCAGTAGCCAATATAGAATCAACAACGAAGGAAAGAGATAGAAATAGAAATAGAAACAGCCATAGGAATCAATGACTCAAGAATCAATGTCAGAAGTCATCATAATGGAAAAAAGAAAACGTATATGCTCAATTCCGATTTCATGTTTTTTTCTTCGCTCCCCCGACAGCTCCTTGCTCGTCTAGGCTGATCCTCGCCGCTGAAGAACCTCGCCTAATAGTCGGCGTGGGCCCATTCGCTCAAGACCTTTTGTCAATGGCGCCGGTAACATCCACGGAACGCGACGTTCGTGGTGCCAGCGGCGACGAATACAATCATCTACGAGGGCAACTAACCCTGTCGCGACAATCACACTAGAGGAACCGGTTGATCAGCTTTGAACTTCGCGTGTACATGCATGCAGATTTATGCAGTGAACGCGGAAAGGAAAGAGGGTGGGGGTAAACCGTAGGGTAGAAAAGAGAAAAGTGGAAAGAGTATGACAGAGGCAAAACAGGGCAGAGACGAAACAGTAGAAAAAGCAAACGTCAGAAAAAGGAAATCGAAATAAAAAAATAAAAATAAAATAATACTCACTCGGCAATATCGGACATCCGTTCATAAACGAGCGGGTCACTTATCCACAGCGAGCACGGCGGAACCCAACCACCCTTACTTTCCTCCTCGATAACCTCCAATGGAGCCAGAATCCACGGCACCATGTGTGCGATCGTTTTTGAGGTACGGGTATCAACAAGGTGATACGACACTTCTCGCAGATCACCTTCTTTCCGGAACTCGCGTCGCCACTGGTACTTTGTAGACCAATATTCATATTCGTACCGCTTAGCATTCCAAGGCCCGCGCCGTCGCAGCTCTACATGTGCGTAGTTGGCGAATTCCATCAAGATGGTGTCTTCAAGCACAGGGCTCTTGATGTCCGTTGCATTCCCATGTTCGCGGCAATGGCCACCTTCCCAGTTCGAGCTCTGGCGCTTGAGACTATCGCCATGCGCGTGATTGTGGCTGTGGCTATGAGGGCCTGGTCGGAGACTTGCTAGGACGCTGCTCCATGAGCGGCGCAGTATGGGCCTTTTATCCTGGGATGTAGAGGCTGCTTTGCGGGCTGTGTGGCAGACTTCACGGCCTGAGTCGCGACAGTACCGACGCAGCGAGAACTTTCTGGAGAACAGATCGTACATACGGAGATGGAATAGGATAACTTCTTGCTGGTAGCCGCCGCGACAGGGGACTGAGGTGTCGACTCGTAGATTCATGTTTCCATCTAGAGTGGCGTCGTCGTGTCGAATTAACAGTCTTCGCGACGAGGGGAACAGACTTGCAAATGAAGTCGGTGTTGATGAGAGAGCGTCTGTTGGGAAAATTTCCTGGCGGTCACCGACTTCATAGAGTGGCTCTTCGGCATCTGTCGTTGAATGAGTAGTAGATGCATATGTGGAGACTGAGTCTCGAGGGCCAGATTCAGATTCGGATTCGGATTCATCCTTTTCGGTCTCTTCTTCAAATCCGTTCCAATTTTGATATTTGGCCGTTATGATTGTACGGTCGCTGATTGCTGTCGGTGCTGTACTCTTTGACCGATCGGAATCATGAGTATCTGTTGAACTGGAGCTGCCTCCACTGGTACTACCAGAACGGTCTTTGGATGAAGTATAGGAGCCCATGATGAGCTGATATGGGAGTATAGCTCTGGTATTTATATGAAACGCGCCAGTATTAAACGTCAGATAACCTTTTGATATGTATCAATATGACACGGCGAATCTCGGGTCAAGTGGGGGTTTTGTTCTGGTTGCCTGGTCGATTTGACTTAGATCCCAACAGTAGTGGGGGGGTCAAAAAGGGGGTATAAAAAGACGAATACTCCGTACTATCGATCACAATCACACACCACGCAATTTGACAGATATATGAATGGAAGAACCTTGGAAGCTCGGAATGAACAGGCGAATTTACCCCTGTTCTAATCAGATGATAAGCTCGGAGTATCGGGTCCGTGAGTAACAGGGGTCATTGGAGAATGTGTAAGATTCAAAGATTCCAAGGGTATGGAAGATGGATAAGGGGAATCTTGGAGTTTAGAAGAGACAGAAAAAACAAAAGAAATAGAATGTGGGCAGGTCAATAATAGTTAAAAAGAGAATGAGGCAAGGAATGTCCGAGGTAGTAGCCCTATGATTTGATTTGATTTGACATGTTTGTGCCCTGTAAAGGGATCAAAGAAAAGCCTCAAAGCTATCTGTACAATTCTATTTCGTTGCGACAAACTAATGCCCAAGTCCTACACTCGGATTCTTTTAACTCACCTATAGGAGAACCTAGCAAACCCCCTTGGCTCCGCGCTCATCATGGTGTAGATGTTTTTTTGTTGTGTCGATTCTTCATTCGCTCACGAATGCCCTCATCTGACTTTTCAGTGCTCTGAGCTCTCGGGTGCTAAAACCAGTTAGAGATGAGGGATAAGAAATGGAACATGTTCTAGACAACACTCGGGCGTTTGTTCTCGGACTTTGATGTATAAGCGTATTATGTCACGGAGAAGGCATAGAACTGATTGGATTGCTTCTCTCGAACCTGTTCTTTCCCTAAAAGGTTTCGGTCTCGGTTTCCTTTCAGAAATTTCTCCACTTAAACGCATTGATATACAAGAGTAGAGTGATAGAGGTGTAGTCCTGTATACTGTACCGCCGTTTTAAGGCGCGGTCCGACCCGATACCACTCAAAACCGAAAAGCAAGTGACAGTACAATGTTTAACTATACCGGTTTTCTCGAAGTGGAGATTGACTACATCCTTCCTCGCCCAGATATTGCCCAGTCGGTCTTAACAGCCAACAAAAAGCAGTATCATTCTATTAAATGTCATACTTGTTATTCGCGCGGGGGTGACGACATGTGTAATGCGGGAAACTTAAAAAGACAGGTTATCTACGGTTTCAACTCGATTCTGACCGAGATCGGCGAATACACATCAGATCGAAATGATATTCATGAAATCAAAGCCGAAATCGGAGTCTAATATGGCGTCATGAAAATAGTGAAACTAGAGGAAAGCGAATAGCAACCCATGTTAAGCTTGCAGCTTGCTTAGATCTGCGCATACAGCGGCTGAGGAAGATCATCTCCTGGTCGGATCATCTTTCCGGTAGGAATATGGCTTATCAGGCCAGCTTGGTTATCCGGATTATGGAATCCCACGTATGCTTCCCGTCGGGCAGGGTTCTCCACGGTAACAGACCAAGTATGCAGTCCATAATACGAGGCGATGGAGTGCACAAGCCATCGACTATACAGGGTTAGTCCTAGATATCTAAGATGGGAAAGAGACAGCTCACCCGAAACCGGCAGAGGGGTCGTCGACCAGACTCTCAAGTACCATCTTCTCTCCATCGCGCTCATTGTGTGAATTTATCTCCTGGCGTAGCAACTGTAGTCGCTCCTTTCGATCTGGGGCATCATGCATCTGCCCATTGCGACCGACGAAGACGATCTCATCCTCCGAGTCGCTGGGCACATCTTGCAGACCCTCATTCTCGAGGTACAGTTGTTTCTCGTTCCACTTCCGGATGAAAAGCCGTACGTCATCTTCTAGGTCACGGAGCATGCCATGAGCAGCCCGCGCATGCTTCAGCTTCTGTCGAAGTTCTTTGGGGATACGGGACTCCTGGTTGGCTGTCTTCGCGGCGTGTTTCTGGGCTGACTGGTTATCGGCCACGCGCGAGTAGTGAACATCCCATAGCGGCGCGAGGTAGTACGGCATCGGGTCATGGCGGGTGTAGGTTGGCTGGATCTCCCAGTCGCTGGCGGATGGAGGCTGCGCCCACGGGTTGTGCAGCAAACGGTCTTCATGCGATGTCAGTACTCAAGTATTCCAGCGTTCAGCATTTGGGGATGACCGTGATCCCATCTGAGCGCGTACCATTTTCCCAGCGCTGTCTCCGGCGACTGCCATCCTTGCCCTTCAGAAGAGCCTCGCGACTCTTAAGACTATCACGGCGCAGAGGCTCACGACGCCGGAAAGTAACTTTGGGTGCGGCCACCTTTGACTGTGGGGACGGGCTTAGCGGCTCGTCATCGAGGGGAATAGACAGGGACACTGTTGTCCCGCGCAGATTTGAACGTGTTGGTGTCGACACCGACGGCGTTCCGACGACAGGCGCTGATTCAGATAGGGACAGGTTCTGTAGTGACGATGCGGCTTGTTCGGTCCACGCGGAGATTGCTAAAGTCTGCTGGGGGGAGAGGCTCCCTTGAGAGCTCTCGAGGTGTAGTCTTGGGTGAATCGCCATAGTGCATAAGCTATGAAGGGTTAGAGGGGTAAGAGTGGGATAAGGAAGTACGGGGTACAAAGAGAGGTATAAGAGAAGATAAGAAGATAAAGCGCGTTGCATGCAGCACGGGTCAAAGGCAACGCGATGATTGGTGGAAGGCAGACCAGCGATAGGGAGCCCTAACCCTTCATTCCAAATGAGGAAAGAACGGACGAACCAGAGTCAAAGATACGGAGATCCAAGGGCTGATCGGATTTAAGTCCCTCGGTTCTCGGCTGTTACCCCGTATACACTGCGCCCCCAAGGTGATGTGACTCAATACTATCCACTCTAACTCCACTTGCAGTCATCGAGTAACTTGGTAATGACTCAATTATCAATTAATCTGATCTAGAAAATAGATACTCCTGTTTAGTCCGTCAAATTCAAAACAATTCATAAAATCAAGACTCTACTTACTACAAGGGTCCAGGGATAAGCAGGAGTATACTCCGTAGGATAAATAAGACTAGGAGTAAATAACTCTATTAATAAGTCACTTAGCGCGGGGCCCGAAACTTAGCGCGTGATAAGTCTGATGTGCCTTGTCTTCAAATACAACATCCGCCCTCTTCCTTTCATGCATCAGAACTTTTCACAACAATGAAGTTCCTTACGCTATTTGCGCTGAGCGCAACAGCTTCTACTGCCTTGGCTGCTGTTATTCCTCAGGCACCTCTAGCTCAATCAGTTATCCAAACCTCTCAGCAGGCTAAATGGCTTATCGAGCTAGCTCCGTACACCACGCGATGGGTGACCGAGGAGGAGAAATGGGCTTTGAAATTGGTGAGTCTGAAGTCTTTGTAATTAGCTGATCGAATACTGACTCGCTTCTAGGATGGCAAGAACTTCATCGACGTAACTGAGGAGTTCCAGTCGGGATCGTACGGCGCCCTGCATACCCAGCGCGTGGTCCGATACCCCGGAAAGATGGCGCACCAGGAGGCCGTGGACCCGTTGTCAAAAGGTCTATCAAAAGACAATATGAAGAAGAACTTGGAGCATTTCACCTCCTTCCACACCCGCTACTACAAGTCCGATTATGGCATCCAGTCCGCTGAATGGCTCTTTGAGCAGGTTGCTGGCGTTGTAAAGAGCTCAGGCGCGACCGAGTATGGCGCGACTGTCGAGAAATTCGCTCACACATGGGGCCAGTTCAGCATCATCGCGCGCATTCCCGGCAAGAGCAACAACACCGTTGTTCTGGGTGCCCACCAAGACAGCATCAACCTCTTCTTCCCGTCCCTCCTGGCTGCCCCAGGCGCCGATGACGATGGCAGTGGTACTGTCACTATCCTTGAATCTCTCCGGACTCTGCTGCAGTCCGAAATTATTTCTCAAGGAGAAGCACCCAATACCATCGAGTTCCACTGGTACTCTGCCGAAGAGGGTGGTCTGCTGGGCTCTCAGGCCGTGTACGCCAAATACAAGAAGGATCGACGTGAGATCAAGGCTATGCTGCAGCAGGACATGACAGGTTATGTTCAGGGTACTCTGGATGCTGGGCTGAAGGAGTCGGTCGGTGTCATTGTCGATTACGTCGACACGGGTCTCACCTCGTTCATCAAAGAGGTCATCACCACTGTAAGTTCAGCCGAAATGTTTTTTTGTTTGAAAGTTCTAATAACTAACCGTCTTCGCAGTACTGTGACATCCCCTATGTCGAGACTAAGTGCGGCTACGCCTGCTCCGATCACGCCTCAGCCAGTCGCTACGGCTACCCATCTGCTTTCGTGATCGAGTCCCAGTTTGAGAACTCGGATAAGAAGATTCACTCCACTGATGACCAGATCAAGTATCTGAGCTTCGACCATATGTTGCAGCACGCTAAGATGAGCTTGGCGTTTGCATACGAGCTTGCATTTGCTCCTTTCTGACGTCGCTTATGACATTTTCGCTTGGCGTTATACGAGATACTACCATGAATTTGTTATTCTACCATTGATCCTGCTGCATCAATGATTGTTTCGGATCCCGTCTGCGAGAATTACTCGTTATTAATATACACCTTGAATGAAATAACGTACTCTTACTATTATCCAATCCCTGCATCATATTCAACTTTATAAATCTTCTATCATGAATCCATAGCGCTAGTATAACCCTTTTAACATTTGAGACTGTTTGTACTTGAAACACGTGATCCTCCCGGTCACCCAAAATATATCGCCAGGATCGCGGGAGCTACACCCCACCACCCGGCTCAATGACCGGAATCTCGATCCGCCAGACCCTCTAATCTTCAACATCAATTGATGGGAATGCAGGTAGACAAATTTGGAAGTCCATCACACGACAATTAAGAATGAGTTCTCACGCCTACGCCAAAGAGCTTCAAATTGCAAGTCTCGCCGTGCAGCGCGCTGCTCGCCTGACAAAGCGATTGCTCGACGCTGTCGACAAGGGCACCCTCGAAAAGGGCGATTCCTCTCCAGTTACAATTGCCGACTTCGCCGCACAAGCATCAGTCATCGCTGCGATCCATAACGCATTCCCAGACGACGAGTTCGTCGGGGAAGAGGACTCGACCGCACTGCGAGCTGACCCCGTCCTCCTCGAACGAACATGGGAGCTAGCCACATCCGTTCATTTGGATGATGCGGAGAGTGAAGCTCTCCTCTACACACCGCAAACCCGGGCGGAAATGCTACAATTGATCGATCTAGGCGCGAAGGGGAAATGTGGCCGCACCGGTCGTGTCTGGACACTTGACCCGGTCGATGGCACCGCCACATTTATGCGCGGACAGCAGTACGCCGTGTGTCTGGCACTTGTGGAGAATGGTATTCAGAAGGTCGGTATTCTGGGTTGTCCGAATCTAGAGCTAAGCACTGGTCGTGTATCGGAGCAACTGGTCGATCGTGATGGACACGGTCAACTTCTCTCCGCCGTTCTCGGCCAGGGAGCTACCATCCGGCCCTTGGGCACTGGTGGCCTCCTGCCTACAACACCCCTTGGCCTTGTACCGCAGATCACGGAAGGCAGCGAGGTTCGCTTCATCGATACGCAGGAGGCTCGCACACAGAACCTACCTCTGCACGCGCAGGTCGCGGCACAGCTGGACTGTCCGTGGCCGAACCCCGTTGACCTGTGGTCTGCGCAGATGCGGTATGTTGCTATCGCGGTCCGTGGTGGATGCAATGCGTTTATCAAGGTGCCGCTTAGTGATCAATACCGATCGAAGATATGGGACCATGCGGGTGGAATGCTATTGGTGCAGGAGCTTGGATGTGTTGTTTCTGATCTTGAGGGTAGGTCTGTGGACTGCGGACTAGGTCGCAGTTTGACTGGATGCCATGGAATGGTTGTGGCGCCGGCTTCTATCCATGGTCGCTTATTAGAGGCTGTTCGGGTGACACGACAGTCGATAGCGCAGTAATTTTCAAGTACCTACCTAAGTAGGCATCTACTTTGGAAGTGCCAAGCTCTTCTCCGGATACCAATTCAAGATGTTATGTTGTTAGCCTATCGTTTGCACCCGTGGGTCTTATGTTTGTACGCCGTTGCACTGTAGGGAATTGAGTATTAGGTACCTAATAAAAAATAAACCTCATTTCTAAATAATTTTTCGATAATTCCTGTCTTATACTCTAATGATATTTATGTACTTTCAAGCTTATTACTACCTAGATATACATGGATGTTGTATAGAGTGATGCCTGGTTCGGCTGTCGATCGTACATTTGTTCCCCGGGTTGATCTCCATTACAGTTGTCGATCACAAAAGTACTAATGGCGCCATTTTTGACTCCGGATTCTGGCTGTATTTGATATTTTGATTTGCACGGTAATTGGAGTTGGAGAGCAAGCCTATCAATTCCAAATGCAATTGTAATTTGAAAGTTTTCAATTCCAAGGATGAAATAGTAAAAGTTCAGGTTTTCGATAGTATAGGAATATTGACATCATCGACGAAAGAGGAATTGACGCCATAGAAAGCGCCACTGGTTCTTGACCGAGACTCCACCAGTCATCAGACCACTGTGCGATCCTGTCCTGTCCATAAATTCTTACCCTTCTCTTCCCCATCTGCATTCCAATTACCCTCTTTATCCATAGTTCCCATCACTATGGCCTCCTACAACCCTTTTTCTCGTCGTGAATCTCATGATGCTCGGGCACTCAAGGTCTACCGATTCCTTGTACCTCTCACCTGGTTAATTGTAGTGGTCGTGGGCAGCTATTATTCGATCCATTCCCCCGGTGATACCAAGGACAGCAAGAACCTCTGGAAGCAGGCTCTCAAGCACGAAACCCCCTTCAGTCAGAACAATACCATCACTGGAATCTACTGGTAAGCTTGAGCTTGATAAAATAAAATGGTGGTATAATCACTAACCTTTATATCCATCTAGGATCTTCCTGCTCCTCTCCCAGCTCAGCTATGTCTGGCATCTCTTTTCCAACGATTCTCGACTGGTCACTCCCGCAGCCAATGTAGCTACCCACTTCATCTTCAACAACCTGTTCCTGTTGGCTTGGATCTTGCTGTGGACTCGGAACCGCTTCGTGATCTCTGAGATTATCCTGGTTGCGCACCTGATTAACCAGTACATTACCTACTGGCGTTACCATGGCTCGCCGGCCTTTGTGCACCTCTCTGCCGTGGCAGGTCCCTATGCCTGGACCTTGACCGCACTGTTCTGGAATGGAGCTGTCGCAGTCCACAGCCACAACTTGCCCGGTAGAATTGTCGCCAATGTCTTCATCTGGGTGTTCTTCTTTGTCGGCCTGAGCGACATCTTCTTCCGCCAGGACTACATCCTCGGTTACTGCCTGAGCTGGTTGACTTTGTGTAAGTGGCCACCTAAATTTTTGAGATATAGTTAATATGCTAATGATTCATTCTAGCACTGGCCGTCCAGCAAATCTCCATCAAGATCATTGCTTTGCAATGGATCTTTGCCTTCACCATCTTCGGTGTCTTGTTCATTTCCTCGCTTTACATCTCCTTCACCAAGTACAAAGGCCGTGACTCCCTGTTCCGCCAAGTTGCTCACCCCGAATCCGACGATCGCGAGCGTGCCCCTCTGCTCAACGACAGTGCTGCGTAAGTGAGAATTACCAATACGAAAATTTACAGTATTCAAAGCCGGTAAAGCATGTGAATGCGCTGGCCAATTGACTTGAAAATCGAAAAATGTTGGCGTGTGCCAATGATCGTACCTGCACAGTACTTTCCATGTAATAAGGCAGGCACTTTGTTTCAAAAGAATGCAATCTTGATGTTAGTATTCAAATTTAGCGCCTAGTTCGTACATTACTTTACAGCCATGACCCACTCGATGGCGCTAAAGATTGGGGCCGAATGATGGGTATCAACAACGGTTAAAAGAGAAGCAAGGCGTAACGAGCAAGGAATTAGATAATCTGTAGAGTAGCCATCTAGACAACACACCCTCTGCACCTTGCTCTCTCCTGTGATCGTAAACTTGAGTGGAATTAAGCTTGAAGACTGCATCAGGCTGAAACCCTGGTAAAGTAAATGAGGTTAAAATCTAGGTTGTCCTGGCAACGCGCTCCACCTCCATTTTGTTGATCTCGACCACAGATAAACCGGGGCTGGACGTGTTCCTGTTGCCTTGCATCGGTACTTCTTGTCGTCTTCTTGTCGTTAGCCACCATATTTTGTGAGCTATCTCACATTCTTCACCGAATCAACAACATTCCAATTCAACCTCAACTATCCAGCCTCCCAGACCGACTTGGTTGAACTGATTGCCTTGAATTTGCACGCGCAGTGTACTATTTGACCACTTGCATGACAGATTTGACTATGAGGTCTTGAGATAGAAAAAGAAAACATTCACATTCCGCGTTATGAGCCGATATCAGCCCTCCAGCTACGGGGAGCCACCATCGTATCCTGACGAGGCGAACCCGTTTCTCTCTGAGCAGGACTCTCCGATACATAATGGTGCTAGTATGAGATTGTTGCCCACCGGTAGCGACCTGGATGACGACTATGGTGGAAATCCACGAGGCCCACCGCACTACCAGCCTGCAGCATATGATTCTCCGTACGTTTTCCCCTTGATGTAACCCTCATACCATTTTCACATTCCAGTTGTCGTCTCTCCACTTTTTCTACCTGCCATGGCGAGCTATCCGACAATGAATCCCCTTATTGGGTATAGGTCATTCGTAGGGTAGCTTGCCAGCGATCCCCTAAACAAGCACACGCGAACCTTCCTCCTACATCCCACCTGAGCCCTTCAAATTTCGCGTGTTATGCAATGGGCAAACTCATGGGGCCGCGTGCTAATGATCGAGGTCGAAATAGTATTCAGGCACCGGGTTATGAAGGCCGGAGTGCCACCTCTCGCAATGCGCCAACTATGCCCGCGCCCACTGCTAGTCTAGCAGATCCCTCAATATACCCCTCCATCCCTCCAAGGACTGGATCACCAATCAGACCTTGGAGTCCTGGTCATATTCGCCCACCTTCAGTTCACAGTGTGAGTTACGAACGTGCCGATATCAATGGCAGCCCGCGTCCCGGCTCACCAAGCAGCAAATATGGAGGAAGCCCCAGACGACCACTGCCTCCAGCTCCATTGTTTTCGGGACCGACACCTAGTCTAGGGGCGGAAACCCGTATCAATATGGAAGACGAAGATCCTTTTGTGGACGCCAACCGCATCAATCACAGATCCCGCGATAGCGTACGCTCCTTCGAGACGGAGTCAACCATGCTGGGTGATGAAAAGGAGATGGCCAAGGTTAGCTTGGAAGAGGATGAAGACGAATCAATGATCGATCCTAATCTTCACTATGGCCCTGCACCTGATAAACAGAGCCGTCGTGGTGTGCGCGATACCCAGACTGTTCAGCGTGAGGTGAAACTGACCAACGGCGAGTTGATTCTGGAGTGCAAAATCCCGACTATCCTTCACAGTTTCTTGCCCCGTCGCGACGAGCGAGAGTTCACTCATATGCGGTATACAGCTGTGACTTCTGATCCTGATGATTTCACTGATGGATACAAGCTTCGCCAGCAAATTGGAGTCACTACTCGTGAAACTGAATTGTTCATTTGCATTACCATGTACAATGAAGATGAGATCGGCTTTACTCGGACTATGCACGGTGTCATGCGCAATATAAGCCACTTCTGCTCGCGTACCAAATCCCGTACCTGGGGCAAGGACGGTTGGAAGAAAATTGTTGTGTGCATTATCGCTGATGGTCGTAAAAAGGTGCATCCTCGCACGCTTAATGCTCTCGCTGCGCTCGGTGTTTATCAGGAAGGTATTGCGAAGAACATTGTCAACCAGAAAGAAGTCACTGCTCACTTGTATGAGTACACCACGCAGGTATCCCTCGACTCAGACCTTAAGTTCAAGGGTGCTGAGAAGGGTATCGTCCCTTGTCAAGTAATGTTCTGTCTGAAGGAGCACAACCAAAAGAAGCTGAACTCTCACCGTTGGTTCTTCAATGCCTTCGGCCGTGCTCTGCAGCCTAATATCTGTATTTTGCTTGATGTTGGAACAAAGCCTGAGCCGACTGCCTTGTACCACTTGTGGAAGGCATTTGATCAAAACTCAAATGTTGCCGGTGCCGCTGGTGAGATTAAAGCTGGTAAAGGTAAGGGCATGCTTGGTCTGCTCAACCCTCTTGTCGCAAGTCAGAACTTTGAGTACAAGATGTCCAATATTCTGGATAAGCCGCTTGAATCTGTCTTTGGATACATTACTGTGTTGCCCGGTGCGTTGAGTGCCTATCGCTTCTTCGCTCTGCAGAACGATGCCGATGGTCATGGTCCTTTGAACCAGTATTTCAAGGGTGAAACGTTGCATGGCCAGGACGCTGACGTTTTCACGGCTAACATGTATCTGGCTGAGGATCGCATTCTCTGCTGGGAGTTGGTGGCTAAGCGTGAAGAGAGATGGGTCCTGAAGTTCGTCAAGAACGCCGTTGGAACGACTGATGTGCCGGACACTATTCCTGAATTCATCTCCCAGCGTCGTCGTTGGCTCAATGGTGCCTTCTTCGCCGCAGTCTACTCGAACTTCAATGCGAAGCAGATCTGGGCTACAGATCACAGTCTCGGCCGCAAGATCTTGTTGAATATCGAGTTCGTTTACCAATTCTTTAACCTTGTTTTCACTTACTTCGGTCTCGCCAACTTCTACCTCGCTTTCTACTTCATCGCTGGCTCGCTCACGAATGAAAAAGTTGATCCCTTCGGTCATAATATGGGTTTGTACATTTTCTACGTGCTTCGGTATGCATGTGTTTTGGTCATGGCTTTGCAATTTATTGTCTCGCTAGGTAATCGACCTCAAGGGTAAGTCTCAACACAATCTGATAACTGGCTGTTCAAAGCTTACCCTGCTATAGTGCTAAAAACCTGTATCTGACTGGTATCATTGTTTACGCTGTCATCATGTTCTACACGATCTTCTGCGCTCTGTACTTGGTCGTCATAGAGATTATGTCCCGCGCCGGTGTTGGCAAGAAGTCACTCGATGTGAGCAGTTCTCTGCTAGCTAACATCGTTATTTCCATGCTTTCGACCGTCGGTCTCTATTTTTATACCTCTTTACTTTACCTGGACCCATGGCACATGATCACCTCGTCGATTCAATACTTCCTGTTGATGCCTAGCTACATCTGTATTCTACAGGTTTACGCATTCTGCAACACGCACGATGTGACATGGGGCACAAAGGGAGACAATGTCATCCACACCGATCTTGGCACAGCCAAAATCGTAAACGGCACAACAGTCTTGATGGACATGCCTTCCGAACAACTCGATATCGACAGTGGCTACGACGCTGCCCTTCGCAACCTCCGTGACAGGCTCGAGGTCCCGGAGACCCCTCCCACCGAAGCCCAGATGCAGGAAGATTACTACCGCGCCGTTCGCACGTACATGGTTTCCATATGGATGGTCGCCAACATTATTCTCGCTATGGCTATCTCGGAGGTCTACAGTCTCGATCACACTGGTACAAATGTCTACCTCTCTATCATCCTATGGTCCGTCGCTGGTCTTGCAGCCGTTCGTGCTGTCGGCTCAACCACTTTCGCCCTGCTCCATTTCATTCACATGATTGTCGAGGGCAAGACGAAGTTCGACGCTGGGAACTTGAGCAATTTCGTCCCGAGTGCCTTTGGCGGGGGCAGTACTGGTGCTGGAAGCAGTACTGACGGCAGCACTGCCTCCCGTCCGATCCGTTATAGCGGGAAGCCTAGTATCAAAGATCGGATTTCGGAAGCTAGATGGTCTGTTAGCCGTACCCTTGGCAAAGCTATTTTCTGGCGCAAATAGGCACAGCCTATCTAATGACTTTTTTTCTCTTTTTATTCCCCCCTTTTCCTTCGGAGTTTTTTTTACGTCGGAAGTGTCTTATGAGGTTTTTCTTATGTTGTTTATGTGTCTTCAAATGTAAATTTGGCACTTTATTCATGGATGTAATTATGCGTTGAACGGAAAAATAATGATGATTGTCTTCCTTTATTGCACTTCGACCTATCTAGGTCTGTTCTTCAACATTCGCTTCACTTTTCTACCGCACTTGCATATCAGGACTACCCCTGCAAAAGGGAACCTTCTTCAACAAGTTGGCGCAGAGCAGTAATAGTTCCCTCAACAGCGTCCTTACTCATCTTCTTCTCCTTCTCCGCCAAAGCAGCCAATTCCTCAATCGAAACACCGGGGTGTCTCCACTCAAAGATATAAGTCAAGTAGAGCGAGCCGCCAGCACCCTCGCTGACAACATTACTAATTTTGCTTCCATCAGGCTGCTCAAATTCGATACGACACGGCTTGTAAGCGGTGACGATCTCTTTGACTTTGCGTTCGTTCTCGTGGAAGACCACGTTTCGCGTTGTCACTGGGGCGCCTGTTTGCGGGTCTGTTGTCTCGCTCAAGACTTCTGTCGACTTGATTGCGGCTGGGACGAATAGTTCGGCACGTTTAATCTTTAGGAGGAGGCCGGCCCAGACTTCGGAGATCGTAAGGGGAGTTTGGTCTGGTGCGTTTATTGGTGATGTGAAGGCGATGTTGTTGGAAGACATGATTCGGATTTGTAGTTGTTGAACGGTTTCAAGTGACAATATATTGTAATTGGTGGATACCAGTTGACTGAATAAGTCGATGTTTTGATGGGATAAATAAAGTGTTGCCCTTAGGGCTGTATTTATTTATACATTCGATGGTGATCAATTATGACGTAGCATCAGTACTCGTAACTACACTCCGCATATTCCAGTTTTGTAATCATCTCGGGTACGGCATTAGATAAGGACGATTCTGCAAAAATTGGTAATACTCGGGTTTCCAGTCACTTAGTCAACTCTGAGGTGCATATGCCTATGATTAAGCTAATAAATAGATGCAAATGAAAATTATGTTTTATATTTGTTAATGTTATCGAACATGAGAATAGCTATGCGCCTCAATATCTGCAACGCTTCTTCCGTTCATAATCACCTTCAAAATTTGGTTTATCACTCTTGAGTATACATGACATCAGTCCGAACAGTATACTTAACTCCCCGAAATACATCGTCTCCGCAATGCATCAAGTTTCGTTGTTGAAATATAAGCACAGTCCCAGCCTTGGGAAAGACCCGCACGCAGTCACCCCGGAAGCCATCTATGAACGAAGTAGCCCCACCTAACAGCTTTGCTTCAGGGTCAGCAGTCAAAGGATGGGCTACAGCCTCAGCGTCAGTCAGGACCTGATCCTCATCACCACCATCCTCCCAGGGCCAAGCTTCCTTCTCCACGCGCTGGATCTCTGGTAATAGCTCTTCCATATCTTGCTCCCCGTCACCATTCAGGTACAAATGCACAGTGAAAAGCGATTTCTCTTTCCCATCAGGCGTCACATAGCATCCATCCCAATGAGGACGGAAGTAGTCTCCACCTTCATACCGTAAAAATCGCAGTCGCTCATTCAATCTAGATACGCGAAACGTCTCGCCGCGTCGCGTCGGTCCAAGGCCTGTAACCTGCGGCATGGCATGAACGCGGTCGATATGAAAATCTTGCAAGAAGGGCATCAGGCGATCTAGCAGTCTTTGTGCAATATCGGGTGAATCGAATATCATTCGGCCGCTTTTCCGCGTATCTACCGACATGACCTCTTTGCCTGAGCCTGCGTTGACCATTGCGCGTTCCCATTGTGTTTCGTTTTGAGAGGTGGTAGTTTGGGCTAGTTTTAGAAGTGAGGCGCTTTCGGCTTCTGTCATGAAGTTGTCGATCACCACCGCGAATTGGCCTTTGAATGCCGGGATCGGTGGTGTGGTTTGGGTGAAGTCGATTTTGTGGACTTTTGCGTTTTGGGGAGGACCCCTGAGAAAGTCCTCTGGGATGTTGGACATGATCAGCGTTGGATATGAACTTTCCAATGTTGTATTATTGTTTGGTTTTTGACTTGAGATTCCAAGTTTATTTATGTAAAGGTAGGTGTTGATCCTCAGTGAGTCACGAAGTAAGCAGGGCTGTGTAATGGCGGGACTGTTGCCTACGGGAAGTGTACTAGCCAGTTGTAGGTGGCATTGACTGTTTACTGCTCATTTTTGTATCAAAATACTCCTATCATACCTAGGTACTTACCTGGCTCGGTATGGATAGAGGGATGAGGGATAATAAAACGAAGTAATCCATACTTCGTACAGCACGAACATCTTTGACTAAGAAAATTAAGAGGCAAAGAAAATAGGAGCTAAGTCAGAATTGTCATTCGCGAGACATTAAACTCATTTAAGTGAAATTAAGTCTTTAAGTCTCTGATCTGACTTGATAATATCCTAGATTAATAAAACGTAACAAAGTCCAAAGATAATCGTAAGTCGCCATAAACGTTAAACCGGAAGAGTCCGGGTACCGGGTACCGGCAACGCTAGTCCCGATCAGTAATGGTTTTAGATTATCTTCAGGATAGAGTTCCACAATCAAGCGATGATAACCGGGCCGGTCAATCAAGTTGAGTTAGTTAACACACAATGAAAAAATTGATGAGGGGTTGGAGGGGGGGAGTCCTAGGTAGATGAATGGAGAATGAAGAAAAAAGAAGGGTATATTGTTCAATGATTTGTATAATTTGTATATGAAACAGTAGCCTCAAGGGGTGTGTCCATCCAACTGCTCGTGTAGATACAAGCGTCCCTCAGTATTGAGAAAGCCACCAATTCCAAAAGCAGGAATGATTCGACACATTCGTAGAAGAGACGCGCTAAGCCAGTCACGCCTTACGCGTGCGAAGCGTTCTTTCGTCGACATAACTGCCGGTCTATTATAAAGGTCCAGACCAAATAAGTGAATAGGTGTGCTGACCAATTGGATCGAAGCTGGGATAGCGAGTTGGGCGATGAGAATCTTGGAATATTCATGCGATGCAATAGAGTCAGGAATGGCGCTTGACAACATAGTGGGAAGAGTGAAGGATCCGAAGATTGTCAGTCCATCTCTAATAAGGAATGCGGAGTATGTGGCCAGCGGAATGCGAGTGCGGCCGATTGACCGGGCTGTCTTTGGTGGAGGAGGGTCTATGGACTTTGTTGTGGTTGTAGGGGGATTTTTATTATTATGGCCGAACATCTGGGCGAATTTGACGTCTTTCCAGATTCCAACAGAGGAGTTGACAAAGAAGGTCGATGCAAAAGTAGTCATGCCCGCAATAGCATGGTCGATCTTGGGGTATAGTTTGTTCAAAATAGTTTCAGAAATGTTGGCTGCGCCAAATGTTGCTGTATAGGAAACCCAGACAAGAAGAGCCGGGCGAGATGTTAAAAATGTAGCGGGCTGTGTAAGGGAGATCCATAGATGTCGGCGGAATGCTGGAAAAAGAGGTTGGTTGTAAAAGGACTTTTCAACGACGAGTCTACAGTCGAGTCAGCTAGAGCCCTGAGGATCCGGATACCGGTGAAGATAGTGTACCTGTCAAAGATCATCACTGCTGGCGTTATAAGGGCTGCTGAACCCGCAGCAACGACCGAATCGGCCACTAGAAGCTCCCCGAGCCGGCTTCGGCTTCGCTGATAGCCTAGTGGCATCTGCATGTCTTGAATATTCTGGGACATATTGTGCTAAATGGGTTGCGAGATGATGCAGTCATCCAGCTCGAGGGCTGGGTTAGGTAAAGATTAAGGCTTATAAGACTATCAGGACTAAGAAGAGTTTAATCCGATTAGATTAAATTCGCGAGAGTTAGATAGTTAGGGCAACTCACAGTGGCAATGGGTCTAATTTTGGCGAAAGGGAAAAGAGAGAGGAAGTATGAAAAGGAGAGGGTACCGCCAAGTCAGAAGATATAGTATTAGCCTCCACTATGATAAGGCTATGTAATGCAATCGGAAACATGTTATCGCGGTAAGAATAGTACACAGTAAATATGTCTTTATAGATCCGTGTTAACCATTCAACCCCTCGTCGGTATTTCTATCCAATCATATCTGACCGGCAAGGGAAGCGGTGCTCTAAGCGGCATACTGATTGGTTCGGTATTCCGATAATGATCGACCAGAAACATGTTGTTCTAGAAGATCACTGGGCAGTTCGTCAAGAAATTCGTTAAAGCCATTCATTACAGGAAGAAAAATATCCGGATTTTATTCCCCGCGATCTCCCGACCTTAGGCAGAGCTATGTCTTGTAAAGTTTTTCTTTTGTTCTGCGTTGGGCTGACTTTTAACCGACTCGGTGTGGTGGAGTGGAGACCAGGTTCTCCCTTTCATTTCGGGCCGTAATAGGAGGTTTTGACTAATATTTGTCAATTTTTTAGATGTGAGGTATGGGGTAATAGACGAATTGAGTGCGCTCATAATCCATAATCCAGGCTCTGTATTCTGTACCTTTTTCATACTATGGAAATTATTAGAATATTTCCAAGGTTGTCCTTCTTTGAACAACACATATAGGCGACAGGTCAATTGTGATGCAGAACTGTAATCTTGAGTTGAAACTAGATCCTTTGCCCCTATAAGACGTGGTCCTTCTATGATGTACTATTTTCGAATGATAAGAGCCTGAATTTAGACATTTTAATTTCTTAATGTCTGAGTAGTTCAAAGTAAGGTCGTATAGATCACGGATCAGCCGCCAGCGTCCCAAGTGGAGAAACCATTGGAAGCCTTGGTAAATTTCATTGTAAATATCTGCTTTAGTTTTCCGTACTCCACATGGAGTAGACAGATTCCGAGATAGATCTATGGTCACAGAGTAGGCAAGCTAAGTAGAAGATGCTGTGGCTCAATCCTTATTACTGACCTATAGCCTCAAGGATGACGTACCATCAGCTGAAGATGATTTTCATGCTGGAATCTTCAATTAGGCCATCTCGATCATAGATTCCAACCCACGACCCATACCGTACCGAGGCTGAATATAGAGCTGTAACTGGTGGGTGGCTATCTCTGATCCGGATCTTAGGGCTTCATTTTGAGGCTTGGGCATCGGATGGCTATTGCGAGTGGCTCTTGCATACACGAACTGCATAGGTGTCTAAGACCGAGACTTCAGACAAAAGGGGAAATAAGTCACCTGGCAGTTTGATCGATAAGGAAAAGAAAAAGTGGGGCAGGACGAATATGCCGGCAAGTCTATCCCAACTGGTTTGCAAAGCTACACGTAGATACACATTGAAGTAGACCAGTTTTAAGGCTAGCTATATGTAAAGAAACCACAACACTCGTTTAGAGTATCCTGGTGGCGGCAACCTTAGAGCCTTTCAACGTTCAAATGATCTCCGAGCCTTCAATCAATCCTGATTCTTGTGACTCCTCATTCAACTGCGTCATTTCACTAGTAGTGACTTCGTTCTGTTTCTCCGATTGTGGACATCGCAGAAGTTTGTTCGGGGCGAATATCTATGATACTGGAGTTTACAGTCTGCTGTAACTGACGTAGTTTACTCCGTAGATAAAGTACTGCGCCATGAGTAAGTTAACCTTACTTTTAAGGCTGCAATTTTCATTAAACCTACGAAGATTCAGTTCAGCACTATTCGACCACGTGGATAATTCCCGAACCTTTCAAGCTACTGCTCTGTTCCATAGGGCTGAGATGATGTGAGATCCTCCACCTGGCTACCTTAATTGCGTTTTTGGCATCACTTGTTCTAGTATTCAAGAAGCCATTCATAAGGGTACTCTAGATGCAATCTAAAGTTTTACTGAGAAGTTTAAATGTACCTAGAACTTAGCCTAGTAACATCGATATTCAGAGCAAATATCTTGTTATTGACGGCGACAGAAATTTGGTTTATTGGCAGGTAGACTTGGTCGTTATCAATCAGCTTATCAGCGTGACGGACAAGTATCCGAACTCATCCGCACACCTCCACCCATCCAACTGTCAGATATGACAGAGCAAAGCACCCACTTCAAGACAACTTATATCTGAAGGTCGACGCTAGAGGCGGCTAGGCTCAGTAGGCTGAGTAGGTGCGGGAGATCATTAAACCCCCACCCACAAAAATGCCGACGTCAGGGGATCCTGCGGGCCCTCTGCGTGTCTCTCAGCGCCGGCCCCAGGCCTGCCGAGGTAGACTGACCCCTTGAAATGTATGACGATGTATTAACATTTCCTCAGAGTGCACGAAGCGGAAGCGAAAATGTGACAAGGAAGTCCCTTGCTCAAGATGCAGACGGCTCAATCTGCACTGCTCGGTGGAAACTGTTCAGTTGCGTCGGAACACCGTGCAACACGCATCTGAAATCCAATTTCTGGCTTCTGTATTGGCGGATCTAGACTCTTTTTCGGCTGATCAACTACCTGGTATTATCAGAAAAGTGCGAGATAGAATCTCTAAGCTCCAAACTGGACAAAATATCGGATTGGATGACAACAGCAGCAGTGCTGTGCCGGATGACTCGTTAGCGTCCAAATGCGAAGACGATAAAGGTGTACAGAATATTTTTACTGAACTACCTTCTGAAAGTACTGAAACACCACTTCTCACCGCGATTGAGCATCTTGCTTGGGGTCGAAACTCAGCAGGATGCTTTCCCCATAGGCGATGCGGGTGTCAGTATCGCAGGGAAACCCCCAGGCAACTTTCTATGAATAGTGAAGAGTTCCGAATACATGGCTCCTCGCTAGAATCTATAGTTTTTGTACCAAAGGCTGCTGATGCTGAGAAACTGGTCAAATTTCACATTGGCCACATTTCATGGCATCACAATTGTTTTCATGGACCGACATTCCTAGACCAATGTGATGTCTTTTGGAAAACTGGAAGATGCGACCACCCACTCTGGATGGCTCTTTATTTCTCTGTGCTAAGCTGTACTGTTAATTCTATACAGCACAGCGACAAGTTGAGACAGCTTATCGATGTGGATCTTGATACAATGCAATCTGCCCAGCAATTGTTCTCCGCAATGGTCCAGACACTCTACAGCTCTCACTTCTTAAACAATCTTTCTATATACTCTGTCCAGGCCATTTTGATCTCCACAGAGATTGCGCACAATCTCGGTCTAAGCCAGTTGAATGCGACTCTCTTTAATGCCGCTGTGCGTATTGCCGAGTGTCTTGGGATGCACAAAATTAAAAATCATCCCAAGGCAGTGACAGAAACAAGAGATCAATGGGAAGAGCAGGTCGAAAGGGAGGTTGGAAGAAGAGTATGGTGTCAGATGCTCATCCAAGATCACTTTGCTATTCCCTTCACCGACACATATAGTATCTCTCCGTGGCACTTCTCGACAGGCCGTCCATTAAATGCCGACGACCACGACCTGTCCGAACTACCAGTCAGCACCCCAACAATAAGTAGCTATGTCCGAACCCTCGTCGACCTCGCGGCATTGATGCCCGGCCTAGTCGACGGGCTTGGCCCAATGAACAGACGCAAATCCCATCAAGAACAATACGAACACGTTCTCCGGATTGATCAAAAAATGCGATCAATTGTCAAAAAGATACCCTCCTTTCTTCTGCGGCCTGATACGCTCAAGGAGGCTCAAATTCCATGGCTGAGCATCGCCCGAAGAAGCCTTGCTATCACAGCCGCCGAAAAAATCATCATGATCCATCGTGTATTTCTTTTCCACTCCTTTCACGACCCAAAATATATTCATTCACGACGCACATGTGTTGCAGCTGCGATGACAATTCTGCGTGAGCATGAGATCATCGTCGAAGAGGGCGAGCCTTCCATATGGACACATACAGCCTTTGCTATCACGGCCGCCGTTATCCTCTGTTTTGAGATTAATGCAGTCAACGAGAATCCAGAAAAGAAAACGGTTGAGACGTATAGAGCCGCCATCGTTGCAGCCCGCGACCGTCTTGCAGCAAGAGCTGGAGACGTTTTCGCTCAACGAGGCGTTGCACTTATCAATGCGATCAGTATTTCAGAGCAATCAGCTTACTATCCGTCGCAACCAGCGCAACTCTATCCGCCACAGCCAGCACAGCATACATCAATTGATTTCCATAGAGTGTTTGCCAACTTCTCCACTTTAAGCAAGGCAGCGGCGATCCCCTACATGGATGAAATGACGCCGGGCAAATTTTCAGATACTATCTCTGAGGGTCTTCCCTCAGGTGACATGGATGAGATGCAATTGGGTTGGAACCAAGATGAAACTGACTTTGACAGCTGGTTCAAAGGAATTTTCAACAACTTCCCGGGTACCCAGTTATAGCAAAATCAAAATTAAATGGCGGGCTTTATAGTCCGACAGGGTTCATTCTAAATTCTACTTCAAACTTTTTGCTAGATAATGACTCAAATCTTAATATAGCCTGAGTCGTTGACACCGGCATAGTCTCTGAAAGGCTTGAGAGGGGTTTGCTTGTCATCGTACATTGTCACATCATCCTCTTTTTATCTTCATCATGCTTATGATGGGAAAACTGGCTGGTGATGCTGTGCATGTCTCCACGGTTGTGGAAAATGACGGGGTCACCCTATTTCCAGTGATGGGCGTAGATATTTTCAGCGGCGTATATCTTTCTTTGCATCTTGTAAACACCTTTCTGACCTACTCTACATCATCTATTACTGTCACCTCGCCAGTGGTGAGATTCCGCGTCGTAATATTGTAGACGCAACATCCATGAGCTTGTAGAATGGAGCGCTTGATTATGTTTATGGCTGTAACAAGTCAATCCAGTAAGTATTTTCGCAGTCTTTCAATCCAATTTAATGTTAATTGAAATATACGTGTTATTATGTTAAGCCAGATATATATTGAGAATATGCGGTGATGGATACTGTAAATTACAAGTCAGAGGTATTAAGTTTGTGAGTGACATGTCGTATAAGGCTGTATTAAGTCTTTGTATTGTCACTTTCTGACCGCACTTACTGAAACATCTACCACGTCTTTTCTTGATGTCCGAAGTTGAAATGAAAAATTAACTAGAACTAAGTTTAACTAAAACTGATTTCAATATTTTGAAATCGTCAGCCTCGTACGAGCCCTAGATATAATTGAGATAAGGCTTAAGAAAAGAATTGGGATTGTCCGCTACGCCCATTTAGAATTCTAAGTCTTGAAAAAGCCTCGTGATTGAACTATGGTAAGGGATGGTAAGGCGTAGGAAACCGACCGGTTTCGATGTTTAACTTTGATCTTCGAATATGTACTCATCACCATCTGAAAACTGAGGCTATTTTGAGGATTCGGTTAACCTCGTATTGATGGATGGCTAGACCTCTTTCTAGTCCTCCTTGCCGTTAGTTCCAAGGTTGACAGGTGCCCACTCCGCCTCCACGTATAAATGCCAAGGCTTACTAAATGATAGGCCAGTCCACTCGTTATTAGTGTATCTAATGATATTTTTAGATGGAATAGACAGCCTAACACCTTTATATCAAAACTTTCCTTCAGAGGTCCTTGGCATGAAGTATGAGCCACTTCTAAGCCTCTTGTCTCGAGAAGAAGAACCTTGGAATGAAGTATGAGCGATAGGGATAAATACCTAGTATAATGTGCTATGAGTTCCAAAGTTCATCAAGTATCAAGCACTCAGAGATCACTACCAATCAATTGCAAACATCTATCCAAAATGCACTTCTCAAGCCTTGCTATAATTTCCTGTATCCTCTCCTCAGTCTTTGCCGCTCCCATGGACACCTCACTAGCTACTGCAACTATGCAACTCGCCAATGGTCAGACTGGTGCAAATGCCAATGTCGCCGTCCCTGTTGATGGCAATACACACCTCGTTAAAGACCTTTGGGGCAGCAGCTCTGTCGCATCTGGCGGTGTAGTTTTCGCCTCAAGCGCTCAGCTTGTTGCTTTTGGACAAAACACTGTCTGCACTTTCACTGATAAGCCATCTCTACAAGTATCATTGGATTCTAAGAAGACTTGGGCTTCGTTTAGTCCTACATACTTCTCAAGCCTGGCTACAGTTTCCTGTGTCTCATCCTCCACTCGCGAGGTCACTTCACCAGTTACTACAACTGTGCAACTCATCAATGATCAGACTGGTGCAAATGCCAATGTCAAAATCCCTGTTGATGGTCAGGAATATGACGTCCAAGAACTCTGGGGCAGCAGCGCTCTCGCACCTGAAGGTCTGGTTTTCGCCTCAAGCGCTCAACTTGTTGCTTTTGAACAAAACACCGTCTGCACTTTCACTAAAGACTTAGAGACGTTTCTGTTGAATGCTCAGACGACTTGGAGTTCGTTCGGTTCTGTGGTGGATTTGTGTGGTGCTGAAATATCTTGTAAATCCAAGTGATACATTGATTTAGGGCTTGTATATCTATGAATTTTATCATGTTCGGGGGTTCCAAGGTTGGAATGGGGCTATGGGTCTGGTTATTTCTATCCTTTAGTATTTGTTGAGGTTTTTATATGATTTATTGTTTTTATATGATTTATTGTTATATGATTTATTATTTGTAGCCTCGCTCTCTCATGATATACGAATATTTAATTAGCAATCGAACGAGAAGAAAATCGTGTCCGTAAGGTTTTTCAAAGGATATATGAAGTCATATCATACATAGTTCTTGTAGAAAATGATTATTGAAAGTCTGAGCCAAGATTCTTTCCTTCTCAGTAAAAGTCTACTTCAAATCACGGCGTGGGGACGAATGACAAGATAGATGAAAATGTCAAGAATATGGATTAGCGCTCCATCTAGGTCCTGCCATGCAAGCTCCAGACCATGGAAACCCAATTTGAATGATGAGTATCAAAAGGGAGCATCGGATGATCGGCTATGCTAGGGAAACCCATTGGTTCTGAAGTCGTAAATCCATTTGACCAATCCAGGCTTGAGAGTAGATTATCATCTGCTAGCATAGGAATAAGGGGATGATTAGGAACAAAATCCAGGTCGTTGATTTGCTCAGATGGGATATTAGACGACGCCTCCGTCAACCGTTGTCTGATAGTGGCAACAAGTTTTGGAGGAGCTGCAGAGCCTCCAGATTGTTTTATAGCTATTTCGACAGCCTTCCAGCCTTGCAAGATGACCCCAGAGAACATGCTGAAAAGGGGTCCGTTAATTGAGGTGAGAGAGCCGAATCGGGCCTCATAATTTGCATCCATGGCTTCCCAAGCCTGTGCGTTGTACTGACTTGTAGGATACCTAGTAAAAATTTGGACGATTGAGATGTACGCTGGGAACGGGAAGTAAAGATGAAGTAACCATCTGTAACTTTTTGTAAGAGATGAAGACATAATTTTCGTGTCACACTCAAGGAATCGGATGGCATGCAATATCACAGCGTCAGCTTTCTCACTTGCTTGCTGCGAAGAGCTCAGGTTTTTGGAATAGATTTCCATCAGATGATATCTCGCAATTTGACCGCGCGTATTCCACATTGTCATATAGTGAAGTGGGTTGGCAGGATTACAGAACTGGAAATAATCTTCTTCCAGACTCCTTTCAAGAGCAGCCAAGTCCTTTCCCAGACCATTCTTGGCAATACCTTTGAAAGCTGGATTGGTGAAATCAAGAAAGAAGGGCGTGTTCCGAATGAAGTCTCCGACTTTACTTCGCACCACAGCAAAAAGCGCCTCAGTAGCTTTGCCTTGGGCTCTCGGCAATTCCTTCATTTCAACCCACAGCTCCGAGTCGTTCACATTTAGTGGAATCTTGATGTCCCAGGTAGGATTATATGTCATGGTCTGGGAATCATCCAACTCGCTCATACGAGCCTCAAAGAATAGAAGCGACCACCAAAGTCTTCGGCGCATCTCAGCTTCAAAAACAGTACTTCTGGCCAGAACTGATTCGTTGTGAATTCCCATGCGTTGCGCATTGCGGGTCGCAATACCAAGCATAGATGATATAGATCGAGGGTCGGTATTAAAGCTGAGGGAAACCTAGAGAATGTTAGGCAAATATCACACTAGTTTGGCCAAGACTTACCAAAAAAAGGTAAAATGCGGTCAAGCAGTCACGATCTTCACTCCGCAAAAATGAGGACTTCGAGAGAGCTAGTTGACAGGCAAACTGATACTTTGACAAAAGATCTTCTTTCGACAAGCTGAAGATAGTCTCACAGTCCTCGGGAGCGAGGCTGAAGATGGAAATGCAGTAGATGCCGAACATGAGAGCCGCCAACGGAGGCTGCGTATTTAGAAGATCACTTGCAGCCTCAATGATCCGCCCCTGGAGGCTTGGCGTATGTGTAACCTTGAATAATGGATTGACGTTGTCCAGGTATATTTGCCAGAGCTTAAAGATCTGAACAGGTTCAGGATGGAGGGTGGCGAGTTCGATATCTGGATTACCGGAGCTAAGCATGATATGATCATCGCTTTTGAAAATTTGGCCCCAGTAATTTTTAGGCGGACCGCCATTATTGAGAGGTTTTATCTAGTTCAATGGTTGTTAACTAGGATCGTGACTTGAATGTGCAAGTGAAATACCCCATGGCTCATAGCGTGCCAAAAACTCCTTGGAAAAAGTCAGTTACAGGACGGTATTGAAGAAATATGAGGGTTTCTCAAATTACACACTTGGCTTGATATGTGCTGTCCGACTTCTCAGGCAATGGAGGCGAAGAAATAGTCTCTCCAATCTCCGGGCCTTCTGAATCAGATGCCTTGCTCTCTTCGACAATTTGACTGGTATGAAGAGGGTCGAAGCTGACATTATTCTGCCTAAGGAGATGCTCGTATTTGCGAAGCTGATCGAGAAGCTCCCGCTCTGGGAACCGACGCTTTCTTGGACGAGTCTGCGACGTTGGTATACACTGTCTCTGGTGCTTGATGCAGTTTATACATGGAGACTTGCGATCACACTTCACCTTTCGCTGCTGACATTGCAAACATGCTAGTGGGCGTTGCGTCTTTGATTGTAAAGGACGGGCCCGAGAATTCTCCAGATTAGTCGACATATTTCAGTGTTCTTGAAGAGTTTGAGATTTGAATTTTGAATTTTGAATTTTAAACAAGGAAGAGGCTTTTTGTTTCTATTTCTAGGTAAACGTGAGGTTTCCATCTGGACGAAATGATGTAAGTCGGGCTCTTCTAATGTCCGAAATCGGGGTTTACTATTACCCGAGTCACGGACCATAAAAGTGGGTCAGGGATTTGATATCCTGTAAAATGGCTGGTATTATCTCCCTTGCCAGTGTGCTACAGGGTTGGAGGTTGAGATATTACTGAGGTCCAATTTGATCTTATAACATTGATATCTAATTAGAAAACACAAATCTTTATTTCTAGTGTGAATAGAATCTCCAAGATGGTTTATAGTCACGAGTCAGCGTCTTGTCTTCAACCAACGCTCTCAATAATTCAATAGGCATGCGGTTCTCTATTAAGAAACTATCATGAAACTCCCTTTCTCCCATATATCCTGCTGATAGTATCGCTTGCCGTAGAGCATGTACCTGCAATGCTCCTTGCATATACCCAGCATGATACTGTCGGAACGGTGACGTTCTTACAGTGCATATGCAACTAGTATTCTCGATGGAATAGATCTAGGTGCGTCGATGCGGTGTTGTAAGAGGTGTGTTATTCAATCTTGTCCTCGCTGTAACTAAATAGATAAAACCCACTAGATTCACTTCATGAACAGCATCGTAACCATTCTCATTGGTCCTGTGCCCCACTTTGGTCTAGTGGTATCGACAGATACAATGGAGAATAGTCGCTATTGATTGAGCGAACGTCTGACCTCTCCCTCTGCTGTGGCACGTTCATGACCAAATTTATTAACGAGCAGGTCGATACAATCCTGTCAAGTCATCTCGCCAAGACAGAATTTGATGGAGAATATTATACGGGTGCATCGATGAAGTCGCCAGAATAACATTCCGATCCGGTTCTGTGGTGTTTTTGCCTAGCGATCATCGTCCCAAAAAAGGAACTCCTAGTACAATGACCATCCCTCGATCCAAAATGGTGTGTCAAATGAACTTCAGTAGGGCCAGTGTCTACCATTTATGTGCAATTGCAAGTGGTAACCTGGAATCATCTCATAGTCCACTTTTGATTGCTGGTTATATGTATCAAAGGGTAAATGTTGAAGAGCATCAAGCTCTGAATTGAGGAATGAAGCCTCTGTTTTCTCTTTGGGGAAATACTTATGGAGTAGAATGTCTTTATTTCATTGATATCTTCAGAGATACGATCAATCTTTTGGCGAATGTCATTTCTCTGGCGAAAGGAGCTGTCCCGAGAGGCCGTAATAGTGATCACGTTGGATGAAAAGAAGAACAAATAAACGAAGTGAGCAGTTTTCAAATACGATTCATGGATTCTAATATCAAGTGAAGAACAAAAGCATAGTGAACCTTGGATAGTTGAAAATAGTAAATGAGGAGCAGCTACACAGCGTTGGAAGTCATAGGATATGGTTGCAGCGGTATTAAAGATAACACTATGGGCTAAGCAGTGTCAGTAGTGAGAGTTGATCTGTATAGTAACCGGACTACGGAATAGTCGAGTCTGATTAGTCCATTAGATGTCTTTCGACCTGATAAGCATCTGCGAGATGGCGCGACGTGACTCCGCGATCTTACTCAAATAGGACATCTTGTTATCGCTTAATCAACTAGTGTGAAACCTTTCCTGATATTTACTAGCAAAATAAGTTTTTATAAGGTTCTGACCTCTGAACGCGTCAAATCATGCCAAGATCGACTCGCCAGCTGCGGGGAAAGAATGTAGGGGTTACATTGCTTTCCCCGGCTTATCGCTGTCCACGATACTATTACCTACTTACTTATCTAGGTAGATACGGTATAAATGAACCCTTGCCACATATGCATCTTGCGTAAATTTGATGTGATCAGATTCATTAGCTTCTCGATATGGGCTCTCCAGAGATTGTCGTAGATGGAGACAGCTCATCCGAATATATGATCGACAAGAAAAAACAAGCTAGGGATAATGTCCAAGAGCTGCAAGTGATTCAAATCGCGCATCAATGGGATCCAAATCTACCACAGAAAAAACTTGATGAAATCAATGAGGCAATCAAGGTTACTAATGACCAGGAAAAAGCTGTCCAGTTGGACAAGCCTTTTGCACAGGACTCTCAATATGAATCTGTTCGTGCCGCTGTGCGGAATACGGATGAAGAAGTGATTGCAAATACGGTGCGTGCGTGGATTCTGGGCTTGATCTTCACAACTGTCGGAAGTGGGTTGAACATGTTCTTGAGTATGAGGTATGTTTCTACTCATTCTTTGCCCTCGGGTACATACCGCTTAAAAGTTGAATAGGAGCCCTGCCATTTCATTTCCTGTACTTGTGGTCCAATTAATTGTCTATCCAATCGGATGTTTGTGGGCAAGATTCATCCCAACAAGGACATTCAGTACTTTTGGATTGCGATGGACCTTCAATCCTGGGCCTTTTACCATCAAGGAACATACAGTAATCACTGTAAGCTGCTTAGAATCTATCGATTTCTGAATGATACTGACATTCAAAAGATCATGGCAAAGTAAAAATCTTGAGGACCGTGATCGAGAATTTCGATTTTTAACTAATCAAATTTCAGTGTCTCTATTGGCTACGCCTACTGTACAGACGCTCTCCTAGCTCTCAAGGCCAAGTGTATGTGTCCCACCTGTCTCCTGATGAGTTTAACTGCATTGCTAACCATTCTAGCCCTATACGATCTTAATATCGGCTGGGGATTTGAGCTTCTCTTCGCCTTGAGTAGTCAAATCATTGGAATATCACTGGCTGGAATTTTCCGCCGTTTCCTCGTGTGGTAAGTCCATCAACCTATACTCATTCCAAGATTATTACTGTAATTTTTCTAAAAGGATATAGGCCTGCTTCAATGGTGTGGCCTACTCAGTTTGCTAACACCACTCTCTTCTATGCATTGCACGACAAGAGTGGCTCAGATCCCTCCAAGACCAATGGATGGAGCATCTCACGGTATCGATACTTTGTATACGTGATGGTGGGTTCTTTTTGCTATTATTGGTAGGTGACCTATTACATTTCTTGAAAGAAGTGAGTGCTAACGTATGTCAGGATACCTGGAGTTGCGTGGCAAGGTCTATCTGTTTTTGCTTTTATCACTTGTAAGAATTTTTGAGAGTGATAATCTTGAGGTCTGTTAATGAGAAAGCTCATTATTTATAGGGATCAAGCCAAAAAATGTGGTTGTCAATCAGCTTTTTGGAGGATTCACTGGGCTATCACTCATCCCAATCACCTTCGATTGGACATACGTTACAGCATATCTCGGCGACCCTCTTCTCGCACCTGTTCATTCCCTCATCAATACCTTGATCGGTTTATTCGTTTTTGTGATAATCACTACTATCGGAATATGCTACACTGGAGCTTTGTATGATATTTTACTCATGTCTTTAAGCTGCTTCAGGGTTTCTTTGATTCTAACTATATAAAAGCTACGCGGAGTATCTTCCAATCAACACCTCCACCACCTATGATAACACCCAAACGACTTACAACGTGAGTCGAATCCTGGGTTCAGGCTTTACGTTCGACGAAGAAAAGTACAAGAAATACTCGCCCATGTTTCTTTCCCCTACATTTGCATTAAACTATGGACTCTCCTTTGCTGCACTTACCGCGGCTATCGTTCACATCATTCTATATCACCGCAAGGAGATCTGGCATCGCTTTAAGTTTTCTCGAGACCAAGAACCTGATATTCATTTCATCATGATGAGGAAGTATAGGGAGGCACCTGAGTGGTGGTATGGTTCTTTATTCTTGCTATCAATCGCGCTGGGATTGGCAGGCATCCTTGGATATGATTCACAGCTACCATGTGAGACATTAATCACAAAAAGCCACATCACACAGGTGATAACGATGCTAATCTTTTATAGGGTGGGCATTTTTCGTGTCTCTGATTGTAGCTTTGGTTTTTATTGTAAGTCGTGCTCTCTGTTCTGATAAAGCACTTGCCAACCTTAAAAGATTCCTACTTGCATGATTCTCGCGATTACGAACATTCAGCTGTGTAAGTGACAGGTGGTTCTCTTTAGTCCTCTCAAAGCTAATGATCACAGCTCTAAATGTGTTGTCCCCATTTCTGGCTGGTTTCATGATTCCCGGGAAGCCAATTGGAGTCATGGTCTTCAAAGTCTTCAGCACGATTACACTGGGCCAAGCGTAAGTTGTTACGTGTAATTATACAGATCTTGTACTAATATGTTTAGCCAAACTTACTGCCAGGATCTCAAGGTATGCAGGCTATTTCTCAATGGTTAAATTATATATTTATAGGACTGACTTCTTCATCAGCTAGCTCATTATATGAAAGTTCCTCCTCGGGTCACCTTCATGTGTCAGGTTGTTGCCACAATATGGGCTTGCTTTGTGCAAATTGCAGTCATGAACTGGACCCTCGGTACAATTGATGGTGCTTGCGACCGGTAAGTATCCAGCGCTGTCGACAAGAAAATATTTGCTGATGATTTCCAGGGACCAACCTGCAAACTTCTCATGTCCAAATGGCCGCACATTCTACTCATCTAGCATTGTTTGGGGTAGATTATCTCTAACGCTCATTTTAATTTGCCTATACTGAATACCCTTTTAGGTCTCATCGGACCCAAGCGGATCTTTGGAGTAGGCGCAATATACACGTCGATCCAGTGGTTCTGGCTTCTCGGCGCTTTACTTCCTGTGCTGTTCTACGCCCTGATGCGGATTTTCCCCAGGTCCAAGGCCAGGTTCCTCCACGCACCTGTGTAAGTAATGGAAGCTTTCTGGAGTTTCATTTTCTAATCTCGTTAATAGTATGCTCGGTGCCATGGCCTGGCTCCCTCCGTAAGTTTAATGAGTCACTGATGATTGTTAACCTAACCTTTTCATAGGGCAACGCCACTAAGCTTCTCTACCTGGGCCATATTCGGCCTCATATTTAACTACTGGATTCGCCGCAGATGGGGTGGATGGTGGCATCATTTCAACTACATCACGGCTGCAGGACTCGACACTGGTCTCATCATTTCTACAATCATAATTTTTTTCGCTATTACACTGCCAGGTGTCTCGGTGCCATCCTGGTGGGGCAATGTAGCGGTTTTCGAGACAATGGTAAGTGTGATATGATTGGGCCTAGAGCTTTTTATAACTGAAATGCAGGACTCTCTATACACTGCGGTTCGAAAGACAGTCACTGCAGGGGAAACCTTTGGACCTAAGACCTGGTAGATTACAAGGGAATACGGACAGTGGCGAATAACGTTAGCTGTTCATTTGATATTACATAGCTTCGATTGGATATTTGATTGGACCAATTTTCTGCGAATTAAGTCACTGTTTGCCAGTACCTAGCCCTGTGGCCCGTATGCTTGGTCGATCGGCGATATTGGATGCTTATTCCGTCGAATCAATCGTCATAGAACTGATGCAGTCATTCTCGAAATCGGCTTGACCAATACACACACAGTAACTCTTTTCTAGCCCCACTGCCAAGCCCTTAGCGCCGATAAATTATTGAGCGGTAGAAGCTTCTATTCATAGGATAAACTATTCTCCGTAGATCAGGTGATTGAGGCTGTGCGGCTCTAAATAAATGACAGCCACATGCATCATCCCGAGATCTGTTTCATCAACATCTACTCCGTACTATCATTCAAAATGCCTCCCCACGAAGGACTGGTACACCTCAAAGAATACGATATTAAAGACAGTAATGTAGAATTGATTGGAACAGATCTTGACCATCGTGTCAAGTACAATTCTGCTGCCTCCGAGCCTGCCTGGAATAATGGCAAGATAGGCCAAGAGCCTGGTCTTTTTATTTGGCGAATTGAGAACTTTGAAGTCATCCCCTGGCCTCAAGAGAAAGCTGGCCAGTTCTACGATGGAGACAGTTTCATCGTGCTGCATTCTTACAAGGTTGGCGATCATGACAACCTAGGTCATGACATTTTCTTTTGGCTGGGGAGCAAAACCTCCCAGGATGAGGCTGGTACTGCTGCCTATAAAACCGTTGAATTGGACGAATTCTTGCATGGAGCTGCCACTCAGCATCGCGAGACTCAGCAGCAGCCCTCTGACGAATTCCTGTCTCTGTTCAGTCACATCTCAATTCGGTCAGGGGGTGTGCGCTCTGGATTCACGCACATTGAACCGGAAGATGCAAAAGAGGTGCTTACGCTGCTCCGCATCTTCAAGAACCCTGTGGCTGGCCGCGCAAACTCTATCATTGTTCATGAAGTCGAGCCGACTTGGCAAAGTCTGGATGAGAACGATGTCTTTATCTTAGACAAGGGTGACAAGATCTGGGTTTGGCAAGGAAAGAAATGCAGCCCGATGGAAAAGGCCAGGGCAGCACAAGTAGTTAACGATATGACTCTCGCAAAGCATATCGATGTCGAAGTGCTCTCGCAGCTTGAATCCCGGTCTCATATTATAGTCGACTTGCTAGGTGGGAAGGAAGCAGATCAATCTGCATTTCAAGCTGCTAGACCTGGATCCTTTGCAAAGACCACTGGAAGCGAGAGTAAGCTCTCTCGTCCGCGCAAGTTGTTCAGACTCAGCGACGCATCTGGTACATTGTCCTTTGATCTCGTCAAGGACGGAGACCAGGTTGGGAAGTCTGACTTCAACGCCGGAGATGTCTTTCTCTATGACACTGGTAACCGACTATGGGTCTGGCAGGGCCAGGATGCCAGTAAAAGAGAGAAAGATTCTTGGATCAAAGTCGCACAATCATATATTCGCTGGCTTGAAGAAGGCCAAGATAATTCAAAGGCCTACCTTACCCCGATTTCAAAGGTTGTACAAGGTCATGAAAGTTCTGCATTCTTAAAATCAATTGCAGTTTGATATGGGTCTATAAGGCTCAGTAAGTTTGTCACGGGCTGCTGATCGCCCGCTTTTGTAAATAGCTGTCTTCTATACTAGCTACCAACTTTAAAACCTGAACAAATCATAGCTGAATCTGCTTTTTGAATTATCCCAACCTCAAATTGAAAAAAATGACACTATTCGGGTATGATTGTTATCTTACAGCTCGGGAACTGAAATCTTGCCCTCTGACACCTGAACAGCAGTACCAGTCAGCTCCACCTGCTCAATCTTCTTATCGGCATTCAATGTGACATTAACCCCAATCTCGCTCCGACGTCCCATCTCCACTCCTTGAACCAAGCTGTACCGGTGCTGTTTACCAGCCTGGCCTTCAATCAAGGTCAAGTAAGAGGTCAATCCACTAGCCGCACTACCGGTAGCGGGATCCTCCATAGTATTTTCGATTGCACGAGTTCGAATAATTTTCTTTTTAGTGATCTCGTCATCCACGTCGCGAACAAAGAAGTATAGGCAAACATGGCCCAATCTCCAGCCCTCGTCGAGAGCGTCGACCCCGATGCTGCCCGCGCTAAGTGTCACGGCGGCCAATGCCTCCAGAGAAGGCAGCTCAACCAGGATCTGGTTCATGCCCTTAACACAAGAGAATTGAGGGAAGGAAACACTCTGCTGGGGGAAGAAACCAGCCAGTGCTGGCTGCAGACGCAGCAGATCTTGCAAGCTAAATTGTGCAGCGTGAATGTGGGTGTTGTGTGCGATCTTAGCCGAGACGAACTTCGTCTCTGAATCAATTAGTGAGATCGCGATGCCGCCGGATTTCGTCACTAGTGTGTTGATCTCTGTGGATTGCGCATCTGGAGCGAGACATAGCAACCATGTTACGGCGCCGATGGTCGGGTGACCAGCAAATGGAAGCTCGGCATCGGTTGTGAAGATGTCAATTGTTCTTTTGGATTGTTCCCGATTTGGGTGCACGAAGATTGTCTCTGACAAGTTGAATTCTTTGGCAATGGTTTGCTTCTGGTGTTGGGTCAGCGCCTTGGACTCATCTTCCGGTAGGAAAACTACGGCCAGTGGGTTGCCGGAATATGGCTTCGAAGTGAAGACATCGAGGACGGTGAATTGGAGTTTAGTCATGATGAAGGTTAGTAGATTAAATCAACATCAATTATGGAAATAATTCTGCTTTAATACCAGGTACTTCCTTCGCACCACCCCACCTACATCTTGACTCATTATGGATTCGGTCGGCTATACTTGCTTCATTCGTAATCATGATTACTAATTGTACTTCAATCACACCTTCAGCTCTAACTTTTCAGCTAAAATGAAGTTAGGTGAAGCCATTCCAAGATTTATGATCTGATACAGGTGCTTTGAATGCGACTCGCGTCGCGGAATATGCCGAACCTGAAAACTGTGATCATCCTTACTATCTAACTCGAGGAACCTAGGTGTAGGTTTTTGAAACAAGAACGAATTCTTTATCTTTTTTTCATCAATCCCACAATTCGGAGTTGACTTTAAACTAGAGCCTCAGAAGCTCAAGTCAACGAATATCGTATTATTGAAGAATTGAAGATTGAAAACACACCTAGGTACATTCAGAGCAAGCCTCCAAAGCCAATTTATATGAATTTGAATAAAATTAAAAGAAAAAAAAAAAAAAAAAAAAGAAAAGAGAAAAAGAAGAGAGGAAGAAAATAGAGAGAAAGAGACAGAAAATATAGGAAACAGGAAATAAAAACAACCTCGCGCTGAGAGCCACCTGTCCAGGTGAGCACCTACTTCTGGCACTGTCTAAAGTGGTGGGCTTATGCGTCACTCACCACTTCTTCGGTGGCTGGTACGATATTCTCCGCGTCATTCTGCAGACGGTCGACCAGAGCGGCCAATACGCCATAGTATCTGTCTCAATCTTTCGCAGCTCCTCGTGCTTCATGAGAAGCTCGAGAGCAATCTGGCCAGTGATTGTTTGGTGCATCAGCTTCATAATTGGGATAAAAGCAATGGCTGGAATGGTGGTAGTAGTAGTGAGCAGCAGGGTAGAAGATCCAATGATCGAGGTGACTAGCACCAGGCGACGTTTGACGGTGGGCTCGTCAGAGACGAGAGAATCGCAGCATTTACGCTTACGGCAGATAGGGAAAGACGAAATCATATCTATTCCGATCAACAAGTGAAGAAGTGAAAGATGAAGTGAATTAAAGAGAAAGTGAAGACAACAACAAGAGAAGTAAGAAAAGACTAAAGAGAAATCCACGAGAAGAAGTATCCTTGACGGCATACTTCCATTCTACGCTTGAAAGGAGGGAAAATGCGATGGAGTTCAAGGTCTAGTTCGAGTAGAAGTAGACTAGAGCGAGATTGGGGTGGGAGTGAGGTTCAGGTTGAAGTGGACTGTATTGAGGTTGAAGTAAAATTGGAAGTAAACTAGCCCTAATTGATTTTCATCCGAATTCATTGATTTTATCTGAACTTTTACTTTGAATTTATGGCAACCAAGAGCTAGAATTATTGAAGAAAAAATTGTATAGTCGTGAAAATGACTTCATTTGTAAATATCATAGATGTCAGTAGTCGTAGAAGCCTTTGCCAGACTTCTTGCCCAACCATCCAGCATCCACCATGCGGCGCAGCAGGCCAGCCGGTCTGTACTTGCTATCACCGGTCTCCTGATGAAGAACATTCATAATAGCCAGGCATGTATCCAGACCAATGAAATCGGCCAAGACCAATGGACCCATTGGGACGTTGGTTCCCGTCTTCATAATATTGTCAATATCTTCACGGCCACCTACGCCAGTTTCTAGACATATGATGGCCTCGTTGATATATGGCATGAGAATACGATTAGCCAAGAAGCCAGGAGAATCAGCAGAAACGGAGGCCACCTTGCCCATGCGCTGAACAAAGGCAATGGCCGTTTCCGTGGTTTCCTGTGAGGTTTGCAGACCTCGGATGATCTCCACACCCTTCTGGATAGGGACTGGATTCATGAAGTGAGTTGAGATTACTCGCGACGGTGCTTGGAGATCATTCGGATCTGTTGTAGTTGAGGCCGCAATCTTGGTGATGGAAATCGAAGAGGTGTTGGTAGCCAGAATGGCATGCTTGGGTGCAATCTGAGCAAGTTTGCTGAATATGGATGCCTTAAGATCATATACCTCAGGAACGGCTTCAATGACAAAGTCTACCGACGATATATCTTCTATATTCAGCGATGATGTAAGCAGCCCGCGAGTAGCATCAGCAGCTTCCCTAGTGATGCGCTGCTTTGAGACATCCTTTTCAAGAAGTTTATCTAGAGAAAGTGCGTTGTTAGAAGCATAGAACTTGAGCCCGAATTCCGCAATAGTTGGATATATTCCAGTATTGGAGAGAGTTTCTTGCTTACCAGCAAACTTAAGGCCTTTATCTAACGACGTTTGAGAGGCATCAACGAGAGTCACGGGGATCTGAGCTCTTTGAGCAGCGACAAGAGCTATTCCCAGACCCTACAAGGGAATTGAATTAAAATCAGGGACGAGGAAATTACGGTAAATACCAACTGACCATCTGCCCAGCACCGATCACACCCAGCGATTTGACCTCGGCTGCCCTGGTTGCGACGGTTGAACTGAAGTTGCGGGCCGCAGGGGCATAACGAGAGACTGAACGGATGGATAGGCCGCATGGGCGCAATAATGTGAGCATTATAACGGACCTAATGGTGAGAGAATGGAGAGAACAAACTTAAGATCCTCCGGAATCTGTACAAAAAGATAGAGATGATATAGATCCACATGTTCCAACGTCATCGGTTATCCTCGGTAGCGGCGCTATCAGTTTCTCCGCGCCGAGGCACGCGTCCGACGCGTTTCCAATTAAAGATTATATTTTTAGACGCACTCTAAGCCAACCCATCACCGCCATTATGGATCATGAGCTGGATACCCCGGGCCAGGAGGTCCAGGTTATTGACCCGGATGTGCGTGGCTATGTATACAGCCTGGTCACTGCAGTATGTACTCCCCAATCCCTATTTTATCTGTTACGCCTACTGACTGAGTTTTAAGTTGGGAGGGTTCAATGGTGAAGATGCGGACAAATATGTGCTTGGAGATGATGCACTAGCTTGTTTACGCGATATCAAACGATGGCTGAAGCTCTATGATGAGAAAAATAACCGAATGGACGTGGCGCGATGTCTTGGAGAGGCAAATCTCGTAAATGGAGATCTACTACCAATCCTCACAGTATGGTGGACTAGTGGGCAGAAAAGCAAACATATGACAAGAGTTGCTTTGGCATGTTGTAAGTCATAGTCAAGGACATCGGCATGACACATAGTGGTGGAGGCTAACAAAATAGTGGAACTCCTCGTGCCCTTGACTTGGCCGGTCGAGTTTCATAGCCAAATGACCGTGAATCACCACCGCCACACCCCATACATTCAGCAAGCACAAGTTCAATACAAACGTGGTATCCTGAAGTATGGCGGGTCGAATCTTTTACGTACTACCATCCGAATCGCACTCCCCAGCATGGCCATTCCTCGATCGGAACGCGAGGCCCGAGACGACGGTATTCTGAAATTGATGCTTTATTTCATACGCAACGTCGTCATGATTACAAGCAATACTCGCCTCGCGGCGGAAGGTGACGATGAGGAAACATCCAGATCCACGACGATCAATGCGTTCAAAGAGCAGGATGCTTTTGCCCTTCTCCTGACTATGTGCTCCAATGTCGGTGAAGATTTCAACTTACAAGATGTTGTTCTATTGGAAACGCTCTTCCACATTGTCAAGGGTGTCAATGTAGAGAAATTATTTTTGGATGAGGAACAAAAGAAGGCCAAGCAGACAGATGAACTAGGCGATCTTCTACGAAAAGAAACGGTAGTACGGAGACAGTACGCAAAAAATGCACCTACTCGACATGGAAGATTTGGGACTATGATCTGGGTAAAACGAGATGATGCGAAAATGTCGACAGTCTCTGGGCAGGATGTTTTGCGGGACGACCAAACCACTCTCCACAAAATGGACCAGTCCAAGAAGTGGAACAAGCCTCAATCCCGTCGGCGGCAAGAAGAGGTTTCTCAGCTCAATAATTTCAACATGACTACTCATCTCACCCCATCAGCTTCTAAAGACCTACGGAATTTTGTGGAAGAGTTCTTAGATTCCGGTTTTAACCCTCTGTTCACTCATGTACGAAAAGCCATCGAGCGCGAAGCAGAGCGGGTTCTGGATATCAATGTTCGTCAATTCTTCTATACAATCGGCTGGTTCCTTGACGCAGAGCGAGCTCGAAGGACTCGGCAATTAAGCCAACGTTCCAAGGAAGGAAAATCAGCCAAGAATGTTGAGCCAGACAGCTTTGGCCTAGTTGCTGGAGTACTGAATCAAGAAATGTTTATTTCATTGAACCGAGCTATGCAGAATAGCTTGGATAATAAGGAGTGGGAAGACTTGACTGCTCAGATGCGTTGCTTCACGCAGATCTTGCTGACTGTCCAAGAAATGGCTGTATCGCCAATCGAAGATGACCAGGAAATCGCCGAAAACATACAAAACCGAATCTTTTACGAAGAAACGACTCATGATCGAATCATTGCCATTATCCGTGGCTACAAGGACCAAGGCTTTGGCTATCTGGATGCAGCAACAGAGCTATCACATGTGTTCTTGCGAATGCTTGAGCGCTACTCCAAGGAGAATGCCGACATGCAGGTTCGGTCACGACGCAAGGCCGCCAAGCGCAAAAATAAGGCCGAACAGGATGCTGAGCAAGATGGAGCCGAAAATAACGACCAGAAATCAGAGGACGAGGACCTGGAGGATGCAGCGCAAGTGGTCAAGGAACGTGCTTTCGATTTCAAGCGCTTCGCAGCCAAGTTCTGCAATCAGAGTTGCGTTGACACTTTTATCGCCTTCACAGAATTCTATAGGGAATTGAATGCCGAACAATTGAAACGAGCGCACCGTTATTTCTATCGGCTTGCATTCAAGCAAGAGATGACCGTACTCCTCTTTCGTTTGGACATCATCAGTCTCTTCTATAGGATTGTCAAAGGGCCAGAGGGGCTAGACTCCACACAATCCGTTGTCAAAGAATGGGAAGAACTGGTTCGGCAAATCATTCGGCGGCTAATCAAGAAGCTAGACCAACGTCCTGCATTGGTCACTGAGCTTCTGTTCAGTAAGATGACATCAACTGCTTTTTACCTAGAATATGGACATGAGAAACAGACTATGTCTAGTGTCAAACGGGCACCGGCTACGCTGGAATTCACCTCAAAAGAAGATATAACAACAGAAGCTAGGCTGGGGATTGTCACCGGAGCTCTAGCCCTTGATGGGCGAGGTGATCTTGTGCAATGGGTTCTTGATGGACTGAGCAAAGCCGCATCTGAAAGAGAAGCATGGGAGGCTCAAGACGAAGCTCGTCGCGCCGAGGATCCTGAGGCGACCAACACTTCTCACCCCTTAATTCGTAAGTCTTCCAGGGAATTTTCCTATATCATATGATACGAATCTAATTATTATCAATAGATGTGAAAGCTCGGGACGAGTTCTGCCAGAACGCCATGTTCTCAAATGCACAACTTCGCCTTCTCATGAACGTCGTCGGATTTGAACGACTCGGAGTAGAAGATGTTCCGGGTGCTTCTTGGGTTATTCCGTCCGCGATGTCATCGCAGGAGTTGAAGGAAAGTATTGCCACCATTAGCAAAGCCCTGGCAAATCCAATCGAGGAAGGCAGTATAGAAGACCCTCGGCAGCTCCTTCGTCGTAAGGTGAACACAAACACTATTTTCGCTCCAGAAGTTGTTCACTTTGGATCCGACTCCGAGGGTGAAGACACTGTCCCAGATGGACCCCTTTTCCCTCCAAACCCACGCTCCAAATCCAGTGCACTGAACGAATTGAAGAAAAAGCGCAAGAAGAGAAACAAGGATGATGCCGAGAAAGAGCCTCTTGATGATGAAATTCTGGATGCTCGTCGCGAATCACGCCTTGCAAATGCTTTAGCTCGCCAATCGAAGATCAAGAGCGATCTGTTTATCCATGCTAGTGACGAGGAAAGTGACGACGAAGCGGACCAAGAATTCTTTCGACTTGAGGAAGAGCGGCGAAAGACGCAAGCAGCAAATATCAAGAGAGCATTGCTTGTTGGAAGGGAGGAACAAGCTACCAAAGGCAAAATGCCAAGTGTGCGCAAGCGCAAGAGTGATACAGGAAAATCTTCTGCGACAGCCGAGCCCAAACGACAACGGCGTGGATCGTCTGCGAGCGATATCGGCAGTGACGAAGATGAAGATAGTGACGTTGTTATGGAAGATTTGGATGCTCGGTCCAAGCAGGATGTTACATCAAATCATGATGATGAGTTCGATTTTGATGATGATCTTGTCTTCCGTCGAGACCGAGTAAAACCAGCTGAAATTATTGTGGAAGACGAGGTTGAAGATGCTCCTGTGGCATCATCTCGGCGCATGCGCGGCGGGTTTGTAATCGAAAGTGATTCCGAGTAGGAAATGAAATGTTGCGTACGACCTCATGAGGATTTTGGCATTTTGGAGCGTTGAATAGCATATTTTGTTTGAATAAAGTACATCCATGAAAGTCTACCTAAGTTCCACAGCTGGAAGGAATCCCACGTAGGGCTACCTATACCTATGTATCTTCACCCTCGCTCTTTTGACAATAGCACTCAAATTTTATTCACTGTTTTGACAATCTTGTCTACCGCGTATACCGGTCCGTGCTACTACGTATAAATACCCCACTTCCGCTCCCCACAATGGTCTATCTCACCTGCACATCTGCTTCATCCACCAATCTTGGTCTCCCCGAGTCTACACCATGGCTACCTCAAAGACTTTGACGGCTTCATGCCACTGTAGAAGTGTTAACTATACCATTACCGTGTTGACTGAATCACTCCCATTGAAAGTCCATATGTGCCACTGCAGTATATGTCGCTACTTACATGGAGCGCCGTGCTGCTTTCACACACCGCTGCCACCTGGCGTTGAACCACAATTTATCTCACCATCCAACTTAAGCAAATTAACCACCTATGACCATCCTACATTCCAATCTACAAAACTATTCTGCAGCACTTGTGGCTGCCACGTTGGAGATCGAGGTCTAGGCTCTCTCAAGAACACTTGGACAATTTCAACTTCAATCTTTAATGCAAATCGAGAGGATTCCGGAACTTGGGAGTTTGCCACTCATATGCTTCCGTATTCCACACCCGACGGCGGATTATCGTCTATCATCCCATCAATTGACGGCCGTCAGTTGGAATTGGAAACCCGTGGAGAAGAGAAGAAGCCAGATCCTACTGAGACCACACAAACTGATGAAACAGAACTTCTTGCTCAGTGCCACTGTGGCGGGGTCTCATTTAAGATTTCCCGACCTAAACCGGGCTTCATCGATAGTCCTGAGAGTGAACACTGGCTTTTACCAGCTAATAAGAACAAATGGCTCGCGTGCTTTGATCTCTGCGACGACTGCCGACTCGTCAATGGGACACATGTGATTGGATGGATGTTCGTTCCTACAGATCACATTTCACCTTCTCCCCCATCAGACCTCAAAATCGGTACCTCTAAGATATATCGTTCATCTAGTGATACTATTCGGACATTCTGTGGCACTTGCGGTGCAACAGTATTCTATTGGTGCTCGGAACGAAAGTCCATTTTAGACGTATCGACTGGAATATTACGGGCTCCTGAGGGAGCAATGGCTGAGAAGTGGGCTTTATGGAGGTCAGGACGGCCTTCATGGGCCGAAAATGGGGCTCGATATGATGCTAGGTTCACCCACGCTTTGACTGTGGGCTTGAAGGAGTGGGGTTTGAAGCGAGGTCATCCGCATGATTTCTATGTCCCGTGAAGTTGGAAGCTTTATTCACATTCATTTCAAATAAGTTCAAATAAGTTCGCAGTTTTAATCGTCACGTAGTAAAAGCAAAGCCTCCGAGCTGCCATCTGGACGTTATTTTAGTCGTTCTTCATCTATCTTCTTCATTATAATGAATATCACTACCAGTGCTCCAGGGCTGTCAACAGGTCTTTCGAAAGGTTCAAAAGGTGCCTTATTCTCCTGTTATATATGGCGTTATTGCCTAGATATGCCTTCAAAAGTTCGCCCACCACAGTCTAGTGGAGTGCTAGGCTAAAGGTCTGTTGAACTTAACAAAATTCATAGACTAGGCTTTTGTAATCACTAAAAAAATGGGTATCATTGTTACATTACATAGTGGCCTTTGGACAAAAAAGGCTACAACTCTCCTAACGCTCATCACAAAGACTTCTTAAACATTGCCTGCAAATCGTCGACCGGCCCATCCAGATCCATGTTCTTGATATTCCTCACGAGTAATTGCGACTTGGCCCAGCGCCTCTTGGTTACTTGCGAGACGAGATCCTCCTAGCCAAGTAGAGATAATTGGGCTATTCATTTGTTAGTATATTTCGATATGTCAAGACGTACTCAACTTACTCAGTTGCTCGGCGCACTCTCACAATACATTCCGACGAAGCAATAGGGCGTAGATCAGTTTCACTGGGAGTTAAAGTTAGTAGCTTTCCTTGCATCTTTGCACATGATAAACCGAAAACTTACAGTCTCTCCATGAATCCCGGAATAAGAGAATTGCCACCAACAACTAATATGTTGGCCAAGAACGCAGCGTGCAGCCCAGCAGGCAGCACCGACAAGGTTTGAAGAATCATATCTGGAATACCAGCCTGCATCATTCCAATATCGTCAGGGTTGAACAGAAGCTCTGGGACAGAGAAACGCTCATTTCCGAGCACCAAGACATCTTCGGATAGCACCTCTGCACTGAGACCAGACTGTGCACCCTTCTTCTTCTTCTTATGTATGAGAGGATCATGCGGCCGCATGAAGCCTTTCTTGCCCGCGTTTGGATCTGGTAACACGTAGTCTACGACCACACTATCTTGCGAGTCAGGGCGGCTCTTGGTGTTAACTTTCCATGTTTTCTCCATGTCCTCTTTGAAATCATTGCTGATGAAACAAACGGCTTCTTTGACTTCATTCATGATATATGCCTCCTCCATCACGTTGTACTGCCTCATCGACACGATTTCTTTCAAATAGTTGGTGAGAAACTTGCCTCCAATATCAAGACGTCGAATGCCGCGCTGTAGGGCTTGTCCTCGGTATACTGGAGTCACTGTTGTATGCGAATACCCCGAGTCGACGACTAGAAGGCAATCCCTAGGCAAAACATCTGACGTTGGCGATCCGGAAAGAGGGTCTCCAAAAAGAGAATGTAGTTCATTCCAAGCATTAAGGGTCGGGCCTATTGTTTCGCCGCAAATTAGTATCAGATCAGAGGATAATATAAGTCATGCGTCTTTGTATTCCTTACCTATACACCGAACATATCCCCCAAATCCCCACTCCTCCATCACCATCTCGTCTGTATTCCGCTGCAACACAGGCATAGCATTGGGTGCCTCGGTAAGGACTAGTGTCGTGTCCTGCGGCATGGGGATCCGCAAGGCCTTATTCTTCGGTGTCGCCTTCTCTTCAAAGAAAGTCTGCTCCCAGATTTCCCGTTGCGCTTCCCAGTTCACAAGAAATCCCTTCTCAACGGGTCGTCGAAAAGCCACTTCATTCCAATCCTTGATAGTAGAAAGCTGTGGACCGACGACAATGCGACCATCTCGTGTTTTAGCGATTGCATTCTGTATCGTGGAGCAGACTTCTTCGGGGGAGGATTCGAGTTCCAACGCATAGCCGGCTTTCATTGTAAACGCGCCATTATCGATGACGAATGTCTCCTTGGGCAGGTTTCGAGCAAGAGTAACTGGGGGTGTTTGTGCTGGCTTCGCAGCCTTCGCAGAGGTGCGAGGCTTTGCTGTACCCATCCTTACAAGTGATGAACAAACAATAATTGAGCGCGCACCAATTCAAGCTTTCGAGCTCATAACCGTGTTTGACATGTTTGTTATTTTTCTGCCACCGCCGATAGAACGCACTAGTTTGAGTAATATTTTTTGCGCGAATATAGATCATACTGTATTTTAGCTCCTTTTTAGAGCCGTTCCAACATCTAATTGGCAAGATGGCCGAGTTGGTCTAAGGCGTCAGGTTAAGGTCCTGATCTACATTGTAGGCGTGGGTTCAAATCCCACTCTTGTCATTTTTTATCGCGCAAATGATCAACAGGCCTTTGGTCAAGCATTTTACTACTATAGTGAACTAAAATTTTTTGTAAAAAAAAAATCCGATTACATCCAAGGTTTCTTTGGCTCGATACTATGTTTCTCAGGCCTTAGAAGCTTGCAATATCCCATGTGAGCCCTTGAAGTACTTTGAAAGTATTACTCTGTAATCCTTGTATAAAAAAATGTGGCCCCGCATAACCCTAATCAGCCCCGCGGCCAAATAATCAATCGCAGCAAAATTCCTCTCTAGCATTCTCAACCTCCAAATTCGACCAGTGGCACAGCCCACACTACTCAACATGTCTGAACAATTATCAACCGTCCTAGTGACAACTCTTGCACTCATTAAACAATTCCAAGAAGCCCTTTCAGTCCCAGGCGTCCGCACTGCTGTGTCCGAGTCTGAGTCGGCAGACACAAAAGCCCTACCCCTCCTCTCAAACTCGTCCAGCGCATTGAAAGCCCAAGTCACCAAGCTCTCACTTCTCGCCATCAATACCCCCTTCACCCACTCCGCCGTGACGAATGTGCTTCGCGCCTGTAACGACTCTGTCATACCTTCTCTTGTTACCGCTGCATTCCTGGTCACACCGGATAAATACACGAAAGCGTTCCAGTCTGAAGTAATTACCCTTGCTGTATCGGCTTTGACAGATTTTTCTGCCCTGGTGCAGGAGGTGAAGAGTATCGCGAACAATAAGGATCAGGCAAAGAAGGACGACCCGAAGAAGAAAGAGGTTGATTTGTCTAATGCTGAGAAAGATGTCATTACTCAGGCAACGGGTCGTGTGTGGAATTCTTGTGATGTGATCACAGAGGCTGCCACGAAAGGTGTTGTTGGTTTTGTTATGCGCCGCGTTGAGCAGTGGCGGGATCTTATTCGAGATGCTGTTGAAGAAATCGAGGACTGGGATCCTGAAGAGGATGGGGATGAATTCTTCGATGAGCTTTTGGACGACGATGAAAAAGCTGCCGGAGGTGATGATAAGGATGATGAGGAGAATACTGCTGCTTTGCAGGAACAGAAGAAAATCACTCTTCGCTTCCTAAAGCCGCTTGTACAGGTTTATCCCAGTATTATCAAGTACCGGTTAAAGGGTGTTAGCGAAGTACCTTTATCGTCGGCGACTGGGCCTTCAAATTTGGAGGCCTTAATGGTTCATTTGGAGAGAATCCCTGACCAGGTTGATGAAGCAGCTGGGGCTTTGTATGAGGAAAATTTGGAAAAATCTACCCAATTCTTGAGGAAGGCTCACAAGAACGCTGCCGCTGCTGTGGAGTTGGTTAAATTGCCTTGGAATATAGATAACACTGACGGTAAGGAACCGGTTGAAGACAAGTTTACTGCTTGGTCGAAAACTTGGATCAAGGTTATGGACGAAGTCAGCAAGTCAATTAGCTCGGGTTCGAGCGAATAGACAAAGAAAATTTTGTACATAGCAGGGTAATAGAGAAAGCAAGTGATACTTTTTGTATATCCACTCGAATGCCGAACAAACCGGGGAAGACTACCCTGTCCGATTAACGTCTTTTATAAAGAAACTTGAGTGTATATTACAAAAAGAGATAAGAACAAAGATTCTAATAGATACAAAGCGCTATATGCAAAGGTCCAAAGCAACGATGAAATGCTTAGAAGTTGAAAACAGCTCAAAAACCTCTACAGGGATATGTCATCTTCATGCTCCCACTCAGGCAAATCCTCGACACGAATATGTTCACGAAGAAACTCCAAAATCGCATCAGTTCCTTTGGCAACAGTCTGCCATCGAGGAACGCGGAAGCGGTTTCCTGCAACCTCAAAGCGACGCAGGGCAGATCCTGTACCCCAGTTTCGTGGGTCACGATCGTGTGCTAATAGGCCAATCTTTGGTGGCAGTTGGCTTACGTCGTTATTGCTGATATCCAGGACTTGAAGGCCCTGGACTGCCTCGAAGTCCAAGCTGGCGATCTTATTGTCGGAAGCTAGGACATGCTTGACATCTGGGTACGCCTGGCGGATATGAGCAAGGGATCCGGTCAGACGGTTATTAGAGACATCGAGGAAGTTGAGCGATGGAGCCTGAAGATTGGTCATGAGGGGCTCAAGTGAAGTCAAGCCACATGAGCTCAGATTGAGGGTTTGAAGTTTTGGCAATTCAAGGGATGACGATATGAGCTCTGATGTATTCAGAGGATTGTGCGACAGGTCAAGTTCAATCAGTCCTTGAGCGAGCATTCCCAGGGCTGGAATAGGAAAGAAGCGCAATGCGTTATGTTGTAGGTAAAGACTGCGAATTTCTTGGGCGTTGATCAACTCCAGCTTGTCTGTTTCCAGGTCGGTCATCTCGGAATATGATCGATCGAGAACACCTCCAAAATTAATCTTCCATCCATCTTGCACCGGGGTCTCTGGCGCAAGGGTGAATTGAGTGGCCACAGATCCCTCGTCGTCAGTATCGTGGGCGGGTTCGACCCGGTTTCGCATATCCCGCTTGATATCCTCAGTATCCATGTTCAAGAGCCTACGCTCTCGGAGTGGATTAGTGGCAATCTGGAATAAGGTGAGACTTTCCATGAATCCAATTTTCTCATCAAGACGAGTGATGTCATTCCCAGAGAAATCAACAGTCTTGATATTCTTGAGCTCCACGAAGCCGGTTGGAAGATCTGCGAGTTTGTTATGCTGCGCTAGAAGAACCAGCAATGACTGCCAAGAGGCCAGAGAAGGTAGACTTTTGATACAGTTCGTGTTTATAAACAAGCTATGAAGCTGAGGAAGGGCCAGCGCGTCATTAGCTGCAAGAACCTCGACCTTGTTGTTTGCAACGTTCAAGGATTGTAGAGTCTCGAGACAATCCACTGATTCGGGAATCAGAATTCCGCTCAATTTGTTCTTGGAAGCATTGAGCGTGACTAGTGGGACTCTACTTAGAGCCTCGAATGGAATAAAAGTCAACTGGTTGTCACTGACATCCAATGTTTTGAGACATGTCAGTTCCCCAAGTTCTTCGGGTAGCTTTGTGAGAGCATTGCCACGTAAGTCCAGAGAATCCAAACGACTGAGAAGGCTCATACTTGCAGGAAAAGAGCCTTCCAGTTTGTTATTTGCCAGCTTCAGATCCACCAAAGAGGCGATTTCCATGATAAGATCAATCTTGTCTATGGTCAAGGCATTGTTGGAGAGGTTCAGAGACCGCAAGTTATGCAATCTTCTCAGTCCCACAGGCAGAGATTGGAGGATGTTTCCATGAAGATCTAGTGCCTCCAACCCACTAAATTGGGGTCCGCGCTCGTCGCTTTCTGGATCAAATGTTTCCACGTCAATATCGGGAAAAATATTATCTGACACATCAGCCAGTTCATTGTCTGCCGCAATGAATTTCACAAGATCTACATTCTCAAACCAGCTGGCCGCACCATCGGGATCATATTCGTACATAGTCAGCACCTCCTTGGGGATCTCAGTCAAAGACATGGCTGCGATATTCAACGTGCCTGATGCACGTGCACTTGCCACCCTGTTGCGAATCACATTGGTATTTGACCCTTTGGGCAGCTGGTTAAAGGGGTCCTCGTCTATGCCACCCCATGGATCAGAGACGTCAACATCAGTGACAGGATTGACATTATTGGCTTGAGTCTGAGTATTGGTCTGAGGGGCAGCTTCTTCCTTTCCGGCTGCTGCTGCTGCCGCCGCCTTTCGAGCTGCTTTGGCCTTGGCAATAGTATCGCGTAAGGTGCTCGAGGACTTCGAAACTTTTCTCGCCTCACTTTCTACTTGCTGCTCTTGGGTAAGCTCGTCCTGTATAGTAGACGTGGAAGACACGTATCTCGAAGTTGTAGAAGGAGACCTCGACTTTGATGACTCTGTCTGGGTATTTCTAGCCTTTCGTACGTTGAGAGGCCGTGCTGGAGGACCCATATTCGTCTTGATAGATTTCAAAGATGACACACTTGGCGAAGAACGCAGAGCTGAAGATTTGGGAGCTATATCAGTTTTGTTCAGTGCTGCACTGTCACTAACAGGCTCTAAGCTTTGCCTCGAGGAAGGCTTTCTCAGCCTTGAAGAGCTTTCAACATCCGGGGTAGCACCATTTGTCCGTATCCCCGAAACTGAAATGCGAGGCCGGGATGGAATACGCAGCTTGGATACAGGCTGCGATAAGAGATCGTTGTGATTTGCCAAACTAGATGACGATCGCGACGGGGATCGCGAATAGCTGGACATAGTGGATTGAGGCCGAGATGGAGAGCGGGCTGGGCTGGTCCCGTTAAAGAATCTCGACTGCGCTCTAGCTGAGACCGGGGAAGGTGGGATATTGGCTATCGTCTCAGCAGTCCGTTCGGACAACGACGGACGTGTACGCCCACGGGTCTCAACTTCGTCCCCGACTGAGCCCACATCGTCCCTAGTATCCGTTATTGGTGCATAACCTGCGGTCTCCTCTTGTATAGGGGTTTCAGTCCGAGATTTCGCAGTTGATGAACATCCTGAGGACGGTCTCCTGATTAACGATTCGTAAGATGGCCGTCGGAGTCGTCGGGCGTCTAGGCCCGGGTCTGCCTGCAATCTTTCTCTGGAGGGGGATGGACGGTTTGATTTGGTCACAATCGAGGTGGGCAGTGGCAGTCTAGAAACCGGTCGCGGAATGCCTGATTGACGGACTACTTTTGGTGTTCCTTCCATAACAGGCGATCTGGCCGCTGTCAGTGAGGGGCGCACGTGTATAATGTCAATATGAAGTAGTTGGCAATAAACAAGGGCATATACATCAGATGAGAGATATGATCAGACAAATAGTGGTGTGGCCACCTTCATTATAGCCAGTCCTTTGTAGTGAACCGTAGACAGTTCTGAAGCCCCACGCGTTGTCAATATTTGATCTCGCGATCCCAGCTATCGTAGCCTGAGGCAGCAATATATCTCCATTCATAATATTTTACTTACATTGCAGCTTTCTCCTCAATCTATGCAACTCAATGAAAGTAAAACTTCAGGTCCTATATTGAGAGGCTGGAAATATAGTATCTATCTAGTAATATATGAGGAATGACGGGTAACAGAATGTGTTGCACCAGCCACAGTGGTATTTGTCAGCTCTGTACAAAGGGTATTTTGCGTTTACTTACGGAGTACCTATGTAAGTACTAGCATCTTGTACACCTGGATGAAACCCAGTATTTATCTATCGAAATTAGAACCGGGAGGCTACATATGGACCATATGATGAAAGAAATCTGGACTGCATCCATTGAACAGTATAGGTAGGCAATTAGAGACATGGGTATCTAATACCAAGATTTACAAAGGTGGTACTACCCCCTATGCAGTCCGTATAAGGGGTTTACAAGGACCCCTTTTAGTAGTATAGACTGTATACTGCTCCATAGTAGTCAATAGATTATCCTCGGCCGTTATTTAGACTGATTTGATAATAGATAAAGCTTATCGGTTGCCAGACCAACTAAGAGGGGACGTGTTCGTTTGCGGCTTATTCAATGTTTACTTTGGCCTGAGCGTCTTTGATCTTCAGTCTAACTAAATCGGTAATTGTGGATCTGTACTTGAGTAACGTGATTGGCTTAGTCCTCCACCTGAAAGCGGCTGGGTAGAACCAGCCCCAACTAACCATCTCTCCCAACCACCCCTCCTCCAACCAATATCATCTCTCATCTATCCTACTAACCTTCATCTTTCATCCACTGCGTTTCCTTTGAATTGTCGAATTTACTTTTGTTTAAAAAAGCCACTTGTGTTAGAGTTCTCCTCTTGTCTATTACCCCACTTTTATCCTCTCTTCGGTATGTGCCTGCCTAATATTGTTGATAAATATTGTTGATAGACCGATAACTGATCAATATCTTAGTGCCGTTCCCCACGGCTGACCGCTTGTTGATTGTCTTATCGATATCAATTGTCATACCATCATGTCTCAATCTACACGCATATTTCCAAGTCCCCTCTCTGCCCCAGCTGAGATTATGCCGGCAACACCAGTGCGCCGCACAACTCTCTCACCTTCACCAGATCTGAGTGGCCCTATTAAAGCATCATCATCTCAATCAGACAAAAAGTTTCTATCTCCAACGCTATTCCCCCCTTCCGACATGACTCCTCCTCCTACTACTCAAATCCCTGGCGCCCCTCTTCGCCAGTCTCTCTCTCGTTCAATTAGCCCATCACTTGCCGCACCAGCGGGCCTAACAAATGCCCTCCGTGAGGCTTACGGGGTATCCGAGAACCTCCCTACAAATGAAGACATTGACAATGCCAATGAGACCCAACTTAGGATCATCGCAAAAGACCTTCTCGCCATGGCACAAGAAGATCGCATGTCCGCGTTACATTTCAAGCTGCAAAACAGTCTAGTTTCATTCGCCAGTAAAGAGGCTGTCAAGCGCGCCCAGGTTGAGCGTCAGCTTGCCAAGAGCGAGGTCGAAATCCTTCAGAGAATTGGGTCCCTCGATCCTTCGCGCCCGATTCCAGCTCATTCGCCCGTCTCCACTGACGACTACGTTGCCTCTCTCCAAAGGGCAGGAGAGTTGGAAGGCGCAAACGCTCTCCTGGATCGGCGCCTGCGTCATGCCAAGCGACTTATAGATGATGTTACTACCCGCTCCGTCGACTTGGCTGAGCAAAACGTCATGCTGAAGAAGCGCATTGAGGACAACCGCATCCACTTTAATCAGATTTACAACTATGGCTCCTTGTCCCCCAACATGCAGAACGAATATCGCTCTCTCTGCCGTGGAGAGCCCACCGACGGCCTGGCGGCTCTTCTGTTCGCGGACAAGTTCACCAACCGTCTCCATAAGCCCCACGATTCCTTTGATAGCCGTGGCTCAGTTCCAGTGACCCCTAAACAAACCCGCTCGGTTCGTCAAGAACATCCATACATGACCCCAGCTCAGGTCTCGCACGAACAACAATATGACAGTGACAGCACTGTATCTTTGTCGGCTCGCAATTCTGAAGATGAAGCCATTCAGAGCCGCCCGTCTATACGGTCTGGTCCACCGCGGACTAGCACCTTGCTCCAGTCTAAGCTTTTTGGCCACGTAATGAAACCCGGTGTAGAGCGGAATCATTCAACCAAGCGCAAGGCAAGCTTTGGCGAGAGTAGTACACCAAAGAAGAATAAGACGAATGGACCAGTCGGCCTAGGCATCGAAGCTTGAAGCCCTCACCACCACTTGGACATTTTTCTTGAATTAGCGCTGCGCTCTTTACTTTTGATTTTGCTTTTTGCGAAATGAACCTTATGAATGTAACCAACCCTCTCGGTAACTGATACGAATGATGAAATTTATGAGCTCAAGAATGGAAATTTGCTTAGGATTGCTTGCACAAGCTGGATGGCTGTACAATAGGTGCACAACTGCGACAAAATAAAAATGAAATTATCGCTATCCATCTTGTCCATTTCCCTTAGAGGCTGAAGAGTAACAGGTATCATAACTACCAAGTATGGAGTAGATCTGGATCCATAAGTAGTTCTTACAGGGTTCAAAAATTGCAAACTGCTGATAGCAAAATTACCTAAGCTCAAAAAGTGATATTGGTGCGCCGTATATCTGATTGGTTGATTTACCTTAGTCAGCATATGGCTGGATCAGGACTAGTTAGGGCCGCCCCACACTCGCTAAGGGCCGCACGAAGAAATTGACTGCTTCCCGTTCTTTCGACGAAATCGACCAGCAACCCTCCGACGACCAACACCGGCTCGATCCCCATCCATCACAATGGTGCGTTCCCCTCGATTCCCCATGGACGATGATGAATTGAAAAAGATACACGAATGAAGGACAACTTGGGCTGGAATTCTGTGTTGTCAAGGAACAAAATGGCTGATTCGACTGTTTGTGGCAATATAGGCGATCTCGCACAACAACCAGATCCAGAAGAACCGTGAGTGACTCCTTATGGTTTACGCTCTTTCTCAACGCTCAGCGACACTTTTAAAGTGGAATTATAAGGAATTTTGATTTAACAGTTTTTCAATAGACTTCCGCAAGGATTGGCAGAAGCGCGTGCGCGTGCACTTCAACCAGGTACGACCTCGAAAAATACTCCCCCATCAAGTCACTTGCAATACGAATGAAACGCCTTTCTATCGATTGAGACCAACTTCGAAAAAAATCTTCACGAATCGAACTTTGCCGACTAACATGAATTTTTTCTTGCTTTACAGCCCGGCCGCAAGCACCGTCGTCGTGAAAACCGTATCGCCAAGGCTGCTGCCGTTGCCCCCCGTCCCGTTGACAAGCTGCGTCCCGTTGTCCGATGCCCTACCATCAAGTACAACCGCCGTGTCCGTGCCGGTCGTGGTTTCACCCTGGCTGAGCTCAAGGTAAATATCGAACAACCAGAAGGAAATGCATTTGAAACAGAGGCTCATGGTTCTTTTTTCGAAATTTTTAGGAGGCTGGCATCGCCAAGAAGCTCGCCCCCACCGTTGGTATCGCTGTTGACCACCGCCGCACCAACTACTCCAAGGAGTCCCTTGTTGCCAACGTTGCCCGTCTCAAGGACTACAAGGCCCGCCTGATCCTCTTCCCCCGCAAGAGCGGTCAGTTCAAGAAGCTCGACTCTTCCGTCGAGGAGGTCAAGGCCGCTAAGGCTGGTGAGGGTCTCACCAAGAACGTCGGTGCTTCCTTCCCCATCGTCAACCCCGCTTTCGAGCACGCTATCACTGAGATCAAGCGTGACTCTCTTCCCGAGGGTGACAAGGCTGCCTACCGCCGCCTGCGTGACGCCCGCGCTGAGGCCCGCCACCGTGGCCAGCGTGAGAAGCGCGCCAAGGTCAAGGCTGAGGAGGAGAAGGACGCTAAGAAATAAATGTGTTAATTTCCTGCTCGTGCTGATGATGATGATCGGGTCGGTTTTTCGGATCGGGATGAGTGTAATGTGGCATGGCGTGTCGCCTCTTCCTTTTTCTTCGTTCAAACTGCATCCCTTTTCCCTCCTACCTTTTTTACCCCCTTGTCTCTAAAATAAAAGAACTCGGAAGATACTCTCGAAATGCAAAACCGCCCATTTTTCTCAATTCCTTTGACTGCTTTTTACCTATATTGGCTTTGGTATTTTGGTCTGTTTCTGGGGAGTTTGTCTGCGTATCTGCGCAAGGCACTTCGGAGCTATCGGGACAGTCGGTAGGAGGTATGGGATTACTAGAAATGGATTGATTTTCAAGGGATTCGAGGGCTTATGCTGCATACTTTCATTTCTAGGTAGTCTCGCCAATGATATGACACATTAACTGCACAGCTGCATAACTGTTCAACTACCAAGCAACCTTGGAACTTACTATACGTAAATGCCTATATGCATCGTTATTACGACTGGTAGAGTAAACCCCAATTTCATACAGAAACTTTGACTAGATGCGTCCACAGGACCTCCGTATATCCACGATCGATATAGTAGTCCTCAGAGCATGTTACCTCATCTTCAGGGCTTGCAGTTTCTCAAATTCGATGAGGAATCAAGATTTCAATAGCCCTGGAACGCTTCCAATGTTGTATGTGCACAGGCGTTGATACTAACTTACATCCATCTAAAGCCATAATACCACCCTTTGGTATAAAAATCATTCGTTATCTTGACCTCGACACTAGTACTCTCCTAGGGCTTCTTTTCCACAACTCTAGCCTACTTACGTTTTCCCACATATCTCCGCAAGATGACTGTCGATTTTGAAAGTGAGGAGATCAAAGCCATTAATTTTCTCATATTTATCCAGAATTCGAAGCGCTTGACTGTGGGTATGCTGAGAAGTGTTCTAGAGCCGGCCTCAACATTATCATTTACCTAGCCCTGGATAAGATGTTGGATTCATATTTGGATATGCTGTCTCATGGAACTGGTAACTTTAACGACAACAACTATGGTTGGTTAATATCACTTATAACATTGAAGAAGCCCAGAGATGGCTGCTAATAAAAGAAAGTTATATTAGTAGCCTTGGAAGGCATCCAGCATATATTGCGTCCAGAATTCGCTATATTCTGCGGTCCACATAAGAGCCATCCCTAAGCTATCCAGGACCCTTCCTTTTTTCGAAAAAGACTGATTCATTGACAGCCCTACGGGACTTATTGGTGACTTCATCACCAATTTCTGATAGTGTTTCAGGAGCATATGACTCTTCGGCTGACACATGAGGGTAAAGCATGGAGTGATAGTCATGGAGATTGGCTGATACAAGAGGAAGATAATAGATCAAGAGCTAGATGAGTGACTGCAAAGGGAGGTATTCGAGATATGTGAAAAAGAGAAAGAGACAAGAACGGGCGAAGCAGAACATGTTAGGAGACGCGGAGTTTAAAGAGAAGGAGACGGAGATGACCGAGACCACCCAGGTCAATAGCTGAGGATGTATGCACCATAACTACTTCGAAGGTTCGTAGGTAAGAGATATATTTTAGTTACCTATCCATGTCTACGGGGGTAGTGGGTACACAGACAATCAGATGAATCAAGTTCCAAGGTTCTGAAGGCACAGAGCCTGGTGATTAGATTACCTAGGTAGTACATATATTTCGTTGAAGTCATGTTGAGTATTTGAACCCACCCCTTACGCCAACGCTGAAAAGCTATATATATAAAAATACACCGATAGCACAAATAGCATCAAGTACCACCGAACAAGGCGCCAAGAGCACCTTCAGTTGCTCGGAAAATTGCATCGATACAAGCGCCTCCAACCTCACCTCGCGTGATAGCAGCCCCGTCCTCATGTAACAAAGCATGGAACAATTTCTTCACCTCCTGGTTGATTTTATTGCTAGACCCGCCATTGGATGAAGTAGAAATGCTGAGTTCAGATCGTAGTTGTGGCTCACCGGTCCAATCATCCAGGGCTATGATGTTTGATAAAAGCACAACAGGAGCGTCGGATGACTTGGACTTGATAACAAGTTTGCTGCGCTCGAGGTGTGGCAATAATTTTTGAAGCTCAGATATCGACATAACTCCAGCCTGAGAATCCAGTGGAGCGGCTTCCGCACTGCGTGATGAAGCGTTATCGAGGTGATTCTGAGAAATTCGGGCCCAGAGCTGGGCGCGGGCCACGGATGCTTCCCAATATCTGTTGATACCCCAACATAATGTGGCCACATCGAGTTTTAAAATAGGATTTGCCAGTCTAGAATCAATCCATTGACAAAGCGCATGAGGAATTCTACTTTTCCTGCTGTCATTATCATTAGGTACTGATACAGATACCACAGTCTGCGTCTCGGGATTTGCTTCATATACGACAGACACGTTGTATGTAGTCAGTGGAAATGGAGAGGGTGCTGTGAATTTCAAGACATGGGTTTCCAAGATAATGCGAGAGTTAGAGGCTGATGTTTGACTTATTTGTGTATGGACGGCCAAAGGGGCAAACAGGGTAAGATATTCCGATGACTGGGTAGACTCTTTCAAGGCGTATGGGTTTGTAGGTAGAGGTGAGGGTTGACGTTTAGGGCGAGAAATATTAGCGGAGAATGGGAGGAAGGCGGCAAGAAACGATGATATTGACACCGGGGCTTGCTTCGGCACTGGACGATCAGTGTAAGATGATTCCTCGGACAGTAACGTTCTATAATGTTAGTTAGAACTCGATTTTAGCCTTATTCGAGATTTGTACTCACAAAAACTTCTTGAGCTCTTTCGGATCTCGTTCCATATCTTCACTGGACTCGATCTTCCCAGCCCACCTTGTCAGCTCTGCAACGTCATTCCTCAGGCGTTGTAATTCTGCCTTCAGACTCTTTCGCGCTTGTCGTTTCTCTAAAGCTGCCGCAGATAGCTCATCGCGGGAAATATTCTCATCCTCCGAGCTTTCTTCTGGGTCCGACGGCTGGGATCTTAATTTTAAAGGGCTTTTTTGAAGCGCATCGGTGGCCCGTCGTTTCATATGTTTCTCATGCCTTGTACTTGGGCTACTACTCAATCGTGTCGAAATTCGACGATCGGGTGCTTTCACTAGCCCTAGCTGAGTTGGAGTGGGGGGAAGATCTGGCTCCAGTGGATCTTCGTCCATGAGTCCGTCATCTAAGCCGAAATCTAGCGATGGCCCTAAATCGGCATCTTGCGTTGCGCTGTCTAGCTCCAAGGCCAATTGAGCTTCGGGAGTATTTGAAAAATGTTCTGTCGATTGTATTTTTTTCCTGGTCGGGGTTCCAAACGTGAAATCGGAGGGTACAATTTTCATGGAAACCTTGCGAGGTAGTTTCGAAAAAGACTTAACGCCACTTGGACGCCTGCTGGGAGATAAAACGGGCGCATCGGCTGATCGGGAGGCTTTGAATGGACTGGAACCACTGAGTGAAGGTCGAAGAGGCTTGCGCTCACGGAGCCCAACTGCACTTGGGCGAGATTCGCCTGTACTATCATCTTGGCCTTGGCCTGCCCGACTGACTGGTCGTCGAATGGGGGATCTACTTAGAGCACGTTCGGCAATTTCAGAATGCGACCTGACCAAACTTGATCTCGTTGGAGATTGGAAAGATGGATGCGGAGGGTACGATTCGTTACGCGATCCAAGAGACCCAGATTCCATAGCGCCCACACTTTGGCGTGTTTTTTGGCGTTTTGGAGGTGACAACATTGTTTGTCGCGTTAGCATTGAATTATTTTACCTCGGCGTGACTCAATAAACAAAATGTTTGCATTGTTTGCACTTATGACTTAATGGGTTCGGCAAATCGGTTCCTGGATATTTGTAACTCTTGTTTTCTCCCACAACACCATGGAATGTCTCTCCGTGGGCAGACACTCACTTTCGACAAGAGTCTGTCCATATTCATTTTCAAATCGACTATTCTCTTCTCTCAGTCGGCAATATGCCTCGGCATCTACTCCGCGGCGCATGGCCGCTCAGAACTGGATCGGCAATCTTGAGTCCTCTGCCAAAAACTCCCAGGCATATCCTTTGTCAGGGTATTATAAATTAGTTTTAAATAACTCCACTCGCTATACCCCGACCGCGCCCTCAACACCCGCCCAACCTGAGCATGACTCAAAACCAGCAACGAAAGAGCAGACACCCCAAGAGAAAATGGCTATTGTGTTCGGCACACGCCTTGCTGGCCCGGGTCGTACCTCACGTTATAATCCTGGCGAAATGCCTCCTGAGGCCCAATGGAAGACAATCAATGGAGTACCTATACCGCCCCAGCCCGAGGAACCCGACAACTGCTGCATGAGTGGCTGTGTACACTGTGTTTGGGATGACTTCCGAGATGAAATGGAGGACTGGGCAGGAAGAGTTGCAACGGCCAAGGCTAAGGGCAGTGCCGAGAATGGAACAAAAGACATTCGCACTGTGCCGCAGACTGAGGTTCACGCAGCCCACCAAAGCATGGATGATGACGGTGGTGCAAGTGAATCAAATTGGCCAGCACCCAGTCAAGATGAGGACTTGTTCGCCGGCATCCCAGTCGGGATACGCGAGTTTATGAGAACTGAGAAGAAGCTGCGAGAGAGAAAAGAGGCCAAAAAAGAAACGGCCTAGAATATTAATATGTTACTGGATCACTTTGAGCAAGATCCGGAGAGAAGCGTTGCAAAGTTATGGGGTAAATTGTACATAGAACTTGACTACGACGTGCTGATCACAGCACATTTAGATAGTAGCATGTAGTTTACATAAAAAGATCTACTCTTGTTTTCGTTGTTCAATTCAACATTGCCTTATAGATCGTGGTCTCCGCGATGCCAAGACTATTTGCCGCAGCGTCAAATGCTCAATCTTTTTTTTGGGGAAATTTAAGTCACAAGAATACCAACTTTCCCTCAAATACGGAAGGTCTATCACCCGAATATCACAGGATAAAGGTCAATATCTGACTGGAACCTGGATTGATCCACGATAACTGCGCAATGCCCTCCTAATTCTCCTTTCGGCAACAACCTCCAAGATGGTGACAGGAACGAGCGCATGGCCTCGAATACGGGATTACAGACAAACACGCGGTTTAAATCGCAGTTGTGTCTACAAACATATATCATACTGGAGACCCAGTTATCTTGGATCACTACGATCGCAACGCGCCGTGCACACGACCCATGATCATGGACATGCCCCGGCGAAATCCAGCATAGTCACGAGAAATAAGCTTGCGACGGAATATCCCCACCATCCTGCATCGTTCTTTCGGTTGCCACTGGCTAATTTTCACCATGCTCGCGAGATGTTCAACGTACTTGGGTCAAGATCTTATGCTGTTGTCGCGGAGGCTAGCCAACATGTACAGCTCAAGTTAGGACCAAGTCTAGAATCAAAGGAAGATTCCAATGACAATTCGAAAAAATTGCTCAGAAAGGATCGTGCTCTCTTGCAGGAAGATTACAAGCGCAGACTGAAACTGTTAACGTATTGGTGTCGGAAACGATATGTGGAGGTGGATATCGATTATAAAGCCATAAAACCCATGGATACTGTCCTACATACTTTTGAAATGTGTTTTCGAATGCCAGGCATGGAAGAGTCAATTTGTATCAGAAGCGTGAGATCTGAGAAGGTAGGTTCTCTTTTAGCTGTACCTGATAAACATCCTTAATTAATCATTAACAGGACTTGTCTGTTGAGCTGGCATACAAACGTCTAATCACAAATCTAAGAAAAAGGGTATTTGGGATCGTCTTCTAAAGGTCGACACTCCAGGTTTCGAACAACAAGAAAGAGATCTGGAACATTGCAGGGCTTTGCGGAGAATTAATAAATTCAGGGTTGCTTTTGAATACTCCACCGTCAAAGATGCAACTTCCAGTAAGCAGTTTACTCGTTGTAAGGCGAGTTTTCGCCTACAAGGCTCTATGAAGTTCATCGAAGTAATTGCCGAAGCTTCCCACCAAGTAGGTCATTTTTGCCTCTGTATATCGGAATATACTCATCGCGTCTTTGCAGGAAGCAGCGAAGCGTGATACACTGCTCCTAATTGTACCACACTTACAGCAAGCTGGTATCTGGGATATATCTCTACTGGATGATCTCAAAGTGGCTACTCCCAAAGCGGCTGCTCCCAAAGTGACAGACAGCCCTGTGCATCCTGCTCCGGCAAAGACCTGTGCGAATATCACTCATCCACCACTTCAGACTGACCCAGCAATTAAAATTCACCAATTCGAGACTAATTCAGCAGAGACTTTCCCGAATGACATCCATTCTCCGCTGGGGGTTGATCCAGCGATAGAAATTCATCAATTTGAGTGCTTTTGGGTCAATAAGTGCTTCGAGGTTACAATGGAATCTACCTCTACTGCCCTCAAAGTATTTGTGTCTCATCCAGACATTGAGGAGCCACTACAGGCCACAGAGGTATGAATTACACATTGTCTGAAGTGCATAGCATTGACATAATTTATGAATTTTTATGCTAACTAGCTGTTTATAGACAATCGGGGGGCCATGGGAAAGGCGGAGGAGGGCCTTTTCAGAAATAATTTCAAACTTCAAGGAAGCCGGTGTCTGGGAGAAAATGTTGAGAACTGGTTTTTACCAGGCTCAGCTCGATGTGGATGCAGATTTAGTTTGGATGATGCAATGGGCCAGTACTGATCTATTCAAATCCCAAGATATCATGAGGAGGACTCTCATGAGGAGGACTCTCATGAAGAACATGACACCGCCGACATCATCGACACGCCAAACTCGTGCTCACTCGAGCGAAAGGGAGCAAAGGCGACGGTCCCACATATTAACTTTGAAAAAGTGGCATGAAACGGCAGGAGAATTATCAGATGTTCGGTCATCAAGGAATCTCTTGCCTGTTAATTTCTACCAGGAGAAAATCCTGGACCTGATCGATCATCACACATACAGCATTATCGTTGCCGCGACTGGATCTGGAAAATCAACCCAAATACCTCAAATGATTCTAGACTCTGCCATTGCAAAAGATTCCGGAGGGGAGCGCAAAATACTTTGTGTCCTGCCACGGAGGATGGCAGCAAAGATGTTGGCTGGCCGTGTTGCTGAAGAAAGAAACGAAAAAATCGGTGACACTGTGGGTTATACTGTTCGATTTGAACACCATACCCCAGAAAAAAATGGCAGCATCATGTATTGTACCAATGGTATAATGTTAAACATGCTTCAGTCATCTAAAGAAATTTGGCATTTCACGCATATCATCCTGGACGAAGTTCATGTACGAGACATTGGGATTGATTTCATCATGCTCCTGCTGAAACGCCATGTTGACCGATGCCGGCGGGAGAAACGTCCAGAGCCTCGAATCGTTATCATGAGTGCGACGGTAGATGTTGATCTCTTTTCGTCTTACTTCCTTAATGAAGGACCAAATGGGACGCTTCTCCCAGCGCCACATATCATCATTCCAGGTCGCCAACACCATGTGACGAAGTACTACCTTGATGATGTGCTGCAAAAATTGGAAAATTTCTATGACCCTGGTGTTCTATCATGTTACCTTGGAGAGAACCAGTCATCTCGATTTTTGGAGAATCACTATATTAATTTCGGCGATGCTGAGGACGTTCCGGATTATGCTGACGAAATGACGAAAGGGGAGCTTGATCCTCGCCTTAAGAGACTGGATATGACAAGATTAATTCCGTATGGATTGATTGCTGCCACTGTTATTCAGCTTCTATCTACAACAAAAACTGGGTCCATGCTAGTATTTCTCCCGGGTCTCGCTCAAATTTTTGCGTTCGAGAAAGAACTTCTAGGCTTCGGGTCCGATTCCAGTATCGATTTCTCGGATGGAAACCAGATCAGAATTTTGAAGCTGCATTCCTCCCTCCCCGAAGATATGAAGAAGCTCACACTCCCAGTCCCGGACGGTTGCCGAAGGATATTTCTCTCAACGGATATAGCTGAAGCATCTATCACGATCCCTGACGTGAAGTATGTTCTGGACTCAGGAAAAATGAACCAAAAGACGTTCAATTCTCGTCTCGGCTCCACAAGACATGAATGCACTTGGATCAGTCATTCCAGCTCAACTCAACGTGCGGGACGAGCAGGCAGAGTTCAAACTGGAGAGTATTACTTCTTCGGAACCAAGAAATGCTACGACTCTCTCCGAATTACCAAAAATCCCGAAATGAAGCGGTTAGACTTGGAAGAAATCTCGCTACGCGCAAAGAAAATAAATCCTGATCTTTCTATTGCCGACACTCTTCAACAAGCCATTGAACCCCCCAATAATGACCAAGTGCTCGTGGCTGTCGAATCCTTGAAGCGCTTACAGGCACTGGACCAAGATGAGAAAATTACCCGTCTCGGCGATATCCTTTCTCAAATTCCTACCAATCCAAGATTTGGCAAATTACTCTTTCTAGGCATTATATTCCGTTGCCTCGATCCACTCTTGATCACCGTTCTACTACAAGATCCACCGCTCTTCCAACGACGAGTCGACGTCGGCCAAGAGATTCAAGATGCTCGCAATGTCTTTGCCGGGCAGTCCCGCAGTGATCACATCAGTACTATCAACGGATTTATCGCCGTTCGAAAAGTGTGGGTTGAAGAGGGCCCAAGTGAAGCCTTTCGATTTGCAATTTCTCGTCATATCAGATGGAACAGTTTCAAAGATAAATACCACATGGCGGGCAATTATCTTACTGCAATGTTCAATTCCAGCCTGATAAATCACGCGGCGATACAAGACAAAACAACTCTTCAATTCGGTGGAGCTTATCTCAATGCCAACTCAGACAACACCAATCTCATCAAAGCTCTGCTACTGCATTGCCTGTATCCGCGAGTCGCAGCCCCCCAACCGATGCAGTACAGCAAGACGTTATCTTACTTTTCCCCGACCGAGCCCACCTCAGTCCACCGGCATAGCACCCTAACTTCTTCAACTGAACCTTCGCCCTCGGGTCTCTTGATATACAGCGAAAAATACAGTGCTGAACACCAGTCAAGACAAATGACAGTGGAAAACTCCATTGTCTCGCCATTGATGATGTGTCTTTTTGGAGGAAAGTTGACATCGAACGACCACATCCTCGACATCGACTCTTGGCTGCGCATCAATCTTGACCACAAGGAAGAATCACCGTTGAGTTCAAAAGATGACGCCCTCCACTACATGCTTAAGTTAAATAAAGCTCTTGGCATGGTAAGTCACCGTGAAACCCATTTATCCCTCTACCTTTTAGCTAACTTGAAACTTCCAATACTCCAGGCTTTAGAGGCCGCATATACATCTTTTATTCCTATCGCTAGCCTCAAAGACAAAACATCCGGTCAGGGTCGTTTGGCTATCAGAAAGGCTCGCGATGCCCTGTTCGCATCGCTGGAACACTCTGTTCTTCAGGTTCTGGCGCGTGATCGGTGCCCTGATCCTATCTTGTTGTCCAAACCCAAATCATGGGATCAACACGATTTGCATATGTTTGAGACCAGCGAGAAGGATGAAAAAGATGAAGAATAGTATTCTTGTGTATTATAGATCTATAGAATTAGGTCCAATGTTCAATATTTAAGCTTGTTTTCCTGGGCAGGCCCCGGGGCAATCTAATGGATTCAGCAGGGCTTCCAGGCTGTCAAATAAAAACGATAGGTATTGATTGTGGACGCCTATACCTAGGTCCGTACATGTCCGGGTTAATCAACCCATGGATCTTTGCCAGTTGGACCCTACCTAGGTAGACAGTTTTCGTGAAACGTGAACGGGTCCGTCCACCGGTCATGTACGGATCTATAGATCTTGGATTGATAAATATATCTCCTTCACCGCCCTCGATAATTTGCTTATCGTAAAAAAAAGTGCCCCCTCTCACTAGTTAGACAGAGAACATTTGAAATCAACGAGCCATGTCGCTCTCAAAAAGCGAGTCAGACGTGATCTTAAACCGCGCAAACGTCGCTCTCTCCCGCAGCCAGCGTCTCGTCGCATCATGGCTGCCAGCTCAAACAGCCGATGAACAATCCAACCCCAAAACCGAAGAGGAACTACAACGTGAAGAAGATGAGATTTTTACAGCCATTCCGGAAACGTAAGCCTTTACTCTATACTCTTTTGAATCTACCTCGCTCGACAGCCCGGTATAGCCGTTGAAAAAAGCAACACAATTGCTAATACCCATCTTACACAGCCTCGGAGTCGGCGCCCCCTCCCTGAAAAAGCAGCCGATGGAAGCTGGAACCGCACAGAGCTCAGCTCAAATGATAAACTACGGAAACAATTACTCGGAAGGAACTACGAGAAGGTTATGAAGGCTGCTGCGGCGAACAAGCCTGCTGCGAAGAGTGCTACTGTCCATGCGCGCTGGTCGAACGTGGCAGCTGAGCCGGAAAATAAGCCTGTTGAGGAGAGCGATGACGAAGAAGATGGGAGAGTGGCTATGGTTGGGAGGAAGAGGAAAGCTGCGCCACGTGTGAAGACAAAGAAGCTTGATACAGTGCAAGCGCAGAGCGAGGATAAGAATCGGGATCAAGATCAGGATCAGGATCAAACGATATACAAGAATGGCGATGAGGCTACTTCTTTGACGGAGGCTACTCCTACTGCTACTCGACAGGCTCCTTCAAAGGGGAGGAAGAAGGCGACAAGTTATTTGGATGAGATATTGGCCTCACGGGCAAAGAAGAGAAAGAAGTGAGTATTGGATAAAAGTCTTCTTTACTTCACGTCCATCGTTTACGAGTTGCTGCTCAAAAGCCGCAATTTGGACACCTTACCGTCTTCTCCACTCGTTATGAAACACTGAGTAGCGTTTATTACCTGAACCGGGCCGCGCTGTCTCAGAAAAGTCCAGATCTAATGAATATCTGAATACGTGGATGCTAGTCCATGAGATCAGCTGCCAAGTAGGTTAAGACGGGAGTTTTCAACGGAATCGATATTGCCAGGGGTGTTCATGTTTGGAAGGTTTAGTTTGTAATAACATGTGGTATAGTTAACCCTCCCATTGATCGTGAATTAAGAGCACAGGTTTAGAGTACAAATTTCCTTTTCCCCTCTGCCACGATTATTTGATTACTCCGCCTAACCCAAGGGTATATAAGATATGCGGTGAAAATAATGTAAGAACCCGGACGGCCTTTCGTCGAAAGCGCCTTGGCCTGGAAGATTCAAGAACAAATAAAAGGAGATATAAAAAATGAAAAGACGGAGGTAGGGCAAAAGAAAGAGACTGGTAGAGGAAGGAGAGAAGGAGAGGAAGAAAGACTGGTAGAGAGGAAGGAGAAAAGGAGAGGAAGAAAAAGATGGATACATCTACAGACACGAGAAAAATGAGATAAGGACGATCGGTATTCTGCCAAAGTATGCCCTGAGCTGGTTTTTTTTAGTATGCGAAGATGCTTTCAATAGCTGTCAAAGCTATGAGAACATTAGATTTGAGACGAAAAGATCTGTTCAAGGAATAGACAGCGATATTTAAGGGATGAGGGGCAGTCCACCAACTAGGCCACGACCTATATCATGCATGGAAATCATGCATGGAAAATCCACAGGCCGTTTATTCCAGCCTTTTGCGTTTGCTGCGATCGTCACTCATCAGCTGGTCTTCGTCGGGCCTCTCAGCCGTATCAGCGGGATTGAGAAGCGAATGAACATTGCTGGCCATACTAGAGCGACGGGTCGCTGGCAGGGAGGATTCGTGGCGAAGAAATCTGGAGCCCCCCAGAATCCAGCCGTTGTCAGCACTAAGCATGGATGGGGATGGCTCAGCATTGGCCGGCGGGGTACCATGGCGAGACTGATCTTGGAGACGTCTCGGAGCACCCATTTCATACTGAGCGAGGACGTCTCGAACTTGTTGGTCACTAGAGGCAGGCCCCCGATTCGGAGAAGAAGGCCAGGGTCCACTGGGCGGGTTTGCAGGTGGGAAAGGAGAAGTGGCTGAAGGTGGCCAATCGGTGTTGCGAATATCTGCAAAAGTATGGCGGCGGCCGAGACTAGGACCGGGAGGGGTAGAGATTGATAGAGGATGAGGGGTAGGTTGATGTTGCTGTTGTGCGTTTGGCGGAGCTTGTGGCCGATTGTAATTAGGTGGAGGAGCGTTAGCACCGCCAATGGAACCATACCGGCGTGGAGACACGGCAAGATGCGGTGGAACAGGTGGTCGAATCATAGAAGGACGCCGACTATCATCTTGGGGTAATTGGCGAGGAGACAAGGGTGGTCCGGTTTCAGAGAGGTTTCCAAAAAACGGTTGACGAGGCGGCATGAGAGAGTCGTTAGAGGACTCCATCGTGCGAACAAAAGTTTCAAGCTGTTTCTCAACCTCTCTTTGCATGTTTGAGACTGGGAATAGTCTGTTAGCTAGTAATCGACATGGGTACCCAGAGTGACTTGAGCCATACTATCGCGAAAGAGAGAGCTTTCCCTGTCAGGTACCACAGCCGACATGAAGTGAGAAATCGAGCGTGTCCACTGCGAAAGAATTTAGCACATTGAATGATCCCAATTCATTGGAGGAAAGATGTACATGATAGCATTTGGCTAAGCCTTCAGCCATATTCTGACATCGCGAATATAACGCCAAGTTTCCTTCCTCGGCACGGACTAAGCGATTGTGCATGTCGTAGAGGGAGTGTTCGAGATTCATCAGTCTTGCTTCAGTATCAGGGACCGGTTCTGCAGGGGTGCCTGGCGCTGATGCAGTAGCCTTATGACTTGGAAAGGAGTCGCGGTGGATTAGAGCATGTCGGGATGCACGACGTTTAATCTCTCGTAGGCCGACCAAATCACCTCGTTTAAAATTCCCATTTCCATGTTTAAACTCCCACAATGCAGAGTCCGGGGACCCCGTGTGAAACACATCGCTGACTGACAATTCATTCAGCAATTGCCTGGGTAGTGTCTACTTGGAGCAACGCACCTTTGTGAAATCCGTACATGTTCAGTTGCCGAACAAAAGAGGATATATTGGTGTGTTTGAAGTATTGGCTTGAAGCAAGTCAGCGACTATAGTTGCATTGGAGCAAGATGGTAGGAGTAGGTGATTAGAACTAACGCTAAGACTTTGGAGAACTCGGAAGTAGGTGACATGACAAAACTGTCGTTGGTACTGGACCAAGATATAAGATGTTGGATGCCGGGATCTTCCAACATGCTGTTTGGTAAAAGAAGTTAGCAATCAGGAAGCTTTGGAAAGAGAAGAACAGTCGAAACAAGATAAAACGACATACTTGTATAGCTTATGAATGAATGCAGTTTGTACCACTTTAGGCTGTTGAGCAGCGGCAGCAGCCCCGACAACCAGGTTTGGGGGGTTGCTATTCCCAATCTCAGAACCATTGATACTGATTGCGACCCGGTCGCCATCAGAACCTTGAATCGGCGCACCACCAGCAGTCGCAGATCCAGGGGGAGTTTTCTCCATTGCTCTCGAGTGATGCACAGAGGATGAAAGAACGGGGATATTTCTTGTTTTGCTGGTAGCATTTACAGACCCGGTAAAGGTGTTCCTGGAGGATGGGGGATCCGCGAGACCACTCATGTCGCGCGCAATGAAGGATGATCGGGAGTAGCGGGGCCCACACTCTATTTAAACAGCGCCACTAGTACGGAATAATAGAAGGTGTATTCCCGGTATTCAGGATCAGGAGGTTCAAGTTCAAGTTCGGAATCGAAATCAGAATCAGTGTTCAGGTTCGTGTCGAAGGGGGGGGGGGGGCAGACGCGATTGCCGTTGAAGCTCGTGGCGATAGAACGTGGGAAAGAAAGATAATCGCGGAGGCCCAGATAGGCGCAAATTAGCACCCAAGCATCAAATTGATACCTGGTCTGTCATTGCGCCAGCAAATTGATGTTCCAGGAGGTCCAGAGGTGGCCCTGGAGGTTGCGGGGAAATGGGAGAGAAAGATCCGGGCGTGAGAGATCGGGATGAAAACCAGGATAACCTTAGTTGCACAAGATGGATGATATTTGGAAGGGTGGAAGGTGGAGAAGGAAAAAGGGGGGTTGATGGAAGGAAATGGCTTCTCTGCTCCACCTGAATATACACTTATTCAGCTTTTCCCGTTCGAGAAATGGAACATATTAGGCTTTTTTTTCTATTTATACACAGTAAAACATGGTTATAACGAGGCTATAACGAGAAGATGTAACGAGCGGAACTCGGCTAAATTTTGGTTCCATATTAATAACGAGAAACCTCTTTAAAGGCTCGTAAAATGATTTCTCCCAAACAAAACTCGTTATAGCAAGTTAAACTTCACGTGCCAAAATGCCTCGCCACCGATCCTCATCTCTGAAAAACTTGACACAAAGGCCCATTACGTCAGATCAATAGCTCGCTTAATAGTTTCTTGAGACCTATAATCATTCTCTCTCTTCTTCCATCTCAGAGATCCTCTCCTCCCGATATTCCTATCTTGATGATATTAATAATAAAGTCATAAAGCTCCACAGTCAAAGTGCCTTCTGCAAGGTGGCTGGATCCTGAAGCGAAGCGAATTGCCTGCATCCTGTGTTTTCTCCATGTTATTCGATTGAGTAATTCAGGCGCTAACAGAATTTTGTATGTGTCTTATGGTATACTAATAAAGACAAAAGCCTCTATCGGCTCCACAATGTCCGCCACAATATCCGCCACAATCCAACTACGCTCCAGGGATGTGATCCTCGAGCCTCATGACCTTTTAGTAGGCAATAGCCATACTACATCTTGCGCTTTACACGATATCATTATGTTGAACCGCTGCACCATGGGCGACCTTCTTTAACGATGTGAAAGTTTCTGATAGAGGGCAGAAATGGTCTACAAAAGTGATTGATCATACCCAGTCATCTCGGGACATCCGTAAGGAGAAAATTGGGTTAGGAGATGAAACCGGCGTCCAGGGTCGCTTCAACCAGTCAATCAGCCAAGCTGTGGGAGCTGTGCTAGAGGCGCAATCAATTGAAGTATTGCTTGAAGACTTCAAAGCCTCGGGAGTGCATAGGCTTCCTGATTCTGATTAGCCTTGCTTCAATCGAAATGCTTTTAGAACTGACTCGAAAGTCTCATGAAACTTTACTCGAATCTCTTGTCGTTTAGAGAAGTGGCTACTCCAGAACTTTCGAATGTTAAGGGAGTCTCCAGGGACTTTATCCCATAAGACATACATGATATAGCCTCCGGGGACAATATCGTCTTCGTCTTGGAAGCTGAGCTGATACTTGAAGAGACAAAATCACAGCCTTGCTCCAGAGATTTTAAAGCGATTAACTCTGGAGTCTCTCATGGCTCAGCTGCCTGAGAAGCACGGACTGTAGGCTTCTGAAACTCAGTTCCGATAGTTGGGACCTGCTTCCAAATTCGCATAAACGCGATGTCCTCTTCGGTACGACACAAAAACTTCCCAATAACCTTTCCAGGGCCTAAACCATCGGCGACATCCCATTCTGTCGAGGCATATAAGTCCTCTCCAAGCTTCTCGAAAATTTCCCAGGTCTCGGTAGTGAAGTAAAATGGCGGTTCTGGCGATGAATTGATGGTTACCTTAGTGCCTTCAAGGCCATTAAAGAATTGCAGGGATACGGCCATGACGAGTCAGTTGTTGATAAGTGAGAGACTTCAAAGGTGACAGCAAACTAAGCAAATTTTACCGAAGAATGGGTGTGATTCGTGTGAATGATACAGGCCAGATAGTAGAGCCAACGGGATAAGTGAAGAAGGTATGAAAGCTGCCCAGGTGAAGATCATAAATTCCGTGCAGCAATCAATCGTCGTCACTTTGAACTAACTACACGTTGAACTTAATGCTTAATAAGCTGACGGAATAAAATGATTCGACTGATTGATTGGTTTCGAGTATGGGAATTCTTAGAGAGAGAGACGGCTAAATTAATATAACTAAATAAACATGAATGCCTAATGAATTAGTCTGACACACCCTTCAGCTTTTGATGTTATGATAGAAGCTGCCAAATTCATGATACTTGGTTGTTGAAATGCCTACGACTTCCTAGTCTATTAGATTCTCCATATTTCAACCAAATCTCATGCCGCTGGTGCGGTAATATCTTGGTGAGACCGTCAGCGATCATCTTATCAGTTTCAACCTAACTGACTTTGATTCGCTTCGTCTGGACTTTCTGTCAAAGCCAATGGTGATATACATTGGATTCTCACAGATTCAAGGTCTAGAGATTATCATACTATAAAGTTATATCAGTGTCAACTTTAAACCTATATTTTTTATGATTCGGCGCCACCAAATCATGGTTTTCCCGGCGTCTGATAGCCCTAAAGCTCTGCTTCTGATGTAGTTGTGAGCGTACTGGTGTGTCTGCTTTACAGAGAACAGGTACGGATGCAAATCATTGAATTAAATACTTGAAGAACTAAGATGCTTGAAGGTCTCGGGTTCCCTTAGTAGGTCCCTTCACAGTCTTCTCCTCCGCCTTTGCTATGCTGTAGTTACGGGTAAAACCCGTTGATAGTAGTCACTGTTTTCTGCTTCGATGCCTTGAAGGCATGTTCATGGGTTGGGGTTTTTTGGATGCTTTGATGCCTGGTTCTTGCTTTAAGCTAATCTTAATTGGGATATTTAATGCCTTAGTGCTTGATTTTTGCCTCAAGGAGGGTGCTCAGAGGCGTGCTCAATTCTACTAAGTGAGCAAAAGCAGCGAGATGGTGAGCACTAATACGGAAAGGGGATGCCAAGGACTGGCATAGGAAATCCGGTACTTCGGTACATATGTACCTCGGTACTTGCGTTATTGTCTTTCTTGATTATATAGATGAATGAGGTGGGAGTAAATAAGATTAGATACGTAAGTATACCTAAACCTGACTATGGAGAAATATGTCTTGTTCTGGTTCATTCCCATACATCTAGCTTGACCTACTATCTATATACTCTGACGCTTGTCTCAGGTTCTCAAATCCCCGTTAATTAGGAGGTGATATAGAAATGTCATGGGAATACACAAGAATACAGTGACAAAAGAAAAAATAAATGACACAGGAGCGAGCTCTGGATGATTGCAGAGTTTAGTCTATCATGTCCTGCAAAATCCAGTCCAATGTATTATGCCCTTCATCATATATGGGTGCTTAGATGCCAAGGGTGAACTCAACACCGACATCGATATCGCGGGCCATCTTGACAACCTTGGAGAACTGGACCGACTTCTCAGCAGCGCTCTGGAGGTCCTCGATGGAGAAGATCTTAAGACCGGACTCGTTGATCTGGAAAAGGATTAGTAAAATTCCTCGTTAATTAGAACTAGTGTAAAAGGGAATAACATACCAGCTTGTGAGCCTGCTCCATGTTGGTACCCTGGAGACGGGCAACAATGGGGGTGCGCAGACCCATTTCGTGCACAACGTTGATAAGGCCTTGGGCAATGGCGTCACAGCGGACGATACCACCGAAGATGTTGACGAAGACGGCGGAAACCTTGGGGTCGCTGGTAATCAGCTCGAAAGCGCTCTTGATAGCAGCAGGAGTGGCACCACCACCAACGTCAAGGAAGTTGGCAGGGCTACCACCGTTCAGCTTGATGATATCCATGGTAGCCATGGCAAGACCGGCGCCGTTGACTGTGATGGACATATGTTAGAAATGTAGAAACAGATTTGGAGCATGCGGCGATTTCTTACCGAGGCAACCAATGTCACCGTCCAACTTGATGAAGTTAAGGCCGTACCTAGAATTTGCATGTTAGACTATATAATTCCCAGAATTTCGTTTCAAGATACTGGTAACACATACTCAGCAGCCTTGACCTCATCGGCATCCTCCTGGGCGGTATCGCGCCATGAGAAGACTTCCTTCTGGCGGAACTCGGCGTTGTCGTCAAATCCAAGTTTGGCATCCATGGCCAAGACCTGGTGGTCGGAGGTCTCGGACAGAGGGTTGATCTCAAGCTGAGTGGCGTCTCTCTCCATGAAGACACGGTAGAGGTTCTGGATGGTGGTCTTGGCCTCCTCAATGCACTGCGCGGAGAAGCCAAGATCGGTAGCAATGGTGCGGGCGATTTCGTCAGTGACACCGACGTGGATGTTGATGGGGGTAGTGGTGATGGCATCGGGTGTCTCCTTGGCGACCGTCTCGATGTCCATACCACCTTGCGAGGAGGAAACGATGACGGGGCTCTGGGTAGCACGGTCCATCAGGACGGCGAGGTAGAACTCGCGGCGAGCGAACTTGCGCTCACAAATCAAAACAGAGTCGCATTGACGACCAGCAGCACCGGTCTGCTTGGTTATGAGCTTGTGGCCGATCATCTGCTCGGCGAACATCTTGGCCTCGGTAGGACTGTAGAACCCGGTTAATCCTATCGCGCTCCCTGAAAACGCCATTTCGACTCTTAACTCACGAGTAGATCACACGGACACCGCCCTTAAGACCGTTGTCGAAGGTACCCTTTCCACGACCACCAGCAAGGACCTGGGCCTTGATAACCAAATCATCACCTCCTAATTTCAAGGTCAGTAAAACGCAAAGAAGGGATGGTTAGGATAGATATACCGATAGACTTGGCAATAGCCTCAGCCTCAGCACCGGAGTGAGCGACCTCGCCCCTGGGAACACCAACACCATACTGTATTTTATCAGCAACCCGACTCCGAAGTGTCAAAATTCGAATAGCCTCGGCGCGACCAAAGAGGTTTCAGGAAATGCGGGTTACGTACCGACTTCAAAAGACGTGCGGAAAGGTATTCATGGATAGACAGGTTTCGCTTTTGCTGCTGAGCCAGACGAGACTGAACGGAGGACTCCTAAAGATATTTCATTCAAATTAGCTAAAAATTGTCGACAAGGAGCACGGGCCGGTTAGCAGCAATTGGAATCCTTACAGTTGCAGCACGGAGGGCCGTGGAAATTGGGCGACCACGTGCGAACTTGAACATGATGAAAATGAGAGGGGAGAGGGTTAGGAATTAAAGAGGTACGAGTGAGAGAAGAGATATGGGGGGTTGTTTAGTTGGGGTCGGGGAGACCAGCTTTCGTTTTTTCGGAATCCATCGCGCCCGATGCTGCTGAGTCATGCATCCTCGGGCGCAGTTACGTGAATATAACGGAACCTGGCATTTGGACCGGCAATCCACTTTGATCTTCAATATCACTTCTTGTGCACCACTTACTTCATCAAATCTCATAGATGGTCCTCACTTGCCTACACCCTTGATCTTCCACAGTCCAAACATGTTAGAAATCACCCGATGGAAGAATCCATTCCATGCCCAGCCTCCGACTGCGAGCCAGACCACCCAGCTCCAATTACCTTCCCAGATCCAAGTCTTGCGACCCCGAGCCCATGGAAGCCAGCGCCATGGGGCAGATCCGTATAATACTTGTCTGACGACACTATGAGCGTAGGCCTCATTGTTCATGGCGTTGTGTTGGCTGTGTTTGACTCGCCGAAGGTATTCACTTTCGATAGGCATATACAAGGAGTTTGGTAATAGAGAACGTTCACCCCGTGCAATACGGGATGATACTCCTCCAGTCACCACAGTGGTAACATGCACCCTGTGAAAGTTGGGTCAGCATACTATTCGATGAGTAATTGGAACTTACATACCCGAAGGGAGCCAATTCGACTCGAAGGGTGTCGCTGAACGAGTGTAGTGCCGCTTTGGATGCATTGTATACAGATCCAAATACGTAGGGAATGATCTTTTCAGTCAGTAAAATGTGTTCTGGGCATAACAATTGGAATCATTCAATAAATACCCCGGCTATAGAGCCAATCTGGACAATCGTGCCTTTGGCCTTGATCAGAAGAGGCAAGAATGTCTGGCACATGGTAATAACGGCGAAGAAGTTAGTCTCAAACGTCTGACGTGCCTCAGCCAGTTCGACTTCCATGGCAGGGACCGTGTAGTCTAAAGTGTCAGATTTTTAGCAAGGCCGATATCAAAATACTGTAGGAGACATACTTCGGCCTCTATAGATTCATTAGTCAAGATTCATTAGTCAAGAACGAACATTGGAGACTTGGACGCAAGCTAGAAATCAAAGAACTCACGCATTGTTCACCAGATAGTCTAGACCTTTGTCGCCGAGTCTGGTCTCAGCTTCCGCAAAACATGCCTTGACGCTGTCGAGGTCATCGACGACCAGACTCAAGGTCTCGATACCGAGCTCGGCCAAATCAGTGATGTGAGCAGCATCACGGGCAGTGGCCAACACACGCAGTCCATTCTGATGGAACTCACGCGCAATTGAATTCCCGATACCGCCGGGGGAGCAACTGGCCTTATTAGCAACATATCTCTATCTCTATCTACTGCGTTCTCACCCTGTGATTAGCACGGATTTGCGGGTATCAATGGCAATGACTTCGGTCATAGCTAATGTATTCTTGAAGTATTCTCGGTTTTTCGGAGGAGTGGAAAAGTTCAAAGTAAAACCTTTTATGATTCTAATTAACGTTAACGTGATTCCCAGCCGCGCTCCGCTATCCCGGTTGCTCCGTGACCCTCTTTTAAAATTATCTATGACAACCTCGGTTTATAAACACCCACCATGCCACCAATTCGTTCCTAACGAAGCCAAAAATTGGTTGAATAGGATGGCAGAAATAAATTAGCTCTTCAGGCTTCAAAAAAAAAAAAGGGCGATTATTATCGATCACAGCTGCTGTACGATCATTTTATGTCCCAAGATCAACTCTTATCAATCGAATGAAGGGTGTTGAAAATATAGCTACTGTTGGAATATGGAACAAAGCAGTCATGTGATCAAATTGTTACTTTATAATAGATAGCAAACTAAGAATGAAAACCAGACTTTACAACCACTTCAAGAGGACACAAAGATATCATAGGGGCGTAAAGCGTTACCTGTGATAGGTGTCAGAAGTGGGCGTTAGCCTCATCACCTTTATCGAATAGCTATTCCACACTTGGTACAGGTGTACCGACAGCTACTAAACGACCTTCTGGCCATAAACTTACTCTTTTTAAAGAGAATTCTATAGAGAGATGGCTAATCTCTATGGATAATAAAGGGGCAGCTTCTACCTCTGATTTACTCTCTTCGCTGACCATGATGTGGTTATTGATGAGAGTAGTGGTAAAACGATGTATATATCTGATGGTGAAGCTGCCCAGAAAGTGTCTACCAAAACTGATTTGCGTATAATTAGGCGCCAGCCAACCTGTTCTGGGTGTGGTAAAAAAGGGCATAAGATCAGTCAGTATCAAAATTGTTATTATTTAGTTAAATTTATTATGTTTTGGTTATTAAATATGGGTTTAAAATGTTACATTTTTTTTGAAAATTTGACGGGGTAACGGAGCGGCAAGCACTTCGAGATAACCTCGGCTTGTGACACAATGGAGCCCTAAGCCCTATATTGCTTCTTTAAGACGGAGAACTTCAGATCTGGTCAATCACTTTAACTTGACCAACTAGACCAGTGAGATTAAAGTCTATAGGCTGTCAGCTAAATCCAATGTCTGCCAAGGGTTTCCATGTCTTCCCGTGGTCCTAGAGATCCGCTCTTCGCGACCCACTGGAGGACGAACTATTATATAAAGTATTGAGACTGCAGATTCATCGATTACCACCAACTCCCAATCCTACGCTCTACTATATAGATCTTACATACATCTATTCTACTCTTATGCTTCACAATATACTTATACTAACTACTACACTGTACCAGTTGACTGGTTACCGGTATGGGACCAACTACCGCACTTGGCAACGTGGGTCTAGATGTGCCGATTCCCGAGAAGAAACTAAACTCGACGAATCGCAATTCTCGAATCGAAAACTTCACGACGATCCTGACGTGGTATATTATACTTTGTATACCCTTGGAATGCTTTCTTTTTTCTCTGCAACCCCGTGATGTTAGACGTTTCTTGATCAGATCAAAGTGAATGAACATCAAATCTACTCATTCCTCGGAAAGCACAACATTGAGCTTGTGATCTACGGATCCTAGTTCTCTCTTTATATGGCCAAGATCTGACCACCCAAATTCGTCTCATTGCATATCATATATGATAGGGGCTTGCGATTCGGTGGCCGACTTTCCTTATAAAGGCGCCTCTACTGAGTAGTACAACTCCACTCGTCTTCCAAAGTTTCCCCGAAATTGCTATATATTACTATTATAGTCCCCCGTCTATGTCTGTTTCAATTACTCTGTACATACCTACAAAAGAGGGATAGACAAGCTGCGGGACCACATAGGCAGGAGCACAAGATTGTACATAGCTCTCTACCTTGACCGCTGATTCTCCTATTTGCCCCCACCCCACCATGGCATCTGCGCTTCCGAGGCACATGAGAAGCCCTGGAGAAGATGGTTACCGTACACCGACGATAGAAGACGCAGAGCGAGACCTTCCCATCTTTACTGTGGAGAGTCCCGGAAGTATAACCCAAGAAGTCCATACTTCAGCCCTAGATGCCGCACTGCAAAGAGCTACGTCGCGGGTTACAGCCACAGATTATCATTCCATCAATGAATCTAATAGCACTTCACGACATGATAGCCTAGGTCTTCAGCGAAAAGCTACTGATGCTTCAGCTTCCAGTCTTAGCTGGAAACGGAGAATTCGCCATGTCACTTGGGCATACTTTACTTTGACTATGGCCACTGGTGGTCTGGCAAATGTTTTCTATGAAGGTGAGATTTACACTCATAGAATGTGTAATCTTTCTCTTTACTGACCTGTGAGCTAGTGCCTTATCGTTTTCGTGGACTGGATATGATCGGAACTGTTGTCTTCTTGATCAATATTGCCCTCTACTTTTGCATATGGGGTCTACTTTTTACACGATTCTATTATTACCCCTATACTTTCAAAGCCTCGTTTCTACACCCGACAGAATCCCTGTTCGTTCCAGCTGCAGTGGTCTCTTTCGGCACTATCTTAATCAACATTTCTCAGTACGGGCCACAGAATGCAGGCCCTTGGTTGCTCGAAGCTGTTGAAATCTTATTTTGGATTGATTGCATATTAGCGGTGGGATTCTCGTCTGGAATCTATCTAATCCTGTAAGTAATTCAATGTCATGATGCATGATTTCTCCCGCTAACTCGTTCAGATGGTCGACGCAGACGTTTACAATAGCCCAAATGACTCCTATCTGGATCTTTCCTGCATATCCTATGCTCATAATCGGACCACATGCTGGAATCCTCAGTGCCAAACTAGAGCAGGCGCCTGCTTTACGCGTCATAATTGGAGGACTGACTATCCAGGGTGTCGGATTCCTGGTCTCATTGATGGTCTATTCCGCCTTCATCTATCGACTCATGACACAAAAACTCCCCAAGGAGAACATCCGGCCCGGTATGTTTGTTTCTGTAGGTCCAAGTGGTTTCACCGTCGCTGGACTGGTGAATATGGCCTCTGCGACAAAACAAGCTTTTCCGGCAGACTTCATGGGAAATGGACCCCTCGCTGCTGATATCTTGAGGGTTATGGTTGACTTTGCATGTCTGTGGCTTTGGGGGTAAGTTCTGCCTCCTAAATATGAGATAAATAGCTATCAGACTGATCTAAAATTGAGCAGGTTGGCTATCTTCTGGTTCATCATTGCAAGTGCAGCTCACTGGTCCGCCATCGGTCCGGGTCGAATGGTCTATTCCATGACCTGGTTCTCATTCGTCTTTCCAAATACAGCCTTGATCACTGCTACCTTCGCGATTGGCAAGGCATTTTCTTGCAAGGCTATCGATATCATAGGGTGTGTGGCGGTCTTGCCGCTGCTTCTCATGTATTTCTTTGTTTGTTACATGATGGTGCGTGCCGTCGTCCAGCATCAAATCTTGTGGCCGCAGAAGGGTGAAGATCGGAATGAAGGTGGCTTTGAGATCCAGAGGATGAATCCTGATGCAGAGATTTCTACGGAAATAGCTGAGGTCTAGATATTTTGCATTGCTGATTTGGTGTTAACTTCTTTGTTATCTCATTTTATGATACCCATTTTCAGCTTATAACTATTGGCATTACCAGTCCAACCTTCGAGTAGTCGCATTCTATCCACACATGTCTAATCTCGACATAATTTTCTTTCCATGGATCGAGTTCATCAGATTAGAGTGTTCTGAAAATGGCATGACAGATGATCTTTTGTCAGATCTTCAATATTGCTTCGATCATCTTCTGAAAGTGCACCAGACTATTACAAAACTCCAAAGTTAGCGTGTTCCAGATATGATTGCCAACACAAGGGCACTTACCTCGTTCTTTAGTAGCTCCTGCGCAAGGACGAATGCATTGTCGCGATCCTTCGTAATTTGAACCAGGTCTTTCTCCTTATCCTCTTTAACCTCGTCACCGCTAGGAGTCTCCCCGCGAATAGTCGTCTTGAGAAGCCCCATTACTTCTTCATTTTTTAGACAGTCAGCCACAGCAACACATCCTGCCTTGTTAGTTGCCATGAGAGCCAAGGCAAACCATCCCTCGCTTCGAACAACGGGCCATTGCGTCTGAGTAATCATTTCACCGACTGGGCGAGCAACATCCTCATGCAGGCTGTATAGTCTACCAAGCAGCAAAGCTGCGTGTTCATCTCCATCACGGGCTTTGGGGCTGACAGTCCGGCAAATAGAGGCAACTGTGCGACCAATTTCAGTCTTGATAGGCGCAGAGTCAGTCTTCTCAAAGAGAGACAGCAGAAGAGAGAGGTATGTGCGTTTGTGATCGGGTGAATCTACGTCCCCTGAGAGTGGAGCTAGCAGAAGGGAGATGTTGTCAATGGATGCGATGGTGACCTGGCGCACAATGGATGCAGCTGAAAATTGGACCTGAGGAACTGATTCATAGGTCCACAAGTGGGCGACAGCGGGAATGATACCCGCTTTTGCGAGACTGACACGGTTGTCACCTGCAATGGCTAGGTTCTTCAAGAACCCCAGAGCAGAATGGAGAACCGCGCCACGGGCTTGACCTTTCAGCACGGAAATCAATTCCTCGTGGATCTTCAACTTCCGCACCATCACCTCGCAAACTTCGTCGGATCGAGCTAGATTTCCTAGAATGACGCAGGCACAGATCTGGAGTTGGTCCTCATTGGCCACAATCCAGTTCTTCAGTGTTTGAGCGATGGCAGAGTCGAGAGGGTAGTATTCTGCGAACAATGGCGAGGCAGAAATCTCGGCTAGACCTTGGTTGATCTTGAGGCGGGATTGGGCAAGTGCTTGAGTATCCTCTTTCGAAGATGGATCAATTTTGAAGGAGAAGGATCGCTGTAGAATAGAGAGCATCTTCTCGACCAGGGCATTTGTGACACAAGCAGTCTGGAAACGTTCTTTTTCCAGGTACATGGCTAGACAGCCGACCAAAGTTGAGTAGTGCTCGAAGGTGGTGTCTTCGTTAAGAGCCAGTTCAATGAGTTGCAAGACTATTCCATCAGGAGAATTCTCAACACCTTGCGCTATATCCACATCAGCTTGAATTAGTGACTAGTGAACATGTGTTTCATACCTTGCTCTGAAGCCAACTCGACAAGATCATATGAGAAGCTGAATAAACCACTGCTCTCCTGAATGACGTTATCATTGAGGAGCTTCAATATGATGTATGCCGTCCGGTTTTCAGCCATTTGAGAGTGCGCAGGCTCTGTTCTGTGTCAGTGAATGTAAGAATGTAATAAGCCAGTAGATCTCTTACCATAATCCATACAAATGTTATAGATCACTGGGATCGCTACTTGGATCAAATCTGGGTTCAGAAAATGCCGAACAATAGTGCTGGTGTACTTGCCACTGACAACAATTTCCCGGTTCTCGTCTGAGATATTTTATTAAGATGAAATTCTTTACCAATGTCAAAAAAGCATACCTGTATCAGCACATGAGTTGCCAACCAAGCGCAACGCATGCAGAAGCAGGCTGGAGTCAACCTGCTTTCTCGAAGAAATCACCTCCAAGAAGAAGTTGAGAATTCCAGACTGGCCAAATAGAATGCGCCAAGATGCTTAAATAGATCAGTATGGATCTCAGACTAGACGAAAGGCATGACATACAATCTCGGCTCCCGTTGGCTAAGACCTCAGTTGCCTGATTCAGTAGCTGGGAATTGCATGCCCAAAGCTTCTGGAGAGTGGAATACACGCTCTGTAAAGATTGAACATCTCGACTGCTCGGTTTATCAGTATCTCGTTCCAGGTGAGTAGATCTAGGTCGTACCTGTCGCCTGCTTCGGTCTCAATAGAATTCCTCAAGGTTTGAAACAGTTCTAGTTGTTCTTCCAGCTCAATTTCCACATCTCCTCGATTTGGCAGCGAAGTAGGTAGCTCTGGAAACCCAGAGAGAACCTGCTCCACAGATGGTAGGTCGAGGGGTGTGGTCAGAGTCAGGGACTGGCTAGCAGCCTTGTCCTCAGCCGTATCAGAAGACATGATTTCTGTGAATCTGCAGGATGTAGCAGAGTATTCGCTTTGAATGGTAACAGAGACACAACTGGTGGTTGACCTGAATGGATAGCTCCACAGAGTAATGTCCTTATTTCAGGAGTGTATTTGGAGTATAAAAGAGACTAATCAAGACGTACGAGCCAAGGGTGGCTAGTCTATTGCTTCAATGCTTTATGAGTGGAACTGATGTTGCAATGTTGGCATGAGGTCTTTCGTAGGAATATGGCGAGTCTTTCCATACCCAGGTAGTGATGCAATTGTAGCGTTTGTGGAGATAGGAAGCCATTATCTGCCTGAAGTGAATTAAGGCACTATTTTAAGTGGGACTTCGAGTCTACTTCTGCCACCGCCTTTACTATCAATGCATGTCCAATGCATGACATGTTATCAGTCCGATTTCTTTCAAAATGCATTAATAGCAGCAATTGCATATTATTTACTGTTTATATCGAGATTTAATAAGATGGCTTGAATGTAAAATAACGAGGCAGCGGGCTAAACCGCTATCTTTTACGTACTTTATGTCGGAATCGACAAGACGTCCCTTCTCTTACTTCGAATCCATGGATGTCTTATGAGATGTGGTGATAACTGATTATCGGTACATACCCATGTACCACTCTATCTGAATATCTAATCTCCGTCCTGTTCATCTTCAACTTTTCGATCTCGCGGGCATATATCAGGCTAAGCCTGTTTAGGATGTGGAACCTGATAATACAGGCAGCCAGACATTTAGTTTAGATCCTCATAACGATGCAAGCAATAAGATATAATTTCGATAGAAAATAACGTAAGTGAGACCAGGAACATGGGCTTTAAAAAAATAACTCATTAAAAACAAATTACTATTTCATAACATGGCGTCGAGCTCCTATTATAGTTGAACTAATTGCGTCAAAGGAGATTCCGCCTTCGGGACCAAAGCATCTCCAGCTGGCTTCTCTGCTCCCCTTCTAATCCACCACACCCTTTGTCTCTCCTTAATCAAGCTGCGGTCAATTGGATCTGGAATCTAGACCCTACACCAAATCGAAACCTCTCTCTTTTGTCATCCTCTTACTTCCCTGAAACCATCCTCCTTCTCTTTCATCATGACGCGCGCGCAGCAGACCGTCTCCGTCCTCCTTCTCGTCTCCTCCGTAGGTTCAGAACGCCCGGGGCAACAATATATCCCTTTCGCATATTATAGAACGGAAACCACTCACACAATCTACAGTTCTACCTCGCTCTCTACCTAGGTCTCATTCCCCTGAACGAGACCTTCCAGACTGAAGTTATCCCCGTGGTACGTCGCAAACACCACTCCAAAGTTTCTCTTCGGGAATCCACAGCTAATTCTTCCACTTTTACAATAGTTACCCTTCTGGGCTGTTATTAGCTTCGGATCGTACCTCCTCGGTCGCCTCGGCCTTGCAATCTTCACCTTCAACGACGTCCCCGAGGCTCACGCCGAGCTGCAGAAGGAGATTGAACTGGCCAAGGTGGAACTGCGCCAGGGCAAGGTCGAGGTCGATTAGATGGGAATATAGTTGAGTGGAGTTTTCCATCGCACTTGGTTTACGAAAGCGTATTCAGACAATTCAGACTGGTCGGTACGAAATACTGTGCTGTGCTAAATTTACTTGCTATCAATTATACATTTCTTTTGATACCCTTCAACATACGAATATTCCTCCTCCCCAATACCAAGAAGAGAGAGCTGGAAAGAAACGCTAGAACTTTGTGAAGATTACGACAGTACAACTTTGATCAACGGAGAGGGTTTAAAGAAAAGAACTTTTCTATTCATCAAGGATATCGTAAAATTAAAAAGGACCGGGTCTTTTGCACCAGGAATAGGGTAGTCCAAGCTTTTTATCAAGAGCCTATACTCATTTCCGCTGTATCAAGCGCCGCGCAGAATGGAGGTATAGTTGATTATACAGAGATCGCCTTAGTTTAGAGGGTTTGTCTTGGCCAGAGCATCGTGCTCATCGATATCCCTATGTTATGTCAGTAAATATTCACTATTTCTCGTAGGGTTATCAGCATACTTGGCCTCCCATGGATAACAGATCCACACATCACCGGTGGTGACAGCGGCGTGGTAGCGACCACTGTCCAACATATCAGATGGGAGAACACCCTTCTTGGGCTTGTCCTTGTTCTATTTGCGACAAAGTTAGCATGCCAATCTTGAATTTCTAGTGCTTCGCTTAGTAAACTTACGTGCAGCACGAAGATGTAGAAATTTGTCTTCTCGCCTTCACGACCAAGCTGCTTTTGTGCCTGCTCTACGTCCTTCTCCAGCTCGCGCACGGCATACTCCAGGGTTGTACGGGTGTCATCGACCTCGTCCACGATCAGAATGTTCTTGCCGATCAAGTTGGCCATCTCCAGCGAGCTCAGGTCGAGCCATTGTGTGCGGGTGACCTTGGTACCGGGGACTTCCTCCGCGTCACCACGGCCAAGGTCTTCGTAGAGAGACAGACCGATTGCCTGGATGGGGATGTTGGGGTCACCGGTGCGTTTCAAGAAGGATCTAAAGTGATTCTCGTTAGATCGGGTTGCCTTGCTTCGCGTCGTATAGCAGATCTCAGATTATAGATCACATACCGGAGGATGCGGGCAGGAACGTAGCCACCACCGCCAATCGCGATCATCAGGTTGGGGTGGAACTCCTTCAGGATGCTGTCTGCCGACTGCTGGCACAGCTTGTGCACCTGTATAGATCAAATCAGTATTAATCCCCGACTCTTAATGTTGGAAATGTCAAGGACCATGTGCGTGGTCCTAGATCAACCCTATAGATTGTAGGATGTTATGGTAGATTTCGTACCTGGTTGTAAGTGACATAGACCTTTTCGGGCATTTTGATTGGATGTAACGGGGTTTAGGGTGATGCTACAAGGTAAATTTGTTTTTCTAGTTTAGAGAAGAGGGGGGAGAAAGGCCAAAAGTGCTCGAGCTCGAATTCCCACAGAAATTTTTCGGACCCGTATCTTCAGTCTGCGGGGATGGCCGATGCCCGAACTTATGACAGTCATGTCTGTTTTATACCGTAAACCTAATCGGGATCATATATTATCATAGTTCCAAGGTGCTATTCTATAATACACTTCAAAGTTCAATCAGTTACGGGAGTACCTTCCAACCTTCCAAGACTACAATAGCACAGTGGTTTTTATAAGCCAGTAGGTATCTAGGTAATTAGGTAGGGTAGTGGACGTACATCTAGGAAAGCTATCCACATAGTATTGCAAGTTTTGTAACCTTGGAAAAATACCTATCTAGGTAGATATCACCTAGTTGCATACTGTTTATATGGAAGCCCTAGATCCATGGCCCTTGCTATACCTGACTTGACGGCCATATGGCACCAAATACAGGACTTATCAGTCGGAAACTATGCAAATCCCAGACCGGAACTTCCCGAGGTCAGAACTTCTGTTTCCAACGTTACCTGTGTAGAGGATTTTCTTCCCTATTTCTTGACTTTCCCTTTCCGCCTCAGTGCTCAGTGCTTGCCGCTTTTTTCTCACTGAGTAGAACTGAGCACGCACTGAGTGCCAAGAACAGACCAGTGATCATTATGTAAGCAGACAACCGCAATCAAAAGCATAACTAGTTAACAATTATGCATTTCGTCAATATCTTTATTGAGTGTTGCTCACGTCCATTTATACACGCAGTTACACGGTCAAAACCGACTGCTCTAGACTCCAGCCAAACAAGTACGTCTGTGTCAGTGTGAAGTCGACCACCTCTTCATCCAATATCAGAACACCATCTCTATGAGGGAACTCAAGAAATTGTAGTTCAAGAGAACAGATTAAAGCCGGTACCGACTTTGGTAAATCAATCAACTCTGTGAAGGGCTAAAGCTGATCTTAGATTCAGAACTAGCTAGGCAAAACTTTGTACAAAATCCTCAAAGGAATGTAAAGGAATCGTTGTAGAATAAGTTCTCGAGCCATGTGATGTTTTAACCCGAAAGAGTATCGATCGGTCACCATAATCCATCGCGTTTCATTTCACACGCAGACGAGCTATCAACTTGGTGAAGGAGGCCGCAACTGATTGGCAGTCTGCAATAATTATCTTGAGTAAAAAATACTATTTCTGTTCTGTAGATCTCGTAATAGGAATGCCAACTATGTGATCAACATCTTTTGAGGAGCATAAGGCCTTAAGTAATCCGGATACAGTTCCCACCAGTGGGCACTAGTCCAAATTAGGCTTAATTTGACAATCCCGTCAAACAGCACAAACCGCGACTCCAAAAACATCAAACAAGCCAGCAGACGACATGGTAAATGGATTCTAGCTGTTGACCTGACCAATGACTGACAAAATCCCTTAGTCACAACCGAATTTGGGCGCCGTTGCTACCGCCATATTCTTCACCACAGCCGCGATCGCGTACACGCGCACAGGAACAGTCCAACAATCACTCGAGTCCCTCCCTACAAACACCTCCATCGTCATCGCCCTTTTCTCCTTCGTCGGAGGTGCCCTAGAATCCATCCGCTCTAAATCTCCCACCGCAATAATTCTGGGCCACATCTTCAGCGCCGTCCATGCCGTTAGCTTTACGCGTCTACGCGCGGGTCAGCCCTCTGGTGTCGAGATTGGATTGTTGGGGTCCGCCGCTTTGGCTGTGATTCCAATGCTAGCGGATGGGACCTCTGGTCTAGTTCCGAAGGAACTGGGTTACGTCGGGGTGTATGGCGTAGCGGTTTTTGCAAATGCTTACGGTGGTGTTGGGTTGGCTATGTCTTTGCTTTTTTCGCTAGTACTATTAGCGTTTAGAGATGAGATTAAGCAGATCCGGGACCGAGTGGATCGATCGGTTTAGCAGGTTAGAGAATTAACTATCGATTAATCTACATAGAACCTCTTCAAAATTGAACGTTTGTATATAAAATTCCAACTTGAAACATTTGAAGGTTGATTTCCCGAATTCGGTGCGCGTCATGAATCGCCCACTTTATGAGGATATCTACTCCGTACGTTGTCCCATTTTAACTCTCGCCATCTGAATTACATGTTTTATTTTATTTTAATCTACAAGTCACTGAGGATCATATCTTTAGCCACGGGTAATCTCAAGATGCCATATGACCGCGATGAAGCCATTAGAGAAGTGACCGCATTTTATGAATTCCTCGTTACTACCCATATCCCCGAATGGGTATTGAAGTTGTGGCATGAACTTACGGATGAATGGCTCTCTTTTATGGGAAAGGACCAAATTGTCGGTGATCTGATTCGACATCTACCATATTCAATACAATCGACTATACTACGAATACCTCTCTGTCCTTACCATGAAATACGCTACTACCATTTACCTTTCTCAACATCCCATCTCCTTCACCAATAATACAAACTAATAATACAAACTACAACGATACAAGCCTGATTAATAATAATACAAGAGTGAGTACTCAGACATCGATAGCCTCCGAGTCCATGATGCTTGTCTCTTCCATGCTTCTTGTTTCGTCCTGCGAATCCTCTTCATCATCCCTAGCTTGTTGACTCTCCATGCTTCTTGTTTCGTCCTGCGAATCCTCTTCTTCCATAGCTTGTTGAATCTCCAGGCTTGCGAGTCAGCTCCAGAGCTCAACTTCCATCTGTTCCTCTGGTAGAGGGCCAGAACGGATGACTTGCATCATGTCTCTGCCAGGAGGGAAGTCACTGTCCCAACTAGGCTCCCCGGCGCCTCTCATATTAACCAGGACGGCCTGGCGGATATGCCACCGCAAGAGATTGTCAGATATCCGATTTGGGTTGTTGGGGTCGCGGCAAATCGGTTCCATAATTCGCCTATCAACAGAAAGGGGGCAAGGAATAAGGGTTGTAATTTTGTACCCATCATCATGATTGACGGATACATGAAAATGGTCGAATGAATCGTGAAGCATGGAGCTAATCAAAAATCCGTTTTGGATAGAGTTGATTGAATTTATATGTCTGCCTGTTGCTCCGTTGGTAATCCAGCGATTGAAACCCCATTGGTTCCACAAAGTTTCTTTGGCAAGGGGGAAAATGTGAGCGGCTTCAAACCCGTGCCACACGTTATACTGCCAGGCCGGTACCGGCATGCCAGAAATACAACAAATCTTATCCCGAAGAAGCCACTTTAAGAACATCATGCAATAGAGAGCTAATCACCGTACGAGAATTAGGATGGAGAACGAACCTCCTAGAATCTTTAGAACGGTTTCGATCATCCTTTTCCTTCAACATATGATAGAACATAAAGTACTTCATAATGCGTTAGCGAAATTGGATGTAAGATTTAATGATATTTTCATCAAGTTCGTCGTAGAACTCCACCAGTATCTGTCATACACTGCATCGAATATTCATAAAGCAGTATACAAGACGTTGCCAAATTATGAAACCTGGAGAATCAGGAGTTTTGTCTCCTGCGCCTCCGTAGCCCCACTTCTTCTACTAAGCTTTTTCAGCCTCTTCAGGACCCACTTGATTATTTCTCCACTCAGCTTCTTCCCTCTAGCACTCTCAAAACCTCTTTGCAATTGTTTCCAAGGTTATCAGGATCGGAAATAATGGAATAAGCCATGACTTTATTGCATAGCTCATTTACTTCGTGATAACCTCATAACTCATAAAGCGAAAAAAAGAAAGCAAAAAAAGGGAAAAAGCTATGCTGGGTAGAGACCTTTTGCCACGAGAGTATTCTCGGCGATAATCCGGAACTCAGAGACATCAAACACATGTTGATTAGTGGCCAGCCGGTCCGGAAAATGTGCTAAATTTGCACCCCAAAGGTCCTTGAATGTGACAGTGAAATGTTGGGGCACAGGGGGGTCGGGTGCAGGAAAAACGATCTGAACAGGCTGTTTGATTCTTGGCATGCCAGCCCTATCTAGAGACCATTTTTCGATTCGGCAAGCGACACCTGAAACCTGAAAATTCCAGACCACCAGGAATACCACTCGGATATTTCCATTACCGCCAATGAGGAGCCTATTTGCATCATCTTGCAGCTCGGGGTATGATTCACTCCATCCACACTCAATTGCCATGGTCGGCATGTATTCTAACTGGCCACTCCAATTACGAAAAGCTCCGGTAAGATCAATAGGAATAAAACATCCATCCGGTTGTTTACAGGCACCCTGATACGGACCCTGTGTGAATTTGATATCTATGAGTTATCAGTAGAGCCCCGTTTAACGTGCCTGAATAAACATACCGGTGCCAACATTAAAGTAGATACAGTTGCTTTCATTTAAAGTCAAGCTTCTATTGCGCTCCCACCTCCGCAAAGTTTGGATAAACCACCCTGCGGGTGAGTCATGGCCCGGAGTGGGCATCTTGAGCTGTAGAGTCCTGCGGGTTGGATCCCAGGTAATACTAATTAAACATATTAGGCCAATGACCATAGCTTCCAGGGGCTTTTGACTTACTGAGCTTTGAAACTCTGGCGGTCGAGAAAGAAAAATGCGGAGGATCCCCAAAGAGGGTTCACATCGTTGAAGAAAAAGTTGAAGTTCCTTTACTCTTTTGGATTATGGCACTCAAAAATTCGAGAAAATCACTTTCGTTCTCAAACACTGGACAAGATATCCTCTTTTGAAAATCGGGAGGCTCTGAGGGGGTTTTGGATGGTATCTGTCGAGATGACCGGCGTAGTTGAGGATCATTCGGAGAGCTGGAGGGGAACATGGTGGGCGAAAGTGAATCCATTTTGAGGGGTGAGGAAGAAGAAGATATGAGGAAGGAGGAGTTGAGAATGTAACGAGAATGGGTCACCTCGACGTGACCGCTTATAGGGTCTACATATGACGACTGTATAGAGCTCCCCACTACAGTACTTATTAGTATAAGTGCTAAGCCTAATGTGGACTTAGCGCCCGTTGTTGTGGAACCTACCATGTAGATGAAGGAGTTACTCTCCTTCCCTTTTTCCTCACCATCTTCATTGCCTTCCTACTCCCACAGGATAGAGATCCCCATGGATCGAATGAATGAATACACTGCCAGTACTATCCTGGATGTCGTGGATCGAATTTTGCAATACAGACACGGCAATGTTTCTGTATTTCTCCATCGAAATACTGCAACCTTTGAGCAAGCCTTGCTCGCAACTGCAGAGCAGGTTCGCGAGCTCCCTGTTGGAATTATGCTCCCTTCAAGCAACTAACCCTGGCGCCAAGCTCTTCGGAGAAATGGTTTGGAGAATTCCCCACTATATGGAGTTACGCCAGATAACCCACTGAATGTGATTGGAACATCATCATCGAACCTGCCTATTCGAACATCTGAAAAGTTGAGATTTGAGCCTATGCCAGAGCCTGTCTTGGGACATCGTCGTGCTGCCTTCAAGGCAAAGTTTTGTGGACCCGAGAACCAGATACCTCCGCGGGACCCATATATCCTACAACTCCGAGCCACTTTCACAGAGAAGAGACTGGCATTGATTCGTGGCAGCGTAGTGGTCTCTGCTGCCGACTGGGATGACGGAGATCCTCGAGTGGAGATGTCCGATATCCCCCTCCTCTGTGACACCGGAGCTTATAAGACAATTATCACAGCCGATATGCTCTCTCCTGGTTTCGTCCATTACCTACACACAGACCCAATCAATGCGCCCCACCGCCATCATGGAAATCCTCGAGTACAGGTCGGTCTTCTCCTGGAATTTTCAAATTCTATCTTGAGCCTCGAAACAATTGCAACCGTCTTTGAAAGGGAAGCGGTCCCTAAAATACGCTCTGGTATTATTCTGGGACAGAATGGATGTATCAATAGCATGCAATATCGCTCAATTCCGCGGGCAGTTCTCGAGGCCCAGGTCCAAATAATCGGCAGTGAATTCTGGGGTGATCTGGTCGTGGAGAGCTTCGTCGATCTTGACGGTATTCTTCAGCAACTTTGAGAGATTGATTAATGAAATTGGTTGATTGTTAAGGCGGCACTTTTATGCTACTAGCAAATACAATATTTTTCACTCTATAATCATAGGTGCTTTACCTTCAGTTCACAGTAACCTTTTCCGACTTGATCGTATCAATGATCGCAGAAAAAAAAGCTTCAAGAGATGGTGCGTTAGGCTGAAGAGATGTTGCGGGAGCTTAAAGAAAAGCTGGGGAGCCTTGGCCGGAGTAAGCGAGATCTGGATGAAATAAAGAAGGAGCTTTGGCCAAATGCCGGTAATAACTAGCATGCAGAGGAGGAGATTAAATTGCGTTCTGCACAGAATAACATTCGTCAAAAGGAAAACAAGATATTTTTATCGATAGTAAGAGGGGGTGGTAGAAGATTCAAACCTCATCGAGGTTGCAGAAGACAGTAGAGGAAAAGGTAAACCTGGAGGTCAGAGAATACGGTGGAAGAAGATCAAAACCGCAAGGAGGTCAATATCATAGTAGTGCAGTGCAGTACATAGTTTAATAGAAGCAAAAAGTGTCGAATGCACGATTGTATGGCCAACTTCCCGCTTAAGTCAACACTACAACTAAACTATGATGACTGCCATAACGCTAGAATAAGAGTCCAAAATACTCAGCATTTTTGATTTAAACTCAAATAAGCGTGAACTAAATAAGTTATCACGATTCGTTGCATACTTACTAACACTTGAATGCTTGAATGAGTTAAATTACTTGACCGCGAAGGTATACTGGTCACCATGATGACACATGTGGTTTTCCTTTACGACTGCACTTCCTCTTTTCGAGTTTCCTCACGTTCGAATCTTCTTCTGCTGTTGTTCTGCCACGAGTATCAACTCCTATATGTTATCCTTCTGCGCTCTAGCCTCGATGAGATTTAGATCTTCTGTTCTTGTCCCCTCCATCCTCGTCGAGCTTTGGATCCTTGCTTCACCACATCAGTTACCTTTTTTCCTTCCTCCACAAGCATTGGATCTGTGCTTCACCACATCAGCTACCTTTTTTTCCTTCCTCCACAAGGATTGGATTCTTGCTTCGCCGCATCAACTACCTTTTCTTCCACCCTCTTCGAGGTTTAAACTCCTTTTTCGTCTCAATTCCCGCTCCATTTCATCCCGTGAACCGCCGCTATGTCTTCAACTCGACGTGCAAGCAGGGGGAGAATCGAAGAGCTCGGGACAACTTCTTGAAAAACTCTCAAGACCACTAAAGACTTGATTCTCTCATCGAGTTCCTCGAGGATGAGACCCCCTTTACCAAGGTTGATGCTCGTTTACCACTTGATGAGTATAAGGAACGATTGGAGCTAATTAGTGACATTTAAGAGATCACATGGGGGTCACAGTCGAGACTCACCAATGTGCAGTTCTCTGCCATGCTTATCGCACCCATTGAGAAACTGAGAAACCTCCGAAATCAGGAGTCTGGTGAAATCCTCTGATTTTTAAAAACTTTGGCGCCTTTCATCAGGGCTTTTTTCCTCGGACCCAGTAAAGCAGAGTCCTCGGTATCCCCAATCAAGAGGCTTCTTCAGGAACATTCTAGTTCTCCCAGTAGCAAGAAGTCTTGCCTTAATGGGCGCTCAAAGTCGAAGAAAAAGACGGTCACAAAAAAGGCCATTTTTACTGCCGACGACGACACGCTGCTCAATCGAAGCCAAACGAAGCGTAATGAATGTCTTACTCGCGACTGGAACAAATGCATCATCACACAGACTGCATATCCAGAGGCTGCCATATTATACCTTTCGCCTGGGGTGAGTCGTTCAACATTTGTGAGGAAATTAGAGGCAACTACCTTCCGACAATGAAACCCCTATTTGATGATGAGATCTTGAATTACGTTCTCGATTCATACAAAGCACCAGGAGATGCAGACAAGGTGTGGAATATGGTAAGCTTGAGCAGTAACCTTCATAACTGGTGGTCCAGGGCCCTCTTTGGGCTGAAGTATCACGGCGTCGAAGGTTCTTTCGATGGAAATATTGTGGTTACGCTACAGTTTCACTGGATTCCACAACCCAAGAACGTGGTTTTCAATGAAAAATCAATCTTGATAAACAGCAGAGCTACGAGTCCGAATATAGCCTCTACTATCAGCTCAAGAAATGCTCGAGGGATATCTCTGTGAGCTTGAACTTACCATCTGGCTATCCGCTCAAGACTGGCCACACCTTTAGAGGCTTTATGGAGGCCGACGAGGGGCCTAAGTTTAATGCGGCAATCAAGATACAGTGGACACTCACGCAAATTGCATCAATGTCGGCGTATGCAGAGACCTTGGAGATGCAGGGCAAGGGCGATCCGGATATCGATGAATGGCTCCAAAATCTTCAGATTGATTCCGAAATTGAGCCAGGACTATGGATGCCAATGGAACAATCGCCAATACCAGAGCAGCAGCCTCAGGAGCAGCAGCCTTTTAAGTTCGGCTGGTCACGCCCCGGAAACGTTCCTGCTCCTGATCGCCCACATTCCGGTTCTCTTGGCCCTCAGAAACCCTCAAGCGGAAAGCCCAAGGGCGTTTCACAGAGTCAAGATGCGCCTGGAGACAAGCTCGCGGTGCGCCTTGCACATCCGTCAGCTCCTGCAAGCTTGCTGAACGACGGAGAGCCATGGGTGATAATGAGTCATACTGCAGCCTCCATTCAACAGGGCCTCGATAGAGAGGCGGATAGATGACGATGCTTGCAGAAAATATCCGACCTCTCCGCGATAACATCCCGGACGATGATAATGAGCGAGCTGAATAGGAAATCTCTTTCCCGCATGGCGAGAATGGCGAATGCGCCCGGATACCTGACAGTGAGCAGTTTAATGAGGTATCAATTAGGCCTTGCTTATAATTAATACAAAGGCAATTGATTATTTTTTTTCGTCAGCATCTCTGCGGTCGCTTGTAGCTTGAACTAAGTCCACTTCCATAATCTTAAGAAGTCGTTTCTCTCAAAAGCCAACTATAATACTTGTTTGTACATAATTTAGAGACGTGACCATTCAAGCATCCAATATCCGATATAGAATAACACAGGGTGACGGCGGAATTGCCATGATTGTGCGTGGTGTTTCCGCCTAGTAGCGATGTCTCTTTTGATTTAGTTTGTTACGAATTCTCGAAATGTATCGTAACAATAAATTACAACAGAGTGGGTCAATTACCAGAAACATGGATACGATCGTTACTCCGCAGTCAACGGTTAACCTCAAGATTCATCACACTAGACCGTTTCTTTCCAAGGGAGCTAAGAAATATAATAGGGAGCTACACTTATGTATCTACTTCTGGAGCAAGCCAAAAGGGAACTTGCCATTCGAGCTAATTTGGATTACGAAATCAATACGGTCAGCTCCGCGTCGAGATGGATCACCTGATAGTGGGGTATCTGGAGATCTGATTGTTTACTTCCCTGCTTAAACCACCTGCCCACAGTCATGGCGGCTTCCACATCCTACAATGGCACAAACTCTGGAATTCAAGTCGCTCATAACTATGCCCCTATTACTGCAAACTTCGGTAAGTGGGAATCATGACTTTAATAGGATGTGACTAATGCGTAACCCCACCCAGTTCAACTAGAAACGTCTTTAAATCAAGCATGTCTTCGGGATTTACGTACGACCAATCCTTACGATGATAAAAGCCGTATTCAGAATACCAGCGGAGGGCTGTTCAAGGACTCATACCGCTGGATCTTAGACAACGACGAGTTTCAACAATGGCAAAACAACCAAAACAGCCAAAACAGCCAAAACAACCGTCTCCTCTGGATCAGAGGCGATCCCGGCAAAGGCAAGACAATGCTCCTGTGCGGTATCATCGATGAGTTGACACAATTACATGAAAACACCGCGAGTGTCTCGTTCTTTTTCTGCCAAGCCACCGACGTGCGAATTAATAGCGCCACATCCGTCCTACGTGGTTTGATATATTTACTCGTCCAAAAGAACCCGTCCCTTCTCTTCTATGTACGCTCTCGGTACGACCAAGCGGGGAAAGCCCTTTTTGAAGACATAAATGCATGGAATGCACTCTCGAGCATCTTCACGGATATTCTAAAAGATCCTGCTTTAGAGAGAGCTTATTTGATCGTTGATGCATTAGACGAGTGCACGAACGGTCTTCGTTACCTTCTAGACCTGATTGTGCAGGAGTCATCAGTTCACTCTCAGATAAAGTGGATTGTCTCTAGCCGTAACTGGCCTCAAATCATTGAGCGTCTTAATATTGCAAGCCAAGTAGCTCCAATCTCATTAGAGCTCAATGATGCATCTGTGTCCAAAGCTGTGGATAAATTCATTCGACATAAGGTCGATATTTTAGCGAAAGTCAAAGGATATAGAGATAGGATCCGCGATAGGATTTACCATCACTTATTACTTAACTCGCAAGGCACATTTCTGTGGGTAGCCTTAATCTGCCAAAGACTTGATGGGACACCACCAAGGCACGCTATCAATATGCTAGAAGCATTCCCTCCTGGACTGAATGCTCTATACGGCCGAATGATTGATCAGGTTCGCCGGTCACAAGATGCTACACTTTGTAAGCAGATACTAGCTATCATATTAATGGTTTTTCGACCTATCACGCTTAGCGAACTAAGTTCACTTGTTAAAGTGCCGGATGATGACTATGATGACCAGGATTACCTCTCAGAGATTATCGCAGTCTGTGGCTCATTTCTGACGTTACGAGAAGATACTATCACATTCGTCCATCAGTCTGCAAAGGATTTTCTACTTCGGGAAGCTTTAAATGAGATACTTCCTAGAGGTATAGGAGCTGAGCATCACATAATTTTCTCGCGATGTCTAGAGGTGATGTTCAAAACGCTTCGACGTGATATCTTTGACATCAAGTTACCTGGATTCTCAATTAAGGACGTGAGACAACCCAGCCCAAATCCACTAGCAGCGGCAGAATACGCGTGTGTCTACTGGATAGACCATCTTCAAGATAGCGAGCGGAACAAATTCTATGACCTGAGCCTTAGCGACAGAGGTCGTATGGATGAATTTCTACAAGAGAAATACCTTCACTGGCTCGAGGCTCTTAGTATTTTAGGGTGCATTTCAACTGGCATCCAAGCGATGCAAAAGCTTGAGAAATTACTTCAGGTATGTAGTTATCTATATAGGGATAATACTCGGTTCTAATAACCTACTTTAATAGGAAAATGCAAACTCACAAGCCATATTCCTTCTGGCTCAAGATGCCTCTAGGTTCATTCGATATTTTAGGACAGCAATTGAAAGCAGCCCTCTACAAGTGTATTATTCGCCTCTTCTATTCAGTCCAACAAAAAGCCTTATAAGTCTTTTTTTTCAGAAGGAGAGACCAGATTGGATTTTGAACTATCCACTGGTAGAGGAAAGTTGGAGTCTCTGTCTACATACTCTGGATGGGCATAGTGATGGGGTCAACTCAATTGCCTGGTCACCAGATGGAAGCCGACTCGCATCAGCGTCTCATGATAAGACAGTCAGGATCTGGGATCCGGCCACCGGCCAGAGCGTGTCTACTCTCGAGGGGCATAGTGGTTTGGTCAGGTCGATAGCCTGGTCACCAGATGGAAGCCGACTCGCATCAGCGTCCATTGATAAGACAGTCAGGATCTGGGATCCGGCCACCGGTCAGAGCGTGTCTACTCTCGAGGGGCATAGTGATTGGGTCAGGTCGATAGCCTGGTCACCAGATGGAAGCCGACTCGCATCAGCGTCTGATGATAAGACAGTCAGGATCTGGGATCCGGCCACCGGTCAGAGCGTGTCTACTCTCGAGGGGCATACTAATTTGGTCTTGTCGATAGCCTGGTCATCAGATGGAAGCCGACTCGCATCAGCGTCCAGTGATGAGACAGTCAGGATCTGGGATCCGGCCACCGGCCAAAGCGTATCCACTCTCCATATCAGCTCCACTCACTTGCTTCAATTTGACGATGTAATTTTCAATCATCTGCACACAAGTAAGGGTACGTTTGATATAGGTTCAGTTGGTTCTGTCACACGTATACCTTATGATACGATCTCATCGCCCGTACAATATAGATATGGCTTGAATCATGACGATTGCTGGATAACATACAATGGGGTCAACTTCATATGGTTACCCTCTGAGTATAGACCGTATGACGGTTCTCACTTTGCCATGTCATCAGCTAATTTGGCAATCGCCTGTTCATCAGGTCACATCATATTTCTCGCGCTCACTGAAAAGAATCCCATCCTTGGCGTTTAATTGGCAGTTTACTCATATTTTGACATCATTCTTCTTGCCCACGCTTATTCTCATGAATCGGCCTTTCAAATAGAAGTATTTGAACAGTATGTGATGAATGAAACTAAGCTTTATAATTTTATAGCTACGGTAGATCAATACATTGATGCCCCTAGTCAACTACCAGGGAATTATCAGACACACAACTTACTGTGTCTAATTACCTCGACTGCCAGAAACCGAAGCACCGCAGTTTTCAGATGGGTCGTCCTGACACACCTAAACTCCGAGGAACTATAATACTGTGCGGTCGCATGCATTTCGCAATACCCCAATCAAAAACATCATTTCGTCCACTCATTGGAAGAAAAGTGCGCAACTTTAATAAGAAATAATTTCTTCGCGGTGCCCCCATAACATCCTTCGATGAACCCCTCAGCGGGCTTCCACTACTAACCAACCGGGCTTGGTTTTTATCGCTGTTGAGACAAGAGGGTTTACTCTTTGTGCTCAATTTCCACAGTATTGTAACCATAATTAAGACATGTTTTGCTCATCTATGGTTTAACACAGGTATCCAAAAAACCCACTTTGTAGGCTGGGTATATCAGTAAGAAAATGAACCCACCAATACTTTCATGGCTGAAATAATCGGTCCTTTGACATCGCCTTTCTGTTTGGTTTGTTTGCAGGTGAGTAGTTCTAGGGCACAGCCCATACGTAATACAATAGCTATTTTTATGTCATTATTTATTACCGTACCAAGATACTGCCAAGAATGTGGATCAGAGTAACCATAAAGGGCACGTAAAATACAGTTAAAGCATTGAAGAGAGTAAAGAAGTGAAACTGATTTCGAGCGCGTTGTACAAATGTCACGCCGGATTCTTTCCTTGAAATTGATCTGAAAATGATATGAGATATCTTTTGAGACTTATGAATCAAAATTGAAAGATCATCTCCAGTATTGCTCTTTGCCTCTGCTCCAAGTCCTTAAGCTTTTCTTGGACATGTTTGAGCCGTGTCTCTGGAGCTTCTCTTTCGCTCTCATACTCCAATTCCGTCGAATCAACAGAATCAAAATCAGCCATGATGAAACAACTTTTCAGTCATTTTGAAGTTTCTTCAAGCACTTCGCGGGATGCATATCTCTGGTCTTCGCAAATAGCTTTCGAGATACTACGGGATACTTCTATTCTTAATTCATCTCTGAACTTCATCGTGTCTATGCAGCTCCCCGATGGGTTCTGTGTTGAAGTTAACACTTGTATATCTGAAGGATCTAAAGAAATTTTATTTTGCTTTACTCCACTTACTTTTGTCTGAGGAAACAGCTTGGTACACAGACATCATTACCTGGAAAATGTAAGATGCTTCATTGATCTCGGTAGCTTTTGCCGGAATTGACCTAGCGATCGTTAGAGGGAGTTGAGAGGAATTTATACAAAAGAACTAACTTACCGAATCTTCAATTTCAAACGTGTCTTTAATGCAATAGTCCGATCCTCAAATTCTTCCGCTTGATGGTCGATACTATGCCGCGTCGCAGAAGGGAATCTATTAACTGTGACATAAGTTAATTTACCTATTAGTAAATCCTTTATGAAGAACACTAACCCGTCAGATAAGATATCAAGCCCTTCAACTTGAAAATTCCAGATTCTCGAAGCAGCTTGAATTTTGCGACAAGTATGCCCTCAAGTTTAACCCATTCACTATTGAGCTCCATCCGCATTTGCCTAGTTAGTTCACTGTTCTAGTTGATAGTTTCCCTAGTGCGAGATATGCCTTTACCATAGTTAGAACAAAATCATCTAAATTGTACTAGAAAAAGGTGAGTAAGGATTGTCACCATGGTTCAAAGTTGTGTAAAGCAGGTAATGTGAAAATGTAATAATCGCGTAATTCTTACCCGATTTCCTGTACAGGGAACCTAGCATCACCACCAATCTCAGTTTGGAATATCGAAATGAACGAACCAGCGAGGGTATCGCTTGCCCGGCGCTTGCCGTATTTAATACGAGAACTTGGCACGGAATCTGATTCTATATCAGGAATTAAATTCAATCTTGCGAACTTGACTGAATGGAAAACTTTCCCAAGTGAGATCCACGACGTGCTCCAGACGGTTGACCTAGATGTGATGGTACCAGTCGATGATACGACCGATAAATACATCATCGGAAGTGAATCTGGACTCACCGGCCGTTTCGCTAAGCACCTATGTGACCCTGTGATAAATGTTCTGATCGCGGTAAGAGTACCGCTTCGCTTTGGAGATCGACAGGCAATTTATCCCCCGGCAACTATAATTCCAGACATCGTTCTATCCAGACGCGATGTCATGCCCCCTTCTGTTATCATGGAGATCGAATTGAAAACGTTCTGGACATTTGATCTAGCTGCGTGTCTCTCTAGCCCGCTCAGCCCGATCCTGCTAGTGCGGATTGAACCACAAATTGGTATATATTCTATTACTAACTATTGATTTAGATAAGTTACTAACATAATATATATTAAGGCCAGCTTATTGCCTAAATGCGCGAGAGCTGCACCACATATGGTGTATTATCAACCTACCATGCAACCTTATTCTTTGAGAAGGGACTCGGATACAAATTTTTCGATCAGCCAGCCGGTCCTCCGGCATCGAGCGGGCAGCTTAGCAATGCCATCCGTTAAGCAATGTGTTATGGCTCTGGCACTACTGGCTAATGCTACAGACCCATATTAAGAAGCCTCTGGATTTAGTGAGAAAGAGGTATGTTTTTTATCATAAATTAGAGGCTTTCTAACTTAATCAGCAGCCTATGTTTACAAATTTCAATGTGTCATCATGTCCATCTCCGTATCGGCTTCAGCCACCTGTTGATGTTGGTCCTGTGAACCGCGGGTCTGAAAGCTACAATCCACTCCAATCCTCGCCAATTGGCCATGGCACTATTCTTTTTAGCAAAAATGGCATTGCCGAGGACGTGGTTAATGTGACTCATGTTATCCAGTGGACTGGCAACAATGACGAAATCCACAAGGGCACTGTGAACGAGGATAAGTGGGATGACAAGAGGAGGGCTGTCTTTGAAGGTATTTGGCATGGGGAGGAGGTAGTTGTTAAATGCTGGGTTGATTCCGAATACGACAGGTTTGTATTAATCATAATTTATAATTTTACCCAAAAAGCTAACAATATTCCAGTTACTTAAGTGAAAGCCGATTCTATGAAGAACTGCCCCACCAGAACCCCAGCGGCTACCCATTCTTTCCTCAGGGAAAGAATGCCGGTGATATTTGCTGCTCCTCGCTCTTCCCGTTCGGATTTGCCATGATCATGTCTAAGGTGAAGGGTACGCCCCTTCGTGATCGGTTAAAAGATGCTACCGTCAAACGCAGGGGCTGGATTAGGGCGCAGCTAAATGCGGCGGTTAAGGCTATACGTGCTTTAGGGGTTATCGTGTATGATTGTGGACCCCATAAAATCTTGTACCATGGCGATGGGAATAATCCATCAATCTCAATCATCGACTTTGAGCGTCTCCATGTCTTTGGGGATGAAAAAGACCCCACGGAGGGACTGCCTATCCAGCCAGAGGTCGTCGCTGTCTTTGGTTTCAAGAAAGATGATGATAAATTTGAAAATGACTTCGACTTCGACCACAATGAAGATGACAAGGTGGATGGATGAAGATGGTGGCTTTTCTATTTTCGTTTAGCTTTTATCAAAAGTGCTCTACGATAACCATATACCTAGTTATCCATTCAGTATCATGATGTTTTCATCGTGCTTATCATATTGATCACTAAATTGAGGGTCATGTTCAATGAACACACACCCCTTTGGATATTCGGGCTATACATGCCTGGAAATTAAAGTATTATTGTCTAAACAGGTCTTTACTATCATATTCTTCTAAGAACCAAGCGTCGTACTTTTTCGAGGGTTTCCTTTGGCCTATTAAGCACTGTGTTACACCTGAATTGAACACCGGATACGTCTCCTGTGTTGTTGAGACCTTGAACACCTCAATTGCCATAGTAAATCACTTTGGCACAAACCTCCGTTCAATATTTACTAATATCTAAAATACTGCGACAGGCTTCAATACATTCGACTTGAATGCAGCTACTTTTCTCCAACACCAAGTTTAACAAACGGTAATACACATACATAGTTGCAAACCCTAGCAACTAGTGTTGATTTTCACCTATCACAGTCTTTGCCACGGACCTGAGTCAATAGAAATGCTGAAATAATTCAAGGGTATTTGTACAAGGGAATGGGATGATCCGCGTATAGTTATTCCAAATGCCGCTCTACTGCCCATTCAGGACCACTGCCATGGAGGGAAAGGAAAGTAATTATGGGTTTGCGACTCATCTTACTACAAAGTTGTCTTGAACATTGAAAGTACCGAGCACACACCGTGACGACACCCAATGGCCATCAGAAGATATTATAGACATCTAAATCGACGGACAAAAAGACGCGTCTTACATTCGTTTTTACTGGTCAGGTATCGCAATATCTCTGCATGGGCCGCGATTTTATGGCCTTGAAACCGTTTCGGGACGCCATACTCCTGATATCGCACTTACCAAAGCAGCTTTATGACTGTGTATCATGGTACCTTTCTGATAAGACCTAACTCCAAAGCATGGGGAAGGTGATGCTTTATCCAGATATGATATCAACCAAGCTCGCCACAGCTGAAATGGAGACCCCCAAACTGTTGCAGCTGCTGTGCACTACGCTACAGATTGGAATGCTCAAGGTGCTACGTGATCAGAATGTCGAGACGTGCTCAGTGGTTGGCCATTCAAAAGGAGAGATCGCAGCAGCATATGCTGCGGGGGCTATAATTGCAGAATATTTTATCAAAATTGCCCACTTCCGCGGCCAGGTATCGCAGTCCCTGTAGGTTGAGAGACGCACGGAGGTGGTCGGACTTTGTCGCGATATTATTGCTGAGGATCTAGATGAAGTGTCACTATCGCATTTAAGAACAGTTCGGAAAACGTGACAATCTCTGGAGATACCATAGGGCTGGTTTGACAGAAGCTGAATTGCAAGCAATCATCGCCATTCGAGGAACTCGATAGACCCGTGGACAGACTTCCAGGGTCTTGAGTGGATATATCGCGTACTGGCAACGGAGGCCACTGGTCTCCGGGAAGACCCCTGTGGAAATTGTCGGTACACAGGTGGGTATAGCAAGGTTGATGAGAGGCTAACGCCCACTTCTAACACCTATTATAGGAAACGCTTTACGCCCCTATACCCTATAATATCTTGTGTCTCTGAAGTGGTTGTAAAATATGATCTTTCAATCATGGTGAGGACTAGCTATTTGTCCTATACGTTGCTCTTCTGTCTGAGACGAATGTGATCCATCGTCTAAGACAGAAGAGCCGATGAAGACGGGACATCCCAGTCATATGCATACTGTTCAAGGTTGTTGGTTGTGATGCATTTCGAACAGGGATTCGTGATGTGGTCTAAACCGGGGTGTCGTTGTCCGATACCCCAACAGAAATCGTTGGCTATCAGAGAAACAAAATTGACTTCAGGAAAGTGAGGGATGTCGTTGGCGACGGATCCTCAAATCTCTTTTTGCCCTGTTGATGCGAAATAGATAACTGGGTGAGCTTCCGCATCTAGTAAAGGCATGCAGCCTCCAGCATCACATTTTTATTGAATTAGTTTTGTCCAGGTTGCATATGTTGTGAATCCTTTGCCGATAATCCGATGGAACTGATCGAGGCATAGCCCACGAGTTGCGAAAGAAGAGGCAAGAAAACAAGGATCTCACTACCTATAATAATGCGGGGCTAGTACCAGGCATGTAATTCATGATGGCTTTTCAGTCGGGATTTAATGGAATCTGGTTTCTAAAATCACGCCCTAACCGACGCAATGGGAAGACGAGGGAAGACAAGGCAACAGCCTTCTAAGGACATTTATTACCAATCATAGGTTCGTGGGATATGCGAGACAGGGATGATGTGCATACGTGGAGTAGGTGAACTGAAACACGTTGCAAGCGGTTAATGCATGCATAATCCAACACCACTCCACATTCGACCCCTCTTTCTACTCCGGAAAATATGAGGCTCCGCCATCACTCGAAGTCAATTCTCTCTCAAATTCTAAAATTTCGTATCCTATGCTGTTCATATGTGCTGTCCAAACCACAGCAGAGATTTTATAGTGATGCGAACAGATCTTGAAACCCTAACTATGGGTGTTTCTGGGGAGGAAACAGTCCACGGGTATAAATGAGTTCAAGTTTCTCGTCCTTACTCTCTTAAAAACCACACAGTTCTATTTTCGCAACTCATCTACCTAGCTACTGAGAAAATTTATTGTTTTCATGATGTCTGCCATTATCCATCAGCCCATTACCTTGAACGGTTTTGTTCATGGCTTAAGGGAATTACTTACTCAGCCCGAGGGTGAACTTGCGGTAAGAATTACCGACGAGATTGAGAACTTAAGAATGCAACTCGATGACATTTCAGCGAGAGAGGGGAAAGCACAAATTACGATTGAGAGTATGCTCGACAAGTATAAGAAGGAGAAGGATAAACTTGAAGACGCGCAGGGTGAAATCAAAAGCTTGAATGCTGATATTGATACGAAAGAGATGCTTCTCAGCAAATCCTCAGAGGAAGCAGACGAGCTTCGTGAGAAAGTTGAGGGCCTTAACGAAGATCTTTCAAAAAAAGATGAAAAGATGAGTCAGTTCAACAGTCAGATCACTGAATTGGAGGATAGCCTGAAGAAAAGTGCGCAGAAAATCAGTGAATGGAATTCTGAATACTGTAAGCTAGAGGGGATATCCCTCGCGGTGAAGGAAGGAAATGAATACTTGAAGAGCCAGAATGCAACCTTGCAAATGAGCCTGAATACGAGTGAGGCTCAGCTTGGAAAACTGCAAAGCTTCGCCGTTAAGGAGATAATGATTGAGAAAGAAACAATGTGTGTTGAGCATCAACGTTTGAATTTGACATGAGCTGATCATTTCTAGCGCTAAAAATTTCTCTGATCTCTGGGATTTTGCGAGAAAACAGCTACACGCTGTTTTTAAGGAGGATATCAGTACATCTGTGTTGAAGGTTAGTTCTTTATTCGCCTTATGTCTACGTCATCGTCTAATGTTTGAAAGAATCAAACTGTGTGGAATAAATTTCGACAAATAACCGAGGACAAGCTAGACTGGCGTCCACTTCACAAACATCTGATAGCCTCGAATTCTCAGCCGGCCAAAGATATACGCCTTGCGACAACTTTGGCAGTTCTGTCAAAAGAGCTGAATCGACATATCTTCCAGCCAACTTATACCTTCCCTGCGGACAAAATACTCAGTAGCCTTGCTGATCAGGATGATGAGAAGGAAAATTTCTGTCGACGTGTACTTCTCTCCATTGATCCAGAGGCCGAAAAGGTCAACCTCGAAGAAAAAGTCAACACTGTTGTACGTAGTATGACAGCAGATCTAATCACCGCAGACGGGATTTTCTCAGACAGGTTGTACGAGTCTTACCGCAATAAGATACTCCAAATTGTGAACCGGGCAAAGGAAGTATGGCTCCCCATCCAAAGATGCCCTGATAAATACGAGATTGAGTTTGATGATGCGGACGTAGACTGGTTACACTTTGATCCTCGTGAGGACAATCTAACCAATGGACATCAAGACAATGCCGAAGGTCCAGGAGAATTTCTGTTGACTGTTTTTCCGGGCATCGTTCTCATAAAAGATGGCTTTGAGGAGCCTCTGAAATGTCCCATTCAGCTGCGGAGCTCTCAACACATATGTACTGCCGTGAAGAAGGAGGCTACTGGAACTCCTCATATTCTGAGAAGAATGACAAGACCGAAGCGACCATCAGTTGGTCAGGAATCTCAGAGTCCCTTAAGTCGTCATCCACTTGAATCCTCTCAGAGTTCGAACCAGCCTTTTTTCGTTCGAAGCTGATGTGCTGGGAATGGAGAAGATTGAAATGCCGACTTATGAAGCATCAATGTCACTCCTTATTGTGAAGTGCGAGAAGTGCGAGACGTAAGCGAGTTTTATTAACAGATTGTGTTGATTGTTCGGATTTTTCTGATTCTGATTTATTCTGATTTATTCTGATTTATTCTGATTTATTCTGATTTCAGCTACTCAACCCATTTTCTAGATTTCTGGATTTTGAGTAGAGTCATAACATTATAAAAATATCTTACTAACCCTAAGGTGTAAGAATTCCCGTTTCTCAAGAGTCTTGGTAAGGTAATTGTTGGAACTACATTCGCCGGAGACGGTATTCACTTAGTTCTGGGGAGGATTCAATCTAGATCAGTCAATGCGATGAGGTAGAATAGTTAGAATCTGGAGATAGAGGTATTAGAATGACACAACACACTTGCGAAATGGCAGCTATTTTACGGTAGTAGCTGTTTGTTGCTTGAGTTCAGTTGTCGCTAGATATCATACTATTCTATTAATAAAAGATCTTGAAATGATCCAGAAGATGAGGGAAATTCCATATTTGTTCAAGCAAAAGCATCCTTTATCATCCGGCAGATTAGAAAGTATTACTAGCTTTGAAGACATATCACCGCATTTGACTGGGTTACTATGGCAATATTCACAATTTTCCGGCCGCCAATGACCGGCCGGTTGCCGGTGCCAATTATAGAGACCTACTATATCACTATACTACACTACCACGATAACTCATTATTTACAATGGTAGTGTGTCTAAATTACAACACTTACCGAGTTACAAGGTCAAAGAGGCCTAAAACTAGAGGTGAAAATTCATCACTCGTGTCTGCAATTACGCGCCCGTCTGTATGGAGTAACTAGTGGCGGCTATTTAATGTTGTCTATTGCATGAGAATTAATAGATAAACACGTCAACCTCTCCTGCATATGCATTAATTGTTTGATGAAGATAGATCAGTGAACAATCCATGGATATTCTATTTTCTGACACATATCTGTATTAGCACTTAAATTCAGTGAGTGCCAGTGACTAAAACACACAACCCCGGTATTTCTCAAACAGCGACTACATTTTCTTTCCAGTGCTTAAGCGGCTAGCCTAGCCCTTGAATAAGTTCTATATATATTTAGGTAGGTGATTGAAAATGCCGTCCTTTTGCCTAGGTGAGAAGATTTGTCGCCTCCACAAACCGTTTACTCCTGATACAAATTTCTGCTTATGAGCTTCACAAAAAATGAGAACCTGGTCGGATGGGTCTGGGACAGCCCCGGTCGAGGCTCTCTTGGCTTAATTACTTCATGCCTTGTCACAATCTTTCTATGCACATGGGTTGTCATACATCCACGAGTTTATCAGCGTGTATCTTACGCTAGATTACACAAAATCGCTCTTTTCTTCAAAGCAGTCATTGCTCCGGAGTTCATCGCCGTGGAGGGACTCCAGGAATGGGCCCAGTGTCGAAGAATGGAAAGAGAATGTGCCAATTCTTCGGGAGGGCAATTCAACATCATCCATGCGTTCTATGTCAGTATGCTTGCCCTGAGATACCGAACGTTGAAGGGCGATCGTGTCATATGGCCAAACCAATATACATGGCTACTTCAGCAGCGTCTCATCCAGTGGGACAATCATTCAAGCTGGGGTTTATCACTGGAAGACATCTGCGATAAGAACAAATCAGACAACGCTGCAAAACTAATGGCCTTGATACAAGTATTCTCGTTCTCTGCACAGTGTATATTGCGCGTGTCGCTCCACCTTCCGCTTTCTCAGCTAGAATCGATGACTCTAGGTTATATTCCATTGTTTATCGCTACATATTTCTTTTGGTGGAATAAACCAAAAGATATCCGATCGCCATCTTTCGTGCAGCTTCCGGATATGAGCCAAGAACAGCTGCAGATTTTTGAATCTATGGCTGTGAGCAATAAGTTCGATAATGAAGAAATGGCCGAGCAGGTCTCATACTGGAATGTGTGTTACCTTACACCCCGCGTTTTCGAAAAAGAAGAAGAGGATAGAGTGATGGAGTTAGCGGGGACGAGTGCTACTGGGTACGATGATGTGGAAGATCAGAGTAAAATTCGAAGGGATATCGTCATAGCACATTGGGATCCCGGTTTATATAGGTCAAAAATCTGGCCATTAATCTGCCTCTTCGGTATTTCCTTTGGCGCTTTTCACCTTACTTCTTGGGACACAGTGTTTCCAACATATTTTGAGCTTTGGCTCTGGCGGGCCTCTGCCTTTGTTTCGGTTGTGTCGATGCTCATTTTTATGCACTTTGAGAAAGTGGTTCTCCGATGGAGTGGCATCTTGACGGTTATCAGTTTGGCATCCCCGCTCTTCTATTTAATCAGTCGCATTCTGATGATAGGAGAGGTTTTTGCTGCGTTGAGAGGAGAGCAACCAGCAATTTATGATACAGGCAAATATTCTAATGATTGGTTTTCCTTTTTGTGAGACTTTTATTAACACCCGCCACCATAAGGAGTATACAGGCGGCGGGGTGGCAGGGTCGACCCCGCCACCCTACCACCCGACGAACTTTTCGTCTTATCGGCCAATAAAAACTCTGTATTTCATTTTTTGTGGGTAATATGATACATCATAATAAGTTTGTCGGGGAGCTAAAAAAAAAAGGTCGTCGGGTAGTGGTAAATAGCCATCTTATGTGGTAATATGCAAGATTTGACTTACGGTGCTTCAACCCTACCACCCCGCCACCTAGCTTCAATTTTCGATAATTTACCAGGAATTTGTAAAATGTTTCTTCCTTCATTCAACAATAAAACAGTCAACTCAATTCAGATTTTGATAATATAGATATAATTATTAAAGGAATTCCTAAGAATAATACTTTGGAACTGGTTTTAGGAACTTATTATCATTTTTTGAAGTTTTCATCTAAAATTATAAAATTTCATAACAATATATCTATATCTGTATATATATCTGTAGACTGTATCTATTTACATCTCAGTCCTTGCAAATCGATTCCTATCTTTTACCATCTTTTACTGATCCTTACCATTATTTACTAGACTGAAGATTTAGGTATTTGCTTTTTTTGTCTATTTATACTTCTCTATATATATCGTTTAATTTCTAAGAATATGATCTCTCATAATTCAATTTATGAACCCACAAATTCCCTTCTATTTGTACAGATTTCTCTTTTTTTTCATTTCTGTTTGCCTTCACTTTCTTAAGAATCTTTATAATTATGGCTTCTGCTATGATTTTATCTTGGAAGAAAAATCGATCAATTCCATTTGATGAACTCTATGATCCTGATCATTTCTTGAATCTTAATGACGAAAGGGAAAGCCTAGAAACCTTCTCTCAATCCCCTACCGACCTACCTACTCTTACTCAGGAGAACCCTCACGGCTTCCAACTTTCCTCTGTTCCAATATCTGGTGGATATAATAAAGTCAGATTCCTACAATACGCCGCATGTCTACCTGAGTACCCTCAGACGCATCCAGACGGATTTGCATATCTTATGCCGATTACTGGTCTAGATCCTTCAGATATGATCAAAGATATGCAGTATGGAGCTGGAGGTCGTGAAAACCAGCATAAGCGCTGGCATAGGGATAAGAAATCACCACTACTTAGGAATGTCACTTGCACCTTTACTAAGAAGTCATGCTCTGGTATCAAATCTTGTCCGAAACTCGCAAATGATTTCACCTCTGAATTTGGTCATTCTGAAGTCACTGCTGATCTTTGGGATCATCTTGAAAATAGAAAAATCGAAGTCAATAACTACTTTCAGACCAAGTTTGGAGATGACCGAGCGAACGCACGTACTTACGCATTTTATCATAAATGCCGTCAACAATGGGATCGAAAATGTGGGAAAACACATAGAGATTATTCCCGAATGATTTTGAAGAGGTTCTCCTCAAGTGCGTTTAAAACAAATCAGTATTATCTTGGGTGTAGTGCATAGAAGCCAGAAGATGAATCTGGTAAGCACTACTTCCATAGGTTTCCGGTTCTCGAAGGCTATGATTTAGTCTATCTCAGAGAACTTGTGGAAGGCCATGCTAGCCGCGATATTACCGTGAACTCTCTCGCGTGCGCAACGATGGTACCAGCAAAATCAAGGACTTCAAAGTGCCAGTACCATGTGGACATGAATCTCCATTATGTCCCATATAATACTATCTTTATCTCAGTGATTCCAAAGGAGACTAAGAACTGCCCATTTATAATCTTGGCATCTTGGGGCACCCATACACATCCACCTCCACCAATAAGCAAGACGCCGTCCAACATCATAAAGGATATGACTCAACTGATTCAAAGGACCGATCATCATTCATTATCATATAGTCGATTCATCCGTAGTTCTGTTGTGACTGAGTTTTTGCAAGCACAAGGTGTTGCATCACTCCCTGAACTTCACCCATCTCTTAGTAATAGAGATCTTATTGCTTCTTGGATTAAGAAGCAAAGAGTGATTTCCTGTCCGCTTAGACAAAACTGGATAGGTATGTTATATATTATTTATCCTATAGTCTAATCTTGATTTAACCAATCCTTACCGATCCTTACCGATCCGTATTATATTTAGTTATTTTATACTAATTACTATTAGGTGCTTTACTTAAGCATTGTAAGCAGCAATCAGGACCTAAGGAAGACCTCTATATTCGCGAGATATATAATGATGGTATAAATCTCCGGATTGTGTGTCTTACCGATGCCCAAGCTCGCTTTTGGACAACCATTGAATACTTTCAGGTCGATATGACTTTTAAAAGAGTTGCAGGGATCTTGAACAAAGTTGTATTCGTCACAAAAGATCCTGACTTAGAGCAAACTGTCTACCTGGCAAGAGTCCTTGTTAGTAGTGACTCAACCGAATCCTACCAATTTCTTTTTCAAAGTCTGTTTAACATACTTAAGACGATTAACGGTAAAAAGATTGATTGGTTCCATATTCATCGGAAAGGCATCATCGCTGTGATGGTTGATATGTGTGGGAAACAATCTAGTAGGTTTGGTCAATATCTGCATTCAGTTGATGGCAGTTACACTTAGCAAGAACATATTCAACATATGTTTATATATTGTAAGGTTCATTACCATCGGAACCTTGCAAGATATCAAAATGAGATTGAGTACCCTATGATGCAACGGCTCAAGAATATAACACCTAGGAGCGCTTGTGAAAGTCTTATTACTACCCTTAAGTCTTCACAGTCGAAACGTGTTCGTGACTAGGTTAAGAAGATTTCTTGTCGTTGGTTAATCTCTGGACTGAATGAGTCAATGACTAAGATGAAAAAAGAGCATTTCCGTGCATTTGTTAAGCACACCAATCTGGTCGAGAGTAGTCATGCTGGTAGCAATCGTGGAGGTATCCAATTGCAACTACTCCCAGCTCTCAAGGAATCGCAAGCTCGAGATACACGCCCACTTGATGATATTGCCCGAAAAAGTCGTTATAGAGTCAATCCAACACAAAGATCTCGGACTTTTGGTAGTCATTTCCACAGAAAGCGCCCTAGATCTTTCCTAGAGACACCAACACCTATCCGGCAGCTCAATTTAGATCATATCGATCTCACTTCATCACCTCCATTATCATCAGCTATATTACAACAACCACCTCTTCATCATGAACCTACAACTGAATTAGCTGGAACATCTCATCAAGATTTACTAGTACAATTCGTGAACAGAATACCACAAATGATGAATGTTCTACAGAAATTGGAGCATACCATCGAACGCAATAATGCTCGTATTGACAAGTTTGAAGAGATGATAGGTGAAGCAGTAAAGGAGAAGGATAGTTAGGATCAATATTTATCAATTAAAGTCAGTCAGAATCAGTCGAAATTAGTCGAAATTAGTCGAAATCAGTAAGAGTTGGTAAGATATGATCAATCACATTTCTTTTTAAGAAAATTTATTTCCTCGCAATTCTGGTTTTATCTGACTTTCCCCCTTAATTATTTCTATCTTTTACCATATCATTGGATTCTCTCATCATGCCATATTCTACGAGATCCAGGACTAACGCCAATCATCCTGATGATGAAGCCCCTCCTATAAAACCGCAGAAACAACCACGACTTCAGACAAGGGGTATATCGAAAACGACTATATCTACCCCAAGACGAACGAAATCAATTAAACCTCCTCTTCAACAAACTAAAGCAACAAGACCTACTATAAAAAAAACTAAAGTAGTAAAGCCTCTTCAAAAACAAACGAAAACAACAAAACCTCCCCCAAAACGAACAAGAATAACAAAACCTCCACCAAAACGAACAAAAACAACAAAAACTCCTCTGAAATCATCACTTCAACCGACCGATGGGACTGAGATATCCCAACAGCTCACTGATCAGGCTGAAGTAATCCAGCAACCAACCAACCAGACTGAAGTACTCCGGCAGCCGACCGACCAGACCAAGGTACCCCAGCAGCTGACCGATCAGGCTAAAGTGATCCAGCAACCAACCGATCAGGATGAAGTGATCCAGCAGCCGACCGATCAGACAAAAGCACTCCAGCAGCCGACCAACCAAACTAAAGCACCCCAAGCTAGATCATGGCCTCTCAAAGAATCACAACCCCGATTTAAACCAATTATTGGTCTCCCAGATCTTGGCCCACCAAGCAATACTATTTCTTTGGTCGCAAAAGAACGTGGTGAAATCTCACAAGAGGAAAGAGTTAGAGGACAAAAGGAATTATATCCAGAATTGATTCAAGAAAACCAGTCAAGAATCAGGTCCTTTAAAGTCTGCAAGTGTCAGGAGCATACACATGATACTCGATATAATATCTGGAATTTTACTGGTCCTATTGTGAGCTCAACTTCCTTTTCTTAATACTATTACTAATTTCTTTAGGCGATTCCAAGTTACGCAACTAATTGCCCATATTGTTGTTACTCACCAGAAGGTATTAACAAAAAGACTGGACAGATAAGAAAATACCAGGCTTCTACAATTCGAAAGCATATTGAAAATATCCATACTATAAGTCATATAATATCTTATTACTTAATTATTTATATTGATTAAGATTAATAAATTTAGGTTGATAAACGGTTTACTAGACTCTACACTGTTTCTAACACTATTTCAAAATCCTATTTTCGGTATATTGAGGGAGATAATAAAGAGGCCTTTGAAAAAGCGAATTACTTCCACCAGATCTCTGAGGAACCTGAATGAAACCTGAAAACTGCTGGAAAATGAAAAAGAGACTTGAAGTTGTTGTTCTTTGTATTTGTTTTTGTATTATCCTAAAAATCCTATTTTCTTTAGGCTCTAATAAAGAAAAGAAATTTTAATCATATGATCTAATGTTTATCTTTGATTCTACCTAGATAGGTCTTTAACCGATTTATTGATCTAAAGATTTTCCTAGAAAATATTCAATTATTCTAGAAATTACTTTTTCGACAATAAGGTCATTTTGAGCTACTTAATCTATGAAGTTTCCCCTAAGTCCTCATTATCTTTTTCGATATTTTTTATTCTCTATCAAGCTTATTATGGCCAACATAATAGTTAACCCAAATGATCCTGACGATATTCCCACAGATACCCCTAGTGGTCATTAGTGGTATAGTAGGATAGATAGGATACCAGGAAGCTTTGTATAAGTATAAGTCTCAATATTGATTCCTGACTATCAAGATAGAATAGTACTAATCTATCTCTTATTTTAGGAACCCTGTTAAAGTTTGTAAATGTCCAGAACATCCAGCACAAAGATGGCCTTGTCAAAACGTAATAATCGAGATTCATGGTTGTGTTCAACGATGTCCTTATTACTCTTATACACCAATAAGTACTAGGTGTGTAGCAGCACCAATCCGAAAACATATTAAAATATCACATATTGTGAGTTAAATTTGATATTACTAATATAACTCAATCTAATATCTATTAGAAACCAAACCATAGAGGTAAATGGAAGGGACTTCATGTCCTAGACGGTCGGAAAACTGCAAGAAGGTGAGAATTGATTATCGAAGCCCTTTACCATCCCTTACCATCCCTTACCACTCCTTACCATCTTTTACCATTACTTACTAATATATATATCAATTTTCTAGAAAAGAACGCAGCCATAAAAAGGTCGAAGATGAAGAAACTGCTGGTGTAGGCCAAGAAAGTGACGAGGAGGAAGAAAATGTCTTACAACTTGCAAAAACGAAAAAACGAAAAAGAAAATCAAGATTCTATAAAGATGACACCGATTCCGACGATGATAGTCCATCTGAATCAGCAAGAGACCGGCGACAGCAAGACAGAAATAAAAGACGGAAGCGACAAGAACGAGAAGATCGACTTCAGAATGCAAAAGAACAAGAAGAAAAAGAACAAAAAGAATTTGAAGAACAAATGGCTAAGATTCAAGCTCAAAAGAAGAAGAGAGAAAAGGAACTAGCTGATGCTAAGAATCCTAAATCTAAGAGCATATCTTCAAGTTCTGTCACGAAGGAAAGAAAAGGTAAAGAGAAAGCTGACATTAAGCTCCCTTCAGAAGCTGAGTATGATAGCTTTGTTCGTTGGTTAGAGTCGCGGACGAAAGATGGTAAAAGTTCTAGGGGGATTTGGGATTTTCTGAAGCGACCTGAACTTCATATACCAGAACTTGAAGATAGACTTAATGAGTTGATAGATGAAGCATCTATTAGAGTGGATATGGAAGAGGATAGGAAAAGAGAAGCTAAGAAGAAAGAAAGAGAGAAGGCGATTGCTCGTGCACAAGCAGAACTTGAAAAAACGGATAAAGAAGGGGCGAAGAAAATAGCTGCTGAAGAGGTAAAGAAAAAGGCTGCTGAAAAGGCTGCTAAAGAAGCTGCTGAAATTATTGAGGATGATGAGGATGATCTAGGATCCGAGGAAGCAGGAGAATGATAAATAGTAGTGTAATGGTGCTTAGTGATTAGTGCTTAGTGCTTAATATTTTAATTTTAAGGTTTTTGATATCAAGTGATTTAAGAAAAGACTATTTAAGATGTTTATTTTTATACAGATATCCTTAAAATTAAGATTTATAAAGATATTACATTTAATTTGGAAAGATAATCGTTGATATGTTTCAAGAAATCATAAAATCTAGTAAATAATGGTAAGGATCAGTAAAAGATGGTAAAAGATAGGAATCGATTTGCAAGGACTGAGATGTAAATAGATACAGTCTACAGATATATATACAGATATAGATATATTGTTATGAAATTTTATAATTTTAGATGAAAACTTCAAAAAATGATAATAAGTTCCTAAAACCAGTTCCAAAGTATTATTCTTAGGAATTCCTTTAATAATTATATCTATATTATCAAAATCTGAATTGAGTTGACTGTTTTATTGTTGAATGAAGGAAGAAACATTTTACAAATTCCTGGTAAATTATCGAAAATTGAAGCTAGGTGGCGGGGTGGTAGGGTTGAAGCACCGTAAGTCAAATCTTGCATATTACCACATAAGATGGCTATTTACCACTACCCGACGACCTTTTTTTTTTAGCTCCCCGACAAACTTATTATGATGTATCATATTACCCACAAAAAATGAAATACAGAGTTTTTATTGGCCGATAAGACGAAAAGTTCGTCGGGTGGTAGGGTGGCGGGGTCGACCCTGCCACCCCGCCGCCTGTATACTCCACGATAAGCTAGTTCATCTATGTTATCACTTCCAAGATTCGAAGATCAAAATTGAAATATGTAGTTTTTTGTGCGGCTTTCATATTGTGGGGCATTCAAGGTAAACCCAAGTCGACATATCACATCACATGGACCTTGTCCAATGAAGTATTTAGATTAACCGCTGGCCACGTATTCACCTCTTGTCTTAGCAATGATCCTAGCACAAAGAACGACAGCTATTTTTGGCCGTTGAGTAATTTAGTAATTTTCTAATGCCATGAAAGTCTCCAAAGAAAAAAAAGTTGAAAAACGTACAGTTTATTGTACAGTTTATTATAGACATCGGGTGGAGGCGGTAGGATCAAAAAAGTACCAACACCTGGACTGAAAGGGTTAGCCTAGGCACCACAGGCTTAGTGTGCTTCACGCCATCAGCTTCCAAAATTGACGTCTTAACATACCTTTCCGAGGTGTGTTTTTTCGTGCGCTACTCTTCGCCTAGTCAGTCATGACATCCAGTCAGATGGCGGGCACTTTCTTCAAATATGCTGCCATCGCAGTGGGAGCTGTGGTCGGGCTATACGCTCTCTTATTAGGACTGCTCAGCACGTCGACTTTCCAGACCCACGTCGTGTACCTGCATGCAATTCAGATGACATGGTTTAAGGACCTTAACACTCCCGAGATATTTGGCTTTTTAAGAAACCAGGTCACCCCCTTCTCTATCAAAACTCCAGATGGGGAACGACTCTACGCTTGGCACGTTCTCCCCATAGAACTATACCGTAAACATGAAAAGGCTCTTCTTGAGGAACCTTCCGGGTTTGCCTCTGATATCAAGTCTCGAGTTGGATTCCAATTACTGCAGAATGATCCCGAGGCGAGGCTGGTCATCCATATGCATGGTGCTGGTGGAACTGTCGCTTCGGGATACAGAGTCCCCAACTACCGTGCACTATCTGCTGGCAGTCCTGGCAAAATACACGTTTTAACGTTTGACTACCGAGGATTTGGAAAAAGTACTGGGTCACCATCTGAGACTGGACTTATCACTGATGCCCTCGCTGTGGTCGACTGGGCAATGCGTGTCGTTGGGATTCCCCAATCTCGAATTCTCATTTTTGGTCAATCAATGGGCACAGCTGTCAGCATTGCCGTTTGTAAGCATCTTGCTGTCCAAAGTCCTCCCGTTGTCTTTGCAGGTACCGTGCTCGTTGCGCCATTTGTTGATGTTGCAACACTAGTGACCACTTATCGCTTGGCGGGGACTGTTCCGATTATCTCACCACTGAGCAGATTCCCGTCGATATTTAAATATCTCCAGAGACTTATTCGGGATAAATGGTCGAGCAAAGACTCAATTGCTCAGTACGTTCGCGCCAACGAGTTGAATGACAAGAAATACCGACTGGCGATAATCCATGCCGAAGATGACTATGATATTCCATGGCATCACTCTCGGCTACTATTCTGGCATGCCGTTAGTGCCTCGACGACTGCGGGAATCAGTTATGATGATTTCGAACTCGAGAGGCTGGAATCGATGGCAGACTTTGGGGCTGCGGGTTCCCTGATGGAATGGAAAACGAATAATGGGGTCCTCCGAGAAGAGATCTTAAAAACTGGATTACACGATGTGGTCATGGGGTATCCTGTAATCACCATGGCTGTAATGCGATTTTTTGAAGCAGCTGATGCGTCGCTTTTATATTCTTGACTTCGATCTATTAAACTCCCAAGAATTTGAGATTGAACTCAACGAGGGACTACTTCTCGGTTAAAATTTTCCTGGCAAAGCCGCTTTCTGCTTTTAGGTCTATCACAAAGTAGAGTAAGAAAAATACCCCTTACTAGCTTTAATGATCGCGGAACAACTAGGCCGAGACCCAGGAGGAAGTCAAAGAATGTTTTCGCCGTTCAGCTTTATCCACTGCTGTTCAATGGAGATCCCCGGATTCACATTTTTCGAACTAGTCGTATGATTTTCAGATCCATATTGAAAATCAAGGGGGCTCTGATTAGTGATTAGATATGATCCATCGTCGTAGAATTCAACGCGACAGACTGGTCCATTGGCTTCGAGGGTCTACTGCAGCTCGCCTGTCGCCGTATCCTAAAGGCATACGGTGCTGTTATTGGAGCCAGATACCAGCCGCGCGCCCTCGGGTGAGAAGGCGACCGACTCATCCAGGCATATTAATGAGGAAAGTAGGTTGGGCACTCGCTATCTTGGTGTGACCACTTGTGATTGAGATCTACCTATACCAAGGGACAAAGGCTTCCAAAGTGGGGTATCGAGGTGTCAAATTAGAGATTCGTACTTCCATGATCAGATATGGGGCTAGGAAGTAAGGACTAATTATAATATTTTTGCATAGCATTAATTCAGAGCGCAAGAATCACTCAAATAAGTAAAAGCAAAACAAAAGAAAACGAAAGCAAAATAAAAACAGAATGCAAGATCTTCTTTCATTTTCCGCAATCATTACGGCCTCCAGGTCATCTATAGTCGTTCACCAGCATCCGTCAGTGATTTCGAGGAAATCTCCCGGCCCAAGAACTAGATCGTGTTCAGCCGGGCCTGCTTGGCGGTCGTATATGGTGAAGAAAGGGACAATAATTGTGGGCCCCACCACAACACCGGTTTCATGAACAATGACCTCGTGGGTCATGGCTGCAGCGGCATTGGTTCCAGGAGGGGGCAGGGACCAATCCCCAAAGCTGAAAGATAACTCGGCGTTTCTGGATTGCGATAAGCAACACCATTCGGACATCGCCACTTGATTTGTGCAGCCACCATCTCGCATCTTGCTGTATACGGAGAAGAGACTCGCTATAGCCGGTCTCGATCACAAAAGTTGGCCAACCATCACGCATTCTCGGGAGACCACGATGAGAAGGGGTACAAAAGCTTGGTCTGGTTGCTTGCCACTGTTGGTTGACGTATAAGAAGTTGTTCCGACCCATCGGCGATTAGAAGGTCGGATGATATCCATCTGAATTAGCTGGGTGTCCATGATTGATTTGGAGCGTTCGGTGGAGACTTCATGGGTATTGCATGGGACAATTTTGATTACTCCAACTGAGCCTTCCCACTCAAAACGAAAATTGGCTCCAAAAAGGTGTCTGTGGGATTCGTCTAGCTGGTGTATGATTCTCGGGTTCAATCCCAGTAAGACCAGAAATTGGTTTGCATCTTCCTGGTCTTCGAGATTTTTAGAGATGTCAACATCTTGAGACACCTGCTTGAGGGTAGAAAATGTTCGGATCACGTAGTTTGAAGGCAGATCATGTAAGAGACTGCAACTCGAGGAGCTGGCAGATGAAAGATTGGCCTGTGCCATTATTGGCTGGGCAGTTTCGTCGGGTTCGTAAAATAGACTAGCTAGAACATGTTGAAGGAGAAAGTAAAACAGAAAAGAAAGAGAAAGAAAAGGGGCTAACAACTAGAACTTACCTAAGGATCTAATGAATGATTTGGGGAAAGAATAAAATACTTTAAGGAAGGAGCATTGTAGTATGTAGATGTAAATATGAACTAAGACAAATTGAGATCCTATGTGTATAAGCTAGACCTGTCTTAGTTTAGCTTGTTATCAGTCTTCTTCCGGGCATACAATATCATTCGTTGAATCAGTACCACCCTTTTATTTCTCAGTTGACAGGGCCACCTGAATCCCTGATCACCTGACCCACCCCTGCCCATGCTTCAGAATCAAGAGTTTTCATGATCATCTTTTCTTCTTTATTTGTAACTGTAATTGGAGAATCGGCTCAATAGACACCAGGCCTCTTGTCCGTTCGCTTTACTCTAAAGCCCTCGGAAAGCTCTCTGAATAGTATCGGCGGACTTACGAGCAGCCCTCTCCCCAAACATCTCGTTTATCACAGCGTCATCTCTTGCGAGGCTCAAAATCCAGATGTTTGGATGCAATATTGGTTTTCTAGTTTTGGTATAACTTCAAGTCAATCAATCAATCATATATCAAAAATTACTGTTGGTAAGCTAATCCAGGGTATTTAAAGTGCTCTGACAACTATTGGAATAGACAGCTCCAACTCAAGTTGAAATAATACCCAGGCATTTTTGAGCCTGGACCATTGACCAGTATAGCCCCTTGAAAAGCAAAAGCTCTCTGTGTGTACCATGTTCTACCACTTGTCCATCTTTGAGAAAAAAAATACAATCTGCATGTTGAATGGTAGACAAACGATGCGCTACCGTAATGACGGTTTTCCCTTGGCTGGTTTTTTTCCAGTGCTTGTTGAATCAGCCGCTCACTCTCACCATCCAGTGCACTGGTAGCCTCGTCTAAAAGCAGTATAGGGGTATTCTGTGCGATAGCGCGTGCGATGGCGATACGCTGCTTTTGTCCCCCAGATACAGCAGTCCCACCTGATCCAACATAAGTTTTTGCTCCATCGGGTAGCGAACTCACCATGTCGGACAGCTGGGCTTGGCTGATCACATTTTCGAGCTCGCTCTGAGACAAGGCGGTCGGTATTCCCAGGTTGATGTTTTCTTCAATTGTGCCTTGATAGAGGACTGGCTCTTGGCTAACCAAGGAAATAAGATTGGTTACTTCTGCTGGAACCAAATCCTGGATTGGAATACCACCAATGCGAGTCTCCCCGGATGTCGCACTGTAGAAATTCTCAAGCAGTTGGATGACTGTGGACTTTCCACACCCCGAAGGTCCTACGATTGCAATAGATTGACCAGCATATATATACTCATGTTGAAGTTCTTGAGAATCATATGATCTGGACGAGTGGCATAGCCGAAGCTGACATCACGGAATTCGATCAAGGGGTTGGTGGCATCCCAGTTACCAGGGAACAACACTTTTTGGGTGGCTTTTGTTTGCGGTACTTGTCTCCTCATATCTGATATAGCACGAGCTGAGTTGATTCCTTTGGAGATATCTGAATAACAATTCGTTAGTACGATCTAAAAGGAGTAATCCAATCACATACCGGAGCTGTGGGCAAAAAATTGGCCCATTGACTGGGAGCCAAAAACAATAGAGATAAATACAATAAAAAACTGGGTAGTGGTATATTCTTGAAAAGACGGGAGGCGACCCCTATACCTGCAAGGCCTAATTAGATGAGTTGTAAATGAAAACAGTGTGAAGAAAACATACCAGAATGCCAGTGCCATGCATAACATATCGATCGCATCACTTAGGGCAAACCACACCATAGTTCGTACTGAATATCGAATTGCTTGTTGACAATGATCATTCAATAGTCTCCCGAACTGAGCTTCCACAACGGGCTCCATGTTAAGCGAAGAGACGGTTCTGATGGCTTGGATACACTCAGCAGCAAAACTAACGCTATCGGTAAACATAGTCTGTGCCACCTTCTCAAGATTATTGTCCATCTTCTCGTGCACTATACCTGCACTGAAGATAAATGGCGACCCACCGAAAATCACAACTAATCCTAGCTTCCAGCCCGTGGCAAGAGCCAGAACTATAACACTTAGAAGCGCAACACCAACTGTCATCAAAACAGCGATATTAATTCCAACAAGAGACTTGATAGCATCTGGGTTTGTGGAAAGCCGAGACAAAAGGCCCCCAGATGAATTCGCGGTGAGGTCGAAGAAACCTATCGGCTGTGAGATGATGCTTTCAAACTAATCGTAGCGATAACGCTGGGAAATGATCTGGATATTCAATTAACGTGAAAATTCTCTCTCGGAATGAAAAATTTCTCACCTCGCCCAACCAGGTCCCAGCCCAACCAATCCCGAGGTATCCAATGCCAACGATGACAGCGAGTGTGAACCACATCAACGCCCAGAAGTTGCCTTGAGAGACTAAGCTCGACCCTGTTAGCTGGAATGTATGGATAACTTCGGCATACAAAAATGCTTGCACAGGAAATAAAGCGCCTGTTTGCGGTTAGCCTCATGACTGGTTTCCCTTTTCCAAAGCTTTATCTTACCACCAATCCCTGCTGTTGGAACGAATATCAGCTGACATACCAAGATCATGTGATCTTGGCATGGCAGCTACTATATCTTCCTTCATCTGAGCATTTTAGAATGACACTTTACTTTTACCTAATATGCATACACCTATTATATACGTACAGAAACGATATCAATAGCTGTCTGCTTCGGTAATAACCTAGTCAACCGGCACTGATCAGTAGACGTATAGATCAGGAAATACGCATCTACGAAGCTCGAGCGCGTTGAACAGTCTTCAAAAGCTGTTTTTCCAGATTCGCTAAGTTCTTGCCATATCTCAGTCGAAGGAGAAGATCGTGACAATTGGAGGCTTGAACGATCGCCGACAATTGCACCATCTTGCTAAGAACCTACTTCATAGAAGCCCGAAGGTCTATGAAGAACGTCCAAAAACACAGAAAAACACCACATTTCCCACATTTTCCCACATTTTTCTTCTATTTCCATCAGTTCTCAAAAATACCCTCATTTCTGCACCCTTTTTACTCCTGCATATCCTGAAATAAAGGCTACTCCTAAAACAACCACCAAAAACCCAATAAGTGATCTATCTCATAGATCACCGTATCATCCCTATATTAAGGAACACACTGCTACAACCACCCCACTCATTCGCTGTATCACTTTCCATACTACCCGGCCGGCTTACCTGCCGTCTATTACACCATTGCTATTTTCCCTACTGTTTACTATCATTATACCATCATCACCTTCATTAAGCTGCCATAAAAACGGATCAACCATGTCTATCCCATTTTCCGCCGCCGATTCAATTCAACCAGTCGATGACGATGACGGTGACTAGGAAATTGATTTATCAATAGCTATAAAACAAGAGATGAATGACTATGTTGAGAAAAACATGATTTTCAACAACCAGATACTGGATTACAACCTCTGGATCCTATACTGCGAGTTATTCGAAAAATGGGAACCTGAGTACTTTAAATAAGTGACCCCATCAAGACGATCAGCATTATAGGCGAACCTACTTCAACACGGAGTATTCGTCCCCCGCCCTGATCGCAAAATGCTAATATACGCCCTTCTATCTATAGTAGCTCAGCAAGAAGAGTTTCACCTATGGATAGATAGCGATATAGAAGACTTCTTTGAAGAATTCTCTCTTCCAATGGTTACTACGAAACTCAGAAAACGCCTTAACCCGACCTACAACGGATTGAAACAACCTTCTTAAGGAAAACCCCCCTCCTAAAGGGACCAGCCAATTGATCCAAAGATCAACTCCTCCGCCCCCAGAAGCAACCAATCCGATCTAGGAAATAACGAATTCTTGCCACAGAGCATCCTAGGCATTCCTAATCAGTTTTCTCCAGAGACTAGTCCGTTTATCTTTGAAACCAAGAAGTTAAAGACTGATTTTACCAAGGAGATCAACTCTATGTCAAAGATTTACACTAAGAAACAGAGATATAGTAGGATAGATAATAGCAGCTTTGATTGGAAGCTTAAAATCTTTTACACCATTTATAAAAAAGTTGGGATAACACTAGACGGATATAACGCAGCACTGCTAACGATGCTTACTAGAATTACTGAAGATCATTACTATAGTAGTGATTTACCTTCGCGAACATTCCAAGAAGCGTGTAACCACCTACGCTAATTCTTTGAAGGTCCCGAATTCTACCGCCAAAACTTGATTAAATGGAACGACATCATACTATAAAGAGTGATAAACGACAACTCTAACAGCCTAAACTCAATCTATCAGAATTTCTAATCCATGCTTAGTGACCTCCTTAGAAAGCGATATGGTCTTCACCCAGAACTTAGGAGCAATATGAACCTTATCAATAAGCTTATTATAGCCTATAGAGGAGTCCTAGCGTGTAGTAACGCACTTTCTGATCTACCAGAAGACCTCGCGGTATTGATTAATAAACTATAGTCATTAATCACCACCTAGGAGAAAGAAAACCCCGAGAGGTAAGCAGCATTCGCCTCAGAAGAAACATTCTACACCAATAGACAATACCATAGAGACGGCAATCAAGGAAGAGGACTCACCAGGAATCAGACCAAAAGAAACCTATAGGGAAAATGCTATGTCTGCCAAAAACCATCATGTCGATCTTGGAGACATACTGAAGAAGAACAAAAGCAATCAAAACAAAATTTCCTTCAAGGATTCAACCAGAATAAGGAGAAAAACGGCGATTTCAACAGGAGATATAGGTAATATATGCTCTATTACGAAGGAAATGATAAAACCGAACAAGTTGAAGCTTTCGAAGCTCTCTTGGCTGACGCTCAAATAATTAGCCTCTAGACCAACGAAACAGACCCTAATAAAGACGAATATGATCCAATCGACAGCTTCTTTACTTCATTTAGCTAAATTAATGCTGAACAGGGTATGGAAATAAGCTTAGAGCTCTCTAATAAAGCATTCTTGCACTAGTTGTCAGAGAAACCATCGCCTATATAAGGAGACACTCCGCTATAAGATATTGACCTATTTAGCTACACTACCACGCCTACTAGCCGATACAATTCCTAAATATTTATAGGAATCATGATCGATACCGGCGCCTTAAGAAAATCTATAGCCGGAGTTGGTCAGTTCTAAGCGCTTCAGAGGATTAAGAACGTCAAATTGGATCCCTCTATAGCTGGCGAAGTTAATGTCTAATTCGGAATTAGAACAACCTCTTTAATCGGATCAGCAAAAATCCCTACTCCTATTGGCAACATTCAATTCTATATTGTTAATACAGACACTCTATTCCTGTTATGCCTAGCGGATATGGATAACCTTGGAGTATACTACAACAACCTTAGGAACGTAGTCATCACTTCAAAACCAGGCAAACAAAATGAAATACCTATTATTCGCCGATTTGGACACCCCTTCATGCTATAGGACGCACCCCTCTCCTTATACCTTAGCACATTGTTTAGCATAAACCCTTGCTTCCTGACCGATACTAAGCTTAGACGACTACACCATCGCTTTAGCCATCCATTAGTCAGCCGACTCCAAAAGTTGCTCCAGAACATAGGCCATGAAACAAACACCATGGCACTGGAACACCTCACCAAATTTTGTCAATTCTGCCAGAAGTTTGGAAAATCGCTAGGAAGATTCCGCTTCACCCTAAAGGACCTAGATGACATAAGATTCAACTTCAATATTATAGTCGATATTATATATATCGTAAACATGCCCCTCCTTCATATTGTTAACAAAGCAACACGCTTTCAATCAGGCCGATGGCTAGACGACATTAGTGCTAAAAACACCTAGGATAAACTACGATCATGCTAGATCGACATATATTTAGGCCCTCTAGACTAGATCACCCACGACGCCGGAAAGAACTTCATCAGTAAGGAATTCAAGACTTATGCAAAAGCCATAGGCATAAACACAAGAAGTGTGCCTATTGAAGCGCACAACTTAATCGGTATAGTTGAACGATACCACGGCCCCCTATGCCGCGCCTACCAGATTATCATTGCTGAAATTCCTGGAATCGACCGAGAAATAGCCCTCTAAATGGCCTTCAAAGCAATTAACAACACAGCTGGACCAGGAGGTTTAGTCCCTACACTACTTGTTTTTGGCGCATACCCCCGAATGATTGACTTGGATTCCCCTTCACCATTAATCACACAGCGTGCTATAGTAGTCAGAAAGGCGATGGCCGAGATATAGAAGCTCCTAGCAGAACGCTAAATCGCTGATGCATTAAACATAAGAAACGGCCTAAACATAACCGTAATCTATGATTTGCCACTGAATTCACTAGTTCTTGTCTAGAGAGAAGGAAACATAGGAAAAACAGGCAATTGGACTAGGCTATATATACTACTATCGATTAAAGACGAAAACTGTATAGTCAAACTGCTAAGTGGACCAACAGCATTTCAATCGATAGTGGTCAAACCATTTTACATAGAATCGCCGACTCTAAACCCAGAACCATAGGGAATAGACGAAATCGACCTAATGGCACCAGAAGCCAAAACTAAAACCCTCTCTAAACACGCTGGATCACAGCCAGAACCTAGACGCTCTGGCCGAACATAGGTAGATAATCAAGAACAAGAACTTGCCCCTACTCCCTCGCAGCCCACGTAGCCATAGAAGTATGGCCTAGGCCGTCCACGTAAGCACCCGATACCTGTAACTACCCCTGTCCCTAAAGAAGCGCAAAAACGTGGCCTAGGTCGCCCGCGTAAACACTTTCCGCCCATAACTATCTTTTTGTAAGAGGAGAGCAGCACTAATACTCAGTTCCGAGATTCAAGACAAAAAGAAATCAATAGGTTACTTGAAAAGGGAGTCTTTGAGCTTGTCACAGAAGCCCCACCCGGTGTGCGACTATTTAACTCAAGATTCGTTGACGATATCAAGAATAAAGGCACAGAGCGGGCTTTCGAAAAATCAAGACTAGTCATTCAAGCATATAACGACCAAGAGAAAGACCTGGTTTTAACTCAATCGCTAACGATTCAACGTGTCAATCAGAGACTAATCCTTTGCATCGCTGCAAGTCGCTAAGGCATTGCCGCTGAATCCAAGCTATTCCTCCGCGATATCTCCTAGGCGTACATCTAGTTAAAGACCATACTAAACCGTGAATTTTACACACGCCCGCCGAAGGAACTGATAGGCCACCTCGGGAAAAACATACTTCTGAAGGTCATCAAGCTACTCTATGGCATCCCCGAAGCAGGAAACCACTAGTTCAGGACATATCACTCCTACCATTTGATAAACCTGAAAATGAACCAGTCGACATTTGACCTATGCCTTCTATATATAATAGATTCGAAAGGATTCGGTATCGTCGGACTTTAAACAGATAATACTCTTATCCTTGTAGATAACGAATTTGCAGAAGCAGAAAAACAGGAGCTATAAAAGGCAAACTTCGCGGTAAAAGAGCGCGAGCAACTAACCATTAAAAATCCACTGAAATTCAATGGTGGAGTCATCGAATTAGTAACAGATGGAAGCATCACCCTTAAGCAGAAGGGCCAATGCGATAAGATCTCCCTTGCCAACACCAAAGATGAATATATTGCCGAACGCGCGAGAGGCGCCTATATAGCTTTAGTATGTTAACCTAAAGCTGCTTTCGACTTGGTATTCGCTGCTCAAGCGACTGACTTAAGCAAAGACGATTATAGGTTATTGAACAAACGACTACATTGGCAAAAAGAGAATTCCACTAGAGGACTTAGCTTTATCAACCTAGACTTAGACTCCCTGTAGCTAGTGGTCTTCATAGACGCATCATTTGCGAACAATAAAGACCTCTCATCCCAGATCGGCTATGTCATCGCGCTAGCCGATAAGAGAGACGCTCCAAAAGACAATGACACCACGGTAAACACCAATACCATCTACTAGAGCTCGACCAAATATAAACAAGTCACCCGTAGCGTCCTAGCATCAGAGCTATACACTATGGCTTATGGCTTAGACATCGCTTTCGCAATAAAGTCGACTCTAGACCAAATGCTACAGGCCAATATCCCAATAGTTCTCTGCACTAACTCAAAGTCGCTATATGACTGTCTTGTGAGACTGAACTCCACACAAGAGAAACGACTGATGATCGACGTGATATGCCTTAGACAAGCATACAAACGTCGCCAGATCACTGAGATCAAATGGATCGATGGGAACTCGAATCCTGCAGACGCGATGACCAAGGACAAACCCTGCGACGCGTTAAAGCAATTGATTGACACCAACCGCATTAATTTACAAGCTATCGGTTGGGTTGAACGTTCTGACTGAGCGGGACAGAGAGACTTTGTTTTCAAAAGCAGAAGACTGGATTTTGTGACTGCTGTACGAGTTTGTGTTTCTTTCTTGACTTTCGTGCTCTGACCGCGTTTTTCATCCCTTCTTTAAGTTTGCCCAGTGTTGGAACGAATATCAGCTGACATACCAAGATCATGTGATCTTGGCATGGCAGCTACTATATCTTCCTTCATCTGAGCATTTTAGAATGACACTTCACTTTTACCCAATATGCATACACCTATTATATACGTACAGAAACGATATCAATAGCTGTCTGCTTCGGTAATAACCTAGTCAACCGACACCTGCTGATAAAATCAAAATGAAAAATACCCACCAGTACATTCTCTGTGAGGACAAAATACCCAGAATCAAACTGACCGCGCTAATCTTAGATAGTTTCATGTTGGTTTCTGGATCGGGGATTCTGAAATTCTCATCTTCGGTCGCTTGATGTTGATAGACATGCTCAAAACTCTTGGGTTCTTCTATAGTTTCGGCTTTTTCGTTCTGGATAATAGCTTGAGAATCCCACAGCTGCTTGTAGATACGATCACTGTGCATTAGATCTGCGTGCGTGCCACTTTCTATGACAGTACCTTTTTTCATGACAATGATTTGGTCCGCGGACTCAATTGTAGTCAAACGATAGGCGATACATATGGTAGTTCGATGTTTCCGCGCATTTTCTAATCCTTGTTGTATGAGATATTCCGATTCGACATCCAATGCGCTGGTCGCTTCGTCTAAAATCAATATAGGTGGGTTTTTGACGATAGCACGGGCGATGGCAAGTCTTTGCTTCTGTCCACCGGAAAGAAGGGAGCCCCGATTTCCAAGGTGAGTATTGTATCCCTATCTTCAGTAAGAAAATCGAGCTGCACCAGGTGAATTTTAAAATAGATACCTTTGGAAGCCCCATTATAAATTCATGTGCGTTTGATATCTTACAAGCCTCAATAACAAGTTCCCTTTTCTTCGTTTCGAGCAGATCATTCATTGAAGTCCTGATCAGTCCATAGGAGATATTCTCAAAGACTGTTCCACTGAATAGATAAGGTTCCTAGTATTATGTCAGATATTTGAATTATACAGCTTTTAATGAGGGATGTACCTGTTGTACTAGGCCGATATTTGCCCTGAGAATTTCCAGTGGCAGATCATTCATGTTATGTTCCGTGAGGCTGATTGATCCCTAAGTGATGTCATACCACCTTAAAAGCAGCGCAGCAATGGTCGACTTTCCTGATCCACTGGGTCCCACCAGAGCAGTGGTTTTACCAGCAAGAATATGTAGTGAAAGATTTTCAGGCACCTTCACACTCTGCCGAGTGGGATACTCGAAGCTCACCTTTTTGAATTGAATATCTTGGTGGAAAATTTCTGAGGCCTCTTCACTATGGTCAACAGCCCTCTCCTGACAGTTATCCGATGCCAAATCGATCACTTTGAACAGCTGGACACCTGCAGAGCGGATTCTCAAGAATGCCCCGAGATAGCCTGCTAGCTCAGAAAACGAATTTATAACGATCATGATCGAAAAAAGTGTCGTGATCACGACACCTGAGCTGATGACTTTGTGGCCAGCATAGAGCCTCATACCGTACCAGAAGGCAAGAGCGTATGCTGCATAGATGGCAAGCATGTAGATCCCAGCCTGGGCCCCCTTGAATGGTGCTCGGCTGCACCCAATATCGACTGCTTTCTCAAGGAGCAATTTGTACTTTCGAGATATCTTATTCGCTGCATTCAAGGCCCTGACTGTTCGCATAGATCCCAGCACTTCTCCCGCAAGTGTTGCCGCTTCAGCATTGACTATATTCGCTTCTTGTTCTTTGTTCTCGTCATATGCACTCGTAATACCAATCAAAATAACGGCTGCCGGAATGATAGTGGCAGTGACTAGGCCCAGCCTCCATTCTGAATGAAGCGCCACCACAAATCCGGAGACCACAGTCGACGCACTTTTCAGAGAAAGTCCGAATTTCTCTGCCAGGCCCGACCGAATTGTGTTGGCGTGGTTAGAAAGGGCGAGTGTCACAGAGCCGGAGCTGAAAGTAGTTTCATGAAATTCGATTCGCTTATGAAGAATCACGTGGAGGTAGCGCTTGCGGAGTGTCGGATTGACGTTTGTAGCAACGATCGTAAACAGCACCATATATATGTATGTAGTGACAGCTTTCGCCACGAATAAGTATATGAAATAGAGCCTGAATAAATTAGCTTCTACTACCTAGGTAGATAAGGATGGAGGACATGTGTATATCACGAACGTGTAATGGTTTACTTTGGCGCGAAAGACATGATCTTCTATGTCACCAAGGGCGAATGCCGTGAATACAGAAACAAAATTTCCAAAATAAGAGTCATCAATGGGAGGACAGTTCCTGATCCGATAGAGCATATGATGCCAATTGCATAAAGTCCCCTCTCCAATATTGTCGCAATGTTTATTATTCTCTGCATCATGATGATATAAGCGAGACTTTCAGGTACTAGGGTCACTATGAGCTCTTACCCAGTAGATGGAGAGAATTCCAAGCGGCTCAGAGTCTTTTGAGCTGGTTGCTGATGATGCACAGTCTGACTCTGACATATCGATTGAACATCCATTGAGGGAATCGGACATCATTTGGTTTGTTGTCTTGGCAGGTTTTCGGCTGCAATTATGGGATTAAGCGAGCAAAACAAGTTCTTTTGGTCTATGGTGACTAGGTATTTGGGCCAGCATCCTTATATGATCAATACAGCAAAGGGCAGTTTGTATAGTCCGAAGCCCACCAATCAGTGGCTGGATCAAGGCCCATAGTGGGCTCTCAGCAGACCAATCAAACCCGTTGGTGGCGGAAATCCGGAATCCGAGCATGGGCCCCCTCATGCCAGTTCCTTCTTTGTTCCATGAGCTCCATACTCACACAATGTCAAGCCCCGTTGGAATCGAGTTGCCTCTGGCCAAGTTTGCAGTGCGTATCATGTGATTTCAATTGGCGTCCAACTAACTCTTTCAGTGCGACCACTGTAGGAGAAGGAAGCTCAAATGTTCTCGCAAGCTTACCAAATGCGATAATTGCATGCAGTGGACTTCTGGATGTAGTTACTCCCATGCCCCAAAGAAGCGGTAATTGGATACAAGTGCTCGTGCTTGAGGACCAGGCTAACGTCTTGCCTCAGAATGACCACGTCGTCCAAACAGGACGCCGCAGCTGAGCGTGTGGAGGATCGCTTGGATCGGATTGAAAACACCCTCGCCCAGTTGACAGCCGCTGTAGGAACTCTCACTCAACTGTTCCAGACCCATCTCGGATCTGAGACTTCTCAGCCGGAACCAGTGCAGAGGGCGTCCGCTGAACCTTCGCAAAGAGATTACGCTGTGGCTCTTGATCCATCCCATGTATTCTCTTCATTTCCGGACACCCCTGCAGATCTCCAATCGATCCAGTCGCAAATCAAGATTCCAAATCAACTTGATGGCTCGGCAAGTCTGCAGGATCTGACTGATGCCCTTGCTTCGGTTCGCCTTCCTACTGACCGAGTAAGAGAAGATGCTAGAAAAGCCGGGAGAACTGCAAATCTTTTCTACATTCCAACACAGGAGGAAGGCCAAAAATTAAAAGACGGTAATACTGCCCGAAAACTTTTTGTTGAGCCGTAAATTTGACAAATGCACAGTGTTCATGATGGTTGTTGAGAAAGGCCACCCGTTACATCTACCACCGCCTCGCGAACTCCTCTCCAAAATAATATATGAGCCATCTGCGGTCACTGAAAGGGGATGGATTGTCTTGTTCAACTTTTTGTCCCTCGTTGCTACTACGGGACAGGATCCACTCTCGAAAGCCATGAGTGCAAGATTACGCTGGAACACTTGGCTGGCCCTGGATGACTCCAGTCTTTTTCTAGAACCGCTTCAAATAAACATTCTAGCATTGTTGACTATTGCTTCGCATGGCGAGGATTTTACTACTCCAAACATGTCATGGCTTTTGGTTGGTCATGCGTGTCGGCTGGCTCAGGCTGCTAATATCCGACCTCCTACGTTACCAGATAATGATCTCAAAAAGCAACAGTTGTTCCTTTTCTGGAGTCTGTTTGTTACTGATAAATCGGTGGCATTGGCGTTTGGCCGACCACCAGCATTGTCCTCTACATATTATCAGAGCCTTTCTTTACCTGATGCAATCTACTTTACAGACTTCGCTCCACATATTCTACTGCGCACAAGATCTAACGTTTCTATTGAGAGTCGCTTTGGTGCGAATTTCTTTGTCCGAGCAATCGCTTTGGCTCATGTGAGAGCAAATATTTCCGATTTCCTTGGGGGTCGAGGAGTTCTCAGCCCGATAGCGACTGTTCAAAAAAGCTTTACGTTAGAAAAAGACCTTTCAGATTGGTATCATGATACAAAAACGGTATGGACGCCGAATTGCTAGCAATGTACCTCAGAAGTTAACTGCATTATCCCTCAGCTCCTCGTCTCTTCCCGACAAGACGACATACCAAATACAAACGAAGCTGAACAGATGGAAATGCACATAGCCATCGAGTCAATGACCTTCCAGTATCACCACCTGCGCGTTTTGCTTACTCGACAAGATGAAAAAAGTGTCGGCATTTGCCTACAATCAGCCCGAGAGGCTATATTGACTTTGGATAACCTGGTCTCCTCATCATCCCGCGTATACAATGGCATAATATGGTATGTTAGTTTCGAAGATACTATATGCAGGATTAACTCTCTCAGGCAACTACTATACTTTCCATTTACGCCTTTCTTCGCTATATTCCGGCATATTATTCGCGCTCCAATGGCAGCGACTGCTGCGAGTGATCTTCAGTTGCTTCAGTCTACAGTATCATACTATTCCCGCATGACATCCCAAGGGATAATGGCGAGCAAGTTAGAAAAAATAGCTCATGTGTTTGCCTGTCTTGCGGGGCTTTATATGCAGGATGCGTTTCAGAATGCTATTATAGACACCAAAGCTCCAGGCCCAAGCAATTCAAGCATGACAGAAGTTGCAGGATTTAATGTTGCATTTCAACCAGCATCACCTCTTCCATTTGGAGAAGAGAGCTTTCTCACTGACATCTCGATGGATGATATCTTGGATTGGTTTTCGCAGGACAATAACTTCGAAGATTTGAGTAGGGGTGAAGATTTTGGCCCGGTCGCCTCGTCAAATATTCTCGGTTCGATTTCAAGTAGGACTCGCAAACGGCCTCTTGACTGCGACTTTGACTGGATTTCTTGGGACCTTAGTCATAACTGTTGAGCGTAGCGAAACAATTATTTCATATATCATGGGTATTTCTCTAATCGCCTTTCAATATTTCGTTAGCCTATAGGTGACATAGAAGCATACTAAACACATATAACAAGTCTATAGTGTGTAGTAAAAATGATAACATACTATAGATATATTATATCCACTGCAGTGGCCCTCGGAGGGCTGACTGAGCGTAATTAGCGCTCAACATCAGTGTTTTGCTTTACGCTAGTATTATCTTATTCCAGTATCGTAATACTGGTATGTAATTTAGCTTTCAGTCTCTAGTGAACTGATAAGAAACATTGCAATGGAGTCATGCATTTTTTCTCGAGCCTGTAGTCCATGTGACCCTTGTGGTGCGCCTTTGTCAAAACCATGACCAACTCCCTCTAAGGTACAAAGCATTACCCTGCGAGTTCCATCATCCAATTTCTTAGCGAAGGCGGCTGCTTCGGGGTGAAAGTTATCTCCATCGCAGGTGATGACAGCTACGTTGGAAGGAAAGAACTCAGGGTCTATGTACGCAGGAGAAACTCGAGGATCAGTGCGAGAGCCACGGTCAGGGACATAACAGTCCCAGAAAAAGCTCTGCATCGCAGGCGGTATCGGGTCCACAGGACAAGGTGCGATCCTTGCTTCGCTAGGAAGAGATAGATCTATCGATGGATATACTGCTACCACAGCGCGGACAGAGAGTTTCGGTGAAGTTTCGTGGGCTGCATCGTCACCTTTCGTCTTTTTTTGGGCGTTGGCCATGCCAACCAGTGCCGCCGCTTCGAGTGCTAGATTTCCCCCTGCACTGAAGCCCGAGACCATCAGGCGCCCAATATGAAAACGCTCGTGGTTGAGAGCTAACCACGACATGACATCCTCCATGTCATGGTATGCTGCAGGAAACGGATTCTCTGGTGCTTTGCGATAGTCCACATCGAGTATAAAAATATTCGTTGAGTGAGAAATGAAGGTGAAAAATGCCCTGTCTGTTCCAAGAGAAGGTACCACGAATCCACTTGAATGCCAGTTGATAAGAAGAGGGACTTTTGATAATTTATCAAATGGTATTTCAGGGTATTGTGAAGGCATATACAGAAAGCCTTCAATATGACGATCAGGATCGCGTGATGGAATCTGGATCTGCTGCCTTCGTTCGTCTTGCGGCTTCGGGATATCCTGCAGAGTTTGTCGGGAGAGAATGGGTGCCATACAATATCGCAAAAGTGTGGCGAGTGCTTTCAGTTTCAGATATTTGAAGCCTCCAATCTTCGTCTTCTGCTCCATTTTTGCAAGAATGAATCTGCTGAATGGAAGAGGTAGATCTTGAGCTGTGTTGATATTGTATATGAGCTCGTGGATCAATAACTTCAATACTTAATAGACGGAGTTCATTCGATATTTATGTATGACAATGGTGACCAAGGGTAGAACATGGAGTCCAGCCTCCACCAATCAGAACGCTGTGGCACGGAGATGCACCAAATATTAATTCCGTTTATTTTACTATACAAGATACCAGGTTACCGAGGGAGATATGATTGTATTTTTGAAAGATATGTTTTGCTGCATCGAATATCTGAAGGACTCTTTGATTCACATTTTCAAGACAACCCATTTTTCATCAGCTATACCAATGAGGAAGCCCATAAAAATGATGCAAGGAAATGGAAAGCAGAAGTTTCGAATGTCCTGGATATCATCAGGAATACCTATTGAAGCTGCAATTTGACGGGGATTGATTTTCCAGATTTTTGGTGCGCAATTCAAGATTCAACAAAGATATGCACAGAGATATGGTACAAGTCATTTTCGGGAAGAGTCACAAGAGGAAGAAGGATATTTGAGCCAGGAGACGTTCACCTGAAGCGATAATCAAACCGCCACAATTACTGTCTATTTCAGATCCAACCAATAATGCACTCCGCAACAGCTTCTCCTTCGATAAAGTCTTCCAGCCATTCCTCTTTCACACCAGTTACCATGTTGATATTTGAGTGAAACCACAATATGTCTGAACTTTTTTCCTCGGATTTTATAGCAAACACAACACGTATGCGACCGATTCTGCGAAGTAAAATTCCATGAGTATGCATAAGAAACTGTGACCATATACCGTTGACTTCCTGGCGATGGAAACAATCTGCTAGAATAATCGTATGATCGCTTATTCTGCAAATCTTCAGCCCATTTCCTTCGTCTTTTAGGCTTCTACCAATTGCCGGTATTCGGCATCGACCTGGGCCATTTGACCCTTGCAAGCAACCACCCTCATATCCAGGGAAGTCTTTAAAAGCATGACGCTTAAACGTTGAAATGTTTGAAATGCCACCACAGCGTGACGATGGACGTATGGCAGATGCGATATGGAAAATTTTTGATGTGACTAGAGATGTCAGCAAAGGGTCTTTATCCTGAAACTTAAACGTTGAAAGTGTTCAATATTTCTGTATATAGATATGTTTACCGTAATTAGAACCCGCTCACTCTGTATCAAGTTTTTCATCATTCCTACTTGCGTATCTGGACTAGATGCAGCCAACTTTGCTTTCATGAACACGAGTTCAAGGACTGCAACACTTCTAAATGTTATATAATCACGCAACCTCAGAATTGACTCTCCTCGCAATACGGTTGCGATGTAAATGAGTGTGAAAAAATTGACAAATGGTGTGTCAGACCAAATAAAGCGACCTGCACGACGTAATGCCATAATTGGCAAAGTTACGTGTAGTTCACCAACTGAAAGTGATGCCAAGAAACACAGAAAGAAGGTACCCGCGACGAACATGTTGAGGACTAAATCCTGCAGCAATAGATTCATTGCGACGCTTGCCGACAATGACATTGTTAAGAGCATCAATCCGGTATTGGTGAAGTATAATTCTGCTTGTGCTCCATCGGTATCGAGAGATAGTATAGAAGTATATGCATCGATGACAAATGTACCGCGGATCCGTTGTGTCAAATTGGTGTCGTAATCGGTAGCAATAGTATAATAAAGACGATAGACAAGCGTGGCCACATTTATTATTTCTTTGAGGATGATTGTGAGGCAACTATGTAAAAGAAGTGCCGAGGAAAAATTGATGTTTTCGTTCCATGGAACGGTACTCATCGCGATGCAAGTTGATGTGGCTTCTGACGATAAGAGTGTTCAGAGTAAAATTTGTAGATTTGATTTCTTGTCTAAAAAAGTAAACACTGACAGCCATTATGGGATCAGCACTAAGGAAGCCTTTTTCACATTGATGGGTTGATCGCGAGCTGATGCGTGCTTTTAACATTCCTAGGATTTGATTGGTGGTTATAGTGATAACGGCTGCGCCTGCAGAGCCTTCTAACCGGCCCCTTTCATAAATTGGTAATTTATGAAAGGGGCCGGTTAATAAGCACGGACCCCAACCCTGAGCCCGAATTATCCAGCTGCAGCATAAACCAATCACACTGCAGTATGACTTTGCGAGCCCTTTTACAAGGGGCTATGTTGGACTTGCGATTAATTTGATGGCAGTCGCCTCTTTAGATGCTCATTTTGGCATTGAATGGTTTCCACAAGATTCTTTCATCTTCACTACTGTGGTAGCCCTATACAGTATGAAGGAGAAAGCGGTCTGCAACGGCAGAACCGAGTAATCTAGAAGTTGTGATAGTTACAGAATGAACACCATTACACACCTTTTCACTTTTTGACTCCCTACTCTCACTGAGCTTTCCCTCGTAGTTGTGGTTGGTTTTTTCTAGATGAATTGACCTGCCTGTTCTGACCGTGCTGCCTAGAGCGTTCCCCATTTCACTACGTAGATGCTGAACGATGACCGGCTCATCATATGCCATCTTTACCACGAAATATCCCTATAGAAATATAGTTTTCTTACATTCAGAAATTGAAATAGGTTTCAAGCGTATTGACAAAATGAGGTGAGAATTTCCCTATGGCAGAGTTCTTCCACAGAATTCTGGAGCACTTGGTACTCTGAGGTTCTATGGAGGTGCATAAAGTGCATGTTGAGTTTGCCGCCAGCGCATATGTGCGGGAGATCCCAAAGGGTATCCTGCAGGGCATGGGCAAGATACAAGCCCTTTCTTTAAATCTTCGTAATCGAAGCTCCTAGTATGCGTAATTTTTCCTTCACTCTTCGAGAAGCTTGTCAAATTGTCCTCAAATGGCTTCTCATCCCAAACTGAGTGCAAATTAACCATAAAACATGCTTCTTCGGCATCTTTTTCGTCTTTTATAGTGAGATTTGACAGATTGAGGTCCTCTAACTTTGGCATTCTAGTTGAGAAAAGATAGAGGTCCACGAACCAGAGATCAAAAAACACTCGCACAGTGTGAAAGAGCGGATATCAGGATGCTTCTGGAGAAAGGGTAGAATCGACTTTTCCTTTTCTGAAAATACAGAGAGTGCACATACCTCAAGTAGCGGGAATTTAGTTTCGTAGGCAATACTTTCAAGTATTCGGTCGTACTCCGCAGTGTGGAACGGTCCTCCTTTGAGTGTTTGACGGAAAGATAAATCAATATTCCGAAGAGAAAGCGCAGACTGAAGTAAACATGTTATTCCTGGTGTCCGAGAAGCTAGCATTGCTCGAGGGTCATCGCGTGATAGAAGCCCACGAGGTAAATGTGTGAACTGGAAGGTTTCTGATTTTGCAATCTCAAGTATCTCCCCCGACATACTCAACGCAAGTGATTCCAGGTCATTGTTTAGTATTCTGAGATTGCCTAACTAGATACTTAATGAAGTGATATGACCAGATGGAATACAGCTTTTCGGCGTACTACGATATGCATCGAAGTTCTTCACTGAAACCTTACTTTGCGCCATGGCCGTAACAGCCAAAGAGAATACATGCGAAGCTCCCATCCAGATGGTATGCCAATTACCATGATTAGCTGGCACTCTCTTTGTACATCTCATGATGGGCCTGAGCTGATTTAATAGCTACTTAAAGATGTCATTATTGCGTGAGGTGCGAAAGTTGGGAGGATTTGCGTTGCGATTTGCGACAATGACGATGTTTATCTTGTCTCTTATCGAACATTGCGTATCGCTTATCATAATTTCAATCCAAGCAATTGAATCTCTTGAATCTCTTGAGAATGATTGTAAGTTGACAAGACAATAATTTCTGACTTGGAGTAGTGAACGGTAGATTTATTACGCAGGATAAAGACATCAAATAGTTCAAACACCTAAAATCTGACATGTCTACTCCTTTTTAGACAGAACGCTTGTCGCCCAGCCTTCTCTGGTTTCGATTGATCGCTTCGACACGGCAGCAGTCGGGCAAAATTCGTCGAATGCGTGGAAAGCGCCAGGCCATATATGGAATTCTGTCGGTACACCGACCTGCGCGAGTTTACTGACAAATGTAATACACTCATCACGGAAGGGCTCAGCAGCACCCACATCAACAAATGTGGTAGGGAGTCCCACATAATCGGCAGCTTCGGCAATACCTGGCGAAGCCAGAATATCTACTTTAGCGCCTTCACCCTTTCCATGATCACCAAGATACATCTCCCAGCCTTTCGCGTTGAGTTTACCGGTCCATGATGCTCCAGTGAAGAACTGCTTAACAGAAGTAGTTTCGTTACGATGGTCGAGCATAGGACACATCAATAATTGACCGCAGATCTTAGGGCCGTTCTCGTCGCGAGCTCGTAGAGCTACCGCCAATGCAAAATTAGCACCGGCAGAATGCCCAGCAGTCATCAGTCGAGACCCGTCAATTCCAAGCTCGGTAAGATGCTCTCCCACCCACTTAAAGCCAGTATAACAATCTTCAAAGGGGATTGGATACTGGTGCTCAGGGGTCAGTCGGTATTCGACAGTAATGATTGTAACTCCAAGCTTTTCAATCCAGCGATCAACCAGGGGAATACTGGAGAAGCGGTTTCCCATAAATGTGCCACCACCGTGAATGTAGTAGATAGCTGGAGTCGGCTCGTTTACCTCGGCAGGCTTAAGAACAGAGAGGATAATTTCGCCGCCGGGAACGGGGACAGTGTGCTGTTCATGCTTGATCGATCTTCCAGCGGTAATTGACTCTAATGTGACCTGTGTATAGAACTCTCTCAAGATAGGAATCGTCTCTGGTGTTATTTCTGCGTCGTTCGTTGCAGGAGTGGCAGCCAGAAAAGCAGCCAGTTCATGGTCGATGGCAGGCTTAGGAAAAGTCATTTTGTATGAAATATAATGAGGAAGCGTCCAGATATCCTCGGTTGTATACAACCCATACTTGTGACTCAAGGATACTTATACTACTACCTATGATCCATTGTACACAGTACAGGTAATTTATGGAATAGAAATCCTTCGCGCGATAGAATCAAGAGCTCTTGACCCATAGATACCCACTTGCATTGGATTAATATTTTAATACAAACGTACGAAGTAGTCCGAGGTTGTCGTCCATCATTTCCATATGGCATATGGTGCTGTCATTGTAATTCCCGCATTTAATAGAGATATAGGTTATCAAAATCTGAACCTTAGACTTTTATGACATGGTAATCGATAATTTCAAAATATGGCATGACTGTGCTCATAGTTTCAAGAATTCGCAATAAATAATAGCTTATCGGTATTTGGGTACTCCATATTTAGATAGTAAATATTAGCGTCTTAGAAAATACTCGCAACGGCCACTGAAGGGCCTTTCTGTTTACTGCCGATCTCAACTGTTTCGGGTTAAGTCAGGAGATGGGTCCAGATTACTTTTGAAATTAATTGATAATAGTCGACATTTCAGTTGATCAGGACACATTTCTCTTTCCTTCACTTAGTTCGTTTTGGGTCGTATTTGTGGGGGCAATTGCAACTGCGTATCTCCGGAATTTGGAAAAAAAAAACATCATAAATCAGTACTGGCCCCTTTCATAAATTACCAATTTATTACGGACCCAAGCTAACGCGCACCCAAATGAAAATATTTCAACTCTCCGACCTTCCTTCTATCACTAAATCAGTAACCACTACCAAACGCCATGCCTCTCAATAATAAGGACCACGAAAACCAAATTCTTGAAGCTGTCAGCGCGTTTAGCAGTGAAGTTCACCCTACAATCTCTGCAACTGCGCAAGCTTTTGGCGTTGATTATCAACGCCTTCGAAGACGCGTCTAGGGGGAAACTCGTTATTTGAGGGACCACCAAATGGGTGTAGGCTTGGTGAAGACCAGGAGAATACTCTAACGAACTAGTTTGATAACCGTGATTTAATTGGGATGCCTCCAAAGATTAAGCAAGTTTATACTGCTGCTCAGAATATCTCGCTGGCTCTAAATCCTGATGCGAAGCCTTTAAGCCAAGATTGGGTTACAGGGTTTCTAAAACGAAACCCTGCATATAGAAAGAAACGCCGAAAAGCTCTTGATATTGAACGCCAACAAGCCTTTGATAAATCAACGATTCAAAACTGGTTTAAAATCTATGAAAAGCTGATTGAAGATGCTGGTATTGAAGCCTCTGATATCTATAACTTTGATGAGACTGGATTCCAATTGGGGTTGGAAAAGACTAATAGATCTGTCGCTCGCTTAGCGAGCGTAGCTAGCTAGTCGCCGATAACTGAGAACGGTGCTCGAGTTCTTACTGCAGTAAAGGGGAATTGGAGTTTACTGCAGTAGAAAGGAGTTGGTGAGCTTCAACAAACCACTACTCAACACCGTAGACAAACCACCAAGTGTAGTGGTCTCTACAGTACTGAATATTGTGGTTGTTGTGAAGTCTGCTTTTTCATTGATGAAAGAACTAGCTACTTATAGTATATGGGTGCCCCTCTGCCCTGGACGAATGTCATCATTCGTCCTAGACAGAAGAGACGGTGAAGACGGGACATTACTGTCGCGAATGCGCATCGCTCAAGGGTGTCGTTTGCGATGAATGCGTATCGTTCAAGGATGCCGTGATATACTAATCTAGTTCCAGAGTCACTGTCTTGGCAGAAGCTTTTTCGACCGAAATACTTTCCGTCTGTTGATGACCTTGTTTCTCGGCTGTCGCAACAAGATCATTACGCGAAAGCCCCGGAAAAAGATTATCTCAGGAACGAACACAAATCGAGATTCTACTACTATGGTTAAAGCTATCTCAACTAATGGATTTAGTATTCTACCAATGGTTATCCTTACCGTAAAACAACTTCTCTTACGCTGGTTTGATGATATTAGTCTAGCTATCTCTAAGAATAGCTATATAACTGATTTATTAGCATTTCAATGGATCTAGCACTTCGAGAGATATACGCGATCGTGTACTAAAGGCCCCTAGAGGTAGGACATGTTCATTGGGTTGGGTTGGGTATGGGTTTGAAGTGAAACCCATAGCCCATAAACCCATCTTTTTGCCAAGACTTTTATTTCACGTGATGTTTGTCAGTTAGTACTAGATTGAGGCAAAAATTAGGCACTAAGGCACTAATTACCCTAATTTAGTTTAGGCTGAGGCAAAATTAAGGCATTAAGGCATAAAAAATACCCCCATACCCAACCCAACCCATACCCACGTGGGTTGGGTTGGGTATGGGTATGGGTTTATCTTACCCCTGATGGGTTGGGTATGGGTATGAATTTTGAACCATACCCACACCATGCACATGTCTACCTAGAGGTTATTAATTATTATCATGTGATAACTTTGGATCGCATCTTACTATGGAATTCTTGGAATTTTGCGAAAAGCACAGGATTTAGATATTCTTTATCCCACCATATTTAAGACATCTACTTCAGCCTTTAGATGTTGATGTATTTAATCTCTATAAACATTGGCATTCGGAAGCAACTGAGGACGCAACAGAATCTGGAATAACCAAATTTACTAAAGATGAATTCTTGGCTACACTCTATTCTATTCGACAGAAGACCTTTAAGATATCAACTATTCGATTAGATTTTCGATTATCAGGGATTTGGTCTATTAATTCTGCTTTAGTATATGATGGTCTACCTGATTACAACCAGACTGATCAATCCTCAACACTAAACCAGAGTGATTCGAATGATTCAACTGGCTTAATAAGTTTAGAGGGCTATTTACGGCACGCCAGCGGCGCCATGACCTTTCTCGTAAAGCCTATCGTCGCCCTAGAATTATTACCTCTTCAGAAGTGAAAAGAATGAAGCTACTTAAGCAGAAACTGAGCGATATACAAGCTTTACATAAGTTACGACTGCGCTGGAAAACTGTGATGCAAGAGCTTAAACAGGTGTGTAAGGCGTAGGGAAGAAGACTACGGCGTCAAAGCTAGCTAAAATGGAACTTGAATCATTCGATTTCACCTTTATATCAGTAATAATTTAATATCTCTAAGCAGTTTATGGCTACTGATTTGATAATAGAAGGTCGGAAAGTTGTAATATTTTCATTTGGGTGCGTGACCCGCGTTAGCGCGGGTCCGTAATAAATTGGTAATTTATGAAAGGGGCCGGTTACTTGTAGCGAGCGCTACATCCAATCGGAAGTACTTTGTTTAGCCTGAACGACCATCAAAAGTACCTGTTGCCTTTAATATCTGGACTCGGCATCCCAGAGCTCTTCATCAATTATCGTTTTAGTCTAATACTGTTAAGGTTAGTCAAGCTTTATCAGCCGACACATTCGGAAATAAGAGCCTTCTTTGGTACCTCTGATGAACCTAAATTTTGTCCCTTTTATACTCCAGTGCCTGCTATCATGCCATATTTGGATACATATCTCTTGAACTTAAGCAGCCATCGAGAGCCTCTTCGTAGGGAGCAGTTGGTTAAATTGAAAGAGCCTAGAACCAAAACTGATTGGTGTTTTCCAAAATTGGAATTTGAATCCTTCGCGGGGCTGTGTGGGGGTCAGATGAGGGTTCAGCTACAAAATATTAATTAGTTATGCCGTAAGATATCCATAACTACCTAGATAATACGGCTAGTTCTCATCTTGGCTCAAATTAATTCTATGTCTTTTTGCTCCCTGTTTAACATCCGTGATCGATTGTTGCTTTTAAACTCATCTTAGTGAGTGGATGACCAGTCACCTGTTGTTGACGGTCAGATTTTGACCTAAAAATTTGATTCCCTGAAATGCATACACGACTCCCACTTGAGGGACATAGTCTAGTTCTGTTTGCCTTCAGTATCGTGTCTTTGTCGGCAGCAATTGTCGTGGTTTCATTGAGATGTTTTGTCCGACTATACATCGTTGGAGGGTTTGGTTTGGATGACATGTTGATGCTTATTGCATTGGTATTACCCAGCTTCCAACCCTATCTCGATCTTTTTTCTGACTTAATCGATAGGTTTTATTTATTGGTTTCTCTACAAGCCTTATCTACGGAACTATGACAGGAATTGGCCATCACGAAGTAGATTTCCCATCGGACATGATATACTATAAAGACGCCTTACTGGTGAGCCTTTCGACTTTCTTTTTCTCTCTCTATTCTTATCGGATGTTAAATTAATAACCGTTCTTTGCATAAAGTGTTATTGGCTCGCCGAGAGTTTCTTCGTATGGAGTGCCACATTCGCTAAATTGTCTATCGCCATGGCACTCTTACGAGTAACAGTCATAAAAACGCATCGCTTCATTCTCTGGGCAGTGATTGGACTCATCATTTCTGCTGGCCTCTTGTTTGGCTTCACTCTACTTTTTGAATGTCTTCCTGTCTCCTACTTTTGGTTGCGAGTATTACCGGACTCAGAGGGACACTGCACACCTTTTCAAATTACGCTTAGTCTGGGCTATACGTACTCTGTAATGTCCCTTTTTGCGGATTTGACGCTGGGAATTTTGCCTATCTTCCTAGTTTGGAAACTACATATGAATAATAAGACAAAGTGGGCTGTTGGAGGAATTCTGAGTCTGGGTGCCGTGTAAGTTGTTTCCCTAATTAACTTACTCTGATCTATCAGATTGCTGACTTTTCTTAGGGCGAGTATTGGAGTTATAGCCCGAATGCCATTTTTCCGTCAATATAATAACCCGGATTTCCTATGTTTGTGCAAATTCATTCTCTCTAATATATTGGATATACTAACATGCAATGACCGCAGACGCGCTCTATGAAATTACCATCTGTACAATTATCGAAACTGGGGCCGCAGTCATTGCAGGCAGCCTTATTACCCTTCGTCCTTTGTTCATTTGGGCCCTTGGTGGATCGATAGGATCCAAACATCGACATAGAAGAAACTCACCATCCTACCCCCTCAACAGCATGAGGAACAATAATAGTGCAGACCCGAGTACCTGGCGTCCAGATATTGAAGACGCCAAGAACCTCGTGACAACTGTTACCGCACCACGAAAGCATCGAGTTTTTGCTCATGGAGATGGCGACAGCAGTGAGGAACATTTGAATCCTGTTCCTGCTCGCCCAAATCACGTGAATATCCAAGAGACTATAACAGTCACGGAAGAAACATGAATTACGATTTTCATATGTAGTGTTGGCGGGCCTGGGGCTACAAAAGCTCTAAGGCTCATAGAAATTCTGTAGCGCAAGATTTAATTGATTCTATGGCTTCCAGAAATAGACAATATTGAACAAATACCAAAAGAAACCGAAAAAATAAAGAGGGGTCTCTCAAGTGACTAGCTTACTCCGACGTCGCCTTATATTCGACCAATCAGTTTGTCTTTCGACTACAGCATAATTTCGGTATTCTATATCAATTTTCAGTCTACTCAGGGGTAGTCAGTCGACAGGACATCGGATTTTTAAGTATGACTGGAATATTAGTTCAGTAGATAGAATGTACTGAGCTACGCAATTGTGAACCTTTTCTTGCATGCAGAGAAGACAGGCAGTTCACGTGTAGATAAGATACCGAATGAAATTTCTGTATTACAGCAGTGGATTGGCCGCTGCAGGTCTACCAGAGGCTAGAGGGGTTTTTCAGTGCGCGCCCAGCAAAGGGCATGACACTTTTGTACATAGCCGCGGCTGCAAATATGGTAGATTTGGTAGATACTATGGGGTCTAGCGGTCTAACTGTGGATGTGAGATGTGACAAAAGACAAACAGCGTTGCATTTGGCAGATACAGGATGTATATAAGTAGCTGAAAAGTTACAAGCTAAAGGAGCAGACTGCGAGGCAAAAGGTAGGAGTCAAAGAACGCCTCTAGTTGAAGCAGTAAGTCGTGGGCAAGTAAGTTTTGTTGAGTGGCTGTTACGCCAAGGGGCTTATATTAACAAAAAACGGGGGAAGCAGGAAACGCGCTACAGAGGGCGGCATTGATGGGCCAAGAAAGTCTAGTGCAAATTTTACTTGGAGCTGGAGCAAGAGTCAACGCCCAGGGGGGTTATTTAGGCAATGCACTCCAGGCTGCTGCACGGTGTAGGAGTGTAGAGGTGGCTTAGATGCTGCTAGATGATGATGCCGATGTTAACGCCCAGAGAGTGAATACGGTAATACCCTCCAGCCTGTTGCATCGTACGGAAGTGTTGAGGTCGTTCAGATACTGCTAGATATCAATATGGTAATGCTCTCATGGCCGCTGTATAACAAGGAAATATCCAACAGATACAGCTTCTTCTTGATGCTGGTTCGGATTCCTCACTCCATGATGAAATGGGCCATACTACTCTTCATATAGCGGTTTTATGGGGTCGACTTCATATTGTTCATCAATTTCCGTTATTCATCTCTGCTATTAATATCCAGGATAGGCTCTTACACACGCCCCTCCACGTGCTTATTTTTCACGATCATATTCATTATGCCTTGACTCCTCTCGACCATTTTGCTTTGGCTCTTCTCGACAATGAACAAACAGCACTAGTCTAACAAGCCTCTGTATCCACGTGACTATCAAGACGCACTTACTCCGCATTATTCTCCACTCTTCTTCCCCGCTCTTCTTCCCCATTCTTCTCCACTCTTCCTCTTCTCCACTCATCGAGACCTTGCCCACTAGTTTTCCCAGAAATCTCACCTGGTCAGAAAATGTCTTTTCAACGCCCATTTGAAAATATTGACAAATGTTCTTTCACAGAATATCCTCACCTCAAAAATGACCGAGGACAAAGATTCAGAGTGGCCATACCTCCCTCCCTTTATCGAGAAGTTCACACCATTCAAGCCCAGTGAGGAGTATGTTGTGGACCCCGCTACTCGAATCGAAGAGCTACGCGAGCTTCTCGCGCAACTCGAGAACACGTCCACCGAATACAAGCAATACTGGCAAATCAATATCGATGTCGTGATGAAGATGTATCAGAGTGGGGAATTAGGACCATTCAGACGCCCCCCAGTATATTTTGTTGATAGTAAGGTGGTCGACAAGGACCCATGGAGAGATGATACGGTTCCTACAACAGCAGCTCGCTGGTTTGAGGTATCACTGCCTATTCTGACCGCGGAATGTCTATTTACTAATCACTTTTAGGAATATCCTCGCTATCATCAATATTCTCAGGCAAATATGGGAATATAAATACATGAAAAGACACCAAATTAATCTTCTTCTATGATTAGCATCAGCAAATGGTTTAGGCATCTCTTGTTGGAGCGTTCCCCTTCAATTTCGCCCAAGGCATGCTTACGGTATGTTGATATATTGGATTGACATTATCAGGACTATACACTGACAAATCTAGATTCTTGCGCGGATTGGAATTCCTCTAAGATTGAACAGAAACCCTGCACTCGTGCACGATATTATCATGCACAATGACACTGGAAGCAATATCTTGACGGTGTTTCCATCCGACCTCCGGGGAATGCAGTACGACCCGGCATTCCATCTTGGTATCTTCAGTCTAAGGTCTTAGGTTCTGTTAGCAGATGGGAGAATTTCCAACACGACTCTCACTCTCGATATGCAGGTGCAGACGACAATAAGCGAAGAATTCACGCAATGGTTTGAAGAGAGCTGCATCCTTCGCCAGGATGACCCCAGACAACGCGTTTATTAGGAGCCGCGATGTGAGACCACCTATATTTTGCGACAGCTCCGAGAAATCAGCGACTTTACGTCGCACAGAAGAATACCGGTTTATTCTCCATTTTACCAGTCTCATAGTCATAACCCATAGATGCTTTTCTGCTGAGGTGTTACTTCAAGATATCGATAGCATTCACATTAGACCACACTTATTTTCAAGTCAGAGCCAATCCTAGAGCCAAGTCCTATTGTCGGAACATGGATATTGCAATCCCGCAATACCACAACCCGGAACGGAACAAACAGACCCCCGAGTCACGGGGGAATGACTATATTATGAACTCGAGTAGCTAGATGAATCGACCACACTTCACACCACCTTTCACACCATATATACTAAGAATATAGGACGAACCATGCCCTTTCCAGTATATATAGTGCAACGTGTGAACCCTATCCTTTCAACGTAGTTGATCGACATCCAGCTTTTTCATATAGTAAAGGCCCGTACTTTTTGATGGAAGATGCTTCAAACGCAAGTTGAAAAGGCGATTTCCCCTCGTAATCTTGTTGATGAATATTTGCCCCTTTGCGAACAAGATATTTGGTAGCGCTGGGATGTGCAGATGTACACGCGAAGTGAAGGGGTGTCATGCCAATATCAGTGGCGGGATCAACTTGAGCACCTTGGGCTATGAGAAGTTTGATCACATCAATCGTCTGGCTATCCTGTTGATCTTTATTTTTTGACATGCGAAGTGCAACGGCGTCCATAACCTAACGATCTTCACATCGACATCGGCACCAGCCTTCAAAAGCATTTCTGCGGTGTTTCGAAAACCTTCATTACATACCAAATGTAGCGGAACTGCTTTGAATTCATCTATTATGCTATGCCCTGCGTGTACCTTCGACATCAACGAAGAAGACATTACACCAGATGTTGAAAGGCACTACATCTATACACCAAGATGGCCATTTTACGTCAGGAAGTAACTGCTCTTCGCGAAGCCAATGAAAAAAGAAGCAACAAAAGGCACTTCCGAATGCGCAAATGGTCATTGAAGGTGGCTTTACTATCCAGGAAGGCCGCCAGCTTATTGACGCGTCAATAAATCGTGATACAAATAGTGGTGATATAAATAGACGCCAAACCCGGGCATCATCTCCAGGACGCCAGCGGCCACGCAGAAGCGGAATATGTAAAGAAACTGGACATAGGAGAGAGACGTATCCACAGTGCCCGATTCAATAGGTTATTTACATAGTCTTATTGACTTCAATGGAGTTATGAGACAAAAAATGAAAAAAAAAATGAAAAAAAAATGAAAAAGAGGGTCATTTTCACCACTCGTCCGTGTTTTAATTTAGTAGATAGCATCTAGTAGGATATTTTTTAAAGACTATAGATCCCTACCAGCAGAATTACAACATCCATAATAAAGAGATATTGGCGATAATCAAATCCCTTAAGTATTAGGAAGCGGAACTTAAAGGGCTTATATAGCGCGAGAAGTTCGATATCCTGAGATTCCTGACCAACCACCACTAGGCGTTAGAATACGATAAAGTGGAAGCTTATAAGGCTGTATTAAGTCTTTGTACTATCACTTTCTAACCGCACCCCACTGAAACATCTACCCACAACGTCTTTTCTTGATGTCCGATGAAGTTGAAAACGAAAAATTAACTAGAACTAACATTTATATCAATATTTTGAAATCGTCAGCCTCGTACAAGCCCTAGATGTAACTGAGATGGGCTCAAGAAAAGAATTGGGATTGACTTGTCCCCCACTTCTTTTGTCACTTTTGATTCGTTAATTAATTGGGATGGGCTAAAGAGCCTCGCCCATTTAGAATTCTAAGTCTTGAAAAAGCCTCGTGATTGAACTATGGTTAGGGATGGTAAGGCGTAGGAAACCGACTGGTTTCGATGTTTAACTTTAATCTTCGAATATGTACTCATCACCATCTGAAAACTGAGGCTATTTCTGAGGATTCGGTCAACCTCGTATTGATGGACGGCTAGACCTCTTTCTAGTCCGCCTTGCCGTCAATTCCAAGGTTGACAGGTGCACACTCCGCCTCCGCGTATAAATGCCAAGTCTTACTAAATCCGGCGATGTTTGCTAATGTTTGGTCCACCACTAAGGCTGATGAATTGATGCCTTTATATTTCCTGATTAAAGCTTTAGACTAGGCCGTTCTAATATTAGATCTCATAAGTTGCAAGTAATAGTTTAGGGTACTAAAACCTCCGACTAAGGGAAGTTCTCACACCTCTAAATACTCTAAGTCTTAATATATATATAGTTGATGAAGTCGTGCAAGCCATAGCAGCAGTTAAAATATAATTCTCGTATAACGCGGAGCAGCTAGACACTATTCTCTATAACTTATTTGAATGGCGAATATATGAGATACATCATAGATAGAACTTGGCACTTACTATCTTAGAATAAATCTTGATACGGAGGTTCTTGGTGTTAATAGCGGATACTAATGATATTTTTAGATGGAACAGACAGCCTGACACTTTCGTATCAAAACTTTCCTTAGAGGTCCTTGGCATGAAGTATGAGCCACTTCTAAGCCTCTTGCCTCGAGAAGAAGAACCTTGGAATGAAGTATGAGCGATGGGGATAAATACCTCGTACAATATGCTATAAGTTCCAAAGTTCATCAACTGTCAAGCACTCGGATATCATCACTAATAAATTGCAAAATCTATCCAAAATGCACTTCTCAAGCCTTGCTATAATTTCCTGTGTCCTCCCCTCAGTCTTTGCAGCTACTGCAACTGTACAACTCGCCAATGACCAGTCTGGTGCAAACGCCAATGTCGCTGTCCCTGTTGATGGCAGTAAAAAACTCGTCAAAGCCCTTTGGGGCAGCAGCTCTGTCGCATCTGGCGGTATAGTTTTCGCCTCAAGCGCTCAGCTTGTTGCTTTTGAACCAAACACTATCTGCACTTTCACTGATAATCCATCTTTGAAAGTATCATTGGATACTAAGAAGACTTGGGCCTCGTTTAGTCCTACATACTTCTCAGACCTAGCTACAGTTTCCTGTGTCTCATCCTCTACCCCTCCTAATACCAACCCACCTAAGACCGACCCACCTAAGACCGACCCACCAGCTGCTACAACTGTGCAACTCGCCAATGATCAGTCTGGTGCAAATGCCAATGTCGCTGTCCCTGCTGATGGCAGTAAAAGCTCCGTCAAAGCCCTTTGGGGCAGCAGCTCTGTCGCATCTGGCGGTGTAGTTTTAGCCTCAAGCGCTCAGCTTGTTGCTTTTGGAAAAGACACTGTCTGTACTTTCACTCAAAACTCAAAGACGCTTCTGTTGAATGCCCAGACGACTTGGGGTTCGTTCGGTTCTGTGACGGATTTGAGTGGTGCTGAAATATCTTGTAACTCTAAGTGACACAGAGTTTTCAGTATTGGCTGGTGAAGGAGTGGAATACTATCTTCTAACATTGAGTTAGGGCTTGTATATCCATGGAATTTATCATTTCAGGGGGTTCAAAGGTTGAAATGGGGCTAGGGGTCTGATCATTTCTATTCTTTAGTACTTGTTAAGGTTTTTGTATGATTTATTGTTTTTGTATGATTTATTGTTTCTGCATGATTTATTGTTTCTGCATGATTTATTGTTTGTAACCTCGCTCCTCATGATATACAAATATTTAACTAGCAATCGAACGAGAAGAAAATCGTGTCCGTAAGGTTTTCCTAAGATTACATTGTTCTGGTCAAGAACTTGAACTCGATTTTAGCAAGTTCTAATTATTAATCGAAGTTATAAGTCTGGGAATTGCTAGGCCCTAGTTTTACTCGGGTCTCTTGTAACTGCTGCCACCCTTGGGTATTGATCCTTATGAGTGTTCCACCAAGAAAGTGGCCACCTAGATGTAAGGATTAAAGTCCAATGCGAATGGAGCTACCGTAAACAAGAAATGAATGCTGAGAAGGCTACTGGAAGACGGGTGGGTGTGGTGTCCCATATGGCTCAATTCCACGAAGGTGAATTGGGAACAAGAACAACTCTTGAGGTCCTCGAAGACCTCAGAGAATTAAGTACATCTGGAAGTGGCGAATCTCAAACTAACTCACCAAGGGAATCCTTGTTTCCTTCATGATCGTCGGTGCCCGAGCCACCCTTTCATTTTTTTAACTGAACATTCATGGCAAGCATAACGCTCACTATTAGATTGTATAGCAGAAGTGGAAAAGTTGAGCTAAAAAAACAACAACCTCAGCGCAAATTTAATTTTTGAAATTTCTCAAGAACCAGACCAGTTGACGACTAGCTCGCAACGGCAAGTTAAATCTAACTCTCTGCGCTACATTTTGATCCCAGTTGCCAGCACATATGGCCATGGAATCGATGGTGCGCGTGTCCAAGGGAGTTGGGGTCGTTCCGGCGGCCGCAGCCAACCTGCATTTAACGCGTCCGACGAACAGAGAACGCGTAAGAAACACCAATCAAGAGGCGCACGCCCTGCTGAAGGACATCAGCAGTGGACAGAACTTCAATCCCAAGGTGACGAGCTTCCTCAAGAGTGTGGAAGAGCTCACCAAGGACCTCCTCTCAACCCCCATGAATGACTGGCAGGACGAGTTGGGGGCGCTGCGACGAGACATCCAGGGCATCAAGGCAGCTATAGAGCAGCCTTCGAAGTAGACAGTGGAATCGTTTGCAAAAATGGCAGCCAAGGCGCCAGCGCCGGCCCATTTCCTGTCCTCCTAGTCCTCAGGCTCTGAGCCTGCACGACCAATGGAGGTTGCACGTGATCGCGAGGTGGTCGTCTGTCTTGGCGACCGTGCGTAAAACAGCATCTTCAGGCGGTTGACGCCAGCTGAGCTCACAAAGAGGGCAAATCAGGCTAGGGCCAAGGCGGCAACGAACTCGAGAGACCCCGTTTCCGCCCTAGCTACTGTCATGATCCTAGCATCGCGCCAGTTGAGATCGGGCGATCTCCGCTTCACGATGTGGAATATAAAGGAGGCTGAGATCATGAGAATATATAGAGACAAGTGGGCTAAGGGTCTCTATAAGACAGCGTTTGTTCATCTCCTAATATAGGGCATCATCGTGCATGATGTTAATATACGCTCGCTGGGCATTGATAAGGCGATGGACGATCTAAGACCAGTGTAGGACTAGATCATAAAGGAGATGCTGGCGGCGAACGTGCATAACTAGGGAGGGGAGAAAGACGGGAGCGAAATTACGAAAATCAGCTGGCTCAAGATCCCGGCAGGGAAGAAGAGCGGCTCGCTTATCGTCGAGTTCGTGTCGCCAATCATAGCAAATGAGGCGATCGCAAGAGGAGTCCTATGGGATTACGACCGGCTGCAGGCAGTTCTCTATGACAGAACTGCTCGGGTGCGTCAATGCTTCAACTATCAAAGGTACGGTCATATAGGAGCCACCTGCGCCGAAAACATGCGATATATATACTGCTTAGAGGGACATCAGTCTCGGGATTGCCCTCTAAAAGATATATAAGGAGAGAACATATAGAAGTGCGCTAACTACAAGGGCGTATATACTACGTGGAGCCAAGACTGCGAGATAAGAAAGGTAGAGGTAGAACACGTCAACCAGTCAGCTAAGCAGAGAGGTAGATACCATCCTGTGCCGGCATACTTTAGCGTGAAAATGCCACTAAGCCATCTCGAGGTCTCCTCCACCAGTTCGTGGGGAACACCATAGGAGTCAATAGACTTAAGTGGAGGCAGCTCCGGGGGTAGCGGCCCTATACTGCAGGACGATAAGGAAACAGGCCCTAGTAACGGAGGGCCGAATAACAGTATAACGAAGACAACAACGAGCGTAGCAATAAAGGAGCGCAAGACCAAAGGGGGGAAAACCGGATCGAAAGCGTCATCTATAGGGAGGAAACGTGGCCGCCCAAGGAAAGCACCACAAGGATCCCAGGAAGCCATGAATACTCTAGAGGATATAGATATGTAGGAGGACGAATCGGCTGAGGCAGTAGGCACACCATAAATAAATAGATAGGCTTTCTAATTCGGACAAGGGGCAGTCCACCTGTTCATAGACCTAAGAGTGGTATCGTCGACGCCACTAGGAGTGATCCAATTCGAACCCGAAATAGCTCACGAAACGCGAACCACAAAAGAAATAAGAGAAGAAGCAATCAGAGCAAAAATGGCAAAGGCCCGTGAGGCACTGGCAAAGAAGAGAGCTTTATTAAAGGCGAGTTAAGGAACCACGTCCTCTATATCAATAAGTAGAGAGAGAGTGAAAAAGACGAGGAGCATTAAAAGAAGGAATCAGATAAGCGAGCCAGATCTAAGCTCGGTTAACAAGGTGAATATGGCTGAGCTAGAAGAAGCACTTCAAAGAGACAAAGATTTAGAAGAACATACCAGCTCGCTATCACTAGAGCGAGCAAACGACGACGAATACCAGCCCACACCACGTAAACGAAAACAACCTTAAAGCGACCAGCGGTCAATTCCCTAGCTGTCGTCAGAAAAGCGCAAGAAGATTTATAGCAGGAAAACTCACCGGCCTCACCAGCCCTCTCAACAATGATTAACGGAACGTATTAGCTAACTCAAGGAACCTAACTCAAGATCTTTCAATATAACGTAAACTGGTTAAAGGACATAGTGATGGCGTAGTTCATACGCGATCCAGAAGTGGTGTCAGCAGAGATTATAGCTATCCAAGAACCTTGGAGAAACAGCTTTAAAGATGATACCTACTACCTAGTAAAATAAACACACGACCTCTACTACCTATTCGAAGCGGAGACTAGTGCAAGGGCACGAGTATGCCTATTCATATCGAAGAAGATGGCACTAGGCATATATATTGTTCACTCAGCCGACTGCTAGGAGTATTAGATAAAAACAGAAGAACAGGAGCTCCGCATCATTAATATATATAATAAAGGAGGAATGTTAGCCATGAATGACCTAGCAAATGCTCTCCTCCTAGCCCGGGAGCAGATACTAAGAAGGATATCCTACCTAGTCATAGGCGACTTCAACCTTCATCATCCAGCCTGGGGCGGCGACAGAGCTTCGCAGGACTTAGGGTCAGACGACCTACTAGACTAAATCGACATCGCTGGTCTAGACCTATGGCTTAGACCTGGTACAACCATATGGAGAAGGGGAGGAGAAGCAGGCCTCTAGGAGACAACGATCGACCTAGTTCTGGCATTATATGCCCTCCGAGAGCGTATGATCGCATGCGAAACAAAAGAGAGGATCCACGCTGACTCAGACCACCTACCGATATTAACCACACTCGAAATCAACACACCAAAAATCCCAGAAACACGAAGACGATAATAGAAGAAGATGGATATCAGCAAATTTACAAAATTCGTATCCGAAAACCTAAAGAACAAGCTATGGATATACTCACCAGAACTGATTAACGAATCAATCGACTACCTACTCAATATCGTGTAAAGAGGCACCGAGGAATCGACACTATAGGCAAAACAGTCAGAATATGTATACTAAGGGTGGACACTAGAATACACTAAAGTAATCAAAACAGCGAGACAGGCTTATAGGAAGTGGAGGCGATTAGACGACGATATCGACGCACTAATCTATAAGGCCGCTAGAAACGTAAAGGGGAAAGTGATAGGGAAGGCTCTAAGGAAGGGATTTCGTACCTGGATATCCCAGACTATCGCGGACGGCCTAAAAGGACTATAGAAAGTATCTAAATAGGCCAGAAACAGGGACCAATCGACAAGCAGCAATATTCCAGCACTAAAGGACGATTCTGGAGGGCTAGCCCTAAGTAGCCAGGAGAAGGCTGAACTACTCCAGAAAGTCTTCTTCCCCGAGCCACCAGAGGCAGACCTCTTAGATATCCCTCACACCCGGATTCCTGATCAGATCGAAACGCCGCCGATCAATAAAGAGGAAGTAATAAACATAATTAAACATGCACCACTAGATAAGGCACTAGGGAAGGATGGTATCCCTAACCATGTGTAGAAGATACTAGTGGAGATTCCGGAGTTTCTGGAAACTCTAACCAAGATCTTCGACGTGTATATATAAAAGGGCTATAACCCACGCCATTTCTAGACCTCGATCATAGTCACGCTCTGTAAAGGAGGCCTAAGAGACTTCAGAAAACCGAAGTCATACCGCCTAGTTGCCCTATTAAACACCCTAGGGAAGCTCCTTGAATCGATAGTGGCTATAAGGATCGCATGGCTGGTAGAGGAATACAAGATCCTCCTAGAAGGACACTTCGGAGGCAGAAAGGGGATCAGCGTCGAGCATGCGATATAACGAATCATAGATCGCATCTACTAGGCCTAGGGCAAAGGCATGAAAGTCAGTATACTACTTCTTGACGTCTTAGGAGCATACGATAATATATCTCACGAGAGACTTCTGTCAAATATATTAAGGATAGGACTAGGCACCTTTATGCCCTAGGTAAGATCATTCCTTATAGGAAGAAGCACCTACATCAGGATGCCAGGTTATCTATTAAAATAGTTTCGTATACCAACAGGGATCCCATAGGGCTCTCCACTATCGCTAATCCTGTTTCTACTATTCAACACGCCGCTTATATAAGCACTATATACTAAAATAGAATAAGCCACCACTAAGGTATCAGGATAGGTCGACGATATAGCAACAATAGTAGTATTAGAGTCATATCATATAAATATCCAGGCCCTAGGGAAAGCACTTAGCCGTACAGATATATAGGCCACTCGACACGCGGCGAAGTTCGCGCCAGATAAGTTTGAACTAATTTATTTTATTAACCCGAGAGAAGAAGAGGAAGAGGAGGACGGCACACCAGGACCAATCGATATATACAACATCGAATCGGCACACCCATAAGGAAACGCGTAAATGCTATTACAGATCAATAATACTACAATAATAAAGCCGGCGGAATCAGCGAAATATCTCGGAATCCATCTCGACAAACACCTCTAATTCAACATTCACCGACAGAAGCTCCTTGTGAAAGCCAACGGAAGCCTTAAGGTACTACGTGGTCTAGCAGGATCCACCTAGGGTATGCCGCTACTAGCAATGCGTAAGATTTATCAAGCAGTGGTTATCCCATAAATACTATATAGGCTCTTAGCATGGTACTATCTACTAGCAAAAGCGCTCCCAGCAGGAGAGCTGCGGCGAATTAGTAACGAATTCACCAAGATCCAACGACGTGCGGCAATCATGATCAGCGGTGCTTTTAAATCAATAAGTGCGGCTATACTTAACATAGAACTACATCTGCTCCTAGTTAAGCTATTAATAGACCAGATGATTCAGGAAGCAGCATTACAAATCTAAATAGGGCTAGAATAGGCTCGCCTAGAAAGCCTCCGGAACTATGCAAGGAACAACGAGGAAAGAAAAAGAAGCGGATGGAGCCCTCTAGAGGCGCTGCGGTTTAGGAAGGGAGGTGTTCTAGCAACACAAGAAACTAAGTAGGAAACCCGGAAATCGTCTGTTCTAGCGCCATAGGAGGCACAGATCCTATATATTATCCAATCAGATCCAGAGGTAGCCTAGGCCTCGATATACGATATTGAGTGCGGACAAAACTAGATACTGGTTTATTACTCAGACGGAAGCGGAAAGAAGGGACAAATTGGCGCCGCGGCCATTGCTCTAAATAAAGGGGTGTTCCTGAGGAGACACCTCGGAACCATGAATGACTCAACAGTCCATATTGCGGAGCTTAATAGGATAGAGATGGCGATTGCCTACTTCGCCAAACTCCAGAAGGATTCAATAGATGACCCTAGGTACACAAAGATGGTCATCTTCTCTAATTGCCAGGCTGCGATCTAAGCAGTCCAAAACCCAAAGCGATCGTCAGGCCAGTACATGCTCGACTCAATTTATGACCACGTCCGGACCCTCCGATCGCTCCGACAGACACCCGCGGTCGATATAATTCCCATCGAAATCCATTAGATTCCCGCCCATATAGGTGTGCCTGGCAATGAAAGCGTGGACGTTGAATCAAAGTTGGCTGCGGAGAATGTTGCGGGGACGGAACAAGGTTTTCCCAGTTCCGGCCACGCTCCAGGAACCAGACTAATGGCGATCGCAAAACGCGAGGTGCGGGCGCGTACGAGGGCACGATAGGCGTGGGAGTGGGCGAGGGAAACAACTAGTAGACCGAATCAGAGACTAACGAAGGCGCCGGAGAAAAAGAATATACAGAGATTCGAGGGGTTACCAAAGGCGTACTCTGCAGTAATGATCCAGATGCGATCAATGCGGATTGCTCTCAAGCACTTCCTCTTTAAGATTAACGAAGCCGACTCGGACGAGTGTAACTGCGGAGAAGGGTCTTAAACGCCGAAACACGTTCTCCTGCAGTGTCCGTTATACGCGAGCCTGAGGAGGCGGATGTTGACCAAGATCCGGGCACAGACGGACTTGGATATGAACAAGATGGCTGACTACGATGCATTGGTATCAAACTCGCAAGCTACCCGCTATATAGCCAAATTCATGATCCAAACAGGCCTCCTCGGGCAGTTTAGACATATAGACGCTAGATCTGACTCTGAACAAGACGAAGACCCAGGCTAGAGGAGACTAAGACAACTAGCTACGAATGGCGCAGCGGGGTGAAGACGCTAGGTATTAGGAACGACGAAACCTAGAGCTTACCGAGAAGCTTCAGAAGAATACATCGATAACTTCAATAAACAACAAAAGGAGGAAAACAGGAGTAGAGAAGAACATAAGGAGTGGTGAGAGGAGAAACAGGGGAGGGGTGATTTACAAGCGCTATTACATGGAGGGCGTTACGGTTGAAGAAGTGGGTTATGGGATTTCGGTATACAATGGCGCAACGCCACATTTCTTTTGTATCTATCTTAACATTCTGGCGTTCGGAATACTCCTGTTTCCGCCAGAGGAAACGCCTGCATAGCCATACGCTACTAGTTAGGCTGCATCAGGTTAATAGAGTATTGATTGATTGATTGATTGATTGAAAAGTTGAGCTTACGGAAATCTCGCATTGACAGTGGCCAGGCTAGCTAGCTGACATAATTTGACCTCGTACAAATGAAGAGAGTTAACCCATTTCCTCGTATCCTAATAGTATTAATAGATGCTAATGGCGTTTGTGGAACCATTCATGGACGGCAAGACAGTTAAAAGTGCTAGGCTTTTACGCGTCATGCTTTCCCGGGCGACACACAAGCAAACTTATGAAGCCGACTATACTAATTAAAAAGTCTCTTAATGCTAGGGAAGGATATAGAATTCAAATGACTAGTGATATTGGAGCCAGTCATTAGATCAATTGCAAGTTTTTAAATGATATACTAGGCTATATCAATCCAACCGCCATTCATTGCGACTGGGTTTCAGAGCTCTGGGGCTGAAAAAGGATGAGTGCTACAGAGAAAACCAGCGAATTAAACAGTGACGAGCAAACATCGACGACGCAGAAAATCCTCCCAAATCGCGGAACAATAAATGAGACGACTGCTAGGCTGATAAAAGAAAAGGCTTGGCAATACTGACCACAGCGAGAGAAACATAGACCTTCACCAAATCCAAGAGTCAGGAGAGCTCCACCACCGAGACTGGCGATTAACACGGATCAACTCATAATTTCCGTATATTGAATCTTGCCATTTCTCGTTAGAGGGAAAGGCCATATAGAAGCCAGAAAGAGCCCTAAATACCGTGAACTTTTAGAATTCTCGCTAGAACGATAAGATAGTTTGACGTACAAGGCCTGGGTAGTATCGTCCCAAATGACCTTCCCTATATATCTTCCAGTCTATTCCCAGCCAACCTGAAGGGTATATCTATTTCACATCAGATTTTATACATAAAAAAGAAGATATGAATTTAACGTACTCATATGCTGCTCTTAACCTTTTTCAGATTAAACCGCGCTTAGGGCGATCAAAGTTAAAGAATTCGTCGTGGGTTAAGGGTTTTCCAGGGGCCATCTCCCACACAAAGTGAATAGTGAAACCGTCCGGGATAAAGCCATCGTCACCCTGGCGAGTAACTTCCCAGGTAAGAAAATTTGGTACATAGCCAGAATTTTTTAAGTCTTTGAGCGCTTTAAGTTCCGTAAAATCTTTAGGCGGCTTGGCCTGCTGGCGTTTCTCGTCCGGGTATCCAGTTGTGTCTTCTGAATCTCTATTTGGCGGTAAATGCGTAGGAATCCCTTCTTGTTCTCATTACCATCAAGGTGGCAAGTAAACTTTGCGCGAGTAAATCCAACAGAGAGCCCGTTCTTGGCCTCGGCTGGGCTGATTCTATAATCTATGCCTGAGAGGTACTGGTCGATGATCCAAATCTGTGGGGTGGAGTTGGGGGCAGTGATTGTTATCTTCTTATTTCTGCCACCGAGTGGCTCGAGTACTGAAGGAGTCGAGAAAGACATCGGGATGTTCCGGTTTGCTTGAAGATGTGTGTTTTTGTAGAGTTTGATTGACTCAAGTTGAAGTAATTAGAATGCAAAACAAAGGTGGGAAAAAGCCATAGTTAACTAATGTAGTGGAGAGCCCTATAGTATGAAGAGAAAGCGGTCCGCGGCAGCAGAACCGAGTAGTACCATTTATCTACAAGTTACAGAATAACCACCTTTACACACCTCTTCACTTTTTGACTCCCTACTCTCACTGAACTTTCCCTCATGGTTGTGGTTGGTTTTCCTAGCTAAACCGACCTGCACGTTCTGACCGTGCTGCCTAGAGCGTTCCCCATTTCACTAATCAATGGTCAGCCCCGTCGTACCCGTCAAGTGGGGACCACAAGATGGATAGTTTGTCCATCCTGCGCCCCATCTCTCCCAATCTTCGCTCAGTCTCCCTCGCAACCAAAATGAAAGAATCCCATGAGGATTCAAAATCCGAATCCGAGTCCCCTAGTATAGGGTTTGAAAACTTCCTTGTCGACTTTCCCGCACCTCGTATCGCATCTAGCCAATTGGCAATCAAAAGGTATCTGTGTAAGGAGATGGACTCGATCAAAATGACCACCTGGGTTGCCTACGTGAATGTTCCCCCAGATTTCGTCGAGCGAAACCGACGAAAGATCTTTCCGAAATGCTCTCGACTCTTCTACGATAAAGAGACCAGACGGCTGATCGTGAAGCTCGCTGGACCCGCCCATGAGATCGTCACCACCGGGATCTCGAAAGAGATTACCGATCAAATAGTGATGGTAAACCCAAGTTTACGGCTTGATTTCTTACCAACGGGAGCTTCTCAGATTCATGGAAATTCTTGCTCGAAAGAAGCAGATTGGTCAGGTCAACCTAGCGATGTAGCCCTACCACCTGGACGCTCCGATAAGTGGCCTTCGATAGTTTTAGAAACTGGAATTTCTGAGAAATTGAACCGACTCAGAAACGATGCACGTTGGTGGTTAAGTAACTCAGAAGGCCAAGTAAAGGTGGTTATTATCGTCGCAGTCAATACCAACGCGCCAATAATCAAATTCGAGGCCATGTATATAAGCAACACGATTACGCTACGAAACGGTCGGAGGCGCTTCATCATATCAACTAGACAAGTGATGGACATCACTCGGGCAGCAAATCTTCAAGTCATCACTACTGGAGGCCCCTTCTTGATTCGTTTTGAGGAACTCTTTTGCCGAGCCCCCGTCTTTCCTGAAGTGGATATTTACCTGGATCCTCTCGTCATCAATATTTTAGCAGAAACCATTTGGAGAAGACTAAATATTTAGAGCTCACTCTTATTCTTGCTTGGGCTTTTTCGTCCTCTCGTTTCCTACTCTCTTTACCTGCGTTTTTTTGTGGTTTACTTCTTACGATGCTACGTGATTTCTCTTATTCCCCTATGATATGCATTGTTTTTTATTTTACTTTAGCTCTAATCCAATACTTATCACACGCATAACATAGTAGTAAAGTGCCTTAAGATCCATGTCACACCGACACTAAGAAACAGATTCCAGAGAGGATATACATGGTGGGGAAAAAAAAGAAAAGAGCACCTATTAAAATGTTTAAATTACGGAGAAAAGGAACATAGAATTAGAGGTGTTAAGCGATCTGCGGTCATTGACGCATGGCACCCATTTTTGGTTTCTCTCAAAGCTTAGATGCATGTTCACGCCCCCAACGAGAATCCCGTCACACTGGTTGGTGGAGAGGTATAGACAGGCCACCCGTGATCTGGTCGACGGCAGTAAACTCACCGGTTGGCACGAATTAGGACTCATACAGGGCATGGTACGAGGAGAAGCTGGAGGAGCTGATGTTGACAGCGACTCCTGCCTGGTCTAAGCTGCGCACAATCGGGGCCAACGCGGTGGTGAGCAGTGTCGGATCGCTGCCCGGAATGACGGCGGCGAAGACAATCAGCTCTGTACCGAGGATGAAGTAGGTCAATGTGACCCCAGTATCCACCACGGGGGCTAGACTGGAGTGGAACAGGTCGATAGTTGTTTCAGAAGGCGATCGTGTTACTGTTAGAGACTGTGAAGCCAGCACCCAGCATGGGGCCACATCGTACGTGCGCGTGGTCATCGAGACGACGACGGCGAATGTACTTGCTCCGCCGCCATTGAGAGCCCAGTACAGATCCGCGTACTTTTGGGGGGTGACGGTCAGATTCTCGCCCGCAGCCGTCACTACCTCCCATTCCAACACGCTGTCTGCGGTCATCCCGTACAATGAAGTCAAACTGCCATATCCTCCGCCGGCTGTATAGCCCCCGGCTGCGCCAACAGTGCCACACGTTCCGCTCACTACACGCTTCCCTCACGCCGCCACTACTGGGAGAATATCCTAAAACATGATGCCCGCCCCGATGCGAGCTGCCGATCCCGTATACTGAATATCGCCTGCGTAGGTATTAATAAAGTCGAGATCTTTCAAACTGTGCATCCATAGCGAGAGGGCCCCACACCCTGTGGACTTCCTCAGCAAACACAGTCAGCATAGAATAATCGTCTGTCGAGATGAAGAATGTGAAGCTTACTCATGACTTGTGTTCTTGATGGTCAACCGGACATCGTAGTGGGATTTCAGACACGCCAGTGACATTGATTGAGTAGACAGCGTAGTTTCCCAGCTTGCAAAGCTTAGCCTCTGAGGTAAATGGCTCGCAGTACTGGCCCTGGAAGTAGGAGTCCAAGATTTCGGCCGGATAGTACACGCTGTTGGTGTCAGTCGGAACTGGTTAAATAGGCGGCATCAACTCACTTAGCTTCCACTGTCAGTCAGTTCCCCTTGAGCCAAGCACATGCAGTAGCATTGTAGATGGGATTATGGCACACATGCGTAATCGGCACAGTGGCAATCAGGCACCCTCCCACCGTCTGGTTGAGCTGGGTCCAATCCTGTGCGCTGGGCCAGTCCGCATCATGTGGCAGCTTCTTGCAGGTTGATAGAAGGGATGATGTAGATAGAGATGAAGATGTAACACCTATCTACCCCATAAGCCAGGCCACCATGCAGGCTGATAGCATAGTGGAAAGAAGTGTGGCACCAAGAATAATCTTGCCGTGCTGGTGGATTAGCTAAGTTTGCAGAGAAATAGAAACTAAGGTTAATTTCGAATACTCTCATCCGGAAAACTTTGTCCTACTCTATTTATATTACCACTCAGCGAAGTCATGAGTCATCTCAGCTAAGGCAAGTGGGCAGGCACAGTCACATTGATGCTGCCTCGTATGATAAGAAGCGAGTTGAAGCATAACAATCTTCAGCTGTAATCAATAAACAAAGTCAGTCCAACGGAATACCCCTGAATGAGGCGGCGCTAGCGCTGTAGGATACGATCGCTATCAACTTATAGGGTGTATTCTGTATCAGATTGGATTAACTAAGTTTATTTTTATATTAATGTCGTGATGTATTTGCCTAGCCTATAGAGAGAAGGCTGTAGAGTCTAACTAGGTAAACACCACTAAGTAGAGATCGGGACTTAAATGTAAGGAAACAGTACGAATATTGCATTGCTTAAACTTGAGTTCCATGTAGAAGTCCTACTTGGATTGAACAGTTCTATAAATAGGTACGACCTAGGTATATTCTCCTAAGCCGAGAGTCCACAAAAACCATCAATTCATTGCCTACCTAGGTATCGAAGTGAGACAGATAACTAGTAGATACTCCCAATGAAATCTGCAAAGTGTGAGATACTTTGATTATCGCCAATTACCGTTTCTCAACCGCAATTTTGAACAACGCTGGTACTTTAGGCGCTGAAAATGCAGGCGCTGACATTATAGCAATTCTCAAAGGACAATTCACCCTCTGCGCATCTGACCATCTAGATCGTCTAGGTTGACACCATGCTAGAGCATTCAAACACCTCTGACATGGCAGTGAGCCAGAGGTGATATGTTTTCAGGATTGACATCTACTCGCCAATGACATTTCACCTGGACCTGGTGCTGACCTTCGGTCAGTCTCGGGTCTGTGCGTATCGGGACCAGACAGAACAGACAGCCAGGTCGTGTTAAACGGCTGCACATCCAGCATCGATTCGATCCCTTAAATTATTATCATATACTCTGAGTATCCTGAAATGAGTGAAGTAATCCCTTCCAGTACATGGTCGACGTCCGCAGTGCTAGGAACCGGTGCGGCAGTTTTGGTTCTGCTCTATATCTCGTGGTGTACTGGCTCTACCTTGGTCCACTGGCCGAAATTTCTATACCAAAGCTGGCGATGCTATCAAGCTGGTACGAAGCATACTATGATCTGGTCAGCGAGGGCCACGGCGGCCAGTTCGTCTTCCAGGTCAAGCGGTTGCACGAAGCACGGCCCCATAGTGCGGGTCGGCCCGAATGAGATCCATCCACATCGACGATCCCGACTACTAACCGCTTTTATTCTCTCGAGCCCCACTGCCAAGGCACTAGTCCGAAAAATTATTTGATGGTCCTAGGTATTGTGAGGTATTTAATACTAATATTACGGTCTTAATTCACCAAATACATTACGGTAGGCACTAACCGCACGCCAATGAAGCATATATGAATAATCCAATGTTGAATAGTATCGTGTAAATTCAGGAATATTGAGGTTGACTCTGCGATCCGTCACATAGTCTTCATGGGTATTTTGGTATGGCATCTCTCACAGCTGACAAAATACACCAGCAGGCAGGAAAGAATCCAAAGAAGGTCGTAGTCAACTTCACCAAAAGCCATAACATGGTCCAGTGTGAATTTGAGATTTGGGGCAAAAATGGCGCCGGTCGTGCCCGCTGCCTAGATACATGGGATATCTTTCCAGCGCCCGCCACCAACACTCGCCAAGCGGCCAAGCCCGATCCTTTCCTCCTTCGAAGCGAAGTGTTTGGGCAACATGTCCTTCCAGGACGAAGCCCAAACGATCGACTTCCTTTGGACTTGGGCCGACTTCGTGTTATCTCCACTACATATATCCTTGCACAAGGACTAGTACCTCGGACTTGAGACTCCGTTGGATTTATCCGTTGAAGTTTGCTCTATTTTTTTCTTTTTATTGATACCCTTATAAGTTTATGATTTGTGTAGAGTGGGAGGGATCTTTGGCTTCTCACCTATGAAACAGCGTTTATTTTTTCAGTTAAGTTTTTTATAGACTAATACAGAACTTAGCTTAATGACACATTGCTACAATATTTGCGCAATTCTTCCTGACTTTCGGATCAGGATCTTAGAACGAGATTGCTTTTCGATGTAAAGATCGGCTGAAGTGCTACAAGCTCCAATTCTGAGCAACCAGAAATATATGGTCACTTAAACCAAGTTGCATAAATAGGTGCTTTGGTCGGTTTTGTGATAAGATTAGCAATTGCTCTCGGGTAGTATTTATATCGGTAAGGAAGGGTGAGATCGCTACGTGTCGCATATGCTTTTCTAACTTCTAAGTTTTCACCTGGTTAGAATAATGTTGAGAATGTGTATAGATGCCTTGTTGATTTTACCGAACCTCCAAGGCTCTGAATACATCCATGGATCCTCTGAAGATGGAGGAAAATATTTGTGTCTTTATATGAGAAGAAGTAGACAGGCTGGTCAATGAAATACATGGAAAAGAATCTCGACGATCAACTCTACCTAGGTACAGAATATGCGGGGGCTCTATATCTTCACACTGATATAATGGCCAACCCATTGGCTGAGTACAATCTTGGAACTAAATTCTCTCGCGGCAGACCATTTCTTGGGCATATGCTCGGTATCTTTCCAAAAGATCGGTTGAATCCAGTCCAGCAGTGCCCAAAGATGCGGAATAGTGTGATACCAGTCCCTTTCCGTCAATAGCAACATTGGGATGAGTGCCGTTTGATGCAGTCCAGGACCTGAGAAGTTCTTCACTGTCGATAGAATCATGCTCAAAGATGGTACGAAGGAGCTTGGAATCCTGGCCCCAGAAGCAGCCAAAGTTCTGGCTGATAGGCTCAGTTGGGTTCACCCACAAGGGAAACTTATATCGTGTCAAGTCTTTGTATTCGAGGTGATGAAGGAATGAATAGTGCTGCTGGGCAGACACAGTCCAATCTTTCAAGCCTGGTCCGGTTTTGGTATAAACGGAGGATGCAATGGGGTCATGATATGAGCCACCTTCGATCGGCAGCAACCACCGATGGCCCTGGAAAGGAGGCTTGAATCCGTTCTCAACTCTGAAATCTGCGGGTCCCTCCCAAGGAGGTAGACTCGAGGCGCGCCAATCTTGACTTAATTGCGACTTGGAGCGGGAAGGCTGCTCGACATGGTGCAGCTCCGGGAGGTATGGCAGAGCAACACCAGGGTGACTGTGGAGTGAAGCCAGAGCAGCTTCATTCACGACATTGGCAGAGACAAACAATGAATCAGGATTGTCAAGTTTGGTCTTGACGATTGTTGGGATGGTTAGGTCTTCCAAATAGACGACATCACCATCGATGCGAATGTACATGGTCTTGTCACGGGCAATTTTCCAATCCATATCATGTCCGGGTGGAGAAATGGCATATTCAGGAGTTTTCTGAACTAAAGAATATAGCCAATCCAGGCTAACTGCATCGGTTGTCTGAGGAATGAAGACGACTTGATCAAGGAAGCCGTGGTTATGGACCAAGTTTTTCTACGTAGTCTGAGTTAGAAACTCATTAGAAAAAACGGAAGATAGGTAGACTCTCACCTGCAAATAACAGTCTAGTATAGCTGTGCGCTCGTGATAGTTGAAAGGAACCAGGGCAACTATCTTGAAGCCATGCGGCTTTGGAAAGAGTCCAGATCCATGCGAGAAGGCGAAGAATGGAGAAATGTCTTTGTTGAACACCACAAGTGACAGCAAGTCAAAAGGCAAAAGATACGGGTTCAAAATGCCAATGACTGTTAAGATAATGCATACGTAGCATAGTACAGTCCAGGTGAAGACAGTGGTCAAGCCACGCCAACTAGAGGGCGCATTTTCTGTGTTCGACTCAACATCATCATTCATCGTACGGCCCATGATAAAGAAATCTTTAATCTAGGGGTCAAGTGAATAAAAGTCCTTCGCGACGGCCTGGGCATCTTGATCTCATTTAATGCTGGACAATAACGGCCATTTTTTTGACCAGTAGGACTTTTGATCCGTTTTCGGCGCTCTGGTCAATTTTCATGCTGGATCACACTACAGCCTATTGAAACCAAATGATAAGATGGAACTGAAGTCTGTGTTCGCACAGTAGTACCCTGTAATTTGTAATTACTTCCGGGTTGGGTATAGTGTGAACCGGATAGAGGAAGAAGAATGCGCATTAGAATTTGAGTAGGTATTGAGTGATAAAATGCCATGAAATTCCTGATGGCCAATTGACAAGAGAAAAATAAGATTCTTAGAAAGGCACCTGGGTAAGTTTTCCATACTAATCCAATGTTTTATACTTCTCGTGGACGAGGGTCTCGACTTGGTTGTAGTCTACGGGTATAGTTGAATAGGCCAATTGTATAGATGATGGTGTGGAATTTCTAAGACTTCCACGATTGCAGTGACCTATCAATTATGAAATAACTATCAATTAATTAACTCGCATCAAGTTCCAAAATCATATCAAAACCAAAATCAATAAGCAAAATGGATGGAATTTCAAGATTTCGATGTGAACGATGACGTAGACACGTGCCGGTTATCGGATTTATCGCTCGTCAACCTTCATCTCTTCACGATTCCACATTACAATGAGGGCTCTCGTCAGCCGTTTTTGTCTCAGACGCGGGATTCCGCGCCTACCAAGACATCATTTCATTCAATGGCGACCATGTATCAAATCAAGGGGTACATCCATTGGATTGCTCATGGCGACACTAGCGCCTGGCGCATTTCTCAAGCTGGCAGAGGACCCGGATGGCAAGAAGACCGGTGAGATGCAGATGCTCGAGGCTTCTCGAGAAGAGATTCGAAAGGCTGTATCACCAGATGCGCGAGGCCTCTCACGCGTCCGCCAATCAATATCAGTCTTATTTTACTGCTACGTCTACGACCCTATCGCGACCGGGCTTCGATTCCTTCACCTCTTCGTAATTTTCATGCCAGTTATCGTGACCATTCCTGTGATATGGATCGGTCGAAATGTCAAAGGCCTAAATGGGGCGCGTCGTGGGACGTTGTGGTGGTATCGTTTCTTGGTGAAGGCGATGGAGCGTGCAGGACCTGCATTTATCAAAGTAGGCCTAATATAGCCCCTTAAAACATGATCACATTCACCTTTCTAACCGGGATTATCTTCCAACAGCTTGGACAATGGGCCGCATCTCGATCCGATATCTTCCCTCCCGAATTGTGCAGCATTTTGTCGTCACTCCATTCCCATGCACCTGCGCATTCCCTCCATGAGACCAAACGCATCATCCGGAAAGCTTTCGGGGGACTGCCATTTGAGGAGATCTTCTCAGAGTTCCAGGAAACCCCTCTTGGTGTTGGAGCTATTGCGCAAGTGTATAAAGCGAAGCTGAAGCCAAGTCTTGCGTCTACCAGACAGGACCTGGAGCAGGAACCAACTACATTGGGAGAGAGGGTTCGGAGAAATGTCGATGTGCTGGTGAAGAGCTCACCACAACGAGTACCTTCGTCATATGTTGCGATCAAAGTCTTGCACCCTCGAGTTGAGAAGACGATCCACCGAGATTTGCGGATCATGGGATTCTTTGCATGGCTCATCAATGCAATCCCTACCATGCAGTGGCTGTCTTTCCCAGACGAAGTACATCAATTCGGAGAAATGATGAAGCTGCAGCTTGATTTGCGTATCGAAGGTACTAATCTCGTTCGGTTTCGGGAGAAATTCAAGACGCGCTCTACAGCCTGGTTCCCATATCCGTACATGGACTACGCTGCCCGAGAGGTACTGGTCGAAGAATTCGCACAGGGTATTCCCCTTGCTACTTTCCTGGATATTGGAGGAGGTGTTTACCAGCGCGAAATCGCCAACGAAGGCCTCGATGCTTTTTTGCATATGCTTCTAATTGACAACTTCATCCATGCAGACCTCCATCCAGGGAATATCATGGTTCGCTTCTACAAGCCTAGCGAGCTGGATCTTTCCCTCCGTGATTCACGAGCGACGGAAGCCCCGACAGAAGCTGAGGTCGATGTAACCGAGGCGATACTTTCGCGATTAATACCACGCATAGGCAATAAAACGGAGTGGGAATCTGCACTTGCCCAGCTCAATAAAGAAGGTTATCGCCCGCAGCTCATATTCATTGATACAGGCCTTGTCACTGAGCTCAATGAGCTCAACCGACGGAACTTCCTTGACCTTTTCCGGGCCATTGCCGAATTCGATGGATACCGGGCAGGACAGCTGATGGTTGAGCGATGCCGCTCACCAGAGGAAGTACTAGATCCGGAAGTTTTCGCATTGAAGATGCAACACCTTGTTCTGAGTATCAAAACGCGCACGTTTGCGCTAGGTAATATCAAGATTGGCGACGTCCTCAATGAGGTTTTGACCATGGTCCGCGGCCATCACGTTCGGTTCGAAGGAGATTTTGTCAATGTGGTGATTTCCTGCCTTCTACTTGAGGGTATTGGGCGAAGTCTCAACCCCGATCTAGATCTCTTCAAGAGGTAAGTCTCTGTCCTGGTTTGCTTTTTCTGAAGCTGACTCAATCTCTAGTGCCCTTCCTATCCTTCGGCAATTGGGCTCTGGAGGCACTTTCTTGCAAACTGTACGCTCGGGTGATACCTCGATGCTGCGCGTCTGGGTTGGCCTGGAGGCTCGCGGACTGCTGCAGGCCAGCATCGAGAGCGTAGAAAATTGCGTCAAATATGACTTATTGTCGCCAAACATCTAAAACTACCCTTCTTGTGGATATATACATCTCTGCTATCGGAATGAGAAATTTATAATAAACGGATTTACCTAATGAATATCAACTGAAATAAGAAAATGAGATTATGACTCCACCTAGAGAGATTCTAAGGTACATCCAGAATATGGTAGAACTAAAATGTCCAGTACCTACCTGGGCAGGTAGCAATATTATTGCCCCCAAACAGAATGTTAAACAGAGGATAGTAAGACATTTATAATTATATAATACACAGAAGTCAAGCCACGTCAGATTCTAAGGAAGCCACAAAACGCCCTGTGCAATGAATAGAGTATACAAAATGGAGTGGAGAAAGACACAAGAGCCCGTAAGAGTTGACAGGGAAAGCTCAGGATTGCTTCGGGTTCTGCTCCCTCACGGCAGCTCCACTGGCTCTCCACCACACATCTCCTCCCCAGCGCATCATCCGCTCGACAGCTGCGGTAGGCGAATCCAAAGCAGGACGAATGTCAAGGTAGAATACCGGCTCCCCAGTCTCCTCAGGAGGTCCGGAATAGTAATCGATCACATAACGAACCTCCTTCGAACCCCATGGTGTCTGGCGCTGAACGAACCAATCATGCCGGTCGAAAGGTGGTTTTTGACTTTTGTTCATGTCAGCATATGGTAATGAAGATCTTCAATACTCAGGACTTACTCAAACTTGGACGGCATAGCCCATCCCAGAGCCTGGAAAATTGTGGCCTTGGGACTCAAATCTTGGGGTCGGCCTTGGAATCTAATTAGACGAGGCTCTGTTACCGGGTCAATTTTACCGGTCTCCTCAGCTACAGCCAGATCATAGCTCAGGTTCTCCTCGCCGCGGCGGCATTTTTCCCATCCAGTCTTCAAGCCCCCAGCGAAGGTGCGCTCCCATCCGACAATTTCGTTCCATGCACCTTCATTCAAGAAGTTGTGCACGGCAACCATTGCTTCCACTGCATCCTGGGGCGTGTCAGTATGTCCTTTGCGCAGCATCGCGTTGTACATCTGCTGGGGAGATGGGTACTCCCAGTTCTCATTTGAGTCGCCTCTTGGGATGGACGACTGCTCGCGCTCAAGGGGAAGGTCAACTGTCTGGTTAGGAGCCCGCTCCTGAGAGATCGAAGAAAACATGTAGTTCAAAGGGTTCAATTTAGACAAAGTGGACGAGGACTTGGCTGTAGCGGCTACTTCCGGTGCAGTTGGGGAATCGGATTTCGGAGCGACATAAAAAGGTGAATCGGAAGATCTTTTCACTGGGCAGCTGGTGGGAGGCGTGGTAGTCTCCGGGATTTTGGATGGTGCAGAGTTCGACTCATGCATTGGGCATCCAGGCTGTCGACAAGTGTCAGCCGGCGCAAAGACCGATCAGTGTCAGTATGGAGGGACATACAGGAGGTGCTGCATTTGAAAATGTAGGATGCGGCGCCTGAGGCGCCTTTTGCTGTGAATCTGCCCAGAACCAGCCCATATTGTGTAGGAAAGTGAAGTTTACAATGATAACAAGATGTCAAGGACAAACAAAATTTCCCCGACGCGATAAAAGATCGGAGAAAATCACGATGACATAGCCATCACGTGACTCGAGCGAGTCCACTTTAGAAGAAAGTGGAACCAAATTTCATCAGAATTGACGAATCAAATGCGTGTAAATTCGCGTGTGTAAATAATAACTAGTTAGTTAGTTCACATAAATGCTGACTAACCAAACTAAACCAAATGCCGGAAACCAGTCTATTCTTTGACATACTAATAGTAAACAACAAGTTGACTTCTCATTTGATATGAGATGGCTAAAAAATACATACAAAACTGAGAGCTTAACCAGGCAGTATCTTCAATACTCTATTACTCTTCCATTTTTCAACATACTTAGGTAGTAAAGCATATGCGCTATAGTTCGGGCCAAGTCAAGCATGAATAGATTACGATTATCAGTAACTTCCAGTCCAAATACTAATGTCCACGATATCGCTCAGTTGTAGAATAAGATTCGCGAATAAATTAGTGAGCTTTGTACTTCTGGGCTTGGGTATATAATATGCGTGAGATTGATGAAAGAAAGAAGTGCTTGTTAGGTGCAGCCTCTCTATAACCCGAGTTTACTAGTTTAAGTCGAGGTAAAGTATTTTGAGAGCAGGCAGCGTTAAGCCCTGCTTTCTCCACTAAAGAAAAGAAAGAGAAAACCGTTCCACCACCCACAGATGCTTCTAGACAACAGAAAAGAAAAAAAAAACTCGCTAATGAAAGGACCCAATATCATGAGATAGTAAAAGGAGAAAATTGAAAAATCAAGTCAGATCTGTGAAATTCTCATTCCTTCATGTCACTCACCAGCCGTGACACCAACGCATAGCCAACTAGCAGCGCCAAGCCAATCCAGATTCGATTACGTCGTACCCAGCCTTGACCAGCTTCACGGGCCACATGGCCCCCATCCATAACGGCTCCAATACCAGGTGCACTGCCATTAGGACGGCGACGAAAAGCACTGGTCTCTGGGGAGCACTTAGCGGGCGCATTGGGGTCGGGAAGGATCTGGCCGGTGTTGGAATCAACGCGATTTTCCTTCATCCAAGCCCAATTCTCCTGGTCCAATTCGGGCCACTCAGTACGGAACTTCAGTCCTCCATCTCCAGCCTTGACATTATTGATACCCTTGGTAGTCCGAGTCACGCCTGGTGTGGCACTGATATGGGAGCCACCACCAGTCGAGTTCCACCAGCGAGATCGGGCTGCAAAGACCTTACGCTCGCTTTCCGATGCGCTCACACTTCCAGTTGTCATCTCCTCGCTAGTCATGAAGGATAAAAGTCCAATCAATATGGTCGAGACCTCCCATGCGGGGTTAAAGGACTTCGGGTGGAAGTCGCTAATGCTCAGACAAAGACGAGTGGATGGCTGGAATCGGCCACTAGGGGTGTGCATGCGAATGGCCGGGGGCGCAAAAGGGTAATCGGGAGGAAAAATCAATGTGCCCCAGTATTGACCGTGCTCATAAGGAGTGCCAGGGGGCCCGGTAAGAATGTAGTGCCATCTGTACACCGAGTGGGTTAGCAATGGCGATCCCCTTTCATTCAGTATTCAGTCATGTAGGACTCAGACCCACTCTAAGATATTGGTTTCGGATGGATGCGCAACGATAAAAGGTGGGGGGTTCTTTTGGATATTTTGGTATTCCCGAGTGAGCTGCAATGAGACCGTTTCAGTAGAAGCTCTCTCATTTGGAGATGTCGGAAGTGTTACCCGTTTAAATGCGGCTTTGGTTGCCATATTCGTTAAGGAATGAAGGTGGTAGTTTAAAGTGTTTTGGATAAATATGAGTGTAAGAAAAGAAAGTGATGGGAATAGAAACTTCTGGCTGTGTAATGTGAAAGGAAGAAAAAGGTTGACGTGGGAGGTACGGAGTCGGAGTAGTAGAAGCGCGCGATGCGATCGCGGATGGTCACGTGCAATTTTGCTACATGCGATCAGAGGCTCTTTGACACCCCAGGTTTTGTGGTAATTGCAGCCGTCAAAATGTCCTCTCTCTCGGCTGAAGATGAAGATGTATGTTCTATCCGGCTCCAATCCCTAGTATCTCTATTGTTACGATTTTCTAATGTGACTCTCAAAGATCTTCGAGCGCTTGCAACAGCGCAAGGACCCGCAGGTTCTTGAAGAGCAGCAAAAAGCCGTGAATGAGCGCATGCAGGCCATCCTCCAGAAAGCCCAAGATCGGCTCTCCGAATTGGTATGGTCTCTCACCGTAACACTACTAGAACAAACTCTTCCAGATTTGCGGAGCTTCCGGCTGATTGGATTATATTAGATCGACCAAAACTCAACTCTACCATGCACGATCTCGTCTGTCCAGATCCTCAGTGCACCTAATACCCGCCGAGGCTTCCTTGAGCATATCGTCGGGCCACTCCTCAGTGCAAACCGAGGCCGACCCTATACCCTTTCTGAGGCATTGCAGGAGGTAACGGTAACGGCAGACAAGCTTGGACGATTTGGTCAGTGGTTCCAACTACGCTGGGGCATTGCGCATGACATTCTAACATAAAACAATAGACCTTTTCCAGCAGCCAATCTCGGTTCACTTGGATGAGTCGACGAATGGTCAAACTGGAATCCGTAACATCGATGTGATCCTTGCTGCTAAGGAAAAGTCCCGTTTGCTCTTGAAGACCGGTACCGATCTTGGAAATGCAGAAGGCTCAGCTTATGGAAATCTCCTGTGGCGCAATGTGTTTGGTGGTGCCGAGACCCTGAACCTCAATGCCTCGTTGGGCACCCGTACACGGTCCGCTTACCAGGCTGCTTTCGAGACTCCCGTCTTGGGCGACCCTGATTTCCGCCTGGAGATTGGCGGAATCGCAAGTGCTACTCAGAAATCCTGGGCTAGCCACGAAGAAGTTGTCAAGGGAGGTTGGGGTAAGCTCCGATGGCTTTCCGGATCTGGACACCGCCACGAGCTGGGATACAACGGGTTCTGGAGACAACTTACTGGTCTGGCAGAGAACGCTTCTCCCACCGTCCGGGCTGATGCTGGCGATAGTGTAAAGAGCAGCATCTTCCACAGCTGGGTCAATGAGCAGCGCGACAACCCCATGTTGCCATCTCGCGGATACTATGCGAAAATCTTTAACGAGGTTGCTGGTCTGGGTCCTTTGAAGGGTGATGTGGCTTTCTGGAAGTCGGAGATTGAGACACAGAGTGCTCTTCCCATTCCAATTCCCGGCATCAAGGGTGACAGCGGCATCAGTCTCACCACTGGTTTCCGCGCCGGTCTCTTGTATCCTCTGGGCTTGGGTTCTAGCTCTACGCCTCAACTCTCCCGGGTCAATGACCGCTTCCTCCTTGGGGGACCTACCGATGTTCGGGGATTCCGTCTATGTGGCCTGGGTCCCCGTGAAGGTGCTGATGCTCTCGGTGGTGATGTCTATGCTGCCGGAAGCGCCAACTTGCTTTTCCCGCTTCCCCGAGTAGGTGCCGACAAGCCTCTGCGTTTGCAAGCTTTTGTGAATGGTGGTCGATTGCTGCCACTGCAAACCTCGCAGAAGAACGCACCTTCTACCAGTGCAGAGGCGCAAGATGCGATGGTTTCTACTTTCTCCGAGCTGCAAAATGGCCTTCCTAGTGTTGCTGCCGGTTTTGGCATCGTCTATGCCCATCCGGTAGCGCGATTCGAGCTGAACTTTTCTCTTCCTCTGGTCCTGCGAAAGGGCGAAGAGGGCCGGAAGGGCTTGCAACTTGGAATTGGTATCAACTTCCTGTAGAAACATTCGTCTTATTTAGAGCTTAGCGAACTCGATTTATGCCTTACTTATTCTAAATAGGAAGTAGAAAGTGAAGACCCATTCTGTCCACTTTTGATTGGTTAAATAAGCGTACGGAATTCCATGCGGGACTGAGTCAGCACTTATCTGCCCAGTTGGACACTTGGAGCTTCTAGACTTCTAACTCAGCTAGCTTCAACTCCCTTTTTAGATCAGACTTCACTATCTCCAGACCACCCAAACATCCACGCTCCTTCCCTAGACTTGCCAGTGATGGCGCAATACTACCCGCAACAGCAACAGCAGGGCTATGCCCCTCAAAGCTCGGCTCAAAACCTCCAGTTCTTCCCCTCAACCTACTCCGCAGTCTCTGGACATACTACCCCTTCACAAGCGTCCTATGGTACTGGATTTGGCGGCGCACCCAATCCGGCATCGCAGGCCTATACCGCTGGTGGATATGGTGGCTTCGGCTCGGCTGCTGCCGGCGTGAGCGGGAGGATGGGAGAGCAGGGTGGTTTGAGGACTGGCTGGTTGGCTGCGTTTGGGACGGAGGGCTATGATGGTGAACCGCCGCTGTTAGAAGAGCTGGGAGTTAACTTTGAGCATATTCGAACAAAGGTGAGTTGGGCACAATTGGGTCCAGAAGGGACGAACGCGCGGACTAGATACCATGCGATATGAACATGGCGGAGTATAAGCTTACCATTACTCTTCTCAGACCCTCTCAGTGCTAAATCCATTTGCTTCAATTGATAACCACCTCATGGATGATAGTGATCTCTACGGTGCCCTCCTTTACATTGTCCTCTACGGTACTTTTCTTCTCCTCTCTGGAAAGGTCTTCTATGGCTACATCTATGGCGTTGCAGTCTTTGGCACTGTTGCCCTGCATCTTATCCTTAGTCTTATGTCGCCCGCTCTTGATGCTGCGCCACCGACACCGAACGCCGCCGATCCTAACAACTATAACCCTCACCACAAACCTTCTATGTCTACTGGCTCCGTCGGCCATTTTTCTTCCACTTTGACTTTCCCCCGCTCAGCCAGTGTTCTGGGTTACTGTTTCCTTCCCCTGGTTATGACTAGTGGCGTTGGTATTCTGCTGCCTATGGATACCCTATTCGGTTATCTCTTGACTATTGCTGCTGTGGGTTGGTGCACTTACAGTTCATCAGGCATGTTCTGTGCCGTAGCGCGCATGAGTGGTATGCGAGGGTTGGTGGCATACCCCCTTGCTCTATTTTATGTTGTCTTCGGCATCATGGGAATATTCTCATCTCGGGGCACAGGCACTCTTGCGGTCAAGACTGGTGCTGCCTAAGGAAATGTATCTTTTGTTTTTTCTTGTTCAGCCCGGAAAAGTCCATATTTCTTGTTGAATGGGTATTCATGCCACTCTTCTCTTTTTTTCGATCAAATACCCGCGGGTGGGTTACATTGGGGAGAAGCTCTTTTATTCTATCTACTTTTTGCATCTAATCATGAAACTTACGAGATTCAGCCTGTGTTATAATTCATTATGCATCATTAGCTTCGTCGGTACCCAATCTAAATATATATATATAGATACTTTCCCTACATTCATCTTACTCTTGAGCTCTAAGAATCAACACCCCTCTCCCCTTGCGTGGGTGCCCATCTGGCAAGCCACTCTCTCGTCTTCTCCAGGTCTCCACAGGCAGCCTCTGCACCAGCAACACACCAGGCGAGGTCGTAGGCTTTGTCTCCAGTAGCGCCCTCGGCACAGATCATCTGTGCTAGGTTACGACGAACCTGGCCCGTTTCATCGGTGCAAAAATAGACGGGCTCAGTATTCTCTTGATCAGGTTTAGTGTTGATACCATCAACAAGAGGCCGTATCGCCTTCATGATATCGGCCACAGTCATGGCAGAAGCAGACGCAGATTGGGTGTTTTGTTTCCCTGTTTTACAGTACTGGTTCTGGCACCATTGCTTGCCACATCCCGTCATCATCTGTGACAGATATCTCCGCTCAATCCGTCGACGTAGCGCCTTGCCCTCTGGATCGTACGTGTCCACATACAATGGTCCAAAGCAAATGTTGCATAGGGCAAGGGACTTGCTCCCGGCGTTAGAGAGAGTGCGTCCGCAATTCTGGTTCAGGCAGATACGGGGCGCTCGGCGGGAGACGCGCTCCAGCTCGTGATGGCGAAGGTGGGTGTTCATATCCCGGAGCCGGACAATCTTATTGCATAGGTGGCATTCTGTCGTGCGGCCTCCATCGACCAGTTCGTGAGGGGTAAGTCCGGAGACCATGACTTCTGGATCGTGGAGATCTGGGTCTGACTCGCCCTTTTGTGGTACAAGAAGGTGGCAGAATTGACAGAGAATCAGCTTGCCTGGACACTCAGTAGTACGGTGCTGTGCTAGTGCAGGCAGCCCTTCAAATTTAGCATCGCAATCTGGACAGTCGTGGTAGCTGTGGAAGATCGAGTCGTGACTCTCTTTACTGGATACATCACTTCCATAGGACGAATCGTGGGGACAGTGCCAGTGCTGCTCCCATTCGGGAGATCGCTTCTGGAAAACGTTGTGACATTGGGTGCAGAAAATGTTGTTCCGGAGACAAAAGTTTTCGTGGAGAACTAATGTTCGCTGCGGCACCCATTGCTGACAATTGTGGCACTGGACCTCACCGAGCTCATGCGTCTCAACCTCTTGCCCAGCTTCTTCAGGGGCATCATTTGCCACGATGCACAAATGATATTGTATTGGAGATTTCGATGTCTCTTCGTCGAGGGAAGTTGCATGAACTGATATATAAAGAGCCTCAGCACCTTCTAGAGCGACATTTGTCGGTTTTATCTCCACTTGTTTAGAAGTTTGAGATGATAAATCACCCCAGACATGCATGTCTGCCCGCGGTTTGCCTCTTTGCCGTGCGCCATAAGGGCTGACGAAAAGACAGACTTGATCATCCGTCGTGAGTTTAACTCGGAGTGTATCACCACGGTTCCATTCTCGAATCTCATAATCAACGTATTCACCCGGCAAGACCTGGGCGTCTATACCTTCCGAGAGAGAGAGCAAACCACCAACTGAGCTGCCGCTCGTTGTACCTGGTGCGCGCGCAGATCGTTCCAATCGTTTCTGCAACGTTTCCCGGGCCTGCTCTTCTGACAAAGCTACGATATCCACTTCCAGATCCGTATCCACGATGCAGATGCTGTCCCCTTCTGGGAAAACTTTATCAAGCAAGAACCGGAAGGATTCTTTGCGTGTTCCCGGCACGGTGAGCAGCTCGCCGACAGTCAGGGTGGTGAAATTATCTCGCAGATATCGCTCAAGTAGAGGCTTCCAATCCTCCTCATAGCCAGCCTCGAGCGGACGTAGGCGCACGTATGTGCCTTTTGGTAGTTGTTTCGCATGCACTGTAACGATAGGGCCGGTTCTTGATGGTTGGGTCACTTGATCGCCTGTTTCAGCGGCCTCTAGCTCACCATTCACGTCAGCTGTGAAATCACCGTCCTCTATACCCAATGACTCTTGTAGCAGAGTACTCAATATCACCTCGTTCTCCGCGGCGGAGAACTCTCGGATCCCAGCGTGTACAATGCGGCCATTTTTAGGATTGACAATACGAAAGGTCAGCGGGTGAGGAAGTTGCTGTTGGCGCTCTTCAGTCCGTTCACGAGCGTGAGCCTCGGCAGCAAAAGTGTGGGAGTTGAAGGGGTCGAAAGTCGTCGTGTGTACGCGGGGATTGGGATTCGAAACCGCCTGGAGGGGCGCTGCGGCAAGGAGCTGTTCTAGTGCGGATTGAGGTAGAATAATCTTATCGCCCGATAATCTTGATGCTCGTTGAGAAACAGCTACGGTCAATGGGGCTGACCAGGTCAAGGTATTATTCGCCATGATGGGAGAGTAAAGAAATTCATTGTAGTGCTGGGTTTAAAGATTTAAGGTGGATAAGAGATGGGTAATCCATGGGAACTTCTGGAATGCTCCCCCCACGTATTAAACTACGCTTAGCTAATTCAAGCTTAGAAATCTTTTAATTGTTCATTAACTATTTAAATAGTTACAGCGTAGTTACATCCTTGGATGTTGGCGGTTCATTCGAGGATTCCATCCGCCATGGTGCAGGCCTATGATGGGTCTCATGGCTATAGCATTACATGCACGGCACTGCTCCCGTGTTAGTTGATTTCTTTGTATTCCTCGCGCGAACTTACCATGCAAGCGTTGCTTCCAATATCGTGGTCCATGCAAAACCCGCCTCCACAGCTTTGGCAAGAACGTATGGTATCCACCTTGCAATTGTCACACTGGAGAAAATTACGAGTCAGAGAATATAAAAGAGTGATAGACATGTACTGGTTGTAATACTCACCGTCGGCCCACATTCTGAACAGTCTTCGCTGACTCCTCTTTGAGATGGCTAAGAGTCAAAGTCAGTCATGATGTTTTACATAGTCTATTTCCTGTGATCCCTTGACATACCGCATGAGCTATTGATTGTGTGTTACTTTCGACGGGGTTTGGCAGACAACTTGAACAGATCCACTTATTGCACTTCCTGCACCAGCCTTCCAGACACTCAATGCAACGAGCATTCAGACATGGCTGCTGCCCTTTTATAAATTCTGGATCCTGAGCCACCAATACACTAGACAAATGCAAAGGTACAGGGTTCAGCAATGGAAACTGGGTACCGGCTGATGGGCTCCAGATTTCAGGCCCCTCAGGGGAGCTGTGGCATACATCGCAGCCCCCAGGCCCCAGAGCCACAGTAGCCAATGCAGGTTCCAATGGCGGGCCTGTAGTATTGGCATTGACATCATGTCGCAATCCTCGGCACAACACCGCATCGAATGCAATAATACCCTCGCATTTTTGTAGAGTATATGCCCACTCTTTGGTTGCTGGACGGCTTATTCCACTCAAAACTTTTCCAGAAGCGCGATACCACTCATTTTGCTGCTTTCCTCGCTCGGCTTCCCGGTTCGATGAGTCTGGAGCAGCTCTAAGATTGCGAGATTTCTGAGATGCCCACCAGTCGTGGATTCTTGGCTTCGGCGCGTGTGAGTTCTTCTTGGGACTGGAAAAGAAGTATATTCCCTTTAATTTTGGAGTACCCTCCGGGCGTTCTGGTCTAACAGCATGCTCAATAACTTGCCTAAGCTGGTGATGGCTTAGGTCTGGACACTGCCGAATGGACAGAATCTTGACATTTGTGCCTTCAACAATATCTTTCACGATCCTGGCGGGCACGGAAAGTCCATCCAGAATCAGGGTCCGGATATCTTGCAGAATAGATTGTTTCTCTAAACTTGAAAATATGTGACGTATCGGAGCTGAGTATTCCTCATCTGCATTATCATCAAAATCCACCAGTGAATCTGACTTTATTCGTGGCAAGTATGATAATCTTTGTGATCGAAGCGATGCACTCCGGCAACGGGTAAGATCGAGATGGCGGAAGACATAAGGGGTCTTAGTTATAATGGCATGGATCTCGCGTGAGGTTGCCGACAAGGCCATCAAGTCCGGAGCCTGAAGGTATGGTGCCATGCGATCAAGAATAAGGCCGTTGGTCAAGAGATGCTCGAGAGGAGCTTGTGATCTTAGTGTTCCGCTTCCAGAATCGACATATTCGATGATTGTCTCCGGGGTCAGCTCGCGTACTGTTGGCGCTAGATCTGGCCCTTTCACTTCTAAAGAAACAAAGTGGATATCAGAGGCATAGTTTTTGATATTCTGGCGGTACACGATATCATCTCCAATATTGTTTGAAGACAGCCAAACTCCAAGTGCAGACATCTTTAACGTGCTGAAGAAGTGAGGAAGTTTGTGTGGCGTTAGAGAGAGGTGAGAGATTCAGGATTCACAGAGGGACCTTTAATTCGAAATGTTTAATGGTGGATATATAAAAGACAATTGATGGGCAGATCATATGAGATCAAATTATAATTCAGATCACCAAATAGCACTTGGGTAGGTAGGTAGGTAGGTAAAGGAAGTAAGTAAGAAATAAAGTAGGTATTTAGTACCTAGGTATATATCATAAGTATGATAATGAGAAATAACGAAGAATGTACACTAATGCAGACTCAGACTGCAGGATCCGGGGATGCCTTTTTATAATACGAAGAATATAATCATTAAACAAGGGAAGGACGGAAGCTGATGTATGGAAAATGCCTAAAAAATACACCGAAGAACGTCAGATGAGAGGTGGGGCCAGCATGGCATGTTGAGTGGAAAGTACTTTCAAGGTACATGGATGATATCAGGAATGTAAGGATTAAGACTATAGGCAGATTAAAGCCAGGTACTGGGTAAGTATCTATTACTCCTGCAAATCCTACCCTAATTTTTATATACCCAGTCAATCCAGCCTAAATCCAGAACTAACTAACTGAACTTATCTCCACTGATCTGCCCTTTTATCCTCTTAAGTCAATGCTTGATCCACTTTGTTCTCGAATTCTTTGTTAGTTTTTCTTTATTCTTGTTATGGTTTTGACATCTGGTAGAAGGATGCGTGGTCCAATGGGTTACAGCTCAATCTAATAATATCTGACATTCACTATTCAAATTTTAAGATAATCAAACATAGGAAAATGGGATTCTCAGCTCTTTCATAAAATCTTAGATAGAACTCGGCAATAGAGATTCTGATTCTGATCTAGACTGCCAAGACGCTCCTTCACTCTGGGGAGATCTGCGCCAAGTCAAAAAGGAGTTTATCTGGCATTCTGATACACAATGTACATAGTTTCTTGTACTAAAAGTTTTGTGTCTAGGTGAGATCACTTCAATGCCAAGGTCTTGGCCAAGAGGTAGCTATCATTCTATCACTCCGCTCCAGGTCCCCCCTGGTAGATATGCGCCACTTCAATAGTCTCGCCAAGATAAAAGGGATGACAGCCAAGCCAATTCTTGATAATTCTTGCCAGTTCTGTGCCGTACATCCAACTCGAGGGCAGTGCAGGATGTGGTCCACTTGGAGTCGTGGAGTCGCGGGGGAAGCCAATCATTGATAATATACGCTACACGTTGCAAGGTTGATCAAGGCGGGAGTATTGCTTCTTTCTCCAGACTTTTTCAGGGTGAGTATTTAGGGGGTCATTCTCGGGATGTAAATTCCGAGGATCAAGATATTAGGGTAGGATTAGATACTAGTCATACAGGATATTGATCATTCCCTATGCACAAATCCCCCCTCATGTCATGAGCCAAGTCTATTTCCACAACTTCGAAACTGCAACTTCCTTGTCGTCGTGCTTGTTGAGAATCTTGGCGGTGGCCAGGTCGAAGTCTTCCTGTGTCACGTGCACTCGTCGTTCACGTAGTGCGTACATGCCTGCTTCCGTGCAGACACCCTTGAGTTCGGCTCCGGAGCAACCATTCATCTTCTCCGCGATCTTGGTAAGGTTAATACCACGGGTCAAGTTCATCGATCGAGAGTGGATCCGTAGAATGTCGGCACGAGCCTCAACACTGAGGAGAGAGAAATATAGTTAGTATCAAATAAAATAACATCAACTGGAATTTCAGTCCCAAGAATGACTTACGAAGGCGGAGGGAACTCGATCTTGCGGTCAATACGTCCTGGTCGCAGCAGGGCTGGGTCGAGAATGTCCAATCTGTTGGTGGCCATAATGATCTTGATGTTCTTGGTCGGCTCGAAGCCGTCCAGTTGATTAAGCAACTCCAGCATTGTCCGTTGCACTTCCGAATCACCACCTCCTGCTGAATCTATCCGGCTGGATCCAATACTGTCGATCTCGTCCATAAAGATGATACTTGGGGCATGCTCACGAGCCATGACGAATAGCTCTCGCACCATCCTGCTTCCCTCACCGATGTATTTCTGCACCAGCTCCGAACCACTCACACGGATAAATCGACAGTCGGTGTGATGGGCTACAGCTCGAGCCAGCAACGTCTTTCCAGTACCGGGAGGACCATACAGCAGGACACCCTTAGGTTGCGCAATACCCAGGGACTCGAACAGCTCGGGGTGCTTGAGACCGAGCTCGATTACCTCCTTGATTTCCTTGATCTGTTGGTCTAGACCACCAATCATATCATATGTACTATCAGGCACCTTCTCCACCATCATGAGGGAGACCAGGGGATCAACGGAGGATGGCAGCATCTTTTCCAACTTGTAGGAATCTGAGAGAAGGGCAACGCGTTTTCCCACGGTGAGCTTTGAAATATCCACGCCGTCTGCGATATCGACCACTATGGAGCCAAGGTAGTTAGAAAGGTATATTCCTCCAGATAATGCATGACTGCTTCACATACCGTATTTCCCTTCTGGGTGTACCTTGACCAAAACCTTTTTGGTGCTCATGACCTTGACTACTTCGCCGACGTACGAACCAGGCTGCTGCAACAAGCCCAACTCCTCTCGCAAGAGACGCACTCGCGAGTTGTAATCATTGCGCTGTGCTTCTAACCTTCGTAGAACTGCCTGGCCCTGGATGATTTCAAGCTTCATGCCCTCAATCTTATTGCGGTAGTAATTGTCCAACGCCATGGTTGATGGTAAGCAATGACGCTATCTGGACAATTTCAAGGGTTTGGATGTGTTGTATCGAGTATGACTGTATATGAAGAGTTCCGCTTTTGATTCCAAATAGGTCCAGTTATATGGAAAGATGAAGGGTGAGAGTTGAAAGATGATGTTGCAATGGGGTACATCAACGACGGAGCTGGACGAGCTTCGAAGCTGCGGGAACCAAAACACATGACCTGTGGAAACGTGACCTTAAACCTCAGGCATCAACAAGGCATCAAAAATGATGAATCAGTATTTATTTATGCGTAGTTAACTATTTAAATAGTTAGATAGTGAATAATTAAGCTCTTAATTATCCAAGCACTGCGCCACGGGGCAGGGGCGAGCTTATCTCACCTATAGCAAAATACCACGACAAGCGGGTTCAGTGGAATTCTAAGCATCGTGATCGGCCGCTGTTTTGCGGTCTACTTGATAGCCGCCCGGCGCCGACTGGATTTTGAGAGACCATCAGCAACAAGAAGCATACAAACATGGTCCAAGAGATGGAAATTCTAGTAGGTATCCCAGAACCACTTAATAGCACAGATCTACGATGTGGAGCATTGAAGGGCGTTGTATATATTAAGAAACAGATACGGGGTGTCGCATCACATTCGGTAGCCGCTGTAAGCGGCCATTCTGCGGAAAGTTTCCTAAACGGGACTACAGCTCTATACACCGGAACGATATCAGAGCTGATCTGGTCACTTCGAGCAGAAGATGATTTTCAAGATCTAAAAGCTCCTATCGCCTCCGGTATCAGATTTAATCCGCGACCGTCTACTGAAAAAGAGGTTAGGGAGTGGTGCGAACAAAATGATTTAGATCTGAAGTCTCATAAAGGGCGCAATAAAGGAGGGCAAGCGTTACGAAACAAAAAGAGAAAAGGTGGCGCAAGGAGGCGGAAGAAGAGGTGGATGATTATCAACTACGAGCTTTGGATTCCACCTTGACTAATCAGGTGCCAATAGGCATCATTGCTCTCCTTATTCTTCAGATACTAATGACTGTCAATCAGTGTCTTGCGCTCTGCTGGAATGAGATTCGGCGATCCATTCGATATAGAATGCGTCATTATTGCTGACAAGCTTTTGAGATGAAACAAAATAGAATACTAGAAGGAGATATATAAAGAAGCAAAGCAGAGGTGGGCAAGCAATGGGTGTGAGCGAAGGTGTGGAGAAAGCAGGAATCTTTGAAGATAAAGGGTTGAAGTGTTACCTTCAGATCTCTGCATGGGTAGAGAAAGAGCTCAGAATGGCTGAATCTGAGATTGGAAATATCTAACCAAATAGCTATTTAAATAACTATTTATCAGAGGAATTATCTTAGTCAAATAAAAAGCCGAAAGGTAACTAACTATGCATCTCTCGGAAGGTCCGTATTTAGTTGTTTATTATCTTTTACCCACTTTCTCCATTAGTAATAAGGCTCAGCGAATCAGAGACAGTTTACTATCTGATTGGTGGGGATTAATCGAACCGCGGGTCATCTGGAGCTCTTTGACTGCACGCTCTTTGCACCGTCGCCTGCATCCTTCATACACATCTCAGCTGATGCTCAAAGAGATTGTTCTGTTGCAGCTGGTTTTCCCCGCCATGTAACTGCTGCTGTCAACCACTTCTGACGATCTTACACTTTACTTGTTTTGTTTTGCTTATTCTGGATTTCAACACGAAAAAAAAGATGGCTGGCGATAGAGGAGATTCAGATAACACCGGCCCAACTAGGTCGGGTATCGCAGACGACTATGCCAGTTCTTCAGCGCCTCCTGTGAGGTCCTCTGCACCGAGAAATTACGGTATGGGCATAAGTATAACCCTCGAAAACAAACATGTGCTAAATCCGCGGACAGGCACTCTGGATTCATTTTCCTCCGAATTATCTGAAGCACGCAACGAAGAAACGCAAACCCAAGACGTCATCTCTACACCCGGCTTTTTACCTCCCACCGTTCCTGACAAGCCACGGAAACCGTCCATGACCCGTATGTCATCCAAACGACATGTGCCCCATAAAAGACAGGGATTTTCCACAGATGACGATGCTAAGGAAGTTGAGGAGGCCCAAAATATTGCTTACCAGCATGCTCGCACCGCACCATCACCGAGAGTCCGTCCTATGAGCTCTACTCTGAGACGACGAACTAGCACACATCCCAGCCCACTAAAGCGCTTGGATTCGGACAATATAAGCGCTACAGACATCGGGGAGCCCAGCGTGGAATTTATTGGTGACTCTCATTCCCTGCAACAATCGGATTCAGAAAGTGAAGCAGATATCATTGATGAATCTCAGGAGATAGATGAAGACGTAACCAGTGAGGAAGATGCCGACATGACGCTCAAGGATCGACAGGCAGCCATCAATCAGACTCATCCGTTCGGAATCAGGATTTGGAAGCCTGCCGTGTACAAAAAGAGCCGATCGGTGGAAAAAACCGCAGAGGGCGATATTCATTCATCTCCCGGTGGTCATGTCAGCCCATTCTTGTATATCTTCAACCTATTGTGGTCCCTGTGCTTTGGATGGTGGTTGGCACTGGCTGCTCTATTGGCTGCAACTGCATGCTTCTTTTTCTCTTATTCGCCTAGCGCCCTGGCCTATGCAAGAGTATTCTCTGGACTCTCCCGCTATCTACTTTATCCCTTTGGATCTTTTGTGCTCCTCGAAAGCGACGCAGTCTATGCCGAAGAGGACGAAGGGGAGGGCCGTAGTATCAGCGAATATGAACAATGGCAAAATGGCGATCTGGAATATGGCCGTTTATTCTTCGGCCCCCGCAGAGATCGATCGCTCGTTGGGCGCCGGCGCAATAGCGTTGACTCTGCGGGCGAGCAGGATAGTCTCCTGGGACGTCCTCAGCGAGGCCAACGAGAGGATTCCCAATATGTCTCTACTAAAAGTCGCTTTTTCGGCCGTGGCGAATGGACCCTGGGCCGCGTGGTGTTCTTCGCGTTCTTCTATTTCCTGGTGGGACCGTTGATGCTTGTGGTGTCGCTTATCTGCTGGCTTTTAGTATTCTTCATTCCAATGGGTCGTGTGACACTCATCCTCGCTAGTCACCTACGACGCCATCCTCTGGCCTTGTCATTCCATTCAGATTCGTCCTATGCGAGACTCAGCTCTGGATCTTCGTCACCTTCTATTCTCCTCTGCACCTACCGAGCTGCTGGAACACGGTATTGGAAGTATACAATTGATGGAACAAATATCTTTTTCATTAATCTCCTTGTTATCGTCTTCTTTGTGATTGCCGATTATTTCTTTCTTTCACGGTTCCTTGGTGTGGAATCCTGGTTAACACATCCTGGACTCATATTCACTCTTGCATTGTTTTCAATCATTCCCTTGGCCTATTTCATCGGCCAGGCTGTGGCTTCAATCTCGGCCCAGTCCTCAATGGGCGTCGGTGCCACCATCAATGCCTTCTTCTCTACAATCGTAGAAGTGTACCTCTATTGTGTCGCATTGACAGAGGGCAAAGCTCACCTCGTTGAAGGAAGTATCATCGGCAGTATCTTGGCAGGCCTTCTCTTCCTGCCTGGATTATCTATGTGCTTTGGTGCCATTCATCGTAAGACACAGCGGTTCAATGTGCAATCCGCCGGTGTCACCTCGACGATGCTCCTGTTTGCCATCATTGCCGCGCTCGGTCCTACCCTTTTCTACGAGGTCTATGGTAGTGTAAGCTTGCCTTGGTTCTGACTCACCTTTTTATTGCAATATCGGCTAACAGTTGAGTAACAGCACGAGCTCAATTGCCATGCATGTGTAGGCTCAAACGATCGAGATTGCCGCCAGTGCTATTTCAGTCAGAGCACTTCGGTGTCGGACAATTTCTATGAGAAAGCTGTCCAGCCGTACGTTTTCTTTTCCGCCATTTTCCTTTTCTTTTCATACGGTATCGGTCTCTTGTTCACACTGCGGACCCACGCTGCTACTATTTGGTCCGAATCCGAAGAGAAGGAAAAGAAGGTTCACAACACTGTTCAAGACTCGATTTCCCATGAGCCACGGCAGTTCACCGTGAATGAAACCCCTGAAGCCTCGGGTGCCATTCCAAGCCGCAAGGACTCGATCCGCGAATCTCCATTGTACAAGCGAATCCTTGGACAGTCTCTCATAGATGTTGGACTGGATGGGAACACAGAGCAGAATGATGGCGATTCGCTAGTTGATAGTGTTTACCTCGTTCCCCCGCGCAATGCAGACGACGATCGGTCTATCATCAAGGGTATCCAGGGTTTATCGGGAGAGGACAACGAACGGCTCGTGCGCCGGGTCACGGAGGTTGTGGCTACAGCAGCCGCAACAGCTGCTCGTGATGATGCTCGGCGTCGCAAGCCTACGACCACGCAGGCTTCCGGAAATGCTGAAGAGAGTGTTCCCGTGGAGTCTGCCCATGCCCCCGGCGGACATGATGCTCCAAATTGGAGCAAAGCTAAAAGTTCCATTATTCTTCTTGGAGCGACGGTTCTTTATGCAATTGTGGCAGAAATTCTCGTCGACACGGTCGATGTGGTGCTTGAAAGTGTGGATATCGATGAAAAGTTCCTTGGCATCACGCTCTTCGCTCTAGTACCGAACACGACTGAATTTTTGGTAAGCAGAAGATACTAACTCATCCGCGGGAAAGAAATCGACCGAGTAAAGTACTGACATGTCGCATAGAACGCCATTTCGTTCGCAATGAATGGTAACATTGCATTGTCCATGGAGATCGGTTCAGCATACGCTCTACAAGTCTGTATGCTGCAGATCCCAGCTTTGGTCTTCTTCAGTTCCTTCTACACCCGCTCCATTGACCCTGCTCAGCTTGTGAGCCATAGTTTCAGGTTATTTCCACTCTCTGCCCTATTTCAAGATCGTATTACTCACATATTTCCTACTAGTCTTATCTTCCCTCGATGGGATATGATTGTTGTCATCCTGTGTGTATTCCTTTTGTCAAACGTCCAAAGTGAAGGTAAGAGCAACTATTTCAAGGGATCGATCCTAGTCCTGACCTACCTGGTCCTGGTGATCGGATTCTACTTGTCCGGTTACAGCAACCTGGACAGTATGGGAATTGATCGATTCGACACCCTTGCTCTCGGCAACAGCTACTCTGCAAAGTTCAACACTGTTGGCCGAGGCCCAGCTGGTATCGCTTATTAATACTTCAGAGAAGCCTGAAGTCTCGCTCTATGCCCCATCATAGCACCTTTCATTTGCATAGCGCTTCTATGTCTTGCATCTACCTATGACCATATCGCTTTGTGTTTTCCTAAATCGCTTGATCTTTAATCTTTTAATATTTGCTGCGTGGATCTTTGAACGGGAGATATGTGAATATGCTTATTTTTTGAAGTTGAACATAATTGTGTATCTATTATCGTTACTTTGGCCGACTTAGACTAGATGATTTTGGTATTTTTTAACTGCGATTAAAACTATTGACTTGCGAAATGCGAATTATTCCGCACTATTTCGGTCGTTTCAAGCAGACCTATATTATGTACGTAGGCACATTCCACGGCTAGGTGCCACCAAAATTTTTGACTGCCCAGATGTGAAAATACTCCAGACGATCTGATGTATCATCCTGAATCTTGGAAACGAGATTACGCTAGACCTGATTAGGCAAATTATCCACATACTAAATATGGTACACAGATCGGTGCCCCACCTGGGCAGCTTTTCTTACAAACCCATATCAAGAATCAAGATATTAGTACCTGAGTGTACCTAGGTATTGAGGAGGAGCTAAACCTAGTGACGATCATTAGTCTTGGTGTATAGGTTATTCACGATGTGACAGTTCCGTATTTAATTAGCATATTACTTACTTTATGGCGAAAATAATATGGAATTGTCGTTAATATATTACCTAGGTAAGTATTGATCTAAGTCGAGACCCAGTCACCGACGGCCTCATTAACCAGCTGACGGTATTTTTGCTGCCTAAAGCACTGTTCTAAGAAGACTTGGTATTTGGCTTTCAGGAGAGCCTTCTCCTTCACCTCTACTGTTGGCATCACCTTCTTTCCAGGCTTGCTCATCCGGTCCATAATAGCCCACAAGTCCTCGGTCTTACCATGCTTGTCGGCGCTGGCGGCCTTTGCACCCAGCATAGCTGCGCCATGGCATACGGCGGCGTGAATATATTGTGGGATTATGACGGGCATGTCACAGGCCGATGCGATAAGATTGACTAATATCTCATTCTGACACTGCGAGCCTGACATGAAAATAGATTTGATTTTGTGGCCTGCATGGTTCATCGTGTCGACAATTTGCTTCGTTTGGAGAGCGATGAATTCTAGGGTTGCGTAGTATTGGATGGCGAGTCCGTTGATGGTCTTGTCACTTGTTAGACCGATGACGGACCCGGTCATGCTCTGGTCTGCAATTGGGGATCGGTTGCCCCATAGGTCACCATAGAAAAAGAAGTGACGTGCCAGGTATGCGATGCATGGGGCTTGTTGCTCTTCCATCATTTTATTCAGGTGGTGATTTAGATACTCATAGATATTGGATTTGTGGGATTCGGCGATAGTGGTGACGTGGTCGAAGGCAGCGTGTGTATTGATGACATGTTGAAGTAACTCTCCCGTCGCAGATTGGCCACCTTCAGACATGGAATATCCAGGAATAATAGTGTCTGAATATGGGCCCCAGACACCGTTGACAAAGATAGGATTCGGAGACATTACCAAATGGCAAGTTGAGGTTCCAGCGACTGCAGCAAGACGAGAAAATGCCTGCATTTTGTCATTCTTGGGCACATCACCATTCAACTCGTTTGGGCTCAAGTTGGCTTTCGCGCCGACGGTGCCAATCCAACCGGCATATGCATCGATCACGCCACTGCCAATCGGAATTCCGGCCGGAAGACCCAAATCTGATGCAGCCTTTTCGCACAAATAACCAACGAGCTCTCCAGCACCGAGATAGTCACCATTCTAGTGAAAGACGTCAGTTGAACCGTTCACCATCAGCACGTAAGGCTCACTACCTTATCAACTCCGCCCATACGCTTGAAATTGTCCTCGGCCAATTCAGCTAGACCAATACCGTGCAGAAAATCAATGTCCCATCCCTTCACGCTCCCATCGGCACCGACAGGTACATATGCGTGTTTGATACCCTCACTGCAGAGGCGCTGTTTCTCGCCTCCAGTAGCAATATGTGTGAGGGCATCTGCCAAGTCATAAAAACTGCATTTATCGAATAGCTTCTCAGGCATGTGATTTTTCAGCCACAGAACCTTGGGAATCTCCATCTCAGCTGAAATCGTACCCCCGACATATCGAAGCAAAGGGTGGTTAATGAAATTGATTTTGGCGGCCTCGTCGACCGGGCGGTGATCCAGCCAGAGAATGATGTTGCGGTCCGTATCAAAGTTGGGCCCTGTCACTGAAACTGGCTCATTGGTTTCGTGATTGAAAACAGCTAGGGAACATGTTGCATCAAATCCAATGCCGCGTACTGTATCGGGGCCGATGTTGTTCTCGTGAATGGCTCGCTGTACGGCAATGCAGACGCTACTCCAAGTATCGGTAGTGGATTGTTCCTAGTCACGCGAGTTAGTTGGTAACAAGGTAGACTAGTTCCATCCTGCGAGGTTTAGCCTACATAGTAGCCGTGTTCTGGTTGCCAGAGACCAATGTTCTGGTGGGCCAGGCCCACAATGTCTCCCTTGGCGTTCATGATACAGGCACGGGCACTGCTAGTTCCAACATCAATGCCAATGTAATAATCCGAGTGAGCTGAAAAGTTCTCCTGGAGGTCAGTGGAGGCCTGACGAGAGTTCTCAGGCAGCGAGGCCATTGTTGCGGTTTTGTTTCTTGAATTCTGGACGAAAAGTAGAAAGAGGTATCTCCGAATTCTGATGATCTGATTAAACTGATTATTGGATTTTAGAATAATCAGAAACCAAGCATTGGGTGCGAAGTATGAATTGGAATGAACATTCCCCAAAACTACTGTGGGGTAAATGATATAAATCTGGCAGAATTCATCACCGCTCACATCTTAACTTATCGGTGTGAACGATTTAGGTAGCATGCCCAATGAACGAAGTTTTATAAGCCCCAGAAGCAAGGTTCCAAGGAAATGACTTTCCAAAGGTTAATTATTATTTGGAGAAGCTCTTTCGAGTCTTCACTTCGTCGAGGGCGAATCTCATGGCTTTATAGCCCAGCCAATGACGATTTAGAAGAATTCTATAAACTTTAGTAAGCACTAGAATTAATAGTTAGATCCACAGCTGCTACAACCTTGAAATTTATCAATATTGAACTTTCAGAAGTGTAATAACATCGTGGAATGTGTATATGTACTTCTAAGAGACCCACTTTAGAAGCACGGACCAACTCCCAAGTTGGCGTTGAAATCGAACACCAAACTTCTTAAATCCACCTCCTTGCCCAAAATGCACCTCCTTTTTCTACTTGGGGCTATTTCACTTATAATAGCCTCTGTTATCGCTGATCCAATTTCGTCCGAGATCCTATACTGGCCAGTTGGGGCTCCGCAGCCCTCTGTTCTCGCACACGTCACTTACGACCCAGCATCCTTGAAATCCAACCTCGTCTCCTACCATCCTCCCACAGATACCCACCAGGATGATCTCATTCGAGTCGGTCTCTACACAGTGACACCTACCAACCCTAAACAGTGGAGTGGAAGTTTGACGTCACTGTCCTCTTTGATCGATGATAAGAACCAACTCACTTTCCGCCTTCATCTGGGTCCGGCCAGCGAGGCTTATCATGTGTCTCTGGCTCTATCTATCAATACTACATCAGATCCTCGGGTAGAGGCTGTGTATAGCATGCCTGGAACACAGCCGCATTTGAATCGACCTGTGGTCTTGAGCCCTGATGGACAAGCTCCCGAGGAGCCACTGGAGAAGACCATGCTCCAGAAGTAAGTCATTGCCGCTAAAGAGATCTAGGACGGGTTTGAAATTGACTGACCATTTTTTACTCGATCAGGTATTGGTGGGTACTTTTGATTATCGTCTTTCTCACCGTGTCCGGTGGTGGTGATGAAAAGTAACACACTTCGTAATATGTATATTGCAAATGGAATCAATGGCCCCTTTTTACATTCTTCAAGTTTTCAAGTTGTATATACCCTGTTTCCCGTGAGGGATTTAGCGTATTGCAGAGTGCGAAAATTCCAAGGTTTCCAAGGTTGTTATTAGTCTAGCTAAGCATGAGATAAAGCTGGAGTTATGAATGCAATCAGTGGTCAATTCGATATTTTCGAAAGGACTACCGGTAAAAAATGTTGACGGAATCACCGTAACCGACCAGCGAGCAGAGATACAATCCTTACAGCTGACGGCCTTGAGCAGAGTCATCAATCTGTATAGGATCTTTGATGTCGGTATCCGCGTTCAAATGCAAGAGCATGACACCCCGATCAGTTATAGCAATTAACTCATTCTCATTTCTGAGACTGTACTCGTCGTCCATAAAAAACAGTTGGGAGCATACGGCATCAAGGTGAATAACGACGGGGCGTAGCTCGACATGACCATCAGCTGTTTCCCATGAATCCTGATATGATGAAGAAGGCTCTTTCAAACTTGAAGAATTTCCGAGATAATTCTGGTCCAGAGCCCAGATGGTCACGGTCTTCCAACTGGCAATCGCAATTCGGGTTCCCGCCTCCGAGCAGGCAATTATGGACCCAGAGGAAGTAATTGACTCACGAAACCCTCCCAGCTGGAATTGGACCGTCCAATTGTTCAATCGTCTACCCCTTTCAATATTATCCAAATGGGTACAATGCGTGGCTCGAGGAGAGGCCTCGGACTTCAAGATGCATGCCACGGTCCAATCCTCGACCCTATGCTTCGCAATTCCAACGGCAAGATATTCCCAGTGGCATCGAGATCCGGGAGTTCTGCCAGTATTATGCGTATAATAGAAGGGAATTCCAATCGAAAATTCCAGTAGGTGTTCTTCAGAGAACTGAACAATGCATTTGTTCGGTTTGATGGCTGGTGTTGCTCGAGGATTACGTAGGAGCTCTCTGGGAAGTATCTGGTAGGAGCTGTAGAGAGAACGGCCTCTGTGGGAATACAATAGCTGGCGTCCACGGTCATTGAATTTCAGTTTGACTGGAGGTCCTGGTTGGTGAGAGATGTACTCGTCAGAATTGTCCTGGTCATCGACGTCCATGTCGTCAGCGCGAGGAACAAAGCAGTCCTGCAGAATAAAAGAGTCGTATTTTGATACGATGAGGCGAGCAGTCTCATCATAGTTCTCGGTAGCATCAATCCACATCTGATGTTCTTCCTCGTCGTCCAAATACCAAGGGGTACTTTCGTGGCTATCCATATCATCCTCATCATCCTTGTCTTCCTCTTCATCATCATCATCATCATCATCATCATCATCATCATCATCATCATCATCATCGTCATCCTCCTCATCATCCTCATCATTTACATTCTCGAAAGACATAGAGTAAAGAATGACTTGATGATCTTGAGGATGGCTTGAATGTTGCCAGGAGATGGCAAACTTCTGATCTTTGAAAGCAGTAAATGCTAGAGGTTCATGTTCAAGTTGTTGTGGAAATCCATAAATATGAGTCGCTTGCAACCTCCTTTCGCCATCATGAGTCCCCTGAAGTTCAAATCTATGATATGCCAAAAAGATGCCTCCATTTGGGTTAAACTTCATTGCATGCTTGACGAAGGTATGATCGAGATCAAGCTGCTGATCTATGAAGGGCCGCAACTGGTACAATACATAAATCCCTTCGTGTTGAAATGACGTGTGAAGAATTTCGACAGTGCCAAATTGTCTGCCAGGGGTTGGCAACCGACAAGAAAATTGACGCAGTCCATTTGCCAATCTGAAGAGGTATACCGTTGGGTGGTCCTTGAAAGTCAACAAAATTTCCTCGGAAACTGTGCGGAAGGGGTTTATCACAAGATTCGACGCGCGGCTATTGACCACTAGAGCCTCTGATGAACGGCTGTCAATGGATAGATTCGTGGCATCGAATCTGATGTATTCGTAGCTAGAGTTAAACTCCGCTCCACACAGGTCTTCTCTGGCACGGTCCATAAATATAGAAACCAGATCAGAAGTAAGGAAAGATGGATGAAGATAGCTTTTGTCACCAGCTGTTTTATTAAGCTGATGCAAAATCAAATCATGGCTGCTGGTTGCGATTTTTCTCATAAAGCGACTGCATTTGGCTGCTTGTATGAACGATGTTGTATCACACTCCCGAAGCACGAGCTGAATCAACTCAACTGGAAGATCCTGAAACATGGCGATTTACTGCGTGGAGTCCTGAAGGTAACGAATGAAAAAGAAGGGGAAGAGAGTGGGGATTGAAACTTGAAGAGGGAAAAGAAGAAGAAAAGAGGGAAGTTGAAGAAGGGACAGAGATGACTCAGGATGAAGGGTATAAAGAACAATTGTTCAAGTACTGACCCCGAATAAGTAAACAGCCGCACCTGACGAAAGTGGGATCTTTATAGTATTAACGCACGGACTGTCGAGGCCTGGGATCCAGGCAGAAACAACGGAAGTGGGAGCCTCATTCAAGGCTCTAAGGCTCTAAGGCTCTAAGGCTCCAAGGCTCCAAACCTTACAATCAGAATTCCCGTGACCTTGCTCTACGGTGATAATCCAGAATTAATCCCACTATAATCTCACTAATTTCTGTTATTTAAACCTGTTTGCGCTTGAAATGGAATTAGAGCTGAAAGGGCGCCTCTTATTCTTCCATATCTAGGGAAGTAAGGGTATATGGGTGGCAAGATTATCAAAAAGAAATCGGATTCTTGTTTTCGAACTTCAACCCCCTACCTAACGCCTCAAAATGCAAGATACATGATATCCGAAATAGTAGAATGAATATAATCATTTGGGAGGGGGGTATTTGCAATCGTCAAGGATTCAACATCAGGTATTGTCCTCGTTTGCCCGCGAGACAAGCCATTCAAGCACACTTTCATAACAGAGCACGAACTGGCTGAGATTCTGTACCATGCTTGGTCGCTGGGTCCGGAAGTCTTCCACCGTCTTAGTAATCAGATCGAGGTTCGAGTCTCGAGTCCACTGGGGAGATTCCACCGAGTGTGCGCCCTGCGCTCGCTGCCGTTTCAGTATGTCAAGTACGCTATCAACTGTACAGAAAGTTCCAGTGCGCCCACAGCCAGCACTGCAGTGCACCAAGATCGGTCTCTGGCCGGTAGGTTCAGGCTCGTGACTACCATAGCTGGGGTTGCTGGTGGAGCGCACGACTTTGTTGCACTGTTCGATCAAATTCAGCAAATGTGTGGGTTGAGAGGTTGTTCCAAAGTCAGGCCAGTAGGGATATTGAAGCTGGGTGATATCCCGTATAGGTAAGAAGGGAAAATGTGAGTGGTAAAGGCTAAAATGCCGCACAATAATGACTGGGTTTTCATTGGTCTCGTCTGGGCATTGTGTTTGCTCGCCTGGTACCGAGTGAGGTTGAGATGATTTGGGTCGTTGGTCTTTAGTTTCCACAAAAATTCTTTTCTCCGTGTATGATTTGACCTTCAATGGTCCATAATCACCTGGTTGCCAGTATGGATGACATTTGACTTGTCCTCTTTCGAGTTCTGCAGTCAAAGTGATGATGACTCGGACGTCTTGCTCCCAAACAACGCGCCAAAAGTCCTGAAAAAAACAGGGTCAGCAAGCATGTCAATGTTGTCAATTGAACTGGGTCAGCAACTTACATTGAATGTATCAGGTACCGGTGCTTGAGTAGCGATGTATCGGCGATTGCTGAACTCGGCCTTTATATGATTGGCATTCACATAGTCGCAGCCTCCTAAGGGAATACCTTCAAGTCGAACTCGTGTATGATCAAATGGGTAGATATCGTTGTAGCGATTTTTTGTACCTTTTTCAATACCTGCGACGCGGTATTTCTTTGAAGCGCCACCAGTAGAACCTGAGGATGCTTCGTAAGACAATGCCTGTCTCATGCGCTCCAATTCCCTCTTCTCCAAATCTAGGAATTTGTTTGAGACTAATCTTCCTTGGTCTTTGGAGTCAGAGGCATCTCGAAGCCAGGTGGGAAGCTTTCGTCGCTTGTCTTCCGTCAAACCATCGGGCAGCTTCAAAGGAACCTGGCCCACACCTCCTACGAGATCCATATTCTGTCGAATATTTGAGAAAAATGGATTCATTGCTGATGATGACTCCGGTAAAGCACAACCTCCGACAACAGGAGCCACAGAGGGAAGGCTTATGCTCATGGGAGACCGTTTTTTGGGGGTTGGATCTGTTTTCTCAGCGTGTGGTCGGTAGATCAACCCAGCAAATTGGATTGAAAAATTCTTAAAGCCACCCCGCAAAATCAACCCTTCACCCGTCCAGCCTTCCGCTTGGAACTTATTGATGACATTGAAAAGAGGAGCCGCATCTTTCACTTCCGAGGTGGCAGAATCATAAACGATGATGGTACTACAATCCTTCCATCGAGCAAACTTCTGCTTATCACCATCATTGGTAAATGTTGCTTCAAGCTTTTGAGTATCGAAGGACCGACGTTTTAGAAGCGTTGTAGGAATACATAAATTCAAAGAACCTTTGATGTTGGCTTGAGAAAAATGAGCGTAGGGACGAACATCTAGTAGCAGGACATTTCGCAAAGATGATTTAATAAACTCAGCACAACGTTCGGGCGTAGTCCAATGAGATGAGTCGTAAGCTGATTCTGTAATTGTTGGTTATTGATTTATACTTGATAAGTGAAGGCATAATCATGATAACTTACCTAGCGAAGCAGCCATCGGTGTCTTTTGAGAGGCGAGTCCACGTCCACTTGAGGCCCCTTGAGCCCAACTGGTCACCCGGTCACGGTGATCTTGAAGAGCAGATTCATGTCGACTTTTGTCGGACTGTGACTCGGTTCTCAGTAAGCTGGCTAGACCCTCTGAAACGGAAGCCTCGGGGTAGAGTTGTAATTTTGGGCTGGGAAGGGTAGACTGTGCTTTTGAGAATGCACCCCAGTTTTTTTGTGCATGCGGACCAGGATTTGAGCTGGGAGGATTGCTGGTGTTGTCGACCGAGAGGCCGAAGTAATTAGGACTAGATCCTGAGAGCATATTGTGATGCATAGCAGCGGTTGAAGACGGGATTGGGTGGTAAGGCTGAGTGGTCTTAACATCGTGGGAGTATCCTTGTGCAGTCTGTACCCACGGGGATGTGGGTGATCGCCTTGGACCTGTCATGATGGGCTAGTGCTGGTCTTGCTCCAGACTGATCGGCGCTTCAAAAAAACTGTATCAGAACAACTGGACCCGTTTATACCATAAGCCTGGGACTATAGAAGAAGTCGTGCAATTGGGATCGGTAAGACGGAAGATGGATAATATCCCCAAGTCCCTGTGAGGATCCGGAGGATCTGGGGGAAAATCTGGGAGAATCCTAGCTAGTTCACCACAACAGCGTAGTCGAAGTGTCCAAAGTGTCGATTGCGTAAGAATCGGAAGATGGACTGTCGAGGGGCAGACGAGAAGAGTCCAGCCAAAAGAGGCAGCCAATAGAAGCAAGAACCTGATATAAATGATTATTAAGGCGCAGGAAAATACTATGACGTTATTGTGGGGATCATCGCTGATTAAGGTCCCAATCGGGTTAGGAGGGTTTATAGTTGGCTATTAATACCGAGCTATAGACCGTACATGGAATATAGCATCAAGTAGATTAGTAGATTACCCAGTGAATGGAAATTTGATCATATACCTAAGATACTGTCTGTAGCTTCCAAGACTTATGATATACAGCACATCAAAGCTCAGAAAAGTCAGTTGGTAACTTTAGAAGTGAAGCTGTAAGCTCTTCGATTCATCTTTACACTGCTCAAAATATCACCAACATTTGAATTATTAACACTATTGTACAAACACCCTCGAATTTGAGATAATAATATTAGGGTCTAGGACCATCTAACGTACTTACCTGAGGTAACTCGGGTGGTAGGACCCGAGCGGGCTGAATGGTCCCACCATTTAACTGGGATGTCATGCTACAATAAACAGCCAACCCCGGAAAAATATAAAAGCCCATTTGTTTGGGATTTGAATTATGTCATAAGTCTCCAGACCCTCCGATCAACATGACTGTCAGCCAAGGATGTGAAGCAAGGGACATGGAAAGCCGTCTAGATGCGCTGAGACCTAGTCTGCAGACTGATGGCCGGAACTTAACTCTGAGGGGCATAGATGTGGAGGTATTGATATTTCTGAGATGGACGTGGTCTTGTAGATCCACGATAACTGACCAATTTTGACCAGTCACTCTAGGAAGAGGTTAATGTGATGGAAACGGAAGATAGTTGGTGCACATACCGGGTGGAAAATGGTCTACCATCCTACCCGCTTAGTGCCTATTCTTGTAGAGCCAAAGATATTCACAGTCGTCCGTCTGGTTCGCCCTCGAATCTTTCCACGCGTTTTTGCTCCCATTGATCTAAGTCCTTGGCCATGAGTCGCTGAAGAAACGTTCAGTTTTCAAAATCCCTGCTGTAAATCAAGAAGCTTGAGCTCTTACGTAGTATTCTTCCCGCTCACTGCCGATAATTCTCCTGCGTGGGTTTCGTTTGATTCCCTCTTCCCCGTCGGGTCCCTTCAATCCAAGGTCGAAGACTTCCTGTTGACTCAATTGTTGGACTTTCCGATCATATCTCTCATATCTCAAGGCCGCAGCAGGTGTCAAGGCAAATGAGCCTGCCACAATGAGTCCAATGAATGGTAATCCGAACAGTATGAAAGGGTGTTTTGATAGACGTGCGCGGTAGAGTGCTCCAAGTCGTTCCCCAAGCGACGATGACGCTGTGGTCGCTCGGCGGAAGGGTTTAGACTGAAATTTAGGCATTAGAACGTGAAATATTTAACAAAAGTAACGGAAGTTGCTGAGTATAATCTCAGTTTCAGAAGGAGTCGCGCAATTCAATTGCTCGAGTGAATTTCCTCGGAAACGTTGTTGATCCGGGCCGGAATGAATTGTTTGGGCGCATGGGCAGGAGCTTTCTTCGTTTTGGTTGACGTTGGAATCCGTGACTGTGAGCTTGCTCCCGTTTGAGACAGGTGCACTTCCGCTTTTTCTTGCGATTGGCATAGCACGGCTGCTTCCACTTCGACTTTGATCTCCCAAACAGTCCTCCCATCGCGCAGACCGCACTTTTTTTTCTTATCCTCCACCTCCACACCTCTCACACTTTACAAGCTTCTTCCACAACGCCGGTTACTCTAATAAATCCTGTCTTTCTGGATAAAACTTCAAATATAGCACAGTATTTCGCACCATCGACTATGAATTCAAACACTTCCTCTCTCTTTGGAGGGGGTGGTCTTGGGGGCGGTCTTGGTCTTGGGGCATCAGCAGCTCCCCAGACCTCAAGTTTGTTTGGTACGAACAATGCGACTACAAGTGCACCAGGAACTAGCACCTTTGGGACTACTCAGGGAGCTCAAAGCTCGCTTTTCGGTGCTTCCCAGGCTCAGCCACAGCCCGCCCAGCCTTCACTTTTAGGCCAGTCTTCCCTAGGCCAGACCCAATCGCAAGCCAACCCCGGTCCAGCTCAAGCCGGGCTTTCAACTCAGACAACCCAGCCTGCATTTTTCAACAGCTTACTGGAGCGTGGCAAGAAGCGACCTCTTCCCGGTGGCCAGAACGGTAACTTTGAAAATGTTCCCAGTCTACAGCTCGGCCTGGATGATATCCGCAGGAAGGCAAGGGAACTGGGCTCAGCTGGGATCAGAGACCATCAATCAACAACAAAAGCGTAAGCCCAACGTTTTTTTTTTTTTTTTTTGGGAATCCAGTTTCTTATACGATGCTGACTGCTAACCCGGGCAAATATAGTCATTACCTACTTGCATCATCCGGTATTACACCAGGACGCGCTCTCCGAGATCTTCAATCTCTTGACCCTCAAGCACCCCTAGCAGCTGCTCGAGAAATCGACAGCTTCGATCCAGATAACCAGAGATTCCTCCGGAACATGCAGCAACGTGGCCGACAGGTGATGGTTGCGGAGAGTCTCTCTCGGGCCCAGAGAGATTTTGATACGTTCTTAGAAGAGAAGGTGGACATGGACTGGGAAGAGCAACGTCAGAAAATCTTTGAACATTTTGGTCTCTCCCAAAAGGATAGTACGGACTCCGGAAGTCTGCGAGCCACGAATCGCGGCGCTTTTGGTCGAACAGCAAGACAGTCCAAGCAGGCAGGTGCTACAAGCGGACCTGCTGCCTCTCGCAGAAGTGTCTTTGGACGCTCTGGTCTTGACAAATCTGTCATTGGAACACCCGGCTCTGGTATGACGAACCGACAACTCTTTGAAGAGCCCGCCGAGCGCAATGAAGGACTGAGTGCTTCTTCGCCTGACCTCAGGTTCCAGCGTGAGAAGATGAGACAGTATGCCGATAAAGTGCAGCAGCTGAACGTCGCTCGCCTACGCGGTCAAACCTACCCTATTTTCCATCAGTTTTCGGAAGTTGAAGTTCGCACTGGCGGCGATGTAAGACCCTACACCTTATCTTTCATTTTTTTACCATTGCTAACCGGATTTCTAGTCCCCGCATCAGCTTTTCGCCGCATATCAAGCCTTGGCTAAGGTGGTGGGTGAGAAGCCTAGCATTGCTAGCATCTCAGAACCCGGTGCAGTCAAAGAGCGACAGTTTGTTGATGACTATCTCGAAGAATCAAACAATTCCCGCAAGGTCATCAATCTCAAGAAGAGGATTCTTGAGGGCTCAAGAACATTTCTCGAACAGAAATTCTACGCCGACATGGAAGATAGCATCGCCAAAAACCCACGCCAAGCGCAATTGGGTGGTATCCCGACAGTTATCAACAAGATCCGGGCTTACATTCGCCTGCGCGCCTCGAGGAAAGACCTTGCACCTGATGGGACCGAGCTTCAGCTGGTTGGTTCAGATTACTGCTGGATTCTGATCTACTATCTTCTCCGTTGTGGTTTTGTCAAAGAGGCTGCCGAGTATGTCAGTCAGGATCCTGGTTTTCGGTCAATGGATCACAAATTCGTGACTTATATGACCACCTACGCGCAGAACCGCCGACTGCCTAGAGATTTGCAACAAAAAATCAATGGCGAGTATCAACAGCGTTCTCGGAACGCACCAGACAACACTGTCGACCCTTATCGGATGGCATGCTACCTGATCATTGGCCGCTGTGATTTGTCACGACGTCGTCTCCATGATGGAGTGAACCAGACTGTTGAGGATTGGACTTGGTTGCAGTTCAGCCTTGCTCGTGAAGATGATCGTGCTGAAGAAGTGGCAGGCGATGTCTTTGGCTTGGAAGATATTCAGACTGATATCAGTGAGATTGGACAGAGAATGTTCACCAAGGGCCAGGATGCGACTGCTGGCTACGGAACATACTTCTTCCTCCAGATTTTGGGCGGCATGTATGAACAGGCCGTGTCTTATTTGGGAACTTATGCTCCTGTCACAGCTGTCCACTTTGCAATTGCCCTGTCATACTATGGTCTTTTGCGAGTGTCTGACTTTTATGTCTCCGGAGAGGAAGTTTGTAAGCATTTCCTAACTTCTTCGTGGATTTTATTAGAATCACTAACATATATATTCGCAGTGTCATTCACAGTCAAACAGTACCCTCAGATCAATTTCGGGTATCTCATCACCCAATACACACGTGAATTCCGCACTGGTTTCGTCGAGGCAGCCGTTGATTACTTTACACTGATTTGTCTTAACGCGGACCTTCCAGGCTCTCTGGGCAAATCTCAAGCCTCTGTATGCCACGAGGCATTACGTGAGTTTATTCTCGAGACCCGAGACTTCGCCAAACTTCTGGGCGATATGCGTTCCGATGGTTCTCGCATCAAGGGTATTATCGAGCAGCGTCTGGATTTAATTAAGCTGTCCGATGAAGAGGACTTCTTGAAAAACATTACAGACCAAGCTGCAGGTGTAGCAGATGATAAGGGTCTGGTCACTGATGCGGTTCTCCTTTATCACCTGGCGGAGCATTATGACCGTGTGATCGAAATCATCAATAGGGCTCTGTCGGACGCAATCGCGGTTGAGCTGGGTGGTACTATGCAAAAGCTGCAGCCCCTTCGTCCTCGGAATCCCCCGTCCAACGATGCGTTCGGCGTCGTGGAGCCAGAGAGCAGTCTCAGCTTGACGAGCGTGGATGATCCCGTCGTCCTAGCAAAGACCATGCTCATTCTTTACAACTCTAAGCCGATGTACTATGAGAAAATTCGCGCAGTCGAGCGGGACACCTGCGGGTTACTTATCTGCATGATGGATGCCAAAATTGAAGTTGAGGCCGGCCGGTGGGCACCAGCACTTGATGTAAGTTTTCAATATGCGCATACACGCATTCATGTCTGTACCTGAATGCTAATGAACTTTTTTAGGCCATTGACCTCTTGGGTGTTCTTCCATTACAAGCACATGGTTCCATGCCACTCATCCGGAGTGCGGCCCAGTCATTCTCTGGCTTCCCGGAGATTATTTCACGTAATGTCGGGCACGTCATCATGTGGTGCATTGCTTGCATTGGTAATGAGCGCCAGCGACAAACTTCTGGCCCCTATGAGACTGACATGCACGCGGGCTTTGCGGACCGACTGCTCAGTATGGCCAAAGATCTTATGATCTTTTCCGGTATGGTGAAATACAAATTGCCGCCTAAGGTCTACGAGGCATTGGCTCGAGCTGCAGCAGATATTGGCGCTTATTAGGCGGATGCTTCTTTCCGATAGTGAGCAATCCTAGTAGCTATTGTTTTATTCAATATTTCAACTTGACTATTAGAGACATGAATCGAGTATGAATTCTGGAAAATATTTACCATAGCTACCTAAATACGTATGATTAATGACTGAGCCGAAGATCGTAGTCAAAATAAAGATAGCGGATGAGTTCCGCTTGAAAAACAAACGCCAAGCCTCTGAGGTTCCTCTGCGAACTTCAACCTTCAGTCACACTTGCGTGCTGATGGACCCGCCACAGTCGTCCAGATGTTTCACCGTTATCAGTAGCGACCGGGAATCTACTGATATATCCCCTGCATACACGTTGCTGTCGGTTCCCAGACATGGACCATGAGCCCCACGAATCTGACCGGGGCGCACTGGCGGTGTCAGCATCACCGCATAATGAAGAACGCGCCAGAGATGGACCGAATAATACAGATCGAGAGGTCACCACAATATCATGTTCATTTCAAGAGCATTCTATGGACCAAGATACTTCACATCACCGAGGTCCAGCCCTCATGAACCTATCTGGCGCGTTAACGAAGCAAGCCCGACAAGTAGAGGCGCACAGTTCTACTCAACAGACCGCGACCAACGAATCGAGTGAAATTCAGCTCCAGGTATCGGCTGTGAAGACTGTACACAGTCTGTTCAACAACCCACCAAACCTATCGAGGATTCGCAACCTCTTGTTCGAGTGCAAGGATCCCATCGAAATCAGCCTAGAGGAGGTTGAGAATTATTGGCCATTCATTGATAATGTATGGGTCAAGCAGAGATCAAATGCTAGCAAAGAGGGCCATTGTACAACGGACTATTATATGTGTCGACTACGACGCCCGACACACCGTCCATCGGAAACTCGTCCATTAGCAGAGGGCAAACGACCCAGAAGAAAACGCGTACGAGAAGGAGGAGTATGTAACGTTCAGATCAAAGTCGTGAAATTTGAAGGTGCATATTCGACGGTCACTATTGCCAGAACACCTGGGAGTGCCAGTACCCACTCCCATGACCTCGACTACATCGACCGCGTGAAACGTAACTCAGGGCTAATGGAGTATGTTCGGGATGAGGCTGTCAAGGGCTATCTGCCCTCATCCATATACATCAAATTTCAGGAGGAGCCAGAGATGCTGAAAGAAGCCGGAGGGCGTTTTCTTACTGTGACTGACGTGCGCAATGTCTGTGCAAAGTGGCGCATACAGAATCCAGAGGTCGAGCTTGTTGCACACGACGGCTACGAGTACCAAAAGGGGCATGGCATTGTGAAGTCTCAAAGCATATATGCTTCCAATGAGGCCCTCCAAGCACCAACAATACTTCCGTCGACATCCTCTGCCCAGTTGCCCCCCGATACCCTTTCTTTCCCCCAGTTTTCCCTGGATTTTCTAGAGCCTTACATGCCTAATCACACCGAACGACGCGAGTTTCCTCATGTCACATTATCCTACGCCTCATCAATGGACTCCAAAATCTCTCTTCGAGCCGGAATGCAAACCGTGCTCTCTGGACCCGAGGCAAAGGTTATGACACATTATTTAAGATCTCGTCATGATGCAATCCTCATCGGCGTCGGTACCGTGCTCGCCGACAATCCAGGCCTGAACTGCCGTCTCGAGGGAGCTGGTGGATTTGGAGGTCTTGGTAGAATGTGGCAACCACGCCCGGTCGTTATTGACCCTACGGGCCGGTGGCCTATTCATCCAGACTGTCGAATGCTACGAACTGCGGTTGAGGGGAAAGGGAAGGCGCCATGGGTGGTTGTATCGCCTGGAGCGCAGATCGATCCTGAAAGGCTAATGATGCTCAAAGGATATGGAGGTGATTTTCTTCGCATTGTGGAATATAACCAGCACTGGCGGTTACGTTGGGAAGCCGTTCTCCGTGCTCTTGCCTCTGAGGGTATCAAGAGTATTATGATTGAAGGAGGAGGAACAGTCCTGAGTGAACTCCTCAATCCGGAGTATTCTAGCTTTATTGACTCTATCATCGTGACGGTGGCACCTACGTATCTGGGTCGTGGTGGTGTGGGTGTGTCCCCTGAATCAAAAATCGACAATGACGGTTCTCCCAATGCCGCTTTGAATCCAAGAGATATCACGTGGGTCCCATTAGGGCAAAACGTACGTATCTCAAGCTTTTTGGCACTTATGAGCAGGATTTTACTTACGATTTCTTTTTAACTAGGTTATTTTCTGTGGGAAAATTCGTTGATGACAGCATAAATCCATGCTCGAGCAACTTCTTCTACTCACAACACAACAATTTCACATGCTGTGATCGATCTTTCAATATAATGTCACACCTAAAATTGGGCATCGAAGCTTCAAGACTAGAAGCTTGGAAGTGCCATGTCTTCTGAATCAGAGATCACGATTTCGCCTGATCTCACAAATCCGCCCAAGCTGATGGACGCATGATTTAGTTCAAGACTTATTTAATAGTATCCGTCCGGGAAGCGAATAATGAAGAGACAGACCATTATGAAATCTCAATTACCAAGGTAAGAAACACTAAAGCTGTATGCAGTAAGGGGAGTGTAGGGCTAAATTTATACGGTGTACTCCGGAGAAAAAAATTGATGAAAAAAGTAGATAAAATTTTTTAATAAAGATTTTAATAAAAAACCGACATTAATTCCGATTCATCTTTGAGCTTTGAAAGTGAAAGTGGCAGATCGTTCAATCATTTTAAATATAAATTATTCCAAATCAGTTCGCGTAAAGAAAACTTAGTACGGAAGTGAGTTGAAGTATGTTTTTTTAGGAAGTAAAAGTGTGGTGGCCCCAGAATGTTATAAGTAGACATTCCCCCCGACCTCCCACCGCGCTTTGTTTCCAACCAATCCTCTCCCCCTTTCTCTCCCCCTTCTTGATTATTTAACATTCCAACCTAAAATGCCTCCCAAAAAAGCCTCCAGCACCAAGGCTGACGCAAAGCCTGCGAAAGCTGAAGCTGCCGCGAACAAATCTTCCAAGAGAGTTGCGTCAAAGAAGGCTGAGTTCGCTTCGCCCATTGCTGAACGCCCTAAGAAGGCTCCCGTGAAGTCTACCACGACCAAGACATCCGAGAAGCCCGCGACCAAGAAAACAGAATCTGCTGCCCCCGCGCGCGCACGCCCTAAGAAGATGTCCCCTGGAACCACAACAGTCGCGTCGCGCAAGCGCAAGGCCGAGTCCGTCGAGGCTGAACCCTCCCTGCCTAAAAAGCCACGCGTCATCGCAACTCCGAAAATTAAGGCTGTCAAGGCCAAGGTCGTCATCAACGAGGCTCCTAAGGTCCGCTTGAACGTGTTTGTTTGTGGCGAGGGAAGCTCCGGTGAGCTTGGCTTGGGCGCCGCCAAGAACGTCATTGATGTGAAGCGCCCACGTCTCAATCAGCTCCTTGCTGCCGATAAAGTTGGCGTTGTTCAGGTTGCTGTCGGTGGTATGCACTGCGTTGCCCTTACTCACGACAACAAGATCTTCACCTGGGGTGTTAACGACCAAGGTGCACTGGGAAGAGAGACTTCTTGGGACGGCGGACTGAAGGATGTCGATGCAGACTCTGACTCTGATGATGATGATGATGACAGTGGCTTGAACCCCATCGAGTCTACACCAACTGCCATCCCCTCCACTTCTTTCCCTGAAGGTACGGTATTCGTCCAAGTCGCGGCCGCTGACAGCGCAAGCTTTGCTCTGACCGATGATGGCAAGGTTTACGGATGGGGCACCTTTCGAGTAAGTTCGATTACATGTCTCTTACTTTTTTACATATGCTAATGTAGCTATTAGAGCAACGACGGAATTCTCGGCTTTGACGAATCTCACCGCGTGCAGAACACCCCTCTGCTAATTTCGGACCTTAAGAAGATCAAGCAACTCGTTTGTGGCGCCAACCACGTTCTTGCCCTGGACCACAAGGGTGCCGTTTTTTCTTGGGGTTCCGGCCAGCAGAACCAGCTCGGGCGTCGTATCGTCGAGCGCACCAAGATGCACGGTCTTCAGCCCCGTCCCTTTGGTCTGCCCAAGAATATCGTCCACATTGGCAGTGGTTCATATCACTCCTTTGCCATTCAGGCATCTGGTAAGGTTTATGCATGGGGCTTGAACAGCTTTGGTGCTACCGCTCTTCGCGAGGGAGCTGGCGATGACGGGGCTGCTGTCGTTAAGCCTTTGCTCGTAGAGTCTCTGACAGGCCGGGACATTGTCCAGATCTCTGGTGGCTCGCACCACTCAATTGCCTGCACTTCTAAGGGCGAATGCCTTGTTTGGGGTCGCTTAGATGGCTTCCAGAGCGGCTTGAAAATTGACACTCTACCCGATGAGTCTGTCATCAAAGATCCGCGAGGTCACCCCCGTATTTTGATCGAGCCCACCCAAGTGCCTGGAATTGCTGCTAAGTTCGTCGCCGCAAGCTCAGATCACTCTCTCGCTATCGATGCTGATGGCCGTGCATGGTCCTGGGGGTTCTCGGCTACATACCAGACTGGACAAGGCACACAGGATGACATTGAAGTGGCTACCGTGATCGACAACACTGCCACTCGCGGCAAGAAGCTAAACTGGGCTGGTGCCGGTGGCCAGTTCTCGGTCTTTACCGAGCCCGCCAGCGTCTAAATGAGAATGTGGCACGAGTTCAAGAAATTTGCTTTACTTTGTATTTTATTTTTCCTTTACAAAACAGCTTTTCAGCTCTATTTTACGGACATGATCCAGTATCCAACATGCCAATATGATGTTTCCAGAATTCTTACGTCAATGGGGGTTGAGCATGGTTTCATTACGGTCATTAACTATTAAAGCTTTGCTACCTTGAATTCACTTGTCTAGACACCCATTTCCATCATAGCTTCATAATCGGCGTCAAAATCATTATTATGGTTCAATGGCCGCGATTCTGGTATAGGTGCTGCTGACGTAGATTCGTCCTGCTCTTTTAAAAGCTCCTCCAGATCATCGTCATCTGGTTCGGGGTAGCTTGCTTGTGGCTGCATGGCCCCTGTTCCAAGATCTGGCATGAATAGATCTTGGCCAGCTGATATCGATATCTCCTGTGGCCGTTGTGTTGAAGATGTAGCTGTGGGGCTTTCAGTGGAGGCACCATTTCGATCGGAGGAGACTCTAGTAGGGAGACTGTGTGATCCAGATCCATTAAATGTCTCCATTTTTTCTTCATTGATCCACTCCTTTCTCATAGTCTGTATTCTTTTGGTGTGGCCTAGCTTTTCAATCATCGTCAACCCATCTGCGAATTTCGCGCGTGGGTATAGATCATCAAGCCACAGCTGGTAGAAGTTCAAGAGGCGTGCAGCATCCGAGAACTACAATTGAGTCTTGTCAGTATGAGGCAAATACAAAGCAGCAAACTCATTCTCTGACCTCATGTCCTTTGCCTTTAAATCGGAGCTTCTGCTTTGCCGTCTTTCGCAATTTGGGAATCCCTTTCTGTGAGAGCAGACTTTCGAGAAGGTCATTAGGGAACAATTCACATGATCATGGATCAAAGCTGCATACCGTGCATCATCTAGTTTCGCAATCGGTTGTCGCTTCTTTTCAACTTCAACCTCCTCATCGAGATTACCAAGAATGGAGAAAGGGTCATCGTCTGTTGGTTTCGGGGGTGCAGCCTTCGGAACGTCGGATTCTTTAGGGAAATCATCTATTTCAAACCCGTAGTCAAATAGATCATTTGCATCGTCATTTGTGTCGTCCATGACTGAAAAGTTGGGAATGCTTGTACTTTGTATAATCTATCTAGACTTAACGCGTGTTGGACGCGCCGTAGTCATCAATGCTATGATTGGATGGAGGTTGAGAGATACACTAATCCCTATATGGTTAGTGTCACTGCTCCCTCCAACTTCCGAACTTCGACTCTGCACATCGTCAAGATCTCCCCTCCTCTCAACCCCCAGCATGGCTTCCCCAAACGCCGCCATTGTGCCCTCCAAGCGGGCTAACACTGACTACCCGGTATGATTTTTGCCCTTTCCCCGGTAAAACCCACCGCTAATCTCGAACCAACAGCTGATCGACTCTGACCCGTACGAACAACCTAAAATCCCCCATACTTGAATTGAATCTCACCATAGGATATAGGCACCTGCGACGTGTGTTTGGATATGCTCGGCCGTCTGATTACGCTGTAGCCGGAGGAGCAGCTGCCGTTTCCCCCCTAGCCTTCTGGATCATGGAGCGAGTGAGCCCGTCGCATGTGGGTCGCGGTGGTTTCTCTCCTGTGATGCGCCTTGCTACCGCTGTCGGTCTCATTGGAGGTCTCCATGTTTTCTACCAGCGATCCTGCCGTACGTCAAATTGGTGACCTGTTCTTGTCTACAATTACTCACAAAGTCAACAGAACGTTTCTACGGATTCACTGAGAACGCCAGAGAAGTTGAGTTGGACACTCGGGAAATGGTCGACAAGGTGAAGAGCGGCCAGCCCCTTTATGGTCCTTCCGGCGTGTCCTCTTATATTCAGGGTGTCGCTGCCCGTAACTCTCGGTATTCTGAGTTGTTCATCCACATAATTCCCTGGTTCAACGTTGTCAACCACGACCAGGTAGGTTCACCCCGCATTTATCATTTTTCGACGTGGAGTCGGTATTGACTTTCAATAATAGCACGGTGTTGATACTGCCAAGTACTACCAACAAGCAGAGCGTGAATTGGAAGCTGAGCGGACCTCTTAAGGCTGGCTCCGCATTATCTATCGGCCCTCCATGCTGGACCTGTAGTTGCAAAATTTTTGTACCCATATCCTTTTTATGTGATTTTCTCCCAAAGGCGCCATTGCAATTGACAATATAAATTTATGTTCTATCGACAAATTGTTGTGGCCCTTTAGCCCAACTATCCAAGGTATCATTGATAACAGTAAGTGAAACCAGTCATGCCTGATCAACAGCCTAGAGATGAAAACTGCAGGAATAGAATACCTCAAAAGACATGCTTTATCGCCTATGATGTTGAGGGGGTAGCACTCCCGTCCTCGAATTTCGTATTCAGCTCGCGATTCTTCTTCGGTCGAGGATTGGGCGCTACCAGGATGTTAGTATATAAGTAGGTAGCATGCTTTTGACGCTGGTGCTCTAACCTTTCTCGTTCTCTTGAATATAGAAGCGCCGAAGTAACATGATAGCCTCTTTTTGGAATAGACCACCGTAGACTGGGTAGGCCGGGTCGATAGAAGGACTATCTACGTTAGTTGGAATTCGTAGTTTCGACTTGGTTGGGTTCATACTCTGAATGAAGCGATAAAACGCCCCCCGTACCTCCAAATCGATCATTGGTACAGCCGTAGTACACGCTTCGGATTCGATATTGCTTCAGGGCTGAAGCACACATGACGCAGGGTTCCACTGTCACATAGAGATCCGTAGACTGTAGAACAGACTTGGAGTACGTCTGGAGCACCTCCGCAATGGCGAGGAACTCAGCGTGTCGTGTCCCCTAATAGCAGTTTAGCATGGCTTATTATCACTCAATCTCTGCAGCACCTACATTCATGGATCGGTTGGTATCATTCATTCCATATCCCACGATCTGGTCGTTGTGGACAAGGACACATCCCACTGGGGTTTCACCACTTTCTAGTGCCTTTTCACCCTTTGAAACGGTCAAATTTCGTTATTTCCCTCTGGGGAGACTCATCTTACCATCAAAAGGGCCTGTTTCATAAAGTAGGCGTGTCGCGAATCATCCGCCAACGTGGACGGGATCATTTCAGCTTCCATGCCAATATCCATGGCTTCTGAGTTATTACTTTCCATGGATTATAGTTATACGGGATACCCCGAGGTTTGAATGCTATTAGTCAATGTTCATTCGGGCTGACGGTGATGTGTGGTAGACAGTGCCGAATATTGAAATCTCGATTTTTCCGGGACCTCCTCAGCTTTCAACTATGGAAGGTCCAGCATTCAATTTGACAAAGGCTCTCTCGTTCTATAGTAAGACCTACTTCTTGTGTTTCCATTTTATTTTATTCGAAATAAGATACGTGCGCTGATCAGAAATTCCTATTGTCGTTGATTTCAACTTCAATGTTTAGCGGACTGTATTTATTCGGGTAGTTTACCCCATACAGTATGTACAGTGTGTCCAGTACGTAAATTCTATTTAGGGTAGTAATGTTAAGAACAGCACAAGGCTATTATTTCAGGCAAAATATTTGAATAAGGTCATATCTCATACATTCTTGAAACTATTTATGCTCGGCTTAACTTGTGTACGTACCTAGGTATGTTAAGAGCCTTAAGAGTAAAGTGGGGTTTCTGCCTCAGGTGTCCGTGTCATATCGCGTTTTTGCACCTCCTCGCATAACAGTCTGCAACTTCGCGCCCTGGCCTGGATTTACCAAAAATCAAATACCGGAAGTCATGTCCACCCCTGATGGCAGGTGATGGAAACAACTCTCGTGGTTTCGCATCCGAAAACGGATGGAGACCTGCGGAGCCTGCCTCTTCAATTATCGCGGCCCACTTCGCACCACGTCTTGCATCCCAGGTACATGAATCACATCGACTCTCTCGAGAAACATTCTCGCAGCTTCGCCAAGAGCTGCTGGGAGAAAGACAGGGCCAATTACGCGTCGATGAGGGCATCACTGATATCAACAAGCTCATATGCATTGTTTTGAAGGCTGGTCTAGAAACTTCTCCTAGCAGCAGTGTCGCAGAAGATGACCTAGAAGGTCAAGTTCTTGACTGCTTGGACATTATTCAAGCCAGTGTAGACAAGGCTCCACAGGCTCTGTGGGAATTGTCTGATCCCTTGATCTTGGGCGAAGATGTCCAAGCGCCTTTGTTTGCTTGGTTGATTCTACGACTGATCAAATTGGCCAGTCTTTGGCCATTGGGGACTATACATCAGAGAATAAGCCTGATCCTTGGTGGCATACCTATCTTTCAGTACAAGCAAATCCGGTCCTCCTCTTCATCCTATGGTGGCTTGGCATTCCTCCGCGCTTGCAGATCAGGTGCGTTATAATTTTTACTTCATACAGGACTTCCAGGCTAATGATCTCCAGATATCATATGTTCCATAGAAACAGTTGCCGCTCAGGCTGACCGGGGAGCGCACTCTCTAGAACTATCTATCCCAGCAGTCAATGGATCACTTTTAGAGGACCTGGACAATTTGAATCTTCCAAGAGGACTTTTAAAGAGTCCAATAGTTCTTGGAACCTTCCCTAATGCACTTCTTCTGGCCTCACTTTTACTGGACTCGTCATCCGGTCTAAGCGTCTCAAAACGCGTTTTAACAAGACGGCAAAACTTCATGCTCCGCCAGAATTTCCCATGGGTCTTGAGCGAATACTATTGCTTAAGAGAAGCTGCGGTGACATGGATGCAAAAACTAGGACCAAAGCTCACGTTGAGTGAAGAACTGGTCTTTGTGAAACTGCTAGATGATACCAGAGATTTTTGTATGTCCGAGCCATCCTCCTCAAAACTCTTGTCGGATATGAGCGTGACCTCCGCTTTAACTCGATGCTTGACCAATTTTCTTATCATCAGTATTCATCATCAACTTCCAACGCTCCAAAGGGGATTGAGTCTCACTTTGGATGACATTCTGCAAAACTCGAAATCATTTATACAGAAATCAAGAGAGGAGTTTCTGTCCGTTCTTGCGAAGGTGAAGAATAGAGAAGACAGCCTCCAGTCAGTAGAGTCTTGCCTTTCGGTAATTATTTCTTTATATAAAAAAACTTGATCTAGATTGAGCTAATGTGTCTGCAGATTACACTTCGATCTCTCAATGCCGAGCTTGCCGATACACCGAATCGTGATGCACCTCAATTTAATGCCCCGTCTGAAGATAAAGAAGCTGATCTGTCTCTCATCTGTCAGAAAACAGACGTACCAGATGATGAGGACGAAGAAATGGAAGACTCTCGCCCACGAAAACGACCACGTCTTTCTGCCGAACCTGCAGATAAAGGCTTGTTACAACAGCTAACAACAGCATTATCCCTTATGCTGAAGCCGGATGTCTCCCCTACGAGCCCTGAAGTTCGTTTGGCAGCACTGACTCAACCTGTCTTGTAAGCTTGCCCACTTTTCTCACTATCTTCCCTTGTGTCTAATCAACCAGTACTGATACTTAGATAGGAAACTTTTCGAGGGGCTTTCCGAAGACCAAAAGACTACTTTCTATGGAATTATGGGCAAAATGCCATGTATCATGAGGAGTAATTTTACACAAAAATCCTCGGAAACAACAGAATGGGAAACGATCTTTTGTAATTCCTGCGATGGCGAACAAAGCCCGGAAAATGACATGGATACACAAGAAAGGCTGTATGCGCATATCGAGCTAGGGAAAAATTTCCAATTCACCCTAAAAAAGCTCACACGCACCCCTGGTCCACGAATAGCCGCAATGCTGGCGTTGCGAAGAATATTGAAGCACATGCCTCAGGTGACGCCTCTGTCAAAGTCCCCATATGGAGAGTTCTGTCTCCAATCTCTTCGAAGTTCTATTCGAGAGCTCCGAGTTGCAGCCGGGTGCGTAATCTCATGTCCATGTGTTACTGACTTTAAACTAAGCTGACTGATATATAGGTATTCCGTGGCAACATTCATTCGCTCTGGTTTCCCCCAAAACCCGGCAGATAATCATTTGGCTACTCGCCGAGCCAATTTCGTCATCATACTGGAATGGCTGAAAAATCTCAACGAGAAAAAAGACATTCCTCTACAGGAAGTTTGCATATTGACACTGTGTTGTCTTGCAAAGTGAGTCTGCCTTTTCAGTTTATTCTTGTTTGTATACTGATGATATCTTATCGATAGGGTTTCGGGCGAGGAAGAGAAAAACATCATTCTTCTGCGTCTCTTGGAATATCTGGGTCATCCAAACCCTTATGTCTGTGCAGTAGCCTACAACGAGGTAAGTACGGTGTATTTTCCTTACCTCATCATTCTAACATGCCTAGTGCTGACAAAATTGAACCAGATCTCAAAACTTGCACAGCAAGTTGCCATGACCCCGGCAGGTTTATTTCGACCATACTGGAGAACTCTTTCAGTGGCAGTTGTCAAAAACCTTCAATCTCGTCCATACATGGCCGAGCAACTTTGTGAGATGCTGGGCATGAATGTCGACAGCTTCTTAAATTTAACAGAGATTCACGTCCTCCCCTACTTAGTCCTAACTCGAAAACGGGAAATCATCAGCAGAATTGGGGCAAGCCGTCCTGAAGGAAAAGTGGAAACACCATTTGACGTTTGCTCCGAAAAGAATAATCTAGCTGCCATCCTCGCTTTTCTGTTGTCTCAAGAAACAGACAACCCAGAGGTCATGATCATGTCTCTTCTAGCTGAGATAGACCCGGCATTTAAAGGTCGAACTTTGGCAGAACTGGTACGAATCGAACCAATTCTCATTGCCTGTGACCTGTTGAAGAGTCTTGGAGGAGCTGGAGAACATCATAAAGAGAGATTCCATCAAGCACTACGTAGTCTGGCAATGTTTGTTCCCCGAAAATTTTCACATGGTAATTCTTCCAAAAAGGGAGACTTGAGCCATTTCATTGAGGAGCATGTGCTTGGTATTATTACACAATTTGCCAACGCCATCAATGACTTCCAAGTCCGACAGACACTGGCAGAGAAAAGGCGGAATCTGAAGGCGATCGAAGAGATGATCAACATTGCTGAGGGCCATGTTAGTAACGCACTGCCTCAGGTCTGCGCTTGTCTCCGATCTGCACTCGAGATAGAAGAATTGTGTGACCAAGCTTTCTCCGCCTGGAAGACCTTGATCGGCTCCCTTAGTGAGGAGGATATCGAGCCTCTTGTGGATCAAACATTTGCAATTGTGATCAGGTACTGGAGCCGGCTGACAGAAGAAAGCAGGAAGTATGCTCATCAACTCATTGAACATATTTTGACAAAGCATCCTAACTTGGTACGGGATACTTTCGACACCATGCCCTCTCTTGCATCTATCCCTGAGATGGCCGCATTTGAAGAAAAAATCAACAGCTTAAGATCTGAAATGGATGTTCGCAGCATGTTCTCAGCACTAATCCGACGTTGCCAGAGTGAAAATTCGACGGTTGTTGAGCAAGCCCTATCAGAGCTGCTGCCTTTCCTGCAGCGTAACGACGAGTTTCTGCATTTATCTGCCATCAGTGAACAACCAGATCCTGTGATTGCACAATTAACAAGAGCGCTGTTAGACTGCTGTGTCAAATTCAATACCAGCTCGGAATCTATCACTTTGTTAACAGCACGATGCTTGGGTCTTGTCGGCTGTCTCGACCCAAATCGTGTGGAAACTGTCAAGGAAAAAAAGGACATTCTTGTTTTGTCTAACTTTGACAGAACAGAAGAGATAGACGAATTCGTTCTTTTCTTTTTACAAAATGTGCTCGTGGAAGCCTTTTTGTCTGCGTCCAACACAAGAGCCCAAGGATTTTTGGCTTATGCCATGCAGGGGTTGCTCAATATATGCCAATTCAACACGGCCGTCGTGCAATGCTCCCGTGGTCTTGATGGTGATCATGCAAAATATCGGCGATGGATGGCGCTTCCAGAGAGCATCCGAAACACCCTCACACCGTTCCTTACATCGACTTATACAGTCACCATCATTGCGCCTAATCCAAGGGTTGAATATCCTATGTTTTCACCAGAAAAGGCCCATAGCGACTGGCTTCGCACTTTGGTACAAGATTTGCTTCAAGCTGAAAATGGTGGCAACGCCAAACTCATTTTTTCAGTTTGTAACCGTGTTGTTAAAGGACAGGACATTTCTATCTCTTCATTTCTTCTGCCATTTGCTGTTCTAAACCGTATTGTCGGAGGCACTGAACAGGAGTGCAAAGATATTAGGCTTGAACTGAGCCAAGTACTCGAACATCCTCTTCCTGACACAAATAACAACATTCGCGAGACCATTATAAGCAGCAGTCAGGTAAGAATCTCTCATTTTCATACATCCAATAAGAAAATTGCTAATAGAAAATTGCATAGAGCGTCTTCGAGGTTCTAGACTACCTATCACGCTGGCTTCAGGGAAAGAAAAAGCAAATCAATGGTATGGGCAATCAGTCATCAGGCCGTTCCAAGCGTGGTATGACTCAGGATCTGCTGTATAATAAGTATTCGGCTCAGATCAAATCTGTCGAGTCTCTGTTGGCCTCGATTCCTCCTGAGATCATTTCCAAGCGTGCTGTGGAATGCAAATCATATTCCAGAGCATTGTTTCACTGGGAGCAATATATTCGGAAGTGCAACTCGCAGGCAGACCCGCAGGAAGGCTCTAACCCTGAAATTCTTTACCAACGGCTGCAAGACATTTACAGCCAAATTGATGAGCCTGATGGAATAGAAGGCATATCAAGCCACTTACCTGGTCTCAACATCGACCAGCAGGTCTTGGAGCATCGAAAGGCTGGTAGGTGGGCAACCGCACAGAGTTGGTATGAGCTTCAGCTCGAAAAAGAGCCCGAAAATTCCGAGGCTCAGTGGAATCTTGTCACATGCCTTAGAGAATCTGGGCAACAAGGTAATTTCTAAACTTCTGATCAGTATTCTATCCATGCTTACTTTTGGACTTTTCATAGACGCTATTCTGACTCGCTTTGAAGCACTCAAGGATGTGGATTCTGCGACGTCCCGGTTTCTACCTTTTGCAGTGGAAGCATCATGGATAACCAGTAGATGGACCAAGCTTCAATCATATCTGAAGTTGTGTGAAAAACAGGGAGATGGTGACTTTAACGTGGGAATGGGCTCAGCTCTCCACGCTCTTGGAGAGCGAAAGAACAGCAAGGATGAAGTCTTCCACTTGAAGACTGAAGAATTTACGAAAATCGTCAACCAGCTCAGACTCAACATTGCAAAGTCTTTAACAGCCAACTCTGTTACCTCGTTGCAATCATGCCATGATGACATGCTCAGATTGCATGCGTTAGCAGACATGGAAGCCATAGCGAATGCAGAGACAGGATCTATACAGGCAGCATTATCTTCGAACTCAGACTTGCCCTCTTCCCTGAAGCGGCGGTTGGATGTTATTGGAGGTTATGTTACTGACAAACAGTACCTTTTGGGTATCAGGCGAGCGACAATGGAGTTATCGTGAGTTCATGCCGAAATCCCCAACGAAGTATTCGTGTTACTAACATTTTCTTGGAGAGGTGGCTTTGTCGACTCCGATATATCTGCAGCCTGGCTCACTAGTGCACACCTCTCTCGAAAGGGAAATTTCATTAGACAGGCCTACCACTCCATGCTTAATGCAGCGCGTCTGAAAGATCGATCTGCTACCATCGAACATGCCAAGCTTCTCTGGAGAGACGGGCACCATAGAAAAGCGATTCAGACTCTCGAAGGTGCAATATCCGCCAACGAGGCAATCCAGCCACCATCAGCATCTCGAACAACATCGGGCTCAGTGGACCCTGGATCCGCTACCATTCTCTCTGGTCGTGTGCAAAATCAAAATGATGTCCCTGCAAGAGCTCATCTCATGCTGGCGAAGTGGACAGACAGAGCTGGCCAAACTCATTCCCAAGCCATCGTTCAACGATATAGGGAAGCCATCAAGTTGTATCCGAGATGGGAGAAAGCACATTACTACCTAGGAAAGCATTACAACAAGATTCTTGACTCTGAGAAGGCCAAGCCCATGGGGAAGGAGGCCCAAATCTACCTGAGTGGAGAAGCAACAAAACTTGTTATCGACAACTATCTTCGTTCGCTGACATATGGAAGCAAATACGTTTTCCAGACTCTACCGAAGCTTTTGACTCTATGGTTGGAACATGCTTCCATCGTTGGTCAGCCCATTGACCCCAAAAGAGGAGATAACGCGGACTTCCAGAGGCACACAAAGGCACAGCGACAAAAAAGCTTGGATGATATGCATGCTCAGTTGAAGAAGTACATTTCCAATCGGCTACAACCTGCTTTGTTGTTTACGATCTTACCCCAAGTGGTAGCCCGAATTTGTCACCCCAACACAACAGTTTATGATTTGTTGACACGCATTGTTGTCAAATCTGTCTACAACTTCCCTCAGCAGGGTCTATGGACAGTCCTTGCAGTGGTCAAATCTTCCAACAAGGATCGAGCATCCAAGGGCTTTCACTGTCTCCAGAAGATTACTGATTACGTTGCCAGGCATAAGACGGCTATTGACATCCGCCGCTTGATAAACCAGGGGCAGAAGTTTTCAGAAGAGTTGCTTTCACTTTGTCTCGTTCATGTTGAAGATAGAGTCACTAGAGTTCAACTGTCTCGTGATCTACGCTTCAATCACAAAGTTGCTCCATGCCGACTGGTAGTGCCATTTCAAGCGATGCTGATCCCAAGTCTTCCAGCCAGCCATGACTCCGAGTACCTTAAAGGGTTCAGGCCTTTCCCAGGAGATGCAACTACGATAGAAGCAGTTCTTGACGAAGCTCAAATTCTCAGCTCGCTCCAAAAGCCACGCAGAATCAGCATTCGAGGCTCTGATGGAAAGATTTACAATGTACTTTGCAAGCCCAAGGACGACCTCCGTAAGGACCAACGCCTCATGGAATTCAACAATATGATCAATCGATTCTTGAAGCGAGATGTGCAGTCAAGTAAACGGAGAATGTGTAAGTAATATCGGTTCAGTTGTTCCTTCCCGCAAGCTAATCAATAAAAGATATCAAAACATACGCCGTGACACCACTGAACGAGGAGTGTGGTCTCATAGAGTGGGTTAACAACCTCCGAACGCTGAGAGAGATCGTCCTCAAGCTTTTACGCGAAAAGGGAATTCCCATCGTTGTAAGTCTATCGCTTCTGCTGGGTTTTTTACATTCCTTTTCCATCTGGCTAATTGATTTTGACAAAAACAGTACAATGATATTAAGCAGTACATGAACGAAGTCTGCAACGACAAGACTTTCTCGAAACTAGAACTCTTTACTACCAAAATTCTGGACAAGTAAGTTTCAGTCTCTTTATCATTTATGACCTGTACTCATGAAAGATAGACTTCCTCCTGTTCTGCATGAGTGGTTTATTGAAATGTTCCCCGAAACTGAAGCCTGGTTCACGGCAAGACTGCGGTATACACGTTCCACTGCAGTGATGTCCATGGTTGGATATGTCCTAGGGTAAGTCCTATCAAATTAAACGTCCCTGCATGATCTTCATACTGATGATACACTTCCCTATAGACTTGGTGACCGACACGGAGAGAATCTTTCATTTGAAGAAGAAACAGGCGGAATCTTACACGTTGATTTCAACTGTCTCTTTGATAAGGTAAGACCTATCCAAAGATCAATATACAGGACCGAAGTATTAATTCTAGCAGGGCCAAACTTTCGAGAAACCCGAAGTGGTTCCATTCCGACTGACACAGAACATGGTCGATGCCTTCGGTGCTTACGGTTATAATGGTTTGTTGCCACTGCCCATCATATATTGGCTTGATTTGCTAATGTTGAGATAGGACCCTTCCGAAGAACATGTGAGATCACTCTCAATCTTCTACGACAAAATGAAGATGCATTGATGACAGTCCTTGAGACTTTCCTGTACGACCCAACTACCGACTTCATTGAGAAAAGGGTATGTGATTCTATGATTCATCCAGAAATTGTCCTACCCGATAGCTAACTATAATTCTATAGCGTCGCAACCGTACCCATCTCCCTGATACACCAGCTGGTGTCCTGGAAGATGTTCGCAATAAACTTCGGGGATTCATGTCCAAACAGCCCATTCCTCTCTCTGTCGATGGTCAAGTTGATGAACTGATCATACAGGCAACTGACAAGAAGGCACTGGCGCAAATGTACATCGGATGGTGTCCGTTTTTCTGATCAAGTTAACAGGCTTATGGTTACACGCTCACTGCGAATATATCCGTGACCCTCATTTATAAAAAAAAATATTGAATAGCCTACAGCTTACAGTCTGGTTCAACCAAATTTTACTATCGGTATTTTAGTAGTTCATCTAATTTTCAGCCCAACTTTCAATGCTTTCCATATGCTGCCTGGTGAGATCGGAGAACATTTATAAGAGCAATTTGCCCACCGGTTGGGTGAGTCTTTTTTCACTGAATGAGATGTCATTGGCTAGTGAATAAGAAATATTGATACATAAGATAGCACCTGAGGTGGGCTTCACAGTTCTCCTGGCTTGGATCTGGTCCAAGACAACCCACACAAAATTCGTCATGAGGAGCCGATGCAGGCAAATCCTTTGTTGACAATGATGCTGATCATGATTGCGAGTGAAAAAAGGGGAAATGGGAAGAGGGAAATGGAAAAGGGGAAATGGAAGGGGAAGGGCAAAGAGAATTCACATTTTTGGAATTCATGCGCGCCGCTCCCTCATTCTTTCGGGATCGTAAAGGTAGAAACGCTCAAACGCAAACCATAACACCTGCAATAGACCAGACTCTTTTGCTTTGCATCCATTCGGGTCACATCATTTAAATGCACGAGACTATCAGACTTGTAACAGACGAGACTCTTTTCCAGTCAGGATGTTCCGACATAATCAGCTTTAATTCCATTAAATTCGAAGTTTAGTCTCGCTTGAGGCTGGAACTGCGGCTTCTGCTTCTCTTCGGGCTACGACTGCGACTATCGTAGCTGGGGCTACGTCGGCGAGTGCCAGTTTGTGGAGAGCGTGAGTAATAAGATCGAGAGCGTCGAGGGGATCGAGACCGCGACACGGATGGGGGTCGGTATGTGTCATTGGTTCGACGGTTTTGGCGTCTAGGAGGGGAGAGGGCAAATCTTGGCCGGCCAACGGTCCGATTAGAAGGTGGGGGAGTTCGGGAGAATCGCCGACGTGGAAGGATGATTGCGACGCTGAGCACGGCGCCATCCAATTGGCCTTCGTGCATGTGGGAGATCGCGGCCTCGGCATCTGCGGGTTCACGGTAGATAATATAGGCAGTGCCTTTGTTAGTGTTGACTGGAGATGGGATGTTGTTAGGATCTAATTCTTCATATGTGTCGCAGGACGACCCACAGCCTCTATTCATCGGGAGGTCGATCTTCAGGATTTCGCCAAAGGCGCCAAAGATTTCTTGAAGATGTTCTTCAGTCACATTTCTGGTCAACTTCTCAACCACGATCTGCAATTTTTGTTATTAAATTTGCTTAGGAATCAAGAGGATTGTTTGCGAACCTTTGCGCTTTGCGGGGGACTGGCCGAGCGAGAGTAGCTGCGGCCACGGTAACGTTGGCCGCTGCGACTGCGACTGCGGGGAGATCGGGATCTAACGTGGGAGGAGGGAGTTCGGCTTATGTGGCGCGAACGTGCAGGGGATGGGCTTCGAGTTCCATTTTTGTGGCGCGCGTCCGGAGACTTGGAGCGCAATGGAATCTTGTCGCGGGGGGAGATGGGCGAACGCCCACGTTCCGATCGCACAGACATAACTTGAAGATAGAAAGCGTCAAAAGTAGGACTGACGTTGAAGGCAGAGGGGGAGGGGAGGTGTGAAGAGAGAACGAGATTAAACTGAAGTTCCAATGAATTCATGGGAGCTTCAAGCGCGGCGCTAGCCTCATTCGGTAATCACCTCCAATTCCTTATATAATCATATTTAACTATCTATCTAAATAGCTGACTATTGAAATATTTAAATGATAGTTACTTACTGTCAATATTTCTTGTTCTCTAGCAGTTCTGTTATGTTACTCTTGAAAATTAGTATTATCACCTATGTTGTTGTTCAGTATTTACTATTCAGCCTCAAGTAGATAAGTGGGGGCATGTATATATCGATATGTTATGATTGGCTAGCGACTGCATACCAAGTTAACGGTATAAATAATAACTGTTCAAGTCTATGAGCAATCTAAATATCTAGGTAGGAACTTATTATTTAGAACACCTGTTGAATCATCTGCTTGATCTTCACAAACTGAGGTATAGCCCTTCACCTTGTATATGAATGAACCTTGGAAGTTTGGTAAGAACCTTTCGAGGTTTACTGCCCAGGTGAAATGGAAAGTGAACATTTGAATGAAAGGCGAAGTAGAGGTAGATTCTTTCGACGTATTAATCGGGTATATATTGACAAATCATGAAATCTCTATCTACAGTCCATCTCGCCACCTCTCAAACTCCGCGATGACCTCAGCAGTAAGCTGCCGACGCACCTGACTCAAAGCATACTCGAAATGCTTCAGCTGAACATCAAGCTCCTGCTGCGTCTCCTCCTCTTCATCCAAAGCAGCATCACCGGCAGTCTCGCAAATACTCACGATCTCCGCACCCGAATATCCCTCAGTCTGTGTAGCCAGCTCGTCCATATCCACATCCGCATTCACAATAGATTTACTAGCCCAGATGCGAAAAATTTCTCTTCGGGCCTCGAAATCTGGTGGGCCAATGTATAGGATATTATCCAGTCGGCCAGGCCGCATGAGAGCTGGGTCTAGGACTTCTGGTTTGTTGGTTGCTGCGATGACTAGGACGTTTCGTAGCTCTTCTATACCGTCCATTTCGTTGAGTAGAGTTGTAAGCACATTGACGCCGCCCTGGGAGGAGCTGCTGCGTCGGGCAGCAATTGAGTCGATCTCATCGAAGAATATGATACTGGGTCTAGCAGCTCGTGCTTTTCGGAAGATTTCTCGCAGTGATCGCTCTGATTCTCCGACGTACATGCTAAGAATCTCGGCTCCCTTTACTGCTAGGAAGTTCAAGCCTGCTTCTGTGGCTAGTGCTTTGACAGTGAGAGTCTTCGAACAACCGGGTGGTCCGTACAAGAGAACTCCTTTTTTACTCTTCACGTTGAGACGCTTCATACGCTCGGGATGCTGCATCGACATGTTAGTTTCAACTTTATATACAAGTGAAGAGCGGTACAAACCTTGAGGGGTCTCTCCACGGCTTGTTGTAGGCGCTTTTTGATCTCATGCTGCCCGCCAATATCAGACCATCTCACTTTGGGAGTTTCCAGGAACACTTCTCGCATTGCCGTTGGGCGAATCTCTTGCAGAGATGATAATATGTCTGATTCCTGAATCGTCAGGGTGACGTAGACTGCGCTTTCACCAGCCGCGCTTTCATCTTCATTGCTAACGGATAAATTGGCTATCTGGGCGGAGAGATCGGTGGCGGGAGCAACAGAGCCTTGCTCTAGCATTTGCCGTTGCCGTGCATTCCGACAAATCAGTTGGAGCAGAGCGAATAGATCAGCTCCGACGTATCCGTGGGTCTTTTCAGCGATGAGATCAATAAGTGCATCAGTCAGTCCTGCAGACAGCGGTCTGCAGATAGCACGTAGAATCTCGGCTCGATCCTGGGCTGTAGGGACTTGAAGCTCGATCTCCGTCCCTAAACGATGGGGTGTCCTTAGGGCGTCATCAACATTATTGGGATGTCTTGTTGCAGCCACCACTAGTATATTTGCACTGCGAATCGCATCGAGATTTTCACATAGTACAGAGGCGAGGGATGGTGATTCATAAGAGGTTCGTTTCGGTGCGATGAAATCTAGCTGATCGATCAGGATGACGCTAGGTTTGGAACGGGCTGCTTCCTGGAATATATTTCGAAGCTTTGCCTCGCTCTCACTGGTGCTTCGACCAAGTGACGAAGTGCCTATTTTGAACACTTGTTTCCAGCCCGCCTTTTCAATCTGCTCAAGAAGAGCGGTCTTGCCTGTCCCCTTAGGTCCGTACAAGAGGATTCCTCCATTGTGCTCGTAGAAATCCGGCATGATTGGTTTGCGAGGATCGGGGTTAAAGTCGGAGATACTTTCGTTGATATCATCAATCTGTCGTGAGAGACCACCTAGTCCAGTAGATTTTACAGAAAGAGCGGAGCAGTTTTCCTGTGGTGTTTCTACTTCTGTTCCAATTGAGATCCTGGAAGCTTTCGTAAATCGAAAAATGGTACGGCTAGAGCTTGGATTCTGGCTGTGGATGTTGACAACCTGGAAAGTCCGACGCTGGCCTTTGAGCTCGAGTTCAAACTTCAATTCCTTCGCTAAAACCTCACATCTCAACAGAGGAAATTCCAATGCCCACTCCCAGTGATGTTGTTCCTCTGCCGTGATTGGGCCAAATCTTTCGATCTTTTCCGCATCAGAGCAGTCCACTAGAACAACGGAATCAATATCTTCGAGGGCACCCTCAATCCTGCTGATAGAGACTTTCTCGCCGATCTTGACTTCATAGCAATCCTGAAGACCTCTTGAGATTTGCACAACTGTACTTTGTATGTTCTCCGTGGCGGTCCAAGCGATCGCGGTTTTTGGGGTTCCCTCTGCGGTCGTTATGGAGCAAAGGTTATCGGATCGAAGTCTCAGGCCTGCTAGTGAAGTCGAGGATAGGTAGACACGGAATGCATCCTTAACGTCGCTTCGGCCGGATTGTTTCGACAGCGGACGGGCAGTGAAACTGCGAACCTCTGACATTCTGTAGGTTCACCTAGCAGTGAGGTGAGGTCTGCGGAGTCTTTAGATGAATATGGCTTTCGTACACCAGTAATCCAAGATCAAAGGCCGGGAATTCAGACCATTGATTCCCAGAGACAGTAAAATCCTTCAAATTGTGGATCTGTTGATCCAGCTGTAGAGATCGGCGGTGCTCCTTGGGGTTCGCTCGGTTTGAGAAGTATCTTCGCTCCAAAAATATCAGGAAATATACGTAGGAATGTCAATTGTCGCCCTATACCCGAGTATATACAGCCCTAGAAAAATCTTGGAGTTGAAAAACCAGTGGTGGGGGTACGATCTTATCGGCGATAACGAGTTAAAGTGGGTCGTAAATCATATCATTTTCTTGAAACCCCGATGAGAGCAACTGGATATGGAAATCAAATCGAGACATCCAGATTGATAAGTACCTTGCAAGGCTGTAAGGCCACCAGGCCTACAATTGATATAGTTAATCACGTGTCTATATAAAGTACCTATATAGTGATGGGTCTTCTCCCAAAGTTCTGATTCTTTCCTACCTGGGTACTAAGTTATATTCCAGGACTGAAGGTTTTCCCTTATCTACTAGATGCTTCATTCGCAGTCCTTTGCTACCTAGATAAACATTGTCATCCTAAATTGAAAGGGAGCTCGGAACTAAGAATCATATTTGAACACTGATAAAGTACGTAGGTACGGAGTATGATACTGTACACTCCAAACATATTTAAGTCTTAGCGCATGAAATTGTAGGCAAAAGGATATGGGTAGCTGCGCAGAAAAGCAAACCGAGTGTGAAGACGGAAAATATATCAAGACCAATCCACACATGTACGCGAAGATAAAAGAAAAAAAAAGAGGAAGATTAAGAGAAAAAGGTCATGGAAGGATTCAACAGCACTTTCCTCCAGCCCCACCACTCCCCGAGCCCTGCTGATCTATGCTGACTCCATGACCACCACTTTGTTCAGTCTTTGAGGTGTCCATGCCCTTCTTGATATCTGTTGCAAGGTCGTAGAATGCCTTCTCAATGTTGATGTTGTTCTTGGCAGAAACCTCCAAGAAGGGAATGCCAAGTTCATCAGCAAGCTGTTGGCCTTGTTCCTTCGACACAGCTCGCTTCTCTTCCCAGTCACACTTGTTTCCGATAAGGATCTTGTGTACTCCCTCACTGGCGTGTTGCTCGACGTTGGAAAACCAGGTTCGAATGTCTGTTTCGGATTGATTAGTACGGGTTTATGATCATTTATCCGAGTGGTGGGGAAATATTTACTCTGGAAAGAGCGCTCATCGGTTACGTCGTAGACAAGAAGGATGCCCATGGCACCACGGTAGTATGCAGTTGTGATGGTACGGAAGCGTTCCTGGCCTGCTGTATCCCAAATTTGTAATTTGACCCGCTTGCCGTCCAACTCGATTGTGCGGATTTTGAAGTCAATACCGATGGTGGTGATAAAGGAGGGGGTGAATGAGTCCTCGCTGAATCGCAAAAGACAGCAAGATTTGCCCACACCGGAATCACCGATCAAGAGGAGTTTGATCTGCGATTCAAAAATCAAGTTAGCAGAGTCAACCACAAGAATCCACTTGACATACCAGAAAATCGTAGTTCCTTGTGCCAGCCATGATAAAGTGTTTTTAAAGTTTGTGGGAGTTGAGGTTGGATAAACTCAGATAGGAGACAGTCGGATTTAGGAATGAGTCGAAAAGTTCAGGAAAATTGAAGGATTCGTAAAGAATTATTCAGAGTCACGTAAAGCAGAAGATTCAAGAAGCGAGTCTGTGAGAATCTAGGAGAAAATGACAGCGTGAGGAGGGGGACAGAATTCAGTGGTTGGGGCGATTATCAGGAGAGTCGGCGGGTCACAGTGAAATCCTTCACTAGAACCTGGAGAAGATAAAGGGAAGGCTAGAGATCAGATTCAGGATTGAATCTGTAATTTGAAGACACAGCGCTAGATTGCACTGGGAAAGGAGAGGATATGAAAGTCCAAGTGGAGAGTGGAGTGATGACGGGGTAGCGGTAACTAGTCAACCAACTGAGGTCCCCCAGTTTACATAAGCACATATCGGGTTGTCATGTGTCTGGTTTGAACTCTTATCTTAGTTATCTCTTATGATATTCGCATGGTATTTCTACATCCTAGATTTACTGGAAATAAGTCCACCTGATTCTGTCCACCACCCGGATTTGCTTCTCGACTCCGCTTTGCATATCGAGCAAGTCTTGGATATCTTCTCGGAACTCCTGATATTGCATGCTTCCAAGCATTGCTTTCACCTGTTGCAGCAAAGCCTCCGCTTCACAGATGAGTCGTCCCGAGTCCCGGTAGGAGATGATTCCATCGGAGACCGATGCAGATGACAGTATGCGAGTAACAGTTCTGAATTTATCAGCGAGTTCTTTCTGGGTGCTTTCAGGGATAGCTTACCGTAGCCCACGACGTAGTTCGTGCTTTTTCTTGCCTCGCTGTAGGCCCCGTCTACTCCCGAACAGCCCAAAGAACCATTGTAGAGCAGTGTACGAGACCAGTATACCAGGCGTGAGACCCACGAATCTGTAGAGCGGTAAGAAAGAGAAACAAAGGGAGGACAGTGTTCAAAACTTACCCGAAAACAAGCTCCTGGCTCTTGAGCAGAGCGTTGATGCCACTAATGGCAATTTCAACGTCTACCTTGGTCTTTTGAATCTGGATTAAAAGAGCACGGATTAAGTCTCCTCGAACTGTTCCCATGAATGGGGAACGAAGGTCTCTCTCGTAGGCTCGTAGCACCGGCGTTAAATCACCTTCCTTGACCGCATTTGTGATAGTGATTGTATCTTCTGAAGTCATGTTTCCTTGGCTTGAATCGGGATGGTCCTGAACAAAATCAAGAACCATCCTTTCCAAACTAGCTCGGTCAGCCTCCAGGCTGTTCTTGCTCATGATGGCAATTTCGCTTTTATCATTATGCCTGATAGTTCCTATCAGTTTATGGATCGGATCTACGACCCAGTTCACTCCAAAGTCAATGAAGGTCGCGCCGATGTTCATGATCCACTCGATAATTTCGTCCTGGCGACGCATCAAGAACCGGAGCGAAGCGCTACTCGACAGAAAAGCCACGGACAACGGTAGCCAGTAACGAATCACCCCAGATGGGCGCCCATTGGTGCGAATAAATGCAGTGGTAGATTTTCCGTGCTCTGGGAGTTGTTGCTGAAGCATTAACACCAGGCGCTGGATCAGTTCCACTGGTCGCTGAACGTGGAATGCATCGCTAGACTGCATCTGTACACTCTCCATGTCATTCTCCACGGTGGTAAACACCTGTTGTTCGAATTTCATGCCCGTTGACTGATTGGCCATCTGATCCAGAATTGTCTGGGTCAAGGCCACTGTCCTGGATACCTTTTCCTGCCATTCCCGTCGTGATGATTGTGAGTCTGTTGTGGTAAATTTCTCCTCTTGGAAGGAATGCCACTCTTCCATGAGGAGTCCAAGGCTACTAGCATAGATATCTTTCCTGGCCAGCAAAAAGTCTCTTTTTTGACGGATTTCCGATCGGCATGATCGAATGGGGAATGACCAGGTTGTCTGGAGGGGGTATTTGCCATGAATGCTTTGTCGCGCGATCTGGTAGAACTGTCCCCATCTCGCTGCAATTGACCTTGATAGTGAAGCTTGTAGACTTCCTTGAACACTATGCTCTGAGCGGAAATCCTTGATCCAATTCCATAGTTGTACAGGTGATGTCTGCACTGCATATAGGCCACTGTACCACACAGAACCTAGGGTCTCATTCCAGTAATACGTCTCCTCATGAAGTTGTAGGGTCTGATCGAGCAAACTGTGCATCAGAAGTCCCGACGTCTGAATAGCAGCTTTGGCGGTAACTAGCCATAAGTAGTCTGACACTTGTGCATTAGCTGGTCCCGGAGTAGGCAATTGATTTGTGAAGATGGGATCCGAGAGTAGTTCCACCAGACGATCGGCTGGTAAGAGGGATTGGGTCTTGGATGTCACAGAAATAGTGTTGATTACATCTTGGAGACGAAGCAAGTGATGGGTTGGTGCTTCTTCGGTGTACAGAAGTTTCTCTGGGCGGATACTCTGTTGGAGACGATCCAATTGAGTGTTAACACCACAGGCGTTTCTAGAAGGAAGTCAACTCCGATCTACACGAACATGATAATCGTATGACCTACTCCTGGACAATTGACATGTTGCCCTCATTTGCCTGACAAGACGTACCACGTTAAAGAGGGAAGATCCGGCGTAGTACGTGCGGAGATAGCTATTCGTTTGAAGCTAGCGTTGGAGAAGCTCAAGACAAACAAGACAAACAGAACAGCAGGAATGAATGTACTGTAAAATACACAGTACAGAGCATCCTGAAGAACTTTTAGTATGGAAGTTGAGGCTTTGAATGGTTTCTGTATGTATCAATACGATGATTTTTTAATTTCCATTTAATTCATTATCGATGTTTATTTTTAATAAAAATACACACTGAGTACATCTCAAATCCCGAAGTAGCGGTATCTGGGGGATATAGTTGTCTGACTTCTTTCTACCCTTCTATTATATCTGACCAACCACAATGCAGAGATGTCGACTTAGTGGGTCTTAGTATCTCGGAAGGTGATCGGCTCATCAGTGGTCTTATTTCTTTTTCTGGCTCTTGAGTGGCCCGATTACCAGTCAGGGGGAAATGGGTGATCTCGCCACTTCGGGAATGGAATCTGCCTCAACGTGATTTCTTTTTATGTCTTAAATTTCCACCCTTTCCTCCTTCTTGTACTCCGAATTCTTTCATCCATACTACCCTCACAAAGGATTCAACCATCACCTTTGTCGAGAAAGAGAAATCCAAAATGTACCTTCCACCCTTGGAAACGTCCTTGCCCTAATTCTCTAACAATGTCTACTCAACAGGAATTCCACAGTGTTGTCCACGGGCACCTACTGGGATCAATACCAGCAGATATCCCACTACAACCCTGAACTCAATGTGGCTGAAGCACTCTGGGCTGCTTGGTATGCCTGGATGCAAAATGATGTCCTGGCAACTGGTATCCTGTCATTCGTGATGCACGAAATCATCTACTTTGGTCGCTCGCTCCCTTGGATCTTCATTGACAGCCTGGGTCTTCTCAAGAAATACAAGATGCAGAACGTAAGTACTCAGAAGTTATCTGGCCCAAAAAAAAAGAATAAAGGAAAAAGAAAGAAAGACTGACAATGCTGTTTAGACTAAAACCCCTTCCTTGAAAGAGCAGTGGGATTGCGCCAAGTGGGTTCTCCTCAGTCACTTCACTGTTGAACTACCCCAGATTTGGTGAGTTTCAGATCTTCCCTTGACCGTTTTGGTCTTAGCTAACATCAGCCTCAGGCTCTTCCACCCGACAGCTCAATACTTCGGCCTGCAGACCACCGTTCCCTTCCCCCCGCTTTTGACCATGGCATACCAGATTGCAATCTTCTTCATCATGGAGGATGCTTGGCACTACTGGACTCACCGCGCTATGCATTGGGGCCCTCTCTACCGATCAATTCACAAGATCCACCACCAGTACGCCGCTCCCTTTGGCTTGGCGGCAGAATACGCATCTCCCATTGAAGTTATGGTCCTCGGCCTGGGTACTGTTGGCAGCCCCATTCTATGGGCTGCCTGGACTGGTGAACTCCACATCTTCACCATGTATGTCTGGATTACTTTGCGTTTGTTCCAGGCTGTGGATGCCCACAGTGGCTATGAATTCCCCTGGAGTCTTCACCACTTCCTTCCCTTCTGGGCTGGTGCTGAACACCATGATGTTCACCATGAGAACTTCATTGGTAACTACGCCAGTAGCTTCCGTTGGTGGGACTTCTGCCTTGACACTGAGTCTGCCCCCGGTTCCTACCAACAGCAGCAAGCAAAGGAGGCCTTGCGTAAGGCTCAGTAAGGGGATGCTGGCAACCCAGAATTTGCACATTTGAGGAGCATATGGATGCAGGCCTTGTTCCCTGCTGGTGTTTCTTGGGAATAGGTATCCCGTTGACTTTTTGTCTTTCTGTGACTACCCTAGAGGTAGATCGTCCTTATTTTAATGTACCTACTAATTCTGTGATGAACCCGTTGATTGTATTTAAATGAAAAGATATCATAGAGTGAATGACTATTTCTAAAGGCCCTTAGGTTTAGGGTTATAAAGTGGCAACACACCATCCATGTCCAAGGCTTAAGAGTTTAGCGAGAGGATGATAGCTGATAGCTGAGGGGAGAACGTCTACCGATCCCGTCTCTAGCATTTTAACTAGTCTAGTCAGATATTTAAATACCTACCTACCTAGGTAGCCAGATAGGTAGCCCTCGAGAAACTGTGATACAAATCTCCCGAAGACTTCAGGGCTATAGAGGAAGAAAGAACTAAGTCAAATGGCAGCGGAGCCAGAGTGGTGTTAAAATAACCTGAAATTAAGGGAAGCACAAAAAACTAGATTCTGCTTATAGATACAATTGTTCACGCCTTATCCATACTGAAATCATGTTGACATTCACGCCATGCTTTTTTTTTTTAAATGGCCGAAACCTAACTGCTTGCGAGAGTTTGAACAACGTTCCTGAACAGAACGCTGAGGGCAGGTAGCGAGAATGAAGGAGTCTCACCAAAGACACTAGCCAGTCCCTTTTGAGAAGCAGATCCTTGTCCCTCCGTGAGCTGTGCGGGAGTCCGTTCCTGGTTCAGGCTGAAAATACTGGCCAGTCCCGAGTTGAGGCGACTGGTCACTTCATTCGACTGCTGGCTCTTCTGAGAAGCCTTGTCCAGACATCCAAGTCGTTGAACAGAGACAGACGAGTCAATAATAACGAAATCACCGGAGTATACATCCGAGAGGAGTGCGATCGGACTGTTATTGAACGACTTTTCAAATACCTGTTCAAGTGTCGAGATGTCGTAGACTCGCAGGCTAAACTTGAGGTTTCCCTTCGCACCACATGGCGATTGGAATACTACCGCGAAGGACTGAGTTCTGGGGTTCACTGCAATGAGCGAGGTGGCTTCTTCAGACGAGGATTTCGATAGCAGAATAGGCTTGACAACATCATTGACGGTATCCCATACAGCAACCAAGCCTGTCGAGGCAACGATCAAGGAGCTTCCCAAAAACTTGGCCGAGCGTAGTCTGCCGAAGACAACACCGGTTCGTCGATACTTCACACTTCCGTTTCTTGCATCGATCAATAGCACGCGGCCGTCGTTGACAGATGTGGATTGTAAGCATGCGGCAAGCACCGAGCCATCTTCAGAGAATGTAAGAGCGGCAAACTTCGGCGATGGGGCTTCACCTCCAAGACATCCCGCTAGATCAACGAATTTGCGGCACTTCCATGTTTTCTGGTGTTGTTCTTTGGGATCTGTTTTAAGACCGCTGCGATGTTTAGAAGTGAGACACCAGAATCGGAGAATCGCATCCTCGCCCAGAGTTACAAACTCATGGCAGAATGGCCGAGCCACAAGGCTGAGCACACTGACATGGTTCGAATGAGGCCCATCGATTCGTGTCGCCAACTCCCATATGTTGGAAGATGCGCTCCATTTCCAGAACTTGAGGATATTTTCAGACGGTAAGGCAGCATTTTTTCTAGTCAGTGCTTGTACGTCTTTGGGATTTGGGGTCCAGGCGTCAATAGTGGCCAACCAATTTCCATCCTGGGCGATATCCATACTCCGAACATCAGGTGTCTGTATTGAGGCGCCATCAGGGCCAACGTTCAGTGTTGTTGTGTTCGTGCGTGCCAGAGCCTGGCGAGAGATATGATAGTTGGAGCGAATATCAAATGTCTGCAGCATGGCGGCGCGTGGTTGATGTTTCTGAGATTGCTGCGTAGGTGGGAAGGAGGTGGGAACGGTAACAAGAAGCCGTTCTGGGTGCTGTGGGTGCAGCAAAGCGATCGCGCTTGCATTAGGACCGAGCTGGAGGCCGGTTATATTGGCGGAGGGCAACAATTCTCTGGCGGACAAGACCATGACGGAGTTATCAGTCAGCTTCACCAGATAAGATGTACCAGTCGGCGAAACGACGATGTTGCAGATTGGAGAGGAAAGATGGGGCAGGTGCTGTTGTCTGCCGGTGTCCAATTGCCACAAGACAAGGGTTGATTCTTGGCCACCTGAGATGATATAATTACCATCATGCGACCACCGAACTGTGTTGACGGCGCTACGGTGCCAGTGCATCCTCATGGGTGGGGTTTCCTTTTCTGCATTTCGATCAAACAAGGTGTTAATGATATCTTGGTAGATCAAGATAGATCCGTTCTTCTCTCCAAGCACCAAGTCAAGGGGTTCGAGGCTTTTGTGGGGGGCCTTCTGTGCAGTTGATCTTTCCCGCAAATCAAAGCAGCTGACAGTGTCTGGAACTGTCGCCTCTCTCCACTTGTACTGATGGGACTCTGCGACATTGGAATTGGCATTTTTCCTAGTACCCAGCAAGATCCGAGAACCGTCACAGGCAAAAATGATGCGTCCTTCACAAGCGACTTGTATAGCATTGATTTTTGTGCTTGTCTGCAGCAAAATGATAGCAGTGGGCTTCTTCTCGTCGAGAGAGTTGACGAAGATTTGCCTCTGGCCATCTTTGGCGCACCCAATAGAATATGATGCGAGCTGGCTCTCATGCTCAACAGAAGGTAGGTCGACAGCCACCATTTGAACGGTGTTTTCCCAAGAAGCGAGCTGCTTTCCAGACTCCCAGTTCCATTTGGTAGTAAATTTATTTGTGAAGATGTAAAGGATCTCTTGGTCAATTGGGCACAGTTTATATCCAATCACTTGCTGTCCGCTTTCTATCTGCAAGGTGCGGAGAAGGCGAGAGGTTGAAGTTGCGAAAACCTGGACATAGGCTTCGAGACCGAGAAAAAGATATCTATATAATTGTGTTAGAATGGGGCATCATAAAGAGTAATATAAGAATGGTATTGAAGAGTAATAAAAGGGTACTCACGCTTCATCCTGGGTCATCACTGGGTTCAGATTGCTGTAGCGCCCACCTGCAGAGAAGCTTGAGAACGACCATCCCTCTCGGTTTTCCAAATCCTGAGATTGCTTGCTACTTGAGGGCTGGACAGCAGTGGAAGGCTTCACCACTGGAGACTTGGGTGTATCCTTGGATTCTGAATACCGACGTCTTTTGACGTGTTCAGGGCGCGCTGGTTTTTCGACGGCATCATTAGCTCGGGATCGTTTATGGTGTCGTGGTGATTGATTTGGAGCCATATTGAAAGTCTTCTGTCAAAACAAATGATGCTGACTGCTCTGTAATAATTCTGTAAGCAGCTCTAATAGCAACAATCGGTCATGCTGTAGAGAAAATTGACGGTATCGAAGACAATCGGGAGCGTCAATCTTTATCGCTTTTTTTTTTTCCGATGAAAAATTAGGCGGAAATAGCCGGCAGAAAGAAGTGTTAATCCACCGCCGCGGGAAAAGTTTTGAGGGGCCTCACCTACGATAGAACACAATCTTTCTATTCATCTTCAAAATGATTATCCCCGTGCGCTGCTTTTCTTGTGGAAAGGTCTGTTTTTGGTCTATATTCTGATATCGAGTGGCCCTGACTGACAGTCTATTAGGTCGTTGGTGACCTGTGGGAGCGCTACCTGCAGTTGCTTGACGAAGGTGTCCCTGACGGGTATGTAGCATTCTTTGCTCGTGTTCCTCAACTCTAACAGCTCTAACAAATATTGCAGTGATGCTATGGACCAACTCGGCCTTCGCCGCTATTGCTGCCGCCGAATGGTTATGACCCACGTTGATCTCATCGAGAAGCTCCTCCGGTATTCGCCCTAGCTTATAAGACGGCAATGACTTACACTGACTTGTTTATGAACTAGCTTCAACTCGGCTGAGAAGGATCGTGTGAAGCCCGACAATTAATCGCATGTCTTCGCGACAATTTTCAGCATGGTTTTCTTCGGGAGTTATGGGAGTTTGAATGGTTTCCTTAGCACCAATGCTTTGAGCTTGAGTTCCGAGCGAATGTTATCTTTTTCTGAGGAAGATCCCCAAGGAAGGGGAACAGCGAGACTACAAAATTTATATCGCTATGATACGGCAAATCTTACCAAAAATGGGAGGTTGTTTAGGTTCAGCAATTCTACGATTTATGCTCAGGTGATCTCGTTTTTATCCCTTTGTTTTCCCCTTAGTATTGCTGCTTCAGACGGTACTACTATGTATAAGCTCTATCAAACTACAAGGTGATTTGCACAAAGATACTACCATCAGTGAGGACCAACAATTTCGACCCAAATTAAGCTTTCCGATCTATCGATTCGACTTCAAGATATCAGGCGTCTGACTCGTTCTTTATGACTTTGAAATTTCGTATCATACATGCTTGGCCATTCGTGAGCTTCAACCTTTGGCCTTGCTAATCTCACTCACATGTGCAACACAGTCGTCTAAGAAGATAGATTTGATACAAACCTTGGAATTTAGCGTCACATTGAGCCACTTCAGAATAGCAAGACTCAAATGCTCTACTGTTTCGAGTTTATTACACGTTTTGGAGACCAAAGTACAAAGTACGGAGTATGGTAGAGTGATGTATCAAGCAGATGCCATAGTGTCGGAGTCCAGACTTTTAATTGCTACTACAACTGATGATTCTGGTTCAAAATAAGCAAGCACCTTTGCTTTTGCTTTTTGCCGTATTACAAAAGGGAAATTTTTGGCAATGAACTGTAAGCGCCGAACAGCCTGAAATGGACTAGTCGGGACTTGGTGCACAGCATCTGAGTGGGTATAAAAGACCGGGATGCATACTCATCACGTTTCCCCAGCGCCTAAGTGCCGTGTGCCGTATCTGTAATTATTCTCTCTGCTGATGTCTCTAGACCCAGTCTTGGTCGTATCAGAGAGCTTTGTTGGAACCAACACGCCATATTAGTACCAGGAACCATGCCGATGGGTTCAGCTTAGGGACAGGCCTGAGCTCGTTCGTCCAAGCGCAAGCGGAGGAACTCGACTTGACTCCTCTTTCTTTTCTCAACTCTCCATTAGAAGCAGTGCTTTATCGTTCCTCACTCGCTCGGCCATGGCCGTCAGGTCGCCGCTGTCTGTTCTACCGTATCGCAGTACCTCCAGTCCGTATGCTGGGTCGGATTCTATGTAATGATAAGTTCCACCGAAACTGTGCAGCCAGTCACTAACATGCCACAGGTCTTTCGAGGATGCTTCAGTGCCGGCAAGTGTGAGAGGCTCAACTTACTCGGCCTCGGATGACTCGACCAATGCGACAGACGATTTATCCGCGATTTTTGCTCCGATACCAATTGAATCTATAGGTAGCGATGAAATTAAAGACAGGGAAGGGAAGATGATGAGAGTATCAGTTTATGGGACGGAATTACCCAGCCAGCCAGACTTGAAAGTATGTGTGAGCGAGCAACCTTGACTCCAGTTAGCGCTAATGAAAACCAGATTCAAACCAGCCATGTACATCCCATCGGCTTCAATGCAAGATCAGATGATGACGAGGCACCGCAATCAGTCATACATGCGCCACCTGGCTTTGGTGACTTTGTAAGTCCGCAGGGAACTCCATCTTTACCAACGACCGCTAACTATTGGATTAAGACGCAGACTAAGCCCCCGCATAATATCGAAGAACAATGCGAAACAGACTCATCATCTCCCAACTCTGAGCAAGAAGAGTCGATAAGGATTTCTGGAAAAGCCAAAAAGGTAATATTATACCCTTTCTGCTGGAATTTCGCATTATGCTAATTTTGCGACAACTTGAAAGTTTGGGAATAGTCCAATATCCCGCCTCCCCATTGACAACCACCGTCGCCCCTTCCAAAGATTGGCCTGATAGAGCGACTCCTCGAGCCCAGACCAGACCTGAATTTGAGGAGTCAGGACGACGGACTCGTTCAAGTAGCTTGGAAGGTATGTCTTTGCTCAAAGATTGTCTATTGTATCACAAATGCTGATTGCATCTTAGATATACCAGAAGGTAGACATTGAATCTCACGGGGATATTCATCATCAGGGTCACTGATTCATATTTAGGGGATTTCACGAGTAAAGAAGCCGAAATAAAGGTCCTACGAGATGCTTTGGAAGAATGTTGGACGTTGTGCAACACGCTAGCTAGCCTAAGTTATATTAACCGAAACCGACAGGTTCTGTCCCATGACGACGGGATGCAGGAGGGAGCATGGAGGTCTTGTTGGATGCTGTGTTCGAAGCTTTACGAGACTCGAGAGGAGGATTTCGCATCCCAAGTCAATCCATTGCTAGATCTCTGTCGTGATTTCTGCCAAGCTCTCTTCGAAGTCCGCATCTATGACGGCGACGGGATGGACTCGGTGTTACGAGTGAGCTTTGAACTCAACAATCACCTTTACAATACGCATGATCGGAATCTGCCAGGTGCTTTTCGCGAACGGACCTTGGACTTCTATGTCACTCTCTGTCACCGACTGATGAAACAGCGAACACGTCTGAACGAAACTGATTCTCTGCTAAGCGCGTGCTGGACACTGGCCGAGATATTATTCAGAATCCGACAAAGCAAACGAGAGAGGGAAGAGCTTGATCAAGAACTACTTGAACCCGCTGTACAAGCTTGCTGGGAGCTATGTGACATCTTCCGCGAGCGTTCTCTTCACGGCATGCGAAATCCAGATAGAGGGACTCCCCGGCCTAGCCAGACCACTTTTGCACACGCATTTCAACAAGCGCAGCAAATCTCAGAAGTCGAGTTTATCGACGACTCATTACAGTTTGTCAACCCCGAGACACCCACCACAATCTTCGAGGACACGGCCACTGTGTCACCGGATGAAGCTCCAATTCCAAACATCTTAGTCCTTGGGTCCAAGTGGCCTTCAACTGCCTCGAGTGTCTCAGAAAATTCAAGGTCCTCTGGACATACGGCCTCTTCGGCAAATACGGTGACAACTATGGCGGATGATCTCGATTTCACTCGACTCAAAGTACTGATTACTAAAGCGGCTATAAACAGTGGCTATCAACGAGGTGGGCCTCAGAATTTGTCCTCGTTTGTAAAATCCTTACCTTCAGACGCGTTCGGATCAGCTAGCTGGCAAAAGTCGCTATTGAAGTACTACCGGAAGCTTGTTGCCTTTGATCCCACCTTCATTAACGTTGGACCCCAAGCCCGCGTCAGTGCTATTGACGTGGCCCGTGTATGTCAGTCAATGCTTCAGAGTGGACAATACTCTTGGTTACGAGATTTGTATCGTCTGGTCTTTGGATTTCATATGGAAGAAGCCTTGGGTCGAAAAGGGGTGACCATCCAGACCTGATGCTTAATTATTCATGCCACTCTGATCAACTGAAGCCAGCTTTAGACCTAGCTCCATTTACTTGGTCTGTGAAAGAATTAAATGAGTCGCTGTGAGTATGGCTACTTTCCAAGTAGAGATCAAGACATGAGGATAATGACCATGGAGCTCAATCTTATACTGGGAAGAGATATCGCTTTCCTTTTTTTCTGCTGGAGTATTTCATGCATACGCATCATCCCTTGAATTTTTCTGTCTCTTGCAGCTTCATATCCTCTATTCCAGGGCTCTGTTGGTCTTCTAATCTTCTTTTATTGACATTATAAAATGGACTTTGCCTAGCTGGCCACAAATATACCTCCTCAGATTCAATCCTACCCTCTTAACTCTCACCCTCATTCTCACTTTTATTTCACTTTCCCTTGCTGCCCGACTTTCTTCCTCCAAAACTAATCCTATTCCAAGCTTTTCAAGTCGGGACCTCCTAAAGACGAGAGTCTGTGGATAGCAAGCACAAGAAGGCTTGCCTTGATTGATACCCCCAGAAATTTCCCAGGGGCTTTCACTGAACGATTTGATGACTCTAGCCCAACGTAACACCAGTGAGGTCGATGTGCTCGTCTAAGGCTGTGAAGCGTTTTGATCCTGCTAACTTGGAGTCCAAGTTTGTCCCTGTTCTCTAAGAGATCACTTCTGAGGCCTTGTCAAAACTCGGTACTTTGCACAAGTCTTCCTAATAGTCTTCTTACTACTTATAATCCCCACATGAGCAGCAATACTCATGGCCAATTGACCTTCTGGCGCGATATACATTTAACATTAAGGGATTTGAATTCCTCCACATCATCTCTCCAGTCTTGACGGAGAGCTTCATTATTTTTTCGCGTTTCATCGTCTACAGGAGGTTGTAGTTCTGGCTTCGCGGGGTAATCATTTGGCTCTGGTCCTAGTTTCAGGAGGGCATCGCCTAGCTCTAGGTTATAGTAATCCTAGACTCCACTAGCAGTCGCTAGGGCTTTCACCCTTTTATACCAATGCTGTCATTGCGCAGCATTCTTCAGTCTTATATCACCAGACATGGCGGAAACGAGGTAAGTCGATTGACTCAGGGGTAAATTCCCAATCTTCTTCGTTTTCGGGGGGCTCTCAGGGTAAATCAGCGGCGAACCGGGCTCATAACTGTCAACTTGGGCGAGGAAGTGGAATTATATGAACCAATCAGAAGACTTCCGGATCTCAAAACATGTGTGTACTTGCAGTAAATCTAACTGCTGTAAAAAGTGTACGGAAGCTGACTGATAAAGTGGACTAGACTAAAATAGGACTGGCCATTTGACAAACTGTCATCCGATTCCACGCCGATTTGTTTACGTTTCTTCATGGATTGTATACACAGTTTGTGACCTAGTTAGTCTGAATCTAAGGCTGGCTTTAGCCCTTTACACGAACATTCTTGACACTTGCAATATTTATCTTCCAATCACAACGGAAGATGAAATTGTGAGTCACAATGATATATGCTTGAACCTCAAGATGAACTCTTCATACGGGAGTCCTCTTCGCAATTTGACGCCCCGACCCTCACGTACTGGCCACCTGGCTAACATCTCCGGCTTGATAGTTGTCCAGGTGCTAGCATACTCAGTGTCAATCCAGTTATTCCAATAGTTGCAATAGATTTCTTCGCCAAGCCAATCGTGAAATGCATGGCCAAGTGGTTCTTGCTCTCTCCAACGGACTAGGGGTGAAACGTATCCAGTGAGGTGTCGTACTAGTTTCATGTTTTTCCTCAAAGCCTTTATTTGGTTCATAAAATCATCATCAACATCATGACCAGAAAGATCGACAGAATCAGAGTCGTCGCTGGAATCCGGTTTATCAAAAACAATTGAATTAGCCAAGTCAATGAAAACCACAGGGCGTACACTCTCTTGTGAAGTGATTATGACATTTCGGGGGTGAAGATCATTCAGTCTAAACCCCTTTTCATAGATAAGACTCTCAAGATCGATAATCCTTTTCAAAAGATTTTCACGGGCTTGCCGCGAGAACTCTATTGGCTGGGCTTTTGACATGGTTATTCCTGGAATGAATTCAATCAAAATTAATCGCACGGTCCGTTGTTGTACTGAATCTATAGATAGGCTCAAGGAGTAGGACCCATAGTATCTCGGGACTTCTTTGCCCTGGTGCTCATGTAGAAATCGATATGCGTCAACCTCATGGGAGTATTGATAATCTGCAACAGAAAATTGGTTGCAGTAGTCATCCTCATCGTAAAAGGGATCAAAAACTTTAGCAACTAGGACTGTTCCTTCCTGAGCAACAGAGACTGCGTCTTCCAGAGCAGAAAATCGAGCGTTTGAGTTAAGTAGTCGGTCCGTGAAAAATTGGGCACTTAACCCGTCACCTGCTTGTAATATTTTGAGAATTTCGAGATTTATTCCATAATCCTCAGAACCATCGAACGGATTCTTCCCAGGCAATGGGGGGGGGGGGGGGGGGGGGGGGGGGTACTTCAGACAACGATCAATCAGACTAAGTTGATATCTTTCCTCTATTTCAGCCTCGGTTTGTATAAAGCCCTCTTCTGTTGGACTAGGAGCAGTATGGGGTTGCACTGTGAACTTCCATCCAGAGACATATGGAAATGTACTCTCAGGACATTCCGATACATTCGGTACCAATGGATTAGAGTCCATTGAATCTCGATGATAGTGAGTAATTTTAATTTCGTTTCTGGAACAGCGAACGCAGTCGGAGTTAAGTAGTGAGTGAAGTTGGACGCGAAATAACTACGAAGCCTGGATTCGGCTTAGTCATATGTACTATTTACGTCATAACTAAATAGGATAGGATGGCGGTCTAAGATAGTGCCGGCAGAAGGTTTCGAGAATTTCCATGGCAAGGTACAACATTAGACACCTTCTCCTTTAACATGTCCTTGGATTCTCCTACACCTTTTTCAACAGTGCCAATTGTATCTAGCTGCAGCCTAAAGGCCTTCTTTCTATCTGCTTCCAATCTGCCACTCTGAATCCTCCCTCTCCTTGTGTTTAGTTTTGGGTTGTAGCGTTATGAGATTGGCGGCTAGCAGTACTGTGCTCTCTAATATGTTTTTTTTTCTAGGTGGTTAAAAGTATGTAGTTTCCATAGATCAGCTCTAGACCTTAATATCCTGAAACATCCTAAGATGACCTGAAGTCAACATGGGTACCCTTAACTTTTCTAAACCCAAGTGCTTAGAATGTGAATTGAGTCATTTGAGATGATTATCAGGATGAGGGCTGATACTACTCACTCTCTAAGGTTCTTGTGTATTTTACCGTCTAACTGAGAACTCGTGGCCTGTTAATAGCGAGATACCTAGGTATAATCTCATACGGGTCTCTGAGGTGCCAATGAGGATTGAAGTTAATCATTTATAATTCTCTCTGCAAGGTAAAGTCTATTGCTAGCATGCAAAATATTTAGGAATACATGAAATAAAGGCGGTCTTATGTTCAACAGAACTCTTCTACAGACTCAAATATACGCAAATATTTGGAAATTCTAGTCTTTAAACGAGAGGAAGGAGCTCCAAAGTGTTTACAACCAAAGCAGTTTTGGTGCGTCAACTTGGAGTTCCAAGTTTGTGCATGAAGATCATCAGTAAATTGAGTGCAATTCCACACAAAATTGACTAGGATCTGGTAGGTAATCTATATATACAGTACCTAATGATACGAAGAAGGCTCTCTAGGCAGCACGGGCAGAACGTGCAGGTCAATTCAGCTAGGAGATATCCGTCTGCAAACCTGACATCCCAAACATCATAAGAGTAGGAGACGAAAAATGAGATTTGGGAATAAAGAGGAGAAGGGGTCTGATGTCTAATCTCTAGTTGAAATACGACGCTTAGTCATAATATACATGTCGGAGGTCGGAGAGCTACGATTTGACCTCAGAAAGGATAGATTGACATTTCAAGTTTTTATTCTACTAGCTACAATTTCAATTTCTCCATGTGGTCCTGAAGTGTTTCTAAGTTTCTTTCTTGAGTTCGCCTACGTTATTAACTTGTGAAATTTGTAGTAGACTGACTGGATTCAATTTTCTCTAGTCTATGGAATGGTATTTTGATTCGTTCTATAAGACTACTTGAATATCCTATCTATTCTATTATAGAGCCTTTATTTCAATTCAGTTCAATTCAGTTCAATCCAGCTTAATCCAGCTCTAGGGTCATTCTTAAAGCTAATATCCTAGTTATACCTTTACTAACAGCACCTATCCTCCAGTTTCAAACCGCATCTCACTGACAATCTAATGGCAGTCACGATTGAAAATTCATTTTTCCTAAATCTTCCGGCTCTGCCCATGTCACCCGCTCCAAGGACTACGCCTAATGGAATAGGCTTTCGCGATGTTGGCATGCCTTCAAGCTCAACATTGAGATACACTCCCATCTCAACCTTTTTATCAGAGAACTCAAACGCCTATAACGATATGTTTCAGCACTACTTCAACCTGGTAAGGAATTTTCCCGGCTTACAAAGCTCGATGCCAGTCGAGGACGGCTCCCATCTCCTCCATACAGAAGCAGATGTCGTCCGTGCAGTCAATGTGCACATAATACATGCACTCAACACTGCATTAAAGCCAATATGCCCAGCTGGAATCAGGTTAGTATGTTCAAGTGAGCACATGAATGACCGGAGCCGCCACGATATCGTGTGGTTCCTTTGGGATGACATCAATAGAAGAAGATGCACTCCAGGCCGATATGTGGCAGTTTTAGAGTTGAAAAATACCTACAGCTTGCAGCATCACGACTTCCAAATGGCTGAAGCATCGGATATGCGCCAATGTCAATTGGATGAAGCTGAAGTTCTCTCCACGCGTGGCCGGCCAGGCGGAGGTGGAGATGTCCAGTACACTCCTCTGCCCACAAACGCTCGCCGCATCGCCCAGCAACTGTAAGTATTCCTCCGGATGTCAATACATTGGTGTGTTTGATTGGTCCAACTTGGTCCTTTTTACCTTTCCTCGGTCACCCAACCAAATTATCCCAACTCCAGTTCGAGGTATATTTTTTTCGGAAACTGGCGTCAATGCTCCCGCCAACCCATCGAATATGACCGTTCGCCAAATTCTCTTTGCCTTTATAGCACGCGCGCTAGACCAAAGCCTCCGTTGAGGTTCTTTCTCGTTTGCTTTTACTTTGGCATTTGATTTTGCTTCTTTTCTTCTTTTCTTTTTTCTTTTTTGAAGAAGATTGCTAAACTGACCCCTCGCGGCTAAACTGACTGCCCCCTGCCTGATTTTTGCTTGAAATCCCAGACTAATTGTTATTATACACCGCTTTATTTACCGCTTGGCCGCCTTTAATCACAATATTCTTTCATCACAACATTCCTATCATAATATTTACAAATCCACATCTCGCTTATTTACATTCTGATTTACACCTAACAAACTACACGATTTATTCCCTTCCTATCAAATATGGATTCTGATCCTGAGTTTATTCCTGAGATTGAAGACCCTGACATGGAGTATTATTAGCTCAGATTGAATACTTTATTCGCGTTGAAACAAACACGTAATCAAATACCGTAAAATATATTCTTAAGTATGTAAACCAGAATGTAAAGCAAACTGAATACAGGAATAAATACAGAGATAGAAAATTGAAGTTGAAATTATGATGAGGCCGGAAATCCCGGATTAATAGTTATTCCATGATACTGGCAGAATGACTGGCAGATTCTGGAATAACTCTTAATCCGAGATTTCAGGCAAAAATCAGGCAGGGAGGAGTCAGTTTAGCGTCTCCTACTTTTAACTACTTGGTGGGCTTTTTATCTATTGTGTGGACTATGGATCATTATGGGCTATGGCTATTATCTTCGAAGCAAACTTGAAAGAAAGTAAAACATATCATGGCCTATCCCAGGGACTTCCGTGGAGGAGAGAGTCGCTTAGCAGAAACAAGAGTTTTAACAGTGCCAATTTCCAAGCTGTCTCCAAGTTATGGGGAGAAGCCTGTTAAGGGTTACTTGAAATGATACGAGAGGTAAGGTTGAACAGTATGAATCAATATGTTACTCGATGAATAAATAAATACGCTGTACGAATCCGATGTTGATCAAAAGTCTAAGCTGAGGAGGTAAAGTACATATGCTCCATATAGAAGCTAGAAGCATCGCTACTGAGGGCATACCAATCGAGCTAGCACACTGCATCAAGTTCCCTAAAGCAAGTTACTTCTGTTAACGCAAGTTTAGAAATTAATGTCGCTCGCTTAGCGAGCGTAGCTAGCTAGTCGCTCGTCACTGAGAACAGTGAGCTCCAACGAACCACTACTCAACACCGTAGAAAATCCACCGGGTGTAGTGGATTCTACGATACTGAATATTGCGGTTGTTGTGAAGTCTGCTTTTTCATTGATGAAAGAACTAGCTACTTATAGTATATGGGTGCCCCTCTGCCCTGGACGAATGTCAACATTCGTCCGAGACAGAAGAGACGGTGAAGACGGGATATTACTGTCGCGAATGCACATCGCTCAGGGGTGTCGTTTGCGATGAATGCATATCGGTCAAGGATACCGTGATATACTAATCTAGTTCCAGAGTTGCTGTCCTGGCAGAAGCTTTTTCGGCCGAAATACTTTCCGTCTGTTGATAGCCTTGTTTCTCGGCTGTCGCAACAATTAATAATTACTAGTTGTGGTTAAGAAATCAGACTTCTCAGAATGCATAGATGGATATTTGACATTTTTGACCTAAACCGCCTATGTTGGAGTTCCACATAGCTCTACTTATCCTTGAAAGCCCTCAAAATATGCAGAGTAACTATGAGACTGCGACAGCCCGTATTGGATTGGACAAGAATTACAAATCTAGTCAAAATCAAGCCATAACAGTGTGCTCACTAACATATTTATGAATATCCCAAAAATTGCGACATTTGTGATTCGATCGAAAGTCTGCTCTTTCGCCGAAAGGCGCCTAGTAAAGAATCCCTGTTAGTAAGCTCAAATGGCTTTTATAGAAGCCCAGTAGATTACCTTAGGATCGAGCTCGACTAAAATCGGTGTAAGATCAGAGGTGCCTAGATACAAAATTAGGCTCACATTCCCTTACTGCCTACGGACTAAAACCACTTACACATAATATTTATACGCAGAACTTCGATGCAGTGATCTATCATGAAGTATTAGCTGCCGTCTCAATCATTAAACTTACTATTGCTCTCACCCAAATGCATCCGTGAGAGTTCTGAATCTGGAGACAGGCCTCCAGGAAGAGGGAGACCTTGATCTGTCCAGTACTCCTTATATGCCCATTGTCGCAACATGTGCTGTATGTAGCGGCTTCGGGTTAGTAAAGGACTTCAGTTAATGATATTAGGATTAAAGGAAACAAACCACACAGTGAATTTGGTGAAAGACTTCAACCTGCGCGATGTATCCATCTCCAATCTCTGTTGGAACGTGTTTGTATGTTAATCCTGATTGGGACTTGTTCATGGCTGTTAGTTTATCCGCAGGAACATTGATAACACCCACTGCGAGGAGAAATATTAGCGAATGCTTAATTAACAAAGATTCACCTGAATGATACTGACTATGCCATGTATCTTCCCATAATTTCTCTCTCTCTGGCGTTGGGGGTCCTCGGAAGGGAGAGGGCTCGTTGAAAAATAACGGTAGGTCGTATTCAGAGTATTTGACCAAATCAGGGAGATCAAGAAGAGGAGCTTTTATCCGCGCATATGGTCAGCTAGGCTTTTCAAAGTTCTTGAGGATATTTTATGGATTTTAGAGCAAGAGGTATTGGCTCACATACAATACGGTGAGACGACCTTGCTACATTCTCTGTCACTTGGTCTTCGATAAAGTAAGGAGACCAATACACCGATGAGCAGAAAGACAGCAATACCCTGGATCAGTACAACCAGATGCATCATTCCAAACTGCCTCCTGTGTCCTTTGTAACTTGCGATCCGGATCTTAGGCGTATTATCGTCGTCCAGATCCTCACAGAGAGGAATAAAAGGGACCTCTTGATCGGTCTTCATATTGAAATCCATCAATCTTTGAGAAATTTACAACACCTTCGAAGAATTTTTAGAGCCGTCAGAATAGTGCTTAGGGATGATATGGCAGCCTTTCTCTATCAAAGGTATGGGGAAGTGTTCCGATAGCGGCTGCATGTAAAATTGTTATGAAGATGAAGTCCCGTCCAGCAGAATTGCAAACATGCCACATCAGCGCATCCGAAGCAGTGCAGATCTAGGGTATTACAATTACTGCTGATATTAGTCAGCGCTTGAGGTGTTTTATAGTGTAACGTGAAACCGGGTTGCTCGGGACACTGGGACACCCATTTGCAACTATATATGAGAGCTGGTTATTTAACTAGCGTAGGACATTGAGACTAGGTATGTCCTTTGGTTCCGCATCTAGAGCATGTGAAAAACATGCCTAATAAAAGGTAAAGCAGGAAGGGAAACCTCACCTCGGGTTCTATAGGAGCGTCCACTAGAGATGTATATCTTTCACCACCCTCCTCTTCAATTACTATACTTTGTTGGATTTCATCCAAACTGCGCAAATTGCCCCTAAACTTTGTCTGCTTCTTGCTTAGAGTTCTTTTCTTATCTGTCTTTTTGCAGTAGCCTCCAATTTCCGAACGCGGTCTTCAATAAGTGTCATCCGAACTGCTATCTGAGTATGTGTATCTTGCGACCAATAAATTTGTCTCTTTAAAGGCAAATCTAAAGATCCAGAGGATACTCCTAGTTTTTTTGATTGTAGAATTCGATTTTTGGACTTTTGAGAAGTTTTAATGCAGATTTGAGTCACTAGCACTGCTTGAAGAAGTAGGTCGTTGTGGGTCGTTTTCAAGGTTAATTTCAAGGTTATGAACAACAATATCTAGCTTCTCTAATACATGACTGGCATTAAAGGTGCTGAAAAGTATTCCTGAAGCTATTTAATATAGTACAAGCTTTAAATGTTGTTTTTTGTGCGCGATGGTAGATTTCAGGAAAGTCATCCTTATCAATTGAGTTCACACCCTTTCGCATTTCTTCTCCAATCAGACCTCCATAGACCTTTTTAGGACTGTAAAGCACCCTGTATCAAGAGGTTGTAGAAAAGGAGAGGCATGAACAGGCATATATTGGCAGATTATCTTGTTGTTAGCGTATAATTCATCAAATTGTGGCGTACGATGAGAGTAGAGGCCATCCAAAACCAACAATATATAGCTGCCTTTGCGCGTAATATTAGGTATAAAATGGGGTTTAAGCCAAATCTAGACCAACTTTATTGCTAGTCCAGCCATTTTGGCCAGGGTAAATAACCCATTTACGAAACAATTTATTAAACCAACTGCCCAAAAAGCAGCGCCTTTTAAAGATAATAGAGGGCGGAAGAGCAACACCTTGAGTATTAATTGTCTCAATCACAGTAATCCATTCACGATTTCCAGCTTGTAGAAGTCTTCGTTTACCACGATTTTCTGCAGAGCATATAACATACTCTGAAGATATAACACCCATTGCGAATCTAGTCTCATCAAAGTTATAAATATCATCAGAAACGATACAATAATTTGAGATTTTATTTCGAACTAGGTTAGACCACCCATTAATATGTTTACGGTCTTCTGCTTTCGCTTTCTGAATATTAAATCGACGAGACCTCCGATTAATTAGGGGTTGGGCACGCGCAATATAATCTGGAACCTAGTATTTACCAACTTTTGGAGGGGGGTTGGACGGGATGATTTCACCGGCGCGGAGCACTAGATTGGCCATACCTCAACACATTTTATATGACAGGGCAAACTCTCTCACATACATATCAAGGAGCCATTGTTCCATCAATTCCTCTTTTATTTCAGAGAATTTATGGCGGGAATGGCGAGCTATAGCCTTTCTTTTGCGACCTTTCATTCGAGCATGCAAAGTTGAACGGGGGACTTCGTAGGCAGCAGTAGTAGCTCGAATTGAAGGGAATTTTCCATCGTTTAAAAGTTTGGACAACTAATTCAGCTCTACCCTCCTGTTTTACCAAGTTTTGAGATTTTTTGAGGGGGAATTAGTGGCATTGTTGTGATATGACAAGTATAGGTTGTAAATTGGTAAATATTTTGGTTGGCTGTCCCGGTTAACCCAGTGTCCCGAGCAACCCTGTTTTACGTTAAACATCAAATTCTTGTGCAATGACTCTCTGATCTCCAGTGTTGTAAATACACCAAACAGTCATCAGACAATTTAATTCTCATCGACAAGATCAGCGTAGGCCTTATCACACTTCATAGTCACATCATACTCCCCACGCTCAACTAGATCAGCATAAGCACTATCGCACTTCATCGTGACATCGTATTCCCCACGCCTTTCTTCGCGCTTGTCAACTAGATCGGCATAAGCACTATCGCACTTCATTGTAACATCGTACTCGCCACGCTTTTCCTCGCGCTTGTCAACGAGATCGGCATAAGCACTATCGCACTTCATTGTGACATCGTACTCGCCACGCTTGTCCTCTGCAATCATATCATTCTGAGTTTCCTCCATACTTGGTTGAGGGGCTCTTGTAATTAACTTACGAATTGGGGCTGCTGCTGCTAAGGTATAGAACAGAGAGAAGGTAGCAAGGGTGGTGTAGACCTTCATGTTGACTTGGGTTGTATTGAACTGTGGAGAGAATTAAGCACGATGCTTTGGATTTAGACGAGGATAATATTGCATGGGATAGGTGTTGTTGCGTTTCAAGCAGGGGGAATGTTGGTGCTTTTATACTACAGAAATGCATATATGCAGGATAATTGGGTTAATTGAGTATTCTTCCGAAAGTGCATAACTTGAGTGTCACTGTCATACCTACAATCATTAAAAACAATACTAAAAACTGATGCCTGCCAGACTGTTGCCTCATCCCTGCACTATATTTTCGGAAATTCTGTTGATATCCCCGCTATGCTGTAGAATCATCTCTTTAGTAAAGTCGTCCCTCTGCCAAAATATTCATTCCATTAAGAATGCTTCATCTTAGTACTAACAAGTAGCTCAGGATGAACTTCTTCATCGTATACATCACTCACTCCCCTCTGCACAGCTGGTCTGGACCCAATCCGCTCTATCCATTCCTTCAAGTGTGTATATTGGGCCATATTCTCTTCTGATATAGTACTTCTTTTCCATGCGCGTACCCAAGGATAAGCATTGATATCAGCAACACTGAATTTGCCAAGTCCATTTCCAGCTAGATATGCGCGAGGTTGACCGTTTAGGGCTCCAGAAAGGTGGAGCTCGAGAACATTGTAAATCCGGAGTGTTTCGGCTTTGTATTTTTCAACGGCATCTAAAAATTTATTGATTAATCGGATGTTTGCCCTATAATACCCGTGATAATGCACAGGTATAGGAAAGGTCCACATACAGGGGATCTGTATTGGAGCAAATCTTCCGAAGTGATTAAGTTGGCCTTGGCTAGGTTGACCCGAAGCATGCCAGAAGATAAGCCACTGAATCAATTGAGACTGTTCTTTAGGATCGGAGAAGCCGAAGTGATGGTCCTTATCCACCGTATCAAGGAGATACAGTAGCTCCGCTGATGATTCGAAGATGGGGAAAGGCGGTTCGCTTGTATTGTCAATGAGAACAGGGATTCTACCTATAGGATTATGTTTGGTAAGATAATATAAAGTCAAGCTTTTTTGGTCATGTTCATACCGTTCGGGTTCAGCTTTAGGAACCATGGCTCCTTCTGTTCATCAGTGTCGATATCTATCAAAGAGGTTGTCCACTCCAATCCGTAAATATCTTTCAACTCCTCCAGAAAGATCTGGACTTTCTTGCCATTAGGGGTGGAGCATGTAATAAGATGCAGCCCCTTTCATCATCAGCTTATGTGCAAAGTGAGATAACTTCAAGTTTCCATACCGTGGCATTTTGGACCGCTTCGGGGGTTTCATCCTTGTAAAATTTCGACATCCTGCTGTAGTTGGCTAGAGAGGGTGAATGTAAATCGTGATAGATGGATTATCCAAATTTATCATTTCGTTGCGGTGGAGTCGAAAGCGGCTACTCATCTTGGTTCGGATAAGGAATCATTGCGACAATCTAACCAATTAGATCGAGATCAATCTGACGACAAACGGCTTTGCAACCTTTGGTAACGTTGATGCGAAACGGATTCCGACAGCACTAAATTGATGGCAACATTTAATCCTTGTGTAATTTAAATTTAATATTACCCGATTACAAGATTACAAAAAAAAAACTTGAAAATTGCTTCCATAATTTCGTGAAGCAACACAGAAAGTAAATTCCACACCTAACCCTCTCACAGTGGACGTATTTGACTAAGTCTATGACCAAACCTCCAATACCATATCACTTGATGCTGCAGAAAACTCAGCCTTAGAGAGGTTGCAAGAATAATCTGAATAGCGTACTTTGTAGCGCAAAGTGAATCGATCTCAAGTCGGCGGTTGCCCACTACTTTGAAAATTTGGGCAAGCAACTTCTCGACAGGGAATGGCTGCTGCGCCCCGAAAGACGCAGCCAGCCGTTTCAATATGGGCGCTGAGTACAATGATGTCTACAGCTGGTGGATCAGAGTAGGTGTCTCCACTTGAAGAACGCACTTCGCCAGTCTTCGGATTATGGTACTTCTCATAAACGACGGGTCGATTTGCATTAAAGTCCTTCATTTGGAACACGTGAAAGCACCAATCTTTGTTATTTCGACCCAACATAAATGTATTACCCTCACAGTCTACCACCCACAGATTCGATATCTCGCTTCCGAAGACAGCAGATAATTTGTAGGCTTTGAGCTCACTTGAAATTCCTAGCCCTAGAGATGTAGCCGTCAAGGAATACGGTGAGTGGCAGGTGTCGAATGTCGACAATGATACCCTAAAACTACTTTTGGAGAAATTTATGAAGTGATGCTGGAGAACAGTCTTGATCTGTACTTTGATTTCTCTAGCTGTATGTGACGGCTAAGTACTTAGGTAGAGGAAACGGAGAGCAGAGCTCTGATAGATGAACAGTATGGTGGTTTATTTCGAGGTATTATGTTGCTGTCTCTAATCAAGAGATTCGGTATGTAATCAACAAAATATAATTTATAAGAACAAAAGCTTCACTTCTCGAGACTATCTAGACAAACACCAGCCATTCAGGCTTTACAAACTCTTACAGCCACTCGGGCTTATCACGTCCCTTGATGCCAGAAGGCACATCGTATGTGAGGCGGGACTTGTTGAGGGTAAATGGTAAAGAGAGAACTCTCACATCATCTTCAATTCCCCAGTCCTTACCACTCATGGTCTCGAAATATTCCTCTTGCTCAAAAGCATCAGGACGCACCTTCCTTACGGCCGCATGCATCTTTTCAATCAAGATAAAGATCTCGTGGTAGTGGCGAAGGCCGTGATTCTCGTGCAGCTTAAGGAGATGCTTCTTCTGCTCTTCGGCATGGTGACCGAGACGGTAGTACCAGATGTTGTACTGTGTGAGGGAAATGTCAATATCGAAGGTCACATCATCCTTGGTGCGAGCGTATAGTGCATGTGCCACAGCAGCAGCTCCAGCAATGCCCATTTGGTAGTCAGAGTTGGCTATGGACAGGATTAGCAATCTGATTCCAGCGTGGGTAACTCTATTTATAAAACTTACGAAGCAGAGGAACAATTGGCTCGTCCAAGCCAAAGAACTTGCCTTGCTCCCAGGCAATACCCACAACACAGTCGCTTACTTGTTGCCAGCCGGAGCGGTATGCCAGGGGTCCCTTGAAGCCGTAGCAGTTCTCTCGGAGGTAGATCAAGGAGGGGTTATCAGCACGAAGAGAGTCAGCGTCAAAGCCCAACTTGCTCAGCACACCAGGACGATATCCATCAATCAGAACATCAGCTCCCTTGACCAGCTCAGCAAACTTGGCCTTGCCCTCGGGGGTCTTAAGGTTCAGGTTTGTGTCGCGCTTGCCAGTGCTGAGATCAAGCCATGTTATCGAGATGTCGGGAAGAGTCTCCCATGTAACCTTCAGAACTTCGGCACCAAGGGCTGCCAGGACCTTGGAAATAACAGGTGCCGCAATGACTCGCGAGAAGTCAATCACCCGAATACCGGCCAGCGGGCGAGCGGTGTCCTTGGTCTCGGGCCATGGCTTTCTCGGGGCATTTCGTTTCTTCAAAGTGTACAGGGGCTCTTCGCCCATGATCTTGCCGTGCTCCGATGCGAAGAATTCCTCTGGAGTATTACAAACGACACCGGCTTGGCGGTATTCGTCGTTGGCCACGCGCTCAATTTCGGCGGAGTCCCACTGAGCCACCTTCTCCTTGTAGATCTCAATGGCCTCATCGTGGGTGACGTCCTGTTCGGGTACACCCATCATCTTCATCGACGGGGCAGCGTTCATGGAGCTGTGCAGGTGGTACCATTTACCATCCTTGGTCTGATATACATTGGTGCACTGGCGATGGATGGGCTTTCTCATCTCATGAACATCACCCTTGGCGATCTCAGCTCGGATCTTGGGGTTTTCGAGCGCGGGCTTTCCGTTGATGGTGGCAAGAACCAGAGACATGAGAAAGAGGGTGGCAACATCACTATTTCCTCTTAGGACGGATATTATAAATTCACAAAATGACAGGTACCTACGTGTTCACTTCGATGTCCTGCAATTCCAGTCCATATCGATCCGCCGATATTGCGCTTGCCACAGCAGCCGTGTACGCGCTCAAGGCAGAGCTCGATTCTGTAATCTTCAAGGGAGTCGGGATGAAGGGGTCACGATGTCCGACAAACTTCACCTTCTTCGCAGCCTTTTTGAAGGACTCGGGAAAGTCAATCTTCGGGTCGCTGAACAGTGTATCCAGCACGCGAGCTGACTCGTCTTGAACGCTGTAGGAGGTCATGTTATGATTACTAGGAGAGAACTGCGGAAGGACTGAAGAAATGAAACTCGAGTTTCCACCTTTAGAACTGTCTGGATGCTCTCAATAGCAAGATGGATAAACGAGGTCTTATATCATACCCCATGGTTTATTATACATCTCAATTCCGAGTAGCCGAAACCGTAACCCCGCAGACCGACCCGAAACAAGTGGACCAGTGGTACTACTATGGGGTTTGGATTCTTTACGCGTGCCATGAGTCATGCCACCATTTATTAAAATTGGGTCGAAGACTATTCAGGCAAAAAAACCTTCTACTGCATTCGGAATGTGGCCCTAACTGGATTTACCATAAAGTGACCCCGGTGTATATCTTGGGAACTTTCTCGGTAATAGAGTTCTTAGATTTATATTTTGCCACGTCAGTTTTAGGAACAATTTTAGATGAATATTGTCATACTGTAGAGAACTCCGCAGAAATTCTAGAATTCATTTTTAAGTCGCTACCTAGTAGGAGCACGGTACATAGTATCGTCTATTCGTAAATTATGGAGAAGCGACTCTTAAACCTTGTAGACATCGACCAATTATTTAGATCTCGAATGTGACGTTCGAAAGTGGGACTCATGATTAGCATGTCGCCCTGGCTGGACGTGGCCTCGTCAATATCCGAGGGCCAGTTGATACAGACCTCAGAGGAGAAGTACGGTGAGAACTCTGGGTGAGTGTGATCCTCCATATTCTCAATCAACACATCACGCATCTCTGGCCTGGACAGTAAAAACAGTCAGATCACCGGGCCTCCCCCTGGAGAAGTTAAAGGGACGTACCATGGAATGTTGTCTATCCACATAGGATGCGGGATTTGGGTTTGGGTCAATGTCGGTCGTAGCCAGCGGGGCATGGCTAAGTAGTGCTCCTTGCTGGCCAGTGTCTGCCACTAGACGAGGTTAGTCGAAGCCATCGAGAAGAACCGATGAGCGCACTTTGATTGTTAAGTTCATTATATAGAAAAATGCCATTCTCTCGAATTGGCCAAACCCAGGGAACCTGGTGAGAATATCGGAAATGACCACACCGACATGTGCGTGTTTGTATTGCTCAGGGGCAATGAGGGCCTTGACACATGGTTGGCGGAACCCAAGTACTATGTCAGGGGGGATATTCCGAGCGATCATGTCCCGATGAGAGCCAATCAGATCAAGCAGTAACTTGTCTAGAGGACAAGTAGGGGGAACATGAGGCGGTAAAATAAGGTGCACAGCGGCTGGGTCAGTGCATGGACTTCCGAGAGTGTCGCGGGCACCAATCACCGGGTAGGTAATTGGTTGACATGTCGATCCAGTTGAAAAGGGACTGGATTCTTCGGTCGCTCGAGATTGCGCTAGGCATTGAAGGTTAATATTTTGCTCTCGTAAAAGTGATAATTCTTGATTGGTCTCGTAGTGACGCTGCTGGAGCTGGGCCAGTTGCTGTTCGAGCGTAGAGATAGAATCCTTCGATCGCTGACGCTGAGCACGCTGAGCACGCCGGTCTGTTTCACGTTTCTGTCGAATTTGTTCTTCGGTGAGAGTATGAACAGACCTTACGCGCCTGCGACGATCCCAACTAGTGCCTTCGTGATCCTTCATGGTGAATTATGACGAAATGATAATGGGTGGGAAGTTCCGTGAAGATGCGATCCGGCAAAAAGGGCCGGAACCCGGGGTGCCGCTAAACCTGAATTAGTCTGCCATGAGTCATGCCCCTGGATCTTTCCACTTACCCGAAAAACTCGGAGTTTCGTCATAGTATGGAGTACTCCGTACGGAATACTCGGCACGGTTAGTTTACCCCAACATTTACATACTTGCCGAGACCAACCCGCATGCCATGAGTCATGCCCCGAGCGTAGTCCGAGCCTTCGATCCAATAGCACTTGAAGCCGTGATCCGACAAGCCACCTTTTGGTCCTGCCACTCTGTGGAAGTAGATGAACACGAGATCTTAGTCTTTGCAAGGGTAATCAACTTAACTTCGTAGTTGCTAACGAACCGCATGCCATGAGTCATGGCAGTTCTACGCATCGTATTCGACTTGACGCAATGAATAGTTATATAGGTACAAAGGCCCAGGTTTACCCCCGGTCTGACATTGATCAGAACAACATCGGATACCAATTACATACCGAACAGTCCAACTACAAATTAAATTCTTCGGAACAGTGAATATAGATCAACATGTCAACCCCAGCTCCCATTCGAATCGCGGCGGCTTCGGGCGCTACAACCGACCGTCGTCCTGCACTTTTTGATATTGTGCAGCATGACGAGCCGCAATACATTGTCGGCGACTGGCTGTCAGAGATGAACATGACAACAAGAGCTGCTGGCAAGCTGAATGGCTCCCTAGATGAATACGAGCACTGCTTCTTGGAGGCTCTCGAACCCGCACTTGAGCAGATCCAGTCAAAGAAGATTAAGGTTGCTGCTAATGCCGGTGCCAGTGACACCAAGGCACTACACGATGCCCTCGTGAGCTTGATCAAGGAAAAGGGACTGAGCCTTAAAGTCGCCTGGATTGGTGGAGATGAAGTGATCGATCAGGTTCGGGAACTGGCTAAGAAGGGGGAGAAACTGAAGAGCTTGACCACTGGTAAGCGGAGATACCAAACATCAAGGGTTGTGACAGTACTGATTGATTGAATAGGTCAGGATCTTTCCCAATGGGGCTACGAGCCCATCTATGCGCAGTGCTACCTAGGATCCTGGGGAATTGTCGAAGCATTCAAGAATGGAGCCGATATTGTTATTTGCGGTCGTGTCGCGGACGCCTCTACGATTATCGCCTGTGCCGCTTTCCACTGGGGCTGGGCTCGGGATTCTTACCACGAGCTTGCCCATGCGTTTGTTGCTGGACATTTGATTGAATGCTCGACTTACGTGACTGGAGGCAACTTTTCTGGATTCAAGTCCTTGCCCGGTAACTCCGCCAACATCGGTTACCCCATCGCTGAGATTACCCCCACCGGAGAATTCTATATCAGCAAGCAAGGCCGAGACACTGGCGGTATCGTGACTGTGGAAACTTGTACCGCACAGCTGCTGTACGAAATCCAGGGACCCTACTACTACCACTCCGATGTGGTCGCCGTCCTCGACACAATCCAGATGAAGCAGACAGAAACAAACCGAGTCTTTGTCTCTAACGTCGGCTTCCGCAAGCCTCCTCCCACCACCAAGGTTGGACTGACTGCGCTTGGTGGATACCAAGCTGAGGCTCACTACTTCCTGTGCGGTCTCGATATCGAGGAGAAGGCTGCTTTTCTCGAAATGCAAGTTCGTGCCATCCTGGATGAGTCCAAGTTCCACACCCTAAAGTTCTCTACCTCCGGTAGATGTCCAGTGGACCCGAAGACACAAGAAATGGCCACCGTCGATTTCCGTGTTTTCGCCCAGTCTCGGGATAAGTCAGCTCTGGAGACCGGCCGTTTCATTCGCCCGATTATGGATCTTGTCATGCAGGGTTACCCAGGCGCCACATTCCACATGGACCCCCGACTGGGTCAGCCCAAGCCTTACTATGAATACTGGGTGACATTACTGCCCCAGAACATGGTGCAGCATGTGACCTATCTCCCGGCAGCAGGTGTTCAAGTTGATATTCCCGCTCCCACCGATACAGAACTGTTTGTCCAGAACCAGCCCACCTATGAAACCCGTGACCCTGTGGACCTGAGCGCTTTCGGCCCCACAACACGTGTTCCCATTGGTTATATTGTGCAGGCCCGGTCTGGCGACAAGAGCTCCGACTCGAACGTTGGATTCTTTGTCCGCCATGCCGATGAATGGGATTGGCTTCGGTCCATCTTGACTGTGGACAAGATCCAGGAAATTCTGGCAGACGACCGCAATGAAAAGGAGATATTCCGTTTCGAGCTCCCTCACATTTTAGCTGTGCACTTCTTGTTGAAGGATCATTTGGATCGTGGTGTGGGTGCTACGTCGACCTATGATTTCCTTGGTAAGAATCTTGCGGAGTATCTGCGCTGCAAGCTGGTTGATGTGCCCGTGAAGTTCCTGGAGCGTGGTAAGATCTAAGCCGGTTGAATTAGGCTGGACTTTTCACAAACAAGTATGAGCAATTAAATTAGACCCAAATAGCACCTACGAATTTTCTTTTCTTTGATTTCTACTCTTGAGCTGTTCATTTGACTGTTGCTGTCGGTGACCTAGTATGCCAGTTTTTGTGTAAGCAGGACTACATCTGATAGTGACACTTGCAAGTGGAATTGGAGGTACAAGTCATAATGACAGAGTGATATTAACTTGGAGAAAAGAGCAATTTCATTCATTCTAACTTTGTGATGTTGATGACGGATGGAAAACTACTTTGTACTGTATTTACTTTTGAATTATATTGTGGTAAAACTTTTGTCGGAATTTAGCCCTACCCACCTAAAAATATATTTCTAGTTTACGAAGAAATAACTCTGCCATCTTAATAGAAATGGTTTATAATTATATATTAAGATAGTGTTGGTACACCAGTACCAAAAGTAGAATAGCTCTTCAATGACAGGGGAGGCTAACGCCCACTTCTGACACCTATCACAGGTAACGCTTCACGCCCCTGTGATATCTATGTGTCCTTCTGAAGTGGTTGTAAAGTCTAAGTTTCATTCTTAGTTTTGCTGTCTATTATAAAGTAACGATTTGGTCACATGACTACTTTGTTCCATATTCCAACAGCTAGATTAATTATAGAAGAGTTAAATTCAATTTGTTATTTTGTATAATAGCCCCTAGCCTTCCGTACAGAGGCTAATCTTCGGGGTATAGACATAATTAGGCTATTGATTGTAGCCTGCGGAATGGCATCCCAAGACTTACAAATACACTGCTTAAAATAGGCCTTATCCTCCTCAGTATCACCCATCTCGACTAATTCAGGGTAGAGCTTTCGTAATTGAAGCTTTAAAAGATACCAGCATGGCTCAATTGAGCTCATATCGGGTGAGCGTGCGGGCCATTTTTCAAGATGGATAACGTTGGCATCTAAACCACCTTTTTACAGCCTTTGATGTATGAATCCTAGCATTATCCCGTTGAAACACATCGTCGTCCTCATAGTATGGAATAAGGCCATTTTCAAGGGCTGAAGATAGGAACATGTGGAGTAACCTTTACATTTCGCTAAAGGATCCTTCTCCATCACCACTAACTTCGAGCGGCCATCAATCCATATACAAGCCTAAACCATTTGGGAATATCCTTAACTTGGGCTTTATAATTGACGAATTGCCTTGAATGAGTCTCTAATTATAGTACCCAGGCCCACGAGGTATCGGAATTATATGTTCTTGTCATGGTGTTCTATGCTATTTCCTCCACTTCGGCGAGGGCGTCTCGACCGATGTATTTTCATTTTTTTGTTTGACGTTTTTGTTTTCGGAACTTTATGATTAAGAATTTTGCGTTCACGTCCTGTTCTGGGATCCATTGGTTATATTCAGATGGCCAACCCTTCCATTTGACTAGGAAGTGCGTTTCGTCGTCAATGGTTGATTCGTCTGATTTATTCAATTTCCCATTCCATGTCGTCTTGTAGTTCGGGTAGCGTAGTCGTTTCGCCGTCTTTCCGGCTCTTCCACGGTTCGAGGAGTGTAATTGGGAAGACGTTATGGAGTCGGTCGTATTTTGTTGGTAATCCGAGGCGATACGCTTGTTTTCCGACTTTTTCAAGGGGTTTGAAGGGTCCAATGAACTTTGGACTAAGTTTATTGGAGAGCGATTTGAGGCGGAGGTTTTTGGTCGATAATCTGACTAGATCGCCAACACGGAATTCCATCGGTTTATGTCGTTGATTATAATATTTGGAAATCGATTCACTGGCCTTCCGCCAGCTTTCCTGTGTTTTTTCGCGCAACTCATGGAGTTTATGTATGCGGTCCTGGGCGGATGGTGCTTCAATGCCTGTTTTGTTCGACTCCTCGCGCATTCGAAATTCCGGACGGTATCCCAAAAGGCATTCAAAAGGGGACAAGTTCGTCGTCGAATTCACTGCGTTGTTGCATGCATATTCTGCGGTTCGTAATAGTTTTGGCCAGAGTACTTGTTCATCGCCGGCGAAACACCGAAGGTAGTGTTCCAATATCTGGTTCATTCTTTCCGTCTGTCCATCCGTTTGTGGATGATGTGCGGTAGAAAGTCTGCGTATTATCATCGAATGGTAGCAGATTCGAGACCAAAACTTGTGAAGATACTGCCTCGGTCAGAGACAATTCCGTCAGGAAATCCATACTTCAATTCCACGTATTCATAGATGACTTCGGCGAAGTCCTCGGCCTTCATCATGCTAGAAACGGGAATGAATAGACAGTATTTCGTGAACCTATCGACGATTAATAGGATCGCGTCCACATATTGTCCCCTAAAAATGGCTGGGGGTTGGCCATCTGAATATAACCAATGGATCCCAGAACAGGACGTGAACGCAAAATTCTTAATCACAAAGTTCCGAAAACAAAAACGTCAAACACAAAAATGAAAATACATCGGTCGAGACGCCCTCGCCGAAGTGGAGGAAATAGCATGGAACACCAACGAATCCTTCACTTGCTAGTTGGGAAGGCGATGACGAGTACTGCGATTCCGAACCAAATCACCAACAGCCACACCTAAACCGTCGGTAACTTCACATATATTGGCGACATTCGCAAATTATTCTTTAATCGCGGTATGCCAGGCGTTATACCCAGCCTCCTCGGGACTAAGACGACACAAAGTTATAGGAAACGCGAGAGGCCGAGCAAACTGCTCTAATTGCAGGCGAAATTTCGAACGCGTGACGTTAAAGTATCGCTGCCAAACCTTCGGCGGAAAAGCCCTAGCCACATCCAAACCATTCTCGGAACAATGAGAAATCACAGCATTACGAAACGCAAGAGTCAATCGAATCGTATGCTCTTTAGCCTCGATGGGGCCCCGAGCACCCAATGGGATAGCCACCGAAACAGATAGAGGATTCCCGACAGGATGAGAAAGCCCCTTGCTAATATCGGCCGGAAGTGCCGCTGTGGTATTTTCTGCCCACTTCAAAATCTCGAAAAAATGGTGGGCTTCGCCAAGCATCCCGAACGGAGTCTGTTCAACAGCGAATCAACCACGGACCTTTCAAGGATAATGAAGTTACCTGATGGCACACATGTTTATGCCGAATACAAAAGTCACAACTTTTCGAACCAGTCGACGACCACTTATAATCGATATTCACCACTCTTGAGCCAGGTGTCCAGCTATTTACCGCAGCCGAGATGCAGTTCAAACAAGATGTATATGTCACTAGTACAGGATAATTCTTTGGTGTTGTGAGCCGCGGTGCGGTATCAGCCATTCCAAGAGTACCTGGAACCGCCATCTTCTTAAAGAAACTCCGGAAGCGATTCGGGAAGAGAGTGAAGAAACAGGATATCAGAAGATGAGGAATGAATTGAAGGGAAGAAGTTGCTTTTATCATGAAAGGGCAACTCTGGAAACTTCCATGACCTCAAAGAAATACGCACAAAGGAAGCTCAAACAAACACACACAGTGCGATTAGACAACGAACCGCCTTCGGAAAACAAGCAATTCTCGCATCCTTTGACGATTACCATTCCCCACTATCACCCCTCATCTCAACTTCAAATTTTCATTCACCCCGACATAGGTTCTCTGGACTGGTTTTTCCCTCTGGAAGGTTTCCCAGTTCTATCACGCAAATGCGGAGAACACTGTCCGCAAAATGCCCGAACACGAATCGTGCAGAAGTCGACCGAGGACTGTCGACCATGGAGGAGGGAATAATTGTCATGGTATTCCCACAGTGCGGAAATTATGTAAACATAACCACTTAACTAGTTAAAAACCCGTATCCTCTTCGGATCTACGACTGATTCCTCAAGAATCAGTCTTGAATACAATTGACCTTCTTGGCTTCATCTTATCTATTCTTTATCCGCTAGATATCCTTACAATTCTTTAGACTGAACATTCGTCTGAAAAGATCCACTTATGCTAATTAACACGTTGACGCCATTTTTGGGCGAATTGAAGTTGTTATTATGTGAGAAGAGGGCCGAGAGGGATCTTATTCTTTCGGCGTCGTTTAAGAAGACCTCTTGGACGAAGAATTCGCCGTGTAATGGCTCGTCCGGTTCCACACAGGTGCCAGGAGCGCAGTCTCTGGAGAGAGACTGGGCATCTCATCGGGTATCGACCCGTTACATATATAGCTATAAAATGGATTACGACACGCACTTAGATAAAGATATCGTTTAGCGGCGTCATTAGATATAGGAGGACTTCACTTCGAGGGCGAGGTTGAGTTAATTTTGTGGCTAAAAAGCGATCGCGAGTCTTATAGATTGTTTGGCGCCTGCAGCTATAAGTTGTAGGGAGTTTAGATGGAGATACGCCATTTTCTAGGCCAGAAAGAATTCCAGAACGTTGGTCAGTTGAAAGTTCTTGATTTTTTCTACGATTCTCGCTAATTTCTGTGCTGAATGAAGCCATGGTTGCAGTAGGAGAGAGAATTGCAAAAGGGCGGTAGGCGCGTATATGAGAAAACGCGCCAAGACACTGATATCATATAAGCATTTTACGCGCGCCTGAATAATCGCGCTTAATAATCTATTGGCGCTAAGGGCTTGGCGGTGGGGCCCAAAAAAGTTCTTCTGTATTGGTCAAGCCAATTTTGAGAATGACTATATCAGGTGCCCAAAGAAAGGTAATATTCAAGATTTAGGAATACATCCGGAGTACAGTAGAGCAGAGCACGACACGCTTGTCGAACTGGGTTAATTTATTTATTTGTCATAGACTGTTTACTGATGGCAAACCGGAATAGTAATCGTAAGGCACTTCAACTCGTTACTCAAAAATTGCGATGTCAGAAGTCGCCATCAGACGCCTTGAAGAAGCTGATTTTTCCCACACGACTCTAAAATCCCAAAGCCTAGTTGATCGTAGTACAACTCGGTCTTTTCTGTTTATTATTAGCCAAGCCAGAGAATATTCCTCGATCGGTAGCTAACTTCTGAGTTTGGACAGGTGAAAAATGACCAGGGGACCGAAGAATTGGAAGTATTGATGAGAGCTGACACATTCACGCCTACGAAGACGATCCAACAGTCCAGATACTTCTACCTTAATCCGACTGATCAAGGCTTCCAGAAAACCTACTTCCTACTCGATAGATTCGGTGGTGGCAAAATTTAAAAACATAGAAATGTGTGTGTATTTTATACTGCGACTATCAATACTTCCCTTCTTGGATTCGCTGCTTAGCCGCTACTAAGTCTTTGAAGGAGAGAAGAGTCAGTATTGGTGGTGGCTAAGAGATAGAACGCTAGCATTCATCAGTATAGCAAAGTCCTAAGCTCAAAGATCCAGATCAGTTCAGATAGTATTGTGGCGGTGCTAGAAAGGGCGCCACAAATAATGGCAACTCTACTAGTACGAGATTGTCTTGATTAGCCGTACTTATTTTTCTCATCTACCAAATTTAAGAGGCTACGGCACAGGTGAGCTACTTTGGTCGCTTTTCGGTACTTCTGAAAAAATGAGACTGATGAATATTGTCACGGATACCAATACGACAGCTCACATAGAATCTGACGCGATCAAGCGTCGGGACCACTGCGAAGGCTGGCTGTGGTCCATACTTACAAAGTACTTTGAGGCTTGAACTATGACATAAATTTTTCCGGGTAATGCGGGTGGACCTCGGAGAAAGTGCAGACCTTGAAGAAAGATCAGGCCATATGACAAAAAGTAATACAAGGCGACACACTCTTCGCACCTGATTGGCCGGTATTAACGTGCACTAGTCAGGCACCGGAAAGACTAGTTTCTCCACTCGGACTTGGCCGAGACATGGTTAGGGCTTTCATGTCAGAATCGTGGGCTAGATATGATCTGTATAAGTTAAGCTTCCAGCGTTATGTACTCTATATACTCTACTTAAATAATACGTTCAATTAGATATGGCTGTTTCAATTCTTTTTTTCTGTATAGATAATAGATATAAATCGAATATTCCGTCCAGATATTTCAAATCCTATACTCAGCTTCGAAGTCTGAAACCTTCGACACTAATTCGAGAGCTAAGCATATGCGACGTAGTGGGCACAGTTTCCGTTGGAGACTGAGAACCCATTGGTATTGTCTTCAACATAAGCCGTGGCGTAATCACTAGAAAACGCGCAAGTTTTCACATTCATCAGGTAGCACCATTTGCTTGTACTAGTAGCATGATAGTAGGACAGAGCGCAAGTCGAGCTTTCCTGGCAGCTCTCACAGCAGGCCGTCTCGGAAGTGGAGTCACCCACAGAAATGGAGTCATCAGGAAGATGGCTGAACACAATTTGGAAAATGTATTGACCGGCATAGATGCCGAATTCCGAGCCAAGAGGGGCGGATGCGATGTTGTTGGTGGCACATGCGGCGTACGCAGATGTAGTGCTGATAGCGACTACCTGGCTGGTAGTGGAAGTGACAGTATCTGTCACGACAGGTAAGTCGCTAACAACGGTGACATAGGAAGTAGTGCTGAAGCTTGATGTGATAGAGACGTCGGAGGGAATAAGCACAGTGTTGGAAGTGACGGTACTGGTCAATGTGACGGTCGTGGAAGGTGCAACAGCAGTAGCAGTGGCGGGAGCCTCAGTGACGGTCGAGACTGTGGTGGTCTTGATGATGTACTTCACTTCGCAGACCACCTCTTTAGGATACTGGTAATCATCTAGCCAAGGAGTGCACTGCTCTACTCCTTCGTTCAATGATCTTTTCTGGGCAGTAGCCGTGGTGAAAGTGTCCACAATAGGAGTGAAACCAGCCGAGGTAGCAATAGTTGTGGTACTAGTCTGAGTGATCAAGTCGGTCGACCAAACAGTTGTGGTGAAATCGCTGGGAGTAACCCAAGAAGTCGCGTATTCATAAGCAGTCGATGTGGTTGAGAATACATCAGTGGCTGGTGTTGCGGTAGTAGTGACAGTAGTAGTCGCATAGTCCGTCGCCAGTATGGTTGAGGCTAAAGGAGTGGAAGTGACAGTATCCTGAACCGTGGTGAAAATCACGACAGGAGTAGGGTCATGAATATGACGGGTCTTGGTCGTCGTAGGGACAGAAGAGACAGATTTCGTTCCCAAAATGGTACGACAGTGCACTGAAGGCTGTACTTGGGCTTGACTAGAGACTGCGATATTACTTGAGGATGGCAATATATCAGCTTTTACTACGCTGAGCAAGAGACCCGCAAGGGCAAAACGTGAAAAGGACATTTTTTGCAAAAGAGTGTATAAAGAGTGTGAGAAATTAAGGAAATTGAGCCTAATTGATACAATCAAGACTTTGTTACGTTAAATAGTTTCAAGATCTCGTTAGGGGGAAAATGACCGTCGGCTATTTACACCCAATCTCACAAAGTTCTTTTTGATGGACCCGCGGAGGATTATTGAGGCGTCAATAGTATGTCCAAATAAGGAAAGATATATTTTCATTTCAGCTGAACGGGTCTTTCTGAATTTCCCATGTCCGTGTTCTGGTTATTTCTTCGATCTATATACTCCCCTGGAGTACCTCCGCTATTTCCTACCATCACACTCTTTTGTCGCTTTTGTTTTTGAGAGCATCTGCTCTACTCTTTCGTTTTTCACACTCTTTTATCTGAGGCTTAGTCTCTGTTCTGTCAGAATGGGCCACTTACTTCTTCGAGGAATCTTCGCAGCATTGCTTATGCAAACGAGTCTTGCATTGACTGTGAAAGTTCCTCAGCCAACAACCACCTCTTCTGAGACTACTTCTTCTGTGATCACTCTTTCTGCGACGCATGAACATCACCACCACCACCATTGGACATATACTTCAAGGCCATTGCCGAGTCGCAAGCCTTGCAGCACTCATTTATCATCGTCTGTTGCCGTGACCCCCACGCTATCTGCAACACCATCTGCTATTGTGGTATCGTCCTCTATCCCAGTGACTTCACCCACTAGCTCTGTCACTCCTTCAGCACATCATCATCATCACCATTCTTGGACTTATAGCTCCAGGCCATTGCCCAGTCGCAAACCTTGCAGTGCTCGCCCTTCATCATCTGCTCTTGTTTCGTCGTCTGCTATTGTTCCATCATCCGCTCCTTATTCTTCTTTGCCCACTTTGACCACGTCACCCATTGCTTCTTCCACTCCTTTGTCGAGAAGACCAATTCACACTCATCACTCTCATTCCTATTCTCATCACTGGAGTCATACCTCTAGATTACTGCCTCATCGCAGTAGCCATTGCTCGGCTTCATCGTCCTTGGCTATCTCATCCTCAGCTCCCACTTCGACGCCTCTTCATCAGACGTCAGTTGTGACTACTGTGGCTAGCTCTCTTCCAACTACAGCAACTGAACCTGAATCGCCTGACCAAGCAAGCGGTGCTCCTTCTGGATCGAGCCCTGTCCAGTCAGGTTCTTTGCCAAGTACTACAGTTGTACCTGGAACTTCAGTACAGTTGACTACATCCACCGTCCTGTCTACTCGCACGGCTACCATCACGGCTTGTCCGTCATTGATTCCTAACTGCGCGCCGGCTTCCAAGACTACTTTTACAGCAACCGAGACTGTGGTTATTTCGACGACAGTCTGTCCGGTGACAGAAGATCAGACCACATCTGCTCCTGTTGCTAGCGGGGCTCCTACGAAGTCTGGTGAGCTTGGATCTACCACTTCCACTATTTTCACTACTCGCACTGCGACTATAACTGCTTGCCCATCTTCCGTCACAAACTGTCCCGCCAGATCAAAGACGACATATGTTACAACTGAGACGATTGTGGCGTCCACCACCATCTGCCCGATAACTGAAACTCTACCTGCTTCCGTTCCGACAGGCCAAGCTGCCACCAAGTCTGAGCCTGGATTTACCACTTCCACCATCGTCACAACCCGTACTGCTACTATCACTGCTTGCCCCTCCTCTGTAACCAATTGCCCTGCAAGATCAAAGACAACTTCCGTTACTACAGAGACGATTGTACTATACACTACAATCTGTCCGATCGCCGAGACTGCCGCTACACAAACCGCTTCTGCTTCATCCCAGGGCGCTGCTGGTTTTGAATCGACTACCTCCACCATTTGGAGCACCCGGACTTCGACTGTCACTGCTTGCCCATCATCCGTGACCAACTGCCCACTGCGGTCCAAGACGACCCATGTGACCACCGAGACCCTTGCCGTAGGAACGACTGTATACGCAGTATCTACAGTCACAGCTGCACCTGTGTCTACTGCTACCGAAATTTCATCCGACTCTGGCTCTTCCAGAAAATCGGGGGGTAATGGTTCGGCCTCAGGTGCAGATGCAGTATACACTGCTCTCTACACCGTCTCATCATGTGACAGTGATACCTGTACCGAATATGTCAGCACTCTTCTAGAGGCCCAGACTGGCCTTGCTCAACCCACTATGTATGGCTCCAAAGCTTCAGAAAGTCGTACCACTTCTGCTTCTATCTCGGTACACGTGCTGCCCCAGAGTAGCAAGTATGGTGGAGTTCGCACATCCTCAGCGTCTGCTTCTAGCACTGATAGTGCAGTCTACTCTACTTATACTGGTGCTGCATCTACCATTTCCCACTGGCATATGCTGCAGATGGTTTGTATGGCAGTGCCAATCTTAGCCCTCTTTTCTTAGATAGATGGGCTCAAGTCCTATATATACATATTATATATCACTGTGTTATTTATTCAATTCATCTCAAATTAGTTTAATTTAAGTCTGTTTTTTGTGACAAATCAATCGCAAAGAGTATTTGTTTATGCTCTTCTCCTACCGAATACGTTAGTCAAACTAGCCGTTTTCGGCGCCTAGTTTACCGTCACCTAGCTTTGTAGTGTTTTCATGAACGTGACAGGGTCGTAATCAATGCAAATTCAAACTTGAGCTTTTCATTGACTATAGCGACTTTTTAGTATAAAAATGATACATACACATTATGAGGACAGCGAGGCTCAATGAAGTTGCAAACATTGTCCTCGGTCGTTTCTTTCTTCGGGTAATACCCTTGATGGCGTAAGAAGGAACCCAATCATCCCAAATTGGAAATTTCATGGCATAAGTAGCGTAAATCATAGAGAAGCTATAAAACAGGACAATTAGCATTGTTATTAGAGGTCGGCACGGATACATATCCGTAAGATTTTGGATTATTCGTATCCGTAACCGTAGTCGAGAGCTTCTATCCGTAACCGTAACCGTAGAATTTCTACGGTTACGGATACGGATTACGGATATCCGTGATATTATGCCACCGCCTAAATAAATCATATGATACTACGATAGAAACTTATCATCCGAAGTCCCTAATTTGATATCTAAATAGTTATCCATTCATTGATAGAATGAGTCTCCTACCACGCCCTAAACGCGCTCCACGATAGGATTACCTTGTTCTAAATGATGGTAGTGATGAGGAAGCTGATCCTAGTGATCGTATCAAAAAGCAACCACGTTATCACTCCCCATTAGATGAAGATAAAGATGAAGATGAATCTATCTCTCCGAATGATTCAGCGAGTCAAATCCCTGAAACAACCTCTTCTATAGTGTCTACTCCTTTAGACTCTTCTTTGCCCAAGACACCAAAATCCAAAAACCAAGCCCTTTGGAGTCAATTTACAATCCGCAATCTTCCAGGGAAGTTCTGGCATCCTAAACGGGGTAAAGGGCCGTTACAGGACCGAGAGATTGTATGTATTCATTGTGGAGAATGGAAGATCTTGGATTCCCAGAGAGATACATCAACTTCTAATATGAAAACGCATCTGATGAAAAAACATGGATCAATGATATCATCAGTAACTCAGCAAGCATCTATTGTTTCTATGTTTCGGACAAAAACTAGTCAATCTATGTTAGAGGCATTAGAGGAGAATTTGATTCGATGGATAGTCTTGGAGAATATCCCTTTCACTGCTCTTTAGTCTATAGCATTCCAGCAAATCTTTAGGGTAAGCTCTCTCTCTCTCTCTCTCTCTCTCTCTCTCTCTCTCTCTCTCTCTCTCTCTCTCTCTCTCTCTTACTAACTTTAATTATTCTAGGAATTACTAAATACCCCTCTACCTTTTACGTCTGCTCGCATAGTCTCTCGACGAATCAATATGGAGTTTACTCAGTATCGTGCCTATTTGGTCAGTGAGCTCGCGGAAACATGTTCAACAATTGCTTTTTCTTTAGATATATGGACATCCAAGAATCAAAAAGCTATTTTAGGGGTTATTGGACATTGGATAACCCCTGATTTTGAATACCGTGAGAGGATTCTTGATTTTATAGAGCTTATTGGAGCACATACTGGAGAGAATATGGCAAGCCAGCTTCAAATATCTCTTCAGGAGCTACAACTTGAGTCTAAGCTACTTACTATTACTGCTGATAATGCAACAAATAATAGTGCCCTAATTAAAGAGCTCTACTTCAATCTTCAAGGGTTAAATCTAGCTACACTATAGTTTCAAGGTAAGATTCTCTTCATCTCTCTCTCTCTCTCTCTCTCTCTCTCTCTCTCTCTCTCTCTTTAATTATCTAAACTTACTTAAGATAGGTCTTGATAGCTATATTAGATGCCTGGCGCATATTCTGAATCTCATTGTCCAAAAGATTCTATCAGAGTTGAAATCTGGCGATTATCAATCTTCTTTAGATGCCTGTGGTATCCTAAAGGACCATAAGAGCCTACCAGCTGGGCATTCTGCGCTAGCTCGTGTACGAATCTTAGCCCTTTGGGTATCTGGAAGTCCTCAAAGACAGCAGCAGTGGCAAATCATTTGTCAGACGCATGGATTACCTGATAAGCTCGTTCGGTAAGCAAGATTCCTTTCTCTCTTTCTTATATATACTTATAGTTCTAGGTATGATATCGAGACACGTTGGAACTCGACATATCTTATGATTCAAGATGCTATCCTTGCTTAAGAGCAGATTAAACATTGGAATAATGTTCAGAATCAGCTGATACCATTTTCAAATGATGATTGGTCTAATCTTCGTGATCTTGCCATGGTTCTTTCAAGATTCTATGAGTTTACCCAACTTATCTCTCAGCGGCAACCTCATATAAGTCTAGTAATTCCTATTTACTATGAATTGCATGACCTCCTTATAGAAGCAGCTTCTTTTGAAGGCGACTTTATAGGGCTTAGTCCTGATATCTCTTCTGCTGTCTTGGTTGGAATGCAAAAGTATAGGAAATACTATGATCTTATGGATATGCAAGATATCTATTATATAGCTCTTGCTCTTGATCCACGTGTCAAATTTGCTCTTTTAGAACAAGAGCTTGAAGATGGGGTTATCCAAGGAATCATTCAGAGCATTAAGGTCTTTCTTCATAAGAAATATCCCCCTTTGGCTACCTCCATCTCTAGTTCTACTTCTAGAACTATGGATCCTCCTGCTCGACCAGGTATGAGAGCTCGTCTTCTACAAAAAGTACATTCTCAAGAAGTATCTCGGGCTTCTGATATTGATCGCTATTTTGATGAGCCTCCTATTCAAGTAGAAGGATTAATAGAAGACCAAGATGACTCTAAGTGGCTGCTTTCATGGTGGAACGCTCATAAGGATCAATACCCCAGGATGGCAGCAGTTGCAAGGGACTACCTTGGTATTCCAGCAGCTGAGGTTTCAGTTGAAAGACTTTTCAGTTCTGTAAGGGATATCCTGGGTGTTCGTCGACAATCTCTGAACAGTAAGACCATAAGAGAGTTAGTTTTGTTAAGAGATGTATATAATATTGATTCCTAATTGAAATTTCTTTTACTTGAGAATTACATGAGATTTATAACTCTATAGACTTAGAAATATATATTAGAACTGCATGTGGTTCTAGACACGTGATATAAGCTACGGATATTACGGATATCCGTACGGTTAGAGGGCATTTATTCGTAACCGTAACCGTAGAGATTTTATTCGTATCCGTAACCGTAGAAATTCTACGGTTACGGTTACGGATACGGATATCCGTAAAACCGTGCCGACCTCTAATTGTTATAATGAGTTGCATCTGCTCATGTGACAATGGCCACTCACGGATATATCATCCCATTCCATTTTGATTCATCTATCCACCAACTCGTGCATCCGCCATTAACCCAAGCACGTTCCCCGGAAGAACTTTGGACAGTATCTGTCCATTTCTTGCACGCTGCTTCTTCCACCTCATATGCCTCTGCCTGCCCCTCGATAATTGGTTTGACAATTTGAAGAATATAGTTGATAGCGTTTTCAATCCCAATGATGACACTGGTATGTCCACTCGAAGAATTTGGACCAAATAGAAAGAAAAGATTAGGAAATCCGTCAAGTGCAACACCCATATAGGCCTGTTGACCTCCTCGTTTCTTCCAAAGTTCATGGATGTTTATCATGTTTCGGCCAATGATGCGCATAGGTTGCAACAATGCTGATGTATCATAGCCAGTGGCAAGAATGATTGTATCGAGTGGTATTGTAATTCGGTCAGCCATGTCCCCTAAAATGCCTTCTCTGGGACCTAAGCGTTGAAGTGGTAAGGTGGAAAGCTTCATTTTTGGGTCATGAAGACTATCAAACCATCCATCGTCATGGATGAGTCGCTTGCAGCCCACCTCATACTGAGGCATAAGAATCTGGTGATATTGTGATGGAACTTTACTTCTCATATGAGAGATCAGTGCTTTTGCTCTCTCTGCGCGACGAGTTTGGACATTCCTTCCTGGCCTTGTGAAACGAAAATAGCTGGTTTCTGTTATAGCAAAGATGACGACGCGAACAAGTAGTGCGACACCAGGAATGTTTCTTGTGAGAAATGGCATGAATATCTTCCACCAGCCCATATGCCTCTTAGAGAGATGGTTCGGAGCAACCCAAGGCGGGGACCGCATCAATTGGGTCACAGACGCAGCTCCAAAATCCTTTCCCAGTAGTCGAGGTACGACCTGTGCCGCGGAACAGCCCGTGCCAAGTACTAAAACGTTCTTTTTGTGGACATCTACAGAGTTTTTCCATTCCGAAGTGTGTATAATATCGCTCTGAAAGTCTTGAATACCATCAACGTCCCGTAAAACATCCACGGATGTCTTAGGTTTGGCAAACTTTCCGACAGCAGTCAACACAATTTTGGCGTAAATGATGCCCTTCCGCAGGCTTGGCAGATGCTGAAACTTTACCTCCCATTCTAGTGTCTCTTCATCCCATTGAAGCTCGGTGACTTCTGTGTTGAGGCGAATGTTATCTGAAAGATGGTATTGGGCACAAACATCCAAAAGATACTTCCAGATCTCCTCTCCCAATGGCTTCAATGTTGACCAGTTATAATTTGGGGCGAATGAAAAAGAATAAAGAGCTGCAGGTCTAGCAAGCGGAGTCAGCAATGTTTTTCGGGTTAAATGGTGATCTGTAAATTCATGGGGCGGACTCACACATCGCAGGCAACCCCAGGGTAGCGATGCGTCAACCAAGTCCCCTTTAGAGTCAGCTTGGCCTATTTAAAATGTCTTTGGGTAGATGGAACCTACACCAATATCGCTGTTTTTGTCAAAGATTACAAAGTCTGTAATCCCAAATTTGCGTTTTACTTGACACCCGGCCGCAATGCCAGATATACCAGCTCCAATTATGAGTATTGGGTGGGATAAAACCTCCCCATCAAAATTGAAAGGGTCATTGGATCCCAAAGGCATGTTTGGATAATACAAGAATTGACTAGTAACGTGAAACAGATGTTCACATGAAAAAAGTGCAACTGGTCCAGCAGCACATTGATGGTGGGCATTGAACGCTACGGAGGTACTTGAGCCAGGGCAGTAATAATAATACCGCGCTCATCAGCAAGGGGTAATGGAACTGGAATACTAGGACCATCAGTGATAAGCTCATGCAAGGAGAGGAGGGGGATAAATGCACTATTAGGAAAATCTCAAAGCTACTGGTACAATATTTATTGCTGTACATTACATTTCAGGAGGTATTTTTCATCACCAGATTATAGTAGTGCGAGAGAAGTGAGTCTTAAATTAGTAAATTATCAATTTGTATCTGGGCAAAATTAACACAATCAACCAAGTTTCGTTATATATTTTTGGCTAAATCCGATCTCCCAGTTGATTGGCTTGTTTTTCTCTTATACCAGAGTTAAAGTACATCTCCATTGACATGGGGACGATGTCGTACATACGTATGGTCGCTCTGGATAGAATTTATCAGGTTTAACTATACCGTAGAGGTCACCTACGTGGGGGATAATGAAATTATAAGAAAGAAGATGACGGTCTCCTAAGAGAAGAAAAAATTAATTTGTATCGACTAAGGAAGGTAGACAATATAGGCTTGACCACTGAAGCAACAATACCGTCGCAATATTAAAACCACAATATGGATGGTAGCGCTTTAGTAGCCTGATGATCTATTGAAGAGAGCCATGGATACTTCAGACACCACCTGACATCCCATGAAGGGCACTTCGAAACTCAGCATCCAAACTGTCAGAGGGCCCAGCAATCATGGAGTGATTGACTGTTGGAACCCTTTCGGTGGTCAACTTTTCTAGCGCAGCTCGCTGGCTGGAGAAGCTCTCGATGATACTTTGAGCAAATACAGTGAATCCTGCCGAATCAAACTGAGAGCTCTGTGCCTGCATGTTAGCATCTGGTATGTGAAAGACAAGATGTACGGGAAGAAAGGCATACCTTGGAGGCGGCAGACTTCAGAGCTTTCCGCGCACTGGACTGCATAGCGTGGTAATTTTCAAAGAACTCAGGAAGTTGGTCACTGGAGATTGCACCGGAACTTTCATACTGCGATCGCATACTAGCACTGGCCCCCAATAGATCGTACAGAGCTTTTCCACAGCTGACAGACTTCAGGATACCTCCATCAAAGGTTTCTAGGCAGTCGTTGATAGAGTCTATGCGACTCCGGAGGGATCGCAAGTCCGTGAAAGTTTGCGTGTGATCAAAGGAGGCCGCTAAGGTGAGAGACACCAAAGTCATCACTAGCACAAAGGGTCTAAGGATCGTGTGAAGAAGCATTGATGCGTTTCACTAAGACGGCTTTCAAATATATTTTGATCTTCCTTGCTTTGACGGCTCACTCCTGTAGTTTAAATACAAGTGGTTCGTGATCGACATGTAATCGCTATGCGACGCAAAGGGTTGAAAAATACGTTACAGAATGTAGCATATTGGCTTACTGTAACCGGGATAATCACACTCTTATGGCGCAATCTGCGTACGCTGAATTCCCAAAACATAAAGGCATAGCAGACAAATATATCTCATGCATGAAAAAGTACAGTGTTGCTCAGGGAATTCGTAAAATACAGGGCGGTGATAGAGTGAGCCCAATTGAACCCTTCATTCTTCATTTTTCTGGTATTTAAAAGTATTATGTGTAGTAATAATATAATCCCTCTGAAAAGGAAGGTATCGGTCGTCAATGATACAGCTCTATTCATCCTTTGCTTGAGCCTGTTAACAAAATTATAAAACCAGCAATGAACCGGAATCGACGTCGCAGCAATCATCTCTCACATCGTCAACTAGGTCACCATTCAAGCTAGAACATCATCAAAATGCCACCAGCTGTATCGCAGACTGAAGTTCTCCCCAGTGGAGAACTTGAGCACAAGGTAAGCCCCCCGAGGCCTAAGTCTCATAACCAGCATTCCAAGAACGGAAGCTGACATTCTTTTTTTTCTTTAAAAAAATTAAGGTTACTAAAAAATCTAAGACCTTCTGCCTTGATAGTACTCACCGTGATGGTACAGCGAAATCAGTTTTGTCTGAGGACAGGGACAGTTTCAAAGAGTTTCAGCCAATGGCAATTGTGGGGATGGCAATGAGACTCCCAGGTGGAGTCAAATCAGATAAAGATTTCTGGGAATTACTTATGAACAAAAATGATGGATTGTGTCGTGTGCCAGAATCCCGCTATAAGGTAGATAGCTTCTATCATGAAACGATGCCCCACGCTTTGAAGACGAAGCATGGGTACTTCTTGCAGGACGACCCAGCCCAGTTTGATGCCGGCTTTTTCAAAATCGGCAGTGTCGAAGCAAGTCGATTAGATCCCCAGCAGCGGCTTCTGTTAGAAGTAGTTTGGGAGTGTATGGAAAGCTCTGGCCAGGTAGGCAACCCCCATTCGAAGCACAACGTAAAGTCTAAAGTCTGCTAGACCGAATGGCGTGGACGAGACATTGGTTGTTACGTCGGTGTTTTTGGTGAAGATTGGCTTGATCTGAAGAGCAAAGACAGTCAGAGTATTGATCGCCTTCATGTGCTGGGAACTGGAAACTTTGCTTTGTCAAATCGAGTCTCCTATGAGTTTGATCTGACTGGGCCAAGGTGGGTACAAATGGCTTTCTAACGTTTGAACTACAAAAACTAATCTAGAATGCCTTAGCATGGTTCTGTCAACAGGATGCTCCTCTTCTTTGGTAGGGCTGCACGAAGCGTGTGCAGCTATTCAAGCGGGAGACTGCTCCTCTGCACTGGTGGCAGGTACAAACCTGATCCTAACGCCGACAATGACTACTACAATGTCCGAAAACATGGTTCTATCATCAGATGGGACTTGTAAGACATTTGATGCCAAAGCAGATGGATATGGGCGAGGAGAAGGAATTAACGCTATTTACATAAAGCCTCTCAAATCGGCTTTGCGCGATGGCGATCCTATTCGCGCGGTCATCCGGTCCACCGCAACTAACTGTGATGGAAGAACGCCCAGTATCACCACTCCAGGATCTGCAACCCAGAAGAGTTTGATTGAGAAAGCGTATAAGATGGCAAGAATCAAAAATATCACTGAAACGCCTTTCTTTGAATGTCATGGAACGGGTACCACAGTTGGAGATACAGCAGAGGTTTCAGTTGTGGCGGAGCTATTCGGAGGACACCAAACCTTCATTGGATCCGTGAGTGCTTTATAGCTTAATTTCCGTCTAGTTACTGATATGTTGTGCAGGTGAAACCGAATATTGGCCATGGTGAAGGTGCCTCCGGCATCTCGAGTGTCATAAAAAGTGTCCTAGCTCTTGAACACAGTATCATTCCACCCAATATTCACTTCAATGAGCCCAATCCAAAAAGTAAGGCCTACTAAACCAACATCTTACATTTATCTGAGACCTGTTTATAGTCCCATTCAAAGACGCTCAGTTGATAGTCCCAGTTGAGCAAATTCCTTGGCCAACTGACCGAGCCAAGAGAATCAGTGTTAATTGCTTTGGGATTGGAGGATCCAACGCTCATGTGAGATTTTAAAATCGAGGTTTAAATGACGAAAAAGTAAAAAGCTGAACCTTTCCCAGGTTATTCTCGACTCTGCGACATCTTTTACAAGCGAATCACATCACGAAAACCACACTAGAGAAAAATACATACCTATGCCCATGATTCTATCAGCAGCTAGCCCGGAGGCACTGCGCCAGAGGGTGAAGGATATCAAAGAATACATGGAAAGTTTCTCATCGATGCAAGACCTGGCTTACAATCTCACAGTTCGTAGGGAATTGCTCCCTTATCGCACTTTCTTGATTGGAAGAAATAATTCCGTCGTCGAGGGATTAGAAATTCAACAATTCGAAGCTCCATCAAGAGTTCCAAAATTGCACTTTGTTTTCACTGGCCAGGGAGCACAATGGGCAGGCATGGGCAGAGACCTCCTCGAAACGTACGAAGAATTTCTCGCCGACATTGAATCCATGGATGAGGCACTGCAAAGCTTGCCCGATTCCCCGCAGTGGACTATCCGAGGTGAGTCTAACGAAAATCCGCTATCTTATTATATGCCCGGACTAATTCAGGCAGAGGAGCTATCGCGTGTCGGGCCTGCCTCTCGGGTGAACCAACCAGAGCTCTCCCAGCCTCTTTGCACAGCACTTCAAATTGGTATCGTGAATCTACTTTCTTCAATGGGCGTTAAGGCGACTACGGTAGTTGGTCATTCTAGCGGAGAAATCGGTATGCTTAGTTGACAGTATTCTATTCTATTATGAGGCTAACAATACGCACAGCCGCAGCGTATGCTGCAGGGGCCATCACTTCCAGCACGGCAATCATCCTAGCCTTCTATCGCGGACAAGTTTCGAAAAAATGTCGAGCCGGTGCAATGGCTGCTATCGGGATGTCATCACAAGACGTTCAAAAATATCTGCAAGGAGATGTTGTTGTGGCTTGTGAGAACAGTCCACAAAGTGTCACGATTTCAGGAGATCCAGATGGGATTGAACGTATTATTAACCAAATTCGTGCCGATCAATCTGATGTACTTTATCGACACCTCAAGGTCAATGTTGCCTATCACTCTGGTGAGTTTTTCCCTTTTTAAAAAGGAAATCAAAACGGGACAACTAATTACCTGATATAGCTCATATGCGTGACGTGGGTCAGATCTATGAAGACGCAATCACCACACATTTGAATTCACAGGGATTTATGCTTGATCTATACTCCAGTGTGTCTGGAAAGAAAGTCAGTAAAGCGTCCGAGTTGAATGCGACGTACTGGCGTCGGAACTTAGAATCGAGTTCTATTTTCAACAGCTTTGAATATGATACTCAAAGATCACAACGAAGATGCAGTTTTCCTAGAGATCGGCCCACACTCGGCATTGTCTGGGCCTCTTCGTCAAATATTCGGTGCAAATGATAGAAGAAAGTCAACTTATATACCTTGCATTGTGAGAGGACAGAATCCAGCTGATCAGTTCATGGCATCAATAGCGTCTATGTACTGCCTGGGTCTTGCTCCTAATTTACGTCAAATTCTTGGAGCCGGAACAGTTCTGACCGACATTCCCGCCTATCCGTGGCAACATGATCAAAGGCACTGGTGTGAAAGTCGAGCCACAGAGCAATGGAGGTTGAGGTCTTTTCCAAATCATGAGCTGCTCGGTTCTAGACTATTCGGGTCTAGTGATCAGGAGCCTACGTGGAGAAACATTCTCACCCCTTACGATGTGTCGTGGTTGATTGACCATAAGATATTCGATGATATTGTCTTCCCTGCAGCTGGATTTATTGCAATGGTGGGAGAGGCTATTCACCAAATCACGGGATCTCAAAGCTACATTATTCAAAAAATGGTTTTCAAAACGCCTTTATTTCTTCAAACCCGCGAGACAGAGATTCTCACTAGTTTGAAACCACTCAAATTGACCGACATGGACGATTCTGACTTCTTTGAGTTCACTATCTCGGCTTTCGACGGGCAGCAGTTCGTCAAACACTGCGACGGTCAAGTGCGCCAAGGCTGTGAGCTCTTACCCGAGACCGAACAGATCAAGCCATTCATCCGAAAGGTCTCCCATTCTTCATGGTACAAATACATGGCAGAACTCGGACTACGATATGGCCCAAGTTTCCAAGGCCTTCGACAAATTACAGCAGACCCAGTTCACAAAAAAGCAAGTGCGGTTCTGGTAGATGAAGGGTCGCATGAAAGCCGATATCCTTTGCATCCAACAATCATTGATAAATCATTACAACTGCTGAGCGTCGCACACTGCAGAGGTCTCTCCCGTCTTTCCGCAAAGCTGTGTATTCCGGCATATTTCGAGAGCATTCATGTATTATGTGGGGCCCTGAAGACAAAGTTAGATGAAAATTCTAAGTTTGATGAGTTCAAAGTGTGTTGTGCTACGTCAGCAGATGATACTATGAGCGGAGATTTAATGGCAACAGCTCAAGGAGAAGCGGTCCTGAGGATAAACAACGGGGTCTTTTTTTCACTTGATGACAAGGCTGAAGAATCAAGGATCCCATTGGGGAGCCATCTAGAGTGGGCACCAGATGTCGAGCTTCTTTCTTCGCAAGACCTGTTGAAGCTTGATCCATTTCCTAATGATGCCCATCTGTTCACCCGAATTTCGATGCTCGCTATTCTCTTCGCGGAGGAGGAGGTTCACAAGCTTCAAGCTGGAACTCCTCACCTTCAGAAGTATCAAAAAATGCTCATCAAACTGGCCAAAGATATCAGGGACGGTCATTTTCCAGCTGTGCCTGAAGCACAGCAGTGGGCTGCCTTAGGCCAACATGATAAGGCAAAGGCCTTTGAGCAGCTCAAAAGTCTACCTATCACGAATAGTCATACCAAACCCGTGCTTGATATGGTAGAAAGGGTAATGAACAGCTGCACTGCAATCGTTGAAAACAAGGTCTCGCAATTGGACCTCTTACTGCAAGAGTCCGGCCTGCAGAGCTTGTACGAATCGACAAGCCAGCAATTGGGCTGGCGCATCTTGTTTTCCCATCTTCGGCACTCCAATCCAAGAATGAGGATCCTAGAAATTGGTGCTGGTACTGGCTCCACCACTGCAATAACCCTAGGACTGTTGCAAGAGCCGAATGGTGTGCAAACTTTTGCCTCATACACATTCACAGATATATCACATGGTTTTTTGAAGTCAGCGGAAGACCGATTCCAGGACTTTCGCGACATAAAGTACAAGATCTTAGACATCAGCAAAGATCCACAAGACCAAGGCTTTGAGCCTGCCAGTTTTGATGTCATTATCGCTGCAAATGTTAGATACTTGCTTCACATCCTTACCTCAAAAGTTCTAATAGTGAATATAGGTTCTACATGCTGCCCCTGTCATACATGAAGCGCTTGTACATGTAAAAAGTCTCCTTGTACCAGGTGGCCGTCTGCTAATGCAGGAGTTATGCCCGGGTACGTAACCATGCCGACATTGTACTTACAGCAAAAAAGGAAGATACACTAACAATGACAAGATTCACCGCAGTACGACTTCCTTCTGGTATGTTACCAACAGTTGAGATTTCTCGCTCTACGACCATTTAAACTAATAAGTCACCAGGGAGTCCTTCCGGGATGGTGGATTGGTGAGAATGACAACCGTCCAGAGCATCCCTATATTGACGGTGAGTGCTGGGATACTAAGCTACGCAATGCTGGTTTTACTGGCGCAGAAGGAATTTTCTACAATCAAGAGTCGCCTTATCGCCAAGGTGCCAGCATTGTTTCAAGAAAGCCCACTGATGAGATCAATCCACGGGTTGTCACACTTGTCTGCAGAGCAAGCCTTGGAAAATGGGAAGCCGATCTCGGAAAACAGCTGATCAATCAACGATACAGCGTGACCTGGCTACAACTAGGAGATGAAGCCCCGAAAACAGGCGATATCATTTTCCTTCTTGATTTGGATGGCCCCTTTCTTGATGAAATTTCGGATCAGACTTTCCAATCTCTCAAATATTTCCTCAAGTATTGTGTATCTTCAAGGTTATTTTGGTTGATGCCCCCAGCACAGACATTGTGTAATGACCCTAGATATGGGCTTGTTTTGGGACTGGTTCGGTCCTTGCGAAAGGAGATGAATCCCCAGTTTATAACGATTGAGGTTGATTCATTCGATGCCCGGTCAATAAACTGTCTTCTCCAAATTCTGCAGAAACCTACTAATAAAAACTGCCTCCCTGAGGTGGAATATACCCTGACAAATGGAACAGCATATGTCAGCCGACTTAAGTGGGGTGCTTTATCCGACTATGCCCCAAAGTTGGTACATACCGATGCCCCAAAAATGCTTTCAATGAACTCATCACACACGCTGGACTCATTTCAATGGATCCCATTCAGTGAGCCACCATTGGGAACAGAAGACGTGATGGTTGATATTGCCTATACTGGGTTGAACTTCCGTGTAAGATCCGTTATCAGTGGGCTTTCAAAGTGCTCTGAAGCTAATGAAAGTATAGGACATGATGATTGCGCTAGGAATTTTTGGTGCCAAGACAAGCATGGGCTTTGAAGCGAGTGGGACAATTTGTCGAATTGGATCAAATGTGAAGGCATTTGAGATTGGTGACAAGGTAGCATTGATTGCAGATGGACTTTTAAGGACACGTCAAGTTATTTCTAGTAACTACTGTGTCAAGATTCCAGATGGTTTGTCATTAAAGGATGCAGCCACCATGCTTATTGTGTTTGCAACGGCGATCTATTCCTTGATTGATGTCGGTTGTATCAAGAAGGACAAGGTATGCGACGACTTGTGTTCTTCAGATCGACGATGACTTCGCTGACATCGTTTCAGTCTATTTTGATTCATTCCGCCTGCGGTGGGGTGGGATTGGCTTCCATTCAAATTTGCAAGCTGATGGGCGCTGAGGTGTGTTAAACATTTGCCCTTTATATGCGCAAATCAATTGACAGATTTAGATCTTTGTTACAGCTGGTAGCGAGGAGAAAAGGAATTATCTACAGACAGAATTCCAAATTCCGAGAAACCAAATTTTTGATTCCCACAGCGCGGAATTTCTGCCTCGGTTAATGAAGGAAACTGGCGGCCGAGGAGTTGATATAGTACTCAATTCATTAGCAGGAAAGCTCTTGCATGCATCATGGCAATGCGTGGCTCCCTTTGGGAAAATGATCGAGCTGGGCAGACGCGATTTCCTCGGCCATGGCAAACTTGATATGGCGACATTCATGAAAAACCGGGCTTTCTTCGGCGTTGACCTGAATCAAATCAGATTAGACGCACCTGACATACTTCAAAGGTATCATGCCACTCAGCATCCCTCATATTGAAAATAACTTACTAACTCATGTGAATTTAGTCTGGTTGCTCAGTTTTCGGAATGGGCTCAAGCCGGGAAAATAAAACCGATTCGGCCTGTGACTGTCTACAATGCTGCCCAGATATCTGAGGCGCTCAAATTCATGCAGCAAGGTGTTCACATGGGAAAGATTGTCATAAAAATGCCTGCATCATATTCCGATTTGCCCGCAACCCCTTCAATCAAACCGTTCTCTTTATCATCAACCAAAGCATACCTACTCGCTGGTGGTCTTGGGGGGCTGGGTAGGAGTGTGTCGAATTGGATGGTTGAGCAAGGGGCCAGACATTTGATTTTCCTTTCTCGGTCTGGCAACCAATCGGAGAAACATACAGCCTTCGTTCAGGAGCTAGAGGCTCAGGGATGTGAGGTTATTATCGTTGCTGGAGACGTTTCCGATATAAGGGATGTCAAAAAGGCAGCCTGCTGTTCTGCGTGGCCAATTGGTGGGGTTCTTCAACTCTCCATGGTTCTTCGAGTAAGGGTTCACATAATATCCGAATAACAAGCCAAACTGACAGCAAATCTAGGACCAAGGTTTTTTCAACATGACACATGAAGAATGGAAAACTGTCATTGATCCCAAAGTGACTGGCACGTGGAATCTTCACCATGTTTTCAAAGATTTTCCTCTCGACTTTTTTGTCATGTTCAGCTCTGTTTGTGGCTTGGGAGGAAACATAGGCCAAGCCAACTACTCAGCAGCAAATACATTCTTGGATTCTTTTGTTCAGTACCGTCGAAGTCATGGTCTACCCGCCTCAGTCCTGGATCTCGGTATTTTGGGTGACGTTGGGTTTGTGAGTCAAAACAAGCAGCTTCGGGTCCGATTGGAGGCATCAAATTTCGTCATTTTGAGAGAGAAAGACCTGACAGATGCTCTGCAAGTTTCCATGCAAACTCAAGCAAACTGCCAGCCAACCAACGGGATTCCAGTATCCAATATGTTTGCTGTTGGTTTTGGGTGGCACAAACAAGGTCACCATGCAGCCATTGAGGTGGACAATGACATTCGAGTCAGCAGCTTCGCAAACTACGAGAAAACGGAAAGTATGACTAAAATCGACAAGACGGATGAGATACGGAACTATTTCGCTCATGTGGAGCGACATGTAGAGCTTTTGGATGACCCTGAGACAAAGCTTCGAATTACGAGAGAGCTGGGCAAGTCTATCTACTCATACAAAGGACAGTATCAGGAGATGACAGATGAGGAGATGTCGGCAACTATCCTTGACTCCTTAATTTCCATCGAAATTAGGAACTGGTTCCGGCGGAAATTGTCCTTGGAGATAACTTTGACCGAGATCTCTCGTGCCGGTAACGTCGGTGCATTGAGCGAGTTGACTATTGCAAAGCTGAAGGCCAGAAACCAACAGAAGATATCAACGCTAGAGATCCCTGCAGCGTGATAAATTATTGATGGAGACAGAGAAAGTGCGAAAAGGAATTTCATTATTCCTGAGACATCTCTGCCTTTCTTAGTTTACATGCTCTATCGTGTTGTTGAAAATACCAGCTGTCTAATTCTGCAGAGAGAAGAAGTATAAGATCTATTACCCGCAATACAACCTAGGGCTAGAGGTCGGCACGGATACATATCCGTAAGATTCTGGATTATTCGTATCCGTAACCCTAGTCAACAGCTTATATCCGTATCCGTAACCGTAGAATTTCTACGGTGTACACCATATATCTCAACAACCGCACGTCGAAATCATTTTAAATCTTGAATCTGGATTATTTCTAGTTAAGAATATATATATTGAAAGAAAGACTAGAAAATCATTAAGTGAAGTGTAGTTAAAACTAAAATAGATAAATTAAACTGTAATTTACGGTGCCGCTATAATTTATCCATCTAATTTACTTAAAATGAATTGATTCTTTATGAGAAGCCTTATCGTAAAATATAATCTGATATTTGAATCTTATCGGAGTCGTGGTTTTTAAAATATGATATTCAATTTTTTCGAGTTTACTATGGTGTTCTGGGGTATGATCCGTTCGTATGCTGTTATTTTTTAATTTGGGCGGCTGACATAAGCTTTGGTTTTGTGGTGTCCTTTCCCCATGCTCTTTGCGGTTAGATTTACTGCAAATATTTATACACACATATTTGAGATTGTGAAGTCTTCTGGTTGGTTCTTGTAAATCTCGCTTCCCCGCCAAAGTTGACATAACTAGTACTGTTTGTTTAATTTGCATTTATTCTTCCTATTTAGCTAGTTTCAGTGGGTTTCCCACTTAGTAATCTCAATCAATCTAACTACTGTTTAATAGTGTATTCCCGATTGAGCAATAGATACTGTATTGGTAGGCTGAAACTAGGGTAGTACGTACCCCCATAAAATCTGGATCTCCAAATTTCGGGGAAGGGGGCTGAGTGCCATATTTGAGAAATCTAAGTGTGTTCTTATTACTTGACAATATTCACAAATCGGTGGAGCAGATACCGAAAAATGCTTAAAGTCATTTTATACCATTTACTGATGGATGATTCCTAGATGCTCTGGTTCGTGGGATATAAATGTACCTCGTCAACCTCATTATCGTATTTGCGAAGTAAAGATAGATATGCTGATATACAATTTAGATTTTAGAAGTCGTGGCACTGACCGGAGCAGTTTCTTCCAGGATTTAATGCCCCGGAGAGCATTAGCTTCAGGTTGGTTGCTTTCCTCTCGCATAGGGCGGTCAAATATCTCAAGCGAAATCCATCCTTCGAATCCCTTCTCAGCAACCCATGTTTGAACGAATTTCACAACTGGCATGTATGCACAGAATTGAGATTCAAATGGAAATGAACGAGCGTGTTTTGACCAAGTGAACTGGGAAGCCTCGCCTTCCACATACCATAGGTGCTCTTTCGAGAATGGAGGGTCAAACTTCTCGCCATCAGACAATTGCACATAGAAAAATTTTTCTAATGGGCAATTTTCAAAATTTCTCAAAGACACTTGCAGTTTTTGGTCTGCGTCAGGCAACTTTCCAGATTTCCAGATGGAGCAAATGCATCAGCCCATAGTTTTGTCACGACGTGGAAGTTGTTGAGACAGAGACCGACATCATCCACAACCTTCAAGGAATCCATGTCGAGCAATGAGTGCCCCACGAAAGAGCCTCGTGTGCGATTGAAACAGTTGGTTCTTGGGCACTTCCGATATCTGCAATTTGCCGTAGCTCAGAAATAATTACGTCGTAATCCCCAATGGCGTCTAGGCCGAAATGGGATGAAATTTTTGAATAAGAAGCTTGCAGAATTCTCGCGATCTCTATCCACATAGTTACTGTTTGAAGTCTTTCTTTCAAAGGAGATCAATCACCCTAGAAATTCTGAAACGGCGCCACCGACAAAGCTTCCACATTACTTGCATCGCACAGGGCTTTAATTTTTCGAGCACCGTCATAGATGGATAGCCCATTTTGTTGGGAAAAAGCATCTAGATGAGAAAATACGATCTCAAGACCATTGAAGTCAGCTTTTGCTGCCGCGAGGATCTTGCGATCCAAGCTATGAGAAGAGTGCTCGCCGAGTGCATGACAATGGCCAACTTATTGGCGAGCATTATGAATGTTTGGATGGTTTTGAACTCGCCGTAGTCTGAGAAGCAGGTCAGCGCTTTAGCAATCAAAGGTGGTAATGAACTTGAAATGGTTGTTTGCTCGATCGGAGACCATGGCCGACAAATGACAAGGATTCTAATACATATTTGTCACTCACTTTTTGTGAGAAACGAGGTTTGTGCTTGTATATACAAGCTAAGCCCTTACAAGATAGGGAGAAAAGCCTATCGTTGAGCCTCATGGCTCTAACTTTAGCGTCTTTCGTATCTGCAAAGTAGCTTTCATGATATACTTGGGACGTCGTATACAGCCTATTTATATACAAGACTGTTTTATCGTGAATACTTCAGATGGGAGAATTTTGTTTAATTTCATTGCTATCATTACAGTGTATTCCCTCCTGGAACATTTATTTTCAACAATGATGTAGAATCAATTGCATGGAGAGCGGCAATCGGATCAACCGCCGGTACGTACTTAACGTACTTCACATCACAGCGGAGTACTTCAACGGATAGGAATTTTACTGCCCGATCAATACTATAGGTTACTCAGTTGACCGGCGCCTTTCTGTAAATCGAGCTTTGGACGCTCTCGGGCTGGAACTCAGTGCATTCGGGTCTTTGAGCCCCTGAACAGAATCCCACTCATCCGCTGTCGCATTTAGTGCCGGGTGAATCTCAAAATTCGCGATGGTATGATAGATGACTGTGTAGATAAGACGTGTCGCCAGATGTGTAGCGATACACATCCGAGATCCATAGCCAAAAGCAAATTGATGAGCATGCTTCTCCAAGCCCGAATTCTGCCACCTTTCAGGTAGAAATTGCCATGGTTCAGGAAACAAAGCAGGATCTACGAATCAGTTAATACACATGTAACACATAAGAACGTGTGATAAAGCGACAAGATTCAGGAGAACTCACCATGATTGCAGGCCCATGCATTCAGGAATACCATTGTGCCTTTAGGAATGATAGTATCTTTATAATGTAACGGTGCAGTGCTTTCGCGAGGCATTGAAAGAGGAACGGGTGAATAGAACCGTAAAGTCTCTTTAACCACCGACAGGATATACTCTACATCCTTGGTTTCATGAAGGGAATAGTCATCCTTGACTACACTTTGAAACTCCTCGAATGCACGTTTCTGAATGTCCTTTCGATGGGCCAGGAGTAAAAATGCCCAACCAATTGCAGGCTGGATACTATCTGCACCCTGTTTATACAAATTTTAGCAAAGTGTTGATTCAAATAAGTACCAGAAGAGAAGAGCAGGGATAAATGCTCAAGAAGGTGCAAACATACGGCCATCATACTCAGACTAATACTGAGAAGTTCATTGTTCGAAAGACCAGTGGCCTCAGGGTCGCGTAGAACATTACCCTGGATACAGGGCTTGTCAACGCCTTGAGCCATGGCATCCTTCAATCGCTGAAGCAGTTCATTGTTGTACTTAATTCGACGGTTACCAATATCTGCAGCGTGGGCAGTCGACTTCTTCCAGAATATTGGTTCCAGGAACTGAAGAAGTGGGATGTAGTTCGATAGATTTTTCGAAGTAGAGCGAAGGCGCGAGATTTCGCTTTCGACCTCAATGATTTCGGAATAGTCGTGTTTCATGCTGTTAGTATTCGCAATTCTGACGAGAGATCAGTAAACTGGGTTTTCAAGAAGTGGTTGGCCAGGGAAGTAAGATCATCACCGGTGTTGAACGATCAGATGATGTTGCTGTATTTGCATACCTTATGCCATAGTTCAGACTCATAACTGTGTTCAATGATAGACGTTGGATTGCATCAGCGAAGTCCACATCAACGGCGCCATTTCTAGAATCTACAGTAAGGTCCCCAATAAAATCCGCAGTCTCTCTGATGATAAGCTGAGAACTATATTAGACATTCTGTTTATTGACTGAGATGCACTTATGGCGGCCTACTTACCGGCTCGTAGGACTGAACTTTTGGACGGTTCAAGCTTGCTGCAGCAGCTTTTCGTCTGTTCTTGCAGCTCTCATTCCAAGGGCTAGTACCAATGCTAGCAACATCTTTAGTCACCAGTTTGTGGAATATATGGAAAAGAGGCCTGGAAATTAGCGACGAGGTCTGGTTCAAGAACAGGGTTTTCGCATCCTCTGCCGCATTCACAATAACAACTGTTGAATTCCCTAGCTGAATCTGATACACTGGGCCATATTTGAGTGACCATTGCCGATACTTTTCAGCCGTGTATGATTTGTTTATCTGGAGACTTATGAGAAAAATGGGAGAGGAAACACTGGTTTCTGTTCATGACCCACATCGAGCAAATTTCCAACTATTGGAAGACCAACAGGTCCTTTCAAGCCCTTGATTCTTCGGCTCCATCGTACGGCTTCATTAAAAATAACATAAACCGTGAAGATAAAGATGGGAAACAACACGACTTTCATCGCTATGATGGAAACGGCTGTCAAAGACGCTGCCAGAGAGAGAGGAGCCATATCTGCGAAAACTCCTTATTGGAGCCGTCCGTTGTCAAGATGGTGTCTGAAAGATTTCCAGAAAAGGTAATGCCACTTGATGTTAATTCCACTTGATATTGTCTTAGCTCAAATAGAGTGGGAAAAGCTCTTCAGTGGAGTTAACACTTCGGGATGATGAGAGAAAGGTTGTTAATTCAAGATGGTAACAGAAAGGCTGTCAATTCGAGAATATTTCTGGTTTGATCGCGACTTAGTCCCTCCTAGTCAATGATTTGCAACAATATTAGACATGGTTGAGTATTTAGTACTGCTGCACAGACCCTTCTGAGGAAGTCCGCCAGCACGCAAGCGATAAGCAATATGAGCCATCAATAACAACCCATATCGTGGGATCCCGAGCTCGGTGAGTCCCCGAGCAGGACCTTTCATTCATGAATGGTAGTTGATAGTAAAATATTGCCGAGACCCCGGTCGGAGATATTCCCCAACCCCATAATGCTGTCTGAGAGGGCTTAGATTGCCATTGCCAGGATTTGGATGGTATCATCGATCAATCTGATATAAACCTATCCAATCCTCCTTGGCTGATGAAATGATGGAGTCTAATTAAATCTACTCAATTGATTATACTTCTTACTGCTTCACTTCTCTGTGAACACAGATAGCATAACGCAATGAAGACAGAGGCCCGCATAACGTCTGCAACAGACTCCGACGATGAAATCGACCCAATTGTGGAAAAGTCGCTATTGCGACGCCTGGATCTTATTGTGCTTCCTACGCTAGGTATATTGTGTGTGCCTTGTCTAACTACACTGGATCTCTGACATCTTTTCAGCGCTACTCTACCTCACCCATACTCTTGACAGAGCAAACCTTGGAAATGCGAAAACCGATTCAATAGAGAAAGACCTCCATTTAGTTGGCAATCAATATTCGCTGGTACTCATCTTCTTCTATGTCCCGTACGCTCTGTTTAATATCCCGGCTACTATCCTCGCCAATCGATTCAGCCCTTCGATTGTGGTCCCTCTGCTGGTGATCGGTTGGGGTGCTCTAGCCATGATAACAGTTGCAGTCAAGAACTTTGGAGGTCTCCTCGCTTGCCGGCTTATACTCGGCATAATGGAAGCGGGATTCATGCCCTGTGCAACATTCTATTGTACACTATTCTATACACGAAAAGAACTTGCAGTTCGCCTGGCAGTCTTCTATATCATGGGGTATATTGCAGTAAGTATCATGGTCACTTCCCGCGTTGATTATAGGGCCTTTCAACTGATTGAGATGTAACTATAGGGTGCAATTAGTGGCTTGATAGCATGGAGTACATTCCAATGGGATGGGGCATTAAAGGTATGCTCTTTCTATACTATTCATGAAACTCGAGATCTGGGCTAATTTGGCTTGCAATATCAGGGATGGCAATATCTTTTCCTGATTGAGGGAGCAATGGGCGTTGGGACTGGTGTTTGGGCCTTTATTGTGCTCCCCCGGGATATCCAATCGTCAAGATATTTCACACCGGCTCAAAAAATCTGTGCAGCTCAACGAAAGGCCAACGAGGTGTCTGTGGTCTCATGGACTCAGGGACTCACTATATTAAAAGACGGCAAGCTGTGGATCTTCGCTGCTGCACTATTCTTCTGCGGTGTTGGGTCTAATAGCAGCTCGAATTTCCTTCCAGTAAGTCTTGCTAATACTAGACAGAGAACAACTGCTGATTCTGGACTGAACATAGGTCATGGTCAATCGCCTAACAGATAATTCTGTCAAAGCTAATTTGTACACGATCGGCCCAAATCTGTTCGCGGCAGTGAATATGTCTGTACTAGCTTGGCTCTCCGACAAAACCCAGCAGAGAGGCTATTTTACCATATGGTCAATAATCTGGGCTCTTATCGGCTGGGTCTTATTTGCTGCTCTGGATGTGACTAAACAGGTGAACGTCGGGTATTTCTTCACGTTCTTGATAGTCAGCGGAACCTTCATTCCTGTCTTGTTCCTCCCGGCATGGATCAGCGCGAATATTAAAGTGACTTCAGAGCGCGCAGTGGCTCTCGGGCTGATGTCAATGTGCCAAAACCTTGGCGGCATCGTTTCCTCGGGCGTGTACCGGTCTCAAGACGCGCCCAACTACCGACCGGCTTTAATAACTGTATCATGCTGTCTTTTTGTGTGCCTCGGACTCTGCACCTATCTGCGATTCGCCTATGCTCGACTGAACACGAAGTTGGCCGACTCGGAAAAACCCGATCGCCTCCCGGCTGGAGAGAAATACATGGTTTAAAGCAAGGATGTGACGCAAGCAGATGTATTTCTTGACTTTACCTTAGAATATTAATGCTGTGTTATTCGTGATGTATGAAGTCTGCTGCACACTCGTAGGCCTCTGTGAAAAGGCGGGGGAAAAGGAAGGAATGTTATCTGCTGGTTTGCCGCATTATGGCGTGATAGCGCGTGACGTCGAATGAGAACCTCAATCTAGAAAACCATCTAATTCTGAGCCATCGGATTTCTTAAGCAGCAGCATGCGCCACATGGGCTCACCATCAAAGAAACAAGCACGGCCTATACTCCTTGCATGTACGCAGTGTAGACTTAGGCACCTTAGATGCGACGGCACACTGCCGCAATGCACGCGCTGTTTGGCGTCTAACGCTTCTTGTGAATATTTGAAGTCGCGCCGTGGAGGGAAAAAGAAACAAAAGTCTTCTGGCGAGTTCAGCCGCAATCTGGTGCAGCCATCTGCCCCGATTAAACAACCAGTGACTCTAGGGGAACCAAATGGCCTGGGACCAATCGGTGCGTTTAGAGACGATATCGGCTCTCAAGGCTCCCATTCCAATTCGGCAACCCCTCCAGTCGACGACAATAATAGTGAAAAACATGTTTCCTCGCCGACCTTATCGGGCACATTGAACACCTCATGGGATCAAGCGTATAGCGACACAGGCTCGACGGAACCCACACTCGCCGGCCTGTTCTACGAGCACTTCCACAGGGCCCATCCAATTTTAGTCTCACAAGATCTTTATCATACACGCCAATACCCGGCGTACCTAATAAGTATTGTCAACTTGATAGGTAGCCGATTTCTTGCTCCAGACAGAGCGGCTGCCAGTCTTCCCAATTTAATACAAAGCATCCAATCCTCCCAGGATGGAACAGTATGCTTGGTGCAGGCCAGGCTGTTATTTTCGGTCTTCCTCTGCGGGGAAGGAGAGATGGAGCTTGCAAAATCAATTTTTGTCTCTGCGCGGGACCTGGCCATCGAACTTCAGATGTATCGATATGAAATTCTTGAAACGTACTTTCTACCTTACGGCGAGCTTGAGCGAGAAAGCTTCAAAAGGACATGGTGGGAGCTTTATGTTGCAGACGGCCATATGACGGCCATATGGCCTGAACTGGGGTTCTTGACAAGCACGCTGGACTGCAATGTTCCTATCGCTTGCGATGAGACCCCCGACGGATCGCAACATACGGCGCGGACGCCTCTCGATATTCAATTTCGTCCCGACATCGTCTTGACCGAGGAGGACGGGGCACGTTTGCCAGCATGGTGGTTCCGTATCAAAGCCGTCAGTCTTCTAGGCAAGGTCATCTCACAAGCCCGCAACCAGACCGATAATGCAAAAGCACAATCGGCTATGAATGCACTAGCCACCTGGCGACTCTTATTACCGGAAGACAAATTGACTCTTATGGACCCATACGGAAAAGTCAATGAGCTCATGTTTGAAGCTGAAGTCATGGTACAATTCGCAACTATTCTACTGCATTTCTCTCGCAGCAATCTGAACCAGAATGTTTTCATATCAACAACAGTCCATACTATAGGACCCGACCTACCTATTCGATCTTGCACAAAGGAGGTGCATGGTATAAAGGCTACCGAGGCATCAAAGGAAATATCTAATCTATTCTCGATTTATCCTTCTATGGCGAAATGCTCTCCCTTGATGATCTCTTGTTTGTCGCTGTGCGGTATGGTGCAGCTAGCGACATGTTATGCACATGCTCCAATCCGGAACTGTCTCGAAATACATCGTGATCGGGTTTCTCTCCTGATCGGTGTTCTCGGATCCAGTGGGCGAGTCTGGCAACAAGCCAAGAACGCCCAGAGCGTATTAAAAAACGCCGCTCTAGAGACATTCAAGCTGCTCCAACCGTCCAACCCCCCTCGGAGAACTCGCAACTCGGCAATCCTAATTTGGATCCAGCAAATGCTAACTCGCCAACATTCCGCGAAGGAAGCTGGCTCCCCGTTGAATTATCTAATGGGACCCAGGAGATTGGTCCATGGCCTTGGCTGTGGTTGACAACTCCACCTAGCCAGCCATCAGGAATAACCGACCCTCCGGATAGTGCTTACCCATATCAAGTAAATAAGCAATTACCTTGAATTTTTATTGAATTTTAATTGGGTGGTCTCTTATTCTTGTTCCTTTAAACTTTTGATCCTGACATTTCACATACTGAGCGACGAGCACGCAATGCGGACTCGGCATCTCGGGGACTCAACTCTGCGGGGTCCGGGTTTTCACTCGTTACAAATATTAGTAATCAAGGTTGGTTGGTCAATGGCACGGCTTTTTCTCTTGTCCGCATAATTAGGGTTAGTAGTCTAGGCTTCATGTCTGCTAAACTGATACAACTCTTGGTTGCCCTTATTTCGGAAATAGAATCATATCATTATGGCGATTGCCGTCTTTTCAAACGTGCCAATTTAGTAATATGTTTAATTGTGGTATCCTGAATCTAGATGCGAGCAATACATTCCACCTCCACGCGGGCATTCTTAGGAAGTTGCTTTACCGCCACACAGCTTCTCGCCGGCTTCAAATCCCATGTGAACCAGCGGAGGTATTCCTCATTGGCTTCACCAAAGTATTCCATGTCGGAGAGGAAAACGGTAGACTTGACGACATTCTCTAGTGTAGCTCCAGCCTCCTTGAGAATCGCCTGCACATTGCTGAGAGCAGTAGCTAACTCTTCTGCGATGGTACCGCTAACCAAGACTCCATTCGGGGTGAGAGGAATCTGACCAGAGACAAATATCAATTCACTGGCAGCAGGTAGTTTCACGGCTTGTGACTAAACAGGTCAACGTTAATGATGAGCGCAAAGACGATAGAGGCGGTATGGTATGCCTGTCGAGGGTTTCTTACATAGGGACCGAGTGCTGTTGTATTCCATTAGCTTCAGGAAATACTCTTGGTTTCCAATTCATGATGTAAATACTTACCAGCAGGTGCATCTTTAGTAGAGAGTGCGGATGCCATTTTGTGAAACGAACTGGAAGGCAAAGAATGAGCTTTAATTTCGCAGTTTCCGAATCTGTTGAACAAATAGTTTTCGAGTCAAGAGGGAATCTATAATCTTTTTATTTCAATAACGTCAGTTCTTACCCAATGATAATCCTGCTCCGATCCAGAACGAGAACGAGTCACCGATCAGAATGATCGGCGAGTCGCCGACCAGAATAATTATCCCGAGAGCCATAATTCAAATAAATCCTAAGCTTTACACTCTCCATATTTAATGCTAATTATTTTCTTTTATTTCTTCGGTTTTCTTGCCTTGTCTTTATAATTCCAGATCTTTTTTTTGCCAATCGTTGTGGTTTCAAGGAGCATGGAGACCGCCACGCCAACGAACAGAGAGGAATCGTCTGTTCCCCAGCATTCCTCTGGGTCTTCGCCGAGAGAGAACCAAAATTTAATAGTTTATGAGCAAAAGACTAGTACGTCTAATGTATCATGGCTAGCAAAGATCGGTATCGCCGCAATATCCATCGTCAGCGCGGTTTATCTTTCAAGTGGAAGCAGCATCAACCCAACAGACTATTCAGCACGTACACGGGACGTGTTGAGCAAAGTCCCATTGATCGATGGCCACAATGATCTTCCGTATTTGATCCGCTCGGAGCTAAAGCATCAAATTTACAATGATCGATTCACCTTCGACACTGGCTTGTTGAGTCAAACCGACCGGAAGAAGCTGCGGGACGGAATGGTCGGCGGGCAATTTTGGAGCTCTTACATCCATTGTCCAGATCCTTCAGAGAAGGTCGAGTTTGAAGACCCCACGGTACGTAATTTACAGGTATTTTTGGTTAATATAAGGGCGGCTGACTAATCTTGCCCTTCTACTAGTGGGTGGTTCGTGACACTCTAGAACAGATTGATATCACCAGAAGATTCATCGACCAGTACCCTGATTTGTTCCAGTTCTGTAACAACTCGGCCTGCGCCCTTGACGCTTTTCATAATGGAAAGGTCGGAAGCTATATTGGTATCGAGGTAAGAGGAATTCGCTTTGCCCCAACTACTCTTACCGTTGTTGCTGCTCTGCTCCCAAGGGTCTTATAAGCCCAGCTCCACAGCTTTGAATATTACTGACAAGCGTTATCTTATCTCACAGGGAGGGCACCAACTGGGTAATTCATTAGGCGCCCTGCGAATGTTCTACGACCTCGGAGCCCGGTATATCACTACAACCCACAATTGCGATAACGTGTTCGCCACCGCTGCAAGCACCGTCGCCGCAGGAGGAGAGGATGCCGGGCTCACGGAGTTCGGATTGGAGTATGTTAAAGAGATGAACCGACTGGGCATGATGATAGATCTTTCCCATGTTTCTCATCAGACGATGCGTGATATCCTGGATGTATCAGAAGCGCCCATCATCTTTTCTCATTCTGGAGCTCACGGCCTGTCTAAATCACTACGCTTCGCACCCGATGATGTTATCCGCAAAACAGCAGAGAAAGGTGGAATAGTGATGGTCACGTTTGTGACCCGGTTCCTGAGACCTGATGACCCGTCTGCTGCTACCATTCATGATGTCGTTGATCACATCTGGTATGTGGCCGAAATGGTCGGCTGGGATTATGTCGGTGTCGGTGGTGACTTTGATGGAACGCCCGTAACGCCCCTTGGTCTTGAGGTGAGTGCTCTTATCGTTTTCCGATTCCACTTTTCAAACATGACGCTAACGGATGGCTTAGGACGTATCCAAATACCCACGGCTAGTGGAGCTGTTGATGGAACGCGGTGCCACAGACAAGCAAATCCGCAAATTCGCGGGCGAAAATATCTTGCGTGTGTGGAAGGAAGTTGAGCAAATAGCTGAAAAGATTCAGAGAAAAGAAAAGCCGAACGAGGCCACTTGGTCGGGAAGGAAATGGGTTCGGGACAACAAGAATGACCCAAGAATGTTCCGTGATTCAATCGGTCGGCGGATTCCGACCTTCTCAGGGGATCCATAAATTGCTATACCAGGATTTGATATGGAAATTAGTACCAATGGGGTAAATATAGCTTTTAGAAATGTGCAACGTAGTTTCATTCAATGCCAAAGTCCAATTATGTTCAACATGTTCCGTAGATAATGCTACTTTGCAAAGAATACGTGCCGGACACTTAAGGCTAGATGGTGAGGATTCGAATACATGTATATTGCACTGTTGGTGAGAAAAGAGATTTGTGCTTGTGCAAGGTAATATAAGATAGGAGAAAAAGCATATAGTTGAGCCTCATGGCTCTAGCTTTATTGTCTTTCGTATCAACAAAGATTGGCTTCCTCAATCGGAACACTGTACGCGGCCGATTGATATACAGTGGAAGACCTCAATTAGCTCCCTGACCATTCTTGTAATGTATTACAGACCAGGGTATCTATTTCTGGTGGTCAAACAATGCTGTAAAAGTACCTGCGTGAAGGCAATCGGAGGTCAACCACAGGTACTATAGCTTCCCTAAAGTCCGGAACTACGGTGTGCCTCTTGAGGTCATCCATTTCTATGCATAAAGCAGGATGCCAATGCATGCAAATCGGAATTATGGAGTGGGGCAACGGGATCGGCATCGAGTCGTCACAGATTTGTATGCAAGTTCGAATCAACAGCCGCTGCCAAGCGGATCGTCGGTACTGCCAATTCCGATTATCTGCTTTTGAAGTCCTCTGGATATTCAAGTCACTGCCAACCGCCCAACATGGTAGCTGAGTACCTCACCATCCGCAACGACACCGGCAATCCAATCACTTTGAAGCGCATCGAGCGCTGCAATTCAATTAGAGGGCTACGACTCCCTTTCCAATATGGAGAAAGGAGCCCAGAACGACCAATCAGGAGCTCACTGGCCGCTTTCACTGTCAACCCCAACCAGCGCCAAACTACAAAGAAAAGCTTGACCGTCAAAGAATCTCGTGTTAGCCACCCAGTAGCTCAATGTGGGAAAACCAGAGTTGAAGGGGCAGATCAAGATGTGTACAGATATAGATACAACTCTTAGAACGTACAATCTAAACACCCGCTGATGTCTGCAATAGAGCATCTGTAGACCTTTCAACACCACTGGCCCTCAGGAATCACCAAGAGCATCCGTTGCCCTTAAGAACAATAAAACCATGAAGACACCACACATTCCCAGGCGATGAGATACCAGTTCTTAGGAAAATGTATCGCACTTAGAAAAGATCTATTTAATTCCTCACTAACAATACATGAACGCTCCTCTTACTCTTGCAAAATTGTCCGAGAGCCCTCGCTCTAGCTAGCTCTTGACACTGCCAAGACGAGTGTTCCCTAGAATATTGAATCCTCTGTCGCTTGTTAGGTTCCAGAGCGGCCAGCTAGGTCTCCGCCAGCACCGTCGGGTCCTTCTTGGCCTCTAGAAGAATCTTCCTCATCTTAGCATACAATTTTTCACTCTCTTTTACCCACCTCCTACCATGGGGGAACACTGCTTTCCGTAATTTATTGATGCATGTAATCAAGGGATGATAGTACGATGTGAAGTTCGCCTCAGCAATTCTGAGGAAGTCGCCTTCGTTGCAAATCATGCCCGTTTTAACGAAGGCAAGCTCTTCCGCGTCAGTGAAATTCCATTTGTCAAATTTTGGATAGACTCTGCCCTTGCCTAGGCTGTTGTAGTGAATGCATATCCAGAAGAGTACCCAAAAGAACGACTCGAGGTCGTGCATGAAGGAATGCTGCTCGTTAAGCAAAACCCCAACGACCATAAAAGCTCTCGTGCCGATCTTACCCTTTGCCCCGGAGGATACTTCTCGTTGCGTTTTGATAGAGAGATCAAGATCAATTAAAAATGAAGGCCACGAGGGGTTTTTATCATCCTCGTTGATCATAAGATTATTGATCGAGATGTCTCTGTGTAGAAAGCCTGCTGTGTGCAGGGACTTGTGCCCCTCAATGCAGCCCTCGAGAGCAGTGAGCAAGGCCGATCGGGAGCTCGCCTTGTATATAGGGCTTCCACAATCACGGAGAATAACGCGACGATGTATCCGATTCGGCAGTGCAGAGCTGCCGGCCTCTGTTGGACACGCAGAACGAAATCGCTTGCTAGGAGGGAGGGGAGCCCCAATGTGACTAGATGGCCGCTTCCTACTAGCAGCACTAATGCTTCGGCCTTGCCGCGGAGTACCAGCCGTCATACTGCTTGTCGGCATCAAGCGTTCCGGGCGGTAGTTCGCAGTTTTCGTGACATCTAACCCCCCTCGAACGTTATTCCGAACATCATCGTTCGTTCCATTAATCTGAACCGTGCCGTGCCAATAGTATCGAGCCCTATTGACGACGCCTTTGAGATGCGCTTTCCAACAAGTCGTCGCCCTGCCAGCTATGCAACGCGCGCGGTACATCACCTCATCAATGATGATCCGTTCAGTTGAACTCTCCCGTTCGACTTCAATATAGCGCTCCTTATTTACTATTATTATGGTAGGATCGAACCCCAGCTGCTCCTCGTTTATCCAGAGAAACCCGAGGATTATGTATGCAAATCGTAGTCCATCTCTGTTAATGTCGAACTGCTCGGATGCGATGACCCCAAGCCGGTCAAACGTCCATACCCTCATAAGAGATCCGCAAATGGTAAAGCCTAGTATAAAGCGACGAGTGTCCTGAGCAGAAAGCACTTCCCTTGCGTACCTCCCAAGATCGAGCCATGCTTCTGAGGCTTTATCAGCGGCAGGGTTGCTCTTGAGCTCTCCTGGTACGAGGACCTGGGACCGATGGTATCTCGATTCCTTCCCAGCCTCAGAATCGTTCACAAAACCAACATCCATCCTTCGTTTCCCCTTAGAACCACCGATCGAGTCGTTTAGTTTCGCTAATGTCCTTTGCTGACGTGTTGGTACTGATGTCTTTCCCGCTGCAAATTTGGCCAGCTTCTTGCTAAAGACTGTAAACCAGCTCAGCAAATCTTCTTGCTTCGCATTTTCTGGCCATCCAGTCCAGCTGCTGTCAAAGACTAGGTCGCCACCTTCCTAGCACACCTCGAAGAATACCTCGGATGTCATCTCAAGATCGGTCACTTGCCCAAAATATGTTTCGTCGAAGCTGCGGAGCCCAACATACGTTGGTCCAAGCTCCATCTTAAGCACCTTGTCCATATATTTGCGATGTTCGGACGAGTTCGCGAAGCTGCTAGTGTTGTGTAGCTATGGGGTTTGTTGTATAGAGGAGGCTACTGGTCGGGGAGGTGGAGTAAATTAGGTGATGGCGTTGTAAACTTGATTCCGGATGATAGCATCGTCTCCTTCGTCAGAGATGGCACATTTCAGCAGGGGTTTAAAGTGGTCGAAGTCGAAGTCGAAGTCATATGCAACTGCAGAAATAAGTGGGAGGAGATCTTTCCCAACTGTGCCACTGCCTGACTTAGATTGAAGTACACAGGCCATCTGATGACTGTACAGAGAGAGCAGAAGGTGAAGTGTCAGGCTTCGAAGATCTAGAGATTGGTAAGAGTTTCCTTGCAAGGAGGCTGACTGGTACTCACCTTCTTAGTTAAGCTGATCTATTGCGTCGCTTCCGCGCGAGATCCCCCTATTTTCACATTTCGAATTGAATAAAGAGTGGAAGTTATCAAGGTCACTTCCGATAGTGTTGTCCTGAATTACGTCCAGCTGGACTTGGTGCACCATAACAGGTTCAGTCTCCATGTGTTGTTTTGTGTGAGTTATATTGAGTAGTTTGAGGAAACCTAAAGGATTTATGGTTACCAATCCACGTTTGTGCTCGTGACTCTCATGAAAGCAACCATCCATGCTGATACAAGACTCCAATAGGGAACCAAGCCCAGTAATCGATATGAGAAGATCTCGCTATTGAAAAGAAATTGGACAAATCAAAGGTTTTCATTGCGGTTTAATAGAGATCAACGATGTCGGGTACAAGACTGTTAACTAGAGGGATCTCGATGCACTATTACTACTACGTTATACGTGTAATAAGTTATGCGGTAAGATGTGTGTGTTCATTCTAAGTTCCCGCGATGGAATCGGATATGCCCCGATTCCACTAGTTTCATTCACTTCCCGAGTCAATTCACTTCAGTAGACCAGATTCCATTAATTCCAACAAAAATAATCAGCATAGACGTATCTAGATACAGGAACGAAAATGAAATAGGCCACTGTTCACGTGGATAGCCTCAAATTGGAGAGGATTTTAGCTTATGCATACAGTTTGCTAAGCGAGGTCCGTTCAGCGCGAAAAAAAAGCCTTCGAATATCGGGGGACCCAGGAATTCATATGCAATGTTATAGTAGCCTCGCTATTTGTCGCTACAGAAGCCGGCGCATACTTTTCTGTCTGAGTGTGCAGTAGCGGCCAGCCCAACTGATCCTTCGCCTTGAGCTAAACCAACATGGTGAAGCGATGTAGATCCACGAACTTATCAGATGATCAGATAGTAATCGGCCTCTTGGAGCTGAGAAGCTGACTAGAAAAAGAGCAGGGTACATTTTCGTAAAGATTTGGCTACAATCAGCACTACAAGAGAAGCGCTTACGTCTCATTTTCATACATATCTGACGCAAGTTTGAGTAGGCTGACAGAGTGGCTCTCAAGGCCACATCTAATATGTATGGCAAAAACCCGAGTAGCCTCGTTAATACCAATCCCAAAGATTCCCAAACCTCTGAAAAATGAGTTTTGGCCTGGTTATAGAGCCACCGTCAAACCTTCCATTGGCTACTATGACCTAATTCCCTCCTTTCAACCCGTAGCATATGATGAATACACTAATTGAACACAAATGACCCTAGCAGTAGTCAGATATGAGAGCTATCATAGCCCCAACAACGGCTTACCTTAGAGCACCTCTAAGGCACGTATAGCCCGTACTGCTAAAAATCAAGGTGAAGAATAGGGTTGTCGTTCGTTGGAAAGCGAAGGTGAATCCTCTGTATACGAAGAAATCAGTCATGATTGCCTATTTTGCAATTGGCCGATATTTGACCATGACCTTACCTTGGCTGTGCTCTTATATGATACTACCCTCTATCATTCGACCTTGCGACTTCGTTCCGCTCACATTGTGTGTTTGCACCACCAGAACGGTGGAATTATTGCATGAATGGCAATATCCAATTTAGTCTCCGAATTTCGAAAACCTTTAGACGCATCGCCTCACCGAGTGGCTTGAATTAGGATCTAGGCAGAAACCCCTCTCGATCTAGGACTAGTTATTTACAGCCACTACTGATAAGGCTAATCATCCGCTCTTCGCTAGAGTAGAAGGTTAAACATGCGACGGATACGAGTATTAAAAATGATTCACACTGCCACAGTAGAAGTGAGGATAATGGAGGATGATATACATAGCATCTCAACACATTTCACAACATGTTAGAGCGTCCCCGGTGCCTAAATCAAGTGTTTCTGCCAAACCAACCCGGTAGACAGGAATGTTATCTTCGCCTCCGTAACTCCGCTGAAAACCTCTCCCTCTTATTGATCTGGTGGTGCAAACACACAACGCTCTTAGGAGTAGTAATAACAATTATTGTTTCTATCTCAATCTAGTCGAATATATGTTCCCTAGTCTATGGGTATCTCACTTCTCTGAGATGAGATTTATTGCACAGGCCAAAGTGCTGCAAACTAATCAAACTTGGCCACAACTTAGTGAAGACCAACCCCGGATTTTACCTGCACCCAATACTTCTCCTTGCTTCGGATCCGAAGTTGCTTACCCCATATATACATGGGGATCCATGAAGCAAAGAACACCAGAACCAGGATAGCCCAAGTGATGAAAGTATTTTGGGTACCGGTGGCGTTCCACCACGGAGTCACCGCGTATCCAAACCCGAAGGCCATTGTGCAGCGCATGATGTTCAAAGAAGACATCGTACTTCCTGCCAACTCCCTGTAGCTGTCAATGATATACCCGATCATTATGCCACCACCGGTTGTCAGAGCAAAACCTAGATTTTCTGAGTCAGTAACAAGGACTGCACGCTCTGGAGGATAGCATACCCATCATTCCCATTCCAAAGACAATGCCAAACCAGTGCACATGCTGGGCTGCTCCAACTCCCCAGACAATCAAACCCACAGGTGGGATGATACAAAGGGTCACTGCTGCCCATAAACGATACTCGGCTTCCCTGAGTCCGTCTTTGTTGTTGCGGGCTATCTTAAGACAAATATAGTCACTGATTTTACCCGACCAAACGGCTCTATTATCAAGTTAGGAGAGCCATATTGAGGACTATATACCATAATGATGAACGTTACTTACCCCACAATAGCACCAATAAAAGGAGAAATATAAGCCAAACCGACATCGGTGCTTGAAAAGTTATATGGCTCTGCGGAAAGAATTACAGATGCTGTTGCGTTCAAAGCATTGAAGCACAGGACTGCAATTCCGTGGTAGAAGCTGGCCCATAAAACAATAGGGAACGTCCAGAACATAACCAGGGGTCTATAGGTGTAGACCCAGAATTGATTAGGTCTCTCACGTATGTAGCTGAAAAGGCTAAGCTTTTGGAGGTAAGTCTTCCGGGGCGGGTGTGAAACTGCAGCCTCAGTGTCGCCAGCAGCTTGATCGCTCGCAGCAGCCAAATTTTGACCGGATGCTTCAAAGCTGGTATTTCGATAATAATCTGTTTCCTCGTAGAAGAAAAACAATACCACGAAGACCACCGCATTAATTATACCACACCAATACTGTCCCAGCATCAGTTATGTTGTTATGTGTGAATGTTGAAGGACTTACCATAACCCATTGCCAGCCCATGTGATCGTTGATTATTCCACAGAACACTGCCGCAAGATAGTTTCCTCCTGCGAGACAAAACATATAGATTCCAATATGGAATCCACGCTCATGAGTAAAGTACTAATTTTCGGGGTATCAGTAATGGTCACCTGTGGCTACAGATGTTGCATCTCGAACTCACCAGATCAGTCGCAACGAGCTCTGGCACTACCTCAATTGGAGCACCAAAGAGGCCCAACAAAACTCTGGTTGAAACCCATGAGGCGTAACTGGGGGCGTGAGCGCTCCAAATTGAAATTGCCTTTGATATGTGAGTCTATAGCTTACAAGCAGGTTTAAACACGACGGGGATACTTACCACTGTCCCCAGCAATGAGAGAAGGAATACTCCACGACGACCGAATGTGACTGCAATCGGTTGCCATATTAGTGCTCCCCATCCGAAGAACAAGAGCATCGTCCCCGAGCCGCCATTGAGGTCAGCTACTGATAGACCTGTGCTGGTAGAAATTGGGACCAGAATCGAGTATACTGCTGCAGATGACCACGCAATTGCAATTGTGTATCTGAAGATATATGTCAGCCTTATTCCACGTATACTGAGAATTGCCTGTTGTCTTGACATACAAATGACTAGACAAAATGGCCTTCCACTTTCTCCACTTTGGCCAATTCAAGGGGTCTTCCGGGTCACTAGTAGGCTGCGGAGTCAAGATGACATCGCCGCTCTCAAGAAGTACCAACTCATTTTTCGCATCAACAAGCTGAATAGTACCGGGGATGCCGCTATAATCGTCTAAATCGGTGGACACTACCGCCACGGGGCTGGCGACTTTGTCAGACATGATTGAATGATGTCCTTGTAAGAACTCTTTCACGCTGCTATAACCCTCGATTTGAAGCGAGTGGAACCATACTCTTATTACATTTTTCCATAGTCCAGGAATGATATTCTGGAAGATACAAGCTATGATATTGCGTCAATGTGGAACGTCATGATGATATTCACAGATATCTCAACGCTGACCAATCTAGCATAATTGAAGATAACAAGGAATTGCGCAAGTATGGAGTCAAATGATGTTCCTATCAAAAATGGTGGAGCATTTTATCAAAAATACGAGCTACTAGAATCCATCGGCTTTAAACATGGATTCCTTCGCCCCGCTGTACTCTCCCGCACGTGGACTGTTCGCCAAGCTCAGGCTAAATTTGCCCTAATTAGTTAGCGTGGCTGAATCATACTTCCAGTGGTAAGTTATAAGGTCTGAGTCAAGTATGTATTTAACTTAAAATCACTTACTTTTGACTTTGTGGAATTCGATTTTCTTGTTGTTCAAGGCTAGATTAAGCCCGCCCTTGAAATCGAACAGAACCAGCATATAAACAACAGTCTGGTCAACCATGGCTGCCCATGAACAGCTGATCACCGCGGATGAGTTTTCCCAGATACAATTCGACTTTCTAGTCATTGGTGGCGGAACTGCTGGACTCGCTGTAGCGGCACGGCTCTCCGAGCACCCACGATTCAAAGTGGGGGTTCTAGAAGCCGGGTCACTGGTGAGCCGTCAAGATACGATAGACATTCCAGGCCTCTATGGCCAAGCTATAGGCACCAAGCAGGACTGGCAGTTTGAGACCGTTCCGCAAAAAGGCCTGGCTGGTAGGGTCTTGCCGTGGCCGCGTGGGAAGATTGTCGGGGGTACTAGTGCAATTAACTTCATGATTTGGAATCGCGGTAGCAAAGAAGATTACAACGCATGGGAACAGCTGGGAAATCCTGGTTGGGGATGGGAGGATCTTTTGTAAGATTCCTGAACAGCATCTGTTCATCATGGTAGCTGATCTTCTATAATAGGCCTTTCTTCAAAAAGTCTGAGACCGTTCAAAGACCTTCACCCGATATTGAATCAAACTACGGTGCAACATTCGATGCAGCTGTTAGTGGAGTGTCTGGTCCGATCAAAATCTCATATCCCAATTACTATCCTACTACTCACCAGCTCTGGCGTCAGTCTTTAAATTCCCTGGGGGTTGAATCGAATGACACACATATGTCTGGATCCAACACCGGGGTCTGGACTTGCATCAATTCCGTCACACCAGATGAGCGCATTCGCTCATACGCAACGAACTCATATTACACACCTAACGCTCATCGCAAGAACCTCTTCTTGCTAACTGACGCGCTTGTCAACGAGATTTCACTTGAACCAAGTGAGAATGGAGACCATAGAGCCACCGGTGTTAGCTTCACATGCAAGAATCAGCAATACCAGGTTTCAGTCAACCATGAAGTAGTCCTATCTGCTGGGGCAGTGCAATCGCCTCAAATTCTCGAATTATCTGGCATAGGCAATCCTGAAATTTTGGCGAAGGCTGGTATACCAACCAAAGTCGTCAGTTCAAAAGTTGGGGAGAACTTGCAGGACCATATCAGTCAGTATTTACGCAGGTTTTTAGTTTTATCAAAGTCTAGCTAACATCTATTGTGGCAGTGGCTGCTATTATTTTTGAAATTAATTCAACTGATGGGAGAAAAGACCAGGGTACCGACAAGGCCGGCCCTGATTCTGCTCTAGAAGAGTATCTGCAGCAGGCATCTGGGCCCTTAACAGCAGTACCCAGCTGCTTCTCCTACCTACCTTTGGCCAAAGTCATGGCGACGACCAACTTCCAAAAACTCCATGAGTCGGTCTCTGTTCTGCCTGATGTTGATATCGAGCGCAGAAACATCGTATCTGGACGCTTTGACACGACACAGCAATTAGGTCAAATTGAATATATTCTTGATCTTGGGAATTGGAATCCATATTATACGCCAGATCAAACCGATCACAAGAAATACGCCACGATATTTCAAATTCTCCAATATCCATTTTCTAGAGGTAGTATACATATCAGTTCCACCTCCAGCGACAGCTTGGATCAGAGGCCTAACAACCAGATATTCAACGCACCCTTGATCGATCCCCAATACTACGATGGCCCGCACGGCCTAGTAGATTTGGAAACAATGACTCACAGCCTACAATTCGCGGAGAAGATAGTACGATCAGAGCCACTATCAAATGTAGTTGGCGAACGAGTGTTCCCACCTTCATCTACGACAACAGATGAAGACTACCGCGATTGGATGAGCAAGACAACAATCACAGACTGGCACCCTGTTGGGACTTGTTCGATGGGTGGTACTCTTGGTATTTCAGAAGGTGTTGTTGACCATCGTCTTAGGGTGTATGGCGTACGAGGCTTGAGGGTTATCGATGCTAGTATCATGCCCCTTCATATCAGTTCTCATATTCAAGCCACTGTATACGCGATCGCTGAAAAGGGAGCCCACATGATATTAGAAGACTATGGTGTGCTAGAATAGAAAAAAATGCGAATATCTACAGCCAAGCCCCTAAAAATTACTTCTGGTAACTAACTTGACGGCAAATCCCGAGTTGGTAGTCCAGAAGGAGAAAGCAATCAGGTCAAAACAACCAGTGTCCACTGGGTTCTCTACCATACCTGCTGTAACCGACACAACTAGGTTTTATGTACCACTAATTTTATCATTAATATGGAGTATACAAGCGATGCTTATCAGAAGTGAGGCCATGTGTATCACCTGTGAAAGTTGGGTCAACTAGCTACAAAATCCAAGGACCAATACGGGGCCAATTGATCCTCCAGCAACTTGAACCAAGTTACTGGGTGTAGTCAATCGACCCGCCAAGTGTGCGATATGCAGGTCAAGAAGTCTAATTGAAAGGATCATAATTCGCAAAGGCTAATATAAATTGCGTATAGTTGGGACCCACATAAGAGATTATGCCATAGTATTCCTGAATGACAGGACCAAAAATTCACTCCACAATCTTACTATCCCTTCGAAGATTGCGCAATATATCCAGATCATACTATAAAGACTTGAATCAGGTCTATCGGCCCGGATGTTCTCCGAGTTCGGCAGTGCACAACCAAGAAGAAAAAATATACTTTCAGTTAACAAGACTTCATGATGTCAAAGTCAGTGCCTTTGATTATCAACAACCAACATGTTCAAACAGAAGAATTGTTCCCTTTAAAAAGCCCTAAGAATGGGGAACTTCTTTGGCTTGCATCTTCTGCAAGACTTTCTGATGTTGAGGCTGCTGCGGTCGCAGCAGAGACCGCCTTTCCGGCTTGGGAAGCCTTGGCATATACTACCAGGCGTGATCTTTTGCTCAATGCAGCCCAAATTATCAAAGACTCCCGGGAAGAAATCATAGCTACCAGCCGGGAAGAGACCGCCGCAGGAGAAAGCTGGGCGTCATGGGACATTGATGGAAGCGTGGCAACCATCAAGGACGCGGCGAGTCATGTATCCTCAAGTAAGGGAGAAATTCCCTCTACGAACGATAGTAGTAAGTCATATGCAAGCACTCCATAGATCAAAGGAACAGATTATAATCTAATTCAGCTCGATAGATGACACAGCTTTGATATACAAAGTCCCCTACGGCGTAATATTGGCTATTGTCCCATGGTAAGTGTCCCAGACTACTTGTTAGGATATAAGCTCAGAGTTCGTATATACAGGAATGCTCCAGGGGTGCTTTTAATGTCTGCCATAGCATATGCTCTTGCAGCTGGCAATACTGTTATTATCAAGTCATCCGAGCTGTCACCCCGCACCCACTTCTTACTAGCCGATGCTTTCCGTCAAGCCGGATTCCCACCTGGCGTGGTAAACCTCTTGACGCATGCACCTGACAAAGGACCGCAAGTGATTCCATCACTTATTCAAAACCCAGCTATCCGAAAAATTACTTTCACAGGCTCCAGTGCTACTGGGAGGATCATTGCGAGACTCGCCGGTGAAGCCCTGAAACCAGTAGTCCTTGAACTTGGAGGCAAAGCTCCTGCGATTGTTTTAGAAGACGCAATACTACGGGATGCAGCACATGGCATCTTGAATGGAGCTTTTGGGCATGGGGGGCAAGTATGCATGGCAACCGAACGAGTGATAGTGCTTCGGTCTATTGAAACACCATTCGTGGAAGCTCTCAAGGAGGCTTACACAGAGCAATGTCATGGAGAGACGTATAGCCAGCCATTGATTACTCAGTCGGCAGTCAAAAGGGTGAATGCTCTTGTTGACGGTGCGATCCGTGAAGGGGCAGCTATAGTCTCAGGACCAGCCGGTTATGCTGACGAGGAACGCCGGGTCTTTGGCCCAACCATCCTCCGCTCTGTTAACAGCACCAGCGAATTGTATCATGCAGAATCCTTTGGGCCTGTCATCTCATTATTTGTTGTAGATACAATAGATGAGGCAGTGCATTTAGCCAACGACACTGAGTATGGGCTTGCCGCAAGTGTGTGGTCAGCAGACATCGGCAATGCGCTGCGAGTCGCTAAGAGAATACGCTTTGGGTAAGTTCTCACATCTAGTTACTGAACATAACTGACGATATCAGGACTATTCAAATTAATGACAGCACGGCGCATGGCGAGCCGACCCTGCCACATGGTGGCTTCGGGGCTAGCGGGTTTGGGCGATTGACTGGTCCTTCGGCACTGGCTGAATTCCAGTCAGCGAAGTATATTCGATTTAGTCTGAAATAATGTGAATGCTCGATTCAATTGAGGACATCCGGCTCAATTTGTACAATCAAACTCAACCCCAAATTCAACAATATATTCAAGGGTTCTCAAATGAATGTGGAGATTCTATTTGGGACCTATCCTACAGAAGAATTTTTGGTGGAAGTATGATGTACAGCTATATTAAAAACATCGATATTACAATTTTTGATGTCTGGGAGAACAAATACGACCAACTATCATTTGAATTTGCCATTGATAACTATCATCACTATGTTTATTCCTGGATTCTCACTATAGCTCTGATGACTGATCAAAATAGAACTACATTTGCGCAGTTTAATGTGAATTTTTGGACTGCTGCAGAACCAATGGGTAGTGGACGGCTTTATGATCAGCCTCCTTCGGTGCAGTTTATGTCAATCTTTGCTTTTAATAAGGCAGGGGCTCAAGAAGAGTGATACACAGACTTTGCCCGACGAGCTCAAAACGAGTATGATCGTCTATGTCACATTGTTGATTGGCTGCGGACTTTATGTAACCGTATCAGCTACCAGTCTGGAGTTTTCGAAATAGAAGATTCTTACATAACGCGCCCCACCTCCGCCAGTCTTCTGCGTCCCCTCTGCCACTCCTATCCCTCCGCCAGTCTTGTCGAGTTACCAGGCAAATTAAACTTTCCGGAAATGTACAGGCGTCCTGCTTATGGAGAAAGCTCTGGTTGCATCTCATACCCTCTCGTTGATGATATCCTAAAACTTAGACTTAGTTTTATTTTATTAAAACTAACAGCAAGAAATGAATGTGGCCAGTCCATTTCCGAACAAGCGGAAGTTGTTGCTGATGTTGATGACTGAATGCTTACTACATCCAGCAGCTTTAGCCATTTGCGAAGTAAATAGTCAGTGATTTGCTTAATATCATATCCCGAATCATTTCAAGCTTCGAAAGAGGGAGTCTTGGCGCCATATTAGGAGAGAAAACTAGACATTGAAGGATGATAGTTCTAGTAGGGCATAGGAGACTGCCGAGAAAGGAAAACGAGTCCATGTGCTGCTCACCCTTGCTCACCCCCTTACTTAATGAGGTGAAATGATTTTTAGGCAAAGGTCTGGGGGATATCAGTGTCTTTGCGACCCACTCACGTTCCCCCACACGGAACGTGTGGGGGTCACCCCTTAAGGAGCGGTTTCGGCATGGTTATGCTGTGCTAAGAGCTATCTCTATATAGCTATCCTTTAATATGCCTTGCTTAGATATACACATAGCAGTGCCACTTTCCCGTTTTTAGGTGCGCTCTTGGCACTGCCATGGTGTCACGGCTTAGCGATAAGATAAAGATAATATAGGATAACCAGTGCTTGTTGCTCTGAGACCGTAGAGATACCTCTCGACGCTCTTGCTCTCCTAGACGTTCTTGCTCTCGTTGACCATGTCTACCTCCCAGATTCCAGTCGTATTTTCCCGCTCTGGCCTTTCTCATCCTCCAGGTTCAGATCCGCAGCACATTCAAGATTATTCTGACATCAATACCTGGTTGCAAGGTATCAGTTCTACGCAAACTGACGAGTTTTTTCCCTCATTAGAGTTTGAACTCCTTTCACACATAACCATAGAGCCAAGTTCACCGTCCGTCTCCAAAGTATCTGGAAATACTCAGCGGTCACTCAAGATAGATAATCTTCAGATCAGAAAAGCCATTCACGCAAATAACCTATTCATTGATAATTTTGGAAAAAAGATTCCTGCAGATGTGCAGGCTGTCATTGAAGCTGCAGGCATTCTTCGCCCGTGTTCAACTCCGCTCACAACAGAGGAGCAAGCATCTATTGGAGCGACACTTTCCCGTGAATGGGACACTAAGGAAGCCTCTCTCTTGTCCACTTTATTATCAACCCCTCTCTTTAAACTTATCCCCATCGAGGATACCATGCTTCAGCAAGGTCAAGATACATTATGGACGACAGCGCCGCTACCCCATATACTAGGAGCCACCCCCCCCCCCCCCCTTATCACCCCAAAAACAGATTACCATCTCGGATTCGCAACCACAATTATGTGTCGCCAAGACGCAGCAACAGTATGGACTAACGATGAAATTATCATCCTTGATAATGAGTGTATGCACGACTACTTTTGCCCTACAAACGCAAACATCTTTCCCTTCCTATTGATTGAAGGGAAGTCAGAAGTGTGTAACAGCTCCTTATATAAGGCAGAGAGTCAGCTTGTCGTTGGCGGCGCGCATCGTGCGAACTCTATGAAATTCCTTTTCACTCACGCATCACCGGAGACCACAATATCCTCAGCAGAGTCGCTAGTGTTCTCGCTGGCTGTAAGTCAGCGGGAGGCAATTGCGTACGTTAACTTCATGGATCCTTCAAGCAACCGCTTTTACATGTCCTACCTTGCAAACTTCTATCTTCCAGAGGTAAGCGACCGACAAAGATGTCATGACTTTATTACAAACGTGGTTTCATGGGGGAAGACGCAATTCTTGTCTCAAGTGAAGCAAGGCCTTGCTGCGATCAGTCAAAACTCCTCACACTTACATACTGTGGTTGCGACTGTCAGCACCGAAAGCCCCAGAAAGAAGCAACGTATATTGTAAATAGTATCAATCTAAATGTACGTGCTAGAGACAGCGCGCACTTATCACTAGCTCCTCGGAAACGCGTCCCACTGACTTGCCTTCTTCAACTTTTTTATTCAAGTTACAAATCATCCATTACCACAAACGGTTTTTAATTCAATTCCATTCATCGTAACTAGGCCGTGACACTAAATCTTGGAAAAATCTCGTGATGGAACTATGGTACGATTTAGTAAACCAAACGGCTTCGATATCCAAAGTTACAAGTTCGTATCTTCAAATATGTACTAGTCACCAACTAAAACATGAGACATGAGGCTGAATCCATCCTACAGGGAATGGCAATTTTGAATTCCAAAAAACTTATCTCCATATCCGTATGAAATCCACCTTCGATCTCGTGTGATTGGCCTGCCGCCTGCGGTTTACGAGCTTTCAGTCAACCTCGTATCAAGTGATGGCTGGAATAGATCCATTTGCATAGATCCAGACCTCCTATTTTTACTGTCATTTCCAAGGTTGACAGGTGTGTACTCCGCCTTAATGTGAAATGCCAAGGATTGCCAAGGATTACGGTTTACCAAATCCGGCGATGCTAGCCAATGTGTGGCTGGTCACCTGGGCAGTTGAATTGACTTTCGATGATGCTTGATTAATGCCTTAGATCAGAAAGGTCTATATGACTCTATCAATTATGGCCTTAATAGTAGGACTATAGGGTATTCGAACCTCTAGCGGAGGGAAGTTCTAACTCTTCCAAATACTTCAAGCCCTAATATCCATGCAGTTGATGAGGTCCTGTAAGCCATAGTAGCAGTTAGAATGCTGTAATCCTGGTACAACGCTGAGCAGCTGGATACTGCACCCTACAACTTGTTCGAACGGCGAATACGAGATAAACCATAGGTAAACCTTGCCACCTTGGAATTTTCAATGAGCATCAATGATGGAGGCTCTTGTTGGTACCAATAAAGGATACTAACGGTGAGCCAATCTGATTAGCCTTATCCTAGTTTTAGACGACTTGGCACCTTCGTGAATAGTCTTCCGTCAACTGACAGCTTCAAAATTAGATACGATGCAAATTCCAAGGTAATCACATACCGTATCTATGGATTGTCATAGCTATATCGGTCTTGGAGTTTATGTCCAGCCCTAGAGGTATCATGTGAGCTAATCTAGAGCTGAGGAACCTTGGGAGTGAAGTTTGAGCGATGAGAATAAATACCTAGTACAATGTGCTATCAATTCCAAGATTCATCAACTCAAATACTCATATATCACTACTGATCAGTTACAAACATCCATCCAAGATGCACTTCTCAAGCCTTGCTATCCTTTCCTGTGTCGCCTCATCCTCAGTACTTGCCTCTCCCCAGGCCTCTCCAATTCTTACTGCCACTGTACAACTCGTCAATCGTAATTCTGGAGCAAGTGTCAATGTCGTCATCCCTATGAATGGCGTGGAATACGACGTCCAGACTCTTTGGAAGAATACCGCTGTCGACAACGCACCTGATGGTACTGTTTTCGCTTCAAACGCTCAACTTGTTGCTTTCAAACAAAATACCATCTGCACATTCACTGAACAATCGATTGTGAAAGGAAAACCTTTGGATGCCCAGACTACTTGGATTGAGTTTGCTTCTAAGCCCGTGGATATGTGTGGTTCCAAGCTGACGTGCAAGTCAACTTGATTGGAGTTTCATATCTTTGCTGATGAAGGGGGTATATTATATTATTCTGACATTGATTTGGGGCTTGTATATTCATGGATCTACATCATGTCAAGGTGTTAGAACCATTACACAAGTCCGATTATTTGAATTATTTGAATTGTTGACTATCTTGCTGTGGTTGTAATCACGTAGTGTAGTCCCTACTCCGACTATTATTACAATTGGAGCTATTTATAACTACATAATAGAATGAATAGCCTTTAGAGACAGCCTATTACTTACGGCTTTCAGTTTCGTATTACATTCTCATATCTGCTGACTATAGCAGGTGCGAGTTATTTATGGCATATAGTGTTCTCTTCTTATTCTCTTATATCCTGATACTCAAGTGTGAACGTGATGCGGCAAGTGCAGCATGTTTGACGGCAATCTTCCGGAGATCTTCGAAATCAGACATGTTTCAATTTTTTTTGAAATTGAACTCGGGATGAGAATCATGCCAGGGGCAAAAGCATGGCCCTCCTTGGGGTTTATTTATATTTTGATCTACAGAGTAAATATTCTAGGGCAGGGGGTGGGGCACTAAGCTCACCCATGTTCACCTATCGTTTTCACCCAAGCTCACCCATATCACCCACACCCTAAAGAGAGTTCTATCGCTGCTTTAGGGTGGGCTAAGTACTAAGGGCTTTTGGACTATTGGCCGTGTTCCACAGGTGGCATAAGTACGGCTGAGCGGATGGGAAGCCCTATTCTCCACACCCTATGGTCATATGTGCTATTCTAGGGGAGACTTAGAACTATGAATGGGTGATTGCGTAAGAGCTAGCCACATAAGATGATCGAAACGTATAGCGTAACACGTAATAATAAAATTCAAGACAAATCCCATACCAACCCTGTGTTCTCCTTGAGAGATTCAAGAACTGCAGTCTGAGGGATTATGAGTCCTAATGGGTAAGTTTTGAGACATCCAAACCCCCCAAAAAACGATTTTGATGTCAAGAAGCACATGATATCATTGGTCTTCCACTTTTGCCATTCAGAATGCTTAAACTCCCATCACAACGTCGCTTTCTCCTCGCCCATCATGCAAGTATATGTTGAACAACAATACTCAGAAATTATTCAATCAGCGACGGGCCGAGGAATTGGAAAAAAAGCAGTTTCTACTCAGCGTGAGCCTCTCTATCTTTTCAAGCGTCGAGAATCAATGGAGTTTAATGTCGTTTAGAGGTATGGAGGTAATTTCTGACACTTGGTTTATTTAGCTCAACGGAGTCGATCGTGGAAAATGGGAGGATGGTCTCATGATCCATTCTGCTTATGGAAAACTGGTGGCATTCAAGGAATAATCCTGACGCGCTATAGACATCTCGCTTGGTTTGGCTGGTAATTTGGCCTGAAGAGCAAGATAGAAATGGACCTTATAGCGTACTATCTCTTCAACATTCAGTCGTTTCTTGAGCGGGATCTCGCGCGCGGATTGGTATACAGACGAGAATGGATGAATCCGACAGGCCCTAGAATTGGTATATGGATGAACAGTACATACGTACTTCTTTGTTTTTACCTTGCTGAACAGATCGCTGTAGAAACCTCTCCGTCTCATATCAACCTAGTTCCAATATTAGGAGTTGGTGTCTGACAACAACCCGTAGTGGATAGTGAATGTACCTAGCCAAGGTATTAGGTCTAAGTGAAGACCACTAACATTCACAAGATTCACTGGATAATAAGATTTCATTGGTTAACGGTTCGTAAAAAAATTCAAGTAAGTGAATACAAAATATTCATACAAAATATCTCGAGTCCGATCTCCTGTTGACTTAGACGTGGCGCACTGTCACGATCAGTCGAGCATCCTTGTTCTCCGAATCCACATACCGAACATATCCACCCAAGTCAGTATCGCATGTAATAGGACAGAGCTGATCATTGCAACCATCAATCTGATCAAGGCCCTCGACTACGGCGACGATATTGTCGGGACCGACTCGACTGTTTGCCGACTCCACGAGTTGTTGAAAATTGAAAGCGGCAACGTCTTCCAACCATTCGAAGTTATGGCCTTTGACCTGCACAACAACGTTGTACTGCGTTCCAGCAGGGGTGCGGTCAGGCAGTTGACTGTAGCCATATGGGGCGCCGGTTTGTAGCAGGGATGGATCGATCTGCGTGTCATCGATGACACTGTCGGCAATGGGAGCGCTTGCAAGGGCCTGCGATGCCAGGGTGCTGATCTCATCATCAAGGGCGGTGCGCGGTTTCTTGCGAACATTCCCCAATCTGTCAGCGTGATAACGCTTCAGCACATCGTTACAGACCAAATCAAGGGCCTTCCTCTTGATTTTGATTTTGGGGTCGGCATCTCCCAATTCGAGAACTCGTTGGATTATCGGCGAGATGTTCATCCAATGATTTTGGATGGCATTCCATTCCTCGATGCCAGATTGGAGCTTCATGGTGTATTTCCTCTCCACAAGAAGTTTATAAAACTCATCGCGAGCGCAGCGGGTTTCCTCCGGATTGATTCCGATGATTTTTTTGGCATCGACCAAGGTCATACGGTCACTTGTTCTCATGCGTTTTGTTACATCGATGCAAATGACGTCCAGCGATTGAGCTCTCTTGTCATGATCTTTGTGTTCAGACAAGATCTGCTGCAAGTGTGGAAACCTTTCGATCAACTTACGCTTGGCTGGATCCCACGTTTCCGCAGCACAGGCAGGCATTTTCTTAATGATATTTGTTGCTGTACAGATTCGGACGAATTCTGATCTGATCTCACGATACAGACGGCCATCCAGTTCGAGATAGATCTTGCTATCCGCAAGGGTTAGTTCAGACGGATAACGCGGAGATCCAGGAGGGTCGGCGGGTATGCCAGCATAAGCACGAGTGTGACGGCGACGCTTTCCTCGACTCAATTTCGCGTCACTATCATTTCTCATTTGATCCAGACGCTGCTGGTCCCTACGTTGGATTTGATCCATATCTTGCTGCTGCATGACCGATGACGGCCCCGGTAACGATGGGTTCTCCCCAGTCGGCGTCGCCGAGCCTGTCGGGACGGAACCCACTGGCTCAAAGCCCTGGTTCAGGTAAACCTCCTGTTGGAGCGCCAAAATTGGCTCATCCTCGGGGTTCGTCGTGCTTGCAACAGCAATTTCTGGGATTCTCTTTCCATTGGGAACGCGTAGTAGCCAGCGGTTGGCGGTGCGGACGCGATTCAACTCTCGCAAGCTGATGCTGAAACCCTCACTGATTAATATTTCGTGCATTTCTTGCTGGGTGTGGCTGGATTCCCACAGCTCCTTAATTCGGGCGACGAGGTTCACGTTCTTCTTCGCAGGGTTATGCTTCGTGGGGAAATCCCACCGTTTGAATTGACTCTGATAGGTACGCTTGCTAGTAATTTGACAGTGATCAGCAGGGGAAGTACTTGAATGAATGTAGGGGCCTACCGTGTGCTGGAGATAGAACAGCTAACCTTGGTCCAAAATCATAGTCTCTTTTCATGATTATCATGATTTTGTCGAGAGGGATTCGCTCCTTGATGTAATACCTGTGGAGGAGGTCCTTCTTATCATCCCATTCGTACCCCATTTTGGGACAGGCCCTCGTGTAGATCGTGTGGGGAAGCCAAAAAGGCAATTGCGGAGAAGGAAGCTCTTATCGTGTATCAAGCGTTGTGTGTCGCTGTCGTTCACCGTAGAAGAAAACGAAAGAGGCGAGGCAGAGGTGACATTTGTGCAACACAGTCACGTGCCTTAGTCGTTCCCCCACTTTCTGACTAATACATTTACCACGGATACGAACTATGGGATGTTCGAGAAAACATTAGAAATACGAGTTGAAGCAAATGGATGAACGGATAATGTAGAATAAATGTTGCTATTTGGTGAATATGTTCCTGGAGTTGATTCATCCATATCCAGACGCCGTAAAACCCCCCTTGCTCCGAAATCATGTAGATAAAAATGTGAACTCCCTGAAGGCGCAAAGGTGCAAGAGTGCCTAGACAAAAGCAAAAGAAAAATAAAAAAGCAATTTCGCGTGGTGGTCTATGGACATGGGGAATTGGCTCAAAATCAGATGGAAAAAGAAAAAGAAAAAAAGATATCAACTGGTCTTTCTCAGCTTTCGTCGAAACTTGAAAACCCGAGTCCGAAGCCAGGTGATGAAGAGCATCCAAGTGCTCTTCGATTGCGACTTCCACGAAGCCGACTGCTGTCGATCATGAATCCCCATAACAGGAGGGACTTCTGGATTCCTCGGTTCCTCTGACACCTTCTCACTGGAACGTGCAGCCGGGGACTCCAGGCCCTCCGAATTGGTGCGGTTCACACGGCGTTTTATCTGTTTTTCTTCAGCTTTGATCTGTTGCTTCTCGAGCCTGCGAGTCTTGGCGGCTTCTTTCTCTTCAAAGGCTTGCCGTGCAGCCTGAACGGTAGCTGCACGAGAGATGGGGTCTGTACTGGTTCGTGTCCTTGAACGAAAAACATAATCCAGTGACGTGCGGGAGATTGGGGATGCAGTAGTGTCCAAAGCGCTCCCATTATCTCGGGAGTACCCAAAGGAGGGCCGACCGCTGACATTGGTCTGCGAGATACCAGGCAGACGAGTGTAAGAGTCATCTTCAATCTGCAGCGACAAACGTGGAGTAGACCCTGATACTGTTCGCACAGGCCTAGGGGGTTCTGGTGAAACCTTCCTGATTTCTGATTCCACATCATCCTCTGCTTCGTCGCTATCGTTGTTGGAGGTTTGATATGATTGACTCAATGGCGGGGTAAAACCACGGGGCGTGGGACGCATGGGGTAAACAAATTGTGACCCTTGCTTGCCCCCGCTAGACCCAGATAACCCACTCGTTGATCGGTTCTGGATTCCAGACGATGTTCGTCGGAATGTCGGGCTAGCTAACGTCTCACTTCGGCGACGATCCCGCTCCGAGTTCAAGAGAATACCCAGTCCTTCCTGCTCTGTCGATGAGCGGGACAGGTCAATCGACGTTGATGGCGCGTCGTCCTTAGACATCTTGCGAAGAATAGGCTTGATGTGTACCTTTGTCTTCACTGACTTGCCTCTGCGGGAGTAGTGGATCGTATCGGACGATTCATTTAGGGCTGCGCTCCAGGGTTCGGGGGTCATGGTGGGGATCTTGGCTGAGCGTATCAAACCGCGATCTTTGGAAGAATCGGAATCTTCAAAATCAGGAAAGCGTGAGGACTCGGGTACAGCATCTACATCTGATGGGACCAGTCCGGTATCTTGTACCCATGGACTGGCCGATGTTTTCACTGCAAAACGAGAGTCCTTTTTGTGTGTGAGTCGTGTTGAATCACTTGAAAACATAGGTTTGGGTGGAATGGCCGGCCCTCGGCCAAAATTGAAGTCCGTGCGAGCCATGGCGATAAGCCCTCAAGAGTCAATCAAATCTCAGGAGTCGCGTGACACATGGTCGCAGAGGAAAAAACCAGAGTTGAAGTGAGATAACTCAGAGGCTGAGTAAAAGGGGAGAATTTATTGTCTTGGTCACAGAATGAGTGATCGTCCTGATCAGGCAATATGGTGGAAGAAGAAGAAGGGGGGTTTGGATAGAAATAGAAGAGGGGGGAGGAGAAAGAGGAAGTCAACGCGGGGGTACGTGACACAATGAATCCGATATCCAACAACTGATCTTCTTCAGTTATTGAAGAACTAGAAGAAACGAAGAAGAAAAGAACGAGAAAAGGGTGAGGGAAGAGTTAAATGTTCAAAGAGAGAAAGTCAAGCGGTGTACGGAGTGACCGGCCGCATGCGGGTCAATTTAGGGACTAATAGAACGAACATAAGTAAATACTGTACAACTGCATAATCTAGTGTCCACTATCGGATGATATGGAGTCTTGTGTTATAGGGCCTTGGTCTGGACTGACTAGACTCTATAATAGTCACTATACTAGTATCCTCACTTTCCCCCTGAATTGCGCATTGTCATATACCTCTAGTTTACTATGAACACCATTTATTATTCACCTACAAAAATATTTAAGCAATATTTAACTTGGTAACTAGTTACATAGATATTAGATAATAGATACATAAATTGCCAAGCTGGCCAAGACTCAAGTGACGCAAAGTATCTGATACTTAACCCCACCATCTGGACAACACAACACATCTCGTCCTTTTTTTTTTCTTTACTTCTTGAACTTCAGGCCTTCTCAAGTACTGTACCCATCATGGGTTTCTCTCTAAGTCTCTGTTTCTCCCTTCTGGTTCTTCTCGCCATCTCTGATCACGCTTATGGATTTGGTGCTGGTAACATCGCGTCTCTTTCTCGCATCGAAGGTCAAAACTGGCGCCATGGTGATATTGAGGACACCCTGCTCTCCTTGCTCATGGCGCGTGTGGCCGGTGGACGCAAATTCAGCAAGCTCGATGTGAAACGAGTCTACTTCGGAAACTGGCTCCGTGATTACAGCCAGGCAGTCGATGTGGGCACCGTGAAGTACGTCAGTGCAGAGGCTATTCGAATTTTGCTCTGGATCTTGGGCTTCATGAGCTTTGGATACGGAACGAAAGAATTTGAAGTCACCACCGAGCGACTGGGTTGCTATCAGCCCACGGAACATATCGATAATCCACTGGGCTATGCAGAGGGTGAGGATGCCCGAAACTACGATCGCCGCCTGAGAGGCCCTATCGATGAAGACCGAGAGCTGTCCTTTGACTCACGTACTGGTTCGTTATCAACTCTACCGTGCAGATAAAAGACCCTTTTTATTGGAGCTAATGCGTGGGAAACATACAGGACTTAAAAACTACATCGCTTCCGAAGATATTGGTATTGATACCTCAGCCGGATTGATTCGCCGTGTTCTTGGTCGTTCAATCCAGTTGGGTCGTCAATATGGCCGATCCAGAAATGATGCTGATCTGCACGAAGCTCTTCGGCTGCTGGGCACTGGTCTACACTGTTTGGAGGACTACGCGGCTCACTCAAACTACATAGAGCTTAGTCTCATCGAGCTTGGAGAGAGAGACGTCTTTCCTCATGTGGGCTCTAATACCAAACTTACGCTACGAGGTTCACGAGACCCTGTGTACGGAATCGTGACGGGCACCTTCGGAGGAGTTGATTTCTTCCACTCAGTCCTAGGTGAAATCACTGATAAAACTACGCAATCAGAGATACAGTCCTTGGAAGGTGTTATCACAGACTCTGAAAACGAGACGCCCTCGGAAAATTTCCTGCAAAACTTGCTCAACAAGATCCCAAGTGGCCTGCTCGGTGATAGTAGTGATGACGAGGCTAGCAAAATGGACGACTTCAAGGCAAAGTCAGATGATGCAAAGCAAAACAGCAGTCAGAACGTCAGTCCGCGTGAACCTGAAGAATGGGCTCTCTACCTGGATAATATCCAGAAACAAATTTACCCCGTTCTCGAGTGGCACGACAATCTCCTGAAGAATATTAACCAGGCTATTGAAAAGATACCAGTCTTGCCGGATCTAATCGAGCAAATCCAGAGTTCGATCACTCTGTTTGTATTCAGCGTTATTGCCCCATATGTTCTCCCTGTCATCAAACAGGTGAAGTCTGAGCTGGAGACCGGTTCTTCGGAGGTGATCCAGAGCAGTCGAGAGCAGCAGCACATCGTATTCAATGACGACTCCGCATCTAACCCGACCCACTCAATGCTATCCAAGGATCACTTCTCGAACGTGCTGAACGAACCAGCCGGACGTATTGCTGCCCATGTTGTTGAATGGGTAGTTCCCCAATTGATGCAGTGCTGGGATGATGAAGACTTAGACATCGACCGTACGCTGAGTCGGATCATCAACGGAGTGTTTCACCACCCCGCCCAGCGCCGGTATGGAGACGATGGTGCCAGTGATTGTCGTCAAGCCATGTTCTCCACGGTTCAGGACTGGTGGAGCAATAAAAGTGGCGAAGAATTGCACACTCTTCGCGAGCAGCTGAGCCGTGATGGTGTGCTTGAGGGTAAAAACCATAAGCCAGGTGTACAGGACTGTGGGCATGGATGTGGAAAGCCGATCGCCCTGCCCAAGGCACCGGGCAAGACTGGAAATTACCAGACCAACAACACCTTGAATTCTGGAATTGAAAAGATAACTTCCGAGGCAGTGGGAGGAGGCGCGTTGGGTGGTCTACTTGGCGGTCTTGTCGGTGGAGTGGGATCGATGATGCTAAACAGCGGTGACTCTGAGCAAAAGAACTCCAAGTCGAAGATCCGAAAGGATGACTTTAAGTACGAGGGCCGACCACAGCACAATGAGCACCACGAACGCCGTGAAAATTACGAACATCACGAGACGGAGACGTATGGTCAAACTACGTCTGGAGGCTACCAGTATGAGAGCGAAACTCGTACATCCTATGGTGGCCGCCCAGCTCCTCGTGAGGACTATCCTCGCCAGGACTTTCCTTCTAGCGATTACTCGCGCCCAAGTCGCAATGACTACCCTCCACCCCCTGCTCCCGCGCAGAACTACTACCAAGAGGAGCATCAGCAATACCCACAGGGGGGAGGTGATAGCTTCTATCAGCGCGAGGAGCGCCAGGTGTACCAAGGTGGCCAGTCAGATTATGTGCGATCTGAAACTCGCTACAACAGCGGTCAGTCAGATTATATGCAAGCTGAAATCCGCTACGACAGCGGACCACCGCCTCCTGCCTTTAATACAATGCAACAGAGGGCCGACGGCTACCAAGGATTCCAACAGTAAGTCATGTTTCATTCAAATATAAGCAGTCAATTTTATTGATCATGTCTGGTATAGGGGGCCTCCGACCGGTTATGGAATGCCCGGTGGCTTTGAGGGGTATGACCAACCTACTTATCCACCCCCGGAGGGCCACAATCAGCGATTCGGAAGCGGTGGTGACTCTGAGGGGTATGGGCGACCTAATTATCCACCCCAAGAGGGCCGTGGTCAGCGATATGGAGACGGCGGTGAACATAAAAATCGCAGAGACAACGAGCATGGCCATCGACATGAACGACGCCCTAGCAATGGTTCAGGCTCCGGTAATGATCGTGAGAGACACCATCGACATGAGCGTCGCTCTAGCCATGGTTCAGGCTCTGATGGAGAGGATTCTTCGCGCCGACACCGTCAACATCGCCGCCGCCGATCTGGCTCGGGCTCGGATTAGATGAATGAAATAGGCGTCATCCATATCATGAGTTTTTTTTTTTCTTAATTCCGCACTCTTCACCCTCACCTAGTGCTGGCTGCTTGATCAAACCCAATTTGTCGGAGTTAGGAAGACGAAGAGAGGTCAGGTCAATTTCCCTATGCGTCCATTGTTAGCAAGTTGAGATAGGTAATCATACTGATCAATGTGATGTGATTCAAAATGACTCCTATATGTAGCTGAGACCCCGTTGACGTAAATAGACCTCATTGTAACATTAGAAGAGACTGGTATATTTCGGTGGATCTTCTTATTTCGATAACCTTGCAATGATGCTTACTGCCCAGTTGGATTATTTCAGCGAAATTTGAACAATTTCAAGCCATATGGGTTCCAATCTCCTAATAATCAATCTCTACTCTCCAGCCTTCCTCTTTATGCCTCTCCTCCCATCCTGCTGCGTGTTGACGTTGCTAGTAGAATATGGGTACAGGGAGAAGGCTTCAATCTAAAGCTTCCTTGTACCAGAACAGAGGGTCGACTATGTGGCGCCAGTGGAAAGGGCACCATAAGGTATACCAGTGAAGCACTACCATTTGCTCCATGCTCAGTATTTTCCGGGTAGCTTGAATAGGTTGTGAAGGGGCAGTGGCGCAAATCGTAAGGAGCGCTTGTTGCTCCGCCCGCATAGCAACATTTCAGAAGGACATAGATATTCAGGTTACTAGAAATTGCCTCTAGCCCTGGAGTGTGGATTTCCGAGTCCTGGAATCTGGAAAGGATGAATGACGATGAATTGAACCTTGGAAATAGATGCTTCTGAGGTTTGCAGGAGTTTATATATCCGCCTCATCCTCATTTCATCTAGAGCACGGAAAGTTGCAGTGAAGTGAGAATGACTCCAAGGTCGTGGTGATAGCAACCAGCAACTCACCCTTCAGAGTATGGATCAAATCTTTCTAATAACTGGGTATCAATTGTCGCTAGCTGAGCATTTGACCGCGCAGCTTTATGTTAGAAAATCAATACCTACCTAGGAAGATAGCAACGCAAACCTCACAATTCCTAGGTTGGTCAACTGCCCAGGTGGGCACTCATATGGGGGAAATAGGGACAATTGCAGCCACTCCATTGTGCGAAAACCCCTAGAATGATGAAATAGCAAAGGAGACTCAAATCAAGTAGTCTATCGGACTTCTCTATCAAGTCCGAATTTCGATGGATCCATATATCGGGTCATCCGAATTCTGCGTTCTAAAGATTTCTTAAAAGTTAAAATCCGGCTAACATCTCGGTATACCGAGGTCTTCATAGTTGGATAAGTGATCACTGATGCTATAGCAAAAGTACCAAACATCAGTGAAATGGAAGATGAAGTCATATTTATGTGGGTCGTCATCCGCACTAAGGCTCGCGTCATTGGTTTACGGCCGAATTTCCGATTCTCATAAGCTTCGGCTTCCCCAATCTATCTTTGAATGTTTGTTCTTCTATCACTTCACAATGGTCCGCCCACCTACCCTTCAAGGCGCATTGCGCAGCCTTCGCGCTCGCCCAGTCATCCCGCGGCAGAGGTTCTTCGGTGTCTCGGCCAGATGCTACAACGAAAAGACACAGGCGTCCTTCAAGAGCCAGCTGTATGAGAGCACGCAGCAACGCCTGAAACGCGAGCGCGCCGATCAGGAACGCTTCGCTCAGTACCAGACCGAGTCCACTGGTGGTCGGTATGCTGCCTTGTTGTTTGGTAAGTTCTCATCCCTGTCCAGATCCGACTGTTGCCTAATAAATTGTCATAGTGTTGGTTTTCTTCTCTACCGGCTCCTACTATCTTGGCTCGCTCAAACCGGCCGCCCTACCTGAATCCTCAACGACCAGTCTCTCCGATCTCTCCGAACTGAAGCACAATGTCTCCCAGTCAAACCTCCAGGCCGCGTGGGCGGATTTCGTGGACATCCTGGGCAAAGAGCATGTCTCCACCTTGGAAGCAGACCTGAGAGCACATGCAGGATCAGACTGGTCGTCCTATTCTCTCAAGGAGAAGGAAAAGTATTTTTTGGTTCTATACCCCAAAACCACTGAGGAGGTCTCCGCCATTATGAAGATCTGCCACAAGCGGGTCATCCCAGTCACCCCCTACTCCGGCGGCACAAGTCTGGAGGGCCACTACGCGCCGACGCGCGGCGGAGTCTGTATTGATTTCAGTCGGATGGATCAGATCATTCAGTTGAACAAGCATGACATGGACGTGGTCGTCCAGCCGGCAGTGGGATGGCAAGATTTGGACGAGGTGTTAGCCGCGGATGGTCTCTTCTTTCCCCCGGACCCGGGCCCTGGTGCTCAGATCGGCGGAATGGTTGGTACAGGCTGCTCTGGAACCAATGCATACCGGTACGGAACAATGCGTGAATGGGTTCTGTCATTGACAGTAGTCTTGGCCGATGGAACGGTTATCAAAACCCGTCAGCGTCCGCGTAAGTCTAGCGCCGGATATGACCTGACCAAGATTTTCATCGGCAGTGAGGGCACTCTCGGTCTTGTGACTGAGGCTACGCTGAAGTTGACGGTGCGCCCCCAAAACGAGAGTGTGGCTGTTGCCAGCTTCCCGAGCATCCAGAAGGCGGCAGAGTGTTGCACCGCTGTAGTTGAGGCAGGAATCCCCGTGGCCGGTATCGAGATTCTAGATGACGTGCAAATGAAGTGTATCAACGACAGCCAGAGCACTTCCCGCCAGTGGAAGCCGGCTCCCACGCTCTTCTTCAAGTTCTCTGGAACGCCTGCAGGAGTCAAGGAGCAGATTAACATAGTGCAACAGCTGGCCTCCAAGGCTTCTAGCCAGTCTTTCGAGTTTGCCCGCAGCAAAAATGAAATGAAGGAACTTTGGAGTGCCCGGAAAGATGCTTTGTGGAGTGTCTTAGCTAAGAAGAGAAGCCCTGAGGACCGTGTGTGGACCACCGATGTGGCCGTGCCGATGAGCCAACTGCCCGCTATTATCGAGGATACCAAGAACGATCTGACCAAGAATGGACTCTTGGCCGGAATTTGCGGTCACGTCGGTGACGGTAACTTCCATTGTGAGTGTTCCTGCCCGTGTATACATTAAGCCATACTAATGACCGAACCCAGCTATCATTCTATTTAACGAGAGTGAAAAGAAGGTGGCAGAGGGTGTGATTCACCGTATGGTAAAGAGAGCGGTTGAATTAGAAGGAACAGTCACCGGAGAACACGGCGTTGGTTCGTTTTGACCTTATTCCCACTCTACTCGATCACATTGCTAACTGAAGCAGGAATTGTCAAGCGCGACTATCTCGCACATGAACTTGGCCAAACTACCGTGGATGCCATGCTTAGGGTACGTTCCAAGTCCTTCTTTCATCACAATGTACTAACAATGGCAACAGTTGAAATTAGCATTCGACCCTCTTCGCTTGCTTAACTGCGATAAGGTCATTCGGATTGAGCAGCCATCACCGGGCGAGATTAAAGAATGGTAAATCATCTATGTCTACCGGAAATTACTCCGATGCTTAGATGCTGGAATTGCCAAGCGGTATGTGTGTTTAGAGATGGTGTGTATATGAGAAAAAAGGGTTATAACCTCAAGTTAACATACAATTTCTATAAATTATTCAAAAGTTCAAAATCTAGTGCGCTACTCCGTACATAATCAGGAGTTCATTTAAACGGACTTCAGAGCTGCATCTATTAGCAGGGGTATTGCGCATCTCGAAGTCAATATTTACAAAATAACAATAAGGATGAATTTATTGCAATCCGGGGCTCATAGCTCAGGTTTCAAGTCTACGTGGGTGTTTACACCAGCTGCGGTCTCCAGGGCTGTTGGATTTTTAAAGGCACCGTTGGATTGTAGTCAGTAATCTTTATTAAAAGGGCTCCCTCATTTTCACCAATATGAGAATATTGGGATTGATTTTTCTTTCCTCTACTTATTTATCAATTTATGCTTTTCCCCATCCCTTGAGATCAATTAAATATGCAATAGGGATGATCTAGAATTTGGGATTTCGCTGTACATAGAGCACTCCTTGGAGATGTCTGCCTAGGTAGAAGCTATATGAGTGCTTCAGCTGACAGTTCCAATCTAATAACTCATCACATCATGTATTATATAGGGCCACAGGGTTTGATAGTAGGGCATGTCCTTGATAGGATCCACAATTATGATCAGCGCTAGGCCCAAAGTAGAAGTAAATCTTCTATTTATTGATTCTTTTCTCAATCGTGTCCCCAAAACACAACTTTTTTTTTTTTTTTTGTTCCTCCTCCTTTTTGAACTTAATCACTGTCGGTACACCTGTACCAAGTGTGGAATAGCTATTCGATAAAGGTGATGAGGCTAACGCCCACTTCTGACACCTATCACCGGTAACGCTTTACGCCCCTATGATATCTTTGTGTCCTCTTGAAGTGGTTGTAAAGTCTGGTTTTCATTCTTAGTTTGCTATCTATTATAAAGTAACAATTTGATCACATGACTACTTTGTTCCATATTCCAACAATCACTACTATAACTAAGTACTTCCACTGTGACGATGAAGGCCATAATTCCAAGAAACACCCTGGCAAAAAGTCTGGTGATGGCAATAAGTGCAAGCGCGATGAAAGCGCTTTATATACCAACAAACAAACCTTGATCAACACCCCAGACCGCCACTTGGACATGAGAGTAGTAGAGTGATACCTCGCCAGATTCTCTGGAAAATCTCCTAGCTTTGGTGTTGGACTTGTTTGCATTACCATGGAAAATTCTAGTTCCTTTAGCATAATACACATACCAGACAAAGTATCGTATTTAAGTGAGAGTTAGTTGTGGTAATGAGACTGGTAGAAAAATATCGATCTCTCGAGTATATTCCTAATATATACTGAAGTATCTTGGCTGTGGGTCTAGATAATCACTCGAAGAGTGTAGTTCCGTTTTGAATTTTTGATATTGTATGGGATGGAAACAAGGGATAACTTCATACATTTTATCAATACTTTCCTAAGCATTCCAGCCTGTAGTACTCATTACATACCAAGGTTTATCTTTGCATATATACTCCGTAGTAGTAATTTCGATGTGTATCTGCTCCTGTGGACAATTGACGATCCATATCTCACATTGTTAACATGCGATTGAGGATCCCCCTTCAAATGAAGGTATGTTCAGGCGTCACCTGTGAGAATTTATTGATCCGATCTTGGATACATAATCAGTCGAGATTCTCGTTCGCCTAGCAGGGAAATCGTATATTAAAGAGCTCGAAGCTCCTGCCTGTCATATCCTAACAAAGGGTCTGAGAAAATCAAACTCCACCATGAGGTTCTTTCAATGCCTTAAGTCTCTGGCCTATTTGGGTGGTGTGGTACATGCCTTTAGTGGCTTGCACTCAGCTCGCCATGGTCTTCTTCAGATTCCACCTTCATTTGCACATGATGAAATCAACATGTACCCTGCTCTTCATCCCGAGCACGACTCCAACAACTACAACCATCTAATCCCCGAGGATACTAAAGAACTCTACTACAGTCAGGAAGGACATCGCCGTGAGTATCTATATGCTATCTTTTTTGTATGATCTAAAACGTGTATGATCTAAAACGATTCTTTAGCTGCCCTACATGGTGCAAAACATGGCCGGTTGCAAGCGACCTTCTCGCGACCTTCGGTTGTTTTGGACCACTCCAGCCATATCGAAGACGTCAATTGTGGTAATGAGCATATCGAAGTCTGCTTTTCTCCCGAGGCATACCCAACTGTGGAAAGAGAATGGTCCAAATATGACAGCAGCTCATTCAATCTCATTACTTACCATATTGGATGTGGTCACCTTAATGGAGAGTTCCGGTCATTCTTTATTGCATCCAACCCTATTTTCGAGAACAACTGTGTGACTGTTCTCGCAGAGCTTACTGATGAACAGGAAGAGATTCAGGAAGGACATCTAAACTGGGGAACATATCAACATCCAAATCTGGCCAAGCGTGAGCCTACATTAGGACATATCAAGGTTGAAAAATCAGACCCGCAGCTACAAATGCAAGATTTGATGAGCTCAGGCTTTTTCGGCAATGGAACAATTGGAATGGACGACCTCACAGCGAATGGAACGGCTGTTAAAGATTTCTTTGGAACCGATTCCATTAACACCGATATTCCGGATGAGTACGAAATAGGCCTTGACTACCTCTCGGATGAGGAATATGACGACCTTATTAAGCGAGGTCTATTTTCTTGGATTGTGGACGGAATTCTTTCCATAATCAAGGTGAGGATCGAATTTAAACTGGACTATTTAATTAGCAATTGACTAACAAGCGACTATCAAAGGCAGTTGTTAGTCTTATCGAAAAGACGCGGAAGCTTGTTGAACTAGCAGTCAAGGTCATAATTGCAATTGCAGTGATCACTGTGAAATTGTTAATGGTCCCCTTCGGGTTCCCATTTGAGCAAGATTATCACGCAGATATCGCCTTTGATCAGAGAACTGGTGGGAAAAAACTTGGATCAGATATAGCCAGTTCTCTTGGAGGGACCCAAAACAACTTTGTTCTCTCTAAACCTGGCGCAGCCGTGCTGATGGAATGCGAAAGTTGTGGAGCCAAGGCAAACTTCAGCTTCGGTGGAGAACTAGCATTTAGCATCAGCAAGGGTATCTATAAGGCACAAGTATTCTTCACTAACCATGAGGCTTTCATATTCGATGCAGTCTATGGCATAACTGTTGATGCAAAAGCGTTTAAGTCAAAGGGAAAGCTGAAAACGACAATTGAGAAAGAGTTATTCGCCATTCCGTTTTTCGCCATTAAGATCCCAAAGATCATCACAATTGGACCACAGGCAGTTGTTAATGCCGCTGCAAGCATATATGTCGATTCTCATGCTGAGCTACGTGCTGGAGCTAGATTTTCAATCGCTGCAGGAGAAGTAATCTTGGATGCCATAGAGCCCAAAAGAAATAAAGCATCAGGCTTTCAACCAAGCCTCGAGCCAATATTTGAGCTCAGAAAAGGAAATGTCGTTGCGACTGCAGATCTAGCACTACCAGTTGGAGTCGAAGTGGCCCTGGATATCCTCGGCGGCACATGGAAGAAATCTGTTGGCGTGTATACAGCGCCCTCTGTGTACTTCACAGCAGGAATCTCCTCTGGTGAAGGGAATGCATGTGATAACGGAATCGAGATGCGAGTTGGGGCTAAAAACCGAGTCTATACTTCCGCGCTCGGTCTATGGGAATACGAGTTTAAGGAATTGGGGGTAACATTCTTTGAAACAGGTCTCGGCTGCCTCTCGTAAGTATAACTGACAGAAACATCTTAAGCAAAGAAATGTGCTAATGAGTTTAACAGAAGAAAAGGGTTTGATGCAGAGCAGGTACAGCCGACGACTCTGTTTAATAAGGTTGCGAGTACATTTGGTGGGGAGAGCAAACTTGCTTCTAACAAAACCATCGCGCTGGCCAAGCCAGAGCCAGTGATTTATAAGGACGAACATCTGTCAAAAACCAGCAAAGCCAACAGCAAAAAGCTAAGACGGTTGCCAAAAACGAGTGGCTTCCGCCTAATTCAAGATGCTAATCAAACAGCGACTCTAGTCGCTGGAAAGGATGGCCGAATTTACTTGGCCAGCAACTCGGCCCAGTACGATATCAGCGCACCCTGGGGCGGTCTGCAAGTTAATAAAAATGTCTTCAGCTACGACGTCTTCGGACGTCTCATCTGGTTCAATGCTAAATATCTCGAGGAAGCTTTTAAAGACGAAAAGCTCAAGAAAAAAAGAAACTACCAGGAATACGACACAGTACTCGACACAAACGGAAAGCCAAATTATATAAAGTATTTCACTCCCTGGTATCGCATGGTAGACCTGGGTGTCTCCGCAGCTCAGCATATGCCCAAAGGCGCTCAATCTGCGTAAGTTACACGTTACCCACGCATATACCCACCTTGGTAGTTGTCGATTCGGTTGGTGTTAACGTCTGGTTGCAGAACATTATCAGTCATCAAATCTGGTAGCATCGAAACATACGGCGTTTCATTCCATCATCCCGCCTCTAAAGATGAAAAATCTAAAGAATTCTGGTTTCCGACGGTTTGCAAAGTAAAAGGCGGACTTCGACTTTTCGCAACTCCCTATATAGTGGATGCGAAAGGGATCGCACACGATCGAGCCGATGCGAAAGACGTCAACCGATATTTGCAAAATGCTTACCGATCACAACGAGTGTATCATAGGGTCCTCAAATCTTCGAGCAGCATTAGAAAAGATGATCCAAAGTCCTGCGTTACCGTTAGGCTGACTTCAGACAAGAAAAGCACCGTGCCAGTTTGAAAGGTTGTTCTGTCTATGGTCTTCTACTGTTTCGAGTGTGATCCTGTGTACGATCCTGCCATGATATTCTTCCACTGGCGCGTGCTTCTTATTACAACTTTACGTTGAAGAATGAGACCACTTACCTTATATTGTAACCTTCTTTGGCAAATCAATTGCTTTTTGCTCTCGTTGATCCTCAGCAAGCCTCGAGAGCTGAATAACTTCTTCTCGGTTTTCAACGCATTGGGTATTAAATTTTAATTTAATATTGCGACTGGACGGACCTAGACTTCATCGCTCACTAGCATGGCCATGGAAATATTCCTGGCATCATGTAAGTTAACTGGTAACAGGTTGCGTATCATTGAAAACACTATTCTGTACTATGCAGAAATGAGGAATAAATAAATTCAAGTACCATAAGTTATACGTCTAGATCAAATACAGTTCCTGAGCCCATTTTTTAAAGAATGTCGTCCCTGATTACCTCCACATCGGCGTCGGATCGAGCCGCATCTGGCGAAATGAAAGGGGGCAGTGTAGCCGGGCTACCCTAGTTTAGGCCACATCACGAATCCCTATTCGAAGTGCATCAAACAACAACCTTGAACAATATGCATATAACCGGGATGTCCCGTCTTCTAGGCGTTTCCTTCTTTCCATAATAAGACTAGAGAGTTCAGAGGTAGCCCATGAATTGCTGTTGTTATCGGTCCATTTTGTGTGTTTAGGGCGTCAGAGATCGACCGTTCTGCGCGAAGTTTCTGAATCTTTGTCATAGCTTTACTGATGGCAGCTGCTCTCTGAGAAACTGAGGGCGATGGTGCATCCAGTTCGGCCATTCGAGGGTATGCTCCGAAGGTGAGAAGGGTGGGGACAAGACCATCGGGCCCAATACTATCATTTAAGGCTTTAAAAGCCATCTGGAGGGCCATATGTTTATCAATTCTCGATCCTAGCTCTGCGATAATGATTTGATAGACTCGCCGAAGTGGTCCATGATATCGTTCGACCATGCCGATTGAATTATGAGCTTTCACAGGAACAGCTTTTGTGGAGATCCCTAGGTTCTTGGCGTAATATTTGAACTCTCTGCTCACAAAATTTTTGCCCTGATCGTGTGTGATAACATCAGGCGGTCCTTGGTATGTGTCTATCCAGCATGAGCGGATGACATACCAGGTGTGTTTTGCAGAGATATTACCAAGCCATCGGCCAGCCTGGAATCTAGTGATTTTGCCGACGATGTGTAAGACTGGCTCTGTTTTTCCATTATTAGCCATGTACATGATGTCGACGATGATGTTATAATTAAATAGAACATCATCTTCATTTTGACGCTTGGAGCGGAAACGATCTGGCGATCTACCAGATTTCTGGCAGTGTTCACAGAGCCTAGGGATCTCTACAAAAGCTATCCCTGTAGAAGCTCACAATTCAATCGGTATGGTTGAACGGTATCATGGACCACTTCGGCGAGTCTATCAGATTATTATCGCAGAGCTAGGATCGAGAATTGATAAACATATGGCCCTCCAGATGGCTTTTAAAGCCTTAAATGATAGTATTGGGCCCGATGGTCTTGTCCCCACCCTTCTCACCTTCGGAGCATACCCTCGAATGGCCGAACTGGATGCACCATCGCCCTCAGTTTCTCAGAGAGCAGCTGCCATCAGTAAAGCTATGACAAAGATTCAGAAACTTCGCGCAGAACGGTCGATCTCTGACGCCCTAAACACACAAAATGGACCGATAACAACAGCAATTCATGGGCTACCTCTGAACTCTCTAGTCTTATTATGGAGAGAAGGAAACGCCCAGAAGAAGGGACAATGGACAGGACCATTTACACTACTCTCAGTAGAAGGAGAAACCTGCACCATCAGTTTACCTAGCGGCCCAACACCATTTAGAACAACAGTGGTAAAGCCATACCTAGACGCGCAGAGACACCCTGAATTCGCTCCAAAAAGTCAATTCTAGTATGTCATAGTGTCGTAGCTTTATCTAGTTATGTGCGAGAACCTTCCACGTGCATGCTTACTTCTTCAAATCTCTGAGTAGGTATTATCAAAATGCGCTTCGAGTCTAGCAACCACTTCTTCCGCTGCCTCAAAGGTACAACAATCACCACATATGATCCATATAGTCCACCCATTTCCACCAACCTCGAAAACATATACACGTCACTCAATGACTCTCTCTCTCATCTGTCTCATCTGATACAGTGTCCTCTGTTCTAGCGCCATCTCTTTCAGCGCTTTCTATAACAACGAGAACCCCTCAGATATGGAAGATTACTGAGAAGCTCTCAGAGAACGCGCAGCATCTGAATTATGAAGATATACAGGAAGGCCTTGGTTATTCCAGAGCTATCGGCAAGTTCCTATGCTACCTTGTTGATGACCCAACAAAGATAGGCTTCATGAGAATCTATTGTCAGATCCCCATCGAAGAAACTGATGAGGATAGTATAGAGCAACAAGCTATTCCTGCCCCCGTTTGTGCTGAGTTTGAAGTTCTTATGCGGCTCAGGTACTGTCCTGTTGCGCCTCAAATCCTTGGCCATGCTGTGGGTACACAACCAGAGAATGGCTTCGTTCCTCGTGGCTAGATAAGATACTTCGTCTGGGAAAAGGTCCCTAGTAATTCTCTATCACTAGATCAATTCTGGGGTTTTAGTCGCCAAGATCGCGATGTTATTCGGTCTCAGTTCTGTACAGCCTATCAGTGAGTTAAAATCCATCGACTGGTTATCAGGAACCTTGAAAGATAGGAAACATCGTATTGATATCTAAAATTGTTGTTCACTGGGCAAATATTAAATCGTGGGATGAAAACAGCGAGCTCTAGTATCTCCGCAATTATCTATGAGCCAGACACCAAGAACCTGTAAGGACAAACAAAGACCAAGCTTTCATACTAATAGCTTAACACACTGAACCCGAACTACCCTAACATGTTCCTTGTGCATATACTAACCTTCAGTTATAGTCACATCTCAGGGTTCAGACTTGCATGGCCAATAGCACAAAAGCCCGAATGGGATGACGCTTTCTTTGTTACATTTGGACTTGCTAAGCCAGGCTTAGAAAGGGATTGGCTCTATCATCCCGAATTATGGGTTCTGTGAGCTTGCTGAAACCTTGGAAACCTCCTTACAGAATTTCCTGTAGCTATTTTATCACCAGTCCGGCGTGATCCAGTGGATAACCGGCCTTATCTATAGGTGTTATGAGAATTGCTATTTGATGCTCAGTATAGAGATTCAAAAAATAGTACTATTTTCATTACAACCTTGGGGGGGGGGGGGGGGGGGGGGGGCTCAGTATAGTGAATTACCTACCTACGTTAGTACCCCAAGGCCTCGCATACACGGGTGAGTCCTATCTATATTCTGATTTTCCAATTATATCCTCGTAGACTAGGTTGCTTTAAGCCTGTTTCCAATATGATAACAATGTGTCTAAGTAGGAAAAGAAAGATGCTACTGTGTTCATGGGTTGGTAAGTTTAACTCTCACTCTCACTTAGGGCTTCTGAGGCTCTTCCAAGGTTTCCATAGTAGGTACTCACTGTCTAGGTGCCTTTATCCCATGAATATTTCCGCACATATACATATAACATCTACATACCCACCCGGGAACCTTGAAACTGCCCCTGGGCAGTCCCATTAGCCGATTAAAGTGTTCAAATTATACGATAGATATGAATTCATTCTATTTATCGCAAGAGTTTATCGTTTTGACTCGCTTTCAACAAACCAAACGATTCTTCCATGTTTCCGATCATGATCCTCAGGCTCCAAGTTCCAATAAAGGATATATCCTTTATTGGAACATGGATCCCAGTGTAGCCTCTGCGCCCGACTAAAGGAGGAAGTCAAATGAGGGGAGGAAGAAAGTCAGGGTCTAGGGAGAAGAAAGACGCAGGTATCATGATCAAAGAAGAGCTGAAGATGAAAAGTACGGAGTGGAAAGATCGGGTTACCTAATCGTCGATACCAGGGGTCAGATGACGTCTAGTTTACCCGTCGGATAAATTACGGTTAAATACCAGGATCCACAATGATGATGCGGGGAGATACTCGGTTGATTCCACAGCCTATATGATTGTTGATTTCTCTCTTCACTTCCCCTTTCTAAGTATTACTCTATACGAAATGTCTTCTACAACAGCTGAAGTAAGAAATTGTCTGATTTGAAACCGTTTCCCATTCCATCATTCCACCGTTCGAAAATTAAACCCCGCATAACACATGACAGCTAACGTAAACACTACCGTTACAGAACCTTTCCTTCGTCCTAGAGGGCATTCACAAGGTCAAGTTCGAAGACCGACCAATTCCTACTTTGAAAAATGCACACGATGTTCTGATTAATGTCAAGTACACCGGTATCTGCGGCAGCGATGTAAGTGAACCCGGTCATCTGCGGGAAAAGAAAAAGAAAACAGGGAATTGAAAAGAGTATCATATAGGTCCATTACTGGGAACATGGAGCTATCGGTGCTTTCGTCCTCAAAAGCCCCATGGTGCTAGGTCACGAGAGTGCAGGTATCGTTACACAGGTCGGTTCAGCCGTAACTACTCTAAAGGTCGGCGACCGCGTCGCCATGGAACCTGGTACTTCCTGTCGTCGGTGTGAGCCCTGCAAGAGCGGCAAGTACAATCTCTGCGAGCATATGGTCTTTGCTGCTACGCCACCGTACGATGGCACCCTAGCCAAATACTATACTCTCCCTGAAGACTTTTGCTACAAGCTCCCTGAGCAGATGTCGCTGCAGGAAGGTGCGCTGATGGAGCCACTCAGCGTGGGAGTCCACATTGTGCGCCAGGCACAAGTAGCTCCCGGCCAGACAGTGGTCGTGTTCGGTGCGGGACCAGTGGGCTTACTCTGCTGTGCCGTAGCCACAGCCTTTGGGGCTTCCAAGGTCATTGCAGTCGATATTCAGCAGGCACGTCTGGATTTCGCGAAGGAGTACGCTACTACTTCTACCTTTATTCCCGGCAAGGGGTCTGCCTTGGAGAATGCTGAGAGACTCAAGGTGGAGAATGGCCTGGGTGCTGGGGCCGATGTTGCTATTGATGCGTCGGGCGCAGAGGCTTCTGTGCACACAGGTATTCATGTTCTGCGTAATGGTGGTACCTATGTGCAGGGTGGCATGGGACGTAGCGAGATTCAGTTCCCTATAATGGCTGCCTGTTCTAAAGAGTTGACCCTTCGGGGAAGCTTCCGCTATGGCAGCGGGGACTACAAGTTAGCGGTTGACCTGGTTTCATCGGGCAAGGTGGACGTGAAGAAACTGATCACGGGCACAGTCAAGTTTGAGGAAGCGGAGGAGGCGTTCAAGTCAGTTAAGGCTGGAAAGGGCATCAAGACCTTGATTGCTGGAATTGATGTGTGAGAGAAAGTCTGGGCAGGCCATGCTGTTCATTACTTGGTTGATCTTTGATCTCGGAATGAAGACAAAGACATTTTGTTTAAAATCACGAAAATTTGTAATAGGTATTGGAGTCGACGAAGACGAAAAAAAGGATTGCGATTGACATATGTACTGTAATTCGCCAGAATAAAAAGCCACATCACTCGATTCAAGGAGAAAACCCCCTTGGGAATGATATTGCCTCTGTAAAATCATAAATGAACGGTGAAGGGGGGGTATCGTGCAGGGCTCGAACGAAAGATACTATCGAAAAAAGAAAATCTAAGGTAGAAGTAGGTGATGCAGACGACAAGAGCTTGGAGTTTCAACAACAACCTTGGTTTCTCCGTGATGGACCATCCAGTCGAAACACATCTTCCCATTCTCTCATGCCGCCCTTCCAGCCTTGGGATGCGCCACCTCTACGTCGTCGCGAACGATGAAGGGGTACGTCGTTATCGCCCAAGGTTGTTCGGCTATGAATGCTCGAGGTATCGCTGGTACCATGACCATAGAGACCACCATCTCCGTATTGGATACCGCTCTGGGGATCATCCGGGTCGATCTCTCCAAGCTCAATCTTGGTAAGAATAATGCGAGCGAGTCGGTGAAATACCTCTTCGACACCTTCGCCTGTCAGGGCCGAGATTTCCACCGCGACCGGTATATTGGATTGCGCCGCCCAGCGCGAGCTCATTTCTCGGCTGATTTCCCGACCCTCGGCATATGTGGCTGTCTGTCGCGTCCCCGGGCCCAAATAGTGACCCGAGCGCACGGAAGCACTAGCATCGAAAGGTAATGAAGATTGTTTACTCGAAGTACTGGACGGGGTAGGTGGGGCACGCAGGAAATCATCGGCGCTGTCGGGTGATTCGTCGGTCAAATCTGCCTTGTTTCCTGCGAGCATGACAGTCAGATTTGGGGATGCTAGCGCCCGCGCATCCATGAGAAAGGTCGGGAGGGCGGCGAAGGATGGATAGGAGGCGACATCGTAGATTAAAATAGCGCCAGCTGCACCCCGGTAGTAGGATCGCGATACGGATCGGAAGCGTTCAGTGCCCGCAGTATCCCAGAGCTGGAGTTTGATGCGTCTGCGTCTAGACCCAGTGCCTAGCTTGACGATTCGAGATGAAAACTCCACTCCGATAGTTTGTGATGACAACACTCGCCCTGTAACAACCCGATCTGGTTAGCAGACTCTAAGAGGTGGGTGGAAAGGCTGGTTGTACATTCGTCTCTCACAAATCGGTGTAACACACAGGATCTGGATAGAGAATTTGTTAGTAACGAACTATGGCTAGAAGATTCATGTGGAATTCATCACTTACTTTCCTGCGCCACTAGGGCCTAGTAGGATCACCTTGGCCAGGTAATCGTACATGCTCCCCAGTTCCTAGCGGTGTGGTCAGCACGTGCGAAGCGGGGTTCAGGGGGAAGAAACAACAAGTCAAACATACCTGGTCTTGATCAGGCACTGAGGACACATCAGTAGCATTAGAAAGGCCCCTAGAACGCCCCATGGTGCCAGAGGGTTGAAGTACGAGAAACTATGTTAAGGGGAGAAGTTACCCTTCTAGATAACCCGTGACCCGACAATCAGCGGTCTATGAAACAGAACAGAAACGCTACAAACTAGTTAAATAATAAGATTTACTAGTAAGATTTATAGAAAATTAAATTCCAGATCATAAAAAGATGAGCAAAGGGTTAATTGTCCAAGGAAATGAGACTTTGACATTCAAAATAGTATAAGGCCTAGTTTGTTGATTGAATGAGGGTTAGTTAAGGCGCAGCAACGGATTAACCGTGCATGGTGGAGTGCATCAAGACATCAGTAAAAGACGGGACGACCCAAAACCCAAAGTGCGGCTCGGTGGCGGTGTTTTGAGCCTCTTTTCAGGGTCTTTCCTATCCATTGTTCACTTTTCACTTCCTTTTCATTCTACTGAAATCCAATATCTTCACTCTTAATATTGATTCTTGACAACTCGACATAATGAGACCATCAGCGATTATGGCTTTGCTCTTGATCTGGTCTACTGACGTCACTTCTCTGCCGACAGAAGTCCAGACCATCCAGACCAATATCGATCTCATCAAGCGATACTCTTCTTCTGATTCTCAGTATCCAGACCTCGAGAAACGACGTGGTGGTGGTGGCGGTGGTCGTGGAAGTTCCAGCAGCAGTGGAGGTAGCAGTGGAGGACGTTCCGGTAGCTCTTCTGGAAGCTCTTCTGGATCGAGTGGCTCAAGTCGAGGTGGCTCAAGTGGCAGCTCTTCCAGTAGCTCTTCCGGATCCAGTGGTTCAAGTCGAGGTGGCTCAAGTGGATCATCATCCGGCAGCGTCTCTACACCCAAGTACGGTGGTGGAAGGTATGAAGACAATTATCTCGGCTACACCAACCCCAGTTCCAGGAATGGAATTTCTGGTGGTGTAAAAGCCGACAGATACTCCGTTAGTCAATCAATTTCTCACCCTGGCAGCAGATATTATGCAGGCGGTTCCACAAGCTCCTACAGATCAGGATTGAAATCACCTCTCGGCCTCACTCCTTTCTTACTTCCAGTCGTAGCACTTGGTTTCTTCCCCGGCCTGTGGCTTTACTCGGCCTATGCATATCCCTATAATCATCCTTATTACTATTACAACGATGCTACACAAAAGAACGAATCATACCCGGTGACTTGTCTGTGCGAAGAGTATCAGGAGTGCAGTTGTGACGACAACAACAACAGCACATACTACGACTCTCTCTTCAACGGCACTAGGCCCCAAAACACAAGCAATGTGCGCGTGGTCCACGTGAATGGCACCGAGAATATCTATATCAACGGAACTTTGGACAATACCACTGACACATCGAAGTCAACTTCATCCGGAGTACAGTCGCTTTTGTTGAATGCTAGTGGATACTGGCTGACTGTGTTTGTGGTTTGTGTTGCTGTGTGGGGACTTTAAGACTCCACTGGCCCCCAGGAGATGCTTTTTGCTGACGCGTATATGGCCATATTTCTTTCTTATGGGATGGCTGTCTGAATTTCTTATACTCCAATCGCTTTTGTAAACTAGTCTGTTAATGCCAATAATATGAAATGACGAGATGAGAATCCTTAATGATATATTCCCAGGTTCCTTACTACCTGCAGCAGCACATGCAGCACCTGAGATTACATGCTGAGATTACATGCAGGAACGTGACGATCCTTGTTTTGAACGCTAGTATCGAATGGGTAAAGTGTTTCATTTGTGCAATTTCCCCCTAACTAAAAAGAGGCACTTCCTCCCTTTCTGTTCTTCCATTCTTTCCCTTCTTCATCTCTCCTGTCTTCCCTTGAAGCAGCGTCATTCATTTGATCCAAACTACCCAGACACGGGCTGTCGCATTCTTTTCTCAGCCCCATTCACTCTTTTTTCCTCCAAATCCATACCCCGGAATCTACCCCACAAATCGCAAAAGTATAACTATCAATTCAATCACATCCAGCATGTTCTTCTCAAAGGCTCTTGTTCTCTTGATCGCGCCTGTGGCACTCGCCGCCGAGGCTGCCCTCACTACCGTCACAGTGACTCTGGTCCCCTCCGGTTACACAACTGCTCCCAGCTCAACCGTGACTCCCAGCTCAACCGCGACTCCCTCGTCGTCCTGGGTTCCCATGAGCTCCCCACACGCGAGCTCGTCTGTTTCAAGCTCTTCTGTTTCAAGCTCGTCTGTTTCAAGCTCTTCTTTCGCAAGCTCGTCTGTTCCAAGCTCGTCTTTCCCGATCTCATCTCTCCCGAGCTCATCTTTCGCCGTCGCCCCAAGTGTGACATCGAATCCTCTTGACAGCACTACGGCCTCTACCTCGGTCTCAACCAGCCCCGCAGCAGTCTTCACCGGAGCAGGCGCATCGAACCAGTTCCCAGCCGCAGTCGCAGCAGGTGCAATGGCAATTGCCGGCTTCATACTGATCTAAGTCTTTGAATTGCATTCAATCAGTGTCTGATTTACGCGCGCGGATCTTGAAGATCCCTGTCAGCCACCGCGCTGTACCACCAAAACCATCATCTAGCATGATGACTTTCAATTCCCATTTTCGCGGTCCAGGACTTTTTTTTCTTTCTTCTTTCTTGTCCTGTGTCTGTTTATTTTCTTCTTCTCGCATATTGTTAACATGCCCCCTTTCGTTATGATGGTTTTTTTGTTGATGATGCCGACTGATGCCAATACCCCTTTGCTCTTCTTCAATATCCATTCTCACCTTGTCTCATCGAGGCCATTTTCTTTCTCAATCGTCACAGAATTATTTCTTGTTGAACGTCGTCAGACCTATTCAGCGTTGTGATCTTGACGAATTCCGGACCTAATATACTCTTTTTGAACTCGGCTTTTGTTTTTCTCAGCCGAGTCTTAGATTTCATGTTTTCTCCTGTTTAGAGAGTAAAATGAGACAATCATTAGAACACTAGTCACCATGGCAATATTCCCCGTACTTGTATCTTTATTTACATTTAAGATTAAGCTTGGCATATTAATGTGGGGCTTTAACGGTCGAACGCCTGCCTTCTGGGAAAACAATTCAACATATCAACCACTGAACATGACACATCACGTGTGTTTGAAAGACGCTTTATACAGAGGAGAGAAACTAATAGTAATCCTATCTACGGATGGTAAAGAGAAAATAACTATATCATACAGAAAGCATTCGCCATTGCCGCTTTTTTCTTACTCGTCGCTCTTGTGGGTTGTAGCCTCGTATCTAAACCAAAGTCAGCAAGTCTTCGAAATTCCAAGAAATAAGATGGGGACAAAACATACCTCTTGCCTCGGAATCCCCACAATCCCCAGTTTCCACACGAAACATCATGTGGGTCAAGGTCATTCAGATCCCAGCGCAGACTACGGAAGATATTCTCACCAGGCTCGAGGAGGATATCAAATTCGCCAGCACACTTCTCATTAACCCAGTTGATATCACGCTCCATGTCCCACTGCGTGTATCCAGTGCAAAGAATGGGGATCTTGGTCTCCAGGAGCTGGGGGAGAGTTTCTTGCCACTCGTGCGAGCTGGCCGGATGACCCAGTCCCGGGTGGAAAAGCATGAAACAGTCCAGGTAAGGGTCGAAGGGCCCGAAGTAGTTTGCCTTGTACATGGTGTGGAAGTATTCGACGTACGTGGTGATCTTCATTTGACCACCCAGACGATCCTCGGTGATACCGCCGAAGGGGTTCTCCGGTGTGCGCTCGGGCAGTGGGAACTCGCTGTCGCGATTGGACATGCTCTCTGGACCGATGAAAATCAGGTGCAGCAGTGATCGGGGGAACATGTACTGGAGTTGGAGCCAGACATCGCGGGGCAGCGAGGATTCGGCGCGAGCGCCCAGCATGAAGATCCGGACTGGTGGTGCCTTTACACGCAAGCCTTTAATGTCGATGTCTTCACCGGCTTTTGGGGGGTGGAGGGAGTACCGGAGCGCTTAAATAATTCAAGTCAGCGTGAATTCGTCACCGTACCTGTACAAAATGCCACGTACCGCTGAAACTCTTCAATCCCTCGGGCGTCAATCGGTTCTTGCCATGGATGTTGTAAGGGCTGAGTTCGTGCAGCACACTAGTAATAGTCTGCGGGTAGGTGAGCATGCGGGTAACCTGGCGCATGGAACGATCGGAGTTGATAGCTTCAAACTCGCGAGTGTACATGAAAGTATCCCAATTAGTCATGTTGACAATAAAGCTCTCATCCTGCACTCCAGGATAGGAGAATTCATTGAAGAAGCGGCCAGAGTTTAAGTCGTGGTCATCCTCGTTGATCTGGCGTACTGTCTCACAAACCTCAAGATGGGCTTCGAAGTCATCCATCCAGTGGCCCTCGGAACAGTAGATCGGCACGCCGCAGTCCGGGCATTCAAAATGCGAATGGGATGGGGGCAGGTTGGAGAGATCAGGAGACTTTCGCGCTTCGGGGTCATGCGGTGAGACAGGCGCGCGCGTCTGCTGGTGACTGGGATGCGGACAGAAAGCATTCGCCTTGATGAACTCGGCACGTTTCCGAATTACAGGCGAGGGCGACCTCGAGAACGAGTGGAACAGGTCGTTGGGTTTTAAGACAGAGTTCCTATCGACAACATGCTCGGTCGTTGTGGAGGCGGACCTCTGGGCGGACAATGTCGCATTGGATTGACTGGGGTTGGGAGCATGCTTGCTGGTGCATTTACCCTCCGAGCTTGCACCTAGTGAGCGGTTGTTGCGGATCGAGCCAAAGCTTCGAGTCCACGGCGAGATGGCATGTTTCGGTTGTGAATAAGCCAGGCGTTGGAGGCGAGCAGGATAATTGGATGCCCGGGTACCTTTCCGGAGCACCTGGAGGCACTGAACACAGGTATAATTACCTACCATTGTGAGCTCGGTGATGGAGAAATGTAAGACGTTGATCTAGCCATTTTTCCCATGAGGTACCGTGCACGTGATTTGGGTGGACGCATCTGACCATCAAAACAGCTCAATTAGATACCTACATCTACCTAGGTACAGATTGATCGACCAGTGATTACCAATTGGTTCAAAGGCTATTGGACGACTGTCAACATTGTAAGTCTCATCATCCAGCATTAATGATGGCTTGATTTTAAGTATCTCTGCTCTACATATGTTAAGGCTCAACAATTTCCAGGGTTTGGACCTATCAACTTGGACATGAATGTACACAAATACAGGTGCTACGCGGCAATGAGATCTGCGTGCAAGTACAATATAAAGCTCAAAATTTATCGTGGATTCATGAAAACTGCATAAATACTGGTCAAAGACCAGAGATTAACTCCTTAACCCTTGGAGTGAAGATCTATCACTCAGAAAATATCCTGCGAGATGCTCCAGTCCTGAGCATCTCTGCTCGCCCAGTATTTCCCATTATGAGACCAGAATTCCTCTCCGGTGATAGGGCATCTGGCACGGGTAAAAAATTGCGGCTGATAGGTCTCGCCGTTTGCTTCGCGCTCCTTCCGTACAGCGCGCTGCTTCTCCTCTACACGGTGCTTTTCATCCGCAGCCAAGTCGTATTCTCCGTCTTCCATGGCACGCTGGTCAGGACGCAGTCGGGTGTCAGTGGGAGGCAGCCAGTCCTTGAGGCCCTCGGGGAGGGCGTTGAGGGTAATGACGAATGGGGTCAGGTTAAAGGGTATGCCTGTGGGGCGGGCGTTGGCTTGCCATACGAGGAAGGTCTTCGCTGACTCGGGGTCTTGGCCTGAGACTGGCGCTTCGAAACCAGGGGTGTGACGAGCGTAGATCTTGTCGTTCCAACGACCACCCATACTCCACTTGGGGGAACCTTCGGCATCAACCACTTTGCCAGTGACATGGTAGGCGGACGACGCTTTCCATCCACGAGGCTTGAACTCGAGATAACACACTTCCCCGGTGGTCCAGTTCTTAATTTCCATTAAGCCGTAGTTGTCCACGGTTGGGTTTCCGGTGATGATTCCGATGACAGAAGAGGTGACTTTCTTCCAAGTGTACAGCTCCTCGCCTCCAGTGCATGGACGCAGCTTTAGAAACCAGGTTCCCAGAAGGTTGATGTCAAAGGATTTGCCATAGAACTTAGATTTGAGGGATGATTCGCCCCAGTAATCCCATTTAGGCGACTCTGCCCATGCAGCACCAATTGGAGGATGGTGGCTGACCTGCTCGACGAAGAATCGATAGCCTTTGTCAGGCCGTACGTACTCAAAGGTCTCACCAAGAAGAGGGTTGAATGGTTTGGCCACACGGCCAATAGTCGAAGCATATTCACTTGCAGCGTATGAGGCAACGTAGACCAGACGCTCCATCGAATCTGCACGGTCGGCAGCGATATCAAGTAGGTCAGTATACTCCAAATCTTCAGCCACACGCTGCAGCAAGGAGGTAGGCTCGTTGAAAGAGACGGGCAAAGTCATCTTTGTCATGTCTTTGCCAATCATGGATTTCAAGATACCCCACAGAGATATCTTGGGCCGGTCGTCGGCATCCATCTTCAGTCTTTCTCGCACAGGTTCTTCATATCCCTTGAAAGAGGGCTTGATTAAGGCGAGCTTATCGGCTCGTGCCTGGGAGCTTTCATCCTCTGGCTCCTCGACTGCTTTAGTCTCGTTCGCTTGGCTGAAATCCTCCACTTCGATCTCCCCAGCATCTATAGCATCGAAGAATTCATCTCCGTCAGACTCAGAGTCATACAGGTTGCGAGAAAGGATAGAGGGATTACGACTGAGAGCAGGCTTGGCCGTGAGCTCGTTAGGGAGATCCGTATTCGCCAAAGGCTCCTCCTCGGCTTCAACCTCAGCCGAGCTTGTTTCCGCGATATTTGTCGCCGTTGGGACACGAGAAGGAGGTCCAGGAATAGAGCGGTTGCTAGCGTTTACGCTCTCCAGCGCTTCCCTTAGAGCGCGCTTGGTTCGCTTCCGCTTCTCCTCAGATTCACCCATCTTGCCCTGAAGTTCCTCATGTTCTTGAGCGACGCGGGCCATGCTCTCTTCCCACATCTGACGCATTTGCTCTTCTCGGTTCAACCGATGCTGCCAGTAAGTATCACGGTCTCGTGAGATCTTGATAAGATTCTGTACCAATCCTCTGAGACTGCCGACAGCACAATCATAAGCACCGAGGGCTTGCTCCACTGTCGGATCTGCGAGTGTGATATCTGTATTGTTGGATTTCTGCGACTGTAGCGAAGCAGAAATACTTGCAAGGAGATCGAGTTGAAGTTTTGCAGACTGAGCGGTGATGCTTAGCGCATCCTTATCATTGGTGGGCATCTCGACGCTTGAACCAAAGTCGTTGTACTCATCATCATCACCGTCCATATCTGGTCCGGTGATGTGACTGCTCGCTCGACTGACTCGTCTCACATGCTCGTTCGCAGCAGGACTCTGGTCGAGTGAATCAACAGCCGAGCTTTCTTCACCGAGCGTGGTTTCCAGCGTAGTGCGAGATGTACGCGAACTGAGCCTAGTAATACCGCTCCCAGGCACACTTAGAGAAGCGGGGGCGAGACCTTTGGAGCTACCGGGTTTGAGGCTGAGACCAGATTCAGAGGGTGCCTCTCCAGTGGTCTGGTCCATCTTGGCCTGGCGAAGGGCCTCTGCATTCTTCGATCGCTGTCGCTCCTCTTCTTTTGCTTCATCCTTGGCCCATTGAATGGCATTATTCAGAGACCAAAACCAGCGCTTAGCTTCCACGACGTGATTTGCCTTCAAGTGATACTTGACCGAAGACTTGCCATGAATCTCAAACCTGGTCTTATCCTGTGCATCCATATTAAGTCTAGCAATCTTCATGTTGATTGCACCACGGCAAGCGGAGCCCGCATCATCTGCCACGGAAAGATTAGGCAAAGCACTAAAATGTACTGAAAACTTATAAGAAACAAACCTTGGTGCTTATAGTAGCTCAAAACGCCATCTTCCAGCACGAACCACCGCAACTTAAAACCTGTTGTGTAGTTGGTCCATTTTTTAAGATAACCACGTAGTTCACGCGAATCTTTACCAGCCAGAGGAGTCTCGCTGATGGGAGCACGGCCAGCCAGGCCTTGCGCGGCGTTATTTCCAAGAATAGCTTTCTCCTGGATACCCTGCTGGGCAATAGCAGCGGCTGGGGATTTTTTCAGAAGTGCTCGGGTCCTATCATCTTTGGTAGTATCCTGAGGCAGTTTCCCCTTTCTATCGCGACGGAAAGGATCCGCGCCATGGGTCAAAAGAATCTGAATCAACCGCCCATCTCTATTGCGTGCCCCCTCGTGTAGTAAAGTTCCGCCAGACTGTACTGTTACTGGATCAGCGACCAGCTCCTGGCTGTTCACATCTAGGATACCCTCGACGCGCGGTTCCTCCAGTAACTTTTCCAGCTCATCATATTCTCTCCGGGCAATCAACGTCTTGATCTCCTGGGTTTTGGTATCGATGAAGATCGACCGCGCTAGCTGAAGCTGCTGGAAGACCTCGGGAGTGCGCGCGACATCGAGGGCCGTTTGACCGCGGTAGTTCACAATGGAATCGTTGACCGAGGGGCGGTTCAGCATTTCACGGATCAGCGTGACTCGTCCAAGCTGGGCTGCCAGATGCAGCGGGGTATTGCCCTCACGATCCTGCGAGTTTAATTGTGCATCGTCTCCAGAGGACAGTACGAACTCCACTACCTGGGGCTCGGCACACTGCAAGGCCAGATGCAAGATAGAAGTTCCATAAAAGCTGTTCCCCACGTCATCCTTAGTTTCTTTGATTGCCTTCGAAATTGCCGTTGTATCACCGCTGCGAAGGATTCCGAACAAGCGGAAAGTCCGGACAGACTGGTCGAGGGACAAGCTGCCGCCCTCTGTTTGGATCATCGATGGCACTCGCTCCAACTCGTCGTTGAAGCTCTGGTTGGTTGGAATTTGTTCTAGGGCCGGCTCGGGAACAGAGTTCAAGTCCGGAGGAGGTTTCCTGCGACTGAGGCTGCCGAAGCTGCGGTGGGAGATAGAGGGAGAGGCATGCGAAGGGCGGAGACTGTTGTCGTCTTCGTTATCGTTGTCGTCGCTCTTAGATTTGTCGCGGGTCAAGAGGGAAAGTGCGATCGCACTGCGAGACCGCCTATGTCTAAAGAGGTAGAGAGACACGTCAGTCGGGTCACATGGGAAGTTTTGTCCACCATTCATAGTGAATCAATCGCATTGGACAGGGTATAAATTCCCCCACATGGCTGCTTAGCCTGTCGCAGAAAGCAACGCAATAAATCAATTTATATAAGTAGAGAAACATACCCTTCAGGTTTGTCGGACATAATCAGCCAAATCAGGTACGAAATCAAAAGTGGTGTAAAGGAGAAAAGTAGTCGCAGGTACGGATACCTACGTATAGGAAAACAGGAGGCAACTTTCCTTGTTCAGGGTGTATGACGCTGATCCCGTGCCCCCAGATTCTCCAATTTAACCAATTCAGTCTAGACTCTTTACCAGCATTGGTATGTTTTCTTTTTTGCTATTTTTATATATATATTTATATATTCAACTATTCTTACATGTACTTATCTATTTTATAATTATCTTGTCTCTCCACTAACCAAAATAACAACACTACCTAGTTGACGCCTCAAATCCTCCTTGTTGACATCATGAGTATCCTCAACCTCTCCCCACATATCAGTCTGCCACTTCACTTCCAAGTTTGAAGCCTCAGTCGCTTCTTCCAAGCCAAAACTCTTAGCCCCGGGCCGCTGCAGGTGGCGGAAATTCTCACTCCACTCCACCAGCAAACGGACGGCAATAAGAAGACTTTTCGAAGCCAGGATACCACGCTCGAGGCCAGCAAGGTCGTGAGGATTCAATTCGGAGACCCAATTGCGAATGCTATCTTGGGTGGTCTGCGGCTGGGCAACGGGAAGAATGCTCTGCGAGTCAAGGATGGGCTTGATCTCGAGACCGGGCCATACCTTTGTAGACAAGAAGCCCATAATATCATTCGCAGTCCGAACTTGAATATCACGTAGACTATCAACCTTCTCCCCCTTGCTGTTGAAGGCCTCGCGCTCTGGTTCCCAGCAAAGCAGAGTATCAGTTTCAAGATACCGCATGGCGGTCTTGATGATCTGCCCGCGGGCGGCGTCCACACCCTCGGCATCTTCACGGGCGATGTCGGTGGCGCGTGCTGCGGTGGAAGTCAATGGAATAAGGTGGCTCTTCAGGGCTTGTTGGGCGGATGTCATGACGTCCCATTCGAGAGCGATTGCATGGGCCAGGTGAGGTTTGGTGGCAGGGATGGAGAGAATTTCCTTGGACGGTGTTCGTACCGGTCGCTTGTCAAGTAGCACCTGGTATTCACCTAAATTGACACTTGTGAGTCTATGCTCAATTGAGAAGTAGCCAAATCCCACACATACTTGAAGTTCCATGAACATGGACATCTTTCCAGAATCTCTTTTTCAGCACAGTAGGCTTCGTAAGTTTCGAGGGCGATTGATCTTCTGAAACAGCTGCATCCTTTGGCGGTACCGGGACTTTCGGCGGAGGACCATGTGATGTAATAGGATGCGCAATGGCCGCCCTTAAGGGAGAAGAGTGTAAGTGGCGAAAAGGAGCATGTCGTACAATGGAGGAAAACCGCGGAATGCGTGCAAAAGATGCCATGTTTGGTGGTTTAAAGAAGAAAGCCTAATTAGTCGGAGGAACTTTTCTAACTAATCGGCCCGACTCCGCATTGCTTACTATCCGGTTCCCGCAGTATAAAACCTAACTACGTACTACAATCACTACCATCTCTTTTGTTCCTTTTGACCATACTTGGCACTCTCGTACTGTGAAAAGAGTGACTTTAAATGGAAGTATGAGCTCAACAGCCACCGGCAGACTTCGATCTACCACTTCAATACAAAAAAAATATAGTGGATTTAAGTACCTTTAACGCGAGATGCCGAGCCAGAGTAAATCGAATCAATACACAGACGTAAATAATTCCAGAAATTTGGCAGGCTGGTCCAATTCTGATCATTGCTTCTGGATGATGGTTTGAATGAAGTGATTTTGACCCGAGACCCGGAACAGCTGAACTTATCAAGCTGTATCGACAACCGGAAGACACCAATCGGACATTGATTCACATCTGGTTCATCTGCGTGATAACAACAGCAAATGTCATCATTATACCCTTTAATCTCGGAACGCGGAGACCGGGACCGGACCGGGACGATCACTGGAATGAATCTCTATTTCAATGCTAAACCCCCTTATGTACTCCGTATTTAGGTATCTAGGTATCTAGGTATCTAGGTCAGTAAAGATATAAATAAGAAAGGCCATTGGAAGCAAGTTGCCAGCCCAACTACATAGGTACGTTCCTATCAGTTCCAATATAAGCTCGGAAACTTAAACTAGCCATATTCATTGACATGCTTCGCCTATTCCAGATCGGGAAACAGTACCTCAGCGAGGTAGGTATTTTTGTCTTGATGCTCATAGGAGTCAGTGTGACACATCCCAGTCAAGTTCCAAGCTTTGAACAATCTTGGAATTTGCCCAGGATGGCTCTGAGCCTAAAGAAAAACTCTCGACTAGAACTCTCTCATGGATTGCTTTCAAGTTCCTGCAGCAGTCTGTTTTCATTATGAATTATCAATATGACTATCAGATAAAACCTCCCATTTTGCATCTAACAAAAAAACAAAAAAACAAGAATCAAGAAAATCGACAAAAATGCTGATAGCAGCAAAGAATCCAGGGGAATCAAAAGCTAGCTTGGACGAGAATAAGAGAAAAATCACGAAATCCCGCCATACTTTTTATAATTTACAGGAGCGCAAAGATATCACTCCAGTGTTGATTGGTATTTTTGACCAATCAATTTGCGAGGAAGGAAGATAGAAAAGAAAATATCTGAATCACCAGGGCCGACTTGATACCACATGAGCCTTCCAAGGTTCTGAGATCTCACAAGCTGAACTTGTGCAGACACCAGATTCTTGCTCTGGTCTGGATTCTGGATTCTGGGGCCTGGAGCCTGGATCGACTCATCTGATATGGATGGTCGAAATCAACACACCTTCCAGATTGGGATGGGGAAGGGGATGGAAAAAGGAAGAAAAATGAAAAAGATATCAAAGGCGCTGGACGCATCTAGAATCAGGACTGAAGTCCCCTCCAATAGAAGCACATTCAAGACTCGGTCACGATCGAAACAATTGTCGTCACGGCATTTCATCGTAAGACTGAGGGTCCAGAGCGGGAATAAGACCCATGCATGCTGAACCCGACTAGGGGTGAGGAATGAGATGTGTGTGTGTACTCTGGAGTCTGCACTCTGTGTACATTTTCAATCCTATCGTAAAATAGAACTATAGTTCCCAGAGTAGCTGGGTAGATAGGAACGCTTGCTTCGATCGGCATCGGAGCGTTTCTTCATTCGTTCCATATCAAAGTCATCAGCGCCATCACGTGATCCCCAAGTAGTCTAAGGACGAAGGTTAGAGGTAAGAAAAAAGAAGTAGCGAATATAGTAGGATGAAAAGACGGGTCAAAATACGAGGTTGGACGGAGGAAAGGAAGTGGAGAAAAAGGGCAGCTGCACGAAAGAAGTCAAAGCGTCCAGTGATCAATAAGAAGCACCCCACCCAAGACGCTAAGAGGAAAAAAAAAAACGAAACTTACCACATTGAGTGTCATCACGGCATACATTTTGATTGCGCCGTGGAAATAACCAAATACAATCGACACTGGTATCAGGAACACATCCACTGGGTATCGAATATAATGACCGAGCAACTTGATCCATTTACTAATGAACATCCACAGATACAGGAAGGTCATGGCCCGGCCATGTAAGACATCGCCCCATGGAATAGTTGCCCGGTAGCACAGCCATACTAGCAGCAAATCCCCCAAAAGAGCTGGAGGCGACAAAGTTGTCATGTGCACAGCATACGCACTCCATGGCTGTCGACTAGAGAAGAGTGTTAGTAATGCAAAGGTACCATGTCACAGCGCCATTCTCCCTTTAGCTTTCGGTTTACCACGGTCATTGACGACGGAAAGAGATCATGGTCCAATTGGAATGGTCACCTTGCAAAAAGGAAGATAGAAGGAGAAGGAGAACGAAAAAAAGAAAAGAAAAAAAGGGGAGGGTTTCACTTACTACCAGATATGCATCTCGTCACACATACTCGTCAGATTACTCCGCCAGTTGCTTCTAGACCAACGGGCGCATTGCTTCAGGAATCGGGGATTTGTCTCGAGCGTGGTAAGCACCTCAGCCTCGGGGTGGTACTGCATGTAAGTCTCCCAACCATGCGACACCATCCATCGAGTAATGAAGTTGTCGTCATCCACATTGAGCTGGTATTTCCCCCACCACCAACCCTCATTTGTAAAGGCGTAGGTGAAGCCCTCGTCCTGAAGGATCTTGGTTCGGTATGCCACCGTCCGGCCAGACATGCAAGGCAATCCTCCATCCACGTTTGTCGTGGCCCCGCAGTCGAAATTGCGTCGTTCCAGGTAAAGAGCTCCCAGGAAGCCCCAGATACGTTGTGAGAAGGTAGGAGCCACGGCACGACGCAGCCGCTGGCAGGTAACCACACCTCCGTATCGCTCGTCCTTCTCGAAGGGGGCCAAGACCCACGGAAGTACAGTTGAAGGCCAGCTCACGTCGTCATCAGCGAGGAGGGTGATGGCCGTAGTCACCTCTGGGATGGCTCTCGTCATTTGGCGTCTTTTATTCGGATGCGTGACTGTGAACAGTCTGACCCTTGACTTTGACGCTGGCATTGCGCTGAGCATCTCCTCTGCCCTCGTTCGATTAGCCTCGATTGTCACTAGGAGGATCTCGAATGGTCTATTTGCGAGAATCGACCGAACAGTCTCAACCAATTCCTCTCCACAGCCTTCCAGCGTGGGAATGATGACCGTGACATCTTGAGAGGTCAGCTTTGGATTTTCTGGTGGTGGAATTGGTTTAAATGACCAAAAGGAGACCAGATTAACCACGAGACGGAGGTAACGATAGCAACTAGACATGTCAGTCAAGGTTTGCATGATTCACTAAGTAATGGCATATCACTCACAACAGGGCGATGAATGCTCGCAAGAAGGGAAATGACATGGTAGCGTTCCAATTCCTTTGTAGTCCTCCTTTGTAGTCCTCCTTTGTAGTCCTCCTTTGTAGTCCTCCTTTGTAGTCCACCTGTATGTATATCTCAACTGATGTCCAGGTTTAGTTCCAATCCCTGAATTATTGTTTCTGATCTCGGGGAAAGAATTTCCTTACCTGATGACCTATATAAGGTTCTGTGACCCAATTGAATGGGGATTATCCCGGAATTGATTTATATGTATTTTTTCAAAAGGGTAGTAGGGATGGGCTGGCAGTAGAAGTATAAAGCCACAGAAACGAAAGTAAACGATATTCAGCGAATGTCGTAAGCCTCCACACCAGCCCGAGGGAAAGAGGGAGAGAGAAATAGAAGAAGCAGAACGACAATAATAATTCAAAATCGAAGAAAGGGGATTGAAGGTCTTAAGAAGAATATTATTTGCTAAGTAAGAAAAAAAAAGATAAAAGTAAATAAAACGCCCTTATTCGTTTTGAGTGTGCTGCAGGTGTAGTTTTGCCTCGTGCGTCAGAGACCCTGGATCTAGATGGAGACAATTGAAGAGTGGAGAGAATGATTATCCATGCCAAGTGACATGAGTGGAGAAGTATAATACAGTATCTATTACCTACATAGTAGGTATATTATAATATATGCGCTGTTCATTTGTTTCCACAATCTATCTCTTCATACCTAACAAGATAGTATCAAGGTGCCTCCCTGTACAAACTGGTACCTAGGTGCTATTTATGAATTCCATCTCATTCCTTGTCTTACACTTTTCTTACTTTTCTTACTTTTCTTACTTCGTACCTGGGTAAAAATAAACGAGCTAACAGGGAGAGAATCCCCGATGCAAGATTCTCAAGGGCTTTACCTAAAAAAAGTACCTGAAAGGAACTAAAAGGACCGAAAGGGAAACCCCTCTTATTGTCCGCGCGGTTCGGAGTCCAGGCCACCTTATATTTTATTTTCTTGCATGATCGACAGTCATAGACTAAGATAGTTACTAGATTACTCTAAGACATCTCTCTTTTTATTTTCCTATCTAAATGACTTGATTTGTGGAAGGCTTCGGCTGAACGCCGAGTAGAACTTAGTTACTAGCGTGGTAAATAATTCCATCCATTATATTATTGGAGTATTGGAGTACAGTCCGGAGGAAATTGTACTCCTTAGATAATAGAAATAAAAACGGAAGATTAAAGATTATAATTATTGTGTTGATTCACGAAGGGAATAAGACCCGAGAGAACCCACTTCACAGAAGTACTGTCCATGCTTCATACGGGAAAACGGGAATCCTAGCGGCGATCGTCATGAGTAACTCCGCGCTCGTTCTACTAGACAGTGGGGCTTTTAGATACTTTGTACTACTCTGTACTCCGTACATTCATGGATATAGTACGCGAACGTACGATAGGCAAATAGTATAAGGCAACCGAAGTCAAGTGGCAAGTAAAACACTAGTCAAGACCACGGGTAAGATGCCTATTATTTCCAAAGTTCACACAGGCGCGCAGTACCGAAGGGCGTCTATTAGGACAGGGGGAGCTGTGGCAGATAATGCAGACTCAAGCTAGTAATCCTATACTATCTTTGTACTGTACTAGTAAAATAGAATGTTCAGCTCCGATCAAACTGACTCTGATCTGATCGCAGGTCAAACTTAATTGCCGAAAAAAGAAAACATCGATACAATATATATGCAAGTACTTTTGTTTTGATATATGAAGTAGTTCATACCACCTACTATAGTGAATAGATATACTCTTTTCTACATCTTCCTAGATACTTCGGCCGAAGACCACACCTTGCGATCACATATGTTTTGAGTGGAACAGACGCGTATTTCGGCTGCACGGACTCTAAGCACGAATTAGCCATATCTCCACAGTCGAGGGTTCCACTTAGCAAAGTCCAATCCCGGTAGTGCCCGGCACTGTTCAGCTGGACATTGAGACAATACATATTCATCTACAGAGTAGAATTAAAAATAGAGATGTGATGGAAATAATGACATGCATCAAATCACGTTACTTAATATAAGGTCAACATCCATGCTTATATCTATTTTTTTTTCCTCTTTTTATCTTGTCATCTTTTCACCTAGGTATCTCCGGAACATTAAACAACCTTGGGACGTCTCCAGAATGCAACCTCAATAGTGCGATTGATTCTAGTTCTAGCCCTGTCCAATTCACCATCTGACCTCTATTTGGCTCCTACTTCTCTGGGGCGGAACAGGAATGTCCAGATCGTCAACCAGTGGGGCTCTTATTAGTGCTTAGCATTACTGTACACAATACAAAGGTAGACACAGGACGGAGTACAACTAACTAGTTAACTGCTAACTCACAAAAGCAATCTGTGGATCTTCGAAAAAAAAAAATGTGTTGTCCTTGATCCATCGTTCATTTGTCTTCTTCGCTCCACTTACTCCAAACTAGTATTACTAGTAGGCCACGGCCGAGAGGAAGATATCCACCATTGCGGGATTATAACTGTATGGAGACTCTTTGAGGTGCACGGTGTACAACAGTAGCGCGATCTGGATTGCAACGGCCGTAGACTCCGTCCACTATGCCCATATCGTGCACACAACTCACCCTGTCTAAGATCTCCCCCTCTTTTCTTTTTACCTCCAAGTTCTCCGGAGGCTCTGTACTCCGTAGTTCTGACATGTCATTTTCATTACCCTTTCCTGCCTAGGTTGTTGGTAGTTTTGTAAACTAATGGACGCTACCGATTAGGATGGATCCTCTCTACTGTTGCCAAGAATTCCCCCCCTCCTCTAGAATAGAATGAAATGAGTGATTTGGAAAATGTATGATCTAGACTAGAAGAATTTTATTCAGCACGGCATTTCTTACATTAATCTAGCCCATAGGTCAGGATTTATATTGTAGCTCAGGCCTCTTTCTAGGGCTTCAAGCCTCGAGGTATGAGGCAGTTTTGAGATATGAGGCCTAAGCACGCAACCCGGGAACTTGGAACCTCTAGGCCTCGTGAACTTGGAGTAGATCTCACGACATCTGCACATGCCACATAGTAAGGTTAAACGCATGATTGACAACATTCCGGGGACTATGAACTGGCTAGTACTAATAGTTAAGAAAGACGAGGTTAGACCCGTGGCTAATGATACTAGGCAGGTAAATAGGAAATAGGAAATAGAAAATAGGAAATGAGAAATATGAAATGAGAAATATGAAATGAGAAATATGATGTGAGAAATAGAAAATAAGAAATAGAAAATAAAAAATAGGAAATAAAAAATAGGAAGTAGTCACTGTCACTGTCACTATTTCATCACTCCTTGACGTCAATCGTGGAGGTACTGTTCATGCACCTCGATCAACACAGGAATTATTATACTCCTGTCATACTGATACCATAGTGCATATCGGGGATGCACCTCTTCTTTCCCCCCGAGCCACTAATGCGCGTATTCCCCAAGTGTAGAAGCGGATGTAGCCGATAATTTCTAGAATAGACCATCTGCAGGTGCGTCTGTAGGTATACCGAGGCCGTTGAAATACCCTGTACGTTGCTGGAGACATGTGTCATCCATGGATCTCTAGGGCTATATCATATCATCTGTAATGCACGAGAACCTTGGAAAAATTATCCACTCACATTATGTCGCTTGTGGCGGGATTTCATTCAATTACTCTGTGTTGTTTTCCTGTCATGCGTGATTGCTCGTTCCTGATATGCATGGGTTCGTGGTCTAGGCCTGGTCGAGTCCGTTTACAAGGGTACTCAGGTCCGATGTACTCGGTACAGTTCAATGAATCTGATCTACCTAATTGCCGATATAGCGGAGACTGAAGCAAAAACACTGGCTTAAGCAATGGACCTGTCAATTGTAAAGTTAATTTGAACCTCCTAACCAACCATCATCCTTTCATAGTGTTCCATGCTTCCATGAGGGAAAGGAAGATCGATCTGGGTGCCTGGATCCTGGGACCCGTAACCTTAAGCCGGGAATATGCAGCCAATCTGTACATTACTGTACAGGCTTCCAAAGCCAGCCTGCAGGGTTGAAGCACGCCTCAAAATCCACACCACCAAACAAGCCAATAGCCCCATACAGGTCAAAGTCCCCTTCTAGCCCTTCAATCCCACCAGCGTCGCCGTCTCTTTCCTCGTCAATATCCCACCCCCCTGCCTTCTGACCATTGCGAGTGAAAAACACCTCCGCTTTGCACAGCTTCCTTCCCTTCGGACCCTCCCCAAGCCGATCTGGTAGAGAAAAGACCATACCGAGACCTACAGTCTCACCCACTTGAAATGCGGGGGTGAAGTCACGGCCGCCAAATGAGTCATTGACGAATCGACACCCGTCATCAGAAAAGACTCCCAGACTTCCACGCTCCCAGCCCGGCGAGCGCCAGGAGGGAAACGGCTGCGCGGCAAACCCGATAGAAAAGCCACTAGTATCCCCGTCTGGACCAGCACGCAGGCCGAGCAGCTTGACTTCAAAGTAGATGGTCTTGCGCTGTTCAGTGAGGAAAGGTGAGTCTACAGCGGCAAAGTAGAGGGGAAGATGGGTGAGGACAACGCAGTCCCCGTTTCGACCAGCCGTGCGTCCAGACCACCGACCTAGTCCTTTAGCCCTGGGATTTGGAGTGAGCTCTCCAATGTATTCTCGTTGGCGGACAGGTCGCAGGTCGTGCTGTTGTACCCAGCTGTATACAGTTTCGGAAGGACGTTCAGGAAGCCAGAGAGGTGTGTTGTCGCAAAACTCATGAGCTCGCTCTGCATCGTCTGCAGATGCATTCCCGGTCCCGGAGGAGTAATAGCCTGTGGTGGGTGGTGGAGGAAATATGGAAGTGTCTGGTACAGCTTCCTGCCAGTTGTGGTATGGTGGGGGATCTTGATGTGCTTGGGACTGAGATGTATCATAGCTGGGAGGTGCTCCCCACTGGTTCGCCATGGCAGTGTTGTACCGAGGTATATGTATATGAAGATGGTTTAGGAGTAGATCGATAGATCTTAAGGTAGACGTTGACATTCAATGCCAAGCGGGGCTGTGCGGGAAAGAACCATGGATTCAATTGTTGATGTTATTCGTTATTTCATAGTTGTCACTTACTATACCTAGTTTGTATACCTAGTTTGTATACCTAGTTAGTAAATTATAGGATAGGATTAACATTTCCAATCCGACTACCAATCCGAATGTCCCGATTATAATTAGCACAGACTAGTACAGAAATAGATTTAGTCTCAACAGAACAGTAGTAAATAGAATTGAATTCCAAGGTTGAGTTGAATTAGACTAATCTTTAAATTGATGGAATCGGGTCTGCTTTATCTGATTCCTTCTTCTGACCTGTCAGATCTCGATTAAGTAAAATCGGAAGACAAAGCGCAGTTTCAGATTTGACGTGCATAAGGACCAGCACAGCGTGATTTTCAATTTTCCCCCTCTGCGCAACCTTTGTCTCTCTTCATCCCCTTTCCTTTGTTTTTCTTTTCGTCTTTCTCTCTCTCTCTCCGTCATTCATTCTCAACCATGTCGACGGATCGGTCTCGCCATAAAAGGAGATCATCCTTCTCCGAACAGATTCAGCGCATGCTCAACCTCGATCGATCGGATAAGGTAGTCAATCCTCCACCCACGGCCCCACTCTGTGAGACCCTCATTAACCAGAAGGAACAGCAGAGCGTCACAAGTGACTTGGATCCGCCTCTGTCCCCCCAGGCGCAATCCAAAGATGTTTCTGTTTCTCGTGGTTCTTGCGATAAATTTGAATTAGTAACGGGTCATGCTCCCGGAGAATCACTCAACGAGACAGGTCCCAACTCGGTCATTTCTCCCTCATTGACCTCTCGTATGCCGTCTCTTGGTACTCCAGACTCTAGTCCTTCGGTTCATCCGACTATTCCCAAGAATGAAGACGCTATTCAGATGGAGAAAGCTCAAAATGCAAAGATCGACAAGATCTGTTCTTCTCCAACCTGGAAGGAGAAGGAGGAAAAGAAGAAGGAAAAAAAAGACAAGAAAGATAGGAAGGATAGGAAGAACAACAAGGAAAAGAGTGAGAAAAAAGAGACTAGCCGCAGTGAGCGACGTGCCACCAAACGCCTCGAAGCCGAGCGCAAGGAATTGGAGAAACGCCTGCTTCAGCTAGAGGAAGCCCAAACTCGACTAGACAAAGGCGCTGTTGAAAGGGGTCCGAATCGACTAGTCAAGAAGCAACCATATGGCAGCTCCAGTAGGGATTCCAGTGTCGGCACCGAGAAGAGACGTCGCTCGTCAAGTTTCTCTGACTTCTTCTCAAGATCCCGACGGGGATCCCGAGGTAGCTCCGTGGCTGGCGATAGTGAGACGGAGAGCTCGCAGCCTCATTCGTCTGAAAAGGGTCCTCCTCGTCCACCTACTATACCTCTGGGGCTGCCTGAACGCTTCGGCGCTGCGGTCACTCGAGAGCTAGCGACCAAGCATGGAAACATTCTAAATGCTTCCCACCAAGTCCAAGCTTCTCGTGCGCCAGGGTCGCCAGTAGCTCACTCAATTCACTCAACCCTCAAGTCAGACGACTTGCGCGAGAATTGGAGGGCGGCTGAGGCATGGCAGCAAAAGCGCGATAGCCTGGGTACTGCGAGCGACACTTCGCACATACCAGAAATGCAGTTGAATGGCCAGCCTGTGTCAGATGACGATGATTCTCGATCCTACGTTGAATCAGATGATCCCAAGAGAGATCTTGACAGGGAGGTATTCACTGCCACGCTCAAACACGTCGGCAAACCAATTAAACCAGACAACAAACGAAGCAATATTCCAATCAATTCATCCAGTTTGCAGCAAAGTGTAGCTAACCGGTCGTCTATTGCCTTCACAGCCAACGGCAATATGCAGAAGGGAAACAAGCCAATTCGTCATTCCATTGCAAACGATATCCCGATGGCGGCTTTATGGGGCCATTCCACGGCGTCCAAGGAGAACAAAGCGGCTCCAAAAGGCCCAAAGCCATTCCCTAATAACAGCGCGCCCAGATTGCTTCAGACAAAGGCTTACAAGTCGTCTCCGCTGGCGATGAACCCGAATAAGATAGACCCGCAGACAGCATCGATCCCACTTTGTGCTTATGAGTCGATCATTCCACAGCCATTACGCCTTTCCCAGTCGCTCCTGCGTGGCAGTGGCGCCCAAAGTGTAGCAACTCAACCCAGCACGGCTATTCGAGTGGAGGAGCCTTCTAAGCGCCCAGCGACCCCGTTGAGACACCCGGGTCGAACCAGTAGTGAGAGTGCGAGATCTGGGGCAGGTACAACCGTCTCTCAGAGTGCCACAGACCGAAATCGTCAAATTGCTGGAAGTAAAGATGCTACCCAAAGCGTGAGTAAGCCAGAACACAAACGAGGGCACTCTTTTTCTTCTGAGGGATCGAGCTACGATACTGCGGATGAAGAGGTGCATGCACCCGCCAGCATCGATGCACCCGCCAGCATCGACGCACCCAAAAAACAGGAACCTGTCCAGTCTACACCACAGGCCCCCATTTCAAAAGCAAGAAGCCCACCACACCTTGAAATCCAAAGTGTGCCAAACAAGCCATCTCCGGCCCTGGGAGGGGCTTTGGGCTTGTGGAGAAGAAAGACCAGACAGAAGGTGAAGCCCATGCAAATGAACCAAGTCATTGGGAAACTGTTTGTCATATGCTGTCAATGCAAATACTGGCACGACCTGCCATCAGAGGTGTATGCCAAACTTGCCACTTCTGAGCACCTCCCTTCTGAATCACGATTGGGAAGAGCTTTCTCTCGAAGAAACAATGTGCGAAAGCCGATTCTCCCTTCGGACCCGAATGAGTCTCGACGAGTTCCTATACCCCGACGACTGCAGTTCACCGATCAACCAGACACCACTCCAAAGGGTCCAATTCCGGCCGATGCAACGCCTGCCATTCCCAGACCTCAGTGCTGCTGGTGTGGACATGGCATGAGCAAGATCTGCTGCCAAGGATGGACGACGACGGTCCAGATGCGCGAGAGACATCATTAGCCCAGGCTGCCGCACCTTAGCGCATAATATTAGACCATTTGCAATGATTAATCGAGCGTTTAGTCTTATATGTATGCCATGGTGACGATATGGACGACGATATGGATAACGAGGATATTATTAAGGTGGTTTTCGTTTATTTTCTGGGTTCTTTCTGTCTGATCTGTGACTTGCTTCAGTATCCTTACAGGAGCTTGCTATGATAATTACACATTCATTCATTATTATCCTATCATAAAAGTTAGCTTGCTTGACCAGTAAAGTAAATCCCAAACGAGCCGCCACCCCAGAACACCATAATAAACTCGAGAAAATTGAACATCATATTTCAACAACCACCAGTTGAAATGATTTCAAATCTTGAATTTGGATTATTTGTAGTTAATTAAATAAATACATAGAAAGAAGGAATAGGAAATGATCGAGTAGAGTGTACTTAAAGCTAAAATAGATAAATTACACTGTAATCTATAATACCACCATCATATATTTATTTAATTTAGTTCAAATGAACTGATTCTTTGTGAATACTCTTATCGTTATTCCTCACTGAATATATAAATTATATCAGGGTTATGGTTGTTGAGATGTGATATTCAATTTTTTCGAGTTTACTATGGTGTTCTGGGGTGGCGGCTCGTTTGGGATTTACTTTATTTTGTCCGAAGTAGTTAGTTTAACTTGGCTGATGCTGACTAAGAGTTAAGCGAGACCGCGTTTAGCCTCAACTAGATTTTCATCCCTTCGTCTCACCACCAACAATGGCCAGAATTTAATGTTGATTCCGTGCCCAAAATGAGCTTGATGATTGCTCAAATCACTGAAAAGATACTAATGAACTAACAACAGGGCCACCACCATCAAAAGAGTGCCAGCACTCCCACACGAGTGGAAATTTACAAACCGCAACTCTGCCATCCAGCTGTTCCAGTCCCAAAAGGACTTTCTACGGGCCCTTCTCGGAGGACGGTTTACACAGTGTCGCGTCTTGTGGCCGTGTATAACTGGAGCTGGATCGCAAGCCTGGGATTTCTCCTTTCACGAGGGGGTCTCTCGGGTCATTTATTTTTGAGTTGCTAGAGCAAATCAAGGGCCTTCATAGTTCATGTTATACTTGCTCGACTCTTCTGAATTCTCTTCTTAAGATTTGGTCTTCTTTACCAGAGCATGACTCCTTGCGCACCTACATTCAAATTTATATATAGCACATCAATTAGCACTCAACACGTTGTGTTTCTCTCTACCTCTTTATCTATCATCTAGAGCTTACTACTAATACTGGTACTACTACTATTACTACTACTTCTCTTCTCCTCCTTCACATTCACAACAACCTTCCCCCACGTCTCCCTCCCCCCAAGTGCCTTTAAAGCAGCCGGAACACTCTCCAACCCAACAAAGCTCTCATCCGAAAACGTAGTGCCCCGGAACTTACCACGTCTAACCAACTCAAAGATCCCCTCCCAAACAGTCCGCACAGTCTCAGTCTCAAAACGCGCATACTGCCCCCAATGAATCCCGACCAGACTCACATTCTTCAACAACACCCGGTTCAGCGCAACCTTCTCAATCTTCCCAGCCGCAAACCCAATAACCAGCAGTCTAGCATTCCACCCCACACACTTAAGACTAGCCTCGATCATCCCAACAGGGTCATACACGATATCAACGCCAGAAACCCCATTTCCGCTCCGATGCTTAGCACACAGCGCCTTCACTTCATCCGCCCAGTTTGTAGCCGTGTAGTCGATGACATAGTCCGCACCAAACAGGGCCGCTATCTCGCGCTTTCGCGCCGTCCCGGCCGTCGCGATCACTGTTGCTCCAAACGCTTTGGCGATTTGCACTGCGGCGAGCCCGACGCCGCCGGCAGCTGCGTGCACGAGCACCCAGTCGCCGGCTTTTATGGATGCGCGGTGCACGAGGGCGCCGTAGGAGGTTGGTGCTGTTACGAAGAGGCCGGCTGCGGAGGCGAAGGTCCAGTCTGTTGGAATTGGGAGGAGGACTGATTCTGGTGCTAGGACGTGGGTTGCGTATGCGCCTTGTGTGGCGCCGAAGACGCGGTCGCCGACCTTGGGATTGTTAGGAATATACAAATTGATAGGTGGATTTAGATATAATTTTGATCTTGTTAATGGATTTACCTTGTAGCGCGCGCTTGTAGATGCCGTCGGGATGGCAGCGATTGTACCCGCGAACTCGGCGCCGCCGATCCACGGGAGTGGGGGTTGGTTTTGATATTTGCCTTGGATTTGGAGGATGTCGAAGAAGTTTGTGCCGGCTGAGTGTATCTCTATCAGGTATTTATCAGGTGATGGGCTTGGTGTTGGTACGGATGAGACCTTGAGGTCTAGAGGGCCCTGTGACGTAGATGTGAGTTTCTTTTTTGTCTTTGTTTTACGGGTCCTGCGGGGACTGACCTGGACGTATTCGCTGACTTGGATGGCGCGCATTTTGAGTTGATTGAATTAGGATGTGGTTTAATTGATGGGAAGATTTCGAGATTCTGGGGTTTAAAATATGAGTATTGAATATTGAGCTTTCCCCGCAAATGCCGAGGTCCAATTTCGGATAACTTGACAACTTGGCAGCTTACCTACGTAGTACATAATGGGGAATCAAGGTTGAAGATTTGGGAGGAAAGGTTATATATAGAAAACATCAGCCTTATATACAGATTATATACAGATATGCATGCACTCAGGTATCAACAGACAAGAAACAGAAAGAACCGCTGAATCAACGCCAGTAAGAAACGTCCCAACACCAAGATATGTATGTTGTACAAAAGATCTGTTCTGGGACAGATAACCCATGTCCAGTGGTAACAAAAAAAAAGATATTAAAGAACAACACATGGACGATATGAGAGAAAAAAAGGAAATTGGTATCACAAGTAGTCAGACAGATCCCTTCAAAAGTGGATTCCACTTGAATTTGGGTGTGGAAAGCCCGGAATGCATTGGCATGGCATTGGCATGGCATTGGTCGGAAATTATTTCTTTAGCCCATGTATGGAGCCATAGGGGCACATATTATAGGCTGTGGTGCCATCTGGGTATTTTGCATTGAGACGATGTGGCCATGGCCTTGATATGGAAGGTGCTTACGGGACGGCTCAGGTCGAGTATATTCATACTGGCCTGCTGTCTTCCAGAAATTAGGGTGGTACTCTGGGGCTTCAGAGCCGTAGTGATTGAATGCGGGGGAGTAGACTCCCGGAGCTGGAGCATGTGCTCCCATGGGCATGTGGTCGCGGTAGGTAGTTGGTGGGATCAGGGGTGCAGAGTGAGGGACACCTGCGGGAGGAGTGGCAGGCTCGAAGGGCATATGATACCATGGGCTGTGCATGGGAGGGTTGAGACCCACTTCAGAGACGCGTTGAGGCCACTGTTGCGCCATAGTAGAAACCATTGCAGGCGCTGAGGTTGAGCCTGAGCCAGGGCTGGGGATTCCAGAGATAGGTGAAAGAGGGTAAGCTCCATATGTGGGAGTTGGGGCAGCGGTAGTGTTCAGGAGAAGACCCTCGCTCACGGGGGATGTGTGAGTGGAGTGCTCAAAGGATGGTGAGCCTGATATGTTAGAGTGAGAGAAGGTGTGTACACCATGTCTAGTGCTCATGTGAGGGCTTGGAGTCAACTGTTGGCTTGGAAGTGTGGTGTTCCACTTTGGATGATGATGTTGATGTTGATTATGCTCTGGTTGTGACTGCAATTCAAGAGGAGCATAGACTGAGTGTGCTGACCAGTCTGAGTGAGCGATAGATGTCTCTCTTGCCACTGGAGATGGTCTATAATGACGAGGAGATGATGGAGATGCCTTGATATCCTTTTCTGAGTCTACATCTTCGATGGATTCCTGAGTCTTCTTGCGTGCTTGACGAGATGGTTTAGTCACGCGCCACTTCTTCAACCGACTTCGCAGTTGGGTTTCGCTAGGAAGATGTTAAGAAGAAGCAAAGATGGAAGGTAAGAAGTAAGCTCACCTAGGGTTGAAGTTGTCGGAACGAATCTGCTTGATGACTTGCTTGAGAGGCCACTCCTCCTCCATATACAACTTGGCGATCAACGCCTTCTTCTTCTCCCACACGTCTGAAGAGATTGAGGTTTTCATTATGGAAAATAATGCACGGATGGAATGGAAGTAGAGGAGGAGAACCCCTGTTATAATATTAAAAAAAATGGGGAAATTAACGAGGAGTGAAAGAGTAAATTTCCTTGGATCTGGGATGGGAACTCTCCACTTTCTACCCAGACCGTCGGTTTCTGTCAACGTCCACTTTTCCCTTTTTGCACTTTCCACTTCCCACCTTTCCCAGTTCCACTTTTCTACTTTTTTACTTTCTTACTGGTATCAGTGTCAAGTCGATCCTTTCCTGAGTGGATCATTTGGCTTATGAGATAGTGGTCAAAGGCAAACAAAAAAGGGACATATCTCTAGTACTCCAGAAGTTGGCTGATCGTTATTTATGAAGAAATTACTAGGCAATTATGATATCAATACAAGATTGTCGATTCCAACAAGATGATCCGAATATCGAAGTATCAACGAATATCCAGGTCCAGGTACACATGATCTTCCCCTATATCCCATCGGGTCAACTAGCCCAAGATGGTAAAAGTCCGATGTATCTCACAGGGTCCCAAGCTGATCCGGCCCGGGCGTCACGAGTGGATATTGGATTGTACCTCCACTGGGGCCATCGATGATACAATAAGGAGCACACACTGAGTTCCTGATGCTTTTTCTTTTCTTTTTTAAACGACCGTTGAACGTTTCAAACTTTCACATCACAATAGGAGAAATGGGATTGGACTGGGGAACTTATCTCAGGGGGGGACCGAAAACGAAAACGAAAAAAATAAACATTTGCAACCCTTGGAACCATTATCAGTCTTGCAATTCTACTGAGAACCTTACCGACAATGAGCCGACACAATAGGAGAAGCCGGGTAACGAAAAGAGTCTCATTATCCAATAGTGGGCCAGTAGTTCGTGGGAGGGCCAATTGATCTGGCTTGGATCATGATCTGCCGTCCTCAATAGTGGATTAGGTGGATCTACAAGAGCTTCTCCGCCATTCCCATTCCATTACTCCGCCGGTCACCAGTACCTGGATTGAACGTTAAAGGGGGAACTATATTTGTACGATGAAACGTGTCAACAGAAGTAAAACCGAACGTGCTCGAGTCGTTCGCCACGAGGTTATCAGCACATGTTCTATCGACCCCATTGATATGGAAACATGTCAGTTGTTGTATTTGTTCAAGCCAAGGTTATGCCGGAGCCGCGCTAAAAGTCTCTAGGCTCGGTATATTGAGCCTAAGTCTCATTTGCCATAGTCTTTCTTTCTTTCTTTTTTTTTTTTTTTTTCAATAGGGGATCGGCGATCTCAATCGTTCCGATCTCCCAAGCATCTCCGATTATCTTCAGACTCTGACGATGCTATATTTGTCCACATGATGAAGTCTAATACTGGAGAGGTTCTAAGAAGGTCTATATCTGTTTATAGCCCTTTTCGCACATATAACTTCTCAAATTAACACGGATGTTGTCTGAAAATATCCTTATTGTTTGATATTAAGTATAATCCAAGTGGGATCTCCAGATCAGCGGATGGATCTACGGAGTACACGGATATAATAGTTAGTGGATATGATTTGCCACATGAACCCGTGGGATTATGGGATTTTGGACACAATTCCCGATCGTATTTGCCATTTCCCAGTATCCACTTCGTATCACACCATCGTATACCCGTCGTATTCCGTCGGAGTACTTTCTAGGGCTATATTTTTTTAATACCGAGCTTTCTCTGGTGGCAATGATTCTTCGAGCCTTACAATATTGTCATTGCAATAACCATAATCATTACAATCCATAGATCACTCCCGTCTACCTAGTTTCGTACCTAAGTATAAGCCTACTCTATTCACTATTCCGTATCTGTTCAACTCTGAAACTCTTACGCAGCCCCACAGCCTTGTTCTGACGATAAAATAGAGTACGAATAAGGAGTAATTAATCAATAATAGGCCAAAGCTTAGTGGCAAAGATCCCAATGGCTGAAGGTACCCGAAAGATCGTCATTAGATAGATTAGCGACTAGATGATACCGGAGGTAGGGTTATACGGAGATAAAAGCAGGGAGTATCCCGGAGTCGTGCCGTAAGCCCTAGGGAAATACGATCTATGGATCCACCAGACTAAAGAGGTAGTCTGTACGTAGGTGGTGTAGAGTGTGCGGGGGCAATTTATCGGGATTTGTCAGAGATAGTTAGGTAGAAAGAATGCGGAATTAGTATATCCGTACCAGGACTTACTTCCTCTTTTTCCCCTCTGAACCATGGGTTTACTTCTAAGTAGAGTTTCAGCTGTTCGGTGAACTTGAAGTGGAGTTGATGGACCAGAGAGGATCATAGGTTAACTTAAAAAAGTTATAGTTAACTACCTACACGCTAAATATAATCGACTAGGCCCAGATACTACGATTACTACTATATTTGGATTGGTTTCCAAGGTTGAGACTACCAGACTAGGGCTATATCTGGTTAGTCCACTCGAAGCTATCACTCGGATCTCGTGGATCTATCGAAAATTCGGGATATCTGCTATGTACAACGGGGAAGGTGGTTAATCAAGGTCAGATGACTTGTAGTTAATTGTCAACACAGTTCGCTTTAGAAGGTTTCCAAGCCCCGTCTTTTCCTTCCTTCTTCTTTCTATTCTTCGGAATACTCCACTATTTGCCACACTAGGAAACTAGTAGAAAACATAGGCTCCAACGTTGGAGAGAAAGGGGTGTGTGAAGATGAAAGGGGAATAATATTGTGTAGTAAGACATGAAAATAAAAGTAGAAAGTGGTTTTAAAAAAAAGAAAACAACTGAAACGCTCAAATGGGCTTTCGTTCCGAGTCAAAAGCAATACCCATCCCTCCTCCCTAGGATCTTCCGGAATAATAAATCATGAGACATGAGACATGGAGAAATGAGACAATACAACACAGGTGAAGTTGTGAAATGACAAGGAAGATGGTGGATCCACACGGGATCAATAAAAATAGTGACAAGACAAGATTTCTTCCCATCTCGGAGAAAAAGACTGAAAATCTAAAACGAGCCAAATTGTTGGACAGGTTGACAGATTTGCACAGATCAGCGGCGCCGTTTCAGATTATGCTCTTTGCCCTTCTTGGACCTTTTCTTGCTCTTATCCATGGGCGGGACCACAGGCTCGTCACGCATGTTCCACCACATGAATCGGAGGATGTAGTCGTCAATGTCACCCAGAGCCTCGGCATTATCTCTAGGTCCAGGTCCAGGTCCAGGTCCAGGCCGTGAGCCATCGTCGGCAGCCAACGGAGTCCCAATTTGGGCCGGGGTTCCATGAGAGGTACGATCGTCAAAATCGCCATCGTCGGCGTGCTGTAATTCCTTCTCCGCATTCTTAGCCGCATCAATGTCTTCCTTATCCTCGGCCTGCTCGAACCCGCGTGTGCCACCCACGCGGTTGCCAAGGACACGGTCCATGGCTGCACTGGCCTCATCCTTTCCATCCCGCTCGTCTGTCTCGATAGGATCCTGCGTGTCAAGTTTCGTAAAGTAGTCCGTGGTGAACTCGCCCTCTTGGATGATCACGTCATCAAGCATCCGTTTCTGATTGGCTTTGCGCAGGATGTTGGATTCAATCGTGTACTCTGACACAAATCGGTAGATGTGTACATCACGGGTCTGTCCGATTCGGTGGCAACGGTCCTGACACTGTTTATCCATGGCCGGATTCCAGTCCAAATCGTAGAAAATAACAGTGTCCGCTCCAGTCAAATTGATGCCTAGACCACCCGAACGACTAGACAGGATGAATGCCAGAATGCGGGGGTCGCTGTTGAACCGCTCTGTCAGCATCTGTCGTGCCTCAACCTTAGTGGTTCCATCGAGTCGGAGGTAGCGGTGTCCATGAATGTTGAGGAACTGCTCCAGGATATCAAGCATCTTGGTCATCTGCGTGAAGATTAGGGCCCGGTGACCGCCGGCCTTCAGGTCCCGCAGAAGCTTATCGAGCCGCTGAAGCTTGCCGCAATCATACTGTAACAAACGTCTGTCAGGAAAGGCAATAGAGAGCCGCATCCGTGCCTCATGGAAGGGGTCGTAGGGCTGTTCCTTGGCCGTGTTTGTCAGCAGCCGTGTTTCCACTGGCGTCAATGCGGCCTCAGTCATGCCAGAGGCGACGACAGCTGGAGTGACGCAGGCAAATCGTTGGACGAATCCGTCCATCTCGAGTGAACGCTCCTCGACGGTGAGAATGATGGCTGCCAGAACGGAGGACCGGGTCATTAGCCACTCGGCCATGTCTCTCTTTCGAAGCGGCGCGTTTGTGAGCGCATGCATCTTGCTAGTACCAGCTCTCATGAATTCGAACAGGCTGCTACCATACACAGGTCGGCGACCATGGCGCTTGGACTCAAAGTACAGACACCGCTCCAGTTCAGCCATTCTTCTTTTTCGGCACACATTCTCCAGAGATGTGAGGATAGTCTCCATTGAAGATCCGTCAAAGGTCATTTTCCAGTTGGTTCGGTTGTACTGAAGCTCACGAAGAGTCTTAAAGGGCCCAAATGCCATTAGCCGGATGCTGTCGTCTGCCAAGCGTTTGGAGATATCCTCTCGTGAAACGGGAGCTAGGTTGAGGAAATCTAGATCGACCTTGGCGAGGGGATGATCGAAAAGCAGTCTACGGCGCACAAGACTCTCCTTCACATTGTAATCTGTCACAACCGATCGTGGCATGGCAAATGAGGTGGAGATCGGCCTGGTTTCGAACAGGTCGGGATGGTTGCAGACCTTGCGTAATTGCATCAGACAGTGGATAATGGAGAGGAAGTTGCCGGAAGCAAGAGTCTCCTTAGTCTGGGCCATCGACATAAAGCCATCGTAGAGGTATCGCTGCCGCTTGGACAGGCGACAGTAGACCACATGCTCGTACTTTCCGGGCATCTGTTTCTCCACATCGGCCTTCAGTCGACGGAGAATATAGGGACGCAGAACGGTATGTAGCTTGGTAACCACCTTCTTGGCCTCGTCATCCATTGTCTCTCTTCCATGCTCCAGGATCTGTTCTACCGGTCGCCGGAACCATTCAGAGAAATCTCTCAGGTCAGCGAACCCTTCGATACCATTGTTCCCCTCGCCGTCAGTCGGCATCAAAAAGAAGAGTAGAGACCACAGCTCAGTCAGGTTGTTCTGGAGAGGGGTACCGGTCAGGAGAAGACGGGCGCGAGTGCGGAAGGTGAGGAGAGCCTGCCACCTCTGCGAGCGAAAGTTTTTGATATTATGAGCCTCATCAAGAACCATGTAATGCCAGCTCCTACGCTTGAGGGAAATTTGATCTTGTAGGGCGAGTTGGTAAGAAGTGATCAGGACATTCCATGAGTTATCATCGGTCCAGCCTTTTCGTTTTATCTTGCGCTCTTCCTGATTACCGTAGTATGTCATAATCTTGAAACCAGGGCACCATTTTTTGAATTCCATTTCCCAGTTGAGGATGACACTGGTGGGAACAACCACCAAATGAGGACCCCATACACCATGATCCACGGCAAGGTGGGCGAGTAGAGCAATAGTCTGAATGGTCTTACCAAGACCCATTTCATCTGCCAGGATACCGTTGATATGATTTTTGTAAAGGCCAGCAAGCCAATCCAATCCGTAATGTTGATACTCTCGCAGTGTACCACGTAGGAGATGTGGGATTTGAGTCTGCAGGCCGGGGCCAGGTGAATGACTTGTCTGTAGGGCGTTCTCCACCGGAGGTTCAAATGAAGAGACAGACTCAGGCTCTGATGGCTTGGTCGCAAAGGTTCCTGGGGACGGCTCACTAGAGATGTCCTCGGTAGGTCGAATTTCTATGCCCGGTGCCGCTGAAGCTGAACCGTCAGCGATAGAGGGCACGTCACCCATTGGAGTATCGATCATATCGATATCTTCAGAATCACCAGGGGTGAGTTGGGCGGCTTCAGATTCCTCTTCAATTTCCATAGGTGTGGCTTCAGTCGACGTTCCAGGGACGGATAGACCGTCGGGGAAGAGAGAAAGTCGGTCGGGTTCTTCGTCCTCATCATTGTCATTGTCTTCTTTTTCGCTCTGCAATTCCAGTGCTGGCGCTTTGTATTCATAGTCGTCGTCGTCAGTTGAATCCTCTTCTGCCTCTCGATTTGCTTTCTTTGTCGAGAAGAAAGCGAGCAGTCCATTTCTTTCATTATCAGAGTCCTCATCTTCCTCATCTTCCTCATCACCCATATCACTCTCCATGTCCGTTGATTGGTCGCTGCCATCCTCTAATGGAGCATCCACCGGCGTTGCCATGGAATCAGCTTCGCTTTCGAAGACTGATGTGGTTACGACCGACATCTGATCTTGGTCAGGTGTAACTTCGGGAATATTAGAGTATTTTAGTCGAAGCTCCTCCGCAGTTAATGCAGCATCATCATCTGCATTGCCCTCTTCGTCGGAGTCGGACTCAGATGTTGACATATTGCTTCCGTCGGATGCGTTCGACGAGTAGTCTGTCTCTCCATCGTCGTCACTCGAGGATGGAGCATCACTAGGCATTTCACCAAGAACCTCGGATCGACGCTTCTCAAAAAGCAGTGTCGACTTTTTTATTGCGCGATCCAGAGCCTGCTGGTCTTGCACCTTCCGTTCCTCCTCCCATTGAGCAAGGCGTACCTTGTCAATTTCTGCACGTGCCGAGTCGAACATCCTCTGGAGATCCTTGGCCAGCTGCTTGCGCTTCCCGCGCAATTCCTCCTGCTGCTCCCGAAGAAGGTCCTCTGGGTTCTTATGGCGTTTCCGATGGGCCTCTGCACACCACTGTGCGCACAATTTGGCCATCTGCCTATGACGTTTGTGCTCCTTCTCCATAAGCTTACAGAAGTATAGCGCGTGGGCCACCAGATGATCCTGATGCGAGTACTGTGGATCTGGCTCTTCCTGAACATCCTCTATGTAGGCCGAGCAGACTTCCGAGCTTAAGGGCCCGCCAGGTTCCACTGCATTCAAGACTTCATTTCGTCTCTGGGCCTCCCGGAGAGCCTCTTCGGAAGAGATGATTTCAGGTGCATCTTCTTTATCTATCCATTCCCGGAATGACGAGTATCTTTTGCTGGACACGTGTCCAGGATGTCGAATCGGTAGATCGGGCTTCTTGACTTTAATTTTGAGTCGCTGAACAACCACTTTGCATTCACCCACATGCACCTCCGCATTTGAATTTGTGTTCTCGAAATTATCGGCCGTGGGGGATGATGTTGAAATGGATTGACGGTCACGAAGTTGACGAGGGCTGGCACCGGCCAGGCTGGACCGAGGACGATTCGCTGTAGCGGAGCTTCGAGGTCTCTTGTGCGATTGAGGAGGTTTTGGTGATTGGGAAATCCGTTGTTGTTTAACAGGCATGCTCTTGGTATTACTCACCCTGGGTGAACTATTTGTAGCCTTGCTACCTGACTTTCCATTGACATCAACACGCAACTGCGTGACAGCCAGCGGAGATGACGTGGCCGGCTTAGCATCATTACCCAATGGAGTGTGTGCCGCACGAGTCTGTCGCTTTTCAGATTGTGGTTGAAGGACTGTAGGAACTAGATTCGTTCGCGAAGAACGGCGCCGTCCCTCATCAAGGAACGAAGTCGGTCCTTCAACACCAATCTTCTTCCAAGGTGGCGAAGGTGGACGCGGTTTTGCGCGATTCGAAGGCGTCGTAGGCGTAGAATCTGTAATCCGTCGCTTCTTCGATGGTGGTCCGTCCACCTCGCTAGCTCCATCGTGTTGGAGCTCGGGAGGGGGAATGTCTTCGAGACTGGAATCGAGTGGTGGTTCTAAAGCAGACGGTTCAATCGGAGATAGTTCGGTGAGAGGGGTTACGCGTTCATCTTGCAGTGATGGGTCATCGGGGCTGCCGTTTTGCATGACTCCGAGCCGCAGACGACAGGGGCCGTTTTAACGGTTGACCCCAGTTATTCCAACAACAACACAGCCTAGGTAGGTAGTTTTACAATCAACACGTAGATGATGTCAAGTTAGAATGCCATGCGAAGTTTGGCATGCTTATCGGCAAAGTAGCGTGGTTGAGGATGAAAAAACAAGCTCGATGTGGGAATACGTGAGAGAGTGATTTTTCTGTCGGGATGGTGACCTGTAATAAGCGCGCCTTGGTGCCTGAGGCACTCAATGCCGCAAACCTCCGTTCCATCATCGACTACATTCCCACTCCACGATTCCACCTTCAATTCCCCTGCCAACCCACCTTTTCTTTGGTCCACAGTCTTTTGGCAGAGCAGTAAGTACTTTTGAATATCGATAGTGCCCTGCACCTTTTTCCCCTCATATTTCTGACACTCAATTGGCTTTCAGATGCTATCTCAACGGATTCTAGCCCGGCGCCTGCCTCAGGTTGCCGCCCGCCAGACTATTGCCCCCCGCGCATTCTTCTCGCAAGTCCCTGCTCTCCGTGCAGCTGAGGTTGAGGATCAGGATCCTCTGCAGGTACGACTGATATACGACCGATGATCGAGTATGACGACGGCGGTGTCTAACTAGTATGGCAGAATGGTGGCTATCAAAACCCCGTCCGCGCCAAACGGCAATTCAGAGACCCCCATGGTGGCTGGTGGGACGCGCAAGAGAAGCGAAACTTCGGCGAGCCCGTTCACGAGGAGAACGAGATTCTCGGCGTCTTCAGTCCCGAGCAATACACCCACGTCACTCCCGGCAAGGGCTTTTTCCACCTCGGCGTCTTCGTTGCGGCCTTCTTAGGTCTCTGTGGTATTGTCAGCCTCAACTACCCTGATAAGCCTAGTGTTCCCAAGACCTACGGAGATGGCTTAGAGAAGGAGCTGGGTGGTCCTAACGCTACGCTCGTACGCTTCAACTCTCCCATACCACGACCTTGATCACTCACTAACCTTTCATATCTAGGCTCGCAAGTCTGGCGAGGACAAGTGGTGATTTACATCTGCCTTTTCCTTTTGTTGCCCGTGTAAATACCAAGATGATTTGTTTTCCTATATTTTGCGCCACTCGTCTCATTGTTCATTGCGTCGAGAGAAAAGTACTCTCGACTCTTTGACGGATGTTGAATCAGAACCAGAACAAAGTGTTCGACCCAATTTAACATGAATTTCTTTCTATTATAGAGTCCGCTGACTAGAGTTTTGAAGCCACTGACCCTTGTTTCATAGTATTCAACGCATATTATACGACACATTGTATACAACGAACGTAGTAATGTCAATAATTCATTGATTAGAAGTAACTAGGTCCCTAATATTCCATATCATGAATATGTTACAGTTGGTGCCAAAGTAATTGGTTGCTAATTGGACAACGCCAGCGTTTCGAGGATTTGATAAAGTGTCAGTGCAGTCGTAGCTTCCTTCCAAGCCAATAATTTCCAACACCCTTAAATGGGTATGCTCCTTTTGGGCTATATGTTTCAAATTCGTGGCATGTTTTTGGGCCTCGCCTACGTCACGGGTAGCTTGGTGTTTCATCCCCGGCCCCTCACTCCTTTCTTTCCCCTTCAGGTAAACAATCAAAACGGTCGCCGCCCCCTCCTGTTCAACAAAGCTACTACCACTTCCTAGTACACTCAAAAAGGGTCGCAAAATCTACTTTCTTCATCAGCGGGTGCTGGTTTGCGTCCATCACAATCCATGGTCCCGCATTCCATCTGCTCCCCTGCAAGTCCTACGCGAACTAGGTGAACTACCTAATGTCGACAGCATCTACCAAGTCCCGAGGAGTCAACCGACGGATCAACAGCATTCAAAATGAAGGCCGCCATTCACGCAATTCTTCTGTCTCACGGCGCCGGCCACTCAGTGCCAACGTCGCCTCTAGTCACGCTCTCCGCGTAGCCTACCTCGCCTACCTTCTGCATCCCCGTCCCCGTCGCATTCAGAGTGTCCCGGTCGCAGCACCGCGGCAAAAGCGGTCGTCCTCTACCTCTATACATGACTTGATGAGTGACTTTTCGCTAGTTCGAGATTCAAAGAGCACAAGGATTCCTCATGGATTCCTGTCTGAACTAGAAAAACGCCTCACGGGGGTGTTGATTGGTAAAGAGAAGCGGAAGGAATACCAAGATCCTTTGGTGGTGCGCACTTTTGCGGCATTTCTCAATGCCTTAAAAGAGGACTCGTTTCGCAAGCGCATGGAAAAGGACCGCCGAGCGGAAGATCTAGTCCTTATCTTCTATTCAAATGCCACGAAAGAACTGAGTAAGGGCAAAGATCACGATGATGATAGCTGGAGACTTATGGTTGATCGGCACGTTGCGCTATTCGTTCGTCTCCTTGCACTGATTCTCAAAAGTAACGAGGGGGGCAAGGATAGACCAGAGCTGTCAAATCGCTTGACTACCCTCGAAAGCAAGCTCCTTTTGCAAGATCAGGACTTGATGGAAGCCAGCAGCCCAGCATCTATAACTGAGGTGGCTGCCCCTTTGAGCTACGATGTTATGGATATGCCCCTGGTACAACATGTGGCCAAGATCTTCGGGATGACAATACTCCAAGCCCAGACAGAGATCAATAACCACAAGTCAATTTGGACAGAAAAGGCGGCCATGCAAGATCTCAAAACTTATCAGACGCATCTTACCCTCCAGACTCATACTACTCTATCGAGAGATGACTTTGAAACCGACGAGGCATTTGAAAATTGGAAGAAAAGCGAAGGCCCTGACCTCTCTCAGATGATGCTTGCAATTATGCAGTCTAATCCGGAGCTTGCCAAAAGTGCACCTGGGTCCTTGCCTCGGTTCAACTCAGCTTCCACAGGCGATGATCTGTCGAGAACAACCTCTGGGCGTACAGACAGATCATCTTATGTTATTGACCAGCCTATTGACTTCAGCTCCCTCTCCTTGGGCGATGGCGACAAAGACGAGTCGGACACGTACACTTTTATTCCGTCCGACCCTCGAGCTGTGTACAGCTTCATTTTGTCTCAAACGCTGACCTATGATCTGCGGGATCACGAGCTTGAAGTCAGTCAGGCCACATCTGACACTCCATCGATGAAGCTGCTATCCAAGCAGTCTACGGAATTGCTCAACGAAATTGGTCTCCGCTGGCGGATTCCTCACTTTTCCCGTATCGTACTGTTCCTAGATGTCATTCAGGCTAAGTTTGTGGACAACGAAATTGATTTGAGCACACTGGACTCGGCCTTCACCTTTGTCAAAGAGGCACCAGCTGAAAATCGCAACAAGCGCAGTAGTTACGTTGCCCATAATACTACTACTATCTTTGATCGACATAAGTGGACCGTGCATGATCTTCAAACGATGCAGGTGCTGCTTTCCAAGCTCCATGAGGCCCTGTTGCGTGAACTTTATGATGTGATGATGGATTGTTTTGAGGCAAAACCACGTCCCATTGGTCCTGTAATGTATATCCTTCAAAATCACATTCAGACCGATCCAAGCTATACAGAGAATCCCGAAGACATCAACCGATTCTCCTCATATGTGCAAGAAGGACTCGCCCAGAAGGCGACTGAGAAGTATCAGCGCCTTCTGAGCCAACTGATCCCTGTTGATGCAGAATCTTGGGAAGCCGATCATGTCATTCAACTGGGTGATGCGATTTCCAAACTTGCTACCAAGATTCAAAAAAGATATAGGAATAATCCTGAAATTTTGGGGTGAGTAGCTATCTATATCTTTTATTTCGCTCATTTTTCTAACAACTGGTAGCGTCAATCCTTATATCACACTCTGCACGAGTGTCCTCCCTCTCTTTGCCGATGATTCAAAAGAGATGGTCATTCAGATCATTGAACTGGCCAAGTCTCAGGATAAAGAGATCGCCATCGAGGAAGGATTTGATTTATACAGGAATCTTTCCGCGATCAGACGCATTTTTGCGATAACAATTCCAGACACCCCTTTCCCATTCCACGTTGAAAGTCTTTTGGAAGAATTTGTTTGGCGATGGTTGCACATCACAGACCAAAGTGTCATGGAGTGGGTTAATCAAGCCATCAGACAGGATACCTTTTCAGTCCGCGCGGATCAAGAGGGTGAAGTCCCCAAAGACTCCCGGCATAGTGTGTCAGTGATTGATATCTTCCGATCCTTAAATGCTGTAGTGGAAAATCTTATGGGGCTCGAATGGGACGACGATTTCCAGTACGCGAAGTTCATGACCGCTCTTTCCAACTCAATCGGAAAAGGTGTCGCAAAGTACTGCGAATCTTTGGAGCAAATGTTTGCCAGAGAGTTGGATCGTTTGACCCCTGAGCAAGAGGCGGCTTTGACCCAAACCACACAGGAGAAGTTCATGCAATTCGCCAAAGACACATGGTCGAACAAGGACAAAATTGAGCCTTTCCAATTCTCTTCCGAGGTATGTTTTGAAATCCTGCTTTGACTGAACTGCTCTAGCTAACCATATGACAGTCCTTGGTCAAGTTGAACAACATTGAGTATGCGCTTTCTCAGCTAGACAGACTTGAGGCTGAGATAAATGTTGACGGGTGCGCAGAGGTCATTGCGCAAAATACCCCTGCACAGCTTAAGAAGGTCCGTAAATCAACCACTTATGTGTTTACAATCAAAGTGGTAGAGGCAGAGGATCTCAAGGCATGCGACATGAACGGCGGCAGTGATCCGTATGTAGTCTTGACCGATGAGTACCAAAAGCGCATTGCAAAGACTCGCATCATCTACAACAACCTCAATCCCCGATGGGAGGATGCCGTAGATATCACCACCCAGGGGCCGTTGAATATCATTGCTACAATCTGGGATTGGGATGCAGTGGGTGATCATGACTACGTTGGTCGTACATCGATCAAACTCGACCCGGTCCATTTCAGCGATTTCCTGCCGCGAGAATACTGGCTTGACTTGGATACTCAAGGAAGACTCCTGCTGCGTGTCAGCATGGAAGGTGAACGTGACGATATCCAGTTTTACTTCGGCAAAGCTTTCCGTACTCTTAAACGAACAGAAAGAGACATGACTCGGAGGATTACCGAAAAGGTTTGTTTTAGTTCAACCTTCTCTCAATTTGCACCATCAACTAACACCACCCTAGCTTTCCGCATACATCAGTTCCTGTCTGTCACGCCGCACTCTAAAGTCTCTGCTCAATCGAGGACTGAGTATATCAAGCGTGTCCAATTTCCTCAACCGAAATCGAGCGCAGACCGCCACCGGGCCCACCTCTGCTGATATCGAGAGTGCACTCGATCCCCTATTCAACTACTTTAATGACAACTTTGCGATCATGAACAAGACACTTACCTCGGAAGCCATGAAGATGGTAATGGCCCGTCTGTGGAAAGAAGTCCTTGCCACGATTGAGAGTCTACTAGTCCCACCTCTGTCCGACAAACCTTCTCATCAGAAGCCCTTGACGATGCAAGAAGTGGACATCGTATCACGCTGGCTCGTGCTGCTTCTGAACTTCCTCCATGCCGTGGATGAGGAAACCGGAGAAGTAGGGGGTGTTTCAATCGACATTTTGAAGTCTCCCAAGTACCATGAGATCCAAAGCTTGAACTTCTTTTATTTCGAGCCAACCGACAATCTAATCCGCACATCTGAGCGTATGGCTTCGGCGAATGTGAATCGCCAACAAGCGAATCGCAACCGCGTTTCTGCCCCGGCACATCTAGGTGCAACTGGCTCAGGGAACGGGGGTTTAGGCCTTCCTAGCGCCCGTCGTGCGAAGAGCATCATGCTGGCACGTAATCTTGGTACCATGAGAAAGATCAAGGAAGAGAAGCGCCGCGAAGCACAGGCCGATCCAAACGACGATATGATCCTTCGGATCCTGCGCATGCGACCCGAAGCAGCGGGCTACCTTCGCGACCGTAGCCGTCAGAAAGAAAGATTGGCTGCTGCAGCTGCAGCAGATGCTATTGTGAAGCAGAGTCTTATGGCTGGAGTTGGAAGCCGAATGAGCGGGACTATTCCACGGCGCTGAGTTTTATAGTTGTTCTTTTTCTTCATTCTTGTTTCTCTTATTATATTTTTCATTGTCTATTCATGTAGCGATTGAAGTAAGCTTAGGATAGGATACCGTGGTTTTATTCGTAATCTTCTCACCCTTATTCGTTCAATCAGATCGGATTGTTTACTTTTGAGTATCTTCAATTATCTCGGCCCTCCTAGCGCTTCATATGTACTAATAGCTCTGGACCTACCCGAAATTGCGACATCTTCACAGTAAATTTCTTATTTCCGTCGGATAATTGATATCACACCAAAGTACATTATCGTGAGCTTCATCTTATGTGCATGAATCCCAAAACTCTGCTTTCCCACTTGCAAGGTTCTCCACTACGCTCCAACTTCAACGCAAAAAAGCCTTAAAACCCTTGGCTAGCCCAACTATGCAGACCGAAAAAGATCTCCCATCGGAGACTGGTCACTCAGTCTCAGCAAACTCATTTGAAATCACTGAGCTAGCCACCCCAAAACACCGACACCTTTACTTCGCCTACGGATCCAATCTATCGCCAAGCCAAATGAAGCTCCGCTGCAAACACAACCCAACTCTCTCTTCAACCCCACTAGCTATCGCATTCCTACCCAGTTGGAAATGGCTAATCTGCCAAGCGGGGTATGCAAATGTCGTCCCGCCACCAGGAATGCGAGTCGGAAAGCAAGACAGTGCCGCCGCGCACAAAATACCTGCATCCGGTACAGACGACGGTGTCTACGGTCTTCTCTATGAAATGGACCCGGCCGATGAGAGACTTTTGGATATGTATGAGGGAGTGGATCATGATGCGAAGAAGGCGGATAGGAGCGAGGTCCCTGTGGATATCCGGCCGCTTGAACAGGGGAAAGGCAGTTATAACAAGTGGTATCTACATGCGCAGGTTGTTGAGTGGATTGGCGATGGTGAACACCCGATTAAGACGGAGAAGAATGGGGAGGCTCTTGTGCTTGTTTATGTTGATGAGAATCGGGTAGTTATGGGCCCGCCGAAGACAGAGTATATTGGGCGGATGAACCGTGCGATTCGCGAGTCTGTATCTTTGGGAATTCCGGGGAGATGGATTGAGGATGTTATGAGACGTTTTATTCCAGTGGAATAAAAGAGTTACCCTCCAAGGTTGGAAAGCAGTTATTGTTAGAAAACGCTTGCTCTATAGGTTGCAGGTACTCCATTAAAGCCCTATCATGACTTAATATCTGGCCAATAAGCACCTCTTTGAATATCATATTCCCTTCTCCTCTCCAATCCAAGGCTTTATCTTAATTTCCTCATCGAATCACCTTTGAGTAAGTTTAGTATATAGCAACCTATCAGCTGATGTAAGGCTCCCCGCGAGGTACTTATATTAAGTACTTTCCCTCTTTCCTTTACTCTTTTTCCATATACTTGACTCAACCAAACTGTTCTTATCATCATGGGAACAAATATTTCTCAACCTATCGTGGCTAAGGACGAGAAGCTTTCTCAGGTCAGTATGGATACAGTCAAGGTGACACCCATCAAGCATGAGAATCGTTTGTCCTGCGACCAAGCTCCGCCACCTTACCCAGTTCAAGATCGAGCCCTGTCCTTGACGCTTCCTCACATGAGAGACTGGTCACAAAGTCTGCTGAGCGATCCAAAGGTTTGAATCACCAAAGGCCGAACTTGAAGCCTGTTTTACAGCTCTAACGAGTTCAAACAGAACCGCCTTGCCATCTCAACTTTTGCCGGCCAATCATTCACAGAGACCCTGACAGACCGTAGTGCACTCCAGTCTGATATTCATGTTTTCAATCTTGCCGTGCCAATTGAAGGTGCACCAATCACAAATCAACGTTCATCTGGACGCTGCTGGCTCTTCGCCGCGACTAACATCTTCCGCGTACCATTGATGAAAGCGTACCAGCTTAGTAACTTCGAGCTTAGTCAAGCTTACCTTTTCTACTGGGATAAGATCGAGAAGGCAAATTATTTCTTCGAGCAGATAATCGACACTGCCAGCGAAGATCTTTCTTCTCGTTTGGTCCAGAAGCTATTCCAGGACCCAGTTAGCGACGGTGGCCAGTGGGATATGGTCGTAAATCTGGTGCGCAAGTACGGGCTTGTCCCGCACGCAATATATCCAGACGCTTTCCATGCACAAAACAGCTCAAAGATGAACTGGCTGCTCACAGCCAAGCTGCGTGAGCAGGCTCTGGTCCTCCGCCAACTTGCGTTGCAAGATGGAGAAAAACAAACCCCTCATATATTGGCCACTACCAAAGAGAAATTCCTGCGGGAACTTCACTCGGTCATTACTCTCCTTCTTGGTCCACCACCCAGTCCAGATAAACCATTTGTCTGGCAATACTATGACACCAATGGAGTAGCTCATGAAGTGCGACAGACTCCAGTTGATTTCGCCCGACAGGCATCATATTCGCGATCTTTTCCACTTGGACAGAAGAGTCTATCCATAGATAGACTATTTAGTCTAGTCAATGATCCGAGGCACAAGTGGAATCAACTGCTGACGATCGACAAGCTCGGTAACGTGGTAGAAGGACGACCGCTCACGTATGTCAATGTGGAGATGCAAACGCTCAAGGGTGCGGTCATTGCAATGCTCAAAGCTGGACATCCAGTGTTCTTCGGTTGCGACGTGGGCAAGTTCCTCGACCGCAATCGTGGAGTTATGGACACTGATGTTATCGATCTTTCCCTCGGATTCAATTGTTCACTCGGCATGAACAAGGCTGAACGGTTGGCCAGCGGGGAGTCCTCGATGACCCATGCCATGGTCATAACTGCAGTGCATCTTCTCGACGGCGATCGGCCGGTGAGATGGCGTGTAGAGAATTCTTGGGGTGATGAGGCTGGAGAGAAAGGTTGGTTTGTGATGACTGACCGTTGGATGGACGAGTATACCCTCCAGGCTGTTGTCGACTTCAACTTTGTCTCAGCCGATGTGCGAGCCATTCTCGAGCAGACTCCTAAACTTCTTCCTCGATGGGATCCTATGGGGGTTCTTGCTTGAGATTAAAGGGCTTAGTATGCCAATTAAGTATCCTAATTGCTCAAGTTCAATCATAATCTTAGTTCCTTACTGGATCTGAATGTAGATCATTGAACGTAATGACTTATTAGTTTAGCGAGACTCTTTCTAGCGTAATGATTGACTTCCAAACATCGTCACCTCTTAATACCCAACTCCCTACCCCACTACCACTTCCTCTTTATAACTCCCCCATCACTGCTTTTCCAAGTCTTTTTTACGACGTTCCCATCTTAACATCGTGATCACTTCACTTACTTCTTCTCATCTCGGTCCATCTTGACCCTGACTTGAACCACCGGCTTCACCTTGGTTCCAAACCCTTTCTCCAAACGTAAGTCACTTTTTTTCTCATTTCTCATCTCACCTCCATCTCACTTTCACCTCAATTCCCAATGTCAACTTTGGTATTCAGTATCATGACTACTTAGCTTTCATTTTGCCAATGCTCAATTCTCATTATCATGTACTCTCGTGATCTGGATTGAGTTCTAACTATTCTTCCAGTCTCTCATCATGAGCGATGACACACTGAGCGACCCTATCGCGGAAGAGCCCGTCGCAGCAGAGCCTACTGGCAAGGAGTGCATTGTGTGCCAGGAGTGGCAGCCCAACGAGCAATTCGTCTCGAAGAAGGCCATCCTGGGCGATGGAAAGGCCCTGAACCTCACCTGCCGCACCTGCACCAACAAACGCCGCCAGGTAAGCCTTTCATTTTTGCAACGAAGGGAAAATTTCTAATGTATTTATAGACCCATATCATGAAGGAGCTGCGCACCATGACAACCCGCCATGGAGTTCTGTCGGCAGCAAACGCGGCCCGGCACCGTGAGGAGCTAGTTGAGCTGAACGAGTGGCTAGGTGAGACCGATAAATGGCAGAAGGTGGTAAAGGAAGTGAAAGATTCTTTGGCTAACATGGAAGGATTCATGGTACAGCTCAGAAGCTCAACCGGAGAGATTAGAGCCGTCCTTGCAGTGGGAGAACAGGCTGGTTTGCACCGGGTGGAGTTGGCAAGATTGCGAAAGCTCGTTGATGAGAATTGGAACTTCGAGCTCTCGGGCCGGTAGTCAACTCTCTCTCTCTCTCTCTCTCTCTCTCTCTCTCTCTCTCTCTCTCTCTCTCTCTCTCTCTTACTCTTAATATAGACTTCTTTTCTTTCTCCAAGGTTCAAATATTACTTTATGTTTTGGTACAATGCATCAGCGAACTGGAGGATACTTTCAATGAGTTAACTAGGTTGAATCCGTTTTCTTTCTCTCAATCTTCTCGTCTTCACATCGGTGACAGAGGTTTGAAGTGACTATACCGGGGTCTTGTTATAAGAAGCTGATTATATCCCAAGTTTCCAACTAAGTCGAGTCCACAAAACGTGTAAAACAAGGACACTTTTCGGTAGACTTTTTATAATATCTCACCGATTGGCAAAATTGGGACCTTGTCAGCCGAAAAATATCAAGTCTTTCTTCAAGAAGCGAGAACTAACTAAATTATAGTTCAAAGTCTCAAAATTAGTGGAAAAGAAGGGAATATAAGCTATTATCAAGGTTCCGGCGTTCCAAGGTTCTCTATTTGGTAGAACCCGACTTTGGTCAAGTACGAAATAAAATCAGCTTAGACAAGCCCATTACGACAATTGAACTACTTATTCCAAAGATATTGTACGTCAGACTGATACCTTACCCTCTTTGGAAAATATGTTCAAGTTTCTTTCTTGGTTTCACCTTATCATCTCGTCTACTACCACCGGAGCCAACTTTTCAGTCAAAAATCATTGAAGATGCGTGACTATACTCTAAGCAACTATTATTTGAGCGATACCATTTGCCAAAACAGCCTTATCCTTGTTAACGATCGTCGTAAAAACAAGAGACTCACTGCAGAATGTGATGACGACAGGTGGATACTGCATCGGTTCATGTTCCGCGTGAAGACTTTACCTTCTGGCGAGAACCCAAGCTTCTCCTCTATATGGGTAGAGGAAGTTCTGCCCAATATTCTCGAGCCTAAGGAGGGATTCTGGTATCTGGACGGTCCTAATGCCTACTACATCGACTACGGATGCGAAGAAGGCCCCATGAACCCGGACTCAGACGCAGAATGCTTTGAAAGGGGCCATGGCATCAATAATTACCTCCAGACTATCCTCAACTCATTCGGAAACCCAACGCGTATTATAGTCAATCCTCATGGCCGAGATGTTCTCAAATACTATTGGTGGGGTAGTTGCCCAGAATGTGATGGACATGGCTCGTTCTGCCCCCGTTGTAGTGGCAATCGCTGGCCAGATCTCCTTGGCAGCAGCTGTTCAGATCAGTCCTGTTATGTTTGTATGGGATATGATTTTGCCCTTGCTGATAAGATTGACATCATGGAACTGGACAGACTCAAGCGCATACTCTGTTCCGAAATCGGGAAGATGAAAGAGGGGAGGTCACGCTACACTGTCACCGAATTAAGGGAAATGAAAGAAGATGTCATTTTGGGTGAGAGGGAGAGATATGAGGCCATCAATCGCCGCAGGAAAGAAATGGAGCTGATACAAGAGGATGTCGAAGAGATATTGGAGGATACTGACATGTGGCTTTGGATCGACCCTGACCTCAAAGATAGTGAGGATATCGATGTTAGCGATCTGGGAAAAAGTGGGAATGAGACTGATGATAGTACTATCACCATCTAAGAGTCCATATGTACTTTTCCAAGGTTCAGGCCCTGTTGTTCTCCATATTATTATAGAAGATCCGTCCTTATGGCCGACTAACCTTCACTGTTTATTGGAATCTACAATCACTCTGTATTTTGTAACTACTTTCATTGTCATGTTTGTCCTTGATCAACAAACTTGGAAGCAAACTCCCTAGGCATTTATGCATCTTTTTCCTTTGACGCGGGCATTTTTGGGTTATCTCGCCGGGTTTCTCCCTCGCCTATTCAATATTTACTTAACTTGGAACTTTCCAAAGTTCTTGCTTGACAACTTTCATCTATCTCTGTCTCCTTTTTATCACTTTATCTCAAAATGGCGATGCCTGATCAGCCCAACGACTCGCAGTTCCTGTACCATCTCAGTCTGCTAAAGTTGGACACCAAGGACGATCAAAATGATATGTCTCTTACTCCAATCTTCAATGGACCGGCTCTGACCCACACGCCTAGACTCCGCTCATCGCAGTATGGGCTGCTGGGAGGAGCTAAATATGTCAACGTACCACATACCTCTATTACCGAAGATAACCAACTCAAAGACGATCGCCGGGTTTTCTTCAACGTTTCTTCGCCATCCAGTACCTTCATTTGTGGCTCTCAGGGCTCTGGCAAAAGCCATACCTTGTCATGTATGCTTGAAGGCTGCTTGCTCCGTTCTGAGGCAGGCAGACTTGAAAACCCACTAACTGCTGTTGTTTTTCACTATGACACTTTTATCAGCGATGAAGGCGGCTCCCCTTGCGAGGCAGCATTTCTGGCATCAAACCCCAACATCAAAGTCCGAGTTCTATGTGCTCCGACTAATATCCGAACTATCCAGGTAAGACGTAGTTTTTTTACTACATCACTGTCAATACTAACCTCTTTCTTAGGCAACCTACGAGCGTCTGAACATCGAGGTTGAGCCTTTACAGATTGATCAGGCTAACCTAAACACCAAACGTATGATGGACCTGATGTCAGTTGGTCAGGATGGCGGATTGATGCCCCTTTACATGCGTACTGTTCAGCGAGTTCTGCGTGAAATGCGTCTTGTACAACAGGAAAATGGAACAATCTTCGATTACAGCGCCTTCAAGAACAGAGTTCTAAGCGCTGATCTCATGCCCTCTCAACTCGAGCCTTTGAAACAGCGACTGGATACCCTTGAGAGTTTTATGCCCTCGCACCAAACAACTCTTCAGAGCCAGAGGTCCAAAAAGACCTCGGTCAATCATCAGTCAGGCGGCTCTAGCTGGAAACCAATAGTATGTCAACTATTTCACCAACAGATACCTAGGTATAAAACTAACCAAGCCAGCCTTCCCAACTGACTATTGTGGACCTGTCCTGTCCTTGTATCTCCGCCGATACTGCCTGCTCCCTTTTCAACGTCTGCTTTGGGATTTTCATGGATCAGAACACTAAAGTCGGAAGAATCGTCGCCCTTGATGAGGCTCATAAGGTCTGTGAATGGAAAAATCAGGAAATATTGCTGCTAACAACGTGCAGTATATGAGCAACTCCATTGAAGCCGAAAACTTTACCAATACCCTTCTGTCCACTGTTCGACTGCAACGCCACTTGGGGGTTCGTATCATGATCTCAACCCAGGAGCCGACAATTTCTAGTGCCCTGCTCAGCCTATGCTCAGTCACGATCGTCCACCGATTTTCTTCTCCCGCATGGTCTCGGGCACTACAATGCCACATAGCTGGTGCAGCCTTTGATAAAAAAATCCACAGAAATGCGACCCGTGGTGAAGAGGACGAAGAAAGCATTCGAAAGCCGAGTGAAATGGCTATATTTGATCAGATTGTTAGCCTTCAGGTGGGCGAGGCTTTGCTTTTCTCTCCTAGTGCTATCATCGGGACTTCGGCCAAGGATCCCGGCGCCTTTACATTCTCTCGACTCGGTTCGGGGTATGTGGTTCTCAAGGTTAGAGACCGCTTGACGGAAGATGGCGGAAAAAGTATTGTCTCACTTTAAACACGAGAACGAGGAAGGTAGTTTTTGGTGCTTGATTTTTTTCGTTTAATTTTTGTTTGTTTAATTACGTTTGAGGAGAGATATCATGAATTTGGAATGAAGTCAGCTTAGTGAAGTATCTTGTGTTATGATGATTCAAAGCTTCACCCAAGTAGCGTATTTCCTTTCCCAATTCTTGGCTTTCCCCTGTTTTAGTGCTCAGTGCTTGACGCTCTTTGCTCACTGAGTAGAGCTCCAAGAGGGTATCAGTGACCGTTATGTAATCGTGCGACCGCCCTCACTGAGCATCACCTTGATCGTCACCTTAGTTACGGTCCAATTTATCATTCCGCGGGTTCCACAAGATCCCTAAAGGTTAACTCCACCCACTGATAATGACCTAGGGCAACCGAACACCCTACCAGCTCAACCGTTCCACTCCGTCCCGACCAAGACTTTGTTAGTCGTGGGTCATCTAGACCGGTCGTCTAGACCAGATGGTCAACTTGTGGTAGAAGTTATGATGATCAGCGCATCGGGGTTTGTCTCGCGCTTTAACAAGCGGTTCAATATTCGAGCTGTTTTAGAACCTGGAAAGATCAAGTTATACAACATACCATTACTGAACAATGGAATAACGGGAGATCATGCGCGGCGATAAGATCGTCCTCGCAAAAGCACTTTTCGTGGTTATATAGTCCTGGCAGACGGATCCAAGTTCAGTCTTGAGGATGTGAGCACTCTAAGGGATCGCACTGGACTTGCGTCAGTCGGTGGAAACTTATAATAGTGGTTGGATTGGGAGTTTAAGGCTTTTCTGTTCCTCGAAACCGAGTTCTTTCACTAGAATGTGCCTATCTAGGTCGAGCAAGATTTCCTTTACGCTACAAGAACTCCAGAAGTGTATTGATTGGGTAATGTCTGTTGGCGTAGAAGTATCGAGCGCGTTTTCTCTTTTCAATGTTAGGTCATATACTCTCTGTTGAGATTCATGGTGCACCAGGATATAATGCCTGGTCCTTCAGGCATGAATATCGTGATCACCATTGGACCTACCATTGAGAGTATAGTTCAGGAGAAATGCTCTCCATTTATATAGGATCTCTGTCTCATTGAGAGAGATCAGGCTTAAACAACCTCGCTAGCCTTGACATGCATGCTTCCCCAGTACATCATTCATCGTATATTTTAACACCCTCTATACCTACATAGTCTGCATTCTGCCGTTCAGCTTCTTCTTCCTTACGCACCCTTTTCATTTCGATGGTTCGTATCCAATATGATTCTCCGCCAAGTTTGATCACAAAGTTGTACCACCACAAGTCCTCCTACTTGACCCTCAATGCAGTAGCGAAATTCCAATATTCAGTTTACCAGCCTGCCGACTCCCAGTCCAAAAAACTAGTGATCCTGCCTCTTGCACCAAAATATTATGGTGCTTTTGATCACTGTAGGTAAACACAACGCGATAAGGTAAGCTCCCTATAATATAGGCTCGATTGAGGGCATGATTGTACTCTAACCCATAGGACCCTGTGGAATGTAGTATATTGCACGATACACACCAATCAAAGAGTCGGAAAAAGTGGGAGGAGTGAGTACATTCCACGGGGTCCCATGGGTTAGGAGTAGCTTATCTTTAGTCTCTGTCGGGATACTCAGGTCGTGAGTATCTACAATAGCTTGCTATTGGACTTCAGCTTACGCCGCAAGTGGTCTACTTTTGCGTGTAGTACGTGCGGTAGTTGTAAGTTGTAAGAAGTGGTTGATTATCAAGAAACTGCTGCTATGGTTATGGTACCTGGAAGTCACATGATAAGCATGTGGCTTCCCACCCGATAAGCGGCGAGTGATCCCATGATAAGCATGAGATGATAGTACCAACAGTCTCTTTCAGTCGGTTTTTTTTATCGCTAGTAAGTCGGGACAAAATAGTTTCAAATTCGCACCTTGCTGGCGCTAGTACCCTTTTGGTGTAGCCTGTGAAAGGACTGAGTGCTCAATAGATGGCACTGATCGATCTCTGAGCGCCCTCATTAAAGCGGCGGTAGCTGTTTTAGGAAAGCCCCACCAGGGAAAGGAAATCTGCTACATACAACATACATCTGTAGTAGATTTTTCTCAAGACTGGCCTATGACCAATGCTTTACTTGCTGGATGGAAATTTTTGTTTTAGAATAATCTATCATCTACGAGAACAAAAAGAAAGACATCATCTTATCAGCCACATCATATCCGATTGACCATGAGTTGAAATTATATTCAAGTAAAGCGATCATACATCGGCCATGACCCATATTTGGTGCCTTAGTTATAGATCAAACTCCTACAGTTCCTCCCATGTCTCTCATTCTCTAAGCATCTCTCTCCATCTCCACCATCACTAGCATTTTTCATAATTCATTACCATCTATGATCATCTAAGATCATCACTTGTATCATTCAGATTGCACCCATTCCATTCCATTACGTGTAGCGCATGTCCATTACTTAGTTTGTCTCGCTGGAATGCCCAAATACCGATACTTTAACCGCAGAGAATGATTCACACTCTTTTATTTTTATGTCCACATACTTAGAGCCCCTAGTTTTATCCTACCATATGACAAGTAGACAATGGAGGAGAGAGAAGAGCAATAAGGCCCTTTAAGCATCTTCATGCACGTAATTGTGGCTCAATGGTAGACGATCCTCGTGCTACTGATCAGTTCTTATATCTTTAGGTAATTCTTCGACTGGGCCGACATGATTCTTGTTAAGTTGTACACAAGTAATCTACTTAGGTAGTTGTTATCATGTCAGGCGGTATCCTCTATGAAACAATGTCATGTACCTCGGTCTGTACTGGATTGACTATATCACACTAAATTCTCGAGAGCCCACTCTTCTGCCGTAATGGCGGGAATTCTTTGCTGGTGATTCCACGTCTCTGAAAGATTCCAAGCTACGCCTCGACCTTGACCAAATACAGCCTGATATTTGAGGAGGCCGTTGTCCGGATCCTGCACCAAAGCAGCCTGGATGTCAGCGACAGCAAGGTCATTTCTCCTCACAGGCTTTTGAGTAACCTTCTCCACCAGAAGCGCAAGTTGCTCATAGCTGACTGTGTCGCCTCCGACAAAAATTACACGATCAGTAAAGAGAGCTTCAGTTTCATCTCCAAGTACAATTTCAGCCGTGAACTTTCCAATGTCTGTGGGTGTTGTCACGGTAACTCGATTCTCCCAGGCTCCTAGCGCAGATACAGTCATATTGCGCAGATCCACCACGCCAAAAGCTGGTTCGAACAGAAAACTGGTAAACATGCCTGTAGAGATAATTACCCAACGGGTTTTCGTTTGCGACCGAAGCAGATCACGGACATCGAGCTGCTCATCGAACAGATCCTGGGGCGACCCGCGCCCGATGGTATCATAATCCACTCCAAACTGCCATGGAATAAATCGTGGCACCGCTGCTGTCAGGATGGAACGAGCTACTTTCAGTTGGATTCCTTTACCAGATACGAATCCGGTGCAGCTTATAACCGTGTCATAGTCCTCAAAAATGGACGTTAGAGTGGGCTCACTGTCTTCGATAATATCACCGGGAATCAAATGGATACCGAGGTTGCGCAAACCCTCAATCTCTTTCTGCTTCGAAGGATTCGTCGATGAAATACTGGTGGGACGTAGTAAGACAGCCACGGACTTCTCTTGGCTAGGATGATGGAACAGGGAACGCAAGACCTGGTAGCCCAACTCTCCAGCTCCTATGACCAGAATTTTCTGCAGTTTGCCCATAATGCAATCTTAGAAAGCTTGAGACATTTTCTCCTCTAAATTTTCCAAATTTCCAACCTAGTCGTGACGTAGTTAACTATTCTTTTAGTAATAATTGATAAGCAAGGCTCGCTAGACGGACATAGTTTTCCTATCTCCGTCTGCGTGTCAACACTCTTGTTGAGGAGTGCTCGATTTTGCATTGGCGACCGCCATTAAGCTCTGAGGCACGTTCACAAACAGCATTATCATTGATACTGTCGCGAATTATTTTCACTTCAGCATATATATTGGCATTGAATTCATCATCTGGGAGGGGCTTATAGTTGCCCGGCCTTGATTTCATCAAATAGGTGGTAAGTGTATAAAATGTACTTGTCATCACAAGTGTGAGATGGCGGAAATCGATGTATTATGCAAATTCGGCGATTGCCTCGCACACAGTAACCAAATGCGCGTACATTTGGTGACGTACAGCTCAAGAAATCAAAACCTATCAAGTGTGGATGTCATGGCACGTTATCAGACGAAATGACCCCAACAGATAGGGCTATCTCAGTGATACAATCAAGACACATAATCCTTGCATTGAATCAATGTTGGTGTGACAAAAAGCCGTTGCATTAGACAAGAGCAGTATTCTCGAGATACCCTTTCCTCGAGTCTTCATGGGTGTATAACCCACGTATCGAGCGGCAGAAGGGCTCTTTTATGAGGATGTATCTTTGAAATGGAGTTGCGGGTCTGGTTACGTGGATATAGGTGGCTGATAGACATGGTGCCCAGGTGGGCATAAAAGTGGCACCCAGGGCATGAAAACGCACCTATGAGATTCATCAAAATATTGATCGAAGTCAACAAACCTGAAGGCCCGGGGTGAGAACCACATCAATTTCCAATTACATTATCCTTATTCCACATAAATATGGATACTGTCATGGAGGACGAGATAGTTGCAATTGACCGTCCATGGATGTCGCGATATCTGGAGGGTTTTTCCTTTCGATGTGTTTCCCTGTATCCATTGATCCTTTGTCAAATGCAGAGACGATTTCCACCTTTGATCATTCTCTTATTTGACTGAGTACGTAGTAGTTGCCCAGCCAAGGCAAGGTCACAGATGTCCACTCTACCGGTTGCTACTCCACCGGACGACTAGGTATGGTCATAATGTGCGAAAGCTTCACCAGCTCATTAAGAATGGACTAAGTCTGAATTGATCAAATTGTCAAGGTTGTCGAAAGGTATCTGTCTATAATTGTTTAATATATGTAATGAAAAATTGCGTTTTATGCCGGGGTGAACAAAGGTCCACCAACTCCCCACTGCGGAAAATCTCGATCCGCAGGAAAGAGAGAGAAAAAAAAATAAAAGCACAATACCCGCTCAAGCAGTAAAAATCAGATAATAAGCTTAAAAAAACGGGTTCGTAGGTTCCGGAGCGACTGGTCGGGCGTATTTTTACACCGCCACAATCCGCGGGTATTTTTGTAGCGGGGGACAATGCACTTTTTGGAAATCACGACCTATGACTATGGCCTAAATTACTCCTGGCCAGTAAGGAGGGTGTGGACGGGAGCGGGGAGCTTGTCACGTCCATGAAGGAATGCGAGCTCGAGGAGGAAGACGAAGCCGATAGGTTCACCACCCAGCTTCTTGATCATTTGGCCGGCAGCAAAAGCAGAGCCACCTGTAAATATTTATATTAGATAACTATATTAGGATAGGGAAAATGGGTGGGTGAGAGAACATACCAGTGGCAATGATGTCGTCGATAACAAGAACCTTCTGGCCAGGCTTGATGGCATCGGATTGCATCTGGAAGAAGTCCTGGCCATACTCCTTCTCGTAGCCCTGGGTCTCGCAAGGACCAGGGAGCTTGCCCTGCTTGCGCACAGGGACGAAGCCGGCACCAAGGCGCAGAGCCAGACTGGGACCCATCAGGAAGCCACGGGCCTCAAGACCAACGATGACATCGGGCTTCTTGTCACCGTAGTTGGCGCGAACATGGAGCTCCAGGGAACGGATGAGAGCCTCATGAAGAGTGGGATCGGCAAAGATAGGGAGGATATCCTCAAACAAAATTCCTGGGGAGGGGAAGTCTGGGAATTGACGCAGGGCAGCGCGCAGCTTTACCTTAAGACTGGCGAGTTCGGCGGCGCTGGTGGCATCGGAGGAGGTGAGGCCGGACGCTTGAGCGGAGGCATGAGGAACAGTGGATTGGGACATGATGAAGGAAAGAGGGAGGATGAGGGAGGGGTAAAAAAAGGGAAAGGGTTTGTACAGTAAAAAAATAAAAAATTAGGGATAAAAATCCAAAGCGGTAAAATTACGGAGGTTTGATAAGCCGATAGCTAACTTACTAAGTAAGTTGCCCCTCTCGAGTCTAGAATGCCCGCCACATTTTCCTTTTCCTTACTTATGAGGGGGTAAATTTGTATTGAAATGACTCTGAATTAGCGGTCAGGCTAATTCTAAGGTCTGTGCATATGGTTTTCAAGTAATAGTTTGATTCTAAAGTGGTTAGTATCGTGACGTTCCTCCTATGTCCTACTATACACCTCTCTACCTATCAAGGCTTCATGCAAGACATAAATTCTATGATCTGCACATGTAAAGAAGTGTTGTACCTCGGTGTTGCGGTGACTTCTATGCATGAATTGCCCACTTTCTTGTGCGTGGTAAGCCTTGGGGACTGAAGGGTGCTTTCTTTCATTGATCCCGGGCGAATCACATAATGGGGTCCATCACACCATATGGGGAAGGTTGCTATTTTTCCTTGTTTATTAAATGCTGAGTATGTGATAAGAGTCCCTAAATCCATCCACAGTGGAGTGGTCCACATTCCATTGAGTTAATATGTTGGTACTTACAGAGTACTCTATGGAAGTATAGGGTTATATCAGACCATCTAGACGTTCCAGACCACACACACACTTGACATGCAGGTGGCTGGCTACATGGGGCACTTGACATGCAACCTTGGATGTTTGACTTGGGCCACAGACCCATGCTATTGAAAGAATCCAATCAGTCCTATGTATGTCATATATCGTGATTCTGAAACTTTGGCTACTTGGATATTCCCACACATGCAGCATGAGGGGAATCTATCACTAGAGGGTCCAGACGTTTTATGCAGGCAGGAGCTTGTCTAACCTGCAGATGAGTGGGGGTACAATCCTCATACTCATTGTAGGGCGACATGATGAGGGGTAAGTGCGATTCCCAAGCAGAACTAGATGGGAGTATTCCGATATTAGCTTTATCTATATGCTGGAAAGGGGATTTGACGTTTTTCTGTGTAGATTCATGGATGTGTCTAAGAATAAAAAATAATGAGGAAGTATTCCGTAGATAGATACGGATAGATTGATTAAATAGGGGCGAAGAAAGGAAAAAAAAAATATTGCCGAACGGGGGGTCTCGAACCCCCAACCTTGTGATTAAAAGTCACACGCTCTACCGATTGAGCTAGCCCGGCAGAGCTAATTATTAGTTGTTAAATATTTGTCGTTATATCGAGATACGTACTATTTACATCCAACGACTTCAATTATGAGTTAAGTCTATACTAGGATGTTTGCAAGGTTCAAATATGTCATATCCAGTCATTTTGTATAGATAAATACCTATTCCCGAGTGCTTGCGAGGCTCTATGCATCCAAGTGACAGAACTTCCCAAGGCTCCAAGGTGGTATCGAGAATTTATACTTAGGTATAATTGCTAAATATATATCCAACCTTGGAAGTACGCCTCCAGATGCTCACACCCGCATATGCATATTATATTATCCCAAGGTTACATCCTTAGGTTTGTAGGTGCTATAAAATATATACAGTCATGAGTCTTTCAATATGATCGTCCATTAACCGAACTTGCACCGTTCGAATGTTACAAGGGTTGATTTTAAGACCTTGGGTAGAATATGACTAGGTGGATATGGATACCAATCAAGCCAACCACTATAATGAAGACACGTGACACACACGGACCATCTCGCTTAGTGTTTTGCCGACTAACGCCATCAGCTATAAAATGTCTGTCTTTCCTTCTCCTGTCATCTGCCCCTGACTATCACTGGTCTTTGCACCATCCCAAATGGAGTGATGCTCTTTGATGTGACAGGAGTTTTATTTCATTTTGTAATTTATTCTGACAACTGGGCAGTGATCAATCATGTCGCCTGCCCCTATTACTGAGGATACGCAACCGGATCTGCATTCTGACCAACTGCAAGCTGTGGGCAAAGCTTTTGATGCCCTTCTACTAACACTATATCAACTTACCAACAGGCACAATGAACTCAAGCACCATGCAGAGGATATTTTTAAGGAGGTAAGATACTTCATATACACTCTACCCTCTACCCCCTTCCCTGCCGTATCTGGCGTCTCATATGATGAGAAACTTAGCTCTAGATCAGGAGTCACTTATGTGACGATGACGGATTAACATGTATTATCTGAACGAGACCTTGACTTGAATTTCATTTTAAATATTTCATACACGACGTTGATGCTAACTTCATCTTCTCAGTTTACCAATGTCACCAGACAACTGGCACCCCACGATAGACCTCATGCGATGGATATACAACAAAGATTACTGGATGAGCAGAAAGAATTGTGTCTAGGGGTGCAAAGCAAGCCACGAATCGAAGAACAATCCCTAAATTCCATGGACGTAATCAAGACACTCGTTTCGCATCAGAATGTAGACGAAAACGCCATTCAGGCAATAATGGCAGGAATTAAGGGCTACAAGGCCATGCTCCGCTCCCAAGATGACCCCTCCCGAACATCCAACTCGTGTATCCTCGCTTACGGACCAGACCTCTCCAAGTCCCTTGAGCGAGATTTTACAACGAATGGTACGCAGGGCAGTCTTCACTGCCCTTTCTCTCAGAACGAAATGAATGGAAAGAGTGACGGTCCTAAAATTCAAATTGATTCCTGTGGTCAAGCTGAGATGGATCCCATCAAAGCCGAGTTGGAAGAGCGACGCCTTAGCACAGCCCCGTCTGCTCCATCTGCTCCGTCAATACGATCATCCCAATGCCCCGTGTCCCGATGCCCGATTCGATTCCTGGACAAACACTCACCTGAAGAAATTGCTTCATATGTTGAGCGCCACAAGCATGAAATCCCCCGCAGCCACGCCATATGTGTCAAGCGATACCAGAGAGATCCCCAGAACATGCGACAGTTGGACGCAAAGTACGGAGGATTGATCAACATGATTAGTGGACTGTCGGCCAAACACCAGATCTTCCTTCCAAACCAACCGACCAACGGATATGATGGCGATGGCGCTTCGTCGCGTGCACCTACTGAGAGGGTTGAGAAATGGGCAGAAACCGTGGACCCAACGACTGCATCAATACATGACGAGAATAAAGATGAACGGGAAGGACGCTTCGAACGCCCGGATCGCCCACTCCGCGAAGTTCGGTTGGGTGAATCCCCAAGCAGGCCTTGGGGTATTCCCGTGCCAATAACCCAAGAAGCCAATTCTGTACCTGTCCATGCATCAGCATCTACTCTCCTATCCCCCACAGCCCATGAAAACTCCCATGAGAAATCACCCGAGATTCCGACCAAGCCGGTTGATGGCTGTCCGTTTGGACACGGTGCCCCCAATATGACAGACCCCAAACCTGAAGTCCAACCAGATCCAGAACCTGTACTTGATGCCCCCAAACTCGAGTCTCCATGGGCCAACTGGGGAAACAGCAACACAGCTGGTACCGCTCCAAAGACCGAGGAACCTTCAAAACCCAACACAAACTCAATACCGGCGAATGTGATCTTCAACGGCCCTGTTTTCTTCGGATACCCCTCTGAGCAGGTAGCTACTCTGCTGCAACAACTCGGACAATTGAGTAAGCACTGAGCTCGGCGCCGACCTTGCATTGTATTATCTTTATTTTTCTTCCCCGTTTATCACCTTTAATACTGGAGTTTGGCGATACCACAATGACGACGACACGACCGTAGTATTTCAATAACTGAGCGAATGAAACCTACATCTTTTTACTATGATCTATCACTACATCCATCTAAAAAACGTATCCAATTTAGATAATTATTTTCCGAGTATGGGCGGGGGAAATTCAGCGATATCGGAAAACTCCACCAAAAGAATTTTGGGTGCAGGCGGGGTTCGACGGCAATTCCACGTTCAATATTATCTCAACCATGTGGCGCGCTACCCCTCGTCTTCAAGCTCTCTCTCGTGCTTTCAACGTCACCCCTATCGTTTCTCATCCTCAATTCACCTCCCCCAGAATGTCTTCCAGCTTGACCGCCATCACCGCTAAGGATGCCTGCCCTCGTGAGTTTTTCCCTGCCGGACATCGGCCAGCTTCAAAACTCAATCGCTAACCTGACGACCTGTATAGCTGCCGGCCCTTACGTACGTTCAGATTCCCCGATTATTTCTTTTGCTCTGTTACTACATCTTTCTATCTACTCATAAACCCCTCTATCACTTTCCTATTGCATCCCAGTCACTCGTAATGACTCAATCTCACCGACCCCTCCCTCATCGCCAAACCTTATATAAAGTACAATAATTAACACAATATACAGTCCCAGGCTATCCGTGCCAACGGCCAGATCTTCATTTCAGGCCAGATCCCAGCCGACGCTTCCGGAAACCTGGTTCAGGGCAACATCGGTGTCCTGACCCAAGCCTGCTGTGACAACATCAAGGCCATCGTGTCCGCTGCTGGTTCCGAGGTGTCGAAAATCGTCAAGGTCAACGTAAGCTACACACACAACACTTGCAATGGATACTTTTCAGTTGCAGGTCTGCTTTCGATTTATTGAATTTGTGTTGCTAACCCTCTTTTTCAAAGGTCTTCCTCACTGACATGGCTAACTTCGCTGAGATGAACGCTACCTATGAGAAGTTCTTCACTCACAAGCCTGCTCGTAGCTGTGTTGCTGTTCACCAGCTGCCTAAGGGTGTGCCTGTTGAGATTGAATGCATTGCTCTGGAGTAAATCTGGAATTGTGCTCCATAGCTAAGAATTGAATTCCATTGCTTGGACTTTTGTTCCTATTGTAGTTATTCAACTAGCTTATATAGGCCTTCCATATATATCTAGGTATACCAAGCCGTCGTACATAGTAGTGGACATAGACCTAGGATTAGTCAAGAGAAAATTCGTTCCAACGTTGAATTTCGTTACTACCATAAACTGAAAGTGTACCTTCGACGTTCATTAATGATAGGACGAATATATTGTATCACGATGGATAATGAAATGACATAGGTTAACTAGGTATAGGCCAATATCAAATATTCCGAAATTATTTCTATTCATGTATTTTCGCCTTCCCCGGGTATAATAAGCCGATTAAATGATATACAAATTGGTGATAGGCACACCCTGAGATCGCATCCTATACCGCCTCTTGATCCCGATACCAGTTGCAGTACGAAGAAGCTCATATGTCTCATCGCCACCACCAACCATGACCATGCTGACGGGGTTATTGCGCGGGATACCACTAGCGGTTATTTGGCTTTCGTCAATATGGGGTCGAATCAAGGTTGACTCGGCGCGTAGGGCAGCGAGATGAGGGACTGGTTCGGGGTTCTCATCGTCATATAACTCTTCTTCAATCTTCGCTTCTTCAGGGGTTACATCGTAGGAGACTACAACGACAAGTTTCAATGCTGCACGTCCGGGCCGGTATGCGGCTATGTTGCGTAGTTTTTGAGAGAATGTGCAGCTGCCGCGTTTGATTACTAGCACCTCGTGCGTCTGGACTATGTCGCGAAGGATGCGCTCGTTGCAAAGTTCGTCGGCGAAGTATATCGTTGACCATGAGAGATGGGTCGTTGGCTGGCTGCCGAATAGAGGTACGGTGGTAGCGTCGTCGACTTCAGGGAGTGGGGCTGCCCCGACACCCGTGGGAATGGTAGCTGGGAGGCTCAGGCGAATTGGAGCTGGTTGGTTGGTGTCATCGCGGAGTAGCGAGGACACTGAGTTTACCAGGGACGATAGCATGGTCTTCATAGGGGATTCAACGACGGGGTTGGCGACGGGCTTGCTACCGTGGAGGTGTGACTGTGGATTCTGCGAATCGTCTGCAGTTTTTGCTTCAGTTCTTGGATAAGCTGAGCCATTTCGTCGGCGAGAGATCTCTGGGAGAGCGTCAATGACGAGATCGAGCACAGTGGTGTCGCGGATCCGGGTGAAGTGCGGGTCATATGGATCAACGACGTCAAATGTAAGTTGGCGTGAAAGATATACCTTCTCATCTTTGCCCAGAGGCACATTGTTAATCACTTGCACCCGGTATCCATCCTCGTTCTTGTCTGCCTGGTCGCCTAGTGGAACATCTTGAATCATGCTGAATCGAAGACCCCCAATGGCTTTGATGAAAATTCCATCTTGGACTCGTTCTAAAGCTCCCGGGCCTAGGTTGAGTCCACCGGGTATAGTTGGGAAGGAAATGTCAAGTGTTGGACGAATGACCATTGGTGAGCTGGTAGCGTCGGATGGCACAAAGTGTGGAGGCAGCGTCCACGGATAGAATGTATAGTTACTCGGCGATGACAGATCGGATACAGATACACTTGAATGTTCAGGTGACTGAGATAAGATAGGACCTTGAGCGCTACTCTGAGGCCGGAGATGTAAACGAGCCAAGCTAGCAGCGTGGAAAATATCAGATCGCGATGCAGTTACTGATCCCCCAAAGGTTGATGGTATAGGGATTGCCTGGCATGTATTGCCGGCGAAATTGGGAACTGAAGGTGACTGTCCACGACGGAGAGGAGCGACTCTGGTTTTCTTTGGAATAATCAGAGGATGACCCTCCGTATTAAAGATCCATGGCGCATCTAGATGATTCAAGGGATGCTGCGGTGTGAAAAGAAGGAACATGTACTTGGCAGTTTCCCCTAGGAAGAAGCTCTCCATCCGATCAATCATTTCACCAGTCTGGACATTCCCCAAGCCTGCCCATCCGCATTTAGTCCAGCATCGTCGTTTGATATCGCGGAGGACCATCTCTCCCACATGCAAGTACCAGGGATCTTGTGTTGCTCGGTAGATATAGTACGTGGACTCGATAAATTCTGGCCGACCTCCGTACCAAGAAAGACCATTATCGATATCACCGGTAGCCACATTCCACCGCTCTGGTAGGCCGGAAAAACGAGTCCAGATCGCAGTGGTCAGCAAATGAATTTGTATAGCTTCATCCAGCTTGCCATCCAATGCCAGAAGCCCTGGATAGTATGCACTCAGGCTATCGATCCAAAAGGCTCTAGTAGCGCCGGTCATGAAATCACCGACAATGAGATGGGGATGCTGATATCCCTCACCTCGGTATAGGTGGCGGTTTATGGAGCTGTGTGAATCTTCCCAGACCTGAAGGAAGGCATAGGCAGAGTGATGATACTCGGTCAAAGGAGTGTAATGGTTATCCAGAGACTTCCATGGGCTATTTGGATTGAAGGGGGGCCTCTCTCCCTCGGAGAGCAGAACATGGGACTTGAACGCGTATTCATAGAAACTGTCGATACCAGCGCCAATCTACAGATTGTTAGGACATATTGCAAATAAGGAACTTGGAACTCTCTGCTTACCCCCGCGTAGGATCCAACCCATTTTCCCGACTCGGCATCAATGCCAAATCCAATCAAGCCAATTTCACTTCGGTGAGACCAAACTGCCCAAAATGCCCTCTTGGCCAACTCTTCATACCGACCGTCCCCAATGAGCCGGCTCAATACTGTAAATTCGAGGACCAGGCTACCGGCACCGGCACTACAAGTCTCTGTGATTTCCGTCAAATATGCAAATTGTGATTTTTGGCCGTTCTTTGAACTAGGCTTCTTAAAATTGAGAGGCGAATTTTCATAGAACGGAATTCCATGTCTTAGATTCACTCGCGGATATGGAAGACCTGTTTTCGTGTAAAATGAAGGGAGGAGACGGTCCGCCAAGTCAACTGCCAATCGCAGAAGCTGGCCATCGTAGACAAAGCCGTTATTCCACGGAATACCATGGTCTTTGTCTGAGAAGCTGCTTTTGTCCCATGCGCTTGCAAAGGCAGCCTCTTGTTCTGAGGGTTGGTATCCGGTAATAGGAAGTTCACCGACGGCGAAAAGGTGGGAGCTCAGCAGTCCGCCTGCAAGGTGTTAGCCATTATATAGAATATGAGACTGCTGCAATATGTTTAGATTGCAGCCTTTGTGACTCGAATATTCATACCAAGTCCTCGGATCACAGTCTCAAACACCTGCACCTTGCTATCAATATCAAATCCCCTTGCCCTCTCACCCTGTCCAGCAGGACCTGGTGACCCATCTCCGTATAGTCTGACAAAGCTTTCCACACCATTTTGAAAATGCGCCAAAGCCTGATCACCACTCTCCGGGCTCGAAGATAGGATTGCAAGGGTCGATAAGCTGTCAATCAAGGTCAAGGAATAATTGCCGAGGACATCATTGTGGTCATTATTAGTCTGATCACGAGTGAGGGCACGGCAGCTAATTGGGCGCAATTCGTCTTCGGGAAAGGCGTGCGTAAGATAGTTTTGAAAGCCATGGTAGAACATGCGTTCAGTTTCTTGCCTGCGAGACTCGAGCCAGGGTCAGCGGGATGACACTACATACGCCAAGAATCAAAGGACGTACCGGAGATCTTTAATTTGGTCATTTCTCATCCCCTGTGCTAGAGTTACCCATAGCGACAGCAGGATAGCCCAAACCACCATCATCCATGCGTGACGGGGGTAGAGCATATGTAAGCTCCAACATCGCGTTGGCATAACCAGGGCAGACTGCAGCAGCGGGGCATGGAAGGGTCAGACGAGGAACCGTCTTTTGATTTCAATAATACCACAATTCAGTCCTAGGGCAAAGCGATGAGGATAAAAGTGCTCAGGGCGATAGAATGGAAGTGGGAAGTGTGGATACCAAGGTACGGACAGATAAGCCATTTCGGGAATCTTCTTTTTGGTCTCGTGCTAGAGATTCTGAACTATGAGACGAACTCCCTTTTTTTTTTCCTTTTTTTTTTTTTTTACCAATAATATTTATGTACTAATCAAAGTAGAGTATTAACTTGGATGGAGTTAAAATTTGAGAAGCCTGTTCAGCTTCCATATAGTACACGGATATCATCGTGATTGAAAAGACTCCCAACGCCCGCTGAACAAAAAGATTCTATTAACGATCCTTACTTCTTCAGTTCACCAAGAAGAAGGGTGCGATCGGATGAGCAAGAAACAACTAAATAAAGTCAGTTAGCAAATTGCCTCACCAAGAATGGAAAGGATGCTTACTAAGTGGCTCGTCGTTGGGCGACAAGCGGACGTCGTTGACGGAACCTGTGTGACCTGGAAGTTTGTAAAGCATCTTCGCGGTGTTGGAATCCCAAACGACAGCAGTGCCATCGCCACTTCCTGCAGCGATCTTATCGCCTGTGTGACTCCAGCTGGCACGAATAAGATTCACGTCTAGGCCCATGGGGGCACCATCGAAGTATTTGATGTGACGATTGACGGAGGCAAAAGGTCGAATGTCCCAAGTTCGGACCGTGTTGTCGTGTGAGTTGGACAGAAGGGTTTGCGAGTCTGGCGAGATCTCAAGCGAAGTAATGGTATCGTTGTGACCGGTCAAGGTGTAGACCACGGAATTCTTACGCAGGTCCCAGACACGGATCGTGTTATCAATTCCACCACTGTACATCTCAGTTGCTGTCTCTGAGATCGCAACAGCGGTAATGGGGAGTTGAGTTTCAAGAAACTCCACGGGCTCCTTTTGGCGGGGGTCCCAAACACCCACACAGCCATCGTCACTGCCACTAACCAACACTTGCTCTCCCCGCTTAGAGAGGGCAATTGCATTGACAATCTCCTCATGAGCATCATGACGACGAATCTTTGTTCCAGTCGCCAAGTCCCAATTTACTACAGTTTTATCTGCCGATGCTGAGAACAATGTTTCCGAGTCGCGTGACCATTGCAGGTCCATCACAGGGCCTTTATGCCCAGTTAGTTTGCCGTAGTTGTCGCATTGTCCGAATGTGTTCCAAATCACTATATAACGAAGGTGAAGTCAGTCGATGTTTCGAGAATTCCTGTATTGTGTAGTACGTACAAATGCTTCGGTCCACTGAACCAGATGCGATGTGCTGACCAGTCGGGTCAAATCGAACAGCAAAAATTTCTCCACTATGACCTGGTGTTTCGTTGTTAGTTTGAATAGATGCATTTATTCAGATTATCTAACCTGAGAGCTTCATGATCGGCGCCGGCAGAGCGCTGGTTCGGGGCATCTGCGCATAGTATCAGTCAAAAATCGAATGGAATAAACATGCATTAAAGAATTCGCGCTAAAGCTTACCGACTTGATAAGAGCTCCTCCATTCTGGGAGCTCTTAATAACAGCTGAACCAGGGACATCTTGCTTGGTGCGCTTAACAACGAGCTCGCTCGAGGGACCAAATGCTTCTGGGGCAGGCCGTTTTTCAGACATCACTGGTAATTGATGTTTCAAATACAGAAAAAAAGAGAAGGAAAAGTGTGTGGAAGGTAAAATTCAAGGGAAGAGAAAGATTCCATAATCTGTCGGGAAGAAGTTGACGGCGGTGAGGGCGGTGAGAGTGAGTGTAGTGTACACAGCTTCTAAACATCACGCCTCTCCCCGCAATCAACCTGGGCACATTCTGATCAACTGTCGCATTACCTGAATTTGCCTCTGTCCTTCCTCTTATTCTTTTATAAACAGTATCCAAGGATAATATCTAGAATACCACCATCATGTCATCCACAAAAGCCTCCAGAATAGGAGAAGAGTGAGTCGTGCCGCGCCTCTTTATAGGACCTTTGTGCTAATCTATATCCATTTGATAGAATTTGGAAGTAAGCCAGCCCCTAAGATCCTGTGATCTGTGATTGAAAATGATAGCATCAATTTTGTGGTGCAACCTACCTACTCAAGACTAATTCTCTTTTTTCCCGCGCAGAACGAGAATTGATAAAGTCAACGCTGAACTGGTCACATTAACTTATGGCACCATTGTGGCTCAATTATGCCAGGATTACGACAGTGATTACAAGGAAGTCAACAAGCAATTGGATAAGATGGGGTACAATATTGGTATGCGGTTAATTGAGGACTTCCTGGCCAAGTCAGGAGTGTCCCGATGTGCCAATTTCCGAGAGACTGCAGACATGATTGCGAAAGTGGGTCATTTTCCATTTATACTGAATATTATATGATGATTAACCCCTTCGATCAGGTGGGATTTAAGATTTTCTTGAATGTCGCACCGGCAGTCACCAATTGGACTAGTGATAACAATCAGTTCTCACTAATCTTCGATGAAAACCCACTGGCGGACTTTGTAGAGCTGCCGGATGATGGCCGGGCCCAGGATGAACTCTGGTTCTCGAATATTCTGTGTGGAGTGCTCCGTGGCTCACTCGAGATGGTAAGCTTACTCTCCTCTGCCTACTATGTCATCTGGGTTCCCGCTGACCCGAATTCCAGGTTCAAATGCAGATCGAGGCACACTTTGTGAGTGATATTCTCCGGGGCGATGATACCACGGAAATGCGAGTCACTCTTGTTCGATACATTGAAGATGAGATGCCACCGGAGGATGATTAGGTTATTATAGAACATATGGCGTTTCGGTGGGGCTTTTATGGCTTTTATTGGTAATGACGGCCTTGGGGGTTGATCTGATATTCTTCTATTCTCTGACGAGGTGACCTCTTCTATTCTATTCTCATGAAGTATGTTCAGAAGAATTAGGCGTTATGATGTATCGAGGAACGCGAACATGTTTCAGTGTGTTGAAATTACCAAAAATTACACTGTCTCATACGTGAGACTTTTCTTCTTTCATTAAAATGTATACTAATACCTATAACTAGATATGGTATTGATCTATGATATAGGTTGACTGGTGGTCCTATGTATGTGAAGTGGTCTCGCGTGTAACAATACCGTAAGTCCGATCGATAGGTACACTTTTTCGCCTCCGGGCTTTTTCTTTTGATCTTTTCTTTCACCTCATATCTTCTTTTACATCAAATCAGTTTGGTCGATCTTAAGTTCTGCTGAGATTAAAAACAGCTACTGTTTTAGACTCTCGGGATCAGCCCCATCCAGAGCATATCCATATATCCATATCTATTTCATATCCCCATCTTCATACTCTCGCCTGATCCTTTAAACGATCTTTCCACCTTTTTTTCACCATTCCAACCCGGTTCTTCTTCTTACTTATATTTTTTTTGATTATATTTTATTCCTGGTGCTCCTTTATATATCCTCCTCTGTTTCATCCCATTATCACTTTCCAAAGTGTTGGTGCATGCCCAGAAATACGCCTGACCAGCGCCATCTTCAGCCCCCTCCGTCCAAGTTAATCCGATCCGAACAAGCGATTCTCCCGCAGAAACGCAAAGAGAAAGACTTAGAACGCCCAGTTGTTCGCCGTACCCCCCGGCTCCCTTTCTACCGTGAGATCCACCTTCTTTTCCTCCACCTCCCATCCCCCTTGGCGCCTATTCTTCGTCCTCCTCTTTTTCGATCCTCGTTGTTCTGCGATATTTCCGTTGTCCCCCGCCCCATATATCCCGCCCCCTCCTCCCAACCACCTCACTTGTGGGCTTTTATGCCTCCCTGATATCTCCGTCATCGGCCAAACCCTATCGATCGCGCATTTGGCTTTCTCTTCTCCGCCATAGAGACTGACTTTGTACCTAACCAGTCGCTCACCCAATCCTATAGTCAATCGAGCCTGGGTTTTGCAATCTGCGCTAATATACCCGATCTTTTCCCATCTCGTCGCGTGGATCTTCTTCCCCGGAGACCCAACGTTCCCGTCATCCGCAGATCTCTATCGCAACCATTTCTTGCTCTGATACTTCAGACTCTATTCATTTGCGCGAAGCTCGTTTACGCGTGACAAATCGTCACCAATATATCTGGGAATTCTTTACTCACCGCTGACCCCTTCTTTTGTCTCAACACCCCACTGTTCTCCACGCGTTGCTCATTTCGCCCCGCGTTCGGCGTCGCCTGAATCGGTGGATGTGCGTCTAGCAGTGATCGCTCTTCGATTTGAAATCGAACGTATATAGGCAAGGGTGGTAACAACTCCGCCGTTCGCCACTATGAACCAGATGAACGTCGGTGGCATGCCCGGGGTTGGAGGCCCTGTGGGTGGCGTCCAGATGATGAACAATGGCTCCGCGGCCCCCCGTAACGACGGCACTATGAACAATAGCCCGGAAGTGATGATCAACAACCTCAATACTTATATCTACGACTACTTTCTGAAACGTGGCTATTATGACTGCGCACGCGCTCTCTATCAGGATGAATCCATCAAGATCAACACAGACCCAGGCACCAAGACTAGCCCCGGAAGTCGCGATGTCAATGGCCTCGATCCCGACGCCATGATGACTGACGGAAAGGATGGCGAGAAGATGAAGATCCCTGATGACTTGCCTCGACCTAGTCTTCAAGAACAGCCGTCATCTTTTCTGCTCGATTGGTTTAGTCTCTTCTGGGAATTTTTCTGGGCTCAGAGAAAACGTGGCAATAGCCCGGATGTAAGGCAGTATCTGCAACATAACCAGGTTCGTACATTTCTTTTTACGGTGCAAATCCGATTGTGATCCTAATCTACTTCCCCCATAGAATATGATGCGCTATCGAGAACAGCAACAACAAAGCCAGATAATGCGCCAACCGCCTATGATGGCCAATCAGATGGGGGGAATGAACATGCGACGCCCCAATAGCATCGTACCTAATAATCTGCAGAAAACAGTACTGCAGAACACAGGTGGCTTGTAGGCTTGCTCTCTCAGCCAATTCCTATTGGACATTGCTATAAGCGATGCAGTCCGCTAACCAGATTTCTTCAATTAGATCGCAACAACAATTTGCGCATCTTCAGAAGCAACAGCAGATCCAGATGATGCAGCAGATGCGCGAGCAGAATGAGATGGACATTAACGGAAATCGCCCGCAGTCTCCTGCATCTGCTGACAATGCTCCATCTCCCTCGAAACGACCGCGCCTCGAAGGTGGCCCCGTGAACGGACAGCAACTGGCACCAAATGGACGACAAGGACAAGGAATGCCAGGCCAGCCAACCCCTCAGATGCTAATGCAGAATGGTATGCAGAGGGGCATGAACCCGGCGCAATTTCAAGCGTTCCAGCAGGGGCAGCAGCAGAAATCTATGCAGGTATATGCTCAAACTTTGGCCCTTCATCACTCCCGCTCAGCATCGAACTCGCAGGTTATTCCGAACGGCGCCATGATGGGCCCTAATGTCATGCCAACTCAGACAGAGATGGTGCAGATGCCAGATGGTCAGGGAATATACCCAATGCACGATTATTATGGTGCCAATGGCCAAATGCCGCAGCCTACAATCCGGCCTGGGATGCAGACACCAAATGGACAAGCACAAGGGAACCACGCTCTCCAAGACTACCAGATGCAATTGATGCTGCTCGAGCAGCAGAATAAGCGCCGTCTGATGATGGCTCGTCAGGAACAGGACAGCATTGCCCGCGATGGCCAGCCACCGATGCCTGGCCAGGGTGGCTTGCCACCCGGTACCTCTCCTGGAAGTCGGACAGGCACATCGCCCAACCCCGGAGACCAAATGAAACGGGGTACGCCTAAGATGCCGCAGACTGGTCTTCCAGGATCTCCCAGCACCGCCGACCTGTCTCAAAATCGCGCATCGCCAGGATCCATGAACCTCAATGGCGGCCAAATGCCACCGGAAATGGCAGCCCAGTTCTTCCCGGGTGGACCCAATATGCGCCCTCCTAACTCTAATTTGAACTTTAGCGCTCCTCAAATGGGCCAACCGATTCCCGCCAATGCAGCCGGTCGTATGCCGAATGGACCATGGCAGCCAGCAACGATGCCACCTCAACATTCACCTGCTACTCAGGGGCAGGCCGGTACGCCGCAGGAACGAAACCAAATGCCTCCACCCCAGGCGCCACCCGTTGCCGGCCCCAACGGTCGTACTCAGCCGCCATCCCCTCAAACTACAGGCAATGCTCCCCCAACACCTCAGCAGGCTAACAAGCCCGCGCCCAAGAAGAAGGAGAAGGGAGACAACACACGCAAGGTATGTTACATAGTTCCAACAGAATCCGAAGTTGACCTTTTTGTCTGACCTGTTTATCTTAAAGCGACCCACGAAGAAGAATGCCGCAGCCAATGCAGCCACTGGGGCCACCCCAACTACTGATGCAGTTGAGCCCCCACCAACGCCTACACCATCTACCCCTGTCACCCCCCAGCATCCTAATTCCTTCAACAAGGCTGGAGCGAATACTGCCACAAGCGTACCGCCTCCGCCAACCTCGGCTCCGGTTCCTCAATCTTTGGTGCAGCCTGATCAGACTCAGCCAAACTTTGCTGACATTAACATGACCGATGTAAGTTCTAAAGTGTGCCAACTATTTATCATCTTGCGGATCACTGACCTGAAAATGATTAGCCCAATGCTTTCAATCTTGATTTTAGCGCCTTGGATAATCCTGATATATTGGAGAGCTTCGACTTTGACACTTTCCTTAACACTGACGGGGATGGGACCGGCTTCGGTTTTGACCCCAACATGCCCTACTCTACAGACGGTGTTGAGACTGGGGCCGCTGACCTGTGAATGATTCAAAAATAGTCTTGACGGTTCTCTTCAGGTGCTTTAAACCTCTCCGATATACCCTTGTTTTGTACATTTGATTATTGATTTCTCACCCACGGACACTCGACCTCTTTTTTTTTTTTCTTTTACTTTTCTTTTCCTCCCGATTTTCTGGTTTCCACTCTGGATATGTGTTGCGCATGTCTGTGAAATTGGCGTTGGTGTATTTGATGTCGCATTGTCCCCTCTCATTTTTCCACTTGGGCAAACCAAACCAAACTGCGATGCTGACCGCCTGGAGCTCTTTTATTCTGTATTCGAGATTTTAGTGCACTGTGACCTACGAGTTTCTGGCTTCTCTTTCCTTCTATTATTATTACCTTTTGTCTCGTGTGGTTACTTAATTGCTTTCTTCAACATGGCATACCATGTTTAAGCTTTCCCGTATTCCCACCATCTCCATGCAATTCGCTTCCTTTTCCAACCAATTTCCTTTCCTTCACTGCCCCCATTTTTCTTTCTGTCACACTTGCCCTCTCCTACCAAATGCTGTCTTTCGGACTAGTTTTGACTGGTAAACTTATGATATCTCTCACCTATATGAAGGTACTGAACAGCTACCACTCTATTTCATTTCATTTCGTTTCTTTCTATTCTATTTCCTTCCGCTTCTTTTGTCTTTTTTTTTTTTTTTTTTTTTTTTTTTTTGGCTCGTCTCGGCCACAGAAATCTCCATCTCAGGTTCAAATCAAGAATCAAGAAAAAAAAGCAGTTCACAGTTTGGAAATGAAGGGATATGATACTCAGGCACGTGTACGGGGTTTATGATATGAGTATTGACTAGGGACATAACTATGATATGTGGATTGAAATGATATTAGGAGATCTCGCCGTTCCAAATGCGAATTAATGTCTCTTTCTTTTGCCCTTGACACTTTTTCTTGAATGTTTCTTTCTGTCGAGTTAGGATCCAATCGACGTCAATTCACTCTACCTAGATTCTCCATTGGCTCACTAGACAGACAGTAATCACTTGAAGATTCCAAAAAAGAAAACAAAAAGATGTCTGCTCAGGTGATTCTGACTAGCTTTGGGGAAATATCAGTTTAGGACAAGCAGTAACCTTGGAACATCATAAGACCTTGATCATTGGTGTCTGAAGTAATCACAGTCCACACCGGGTATGAAAAAAGACCAAGTATAAGAAACTACTTAGTAATATCAAGATGTTTCCAGGGCTGGTGCCACAAATCTTTAAGGTTGGAAGGTGATCCTTCATTGAACTACGACCATGTGGCATTCTGAAACATCTGTTACATAGAAACCAATCATTCAGATTTCAAAAAGTCAAGCAGTTAAGAAAAATGACGCAAATCCAAGGCATTGATAGCAGTCAATGCAAAGAGTTGAGTAAAAGGAAGATAGCTGAAATCATTGACATCAGACTTTGAAGATATGAGCTGGATAACAATCTGGCCATCGCAAGAAAGCAATTGCTATTGCAGATGACAGCATTGATAGCAGTCATCGCAAAGAGTCAAGAAAAAACATCATAAGAATCATCGCAAGTGAGAAAAATGGCGCAAGTTAAAAGTTTTGAAAACAGTCAGGTAAAGAGGCGCGATATTAAACAAAGCATCAATAGTCATAGCGGATAGGATGACGTACATTAAGGGCATTGGATAGTACTCAATCGCTAGTAAGAATTGCGCAGTCCTAGAGTATGGATAGAAGGAAAGGTAAATAAAACGGCGTAGGTCAAAAGCCTCGGAGAAAAGTCATTTGAAGAAGGCGCAAGGTAAGAAGATATTAGATAAAAGTCGTCACAAGTATAAGAGTGGACGCAATGCAATGTAATAGTATGGAACGAGCAAAAGAACATTCTGTGAAATTAGTTGTTTTCTTCAACATCCCTAGAATTGAGGCAGTCATCAATAAAAAGTGCCAAGAAAAGAAGGTTAAGGATGGGCCCGGCCCGTTAAGATCCTACCACACGATCAGACGACGGGTGCACTCAATCAACTCCCCTACAAGGCTGTGAAGCTTGTGGATGTTTGGGTTGTGAGGCTCTTCTGCTGCGTCCTCCTGGACCATCAACAGGAGGTGAAGAATTGTCTTTGTTATGGCGTCGGCCTGGTGTGTCTCTTGGCTACCTCTGTAATCGTTGAACAACGCAATGGGGCTTGCCTGGTGGAGGTGGTGGTTGCTTCTGTCGAAAGAGACTTCAACAATGAAAAAGTGATAATTGCGACGGACGGGGCGGATATCGGGCCTGCATGTGAATGATGGATATGTGACATGCAGTATGTCACAGAGCTCTAAATGGGGAATTAGTTGGTTGGATTATCATTGATATAATAGGAGGGCACGCACTCATCAACATGGTTGGGAAAGAGCAACCATTGCTCATTGTTTCTAGACCGAGAAGAACTGCGTCGACCACTGATGTCGCATTTGAGGTCGTATCATCCTCACAGGCCTCTAAGATGGGGGTCAGTCGAGGGTTACGCACTGGCTCATAATTGGGATTGTGCATCGATTTCCGGGTTCTGTTTTCAATTGGATAGTTCTTTAGTTCCGTACGCTGAACGTGGGCTTTGATCATGAGAGCTTTGCGCTTGGCTTGTTTTCTGACCATCTGCGACTTCTTCTCTTTGTGCACGTTGCAGAGCGCATCGATTTCAAGCTCCTGGGCTTTGAGAAGCTCATCCATTTCCCGCTGATCGGCTTCCTCGGTGGTAGCTATGATTTGGATCATTTTATCTGAATCATGATAAAAGGTAAGAAGATTCTCACCCAGAGAACGGTGGGCCTCAACCTTGATTTCGACATCTTCGAGTATCTGCTCAAATCCCGGAGGATCGGGTGGCAAGATATGGAAGGTACCCTGGACTGTTATGAGCCGAAACAGAGCATAATGAGACGCGGTGTTCTGGGCTTCCTCTCTGCTTGCGCAGGGGATGGTTATGCGAAACAGTTTACCCATGACAGACACGTCACAGTTCCAGTTCGTGCCACTTGCTAGACTGGGGCTGTAGATTGGGGGTTTGTTACTCTCCGCGACACAAAACTCTGCAAGTGAGAAAAATCCTATTAGCAGTCATGCGGAAGAGAGAAGGAAGTATAGAATCTTACCTTGCAGGAGCATAGTCCAACACCAAAGATGATCAGTTCCCTCCTCCGATGGGAGGGGAGCAATCAAGTACCGCGGAGTGTATCGGCGCATTTTCTCTAATGCTTTCTTGCATAGCTCGACTTTGATCTCATACGGTGACAGTGCAGATCCATTGACCACGACTGTATGGCCGAAGAAGGTCAGTCTGGCACTGATAAGATCTCGCTGTGCATTGCAGTATTTGTAATAGTAGATGGGGTGAAGGTGACCCATGGACGCGAGTACTCCAAAGCCGAACAAGCAATGGACATCAGACAAATTGATGATTGAGATTGAACCCAGAATCTGCTGTGTTATATGTTAACAAGCTTCTCAAGAATGTGTAACGAACTGGGGCTTACCTGATAATTCTGGGGATTATGACTAACCTCAGAGATACCAACCTGCAAATGTTGTTAGCAAACTCGAAACTGCCCAGCAAAGAAGATATAAAGCTTACAAATCGACGGATATCACGCAGAATGGCATCACCAGCCCAGCCAGAAGACATAGGAACGGAAGGACCCAAACGCTGGTATGGCTCAAGAACAAGCAGCGGGTTAAGTTCGATCTGGGGATTTTGACAATCTGTGGTTACACAGCGGCCGGGAGATGGCTCGAGGTGAAAGCTGCATGATTGGAGATGAGGATTCCATTGGTGGGCATCTGACCTTGCTTTGACATCATGCGGATACACATCTTGTGTATTTGTAGATGAATTGTGAGAAGTCGACAAAGTTGAGGAACTAAGGTGTCCTAGAGGAGATGCCCAACCACGGCTTTCAGGAGACAACGTAATTCCAATAGGGTTGTGGGTAAATTCCTCTGAATCAACAGAGTTAGGATGGGAATCGTTTGTATGTGAGAAGAGTCCTAGACATGGCAGAGAAAAGCGTGTTGAATCACCACCCCAAATGTCATTTGATCCAAATAGATCAGATCCATTGGGAGGTGGGAAACTCATGGTGAGAGAAGTGGTGAATGATGATTGCAAGCGAACAGACGGTTGTGAATTGATGTAAAAAGGTAGGTTGAAAGATGTTTCGACAAAGATTAAGAAGTGTGAGTTGGGAAGGAGTGTAAAAGGAAGAAAGTTGGGGAGCTTGTATTTGAAGAAGTGAAAATTTCAAGTTCGATAGCGATTGATTGAATTGGAACATACGCATTCAAATTGGAAGTAGAAGAAGATCATTAGAAGTAAACAAAGTGTCTATGGGAAGTAAGAGAAATATCAGAACAAAAGCAACAGCAATAACAACAATAACATTAAACAACAACATTGAACAATAAAGATCCTACAAGCTTACTACACTTCTGGGCTGTAAAAGAGTATTCATTTGATAATTTATGAATACGTGCTAGCATAGAAGTTAATGAGACCAATCAGACTTGCAGGACTGTTTCGTCCATTTCAGAGACTTCGCCTTGCACCCGACCTTTTCCTGTCCATTCCAATGATATAAAGGTCTCTGTACCAGTTTGATGTCCAGATAAACAAATAATGATAGTTTAAGTCCCACAAAGTACCTTAACCAGCCATCCTTCAGCCCTTCATGCTTCTTGAAAGTAACAGACCTCTTCCGCCACAGCCATGCCTGGGGAAATACTCGTATTCTCCTTTGCCGTGGGTGTTGCAGTAAACTCCTCAAGGATCTCTTCAAAATTTTTATCCTTGGTGATCTTCTTGGGTGTATCCTTCAAATTATTACCCTCCTTCTTGCCTTTGATATTGCCATTGGGACTCACTCTGATTTTTGCCAAAGAGGCTGTCGTTTCAGAGAGCTTGCTGAGATCAATGCTCGATCCAGAAAATTTGCGACCACTGGTCTGGGAAACATCTCGAAGTACTGAAGAGCGACCGCTGGTCTGGGAAACCTCTCGAAGTGCTGATGAGCGCGCGCTTCGGCTATAGCTTGCAGAACGTGCTTGTGCTGCTGCGGAAGTCTTGGGGGCCGGCATGATTGCAATAGCTGGAGTGTTTGAAAGGGCGTGAAGACCAATTGAGGATGGTTTGGTGGGAGTCAGGGATTGAATCAAAAGGTTGTATTGCTCCTCATTCATGGGTGCACTCACACTGCCTGCCTGGCTGTGTTCGTAGCTGACTCCAGACATAGCTGAGCTAATTCCGGTCGTGCTTGAGATTGCACGGCTGCCAAGGGAACTGTTGGAATAATCCGGCATAAGCACATCTTCACGAGAAGACCGGGCACCTTGATGATCCCAGACTGGATCGTGAGTCAACGTAGCCATGGTGGGTTGGTTCATGAACGGCTCTGGGCCAGGCTGCTCTGGATACCAAGTCCTGCGCTGGTAGGCCTGCCACTCGGCTGCCTGGGATGCTGGAATGGGAAATGCACGACTCGAAACCCAGGCATTGTAAACTGGCTGCTGAGCAGTGCTGACCGGGACGCCGATTCTTGCCATATTGCCAGGCTGTGGCTTGCTTGGCGAGTGTCCATGAATCTCATCTGCTCGCTCTCTCGTATCGCCGTATGCTGTAGCGGAGTTGTAATTGCCTCGAGTTTGGGATGCTACCCGAGTCCACATACACGGATTGGGCCATGCGATGTTGGAGTATTCCAAGATGTCTATCGAGAACAGTTAGCAAGCACTTCAGGCGGAGTATAAAGGAAAATGGCAAGAATCAAATTACCCTTAGGCGCATGCTGGAAGGCCAAGACAATCACATCCTTGATACGTTCGAAAGGAGGGGAACGGTGTGGGCGAGAAAAACCCTCGGCGATGACAACCTTGATGCGGCCGTGTGTATCGCTGGCATCCCAGTCTGGATGCTCCAAGATTTCAGGGTGCCAATCTGGGAAACGAAGATTGGCGCGATTTCCATTACGATCGATATCTGTATACACGGTCAGTGCAGTCTACATGGAAGATGTGGAACAGAGATCATCGATACCAGAGCCGAGATCTATCATCAGTTAGTACTTTCGAAGAAACATGAAGACGACCCACTCACCAATGACGAAAGGCCATTGCGTTCTCTGTCCAAAGATACCACCACTAAGAGCCGGAGTTAGAACCGAATTCAGCAGCTCAGACAGAAGGCTCACTCACGCAGAAAATTCTCCATCAATGAAGATCCTGGCCTCATAGATAAACATATCATCAGGCTGCATGAGTCCCTCAATCAACCGACTGGGGCGAGGCGTGTCCCAACTGTGAATGGAGACGCGGAATGGACTGTCCTTGGGAAGGCTGGGTATAAAAGTAGTAAGGACGGGAATCTGGCCAAAATTACCCTGAGGACCATAGTACATGGAAGGTGGAAGAATGTTCTTGTCCTGCAGGTAGGGTGAATCGGTATCCTTGGTAACAAAACATTGAGTCTTGAACTCTTGGATGGGGACTTTGGAGCCCTCTGGAAAGAGGAGGACGTCCCAGTGTTCGTAACGCATTTTGTGACCGACAAGATTGTAAAGATGAAGAGATGGAGAAGGGAAGAAGGGAGAATAGCAGGATCTAATGTATTCAAATTCTCAGTGTTCTTACCCAAGTTTGAAATCTGTGTAAGGAAGGAGTTCAAGGTGGAAAGAACGGAGACCAAAACAACTACAACTACAAACCAAGTCCCAAAAAAAAAAAAAAAGACATAGAGATATTTCAGTTTCAATCCCTCAAACTAAACCCTCGAAACTTGGAGGCAGTAAAGCAGAGTAGCGAAGGGGGAATCATCCGGGAAAGACAGAACGCCGGCGATAAACCGAGAAACCGAGACATGAGGAATCTGAATCTCTCAACGTTACAAAATACGAGGCAAGAGACAAAAAGCCAACCCTCCAGAGCCAATCCATCCAAGAAAACATGAGAAATCCAAACACCGAGATGGGTTTGCACTGGAGCCCTACCAGCTTACCTGTGTCGACCATCGACCGCTCAAAATCAAGTCATGAAGCGAAAGGAATTGACAAACACAGCACCAAACAGTGCTGTACAAGCTGTCTAACAAAAGAACAAACCAGAACGCAACAAGCACGAAGCGAAGATATTTCAATTTGGCTGCTCAAATGTGAGAGAAACAAATGAAAGTATAAGGGGATGGTGATAAGATGTTGGAATATAGAATAAAGGAACTTTTCGCAGAATGCCTGCCCAAGGAGGATAGAGTAGAGGAGAAACGCAATACGGACCTAAGGGCGGAAGAGAAAAGTAAAGAAATAGAAAAAGGCAGCTTAGCATAATAATTTGAGGGGTCATCAAAAGAAGAGAAGCAACCAGTTGGTAAAGAAATAAGAAGAAAAAGCCGCAGTATAAGGCCTTGAAGATACTCAGAAGGAAAAGAAAACGGCATGGGAAGAAAACGCAAACAATCACATATCCAGAGGATTCAATAGGGAAGATGAGGGAAAGGGGGAATGGGGGATAGAAAGGGTAATAAAGGGCAAGACGAAAAAAGGCTCAGATCTTGCTAAAGATAAAAGCGCTCACTGGAAATGCGTTACTGCAGAGAAGACACGAAAGCTCATCGATAAGGGCTCACGAAGCCACTCCAAAAGGAAGAAGCAAGTTTGTTGTCAAACCAATGGAACCCCCATCATCCTTGAATGACGCAAAACAACTCCTGCTGGTGCTTTCTTGAATCACGGAAAAAGAAACGCTTACTGGATAAGAAGTGATAGTCAGCCGACCGAGCCTTTAACTCAATGTTCTGGCGCCGGACTGCCGGGGTGACTGCTAACCTTCATTGGGGCAAACCCGCCATACTGGTGGGCCGGGGGCATGCCCATGGAGGGGTACATGGGAGGAGGCGGGGGAGCCGGGCGGTAGGGGCTTCCAGCGGGACCGGAGTTGTTCTGGGAACGTCCCCAGCTCAGGCGAACACGGGAGTTGCCGATGGGGTAGCCCTGCATCTGGTTGATGGCCATCTCAGCTGCGTGACGCTGGACGAACTGAACGAAGCCACAGCCCTTTCCAGGAGGAATCTTGACGTAGGTGATCTCGCCGAATCCCTGGAAAAAGGAGCGGAGCTCGTCCTCAGTGACATAGCCGGACAAACCACCGACGAAGACAGTGGTGTTGTTAGGATCGGTGAACTGGTTCATGGGTTGAGGAGTGCCGTAAAAGCCCATAGGAGGACCACCCATGGGAGGGTACATGCCAGCGGGACCACCGGGCATACCACCCATGTTGGGAGCACCAACACCGGGGCCCTTGTTCTTGGGAGTCGCGGTGGAGATACGCATGGGACGGTTGCCGCAGTAGACACCCTGCATTTCGGTCAAGGCGCGCTGCTGGTCGTTCTCATCGGAGAAGCGAACGAAGCCGTATCCACGGGACATACCGCTGATGGGGTCGGTCATGATCTTGGCAGACTTGCAAGAAGGGAAGCGGCTCTGGAAAAGCGAAACAAGGACGTATTCGTTAACTTCGGGGCCAAGGTCACCAACAAAGATGGAGAACTCGGGTCCACGGTCATCACGGCTAGAAAGTGAGAAAAAAAAGAGGAAAAGGTTAGTGAACTGGGGGAGGGGAAGCGAAAGGACAAAACAATTGATTCTTACCTGCGGTCAGCGAGACCACCGCCGGTAGCCCAGTTCAACTTGAACACACGGTTGGTGTTGGGCATAGGAGTACTGTTCAAAGACAGAGCCTTGGCAGCAGCAGCGGGGGTGGAGAAATCCACAAAGCAGTACCCGGCGTTGCTCCTACTACCAATATTAGAATGCATGGAGGAGTAGAGGAATTGGATATCCTGATACATATCCGTCGTCGGAGCATACCCAGAAAACTTGTCGCGGATCATCTTCACGTTAACCTGCTCACCCATCTGGAACCACAGGTTACGGATGAAGTTCTCATCAATCCAAGGCTCAAGCTCACCCATCCTAGAATAAGTATGTCAGTATTGTCTTCAAGATGCAACCACGAGAATGGAAACATCTGGTCCGATGAACCATGCCTACATCAAGGCATATTGGTAACCACATACCAAAGAGTGGTCTTGCCATCGGCACCTTGCTGGGGAGCAGCAGCATTAGGCTCACCAGGAGCAGGGCCCTGGAAGGAGGCGTTGGTAGGATCGGACTGGCCGGTCATGTTGGTGTCAACGGGGGCCTGGGGGACCGCAGCCGCATCACCCTGGGGGAAAGAATCGTAGGTTTGGAAAGACATGGCGCAAAATTCACCGAAAAGTCGACGTAAGAATATGAAAGTCTTGAGACCGAAAACTTAGGATTCGTGAAGGGAAGGACTGAAAGATCAACGAGATTTCGACTTCGTTATAACCCGAGAATGAAGAGATAGGCGTTAGGTTTCCTGAAAAAAGTTATTAGAGCTTGAAAGACTCGAAAGAGACTCGAGATCTCTGCAGATGGGGAAAAAAAAAAAAAAAAAAAAAAAAGCGAAACAGAGAAGACGTCGCAAAAAGAGGGAAAAAAATGGAGTTGACAAGTGTGGGGGCGGTAAGTGAGACTTTGAGAAGCGAGTTGAGAAGAGAAGTGAGCGTAGGGCGATCTGGAAGCTAGCGCGTGAAATTCAGTCGCCAAGATTGCTGAGATGAAGTAAATTTCTCTCAGGTTTCTTCGGGATCGCACCGCCGACTCGAAGGGTTGACAGAAAATGACCGGATCAGGTAAGGTTTCCCCAGGTGGACAAAAAGGAACGACAAAATTCAGCCCCGATTCTACAGGTGTTGACGTCTTGTTCGGGGATCGCACCATGCGCCGGCCGTTTCCGTCCAAGTCCCAGCTTTCAAGTTGGAGATTACGACCATCCACGGGATCCACTATCGGCTATGCCACCTAGTGAACTGGGTTTATGCGACCTTCGATGACAGGAGTTCCACCTGGCGACAGATGAATGGGTTGGTTCGTATACTTGATCCGGATGGGTTGCCGGATGGGTTGCGAGCATGCAAGTATGGGCGTAAGAGAAGAATGAACCGAGGCGGTGCGATGTCTCGAAGCTGGTATACCACAAAAAGGCTTTGCTGTAGTATAGAACGTCCGATGAAAAGGAAGAGAGTTGATGGTGGTGGGTGGCAATCACGCGCAATCCTGGATGGAGGTTTCGAGGGTTCGAGGTTTCAAGGGATGGTGGGCAGGGCATGCACAAAAGGGCCAAAAAAAAAAAGAGAGAAAAGAAAACCGAGGACTTACAGGTTAGAACTTGAAAGAGAGAGAACTGCAGAAAGCAAACTCCCAAAACGGCGCAAGACAGAACGAAATCCGCACGAAGAGGTGGAACAATAAGAAAGGGGGAGGGGATGAGGAAGAGAGAGGGGGAAAAAGAAAGCGATGAAGAATGAAATCTCAGATTCTCGACAGGTTTGAGTGAGGGGGAAGTGGTATTATAACCGGTAATACAGGACGGGATATGGTATTACGATTACAATACTGTACCAGATCAGAAGTATGGTTCAAGGGTAAAGAGGATTAGATTCAACAATAGACTAAGTAAATTGTAATGAGCTCATAATTAAATCCATCCTAATTCTATTGATTCACATTTTATAATAAACTATAATGATACTCTACTCCCTTGATGCCTACTGACAAAAGCATGATATCAGATCTGCGGGGCTCTACAAGTCTCACCAGTTCCACGATCCCGGGCCCTACATTTTTACATTTTTGGACACTTCCTGCCCGACGATCATTTCTTTTGTTCTTTTGTTACCTCATACTCCCTTTCATAAGGTGAGATAGGTTTCCACTGATCAAATTTATGCAAGGATGGCCGCTCCGTCCTTGCAATATGACTCGTAAACATGATGAAAGAAAATTCAAGATTCAAAGTGGAGAGTATCTAGGCAGATTAGTCTGTTCGAGCCTGACCTATCGCTGCCTGATAAATACCCAAGGACCAAGACGTAAACGAGATCCACAACCTTTTAACATGGAATATGTACTCCGTACTGATACTAGATAGTAAATAAATTATAACCTGATATTTCCTGTATAGTATGTAAGCATCTAAGCAAGGTTCTGTATTTATGATACGTCACTGTACCAGCTGAACCAGAACCATGGGACCCAGCTTGCTATTTAATAGGTATCATTGGTTAATATACTATGGGCCCTGTTTTCTGTCCAAACAAGGAAGACTTTGGAAGGTGTTCTCAACTTCGTTCTAAAGAATTCTCAATTTTGCAGTGTTTGTTTGGTATTTGACTTCGAGCTCTCCTACGTTGGAAAACTACAGTAAGGGTCGTCTACACTTTGCACCTTGCATAACCCATTTTTTCTTTCATGGGTAAATAAATCTAGGGCTAGGTAATACATAGGTAGCCTAAGTTTTGGCATGACTTGCAGAATTGCTGTGACATGCATTATAACTTATAAGATATCATATAATACTTCCTATACTCTCCTCGCATACACTATTAACACTAACTAGGTAATCGCGGGTAAGAGCGCATTCCCCAAAAAAGTCATATTATTAATTGCTCGCGTGAACCATGGAACCTGCTTCAGCCGGAAACACCAGGAAGCTGAGGTAGAATATATGCCCATTAGATTCCATATATGGCCATATAGGATATCGCAAAATAGAGTGATGACACTTGGGGCTCGCAATAACTTAACTAGTTAAACAAGAGCCATCTGACTAAGACCATTCAAACTTTCTTAGGTTCTTTTTTTCTCACAGCTGAACATCCAAATACAAGACTCCACTTTCAGGGCTTGAATCCACACAGGTTCTAATGTCTTCATCCAACGAGAAGACCGGAACTCGCTTCGATCAATACATGTTTCGTATTTGCAGTTTACGTACGACAGGTATCGGTTGCCCGTAATTGGGCCCAGAAGTCTGGGACTCAATTCCTTGTGTGTGTACCTGACACCCCACTGTTTCCTTTTTTGGCTTTTTTTATATATTTTTTTCTTGTCTAGTGTTTTCGAGAAGATTCGAGTACAGCTTTGTGCTACGTTGTTTCTATCAATCGGTTGAACCTTGGATGCCTCTTAAGCTCCGCTCCGATTTTCAATCCGCTAGCAACATCAACGTCTGATCATATACTCGCGTCGCCTCCATCAACCAGGGTTTTTCTGGTTGCGCTGTTTCCTCATTTTCCTCGTCCGAGCCATCCAAATCCTCGTTCGAAGACAGAGAAGCAAAGACTGCAGCTCGAGTTGTCTCTGCTAGACTGCGAATGCGAACTTTCTGCGTCTGCGTCACGAGTGGTCGTGTCTGTGAGCCTGGGAGAGGTGCGCCTGAAAAAGGATGTGTGCCTTTGCACAGCGCGGCGAAAACAGCGTCGAACTTGTGTAGGGTGGTTAGTATGGGTTCGGGGTCGAATGGGTAGGTCTTTAGAGACATTTCCACTATTCCGGCTAGAGTAATTAGGGCTTCAACTTGGATAGAGGCTGTCCACGTGTTGGGAAAAATTAGTTATTCCAGGGTTCATAAAGGACATGGTCCACAAGTCCATCAGAGACTATGGATATATAAGACTTACGTGTAGCAGAGGTCCACAGCATATCAACCAATCCCTCGACGTCGAGTGCAAGGTCCTGAAAACTTTTATACCTCTGATCTGATACCAGCGTATCCGTAGCATCCATACCAAACTCTGATTTCATCTGCCGATATTGAATCTTCTCTATGCCTATGCTAAGGCGACCCCGAAGCTGGGTTTCTTCATCCGACCCTGCGCGGAGTGGCTCGCATCGCTGACGTGGAAGATATAGGGTGGGGGTCCAAGCTCGTCTTTGGGGGGCTGGGGATGAAGTTTGTGGCGGAAGGACATCTTCAAATTCTTCGTCCTCGTCGGAGTCCAAGGTGGGGTTAGACATGATCCCTCGATGATCTCGGGAGGTAATTGGTCGATGGTAAGTTGGATTGAGATTGGAGAATTTGTTGAGCGCAACAATAGGACTTTGGAATGTTATTAGGTTGTGTTGTTCTGGATATGTTTGGATGAATTTTATTCGAGGTTTGTTCGCGGAGATGGAGATGGGAGCTACCCAAGCGTCCAAGGTTGCGGGGAATTTCTACTAGACCACTACCTACCTACCAAGGTGTCGTTTCAAGCTTGATACCTAAGAATCTCGAAAACACTCGTGAACCTGGGTATTCCAAGGTTTCTCTACGTTACTAGAATCAAAGAACAAAGACTTAGGTTTTGTATATTACAGCTATATTATAATTTTCAAGTCATGCCAAGCCTTGGTCAGTGCACCTCTATATTTGCGAGAACAAGCATGCTGTACAAAGATATTCATTGGTCTATACTGTGATTTTAATGACTAGATAATATCCAGCAAATGTTCATATCCGTGATCCATGAACTTTCCCCTCAAACTCCCAGAACGCCAGGCTGTGTAATTCCATGCATCATTACTCAGGCTGTAATCAGTTAGTATAAATCTTATAGAAGTAGAATTAAGACTCACTTTGATAGTGCCGCGGCGTATCTTAATATCCCGCAACTTCTTCTTATCCTCATCGAACCGCTTGAGCAATGCATTCTGTCTCTCCTTGCGTTTTTCTCTAGACTGGAAGCGATAGAAGTCCTCAAGGCCCTCTGCCTTCTTCTTCTGTCGCTCAACCAGCTCCTTAAGCTCCTCCTCACGCGCAAGAGAGTTAAGCTTAGGTCCATGCGTAACAGTAACAAAGCCATCCTCATCAGCAACCTCCGTCTTCCGGCTCTCTTCACGCTTTCTCGCCTCTGACACCTGTGCGAAGACTGTCATGAAGTCATTCACCTTGCGAAGCAGAGCCGCACGATCGGGGTATCGAAGACGCTCGTGTGCCATGTATCGATGTAGACCTAGTTTCGGGATACGGTCACTAGATAGACCCTCACCCCAGACAATTGCGGTTCCCTTCTTCGCGGCCTTGGTGGCAGCTTTGAGACTGGCTTCCATGCTCGGTTTATCGGCGAACATGACGATAGCGTGTGCGCCACTCTTTTGGAGCTGTCTGTCCCATGTTGAGGGGAAGGAAATATCGTCTAGCAAAGACTGGAACTCGTCTGCTGTCACGCGCTTGCGCTTTTTGTTGCGGTGGGAGAGGTTACTCTCTGGTGCTGCGACAGCGCTCTTCTTTAGGTTGACATCTTCAAAGCTGACGCGCTCGACGCGACCGGCTTGGAGCTGTGTGCCGAAGAGGTGGCGGATGTGAGCGTCTGTTGTGTCGATTGGGGCGTTGACGATGAAGAGGCAGCGGGAGGAGTCTGGGTCAGGGATTCGGGGTTCGTGTGGGCGGATATAGAGGTAATGGGTTGCTGGGGTGGTAAGGAGTGGGGTTTTAGGTAGCTGCAGTGGTAGGGTAGTGTACCCTTCCACTTCTATGGACGCTCTCTTCATTTTTAAGGCTGTGGTTGGAGTTTGGCGGAGACGGAACTTTTTTGAAGTTTTGCATTTAGCGGGAGAATTATGCCGGTCTTTCTGGGCGGCTCATAAGGCGGTAAGGTGTTTGTTAGGGCTCTGGGGAAATGGATTGATAAATATCTTGAGCTTCATGATGCTGAATGGTGCTAAGTAGAGAATAATGAATGTCAAGACTAACTATTGGCCTTTCATAACCAAATAAATAAATATGCTATAGATAACTATGCCAGACTGATTGGGAAGGGTCTTAGAATTGAATAACAAGCTGAAGCATGTAGCCTTCAAGTGAAGACCAAAAAACGATGTTAAATAATCTGAATCACGCCGGACTCAAGTTAGATAAAAAACTACCAGCACTTATCGCCTATTGATGAAGCATAAAGAATAATCTTAAATCTTGAAATCACTCAGACGTAGAGGTTGTTGAGATACTACCTCATTTTGCCTCATCGACATCTTGTCACTCAGCTCTTGTCAGGATCATTGATCCCCCCATTGGTGATAATGTAGGTTGCTTCTCTTTCCGCACAGTCTGGAATAATTAGAAATTGAGATGGAAACCAGTTCACGAAGTACTTACCGGGGGAATCCTGGATTTTGGCCACTCGCTCTTCGCCCCGACCTTTGCGAAGAAGCACTCGGGTAGTCGATGCATGGGCAAGGACATGGCCGCCAACAGGCTTGCGGCCGTCTGCTCCGGCAAATAGTGCACTAGCACCAGGGTCACTCTGGACCTGGTTGGTCTGCGGGAAATGATCAGATATGGGAGGTTAATTAAATCAGCAAAGACGCAAGCTTACTCACCATCAGAACGCAGACATTGAACTCTGAGCTCAAAAGATTAGCGACTAGCATCAGCAGCAAATAAAGGGAGGAAGGCTCTACTTACCTTCGGCCATGTGTGCCAGCCGCATCAAAAACTGATTCAACTTCTGCTGTCGCTCAGCCAGCTCTCCACGTCCACAATAGTCGACACGGAAGCAGTTCATAATGCTGTCAATGACGAGCAAGCGATAAGTACCCTCCACAAACTCACGACTGAGGCTGTTCAGCAATTCAAGTTGATGCTCACTGTTCAGTGCACGTGCATAGGCAATGTTCTCTTGTGCGAGATCTGGATCGACACCGTATCGCTCTGCAATCTGCGCAATGCGCTCAGGCCGGAATGTACCTTCCGTGTCAATATAGGCAACCTTGCCATCAGCACCACCCATAGATTTGGGGAGTTGAGCAATCACCGACATGGTGTGTGAAAGTTGGGTTTTACCGCAGCGGAATTCGCCGAATACTTCACTGATGCTCATGCTTTGGAAGCCACTGGCAGAATCTATTGTTAGTGTTCATGAATGAAAGAATTTGTGTATTTAATGAGCTTACCCGCCGAGGATAGTGTCGAACTGTTTGCTTCCCGTTGAGATGCGGACGACTTTCTTTCGCTGGTGGTGCAGCTCCATGGCAGTGATGAATCCCGAAGAGGATGGCTGTACCGAAATGCGGATGAGTCAGGAATTATAAGCATGTTAAATGAGATGATCAGAGCATACCAAGCATTTCTGGATGGCTTCCTTGATCTTCTCGACTTTGACTTCGCTGAATCCCTTGACCTTTAGAAGCGTTCTGCGGGTGGCAGCGTGGACAGACTTGAAAATGTAAACCGTCAATTGAGATGTCCTGCATCCGAAGACAATACCATTCAAGGAAATAAAAAAGAAAGAAACTTACAGCAACAGTGCAGTATCCATTTGCTTTCAATTTGGTGATATCAGCAGCACCAATGCCATGGGCTTGGATGCTGTCAATATCAATGATGAAATCCTGAGACAAATTAATTTTCAGCTAGAGATATGATCAGAATGATTTACCTCATCATTACACTCGCCGAAGTCTGAACCAGGCATTGTTATTGATTTAAGAGGGTAATGGTATGGGTAGATGAGAACGGGAGGTTGGAGGTGGTGATGACAGCCCTGGAGGGCAGATGGAAAGTCACGAGTTCCCCAACCATGACCAACTTTAGGCTACCTACTCATCATGTAGGCACTATAAAAGCCAATTGATGTAGCCGATTCGAACTTCACCCTTATGTCTCTGTCTCGGGGCGAATTAATTTCTGATATTTGAAATCTTGATTTGCATTTCATCAGTACCAAAGGTGTATACAGTTTACAGTACCCCAGTACTATCGTCGCGTCTATCGGATTCTAGAAATAACCATTTGATTGAGCAATTCAAAAAAGCCAATAACCAAGTTGATTCATGACTACTCGACTGGCACCACTATCATCCTCTAAACTATTGAGTTCCCAGTTCATTGACTCTCAGTGTCTAATTGGCACCACATTTTGGCTTACTATACGTGGTCCTTATTTATGGCCTAGATTCTAGTATTGTCGTAAGAACTGTCCTACGTTGTATATGCCCTACTCGATGGTAGTGCAGCCGCAGTGCGTAGGCTGTAAGATGTGTGTTCATTCTGGTGAAGTAAACCGTAAATAAATAGACTGGTGTCCCCAATTGACCTTTCCAATCATACAATACATTGCAATGATCGAACATTCAATACAATGATTGAACAAGGGAAGATATATGATGGTATTTATCTGTATTTAGACTCTGCGCCTATATTTTCTAACTCGGACTCGTAAAACTATATAAGCTCTTCAGATGCCATAGCTACAAATAGCTGCTAAGCCACCCACTAAGATAATCCCGCCGGAACCCGAGATAAGTTTGATCTAGAGAGATGATCTCTTTGCCTACTTGATGTTAATGCACTCAATGCACGCGAGTCATATGGTACCACTCGCCATCGATATAAGCGGATAGAACAAAGATTCATCAAGTCACAGGAATCAAATTTTTAGAATTTTTTGCCTGGCAGTAAAAGTTGGTAAGGTAGGTTTCATGAAACATCTGGTAGGCCAGTTTCAAATGTCCATGCGCAGTTATCGTCGTATTCCTGCGCGATTCTCTCAACATCGACAACAGCATCCCACGCCGCTAATGTCCTCCTATATCTTTCCTCTCCTTTATCAATATCGACAGCATCCAGATCTTCCCGACGCCTAGTATCGCACTCGTGGCGCAGGACAGACCTTAGCACATCTAATAGTTCCCTTCTCCACTCAGGTTCATGGCCCCCACATAGTCGTGCCGCAACGTACTCGTAGTACGCGGGCATAATATTAGCCATCTCCCAGTCCAGGAAACCCGTCACCGCGAGCGTGTAGGGGTCCACGAGAATATTCCGGTCAGACAAGTCCCCATGCGAGAGGACAGGACGGTCCCAATCATCTACGCTGGCGGTGCCACGTTGTATTTTCTCGAGGGTTGCTACACGTTCCGAGTCCAGATTAAAGGCCTGTAGCGCGCGGACGCGTGAGTCATCCCACTCTAAGCGTGAGGTGCAACATTTTTGCATCTCTACACCATATTCAGAGAAGAGGAGGTACGGCTGCTGTTATAGGCCGGCCGTAGTAGGAGAAGTGATGCGCACGCATGTGTATAAGGAGACGGCAGAGCTCTACCTTAACAGTCTGGCGCTGCAGAGGGGTGAGGGAGGGCCAGAGCTCGAATAGCGGCGTGCCTGGTTGGCGAGTGAGAATAAGGCCCTATTGGGCGTGGTTAGATGTTAATGTTCTAAGCGTGATAATACGAACGACGTGTGGGACATAGGGGCCTAGTATAGAATGGGCGAGCGCGGTCATGTCACCTTCACCATCTAAACTACCCAGCTTCAAGATGCTAGAGGGAGAATAGATGAAAAACTGGCGTCCCACGTTTGGAACGGTCGGCCCCGAGAATCGAGGGAGGCTGGGAAGAGAGGTCCAGTCCTCCCGAGGAAGCTGCTCTGGCTCTGGAGAGCTATCTTCTTGTAGCAGGTTGCTTGAAAAAGGACATTTTATGTAGTTCTCTGTCTCATTATAGAAGCTGGCTTTGTGATTGGGCAGCATCGCGATTTCAAGTTGGTACACTAGCAAATTTAGCGTTGAGATAGTACATAGTACTGATGGATGCAAGTCTGACCCACAGCGGATCAGCAGAGCATCAGAGACATACAAGGATGGCTGCAGACGACACGGGGGAGAGCAAGGATCGAGGCTCCAAGAGAATCAAACGCATTCGGATAACTCAGATTTGACACTCGACAATACAGAAATGCAGCATATAGAACACAGAAAATGGGATTGAAGGTCTTCGCGCCGGCAATACGGAGCCTAATCTGGCAAGATCGCTTATACGGCTAACCTTTCTAGGTTAACGCCATTCTCGTCATTTATAGTAATTCACATGTATGTTTCTTTCTTCATAACTTTTGGCAGTTACATATCAGTCAAGAATCAATATCTCTTCATTCGACATTCCTCAACTCGCACTGTCATGTTTGCCCGTCTTATAAACATATTAATCCCCTCTACCACTCCTTCTACCACTCCTTCTACGCTCCTTGTTATTGGCAGGTTTGGTACCACAGTCAATATTCTTCATCTTGTACCCGAGGATGGTACCATCGAACGCTTCAGCTTCACATCCCCATCCCCCACCTTCCATCGCGGTGGAGCTAAAGAGCAGGCTCGTGAGCAAATCGGTGTGGTCACCCTTCACATTGGAGATGGTGAGGATACCAATAGCTTCCTCGACGATGTTGAGACCCGAATCCATAAGCTACAGAATGATTCTCTAGGCTCAAGCCAGCCACAGCTACAAATAGGCTGTGTTGAGGTGACTCAGCTAGTGCAAGACGTCATTCGGTCCGCGGCGCTCGATGCTATTCATGTAAGAGAGGGGCGAGATCGTTCTATCAATGCGATGCAGACGTATCCTGTTTCCCTTGTCCATATCTCACGCTCGAGGGCAGGGAGAATTATGATCAATCGGAATGAGCTGACAAGTATCCATCAATAAGTTCCCATCAGTTTTTGCGATCAAGATATGAACAGTAATTGTGGTAGTTAGCTTTGAAATACCATTACATATATCATGGTAATACATCATTAAACAACTTGCCTCATTTGAATACGGTAGAAATAGTTAAGCATGTAGTGTGGCTAGTTGATAGTTATAGTATTTTGATAGTTAGCCTCCGTATTAAGGGACATTGAAGGCTTATAATAAACAATTGAACTGCTAAGCTGGGCAAACTGCCTTTATACCAGTTATAGGGCCAGTAGAATTCATCGCTCTAATCCTACTCTTTATATAAGCGGCTGAAATCTTTTGGCAGCCAGCGAATCAAATTAAAGCTGAGTAAGTCTCTGGCAATTATTGAAGACAATATCAAAGGAACGGTCTATTGCCGCTGAACGGCACTGGACGTCAAGCTCCTGATCAGTCAGCTTAAGGCCAGAGGCGATTTCAACCGAGGCTCGAAGTGAATTTGTAGATACTGGAAACATGTTCAGTACCGGCTCGTATAGCTGAGATCTTTTGTTAGTATAGCGAATAGAAGATAAGAGAGTTACATACTGTCTGTCCGGATTTCAGTAATTCCTTAGTAGCATGGTAGATTGTGCCAGTCACTGCATTCTCATCTTGGAGATAGCTGTAAAAATATTAAAAATATTGAATTCTGCTCTAAGCCTGAGACTTACTTACGGAGCCCAATGTGCAGTATCTTCAGGGAAAAGGCGGGATTGTCTGAAGCATAGGAGAGAGAGAGTGCTCGTGGCATTTTGATCTTGGGATATTCAGCTTCGTGTGGAGCGAAGTCAGAAGTGCTGCTATTGATGGCCTCACACCTGGAGAGTAGTCTGGAAAGTCAAGGTCGTAGCATGTAGATGGTTCATCATATTCCAGAAATGGGAACTGCAGAAATGTTATGTAGCCGCGCTGATTCATCCACTACTTAGCAATCTAAGCTTTTTGATCTAAACGAGCCCAAGAGCCTAGACTAAAATCTACTCAGTGAGCCTGACCTTGCGCGCCCTCATTATTCATCAAGCGATGAACGAGGAAATGTGCTGCTACAAAAGGCTTGTAGCCTAGGTCTGACCCAAGACTTTACCATGTCCATCGCTAAAACAGTAGACGGAGAGAGTGGCGGATGCAAGAGATTAAAGATGACTAGGGATGTGTCGATGCATCTCTCAGGGCTAGATGAACCCTGGCAAAAATTCCAAGGTTGATAGGGCAGAGCCTGATATAATTGCTTTAATAGAATACATACCTATCTTGGTAGGTACTAGACTTAGGGAATTGATTAAATGAAAGAAGAGTTGCGTTTTCTTATTCTCAGCGCCGAGGAAATCTCCACCTTTTTTCTCTTCTCTGTAACACATCCATTGTCCTCGCCATCCGCTCTCACTCTCCTTCCTCGGCCCAACCGGGAAAATCGCAATCAAGAGTACAAGCTTTTATCAAATCGACAAAAGATCATCCGTAGGAGGTAGGTAACAAATAGACAAAGACGCCAATCATGAGACTTAAAGCAAGTCAGGGGTTGTTGTATGAACAAATCCCAAGTTTCGTGAATCCGAATCCAAAAGAAAAAGAAGAAAGGAACTTTTTCTGTTTTTGATCGCAAATATCGGAAGATGAAAGTATGAAGGAAAAAAAATGAAGCCAAAAAAGAAGTGTCAAAAACGAATATATCAGCACCAAAAGGCTATGGGACCCAGGACAGAGCAAACCTGGGCGGGAGTTCAATATATGCAAATAAATGATGTAGAGACTCCGAAGGGAAGAAACAAGAAATGAATGAACCATTCGCGCTTCAGGGAAAGTGATCGTAATGCAATAGAATGAGAAGATGGGGATTGAAGATCCGAGCAATTCCAAATGGTGGAAATATCATGCATGGTAGTTAAAAGTTGAGCTCAGTTATATATCATTTCATTTATGCGACAGCGGTGGTAGGAGCCACAGCTGCAACTGGTGCAGCCTCGGTGACAGCTTCAACAGCTGCAACTACAGCAGGGGCCGCAGGGGTAGAAGCAGCTTCAGAAGTAGCATCCACTGTCGGTTCAGCAACAGGAGCAGAGACGGCGGCACCAGCACCAGCCTCAGTGTTGGTAGGGCAGTCGCGGGAGATGTGACCAGCCTGGGCGCACTTGTAGCAGACCTTGCCGGCCTGGCTCAGAGGGCCGCCGTTGGGAGCAGTGCAGTCGCGAGAAATATGGCCAAGCTTACCGCAGGCGTAGCACTTCATGGCTTGAGCCTGGCAGTCACGTGCGAAGTGGTTAGGACCACCGCACTTGTAGCAGGTAGCGGTACGGGGGTAGCCCTGGAATCCACCACGGAAGCCTCCCTGGAAGCCACCGCGGTGGGGACCGGGACGACCAGCGCCGGCGCCAGCACCGAGAGCAGCAGGGTTAGTGCAATTGCGCTGGAGGTTGGCTCGTCAGTACCGGCTTCCCTTCTCTATTTCAGGATCAATTTGATACGTACTGCAAGGTGGCCGGGTTGGCTGCAGTTGTAGCAGCGGCCGTTGGGGCCGGTGGAAGCGTTAGCGTTCAGACGGAGAGTAGGGCAGTCAGCCTGGACGTGACCGACTCCCTGGCAGTTGTAACACTGCTTGGCTGGAAGGGCAAGTTAGTAACCCGGTTTTGATATATGGAAGGGGTTCCTACTTACTCTCGGTGGTACGGGGAAGAGGGCAACTGCTAGACTCATGTCCTACTCTAAGGTAAGCTAAGAAGATCGATGGTAGTCACACGAAGGATATTGAACATACCAGGCTGCTTGCCTATGAATAGATTATTAGCACGAGTACAAGTATAAGATGAAGGCCATGAATTCGTAATAAGAAAGAGAGGAGAAAAGAAAAATTCACGTACAGTTGTAGCAGAGACGCTCTGTTGAAGCGCAGACCTCTACGGCTCAGTTAGTTAAACAGTAATAAATAAAGCAGCCTCCCTCAACTAACCCGCATAGTGACCAATGTTGCCACACTTGTAGCACGCACGACGAGACAGCATCATCTTCGATAATCTAATCACCGTCAGTCCATTGCAGTCGCAACTCCAGCTCCAAGCTCCAAGCTCAAGTCACATCAAATCTACCACGTTGGAAAGTAGATCGTTCATCCTCCATCCGGGTTTAATTTATTCATCTTTTATTCCTCAAAGACATATCCCCAGCATTTGGAAGCTAGTTTTTGTTTCAAAGAGATCGTAGCGGGATGGAGGGGAACCGACGATCCGAAGCGCGGGGGAAAGATGTTGAAGAGAGATTGTAGGCTTTGAAGGAGAATAGCTTCAGGCTTTGAGCTTTCTAGCTTAAAGCTCAAAGCTACATTATCTCGTGCTCACCTAAAATTTCCAGATCTGAAGGACGTCAGTGATTGAAGAACAAAAAAAAAGCCACCACGTTCTTAACGGGCCACTAAGGGAAAAAAAACTCCAAAAAAAAAGTGGGACAAGGAAAAATAGATCAACCCCGAAACGCACATCACGAACACCAACTTACTGCATAGATCGAGATCCAATTCAAAATAATACTGGGTTGTGAGAAATAAGAAAAGTCGAGTGCAAACTCGTCAAATCTCTAGCTCCCGGGCTTTTCCGTATTGCGTAAGGTTAGCTGATCAGAGCTTATATACCGGAGATACTAGGTCCTATCCATAAGGGTCCAAAAGACTGTTGATTCCCGCGTCTTGGCGCGTCTTGGTCGAGTAAACCACACTCTCTTTTTAATTATATTTTCTACGGCTCCATTCGTGACAGAAATTAGTGGCAACAGAAAGAACAATGAACTCTCCACTCATCAACGTGCTGATATCCTCTCCAGCCTTGAAAATGGTGTATCACCATCTGAACTCGCCGCTGAATATGGCTGTAGCCGCCAGACAATTTATAACACTCGCAACCGCTACGGAGCCACAAAAAACACTGAATCACGCCATACAAGTGGGCATAATCCCCTCTATAGTGAAGCTGCTAAACCCTAGATTTATTTGAAAGCGCGCCAGAATCCATTGTGGAGCTATAGATGACTTGCTGCAAACCTTGAACTGAATCCCTGTAGAACCACTTTACGCCGAGTTGTTCGTGGATATGGCATTCCAAAGCGACGCCTGAAGGACACGATATATTTTGGCCCTCGTCTTGCGAGCGACCGACTAGACTTTGCTCCAAAATGGCATCAGGTCGTTAATTGACGCAAATGGACATTTTCAGATGAATCCTCTGTCCAAAGAACATCAAATTCTGGCGTTCAATAGGCATGGATGCTAAAATCAAAGACATGTCTATCTCGATTCATCAGTCCTAAAGCCTTTATGAAGTATATATCGCAGATCGTATGGGCTTGTATATGGATTGGTGGCTGTTCAGATTTAGTAAGTACCATGGAGCACGATTCTATGCCTAAAGGTAGGGTATATAACACCAAATCCTATCTCAAAGCGATAGAAGAAGGGTTTCCACCACTATAAAGACGATGATATACTTCAGCAAGACAATGCTAGTATTCATATATTGAAGGATGCGGTAAGTTGGTTTAGACGTTGGTGTATTCGTCCTATAAAATGGCCCGCAGGTTCGCCTGATATGAGCTCGATTGAGCTATGTTGGTATTTTTTGAAGTGCACATTACGAAAGAAGCACCCTGAATTAATGGAAATGGGCGAAGGTGCAGAATATTGGGCCTACTTCAAGCGCTATATTTGCGAAGCTTAGTGTGCCATTCCGCAAGCTAAAATCGATCTCTTGATTCTATTGATGCCCCATAGATTAACTGCTGTACGTAAAACTAGAGGTTATTAAACAAAGCACCTAAGTACCAAGTTCTATTTGATCCCGTAGCCAACCTTGGAATTGTCTATCTAAACATATAGATTGTAAAACCATGTCTATTATATGGCGGAGGCATTGGTATTGAAAGTAATTATATATTTAATGTGGGTCTCAAACCTTACTGTAAATAGACTTGATGCCCATATCTATAGCTACCTTGTATACCCAAGATATAATTCATTCCGTCTTGAAGAAAAAGTAATAATAAAGGAAAAAAAAATAAAACCCGAGAGCTTCCATGCCCTTTTCCCAGTCCTGTCAAAACACATATTTCAGACGCTCAAATTCCACAACAATACGATCTACTCTCTCTCCAGGATAGCGGGGGCCTTGATCTCGCGACCAGAAAGGAACTCGAGATTCTCACCACCATAGCTGATCAAGGGAGAGACCTCAACACCAAAGGCATCACCATCGGTAACGACGGTGGCACCAGCTTTTTCGGCCCATCGCTGGCCCTGCTTCATAATGTCGGCGCGGCTGGTATCTGGGTCATCCTCGCCAGTACCACGGGGGTTCTTCAATGGCGAGAACTCCTCCTCGCGACGGACTTCAATGCTAGCAAACTTGTCCAGAGGGGTCAAGGGGAACACATCAAAGACAAACTGCTCAAGCTTGATACCGTTTGGCGTGGTGGGCTTGATGGACTCGCCGTTCTCGGGGTTGACGCAGGGGATCTTCTTGCGTGCCACGTGGTGAGGTAGCTTGTGCATCAACGTCTCAAGAGACTCGAAGAAGCGGAATGAGTAGTAGTGGTTGACAATGTTGGCGGCACGGAACTTGAGCACGTCTGGCTGCTTGGGGTCCTTGGCCTCGGCGGTTTCCTTGTCGATCTCAGAGTACTCGACAACGTCGGGCTTGCCGTTCTTCTGCACAATCAGACCGACGGACTCGGTGGCGTTGCGCTTGCGAACGACCTTAGTAGCGATGTCGACATCCTTGGATGCTGAGAAACCAATGAACACTGGGTCGGCCACCTTCACCAGGCAGTTGTCCACGCCATAGCTGTGGATGTGCTTAATACCGCGGCGGTGCATGTCCTCGCGCGCACCAGAGGTAACGAGTGCAAGGTAAATACCTCCATTACCATCGGGGGCTACGGCAACCTGCAAAATTTCGAGCAAGTTAGAAATCAATGTATATATAAAAGCACTAGAAGGGGGGAAGATCTACCTTGCCCTTGCTCTCCAGCAGAATCTTGCCGTCATTGGAGATGCAAGGCAAAACACCTTGCTCGAAAATAAAGACATTCTCCTTAAGCAGGCCGAAGTAGTTGTGCTTCTCAAAGAACTCCTCGGTAGGCTTGCGAGTCGGTCCGCTGGTCATGACGTACCAGGGGATAACAACCTTCGCAGCACCGTGAGCCTTGGCCGCCAACTCCTGAAGCTTGGCAATACGCTCAGCCATGAGCTGGAACAGAGACTTCTCACTCAGTAGACCAATATCGAAGCAACCCTTGGGTGCGGAGCTTCCGAGGCGGGTACCTTGGCCACCGGCCATGAGCACGACGGCAACATGGTTCTCGGCAACCTCCTTTAAACCGGCATCATACCACTTCTGGATATCGGTGGGATCGGAATCGAGAATAGAAGCGGTCGCTACCTCGGGCAGGGGCTCGACGGTGATAGCAGTCTCCTCGGTCTTGGGTGGGTTCAGAGCCTTGTCGGCTAGCTCATTAATGCGAATTGGGTCGAAATTGGACAACTGGTGGAATAGTTGAGACTTTTCGACAGTTGAGAGCTCATCGACGAAAGCAAATACTTGGCCTTGGCCGGCGTCAGTATACTTCTTTCGCAGTTGTTGGATCTCCTCGGCAGAGGGTTCGCGGGGAGTATGCTGAGCTGAGCCGCTAATTTTGCCAATGAGGTTGGAGACTGTTCCTTTAATCGCTTCCGCCATTGTGTAATTGGATATTTTTGGTAAGTATAATTTGGGGGAGAAGTTGAGTGGATGAGAGAAGAGAGAGATAGGTGGCAAGATGGAGATGAGAAAGTAAATAAGGGATCGCGGGGGTTGAAGCTAAAGCTTCCTACACACCGCTGAGCCTTACTAGCATTGGATTATTTATAATAAGCAAATCATAATCAAGAACGGCGAAACCTGGCCACTCGATTACTCTAGTGCGCCGATTTTTGATCCACAAGCGGGGTAGGGGCGTTCTGACTGTGTTGGTATTGTGTACGTAAATTCCTACGGTTTGAGATTGAAAGGGGTATTCCTTCATTACTCCATAGTATCTGTTCTTTACAGTTCATCATTTTAAACACTAGGGCCGATGACGGTCACTTCGGTCATTTCGGCCACGGTAACCCGGCTTGCCATCCCGATTACCTCGTGGGTCGTTACGTCCAGGGCTTCGACTGTATGATCGACGTCGGTACCGATCTTGATCTCGTCGAGGACTGCGACTGGCTTGTCGCTCACGCGTGTCTCGTTGCGGAGGACGAGAAGAGTCGCCAGATTGTCGAGATTTGTCAAATACCATCTTATACCGGCGTTCCTCTGCATCCTCGCGCACGGTGTCTCCGACTCGGTAATGGCTTTTCTTTTCGAGGTTATAGGCACCACCGAAACCACCCTGTTGTCGGCGCTTGGTGACGGTGGAATTTCGCCAGCTATCGGATAATTTGGAGACCTGGAATTGTTCAGCAATGAAACGTTTAGTACATGGGATCAGGTGGATCTACACTCTGTGAGAAATCAACGTGGATTCGGTGGTCGTCAATGAGAACTCCCTGCATCTTGAAGTAGGCTTGTTCGCATGACTTCTGCTCCTCAAATTCAATGAATGCGTACTGCAGACTGTCGCCAGTGCGTTTGTCACGAATCACTTCGCAAGATAGAATTGTTCCGAAACGGCTAAAGATCAGCTGTAGGTCCTCATCTGCTTAGACATTAGTATACCGCCAAGTGATGAGAGTGAAAAGGGGTATATCCTGACCTTGCGTGACGGGATTGAGTTTGCAGACGAAAAGAACATTCTCCGGTGGTTTGACATCTGCAAAAGGAAGATCTCCTACCATTTCTAGAGTCAAAGCTTGGGCGCGAGCTTCGCGCTCTCGTCGTAGCCTATCAAGTGCCTCCTCGTCCATATTATCGTCCAGATCTTCATCATCGGCAATGCGCACCGTTGCCAATTGAGCCTTGGATGGCACGGGACTTTCTGGCGGCTCCACCAGCCCTGGGGGATCATCGAACGGATCATCAAGCACTACTGTATGACGGATACGAATATCCTGCAACGGTCGCCCTTTAGCATCCACGAAGACGTTGTTAATTTTCTCCAGCACGTCAAATCCCTCCACAACTTTTCCAAAGATCACTGCCTTCCCATCAAGAAAGTCTAGGTTGTCGGCTAGCGTAATCAAGAACTGACTGCCGGCGATTCGTTGGTCCGGATCGTTTTTAGCTGAAACGGTTGCCATGCTCACGGTGCCGCGCTCAATGTGCTTGAGCTTCGGCGGCAGTTGGATTGGAAAGTTGCGGTTCGAGGGACCGTCCAGAACACCCCAGATCGAGGACCCGCCATCGCTCTCGGGGGCTTCTGGACCCAACGGGTCACCAGTCTGGAAAGTGAAGTTTTTTTGGACGCTGTGGACTGGGGAGAAATTGTAGTATTTGATCTTGCAAAGCTTCAAGAAGCTACAAAAGTAAGCGAAGTTAGCATCGGATTCGTTGAGTGTTGAGTAGAGAGGGGTAGTACTTTTCACAAGCCTTGGGTGATACATCGACCAATAAGTCAATGACAATATCGCCCAAGGAGGTTTCTAGCAGGGCGCTCATCTGGACTGGGGTTGATGAAGTTGGGCTGAAATCTGAAGGTCAAGTCAAGTTCAAGTTGGCGCGAGTCGCGCGGGAGGAGATCGTCGAAGCTTCCACCAATCAGAGTGCTCCTTTCTAGGGCTATGAACTTGTACCACATCCTCTTTTCATATACAAGTCACCACAATCACCTTGGAACCAACTACCTATGTCATGAAGCAGTACTAGGTACTAGGTATATACAATATGCAGGCCCCGTCGTTCGGATGATCGACCCGGTTGTACAACGACTACTATCTATTAAATCGAGCGGCTTATCTTCCGACTGTCTCCATCCTATTTTTATTAACTGTTTGCACTCTCACCGGATTCTCAGATTGGAAATGTATTAGTTGAAAAAGTAACTATGCCCTCGAGGTTATGAATTTCTGCGCTTATCTCGGTTCATTGATCTAAGCCTTCCTTACGATCGATCTCGATCTAGATCCCTATACCGGTACTTTGAGGTTAACCCTAACTTATAGATTCAAACTCAGATCCAGGCCCACCCTAGGACCTAGAGATAGATCTGATTGATTCGTACCCTGATCTGTAGTTAACTCTCCATGTTCTTTGAATCTTTTCTTTGGTTCCACTACAGCATAGAAAATAACGGTGGAGGAAACGGCCGGCCTCCTGCAGCTAGAGCGGACAGCTTCATAGACTCAAATCTCCCTCCTTCAACCCCAGAGATTACACGTGGAAAACCAAAAGAATCGCCTTTTTCTATGGAGGAGACCCTTAGGGACAGGGGGTCCAGGGGATAATAACCCCCCTAAGAAAATCAAACTAAACCCTGCAAGTTGGTCTTAATCGCAATGTGCCTGAGAGTCAGCTGGTTTACCCATATGGGCAACTGGTGTCCTATGTTGTGTATTGTTAGACCATTGAAAACACATTTGAGAGAAGGAAAGATAGATGGCAATTCTATTTGAATCATTTACATTTACTATTCCCGACTTCTTTGTCCGATCGTTGTATGTTGCCCCAGACAGGCCTCAGAGACTATATCCTTTCCCCCCTTTTCCACTTTGTTCCAGCCTTTCTTCCGCCAAAAAAATCTAGCCATAGTTGAGCCTCTTTGCTTTTTTGATCATTCCCTTTCCACCCAGCTGCTGTGGAGGCGCTAGCAGGAAGAGCCGAATGGAGGATCTACCCATGTCGTCGATCAAGGCGGTTGGATAGCTTTAATCCCTGTTATGGCTTGAATGTTTCTTTACTATTGGAATTGGCATCCTCATCTGGTTACAGACTCCACTTCAGCCTCTCCACTAAGCTACCGCTCGTGCTGATCAAAAGTGACAGGTGTCAACCGTTTTTCCCCCTCTGTCAACCATGTTTCTTGCACGTTGAGACATTTGCCCTAACCCGAAATGGGGGTCTAAGACATGCCACAGGAATATGAAAAATTATCTATGCGTTTGTTACAACCTTCCAAGGTTGGAAAGCTCGTCCTGGGCATGAAAACAAGATATCTTAGTCTTAAGCTCTTAAGCTCTTAAGCCAAGCTCCAACTGTTTGCTGAAAATAGCGGCTTCCTGGTAAAGCTAGCTGCAGCAGCCACACCAATCGGGGTCTCTTATTATCGGAGCAAACAGTTCAACTCCATCTCGATCGCCCCCGGATGCATTTCCGGATCGGCACCAGGAATCTACTGCAAACGTAGGCAGCGGCCTTCCGTTGCATATGATAACCCTAACATAGGTATTGGTTGAAACAGTGGCGGATCAGAGGGCTATAATCTCCCCGTCTGGACTTGTTCTCGTCATATCAGGTCATGTCCCGTGTGACGTTACTTTGTGAAACCAGGCCTCTTAAAACGCCGAGGCCGTGCTAGTCTTTTTATGGGAGGAATGTGGATTGGATTCAGTCCGGAAGTGTGCATATCATCTCCCCTGGGTACAGAAGAAAGAGAGATAAATTAAAGAAAAAAAGAAAAAAAAGAGGAGAAATATAACGACCACACTGGGAAGTAGAGAATAAGAGAATCAACAATAGAAATAGATATAGAGATAGAAATAGAGATAGAAACAGAAATAGGAAATAAAAAAGGAGCTACCCTAGTAGGTAGGGATATCAACCATTTAAAGTATTATTGCGTTGAGATTTCCACATCTTTCTTGGTCCTTTGACTAGAAGCAAATACCTAGTAAACTCCAGAATAGAGTAAATAAATGAAATTACCAGGGGGCAAAAATAATAATAAAAATCATTTGAAAGCTCCTAGGGCTAAAATAGTGCCTAGCAAAAAAATAATTAAAAAGAGAACACAGCAATCACACCGATTGTTACCAAAACATGGCTTAATGGCTTAAAATCTAGCCCTATCTCCCAGAGACATCTTGACTTGTTCATTTCCCTTTCTCTCTCACTACAAATCATGTTCTGAACTTGTTGGAATCCTCAACTTGCTTTCATGTTTCATGCTATTTGCTGATTGACGGGATTTTGAATTTTTCTTATTGAAGCACTTGCACTTTAAGCTTCTTCTCACCTTTACAATGGACTCTTTCTACACTGAAAAGTCTGGGTTTGATCAACCTAGGCATGATATGGCCTTTTCCATGTCCCGTTCAATGCGAAGTATGACCCAACAGGAGTTGAACGATCGCTCTTGTATAAGCCATGCCACTGAGATGGATGGCAAGTCCCGCAACCCGCAACGACGTCGAGTCCCTATCGCTGTATGGTTTTTCTCATCTCATCTTAAGTTCAAGTTCTTACCTTTTTTCAATTTAGTGTGGCAGATGCCGAAAAAGAAAGATCAAGTGCAGTGGGGATTCTGGTGATGGCCAAGGCTGTACCAACTGCCGTTCAGCTGGCAATACAGACTGCCAATTCTTACGAGTAAGCCCTGAGCCTGACAAAAAAAGGAAGGAGCAAGCTGACTAGAGATTTATCAGATGCACTCATTAAATCTACCAGCCAAGCCATGGCCATACCCCAACGTGGAGACAGCAATGGTTCAATCACCCAGATTAGCACCGGACCTGTACACACATGCCCCCGGCAAACCAACTCTCATGTCCATGAACTCACCCCAGACTCGCATGGCTACATTCCAGCGGACACCAGAATTTGATCTGGGCCCAGAGCATGTATTTCAACGACCGATGATGGGGTCAGAACCTATGCACTACGAGGGCGAACAGACAAACTACAACATGTCTCCAGAATACCTGCATTCCAATGCTCCACCAGGGGTATTTATGGACTATGAGACAGCTAGCTGGAACCCAAAACACTGGGACTCAGTTGTCAATAGCAGATCTGCTGGAAATGGAGGAATGTACCCGGAGCCAGAACAGTCGCCTTTCTACATGCTTCCCAGTCAGGTTATCACCAACGACCTCTCCCAGTCTGTTGCTGTCTCATCACCTGATGCACCAGGCTCAGACCGAATACTTCCCACCCCAACCTGCCGAAGCCAACAAGTTCCCAGCATTACAGTCCCAAACGACCGTCTTAGCCGCACACTTTCACGAGACAACAGTACAGCCGGTCAACGTCACCTCGCACTGACAAGCGAGTGTGCTGCAGACATATACGGCTACACAAGCACCGAGAAGAGCAAGCGCGGTGATGGTGGAAATGGAGGCGATTCTCGCTACCCGGGAGCTACACTTATGAGCGGCCTACCATATACCCGTGTACCGCACCGGGATATGCCTGCTAATCCATTCGCTTTTAATATGATTCCTGACGCTCTCTCGGAGTATCAGCGTGTTGTGGAGAATGTCCATAGACCTGTTGAGCCGTTGAGAAACCAAGGTGCTTACTAGTTTGCTTTACTCTGCTGTCTTTACCATCCTGCTTTGACTTTTAAGGCTATGGGATTGAAGCACCGGCCGAGACCTCCAGGTCTGGGGGCTCGGGATGGAACATATTCTGAGTTCTGTCCAGGTACCCTTCCACTAATTCTCATGCCGTCAACTCGGGAAAGAAAATGATACCCTTCTGCTAATCTTCATCAACCAACAAGATAAATGATTGTGTCTAGATGATGGGTTCTCTCTGGTCTTTCCCAGCCTCTGGCTATCATATCTACCCTTTGATGCCCCTACGGCCATATTTACGGCACTATTTACGGCACTTTTTCAACTGAATCTTGATGCTCTGACCCTTACTATTATTACTATTCTGTGTTTTTTTCTCTGCATGTGCTGTCTGTCATTCTTGGATCTTTCCATTCCAGGCCTTTCTTCCTCTCTGATCTCCCTTTTCATTCTCATTCTCATTCTCATTTCCATCTCCACTTCCTCATGTGGAGTACTGGAGATGCTTAATACCCTCAGCTTGTGTGGCATGTGTGTGGAGGTTACTGTCTGCAGTATGTCATGGTACTTATCATTTTGTATCTATTCCCATGTTGTACTTGCAATTCCTTTTTCTTGTTTCCCCTTGACTTTGGGTTTGCTTTCTACAGGATGCACGGCCTGCTCCTTTTGTGCTTTTGATATCCTTGGGTTTGTCTTTTCACTTTGGTAAAATTATGTTGAACCTGTCAACGACAGTGTCTAGCTTCGAACAAATTCTGATCTGTTTACTTTTTTCCTTCTCTTCTGATGAAAGGCTCTATATTTTCTGGTGGGGGTTTGATTATTGTCTAGTACCTATCTATTAATGGGAGGCATTTTGTTGTACGTTCATAGCTTTCTTATGCTACCTGCTGGTTCGAATGATGATCTTATCCTATCATGGCTCAAGCATCCGTCTTTCTTAATTTCACTTATGGTATAGCTACCTACGTACTTAATTTCATATTCTAATCATGCTTTATGCTGTACCGTTACACTTGACTTGAGCCATCCTTCCCGTGTTGATCTCTTGATGATCTGTGTTATTAACGTCAACGCTCTCTAAGCTAGAAAGGGGAGGACCTTAACCTGCAATGTTACATAAGAAATCACTCCCTTCAAGTAGAGAGTACAACTATGTGTGGAAATGGGAATTGAAATGGAAAGCCTGAAACTCAAAACTGGTACACAAAAGGACAGGATATCAGATGAGGCATGAGCTTAACAAAATAGCTTCCTCCTAATCTAGAACTAAAATTACAGATTGGGACAACCGGTCAATCACTCTAGCTTCACTGTGTAATCTCCCGCACAAACTCATCATCACACCTTCAGTTGCAAGATGACCCTGCATCTTCATGGCTCGTCCTTAGTCTAAAGACTATGATGTACATCTTTCAGCTCTTTTCTCTCCGCCCAAGCTTTCATCCTGGTCAGGGCCGTGCGTCGGATGCATGGATTCGAGATCTAGCGCTTTGGGGGGGGGGGGGGGGGGGGGTGTTGATGGTGTTATGCTACGAATGGAGGGTGATTATTTCTTTCAGCTGGTCCGATTCCCCGAAATCTTGTTGAGTTTGCGTGGCCGTGGGATAGTATCCGGATGGGCTGTACGTACTCTGTACTCTGTGCTTGGTACTCTGTGCTTGGTGTGACTGTCCTTGGTTGGACTGAGGGGGGTGAGATCAAGTATAAATCTTGTAACCCCGGATTTTGGGTGGGACTTGTAGAAAGCCACAAGATACCAGGACCAAGTGAACAGGATTCTACGGGCTACACTTTGGAAGCAGCTGAACAGAAACAGTAAAAATATGTAATTCATAACCGGAACAACAGCCGAAGCCCGGGTTATCATATCCCTTGTTTTGATTCGAAGCTGATGATCCAAACCAATATGGAAAGAAACAACGCCTTTTTTGTGAAAGGTAAAAAAAGGAGGATCATCAGGTTCGCTGTGATCCAAGACCAAGACCACGACAAAGGGGAATTTGCCACAGACAGCAAAAAACAGTCGACATTTTCCCCTTTTATTCTTTTTTTAAAGCGAAACGCATCCATGAAAGAAAACATCCTCGGCTACGGTTTCTATCCAAATTATCGTGGAGTAGAATGTTCGTGAAATCGATGATATTGTCAATGAAGATACCATGACGCCGATACCATCCCCGTCACACGTCCACACATCAAAACCAGAACCACCAGACCACGAAACGTTGCATCCATCGCGCAATGCAGTTCACCGGTCCATGTTGAATCAGGAGAAGCGAGACGTTTAGTTCTTGGACTTTTTGGGGCCCTTGACCTTGGCGACACCGCGGAACTTCTTGGAGCGGTTCTTCCGTTGCTTGCCTGTAGAAAGGAAGGGGTGTTAGTTGAAATTGTTCAGGTCGAGTTGTGGGGGGTCGTAAAAACATACGCTGCTGTCGGCTGGCCTTCTCGATCTTGCTGGCGGCACCGATGCGGACGAGACGGTAGTGGGGCTCGAACTTCTTCAGGGCCTCGCCGGAGTCGTAGACAAGAGCAAAGCCGGTGGACTTGCCACCACCGTACTGTGTGCGGAACCCGAAAACGGAGACCTGGTCCTTGTTGGACTTGTAGAGGTCGGCCAGCTTCTCACGGAGCTCGTCCTTGGAGACGTTAGGGCGGTTGGGGTGGAGGACATCACTAATAGCAGGAAGAAGTCAGTCGAGTCGTTCCTAGAATTTTTGTGTGATTCCCGATTCTCTCAGATCCCCCAGTAGTTTGTATAAATATTCTCGACGAAAATAATAGCGCGGTGTTGTGCTTGTTGTTGCGTTGGTGTTCTTGAGATATATGCGCGAAATTGTCGATAATTCGCCTTCCTTCAATTTCCTTCCATTGCTTGCAATTCTGTGGGGGTTCTTCACGGGCTCGAGACAAAAGGAAAAGGGGTTCTTACACGACCATCTGCTTGCGGGCCAGCAGAGGGTTGCGGATGAACTTGCGAGTCCGCAGGGTAACGGGGGTGTCGGCCATTTTGCTGGTGGTTGGTGATGCAAGAGGGAATGAGTGTGGATAGTCGACTTTCAATTTTCGTGCGGTGCGTCTCGGCTAGTATTAAGCTAATCCTTTTTAGGGCTTGGTCACGGGGTATGATGACTCAGGTGGATGCGTATCTGCTTATCGAAAGTTGCCATCTTTCTTATCGATAAGAGATAGTGGAAAATCAGGGCTGGAATCTCAAATCTCAGATTTACGGATTACAGCTTGCCAGTGGGTCAGTTTTTCTAACGATGGAGACAATTCGCACTTTATGTGCTCAGTACTTCCAGCTGGTCGAAGTGCCAGCTCTGTTTATACCTCCAGGAGAAGTTCTCATCCAGCAAAATGTTCAAACCGCATTATATGAGCGCATGTTTGACGAGTCCCTCAATCTACCACCGGCTACATACCGAACGCGAGTATTGAAAGAGATTATCGCGCGAATTGAAAGCTCTGTCAAGGATCCTGAGGAAGATGTATGTCAGAAACTCACTTCAATCATGTTCAATCGAGACTAGTCGATCTATACATATCCTATACATTTAATTTCAGTCTCTTATATTATCTCCACCGAATAGGAAATCCTAGACGATCTCATGACATCCTTGGGTAGCCTACTCGCCCAGCCAAAACCCAGCGCCCTCCAACAAGCTCAGCAACTCTCCCACGTCAAATACACTGCTCCGCTCACCTCCTCTACCACCACTTCAGACCGAACGGTAACCACCATCGAATCACGAGGTCTCATCCTCTCTGGCGGGACAACGGGTAACAGAACATGGGAAGCAGCTCTTCATCTCGGCTCATTTCTCGCCACAGAAGCAGGCGAAGCCCTCGTCCGCAATAAACGGGTGATAGAACTTGGCGCAGGAACAGGATTTCTGTCTCTATTTTGTGCCCGTCATCTTGGTGTGCGGACTGTTGTATCTACGGATCGAGAGCCGGTGTTGATTGATAATATTCGTGAATGTGCGATTTTGAATCGGGACTCGAATGAGGAAATTCCTATCTATCCTGCTGTTTGGAATTGGGGAACACCTTTGGAAGTCACTGAGGAAATGGAACATATTGTTGAAGGTGAAAGACCGGAGTTTGAAATTGCACTTGGTGCTGATTTGGTATGGCCTTCTTACACATTCAGTTTGGTCCTTTCCTTGTGCTGGGCTTACACAGTCAGATATACGATACCGACCTTGTCCCTCTCCTTTTATCAACAGTGCGCGACCTCTTCGACAACTACCACGTTGGAGAATTCATCATTTCAGCAACTATGCGAAATGAGAAAACATTCCAAACCTTCCTGACGGGATGCGGTAAGTTGTAATCTTCATTTGCTCGTAGAGAAAAAGGTGAGAGGAAGCTAACAGGTCTAGAAACGAACTCCTTCAAGGTTGAATGCATCCCATTCCAATCTACAGCTGCTGATGAACAATCTGGATTCTTCCATTCGACTAGTATTCCTATCAAGACATATCGAATCTCGAGGGCTGAACGAAGATCCAGCTGCCACGTAAACTGGGCCCTAGAGGCATTCGATTGAACTTCGGAAGAATCATTATAAAAATTATATGCTCAGAGCGTGCATAACCTTGCTGGATCATCAATCTTAATATTCGTCGTTTTACTAGAACCTGAGCTAAATTAGATACGAGGTAATCATGGCGATTGTCTTGTATTCATAAACTAGGAGCAAATGAAAAATAAAATATTATGACCATAGAGAGTGAACCAAAAGGAAAAAGTTCATCGGGTATCATTTATTTGCAACGCCCAGCGTTGCCAGTTGACCTTCTAGCGGCCAGAAAAAGCACCAAAAGAGTGTGATGCACCGAAATCAAGTGCCAAGGACGAGACCGCTCCTCGCAATGCGAGGCGTAATATATGACAGAGAGAAGAAATAGTAGATGTGACGAGATGCTGGGTATTGACAATAGTAATAAGTAGATAGTGAGTGGGCAACAAATAAGAGGTAATCGGAGATTGAGTGAACTGACGAAAGGAGTTCAGTCTACTCAGCCAGACTCTCTCGTAAAAGTTCTTCATCAATGTCTTCCGCATGGATGGAGATAGGAGCCTGTGGCGGAGGGTAGAAACCCATTATAGGACCCTTTTGGTTCACACCTGGGTGGCGGAATCCTGGAGGTGGGCGCGGGGTATTCTTAGGTGTCGAAGTCTTTGAGTTCGGTGGTTTAATTGGTATTTGTGGCTCAGATTGGGTGGTGGAATCCTCAGCATCATCTTCTTCTGAGACGGGCGCAACTCCCCACTTACCCATGACCCAGCCGCCCATTCGGCGTCGTAATGTCTTCTTGTTGGGCGTTGGAGTTGCGGTGGAGCTGGTGCTGATGCTGGCACTGTCTGGAGAGATGGCAGATGTGAACTCTGAGGGAATACTGCTTGCAGCCATAGATGCTAGAAGAGAGCGGGAGGACTGTTCGGATCTCCTGGCAAGATTTGCTGTGATGGTAGCTGTTGAAATGATTGGCGGTGTTGAAGCCAATTCAACGCTCGGGGCCATGAGGCGTCTGGGAATGGGTATGCCTGAATGCCAGTCACCCATGCTTGAGTAACGATTTGTCGGAGTGTGAATATCCATCCCTGCAATTGACAATAGGCTGTCATGCGAAGAGGACTTGCGTAGAGACTTGTACGGCGTATGGATGCCGAAAATGTTCGATTCATTAGTTTGTGTTGAATCGCGTGCGGCAGAATGTAAGTAGTACCCAGATGGTGAAGCTTCTGACTCCTCTGGAATAGCGGCATGTGATGGAATGCCTTCGTACATGTCCGAGAAGGCCGATCGATCATATTGTTCTTCGTAGTCGCCCATAGATCGCGAATCGCGATCTAACGCTTTGACGCCAGTCATAGGAGACGTGAACACGGTGCTGTCGGGGCTCGTAGCCTGGGAATAACCCGTGACATCCATACGATCAAAGATCGAAGATGTACGGAAAGCAGACTGGGGGGAACTAGCTCTGGAATCAAATGTGGAGGATTGCGCTGACCAGCGGCGAGAAGAGGGTGGGATCGAGACTGAAGTTTGAGATAGTATCGTGTTCATAGAAGAGCCGGAGGGCTGAGAGCGATGCATGTTATTTCGTGACAATGGTGGATTTCGCATAGAGAGATTCAAAGGGATAGTATTCCCAACAGCGGGTCTCTTCTTTTTCACCCGACGAGTCCATGGGCCCTTGTCCTTCTTCGGACTAGACGTGTGGAAATGGTGGTGGATGTGGAATTCTTGAGACACTCGGTCTCTTGAGTGAAGTTCCTCGCTGAGAGTCGAACTTGAAATTGGCTCGAGGACATGTTCATTCTCATCATCGACGCCAGGCAGAGGTTGATCGCACATGACTTGTTCTCGCAAGTTTTGAACCTCATAATTAGAGCTATCAAGCATTTGGCGCAGCTCCATGATACCGACTTGAAGATTGGCATTATCTTGCAAAATATCCTTAACGAAGCGCGAAACAACGTGAGTCCTGGGGTTGTGGGTAATTTCTGAGGCAGCTGCAGCTCCCTTCAAACGTCCAGCTGCATGGTCCAGCTCGCGCTCAACCTGACGCTTGCGCTCCATACGCTGGAATATTTCCTCATGACGTGCACGTTCCTCGCGACCCTCAGCCTCGACATGTTCAACTTGATCAGTTAGATCGCGTAGCCTATTCTCGGTGCTCCTCCATCGATTCACCGCAGCTCGCTCATCCTCCTCTGTAGCCTCCAAGCGCTCTTGAATTCTCAAATGCTCAGCCTCCATCTGATTCAACTGATCTTCAAGCTCTGCAGCTCGGACCGAAGCAGCATTCAAATGTCGCAACTCTTCCTCGGTTCTTGCCAAGGTCTGAGTGAGCGAGTGGATACGGTCGTCGGACTCAGAGGCGGTTTTATTTATGGTTTCCAGCTGCTCCAGCAGACTGTGATTCTCCTCGACGATACGCATATTTTCAATTTGGACTTGAGACTTTTCAAGCTCGAGAGCTTCAATACTGGCAGCTAGTAGTTGGCGGTCCTCTTCGGCTTGGGAAACGTAACTTTCATGGCGGTGGAGTAAAGCCTGTAGAGCAAATGTCAGCGATGAGGGAGCGCCTTGACATTCTGCCTCAACAGAATAGTCGTGAAAAGGTAAAGCCATGACGGACGCCTGAGCAACGAGAGAGGATGAGAGACCTCAATGCGGGGGAGGATTCCATAGGACGAAGGCACGAGATGAAAAGGCAAAAAGTATGGGAGTGAAAGGTAAAAACGGAAGCAGGTACAGAATGAGGCACAGGGAACTATGTGAGAAAAGCAACCAAAAAAGCAAATACAATCAATAGGTGGAGAATGACAAGGCAAAATGATGGATCGCAAATATTCATGCACATCGTCTATCTTCGCTTTAAGGAAATGCGACGCGACCAAGTATAAAATAAAAACCACGTACCTGCCCTAATCTTGCTGCTGTTGCAAGATCTTTCTCCATGGCCTCAAGGGCAACACTGTTATGCTCGAGTATAGCACAGTCATTACGAGCACAGCAACACCGCAGTGTGGCTGGCTCTCTAGAATGTGTTGGAATGCTGGGCATATAATCATCCGAGTCAGGATCCGAGCTATGCGGGTGGGAATCCATAGTAAGAATGTGGCCCCTTCTGGGAGCTGATGGCGAGGGGACTGATCATCCGTGAAGGTGCGAGCTATCGCTTGTATACAGTCGAAGAGACTGCAGTGGGATGCCGCGTACAGGTCATCCGTGCAAGAAAGCGGAGCAAGTCAGCTGACAGAGTTGCTTAGTCAAAATTGTCAAAATTTCGAAATGGAGTATAGCTTTGGACAGGAATAGTATAGAATGAGAGGCGTAATTTAGGGGTGATCACAGGTATAGGGGATAAGAAATGAATTGTCCCTTTTTCAGTTAAAAAGGGTTCTATTATTGAAATTCCAGTATGCCCACGTCATGCCGGATAATTGGGGCTGATAGGGGATCTTCCCCAAGCCATAGCGCCTAGTTGGTGGCTGGGAGAGCATGAAAATCACATTTCAGAACCCACCCGTGTCTTGAAGTTAGTCACTTGTACTAGTGACAATAAACTGCTTTTTATGGGTGGGTGATTTTCAATTTTACTAAGGAGTTCAAGTATTGACCCAATATTATCACTTCCAAGTAGATTTACAACTGCAACCCTATATCAGGTTTCTAGGACATGCATTTCCCGACACAATATCCAATTCAGGAGCGAAAAAACGAATTAAGGAGTGAAGAATGAGGAAAATATACTTAGTGAGAAAAAAAAACCAGATCGTTGCCTCAAATGAGATGAGAATCAGGGGGGAGACCCACAGGCACACTGACTAGCAGAAAATGATTTAAATAAAGTAGCCTGGTAACTCCATCATCAACGCAGACAGAGCAGAGAAATATGCGTGAAGCCATATTGGCTGAATAAGTAGCAACATACCAAGGGATATGAAACTATATATAGGATGTTAAAAAAACGCGCAGCGTTCAATTCAAAGAGAAGAGTAAGCCCGAGTATCAATGAAAGACCCAGCGCCACCGTCTTCACTGATCTCGTTGACAAGTGCCTCCGTTTGTTTATAGAGCCGCTCTAGAGCGGAAGTTGATGATCGTCCTAGGGAAACTAAATTTCGTTAGTAGCCATTCTAAGGTAATGGTGAGTAACAAATACCTAAGATTGCCGAGTTCAACTCCTCTGCAACGAGTGTTCGTCCCTTTGAAGAGAGATGATGTCCATGCATGGACTTTTCAGGGTCAGGATATGCAACAAGTGAGAAGATAGCTTTCAGGAATTTCTTGTCACCGCCATTTTCATCGGATGGGTAGTCGAGTTGAAGTTTTTGACCATACTTGAGAACCTCGGCCATGGCCTCGTTGAATTGTGAGCGGGTGTCAGATTCTTCGGTATCCATTCCTTCCCAACCGTCGCCGTCGCCGTCGCCATCAAGTTCCATTTCTTGATCGAAAACTTCCGGTGATGTTGACTGTGGTTGGTTCGAAGCTGTGACAGAATGTTTCTCTGGAGATAAATCGTTTGCTCGGCGCATCATCTCCAGAAATTTACGACACCGGAGGTGAAAGTGAATTTTTGGGTGGCTTCCAAGTACTTTGGGAAAGTAGGCTTTGGTGCTTTTGAGAGCCTGATCAATGTTGCCATCGAGAATTGCGGAGCGAATTTCTGGCAATATTGTTAGATATGCAAAGTCCAGTATTGGTTGTCACTAGGTCCTACTGTTTCGATTAATATCGGCCAGATCCTTCTTCAGCCCGGAGGGATTCACTGGCTTGGTATATCCGTCATTCAAAGCGGCATTCTCTGTCGCTATCTCAGTGGCAAACTCGCGAGCAGCTTTATCGTAACCCTCATGTGCAAGATACTGGGCCACCAGTTCTTGCAAAAGACCGCTCTCGCTTAGCCCTGGCTGTAGGCTGTCGGCAGAAGTGGCGTTAATTTGCGCATGTACCTTATATTTCTTTTTCTGTGTATGATGTGAGTATATTTGCAAATTGACAGGTCGGTATCATTTGTGACGTACGTTCACCATGCCATCAATATCAAACAAGAACGGTTCCTGTCCAAAATTGGTCTTCAAAGCGACGATTCGTTGCTTCTTCATACCAACGGAAGGATAAAGCTTCACATTGCGTAAATCGTGAAAAGCAATGCCTGGTCCTTCAGCTTGATCCGCCCTAGTCGTAGTTTTCAAAAAGGACATCTCACCGAGGAAGACACCATTCTTGGTAAAAAAGCCAGTCCCATTGGAGAAATTGACTCCACAACCAACGATATCACCAAGTCCAAACGTCGGTCCGTAATTACGGCCTTGACCTTGAACTTCGCCAAAAAATGACTTGCCATCATCGCCATGGTAGCCCCAGGATTCCTGTTCCCAGCCGGGAAGGCGCTCAACAGAAGCCTTACTATTCGAGAAGCCGATTGCGATCATGCTAGTTGTTTGCTCGTGTCAGAATTGGGGGTGTCTACAGCAACAAATCCGTCACACTCTCGTTTACATACCCGTCCTTTGGCTTTGACTCAATCGTAATCTCATAGTAGTAGATCCCGCATTGGGGCGGCATAGGGTTGTTGGTACGTAAGGAGGCAGCTTCGTGGTCATGTTTGTCTGTTGGGCCAGAGTAGCGCACCTCTGTGCCATGATTTGAAACCTCCAAGGCGCCATATTTGTCCGTAGAGCTCCATTGCGTGGGTAGCGGCAAAACCTGATCGGTGGTGGTTGAGACCTCTTTCTCGATGATATCATAGGTCATCCCTCGATGAGTCGTGGAGACGTGAGGGTGGTGGCCATTTAATTGTGCGGAGATAGGTGGATTTAAAGTGGAGTGGGATGAGGAGGCTTCGAGCACTTCGGCGTTTAGTATCCTGGCTCTATGAGCAGCGTCACGACGAGAGATGTATCGGGAATTGAGGAGGTAGGACGGGGTGAAATATGAAGGATCCAAGTAGGAGGGATGAAGGGGACCTGATGAATCTGTCTGGTAATAGTTTCCCGCATACATGCGAGAATAGTGAGGCAGGGGGTCTTGAATTGAAGTTGACCTCATGGTGGAGTTTGGATGCATGTCTGGAGCATCCAAGCCAGACTGGGTTCGGTAGAGAAGACGACTATCAAGCTGTGGTGGAGAAGGAGGTTGATGGTTAAGAAGATGTGCAAGTGAGGTTGAGGTAGATGTGGGGGAAACTAATGTGTTGCCGGAGACGACAGAAGCATATGAGTAACGGCGTGGACCGGAGAAGCCATACGTTGGAGCTCTCGCTCCACCTCTGGGGAAAGGATCTGTCATGGCGGGTCACCCAACCCCACGATATCACCACTTGAATTCCTTTTTATTTTTATTTCTCGTTTTCCGGATTTCCTTGTCTCTTGATGTTGTGTGATGGGTCACATCTGTCATCTGATGACCGAAAACAGCGAAGAGTAGTAGTAACTAACCGAGTACGGTAAGAGTTCATATTCTACGGAATCAGAGTAGAATGAAACAGATACCAGGTAAGATGTCAATAAATCTGTCATCTGTGCGGGGCCTAGGGTAAAAATAGGAAATGAGGGGATTGTAACAACCCCTCCGATGCTTATGGAAGTACAAGATTCTTTGTACTATCTCGAGTATCACTTTGGGTATCTATGTACTTGATCTTACAGAGACCAGACATGGTTCTTGCACCTATGGACTCATGGATGAATTATAGTAGTATACTTTAAAAGTACTAAGTACGATATAATTAGCCGTCAAAGAAGTGGTATTTCAAGTCAATCCGGAACAAAGTCCCAAGTTGATACCATCAAATAAGCAAGATAGAGAGGCCCGAATTAAATATGATACATAAAAGATGCCCAAAACAGCCCGATTCCAAGGTTCCTATCAGCCATATGCGCAAATCCCATGCCCATACCGTATTCCTTTCCATTTCCCCAACGCCAAAGCCAAGAATCCCACAGAAGGTATGATCGTAAGAACGAGAAGAAAGGGGGGAAAAAGACAAGAGAGAGTTCAGAAGGTTCTAATTTACAGATGTTACTGTCACTTAAGCGACCATAGTAACAGCTGGCGAAGAGGCCTCGACCATGTGGGACGGGGCTGGGGTGATATCCCCACCGGAATTACTCTTCTCGCTTGGAACAGCACTGCTGCCGTTGAGAGTTTCAGTGCCAGGTGGAGCCAGTGTGTGCTTATTATCACTATCAATGCTCTCAAGGGCAACGGCACCCTTAGCTTCGTCAGATCCAACAATGACTAGGCTAGGAGTGCGCCAAGATGGCAGCTTCCAGGCAACGCCGGTGAAGCTGCGTAGTTTGAGAGACTGACGTTCCCATTTACGACATGGGGCGCCTGTTCGATCTAAAGCACGTAGACCAGCATTGATGGCACCGGTGTTGGCCTTGGGTCCAAGTCGGTGGGCAGCTGACACTTTCGGGACGACTTCAGCACCCTCCTCCCTGTTATGTTGTTAGCTTATCATCTTAGCTGATAGGGAATAATTCCGATGAACTTACAATCGAGTTTTCTTCTTGGGGCCGGGTCTGCCCCTTGATCGAGGAGTAGATGATTCTGTCTGAGCATTTGTTCGTTTGTTTCCGGGTTTCGGGCCAGGAACTCCCTTCCGTCGTGGGGTATCGCTGGAATTTGCCCCGGTGGCTGGAGTCGAGGTCGTATCCAAATCAGATGCATTATCAGCCGAGGAAGGTCGGACCGCAGGGATTCCGGTGGACGAGGCAGGCGACGAGCGTTCCTGACTCTTGACGGGATTGGTTTTGCTGGAAGTCTTTGTGTCGAGAGGCTTGGTGATAAATCGCTGTAACAGGTCTGGAGACAGCTTCAAAGTCACCACTAGGGTGTTGAGTTCTTTCTTGGAGGCACTAGCTCTATTTGAGCGACCGTTGGCTGTAGTACCGGCAGCCATGATGAATATAGACTATAGACGAGTTGAAGATCGCCTCTTTTTTTTTTTTTCAATGAGAATTGGGGGGAAAGACGGATTAGGGAAGACGGAGATGATAGGGATGATACAGGGGCGTAACGTGTTTGGTTGTTTCCACCGCCCGGTGGCTTTCAGGTCCTTTGGTTCTGAGGCAAAAGCTGAGAATGGATGGAATAGATGGAGTAGATGGAATAGATGAGAGAGACGAGATGAGGTTGAAGTGGGATGGGGAAGGAGGTAAAGATGGAAAGAGGGATGAAGTGGGGGAAGGGGAAAAGGGATCGAAGTCAGTGGATTTCATTTCGTTTAATTTTGCTGAGTAGAAGGTTTTCTTTCGTGAGAGAAACACAGGAGAAGCTGGAGGTGATGGGCCTCGCGTCACTAAAACCCGGTATTACCATTTATTACTCAATATTTCCTCTTTCGTCAGTACCCCGACACTCCTGTTACAATACCAATACATATTTTCGCCCCGATCTAGAAAATACAGTACTATTTATATAGACCTTCGTCTCTTTATCATCGTAAATTCCATATTGAGTGGACTAGTATTGAGGTAGAGTAGGTTACAAGATTTAGCTGTAATAATACTGAACCTCGTTACCATGCAATCTCTCAAACATTCCGAATTCCGAATTACACGATCGCCGCAACCCTAACCCGTTGATGGATCTCATTCCAGTCTACTCCGCTGCGTCCCGAAAGTGGCTCAGGATCATGACAGCTAGTTCAACTAGTGGCCTGTAAATGGGCTGACTGGATCATCCGTATCTATCACGAGTCTTGAGGACTTTTGTTTCACGCCATACGCCTCGTCCATTCCTATAGGGGGATGATGAGAGAAGCAGGGGGAAAAAATAAAAACCACTTAACGCGGCCTACCGGATGTCATAGTACACCATACCAAACCAGAACAGATATTACGCGTTAGTTTTAATGCATGATACAATTGATTTGTGTTATCTATGTGCCCACAAATGATATTATATTGAGCCCTCCCTCTCAGCCTTGCGTCGTTGTAAGACTTGTTCTACTGCACGCTGCACCTCTGGACTTGACCGCACGCCACCGAGGATAAGTCCTTCCGTCATCCCTCGTCGTAGGGCCTTTACGCTTTCACGATCACCGCGGAACGGCGCCTGGCTGAGTTGCAGCATCCGTGTTGCCTCGATATCTGACATACGTGAGGCATTCACCAACAGCTGTAGTCGCTGCATAGTCTGCACCGAGAGCTTGTCGCCACTGTTGGGCGTCTCACGGACGGGCGGGGCAACCTGCGAGATAAAGATATGTAGGCCGATGGATGCTTGTCGCGCCAAAGTCAACACTTGGAACGGCAGGAGGTAGAAAGTTTGTTCAGGTAGCCAGGCGCGCAACGGAGAAGGGATGTAAGAGAATGGCATGAATACAGCCTGCGGGTGTGTGATGAGAGCGAGCTCAAGGGTGATCAGGGCTGCAAAGGTATAGAAGCGCCACTATGTCACTGGGTCATTATGTATGTCAAAATCAGGGCAGGATGAAAACTCACGTAGCGGCCCCAGTTTACCCACCAAAACCAATTCAGTACCACCATGGTCACAAACGCAACGACGTACTGTGGGAGAATGGTCTTGGTGAACGATTTCATCAAGAAGTCCTGCATGGTCTTCTGCTCGCCCCAATTGTTCATGTCCGGCCCAAATCGATCATATGCAAATCGCTTGACTGGGTCTACCAGGGTTTCCTGGGCCCGTCGCAAGAACATGAAGTAGGCCTCTGATCCACTATCGACACCTATTTTATCTGGATGGTATTGGGTAGCCATTCTCCGAAATCGAGACTTGATGGTACGTTCGTCAGCCAGAGGTGACACACCTAGCGCCTTGTAATAGTCGCCAGCAACTTGAACCTTATGAAAGCTGTCGTAGAGGGTATAGAGGAGGTAGGCGACTATCACGAAGATAAAAATACGGCGGCGGTGGCGCTCATACTGCAGTGTTTTGGGCAAGGGACGAGGCTCTCCAGCCCGGATTGTCACGCCGTAGTAGAGGCTTTGGATGAAAGATGTGGCATACTATAAGCAGTCAGTTGGAGCTCTGCATTATGCGCCTCCAAACATTCAACTCACGTTAGGAAGAATAGCCCATCCAACTAAAGGGAGTAACGATGACAGCACCATCATGAATCTAGTTTTAGACGATCCAGTGCACAGAGTATGATTGAATGTTTTTCAAGCAAGCTGGCAAAGATATCATATCTGTCTCGCGGCCCCAAAGCCCCCAAAGCCCCCAAAGCCCCCAAAGCGCGTGAGACCCACTACGGCCACCGCCTACTCCACCGCCTTTCAATATCAGGGTAGCAAAATGAAAAAAAAAAGTTCTCGACGTTCGAGGTAAAGATCAAAAAGTCGATCATTACAACCAATTCCCGGCTCCACAGAGGAGCTCAATTAATCCAATATGGCTGTCGACGCAATGGAAATCGATAGCTCACCAGTGGTGACCCCAGAAGTCGAGCGCAAACGCAAGCACAAGCACAAGGATGCTTCATCGCCGACAAAGAAGCGCAAGCAAACCGACAAGGCCGACAAGAAAAACAAAAAAGAACACTCGATCAAGGCCTCGGCACCTGCCACCAATGAACACCCCAATTCCCCATTTTCGCTTGCTACCGCTACTCTCTACCTGCCGCTGTCGCCCATCTCTATCTCCCCGACCCATGCGCTAGCCTCGCTGCTAGCAGAGCACCTCTCGCCTATGCTCCTGACTTACTACCCACCATTGAAGGGTGTGGTGATGGCTTATTCGAATGCCTCGATTTCCAGTCATCCACCATCCAAAAATCCTAAATCCGCCGACCAGAACCCGCAGCCGTTGACGTTGGCCAAGTCTGCCGATGAGTACGGTGTGCTCTACGTCTACTTGACTGCTACTTTCCTCGTGTTCCGTCCCCAGCGCGGCCAGAATCTCCAGGGATGGGTCAATGTTCAGTCAGAAGGTTTCCTTGGCGCTGTAGTTTTCAACCTATTCTCTGTCGGTATTGAGCGCAAGCGCCTCCCCAAAAACTGGACGTGGGTACCACCTGGAGATGATGGACCAGCCGTTGAAGAATCTGCTGGAAAGGACATCGCAACTACAGATGATGAGTCGGGTAATTCACTGACACCACCAGGCTTCAACGCCGAGAAGGAACAGTTCCAGCCTGCCTCGTTAGCTGCAGATGAGATTGATCTAGAGGGCGAGGAAGAGGAGGAAGCCTCTACAGGTCGCTTCCATTCCGTGTCAGGCCACCACGTGCGTGGTATTGTGCACTTCCGCGTTGTAGACGTCGATGTGATTCCGGGTTCGGAGCGAGACCGCGGCTTTTTGAGTATCGAAGGAACTATGCTATCACTCGAGGACGAGGAGAAGCTGGTTCAAGCTGAGACTAAGGGCCACTCATTGCCACCTTCTTTCCTCTCTTCAGCTAAGCAGACCACACGGATTATTCCTGTGACCAGTGAACCACCTGCATCGGCCGTAACGGAGGTTTCCATGATTGATATCGAGGCGGGGTCAGAGTCAGAGCCCGAGCCGGAAAAGGAAAAGAAGGCGAAAACAAAGTCCAAGTCTAAAAAGAAGGACAAGAGCAAGGAGAAATAGGTTTGTACATGGCTGCAGTGTTCTGCCTTCGTGTGTGTTTTATATTCGCTACATTCTGCCCATTCGCGGTTGGCGTTCCGGTCAAAGTTGTTATGTTTTCATGCAAGATGTTTATATGAAAGATCAAGAGTTTCATGTATAGACCTTTTTCATTAAATCTTTGCACAATGCTTATTTCATTAAAGGCATAGTATTTTGATCTCCCTCAGCTCCAACCTTGGACATAGACTATCCAGCCCCGGGCCCTTTGCTTAACGATCTATATATTCAGCCGTCAAAAGCCCTCCGAAATTCCCAGTATGAGACACGTATAACCGGCCCCGGTGAGATCATAATAGTATTTTTTGTTTTCAGACTGTGAACCAGCTCGTTAGAGACTTCGATGGTCTACTGATTGACATATCCCCAGTATCACTAGTTATGGTTGACTCATGAGTACCCCTAGTGATTATTATTATAAAATAGGGATATTGAGATCCCACTACCCCGTCACGAAGTCGTTCTATCCGAGTCCTCCTTGTTGACCATTTGTCGAGGACAACGCCGCACCATTTGGGCGCAATATCGGCATTTCATGGGCTATGATCTGCTGCCCAGGTGCTGAGAGATGCTGCGGAATGTACAATTAAGAGTTACCACCAGAGGTTATGAGTAGTGAATATCTTGCTTTTCACTGGTTTAAGGTCCAAAATTCGTCTTCGGCTTTCCAATATGCCATTGATACAAACAGGCGTTGGGTGTTTTTTTTACTGTAACGTACTTACAAGGGAATGAATTGGTATCAATCCAGCTATAGTACCCAATTTCCATCTTCTTGTACGTGCGCTTACCATCGCCACGAATGCCAAGGGCACGCACGACACACGGGTCCGAACTCTTCGTTCAGAGTCAGATCCTTCCAAACTTGGAAGATTCCAGGGTTAGAGGGTAGGGGTGATGTGTAAAGAAGAATAAATGTGCAGCTTATATCGATATCATACTTATCACCATTCTCACATCTGATTCAGAACTTTGTAAAAACCGAAATTAAGAACCGAGATTATCCACTTCATGACGACTGATATAAAAATTAAAGACTACCAAAGTATGGATTCCGATCAGACCTTTGGCACTCCTGCGCTCAACACGTCCAAGCCGCCCTTTATCTCCTTCTTACCAGGCATATTACCCCGTCGCATCAACTCAGCAGCCTTAACCACGATAGGATCCATACCCATAGTCGCGACAGCAACGACAACATCCCCCTTACAGTAATACGCGGCAAACTTGCCATTCTCTGGCTCGCCCTGGATAAACAGATCATCATACCCATTGACTGTATTTCCGCAGTACCGCAACTGTGCACCTAGCGCGGACCAGAAGATGGGAATAAATGGCTTGGGTCGTAGCGAGCCTGGAGACGAGTGGCGCGTATGTATAATAGCTCGTGCAACGGTTCGTCCGGCGTTTTGCGCTACGTTCCAGTGTTCGATGCGGACGTTGGAGCCGTTGCCGCCGGGTCCGTGGTATGGATAGGTTGCGATATCACCGATTGCGAATACTGAATCGGCGGAGTCAGGAACAGCGAAGTGCTCGTTTGTACGGATTGAGCCATCTTTTTCGAGTGAGATGGACGCGTTCGAGCTGAGGTAGTCTGTCGCAGGACGGACTCCGACGCCGAGAATGACCACGTCAGCTGGTAGGACGGTGCCGTCTTTTAGGTGGACTGCGCCGACATTTGCAGCGTTCGATTCGGATGGAGTGGCCTTGTCCACGCCGGCGGAAAGCTTGAAAGAGACGCCGCTCTTCTCCAGATTGCCTTGGAAGATCCGGCCTACTTCAGCGCCCATGACACGCTCCATAGGCGTGCTCTCCATGCCTACTATCGTGACCTTGTGATCCTTGGCTAGGGCATTACCGACCTCCATGCCGATAAATGAGCTGCCAATGACGACGATATTCTTTTGCTTTTCTTCACCAATGGCACCTAGGATTGATTGGACGTCCTCCACAGTACGCAGAGTGAATATTTTCTTCAGCTCGTCAGATTTGAATCCTGGGAGTGGAAGTCTGCGCGGTTGGCCACCCGTGGCTAGAACAAGCTTTGTGTATGGGATTGATTTTCCAGAAGCTGTAGCCACAGTTTTGGACTTGAAATCCACGCTGGTTACTTCATCAACAAGCGTTTCAATATCTGCTTCGGCGTACCATTCTTTCGGACGCAAGAGAATCTTGGACGCATCTGCGATTAAAGCCTTGGACAGCTTTGTGCGGTCAATTGCGAGATCAGGCTCTTGAGATATGATCGTAATTTGGCCTGCGTATTTTAGTTCACGGAGCGTTTGGACGACTCCGATTGCGCCACTTCCACTGAGGAGTGTATTAGTTTTGTGCAATTGTGGGTTGGGCAAGAAGGAAAGCTTACCCTCCGACAACGACAACTTTTTCTTCGGCCTTAGATCCGCTGCATTGGATGGATGGGTTTCGATGTCCGGCCTTAATATCTGCCTCTACACCGCGGATATATACCGCACCCTCTTTCTCAAAAACCTCGAATGTTTTTAGCGCATTAAGAGCGGGCGCATCCTCGACGTCTCCAGTGGTCACATTAAAGCATGCTTTTTTTCACGAGTTAGCCCATGGAAATGTTCTCTTCATTGATGTATGAGGAAGATAGGAAGATTGGAAGGAACCTACCTCCATGCCAGGGACAAGTGATTCTTCCCTCTGGTGCAACAACACCAAGCTTCAGCGGCGCTCCGTAATGAGTACATTTCGGGCTAATAGCGTGGACTTTGCCATCTGTTTTGACAAGGAGAACCTTTCCGTCTTGCAGACCTTCGACTTCACACTCGATTTTATCTTCGGCATTGATATCAGCGAATGAAGAGAGGCCTTTCAGCTTGTATTCCTGTGCCATTGTTGTGGTAGACGAGAAAAGGCGGCTCGGGGAAATCAAGCTGTGATTAGCTAGAAGTCTGAGATTGTATTGTTGGAAGTGGTAGTACGGAGGCGCAGTTGGGTGATGAATGCGTAGAGTAGAAAAAAGGAAGCGTGATTGAATAGCTTGATTGCTAATATAGGCTTTGTTTGCAAATATAGATCTAGCGTTTATGGTGCGGGGAAGTGAGCGAAAGAGGGGTTTCGATGGGAGCATGACAAGGTAGATTTCAATTTTCTACCTGTAAGTTTTCTACGCGGTAATTAAACTCCATCCCAAGGTCCAAGGCCTTAAATAAATAAGTATCTGAGCAAGGGTTTCGCTAAGTATGTCATGCCATCTTGATCTTGATCTATAAGTATGACATCACGATGACAGCTGAAGCCAATCATAAAGTAAGGGTTGTCATAGGTCACATTGGCTTACATAACTAGTGTATTATGGGCGAGACGTATCTAAATCATCTGATTGCACAGACAATATCAGCAAGTTCGTACCTAATTAGTGAAATTCTTTTCTTAGCTGAGCTCTGGAAAGGTAGTCACTTAATAAGAATCAATGAATCATGCTTGCAAATCAAGGCATACGTCCAATCCCTAGGAATGTATTAATCCGACGTTTGGGGCAGGTATCACTCACTACTGGCAAAAGCAACTATGTTACAGGGTACATATAGAGGGAAATAGTATTGAATGGTAATTGTTTTGCTTTAGAAATACAAACATAAGAAGCATCATAGAAATAGAGGGTATCGATATTACATAGCGAAAAATGGGTTTAAAACTTGCGGGGCTTCTTGCCCTTGTTCTTCTTCGAGGAGCTGTGGGGCGCTGAGCTGTTGTCTTTCAAGGAGCTGGGGGGTGGCGGGCTTGTAAGGTCAACAATTTCAGATTCTTGAGACTGTTTGACCTGCGATACCGAGCGATGGGACTGCTTGGACTGCTTGGACTGCTTAAACTGCTTGGAACGCTTGACAGTAGAAGAATCGGAGAGAAGACCCTTCAGTTCTGGGCTGCCACGATCATTGTTCTGATCTAATTGCTCTTCAATGGTCGAATACAGGGACACCTCCTCTTTACTCAACATCGGCCAGTCAGAGCCGGTCGGATCTTCTGCACCTGCTCCACGTGAATCATCGATATCTGCGTTGGACAATGTGTGCAACGAGGCTTGGCCAGAGCCACTACCGACAGCAGGAGCGAGTAGAGAGTCATTCAGGACCTGGCGATCGTGATATAGACTCTCGTTAGATGTATTCCAAGACACGGCTGACTGAGGTAAGGAATCTTGAGTAGTGCTGCCTGCTAGCATCGATGGCTCTTCTCCAACTAGGGTTTGCCCTTCGATGTTCTTGTCGGCAGTATTATTGACGTTCTCATTAATGTTATTGTCGATAACATCAGCAATAGTCACAGGCGCAGGCTGCAGAAGCTTCGGATCGACCAGCTCTGCATATTCAAGTTCGCGAAGACCATCGTCCTCTTCAGTCCAGATCGCCGGCATCGAAAAGGGACCTAGGTCTGAGGAAACTCGATCGCGGTCAGCAAGTCGCACTGAAATCAAGCCGTTGTCAAGAACATCAAGGACAGTTGCAACGCAGTACCCAGACATTTTGGGCTGCCAATTCGTGGCCTTGGAGAACTCCAGCTGACGGAATGCGATGATGGCCCCCTTCTTTGCTTCACATTCGAGCAGATCTGAAACAGAGCTGCTATCAGCCGGGAAAAGGGGAAGGTCATCAGAAGATTTTAGAACTTCTGCTTGTGTACTTTCTGGGGCTTGATCCTCTGCAGGCTTTCCATCGTAGTTGAGCTCTGCATTGGCTTCATCATAGCCCATTTCATCCTCTTCATATCCCTCCTCATATCCCTCCTCGTATTCTTCCTCGTAACCTTCGTAGACATCAAGATCTGCAAGGTCGTTTTTGGTGCGTTTACGCTTCTTGTCAGATTTACTGCCATGCTGTGAGCGAGTTTGATTTTTCATGGTAGCAAGTGCGCCTTTATCCCAGCGCTGCTCGAATGGGAACGGCGGGGCTGTCAAGTCAATGTGATCATGGATACACTCTGTGGCCTTATAGTCAAGCTTTTGAGTGGCTTTATGCCCCCAATCAGCATCGTTGTTTTCGTCATCGGCGGAGTCGTCTGATTCTAAGTTGTCTTCTTTGTCGGCGGAGTCGTCTGACTCTGGAGTGTCTTCCTTGTCAGCGTAGGTGTTCTTTTTTTTGCTCCAGTAGATCAGTTTCATCATACCACTTTGTCGTAGCATATCTACGGCAGCGCCCACAGCGAAGTACTGTCTGTTTGATTGAGCTCTCGGCTCCTTTTTATCCTCGTAGGGGAGAGGATTGTCCAGCTTATCCAAAAGCCGTTGCTTGTTCTCTTTGATTTTGAGTTGCTCAAGTTCCAAATCAGATCCAGGAACACGACCATGTTGGTCCTCCCAGTCGTCCAATACTTCGAGATTCGCATTCATTGGCAGTAATTCGAATTCCTTCAATTTTTCAAGACGCTGCTCCCTATCCTCCTCGATTTGCATGTCTTCATTCACCGTTTGGAGGTGCTTGTCCTGATCAATTTTGATTCGTTGAAGGTCCGAGTCAGAATAGGGGAGAAGACCATGTGAGCTCTGCCAGTCGTTCAATGCTCCGAGATCCGCATTCGTTGGAAGTAAGTCAAATTTCTTCAACCTGTCAAGAAGCTGTTTCTTGTCGTCAACCTTGGCTTTGAGCCTCTTAAGGTCAAAATCAGTATGAGGAAAAGAACCATGTTGACTCTCCCACTCCTCTAATTCTTTGAAACGCGCATCCGTTGGCAGAAAGCCGAACTCCTTCAATTTGTTTAGATGAACACGGCGTTTTTGGCGAGCGTTGGAACGCTTTGTTCTCAGGGTTCCGTTGTAAGGAATGTTCTGGATGGGAGCACTTTCCACCTTTTTCGTAGAATTTTCACTGCCAGATTCATCGGCACCGGAGGATGAGTCAGATGAGCTGGACGAGCAATACGAGTCATACGAGTCAGACGAACCAGACGAACCAGACGAACTAGACGAACTAGACGAACTAGACGAACTAGATTCTGCTAAACCTGCATTGGGTTTGTTGCCGTGATTAGTATCATCTTCTTCATCTGATGAAGATGAAGACAAATCGTCCGAGTCTTCAGAAGAAGACGAGCCTGACGATAATTTGGCTGAATATTCTGAATCAAAACGCACAGCCTTCGAGGCTTTCAGTGATGAAGCATCGTCGTCAGGACGGAGGTGTTTGCCAATGGACGACTCACTAACCAATGATGACTTTCCAGCTGAGTGTGATGAGAGGGGTCGCTGGTTTTGCGAAATCAAATCGGAATTTGGCAGAGCGACAATAGAAAGCCGCTCATGGTCATAAAACTCATCACGGAGAGCTTTGAGCTCGCTCTCCATATCATCATTATCGTGATCAGACTGATCCATATCCACATCCTCGTCACTATCGGTATCCGCATACTCAACAGAGTGTCTAATAACAGTTCCCACTTCGGAAATTTCGCTCTCCGGTTGCAGAAAAGAAAGCTCTTTGCCTTTACTACTGGCTTTAGCCCTGGTTGGCAGCCACTCTGAATCAAGTTCTTCACCGTTATCATCATCATCTTGGGCATTGGGCAGGTCATCAGGAGTGTATGTTAGGTGACGGTTCCAGTCAGAAATGTCGGTACGTCTTTTCTTTCGTGGGGGAATCGGGATCGCAGGTCGGTTGGATGACATCCTATGCATAAACGGTTGACCGAATGGAACACCGTCAACTAGATGTTTTCCATCAGAGGCGATTTGATGACGACCCGAAAGGCGTCGGCTGCGCAGATCAGCAATTTGGAGAGCTCGGATGCTGAAAGAAATTAGCAAATAAAGCACGAGAAACGAGAAATAGAAATACATACACAACTTCGTCTTCATCGCGCAGCAAGCCAGCAACTTCCATGAAATGGAGGCATTCCGATCCACCGACTTCCACGACATAATCCTCGAGGCCCCATTGTCCAGTCGACTCGGGGTCAAACGCACTAGGCACAGTCTCCAACGGGATGACTTCGTTGATGTCTTCAAGAAGCTGGGCGATGGTGTATCCGCCATTCGAAAAGGCAATATTTGGGGTTCTGGTGGAGGTAATAATAGATGTTGGAGCGGCACTACGCGTGCCAGATTCACGTTCTGTGGATGTCGTCCACAAGATTTGCGTGACGGGCAAGCCGTGGCGCGAAATAACTAGGTGAAAACGCATGGCGATGGTACCTAGAACCTTGGGCGCGCACGCCAGGAAAATAAAAGTTGGGGTGTGAGATCAATTTTTTTTTTCGGAGGTGCGGGGACAAGCAAGGCGAGAGAGAGAGGTGGATGACAGCAGCTCTTGAAAGGAAGCTCTCCAAAACACGCTATCAATTGCGCTAACCAAATTAGGTTATATATTTAGGCCTGAGGCAGAGATGATCGGCGGCCACGTTTATTACACTAAACTCCACATCGAATTCCACAACCTTTAACATAGAACAACATTCTCCAGAGGTGACTCCTGTGTGATTAATTACAATATTACTATGCTGAGACAAAATGGTCAATGTATACTGCTCAATAATCAGCCTCTTAATCTACTTAAAAAGCCTCATCTTTGGATCTAGCTTCGTACACCTGAAGACGTTATTCGATTACGTAAGTATACTATGGATGCGAACGGTTCACTGGGAATTTCTTGGTATATTTATACCAGAAGACCAAACCATGCTTCTTCCAAGGGTTTATATAATATTCACATAAAAGTTAATTTTGAGTGCTTTCATATCAAGTACATGATATTAGAAATGAACAAGAAACAGACTATAGCCCCTCCCAGGGACCATTAGTAAGTAAAAACGAACATATTTTGCCGATGCAGGTAAGCCAATGAAATATGAGGAGAAGGGTATCGAATATGCAGATATGACAGGAGTAAATCATGTGCGGGCGTGGGTGTATTCAATGCTGGTCGCCAGCACCAAGGTAATAAGACAATGATATTCGTTTACTTTCTCCAAGTAGGTCGTCTGAGGAATAGTAGTACCATGATTAAGGAAGTCATGACTGCCTCAGATCTAATTCAGCTAGATCTGGGGACCTGAACTAGATCTGGGGGTCCTTTGTACCGGCTTTCGAGTAGGCACTCCCAGATTCATGGGACGCAAATTATTCTGCGAAGGCTGATGTTGCAGGTTTCCAACCGTCTGTGGTCCCGCCACAGATTGGTACTGCGGGGGACTTTCCTCTTCCACAGTGTTCCGATGAGTCTTGGTGATACTGCGCGGCCTAGCCGGTGACATAGGAGGAGATCCGGAATTCGATTCGGGTGGAGTGGTGGGCAGCATGTCAAATGACTCGGATGAAAAACGACGCGTACGGCTCTCTGTCTCTGTGGACCAGGGGCCTTCTGCTGCAGGTCCTTCATCTCGAGCCCTTTCATTTTTCGCTGAGGATTTGGCATCAGCTCCAGATTCCGCTGCTCCTCGTGAGGAGGTGTCAAGTGGGTGATACTCGCGACGTGGTCCATCGACTGGGCTTAAGTTTTCTGCCATGGCGTCCTCGTAACTTGGAGGCGCGTCACAATATCCATCGTTGGAGTCTACTGGTACTGGTGCACCAACTGGTCGTGGCGGCATAGGAGGCCGGCTGTCATGGGTTGATTGCTTGTTACGTGTTGATGTAGTGCGCGATGGTTGTCCTGCAGCTGCAATCGCATCTAAGAGAGCCTGCGGGGGTGCGATGCCAGAATATACCTTGACAGGCATTCGCAAGGGAAGAACGATAAGTTGAGGCTATATGGTCAGGTCAGCCAGAGATTGAGCATTGAGAATGGAAAAAGCTGTACCTTTGTACCATGGGTCATTCCCACCCGAATTTCCAATTCATAGCTTCTTTCAATATTACATGTCTCAAAAGACGGTGCGATCGAGTTGGGTAGAGGTATCTTGTTCCAAATATTCGGATCAATCGTCCAATCGGTACCAACAGGATCTCCAGGTTTACCCAGAGGCATACTCATATTGCTGAGGCTCAAAATAACCGTGGAACCAGTTCTTACACGGGTCAGATCATGGGCAATGACCTTGGTAGATGCAATAAGTTCAATCTGCAGCATTTGCAGGAACATCATGTCTGATGTATCGGTCATCTTCTTTGCAATCAGACGGAGCGGAACGGGCTCATTGCATGTGAGGATAGAAGGATTTGGGAGTCGGGCATCCACCGATACGCGCGGGGCCTGTGGGTAGCCATCGCGAGATGTGCGCGAGAAGATACTTTTCTTCAATGATCCATTCTTTCCTTGCGAAAATTGATGCTGTCGCCTGGCAAAAGTTTCCTCATTGGGATTTCCGGTTCTTGGAGGTTCGATGGGAAGGAACTTTATAGGTACAAACTGGTCCAATAATCAGAAAAAGAGCTATTCTAAAAATCAGGAGCATGTACATACCGATCGAATATTCTCTTTGTAGAACTGTGGTCTGATGATTGTGGCTTTGACGAAATAATTGATATCTGCTTCATCAGGGAAGTTACTCAAGGACGGAGGGAGGGTTTTCTTGACATGGCGATTGGTATCGCGTGCTATTTCGACCTTGAGCCCAGTCAATTTGAGATTGGTGAGCATGCTGTTGTGGCTGCTGCAGGAATTATTGAAAGGGAACTGGTCGAAGGTCAGAATAAACCTGTTCATTGGTTTTTCGTAGGCGGATTTACCTTGAATTGGAAAGGATATTCATAAATCCCCGGGGCGAAGGTGTAAGATGTTGCTGGCGCCCCAGTCTGCATTACGGCCGCTGTAGGAAAGACGGTCGCGACCTTGTACAAGATCTTATGAACCTCTAATTCCGTCCGCTTCTTCTCTGAGTGTCCATTCTGTGGATTTCGAGGGCCCGACAGCCTTGTACGACTCTCGCCCTCCAGCTTGACTTGAATCCCACCGATAGCTGTTTCGGAAAAGAGCTGTACAACGACTTTTCCCGATAGATAGTCGAGATTGGTATAGTGTGTGTGCTGGCTATCCAGCAGGATTGTAGCTGAAGCGGACATGGCGGCAAGCGCCTGGGGCCTGATCCACCCTCGAAACAATGTAGAGATATAGACAGTATTAATCTTTCGTTTGCGAAACTGTTTCTCGGTAGGGCTGAAGGGGTCGACGAGAGGGCAAAGGACGGATGTGGGGGGAAGAAGGCGTAAGTTAGGTTCGGGCGGAATGACGTCTGTCAGATCAACTGACTCTTAACGCGACAAGGCTCGTCTTTTTGTATGCAATAACATATGACAAGAACTGCGCCTCACTTTACTTTGTAGATCCCTCAGCCACCACAATCTGATTTACGGATATTTCACTGGTACAAGTAGTTCTAGCTTAGACAATAAGCTGGAATCTACTACCCCGTATATACCCCATAATTAACTATTGTCAAGTAGTAGATGGAATTTAAGAGAGCTTCAATTGACAATATTCAATGACCTAAACTCCCTTTCCATATTGATTCAAAACCTTTAGATGATACAGATTTCGACTTCAAGTCCAAAGAAGAGTCTCTCCAGGCACCAGAATTACCCAAGTTTCCGGATTCACTTCGTTGAGTCGATCTTTCCCCTTTTGCTGACATCTAGACCCCTGAGTCTGATTAGTCAAGATTTCATGTTTGAGAGGTAATCGTATGCATTGGATGGTCTCATAAAAACAGATAAGGGTATCGTTTTCTGAATAAAAATACAAGATTCAATGACAGGGCATCACAATCAAAGACCTTCCTTGGCCAACGTATCTAGAAAAATATATCAGTACGTGTCAATTGGACTTACAACGGACTTTACTATACCTGCGATGTCCAGATAAAATGCAATGGCATTGAATTTCTGTCGACCCATGATCCATTTCAGCCGATTGGTCCAATTAATAAGATCAAGGTGACTGACACCCATCAGGGTTCCCTTGTAGCCGTCTTGTCCTCCCCAGCGACTACTGGCCATGCTAACAAGTCCATCATTGGGTCCCTCAGCCTCTGTCAGGATCTGGTGAGAAAGTCGGAAGACAGACCAGATATGAGGCTTTACCACGGCACCGTATGAGAAATACCTAGAACAGCTGTTAGCTAAAGGGAGCTTGTTCGAGATGAACGATGACACACACCGAACATCTTCTGCATCAGGTGTGTTTGGATTAAAGGTTTCAGTCATGTATTTCCTGGTGAGCTGAGCGAAAGCTCCCGTTTGGACATTCAGCTTGTTGAGCGTGTAGTATATTTGGGGCAGACGATCGGCTAGGTTCATGTGAGCTTTGGCTCCTGCAGTACCCTTTGTAATAATTGAAGAGTTCACCCACGTCCAATCTGTTCAAACACATAGTCTGCCACTGCCGAACCTATTTGAATAATTAGCAAGAGTTCAACCAGTGAGGAAGGATATCTTAGACCTCGATGTGGAGTTGCAATGGTGGTCAGTGACGACACTTTGAACTTATCATGCTTGAGACGACTGATCATGTATCGAGAGTCCAGGCCACTTTGATTACTGTGTTAGACTTGAGCATCGTAAATGGTGGGTTTATATCTCACCCCTAAAAACCGACATATTAGTAAGTAACAAGTTCTTACAAATTAGCGATAACCGATGGATATCTTACCATACTATGCCTATTCCTCATGTTGAATATTAGTCAGTGGATCTTGGAATCGGGAGAATCAACATACGCAATGATGTTCACGCTTTTTCCTCGCGCGCCAGCTTCGATCTCTTGGGCCAATTGCTCCGCTCGCTCCTCAATAGATGAAGACGGTGGCACTGTAGCAGTAATGACCTCGACTCCTCGGGCTGACAGAGCTTCTTTGATCCCGCGCCAATACTGGACTCCCGGTAGGTAGGGACCTGCCAGGCGTAACTCATCAAACCCGAGGAGGCCGTGGGCGAGAACAATAGGATTTTTGGGTGCATCTGTTGAAGTGGGCAATCGTTGAGATGACACAAACACAGGTTTTTGTAAGTTATGGAGCTGAAAACATACCATACTTGTCTCGGAGCACGGAGTATTTATCGTCAATAATCACATGGCCGTCGTCTTCGAGGCGCGGCTCCAAGCTTGGCTTGAGATTAGGATGGTAGCTATGAAATGCTTGACGCGTCGAAAGTTTCACGAGCCGACGAGCAGAAATAATACTCGAAGCCTTGCTGACTGACCTTGGATGCCCCATCATTGTCTATACGCAAATTCCAAGATTGTATCTACGATGGAATGACGCAACAGGAAACAACGGAGCCTCAGGCCACAATTCGGGTCGACCACTGGCATTTTATACTTCACGACCACAATCTCGTCAATTCACTTATTTACACTTGCAGAATTCACTGTACAGCCTGAGGAGATTGATTAAATTAGTTTCCTGTTAGTTCTACATCTTTGATTAACATCAAGGCATTCTGAGGTTCTGTGTTAGACCAAAGTAGAGCTGGGGCGTCTACGGCTTGAAGCAAACAAAGCCTAATTATTTACTTGCAGAAGTAGGAATCAATAGATTTCATATGACCCGAACATTGGATATCGATGAGCAGCCATGGAGGCTATAGCGACAATTGAATAACAGAGAAAAGACGAAACCCGGAAAAAAAAATCGACTTCATGCTTTGATCACGATCTTCTCGGGAACCTCAGGCTTCACATTGGTAGCAGCCTTGATCAGATCGGCAACTACCTTATCACCCTGTTTCTGACCAGCAGTCTTGATCTCCTTCAGCTTGTCCTCAGCCTCCTGGCTGGCCTCGTCCTCGGCCTTCTTGAATCCGCTCGAGTGCTGTAGAAACAGGAATGAGTCAGTCAAAAGTGTTATACATTAGCCGGTATATTGAGCATTGCCATCACCATCTGGGTGATCCGTTTCTTACCTCGGCTTCAAACTTCTTGAATTCTGCCTCCTTCTGTGCGCGGTACTCTTCAATCTCCTTCTGTGCTTCCGCCTTAGCGTCCCTTATCCGCTTAGTGCGGTCTGTCATCAATTAAATGTCAGTTTTAGAGGCGCATGCCAGCTGGGGGATTTCGACATCATACATTCTCGGGCTGCAAATCAATGATGTTAGCGTTGGGCTGAACGTCATGCCAAAGGCAGAGGGTGGGTGTGGACACTCACATGATTGAACAATTTTCTGCGCCTCTCTCTCGGCCTGCAGTTGTTATAAGTATGGGGGATAGATTTCTATGCATCTGTCGACACCTACCTCGAGGAGGGTCTGAATGCCCGCGGAGTTCTGAGCTGACTGACCATCGATAACCGTTAGCAGCTGAGGGAAATGTGAGATGTCTCCTCTGGAACGTGACTCACCATGATTGCTCGAGAGCTCTCCTGTAAATTGGTAAAGAGAGATGGTAGACGAAGGGTGCTGAAGCGTCGATAGGCCAGAGCTTCGAGCTGATCAGCCACGCATGACCCCCCAAGGCGGTGGGGCTGAACTGCCAACCATCACCGCCCTTTCGATACCCGATCCACCGGTCAGACCGAGCTTGTCTATTGTATTGACCCGCCTCCAATTCCCTGAAAACCTTTGATATTTGCTATACAGCCCAAGGCTGATCTGATATAAAATGTCTCGTGCGTCTAAAATAACAATGGCAGCTACCGGGCTGGGCGCTATTGGCGTTGTGTGCTTTGTGCACTGGGCGCAAGAAAACGATAGGGCGGTAGGTCGTAGAAAACTCAACCTAATTCAAATGGATATTGATAATTTACTGTAAATAGGCTATGCACAGGGGAGTTGAGCGAGACATGGAAAAGCAGCGCATCCGACACGAACGACAGGCCGAGTTCGAGATGCAAAAGGCCCTCGAACGGGAATACCTGAAGTTGCAGACCGTTACAAGCACCACCGATGATCCCAAATCAACAATACAAAATCCTAGCCCGGGTACATGAGAGAATGCGATAGCCATGAGACTCTGTGTAACTCTGATCTGGCCAATTCTGAGTTATTTGGAATGCATTATGGGTGGGCCCATACACGAAAAGCGAAGCGGAACGACAGGACAATGCTACATCAAATTTTGAAATCGTCTCTTGTCTGTGATTTATATGATGTAAATAAATTGGTGTTATGTACGATACAAGTGAGCCTGTTAAATATAGATACCACCCAGCTCAAATTGACCATGGAAAACTCATTCATTGTTCTGCGGGTATGATTTACTAAGAGTGTGCTCTAGGTAACTTGTTATTTAAGCCGCGGAGTTCTTGTGTCTAATAATAGTAGTCCATATTGGGCAGTTAACTTCGTCCCAAGTGAAGGTGAGTCGTGGAGACAACGGTGGATGAAGGGTCAAGTCCAAGAACTCATCCCGGATAAATTGAGCGGCCATATACGGCTGAACTATGGTTTGGAACCAGTAAGCAGTCCACTGTATTTGATATGGATTTGTTCGGTGCTCCCTCCTTACCTAGTTATATGAGCCCATTTCTATGAAATCAAAACACTTGAAGGTTCTATACCTCCAGATTTCCAAAGTTGGTATAAGTCCTTACCTAGATAGCCTCACGACTTATTGAGCAGTTACCTATGTAGTAGTACGTTAGCACCTGAGACCAATGTCAGCACCTGTTAGTACCTATGTATTACAACCTTGAAGTGAACATGACAGGCATTCAAATGAAGCTTCCAAGGTTGTAGAATAATCCTCCACGGTTTGGTAGTTACGATTAGGTGCAGTCATATATTGAATTGTCCGAGGTCCACTAGCAACTCCTGAAGCGGCTCAACCGTATTCATAATAGATATAGAGATATAGAGAGGGAGAGAGTATAAAACATCCGGCCGGCTAGTGACGGAGGCCGGTAGTATTCCGGCCATTTGGCGCTAGTAAAGTGTAACTGACCTTATCGTCCAATCGGAATCAAGGATCTGTATGCCAAGACTTAGCGCAGGTGAAATAGATGCGGCTTCATGTCTTTATAGAAGAGCACACTTACTTGATCAAATAAGTATAATAAATCGGGACGAGCTATCGTTTAAGAGCATGAAGAGTCTCTTTTGGTTCAAACTGATATATGAATGAAGGCTTCCTATCACCACAATACTGGTTGCTGGCCTCTATATTGAATACCTGGATCGGGCTTAGCGTGCCCCGTGATCTTCCTCAGCCCTGGCTTTCGTATAGAGAATATAGATATTCTGAGTGTTGACGAAATGCTTCATATTGAAGTAGGGGGATTCTTGAAATTCATATGTTCAGATGAGTGTTCCGAAGAAAAATCCTGCCCTTTTACACCAATGTAATTTCCTGCCATATCCATTTCACGCTATCTTTCGTTCATTTGCGTAATGTGTACTTGAGGCCGGAATTGATACCGGCCTCTGAGTATTATAAAATTTGGCTCTTTGTCCGCCTGAAATCCTGATATTTCTGTTCTTCTTTTTACCCTGCATGGAATCTGAGCTCTCCACTCCTCTTTCTCACCCCATTTTACCTGCTCTTTTCTTCTATCAGCCTTTTCCCTTTTGGTCTTAAGTCTCATCTCATACACTATCAACTCTGAAACACACATATCTCTCCCATTTACTTGTCACTAATTGATTGTCAAAATGACTGTAACCAAGGTTCCCTTCCCCTCCCCAGCTACGCTGAAGAAGTTTCCCCATGTTCATGATGCCCCATCTACTCTGTCCCACACTTTGGATCCCTTCACTATCACCACTACTACTGGTTTCCTTCCGTATGCCACTGCCCCTGTGGATATTCCTGCTTCCTTCAAGACTCTGCAGTCCCTAGTGGAACGTCTGCCTGTCGTTAGGGCTGATGGGACCCCAGGTCTACTGGCCACATACGAGCTGGGGCCTGCTGTCAAGGCCGAGCTCACCGACATGACAGATGAGGTTGAGAAACTTGTCATGCCTGACGGAACCCCAGACCGCTTTACTCTTACTGCTGTCTTCCGGGACTATACCTTCTTGGCATCGTCGTACCTGCTTGAGCCTTGCTGGGAGAATTGGTGCAAGAACCCAGACCAGGGTTATGGACTTGGTCGGGACATGCTGCCTCAGTCAGTTGCTCGCCCTATGTACCTCTGTGCTCAGATGTAAGTTTCCCATCTTCTTTCCTTACATCATACCATATGCTGCATGTCCTTTCTATCCTAGTCAGGAATGGTCATATAGTGCTTCATTCCTTCTACTCATGAATGATATCTAATAACTTTCTACAGTCTGGACTTGCCTCCATTCATGTCTTATGCTGCTTCATATGCTCTCTTCAACTACAACTTTACTGATCATGCAAAAGGACTGGGCGAATACTCTAACCTTCGTCTGGTCCGTGCCTTTGAGCGTGGTCATGACCCCAAGAGCTCCGAGGCTGGTTTCATCTTGACCCATGTTGACATGGTCAAGGAGACTGGAGCACTCATCAGCGGTACCCTCAGGGTAGTTGACACTCTTGAACAGCATGGTCCTCGCTCATACATCAATGCCGGATTCCGTGAGATCCTTACTGCCATGGAAAAAATTGAGGCCTCGATGGAAGGTAAAATCCCAATGAAACCCAATCTTTCAACGAGCCGATGATCTAATATTGTTTAATAGACATGTGGGCCAACTCTAAGCCATCCGAGTATCTCTCTTTCCGCGTGTTTATCTTTGGCATCACAAACCAGTCCATGTTCCCGAACGGTGTGATCTACGAAGGTGTTGAGGAAAACAAGCCTCTCTTCTTCCGCGGGGAAAGCGGTGCAAATGACAGCATAGTATGTTACCCTGAATAATCAATATATACAGGCAAATTACTGACAAGCCTACCAGATTCCCCTTCTTGATCACCTGTGCCAGATCCCCATGCCATCAACCCCTCTTACAAAGATCTTGCACGAATTCCGCGCTTACCGTCCGCTCCCGCACCGCGAGTTCCTGACTTACATCCGCGAAAAGTCAGACCATATCGGTGTGCAGAACTACGCAGTGCAGGATTCGGAGACAACGGTGCTCTTCTTGCAGACTTTGAATCACATTCGTAGCTTCAGATGGCGTCACTGGCTCTTTGCGCGCGAGTACATCATTCGTCGTACACCGCACCCGACTGCCACTGGCGGCAGCCCTATTGTCACAGTGAGTTACCCACATATCCTTGCATTAATCTTTTGAGACCATTCATAGTTAATACTTCGGTGTTTTTAGTGGCTCCCTAACCAGCTCTCTGCCGTTATGGACCTCATGGTCACTATCTATGATACTCATCTTGCTCCTAAAGATGGCGTCGCCTTCGTGGATGGACAAGAAGATCTGATCGCTTCGCACCGAAAACAAGTGGAGCCGATGATGGAGCTTGTGCGTAATCAAAAGGAAAAGCTGGCTAAGGAGGTGGAGAAGTGGTGCCAGGAACGGGGAGTTTAATCATTCTTTTCCTCAGAATGCAGTTAGATGATCTCACTGTTTAACAGCAAATTTATTCCAAGAAAATACTTTCATACAATCATTATCATACATTCATTAGTTATTAATATCTTAACCTCATTATCGTACAGAAGATTTATCGTTTCTTGATCCAAGATCTCATAGTTGTGTCAGTTCAAACCTCTAACCGTTCAGTTCTCGCATATTCATCAGTCTCGTGCTCATGGTTTGCCATGTCCAGCTCTGCACCACAACAGTCAATCCTTTTGAGCGGGCATAGTCAATAGCATCTGATGAGATATTTTCACAGGCCTCAATGACAAGTTTGTCAAGTTTTGGGACCGACTCATCATCTGACACCCTTGCATCGGCAAACAAACGAAGTGTGCACCCTGTAATACTTGACCGCGACACGTCGAGGTACTTCAAAGATTTAAAGATGACGAGAGCCGAGCAAAAATTGTCGTCACAGGTTGGTGAGCTAATGATGCTCAAATCGGTTAAACGTTCGACGATGGCTGGCTTGCTTTTGACAATTTTCAAGAATTGATCACAGGGGAGTTGGATGCACCCTTCAAGATGCAAAGTGCGAAGACATCCCGACGACAGATCTAGAAACGAGCTGAACGGTGATCTGGGCGATCCGTCAATGCTTCGCAGATTTATTAACTTCAGATCGCGCAATTTTGGGCAAAACCCAACTGCTGGGGTGTCCTGTCGCATGTGAGGCTGCACTCCCCCGGAAATCTTGAGTACTTCCAAGGATTTGGGCAAGAGATGAAAGAAGACTTGGTGAAGCTTGTGGCCCACAAGAGCTAGATGCCGAATTGGTGGAAGGTGGAATTGGTCTAGATTTGGTATCACTGGCACACTAATGGCGACATTAGGGAAAGTTGGTGCGAGGTTCGAGTGTATGCTTGAAAAGTGAAGGGAGAGTTCCTCTAGGTTAGGGAAAGCATTGGTCTCCAAAATCGTTAGCTTCATGATCCGATAAATATCAAGACGGGTGAGGTGGGACGTGTACATACATTGATGTCGGTAAGTATATATGGAACTATGAGATTATATGCGAAGGGTGATCTGAGAGCAATCCGCTTAAGATTTGGGAAGACTTTTGGATCCGAGTGTGGAATCCATTGACTATATTTCCGAGAGCTGGGGAGGGCTTTGATGTCCAAAAGCGCAATTGTCTCCAGAAGAGGAAGTTTGTCCAGAAACACCATCAAATCTTCATGCTTCGGGGAGACCATCGAGGAAAGAATGAGAGTTTTGAGTCCCCTGTTCATAGTGGCAATTTTGAAAAAGGGAGCATCCACGTCTTCGAGCCCGATATTCAAAGTCTCAAGCTTCGGGCATCGATCCAACAATGCGATAACCCGGGTAGTCGTCTTAGGAGTGGTATTTTTGATGATTGCTCCCTTGAGATTTCCATTGGATCGTTTGACATATTTGGCGATTATTTGGGGCGACAGGGGTTTGGCAGCTGATGTGAAATCGAGTTCACGCCAAAGCTCTGGGTGACTGACAATGATGCCCTCCCAAGTTTTCGAGACCCGGATAATTCCACTGAAAAATCGCATCAGCTTCTTTCCCTCATTCAATGGTGCTTCATATCGACTTACACTCTCTGGGAAAACGAGAGATGTTTTAGGATTTCAAGAGCCACGTCGATGTTCATCGCTGTGAATGGATCAAGACGAGGAAGTTCGTCCGAAAGTTTATTTTTGAGCTGCTCAAGGAGCTATTGTAGATAGTGAGCAGGGCAATTGGGAGTAATGAGAATGGATACACAATGTGACATACCTTTCTGGAAGGGTTCTTGTTTGCGAGTTTTTGAAGTCCGAGGTTATAAACCTTCAGTGCTTTGTCTGTGCTTCCGCTGAGGACCAGCACCTTTCCAAGTCGCAAGTATCCCTAATTCATGGTTAGGATCTTCATATGGGTTTCGTGAAATTGCATATTCATACTCGTGCATCTTCTGGGAAATCCTTTGCCATTTTCTTAGCATCAGCTCGGGCCAGGCTGAGCTGCCCCAGCTTACAATAAGTGGCGACACGGTTGTCAAGGACACTGATTGCATTCACATCGTCGTAATTCAAGGCCTAAACAATCAATAGCTGCCTTTTTGGGTTGGAGTGATAGATCTACCATGTTAAATGCATCGAGAGCATCTCGAAACTTTCCTTCGCCGTAAAGCTTTTGGCCAGACTTCTGGTGGAATTCAGCCGCCATGACTGGAAACTTATGGAAAAGAGTGAAAGTGTTGTAATATGAAGGTGAAGGCGCGTTTAATTAAGATCGCGTCTAAGATGCATTGTTTTTGACCGCCTTATAGTGCCGTTTATAGGGAGGAAAAATGTAAGGATACAGCTCACCGCTAAGTAGTTCTGACCACTTAAATACTACTAGTTAACTACGTCGTAAATACGGGAATTGATACAATCCAAAATAAAACATTACAATCAACAAAATCAAAATCATAATACCACCACCCCATTGACTATGATATTTTTCGAGGGTGGTTGTACCAATTCCCGTACGAAATGCAGTATAATTATATAAGTTATGGAAGTGATTAAGTTTATTACTTTAAAGACTTCTAGGGCTGACTGTTGCTATAGTTCAATTGAGGATTGGGAAGCTTCCTGATGATATTAATCTTCATAATGTTAAGATATCAGTATCACATGGTAAATGGGTCTACATGTGGTTATTAGTTATTAAAGTCTTCTTCATTATCCTTTGATGAAGTTTGATCCACATCTCAAACCTATACCAGAGATAGAGCTTAAACTTGGGGTGTTTGAACCCGCATAGAGATTTCTGAACATGCTGCATCAAAATCGCACCTCTAGACCACTCCTCTTTTTTCAAGGGATCTTAGTGCTGTAGGGGCTGACTGAAATAAGACTGACTATGATTGAAACCGGAATCGGAACCGAAATCAGAGTCGCTTCTCCTATCGATGAATTATGGAATCAGAGGTGTGTGAGCTGTTGGAGGCAGTATAATCCTCTTTATTACTTCCCTCAAAGTTCGTTTCTCCGGTCGTTCCATTCACTGAAGTCGTCTGATTCAAGGTCAGGGCTTCCTAGATGGCATATGTTTATTGTTGGCGAAGGACAGGAGGTAAATGTGTTAGGTGGAACCTGTGTAACTCGTTCATCATACCGAGCCATATGCCGAGCCATATGACGAGTCCACCTGAGCGTTAAACGTCATTTTTATGACTGTAGATGCACGCTGCAAGGACTTAGGAGCTAGCAGGTTTGGAGAGTATGTCAATACCGAAAGAATTCAAAGATATAAGTCACTGAGCTTTGAGATAAGATGAAGTAAATTTGATTAATTCGAGGCCTTATTCCTCAAGCTTATGCTAAATAGGGCCGATGAATAAGGCCGATGAATAAGGCCGATGAGACGAGTTTATTTTGATGAGGTAACAGATACTGCGCCACTGGCTCCACTAGACACCCGGAGCATCACCCGTGGACTGTTTACTTTCTTCCGTTTTAGATCATTCAAAGCTCCACACGACTGCAAAGGCCGCCATGGAGGCGCATAATTTACAGGCTGCTTCGACGTACGTCAATAATATTCTGCAAGCTCGAGGACTGCTGGGAAGTGGTCAAGCAATTGATTTTGCAAACCCCGACAATGAAGAGGGGGGCACAGACGCCACTATGGCGCGAATCATTAACCTGGTCAATGACTTGGTTTTGAGGAGAGACGTTAGTATTGTATACTTATACAGGGCGCGCTCAATCTAATTTAAATATAGCGCGAGGCCGAGCACCGCGAAAACCTAGCAACAACGATTCGGGCATTACGTGCCAGCGACTCGGATCAGACGATGGAGATTGTAGGTGCAGATTATATGGAATTAATGGACAACAAACTTATTTGATATGTTTTTCTCTCAGGGAAAGTTAAAGACTCGGACATCTGAATTAGCGAGATCGCTAGCTTTGTCGGAGGCACAGGAGCGTTCGCTTCAGTCTAATCTGACGAGCGTCGAAGCAACGGTCCGGGGACATAAAGAACAAGTTCAGCGCATGAAAAGTACGGTCCAACAAGTTCGCGCGCAATGCGCCAATGATATTCGCAAACGAGACCTAGAGCTTCAAAAGCTCAAGTCACACTTGGCCGAACGACAACGTGGGAAGCGCGAGGGGCTGAGCGTCACCACCATCAACATAAATCTGAGCACAGACCAGTCGCTATTGCGATCCACCGGTGGAGAACAAATCAACGACCCTGGCTATAGCCTCCAACAGGAGACGACTCAATTTTTGACAGAGCTGTGTCAAAGTTTGAGCGACGAGAACGACACACTGATCGAGCTTGCGCGCAACACCATGGACACGCTCAAAGATTTACAAGGGCTGCCGCTGGTAGAGGAAGCAGATTCACAGGAGGAATCAAATATGGGCGCAAGTGTGGGACCCCACAAGGCATCGGCCAGAGCCGTTACTACACTTCCTACGTCGTGTGCAGAACTCTCCACACGGACGGAAACGGTGCTAGATCACTTGCGAACACTTCTTACTAACCCCTCATTTGTGCCTCTAGAGGAGGTGGAAATCCGTGATGAAGAGATTAAGCGTCTGCGCGAAAGCTGGGAGAAGATGGAAAATCGATGGAAGCAAGCTACGACCATGATGGACGGTTGGCAGCGGCGTCTTGTCGACGGCGGAGATTCAGTGCGGGTCGATGAACTTAAACGAGGCATGAACCTTGATCTGAGCTTTGCATCTACCGAAGATACGAGCATGCAGAAGCAGGAAGAGACTAAAACCATCTCGCCAATTCTGGAAGACCAACAGGAAGAGGAAACAATCGATTCTGAGGAGCGAGCACCGGAGCCAGAGGTCTCAAAACCTCCGCAGACACGCTCAAAAATACGCAAAGTCCCAGAGCGCTCTGATAGAGCTTTGAGGGAGCGTAGCGACAACGCTAGTGCCAGGCCAAGGCGACTCCGAAAAGTCTCATTCACCCCGGGCCTGCAAGGGTCGCCTTCTGAGACCATCGCTAATGAAGAGACACTGCAAATTAAAGCCCACAAATCAGCCGCTGTGACTCGCAGACCTTCACGACGGAAAACTGATACCAAAACCACCCGCCAAGTAAGTTTAAATCAAAGATGATTCAGTTGCTAAGTACTGATAACTTTCCAGGCCAACGAGCAATCCAATTTGAGTGTTTCTCAGAAGCTAGCCGCTGCGGAAGATGACGCTCGCGTCGCCAAGCAAGCACGCAAAGAGCGTGAATCGCGAAAACGAAGTCGGCCTGAGAAGGCAGGTCTTCGGTCTAGTAATCGACGCCGAAGTACTTTGACAAGTGACGAGTTGGATGATCTTATGGGTGTACAATCACATTAAGGGAGTTTCATTCATTCAAAATTGAATTGTAAATACAGTGCGTGTTTAATGTACGACTGAACTAATATATTCGTTTCTTCAAGCGTGGTTCGACACATTATGATAGGAGTCTGAGCTTAGTACGTGGCGCAGTAAGAGAATGGGTCAACAAAATTGGAGTTTTGAAATACTACGACCTGAAAGTCCTTCCACAGAAGAGGAAGATAGATATATCCGCCTTTGTCCGAACGTATCTTGGCAATCGCTCGAATAAGTGGCGCCCCAGTTTTCATCCTTCGCGTCGCTGGAGCCCCTGAGGTTACCGATCATATACAATATCTTGAGATTCCACGAAAACCTCGTACCATTGCGTGATTTCGTATAACAAAATACACTCTCGTAACTACAATATTCATACTACGGTGTCTTTCAATCTCAGTTGGCCCGCTCTGCGATTGATCTGCGCTAACGCCTTGTCGGTGGAGCTAGAAAAGAGTTACCCAGTGTGTATTGGTCGAGCCGATTTCGAGAATGACTACAATATTGATTTCTAGTTGTTGCTGCATATAATTACACAGTCTACCTGAATTCTCTGGTGAGAATCTTAGTTTTCCAGCCTACCTGCTGAAAGCGACCTTCAAGATATACTGCCGCTTCTCGAAGCATAGCAATGCCACCCACGCATGCATTATCTTCAAGGTGCTGTGCAAGTCCACTGAGAGTTTTAAAAGTCTTTATGGAGCTGAAAGTATGCTTTCCTTTTAATAAAGACGTCGGGCAGTGGAATATTGGACTTTCGTGAGTAGCAGAATTCCGATGCTGCTCGAGAGCTTGCATCGACATAAAGGTCCGAGAACAATCACGACAGCGGATTTCGATAAGGATACCATCTTCTTCTAGCGGCGAATGCAATTCTTGCGTCGATAACAGTCGCAAGAAAGAAGATGATGCATCTGATGACGTACTATTCGGAGTATAGATAGCTTGTGAATCCGAGCTAGTGCTTGAAATTCCACTTCGAGCATCATCAAAAGCGTTGGTGAGGTACTGGTCAGATATTATTTGATCTGTGTCGTATGCATAAATCAAATTGTTCAGCTGGTCTCTTTTCATCCCAGAGGTACAAGACCCGCTTTCGAGATGATGTAGTAGAGAGGAAGGGCGCCTGAAGTGCCTGCTGCATTTGGCATCTATACACTTCAGATCGCTGATGGAATGATGCACGAGTGAGCTCTCATGGTCTTTTAATGCAGTATTGCTCAGAAATTTTCGACTGCAATCTCCACATTTGAACTTCACCTTGCATTTTCCAGCAGAATTGTGATTTTTATCCCTAATGTGCTGTTCAAGAGCGGTCCCATTCACGAAATCTCGATCACATTCACAGCAGCGAAACGGGCCCACGTGTTTAGATGTATTTTTATGTTGATTCAGGTCATTTGACGATTTGAAGAATTCATTGCACGAAGCACAATAGCAATGGCCGGTCGATCTTCTGTGTTGGTCTAATGACTTGATTCCTTGGAAGAGATCTTTGCAGCATCCGCATTTCAAACGATGGATAGCGTGACTGTGTTGCTTGAGGCCCTCGGAAGTTGTAAATTTTCGATGGCAGTCAGAACAACCACGGCTATGGACTGCTCTCCGGTGCTGTCTTAGAGCTTTTCTCTCTTCTACTTCTTGGCCACACTCGCAAGTAAGCATGTTGTTCTATGGTTGATAGAAAATTCTTGACGGGTCTTGGAGATGTTTCGGAAGGGAAGGTGGATTGATGAAAACTCGAAATCAACTCTTGTTCGAAATTGAAAAGTGGAATGAATTGAAGTCATGAAATGCAATGATCGGACACATCGCAATTTATAAGGTGGAGGTACACAGTTACTTTCCGGAGAAAGGTATGGAGGCAGCACCATTTTACATGTACATTCTTCAATGAAGTTGGAAAAGAAATTTCTGAAACAATATTTCTGTCTTCGTCAACTGATGCGAGGTATGTCTTCTGATGTGAACGATGCGGAAATCTCTTGAAAATCCACCAATTAACCGAACCAAGTCTCATTCTTCGGCTTTACATACTGGGTTACATTGGTGTCGAGGTGGTCGATTATTTTGTCAATGGCTATCCTAGAGCACTTTAACTGGACAAGGCCAATGAACTGGTATGAGGGGTTGGTTACATCGACCTTGTCAGCGCATTTCAATCTAAGTCCATAATTTCTTAAGACGTGTATCATAGTATTATTTATGGCTACTAGCGTTGAGCTTATGAACATCATTAACAACTGATAGAGAATAATGGACTCAAGTTTCCAGGATGGAAAGAAACAGGAAGGAAAGAAAGAAATATAGGATATCAAAAGCTAGGTGAAATCCACCTAAGAAGAATATTCTTCCATTCAGATCTGCATGGCAGCAGCGCAAAGAGCACCAAACACCACTGCGACTCCGGAAAGAGTAGCACGGCCTGCTGCGTTGAAAGCAGCTGGGCTAGTAGTAGCAGGGGCGCTCCAGCTTCCACTGGAGGAGGCAGAGGCAACAGCAGTGGTGGTGGGGATAAGGCGCAAAGAGGTCGACTGGGCGCTGCCGCAAGTAGCATGACAGACGTACTTGGTACGAGAAATGGTCGAGGTGACAGTGTGCTTAGATACGATGGCAGAGGAGGAGACACTGGGAGCATTGGAGTGTGACGAGCTGGGAATCCAGGAGGGGACCGAAGAGGAGCTGATCAGAGCTGGGGAAGCTGAGGCAGCAGCAGAGGTAGAATGACCGGAAGAGATAGTGTCAGTTTCCTTGGCGATTGGAGCATTTTCATTGCCAGTAGCGGAAGGCTCAGCCGAGATAGTGTTGGGAACGGCAGTGGGGGTAGTAGATGCGGACGAGCTCGAAGCATCCTGGCAATCAGCCTCACCTAGTACTGCAAGGCACAGATTGATGGGGATATTGATAAGACCACCGGTAGATTCAGACTTTTGCTGACAGTGAGCCTCGCCGAGAACAGCCAGGCAGATATTGATAGGCACATTGATCAAAGAGCCGCCGTCGTTGCTGGCGGAAGAAGCCTGGTCGCACTTGGCCTTTCCGAGAGCAGCAATACACCCATCAATGGGCAAATTGACCAAACCAGTGCCGGAGCTGTGCTGGTTGCACTCGGCTTCTCCAAGGATGCCTGCACATAACCCGACGGGCACATTGATCAAGCTCAGGTCAGTGGCGTAGACACCCTACCGGACATTTTGTTAGTGATGATAGTGAAGTATGGATCGGAGCCTCTTACAGAGCAGGAGACAGCAAGAGCCACGAGGGAGGTAACAACAGACTGCTTCATCTTGTCGGACTGATATTAGATTTACAATTAGATATTAAACGAAAGTATGGTGTTGTCAGAATATAGTAGTGAATGAATGGACGCTGATGACAGCAAAAGGAGTGACTGATGATAAGGCTCTTGAAGTAAATTAAATGAGTAACGAGGCGAGAGACTCTTATAGGTATAGAAATGCTTCTCAGAAAGCAAGTAAAGAACGCCAGTAACTTTCTAGGATGCCGATCTGTGCGAGAACAGATGGTAGAGCAGAGACGAGACCAGTCTATTCGCATATTTTGATTGCGATGCCCCTATTGTTCGGCATCTGTGTTGATATAAATTCCGCCGCATTGGTAAGTTCGTAGGAACCACGGGATATGGATGAACTAGTTTGCATTTTGCATTGTTCTATTGAGCGTTGCCGTTGATTTAAATCAATCAATGTATCCACTTTATTACACTAGGTTCATAGTTCCTTGGTACTTTCACTTGTGATAACGCAGATCAAATGCCGATCAGGGGTTTTCTTAAGGCTTCATGGGCATACGAACTCGTTCCTAGGCGAGGTTTATGGAGAAATCTCAATATTGGATCAAAGTATCAGCTACTACCAACACCCGCTCTCTCGGACTCATTTTCGTAATGTGACATGAAGACGAAGGTTTGAACCCTTGTAACGTTCGAACCCTTGTAACTAACGATTTCTCTTGTATTCTAGTGTCAAGCGTCTATACAAACAACGTATGGTCTAGTATTCTTCGTCTCTCGATGGCTTCCCATAGTTCCGATGTTGGGCCAGTCGGGAAAATGTATATTTATAGTATAGCAACCATGGAAGTCCTCACCCTCGATATCTGGATTAGTTTCTCCTTAATCCTATAAATTAGTATAATCCCCGGGTGTTAATCTGCGCCAAGACTATTTAGACTTCAAGATAAATGAAATGAGACATTATACAAGTTATCCATACGTTATATGGAGGACTTGAAAGTTGTACTATTAACGATGTCCGATGTTCTCGGCACTCGGTAATTACTGCAATTGTGATAACGACTCCTTTTTTTTATGGCTGGTGGCTTGCAAGGAAGTGGGCCCCGAACCCTCCCCCGCAACCCTTTTCAAAACTACCTTAACCAAAGGGAATAAGGTAGGGCCATCCACCGATCCTTCCCACCGGCCCCTCTAGGGCTGGATATTCTGGAATAGCCCTAAACGGTATAGATTTTCCGCCGAGAAAGTTACTGTTGATAAGAAAACTGGTAATACCACGTGGATGAATAATACGTAGTGACCAGGAAAAAAGTTCAAAACTTTCGCGACAGCTCGGACTCGTACGCATGGACCATGATAACTCCAATTTTCACTAAATCGACAGCTTCTTCATTTTGGTCTGTTAACAAAAAGAAATGGTAGTATCTTTGATTCGGCATGTCATCCTTATGCACATGTTAATCTTCTTTGTAGATCCTATGATTCCTCTTAGCTGTTGCAGACTTGCAGTTAAGAATGGTTGACCCAAACATGGGTTGATAATGATACCCTAATTGAGATACTGCCGACCTTTACCAGTAAACTCGGACCGGTGGTCAAGCCAGAATACGATCACATGGTCTGATACTGATAGATTTCCAAAATTTCAAGGCTAGCCGCTACTAAGTTCTAACTATGAAAGGTAAAACAACAGCCCTGTAGATTTCATGCGGGTTGGGATTAGGATTAGACCGATTTTTGGGCTACTAAGTATAAGCTCCAATTTTCAACGTTAAGCTGTTTAGATATATACCTAAATGTAATTCTAGATACTGCTCCAGGTAATTTATTGTCAAGTTTTCAAGGCTAAAGTTAAACTCGAGCCGTTCAGTGTCCTGGTGCTTCTACATGCAGGTGAGGTGGTGCACAATATATATGATGAATGCTCCATCAAAACGCCCTGTGGCCCCAGACTACAGGTATTCTAATAGTTGCCGTACGATTGAGGATTTTGATTTGCGCTATAGGTTAGCTAGCTACTAAGTCTTAATTACGACTATTTATCTGTATCTGTAATACAATTATGTTTTACCTTAAGCCGATGTGATTTACTCGGATAGCATATCTAGATAATTGAACCTCGTCGCCCACGCAGGGTCTGAGTTGAACCCTGGAACTCCGGGGCCCGTACATAGGAACTCTGAAATAAGTATTTGAAGTTTAAAATAAGTTCCAGAGTCGGGACTAATTGTGTGTGGTCTCATTGAAATTTCAAGTTTTCAACCCTTGAAGATACCCGTGAAGGTGAGTCAATTCTTGTGGCTTTTGCTCATTTCCACCGGAGTCACTGAATAGGTGCACCAGAGCGCGTATAAACTCTTGAATTAACATCTACAGTCTAACTTTCAAGATAGCTTTCGTGAATGCAAGGGGCCGCAGATTTTATCCCTTGCAGGACGAGAAATAACCATAATACCAACTCTAGAGATCTCTTCTAAGCGACAGCTTACTACATATGATGCTTCAGCCATAATTATATCCAGGCACAGATCAGGTCAAAAGCTTTACCAGTATTGGGTAAGGGTCAAGAACTTATGAAAGGAATGTGGGTACTAAAATGCAGTCTCTGCGGGCCTATTACCTTTTTATTTCAATCTAGATCGAGCTTGAACAAGGACTGGAATGTCAGTGCTGAGTATAGCTTTTTAGAGCGTGTGCTGAGCTTATTTATTCACTCCTAAGTGAAGTTCCTTAGCTTCTTCAGAAGTTCCAAGTCATAGAGTAGACTTAATTAGCCGACATTACGAATAGCTTACATGGAAGACCCGGGAAGTATTGACCTCTACCTCTCGACTAAATGAACAAAAGCTATTATTAAACAGTAGATGGTTTATGAGCTCTTTTGCGGACGTCCGATCAATGTAAGATTTACAAGCGATCGATCTGATTCAAGAAAGAGCTCTACGTAGGTAGCACTTAATCTTGTAGATTTTGCATGCGCTTCCCAGGTTCTTCTTCTTCTCCACGAGGGTCTGCCCTGATATGATTTCAGAGAATGTCACATTCCTGACTCTCATTCCCTCTTTGGGATTGAACTATATCACGAAAGACATTTTAAGCGGCCACTACTAACTAATCGTTGTATGGAGTAATTCTCCGCTAGGCGCATTCCGTTTTTTGTTGACATCGAGATTAAGAGAAAGTAGCTCAAATTGATCAATTATAAAGGCTTTCGCTCCCCGATGGAATTGAATTCAGTATCGTAAGTAAGTCGACAAATTTCGCCAACCAGTTCCCAGTCTTTTCCACTCTTTTATTTTGGCATTTTAGTTCCTGAGCTAATTGCTATCTATCATTAATCTTCGCAATTTCTCATACTTCTCACAATCCTTATATACAATCTTCAACATGTTGAAAACTTTCGCTTTCATTTCGCTCTTCAGCGTTGGTACGCTCGCTCATCCGTCAGGACTTGTGAGTGCTCAATTCTCAATTATGCCTTAAACCGCCATCTAATTGATGATTGCAGTGGTGGGGTACCGACTTCTGTTATCCAAGCCCTGATAACACCGACAACTCTTGCTTGCCCTCTCAGAAGAATGGTTTTGACTGGTCTGACCTCGCAGATGGTGACAACTGGACCTTCGAGGGCTTCAACTTCGTTGGCTTCCAGCCCACTGATGCCTGTGGATCCTCCCAGGTATGCTTTATGCCCATAAAAAAGCCGGATAGCTTCTAACCTCAGATTAGGGTAAATGTATCCAGGGAAAGCTGTCTCGGGATGACAACTATGTGCTTCAGGTGGATGCCGCAGACGCTCCTTTCTCAGTCCAGAAGTTCCACCTTTCTACTTCTCGCAAAACTGATGTTCTGCTCATTTATGGCATGGCAGACGGGTCTGTCTGCCATCAGGTGGCATTTGCCTCTCCCGAGGGAACAGATGTCACCAACGACCAGTGTGGTGGTGCGACTTGGGTCAAGTTTGCCCTTCCAGAGCAGAGCAAGTTCGGTGAATGTGATTTGAACATCCATGATATCGACTTTGACTGCAACCCTGGACCCAAGCCACCAATTACTCCTTCTCACTCTGTTCCCATCCCTAGTCACACCGCCCAACCCAGTTTCTCTGAGCCTTCAAGCAGCTTCCAGGAGCCGAAGACCACCGTCCAGGAGCCGAAGACTACCGTCCAGGAGCCGAAGACCACCGTCCAGGAGCCGAAGACCACCGTCCAGGAACCGAAGACTACCTGGACTGAGAAGATCCCCGTCAGCTCAACCCATACGACGACTTCCTGCTCATCCTCGAAAATACCAGTCTTGACTACTTCTTGGTCACCATCCTCGGAGCCTGTACACACCACTGTAATCCCAGTCAGCACATCTGCCGTGCCTTCTAGCCCGCCCCTTGTCCCTGCTCCTTGCCCCGAGATTGTGCCAAAGTGCATGAACACATGGCTCTCTATTCCAAACTGCAAGTCCAACAGCGACACCGCCTGTTTCTGTCCCTCATCTGAGTATGTCGCCAAGGTCGACTCTTGCATTCACGCCTGGAGCACTTCCGACGAACAAGAGAAATCGGCTCTCTCGTACTTCGCTGGAATTTGCGCTCCCAAGAACCCTGCTGTCATCAACATCGTTCCATCTGGGAAGCCTTCCAAGCCTTCTGTTCCTGAGCTTGTTCCCGAGCCCAGTCACACCCACTCGATCACCAGCAAAGCTCCTCCTTGCACAACCATGACCTGGTCCTCTCACACAGCGACAGTTCCTCTAGTCGGATTCAGCACTGTGACAGGACCGTCCAGCACTACCGTGGCTCTTGTCGCAATCACGCCTACTGCTACTCCATCCCCAACAAGCCGGACTGCACACCCACTATCGCCTGTGTCGATGACTACGTCTTGCGGAACCCACACTTCATCTTTCTCTACAGCCACTACCTCCAAGCCAAGCCCAACAGCCCCTCCTACTGAAATCCCAACATTTGCCCATTCCAATGCTGGTTCGAAGAACGTGCAGTCTGGTATGTGGTCATTTGGTGTGGCTCTTTTGGCTCTCTTTATGTATTAGTTTCATTTTCAAGACTGGGACTGGACATTGTCTTTAACTTCTAATTCACCTTATTCTTTTCTTTCTTGGCGACTCGTCGTTAAATCAAGTTCAACAACGGTCTTATCACATGTACCTTCAAATTAGTATTCCTGTTTCTAACTTGGCGACCTCGTTACCATCCCATTAGTCTACTGGTGGCAAAATAAAAGTCGCGGACTGGCAATATCAGGTATTTTTTCCAGGGTCAGCTACCACAGCGTCAACATGTGATAAAAGATTTAGTTTCTGTAGCAACAATGGGGAACACACTGCAGCGAAGATACGCTGCTGGGTAGTGCGAATAGAGAATATATTGGTATCAACGAGCTCTTATCATTCAATAGAGACTGATAACCATGAAAGGAAGAACCTTCAACCCCCCTAGAAAATAATGATATACACAGTTCATCAGTAATGCACTAAATCCGCGATCATAAGGAGCTAATTATGAAAGAGTTTTAGACTACCTAGATATTAAAATGAAGGTAATAATGTAAATAATAGGAAGAAGTGAGTCACATGCACCCCATTCAAAACAAAACAAATTAAGGCTTGACAAAAGTCAAAAAGTCTTGGGAGAGATCAGTAAAGAAGCTTGCCCCAGCAACAGTGGTGGGGTGACCAGACTCAGTCACATTGCAATAGTCGTTGAAGTTGCCAGCGGCTTTATTCTTCTTTTCAATGAACTCCGCATATTCAGACAGAAGGCAGCTCTTTCCCGGGCCGCTCTGGCATTGAGGCAACGGGTACACGGCATCGTTGAGAAGTATACGGATATACGTCTGGTCAGAAGAATGATGTCCAGACTCGACTGTACAGTTCAAGACTTCGAATGCCGTAGTACCGCGCATGCTGATCCAATGCGCTACGTTGTACAAGTGGTTCTTTGGGATGTGGGTCGTTGGCAGATGGGCTTCGTTGTCGAAGATCCCTATGGCGGCTGTCATTTCGGCGATCTGGTTGTCGTTCAAGAAGGCCATGATTAGATTTGGTACGGTAAACTCGCTACCATCTGTGCCAGTGCCTTTTTGACCGGGCCCCTTGCTTAGGAGTTTTATCAGGCTGTCGAGGAAAGGTAGGAATAGTTTTGGAGCAGGTCCATCGGCACCAGGACCGACCTTATAGTAATAGCTTAGATCCTGCGAATAAGCGTAGTCGACTAGCTCATTCTGCGTGAAAACATTACACCAAGGGCTCAGACGACCGAGGATTTGACTCTCATATCCGCATAGATAAGGGAAGAAAAGGATTTCTGACTCGGTAAAGGTAAGGTTTCCACCGACCAGGGAGTTGATCCGCTGAAGGGCCTTTGGAGTCCAAGTAGCATCCCCTAGTCACTTTTAGAGAGTTGTTTCGAATAGAATATTTTCCAAAGTTATACTTACAGTCAGTCACATTGTCGCCTCCACTAGAAACGGCCGAAAACTCAGGGCATGCATCGGAAGGGCCAAGAGAGTTACCAATGGCATTAACCGAGCCAGTGGAGTTCACACTGACCACAGTGCCATATGTATCAGCAAATTCGTACAGATAGCCATCTACAAAGGCCCGCGCAGTTTGAACCACGCGAGATTCATTGATAGGGAACTTGTACTGGTTGGCCCACACATAGAAAGGGTTGCCATCCTCGTAAAAGTCGGGATCTATAACGAGTTAGATGAGAGATAAAAAAAAGATGAAAGAAGAAATGGAAGTTTTCTCACATCGAGCTCTGAGCTGGTACCCGAGATCATGTGCCTAAAAATAATTAGCATATGAATGTTTCGTTAATCATAATCGGAAGCGTACCTCCTTCCAGCCAGTCAGGGACTGTTGTGCCATTTGCAGCGTTGGGTTGGTTAATACAGTCTTCCAATTGGGAATGAAGGACAGTGAGCCATGGGCTGTAAACCCTTTGCTCTCTTTAGAGGCTTGGATCTGTGGATTTCAGCATTATAGTAAGCATCTTCCCAGCTTTGCGAGTATTATGTTGAGAGAAATTCCGACGAACCTTCTCTTGAATCGCAACCCAAGAATTGTAAGAGCCGGTGTCAGGGAATCTTAAACGCATCAGCATCACAGTACATGAAGCTTAATGAGACCATTGATATCTTACCTACTACCATGTCTCACGATATAGGCAGCCTGCTGAACATTACATTTGTCAGGCACAGTGTTCTCGATGTCATTGGCATTGGGACCTGGTAAGATCAGAGATAAAAACTATTGATAATAGAGCATGGCGACAAACCAGCAAAGTAGGGGCTATTTCCGCCTGAGTACTGGAGAGGATTTTGGCTGTTGGTGGTTGAAGGGAACGTGATATCGTTGTCAGGAGCTAAGATCTGTGCTTGACTCGCGGCCGCCAACAACAACGACGAAATAAAAGCCTTGGAAAAAGACATGACTACCCGGGACTTCCAACTTAGAGAGCTTGGAATAAGTTGTCCATCTACCTAGAGCGAGGAAACCGCCCTATTTAACTATCTGGGTATGGAGTGCTCAGGTAGGAGTAGTTGATGTCTCCTGCATTAGTCCCAAGCCCTAGACAACTAGTGTTGACTAGCGTTTAAAAAAACCAGTGGGCAGACCTATTGCCGGCCCACGTGTTTGTCTTATATGAAGCCAATCTCTTTAACCGAATAGTAAATTGGCATAGCTGATTCAAGTAATATTGATGCTGGATTTGTTTCCTGATCCAGAGTTTTAACCGTACCATCTAGATTGCTAAGCTCTGTTTGGATTTTCAGCCGACGAACCAATTTTTTTACAACGCTGTATGATTTTCTCTATGGGAAATGATCCGGGGACTCCGGAAAGTTCACGGTCTGGCCTATTTGCGACAGGTTAGGAGTCTTCTATACTATCATAGTCAAATCAGCAGCCTTAGAGATTTGCTACTAGAATAGATGGAAATATGACCTCAGGCCTGGCTAAGTTCTCTTTATCAAAAGCACAATTCAGAGGGACGCAATTGAACAGTACCGCGGTAATTCCCTTACACAAAGATACTGTCTACAACGATATCATTGACTTGACAATAATGACGCGTTGCCAGGAATTAAAATTCCATTTTAGCAACAATACTGCTCTAAGCTCCCTAACGTCCTTAATGATCCGATTGTCCGGAGTCCTCGACTTCGACTGCGACGAGCGATTCTGGATCCCCCAATCCAAAAACGTCTGGTTTCGCCCGCTGCACTTCAATATGTAAAATCTTCTGGTGTAGACAGATTCGAATAACACACATAATACTACCAGGTGACAAGACCATTCTCCAGGCAATCTTATCATCCACCAGACAACACCAGGCGACAACACGTTGACTGGCTCATACCCATATTAATATTCACAAAGGTCACACCTCCTTCCTCCGAGCCTCCCTGTGTATGCCTCGACGAATGCATCGACTGCACAGGGGATGTAGTGACGGCTGTTGATCATCCACACGAGGATACCAAAATCGAAATTCACCCGAGTGGCCAGTACCATGCACGAAGACCACTAGTAGATGTTGGAGAAAGCTTTGAGTACTAGGAAATAGCTTCCATCTATCTTGGACTCATTGAAGATCTTCAATTAATGGAAGAATCTACTGTCGCAAGTTACCATATACACAGCGCGTGCTCTCTCGACTTTGGGCGGCTCGCAAGCGGTGTAAACAGCCTTATTGTAGGTTATCATATGTAATGGCGTTGGTTATAAAATTTGATGGTGCTAGTTATTACCAGTCAGATGAGGGATAATTTTGGTCTGAAATGTTGCCTCAACTCCAAAGGAGCCGTGTTTAGGCTCGAGCTTCCCCCGTAACTTCGTCCTTCGTCGAGGAAGGTCCTATTGTTTCAAAGGAAACTATTTGCTTCCGAAGCTGCTGCTGTCCCGTCCAGTTACCCTTATATACTCCTTCTGACCGCCATCCTGAAGTAGGACGAAGTTGTATGCGATATATAAAGGTAGTGGTGATAGTAGAGATAAGGGAGATTGATAAATATTCGTTGCTTAATATATTAGTCTAGCCATATTAGGAAATAGTGTAGGTCACATATTTAATCTAGAAGTAGTTATGGGGTCAAGGATGATCCATGCCTTTCGAGAGCTTATATGTAGATACATAGAGATCGCTATTACAAGAGGGATCATAGTAATTACGCATTAGCTTAGTTTCAACCTAATCTCACGCGGTGCGCTCATCCATTGCTCACCTTAGCGACACTCACCCGACTATTGGCCGCATTCAAGCCACACACTGGTCAGTTAGTAGTATGGTGGATGATCATATGCGAATCCTGACTGTTGTATGTTTTTTTTGTCTTTATTTCCTAGTTGGGATGGTCTATACAGGAAGCTACGAATAAGAGTCTTACAAATTTAACAAGTTCTCTCAGTAACGATTTCCTGGGTTTAACGACATGAGCCCCTTGTCAATAATGTATGGCTATGTAAGGGAGCTGCTGTAGTATATTCCATTTTGATAATATCGGGAGACTAGTCACTAGTTAGAGATCTACACCAAGAAATGGACTGATCTAGACATTCGGCGTTAGTGCACTGATGCTCACTCGTAATGAATGGAACTAGGAACGGGACTGTAGTATGTCTGGGCACACCTGGTCAGCGTCTTCACTAAATTCAATGCTCCAGATGAATCCATGAACAACACCATAAATTAGAAAATTTGAAAAGTAAATCATCATGTAATTTTCGTAAGTTCTATAGGAAGGTAGCGAAGATGAAATCCGGAGCCGAGCAAGACCAAACAGACCCATGAAAAGGCTATCATCAAGGGCAGTAAATGAAAGGATATAAGAATGGGAAGAAAAAAAAATATCAACATTGAATTTACTCAATGGCTGACGAGACGTCTCCGTGGGAAGGAGTGTTTTGGGGGTCCCACTTGAACTTGAAGTCATCTCCTAGCTCCTTGCGCACGGCAGCGGTGACGGCGTCGAGGACGTGATCGAACACACCAAAGTTGGCGGGATTGTTAACGTCGTTGCCCTTGCCTTGGAAGACACCGGTGCGGACAAGGCAAGTGTTCCAGCCGTAGAGATTTCCTCCAATGATGTCGGACTGGGGGTTATCGCCGATCATGTAAATATTTTCTGGCAGCTTCTTCTCGCCGTGGATTTCCTCCATCCAGGATCGGATCACTTCATCGGCGCAGATGTAGGTGGCACGCTCGGGCTTACCGTAGACTATACGCTCGAGATCTAGACCGGTAAGTGCCTTGTACTGCGCCTCTAGGGCAACACGGAAAGCACCGAGGTGGAGACGCGGGGGTCCCTTGTGCTCAGTAGGGCAGAGGAGATCACCCTGTGAGAAGTAGATAGGGATGTGGCTTGCGATGGCATTCTTGGCAGCAGGGTCTTTGGCCCAGTTCATCAACCGGCCGTTGGCACTGAGGAGTAGGTCAAGGATGATCTGGTATTCAGTCGACTGGTCGTGTGACTCGGCGAAACACAAAATAGCATCGAACTTGAAGTTGGAGAAATCGCGGGGCTTGGCGAGCTTGAGGTCTTCCTCGGTGAACTTGCGGCACGGTGAGATTGTAGGATCCCAAGCCAGAATATCCTTAGGGTGAATGACATTCTTGAAGCCATAATTCTCTGCAACGTCGCGAATGTTGAAGCCCTCTCCACCACAAACCAACACGTTCTCGTAGTACTCTGATAGAGCCTGCATAGGTGTGTGTGATTGAATGAACTGATCAGTGGAGATGGGGAAGCCCAAGACCTCGGATAGCTGTGCACAACGAGCCTCCTCAGTTTTACCACCACCGTTGGTGAGAAGAATATAGGGGAACTGAATGCCGAGCTCATTGTCACCATTCAGGATTCGTAGAACGGTCTTTGCCTCCTCAATGGCCTTGTTTCCGTGTGCCAGCACACCGTCAATGTCAAAGGTGAAGCACATGTTCTTCACGGCAGCAACTTTCTCAGGGGACATGGCCTGGACCTCCTCAGCCAAGATATCCCGAACGCCATCGATGGGCTTCTCAACGACGGACAATCGTGATTTGCGGGGTGATCTGGGAATAGGGAGGGAGACACCGAAGGAATTACGTGAACCACGACGGTCCCTCATAGAAGGAGACAGACTGAGACGCTGCATGTGTACATCACTGATGGAGCTGCGAGTGGCAGGGATCTCAATGGTGTGGCCTCCTTCTGAAGGAATGGCGATTCCTGCCTGGTCTCGTGGTGAACCAGCAGGGACTTCATGAGGGGCAGTACCCAATTCAGCTTCGTTGGACATGATGGACAGTATGAACTATGAAGGGTATATAGAAGTAAAAGATATCCAAATGGTAGCCAGCCCGGAGAAAGAAGTGAAGAGATGTTTTATAAAAGGAGAAGTGACTAGATGAGGGGCTAAATAAACCTTTAGAAAGAAATGAAAAAGCGATGATCCGTTCCCTCAAGTAGCAGTTCCGGTTACGCTTTCGGTGGCTGCCGGACCCGCCTTCCAACTTTACCTGTACCAATACCTAACCAACACCGCCGTAATCTAAATGCAGAGACAACACACATACATGAGATAATTTCCATTGTACACTTCAATTGGCATATTCTCATCCAGTCTCCCTCAACTTCTTACAACATTTACTTGATAAAATTGAAAATGTCTCAGAGCCCCGTTTTCGGAAATGGTGGCACCTTTAACCATAGATTCAGCATTTCAAGACCAATCAAATTAAAGGCCAGATCTCTTTCTGATGCTATTATCGAGCAAGTACTCCGTACCATCTATACCTTAAGACATGGCGTGTGAGAGTTTTAAAGTTAGAGAGATGAGCTATTAGTTAATAACTGATAACTGATCAACTAGTATTACATGAATGATACTGTTTAGAAGGATCCATGGATTGTGTATACTATGACTTCATGGTTGTTTTTGAGGAACTCTAACTGCCCAAGCTTCAAGGCTACTACTAAGTACTAGTAGGGTTGTTGTCAAGAAGGGATATCCGCCTTTCCTAATTGAGATGCGGTGGATCATTAAGATTATAGATGACGTCATGCTTCTCACTGCCTTTAACTGCTCTTCTCTTCCCGTCCCACTCCGTCTCTTAATCTCCTCTTCAAAATCTCAAATTGCCGATTACTGTCCATTGTAGATTGATCTTTGCCAAAGAATATCTCGGTATTGATCCTAGTTAAATCCCGCATTTCCGGTTTCCACATCTCCACTATGTGGACCGATGGTCCACTGTCGGCTCGGAGACTGACGTCGTTGCCAAGAACTATTACTGCCTGAGGCTGTAAATAGTTGAAATTAGGGCCCACTTAGTCAGCCACAATCGGCCAATAATGTCGTCTCTGTTTCAACTCAATATACTTGATGCTATTCCCAAACATAAGGCCTTGTAAGGCGGACCCGAAGAATTTCCGAGATATAATTTCGGACATCCTCGGAACGCTGTTATTAGCTTATTATTTTGATGGCAGTCAGCCTGTCAGATGGATGATCCGAAGATCGTTACTTTTTTGAATCAACCAAAATTGTTGGCTTGGCGCACCATATTACGCGGTATGCCGACTTTCGGGAGTTTTTACACACGTTTCATGCTGTTTCATCTCATGTAAACAGAGAGATATCAGCTTCACCATTATTATGGCAATATTACCAATGTACCTTATGTCTATTACCTACAAAACTCACAATGAAATCTAACTATGAGCACATTCTCAATGGGAATTCAAGAGATATTGCAGTTCACACAGTAGATACAACTTAGGAGTCAGTACTCAGTACTCAGAATCTGCTCATCTTTAGAGCCCCCAGGATCTAAGGCCTTCCACAATTGATGGAAATCACCCACATTTCAGATACTTCCTTCACTGATCACTCCTCAACTCCCCCTCCAATCTAACTAAGCTATACCTAGCGATGCATCACCACTGAGCAGGGTCCGCATCGGCAAAAGTAGTCCCATAAGCAATCTGATCATACCAAACCTGCCTGGTACCCTGAGTACCCTTCAACCCCTTATCATCATGCCACCCATTAGCATAAAGCCCAACACGGAACTGGAAAGCCCGATCATCCTCAATAGTAGTATCAAGATTATACTCCTCCAAAACCTTCGTCCCATCAAGCCACAGCTTATAATACCCAGTCTCATCAGTCTTCCAGCTAGCCTGAATAACAACTCTGTGCCAAACACCCGCTGAAACCGTAGCAAGGTTCGAGAATGTCTGGATCTTCTGCGCGCAGATCGTCCCCTGCTTCACACGCGTGTAGAGCTGGTCACCCACGAGCCATACCATGCTGGATGGCATATAGTCGTCGCAGCCTGTGTCGGAGAAGTCGGCGATGAATTGACCTAGGTTGTAGGACTGCGCTGGCGAGAATTGCCAGTCTGATTGCAGGCGGAAGGCGAAGCCGTAGAAGCCCGTGTCGCCGCGTTTGTAGACGTTGTTTTTGACTACTTCAGAGTGGTAGCGTCCTGTATAGCTAGAGTCGTAGATTTGGGTCATTTTCAGGGCGGTCGATCCTTTGTAAACCACGTTGGTGACCTGTTGGACTGTGCCTGAGTGCTCTTGGTTTTCAGAGTCCCAGCCTGCGACTGTTCCGGTATTGCTGAAGGTCTGCGTCGCTTGGACAGATAGACCCAGAAGGGCGGCGAGTTGAATAAATTTCACCAGCATTGTGGCAGGTATCAATCAACTGTAAGGGGATTTGAGTTCAAAGACTGCTTGGTTTGGGCTGCAGGATTGTGCGATTCATCCTCATAGAATTCCGCCTGGTAGCATCCTTTTATACCCAAACCTTCCCATGTATCCCGATATCTCAGAATGTTTTACTCCTCGCAAAAGATCTTCTGCCTCAAACAAGGTTACATCGGTTTCTGACGTGAGAGAGTCAATCTCGTAAAAACGGAGCTCAGGGTACGATGTAGGTACCATCTCGATGACAATTGGACGGGACCTGCTGGAATGAAAGCCCTGCAGTAAACTCCGCAGAAAATCCCGCAGAATTGTACAATTGTACGGGATAATGACCTTGCATGGTTCATTTAGACAGAGAGGACTTTCCACTTTTGGCTTAGCCAGGGCGCCTGGTTGCATTTTGGATTATTCAACACTCATGTTGAAAGAGTGATAATTCACCACTATTGACTAGAAGACGAATCCCGAGCTGTATACTGGATACGGGGTGGCCGAATACGGGGTGACCGAATACGGGGTGACCGAATACGGGGTGTAGGTTTGAATATGTCAGCCCTGCAGTAGATCTTGAGGACGGGACGGATGGGAAGGGTCAAGATGAACCCGTTACCCACTCGTGGTCCAAATTGGCTTCTATTGGTTAGGTGGAACATCAAAGCTTATTATAGCTTAATAGCTTAAGAATGTTCCGAGCACATTATGCTCCATCTAAGCATGTCATTTGATCTATCACTGCGTGGCTGACGTGAGATCGTTGCTTATTAAACATTGTGCACGGAGTACTCCGTGAGAGGGAGCCTACTTCATCGCGTACTTTATAATCCGGTATAATAGAAGACATTTGGAAATTTTTGAAACGTTGAAACTCAAGAGGTGCAAAAGCAAAAAGGTCGGATTATCCTGATTAAATCAAGATCCAAGAATATCTGGGAGGTAAGCTCGTCGTATCTGGTGATTGTGATACGTATTTAGCGCGGAAATAATATACTACCTGGGTATAGTGCGCCAAGATAATTGTCTCAACCTTCTAGGTAAAACATTTTATTTTAGTAAAGAGAAAATCATGAAATTGACTAGTTAACTACCTACGGACTTCGGAATCTTTTGCATCGAGTATAAAATCCATTGTTTATATCCACGGACCTCAGTAGCTCCCAACATCGTCACTCCAGGGCTATTTCTACAAAGGTGTAAAATCTTGATTTAATCTTCTCTTAATAATGAATTCTCAATGACCAAATTCAAACGAAAGTACATACTGCGTCTCCTACTAGACTTTAACGTCGCGAGAAGCAAGATAAGGCTCCAGTTTTAACCAAAAACCAAATAGCTCCAATAAATCGGAACATAGATAGACCAGATGTGCCCCAAAGGATGACTCGGAAATACCACGCAGTACGGGTTGTCGAGGTGTTCTGCCATGATTAGCTGTGCGATTTCCCTCATCTTTTATGTCTACTCACTGTCAAGCAAAGCTGTTGAATACCAGTATTGTTGATAAACAGAACCAAGAGCCCATTACTGAAAGTCCAAAGCAGTACCAAATTTGTGCGAAACGACTTATACGAGTCATCCAAGTTGATTTCTTCTTTCTTTTCAGGCTCAGTGCATGAAGCGAGAGCTCGCTTGACTGTGAGCTCGAACTGAGTATCGATGTCTGCCTGTGGTTTGTCTGGCTCTTCCACAAAGACTGCTTGGGCTTCTTCTGACTTTGTCTGTGCTGAAGGGAGAGGCTCAGCTTTATCAGAACCCTTGGTTCCCCATGACACATCATGCCAGTTGCAGAATGCATATGTCATCAGTATGTTTATTGACGATGGCATACCGAGGAAGTATGCCCAAGAGGAGGTAAACATATGCCATGGGTCCATGAACAGGAAGCTAGCGATGAAGTAGATCCCGTAAGTGCAGACAAGTGCGATCAAAACGATTCCACCGGTCGATGAAATAAAAGAGCTTATGAAGCCTCCAACACCATCGTGGACATTGAACTCCAAATTCTTACCGGTAAGTGCTTGAGCGACGAGATAGAATGATAGAGCCAGAACATAGGCCTGGACAAGTGAAAAATAGATCAATGAAAGCGTGTAAGGAATAATTGACCTTGAATTACATATTAGGTCTGATTTTGGACTTTGTAATTTCGGTAACTTACCCCTTCGGCCGGTTGCCAAGTGCCAGGATAAACTGAAGCATGAGAAATGCCAAGTATCCAATTTTGAGGACATTGTTCAAAGAAGGCGTGACATCACTTGAAAATGGCCAGCTTGTGAACTTGTTAACTGGGCTTGGTGTCCCAACAATATCCATTATGACTGAGCTAGTCAACCAGTAGGACGCTATGATCAAATCAGCAAAGTTTGTAGGTTCATCAGGTAGATTTTGCAATACCAAGAGAGAACCAAGTCATGACCAGCTGGCATATATTGTAAACCAGCTGGATATGGAAGGCAAGGAGTCGAAAATAGTTATGCCCACTCTTGTATATTCGGTTGAAGTGCAATGTTGCATATAGACTGGCTGCGAAAGACCCATTCAGCCAGCGTCGTCGTTGACTCAAGAACTCCGCTGGACCTTCAGGGACATCGGTCTCTCCTTTTGATGACCTCACATATGTTAAATGCCACTGACATCCTGCTTTCGCAACCAGCTCGAAGCAGAGAATTCTGTCTTCGGCCAAGAACATGTTTTTCTTGAATATACTCATACCTTCAATCCCTTTTTTACCAAGTCTTGCAGAAAGCGTGTGGTCTCCGTGAAAATATTGTTCAAGAGGACGACCGACTATTGCGCGGTACCGATAGGCTGAGAATGCTCCTGGGAGGACACTCACATAGCCGAAGCTACTTTCAAGAGGTTTGTCGAGGATATTGGAAATTTTATATTCGAAATTTTGGGCAGCGACTAGCGGATTCAGTACTTTTTTCCAGCGGTGGCCAAGTAGAGCATGGATCTCTCCACATGCTCCGCCAAGGTGTTTATCATTATAGAATGCCTCCCAAAGTGTTAACAGAGACTTATTCCCTGGTTTCGTGCCTGCATCAATTAAAATGCATACTTCAGGGTTCAAAATGCGACCGAATGCATTAAACAGCCACCGGTGAGAATTGATCTTCTTGCTGTTTTTTTGCTTGAGACAGAAAATCATCTGAACAGGGGGCAGGTTGGTCGACTCAACACCTTGGGGCCGAACCAGTTGCTGATTAGGAGTAACTGACAACTGTGTGGTATACTCAAACTGCTATAGTCAGTAATAGACGTCGGGTTTGTTACAGAATCACTCACAATATGGGCTACTGTCTCTCTGCCATCCACGTCGTGCTTCATGACTCCGTCTTGATAGATCCCGATCGTTGCTAGAATGTCGAGCGTATTTTTGTCACAGGGTTTCAACCCATCGAAGACCAGACAAACAACAATCTTTTGCCATGCCGGGCCTCCCTTGTTCCAAAATTCCGTCTTTTTTAAATTGACTATATCGCGAATGTTTTGCATTACTCCGTGCAAGGTCCTTGCAGTGAGGATTTTATCTTCGTTGTAGTAGGTGATGGCGATCAGCATCTCGGTGTGTCGGTTATACATGGAAGTGCGAAGGTTGTAGCCATGATTCAAAGTGAACTCATCAGGGTCACATGTAGCAGCCGTATCTATTCAAGAATCAGTAGTTATAGTAGAATTATGGTTCTAGCTTCTTACATCTCATATGGGTGAACTCCTCAGATGGGCTTCCGTCCAAACCTCGGTATTTTGCCTCAACGGCGTTCTGGATCGCACTGGGCACTGGGTAGTCCACACTCAAGACCGTTCCTTTTACAAGCTTGATTCGACGTGTAGGATATCTCCGCAGAGTTCCTGTGTTGTATGTTTGACGCTGTGCCCAACGCCTCGAGCTTATCGAGTCAGTATCGATATTGAGAAGCTCAGATGAAATGGAATTTCCATCTCGGAAGTAGCTTGGTAAGCTACGGCGATATGGTGAGGGCCTCTGCTGATGTATTGAAGTAGATTCACTTTGGCCAGTTAACTGATCGTATGGAAGGAGAGATTGTCTGGTTGGGTCCTGTTCATCGTAAGAATGATCGTTCTAGTTATAACAATTTAGTAAATATCCATGATGAAATTTGCAAATTGATTTAAAAGTGGAATACTAACGTTAGATGTTTGAAAGCTGTCTGAAGAGTAGTAATTTACAGGAGGCGAGTGGCGAGGCGAGGGAGCTGAGTCCAATTGTTTATCCATCTTGATGACTATCTTCAGATAGACAGCCTTGGAATAACAGAAAGAAATCAACTTGAAGTGAGGGGAAATTTAAGAAAATTATCTTCTGGTAAAATTGAGACAATCGGTGATAACCAGGCTATTTAGTGATGCGGGACTGAGTTCATGTTGCACGAGTGAGGTGGTCAGCTTTGATATTGGATATAGATCAGTGCCTAATGCTGATACCCCTTAAACCTTGAAATATGTATCAAGAACTGGTATAAAAGATTGACGAAAACGGTGATATTGGAGATGAATGATACTGTCAAGAATTTTAAATTAACAGCTTCGATTTAAAAGCTGTCTGATGCGTTTGTCGAGTTGAAACTAGATACATGACAAAATCCTTCCGTCTAGTCAAGAGGGATTACAGACTGAATCGCAGGTATAAATATTAAAGCTGGCTACTACCTAGCCAAGGAATAGAAAGTCAATTGTCTTCGAACTGCAACCTTGGAAACTCAACATTCAATGACCTCCAGCTTCAACATGCGTCTTCAGATCTTCATTGAATTTCTGAAACCTCTGTTTCATCTTGTTACAATCAGAGCATTTTTCCAATAGAGACGACAAAATTCACCAAACTCTTCAGTCTGCACAAATAGTGTCATTTCTGTCGAGCTTTCGAAGGGAAGAAATTGAAACCTGTGTGTGCCGTGAAAAATCCAATTTCTTCCAAGCGTTCCATACCATGCAAACTCTGCAGCAAAATTAGCATCAACTGAGGCATTGAACAATGCACCCTTGACTGTGATTAACAGTTTGTCGCCCGGCTCCACTTGGCTTCCTACGTCCTTGCTTTTGAGAACGGTAGTACGCAAAAATGCGGTATGGTAGGTTGATATGGTGGCAAAATTGAGGAACTGATGAGCTAGTAGTGATTTTCTATAAGCAGTTTCTGAACGAAGAAAGAAAATACAATTTCTCTAACCCTAGAGGGTGATGCATTGATGATAAATTTCGTGTCGATCATGATGATTATATGACTTATTCGAGGATAATTCGAGTAATTGCTGCGATGTGAATCTGTTTCCGTATTGGATTTAACTCATTATACAGTCTCCAAGAAGGAAAGAAAAAAGCTACTGTTGAACCTTGACTGGCCTTTGAGGCTTTTCGCTATGACTTCAGCAGGTTCTCGGCTTGTTCTCGCCATCCTTATTTTCGATTGGACGACCACAGTTAATAGACCATACTAAGGCACGGGGAGGACCATTTGTAAAACTTCTCACCATTTGGTAATAGAATCTCAAATATCTTCGATTTCTAAATCCGGACCAGGGCCATTCATATCTACGCTATCCCAATTAGGCAAGTTCCTCGGCTCGGCTTCTTCCCCGCAAACTTCATGATAGATAATTGATAAAGAGCTTGACTTCAAGAATCCGCTTCTGTTGCATGCACCAGGCTTCCAGATAATGCCAGATCCAACTCAACAGTCTGCTCCCGCAGCCGCATTCATCGGCTGGGTCGCATATGATGCAACCAGTCCACTGACATTCACAACTTTCGAGCCAAAACCCTTCAAAGAAACTGACATCGAAATTCGAGTGACGCACTGCGGCATCTGTGGAACAGATGTACACACGCTACGCTCAGGCTGGGGTCCAACCGACTACCCATGTGTAGTTGGTCACGAGATCATCGGAATAGTTGAGCGAGTCGGAGCATCCGTCCCGTCATTGCCATCATCTCCAGAATCCCGCCTGATCAAGATCGGTGATCGCGTCGGTATTGGCGCCCAAAGCATGTCTTGTCTAAAACCTGACTGTGGGGCATGTGCAGATGGCCAAGAGAGCTATTGCCCTCGTATGACTGGCACATATAACGCCCGATACCCTGACAAGAGCAAGTCATACGGCGGTTTTGCCACTCGATGGCGTGGACCCGCGCATTTCGTCTTCAAAATCCCTGATGAGCTTCCATCTGCTGAGGCTGCTCCACTTCTGTGTGGAGGCGTGACTGTGTTTGCGCCACTGCGTAAACATGGTGCTGGACCTGGTAAGACTGTGGGTGTGGTTGGCATCGGTGGACTTGGGCACTTAGGAATCTTGTTTGCGAGATCTTTAGGTGCAGAACGTGTTGTAGCAATCTCTCGCTCATCTAGGAAACGTACCGATGCATTAAAAGGACTAGGTGCACACCTGTTTATCGCCACGGACGAGGAGAAAGGCTGGGCAAAGACTCACTCACGGTCGCTTGATATCATTCTGTCTACTGTGTCGGCACCAGATATGCCGTTAACAGACTATCTAAGATTACTCAAGCGGAATGGAACATTCATTCAGGTTGGGGCACCAGAGGACCCATTGCCGCCATTGAGGGCATGGTCACTCATCCAGAAGAGCGTGAAAGTAACAGGCTCAAATATTGGCTCACCGAAGGAAATTCGACAGATGCTGCAGCTGGCTGCAGAGAAGAGGGTGCTACCGTGGATTGAAAAGCGGCCAATGGCTGATGTTCATGCTGCCCTTGCAGATATGCATGATGGAAAGGCTCGCTATCGCTATGTGCTGCAGAATGGAGAACAAGCTAAGCTATAGACTCGAATATTGCAGTCAGATAAAGATGTGAATGAATTCAGAAAACTTAAATACAAGGCCAGTGGATTTACTCAAAATCTAATGATCGCGATTGTATGATTCAAACTTACTCCGCATCTTTAGGTCCATAGTGGAGTACATATAATGAGGCTGAAGAACTTAAGAGTTTACACTAACCCGAATAAGGAAAAGCTTCATGCGCGAGTTCCTTGAATGTTAAATTGAGGACCAAGTTTCTCTTTTGCATCGTGTTCAATCCCATATAATTGACCGATGCGATAGCAAATATGGAAGAAACAGAGAGAAATCGCTGGCTTTCCCCTATCAAAACTAAATATAGTTGTACTAGTAATTGCCGAGGTCCAAGTTTAAAGAGCTTTTACCGATTGATACTTCTCAGATTCATTGGAGTTTTCAGCACTCATTACAATGTTCTATGGCTTTCAAAGTCATTTTTCTATTTGACCTGACTCATCACTCATGTCAGTCTTGCATATTTCCACCATACCGCACAAATCAACTAGTGTCAGTGGTTTTCTGTATTTTTTTTTTCGGTTGACAACCCTCACTAATGACGAGATAATATCCGTGGTATATGTTGATCTAACTCATCACAAATAGTTGGTGTTCATGATCATGATATCCAAGGTTTTGTTTCCGGACCAGGAGGTGTCATGGTCAACCCATAATGTTCAATTGCTCGGCAGTAGTGAGCAAGATTCCATCATAAAAGTTCGGCATGCTCTAAGTAGTTCTCTCCAAGAATCTCACACATGACCCAATGCACTAGAGGTCTCCACTGGTCATCCAATATCGCCCATACAGATTTTGCCACACGTATACACTGCTCCTCAAAGCACCATCGGTGTTTCAGAAGCTGCAGAAGTACGCCATAATGTGCAAGTATGACTAGTGCCAATGGCTCCCGGTCCTGAAGTAACTCCAAGTACCGTTGTGGTAATGTGATAGCCCACTTTCCCGCCACCGCACTCGCATTCATGCCCCCGTATACCCAGCTTAACATATCTTCCATGTCGTTAATAGTGGCAGTGTAGACCTCTACCTCATGGCTTGAGTCCCGTACCGCACAACGTTCATTAGCATCCCGCAGTCGCTTGAGGTTTGTAGAGGCGGGTTCAAGGAGTGGTACACGGACCTCGTCAATTTGAAATATCGGCGCGAAGGAATTGTCACCTAGGAAGCTCGCTGGTGATCGGATCACCTGCTGGATACCACGTGTTAATACAAGGACTTGATGGAAGTCATCAACGCAGGTCCATGGGTCTTGCGTATCCGGCGTGTGGGGGAAACCGAACGTGTATACAACGACGATACTGGCAAATGCAAACATTGCCTTTGCATTCTTCTCTTGAATATCACCCAGAAGTCCACGGAATAATGCTAAGGCCTGGTTTTGATGGGCCACGGCACGATTGAGGTAAACCGTACGTTTTGATGTGTCAGGTCCTGTACGGGCTAGGTGTAGTGCAGACAGTGCCAGGATTCCATGCATTAAGAATGGGTATGAGAGAGCTTCTTCGGGTACAGCATTCCTCCAGACTGAATCAGTACGCTCATTACGAGATAGTGTGTAGAAGGTCGAGTTGCACCATTGCATCATCAGCTCCAAGTCGTGGAGATTCAGAGCAAGGGCCGGTAGGGAAGCGGACGAATAATTGTTGCCAAGCCTGTTGAAAAGGCCTAGCGAATCAGTAGTTGCAGGAAATCCTAGTACAGGATCTAGCTGTTGACAGCTATCTGACCCAGATGTGCGGGTTGACTGAGGAGCCCCAGGTTCTTCATTGGCCCAAAGAAGGGAACTAGAAGAGCCATACTCACAATCTGAATGTCGTTTCGCGCAATTGGAGCATACTGGCCGGGCCTCATCACACTATAGGCGGATCAGCGAAAACTCAGAAGTAAACTTGAAACAACCCTGGAATTTTAAATAAGGAAAAAGAGAAATGAAACCGAATAAAAATAAAAATAAAGCAATTATAAACGGGGAGACAGGCTTGGCAATTATACTAGTGTCGCACATACCTTCACTCTTCGCCGCTTACATTCAAGGCAGCCATGGCGAGATTTTCTGTGTGGTCGTCGAAGCGCCATGATCATGCAAGCGGTCTCGTCCTCATGATACTTGGACCCTCTGAAGCTTTCTGGATTTTGAGGGGGACAAAGTTCAGAAACAAAGTCTCGAAAAGGCACGAAATAAGCATCATTTGTATGTTTGAAGATTCGATGGAAAAAACCCCCAGGATTTAATAGGCAGCAGGATTCTTCCAACTATTTAAGTACACTGTCAACTACTTAAGACCATATGAAGCCCAAACCCTGTCGATCAAGCGAAGGCTTGTCCAACCTGAAACAATGTCTCGCTTTGCTTTAATCGTAATTTCCTTTCTAAGGTTGCACTGCCTCATTCTGGAGCATGGTGGGGTTGGGAAAATTAACGTTAATCGGTAGAATCCTCTGAGACATGAAATTACACTATTATTGACATATAACGGAAAACAGTATATAAATATGTAACAGTACCTGACAATGGTGGAGTCATTTACAGCTAGAGCAGTGGATTTTTCTGCTTGCTCAATAGCGAGAAAATGCCCATGTCTAGTTCAATCTCCGACTACTCACGCTCCTACACCTGAAGCTCCTGCACCTGCGCCACCTGCGGCAGCGCTTGAGTTTCTCGCACGTCGACGTTTCTCATGTAGGGCAAGGAAAGTCATGAGGGCCAAGAGTGAAAATTGCGGTCCATACTCGACGTAAATATCCAACTGACCGTCTGTACTAGAAAAACGACTACCAGAGGAAAATAGCGCAACAATCTGCTGTGTGTTTTCATCCACTAGCTTGTGGTTATGATGGCCAGATCCCTGAGATGTTCCTTTCCAGGTAAATGTCCGGGGCTTCTGGTCGCTCAGATTTGTTCGGAAAGAGTAGCGCTTCGGAAGTAATCCCTCCCGATTCAGCTCTATCTTATGGGAGTGGCTGGGATCTCCGAGACCAATCTCTGTGTCTGATGAAAAGTGATGGTATCGACAACTGCCAATGATAGGTGAGGTTGTATCCGGACCAGCGTGAAATGTCAGGTCTGGTTTGCCCGGTGTTATTTTGGAGTTATCAACATGATATGAGTGATAATTGCCGACAGAGACATCGTAGTTATTATGCCAGCGGCTGTGGGTGATAACGTATTGCATCTTTAGAGGTTTCCAAAATTTAGGTAGATTAGTAGTAATATACGGAGTGGTCAGCTCTTTTATAATTTTATCAGACAATAACGCGGGATAAGCGCATACTCTGACATTAATTAAAAAAATAAGCCACACTACTGCTCGGCGTTGGATTTGGTCCCATAAGAGCTGTATCAGTACGACTGGTCAGCCTTACATCTAATCACGTGAATTGGATATGTCATATCACGTGATGAAATAGTAGCTTGAGTCACATGATTTAATATTTTGCCAGTCGCGTCGACAAGAACAGAAGCAGCAAAAACATTCAGTGACTTGATGAGAGATCTCACCTGAATTCTTTCTCCCTATCAGGACCCACATAAGTTCTTCTGCACTATCATCATCTCTGCTACCCGAGTCTCCTACCCGCTGCAGCTCTTGCAGCCCAAGACTTGCATTGTCTACCGCAATACTCTTGATCCGTTTGAGATCAAACACAGCCACTCAGCATGTCATTCAAGGTCCCAGACTCGGATCCACTTACCCCAGAGAAGTCCAAGTCTCAAAGCCTATGGAGTAACATCTCCACCACCCCAATCGGCCCTCCTCCCTCGTCCGCGAACTCGTTTACACCTCGAGACCGTCTCCAGTCCAATATCTTCGATAAGTCTCAGTTCGGAGAATCGAGGAATGGGCATGGCGATTCTCTCTTCACCAAGTCTGGTGGTTTCAACACTAATGACAGTATCTTCGGTTCATCCTTTGGTTCGACCGACTTCTCAATGCCCCAAAAGACGCAGGCGCCTCCTACGAATTTGCCAGCGCCGTCGCTTTTTGGAGGCCTCCACAATAAAAATCTAGCAGATGCACCGTCCAAAAGCTTTGGCGATTCTAACGGGTTCAATTTATCTGCGATGACTGACTACCGGGGTCAGTATCAGGACATGGAACAGGAATTGGAACCCGAGGAAGAAGAAGAAGTAATGGAGGACATCGAAGAAGATCAGGAAGAAGATGAGGAAGGTGATCTAAACCTAGGGCCCCGCGCGCCATCCAATCCTATCTTCCTTGACTCTACCTTTGGAAACCTGCCTAAACCTCAACCGTCCATTCCGGCACAGCGCAAGGCTATCTATTCGAACCCCACTGACGCCAAACGCCCAAAAATTAATGAGCTTTGGGCTCAGCAATCCCCCTTCCACAAAACGAAACTACCACCCAAGAAGACGTCAGCAATGCCCGCAATTTTGCACACCCTCGCTTCAAGAAGTACAAGCATCGCACATGTTGCAGAGCCAGCCGATATGATTATCGATACGGAGACTATGCTTACTACCATGTTTGAGAGACTATCGGCGGATGGTGATATGTACGATCCCGATTTCAGCCCTGCCGTAGCGTACGCTTCCTACAAGTTGTCTACCACATGGTATGCTTGCGCTACCCGCAGCGGGATTTCCAAGCCTGCTAGCAAGGGATCTGTAATCGGTCCAGGAGATCAAGCCCCAAGTCTAGTGAAGGCTAATTTCCTCGCTTCGTTGCTTCTTTCAATCCACCACCCTTCTCGCGCCTCTAATGAGATTGCGTCCAACTCAAATCCCGTGCCCAGCAATCTGATCAAGGCCATAGATCGAGCCAGGTATCCCACTCCAGTACCCCAGGTGCTGCTGGATTGGATCAACACAAATCATGCGACCCAGACAAATGACTTGCAATCGTTGAAATACATGGAGCCAAACCCCACTGCGTCCCCAAACTTCTGGGACATCATTCTCGCGGCTGTTCTGCGTGGAGAGTTTTCTGAAGTTGCTGGAATTCTTCGTGCCGCTGATTTCAACTATGCTCGATCGGCCCTTGAAGATGGTCTGTCCCAGCCTGGATATCGCGGTATTCAACTGCAAAACATACAGAGCTGTGTGAACAAAGCTCTACAGATTCTTGACTCTTGCCCTGGGTTCCGAGAGGATGACTGGGATATTACCGGCCCTGACTGGGACATTTACCGCAGACGGGTTCAAAGTGCGGTGAACGATCTCGAGCATCTTGCCGAGGGAGAAGACAAGGACCAAACAAATGTACCCGTGCAGGACAATCGCTTCCCGGCTGTGAAATTTGGTGGACTGCCCACCTTTGCCCAGAATGCGACGACGTCCTTCACTCAGAGCGCCCGCATGGCAGAGAGCCGAGTGCCATGGACAATTTATCAACATATTAGGTCCCTTTACCGGATTATCCTTGGTCACACTCCTACTATTAAAGCCGTCGCTCAGGATTGGGTGGAGGCCACCATCGGTATAACTGCTTGGTGGGACGGAGAGGATGACGATGGTGTTCCCGATCTCGATCTTCGTGCATCGGCCAGTAACTTGAATCACCAGTACGGCACCCGGTGGAGACGATTTGTGGACGACAACCCGCGGGATGCCTATCTTCACCGCTTGGAGTTGGCGTTTAGTCATGTTGTTAATGAGCCATCGGATAAGGCTTGTTTCCGAGTGAACACCATGAACAGCCTGGAAGTTGGTCTCGCATCAGTCTTCGAGGGTAATGTACAGGGCGTCTTTGAGCTACTTCAGTCATGGTCTCTTTGTATCGCGGCAGCTACCGCTGAAATCGCTAGAGTTGGACGCTGGTTTCACTCGAAGAGTGGATCTGCTCAACCGATGCCTGGCCTGAGTGAGAAGGACCTAATGGTTCTCTCATACGGCCAAGAGACCCAGCCCTCCCTCAAAGATGTCACACCCGATGAGATCTTATGCAATTATGCCTTTGGACTCTATTCACGAGGGAATCTTGAAATTTCAAACGGCCATCGCGAAGGTTGGGAGATGGCATTACAATTGCTCAGTAGACTCGAAAATCGCCAATTGATGAAGACTGCTGTGGCAAGAATTGTTGAACGATTCCCGCTCAATGATGTTCACCATGTTGACCGTCTTGTCATTTTGTGCTCAGAAATCGGCTTGGAGGATGAGGGCAGAAGAATCTCGGAAAAACTCGGTGACGAGACGGTTGCCAATACTGATAACTATGGTCTCGCACTGGTGTGCTTCGCCCGCTCACATAATGCAGCAAAGGTCAAATCCGTCGTGGATCTGTTGATTTCTTACAGTCTCGTCCACTCGCGTGCTTTCCCCGCAGAAGACAAATTAGATACTCAGCTTCTTGCCCTGATCAAGGATCCCAGGGTCTGTCTGGAAACAATTGCGAAAGTTGACGAGGATGCTGCTCGTATCGTTCAGCTTTATTTCAGTGGATATGCCACTCTGCGTAGATTCTATGAGATCCGCGACGAAGCCGTGGACTTGAAGGAGGGCGAGCAACCGCGTTTCAAGCCTCTAGCTCGAAAGCGTGCGGCTGCTAAGACCCTCATGGCCGTCATCAGTAGCGCTGCCGACAATATATACGGAGGACTTTTCGATCCGGATCGTGACTCGGCCGTGCAGGTTGATGGATTGATGGCACTATTGGGAGAAGCTATGGTATTCCTCAAAGGTAAGATATTCCGGTCACCATTCATTATCAATTACTGACCGAGCAAACAGGGCCCACTCCGGTCCTATCTGTTTCTCAACAATTCACCATCCTTTCTGCAGTCGAGGATCTGGAGACGGTCACTCCGCGCGTTTTTTCCCAATGTGAAGAATGCTTCCATTCAACAATTTTATCATTCCGAAACACGGCAGAGGGAATTGCGCCGGCGTCTCCCCGAGCTTTACTGAAGAAGTCCGTGGCAAACTTCTCGGCATCTACCTTTTCACTATTCAATCCAAATCAGGGATCAGGCCCGACATCCGTCAGCAGCTCTGGAGTCCTCGTGCCTCGACCGGGTGACAAGAGTACGGACCGAGCTCGTGGATGGGACTGGCGAGCTGACCTTGGGGAGAAAGTCACGGGCAGAGAGCTTCTCCAGATGTTGCGTCTTGGAATAGCCAGTGGATTGAGCTTTGGCGCGTTGGGATCTGTTGATCGCAGCTGAAAATAAGGCCAAGAGGAAACATGCATGTATGACTAGTCGGAGTTTCGAGATCTTTGGGATAACCGGGTATGGGGATAATATTTCATGCTAACTTATTCTGTCTGCCTTACCTTGCTAGATTTAGATCTAGAAAAGTTGCATATTAGTCCAGGGGATAGTCCAGCTGAAGATCAGGTTCTAACGAGTGAAACTAAGCAGGCTTATACCTAGTTGCGCTTAGCTTTCAAGCGTCAGCAGCTGAATATGGGGGCCTAATAATGACCCACAGTGGATCATATCCGGATAAGCTTTTAAGGAAAATACTTACGTCTCTATTTTGTAACTAAATGGAAGCTTGGAAATTAAAACAAGCTCGAAAGTACGGATTTGTAACCGTTCTGTAGATCGCCAAGTCAACAAAATGGAATTACATAGAAGAAAAATACGAAATTTGGCCGTAGAAATACCCTAATCCCGTTAGACCAGCTAAACCAGTTCAGCGACTTACATCCCGATTCCCCGCTGGCCTTAACTTCGATCATTTACATGCCACATAACTACTATAGAACGGAGTTTACCGTGCCACATCACATCATTCCAATCATTTCATCATTGAGGCTGAATATTGAATCTTGATACTCGATACGTGATACGTTGGAGGCCTGTTTTATATTGTTTTGACTCGCGTCTACAGACACCTGTGCGATATGGCACGAATTATGCAAGGCGAGAAACAACATGTCATAGATTCATAGAAATCGACTCGATAAGTGAGTCAAGTTGACCATTCAGCTCGTATTCAATAATTTTAGCCCTCTGCAATCTTCGGTCATTTCAGGATCCTCGGTCTTTGCCAGTGCCTGGGGCCCCAGGCTCCCCATAGGGCTGGCCGTTACGCCTCACAACTTTTTGGGATCAGCGCAGAATGTACTAACTAAAAATACCACTTTCAAAATATTAAAAAGATTTACCAAGTGGAACCTTCATAGCTTTTTCCGAATCCACTAAATTTTTCTTAGTTCTGGGTCTCGGGTTTACTACTGAATGGATTCATTTAGTACCAAGTGGATCCTGGTGTTTCTGTATATATAACCCTCTAGAACTGATTCTCCCAAAAGCTATTAAGCTTCTTCTTCTTCTGCTTCTTCTTCTTATTGTTTTTCTTCTTTATCCCAGACTCATTTTGGCAAGACAACCTCCTTTCATTCTTGACGGTGCTTGCATTTGCATTGTTCTCTCATACCTCACTCCGGGCTGGTCTCTACTCACTTCGTTTTCTCTCTCAATTCTTTGTTTACATTTATCTCAAAGGGTCTTCAGTTTTGTCTTGTATAAAGACCTTGACTCTACTTTCATATTGCATCGACTGTCGACTTCATTTTACTTCTATAACTAAAACTACGTTCTATACCCACAACAACCGGAAGCTTTCAACTCAACACAATGTGCTTCAAGGTTGTCGAGCGCTTCTCCGTTTGCAAATGTGTCTACTTTGAGCACTCGGTAGACCCATGCTCTGCCTACGGTCAACGCGGCCACGCCGTCCAAGAAAAGACCGTGTTGGTTGGCTATGCCTGCTCAATACATTCAACGCGGGCTACATCCTCTTATTCCTCCTCATCAGTAACTGGTGGTCGGTCTGACTCGGGATATTTCAGCTCGAAGGGCTCCTATCGTTAGATGAAGTGACTGGTTCAGTCTACCCTGGTGGTAGTGAATTAGTCACGCATTCTAGATCTTAACATCTTCCATACGACTATGAGGGACTACAACATTGAAACGATTCAATACGCGATACACATGATGAAGAGATGATTATGATATCAACGGGCATTTTCCAGGGCTATGGAGTTATCACTCTCCTATCGACCCTGAGTCCCAAAGTCAGAATAGCGCTTGTTGTTGGTCTGACTTGGTCTACACTACGAACACTCGACTCGGTACCTTTTTATTGGGGGATGAATCTTATTTTTTACAGAGATACACATGGAGAGGATTTTGCATGGTATTTCTATTCGGTTTTTTCGGGACTTATACTGCAAGCTTTGAGAGCTTTTTTCGTTTCTTACTGAGGACTGGCTCCGACTGATTTTCGTTCAACTTTGTACACTAGTTTCAGCACCTAGGTACCTATTCAACGCAAGTCTATCCTTCATGGGGCAGCAAATGGATGCCGTTACTTCTACTTGCCTAGGTATATCAGTAGCTACTAACACCCGTGGACAATATATTCGACAGAATCTGATACCTCTTGTTAGGTAGGTTAATACCTTTATATAGCGTTTAAGGGGTCAACATAGTCCGAGTATGGCATAATTCTCATGTACTCAAACAGCATATCATCCGTTTTGAGCTAAAAAAAAGCTCAGCTCATAATCTTGATCAAGTATAGCAGCCAGTTTCTCGTGAAGGCCTTGGTGCTGGTACGGACAGCCAAGCGCTCTACATCAATTTATCACGATCAGGATAAGGGGTTCCTTCTGGAGTAAGAGAGATACATTGGAGAAGTGCATTGTGCTCTAGTCGGATCTGATTACGGGAGGTTGAGGCAGACTGAAAGATAGATCGGGCTCGTCTAGTACTGACTTGCTGACCGAAAGGATGTCAGAACATCCATGCAAGTCAGCCAAGAATAGCTTGCTTTGTAGACTTCCATTATTCAACCTTGAAACAATCGATCGAGATGATCATCAATTTTTTACTGTATAAATTCGGAATCTTCTTAACTAGTTGTTGATTTGAAATGCATGGATGAGGATCTGATAGCTTGAATTTGAAAGGTTGGTGGTGAAGTTGGTGAAGCTCAAAAATATTTCTAAAACCGCAACAAAAAAGGACTATAACAACTCTTTTTGCTTTTTAGAATGAAATTTGGAATTCTAGCCCTGTCAATGCTAAAGACAAAATGGTGATAAAGTTTCAACACCAAATCTTTGAAAGTGGAGATCAGGGGATATATACGCCGGAGTTGCGTAAGCTTCTCGAGGTTCCACGGTCAATTCACCGGGGAAAATGGTGGTTATGCGCATTAGAATGGCCTTAATTCCATGTACTGATCCTCATATTAGTTAAAAAACGTTGTCTTCGTCCATTTTGTGCTTATTTCCATGGGTATTTTAAAAGAGAAAAAGCAAACCAAAGCAAACCAAAGCAAACCAAACCCATATCCATATCCAAATCCATACCCATATCTAACTCAAAATCCAGCCCATCTGCCACCGGGTAGTGATCAATTACCTGCCTGTGGTTCTTCTACATTCCTCGCAATACCACGTACCCACTGGTTCGCGTGTCAAACCTACGCACTTCCAGTGGAACCATTCATATGGACAACTGTTGTTGTCACAAGCCACCATGTCACCATGGCTGACGGTGCGACAGGTGCAATAGACCTTGGTATCCTCATTGCCCTCGTCTTCCTCCTCGTCATCATCAATATCATCCTCGCCGCCACCAGTATCGCTCTTATCAGAATCGGACGTATCTGCACTGCTGAGCATCGAGTCATCATCTTCATCTCCCTCGCCATTCTTGTGCAATTTGATGCGACCAGAAGAGGAAGAGCCCTTTTTATGAGACGAAGAGACCTTGATCTTCTTCACCTGCTGGTGCGGCGCGACCTTTTTGGTCAGTGCCTTTTTGATAATTCCGTTTGATCGTGAGTCGACGCTTCCAGCGCGGGTTGCTCCCGGCGTTCCAGGCTTCGGTGTTCCGGGGCCCATGGATGACTGGCGCAGATTCGAGGATGCGACGGGAAGTGAACCGAGGGATGGATTCAGGCGGCGGCGCTTGCTGTCCACTGCACCGGCTGAAGACTCACGTTGGCGCTGCATTAATGGGACGCCACTATATCCGACTGGGGTAGAGGGCGCAGAGCTGCGCGCATTGGTTTGCGCCATTAGCGCCGCCGCACTTGCGGTGCGAGGGGTGGCCTGATTTAGCCGTTGAGCGGTAACCAGAGTAGGGTTTTGATTGCCAGATGTCGGGTTCCCTGATGCAGGGTATGCGGGGGACTCGGACGAAGTAGCATCGTTGAAGAAAATGCGCGGTGGGTCGCGGTAGTTCTTCTTGTTATCAAAGAGGGACGGAAGGGGTGGATCATTCGAGAGTTGGCCCTCATTCACAAGATCTCGAATGCGCATATCCAAGCGCTTAATCTGGCGATCAAGCAGGACACAGGCCTTTTCACTGAGCTGGATCTTTTCATTCTGCAACTCATAAGCCCGGTCCATATTCTGGAGTACAGTCTTCGAGTACTGCTCTTCCTTTGGATTCGGTACCAAACTGCCGTTAAGCTTGATGAACTTCTGAATACTGCCGTCCCGAGAATTTATTGTTGCACGACACTCCTGCATAGTCTTATCTTTGGCCTGGATTTCTTCCATCAAGTGGTTGATCTCAGCAGGCAAATTTGCTACATCGTGAACAAACTGCTCCAGAACAGTTGCGCAATCTTCCGCACCGTGTGCCATTGCTCCTAGGGGGTTTTCTGTTTAATTTAATACGATGGATCGCTCTTGAACAGCTCAAGCGGCGTTGTCTCTGAACGCCTATCCAAGGAGGCCAAATATGCTGTTGTGACGACGTTGTAAAGATAGCTGACTCATCCACTTTGGTCACGTGGATTGGATTTGAGAGGCTGAAAGACATCAATGTAGAGGATTTTGTAGCTATTGAAGATTGACCGCTGGTGCAAGATTGAATGTTGACCTTCAGGATTAGGTAACTGTGGATTACAAGTTGAAAGTTGAGGAGGAAGTTAAGAAGGAGGCAAGCGCAACACTCTACTTCTGCTTCTATTTAAATATTTATTTCAACTAAATACTTCGACACTAAAAGTCTAAATGACATAAGCAAACATCGACGGTAACTAAGCAGACCGACTTGGTTAATATTTAGTTAGTTATTTATTTAGCAGTTAATTAACCTTTAATAGATATCAATTCACAAACAAACTCCCTTTCGGAACCTTGAAAAATCATAAATTATAGCATATATGTCAATTTTACTTAGGTATTAATTGATTTGTGCTCTAATCAAGGTAATCACAGGGTATCCATAGATGTATGATACCCGTGGTACATCGCTTAAAACGGTCATAATCTTCATGGCCTACTAAGTTCACTGAGCTGCTTCAGTAGGTAGTGTTACGGGATGAATGCAGGAATTTGTACGCTGTAAAGATCCGATTGGTAAACAAGAAGAATTAACTAAGGGGGGGAAATGGGTCCTGGGGACCGGGTGTTCTTATAGCTCGTTCGGCTCCGCACAGATGCCAGGAGCGCAGTCTCTCCAGAGACTGAGCATTTCATCGGGTATCAACCCGTTACAGGTAGTTCCTACGTCACGGGCAGCCTAAGTCAATTAAGATGATTTCGAATATATATTTCAGGTAGGAGTTTCTGCAATTAGTCAGGCACATGTAGATATCTTATATTTCATGCAGGAACTTACAGCAATTCTCTGATTTAAACTCAGTACCTGCCTGAGCTACCTGAAGATTTAGAACGCTGGAATGTCCCAAAGAACACTGCCTGATGGATCAGGTCACTATTTCTCAAGTGTGTAATGATCACACGACATGATGCTTGACAATGAAAGCTTTCACTATCTAGTTCAAACGTCATTTTTGGTAATTAGCAAGTGCTTCTACACCAGAAACAAAGAGGTGCAAACAATGCAAACCGGTGGCATATCGGTATTTCCCCCGCGATAGCTACAAAAAAAGCAACAGCACCGATCTTACGGCCGTCAATCTACCATCACTTATTTTTTTTTTACCTTTAGGACTCTCTTGTCTCCTTCTGATATATCTTATCAGGTCTGGGCTCCCTGAATTAGCACAATGGGCGCGGAAGTCTCCCCTCAGCTTCCGGAGGGCATCTCTTCCCTCTTGGATACGGATTTGTACAAGTTGACAATGCAATGCGCTATCTTGAAGTACTATCCTGACGTCTGTATGTGAATTATGTCTCAATATTGGATACTATATCGCTAATCAATTGCAGATGTGACCTATGGCTTCACGAATCGGACCCCGAACATGAAGCTGCGACGCGCGGCATACAAATGGCTTCTTCAGCAGATGGACAGTTAGTATTGCTCCTTTTTACTTAGAGGCTTTAGTTACTCAAAGCAATCGCTCATAGAACTTGCAACTCTCCACGTCACCGCCGAAGAACGCGCGTTCCTTAAGAAGAAATGCCCATACCTCAACGATGCCTACATCACCTTCCTTGAAACATTCCAGCTCAAGCCACACGAGCATGTTGAAATCAAATTCACGCCGATTGAGGATAACGGAAGTAACGATGATGAGGGCATTATCGACTACTCTGTTAAGGGACTCTGGCTCGACACGATCTTGTACGAGATTCCGTTGCTGGCTTTGACGAGCCAGGCATACTTCATGTTCAGTGACAAAAACTGGGATTACGATAATCAGGAAGAAAAAGCATTCCAGAAGGGTCGTGAACTTTTAAAGAATGGCTGCATCTTCTCCGAATTTGGCACCCGTCGCCGACGAGACTACCATACCCACGACCTTGTGATGAAGGGGCTGTACCGTGCAGCGGAGGAGGGAAAGAGCCATGACTGGAAGGGTGTGCTGACTGGTACCAGCAATGTGCACTTTGCCATGAAGTATGATGTCAATGCCGTGGGAACAGTGGCACACGAATGGTATATGACTATCGCAGCCATTACAGACGACTATCAGAATGCTAACGAGGTCTCACTGGCAAAATGGCTCGGATGTTTTGGCGATGGAGTAAGTCCACAACAAAGCCTATATTAGAAGTCTTTGAGTTAACTTTCCAAAAGGTTCTCGGCATTGCCCTCACTGATACATTCGGCACACCGGCGTTCTTGGATGCCTTTAGCAAGCCTATCCCGGCAGATGTCAGTGCCACTTCCCATGGCAAGACCTATGCTCAAGTCTACACTGGCGTCCGTCAAGACTCAGGTGACCCAACCAATTTTGTAAAGCTGGTGCGTGACTTTTACGATCGCCAGGGCATCACTGATAAGAAGGTTATTGTGTTCTCCGACTCGCTGGACATTGAGCACTGCCTAGAATACAAGAAAATTGCCGAAGAGGCGAATTTCAATCCTTCTTTCGGTGTAGGAACTTTCTTCACCAGTACGTTTCGTTTCAGCAGTGGATCTGATTTGCAGAGGGTTGGACCAGCTAACACTGTCTATGTAGATGATTTTATCAACATGGCCTCTTCTGAAAAGTCAAAGCCTCTTAATATCGTCATTAAGATCGCTACTGCAAACGGTCGACCGGCTGTCAAGCTTAGCGATAATTTGGGCAAGAATACAGGTGATCAAACCAAGGTTCAAGAGGTTAAGAAGAAGCTGGGTTACACAGAACTACAGTGGGAACAGGGTGATGAGAGTAATCGCTGGACTAAGCAGACATAACTTGACATGCCTAGATCGGTACGACACGGGATACATAGAGATACCTAGATTGAATTCGATTCAATTCCTTATTTACAATTCCGGTTCAGCTATCAGTGACTTGAATGAGAGTATGTAGAGCAGTGAATTGTTTAATTCAACGTTTGCTCGCCAATTTTCGTCATTTTGGTCCTGTCCTGTATAAAAACTTATCAAAACGCTCGTTGAAAATGGATAAAGTACACTGTACACCAAACAAATCAAAAGCCATCATCTCCTGTCTGGAAACCTAGATCCCGATCTAGATCACCAGTGATCGGGCCACTAAATTGGCTTATAGAATTGTGTCTTGGACCTAAACCATTACCTTCATCGTCGCCTATGGCAAATGAAAAGAGATCGTGTTCCTCTTTATGATGGAAATGATGGTCTAGACTCACACTACGATGATGTAGCTCGTCGAATTCAGGTTTGTCCAGGGTTGGTAGTGAGTTGCCCCGGAAAAGGGCTTGTGCCCAGTCTATACTATTTCCCTCATCGGGTTGTGGGGTGATGGCTGGTATTGTTGCAACGGATGCAACGGAGCTGGGTTCTGTGCCGCTGGGAGACGACTCGATGAAGTCGAAGTCGACAGATAGGAAATTGAAGGGGTTGTTTGAATTTAAATTTGTAGATGGCTGAATGGCGAAGCGATCTTCGAATTGATCGTCAAATTCGTGGGAGAAGGGGTTGCTTGAGAGGGTTGTTTGTTCGGAAGGTTCTTTGGGGGTTTCTGTGTTGAACTTGCGTGATGATAGATTATGTTGTTCATGAGCCGAAGCAGCACGGACTTGTGATAAGGGAGTTGTGGCCTCGGTAGATATATATTTGTTTTGTAGATTTCTTGGGGATTGGGTGGAGTTTGCGTCTGCATTGCCTGGTTTCGAATAATCGAGTTGTGTAAGGGGACTGCCAAAGTCATATTGCATGATCTGGAAGAATGTGTTGGAGTTATAATTATTGGATTGGTGTTTTATGGCCGCTTCAAGGTTGGCGAATTCAACGTTGGCGGCTGGGTAGATGTCTTTGAGGCTGTGTAGAACCCTAATACAGCGTTGGAGGTTGTTTATGCTGCTCTCGCGGATAGCCGCATTGTCAGACATGGAATTTGAAAGATGGGCTACCGCGGCAGGTAATATGACAGTGACGCCGGATTGTGGTAAGAATCGCGTGAGTGACAATTGGTTTAGGCTTTGCAAAATTTCTGAAATGCCAGCAGCGGCCTCCTCCATCCTAGTGCGAGCGGTTTTATGGGCTGTCCATGGCCGGTGTAGGGCACTACTTGTAGCGTAGTATAGCATGCGCAGCAAGGCACCATGTAAAATTAATACCCCCTCACCATCGCGAAAATTTCTTTGAGCTCCTGGTACGAACTGAGCGTCTTTTGGCAGTGAAGTCAGCCATTGATCAACTTTCTGTCTGCAGCGCGAAAACTCTGATTCGGAAGCTTGGCGAGGAACCAGTGTGACCGTAGTACAGTCAGTAGCGCCAAATTGTCGCTGCGACGGAGTATATTGGGCAAAGAGGACTCTTCCGATGCATTGGCAGAGCTTGGCTTTTTCGATGAACATGGCTACTAGGCGCTTTTGGTGTGAGAAATCTTCAAGTTGTGGGCAACGGAAGAGAGCAACTGCGGATTTTGAGAATGGCTCAAAGTCAAAGTCATCAAACTTCAGCATCGGGACACTGCTTGTGCCGTCATTTACTTGCATTGGACGACGCATTCCCATGGCGATCAGCCGGTCCCGCGAGTACAGACACCACCAAAGCCGGATGCGTAGCCGTCGATCCCGTGGATCAATACTCTCTATTGCTGAAGGATCCTTGTTTAAGCCAATCGAATGAGCCTGTGTATTGCAAATGCCCATCCAATCCCAGATATCCCGCTGTGGGCTGCCCTCGACGTCGGACCAATATGTCATCAACAGTAGTGTTTGTAGAATAACAATACGGTCTTCTTCGCAGTCAAGAGAGTATAGTAACTAAAAAAGGAGAAATGATAAGTTAAAATGCCTAGGTGATTTCAGATGGTCATTGGAACACTCACTCTTAAACGGGTATAGAAGGCATTTCGTGCACTTTTTCTTGTCGAGAAGCCGGCCGCCTGTAGATATTTGAGGTCGACGAATGCCGTTCCAACAAACATGATAGCCTGAAAGAGCACGATACTCACATTCCCAGCTGAATCATTCTCCGCTACACAGCGTAACAACTCCTGCAAGTTTAACACTGGCATGAAGCTATGTACCCACTGGATGTAAGATCGAAGTAACTCATTCCGCAAACCGGTCTCTGGAATAGAAAGAGCACCTCGAAAGCGAAGGAATTCTAGGTCTTCCGGACATACACGAGTTGGTAGAGGCTTTAGAAATCGGGGCTCCTCATCCAAAATTGCGATTAACGGATCAAAGTCAGGGTCAATCAAGTCCTGCACAGCAGAGACCATATTGGCCAAGGGCATAGATTCATGCACAGGATGGCTCAAATTTTGCCACCCAGGAAGGGCTTTCGTCTCATGCAGCCATGGAGTTTGTGGATCGTACCCTTGAGATAGATGGCGTTTAACAGAACGATTATCGGCCTCCTGTAGCTTGCGCTTTAGAGCCAAATTGCTAGTATTTAAGGGCAAAGACATCGGATAATTATTTAGTTTGCTCTTGCGTTGAGTCAAACCTTGGAAGATGTACGGGCTCCCCGGTGAAGGAGATACGCGCCAAGCCTCGGTCATGCAGACCGAACACCGCCTTTTTTTTGCGGGGTTGTGGGGGCTTCGTTTTTATTGGCTGAGATGAGACTACGTGACTCCTCTGTGGCTTTCTGCTGATGTAATATTGTTAGGGGTCTTATTACGTCTACCCTTTCCCCTACCAGATTACTAAGGTTTTAAGGCACCATCAGGCACCTATTCAATTCTGCCAATATTTCTGCCGGTCGCATCTCAACTTAACTCCCAAATTCCCCTTCAGTCGCATCTACCTAATTTTACACCTGTATTTTGTTTGCTGTATTCAGTGTGTTTTCCATTCTGGTTTGCATAGTTAATTTTATTTATTACGGCATCAGTATACGTGTTTATCTCAACGCGAATGGAGTGTCCAAGTTAACTGATAGTACTCCATGTCAGGATCCTCAGGTCGCCGTCGTGTACGACGGGGTCTGGATTCAGCCTGAGTGGTGTCGTCACCACCACTTAGGGTGCTTTCAATACCCCGTTTTTCGGCCACGCCGGACTGGTTGGGTAGTATTGGGAATGTGTATAATGCGCGTTCGATCTTGGGGGATTCAACTGAAGGGGATTTAACTGAAGGGGATTTAACTGAAGGGGATTTAACTGAAGGGGATTCAATAGAATCTGGCTCTATATAGAGCTCAAATTGGATTTCAGATTCAGAGCTATAATCCATTGAAATGGTATGAATGGTATGAATGGTGTGGGAATGGTAATAGTATTAAGATATGGAGATAATTAAGAAGTAGGGCGGTCAAGCGGTAAGTAAAGCGGTAGGGAAAGTGGAGAAAATCTTCTGGAATAACTATTGATCCGGTAGGGGGGAGTAGACGTAGTGAAAGGGGGAGTAGACGTAATAAGACCCTATTGTTTGTTATATGCCCGAGACTTAACTACCTTCATTCACAAATCATAGCCATTTTACTAGTCTACACGCTTGGGCCTCATGTAATCTGAAACTGAAGTTCGGCTATGGCCACATTGCGTAATTATAGCTCATATCTTTGCTATCCCAATCTGATCTCTGACATCAGCAAAAAGCGACAAGAGACTTGATGTACACATCTACCTGAGTACTACAAATAAAACCCTACCTATTTAGTACGTAGTTTCTAGCCAGAATTCACCTAGAGGCCTTATAATTCTGTGGGTCCACGGGTTTATAATCACCATATGTAGTTAGTTACCTAGATAGGTACTATAAGCAAATGTGAACTTCAAAGGTTTAAGCGGGTGTCATGTTTAGCAACTATTAATAATAATACATTTGATACTTCTGAGGCAGCTTTTTGTTCATAGCAACTCAGTTCTCGATCCTCTCCTCGGCATGTTGCAGTTTTTCTTCCACCTCATCTGCAAATTTGATTCGATCTTGTAGTCTTGTGGAAAGCTCGCGCCACACATCGACCGCGAAATCACCCCCTTCAGCCATAAGGTTTTCCATAGATTCTTTGTCCAGCTTGGCGAAATTGATAGAGACAAATCGTGACAACATTTCGCGGGCTGGGTTCTCTATGAAGCCGGGTGTCGTGGAATATATGATATGGATTGCATCTCTTAGATACGAAGTAAATTCTGTTTTCTTCTGCTGTAAGGTTGTGAGAGCCTTCTCAAGGCGCTTTAAAGAAAAGACCTCCAGTTCGGAAAGAACATATCTATGCGCAAAGGAGTAGACCTTCGCATGAACGGGGACTTCAATAGCCGTATGATTGAGTCGCTCGGTAGGATCTGATTGATACGTAATTCTCATTAGATAACCTTACGATGCTCATATTCAGGTATTCTTGCCTGATTTTTTGATCAATGCGGCATTATTCTCAAAGCCTGGTCCCAATTGTGGACTGGAAGTGGCAGAGTGAACCGTCTGATAGTCTCGCGAGTATAAAAAGCTCAAAACGCATTCCACGGTCTGCTCCTCAAAGTCGGTCCAATCAAACTCCCCAGTGCCTGTGTCCTTCCAGTGCCCATTTATTTGGGCGTACAAGGCCGATTTAGGGAATGAAGTGAATACTCCCGGATGGACATAGTACATTCTCTTGTCACTGCCAGCAATAATTTTCATCTGTGGCTCGGTGAAGATGAACCTGATGCGTTGTTAGTTTCGATAGACCGAAAGCTACCCAATGTATTGTTTACCCATTGGATACCTCTATTTCGTAAGCCATCGCAAAGCTGAACCATGGAAGTGAAATGATATATTGGTGAAGGCCCGGAGAGATAATATCGGATTCCCCAGGAAGTCAAGCGTGGTTGAAAATTAATAGGGCGATCGAGTGGGGTTGCGTTTCAGACCCTAGTCAATTGAATAATACCTAAGCCCTGTAGAGATGAATATTACAGAGTAGGTAGTCGCGCACATCTCCTGCTGTATTGATTGGCGTTTTGGTATATCCAAATCTTCATACCCACCAGGGTTAACTATCTTAGCAAGTTGTAATGATTATGTTTGTGACTGCAAAAGTACAACTGAAGTAACCTTGAAACATTCTAACTGCTTGAAAGATTCCAATTGCATTTTAAAATGAATTTGAAGATTCTTCGTATTCATAACAAGCGAGGTACTAATCATCATTAATGCCTTGTGTAGCCTGAGAAAGAAGTATTGTACATATATCCCGAGTCGCATCGAGCGGGAATTACCGATGTAGCTGATTTCTCATATCTGATGCCGTTATGCTTAATCCAAAACGATCGATCGAGACGAGATGGCGTCCAAAAGTTGTGTGGTTTTACATACTGTCGCGTGTCAGTTTTGGCGGTGTTGCTGTAGTTTGTGGCTTCGACTTACGGAGGAAGGAGGAATTCGCTCAGGCTGCTGTGGAGGAATGCAACACCGGCCTACAAGTTTTCAAGTTAGTCAATATTCATTAATTTCAAGCTCTTTGGAAGACTTACGCCGAAGACTAGGATGCTGCGGACGATGGTAGAATTCTCCGGGTTGGTGGCCTCGTCGTAGACGGAACGGACAAAGCCCTTGGGGGCACGGGTGTTTTTAGAGACCATTTTTGTGGATGAAATGTGTATAGATCGATAAGAAAGGTGGCAGTATCGAAGGGAGAGGTGGATTGAAGGCCGAGACAGAAATCTGCGGCCTCGGAACGTTTGACTGCGCCTGTGGCTTACATGATCGGCCGTATTTATTTTGCGCGGGCGCGCATCAATGAGAAGCAGTGACAGCCACCTCTCCGTTATTAAATTTCATACCTCATTTCTTTCCCTTCATCTGAACTTAATTGAATTTCGCTCGTTGGGTGAAGCCCATTACTGTGCCCATATTTCGTCTTCTACAAGCTTGTCCGTGCCGCAGCTATGACTAGCAACCTCTTCAAAGTATGTACTCAGTACTGTGATCAATATACGGCATATTACTGACATTCATAGAAACCCTTGACTACAGGAAACACGAAGCGCAAGTTCGAACCTATCAAAGACCCAAGTACGCCCTTCCTATCATCCTCGATTTCATCCATGACCCCGTCTAACAAAATACCACTAGATGAGCTATACAAATCTACAAAGATCGAGTCCAATGACGACGTAAGATCTAAGGGGAAGAGCGCTATAGTAACCGAAGAATATGATGGGGAAGCTGGACCCGAGCTGCCTCCAGACTTTGGCGAAGAGGATGTCCCCGATGACGAAGAGGGCCGCTTCTTTGGCGGAGGAATGGAGCAGAAAACCACACAAGCAATGCAATACATCGATCAACAGGAAGATGAAGAGGAAGAAGTTGCGGTAGGCACCTATTTGTCTCCCATATCCGGTGCGAGTTGCTGATGAACCTTTGTCTTACAGCCAGAGAAATTTGACGCACCCTGGGTCCGTCGTTTCGCTTTAAATTTTGAGCGAAAGATATCTAAAAACGCTGAGCTCCGTGCAAAGTTTGAAAATGATCCCCAAAAGTAGGCCAAGCGCTTGTATCCGGCATTTGACGTTCAAATCATGCTGATTCAATTCTTCAGGTTCATGGCATCAGAAGCAGACTTGGACACTGAAATCAAAGAACTGTCAATCCTGTCGGAACATCCAGAGCTTTTTGAAGAATTTTCCAAGATGGGCTGTGCGGGCTCTCTAGTCTCGCTATTGGCACATGAGAATGTGGATATTGCAATTGGCACCATCCAAATTATCGGCGAACTTACGGATGAGGACGTGCAAGCCGAGCAGGACCAGTGGGACAGCTTGGTCAATGCGATGGTAAGCTTTAATCTCACATATTGGGTAGGTCATATGCTGATAATGTATAGATGGATGCCGACCTGATTGAACTATTGACCTCAAATCTCTCCCGTCTTGACGAATCCTCCGAGACTGACAGAGCCGGTGTTTACTATATTCTCAGTGAGTCCCATTTTCTAGAACTAACTTGCACGGTACTGATTGAATTAGGCGTACTGGAGAACCTGTCCTCGCAGACTGCCCTTGTAGAGAAGATCGGACAAGACCCTTCAATTTCAGAATGGATAATGTCCCGGATTCAACGAAAAGAAATACCCACCAGTCAGAATAAACAGTATGCAGCGGAAATTCTGGCAATACTTCTCCAATCATCCTCCAAGAACCGGGAGACGTTCATTGGCATCGATGGAGTCGAAGTTATTCTTCAAATACTCAGTCAATACCGAAAACGAGACCCTGCGAATGACTCTGATGAAGAAGAATACGCGGAAAATCTATTCGATGCTTTGACATGCGTCGTTGATGAACCATCCGGAAAAGAAAAATTCATAGAGTCAGAAGGAATTGAACTGGCTTTGATCATGCTACGAGAAACTAAATTCAGCAAGCCGAGAGCCCTCAGAGTACTTGATCATGCCCTTGGTGGAACGACCGGTGCTCCCGCATGTGAGCACTTAATTGAAGCAGCTGGATTAAAAACCATATTCAGCATGTTCATGAAAAAGGTTCGGTGCTCTTTCCCCCTCTATACGGCAAATATTACTAACAAAATTACAGCAAGAGGGACAAAACATTGAACACATACTGGGAATCTTTGCTTCTCTTCTTCGGCTTTTGCCTGGAGGCTCAACTTCACGCATACGGGCACTAGCAAAGTTCACTGAAAAGAAGTACGAAAAGATAGAAAAATTCATCAAGCTGCGACGGGAGTATGCTGCCCGTGTATCACCTGTTGAATTGGCAATCAAGAAAGAGCGTGCTAGCTATTCACCGGAGGACCAAGAAATTATGGCCGACGAATGGCTATCTCGTCGACTGGACGCCGGACTCTTTTCGTTACAGGTATCTTATCCTTCACTTCTACAGTACTCTCAAATCACTCATTCCTTCTCATTTAGACAATCGATGTTATTCTGGCTTGGTTGGTTGCCGAAGATGATGGCGCAAAAAAGCAAGTGATGTCCAGCCTGGCTGACCGTGATGAAGACCTGTCTCTGGTCCGGGCCACCTTACAAGGTAAGCTCACAAACCACTGCAAACATCTTAGGAGTTGAATTGCTAATTTGAGTAGAGCAACTAGAAACTTTAGGGGACGAGGACCAAGGTGAGAAGGATCTCAAGGAGATGCTGAGTACTTTGCTTCAATTTGTTTGAAGCTTGGCAGCTTCTATTTTGTCATCAACTGTATTATTACCTACATTGAATAATATCTGTAATTTTCATCCTTATTGAGCCTATTTATTCAGATATATCCCGAGGTCCTAAGCATATTCATCCCGATCTCGGAAGGTAAGGATATCACCATGAAGCTAGCTCTGAGAATGACACACCTTCACCAACATCCTATGAATGATATTTGAGATTCCCTGCTTGGAGCCAGCCGCCAGTAACTGGAATAATCGCCCCACTTGATTCCAATCTTTCTCAAGAGAGAGGGAAAGAGAGAATGAGAGATCTCAAAAGGTAACTAGGTAAATTTCACTTAACTTCAATATCAAATCACGTGATCCGCTCTGACGACACGTGATAATAATTTCTCCATTCGGGCTAGCTCTTCGTGGCGCTAAAGCATCCAGAGGGCTTTGGACAACAGTCAGTCCCTTCACCCCATCACAACTGGGCAATATTTTCGCATCCCACCAATCCTCTCAGCCTGACACACTTTCTCTCGTCTGGCATCTACCGAACCCTTTTATTACAGTCACTGCCAGGAGGGTTTTCAAGCGCGTGGGTGATTTCCATCAATTTCATTTCCGCGGCGACGACGCGCTTACCTGCGCCCTTTGACAGTTGCTTCCTTAGCTCTCGTTTCTCGTGAACGTGTGCTGGGAGGTTTAAGGCCCGACTAACACCATGGCCGACTACGATGAATCATACGAGGAGGAGTTCTATGACGACGATGCTGATGAGGGAATCACCTCCGAGGACTGCTGGACAGTGATTTCTGCTTTCTTCGACGCAAAAGGTCTAGTCTCCCAACAACTCGACTCCTTCGATGAATTTATCTCTTCCACGATGCAAGAATTAGTGGAGGAACAAGGCCAGGTGGTTCTCGATCAGACACTCCCCATAATTGAAGATGATCTCGACCCGATCGCTGTTCGCCGCTATGAGCTCAAGTTCGGCACCGTTATGCTCTCACGGCCATCAGTTACGGAAGGTGATGGCGCAACTACAATCATGTTGCCACAGGAAGCCCGTCTGCGCAACATGACTTACGCCAGTCCCCTCTACCTAAGCGTTACAAAAAGGATTATGGAAGGCCGGGAGCGCAGCGTTAGCGATCGAGACGCCGACGATGCAGACGATGACCAAGAAGACCATAAGAACCAGGGTACATACCTCCAATGGGATCAGAAGGACCTGCCCTCAGAGCAAATGAAAGAAGAGACGGTGTACATCGGCAAGGTGCCGATCATGCTCAAGTCTAAATATTGCATTCTGAAGGATTTGAATGAGGATTCGCTTTATGGCTGGAACGAATGCCCCTATGACTCTGGTGGTTACTTCATCATCAACGGTAGTGAAAAAGTTCTCATCGCCCAAGAGCGCAGTGCTGGAAACATCGTGCAGGTTTTCAAGAAGGCACCCCCGAGCCCTACGCCTTATGTGGCTGAGATCCGAAGTGCAGTTGAAAAGGGATCGCGGCTTCTATCCCAACTGGCACTCAAGCTCTATGCTAAGGGTGACTCCGGAAAGGGTGGGTTTGGCCCTACAATTCGCTCGACTCTGCCGTACGTCAAAGCCGACATCCCCATCGTCGTTGTCTTCCGAGCCCTGGGCGTAGTATCCGACGAGGACATTCTCAACCACATCTGCTATGATCGCAACGACACCCCGATGATGGAGATGCTCAAGCCGTGTATCGAGGAGGGATTTGTCATTCAAGATCGTGAAGTGGCCCTAGATTACATTGCCAAACGTGGATCATCTCAGTCGAACTTGAACCAGGAGCGACGTGTGCGCTACGCGCGCGATATTATGCAGAAGGAGTTGTTGCCTCATATCTCTCAGAGCGAGGGTAGCGAGACCCGCAAGGCATTCTTCCTTGGATACATGGTGCACCGACTTCTTCAATGCGCTCTTGGTCGCCGCGATGTTGACGATCGTGATCATTTTGGTAAGAAGCGTCTGGACTTGGCTGGTCCGCTTCTCGCCAACCTGTTCCGCGTCCTCTTTACTCGTGTCACTCGTGACCTGCAGCGCTATGTGCAGCGATGCGTTGAGAGTAGCCGCGAAATCTATCTGAACATTGGTATGAAGGCTGCAACACTCACTGGAGGTCTCAAGTATGCTCTGGCTACTGGTAACTGGGGTGAACAGAAGAAGGCTGCTAGCGCCAAAGCTGGCGTTTCTCAGGTGCTGAGTCGCTACACTTATTCATCCAGTCTATCCCATTTGCGCCGTACCAACACACCTATTGGCCGTGATGGTAAGATTGCCAAACCGCGTCAGCTTCACAACACCCACTGGGGTCTTGTTTGTCCGGCCGAAACACCCGAAGGTCAAGCTTGTGGTCTCGTCAAGAATTTGGCGCTGATGTGCTACATTACCGTCGGCACTCCCAGTGAGCCAATCATCGATTTCATGATTCAGCGAAACATGGAGGTATTGGAAGAGTTTGAGCCTCACGTCACACCTAATGCCACAAAGGTGTTTGTGAATGGTGTATGGGTTGGTATTCACCGCGACCCGTCGCATCTTGTCAACACCATGTCGTCTCTACGTCGACGAAACATGATCTCCAATGAAGTCAGTCTGATCCGTGACATTCGTGATCGAGAATTCAAGATCTTCACTGATGCTGGTCGTGTGTGCCGACCGCTGTTTGTTGTTGATAATGACGCCGGAAGCGAGAACGCCGGATCATTGGTTCTCAACAAGGAGCATATTCACAAGCTGGAGATGGATAAGGAGCTTCCAGCCAACTTGGACCCAGAACAGCGCCGACAGCGCTACTTCGGATGGGACGGCTTAGTAAGATCTGGTGCGGTAGAAATTGTGGATGCTGAGGAGGAGGAGGCAATCATGATTGTGATGACACCCGAAGACTTGGATATGTCCAAGCAGCTTCAAGCCGGCTACGCCATGCCAGAAGAGGAGACAAACGATCCCAACAAACGTGTACGCTCCGTTCTGAGCCAGCGGGCTCATACCTGGACACACTGCGAGATTCATCCCAGTATGATTTTGGGTGTTTGCGCCAGTATCATTCCCTTCCCTGATCACAACCAGTCGCCTCGTAACACTTATCAATCCGCCATGGGTAAACAGGCCATGGGTGTGTTCCTGACCAACTTCGCGCAACGCATGGAGACCATGATGAATATCCTTTACTACCCGCAAAAGCCACTTGCTACTACTCGGTCGATGGAGTTCCTGCGCTTCCGTGAACTACCTGCCGGGCAGAATGCGATCGTGGCCATTGCTTGTTACTCTGGATACAACCAGGAAGATTCGGTTGTTATGAACCAGAGCAGTATCGACCGCGGTTTGTTCCGTAGTCTGTTCTACCGCACATACACCGATTCGGAGAAGTCGGTTGGGTTAACATTGGTGGAGCGCTTCGAGAAGCCCATGCGGTCCGACACCCTGGGTATGCGCAAAGGTACATACGACAAGCTTGATCCGGATGGTATCATTGCTCCCGGCACGCGTGTTTCTGGTGAAGATATCATTATCGGAAAGACTGCACCTTTGGCTCCCGATGCTGAGGAGCTTGGTCAGCGAACCAAAGCGCACACAAACATCGATGTCTCGACGCCCCTGCGAAGCACCGAGAGCGGTATCGTTGATCAAGTGCTGGTCTCGACTAGCAATGACGATCTCAAGTTTGTCAAGGTCCGCATGCGTACTACAAAGATCCCTCAGATTGGTGATAAGTTTGCGTCTCGTCACGGTCAGAAGGGTACAGTTGGTATTACATACCGCCAAGAGGACATGCCTTTCTCTCGGGAGGGACTCGTTCCTGACATTATCATTAACCCCCACGCCATTCCCTCTCGTATGACCATTGCTCACTTGATTGAGTGTCAATTGAGTAAGGTGGCGTCGTTGCGTGGTTTTGAAGGTGATGCCACTCCCTTCACCGATGTGACTGTTGACTCAGTCTCTCGCTTGCTGCGTGAGCACGGCTACCAGTCTCGTGGATTCGAGGTCATGTACAATGGCCATACTGGTCGTAAGATGGTTGCACAGGTGTTCTTGGGCCCTACTTACTACCAGCGTCTGCGCCATATGGTCGACGACAAGATCCACGCTCGTGCCCGTGGCCCTACCCAAATTTTAACCCGACAGCCTGTGGAAGGTCGTGCTCGTGATGGTGGTCTGCGTTTCGGTGAGATGGAGCGTGATTGCATGATAGCCCACGGTGCCAGTGCTTTCCTCAAGGAGCGTTTGTTCGACGTGTCGGATCCGTTCCGCGTCCATATTTGTGATGACTGCGGCCTTATGACTCCCATTGCGTAAGTTTTCCCCTATCCCACTTTGTTTTGGTAATTCAATACTAACTATCTATCATATAGTAAACTCAAGAAGGGTCTATTCGAGTGCCGTCTCTGCAACAACAAGCACCGCATCTCGCAGGTTCACATTCCATATGCAGCCAAGCTTCTGTTCCAAGAGTTGGCTGCAATGAACATTGCCGCGCGCATGTTTACCAACCGGTCTGGAGTGTCGGTTCGGTAATCTTTCGTCCCTTTTCGGTTTCGTACCGTCCTTTAATGATATGCACTAAAAATACGAGTCCTCTTGGGCTCAATTGCGGCGTTCGGTGGGGAGTCTAGGCCCTCGCATCATTTTTTTTCAGATACATAGTTGGAATTTTATCCCATCTTATCTATGACCTCCATTGTACCTATGTACAGTGCATTGCATATAGAACCTACGTTTAAGGATCGTACGTTACAGCGTGTACGATTGACCATTTGCCAGGCCTGGTAGCCGTGGCAAATAAAACTGGATCTATAGTGGTCCCCTTCCAATAAATCGCTCTAGGAAATCAAATCCCTTCCTCTGCAACCACCAAGTCTTAGAACCAACCTTCATCATAGCCGCAAAAGTATGTTCCTCGCCAGGAACCTCAGTCATTCCACTTTCAACCCCAGCAGCCTTCAATCTCTCCAGCAAAATGCGACTCAACCAAATAGGGACCATAGTATCCGCCATTCCATGTACGACATAAGTCGGCGGGAAAGTACCCGAAATATTCTGCACTGGGTCAACGAGTCGCATATCTGGGTCTGTAGTACGACTCTCGGGGTAGACGGCTGAAAGGACTGTCCCCGCTGCAATCTGTGTAAAGGCGAATGCGTCACGAGGTCTTGAGAAGTCCGGACCCTTAGAAAGACCAGATTCAGACTGTCCCTCTAGGGAAACAGAACTATCTGTTGGAATAGGGACCTCATCGTACACCCTTTCCAGAAAGGCAGGGTCAAGAGGAGGAAGTTTTGCACTGACGTGAGGAAGAGGCTGTTTCCAGAAAGGATCTGTGAAGTGAACAGAGCCGTAGAGAGAGAGGATTGCCTTGGGTGTTTTGGGCGTATCAAAGCCTAAACTCAAGGCTAAATGACCACCAGAAGAAGTCCCAAACGCAGCCACATTGTCCAAATCGGCTCTGAATGGTTGAGCTTGCTCGCTCAGAAAGTTATCTAAGTGACCTTCATACACCCAGGCTAGTAAGCTACGGATATCCTGCATTGGACCCTCAAGCAGATTCACCCCGGGACAAAGCCGGTGATTCGGAGCTAGCACGATCCAGCCACGGGCGAGACAGTCGTCCACCTGGGACATTGAGATCATGCGTGAATGGCCGAGCATGAAGGCACCGCCATGGATGTCGATGACTAGAATACTTTACATTAGCTATTTCCCTTCATATGCGAACTATCAAGTCCAGTTTATGTTTGGGTAAAATTACCAATGGGGTATCTCTGCGGGGAAGTTAAGGGGGTGGTGGCTTGGGAAGGTAGATATCTGTAGTGATACTGCTACCATTGATCTCTTTATATACAGTGATGAGGGGTGTTTCAATAGACATTTTAGGTGTCAACTGTGAGAAACAGATATCTAAAGACTAAGAGAGCTTCGAGGGAACTCGGGAATTCCGAGAGGAAGCGGGGATAACTCGGAGTAACCAAGAGAATTCGGTGGAGCCGGGGTTATCAAGCAAAGACTCTTCATTAACCTTCAAATAATGGAACTAATACGGACATTGGCATAGATCTTGTCGTCGACCATACCTAGGTATGTATGCTAACTATTACCTCTCTCATATGGAGTCCATACATATTCCCTTCTTCAATTTATTCCGGGTCTAAGAGGAATAAAGCCTGGACCTTATAGCAATGGCTAGGTACGCGGCAGGTATCATAAATCATTTAGAGTAGGGATACTGTTTGTGTAGGAATAGGTAATCAATTATAATTTGCTCCATTTGAAGCTCTGATTCATCGCTGCAGGGCTTTTTATGTGGAACCTTGGCTTTTGCTCGATCAGTAGTCAGAGAATGATGGAGTATCTTTTGAGGTCGGTGACTTGACGGCAACTTCATGTCTTTTCTTCGTGAATATTTCGTACACGCTCTTCTCAGTGGCCAGTATTGAATGATTCGAAGAAAATAAAAACAAGGGTATATGGCTAGGAGGGCTCGTTGAGAATGTGCAATTGAGTATCACTCAGAACCCAAGGACTTTTTCAATCCATGGGTCGTAATACTCACAGGTCTCCGGGCTGACGGCGGTACCAGGTTTGCAGAGACTGAAGCTAGGGCAATTTCCACAGGGCGATTCAATCATACCGTTGATACCCAGGCTTCTGCTGTTTGTGACAGGTGGTTCGCCCTCGGCCGGCTTCTTGGCCTGTTGAGCCTGAATGAACCCAGGGTCCTTGAGCGACTTGTAGGTGAATCCATTCGGAAGTGCAACAACCTTCTTGTCATAGCAAAGCATACGCAGTAACTGTGTAACTTTTCCTTGCTCCAGTCGAACTGGAGTGACGCCGCTCGCGTTAATGGCGGTTGTGATCAGGTCAACGGTGGGGTAACCTTTGTAATCGGCAGGGTATGGCAGGTATGTTTTCTTCTTTTCACCAGTATCCTGGCCCACACCGGAATCCATCTTCATACGCTTGGTGCGGCCTCGATTTTCGGTGGGTACTAGGTACCAGCTGTGTTTGCTCACAGTGTACTCGATGAAGCTCGCAAGGCCATTGATGAAGCTAGCATCCAAGACTCCGTCTGTAAACCAGGCTCCTCCGGTGATCTCCTCACTCGGGGCGAGACCGGCAATCATGTAAATCTTTCGGTTGGGGAATTTGACATTGTGAACGGTTTTGATGTAGTTTCTGCTTTCGAGCAATTTCAGGCATCGGTCGAGGATGGATTTGTGTAGACCGCTACGAGTTTGGATCGCGCGCACCCAGATACCTTGGCGGGCGGTAGAATGGATGACGCCGTAAACCATAGCCTCTTCCTTATTGAGATCTTTGAGTCTGGAGAAAAGCGGTTAGCACGTGAGATCTTTAAATGCCCCAAAAAGCAACGCGGCCGGGTTTCTTACTTTTCAGCGTCACCACGCGAAACCAGTCCCCATGATACGGTCTTGCCTTGGCCTTCGAGAAGCCGGAATAATTTTTGGTTGACCAGATGCTGGGTGCACTGGAGAAGCAGGTCGAGATCATTAGTGGGGATGATGCCGAGAGCTTGGAGGTCTTTTTGGCTGATCATATAATCAGTATCGTAAAGATTGGAGCAAGCATCGTAGAGCTGCGAGGCAAGCTCGGAAACCCGAGGCTCTGCCATGATCGGTTGGAGATTGATATCAAGAGAGAAGGTTGAAGGACAGGATCATTGAAAGAGGGAAGATGTCATATTCGACTCAAATATTCTGCCAGGGCAGTAGATTTAAGTTAGAGCGGCATTGATTTATGTGTCAGTCTGAGTCAGAATTTGGAAGTCGAATTAGACGTTTGGAGTAATTGGCGACTTTTTTTTTTCTTTTAGTTAATTGCAACCAAAAAAAAAGATTAGTCATTCCATCCTAGCTTCCGCAAAAGTGGAGGCTGTTGTGGCCTCAGGCACAGAGAAATTTCGAGAAGCATCATGCATCCCGGGGTCAGGAGCTTACCTTCTCTTAAACTACGACTCACTCCTTGGTTGTTTGACTAACTCACTTTTTCAACATTTCACTCACCATGGCTGACGCTCTCAAAGCCGAAGGCAACAAGGCCTTCTCGGCCAAGGACTACCCGACTGCTATGTATGTTTTTACCCCGCCTTTGTTTGGAGAAAACTGCTGACTAGGACTCTAGTGAGAAGTTCACAGCCGCCATCGAAATCGAACCCGAAAACCAAATCCTCTACTCGAACCGCTCTGCCGTCTATGCCGCGCAAAGTGAGTTCCAGAAGGCTCTTGACGATGCGGAGAAGGCCATCAGCATCAAGCCTGACTGGTCTAAGGGCCATGCTCGCAAGGGAGCGGCCTACAAGGGATTGGGAGACCTTTGTAAGCTTTACTTTGACTATTACTCATCGCTGTAAATCAGGATTAACAATAATTTAGTGGCCGCCCATGACGCATACGACGAAGCCTTGAAGATTGAGCCCGACAACGCGCAAGCCAAGGCTGGAATGAGCGCAGTCCAGCGTGCTATCAATGCCGAGGCTAATGCTGACGGTGTTACTGGAGACCCAACTGGTGGCCTCGGTGGCATCTTCAACGACCCTGCCATGTTCCAGAAATTGGCCAGTAACCCCAAGACTGCCAGTCTCCTTGCCGATGCAGACTTCATGGAGAAGCTGAAGCAGATTCAACAAAACCCCAATAGTGTCGGCGAGCAGATCCGGGACCCGCGATTCTTGCAGGTCATGAGCGTACTTCTGGGTATTGATATGAGCTTCGGTGGTGAGGGTGGCCAGGGAGGTCCCTTTTCCGCGGGCGCGGCGGATGAGCCCATGCCTGATGTTCAGCCCGCTTCCACTCCCTCACAGCCAAAGAAGGAGCCTACTCCCGAGCCCGAACCTGTGGATGAGGAAGCGGTTGCTAAGAAGCAGGCTCAGGAGGCTGCTGATGCGGAGAAGAAGATTGGCAACGATTTCTACAAGAAGAAGCAGTTTGACACAGCCATTGAGCACTACGAGAAGGCTTGGGAGCTCCACAAGGATATCACTTATCTGAACAACCTTGGTGCCGCCAAGTTCGAAAAGGGTGACTACCAGGGTACTGTTGAGACTTGCCAAAAGGCCGTGGAAGAGGGTCGTGATCTGCGTGCGGATTTCAAGACCATTGCCAAGTACGTATATGCTCACTTCATCGATGATAAAACATCACTAACAAGTAGGTCATAGGGCCTTTGCGCGAATCGGTAGCGCCTACGAAAAGTTGGGCGACCTTACCCAAGCTATTGAGTACTACCACCGTTCTCTCACTGAACACCGGACCCCCGATGCCTTGAACAAGCTGCGTAATGCAGAGAAGGTCAAGGCCACCGCCGAGAAGGACTCTTACATTGATGCTGCTGAGGCCGAGAAGGCTCGCGAGCTTGGTCAGAAGAAGTTCCAGGAGGCTGACTGGCCCGGTGCCGTTGAGGCCTTCACTGAGATGACCAAGCGTGCCCCTACCGACCCGCGCGGTTACTCAAACCGTGCTGCCGCCTTGATCAAGCTTATGGCATTCCCCCAAGCCGTGCAAGACTGCGACGAGGCTCTCAAGCTGGACCCCAAGTTCATGCGGGCGTTCATGCGCAAGGGCCAGGCCCTCGTGGCAATGAAGGAGTACAACCGTGCTATTGACACTTATACCGAGGCTTCCGAAGTCGACGATGGTACTCACCGTCGAGAGATTGAGCAGCAGCAGCAGAAGTGTCTGGAGGCTCAGTTCAGCGCTCGTGCCGGTGAGACAGAGCAGCAGACTATGGAGCGTATCCAGAACGACCCTGAGGTAATATTTTCTAATCCCCACTCTCATGTTTTATTTTGAGTCCATATTAACAACCTCTGTTTCAGATTATGTCTATTCTGCAGGACCCAGTTATGCAGAGCATTCTCCAACAGGCGAAGACTGACCCAGCCGCTCTGCAGGAACACATGCAGAATGCCCAGGTACGCATCAAGATCCAGAAGCTGACTGCTGCTGGTGTAATCCGCATGGGGCGGTAAATTACCGGTCTTCGATCCGGAAGGCTCAGCGTTAAATGAAACCCATCGCAACGAATTCAAGACGTGACGAGCTCTTGCAGATATCTTCATTTTTTATTCCAAAATATCTTTTCATGAATTGCTCAGCATAGTTTTCGCCTAAGTAGGCAATTATACGATATATTCCATTTGATGAAATGTCATTTACTACAATTTAAATCGGCATGCGCTCTATTGTTTCATCGAACTATCTGGGTAGATATCGACAGTCAGCCCCATAGACTTGGTTCATTCCGAGGGGCTCCTCATATCAGACCACAAATTTGTATAGACCAACGATAAAAACCCACAATCGGTTAGCACCATCCTGAAACGATAGGTGGTGATCCTTACTCCACACAGATCTTTTCACTAACAGGAATAACTTAGACCGAAGTCACTCTAATGAAGAATCAGCTCACTAGAATCCACTGACTAATTTAGTACGGAGGAGATTAGGGATTTGGTGGATCTAGCATTCTGTAGTCCACTTCTCATAGTGTCACTTGTGCAACATGATGAATGTAGTAGACAACAACAGTAGTATATAGTACGGAGTATAGTACGGAATAAGTAACACAGGTGGTAGATAAAGTATAAAGTCTGAACAGCCTGATAATTACCTATAATACCTGGATACCACTATTAGTTGTAATAAATTATCTAGCTAGGGCTTGGTCCCTTTATCCCTTCTCCTTTTTCAGCCACAAGTCTCCACTCAACGACACAACTGACTCTGTGGCGGTGATGTTTCAATAGTTCGAGGGGCTAGATGAAAAAGTGATACAATTAGAATGTCATGCAGGTATCAGGTATCATATAAGTATGCCTAGGTATAGTAGAAACTAAGGAATTTCAATTATCGAGATCTACGTAGTGAGCTATATTGATCTTTATTGAAGCTATCTATACTCTATACTGATTGTTTACTTTCCAAACTTCAAACCTTGGACGTCGATCGCCGATCAGGTCGATCCCTTTTAGGCTGCAATCAGCTCTCCCTTTTCGTACTACGTAATATATCCTAATTTTTTGATTTGTTGAATTTGATTTGACTGTCATTTTCCTCCGGCGTCTCCCAGCCACAAGCTTGACGCAAGCGGCCAATCCCTGAGATCTGAGCTTTGCTTCCTCTTCTCCCCCAGTCACTCCACTTTCCCTCCTTTGTGACAGCTTCTCCATTTTTCTTCTTCTTCTTTCTTTTCCTTTCTTTCTCGGTGAATTTACGTTATCCTCTTAAGGTACCAAGAGTAAGCTATCAGCAATAATTCTAACCTTCCCCTCACCACTCCAATTCCATAAATCCCGGATTCCCCGCCCTCCCTTCTTCTGGGGTATTGCCATAGCCACATCACACATCATACCACATGGATCTGTCCCTTGTCTAATATCTCTTTTTAGTCACTGATAAATATAGAGGATCAACTCAATTCATACCTCTAGTCCCAGCGACTCCAAAATTACCATCTTCGGTTGCCAAGATGGCGACTCCCGCCGCGGAGAAGACGGAGCTGAAGCATCAGGGCGTCATTGAAGCTGCCACTGATCTTGTTGAGGATCCAGAATCTAAGGTGAATCCGGACACTGTCGAGGAAAAAATAGTGAAAGAAACTCGAGCAGCAGGTGGTGCGGCCTACCAATTCGACCCCGATGCCACTCCCGAAGATAAAGCGGCCGCAGCACAAAGCGTACGTATAAGAGCTAGACGAAAAAAAAAAAGCAATAAATAAATCGCGCATGCTAATTGGCTGCTATTAGCGATTACCGCCAGGTCACGACGAGAAGCCCAAAGCAATGGCTGTATTGACCGATGCTCAAATAGATAAAGATGTAAGAGCTACTTGTTTGATTGTAGCGCCGGACTAGAACACTGATCTTTCTACCTCTTCTTCTAGGGCGACGCTAAACCCGACTATGATCTCCCACCCCCGTCTTCGGCCAACGCCATCATTGCTGAAGAGGCCAATGCCGCTGAGGGACAAAGGATCGATCAGGATGATGACCAAAGGTGGGCACGCGACCGTACAGGTTGGGCCCCGAAATTCCATCAAGAACCCACCGAGGAGGAAAAGGCAGAAGGAACTTTGCTTGACCACCAAACATTCGTGGAAGCTCAACTGTCCGAAAAGTTCTTTGGAGATTGGTACCACAACGCCGGCGTGATCATATTTGCCTGTCTGTTTTCGTGGACGATCGCCGTTCTGGGCGGTGGTATCGGTTGGGTGCTTATGGTGATGGCGGCATGCAGCACTTACTATCGCACATCAATCCGTCGCGTGCGCCGCAATTACCGCGACGATGTGAATCGGGAAATGTCCAAGCAACGCCTAGAGACCGATACCGAAAGTCTCGAGTGGATCAACAGCTTCTTGGTCAAGTTCTGGCCTATCTACGCACCAGTCCTGTGCGACTCCATAATCGCCTCGGTTGATCAGGTTCTGAGCACCTCTACTCCTGCCTTTTTGGACAGTCTGCGCCTGAAGACATTTGTACTTGGTACAAAGCCACCACGTCTGGAGCATGTCAAGACCTACCCCAAGACTGAGTCCGATACTGTCATCATGGACTGGAAATTTAGCTTCACTCCTAACGATACAATGGATCTAACGGCACGTCAGCTGAAGGATAAGATCAACCCCAAGATCGTTCTAGAGGTCCGTATTGGAAAGGGTATGGTTAGCAAGGGTATGGATATCATTGTCGAAGACATGGCTTGCACGGGTTTGATGCGTGTTAAGGTCAAGCTGCAGCTTCCATTCCCTCACATCGACCGCGTGGATGTTTGTTTCCTTGAGAAGCCTGATATTGACTATGTCTGCAAGCCCCTTGGAGGTGACACCCTTGGATTTGACATCAACTTTATTCCTGGTCTCGAGACATTCATCAAGGAGCAGATCCACAACAACCTGCAGCCCATGATGTACGACCCGAACGTGTTCCCGATTGAGATTGCTAAAATGTTGGCTGGTAACCCCGTGGACCAAGCTATTGGCGTCGTTGCAGTCACTTTGCACGGCGCCAATAGTCTCAAGAACCCCGATCCGTTCGCTGGCACCCCCGATCCATACGCTGTGGTTTCTTTGAACAGCCAGAAGGAGTTAGGTCGCACCAAGACCGTTCGTGATACCGACAGCCCCCGCTGGAATGAGACCATCTATGTCATTATTACTTCTTTCGCAGATGCATTGACCATAAAAGCGTTTGATTGGAACGAATTCCGCAAGGACAAGGAGATGGGTTCAGCCTCTTTTGCATTGGACAAGCTCGAGCAGGAACCTACCCATGAGGGTATCCACCTGGAGGTCCTGTCCAGCGGTCGTCACCGTGGTGCCATTCACGCCGATATTCGTTTCTTCCCGGTTCTCGAGGGCGGAAAGCTTGAATCTGGCGAGATTGAACCACCACCGGAGTCGAACTCTGGAATTGCCCAGTTCACCGTTGAGCAAGCCAAGGATCTTAATGCTGGTAAGAGCATGATCGGCAAGCTCAACCCTTACGCTGTCTTGCTTTTGAATGGAAAGGAAATTCATATCACCAAGAAGCTCAAGCGCACCAACAACCCCATCTTTCAGGATAACGCTGCAGAGTTCTTGATCACTGATCGCAAGAGCGCAAAACTTGGTCTCATCATTAAGGATGACCGTGATTTGATGACAGACCCTATTATTGGTCGCTATCAGATCAAGGCGCATGACATGATGAAGCTCATGGATCAAGGAAAGCAATGGTTTAATCTTCACGGAGCCAAATCTGGTCGCGTGAAGATGATGCTCGATTGGAAGCCGGTTGAACTGGGTGCAATTGTGGGCGGTTCTGGCTATGTTGACCCGATCGGTGTGATGCGCTTCCACTTCAAGAACGCTACTGATCTGCGCAACCTCGAGTCCATGGGCAAGTCCGACCCATACGCGCGAGTCTTGCTCTCTGGTGTGGTTAGAGGTCGCACTGTGACTTTCCGGAGTAACCTTAACCCCGAGTGGGATGAAATTGTGTACGTTCCTATTCGCAGTGCTCGTGAAAAGCTGGTTGTTGAGGTCATGGATGAGGAGAGCATCAACAAGGACCGCTCCCTCGGTCAGGTTGAGCTCAAGGCATCTGACTTTGTTCGTGAGACTGAGACTGGCGAGTATGCAATCGACGACGAGAAGCAGGTTATAACCAGCCCTCTCAAGCTAGGACATGCAGCCAAGGGTCAAATCAGCTATACTGTCTCCTTCTTCCCATCTATTCCCGTTGTCAACCCCGCGGATGAAGTTGAAGAGGAAGAGGAAGAGGAAGTACCAGAAGTATCAGAAGCACCAGAAGCTAACGGCAATGCTGACAATCGCAAGAGCATGCACTCCAAGTCTGCCAGCGTTGACTCGAAGGCTTCAAAAGCCTCCAAGTCTCTTACGAATGGAACAACCCCCAATGGCAATGGCCGCACTAGCCTCGAGACTAACAGTACTTGGGCTCGTGATTCGGATGCCAATTCGATTCAATCTGTGATCAAAGAGGTTCCAAAGACTTATATTGGAGTGGAAGATCTTCCCAAATATGGTCAGTACCTGATATTATACTTGGTGCATGAATGCCAAGCTAACATCTGTTCTAGAATCTGGATTTATCGCGTTCACTTTTGGCGAGGGACATTTAGCTCTCAAAGATGTGCAACTGGAGGTTGTGATGGACGACCACATGCACCCCGCTTACATTTCGCCCAAGATCCACACGCAAGTTGTCACAACCTCGGACGTTGGCGAAGCGTTTGTTCGCGAGCTTGAATTTTCCAAGATCACCCTACGCTTGGTCAAGAAAGATAACGCCAAGGATTCAAGTGAGGAGAATGCTGTTGCGAAGCTGACTGGTGATACACTGGCCACTTTGCAGACTATTCTCTATAACCCGACCGAGCTTCAACTTCGATCGAACAGTGGTGAAGTGAGCAGGGTTACCGTTAGCGCCCGTTACATCCCCGTGCAGATGAAGCTTGACCCCAGGGAAAGCATCAACAACATGGGCACTCTGCGCGTGGAAGTATTGGATGCTGCCGATTTGCCCTCTGCCGACCGCAATGGATACAGTGACCCTTACTGCAAGTTCCGTCTCGGCGATGAGAAGAAGGAAGTATATAAGACCAAAGTGCAAAAGAAGACCCTCCACCCATCATGGAACGAATTTTTCGAGACTCCTATCAAGTCTCGCATTGGCGCTGATTTCCATGTGGATATTTACGATTGGGACTTTGGTGACAAGGCTGATTGGTTGGGTGCCGCCCAAATCGATCTGGAGCCGCTGGAGCCATTCGTGGCGAAGGAGGTGTCTCTGCCTCTTGATGGCAAGTCAGGTGCCATTCGCCTAAAGTTGCTTTTCAAGCCCAGTTATGTCGTCCGCTCCCGACAGGGCTCTTCCACCTTCTCGGGCACTTTTGCCGTGCCCGGAAAGGTCATCGGTGCCCCCGTCAAGGGTGTTGGCTTCCTTGGTGGCGGTGTGGTTCGTGGTGCGTCCTTCCTTAAGCATGGTCTGACTCGCGGTCACAAGGGTAAAGGTGACGATGCTGCGTCAATTGCACCAACACTCGATGAGGAAACCCCTGGTGAAGTTCGCGCGGCTACTTTGGCCCCATCCGCACCTCTTGAGGATTCGGTCAGGTCAAGCCCTACCACCCCAGTCAAGGATCACAATCGTAACAAAAGTACGGCCTCACAATTTGGCGACCGCTCCAGCGTGTTCGGTGGCGCGGGTCGCGGTGACTCAGGTACTGCCAACATCACTGTGGTCTCGGCCACTGGCTTCACTCACAACAACCTAAGGGTGATTGTCCGTTTGCAGGGTACCAAGGGTTCCAAGGACGTCCACAAGACGAAGGCTCACAAGGCAAACGGCAGCCCCGTGCAGTACGAAGAGAGCTTCAAGGTGAACACCACGGCAGATGCACAATACCAGGTTCGCGTAGTGGGTCACTCAACCTTCGGCTCAGACGAGCCGCTCGGTGAAGCGCCATTCTTCGTCGACGACCAGGGCTCTGTTGCTGGACAAGACAAGAGTATTCCTGTCGGTGATGGTACGGTGATCATCCGTTCCGGTTTTACCTCATCGGAGTCTACTCTACGGCCTACCACGTCCCACTCCACGGCTGGCGGAGAAGATCTTGCGGATAGCCCTGACTCCCGCAAGGCGCCACGCCGTAGTTTCCTCGGCAAGCGCCATCCCAGTGGTGCTTCGGCACAATGAGCTTTGACCTACTAGATAGGAATCAATGTTTTTGCAGTTTGCAGTTTGCAGTTTTATGAAAAAGCCATGATATGCTTGTTGCTTTGAGAGTTTCGTTTGAATGTGATATCCTTTTTTCCCCCCCTTTTTTAGTTTTCATGTTGCAGAAGATGTTTTGCCTCGCTTCAATGTTTGTTTTCGGCTTGTTGTGCTGGGATCTCGACTTGGTCCATTTAACGAATCTCTTTCGGATGAATATCTAGACTAGGTACTCGGATGCTCATATTAATGTTACACGTTTTAAGTGTACTTCGTAATCTTTGGGCAAAGACCTGGTATCTCCTTTTACTTCAAGTGGCGCGAGCTATACGCAAAAGGGGGGCCTGATAGTAGGATGATTGGAGCAGACTCATACTTCGAACCTAAATGCCCGAAGAGCAAAAGAGCAAGCGTTGAGCTACTACACAGTGGTCAAATATTCCGAAATTCGAGCCCCTTTCACTACTCAGTACAGTGCATTAAATATTAAATATTAAATATTAAATATTAAATGATTTATGATTTATAATGTATGATATAGAAGTTGACTGCTAGATCCTCGGCTGTAGTTACTGTTAGGTGGTATAAGCTATTCAAAAGGGAGTAGCGCTACTATGCACGTAAGACAGTGTCTCTTACTGGCTATTTTTATTCAGCATCTGTGGCTTGGTGGGGGGTGTATTTTGGCCCACTGGGCTCCGTATTCCGAGTACTATTGATTGTGGCTATATTTTGCTTTTTACTTAGTATTTTATCCTTGTTACAATGTAGTAGTTTAATCCCTGCTCTGGTTGTAGATTATGTTCTAGTTCTTTTGAAAGTTCGTGTTATCTGCAGTACCTTCCAGGTTGGTACTTTGGCTAAGGAGTACTCCGTGCACTCGGGTGTCGCATTAGGTGGGGGTATCCGTGACTGTTTCATGTCTGTGCTGGCTAAAGCTGCAATAGAGAGATCAGGTGGTAGTAGTACATAGAGCAGAATATATTGCCAGGTTGGAGTACAGAGTGTGTTCAGGTGGATAATTGAGGTAGTTCGGGTATACATCTAGACTATCTTCTACCGCCATTAACGCCAGTATGTAAGAGGCTTATGATGCATAGGATACATCCTCCTCGTGTATAACAATATGCTCGGGATAACCCAGTGGGGCCGTGAGCTGAGTACGGAGTATTGTGTAAATAAAAGGGGCGTTTATTTCCTTGGTTATTCTGGAACCCCCCTTTTTGTTGACAAGGGTCTGGAGTTGATGGCATGGTAGACGGAGTACAACTGTTATCATTCCAATGTTTACTAGGTATCAACATTGAACTGAACTGTCACACGTGGTCAAGTGGCTGGATATCGGAAAAGTCAGGAAGTAAGGAGGATTTGATACCTTACGAAGTAGGTGTGGAGGGAATACGGAGTACCGCGGTGGAGATCCTGGAGGAGCCCAGGGTTAATTGGTTACATAAGGTATGTAGTTCTTAATTACAAAATTATAAGATAGTTAAATATCACGTTACTCTCCCCACCCTCCCTTTCTTTTTTCTACATTCACCGTCATCTCCTTAATACCCTTCAATGCTACAGCATTGAACAAGTCAATTTGATTGTACGTATCCTGTATATCCCCTCTTACGTCGTTGATCGACCCGTGGCAAATCAACCCCTCCTTCTCATTACAATTAGCCACGTTTCTCTTTCTTGTCTTTTTTTCCCTTTTGTTCTTTTCTTTTCAATCAGGAAACTAATGATACTTTTTGCTCTTGAACCAGAATTCTTCTTTTGACCTGACCTTCCCATCATAATCATGGCCGGAGGACTCCCTACCCATCTCGCTCCTTCTACCGATGCCTCTGGCTTCCAGGGAAAGCACCATGGAAAGTCCCAGTCTCACATGGTACGTTTTTGGCTTTTATTCGCGGGGTAAAGTGCTGTGCTTGCCTATTGATTGTTTTGGAGCTCGCTCCTTCCTTGAGAGCTTTCGACCCGACCATTTTTTGGTCTTGGCCAATTCGTATTTTGCCCTTGGAAATGCCCCCCTCCATGCTCCATCCTTCATTTCTATTCCCCTCACATCCAAGTCTGATCACTTGGCTATCCTTTTCTACCTCTATATACATTCTTCTTCTTCCTATCTGAATCATGGTTTGGGGAACTCATCGGCTGACCAGGTGTCTCTCCAACCAGGCATTTGAGAATGCTTCCACTAGTGTCGCTGCCTCCCAGATGCGCAATGCACTGAACGCCCTCGGTGACTCCGTCCCAGAAGGCCCCGATAAGAAGCGCTTCGAAGCTGAGACAGACAACTTCTTCGCCCTCTTCCGCCGTTTCCTCAACGACAAGGCCAAGGGCAACGCTGTCAACTGGGACCGCATTGCTCCTCCCCAGCCCTCGCAGGTGGTCGGTTATGACGAACTCGGCGCTGAGGCCTCCATGGAGTTCCTCAACAAGCTAGCTGTTGTCAAGCTCAACGGTGGTCTCGGTACTTCCATGGGTTGCGTCGGTCCCAAGTCTGTCATTGAGGTTCGCGAGGGAATGTCCTTCTTGGATCTGTCTGTCCGCCAGATCGAGCACCTCAACCGTACCTTCAATGTCAACGTTCCCTTCGTTCTCATGAACTCCTTCAACACCGACCAGGACACCCAGTCTATTATTAAGAAGTATGAGGGCCATAACGTCGACATCATCACCTTCAACCAGTCCCGTTACCCCCGTATCATCAAGGACTCCCTCCTTCCCGCTCCCAAGAGCTTCGATGCTCCCCTGCAGGACTGGTACCCTCCCGGACACGGTGACGTTTTCGAGTCTCTATACAACTCTGGTACTCTTGACAAGCTGATTGACCGCGGCATCGAGTACATTTTCCTGTCCAACGCCGACAACCTGGGCGCCGTTGTGGATCTCCGCATCCTGCAGCACATGGTTGACTCCCAGGCTGAGTACATCATGGAGTTGACTGACAAGACCAAGGCCGATGTCAAGGGTGGTACCATCATCGATTACGATGGCAAGGTCCGCCTGCTCGAGATTGCTCAGGTGCCCAAGGAGCACGTTAACGAGTTCAAGTCCATCAAGAAGTTCAAGTATTTCAACACCAACAACATTTGGATGAACGTCCGCGCCATCAAGCGTGTTGTCGAGGATAACGAGTTGGAGATGGAGATCATCGCTAACGAGAAGTCCATTCCCGCCGACAAGAAGGGTGAGGCTGACCAGGCCATCTACCAGCTGGAGACTGCCGTCGGTGCCGCCATCCGTCATTTCAAGAACGCCCACGGTGTCAACGTGCCCCGTCGCCGCTTCTTGCCCGTCAAGACCTGCTCTGACCTCTTGGTTGTCAAGTCTGATCTCTACCGTCTAGAGCACGGACAGCTCGTCATGGACCCCAACCGCTTCGGTGGTGTACCCGTCATCAAGCTCGGCTCTGACTTCAAGAAGGTCTCTGACTTCCAGAAGCGTGTTTCCAGCATCCCGCGTATTGTCGAGCTGGACCACCTCACTATCACTGGTGCCGTCAACCTTGGCCGCAACGTTACCCTGAAGGGCACAGTCATCATTGTTGCTACCGAAGGCAGCACCATTGATATCCCCCCTGGATCCGTCCTGGAGAACTGCGTTGTGCAGGGTAGTCTGAGAATCCTGGAGCATTAGAGCGTTAATATGTCGTCTACACCGCACCTTCCCCTATGCGTATAGGAGGATTATGACAGGTGCCTTTGGTTCAGGGAGGTGCACTATTGGCTACGGAATTCCTTGGAGTACGCAAAGATGTGCTTGTATTACGTTACAATAATTCAGCGTGTGTCTTCTTTTCTTCTTTCTGTTTCTGGCTGCAGGAAATTCGCGGTCTTTTTCATCTGTCAAGCTTCATTATTGCCCTAGGCTATCCGAGTCAATGTATCTTTTTATGAACTCCCAAATGATATCCAGTAGACGACGCCTTGAATGATCCAAGCGCGTGATGTTACCTCCGGGAATCCAGTCTGGTCCGATATGGAAGAGGAAGAAGGGCGATATCGTGAACAGTATAGACGGAGTCGCCGATTCCAATCAAAAGACCTGGAAATAACTTCGAAACTAGCCACAATGCTGCTCAAGTGACAATTGAAGTGGTAGTTTGAACCTCCTGTCATCTATACTGGGAAAACCTGGGATAGGCGGATCTCTCGTCCGATCTGACATCAAGGGTCGTCATTGTCGTCATTGGCGGTTCTAGACATTCAGGGACCTCGTGATGCTAAATCGAGAATTGTCGAGGCTCTAGTATACCGTGATCAATACTCTATACTCCTCCAAGATTGTTTGTATCCGTAATTGTAGTATTGTTAATAGTAGCTTCTGTTGCAATGGATGCCTCAAATATGGACATCTAGGATGTGGCATTACCTCCCCAAGTATGCAAGCCCAATGAGAATAGACTCGTTGTCCATCTGTATATATCTTCTCTTCTCTTCTCCATTCAGCTGCACTGCCTCAATTGAAATGGTCGCCGTCGCCGTCGGCATCGGAATTGACATCATCGTCGGCCAGGCCATCGCCATCGCCGCCGCCACAAGAGGCGTGGCTGCTGTTAATAACGACTTATTTTCTTGCATTGTCAATCTGAATGAATTTTTCTTATATCATACCGCAGACATAATGAGTGACCGGCGGTATACAATAGACCACTCTCCAAATTCGAAGCACAGTCTCGATTCAGCTGAATCTTCTGTCTCGTGGAAGAAGAGGGTATCGACAGCATGTTTAGCCTGTAAGAAGTCCAAACGGAAAGTAAGCGATCTATCATTCCAATATATCCTTTATTCGTAATCATACTCAATACACTCAGTGCTCTGGCACGCCACCATGCGACAACTGCTGTACCTTCCACCGCGTCTGCATCTTCGACGAATCCCTCGACCAACGGCGCCGCGTAGCAGCCAAACGCACCGCCAATGAACTGGTCTATCACCGAAACTTAATGCAAGATCTGTTCAAACTAGTCCGCATTGCAAACGAGCCCCAAGCCCGAGACCTGCTAGACATAATCCGACGCAATGCACCACCAGAAGAGATCCGCACCCACATCAACAAAACGCTCTCAACCCTCAACCCTAACGATGAACTCTCTAAAAAGGCAGTTGAGAAGTTCGAGGATATGCGCGACTTGATCAGTGTTGAGGATTCTAGCCCTACCTTTCGACGGAAGGTTATGGATATCCATTACCTTTGTGATGTTGCTCCTGTGAATGTTCCTGCTAAGCCTTGGACTAATGTTACTGATGATTGTGATCTTGTTTCGCATCTTGTTTCGCTTTATTTTGTTTGGGATTATCCGTTTAACTCTTTTGTTGAGAAGGATGTTTTTTTGAGGGAGATGCAGAGTGCTGATCTTGATTCGCAGTTTTGTACGCCTCTTTTGGTCAATGCTTTGTTGAGCAATGCTTGTGTAAGTTGCTTTTATCCATCTATGGATCTATTTCCATATTTTTTTGATCATTGCTCATCCCTTGTAGTATTTTTCGGAGTTTTCCGAGGCATATGTCGTTCCAGGTGATATCTCGTCCAAGGGATGTGATTTCTTGGCTGAAGCAGAGAGATTGAGGGAGGAGGAATCCTCTGAGCCTAGTCTGGCTTCTTTACAGGCATCGCTTCTCATGTACGAAAGGTAATTGAATACAGTCCCAACGTCGATACGAGGTAACTCCATGCTAAGTCAATTAGATACGCTTTGTCACGCAGTGATGACTTGGGATATACCATGCTTCATGTTGCAATCAGAATGGGCGAAGCTCTTGGTCTAGTAGGCAATAAAGGGCCAAGAATGACGACAGACCTCTCACCAGATATGGATGCCTCATGGAGAAGAACGGCTTGGGGCCTATTCAACGTTGACACGTACGTAATCGGGCCTGAGCTTGCATAAGTTGAACGACCGTTAACTTACATGTCAATGCCAGAATCGTACACACTGGCTTTCTCAGGCCGTGTCTGATTGATCAAGTCAATTGTCCTCGTGTTGACCAAAGTAGCTTTGATGACCAGTCAGTGTGGAGTCCATATCCTACTCATCGGGATTCACGACCGGCGTATCTGAGTCTATACTTCGACGAGGCCTGCAACCTGTCTAATATTGCACGTGATATATCACGTAGTATGTTTACTAATGACTGCAGTACTTTTGGACCTTGCCGTCATAGTCGAGACGAGATGTATGAGCGGTTGCAGCGATGGCATGATCAGTTGCCGGTGGAGTTAAATCCGGACGGTCACTCGCCTCCATATATCATTTTATTGAAGTGAGAGAGATTCATGTCTTTGCGTTGCCTGACTCAAACAATAAAATTACTTTCAGGATCGGATCGACATGGACTAATATGTGTATACAGAATGAGGGCACACGCCTTGACGATCAATCTATTTAGTTGCATCTCAGATGGTCAGTCTTTCCAAACGCCCCAGAGTCAGAGCCAAAGCCAAAGTCAGAGCCCACCGCAGAGACATGATTCAAAGTATAACGCTTTGGAAGTGACGCAAGATGCTGCACGTGGTATCGCTGCACTAGCAAGATTACATCGACGTGAGTATGGAGTAAGTCGCGCACATCACTTCGCCATGTACGCTATCAATCTGGCGCTGTTCTCAATGCTGGAGCAGGAGTCGTTTGATATACTCGACCGAGACTTCTTATCTCTCGCTAGCGCGTTCTCAATTGTGGCTAGTCGCTCTGCGTTGGGGCGAAATCTGTTTCACATATTTCGTCAGTCTGTGCGAGCCAAGGCCCAAGGAAAAAGAATCCGAGATCTACAGTCAATACCCGAACCACTAAAGGATCTTTTCGACGAGGATGTTTTTGCTATTGGGCATTGCCGATTTGATGAGTATGCTGAGGGTCTTGAGAAGCTCAACCAGGATGCCAAATACCATGGGATCGGCGGTGGTCAGAGCGGCAATATCCAGGAATACCCCGGGCTTGGTCTGTCTGATATGTTGGACCGTTATGAGAGTTTGAGCTTGGGTAAGGATTATATTGTCATGGAGAGATATCGTCCTAGCGTTTGAGCTGAGTGAAATGAGCTTTTCTTTTTCTTTTATTCTTTTTGATTCTGTTAAACAGGTTAAAGGGCAGACGATCGGATGATTACAAGTGGCTAGACCGCTGTTGTATAACCGCACCTCTAATCGAGGTATGGCAATAGCTGACGTCATGGGTCCTATCGGGATCTAAAGAATTCATCCACATCTAAAGCATTGGCGAGTCAAATTTAGTTCCATCTTTTCTGGATAATCTTGAATTTACCTATGATCGCATACTGCTATGATTGAGTAAATTGCCCCCCCACTAGACCCTTCTCCTTTACAATTAGACTCATTGTGACACCCTGATTTACTCACATCGTATATTCTGGTGGCCTTAGACTGTATTGATGTCAATCTCTATAATCCCTATCAAATTACGCAGTGATCATGTCTAGTCCTCGTAAATCACCAAGTTTAGGCTTTACGCCTTCCGATTCCAACTCTTCTTCGGGCCAACATTGGCCATCCGTGCCGTTGCAAGGCAATGGGTATCAACACCAACACCAGCACCAACACCAACAACAACAACAACAACAACAACAACAACAACCCCAGTATCCCTTTTTTCCAGAGACAGGCGCAAGGCCATTTCTACAGCCCTACCCTATGGTCCCTGTACCGAGTCGCATTGAAAATTTCGAACCGCCCCGTAACAAAGTCGCAATTCCCCGCGGGCCTGCATCAAAGCCATCTCAAGGACGACGACGCTCGGCGCGAGCTTGTGAACCATGTCGCCAGCGCAAGATAAAGTGTGATGGTGCCACGCCAAGCTGTGGACAATGCGCATACTTCAACAAGGAATGTTCATATGAAGATATCAAACGAATTCGCACCGAGAAGCAACTGGTCCACCTATCGCAGCAAGTGGAACGCTACGAAGTTCTACTTCGTGATCTTGAAGGCGAAGCCGATGCTTCTACAGCGCGGCGCATCAGAAAAGCGCTGAAGGTATGTTTCGATTAACTTAGGGTGCGGCCGTTGGGCTTTGGACAGCGACTTCTAACACGTAGATTTTCGCCTTTAGTCTCAAAAGACGAATAATCCCAGTCCCCACGATGAGGCGAACGACTCGGATTCTGGAGAGTCTGTTGGTTCCCTGGAGGATGTCGATGTGGTGGAGGAAGATTTGAATCGAGACGAAAGCAATCGTGCCGCCGGGTATTTTGGCAAGAGCTCTGAAGTGACGTGGATGCAACGACTTGATGATGATATTGCAAAGAGTAACAATCAACAACATAGTGAGCAGCCATTGGTATCCAAGCATACGCAGTGGGGTGTTCGGTTTGATGTTCCTTCTGGACATAAATCCCAACATCAACGGGGAGTGTCTATGGCGATGATGAATTACCACTTAGATGATCTGAATATCCCTCTGATTGACAATATCGATCCATTAATTATCCCACCGCGAAATATAGCTGACGAGTACTTCAATGCGTACATGAAGTTTGTTCATCCGATCTATCAGGCCATTCGGTGTTCAGCTTTCACAGCTCAGTACGAGAACTTTCTTAATGGAACGCCAAGGCAACCTCATCAGAAATGGCTGGCGATTCTCAACATCATCTTTGCTATTGGCTGTCATCACTGTCGGTTGACGAACCCTGATCACCAGGAAAAGTACGATGATGATCGGGTATTTTTGACTCGAGCTCGCATACTGAGCTTGCAGGAGAGCGTTCTTTTTGAACATACCGATCTGCAGCAGATTCAACTGGAGTTTTTGGTTGCTGTTTATCTGCTTTGTTTAGGTCAAGTCAACAGGTTTGCTTCAACTTCATTACAGAGGATTAGACAAAAATATGCATACATCTGACACATGAACAGGGCCTCCAAATTCTCCAGCATGGCTCTACGCTCTGCGTTATCACTCGGCATTAATCTTCGTCTGACAGACAGTCGAATCCACGACGCATCAAAAGAAGCAAGATGTCGACTCTGGTGGGCAATATACTCGCTAGAACATCAACTCACCTCAATTCTCGGTCGTTCATCATGCGTAGGTCAGAACATTTGCGCCATATCCCTCCCAGTCCCAGCAGAAGAAGAAACCTTCGCGCAACCTATGGTCCACAAGTTAATCGAAGGATCGCCACTCCTATGTCCAACACTCTTCCAGCCAGCCACTCAGTCCGACGAAAATTGGACAGCTGCCTGTCAACCATGTCCATCTCTCTTCTTCTATTACATGGTCGACATCTCTCTCATCTCCCAAGCTGTCCTGAATAAAGTCTACAGTATTGAGGGTGTTCGTGATGGATCTAGTAAATTCGAATACCGCATCCAAAAATACAGTGTACAGATGGATCGCTGGCTTGCCAAATTACCACCCAGCTACGAATTCACCATTTCAAATGCTGGACCCTGGCAGGTGAACCACTCTCAGCTGGACGATGACTCGCTCCCTTTCGCTCGTGAGCGTGTCTGTCTAGCTATGACATACTACTCTTCCAGAATCCTTCTCTGCAGGCCGTGTCTGACATACCCGCATCCACCAAAAATTCAATTAAAGAATGAAATGAGTACCAGCGCCAAACTAAAAGCTGAAATGGCAACACGCGGTCTTCAAGCTGCGTGTGCGCTTATCTCTATCTTGCCAGAAAATATAGACCTGCCTTGGCTGGCGCGTACCACGCCGTCATGGAGTGTGTTGCATTTCATAATGCAAGCCACAACGGCCCTTTTATTGGGTCTATCTCGCTTTTCATCCCTATCAAAGGATGTCAATTCTAATGAGCCAGTCGAGCCGTCAGATGTGAAACCGCAGTATTCGCCTTTATTGCAGGCAACAGACTTGAATGTGGCTATCGAGCAGACAAAAAAGGCCTTGTGCTGGATTCATAGCATGGCTTTCGTGGATACTGCGTCCAGACGGGCGTTCATACTCTGTGATGGCTTTGCGAGGAAGATTGGGCTGGCGCTGAAGGTTGATATGCATGACTGGCCGAGTGCGAAGACATTGCCCGCTGATGCGGAGGGGACAAGCAGGATGGATATGGAAGATTTAATTAATTTGGAGGGTGATGCATTTTGAGGCCTTGCGATGGTCGAGGCATTCAAACAAATGGATGACATGCCCAGGTCCCGCAGTGTAATTGAATATCGATCTACCTATGTATGCTGCCTGAACCCTGGAATATTTATCAATCAATCATGATCAAATTAAGTATGTACTACAGCATTATTTATGTATCTCATCCGCAAAATCACAATCGACACAGACCGACCCAGCTAATTGAACCGTTCAAAATCAAGCAGGAATGTCCATACCAAACATAAAGCCAACATTGGCACGAGGAACGCCCAAAATAAGTCAAGAAGACAATAGTGTAATGAACAGGCAATAATATCATAATAAAAATGCAACCATAAAAAAGGTGATTTCAACAACGAAACGCGGGTGAGGACGGAGCTTTGGGGGAATCAATGCAGGGTAAATTTAGTTTTCAATGATAATGATAATGGGATTGGGGATCGCGGGGGAAAAAAGACGTTATAAAGACATAATGTTGGAATTAAAACACGGAGGCGTAAAACGTTTCAGCCAGGTCGATGGACCAACTTAAGTTGGCTGCATCTGCAGCTTGACCTGGAAGGTGTGCTGGTGCTGATGTTGCGGAGCAGGAGGAGGTGGAGCCCTGCTTTGCTGTTGAGCTTGCGCCCGTGCTTGGGGCTGAGGCTGGGCTTGGGGAGTAGAATGTCCGTGGATGGACTGCGGCGACTGCGAGTGCGACATTACAGACATTTGCATAAACTGTTGACCAGATAGAGGCCGCGAAGTAGGAACGGGCGACTGCTGATGCTGGTGCATTTGCATGTGCGGTGGCATCGACATAGGCTGACTGGGCTGGGGAGGCATCGATTGGTTCGGTGCCACTCGTTGAGTTTGCTGCATTCCAATATGGTGTTGTCCCAGCTGCGGAGACATAAGCTGACTCTGAGGGGGGAAATGATGCGGTTGAGGTTGCTGTTGCATCTGACCTGGTTGAGGCAGAGAATGAGTTTGCATAGGCATATGCCCCTGGTGTTCGTATGGTGGCATAGGTCGAGCTCGCTTCATAGAATCTTCTTCCTTGATGGGGGCTGCGCGTTTGTGAGCCGCATTGATAGATTCATCTTGGGGTTTGATATTTTCCTGGTTCTGATCACCACCAGCGGCGCCGGCAGCAGCTGCAGCAGCTGCAGCAACATCAGCTTTACGAGGCCGACCACGAGGCCGACCTGTGCCCGGTTTAGGTGGTTTCATTGTCGATGGCTTCTTCCTGGGCTTTGGTGGTGGTAATGGTTGACCAGTTGCAGCCGCCCAAGCAATTTGGTCAGCCTTACGCGGACGACCACGTTTGCGTTTCATTGGTAGTGGCTGTCCATCAGAACCAATTATGGGAGTCTGTGCGATAATATTCGGCGTAAACGATGTTTGACCGGGTGGTAGGGGCTGCCCAGAAGCAGCTGCCTGGGCAGCGGCAGCAGCAGCTCTGGCAGCAACCTCCTCCTTCCGTGGTCGGCCACGTTTACGGCGTGGCAGCGCTGGGTTGGCTGGGTCACCTGGGACTACAGTGCCGGCCTGAATTTGTCCATTTGGCTGAACAGGAGTAACAGTAGTAGCAGCTGGAGCAGCAGAAGTAAGATTCTGATGGGCTTGAGCTTGAGCTTGAGCCAGAACCTGAGGTTGAGCCTGAGCCTGAGACTGAGGTTGAGAAACCTGGAAGGTTGCAGTAGAGGAAGCGCGAGGCTTGGAACTCTTCTTCGGAACGGGGCTAGAATTCTCATGCTTCATCTGAGTCATAGAGTTCACAGGGGTAGGCCCAGTATGTGTCACAGCTGGCCGTCCAGGTTGCTCTATTCCCGACTGGGACTGGGACGGTGGTTGATAATGTTGGAACTGAGCTACCTGCTGTGGCTGAGAAAATTGAGCTTGTTGTGGGTTATGAGGGAACTGCTGCGGCTGCGGCTGCTGCTGGGAAAACTGGCTCTGCACCGGCGGTTGATAATGGTGGAAAGGAGGCTGGGCATGCTGTGCAAAAGGAGACTGTTGTTGGAAGGAATTCTGAGCCTGAGACTGGGCTTGGGCTTGGGCTTGTGCATGAGCTTGAGCCTGTGCTTGAGCCTGGGCTTGGGCTTGAGCTTGAGCTTGAGCTTGAGCTTGAGCTTGAGCCTGAGCCTGAGCCTGAGCCTGAGCCTGAGCCTGAGCCTGCAATTTTAGTCTCTGCTCCTGCGCCTGAACCTGAGCCTTCATTCTTTGCTCTAAATTTTTCTGCTGTTGCTGCTGCTGCTGCTTTTGCTGCTCTAGCTTTTGTTGCTCAAGCTTTTGTTTTTGCTGCTGCTCCAGCTTCTGTTGCTCAAGTCTTTGCTGTTCAAGACGTTGCTGCTCAAGTCTTTGTTGCTCAAGACGCTGCTTCTCTATACGCTGTTGATGTTGTTGCTGCTGCTGCTGCTGCTGCTCGAGTCTCTGCTGTTGAAGACTCTGCTGTTGATGCTGTTGGAATTGCTGTTGACGTTGGTGATGTAATTGCTGCTGGGTCTGCTGGGTCTGCTGGGTCTGTTGGGGTGACTGAGGTTGAGATAGCGATGGCCGCTGCTGATTAATTGCAAACATGGAAGGACTGGCCATAGATGGGCTGGCAGATGGATGATTATCCCGCTGATGCAAGCCCGAGTGAGGTAGCCTGTTTAGTGACTGCTGTGGCGATGGCACATTCAACCCGTGAGGATGAGGCATTCCTGTTGGACTTATTCCCGGTTGTGGGCGCATATGAGCAATAGGGTTGAATGGCCTCTGCAAGTTTTGCATACCCATGGGATCATTCCTAGCCATCAAATCCGGGGAGCCCTGGGGTGCGAAGTGTCCCGCGAACTGTGCAGGATAGCTAGCGGCGGGGTATCCTGCCAATGGGCCTGACGAAGTCGGAGCCATCGAGCGCAAGTCGGGAGATTGCGCCGAGGTATAGCTTTGCTGGGACTGCGGGCGATAGGACGGTTTATTACCGAGGAATGGGCTGCCATGTTGTGGCAGATTTTGTGTAGCACCTAGTAAGGGTGAGGGCATATGTTGGCGCCCCAAGGAATGCTGAGGCTGCGACGATACATGCTGAGGTTGGTGATGCTGCTGTTGCTGCTGTTGATGTTGGTGATGTTGTTGCTGCTGCTGCTGCTGCTGCTGTTGTTGTTGTTGCTGCTGCTGCTGCTGTTGCTGCTGGGGGCTGAAGGGTTGACCCCCGTATCCCATCATCTTCAATGATGAATTCTTAAAAATTAGCCGTGAGCGGCCGCGAGCTTTAAAATTTAAGATCAACCTTTGAACACGCGACACATGCGACCACTGTTATTGCACGAGTCTCACAGTTGTACCCAGACGAAAAAATACCGCAATGTAAAAACACCAGTCAGGATACGAGCAGCGATTGCGCGACAAATAGCAGCGATGTCTGACTGTTCAGGTCGCGCCGCGTGTTTTGTTGTTCCAAGCGGCCCGAGAGTCAGAACCGGCTTCTAAGGCAGCAAGGCAGTCAGGCTACAAGGCAACAATATCCCAAAGAGGATTAGCGGCTACGGAGGCCGACAGCGACCAGTCAGCGCAGTTAGAGAAAATCACCAGGCGCACACGAAAGGGTGATTCAGGGGGGAATGAGAATCACCAGTGCTCAAGCAGTAGGCTGGAGAGATCTAGTTGTACCAAACTGTGCCCTGGAGGGGTGAAGGGACACAGAAATGGAAGATCGGGGTCAAAGTGGATGATTCTGGACTGGGGATCTCGATGGACAAAAGGAAAAAATATTAAAATAAAAAATAAAAAATAAAAAATCCAAAAAACAGTGTCTCCACATCACGTGAGGGGAAAGTCCGGGGTTGGGTCTTAACTGAGCTGCCACTCTACTATAAACTTTATATGTTATTTATTCTTATTCAAAATAGACCGATAATAGTTGCTCTGTTGAATTTTTTCTTTGAAATAGTTTTAATGTGGTAATGTTGAGTTTCCACCAAATTGCCAGATGTCCTCACGGTAGTGGAGGTGAGGACAACCACAAGAAGACCTAATCATCACAAACGAAGTCAATTGAAGTCCAAAATTAAAATTTTGAATATCTTCTACAACTAAATTATGGAAAATACCCTTAACTAGGCAGTACCCAAGCCATAAGGTGCTGGATTTACCTACCGAAGTAACTATGGAGAAGAAGCTATAATGGACTTTGGAGGAAAATAACAATATGCCGCTTGGAGTGACTCATTTACAATAGACATCATCAGTAGATTCAATTCGATTTTTTCAGTAATAAAGAGTATAGCTAATTAGGTAGGTACCTAAGTATTAGATCAACTGACTGAAATTAATATGGCTTTTGACTCTTTATAAGAGGCCCAGTCGTAGCTGTAACTAGCCAAGGGAGTAAACTTTCGTAGCCCTAAGTATATACTAGAGTAGGTAACATCTCCAGCGCTATCTTTGAATGTCGGTAGCAACTACGTATTACGATGTAATATATGAAACAACTAAAGGGGTAATGATCATTTCGTGGACAGCATTAAAGCCGCGTACGTCAATTTGAGAGTTATCCAACAAGATGAAATGACTTTTAGTGCCTAGATAAACTAATGACAGCTATCATAGAGAGCTCAAGAGAAGCAATGATGCATCTGCAGTTGAAGATAAGGTTGTATGCCCTGATGGATGGATGTGTGTCTCTTATGATTACCAAGAGCCACACTTTCAGAAAATCTATTGATTTCCAATTGTTTGACTAAAGTAATTGTCTAGGTGACTCCTATATGCATATACGTAGATATTTTGCAAAGCTGACGTGCTAAATACGTCAGAACCTTGGAACTGTTTAAAGGTTGAAGGTTTTGTGCAATCTGGATAGTTGGAGCTCATTTCCATCATTTGAAACAAACATTGAATAGGTTCAACCGAGTTTATAAGATGAACTTAATTATTACTCCACTTCCCCGAATCCTGCTTGATATTCTTTCATATTTATTGGTTGTGCCAGAATGAATTGTCTTGGTTGAGCTCCACTACCATAAAACTTAACTTACGACATGGAACGCATGGTTTGAAGCATATACAAACATCATGAAAATTCACCTTGGCACTTACTTGCTTTCCTGTGTGAAATAGAGCTATTACATCAGGGCTCTTGCACTGGTATGCTTAGGTACTAAGATTAACTCACTTACTACGTAGGATATTTGAGTATAGAGGGATATAGGAGCAAAAAGGTCAGAGAGGAATTTTTCAAGGCAGTCTTGGATCATAGATATATAATGAGAGATCGTTCGTCTTGAAACCTTGCAAGTTTCAAAGACATTACTTCATGACATTTTGGACTTTGAAAATTGGTTCGGAAGTCCCTCAAATCATGCTAAACTACCTGCTAAGTCCAAGCGGGTTGTCAGCAGTCTGCTTCTGCCCACCCACACTCTGAATCCCATTTTGCAAACCATCTCCAGCACTCTTCGTAGTATTACCAAGACCTTCAGTTGTGCCAGATACAGTCTGTCCGAGACCTTGAGTGGCATTACCAACAGTGCTGCCGAGGCCACCAATTGTACCACCTAGTGTGTTGGTGACGCCACCGACTGTCTTGCCTAGGGTGTCGCCTAAGCCACCGAGGAGACCGTCTGTTTAGAATGGAATGAGATATTGAATATAGGGCTGGTCAAATGGACTTACTGTTTTGACCGGACATGTTGAGTTGTGGGTTTACAAGGTTTATTGATGAATGTGGATTCTGGTATGATCTCAGGGTTTTGTGAGTTTGAAGGACTTGTTGAGACTCGAGGATTGGAAGGAACATACTTAAATATCTATTGCTACAACCTCATTATGACGAAAGCAGGATCTAACCCATGATATAATGCAGTCTTCCAAGCCACTTTTATATGAATTACACGGAGAATATCGAATAAAAAGCTACGAAAATCGCTGACAGGAATCATACCTTGGTACATTCCTATAAGAGTTAATCTGACGTAGTTATCTCCACAAGACTTGCTTGTTAGATGTGGTACAAAGTAGTTGATTGGTTGACAAGCCCCGGTTTAGGCCTTGGAACTACCAACAATACATGTGAATCGAGTGAAAGGAAGTGGCGTGTGCATTATCTGAACCTTTTTATATTAAAATGTTCGTTCAATCTATTTGATTTTTTTCGCGATCGGAAATTTCAAGTGGCGCATGATGTGATGTCATATTCGCGTGGCAGATCTTGACTTGATGAACTGGAGAAATCTATTCGTTCATTCCGAAGTTGTCAAATGAGAAGGATGTAATGATCATTGTGATCTACTTGCACCTAGGTCACCCTGGCTCAAGTCATTTATTACATGCATGGACAAATCAAAGACTCGCCTTCCCTCGCGACTCATAAGGTATCAAAATGACCAGAAGACCAGCTGCGATGAACAGAGCCCCACTCACATATACGGGTGCCGAAGTCTGGAGATTAGCATACATGGCGACGATTGGCGCCATGATGCCAAACACCCGATTGGCAGTGGCTGTCAGCGCATTTCCCGTTCCACGGTCTTTGGTCAGGAAGATTTCTGGAGTATACGCGTACAGGACGGCGTACATGAGACTACTCATGAAGCTGAAAGCACAGTTCCATCCAAGAAGTGCGTTGGATGTAACTGCTGTTGTTGAACATAGGAGGAACACACCAGTCAGCGCAGTTGAAACGGATAAAGCACCCTTTCTCCCAAACTTGGGTAACTCTACAAGCAGCCCTCCGAGAAGACAGCCTGGGACCCCCATGACCGCAATAATGAGCGAGTTGCGGTAAGTGAGGTATGTTGATCCGTCACCGAATTCGGCACCTCGTTGTTCTTGGATGTAGGGAAGAAAGGCGTTGTACAATGGGTAGCCTAAGCCTATAAACGCCCATACGAAGATGATGAGGCTGGTAGACAGTGCTTGCTTGGGAGTAGCAAATAGAGCGCGAATATGCTCAAATTTGAGCTTCTCGAGTCGCCGTTGAACAATAGTAGTTGCTCCAAGCGCTTGCGGTTGGCCTCGATCGAGATCGTCGAGATCACTTTGCGATAGCGTTGAGGTCTTTCCATTCCGTCTAGCCACTTCATGTACAACTTTCACTGCCTGCTCGTTTTGGCCTTTCCCCATGAGATACTTGGGCGACTCGTAAATGGTGAAAAAGATAAATCGAGTGAGGAACATGAGCATGGCCAGTCCACCCATGGCAATGAGGTAATAGCGCCAGCCCATGTTGTTCGACTTCGTACACCCGTCTGCGGAGGAACAGGTGAAGTCTCCCAGCAACGGCCATGCAACCAAGGTAGCTAGTACTTGTGCCAACGCCCAATCAATCGACAAAACCGTAAGGAGATATTGATGCGACCCGGGTAGAAACTCGAGGAAAATGGCTGAATCAACAGGCAAATTACCTCCAACTCCGACAGACCACAGCGCTGCGAATGTACACGCAGCACCGAAATTGGGCGATCCGGCTGCGATCAAGCCAAAGACCGCAGTGACGCCGATAGTCAAGTTGAATGCCCACTTGCGACCGTAAACATCACATCCGAAGCCCCATAACACCGCACCCACCAGGAGTCCGATATTTTGCGCAAGAGTGAACAGAGGTTTTTTGGATACTTTGAATTCATACGCGACGGGTGGGAGAATTAATGACGTGACGATCGGCCATAGATTGTCGCTCGCCCAGCCAAATCCAATCACCACAAATAGTTGCCATTGATACCGACCCATGCCAATCTCCTGGATCGCCTGGTTCAGCACATTCGCCTTAGCTTTGTAGGAGTCATCTGGTTCCCCATTTGAGAGGGTAATTGCGCTCGGAGCCTCCGTGATTGTAGACTCAGTCTCTGGCTCTGCAGATTTGGACTGAGGCATGATGACGTCCTTCTCGAAAATGATTGACGAGGTCAATTCTAGCAATGGAGTACATCTGGAGTAAGAATAGCCTCTTGTATGAAAGATGAACCCTTGCGTGCTTGGAATGTAAACTTAACCTGGCCGAACCTTATTCTATCGTGTTTTGTTAAGATAAATGGCGTGATTATATGAAGTTATGCGATGTCAAGTTAGGTTGCTTTTGCTCAGTATTATCAGGTGACATTCAGCAATGATTAAGTGAGCTGGGTAACTTAATAAAATGTAACACGCTAGTCCCTTCTCTTTCTACATGGGTTTCACTAAAGTAGTCGTTCATCCTAGTCTCCTGTTCAAGAGGCAATTACATAGTTTGATTGGTCTATCAATTCTTATCTTAGAATGTAAGCTTCTAGAATCACTTCATTTACCCCGCACATTAGACGGATCTAATATATCATGACGATGAGGATATCTAAGTCCTATTAAGGTTACCCATCATGATTATACCCATGAGTGCGCTGTCTATGAGAAGTCAGCAGACTTTTCGCAAACATTCGACAGCAAATGATGAAGAGGAGTAGTTACGATGGTACGAAGGTAGCTGAGTCACCCAGGAAGTGTACAGGGTACAGATGTATCAATCTTTGAATGATTTCCAAGGATGGTCAAAATGGGTATTTATATTTATATCTACGATTCTCCGAACCGCTCCAAATCACTAACGTTCCATTTACGACTCCTCAGTGAGCCGTGCCTCACTATAGATCTGGGGCCGTTGGCATCTTGGGTGCTTCTGTGGGTCTCTCCCAAGGGTACTCTTGGCTCCTGAGATCTCAAGTGCGGGGATTCGTCAAGGTGTTTCTGAGTCGAGAGGCGTTCGAACTCGCATCGATACTGTAATCGATACTGTAATAATGTACCCCCCCCCCCCCTGGACTATCCAGCTATACCAAGGTATAATCTATAGTATAGTTCCAGGAGTCAGAATTATAATTCCAGGATATATGACTCCTTAAAAAATAACAATTGTAATAGCGTACAAAGGGACAGGACTCTGGAAATGAGATTCCCTCTGGAACAGCATAAAATCTTGCTAAGATAACTGATAAGGCCTAGGTTAGGAAACCCACTACAAGTTGCAGATGAATCCTAGGGGACCCTTGGGGTACCTAGGACTGACTGCTGTGAAAGTATTCATGGGGTTGTGGACCCTCTTGCTTACGATGATGATATCTCCCGATATTGCGGAAAACTAAACACTGAAAGTGGTAGAAATCGATGGGAAGGCGTGTCGGAGAACCGATCGGCAGATGTTATATAGTCACTCAATATGGAGTTGAAGACTACCCGATAAATATTTATATATTTATTAGTTACTAAGCCTTGAAGAAATCCTTTAAATATCAATTGTAACGGACTGGATGTACAATAAATATCCATATAGACCATATATCGATTGGAACAACCTATAAAAATATTAGAGCCCGGTAAAGGTTGGCAGTATCTCAATTGGGGTATATAAACCCATGTTTGGGCCAACCTTCCGTAACTGCCAAACAGATAAGATCTACAGAGAAGATTAGCATGGCCCCTGCATATAAGGATGACACGCTCAATCAAAGAAAAGCTAACATTTTTTTTTGTTAACAGGCCAAAATGAAGTAGTTGCCGCTTTTGTCAAAACTGGAGTTCACCATGGTCATGCGTACGAGTCCGAGTTGTCGCGAACATTTATTGATTTTTTTTTTTTTTTTTTTTTTTTTTTTGGGAGCAACAGGATTTGTTATTTGATAGTACCTACTAGGCTACAACATGATCAAAATTGGAGTCTCATAATCGTCTACCTATTCCAGGCCGCGAGTTGTTCTGCCTATCAGTGCTATCACTATGAACTGCCGTACTGGTGTGGACCCTTAAAATGAGCCCGCAAACACCAAGCTTCAAGTTCTCCTGGACTTAGATTCTTGGAACCCAAAGCTGGACCAAATCGAAGATGAACAGACTGCCAACGCAGACGGGTTTCCGGCCTTAGAGTTTACTGAGCGGTGCCACGAATATAGAATGGCCAGACCGAACAGATAATAGTCAATCACAGATCAAAAATCAGCTTCGAGTTTCCAGATCGAACGATTTCGATGTAAATTATTTACAGCAATAAGGCTACTTAGTAGATAGTTTGTATTTGTCGAATGGAATTTTAAATTGCTCTGCACTAGCCCTTCTTTTGTTCTCATCTTGAGTGAATAGCACTCCAAGGCCAAATAGTATCTATCAAGTTGAATTTATTCCTGTAACATTTTTGTCGACTGCTCAAATATAAGCGCCGTGTCTCGCAATGCGCCATGGCGCTTATGCTATTCGTTGCCTAGCTGCCTAATCAACTTAGGATCAGCAGAGGCACTGCCACCTCAGCTTGTCAGCCCCGGGCATAGTCTGAGTGCTATCATATATATCTCTGACCCCTGGGTGCCAGAATATTCTTTTTGCTATAAATTACTGCATGCCAAGTTGACCATCTAAATCGACCATACAATTAAACCGATGACAACCATCAAAGAGAACCAAGTGGAGAACTTCGATGTGATTGTGGAATCACCCAGTTTCAGCAGCTACATGTGAGGAGTCCAGAATTATTAACGACCTCGGGAATAATCCTATTAACATGCTGATATAGAGTAACCGGCATTGACGGCGTACAGGGCCAGGACGATGGGACCAGGCCAAAGTTAAACAATATCGGAGGGTAATCGACCTCATACTAATGATAGCAATGGTGACAATAAATCTAATCATCTGATTTAGATTGGTCAACAATAACGCTGCAGGTGGTCAACAGTTGAACATCGCTAATGGAGGCACAATCAATTTCGACTTTCGTAACGAATCACTTTTTGGAACTCTAGCATATCGGAATAACCAAATTTCGTCCGATTTTATTCGAGCTACACTTTCGAAGAAATCTCACTTGCAACAAAAGAGAAGAGTGAGCCGTGTTAATCTACTTCAAATTCACCGCTTTCTCTGACGAGGGTAGAAACAACAAAGTATCAGTAACCGCAGCTGCTATGAGCCATATGCCGATGTGAAAAGCCAAGCTATCAAGAAGAGTATGGTATACTTAGCAGGTCGGTTTAGTTTTCTCGATCGTGGCTTCGCAGCTTATTTTCAGTCCGTTGTGCCAACATTTGACCGCGCCCATGTTAAAGAACGCCTCAAATATATCCGACAGGGCCTTGCAAGAAGACAAAATTCCAATTCTTCAAGCTTAGAACATTCCGGACCACTCTATCTCGGGGATCTTGGTGAGTTTTGCGAAGATGTTACTAAGACGTGGAACGGTCACAATGGCGAATTGCCAAATTTCAACGGTACACATCGGCGAGATCAGGAAATTTTTGAATATCTACAGGATGCATTTGAAGTACCATACTGGGAGCTCATGCTCGACATCTTTTTACAGTGGCGCAATAATTCCAGATCTCTGAGTGGTGATGTCGTTCTCAAGGTTCTGGAGAGCTTGAAGAGGGAAATCAAAACTGGTTACCGCCAACTCCTTGAAGACATTCACACGCAGTCGAAAGATTCCCCCGGAGATCTAGCCCCAATTATCGAGGGAATCGATGCGAGAATCGCCGTTTTGGATACTGTATAGAACCTGAACGACCCTCCTCTTCTATTGGAAATGGATGAGCTGGTCACTTCCTCGCTCCAGAATCTGAATCCTCCTGAATCTACCTCTGCAGCGGAGATCTCCGACGAGGGAACCTCTGGAACAATGGGAAAAGAAAAAGTGAGTGTATCGTCCAAAAGGCTCTCTAATGAGAACATTAGCTTATGTTCTGGTCTACGGTTTAGGAAATGGTTATTCTCATATCCTTAATTCTCCTATTCCTCACCGCAGCCATTGTCCCAGGATACAAAGCATTCTCAATCTCAATGACATCCAGCACACCTGGCTCAATTCAAGATGCAGATTTCTGGTATCTGATCCAGAGTAGTATCATGTCTGTGTTGGGAAATCTGACCATGGTCTTTCCTTTGCTGAAAAAGTCATGGTTTTCCCCGGCTTACAATACTATGTGGATATCATTCACCTTGGGCGTAGCCTTTTCGGTTCTCTCCATTATCATTTACCCGTTTGTGAATACAGGTTGGAGCTCTATGTTGGCCTTCTTTGGCTCAATTGCTTCCGCTGCTTCGGTGTTGATAATTACGCAGGCTGCTGGCAAGGAGATACCGAGGAAGATGAAAGAGGATTGAACACAGATAAGATATATACAAGACCATAGGTACTTAGTGTGAACTACCGCACCTGTGCGGTGTGTTGCTTGGTCCCAGGGGTTGTTGCAAGATGAGGCATTTTTCGGACTATTTTAAAGAACAATTTGATAACCTTGCCAGATTTTGTCTTCATCATAAGATATTATTTCTCTTTTTCTTTAAATTTTACCATCTTTTGATTCTTGTTTTGACATGAAAGGCTCCAAGGGCTGCTTGGGATATGGGAAAATTCTAAAATCTAGGGTTCACTAATCGAATTCTACAGAAAACCCACCTAGATAGGCTCATCTCTAGGCTCAATAAGAACCTCGTTGACAGAAACATGCTCCGGCTGACGCAGAGCATAAACAATAGAATTAGCAACATCCTCCGGATCAAGAATCTTAGCACCAGTAGGTTCGCCGTATTTCTTGATAGCTTCAGCATCAGTAGACATGCCCAAGAGTTCTGTGGCGGTGTTACCAGGCTGAACACTCGTCACCCGCAACCCGGTTCCAGCAGTCTCGAGACGGAGCGCTTGAAGCGTTGCTTCGACGAAGAATTTGCTGGCCGAGTACACACCTAGACCTGGGAAGACCTTTCGGCCTGCGTCCGAGGAGATGGCGACTATGTGGCCGCGGCCTTGGGAGAGCATGTTTGGCACTGTTGATGAGAGACAGTTTAGGAGGCCTTTACAGTTCACGTCTACTGTTCGCTCCCAGTCTTCTGTGTGGTTGTTTGCCATCATTGTGAAGTACATCACGCCAGCGCAGGAGACTAGGATATCGACTGGGCCGAGTCGATCGCGTGCCGCACGGATGAGATCTTCGACCTGGGTTTTTGATGTCACGTCGGTTGACTTGACTAGCACTTTCCCTTCTCGGACGACCATCTTTCGCTTTACGGCTTCGAGCGCTTCGACGCGTCGCGCACCGAGAGCGACGTGGCAGCCTTCTTTGGCTAGTGCGACTGCAACGGCGGCACCGATACCTGATGAGGCGCCTGTGATTACTGCCACTTTTCCACTGAGTGGTCCCCTTCTTGCGGGCTGTGCGGAGCCGCCTAGAGCAAGGTTTCGAGTTGGAGGGTGGGAAAGCCATCCTCTCGCAAACCAGTGGCGAGTGTAAGTCTCTAGCAATATGCTATCAACCTTAGGTCTCTCCACCGCGATGCGGAAGGGCCTGGTCTTCGCATTATCGAGCACTACAATTCCCTCGAGGAAATCAATGGAAGGCATTCCGCTGCGGAGAATGTCGATTGTAAATGCTCCTTCACCACCTCGGAGGGAACCTCTCTTCTCGGTCCAAAGCGCAACCCAATCATCCCAGTTAATCCGCTCAGTGGGGTAACCAAGTACTCGAAGATCGTCAAAGACAGATCTGATATTGACTGGATTCGGATCACCGAGGTGGAAGACGGTTTGATCTATGTCGGCGCGGTTGGCAAGGTAAACGATAGCCTTGCTAGTGAAGTCGACCGGGGTCATCTCTGCTCGCCAGCCACTCACGTCAGGGGCATAGCCGATCTGAATCGACTCGACTATGAGTGCCGTTAAGAGATCCCAAGGGTTGCAAGCACCTGTTGCGCTATGGCTACTGATTGTACCGGCTCGATGAATCTTCACTGGAAGTCCACGACGACCAGCCTCGAGAACAAGTTGCTCCGCAACCCACTTAGTTTGGCCATATCCATCAAGCAGCTTCTCAGGGACCTCGTCAATTGTCAGGAACTTATCCTCATCCCAGCCCTTTCCTTCAGATGGAGGCAAAACTCCATTTGTGGAAACGTATTGGACAGTCGCCCCAGCGTGCAATGCAAGGCGGAGAATTTCCCGGGTTCCACCAACGTTGGCACTTCGCAACGCAGCGTATGGATACACAAGATTCACAGCCGCAGCGGCGTGAACAATGACCTGGACGCGTGAAGCAAGGTGATCATATGATTCCGGTGAAAGGCCAAATCGAGTCCTGGACAGATTGCCAGAGAGGATCTCGACTCGCTCCATGATGGAGTCATTCCACAATCCCAATTCAAGCAGGTTGCGACGAATTCTCGCTCCACCTGCCGGTGTATCCTCCTCATCGGGGTTGTTGAATCGCACGAGACAGATGATCTTAGCTGAAGTGCTTTCAAGCAGGTCATGGAGCAAGAAGGGACCCAAAAAGCCAGTCACACCAGTCAGGAGAATATTTTCGGCTTTGTCGACAGGGCACAACCTCAAATTGGAGGGTTGGAAGTCATCACCAAGAGCAGAATCTGCGCGAAGGATAGCGGGCAGATCTGCCTGTACGGCTGCAGTGTGTCCGTCACGCACGTCGCGGACTACCTCGAGATGCCCCTTCAAGGTAGGAACCTCCGCAAGGCGCGCGATAGGCACGCGGAAACCAAAATGCTTTGAAAGCCTCGAAGATAGATCCGCTAACGACAACGAGTGGCCTCCAAGGTCAAAAAAGTTGTCGGTTGGCGTGATGAGTGTTTTCGAAGTCTTCAAGACAACCGCCCAAAGGGCGACTATATCGTCGATGGAGACGGAATCACGCACGGTCCCGATTCCATTGGTCTGTTTAGGTGCATGGGGCGGAGGAAGACGTTTGAGATCAACCTTTCCAGATACATCATTGGTTGGCAGCTCATCCAGCTCAACCCAGACGGCCGGAATCATATAATGGGCAAGTACCGAGGACAGTACACGTCGTGCACCGGGACTGTTTCCAGCCTCATTGATCTCGACCTCCAGACGATCTTGGGAATGATCCTTGTCACGTACAATGTATGCAACCAATTGGCGTTCTAAACCTTCACCATGAGGAATTACCACGCAAGTACTCACAGCGAGGAGCTTGATGATGTCGTTTTCAACCTTGGCGGGCACGACTGAGTATCCTCGCAGTTTGATCATTGCGCCAACGCGGCCCGTAATTTCTAGAACTCCAGACGGAAGTCGACGGGCCCGGTCGCCGGTTTTGTTCATAAGAGCACCAGATACTGGGTTAAAGGGATCTGGAATGAAGGTTTTTGCAGTTGTCTCTGGTAGATTCAGGTAGCCTCTAGCAAGCTGAGGCCCACCGACAAACAGCTCTCCACTCTCACCGTCTTTCACCGCCTTACCTTCCTCGTCCAAAATGTAAGTCAGCTTTGGATATAGAGGCAACCCGACCGCAGAATATGTTGCTTTCTCGTCAAATATGTCTCGAAGGTCACCACACGCTATCTCGTGTGCTTCACACGTACTATAGCAGTTGAGCAGACGAGTATTTGGAAGGGCCTTGATCGCCCGGCGGACAAGATCAGTAGTCACCACCTCGCCGTTAAACCACAGAGTTCGCAGGTCCGGAAGACGAGAGCCGATCTGGGCATGACGGGAAAGGATAGTAGCCAGCAGCGTCGGTGTCATAAGAGTCTCGGTGATACGCTTAGCAGCAAGGAGCTCGACAAGAGCAGCTGGATCATAGCTCACATCGTCGGGCACGGCAACGACAGTCGCACCGCGGATCAATGGGCGGAGAATCTCCCAGATGAAAAAGACATTACAGGCCACACGATCGCCTGGCTTCACATCCTGGATCTCAAATCTCAGGTTATAAGAGTTGACTGCGGCCCGGTGCGGGTTGGCAATTCCTTTCGGTTTGCCAGTAGTTCCTGAAGAGTAGGACACAAAAGCGAGCTTTTCCAGGTCATTTTCATCTAGTACAGGCAAGTCTACGTCAATTTCGCTAGCCTCGTTTATTTCATCAAGGATGAGAAGCGGAACATCAGCCTTGATCTTGACGGCTTCGCTTTTACAAGTGATTATAACAGCCGGCTTGCTGTCATCAATGACATCGGCCAGCAAATCGGGCGGATATGCAGTTTCCAGTACGAGAAATGCACCTCCCGCACGAAGGGCAGCCAAGCATGCGATCACGTACTTAGCGCTTCGGGGCAGAAGCACACCCACCAACCGATCTGTTTCAACGCCGAAGCTCAAGAGACGTTGGGCAAGAGCATTGGTCTTGGTGTCTAACTCGCCATATGTATAGGTGATTGTGTCATCTTCCAAGGCGACGGCATCTGGAGTAGCACGCACTTGCTGGGAGAAGAGCCCTGAGAGATCTTTCTGAAGATCGATTATTGTCATATCTTGTTAATTTAGCACGAGTGATTCAAATTGGAATGTATAGACGATTCCCCGTTGCTTCAGTGTTGGGGAGGAAAAGAAAAAAAGAAAAGAAAATAAAGAGGAAGAGGAAGAAGTTCCCCACGAACGGGGCAAGATCCAGCAACGAATCTCTCAACCCATTTTTGTGGAGAACGCAAACTATGGAGCAATCCATCTCCAGGGTTCTAGATTCTGCACTTAAGGATCTTGACATCATCTTGAAACAAGAACCTCAAATATCATACACGAAAAGCCCCAAAATTAACTAAATTAAACTAATAGGCTAGAAAGATAGTAAATAATTGTTCGGTTATTGCTGGATCAACATTTATTCCGAAGCCCTGTACGCCCTGCTAGTATGCAATTAGTTAGTAACCGAATACGACCGAAGGATCGATAACAATAGATAATGACTAAGGTAGATGTCATATCTCCATAGTAAAATCATTCCCATAGCCCCCATTCATAATTTATACTTGTTCATACTGCTTCAATATCAAATTGCACTCTAAGCTCTTCTTCCTAGATATCGATTCCCCGATCTTTGACAGCTCGACCCACATGACATAATCACTTTAAATGCCGATAATTAAGTTAACCATTATGCCTATTGTTGTCCATGTCTATTTGACAACTGCCAATTGGCTTCGAACTGGCATATTTTCTTCCATTCCCGGCTTAGGGAACCCGGAGACATTGACTCCCTTTCGGAAAAGAAGACAATGTGTCGATCCTCCAAAGTGGAACATACCAATCTCATCTCCCTTTTCAACGTGCTGACCTTGCTTGGCGGTGATATCGCAAGTTGACACTTCTGCCATTCCAACGCCAATAAATGCCATCAGGCCGATGGCTGGCTCATCAGCCTCAATGAAGATCAAGGCCCGAGTCGCTGTAGATGTGATGTAAGGTTGTGAAATAGTCTGGCCTTCAAGCCGAATCACCTGGGAGTGGACATGTGGGTTTCCTAGACCTTCGAAGAGCGGCTCAGAATAATATGTTCCATCGACGACGTATGCTTTGACTATCTTTCCAGATACGGGAGCATGCCAGCGGTGGTAGCTTAATGCACTCAAGAAGGCTTGGTAGATTGTGCCACCAACGAATTCCGGGGCGTGCGGGTCATTGTGCAACATGTCGAGCACAGAGTATGGCTGGCTCTTAACCCAAAACTTGTCTCGAGCATGCACGTTGTGTGCGATTCGGTATGGCTTTGATTCACAGGCATTTGCAATGACGCAACCGTTCTCTGGCTCGGCGACCGGACGCATTCCGTCGCGGAATAATCTAGTGAAGAAGTGATCCCACGACTTGAAGCCATGATTCGGTGCGGAAGGGTCACAGTGGAATATTTGACCAAACTCAAGGGTCTCAGCAGCTGTGGGGCCGATCTTTGCGACTGTTGTCAGGTCGCGACGGCCAGTCTCGCCGAACCATCCAATTTCTGAGTCATTCAAAACGTTGGCGGAGTCTGGCGAACGCAGATAATCTCCCCATACATTGAGGACTTTCTTCAACATCGCATTGATCTCCGGGTCTAGGAACGCGGCATATCCACTAGGTGTGCCCATCGGCCAGTCGAGAAGCGCATTGATAGGTAGGCCCACCAGGCCGACCCGGTGGGCTTTGTCTGTCCACGAGGGAGCAGTGGTGAGCAGGTGGTTAAGGATCTGCAGGAAATGATTGTAACCACGAATTTCGGGGTGTCCGGTTGGGTCTTCATTGTATGGTTGCTTGTGAGGGACTTCATTGAACATGCCCTCGATGAGCATGTACACTCTTGTGTTTGTCTCGATCATATGCTTAAATTCTTCGAGTACAGGATGTAAATCATCGTCTTTTTTGCCGGATTCTTTGATAACGCCAGCCAGCCATTGCCGGTGAACCCTGTGATCCGCTGGCATCCAATTTCCAACACTAATGAGTGGTTAGAGGTTAGTCATTGATTGAAGAGAGAGAGAGGAAGTCGACTTACTGATGCAGGTGATGAGTTTGCTTTGATCCTGAAGCCATAATTTCAAGTTGCTGCGAGTGTATGTAAAAAGACGAAAATATCGATTCAATTGTTTTGTTACTTTTAAATCATTTGATTACATCATAGTGACGATGAAGAGCTTGGGGATTGAAAGTAGTTATGGAATACAAATTGTTGAATTACATATAAGCTGTGTTTCATACAAAACTGGACTTGTGGCAAAGTGCAGATGATGTCATATGACTTCACGTCAACCACGTTCTTGATTTGGTATGTGAGCGTTCTCTTTCTTCTGGAACTTTTTTGTGTGGGAGATTTGCGGAAACATGAAAGGGCGAAAAGCTGAGGCTCAGAAGCCTGATTAAGACGAGCCAGGATCCTCAAGCAATTTCAGGGTCGAGTTGATGTCCTTGATTCGACCAAAGAATTCAATATAGCTAACGCCAGGCCACTCATTGGCAGAAACCATCTGAATGTCATTTCTTCCAGCTGCCACTCAAGTTTATCGAATCAGGCCATAAGCAAAATGACCAAAAACGGCATGAACGTTCGAGGTGCTGGCGCTGCTTGAGAAATCAATTACTTCCTTGCAGATCTGACGTTTCGTCTCCAGTCAATCCTTCTTACGTGGAAGGACATCGTGGCCACCATAGCAGTGGACTACGAGGAGAGTAAGATTGGTCTCAACACCAGTCACATAACCGGTGAAGTACTCCTTATTCTTCCACTCAATCTTGTATCCATTATCGGTGGGGAAACATTTGGTAATGCGAGAATGCCAGAAGCAGATAATATCACGCGCCGCAGTTCGTCAGCCGCGTCAATTGATTCAGTAAAATTGTTGCAGAGATAGTTCCATATTGGGGATAGATTCTCAGGTGCTTGGGGATAAATATCAAAGGTTATCTGCTTCTGACAAGTAGGAGTTGAGGACTCATTTATGCGACCTTCTCCAACTTCGCGCATCCAACAGACAAGGAACATCCTAAATATCGCTGAATTAATTGTATTTAATGGAAGTGCAAACCTTGGAATAGGTGGGATGCGAGATGAAGAAAGTTATGGTTAAGGATTCTCTAACTTTCCATCGAAGTAAATAATTTACTTAGGTAAATTTAGATACAACTTTACTAGTTGATTACCGAGGATTATTCCAGTATGACCGTTATATGAAGGCTGAGCCAGAGGTGTTACGCACCAAGTCGTTCATAGTGGAGGTGTATATTAAGGAGCTAGCAACATGTTAAAGACAAACAGTGACAAGCAGCGACGTGATCGACCCCAAACTGAACGAGACTTTATCTCCAGTGTTTTCAAATTACATTATTGTGTCTTTAATGATGTTATCTAGTACTTTGTATGTAAGACTAGAAATTACTGTATTTTTGCCGAAATCCTTTCACTAACTTTATATAGCCTAGCTGCAACTAGCGTGGGCTTTTCCCCTACCTCAACCAGAACTTTGAGAGGGTCTGCTTCTAGTCAAGTTACGCTGTTCTACAAATATAATAGAAATATGTTTTCGTACACTTCCCGTGTTTTAGTGCGTTTTATCACGTATATATGTCCACCTTTTTAATTTCTATTGTTTACTAACCATGGCTCTCTTTAGCACAGAAATCAGTGGAAACTATGGTAAAAATCAAGAACTTTCTACTGGTCAACGCGCTAGAATTATCTCTAGCTTTGGTGTATCGCCAACCAAAGTCGCCGCTAATTATAGGTAGATTTTCTTGGCATCCCACATTACAGCTAGGTGCTGTAACCTTGGAATACCCCTATTCATCTTACCATAGGAAATTCATAGATGTTAGTGATCAACCTTGGGAAAGTGATGGGGTATTTCAATACCTAGACAGTCCGTTCAAGCAGGTTATTGTAGCAAATCTATAAAATAGCCAAACATATTGTATACTTTAGCGCTAAGTCACATGATTAGTGAGCCATCTTATCATTTGAACCCTTCATCGACCCTTTTGGCCCCAATCACCAATTTAAGTGTTTAATGATGGTACCTTTTTTCCCCCCACTAACTCAAAATCACATGGTCGGTGAACGTAGATATAAATGCTTGGGGAATTCAGTTTAACCTCCCAAGGATCTCTAAAGCCTCAAACTTCACCTACGCTCTTTTGCTCAAAATCCATTACTTCTACACTCTTTAATTTTCAGATTAATTCCAATCTTTCTTAATTTTCACTATTCTTCTTTTGATAATTCTTTGAAATGCGCTTCTTCGCCGCCATTTCGCTCTTCGCAGCATCTGCCTCGGCATATCTAGTCCTCACCCCCACGGCCAATTCCACCATCACGAAGGGAACTTCCGTCGATGTTACGTGGTCCAGCGTTGATACAGACGCTTCTACTTTCTCCATCTACCTGGTCAACTTTGTGGCATGGCCTCCCGTTGTGCTCTCTCCCTCGCTCAGAACGTCCCCAAAGCCGATGGATCCCTGGACTTGACTATCCCCTGTAGTGTCGACTCAGGAGCTGGCTGGCAATTCAACTTTATCAATGGCACCAACACCTATGTCATCTATGCTCAATCCTCCAAGTTCACTTTGACCGGTGACTGTGTTGACCCCACCACCACTTCCTCAGCTTCAGTCGTTGCCCCAACCACCGTCACTGCCACCGCAACCGTCACCAACAACGCGACTATCACCAATAATGCGACTGTTACAGCTATAACTACTGCTACGACGACTCTTATCAAGACTGTTGAAACCGTCGTCTTTGAGTCACCAATCGTTTGGTTCGTCCAACCCTCCGCTGCTGCCGATGCCAGTGCCGCCCCGCAAACCGTGACTGTCTACAATTCGGGCATCGCACCAGTAACCTGCGCTGCTGGTTCGCTTCAAACTAAGAGCACTGTTTCTGGAAAATACGGCATTTATACACTTCCTACCGGACCCAAGGCCGTTCCCAGCAGAGTCCCCAACCCTTCTAGATCTGTACTAAAGCCTAGCACGACGCCATCGACCACTCCTGCCGTCTACACCGGCGCCGCTTCATCTGTCCAGGTCAGTGGAGGAGTCATGGGTTTCATCGCTGCCGTTGCTATGCTCTTGTAAATAGGATGAGTCGCTTGAATTTTGTAAATAGTCTCGCTTGACTACAAGTCCACATGTATCATAAAGACAATTCATAACCGCAAATATAGCTATGCAATAAAATATCTTCAAATACTCTCTCTATGCTGAAAACTATGCTAAATCGCTGATTACCATTATGCAATTGCCCTAATCTACGACTTACCTATCTACGAAGTACTACTCAGTGTCCTTTTTCATGTCCGCGCGAATAATACCGTCCATCAAACATCGGAAAACATTTGGAAACCCGCCAGCCAGACGCTTTGACAACGGAGTTGATTTTTAACACGACCTCGGGAGCATCACGAGGTCTTTGTCGTGTTCACAGTGGATTAAAAATCCTTCACCGTCGATTTTGAGAATCAACATGTAATGGATCAAATTAGCATCATACATCGGATTGGATTTTAAAGGACACATGGGTGGTTGTTGCATGATAAGAGGACTATTCCCATCTTGAACTTCTTCGCCGAGTTTCTAGGCTGGTCTGTGATGTAGCTTTCAAAGACGCTGTCATATATTCCATTTATACTGTATATGGCCGCATCGCGTCAAGGATGAAGATCATGCGCTGGTGACATTCGCAAATACCTAGATACTTTCTCTCTCTCTCTCTCTCTCTCTCTCTCTCTCTCTCTCTCTCTCCCTCCTCTCTCTCTCTCTCTCTCTCGCTATATAGGGTCTGACGCTAGCCATCTGACTTTCTTCCGCGGACCACATGAGAAATATGCATTGTTCAATTTGAAGATTTTTACCTATCATCAATTGATAAGAACACAAAGATATCTCTTAGATGTACCGCTTCTATACCTAGGTATCCGTGGTCGATATAGCTAAGCACAAGATTCAAGAACTCTAGAACTTGGAGGTTGTTACAACTATCCAAGGTTGACTCTTAATCAGACATTGCGGAGATGGGAGCGGCTAAATTTTTGAACTGGCAACCACTTGGCTTTAATAGTTGTTGAAATCCTAAAATTTTCTGCGAGCTTGCTCTGAGAACTTGTTCAAAGTCCTGGTCTGCTCCCGAGGTCCGATTTTGTCGTCTAATCACCTGGGTAGGCCAAGATGATCGCATACGTCCGAGTATACTCGTTACTCAGGGCCTGAACGATAGTGAGTCAGACCGACTTCCAAGGTTGAGCTGTGGCAGAAGAATTTCAACGTCGCATGAGTACTCGAAGATAACGCTACATTAGGGCTTGGGTATTAGGGGTGATAGTCTAACCGGTAGAGGAGAGACTTCAGTCGTGGATGGATACGTGGATATTATGAAGGTAGTAGACGGAGAGATTTCGGATCAGAATAGGGCGAGGGCGAAGTGGGAATGGATGGGTGGATGATCTAAAATTTGAAATTTAGCGTTCTCAAGAACTCTTTCTGCAGCTTGTTGAACAGATGTAGCGTAGTACGTGTCTTGATAGGTGACAATATACTTCGAGCACCTATTTGCGACCTCGGCACTCGCCTGGCAGCCTTTATGGATCATGAGATCCAAGGTTTCAAGCCCTTCTTCATGCTCACTTCAAGGCTCAGAACCATCTTGTGTACATCCTTGTCTCTCGGCTCCGTAAGTACAGTTGCCGTTATAATCCTCGATTTCTGGAAAGGGAACCGGTCAATTAAAGGTTTATGCTACGGACACCTGGGCAGAGAAGTCGGCTGTATTCTTCCAAGGTTTCAAAACTTCCAAGGTTTCAAAGCTGCTACGTGTCGCATTGCATGTTACAGAGTTTTTCAGGCCCACAAATCTTGCATTTTTCCTCCAGCGTCAGCTCCGCAGAATACCTAAAGACAAGCCATATTAGGAGCATGGCTACACGTATTTGCTGACCAATACATAATTGCCTCATAGACATATATAGATTTGATAAAGAAAAGAGCTACCACAATCCAACCCCTGAAAACAAGAAAATGCAGCCTTGGAACAGTTCGGACGAGACTACTCCGTACCTAGGTACAGGCATCGAGGTTTCAGCGAAGTGGACGATGAGAGTCGAGGGCCGAGCGAACTGTTCACTACTGATTATAATGGCGTGGTTGAGGCCAAAGAAGGCAATGACATAAGTTTTGATACTCCATCATGCCTTCGCTTTTCAGACCCATTTTGACAGCCCCTTTACTGTCCGCATTACCTACCCCATTTGGCCAACCGTAAAATCTGTCACATGCTTGCCTACAGCCTCACTATCAAGAATTAACTTAGAAAGGAAAGCCCAAAGAAAAATAAACGCTAGCAAGTACTACGTATTCCACGAAATGCCGTGTGATTCCTGCGGAATGAAAAGTACTTTGGTAAAATGATATGTTGTTTTTCTGTAGGTCAGCTGCCTGATCAACTCGCTTATCTCGTCAGCCACGGAATATCCTCGGAGTAGTTTGAATATGTCTGGAATCGGCTCCTTTAGGGCAAACTTTGTGGCATAAGCTGTCACTCAGAGCCTTGCCGAGTTGCCATACTTGTATGCTTGACTATTCACGGATATTCGGTGAAATCTGGATCCCTTGGAAAGATGAAGATATTACTAAATCGGGATGACTACTGATAGTAGTATCATAAAATTCTCGCTCAATGAAGGGATATCAACAGAGCCTTGGAGTATGAGTTCTATGGATAATCCTGCATTCATGCAATTGTCTGATTGCTAAGTAGGTCTGGACTGGCCATGCGACTCACGAATTTTGGGACGCGCATGCCCTTTTATCGACATGACTAGCCTTTGAAAACCACTAGGCCCCAAAATGCTGACAAAATTCCACTATGATACCACATGACATCCATTGATTACTTCTAAGTCCACATTGGATTATCCAAATCAGGGATATTCAATTACCTATGGTCCTGTATGAATTGGGACATTATCCGAGTTGTAGATCAAAGGCCCAGAGGAGTTACTCCGGACTTTCTAGTGGATTACCAGTGGATTAACATAGTGGATTACCATAGTGGATTACCACAGTGGATTACCACAGTGGATTACCACAGTGGATTACCACAGTGGGCTGACTGCGCGTACTCTCTAAATCACGGGAAATTCTCTACTCTGATATATTCGCTGTCAAATAGAATCCCGGTTCATGAGAAAGTTTTGAATTGTTGTATAACAACTAAAAGTCTGTTTCTAGAACGCTACGCTCTATTTTCCATACTTAGGACCTAGATACCCTATATTCAGAAGGGCGAGTGAAAAATATATTTTTTACTTTGTCCTGTAGATCCACATTTAAAATGACCCAATGATTTTCTTTCAACTAAGCTTTGACTAGGGCATTGACAGAACGGGAGAAGAAGAGTAGAAAGCTCTGGACGCCTTTAATTAATCAATTGAATCAAACTTTTTACTGATGTCAACTGTCGCAGAAAATGGGTAAAACCGGAGATACTTCCAAGGTTTGAAGTCGATTTGAATTTGGCAATTCATGCCCCACAGACCATAGCTTCTGGACCCCTTGATTTGATAAAAGGAAAATTCTGAGGGCCGAAGATCTTCCGTGAACCACTTTAAAGGCATTGACCCTTGTTAAGGCCGAAAGACTTCGCAGTTATACAGACAGCTTTAACTCCAAAATCAAATGACTCCAAATATTCAAATTATCATGTTGATCTATTTAATTTACAGCCGAGGTCGTAAATAAATAACCTAGCCGGTCGATATCGGCTTACCGATCCGGTTTCCCGTTTCGGTGGCGGCAAAGTGGGGCCGACCAAGGCATCCCGAAAGTCATCATCGGTAAGTATTGAATACCATCGACCGAAATTGAACAAGTGGCCAGGTGGATTTTCAGGGCATGTGCCCTTGTGGTTCACTGCTCATGCAATTGAAGTTTAATCGCGGGTTACTTCCGATTCAGGGATTTGGAAAAAAAGGTCACAAGGGATCCTCAATTTCTGATATGTGCTTGTTACGGAGCCACTCAAGCCACAAAAGCCTCTCAACGTCATATGAGAATACACTGTATAATTCTCAGTTTTTGGAAAATACTCTGTATCATAGAATCAATTCAGAATTGAACTAAAGAGGAGGGTGGTGAAACTTGTAGAGCTTGGACAAACCCTTAGATGAGACACGCACATACAAATTTTTTATCTCTTCGCGGGCTATGTATCGACGTAGGGCCCCATTGAAACTACGGGTCAAAAGCTAACAACCCCCACGCTACTGGAGGGTCATATTGCCCCATATTACTCCGTACCTGAAAACATTCAAACCGGGCTTTTGCGGATGATGGCGGGGGCCCAGGGGCAGCAGCTCAATCACTTTATATACTGAAATCGTTTCGCAGCTTTGGCTCTCTTTTTTAAGTTTATTCCTATCATTCTTAAGGAGTTCACATACTATTAAAACTTCGCCACCATGTTTGGTTCAAAAAAAGAACAATCTCATCCAGTTACATCTTCTCACAATGAGACTGTTTCTAGCGAAAAAGATTCCGACCACCACGACGATACTTCCAAGGGATGGATTGTCGGAGGAAAATATCGCGACGAATTGTCCAACGAGCACGTACCCGACTTCGATCCCAGCCAGCTACGAGAAGTGGAATTCGACCTCCCTCTCACAATCACAAAACCTACAACGCATGAAGGAAAGGGATTTATCGTCTTGGAATTTGTCGATGGCGACAAGGAGAACCCTTTCAACTGGAACCCCAAGCTGAAGGCTTTCATCAGTCTTCAGCTTTGTGCCATGACACTCTTCATTGGTCTTGCCACCACAGCTTACAGCGCTGGTATTTCCAAGATGGCTGTCGACATCGGCACTTCTGTTGAGCTTGGTGAACTTGGTTTGTTCACCTTCAACTTTGTCTGTGCATTGGGTCCTCTATTCCTCGCTCCTTTCTGTGAGCTTGCTGGACGCAGAGTCGTCTACGTTGGTGCCTTCGGCTGCTTTGCCATTATGTTCATTGCGCTGGCACTCGGAAAGAACATTGGCACCATGATTGTGTGCCGTGCCTTGCTCGGTCTCTTCGGTTGTGTTGGCACCATTCTCGTTGGAGGAACCTTCGGTGACATGTACTACCCAGCTGATCGCGCACACCCTATGGCCTTCTTCTCCTTCATTGCCATCTTTGGTACCGTCGCCGCCCCAATTTACGCCGGCTTTGTCGTCCAGGCTATTGGATGGAGATGGCTCGAGGGTATCCAGGGCATGGCCAACATTCCCCTTTTCATTCTCATCCTTTTCTGCCTCCGGGAGACTCGTGGTAGTGTCTGCCTGTCAAAGCGTGCCAAGGCTCTTCGCCAGGCCACTGGTGATGACCGCTACGTGGACGTCAACGAACTGGAAGCTCCTGGTATCAAGGAGATGCTTCACAACTCCTCCGTCAAGGCCATCAAGATGCTTGCCACCGAGCCTGTCGTGTTTGCTCTTGGTATCTGGATTAGTTTCGCCTGGTTCCTGACTTTCCTCTTCTTGTCTGTCATTCCCATCACATTTCAAGAGAAGAAGGGCTGGGGTGAGGGTGTTTCCGGTCTGCCTTACATCGCTCTCTGTCTTGGAACAACCATTGGCTGGCTCGCAAACTATTTCCAGATCAAGAAGTATGAGTCCATTGTCAACGACCCCAACCGCAAGGTCACCCCCGAGGACCGTCTGTACGGTGCCATGTGTGGTGCTTACTTCCTTCCTGTCGGTCTCTTCATCTACAGCTTCACCCAGTACAAGCAAATTCACTGGATGGGTCCTATGGTTGGCTTAACCCTCATCAGTATCGGAATTTTCTTCATCTTCGAGTCTGTCTACAGTTACACCTCTGATTGCTATGGCGACAACGCATCCTCTGCCATTGCTGGCCAGGGTTTCATGCGAAACACTCTTGGTGCTGTTTCTCCCCTGTTTGCTACCCAGTTCTTCCACAACCTGGGCAGCCAGTGGGCTGGTCTGTTGCTGTCTTGCATTGCGACCCTCTTGACTTTCATCCCTTACATTCTGTTCAAGTGGGGACCTACTCTGCGCGCCCGATCCAAGCTTGCCAGTCTCATTGTGGACGGCAACTGAGTTTTTATGACTGCCCAAGTGGGCTAAGAAATTTAGACGATGGATGAGTGATGGATGAGTGATGGATGAGTGATGGATGAGTGATGGATGAGTGATGGATGAGTGATGGATGAGTTATGGAGTAATTTAAGGCATTTATTAGCCTCAGGAGCATTTTATGTAAATCATTAGCAAGCATCTTCATATTATTATAAATATTTAAAATGACGAATAAAAGTCAGCATCCTCAATCATCCTGATCTTTGAATTGTAATGGGAATCAACAGAAGAGTAATCATCTACACAGTCCACTATCTCGGTAGCTGCACATGTTGGAACCAATGGAATCTGGTTTACTGCAGTGAATGAACTCGGGAAGTGAATGAAACTAGTGGAATCGGGGCATATCCGATTCCATCGCGGGAATTAGAATGAACACACATCTTACCACATAACTTATTACACGTACAACGTAGTAGTAATAGTGCATCGAGATCCCTGTGAACCGACACTGATCAGTAGACGTACAGATCAGGAAAAGGCAAGACAAACGCACGAACCGGTTGAACACGTTCTTCTGATCTTTTTTTCGCGTCGGCAGTGAATTCTTGGGAAGTGAACCAGCTGAACAACCAAGAACTCCTATCTCCTATTATGTATCCTATCCTCCTTCCCAACCTCCTCATTCCGATCACCCATCATGACAGAACAGAACATCGACTAGGTCGTACGCGTGATAAGATGGAGCCGTGGAATCGACCTGATGACCATAGGATCTGATGAACGCGATGAATATATTGAGACAATGCTCCATACGTACATCAATGCTGCTTTCACCGACTACTCTCTATGGACACTGTTTAGAGAGGCATTCGAGAACTAGCAACTCCAACATTTCAAAGGACTAAAAAGTGTCCACCAGATGGCATTACGGAATACTCTACTTCAACATAGAGTCTTTATTCCGATGCATAAATCACATAAGATAATCTCCGATGCGCTCTACGAGACACTTAATGAGCTAGAGATATATAACTGGACCAATAATGACATCGAATATGCCATTCAGAATAGAACAACAATGGTCACCTTCGCCCTCCGAGGTAGGCTCAACTCCATATTCATAGTATTACGGGTCTATAAACCACCGACCGATAACTCGATTCAAAACTCTCCCCTACTTGGACGAAACACACGTATCATAAATTCTACGAGCATCCCTCTACCTGAAACCCCCTAAACAACACCGATCCTCTCTTAAGGAGTCTACTAAGGACATTAAGACCATCAAGGAAAGATATGAGGCCGACGTATCTGAGGAATAATCTGAGAAAGGCTTATACGAACAACGACGCCCATAAACTAAAGATAATACCAGACAAGAGGATTTTAGCCGAGAAATTATTAACCTAAGCAAGATGTATCTCGACAAGGAGAAGTTTTCTGGTAGTAACGGCGCATTCGACTACTATCTTGGAATCTTCCGTGAGAACTACAGCAAAGTTGGCATCCCCTAAACCATTTATATGCGCGCGTTTTCAACCATGCTTAAGGACACCGCGAGAGACCACTATATCAACGTAAACCTGATGACACGCGATTTCGAGGTAGTATGCACTCACCTCCGACAAGTTTTTAAAGGAGAAGAGTTTTGGAGACGAAATATGGTTGAATGGAGCAATACCTTACTCTAGAAGATCATCGAAAACAACAATTTTACCGCAGTAAACTCTATCCCGATCTACAAGAGTTTCAACCAACTCCTCCAGTCACTCCTAAAACAGCGCTATGGTCTCAAGATGGTCTGCAGGAATGGTGAATTCCTGGCCAGCCAACTCCTAACTACCTATTAAGGTGTTAAAGTATATAGAGGCGCTCTAATCAACCTAGCTACCGATCTAGCTAGCATCATCAACTGAATGCAATCTTCAATATCTACCTGGGAGGAAGAAAAAAAGCAAACATCACCAATAGCATCAACTTCATTGATAGGAGCTACCAGAAACTACCAGCTAATGACCACGAAAGACCACCTACCAACAACGCCGACAAGAAATACTATATCTACAAGAAGCCAGAATGCAGATCCTGGAAACATACTACTTAGGAACGGAAGGACCACCGCGATAAAAGCCATCGACTATTTAACAAGAACAAACGGTTCGAAGGTAAGAGCTTCCAGAGATAATACCATATATTCATCATAGAATATGAAGGAGATAATGATGACGAGCCAGACTTCGAAGCACTTGTTATCGATGCGAGCGATACCGAATCTGATGAGGATAATGGAGAAGCATTCCTTCCAGATCTTGGTAATATGACGATTCAAAATGCCTAGACTACGACAGACGAGCTTATGGACGCCGCATTTATCCATTTTCTGACCGTAGAAGAAGAAGAAGCTAAGATTGAATCCCAAAATGTTGCCGAGGCTATGATGACTACCCGGTACAAAACGAAAAAATTCTTTAGAATAATGATTGATTCTGGCGCCACGCATATCTTCACCGTAGGCTATGATCAGCTCTATACGCTATAGGACATAACAGGAGTCAAATATCAGCTCAGCCCGGCTAAGAAAGAGGTACAATTTAGAGCAGGATCACCAAAGTCAGCGATAGGCAGTATCATACTAAACACCCCAGTAGGCCAAATCCAGCTCTTCATCTTCTAAGCAGGAATACCATTCCTACAAGGACTAGCAGACATGAACATGCCCAAGATCTATTACAACAACCTCCGAAGAACAGTTATCATGTAGACTAAAGAAGTACCTATTGCTATTCGATTCGGACGCGCATTTATCGACCTCTAAGAGAAACCAACAGGACTCCCTGGGACCAGATCCCTAGAAACTAGCTATCGCTACTTCTTTACTAAGTCTGAGCTACGACGCCTATACCGACTTTTTGGCCATCCCTCTGCTAGAAGACTCTGAACAATCCTACAGGAATCTGGTCACAACGAGCCAAACACCAAAGAAACACTCGAGAAACTTACTAAATTCTGTGAACATTGTCAGAAGTTTGGACACACGCTAAGCAGTTCTCGATTCACTCTGAAAGATGAAGACGGAGAACTCAGATTTAACCATAACATCATTATCGATGTGTTCTATATCGATAGCTTACTAGTCCTATATTGTTGCGACAGCCGAGAAACAAGGCCATCAACAGACGGAAAGTATTTCGGCCGAAAAAGCTTCTGCCGAGACAGCGACTCCGGAACTGGATTAGTATATCACGGCATCCTTGAACGATATGCATTCATCGCAAACGACACCCTTGAGCGATGTGCATTCGCGACAGTAATGTCCCGTCTTCACCGTCTCTTCTGTCTCGGACGAATGTTGACATTCGTCCAGAGCAGAGGGGCGCCCATGTACTATAAGTAGCTAGTTCTTTCATCAATGAAAAATCAGACTTCACAACAATCGCAATATTCAGTATCGTAGCATCCACTACACCCGGTGGATTTTCTACGGTGTTGAGTAGCGGTTTGTTGGAGCTCACAACGTCTACTATTCTCAGTTAAGATATTCGAATATCGCCAAGCGAGCGACATATATGTTATAGACGATGCCACCTGTTTTTAAGCTAGATAATAGTTAAAGGAGATGACCACGAAACATATATTCGACACACTCCGGCAATGTTGGATCGATGTATGTCTTAGATCACCAAATAACATCACGACTGATGTAGGCACTAAGTTCACCGCAACTGAGTTGAAACATCGTGCTAATGCTCTAGTAACCAAGGTAAAACCATTCCTAATAAAGCACATAACTCCGTCGGGAAAGTTGAACAATACCGTAGATTGATTCGACGCGCGTACTCAATCATCATGAGAGAGCTTAGAGGACGAGGCTTTACTAAAGAAATGGGCCTCTAAATAGCATTCAAGGCGATCAACGACTCCGCCGGACCAGGAGGACTGATCCTAACTCTCCTTATCCTAGGAGCATACCCCAGGATGGCCGAATCAGATGCTCCATCGCCCATAATTCTACAACGCGCAGCAGCGATCCGTAAAGCATCAGACGATATTCAAAAACTCCGGGCTAAACAGAAAGTTGCAGAGGCCTTATAGACACAAAATGGCCTTATCACAACGATGTATAGAGCACTCCCTGGAACACCAGTCTTAATATAGCGCGAAAAATCAAAGAAATAGACTGGTCCATTCCCACTCATCTCGACAGAGGGAGAAATATGCACAATATAGATATTAGATAACCATAAGCCAAGCAAGTTCTAATCAACCGTTTTTAAGAGATACTACACCGAAAACGACGACGAGACAGATACCAAGAATGAGCCTACCCAACCAAACCGGACCAATCCTGGTAAGCCATCGACCACTCCACAAGAAGATTTCCCGAGAATGACCCTATATAATTCGAACCGACCCAGGAAGACATACTCTATAAGCCTGAGATCGTCATCCAAGACACACCCGAGATCATTATTCATGACACGCCCGAGGTATTTACAAAGAGTGACCCTATGGAAGCTTCTATCGACCAATTTCACACATCAAGACAGAAAGAGATCAATGGATTAATGGAACTAGGAGTATTTGAAATCCGAGAGACTACACCACCAGGAATTCGCGTCTTTAACTCACGATTCGTTGACTTAATCGAGAACAAAGGCACCGAACATGCGTATAAGAAATCTAGACTCGTAGTGCAGGCCTATAACAACACCGGCAAAGAACAGGTTCTAACACAATCTCCAACAATTCAACGAGCTATTCAGAAACTACTCCTAAGTATAGCAGCCATAGCTAGAGACATAGCGAGCATATACCTTAGAGACATCACTCGGACCTATGTTCAATCCACATCGGAGCTCATCAGGGAATTCTATATTCGGCCACCACCAGAATTTGGACTGAAGGGAGCAATCTTTCAGGTCGTTAAGCCACTATATGGTGTTCCCGAGGCTAGTAACCACTGGTTTAAAACCTACTAGAGTCATCATCTAGAGAGGTTCCAAATACAGGAATCGACGTATGACTCCTGTCTACTACACACTAAGGATCTACCATTCAGTATCGTTAGTCTTTAAACCAATGATACACTGATCTTGGCTGATGACAGATTCGCACAGAGAGAATGGAATAAGTAGAAGAACCCAAATTCCTCTTAAAGGAACGGGAACAACTGACTACTGACCACCTCCTATAATTCAATGGTTCTCAAATCAAGCTCGAAAAGGACCATATCTCTCTAACTCAGGAGACCCAATGCAAGAAGCTATCCCTGATCAAGACCAAGGATCAGAGAACTAAATACATCGCTTGACGAGCGAGAGGCGCATATATCGCATCAGTATGCTAACCAGAAGCAGCATTTGACCTATCCTTCGCCGCATAAACAGTGAATCCAACCAAGGACATCACCTGGCTTACTAACTGGCTTAATTAGCAGTTAAAGAACCCACAGAAAGGACTCAAACTCATCTCCCTGGACAAGAACTCACTTAAACTGATCGCCTTTACTGACTCTTCATTCATGAACAACAAGGATATGACATCCTAAATCGGATATGTTATTGCACTTGCAGATGACACAGGCGCAGCTGACTTACTACATTGGTTTTCTATCAAGTGTAAGAGAGTAACCAGAAGCATCCTAGCCTCTAAGCTATATGGATTCATGCACGGAGCTGATATGGCACTCGCTCTCAAATTGACTCTAACCAATATGATGACCATTCTCAATCCCAGGAAAGACCCCCACCCGTTTCCACTCGTCACGCTGACAGATTCAAAATCACTTTACGACTGCATCGTCCGTCTTGGCACAACTCAAGAGAAGAGACTTATAATAGACGTGATGAGCCTCAGATAATCCTACGAACGGAAACAAATGGAACTCGTTTAGATCGAAGGAAAGCATAACCTAGCTGAATCAATGACAAAGACTCACAGAGCTAACGATGCTCTACGCCGACTAGTTGAGACCAACAAGATTAACAAGGAAGCACTAGGATGGGTTGAGAGAGATAAAACTAGACTAAACACCAACCACATCAACAAACTTTGAAGTATCCCCAGTGTTGGAGCCAATGGAATCTGGTTTACTGCAGTGAATGAACTCGGGAAGTGAATGAAACTTGTGGAATCGGGACATATCCGATTCCATGATGGGAATTATAATAGACACACATCTTACCGCATAACTTATTACACGTACAACGTAGTAGTAATAGTGCATCGAGATCCCTGTGAACTGACACTGGTCAATAGACGTACAGATCTCAAAGCCAGTTATAGCTTTGGAAGTTCTTCATTCATACCCATGTAACGAACCGCCTGAGAGTGGCTGGTCCCGATCACCTTCAACATTCTGAATACTGATCGTAGGTTCTCTGAGCCATTCATCTCACAGCCCTACAGCATACAACATGCTAGGACTATAATGATCTACCATGCATCCATTAGGTAACGCCGGGAAATATTGTTATGGTAAATCGCCCAGAGACCACTTAGATATATCTTTCAAATATATTGGTTGTGTAGATAACGGCTTTACGTATGTAAAATATATTCCAAGGTTCCAAGGCCCTTCGCCGTCCGGGCGTGGATGTGCACGCGCAGATACAAACGCATTTTATTAGTGGATTCCCATGAGATATGGTTCCATTCTATTCTAAAAGCTGATAGGAGCAAATAGACTATTTAGATCGAGCAGCTATCATTTGAAATACACACATATTTTACCACTCGCATACCTCTACTATTAGTAGACTGTCTGCTTGGTAATATTGTCGACCGACAGCTGGGATAGACTGTACACTTTCGAGTGTGTCATTCGTGAAGGTCTTATCGACCTCACCCTTACCATTAGAAATCAGAATTGATCTAGCTAACGTTGGAACTTGGGATTTTCCAACTACTCCATAGATGTGGAGTAAAACCCCTGCTTGTTTTTAGGATTAACGCCCCCAATAATTACGAGACAGGGGTCTAAACACGCTAATTAAATAGGAAATTGATTCCTAAACAGTACACACTCCGAGCTCTAGTGCGATAAAAGTACGGGAATCTGGAACGAACGAACTTGTCAAACAATCAGTCAATCAATTCCCGACAGACTAACGACTGTCATTAATCCTTAATTTAATGTTGTCAACATGACATCCGCGAGTAGAGTTCAGCATTATGTTTCGCAAGAATACCAGTGCTTAATACAGGCCCAGCGGACAACTGAAAGGATAGCAAATAAATGAATCTGCACAGAACGAGCAAATCTCCGAGGCCCGGCGGGGTTGTGGAGATGGCTTGCCTCTAGCGTGAAGAATCACACGAAAGAATCACACGAAAACTCGTACTAAGTACTATAGACATTGTAAACTCCAAAACTTGCATATAAGCTGGGGTATTTGCAGTTTTTATTCACATCTTAGCAGCCTTTTTACTGTTCCATGATGGTTGTAATTTCCTCACTTCTCGCAATCAGCCTAGCACCATTGCTGGCTGTGGCTCAGCTGTCTGGAACTGTGGGTCCGACTACTTCTTATGAAGATAAGGCTAGCACAAAGATTTGCAATGTCCTCGACTATGGTGCAGTTGCAGACAACTCGACAGATGTTGGAGCTGCCATCACCTCAGCCTGGGCTGAATGCAAGGACGGAGGTGTGGTGTATGTTCCATCCGGTGACTATGCGCTAAGCAGCTGGGTTACCCTCACTGGTGGCTCCAGCTGTGCTATTCGGTTGGATGGAATTCTGTATCGGACACTAGATGACGGAGGCAATATGATCTTTATTGAACATACCACAGACTTTGAGCTATTCAGCTCTACCTCGAAGGGTGCTGTGCAGGGCTTCGGCTACAAGTATCATGCTGAGGGATCCATTAGTGGCCCACGTATTCTCCGACTATACAAAGTTACTGACTTTTCTGTTCATGATCTTGCTCTTGTGGATTCGCCCTCTTTCCACTTCAGCATGGATACATGCGAGAATGGTGAGGTCTACAACCTGGCTATTCGCGGTGGCAACCATGGTGGCTTGGATGGTATCGATGTCTGGTCTACTAATATCTGGGTTCATGATGTATGTCAATTGATAGTAGTTTCTGCGTGTGATACTGATATCCTTTACAGGTCGAAGTTACCAACAAGGATGAGTGCGTGACTGTCAAGGTCGGTTTCTATTTCCCACTTTATCTCCAACAACTAACCAAGTGCATTTCAGAGCCCGGCTAAGAATATCCTTGTCGAGAACATTTATTGTAATTGGAGTGGTGGCTGCGCGATGGGATCTTTGTCTACTGGAGTAGACATCTCAGATGTGACCTACCGTAACATTTACACCTGGACCTCGAACCAAATGTACATGATCAAGAGCAACGGAGGAGACGGCACCGTATCTAACATCGTGCTGGAGAACTTTATCGGTAATTGAGCTAGACACGAACCCCCTCCACGCAACGCTAATAATCTCACCAGGTCATGGCAATGCCTACTCCCTTGATATTGACCAGAAGTGGAGCAGTATGTCCGTCGTTGACGGCGATGGTGTGCAGCTGAACAACATCACCATCAGTAACTGGAAGGGTACCGAGGCAAATGGGGCCGCGCGTGGACCTATCAAAATTATTTGTGCCGATGGCGCCCCTTGCACTGATATTACCATTGAAGATTTTGCCATGTGGACTGAATCTGGGAGGTCTCAGTGGTACTCGTGCGAAAGTGCTTATGGTGAGGGAGCATGTTTGAAGAGTGGAAGCAAACACACTTCATACACCACCACCACGACCGTCACCACTAAACCATCTGGGTACTCAGCTTCTACGATGGCCTCAGACCTGGCTACTGCTTTTGGCTTTACTGAGTATATCCCTATCCCATCTATTCCGACCTCATTCTATCCTGGTGTGAAACCGTACAGTTCTCTGGCTAGTGCCAAGGAGACTGCCAAATAGGGAGACTTTAATTTAAAGGATTTCATAATCCCTTTAACTTTTACCGATTGTTGTTTCGACAGTGTTTATTCAAAGTTTTTCTTTCTCTGATCAATCTGTGAGAAGTATAGATCGTACCTTTACTAGTCTTTCGCACTCCACAGGCTGTGCAGAGTAGTGGTGTAGGTTGTTGAGCATTTTTTAAACGATGCTCCACTGGCCATCCGGATATGCCGTGGGGCCAATAGAATCATGTTCAATTCTATACTGAATTCCATGCTTGATTCCAGCTCAATTCCAAGCTTAATTCTATTCTCTATTTACGTTTAGTTTCACGCTCAATTTTATACTTAGTTCTATGCTTAAAACCATACTCAATTCCATGCCCTATTCCATGCTCATCCATTTCTAGGGAACCCACAGTCGTAGCGAAAGACCTCAAACCTACGTAAATTATGACTAATTAGCCTAAAACCTAAACGATATCTAGATAACTCCATTATTAGAACTAATAAATATTTTAGATGAATCCGACCATGGATAGCACTCTGTAATATGGTGGAAGGAAGAGTTAAAGCTGTAGAATTGATTTAGGTGTTCTGATTGGCCATGTAAACATTTAGTCATCTAACCGCTTTAAGGAATTCGCTTCACTCAACAATTTCTTCGGCTAGGAATTCTCATCATATACCGGCCCTAGTTATTAAATAACACATTCATCCGCTCGTTTGTCAGTCCATAAAATATTAGTGTGGTATTTTGGCACGTTCGGTTGAAACTGCCCCCGACGAATCCTACAAATGGTTATGCCGTTGAGAGTGTATTCTAAGAGATCATACGACCATAATTCAAAAGTACGAAAGATTTTCAATTCAGTTCATGTTATTCACTGTTATTCACTCCACCTGGGCACAGCCTTACCCCATACCCCAGAACTTAGACTTTACATTAACTAATGCCAATTTTCACCTAATCGCACTTATGTTTTGCATTTCTAGACCTATATTGAGGTATCAAGGCTGCTTCAAGGGGGAAGAATCCAGATAAATTTCCATCCTTCCAACATCTCATACCATCCAATTAGCTGACAGACCGCCCAAACTAGCTATACCCACTTGAGATGAAAGTGCAATTTTCACCGCAGCCCCCGGTCTGAATACTCCAGGATAGGGGGATGGCTATAGATTATTCCGTCCTCGGTCATCCTGCTAGATCTAGGACCCCCACGTCATGGCATCATTGGCCACCAAAGGATCTACGGGGTTAAGCCCTTACCGCCAATAAGAACGAGACATCTTATTGTAAGCTTCTGGCTTTGCGGAGAAGCGGCACCACGGTTTTGGTCGTTGTTTACCAATTTAGCCTATCAAAACTGGACGGCAAGTTATGTTCTTTCTCCACCATTGACCCCGGAACTTCACCGAGTCTTTTTGGATTCCATCAGGACCAATTGATTCTAGTAGTTTTATATTTTTCCTCCACTAAACCCGGATCTTGACCGAGCCGACTCAGCTTGACCGAACTCGACCCAGCTTCCTTGGGGCCATGTGACACGTTCCGTGGAGCCGAGTGCCTTTTTTCCGTTTATTTTGCCGAGTACGCACGGGAAAGGATCTATATTTTTGCCTGTTTCAATCTCGGTGTACTCATATATCTGAATCTGTCACCGGTTGATGAAATTTTGTGCGGGGTCTCCACAGATGGCATAAATCCGCTGTGATGACCTCTCGAGGGACTATGATTGATATAAAGCCGATATTTTCCCGATTCCCCGTTTCAGACCCAAAAAACTGTTTCTTTTTTTTTCACCTTCCCTCCCATTATAGTTGAAATCTTTCACTACACGTCCAGGGACCCTGTACTAGGATGTTCCGAGGAAAGAGCCTTCACTTAGCGCAGGCATTACTCATCGTTGTCCCTGCGTTCACTGTATTCGGTTATAACCAGTCGGGTTTAGCCCCTCTGGCCACGCTACAAAGTTGGGTGAAACTGTTCCCTGAAATCGACACAATCAATACAACCGGCGCTCTAAAGGCATCGCATTCCACAAAGCAAGGAGCTGTCATTTCGGCTTTCACCCTTGGTGGCTTAGTCGGAGCATTATCATGCACAGCACTTGGTGACCGTCTTGGGCGACGTAAGACGGTCTTTCTCGGCGCTATTCTTACTATCATCGGTCAACTTCTCCAGACATCAGCTTATTCACTGGCACAGTTCGTTGTCGGTCGGGTCATTCTTGGCATAGGAGTCGGCCAATGGAGTGTTGCTGTGCCCGTCTGGCAGTCTGAGTGCACATCGGCTAAACATCGTGGACGGCACGTGGTTCTTGATGGTATATGTATTTGTCTGGGCTACACCTTGTGTAATTGGATTGACTTTGGTCTAAGCAAGATTGGTGGCTCGCTTGAATGGCGCATTCCTTTGGTTGTGTCGTTTTTCTTCTCGCTCATCGTCGCCTTTTCGGTCTTCTTGCTTCCCGACTCGCCTCGATGGCTCGTCCGTGTTGGTCGTGTTGATGATGCCATTGTCAGTCTCGCAGCTTACAAAGGATTACCTGAAGACGATGAGTCCGTTCGTCTTGAGATTGCCGGTATTGAGAATTCTCTCGAGACAACCGTTGACAGTGCCTCCCTCCTGGACATCTTCAATCCTAAGAAGCCTGATGATGAACGCTTGCTTTACCGATTTTGCCTCTGTGTCGGGCTGCAATTCTTCCAGCAGATGTGTGGTGGTAATCTCATCTCCACCTACGTATCAGTTATCTTCCAACAGAACCTGGATATGGACAGTGACCTGGCACGCATTCTAGCTTCTTGTGCAATGACGTGGAAGTTCATGTGCAGCTTCGTCGCGTTCTTTGCCATTGATCGACTAGGTCGTCGGAAGATCTTCATGATCAGCGGTGCAGGCATGAGCATTTGCATGATGGTTTTGACAATCACCAACAGCTTTGGCAAAGAAAACCACACTGCATCGATTATCTCAGCAGTCTTCATCTTCATCTTCAACTCGTTCTACCCAGTTGGATTCCTGGGTGGTAACTTCCTCTACTGCACAGAGGTCGCCCCTGTGCGTCTGCGTGTTGCCATGTCTGCTATTTCAACAGCAAACCACTGGCTGTGGAACTTTGTGATCGTCATGATTACTCCTGTCGCACTCGACACTATCGGATATCGGTACTACATTATTTATACCATCATTTCCGCCATGATTCCGTTCGTCGTCTACTTTTTCTACCCCGAGACGATGAATCGGAACCTGGAGGCACTCAACCATGTTTTCCGTGATGCGCCATCTGCATGGGATATTGTCGCTATGGCTCGCCAATTGCCACAGGGTGAGACTGCCGAGGTGGACTTGTACATGAAGGACGGAAAAATGCAAATTGAACAGAAGGAAAATGCATAAATATTTATATGTAAACTGTTGAAAGTGATGTTATTATAATGGTGTTAATGAATTTAGAGATTATGAATTATCGAGTTGTCCCTGGAAAAAGTAAATAACGTGAATCCCGGTTGTTCCGTCATCCCACCAAAATATTCATCTCTATAGTAACCCATTGTTTTCAAACACCAACTATGCCACCAATTCGCTCTAAAAAACGACAGAAATCTATTGATCAAGAGGGCTTTATCTTATTAGTTATTCAGGCTATAAAATATGGTCGATACCCTTCTATCGCAGCTGCTGCGCGCTCATTTAATGTCCCAAGAACAACTTTGATTGATCGAATGAAGGGTGCTGAAAATTGGGCTGAGAAGCGTCATTCTCGTCATAAATTTCCTGAAATTGAAGAAGAATCGATGGAGAATTGGCCAGTCTCTATGGATAAGAGAGGTGCAGCTCTTACTCCCGCTATGTTAAGAGATATGGCCAATATTTTACTCCGGTCGCGTTTTTCAACCACCTCCGATACCCCCCTTTCTGTTACCAAAACTGGGTAACAGGCTTTTGTTAAACGTCGCGAAAACCTGACTTCTCGCCTCTTTCAGAAATATAACTATAAGAGAGCTAAAGCTGAAGACCCTAGAATTATTGTACCATGGTTTAAACTGGTTCAAAACACCATTCAAGAATATGGTATAGATTCGAACGACATCTTCAACTTTGATGAATCTGGCTTCGCGATGGGAGTTAATACGACCCAAACCATTATTACATCTTCTGAATATCATGGCCGGAGAGCTGTTTTACAGGCTGGGAATCGTGAATGGGTCACTGTAATTGAAACTATAAGGTCTTCTGGAGAAGCCCTTCCACCATATATCATCTTGAAAGGGAAGGTTTTTTTGGTGCGATGGTTCAATAAGCTACCTAAAGGGGGTGAATGGCGAATCAACATTAGTCCAAATGGGTGGACTAGCGATGAGATTAGTATTGATTGGCTAAATATACACTTTTTTCCTAATATTAGGAATCGAAGGGGTAATGTCGCTCGGAAGGGCGATATTCGAATATTATACTGAGAATAGTAAACGTTGTGAGCTCCAACAAACCGCTACGATCCTGAATACTGCGATTGTTGTGAAGTCTGCTTTTTCATTGATGAAAGAACTAGCTACTTATAGTATATGGGCGCCCCTCTGCTCTGGACGAATGTCAACATTCGTCCGAGACAGAAGAGACGGTGAAGATGGGATATTACTGTCGCGAATGCACATCGCTCAAGGGTGTCATTTGCGATGAATGCATATCGTTCAAGGATGCCGTGATATACTAATCTAGTTCCAGAGTCACTGTCTTGGCAGAAGCTTTTTCAGCCGAAATACTTTCCGTCTGTTGATGGCCTTGTTTCTCGGCTGTCGCAACAGGTAAATTTTGCCTTTTGATATTAGATAGTCATGGTAGCCATCTTACCCCTGAACTTGATCAGATCTGCAAAGAAAACGATATTATCGCTCTTTATATGCCACCGCATGCTTCACATCTTTTACAGCCTCTAGATGTGGGCTGTTTTTCGCCTTTAAAGAAGCTTTATGGCGCTGCTGTATCAGATTGGATGCGATTTGGTGCCAATTCGATCGATAAAGATGACTTCCTTGATATCTTCCCTAATGCGCGATCTGGAGCTTTTAAAGCGACTACTATAACTAATAGCTTTAAAGCTACTGGTATAGTACCTTTAAATCTAAATGAGGTACTAGATAAGTTGAATATTCGACTTGATTCTTTACCTCCACTTCCTTTGATATCAGATCGACCATCATAATCAAGCAGTAATAGCGATTCCAGCTCTCTTTGGACGCTCGAAAAACTGGCAAAATCAAAATCTCGTATTGATTTAAGTCTAGAATCGTCACTTGATTTGATTCCATCACCTACTATAAGGGCTATTCAAAACCATTACGATCGCACGATGCGAACAGTTCATCGTCATATTTTTTTAGATGATCGCTGTGGCCATTTAGAAGAGATGAATAAAAAACAGGTGAAAAAAGGGGAGCTAGTAAGAAGCACGCTGTTCACAAGGGTAGTTTAGGGGGTTTAGGAGAGATTCAGAATGACGTTGGTGGTAAGAATGGTGATGAAGTGACATATATATCTGATGGTGAAGCTGCTCAGAATATGTCCACTGAAACTGATTTGCCTATAATGCCTAAAACTAGACGCCAGCCAACCTGCTCTGGGTGTGGTAAGATAGGGCATAAGATCAATCAGTGTCAGAATCGTGTTATTTAGTCAAGTTTATTATGTTTTGGTTCTCAAATCTGGGGTTAAAAATTTATAATTTTATGAAATTTAGATGGGGTGATGGAACAACCAGGATGACGGAACAACCGGGATTCACGTTAATGCCAAGACTGTGACTAACCGAGTTCTTCGACGCCTACATTGTAAGGCACTCAGAGTTGCCGATTTCCGAGATTTCCGAGATTCCCAAGAGTTCAAAATTCCTTTTATGTCATTCTTCCTTTTATGTCATTCAGTGAGTAATTTAATCTTTAAATGGGTCAATATTTTGCCTCTAATAACATCTACGTGTTTTCATAAATCTACCCTAACCCGATAAGTAAATCGGTCTCTACGTGAGATCTGCTTTCACACGCACATTCATCACCACGATTATAGGATGGAAGTGAATTGAAAACACATATGCACTCTGGATTTAAAAATAGCAATTAATATAATATGATATCAGACTGCTGACAAAGGAAGGCAAACAATGTCTCAAAGGTATGGTAAGTTGAGATGAATTAGATTGGCTTGACCCTTAGATCTCTGGATTTCAGAGTCATATATGATAAGATGTAAAACGCAAACGTAAGTAATATCAGAACAAAAAGATTCAAACAGAATAATTATGATGCAAACAGAAACCAGCCGGAATTAGTCATGATAATGATGGCTGCAAACAGTAATCTCTCCACTATCAGAAGTGGTTTAGTCTGATTGTTTTTGATCAACATACCTTCCCAGTTTCCATGGCGGTAGAAACTGAGATGAGACCAAAAAGAAACGATCCGATCAAGCAGGCAGTAAGTAATTCTGCTACCTATTCAGAGAGATTTATGCCTTCCATATTGAGTTGGGACAAAAAATGGGCAAATTTTTGAGGTGGAAGCGGCTTTGTCAAGCTATCTGAAGTCACCAAGTTCGTCTGAATCCACTGGATTTGAAGCGTTTTCTTCTCCACTTCCTGGCGTAACCAATGATGGTGTATATCCACGTGACGCAGTTTGGTACGAAGTAGGGAATTAGCCTTGCAAATCAGATCAATTGTTGTGACAATAAACAAACAATTGATCTGACATTCCTTGCTCTATATCCCGTCGCAGCAGACGTATCTGGCGCTAATCCACTACAACGGTTTTCCCCCATAACAAACTACAGGTATGGAGCGTGGAGGGCCAAGAATCTGAGATCAGTGGTGAGACTTCAATATTGGTCCATCGATGTGTGGCGGATTCAAGAAAACTGCCAGTATCAGAGGAGTTGATAGTTCCACCTGAGAAATTACTCACGTGTCTGGTCAGGCTTCAGACCACGATGGATTCTCTGCATATCGTACAAGACCTGGATCATTTTACTGCGGTGCATATGCCCTTCATGTGGGGATCCAAATTTATACCGCAGGCACAACAAAGTATTTATGCAATCCTGTCCTTTTCGGGATTGGCGGTCACTGAGGGTTATTTGGCTTTTCTGAATCTGATGACTGGCCACTAGAGAGCAACTATCATATGCGTCATCCAGTCAGATATGGACAAGGCGGCAAAAGGATTGCAAAAGTTAAGGAACTTGAAAATTCAGCATGATCACGATGCGGTATGCGCTTCCTCCTCGGCCAAACAATATATGTGTTTAACGTCCTCAACGCGCCATATTCCAACACTGCGTACTCCATCGTGAGGAATGCATTCTTGTCGGTCAAGCGGTGGCTTCCGCGCTTGATCAAATTTCCTGTTATGTATAACATCACTATGACGCCCCTTATGCTCGACACAGTGGAGTGTCTGGTACATCGCACAGTTCCCATTATCCGACTCCCTCGTCCAGGTCGCATAATTATTGACCGCTATACGGGTATCTACGCAACCCATCTGTCTAATCTGTATGATATCTGCGAGTACGGCTGTGCAAGAAAGCAAATAATGCTCAGAAGTGAGTCGGGACCGTCGATGGGTGGCAATGAGCCGCTTTATGAGATCGAGCAACTAACTCGAGACTGGGAGCCGCCCAGATCACCCACATTGTTTGATGACCTCCGGCCACATGAGATCAAGCGAGTGTATATCGTCTTGCTGCTCTGTTGGCTATTCACCACTTACGATATCCAATTGAGATTAAAGATGAGATCGTTCGAGATCTCGCAAGTGAAATATTCTCCCAGTTGTCATTTTTCGCTCCGATAGCTAAGAAATTAACTGCATTACCTACATTTTTTCCGACCACTATGGCCATGCTCGAGATTGAAGATCCAGGAGAGGAATTGTTGGATAGGTTTACTTTGGATAGGTTTGCTCCGTTCACTGTTCCAAATATAAGTGCAATTAGACTACAAGAATTTATCAAACAAGTCAGAGCAGCGAGAGACTCGGGAATTAGGGGAATCTGGTTTGAATTGGTGGAAACATATCTGCATGTGGCAATGCCGCCCTAAGATATCATATGACATCAGTTAACGAGTATCAATTGAGCAATTCTAGATAATCATATATCCTCATTTGTGCCTTGACCTTTCCGTGCACGCCTCTAACCGAATTGAACAACAAGCTGAATAGTTATGATTAGTACAGACATCATTGAAGCGAACACAACACAATGAGTTTTAAATTTTGATTGTTATCTTATGGCTTCTGAAATACGGGGAGTAATCTGAAGCAGTAGACCAGCTGGGCCTAGCATAGCCATCGAAATAACGATCAGCACTTTAATTGGTCTCTAGGTATTATTTAGAGTACTACAAGCCAAACAAATAAGATGTCTTTATTTGCGGAGTGAACACAGAAGTTGAAATACAATATAGGTATGAGAAAGACTATCTAGTCATGCCATTTCTTCCAGGAAGGCACATGTCGGTAATATGAACAAGTTTTCACTCCTGCTCAATTCTAAGGGCAGAAGATTCAAAAATCTGGCCTGCTAATAGGGCGAGCATAGAAGTATCGGGCGTTTCATTCTCAGAATTGGAATCACAATGGTCTTTGTATTCATTGGTATGCGATTGGATGTATTCATTTGTGAGGGCCAGGCCAATGGCAAATTAGAGTGTTCTGTTTCATAATCAGAACCAGGGTCATTGGAATTTGTTGCAGGAAATTCAATATCTAGTTCGGAGAAGTAGTCCTCATCAATAGCCAAAGTTGGGTCATATTGGGTCATCTTGGGTCATCTTGGAGGGTAGTGAGGTTGTCAGCGGCGACATCAGGGCTTAGCGACCAATCTCTCAGACACTCAGACTTCAAATATTCATCCCTTACACTGAATTTTGTGATCCAGTCCCGGCTCAACTGGTGTGATCTTTAAAGAGCTTGCCATTATAGAATGAGTAGATAATGGGCGATTGCTGGGAATCTGAGTCTCTGAATAATAATAATTAGATCCTGACCAAGAGATCTTATCTTGGCCTATTTCTATACAAATCAATGTTCTAATCATCCAAACCTCGGCCGAATTGCATAAGCGAAGGCCATCTTATCTATCAACATCGACTCTTTACCGATCGGACGATACAAAACACAAAGAGGTAACTTATATCTCGACCTTCTATTGTTTCAGATGTGCAGTCTATTCTCCAACCAGCCCTGAGTCTGGTTTATCTCAAGTCAATTTTCAATTCCCGCAACATGCGTCCATCATCTCTGCTCGGCTTCCTTCCAGCCCAAGCAATCATTTCCGACCCCGCATTAACGATAAACAACATCCCCTTTACTACTCGCGCCCACTGGATGCGCCTTGCCAATGCGGCCTTGAAAATCTCTGGATCACCGTGTCCTTTCGCGGCATTTGGGACTGTGATTGTAAATCATACAGATACTAGTGGACTTGGCGAACTTGTATGCATGGGCACCAACCAAAATATGGCTACCGGAAATCCGACGCTCCATGGTACCTACCTACTCTTTATCATTCTGAATGTCAAGTTCTTGCTGACCTGATTGTAGGGGAAATGGCTGCGATCAAGAATTGTACCGCTATATTCACCGATCCAGAGGGCAAATATCGACTAAGTGTATCTGAAGCTGAGGATGCTTTTACCTACTTATCGCTCTATACTAACGCCGAGAGCTGTCCTATGGTAAAAATCTTGGCATTCCCCCGTCATTGATCGATACTTACATATTCAAAGTGTGCTGCTGGTATTCGCTGGTCTGGATTTCGTGAATACATCTATGGTACTTCAATTGACCGTTTGATTCAGAAGGGCTGGGGGCAGATCCGAATCCCATCTGTAGATATCTTTGAAGCTTCTTTCGATCTATCAACCTCGACACGGTTGATGGGCAACGTATTGGTTAATGAGACAGATCCTTATTTCCTGTGGCAGTTTGATCCGAGCTATCCCTGTCCGGAGGGATGCGATCGGTCTAGTGATGGGATGAGTTGCAAAGCTTCATAACTCACTGTTTGAGTACAGCATATCATTATTAGATTGCTATACTGCTGAATCTATATCTTCCATGTAAGAGCGTCTACCTATGTGGTCTTTCATGTCGATTTTTAAGATAGCGCTGCAGACTTTGTAGCGGAGGTGTATGGAATTAACCTAGATAATTTCACCTCTGCTGACTTTTATTTGATACTCGAGAGTCTTCACTTGTAACAGGATATTTGTATTCAAGTAGCAGCCAGCAATGCTGACAACTCAGCAACAATATTGGTTGACTTCGTGGCGAGACTTGGAACTTGTAATTTTCTTCCTATCTGGCATTTATTTCAAGTTTTGATCCCGATGAAAACATACGTGGCTTCGCTCATGGCTTCAGCCTGTTCTACTAAAATAAGAGGGATTGACACTCGATGACTTGACAAATCGATCAGTAATCAATGAGCAGCCACAAGATCAAATTCTGGGCCGTGGAAAAGTTCCAGATAACTATTTCGATTATTCACCCGGCTTCAAGATGATGGAAATTGATCATGTCAAACCTCATTTGCCACTGCATACCCCAGCTGCAGAGCGTGAGAAGGGCGTCAGTAGTTTCTACCAGTGGCGTTTTTGACGGTGCACTGTACAGAATTCCACCACCTCGTATTGGACGTCTACTCACAGTCCACACTCCAAAGGCCCCAATGTGACAGTAGACTGGTGTGACGGGACAGGTCGTACGATGAGTATGGCACCAGGTTCAACAGCAATGGTCGCCAGACCACGGGCTCTACAGCTTCTAGACCCAGAGTTGCGTGAAATAGTCACCTGTAGTCGCATTGAGTATGCACCACATGCATTCCAGTGGATGCTGACTGCTCTAATTCTTCGACTAGGTCATTTTCTGGAGATAGAAGGGCTAGAGATGCTTTTCGACAAGCTGTGTCCTTGAACTACTGATAAAATCTGCATTCATCCGATGGGTTGAGCGAATCCAGTGACGGAGAAAAGCTTCCAGGTCCATGGCTAGGGTGCATTCAAGCTGTACCTTGGAAGCTCACTGGATGAAGAAGAAAAAGTTGTGACAGACCTGATGGAAGTTCGCGACTTCATGCATAGGTACAAATCGATATTCTCTGGCAATATGCTGAGTCTTTATGACAAGCTACTAAGACTTATTAGCCAGGCACTGGCTCCGGAAAACATCTATGCACCGCATCAGGAACACGACGTGATTCTTTGGTACAATCGTTTATTATGGCAGAACGTTGTGAATTTTTTATTGGAACAATCTTTCTGAATTCATTAAAGCTGATATAATCTTTATAGACAAAGCTCTCTGAGTCCTATGGACCACGTATCATACATCAGTGTAATATTGCTACACCTGACCACTCTTCTGGGTGAAATATGGTCATGGATCCTAGGTATTGAGCTTTCAATTAGCTCATTCGGTTTGCTTATAGTTTTCCTAGAACGTGATGCTTTCAGTTACAAGATCATACAGGCGATATCCTATCAATTAAGTTTTATTGGAAGGTCTAGAAGCCACCTGGGCAGTTCGTGATTATAGTTTGCAGCTGTCTATCGATGCTCGTGTGTTGGTTAAAAAAAATCTGCTTTTCAAGTCTTCCAAGGTGGAAAAAAGCAGGCCAACCCATAAGCGACATCTCGGACTCGTACGTATTGATCATGATGCACTCCAATTTTCACAAAATGGTAACGTCTTCAATTTGGCCTGTTAATTGAAGTCATGCTCTTCAGCCATAGCTACCATATACAGAGGGAGGCTTGTTGGTAAAACTTCGAAAGGAATTAGTGATAAAAAATGGAATGATGAGCAAGAGCTTGCAAATGCGGAGGACTTGAATGTTCTCGATTAATTCAAGCTCACCGGAATTTGCATCGCGGCCGATACTTGAACGCCATCCTACAGCATATATTCAAGATTTGCAGGACTATCACACGACAGAACACATTCCGAATCAAACTTATAGACTGTGCTCTATCCAGACGTTAGATGTATCTCCGCTTCGGGATATTGCTAGACTCTCGAGGACGCGAGCGTGGATGATCGTGTAGACCCGAGCTCAGGTATAGATGCCGAGGTTGAAGATGCAGCAACCATCTTAGAGCTCTTTGCCTGGGGCCAACGAGAAGTATCAGCCTTCTATGACAAATCCTCTCGATGAAACAGCTCAATCACTTCTATCCAAACCTCTTTTCCAAAGTTCATTCTAAATTAAATCTATCATGGAGAAAGTCACTCAGGCCAACCCGAAAGTTTTAGATCTATCATACACCCTCAATTGACCTACGAGTATATCTATACGTATCCTTGATAACCGAGGGATGCATGTTCGGTCTGCAGGCATGGTTGGTGCCTTTATTTTAGCGGACTCGAGTATCAATCTGATCGATCGGAGGACGATAATTTTGAAAGAAAATGTGATGTGAAATTAACCGTGAGGATCTATATGTCATATCAAAATACTGCATTCAATTGCCGAGAAGCTGTTCAGGCTGCTCACACTGTATGAGCTGTGTAATGATTGGGAGCCGAAAACAAGATCCGACGTGTTCCATGGTTGACCGGGGCTGAATCGGGAATAATAAAATACCAGCTAAACCTATTCTAGTTAAGCCTCGAAATAAGTGTATAAATTTCCAGTATTTACAAACGCTCACACATTTCCAAAGTTCCGTTAAACCGGATCTCTGTTCTTCCGAACCTTCTATCAATCATCGGCTTTCGCACTTGGCTTTCAACCTTCAATTATACTCCTATCAAATCATCAAAATGCCTGGTCCATACCTGAAGCAGTCGCTCAAGACTATTTTCCAGAATAATCAAGAATGGGTGGCCTCCAAGAGGGATTCCGATCCCGAGTTCTTCGATAAGCTTGCAGCTGGACAAGAGCCCGAATACCTGTAAGCTATTGACTAATCTAGTCCATATACGGCTTTAGGCCCTCGATCGTGAAGATGCCTAAGTTTGAATACGAACGATGCCGTCCTGCCGAATCCTCCGCTCACTATAAATAGATACATCGGTTGCAGTGATAGCCGTGTCCCCGCAAACGAGATCATGGGTCTTGAGGCTGGCGAGGTCTTTGTCCACCGCAATATCGCCAATCTCGTTCCCAACACCGACCTCAATGTCATTTCAGTCATCAACTATGCCGTGCGCCACTTGCACGTCAAGCACATCATCGTTTGCGGCCACTACAATTGTGGAGGTGTCAAGGCTGCGTTGACCCCTGCTGACTTGGGAGTTCTCAACCCTTGGCTCCGAAATATCCGCGATGTATACCGTCTACACGAGAAGGAGCTCGACCAAATCCCCGATGAGACCGCGAGATATAACCGACTGGTGGAACTCAATGTGGTTGAGTCATGCAGAAATGTTATCAAGACTGCTGCTGTTCAACAGAGTTACCGTGACAATCAATTCCCGATCGTTCATGGCTTGGTCTTCGACCTCAAGGATGGCGTGCTTCAAGATCTCAAAATTGATTTTGAGAAAATGCTTCAAGATGTGATGAAGATTTACAGCCTCGGCCCCATTCCTGCTTGATCTTGAGAGCCCGAGAGTGACGTACATTCCATTGTACAAGTGACCTCCGTCCGTAGAAGCAAGATGAATATGTACTTGAAATGATCTTGAAATGACAGAAGAGAATGGACCGGTCTAAATTGAAAAAAAGAACTGAGATGTCGATTAATAAAGTCATCCCAATAGGGGGGCTAATCGTAGCCGTAGTAGTATTGTTGCCCGCAACAACAGAGTATAGAAACATTACTCTAGTGGTCATATCCAGCATCTGCCACCGAAAGGCCTTTCCCATTTACCGGGTCATAGACGATTCCATGGACACGAACATTTCCTTGTCGGATTGCGTCGGCCACTTCTGGAATTTCCTGTAACGAAGAGACTTGTTGAAGAATATTCAATTCAACAAAAGAGCGATCTCGATCACCAGCCGGAAGTTGATCGATAGATCCCTGGTGCTTAGTATAGAGCGAATCCAGTTTACTAATTCTCATCAGTCTTTGTCTAGTGTGATTTTGAATAGGGGATATTTACCTTGACCAAGGGCCTTGTAGACCCTCTCTTGATGCTGCTTTCACGATACCGCATCCGTAATGGCCACAAATAACAATGTGCTTCACCTGCGAGGGGAGTCAATTTGGGCATCTTTGGTTTCATTGGAAAAGTAACGAACCTGAAGATCGACGATTGCATGCTTGACCGCAGTTTCGCATGATAGATCGCCTTCAATAATCATGTTACCAAGATTCCGGTGCTCCAAGATCTCTTCCGGGAGGAGATTGTGAATAGTAGTCTCCCTGAAGCTACTATCGCAGCAGCCGATCCAGAGAACTTGTCTCACTGGTTTCTGGAGACTGGGTATAAGACCTGTAGTAATATGATCTGTACGGGTCATGTTACTTGGAGGATTTGAAAAGACTGTAGCCATTTTTCTACAAGAGGGAAAAGTGGCGATGTCGAGATTGAAGGGAAATCTAGGGGAATGAGCTCTGAGTAAACTGGGGAGGCGCAACCTCTGAGCGAGACGATGACGACAGTAAATCATTTCTGAGGATCTAAGGATCCGATTCACTCGAATTAAGTATTTGGAAATTTCTGAAACTCGGAAACATTTGAAGCTAGTAATCCCCTTGTTATCTTGTATACGGCCGAGAGATACTCCTTCGGTTGGTTTTACCGGCGCAACTTCCATGTTAAAGAGCAAATTCCAGGGCGATCATTTAAACTGAGCGGGGCGCACCCACTTGGAGAAAAGCGTTCATCGGAAGTTTCATTTCAATACATACTTGGCGGTGCGATCCAACCACTCAAGGTGCAAGGAAGTGGATAGTAAGTATCGAATCCCGCAGTGGAGTTCATTTCTATTGACGGCTTTGTTAAAGGTACGGATTCCGAAGTATTTCCGTATTTGAATATGAGCGAATCAGAAGTATTTCTCGGATCCGAACGATCACGTCGTCAAGTCACGAATGTTTCTAGTTATGCTATAATAAGCTATTAGAAACAGTTGTTCTTCAGCTCGAATTCAAATCCAGGAGCATTAAGTTTTACTTCATTCCATTCTTGTCTTTAGCGACTTGTTCCTTGTCATTTCCAAGATTTCTTCTCCGAGGCCGTCGCTATCATACCGAGTCCTTATCAATCTATACACTTAATATCGCAACTTCGCAACCTCCTGGTCATCTCTGGAGCACTCTTTCTCTACCATCAAATATTTCGCGCTTTGGAGTATCAGGTGTTGAGTTATATCAATAACAGGTATGACACCTAAATCAAATCAGGTATGTCGCCTGAACTAAATATAGTCTTAGTCAAAATGCCTATTACACGCCGTATCTCCATGACCAACTTTGTCGTCGCTTGCACAGCACTTTGCTTTCAAGTTGGTGTCTTGTATCCATGGCATCATCAACTAGATGAGGAGTTCAAGCAGCTCAAGGTGGACCATCTACGTCTGTTGAAGGAGAATGAAGAGAGCCGGATGAGTGAACTACGATCTATCACGGAACATCTCAAGCTGAGAGACTTCGCACGTCAATCATAATGGTCATCTTCAAGCCACCTGAGGATATATTCCGCATTTCCTTTTTCTTCTATTTTCATTGCATTATTCCACGGTTGCTGCGTTATCGTCCTTTACACTATAGATGGCAATATATTTGAAGTTTTCTAGATTAACGAATATCATACTCTGTACTTCATTTTCCACTTCTGAAGTCCTATTTTTTACTTATCTTTGTTCAGGTACCTAAGTACCTAGTAGCAGCCCTGGATCTACGCTCAAAATACTGCAGCTTTGATCTAGTGCGTCGCGTGAGAATGCCGATCTATAATCACATGTCAAATGCACTAGTGTATGACCTTACGCTATTGAAGTACGCCCGGTAGCTAATCAGGTTAACAGCTTTGTTCAAATGGACTAGAGAGGCTAAAACCAGCTAGACAACGCACCTTTTGTCTAGGCCAGGGATTCAAATATTCGCGCCACCAACGTGACAGTGTGCGCGAATACTCCTATGTACATCACAAAGTACTCCATACTCCTTAAAAATTCAGGATGATTGGTTCCGCCCAGCTCGGCAAAAGCTTGGCATATGTTGTTATCTCAAGGCCGATCAGTCCCGACATCCAATATGTTTCCATCGATTGAGTAAATCACGTATTTCTTCTTGTAGTACTGGGAATACTTTGTCGACGCCGGCGAGCGTAGTCTGTTGATCCACACAGCGCGCCTGTAGATTTCTGATCTTGGTTCTTTCTTGATGAAGCATAAATTCAAGCTCTCTGTTCTTCTGTCTTAAGCGGTCATTCTCACATAATGACTGGGAAATAATCGTTTCCAAACAATGACAGGACTGGATTGAATTTTCGACATGTGAGGCAAGCTCAGGATGTCCCTCAGTCAGAATTGAAATTGTCTGGCATACATCTTTCAAATATGTGCAAAGGCGCTCATGACTGACTTCGGACATACGATCAGCGTCCTATTCCAGCATTGTCAACGTGGGATCGTCCCGTAACGATAGGTCTGTGCATTTACTTCTAGGGCGAATCGCTGCCTATCCAGCGGTTTCAGTGTAAATGCAATTACTGCTGCATCGGATGCATGAGAGCCAACAGAAGGCTCATTGTTAGGAAGCATATGCTTGTCGGAAGGCTGAGAATTCATTGTAAAGAAGGAAATCAATATTCAAGTGTTTACTCGATATTCAGTACTAAGTAGACCTCGGGAGATGGATTTTCGTGAACATTCCAGTTTCAAAAGCCTTGGAACAGTCCACATGTTATGAGTTTCTTAGCCCTCCAGATTACATATGTACTCCTTGTTCTGTATAGGCTGAGTGTTGTACTCGGATCCGGGATACGGCCGATATCCGAAAATTCGGGAGGATCGTGGGTCTGATGGCCCCCCTTTTTCAATACATCCACCACGAATTGAATTTCTCGCCGTTTAAGATTGCCACGAGGGATAAAATCACATTACGTATTTCGTAGCCCGATGCGGATCCAGGTCTGAGCACTTCTGCTTGTAGTGATGAATAGGGCAATAATCCGCGTCCTTCGGCCGGTTGTCTGTGCTGAAGTCCAATTAGATTAAATAAGGTTCTTGTGTCCTTGAATCCGTTCAAGTGGAGAAATTGAGTCTCCACAGGTCGGGATATTCATGAAGCAGACCCCGGTAGCATGTCACAGACCTAATCCTTATGTTTCATAGCTGAATGCCAGTCACTGCTCAGGTGGTGATTACCAATGACTTACCTTGGTCAAGTTGACTATTATTCAATGGTTTAGATCCACAGAGTACAAGCATTAATTCACATAAAGGGGCCCTATGTCACTCACTTGTAGAGGTTCTGGTCTTCAGGGTTCAAATGGGCTAGATTGGAGTTAGACTCATGCCGGTATTTAGTGCTCAGCACTAGACTAGAGCTGTTAAGCAGTCATGTGTCGAATCAGATAAGCAAGTACCCAAGTACTTAAGTATGTAAGTGGTGTAATGATGATCTGTGAATGTTCAACGTAGAGAAGAAGTTCCAAATGTTGTGGATATTTTTTAGTATAATCAGACATCATCCATTACACTTGGTGCCCTGAAATAGACACAAATGGGACTAGTTTTTACCTAGGCTATCACCTTAGAACATTCCAACTCATTTGTAACCTAGAGCTGCACTACTGCACCTGCACTACTTAGGTAATGTACTACGCCTCCCTCTGAGGCTATGCCTAGAGATTACACATTCAACCAGAAGGTGCCAGAGTCAGCCATGTCTAAAGAGTATAAAAGCCGTAGTATCAATACAATTAGAGGTCAGCTTGAATATTTAAGAGTGAATTTGTAAGAATAATAGAGCTCAATAAGCCGTAGAGTTACTAGGTATTGCCTATCTAGTTAGATGGTCCTAGAAACTGAATCTTGGAGAGGGCATCAAAGTACATACAAAAAGTCACTTTCCTATTTCCGGCACGAAAAGTGATAGAATATTCACTCTTCATTTACTTTCATCTTTTACTTGATGTGCAAGGTTCACTTCCTATTCACTCTCTCCCCTATTCACTGTCTTCAGAGTCAGTGTATAATCTCATGCCCGGAGATTCCGGACTTCATATTCTTCCTTCATCCATCCTTCGTGACATTCAAAATTTTTCATGTGCTTCTAGGCAGGAGTCTCGATGTATTCTCAAGGTCTTAAAATAGAGACGCCGCTAAATGAATTTGGAAAAGAAGACTAACACGAAACCAATTCTCACTTTGTCGATGACATGATGAATCGCAATATTCAACGAGAAAATCTTCAGGAGACTTTCAGGAATCTCATCACAATATGACCAAGGTTCATTTGAAATGCGGAAAAATTGAAACAAGTGCTAGATCTGGACCCGGATTGAATTTCAACGTTCGATCTTTACTTCCAAGTTTACCGGAGTACCGGATAGACGAATGATCAAATTCCAAACATGAAATGCCATTTGGCTCGTGTCTGAATTTCTTACTTTTCGTCTGGTTACTTTTAATATGGGTTGAAGGAAGCTGAAATCCAACCACAGGTCAAGTCAGTTTGACAAAAACAGACCTAGTCATGCGATACCATGAAAATTTTCATTTCCAACTCATCACTAGTCCATTGATGTTACATTCAAATCACCTCAAAAAACCTTGCTATCACTACTATCAACTCAATTGCCACTAGGATTTGAGACCATATATTTGAATCGCATTGCTATCACCTTCACATCGCATTACTTTCACATTCACATCTATTGACATTTCTCTCGAGCAAGAAGACCATGGACAAGGATCATGGCAAATAATGGACTTCTATTGGTGCTGTGTTTGGTTTGGTTTCACTTAGTTAGCCAAAATGTGAGGTTCGCATATATCCCTTGTGGATTCGCGGCTCCGTATCGAGATAGTTTACCCTTTCACATGGCAAGTGTAAACCACCTGTTGACAAACACCAAAGTGTGGCCGGATCGATCAGCAGATAACCAAGTGTTTTCATATTTACGATGTGGAATTCTTATTCTGATCAACTACCAAAATCTGATTAACCACTGTTCAACAATGATGACTCGCTGAAGACGAGGTTGAGTGCGAAGTTTGCGGTTACACTCAACAATGCCTTGACCTGCAGTGAAGGGGACCACATCATCAGTAGTCATGAGCATATTTCTCGTCCTTCCCCATTTGACCTCAGTAGACTGGTACCATGTCATTCGGAGTTTACCAGGTGTAATCGGCCGATGGCGGTTAATGTTGATACCGGCGTATCTTCGGGCGAGTTTCACGAGTGACAGAGTATTCTCATTTCAATTGAGTTATTGGTCGACAATATTTCCGACTATTACTCACAGTTTTCTCATCATCACCCACTGCCACATTGGGAATTTGAGATGTTGTCGGCAAGTCGTTGACTTAGAGTGGACCTCTAATCGCTTATCTGTTCTATCAAGCCATCTACAACTAACACCGAACATCAAACAAACGAAATAACCATGCCTTCAGAGTTCATCACCATACGGACTCTTCTGCCGACGATTCCAATCCCCCCGAATAGTGCACGACCAGCAATAACTACTAGCCGATTACTTCTCCGAGCCTTAGAGACAACTGACCTAGAGGCACTGTACACCTTGCGAACTCAAGAGGAAGTTATGGTATGGACATCAACCGGTCATATCGATAAAAACATCGAAGACACAAAAGGCAAATTGGAATTCTTTCTCCCGCCCAATGATGCAACCACGGCAAACTGCGCCATCTGCTGGAAAGAGACGGGTGAGTTTATCGGCATAGGTGGTTGCCACCTCTACGTCGGCTCCCACGGATGGCCTGAACTGGGCTATATGCTACGGAAGGAGGTCTGGGGCCATGGGCTCGCGACTGAGTTTTTGAGTGCCTGGCTACGCTTTTGGAGCGGGTTACCTCGGTCGGAGCAGGAGATCACCGTCCACAAATCCACAGTGAGAAGCGGTGTTCAAGAGCAAATTACCGCCGTAACAGATTCACGGAATGCTCCAAGTCAGCATGTTTTACTGAAATCTAGCTTTGAGAAATTCCGGGAGTATACCAAGGCTGATGGTAATGAATCTGATGGGTTGATCAGGCTGGTCGCATTCCGCTACTTTCCGTTGAAGGAGACTTGATCTAGAATCGAATCAACATTTGATTATTCCTATACCAGATTTTGAATCACTCATTGGGAAAGTTTTCAGTTGGAGCTTGTCTGCCCAGCATATGCCACCGCTCGCTTTACAGCTTTCCAGTCGTGTGTCCCTGACCACCGAACGGGAAATGGCCGATGAATCCCCAGATTTAGACAGCCCTAAGATTTTGTCTGTTTGACCTAAATATCAAGTCCACTGAGGCACATGGAGAATGTGATTTTAGCCAGTGGAACGGTGATAGGAACAAAGACCCGAGAAATCCGTCATCAATTTGATACTCGTGGAGGCCAAGATGGAAGGGGTGGCTTGCACACGAATTCAACATGCCGATTTCTCTTCCCACTTATGCCCGTATAGATTCCTATTCACCCTTTTCTAAACTTGCAGATCTGTCAGTTCCATACTAGGAGCTTTGCGATAAAACCAGTCGATATTGAAGTTCATCAGAATCGACTATACAGTCGTGGGTGTGGGGATGCTATACGTCTTCTCGACATTTGAACCAAACAGATGACACCAGACCGAGGATGTGTGTGAATATTGTGGATAGACAAGATCGACGACAAAAAATCAACTGCCCAGGTAGTCACCAGGCTCCCGTGACACTTTTCCAAAACCAAGCATTTCGGCCATGTCATCCTAGCATACTGTTGTGAATATGGGATTCTTTATCTCGGGCAGAGCACTCCCTTAGTCCCATCGAGCTGAACTCGATCTCTTCTCTCTCTATATCTGTCTGCAATGCTATAGAATTGAACCAGATTTCTCTCTTCCCTGTAGCTTATTATCTCACGATACATACAAGCTGGATTTGGCGAGCTGAAGTTTGACGAAGGTCTAACTCTATTTCAATGTTAGCTACGTGACTTAGTACAGGTGCATAGAAGATATGAACAAATTTTATTGAGAATTCGTAGCTGGTGTGGTCATCAGTCATGATATGAGGAGGCGCGAACGAGACGAGAACAAAAAGCCGCCCAGGAGCCCAGATAAAAATGATTGTCAGAATGGCACAGAGTAATTTATAATGGGGGATGAATAGGTTGATGGGCTGGGTAAAGGTAAAAGAGGAGCAAGAGGTGAAGGAGGGATATGAGAGAGGAAAAAATGATCACTCGTAACGCGTCCTTCGTGACCGGGGAGCCACATATGCAATATCTTCTGCGACAGTAGGGATGTATCGATTTGTAGTGGAGCTCCGTTGTGGACTCGTCCAGCGAGAGCTTCGTGGATGGGGCCCTGCATTACTGAAAGATCGCGGTCGATCAGAGCCACTGCTCCCACTTCCAGGTCGACTTCCCGCGGAACTACCACCGTAACTCTCTCGGCGTCTATCCTCGAGGTATGGATCTATATTATGGCGATGACGTTGAACAGGTCGTGAAGCTTTAGCATATATGGGTGGTTCGGGAGCCGTAGGAACATGATGGCCGTCGAAGCCAAAATCACGAAATTCGAGGTCGGGTGGTGGTCGTGATCGTGGGTGCCCATCACGGTGAGCCTTGTGTTTTATTTCGTAAACTTCATCATATGGTTGGCTTTTTTTTGGGGAGCGACTATAGGCTCGTTGACTTCGTCGGGGCGAAAGTTCCCGCACGGGTTTGCGAGTATAGGCATCATGAGAGTGTCGGCGGGCACGAGCATGAGATCCTGGTGACAAAGTTTTTCGAGAGCGATGTTTAGGTCCGGGAAATTCATCGAAAGGTAAGATATCGGAGACATCATCTACCGGTTCCTCATTCCTTCCGTGGCTGAGTGGATGGCCGTAATATTTCCCAGCTCGCCCTCTTGAACTTCGGACACAATCTGGTCGAGGTGATGGTGATCTCACCCGTGGTGACGTATATCCCGATCGCCCACCATCGGGGCGTAGAAAGTAGGCTGGATCTGGCTTGCGAGAGGTGTAGGTGGGATAATCGGCACTCGGTCGGCGCTGATTCCGACGTCGACTGGACCGGTCTGAGTCATAGTGTTTGTGGTGGCGCGATGCCGAGCGAGATGAAGGGTGAGGTAGATATTCGTCCTCGTCTGGTAGTGGGTCTTTTCCACTGAAATGGTAATGATATGCGTTGAAATCTGGAGGCGTAGTGCGATTGCTGTTTCTCTTCACATAGTCGTCCTCGAGTCTCTTACAGACGCTCTCATGCCATTTCACCATTTCTGGGTCAGGTTCCGATGGGAAGGCGTCCCGGGGAATCTCCTTGGGGAGTACTTCCCCATCTGGCCCGGCGATGTCCCACTTGGTCACTGCGTTGTGGAGAAGCCGAGCGTGTTCGTCCGGATCCAGCAACAATTGTATTGTCTGCCATCGCACAAAACCATTTGGGAGGAGCGAAGGGATGGATGGAGGCTCATAAGGGTTCTTCGATGGCTGAATGCTATGGAAGCATCCTAGCGACTGGTAGATGAATGATAGCGCTGAAAGCTTCGTGTCGAGAAATAGCGGGTCATAGTTCCCGCCAACAACGCGATAGAATGCAGCGAGTCGTTCAGGCGTGAGATCGGTAGTACCATCATCATCGAAAGACGGCTGTATATTATTTTCAGTTAAGAGGACTCAAGATTGGTGTATTTGTCACGGCTCTCCAAACTAACCATCACTTTCGCGACGCCCAGACATAGCTGTTCCAATAGAGGAGCCGGGCTCTTATCCGGGTTGATCAACGTCCCCCAGTGGCTTGCCGAGGACATGGCACTGGTAATGGGACTTCTTGTGGATCTAGATCTGGGTGAAGAGGATGAAGTGAAACATAGAACAAAAGGGAAGGATCAGATGGGACCAAGAACAGGATTTGACTGATCTCAGGCGTGCGACGAGGCGGTCAGGCACACATGACCCACTGCGGGGAGATAAACGATAAGGATGAGATCCACGAGATCCACGGTTATTAGTTAAAATGGGGTTTTCTCTTTCCACTGATCTCTGTCCGGTTGGTCCTCTACTTATGGAGAAATGCTCACATTGCCACCATACTAGTCTCACCCTCATCTGACACTGACAGCCTGTATTTAGTCACATCTCACTCTCATGAGTCACTCTACTCCGTACAGTTGATCACTGTCAGCAGGACAGGGTCATGATCGATCTACGCCTAAGCTAATACGGGAAGATGGTCAAACTTGACTCTTTCCTCTTAAGGCTTTCATGAATCAATGTGCATTCTCGTGGCCCAGGCACACCCCTTCATTCTACGGCGTTGTAGATCGGCATGCCATGCTTGACAACATCATTCCAATATCGAGATTGGAAGCGTTGGATTGGATGTGCTGTCTCCATGGCAGCCTATTTGTAGAATATTGCTATCTAATATTTGATGGTAGGACAGATACCACCAGTTATGGCAGTGAATTCCAGTCTGTGGCATCTAGTCTCAAGCCTTCATTCACTGGGGAAATAAGTGCTCTTGCTTCCCCTTCCTTCCCTCTCCATCGTCATTGATTCCAGACTATCGCTGTCGCTATCACTGCCAGACTCAACCTTAATCTCAGTCTCAAGATTATCCGATTCATCAGATCATCCATCTTAATCACATACAACTGCACCCTCTTCCTCATCAACCTTCGAAACGTGTCCAACCGTCCATCACACAAAGCCACATCCTCTTTCATCCCCACAATATGGCCCTTGTTCGTGATCCCTACTTTTGGAAACGCTTCTCGACAGCCGTTCACTTATCCGAAAATGCAAAACATGGAGCTGGCGGCCTAGAGAGTCCCACCAGTGAAAAGTATGTTTCCATGACCCAATACTACAGACCGAAGGCTAATGACCCGCAGAAAACCACAATCATGGCTAGAACGTGAGCGTAGAAAGAGTAGAAGGTCCCTGATCTGGGGATTCATCATCTTCTTTACCATCGTTCTTCTCGTCACTGGTGGCGGTATCGTATGGTGGCTCAGCAAGCACAACTGGCTGCAGAGCATTGAGCCTTGAAGACTGCTCGGTCTTTTCTTGTTTCATATGTTGGATCGGTCGACTTTACCGATCGAAAACTGGAGATATACCCACCGCGCCTCCAGGGCGGGCTTGATGGAATGGAGATAGTAGATAGATAGCCTATATAGTGAAAATACAATCTTAACATGCACTGACATAGATCATTCTTATCTTCAACGGAAGGACCAATAGATCTAGATTAATTCTATCCTTATCTATCAGTCCATTCTCTACTATCTATCATACTATGTATCTCTGCATAAGCGGACTTAGCCCGCTCCAACCGAGCTCTTATCAGTCTCCACTTCCCCGCAAAGAACGGATAAAACGCCCTTTCGCGCTGCTTTCTAGTTCTATCCATACCCAAAATGTTACCTCCTTTCGACTATTTTACCTACAGGCAAGCTCGGTAGGTTGATCTCTTTCTTTGTCGAGTTCTTTCTTTCTTTGACACTCAATAGCCAGCAGAAGCAGGCTGAGCGAGCTGCTCGATTCTCTGGTCTACCCTTGACATACTACAAACCCTTCGATACAGGGGACAAGTTTCTGATTGATCAACCAATTGAGAAGCTGGTGCATGACGTTCAAAGCTCACTTACCAACCCGCTGGACATTCTCCTCGCCTATGGCAAGGTAGCTATCAGGGCTCAGGAGCGTACAAACTGTATCACGGAGCTATTGATTCCAGAAGCAGAGAAATGGCTTAAATCTGAGGTGAATCTCAAGGGCCCTTTAGCTGGTATTCCTGTTTCTGTCAAGGATACAGTCAATGTCAAAGGGTTTGATTCTACTCTGGGCTATTCGACCTTGGCAAACAAGCCACATGCAGAGGATGGGCCTATGATCCAGCTATTAAAGGATGCCGGTATGTATAGGAACGGAACTTTGCGGCTAATTCAAAATAGAACTTCCTGACTGATATTTTTGATAGGAGCCGTTCCATATGCCAAGACTGCTCTGCCTACCACCCTGCTCTCATTCGAGTCCGCTAGTGGACTCTGGGGTCCATGTCTCAACCCCCACGTCCCTGGCTACTCACCTGGTGGTTCAACAGGTGGTGAAGGTGCCCTGCTGGCTCAGGGTGGCCGTATTGGCATTGGATCTGACGTCGCTGGATCGGTACGTGTGCCTGCCGCCTGGAGCGGGATCTATTCGCTCCGTTGTAGCACGAGTCGCTGGCCCAAGGCCGGTGTGAGCACTAGCATGCCTGGTCAAGAGGGAATTCCGAGTGTTTTCAGTCCCATGGCTCGTACTCTGAATGATCTGACCTACTTCACCAAAGCGATAATTGGGATGCAACCGTGGAAATATGACAATACAGTCCACCCCATCTCTTGGCGGGCTGAATTGGAGACCGAGGCACAGAGCAAGCCTCTTCGTATTGGTCTTCTGGCTAACGACGGCATCGTTCCGCCAACCCCAGCCATTGAACGGGCTCTTTCTACCACCGTCAGCGCCCTGACCGAGGCCGGCCACACAGTCACCCCGATCCATCCTCCCACTGATGCTGGCTATCTCACCGGCCTCAACCTGGCCTCGCTCCTTCTTAATACCGATGGCTGCCACCATATCAATGTTCCCCTTCACAGCTTCGAGCCCTCCGATCCTGGTGCTGACCAGATGACTCGTCTCGCTCGCCTACCCCGACCCGTTCGCTGGCTCTACTATCTTTACGTCCGCTACATCAAGCGGGACCATGTCCTAGCCACTTGCATCCGCGACTTTGGCCCCAAGACCGCCGCGCAAACGTGGCCCTTGGTGGCGCAGCGTGAAGCCTTCCGAGCAACATGGCACAAGTGGTGGAACGCCGAGCCCCAACAGTTTGATTTTATCCTCTGTCCCGCCAACGCTACCCCGGCTCTCCCGCACAAGGCGATGCACGACGCTGTGTCTTCGTGCGGCTACACATTCTTCTGGAATTTGCTAGATTACAGTGCGGGAGTGATGCCAGTCGGTCACGTCGATGCTACGCGCGATTCTCTAGTCGGTCCTTACCGATCGGTTTTGAAGCAGCTTGGTTGCGACAATGCGATTTCTCGTGGTGCGTGGAAGCATTATGACGCTACTCTGATGCAAGGGCTTCCTACTGCGGTGCAGATTGTTGGTCGTCGGTGGCAGGAAGAGCAGGTTCTTGGCTACATGGCAGTAGTGGAGAAAGCGCTGGATGATTACAGCGACCCGAAGACTGGGGAGAGTTGCAAATATACCCTTTTGGATATTGAATATTGATCACTTCAAGTTCTAGTGAATGAGAACTGAGTATTTCGTACGAATAATATAACTTAATCTACATACTTAGGTCTCGGCGCAATACTCGGAGCAATCGTGTTTCCATCTGGTAGTAATGCAGTAAAAAGCTGCAAGCGTATCTTATAAGGCGCAAAGTCTCAAAGGCTCAAACGGATCCTACAAGTACCCCAATCTGAAAGAGGTTAAAGACCGATGACCTTTGAATTTATAGTAGATCGTGCTAGCTCCTTTTCCTCTAATTTGCGAACGTTCCAAGGTTCCAAGGTTGCGATGTTGCAGTTGTCAATATGTCTCCACTTTTGAATTAGATATCCATGGATACCTGATAGAACTAAGAGCAATGAATATATGATAGATCAAATTGATGCGCTTTCTTTGTTAAAAGTACGAGTATAGATCTACAAGAGTAGACGGAGTAGATGTAGATGTCAGGTTAGTCACGCGGATCTCCAAACTTAACTCCGCATCTCCACCTTCCATCTCGCTTCAACCCTACAGTCTAAAGGTATGCCGATTCGCAAAATCCCTTTTGGCGGGGATGGCATCTGAAAAGACTGCTAGAGCTAGAGATGGCATCCACTTTGTTAACGCCCGACCTGCTTCTGAGACTGAGCGACTCAAGGCCAAGCGATTAGTTCGTGCTCACGTTGGAAGATGGATCTCCAATCATACCAAAGACCGCGCCGAGTCCGCAATTTCGACTACAAATACTGATTCTATCCCTTCTATATCCTCATTAAGTGAGGCTACTTCTGATTTTTCTGCTATTCCTTCCACTTCGACTTCTCCTCATGGTACTGATGTTAGGAGAGGACGAGCAAAAGAAAACGGTCGAGGTAGAGAGAGGGGAAGGGGGAGAGAATTGCCCATCTTTGGTACTAGGAGAGGTGAATGGCCTCGCTCGAGCTTCCCTCCTTCCAAGATCAACGATAGCGAGTGTAGCAGTGATGCCGCGAGCGAGGGTTCCCCGAACTTGACAGCCTTGGTCGCATGGCAGCATGAAGATCCTAAAATCGAAATGCAGATCTTCGGCAAATTGGATCCATTTAACACGGCTCCAACCGACTTTCCATCTGATATTGTCGATACCTGTCAGAGTTACTGTTCGTTTCCCTGCTTTCCCCCTTTTAATCCAAAGCTAATACCGATGCAAGGCTTAAACGTTCTCTGGCCCGGTCTTCTCCCGAGCCGCGTGAAAGAAGCTGGAAAGACCTTTTTCCCAATGGCCATGTCAGATCCTGCTTTGTACATGGCGTTTATGTTTGGCTCGCTATGTCATCAGCGAGTCCAATGGCTCAATGGCTGGAGTACACATACCAGTTTCACCCAAAGACAGGAACGTATGTTGGAACTATGCGAGATGGAGGCAATCCAGCGGATAAGCGACGCACTTCATGACCCTAATCGAGCTCTCTCTGACGCTGTACTGCTGAGTGTTATCTGCATGGCACATCATCAAGCACCGGAGAGAATCCAGTCACAGCTGAAGAAGACACCCTTCAATCCACCCCTTCAACGCCTACAGTGGCTCGATGTTTATGGATGTCTACCACCGAACATGATCCATATCCAAGGCCTGGTACAGCTGGTGAGAATGCGAGGCGGCTTAGATGCAGTCAAGGCGAGAGGTCTGCCTGCGACCATCAGCTTCTCGGATATTATGACAACAAGCTGCTACTGCGTGAGCCCTGTCTTTGACTTCCGACCCATTGACGAGCTGCGAATCGGCATATCACTTCACGAAATGCTTGGCTTCAGCCTATCCGACTTCAAACAAGGGTTCGGTCGTCTAGTCGATATCGATGTCGGAATCACTTCCCAGATGGCAAGGGCCTTACAGGGTGCCCAAGCATATATCGAAATCGCCAAACGTACATTCACCGATTCATACGATGCCACCCTACTAGCTGATCAAAGAAACTTCACTCAATACCACATTCTCCGCTTACCACCCGCAAAGGACATCTATTTCCAACTCTTATCCCAGAGAACCACATACGAAGCCTGCCGTCTTGCAATGCTTATATTCGGCGTCAGCGTGGTCTTTCCCATCCCCGCACAAAACAATCCTCTCCACATCCTAGCCCAACAACTTTACAAAGTCCTTTGCCAGCCAGATTCCTCCGACCTATGGTCTTCCTCCACAACCCTCACCCCTCTGATCTGGATCCTGTGTCTAGGCGGTATCGCCTCATCCGATGCAAAACAACGTGCCTTCTTCGCCTCTGCGCTTTTCAACACCGCTCAAAGGAGTGGTCTCTCCTCGTGGCTACAGGTCAAGAGAACTGTAGAGATGATGCTTTGGTGGGATATTGCCTGTGATGAGCCTGCCGAAGTACTTTGGCTTGAAGCCATTTCTATTGAATGACCTCGAGGAGGACATGAGGCTTTTCAGCTGGACCTGAAATTCTATCTTGACTTGGTATTATAACGTCTTGCAAGGTTGGAACCAAGTAAATGTTCTTCAATCACCTGCTCGAGCATTATTCAATATGCACTTTTACCTCAGATACATCAATCTTTTTCTCTCCACTTCACTAGATATCTCCATTTCACTAGATATATCGGATTTTTGGTACATTGGTACCATTTAATACATTTTTGACATATCTCCTGATCCAGATATACAATAGAACAAATGGCGCTACTTCCGCGGTCTTCTTACCTTCTATTATCCTCTGATATTTTTGATACCTAGGTACTTTGTATTGCATGAACACTCCATGTCTTTTTATTCCATGAGGACTGTGCTCCTAATTAAGTTAAAGGTGTGATATTATTTCCAGAACCGGCGTCCACAGAAGTAGACGCCAAAGCAGACGGGTCATAAAGCTCGCATTGATGAGGTACGAAAAGGAACACGTGGTAATTATGAAGCGCGTAGCATATCATACAAACCTCGATATAACCTCATTTTGTAGCGGATATTTATGATTTTTCAAAATTCACTTTCCTATTCACTTTCGCACATGGGCAGACTCGCTCGCTTGGACATCTTTGTCAGAAAACTACATTGCCATATCAATATCACCACATGTTGACATTTGAATTATATAATTCCCATCCGGCATATTCAATACATAAAACAACCTTGAACCTTGAAATATAGTAGCTATCGAGACATCCATAGATCAAATGGATAGCCCCAGTGACAAGATCCTCACCAAACCCCTTCCTATTTCCAATTTTGAATTTTGGCCAAACCACCAGAATATCCAATAATACATATGCTCATATCCTCCCACGTGAATCAGCTTCCATATATGCGTTCTGAAACAACTTCGCGAGGGACAGCAAGCAATGACTCCCGCTCATTCGCCTCAGCAGTGAATGCCTCCAGCCCTTCCTTCTGTAGGACGGAAGTCTGATAACTCACAAATCCAACCAATACACTTCCTACAAGCCCTACCAGCAACGTTAAAGCAACATTTACCGGCACCGGATTTCCTTCAAACGCTTTTAGGGTCAACGCATCAAGTCCCGCCTGTGCGAAGTTTCCAACGCCTGCAAGACAGATAATAAGACCATATACCTTGCCAAAGGTCTGGAAGCCGAACACCTTAGCTGCGTAGTCGGAGACGGCGGTATAATAGAACGGCCGGTAAAGAACGAAAAGTGCAATATTCGCATAGCCCGCGCCCATGCTGTGCGGGATACAACCTAGAATACCGATGACAGAAGCAGTACCAACGAGAATGGCCAGCACAGTCCGGGTCTTGAAACTATCCAAAAATGTGCCAATGAACGGGATAGACACAATACCTCCAGCTGGGAGGAGGATGTCAAAAATGGTGTTAATGTCGCGTGCCTTTGTGGGGGAGAGAAGGTAGGTGTATTGTTTGCGAATTGAGGCCACGAAGTAGTTGATGCGTAGCATCATTAGTACAGTGAAGAGGGTTATGAGGATGAACCAGGGCGTACGGAGTTGGGAGAGGGCACTATAGCCATGGAGAACGCCCCAGATGCCACTGATATGGGTACTTGCTGGTGCGGCTAAGGGTGGTGTTTGCAGACTATCTCCATTTGGATGGTCCGGAATGTTACCGTCGAATACAGACTCATCGACAGCACCGACAGAAAGAGTTTCGTCGTCTAAGAGGTCCTGAATCTGATGTACGACGCTCTGTCGGTGAATGCGTCTATAATTGCGCTGTCGCTCTCCCTCATTGCGGTCATTGATCGAGTCATCTACGCGATCATTTATTTCTTCAATCACCTGTGTTTCTGCATGCTGGACCAATTCACTAGCCGTTTTATAGGAGGTAGACGGCATCACTGTCAGCTGCACTGTGATGATGAATACAGGTACCAGGAGGTAAATCATGAAGAATTTCTCCACGGAAAAAGCTCCATCGCTGCTTTCGCTCAACAGGCGGAAGATTAAGAACAGCGCGCTTGAAGCATCGAATGCACCAGTTAGCATTGAAAGAATCAGCCCCGACCGAGCCGGGAATGTGTTCGATAGCTGGAATGACGAGATGAAGATGAATGGTCCACCGAGTGAGAGTAAAAGATATCCGGGGATATATCCATCAAAGGGCAGCCTGCTAGCGGTTCCGAATAGGATTGCGCCGAGAGCCAAAAAGAAGCTACCAATAATACCGCTCACTCGAGGACCATATGAATCCAAAATGGTTCCCACCGGTAGAGCGGAAACATTAGTTACCACGGCAGCGATTGTGAACATGAGATTGAGACGGATCTCCTGTCCGTCACAGACAGCTACATCGGTCTCTAGCTCCTGGCGGGTGCAGAGGTTGCGATATACATTCTCGCGGATCAAAACTGGTTTCAAGGCCGCAAAGCCAAAGACCACGCCCGCAGCCAGGAAGCAGTAGACGACTGCGAGACTCACCTGAGCTATAATTAGTCAGTAAAAGCTTAAACAGGGCAGTATTGCCAATTGGGGCAATTCAGCATACCAATACGCTTTGCGCGGCTCACTTCAAACGCGCCTAGGGTGTCTGGTACCCCAGATTCTTCCTTGGGCACAGACACAGGGATTGGTGTAGCCGAATGGGATGGAAGGGAGGGCGATGGACCCCGCTCAGTGTCCACTTGAGATCGGCCCCTCGTTGGAGATAACCCAAATGATCCCAATAGTGGGGTCCTATCATCCCGATCATCCGTCCTCTGATTCCATCCAGGTCCCGCATAAGGATTGAAATTAAGTCTACTATAAGTAGAGGGAAAGGAAGAGGAGAGCGAGGACTCCGGCAGGTCTTGAAATTCAGATTCAGTATCTGACTGGTCAGGCCTTCCTCTTTGGAAAGCTCCTGGACTACGCTCCCATCCTTCCAAGAAGGAGACACGATTGAGCGACATTGATTCTTGTGTTGTATGTTGAAGAGAAGGAGAGAAAACAGGAAATCGAGTTGATTTACGATGTAGCAGTCATCTGACCTCCCCCGCACGGGTTATCTTTATCTCAAGATCTCCATCTTTATATCTTATATAATCTTTAACTATAATCATTCAATCCAATTAACTTTTTATCATCTACTATATTTAATCATCTTTGTAGTTTATGTATTTAAGATCCAAACTATAAGTTTACCGACGTCAGGACTCACGGACTCCGGACTCCGGAGCACTCCGCAAACGGAGTTGACACATCGGCAATTAAACGATCGACAGGGTCCAGAGTTACTATGCCTACTTCAAGCCCCACTGCCTTTCACAAGTCAACATGATCTGATCCAATGATCAATGATTATTTTATATTCATCATCTAAGTTTTGCCAGCACCTTCATGGTCACCGCCACGGAGTAAATGGTACTCCGTATAAACCACGTGGGCTATGGGATCCTGTAGGATTCCTTGTAACACGCTAGTGATTCTCGGGCTCATACATACTTGCATATATCTCCGAGAGTCTTGCATCTCGAGGACTCATGGTTTTCCAAGGCTGCTATAACCATACTTCATGCCATTCAAGCTTTCCCGGAGCCGGTCACCAGAAGATTCGACTCTAATCGGTGGAATGAAGTTCAGAGCAGAGAGCAGAAGAAACCCGAAGTTAATTACGAATCTGGGGCGTTTGTTCGTCCAACCAGATCCTGCCAGAAACTTGCCAAACTGGGGCAGTGGGGAAATTTGGGTTGGCATGTTGCCCGATACTGAGTGTCTGAGCTTCATCAAATCTTCAAGTTCCCGATTCTAGCTTCATCCTGAGCCAAATCTTCAGCCAGAGTTAGCTTCCTTAGTCACATTGGCCGCGCGGCGAAAAAAGAAGGAGAAAAAAGAGCTTGATCTGCGTTTACTGGCTGATTTTATGAAAATACCTCTAATGGCTCCGCTTTCTCCGCCTTGATATTAAAACCAGCCTATTTATTTAGTGCCCTCGGACCTAAATGGCTAAGAATTTTATCTGGCTTTCTTTGCTGTCAGTGCCTGCCTTTGTCGTCGCGTGATGAGGGGATGGTGAGTATTTATTCCTTTTGATATTGGTCTTACCTACTAAGAACTCTTAGCCTCACATGTCGTCTGCGCCATCTAAGATGTATGCTTTGTGGAGCCCTGGAGGGGAGGAATAATGGCCATTTTCATAATCTAACTGCTAGATCAAGGTGATAAAACAGGAGAAAAATGTCTACGCTGTCTGCGATCAGGCCGCGAATGTGTACCACCACCAGCCAAATCGGAAGAGGTCTCCTTTCGACATGGCCAGAACCCATCCTTGCGACGAGAAGGGCCCCCTAAGTACGGCGAAAGTGACTTGACGTTTCCGGATGATCAGGTCTGGGTCTTGAGCTCTTCTGAATGTAGGTTACTTTCAAATTTTTGATATCTTGAATCTTCTAACCTGCCACAGATTTGTTCAAAGACGAGACCGACCTCACAGCATCCGAGTATCACGTTGTCCCTATCACCGGAAAATCAGTCTCTCGCTCTTCATCAGAAGCCCGATCCACAATTTCCTCCACCAAGGAAGGAAGCAGTAGAAGAAATGTCCCTATTCAATCCTCTTATACACATATTGCGCCCTGTTCTGTCTCTGGACCTTCACCTTTTGCCATCCCCGTCGGTCTTCCAAGACTTGCCAACATGAATGAAGCCTATCTGTTAAGACATTTCCAGCGATATATAGCTGATTGGGTGAGTAAGACCATATTACAGCTATGTTCAATCCGTTAACTAGGCAGCTCGACGCCGGCGACCCCGAACGGCATTTTTCCATAGATGTAGCCAGGCGGGCCAGTCAATCGCCCCTTCTTCTCTACGCATGTATAGCCGTCGCCGCATACCACCTATCTAGAACGACAAACTCTATCCCTTCTCACGTCGCAGATAGCTACCATGAGCGCTGTGTCTCTATTATGCTCCCTGTGCTGGACAACCCGGAATTCCATATTGGTATGGACGTTTTACTCAGTTCAACCGTCATGCTCCGCTTTTTTGAGCAAATCTCATGTAAATTTACCTCCGTGACCTCGATAAACAGCAGTAACTAACCCCTATCCATAATCAGCCCACACACCCTCCAACGACCCACAACGCCATCTGCTAGCCGGTTCGGTGTATATCAGTTCTCATGTCGACTGCGCGATCTCCGGTGGTCTCGCAACGGCCTCGTTCTGGGTCTTTGTGATCCAAGATATTCAATTTGCACTCACCTATCAGAAATGTCTTCGGCTGCCATTCGCACCGTTTGATGACCGCCTTCGGCAATGGTGGTTCACGAAGCCGGTTCTAAGCGACGGCGACTGGGTCAACAGGGCCATCTGGCTCCTTGCCGAGACGGTCGACTTTTGCTATAATGTCTCTGGGAGAAATTATGGAGGTAATTTAGGGATTGCTGGGGAAAATATGCTGAGACAGCGGATTCAGGAATGGGAGGTAGGTCGTCCGGACTCGTTTACGCCGCTTCATGTGTCTCCGCCTGAGCCTGGGAGGGGAAAGCCCTTTCCTGTTGTTTGGTATACGAGTTTGTATTTCTGTAAGGCTTTTCTTCATTTTTCTCGCGGAGAGAGTTGGCTAATTCATTCTCAGCTACGGCCATACAGCATGTCTGTCTAGCCAAAGCTCTGATGTTGATTCGGGAGAGTGAGGTTTACGACAATGGGGTCTCGCTAGAGCAGCGCATAAATCTGAAGGTGCGATTTGACCATATACTTCCAGCTAATATAACGGCTCTTTGCTCATTCTTCATAGGAACAAATCACCGAAAATCTCAACTATCTTTTCGGCATCGCCCTTTCTGCAGACGATGAGCCTTCATTGCGAATCATGGCGTGTCATGCCCTGTGTGCCTGTCTGTTCTCCATATCTGGTTATTTTACCCCAAGCTGACTTTCTTTTCCTCGTAGGTAAAGCATGGATAGATGATCCTGCCGCCCAAAACTTGTTATTTGATCTCTTGAGGAGAACCGAGCGACAAAACGCGTGGCCGTGGGCTTATGTCGAGCAGCGCATTTTACAAACGTGGCAGCAAGCCTCAAGATAGATGCGATCAGTCTGTCAATCATGATTTTTATGAATTTCTACCGCTTCCATATACCCAACAAACATCATCTCATGCTCTATTTTTACTCCGTTCCGTGGTCCCCCTTTCTAAAAATTCTTACTCAATGGATTTTAAAGGGAATTTTATTAGACAATATGTATAAACCTCTTTTCTTGATATAAAACACCCGTGGACAGTCTGTCTGCCACTCTAAAACTGGAAGTTGCCTTCAAAGGGAAATGGGAATGAAAGCAAGCTATCATCTAACATGCTTCCCAATAACTGATCTTGGTCAAAAGGAGGCATACCCGGGGGCATCCCAACATTAGGGTACATCCCCATTGGTGGCTGTGGCGGCATTGATACGCCAGGCATATTGGAGTACGGCCCCATCGATGTCGGCGCCTGCATAAGCGAGTATTGCTGATGTGACGAGTCAGTTGTGGCAGGTTGGTAGGATTGGTAGAGATTATTGTTCCCCATATTTGGGTGTTGAGACATTGGTATAGGGTGTGAAAATGGAGATGTCGAGGACCATGTTGGCGTAGGTTGTCGTATGTTTGTATCGGAATTTTTACTCGCTGAGCTGCCCGTTCTGCGTGGCTGCTCTAGGCTATAATTGGAGTTTGCGGGGGTATTAGTGGCGCTTGTATTCGTTTCTTGGTTCGGGCTTGGTGTAGAACAATTGGTGCTTTGGACAGGGCGTACGAGATGAGTTAGTGGGCTGTGATGTATTCGACTGGGGTCGTCCATGGCGAGATCACTGAGAATTTCCACATGCGTAGCTCCCGTTTTGAACTATGGTATCATGTTAAGATCGAGATCTTCAGAAGAGCAGGAAAGGGGGAACATACCGACGGTTTCTCAGTCGGGGTATCTGATCGCAGCTCGGCGCCAAACAGTTCCCGCAGTTCACTGCCTTTGTCTCTCTTCTTGAGAAACCAGTTGCGTAGCATTGTAATAATATTGCCAAACTTAGCCACAGCACGGCCACCGTCCAAAACTGCGGCAGCACCATAGTGACTAATAATCTTATCCAAGTAGTAATCTATGTGTAGACTTTGCATGTCGATTACCTGGCCAATGCGCGATTCCTGAGCTGTGAGCAGCGAATAAATCTTAATGAGACTGACAATCGCGTAAGCCGTTCGAGCGACAGCCACAGTCGGTAGACATATCATCTGATCTATGCTGGTGTTGATGATTACGTCGAAAGTTTGATGGATCGAACGAATACAGGTCGTCAGTGCATCGATAAACGGGGCAACTGCTGAGGGTGGCAAATCGGGATCTTCATTCAGAGGCAAATTGGGGATCATGCTGTCTCTACAGTCAATTCCCATGACGGATTCGTGCACGAAAAGATTGATCGTATAGTGCGTATGGGCCAAGGGTACTAGATATCACAGTCAAAACAAGTAATAGGTATCAAGAGGAGAAAACAAGCATACCTGTCCAATATTCCTCTGGAATGTCTCTTCTAAACTGCGCTAGCTGATTCGCAAAGGCTTTAATTGTGAATCGGGTTTTGCTGTCTGTAAATAAGATCACAGACTTCGGATCCTCGCTGGTCAACTGCGACCCAGCTTCCTCCATAATGAACCCAAGCTTCGCCCACCAAACCAGCTTGTGGTCGGATGGTAATGCATCCGGGTGAGTTTCTAGGATTCGAATTGACTCATCCATATACGGTTGCCATTTAACCGTCTGCATACGTCTCAGTGCTGTTGCGACCCTGTATATTGTTAATTCTGGCCAGGTTGTTTATTACAGGGGATAGATAACTCACTGAATCGCCAAAAAATAACATCCCATCCACGTCCGTCTCACCTCTGGTCCATCTAGGTCCATGGGTCCTCTCGTTGCATCTCGAGTCACAACTTCTCGCACTTGATGAAGGGGTCTTAAGTCTCCATTGGAGCGACGGTTGAGCCCCATATCCATAGCCAAGGTCACGGCCATACCAATCAGTTGGTAGAACTTGAGCTCTTCCAGGTTGTCTGGTGGCATGTACCAGATGCAGGAGACCAACAAGGCTTGAACAAGATCAAGACTCTTACGGCCCTTGACCACAATACTATCCGCGATGTATCGGTACATCTCGTCGAGAAGTGCGTCTTGAACTTCCCTGCTAAATGGCCCAGATGCAATGGCGGCAATCGCAAGGAACAAAGCGGGCTTTTCACGGCGCACATCGTCCATTGTTGTGCCCGGAGGGAAAACAACTATGGGCAACTCGAGCGACATGTCATTCACATACCGATCAAAAGCTGCACTGGCCATTTCAGCGCTGACTATCCCTCTGTCGATCACATCGGGACCAGTGTTTTGGGTAACGGGCCTTGGTGGGCCTGTCTCGCCAGCTCGACGCCAGGATTTCGCGGCAGGTTGCTTTTGATCTTCTGGATATGGGCTTTGATTCAAATCAGGAGAATCTTGAGGCCTTAAAAGTCCTTCACGACTCCTTTTACGACCGATAACATTGGAATCCTCGCGTAACCACCGGCGCGCAGTGGAGGTCTCGGGAGGTTGCACGGGTGGAGCCATGGGGAACTGGTTACCCTGTGACGCCTGCAATGTCGCCGTCAATGCATCAATTTTGCGTTCAAGCTCGGAGACACGACTATCGGTTTTCTTCTGGCGCTTGCGCGTCGGCGCGGTGACGACACATGGTCGATGAGATTTGGCACATCGTTTACAAGAGCCATCCGGATGTAATGGGTCGGGATCACATCGGACCTTTAACTGGCGACAGGGTTCACAAGCTCTAGGTCGTTTGGCCTCCGCCTGGAAGTCCTCGGGGCTCTCCGAGGCGTCCCCATGGGGCCCCATATTAAAAGTGGCCCGACTGCCGGACTCTTCAGGACCCAGTAAGTACTGAGATGGCTCTGGGTACTCAGACATTGTTTGGACGGCATACAAACTCCGTTGTTACTGTCTTGGGAATTGATAGCGGGGCTCACGCTTAAGCAACCAGTCAACAGCACACAATCCCTGTCCTGAAGATAGAATAGAGTGCAATAATATGCATCTACTAACCTACGTGTTCATGGATCCACTGCGCTGTGGCAGCAATAAGACGGGGAACGGAGGAGACAACTACCGACCGCCGATCTAGGAAAGTTCCTGGCGTTGGCAACGGCTGTTAGTGGCTGTAAGGCACCTTGGTTCTGCTCTACCGTTTCCGATTCTCGAGCCAGATTAGAGCTGAAAGTCAAGGGCACCGGTCTGGGAACAATTTAGGCGGACCTCTCAACTATGGCTGATCAAAAGGAATTTAAAGGATCATCCTTAGTGTTGACCAGACACGTGACTTGACATCTAGGATGTCAGCTTCGTCTTGATTGGCCGAACTATATCAACATTGAAGCAATCTACCTCGTGGCCGGTACCAACTCCACCTTTATAGCAATGGTGGATCTTATTTACGCCTTAGAAGTTAGAACGGATCTACTATGAGGCAAGCTGCACTCTCAGGCTCATGATCCTTCTAATCAATGCGGGACTAATGTAATAGAGTCTAGGCTGATCTCATCCTTCGAAATCTCGTTAATTTAAAACTATGCCTGAGAATATTGAGGTTCATAATCTTGGCTATGGTCAACTAAAGCTGCCAGTATCCAGGTATATATAAATTTTATTCAATAAGCCTCCAAAAGTGAAATTTTTAGTATACGGCTTCTGAAAGCTCAGGTAGAGTACTACATAAACTCGACTACCTAGGTATTATTTAGGAGTAAATCTAGAGAGTTGCCCACGGTTTTCTTCCAAGCTTGCCTGAGTAGCTTAAAGACTAACTAGTACCTAATAATCTTGATTTTGGGTTCATCCCTTCTACAGATAGAAGAAACCCTTTTAAAGAGGGCTCGGAGTGTTCACCAAACTTCTCCAAATCTTCACTAATTCCCTGGGAAAGATTTTCTTGCTTTCGATGCGACTTTCTGGAAAGACGGCCAGGTCAGCTTCTCAAGCCTGTAAATTATACGCCTAGAATATGGAATCCGGGTCGAGATAAAATCAAGTGCGAGCAGACTCAAGTTGCCTGTTGGAAATATTTACTCTGCCGAATTCAATGGGTGAATTCGTTCGGGTAGGGATTCATTTTACTGGAAGGTAGTTTTTTACCATCTGGGGATGGATCTATTGGGTCGTTCGGTTCAATTCACTATCAGAATACATGAACACGGGTGCTGTATTTCTAGGCTTTCCGTGTTAAGAATATCAAAATGGTCAATCCAAGACTAGTGCACTCACGAATTTTAGCATTGAATAGGTATCATATTTGTAAATGTTTGAATGAGTAGTCTATTCGCCTTGATAGCTCCCTTGGGTGCCAAAAATAAGAGTTCACTGGTTCATCCGACCTATCTCCAACCAATCTTTTACACCAAGCCTCAGGCCGTGTTGATATCCTCCTATCGCATAATTTAGGTAGGGATTTTGTGGACGGGGCACTCCTTCGGGAGAGTTGCCGGTCCACGGCGCTTCCACCATCCGATCAGACACTTGTGGTGAAACTTGCAAAGACACTCGAGTCGAATCATGCCCTGGCCAACCTCATAATCTTCCAAGCAGATCGAGCACTCGATAGCAGGGCCTTCACCGATGCAGTCTTTTTCAGTCGCCTTGAAGTTCACTTGGAAGGGTTCATGAGGAGCAGGGGAAGAAAGGCGTCCTCGGATGGAGGGACCTTCGGTATTGGGGACCGGGGAGCCATAGTGAGATATGCAATCACGAATATGCGATTCACGCTCTTCAATTCGCTCAGTAGCAAGAAACTCGATCTTGCAGATCGGGCACTCATCCTCTTCACGGACTTTCCGAGCAGGGACAACGCGAGAGCTAGGACGAATTGCGACTCTGATGTCGGGAGCGGGGTTAAGCCAACGACGGACGGAGTGATGGCGGTCGGGAGATCCATCGCGCTGGCCCTGAGAATAAGTTAGAAACAGCCTTGGAATATCAATTGAGTCGTAACGTACATGACCACCAGGGCGGGAAGACGAACCGCCCATCGTCGATGGAAGAGAATTGGTGGGTCGATGGCCTTGTGTTCGGGGATCTCGAAGTGGGTTGGGTTGAAGAGGATTAGGTTGAAAGGCACCGTGAAGTGGATTTTGGTTAAGTGGGTTGGGGTTGGGGTCAGGGACACATGGGTTGCAAAGTCGAACTTCTTCTCCGCCCCCCAAGGCAGGATTGAAGTACGCAAAAACTGAGAACGGATCTTCCTCAGTAAGATCAATAGTATGTTCCCGTGAAATAGTAGGAGAAGATTCGGGAGACTCAAGAGCTTCGGGCGGCCGTATAATAAACTGCCTGGGAATTGTAATTCGATGGGGGGAGCAAGCAGCACAAACTACTCGACCACACTTTCGACAATGATGTTTTCTATACCAAAAGCTAAAGACAGTCTTGCAAATCGGACAACTTGACACCTCCGAGTCTGGTTGCCATGGTGGCAGTCTCGTTTGAGCACCTGCCAACGCCTGTGAGTCTCTTGATGTTGACAACAGGGCTCGAGTTGAGTTCAAGTACTCCATCTCGTCTGCTTGACGCTGGATAAATCCAATGTCTGGATATCTCGAATATCTCGCTGCTTCAGTATGCCCACGTGGTCTCCCTGTATAAGAGACAAGTCTTTCTGCTTCCTGGCTTTGCCACCAAGGATCCGACAGAACATCCTCTTCAACCTGGCTGTCCCTCTGCCCTAGAGTCTCGTCTAGGGGCGATGATGTGATATCAATCGCCGTGGCGCGGGATGAACCAGGCACCGATGAATGATTTCTTCTGATAGCCAATGACGCTGATCGATGTGGTAAGGATGTCCTTTCCACCATGGCTCCCTCGGCCGTGCCAGAGCGTGTGCGTTGCAGACGATGCTCTTGACCAGTACTTGTCAGTCGCCTTTTGCGCTCGTGAGGAATCCCTGTGGGCCATTGAGAGCTTCTTTGTTCGTTGTTTGTCGATGGTCCTGCAATCGATAGGTCCTGTGTATCCTGCACTGGGCTCTCAACTTCATGAAGTGATTCAGATTGGCGTGCGTTCACTTCTACTTCGCTTTCAGCTTGAATTTCCACCTCTAAGTCAGATCCAGCTGATGACTGGTGAGCTTGGATAGATGTTTCCAGTGGTTCAGCATTAAGTACATCCACTTGGCTCTCAGAGTCATGAAGTGATTTAGATGCACGTGCGTTCCCGTCTACCTCCTCATTATCCATGTCCAAAGCAGATCCAGTTGACTGGTGAGCTTGTATGGCACTTTCATTCAAGCTGCTGGATATTGAAATAGGATGCGTGTGTTGACCGCCATCATCATTCCAACCTGTCTGGATTTGCTCATTGGGCAAGGGAGGACTGCTGGCGGGTGGGGATGTGGTTGAAGACATGATATCGACTTGCCAGAGGAGTCGGATCTCCTTGTATTAGTATTAGGGTTTGAAACAGTGTCGAGAAGGCTATATGAGTTGATTCCCAACCATCACTGCACCAGGCCTTATCTCAGATGATTCAAGAGGTCTGATCACAGCCCAAACACCCAGTGTTGGAGGTCTTGTGATAATGATACAAACGCAACAGTTGCTTGAATGGAGGTGACCTGCACCAATAACTTATGACAGATGTTTATCTCAGATGTATCCCAGTCTGCACCACTTCAACTGAGACTTATCCAACGCTGATGCAAGTCTGAAGCGAAAGCAGGTGATGTTACGATGCCCGGTCGCCTTATCGGTGGGGCTTGTCGGTGTGTGGGCGGTGGCGAACGGCAGTTTCTATACCACTGTAGGCTTAAGGTCGAGGACTTTATCTCTGACCTTCTACAGAATAGGACTCGAAGTGTGAGTTTAAAGGATGAGGCTCCTGGGAGGCTGGGAGATCTTGATTCTGAAGGGTTGACCCCTGAGAGACTGAGGTTTACTTCAAGGCCTTTAATTTACTTTTCTCCATTTTTGAGTTGACTCCTTAGGGCTGTTTCAAATCAGTAAAGAATTTTCCAAGGTTAGATCCTATGGAGTCGGGCAACTGCCCTAATCGAATCAGCAGTACTAACTAGAGGTTTTAAATCAAGGTGTCGATAGTAGCTAGTACAAGTACATGTAGATACTAGCTGTTAATACGTGACAAAATAAGGTTATATTTTCTAAGATTCTAGCGTTGTAGAAATGCCAACCATGGTACCTAAGTAAGTAGCGTACCAGTTGACTTAATTATGTGGCTTGCGAACTAGTAGGTACCTAGGTAAATGTATTTTTACAAGGTTTCTTTCAGAACACATGAGCACTTGAATCCCTATGAAACCTAGAGAAGATATTCTAATTCATGATAAAAGTGAGTCGATCAAACCAGCTTGGGAGTTTGCCCAACGAGGATTCAATAGAAAAAAGGAAGTTTATCCCCAGGATTATTAACTCATTGTAACGCCTTGAAGCAAATTTTAGGCGGGTAAACAACAATGTTCCAAAGAAAAGAACCAAAGTACCGGGAATGAGGTACAAGAAGAAAAGAAACTCGTTTCTTTGGTATCGAATGTGATCCAAGTCACCAGATATTGAGCCAATACACATTGGAGGGTGGAATATGGGAAAGATGGGGATGAGGAGAGGTTAGGAGAGGTGTTTTAAGGGTGTTCCCCTTGGATTTGTTCGTTCACTAGCTCGGCTTGGCTGCCAGCAAAAGATGGCCCATCGGGACTTCCCTCGTGAATGTTGTCCTTTGTGCGGTGGTGAGCGACATATCCCATGCTCGATGGTCGTTCGGTTTCCCTTTGACGGCCATTGCTGGATCCCATAGATCCAGAGGTGGACGTAAGAGAGAGGCCTCGATCACGAGAGAGAGAGCTGCTAGCGCTGAACGGTAACCGCGCAGCCGAGGAACGCTCTGGTTGGAGGAGACTTGCATTTGATGGGGGAGCTTCCACGCCGTGTTGCGGTTGAGGAACAGTTGTCTCCGTTAGGGTGGGTAAATTCTCTGAGATATCTCCTACATCATGTTCCGAGCCCGCAGCCAGGGTGTGACGAGGGCTGTCTCGGCTTGGTAACTCGATACTGCTTCCTCCTGTATTCAATGGAGGTAAGACTGGAGGTCGAGGTTTACTAGACACTTTGGCTTCAATATCACCTTCCGAGTCTCGATATGGCACATCGGGAGACGCTGGAGTCCCTGGAGATCCGGATGATTCTGCAGATTCTGCAGAGATATTGCGCGAGTGGGTGCCAGTGCCTCCATTTTCGGGATCATCTTGGTATGGCTCATTGTATCCACCTCTTGGGAAAAGGCCAGGAGGAGGAGCTCTGGCACTTCGAACAACCTCGAATCCTTTGCCCTTGTCAACTGTCTTGCTCTGGAAAAGGCCTCGGAACCATCCAGTGGCAGAGGAGACCGGACCAGTTGGATCTGCTGGTCCAGTCTTCAATTTACGGGTACCGGTGTGAGAGAGTGGCGGGCCACGGAAGCGGTAGTAAAAGTCGACCTCTCGGACTGCATAGTCCTTCCCCTGGCCGGAATCATCCAACTCCATGTCATCCCTAGATGCTGGAAGGTAGGCAGGTACGGGAGTACCTCGACCAGATGGGCCTGCCATATCAGCAATATTCTCATCTGAATCAAATGGTCGGGCTGTCTTCATAAATGCTCGAGAACTTCGTTTGCTGTGTTTGGTTGAGCCACGTTGTGGAGCTTGGCGTCCAGGTCTTGGTGGGCGGTAGTAGGGATCACGGGGATTTGAACCCAAAAATGTGCTGCTGCTGGGTGAAGCGCTAGAATAACCGCCTGCTCCTGTATATGCGGTAGGAGAGTGAGCGTACACTCCACCACTTACGGCACGACTGTGAGAGCCCCCAAATGAACTAGATTGATCCAGGAAAGCACTGGCTCGCCCATCACTACGGTTCAATAACATCGCTGAACTACCTGAAAGACTGCGAGCCCGTGAGCCATCAAATTGGGACGATATACGGTCACTAAGCATCGCCGCCTCCGAGCCCATGCTCTGTCGGGCGACGTTGTTACGAGCCTGTCGTCTCGACAGCTGGCGCTCTCCGAAAACCTTGTTCAAACCACCACGAGTGGCGCCGCCAGCACCAAGCAGTCGTGCTAGAACCTCAATGAGGGTTTGAAGGGCGTTCAGGGCAAAGCCAAAGATGAAGACCAGTGCATGCAAGACGAGGATAACATACCCAACCCAGCCTCGAGTAGCAGATGAAACGGTCAGAGATGGTACGAAAACCACACTCAATATGATAGTTAAGAATCTGAAGAAGGAGAAAATGCATTGGTAGAGATTCATGTGGGTTGGTCCAGGATATGGCCGAAATGCGATGAGCGTCAGCACGGACACCACTTCACAGATAGCCAGTAAAACCACCTGCGCAATGCCCGAGGGCTGCAAAGCACCAATGGCGATACCACGTGCAAAATTGAGGAAGATGGGAACCATTGCATATGCCGCCGCATCGTCAAAGTAGGTATTGTAGAGAGGTCCGTACAAGAGCACGGTGGGAAGATCGTCAAACAGATGGGCCTTCGGTCGGGTGGTCGCAAGGATTCGAACGAACCATATCGAGAAACAAATGAGGACGACAATCACCACGGCGGCCAGTGCCACGCTGTAGGCAGGGGAGCTGCCTGCCTCCACGAGCTGAAAGAAAGAGAGGGAGATAATAGGAAGTAGGAAAAAATTGAACACGATTCGAATAACGTTCCCAACAGTGAAGGGCATATTCTTGGAACGCAGGTCCTGCTCAGCGCTATCTGCCAGTTCGCGACGAGCCCAACGCACCAAAAACACGATCTGAACAAACAGTGTGATACTGACGAGGATGACGAGAAGCCACACCATCATTCCGGGCCAAATATCTTGAGTGCCGACCATACCAACAATTTGGTTCATTCGATCCAGGCCGTACGTGCCATTGACCGCATAGACGCCATCCACGATCGGGTTGCTGCCATTGCCTCCATTGACGAAGCTTTGATTGAACATGAGAGCGGACCAAGATCCATGACTCACTGCAGGTTGGAAGAAGCCTGGATAATTCAATGACAATGAACCCGTCAATACTACAAATTGAAGATACTGCAGACAATCGGCGAACCCAGGAGTGACAAGTCGAAGAACATCTTCGTCCCTGCCATAATTGCTGGTCCAGCGGAAGAGATCCGTCGTGCCCCAGGGGGTGAATATTGCGGCTGTGACCGTTGCAATTGCGACCAAGATCAAAATAACAACAGGCACATAAATCAACGCGTTTTTCAGGGTTGGGCCGAAGTCGGGGGTTATAGGGACCGTTATACAACCCAGCTGAACGTCCGAGGCATCACCAGATCGAATAATGAAGGTCGAGGAAATCGTTGCGAAGCGAAACGATGAGAGCATATCATGTTGAACGGAGAAGGCGCGCAGGGTTGTCAGATCAGTCCTATTACAAAAGAGTTAGAATTAGGCGATATCAATTAGCTCCCCGACAAAGCTTACAGATTGTAGTAGAAGACAGGCCCTAGCGGACAGTCCCCTTGAGTGACCGATGGACAGAACCTTGAGGCATTACTAAAGGGAGTGAAACCCAAGACATCCCACGAGGTAAGAAGTGTAGTGAATCTGTTATTTGAGATGCTCAAATCAACAATCTTTCCCGTCGTCGAGTTTGTGTTATTCCAAGATGGATCGTCTATCGAGGGGTAGGTTGATGAGTCTGCAGTACCAGATACATTTCCATATACGGTGACATTTAACGGTCGTAATGGATCGGTCAGATTGAAATGTACAGCGACGTCGAGTGGCACCCATTGCAGGGTTTGCGGGAGAGAGTCGAGGATGGTTTGATCAAGGCAGTTTTCAAAGTCGAGTAGCGCCGCCGATACAGGTGAGATGAAGAGTACAAGGCACAGGAGTGCCATACACCAGATCGAGCTACAACTAGAGCTTGATTGTCGCCTCCGTCGTCGTTTCCGACTGTCTCGCCATGGTTGGGGGCAGTCGTATGAGCATTTCCCACTTTTTTTGGGCCCCGACGGAGTATCCCACGAGGTGCGCGTGGAGTCGACAGACATCTTGTGTGTCTCGGGCATCCGGGATGACCTCCTAGGGGAGGTCAGCCCCCGGGATAGATGATGGAATCCACGTTGTTTTTTGAGTGGGGAAGGGGCGAGCCAGGGTCTTCGCCAGTCCAGTCGTCGTCGAATCCAAAGGATGTTTCAGATGTGGATTCTCGATGGTCAGATCGTGATGTGTACGGAGAGTAAAGGCCAGGGAGATCCCGTGTTTATTTCGTGTCGCCGCTCTAGGTGTAAGGGGGGAGGGGTGAGGGGGGAGGAAAGAGAGGGGGTTGGAAGGTTGAAGAGGGGAGGGAGCGCGAACGCTGGGTACGTAGTGTCGTGGAGCTTTGATGTCAACGGCACGACCCGGGAATGAAGAGATTCCGAATTATTTGCTGCTGCGCCTTGTTGGTGGATATGTGGCTGACTACTCCAGAATTAGCTGTTTGTCTCAGAGCAGACAGTACAGTCATCATAAGTCCCCCTTATATTAGGGCACGATAATGCTGTGATTTTGGAATCTTCACAAACTTCTCCTAATCGGTAATTGATCCGACTTTCAAGCGAGACAAATAATACAATTTTAGCATCAAAGCCATGGCTTTCTCGTTGGCAATGTCTCAGGCTATTTGTGGAGATTGAACCCTGTGGCTGATTAGCTAAACGGTGTGGAGCACAGACACGGATTAGGGGTAGTTTCTACCGAGGAATAGGTCTATGATTACGGAGTACTCCGTGATGCTGAAGTTGTATATGTCCTCCTTAGGTAAATAGCCCTAGATGTAGTACACAGTTACCAGTCGATAATAGGCTTGAGAGAGGTTCCAGGGTTCCAGCCTTGGAACATTTCCAGATTAAGGCTAGTTCAAGTATTCAAATGTTATTGATGATTGATAAAATGCCTATTTGGAAAAGTATCGTCAGCTTTGGAGAAAACCTAGGGTATCTAACCCAGTTGTAATGGCAATTTACAATAAGAATCATACGGTGAGATATCGTGGATGAAACATAGTAGACAGTAGAAAGAATCTTCGAATAACCATTTGATAATTTTTCACTTGGGTCCACTATTCCACTATTACGATAGGGTTGACCCGCTTCCAAGATTACATAATAAGGTAAATATGGATAACTAACTAGGTACCAGGTACCTCGTGAAATACTGGAAGCAGTTAACTTAACATGGTCAGCTATCTACAGAGTTATGTAAGTTGAACTAACTCAACTTTTAACTCAAATCTCCACTCTCAATTATTTAAGTTGAAACCGTACAAGAGATCTAACTAGTTAATTAATAAACTATTAAACAATTAAACAAACAAATATCTCGCATTAATTTAGGATACTTTGTCTGATACTACACAGAAGTGATAGTATGGGTCGTGGGGTGGAGTTCCACAATTGACAGGAGCCACAAAGTGGCCTTTTAGTAGAGATGTTGAAAGTCGTATTATAGATACATAGATGATAGGCGATCAGTCTACGGAGTACAGATTCCATTCATTTCATCAAGGGGATGATTGACGTATGCCCAGTTGTCCCGACAAATAGGAAGGTATTCCTGAGCGGAGATGACATGCCTGATCAACATTGCGGTAAAGACCAAAGTGGAAAGCCGCGAGTACATAAGAACATGTATAGGTATATTCAAATCACCTTTACTCTGTAGAAGTTAGATATAATTCCACTAAGTAATAGAGAGAGATAGTACTAAGTAAAGACAAAGACGTAACAAATTATATATAGTATAAACAAAAGGTCGACGTAACAAAGTCGTCAGCTTCTCCACATTACCTAATCAGGTTTAATACAAGTTTCACCATCTACTGTGTACGTTTCTTCATGTTACATATCATACGTACATATTACACAGCAGAGACTCAACACAGTACACTGTATTATAACTCCTTCCTATTAATATTCTAGTCTAGACTCGTATCAGCCTCAATCCAGTTACTGGAAAGATGAAATATCCCATAAACCTGAGACTTAAGAGTGGACCTTCTCTGAGAACATTCCACATTAGATATCCACTTGGTAGTACAACTTATTACTATAATCAAAAGTAGTCTTAAAATATCTCTCCGTAGATCATGTGGAGTAATGTTAACTAATAAGTTTCCCTCATTTTGAAGTTTGGTTTCAACACGGGCGCTACCCAAGGTTGTACTTCTCCCCCCTTTCACTATCTCTTCAATACTATCAAAGACCTTACCTTACTTTACTCTCTCTGACTTGAGCTACCACTATCTCCCTCTCTTCTTCTCATCCATCTCAACTAGACTTGTCGATCTTCTTGTCATTGCCATTCATATTCCCATTCCTATTGCTATTCCTATTGCTATTCTTATTTCTATTCCTACTTCGTCTCTGCATACCCTATTTGGGCGGGGTCGATACCTACTACCTCCGCTGTGCGATGAAGGAGGATTTATCATCTCTTCTGTCTCGACATGTCTGCTAATGACCCATTTCCCTTGGTCGCTGCTGACCAGCCCAAGCCCTCCAAGAAACCCCATTGGAGAGAGAAGCTTTTCTCCAAGGACAAGAGTCAAATCAAAGTCACCTCCGATAAGCAAATCGAAGACTTTCTGGCTACTTCAAGACCTTTGCCCGACCAACACGTGAAGGGTATTGTTTCTAATCAAAACCATCATCACAATCATCAACTGTCGCAGTCGCATGACCAACCACATCGGCAGCAGTATCAGCCTCCTCAGCCTCCTCCACTTTCGACGCATCGGGCCCTAGCCCCTCATCATCTCCCCAATGTGGCGCTGCCTCAAATTCCTTACCAAATATCTCCATCATCTGACAAGCACGCCGCCTTTACCGTTCAATTTACCGAAGATGAACTTACGTCTCCCGAGCAACCTCAGCCGCAACCCCAATCACATCCAATACCCCAAGTTCAACAGGAACAGCCTCAACGATCCAAGACCATACGGAACCCTCGCAAAGGGAAGGGCCTCCGAGTCGGCTTCTCGGAACGTGCTCCCGATGTGATGGGAGAAGGTGGGGATGAAACAGATACCCCAACCATCGAGATCTCGCGGGCCCTTCAGCGGTCACGAGAAATGAAGACATCGCAACCGCCTCGATCTCCAGATCCATCCCGCCCTCATCTACCGACACTGAGAGTCAACACATCGCTGGGCGATGGAACCCAACGGGCGCAGGCCTCCGGTGGTGGAACAAGTCCCAATCACAACAAGAGAATACCCCTGATGCTCAACGTACAAGATGCAGAGTTCTTGACCACTCTCAAGTCTCCAGGCTCTCGCATCTCGTTCAGGGGGTCGCCGGACTCACATTCCTTTGCGGAGCGGGTGCGCAACCAGATGCAGGCTGAGGAAGGCCGTGCTTTACATCATACATACGAAGAATACACATCCCCGGTGGATGACGACGACGACGATGATGATAATGATGATGATGAAGAGTACGAGGATGACGAAATTTCAAGTCCCGATCTTCCTTCGCATAGCCCTAAAACACCGAATGAGTTGTGTTACAATGTCCCTCCCATCTCGGTCACATCCAACGGCCCCTCCGTCAAGTCGATTGTCCACTCCATTCGAAATCCACCAAGTCCGACCGTTCACCGAGGCCCCGACAGTCTGAGCCCGATTGACCCTCGAATTCCCCCCAACCTAGTACCAGGCAGCCCAGGAAAACCTACCCCTCCTCAGCTTGCTCCACCGTCTCCAGTGTATGTGCAGGCCCCTCCCTACGAAGAGGAAAAGCAATCTGCACCATTGCGACAGGCCTCTCCCCCAAAGCAAAAGTCCCTCCCATCAAGTCAGTCAAGCCAGCTGCCCTCGTCGGATTCACGAACCTCCAAGTTTACTTTGCGCTCGGTTGCCAATCAAGTTGGCGATGTCGCCTTTACTGAATTCAGAGAATACATTGCTCAACATGATGGTCACCTCCGATCGGCCGCTGAGAGCGTCAAACCTTTGATGGAAACATCATTGACAGAATGGGTTCGGGCTGCGATGTGGTGGTTTTTGCGAGGAAAAACACGATTGGAGGCGTTTGCCCGCTCTAAATCGGCTCCCCCTAGTGCCGCCAAACAGGCCGTCATAGATCTTGGAAAGGCTTTCTGGATCTGTGAGAACATTGTGCCTGTGCACAACGAGCTATCTCGTATTGGCAATGGCAGAATGAGTATTGATGCATGTCTAGCCGTGGCAAGCACCACTGGCGATAAAGAGATGGCGGATCTCCTTAGCTTGCATCTCAACATCCAGAATCACCTGCGATCGTTGTCTATGTCTATAAAGCGCAACAATATCCTTGCTACCATTTTCAAGGATGACAGGTCCCCTAGCCACTTGGACACCAGTGTTTGGCTACGATATCCCTTCTTTGCTCCGGACGTGTCCGCAGTGCTTTCTGGAGCGGCCACTAGATCGATGTTGGCTGACAAACCCGGCAAGACCCCAAGCATAGTTTATATGATGCCACTGGGAGATACGAGTCGGTATTTCAGCTATGGTAGCATGTTCGTGCAAGCCTGTGTCAGCTCCAGAGACGATCAAGAAGGCCAGCAATATGCTATGCCATGCTGCTTGACGATCATTCGCGAGCGCACAGACTGGTACGTGTTCGCTGCCATCACCAGTCAGAGTCAACTCGTCAATGTCATGATCCAGTCCGATAGGAAGCAGGGCCCGACTTGGGATGATGTAGACTGGCAAGTCCGTAGTAACTCTATGCGAGTAAAACTTCCCCGAGGATTTGAATTGGACGTCATGTTCAAGGACGAGGATTTCAAAATGCTCTGGAACATTGTCAAGTACACCCAGAAGTCAGAGTCAACTCTTGCCCCGGAAGCCGGTGAGACTGTGGTATTTGAGAATACTTTGAAGCTTTTCCAATACATGGACCCCAGCACACCCAAGGCCTTCCCTTCGGATCCTCTGGAGCGCTGTCGGGTTCGCCTGTTTGAACGATTGACTACGGTGACCGAGGGCACTGGCTCACGAAGTGCTCATCGAGGATTCCGGCTGACCGTTCTCACAAGCCCCAAGGTGAAGACACTCAGCTGTGTCAAGCACGTTCTGGGTCAAGGATCCCCCTTGGTTTTCGGCCTACTCAGAGGAGAAGATGGGGCTCCAGCTCTGCTACTCAAGGTGACCGAGGAAGGTCGCACACGATCTATGCTCTTGACATTCCACGAAGTGGAAGAACGAACAAGGGTTCATGCATTGTTGTTGGGCATGATGGCTCAAGAAGATGAGACCAAAACTCCGGACATCCCCATTCGAGGATATGCCATTGAAGAGCCGGCCGACGCAGCCAGTGGTCGACCAGCGATTACACACCTGCAATTCCCTGCCGGAAATGTTTCTGTGATTGATCAACCTCATGCCAACGTTGAACACGGCTATGGACCGACCATTCTATCGGAACATTTGAGGGCATTCGTTGCTACCGAGTGGGGATCCGTTACTGATCGTATTAATTTGGGTAAGTTCAGCCTTAGAAACCTCTTTATAAGCATTTTTTTAACGGTCATTTAGGACCTGGATACTTCAAGATTGGCCTGGATGTCAATCGAAGGACGGGTATGAGCTTGTTCCGCCCACCACAGCAGGATCTGACCATTTCGCTGGCGGACAATCTCACTCGCCCTGAACAGTCCGAGCAGGTTGCGGATTTGCTTCAGAGACTTACCACTAAACCAATGATTCGTCGGTTTGACTTCGGCTCTCTACAGGGTATGTTGTCACAACTTGCACCTCGACTTGTCTCCTCATTAATTACTCTTTAGATCTTCATGCGTTCGAAGAAGCAGTTACTGGGTTCAAGGTGATATATGATTCGTAAGTCATGTACTTGTTCCTCATTTATCTACAGATGCTAACAGACCTAGGATGGCTTCTTCTTTTACCATCTCCCGTCGCCGCATGGTGGTCCCCATTTACAAGAAATGGGAGGCCAACCTGGCGCGAATCCAGGTCATACGACAGGAAAAAGTAACTCAACTACTGGTCTTCTTTGCGGATTTCCAGTACGGTAGCTGCATGAATTTCGTCCTCAAAGGCACGGATCATGTCGAGTCCTTCGGCCGTTCCGGCAAGTTTGGTATTCGCATTGTTGATGCCAAATTTGCCCTACCGAAGAGAGATGACGATCCTGGGTCCAAGTTTGTCTGTCTCGATATGCCTGAATATCCGATCGAGCACGATGATATCTCCATTGCGTTTGATACTGATGTAGAGCGTAACACTTTCAAGACTGCATTGCCTGGATCAGTGCGAGAACCCTCTCGCATGCAATCTCTTCGTCGATAATTGTGTCTCATGATTTTCCCCTCATAATGACCTCCTCTATCTACACTTCTCTGAACCACGTGACAATTACGTGATAGCCCCTCTTTCCCCTCGGAGTCATCGATGGCGTTATTCTGGATGTATTATATCTCTTCACCCTCTTGTGCATATTTCCCGGAACATATTTAGCTATTATCACAATGTCACAACCCATTGGTACTTCTACACGTTCTATACACGCGGATGATGTATTGAATGTAGTGGACGATGTCGCACCTCCCATTCACGTCTCAACCACGTTCCGCTATTCCAATAATCCCGATGACTTAATTCCATATGCAGATCGTGAGAGCGTATGCGATTTCATACCACTACATAACCGATATTCCCATGCTAACTTTTCTGCTAGACGGACTTCTTTGATGATCCCACTTCCCACATCTACTCGCGCCTCTCCGCGCCCAATTTCACCCGCTTTGAAGCCGTCCTCTCATCTCTTCTCAATGGCAAGGCAATCAGCTATTCTTCCGGCCTCTCCGCCCTCCATGCCGCCTTAACGCTCCTCAATCCCAAGCGCATTGCCATTGGCGATGGATACCATGGTTGTTTCGGCGTAGTAGCCCTCTTCACCCGCCTCAATGGCCTCCAAAAGCTTGATCTCGACTGCGCAGCCTCCGAACTCGAAGCAGGTGACGTCATACTTCTCGAAACCCCCTCAACCCCAAAGGAACGGCCTCCAACATCGCCGAATACGCGGAGAAAGCCCACTCGCGCGGCGCATACCTCATCGTCGACAGCACCTTCGCTCCACCACCTCTCCAGGACCCATTCCTCTTCGGCGCAGACATGGTCATGCACTCTGGCTCAAAATATTTCGGTGGACATAGCGACGTTCTCTGCGGTGTTTTGGCTACTAATCGCGAAGACTGGTATAAGCAGCTCTTCAGCGATCGTGTCTTCATCGGTAGCGTCATGGGTAACATGGAAGGCTGGCTCGGCGTGCGCAGTCTGCGAACCTTGGAGCTTCGCGTTCAGCGCCAGAGCGAGAATACCACCCGTCTCGTATCGTGGCTGCACACGGCTTTACATGCGCCGAACCCAGCTGCTGGATCTGATGAGGCCGCTATCCAGGCTGTGCTTGCAGAAGTCTTCCATGTTAGCGTTCAGAAGACTGAGGGTGACTGGCTGGCTAAGCAGATGCCGAATGGTTTCGGCCCTGTGTTCTCAATTACTATGAAGGAAGAACGCTTTGCGAAGGCGTTGCCGAGTAAATTGCATTACTTCCATCATGCTACTTCGCTTGGTGGCGTTGAGAGTCTTATCGAGTGGCGTACTATGACGGATACCACTGTTGATCGCCGCTTGTTGCGGATTAGTATTGGTTTGGAGAATTGGGAGGATTTGAAATCGGATTTCGTTAAGGCTTTCCGGGCTTTGGCTGAGAATTGAATAGAGTATAAACTGTAGACTATGGAGATTTCACTGTTCAGGTGTCTCTGAAGTACGGAAACCTTGGAATATTTCCATGAGATAATTCACCTAGGCATAGTATTCCAATCGACTCCCTGGGTGTTCAAAAATCACCGTCCGACTTAGGAACTTGGCTATCTCTCACTGGGCTTTGAGTTGACTGCAGCGCCAAAAATTCCAAGTTTAGCTACATGGGTCACAAGATAGGGAATTAGTTTATATTCTTAAGAAAAGACGGCTACACGATATTCCAATGTTAGTGTTGAATATCAATCTAGTGACCTTTCCAAGGGTTCTTCCGAATAATCGTTTCAATGGTTATTCGCAGCAAGACATAGACTCTGGTTGGCATATATATATATATTCAATGATTTAACCAGTCTGCCATTTAACATCAGATAAAGTTAGCCAGAAGTTTCTAAATCGGCAAGACCATCATCGGAAACAAGGATTACTTCATCAAAACACTGCTGACTTCGATCTAGGAAACACCAACGTCATGTCAATACATTAGACCGCATACTTGCCTAGGTATTCAATTCATGCATGCCTTATGTGGTGATGACTACATTCTCATTTGTTACTCTCACAACGACTGTCTGGACTGCCACGGCAGCTCGAGTCTCTTAAACACTATTGGCAGCAGGGCTTTAGTAACCAGGATCTGAACTTGTATCAGCATAGACGAGAGTACAGTGTTAATCGGCTGGATACTGCATCCTTCATTGACTAGTATGAGAATCGCGACTAAATTGCCCAACAGGCCAAAGATATAATTGCTCATCGCTATGGTGACCCAGTTGCACCAGTTACCGATATTACTACACCGACTATTGTGCAGGAGCTCAGCGTTAATACTCCAATCTATATACAGTTGCTGGGTATATGCTTTGACTACCTAGACCTTCCCCTGCCACGGGATCATTGCCTGGCATTCATGAACAATCTCAAAAGAGAATCTGAGCAATCTAATTCGATTGCTGATACCGACTCGCACCTTGAATCAAATTTCTCTTCGGGGAATACATCTGAGGATCCCCCAGACCAGCCTCCCACAATATCTTGGACTCAGATTGCCCAGGAAGGACTTTCCTAGCTTTTTTTTTTTTTGAAGCGTGAACTTTTAATGTCGATTTTAACGGTCCAGGACATGGCCCAACTTTCCCAACAAAAAGTGCATTTAGTAGTCGATGAAAGAGGTCAGCCTGTACATGCATCAAAATAATATTGTGGCTGAAATCTTCTTAGATCCGCTTTCCTCTGTTGATATGATGAAATCTCTGAACTTGGATTCTAGTCGTGAGGGCAGGCTAAGTAAGGCATGCTGCTGCGCATGGAATTAGGGGTACATCTTTCTCTGCAGAGTGAGAAATGAGATGCTCAACGATCTTTCTCGCAGATACGGTTGATGAAAGCTGGATGCCTGCATCAGTATGAATGAAGAGGCTTGTTGGCAGAGGTTGTGGAACGGGTCGATATAGTTTGTACGCACATTCATACACTACAATTTTGGATGCCAGTTCTTCTGTTAAAGACATGACACATTGACACATACTGCAGTAGGCGATCTAGAAACACGGTGCTATCTGAAGTGAAGGGGATCCAAAACAACCAATTTACCCGTCAACATTGGTGAGGAAACAACCCCGCAATGAGAAATTTCCTCAAAACGTATTATTTTCCTTTCTACTTTTCTCCAAACCCACGTTTGAATACAACCTTGGAATGGCTTCATTACCTCAGCCCCAGTCTGGACAATTTGCCATCCACTACTTTGCCACAGCCTCCCAATATACTTCAAAAAACACCGAGCGCCTTCCTGCGCCTCTTCCGCTATCCCGTCTCTTCCCTCTCCTCGAGGAGCTTTACCCCGGCATCAAGGAGAAAGTCCTTTGCAGCTGTGGCATCAGTCTTGAGGGCAATTATGTCGATGTCGATGTCGATGCAGATGTGATTATCCAGGCTGGAGATGAAATTGCAGTGATCCCACCCGTCAGTTCAGGGTAGAGGCAGTTCAGTTCTAGACGTTGCCTGATCTTTACTGTCTACTGCGTACGAAGAAATAGGTTGCATTTATATAATGGCAATTTCAAATTTATAGAGTTCTCATGGGGTTTAATATAATTTGAACCGCTGTATTGGACATGGGCGCCTTGACGCCTGAAACACTTGAAATTGAAACATAATCTCAAACCCGAGCTTCCCCCGTAAATTCCAATTTAATATCGTGCATAATTTTTGTTCATTTCTGATAGCACTCTAGTATCGGCGTCGTCCATAATCGCGGATGTCCATCTCAACCAGGTATTTCTCGTTTTTGCCGTACAGCATGCGAAACTGCTTCTTCTTGCGCCACAAGAAGAAGCTGGTAACGGTCGTAATGAGGAAGAATATACTGTTTCGATTAGTAACTTATTTTGTAGTGAGCACTTGGGGCGAAACATACCAGAGGGCGATGATGATTCCCCAGATAGCCTTGGTCTCATAGCAGATACTCTTGGATGCGGTGATCCACACCTTGTAGTTGATGCCGCCGCTGACGCTGACGGTATAGTTACCGGCATGGATGGAGAAGGCGTATTTGATGGCTTCGCCATCGTTTAGCGTGCTCAGGGCCTCGCATGAGGTGAGCCAGAGTGGCCTGGCCATTTCCACAGCTACGACGGCCAGTCCCGCTAGCATGAGGAGGTCGAGCAATGTACAGATGATAGACGGAAGTGAATCGTGGAAATATAAAATGACTGTGGCGAGGCAGTAGAAGCATACGATGCATGCCTGATGGAATCTGAATTAATTTTCGTCCTCTCGACCTTGGAAGGTCCCTGGGCCCATGGCATGAGATGCACTTACCACACTCATCACTCCTACTATCATGCTGGGTGGCTTTGTATTCTCTCCATCCATCAGACTGATGAACTTGGCCACCATTCCAATTATGGCAATAAGTGAGCAGACCTGCAGAAGACGAGCCAGCTCGAACATCGTGCCCATTCCTCCATATCGGCGAGGCATTTTGAATGTAGTTTATAGATTGTGCTGAAAGAAATTAGTCGAAAGGTTCCAAAGTTAGGTTGATATAGTGAGTGTGGTTTAGTAGGTAATGAGAGGAAAAGAAAAAAAAAAGAATGTTAGTGTCAAGTCAATTGACACATGAAAGTTGGCGAGTGAAACGAGGAAGATGCTCCAGATGTCCAGCACTGGACTTCAAACAACTTGGCGAGCTCATCCCGTTATATAGAACATTAGGCAATACTGTCGGGAAATCTGGGGGTGAGCAGAGTTTGGATACAAGGAAATTAGAGATACGGCAAGGATCTAGACCCTTTTTTCGGAATGTTTCCCGAAGACTCTGAAGTGTCCACAATGTTAATTTAGAGAAATGAGCTTGAAGGAATTAAAGCATACAGTTTACCTATCATTCGCTTTCCTCTTGCTGATCCTTCACAATGACTCTATATGTCTATCTTATTCAATCATACCTCAAACGTCCTAGTCACTTGGTGGGGTATACTATGTCCCCACTCTTCAAACAAACCCTAACTTTGTCCCATTCTAAGTCTACCTATAGCTACGAAACAGGAACATGCGAGCCTTCCAAAGTTCCAAGTTCCAAGTTTTATCTGCCTTTGCTGCTCGCGTGGCATGTCGCATTCCGCTAGTTTCACATGATATCTTTAAATGTAATTGATACAATATATGTGGATTGTCATCAAGTCGGGCTCTGTGTAATTACAACTTAAAGAATCTAACATGTTAATCAACTAAATTATCCCTCCTTTAATCTATCTATCATAGAGTAGAAATCTGCTAAAAAGTGCTTTGGAGCCTTGAAACCCATGGACAGCTACGTTCTATTCGAAACAGACAAAGTAACGAGTAGAGATTGCAAAACAGGAAGTAAGGGTAGAATGGGATTCAATCTATACCCAAAACAAGCATCGAACCTTAAATTGTGACTCTTCCAAGGCTGTTGTCTTTATTCAAGTCGCCAGCCGCCACTCATCCGCCTCTGGAAAAACCCTTGAGGATCTACGTCCAATCGGGTTTGCAGGGCTAGCTGCTTTGATTCTGGGTCAATACGAGACCAGTAATCTTGCCGGAAGTAGAAATCGTTCATGAAGAGTGGTCGGTACACATCAGGTAATAGACCTTCATCTATGTTCTTCCGTATGAGATTATCCAGTCCTCGGTAGAGCTCCTGATTGGCCTGGTCGATTCTCTCATCATATGAAGAGGACGAGTAAGAGAAGTCCATCTCGAGGATAATGCAGTTGGTATCAGTCGGGAAATTGAGTAGGTCCTAAATTGGTTAGCTGATTTTGATAGCTGACAGAGCGATCCTATCCTTACTCCACCACGGTCCTGTGATTTTTGGGGAGAGGTCATGGGGACTGGTTGAAAGGCAATTGAGCCGATGGCATTGGGAATTTCTAGCACACTGGATGTGATGTTAAACCAGTAGTCGTAATACTGTTGTAGCACTGTAGAACCAGTCGCGTTTGGCACTGAAGTTTTCTCGGTAGGGCTAGTCTCGGTGGCAATAGTATAGCGCTGGCCACTGCGAATGATTAGAGTTGGTACCTTGATAACTATCCTCTGAACCTTACTGCATAACAAAGGCATCATTGTTCTTCAAGAGATCATAAAGTTTATCCCATGTCTTGGTCGTCGATGTGTGCTCAATTGCAGTAAATTCGTCAAATACTCTTACCGGTGGCTGAGGGCCATCATAGAAGAGAAACATGATCCAGAGGTTCATTAGTAGGCTGTGCTCGGCCGTCAAGATAATTGCTGCCTTGTCATCTGGATAGTCGTCCACAAAATTTCGCAGAGCCTTTAGTAACTGGGGTGCCTATCAAGGAGACTCTCATTAGTTTCTTAGGACCTTTTCATGCCTAGTGAATAAACAAGGATGAAGAGAGATACTTTACCTTATCAGAGGTGAAGAAACAGTTGCCACCCCATACCTTGTGATCCTCATGAGTTGTGATCTCAAATGCAGTAACAACACCGAAGTTATTACCTCCTCCTTTTAGTGATGCAAAGAGGTCTTGAGATTTAGCCCCTGTACTTGCTACTCTATTTTGATCTCACTTACTGACATTCTCCTGAGCGTTGGCGTTACTGATTGTGCCATTTGCCATCACAATCTCATAGTTCACGACATTATTGGCGGCCCACCCATATTGCGTGCTTAAAAAACTCATTCCGCCTGCTCATGATGAGCTGAGAATATTTTCCCAAATTAGCAATTTCGGCAACAAAGGAGCTCACCTCCAAGAGTATACCCTCCGACTCCCACCTCCCCAATTCTGCCTCCCACTAGAGTACGCCCCATTCCAATTAAGCCTTTTTGTGCATCCTCCCATGAGATACCTGGTCCAACCACAGCTGTCTGGGTGTTAGAATTATAGTTGACTTGGCTTAATTTCCTAGTAGAAATCAAGAGTCCGTCTTGAATGCTTGCAAACCCATTATTTGGCATGTGACCTCCGGATTTGATCGCGAATGGCGTCGTGAAATGATGAAGCTCGAGGATTATTCGAGAAACCTCTGCTGCATTAGATGGTGCCGCGATACATTTCGGCTTGAGATCACTGCATGCGGCTGACCAATAGTTGGCTAAATCGTACCAGTAGCCCATAGAGAAGGGGTATTCGACTGGAATTCCGGTCTGTTCGATGGTTGAGCAGATGTCGGCCATGACTGTTAGGGTGGTCATAGATAGAATTACTGCATACCAACCACCTGCATGGCTGTCCATATCGAAAATGTACATATAGATGTACCTAAGCATTATCAAATATAGGGCTGAATTTGATATTGCAAAAAGCAAAAATCAAAGAGTAGGACCTGGGAGAGCTAGATATAGCTTAGAACATGAGATCTTAGGATTTGAGAAACCTACGAGTTGAGATGGTTCAGTCCATGGATTGATCGGCATATATACTAATTTCGAGGACTTTAGCCTCTAGTCTTTCAATGTTACAATGTGAACATAGATAGTCTAACCCGCCGAGCCTCTGAAAACTGCTCCTATGTGTGATACACAGGTGGTAGCCTCGAATCTTCCTCGGTATCTCGGGATCGATAGATAGGGAACGACATGTTAATCATCTCCAGGTGTGGACAACTGAGAACGTTAGAAAAGGTTCTGAAGAGATCAAGCCTTCCAATCTTGCCCAGGTGGAAGCTCTGCATACCTAAGTCCTGAGTTCAGTATATAAACTGTACGCATGATTTACCTAGATCCCGAGGTCTAAGTGAAGGGCAGGTCCCTATGTATTTCGGAATTGATATATGACCCACTTTTATAGTGGATAAGTGGATCCTTATATTTCAGGTCTTCGTTCTGTTTGCTTTCTTTCCTTTTTGTTGTGAATAGCTTTAAATTAATCGTGATGACTAAATCTCGATACTTTCAATTCAACGACAAAAATTCACTCAAAACTCCAATCATAGGAGTATTAAGTTAGAAAGGTCGCTAGGCATGGGGAAATTCACGGGAGTCTTTTTAGTAGCTCAGGACACTGAGGTAAGATTCCCACGAGCCGGCGTTATAAACGAGTAATAAATACTGCAAAGTTTGATCGCGGACGGTCATCGACTATAATCGACTTGGAGTTGATATCGCTGGACCAAACATCCTCGCATATTCACCGCCCTAGGCGGTATTCTGAATATTCAGGCAGAATTATCAACTTTCAATCCTGGTCAGTGGCTATCACGCCCACAGCAGAAATGATATTGCTAAAATCTGCGGCCCTGCAAAGGCTTGCAGGCCCAAGATTAGGAGTACATTGTACTTTGCGCCCGGGTAAAGCTGCAATCTTGTGCCCGTGGACTGCTACTCGCGCGCTACGCTCGATATCAACATGGAGAGCTTTACAATCGGAGTTGGACGAACAGACCGGAGAGAAGGTACATATCAAAGTAACTCATATATTACTTGGGCCGAGCTTACACATCTCTATTAGGATTTGGAAGCGCAGGATCCGCTGATCATTATTGAGACTGAAGCCGCTCGCCTCCGTGACGAAAAAGAAGCTCAACAGAATGCGGAAATCGAAGCCTACACTGATATTCGAGAATACCTTAGGAATTGGCAGAATACCAATCCACCTACCCTGGACCCATTTCAGGAACCAGGTGCACTCATAGATGGAGCCCAGGCTGGTGGCATGCTCAATGGTCGAGAGGCAAGCGATTCTGTCTGGAATACCACGTTGATGAACAACCAAGAAGACCTTGATTACTCGGAAGAATCCCAAGGCGAACATCTCCAATCTGGTGATTTGGTGGCTCGACTCTCCTCAGACGGCACCTTCAGCTTTGCAATCTATGTGCAATCCGTTTACAGACAGAAGCAATTTTATATCTCCAAGGGAAATTGGCGTGTTTGCTCCCCAGGTGAAATCGACTATGTCATCAAGGAGTTCGCTCCTTTGGAATTACTCGAGCCGATCAAACCATATTTCCCCACCAGTTTGACCCATGTCATACCAGAAATTCAAACTATCCCGGAAGGCGGACTTCCCAGGCCTCTTGGAGCACCTCTTTTGTCGATGATGACCAATCTCCATGGTCATATCTTGGATTTCTATCAAAAACACTCTGAGTCACTTGATAACATTTATGATATGGTTGCCGATACTTCTGAATTTCTTCGCTTGACCCTAGAAGAAATGGCCATGACAGTTTTGAGCATCGACGAGTCAGAGCTCAATAGTGTCAATCTCTTTGCGGTGCACCAAGCTATCCGGCGATATCCATTCCTCATAGAAAAGTCGTCAACCTCTTTGATCTGCTATACTTATCTAATACAACCGAAGAGAGTCGCCAAAGTAATCAATCAAGTCACTGATTGGGCTCGCGAGCATCAAGAGATCTGTGTGAAGGCGGCCTCGAGAAAGAAAGGGGACAATTTACAGACGAACCACCCAATGCAAAAATTTATTGCTAAATCACAACGATTGATCCACCGTAGCCGAAAGCTTCGATCGCCCACAATCATGTCCAGTCTTGGCCCCTCATCCCAAAGATTTTCACCTGGACAGGATGGCAAGCCAATGGTGTTCCGCGAGGTTTTGACTGAAACCTTTACCCCTGATGACCAAATCATTATCGAGTATCTACAGCTTTATGCTATCCCATCCGTCATAATGCCGTCTGGCACTTTGAAATCGACAGCTTCACATATCATGCGGGCGACAGGCATGTATAACAGTCTCGGACTCAGTAGCGCATCGTCTCGACTGTTCCTGCAGGAGTTGGGCGTCGTATCTCCGTGGGAAAATCTTGCTCTTCTTGATCAAACTCTGTTGCTCCCCGGACATGGGATGTCTCTTATGGAAGATATGAGGTGGGAAGAAAACGAGGAAGCCTGTTCAAAACTTGAATCCATGAACGACTCGATGCAAGATCTCCGAAAGGACTGGGGAGATCTGCCGGTCTACTGTGTCGACGATATTACAGCCCAAGAAATTGACGACGGTGTCTCGCTAGAACGTATTCCAGGCTCAGACGATATATTCTGGGTGCACATTCACGTTGCAAATCCGACGGCCTTCTTAGCCCACGATCATCCTATTATGGAGTATGCCGGCTCCAGACTCCTGACTACCTATACTCCGGAACGCACATACCCCATCTTCCCAAAATCTTTCACCCAGAATCATTTCAGTTTATCCCCAGGTCGACCCACTCTCACATTCAGTGCAAAGATGAACCTTCAAGGAGAGGTCTTAGACACGGAAGTCGCAAATGGTACCATTAGAAATGTAATCAGTGTCACACATCGCACTGTACAAGAATTCTTGAGTCAGAACGCGGATAAACCTACGAGTTTCCTCGTCGTGGGAGGTCCTCCTTCAGCTGCTTCTGACAGCACAGTCTTTCGTGAGGAGCTCACCCCAGAAGATAAGGATACTTTTACCATCTTGCGTCAACTTATGCTCGGGTTCCGCAGTCAGCGTCAGAAGAATGGTGCTATAGACTTACCGGCCCAGCCTAATACCTCGCTCTCTGTTCAGCTAGGCTTAATTCCTGCGAAGCCCTACGATCTGCAAGTCACCGAAGGCCGACACTACATCGGTGACCCACGTATCGAACTCCGTATGCAGGACTTTGATCCGCACGAAGTCCGAGACGAGTCAAAGAACTACCTGATCTCGTTGTTGATGAACCTTGCCGGCCACGTCGCTGGCCAGTTCTGTGCTACCCGAAACATCCCTGTGGTTTATAATGGAACCTGGTACGATCCTGAATACTCTCGTCTCACATCCCAAAATATACATCAGTTCGGTGGACAGGGATTTTATCACCTCGGCATGCCAAAGGCCTTTGCCTCAACCGAGCCTCTTCAACACCACATCCTCGGGCTTGATTCATATATCAAAAGTACCAGTCCGCTACGCCGGTGGAACGATGTCATAGCCCACTACCAAATCGAAGCAGCGCTACGGTTTGAAGCCGAGTATGGACGCCGCTTCGATGTCAATACAGACTCCCCAGGTTCCACGTATGAAGATATTCCAGAGACAACAGAGTTTGAAGAAGAGTCTCAACCAGCAACCTCTCTACTCCCGTTCTCCAGGGCTGACCTAGACGACCACATCACCTACTCCCAACCCATTCAAACCCGCCTCAATCAAATTTCAAAATACTCCACCCAACACTGGGCTTGCATGCTCCTCCTCCGCGCCTTTTATTTTGGTGAATGTCCCCTCCCCGAGACTTTCCAATGTTTCCTACGATCACAGCGCCATGGTTCTGATATTTTGGACACTACTTATTCAGGAGTCATCACCAGTCTTGGTGTGAACTGTGTTGTCGTTATACCCGAAAGCTGTCCAGATAAAGACCGGATGGATGTCTTTGGCGTTGTGGAGGCAACTATTACTGCTGTCGATATGGCCACCTTGGAGGTAAAGATGAAGGCTACAAAGTTGGTTAAGCTATTCGAACGGACAGGTGAATGGGCTTAAAGCTTGAACGGCCTTGGCTATTGTATTATAAATAAACAGGATTTAGATCCTGACATATAACTTGTATTATATTCTCTCCAACTTGGAAAAATCCGTGGACATCTGAACGTTTTCTTATCTCCAGGTACTTTCACTACTCTCGCTCCCACTGTAGATCACTATCACTGTCACTTCCAAGGTTATAATTATTTATACTACGCTATATCATATTATATCCTCCCGCCTTCTGACCTTATAGCCATCTGGGTAATAACCTCTCTCCTTTATCCTACCTACTCACCATAAACGAAGCCCGCCACTTCCAATCCTGTAGCTGTTGCATCATATGACCTATTAAGTAGCATTTTTAGTCAGCTTCTCTTCCAATTCATCACAACCACAGTTAGACCCAGAGTCAAGTGATTCGCCAGAATTATTGTTGACTTGAATAGCCATAGTTGACTCAGCCTCCCTCTTCACATATACCTCACCCTATTCCCATATAGATGATGTGCAGTGGATGTCTTACAAGGTGAATACATGAACCATGAATACAACGACTTTAACAATCTAGATCTGCCTAGTATCTTGAAAGATCACGACCTGGTCGAAGAGTCGATCCTATACCACGAAAGATCTCCAAGGATCGACTTGCCAAGCATCAGAATGCGATTGTTAGCCTGTCACAATGCTTATAATTCCCCTACACCTGCAAGTTAATTCTGTGCATAGGTCAACAAGAATCTTGGGACTCGATTAGCACTACAGAGTGGTGTGATCTGAACCCCTCAGCCGATCTCGGGCTGCCAATACCTTGGAAAAGTCTTGATTCAGTAGGAAAGGCGCGTCCATACGAGCCCAATAAAGCGCAGTTGCGGCCAAGAGGCTTGGATAGTCACGCCCTTACACTGTAAGAGGCCAATCAGTCTTATCCGCGGAAGGGAAACTCTGGGTACGTTTCTTACTCGTCCTAGCATCTCAATATGGAGCGAAGTCGGAGCGATAAGCCAAGAGTGGCTGCGCCCTTCGGCTTTTATATACGATGGCGTTCCCATGCTGGCTTGGATTTAGAATGCTGTCTTCCGTCAGACTTCAGATCTCAATTCCTCGTTCATGTCATGATGTCCCTGTTGATATATCCGTGACTAAAACACTCATCTTCAAATCACTTATCAATAGCCATCTCTTGGCAGTTTAAGCCGAGGCTCAGACTCCACCTTTGCGATTGCAACACTGGGAATATCAATTTCCATTATTCAGAGAATCGTTACCCCGGAATCTTGCAATCTATGCCATCGATTCATCGACAAGCTTAATTGGAAGCTTACCGAGGCTTAGCTCTAGCATTGGGCTATTCGGTTAGGGGTTTTACATAATGAGAAACTCGGCAGCCAACTAGCTTGCCTACTCTGTAAGTATGTCGTGAGACCTCACAGCCAGAACTCAATATCATGCGACTTGATTCGCTCTCTCTTCGGTTGATAAGAGTTCAGCGCGGGGAACTGACCCGACGTTGCAATCGAAGTGGCGGACACATCTAATCATGCGATTCAGCCGCAATTTTGAACCCTAGATGCTCCTGATGCAGGGACCAGTGGAGCCAGGAGAATGTCTTTTTTTGGTTATCATACCCAAATGCGGTGCATTCTCCGAGAATATGTGAAGGCAAAAATGCCCTTACTTGAATTATTCCCCTGCGGTGCCAAGACTTCCCACCACCAATCCCAAGCAGACATGCTAGACAACGGCATCAGACTTGAAACTCCTGTAGTATCGAGAATATTTCACTTTCTCTCTATCATTGAGCTGTCATCTATCCACGGTATGATTAATGTTGAGTTCAAGTCCCGATGTCCAGAGTACGGTCCGGAGTACGGTCCGGAGTGCCAAGACTTGAAATATCATTTCGCCACGAGGAAAATCGCTTCCGGAATTTCCAGAAGTGTGGCACTACGTGGCGCTACAAGTGACATACCCTTGCTCGGTCATCCCCGAAATGCTAAATTGATACGATTGATATGATCATTGATAGTTCTTCAAAGTGGAATATTTCATACTCAATGTGTTTGACCCTATCAGATACCCGGGCCCGATTGAGATCTGATAGACCCATGATCCACTCAATTTGCAATAAAAATGACATTTATTATGTTGTTCCCGTCGAGAGTAGGGTTACATTGGACCCTCAACTCAACGGGCATTAACCCCGGCTCCTGCGCATTTACCGATCGCATCCATGGTTGATTGATCCCTGCTGGGAACAATGCTCACTCCCTACCTCAACTACCTGCCAAAATAGGATGATAATAGATGTCTTAGCCTTTGTTTTTATCTCGGTCCAAGAGATAACAACATTTTCTCTAGTCATCGTTGCGTGATACCTATATATTATACAGCCCGCCCTTTTTCGTGCTACCCTTCTCAGGTTCAATCTCATTTGTCTTCTGAGGTCTGCGATCAACCGCCTTGTGCCATAATCTGCCATGTCGACCGCCGCGGTTGAGGTCTCTCGGTATGTGACTCCTTGCACTTGAGTTGTCTCTCGTCTCTCTTGCCTCTCAACTCTAGGGCTCTTTGGAGGGTTACTCCGAGTACACTCACTAATGCAACAATAGACCTCACAGCAATGATGAATCCGTCGAACAGGTCCACGTGACCGACGAGAAATGCGCCATGGATATGGATAAGGAAGCTCTCTCCAATACTCCTGATGGCGAGGAGCCCACTGATGAAGAGAAACGGACACTACGACATATTGCGGAGAACCTACCACTCTCAGCCTGGTTGGTTGCAACCGTTGAGCTGTGCGAACGTTTTACCTACTACGGTTAGTCAGCTGGACACTGTAAAATCAGGCAATCATTTTGATATCAAATCTAATCGTTGGGCTTTGTAATAGGAATGAGCGGTTTGTTCCAAAACTATGTGCTCCGTCCCCTGGATGGTAGCCAGGGTCGTGGTGCCCTTGGCATGGGTCACCAAGGTGCCACTGGTTTGACCACTTTCTTCCAATTCTGGTGCTATGTGACTCCCGTCATTGGTGCCATTGTCGCTGATCAGTACCTCGGCAAGTACAAGGCGATTGTCTTGTTCTGCGGTGTCTACCTCGTCGGTCTTTTGATCCTTGTATGCACTTCCATTCCTGGTGCCCTGGAGCATGGTGCAGGACTTGGCGGATTCATCGTGGCTATTCTGGTCATTGGTCTGGGCACAGGTGGTATCAAGAGTAACGTGGCTCCTCTGATTGCCGACCAGTATAAACGCAAGAAGATGGCTATCACGACTACCAAGAAGGGTGAGCGTGTGGTCATCGATCCCGCCCTAACCATTCAACGCATCTACATGATCTTCTACGGTTGTATCAACATCGGTTCCCTGTCTCTGCTCGCCACTCCCTACATGGAACTGTACATCGGTTTCTGGTCTGCCTACCTGCTCTGCCTGTGCATGTTTGCTGCGGGTACTGGTGTGTTGCTGTTGGGTCGCAAGTACTATGTGGTGCGCCCCCCACAGGGCTCTATCATCACCAATGCCTTCAAGGCCATGTGGATGATGGTCAAGAACCGTGATATGAATGCCCCCAAGCCTAGCTGGCAGGCTGAGCATAACGGATCAACGCAGTTGGTGTGGGACGACCACTTCATCGATGAACTCAAGCGTGCCTTGGTTGCATGCCGTGTCTTCTGCTTCTACCCCATCTACTGGGTCGTTTACGGCCAGTTCTCAGGCAACTTTGTAACGCAAGCAAGTCAGATGAGCGGTAGGCCTTCTTATTGCTATAACGGAGACTTCCAAGCTAATTATAATCTTAGGCCATGGAATTCCCAACGATCTGATGCAGAACTTTGACCCAATCTCGATCATCGTCTTCATCCCGCTGCTAGAGACTCTTCTCTACCCTCTGATGCGCCGTATGAAGATTTCCTTCCGTCCTATCACCCGTATTTCCCTAGGTTTCATTGTTGCTGCTCTGGCCATGGTGTACGCCGCTATCGTGCAGCACCTGATCTACTCAGCCGGTCCCTGCTACGACTCACCTCTCTGTGCAGCCTCCGAGATTGATGGGGTCGCCTATGGTAACAATGTGCACATTGCCATCCAGACCCCAGCTTATATGTTGATTGGTCTCTCTGAGATCTTTGCTTCCGTCTCAGGTCTGGAGTACGCCTACACCAAGGCCCCACCCTCGATGAAGTCGTTCGTGCAGTCTATGTACCTGCTTACAAACGCCTTCGGCTCTGCATTGGCCGAGGCTCTCACTCCTGCTGCCTTTGACCCAGCCATTCTATGGATGTTTGTCGGTCTGGCATGTGCTTCTTTCCTCGTTGGTATCGTCTTCTACATTATCTTCCGCCACCTTAATGCACAGGAGGATGATATGAACGCTCTTGATGCTGATGACTGGATGCCCGAGGCCCCTCGTGAAGAGGCGCGCCGTGAGTCGGTCAAACACTAACCGGTCTATATGAAGATGCCTACCATTAGTTAATTACGGTCATACGACGATATGTCTCTAACATCAAACGAAAATAATGACTTAGCAATTACTTCTTGACTTTTATTTCCAATTTAACCTCAAATCCTAATTTTCCAATGTTGAGTCTTAATATTTAATCGTGCCTTCGCTCGGGCGGAGGTATACCGAACGTTGGTTCCCGAGCTCACATCCAAGCTCACATCCACGAACCGGATGAGAAACGACCTGGATGAAATCCTTATCTTCGAATGGATTCCGAATTGGAACTTGACCAATCTCCCACTGTACTTATTTCCCTGTCCTCCAGGGCTATCCCTTTTGACCTCACGTCGAACACCCTTCGCATGGAATTTACTAGATATTGTATGTCCAGCGTTCTCAATCATAGCGGACTGGAAGAAACAACCTAGGATAAGACAATTGCCATGAGTGGTACTTCTAAAGCCCCTTCTCCATCACCTGCAAGGACATCATTGGTGCTCGTAGTGGTTGTGTCGTTTCCCACTCCCGACTTCATGCGTGTCGCTGCGCCAACTCCAGTGAGGCAATGGCCTGCTGCTGAATGGGGTCAGGGCTACATTGACGCGGTAATGATTGAAAGAACCCGAAATGAAGTGCCTGGAATGCCAGTGCTACTTACACTCAGCCATCTGTACAGGTGAGGTATGTTAAAGCGTCTGATATTCCAAGGGTTGCTATTCCAATACTAGTTATTCAACCTTAGAATATTCGGATGTTTATTATACCTACCTATGTAGGTATATTATATATATATATACAATTTTCATCGGCCTCTGAAATATTTATCAAGTTTGAGAAACGAGAGATGAAAAGAATCACAACAATCCTGAGGTCCGGCATGAGGCACTTGGACGACATTGGAGGGGATTCTAGCAGGTGAGAGCCCTAATGAGATCTCATACCTATCTAATTAGGTACTGAGTACATCCTTTTAGCCTGCACAGATGGATACCTCTTATTTCAATATTGTCAACGATATTCGGATCATAGGGCTAAGTCAAAGCGTTTTCTCGTATTTCTTCACCGAATTTTCCCCGACATCAATCATAATCGAGATGTAATTGAGGAAAATATCGATTGGTGCACAGTGGAAGAGGTAAGCGCGAAGTTTCTAATTATAACTCCAGTGGGGATGCATTGCCCGCACGTTGTGGCTGAAATTTCCGAGATGAACGCTAGGTAACTGTCAATAGGATTTATAGATTGAGATTGATATTTTTAAAGAAGAATACAAGGTGATATTGCTATATTGTATATAATTTTCTACTAGCTATTTTTAAAAAGGTACAGAGTGGTTCGCAATCATGACGTACAGTAACTAACTGCAGATGTACCCGGTACTTCCTCCAGTATGGATACTCCAGTATTAAACTGCAGTACTCGATACCAAGAAAACAGAACCAGGGACTGTTCTTGACGTGCATTTAATTCGGACCCTCGATCCACCGCTCTTTTTATAACAGTTCTAGGCCCACCGCAAGGGATACTAATTATGCTAGCAAAATATAAATCAAAATAACCTTGACCAGGCCCTTTAAGCTATAAAATTTAACCCCTGAATATCTTTTAAAAAAAAAAGCACTGAACAGATTGATTTCTGCCTCAAGGCCACTGCCACCGCCAGTCTTTCCGCTACTCCACTTTTGTTCTCCCGTCTCACCTTTCTAACTTCTCTCCCTCATCTCCCTTCCTTCCGACCCCCTTTTGCTTGTTCCTTTTTCCTTCCAGAACAACTGTCATCATGAGTGTGAGTGTAAACTTCTACTTGCATTTTTTCGAACTATTCTAACGCGGTGTCAGTACCAGGCGCTAGGAGACGGTCAATCAGGCGGCTACGGGGGATACAATCCTTATGGTGCAAACGAGAATCCTTATTCTGATCAACAAACCTCGTATGGGTATGGAGGTGGCCACAATGACCCAGAGCAGGGGAACGGAAGCTATGGTGAGTCTTTCCTGGTGTTTGCAAATAACCGTAACCCCCCGCTCACAAGCTGACCCTTCTTCCGATCGCAGAGATGAACGCTGTTCCTCAATCCGGCGGCCCGACTGCAATCTTGAACAAGTGCAAGGAAATGAACGATGCCATTGCCGAGTTGAAAACCAAGCGTGAAGGTCAACTTGTCTCCGCCCAAAACGCTCTGCTCGACTCCAGCACAGGAAAGGAGGACCAGGCCGCGCGCCAGACTGTCGACTACATCGAGGATGAGATTAACACTGCCCTGCGCTACCTGCGCGACCAGTTCAAGCGCATCAAGGAAACCCCTGGATCCGGCGATCAGCGTGTGTCTGGTCAAGTCGAGAACGTCAACCGAAACCTCCGTCGTGAGATTGAACAGTACCAGCGGACTCAATCGGACTTCCAGAAGCGCCTAGAAGAGCAGGTCCGCCGTCGTTATGAGATTGCCAACCCCGAGGCCACCCCCGAGGAACTGGAACAGGGTGTAGCGCTAGTCCTGGCTGGCCAGGAACAGAGCTTTGCGGTATGTTACGCTATTAGCGCGCTTCATGCGATTGAGGACTAATTTATTTGATCAGATCCCCGGTACCCGTTCGCGACAGGCCAACGATGCCCACCAGGCCACTATGCAACGGTCCGCTGCCATCCGCAAGATCGAGCAGGATATGATCCAACTTGGACAGTTGTACCAGGAAGTCGCCGAGCTCATCCACCAACAAGAGCCTGCAGTCACTCAGATTGACCAGAGTGCAGAGGAGACCCACCGCAATGTGGCGCAAGCCAACACCAAGTTGGACAGTGCCATCGTGAGTGCCCGCAATGCGCGCCGCTGGAAGTGGTACGCTCTTATTGTGGTGATCCTCATCATCTGTATTGTTGTCGGTGTCGCAGTCGGTGTCACCGAAGCCAACAAGAGCAAGTAATCCCATTCGCCTACGACCCTACGCCCTCTCCTACCACCCGGAGTATCTACTTGCGTCGCCTCAGTATTGAGTCCACCGATTGATCCTCTACGTATTTGCATTTATTTTTCCTTTTGTTTCCCCCTCTATCCTTCGCTTCTATACCACTGTCTCGCATGTCCACTTTTTATTTACCATTTCCTTTTTTTTCAACCCTTGTGTAAAAGCAGATGGTCGCTCGACCTAGTTTTCGTTCTGTTTTCGATATGCTCTACAGGTTTAATCTCTCTTTGTGTACAGCTGTTGCGTCGTAACTCATGATCATTGTGTCTTTCCCCTATTACTCCCTGGGCCCTTGCTCATTCCAACGCGAGCTTATGGGGGTGTACATAATAGATCGCCTGTTTTGTGGATGGTCTTGCTTTGGCGCTACATTTATGTAATACCGTTAATAATCGATTTCTTCAATCAATTGCATTTCCTTAGCGTAAAGGATAAACAACTCGAGAAGGTTCTGGGGTATTTAATCGCGTGGTCGAATATCAAATCAAGCCTGGGCCTTCTTTTCAGCCTCACGCTGCTCCTCTGCTGGGGTCTTCGTCTTCAATTGCAACGCATGAATTCCACCCTCACGACTCATTTCGTCCTTCAATAAAGCGTATACCATACGGTGTCGGGCAGGTTGCATTTTCGACTCAAAGGCAGCGGAGGTAATCGTAACACTGGCACCGTTAGTCTCTCCTCCCATTCCAGCTCAGGTCCACATACTGGAAATGTGTCTCTTTCGACGTCGCTCCTTGCATAGCGGCATGGTGTGCATGTAGATGGGAGTCATTGCGAATGACAAGAGTCGCAGGAGTGAAAGCGTGGGCGATCTGTATCAATCATAGGCATTAGAACTGATAGCTTATGCAAGGTGGCATTGCGCAAAGTATACCTTGTCGCGCATCACATCTTCCATGGGGGTGTTGGAAGCCATCTTTGTAGAGATAGAGAAAAAGCGGCGAGGGAATAGGCCAAAAGTACGGAGGGACATTGGGAAAGAGAAAAGAAGTGTACAGTATTTGAAGTCAAAGAGAGTAAGAGGTCAAAGAATCAAACGGCGATAAGAAAACAAAAAGCGGAGACAAAAAGTTGCCGAGTCTGGAACTCCCGAGCTTTGGATGACATCAACTCTACTTTTTTTGCTACAAATGCGCAATTGATACCATCCTCGGCGCTTTGGGTTATGTTTTGCCATATGCGTCTAGTCTCACGGGCTTGGCCACGCGTGAAGCATGCGCGACTGGCAATCTCAGCAAGCTCGAAGCTTTTCTCGACACTTCCCAACCTACCAATCTTCCGTGCTCTACAGAACCATGACCCGTCCAGCTTGGCTGTCACTCATAGCGTCTCTGAACGCTCATTCACATACGGCAACCTAATCGCTGATGTATTGCGCGCGAAGGAGGACCTGGAGCGCAAGACTAGCGGCAAGCTTGCTGGAGAGAGAGTTGCGTTTATTGCAGAGAACAGCTATGACTACGTAGGTACTGTGACAATTCCATTCTGAACTGTAAAATTGCCAAAACTGATATATCAATAGTAAACATCCTCTCTATCTTTGCTAGTGATGCAATCGCGTTGCCTCTATCTCCTGCTTTTCCTATTGCAGAGCTGCAGTACATCATGAATAACTCGCAGGCCAAAGTTTTGCTGGCAACAGAGAAATATGCCGATAAGGCGACTCAGATCCTCAAATTAGGGCTAGAAACTGAGCCTCTATTCGATATCAGACCGAAGATTCAGACCGGCGCATCCGGTAGCGAGTCTATTCAGCTGGATGCGATAAGGGAGCAGCCCTCATCTGGCGGCATGATGCTTTATACTTCAGGCACTACCAATCGACCGGTTAGAAGCCCTACACTCAGTGACCGATAGAATCCCGGATTGACTAACAATATATCAGAAAGGAGTACTCATCCCCGAGTCCGCGGTGACCGCACAGGCACACTCACTTCTTGAGGCTTGGAAATATAGCCCAGAAGATCGCCTTCTTCACATTCTCCCACTCCATCATATTCACGGAGTGATAAATGCCATCATAACACCCATTTTCGCCGGCTCCTCAATCGAATTTATGTACCCTTTCAACACAGACAATGTCTGGAAACGACTCGCAGCGCCATTCCTACCGCAAAACACCACAAAATCCAAAATCACTTTCCTCACGGCGGTACCAACAGTCTACAACCGACTAATGATATCTTTTCCATCCCTACCCGACGAAATCCAACAAGCAGCCAAGCAAGGCATCTCCCCATCAAATCTCCGCGTCAACATCTCCGGCTCGGCAGCCCTCCCAACACCAACAAAAGCACAATGGCAGACACTAAGCAACGGCAACGTCCTCTTAGAGCGATTCGGCATGACAGAAGTTGGCATGGCAATAAGCTGCGGCCTGGACTTTCAAGACCGAGTCGACGGCAGTGTCGGCTGGCCACTCCCAGGAGTCGAAGCCCGACTAATAGACACAGAGACAAACGAACTAATTACAGGCGAAGATGCGAACCGCATGGGAGAAATCCAACTCCGAGGACCAACAATCTTTCATCACTACTGGGCCAACGAAAAAGCTACGGCAGAAAGCTTCGTGCCAAGTGAAGACAATGGTGCGCCATGGTTCCGTACCGGCGATGTAGCCGTGCGTCAACATGTCGAGGGCGCAGGGGGAGGTGACAGTGGGAAATGGGCGCAGGGACCCATGTATTTTATACGTGGCCGAATGAGCGTGGATATCATCAAGACGGGCGGAGAGAAAGTGAGCGCGTTGGAGGTTGAGCGGGAATTACTCTCACTGTACACTTACCCTTCGACGTCGAGGCCCCAACTTGAACTAATTGCGCTAACTATACCTAACAGACCCCAGATCGCCGAAGCAGCTGTCGTCGGAATTCCATCTGAGCAATGGGGTCAAAAGGTTGCTGCAGTCGTCGTACTGCGGGCAGATGCGGCACAGAGTGGTCGAAATGGTCGGTCTTGGGGACCTATGGATATGCGACGGGCATTAAAGGATCGCCTGGCGTCGTATAAGATACCACAGGAAATGAAGATGATGGATGCTATTCCGAGGAATGCGATGGGGAAGGGTGAGTCTTTTCTTGGTGGTGTCTTATACTTATACTAATTTTACCACAGTGAACAAAAAAGCTCTTGTCAAGGAAGTATTTGGAGTGTAGTCAAGCGTTGTATAGCCGTATATCACGCTAGACTCATTAGATTAGACTACTCCTTGTAACCAATGAACTCTCATACAGTATTTAGGTCCACAATTAGTATCATTCTGTACTTCGTAGTCATTGATCTCGAGCTTTTTTACCCTTGAGTTTTCAACTTTTCAATCGATATCTGCAATCCATATGTCATAAAATCGACGGAAGCATCTGAGGATACCTTGCCTCAAGTTACCATTCGACTCGAATGGAAAAATTAATAAAGAGCAATATAAAGCCCTCGTCCAGCATTGGAACAACAATTAAAGAGACCAAAGCTCCTCAACTCCCTGATTATCACGCAAATACCATTCAAGCATTACCAACACTAATATTGCGAAATTCACGACCACTCATTTTCAATTACAATAACCCATCAGCCTGTTTCTCCTTCTCCTTCTCCTTCTCCTTCTTCTCCTTTTCTTTCTCTTTCTCCTCATCATGTCGTCGCTTTATCCCCTTCAGCCTTGGTGATAAAACCATAACTGAAACAATTATGCAGTGCATGACTGAGATACAGACAGCTATCAATATTGGATCGCAATGCCGGTCATATATGAAGGTTTCTGTGATTGGATTCTACTGGTCGGAAGATCATATGGGCTCACTGAACTTTCTGGCCAAGTTATTAGGGCTAACGTCACTCAAAAGCTCATTCTTGCCACATATATTTAGTTGATGAAACGTGGGCGGAACATCCAAAAGACGATCAACGAGATCGTCGATAACATCGACAATATGATCGAGTAGGGAAATTGTTTACCAAGGAACAGCGCATGGGGATCTAAACAAGAAATGGCTATTGAGACGTGCTCTCTGCATCCGTGAGGCAGATGATGGTTTGAAGGTCACCAAGAAGGCGAAGATCGTCGTCAAGATGCGAGACCTATGGTGCTCACGGACTATGGTGTCGACCTTTATAGTTGTGGAGTCGCTCTCCGCGGCCAGTTCCATCATTCATTTACAGTACATGGGGATATCTCGACAAGATGGCTGGCGAGTGGCGAGACGTACGATCTGCTTGAAGGGGAATACTAGATCGCAGCGATTTCTTCGGCTTAAATCACCCAATTACTTATATGTGATGGGGAGAGTTGAGCAATACAATTCCAATCCACAATTTCTTACCATACTTCATATCATCCAAGTTCATAATGTCTCATGAATTAATGCAGCCGTAAAGATTCCTTATGTATAAGCCGAGCTCTCAATTGAAACATGCCTCGTAAAGTATTTTTGCGAAGATACATGTCGAAAGCAACCAGGTCGTTACTGCAAGATAAATAGCATTTTTTTTAATAGAAAAATGCTTGAGCGGGAAAGAGACTGACTCTCGATGTGTTCATATCATCTCCATTATCCCTAAGAAAATAGCATAAGCACTCGGTTCGAGCCCGGGTATTGTTGGGTGTTCATCTGGCATCATGGTCTAAGAAAAAAAAAAAAGAACACCCCATCCTCAATTCGATTTTGCATTCATTCATAGAGGAATGAAATTAGCCAGAGATCCATGTCGTAACTTCGATTTAAACAGTGTACTTGGCCTTAGCACGGGTGCTGCCACTGTGTGCACTGTCAGTGTGACCAGAGAACTCGACAACGTCAGCATCGTTGAGTCGCAAAACCTCCTTGAACCGGCGGCCAATCGACTCGAGCGATTCCTTGCCCTGTGCTGGTGTACGGGTAGATTTGTCACCGGGGATAGCCTTGCCCACGGTGCGAGTCCAGAGACCAACACGGTAGAAACCCTTGCGAACGTTAACAACAACACCCATGACCTCGTTATCTCCGTCAGCCTCGAGAGTCTCGCCGATCGCGGAGAGTTGTGCGTGCAGCCAGAGATCATCGATGGGAACGGAACGCTTGTCTTTGAATTGGTACGACCACTTGCCACCATGCTTGTTCTGCGGGTCCTCCCATTCAGGGCGCACGCCCTTCTTGAAGAGGTGATAATCGGCCTTGAGACCGAGCTCCGAGGTGGGTGCAATGTTGTTCTAATAAAAGTAACCCAGTCAGTAACTCAAATTTTTGATGCCAAAAGATCGTACGTACGTAGATGCCCCAGAATTCTTCTACGGAGTTGAATGTGACAACTTCCTTCAGCAGATCGTTCCAGTTGTCGCCCTTGAAAAACAGTCAGCACATGTCTTATTGACTTTGAATTTCAGATGAAGCTCACTCGGCCACTGGGTGGTTTGGTGAACCACAAGGTCCAGTCATGCATCAAAGGGTGCTTGACGTTGAAGTTTTCGGGATCGTGGAAAACGGTGACAAGATCGTTGGTGGGCTTGTTCTCGTCGGCCACGGGGGCGCCATTCTCTACGACATCAGCCATGATGGGTGGTGTGAGGAGATAGGGTGGGGGGTGTTCGAAGGGAAGTGCGGAGGGAGAGATTTTCGGAAGGGCGCTTTTGTTCGCGTGTTAATTATTCTAACACGTGCCTAGCCTTTAATACGGCAGAATCAAATCTGCTCCAGGCAGAGTCGGGAAAGTAGGCGGAGTTGAGCGACAAGAGGGACCGCAGTGACCGTGGAAGTTTCGAAGTCCGAGATCACGGCACGCAAAAACTGCTTTGCCTCTTTTGGATCGGGCCGCACAACCCTAGTACGGATATCTTCTAGAACAACACTTACTCTTTTATTTCTTTATACTTCAAAGATTCTAAGGTTGCTTACTTCATCCGATTTAGCTTAGATAAATTTCGTCCTACTTTCACTTTCACTCGAGAAAAAAGACATCTTTCTTCCAATCAACCCTTAGATTAAGCCCCGGGAGCCTTAGAAGTGTAAACATATCATAGATGCATATGACAACGCCAAACGAAGAATATTAATACGACAAAGATATCAAAACAAATGAAAAAGCATTGGATATGTTTGCACCCCAGAATTACTCGATCAAGTCTCACCACTGCTTACCAAACTCAGGAAGCAGTTCCAGCCTGGATAGTGATGAATTGTTAGAACGGTACTTCGTGGATATAAGAGCTAGAAGGTCCTTACCCAAGCTGACAAGATTGACAACTAAAACCCGCAGCTCCAAGGGAACGAATGCAAAGTTAAAACCTTGGACAACTGGCCAAACTATCAAGTTGGCCTTGTAGCCAGGCACGAACGAATTGCGCCACTTCTCCACTGGGTCAGACCCTTCCATAACAGCCATTGAGAAAAGGAAGAAGCTCATTTGTATAGGCGCAAACACAACCTGATCAGCTGTGACACGAGCAATGGTGGTGGATAAGGTATTTCTGAGGTTGATATGGCGATGAAGGATGCCATACCAAGCAGTGGCGGCAGGACCGAAGACAGCTGTGTGAATTAATAGTTAGCTTATTAGCTACTGCCACGGGTGTATTGGTAGTAGCTAACCTCCACCGTAGAGAGCCATTCGGCCAGTGCGGGCAAAGTCGTGCTTCTGTAGACCTCGGCGATCGACAGCCTGCTGGGCTAGGACGTCACCGGTGCCAAACAATACCTAGATGATCGATAAGAGAATGATCTCCAAGAATTGACATAGTAGGAGTACATACTGCACTTGATAAACTGGCAGTCAAGATGGGCGACTTGGCCAATTTAGACTGGTACCTGAAAAGGTCAAGATATTAATTGGTATGCGGTCCGATTGTTTTGATTGCCAAGGGATGGATTTACCAGCGAAACATGATTTTGATCGAAAAGTGAGAAAGACAGATAGATTGGAACTGGAGCGAAGAAAATTGGAAAGAGAACAAGTTGTAATTGGGGAAATTAACCAGTAGTAAAGTGACAGGAACAGGAACTGGGCGATAATGACATCGTCAAGTTGGAGATTGCGGAGATGAACTGGTCTTCCGATCGCCCAATTAGGATGCGTTATCAGCCAGGAAGATACAGATTGATGATCTTGAGGATATCACATAGGAATATGACAGTTGATAGATTTGAAAAGATGTTAATCAAGACAAAATAATCTATAAGCTAATTGAACCATGAAGACTATTACGGAATAACTACGTACTTCGTTACGCTGTACCTCGAAGTGGATCCAGTCAGCTGATATTCCACTGCACAGACCATCTCTCCTTTTGGACGTTAGGGCTCAGGGTTCTGCCTAGGGCTGTCCCGCTCGCTTAGCACACCCGAATTTTTGGTGCAAACAAGCTAGACTCAGCGAACCTCCGACGACCGCATCGACAATTCCCATCGACAATTTTCTCGTCGCCCACACATACATCCAATATGGCTGACGCTGCTCCCCGAGGACGTGGAGGTTTCGGTTCGCGCGGCGACCGTGGTGGCGACCGTGGCCGTGGTCGTGGTCGTGGCCGTGGCCGTCGTGGTGGAAAGCAGGAGGAGAAGGAGTGGCAGCCTGTCACCAAGCTCGGCCGTCTCGTCAAGGCCGGCAAGATCACCAGCATGGAGCAGATCTACCTCCACTCTCTGCCCGTCAAGGAGTACCAGATCGTGGACTTCTTCCTCCCCAAGCTCAAGGATGAGGTTATGAAGGTACGACAATTCCACTATTCCCGACATCAAACATTGGAGGAGAATGCGACAGAAAGCGCACACATACACATACAAACACGCCAAATCACGACCAACAATCAGAATCGCGAAATTGAAAAATTGAAATTGGGGGGGGGGCAATTCAATATTCGAGGAACAAATCGGCTAACAGTTTTTTCTTTACGTCAAATAGATCAAGCCCGTGCAGAAGCAGACCCGTGCTGGTCAGCGTACCCGTTTCAAGGCTATTGTCCTGATCGGTGACGGTGAGGGCCACATTGGTCTCGGTATCAAGACCTCCAAGGAAGTCGCCACTGCCATCCGTGCCGCTATCACCATTGCCAAGCTCGCTGTGCTCCCCGTTCGCCGCGGTTACTGGGGTACCAACCTTGGTGAGCCTCACTCTCTGCCCGTTAAGCAGAGTGGTAAGTGTGGTTCCGTTGCCGTCCGTGTAAGTACTATCTCATCCTACCAGCAATTTGCGCCATTGTACTAATAACCCAAACAGCTTATCCCCGCTCCCCGCGGTACCGGTCTCGTTGCCTCCCCCGCCGTCAAGCGTCTGCTCCAGCTCGCTGGTGTCCAGGATGCCTACACCTCTTCTTCCGGATCCACCAAGACCCTCGAGAACACCCTCAAGGCCACCTTCGTCGCCGTTGTCAACACTTACGGCTTCCTTACCCCCAACCTCTGGAAGGAGACTAAGCTCATCCGCTCGCCTTTGGAGGAGTTCGGTGACGTCCTGCGCCAGGGCAAGAAGTACTAGGTTGTTTGATGCATACATGATTTAGTTCCGAGTTTCTTTTATCCCCCTTGACTTTTCTGCTGGAATGACGAAAAGTGGCTTGCGGGTTGATTCCCCCTCGGCTCCGGGTGTCCATGGATGTATTTAACGGGAAGGGAAAACAAAAAATTAGCGAAGTCAGCCAACTACCAGCCAGAATTCTCTCAGTATTGTGCACATTAAATTTCACTAGTGATATTGTTCCTGATTCCTGGTCTCCATTGGAATTTCAATTGGAGATTGGAATCTATGGAAGTCCATGTTTGGTATATCCAATCAAATGCACGGATCCAGCATGGAGTACAAACATCGTCAAGTCAGCTTCAGCTCTATGTCAGGATGTAAATACCTGAAAAAGAAGCTCAAAGCTGCATCACCAACTAACCTACTGAAGCGTATGGTTTGTTTGAATATTAATTACGGTATATCCCAAATTCAATGACCATCCATGTAGCCATGCTTCACAACACTCAGATTCTCAAGATTCTCACTTTGCGCCGACCTCTCATTCACCTAGACATTCGCCCCTCTTCTTATACTCTTTCTCTCTCTTTCTCTTCATCCATCCTAAGATGGAAGAACTTTCCGAACTGGAAGACCATCCCGACATGGAAAACCATCCCGACATGGAAGACCATCCCGCCCATTGGGCTGATACCCTCATGGGATTGGATTTCTGGACGGATTGTACTAAATACGAGCTGCAGCTCTCTGAGCAGAAGAATGCTCGTAAGATTTGAGTGTCTTCATTTCACCCCCACCCTCAAGCTGACCTTCTTCTACTGATCTTGACATTTGCTTTGTGTTCCACCATAAAGATGTGCTCCATTAACACGGTCACAGGAAATGACATGACTCTCCACACACGCTTTCCCTTCAACCTGGGTCTCGAGGACGCTCGAACCTCGCACAGAGCAGGTACAAGCCCGGCAGCAATCCCGGCGACAATCCCGGCCGCTATTGATAGACACAAAAATCGCAGTATTTCCGAGCTTCGAGTGTTGACTGGGGCACTCCGTCACCAGGCAGCATCCCGACTCCGTGATTTTACAAGCCGTGCACTTACTCCGGAGCCCAAAAAGCCCCAAGAAGTCTGGTCATCCCCTTTAGCCCCTAGGATCCATTTCACGTCTCGCATCAAAGAATACAGTAGTCCCATTCCCATTGATGGTCCAAGGTCAATCTTCCCGGATTGGGAAATTCGCCCATCGACAGCTTCTACTACTAGTACATCTTCCTCTGCTGTCTTTGAAGCTGCTACGCCATCGAAGCCATTGATGGGGTTCCATGATGTTTCGTATTGGGATGGTCTTTCCCGAAAGAAGCATACCCTCGGCATCGACCTTTTCTGGCCGAATACGAAGCATGATGTCGAATTCAATTGCCTGAAATTGGAAGATCTCAAGCCGCTTTGCGAGTTCCGAAACCTGCGCAGCCTTAAAATCACGGGCATGCTGCAGTCGTACCAGACCTACATCTGGCAGGCTGTGTGGCTAAACCTTCATTTAGAAGAACTGGAGCTCAGCATGATTTTAGAACCGGCAATCATCGCCATGCGCGGACAGCTGATTCAAGATGACTGGGAGATAGATCGGCGTCAAAATAATATTCCCGTCTATTAGTGAGCCCTCGGTATCCGTGGCCTTTTTCAAACTGCTAACCCTGGATTCTAGTGGCGATGGTGATGGTGAGTTGCATCCGAAGTTTGGATATGGTGAATACCTCGACAAGAAAATCATGGAGAAGGCCAAGATCCGCGCCATGGGCATGGGTATTACTAGCCGCCGTATCTCGATCCGAAAGCTTACTCTCAGCGGATTTGTCGTTGATGCCGACCCTTTTATTCAATGGTTCGATCCCGAGAAGTTGCGGAGTATCTGTTTCAAGGGCGAGTGCATTGATGCTGGTCTCTGGTTACCTCCGTACATGCAAGTGTCAATTCGATTCCCGAAACGCATGGATCTGGAGGCCATTCCGGCTGGTATTGTTCATGTTGATGTGAAGAGTGATGTGAATCTGGTGAACTGCACCAAAAGCAAGATCTGATTTGAATCGAAATCTGTAGACTCGGAGAGTGATGAATGATGGTACGATACGAACGCTCGATATGATATGACAAGTTGACAATAATTATAACATAAAAATGATCCTTATGGCATTTATTTCTCAACACTCGTTACAATTGGCATGAAAATATAACTTATGATTCCAAAATCCGATTGAAGCTTCATAGATGAAAGATTAGTCATGGATAGTTGAACATGAGTCTGTCATGGGACTCGGCAAAATGACGCGGTTGCTTGAGCTCAAAACACCTGCTTCACCTACTTTACAGCCCTCTACAGAGTCTACACCACACACCCGAGCTGTATTTTGGTTTATAAATGCTCATTCAACACGAGCCCAAAGATCGAATTGGACTAAGCCCATACAAGGCGTTTTTCAACGTGAATCTCCGTTAGATATGGCCTCTTCCTTCTTCCTCCACAGTGCATGCCCCTAGCCTACATCACTTGAAGAATAGGTCCTACTTAACGGGGGCTTATGCTGGAAAACGCATTATATGGGCGATTATCGATGTTGCCGCGTTCCAGTCCCGTTGGGGTCAAAAATAGACCAGACCGTATTTGACCACCGCTAGCGCCTGTAATTTGTGCACATGTTGACCACTACGCTCACTACTTCCCTATCTTCTCCTTCACATGAACACAGTACAAGATTTCAAAGGCCTTTCCTTTTAATAACTCCTTATTTCACTGCAATGTTCGAAGATAACTTTGCAGAGAGAGAGAGAGAGAGAGAGAGAGAGAGAGAGAGAGAGAGAGAGAGAGAGAGAGAGAGAGCGACAGAAAGCAACACTGGAAGAAGTGGAGGTGTCTCCAAGCGCTCATACAGTGATTATACTTATTAGACAGAATCCATCTGAAACCTGATTCAGAAGACTCAGGAGATCGCATCTCGGCTATAATAGAGCTTGTTCGACTACATCGCGATACCAATACACACTGCCTCACATGTCAACATATTATTCCAGTGACTTTTCTGCCTCAAGGCCATTTAGTGCGTCGCATGATAGTGGCAGCCTCAGTTGAAAGATATCTTCTACACGAGAGCAACGAATTGGAGCAGGAAACTGAAGAACATCTTACATTCGGAGCTGACCTACTTCGAGAAGTTAGATCAAGACTATATTGATCTGTCACCGAAGAAGGTTTCTTCGAAGACCTCATCATTAGGATGAACATCCCAAGTTCAGAATCAACTCTCCTTTGGATACTAATGCTACCTAGTTAACTTCCACCTACCTACCCCGGTAAGGCAGTCCAGGTGAATGAATGCCAGAACACGTTTTATCCCATATTTACAAATTCAGAGTAGACATACATTCATCATATCAATAATTGAAGACCATCTCAGTATGACAAGAGTAGAAATCAGCTCAGGCTCGGATTTTTAAATAGTAGGCATCAATCTAACTGCCACGGTGAGTAGTTCCGATGCATTTGATTGGTTTCAATAATGGAGCCACTGGTTCTTAAACAGTGCAGCCCTCTCAATATTTCAACATCCACTTCCTTGATCCCCATCTTAAAATAAGGCAACTGTCGGTACACCTGTATCAAGTGTGGAATAGCTATTCGATAAAGGTGATGAGGCTAACGCCCACTTCTGACACCTATCGCAGGTAGCGCTTTACGCCCCTATGATATCTTTGTGTCCTCTTGAAGTGGTTGTAAAGTCTGGTTTTCATTCTTAGTTTGCTATCTATTATAAAGTAACAATTTGATCACATGACTGCTTTGTTCCATATTCCAACAGCAACTCATTGCTTTGAATAGGTGTGTATAAGATAATAATGGAATCCTTTGCACTAAATTTTCAGGATGTAAATATTCCATGCAGCTAACTAGCTAATGTGGGGTCTAACTCAAAAGTCGAGTCTTGGCGATTTATATACCTCTTTTAGGCAGTACCCAAACTCAACACCTCCATTTCTTTCCCCTCGCACCCGCGGTCGATTATTCTATCGGTTAGGATGGAATGACGGAATAGAAGCGATGTATTTGATTTATAATGGATTGGCACTTCCTGACAAAAGAATAAATAGGTCATGCTATCCCGTGAACCTGGGAAGCCCAACCTCTATACCGAACCTTGGAATTGAAAAATTTCAACATTGAAAAGACTTCCAAGATTCGTCTCCTACCTACCTACTACCTAGGCACCGATAACTTTTTCATCATTGAAAATGGCCCCTCAATTGAATATAACTCACATCGGCACCGCAACCGCCGTCCTTGAAATCAACGGCGTGAATTTCCTGACGGATCCCTTCTTTTCTCCCGCTGGTTCATCGTGGAAGGGCTTTCCGATAATTCTTGAAGTATCACAAGACCCAGCTATGAGTCTCGACCAACTTCCTGTGATCGATGTTATCCTCCTAAGCCACGAAGACCACCCAGATAACCTGGATGAATTGGGTCGCCAACTGCTGAATGGACGTCATGTTTTCACTACTGTAAACGGCGCTAAGAATCTTGCTCCTCGCCCTGCTGTTCATGGCATGAAACCCTGGGAGAAGATTGATATTTCTATCGCTGGCAAGCTGTTCCAAATTATTGCGACTCCGACACAACACGCTCCTGAGGGCGAATGTGTTGGGTTCATTGTGACTGGGGCTGATTTTGGTCACGGCCGTGATGGAATTCCTAATGCAATCTATTTCTCAGGTGATACTGTCTACATTGATGAGCTGAAGAGTATCGCGGATCGATTTCATGTCTTGGCAGCTGTGCTGAATTTGGGTAACGCTCAGGTTCCTACGACTGCAGATGCGAATGGTCCCAGCTTGCAGGTTACTATGGATGGGAAAGATGCCGCGAGACTCTTTCGTGACCTCAAGGCTAACGTTCTTGTTCCGATGCACTATGAATCTTGGCTGCATTTCACTCAATTAGGAGCTGAGCTGCGTGAAGCCTTTGAAGCTGAGGGTATTAGTGACAAGATCCGGTGGCTGAAAGGAGGTGAGAAGTTATCGATTGTTTTGACAGGCCTGCATTAGCTAGTTTCAATCTTCAAATTAGTTCGTTTCTGTAGGTGGATGATGGGGGATTTGGGGTAGACCTTGCAAATTGAAATGTTGCCCAAGACCTGGGGTTAAATGTGTATGTCAAAATACCTATCAATTCATCGGAAGTCAATATTACTTTTGGCATATTTCAATTTTCCATTGACAAACATTTCAGCTTCCCTAGACCCCACCCCTTGCTTAGAGGGGGTACCGTAGCTGCATGACCGGGTAGGTTAGATTACTACCTTTGCAAATTCTCTACTTTAATGTTTCTCAACAGCTCCCGAGGTTTACCCACGATCAGGCCTAGAGTCTGGACCTCGGGAGATGGTGGAATTGACGATCCTCTGCCGATCTCTAACCAGCCTCTGCCGATCTCTAACCAGCCTCATCACGACCTAGGTAAATCCCTGTGCTACCTATGCAGGCTGGGAAATTCTCATGTACGACGTATTCTGCATCCATTGATGGAAAAAACAGGGCTTGTTCGTAGCTGCCATGAGGGCGTCACTAGTTCCGACTGTGACATTTGACCTGTGTCCTGCGTCATCATCGCCACTTATGTACTATGTAGCGAGAATGGATCGTCTGATGTCAGCTTCCGAGCCAGTAAGTACTTTGGACCAGATGTCCCTACGGGAATTGCCGAGGCCGCATGCAGTATCACGAAGCCAGTACTCCGTACCTAGGTATGCTCTGAGACGGCTGGAATGCAGCTGAAGCGTCTAGTGGAAGTGTTCCTGATGCTGGGGATATCCCGTCTCAGAGTCAGTGGAGACAAGAGTCTTGGAAGAGAAGTTGATCTGCGATTGATGTGATAGTTGATATGGCAGTCGTCAAAAACCTGATGCCAAGACATCACAAAAAGCAATGGACTGTATAGATCATGCAAGTATTATACGAGTTTCACTTCCACAAGTATTTTTAAAAGGCAACTTCCCTGTTTGTATTTTCTAATATTGAACCTTGCTTTGTGTGTCCTTGCTTAATCCAATCAAAAGAAATAAAATAAATTGAATAAAATGAGGAATCCAAGGTTCATTTCGATCTGTAATGACGACAGCTCCGCGTAGCTCCAAATCTTGTTTTCCCCCGGATTTTCTATTTTACTATTTCAACTTCATCTTTTCCATCTTCAACTTTTTGATTTCTGATTATTCCAATTGAACAATTACCCTTGCCCACTATGTTGCCCTCTACCTCCACCGGGCCAGTGGCACCAATTCCCACCGTTGTTCCCGATCTCCCGCACTTCCAGGAGCTCCATGACGTAGGAAAGCGAACCCTCTGGTCAGTGCAACTCAACTGTTCTACCTCGAAGACACTAACGTCAATATAGGGTGGTTACCGTCCTGATGGGCATCAGCTCGCTAGTGTTCTATTCACTGAGTGCCCGTGCGCCTGTAGTAAGTGGTCTAGATCCTTAAACCTTCATTCCCCACAAACCTAACGATCTGCAGGCCAAGCGGGTCTTCCACACTCTATCTTCCTTGATTACTACCATCTCCTTCATCACCTATCTTGCCCTCTCGACAGGCCAGGGTATCGGCTTTAATCACGCACACATTATCAATCACGGCACTCATGGAATCCCCAACACTCACCAAGACGTGTTCCGACAGGTGTTGTGGCTCCGATATGTGAACTGGGCCCTCAGCACACCCCTGTTGCTCACCATCTTTGCGTTGGCGTCAGGCTTGCCAGGTGCAAACCTGCTTGCTGCCATTGCGGCCAACTGGGTAATGCTTGCTACCGGACTGTTGGGCTCTTTCGCCGGTCACACCCGCGTACGATGGGTGTGGCTGACTCTATCTTGTATCTCTTATCTGGTCACCCTGAATCATGCAGGATTCCATGCTCAAAAAGCAGCTCAGAAGCAGGATGGACCGACACGCAAGTTCTTTGGAGCCTTTTCCGGATCGGCATTCATTGCTCTTGCCTTGTTCCCAATGTATGTACTCAACTTAAACTTTGTACTCTGATAATGGCTAATCTTCTCTAGTACCCTCGCCGCTGGCACTCTCGCTCTGAAGTTGAGTGTTGATATTGAGACCATCCTCTTTGCCATCCAGGATATTTTCACCCAAGGCCTGTTGGGATACTGGCTCCTTGGATCGTCTGGCAGCTCTTTGGGAGTGTAGGTTCCTCTGAAAACAAATGCAGAGACTTTTACTGATCATCTTATAGCTCCCTTCACTTGGACGGCTTCTGGTCTCATGGTGCTGGCACTGGTGCTGTTCGCCTCCCTGAAGATGAGGGCGCGTAAAACCTCTAATTCAACTCGCTATTGAAAGATTGGCCCCATACCCAACGTGACGTGCATTTACCAGAATGACATGAGAATGCGATGTGTTGCCCATGAACCTTATCCTACTTGACGCTTCTGTTGAATTATTTCGTTTTACAGTGTTATCTGTCACCTATGAACGAGATAATCATATAATTATACTATATGCCCATCAAATTGCATGGAAAAGTTGATTTTCTTCCTGGCAGTTGACTTTAAAATTTGACAGTTTTTATCAAAATCCATCAAATTTGCTCCATTGACCTAGCCTTTTTAGGAATAGTTTTATACCTTGTAGGCTAACCTTACTTGGATGTATATTCCGCCAAGACTTCGAATAATTACTAATTATACTTCGTAAGGCCACGACTTCTGGAAATTAGCTCTCCTTCCATACCAAGGTGCAATTATATATCGAACATGAGGGTAAAACAGAGAAATGTGTGTGACACGTGTAGGGCTCGCAAACTTGGGGTTAGTTCCAAGAGCCGAAAACGGATTTGTCAGTGCCTGATGCTCTTTTAGTGCGATGGGAGGCGCCCGGAATGCAGCCAATGCTTTCTCACTCGAAGAAAGTGTGCAGGCTATTCCAAGAACTGGGAATTTGTGTCTCAAACAAGCCAAACGCCGCCGTCAACTTCAACTTCGTCTGTATCCTCTAAAACGAAAGCACATTCAAACATTTCAAATGTGATATCGAGTACTCCGTTAAGTCCATATCGAATACATAGAGGTGTGGATGACCTCACGACGCTCATCAGTCAGGGATTCTTACCTGCTCAGTGCGGTAGTACACTTGATGGCGGTCGAATATGTGGCGGCTGGATCAAAGTGCTTCCAGATTTAGTTCGCAAAGATACAAAGCTTGACGTGCTTTCCACAGCGACCAAAGCACTAGCCTTATCAATGACTTATCCAAACACTCGACCATCTAAAATAGAGACAGAAAGCTATTGGGGCTACAATGATGCTTTAAAAATGGTTCGCAGCAGGCTAACTACCCATGGCCATTGCTTGGAACTGGTGCCGGCAATTATGTGTCTCACACTCGTGGAGGTAAGCTCTCGCTCCAACTAGTGTATGATTTGATTAGTCACTGATCATGATTAACTATTAGTTAATGTTTCCAAGCTCTAGTTTAGCTATGACAGTCCATATCACAGCAGTCGGAGAAGTCTTGCGCTCTTATGGCCCCAAGCGTTTCCAAACAGGAACATTACATGAGCTCTTTAATGGTTTCAGACCTCTCCTAGTACGTAATCAGTTGAAAATTTAGGGGTTTCAATTGACGTCGTACTTGAATTCAGGTTCTTGAAGCCGTTCGCCGCCGTCGGCCTACGTTTCTGGCCTTGGAGTCTTGGATTGAAATACCATCTTCCCAAAACTCACCAACCCCCATGCAGGCTCTTCTCACAGAAGTCGTAAGCATTCCTTCTCTTCTATATAAGAGCGATGTTCTTTTCCAGGACCCTTTGATAGTCAATATAGGCGATGCTAATGAGATTGCCCACGCCATTATTGAAAGCTTGCATCGCCTCTGCCTATACGAAAAACGCTTATGGCTTGAGAGTGATACTCCTTGCTACTGGACTGATGGGCCTGAAACCCCACTTCGATTTCCAACCATTACCATGGCAAATTGTCTCTCTCACATTTGGGCATTCCGAATTATCTGCTTGGCTGAGCTAGAGAAGTTCTCGCGGTCATTCCCATACTCAATAGAAAAAAGCACAGAGACATCAGATATCCAAACGCAAATTGCTCAGCTTTCAAAGCTGATATCACTGAGCATGGAATACTTACTTGGAGATGATATGAAACTTTATGGACCTGCTTCTACTCTTTTTCCGCTGTCAGTGGCATATCAGGCCTTGGGAAGTGCTCAAGATCGTGGACTGGTAATGGAACACATTGATCGAACCATTTTCAGGCTAGTTGAAAAGGGACTTCGATCAGCACCGTTCTTTGTGAAATGTGATGAGATTCAGAATTTTCTATCTCAGCCAATATAGTACTGTTGAAAGGGACCCGATCTCAGTTCACCTTGCCTGCCGTCCTAGCGCATCTTCCAAGGTTGTTATCACTTTACTATCAATTCCCAGGTTTCATCTCACTTTCCTATCATTTCCAACCTTTGGAGCTTTACTTTCACTTTACTTTCACTTCACGTTCACGGGTTCATAGATAGCCTCACTTAAAAGCACCTTCAGGGAGTTCTAGATGGATACCTAGGAATTTAAACTAAACATTTCCAATATTGGAACATTCTCACTCTTCATCCTCTTTGGTTAGCCAATTTTTACCACCTAGGCTTTACATCCTATATCTGGGCTTATCAGTAACCTGGGCAGTGGCTTGCCTACTGCAGAGGTCGAAAAACTAGCATGAGGCCTGTTTTGGTGTTTCATTCGCGCCAGTAGCCGGCCGGCGGCAAAGTAAGATAAAACCCAACCCATTTGCTCTAGCTCTTTAACTAACAGTTAATGTCCCAGATCAACGTCAATATTGCTCGAAAAGTTGTGGGTGAATGAGTAGAGATTAGGTAGGTAAACACATATAATACATGGTCTGTGTAGATGATTCATGGCTTTTTATGATGCAAAGGATCATCGTAACCATGGAACTAAGTTTTACACATGGATTTATCAATCCAATTCCGGTACGGGCAGACCCGCCTCACGGCCGCGCTGTCGAGCGCGAATTTCGAGTTCTTTACACGCAGACCGGAAGTCTCGGTATCAGATACCAGGACAAGGTCAGAGATGGGAAGTGGGTGCCTTCGCATCAAGGTCCTTGACAACTGTATCACATCGGTCGCAGATTACTTCAATCTCTGACTCTGCTGGTTCTGGGACAGCGTACCGCCAGCATCGGGGACACTTGGACGCCTGAGGTGCGTAAACATGAACAGTGCCTTTTTGGCCATCTGGTAGCGCACACACTTCTTGGTACTGCCATTCAGCTTCCGCAATTTCAGTGGGAATATTTTGTCCGGGAAGACCAAGAGTGACCGACGAAACGACAAACAGATCGGGCAGCTCGGAGAGATATTGATGGAAAACGGAGCTACTCGGGTCATCTGAAAGAACGAGGTGAACAAAAGACTGCAGGGAGGAGCCGAGTTGCTTCTTTCCGCGTGCCTGCTCCTGCAACGTTTTGATCACCGAGTGCACGGCAACTAGTTCCTGGTAGTTGGCGTCCAAGGCAAGATCCTGCCATTCCGACGCGGGGGCTGAAACGATGCGTCGCAAGGGATGCTCGCTCTGCGACCGGATCACTTCCGGTGTATGCTCCCAGGTCTCCTCGATAAGCAAAGGTGTTATGGGACCAAGAACCTCCTGGAGGTAGTTGAAGATATAGAACAAGGTGGTCTGAGCAGCCCGACGGCTGCCACTGTTCTCGCCCAGTGTGTACAAACGATCTTTGATCGCTTCCATGTAGAACGATGAGAACTCCAAGTTGGCCCAGCGGTTGATCATGTTCACAGCCTTGTAGAATTCAAAGTTCTCGCCGGCCTTTTGAGAGGACAGTACCAAGTCCGACAGGTGTTTCAGGGCAATCCGGTCAACCTGCTGTAGCTGCTCGTAAGGTACTACGAACTCGGGACGGAAATCAGCGAGCGCACCAAGCAATAGCTTGAATGTAACACGGAACTTGTGAAGACTAGTGTGGACGGTCTGGAGTACTTGCTTTCCAATCACAACGTCGCGGGTGTAGTCACTGCTAGCCGCCCATAGGCGAAGTGCATCGGGGCCCAACGCATCATAGGTTGGCTCAGCGTTCTCTGGTTGCTTCTTTCCCTTGCCCTTTCGCGGCTTTAGAGGCGGTAGTAAAGTTCCATCCATGATGGTCTGGGGCACAAGCGTGTTACCAATCGACTTGCTCATCTTGCGTCCTTCCTCGTCTAGGGTAAATCCATGAGTGATCAAATTCTTGAATGGAGCCCTGGGTTCATCAGTCTTTTCGGACGCTAGTTGGTGAGCAACGTAAGTGAGAAGGCCGGACTGGAACCAGCCACGGTGCTGATCGGTTCCTTCAAGGTACACATCTGCAGGATGGGAGCGTCCCGCTTCAGACACATCTATTTCGGCCCAACTAGTTCCACTATCGAACCAAACATCCATGGTATCAGTTCCGCGTCGATATCCAACGGGGTCATCCCGTACAGTGGTAGGAACCCAGGCAAGATCATCCGCACTATCCGTCCACCAAGCATCGATGCCTCGCGCCTCGATAGTTCCCATGATATGAGACACGCTATCCTTCGTCAAAAGAGGCTCACCGGTTGTTCGGTGATAGAGGGCAGGAATAGGAACACCCCAAGCACGTTGACGTGAGATGCACCATTCACTGCGATTCTTAACAAAATTGACCAGTCGGTGTTTTCCAGTTTCAGGAACAAATCGGACATTATCCAATGCTTTCAGAGCGCTGCCACGGATATCGCCCACATCGGCGAACCATTGCTCAGTGGCGCGAACGATAACAGGGAGCTTGGAACGCCAGTCATAAGGGTACTTGTGCTCGTATTTGTGCTGGGCAAGTAATTTTCCTTGGGACTTTGCGTATTCAAGAACCACATCGTTGCCCTCGTCCAATACATACTTTCCAGTCAGGCGTGTAGGATCATGTGGCATCGCTTTTTCCGTAAATCTGCCCTGATCATCGACCGGGGCAAACACCGGGATACCACGAGCAAGACAGGCTTCGTAGTCGTCCATACCATGTCCAGGAGCACAGTGGACCAGTCCAGAGCCAGAATCCGCGGTGACAAAGTTAGCACTGAAAATCGGCTGGGGATTGGCATTCGCGTCCTTGAAAAGAGGTCGGTAGGTGGTCTTGTCAGCCAATTCTGAGCCAAGAATAGAAGGGATCACGACAGTCAGCTCCGATTGCAGCATATTCTCAAGATATTCAAATCGGGACTGGGCGATAAGAAGACATCCGTGCTCCTCCGACTCGACAATTGCGTATTCCAGGGAGTCGCTGACCGCAATGGCAGCATTGGCAGGCAAGGTCCAGGGTGTAGTAGTCCAAATAACAGCGCTTAGTTCTTTTGATCCCAGCAGCGGGTCCTTGGTCAAATGTTCTGGAATATCCACCAAAGGGAATTTGACGAGGGCAGCAATAGAAATGTGGTCTTCCTTGTATTCGAGCTCAGCTTCAGCCAGCGCGGTGCCAGTTGAGGGCGACCAGTAGACGGGCTTAAATTTCCGGTAGATGAGGCTCCGGTCAACCATTTCACGGAAGATTCCAAGTTGTCGCATCTCAAATTCCTTATCCATAGTTTTCCAATGATTTTCCCAATCCGCCATGACACCAAAGCCACGGAATTCCTTCATTTGGGCCTTGACCGTCTGTCGCGCGAGTTGCCGGGCAGATTTCCGGATCACTGCAGGGCTCACAGATCCATCCTTCACACCGTGATCTTGAAGGCCTTGAAGCGCCTTCAATTCGATGGGCAGACCGTGGCAATCCCAGCCCGGAACATAGCGCACTCGCTTTCCGCGTCCCAATTGCGTTCTGCAGATCATATCCTTCAAGATTTTATTGAGCGCATGACCGACATGCAATCCTCCGTTTGCGTACGGTGGACCATCGTGTAGAACAAAAGGCTTGTCGGCGGGACGTTCGTTGCGCTGCCAGGCGTAGAGTTCATCGGAGCATCGCTTCAGGTATTTCGTTTGGTCGACCAGCGACACACGCGGTGGAAATGTCGACTTCGGAAGCTTAAGAGTTGACGTCCAGGACCGAGGTATTGACCGCGGCTGGTTCGGCATTCTCCTTCATATCCCTTGGAAGGTTCTTAAATCGTGAGAAGTGCAGTGAAATCGGATAAAGCGCGGTGGTTCAATTCGGAATGAAAGTTACGGAACAATGTACGGTAATGCTCCGTACTGTCCCAAATAATACAATTACTCAAATGTATTCTACTAGCTATGAAGTTCTGCTTTCAGTTTTGAATATTTATGAATATTTATTTGTAGATTTCAATTAGATTCAAAAATATGACGAAAAGAAGGAAGCCACAAAAACAGGCCATAGGTTGCTCCGTACTGCTCCATGTCAGATTACTAGTCAAAAACGACAAAAAAAATGTACAGGTTAATAAACCGTTAAACAGCTCACTGCGCCGTTCTTCAACACTTCAAATAACAGTCCTGGGAACCCAAATAGCTCCGTGTTGCCCAGGCTGCCGTCATGGCCCTCTTGTCCTGTCCGCGTTCCTCGGCCAGTGCTTTCTTCCCACCCACCTAGGAACTCGACGCTGCTTTCTGGACTATCGCCCCACCCGCGATTTAATACCATCGGTCGTTGCAGCGCTCGTTCTTCGGCTGGGCTAGTATACGATCCCTTCCATGCATCGCGCAGCACTTGGGAAATCTCATCATATGGAGACTCCGAGGTCAGGCCCTCATCAGACTCGTTGAGGTGGATCATCCAACGACTTCGACGATGACGATTGAAGGGATATGACCCCGGAACGTTTCCATGCAATATCATCTTGGTGACTGTCAACTGCGACGATGAAGGTGGTGGGACCGGATCAGACAGTCCAGATGCAGGAAATGCCGGTCCAGGTGAAGTGGGATATGATATGAAAGCATCGAAACCATGATGAAAATAATTGAAGAAGCACTCCGCAGGTAGAGATGCTGGATCTCCAGCATTGCCAAGGTATATCTCGTCGTCTGAATCATCAGTGACACTATTAGTGGAGGAGTGATCAGTATCTGGAATATCAATTCCGCGGCCTGGCGAGGGACTCAGGTGGAGCTGATCCCCACCCCCAACTGCACGATGTATTGAGATTCGTCGATCGTGTTTACGGTAAATGGCATCCGGTGGACCAAATTCAGCAATTAGATCCTGTGGCGTTGTTTCACCAAGATTTATGGCCAACGGAGGACTGGATCGCCGGACTACTTCTAACTTCCCTGCTCCAATGATATGGATCTCTTCGACTTCATCAGCAAAGGAGTCACGCGTTTTGCCAATGACGGCCGAGGAGCGTGGGTATTGTGGCTGCTGGGTGAACAAATTTGCCCGTGTCTCTGGCCAGGATGATCCTTGGAAAATGGACATGGAGGTAGCTGAAAGCGCGGCCGTGGATGAAAGGAGCGCTACAAAATCGCATTGATCGGACCAAGCCAAATGCTGGAGAGGAAATGAGAATGCAACCCCCGGATACGAAAGAACATATGTGCCATAGGGTGACTGATCTGTCGGCGCAATGTACTCTCCCGGGTACGATGGTCCGAAGAGACGGTTATAGACATGTCGAAAGTTGGGACCCTGTGGAGAGGCAGGCTGCTCGACTGACTTGCCTCCCTTCATCACATCCTGGCTCTTATATACAAGGTTCACCTTCGAAAAATCTAGGACTTCAATTAAACGGAGTCTCTGGTCGGGGCCATCGAAGCGCAATCGTAGTCCGTTCAAAGGTAAAAGGAGCACTACCGGCATACGGAGAGGATCCGTGGATGAATATGCAAGGTCGATAGAGGGATATATCTGAGGGTGTGATTTGACTCGTGTCAAAATATTGTGTAGAGAGGCCCCGAGTGCTTAGAAACGATTAGCTTGATCTCATGGGTCAGATGGGCATAGATACCTATGGAGCCTAGCCCCTTCCCCGGGATAATTTGAAACGGGACCGAGTTTCTTGTAGCCATAGCAGAATAATAATCATCAGAACATGAGCGAAAGATGTGAGTAGAAGTGAGCTTTCATGAAATCGGAGAAGAAGGACGAAGCATAGTTAACCAGCGCGGGGGAGTAGTCATGTGAGAGGGGGCATGACATAACTACGATAACGATAAGGAAACACAGTCACGTGGATATTGTTTACTTTTCTCCGAGTGGATCCACTTCGATCTCCTGCATTGAAATTAATACACTAAACCAAATTGTCGCATCTTGTGCCCTAGTTTAAAACATTCTCTTCATTTCTTCTCAGATCGCTTGTCTGAAATCCTTCAACAAATCTTTTGCCTGAAATCTCTACCCGCTATGGCCGGCGCAGCACGGGCTGCCGCCCCCCTTCCCGCGAAGAGAACTGGTTTACGCCAGTTACGCCAACCGACTCGACGAGCGGGGTCAGCGATTCCAGAAAGCCGACAAACATCTCCTGCACTTACAACCAAAAGAAGACCAGCCGTAGTGGCTGCGCCTGTGCCAACTCGGGTACCAAAGCCCAACCTGGATCAAACGAGTGTTCTTGGCAAAAGGAAAGATAGGGAATTTGAGCGCGAAATCGGTGAAGATACCAGCATCCACGTGGTCGTTCGCTGCCGTGGTCGCAATGACCGAGAAGTCAAGGAGAATAGCGGCGTGGTCTTGTCTACGGATGGAGTCAGTGGAAAACAGGTAGACTTGTCAATGGGACCCAACGCGCTCTCCAATAAGTCCTATGCCTTCGACAAGGTTTTCTCTCCAGCTGCTGATCAGACGTTGGTTTTTGACGAAGTGGTCTCACCTATTATCAATGAGGTAAGCTTGGCGAATTAAACTATGTTAAGGTGGTGTACTGACCTGAAATTGCTAGATGCTCGCTGGATACAACTGCACAATCTTCGCATATGGCCAAACAGGCACCGGAAAGACATACACTATGTCTGGTGATATGACAGACACCCTGGGAATCTTATCAGACGATGCCGGAATCATCCCACGAACCCTCTATTCTTTATTCAACAAGCTTGAGGATACAGACAGCACCGTGAAATGCTCATTTATTGAACTCTACAATGAGGAACTGCGCGACCTGTTGTCATACGATGATAACACAAAGTTGAAGATTTTCGAGAACGAGAAGAAGGGCCAGGCCGCTACTTTGGTTCAGGGAATGGAAGAAACATTTATCGATTCTGCATCTACCGGTATAAAGCTGCTTCAAATGGGTAGCCACAAGCGCCAGGTGGCCGCGACAAAATGCAACGACTTGAGTTCCCGAAGTCACACAATATTCACCATTACGGTTCTGACCAAGCGCACTACTGAATCTGGAGAGGACTATATCAGCTCTGGGAAACTAAATCTGGTAGATTTAGCAGGAAGCGAAAATATTGGACGAAGTGGTGCAGAAAACAAGCGAGCAGTTGAAGCTGGTCTGATCAACAAGAGTTTACTCACCCTTGGCAGGGTCATCAATGCGCTAGTCGACAAAGGCTCTCATATCCCCTACCGTGAGTCGAAGCTGACACGACTGCTTCAAGATTCTCTCGGTGGCCGGACGAAGACTTGCATCATCGCCACTGTATCGCAGGCCAAAAGCAATTTGGAAGAAACCATTTCGACTCTCGATTACGCTTTCCGGGCCAAGAATATCCGTAATAAGCCCCAGATCAATTCGCTGGTATCAAAAAATAAGCTGCTCCGCGAGATCGGAATAGAGATGGAGAGGCTCAGAAGCGATTTGATCGCCACTCGGCATCGGAATGGTGTCTACTTGGCACCAGATGTCTTCGAAGAGATGACTGTAGAGAGTGAATCGCGCCGAATCGTTAACGAGGAGCAACGTGCTAAGATTGAGTCAATGGAATCCAGTCTGAAGCACAAGGTACAAGAGTTGTTTTCCCTCACAGGAAACTTCAATTCATTGAAGCAGGACAATGAAAGCATTCAAAGCAGATTCAAAAGGACAAAATTGGACCTGGAACAAACTGAGTCAAGCTTGAAAGACACTTCTGAGAAGCTTGCGGAAGAGACTACAGCCCTCAAAGCTCACAAGGAGACCGAAAAGAGTCTTCGAGAAATATGTACGGATCTACTTTCGACCCTGGATGACACTGTTGAAGATGTTCAAGAACTTCACGCCAAAGTTGAACGTAAGGATGACCTAGAGATGGCAAACGGGCAAACATGGCAGGCATCTACCAATGAAATCCGCCAAGTCACCGGGCAAATTGATGAACGTTTGGACACCTTCCAAGCACATCATTCTGAGCTCTTCCGAAATATTTCAAACAAAATGCATGAGTTTCTAGCTAGCGAACTGAAGGCGACCCAGTCTGCCCGGTCTCAACTTCAAGAATTCGACCTGTCCTTAGACAAGGTTGAGGAAGACGCGAAGACCCAGACATCCGGTGCCCACAATGAGATGAACGAGATCCTTGAAGAAATCAAGGTCCTTCGGGAAGATGTCAAAGCCAAAGTTGGCGAGGGGCTAAATGGACTGTCAGCGGCCGCCGCCCGAATTTCCAAAGAGGTCATTGGAGAATTCTCCGAATTTCACTCTCAGCTCCACTCATCCTATAACACTCTTGGCCAGGATATCAAAGTCGTGTTCGAGAGTATGGCAACACACATCGACAAACAAAAATCCGAAATCGATCGACTGCATCTTGATCTTCAAGAGGCTCATCGCCAAACTGTAGAGGCCAATCGCAAAGCCTCTTCCAACATATCCCAGGTTCTCGAGGAAGAGCAAGCAAACTCTCAAGTTGAACGTGATACCCTTATGTCACAAATTCGGGGACTGCTTGAAGAATCTACCCAACGGCAGTCTGCCCGTCTCAAGAACAGATTTGATGGAGTTCGCACTGATCTTTCTGCATCGGGCAATTCTCTCGAGCAAGCCACAAATCAATACGATCGACAAGTCGATGAGTGGATGTATAAGGAAGTCAAGTTTGCCAAGGATGTGACTGCATCGAAAGATGAAATTACGTCTAGGATGCAGAATGACTGGGAAGTAAGAAATTATACCCCGTCCGCCTCAGTGTTCCAAGCTAACCACTATAGAAATTTGATGAGCGAAATGTTTCGATCCAGCATGCTACAGAATCCGTGCATCAAGAAACTGTGCGGATTGTGGATGCTCAGATGATTGACGTGAGCAAACAAATGGGGGCCCTTGATGATTTCGTTACCAAAGCTCGGTCTCGCAACGGACTTTTCCATGAAGCACAACTGAAGAACCTAGGCAGCATTGGAGCCAATGTTCGTGAATCCCGAGCTGTTATTCGACAACAACTCGATGGAACCCATCAACGTATTGGTGAACTTCAAGAAAATGTCGATGTTCACATGCAGGATCTGGAGCAATCTGCGGTGCCTCTGTTGCAAGAAGTTCGTGATCCACTCATGGAACTTCGTGCTAGCCTTCAAAGGCATCCTATGAAGGAGTACACTCCGACGGGTGACACTCCGCAAAAACGTCGTTATGAATACCCAGCGAGCTTGCCTCGAACGGAGCACTAGCCCAACTATCGGCACATTCTTTTGTTACAAATATACCCTACATAGCCTCTATTTAATTTTCATTTTTACTCATATGGTTAATCTTACACGGTAATTATGCATTCGTCCTCACTGGCTATCCAATGCAACAACGTTTGAGTATATCGATCATAATGAATTTTTGTCTTAGTCCAAGAGTCCGAGTCCAAGTTTACTCCGTAAGTCATCTATATGAGTTCCAGAGAATGCATCTGCCAGCCTAGAAGACTTGATTCTTAGAGAGGCTCTCTGTCCCCCAGAACCGCAAACCACCAGCCGGAAACTTCAAACCTCGACCGCATGGTGATAAAGACGCTCGCCGAGACTATCAATGGAGACTCCCACAATGTCGTCTATGAGGCCGTCGTCGATTTGGTCTCTAAGATGTGCCCAGTAGGTGTGATTTTATCATCACTCATTGCTTTTTTTGTTCCAAGTTTGATTGAAAACCTTAGAACTGTAGTCGGTTGCAAGTTGAGAAAAGAGGTTACGGCAGATATGATGCTTCTAAGGCTGGGGTTTGAATTGATTACAATATTACAGGCATCAGCTTGTTCCTCGGACGAGGGTGCGAGCAAAAAAGCCTGCGGTACGCGTTCTCGCAACGAGTTTCCAAGCCAAGCCAAGCCAACAGTATAATAGTAATTAGAAGGAGCACGAGTGAGATCTATTATCGTGAAGAAGCCATTGATTCATTCATTAGTCATCATTAATTATGCTCAACCTCATCCGGAGCATGTGCCTCGTGGCCAATGCCAGTCTCTCTGACCACGGTAGTTGTAGGGTCCAAGTTGGTAGAATCGATAACAACCTGCAACTCCTGCATTCGCTTTGCAAAGTTTTCCATCATCTCCTCAAGTCTTTGCGCACCTCGCTCTCCCTTTTCTTTGCCAGTATCTGCCGGTAACCCACTAGTCCCACGAATCTTCAACATCGACCCATGCCCTTCTGTCTCTCCGGAATCATGATTCTCAAATGTTGGCGCCGAGCTCATCTCACTATTCAGTATCTGCCATGTTGGTGAGAAACTCTTCGCCGATGTTACCCGGAACTGCATGTGTTGCACACCTGGTCCAGGCCCTGGGCTGGGTGTTTGGCCAGGGAGCTGGGACTGGTAGGTGGGTGATGTTGATATGGCTTTTGTATCACCAACACCTCTCAGCCCGACTGAGCTTGGTTGATCGATTGCGGGGTTGGTTGCAGGGAGTGGTTCAATATCTAAGACGAGGTAGTTCTCTCGCACACCGGGGATTGGAGGTGGGAGAAGGCTTGATTTCTCGGGGTCTCCGAGCTCTTCGTTGAGATGGGTTTTCTTGGAGTTGGAGAGGGCTTCATTTTGAGAATCCAGACTACGCAGCGCGGCTTCAGTGACTATGTCAGTATCGTCGTCGGAGAAGATGTAGTGAATGGTTGGGTGGTGGTAATCGGATGTGTGGGCATCTTCAACAAGTGTGAAGAATGGTTGGAAAGGGATCTGAGGCTCGTCATCCACCTCATCTGCTAGATGGTCCCCGTCCGCTGCTCCATCGAAGGCGATTGGGAGTGTCCCCTCTGCATCCTCCTGGCCCTGCGCATGCCAGTCATATTGCGGTGATGAGATTCCAGATCTGGAAGAGCACTGGACAGGAAAACCTGACTGAACTGGTGTGTTCAGAGACATCGTCGCCTACATTGCCGTGTTTGAGTTTGAAGGCGCTCAAGAGGACGTGAGTCTTATCGATACTGATAACATCGATATCAGTGGATAATGAGTCACGTGATAATTTCCATTTGCGGAGTACATATTTACAGCTGCCTTTAAATATGTGTTTTAGAGGCGAGAGATTTATTTTGGAGGGAAAATTACCTTGGTACGGAATTGATTCAAATACTACACTCTGTCTCGGCAGAAATGAGGTAAACATAAATTACCATTACTCGGTGGGTTTCCATGGTGACGTGATATGAGACTGAGATTAGCTCACGTAAGGATGAACATTCGCCATTGCTCTCCGAATGGCAACATCCAATCCACTATCTTTATATCCATCGAATGCTAAAGTTGAAAGTGGAGACACAATTTTGGAAATAGCCCAATAAAGAATGCAAAAAGCAGTTGAAATGAATAGCAACTCAAAAACTGGGGTATCCTTGATTCAACCCAGTATATAACGCCGTAAAAGACAAATAGTAGAAGTATCAGATGTTTGCAACAAACTCTGCGAAGGAGGTTAGCCAGCATCATAATGGTTGGGAGGAGAGTGTACCTACTTTGACGACACATTGGGCATAATTCCTTAGCGCTCTCTTCCTTGAACCAAGCCTCGAGACAATGCTGTTTACACGATCAGTCAAATTATATTGGGGATATCCGTAATAGCACCTTACCCAATGAAATGCGTGCTTACACTGGCCTTGTCCTGTATACGCCATTAGTACCAGTAATATCGGAGAAGCTCCGACACAACTTACGAATTGGACATCCATCGCCAGGTATTTTGCAACGGGGACAAGTGCTATCATACTGGACGCGACAGATACCGCAGACATCATCCTCAGGAAGATTCCATCGCCAAATAGCAACAGAATTCCATTCTCTGAGAATGATTCTCATGGTGGAAGGATTAAGTAAAAAAAGGTGTGATGTGGATAAGAGAGAGTGTGGAGTGGAGATAAAGTGGTGTCCTGATAAACAATGGGCTTATCGTATCACATGAGCTTACTCCACATCCAACTTACTCCAACTTCTTTTTTAAAACTGCCCTGTTTTCTCCGGTGATTATGGCTTCCACTGCTCTTCGTTTTGTCAGGTCGCCTATTCGCCTTCCTCTATTCCGTGCCATGTCTACCCATGTACCTGGAGCCCGTCAGGCTTCTTTCTCCTCCTATCTGGTCACCCCCCAGCAACTCAATGACGCTTTGAGTAAGAACCCACCTAACACACTTGCTACTTCTCCAAGAACAATTCCACTATGTGCAGCATGGTTCATGCCTAATGACCCCGAGGGCCGCACGGGAATTGACTCATTCCGCAAGTCCCGTATCCCCTCAGCACGCTTCTTTGATCTCGACGCTGTCAAGGACCATGACTCACCTTACCCGCATATGCTTCCCACCTGTGAGGAATTTGCCGAGGCCATGAGTGAATTGGGCATTCGCCGGGACGACGAGATAGTTGTCTACGATACAGCTGAAGCGGGCATTTTCAGTGCTCCGCGCGTGGGCTGGACTCTGCGTGTGTTCGGTCACCCCAGCGTACATGTCCTCAACAACTATCGAATCTGGACTCGTGAGGGTCTCCCCACTGAGAGTGGCGAGCCCACTCCGGTGGAGAAGAGCAAGTACCCGGTCCCCGCTTATGACACTAAGCTGGTAATCCCTTATCGTCAAGTGAAGGAGCTGGCATTAAACCATGGCAAGGAAGGTGCCGAGGAGGTTGAGATCTTGGATGCTCGCTCCTATGGTCGTTGGGCAGGGATTGATCCAGAACCCCGTCCTGGGCTCTCATCTGGACACATTCCGGGCTCTAAGAGCCTGCCATTCCAGGAACTATTGGATCCGGAGACCAAGGCTTACTTGTCACCAGCACAGCTGCGCAAAGTCTTTGAAGACCATGAGATTGACCCTTCCCGCCCAATCATCAGCTCATGTGGAACTGGTGTGACAGCCACCGTTATTGAGACTGCCCTCAGTGAGGCTGAGTATGGTGATGCCAACTCTCGTCTAGTCTATGATGGAAGCTGGACGTAAGTGCCCCTTGATCACCTCACATTTCTATCACATACTAATCATCTTCCAACTGAACAGCGAATGGGCCCAACGAGTTAAGGAATCAGATGGCCTCATCAAGAAGGTGCAGCGATGAGAGAACCAAGAACTGAGAACTGAGAACTGAGAACTGAGAACTGAGAACTGAGAACATGATTAGAAAGTCATGATATTCCAAATTTCTAATAAGCGAAAAAGATTGAGCGGCTTCTTGAACTTTCTTAGCACTTTCTTAGCTTAGATCACATCCCCCTCTTATTAATTCATGATATCATTGTCTTTTTTAACTTGGAACTCTTTGTTCTTGTGCCTTAAACTAACTAGTAGCTGACTGAAGCCCATTGAATCTGTGGATCTAGCTTAGTCATCACTCGATCTGGCAGCCGCTTTTATGATCGCAAACGCATGGGAATGCACATATCTCGGCGGTGTTGGATTGTCAAAAATGCTGCACATGATTCCTTCTCTGCCTACATATTGTAAGTTCTTCACTTCTGATTCAAACCGCCCCTCTTACCCCCACCTTTACTCGTCCGGCCACACCCCCACACCCACAAATATCGTTGATATCCCACTGATCCCCTCATCAGTCACAGTTCTCAACCCTTCAAGTCCCTTGGAATAGGGAAAGAACTGCTTTCAGTTCTGATAAACATCACTTGAAAAGCCCACCATGTCAGCCAGTCGCAAGGTCTTTCACTGCGCTGTGGATGAAACGGCTCTTACTACAAATATCAGCGAAATCAAGAAATGGACTGCCAATGGCGCCATCGATCTGATCGTTCCTCTTTACAGTGAGTTTCCTGATCTTTTTATTACTGGCTCATCTAAAATCAGATTTCTTATACTTCTAGCCCTCGAACGACTCCATAATCTGAAGCGTGCAGGATCGCAAGTCGCCATTAATGCCCGTGAGACGGTGCGCTTTCTCGACCGAGTGACTTCCGGCAAAGATCAAATTACTGCCGACCGAGTTACCCTTCAAGGCCCGATGGAGCAGTATGAACGCTGGGCAGAAGCTGAGAAATTCTTCTTACCGGAATTTGAAGAAGAGCCTGAGGCCGTTGACGAGATGCCGCGTTCCGAACCCGCACCTGTGTCTGTGCCTGTGCCTGCACCCGCGCCCAAGATCACTATCAAATCGCAATCCGACGACCTTTCGCAGATGCTGCTTAGCAAGCTAAACTTTCAGAAGGCCCCCGATGCCGCATCCATCACCTCGGACGGTTCAGCTAGTGGTCCGGCCTCGCGCACATCTTCTCGTAGCTCGCGCACCAGCCCCGAATGTGCCCAACATGAGCTCGTCACCAAGTCAGAGAAACCCAAGTCGGGACACCAGCGCAATGCGTCCGGATCTACCATCCCTATCGTTCCTCCCGTGCTTCGCCCCTTGCTGAGTGCCCTCCTGTGGCGACTTCACAGTGGCCCTGATGCCGAGAACTTTGCTAAGAACTGTATCCTGGTTACTAACGACCGCACGACTCAGGTTTGGGCCCAGAAATTTGGCATTGGTGTGAAAAATATCCTTCAGCTGCGCACTGCCATCCAGTATGAAGAGCGCGAGTACAAGAATCGCTGCAAATACGCCGAGAAGAACCAAAGCCCCGTCCAGAATCCCGAGCCTAAGACCTTGCTTTCATACGAGGACGACAGTGATGAGGACGAGCTTGTTTTTGTTCCCCGCGGTCGCGGCAAGAACGCGACTCGGGGTGCTCGGGGTGGAACACCTCGCAAGCCCGTTGCGAAGACCATCCCTGTGACCCCCGATGTGGCTACCATCGAAGTTCCCACTGAGCCGATTGACCCCAACTCCTTCAGCCGATCCTTGAGCGGCGCGAATACCAAGACCCAGAACATCGACCTGAGCAACCAGAAAGGTACTTCTCGTGGTCTCTCGGGAGCCTCTCGCCGCACTTCCGGCCGACGTGGAGGTGCCAACCGTGAAGGCGCACGAGGCAGCGGTCGTGGACGGGGCAAGCTGTGGGTTCCTTGAATATACGAATTGGGTCTGTTGAGATTGGCATGCGTCGCTCTCGACAGACCGCAGTTACTGTGAACCAATGCAATCAGAACCGGACCGGATGAGTTCATCATTCTTCCCTTTTCAGGAAGGTATCCGACTCGAAACAGCACACTACAGGGCGTAGTTCTTTTGACCCCTATCTCTAACTCTACTCTCCCCTATTCCCATTCCCATTTTCACCCTGTTTTGAACCCACGACCGCGGCAACTGATCTCCAATATCTTGACATGGCCAGGCCAAGGATTTGATGAAATCCAGCGAGGACAGGATTCATGGAGGGAATGGTGAATAGAGTGGTTTTCTTTTGGAAGGAAGTGGTATATACAACTTTTTTACCTGGACAGAGAATGTCGGTCGCTATGGCTGGTAACTACTTGAACAAACTGGGTTTCTGGACCTTTAGTCAAGAACCAAGAGAATCTATTATCTGCGTTCAATTTACTAAATATATAGAGTAGATGAAGTAAGTGGAAAGTTAGATTATTGAGTTTTCCCCGCATGACTAGTTCCCGTGGTACTAAACATCATTTGATCTTTTCTTTCCCTCAAAACCCTCCTTCACAACTCTCCTTCACAACTCTCCTTCACATATCCCATTTCCTAAACATCTATCATGTCGATTGACGAAACTCCCCTTGCATACTCGACTCACGAGCGTCGTGACTCGCTCGAGAAGCACCTCCAAATGCGCCCGGACGTGCAGGACCTCAAGGACCGCCATATCCTGCTGGATACTAAGGTTGATCCGTATGCAGCATGTCTTCGTGCTTGACTTTCTGAAATCTAACCCCTCACTAGTGCCCTCCAAGCTGTCGGCCTGGACCTTCAGAAGAGCCTGGAGAAGCGTCCTGCTAAGGACGAACTGGTGGAGCGTATATCTCCCTGTTTTCATTGATACTCCTGAACACGATCCCATTCTTGAATCTCAATCATGAATTCGTCTAACGTTAACTACTTTGTCACGCTTTACTAACTCCCGAGATCGCAAAGGTAATATCCTCCTCGCCACCAACCAGGCTGCGGCTTTGCAAGGTCCAGCCCGCGATCTCGAGCGCCACATGCTGGCTGATAACTTAGAGCACAAGATTATGAATCGCCCTCAGCCCGAAGACCTTATCACTCAGGGAATTCTCGAGGAAGATGAAGATCCTCGTTCGGCTTAAGCGTTTCACCTTAACCTCCTTCAAATGTCAATTCTGGACTCTACATTGGTTCAGATGCTGATGACACAAGAGAGGCTTCATGAATTTTACGGCGTTGCGGCTGCCTTTCACTTGTTACATGCGCGTCACTCCTCACTCCCTATGACGTCACCATTGTGATGCTGGATATCTGTTACACATGATATTATCGTTTTCCTCTTGAACTTGGAAGATAGTGTAGTTGTAGAAATCATAATCTTGAAGACAGGTAAGGGAGTAGGGTAAATTATTCCACTGAGATCTTCAAACAGATGTTATACATATTCCCACCGGTTGTAGCCTCAGGTGAATGAAGTCTCACTCTTGTAGCTAGAAACCCTAGATTTCTTAAATGTAATTGATCATACTAGACCCAAATAACTGCTGGATCAAACATCGAACGACAAGTAGCTATGAAGTTGAGCTAGAGCATTGAGAAAATGTCATAAAAAGGGCAGATCATAGGCCCCCATAATCATATGGTCGTTATATCAAACCACAGCTATATTAAGTCTCAACCTGCATCGGAACTGAAAGATCTGGCATCCATCCCTTCGGACGTTCACTGCCACGAACCAGAATCCCATATGCCGCCCGCTCAACCTTCTCCACGCTGCTTTGCATCACCTCGAGCTTTTTTCCATAATCGCGCATCATAAAAGCATGTCGACGGGGAATACTGAGTCTTTCTGTATGGGCACGCATGGCTCGAAGGTCAACCACAATTCCTGCCTGGGTTTTGGAAAGGCGTGGGCCTTGAATTTGGCTCGTTGGTTCATCGGTAGGTTCCTCAGTCTCTGTGCTACCGGAACCCAATGTTGTCACGGCAAATCGCATCATCTCACCCGTCAGATCGAAGAGTCCCCCCAAGTAATCATCCGCCGTTACCTCGATCTCGGCGGGCAATCTGCCTGAGACTTCCTCGTGTGTGATCAGGGTCTGGGTGCGAAGATAATGATCGAACGAGATAGCCTCAATAAACTCCTGAATCCCACCACTGACTTGGCGCTGGTAGCGCCAGGTATTGAGATCGGTTACATCGGGCACAATGCTCGTGAAGAGTTTTTGGATTTGGTCAAGACGGTCTTGGTTGTCTTTGGCAATTTTTGGTGGGATGGGTTCGTTGATGGCGTGCACACGCTGGAGAGCGAATATACTGGGAGAAAATGTTAGAATCAGGATATTGGAATTAAGGGTTAGTGGTGATCGGACATTTTCTTGCTGAGCGCGGTTATGTCACGATTCGTTTTGATGATCCGCTCGCGACGGTCGTGGTGCTCGTCTAGTTCGTTGCGGAAATTCTCGAAGATCGAAATGATCGGTCCGACTGGTTCAGTCATGTTGTCATTTGAGATGATTGGCACAGGCTGGCCCTCCCAAGATCGTTTAGTGCCCATGATAGAAATGGATGTCGTAGGTCAAGGTTGAGATTGGAGAGCGATAAACGATAACGGATATTCAAGGTGTGCCAGTTGACTATGAGACTGTATTATTCACTTTAGAAACGCTGATACTATTAACATCATTTTTTTTTCATTCAATAGTGTCATAGATCTACAAATGGGAATTCATTTTAGCTTCGATATTGCTTAATTCTCGTTTGAATTGAATCTATCTACTGAGGAATCCTAACTACAGCTCGCCCCGCAATGCTATTCTTGATAATTCGATCAAGTAGTTTGGGAGTCTCTGAGAATTCAAACACTTCAATCGAAGGATTGATTATTCCCTTGAGAGCTTGCTCCAGCAGTTCGGTCATTTGATCCTCGCTGCCCACGGAAGTTCCCTTGATAGTAAGAGCTGTCCTGGCTTAGTATAGTCTTGAAAATGACAAGCGCAACCACTCACCTCGTGCAGAACAAACCGATGCAGAAATGGGAAGCTCAAATGTATTCTCTGGTAAACCAACTAGGATGATATGCCCCATGTTCCGAACGACCGACGGAGCAGTTCGAAATGCTTCTTTCTTGCCCGGCACAACAACGGTTGCATGAGCTCCCTCTCCAGTCAATTGCAACACCCGCGCTGCGACATCTTCTGTACGGAAATCGATAAATGCTGTCACACCGGATTCAAAGCTGATTTTTCGTTTGTCGTCGCCGGTATCGATGCCAATCACTCGAAACTTTTGCACCCGAGATGCAATCTGTACTCCCACATGGCCCAGTCCACCGCCGGATCCAGAGATCACAACCCAATCCCCAGCTTGTAATTCCTTGTCTAGTTGCGACAGTGCGCCTGCCATTGTGAGACCGGCGCAGAGTAGTGGAGCTGCAATCTCGTCTGCAAGTCCGTCAGGGATTCGGGTGAGAAATCTCGCGTCGGCAAGCGCATATTGCTGTAATGTGCCGGGAACATGCCGGCTCGTATTAAGCTGCTTGGGACAGTTGTGTACAAAACCTCGCTGACAGACTGAGCACTGGTTGCAGGCATTATACAGCCATTTGACTCCCACTCGTTTATTCAGCAGAGATAATGAAACATTGGATCCGGACTTGACCACAATTCCTACGCCTTCGTGGCCGATAATCGGGTTATATACGCCATATTTTAATAGCGCACGAACTTCGGAGCCACTAGGTAAGATTAAAGGTTAGACAAGATTCATTACGGAGATATGAGCTCCTAAAATTCTCACCAAATTCCTGTACATGTCAATTTAACTAAGACTTCATCGGGACCGGGCTCTCCAACTGCGATGTTATCGCGGAGAAGGATGGTGGGATTAGGACCCGGGTTTTGCACCACAGCTGCTTGTTGGATGTTGGGAATATTAGACATGATGTGGTTGTTAGGTATGAATATTAATCATCAAATAACTAAAACTAAAGTCCGGGGAAAGACTTAAATAGTGAACGAGTTATCATAATGGCATCGATGACTAACCAAGAACTCCCGATAACTAAGTTGCCGATCAACCTCCAAATTTGCACTTCGAGGTCTATGCATCATAGCTGCAGCTGTGCTGTACCAGTACAATAGTCGCGTTAGTATGGTTCATCCATGTGGAGTGACCGCACCCATGTTCGTCGCCTCTTAGCCTGAAGAGAAGATGAAGAGATGCTGGCCACAGTTCCGGTAGATGGGCCGAGGCTGTAGATGTGGCCGCATTTGTGTCATTTCTGGATAGCCCCGATGCTCAATTTATGGCTGGTAGTACACTTAAATTAGATAGAGTCATTGTCGTCTGTTAATTTGCAGAGTGTCGGTTATAGATGAAAATAAGTGAAGCTTGGAAATGGATGAGATCAAGGTGATTCTTCTTCCATTGCCGGACTTTTTTCATGGCACGACCACATTACGTCACAAAGGCTCCTGGGCTGTTTTGATTAACTCAGTGAACCAATTTCAGGAATAGTGGTACTTACCAGATCGGCAGTTCACATTCATTTGTCGTATAGATCGACATATGTCTCTAGGATACTCGTAGATAAGTATGAGATGCTGGCAGATTAAAGTGCGATATCGAGTCTCCCAGATTTAAATATTGTCTCTTAGAAATCGCGTGATATATCTTCATCGGACGTAACATCGGCCTGCACGTTCAATATCAGATCATCGGGATCGACATGAGATGATTCCTTTAATAGCAGCTCTGGGAGTCTCTTTTGACTTGTCCAGACTATCTGAATTGATATCAAACAGTGCAACTCAGGCTCTTTCGAATAAATACCGAAGGGCAGATTCGAGGCCGATGTTGTCGGCTGCTACAGTAATCAGAGCGACTAATCGTTCAAGGGGATTGAGAATTGGTTGAGGTAATGGCAACATTGTGATTGAGCTTAATTCATTCTGCATTTTTTATATAAATTGAATACTTCTTTTATATGAGCTTGAAATGGCCAAGTCTCTTCGCGAGGTAATTAGACTGCAGCTGGGGGCGGAGAAGGATCCGGAGATAATACCAAAGTAGAATTACTGGATACTACAGGGCTATAAGAATTAAACTGGTCAGGGAGGGAGTCACTCAAAGTCAGTAAAAACCTTCGATTAGGTTCAGCTGGTAGATACATGTTCATTTTCCAATATTTGAATAGGAAACATGATATTGAATTATTTGATATAACCGTATTTTCGTGATGAATTCCCAAGTAAATCGGGAAGGAAATTAATGAACTAGAAGCTCAAAGAAAAGTACCTAGAAAATTAAAGGATAGATAGCGCCAAATCCGCAGATGAGGGCGAAGGCAGTGGGCAGTGTGAATTGAGGGATAGCAGCTCCGGTATAGGTAGGGCCGGTGGAGCTGCTGGTAGTGGTACTACTCACTCCGACAGGGGAAGAGGAAGGCTTAAAAGGGTACCTGGCAGAGGCAGAGACAGCAGCGGAGTTGGATGTAGCAAACGCAGATGTCGATGCATTAATGCCGACAGCCCCAACTCCCGTTGGGACGTAAACGGGAATAGAAGTGTAAGTGGTGGTGAATGCAACCGACTCATCACCAGTGCTGGAGCCAGAGTCAGAGCCATAATTGGAGCCAGAGCTTGATCCAACGGAGCCAGGGGTTGAGGTCTCAGTGGAAGAAGCACCGACAGGGTAAATGGTTGTTCCAACGGCAACAGTAGATGTCACAGCATGAGGAGTCTGCCCCCTCAAAGGGCAGTTAGTCACACTATCAGGGCACTCAAAGACAGTTGCAGTGCTGGTAGCGTAGATGGTCTCGGTTGTCAGCGATCCAGCAACAGCAGGTCCAGTAGTAGTGGGAACGGCCTGAGCGGGAGTCACCGTGTAAACAGTGGTGCCAGCAACGAGGGTCTCAGTGGTGGTTGAGGTGGTCTTCTCGCGGGCGGGGCAGTTGGTCACACTGGATGGGCAGGCGTAGATAGTTGAGACGCGGGTGCTCAAGACAGTCTCAGTGGTAACGTAAGGGTATCCACTAGCTGGGGCTGTAGTGGTGGCTTCAGCTGTGGCAGGGCAGATAGTGGTAGATACCACAATGGTCTCAGTGGTAACGTAAGTGGTCTGGTCGCGTTCGGGGCAGTTTGTGACTGTCGATGGGCATGCGGTGATGGTGGAAGTGCGAGTCGAGAAAACAGTCGAAGTAGTAAGTTCTCCAGAGCCATTACCGTTGCCAGAGCCGTTACCGTTGCCAGAGCCGTTACCGTTGCCAGAGCCGTTACCGTTGCCAGAGCCGTTACCGTTGCCAGAGCCGTTACCGTTGCCAGAGCCGTTACCGTTGCCAGAGCCGTTACCGTTGCCAGAGCCGTTACCGTTGCCAGAGCCGTTACCGTTGCCAGAGCCGTTACCGTTGCCAGAGCCGTTACCGTTGCCAGAGCCGTTACCGTTGCCAGAGCCGTTACCGTTGCCAGAGCCGTTACCGTTGCCAGAGCCGTTACCGTTGCCAGAGCCGTTACCGTTGCCAGAGCCGTTACCGTTGCCAGAGCCGTTGCCAGAGCCGTTGCCAGAGCCGTTGCCAGAGCCGTTGCCAGAGCCAGAGCCATTGCCGTTTCCAGAGCCGTTACCGCTGCCGTTTCCACTAGAAGGAGAAGGAGAAGCGCCGGAACTAGAGCCACTGCCAGAGCCGTGACCGCCGTGACCGCCGTGACCTCCGTGACCTCCGTGACCTCCGTGACCTCCGTGACCGCCGTGACCTCCGTGGCCGCCGTGACCGCCATGGCCACCAGGAATGGCACTGGAAGAAGTAGTAGCAGCCCCGGAAGGATGGATGCTACCAGAGGGCTTGACAGTATCAGAGGGCCTAACAGTACCAGAGGGCTTGTGAGGGCCGACAGGTGAAAGGCTGGTAGTCGGACGAGGAGGGCGGGAGGAAGAAATACTAGAGCGAATGGGTGCCGAGGAGGAGGCAAGACCAGATGATGGGCTAACATGAGCAGCAGCAGACGAGGAGCGGGTCAGAGGGGTGGAGGAAGACTTGACAACAGGAGTGGATGAAGCCACAGGAGTAGACGAGACGGCAGCTGAGCTGGATGCCACACACACATTCTTCTCATAGGAAATGTCGATGTTATCGAGGTCAAGGGTAGGAACTCCAGAGTCACAGTTCAAAACGATGTAAACGAACCAGGCACTGGGCTCTGTAGGGTGTATATAAGAGACATGAGTCCACGAAGTTACGTCTTCAAAGATGGGATCATTCAAGAACCAGCCGTCATCTCGGTCGTATTGAGCAAACATCCGACATCCGGTGGCTCCATTGAGAGAGATCTTCCAGTCAAATGAGTATTCGTAGTTCTGGCCTTCAGGAGTACCGTCGATGCATCGGATCAGACCAATATTCGTCGTGTCAGTGGGGAGGCCATCCACGCCCACAACAGCTGGGGAGACAGAACTAGAAGAATATATCAGTTATCTGTTGGATTAAAGGTAAGGCTTTGGAATCATACAGATAGTGGTTACCACTGGCGGCAAGAGCGGCATTATTGACAACCCCAGAAGTTGAAGATGCCCCAGACAAAGTCCAATCACTCAGAGAACCATCCTCAAATCCACCATCCAACACAGAAACACTTTGATGGCATGGGAAGATGCTGATGGCAGATGCTGAGACGGAAAACGCGACAGTCGCAACAGGAACAAATGATTGGACTCGCATTTTAACGCAGAGTATTCTAAATCTGTTCTATTTTACTCTGGATGAAAGAATGGACGAGGGAGACCCTCTCGAAAAAAGAAGAAAGAATGGACGATCTAGGAGTAGATCAGAGGTTTGAAGAGCATCAAAACAGAGAGAGAAATGAGCCTCTAAAAGGTACCATCAGACTTTCAATGATCTATCGCTTTTTACCAAGGCCGGGCAGTTGCTAACCCCAAAGTTAGAAATCCGCAAAAAACCTGAACAAAACTAGGGCATGTATGGATAGTAAACCTTGCAAGATTCAGGGACTGATGGGACTGATGGCCACTTAGGGCTAGCGTTCAACAACTCTGGTGTATTCATTCGTTCTCGGAAAGACCGAAAGCTAATCTTGTGGGAATCGATCACTAGTTGTTTTTGAATTCCACGGATTTAGTATTTGTCTTACCCCTGTTGGACCCGAGAACCGAAATATCCGTCAATTAGATCATTGAACCAAAATCAAAACAGACAATGAATGATTCAGGCGAAAGTGATGCAATTGGTTTGTTCTTGTCCCAAAAACCTATAGTTGAGAGTGAAATTTGAGAAGTCGGCAGAGACGGAAGAGGCGATGACAGTTTGAGGATCACCAGGTACAATATCCATCATATTATCGCTAAGAAGGACACCATCTGTGGCCTCAAAGACGAGTCCCTTGGCAGGGGTTCGCGCACTGATCAATAAGTGAATCTGATTCCGAGTGCGGTTAAACTCAATCTTTAAATTATCGGAGAATTTCAGGTACTTGAGCGGTTGTGGCCAATCAACATCTCGGGCCACTATATTTTGATCCACCCACAATCGAGCCGAGAGAACATGTGGTTCCGGATAAAGGACGTGGTCGATAGTGCCGCTAATGATTTCAGTGGTTCCATTGTACAATATCTTAACATCTTGAGTAATGGCTTTTCGAATTTCTTCGCCTGTCTCGATGGAGAGAAAGCGTAGTTCGATACTCCCGCGGACCTCGTATGGTCGGCTTGAAGCGACCCATAGTTCATAGAAACTTTTTTGTGGGGGTTTCGCGTGCGTCACGCTCCAATCGTGATGCTCACGTTTCACTCCAACTGCAATAGGACTAAGCACGCGCTTCACAGCATAGTAAGCTGGCTTGGGATGCAATAAATAATCAACAATGGCCCATGAGATCGTAGGCCAACAGTCGTTCAACTGCCACAAAAGCGCCCCACCACAGTGTCGATCATCTCCCCATTGGCGACGCCATCCTCGATACCCAAACGTCATCGTCTCAGCCTGGACGACTTGAGTGAGGTATATGTATTTCTGTAAGCCAAGGATTAGTATCGTATCGGCAAAAAAGGACTCGAATGAGGTGAAATCCAAAACAGAACCATACCTCTAGCTCTGTGGCTAGTCGTACATTTTCGACAAGGTATGTCGCCAGTCTCCGTTCGTGTCCATCCGCTTTGTTATGGAAATCCATCACATGAGATTGAGGATGCAAGTCCTGCTCATTCTCGACAAAGTATTGGATCGTCGGAAGATATGGAAACGACTCCATGCCAAATTCACTATTGAAGCGACCACCCAGTGTATCAAAAATCTGATACTTTTGTTGAGTACCGTGCCACACTTCATAATGTCACCGTCAGTCATGATAATTTTATCTATAAGTGACGATGCTTACCGTTCCACTGATGCAAGTCTCCAACTGTTGGATCGGAGGTTTTCTTCCCGTCCCCCCATGGGCTACCTGGGTGGTAGAATGTGCTGGGAGAGTGTTCGGCTACCAAATCCGGAAGTAACTTTTCATAGATGTATCGTGCAGGAAAGTCTGTATTGAGCCAATGATATGGATTTTTGTCTTCATAGTTGTATGTCAGACCTGCTGTCTCTTGGACCTGATAGTCTTCATTGTTGCCGACATAGATCACGATGGAGGGATGATGGCGTAGACGGTGCAAGTTGAAAACTGCCTCCATATGAACTGATTCCAGGAACCCGGGCCATGTTGGATAGTTTCCACATGCGAACATGAAGTCTTGCCAAACCATCACTCCTAGCTGGTCGCACGTCTCGTAGAATGTGTCATCCTCGTAGATTCCACCACCCCAGACCCTAAACAATCGAAATGAGTAGTTTGAAAAAAGAGAAGGGAAAAAAGGCGTCAAACCTAATCATCACCTGGCGGCCCTCGACCATCAATTGAATCCATTTGCGGTATCGATCCCGACTGACGTTTGTGAGGAGGCTGTCTGCCGGAATCCAGCACGCACCACCACAGAAGATATCCATTCCATTGATACGGAAAAAGAACGATCTCCCGTGTTTATCAGGCTGCTGAACCACTACGGCAGAACGGATACCAAATTTCTTGGAAACTTGGTCGACTGCCTCATTATTGTGGATCAGTGACACTGATATTTCATACAAAGACTGGTCACCATAACCATGGGGCCACCAAAGTTCAGGGCAATTTATACGGAATATCACTTGCGTATCACTCTCTCTCGAAACGGGTATATCCTGATGAGCAATTTCGATTCCTCGTAAGACCAACCTAAACCGGGCACTATAGTCCCCGATCACCACTGTGTCTACCTTGGCGGCTGCAGTCACCAAAGCAGATTGGTGGTCTGGTGCTACTTTCACTTGGGGCCAAAGATTGCTCACCCGTGCAGTATATACCTCGAGATGTACAGCACGCCAAATCCCAGCCGTCATTAGAACAGGGCCCCAGTCCCAGCCCCAATGATACTGTGCTTTCCGGACAGCCAGACGAGATGGATCCCCATTGAATGAAATCCACTTATGTAAGGGGTAATCTCTTCGCAGCTCTCGTGCTTTGAGTAACGCACAGTCAAACTCAACTTCAATGATGTGGTCACCATCCGCTTCCAATTCCCGTGTTATGTCGATTCGGTGACCCACGAACATATTAGCACTTGTCAACACAATCTTACTGTCAAGTTTGACAGTAGCAAACGTGTCCAATCCATCAAAAACCAAGGCCACAGTCGCTCCTTGGGGAGCATTTGGCTTCTGGATGACTTTTCGGTAGATCCAGGATTTTTCATTGACCCACTGAGCATCAAGCTCATTGAATCTAATAAATGGGTCTTTCAATCTAAAGTGATCGGTTAGATTTATTGCCAGATGTGTGGTTAATCATACTTCTCGTTGTCAATGAGATCCTGTTGCACAACTGACGGCACCTTTCGAACGGGCATCCATTCCTCCGAATCGAGATCACGGAAGCTCCAACCAAGATCTAGAGGATAACTACTAAGCTTCATGATGTACAGGTTTAGAAATAGCAGTGTTGCAGGGAAGAATAGGAAATGAAATGGGTAGAGAACTAGAGTGGGACTAATGCCCCACATGACTTCAACTTTCGAGCGAATCATTTCTGGGATTTTTTGCTGACTCAGCACTTCATCGCAGTTTCATTCTTGAAATCTGTAAACATCGAAATCCCATTCAGCAATGGCAACCCGGATCCATTGGGTAAAGTCATCATCGTACATCTGAAAGAACCGAAAGGCTGTACAGTACTGATACTGTCGCGAGTTTTCCTTACTTCCAGTCTAATCAGTTATTGAAACAGGAGGAAAGGGGAACATTACCTCTGTATATCCTTATTTGAGCTTCAGTCTCAGCGCGTACATCAATTGAACCAAGATGGCTCTATTTAGCTCCACGCAGCGTGTGGTACTGATTGCTACGGCTCTTCGCCTGGTCATGCTCGTCTATGGTGGCTGGCAGGATGCCAACTCTGCCATGAAATACACCGACATTGACTATATGGTGTTCACGGATGCAGCGCGCTACGTCTCGAAGGGTGAATCTCCATATGCACGAGATACTTATCGCTATACACCCCTTTTGTCCTGGATTCTAGTCCCTACAGCTTGGGAGGGACCTTGGTCATCGCTGACTTTTGCTTTCGGCAAAATCCTTTTCGCCTTGGCTGATGTCTTTGCCGGATGGTTGGTCGTGCAGCTCCTAACTCAAAGCTATAAGCTCCCCACCGAGCAGGCATTGCGTTATGTGGCGACTGCCTGGTTGTGGAATCCGATGGTTGCAAACATTAGCACTCGTGGTAGTTCCGAGGGTCTGCTCGGTGTACTTGTAGCAGCCTTGTTGTGGGCCACTCTGGCCCGCAGAGCAGTCCTAGCGGGTTTTATCCTAGGTATTGCTGTGCATTTCAAGATTTACCCGTTTATCTACGGGGTCTCGATTCTGTGGTGGTGGGATGCTGAAAGGGACGGTGCTTCTCCACCCAGCAAGTCTGATGTCATCTCAACAGTCGTGCACTTTATTACCATTTCTCGAGCCAAACTAGTAATTACAGCACTCGCCACTTTTTCTGCATTGAATTTGGTCATGTATACACAGTACAGAATGCCGTTCCTCCAGCACACCTTTTTCCACCATGTCACCCGCATCGATCATCGCCACAACTTTTCTCCATACAGCACTCTTTTATATCTGACTGCAGCCGGTGGTACCGATTCTCATTTTGAGGCTCTTGCCTTCTTGCCTCAACTTCTTCTTGCGGTGATTGCTATTCCAATAATCCTCGCAAAGAAGAGCCTTACGACCGCCATGCTTGTGCAGACTTTTACCTTTGTTACTTTCAACAAAGTCTGTACCAGCCAAGTATGTCGACTTTCATTTGCTTTAATATCTGACCATTTATACTAAACTCTATCTAGTACTTCCTATGGTACCTTATTCTGCTTCCATTCTACTTGCCTTCATCTTCGCTTATTCAACGGCCTGTATTGGGAATCTCGGCAGCCCTTCTATGGGTACTCGGCCAGGTATGCACCTTAAAACCCCCAGTATCTTCAAGTCTTGATTCTGATGTCGTCCATACAGGCTCTCTGGCTTTCTCAAGGCTACAATCTTGAATTCCTTGGTCTATCTGTGTTTGTACCGGGCTTGTTCCTGGCATCGCTGTCATTTTTTGCTGTCAATGTTTGGATTATCGGCATCATTGTTCGTGATGGAGGCCAGAGTTTGGAGGTAAATGCTAAATAGTAGGTTCAAATAGACAGATTATCTTCTTAGTGTGTATAGTTTAGAACGAGAATATCTTTTATATCTTTTATATCTTTCAAGTCTAATCATAAAATACTATAGGTAGCTCTAAGTCGGTACCTTTTTATGCAATTTCTACAACGTCCGTGAGAAGCTCCTGAATGATGCTAGGTATTAATTTGGGTATCTAGAATGAAATATGAGAAGCTAAGCGATACTGGACAATATAACTAAAACTAAAAGCAGCGCGGAGGGTAATAAGAGACACAGATGTTAGCGCTTGCGTCTGAAGCGGAATTGAAGCTCTTCTTCGCTATCAGAGTCACGAGACTCCCGAGGCCGTTTCTTTTGTTTGCGAGAAGGCGGCACAGTATCTTGGGAGTCGGTAAGAGCCACTGATGGCTGTGATCGAGATGTAGTAGAAAGTTCGGAGACTTGAGTTTCAGGCACTCTTGACACAGCTCTTGACGCGGCTCTTGACAGAGAAGATTCTTGTCTTTCAGGTGATGCTTGATTACTATTGCTAACCCAATAGTGCTCCCCGATGCCAAAGGACTTGCGAGTGACTGCTTCCAGCGGGACAATCACGCTCTGTACACGCTGACGTTCATGCTGTAGTCCTCCCTTCCGTCTAAATCTCTTATAATTCTTGCGGCCGTTCCATCGCTTGTCCCATCGGTCGGAAATAATATTTTCTTCTCGAACAGGCGGATCCCTGACAGGAATTTCCATCTCCTCAATGATAGCGAGATTCTTCAAGCCTTCAATATCGACATCGTGGGAGAGTCGAGGGTTTTCTTCCGCAAGCCGCTGCTGTTCCTCTTCTTCGCGATGTTTTCGTGCGGCTTCGAGCACATCCAGCTTCACACGTTTCCGCTTTGGTGCCTCGGGTACCACAGTAGGATGATTCTCATGAGGTGTGTCGCCCATTTCCGCACGCCGACGTTTCATTGCTCGTGTACCGGGCAGCAAATCTGCCATTATATCTTCTTCAGTTTCTTCGTTATCATCCTTCGTTGCGAGAGGCTGATTAGCCTGAGATGGCTCGGGCTCGTACTCCATTTGTGAAATAGGGTCATCATTTCCTGGAGTATTATACACTGGAACAGAGTCCATGTCGAAGCCATCATCAAAGGTCTTCATCTTGCTAACGAATTTGCGGGCTCTAGTTCCTTTTGACTTTTGGGTCTCGCGAACCGGTGGAGAAGGTGGTGAGGCAGGATTGCTCGTGATAATACTGGGCTGTTGCTCACTTTCAGCAGTGACAGAAACTTGACTTGATACTTCCTCCCGGGGCAGTCGGCGGCAAAGAGGCGATGCATCATTCCCTAAGATAGCATCCAAAAACTCACTTTGTTCAATTACGCGCTGATCAGTCATTAGTGCAACTTCATTGCCCACCTCAATAGACCAGGACTCGTGTTCACCCTTGGATCGGAAGCGAACGAGTACAACACCACCAGGGCCATCTCGCTCGCCACCAACTCCCTTATGACCAGAAGCTTCTGTCATGAATCGAACGATATCCGCCGCAACAGTCACACCATATTTGACTTCGTAGAATAATGCTTTTCCTTGACCATTGTTGATCGCGGCTTGTAAATTTTCGAACTGAGCGGCATCTCCGAAAACAAACGTGTATTCCTCAAACACATTCACGCGTGAAGAATTGGGAGAAAATGCACCAGCGGGGCGACTGATTGGCTCATTACCGGCAGGTGGAATATATTCATTTGCATCTGGCCATGCAGATTCGAAATCGGTCTCCAATGGAGATAGTCCCGTATGGTTGTCACTGGGCGTTGTGGCATGGACCAACGCGTCGATGAAAGAATAGCAAACGATATACTTGCCGTTGATCAAGGCTTGCAAACCTTTGGCTGTGTTTCGTTTGCTTTGAACCACGTGTGTTGTATGGTCAACAAGGTATGGAATGACGGTCTTAATATCCAAATCTTCCAACCGAGATCGAACTTTGACCAATGGATCTTCTGCTTTCATCTCTTTAGACGAGAAGGAGAAGCTAAGTACCACTGGCTCCCAAGTGATCCTGTGATATCAGTCAATTCAAATTCTACTATAACACGCGAGGGTATAGACATACCGTAGAGGGCCTGGACACCGCCCTACGATCAGCTTGTGGTCATCGCCAATCAGCACCCGCTCGTCTCCCTTCAAAAGATCACCATCCACAGTTGTTCCACATTTCGAGTTCAGGTCGGTCACCGTGAGCTTCGTTCTTGCATGGGTGCGTGTCTAGAATTGGTCAGCCGTCAGTTTTGATAGTATAGTATCACTGGCGATCATAATCATACTCCATCACGAAGTACTACTGGCGACACTTCGATCGTCATATGCTTCCCTGATACTGAAGCGTGGGAAATAGCATGATCAACTAGAGATACGTCAGTTGAAGTCTTGCGCGCCCCGAGACTTTGCACATACCTCCACCCTGAGAAAGCCGACCGAATAGGTACTTTTTGCCCGGACGCAACCATAGGCGCCTCCCTTGAAATTGTAAGTTTAGTCTAGACCGTTTTTAATCATCATAGCTTACCACCGAGGCAATCTCCTGTCGAATCGAGAACCCACATGTTGATGCTCTTGAGTGGAGATAATCGATAAGTGCACTTGTCACAGACGCGTCTTCACGTGACTTGGTGATCAGGCGTCAGTGGCTGCTGCCTGCCACTTTTGCTTCCTTCTCATCATGTCAATCGAACTGCGAACATCGATGTTATAGCAGTGATAATGGCGTCACCAGGTGAGCTGGATGACCAGAACGTACAGGACTCGAAAAGCGACGAAAATAGTGACACGTTGAAATATCAGCTTCTCGGGCCCTCTTTAACAAAAGCGGGCCAGGAATCTGTTGACCAGTCAAAGGTACGACGAAGAGACAAGGCACGAAACCCAAGTCATACAAGGCTAAATATGATTCCATCAGGTCTCTGAAATCATATTTAATGCTTCGAAAGGCTCCAAATTCTTCAACCATGAGCAAGAACGGGATCGCAACTTGACCGTCAAGATCGAACGAATCTTGAAAGAAAAATTTCGACTGGAAAAGACCGACTTGAGCTATGAGCTCCGGCGCGCAGATGAATATTTCACAGAACTAGAGTTGACGCGAGATCTTTCTCAGCATATAGTTCATGTAGACTGTGATGCCTTTTTCGCAGCTGTCGAAGAACTAGACCGACCAGAGTTGAAGACAGTTCCTATGGCCGTCGGAAAAGGCGTGTTGACGACATGCAATTACCTAGCCCGAAAATTTGGAGTTCGAAGTGGCATGGCATCGTTTGTAGCCATGAAGCTATGTCCCCAACTTGTTCTTCTCCCAATGAACTACGAGAAGTATACTGCGAAGGCTCAGGAGATCCGGGCCATCATAGCACGATATGATCCACTATTCCAAAGTGCGAGTATTGACGAGGCATACTTGAACATTACTCCCTACTGTGCTGAAAATGATATGGATCCAGCAGAAGCTGTTCAGCAAATGCGAAGTACAATTTTAAAAACCACTCGGGTCTCAGTATCTGCCGGAATTGCGGCGAATGCGAAATTAGCCAAAATTTCATCAAATCAGAATAAACCAAATGGACAGTTTCAAGTCCCCAATGAACGGAATGCGATCATTGAATTTATGCGAGAGCTACCAGTACGGAAGGTAAACGGAGTTGGTCGTGTCTTTGAACGAGAACTTGATGCCATCGGAATTAAGACCTGCGGGGAGATTTACCTACACCGTGCCCTACTGACTAGGCTTTTTGGTGAGAAAGCATTCCAATTCCTAGCGCAGTGTTATCTCGGACTTGGCCGCACAAAAATTGAGCCAATTGAGGCCCAGGAGAGGAAGAGCATAAGCACAGAAACTACATTTCAAGAAATCGGAGATAAGGAGGCACTCAGGGCCAAGCTTCGCTGGGCAGCAGAGGAATTGGAAAAGGACATGGTCCGAACCCAGTTCAAAGGCCGCACACTCGCGTTGAAAGTGAAGTTGCATACCTTTGAGGTGCTTACCAGACAGACAGCTACTCCGCGTGCAGTCTCCCAAGCCAAGGATTTATACAACTTTTCTTTACCTATTCTGGCTAAATTAGAGCGAGAAATTCCAGGTATGAAGCTTCGACTTCTTGGCTTACGATGCTCAAACCTGATCAGCACCCAGAAGATTGACATTAATTTCTTCGGTGCCGCAGCGGTACCCAAAAAACCCAATTCTATTGTGGCAGTCAAAGACACAGAGCACGATATAAGTGCCGAAGAGGCATTTGAGGCGGCAGCCCAGCAAGAGCTTCAAGAGGAGATGAATGATATGGAACGGCTGAGCCAGGAAGTGACCGATATACCCGATACCCCTGATGCCGCACATACCACCACTGCTGTTTCAGAACCTACACAGTGGGAATGTCCCATCTGTGGTCGGTCACAAGCTGCTGATGACCGAGCCTTCAACTCCCACGTGGATCTCTGTCTTTCACGCCAGACTATCCGGGAGGTGATTCAAGATGAATCAGAGGAAATATCCCAACCCAGCTCCAATACTTTAAGCCGGAAACGAAAGACAGCCTCTCGAGACGACCCAAGACAAAAACGACTTTTTTTCCGGTGACACTACGGCTGCTCTTAATCTTGTCAAAAAATTATGCGTGTCATGATACCTTGCATACGTGATGACGACCTAAACTTGATTTCATTGTCCTATGAATTTCTTGAACTCACCTCATATCCACAAGAGTCGTCAGGAAATACTTAGATCTAATATCCCATCAAGTAAAAATAAATTATACCTTTATACAATATACCGAATCGAGCCGAATATATAGGTATGTAGAGAGAGAGAGAGAGAGAGAGAGAGAGAGAGAGAGAGAGAGAGAGCCCCGTAGGACATTAGACACTACCTTGTCATAGTTTTCTATGTTTTCTTTCGTCTGATCTAGAAGACAGGGACATCATTTGCTCATTAACCGCTCTGACTTATAGGTTGCCCAGGTGGAGAAAAATATGTTGTATTCCAAGATTCTGGTTAAACAAATATTATATAAACTGCGATTGTCAACGAAACCTTCCAAGGTTGGAACTCTTAAAATTTGAGGTATAGTAGTATATTGAAAATATGCAATAAACATTTAAATAAATAAAGGGATTTCAGTAGTATAGTTATGGCCCCTGCTCATCAAGTCACAGGATCCACGATCGGATGATTAGTTCAGATGTCAGTGTTCAAGCTCATAGAAATTGGATGAATCAGTCGAATATTATATGTCCTTAATTACTCCTTACTTGATACTGCCTTTATTCAGATAACTCCTATTCTTACTATTTACTAGTGCGGTGGGCTGAAATCCAGCGGTGTACGGACTAAACCCGTTAACCTAACCTAATTGGATTACTTCCTTCATCTTCACAACCACCTCTCCCGTCATTGATCAGACCACTCAAGGTCTTTTTTTTCGCTTCAGGGAAGATAAGGGCACCAGGGTTCCTGTACTGGTGCCACCATGCTTAGCGCCTGTGGTGCCTAGCAATGCCATCAAATCTTGTATATTCTCCGCAAATATGGATAAATCAAAACAACAACACAAACCATTGACTGCGGCCTTCCATCGTTCAACGAAGGCTACGAATCAGCCTCCGTTGACTCCGAAGCTCGCCAGTCCAAGTCCAGGATACCAAACTCGTCGTCTCGCAAATCACGATCACCCCTATTCTACCCCTTCCAAGGACGACCATGTCTCCACCAACGTAAATTCCACCTTCCTCAGTGCAAACATTACCCCCCGCTCGGGTTCACGTACATTACGACGACGCGATGATCTTTCTAATTCACCAGTACCATCGCCACAAGCCCACTACTCCCATTCCACATACTCTCATCCTGCGGTCGGCCTGGGGCTTCATGCCGCAGGAGGGGTTAATGGCGGGCGCAGAACAGATCGCAGTCCGGCTCGGGGGGAACAGCCAAACAGCATCAGGGCAAAGCCACTCACGGCGGAAGCTCAGCCAGCCTCTCATCCGAACTCCTTCCATGACCTTGCGGCGAATTCAAATCCATCTCCCATGTTCTTCCACGCTTCTGATGCACGGTCGTCCAAGCCGATCCACGCTTCCGATGCACCATCATCCAAGTCGGAAGTCGAACCGTACCGTCTCAAGCAGGGGAGGCTTTCCCCTGCCTTTCACTCTTCACAATTCGTATATGCAAATGGGGATCAAGAGCAGCAATCTTCTCTCGACGAACCCCACCCTATCGTCGCCAGTCGTCGTCTAAGCGGTACTCTACCTCGCGGCGGCTCTACACCTATCGCTAGACCCGCCGCTTCTCCTTCACTTCGCTTGAGGTCTCCTCAAATATCAGCTGCTGCATCTCCCATTGAAAGAAGCCAGCTCAGTCCACTCGTAGATCATACTCACGATACTACTCTCCACCGCTTTAGCTCTCCCCCAAGCAATGTATCCGATTCATCCGATCAACCGTCTATCAGTCAACACAGAAAGTCATCCAGCGTGGATTTTTCCGCTCAACCCCACACTCCTAGTCCTCTTATTGCATCCCATAATCTCCATGTTGACAGTACATTACCCCCGACATCCGATCAGGCTCCAAGGCTTCGCCCTCGTGTCTTCAGCAACAGTTCCTCCTTAAATGGCTCATCTACGTCGACAGACGCATTGCCGTCGATGCCAATGAGCCCCGGGAAACCTGAAGGACCAGGTGGTGACACGGCCCTGAATAATGCGCGGACCGAGCGCCGGATCTTGGATCTGGAGATCAGCAATTCCTCTCTCCTCGCTATCAACCGAACGCTGGAGCGAGAAATGCGGAAACAGAATGCAGAAATACGAAGATATCGACGTCTTAGTCGTTCAGGCCGGATATCAATGGTCCCTTCACCACGCTCATTCTCTGGCGCAGCTCTGTCCGTCACGAGTGAACTGGAAGGTGTTAGTGAATGTTCATCGGTCCATGAGGCATCCGAATTTAGCGACGAAGACTCCGTTCTTGATGATCGGGTACACAGTCCTGATTCTCTTGCGGAACATGATGCTAAACATCAAGCCCACGATGAGAAGAAATTTATGCTTGATCTCGCCCGGCACCAAGAGCTGCTGATTGATAGCCAAAAACTGAACCAGAGTCTCAAAAGATGCCTTGGCTGGACTGAAGAGCTCATCAAAGAGGGCCAAAAGGCACTCGAGTACAGCGTTCAAGTCCAAGATGTCGTCCTAGGCGGACGAGTTTTGGCGCCAGAGGAGCTCCCGGAGACAAACGAGGCACGTAAAGGCCTACTCAGTCCATCTACTCAATATTCCGACTATTCCGACTACACATCTCACCCGAATAACTCGGATGATAATGATACTGACCCATCTACACTCCCTCTACCATCGTCCCCCGGTGGGACTGTTTAATCATCTGATATCCACGTTCGCTTGTATCAATTTGCAAAATACCCCCTTTTGTCATCCATTTTCGCATGTACTTCTACAGCTTGTACCCTGTATGTATCCGGTCTTGGTCTTTCATTCATTGCGGGTTCTCCCATACCAGAAATACTTCTTGATGACTTTATTACGTTGATCTGTTCCAGTTATCATTGGTGATATATTGGTTCACATCTGAAAACCTGGCCACTCTACTCGTGATATTAAGTGTGATAGATACCCGAAGTACGATCTTTTACTTGTTGACGGCTCCATAGCCCTCGCTGACATGCTTAATATTTGACATTTGAAATCTAAACAACAGCTATCTTTATCAAAGACCACTGGTTGTGTATTTCTTATTTGAACTGCGGAACAGAAACTTCCTAGGCGCTTAGTTGAAAATCTCTCCAGCCAAAGTGCTGTAAATATGACAAGGCAATCTTCGTATACGTATACGATAATGCCTAGAAGGTTGAAACATCCAGATTTCAATGTTTCAATGTTTTGACTCAAAAGTACGACGTAAGATTGCCTTTCATGGAATCAAAATTAATCAGGGTCTATGATCCTCCCAAGGTTTAATCAATACGATCTAAGCTCTATTCTGGTCTCGATAGCCGAAACCGAAGTCCAGACTCCACAAGCGGGAGCTAGCGCTGACGATCCCGCCTTGGACCATGTTTGGCAGTACAAATACATTAGTTAGGGCTATAGGTCATTCCTCGACTGACCTACGATGTGGGTATCTTTACTTATTCAAGTTTGTTGAAAATGTACCTCGATAGTAGGCTCTGGATCCGAGACAACCTTGGACATAGATCTACTTCTGCTGAGATCCATACTAATCACCCTTGGATCTCTGACTTTGACTTCCATCTATTTTCCAAATACTGAGTGGACTGGTCACATTTTCTAAACTTATTATTTCAGAAACGAACCCTGCAGGAAAATAATCCTTTTTCGTATTCAAATGGTCCTGATCATAGAGACATATAGCTTTTAGCTCTACTTGCCTTGATAACTCTAGTGCTGTAGGCTAAAATGCCACTTCTCGCTTACTTTATACAAATCAAGTGCATGGTAAGCGCTAGTTCATCGTGCCTCGTATCGAGCACGAGTGGTTGGATGCAGATTTAGTGGCTCCGTGTGCCTTCTTTTTGAATTAGCTCTATTCAGCTAGTGCGTTTTCATTTGCATTACTTAAATTTTCCCCATGTTGATGTGAATAAAGAGGCAAGGGATTCCCCGTGGAGAACATCTGGATTGTTTTTCCCTTCAGTTCATTAGTTCCTTTCTCTATTGACCTACGACGTAGGTATCTGTACGAATCACGACCACAGTCACGCTTAGAATTCCATCATGTTACCACTTCACATTGCCCTCTATACCGTCCTATCGACGGCACTAGCTTTTGCCGCTGTCGAGTTGGGATTGTGCGCCTTTATAGCTTGGGCCTATTCTGGCTACATTGAGGAGGACTACTACAGCTATGCCCTGGGTGAATATGTGACCGACACTGTCAAAGTCCATCCACCAGCTATCATAGATTTTATGCTATTCGCCGGCTCCTGGACTATTATAGTTTCTGCCGTTGCACTGCTGCTGCCATGGTTTTATGCGCGCAGGGGTGCTGTTAGCGCTAAGCTGAACCGCACTGTTGGCATTATCCTTGCTGTCGTGTATTTTGTTACTATGGTTTTCTGGCTGGCTGCCTTTGCCGACCTTGCCAACGTGACTTTGGGATATTATGTCAACGCCTACTTTGACGCTATGCTTGCGTTTGCCGTCTTGCTTTGGTATGAACCAATAACCACTATACCTTGTGTTTCTTACTCTCCAGTGGCTAACTTATGTATCTAATCGTAGGATTACTTTCATCGGCCTATTCATCTTGAGCATCCTTGCGCTCTGCGGTGTTCTATACTCTGACTGGGCGGGTTACCAGTCACTGCGCCAACCCCGGGACGATAAAGATGTTGTTCCAGGCTATGGTATGCCAATGCATGAGAACCCTGCTCCTCCACCGCAATTCTCTTCGCATTATGACGCCCCACAATTGCAAGCTGGTGGCCAACACAACGTATCGCACTCGGCCCTGAACTCAGCTCTTGAATATAGTGGTGCAAGCGCTCATAATTTACAGGCTAGTCATGCGTGAGCAAGCTGCTAGTGAGAATTTGAGTTACTTTCAGGCTGCGTGTGTTGCGCAGGATGCGATGATGGTCTAGTAGTGGACAAGACAATATGGAGATGAATGGATACCCCGGGTCAGCCAAATATATAAATATGAATGCGAGGTGTTTTATCGAGAGCGCAGTGCTTTAATCAATGATTCTTGTTATGTTTTTTTTTCTTAAATATGTTATTGCTTTATGGACTCAGATGGTCTGAAGTAAAAAAAAAAAAAAAAAAGAAAGGCTGTGGCTTTATTGTATGACATCACCCTTTGTTATTCTTCTTACCATACGAGTCGCTAAAAAACCGCACAAAAAGCAATAGCAAAGGAAAGACATAGACAGTGGTCAATAATATGGTGAAGGCTTCTCCGCTGTCGCTTAGACAAGAGACTTCCCGACCACTATGACCCAAGGCAGAGCCTACTACCGGCGAGACATTCTGCTCAATCGGTATATGCGAGCCAGCCGCCACAATATTCACAATAGTTCCATTCATCGTATCTGAGGGCTCGTTATACTTCACGAAAAGATAGCCATAACCCCAGAAAAAGCCCGTCACAAACTGAGCAATTTGTAGCCTCGTCAAAGAGCGTTTAATACTCATTGGTATTGAGACTCCAAAGGATTGAACCGTGAAATAAGAGTACTAAGGGACAACATTTAGTTAGTCAATATATCATTAGGGTCGAGTATAGGGATATACCATTAGCGTATGAATGCCAGAGTTCAATACAATCCCAACTAGATATGCTGGAGACTCATATCTGAGCGAAGCCCACCCACATATGATAACACCAGCATGGTGGTAGGTTTGCAATAGAGAACTCTTTTTCCCGCGGGCGAGAATCACTATCGTGTCCACGAATTCGTAGAACTTGGACATGTAGAATATCCATCCGATATAAGCAGCTCCTTCTTCCCACAGTGTTTGAGTATTTGCGCGCAGCAGAACTAGGGACATTGTCAACTATAGAAAGTTTCAGGTTGCTACTTCAATGCTTTACCCACCACTAGTTGCTTTTGAATCAGTTCCACAGATTACTTCCGCTATGTGTGTGTAGTAATTGAACCCTTCCCTTGGCCAACAGTTGTTCAGTGCGTGGAAGATCCCATAGAAAGTCCAAGCAGAGAACAATGCAAGCAATGCATTATGGAGTACCACCAGCCTCCGAAACGTGGATGTTCTGCTGAAAGCCCAAGGTCTGTACTGTCGGCTTTCGTTGAATCGATTGAGGAGGAGGACTGCAGTGATATAAAGCACACCTAATGTTAGAGGAAAGTGGAGTTCGAGGGACAGATGAAAGATTGTTGGATTGATGGAGATAGGTCGAAGAAGCCTTGAGGTTGTCGTGATTGTTGGGGGAAAAGTCGCGGTCTTTTGTGGTTGAATGGGAGGGAAATGGAACAGATGTAATGGAGGTAAGCCCAGTTGAATTGTACTTGCAAATGTAGTGTCGTTCATAATGATGGAAGGTATGAGAGAATAAGAGTAGGGAACACGAAGAAAAGTTGTTAGGAGAACTTTCTAAGGTTGGAAGATTTAAATAATCCTATATTCACCCGTGGACTTGATTAGTTATCGCAGGTATCAATAAGTGGTGATGAAAAATAGTAAAAATTGTGGAGAACCTTGGAAGAGGCTCTCCTACGAGGCTCAAGAATAGCGTGGGGTTTCTACATCAGATACTACATTCGTGTTCTGTACCTAGATCCACCGATATTCATGGAACCCCTGGAAACTGCTGCAAGGGATGGAATTGATTATTTGTGACCATATGTACTCGTAAGTATCAAAAATGAAATAAACTATAGAAATAAAGTTTGTTTACAGCTATCAGCTGATCTTTTCCGATATATCAATCGATTAACGCAAAACCGATATTTGACGACACTATTGAGTTGTGAGGACCCATAACAAGGGTTACCCAGTTACAGAACCACATCCAAGGGCTCCCTATCCAAACCCTGAATGTGTGCCCGAACTGCAGTTGTCGATCAATAGACCGAGAAAGACATATGTCTATTTCCCCATCACACCAGTCACAGGCATGTACTGTGTATTATAAATGTGATTGTACCAGTTTGCGTCAGAGTGAGCATCCCGAATCTTTGAAGTGATGAAGAAATCATCAAAAATCCTAAATACTGGTCAGCGGGGTCGGTCATTGTCGACCTCCAGCAGAAATTCCGACAATGCGTCTCGACTTTCATTGGATTGGAATTTGGTGAGTTTTGTACTCGGTTTTCCGTTGGTGGCTCTTGCTAGTCTCTTCTGGATCCCCGTTTACAAAAACACTTTTCTGTTCATGGTGATTTATGGATTTCTACGAGGTCTATGTATTACAGCTGGTAAGAAGAACTACACTTGGAGATGAACGAATCTGACAGAGAACTTAGGGTATCATCGCTTGTGGGCGCACAAATCATACTCAGCCAGCTGGCTTCTCAAGTCCGTACTTGCGGTAGTTGGCGCTGGTGCTGGACAAGGCGCCATCAAGACATGGTGCCGCGATCACCGTGCTCACCATCGCTACGTCGACACCGATCAAGATCCATACAGTGCACAGAAAGGGTTTTTTCACGCGCATATTGGCTGGATCATATTCAAGAAAGATCAAGCATCTGGTATTACTCCCACAGGACGAGTAGACATCAGCGATCTGAAATCTGACCCAATTGTTGAATGGCAACGGCGATACTATTGGCAATTGCTACTCCTCATGGGCTATTTATTGCCCACAATTATTTGTGGATTATTTTGGAACGACTGTCTTGGCGGATTTTTCATCGCAGGCTGCTTGGGAACTTCTGCTGTTCAACAAAGTACTTTCTGCATCAACTCTTTTGCACATTGGATGGGATCACAGCCCTTTCAAACCTCGAAGTCTCCACGCGACAATCTATTCACTGCTTTCCTGACTCTCGGGGAGGGATATCATAATTTCCACCATGAATTTCCCCTAGACTATCGGAATGGGATTCGTTGGTACGACTATGACCCTACCAAGTGGATGATATGGCTATGTGGTCAATTTGGGCTTGCCTCTGATCTCAGACGGTTTCCATACAATGAAATCCAAAAAGGCAGAGTACAAGTAAAGAGGGAAAAATTGAGGCAGGAATCTGACATGGTAGATTGGGGGGTACCTCTTACGGAATTGCCCGTCATGGAATGCGAAGAATACCAACGACAAGCCAGAACAGGGCGTAACTTGATTGTCATCAATGCGGTTGTATATGATGTATCAGGGTTTGTGACTCTACATCCTGGTGGTGCTTCTTTGTTAACGGGTGCGATTGGGAAAGATGCAACAGACATGTTCGAAGGTGGAATATATGGTCATTCAAATGCGGCTAAAAATCTTTTGGATGGAATGAGAGTTGCTGTGATAAGATAACAGAAGACCAAAAACTAATAGCAAGGGTGTTGCAGATCAAAATCGTAAAGAATTTAGTTGTACAGAACAATCCTATTCCCGCCTTCCAATCAAATTTGATTACGTGCAGAACCTTGGAACATTACTTGACACTGATAAGTAAAGTACCTGTTGATGCCAGCTTGAATCTAATCAGAGTGGCAGGCACTAACGATAGGCGGCCCATATAGTAGTTGCCTACTTCAGTAATGACAAATTTCTTGGTCATTTGGGGCTGTTGTTAGAAATATTGATCATAACAACCTCTGCTTCTTCAATCTCTGTGAATTCAATGTCTTCATTGTGTCCTGAATTCATACCTATTCATAGTTTCCAAGGTTAGCATAATGGTTGAGTCTGGGGTAACATTACTTTCAACTTACTTGGCCCTAAGTTATATCTCTTCACGAAAAAGGTCGCTAGCAGGGCAACTCCAGAGCAGGCACACAGTACTGGCCACACCATTCTCAACGAATTTGCATACAACTGCACAAGCTCCGGCTTTCGAGAGTCACCTCTTGGGATCGCTTTCATAGACTGAACCAAAGCTGCTGCACCAGTTCCAAGTTTTTTTGTCAGCGCGGCCAGATCGGGCTTGTCTTTCATTTTTCTTTTGAAGATATTATCAAAGGTTGTTCCTCCGACGGCGACACCAATGGATTGGCCCAATGTCCGAAAAAATGCGAAGAATCCAAGGGCATGCGATATCTCGTCGGAAGATCTGTTTGCTTGTATAGCCAAATTTGTGCTCGTGAAAAGCGATCCTGTCCCTAAACCCACAACAAGATTAATGAGTACCCACTCATAAACAGCTGTTTTGGTGTTAAGTAGGTACAATAACCCGACACCAGTCATAGTAAGTATCCAGCCAACCCAGAGAGCGCTATAGTAATACCCAGTAGTAGTGATGAGTATTCCGACAAGACCGGCAGAGATACTGATCGTGAATGTTTCAGGAAGAAGGGCGACACCAGACATGAGGGGCGTATATGACTGTACTGCTTGGTAGTATAGGGGCAGATAGTATAAGATACACCAGACCTGATGAAATTAGTATCTCATAATCGAATTGCAAGGTTGACACGCTAAGGATAACATACCACTAATCCATGCATGAACGCCTGTAAGTAAATTAGTCGGGAATGAGAATCTTGAAAGATGCTTCCTAGCAGAAAAGGATTCCTTGCAATCAATGCTTCATAAACCACAAAAAATATCAATCCCGCTGATCCGACCAATAGGGGTACCAAAGTGTGCCAGCTCGCCCAAGGAAACATTTCTCCGCCCCAGGTGACCGGTATCAAGAAGGTAGCCATTGATGGAATAAAAAGGCCAAACCCAACCCAGTCTATATGTCCCTTTTCACTCTGCATAGTCCGATCCCAATTCAAAGAGATACAGATAAGCGTCAATGAGACAAGAGAAAGAGGTAGGTTTATCGCAAATATCCACCTCCAAGTATCTTATATATGTTAGACTGTTCTAAGGTTCAATTTTCAATGGCGAGTAAATTTATTGACTAACCTTCATGGGCTAGGGCACCGCCTACAATGGGCCCACAAACACACCCTACTGCCCACATCATACTCAAAAGACCAATGAATTTACCGCGCTCTCTCAGCGGCGTCAAATCTGCAATCAGAATCTCTGATAGTGTAAGTAGTCCCCCTCCACCAAAGCCCTGGATTGAGCGAGCAGCAAGAAGGACATTGAAGCCTTGAGAGCCTGTAGCAAGAGCGGAGCCCATCACAAAGAAGATAATTGCAACGATAAACTTGGGGAAAATTAGCAGCTATTAGGTTTCGAGTTTCAATACATCTACAGCGACACTCACGAGTGGTTTGCGCCCAAAATGATGGGATGATATGGCAAATGAAGGCTGAAAGACAGCTGAGCAGAGAAGATAAGCGGTGCCAGACCAAAAGGCTTGGGTATCTGTGCCATGAAACTGGCTGGTAATAATGGGGATGGCATTACTCAAAGATGTAGAGCTGAGCGATACAGTGAGGGAAATTGTCGAGAGGGCGACAATAGTGAGGGCAAAACGTCGGTCGTCCGATAATCTAAAGATTTTTGTCCAATTCATCGTACTATTTGTGCATCAGATCTTTATGCCTTGACTGCCGTTTTCAATTTGACATCGGACAATGTTTTGGACTTTTCACGAAGAATGTTGTTGCACAGTGCTCCATATCCCTAGCTCACACCCGCGGACTCAAACTCTGACAAATATGACACTTCACATTTATGAGATCTAAAGAGCTAAGGATCAGCCACTATTGTAATATAGAAGTGGGTCGTATATAAATTTGAAAAGCGTACCTAGGTAAGTATGTAATTTTGACCTGTATGATCGTCCTTTTTTGATGAGCTTGGACATAGTTTGAAGACAGAACACCTACAAATTATTCCGAGGTCAATAGATGACCTGGAGTGCTCATGCATGATTGAAATTTAAATTAGGTCTCCTCCCAATTTTATCCCATCTGCAGACATCTATTCCGCACTGTTAGGTTCGAAATGTTGTTGCTGTGTGTTGGTTTTCTGGCCATTTTATACGTAAGTCCTTAGTCCAATATTGTCCCATAGCTTCCAAGGCTAGCTTCTTCTACTTGCTCTGAAACTGTTAGGTTTTTTATACAATTATCTTCAGGCTTCTTTTCCATCCGCTGGCCAAATATCCGGGGCCGTGGCAAGCCGCCATTACAGACTGGTATGCCGCATTTTATGTCTGGAGAGGCAATTCACATGTTATGCTGTTGGAAACACACCAAAAATATGGTAAGAGAGATTTTCTCTAAATTGGTACTTGATGTTGACAAGTGATCAGGCGATATTGTGCGATTTGGACCAAATTCTCTTTCTTTGAATTCCCACACGGGATTGGCCGCTATCTATTCGAGAACAGCCAATGTCCGAAAGGATGATGCTTATGTGGTCATGAGCGCCAGCCTACATGCCCCTAACACTATCAGCTGTATCGACAAGCAGGCTCATGCGTTCAAAAAACGGATCCTAACTCAAGTTTTCACACACGCCGCCTTGAAAGGAGTCGAGGATCGGATACTGTTCCACGTAAGAAGGTTCTGCGATAAAATTGCGCCTGACGACAAGTCCAATGAGACCAAGAAGAACTGGGGACATATCAAAGATATGGCGGCTCTTTCTGATTATGTGGCTTTTGATATCATCAGCGATCTATGCTACGGCAAGAGTTTCGATATGCTTCGATCGAAAAAATTTCGGTCATTTACCAAGATCACAACCACGCTTAGCCGTCGAAATGCAGTGGTAAGTAATTTGTTAGCAGATCATGAACTTGATCTGACATGATTCCAGTGCTTTGTTCAATCGAAACTGTGGCGTTTCAAGCTCGACCGTATATTCTTTGCGAACCTTCTTTCTCATATCAAGGAATTTGGGGCTTGGATCAGACAGCAAGCTAAGGCTCGTACTGAGCTGGGGAATAATGTTTCCCAAAAGGACTGCTTTCACTACATGCTGAATGCTCGAGATCCTAATACTGGCGAGCCATTCACGGAGAGGGAATTATGGACAGAGTCGCTACAGTTGATAGTCGCTGGTATGCCAATTCTGTTCTTTGCTTTTTTTTTTTGAACGATCTCTGATACTTTGATAGGATCTGACACCATTGCGGTTGCTTTAAGTGCCACTCTGTTTCATCTTGCTCACAATCACGAAGCATTGAACAAACTTACAAGAGAGATCCGTTCTAGCTTCAATAGCGTGGAGGATATACTTATGGGAAACAGACTCAACTCATGCAAATTCCTCCGCGCAAGTATCACTGAGTCCCTACGTATGTCACCTCCCTTTGCAGGAATCCCAACTCGTCGTGTGCTAGCGGGTGGCATTGATGTTGATGGCCACCATCTACCCGAAGGAATCATAGTCGGTACACCCATATACACGATTCACCATGAAGAGAGGTACTATCCTCGGCCATTCAAATTTGACCCTGAGAGATGGCTTGAGTTAGAAGATGGTAACGAGGAATCGGTCAGAAATCAAGCCAACAACATCAAGCTAGCAACTACCGCATTTTGCCCATTCAGTATTGGACCCAGAACATGTGTTGCTAAGAACATGGCTTGGGTGGAGCTGTCTCTCATAATTGCGCGACTAGTCTTCCAATATGATATGCGTCTACCACCAGAGCACTTTGTCAAAAAGCCACAATGCTGTGGCTCTGTCAACAACGGTTTTGAGAGAAGTCCGGAATACAAGTTGAAGGCCTGGATAGCTTCTGGGCGCGAGGGGCCCTCAATTCAATTTCGGAGAAGCGACTTATCATAGTCAAATAGATTGATCAAGTTATCAAACAGAACCTGAAACGGGACGAAATCCATGGATGGATATCGAGGCCCAAATATCAAATCAAAAGGCATGTGAAATCTATGGGCAGAACTATCCATTCTCCATTGGAAGGTTCAACAAGCGATGAAAAAGGAAACGGGACGAACATGAGATCTTGATACCATGATTTTATCTTGGGATCAAAGGAAACTAGAAAAGAGGGAACACAAAGTGAATATCTGAATTGAACATGCAGGCTTAATGGAAACATTGAAACAATTATTAAGATGAAGGAAAGACGGCTAAGCAGAGGCAGAAGCATGAGTTGATGCCTCTTCTGAAGCCTCGTGCAAGTGCTCGTGGCTATGTTTCTTCTTATCCTTCTTCTTCTTGTCATCCTTGCCCTTCTTTTGCATCGCTTCGGTCATCAACTGTTCAAAGGCCATGTAGTCACCCTCTTCCTCGGGATCACGCGCGGCCTAAAGAGTGTCAGTATATAATCAAAGTAGTATAATGGTGCACAACATACCTTGAGGTAGATGTTACCGGCAAGAACTAGCGCATGAGCACGTTCTACACGTTTGTCGAGGCGAATGCGCTTGTCGCCTAGAACTGTGTCACAGACCTCGCGCAGGACGCTCTGGATCTCAAACTTGCTTCCACGCCATGCCGCTGCAAGGATCTTGCCAGTGACTTTCTTTTCGTACTCAGCCTTTTTCTCATCAGTCCAATCCTCGCCTCCGCGTTCTTCCAACTTAGCCATCTCTTCCATGGTCATCTGCGCATCGATGGCAGTCGAGATAGTGGTCCAAGTCTCCTTGGCCAGGGTACCCTTATCCTTCAGGCGAGAGAAGAAGCCGGATATACCAAGGAACTTTTGGGACTTGAGGAAAGAGGTACCCTTTTGCACATATGTGGCACCAACTGCATGCAAAATCTCTAATCCGAATGACTCCATCTTCAGATTCTCGACTTCAAGGCGAATTTTCTCCTCGAAAGCGTGAGTCACATCCTTGGTCTTGTCGGTTTCGGTCCACACACTAAGACGGTCAACAAGCTTGTTAACCAGAGTGCTGATACGTTCCTCGCGAGCCTTTTTCCGCTCCGCCTCAAACGCGGCCAGGCGCTCTTGTTGTTCTTTGGAGAGACCCTTCTTCTTCTCCTTCTTGCGCAATTCCTTCTCTTCTTGCGACAGACCAGCTGCATCCATGCGCGCTTCTTCTTCCGATTTGTCCATAATGGCCTGCTGGCCTAGATGTCGGCGGGGGGTACTGCTACCGGAGGTTGGAGGAGAATGAGCCTTCTCTTTCTCTGTGGATGCCGAAGCACCTGCTGCGGAGTCCTTGGCTGAACTAGCATCGCCAGTAGCGGCTTTTACCTCCTCGTCATGAATGTTGAGCTTTTCGGCTGCAGCTTCTGCTAGCTCTTCTTCCTCCATCTCTTGCATAGTGATATCCATCGTCGCGGTCAAGTCTTTCATGAGCGAGATTTCTCCGATAAGATCGACAAAGGCCTCGCCGCCAAAGATCATACTGAAAAACTCCGAGGGATCCTCTGCGCACCATGTCAGGAAATTTTGATTCTGCTTGGAAGAATGTATATCGGATGAACGAACCAAAGCCACCACCAGGGACTGCATCTTCTTTGCCAAATTTATCATATCGTTTTCGTAGGTCTTCGTTGCTGAGAACTTGATAAGCCTCGCCGATCTATTTTTGTGGGCATTAGCACAAGGCAACGATATTTAGTTGGTATCCAGACGCGCATACAGCCTGGAATCGTTCATGTGCAGTCTCGTCGCCAGGGTTCTTATCTGAACAGAAAGTCAGTGGCGGTCATATGCGCGAAAAGGAGTTTCATAATATACCCGGGTGAGTGACGATAGCCAACTTGCGGTAGGCTTTCTTGATTTCCAGCTCAGTGGCAGTCGGCGGGACGCCTAGAGCATCGTAGTAGCTGGTGTCTGCAACCATGATGATTATAGACAAACAAATCTACCGGAAATACAGGGTAGAAAGATAAAAAAACACGGCAAGGTTGAAGTCGTGTGTTATTGAGACTCGACTATTATTTTTCCGCAATCCCCGCCATGACGAAAACTCGAGATCACGTGATAGAGTGAGTTCTTTCCCCTTCCTTCCCCCTTTTCGTATTTTCTCCTTTTTATTTTTCCACAACCTCTTTTTCCATAAATCTTTAATTTTCTACGTCTTTTCTTTCACATCTTTCCCTTTTGAGCCTGGGTTGGTTTGTCTCACCTCCTACAAATTCTTTATCACGAGGCACATACACGCATCCTCGCATCTCATCATGGGTTTCATTGGCAATGCTGTCTACTACACCTTCCACCCGGTCGAATTGAGATCGATCCTTCAATGGTTGGTTTGCCTCGAGCTTTCATAAAGATTAAGCTTTAAGCTTATGGGACGCCTCGAGCTAATCGTTTGTTTTTCTCATAGGAAAGTCTGGCACAATCCTGTTCACGAGCGGAAGCCGGAACAGGAAACCGAGACCGAGAAAGCCTGCTTCAAGTACTTGGATTTGACTAGCCGCAGTTTCAGTGCTGTGATCAAAGAACTCCATCCCGAACTTTTGCTCCCCGTGTCTGTATTCTATCTCGCCCTTCGAGGTTTGGACACAATTGAGGACGACACCTCAATCCCATTAGCCACCAAGGAGCCACTCCTTCGCGGCTTCGATAATTTCCTTACCCAAGAGGGCTGGACCTTTGAAGGAAATCGACCTGAGGAGAAGGATCGGGAGTTGCTGGTTCAGTTTCACAATGTGATTACTGAGTTCATGAAGCTCAAGCCTTCATACCAGGCCATTATTAAGGACATAACAAATAAGATGGGCAACGGTATGGCCGACTACTGCCGCAAGGCTGAGACCGATGATGCGAGCGTCAAGACTATTGAGGAATATGATCTGTACTGCTACTATGTCGCTGGTCTCGTCGGCGAGGGTCTTACTCGGCTCTTTGTTGAGGCAGAGTTTGGTAAGCCCGCCCTCCTCGAACACCCGAACCTTATGAAGTCCATGGGTCTGTTTCTACAGAAGACCAATATCATCCGGGATATCCGAGAGGACTTCGACGATAAGCGTCGTTTCTGGCCCAAGGAAATCTGGTCCAAGCACGTCTACAACTTCGAAGATCTTTTCAAGATCGAACATCGTGAGGCTGCATTGAACTGCAATTCCGAGATGATTCTCAACGCCCTAGAGCACGTTCCGGAATGTTTGTACTACCTGGCGGGTATGCGCGAGCAGAGTGTGTTCAACTTTGGTGCTATTCCCCAGGCTATGGCTATTGCCACTCTAGAGCGTTGCTTCCGCAATTACGATATGTTTGAACGCAATGTCAAGATCACGAAGGGTGAGGCCTGTGGGCTCATGATTCAGTCCACACAGAACCTCCGTGTTCTGTGTGACACTTTCCGCAAGATGGCTCGTCAGATCCACAAGAAGAATACTCCTCGGGACCCTAACTTCCTCAAGATCACTATCATTTGTGGAAAGGTAAAAAAGATCCATTTATGTCCTTATATTTACGTTTTACTGACTTGTATTATGCAGATTGAACAATTGGTTGAGAGCATTTTCCCCACTCAAAAGGCTGAGGATGCCCAGCATCGTGTTGCTGGTGTGCTTTCGGCCGAGCAGGCTCAAAAGAGAAAGGAAGATGCAGAGAACCACTCTGATGTCTTGCTCATGATGGCCATCATGGGAGCCATGGTTTTCATTGTAGCTAGTGTTATGGTATGTTTCCTTATACGTCGTCTTCCACAAACTTAACTAACTGGCTTTTAGATGGGCTTTGCTTGGTGGTTTGGTGCTCGCTTTGATTTGGCCTGGGAAGAGATCAAGTCGGGCAACTTGCGGCCTCCGGCCAAAGAATCCATGCAACTGGAGCTGTGATTTACAGTTTGATTTTTCGACGGCGTCACGACCTTTATTGCCTAACTAATATTCAATATTCCCCAGTACATCGATGGCCCCTTGTTTTATTATATACACCTGTTCATTTTAACCGGGCCATCGATGTGTACTGATAGTAATTTTACTTTTCACATCCTCGCTTTTCGTTACTGACCTAGTGATACATTGGAAGTTCATCATATTACTGTTCATAGCACGGATGTCAAATTACGATCCGGCCCTTTCATGGCCGCGGTCGCGCCGAAGAAGTGCTTATATCGATCGGGATTTATATCTCTTTAACCAGTGAGTACTAGATTTATGTCCAGCGGGGTTTGCCCCGAGATGGCATACATCCATTGAAGATCTGGGACATGCCATTATTGTATAAAATCTTCTATAACCGCAAATGCATTAGCTTCAATTAATCTTTCATCTTCTAGCAAATGTCCATTTTAAGAGCAATATTTGAGGTGTAGTATTACCCCTAAACGTGGTCCACTTTTTCCTCCGGCCCGCAGAGTCTGCGCTTAATCAGAAATTTATAATCCTTGAACTATTATATGTCCTCCCTTCAATAAGTTTTTTCTCTTCCTCACTCTTATCATCTCAATCAAATCGGCACTTGATTATGACAATTGCCGTCTCATGCACTACTTGAGATTGGCGCCTCCGCCATTTTTCAGGGCTTCTCTCCCTGTTTCTTTTTACGCTTCCATTAGCTCTTCAAAGTGCGCAAGCAAAGCTTTTTTGTCTGCCCGTCTGTATTCCACCTCAAATTTCTCAAATTCTTTAAACATAATGGGTAGAGATAAAATTTCTTCAGGCTCAGCCTCGGACGAACCACCCAAGCTGTCCCCTGGTGATTTCCGAACATACAATCGCATGTCCGAACAGATGCAGGCATTTGTAAGATCTAGTTTTCGAGATTGATATCATGAACTATCACTAAAAAAAATCGAAGCACAATCACTTCCGTCTTATTTGGAAACAACTCTATGAAGCCTGTTCTGCTACTGGCAAAAATCCAGCGGGGCTTTCAGCGAGACAAATAATCATGACTGGTCTTCAGTTTTGCTCGCAGCTGGATTTTCACCACTCAATTGAAGAGCGACATATTTTCCCGGTCCTTGCGTCGAAAATGCCAGAGTTCCGTAAGGAACTTGAGCTTCTCTCGCAGCATAAACTGATCCATGCGGGTCTCGAGAGACTTGGGGGGTATCTTGAAAAATGCAAGACTGGAGAGGAAGACATGCGACGTGAAGAGATTAAGCGGTTGATGGATACCTTTGGTGAGGTATTATGGACTCATCTGGACCAAGAGGTGAATACTTTACGTGCTGAACATATGCGCAAGTTCTGGTCTCTTGAGGAGATGCGCCGGCTCCCAATGTGATGTTTTTTCAACTTCATGTATACCTATTATATTCTCGCTACACCCTTTCTTTCGAGCCCTTGAAGGGATTCTCCACAATAGCAAAATCTTGGCAAGTAGCCCCAAGAATATTGATATCGGGATAAATGATCAATTTAGAAACAAATTCTTTCCGGTTTTACGACTCACGAAAGACCATATGGCCTCCATAGGAACCTTGGAAGATCCTAAATTATCCATCGATATTAGATATCTATTTACCATTTTGGAATGAGTGCGCGGAGAAGCTAGAGCTACTTTTACCTAGATAGGCATCTAACATCCTTTAGAAGACTCTCTGAAACCCCTGTTTAACCTGACGCATGTCCAGGTGAGTTCTCCAATTCAGTATAAGCCCGTGAACAGTTTGCCTTTCACTGAGTGTGGCCTAAAAAACAAGGGATCGACATGCGTTACTGTTTTCGGCATATGTTTTTATACAATAAAGCAACCAGAATGAGCGATGATGACCTGTGGAATGCAAGATGGCCAAACCCCCTTCACTGAAATTTCTATTCTTCCGGTCACGTCGCAACCTCACGAGCTCATCGCGTCAAAATCAAGGCCATGAGATTGGAGTATCACAAGCTTGGAATATCACGAGTCCTCATTCCCTATGCGGTTGAGAGACGAATGCAACTTCAAGCATCATGGACAGATACCTAGTATATAGCTTAACAATCCTCTCTCAATTATGGATGACCAAATAGTCATTTAGATACGCTCATCAAGCCACATCTTCATCCCTTGCTGCTATCTCCACACACTCGCAGTTATTATTGCCCAATATGAAGTTCACAGCCTTGACTATCACCTTACTGGCCGGCGGCGCTTTAGCTGCGCCACACTCGGGGCTCGTTGACCGACTCCAAGCACGTGGAGTCTTGTCACACCAGTCGCGGCCCGCTCATCACACCTCCGAAGGTCTTCTAATGAAAGAAGGCTCCGATGCCACTAAAGTTCAGTACAGCAAGAACTGGGCTGGACTTGTGCGTGAAAATCCTCCCGCCAGTAGCACATATACCGCTGTCTCCGCCACCTTTACTGTGCCAAATCCAACTGCCACAGACGACTCCGGCAATCTGCAAGCTGCTTCCGCTTGGGTGGGTATTGACGGTGATACTTATACCAATGCTATTCTGCAAACTGGCATCGATGCCTATATCAGCAATGGTGAAAAGTCCTACGACGCATGGTACGAGTGGTATCCTGACAGTGCAGAAAACTTCGATATCGACTTGACTGCTGGTGATGTGATTGTTGCTCAAGTACGATCCACTTCGCCCAGTAAGGGAGTTTGCATCATTGAGAACCAGTCTTCGGGCCAGAGTGTGACTAAGACGCTGTCGGCACCCTCCACCACGGCCACACTTGGAGGACAGAATGCGGAATGGATTGTTGAAGACTTCAACTCCGGATCCACGATGGTGCCATTTGCAAACTTTGGCAAGATCACTTTTACTGGTGCTCAGGCTGAGGCTGGTGGCAGTGACTACGGTATTCAAGATGCTACTGAGATCTTGGAGATCCAGCAGAACAACAAGGTTCTCACCGATGTGAAGGTTGTGAGCGACAATGAGTTCAGTGTTACTTACAAGTCATGATTTAAATGTGGTCAGACTGTACATAGCCTACCTAGGTGGAATTGTTGATTTGGGGATTGGAGCTAGGAATTCTAAGATCGAAGGTTCGGAGTTATGGTGTCAGTACTTATCCAATTTATTCAGATATAATTGATTTTCTTAAAAATCTGGAATGAAATGGTAGATGTACCTGCAGTATTCCAAGGTTCCCAACGCTCCGGCACAGCATACAATAGTGGGGTATTTAGCTACCTAATACCATTAGTTTGACAGTAAAAGAGGGGTTCTTTTCAATAGTTTGTTTATCAGTGAGTATTATCCCTTTTCTTTCCTCTTGCTCCACAGTGATTTTACGGAAAGAAGTTCAAGTCGACGTACCGATGGGGTGCTCCGTATAACCGACTATAAACCTGGGAGCAGTAAGCTTACTGTGTATTGAGGTACTTACACAGTTGGTAACTTAGTGACATCAAAGTTTCTGACTCATCAGTTCTTACCTCCATGAACCTTGGAACTTGTCAACACATGGGCATGTCAGTCTATATTGAAGCTGCTCACTTTCCAAAAGACACGGAGGCTATTCGTTCTCTATTTTCCGGCTATGCAGAGTCGTTAGGAATCGATCTCGCCTTCCAGGAATTTGACAAGGAGCTTGATTCGCTACCAGGGAAATATGCAGAATCTCAAGGGGGAGCTCTTTTGATAGCACGAGTTCGTAAACCCAACGAAGACTCTGATAGGACCGCTTTTGCCCCTCTTTCAACATCCCACTCGACCAAATTAGCCCCACCATTTCCTGCCGTCGGATGTGTAGCCTTGCGGTCGAACTCGGACAACTGGTGCGAGATGAAACGCCTCTATGTCGTTCCAGAAGCAAGAGGTCTGCGTCTTGGAGATCAATTGGTAGCGGCCATCATTGAAAAGGCGAAACTCTTGGGATATCGGGGAATTCGCTTGGATACATTACCAACAATGACGGCGGCACAAAAGCTTTATCGTCGATATGGACTTGTCAAGATTGAATCCTACTATGACACGCCGATTGAGAATACAGTATTCATGGGATGTGACTTTAATTCAGTTCTCCCTGAACCTCAAGCGAGGGCTTAAATATTCCAATGTTCTAGAATCTGTCGTATTCATCGATCCGCTGCTCATGGTCGCATTTCGCATAAGTCACCGGCTACTTCTTCTCAAATAAATGACGAATCTTGGAAGTCGATGAGTTCTATAGCAAATATACATATTTGTCGGAAACCTTGAGGGGGAAAAAAGGGGATTATGATAGTCAAAGAAAGAAGTGGGGTCAAAGACAGGAAAGGTGTAATACCAGAATAACATGAACCAGTTTCTTTACTTTCTCATTTTCTCCTTTAGATATAGAGTGTGAACACCAATATCTACCTATGTGAATAATATTACGTGGCGTAGGATGCCCTGGTCTGTGGAAGCATCAGACCATGTGGCTTGGACCTAACAACTATTTTGATACGTCATTTAGATCAACCATGGGGAGCTCTCAGGCATTTCGGCCCTAAACCTTCTACTCATATGTAGCAGAAATTCAGTGAGCATATATCCATGGAGTAGCTATTAGGTCGGGTAGCAGTCATTGCTGACCCGTCTAACCCCGCCGTTAGTTTAGTTGTTGAGACTCCACTTCAGAGCTTCCTATCCCCGAATCTCAATATAGTATTGGTTACCATCAGGACGGACAGGAGGGGGTTTGGTCCAACAAAACGATCTGGGACTTTTGCGTTAGAAAAGAAATAAATAAAAAAATAAGAATTAAGCAGAGATAACATACCATAGTTTAAGTTTATTAATCTTAAACTTGGATGACGACCTCACTATTGAATACGACGAACCTTGGAAAGCAGAGACATAGGAATCTAAGTCTGATTTTAGAATGCCAATCAGAATCCGAATATCGATATCATCTTTAGTAGGCTCTCAACCCGAATTCCCCGACCCAAACTTTTATGAATAATTTGGAATGATGATGTTGAGCATTCTGGCCATTCTTGTCTCCACCAGTGCCGTTCTATCGGGCCACTAGGACTTAGGAAGTGTCTGATGTGTTCGAGGCTAGAGTTGATTTGTTGAGACCCAGTACGGAAATATACGGACCTTTTCTTTTTCTTGTCGTTTTCTTCTTCAATATCTTGTATCTCCATTTATAGAGTTAATATCAGATCCTAGGAAAAGAATATCAGATCAGAAGTAGAGATATCAATATTTATTTAGATTGGAATCTACCTAGGTATTAGAATCTATTATCCGTATACTAGTACAGTGAATGGTGGGTCTAATAGCATCATCGATTCAGGGGGTCTAATAGGTTGGCTTCCTTCAAGTCACGAACCCCCTAACTAATCAACCCTTCTAGACTCTATCCGACATAATGGTTGTCAGTGGATCTTTAGCTGGGGCCCAGTTTAGGGTTTTGTAATGTTCTGACTTGCTTCCGACCCATTCATTTGGGTCAGGATCGTGCTCAGCGTCGTATCCCGCAGCCCGTTCAGATAAGTGCCACCTCCAGCTCAACCTCCCTTCCTTTCCTTTCCCTTTCCTTTTTTACTTTCTCGTTCTTTCCCCTTCTTTCCCCATTCTTTTCCTGCAAGCTCAGAATTTCTTCTTGGTATGATTCAATGACTACAGTAGATCCTGGTCCCTATATTTTATTCTTTGATAATGGCGCAACCTCCCCTCCAAGCCCGAGACATCGAAATAGATCACAGTGCCGGCGTATGTGAAACAGACCCTGTTTAATGGTGATCGTTGACTAATAACTCACAGTCTTCAAGCGACTTTGACACCATCGGGAGTGATCTGACCTCTTTGTCCGAATCAGTCTACTCTTATGTTTATGAAAATGGTCGCACATATCATTCTTACAGATCGGGATCATATGTATGTTCATTCAGCTCTGGAATACAACATCCTAATTGTAAAATGGGCCAAATTCCTGAAACTGGCTTTAGATACTACCCAACGATGAACGAGAGCAAGGTATGATTCGTATTTTGACCCTTTTAACCGTTTAAAGCTCTCGTGTCATTATATGAACATACCTATTTTGTAGAACGATTGAACCTCTTCCATCATTGTGTTCGGCTATGTCTCGACGGAGAATTATGTTTTACCCATCTTGAAAATCCTCAAAGTGTACTCGATATCGGCACTGGAACAGGTATTTGGGCTATCGAATGTCAGTGATGGATGCAATCCCTCATCTCATTTTGGAACCATAGCATCTCACTCATCACAGTGGCGGATCAGTTCCCATCAGCAGAAGTGGTAGGGGTAGATCTATCTCCTATTCAACCCAGCTGGTCAGCAATATCTATTCCTGAAAGTGTTTATTACCCTCAAAACTAATCAATTTCGATAGGGTCCCTCCAAACTTACGTTTTGTCCTCGATGATGTGAATCAAGAATGGATGTTCCCTTCTGAGTCATTTGACTTTATTCATGTACGAGGTCTAGCAGGCAGTGTAGAGCACTGGCCAACATTTCTCCAGCAATGTAACGTGTGAGTACTGATTCGACTGTCACGGGGTTAAAGGCTTATTTGTTCACTATTCAGTCATCTCAAACCCGGTGGTCGCATTGAGATATCAGATTGCCATCCTTATCTTCTGTGCGACGATGATACCTTGCCAGAAGATAGTTACATACGCCAATGGCATGTAAGTCCGGGAAATGGCAATCTAAGATCATGAAGCAGCCTTCTTACCGTTCTTTCACAGCATGAATATCACCGTATCATCAGGACTCAGGGTAGAGAATGGGATATTATACCCCGACTGCCCGCCTTACTGGAAGAAGCATCATTCCAAGATGTGAAGACAACTGAGTATATCTTGCCAAATGGAAGTTGGCCCAAGGATCCAAAACTCAAGGAGATTGGTCGCTTCTTTCGAGCACAATTTGCCGATGGTGCTGTGGAAAGTTATTCTCTTGCTTTGTTCACACGGTATGGAGACTGGAAGCCCATAGAGGTCCAGGTGCTATTAGCCCACCTCCGCTCAGAACTCAAATCGAACAAGATGCACGCATATGGAAAGCTGTTAGTGATGTTGTCGCCCACGTAATGGTGAATACCTACTGACTTGTGGCAGAGCGTTTATTACTGCAGAAAAGCCACTCTGATCCAGATTCAGCATGAGATCTAGATTATCGCCATTTAAAATATCAAATTAATATCAGTCCTAAATCTGGACACAATATTTTCAAAACCACCAACGGAACTTGGCCGGCTTAATGACATACTGGTTACGCCGGTTCGATTCAACCATAGAAATGGGGCCGTCGGGACAATTGAATTGATATTCCATGTCCATGGAGGGGTTATCATTGCAGTGGGACTTAATGACTTCATGACTTACTTGTATTGAGTCACTGGGAATATCAATCTGATTGACCTGTGGACAGATCATTTCCCTAAGAAACTCACATGATAGTTTCTGCCTGAGGCATGAATGATGACTGATCCAAACTATCCAAGCTAAGGATCCAACCTCCGAGTCCATGAAAGCCTTACCTCCTTTAATTTAGTTCCAATACAATGTACAAAGTAAAAAATGGGATCTTCAAGTTTGCGACCAGACCAACCTGATTCATTTCGCATTAAGCGGAAACCAGTATCAAATCCAAACCTGCGGGGAACAGTAGCCGCTCATTCCGCTTTGGTACTTCCACCACCACCGCCGTCTTATACAGAGCTTTATGGCCCTGCATCACAAGGGACTTCTCGGAAAATTATTCCGCAGAGGCCGAGTACCGCTAATCCTTCAAGCTCAACATTAGCCTCGCCAATCTCCACACCAACATCGACTCTGCCGGTGCCGTCTCATTCTCCGACACCAGTCCAAAAGGCATATGGCGAAGCCCGCCACTTTCTTGGAGGCTTGATCAGCCATCCCACTGAGGCTAACAAACATGTCACCATATTGCGCCACTCTCATGGCTTAGTCTTTTATCGAGGCAATTCTACGTCGGTCGCAGTGTCAATATTTGCCGACACCCCCCTGCCGCTAAACCGAACCCTGTGGCTTCAATGCAAGGGCTGGACCGGCAAGACTGGAATGCGTGCCAAGTCACTCTTCCATCTCCGTAATGACTGGATTAATGTTACACCGGCGATAGCATTACGAGCCGACCAAGTGAATCCAGACGATGAACGCGCATGGCAACGCGATATCAAAAAGCTTCGAAAGAACAAAGGGGGCCGTTTCCGAGAATCTCACCAACTACGTGAAACTGCCATAGTCCGTGTCCCCGTGGAAGCTGGGGACGGCTATTTTCAGCTTGTTCTTTGTCAAGGTCTCAAAAAAAGATTCTTGGAAATAGCCCCGTTTTCCGAGTCGCTTCGGTGTCGACAAGTCCCAGCTCCCTTCGAGGTGCCAGTCTCAGCACCTTGCCTCTAGAAGTTGGTGCCCTGGTTGTTAGTCTGTATGCTCAGACGGCGGTTCAAACGGTCATTGCACCCGTTACAGCAGCAATCCAAGCCAAGCTGGACCCTTATAGCCCATCCTGGGTGACACAAACCGCTACCCTATCAGTGTACTCCGCTAGTGGAGTTCAAGACAGACTCGACAGTACTGTCACTGAGCCTAGTTCTTTTAGCCAAGGTGTCTCCCCATTTCCCAGTCAAAAAGGCCCTGATATTACGGAAGGTCCACAGTCGCCATTTCCCATGGCTCTTAAGGCACGTGGGCAACTTAGTCACACGACAATAGCCCATAGTCCAGGCGATACTCCCAATTTGACACTAACTAAAGTCCCAGACTGGGTGCTGGAACAGCTCCGCGGCTATTTTTTCGGCTGGGCACGATTTGATGTTAGTGCTGGCAAAGAAAGCTCAATGAGACCTTGGTGCCCGGCTGTTCTTTCTGTTCGCACATTAGATCCTTTAAGTGCCTCTAGGGTCGATATGTCGTCGCATGTGTCGAAGCGGGTTGTCACACTTCGCTTGTTGGAAGAAGTGCCCTTTCAAACGACCGAGCTTGAAGTCCGCATTATGGGATTTCTCAGGGCAGACGTCCCACCTCCAGCTGGGACTACACATCAAGAGCTGGTAGCTGCACAGGCGGCTGCCTCGGAAGCTGCTTTGCTTGCGGATTCTTACGATGCATCATTGGTAGAGGAAACTCTTTCCCACCCGGCATGGGCTCCAAACCAAGATCTGAAGGAGCTCTCGCGACAAAATACTAGTTGGAAGGACCATACTCGGGAGGTGTGTTCCCGTGGTCAGAAATTAGCGGAGCAGGTTCCCCTCCACCTACTTGGAGTGCGATCGGCGACAGATGAAATGAGAGAGAATCAAGTCACCATGAATGGGTTTTCTATTGTTCGATAGCTAGTCCCAAGCTGGCAGACATGGACCTTCCAGGTTACATATCTACCCACCAACCTTCATAGGTAGCCCTCGAGGTTCAAATGTTTGATTATTTAATATTTCCTGAGGTCCTCGCCCAGATGGATGGTTAACGGGGGTTATGTTACATGTTTTGAATTGATATCCAGACCTAGGTACCTAGGCAATGTTGATTGGAACGCACGATTTCAAGATTTGAATTGTAGATGCCCTGCCCTGAACCTTGGATTTCAGCCCTGCGCAAGCGGACATAGAAGTCTGATCATATTTCAGTTGATATCTTCCCCCCATAAATTTCCTCATTCGGGAAGGCACTGTAGCGAGATATGTGGGGATTCTCTCGGACACCACGCGCCGGGAGGCTTGACCTCGGGAGCGCTGGGGCACATGTACCAGGAATTTGTATCTCCAGACTTTCTTGTCATGTCCGCACTGAATATGCGAACATTTGAATCTCCAGACTTTCTTGTCATGTCCGCACTGAATACGCCAACATTCAAAACTTCCAGCTCACAATTCCATTGTCCATCCATAATTAGTGTCTAGGTAGTTAACCCACACCATTGATGTCCCTGGGCCAAGGCCAGCCATGAGGAATCATGGTTGTATATGGTGCGCCACAATCAAATTGTAGCTAAGTACACTTGGCAACCTCCAGGGCTTGGAAGTTCCAAGTTCACTGACCTCGGAACCATTAGATATATTTCCGTGGTATCCGAATTCTTGCGGTCAAGTTGCCGAGTGTGGGGGTGTCCCTGATAAAGGGTGGATCTGGGAATGCAGATGTTTCTGTTTGAATAAGGCTGTTGGTATCCACGCCCTGATTGTTGATGGTGGTTAGGGGTAGAATATTAGCCAACTGGTGGTAGTTATTAGTCAATTAGCGAGGTTGATGGTTTCAAGTGTTAAGGCTGGCTCTTCCGTTCCAAGGTTGAAGATGAGATACTCCATAAATCTAAAAATTCTCTCATTTGACTCCAACCCCACTTGTTTAGGTGATGGCTTTGATTCGGTTATTTCTTGACCCATAATTCACTTCAAAACCTTGGATTTCACGAAGTTTTCACTTCCGACTCCGTTAGAGTGACATCATCCCTTATCAATTCCATGAAGGTTATCAATACTATCATTGCTCTGTCACTGCTCAACACTCTAATTAAAGTAGAAGATCATCAGAGTATAAAAAGATAAGAATAAAGATGAAATACCTAAATTACCAACTAGAGGTGGATATCGTTTTGCCGCCGAAACACTCCACTTCCGGGTCTTTTGATTCGTAACTTGGGATAAAAAAACTCAGCCATTTTTTACTCCGAGTTCTTAGTCCTTAGTTATTCATACTCAACTATCAAACACTGGTTCAATCCCCACTTCCAACCCTTTTGCCCTCTATTCTCCTTTCATTCTGATTATCCTTTCCATCCTCACCTTCCGTCTTATCTCATATTTCGTCTTTCTAACTTTGATCCCTGATCTATGTAATCTGGCGTCTCATGCAGCACATTATAGATTGCCTCTTTCATCATGGATTCTGTTAATCGCCCATCACGAAGGTCACTCTCTCATACTGAGCTAGAAGATGACTGTGCCAATAACACCCTTGAAGATATGGGCTATAAGCCTGAATTGAAACGTAACCGTTCCATTTGGCAGGTCACTTTCATGTGCTTCATTCTATCATCCGTTCCCTATGGGTTATCTACTACACTTTATTATCCTCTTGCGGCCGGTGGCCCTGTAAGCATCATTTGGGGCTGGGTCCTTGTCTCATTTCTGATCCTCTGTGTCGCAATCTCCCTTGGTGAAATCACATCTGTATACCCCACAGCTGGAGGTGTCTACTACCAAACATTCGTCTTGTCACCACTCTGGTGCCGTCGTGTTGCCTCGTGGATTTGTGGGTGGTCATATGTTGCTGGCAACATCACCATTACTCTAGCTGTCAATTTCGGAACCGCCCTGCTCTTGATCGCCTGCCTCAACGTATTTGAAAAGTCTCCCGGAGTGGGCCTCACCGATGACTTCCAAGCGTATCAGACCTTCCTTGTCTTCCTGGCCCTTACACTTTTGACCCATGCCATATCTGCCTTTGGAAATAAGTGGCTTCCACTGTTGGAAGTACGTTAGGAGTCCCACGTTCTAAAGATACTTGGGAAGATCAATCGCTGACTTTTATTCCACAGACATTTGCCATCTTTTGGACCATTGTCGGCCTGATTTGTATTGTGGTATGCCTCTTGACCATTGCAAAGGAAGGTCGTCGCTCGGGTGCTTGGGTATTTGGCCACTTTGAGCCGCAAGCTGGTTGGCCAGCGGGGTGGTCTTTCTTTATAGGTCTCCTGCAGGCGGCGTACGCCACGTCAGCCACCGGCATGATTATCTCGTATGTTTGATTCTCTCCCCTCTAGTGATTCGGTACTGACAATCAATACGAAATAAAAAGACTCTGCGAGGAAGTACACGACCCCGCGATCATGGTTCCCAAGGCCATGGTTAACACCGTTATTATCAACACCATTGCCGGTCTCATCTTCCTGGTTCCCATCTGTTTCGTACTTCCGGATTTAACAATGTTGGTCAACTTGGCTTCGGGTCAACCCACTCCGGTCATTTTCAAGGCTGCCATTGGTAATTCTGCCGGTGCTTTCTGCCTACTCATTCCCCTTTTGGTTCTGGGAGTTATTTGTGGTGTGGGTTGTGTGACGGCCACTTCGCGTGGCACATGGGCCTTTGCCCGTGATGGAGCTATTCCTGGCTCTAATTGGTGGCGTGTGGTCAACAAACGTTTCGACATTCCCTTGAATGCCCTAGCAATGACAATGGTAGTTGAGATCGCGCTTGGTGCTATTTACTTTGGTTCTACAGCTGCCTATAACGCATTTTCTGGTGTCGGTGTCATTTTCCTGACTGTGAGCTATGCTTGCCCAGTTGCAGTTTCGCTACTCTTCCGTCGCCGGGAAGATATCAAAAATGGCAGTTTCAATTGTGGCATCTTCGGAGTCATTTCTAACTGGGTTGCTCTAGGTACGCCTTTTTTATATTTTCGCTTCCCCTTTGCCCCTGTTTGCTAACATATCCCAATCTATAGGATGGAGTGTCTTTGCCATTCCATTATTCTGCATGCCCACAACTAAGTCAGTCACCAAGGAAAGTATGAATTATGCATCAGTTGTGTTTGTCGGTGTTGTGCTCATATCAGCTGTCTGGTACGCTGTCTGGGGCCACCAGAACTACCGAGGCCCCCCAACCGATGCAGTAGAGCACGACAGCGACGAGTCCACCCATGAAGCGACATCCGATCTCCCACATAAAGTCAAAGTCAATCTTTGATCACGATATCACCGCCATTGCAGCTTGAACCTCTCCCATTTATTCCCAGGGCAGCTTCCAATTCCCCAAGTAACCTTTCGAGTGGTTGGCCCCTCCTTCCCGATGCATCTACCGGATCAGATCAAAATCTCCATACGCACCAACGTAAAAGTGGTTATCTTTGCGCAGCGCGCTTCACTGTAAATAAGCATTAGCTATCTGTCTTGCATGTTATATACCAATATTTACATTTATGCTTAATTTTAGACACTGGACCCCGCAAATATGCTCTTTACAATTTTCAAGTGGACCTTGGACCTTGCCTAGACCTAGGCAGGACTCAAAGGATTAGTTAAATAATCATAGGATGAGATAACGTAGTTCCCGGTCGGTCTATTACTCCATCAAAATTTCGTAAAATTGTAAATTTTAAAACCTAAATTTGACTAAATAACACGATTCTGACACTGATTGATCTTATGCCCTATTTTACCATACCTAGAGCGGGTTGGCTGGCGCCTAGTTTTAGGTATTGTGGACAAATCAGTTTCAGTGGACATATTCTGAGCAGCTTCGCCATCAAATATATGTTTCACTTGACCACCATTCCTACCACCAATATTGTTTTGAATCTCTTCTAAACCCCCTAGACTACCCTTATGAATAGCCTACTTCTAACTAGCTCCCCCCCTTTTCACCTGTTCCTTATTTATCTCTTCTAAATGACCACAGCAATCATGTAAAAAAAAAAAAAAAAAAAAAAAAATTATGATGAACTGTTCGGATCGTGCGATCGTAATGCTTTTGAATCGCCCTTTTAGGTTATGAAATCAAATCAAGTGAAGATTATAGACCTAAATCGACACAAGATTTCAATTTTACCAGGTTTTCGAGCGTCTAAAGAGGGCTAGGATCACTATCGCTCCCTGATGATGATGGTCGATCTGATATCAAAGGAAATGGAGGTAAAGATTCAAGTCGCATATTCAAATTATCTAATACCTGATTCGGGTCTAAAGGGACTAAACCAGTAGCTTTAAAGCTGTTTATTATAATATCCGCTTTAAAAGCTCTACAACGCGCTTTAGTAAAGATATCAAGGAAATCATCTTTATCGATCGAATTGACACCAAATCGCATCTAGTTTAATACTACGGCACCATAAAGTTTCTTCAAAGGCAAAAAGCAGCCTATATCTAAAGGCTGTAAAAGACGTGAAGCATGCGGTGGTATGTAAAGTGCGATGATTGTAACAGGCCAGCGCCTGTCACATAGTTCGTGGCTCCATCACTCCTGTTCTTCGCTCATGTTCTCCATTCATCACGTGCTACCTACACCCTCTTATCATCAAGCGTCTCCTAGCTAGTCTTCAAGCTTAACGAAGACAGTTTGTTGGCACCATCTTGTGGATATAAGCTTAGTCGTAGGCATTCACAAACTTGATCGAATTAAGGCGTAAGATAGCTACCATGACCATTTAATATCAAAAGGCAAAATTTACCTCTTCGATTCCTAATATTAGGAATAAAGTGTATCTTTAGTTAATCGACACTAATCTGATTCTAGGGGTTTGAGCTTCAGCTCTCCTATAATCATGTTTCTGGGAGAGATATGAAAGACAGGTTTTCGCGACGCTTAACAAAGCCTGTTATCTAGTTTTTGCCGATAGAAGGGGAGTTGCCAGAGGTGGTTGAAAAACGCGACCGGAGTAGAAGATTGGCCATATCTCTGAACATAGCGGGGGTAAGAATTACACCTCTCTTATTCATAGAGACTAGCCAATTCTCCATCGATTCTTCTTCAACTTCATCAAACTTATGGCCAGTTGGTCTCATTTCCCATAGATTTGGAGTGCCCTTCATTCTAGCACATAGTGTTGATCTTGGTACGCCAAATGAGCGTGCAGCAGCTGCGACAGAAGAATATCGACCATCTTCTATAGCTTGAATGGCTAACAAGATACGTCCCTCATGCTCTAGTGATTTCTGTCGTTTTTCAGAGCGAATTGGAGGTATACTGTGTTTTTGAAAACATAGAGTTGCTATGAAGACAATTTTATTTAGTGGGGACCGACTGGGAATTTCGTTAGTTATATGAAGTACAAGGTGAAAGAATCTGACACTATCAATTGTGGACAGAAGATGAAACTATTTGTTTGTTTGTAACCGTGCTGACTGATCCTGATATCCCGTTTGCACAGACAAAATATGGAGAGAGAGAGAGAGAAAAAAAAAAAAAAAAAAAGAAATTAAAGATCCAGAAAAAAGGAAAAGGTCTAACAAACATAATTGAAGGTTAAATTTACAGTGATCCTTTCATTTTCATGAAGCGATATCAATTATGGTCCAAAATTAACGTCAGAACAGCCTTGGAAATTGAATATGTGGCGGCGCCACTGACAGAAGGAAAAAAAATAAAATTCCATGGTTACGATTTCGAGAAAGTACGTAATTTAGAGCCAATATCAATGATGACGTATACGGATATGCACGGAGCAAGATATTGGTGCTCTCCAGGCTCCGCATTTCCCCTCAGAGTTTTATTTGAACATTGGGGGAAACCCCGGGCTAAACAACTCACCGGTCGACCCAACAGGAAATAGATTAGGAAACAAATCCGGAGTACCTGGAGTCTTCTGGGGTTCGGATGGGCCGGCTTTTCGGTTCTTATGATTTGATACTCCGCACTGGCCCACTCCTATCCCCCACGTTCATCCTGCTTTTCTTCTCCATACTTCTCCAGAATACCGGAATTCTATTAGTACTTTTTCAATAAAAGATGGAATGAAGCAGTCCAAATGTGGTGCAAAAAGAGATAAACTATATCCAAATACAAAGATGTCACTTTCGGCATGGCTTATAGATCCCGAGCCAAGAAATGTCATCTCGGCCCCGATTTGACCTGCTTATTTTGGCCCGAATATCGCCACTGAAACGTATCCCGTAGTCAGAAGCCGAATCGGCTATCCGTTAGTCTTACAAATCGGGCCTTGGACCTGTTTCGTTCCCCTTTTCTCCCTATTCCCCAGAGTTTACCCGGTGCGTACTAATCGGCTTCGGCCGGTTTCTTTTCTAGTCACCTGGACACCAGACTATATTCGGCTTTTTCCCGAAAGCCCTGACGAAATTACCTGGAGTACGTTCCTCCTCTTTCCGCAATGTCTCTCCACTTGTCCAATCCCCATTCAATCCCCATGGGAAATGAAGGGAGTAGAGTTTTATTTCTCCCAATATCTTTTTCCCGCAGAGGTACAAAAGGACCGTCATCCCCCCTCCCCTTGCTTTGACTTTTCTGTATATTCCCCATGGGCTTTTGACCCTTACAATTCTTAATATACTATTTACAACACCGAGTTCCATTATTTAAACCTTTTTTGCTATTCACTATAACCCAATTGTTTTTTTTAATATACTTCAATTACAATCACCATGGGTGTTGAGTCTACTGCCCAACATGGGGAGACGATCTCCTCGGCCCCCGAGCAGAATTTAACCTATTCTTCTGATGAGAATACTGTCAAGCTGCCTTCTGATGGTGTGGATACTCCTATCCCGCGTCTTACCCTGCGATCCTTCGTCTTGGCTATCTTCGTGTCAATGGGTGGTCTGCTTTTCGGATTCGATACCGGTCAGATCTCTGGTTTCCAAGACATGTCCGACTATCTGCAACGGTTTGGTGTGAACCAAGATGGTACTTACGTCTTCACTGATGTTCGCTCTGGTTTGATCGTCGGTATTTTGTCCATTGGTACTTTGGTCGGCTGCTTGATCGGCGCCCCCGTAGCAGACTGGATTGGCCGCAAGTGGTCTATCACCATGTGGTCCATCGTTCTCATTGTTGGACTCATCGTTCAAATATCCTCTCCTTCCGGTAAATGGTACCAGATGGTTGTCGGCCGAGCCGTCACCGGTCTTGGTGTTGGCGGTTGCTCATTGTTGGTGCCCATGTACATGGGTGAGAGTGCTCCTCGTCATGTTCGTGGTGCTATGATCAGTTGCTACCAGCTCTTCGTCACTCTTGGTATCTTCCTGGCTTACTGCATCAACCTGGGTACCAATACCCTCGAAGGCTCTGAGCAATGGCGTATCACTCTTGGCCTTACCTTCCTGTTTGCTCTGATCCTTGCTGGTGGTATGCCGTTCTTCCCTGAGAGCCCTCGTTTTGAGTTCCGTCATGGACGAGTTGAGTCTTGCCAACGTACTCTTTCTAAGCTCTATGGTGTTCCTGAGAACCATGTCCGCATCCTTGAAGAGATGGAGGAGATTCGAGAACAGCTTGAGGCTGAGAGTGTGGAACAAGTGTGGCATGAATTCATTACTGCACCTCGCATGTTCTACCGTATCTGCTTGGGTATGGGTTTGCAGATGTTGCAACAACTGACTGGCTCCAACTACTTCTTCTACTTCGTAAGTACCGAGCCCTTTACTGTCATATCTTCATAATATACTAATATGTTCTTGTGTAGGGAACCACCATCTTCAAGGGCGCTGGTATCTCCAACAGCTTCATCACCCAGGTTATCCTCGGTACGGTCAACTTTGTTAGCACTTTCGGTGGTCTATACATCATTGAAAACTTTGGCCGTCGCAAGTCCCTCATTACTGGAGCAATTTTCATGTTTGTCATGTTCATGATCTTCGCCTCTCTCGGTCACTTTATGCTGGATATTGAAACCCCCACAAACACCCCAGGTGTTGGTAAGGGTATGATTGTCGTGACATGCTTCTTTATTGCTGCATTTGCCATGACTTGGGGCCCCATGGTCTGGACCATTGTTGCTGAGCTCTTCCCCTCCAAGTACCGTGCGAAGGGTATGGCTTTGTCTACTGCCTCCAACTGGCTCTGGAACTTTCTCCTCAGTTTCTTCACCTCCTTCATTACCAGTGATATTGACTTTGCCTATGGTTATGTCTTCGCTGGTTGCTTGTTCTTCGCAGTATTTGTTGTGTACTTCTTCGTCATCGAGGGCAAGGTAAGCTTTCATACCCAAACTTCCTATCATATATTAATATAGACCACTAACTTGGGGCCTACAGGATCGTACTCTTGAGGAGCTGGACTACATGTACGTGCACAAGGTCGCGCCATGGAAGAGCAGCAGTTATGTCTTCCCTCATAACCAGCAGCAGTGGACTCCAGATGATGCTCGCAAGTCTGAGCAGCAGTACAACCATGCTGAAAATGCATAGTTGAGATCCATGCGTTTTTTGTTTTCCTGTTATGTTCGCATATCTATTGAGCCATATTAGCTATGATGCATGAGTCACGCGATTAAAATGCTTTTGGGCTGGAGTTTGATACTGCTACTATTAGACCGTCTATTGATACCACAAACCTATCCGGAATTTCTGAATTTCTGTCGATAAGAATTTATGAAATTTAGTATTTACTCCTTTGAAAGTCAACGTTGCATATCAATAGTAAATTAGGTAAAACAATAAACCAACTCAAACACGCCATAATAGGCTTAGCGCATGTCCAGGTGGCAATCAGTTGTCTTATGCTGTATCGCTAATTTTGACCCAATACTCCGCATTCAATTGGGTCTAGACCTCTGTTTTTGCCGCCCCAGGAAAACCCCCCAAGGCGGTGTCCAACTTGACTGGAACATGCTCTTTTCCACCGAGCATTCATTGAAATTTATTGCTTAACCCCCCATGAGTTGACCTGGAACGTTGATCGGATGCGCATTCCTATTGCAGCGCAGCTCGCGGTGTTGGTGCTACTTTGTAGTGTAGTGGGCATCGCCGTCCTTGCTGTGGCAACAGTAAGCATCCAATTCCAGGAGAAAATCTTCTACTTCTAACAATAGCAGTGGGTTACAACGTACAACTTTGTTGTAGAGGTCAGGTATGTAATATGAAGGCTTCTAATACTCATTTCCTATTTCTCTGGGGCTTACAGACTCGTCTAGATCACAAGGGCTGGAACTGGTTGCGACCATCAAGGCTAGCCAGATTGCCTCAAACCTCGACCTTTTAGAAGCGACCTGCAAAACTATTTCCACACGTCTTTTAATCCAGTCTGCCCTTAACCGATATTATGATGGCAACTCCTCTGACAGCAACTGGACAAACTCCATCAAGGATCTGCAATCGGCTCTTAGTGGCCGAGGATACCTCAGCCTTTACCAGGCCGTTCTATTTTCAAGAAATGGACAGGGGGGGAAATGGCCGACTGCTAAGTGTGACTAGTGATGCAGCCCCAAATATAACTCTCCCATACACCTACCCGAATGGAAGTGCTGTGACACTTGGGTCAAATGGAATTAGTTATCCGCCATCTCTCTATCCCAACATCACCTACACCCAGTCGACTTCAGACAACAATACGATCCTTGCCCACGTCTTTTCTGATTACCTCCTCGGATTAAACTCAGCCTTATTGTTGGGACCCCTGACAATCAATGAATCGTTTTCTCTTGTCTCTTTGACACTTCCCATTGTCAATAATACTTCCGCCTCAGATCTTCTCGGCTTCTTGACGTACGCAGCCATCCTCTGGGCCATATTTGACAAGGAAATATGCTAATAATGAGCAGTGTCCTCGCTAGTGCCGAAAATTTGCAGAATGTCATCAGCTCTCGCGATGGCTTGGGGGATTCGGCTCAAGTTCTTCTTCTTGGTCCCTCTCGACCCGAGAACGTATTTGCCTCGGATGCTATGCCGTCGACTACGGCATCGACAGCCAAAGAGTCGGGACTCGGCCAAGCGGATGTGCATTACGTCTTTGAATCTACCCCGTTGCCAGATCATTGGAGTTCGCACCGAAATCTCTCGAGTCAGACCTCGTTTGATCTTTCAAAGTACCCTATAGCTTTGAAACTTATGCTCGAATCGGAGGCGAATCAGTACAAAGCATTCAGCGACCTGACCACAAGGAATGAGGAAGGAACAAAGGTCGCGGCGGGCGTGATTCGTCCCCAAAGCACTTTGGTGCAGTGGATTCTGGTAGTGGAGGAGTCACACAAAGTAGCGTTTAGTTCCGTAATCAGATTGCGGAATATCATTCTGGCGTGCGTCTTTGGGACAGCAGGGTTCATCCTTTTAACAATACCTCTGATCACTCACTGGGCCGTTGCGCCGATTCGGAGATTGCGTGAGGCCGCTCAGAAATCGGTGACTCCACCACATATTGCGCCTTCTGACCTCTCTGAAAACACCCACAACTCAGCTGCTATTAATGTCCACAACACAGTCGATGGCACCGAGATGACTACCCATGAAAAGCGTCCCCCAGCTTTTGTCAAGCGACTCTTTAACCCCATGGAATTATTGATTCGCACCAATGAGACAGGCAGCCACCATAACCACAAGGGTTTCCAAATTCCTGGCAGAGTCAAGGAGCGGAGGCATTGTATGACGGATGAGCTCACAGAGCTCACGGCAACTTTCAACGAAATGTCGGATGAGCTGACCATTCACTATACTCGTTTGGAAGAGCGAGTAAAAGAGCGCACTCGCGAGCTTGAGAAAGCAAAGTCGGCCGCCGAAGCCGCCAATGAGAGTAAAACGCTCTTCATTGCCAATATATCTCACGAGCTCAAGACACCTTTGAATGGTATTTTGGGAATGTGTGCCGTTTGCATGGGGGATGATGATATAAATCGAATCAAGAAGTCGCTTCAAGTCGTCTATCAATCAGGGGATCTTCTCCTACACCTACTCAATGATCTGTTGACCTTCAGCAAAAACCAGATTGAACAGACCATTCAGCTGGAAGAAAAGGAGTTCAAGATTGCGGACATTCGGTCTCAACTCGCAATAATTTTCCAGAAGCAGGTCCATGAGAAAAAAATCGATTTCAGCGTGAAATGCGTCTCTGGAGGATCCTCTTCAGTTGGAAAATTAGCATTATGTCAAGATAAAACCTATGAACCTCACCAATTGCCAAGCCTTATGGATATGGTGCTGTGGGGAGATCAACACCGAATCCTGCAGGTGCTAATCAATCTCGTTGGCAACAGTCTAAAATTCACGCCTGAACATGGAAGGGTTCAGGTCCGCATTCGTTGTATCAGAGAAAGCTCCGCTGACAGCATCAAAACAGCAAGAGGCGATGATAAAGAAGACGGGTTCATATGGTCCTCGCGGCGCTCATCGTGGGCGAGGGATTCATCAGATTGGATTGAGAATATTACAGCCACCTCCATCGAGAATCATATGCCTGGTCAGATAAACTCACAGCCGTTGATATTCCAATTTGAAGTCGAGGATAACGGACCTGGAATTCCAGCCAATTCTCATAAGCGCATATTTGAACCCTTTGTTCAAGGAGACCTTGGATTGAACCGCAAGTATGGAGGAACCGGCCTGGGTCTCAGCATATGCGCCCAGCTGTCTCGAATCATGGGCGGAGAAATGTTCCTCAACAGCGAGGAGGGTAGAGGATCGATATTCACGCTGAGAATTCCTTTGAGGTTTATCAAAGAGATGGCATCAAGCTCTCACATTTCCAGTGCACCTGGCTCACGGACTCCGAGTCTTTTCTCTATAGAAGAATTTTCCCACTCGGCCCGTACACCTTCCCGTACACCTTCCCGCACACCTTCCAATAAAGCCACATTGCGAAAAGAGTCAACTCCAACCGGGTTTGATAAATCCGACTTGCCGAGATTGATTGGCTTGAGCCAGCCCTTCTTCACACCTAACGGCCTGTCACCCACGACATCTTCTGCATCACAAACCAGGCAATTTGAATCAAGTGGATCTGAAAAGAAATCAGCTAAACGGATACGCGTTCTGGTCGCCGAGGACAATGCCGTTAATCAAGAGGTGGTTCGACGGTATGTTGGAAATACTTCAAGTTAACCCCTCTTACTAATACTGATTGTTACGTAGAATGCTCGCCCTCGAAGAAGTTTATGATGTAATAATAGTCAAGGATGGACAGGAAGCATTTGATACGGTGAAGTCGAATATGGAAAAGGGCATCATGTTTGATCTTATTTTTATGGATATCCAGGTAAGAAACACACTCCACATTCCAATGTAAAAGCAGAATTTGACCAGTTTTAGATGCCAAACCTGGATGGTCTTCAAAGTACTCGTCTCATTCGTGGAATGGGATATTCAGCCCCGATCGTGGCTCTGAGTGCATTTGCCGAAGAAAGCAACATTAAGGAGTGCATGGATTCGGGAATTGACATGTTCATCAGGTAAGATAATGCTTCTCCTCGATGCACGGGCTCATAAGTGCTGATTAGACTAGTAAACCAATTCGACGACCTGCACTGAAACAGGTTCTCAACAAATTTGCACCAATCCCCGAAGAAAATGAGAATAGCCTCTCTTCATAGTCTTGGATGAAATCTTCATCAGAAATGTACTGCATCCAACCTTGGAAGTATATGAAAGGATGCGGTGATATAAGACTCAAAATATATACATAGCGATTCCATGTTATTAAGGTTACTGTGGATAGTTCGTGCGAAAATCAATTATATGCAAATTAATTAAAATTTATTAAAATTTATTACGCTTCCACATCACATCTTTCAATGACTGGACTTTATGATCTAGTATTATTATATTACAAAGCGCAGAGATTTGATGCTTGCTCAGGTGCGACACATGCGACCAGAATCCTGGACGGCCCAGGCATCACTGCCAACACCCTTGAGAACATAGAAGAAGTTCTTGGGATCCCAATTTTCCTTGACCTTCAACAGAGGGTGATAGTTGTCACCAAAGAAGGTCTCTTTCCAGTGAAGCTGGCGAAAGTTGCCCTCATTCTGGTAGGAGCCACTGCCCGGAGTGACAGCCTCAAGCTGGGGCCCATATTCATGGGTGATCTTCTCCTGGTCAGCAACCATATCACCCCATGGAGCAGTCTCGTTCCATGTACTACCGAACTGCATAGTAACAGCAGCGTTGCGCAGAGCTGGGAACACGGCGTTGTAGACGTTGCCAGGGTTTGAAACATCCATGCCGACACCCACAGCAATGACACCGTTAGTGGTCAGATTGCGGAGCACTTCGGCAAGATCGGTGTATTTATCCTTCAAAGTTTGCCGAGGGATGAGACGGCCACCGTAGTTGTAAGTGCCAACTTCCAGGTTACCGTATGGCAAGGGTCCCATATAATTGTTGTAGTGGTCCTTGTAAGAGTCAAACTGGGTGTAAGAGGCGGAGTAAGCGATGCCAAGGTTTGTAAGCACAGCGAGGAAGGGTGCAAGGATGGGCTCAACTTCCTCCTTGGTTTTGTTGTAGGCGGTGATGGGGTTGATGGCAAAGAAGGCATCGGTCATCTCATAGATAACTGTCACACCTTCGTTGATCATGGCTGGCAGCAAGCGATGGAATTCCGCGACAGCTTCAAAGAAGGTGTCTTGGGAGATGTTGGCCACAGTGAACTCGAGACCAGCGCCGGATGTGACGGTATCCTGGTGAGCCTTGACAGTCATGGAGATGACAACACCGTAGTTACCGGCACCACCTCCGCTGAGGGCCCAGAACAGATCAGAGTTCTCCTCGCGCGAGGCTGTAACGAGCTCTCCGGCGGCAGTGACAACGCTGAACTCCAATGTTTGATCGGCGCCGAGACCGAAAGAAGAGCTGAGGGCAGAGTGACCACCTCCCTGGGTATAGCCACCAGCCAGACCGACAGTAGGGCATTCACCGGTGACAACGACCAGGCCGTGGGCAGTAGCAGCATCCAGAATTTGATAACCCATAGTACCAGCTCCAACCTGGAAGGCAGGACCTGAATAAGCTCCATCGGACCATTCTTTCAGTTCAATATCATTCAGGTAGTGCGTCCACACGGAGAGAGCACCGGCGCCAGTGGAACGACCTAGGTAGCTAGATGAAATTAATGTCATGTAGGAAACCCCCCAATTCATTGAGTGCCACTTACTCATGGCCAGTGTTACGAATAACGAAACGAATGTTCTTCTCCTGGGCAAATTTCACAGCAGCAATGACATCGTCGCTCGAAGAGACATTTACGGCGTAGTCGACGTAATTTCCCAATGTGCACGCTTGGCTTTCGGAGGTAAAGGGGTCGCAGCTCTGGTTGGCAAAGTAAGATTGCATCACTGAGGAGGAGGAGGTGAAACTATTGGAGGGTTAGCACCTGCAAATGCATGACATAATCCAATAGACCATGTAGCAAAGTGACGCCAGGACGACTTACTGAGTCTGCGGGAGGTACCAGTCAGCCTGCAGAGTCGCGCAAGCAGCCTCATCGTAGTTGGGTGCATGGCAAGGGGAACCAATTGGCACAGTCGCAACCAAGCGACCGCCAACAGTGCTGTTCAACGAAGACCAGTCCGAAGTGGAAGGCCAGGAAGGATCTTGAGGCAAGTATAGACAGTTCTTAGCACTAGAGATCGCCGTCGTGGCAAGTGCTACCGACAGCCCAACCTTCATGGTGTGGAGAGAGATTCAATTTGAGGGGAAAAGGGACAATTGGACTCGAGGATATTGATCTACAAAACTTTTCACCCAAAAATACGAATTATGCCGATATTGTTTGTTCTTATGGAATGTGACAATCAATTTGACTTTCTGCGCCTTCCTTAGACGAATCGGCGATATTCCCAAGAATGTTTCATGGGGCGTTTGTAGCGTTGGATTCAGGAACAAAGTGGATTCGGCAGGAGCCCGAATAATGAAAGGCTCGGTATTTAGTAAGATGTGATTCCCGATGGATGGTCAATCTCGGATGGATAAACGAGTTCCATGGATGGCCAAGACTTGCGGCAAATCAGGACAATCTGACATTTCCAGCAACCCCCAGATTCCCAAGGTCGTTGAAAATTCACTGATCCGACACATCTATGGAAATTAGCCCTAACTCCGGTACTTTTACACCCACACTAGCCCTGCAATCGATCTGAAATCGGAATCTAAATCTGCCACGAATCTACTGTTTATTCCGATCGGCATCTTACGACGTGCACAGACCAGACAACCTATTGTTATTTGACAGAAAAACGGCTTATTGAGATGGTTGTATCCACTGTGTTCCACTATTTCGGATATAATCGGCAAATTAGTGACGTTCGTGGATAAGCCCAGTACTTCCAGAATTTGTGCAATAACCCGAGCCTGATATGATTAAAGCCCAATGAACTACATGTAATTGTAGGTTTTCCACAATATGGCCCCCGAAGTTCACCCAAAATTACCTGGTAGGGTCCATTTGGTCTTACAGACGTATCGGGATCTTCCCCACTCTAATCTTATTTTTCTTTTTGAAAGATAATTGATAATCGCGCAATTCTTTTTCATTTTTTCCTGAACAACACTCTTTATTAAAGACGGAGGGTAACTGTTCTCGAACATCCTGGAGCCTTTCTGTCGAACTACTCCACTGTGGTGACTCCGTAGTTCCTGACTATGTCTCACGCTAATCATGGTCCTGCTTTGGAAAAGGGTGTCTGGTTTGCGATTAGCATCTCTACAGTGATCGTCACTCTTCGCGTGTTTGCTAAGTTCAAGATCAATCGCTTCTTCGTAGATGATGTGTTGATGATTGTCGCTCAGGTATGTTCCCTAGACGTCGATATGTGAAGCCCTTGAGCTCCATTGACTTGAGACTCAACTTCAGATACTCGCCATTATTGGATGTGTTTTCTTGACATTGTGTGTTCAAAATGGGTTCGGCCAGAACCTGGAGACTCTACCAGCTCATAATAGAAAGATTGTCTTGCAATATCTCACCGCAGTGCAGGTCCCAGTCGTCACTCTCAGCACTACCATCGCTCGCTCAGCCTTCATCATTTATCTTCTAGGCATACTTGGCACCAACAAAACCATCAGGCTTATGCTATGGGCTATTCTCTTTATTCAGCTGATCGGCAATATCGCCTCTTCTATCCTGCCGTTGGTGATATGTCATGATATACGAATTCTCTGGGAAACTGTGGAAACTACTTGTGGTAATTTGAATTCGGTCATTCAATTTGCCTATTATTCGAACAGTATGTTGGCTTTATGGAAGTGTGGCAATAGTAGTACTTGTATTGACAATTTTGGCAGCTTTCAATTCAGCCACCGATCTCTTTTTGGCCATTTTCCCCACAGTCGTTTTTTGGAATCTCAACTTAAAGCTACAAATCAAGCTTGGTCTCATAGCGCTTCTCAGCTTGGGAGTTGTGTATGTATTCCATATCAATGCTCTCTCATTCCTTGAAGCCTTGCAGCATAATACTGACTGTCTTACAGTGCCATGGTTGCGTCTATAGTTAAAACAACCAAGCTCACAACTCTGCCTAGTCTCACAAATCTCGGTGCCGGTGGTGGAATTGAAATCATCCGCTGGGCATATATCGAAAACGCAGTGATCATCATCACATCGTCAATCCCTTGTATACGCCCACTTGTTATTGCATCCGTGCATAAGATTTCCAGCGCCAAATACTCATACCAACTCAGTGGCCCATTCAGTAGTCGGCGTACTAAGGAAAATACCACTCAGCAGTCCCAGCACTCGCGACGGATCAACATGTCGCACCACTTCGAGGATGGCAGCGTGGAAAGAATCCTCAATCAAAGTTCACATACCAGCACAACAATTGGTGGAAATCCTGACTCACCCCATCAGTTGCCTGCAGACCACCATGGAATCACAAAGCAGGTCGAAATCTCGGTGTTGGCGGACGCGGAATCTGCAAAACATGTTTGAGGGCTTTTCAATTTTCAAAGATACACAAATAATTTCTTACAACTAATTTAACTTCGAAATTCTTCATGCATTCATATTAAGATTTTATCCTGGATTGTATTGACCATCCGAAACTTCAAATACTCCAGGCTGCTTTCCAGATTCACATGAATAGAGCAAGAGACTATTTGGAATTGAGGTTCCACCCCCTCGTAACGATGGCGCTAGTTTTTTTTTGTCAAGACTAGCGAGGAGCAAATATCTTTAAACAAGGTTTCCGAGGCTCCATAGTTTGACCGAACTATAGGTTCCAAGGTTGGCGCCGGAATTCCGCCACTATGGGCTAACTAGTTCACCACAAAACCTGTCAGTCAAACGCCACCGATGCCCACGATCTCTTTCAAAGGTTTAAACGATGGCCTGAAGAAGACGGATAGGAATTGTGATTCTCCCTACGTATGCCAAGCAAAATTTTGTTCTTGTGCATAAGCCTTTTTATGTTTTACAAACAATGGTTTTCTTGATGTTGAAAAGGCCCATGCATACAATGAATATGAAATTCCAATTTCTAAAAGCTACTTATTAGTGGTGAGCTTATTATACGGAGTAGGTGTTAATTATCCTCAAAGTTTCTACCTAGGTGTGCATAAAATTTTTTGTGCAAATGGGGACACTAGCTATGCCCTCAGCACTCATTTTCCTCCTGTTTTCATAAACTCTCCTTCCCCCACTGTCAATTAGAAACGACTCCACTATTCGTGGCGTCATATTCGTGGCGTCAGATGCGGACCCTCGGTGTCTCCGGATTAGGAAGAAAGCCACCGATACGTGCTTCGACTTTTTCCATTTTTACGATAGTTGGTGACACATTAATAGACGTATTTGAGCCGGTGGATGAACTTTGTCCAGGTGCTATCAGAAGGTCACAATTAAAAAACTTTGAATTCTAAGCACGGATACATTTGACCATTCTTCAGAGAGAGGAAGGCATGATTAGTTATGATATTAGAAATTCGCATACAACTTTGTTTGTCCGCTAGTTGATGCTTAGTTAATCCTTTAATGAAGTGATTATTCAAGCTTTTCGAGATAAGAAATTTCTGTTTGGTTTTGTTCAATTCAGTTAGCGTTGAAAAGATTTGTCAGTTGCTTTTTGTCAATTGCTTCTGGGCAGTGACTAAATAGTAGTATAACAAGGTAAAGACGGCTCATGAGTAAACTCGAGCGATACTTCGATATGGGTAAAGCCACCTCAACACACTAGAAGAATCTACTTGACCATTGGAATTGATGCTATCACTTGTTCAGGAATTAATCAGTGAGTGAGCAAAGAATACTTCTAGTAGCCGATAACTATATCCAAGAGCTGGGAAGTTACTCGAGGCGGTGGATAGATATTGACAGCCTATTAAAATTTAAAAAGATTAGAACGAAAATTGTAAAGACGAAAAGGGTAAAGCATGTGGAAATTGTGAAAAGTAACAGGTAATTTCGTTGAAATGCTAATTTCAATGAAAAGGTCTCATGAGCCATTTTGTTCAGTTATTACGAAGTTAAAAACTTTAAGTAGATATGTAAAGATGGGATGAAAGATTCGTTTTGTGATAAGAATTATTCAAATATTGAAAGGATTCCAACCGTTTTCAACCATCTCAACTGCTCTCTTCGTTGCTTCATCCAAGTCCTCCTGGGGAAGACTAAGAACATCATTTGCCAGAGACATGTTTCCTGCATAGTCACTCATAGGATTTTCAGACGAAAAGATGCCTCCATACAAAACTTTGGGAAGGCCTGTAAAAATACCACTCGCTAATTCTTCAGCGCCGTCTTTAAGGCGCTGAGAAACGGGTTCGTATTTGATCTCCCAATCGGAATCCGTGGTTCCCATAATACGATGCAAGCTATCCAGTATATCTCGCTGCGAGATACGGAAGCTATAAATGAGGACATTCCCGTTCTTGAAGTCGACAACGGAGGGCGTTGTGCCTGACTCGGGCAAGCTAAGAAGGGCAGCTAGTGCGCGTCCACACTGGTCCCAGGTGCTGACGGTGACGATACGTTTTCCGTCATCAAAGAAGGTAACCTTTCGGTCTTTGATCGTGAAGCCAAACCACTGTTCACCTATTGCCAGGCTCCATTCATACCAGAAGCCACAGGACAAAGTGATAGAGGATGATACACCATTTTTAGTGTCGTTGATCCGGTCAGTGACCATTTTATCATAGTTGGTGTATTCGTGGATCTCTCCATCCTTGAAGGGATAGCCCCAGCAATTGGGCATGATATACTGTACGCCAGCTTTCCCTGCCGCAGCACAGATGCGTTGGTGAAGGTCTTGCGGGGCACTAACAGCCAAGGCAATGATCAGAAAATCTTGGCCTTTGAGAGCCTTGATGACTGAAGCTTCGTCATCATAGTCGACGACATTTGCCTGAACACCATCAAGAACATTTCCCTGACTGCCTTCGCGTGTCAGGGCACTGACGGTTTGTTTGCCAGTTTGCAAAAGCGCACTTGCAATAGCACTTCCAATCCGGCCGGTAGCCTAGAATTCAGGCTTCGAAGTTAGTCATTCTTGTAAAATACCAAGTACTTTGTTCAAAAAGCTTGAATATCAAGCTTTATCCGGGTAACTTACTCCGACAATAGTAACTTTAGTAAGAGTCTTCGAAGACATGATTGGTAACGATGATACCTCTACTGATAGCTGGTATAAGAAGGTTGAGAAGTTGAGAGATTCAATTCGATTTGGATTCCAATTATTGTTCAATGATTTCATGCTCAATTTATATACGCAGGCTCCGGCATTGGGATTGAAAGTCCCGGAGAATGGGGTTAAGAAAGCGGAATTAAGGGAGGTTAAGCTCCGAGACGCTAACCTTCGCTCGTATTGATTTTCTGCCGTGTGGTTCCTACCTTATTTTGACTCGCCAGAGTCCATACAGTTTGTTTATGGAGTAAAATTGACCTATAAATCCAAAATTTTATTTTCGAAATCACATTATGGAATCAAAGGATGAAAAATTGCTCAATCGAAGAGCCGAGCCCATCCTAGGTAAGTGCGCTTAATGAGATCCAAAAAAGTGTCGAAACGTGACATTTTGCCAAGCTTTTTCAAATTACTAATCTAAATATTACTAATTCAAATGAAGCTCAATTTCTTCAAGTCCAACCAAATGACATTCAATTTTTCTTTAAGTCCAACTACTGCAGGAATACCCCTAGTGGATGCTCATGTTTTCGCTAGGTCTTGGGCATCTTCCGCATATTAAGAACGGTTTTAGCTTCATCAATTAGCTTCTGGGTCTGAGCCCTTTGGCCTTTGATATGCTGAAGCCACTTCTTCGCAAACCTTTCTCCCTGATCATCAAACATTGTTATGGTGTCAAATTGGAATTGGCGCCAAGTTGCTAGCTGAGCTTGAATATCCTCCTTCTCATCCTCATCCTCCTCACTATCTAATGCTGGAGAGGTATCGCCCTCATAGTCCGGTAGCGGAGCAGGCTTACTGCTGCCATCAATCATACTCTGGTTTGAGTTCTAATTGCTTATCCCGCCAGAAAGGACAAGTATTATGGCGGGAAACAGTAAGAAAGAATTGAGGGCTTGGTGTCTCAAAACAATGGATAAACTCATCCCAATCATCGCGCTGAAGAGAACGTTTCTTTGTATTACGATTGAAAAGGCTTTTCCACTTACCTTGCTTATTGATATCAAAATCCTCAATAAGACGGGGTTATGGCATTTCGTGCAAAAAAAAAAAGGGTAGTGGTATCTATGGCGGAGGGTAGAATTCAATGGCGTGTATAGTAAGAGAGAGGTAGATGAGACGCGATTGTAAACGGTTTTTCCGCCAAGACGCGAATTAGTAATGATCACGTGTGCGACACTTTTTGTCAAATGGGTGGTGGTTTAGGCTCGATTGGGCCTAGTTAGCCTGATTTGGCCTGGTTTGTAGGGTTTGCATTACCCACTTTGTATCACTATTTTAGGCGAACTTCATCCCTAGTTTAGTAATTCAGTTTCATTCATTTGTGGCATTTGAATGATTGGCCAGTCTGAACCAGTCGACTTGACACTTTTTTGCAGCTCATTATCTGTGTCATGTGCACACCCGACTCGTAAAAAAAACGAGTCGGGTGTGCACATGACACAGATACCCCCCAATCAGATTCTAGCCTGAGGCAGGTCTTCATGCTTATGTCATTTTATTCCTAGTTTACGGAGCAGTTTCTGAGAGTTTGAGTAGATTAGGATCAATCAGTCAATCAATCAATTATTCATACACTTTCTAGTTGGTCACCCAGCCCCCTAAAAGTCGATGATATGTGTGCATGATGTGTCATCCAGAGTATTATACGCGAGATGGAGACAAAATCTCGGAAATTTTGCAAACAGCAATTATATACCAAGTTGACATGGAGATGGCCATACTTTCAATTGATGGACGATACCATAGACATTGGTGGAAATTGCAGCAGTTCGCTGGACTAACGCGTGATCAACAGGCAATTTCTGCGACGGTCGTGACAAGGTAATCCTAGGCTCAGAATACTTGAAAGTGGCCGATGTAAGGGTTTGAGTCCAATGCGGTTGGGCTACCGTAAACAAGAGAAGAACTATTATGAGAAGGCTACCAGAGGACGGAGGTGTGGGTGTGGTATCCCATAGGGCTCAATTCCACTAGGGTAAATTGGGGACAAGAACAACTCTTGAACTCCTTCAAGAGTCCAAAGACCTCAGAGAGTTAAATACATCAGGAAGTGGCAAATCTCTAACTAGCTTATCCGGGGAACCCCTGCTTCCCTGACAGCTGGTTCAGCCAGCTTATGTAGAGAGTCCATTGCCTCCCTCAGCCTTCTTGCAACCCACGCCGTTACAGCCGATCTCTGGCAATCGTAGCCAACATTGTACTTCTCTCTGCAGAATGAAGGTGTCCATTTCTGTACGGGAATGGCTCTGAATTAAATCATCACGGTACACTTTGTTGGGTATGAAGACGGTTCTTCTCCACGAATTAGACTGCAATTCAAGGACGAAGGATCGACAACTTCATCAACTGGTAGATGGTGTTGGTATTCCTCCAGTGAAGTGAGAGGCCAACCGGCGTGAAGAATTGAATCAACTCCAGTGGTCGGATCTGAACCGTGAACCGCACTGCCTAGAATATCGATCTCGACTCAGATAAGTCCAGAACACGATTGGTAGGCTCCGGAATAACAGCTCCGTCTGCACGCCAGCCAGCGGCGATCAGATCTTGTGTGCCTTGAGATTTATCTTCTTCGTCCGAGATAGCGGCGAAAATGACATCTCCCCGTAGTGGGATTCGACGGGCTTTGATAGAGGCAAGAGCTGCCATTTCTGCGGTGAGACCTGACTTCATGTCCAAGGCACCTCTGCCAAAAATAGCAAGGCGACCATACTTTCAAGTACATGGCTCCTCTCACCGATAAGGAAGACTGGCAAATCAAGGTGTTTGATCATGAAATCTTCTCAAAATGGCGAGAGGAAGCGTTAGCAATTCCCGATAAATACTTCTGCGATCTAGTGAGACGTGACAAATTTCAATTCTTAAACGGGGACGGCAAATCTTATCTTGCGCCATGATGATGGTAAGGATCCCTTACAAGGCATTATAACTACAAAAACCTTCGATTATGTATTTTTTCTACTTTGAGTTTGGGCTATGCGCTGATTTTGAATACAGAAAAGTGTCAATGAACTTCGAAGTAAAACAACCTACTAAGAAATGACCGGCCCTCGACGCGTGCTCGTTTATGGTTAAGTTAGAATTAGACAACTTACCACATAGCAACTGACTCAAAAATTGACAGTTCACAATTCAATGGCACGTTTTGTATGATACTTAGTTTCAAGCCAATCCGACATAATCTAAAAGTAGTTGCCAGGATCTGAAATCAGGGGAAAGTTTTGATGGGGTCACAACTAGAGAGTGGCCTTTTTCATTTCCTTTTTGATTACCCCGCTGGAACGGCTTTGAAGATTCAGCATATTTTCTAAGATCATAAACTAGTCTTAATAGTACCTGTATCCCTGTCATCTGGTACAATGATGAACTGCGTAATAGAAGGCGTAGGCTCAATGCCTTAGACAGGATAGTTTCAGCAAGCCAGCCTGCTGATCATTGATGCGAGGAGCTGAGTGGAGCGGGAGAGTGTATGTGCTTTGTTTTTGTCGGTACACCTGTATCAAGTATGGAATAGCTATTCGATAAAGGTGATGAGAGGCTAACGCCCACTTCTGACACCTATCACAGGTAACACTTTACGCCCCTATGATATCTGTGTGTCCTTTGAAGTGGTTGTAAAGTCTGGTTTTCATTCTTAGTTTGCTATCTATTATATAGTAACAATTTGATCACATGACTGCTTTGTTCCATATTCCAACAGTTTTCTTTTGTTTTCCTTTCTTTTTCTTTAGTTTCTTTCTTCCTCGGCTTAGTCTTTTTATTAGGCTCTTTCTGATTAGATAGAATTTGCCTTGTTCATTCTTATGTTTAAAAAAAAACAAGCCCTATTCGCTCAATCTGAGCTTACAAAAATGTACCATTAAAGGGCTCTATGACAGCCATGAAAATATTTATTTTGTTACTGTTACAAACCTGGAGGTCAGCAACAGGCTAGGGGTTATGGGGCGTCTTACCTATGTCCCGAACAAGACATTAAAATTCAAAACTCATATTTTTTAACCTTGCAAAAATTAATAAATCGACTAGCCAACACGTGCAGGGGTGTATATGACAGGTCACCTGTAGCCTAATTATAATCACGGCAAATTAGGTTCAGTGGTACCCATCCTCGCCTTACTGCCGGATTGTTGCCTTACGCACTTTCCAATAATCAATACTCCTGTCCCTTCCGTAATTGATTAACACCCTTCCTTTTTTTGGTGAAGGGCTTGGATATGGAACCATAGTCCGCTGTTGGACTCTTGCCCGTTACACTAGTACTGTTATAGAAAGCCACGTTGTGGTACACCTAGATACCCTACATCATAGAATCGAAAGTCCAGAACCAAAGCCTTAGCAGCCATGTTACTTACTCTATACGCGGGGCTCAGTGAGTCATCTTCGTGGCAAGCAAGATCTCAGCTGTTATCGGACAAAGCCCAAGTGGGTGACTAATAATCTAACCATAACCAGTGTAATTATTATCTCTTTGCTAGCTGGAATGAGTCAAGATGATTCATTCTCAAAATTTCAAAATAAAAATCAATGTATCATTCGCTGCATGGATTAGTACTAGGGTTGATTTAGACTCATAATGCGATGAAGTCATAGCAGTTGACAGTTAACATCATTTACGCTACATTGTGCGAGGCAAGATAGTTCTGGTATAGAATATTCGACAAGGTTCTACAAAGATCCAGAAAGTTCTCATTATTTCTTTCTGTATATGTGCTTATTGTATACAAGGTGTGTAAGCTCCGTGTTAGGGGGGCCAGCTCATAAAAGAGTGCCGCATCCGATGTAGAACCTGAGATCGAGAAATATTTACATTTAACTTCGATTCTTATCAGCAGCTTCGAGCAGCTTGACATCATTCTATCTGCTACAATGTCGGACTCTAAGATCAAAGGGAGCTGTGTCTGCGAGAAAGTTCGCTATGAACTAACAGGTCAGCCAGCCACCAACATCATCTGCCATTGCGATACGTGTCGCAAAACCACTGGGTCCGTCTTCATGGCAAACAGCGTATATATGAAAGAGGTGAGCCAAGAACCACATAGATACTAGTAAACTATCGCATCCAAATGTTAGATCTCATGCTAATACTAGACAGAACTTCAAGATCATCACCGGAGAAGACGTTCTAAAAGTATATAACGATAAACCACCGGGTTCGAAAAATACGATTCACCGACACTTCTGTTCAAACTGCAGTTCACCTATCTACACGACTTCGACGGGGACACCAGAACACGAGATTGGGCTTACTGTCACGTCTGGTACAATGGATATTGGGAATGACTCGTGGAAACCTTCGATGGAAGTATTTTGCATGAGGCGGCGGGGGTTTATATGCCCGTTTGGAGGAACAGATAAGCATGAAGAAAATCCGAGAGGAGGATACTAGGCGACGGCTTTGACGTCGAAAACCATGCCAAATTTGACCGAATTCGCGCTCCAGATACTATGCTCTTGAGGGTCTATGACCAGCAAAATCCCGAAATGATATACAGGAAGGAAAGAAATCAAATGATTGTCTCGCTTTGATCGCCAATAAACGAGATATTATGTTAAGAAAAATTAAGGCTAGTGGAACTTGGCAGAAAGGTGAAAGAGTTAAGATAATAAATTTAACACCTTGTCTCATTTAGCGTATACTGTGTTTCAACACATGAATGCAAAGTGCATGTAATCCCGACAGTTCCTAATTAGGTTAGATATTTCCCTAGTCCATCGTCCGTGAATGATTCCCCTTAGATGAAATAACGAGGATCAGTCATCAAAAGACGGGAAGGCTGCTCAGTTCATCTTCATTGCTGATTGCCATTTTTCACTTCTTCAGGAACCAAGAGGTAGCCTTCCAGGTTGCCCCCAAGGGGCACATGGATTCCTCATCAGCATCAGACCGCCCCTAGTATATAAATCCACCTTCAATTCCCATAAATTGGAAAATTGTGGCAGGGCAGCCGCTACCATAATAGCGCTATCTCGAAAGTGCGGCGAGGGAATCAGGTCCAGGCTCGCGTGGTGCGGTATCAAAATCTGGGCTAGTGTGGGATGGAGACTCACTGGTACGCTTGACGAGGGCAGGGTCGCGCATTCTAAAGCTGTGGGGAGTAACATGGCGGGGTCATCTTGAGGCGTTGCGTCGGGTCGGTAGAAAGGGGACGTATAAAATGACCAGGCCCACATTTGGCAACTAGGTGATGGAGGTCGAAGCCTAATATTACTGTATTCTCGAGAACAGCTGCAAATATTGTTGTGTGGACGGGTTCAGGTAATGCTTGGTACAGGATGGGACGGGGAGAAGATAGGAAGCTGTCGTATTACTTTGCAGAGTAGATCCTGTGGCAAATGTCTGGCACTCGTAGTCTGTAGTGCTTGTTGTCTCAGTCCGTATAGATGGCGACAAGAGGATGTGATCCAATTATTTGTGGGTGAGTGTATGGCCCTGAAGTAAGAGCTCACTATTTTCAAGTAATGTACTTGTTCTTGGCAATATTCTTGTACTCGACTCACCGTGTGGTATTGGATTGGACATGAGTCCCGTCATTGTTGAGAAAGATGACCATGGAAATAGATGATCATTCTCAAATACGAGATTTGATATTTCAGTTGTTGAAATCTAGTTCTGGTTCTTTCTAGCCTAACTCTTGGTAAAGGCTTAGATTGGGGCTTTGTAGTGACTCCACCATGACCCTCGCTACACGAGGTTCTGAAATTAAGTGTAATTTATGTAACTTATGGCCCGGTTATATCGAAAATGTAGACTTAGCTGACTCAATTTTGGTGGGAAAAAGGCGTCTTTAGATAGTGGCGTAGTTACCCCAGGAAAAAGTCCGATGTGGCTGTGTCGATCATTCTCGTCAGCTTCTTGTAGTTTTCTTATTTTCTTTCTTTTTGGGTAAGAAAGATACCCTTGACTTCGCGCTTCAACGATGCTCGACACCAGCAATTCTATCGCTCTCACAGCCTTTGTTGTATCGTTAGTCGCTCTAGCCGTGACAATCGCACAGCTTTTACAGCAATACTTTGCCACAGCTCAAGGATACAACCGCTGCTCCAACCGTTTCATCGGCGACTGGTCTCGTTTCCGCCATCGCCATTTCATTTGGCGTGAGTTTCGCTTTGAAGTCGAATTTGTCCGTCCACATATTTATATTGGGACTGCCGATCAACACATCGGATTTAAGCAACGACTTCCCACTCCCTCATGGAGTGTATTTGATTTACTGCCGACCGTGCGAAAAGAAAAAGAATGGCGTGCAAATTATCTAGGGCGGTCCATTTTGGTTAGTCAACTTGGAACTGATTTTCAAAATGAACATACTCACGCATCGTGGCCTATGTTCATACGACACATCAAAATTTTTGATGCGCTAGCGAACAGAAGACTACCACACCCCAAGCATCAGCAGGGATTTGACAGTACAGGGCCGCAAAATAATGACTACCGGAAACCAAAAACGACTCAATGTTATCATCTCACATCCCAATTTGGGATCTATATTTACTTTAAGCCCTGTACCTGGGATGAAGTCGCGGCAAACTCCACACAACTGACAGGCACAGTCTCAATCCGTGACCTTGTAGTATTGGCCCGCCTACTCGGCCTTGATTGGGACCATGGGCCATTCCTCTTCCATCCGAATACATCTGATGCTATAGCCCCGAAAACAGCAACTGATATATCGCTAAATACCAATGACTATATGCAAGCCGCTGGAAACAGGCTCTCACTGGCGAAGTACATTACACCGCAACTGCGGTATGATCATCAAACAAACTTTCCACCTCACCTTCAGTCTTCTAGAAAAGACACCTTTTGTGTGCATTCGGGCTCTGTTGCTATGTTTTACAGCCACATTTTGCCCGACGAAACCCTGCTTCCGGGGTGCAAATCGACAACGATTTACGGCACTAACTCATGGGAAACTTGGTTACAGAGGATGTGGATCAAGGAAGATCTGTCGCCACGGCCTTCGCTAGTGAATTGCCTTGTCTCACTGTGCTCGGCTATCATAACTGACCCGGCAATCTATGCTGTTCGGGTTCCGAAACCACACCCCTTCATCCTGGGCCCGTTTGTTAGGCCCAAAATTGCGGAGCTTTTTCGAAAAGGGCTAAATCAAATTGTATCGACACAAGCTGAGACTGGCTCTGCGGAACATATCCGACTGATAGCTGTTGCAATCGATAACCTAGAACAGTATCCCACACAGACCCGAGCAGACAAAAATCATCTAAGCTACTGGGCAGCATGCCAGGGCGACAGCCCAGCGTGGAGCATGCTAGAACGAGACCCGACTCATGAGGCAGAATTATTCTTTGAGAAAGTACATGTCTATTTAACGTGGGTCGAGGGGATGCTAGGAGCTTTTCTGCAACGGATGGATGAATCGAATGGCCCATACATATATTTCTATTTTGATTTGGTATCCGCATTTATAGAGTTCGTTGCCGAGATGGAGACAAGCGAGCCAGCCACCCAGACCCAAGCCAGAATAGGTCCTTTCCTGCAATGGCGACGGACAATGAAGGCGTTTTTCAGACATTTCAGTGTCATTGAGATGAGAGTTCGGGATCGTGGGAAAAGACGTGCGCTCATGCATGTCAACGGTGTATCTTCAGATAATCTGAGCACGCCGTTTGATTCTATAATCGATTGCGGGCAGCTGCAAGGATATGATGCTATCAGCTCAGATGAGATGACCTTTGCGTGTGTTGCGATGATTTTTAGGGCATTGTGCTGGTATGTGACCCAATGCTCTTATCGATTTTTTTCTAACGAGAGCAGGCATCGATGTCATCTAATAAACCCAAACGAGAAGACTTTTCATCCGGACTTCTTTATGAACATTCAAAATGCCAGCATTGAATAGTCTTGACTGAAGCAAGGAATACGATTTCGCGGACATGTTTCAGTAACACTATCCGCACTTAAACACATAACTATCCGTACATTATTTACTATTAACTAGTGTTACGGGGAACGCTCGTAGGTAGTGCAGTCAAAATGAACAGATCGATTCAGCTATGAATTTGGTGTCGGAACTGCACTAACAGCAGGGGAATGGAACTCTGTAACAGAATGTCTAGAAATGAAGGTAGATGTAAGCATAAAGGTCTAACTATGAGACGATGTCCCATTTATACTCCTCATTCCCGCCCTACCGATTTTGACAGATATTCTGCCAGAATTATTATGTAGAAAGGCGGTCAGGCGGTAAAGAAAAGTGGTGTGAATTCAAGGTGGTGACCCCATGTTAATAATTTCTGCTCCGCCACCACAACATTTTCTCCGGGCCATGGCTCCCTGACCGCCGACAGGAATTCAGTTTCGATATACTCACTGATCTCCCAAGCCCAATTGATCTCAGACTCCGCACCATAAGCCTCCCAACCCAAAATTTAGAGGTCCCACCATGAGCTTTAGCCATCAAGTCGCGATTGACTAAAATTTGCCAGCATTTATCCAAATAATGCACCAAGTCTTCCCTATTAGAGGGATACAGTGGATCTCGTGGTATTTTTTGAGTTTCCCTTGGCTCATATCCGGCGAAATCTAGGATTTCGTTCACTAACTCGGCTGGTAGCTTCCGGAGTAAGAAATGCTGGACAGAGGTGAAGTCGGAAATCGTTGCGACGTGATTAACTATTGGATTCTCTAGCGTAAGAAATTCGTCAAATGGAAGTAAACCATAATGATTTCCCTTAATCCCACAAGGTTCTCCATCTAGATCGAAAAGTTTTGACCACCCTTAAACTAATCCAGCGACTATCGCAACAATACAATGAAAACTACGCCGCCAACCCCTCTATGGGTCTTTCAAAAGAGGGTTCTTGTTCTTGCACCTGAGTTTGACGTTTATTGTCGAACAAGACTTCGTCTTACCTATAATAAAATTACCAACCAATGATCCATATCACTCTGAATAATAGCAGATCTCTTTAACTTGAGCAGCAGATCACAGGTACTGAGTTTGAACATCCGTCCAGAAATAGTCGAAGAGTGTACTAGTTCTGAAAAGCAAAGAAGATCTCTTTTCATCTCAAATTTGATTATTAACTGGCCTTGATTGTTCTCACTTATGTGGCATTTGTCCGTCGTCGTCGTTCGAGTGTCTATGCCCGCGGCATTGAAAAAAAAACTATATTTGTGGAGCAGCAGGAAGTCGCCAATATTGACGTTACCAAGGTATGATAGTTTTGCAAGCAATAATTGCATGTCAAGGGTGAGGTATCTAGGTAGGTCATAAAATACGCCAGAGAGATATTAGAATCTATATTGGATAGAAAAAAATTTGAATTACCCAGTTCTCAGATTGTAAATTGGCGCCTGCGGATGCCGAGGTAAACTCTTAACTGAAGGAATAAGATGCGAATCACATAGGCACATGGGAGAGTATGCATCAGGCCAATAAGAGCGAGTCTTGACGCGAAATTTGACTGGGTTCTCGCAGAATCAACTATTTACCTCCAGCGCTAGGAAGTCTCCTTTCAAATCCTCGTTCATTTCAAAATCAGAGACCCAGCACGTCCAGCAGACCCTTTTCTTGAAGATGCAACTCCTCATTCAATTTGATCCACAATTTCGATCTCGCCTCCACGTCTTTACAGGAAGACTTTGCCGGCGCATTCCAGATACGATTGATGTATTTCCCTCCACCGAGACTACCCTCCACACCAACAAACTGTGTCTTAGGATCTGGTCCAAAAGTTGGACTGGTAGCAGCATGGCTAATTGCCAAACCTCCCTGTTGCGGTGTAACAGCAAACCAATCCATAAACAGCCTTATCGCTTTAATATCAGAGTCCTTGATGGAGGCTACGATGTTTGTAGCCACAAACCCGGGATTGACACCATTTATGGTGATGTGAAGATGTTCCTTGTGCTTAAGGAGTCGCGATTGCATCTCTGTAACCCACATCTGGTAATACAGTTTATTGCTTGTATAGTCGTCACTGCTTCTCGCCTTTGGTTCACCGTTCATGTGGTCAAGGTCCAGGACACCAACGTGGTGCATGCATGAATTTGTGCAGACAATTCTTGGCTCCTTACTTTTGGCGATGGAGGGAAGGAGTCGAAGGGTCAATAATACATGAGATAGAAAGTTGACCTAGAGTTGGCCAGGTGTCAGTGCTAGTCATGAATACCGAAGGGAAGATAAAGAGATGTTGGCTAATACCTGATGAAGTAGCTGGAAGCCATCCTTGCTCATAGGGGTGCTTCCAGCCTTGCTCATGTCAGTGACACCGACGGGGGGTAGGCCGGCATTATTACAGAGTATGTCCAGCGGTCGACCGCTCACCAGCCATCTGCTGGAGAAGCTCTCGACACTGCTCAGATCCGCCATATCAATTTCCCACCATTCGATTGTCGATTCATGGCCCTTGGACTTCGCAATGGCTCTGCATTCTTCCGCTGCGGCTTCTGGATTCAACTCCCATGCTGGTGGAGTGCGACAAGCCAAAACCAGATTCGCACCCCACTCTGCGAAGGATTTTGCTGCTTCGAAGCCGATACCACTGTTAGATCCAGTGACAATCACCCATTTTCCCCGTAAGTCAGCGCCAGGTGTGGTGAGATACGAGTTGTTGGCTCCTCTTAGGACTTGGATTATGTCATTGATCTTAGAAAATAGGGATATCATGGTGAAGATGGCTTCAAGTGTTTGGAAATGAACAGATCGTAGGGAACTCTGAGAAAAAGATTGACTTCTGACATGAGAAGGTAGGAAAGGCCGTGCGTAGAAATAGTCAACCTCGACACCTGTCCCACTGTGCCAGCTGTGGCAGTTGTGAAAAAAGCGAGTTAGTCTTGCACGAAGGAAGAATATTACTATAAGTTCGAACAATAGAAGTCCATTATTAGTCCAATAAGAGATTCGCAGGATTGAAACGTTCAATTATATCTCGCATACCGTGGAGTGTGTCGATCAGTTGGTCAAAAGTACGAACTAAATATTTAGGTGTTTTCCATTTAGGGGGTCTAATAATGCTTGAGTTTCTTGCTGGCTTGAGCTGGAAAGCTAACTAGGCAGTGAGAGTGCATCATTATATGGATTTGTGTCAGCTTGTGGAGTTGCATGTCGACCAGGACTGTCACATCACCATTTACATCGCCATCTATGTTTATATCTATATTTATGAATGGATTAAACTACTATAAGTTCGAACAATAGAAGTCCATTATTAGTCCAATAAGAGATTCGCAGGATTGAAACGTTCAATTATATCTCGCATACCGTGGAGTGTGTCGATCAGTTGGACAAAAGTACGAACTAAATATTTAGGTGTTTTCCATTTAGGGGATCTAATAATGCTTGAGTTTCTTGCTGGCTTGAGCTGGAAAGCTAACTAGGCAGTGAGAGTGCATCATTATATGGATTTGTGTCAGCTTGTGGAGTTGCATGTCGGCCAGGACTGTCACATCACCATTTACATCGCCATCTATGTTTATATCTATATTTATGAATGGATTAAACTAGTAGGAAATCAGCTGATTGGATAGAACCATATCCACTGCTAAGTATGGATACAGGTTATCACACTCCACATAAATGAGCAAGAGTCAGGAATAAATTACCCTCAATACCGTCAGATATTGAGAGAAGAATCGAAGAATACTACTCTAATCAGAGTTATGAGTATGCGAAAAGGATTATAGCGTAGAATAAGTATATAATTCATAAATTCCAGAAGCTGCTAACAGATAATCAGATACCTCGCCGGAAGAATGGAGGAAAAGTCCATTTGAAATTACGGAGTAGTTTTACACAGCCTCCTTCTTTGATTAAGAAGATATACATAACCAGTCTTGAAGGTCGTACAGTGTCTTTGCTAATACTTTGGGCTAGCAAGGACAAGCACCAACTTAAGAAGGATCTAGCATGCTTTTCTGGAATTTTTCTGAGATGGTGATCATCTTAACTTACGAAACGAACTAGTATAGTTATTTTAGACTCATAATTAGCGATCTTTTAAAGACAACTTGAATCTCCGTGTTTTCACCCTGAATGAAAATCGGTGCGGGTTTATTGATCCCATATTGATCATAAAGATCAATTAAATCATTATCGGGACAATCGGTCCTGTACTTTGTCCGTATCATCTTTCAACATGCATTACCCCTTTCCACTGGAGGGTCGAAGCTTGATTTTCTTCATCTTAAGCATCGTTCTCTTAATCGCATGTGTCATCACAGTCTCGTTGAGATGTTTTGTCCGAGGATATGTCATCCAGTCTTTTGGCTGGGATGACAGCTTGATGATCGCTGGACTGGTATGCTAAACTTTTAACCCATAGCCTTACCGGTTTAGTATTGACTAACTTCTTAGGTCTGTTTCATTTGCGAAGCAACATGCCTACTTGGCGCATCAACGCGTGGTCTTGGGCATGGTATAGAAGAATTTCAAGATCTGTCTCTCTATAGGGACGCCACAATGGTACGTCCTTCTCTTTGCACCTTGAAACCTGCCACACTATACAAAGGCTAATATCATAACGTTTTCACTGGGTAAAAGTGGTGGTGGATCTCCTCCCAATTTTACGCTGTATCGAGCGGATTCGCAAAAGGGTCTATTGTTATGACACTCATACGATTAAGTGTTAAAAGAACACACCACTACATTCTCTGGGCAGTGACTGCTCTCATTTTAATTTCTTCACTCTTATTTCTCTTCACTTGGATTTTTGTCTGCTGGCCTATCTCCTACTATTGGAACCGAGTACTTCCAGATTCAAGCGGACACTGCACCAATTCCAATGCTGTTTTGAGCATTGGATATATTTACACCGTGCTATCTTTACTCATAGATCTAACACTGGGAGTGCTGCCTATTTTTATGGTTTATAAACTCCAAATGAATACGCCAACCAAGGTTGCCACTGGGGCAATTCTTAGCCTCGGTGCTTTGTATGTGCTTTGTGAGCCCTGAGAAGATCTTTTGAATATATGGCTAACCCATGACAGGGCGAGTGTGGCAGTGATATCTCGAATTCCATTCCTCGCAGATTATAAAAAAGAAGATGAGCTATGTTCGTGCAGACCTTATTGAGAATATTGAAATTTGCTAACAATTTCAGATGCTCTCTTCCAAGTCATCATCTGCACGACTGTTGAAGCTGCTTCTGCAGTCATTGCGGGCAGCCTTATTACTCTTCGCCCGCTATTTAGATGGGTCCTAGGCCCAGAAACGACATCCGGCAAGGAAAAAAAGAATGGCTATAAATCAGACTCGTACTCAAGAATGGGTTATATTCCTCCAAAGGGTTCTCACCCCGGAAATTGGCGTCCAGACTATGAGTACTCCGAGAGAGTTCTTATGACAGAAGTGACTGCAACTCCAAAACATAGTAGAGATGTCTTTGGTAGGGACGGCAACAGCAGTGAGGAGCATTTGAATCCGATTGGTATTAGCCGTACCTTTAATATTGAGGAGACTGTCTCAATAATTTCGGCAAGTGGACAGTGTTAGGGGGTGACGACATGGAGTCACCTGACTTTGTTCAGTTGTCAAATGGAGGTCGACTACCAAGGAATAGTGGATTCTAGTGGGCAAATGAGAACGCAGTATGCGTACCAAAGAGTGTATGTGTATAGATTGTAGAATGGAGGAATCCCATTGTGGGATTCCAATGCTGACTAAAATAGACTAACTGTAAATGGAATCGGGCCTTTGACATCAGTTGTCGGATGGAGGTCTGACAAACCAATTAAGGTGGATACGAATCGGCAAATAGGAATGGAGCAAATTGTAGTCAAATTATGTATCATGGTTATAGAAATAATTTCTTGTATGACACATCCGGCAGCTTTCCTTAATAGCTCTAAATTATATCTCCTTCCGTCATCCTTCGAAGAGCCATCATGAAAACCAGCCATTGCCTTCAATCTTGATTCTCTCTCTCTTGGTAGACTCAGTTCGCGTACTCTCCTAGTGACCGCATAAGCCACCTATGAAAACACACACAACAGACATGGTGACGACTCCAGATCCGAAGGCGGCCTGGCTGACGGCTCCATAATACATAATTTTGTAGTATGGAAAGTGGCCCGCACTGTCAAAAAATTCAAAGGCTGTCTGAAAGCCGTGAACGTGGCTGGCAACATAACCCCCTAAGGAGAGAACGATCACGCTCGCAACGATTTGAATACAAATGTAGTAGAATCGAGCGGTGCTGTTTTCTTGTAGTCCCTTCGGGTAGATTACAAGGAGAAATCCGAAGATGGAAAGCAGGGCTGAGACCAGTGTCACAATCACCATGCCCACGACGACGTTGTCCATGAGGTTTTGGAAAGTGATGTCCAAAATAGAGTCCCTGGAGGTGACGAGGTCAGATTTTGCGCGGTCTCGCAGGATGACCGCAAAGCGTACAGTGGCGGAACTGAGACCGGCAAGAGCCAGCCAGGTGATGGCAAGGAAAAGGATGGCAAGACGCATCCTAATCACAGCCCTGGCAGTATTATGGGGCATTTTGTGTCCTTAAAGATAGTCGAATCGATAACAGGAAGGTGAGGTTTGTTTTGTTCAAGGTAATAGTTGAGGAATTAAACAGTGAGAGAAAGAAAGATGAAGAGCGTGAATATCTCAGGGCACCTTGAATTTATATGTGCTATGCACTATTCATATAGATGCTGCCTTACGACGAATGGCCCGGCTGATAGTGAGCCGTGCGAGTGCCTTTTTCATGCATTGTCGGTGAGCGGCAATCCTTAGAGGCGTTTCCTTGGTAAGGATGTGCTAAGTAGAAAGACTGTTTCTATCTTTGAGATCGACGGCCACGGAGACCGTCTCTGATCCTTGGTTATAAAGCAGCTCTTGGAATGACCCCTTATATTCCCAGGATTTACCCTCCTATGGAACAAGGCTAGTATATTATCATCATCTCTAAGACGGTTCATGGATTGTGCATAGCATAATTCAAGCCAATACTGATCCCAGAAAAAGTTTCGATACAGACAGAGTTTGCCTTGGTCTTTTTGTCTCGAGGGACATATTCTTTGCTGTTGATTGGCAAACTTCCGAACACGTCCACAGGAAGACAAACACTATTTTCTTTCGCATCTGTTTTGCTTACTGTATTTGTTGCCAGATAATTTAGGATCTGCTTTCAACCATAAGGCAACTCTCACTGTTCGGTGAATCAACGCGGCCGATTAAGAATCAATTCTGAACCGGGAAATTTAAAAAAGCCCCTCTGGTGAGTAGGTAACTAACATAGCGCAAGTAGGTATTTTCTACGGAAAAACTCACACGTTGTTAGTGTTCAGTGGTTTTTATGTTCAACGTTGATGTAAACGTTGACATCAACTTTCTGACACCATTCACCACCCGTACATCTAAAGGTATTATCTGAGGATAATCAGCGAATGTATTAGCACGATACTACTAAGCTATTGTGGACGAGGCTAAAGCCCCCAGTGTTCCTGGAAGCGCAAACACGACTCCACCAGTCCTCTTTTCTACTGTGGGTTTTGGCGCGGCTGAATCATGAGGCAAGAGCAACCTGGGAGATATCGAAATGTAACTCCCTTCCGCATGTTTCCAGTTCATGACCAACTCCAATCTGGTAACCAGGTTACTCTAGGGAATGCGCTTCAAACCAATCGGTGCTTCGGGCACCACGTGGATACGACAACTGGATTGAAACATCGTTGGTTCGATCGTCGCATTCGTCTGCGTAATGTGATCGAGGGAAAAAATCAACGTCCGTAGTGCTCCTGGGAGCCAGCATTCATATTGGTAATCAGCGAAAACTGGGTAGTGGATATATCTTTCATGGTGGACATCAAACATTCAAAAGCTCATGATTATCCCATGGTGGATGCTACCATGTCCTTCTCTTGCTCTAATAACTTGCTAGTACAGAACCATCACTAGCAAAACTAAAAGGAATTATCATGGATTATAAGCTGCCACAGGCATCAAAGAGGTCCTATACTCTAGACATAGAAGAACATAATGGACTTATATGGCAAACTGGTATTGTTATTTTGAACCCTTTTTCGAGGAATCTATCGGCTGACTATCTATCGCATGGAGGAAATGAATCGACTGAAAACTTCCGTCGGGTCGTTCGTCCATTTATTCACGAAGATCGCGGCCACTCAAGCCAGGTTCTACAGCCGTCTGTTGACCAGTCCACTGGCTCTGTAGCTATAGAGGTAGCTACTTCTGTTGATAGCTCGAGGAACTATATGATGTCTCTAAGCGCGATAAAGACTGAAAATCAAGACCTGCCCCCACTGATCGCGAGAAAAAGAGTAGTCGACTCCTCAACCCTCCCACGAAAGCAACGTCGACACTCGTCCTCCGCGTCTCAAATTCAGGGCCGCTCATAACTGGCGACCCAAGTGCATCGAAAGAGACCTCTAACCCTCACAACAGTTAGTAGGAGTCTGGTTAGCGATACAATTCAATACCTATAAACGCTATCCGACCGCATGTTGGTCTCCGACACCATCTCCTCTAGGGAGTGGGCCACGATGCATCTCGCCACCTAATTACTATAGGGCAGGTACGAAGATATCATTGCGAGAGAAGAGATGGAAACAAACGATGTGTCCGAGTTTGCTTTCCCACCCACATAGCTAGAAGAGAAGTGCGGGAAGTGTGGTGCTGCGGATGAGGACCGGCTGTATGACTGAGAGGCTGTTCCTTCTTATTAGTTTGTTGGCATATTTTGATAGAATAACTGGTTTTTGAAAATGAGCGAGCAATCTTATCTGTCGAAATGTCAGCACATTAATTCAGATGAATAATAAGGCATTACTTGTAGACTATGATAGACTCTAGTATTGGTAGGACAGGAAAGTTTAGAGCGTCGAGACCTAAATCAGCTGTGCCAGTACTCGTCGGACAATGGTGAGAGGGCGACTCGTCGTGCTGAAAGGCGAGCTTTCAAGTCAAAGGCATACCGAACCATAAGCAAGTCCCCCGAAATCTTCCCCATTACCTAGTCAAGATGGTGGCTGCAGCATCACCTAGATGCTGGTCGCTTATAGGTCGCGAGTAATCATAATGGCCATGTCAGTGGAGCTCCTAATGCGCAGCGCAAGAATCAGTGGCAAGTTTGATATTTCATAGCCCTGCCAATTACTGGAACAAACATCCCATATTTTCCCTATGCATTCGTTGACATGAGCATGTCATAGGCGAAACGCCCTAATAGAGGCCGTCGTTATAGAGAAGCTATTGCGGACTCTCGCTCGTTTGATGGCTTCCGTCTTTTTATTTTTGTCTCGTTCTCAATCGTAGAAAACCTAGAACTTGTCCCTGGGCAGCATTTTCTTACCAGGAAACACTTTTATGGGTAACATGATCCCGGGGAGGCTGAGTTAGGGGGCCAATATGCTGAGTTGCGTGGCCTTGTGTCGATTCGTGTGAGAATCCTCAATTAGCTCGAGACTCATGTTCGTGACGGCTGAACAGCTCATTATCAGTCGTAAAAGGTCATCCGTGCCGGCAACACTTTTTATGTAGGCCTCGTGGCTCATCAGCCTCATCTTACGACAGTCTGTCGAAGCTGCTATTCCTATTATTGACGAGAGTCCAATCCCTAACACCGCATGTATAAATAAATAGAATTCCACTTTCTCTCTTCATTCTTGCACGTATTGGATTAGGGAGCACACTCCTGTAATCATGCCATCCAACCCGTTCAAAGACAACATGATATGTGACCTTGGCACTATCAAAGCTCAATCTTAGCTCCCTATTTCAATGTCGGCCCCCACCACCTGCGAGAGTTATACGGCGGCCACTATGAAACCAGCCGGACCTCACTGCCGCAGCAGAGTGAAGGTTATCACGGGGCCTCCCAAGAGCCTTTGTCTTCCCCACTTGTGTGGACTGGAAAACATTGCATCCGTCTTGGTTGTAAGATAGGAGTCGCCATGGGATACTTATCGGAAAGTCATTACTTATGAGATCGCTGGCAAAGTTACAATTGCCACACGCCGCACCCGCCCGTCTCGCATGGTAGCCATCCGGACATACGCGAAAGAGAATGCTCGAAGATTGATATACAGATTCGGACGTCTGGAACATAGGAACGTTCTCTCCTTACATGAATGCTACATGCATGAAGATCTTGTGTTCTTCTTGGTTGATGACTTGCCGCTGATGCTCGCGCATGTTGTCGCTTTTCCATCTGTTTATCCCAGCGAGACAGAATTGGGATCCATTATATGCCAGGTTAGTCTCTCGTGCCCTTTTGATGAGCTGTTCTGACTTTTTAGATCCTCGATGGTGCCTGCTATTTAGTTTTGTTTGGCCTTGCGCACCAATCACTGGCCTGTGATGATATATTATTTGGAATTGACGGGATCATCAAGATAGGTTGGTTGGTGGCCGCATCCTTGCATTATCTGACTAATATTTCGCAGCAAGTTTGGACCATTGTATAGATTGCACGCTAAAGCAATCCGAAGCCGCATATATTGCGGCCCTTCCGTCGATCACAATGCGGCTTATGTAGAAATACGACAAAGACCAAGGCGTTGTTGGCGTAAATGATCTGGAGCGATGGCCAATCGATTCTGCCGCTGTGGGCTTTTTATCCGCTACCGAGACGGCAGGATCAATCAAATCCCTAAGAGATGTGAGTTCTCCTAGCAAGGAGAAGTGTTTTGCTAATATCCAGTAGCAACCCCTGTTGGCGGGCAAGCACCGCCTAAGCGATGATCTGGTCGTTCTCGTAAGAGCAGCTCTGCTCTCTAGTAATTTGAAATGCATTTACAACCCCGAATTTGAAAAGCGCTAAGGGACAGATATATGGTGCACAACTCTCGGATATTCGCCAATCCTTGTCATCGTCGCACGGCTTCACCAAATGCAACATTCCACGCGTCTCCTACAGTCTCTTGCTATATATTAGGGTCCTTTGTTTCTTCTACAACATAAATCATTGTTTTTTTCTGCTCATGGCCTGCTAATATTGCGCTCTAGTGAGCTCACTGCTACATTTTTAACGTTACGTTGTTCGCAAAAGCTTGAAGTCTGACATTGATACCGTGGCCCTCTGAGATGCACAACCTTTGGAAAGCCGAGTTTAAAGGATTTCACGCGGCCAACCTCTGTTCGATGATGAAATCTTTGCATGGATGCTGTTAGAAGAGCTCACAATATCTCTACTAAAAAGACCAAGCTCTTCAAGCCCCAATATTTGAGATCGTAACGGCATTGAATTGCCAGATGTCCATAATAAATGAATTTTAAGCAGCTACCGTATCAACTATGCCTGTGATGGAAAGATGACTGACCCATCAAGACTTCCTACTATCCAGCCCTAAAGGTAGTCACAGACCAGGATCTGGAGCAAGTTGATAAAGATACACCTGAACAACATACATGAAGATGTACGACCAGAGCGGACCTTCCACCAGGTGTCTATACGGACGACCAAGGTGATTGAAAATCAACTTGGCTCATTGTTGTATATATAGGCTCATGTATCCCTTTGAAATATCAAGTCAAGAGCTATAAAATGCTCAAGAATTCCTGCTCCTGTTGTGTTTCCCCATAAACGAGGTGCAGCTGTAGAGTTCGACAATGAATTCGCCCCTTCCTCTTGCATGTTGCGAGGCAGCCTACTCGATAAGGGGCCGTCTCACATTGTCACAGCTATTTCTCATTGTGCCATAAGTTTTCCTCAACTCTTGTCTACCATCGAGCATTGGTGATTGTCGACAGCTACAGGACCTCATTCGCCGCAGCGAAAATGGAGACGATGGCCAGCCACTTTTAGGGATGTTATCTGCCATTTATCTGCCATTTTTTGGATGGCAGATGCAGATGGCAGAGATGACTAATATCTGCCATTTTATCTGCCATTTTTGCTAGCAGCGGCAGATGCGGAGATGACTAATATCTGCCATTTTATCTGCCATTTTTAGCATGGCAGATAAATATCTGCCATATCTGCCATTTCGGTCCTAGTCAACATACGGTAAAGGCAGTGTAGGTCGATCCGGCTAGCACCGTGACAGAGGGTCTATGAAAGAGAGCTTTGAAGTAATACAGATTAATAGAAAACATTAAACAAAGACTATAATTCCCCCTCCTCTGGCTCTATCTCCTCTTTTCCTATTTCTTCCATTTCCCCCTCGTTGTTTCTTTCTTTGGTAAAAGTGTCTTTTAGACTCATGAGTACTCGAAGAGACTGACCATTCAGCTAGTACCGTCGGATTCCAATCATATCCCTCCCTTTACTAAATAGCCTTTCAACTGCAACTTCAGAAAAAGGAATACCAAGAAAAGCCTGAGCCGCAATAGCTAATCGGGGGTACTCATCTGCATGTTTTCGCCACCAATTAAGAAGCCAATCCTCATAACCTAGCTCTAAGGGCTCAGGACCATCAATTGGTTCTGTCTTAAACCACCTTGTAATCTCAGAAGTTGATACTCGCTGCCGCTTCCTCCCAAGTTTGAGGAAATCATCATCTTCAAGTTGATAGCGACGCTTTCCATTCTGTTGAAGATAACCTTCTTGAAAAGTTGAATTCTGAGGATCAGGAAGACATGGGCACATGATCTCAAGTTTCTTCGTAATTCCCTCTACTAGAGAAGCGATATGGTTTGCATCATCAAAGTAAGCCTCTAAAAGGTGTGTCTTGATGCGAGGGTCTAGTACCATAGCAATAAGATAGATATCAGATATATCCATTTTATCAAAGTACTTCTTATAGACTGATTGGCATGCCTTTATAGCCTTCATAATTTCAGGTGGCAGACCAGCAAATTTTCCTTTTTGGTTTACCATCTCGTCAACCATATCATCAAGACGGTAGTAGAGAAAGGAGGCAAGGTTCATCTTTGGTTGTTGTATTAAGACCCTCCGGGTTAAGCGCTCAAACACAGAAAGGACATTTCGAAGATGCTCTAAAAACATCTAGTCTGCTGATGAGAAGGGTCTAGATTATAGCGAGCATATCTGAAGAAACAAGTTCAGCGGCTTCTTAGCCTTTCATAAAATATTTCAGAAGTTAGTAGGGTTAGATATAAGCAGAATATATCATACCTTTAACGCATCTTCTAATATACGAAATATGGAGTTCCAACGAGTATCGACATCCTTCTTAATATATTTCACTGCTATCTAGGATCTCTTATAGCATAGTCTCCAGTCCTCTCTTCGAAGATTACTCTATGTAATCCAGATAGTAAGAACACGAATTTTCTGAAGAGGGTTTAGTTCAGGGATAGTTGAAGTAGGCTCTAGATCATCAACAAGGTCATTTGCTTCACTCATACTTCTAGTCTTTAGAACTTTCAAAATCTTCTTTACCATTAGGTTAAGAACATAGGTAAAGCAACGAATAAAGCTATGTAATCCCTTAATCTCCTCCTCCTCCTCTTCTTTAGCCTCCCTATCTTCTCCACTCTCTTCTCTATTATTATCGCGATCAAGCTGCCACCAAGGGTTTTCTGTTTACTTTATTTGCTGGGTTAGACACCTAACCATCATCTTATT